GAGAGTCTTATATAGAGAATATTATGGGCAGGACCTTATAGAATATGACAAGAGAGCTATATTAGGGCAAAATACTTTATGGGCATTGGATGTTACATGCACTAGGCTTTACGGGCACTGGACTTTACAGGCACTAGACTTTACAGGCACATCAGACCAAGCACTGCAACAAAACTCAGATTAAGCATGGTTGTGCCATCGTAACGCAATGGGTGAGAAGCTAGTAAATAGAGGGCGACACTGCAAAATTGTGGCGCTTAAGCGACGGCTATGCTCGCGTGCTCCTTGCTTATGCTCGCGTGCTCCTCGCTTATGCTCGCGTGGGCCACGTAAGAAACCATGCAAGACCACTGTCCCATAGGCTTCGGAATGCAAAACGGAGCATGTTGAAGCTTGAAACAGAGTTAGTCAGCGCGCGCGTGCCCGGAGCTAACCTAAGCATAGGGAATTCTCTTTCCCTGGCACTGTCTTGCAGTGATTTCTTTAGGTAAGGGGGCATTCAGCAAGTGCTTAGCATGGCAACCACTCTGGGTCTTGGTTTTGTTTGCAGGTATTTTTTATTGTCAATTAATAATAAATAAAAGGGGACAATAAGAAATGGTGGCACTATCAAGTCATATGTCCTTGCTTATACCTATGTGGGCCACATAAGAAACCATGTGAGCAAAGCAAGCATCCATGACAAATGGGGTGAACAGAGTAAACCATGTCTTGGTGCTCCTAGCAACCCTAGCAACTGGAGTGGGCTATGCCTCTGCAGCCATTGGAGCTTGAAATAGCATCCTAGCACCTTACAGAGAACCTCATGGGGGAGCCTTATGGGTAGGACCCTGAAGGGGGAGCCTCATAGGGCAGAATTCCATAAGGGAATCTAATGGATAGGACTTTATAGAGAGCTTTATATGGGAATTGTATAAAAAGGACCTTATAGGATATTATAGAAGAGCCATATAGGGATATTGGGGCACAGGACTTTTAGTAAGCAGAGTGAGCCATGTCTTGATGCTCCTAGCAACCCTAGCAACTAGGGTGGGCTATGCCTCAGCAGCCATTGGAGCTTGAAATGGCATTCCAGCACCTTACAGAGAACCTTACGGGGGAGCCTCATAGGTGGGATCCTGATGGGGGAGCCTCATAGGGCAGAATCTCATAGGGGAATCTAATGGATGGGACCTTATAGGGAGCTTTATATGGGAATCTTACAGGAAGGACCTTATAGGATATCATAAAAGCGCCATATAGAGATATTAGGGCACTGGACTTTATGGGCACTGGACTTTATGGGCACTGGACTTTATAGTCAGTGCACTCTACAGGCACATGAGACCAAGCACTACAACAAAAACTCAGAGCAAGCACGAGCACTAGACTTTACAGGCACTAGACTTTATAGACACTGGACTTTGTGAACACTAAAATTTACAGACACATCAGACCAAGCACTGTAACAAAAACTCAGATTAAGCATGCTTGCACCGTTGCAACGCGACAGGTGAAAAGCTAGTCTCTATATGGAGGGCGACAGTAGGGGTCCGGTGGCAACTAGCTGTCAGCTAATCCCACACGACAAACCACACAAGACCACTGTCCCATAGGCTTCGGGAGGCGAAACGGAGCATGTCGGGGCTTGAAACAGAGTTGGTCAGCGCGCGCGTGCCCAGAGCTAACCTAAGCATAGGGAATTCTCTTTCCCTGGCACTGTCTTGCAGTGATTTCTTCAGGTAAAATATGAGGGGGCATTCAGCAAGGGCTTAACTTGGCAACCACTCTGGGCTCTTGGTTTTGTTTGCAGGTATTTTTTTATGTAAATAAATAATAAATAAAAGGGGACAATAAGAAATGGTGGCATTGGGCTAATAGCTCAAGTCATATGTCCTTGATTACACTTATGTAGGCCACATAAGAAACCATGTAAGCAAAGCAAGCATCCATGATAAATTGGGTGAGCAGAGTAAGCCATGTCTTGGTGCTCCTAGCAACTCTAGCAACTAGAGTGGGCTATGCCTCAGCAGCCATTGAAGCTTGAAATGGCATTCTAGCACCTTACAGAGAACCTCACAGGGAAGCCTCATGGGTGGGACCCTAATGGGGGAGCCTCATAGGGCAGAATCTCATAGGGAAATTTAATGGATGGGACCTTATAGAAAGCTTTATATGGAAATTTTATAAGAAGGACCTTATAGGATGTCACAGAAGAGCCATATAGGGATATTAAGGTACTAGACTTTATGGGCACTAGACTTTACAGGCTAGCAACTAGAGTGGGCTATGCCTCTGCAGTCATTGGAGCTTGAAATGGCATTCTAGCACCTTATAGAGAACCTCATGGGGGAGCCTCATGGGTGGGTCCTGATAGAGAAGCCTCATAGGGCAGAATCTCATAGGGGAATCTAATGGATGGGACCTTATAGGGAGCTTTATATGGGAATCTTACAGGAAGGACCTTATAGGATATCATAAAAGAGCTATATATGGATATTGGGGCACTGGACTTTACGGGCACTGGACTTTATGGGCGCTGGACTTTATAGTCAATGCACTCTATAGGCACATGAGACCAAGCACTACAACAAAAACTCAGATTAAGCACATGCACTGGACTTTACAGGCACTAGACTTTATAGACACTGGACTTTGTGAACACTAAACTTTACAGACACATCAAACCAAGCATTGTAACAAAAACTCAGATTAAGCATGGTTGCACCGTTGCAACGTGACGGGTGAGAAGCTAGTAAATAGAGGGCGACTGTCACGATGTCGTGGTAAGGAATGGTTTCTCCCCTAGATACGATCCGGGTTTCCTGTTTTTCCGGATGTACCTAGTGTTCGTTTGATTGCTGTTCTAGATGATACCTTCTGGTGTTGGCACGATACACCGATGTTGGTCACAGTTATAGGCAACGATGAGAATATTTTGAGCTATTTAGCGAATTTCTGAAGTGGTGCCGGACCACTAACAAAGACAATACTCCGTAAATGTTGAGAATAATGACGAGAGGCTGAAGAACTTTGTGATTCAAGTTGCTGAGGTGCTACACAGATTGAAGGCGAGCTACTAGTTCGTCTAGTATCCCTACAAGTCTTGTAGCTTATCTCCAACTGATATCACTCAAAGAACTTATTGACTGGCACTGACTGGCTGAGTAAAAATAAGAGGGGGAGATGGTCTCTGCCTGAAGCAGGACAATCAGCCTCCTTATATACTATTTCAAGTGGGAATCTCCTTCCTAGTATATACAGGCTGAGTAGAGTCATTGTGAGTCACAAAGAATGCTGTAGAAATAAAAAGAATAGGGAGGAAAGCAGAGGAACAGAAAGGAAAGTAAAAGAAAGGCTCAGAATGTGGTAGAATATTCCTTCAGCTTCCTTCAGAACTGCTCAGAACCTTCCCCTCCTTTCAGCTTGGAATGGCCTAGACCTTGCCCCTTTCCTAAACATTCTCCATCCTTCCACTAAAGTTCTTCTCTATTCTACCAGATTCCACTGCTTTCTTTCCATTCCTTATTGTCTTGCCATGGTCTAGCCCTTTCTGAAATAGACCCTAGGCTCTGGAATCTGTCCCAAAAACGAATTATGAGTATGAAAAGGGATAGGAAATCAAGTTTAAGTGGTAAAATACTCGAAAAATATGTAGAAAATCGGAATTAAATGTCCTGTCCCTTCTAGGTTGTTTTTCTTTTCTTTCTTCTAGTCAGATATTCTGCCCTCCATTCTACCATCACTATTTGATGCCTAACAATATGCGAGCACGACAATGAATGGCTGTGATGTCACGAACGGCTGTTTGAGATGAGGAGATCCTAGGCCACAAATAATACTGAAGAGTTTGGAAGGAGTCGAGGGACTGATCAGACTAATGCCTTGGAATCGAAGGAGACTGTGTGAACAGAGGTCCTTAGATTGGACAGAAGTGGATAGCCTAAGGCTTCCACTCTACGCCGCAGTATCTATAAATATGTACAAACAGGAGCACGGACCAAGTATCAATAGAGCGGGAACACAAGGTATGGTTGGGAAAAAGGTCCTACGAGTCCTTATCGAGAAGGTGAGAAAAGTAGGTAAACATAAGCAAGGCATTTCGTAACATTACCCCCCCCTTTAGGCCGTCAGTGCCAGAGATGGTAAGTAATAGTCCAGGAAAAACATAAGCAATGCGTGCAAACCAAGTCATACAAAATAATACTTAGGGCACAGATTCTCGCTGCCCACAGTCGAGTCATGATGTGATAGCCCTTGAGTATGGACGTCATGATACCCCACCTCGTTACCAACCATGCAGGGACTGCGTTCTAGAACCGAGTCCCTCGTCTCATTATGGCAGTGGGTACCGGCCCAACGGATTCGAACCATCATTTGCCCCAGCAGTTTTATATCGTACCGGACGTCAGCATCTTATTCTTCAAGCATCTCAAGGGCAGAGGACGATGGGTTGGGTATCGGACTCGCTGGAGTCGTATTCGACGAAGGGGAGGGGAGGTCGAGTTCGGGTAGAGGAGCAGATTACTCCCAGTCGCGCGGGTATGACGTGGTAGCAGGGTGAAATCTGTGCAAATCTATAGATATCCCTTCCCCTGCTGCGTTCCGTGGGATAAGCCCCTGGCATTGGGCAAAGCGGTGTTCTATTTGAGGTCGAAGACGAGGCATGAGATACCACAGCTGTGGTAGGCATGTGATATTCAGTGACAGGAGTAATGTCGTCAGCGGGATGAAAGGAGTCTTGGAGGTGTGGAGTTTGATTCAAACCCATAAGTCTTCTCTCGCCCGCATTGATACAGGCGATGAGTGTTCCTTCCCAAATCTGCAAAGCCCTTTGCGCGTGTCGGACAAAGCTCCTTTCTTCTTCCAAAATCTCCAACGCCCTTTGTATCTCCAGTTGCATGGGTCCTGACACAAATTCAGTGTTCGGTGTTCCTTCAATGAGTCCCATCATGTAGGCAATAGGGGTCGTCAGGTATGTCTCTCTATTGGGAAATATGATTCCATTGCCTTGTGTGTGGATGAGGGGTGGTGGAGATGGGGAACGGGAAGGTGAAGGTCTATCGAAGTCCTCTGTGAGTCGTCTGATCATCTCGTCCTCTTGTCGTTTGTTCTCATCCAGTCTCCCAAGATACTCATTGAATCCTTCTTCTGCTTCCCGTGCTGCTTGTTCTTCGTCCGTGTCCCATGGTACAGATCATTCTTCGACTATAGACATCTCGGGAGTCGAGGGGATAGAGGGTTTAGTGGAGGGTGTTTCTTCATAGGGTTGTGCGGCGAGAGTGTCTTCAGAGGAGAGGTAGATGGATTCGCTGGAAGACATGTTTGCTGGGGGAATGGATAAGTGATTGAAGGGATGAGGGGATTGTAATGATTGAGTTCAGGTTTTTATATGTTTTGGATTTTGTTTGCTCGATGTTTGCGAGAGCTGGTCGTAGTAGTAAGTTATAATGTCATGCGTCGTATGCTTCTAAAAGTTCTTTAGCATTCCCTAGGTTCGCTCTTGTGACCCATTCATCCGCGGAGCTCGGGTATCCTTTCCAGTGTACTAGGTATTGATACCCGCGTCCTCGCTTCTTCTTGTCAAGAATTTCTTCGACTTCGTATTCCTCCTGTCCGTCTATGAGATCAGGTGGTGGTTGTTCGAAGTTGGGGCCGTGTGCGGCTGTTTCTTGATAGGGTAAGATTAACGAGGCATGGAATACAGGGTGTATTTTCCACGTTGGTGGAAGCTTTAATTTGTATGTCACCGGTCCTAGTTTGCTTTCTATTTCAAATGGTCCATGCAGTTTCGGGGCTAGTTTGTTTTTCGGGTGCGTGGTGGTGATATTTTTTCCCGATAGCCAAACTTTCTGTCCTGCTTCTAATTTGACCTCGTTTTTGGCTGTTTTCCTTTTCATTAGTTCAGCTGCAACTTCTAGGCTGGCCTTCATTTCTTGCCATAATTGTTCTAGCCTTTCCAACCTTTGTTCTACGCCTGGGATGTCGGATCTCGGCGTGATCGGAGGTACGAAGGTTGGATTATAGCCATACATGAGTTCAAATGGTGATTGGTGAGTTGCTGAATGTTCCCTGACGTTGTGTGCGAATTCTGCATATGGCAATAATTCAGGCCAATTCGTTTGTTCGTAGTTGCAGAATGCTCGTAGGTACTGTTCTAGCTCTTGATTGACTCTTTCCGTTTCTCCATCTGTTTCTGGGTGGTAGGCGGTTGATAGCGCTGTTGTTACTCCTAGCTTTTTCCATAGTTCCTTTGTGAATCTGGCCGCAAATTATGGACCTCTATCGGACACAATCTTCCTTGGAAGTCTGTATCGTTTCCAGATGTTTTTCATATAGAGGTCAGCGGTTCCTTCGGCGTCTATGGTTTTATCACATGGGGTGTAAACAACGCTCTTGGTGCTTCTGTTTACTGTTATGTGAATGGCGTTATACGGTCCTACTTGGGGAAGATCCATAATGAAATCCATTGTGACTGTTTGCCAAGGTCCTTCTGGTATTTCGTTTAGAATAAGTGGGGTGCGTGTGGGATGCGTGATGTTTTTGGTATATTGACATGTTGCACATCCTGTTACGTATTCCTTTATGAATGTGGGCATTCCTGGCCACCAGAAGTTGTCTGATACTAGGACATAGGTTTCCCATCTTCTTGGGTGTCCAGCTGCTGGTGAATCATGGTATATTTTTGTGATTTGTCTTTTAAGTTCATCGTCTGGTGGAACATATATTTTTCCTCTATGCCAGATAAGGTTGTCTTCGTAATTCCACTCTTGTAAGCCTTTTGAGACTGCTCTAGGTCCTGATGCTTTGATAAGCTCCATTGCTTCCGTTACTTCTCTATCTTTAGCCGTGACTTCTTTTAGCTTTCGTCTCAGCTGGCTGTCAAGCATTTCAACTGTTCCTTGTCCTGTCGTGCTTTTAATGAACATTTGGGGTTGTAGTATCACCTGATCTTTGTTGTCAGATTTTACCCCCTCTTTCAGGTCTGGACACCTGGACAGAGCATCGGGTTGGTGGGTAATGCCTGGTTTGTGAACGAGGGTGAAGTCGAAGCGGGAGAGGAAGAGTGACCAATGTGCTTGGTGGCGGGAAAGAGTTCTTGCAGTAGTGAAGTACAGGAGGTTCTTGTGGTCGGACCAAATCTCGAACGGGTGTTGTGCACCTTCAAGGTACACGTGCCAGTGATCAAGGGCGTGTATAACAGCAAGTAGCTCCTTATCGAAGATATCGTGATTCCGCTCGGCCGCATTGAAAGATTTGGACAAGTAAGCGATAGGGTGCCACCCATCATTGGGCGTTTCTTGCGATAGGATGGTGCCAGAAGTGAAGTCCGATACATCAGTCTCAAGTCGGAATGGGTGATTACCGTCTGGGTAGATGAGGACGGGAGTAGATGTGAAGCAATGCTTCAACTGTTCAAAGGCTTCGTTCCTCTCATGAGTCCACTCAAATGGTACATCCTTCTTTGTGAGGTCGTTGAGAGGTCAGGCCGTGGTAGCGAAGTCTTTGATGAATCTGCGATAGAAGTTTCCAAAGCCGAAAAAAGACTGTACTTCTTTCAGGTTCTTCGGGGTTGGCCAGGCGGCAATTCCATCGACCTTGACCAGGTCCATGGATATATTATCCACGGAGATGATAAACCTGAGGTATTCGACTGTGTCCGTCTCAAAGGTGCATTTAGAAGGCTTCAGGAACAAGTCGTTGTCCAAAAGTATTTGCATGACCTGGGTCATCACGCGCCTATGTTCTTCAATGGTCTTTGTAAACACCAGGATGTCATCCATGTAGACTGCAAGGACTTGCGCAACAATGAGGTCATGGAAGATGATGTTCATCATAGTTTGAAAGGTGGTGGGTGAGTTGCAAAGACCAAAGAACATTACAAGGCATTCAAACAGGCCGAATTTAGTTATGAAGGCTGTCTTCCATTCGTCACCTTCTGCTATTCAAATGTTGTTATACCCCCATTTGACATCAAACTTGGAGAAGATCCTTGCTTTTGATTTGGCAATGGTTCTTATTACGTCATCAATCAGGGGTAGTGGGTATTTGTTTTTTACTGTCCACTCATTCAGTTTCCGATAATCTCGAACCAGTCGTAAGCTTCCTTCCTTCTTTTTTACGAAGAAGAAGGGTGACGCTTGTGGGGATTTGGATATTGTAATGGTTTCCCGCTTCAAGTGTTCTTGAAGCATCTCGTGTAGCTGGTCTTCTTTTTCTTCTGTCAAGGGGTATAGCTTACATACAGTTGGTTCCCATCCTGGTTTCATATCGATCTTATGGTCCCATCGTGAATGTTCTGGAAGTCGTTGCGAAGCTTCCTGACTGAAGATTTTGGCGAATCATTTAAGAATGTATGCCTGGACTATTTCCTCAATAGGTCATTCTGTTTTTGTTTTGTTTGCTTTTTCTGCCATTGTTGTGACTTGTTTCCAATGGAACCAATGTGAATTGCTTCGAGGGGATGCACTTCTAGTGGATCTTGGTAATACCATTCTTCATAGAATTTGGAGAAGAAGGTGTCTTCAGTTTTGTTTTTTTCTAAATCATCTTCTATTCTGGAATGCCCAACTGTTCTGTTTTTTCTTTGCTGGGTAGGTGCTAGTGCTTGTATGGTGAATTTAGGTCGGCTGACTAGGCACATGGTAGCGCAAGTTGAGAACGTGAGACTATTTTTTACCCAATTGATTTGTGGGTTATGTTCATGTAGCCAATCCGTTCCTAGGATTATATTTTCCCCTCCTAGGTTAGCGGTGATGAGCATGTACCTGCACTAGGGTCCGCGGGAGGTATTCGGGAAGCTTTGGGGAGATTCCGAACAGTGTTAGACAAGTACCGAAGATGCCGACTTGCACCGAACACAGTCGGTCCCCACCCGACCGACCGCAACCCTCCAAAGGATGTTCGGCAGCACTTGGGTTAGTTCGCCCACACTTCACGTACTTACCATGACCACACAGGGGTGTTACGATAGGTGTTTACGAGATCAGAGCCAGTCTTCCGTGTTGGCCGATGTGCTCCATGAGTCGGTCGGTCCTTATCGCTTATCTTCCCGACTTCCACATGGTCAGTCAAACATGATCTTGCACCATTTCTTGGCTACCCTGGTCGTACGATACCTCTTCTTTATTTTTCATTGGTTCTCCAACGCCTGTTCCGTCTACCTACGCTCGGGCGATGGATCCCAAACGTTCGGGATTTCGCCATTGCTGATTAACTTTTACCTTGTCACCTTCGGAACCCATATGGACATCTCACCTACCTTCTTATCTTCTCTGATTGCTAAAGGCTTGGCACCCATTCAACATCTACTCTCATTTCTTGTTTAATATTTTACTTAGAGGCTCTGTTTACTATAAAAACCTACATACACCTCTGGAATAAACCAGCTTTCGCACCCCACAGTTCAGAGCTCATTCGCACTTGTCTCAACCATCGAAATCATCTTCGTTGACTTCCAAAAACTTGCCATCCTCGTCGTTTGGCCTCCTTCGCGTTCATACTCGTCTCTTCGCTCGTACCCCCGTCCTCCCTCGTATATTGTCAGAGTCCTGTGTGGCTCTTGAAGCACGTAGTTGTCGGTCGCGACACTACCTTCTCGTTACCGACCGCATCGCCGATATGACCGACCGAACGTTCGGTCAGTGTTCGGCACAGTCCCGAAACCGTTCAGGTGCTATAATCTCACACTCCCCGATTGCTTCTCAGTACGCCTTCAATTCCTAAAGTCATCACTTACAATTCCTTGTGTATCAGATACTAGCTCCAGCACCCCTGCAATAGAGGTTGTTTTAGTGTTGTGCTCAGCACTTAGAGCCACCTCTAGCGTATCAGCGGCTAGTAATTTGCATTATTTGTCGTGATAATTGCCTTCTTCATTTATCATTCTCATAAGCAGGCAGGCTTTGTCAGTGATTTTTCCTCCATCATTGGCTGTTCCGTCCACGTTAAACACAGGGATAGGTTTGTTGATTTTCTGCATCAGTATGTTATTGTCCAAACAAAATTGTTTGTCGATGAGAAGCCCTTCTGCTCCTGAATTGATTAATACTCGGGCTTTGGTGGTTCCCTCTTTGTGTTTCAAGTGCACGTTTATCCTCATAAATGATTTCTGATTGGATTTAGTAAGCCGTATGAATGTTTTTACAGGGGGATCTGGAGTGGGTCTACGGTACACCGGAGCCGTAGGCCTATTTAAAAATCCAATTCTTTCCGCTTGCTTATCTCGCTCAATTCCTGAAGGAGCGCTTCCTGCTCGTCCCATCTCATCTTTCCTATAACCCTTTGGATCTCTTCTCGGCTAATCTCAGGCTCCTCCTCATGTACAGGCGCATCCGGTCCGGGTGCATGGGCTTGGCGAGCTGCAAGTCTGGCCCGGAATGGGTTAGTCGTCGCCATGCTTCTACCTTGCACTGTAGTGCCTCCCTAAGTACTGCCTGGAGTTCCTGCCGAGAACGCTCGGCCATAGCCGCTTCCTCTGCCTCCCATCCTGCTGCTGGCCTGAGCCGAGCGGTTCCCCACCATTCTACTACCCTATTGAACATGTCCAGTTGACCCTTCATATACCCTAGATGAACCCCTGACAGGGCATTGATTTGCCATGTGTCCTTTCTGGCGACAGTAAAAGCCCCCACCCTTCATCCTGAGGTGGTTGCGCTCTTCGTCTGTAAGGGTCGTTCGGACTGTATCTATGGCCATGGGGATGACAGAGTTGTTCATAGATGATGGAGTGTTAGAGGAGTTGTAACGGAAGGGGTTGTTTGGTCGAACGGCAGCAGAGGGTACGGAGCTTTTTATGCTTTGTAGCTCCCTCCATTGGTTATCGAATCTTTGGGTGTATTTTACCCAATCATCCATGGTTGTTGGCATATCAGGAAGTCTGTAGATTTGTTTGAGAATTTCCGGGTGTATGGCTCAGTGGAAATAATTGATGGTAGATTCGAGATCGAATCCACTTTCTCCTGCTATCATGAGGTAGTCCGTGACGAACTCGTCCGCTGATTGCTTTCCCATTCTCATTGTGAATAATTTCTGTCTCACCTTCTGTTCGAGACTTTTATCTTTGAATGCAGTGGCTAATTCTTGCAAGAAGTCTTTGAACGTTCCCCATGCTTTTTTGGTTTCCATTGCTTTGTACTCACGGAGTTCTCTGTCGAAGTAGTATTTTTGTGCAAATAGTGAAGCTGTTCCTTCCCTCATATACGACAGGACCATGAGTGTCTTGTTCATGTCCGTGTCGTACTTGGTCGGGTTGGCTAGAATGTACATATGACATTCGTAGATCCATTCTCTGTACTTTGACCTTGTTCCATCGAAGTCTTTCGGCTTGTTTCCTTTATCTGACATTTCGTCTTCATTGTCTGTGGTTCCTGTGATCAATAAGGGGTTTAGTTGTGGATTCAGATTTGTGTTCAGATTCGGTTGACTTGGTCCTGCTACAGGCTCTGGGTCTTCTTCGTCGATTGGGGTTAGTACTCCTGCGGGAATTGGGGTGTCTTCGATATCTTCTTTAGGGATATCGACTGGTGATAAGACAGGTCTTGTTTGGGTGGGGGAGTCAACAGTTCTGAGGGGTGCTTTTCTATCTTCCCAGAGTACTAGTGGGGTGTCAACTGTTTTTCCGCTATTTTGTCCTCATACATAGACCCAATTTCCCTTGGAAGTTCTTCTGATGGGTTGTCCAAAGTAGACAAATGTATCCGAGTGTTTCAGGTAGTCAGTTCCGTGCGGAACTCGCCCTACGTGTCTTCCTAAACCTTGGGAAGTCGTCTTGTTAGATCAAAGAGCCCGCGCTAGTCTCGACCTGATCAAGGTTTGAGGGTCAAGGCAACAGCAGCTCTTCCTAGTCGGGTACAGTATTTCTGCTTCTGGTATAGTACCGTACGTAACGTCAAGTGCAATTGTTTCGGTCGTACCTCCACTGGGTTGATTACCAGATAGAAGTATTCTACAACCTGAAACGACGCACACTGAAGTGGAATCGTCCAATTGTTCGCTCGAAGTGTATAGTAACTATTACGGTCGACGGACACTTGTCTTTTGGGACTGCCTAGCGCCGTATGTAACTAGCCAGTGTTCTGCTGCAAGGAAAGGGCGGAGTAGGATTGTGTGAAGAGAGGCTATCCAGATGTCACGAACGGCTGTTCGAGATGAGGAGATCCTAGGCCACAAACAATACTGAAGAGTTTGGAAAGAGTCGAGGGACTGATCAGACTAATGCCTTGGAATCGAAGGAGACTGTGTGAACAGCGGTCCTTAGATTGGACAGAAGTGGATAGCCTAAGGCTTCCACTCTACGCTGCAGTATCTATAAATATGTACAAACAGGAGCATGGACCAAGTATCAATAGAGCAGGAACACGAGGTATGGTTGGGAGAAAGGTCCTACGAGTCCTTATCGAGAAGGTGAGAAAAGTAGGTAAACATAAGCAAGGCGTTTCGTAACAGCGACACTGCAAAATTGTGGCGCCTAAGCGACGGCTATGCTCACGTGCTCCTCGCTTATGCTCGCGTGGGCCATGTAAGAAACCACGCAAGCGAAGCGAGCGCCATGACAAATTTGGCGAGCGGAGTGAGCTGTCCCTTCAGCCACCCGGCAACCTCCACAACTGAAGCGGGCCATGTCTCGGCAGCTGTCGGGGTTTCACATGGCATCCCGGTCTGCCCGGCAATGCTGGCAACTGGAGCAGGCCGTGCCTCGGCAGCCATTGGGGCTCAAAATGGCATTCTTGTTATGATCACGTTCTGTCGGGCCTTAACGGCGGTCTATACCGACACGATCATCACAAATATCAAGCGGCCTCACAAGGAGAGGCATACAACAAGGTACAGATAGTAACCTTGGTCATCCACTCCCAACGGATCACCTTATCATTGGTCGAGTATCACGAGCCATATTGCGACGGGCATAGAATGCCGCCTTACAAACTACTCACACACCGGGCATTAACCTCCTAGTCTTTCCTGGCCAGAAGGAGACGAACGGAGAAGCACAAGAGTAGTCGTTATTGAGAGAGACGACCTGGGGAATACCTACGGATACATATACGGTATTCTCACGCCCTATTTCCTAAAGTAGTATAAAAGGCCCATAGAGTAGGCTGAGGTTCTTCAGTCTATTCTCTTTGTTCGTTGTGGTCTTCCTACCACAACACCTTCGTTCCCCTGTATCTTCACATACAGGGATCTTCGCTCTCTGTAGTCTTCACACTACAGCCTTCATTGCTACATCGCAATACACTTCTGGCTCCTGTGCTACACATACAGTCGAGACCATCGTTCCACACATCCTCCACGAGTGACCTAGGGAAGAACCTCCTACTCTTGGGGTTACCGAACGAGCAGTTCATAACACTAGAATAGACTCTTCTGCCCCTACCTTGCTCGCACTAGCTTGCTGCCACACTCTCTCTCATAACCTTGCTCAGTGGGGATATAGACCCCCATCGAGAAAGCGTTACTGCACACACTCTGGAGCAAGACCTAGGCCAGGAATATCCACCCGGCACTAGACGTATCAATAACCAACTCCGTCATAACAATCGCCCTATCCGGCACGAAGGGGATTTCTGGGTCTACGAAGACAATAACAGATACGCCCCTCCGAATTACGATAACTGCTCATACCGAAACGGGCGTTATTACTTCACCCTTGAAGATGGAACAGAAAAAGAGGATATTTGGAACGAAACAGAAGCTCAGTGGGAACTAGCCCCACAATACAGGGAACCGGCGCCGGTAATACCCGAAGACTCGGAGCAAGAGGAAACAACCTCATAATCAGACTCCGACTCACCAGACCAAACACCGATCAACACCCGAAACGAACCACTCGCTGAAATGTCGGGACAAGCTTCAACTTCTACAGACCCCCCTTCCGCAACAGTACAACCCGGAAGAGGAAAAGTCAAACTCCCAGACAACTACACAGGCAACCGCATCGAATCCCAGAAATTCATGCTCCAATGCCTTCTTCTTTTCGCAGCAGAATCCGATCAGTACAAGACCGATCAAGACAAGATATCCCTGGTGCTCTCATACATGAGATATGGCATGGCAGGAGCTTGGGCCAAGAACTTCCTCCTCAAATCAGTAGGAGCGGACCCTCCCACCGATCTAGGAACTTGGAGGGACTTTTTAACAAAGTTCAAACTCCAATTCAGGGAGACAGGCAAGACCAACAAAGCGCGAAGCGCACTCATGGCCTTCTCCCAAGGACGAATGATGGTTGATGAATACTCCAACCAATTCATTCTCATCGCCGCCGATGCCGACATCTCCGACAAGGAACAAGTCCCTTACTTCCAACGCAGGTTAGACCCGCGCGTCATGGACAAGATATATGACAAAGAAGTACAGCCAAAGGACACCATTCAGGATTGGATTAATACAGCCTGCGAAATAGACGGACGACTCAGAGCTAGATCTGCTCAAAAAGCCATCCTCGCCAACTCCACCTCCTTTCGCAGCGATTACTTGAATCGCTTCCACACTCAACCAGCCGTCCGCTACAACTCCACCACCGCTCCTCGAAGAATGAACAACCAGGTGGTTGACATGGACATCGACGCTACCAGGAAGCGTAACGCCGAAAGTCAAAAGAGAAAATTTGACGGCAAGCGAACCCCCCGTTGCTCAAATTGTGGACAATTAGGGCACTCTGGCGCTAACTGCTGGTCGGCCCGCAGAGGCGTTCAACCAGTTCGAGGAAACTCGAAGAGACGCTTGGGTACGACAGGGAGAAGAAACCGCGCAGCTGATTTGGAAGAAGAAGATGACGCACCCGCTATGGGAAACCAAGCGGGAATTTATCGAAGAATGGAGACAGAGAATGTTCATTGCAACGACCAGCGGGTACCACAACCTGGTCCTTCGATGGAACGTCCTCACTCTGCCCCATCCGGACGACCCCAAAACGACCATGGGCGACGCACTATGTTACCTAACGGACGACGGGGAGATGGAAGCATTAGTCATTCTGCTCGAATCGGAGCAGTGCTAGGAGAGTTAGGAGAAGAGGAAGCAAGAGAAGTGATCTTGGGACACGCGGAGCGTTTTTCCTGACCTCTCCCTCACCAGCGAAGGAGAGAGGTCAAGAGCGACCCGAGTTTGACGCCCGCACTTGTATTTGTATCGGAGCAATGAACGACCGTATCATCACCCCCATATGCCTGAACGTGAAGGTATCAAACAGGAGTCAATACACTGGAGCAAAGGCAACCATCGACTCGGCATGCAAAGGGGTTATAGTAAATGAAACTTGGGTCAAAAGACATCGTTTCCCCACCTATACACTCAACAACCCCATTCGTGTCCGGAACGTCGATGACACCATCAATAAAGCAGGTCTCATCTGATCCGCCCTGGATGTGAACCTCACCATTCGGGATATCAATGGACGAACGCATACTGAGCGCGTCCAGATGTTTATCTCCAATCTAGGAAAGGACGACCTTATCCTGGGAACAGATTGGCTGAAATACCACGATCCCTCCATCAAATGGAGGCGACGTGAAGTGCACTTTGATCGGTGCCCCCAGAAATGCCAACAACTGCATGGGTTTACTAGGGCAAGGGAAGAACCACAAAATAATAGGCGGTTATCAGACGTGGAGCCACGGCACAAACCACGCATTAACGAGCGCGAAAAACAGCGCCTAGAACATCTCCAAAGATTATCGGAAGATGTAGGACTCCGCGATCATAGCGGAACGTTTGGTGTCCAACTACGAGCATACCTCAAAAGGAAATGGCTCCTAAAGGACATAAGGAAATACGCAGAAGAGAAATGAAAGGCTCAAGACGAGCCATCTCTTTCACCAAACGAGGGAGAACCTGATCTCCCAGATAAAACCTCAGGAAAACAGGCCATAGAGGAACCAGTTATTCGGAAACTGGCTCCCGAACCGTCAGGATTTGCCAGCTTCGACCAGGACTTGGAAGACGAAATCGTCGTCACCAATCTAAAGGAAAGAGTCCCCAAGGCGCATCACGAATTTTTGGACATTTTCAGCGAACGAAAGTCGCAGCGACTCCCAGAACACACTTATTAGGACCACGCTATAGATCTGAAACCGACTTTCAAACCTCAAGTACCAAAAATCTACGCCTTGAGCCCAGAGAAACATGATGAACTAGGGAAATTCATCAAGGAACACCTCACTCGGGGGACCATCCGTTGATCCACCTCACAAATGGCAGCTCCATTTTTCTTTATAGGAAAGAAAGATGGAAAACTGCGCCCAGTACAGGACTACCGCCATTTGAACTCGTACACCATCCCAAATGTGTGCCCCCTTCCACTAATCCAAGAACTATTGGACGTGATCAAAGGGGCCACCATTTTTAGCAAATTGGACGTACGATGGGGATACAATAACATACGAATCAAAAAGGGCAACGAGTGGAAGGCAGCCTTCATCACTCCGCTGGGTTTTTACGGACCCACAGTGATGTTCTTCGGCCTTACCAACTCACCAGCCACTTTCCAAGCCATGATGAATATGATCTTCAGAGAACTCATCACAGCCCGGAAGATAACCGTATATAAGGACGACATCCTCATCTTTTCCAAAAACATGGCAGAACATATTCAAGTCTTGAACCAAGTTTTCCAGATCTTACGCGACAACGACCTCTACTTGAAGCCAGAAAAATGCGAGTTTTATAAAGAAAAACTCCAATATTTGGGATACACAATTTCAAAAGACCATGTTGCTATAGAAGACTCGAAGGTGGATGCCATACAAGATTGGCCAATCCCGCGTACCGTCCGAGATATTCGCTCCTTTTTAGGTCTAGGAAATTTCTACAGGCGTTTCATCGATAAGTTTTCCCTTATCGCACGCCCTCTGCACGACCTCACCAAAAAGGACGCAAAATGGAACTGGACTTCGAAGTGCCAGGAAGCTTTCGAACGATTAAAAAGGGCATTTATCAGTAAACCCGTTCTGAATTACCCGGACCCCATGCATCCATATCAACTAGTAACGGATGCCTCACTAATTGCCTACGGAGCTACCCTCCTGCAAGAAGGAAAAGATGGCGACTGGTACCCAGTGGCATTCCTTTCTGGGTCATTTTCACCAGCAGAACGGAATTACGACGTCCACGATCGCGAACTCCTGGCCATCATAAAGGCGTTGGAACACTGGAACCACTACCTCGAAGGTGCACGACACCCATTCGAGATCTGGACAGATCACAAGAATCTGGAACACTTCCAAACGGCGCGAGACTTGTCACGACGACACGCCCGTTGGAGCCTTTATTTGAGCAGATTTGACTTCACACTCAGCTACAAAGCAGGGTCAACGAATCATTCCGATGCTCTGTCCAGGCATCCAGATCTAAGTGAGGGGGTGGAATCTGACAACAAAGCTCAAATTTTGCTCCCGGCCAACCTTTTTAACAAATCCGACGAAACACTGGTAGAACCGCCCCCAATACGGCATATTAAGTCCACGGAAATCGCATCCTCAGACCTCATCTCCCTCATCCGACTCTCAAAATCGGAACACGATGCCCTGACAAGGGTAGCCCTCGCCAAACTCTTGCGAGTAGGGCCACAAGGAATGAGAGGATTACTGGGACACTGGACACACGAAGATGGAATCACCAGACGAAACGGCCATATATGCGTCCCAAAAGATGATGCCATCCGAAGACTTATTGTCAAAACGCATCACGACGCACCCGCAGTAGGACATCCAGGGAGAACCAAAATGCTGGAAATGGTACAACGGCACTATTGGTGGCAAAACATGACAAAGTTCATTCATGAATACGTGGACAGATGTGTGGTATGTCAATCGACCAAGAATTTGACACACAAGACGCACCCTCCTATCCATCCTTTGGAAACCACCAACGTCCCTTGGCGATTCATCTCGACAGACTTCGTCATGGACCTACCCGAAAGCAAAGGGTTCGACTTGATCAACGTGGTGGTGGACCAAGGTCTATCCAAAGGCATAGTCATCACCCCATGCAAGAAAACAATCACGGTAGAAGAAACAACCGTGCTTTTCCAGAATAACGTTTTCAATCGACACGGGTTGCCGACCAAAATAGTATCCGATCGCGGCCCTCAATTTGTGGCCAAGTTCACCCGAGAACTCTGGAAGCGGCTAGGAATCACCGCTGCTCTCAGCATGGCTTATCATCCCCAGACGGATGGAGAGACAGAACAAGTAAACCAGGAAATCGAACAGTTCCTGAGAACGTTCTGCAACTACCACCAAGATAACTGGGTAGACCTTCTGCCGTTTGCCGAATTCTCGCACAATACGCGAAAACATTCAGCCACCGGGAAATCTCCTTTCGAAGTGCTATACGGGTTCAACCCTCCTTATTCAGCCGACACTGCGCTGGAAACAAAGGTACCCGCGGTAGCTGAACGTATTAAGGTGATCACAGAAGTCCAGAAAGAAGCTGCGGCCAGCCTACAAATAGCCAGCAATTACGCCAGAGACCGGGACCTCCACAGGAAACTTCCCCAGTGGAAAGAAGGAGACCAAGTATGGCTAGAAGGAACCCATATCCGGACAACCCATCCAAAGTTCAAACTCGCCCCTAGGAGGTATGGACCTTTCAGAATATTGGCGAAAATAGGAACCCTGGCATACAGACTTAAAATTCCCCAACACTGGAAGATCCACCCGGTGTTCCACGCCGCAACACTCACCAAATACAGGGAAACCGAGGCACACGGGGAAAACTTCGCAAGACCACTACCGGAGGTATTAAATAATGAAGAACATTACGAGGTGGAAATGATCGTGGACTCAAAAAGACAAGGACGGGGAACCAAGTACTTGGTCAAGTGGGCGGGATACCCCGAGGCAGACAACACCTGGGAACCCTACACTCTCCTAAAAGGAACGGCGGAAGAAGCTATGAAAGAGTTTCATGACCAATACCCTGACAAACCTCGTCTGGGAACATCCTGAAAAGCGGAGGAAAACCCTATAAAAGAGCGACCAGAAAGCTCTAAAATGGACCATCTTCCCCCACTTCTCAAACTCATCCCTTTACCCGAATGCTCCTCCACGAAGACCACGATGCCTCGTCTCCATCTAGAAACTCCTCCCCCGATGTCGTCCTTATGGTCTCCAATCCAGACATCGGACGAGTGGATAGAGGAACCAGTCCTCACCCAGGCAATGCTGGACGAATTGATAGAGGAACCAGTCCTCACCGCCCAGAGCCCGCCGTCGTCACCCTCACTCCACACCTCAATAACTTCTCAGATAACGACGCCGAGGACTACACCAAGTTCAAAGAAAGAGAAAGAACTTGCCAACCGTCACCCTAGGGGGCCCCACGAGATGCATCACGGAATGAAGACCCTGATGACAGAAACCTACCGGGCCCTGATGAAGTACCAGTGGGAGTTCCACCTCCTGCTACAATCACGGCGAGCATTGGAGCTGCAGGTCCCTCGGGACTACGAGCAAGAACAACAGCTCAACTCCCAAGCCATGGAGAAACTGAATCGATACCAGTTATACAGGGAGCTGCATCTCCGCCAGTATCAACTGGTGGACAGGTTCCCCGCTCCATGGGAAGAACTACCCTTAGTACAGATCCTCACTTCGGAGAATTGGAGCGACACGCGGACGCGCTCCTCCAGCGAAGCACTATCTCCGCAGTAATACAAATGGCCACAGCCATGGCCCTACAACGACTCGCTAATTTCGCTGCAGGGCAACCCGGGAATGAGAATAGCGACATACCTCGACAACTGGCTAGTGCCAGTCTCCAGATCAGAGGACTCGCCCTCCAAACAGACCCTGACACAGCCTCTTGGTACGAACATAACGACGGACGACCACGAGCTCTCCTCATCCATCCCGATGAATTCTCCCAGTATGTCAACAGAGAGCTCCTTCCAGCTCTCCTCTTCACCGGAGAACTGGGCGCCGTCCAACCAAGTAGAACCGACCCTTTCCACGTTGTCGTTTGGAATGTACCACGTCCCGGAGAACGTCCCACGCCTGTACCAAATTTAAGAAGGACTCCGCACACGGTCGTGGAATGCCCTTCACCGAGGCCAAGGGAAAGTCGTACAGCACATAGCAATCCCACGACGTCCTCCTCTCACTGGGTACGAAATTTTCCCTTATCCCATGGGGGTACCGACGAGGAGGAACCACCCGTCTATCGAAGAAACGAGGGAAGAAGGAGTCGAGGAACCCAGGCAACCCTCCGCCGCGGAACAACTACTGGCGGGAGTGTTCGACACCGGCTTGGAACGCCTCCTAATAGTGCTCGATTTCGTACAGACGAGGGACAGAATAACCGAAGTAGCCGCAGAACTCGCCGCGCTGATTTGGAGGCTAGAAGAAATCACTCTTGGACTCGATCCGAGCTCGATGCATGGGACGCTTTAGACGACCCTGGGAATTACGACGACACCGATCCGTATTATCGGCCTGATGAAGGAGGCGATGGGTACCAAGGACCCTATGACTACTAGAGAAGGGCAGTCGCGGAGCGAGAAAGGGGGTAAGGAAGTTGAGGAACTCCTTCCTCAATAGAGGGTCCGAAATGACCTTAAACTACCCTCGTCTGCAACGACGTAAAACTAGGATCGTCCCTCAAGACGTTAAACTGTACAACCTCGTCCGAAAGAGACGTTAAACTACCCCACGTCCAGAATGACGTCTAAACTATCGGACCTGCATGTCTTAAAACTGTGAAAAGATAAGAAGGCAGGGGAAGTACCTGACCATTAGTCCTAGGTTCAAATGATGGTACGAATCAAGGACAACAGCGGGCATAATTCCACGTACGACCTACGGCGGAACCTTTCACATCCTCGCTGTCAAGGAGTAATCTGACAGATGCATCGAGCGTCCCATTTGGATCCTCAGTTTTACAGGGTTTTTTCCGCATTAGGGAACCCTCTACATGACATATACTCTACTCGTAGGTGTCGACAAGCCGGCTCTTCGCCTTGGTACAGCGAAGTGCCCATACATAACCGGTTGCAAGTCCGAGCCAAGAAATTATGATGCATAACTTGTTAAGTGAACCCTCACCGTCAAGGTCTGACGGGTGTTTTGGGACGTCCCACTTTGGATCTCCCGTTTTACAGGATCGTTTCCGCATTAGGGGATCCTACTGCTGGCGCATGAGATGATGTAGAGAACGGGCCACCTCTACTTCACAAGTCTTCCTACAAGGAATGCGAGGCCATAAAAGACATCCGGAACGATGTAAAATTACCAAAGGCTTGGTCCGCAATGACTATAAACTACTAGGGTCCGCAATGACGTTAAACTAGTCATCGTCCGAAACGACGGAAAACTACCCTCGTCCAAGATGACGTAAAACTACCATTGACCCAAGGAGCGTGGTTGCATTCTGGTGAAGCGCGGATTTTCGGGAGGATCCGCGGCGCAGAACCCTGCCTGTAAGAGGTCGAAGCGCTTCCGATATTCACTCGCTTTTCGGTAAAAGAATATCGGGTCGTCTTGGTTCAAATCCAAGCGAGGGGTCTGGGGACATGGAAGAGCAAGCATCTCTTCATGGCGCGCTCAGTCTAGTCCTGGAGTCGAAGTACAAGAAATTCCGCTCCAAGACCTAGTCAGGAGGCAACTAGGACACGTGCCTCGAGTCGAAAATCTAGTAGGAAGGGACTAGATCACGCGACTCTCGTCTGGCCTACATAGCGGAAGAACGACAAGAGCGGGCCACTCATATGGAGAAGTCTATTCCGCCAATCGTCCACAACGACGATAAACTACGAAACGTCCGGGATGACGTTAAACTAAGCATTGTTTTTCCACAATATTTGTGGCGAAACAACGTCCGAGATGACGTTAAACTATTGTCCTCTCAAGAATGAGGATTGTAATGGATATCTCGACCAGATGTCCATTCGTCCACAATGACGATAAACTATTGTCCCTTTCCACATAGGGATTGTTTGAGGCCATTTTTGCTATGAAAATGGCGTCAACGTCCGCAACGACGGTAAACTACGAGCATCCGAAATGATGTAAAACTATCGTCCCTTCGTTCTAGGGATCGTGCGTGGTGGAAATTAAGGTTATCCCCACGCATCCGAAACGACGCTAAACTACTTGTCCCTTCAAGCATAGGGATTGTGCGTGGCGATCTTGACAAGATACCACGCGTCCACGACGACGTTAAACTAGTGCCCCTGGACCTAGGGGTTGTCATTGATGTCCAATCCCCTGGACACCAATGCATCCGCAATGACGGAAAACTATTTGCTCCTTACCATATAGGAGTTGTGGATTGACCGCCATGCTATCAATCATCCGCAATGACATTAAACTACGTGCTCCTTACCGAATAGGAGTTGTGGTTGTTGACCACGACCTTGGTCATCAACCGTCCGAGATGACGTTAAACTATTTGTCCCTTTTGGTACAGGGATCATCGGTCGACATCATTCTTGACGAGAATATGTCGACAACGTCCGAAATGACGGTAAACTACCTTCATCCTCAGAAGGAAAAGCCTATCGTGACTCGAGGGACATAGTCAGACGATAGCTCGCCTAAAGCACGGCGTTAAACTGCAAGTCGCCTACCTCACGGCGTTAAACTGAGCGGTCTCCTAATATTGAGATGTATAAGTTATCTGGTTTGATATAGCATAAACCGTTCCCATCATGCCTCAGTGGAAACCTGCGGGATAAAGTCTGGTCTAGGGCCCTATGCACATAACCGATGAATGGTCCGGCGTGCAGAAACATCTTTCCCCACAGATATTCCATGTTGATGATGAAGAAGGTCCGCAAATGACCTAGAAGTAAACTACAAGGCAGCGCAGGGCGCCTTAATCAACATCTGAAACGATGTAAAACTACTGTCGTCCGAAACGACGTAAAACTAGGTATCGTCCGCAACGACGATAAACTACGGAACGTCTGGCAAGACGTTTAAACTGCTATCGTGGATATATCTCACAACCCGACAAATATATCAGCTGTGGTCTTAATGTCCATTCGTGCAAACGAACGGGCCGATCAGGAGAAGGAGTCAGACTCCTCCTTACTCCTCACGGCACCCTTCAAGTCTAATTCTCTTCACATCCTTGCCTCAAACCCAATACGCATAGTGAATCAAACAAACTCTGGACGTCGAACTAACTCACCGGAGATGAGCCCACCGTATGGGGGCGATACTGCTTGGGATTTATGGCTGCAACCTCACCGGAGATGAGCTCACCGTATGGGAGCAATACTGCTTGGGACGTTAAGATGGTAGTCTGGGGAAGTAGGCCTAAGCCTTTGTAAAGCGATCAACCTACTTGCCCGTGGACGCCATCCTCTGAACGCCAAGAGGAACAACAAAAATCACGAGGATAACGACTATCCTGGAAACACTGAGGTTTGGCCCTCGGAGAAGGAAGAAGAAGAACCTGATGACACGAATTGGAACCCACATGCTAGAGTTTCTACTCATCCATACACCACTCGCATTCATACGCCTTTCTTGACACCTGTCCGGAGACCGACTGGACTGACATCCTGGCTTGAGAACCCAGGAAAGATCACAATAACCGAGGGATGAAGGAAGAACATCCTACAGAGCAGAGGTTTGGTACCCTCACGACTCGACAAACAAACAGCTCAATGGAGATGGAAAACTCCTAGAGGATCAAATGACGTAAGTCGGTCTTCCTCCCAGAAAACGAAGTCATGTCCCGGAAGTCGCATCCGGAGACCAATTTTTGGATCAAGAAAGCAAATCGTATATGGAGTGGCGATGAAGCGCAAGGTGCTGTCCTACCAGGCGAATAGGACGTAGAAAGGGGGTATTGTTATGATCACGCTCTATCGGGCCTTAACGGCGGTCTATACCGACACGATCATCACAAATATCAAGCGGCCTCACAAGGAGAGGCATACAACAAGGTACAGATAGTAACCTTGGTCATCCACTCCCAACGGATCACCTTATCATTGGTCGAGTATCACGAGCCATATTGCGACGGGCATAGAATGCCGCCTTACAAACTACTCACACACCGGGCATTAACCTCCTAGTCTTTCCTGGCCAGAAGGAGACGAACGGAGAAGCACAAGAGTAGTCGTTATTGAGAGAGACGACCTGGGGAATACCTACGGATACATATACGGTATTCTCACGCCCTATTTCCTAAAGTAGTATAAAAGGCCCATAGAGTAGGCTGAGGTTCTTCAGTCTATTCTCTTTGTTCGTTGTGGTCTTCCTACCACAACACCTTCATTCCCCTGTATCTTCACATACAGGGATCTTCGCTCTCTGTAGTCTTCACACTACAGCCTTCATTGCTACATCGCAATACACTTCTGGCTCCTGTGCTACACATACAGTCGAGACCATCATTCCACACATCCTCCACGAGTGACCTAGGGAAGAACCTCCTACTCTTGGGGTTACCGAACGAGCAGTTCGTAACAATTCTGGCACCCCACAGGGAACCTCACGGGGGAGCCTTATGGGCAGAACCTTTCATGGAATATGAAAAGGGAGCCTAATAGGGAAGACATATAGGCAGGATCTGGCAGAGGAACCTCATTGGGGAAACTTTTGAATGTCATCTTGCAAAATCTCATAGAGGGGCCTTATAGGGGAATCTTATAGGCAGAACATTATAGAATATCATGGGAACTAGACTTTATGGGCACTAAAAGTGGTATTCTAGCACCTTATAGAGGAGCTTCACAAGAGAGCTTCACTGGCAAGATCTTATAGAGGAACCTAACAGAGGAACATAATAGGTAAGCATAATGGAGAAACCTAACAGGGGAATATAATAAAAGAACCTATATAAGAGAACCTTATATGGTCCATATCTTGGCAGCTGTTGGAGCTTGAAATAGTATCCCAGCACTTTATGGAAAAGCCTGATAGGTATGACCTTATAGAGGAACTAAATAATGCTTGACAAGAGAGTCTTATATAGAGAATATTATGGGCAGGACCTTATAGAATATGATAAGAGAGCTATATTAGGGCAAAATAATTTATGGGCACTGGACTTTATAAGCACTAAAATTTACAGGCACTGGACTTTACAGGCACTGGACTTTACAGGCATATGAGACTAAGCACTGTAACAAAAACTCAGATTAAGCATGGTTGCGCCGTCGCCACGCGATGGGTGAAAAGCTAGTCCCTAAATAGAGGGCAACACTGCAAAATTGTGGCGCTTAAGCGACGGCTATGCTCACATGGGCCACGTAAGAAATCACGCGAGTGAAGCGAGCACCATGACAAATTTGGCAAGCGGAGCGAGCTGTCCCTTCAGCCGCCCGGCAACCTCCGCAACTGGAGCGGGCCGTGTCTCGGCAGCTGTCGGGGTTTCACACAGCATCCCGGTCTGCCCGGCAATGCTGGCAACTGGAGCAGGCCATGCCTCAGCAGCCATCGGGGCTCAAAATGGCATTTTGGCACCCCATAGGGAACCTCATGGGAGAGCCTCATAGGGCAGAATCTCATAGGGAAATTTAATGGATGGGACCTTATAGGGAGCTTTATATAGGAATTTTACAGGAAAGACCTTATAGGATATAATAGAAGAACCATATAGGGATATTGGGGCATAAGACTTTATGATAGGGCGTGAGAATACCATATATTTATCCATAGGTATTCTCTAAGTCGTCTCTCTCCATACAACTACTCTTATGCTTCTCCGTTTGTCTCCTTCTGACCAGGAAAGACTAGGAGCTCAATGCCCGGTGTGTGAGTAGTTTGTAAGGTGGCATTCTATGCCTGCATGCAATATGGCTCGTGATACTCGACCAATGATAAGGTGATCCGTTGGGAGTAGATGACCAAGGTTATTATCTGTACCTTGTTGTACACCTCAACTTGTGAGGCCACTTGATATTTGTGGTGATCATGTCGGAATAGACCGCCGTTAAGGCCTGACAGAACGTGATCATAATAGTGTCCATTTTCCTAGGGATCCCTTTATTGCTTGTGAGCCTTCTCATAGTAATTGAGCCAGGGCTATCCTTATCAGAGCATCTTGTTCTGATCGCAAATGTTGGATAAGGGAAATGAGGTCCAAGGATATGATTTCCGTGGATTTAACGTGCATTGTCGGGCTTAGTTCCACCAATGTTTCTCTAGAATCGTTAAAAAGTTTGGCTGGGAGCAGAATTTGAGCTTTGTTGTCAGACTCCACCTTCTCACTTAGATCTGGATGCCTGGACAGACCATCTGAGTGATTGGTTGATCCTGCTTTGTAGCTGAGGGAAAAATTAAATCTGCTTAAATAAAGGCTCTAACAGGCATGTCTTCATGACAGATCTTGCACTGTTTGGAAGTGTTCCAGGTTTTTGTGGTCTGTCCAGATCTTGAAAGGGTGTTGTGCTCCTTCAAGGTAGTGGTTCCAATGTTCCAAGTCTTTTATAATGGCCAAGAGTTCACGATCATGGACATCATAGTTTCATTCTGCTGGGAAGAATGATCCAGAGAGGAAAGTCACTGGGTGCCAATCATCATCTTTTCCTTCTTGTAGGAGGGTGGCTCTATAGGCAATTAATGATGTGTCCATTACTAATTGGTACGAGTGCATGGGATCTGGGTAATTTAAGATGTGTTAGCTAATGAAAGCTTTCTTTAACCATTTGAAAGCTTCTTGGCATTTTGTGGTCCAGTTCCTTTTTTGTCCTTCTTGGTAAGGTCATGCAAAGGGTATGCAATAAGTGAAAATTTGTCAATGAAGTGCCTGTAGAAATTTCCTAGACCTAAGAAGGAATGAATGTCTCTAACCATACACAGGACTGGCCAATCCTTTATTGCATCCACTTTAGAGTCTTCTATGGCAATGTGGTCTTTTGAGATTGTGTATCCTAGATAATGGAGCTTCTCTTTGTAGAACTCACACTTTTCTAGTTTCAAGTAAAGGTCGTTATTGTATAAGATTTGGAAGACTTGATTCAGGATGTGGCTGTGTTCCACCATAGATCTAGAGAAAATGAGGATATTGTCCATGTATACTGTTATTTTCTGGGCCGTGATGAGTTCCCTGAAGATTGTGTTCATCATAGCTTAGAAAATGGCTGGCAAGTTGGTTAGACCAAAAAACATCACTGTTGGTTCATAAGACCCTAACGGAGTGATGAATGCAGCCTTCCACTTGTCTCCTTTTTTGATGCATATATTGTTGTATCTCCATCGCACGTCCAGTTTGCTGAATATGGTGGCCCCTTTTATTATGCCCAATAATTCTTGGATTAGGGGAAGGGGGCAAATATTTGGGATAGTGTGTGAATTTAGATGGCAGTAGTCCTATACCGGGCATAGTTTTCCATCTTTCTTTCCTATAAAGAAAAATGGGGCTACAGTTTGTAAAGTGGACCAGTGGATGGTCCTTCTGGTGAGGTGCTCCTTGATGAATTTCCCTAATTCATCATGCTTTTTGGGGCTTAAGGCATAGATTTTGGGCACTTGAGGATTGAACATGGGTTTTAGATTGATGGCATGGTCCTAGTAAGTATGTTTTGGGAGTCTTTGTGATTTTTGTTTACTGAAAATTTCCAAATATTTATGATGTGCCTTAGGGACCCTTTTTTTTAAGTTGGTGATAACGATTTCATCCTCTAGGTCTTGGTCAAAGCTGGCAAATCCTGACAGTTCTGGGGCCAATTTCTGGATTACTGGTTCCTCTATGGCAATTGTTCCTAAGGGTTTGTCTGGGAGGTCAGGTCCTTTCCTATCTGGTGAAAGAGATGGCTCAAGTTTTACTTGCATCTGGAAAACCACCCTCTTGTATTAAGCTCTAATTAGCTATAATTAATGCTCTACTATACTAAATTATAAAAAATTAGGATTAGACATTTTTAGCTTATCCCCCTCCTAAACCTGTTCTAATTAGACATAATTTTTCTAAATTAGGAATTATTAGGATTGATTATAGCTTGAAATTTCGGAAAAATCATAATAAATCAAGCATCACAGTTCTCATAGCCTTCTTATAGAGTCATGTCTATTAGAGCACTAGTTCAATACCTAAACACAGAATATACCTTATAACAAACTTGCCTTCTGCCAGTATTGAACCAACAACCTCATGTATACAGGCACCCGGGACAGATTCTCTAAGCCACTAAGCCACAAGGTCTAATATATAAACTCGGTAATCTAAATAAGTAGACATAATATAGGCAATCTCAACATCTCAAATCTTATTTAACATTTATCTTTCCTCTATCTTATAAATAAATAGGTCAATAAATACCCAAAAAGTCAGGCCTTTTAGGATTTAGTTTAAACACCAGCTAAGAAGATAATAAATCAATGGAAAATAAATAATACACTTTATATAGGGTAAAAACAAATTATATTATAGCACTTACACAATTTGGATTTAGAATGTGTAAAACTATGATTGAGTATAATATTCAATGGGACTCTACTAGTATAGACAATGCTACCTTGATTTGCAAATTTGATCAAAAACATGATTATGAATAATTAGCCATAATTAGCTCAAATTAGTATTATCAAGAATCATTAATAATTCAGATCCAATAAGAGAGAGGGGTTTTCCAAATGGCCACTAGTGAGGTGGAGGGTTGGGACAAGGGTATATATATGGCATGCCTATGTATAAATAAGCACAAGATTGTTAGAGATAATCTTGATATGCTTAGTGCACATATTTCCTACATAGCAGGCAAATATATTATTCTGGCACTATATACCAGCATGACTGTCTTTTCCATAGCCCGATAGCTAGAGAAAAACACCAAGTTTGAGAATCTTCTGTATAACAAGGCAATTGAACAATGTAGATGGCACTGAGAATTGTAGTATCAATAGTGATGATGATTGTGCGCTGCACAAGACAGTATTAACTACAGTACTAACAAACAAGGTCTACAAGGCTGCATATAGCATATCCCTAAGTCCAACCCACATGTTGTGTCCTATAATGACCAGTAGCAGGCATTGGCTAACAATGACAACTTTACCGATCTTGTGTGCAAGGCCAAGGTACCAAGGTCTTCATAGCCTCTTGTGGCAGCTGCCAAGCTGCTACCAAAGTGGCTGGGGGCATCAATGCACATTTCTCTCTTTCTATGTCCCTTTTAAAGGTAGCTGGAAAGTCAGCAAAAGAGCTGCAAGATTATGGTGCAGGTATATATGAAGGAGAGTAATATGCTGAAATAGCATAGAATGTGCCACATCTTTACCTTCTCATTGATAGAGCAGTAGTACTTACTATTTCCTACTAATAATCAAAGACTTCTTAGTATAGAATTAGTGCTAATATCATGAAATTAGAATCTAATCCAATGCTCACAATATGGTGCTCCCAATTAGATGCTATTAACACTTTAGATACTTTTAGATACTATTAGATATAATCCGGAGCTAATACAAGGAGGTGGTTTTCCAGATGCCTCCTACCCTCTATATTATGCATACAGCCCTCTACCCTTGCTATTACCCATACTGCACATGTGCATACCACCACTATCACCTTTAGACTGCCCTGCATCTAGTCACTCACACTATGCATGTAACCTGTAGCCCACAGCCTGCACCCTATTATTTCTGTCACTTATACCATATATATGCATGTCTCCACTGTCGCCTCCAAGCCACCTACTACTCTTGTGCCCAGTTGCCCATACTGCACATACATATACACATGTATGCAGCCCACTACCCACTCTTTCTATTGCCTATGCCACATATGTGCATATTGCCTATGCCATTGAAACTGCACATAGCCTACCACCTACTACCTCTACCTCCAGACTATGATCATATATACCACTGACTACACCTCTGCCTCTAGACCACCCACCACCCACAATTTCTGCTGCTGCACCATATGTGCACACACTGCTAACTATGTGTGCCACCACTCCCATATACTTATTTCATACTTAATATTACTATACCCATGCTATGAATTCATCTAACTTGGATCAATTTATCTAAAAATCTTGTTCTCATGCAAAAAAGCAACTTAGGCAAAAAAGATTGAAACAGGCAATCTAGAAATGTTGTGACAAATTTTGACTGTGTTTTATGACTTAAGCATTTCTAGTGTTCACAAAAGACAGCAAAAGGCTAGACAAATATCCATGATTTCACATTTCTCACAGCATTTTCAGTATTAGCAATCTGATATAATTGCTGTGAATTGATCTGCCTATATTTCCCTCGATTTCCCTCGACCGACTTTTGACTGGGCCTCGACACGGTGGTGGGTAGGAGTTCCCCAGCCCTGCAGTGGATGAGACCGCGTGACCTTGTCTGACACGTGACTGGTCGATGAGTTGGTCACTGTTGCGCACACTGGAGAGACAAGAGTGCTTGTCTCAGCAGCGGGAATAATAATCGACGCTTCCTCGCATCCTCCTCTTCGCAACTCCCGTCAGCGAACTCCACGTATCATTATAGAACGACCACACGATGTCTGGGATGGAGCCGCAACCTCTGAAATGGTTGAAATTAGCAGAGAGTACAGAGTTTCCAAGTGCGTACATCAGTGCATTTGGTTCTATCATCTCCTCACTATTCCGTCGCTAAGATAGTGGTAGCGGGCCTAGTAACCCCAAACGCAAGAGGTCCAGCTCCGATTCGGCACTTTTGGACGTGAAACGCCGCCGCACAATGAGCAGGGAGCAGTCTCCGAAGCCTAACGTGCCAAGTCTAGTCAAAAGTATTGAAGGAGAAATAATTTCATTGAACATAAGTGTGTCATCTCTATGCCTACCTTGATTTACATGCGCTTATGAGCCAGTTGCTGCAAAGATGAGAGTGTCAGCGAGGGGGGATATATTCGTATGTTTACGTTGCAGCAGTTCTCTTCTGATGTGCTGAATCTTTGGATCCTTAGATAAAAATCTGAAGAGAAAAAGGTCTATGTCAGAACCAGAGACTTTCAATTTGAAGCGTCGCAAATTAGCGAGTGGCAATCAGCCCATAACGTGGAACATTTCGAGTACTGTCAGGGGCGATAATGGAGGCGATACAATGGGTATGTCCATATTCTTGTCCGACTTCTGACCACATTTGATTGTTTTCTGCGCGAAAAGATAGCAAGGGCTACGTCAAGACCTCAAATCAAGCTCAAAGCATCGGCAAGATAGATCTTCCAGACAGCGCTTGTATGTCTGTGTTAACATCACTTCTCATCTCGCCCACTGATTTCTCACCTCCTCAAGCCATTGACCGCCCTGAAAACTTCGACAATCGTAACGCGAATCCGCTGTCGGTATCGGACGCCGACCGATGTCTCTTAACGCAGGAACTTTCTTCCGAGGCTTCAGTAGAACCATGCTATCTATTGAACCAGCGTCTGTGGAGTCACGGTGATCTGGTACGTTCTGACTCTACATTGAGTGAAGATCGGACTGCCTGACTTTGCACAGCTGACACGTTTGGAATGGGCCTGGGGGATGGAATACAACTCACTTGACCCGACATCAGAATCGAACAAAATTTACCGTATGTGTCGTCTAGATTGGTTTCGGATTATCGCTGACATTGTGTGCGGCCACAGTACGGCGTGACTGGTTAAAGTCGTTCGATAGTGAACGATGGCTACTTCTTCCCACACCCGAGATGGCGAAGAAAGTCAGTGCTCACCAGGACAGTTTCATGAGGAACTTAGCAACTCAATCAAGTCTACCTTCGATTGAGATGGTCTGTCGTCTCTGTTGTTCTAGTTGTGATCTTTCCGATCTGATCATTGCTCAGATCTACGACGGCGCCGAAACTTTCGAATATCGGATGCTATCGCTGGAAGACGTGGAACTTCGATCATTCAATCGGATTGATCGGCACGACTCAACGAGTGGGAGAAGCTTGCCAAGCAAGAGAACTGCTGCCGATCAGCAATCGACTCGACATTATCCTCCATTCTATACATTACCACCCCTTATATCTCGCGCAAAACCTCACTTCGTCATCTGCGACGCCGCTGCGAAGTTATATCAACGGTGGACTACTGGGCCAGACTTTGCCGCGAAGTTGAGGTCCGTTTGGCACGGGCATGATTTCGATCCCCTTTCCATGCCCATGTCGATACAGGCCGCATATAAGGCTTGGTTTACATGTGACGTCCCTTCAAGATTTGCTTCGACCCCCCGCGTTCTTGTCCTGATCCCCCCTCTCTATCCTTATCCAACCATCGCCGAAAAACAGCACATATCTAGAGCGTGTACCGGTCCATGCGTTCACAGTCGATCTGCGTGGAAGCCTACTCGCTGTCTACGCTGCTCAGGGTGGAGAAGATCCTCTGTAGACGACCCAAATTCAGCTCACTCTGATAGCCACGGGGGCGTTGAAATCGGCGAACAATCTGATCGGACGACTCAATATCGAGCGTATCTCAGGCTTGTCGCTCGCCGTGTCAACGATTGGCAATCGTGTTGCATGCAGCAGGTGAGGAAACGAGGGGGGTGGACATCTCGCGTAGTCAACGATAAGCAGTTAGGGGGATATTCTAATAAAAAAGCACGACGGACACTTTCGAGAATTGTATGAGTGGCATCAATTTTAAAGCCATCACACTTATGTTTTCGACGATATTTGTGTTATTGCGGTCCTCATTCCACTGTTGGCATACACCGATCTTCGTGGAAGGGGTTTAATGGATACATAGCGTCCGGCCGACCACAGACTGGCTTTTGGCTTCTAACCCAAGGTACAGCCATCATTGACCATAGGTCTGGCAAGCGTTGCTTTGACCACGCCCGCTTTGTCTCACTCTCACGCCTTGTTTCAGCCAAAGCTCCCTACTGCCACAGGGTCCACACTGGTAGCCACCGTCCACGCTACCACAGGGCACAATGGCAGCCACAATTATCCCTTAAAAGGCGGCTGAACCATGGATGCGATATCCAACACTCTCCCTCTCTTGACTCCATCGCTTCCCCTCGTTCTCACGTCCTGTCTACCATTGCACTCATCGTCGCTTCTCTCATATACTCGTGAGGCTGCCCATATTCCATAACAACCCGTCGATGTCCAGTGTGGCATTGCACATCTTACCACGGAATGGGTCGATCCAGTCCTTCAAATCCTACAAAGATAGAACTGCGAACGTCGTCAAAGGACAGTCGATGCACACCGGTCGAAAGGTGACCAGCTCAACGGACCACTTTTCTAAAGCTGTTCTGAAGGTGATAGATCCCAATGGAGGACTATGTCTCTTGACCAGAGAGCGCGAAGACCAGGCACCCCTTGACTGTGCTCATCTCTTTCCACGCTGTGAGAACAGCTACAACGAGCTAGTGAGTCGTTTCGTATGATTTCCGCACACCAGTCTCGACTCATTCAATCACAGATAACGAGTTTGGAGTATGTTTTTGGAATTGGTTATCAACTTCTCAACATCGACGATGTGATGAATTTAATCATTCGTGAGAGATGCTGTTATGTCTTGTCTGTTTCGGCCCTTTCAACTTGGGGTCTGGCAGTGAAATGCGATTGGCATCGACATTTTGATTCCAGACGGTGGCTTTTACTTCCCACTATTGAAATGGTCGATATCCTCAAACTGGACCACAAGGAAGGCGAGGATATTACCAAGGTTGGTTGCTCTATGCCATCTCTTTTTACTCTACTCATTTGATCCAACTAGTACTATGGAAACGAGCGGATATTCAAATATAGGATGGTACCAATAGGCCCAGGACGGCTTCAGGAAATGTTGAGGTATCCTCGACCTAGTGGCGCCATTCAAGAAGGTCCAGAAATCCGTCCAAGAGGCGAAATCTTCGAATTTCCATACGCAAACCTGCCCCAATTGGAATCTCATGCCCAGCCACACTGGGCCATCCTCAACGCTGGGATGAAACTGGAGCACAGGACACTTGCAGAAATGACAGCTCTTTACGAGGAAGTCGCCGGGATCTATGGCGTGGATTTGGAAGAAGCGCAAAGGTTCATCGGTCTGATAATCCAACTCAATTTTCAGTGGAGGTTTGCTACCCCGCCGAAGGGTTTCACATCTCAGGGGGTTGACATCACGGCATCTGGGTTTGCGATACCTGGGCCTGCGATACCTAGGCTTGGGACCGTGGCACCTGAGCTTGCGATGCCCACAGTTGCAAATGCTCGTTTTCAAGCTTCAATTGGCACCCACAGATCTATCGCCAGCAATCTCCTCGATAATGCCAAAATGGCGACTATACGCTTCTTGAAGAGCCCAAAACGGTCCGCAAGCTCTCCCGAAGCGGTACCGTCCCTACGGCTTCCTTCACCAGATCGCAAACGCAGCAGGTACTCTACCAAATTCAACAAGAAGTCACGAGATCCTTAAAATTCGTGAGCCGGGAAATGAGATCTTCGAGCACCTATGTTACATTATGGTATATAGTCACTATGTAGGACCGTTTTATTATAACACCCCGACCATTCGTACAAGAGTCCAGACCGTCTATATCTTAGTGTATACTTGACTCAAGCGGAGCTTCAATCACGACCCGCCTTTCCTGTGCAGCCAGCCCGAAAAGGTCGACGAGGTTCAAGCGGAGTTTGACAGAAGCGTTTATCACACTGCGTGCACCGCACGGTTTTTCCCGGGATTAACCGTGGATAAAACCGTGGATATAAATAAAGTTTTTGTTCGGGTTTATCCGCGGGAATTACCGAAACAAAAACTTAAAGCTTATCCAAGGTTTTGTCCCGGGACAAAACTGTAACATAACCTTAAGTTTAAGCTCAGACATGTTGTTTAAGTTTGTCCTACAGTAAATCCCGGGATGAAAATTGAATCATATTCAACTCTTATGTCACAGGATTTATGTCACACATGAAAAATTGCAAATAATACCATGAAAATCAGTAATTAATTCAGTGTTCATTACACAGCTCTTTGGGCACTGCTTGGCACCAAATATTAGATAGCCTTTTTATCCACAACATCTCTTGATCAACATCCACAAATATGGCCTTCTGCAAAGGCCACCTTGCTATAAAGAGTTTCTTAAAAAAAAACAATGTGTAATTGTAAATACAAAGTAAAGCAGCATGGACAAAACTGGAAAAGTGACGAACAAAAATAATACTAGCAATGACAAATCATCAAAGCAATACAAGGGCTAGCTTATAACAAAATTCATCATAATAGTGTCTAGTCTTAGAAAAATAGGGATTGTTAGTATTGAATTAAAAAATCAAAGAAAGAACTAGTAAGCTGTGCATATTGTCTGATCCTCTAATAATCTATTAACTATTGGAATAATTGTCTTTTGTAACAAGTGACAGATACTGCAACAAACCACTGTTGCACCTCAAGCCAAGTGTCTAACACTGTGACAAACCACTGTTGCACCCTGTGCCAAGTGTCTAACACTGTGACAAACACTGTCACACCCTGCGCCAAGTATCTGACACTGTGACAAACTACTGTTGCACCCTGCGCCAAGTGTCCAACACTGTGACAAACCACTGTTGCACCCCATAACAAGTGTCTGATGCTATGACAAACCACTGTTGCACCCCATAACAAGTGTTCAATGCTGTGACAAACACTGTTGCACCCTGTGCCAAGTGTTGGGAATGGCTGAACGGGGAGAGGTTAGTCTAATAGACCTTTAGATAATAGACTTTGGGACTATTAGTCAGTGAACTTATATACTTGTAGACATCTCAAAATTGTAGACTTTGGGACTTTGGGATAGGAGCAGGGACCGAGGCTGGCCAGGAGTGCCAGGCTTCTTTGGAGAACCATACAGTACCAAACAGACATTCATCAGATAATGGATCTGTCGTCATCACCGTAGCAGGGAGCGATAGCGAGAATGTCGCTATCTAGCCTCTCTAGCCTCTCTCACCTCCTTGTTGACCACCCAAACATCACTCACAGCCTCAGTGTTGCTTCTTTCTTGCAATTTTTTCGGCTCATCGATCATCTCAAGGAGCACCTATCATGGCACCTGTCTCCTAACTCCAAGGGCCCTCCTCTTGTCTTGCTGAAGAAGATTTGAGGTTTCTGTGCAGCTGCGCTTGGTGTAGAAGACCAGGGGCTTATTTCCGAGTGTTGGACAGCCTTCCGGAGCGTGGCGTGGGGTGTTACGAACTGCTCGTTCGGTAACCCCAAGAGTAGGAGGTTCTTTCCTAGGTCACTCGTAGAGAGAGGGTGGAACGATGGTCTCGACTGTACGTGTAGCACAGGAGCCAGAGATGTATTGCAATGTAGCAATGAAGAGTACTGTAGGAAGATAGTACTAGAACAGGTTAGACAGTATGAGGACTGCCTAAGAACGAAGGGCTGTAGTAGGAAGACTATAGCAAACGAGGAGAATAGACTGAAGATCCTCAGCCTACTCTATGGGCCTTTTATACTACTTTAGGAAATAGGGCGTGAGAATACTGTATATGTATCCGTAGGTATTCTCTAAGTCATCTCTCTCAATAACGACTACTCTTGTGCTTCTCCGTTCGTCTCCTTCCAGCCAGGAAAGACTAGGAGCTCAATGCCTGGTATGTGAGTAGTTTGTAAGGCGGCATTCTATGCCCGTCGCAATATGGCTCGTGATACTCGACCAACGATAAGGTGATCCATTGGGAGTAGATGACCAAGGTTATTATCTGTACCTTGTTGTACGCCTCACCTCGTGAGGCTGCTTGATATTTGTGATGATCGTATCGGAATAGACTGCCGTTAAGGCCCGATAGAGCGTGATCATAACAATACCCCCTTTCTACGTCCTATTTGTCTGGTAGGACAGCGCCTTGTGCTTCATCGCCACTCCATATACGATTTGCTTTCTTGATCCAACAATGGGTCTCCGAATACAACTTCCGGGACATGACTTCGTTTTCTGGGAGGAAGACTGACTTACATCGTTTGATCCTCTAGGAGTTTTCCATCTCCGTTGAGCTGTTTGTTTCTCGGCCATAACGCAGGGGTACCACTCCCTGGGCCACTAGGATGTTCTTCCTTCACCCCTCGATTGGTGTGATCTTTCCTGGGTTCTCAACCCAGGATGTCAGTCCGGTCGGTCCGGACAGGTGTCAAGAAAGGCATATGAATGCAAGTGCTGTGTGGATGAATAGAAACTCTAGCGTGTGGGTTCTAATTTGTGTCATCAGGTTCTTCTTCTTCCTTTTCCGAGGGCCAAACCTCAGTGTTTCCAGGATAGTCGTCTATCCTCATGACTTGTTAGTTCCTCTTGACGACGAAGCATGCCCATGGACAAGTAGGTTGATCGCTTTACAAAGGCTTAGGCCTACTTCTCCAGGCTACCCTATCGTCGTCCCAAGCAGTATTGCTCCCATATGGTGAGCTCATCCCCGGTGAAGTTGCTAGCCAAATCCCAAGCAGTATTGTCCCCATATGGTGGACTCATCTCCGGTGAGGCAGTTTACAGCATCCAGAGTTTGTTTGTCACAAACGTGGGCCTATGGTGGGGAATACCACGTGTAGTGTTGGGTTCAAGGCAAGGATGGTGAAGAAAATTCAGACTAGAAGGGCGCCGTGAGGAGCAAGGAGGAGTCTGACTCCTTCTCCAAATCAGCCCGTTCACATGCATGAATAGATCTCAAGACCACAGCTGATATATTGTTTGGGTTCACGAGATATATCCACGAAGGTAGTTTAAACGTCTTGCCGGACAGTCCATAGTTTATCGTCATTGCGGATGATATCAAGGCGCCCTGCGCTGCCTAGTAGTTTACATTCTAGGTTGTTGCGGACCTGCTTCATCATCAACATGGAGTATCTGTGGGGAAAGATGTTTCTGCACTCCGGAACATTCATTGGCTATGTGCATAGGGCCCTAGACCAGACTTTACCCACTCCAGATTCCACTGAGGCATGATGGGAACGGTTTATACTATATCAAACAGGATAACTTGTAATGTCTCAATATTGTGAGACCACTCAGTTTAACACCGTGAGGTAAGCAAACTTGCAGTTTAACGCCGTGCGATAGGCGAGTCAGCGGTTTAACGCCATGCTATAGGCGAGCTTGCAGTTTAATGCCATGCCATAGGCGGCTGCTATTGTCTGACTATGTCCCTCGAGTCACGATAGGCTCTTCCTTCTGAGGATAAAGGTAGTTTACCGTCATTTTGGACGTTGTCAGTGTCATTCTTGTCAAGAATGGTGTTGACGATGACCCCTGTACTAAAAGGGGTGAGTAGTTTAACATCTTCTTGGACGGTTGATGACCAAGGTCGTGGTCAACAACCACAACTCCTATTCAGTAAGGAGCACATAGTTTAATGTCATTGCAGACAATCGGCACCAAGGTGGCCAATCACAACTCCTATGTGGTAAGGAGCAAGTAGTTTAACGTCATCATGGACGCTATTGGTGTCTAGGACATAGACATCAATAACAACCCCTAAGTCCAAGGGGCACTAGTTTAACGTCGTCGCGGACACGCGGTATCTTGTCAAGATTGCCATGCACAATCCCTATGCTTTAAGGGACAAGTAGTTTAGAGTCATTTTGGACTAGGAGACATCCCAATCTTGAGACACATCCTATGATCCCTAGAATGAAGGGACAGTAGTTTTACATTGTTTCAGATGTCTGTAGTTTAACGTCGTTGTGGATGTTATTGGAGCTGGAGCAATAATTCCAGCTCCAAGATGGTCCCTAGAGCAGAGGGACAGTAGTTTAACGTTGTTTCGGACGCTTGGCAGAATAGACTTCTCTGGATGAGTGGCCAGTTCCTGTCGTTCTTTCACAGCATGAGCCAAAGAGAGTTGCATGATCCAGTTCCTTCCAACTAGATTTTCAACTCAAGGCATGTGTCCTAGTTGCCTCCTGACTAGGTCTTGGAGCAGAATTCCTTGTACTTCGACCCCAGGACTAGACTGGGCGTGCCGTGAAGAGATGCGTGCTCTTCTACATTCCCAGACCCCTCGCTTGGATTTGAACCAAGTCAACCCAATATTCTTTTACCAAAAAGTGAGTGAATATCGAAGCGCTTCAACCGCTTACAGGCAGGGTTTTGCGACGCGGATCCTCCCGAAAATCCGCACTTCCCCAGAATACAACCACGCTCCTTGGGTCAATGGTAGTTTTATGTCATCTTGGACGATGGCTAGTTTAACGTCCTTGCGGACCCTAGTAGTTTATAGTCATTGCGGACCAAGCCTTTGGTAGTTTTACATCGTTCCAGATATTATTTTATGGCCTCGCATGCCTTGTAGGAAGCGCTTTAAGCAGAGGTAGCCCAGAGTCTACTTATCTCATGTGTCAGCTGTAGGATCCCCTAATGCGGAAACGATCCTGTAAAATGGGAGATCCAAAGTGGGACGTCCCAAAACACCAGTCAGACCTTGACTGTGAGGGTTCACTTAACGAGTTATACATCATAATTCTTGGCCTCGGACTTGCAACCAGTTATGTATGGGCACTTTGCTGTACCAAGGCAAAGAGCCAGCTTGTCGACACCTACAAGTAGATATTTGACATGTAGAGGGTTCCCTAATGCGGAAAAAACCCTGTAAAAACTGAGGATCCAAATGGGACGCTCAGTGTATCTATCAGATTAACTCCTTGACAGCGAGGATGTAGAAGAATTCTACCGCAGGTCGTACGTGGAATTATGCCTGCTTGTTGTCCTTGATTCGTACCATCATTCGAACCAGGATGGATGGTCAGGTACTTCCCCTGCCTTCTTATCTTTTCACAGTTTTAAGACATGCAGGTCTGATAGTTTAGACATCATTCCGGATGTGGGTAGTTTAACGTCTCTTTCGGATGAGGTTGTACAGTTTAACGTCTTGAAGGACATACCTAGTTTTACGTCGTTGCGGATGATCGGGTTTTAGGTCATTTCGGACCCTCAATTCGACCTATAGGGAAGGAGTTCCTCAACTTCCTTACCCCCTTTCTTGCCTCGTGATTAGTCCTCTCTAGTAATCATAGGGACCTTGATAGCCGTCGCCCCCTTCATCAGGTCGATAGTAAGGGTTGGCATCGTCATAGTTTCCCGGATCATCTAGAGCATCCCATGCATTGAGCTCAGATCGAGTCCAAGAGCAATTTCTTCGAGCCTCCAAATCAGCACAGTGAGTTCTGTGGCTACTTCAGTTATTCTGTCCCTCGTCTGTACAAAATCGAGCACTATTAGGAGGCATTCCAGGCCGGTGTCAAATACTCCCGCCAACAGTTGTTCCACGGCGGAGGGTTGTCTGGCTTCCTCGACTCCTTCTTCCTTCATTTTTTTGATAGACGGGCGGTTCCTCCTCATTGGTACCCCCATGGGATAGGGGAAAATTTCGTATTCTGTGAGAGGAGGAGGTCATGGGATTGCTATGCACTGTATGAACCTCTTGTTGTCTCGGTGAAGGGCGTTCCACGACCGTGTATGGAGACCTTCTTGGATTTGATACAGCTGTGGGACATTCTCCCAGACATGGTATGTTCCAAGTGACAACGCGGAAAGGGTCGGTTCTGCTTGGTTGGACATTTCCCAGTTCTCTGGTGAAGAGGAGAGCTGGAAGGAGCTCTCTGTTGACATACTGGGAGAACTCATCGGGATGGATGAGGAGAGCTCGTGGTCGTCCATCATTGTGTTCGTACCAGGAGGCCGTGTCAGGATCAGTTTGGAGGGCGAGCCCCCTGATCTGGAGACTGGCACTAGCCAGTCGTCAAGGTATGTCGCTATTTTCATTTCCGGGTTGTCCTGCTGAGAAGTTAGCAAGTCGTTGGAGGGCCATGGCTGTGGCCATCTGTATTACTGCGGAGATGGTGTTGCATTGGATAAGCACGTCCGTGTGTCGCTCCAATTCTCCGGAGTGAGGATTTGTACCAGGGGTAGGTCTTCCCATGGAGCTGGGAACCTGTCCACTAATTGGTACTGACGGAGGTGTAGCTCCCTGTATAACTGGTATCGGTTCAGTTTCTCCATGGCTTGGAGGTTGAGCTGTTGTTCTTGCTTGTAGTCCTGAGGGACCTGCAGCTCTAGTATTTGTCATGACTCTAGTAGGAGGTGGAACTCCCACTGGTAGTTTGTTAGCGCCTGGTAAGTTTCTGTCATTAGGGTTTTCATGCCGTGGTGCATCTCGAGAACTCCCCCTTGGCGACGGTTGGTGAGTTCTTTCTCTTTCTTTGAACTTGGCATAGTCTTCAGTGTCGTCATCTGAGAAGTTGTTGAGATTTGGAGTGAGGGTGACGATGGCGGGTTCTGGGTGGTGAGGACTGGTTCCTCTATCAACTCGTCCAGCATTGGATCGGTGAGGACTGGTTCCTCTATCCACCCATCCGACATCTGGATTGGACACCATAAGGACGACATCGGGGGAGGAGTTTCTAGATGGGGACAAGGCATCGTGGTCTTCGTGGAGGAGCATTCAGATGAAGGGATGAGTTTGAGAAGTGGGGAATATGATCTGTTTGAGCTTTCTTGTTGCTCTTTCATAACTTTCCCTCTGCTTTTCAGGATACTCCCGAACGAGGTTTGTTAGGGTATTGGTCATGAAACTCTTTCATGGCTTCTTCCACTGTTCCTTTTAGGAGAGTGTAGAGTTCCCAGGTGTTGTCTGCCTCGGGATATCCCACCCACTTGACCAAATACTTGGTTCCCCATCCTTGTCTTTTTGAGTCCACGATCATTTCCACTTCATAATGCTCTTCGTCGTTCAATACCTCCAGTAGTGGTCTTGTGAAGTTTTCCCCGTGTGCCTTGGTTTCCCTATATTTAGTGAGTGTTGTGGCATGGAACACCAGGTAGATCCTCCAGTGCTGGGGAATTTGAAGTTTATACGCCAGGGTTCCTATTTTCGCCAGTATTTTGAAGGGTCCATATCTCCTAGGGGCAAGTTTGAACTTTGGATGGATCGTCCAGATATGGGTTCCTTCTAGCCATACTTGGTCTCCTTCTTTCCACTGGGGAAGTTTTCTGTGGAGATCCTGGTCTTTGGCGTAATTGCTGGCTATTTGTAGACTGGCTGCGGCTTCTTCTTGGACTTCTGTGATTACCTTAATGCGTTCAGCTACTGCGGGTACCTTTGTCTCTAGCATGGCATCGGCTGAATAAGGAGGATTGAACCCATATAGCACTTTGAAAGGAGATTTCCCGGTGGTCGAGTGTTTCCACGTGTTATGCGAGAATTCAGCAAACGGCAGAACGTCCACCCAGTTATCTTGGTGGTAGTTGCAGAATGTTCTCAGGAATTGTTCGATCTCCTGGTTTACCCATTCTGTTTCTCTATCCGTCTGGGGATGATAAGCCGTGCTGAGAGCAGTGGTGATTCCTAGCCGTTTCCAGAGTTCTCGGGTGAACTTGGCCACAAATTAAGGGCCCCGATCAGACACTATTTTGGTCGGCAGCCCATGTCAATTAAAAACGTTATTCTGGACAAGCACGGTTGTTTCTTCTGCCGTGATCGTTTTCTTGCATGGGGTGATGACTATGCCTTTGGACAGACCTTGGTCCACTACCACATTGATTGAGTCGAAACCTTTGCTTTCAGGTAGATCCGTGACGAAGTCCGTTAAGATGAAATGCCAAGGGACATTGGTGGTTTCCAAAGGATGGATAAGAGGGTGTGTCTTGTGCGTCAAGTTCTTTGTGGATTGACATACGGTGCATCTGTCCACATAATCATGGACAAATTTGGTCATGTTTTGCCACTAGTAATGTCTTTGCACCATTTCTAACGTTTTGGCTCTACCGGGGTGTCCTACCGCAGGTGTGTTGTGATGCGTTTTGATGATAAGCCTTCAGATGGCATCGTCCTTTGGGACGCATATGTGGCCGTTTCGTCTGGTAATTCCGTCTTCATGTGTCCAGTGTCCCAATAGTCCCCTCATTCTTTGTGGCCCTACTCGCAAGAGTTTGGCGAGGGCTACCCTTGTCAGGGCATTATGTTCCAATTTTGAGAGTCAGATGAGGGAGATGAGGTCTGTCAGAAGTCTGCATGATAATCCTCAGCATATGAACAGAAGACGCTATGTATGTATTAATGTACCTGCATGATAATCCTAGGATGATACATTAGGATACAATAAGGCTACCAGGGCGCGCAGGATACTCACCTCAGCGTATGAACAGAAGACGCTGAGGTGTCATGGTAACGGTACGGTCACATAAGTAACAAAGTCCGGAAAATACCGTATCGTAAGTACAGTGCTGGTGGGCTAACTTCTAACATTCCCCCTTAGCCCGGCAGTAGGCCTAGATTAGTGGAGAATGAGACGTGCTTTCCTTTTGCTAAACCCTTCATCAAAACGTCCGCCACGTTCTCGTCCGTCCGCACATATTCCAGATGGATTTCCCCCATCTCAACCCTCTCTCGGATGATGTGGTACTTGATGTCAATGTGCTTCGTTCGAGCGTGGTAGACATGGTCCTTCGACATGGCTATACTAGCCTGGTTGTCACAGCGGATAAGGGTGGGGGATGACTGGGGAAATCCGAGTTCCGAGAGCAGTGAGCGAAGCCAAAGTGCGTCTTTTGTGGCGTGCGAGATGGCAATGTATTCTGCCTCGGCGGTCGCGTAAGCGATGGTAGGTTGTTTCTTTGAGCTCCAAGAAATCGCTGCTCTGGCAAGGAAGAAGGCATATCCGGAGATCGAGCGGCGGTTATCTCGGCTCTCTGCGAAATCGGCGTCCGTGTAGCCAATGGGGGTCCAGTCGTTCTCGTCTCCCCCATATGTCAGAGCTAAGTCCAACGTCCCCTTCACGTACCGCAGGGCGCGTTTTGCAGCATGCCAGTGTTCCATTCCAGGGTTTGACATATACTGTGCCAGAGTGTTGACCGTGTAGGCAAGGTTGGGGCACGTAGCGAGTGCCGCATACATCAACGCCCCCACCAGGGAAGCGTACGGATATTTCCGCATCTCTTCCCATTCTGCGGAGTAGAGTCGGGGTGACTGCTCATTTGACAAGTGGGTGCTAGGGTCCATGGGCATCGAAACGGGCTTGCAGTCCGTCATCGCGAAATGCTCCAAGACATTACGGAGGTAGTGCGTCTGCGAGAGCGAGATGATGCCCTTGTCTCGGTTCCGGAAGACTGTCATACCGAGCAGTGTGCGTGGTTCCCCCAGTTCCGTAGTCTCGAATGGGAGCCCGCGGAAGTCTTCCTTGAGTTCCATCATCGCCCTCTTTGTGCTCGCGGCCAAGATCATGTCATCGACGTGAATGACGATGATGGTATGGCCTTTGTTTGAAACCCGGAGGTAGACGCAGGAGTCTGAGCGGCAGCGAGTGAATCCAAGCTTCAGAAGCTCGTCGTTAAGCATCCTGTTCCAGATTTGACCAGATTGCTTTAGGCCGTAGAGAGATTTGAGCAGGTGGAGCAGCCAGTCCTCTTTCCCGAGGACCTGGAAGCCTTCGGGCTGCCTCATGAATATCTCTTCGTCGAGTTTCCCATTAAGGTAGGCGGATTTGACATCAATCTGCTCGAGGAGCCAGTTCTCCTTGGCAGCAAGTGAGAAAACAAGTTGAAACGACTCGAAACGAGCAACTGGGGAGTGAGTATCGTGGAAATCGACGCCGGGGCGTTGCGTGAAACCCTGGGCAACGAGTCGGGCTTTGAAGCGCCCGTCTTGTTTGGCCTTGTAGGTCCACTTCGAGCCAATCGGCTTGCGGCCTTTCGCCGGCTCGACGAGTTCCCATGTCTTGTTCTTCAACAAGGCGTCGTACTCCTCCTCTATCGCCCTCTGCCAGTCGTCGCGCTCTGCGCTTCGGATAGCTTCCTGGTAGCTGCGGGGCTCCTCACCCGCCGTCAACAGTGCTGCCTCAATGGCCACTGTGAACAATGAGCGCTCAACAGCTGCCTCGTCTTCCTCTGCCTCTGCCTCCTCCCTCTCGTCGCGCGCTGCCTCGTCTCGTTTCTTTTCCCGGTCCTTCCGTCACTCCCTCACCTCTCTATTTGCGTCTTTGCGAGCTCGCTCGGTCGCCTCCTGCAGGTCCGCGGCTTTCCTCAATGACGAGGGCTCTCATGCCCTTTCACTCCTTCTGAGAGTGAACTGGGTGGGTGCCGTTGTTTGTGTGCTTGTTCTGGGCTCAGGCGGCTCGGGCGGCGCTTGCTGGGCGGCTCCTGGGCGCGTTTTCAGCGTTCCTAGTGCCCCCTCTGAAGGTGGGTGGTCGGGAGGATGGACGAGTGGTGGTGGTTGTTGGGCTAATGGCGACTTTATTGTAGGGTTGTCAGGGCTCGCTTTGGGAGGTGGGGGAGTGTCCGTGGGCGGCTCCTGGGCGACATGGAAGTCGTTCTCCCCCCTCTCGGCCACGGGCAGCTTCCGCGGCGCCAGTGGCAAGTCGTCCTCCAAGAAGACGACGTCGCGCGACTTCACGATCCTGTGGGTCCGCGGCTCGTAGCAACGGTAGGCTGCGTCGCTGTAGTACCCTATCAGCACGCACTCGGTTGACTTGACGTCCCATTTGCGGCGCTTTTCATCAGGTATCTTCACGAGCGCCTTGCAGCCAAATGCGCGAAGGTGTTTGACGTTCAGTTTCCGGCCGGTCCATACCTCGTGGGGCGTCTTGCCCTCGAGTGCGACGGTCGGGCTGAGGTTCTTTAAATAGGTCGATGTTGACACCACCTCCGGCCACAGGAATCATGGAAGGCCGGTTTCGTGCATCATTGCATGGCCACGTTCCACGATCGTCTTGTTCAGGCGTTCCGCGACGCCATTCTGTGACGGGGTGTATGGTGCCGTCGTCTCTAGGGCAATGCCCGCTGCTTTCAACCAGTCAAGGGCCTCTTTGTTGAGGTACTCCGTGCCGTTGTCGCACCGGATGCGTTTCCACGGCTGGCCGGTCTGTTTCTCCGCCATGGCCTTAAATTGCTTCATGCGGTCGAGCACCTCGCTCTTCTGCCGCATGCGGTATTCGGTGGAGAAACGGGCCTTGTCGTCGGTAAAGGTGACAAAGTACTGCTCGCCCCCGATCCCGTTCTTATCTATTGGGCCGCATACGTCCGTGTGGACCAATTCCAGTAAGTTGTTTGCCCGGTGGTCTGCCTGCTTTGGGAAAGGCTTACGGTGTTGCTTTCCGTAGACGCAGTCCTCACACGTCGGCGCCTTTGCGTTCAATGTGAGTTTGATCCCATCGACGAGACCCTTTGAAATGACAAGGTCCACATTCCCTTGCCCTAGGTGGCCGTAACGCCGGTGCCATAAGGCTCGCGTTAGTGAGGTGGCGGCGAAAGCGGTCTCGGGGGTGATGGGTAGTGGTGTAGGGGGCTGATCGTTTGTCGTCGGGTGGCCGATCGTATCCAGGTAATAGAGACTTCCGACGAGAGACCCGGATCCGATTCGTTTGTGATCCTTGTTCAGCAGGACGACTTTGCCCCCTCCGAAAACAGCTGATCCCCCGGCGTGGTCGAGCTTGCTCACGCTAAGTAGATTCTCTGTTGCGTCGGGCGTGTGCAGCACATTACGCAGCCACACTGAGTCTAGCCGCTTGCCGGCTTGCCCAGTCGAAATGGTGACGGAGCCTGTGCCGGCGGCGCGCATTGTGTGGCCCTTCTTGGCTGTTTCAATCGTGCGCTCGCCTGGCGAGTATTCGGCAAACATCTCCTCCCACTTTGCAACATGGGATGATGATCCCGAGTCAACGGCCCAGGTGTTTGGCTTGGCGTTTGTCGTGAGGGCTTGTTTGGGCGGTGAAGAGAAGTTAAAGAGCGACGCCTCGTGCTCGCTCGCTAGACCGGACCGATCTTTGTATACAGGTCTTCCCCTACTGCTGCCTGTGGGGCAGTCGCGTGCGTAATGCCCTAGCTGGTGGCAGTTGTAGCACTCGACTTGTCTCCCGCTGCTGCCGCCTTTACTTTTGCCTTGGCCCCCACCACAATGCTTTCCGTGTCCTTTTCCCCTGTCTCTCCCTCTTCCACGTACGTTATCACCCATCCGCAGGGCGACGTTGCCACTGTTTGCTTCGGTGCCATCGCGGACTCGGTGGCGTTGGTCTTCCAGCATGATACGGGCGATCAATTGCTCGGACGTAACCTTGGACGTGTCGGTGATGAAACTGATGAGGGAGTCGTAATCGGAGGTAAGGGAGGTGATGATCCGGTGAACGAGGATTTTGTCCTTGAGTGGGGAGCCGACGGCGACGGCTTCGTTGTAGAGGTCCTGTAGTAGGTCCAGGTGGAGCTTCACGTCCTGGCCGGGGGACATGTGGACTGAGTAGAACTGTGATTCGACTAGTGACTGATTGAGGGAATTCTGCTCGGCAAAGAGCGTGCGGAGAATCTCCCACATCGAGTGCGCCGACTTCGCCTTCATGATTGAAATTACCAGTGCATCCTCGACGTAGAGAGCAATCTGCGCCCTCGCCTTTGTGTCTCTCTCCTTCCACGATGGTAAGGCTGGGTCGTCAGTAGGTGGCGTCATGACGGTATCGCCGCCAACGACGTTCCAAATTCCGCGTGCCTCCAGTACTCTCTCCATCTTAAAAGCCCAAAGGCCGTAACTCTTTCGGTCCTTCAACTTTGGCTCAATGGGGATGACTGAGTTTGTGGTTGTGGCCATCTTGGATCGGCTTCGATGTGGGAAGATCTTGTACGATCAGTGAGCGTGCTTCTGAGGATTCGTTAGGCAAATGCAGGGCCCATAACCTGTCAGAAGTCTGCACGATAATCCTCAGCGTATGAACAGAAGACGCTATGTATGTATTAATGTACCTGCACGATAATCCTAGGATGATACATTAGGATACAATAAGGCTACCAGGGCGCGCAGGATACTCACCTCAGCGTATGAACAGAAGACGCTGAGGTGTCATGGTAACAGTACGGTCACATAAGTAACGAAGTCCGGAAAATACTGTATCGTAAGTACAGTGCTGGTGGGCTAACTTCTAACAAGGTCTGAGGATGTGATTTCCGTGGACTTTATATGCCGTGTCGGGGACGGTTCCACCAATGTTTCGTCGGATCTGTTAAAAAGGTTGGCCGGAAGCAAAATTTGAGCTTTGTTGTCAGATTCTACCCCCTCACTTAGATCTGGACGCCTGGACAGAGCATCGGAATGGTTTGTTGATCCTGCTTTATAGCTGAGTGTAAAGTCAAATCTGCTCAAATAGAGGCTCCAACGGGCATGTTGTCGTGACAGATCTCGTGCCATTTAGAAATGTTCCAGGTTCTTGTGATCTGTCCAGATCTCGAATGGGTGTCGTGCGCCTTCGAGGTAATAGTTCCAGTGTTCCAACACTTTTATGATAGCCAAGAGTTCACGATTGTGGACATCGTAGTTCCGTTCTGCTGGTGAAAATGACCCGGAAAGGAAAGCAACTGGGTGCCAGTCACCATCTTTTCCTTCTTGTAGGAGGGTAGCTCTGTAAGCGATTAGTGATGCATCTGTCACTAGTCGATATGGATGCATGGGGTCCGGGTAATTTAGAACAGGTTTGCTGATAAATGCTTTCTTGAATCGTTCAAAGGCTTCTTGGCACTTCAAAGTCCAGTTCCATTTTGCATCCTTTTTAGTGAGGTCATGTAGATAAGTGAGAATTTGTCGATGAAGCACCTGTAAAAATTTCCTAAACCTAAAAAGGAATGAATGTCTCGGACTGTGCGTGGAATTGGCCAATTTTGTATCATGTCCACCTTAGAGTCTTCCATAGCAACATGGTCTTTTGAAATTGTGTATCCCAGATATTGGAGTTTTTCTTTATAAAACTTGCACTTTTCTGGTTTCAAATAGAGGTCATTGTCGTGTAAGATCTGGAAGACTTGGTTCAGGACTTGAATATGCTCCGCCCTGGATTTGGAAAAAATGAGGATATTGTCCATATATACGGTTATTTTCTGGGCTGTGATGAGTTCTCTGAAGATCATGTTCATCATGGCTTGGAAAGTGGCCGGTGAGTTGGTTAAGCCCAAAAACATCACCATGGGTTCATAAGAGCCCAACGGGGTGATGAAGGCTGCCTTCCACTCATCTCCTTCTTTGATTCGTATATTATTATATCCCCACCATACGTCCAGTTTGCTGAAAATGGTGGCCCCTTTAATCACGTCCAATAGTTCTTGGATTAATGGAAGGGGGCACATATTTGGGATGGTGTATGAGTTCAAATGGCGGTAGTCCTGTACCGGGCGCAGTTTTCCATCTTTTTTTCCTATGAAAAAGAATGGGGCTGCTGTTTGCAAAGTGAATCGACGGATGGTCCCCCTGGTAAGATGTTTCTTTATGAATTTTCCTAATTCATCATGTTTCTCTGGGCTCAAGGCGTAGATTTTGGGTACTTGAGGTTTGAAAGTCGGTTTCAAGTCAATGGCGTGGTCCCAATAAGTATGTTCTGGGAGTTGCTGCGACTTTCGTTTGCTAAAGATGTCCAAAAATTTGTGATGTGCCTTAGGGACTCTTTCCTTTAAATTGGTGACAACAATTTCATCTTCCAAATCTTGGTCGAAGCTGGCAAATCCTGACGGTTCGGGAGCCAGTTTCCGAACAACTGGTTCCCTTGTGGCCTGTTTTCCTGAGGGTTTATCTGGGAGGTCAGGTTCTCCCTCGTTTGGTGAAAGAGATGGCTCGATTTGAGCCTTCTGTTTCTCTTCTGCATATTTCCTTATGTCCTGTAGGAGCCATTTCCTTTTGAGGTATGCTCGTAGTTGGACACCAAACGTTCCGCTATGATCGCGGAGTCCTACATCTTCCGATAATCTTTGGAGATGTTCTAGGCGCTGTTTTTCACGCTCACTGATGCGTGGTTTGTGCCATGGCTCCATGTTTGATAACTGCCTATTGTTTTGTGGTTCTTCCCTTGCCCTAGTAAACCCATGTGGTTGGTGGCATTTCTGGGGACACCGATCAAAGTGCACTTTACGTCGCCTCCACTCAATGGAGGGATCGTGGTATTTCAACCAATCTGTTCCTAGGATAAGGTCGTCTTTCCCTAGATTGGAGATGAACATCTGGATGCGCTCAGTGTGCATGCGCCCATGGATGTCCCGAATGGTGAGGTTCACATCCAAGGCAGATCGGATGAGACCTGCTTTATCAATAGTGTCATTGACATTTCAGACGCGAATGGGGTTGTTGAGTGTGTAGGTGGGGAAGCGGTGTTTCCTGACCCAAGTCTTGTTCACTATGACCCCTTTGCAGGCTGAGTCGATGGTTGCCTTTGCTCCAGCATATTGATCCCGGTTTGATACCTTCACGTCTAGACGTATGGGAGTGATGATATGATCATTCATTGCTCCAATATGAATACATGGTTTGGCGTTGAACTTGGGTCTTTCTTGACCTCTCTCCTTCGCTGGTGAGGGAGAGGTCAGGAAAAACACTCCGCGTGTCCCAAGATTACTTCTCTTGCTTCATCCTCTCCTAACTCTCCTAGCACTGCTCCGATTTGAGCAGAATAACTGACGCCTCCGTTTCCCCGTCGTCTGTCAGGCGACATGACGCGTCGCTGATGGTCCGTGTGGGGTCATCCAGATGGGGCAGAGTGCGGATGTTCCATTGAAGGACCAGGTTGTGGTATCCACTGGTCGTTGCAATGAGTATTCTCCGTCTCCATTCCTTGATATATTCCTGCTTGGTTTCCCATAGCGGGTGCATCGTCTTCTCCTTTTAAATCAACTGCGCGGTTTCTTCTCCCTGTCGTACCCAGGCATCTCTTTGAGTTTTCTCGAACTGGTTGAACGCCTCTACGGGCCGACCAGCAGTTAGCACTAGAGTGCCCTATTTTTCCACAGTTGGAATAAGAGGTGGTTCACTTGCCGTCAAATTTTCTCTTTTGACTTTCAGCGTTACGCTTCCTGGTAGCGTCGATGTCCATGTCGACCACCTGGTTGTCCATTTTGCGAGGGGCGTTTGTGGAGTTGTAGCAAACAGCGGGTTGGGTATGAAAGCGGTTTAGGTAATCGCTACGGAAGGAGGTGGAGTTAGCGAGGATGGCCTTTTGAGCAGTTCTGGCTCTAAGCTGTCCATCTATTTTGCAGGCTGTATTAATCCAATCCTCAATAGTGTCATTCGGTTGAACTTCCTTGTCATATATTTTGTCCATGACACACGGGTCTAACCCACATTGGAAGTAAGGGACTTGCTCCTTGTTGGAGATGTTGGCATCGGCAGCAATAAGGATGAATTGATTGGAGTATTCATTAACCATCATTTGTCCTTGGGAGAAGGCCATGAGTGCACTTCGTGCTTTATCGGTCTTGCCTGTCTCCCTGAATTGGAGTTTGAACTTTGTTAAAAAGTCCCTCCAGGTACCTAGATCAGTGGGAGGGTCCACTCCCACCAATTTGAGGAGGAAGTTCTCTGCCCAGGCTCCTACCGTGCCATATCTTATGCATGAGATCACAAGGGATATCTTGTCTTGATTGGTCTTGTACTGATCGGATTCTGCTGCGAAAAGAAGGAGGCATTGGAGCATGAATTTCTGGGATTCAATGCGGTTGCCTATGTAATTGTCTGGGAGTTTGACCTTTCCTCTCCCGGGTTGTACTGTCACGGAAGGGGGATCCGTAGAAGTTGAAGCTTGTCCCGACATTTCGGCAAGTGGTTCGTTTTGGGTGTTGATTGGTGTTTGGTCTAGTAATGAGTCGGAGTCTGATTGTGAGGTTGTCTCTTCTTGCTCCGAGTCTTCGGGGATTACTGGTTCTGGATCCCTATATTGGGGCTGTAGATCCTAACTGTTCTCTACTTTGTTCCAAAGTCTCTCTTCTTCAGTTCCATCATCAAATGTGAAAAAATAATGCCCATTTCGGAATGAGCAGTTATTGTAGTTTGGTGAGGCGAAGTGATTATTATCGGTATAAAACCAATGGATCCCCTTGTGCCGCATAGGGCGATTGTTATGATGGAGTTGGTTATTGATGCGTCTAGTGCCGGGAGGATAGTCTCGGCCTAGGTCTTGCTCCAGAGTGTGTGTAGTAACACTTTCTTAATGGGGGTCTATTATCCCCACTAAGGAATGTTATGAGAGAGAGTGTGGCAGCAAGCTAGTGCGAGCAAGGTAGGGGCAGAAGAGTCTATTCTAGTGTTACAAACTGCTCATTTGGTAACCCCAAGAGTAGGAGGTCCTTCCCTAGGTCACTCATAGAGAGAGGGTGGAACAATGGTCTCAACTGTACATGTAGCACAGGAGCCAGAGATGTATTGTGATATAGCAATGGAGAGTACTGTAGGAAGACAGTACTAGAATGGGGGTACTGTGGTAGGAAGACAATACTAGAACGAGGAGAATAGACTGAAGATCCTCAGCCTACTCTATGGGCCTTTTATACTACTTTAGGAAATAGGGCGTGAGAATACCGTATATGTATCCGTAGGTATTCTCTAAGTCATCTCTCTCAATAACGACTACTCTTGTGCTTCTCCATTCGTCTCCTTCCGGCCAGGAAAGACTAGGAGCTCAATGCCTGGTATGTGAGTAGTTTGTAAGGCGGCATTCTATGCCCGCATGCAATATGGCTCGTGATACTCAACCAACGATGGGTGATCCGTTGGGAGTGGATGACCAAGGTTATTATCTGTACCTTGTTGTATGCCTCACCTCGTGAGGCCACTTGATATTTGTGATGATCGTATCGGAATAGACCGCCGTTAAGGCCCAACAGAGCGTGATCATAACATGAGGTACAAACACAATGAAGGATAGTTGGGATGCTGGAGACCTAGTAGATCTCTTTTTGAAGCATGGTGTTGAGCATGAAATTGGTACGTTGTTTCAGTTGTGTGTAGTACCCTTTTAGATGCTAATTTTCTGTAGGCTTTTGTGATTTGTATCCCCCGACACAAAAATGTCTGGATCCACACTGTTTGGGAGGACAAAAGGGACCACAACATCAAGAGTTGTTAGATCTGTGCGGGTATTGTGCTGTTCTCTTCACACGCAATTTCGGCCCCCTTCCTGTCTGGTTGTACTCTGCAAAATGCCCCCATAAGTTGTCCTATACATACACCATATTGACACCATTGACTCTGACCGTCCTCATAGGATGCGGTGCCCGTTATTATCCTAACTATTACATCTATAATGGCACTCATACATACTATCTCAGGATCCCATATGCCATACATGTTACAATGCACTTGTACGTCGAGTCCTCATTATGTGAGCGCTTTGCAAATTCAATGGTTTGTGCCTGGTAAGTTCTCCTCACGAATATGTACATTTGTATTTGACTGATCATTTGCAGGGTTTCTGCTACAAAGAATGCACGTATCTACAAACTAGATCACGGCATCCCCAAAAACTTCTCTTGGCCTGTCAGTCTCGCACTGTTGTGCTTGCGATGGCTCTGCGTGCAAAAACACAACACAAAACACACCACTAAACACAGGGTAGGTGGGGAGCTGACTTCACTACAAATATCGAGAGACCTTTGTAAGTTGCGAGACGGGGCATGAGATACATACTGCAAGACAGGGCGTGAGATACGTACTGCAAGATATCGAGATATCTAGCAAGGTGAGGCGAGGTTATGCAAGGAAACTCTCGTGTGAAACGAGGTGGTGGACCATGGGCCAAGGCGTGAGTGACCGAGGCAACTTCAAGGGCAGCGACAAAGGCCCTGACAATAGCGGCGATGAAGGCAACGAGTGCTAAATTGAGCGAGTGCAATGTCAGTGCGATGCAATACAAGCGAGATCTTCGTGCGAAGTTGAGCTCTGAACAGAGGGGTGTTTGAAACTGGTGTATTGTAGTGTCGTAGGCAGGTATTTATAGAAAGTCAAAGAGAGTATAGTAAATGTGAACTTGTAAGGTAAAGTAAATCGATATCACGCCAAGACCATAACATAGAAAGATAAAGAAAAAACCATGTGCAGAGGTGCTTGCAGACCGCGAGGTTCTGTCGTGCTGTGGTCGAGAGACAAAGCAATATTTAGTAAAGAGGTGTAACGGTGCGACAAGGTAAACTCTAGGAAGGTGGAGGGGCAATGGATCATGGAACCTGTACTACCCAATAAGTGCATGCGATAAAGTTCTCTGCAATATCGCATCACGGAGCTACTCGCGGTGTAGTCTGTGCGGTCAATGCTTGCGCGGCGTATGGCAAGAGCTTGGCGAGGTCTTTTGCGGGTGCAGCAGGCTCGAGGTCATCGTGCAACACGCATGGGGGCTGAGTGAGATGATGCAAGGCGATGACTGAGGGGTGCGAGACAAGACCGTGTTGGCCCGAGACTGTAATGCTAAGGTTGTAGTGGGCATCGGAGGGAGTCGCTCTGGGCTGTGGGGCCACCTGGCGGTGTCTGGGGTATTCCCTGAGGTCAGCATGCTAGTGCTCATAGAACTGCAAAAAACGGGGTCCCGGCGCTTAGAGAGGTGGCGCGCTCATCAGTGCTCACCGGCAAAATTGTTTGGAATGCATTCTTCCTTCACAGCCTCATCTGCGACTTTCATGAGAGATTGGATATCCTCATCCTCAGCAACACTCCTCACCCTGATTGTCTTCATGAAGCTCTAGAGGCTCGGAACATCACAATGGTAGGCCCAGGACAGAAACTGTGGAACCATGCATGCGAGCAGTGCTGCACCACTGAGGAGAGGGACAATAGTGTCTGTACGTTTGTGTGTTAAAATGTATGTCTCTTACAATATCTTAATATATCAAATGCTCTTCGTGCTATCGTCTGCAATGGGGTGGCAGTCGGCCACCCTTGCTGTGCTCACCATGATTGTCAACAGCCCCTTCCAACCCAACAAGCCAAGTACTGCGCTGAGCACTCGTGGGAAGGGAATATTTGTTGTATCACAAGCTGCGACAGAACGATTGAGGCCGGATTTCAGACTTGCAACTTGCCGGACCACCGTTCAATGGAGAAACATGGCATTGAAGAACATTCCGCCATGTTCCAGCTTCAAAAACGCCTCGAACGGCGCAAGGTTGCGCTGATCAACAATTCTATGCCCTTCAGTGAACAGGACACAGATCCCTTGACCGCCATGGCTCATGACGACACTGTTGAGATGGAAGCGTCGGCCGTATGTGCGGAAAAGTCGGAGATGGGCAACGTCAAACTGCGCGCTCGGTTTGGGTGTTCTAGGACCCACAGTGAGCAGCTCTGTGTTGCAACATGCGGGGTTGTTCTTGGAAGAGCGACTTTCTACGGCTCAGAGGCAGTCAATGGTGTTTGCGTGAGTACCTTTCTTGGTTTGTGTCGATTATGTACTGAATATTATCATAGTTATTCCTTCGTACACTGTTTCCGACTGCCTGATCCGTTCCAAATGTTATCTTCTATGATAACAACTGTCATCTTAAGCAACACATCACAAGGCTTCAAGATCAACATTTCAGGACCTGTGCTCTACCTGTCGATGTCTTTCACATAAAGTCGAAGCACAAGGAGTCGGATAATTTCTGTGGCCAGCATTGTAATCTAGTACTCTTTCAGGAGCTTATGGTAGATGGTAAGTGGAGGTTTAATTCTTCGGCAGCAAAGATGACGAACACATGGTTTGGAGGGTTTCATTCTATTGTGCAAGAGATGCGTAGGGATCGGTATGACTTTTTCCTAGACGAGATGATTAGACATTGGAATAATATGATTGTCCATGGTCTTATGTCTCATAGGGTTGCATGTTACCAGATCCCGTGTTTGTATTTACTTGGGAAATAGGCTCTTAGGTTCTGAACTATACATTGAAAATGATTAAATTGAATAGATGTAATGTATGTCGAATGAGAGCATGAGGTACATCGAAGACTAATCAAAAGATGTGGGAAGATGCGCAGTGGAAGGAAAGGGGTTGCACGATAGAAGGGAAAGATTTGCACAATGGAAGGAGAGGATTTGCACAATGGAAGGAGAGGGTTTGCATAATGGAAGGGAATGGTTAGGAAATGGTTTGCACGATGGAAAGGAAGGGTTGCACAGGGTCAGTAGGCACATAGTTGTTTATACATGGCACGTGTCTTGTAAAAGGATGAATATACAACTCACCATCTTTAATCCTCTCCGCATTTGTCGTTGACCCTTTCCCCAACATCTAATGAGCTGTCTTCAGCCTTGACAATTACTCTCAAAATCCACACAGTGGCCTGCAGCTTGCGGAAATCTAGTTCATCATTAGTTAGGTAGGCCACCATCCCATACGAGGAGCTTGCAATCTTTATCTCTATGGCGCGCTCCCGTGTAACATTGAGGTCTTCTTATATGAATAAGACAATTGCCTCTGGGATGAGCACACGGTTCGTAAATTCCCAAGCCAGTATTGTCCAGACTGTATGCTCATGAGTAAGCTCCAACAAGGCAAGCAGGCTCCAAAACATAATCTCCTTCCCCTTGAGTCCATAGCTATAGAGACATTTCCAATCAAAACTCAGCACAAAACAATAAAAAAAACACGCACTATCCAGTCCCCACCACCTCAAGAGACTCGTATTCACCCTGAATACTGAAAGTGTTGTTGCTATTCTTCATCACCAACGACTCCATAAGCTCTGTGTGAAAGGGACTAGCATTTGGGTCCAGCATGATTAAGCGCAGCTTGACATAGTGATTGACAATGCAATGAGGACATCTAGAAAAACACCCCCTTGTATTAGCTCCGGATTATATCTAATAGTGTCTAAAAGTATCTAAAAGTGTTAATAGCATCTAAAAGTGTCTAATTTCCTAATTGGGAGCAACACATTGTGAGCATTGGATTGGTTTCTAATCTCATGATATTAGCACTAATTCTATACTAAGAAGTCTTTAATTATGAGTAGAAAATAGTAAGTACTACTGCTCTATCAGTGAGAAGGTAAAGATGTGGCACATTCTATACTATTTCAACATATTACTCTCCTTCATATATGCCTATACCATTATCTTGTAGCTCTTTTGCTAATTTCCCAGCTGCCTTTACAAGGGATATAGAAAGAGAGAAATGTGCATTGATGCCCCCAGCCACTTTGGTAGCAGCTTGGCAGCTGCCACAAGAGGCTATAAAGACCTAGGTACCTTGGCCTTGCACACAAGATCATTAAGGTTGTCATTGTTAGCCAATGCCTGCTACTGGTCATTATAGGACACAATATGTGGGTTGGACTTAGGGATATGCTATATGCAGCCTTATAGACCTTGTCTATTAGTATAGTGGCTAATACTGTCTTGTGTAGCACACAATCATCATCACTATTGATATTACAATTTTTAGCACTATTTATATTGTTTATTGCCTTGTTATACAGAAGATGCTCAAACTTGGTGTTTTCCTCTAGCTATTAGGCTGTGGAAAAGACAATCATATTGGTATGTGGTGCCAGAATAATATATTTGCCTGCCATATAGGAAATATATGCATTAAGCATATTAAGATCACCTCCAACAATCTTGTGCTTATTTATATATAGGCATGCCATACATATACCCTTGTTCCCACCCTTTACCTCACTAGTGGCCATTTGGAAAACCCCTCTCTCTTATTGGATCTTGATTATTTATAATCATGTTTTTGATCAAATTTGCAAATTAAGGTAGCCTTGTCTATACTAGTAGAGTCCCATTGAATATTATACTCAATCATAGTTTTACACATTCTCAGTCCAAATTGTATAAGTGCCATAATTTATTTTTATCCTATATAAAGTGTATTATTTATTTTCCATTGGTTTATTATCTTCTTAGCTGGTGTTTAAACTAAATCCTGAAAGACCTGACTTTTTGGGTATTTATTGACCTATTTATTTATAAGAGAGAGGAAAGATAAATGTTAAATAAAATCAGAGATGTTGAGATTGCCTATATTATGTCTACTTATTTTGATTACCAAGTTTATATCTTAGACCTTGTGGCTTAGTGGCTTAGAGCATTTGTTCCGGGTGCTTGCATACATGAGGTTGCTGGTTCAACTCTGGCAAAAGGCAAGTTTGTTATAAGGTATATTCTGTGTTTAGGTATTTAACTAGTGCTTTGATAGACATGACTCTATAAGAAGGCTATAAAAACACTGATGCTTGATTTATTATTATTTTTCTGAAATTTCAAGTTATAATCAATCCTAATAATTCATAATTTAGGAAAATTATGTCTAATTAAAACAGGTTTAGAGGGGGGGTAAGCTAAAAATGTCTAATCCTAATTGTTCTTGATTATGCATAAATAGAACTAGTTAGAGCTTAATACAAGGGAGTGGTTTTCCAGATGATTCTGAATCTCTATGTTGGCTATGACAAATGAGGGCTTGCTGAATCATCTCGCAACTTCACCACGTTCCAGACCCATTTGGCGCCCACCGACTTGTCACCCTGCCCATGGGGTGGACAAATTTAGTCCCAATCTTCCACAACGACGTCACCCACATCCTCCAGCCAGAGATCCCAGACACCACCATTCCTTTCATTGATGATGTTCCGATTCAAGGCCCACCGACCTGATACGAACTTCCGAATGGAGGCTTCGAGACGCATCCCGACAACCCCAGCATACGACGGTTTGTGTGGGAATACTTTCAAGGCCTCAATTAGGTGGTTCAGCGGATGAAGTACAGCGGAGGAACATTTTCGGGGCACAAGGCAACACTCTGCGCAGCCGAAATCATAGTTGTCAGCCACTGCTGCACGTATGAAGGAAGGTTGCCCAACGAGTCTAGGGTAGAATCGATTATGAAGTGGGGACCTTGCAGGGATCTCTCCGATGTTTGGGCATTTTTGGGGATGATTGGTGTCGTTCGGATCTTCATTCAAAATTTTGCACACAGGGTGCATGCACTGACTATGTTAACGTGCAAAGATTTTCCATTCGTGTTCGGCCCAGACCAGATAGTGGCCCAGGATGACCTCCGGTCAGTGCTACCCAAATCACCAGCCCTTCGACCGATTGACTATGGGTCGGCAGCCAACATCATTCTTGCTGTCAATACCTCACAAATCGTGGTCGGCTTCCACCTCTGTCAATGTGCGCTCGACAATCTGTGGGTTCAGTACTATGCCTGATTCGGCTCCATCACCCTTGGCGACCATGAATTGTGATTCTCCCAGCCCAAGCTTAAACTCTACGGTCTCTTTCGCGCCCTTTGATCGCCCAAAATGTATCTCATCAGCGTTCGGCACCTGATAGTCAAAGTAGATGCACACTACATCAAGGGCATGCTCACTAACCCAGATCTTGAACCCAGTGCTAGCATTAATTGGTGGATCATCTCCATCCTCATCTTCTATTTCACACTCGTCCACATCCCCGGCACCTCTCATAGCCCTGATGGACTCTCCCGACGACCACCACATCCCGCCGATCGACCTTAACCCAAAGATGACTTTGACAACTAGATTGACAATCTCTACGGCTTTCTCTATCAGATCAACAACACGTTCCCCACCTCCAACTCAACCTCGACAACAGCCATCTTTACCTCCTCACTCATAGGCGACCTCCCGACCGATGCTGACTCCGACGACGAAGATCTGACTATTGACTATTCAGATATTCCAAAATTGCAGAAAGCTTTGGAAGCTGAAGAATGCCTATGGTTGGTCTGTGACTGGCACCGAACATTGGTTCAGCCCCCTTCTCTCTCCGACGCCGAATATGCCACCTTCCTACAATATTGCACTGAGTTCTTTATTGCAGCCAACAAGCTATGGAGAAAAGACTCGCACGGTCGACACAAAATCGTTGCAACCCCCTCCAGTCGGATCACAATTCTCACTGCCACCCACGACAACATTGTTCACAAGGGTTTCTACACCACAACTGCCTTGATCTCTGAATGCTTCTGGTGGCCACACATGAGGCAAGATATTTCCTGGTTTGTTCGGACCTGTTACCTTTGCCAGATTCGCCAGACTCGCAATGTCCTCATTCCCCTGATCGTCGCTACACCTGCACCACTCTTTGCGAAGATGTATATGGACACCATGCACATGCCGACCGCCGGCGGTTTCAAGTATCTCGTGCAAGATCGCTGTTCGGTATCACACTACCCCGAATTCCGCATGCTGCGACATGAAACAAGCTCAGCTCTTGCCGACTGGATCTTCGAGGATATCCTGTGCCAATGGGGAACACTGGTAGAGACTGTCTCCGACAACGGACCAGCATTCGTCAAGGTGATCGACCAGCTAGCAAAGAAGTACCACATTCAGCACATTTGCATTTCGGGCTACAATTCCTGCGCCAACGGCATCGCCAAACAACCTCGCTTTGACGTTCGGCAGGCTCTGTTCAAGGCCATTGATGGAGACCAGGCCAAGTGGAATTGTGCAGCTCATTTTGTATTCTGGGCTGATTGTATTACTGTTCGGCACCGAATGGGTTGCTCGCCATACTTTGCAGCGACCGGAACCCATCCCCTCCTTCCCCTTGACATCGCTGAAGCCACCTATCTTCTACCACCACCGACCACGGCCCTCAGCATCACCAACCTTATTGCTCGATGTGCCATCGCTTTGCAGAAATGCCGATCAGACCTCGCCCACCTTCGCAGCTCAGTAGTTGGCGCCTGTGTCAAGGCCGCCATCCAATTTGAATAACAGCATTTGGCCACACTTCGCGACTTCAATTTCCACTAAGGCTCGCTTGTCCTGATGCGCAACACAGCCATAGAAAAGGTGCTCAATCGGAAGATGCATCCACATCACTCAGGACCTTTGCTAGTAATTTCTAGGAATCAGGGAGGAGCGTATATTTTGGCCAAACTTGATGGATCGGTCTTTGATTGGCCAGTTGCAGCATTCCGCTGATATGCTAGTGATGCCTCTGAGTGCAAAACACACCCAAGAAACACCCCTACAAGCGCAGGTAGGCAGGAGCTGGTTCTAGTGTGCAAGGAACTATAAGCTGTGCAACAACCAACAAGGGAGCGTACTAAAAGTGTTCGGAGTGTAGTGAACAAACAACTCCAAAATCAAAATATTCAGTCGGTAGGTCAGTCGGCCGGTCGGTCGGTAGGTCGGTCGGTAGGTAGGTCGGTCGGTCGGTCGGTCGATGTTTGATCGGGATTTGATCGGGACGCAAAGGGAAGGGAATGGGTGCAAGGCCACACTGGACACTGGCAGAGGATGACAAACTAGATGAGAGGGAGAGAGCAAAATGACGAGGGCTCTGACGGAGGGCTGTGATCGAACGCAACAACACCAACAAAAGGGCAAAATGCGAACAAGGATCAGAAGGCAATGGCTCAAAGTCTTATAGACACAAGCACACAAATGGAATCGGAACAAGGGGGGAGCCAAAGCTGCTGTATTGCAAGGCCATAGGTGCCCTTTTATAGTAAGTCCGAACAGGTACAAGATAAGGAGATTGGCAGAGGCATAGAGCAATCGGAAATGCGTGCCAAGAGTGATCAAAGGTAAAGAAGATAAGGGAGTGATGTTGCGAACACTATGAGATAAGAAGCAATAACTCTAAAGTCTAAATAAGCGGAGAGATTGCCAAGGTGAGTGCACATGGACCTGGAGATAAGAACCACATGCCACATGGGTAAACCATTTAGAAACTTGGGAGCTCTGAAGATAATGAAGGATAGGTCAACAGAAGGCATAAGGACGATAAGAGATAGAAAGACAGATCCGTTCTGAGTCAACAAAGTGTTCGGCCACCTCCGATTCGGGACACCGAAGCCGACCGAATGTGCCGACCATGTGAAGTGTACCGAACCGATCGGCGATTGGCCGCGACAGTCTGTGGAGAGCCCCTACTGCTGAGAGTGATGATAGATGGATAGGCTGACTGTGAACAGCTCCGAACGACTGTGCGGAGGTCTAAATGGAAAGTCGGCACCTGACAAATGGCTGAGATCGCCGAATGGATCGGGATCGGTCGGTCCTAAGTGTGCCGAACAGTCAAAGAATACTGAAAAGCTGCAAAAAGTGGGGTATTGGTGCCTAGAGCATACCCATGCTCATCACCGCGATACGCACCACTGTCCTTTGCCGACACACTCTCATGCCAGCGTCTAGTTGGGGCACTCTAGGTCTCAGCCACTGCCTCACCTAATCAGTTGCCATGCCACATGACTTTGCCAACTCAGCCCCGGTCTCTCTTGCGCACCGACCCGGTCCTTTCTACAACATCTCCTTGCTGATTATTCACCTGTGCCACATCTCTCCCATGCACCCATTCCTTTCCATGCCACCGCTCATTGCCAATCTTTTTCCCACAAAACTTGCCATGCTGCTCCAGGTTCCACACCACAGCTATTCTTTCCACACTAGCGCTTGTTGCCAATACTTTCCCACATCTCTCCCACATGCCCACTTCTTTCTACGCCATCGCTTGTTACCGATGCTTTCCCACATCCACACACCACGCGCCCTGATCCATGTGCAGTGTTGCCACACCATTTTTTCTGCTCCAACTCCTAGCTGCCGACCAACTGACTGAGGACAGTCAGGATTTCAGTAGGGAGGAGATGATGAGCATTCACCCACGCTAGGGTCTGAGGGAGGTATTTGGGAAGCTTTGGGGAGATACCAAACAGCGTAGATGAGTACCGAAGATGCCAACTTGCACTGAACACAGTCGATCCCCACCCGACCAACCACAACCCTCCGAAGGACGTTCGGCAGCACTTGTGTCAGTTCGCCCACACTTCATGTACTTACCATGACCACACAGGAGTGTTACGATAGGTGTTTATGAGATTAGAGCCAGTATTCCGTGTCAGCCAATGTGCTCCATGAGTCGGTTGGTCCTTATCGCTTATTTTCCCGACTTCCACATGGTCGGTCAAACACAATCTTGCACCATGACTTGGCCACCCTGGTCGTACGTTACTTCTTCTTTATTGTCATTGGCTCACCAACACCTGTTCTGGCCACCTACACTCAGGCGACGGATCCCGAACATTTAGGATTTCGACATCACTGATTACCTTTTACCTTATCACCTTTGGAACCCATATGGACATCTTACCTATCTTCTTATCTTTTCTGATTGCTGGGGCTTGGCACCCATTTGACATCTACTCTCATTTCGTGTTCAATATTTTACTTAGGGGCGCTGTTTACTATAAAACCCTATATACAACTCTGGAATAAACCAGCTTTCGCACCCCACCATTCAGAGCTTATTTGCACTTGTCTCAACCATCAAAATCATCTTTGTTGACTCCCGAAAACTTGTCATCCTTGTTGTTTGGCCTTTCTCGCGTTCATACTCATCTCTTCGCTTGTACCCCTCGTCCTTCCCTTGTATATTGTCAGAGTCCTGTGTGGCTCTTGAAGCATGTAGTTGTCGGTTGCGACACTACCTTCTTGTTACCAACCAAAATCCCCAATACGACCAACCAAACGTTCGGTTGGTGTTCGGTGCAGTCCCGAAACTGTTTGGGTGCTATAATCTCACACTCCTTGCTGCTTCTCAGTGTGCCATCGATTTCTAAAGTCATTGCTAACAATTCCTTGCATATCAGATACTAGCTCCAGCCCCCCTGCATTAGAGGTTGTTTTGGTGTTGTGCTCAGCACTTAGAGCCACCTCTAGTATATCACCAGTGAGTTCAGCCATTTTCCTCACTGTTTCCTTGTCTAGTGAGACCGCTCTAACTCCCATCCTTGACATTTCTTCCACCTCCTCACCTGTCAGATCCATGTTCAATGCTGATGCATTTAAGACTCACCTGACACAGTCCAACATCAATCAGGGGTGTGATCATCAAGACCACAGCAGTTGACTGAATGCTTCTCACAAAGGATGGCAAGGATCTTGGAGGCTTCTTTACAAATGGGAGATTAAGATGAGATGTAAGTATGCGACTGCTGTCTTCCCTTCACTGCAAGCAGCAATAACCAACTGATTATTTCCTTCTAGTATATTGGCAGTACTGTTAACTTGACAGTTGTAGGGACCATTTGGCCAAGGTAAAAGAGTGCATAGAGTTTCTTTGATGTAGAGGATCCCTTCGGGGGATGTCCAGCCATTCATTTTCGAGGAGGAATAGATTATGGAGAAAACAGTGTATCTTTTGGCCCCTAAGTCTCCTAACAAATTCAAGAAAAATCACATGAGCCTCTTTAAGTCGGAGACGGAATTCTCTCTGTTCTCGCCCTGCCGTCTCCTGCCGACCTTCCTAATAAGGCAGGTCGCTGAACCCCTGCCAAAGCATCAAATTTGTATGCAGACTAATTCTGGGGGACAAGCTCGCCAGACAACAGAACTGCTGTAGATCAGCGATCGACTCGATATTGTCTCCCATTCCACACGTTACCGCCCCTTATATCTCGTGCAAAACCTCACTTCGTCATCTGCGACACCGCCGCGAATTGTTTCAACGGTATACACCTGGGTCAGAGTTGAAAGCAAAGATCCTTTTTCAACCGCCGCCGAAAGACAGCACCCCATTAGAGCCTGTACCGGTCCGTGCGTCTACGACCAATCTGCGCGGATGGCACTCGCTGTCTACGCTGCTCAGGGGGAAGGACCTCTGTCGGCGACCCAAATTCAGCTCACTTTGATAATGATGCGGACCTTGACACCGCCGACATATCTGATCGGATGGCTCAATATCGAGCGTACCTCGGGCGTGTCGCTCGCCGTGTTGATGCTTGGAACTTGTGCTGGATGTTGTTGTCATAGGAATTCAACCTCTCAGATGTGATAGAGGGGTACAGACTTCAGGGTGATCTGATTGTCAAGCGGCGGTGCTCAGAACAATGCAGGGATAGTCTTGTTTTGGTCGGTGCGTCTACCTCTTTCGCCGTGTATAGACGATTGCCGCCCGCGCTTGCGTCTGTCACACACTAGCTTCCGCGTGGATCTACATTCAAACCTGTTTCCCTCTGTGATCTGCATCGAAATCCGGCTCTGAACTTGCATCCTGTTGCTTTGCATTTCTGTCTCGGTTCTGTTCCGGACCGATCGGGTAATCCATGTTCTTGAACTGAGGATGGTCGATGAGTGATCATGCTCGACAAATCACTTCTTTTGTAGCTGTGTTCGGTTGATTGACAGATCTGGTTGTACAACACGCAGCTTCCATAGCAATGTATATTCCCCAGTCTGGTTGACGCCTGGAAGTTTGTTGAATCCACCAGACTTGCTGATGTGATGGTCACCACAGATATTGTTGTTGTCCTGTGTGTAGGAAAGTTCCGCAGCGTAGCTGAGCTTACAGCCTCGTTCGATGATCGGACGATACTGAAGACTGATCATCGTCTATCGAAGGGTCACGCTCTTTCTCCTCCTCTTAAATCAGTGATCTTTCTTCATCTCTCCACTGCTATTAATTCTCACTTCCGTGTATCTTTCTACCAGCAGTCGGCACATTTCAGGTCACAAAGCTGGATGCCACACATGTCTACTGTATATCACTCGTTACATGATGGAGTTGATGTGGAGGAAACGTGGACTAGTACGTGCGCATGTTTGAGAATCCGGACAAAGTTGCATTCTCACTCTACTTCAATCTTTGCCAGATATTGAGCGACTGAGTCGACAGATACCTTCCGAAAATGACGCTTTGGGAATATTGCCAAGGATTACCGGTGAAAATCATGTTCCTGTCGCACGTGGTGGAGGCGGCCTCGAGGGCGCGGACAAGGCTATTGGAGACGATCCCACCACCCCGCTGCCGATCTGGTCTCGTTCGCATGTGTCTCGTTTCTCAATGGTCCTACCTCGCTCGCCCACGAGTCATGATATCAGCAACCGGACTGACCTTGATGGCTCAAATATTCGTAAGTCACTCTTTGAGCCCTGCTCGCAGTTTCCGGAAGTTTGCTTGAGTATATATTTTCCCATCTTTACGCCATCAGCACTGTCCGGCCTACCCTATTCAAGCGATGCAAGTGAGCCTGTCAGCTCGGTGCCGTGAGTCTCTCGTCAATTTACCACCCTAAATCATTGCGCTGCTTTGACTGACATAATAGCCACTGATTTCATCCCTACCAGCAGCTCTACTCTAACTGGTTCAATATCCCTGCCCACTGGTCCTATCCTTGCCAGCAGTGGTTCTTTGACGTCACAGGACAACGGTGGAACCCCCCCTACATCAACATCAAACCCTCCATCCGCTGTAACGTCAAGCAATCCATCATCGTCCACGAGTCAAACTACCAGTATTAGCAGTGTGGACATGACCACCACACCATCAACGCGCAGTTCTTCCTCACCTAATGAAAATGAGACATCAAACCGGGCGACCAGCACATCGCAAGATAGCACGGCTGTGCATGAGACATCGCCTTCTCAGACGTCTCCCGTGTTCACGACGAGCAGGTCTTCAGGCACAGTCGCACATGTTGGGGAGAGTTCATTCAATATGCCGACCACGACTGGGGGCACTACCTCTGCGATCAGTACAGGGTATCTACTCCCTATATTTCCTACCAGTTTTTGCTTTCGTCTAATGTTATTTTACTTTAGTTCGCCACATGTCCAACTAGTTGAGATCATTGTCCCTGTCTTTTCATTTCTCTTTTTCCTATTTCTGGTCATATACCTCTACATCAAACGTTGTCGTCGCATCCGAGCAGAAAAACGCTCATCCTTACTTGTGTTTACTCGAGGAGACAGGCGATTGACACCTACGAGCCATACTTCGCTAACTGCATCAATGGCCGACGCAGGGAACAATACCCAGGTTGGCGATTGGCGCCCCGAGATGTCTTTTGCACCATCATCGCCTATCCCACCTGCGCGCTCATCCGTGCGCTCACCCCAGTCAGACTACCTCCGGTCCCATACACTGACCTCGCCAACGCACTTTCCGTCACTTTTCATGGAGGAGTCTGACCTCCAGCACCTCGTCGCAGATTCACATTCTATGACATTTAAGCATGAGGGTATGTCAAGGGTGTCTTATACGGATGAAAGCTCGACAACGGAAAGGGTCTACCTGGAGCCGTCTGCCAGTATAGATCTGTCCTCAGATGCGCCGGCGTTGATACCATCCCGCAAAGAGGAGGACAGGCTGAGCAGGGTCAGCTTAGAAATATCATTTCACAGAGAGCTAGAATCAGCGGTGGGTATAATAAGAAATAGTTCCTGTTTTGTCGCACTTGATCGTCTTCCTGACCTTGATGCTATTCCACAGGTTGGGGTGGCGAATTAGCTGAGGAAACGGTTAGATTGTTATTCTTGTTGGCTCTTTCGAACGACATTCTGCCTGTGAAATATTCTGACATCTATGCTCCACATTGTAAAAAAAAGCTCATCTTCTCTCTGTGTACGATGGATCTGAACAACTACACTTAAACATCGATGTACTACGTTCGAGACAGCTCGGCAGCTCGGCAGCTGGGGGAGTGCACTAGTCAGCCGATAAGATTGTGGTGCGCTCAGGGCTTCCACCACACCCGCGTCATTTGGTTCCGGACTGTCAAGGACCAAGGTGAGCCAATGCAGTCTCCTCAACTTCCAACAACATCCCATCCATCCCACTCCTAAATCTGCATCTTTGACCCTGTGTATCGCAATCACGGATGCTCTACTCCTTTGTTACGCTCACGACTGCCATCGCTGCTGGTTGTGCATACATGTATCTGTTTGGCGCCCCAGAATCAGCTCTGCTCACCTTATCCCTGTTATTCTCGTATGTTTATAGTGGTCTATGCCTCTCACTTTCGTATCTCCTCGCACGACCTATCCTTGGACACACCCTACGCATTGGACGCATCGATATCTTCAAGCTCACCATCTGGAATTTGAGTCTCGCCTTCCCACATGCTCCACAGCACTCCGCCTCTCCGTCCACGACAGCCTCTTTCGTTTCGTTGTCCATCGCTCCTCGTCTCCCCACCTTAGCCTCACCACGATTTTTCACGCTCACGCTTACGCGCCCGCACTTCACCACCCCACTCTGCACGGTCACTGTGGACGCGCTCACCGTGCGGCTCAGCCTCTTCCCAACGCTCACGCGCGTCTCCGCTAGCCCGTGGGCGGATGTGACGCTTGATGTGCTGCGCCTGCGCATATTCTCATCCTCGCGAACGCCTGCTGACGTGAAGAAGCTGCGCGAGGCACTCGTGAGCACCGTGTTCTTTGGGCAGATCTTGAGGGTCGACGCATTCAAGATGTCGGTCGTGTTCGGGCCTGATTTCTCTGGGAGGGGGAAGGAGCTGAAGGACTCGAGCGACTCTGACGAACACACGGACCCGGAATCAGCAGACGAAGTTGGAGATGCAGAGGCGAATGGTATCTCAGACGAGGAGGAAGAAGACGCACCTTATTATTCCCCATTCGAGTCGTCGTTCCGGTCTGCGCAGCCCGACGACCTGCTCATCCTCGCATCGACTGAACGGTTCCACACGCACGATCGCAAGGGCCGCATATACACGTTCGGCTCCGCCTCAGCGTGTCTCCGCCGCACATGGGGTGCACCAGACGTGGAGGGTCAGCGCGGGTCGTATCACATGGAAGCAGTAGACTGCCAATGGCGCCGACTTCCTCCGTTTGTGCTGGGCGAGCAGAGGAAGCACTCAAGCATACCATGGTACGCCTCTTCGATTTGATATAGACTATTATTGAGCACGCTCTCGCGCACCCGCATAGGTACTTTATCAGCCTTCCGTTCAGCATGCCGGCGCATCTTTACACGCTGATTCACGACCCGCTGCGGTTCATCGATCTCTCAGTCCCGCACGCGTTCATACAGTTCGATGATTTCAGGATCCGTGACGCGGAGTTGGTCACGCAGGGATTTGAGGCGCTGTCGAAGCTCTGGACGCGAGAGACGCGCGGCGTTTCTGGCCTACCCGCGCGCGAGTGAAGCGGTAGGCGTGTGCTTCGACTCAACCTGGTTCATCTTGTTTTGTTCTGGATCATCTTCTTACAGGTCTGGACTGAGCTATCCTTGAGAGCATTCACATGTCACATTCTGCTAAGCATTTTGCATCATGTTGACGATTGGCACACGACTAACATTTTACCACGAGATCAGTTGTATAGTATTGTCTCGACTCTTGCGGACTCGAATCACAGAGGCCGGTTAGACTTTGCCACTTCGTGCCATCTGTCGAGTCTTCTCTACACCTGGATTGACATACACGCCACCACCCCAATTCACTGTTTTGGGTTCTTTGTTTCCCTTTCGCGGATTTTCCAGCATATCAGAGGACACCCTGACGGTTTGATGCCTTTCATCCATTCAGATCCGCACAAGCAGCAGTATTGCAAGGAAGGGGCAGGGCAACGAAAAGCTCGTGGGGATGCAAAACCGGCAAGGGCAGCTACTGGTCTCGCCGTTTGTCAGCTCATTCTTTTGGTGCATGCTTTCTACATCGATTCTCAAAACTCTCAGTGTCGTCCTCATCGCCCTGAGTTTCATATCTATATAGAGATTGGACAGGATATGAGCAGAGGCTTTCCGAGGGATCTTGAACCACGTGATATGCCTGTACGGGAAGTGATGTCGTCTCGCGAATAAGCATTTCATCGGTCCTCTAAATCTTTTTCATACAGCAAGCGGTGTTACACCCATACGCACCTCTTCTCTCTCTTTCAATCGCTTTATTCTTCCTAACCTGTTGCCTTGCACACGTCTCCTCACATTTCTCCCCCATGAAGGTCATCTCCGCATCCTGAATCTCCTCCAACGTGTGCTCGTCTACAAAGCACAACAATTCATACAAGTGTGTTCTGGCACCCCGTGGGCCCGGGGCTCACAGGAACAGAGACGCACTCGTCGCGTGGATGCAGGTGTCGCCGCGACAGAAGGGCTCGGACCACGACGGTGCAACTGGGAATTGTCGAGGCTGATTTCCTCTAGCTCTGCGACTTGGAGGCCTGCATGAAGTGCGGCTCGTTGTTCGGTCTGCCCCTCGAGCGTCTTTTTTGAAAGTCTCTGCAAAAATGTCCCGCCGCGCATCCCCCTTGTCGCGCATCTCCGTATGCAAGTCTTCTCATTTGCTGTGCATATCCCGTCTCTAGGTCCTCCTACGTTTCCTGTCACCCTTGAGGGTGCTCGCGGGCGACATCGCCTTTATCCACTTTACGCTTTCTTCGTTTTGGCAAGTTGCACGCGCTCCGTTTGCAAATTTTTATTAGAATTGTTTCAACACCTCTTTCAACTCGGTACGTCTTGCGTCGCATCTTGTGAAAGCATTGCGCTCCTTTCAGAACGCGCGCTAGCCGGTTTACCCGCGGTGAGTCAGAAGCGTCGGGTATCTTGTAAATGGCGCTGGTAGATCCGTTTTGAAGGAGCGACTTCGGGCAAGATTGAAGATACAGAGAGAAAGGGAGAGTAAGACAGGTTGTTTCGGTGAGCAATGAGATCATATGTGTTCTTTGCCCACTGTTCGAGACCATACCGCCCAACCTTTAGAGGACGAGACTCGAGATTTAGAGCTGAGTTGTCTGACCAGGACTTTGTCTGACTGATAACACGCGCACTTGGCATCTCCATCTGCTGTCTGCTTAACTTGGTTTCTCTTGTTGTGTTAATTTCGCGGTACCTGCTTGCTCCAACCTCCTCTGTCAGGGCCTGACCCGACCCACGACTAACCCCCGCCAGGTGTGTATACCGTGTATGCGGAAATATGGAAGCTCGCAAAATACCACTATAGCCTTTTCGATGAGAGTCAGAGACATAGAGTGCTGCTCAACCAGGGCAGGTTTACATTGCCATGGACGGCGTCGAAGGAAAGCTCGATTGGATAATTCTAAGATCAGGTCATGGGTACCAGAGACGCTGAGGGTCAATGATGGTTCGATGTCCTCTCAGTTCATCATGTACGTATCACGCGGGTCACGCTGGAGCTCGACGTCACTTACAGTATAGTAGGCATTCAACAAAGGCAGGAGTAGTGGGAGAGCTCACGGTGCCAAATACTCCGCGGCAAGCTTGGCTTCACGTCGGACTCTAAACTCACTTTCATCGAATTCGATTCACTAATCTAAGCTTTCTCTGAAGTATCCCAAAAGTCATCAAGGTTTGAGACTTGCTCCGGTTGTATAGGCAGTGCACAGGGTATGATGATACAATTATATACATAATTGTATACTAGAACCAACATAATTATATACCAGAACGAAATAGAGGATATGGAAGGAAAGATAAGCCGGGACAGAAGATCCCCAATCTCCTAAGTGATTTTAGGCTTCCTGCCACTGTAGATAGAGCTGATCTTGCTGCGTTTTACCTCCCGTACAGGACTCCGTAGAGAGGGCGAATGGGGAGAGCTTGAAGAACGTTTGTGCAAATAGTGTTGAAGCGTCGTCGTCATGGGTTTGATGAAGCGACGGCTATCGCTGGACTTGTTGGACCTCCATCAGCAAATCGGCAGATTTCTGAGATGGTCTGAGATGTCTGTTTTTTGTCTTAAAGCTCTGAGGGCTTCTGCCGCCTCTGGGCATTCTGAACTCAGACACCACTCAGAACAAATCAGAATGATAACTAAGAAACAGGGAACAGGCAGTAGCATAATTGTACAGTACTAAAATGCGAGCCAGTGTGCATGATGGTCTACAAATTTGTTAACAAAGTAAGCGGCGTATGCATCAAGCGCACTAGATGGGTCAACAGCATGCGGCGGTAGGAATTCTTCCCCATATACAGGAATGAGGTGTGCGGCCCTCACAATAGACTCGAGATGAATAACCGAGGTGGCATGATTTCCGTCGATGTCAAGGTCAGGTTCAACAATCCACATACCAGTGTCCTCATCGGGATCATCACCAATGGCCGAGAACCACTCAACGAGAGCACAAGGGTAAGTCCGCCCATGGAACCGAAAACGGAAGAAAAGGCGCACACGGACGGCGTTCAATCCACGGAAACCCTGGTGCTCTGCATCCATCTGTAAATAAACACAGTCGTAACGGCTGGGACCATGACGCCACGATGGTGTTGCCCGTATAACCTCGCGCCGCATGCCTCCGATGCCAGATGGATCACTTGGTGCGTAGAAAATGGCTGTTGCAGAATGATAAACGCTGACACGACGATCCGTCACGATAGGGCAGAGGTTGAGGGCAATAGTGGAAGCTGGAGGGCCATTTGGGTGGAGCTGTTCGAATAAAAATTGCCGTGTAAGCTCTAGGAGTCGAGGATGGCCAATATGAATGCCGAGGGCATCTAGAGTCTGTGCATAGCCTGGTTCTGTTGCAGACAATAAATAATTAATCCAAAATACAGGCATGCTACTCACGTCGTTTCTTCGCGAGGACCACATAATTTTCGACGGTGTGCCCTGCCACAGCACCCACATCCTCATCTCCTTCGTCAGCATCCTCGCAGCCTTCGTTGGCCGCCCCGCAACCTTCATCTAAATCTTCGTGGCCTTCATCGGCATCCTCGTGGTCTTCATTGACATCCTCGTGGTCTTCATCGGCATTCTCGTGGTCTTCATTGGCGTTGTCGAGACCTGCCTCTGCTTCATCTTCACAAGAAGTATAAGCATCTAAAGTGTCATTATTGGAAGCAATCAGGGAATCAGACTCACTTAGTTGTATAAATTCTGCATAAGCGGCATCTAGGCAAGTCCCAAACAACATCCCTCGACTGTGGAAGTCAACGCGAGCCGCCGCCAACTTGTCGAGACGCTGGTTTGCGAGGAGCATCTGGCCTAAGGGGTTGTTTCGGTTCGAGCTCCTCCATGGCTCTTTTACTGCCTTGATGTGTTTGGACTCTGTGATTGACAAGCACAAGCCATTTGGGGCCCCAAAGCGTTGTATATGCCTGACATAATGCTCCAGTGCATGCTGCCGTGGAAGGCAGAAGTCATCACGAACACCTGTCGCCTTGAAGATCTGGCGATGCTGTCGGAACCGGGCTAGCGCATCCTCAATCTGGGCGAGAGTAGCGCGGTCTATCTCATCACGACGGACAAGATAACATACTTCGAGAAAAGCGGCCAGTGTTTTGACCATTTGTTGCGGGACATGGCCAGCAATGGCAGGCAAATAAACCTGCGAGTAGATATCTGATTCATTTCTTCATACAGCTCATCATAAGCATTATAAAGTTCAATTTTACCTTCATAAGAGCCTTGGAGTCGTCCCCGGTCCATTGCTTGAAGTCACGACCTTGATGAAAGTGACGCAGGCCCGAAAAGGTAGGAACAGCTTCTATTCTTAGGGCAATGATTAGTCGGAAGCACAAGCTCCATAATCCATGATGAACCTCACCGGCGATCAATATCATCCATAATCTCATGTCCGCGCGTTTTGCCATGCGTAAGAATAAGATAGTCGCACACCCACGTTACGAGATGATCCTTCCAGCAGCCCTTAATGATCTGGTGAAGTAGATCCGGTGAGATAAGCTGATGGATGTCAGCGCGAGGGAAATCATTGGTGAATGGCTACAACAGACAAACTTGTTGTTAAAAACAGATGAGTCACGTACTACCGCCTCACTTACAATAAGATCTGCGACAATTCCATAGTCGTCCCATAGTACTCTTGGAGTAAGGAGGTCTACAAGGAGTTCAGTATGTTCACGGCTTCGTGGTATCTGCAAGGGACCATCTAGCTCCTTTGCGGGAGTTGTACAGCTGCAAAAAAGTGAGTAGAAGCAATTAAATCAAATAACGGCAGGCTGACACTTACATTGGACACCACCCCTGAACAATGCATGCCAAGAGCACTTGCTCAGGGTAATCTGCAATGTACGGGCCAAGCCCATAGATCACTCGACGATAATGACCATCCCAGCATCGGGTAACCTCAGGAGTGGTCATCGCCAGCTTCAGGCATTGAAGGATTGCCGACAGTGATGAATGGAATAGTTGTCGTCGGAACTTCCGGAATAGAGCGCTGTTTGAGTATTTCCGTTCTGCTACAAGAAATTTTTCAGTATCTTTGAAGGTAGCGGTCGGCATGAGCTAGGTGACTTACTTTTTGGGACTGCAAGGAAGCCGATTAAGACGAGGGCATTACGGTGAGCACGTCTTACATGATTGTGAACATTTCCGATTGATCCATAGAGGGGATAATATTCATTTTGACCGGTAGCGACAGAGACCGTAGTCTTGTCGCTTCCGAGAATGATTGGCACAAACATAGACCCATGGTTTGTGGGGTCTTCTGCAATAGTATTCTATAAAAAAAATCAGGTCAAGACTGTGACAGAAACAAGATAGACCTACACATTGCTCAAATGCGAAGTCCGCTCCCATGAGATTCTTCCAGATTCGCTCCCCATTCTTGTCGAATTCCTGATAAGGGCAGTAATCAACATCACCTTCGAAGTCCGGGTTGCTGATCATGTTTCGAAAGAGCACATGCGGAGATCGGAACCAGACATCATACTTGTCGAGCATCCATGGCGGTGTGACAGCAGCATTAGGAAGTTGGCCGGTGTATGATACATGGAATGATTGCCATGGAACATTACCGACCTTGATAGAATCAAGAACTGAGTCCAAATCTCCATGACTAGAAAATGGGGGCTCAGCATGATGCTTAAGTAGCGATGCAGCCCATAGGTCCATCAGTTCGTCTATGCCATTATTTGACATGTGCTGCCGCCTGAAGAGAAACTCCCCTGTTTCGAATTCCAGACGGTCATGAAACGGAAACCAGTCATTGTCTTTATCAACACCATCTTGCTCATGACGTGGTGGCGGAGGTGTTCCAGGAGGGAGGTTATGTCCGTGAATATCACAAGGAAGGGCTGGAGGGTATATTGGTCATATATTAATGAGTAGAAACAAGATAACGACGCACCATTGATGTCTCGGTGATAAATGCGATGCGCCCCTCTTGGAGGTTCGGCAATGTCTTCCATAGGTACTTCTAATGGTGCTGCTAAATCTGCAAGTTCGGGTGATGGCAAGCGCTCTGTCGGTGGAGGAGATAGAGAAGCAGATGGTAGTCGAATATGAGCTGAATTGCGGTGCTGAGTGAGCCCTGACATGTTGCGGAACTCCTTGGGGCAGTCAGGGCATTGAAGACGATACGGCTGGTGCTTGTGACGTTGCGGCGGCATTTTCTCGAGTGAAAAGGGAGCAAAATGAAGTGCAAATTAAATAGGAAAGGTACTGGTACATTGGCTCTTGACGAGCGAGCGAAAATGGAGGCAGACTTGGGTACCATGGGTGGTATCGGACGTTGAAATCTCTGTTGAACGGGCAAAACAAATACAAAGTTAATCCATCAGAAAATTGATAGCGCAATAGTGAACTCACTTTCTGCCCATACAATACCTTCTTGTGCTTGTTTTCTCCCTAATCCACTCATCACTCCTATTCTGCTGCCTCGTCGGCACCCTCACCTTATTTTATTTTCCATGGTCCTCACAACTCGTCCAACAAATGCTTCACGGCATCCTGGTGCAATCATCCTGGTGAATACCCGTAAAAGACGCTCCAAAGCTGAAATGGTCGAAGAGAAACAGGTCGCTGATGCCGCTGCTGCCGCATCTGCTGAAGAGAGAAGCAATGTAATCAGCAAGATCGCAATGCTAGAAAAGCGGCTCAACAACGAGGAGCGTGTCAAGCAACAGCAGGTGGCTCGGCCCCAAGGCCGTCTTGCCGATTCAAACCCATCCCGGCCCGCAAATCAATCAGCGATAGTTCAGACACATCGAGGTCAATATCCGAGTACACATTTTTTACTTGATTTTCACCTGACATTGTTGTGAATCCATACCAGATGACCAAGCCATAGACGAGAACAATCAGCAGAGCGATGAGGATGTGGCGCTGATCACTCACAAGCGCGTGAAAGCTCCAACAAAGATCAGTCGAGCTGATATTCAAGCAGCTACTGATCGGCCCCTTGTTGCTTTGGCCAATCCAAGCACAAAATTGAGATCTAATGCTGATAAGAACATCGTCTCAACGGGGAAGAGAGGGGCCAGTGCAGTTAGTACTAGAGACAATGAGTAAGATTTAGATGGATGACCTGATGCCTATTTCCTGATCCTCTCTTGCATGTAGACGTGTTGTAAAGAAGGCTAAACCGGCACATCCCTCAGGGCTCAAGGGGAGCTGGTGTGACCAGTCGAAAGTGGGACTCACGAGACCGAAAACAGCTGACACCACCAAGAAGTCTCCGACCATGGTCTCGAGGTCAACTAATGACATCCAAATGACAAGAAATGACCTACCGTCAGAGCAACTGAATGAAGGTGCACCTGAGTATGCTCCAGGAGGTTTTGCTGAGGATGAGGAGGATGAGGATGAGGAGAGAGCAGTCGTCAGAAAGGAAGCGAAGCGCACAACATCATCAGTAAGCGCCTTGATGACAATCTGACCTATGTCACCTCGACTCACGATGCACCTGTTCTTGTCTGGATATATAGACTATTGTCAAGATAGAACCCAACCGCACCTCAAAACCCAAGTATCCACAGGGAGGTCAGCCTAGGATGGTCAAGAAAGAAAAGGCAAAGATCGAAGATCTTCCTGCCGGCAGCTATGGGCGATGGCTAACCAAGTTCATCCCTAGCTGGTGGGCCGTCATTGGGTCACAAGAAGACTCATGGAACGTCAGTGATGGTTTTCAGCTTGCGGGGCAAATGCAAAAAGTCTGGGATGAGGTTTACCCAGACATCCCCCACACCATTGAGGCTCGTGGCGACACCTTTCATTTGGTCTGTGAAGTCTTCTCCTTCCGATTCTGTTATGAGGCTGATGATTAGTAGGCTCAGCAAAAGGTTTACGAATGGCGTAGCTTCTTTGGAAGCATAGCGATTGATGTTGTGACCGGCTATTTCAACAGGGAGAACCTTCACACTTCAGAGGCTCGAAAACAGTATGTTGAAGACGCGCTGGCCCAACCCTATCTCCCTTTCCGCTACACTCACATGGATCGCTCAGTTAACCCTCCAGTAGGTTCTGATAGCTTTTCATTCACCAGGTCTTGAATTTAATAAACCAACAGGTCGGGCGTGGCGTCTTCCGAAGCGATGTTATCATCAACACCCTTGCGCTTGCACATTTCGGTACACTCAGCGGCGCCGTTTCTATTCCATTAACAGAGCGGTTACCCATAGGAGCACTTGCATTGTCTACTGTGGCGGCAAGTCCTTCCATTTTCTGTCAAGATTTCCATACTTACACCTGTAGTTTGCCCTTACAGGTTGAGCGCGCGTTTCGCTTGTATAGCACGGGCGAGCTTGTGCAAGATCCCCACCACAAGTTCTCAGAGCTCAATTATGGCGATGACACCCGTCTCTATGGGATCGGAATTGCCCAGCTGAAAGCTCGTCATTGGGACGAGATCATCCACAAGGCCACGCAAGTCCTGCGCGATAGCAAGACGAAGACAGAGGCCTTCTTCGAGCACCCCGGGGACGATCTCTCCATCACGGACACGCGAGCCGTGATCCTATTGTCGGATGACGAGGACGTGGAATCGACACCATCGTCACGCAGCGTCATCCACAACTCCAGCCGTGTGCAGAGCATCGAGCCTCGATCAGAGTCCGAGATAGAGGATTTCGGATCGGAACTTGGCGAGCTATTCTAGTGCGTATATCAGGTCTTTTTTCTATAGGTATTCAATACTAACATTGTATCAAGACTTCTCTGGCCTCTCGCACACATCTTCCTCACCACCATATCCACGAACACTGCTTCGCCCTCGTACAATTCCCTCAACATACTCACATTCCTCTCAGACAATCAATCCCCACTCAATCTTTTCTAGCCTACATATCAGGTTCGTGCGCGACTCATGATCCGGCGCACCCGTTTTGGGCCCCGGATTGTCCTCCGTTCATAATAGTTTTCATACCGTATAATACTATCATTTTAATGGTAAGACTGTCGTAAGAAGCGCCTGCGCGAGTCTCCAGTCGGGGTCTGAGCTACCAACAAAGCTTCTGACCTTCGTTCTGGATAGACTCTGACAGGTCTGAGTTAAGACCAATCCAGAGAAAGAACCTCCTGACGGCAGAGCCTTTCTCTGACCTCTGTTTGTTCTGAACTCTCTGAGTTCAGAACAAACAGAGGCTCTCAGACCTAAGTCAGAGATCGGCTGATTTGCTGATGTCGAGTCGTTGTCCTCGCCGGAAATATCATCCACAACATCCACAACATCCGCAACCTCGGGTGACACAACCTGGGCTGTTGAGGCGCCCTCGGGCAACGCGACCTTGGGCGGTGCGACCTGGAGGGGGGCGACCTTGGATAATGCAACCTCGGGTGACGCAACCTTGGATAGCGCAACCTCGGGTGACGCAACCTTGGGTAGCACAACCTCGGGCGATGTGACCTGGGGCGGCGCGACCTGGAGGGGCGCGACCTTGGATAATGCAACCTCGGGTGACGCAACCTTGGATAGCGCAACCTCGGGTGACGCAGCCTTGGGTAGCACAACCTTGGATCGCGCGACCTTGGGTAGCGTAACCTTGGGTAGCGTAACCTTGGGTAGCGTAACCTTGGGTAGCGCAACTTTGGGTGACGCGACCTCTTGGGGTGTGGGGGACCTCCATTTTGCGTTAAAATCGATTATATCCTTGATGAAAGAAATCGCCACTGTTCTACTAATGTCATAGGCATGGGCGACGCGCTCATAGAAAGCGTCTATCTCGCATTCTGATCTTGAGTCCAGCTTCATGCCAGCATTAAGGATAACCCAATGGGGCTGGACGTGCGACTCCAGTGTGGGCAGGTTTCCAAATGGATATTGGTAAGATGATGCGGAGCTTTCTTCATCAGTGCAGTCAGGTCGAGAGTGTCTATACACATCCATGAGCCGTTTAGATCCTATTGGCACCATCGCATATTCGAATTTCTTCGCGCCATTGTACCTCTGGTATATCCGAAGTGAATTGGGTGCAAAGAAACAAAAGGGCGCCACGATCTTCGTGGTGTTGCCTTGTTTGTAATTGTTGAGATTTCTGACCATGTCGGGAGTGGGAAGCAAAAGCCAACGTTTGGCATCGAATAGTCGGTGCCAATCGACTTTCACTGCCACACATTGAGAGAACTGAAACAAAAGAACTGGACAACGTCTCTCACGAAGAAGAAGGTTTCTGGCGTCGTCAATGTTGAAACACCGATGTCCGTTTCCCCACGCGCGTTCTAAGTTTGTGATCTGTGATACCATGAGTTAAGACTGGTGCGGAAACCATCTGCCCCGCCAATGCTTTGGGCTTGACCTGAGTCCCTAACCCGACGCTCACTATCTTGTCGGGAAAAGAGATAGGTCGATATTATCAAACTTCAAATAGAATTATTCACACACCTGCTGTATTGGCACCATCTTGGTCACTGCTACTCCTAACGGAAGCTCGACTATTCCACGTTACAGGCTGATCGCTGCTTGCTACTTTGCGACGTTTTAGGCTGGAAACCGCTGGTTCTGATGTAGACCTTTTGCGTTTCAAGTTCACATCTTGAAGATTCGAGGATTCAGTATATCAGAGAAAAAGCGACGTAAGGCAAACGTACGGGTGTACCCCGTCTCCACTTTTATGCAGCTGGTTCATAAGCGCATGCAATTGATATACAAGACGGAGATCACATACTTATGTGAAGAGGAGATTTTGCTTTTACAATACTTTTCACGGGACTTGACCCACTGGGCATCGTCGGAGACTGCTCCCAGCTCGTTGTGCGGCGGTGTTTTACGCACACGAGTACCGAATCGGAGCTAGACCTCTTGCGTTTGGAGTTACTAGGGTCGCTATCACTATCTTAGCGATAGACCAGTGAGGAGATGATGACAGGAAATTGCACGAGCAGCGCGGCATCCCAGATGTTGATTGGGTCAAGCCTATCGAAGGGGAGTGGGCGCATTGCAGATTCTTCAATCAATACCGGTATGCTTATATTTTTCCAACCGTTCGTTCCATATGCTCAAACACTGATTCTAAAAGACGTTGACTCACAATCCGCCGACTGTGTCTCACGGTCCATAGATTCGGGCGTTAAACGGCCGGGCCTGAAGCGCAGCAGGGATTCCACAACATCGAGGGTGTCAACCCCAGCTAAGAGGCTGAGAGAGGCCGAATCTACACACATGTTGAGTGCGCAGACCCTCATTGATAGCCTTTTATACCTACTGATTTCCCTTCTTTGAGAAAGTTGAAATCATCCGAACGTCTCTACTCCATTCGAGAGGATTAGCAAAGTTATCCCTACGGACCAGCGCTCTGTAACTCCTAATGAAACACTCCCTCCAGCTCCGCAACCAGCCATCTCAAACATCAAACATTGCCTTGTGACGAATGAGCTCGCGTCGGAGGCCCGAATCGAACCATGTTACTTGCTAAATCAGCGTCTCTGGGACAACAAGGAGATGGTCTGCTTTTTTCCTTCTCCTTTGCCCCCGCTTGTCGACGCGATCGCCGATTCCTTTTGCAGCTTACGCGTCTCGAATGAATGTGGGGAATTCAATACAGCTCGCTCGACTTGGACACAGAAGCAAATCGAATATATTGTGTGCTTTACCGTCTATGCGCCTCAACCATCACTGATGTTCTCCTCGATCTAGTCCATCATGACTTGTTGGAATCGTTTGACAGCCACCTATGGCTGCTCCTCCCTTTGCCTGAGATGGTCGACAAACTGTGGGACCGCCGCCAGAAATCTATGGAAGCTCCCACCAGTGCAAAGCGACAACCGCACATCGAGACGGTCCATCCTCCCTTGTTTCATCCAGAGTCATATCTCACGAACGTCTAGCTTTACGCAGGCGCCGACACTTTCGAATATCGGTTATTGCCATTACGGCGTGGCCTTGGTTCGATTGACCGATTCGATCAGCCAGATGTGACTGGAACGTCCTCGCCGGCCACCATGCCCCATCCGTACCCATTTGATACCCTACCGACTCTGGTATCGCACTTGAAGCCCCACTCCGTCATCTGCGACGCTGGCGCCAAGCTCTATCACGAGATCACATCGGAGCACTCAGGGCTCTCGCAGGTGGCCAAGCTACTCCGGCCGGTGTCTGAGCGCGAAGCTACTTTCATGCTTGACTACATGGAGCGCGTCTATGGCACGTGGCTCAGATACGAGCCGCACTCGACGTTTGCACCATCACCTCGGACTCCTCTACGACTACCATCCCCCGACGCATGTCCGAGGCTGCCCCTCCGGCGCCGCTTACGCCCATGGGCTTGCCTCCGGCCGTGCTTCAGGAGCCGGTTCGCGTGGACACCTTCGCTGTCAAAATGGCGGCGTCGATAGCGGCGCGTCTAGCGGCTCTGGGGGTGGACACCGCGCCGGCCTCGGTTCGTCCGAGGCACTGTGTGAGACCGAGTATGGGGCCCACCGCGGGCGTCTCTCGCTCGCTTGGCGGTCTTCTTGTTTGGAGAGTGTCAGGAAGCGCGGGGGGTGGGCTGCGCGCGCGCTCAATGACGGTCAGCTAGGGGGTTATGCGGACGAATTGCCGCAGACACTGGATGAGCTGTGTGATGTATCTATTCTGGACGGCGATGCTACGTGTACCGGACCTTAATCTGTCAAGTTTCGGTTCTGTGGATCGGGCTTTCATCGTGTCGCGTAGCTTTGGTACTCGTGCTTTCTCTATGGGCTTCCTCTAAGTGCTGGTCTCTTCACGAAGTCGGTACCCGGGAACTCGTTCCCTTGGTGCGAAGTCTACTTCTCTGAGGCCTTCACACCTCTCGCTTGAATACGCATCCATTGATCTTGCATCTATCTTGGTTGCGTGCGCACGGCTGGGTGTCCAATACTTTGGAAGACCGGCGCGCTCCGTCGGACAAACACTGAGGTGCCTGCTGGTAATTCGTTGACCTGGTTCGTGCGACTCCTACACGCGCTGTGGATTTAGTTCGATCGAGCACGCCGATGCGCGACTGGCCGCTTGGTGATGTCCAAATCTATCATGTGACTGTACGCCATTGTGTCACCTTCTAATTCTTCCTTCGGCGTGACTATTTAATTTGATTGTTCAACCGCCTCATCTCAACAACCCTCATTCGCAAGAGTACGTCTCATAGAAACGGTTTAATGGGCATCGCAGCATCCGCTCCGTTGAGGTGGTCAAGCCCATTTAAGAGGAGTGGCACGACAGGTTCCCTGGACCTTTCCAACTCCCAAGATATCAGTGATCCCTCAAAGGACAGTGGCGCAGTCGGGGACGCAGTCCCTTCTGATACTTCTAGTATGTGCGGGCTTCAAAAAGCTCACAGGTTCATCGCTGACGTCGTGACTTTCCCAGATGTCGACCAGCATCCCGAAAGCTCGGAGACCCCCGCTCCAATTCCACGCTCTGTACTTGCAGACCCAAAACGATGCCTCGTCACACAGGAATCAGGACCATCGATCATGCCGTGTTATCTGCTCAACCCGCGCCTCTGGCAGTTCAACGGGATGGTGCGTTCGGTCCTGCCTCTCGTGATCCGACTGTTGACCGCCGGGTGCAGCTGACGCGCCTCGAATGGCACTGGGGGATGAAGTACTCGTCGCTAGAGCTGGATGTAGAGGCGAACAGGATTTATCGTGTGTCGTGCCGCCGTTGACGCCTCACTGGTTACTCATGAGCCTCGCTCGTTGCAGTTCGTCAAGATTTGTTGGAATCATTTGACAGCAACCGCTGGCTGCTTCTCCCACCCCCTGAAATGGTAGACAGAGTCTGGGCTCGCTATTTCATGATAGATTTCAAAAGTCCGATCCAACAATCTCCTATCGAGTCGGTTTGTCTGTCCTCGTTTTCCGCGATAACTCTCTCCGACGATTGTGTAGATTTATGAAGGTGCTGAGGTCTTTGAATATCGGTTGTTTCCATTGGACAAGGATCTTCGTCCAATAAAACGATTCGATGAGCCAGACTCGACCAAACGGTCTTCGCCACTCAATGCCGACCCCACCGAGGAGAACTCTACCCGCCATTCATATCCATTTGACAGTCTACCAATCCTCGTTTCCAGTGTCCAACCCCACTTCGTCATCCTCGACTCGGCTGCAACGCTGTTCAATCAGCCATGGATAGTGTCGACCGTGGTGCCTTCACTTTGGCCGATTTCCGAGTACAATGCCAGCCACATGCTTTGGCACCTCGAATTCGTGTATTGTGTTTGGCTTGAAATTGAGGCGCCCCCTGGATTTGCGTCTACGTCGCGCACTCCTTTGTGGGTATCTGCTCCCGACGCGGGTGCATGCCTGCCGACGTCGCGGCCGATGTCACTGACTGTCTGCACTGGGCCGTGCTTCCTCAGCCGGTTTGCGTGGCAGCCGTCTGTCTGCTCTCGCTGTCTGCATACTGGCGATGACAACATGAGCGACGACTCTGCCGCCTCAGACAGCGACGACGACTTCAGGAGCCTTAGCCCATCCGAGTACAATACGTACCGCCAGAGCCTAGATCGATATATAGTGACCTGGCGCACGCGATGTCTCAAAATGGTCGGGAAGTGCGGGCGATGGACTTCCCGTGTGGTCAACGACAAGCAATTGCGAGGATATCCTGAGAGCGTGTGCGGTTGAGGATACCGACACGACGATGATAACTGCATAGTAATGAGTCCCGTGCTTGCCCCTCCTATCTCAGGAAGAGTCGGTTGGAAACAAGTACTTCGCGTGCATCTTCATCTAGGACTTATTTTCGTTGGTGTATCGTCGGGTGAATCAAGGTACTTCGCCAGGTCGACGTAGTAGTATCAACTTTGACATGACATTTTTTCAATCAACATTGTAAGTTCTTTGTATGCATGGTGAACGCCACAGTCGCCTATGGCATTGTGAAATGTTGTGAGAAGAAAGGAACTCAACAAAATGTGGCTTGGGGCATCGTGATCGAAAAATGTCACTTGTGACCACGAATCACATGACCGCCCCACTTGAAAGTGGCTCGCTCTCGCTCGTTCATCGTTCAACCAGCGTCTTGTCGCGCACCTAGAACTCATAACCCGTGTTCATCTACTTGAGAATACACTTCTATACAAAAACAATCCTAGCAATAGCACTGAACATTGCAGTGTAATGGGCATCACAGGATCCTTACCATTGAGATGGTCAACCCTGGTCAAGAGCGGTGTCGAGATGGGCTCAACAGATTCCCAAGGTATGTCTCCGTCCAAGCTGACTTTCATGCTCCTCGTTCATCTTCTATGTCGTCAAGATGTCGGTAATCACTCCGAACATCCTCAACTCGTGCCGACAATCCCAATTCCAAACCATTCCCGTGTGTCGAGCAGTGTAACGACTACAACATTGATCGGGTCAAGCCCATTGAAAAGTCATGGTTGTAGAGCGGACTCTTCTTGTATCATCAGTATGTCTGCATCTAATAGATCCTATATCCGTCGCGCTTAATCATAACCTCGAAAAGACGTTGATTACCATTCTGAAGGCTCAAACCACGTCAACCGTATTCGACGTTCCATTGATTCGGGTGTAACATGCTTGGGTCTTAAGCGCAGCAGAGGTTCCAATACGTCAAATGTGTCAGTCCCTGCGAAGAGGCGCAGAGGACCTAAATCAGGACCCGAACTCACACAATCTTCCAGTGCGCAAACCCTTGTTTACAACCTTATAGTTTTGTTGATTTAATATTCGTTCAAGAAGTAAATCATCGCTCGAACGTCCTGACTCCGTCCGTGAGTATCAGCAAGACGATTCCTTCGAAGGCCACTGGTACGCGTATGATTGGGTGACTGCTCGTTCAATTACTGATAATCTCCATAAGGTGCGGACCAGCGTCCCGAAACCCCCGAAACCCCTTCTCAAGCTCCACGATCAGCCATCTCGAATGTCAAACATTGCCTTGTGACGAATGAGCTCGCATCGACGGCCCGAGTTGAACCGTGTTACTTGTTAAATCAGCGTCTCTGGGAAAACAAAGAGATGGTATGTCTGTTCCTCTGCTCCCGGTTCTCGATATAATGTCTGACTCTCGATCGCAGCTTACACGTCTCGAATGGATGTGGGGGATGCAATACGATTCACTCGAGTTGGATACAGAAGCAAATAGAATTTATCGTGTGTTTTCTAGTTATATGTGCCTCAACCACAACTGACATTCGCTTCGGGCTAGTACGTCATGACTTGCTGGAATCGTTTGACAGCAACCGCTGGCTGCTCCTTCCTTCGCTTGAGATGGTCAACAAATTGTGGGATCGCTGTCATAATATCATAGATGATCCTACCAGCGCAAAGCAACAACCGCACATCGAGACGGTTCGTGTTTCCATCTTTCGTCGAAGATCCATCTCATGATCCTTCAGCTTTATGAAGGTGCCGAAACTTTTGAATATCGGTTATTGCCACTGCGGCACGGCATTGAATCGATTGATCGGTTCGATCAACCAAATTCGATTAGAACGTTTTCGCCAGCCGCTGAGCAAAGCCCCACGCGCTATTCGAATCCATTCGACACCCTCCCAACTCTGGTTTCACGTGCGAAACCCCATTTCGTCATCTGCGATTCCGCTGCCAAGCTCTTTCATGAAACAACATCTGGCCCATCAGGACTTGCGCGGATGATCCAGTTGCTCTGGCCGGTGTCCGAGTGCGATGCCACTTGTATGCTCGTCAACTTACAAAGTGTATATTCTCTCTGGCTGGAAGATGCACCGCCCTCGACATTTGCATCGTCACCTCGCACTCCTCTTCAATTACCCTCCCCTGACGCCTGTCCAAGGCTACCCATCCGACGTCGCCCGTCCCCAGAGTCTTGTGTCCGACCATGCTTTAATAGCCGATTTGCATGGACACCTTTGCTATGCTCTCGCTGCCGAAACGGCGGCATTATCAATAACTCCATTGACTCTGATAGCGACGAAGATCTTATCAGTCTTAGTCCATCAGAAGCTGCATCTGAGTATAAAGCCTACCGCAGACATCTTTCTTATAAAGTAAGATCTTGGCAATCCCGTTGTATGAAGGAGGGAGGGAGATGGACGTCACGTGTGCTCAACGACGACCAGCTGGGAAGCTATGTGGAAGAGCGATCACGAAACATTGAGCGGACTGTACGGCGTACTCATTCTCGACGGTGATGCCCAATGTACTTACTCTTAGGATGTCAGATTCCAGTTTGAGAATCCTCTTGTAGAATCATTGTATGATGAGACATGTTGAATATACCCAAGTCTTAGACTCTCATCAATTCTCCTCTTAGAGTGGCTTCTCTACTTCCAAGCCAAATATTATCGCTAGGCCACCTTCTGCCATATAGGCCACATCTTGTGCCTTGTCCAGAAATCATAGGCCACATCTCGTACCCTGTGCCGGTCACGTTGTGGCATATCTCACCAACTTACGCATTGAACACAGGTCCGGCCATGGCATTATTCTGCCACGGAATGTGCCACTCGTTCCATGACTATAAATCCCTATTGCTGCCCTTTCCAGGCCACCTATCCCTTTCTTCCTCCCGTCCATAGCCTGTTGACAACTCTCCTAAACTCCATGCACAGGGTTTTCAACTTCACTCATGGGCCCTCAATCACAAAAAGTGAGACTGCTATGGACTTCACTCCTATTTCCTCAGGAAAAATCTTTATCCAAGACACTGACATCTCCACCAAGGACAAGGCATCTACCAAGGGCAAAGCCTCTACCAAGGGCAAGGCCTCTACTAAGGGCAAGGCCTCCACCAATGGTGAGGGCTTTGCCAAGGGTAAGGCCCCCACCAAGGACAAGGCCTCCACCAAGGGTAAGGCCTCTACCAGGGGCAGGGTCACCACCAATAGTGAGGGATCCACCAAGGGCAATGACTCCCCCAAGGGCGGGGCCACAGCCAGTGGCAGGACCTTTACCAAATACAAAACCTCCACCAAGGCAAGGCCTCCACCAAGGGTGAGGCCTCTAACAAGGGCAGGGTCATCACCAATGGCGAGGGATCCACCAAGGGCAAGGCCATGGTCAATGGCAAGGCCTTTACCAAATACAAAACCTCAATCAAAGGTGAGGCCTCCACCAAGGGCAAAACCTCTACCAAAGGCAAGCTCTCAGATAATACCGAAGAAGAGTCAATGGTGGAGGAAGAGATATCCAACAGTGGCTTGGATGCCAATGTCCTACCCTGTTTGCCAGTCCCAGCTAAAAGTTGCAGTCAGAATTCTAGTCTTGTTGACATCAGAACAATGTTAGAGGAAGAGCTCAATAATATCGGCTGTTCCACACTAGCTGACAGGATATTTGACAGGTTTGGAGACTCCATAATTTTTGACAATGATGAGTATGATCCTAGAGCACCGCCTCTACCAGACAAGGATGAGATGATGCACTGTATCCTGCAGGGAGATTTGATGCACAACGGTAGAAGCCATCATTCTGGGACTGACCCATTCTCAAAGCTTATGGTTGATCTATTGGATCCCCACCCTCACCAATGCCTTATGACTAGAGAATTAGATTGGGAAGGTGAAGTAGAATATTGCCATCTTCTTGACTTGTCCAACTATACAAATTATGCATTGGTAAGTTTTATTCTATAATCTATCTATGGTTACTGATAGTCTGATTGTTGAAGCTCATGGCATTTGAGTACTCTTTTGGAATTGGTTACAAGAAATTCAACATCAATGATGCTAGAAATATAGCTAGGTATAGGACATTTTGTCCATATCTTATCTTATCTACTGATCCCAACTTTTTTTATCAGTCATCATAAACCTTCATAGATAGGTGGACAAAAATCACACCATCATCTTCCCCACCATAGATATGGTCTGCCACCTTAGCAAGCACAAGCTTGGTGACAACATTTGTAAGGTAAATATTAGATGGAGTCTATTCGTCCCATTTTCTGACCTGTCAAGCAGATTTATCAAAAAGAGGAGGTTTTCATGTACCATTTTTTACCACTTGGAGAGCTGACCTCAAATATTATCTGTTATCAAAGGACTGATAAAGGTGAGCAGCTTCTGGCACACAACACAGCCATGGAGTCGCATCTGTATCCATTCCATACCTTGCTGTCTCTTCTATTACATGTGGAACCACATTATGTGGTCATCAACACTGCTCAGAAGCTACTATCCATCGGTCAAGGCCAATCCTGAATGCAATTGCTTTGCTCGATTACAGCTGTCTACAATGTGGACTTGAGTGCTGCTCAGAAGTTTATCGTAGATATCGACTTGCTATACAAGGCCTGGAAAGAACCTGCACCAGATGATTTTGCAATTCCCAAGGTGAAGAAAGAAGCTCAGGTGGACAGGAACAAGGGAATAGAGGACGCGGGTGGTGTTGGCACAAATTCTAATCACACCCCTAATTTGAACCATCCTACAAAGAGGCAGTGTCCAAGCCCGACATTTTCCGAGAATAATGTGGTGATGAAGTACAAATCCATGAAAAGTGCGGCAGAATCTGTCGCAAGCCGAGCCACCTGCAAGTGACCTGTTTGTACTATGAGCACTAGATCTATCTGTGTATTCATGGCAACATTCCAAAATTGCAATATTGAGATTGTTTAGAGTTGCACATTGTTCAATGTCATTTGACAAGGCTATGAGACAACTCAGATGATGTTTTCTAGGCTTCCATTAGAACCTGTTGTTCATGCTTATGTTGTTGGAGACTCATTGGAGCTATCATTTCATTCATTCATCCCATTGTAAAAATACAGGCTAGAAGGTACTATCTCAGCATCTATTAGAACACTGTGAAAGGCTATACGACATTTACCTAGAAGGTAATATCTATTCCAAAGTATTGTAAGTGTCAATCTGAGAGTATGTGATGGAAATGGGCTCACCTCAGTGTCTATTAGAACACTGAGGGAAGCCTAAGCTGGCTGTGCTTGTACTACAAGCGTGGTGGCTGAGAACTGTATAGTATCTCAGTAAACCCCAAGCCAATGAGAAGTGAGTTAAGTAATATGTAAGAAATAGGTGATTTGCCTTAATTCAACACACCCCCTCAAATCTCCAGAAGTCCAATTAGCTCTGCCATCTTCTCAACCTTCTGATAAGCCAAGGGTTTGGTAAACCCATCAGATGCCATTTCCCCCGTGGGGAAATATCACAGCTCAATCAGGTTCTTCTCAATAATGTCATGGATGAAATGGTATCAAATGTCAATGTGTTTTGTGTGGGAGTGAAAAGTATCATTCTTGGCAAGGGAGATAGCAGATAGATTGTCACTAAATAGAATGGTATGCACAGTCAAGGGGGAGAGTAGATTACTCAGAAGCATGCAAATCCATAGTGCTTCTTTTGTTGCATGAGCAAGTGCAACATACTTGGCTTCAGTGCTTGACTGAGCAACAATGGTCTGTTTCTTAGAAGACCAAGAAATGGCACCACCATCGAACAGAAAAACATATCCCAAGATTGAGCATCAGTGTTCCTGACCTCCATGATCTGCATCCAAGAATCCTTCAATACCTTGCTCTTTCCTTCCAAATGTTAACCACAGCTCCTGTGTTCCCTTCAAATACCTCAACAATCACTTTGCGGCTTCCCAATGAGCACATCCTGGATTCTGCATAAATTGCAAAAGATATGATACTGCAAAACAAATGTCTGGTCAAGCAGCAACAGCGGCATACATAGCCGATCTGATAAGTTTCTGATAGGGGATGTTACACATTTTGGCATACTGCTGCAGTATGGATGGGGACTGCAATGTAGAGAGATAGGTGTTTGGATCCGTAGGAGTAGATAGTAAATTGGCAGATTTGAGATTAAAATATGAGAGAATCATGTCAATGTATGCTCGCTGAGACAAGGATATGGTCTGTACCCCACGATTGTGTTTGATCTTGATACCAAGAAGCCAATGAATCTCACCCAAGTTAGTCATCTTGAAGGCATCATTCAGAGCAGCTTTCAATAGCCAGGATTCTAGCAACAGTATTGGAGAAGATCGACATATCATCCATAGAGACTGAAATAATGGAGATTCCAGCCAAGTCTGGCTTGTAAAACACCTCATGTTTGACAGGACATACCACAAATCCCATTTTGAGAAATGCATGGCTGAGTTTTGATACCATTGATAACTGGACTGTTTTAGACCATAAAAAGTCTTAAAAAGATGACAGACCTTGGCCTAGAGACTGGGAGAGATGTACCTAGGAGGCTGCTTCATGTAGATCACCTCCTCAAGGTTGCCATTGAGGAAAGTGTTTTTGACATCCATCTGGTGGATCTCCCAGTCAAATCGGGTAGCAAGAGCGAGCAGAATTTGGATGGTCGTGAGTTTTGCAGCTAGTGCAAAGATGTTGCCATAGTTGAGTCCAGGGACTTGAGTAAAGCCTTGCACAACAAGACATGCCTTGTATTTGACAATTTCACCTGATGCACCCCGTTTGAGCTTGAAAACCCACTTAGAACCAATGACATTTGCGTCGGGCAGCCTGTTGACAAGAGTCTAGGTTTTGAGCTTGTGCATGTAAGCAAGTTTATCTTTGATTACAGCGTCCTAACTCGGTAATGAGCATGCACCCATGCTAGGGTCCAAGGGAGGGCCCGAGGAAGGTATTCAGGAAGCTTTTGGGAGATACCAATTAGCGCTAGATAAGTACCAAAGACACTAACTTGCACCAAACTGGTTTCTACCTGACCAACTGCAACCCACCAAAGGACATTTGGCAACACTTGGGTCAGTTTACCCATACTTCATGTACTTACCATGCCCACACAGGAGTATTACAATAGGTTTTTATGAGATTGGAGCCAGTATTTCATGTTGGCTGATGTCATCCATGAGTTGGTCGGTCCTTATCTCTTATTTTCCTAACTTCCACATAGTCAGGCAAACACAATTTTGCACCATTACTTGGCCACCCTAGTTATACATTACTTCTTCTTTATTTTCATTGGCTCACCAATGCCTTTTTTTGCTACCTATACTCAGGCAATGGATCCCAAACATTTAGGATTTCACCATTGCTGATTAACTTTTACCTTATCATCTTTGGAACCCATATACCTTATCATTTTCAGAACCCATATGGACATCTCACCTACCTTCTTATCTTTTCTGATCACTAAGGCTTGGCACCTATTCAACATCTACTCTCATTTCGTGTTTAATATTTTACTTAGGGGCTCTGTTTACTATAAAAACCTACATACAATTCTGGAATAAACCAGCTTTTGCACCCCACAGTTTAAGGCTCATTTGCACTCATCTTAACCATTGAAATTGTCTTTGTCAACTTCTGAAAACTTGCCATCTGCGTTGCTTGGCCTCATTCACATTTGTACTCATCTCTTCACTCATATCCCTCATCTTCCCTCATATATTGTCAGAGTCCCGTGTGGCTCTTAAAGTATGCAGTTGTTGGTTGCAACACTACCTTCTCATTACCGACCAATTCCTCAACTTAACTGACCAAATATTTGGTCGGTGTTTGGCACAGTCCCAAAATTATTTGGGTGCTATAATCTTATACTCCCCATTGTTTCTCAGTATGCCTTCAATCTCTAAAGTCATCACTAACAAATCCTTATGTATTAGATACTAGCTCCAGCACCCCCTGCATTAGAGGTTGTTTTGGTGTTGTGCTTAGCACTCAGAGCCACCTCTAGTGTATCAACGTCAATAATACAATTAACAAGGCAGGTCTCATCCGCTTAGCTTTGGATGTGAACCTCAAAATTTGGGATATCTATGGATGAACGCACACAGAACACATTCAGATGTTCATTTCTAATCTAGGGAAAGATGACCTTATTCTAGGAACAGATTGGCAAAAATACCATGATCCCTCCATTGAGTGGGGGTAACATGAAGTACACTTTGGTTGGTGTCCCCAGAATTGCCACCAACCACATGGGTTCACTAGGGCAAGGGAAGAGCCACCCAACAGTGGTTGGCTAGCACACATGGAATTGCACCACAAGCTGCAAATTAACAAGTGTGAAAAATAGCACCTTGAATACCTCTGAAGGATATGAGAGGATATTGGACTCCATGATCACAGCAGAATGTTTGGCATCTAACTACAAGCCTACCTCAAAAGGAAGTGGCTTCTACAAGACATAAGAAAATATGCAGAGGAGAAATGATGTGCTTAAACAAAATTTAAGCCATCTCCTTCACCAAATGCAGGAGAACCTGACCTTCTAAACAAACCCTCAGGAACAATTGTCATAGAGGAACCAGTTATTCAGAAATTGGCCCTGGAACCATCAGGATTTGCTAGCTTTGACCAAGACCTGGAGGACAAGATCATTGTCACCAACTTGAAGGAAAGGGTCCCCGAGGCACATTATGAATACTTAGACATTTTCAGTGAACAAAAGTCACAATGACTCCTAGGACACACCTACTGAGATCATGCCATTGACCTAAAACCTACTTTTAAACCTCAAATACCCAAGATATATGCCTTGAGCCCAGAGAAGCATGATGAACTAGAAAAGTTTATGAAGAAATACCTTGCAAGGGGAACTATCTGCCGATCCACATTACCCATGGCTGCCCCATTTTTCTTCATAAGAAAGAAGAACAGAAAACTATGCCCGATACAGGACTACCACCATTTAAATTTGCACACTATCCCAAATGTCTGCCCCCTTCTATTAATCCAAAAACTGTTGAACATAATAAAAGGGGCTATAATATTCAGCAAACTGGATGTACAATATGGATATAATAATATACATGTTAAGGAAGGAGACAAGTAGAAGGCCATATTCATCACCTTTCTAGGATCATATGAGCTAACAGTAATGTTTTTCAGCTTAACCAACTCTCCAGCAGCCTTCCAAGCCATGATGAACATGATTTTCTGGAAACTCATCACAGCTTGCAAAATAACAGTATACATGGATGACATCCTCATTTTCTCCAAATCAATGGTGGAACATATCATAGCACCCCTCAACTTGATGGCCATACTTACAGGTTGTTCGTGGACTCTTAGTGCATCCCTCTTTCAACAGCGGAACATATCCATGTTCTAAACTAGGTCTTCCAAATCCCACGTTACAACAATCTCTACCTGAAACCAGAGAAATACAAGTTCTACAAAGAAAAGCTCAACTACCTGGGGTACACAATTTCAAAAGACCATATTACTATGGAAGACTCCAAAGTGGATGCAATAAAGTACTGGCTGGTTTTATACACAGTTCAAGATATTTGCTCTTTTTTAGGCTTGGGAAATTTTTACAGGTGATTTATAAACAAATTTTTGCTCATTATGTGCCCTTTACATAATCTCACTAAGAAAGACAAAAAATGGAACTAGACCAAAAAATGCCAAGAAGCTTTCAAGCACTTAAAAAAAGCCTTGATTAGCTAACCTGTCCTAAATTATCCAGATCCCACATGACCGTACTGACTTGTAACGGACATGTCATTGATTGCCTATAGAGCCACCCTTCTACAAGAAGGCAAGGACAGTGACTGGCACCCAATGGCATTCCTCTTTGGATCATTCTCCCTTGCAGAACAAAACTACAATATCCACAACTGCAAGCTATTGGCCATTGTAAAATATTTGGAACACTGGAACCACTACCTTGAAGGAGCACGACATCCCTTCAAGATCTGGACAAACCATAAAAACCTGGAACATTTCCAAATGGTGCAAGATCTATCACAAAGACATGTCCATTGGAGCCTCTATTTGAGCAGATTCGACTTTACACTTAGCTATAAAGCAGGATCAACCAATCACTTAGATGCTCTGTCCAGGTGTCCAAATTTAAGTGAGGGGGTGGAATCTGACAATAAAGCTCAAATCCTACTTCCAGCCAAACTTTTCAACAAGGCAAGCAAAACCAAGGCAAAACCAGACCAAACAGTGCATGTAAAATCCATGGAAATCATATCCTCAGACCTTATTTCCCTCATTTAACACTTGTGATTAGAACACAATGCCCTAACAGATATGGCCCTCACTAAATTACTACGAGAAGGCCCACAAGCAATGAAGGGAGACCTAGGAAAATAAACACATGAGAACGGAATCACCAGGCAAAATGGCTATATGTGTGTTCCCAAAAATAATGTGATCCAAAGGCTCATTGTCAAGACATACCACAATACATCAGCCATAGGACATCTGGGCAGAGCCAAAACTTTAGGAATGGTACAACCAAATATATCATTCTGGCATCACATACCAACATGACTGTCTTTTCCATAGCCCAATAGCTAGAGAAAAACATCAAGTTTGAGCATCCATCTGGAAAACCACCCCTTTGTATTAGCTCTGGATTATATCTAATAGTGTCTAAAAGTATCTAAAAGTGTTAATAGCATCTAAATGTGTCTAATTTCCTAATTGGGAGCAATACATTGTGAGCATTGGATTGGTTTCTAATTTCATAATATTAGCACTAATTCTATACTAAAAAGTGTTTAATTATCAGTAGGAAATAGTAAGTACTACTGCTCTATCAGTGAGAAGGTAAAAATGTGGCACATTCTACACTATTTTAGCACATTACTCCCTTTCATATATGCCTGCACCATTATCTTGTAGCTCTTTTGTGGACTTTCCAGCTACCTTTAAAAGGGACATAAAAAGAGAGAAATGTGCATTGATGCCCCCAGCTACTTTGTTGACAGCTTGGTGGCTGCCACAAGAGGCTATGAAGACTTAGGTACCTTGGCCTTGCACACAAGATCATTAAAGTTGTTATTGTTAGCCAATGCCTGCTACTAGTCATTATAGGACACAACATGTGGATTGGACTTAGGGATATGCTATATGCAGCCTTATAGACCTTGTCCATTAGTACAGTGGTCAATACTGTCTTGTGCAGGACACAATCATCATCACTATTAATATTACAATTTTGAGCACTATTTATATTGTTTATTATCTTATTATACAGAAGATGCTCAAACTGGGTGTTTTCCTATAGATATTAGGCTGTGGAAAAGACAGTCATGTTAGTATGTAGTGCCAGAATGATATATTTGTCTGCTATGTAGGAAATATGTGCATTAAGCATATTAAGATCACCTCCAATAATCTTGTGCTTATTTATATATAGGCATGCCATACATACACTCTTGTCTCCACCCTCTACCTCACTAGTGGCCATTTGGAAAACCCCTCTTTTGTATTGGATCTTAATTATTGATAATCATTAATAATACTAATTTGAGCTAATTATGGCAAATTATTCATAATCATGTTTTCACAAATTTGCAAATTAAGGTAGCATTATCTATACTAGTAGAGTTCTATACTCAATCATAGTTTTACACATTCTCAGTCCAAATTGTATAAGTGCCATAATTTATTTTTATCCTACATAAAGTGTATTATTGATTTTCTATTAGTTTATTATCTTCTTAGCTGGTGTTTAAACTAAATCCTAAAAGACCTGACTTTTTGGATATTTATTGACCTGTTTATTTATTAGATAGACAAAAGATAAATATTAAACAAAATTTGAGATGTTAAGGTTACCTATATTATGTCTACTTATTTAGATTACCAAGTTTATATATTAGACCTTGTGGCTTAGTGGCTTAGAGCATCTGTCCTAGGTGCTTGTATACATGAGGTTGTTGGCTCAACTCTGGCAAAAGGCAAGTTTGTTATAAGGTATATTCTGTGTTTAGGTATTGAACTAGTGCTCTAATAGACATGACTCTATAAGAAGGCTATAAGAACTGTGATACTTGATTTATTATGATTTTTCCCAAATTTCAAGTTATAATCAATCCTAATAATTCCTAATTTAGGAAAATTATGTCTAATTAGAACAGGTTTAGAGGGGGGGTAAGCTAAAAATGTCTAATCCTAATCATTCTTAATTATGCATAAATAGAACTAATTAGAGCTTAATACAAAGAGGTGGTTTTCCAGATGTATGTTTGTACCAGGAGGCCGTGTCAGGGTCGGTTTGGAGGGCGAGCCCTCTGATCTGGAGACTAGCACTAGCCAGTCATCGAGGTACGTCGCTATTTTCATTTCCAGGTTGTCCTGCTGAAAAGTTAGCAAGTTGTTGGAGAGCCATGGCTGTGGCCATCTGTATTACCGCAGAGATGGTGTTGCGCTAGAGAAGTGCGTCTGCGTATTGCTCCAATTCTCCGGAGTAAGGATTTGTACAAGGGGTAGGTCTTCCCATGGAGCTGGGAACCTGTCCACTAATTGGTACTGTCAGAGGTGTAGTTCCCTGTACAACTGGTACCAGTTCAGTTTCTCCATGGCTTGGGAGTTGAGCTGCCATTCTTGCTCGTAGTCTCAAGGGACCTGCAGCTCCAGTATTTGTCATGACTCCAGTAGGAGATGAAACTCCCACTGGTAGTTTGCCAGTGCCTGGTAAGTTTCTATCATCAGGGTTTTCATGCCGTGGTGCATCTCGGGAACTCCCCCTTAGCGATGGTCGGCGGGTTCTTTCTCTTTCCTTGAACTTGGTGTAGTCCTCGGCATCATCATCCGAGAAGTTGTTAAGATTTGGAGTAAGGACGGCGATGGCGGGCTCTGGGCAGTGAGGACTGGTTCCTCTGTCAACTCGTCCAGCATTGGACTGGTGAGGACTAGTTCCTCTGTCCACTCATTTGACATCTGGATTGGAGACCATAAGGACGACATCGGGGGAGGAGTTTCTAGATGGAGACGAGGCATCGTGGTCTTCGTGGAGGAGCATTCGGGTAAAGGGATGAGTTTGAGAAGTGGGGAAAATGATCTGTTAGAGCCCTCTTGTTGCTCTTTTATAACTTTTTCCCCCACCTTTCAGGATACTCCTGGACGAGGTTTGTCTGGGTATTGGTCATGAAACTCTTTCATGGCTTCTTCCACTGTTCCTTTTAGGAGAGTGTAGGGTTCCCAGGTGTTGTCTGCCTTGGGATATCCCATCCACTTGACCAAATACTTGGTTCCCCGTCCTTGTCTTTTTGAGTCCACAATCATTTCCACTTTGTAATGCTCTTTGTTGTTTAATACCTCTGGTAATGGTCTCACAAAGTTTTTCCCATGTGCCTCTGTTTCCCTATATTTAGTGATTATTGCGGCATAAAACACCGGGTGGATTTTCTAGTGCTGGGGAATTTGAAGTTTGTATGCCAGGGTTCCTATTTTCACCAATATTTTGAAGGGTCCATATCTTCTAGGGGTGAGTTTGAACTTAGGATGGGTCGTCCAGATATGGGTTCCTTCCAGCCATACTTGGTCTCCTTCTTTCCATTGGGGAAGTTTCCTATGGAGATCCCAGTTTTTGGCATAATTGCTGGCTATTTGTAGGCTGGCCGCGGCTTCTTCTTGGACTTCTGTGATCATCTTAATGCATTCAGCTACTGTGGGTACCTTTGTCTCTAGCGCGGTGTTGGCTAAATAAGGGGGGTTGAACCTGTATAGCACTTTGAAAGGGGATTTTCCCGTGGTCGAGTGCTTCCAAGTGTTATGCGAGAACTCGGCAAATGGCAGAAGGTTTACCCAGTTATCTTGGTGGTAGTTGCAGAATGTTCTCAGAAATTGTTTGATTTCCTGGTTTACTCATTCTGTTTCTCTGTCTGTTTGGGGATGATAAGCCGTGCTGAGGGCAGTGGTGATTCCTAGCCGTTTCCAGAGTTCTAGGGTGAATTTGGCCGCAAATTGAGGGCCGCAATCGGACACTATTTTGGTCGGCAGCCCATGTTAATTGAAAACGTTATTCTGGACAAGCACGGTTGTTTCTTCTGCCGTGATCGTTTTCTTGCATGGGGTGATGACTATGCCTTTGGACAGACCTTGGTCCACTACCACATTGATTGAGTCGAAACCTTTGCTTTCGGGTGGATCCGTGATGAAGTCTGTTGAGATGAATCGCCAAGGGACGTTGGTGGTTTCCAAAGGATAGATAGGAGGGTGTGTCCTGTGCGTTAAGTTCTTCGTGGATTGACATACGGTGCATCTGTCCACATATTCATGGATGAATTTGGTCATGTTTGCCACCAGTAGTATTGTTGTACCATTTCCAGAGTTTTGGCTCTACCTGGGTGTCCTACTGCGGGTGTGTCATGATGTGTTTTGATAATAAGCCTCAGGATGGCATTGTCTTTTGGGACGCATATGTGGCTGTTACGCCTGGTGATTCCGTCTCTGTGTGTCCAATGTCCCAGTAGTCCTCTCATTCCTTGTGGCCCTACTCGCAAGAGTTTGGTGAGGGCTATCCTTGTCAGGGCATCATGTTCTGATTTTGAATGTTGGATGAGGGAGATGAGGTCTGAGGATGCGATTTCCATGGACTTTATATGCCTTATTGGGGGTGGTTCCACCAATATTTTGTCAATTTTGTTGAAAGGTTGGCCGGGAGCAAAATTTGAGCCTTGTTGTCAGATTCTACCCCCTCACTTAGACTGGACACCTGGACAGAGCATCGGAATGGTTTGTTGATTCTGCCATATAGCTGAGCATAAAGTTGAATCTGCTCGAAAATAAAGGCTCCAACGGGCCTGTTGTCGTGACAGATCTCGCACCGTTTGGAAATGTTCTAGGTTCTTGTGGTCTGTCCAGATCTCAAAGGGATGTCGTGCGCCTTCGAGGTAGTGGTTCCAGTGTTCCAACACTTTTATGATAGCTAGGAGTTCCTGGTTGTGGATGTTGTAATTCCACTCTGCTGGTGAGAATGACCCGGAAAGGAAAGCAACTGGGTGCCAGTTGCCATCTTTTCCTTCTTGCAGAAGGGTGGCTCCATAAGTGATTAGTGATGCGTCCGTCACTAATCGATTAGTGATGCGTCCGTCACTAATCGATATGGACGCATGGGATCCAGGTAATTCAGGATGGGTTTGCTGATAAAAGCTTTTTTTAGTCGTTCAAAAGCTTCTTGGCATTTCGGAGTCCAGTTCCATTTTTCGTCCTTTTTGGTGATGTTATGTAGGGGGTGCGCAATAAGTGAGAATTTGTCAATGAAGCACCTATAAAAATTCCCTAAACCTAAAAAGGAACAAATGTCTTGGACCATGCGTGGAATTGGCCAATCTTGTATTGCATCCACTTTGGAATCTTCCATAGCGACATGGTCTTTTGAAATCGTGTACCCCAGATATTGGAGTTTTTCCTTGTAAAACTCGCACTTTTCTGGTTTCAAGTAGAGGTCATTGTCGCGTAAAATTTGGAAAACTTGGTTTAGGACTTGAATGTGCTCTGCCATGGATTTGGAGAAAATGAGGATGTCATCCATATATACGGTTATCTTCTGGGCAGTGATAAGTTCTTGAAAGATCATGTTCATCATAGCTTGGAAGGTGGCTGGTGAGTTGGATAAGCCAAAAAACATCACCGTAGGCTCATAGGAGCCCAATAGGGTAATAAAGGCTGTCTTCCACTCATCTCTTTCTTTGATTCATATGTTGTTGTATCCCCATCGCACATCCAGTTTGCTAAAAATGGTGGCCCCTTTAATCACATCCAATAGTTCTTGGATCAGTGAAAGAGGGCACACATTTGGAATGGCGTGCAAGTTCAAATGGTGGTAATCCTGTACCAGGCACAGTTTTCCATCTTTTTTTCCTATGAAGAAGAATGGGGCTGCTATTTGCAAAGTGGATCGATGGATGGTCCCTCTGATAAGATGTTCCTTGATGAATTTTCCTAATTCATCATGCTTTTCTGGGCTTAAGGCATAGATTTTGGGCACATCTGGAAAACCACTCCCTTGTATTAAGCTCTAACTAGTTCTATTTATGCATAACTATGAAAGATTAGGATTAGACATTTTTAGCTTACCCCCCCTCTAAACCTGTTCTAATTAGACATAATTTTCCTAAATTATGAATTATTAGGATTGATTATAACTTGAAATTTCTGAAAAATCATAATAAATCAAGCATCACAATTCTCATAGCCTTCTTATGGAGTCATGTCTATTAGAGCACTAGTTCAATACCTAAACACAGAATATACCTTATAACAAACTTGCCTTCTGCCAAAGTTGAACCAGCAACCTCATGTATGCAAGCACCCAAGACAGATGCTCTAGCCACTAAGCCACAAGGTCTAATATATAAACTCAGTAATCTAAATAAGTAGACATAATATAGGCAACCTCAACATCTCTGATTTTATTCAACATTTATCTTTTCTCTATCTTATAAATAAATAGGTCAATAAATACCCAAAAAGTCAGGTCTTTCAGGATTTAGTTTAAACACCAGCTAAGAAGATAATAAACCAATGGAAAATAAATAATACACTTTATATAGGATAAAAATAAATTATGGCACTTATACAATTTGGACTGAGAATGTGTAAAACTATGATTGAGTGTAATATTCAATGGGACTCTACTAGTATAGACAATGCTATTTGAATTTGCAAATTTGATCAAAAACATGATTATGAATAATCAAGATCTAATAAGAGAGAGGGGTTTTCCAAATAGCCACTAGTGAGGTAGAGGGTGGGGACAAGAGTATATGTATGGCATGCCTATATATAAATAAGCACAAAATTGTTGGAGGTGATCTTAATATGCTTAATGCATATATTTCCTATATGGCAGGCAAATATATCATTCCGGCACCACATACCAATATGATTGTCTTTTCCACAGCCTAATAGCTAGAGGAAAACACCAAGTTTGAGCATCTTCTGTATAACAAGGCAATAAACAATATAAATAGTGCTAAAAATTGTAGTATCAATGGTGATGATGATTGTGTGCTGCACAAGACAGTATTAGCCACTATACTAATAGACAAGGTCTATAAGGCTGCATATAGCATATCCCTAAGTCCAACCCACATATTGTGTCCTATAATGACCAGTAGCAGACATTGGCTAACAATAACAACTTTAATGATCTTGTGTGCAAGGCCAAGGTACCTAGGTCTTCATAGCCTCTTATGGCAGCTGCCAAACTGCCAACAAAGTGGCTGGGGGCATCAATGCACATTTTTCTCTTTCTATATCCTTTATAAAAGCAGCTGGAAAGTCAGCAAAAGAGCTACAAGATAATGGTGTAGGCATATATGAAGGAGAGTAATATGCTGAAATAGTATAGAATGTGCCACATCTTTACCTTCTCACTGATAGAGCAGTAGTACTTACTATTTCCTACTAATAATTAAAGACTTCTTAGTATAGAATTAGTGCTAATATCATGAAATTAGAAACCAATCCAATGCTCATAATGTGTTGCTCCCAATTAGGAAATTAGACACTTTTAGATACTATTAACACTTTTAGATACTTTTAGACACTATTAGATATAATCCAGAGCTAATACAAGGGGGTGTTTTTCCAGATGTAAGAAACACTATTAAGCACTGCATGAAATTCACAAAGCAACAGGTCAGAACTCGTGTCATCAGAAGAAAGGAACTTAACAAAATGTGGCTTGGGGCATCGTGATCAAAAAATGTCACTTGTGACCATGTATCACATGACTGCCCCACTTGGAAGTGGCTCACTTGCTCTCGCTCATTTATTATTCAACCACACTGCATGCACTGCACAGTTTTTCCTAGGATAAACCGTGGATAAAACCATGGATATAAATAAAGTTTTTGTTCGGGTTTATCCATGGGAATTACCGAAACAAAAACTTAAAGCTTATCCAAGGTTTTGTCCCGGGACAAAACTGTAACATAACCTTAAGTTTAAGCTCAGACATGTTATTTAAGTTTGTCTTACAGTCAATCCCGGGATAAAATTCTGGATAATCTTTAACCCTTATGTCACAGGATTTATGTCACATATGAAAAATTGCAAATAATACCATGAAAATCAGTAATTAATTCAGTGTTTATTATACATTTGGGCACTGCCTGGCACCAAATGTTAGATAGCCTTTTTATTCATAACATCTCTTGACCAACATCAACAAACATGGCCTTTTGCAAAGGCCACCTTGCTATAAAGAGTTTCTTAAAAAAAACAATGTGTAATTGTAAATACAAAGTAAAGCAGCATGGACAAAACTGGAAAAGTGATGAACAAAAATCATACTAGCAATGACAAATCATCAAGGCAATACAAGGGCTAGCTTATAACAAAATTCATCATAATAGTGTCTAGTCTTAGAAAAATAGGGATTGTCAGTATTGAATTAAAAAATCAAAGAAAAAAATGGTGAGCTGTGCATATTGTCTGATCCTCTAATAATCTATTAACCATTGGAATAATTGTCTTTTGTAACAAGTGACAGATACTGCAACAAACCACTGTTGCACCCCATGACAAGTGTCCAACACTGTGACAAACCACTATTGCACCCCATGACAAGTGTCCAATGCTGTGACAAACCACTGCTGTACCCTGTGCCAAGTGTCTAATGCTATGACAAACCACTGTTGCACCCCATGACAAGTGTCTAATGCTGTGACAAACTACTGTTGTACCCCATAACAAGTGTCCAATGCTATGACAAACCACTATCACACCCCATGACAAGTGTCTGACACTGTGACAAACCACTGTTGCACCCTGTGCCAAGTGTCTAATGCTGCGACAAACCACTTTTGCGATCATCTCGTCAAACTTGAGAATGGGGCACCGGAGGAGGTCATAGAATCTGGCACCATGCTGAATGATACTGAACTTTAGGCAATCAAAGTCTCAGTCAAGGCGGATGCTAATGTCATCCTGGGTGGCCCCTGAAGTTTCCCCTTTCTGCCACAGTTCATGCTTGCATGATTGATACACCCCCTTCCCCATGAGGATGCTTTCTTTCACAGATTATGAGGAGAAGTACATGAGGCTGACCGAGCGACTGCCTTGTGGGATGAGAAAACTGTGGGGACCAAGCCATCTGGGTGATCAGACAACAAGGGCACGAGGAAGGCATCGGCAATGTTTATATAAGACGCAGATGAGGCAGAGAGTGTGAGTTGCAACACAGGCACCAGCAAGGCCGTGCCAATACCGAGCAGACCCCTGATCATCAAGGGCAGCAGCAGGCTGGGATGACGTTCTCATTCAACATTGTTATAGGAAGCTTTGCATTTGTTTTTGCGCATTTTATGCCTCAAATTGTAAATTGTCTGATGCCACACTTCTCTATAGTATAAACTTTTGTTGGCAAATGAATTGAGTAGTTTTTGAAGCTGTATTGATCCATATTTGTGTGCTCTCTGGTCTATAAATTGAATCCATAGTCTTGACTGTAAAAAATACAGATAGACTGTGGACTTGTTTGCAATCATTTGATCAATGCTTGCATGCTATTGCTCAAGCATTAGACATTTGTTGTGGGGTGTGACAGTGGTTTGTCACAGTGTCAGACACTTGGTGCAGGGTGCAACAGTGTTTGTCACAGCATTGGACACTTGTCATGGGGTGCAACAGTGTTTGTCGCAGCATTGGACACTTGTCATGGGGTGCAACAGTGGTTTGTCATAGCATTAGACACTTGGCACAGGGTACAGCAGTGGTTTGTCACAGCATTGGACACTTGTCATGGGGTGCAATAGTGGTTTGTCACAGTGTTGGACACTTGTCATGGGGTGCAACAGTGGTTTGTTGCAGTATCTGTCACTTGTTACAAAAGACAATTATTCCAATGGTTAATAGATTATTAGAGGATCAGACAATATGCACAGCTCACCATTTTTTTCTTTGATTTTTTAATTCAATACTGACAATCCCTATTTTTCTAAGACTAGACACTATTATGATGAATTTTGTTATAAGCTAGCCCTTGTATTGCCTTGATGATTTGTCATTGCTAGTATGATTTTTGTTCATCACTTTTCCAGTTTTGTCCATGCTGCTTTACTTTGTATTTACAATTACACATTGTTTTTTTTAAGAAACTCTTTATAGCAAGGTGGCCTTTGCAAAAGGCCATGTTTGTTGATGTTGGTCAAGAGATGTTATGAATAAAAAGGCTATCTAACATTTGGTGCCAGGCAGTGCCCAAATGTATAATAAACACTGAATTAATTACTGATTTTCATGGTATTATTTGCAATTTTTCATATGTGACATAAATCCTGTGACATAAGGGTTAAAGATTATCCAGAATTTTATCCCGGGATTGACTGTAAGACAAACTTAAATAACATGTCTGAGCTTAAACTTAAGGTTATGTTACAGTTTTGTCCCGGGACAAAACCTTGGATAAGCTTTAAGTTTTTGTTTCGGTAATTCCCATGGATAAACCCGAACAAAAACTTTATTTATATCCACGGTTTTATCCACGGTTTATCCTAGGAAAAACCGTGCGGTGCACGCAGTGCCAACGTCTTGTCGCGCACCTAGAACTCATCACCCGTGTTCATCTACTTGAGAATACACTTCTATACAAAAACAATCCTAGCAATAGCACTGAACATTGCAGTGTAATGGGCATCACAGGATCCTTACCATTGAGATGGTCAACCCTGGTCAAGAGCGGTGTCGAGATGGGCTCAACAGATTCCCAAGGTATGTCTCCGTCCAAGCTGACTTTCATGCTCCTCGTTCATCTTCTATGTCGTCAAGATGTCGGTAATCACTCCGAACATCCTCAACTCGTGCCGACAATCCCAATTCCAAACCATTCCCGTGTGTCGAGCAGTGTAACGACTACAACATTGATCGGGTCAAGCCCATTGAAAAGTCATGGTTGTAGAGCGGACTCTTCTTGTATCATCAGTATGTCTGCATCTAATAGCTCCTATATCCGTTCCGCTTAATCATAACCTCGGAAAGACGTTGATCGCCATTCTAAAGGCTCAAAACACGTCAACCGTATTCGACGTTCCATTGATTCAGGTGCAACACGCTTGGATCTTAAGCGCAGCAGAGATTCCAATACGTCGAATGTGTCAATGCCTGCGAAGAAGCGCAGAGGACCCGAATCAGGACCCGAATTTACACGATCTTCCAGTGCGCAAACCCTTGTTTACAACCTTATAGTTTTGTTGATTTAATATTCGTTCAAGAAGCAAAGCGTCGCTCTAACGTCTTGACTCCGTCCGTGAGTATCAGCAAGGCGATTCCTTCAAAGGCCACCAGTACGCGTATGATTGGGTGACTGCTCGTTCAATTACTGATATTCCGACTTCATAAGGTATGGGCCAGCATCCCAAAACTCCCGAAACCCCTTCTCACGCTCCGCGATCAGCCAAATCGACCGTCAAACATTGCCTTGTGACAAATGAGCTCGCATCGAAGGCCCGAGTTGAACCGTGTTACTTGCTAAACCAGCGTCTCTGGAAGAACACGGAGCTAGTATGTTGATTAATCTGCTCTTGACTGTCAATGTGATTGCTGACTTTTGGTCGCAGCTTTCGCGTCTCGAATGGACGTGGGGGATGCAATACGACTCACTCAAGTTGGACACAGAAGCAAATAGAACCTATCGTGTGTTATCTATTTATATGTGCTTCAACCGCCACTGACGTCCCCCCCCCCCCCCCCCCCCCCGGTTTAGTCCGTCATGACTTACTGGAGTCGTTTGACAGCAACCGCTGGCTGCTCCTTCCTTCGCCTGAGATGGTCAACAAACTATGGAATCACTATCAGAATTTCGTAGATGATTCTACGAACGCAAAGCAACACCCGCACATCGAGACGGTCCGTGTATCCCTAATTCGTCGGAAATCCATCTCATGATCCTTCAGCTTTATGAAGGTGCCGAAACTTTCGAATATCGGTTATTGCCTTTGCGGCACGGCCTTGATTCGATTGATCGGTTTGATGAACCAGATTTGTTCTCGCCAGCCGCTGAGCAAAACCCCACGCACCATTCAAATCCATTCGATACCCTCCCAACTTTGGTTTCACATGTGAAACCCCACTTCGTCATCTGCGATTCCGCTGCCAAGCTCACTCATGAAAACATAATGGGCTCGTCAGGACTTTTGCAGGTGATTCAACTGCTCTGGCCGGTGTCTGAGTGTGATGCTACTTGTATGCTTGTCAACCTACAAAGTGTCTATTCTCTCTGGCTGGAAGACGCACCACCCTCGACATTTGCATCGACACCTCGCACTCCTCTTCGGTTACCCTCTCCTGACGCCTGCCCAAGACTACCCATCCGCCGCCGCCTGTCTCCAGAGTCTTGTGTTCGACCATGCATTAATAGCCGATTTGCGTGGACACCTCTGCCATGCTCTCACTGTCAAAACGGTGGCATCGTCAATAATTCCACTGAGTCTGATGACGACGAAGATCTCATCAGTCTTAGTCCATCAGAGGCTGCATCTGAGTATAAGGCCTACCGCAGACATCTTTCTTATAAAGTAAGGTCTTGGCAATCCCGTTGTATGAAGGAGGGAGGGAGATGGACGTCACGTGTGTTCAACGACAACCAGTTGGGAAGCTATGTGGAAGAGCGATCACGAAACATTGGGCGGACTGTACGACGTACTTATTCTTGACGGTGATGCCTAATGCACTTACTCTTTGGACGTCAGATTCCAGTTGGAAAGCTTCCTGTAGAATTGTTGTATTATCAAGCGTGTTGAATATACCCGAGTCTCGGATTGTCATCGATTCCTCTTTCTTTCAAGATGGCTTCTCTAGTTCAAAGCCGGATACTGTCGCTGGGCCACCTTCTGCCACATAGGCCACACCCTGTGCCTTGTCCAGAACTTATTAGCCACGTCTCACACCCTGTGGTGCCCCCAGGTCACGTTATGGCATATCTCGCCAACTTACGCATTCAACACAGGTTGGCCATGACGTTCTGCCACAATTTCGAGTGTGCCACTCGTTCGCATGACTATAAATCCCTATTGCCGCCCTTTCCTTACCACCTGTCCTGTTCTCTGCCCTTCCTCCCATCCCTAGCCCATTGACAACTCTCCTGATCCCCATGCGCAGGGTTTTCAACTTCACTCGCGGGCCCTCAGTCGCGACAAGTCAGCCTGCTACAGACAACATTCCTATTTCCTCAAGCAAAATCCCCACCCACGACACCGACATCTCTACTAAGTGCAAGGCGTCGACCAAGCACAAGGCCTCTACTACGGGCAAGTCCTCCACCAAGGGCAAGGCCTCCACCAAGAGCAAGGCGACGGCCGATGGCAAGGCCTTTAACAAAGGCAGCACCACCACCAAGGGCAAGGCCACCAAAGGCAAAGGCAAGCCCTCAGACGATACCGAAGAAGAGTCGATGATGGAGGAAGAGACATCTGACAGTGGCTTGGATGCCGATGTCCCACCCCGTTTGCCAGTCCCAGCTAGAAGTTGCAGTCGGAATTCTGGTCTCGCTAATATCAGAACACTGTCAGAGGAAGAAAATGTCGATGATATTGGCCATTCCGCACTAGTCGCCAGGATGTTTGACGGATTTAGAGACTCCGTTTCTTTTGACGATGACGAGTACAATCCCAGAGCATCCCCTCCACCGGACAAGGATGAGATGATGTACCGCATCCTGCAGGGAGGTTCGATGCACAACGGTAGAAGCTATCGTTCTGGAACCGACCCATTCTCAAAGCTTGCGGTCGATCTGTTGGATCCACATCCCCACCAATGCCTTGTGACTAGAGAATTAGATTGGGAAGATGAAGTAGAGTACTGCCACCTTTTCGACCGGTCCAACTGCACAAATCATGCACTCGTAAGTTTCATTCTGTGGCCTATCTACATTTACTGATAGTCATTAAAGCTCATGGCACTCGAGTACTCTTTTGGAATCGGTTACAAGAAATTCAACATCGACGATGCCAGAAACATAGCTAGGCGTAGGAGATTTGTACATCTCTCGTTTTATTTCCTGATCCCAACGTTTTTATCAGTCATCATCAACCTTCACAGACGGGTAGACAAAAATCGCTCCATCGTGCTCCCCACTATGGATATGGTCCGCCGCCTCAGCAAGCACAAGCGCGGTGAGGACATTCGTAAGGTAAGCATTTATAGGAGTCTCTTCGTCCCATTTTCTGACTTGTCGAGCAGATTTATGAACAGGGGGAGGTTTTCACATACCATTTTTTACCGCTTGGAGAGCCGACCTCGAATATCATCCGTTATCAAAGGACTGATAAAGGTGATCAGCCTTCAGCACGCGACACAGCCATGGAGTCGCATCTGTATCCGTTCCATACCTTGCCATCTCTTCTATCACATGTGGAACCACACTATGTGGTCATCAACGCCGCTCAGAAGCTACTATCCATCGGTCAAGGCCAATCCCGAATGCAGTTGCTTCGCTCGATTGCAGCTGTCTACAATGTGGACTTGAGTGCTGCTCAGAAGTTTCTCGTGGATATCGACTTGCTATACAAGGCCTGGAAAGAACCCGCACCAGATGATTTTGCAATTCCCAAGGCGAAGAAAGAAGCTCAGGTGGACGGGAACAAGGGAAGGGAGGATGCGGGTGATGTCGGCACAAGTTCTAATCACACCCCCGATTTGAACCATCCTGCAAAGAGGCAGCGTCCAAGCCCGACATCTTCTGAGAAAAATGTGGTGACAAAGTACAAATCCATGAAAAGTGCGGCAGGATCTGTCGCGAGCCGAATCACTCGCAAGTGACCTATTTCTACTACGAGCACTAGATCTATCTGTGTATTAATAGCGACATTCCACAATTGCAATATTGAGATTGTTTGAAGTTGCACGTTGTTCAATGTCGTTTGACAAGGCTATGAAACAACTCGGATGATGTTTTCTGGGCTTCCGTTAAACCAGCCTATTGTTCACACGTACGTCGTTGAAGCTATCATTTCGTCCATTCATCCCGTCCGATGCCCTTTCCTGTCCGCCTGTCAACTAATCCTAGAGCAGATGCAATAAGACATAAACAACATCTAGGACAAAGACACAGTAGCGGGATCAGAGCGAGAGGGCGGTGGTATTTTGAAGGTTTCACCAGCCATCAATGTAAACTCCCGCAAATGCTTCATGATCTTACTGTCAAGACGGCGCCAAACGACTGAACATGTTGCCGATAATGAGTGTATAGTACCAAAGCTTGTTGAAGCTTCGCATTCATTATTTTAAAAAGAGGAATAAGACCCTCAAGAAAAAGAGACAAGCATGTGGAATGTGTGACAGAGCGGAGAAGATACGAACGCAGAGGGCGAATGAGAGAGCGATTGAACGATGCAGACTGTCTCGTTTCAAACGTTGACCAGCCATTAGCTTCCAACATTCAATCTGGGTACTGTAAAGCAATGGGTTTTCATCCTTAATCGTTCCTTTTGATCGGTGGAAAGAGCTGCATTCGAGAAACGCAACCTCGGCCACAGGTAAGGCATCATGCTGGACAGTGTTGCGGCAAAAAAAGGCCCCAAACAGAAGGAAGCAGTAAGTCACCCTGGAAGTGATCATGTAGCATCATGTCGTCTCCATTTTCATGTATCCATCCGCGTTTCCCGTGGGGGCATCTCCGTCCGTATCATTCACACTCGCAGCTCTCTCCTCCCCAGCCCCAGTCATGCTGGGCGCCAAACTTCCTGAGCCGTCTCCATTTGGACCCCGCGCAATCCGCTCCTTCTCTGCCTTTTCCTCTTTCTCAATCTCCTGTGCAAGGAGGATGATGTCACCCGTTCCGATCTTCCCAAAATGCGCCAGGTATCGGTCACGAGCAGTGCGCAGAGCGAGCCATGACCAACGGTGTTTGTTCTGTTCGATGTTATCGTTTAGTGCGACGTGGACGATGCTGATAGATGGGAAACTTACCTCTTCGAGTTTGATAATTTGATCATCCGGAGGCAATGCCGGTTGAATTGGTGCAGGGGTGGGCGTCACTGCAGGCATTGGAACGCTAGGAGCAGACGGCGCAGTGACTGCTGGAGCAGGCGTCGGCGTGGGTATTACAGGCGGTGGTAATGGCGCTTGTACAGGCGTTGGGGACGATACGGGGGCCGTACCGGGCGCCCCCGCCGATTTCGGCGACGTTACAGGTTTCGCCGGAAGGGAAGGGTGCATAAGAAGATTTTGATCACCAGTTGAAGTAGCGGTCCGAGCAGCATCCACAGCCGCTGGCGTTGTAGGGACGGCAGCTTCCTTAGCCTCAGAGACAGGATTCGCCGCCGCTGCGGTTGCTTTGGCGCGTGCCTGGGCAATGCGCTCTGCTTGTCGTGCAAGCGTTTTCTTGCGCATTTCTATGCGGTTATCTTCCAATTTGACTTTCTTCACGAAGTCCCTCACATCTCCTGGTCTGTGAATGTTGAAATGCTTAATTATGGAAATGCATGATAGAATGGTGGAGAAGATTAAGACGCACTGGAATGGTCGTTGAAGGTCCGACAAGTCCCTATATCCCATCTCCCAGATCTCGGTCAAAGGTGCAGACCCAAGGACGTGCTCCCATTCTGGAGGTTCGACTCTCATTTTAATCCTCGCCTCTCTGGTGGCCTCCTCCAACCCAACCTTCATCCCATCGACCTCTTGAGAATAAGGTTCGCGATCAAATGGAGTACACATCTCGTTCTTCCAGCGAACCCAATTCTTCTCCCGCTCTAAGATTATGTGCACACTATCCGCAAATGCCCTACCACCTGGTGTCGTCTGCTTGAGCTCGTCAAGAGTTTTTGTGATGGTCTCTTGAACCCATTGTGCATCGGATGGTTCGAGCGTGAACTCGATTTGGAGAGAGCGGTTCCGAGGTGTTTGCCAAGACAGTTTGGCGGACTTTGTAAATGTGAGGAGATGAGTAAGAAGAATCAACAGCTGAAAGAGGAATTGGCGGCGGAAATGGGTGTCTGCGACCTAATTTGACGACAGGCTTAGCATCATAACGCATGAATCCAAAATCAACCGAACCTCAAGGTCAAGCAGTTCAGGACTGGTCAAGAATTTCGCAAAGAAATAGTCGTTACTAGTGGGCTCTTCGCCAGCATCAGCTTCGCGTTTCCGCTTGAGGGGAGCAGCACCGGCTGAACCATGTGAACGGTTGCCCATGAGTGTCCTTTCTTTGGCACTTGCCTCTTTGATGATGGGCATGACTTTGATGACTGCTTCTTTGAAGTCTGCGAAAGTCTCGGGGGCGGAAAAAAGAGGAGGCCGCGAGAAGGGGAGCTGGAGAGACCAGAATGTGTTGTAGAATACTTGTGGCAGAGATAGTCAGCCTGGAGACATCAAACGAGCCTTTCACTGAACAATCACCTTCTCTCTTCTCACTCTTCTTTTCCGCAAGCTTCGAAGGAGATGGAGGAGCCTTCTGGGAGTCGGGCTTGAGCTCGTCGACTTGCATTGCGTCTAGCTCTGCCTTCTCATCGACGTCTGAAGAAGCTTCGGTCTGCTCTTTCTTCTCATCCTTCGCTTTCAGCTGAGCACCTTCCCATATTGGCCCATACTCTCCACGCAAGTTGACACCACTCCTCTCTCCAAGTGGGAACACGCCGCTCAAGAACGTCAAGATTCGACCACAAAAGATGGTATTCGACCCCATCTTCGATAGTCGACGGAGAAGATCATTGAGAGTGCGAAGAAGGACCAGGGCTTTTCCCTTTTGGGGCACCATGCCCTGGGTGAGCCGGGCAGCGCGAGATTCGATCCACGAGAAGATGTGTGAACATGACGTGATGGTCTGGGTTTCCAACAAGTCTTGAAGAGTTGTAAGAGGGAATGATGGTTCACAGGCATCTTCAAGAATGGGGCATGGTCAGGCTGTCATAGCATTGCATACAAGGGTTGGCTAACCATGCTCTGTGAACGTGAGGACCAGATCCAACCTGACCATCAATTGGCGGTAGTAATTCGTTTCCGGATCGTTTAACGCCGCTCCTTCATTGGCCTATGGCCATGCTATTAGTTTTTACTGATAAAATGCAAGGAACACGCGACGCACAGCCAAAGCGAATATCTCATTCTTCAACGCGTACTCCCATTGGCTCTTTCGAATGTCAGGAGTACTCCTGGATGGTAGTTCTTCTAGCGTTTTACGAACAAGATGTTCTAGCGTACTCTCATCGGCCGGTGGCGGAGGAAGTTGTTTCAGAAGAGACGAAAGAGCCCGTTCGGTGGAGGTAATCATAGCGGAGGGAGTCTAGAGAGGTATCCTTCAAGTGTGGCGCGAGGTGGCGCGCCCCTCTTGTTAGGATCAGTTCCGTTTTGGGCCAACACCATCAAGTTCACTTGTCACTCCACCATGTATACCAGCGGCAGCCCGAATGCTAATGGGAAGTCCCCACAAAACGAAGCGTCAATCGTCAATGATACGACTCTTCAAGCCGATCTTACTTTTCTCTCTTCGTTACTATCTAAAGAGGGCAAAGATGACAATGCAGACGTAGATGTTGTCGCCCTCTTACGACAGCTTGAGACAGCCGATGGCGTTGCGCAGGGTGTTGAAAGTCGTATTGATGGGATATTGGGGAGCTTGGACGCACTGCTGGATTCTTTACAACCTGATAGCGCGGAAGGTCAATCAGTCACAGGTGACGCCAAGGAGCAGGATGGCGCGAAGGGAGAATGATTACAAGTGAGGCCCGTTGGTGTGTTTTAAATAACTAAACTATTCCTGATCATCGACCTATTCATACACATGCTTGAATAGATCCATTTTTGCTTGAAAGGCCACCCTGAGAAACCGATGGCTGGGAATCAGGAGGAGGGTAATGCAGCGTTGAACGTTAAGCCTTAGACTAGTGGCAACTGCGACTCTTCTCCGCTATTCGAGGAGCTTTTGACCTGTCATGTGAGTAGAATTTTTTCATTTTGAACAGCTTCACTGCTCAACCCGCTGACAAGACATAGCGACAAATCTTGTTGTCTACGCTGTCAGACTCGATAGTGATACGGACTGCTTGTTATGAAAGGCCGCCAGACTCTTCAAGATTCATACACGGTCCTTCCAAGAGCGGAGCCTATTCCATCGATGTAATCCTATCCCTTCGCGAGGGCATGTCTACATACTTGCGTCCAAGGATCGTGATGACTGAAAACTCGGTCGTCAGTGTAAGAGTGGCAGATTTTATCCCGCAGGCTCCGCACCTGGCATGGAAATGACGGGTAAATGCCAACATACGTGACTACAGTCGCTACTTCCCCACCAAGTTCGATGCTTAACATGGATCCCTGCCCTGTGGTTGACACATTCGACGATGCCAATGCTCTGGAAAGTTCTAAAAACAATGATCATTACAGTGCTGGTGCGTGCATACTGTGTTTGCTTGGTTCGTTCAAAAATTCATCCTTACGACCGATGGACGTTACTGATATTCAGATGTCATACAACGGTGGCATGATTGATTGCCGAATGTGTGTGATTTGGCGGTGTGCAAACGGATCTTGTTGTGATCCACACGGATAGGCGGAATTCGGAAGGTATATGGAACGTAATCCTCCTCGCTTTCGTAGAGAGGGCCGATGTCTCCTCAGAGTCATGTGAACGAGTGATTGACGAATTGTAAGTATGGAGACGAGCGAGTTGAATGTTACACTCAGAGGCAACGGTCCTGGTGACTATCTTGACTCTACGCAATGACAGTGCAAGTACTCGAGCGCTCAGTATCACAATCGGGCTTCCGCCTCTCGCCAACCTTGACAATTCGCCTGTGCCCTGGTGTAAGACGAACTGGATTGTCTATCAATGCTTACTCGACGCAAGCCTGCTATATGGTCAATATAAAACGGCGCATCTTCGCATTCCATTCTGGCATTCAGACTGTGATAGAAGTCGGACGCGGAAAGCTCACGGTAACGTCTTCTTACATGGTTTGCGATCCAGCACGGACGGTAATGCAGGTATGAGTGCATTCATATTGTCCGCCAACAACAGTATAAAGAGACGAGCATTGCGCGACTGACCTTCACACTACAACCTTTCATCTCAGAACCAAGTAAGCCTCGACGAGCTCTGGCCAAGCGTACAAGTACTGAACAGCGTCCACCACAACAGACCATATCATGTTTTATCTGCTCCCTGTCGGCCACGAGCACTGCGTCACGCTCAAGGATGAGCTGAAGAAGGATAGCCTCATCGTCTTCCGGTCCGACAAATATCGTTTCAAGAAGGACTGTCACCCCGACACCGACCACAGCTGTGTCCGCCTTTATGATTGCAAGGAAAACATCGTTTTGCACATCGGCTTCCGTCGCGGCCAGAACAAGATCGTCTTCAACAGCAAGACCGCCAAGGGCGCCTGGGGCGCGGAGGAGAGTTGCGCTCTCGACGGCGCGTTCAAGGGCGAGGACGTCACGATCACGGTCTATGATCATGGCGATCACTTCCAGATCCTCTGCGACTATCGCACCGTCCACTACTACAAGAAGCAATGCAACGAGAACATCAAAGTCATATCGTACGACGCTAACGACGGCAATGACCCCGTGTTCTCGGGCACTCTTGCGTTGGACACTTATGCGTCTTTCGCTAAGTTTGTCCCCTGCGATGACTAGGTATGCGGCACTGTTATTTCCGAGTATGTCGGCCAACAGCCATAGGATCCTAGGCATGATCAGGAGACAGGGCCAGATAACCAGGGACAAGTCGGCGAAGAGCCCTTGAGTATGGAGTTGTACGATATATGAGCGTCATTGTTGAGAGGAAAGAGGAGGAGGTTGCAATATCTTATATGCTTTGAAGAAAATCTGGCCCGAGCTGTGTTCAGCGCGATTGACGCTGTTAAGCATTTCGGACGACCAAAGATCGTTCTGAACTTTTTAAGTCAGACTGTGATCTCAGTGATCTGCCTCTTTTATCATCGACACGTCTCGGCGTCCTACCTCACGGACTGCATGAGTAGGCCTTGATCTATGATGGGTCAATCCTCTCCCTCGCACACTTTACATTGCATCATGATCAAGAAAAGATGCTGAGACCAATGTTGTAGCAAATGACAAACTAAAAGTACATACAAGGGCCAATACCCAACCAAGAAAGAACCCCACTCCAATTGTCCATGAATCAGATAGTTTAAGGGAATGCAACACCGACCTCCTTCATTAGATCTGTCACTTCGACATCTATGACGAAAACGGTCAGTAGAAATAAATAGATATTGTTGACGGATAGCACACACGGTCCTCGGTGTGTTGCATGCGCGATGAAAAGACACATTGACTGCCTATGAAACCGTGATGATTGAATGCGGCGCCTTGTTCACTGACAAGACGAACCTGGTCCGAATACAAACTCGCCTCCAAGCTGAGACAGATTCCCTTGTTTACCAATGTGCATCGGGTTCTTCAACGGTCCTCGCTAGTGAAACCATCGATGTGAGACATTGTCTTTTCGAGAGTGAAAAGATACATACCTTGATGCTCTTCAGGACGTTTGTAAATAAGCCGTCTTGGAGATAGCTGCGCTTCTCCTGACCAGCAGGTGTTTGGTTTAGGGTTTCGATTGTCATGCCGAGGGCATGGTAGAGCTTGCGCGTGGGGTCAGCATAAATGTCACCTTGAAAGCTCGTTGTTTCTAGAGATGTCCGCAAAGCCGCGTATAAGTTCAGAAGCGTGAGAGTCATGGGAGTAGGCGTGCACCTTTATAATTATCGATGAGTTTCCATTCGCCGCAGCCTACGACGACTATCTTAACACCAGCATCTTTCAATGCGTCTTGACGGACACTGGCGAGCTGGGACACGTATTGCTGGCAGACGGTTAGTTGAGACTTGTATTACACTCGGAATCTCAGGCACCTGGCAATTCTGGTAGTCAACGGCGGTTGATAGCGGTCAAAAATAAATAATTCAGTGTATACACGGACCCCACAGAAGAAATGTCCTATCATAAAGAGTCATTGGATGGTTCATGGCAGCGTGAACATTTGAGCGCACTGATGAACACCACAACTGCTTTCTCGTTCTCAAAAATGGACCCAAATCGGACTTGCGCGCCTTTGACATCGAATATCTCAAGGTTCGAGGCTTCCTCAATCACATTGGCCTCGATAAGAGACCCGGTCTGTTCAATGCCAGGCATGAGGATGGTGGTGGGAAGAATGCAAATTGCAACCGTCACGGTCGAATGATCGCGGGGATACGACCATAAGACGAGGTTAGGAGCTGTCAAAGCGTCGGTCCTCGAACTTGCTTGCCTTGACCGCTGACCCTCACTGATCCCTATTTACATCCCATCTTCCTTCGTAACACAGTACGCATTAGCCAAATATTTTCTGCTCGTCCTTGCTTTATCCTCCATCAACACGATTGACTGAAGACCTTAGGTCTATCGCAAACTCTAGCAGTGCCAATATGAACCCTTCACAAGGCGGACGGGCACGCACGTCGCCACTGTCTTCCATCTTGCTAAGGCATCCTATCTACGACGGGATATATTCTCGACTAAGCCCTGGCGCTCGCATCCGCTTCGGGCGCACATGTCGCCTCGCGCACAAGAGCGTGCAGGACTTCCACCTTAGAACGTACAACATCAACCGCCACCTGAAGCGCTTCGTCGATGACCCCATCGCGTTCCGCAACTTGCAGGCGCGCCTCGCGATGCTCATCTCTGGCTCGAATGCGCTCCAATTCCTGGACTCGACATTCTACCCCAGCTCGGATCTGGACCTCTATGTCTGGAAAGAAGATATCAAAGAGGTGGGGCGCTGGCTGATGGAGCACGAAGGCTACACGTTCACGCCGAGCGTTTTCCAGAACGATGACTTTGACAAAGCCCACTGGATGCGGGAGCAATGGGGGCCGTCTGCGCTCTCCGCCGCGCTTGCGACGGCGTCAGACGTGGAGCTGGACGATGTGGACGAGTTCCATCACCAACACTACCGCTTCACGGGGCTGCACGGGGTATACAGCTTCGCGAAGAACGGACCGGACGGCCGACTCACGGTCCAGGTCATCGCCGGCACTGGCGGTCCCCTGAACACGATCCTGACGTTCCACAGCAGTGAGTGCTGACCTGACCCGAAGATGACGTTCTCCCCCATCTCTCGAACAGCGTGCGTCATGAACTGCATCGCGTTCGACGCGGCGTACAGCCTGTACCCGCAGGCCACGTTCGAGGAGCGCCGCTCGCTGTGCATGGCCACCCTGACCGACACCGACGCCGCCGCGTTCACCAAGTACTCGCGCAGAGGCTGGCAGCTCATCTCGGCCGTCTGGCCGCACGAGCGGGCCACAAACAGGGCCTCGTTCCACGTCGACGCCACGCGCTGGGTCGCGGACCGCTACTCGTGGGTCGTCCCGCTCGACACGAGCGAGCTGCAGCCGCGCCCGCGGCTGTCCCCCACGTCGGACTACTTCGCGTGGGACCCGGTCGTCTACAACAGCTGGCGGCTCGAAGTCGCAGAAGATCACGCATTCGAGATGGTCGGCGGCGCCGCGATCGGCCGGTCCGTGTGCAGCACCGTCGTGCGCTACGCGTACCTCATCGTCGACCCCGGCCTGTTCAAGACGATCACCACCTTTTTGAAGACGCAGGGCAGGCTCGAGCACCTCAAGGCCAAGCGCTTGTCCTGGAACGAGCGCAAGAGGCTGTGGACGTGGTGAGTCCCAGTGGCTATCGATATCGATGCGTTCGTCTGGCCTGAGCAACCTTCTTGAGGTGGGACGCCACCGTCGCGGGCATCATCGACGCTCACCGCGCAGAAGAGAAAAAGAAGCAGGAGACGGAAGCCGAAGATCGTATGGCCGTGGACTGAATCTGACTCACGCCCAGTATGTATTCCTCGCGAAACGAGGCCTCAACATGTATGTACAATATAGTCGCACCATCACTTCGCATTTTCGCATCCGACAGATCTTTTCTCGTTCACAATACGGACTGCTTAGTCGTAGTCATGCGCTTTCCGTTACTCACAAAAATTTCCCCCCTACTGCCCTCGGTCGCAAGTTGCCCAGAGGGCCATGCCATATATATATATTCCTATGTATCCTCGTACTTATCAGTCCATTCCATCGAACGCATACGATATAACAGCATTCCATCAGCAACACGAAAAACACAGAGCAGAGCGAGAGAAATGCGCAGATGATGATGACGACGGTGATGATAATGATGAAGATGAAGATGAGTATGAGTATGATACAGGCCATGCATAGTAGGGTATGAGGTGCACAGAACGGCGCGGCGACCGTCCCTCTAGGGGTCCTCCTCCACCAGACTCATCAGATCGAACCGGTTCACCGTCTTGACGACGTCCGCGCCCTTCCTAACAAACACAAGCTGTACACACCGCGCCTCCATCAGCGATCGGCGACCCAAAACACCGCGCACGAGCGAGCGAGCACACGCACCATGTACGGGTTAGCCGTCGAGCCCGTCGTGTCCGCCAGCACCTCCTCCTTCGCGACGACGCCGACGTCCGAGTCGTTATACTTGAACCACGCGTCCGGCTCCTCGGGCAGGTGCCGCGAGTAGAAGAAGTAGTGGCCCCACGACGGCGACGACCCGCGGTGGATGAACACCGACGTCAGCTCGTACGCCGCCGCGCGCTCGTCCACCCAGATCGCCTCCATCTCCGCCTTGAGCGCCGCCGCGCGCGCGCGCAGGCCCTCCAACTCCACGCGCAGGCCGTCCTGCTCCGCGCCCAGCGCAGCGACGAGCGCCGCGTCCGCCTCGGGCAGCGCGACCGTCTCCTGTTTCTGCAGAAACTCCTGCGTGCCGCCGAGGGCCGCCCCGAACGGCGCGTGCTACACCCCGACAGCGCTCGGTCAGCGCTCGGAAAATAACAGCAAAATGGGACGCGCTTACCGTTCCCGTGGTGAGTAGATGGATGCGATCGCGGCACGCGCTGAGCGCGGCGTGGATCGCCTTGGACCGCTCCTTCTTCTCGGGGTCCGCGCTGTCCAGGAACCGATCCATGTACACAGTCTCCCCGAACTTGACGTACGCCTGCGACTTGTACGGCTGCAGCGTCTCGCGGTCGAACTGCCCCCGCTACACACACGCCGCCGGCCGTCAGAGTCGCTTTCAATAAAACATATCCCCGGACAGACAGACGTGACGGGCCGTACCTGGAGCTGGATCTGCAGCAGCGGCGGCAGATCAACAAGCGTGACCTCCATGCGCGCCGCCTTGCCCTCGAACTCGACCGCGTCGTCAAAGTAGCTTCCGAGCCCGTCGTACAGGTCGTACCCCTCGTCCGACACGTTCACCGGCAGCAGCGAGAACAGCACCTCCTTCTCGTGGATCGACGCGTCCCCCGGCACGAACGACAGCCGCTGCTTGAGCGTCCCATAGAACAGCCTGCAGAGACACGGACGCTCAACGACAAGAACAACAACGACGAAACGCGCGCAAGGGCACGCCGCTCACCGCTTCACGACGCTCGTCTTACCCTCCTCCGCGTCGCCCAAGCCGTCAAACTTGAGCAGCGCGGTCTCGATCTGGAACATACAGTTGTCCATGCACTCCGACACGTCGTGCTGCCGCCCTGTGCGCCACGCGAACGCCACAGCCATCAGCCCCCCTCCTCTCTGCACACGTGGACGCGAACGTACCGAACATCATGACCGACTCCGACGCCGCCTTCCGCGGCGGGAGCGACGGCGGCTGTTGTTGCTTCTGCACCGCCCGCCCCTCCGCCGCCGCCGCATCTAGCATCTCCGCATCGCCGCCCGCACCCGCGCCCGCGCCGACCCGCGAAGACGACGGCACAGCAGCCGGCGATCCCGCGCCCTCGCCCTCGCCCAAACCCGCATCGACGTCCATCTGCGCGCCCGCGTCCTCCTGCTCCCGATCGCGCCGCTTGCCAAGCACAGACGCCGCAGACGCAGACGATGACGCCGACGCCGACGCCGGCTCCCCGGTCTCCCCGGGCGGCGACGACGCCGACGATGCGGGCGCGCGCGCCGGCGCGTCGTCCACGAGCGTCGCCTCCGTATCGTGCGACGAGTCCGTCCCGCCCCTGTCCGCGTCCGCGTCCGCATCCGCGTCCTCGTCCTCGTCCTTCGACGTGACCAGCGCGAGCTTCGCAAGCTCGATCGACGGCGTCACCGCGGGCACGTCCGCGTGCTCCAGATCCCAGAACAGGCCCGCCAGCTGCCCGACGACTGCCGCGCGAGCGTGAATACGACGCCGACCACTACGACGCGAAAAAGGCGGGTGAGGTGGGGGGGTGGGGGGGGTACTCACATTTTTTCGACCGCAAGATCTCGCGCCTCGTCACCAACCGCCCGCCAACCCGATGCCGCTTCAAATCGTCGTCCGTCAGCTTATCGTCCTCGAGCGCCTTGTACTCCGAATTGAGCAGCGTCTCCACGGCCTTGCGCAAATCCGTGATCGTGTAGAAGTACTGCAGCAGCGAGTTGAGGTAGCACGTGTTCCCGAGCTGGTTCAGGCCGCGCGGCCAGTCGGGCCTCGCAGGCGGCACCACGTCCCCCGCTACCCGTACCACCCCTCAGTCAACCGACAAAAAAAAAAACAGAAAAACTACGCCAAAGGGCACTCACGATCCGTCCCCGTCTCCAAAAACCGCCTCAACCGCACACTCTCCCTCGCCTCCGCAACAACCGCAACAGCCTCCCGCATCCTCTCCGCCTCCCCCGGCTGATCCGCAACCCGCACCGAATAAATCGTCAACAGCATCCCGTCGTCCACCTCCCTCGGCGCCTCCAGCGTCGCATACGCCCGCCCCGGCGTCATCGGCCCCGCCCCTCCTGCACCGCCGGCGGTCTCGCGCGCCCACACGTCCCGCAGCGCAGCGCTCCCCCGCAGCTCCGCCACAACCCGCAGCGCCTCGTCCGCCTCCACCGCCCGCGCCCCCGCTCCCCCGCGCGCGCGCGCCTCGCGCCACGCATTCACAACAAACGCATCCTCCACGTCGTCCCCCAGCTCCACCCCGAGCGCCCCCGCGCGCCCGAACCCCAGCGCCTCCCGCGCCCCGCGCGCGTTGTCGTGCGTGAACCGCAGCCGCGCCCGCTCCTCCAGCACCAGCGCCTGCAGCTCCGCGGGCGCCGCCGCGCCGCCGCGCGCGGGCGCGCTCAGCGCGCTGAAGAGCGCGAAGAAGGCGGAGAAGTGGTCGATCGTGTGCGCGGGGTCGCAGCGGCACTGCGCGAGGTACGCGAAGGCCAAGAGCTCTGTGGCGGGCGGCCGGTGGCTGGTCAGCGTCGTCGCTGCGAGAGAGAGAGAGGAGAGGGCGCGGAGCGCGGTGCGTACCCCACGAATACGTCGTCGGCGTCATGCCGAGCTGGAGCCAGGCCTCTTCCAGGCCCTCGTACTCGAGGTTGATCGGCAGCAGACCGCGGGGGACTGTCAATCGAACGAGCGAGCAAGCGATGACATCAGCAAGCGTGACGCCCTTTGCATGCACGGACGCACTCTGGTCAGGATGCGCGCCGACGGCGGTCTGGTACATCTCGCGCGCGTTCTCGATGCGGACCCACAGCGGGTGCGGTGTATACTCCTTGAGGGACGACGCTGCAGCGCGCGCGCGGTCAGTCGGAGGCGCACGGCACGAGGAAGGAGGGGCAAGGAGATCGCAGGCGTACCGAATCGCTTCCGGTAGTCGACCGCCCAAGCGCTCAGCTCGACCCACGCGCGGAGCAGCTTCGCGCGGTTGCGCCGCCCCTGCGGGGTGCCGGGGTCGACGCTCGGCGGGTGCAGCGCGACTGTGTCCGCGTGGTCCGCGTTATCGACGACGCCGCGCGCCTCGAACCCCAGCGCCTGGAATATTTTCTCCCTGTGCGTGCGAGCTCAGCGCTCAGCGTGCGGCCGGTGCGTGCGTGCGTGTGTGCGTGCGACAAGAGGGGCCACTCACGCGGTCGGGGTCCAGCCCACCTTGGCCTGGAAGGCCTTGCGGGTGACGGGCAGGACGCGGCCCTCGTTCTTCCAGAGCCTGTTCTCCACGATGCTGCGCAAACGGACGCGTCAGCGCGCGCGGCGTGGGACGCGGGCGTCGACGACGCGAGTGACCTACGTCAGGATCGTCTCCCAGGCCATCATGAGGCTGACCTCCTTCGACTTGCCGGGCGGCGGGTGCTCGGTCTTGAACTTGACAAAGTCCTCGACGTAGCGCGCGGGGACGACGCCCGGGACGACGTCAGAGGCGACGCAGTAGAACGAGCACTGGCAGCAGACGTAGAGATCGAGCAGATCGCCCTCGTCCGCCGCGTCCTCGTCGTCCTCTCCGTCTGCGTCGTGCTCCATCGCGGCGGTGGGGGCGCCGGCATCGAGGGCCTGGGCGAGCGCGGCAGTGTCGATGTCGTCGCCGCGGAGGGTGAGCTTGCGGCGCTTGCGCTTGTCGAGCACGGCGGCCTCCCACTCGCTGCGGTGGAAGGCGGGGGTGAGCATGCGGGCGTCGACGGCGTGCTCGTAGAGGTGGAAGTGGTGGGTGCGGTTGGTCTGGCCGAAGGGCTGGTCGCGGGCTGCGCCGAGGCAGGAGGGGGTCTTGCGGCGGCGGGCCTGGTCGGGGAGCGGCGGGTGGCTGTGGCCGTGGGCGGACTTGTCCGCGTGCTGGTGGTCGTCGGGGTCGTGTTTGTGGGCTCGCTTGAAGGAGCGGGCGAGGGGCGGGACGACGGAGGAGGACTTCCAGAGGAGGAGGACCCAGCCGTTGTGTCTGCGGCAGTAGTACGCGTTGGGGTGTGGCACGGCGGTGCGGACCTCCTCTGGGGTCGGCTGTGGTGCGGTCGAGGAGGCGGAGGACGAGGACGACGAGGACGGGGTCGGGGACGATGCGGGGTGCGTCGGGCTCGTTGGATGGTGCGGCGGGGGCTGTTTTATGTCGGGGGGCGTGACGGTGACGGAGAAGAGGGAGTGCTCCGAGTTGTGGAGGCGGTCAGCGAGCAGGGGCGGGAGGATGCCGGGGCCAGGGCGGCGGTGCTTGCGGCGGGTGGCGGGGTCCCACCAGTTCGCCTCCTCGTCCTCGTCGCGGCCATCGATCTCGATCTTTGCGGCTGTCGCTGCGGGCCACGGGCCCGGGGAGTAGTCGGTCCACTCCTGCACGGATGGGGTCCACGAGGGGGCGGTGCCGGAGCCCCACTGGGTGGTGGTGTCGTCGGGCGGGAGGGGGGCGGGGAGGGCGAGATCGGCGGCGAGGCCCGGGACGGGGTCGTCGTCGGGGACGAGCTCGGGCTCGCGGAAGGGGGAGGAGGAGTGTTTGTTTTGGGAGGAGTCGGAGAAGTAGAAGCTGGTGGTGGAGGAGCCGAATGCGGCAGGGCGGGACGGCAGGGGCGGCGGGCGCTTTGTGGGCTGGCCGCCGTAGAAGGAGGCAGGGTGGATGGGCTTGTCTGCGACGGTTGACCTGTGTGCGGCGCCCGTGGGCTTGTTGGAGGGGACGGTGTGGTCCATCGAGCGCGGTTGGTAATCAGCCTGGCCTGCGCTGGGAAGATGGGGTGGTCGGGGGCAAGCAGCGAGATCGCGGGGAGCTTACCTCAAAGGACGCCCGGAAACGTCGTCGGTGGTGCGTGGGCTGATGCGGCGTGCCTGTGATGCTTGCTGAGCGCTGAGCGTCGGTGGGCAGCAGCGCATCGACCCCTCGAAAATGCGGGATGCTCAGCACCACGTGCCCGAGTTCTGGGCCCGATCACGCGTCTCCCCGACGCCTCCGTCCTCCACCTTCACTCAATCGATGTCAGCGCGTTTCTCTCAACAACAAACTCTCGTTCGTCAGCCATCCTGACCTCGTTGGCCGGACACTTCGTCGAACGGGTCGCTGCCCCGTGCGTCTGCACCCTCCCAGCCCATATACTCAACGCGTCGCTCACGACACGATCCTGTCACGGCCGTCGCGCTCCTTCGCCACAGCATCAACGTAGCGATGGTATCTGACTCTTTCTTATACTCGGAACGACCGTCTTCTGTGTGAGATCAGCCACGGAGACTAGTATTTGACCGTGCAGACCTATACCAGGGTTCACCTCAGACGGGCGACTACGTGTCCTCTCGTATCGGCAAGCAGGATCTACCTTGGCATCTTCCTCCCGCTCGGATTCCAGCCCTGTCGACGGGAGAACCACTCGCGAGCACAGGTGTTGTTCTGTGCGCTTGCTGTTTTTTATTCTATCTTCAAAGGGATCGCCATGCCTGCAGTATGTATATACGGGCCCGGGCGTGTATGTCTATCGATCCTTGTGTATGACAGAGTGGCCGACACTGTGGACCTTTTCGTCGGCAGTCCAACTTCAGTGGGAACACGCATCGGGAGTCGCTGTGAGCGCTGAGCGCTGGGCAAGCATGACATCGTGGAATGGTCTCGAGAGCGCATGCATCGCTGCAGAATGCCGGCGGTGGGCCACTGACAGATCCTGACACGCAGATCGTGGCCGCTCCGGAAAGAAGTCTCGAGTCAGCGGCGGCTGGATCTGGCAGCCTCTGCATCGCCCACTCCGACCGCCCGCGATGACGCTCCGTCGATCTTCGACGCGCATGACATCACCCGCTCGAACGGCTCCTGGCTGCCATCTACAACACATCGCATGCTGCCTCCATGGTGCACACTTATATAGCCCAGCAGGCCCTGCGTGATGCGCGCAAAACACCCCTCTCGCACGTACGATCATGAGTCTCCTAACGCTCACGCAGGCGCGGCCCCTCGCCATCGCCTCCTTCCTCGTCAACGTCCTCGCCCAAACAGCCGGGATGCTGATCAAGCCCAACATGAAGGACGTCGCGGACGCGGTGCGCCTCTCCCCTTCCTCGCCTCCGTCCGCGTGTTCGCGTGCGCGCGTTCTCACGGCGCGCGACAGAACCACTACGCGTTCTCCCCGAACCCGTGGTTCGTCGCGGGCTTCTTCTCCGCGCAGACCGTGCTCCAGGCGTGGTGGCTCCGCACGCTGTGGTCCATGCCCGAAGCGCAGGAGCTCGAGTCCGCAGACGACGGGGACACGCGCGCCGCCACGCTCGCCTACGTGCCCATATACGCCCTCGGCAACCTCTGCATCGGTACGCACGCCCGCCCGCACGCCTCATCCCCCCTCGCGCCCCAATCCCGCACCTGACGACCCCAACCCCACGCTCCCCGCTCGCGCCCCCAGCCGGCTGGCTCCTCTTCTGGCTCCGCTCCCAATTCATCCTCTCCCAGTTCCTCGTGGCGCTCAACACCCTCGCCCACCTCTCCGCCGTCTTCTTCCTCCCCGTCCTCTCCACCACCTCCGCCTTCCAGTCCCGCACGCCCCCGCGCGCGCTCCTGCATCTAGTCGCAAAGACGTTCGCAGGCATCGCCGTGCTCGACCTCGTCGACAACGGCGCCGTCGCGCTGCGCTTCGCGCACCCGGACACGACAGCGACGATTGGCGTGCCCGTCGTCTTCGGCCTGCTCGTGCGTCCTCCTCTCATCACCTCGCCCGTCGTGGACGCCCCCTTGAAACGGATGCACATTTCCGTGTTTTGTTTGCGCGTCGGTGCAGGCGCTGGTCTCGGACCCCGTATTTGGCGCGTGCCTCGTGTACGACCTCCTCGCGCTCGCTGCGGGCCAGCGGGGGCGCTGGGGCGCGCAGCTGGCGTGGTACGCCGGCTCGACCGCCGCGGTTGTCGGGATCAAGGTGCTGCAGGCGTTTTATGGCAAGCCGGGCGGGATCAGGCTCGGGAGGGAGGGCGATTTGTCCTGAGGGCGGCTGTACCGTCTTTCGTTTCTTATGAGGCTGTGGTGTGGTTCTAGGTTATCCTGTGTATTTGGTTGTATAGTGTTTTGTTGGATGATGATGTGGGGCGATAGTTTCTTGGGGGAGGGTGGTTGTCATTTTGAGTGAAGGTAGGACAGATTAAGTACTCGATGATGTGTACGTGAATGGCAAACGATTAAAAACTCCTCACGGAATATCGTACATGTACCAGGGTATATAAGCATAAAGTAACCGCAACAGAAGATGAGCGCCTGAGCGCCCGAGCGCCTGAGCAGCCAACACCAGGCGCACGACACAGCGTCCACGACGATCAAATCTCCTGCGCCAGATAGCAAACCCGCGCGCCGCAGTCCGCGTCCCCGCACCCGGAGCACTCGTGCCGGTCGTCGTGCCTCCTGGAGGCACACCCGCGCGCGAAACACGGCTCGACGCCGGCGGGGCTCACGACCTGCCCGCCGGCGCCGCGCCAGCACCGCGCGGGCGTGCCGTCCCAGAGGCGGCGGCGGCGGCGGCGCACCGCGACAAGCCGGGGTGCGCGCGCGCGAGGCACACGGCGCGGATGGGCAGGCCGGGGCGCGAGGGGCGCGTGCGGGGGCGGCGCTGTCTGGGGGAGGCGGAGCGGAGGCGTGGGGAGCGGCTGCGGCTGCGGCTGCGGTCGCGGCGGTCGTGCATCGTGATTCCCGCCTGCACGGCGCAGCGTGGGGGCGCGACGCGGAGACGCGAGTGTGGAGGGAGATAGGGACGATGACGCACGCAGGAGATGGGCGAGATGGGCGAGACGCTGAGCGGCGCGGTCGGGAGTGAGGACCGAGCGGGGGCTGACCTCGGCCATCGCCGCGACTTGCAAGTTCCGCGAGTGCTCGCTGCTGGTGTTCTCGAGGAGCGTCTCGTTAAACAGGCCGATATTGGGCGCTTCGCCGCCTCTAACGCTGTCGTACCACGAGCGGCGCACGCTCGCCTGGTAGCGCAGCAGGATCGTCTCCCCGTGCGCGCGGAACCGGCACGGGTGCGCGTCGAGCGCGCGGTAGAGCGCCGCGACGGCGTCGACGGCGTCCGCCGGCCACGCGCATTTCCTCGTATCGTCCAGCATCGCTATCATGCCGACGGACATCTGGCTCCACGCGAGATCGGCGTCCGGGACTACCTCGTCGGATGGAGCGAGCCCCGCGATGGCGAGGGAGCGCTGGCGGCCCTCGTGGGTGAAGTGCCAGAGCACGACGTACTCGACGTTCGCGAGCTTGTCGATCGCGTAGCGGGAGGGCAAATAGGTGGGGTGATCGGGCGCCGCGCGCGTCTTGTCGAAGGCGGGCAGCGTGAGCTTGGACTGGAGACGGGGATGGGGCTAGGGCTGCGCGGCTTCGCGAGGGCGCGCGGGATTGGGCCCATCAGGATGGGCGGCGTCGCTGGCCGCCTGCGCGCCCCACAAAAGGCGCTGCCGCGCGTTGATGGCGGCCCACATGGCGGCGAGGCGCAGCGCCGTCTGTTTGTCGGTCTCGCCTGGGAGCGCGAGCTCGAGTCGGACGGCGGTCCAGTCTGCGCTCGCGAACTCGGGGCAGACGTCTGCGTTGGGATCGGACGCGATGCGCGGGGGCATGGTAGGAAAGGGAAGAGAGGGGCGAGCCTGTGCGCTGACGCGCTGGCGAGGCGGGTGAGGCCTAGGTCTTACGGAAGGGTATAGTCTCTCAGGGTGATAGTCTCAGGGTACGTACACCCGTGCTTCACTCCCAGCTTGGAGACTAGCCATTTGGATATGTGATACACGCTTTAGAATGCAGCGTCAAGTCCCCGGCATCGATATAGCACTAGGATATGGCGGTATAGCCAAAGCCCAACGTCAGCCAGTCTATCCGCCCCATCCGAACCGTCTACTACCGCGTCGAATCGAGAATCGACCACTCGCCCAGCGACGAACCCAACACGCGCTCTGTCCGCATCTCGCAGCCGACCCCTGCTCACAGATCTCGCGCTCAGAACTTGTACACCTGGTCCTCGGTGTACCCGAGCTCCTTGAGGATCCCGCCGACCGCGCCCTGCTTCGGGCCCTCCTTCTTCCCCGCGATGGCGGCGACCTGGCCGGGCGGGCCTATGTTGCGTTGCAGACGATAGGGCGGTCAGAGGTGGCGGACAGACGCGGAGACAGAGGGGGAGGGGAGGACGCACCGCAGACGAAGACTTTAACTTTGTCGTTGAGGGAGGGGGGCGCGAGGTGCTGCTTGAGCACGTCCTTTGACAGGAATCCGGTGTGACCTGACGAGACGCGAACGAACCAGTTGTCAGCAGACCGAGCAGAGCACGTACGCGTATTGTCGCGCGCGCCAAGCACCGCTCAGCATAAAGGCCCGTGCCAAAGCCGCGGCGATGCCCCCGACATGAACTCAACAACGAATCGAGCGCACCTGTCCATGCTTTGCCGCTCTCGGGCTTATCGACGGCGTACAACACATCGAACGTATCCGGGTGCGCCTTCCTCAGCGCATCGAATTCCTCGCGGAGGAGGATGTCGGCCTCGGTCTGGTTCGCGAAGACGAGCTTGAACTTGGTCTTGTTGGACGGATCCGCGAGCGCGTAGGTGAGGATCTGGTAGAGCGGGGTGCTGCGGGGGTCTTAGACGCGAGCGGAGAGGCGGAGCGAGGGACGGACGTACATGCCGCTGCCACCGCCGATGAGCGCGACCTCGTCGAACTCGTTCACTAGATGCCCGGCACGCGCACGGGCGTCACGATCCGGCGTCAGCACCGACACGCACAAGCCCGACCGCGCGCGCAAGCGGCCCACGCACCTTTATACGGGAACTTCGCGATCGGGCCCTTGATGGCGAGCGTGTCGCCGACCTTGAGGTCGTGGATGTGCTTCGAGGCGTTGCCGGCGTCGTATTTCTTGACGAGGAGCGCGAGCTCGCCGGGGGCGTCGGGCTGGGAGACGGGGGTGTACGGGCGCACGACGGGGCGGCCTTTGGCATCCGTGAGGGCGGCGGGGTCGGAGGCGCGGACGAGGAGGCAGGAGGCGACGGGGAGGAGCGAGGCTTCGTTGTTCGGGAGCTCGAAGACGAAGCTGCGTGGGCGTCAGCTGGCAGGCAGACGCGGCACAAATAAGAGGACATGGGGGACGCACGTGGCGGTGTTGTGGTTGTAAGGGACGACGCGCTTGAGCTTGAAGTCGAGGAAGTTCTGCGGGTCGAGCGGGCTCTTCTCCTGCGCCTTCTTCGGCGTGGGCGCGGTGCTGTTGAGGAAGACGTAGCCGCCGAGGCCGAGGGTGCCGGCGGAGATCAGGTAGAGCGGGAGGTTCGACTGGGCCTTTTTGGGGGCGGTTTCGGTCGTGTACCGGCGGGAGGCGGCGGCCTGTGGAGATTTTGTCAGGTTGTTGGGTGCGGATCGCGAAAAGAAATGCGTTACGGCGGAGCGGGCAAATGTGGCTGCGCGGATAAAGGACATTGCGGGCGGCTGGGGGGGTGCGCTGGCTAGAGAGAATAGGATGTGGTGGACGAGCAGCAAGCGACGACGAGGGACATTGGCGCGCTCAGGACATGGGATGGTGTCATCTCAGCTGACGCCTGAGAACAATGGAAAATGAAATTATGGGACAAATTGGGCCGAAAGAGGCAAGTGTAACGTCATAAGGAAAGCGAGGGAAACGAGGAAAATGGCGGAGAGCCAGATTGGTTTTCGGTTGCGGCGACGAATGGGGGGCGTGGGCTAATAATCATTCGCATCCATCGATCGTCGGCGCGACCTTGGCGCTCGCCGTCTGCAGCGGTATGGGGCGTCGCCTCTGCGTCGACGAGAACGGTCGACACGGCACGGATCCAGGATGATAGACCTGATTCGAAAGCTCACAGATGAGAGAGCAGGCCAAAAATAAAGGGATCACGGGGAGTGCATGTTAGCAATGGCGGGCGGGCAGCCACCGCATTGCGACGCCGGTCTCGGCCATCCGAGCACTCCAACAACCCTCTTTCGGGTGCCCAGCCAACCTTACATACGGCCCTTTGCTCCCTCCACCTCCAATCGTCCTCCATCTTCCCTCTCCACCCTCACCCCCCTCTGCTCTTCACTCCCAGCTCAACGTCGTCGTCGTATCGCTCACCCCCATGTCTTTCGTCAAGCTCAGCATCTTCGGGACCTCTTTCGAGGTACGCATCCGTGCCATCCTCGCCTAGCACGATGACTTTCCTCGCCTCGTGCCCCCGTTGCCTACGGCTACTGCCACACACGATGACGCACCCCTCGCGCCGTGCGTCATCGCCATCGGCGTTTCTCCTCCTGTTTCTCCGTCTAGCTACTTCGTCCTCTTCGAGATCGTCTTCCTCACCGCCCGCCCTCGTTTCGCTAGGTCACAACGCGCTATGTCGACCTCCAGCCCGTCGGCATGGGTGGGTCCCCTCCCCCCTCTGACCATTCCCTCGTCCTGACCACGCTGCCCTACCCGTTCGTCGCAATCAGGCGCATTCGGCCTTGTGTGGTGCGTATTGGCCTTCCTTTTCTGTCGTGACACGGCGTATGCTGACATGCGGCGACGTCGGGGCGTCTTGTCAGTTCCGCAAAAGACCAGCTCACGGGTGCATCGGTCGCCGTGAAGAAGATCATGAAACCGTTCAGCACCCCCGTCCTCAGCAAGCGGACCTACCGCGAGCTCAAGCTGCTCAAGCACATCCAGCACGAGAACGTGAGTGAATCAACCCCTTAACTCCCTAGTCGTTCATGTGTCTGGGCTCGTGCTTTAATGTGCTGACGCCTCACCATCCTATCGCAGATCATCAGCCTCCGCGACGTCTTCATCTCGCCTCTCGAAGACATGTGCGTCCTTGTTCCCCTCCGCCCTTCTCTTCCCTTCTCTTCCTGTCACCCTCTTTGAAATCCCCTCCGCAACGACCGAGCTATACATAGCAGCATCCGATTGATTCCCCGCACTTTATCCCATTTGGCGTCCCTTTGCCCTGCTCTCTACCTTGCGATCCTAATCCTGATCCTGATCTGAACACAATCCTGATCTCGATCTCGATACGTACAGCTACTTTGTGACAGAACTCCTCGGAACCGACCTCCATCGCCTCCTAACGTCACGGCCACTCGAGAAGCAGTTCATCCAGTATTTCTTGTACCAAATTCTGGTGCGTTATATCACCTCCTGGTTTATCCCGTCCTTTCGCTTTCCGCTTTAGGTGGACGGAATGTGATATGTGATCGCATACTCATGCTGACTGACACATACGTCGCATATAGCGCGGGCTGAAATATGTGCATTCGGCAGGTGTTGTTCACCGAGATCTCGTGAGTGTCTCATCCATCTCTTAACGCGTTGTCCTCCGCCCTCCGCCCTGGGTTAGTAAGGGTTCAGCTAACCTGATATACAGAAACCAAGCAACATCCTAGTCAATGAGAACTGCGATCTCAAGGTGCGTCGGTTTCGAGTCTCCACTGATCTCGCATTCTGCCGTATCTTACACTCTTTCCATCGTGCACACTGCAGATCTGCGACTTCGGCCTCGCGCGGATCCAAGACCCACAGATGACAGGCTACGTCTCGACGCGGTACTACCGTGCCCCGGAAATTATGCTCACGTGGCAGAAGTACGACGTCGCAGTCGACATCTGGAGCACGGGCTGCATCTTTGCGGAGATGCTTGAAGGGAAGCCGCTGTTCCCCGGGAAAGACCGTACGTTTTCTTCTCATTCCGTTTTCTCTCGTAGCTATGTTTTGGGCTTCCAATTTTCGGTCCCCGTTCTGAGGGCTCTTCTCGCATTTTCTACTCGAGTGATTCTTTTTGCGCGTTTGTTTATGTTCTGTCTGTGTTTGACTCGCTTCTGTGCTATCTCCGGTCGCCGGGTGTCGACTCTTCCTTCGTTCCTTCTTTTCGCTGCCTTGCTCTTTCAGAAAGTTACTCACGTCTTCACTCTTACTCCACTGGCCCCACATTGCCCCACTGCTGTACCTCAACTCGCCCTATTTCTGCTCTTCTCTGCACTGCGAACAGACGTCAACCAGTTCTCGATCATAACCGAGCTGCTAGGGACCCCACCTGATGATGTCATCGAGACTATTTGCAGCGAGAACGTGCGTCCTCCCTTACCTTCCCTTCCTCCTTCGTTCCTTGTCTCTCCGGTCATCGTCCCTGCACGTCATCGGAATCCTAACGGCTATCGTTTTTATCTCTGTCGTTATCTCTATCTTGGGCGTCATCGCCGGCATATCCACTACCCGCGGGCGTCTCTCGTCACTGGAATACGGATTCGGCGACATGTGGGTAACGTGAACGGGTTCACGAATGCAGACGCTTCGGTTCGTGCAGAGCCTACCAAAGCGGGATCGTGTGCCGTTCAGCGAAAAGCTGCGGTGCAGCGACGAGAGCGGTACGTTGTTTCGTTTTCCATTTCTGCTCATTACGGCGCACGAACACTCAACAATCTCCTTCTTGACGTGCAGCGCTCGACCTGCTCGAAAAGATGCTTGTGTTCGACCCGCGCAAGAGGATCGACGCGACGGCGTCACTCGCGCACGAGTACGTCGGGCCGTACCACGACCCTACGGACGAGCCCGTCGCGGGAGAGAAGTTCGACTGGAGCTTCAACGACGCGGACCTGCCCGTGGACACCTGGAAGGTGATGATGTACAGCGAGATTTTGGGTGAGATTCTTCTGTGGCCGGCGGCCTGTTGTAGCTAGCTCTCGGCTGACGTCGTGCGCGCCTTTTATGGAAGATTTCCACCAGGTCAGCGATTCGACCGCGAGCACGACGGCGAATGGCGTGCCGGAGGGCGCCCTCGCGGGGCCGGACGACGGCGGCGCGCCGACGGCGAACGGGTCCGCGCCGCATGCGGACTGAACGTGCTGCTACACGCTGGTCCATCGCCCTCGTTGCCACGCTCGTGCACGGGGCAGAAGATATGGCGCGAAAATGCGTGAGCGAGGAGGTGGATGGACGCTTTTGATATTTGAGCCCCGTTTCTTTTTCTTTCGGGCTGGTAGACGGTGTGGAGGCGGAGGCTTTCTTTGTATCTATCACGGCACACGAAGCAAGAGCAAGCAGCAGGAGCAGAAGAAACAAAAGAAACAGAAGCCCGTGTACCAACTAGTGTAGTGTTTTTTTCCCGTCGTATTTGTCTGTCTATCCTCCTCTATACCGTCGGCCGCTCGTTTCATTTGTTCGTTCGTTCGTTTGTTCGTCGCGTGTACTCCTTTATCTCTCGTCTCGTCTCGTCTCGTTTCGTCTCGTCCCGGTTTCTTTCTCTTTTTTAGTTGTTTTTCCTGTTTCGTCTTGTGGGTCGTTGTCTCTGTCACGATCTCCCGATTCCCACCCACGCATCCCACGTCCATGTCCATCTCGCCCATCCTGTTCTCGTCTCGTCCCACCCATCCCACCCATCCCAGCCCAACCATTCCCATCCTGTCTCATCGGCCACGAGCATTCCCACCGCCTTCCCTTCTCTCGACATCGACATCGACATCGACATTGACATCGGCCCATAGCCTCCCATAGCCTCCGGCGCAGCTCGGCACTCGCCCCCCGATCCTTGATTCCCGATCCAAGACTGAATTGATACTCATACTTCTACGTACACAGCTACATAAATCATACTCGCACTCGCACACGTATTTGGTTGGTTATACTCATGCTCCCGCGTGCTTCGTCGCGTCGCGTCGCGTGCGGTCGCTGGTCTCTCGTCAGCGCTCAGCGCTCAGTTCTCAGCTCTCGTCTGTCGCCTCGGCGATTATTGGTTTGTTCGTTCACTATTTGTGTGGCTAGATTTGATTGTTCAGCGGAAAGAGTGGCTTTGGGGCATGTGAGTGGCATGTGTGGAGATTGATGCTGAGGAGGGTAGCGTCCGCTTGTGCCTGCTGTTCCAAGCCTAGTCTCCGTGGCTGGCTGACCTTACACTGAAGACACTCGCTCTGTATCGATTATGCGGGGCGCTCGTTGACAGTCCTGTTTTTGCAACGATGTTGATTGCTTTGCGCTGTGTTATAAAGCAAGACGTGGTTGGTACCACATGTAATCGAATGAATTTCCCGAGGAGAACTGAGAACGGACGATCCCAAAGTCGAATACATTGGCTCCGTATAAGTAAATGAGGCATCATCGTCAAATGTAAATGCACTATATCAGTCCGTGCATGTTTCTATGGCCGCTCTTCCGCATAACTTCCCAATTGTTTGTCGTTGAGCACGAGCGATGTCCATCCACGTCGCTTCCCAACCTCCTTCATACAACGCAATCGCCAGGTATCTACAGTACGAGATAGGTGCCTGCGATACGCTCTATATTCAGCCGCCGCTTCAGATGGGCTCAGGCTAACAAGTTCGTCGTAATCAGAGTCAGTCGAGTCGTCGTCACTGCCATCACGGACATGGTTTTTAGGACCGAAACAGCGGGAGCAAACTGTTGGCATCCATACAAACCGACTGCGAAAACACGGCCCAGTGCAGGTTGTCAGAAATAGGCTGCGTTCGTTGGGTAGACTTATGTATGAGTCAACAGATGACATCCTGAGAGGAGTACGAGACGTCGATGCAAACAATGGAGGCGGTTTGAGCTCGAGCCAGACGCGATACACATATTGCAAGTTATAAAGCATGGATGTGGCATCATGCTCAGAAATTGGCCACAGCGACTTTACCACAGTCGACATTCCTGATGGCCCCGACATTGCATGGCCAAACATCTTGGCAGCTGCGTCGAGCATGACAAAGTGAGGCTTAACACGAGAAGTGAGAATCGGTAGAGTGTCGAATGGATATGAATGGCGAGTCGACGTTCGATCGGCAGTACTTGGGATGTGTGGTGAGGATGTTCCTGTTGCATCCGGATAGTCGAAGCGTTCCATCGAAGGAACATGCTTGCCAAGTGGCAACAGCCGGTACTCAAAGGTCCCAATGCCTTCATAAATCTACACAATCGTCGATAAGATACGAAAATGGAATGAAAAACAGAGAGACGAACCGTGTCAATGTGTGGTTGTTGATTCGGACTTTTGAGATCACTGAGGATCTTTTTACAATGTAGCCATGCTCTGTCCACCATTTCAGGAGACGGGAGCAAAAGCCACTGGTTGCTGTCAAACGATTCGAACAAGTCACGCCGAACTAAATTGTGGAGAGCATCAGTGTCCGTTTGGGCGCGGATAACAATAAAGCGTACGATATATTCTATTTGCTTCTATTTCCAACTCGAGGGAATCATACTGCATCCCCCACATCCACTCGAGACGCGTAAGCTGCATTTGATAGTCAGCGATTGCGTCGACGATCGGAAACATAGGATGAAGCATACTAATTGGTTATTTCGCCAGTGGCGTGGATTGAGCAAATAACACGGTTCGATTGGCGTGTCCGATTCAAGCTCTTTTGTGACAAGGCATTGCTTGACGTTCGTTATCACTGATCGCGGAACTTCAGCAATGGTAGCAGGTTGTTCAGAGTGTTGATCCACATCTTGTGAAGTTGAAAACTTAGTAATAGAATGGGCAGTCACCCAATGACACACGTACCGGAAATATTAGAAGACCTTGTCTTGCTAGTACTTGCAAACGGAGCAGAGAAGATAGGAGAACGGTTTATCTCTGGGGGGACAGATATATGAGGAAACGTAAGTGGTCACAGACAAGGGTCTGCGCACCCAATGCGTCTATGACTTCGACCCCTTTGCGCCTTTTGGCTGGGCTTGACACAGTCAACGTTGTAAAATCTCTTGCGCGCTTTCGACTGAGGCATTTTACACCTAAGTCTATGGTGCGTCGAATACGAGTGCCATGCTTTGAACCTTCAGAAAGACGTTCAATATGATTTTACAATCAATGCGTAAGCAAGCACTCTGTGAGGTCAAATACATTCAAACGTACTGGTAGTGTACGAAAGTCCCGTTGTGCCATCACTGCTCTTCAATGGGCTTGACCCAATCAATGTTGTAGACGCAGCACTACTGTGACGTTTGATTGCCAAAGGGATAGAGGGTAAGACGCGGCCAGCATGTTGAGAAGAATGTTCTACGGTTCCATAAACTAGATGAAGGGTAAATAAAAGCAAGGGTGGCACGAATGTAGAAGCACTTTTGATGTCTGAGCAGCCCGTCTCAACACCGGCTGCACTCGACCACCTCGATGGTAAGGATCCTATGATACCCATAATGCCGTGGTGTTCTGTTCGAGATGTTTCCTATAGATGAGATTGATATGGATGATTGTTCTCGAAAGAAGCTGGTAGTGCGGGTTGTGAGCTCTAGCGGAGCAAAGGTATTGGTTGAACGAGTGAGCCACCAGGTTCCACAACACTCTGAGCAGGACAGTCATGTGATACTGGGCCAAAGTGGCGAGTGAATACACTGTGAATACCGATTTTCTCGCCTGTTGTCTGCTCCCCAGTTGCTCCCCTCAACTCAGTTGCACGCTGTGTTGGTCTCAGGTAATTTTCCTCGAAGCTCGAGCCTATTTGTTATGAATTTGGCTGAAACGTTCAGCCTTGATGCGAACCACAAACATACTTCGCGACGTCCCACTTGTCCGACACAAGCTCATATTGAAGCAGTTTGATATATCTTGCCTTGGTAATTTGGATGTCTTGCCGTGATAAAATAAGTAGGTCTACAGTAAGTATACACATACAAGTAAGCTACCTCTTCCGAGTCGCTCGGCTACCGGCGATAGATCCTGCGGCAGTTTTCAGGGATTTGAAGTTTGTTTCCGCATCAACCTCAGAGGGTGTCGGACTCGAGCGCTCGCGCTTTGTGTTGAGACCGAGAAAACCTTTGACAGCTTTCCAAGGCCCACGGTGGGTTCTCGTCCCAATCCTAATATCCATCTCATCTGTGCCGTTGATCCCATCCTGATCTTGATCCTGATCTTGATCCTGATCCTCCCCGACCTCCTTGACCTGGGGGTTGATAAATTCCTTTGGTACTGACACCTCATTCCATCGATCGTATAAGTTAGATATCTCTGAAAGAAAATGCATAGCCTGATCTCTCTCTACACCATAGGCGATACTAACAGTCGTCTGTAACTCTTCGAACTGAGACAGATCGAGGTCCTTCAATTTCCTTGCAGCATTGATAATGACATAATGCGGTTCTACGTGAGAGTAGACCGCAGGTAAGTCATAGAATGGATGCGGATATAATACCTTGGTAGTCACGGGTGCCGGAGTCTGAGACTGTTCGCCCTTGTCAGTTCGCTGGTAGTGGACGATGTCCGAGGTTGGGTTTCCAGGAAGCGGCAAGAATCGATACTCAAAAGCTTCCCCTGGTTCGTATATCTGTTTGGAAATTTTCAGAGAAGCGACAAAAAAGAGATCATTTTTCAACCTACGTTGCGAATGTCGTGGCCAATTTCGTGATTATGTGAAATGCGATTAACTATTTCTGGCGTGGGCAGGAACATAGCGCGCTGTTTGTCAACGTATCGGTGAATCGAGATGAGTACTGAACAATATAATTTAGAACAAGCAATGAAAGACGAGATATGGATGATAATCTTACACCTCGCGACGTTTCTAGCATCGTCGATGTTGAGCTTTTTGTAGCCTATTCCCAGGGCGTGCTCAAGTCTAGTGAGCTTCAATGGTCAAATCATCAGTAAATTTATGTCATTACGACAGGTGAAAAAATAAATAGCTCACAAAGCCGTTGTCTTTGCTATCGCATTGAGGAAGGAAGTGGCAGTACTCTACCTCGATTTCTGTGTCCAGTTGCCTTGTCACAAGGCATTGATGGGGGTGCGGATCCAATGCATCGACGACTCGCTTGGTAAATGGATCCGTCCCGGAAGTCAGCTTTCTGCCATCGTGCATAGAAGCTCCTTGAATAATTTTATGCAACCTCTCCTCGGGTGATAGGGTGAATCTTTGAGGCCGAACGTAGTCGGAATCGTCGATGCGATTGACGGCCGCCGAGTTTAAAAATCCGTTGGGTGCCTTGGTACCGTGGGTGTCGTCCAAATCGTACGCCAGACCAGTCAGACGCGAGTTCCGACTGCAGCTTCTAGTTGGAAGTGGTGAACGGGTTGGAGCGTCGTCATCTAAGCCACTTTGTGATGTGTCTTCCTCCGCCATCGACTCTTCTTCAGCATCTTTTGAGGGCTTGTCCTTGAAAGAGTGCTTTCTCTTGATGGTGAGCTTGCCCTTGATTGAGAACTTGTTTTTGACAGAGAGCTTGTTTTTGACGGAAGGCTCGCCATTAGTGGAGGATTTGACCCTAGTGGAGGAGCTGTCCTTGATGGAGGTCCTGCCTCTGGAGATATAAGTACCGCTTTTCGTAGTGGCAGGCTCACTTTTGGCGACGGATTGCCCAGAAGTAGAGCGAAGAGACTTTTCCCAACGGTCCAAGGAATTGCGTGGCGAATACATGCCAGATGTCGATATGAGATTCTGAGGATTTCAGGGCAGAAGGGTGAAGGGCAAGTGATGTGATGTAGGGTACAGAGAGTGAATGTGAATGTGAACATTTATGGCTTTCATGAAAAGTGGCGAATTCAAGGTGGCCGGAACAGCATGTGGCAGAACAACGGATGGGATGTGACAGACAAAGCGTAGTTACCTGGTGGGTGGACGTGCCTCGTCCATCCAATAATGAGTACCTCATTTGTGGTTCACGATGCCATCCTACAGCGCGCGCGAAGAGAAAGTACATTGCAAGCAAGCAGGAAAAGGCACCTCACTTTTTGAAATGACGAAACCCCACCGCGATAATGCAAGAGAATCAATTAAAAATGCCGCTCAACGATCTGCACATATACAAAGCCATTCAGGATCAGCCCACGTAATAGAAAGGTCAGGACTGCAACACGATCGGTCGCGTCGTAGCAGTACCCGCGACTACTGATACCAAATCCTCGTCTGAGGTCTCGGGTATGTGGGTTTCGAAACGGGGGGCAGGTAGGGCTTGGGCAGCGGCCGTGGGGTGGACACAGGCCGCAGCGGTCGCGAGAGGCGCCATTGTGGACGGCGTTCGTCTATCGCGAGGCTGAGGATCCCCGAGCGGGGCGCGCTCGGGCACAGGTGCGCGGGAGCAGACTCACCGTGGAGGCCTAGATTGTAAGGTTATGACGACGCTGTACGTTGTCTCGCTGGTCATCACCGGTGCGAGCCACAGTAATTATCGCAGAGGACACTCACAAGCGAAGTCGAAACGGTATCACAGGCATAGAGACGAGCAAACGCGACTGATGATGAGGGTTTTTCACTAGTCGTCGGATGACGTTTCGTGCGGGTATGCGGCTATCGATAACAATTGCGCTCTCCTTTATAGCACAGAGCACGTACGGCCTCGAGGCTCGTTGTGTTGTTCTGTCGCATGCGTCGTCGAAGATGATCGCGATGCTTGATAAGGCAGGAAGGCCGTCCCAGCGTCAGATGTGTTCAATCTTGAGCCGTCTGTCAGCAAGCCGCGCGCGCTGGATCCGCAGGGTTAGCGTCGACGGAGGGTATGGCGAATCGCACACTGTGAGTTCGAGGGGCGAAAGCTTCTGGAATGCGGAGGTTTGGGGGCGGGACAGGGTGGGTGCTGAGGCCGGAGGGTAAGAGGGGCGAGGTCTGCTGTTTGAGACGCGAGTACGTACCCGGCCATGCAGCATCTCGAGGCTAATGGTTAGACATCTGCTAACGTTGTGGTGTGGATCAAGATCATGCAACAGACAAGGTGGAATGATATGGCAATCGTTTACCGCAAACTACTCACCACTCATTCTCCCAACCCATGTAAGAAAAGACGGTTGACTACGTACCTACCAATCGCATCCGTCCCTAACATCAACATCAACGGTCGATTGCACCCCAGCCTCAGCATGTACCAGTGACTGGCCGGCCTATGAAACACATAGCGAGACGAATCATGTTCTTCGACGTACCATTGAAACCGCAGTCCCAAAGACCAAGTTTTACACCATCCTGCATCCTTCAAGTTCCCCCATCCTGTTCTCATCTTGTGTCGGAGGCTCTACGAGTGCTCTACGACATCCCTTGGCCTGCCATGGTCCTATGCACTCGACCCCCGATCTCCCCCGATTGAGATGAGACATAAACTTCTACGTACACAGCTGCACGGCCTATGGTCGGTGCTCGCACTCGAACACGCATTTGGTTACTCGTGCGGTCTCGCATCGCCCAGTCCCGTTGGTCTTATGTCTACGCCTCCACCTGACTAGGCCAACCGTTCACCATTCGGGCTGTCGATTAGGCTGGGGTGCAAACCTTCGGGGTATGATTGCAAGAGCGACGCTGCAGGGGATGCAGGGGGCAGGTGGGTAGTCAGGGTTGTATGTCACCTAGACGAGATCGTAGAGCGCGTGGATCTGCCTGTATATCTTATGTCCGACGCGACAGTGGGCCATGGTTGCGATCCAGAGCATGTCGGTTCTGGTGCACGTCGGATGATGCATCCACTCGCGCCTGTTGCTCCAACCTTCCGAGCTCCTTGCCTCCGGCGACCGATGACTGCAGCTCTAGTGTTCTGATTGACTGCTTTCATTTGGAAGGGGTATGATTGAGATGGTGATAGTTGGAGTCAGATCGCCGGCGAGGCGGTGCAGCAAGCGCGGGACAGTGATTGTGGGCAGTGTTGGGCGCTCTGTGAGCTTCAAATACCTGCCGGGCTCAGTTTGATGTCCCGATCATATCGTCCAGCGTGTCCAGCGTGTCCAGCGTCGTGCTCTAAGCTTTGGCACCCACTCGAATTTCCTTATTTGACGCCTCTCCTCAGGGTTTACGACCTCTTACGACCCCTGTGCAGTGTGCATTGTCGAGTTCTTGGATTATTTCACCGGCGCTCGTGGAATCGCCATCTAAACTGAGGGAGCTAAGCTCCAAGTACCATGCGGCGGACCATGTCGACTGAGGGCAGGACGATGTCATCGACCGAGTGAGTTTGCGTCCCTTTATGGGTCCCGGTTATGTGCAGGCCCTGAGCTGTGCTTCCGTCCTGTCATTTTGCTTCCGCACGCCGCCATCACGACTGACCCTGTGTTCCTGTCGGTGACGCATACTGACCCGCGTGCTCTCTTTCCTCTCCATGCAGGCCCTGGCAGTTTCTAGGTCTGTATATTCACACATTCCCCCTGCCCTAGCCTATGCACTCACACCATCTCCGATTCCTCCCCCGCAGTCGTGCGGACGCAGAACCTCCACTTTTTGCGTCCCGAAAAGACATGGCGGCCCATCGTCACCCTCGAGGTCGACGATACCCGCCGGTCCTCCTACGAGGTCGTTCTCGGCACCGACGGCCAGAACCCCAACCTCAAGCAGCCCATGTTTCTGTATGTCTCCTCCAACTTCCCTTTGTTGATGTGTCTAAATGCGCTTGCGCGGCAGCGAGGAGGTGCACCATGGAAGTAGGCTCGAGATTCGTGTCTGGCACAGATCCCAGACTAAGGCCAAGCGGCGCAAGGCGCATCTTGTTGGCTCAGCCAGCGCTCTGCTCGGCGAGGTGGTCAAGCGCCAAGGCGATGACCGACGTGCGCATCTCTCTCTCTCTCCAATTTGTGCACTTGACCTAATCATGACTCTGTTCTTCGTCTTCACCTGGTTCTTTGGCGCATATATGCGCATATAATCACATGCATAATCATAATCCACGTATGCAGATGTCGAGATCCGCCTCTCCTGCACCTCGGCCCAACGACGCAAGTCGGCTATCCAGAAACAGCCCTCCGCGGCGTCGCTCCTCGTGCGCATCGCACCGCCTCGCGCACTCTCGAGCGCGAGCGCGTTAACGTTTTCTGATGAGGATTACGACGACGGTGATGACGGGAGCGTCATCAGCTCACGTACGTTCCCACCGCGTCTCTATCACATCTCCGACAATGCACGCGCAGAAACTAATGCGAGTTCCAACTTTATAGGAAAATCACCTGGGTCGACACTTGTCAGTTTACCTGAGGGTGACGCGGAGGATGCGGGCGACTCGACGCTCAACAATGAGCCTCCTGCACAAATCCTCAGACACCGACGCCGGCGGAAGACATCCAAGCCAAAGCCCTACTGCCTTGACTCCGACGTAGCCGAGCCATCCGAGAGCGAATACGAATTAGAATCTGCGGAGGATTCTGATGACGGGTTTCCGCCAGATCGTGTCAGCGACGAGGAGACATTCGATGACGACACAGCTTCGCTGCGTGTCCGCATCCGCTCAGAATCGGTCTCGGATGTGTCTTTAGGCGTTGATGATGGCAGTATGGGTAGCAAGGAACCGCCGCCATTCTACGCACCATCTACGTTGCCGGCCTGGCGCGCGGCGTCAGACGCGGTCTCCGTCGCGTCGACGGTGTCGTTCGCATCGTCCGTGTTTGATACTTTCACGTACTATCGTGAACTCCGCGAGGCGCAGCTTGACTGCGATTTCGAAAGCATCCTGCTTAAGCTCATGGGCGAGTGGTATTACGTTGGCGCGTCGGTACGCGAGCATTTTATTCTATTTCGTTTCGATGTGTCGTCTGACAGCCTCTCTATGTAGTTACTTGCGGTCGCAGGGTGCGTTACCAAACCCAGATGCTCAAGGAACAGAGCACATCACTGACTTTCTTCTCCGAATGATTTTGTTCTGGACAGGCTTGATACTGCTGTGTTTGGCTTCTCGCCAGACGCGATTTTCGGAGTCGACACCTTTGCCAAGCGTGCCGTGACAGTATCAAGCATCGCGGCAGGTATAGGAATCGGGATCGACGCGTGGTTCTTGTTCGCGTACAGCGGCGCCGACGTGCGCAAGTTCCAGGTAAGCGCCTTTCTTGCCTGCATTATATCTTGGGAAATCACTTTGCTCAATGCACACCTTGCCTCCGGAACAGATCCTCGCCGTCGACCTGTACTCGTCCTTTTTCTTCTTCTCGCTCACGTCCCGCATGCCGCTCGTCGCGCTCCTCGTCGCAGCCGTCACGCTCATGCTCTTCCTGTTCGCAATCGCATGGTCCGCGTGGCCGACCGCCGTGCTCGCCATGTCGTTCATCTCCGGCACGCTCTTCAGCCTGCAGTTCATCGTGTACGGGTGCCACCGCGCCGTGCTGGCCGCCGTGTGGTGTGTGCAGGGCATCGGGCGGGGCGCGCGGTGGACGTGGAGGAGGGCGCTTGGCAGGAGGGGAGAGGACGCTGAGGACGCCGGTGCAGGCGATCGCGGCCGTAGTGCAGCTGAGGCCGTTGCGGAGCTGCATACGAGGAGTGTTGTAGGCGCCGGACAGCCGCAGATCCAGGTGTCGTTCACGCCTGTGATCCCGCGGGAGCCGGAGCCGTGTCGATGATGCCCTCGTCCTTTGGGTACGTCTGGGCGACGCTCGAGGAGCGTGTGCTGGATCGTCTTGGAGGTGTCGTGTGCTCCTTCATGCACCAGCTGAATTTAGAGCTCGTCTTGAACGGCGAGCGAACGAGACCGAGGGACTCTTTGTCTAATGATGCGCCACAGGGTGTATATTTAAGGTAGATACATGGTTGTCCGTTCGCGACAGTAGGTGTGCGCGAGATCGAGAGTCATCTGCTCGGCACCGCTACACAGACATTGTCTAGCATTGATGGATTCCCGATAAAATGTGCATTGTGGCGCCGCCCAGCTATGCATATGAGAAGGAAGGGGACGGAGGCCTCTCGTGATGCGCGTGCATGCCGTGCTGATACTTGGGCTTTCGATGAGTGGGAGTCAGGTGAGCGCTGGCCCTCGTCGGAAGTCGAGAGGTGTGAAAAGTTGCAATGAGGTCAGTACAGAACCATGCTGTAATCGGTGCATACTCCCCCTCCCACCATCGGTCAACCTCATCGGCAGATGCATGGGGGGCTGGTACGAAGGGCCTTCGCGTGTTTCAGCCCTAGAAGGTTAGAAGGCCTTACGCCCTCGTGGCCGATCGACTTTTCATGCCGTTATGCTGCCGATGTTTGATATATGAGGACAGCGAGACCTACTGGCGCTCCTGCGTATATTTGAGGTCAGAAGAACACAGAGTGCGGGTGCAGACAGCGCATTCAGCGTCTGATGATTGAACAAGGGCAAAAAATGACATCTACAGCCGAGAGGCTGTACCTGGATCTTAGGTTGAGTCAATGTATACGCACTGTGCCATTAGTATTATGATGCTGGATGCTCGCTATCGGCGAGTGCGAGGGCACAGATAGAAAGAGACTTTCGGACATGGCTAGACATGTGCGCCTTGAGAATGTTGATATTTTTCAGCAGTGACGGAAACGAAGAATACCGGAGGGACACCGATGGCAGAGGGAAGGAGATTCGCACCAGATCGCGGGTTCACACACAGCGAAGACCGTTTGAACTCCAAGCTGCGATGGTATCCCTTGCGGTGACATCCTCCCAAAAAGAGATCGAAGATCGAAAATAACGCTGCATCGAACTCGTCATAATTGCAGGCGCCTGCTATAGTCAATTACAAGGAAGATCGAAGCTTAGATACAGTGTCCGCGTGGAAGGACCGTCAGAGTAGATACTTAGCGTCCCGAAACAATAAACACAAATCGAAATCGTCCCTGCACATATCTCGTCGTGGTGTAGGTTTCGAACAGAAGAGATGAACGGGTGGGAAGGGGGTATCGTCGTGGACTCGTTATTTGCTGTGAGATGCGAGAGCAAAGTACATTACACTGCGACCCATGCGCCAAAGAAGATCCCGCCCGTGATGGCGGCAATGGATGCAACAAAGGGGATTCCGATGTGCTGAGGCGCAATCGAATGTCCTGCGTTAGCCGAGCTCGCGCTGTTTAAACGGACTGCCATCAGATCGAACGTAACAGGGAATCAAGCGAGGCTACACACGCTGAGGAAGACGCTGAGGAAGACGCTGAGGAAGACGCCGAGGAAGCAGCAGCTGCGGCGCTGGATGCTGCGGATGCTGCGGACACACTGGATGCGATGGACACTGCACGAGCGGTCGCGACGCTGTACACTGATCCGCCGAACGAGGTCGCGACACCAGCACCGCTCTCCGCAAGAGTGATGCCCACGCCGCCCGCCGAGGTGATCTCAGTGAACGCCTTACCGCCAGCCGCTGCGAATACGCAACAAACGTCAAAAAAATGCTATTGAGCGTATTGAATGGAAACATACATGTAACAACAGTGAAGACGCTCGCCGCTGCAGACGTGGCCTCAGATAAAATGGATCCGGCTAGAGGAATGGAATGAGATCTACTACAAGCGTCAAAATGTAAAAACGTACCTGCGGAGGTGGCCTCATTGGCCCCAGAACCCACTGTCGATCGCATGTCGTCAGCATCAAGAAGGCAAACGTAGTTGAACGTTGCGGGTACTAGAGTGAAGCCAAAAAATCACGCACAAACAGAAGTAGCCACCGCGATATCCGATCCCGCTACGGAGGTGAGCGAATTGAAGACGCTTCCAATATCTGCCCAGGCAGTCAATGGCTTGCGCGGCTTCCAAAATTATATGGCACACCTTGACGCTTGACATGAGGAGTTGCGCACGCGGCGGCGACGAAAAGCAGAGCAGCGTAGAACTTTGTGAACATCATTATGGCAAGTCGGATAAAGAAGTCAAGATTAGATGTTGGGAGGCAAAAAATGTGGGCAAGAGAAGATCGAAAGAGTTTATTGCGAGCTGAGCAATAGTGGGGATTTATATCGGCTTGCTAACGCCCAGAATTTTGTGCACCGCCTCCTGTGGAGCACCCGACGACTATTAGTCGATCAGCCAGGAATCACGATGGAAACCCGTCGAGGCTCGCTGCTTACCGCAGTCATGCTTTCACTTGAACAGTAGCCAGAATCCTGCTCAACATCTTACCCGTCTTCCATCCTCGATACTTGACGAACGATCCAGCGATAATGTTGCGTTGGGAGTCGGGACAGCGATGCCGGCGCTTTTCGGCTTGGTGGCGGTCCGACGCAGTCCGTCCTGCGGAAGCCAAAAAGCACAGGCTTGCGTGATGACGCACCGCGTTCCGCAGCGACTCGTTAGAGGCTCTACATCATGCATACCACAGCAATATGCTTGCTCGGGAAAGCCGAGAAGGGGATATCGAGGCTCCATTATTCTTGAAACCGGGTGTGCCCAAATCGATCAGTGATAGTTGCAGCGGAGGGCATTCTGCTTGATAAGTTGCAGGCAGTGATGCGAGCAAAGGTGAGTAGCGTTGCTGATATCAATGAGTTGGAAACTGTTCTCATCGTCTCGCAAGTTTTACTCACACCTGATCAATAGATGATGGTTGCGGTCAAGCAAGATTCAACTTGATGCGCATGGCCTTTGTGATCGGCAAACGTGTGATGCAGCCGCAAATGTTGACGATGATGGCTCGGGCATACCTGTCGAGGCGGAAACTAGGAAATAAATAATCGAGGTTCTTTCGTACTCGTATATCATTCACTGACAGGCCTATGTTCTATATATATAGCTCACTCGTATTGGGGAATCGCCGGCCCATATCCCGCACCCTGATCATGGCACCCATGCGTACGACCTGCTTCCTCCATCACACACTTACAACATACAAGGTTCACTTGTCTACGTCCATTATTCCATTTCCCGCAGCGTCAGCTGCGTCAAGGCTCGTGAGTGTGCCCAGCCTTGCGCAGCAGACAGTCATCCTCTGGTTCCATTTTTAGGACCGGGCATGTCTACAGGGTCTTCTTATTCGTGGTTCACAAGCCTGCCGCCATTGGTCATAACTCACCTGGTTTTCTCCCGACTGGTCCATGGACTCGATGTCAGCATACACACTTTACAGCGTTAGCTGTCATAACCAATGGGGAACCCAAGCGACCCCATTAGCATGATGGACAGCGCTCGACCACCGCTAATGAGCGCTAGCATGCTAGCCACCTACACCGGAGGATTCCACAAATGCGCGCGCAGCCAAGGCATGGCCGAGGTCAAACATAGGTCATCGCAAGGCCGGTTATACCGCAGTACGCATGGCCCTGTACCTTCATGTACGTACGTACGCTCCTTGACACTGTGTCACGAGCTCCCACCGCGCAATTCGCTTGTGCTTTGCGCTCGTCCATTTCATCCCAGTTCCTGGACACGTTAGGTGCGCCCGATCGTCCCAGAATAAAAACCGCACATCGTCCATCGGCTGACCGTTCCTAGACCGCCTCATCTCCATCTGCACCGCGGGGATGACGGCGATTCAGGCATCATTGCCCCATCCCTTTCCGTGCGCTTGTGGCGCGTAGGCTAACCTGCGCAACGGTGAAATCGCGGAGACCACGCCTGAACCCGCCCGTGTTCGGCCCATCTTCCGTCGATGGACACGCGCATGTAAGGCGAGGTCTCAAGCTCGAGTCTTTCGCATCCGGGAAGTCAGGAACAGAAGCTTGGAAGGATGCGACGCACCCTGGGCACTGGACCCGTAAGCTGTAAATCGGGGAGCCCCAGGGCATCTGGCAACACTAGTCGCGCGCCACCTCGCGCGCTGGGAAGGTCTGCTGGGAACACCGAAGACTCAACAATGATGCTGCTCGATTGGGTGACCCCAGACCCTCCAGATGCGTATGTGGCTGCGCTTACCTCTAAGACTAAGCCAGATAGTACATACTCTCACCAGGTAATGCAGCCGACATCACCGGGAGCACGATGTAGAGCTCCATATAATGTATCCTGCCGACCAGAAGGTTCCACTTATGACTTCCATAGAGATATACACCCGAGGTCGACGTTTTGGGCGAGACAAAGAGAGCGTGGTGTAGGAGCCACGAATGAATATTACTTACATGGACAAAAGAAAATCAGCCCGTGTGGAATCCATATTGCCCTTCTGAGAACCGCCGCAGTTGGCAATCGGACCATCTATGAAATCAAGACTCATCGCTGGGAACAGGCAAGCTTGTTAGAGCGGATGATAGAACATATCTTCCTGGTACACGTACCTATCCTTGTGGGACATTATTAGGACTGGGGTCCAGGACTCACCTTCATATTCCATTTGATTCAGACTCTTACGGGACAGATTCTCCCAGGTCAAAAGAGAGCGAAGCAGACTCGCCTTTTTCTAGTTATACATAAGCCAATCCGGAGTCGACATGACTCAAGATTCGGAGCACCTGCGCTTCGCTTGACTTTTGATGATGTCCTCGCCCACACCACGTTGCGAGTATGTCAAGAAAGAACGGCGTCTCCTCACCGCCTGTCGGGACGTACTCCGCCATGGAAGGACGTCGCGCGCCGCGTGCGGCGGTACGTATCTGAAATGGAGCGCGCCCGAACTAGATGTCTTGTGTACCACTTATCTCCATTTGCGTCAACAATAGCGATTTCTCATCGTCGTAGACTTGGCAGGTTAGATGTCTGAGCCGATGCTGGTATAAGAATAGGAAGCAATAAGTCCCTGGATAAATTCCAAATTACCGAGGAAGATGTTCGGCAGCAGATGTGAGTTTTGATACAGCGTAGAGAGTGGTTGTACTCTACGTTGCGGCCTTCCAAGGGTTCCGGTGGCCATAGTAGTAGTAGTAGTAGTAGTAGTGTGATGGAGGCTCCTTCCATCTCCCGTTTGATAACAATGGTCCGCGAGCGTTACACTGACCCCGCCGGAGACCGATTTCGGGTAATTGCGCGAGGCGATGCTAGTTGGGCGCTACGGAAATTAAAAGAATAACGTCACGACACCCTTTGTGGGCGCATAACAGCGGACCGATCTAGGCAAAGTCAAAAAGCTTGACTCCGTTAGGATGTCGGTCTCGAAATCGCGGGTTCTCATACTATGCGATTGACAGGCTGCAAGGCGTCTTGACACAATATAGAATCTCGAGGTCAATATTTGTGAAACTGTTCTCGGCGCTCTATGCGATGAGGTACCGCTGTCGATCGGCGAAAATGAGACATTTTGACTCGACCCTGGTACCAATCAATCACAGCCAGCCAGCAGCGATGGGTGTGGGAGTTTCCGCGGGAGTTAACCAACAGGATCCTGCCGTGTGACTGTTGGGTCACAAAGTTATCCTGAGCCTCGATATGATAGAAATAGGTTTCAGAGCTCGGTTCAGTGGTGGGGAGAGTCTCAGGCTGAAATTTGGAAAAGATCAAAGGTGGTGAAAGGCAATTGTGTTCCGGCCGGACGGCGGGCAGTGCCGGTGGAGGAAAAGTCCGCGATGGTGCCGAATGCCGTTCCGGGTGTTGCACTGTTTCAGAAATTCAGTCTTTGACCGAGTCTCACTTCTCCGTCCGTCACAGACTATATATTCATACCCGACTCTCCCTCTCCAATGTGTGGCCTTTTCCCTCCAGTTCATCTCCCCTCCACCCCGGGTGCCCCGCCTTCCTCTACGTTCATAGTCTTCACGTTCTCCAACGACCATGGGTTATATCAATGTATCTGCTCTCTGGTTCTGGCCCTTCATGCCTGCTGTGAGTGTCGTTCACCATTCTGCCCTTGTTTATCCATTGTTCTCATCACCTCACAACTAGGCGGCTCCCAAAATCGATGGCACGACTGACCTCACGCAAATTTATCCGCCTTGTCCGCGCCCCGTCCCCGAGATCCAAGCCAAGGATCCCAAGCCCGTGCCGCTACCCGCCGAGATGATTGTCTCTATTCTCGAAGCAGCCTACTACACTCCCACCCTCGAGCCCGACACCGATTTGCTACTCGCATGCTCCGTCGTTTGCAAGGCATGGGCGGCACCCGCTCAGACGCTCCTCTTTCAAAGCATCATCCTCCGCTCGCAGCGTGCTTACATCGCTTTCTCCGAAGCCGTCGATTGTTCTACAGAGCGTGGGCGTGCCCTCGGCCAATGTGTGCACTCTCTGCGCGCTATCATCGACCCGTCACAGCCCTTCCGTCTGCTCCCGCGTTCGTTTGCCCGTACGGCAACGCTCTGCCCGAACCTGCAGGAGATCGACCTGTCGTTGTATGGCGCCCGGGCAATAGAATCGGAAGCATCTGAATACCCCCTGTCTTTAGAGCGCTCTAAAGCCCCCATGTCCTCCTTCGATGCCACAACGCTTTCACTTTTACGCGCCGGGCCCGCCATCACGTCGCTGCGATTCAGCAACTGGTCCGAAAACGCAGACGCATTACCACAATTGCTCTCGATCTGGCCTTCCCTGCGATCTCTAACCCTTCGTGGCCTCCCGCCTCTCATGTCCGAGCCCCCCGCACAAGCCGCATTGTTCCCTAGCGCCTTGCACACGTTGCACCTTAACTTACAGCCCGCCCCGTCACCTGAATTCTTGGACTGGCTTCTGCATACCACGCGGTCCGCATCGAGTCTCCGGTCCCTCGAGCTCGCCCGTCAACCTGACCCTCGTGTTCTCGAGAAACTCCTGACAGCCCATGGCAGCACGCTCACTTCTCTCGCACTCCCTGCCATTCGCAGCGCCGAGCTCAGCATGGTCACCTCCGCTTGTCCCCACTTGGCTGCGCTGCGCATTGAGCACCCATGGGCGGGCCCCGCGATCTTCCGTCGTGCGCCAAAGGAGCTTTCTCGCATCGCTCTCGGCATCGATGAGGGCACGCCTCTCGGTCCCGTGTTGGACCTCGTGAGGAGCAGAGAAGCCGTCAGTGCTGTCACGGTGCTTGTATGGCGGACCGGAGAGAACCATCCCCAAGTTGGGGATCTGAGGAAGTTGTGTGTGTCGAAGGGGGTCGAGATCAGGGTTGTCAAGAATGTGGAACAGTTCAGGGCGTTGGTGGTGAGTCTATCCACTATTTCTACAGCTGACAGGTGTTGATGAGCGTCTCGATCCCACAGCGCGCGGATCCCGCACCGTGCTCAACTGTCCTGGACCACCATAATGACGTCGCACTCACGGGTGTCGAATGCTGATGCGCCACGCCATGTATCCATAATCCGCACGCTCGTATCGGAAACTGTATCATATCCGTTACGCCCCGCATTCATGAAAAAATCACGCCCCGCCAATCTACTGTATATCACCCTAATCGACAAAAAATTCACGCCTTTCTCTCTCTTTCTCGTCTCATCGCCACGACACGGTACACCCATCTATTACCTATAGTATTGTCCTCTGGGCAAAGCATCTTCATTCATTCGCTATTAGGATCCATCCCGTCCACGTACGCTCTCGTTACAATCTTTTTCCCTTCTACGCAATGTTTTCGAGTGTTTTTCGGACGCTTAATACCGCTTGCTAGCGTGCATTTGCTCTGATTTCTTGTAGGACACTCTTCGGACCACGGCATCACCAATATATCATATATCCCCATCATCCTTCCTCGACTTCATGCTCCATCATACTTAATATCCCTTCAGCTGTATGTCATAGATCTTCATAGTTTGCTTAGAATGCCGAGCATCACTTTCTTTTGCGTGGTCCACGCACATACGACAGCTCGGACTAAGAAAGCCTTCTATGAATGCCATGTGTAATCTGCGAAATGAATGGAATTGATGACATTTGCTTGACATTTTTTGAAAGACTTGGTCTTCTTTCGCCGTGGTCCGAAAGGCAGGTTTTCTATTTCCAACTCTGCAGGTAACTATCGTCAAAGCCATACGGCACCATCGTCATGAACACAACAGCTTGGTTTGCATAAACGTCTAGCCTATATTCAGAGGCAATGGGCAGAAGCCGATGGTATGCCGACGGTGGATAAGTTCGGAGGATAACAATCTTATCATTCCATCAGCACAAAGAAACATACATCGAAGAGGGAGACAACATGAGCAAGCTCCATCCTTCCCGAGCCCCCCTTCTCTTGGTACATATGCAGGAAACCCCATCGATGAAGGATAAGTATGGCTAGCCAAAGTAAAGTATGTTCCAGGAAAAAATCGACATGCTGTGTCCTCCAAAGGTGACGACACGACACTTCCTAGCCTGGGTGTTTCTTGAGAGCAACAGGACTCCGAAGAGTCACTGGCACTGTTTCGACGGTGGAGGAAAGCTGACATCGAGCAGCGTGGCATGTCTCTCGTAGAGAAAAATAAAAGTAATTGAAGGCGGGTTTATATATGCGAGCGGAGTTGGAATAGATTTTCTCACGAATTACGTCCCACCAGGCGCCTGCTCTCAAACTCGTTCATACATTAAGCGAGAAAACATGGCTTCTAATCAAATTATGTGGGAAGACAACAGTGTACAGACAATTGAATAGCGGGGATAGCAGATAGCGGTACAAAAAAAATCTGGAAATGCTGCGATTGGAGAGGAAGACAATATAATAGCGGGGAGGAGCGATAGCATGGGCGAGTGACATTAGCGCTTGGAGGGCGCCTCGCAGAATAGACAGGCGTCATATATACACATTATAATGCAAGAAGCTATAAGATAAACGCTGTCCTTCAGAGGGTCGAGATGTCAAGGACGGGAACGCGCGTTGGCCAGATGGTCCGCTCCCGATATATCATATGGGCAGCAGAAGCCTTGTGGACTTTGTCATAGATATTCTCAACGAGGAACGGCAGCGTGAGGGCGCCCGCCCTCCACAGCGCGTGCAGCGCGTCTAGCACCCAGGCTGTGGGTGGTGGGATGGTGTGATTGGGAGCAGTGTAATGACCCAGCGGTTGGACGGATAGCACGATTCTGGTGATGTCGTCCAGGGACTTTTTGCAAGAGCCCACATGGGCGATGCCGATGAAGTCCCATGAAGGATCACTCACTTGATCTACGGCGACAAAGACAGGGCGAATATAGCTCGAGCTGCCCAGCGTAGACCAATAGAGTTGATACATGAGGACGCGTTGGTCGGTATAGAAGCCGTCATGAACAACAAGAGCCCATGCGACGCGCTTCGTGGGAGGCGAGCACGCAGGGTCGGGGATGTGATATAATGCGATCCCGATGTTTAAACTAGAGTTCTGGCGCTGATGGCCGGTACCAGCCAGTGCGCGCGTTGGGTTGATGGGATGGATGGATCTAGAATGATACAAATATTAATAACCGTATATCATAAATAGACACCGGAGGTGCACATGGTGAAACCCTTACCGAGTGATCATGATAATGATTTAGATATAGATGTCGATCGCGGTGCGGGTAAATATAGCAACCTTGTAGCTAAAGTTGCGGAGGATTGTGAAGGGAGAAGAGTAGGTTAGCGAGGTGTACAGTCTGGGTACGGGGCAATGAGACATCTTTATATCTGGGTGGCAGCATAGAAGGCGTTGAGGCTGACGCGTCCACGCCAGTGGTAAACGAGGCTCATGTTTCCGGATGCAATGCTAACGCCACGGCACGCGAAGAGAGGTAAAACACGCGTCGGCCGCCTGTTCGACTGTGAACAGAGAAGGCAATGTCAGACGACGATGCTAACTCCGTGAGTTCACTAGACAGGGCACAAGGCTTGCCATGAAGAGTGGCGTACAAGGAGGCGTTCAATGAAACCTGTGTAGGAGGACAGGTATCAAAGGAGATATTAGTTAGAAGATCGCATGGACAGGATCCGGGTTAAAGTTACTCACCCAAATTGCCTTCCGCCACTACACTTTTGTACCTATCGCACAGCGGTGTATGTTGATGGCTATCGACCGGGTCGCCCCAGGTCATGTAGGCGACCTTCCGAGGATCTTGATGTTCGATTCGAGACAACATACATTACCCCACAAAACGGCACGAAATCTGAAATTAGTGGAGGGCATGCGTGAGACGCGTGGACAGTTGCGCTGCAGTGACAACACGTGTTCCAAGTGAGGAGCGTAGGGCATTCATTGACTTCGTTTCCGTACAAAACAACAGAGGTGTATGCAGTCAAAGATGTGTACGGCCTGCAAACTGAACTAGAGAGATCACCATAGGGTCACAAGTTGAGCCCTCGGTGTTACTTTCGCTGGTTTCGCCGTGGACGTGCACTGATGAGAACGGAGATGAACACTTCCTGACCTATTGCTGACGGTAGACGTATAGAGCCTTGCTGATAACGCCTTGGCTCGCTCTAATGTAGTCCTAGCGCTGCTTACTCGCTCATGAGGCACATTGCCTTTGAATAGAGGTTTCATGAGATCTATAGACGCATCTACAGTAACGACCACTTACCTCATTGAGCCGTCCAGCAGTCGTGCATATGGATAATATGGTTGAAGTCGCACCAACGGCGCGCGCTTTTCGAATATCGTGTATTGATGGAGGTACAGGAATCGAGCCGGGGCTTTTGATCAAGGGGCTGGCAGATGGCGACCTATCAAAATGTCCGTTGAAGGTTCACTTTTTCAAATAGAAGGAGTGGGGAAATCAGAGGCTGAAAGACTCTGGTTGTTGACTATTCGCAGCTAGACGCTCCAGCCTCGAGGCTCGTGGGGAACGCCTGTGATGTGTACCTCGGGATGCTGTGAGCGGATTCCTATAAGAGAATGACACGAGGCGAAGGTGCTATCATGAAGGAAATCGGGGCAAAATGTGATTGGCATTGCTCTTTAAGTCGGGTCTATTGTGAACGCGATCTTGGCGGTGGACTCGAGTGGACTCGTAGACGACGAGGATGAGTCACGCCAGATTGTGATGTGAACTGGTGATGATGTGACATGCATCCTGGGTGTGACTGAAAGTGAGTTTCGTTCCATGTCGTACACAATGTTGAGGAGCTGCTTCACGCAAGGTAAGCACCGTGCTCGCTGTGATCGACACATTATCCAAACCTCCACACCAAGGTACTCGATCTGTACTCCCAATACCTGGGCCGCCATGCCTTCGCGCCGGTCTCCACACGTCCTCTGTCCTCCACGCAGAATCCCAGCGCAAGCGCCAGTCGCGTCTGATTCGAGAGGCGAATCTTAGCAAGCGTGTCGAGCTTCAGCAACTCGCGACCACAGAACGGCCCCATGTTGTTCTCGGGACGAAGCCGGGGGACGACAGCAAATGGGAGTCATCCGACCTCGCCCGTGTGCTCGTCAGGTCGGACGAGCTGGCACTCTCATCAAGTCCTCATGTCATCTCGCTCCCTGAGGGTGATATCAAACTGCCCCAAGCTTTCAATTATGGCATTGGAGAGAAGGAAAAAGAACTTCTGTTCAAGCATCTTCCTTTCACAACCGCGGAGGGAAACACTCTCCGAAGAGCCGAGAACACTTACACAGTGCGGACGTCTTCGAATATGGAAGAGCTGAAGGAGAAAGCGTTGAAGCTCGAGCTCGAGTATGCCATTGACAACGCCAACAAGTTTGCGCCGTTGATTGCTCTGCGGAATGCGAATGCGCAGGGCATCGCGTTCGAAAATCGGAGGCGGGTTATTGCTGAATTCTCTGAGCCGGGAAAACCGAACGACACGGGAAGGCCAGAAGTACAAGGTGTGTTTTCGTCTTGTCCTCCTTCGTTCTTTACCTGATTTATTGATTACGGTGTAGCTGCTCTGCTCACGCTACAGATCCGCAACTTGTGGCAGCATCTGAGCAAGTTCAAAAGAGATGTTGCAAACCGACGTAGTTTGCGGAGGTTGGTCCACCAACGAGCAAAAATTCTTCGATACTTGAAGGGTTATAACCGTGATCGGTACGACCGAGTCCTGCAGCGTCTAGGATTGGAGCCGGAGAGCGTGGAAGGCGAGCTTGTAGTTTGAGGCACAGGAATGTCGGCCCTTCCTTTCACTTAGTATCTGCTGTGCAATACACTCTTCTTTCATAGCATCTTCACGACATGTGATGCTCGACAGGCCAACGAAAGGCATGCATTCTCCATGTTGTCAGACAGAGATTTGCTGTGAGTCATGCTTCACTTGCATAACCCATGCCCTGCCTGAAACCAACTTTTACGACTTCGATAGTTCGTTACAACAGCTTGCGCCAAACCTTGTGTGATGGCTTCTGGTTCAGAGTAGCCTCGAAGAGTTCAAAACAATCAATCGTTAAAGTACTAGGCATGACTGACGGGCGCTTTCAGAATGAGCTTGCCAGTCTATGCAAGCTGCATGGCAGCCGCCCAAGATGGATCGTAGGCGATGAAGATCGAGCTCTAATCTATTGTGCATTGGCCATGACAGTGCCTCCCGGTCGAAGGATATGCTGAAGGACGCCACATTGTGGCCCTTTCTATGTACTGACGCCAATGTGTATCATCTACAATGCTCAAAAGGTATCCAGGTAAACAGTGAACGTGCCTAGATCTATTCCGGCAAATGAATGAAGCAGACTTCTCTCACCAACGCAGCCAACTTGATCGACGACTCAACACTCGAGCACTCGATCGCGGCCTCTGGTCTATCCTCCCCCCGAAAGCTCAAATTTCTCACAACACTTCCTCCGCGGTCTTACCTGCAGCATGCACTCCGTGTCCGACTTCTTCGCGAACTCTAGTTTCGGCTGTGGAGGTCCATGGCGACGATCGATGTCACACCAAGTGCAACTGCATGGAGACCGACGGGGCCTGTGCCTATGACCATTTTAAGCTGGTCGAAGCTCAGGTCCACATATGGGACCCCTGTGTGGGCGACAGAATGGCTTGAGGACTGCCTCAATTGCGAAATTCAGATTCAGCAGCATGAGGTGCAGCCAAACAACATTGTGTACGAACAGCGTCGTATTGTGCTCGACGGTTCTGATACGCTGACAGACGCTGACATCGCAAGGAAGGAAGGCTACCGCGCCAAGGCCGAAGGGGTGGATGGTCTTACGCTCAGAGAGAAGCGCGGCGGGGACGGAAGGCTAGCTGGTGCTCAACGTCCCAGCCGCCTCCGGGCAACGTGGATTTCGTGCGCGCGCGCGGAAAGGGCACACAGGAAGCAGGGGTGCGATGCGCAGTGTTTCATTGCTGGCTGGCAGACTGACCTACTCTCTGTGTGCGCGGCTGCTATCCGGCGCAGAGGGTCGCAGACGCCGACTTTGTGCTCGTGCCGCACAATTGGTCCGTCATCGCTCTGGACGCCGCTCTGGACGCCGCCAGCGAGGCTGAACAGCCTTGGGAGTACGTGTCCGGCGGGAGTGAAAGCAAGGGCAGGACGCACCCTTCGTCCGTCGAGCTCATCGCGAAGCAGGACTGGGGCGGCGAGCCACTTGTCATCACGACTAGAGCCTGTGCTAAGTATGCCCATGCCAATGACGCTTGTCCATGAATAACACAGACCGTTTCAGCAGATGAACAGTATAATCAATGTGTCTTGTGAAAGAGAAGAAAGTCCTGGTTTCGTCAAGGGTGACTATACACACACTGTCAAGTATGTCAGACTTGGAAATCCTTCGCGCCTTGTCGCATGTGAGTTCCTTTTCATCGACACGGAAATGATTCTGCAATGGCTTACAATCTTTTACAATCAAGACGGGAGACTATCTCCGATTTCCGCCTCGATGTCCACCAATTCCTGTCCCTCCTTGACCATCTCTCCCTTGACACAGCCCACAGCGCGCACGACCCCGTCCACCTCCGCCCTCAACACAGTCTCCGTCTTCATACTCTCGAGCACGACCACCGACTGGCCCTTCGCGACCCTCTCGCCCACGCTCACCTTCACCTCGACAACGAGGCTCGGCATCGGCGCCTTCAACGCGCCCCTCGCCTGGGCACTCAGCACGTCCCCGCCGAGCGAGCGAAGCCACGCTGGCGAGGGCACGATGAGCGTCGTCTTGTGGCCGTTTGCGAATACGTGCAAGCGCTCCATCGTGGCAGGCGATGAAGAGGCCGGGACGTCTGGTGGTGGCGGCTGACAGACGATGGTCGTTCGGCTCGAAAAATTGTTCAATGTGGTAGAGAGTGAGGTCGGGGATGTCAATTGGGCAGGGACGGAGGTCAATAGAGTACGTAGAGACTCTGGGTCATTGCCACTGATTTCCAAATCGAAGAGGCCTGAAGGAAGAGACTTGACGCAGACAGTAAAATGATGGTCGGATGCGTCCTCGGTCTGGAAGGATATAGTTCGTTCATAGATGTCCCCGCCAAAACGCCGAGACGCAAGGCGCGTCCAAGGAGTCGTTGGGTCTTGAGGATAATCCCGCAGGACTATAAAGAGTGCAGCCTGGGCCAGGAGCTCCGCCGATGGCTCTCCTATGGGAGGAAACAGCTGCGCATGATGTTTCTGCAGCGCGCGAATCAGATAAACATGAACAAGGCCTCCAGTGAATAGACGTCACCGGAATAAATCCTGTCTCGACTTCCCCATCTACAAATGCTTGGTGGCCTGCCAAAGCCCGCAGGAACTCCACGTTCGTCGACACACCGGCGACATGATACTCGTCTAACGCCTTCCTCAAGACTCTGAGCGCCTCTGTACGGTCCTCAGCGTGCACGACGAGCTTTGCAATCATAGGGTCATAAAACACGCCTATCTGTGCTCCTTGCGTGAACCCTTGCTCAAGACGCACTGAGGGCGCTATCCGAAGCGTACTGTCCGTGGCTGGAGTCATGCCAAGGTCCGACGCTAAGGGCGTGACAGAGGTGAAAGTCGATGCGAATGTATGCGTGGGTTCTGGCGTTGAGAGATAGAGAAGACGACCTGAGTCGGGAAGGAAGTCGTTGCGGGGATTCTCCGCGTAGATCCGTGCTTCGAAAGCATGTCCAACAAGGGGGATAGATTGTTGGGAGAGAGGGAGAGGATTCCCTGAAGCTACCTGACGGGACAGTGAGTACATTTTCTACATATGAACGCGATAGTTGAAAGCTTACTTCTAATTGCCATTCTACAAGGTCTAATCCAGTTACCATTTCTGTCACAGGATGCTCAACCTGTAATCGTGTATTCCTGAGCCAAAACCATCAAAGCTATTTAAGGATCGCTAGAAAGATACGCAACACATACATTTCCATAAAATAGAACTTAGAGGTGTCTTTGTCGAATATGAACTCGACGGTCCCGGCGCCAACGTAATTGACCGCTTTCGCAGCAGCGATGGCCTTCGCGCTCAAATCAGCACGCAGCTCAGCCGAAAGTCCGGGCGCAGGAGCCTATCGTCAAACGACAAGATCGTCCATGAGCCGAATAAAGATAGCTCAAAAAGATGAGCGTTCTCGAAAAATACCTCTTCGATGATCTTCTGATTTCGCCTCTGCACCGAGCAATCCCTCTCCCAAAGACTCACTGTGTTCCCCATCTGATCCGCAAATATCTGGACTTCGACGTGCCGCGGCCGCTCGACGAACTTCTCGACAAGAACGGTGGCATCCCCGAACCCTTTGAGCGACTCGCGCTGAGCCGATTCGAGGGAGTCGAAGAAGGCTGATGGGGCATGCACAACTCGCATACCTTTACCGCCTCCACCGTGTACAGCTTTGATCAAGACCGGAAATCCTGGGAGAAGAATGAGAACTATGTTTGGAGCATAAGGATATTAGGTTGAGGCACACCAATTTTCTCAGCCTCTTGTAATAGGTATGCGGGATCCTGGTTACTTCCATGATAACCCGGAACACAAGGAACTCCAGCACCTGATACGCCAAATCACAAGACCGCATCAAAAATACAGAATAAGACTGGCTTACTGGACATTATAGTCTTGGATTCACTGGGATGGCAATATCAATACGCAAGACATTCAATGTAAAATTAGAGACTCCGATGTACCTCTTCGACCCCATACTAATAATTGCGCTTGCGGGAGGACCGATGAAGACAATGCCTTCTTCGGCGAGCTGCCGAGCGAACTTGGCATTCTCGCTCAGGAATCCATACCTACAGATTGTGAAGATATTGCATCTGCGAATTAAACAAAAGACATACCCTGGATGAACAGCCTATAGGGACAGACGGCCTAATTTAATTTGGCGAAGGCAAAAAGCATGTTCAAGCGACCTACCTGCGCGCCACTCCGTCGACAGACGTCAATTATCTTATCCATACGAAGCTAAATGATAATACAATTTAGTGCATGCGCCAACACGGGAGCGCATGTAGCCGCCCATTTCGAGATAGAAACGTACATAGCTCTCAGACGATGGTGCCGGGCCGATGCAATACGCCTCGTCCGCCTTGACGAGCCCAAAACCGTCAAAGTAAATGTACGAACTTGGCTCAGAACAATGCGCGAAGGGGTTATACCAGTTTCACGTGCAGCGAGTCGGCGTCGACTTCGCTGTAGACCGCCACAGTCTTGATGCCGAGCTTCTTAGCGGTGCGAATGACACGACACGCGATTTCACCTCTGCGCGATAGTTCTAAGAAAAGATGGGATAGCATGGTTCAAGAATCGACATACCTGTTCGCGATGAGAATCTTGTCAAAATGAGGCTTCCTTTTGTATACATTGGCCTGGATACTCTCTGCAAGTTTCATGATCCGAAACGTCCACGCTGCCCTCGATTGCTCAAGCAGCATGCATGCTCACCTGCTGCAGTGGCGAGCCCCCGAGCATGTATCCTCACATTGTCCAGCTGTCTCCTGAGGGATGCCAAACTGGTTGTTCCACGTTGCGGTCTATGATATGGTATGGGGGGTGCTGCAGATGTAGACGAAGCGGCGGATGCGCGCACGGATATCGTAGCTGCACGTCGCATAGCACGCGCACCAGAAGAAGACGAGGTTCGTGAGGGAATCATGGCTAACTGTTCTTTGTGAGTGTCGACGAATGGCGCTGGTCTACGAGAGAGTCGCGGTACGGAGCTTAGCTAGGCGCCTAATACCCCGCACTGCGTGTGCCTATCCGGGCTAGTGCGGCTCGCCACGGCCCGCCCGTCGGCATCCACCGAGAACCTGAATTGGCGACCACTCAGCGCACTCTCACACTTGCGAAATTTCTTCCAAAAAAATCCGGACATTGTCCATGATCTATTCTGCGGTCTCTCACGAGGCATCCGACATAGCCTACATAATGTTATACACGATGACGCTACTTCCGTGCTTCAGCTATCGCTCGTCCACCGACTGAGAGGTATCTTGGAGCATTCATGCGTGCGCCTTGATCAAGCTCTGTCATAACGACGAGGTCAATAGGATGATCATCGACGAACGCAAAAAACGCAGCGAACCTCGAGAGCGGCAGGGTTTGCGCCGACGACCTCGCCAAGCTTCGCTCCGTTCTGGAACGCGAGGAAAGTGGGCATCTACAAGCAAAACGCAACCAAGTCAGCATGACGCTGTGGTCGATGACTGATCAAGAAAAAAAGAACGCACCGCACGGATGCCGACCTCCTGGGAGATCTCGGTCTGCTCGTCGACGTCGATCTTATAAAACTCGACGCCCGCGACCTGCTCAGAGAGCTGCTCGAAGATCGGCGAGATCACGCGGCAGGGACCGCACCAGGTCGCCCAAAAGTCGAATACGGCGACCTTTCCGGAGCTGAGCTGCAGGCGGGTGGAGAGAGGGGAGCGGTCGAAGCGGGAAGCGAGCACTGATCAGCGTTTGCCCGCGCGCTGGGGAGATGGGAGCTTGGGACTCGGCTTACAATGTCATGGAACTGCTTGGCGGAGGTGACGGCGGTGACGGTCATGATGAGGGTTCGGTTGACGGGCTAGAGAGGGCGTGTGGGATGATGTTCGTGGTGGTGGAAAGCCAACAGATTACAAGACTTTTTATGGGCTCGGTGGTGCACAGGGATAGCAAGGATGATGTGATCGTCAGCACGTTCGTCAGCAACACGTGCTCCTCTTCCCGTGCTGCTGTGTCCTCGGTGGCCACCCGGTCAGCTCTGGTAAGCTCAAGGGCCAACATAGCCCATTCACGTTCCATCTTTCATTCTAGTAGCTTCCAACCGAAGAATGTCAGAAACGCTGTTCCAGGTCTCACTATCGGCTGGGCCTCGAATCCCCGCGCGCCTGATCATGGTAGTGCGCAACCTCCCGCCCCATTTCCGTCCCAAATATGTACCCCGCTATGAACAGCTCTTGACCAAGTTCTATCGCAGGGTGCGGTCAGCTGGGCCTCTGATCTTGACATGGCGCCGACCGTGAGCGCTAACATACCAGGAGAGCGCCCGGATTTGCGCCGATAAGGTCCGCGATGCTCTTCCCATCGCGAAACGCCACGAACGTCGGCATCTACACGCGCGCGCACGCCAACCGCCTCGTCTATCAGCTCCCCGCCCATTCGACGCAGCACCCAGTGAGCCCACGCACCGCGCGAATCCTGATGCTTTCCCCGATTTCAGGGTGCGCGTCGACGTCGACCGCGTAGAACCTGATATCCGTGTACTCCCCCGCGTGCTCCTCGAATATGGGCGACATCATGCGGCTCAACGCGCTCCAGTCCGCCCAGAAGTTGATCACGGACACCCGGCCAGAGCCGATCTACGCCCGCTCGCCCCACCAGGTCCATCGGGGTCCCGTCAGCGTTCCCTCTGTGCTGCGGCAGCGAGGGGACTCACCGCTGCGTGAAACTCGTCCATCGTCTTGAGAGGTCTTACCGTCCCCTCTGCGCCCCTGTCATCGTCCGCGGCTTTGGCCTTAGCCTTCCCCTCCGTCCGAATCTTGACTTTACCGTCGGTCCCAAGCATGCCTGTGTGCCTGCGTGCGTATCGGTGTACGTGCGTACCCAGCGCCCAGCAAGGCCCGCCAGCATATATCCTCCCCTGCTATCGCCGATCGCCTCTTAGATCATAGAATGTACGTAGAATCCTCTATTCGCTCGCGCCCCACATTCTCCGGGCTCGGACCGTCAGGACGCAAATACACGCCCAGCGTCCAAGATTACTTTACTTATGGCAGCTCATGGCCCTCATCCGGCCACGCCCACAGGCACCCCACGAGCACCGAAGCCCTCGCGCGGTTCTCGCATCTATATATCTATATTAAACCTTGGGAAGCTGGCCAGGGCCGGCATGAATCGATACATGAACACGAAGCTCTACGAAGCTCCCAAAGGAATCGCGCAACCGGCTTGTTCGCTGCGCCATCAGACGCGTTCGTGTTCCACCGCCGCGCCGCCGTACAGGCTCGCAGCATCCCAAATTCCCACCTTGGAACACAGCCCATCGTATCGCGCCGCGCGCGCTCCCCATCCGCATCTGTCCCGCCGAACCGTCCCCCGTTCGTACGTGGGGCCGCAGAGGGACGACGAGACGAGCACGCCGCTTGCCCCGAATTTCTTGCCGTCTTGCCGTCTCTCGCACTCTCTCCCGCATCTATATCTGTACCGAACCTCGAGAACCCAGCCACGGCCAGCATGTCAATCGGCCAGCCTGAATCGACACAGTCCACGAACGCAACGCCCCACGAAAGCTCCCAAAGGGATCGCGCAACCGGCTTATTCGCTGCGCCATCAGACGCGTTCGTGTTCCACCGCCGCGCCGCCGTACAGGTTCGCAGCATCCCAAATTCCCACCTTGGAACACAGCCCATCGCATCGCGCCGTGCGCGCTCCCCATCCGCATCTGTCCGCTGAACCGTCCCCCGTTCGTACGTGGGGTCGCAGAGGGACGACGACACGAGCACGCCGCCGGCCCCGAATTTCAAGCCGTCTCGCCGTCTCTCGCATCTCTCCCGCATCTATATCTGTACCGAACCTCGAGAACCCAGCCACGGCCAGCATGTCAATCGCCCAGCCTGAATCGACACAGCCCACGAACGCGCAACTTGCTTGTCCGCGCTCGTGCTCCACCGCCGCGCCGCGCCGCGCACACGGCGCCGCACAGGCTCGCAGCACGCCCAATTCCCACCCCGACCGCGGCCCATCGCATCGCGCCGCGCGCGCTCCCCATCCGCGTCGAGCCCCGCTGCCTCGACCGTCCACCGTTCGTTCGTGGTGCAGCGAAGAGGCCGCGCACGACGCCGGGCCGCACCTCCAAAGCTCCAAGCCGTGCCGTCTCGCGTTCTCTCCCTCGAGCGCCAAGTCCCGCCTCGTCTCCCCATCGCGCGATCACGAACCAAACCACACCCTACCCGTTCGACCTCTCAATAAGCTAGCTGCGCCGCTCCGCCGACGCCCGACCAGAAACACGAACAACGTCCAAACGCGGTGGATAAATAAATACGCGGAATAGGCTAGTGATGTGTGACACCACACCAACTGCCAACTGCGCATGTTTCGACCAGCACAGCGCGCAGTGCACACTGAACGCGGACCGGGAACTTAGCAACACACCATCATCAAATCATCGCGAAAATCATCATCATCATCATCATCATGAAAACCATCATCATCATCATCACCACCATCATCATCGACATCGACATCATCAAAACACCCAACCATTGCATAATGTACAAAAGTATGTACCGTAAAAAAAAATCGTACCGAGCGTGACGCGTGACGTGTGAGAGAGGCGGTCGGGCAGGCGGGGTAGGTGGATAGGCGGCGCACAGGCGCGCACGAAGCGGCCCACATCACCGTGAACGAGAACCCGAGGAGACGAGACGAGACGAGGCGAGAGCAGACAAGTAGGAGTAGGCGTAGACGTATCATAGACGTGAGTAAAAGTAGAAAAAAAAAGAAACAAGTATCGGTACAGAGACTATTGGATGATAGAAGTACACGATTGCGCCGAGACGAGACCGAGACTGAGAGGAGCGTGGATAGTAATGAGACATGGAGACACGGGCTGGCCGGGGACGTGATACGGGCCGAGCCCCAGACACGACGACACCAACGGGCAAGACAAGACGAGACGAGCGATATGATACGGATATGGTACGACCGGAAACCGCGATACAGATGAAAAAAAAAAGGCCACGAGAGAGGGGGAGAGGGGGCGGCGTTAAAAGGATACAGCAAAAAAGCCACGAACGAGAGGGACTCGAAAAACATAAAGAAAAACAGCCAAGCCAAAGTCGCCCGACAAGTCCAAAGGCGACGAGACCGCGGCGTAGTACCGAGGGATCGCGATCGCGGATGATGTTGAACCACGACACGAACGAATGAGACCTCGATGGCGGGAGGCTGGCTGGCTGGCCCGAGCGCGACCACAGCGCACAGCGCACAGATGCTCGACGGCGGGCCGCTTGCACAAGCGACGTGTGGCTTGTAACCTGCGACTTACGGCAACGGGAGACGGGCGGCGGACGAGGACCGACGGCAGAGCGGCTCGGACGCGCACAGGGAGGTCGTTGGTGCGTCGGTCGTAGGCAGGACGCGGGCGGCCCTCTCGTCAAGGCGTGAGAGCGATCCGCTAGCCCGTTGGCACCATATTGAGAGGTGAGGCGGTGGAGGTGGACAGGGCACCATGAAAGAAACCGTAAACCGCGCCGCGGGGAACAATCTGCGCCGAGCGAGTGAGAGGAAAATGGAGCAAGGAAAATGGAGCGGGGAAAATGGAGCGAGGCGTCGACGAGGGGAGCGTCGAACAAAAAAAGGCATGTGGATTGGGATCGGAATCGAGACCGGGGTCTGAATCATGATTCGAGTCGGGATCGAGGTCGGTTTGGGAATTGTGCACAGAACGCGGTGGGAGGTACAGGGTGGATAGGGATAGGGTAGAGTACAGTAAGGGTAGCAGTAACAGAAACAATGAATCAATGAAACAGTGAAATAACGAGGGATGAACGGATCACGCGAGACGGGAGAAATACAAGGTAAAAAAAAACAGACGTGGTAAACAAGACACAAAAAAGGGGACACGGGTGACGAGGAGGAGGAACGGCAGGCAGGCAGGCAGGCAGGCAGGCGGGCGGGGAACGAGCAACGAGGAGCGGCGGGGTAGACAGTACCACGAAAAATTAAACCGAGAATGGAGGCGCACGGGCAGCAAACAGAGGGGCCGACGACCGATGGCACAGGCGAGCTCGAGAGCTAGGGGTGCGCCGACATGGAGCGAACGCACGGACGCACGCACGGACCAAGACACAGCCCGCAGACGAACGCGAGGCGGTGCACGCCCGGATCCAGCGCACGCCCGGGACTCAGCCTCGACTCACTCGACACCCAAACGTCAAACGTCAAAAATGCACCCCCGTCCGCCGGTCGGTCTCGGTCTCAGCCGGGCCACGTCCTCGGCCTCGCCTGCGTCGCACGTCGCATTTTTGGAGAGGCGGCGGGCAAAGGGCGAAGACGCTCAGTACGTCTCGCAGTAGTCCTTGTGCACCCGCATGTGCTGCCCCAAATTATCGTGCCTGCTGAAATCCTTCCCACAGCCAGGCACCGGACACTTGTGCGCTGCAACAGAAACCCACAACGTCAGCGCACGCCCTGCGATGTTCTCACGCGACAGCGCACTCACGTTTCTCGTTCGTATGGATGCTCCTCACGTGCCGCTTCAGGTGCTCCCCGCGCGCAAAGCACTTGCCGCACCCGCGCACCGCGCACGCGTACGCCCGCGTGTTCTTCTCCACCCCGCCCTGCACCACCATCACTGGCGCAGTTGGCACCCGCCGCCCGCGGCTCTTCTTCGTCAGGTTCGGCACCGGCACAGGCGCGCGCTGCCGCGGGGCGCGCGGCGCGGGCGAGCGCGAGCGCGAGCCAGACGCGCGCGTGGGCGCGTAGAGCGCCGACATTGTTGGGCTCGTAGTTGGCGAGGCGCTCCCGCGCGTGGCTGCTGCACGGAGGGAAGAGCGCGTCACGCGCCCGCGGGAGTGCGCGGTCGAGCGCGAGCGGGCGCGCGACCCGCCCAAGACGAACTCGCCGTCGTCGTCGTCGTCTTCCACCTCCTGTTCCTCATCATCATCCTCGTCATCATCCTCGTCCCGCTCATCCACCTCGCTCTCCCCGCTCGCGTCGCGGTCAAACTCGTCTCCCTCGCCCTCTGGTCCGGCCCTCAGCCCCGCCGGGTACTCGTACCCTACACGTGCGCCGTACCCCCCGAACCCATCCCGACTCCGGCTCTCCTCGTCCTCAAACTCCGAGCCCGACCCGCCGTGCGTCAGCGCAGGCGGACTCGTGCTCCCAAACACCCCGCGCGTGTCCACGCCCATGGCGACATCCATCGTGCCCCCGCCGGGGAAACTGCTCACGAAGCGCGGGTCGCACCCGCCCTGCCCCTGATCCTGGAACTGCGGGGGCGACGCCGACGCGGACGCCGACGACGAGTACGCGCCAGGAGAGTGCGCTTGCATGCCAGAGGGGTACTGCAGCTCAGAGGGGTACTGCAGCTCGATGGGCGACGACGGCTCGTGCTGCTGCTGTTGCTGCTGCTGCTGGTACGGCACCGACACGGGCGGGCTGAGACCATAGGGGAGCCCGACACCCACGACGCCGACGGCGTCCATGTCGACGTCCATGTCCTGCGCGTAGTACATCTGCGCCGAGTTGGCCGCCGCGATGGCGGCGAGGTCCGCAGAGGGGCTGTATGGCATGCCGGGGTCGTGCGCGTGGACGGAGACGGGGATGCCGACGGGGGCGTCGAAGTAGGAGAAATCGCTGGGGAGATTGAGCGGGCTGTACACCTGAGCGTGGGCGCGGACCTGCTCCTGCTTCACGCGCGGAGAGTGCATGTACCCACCGCCGCCGCCGTCGAGGGCGCGATTAGGGGAGATGAGCGCAGACTTGAGACGCTCGGCGTAGTCGAGGGCCTGGTACTGCTTAGCGGACCAGGGCGCGGAGTCTGTGGTGGATGCCGGGTCGAAGAGGTCGGTGTCGTAGAGGGGCGTGGAGGTGGGGTCTGCACCTGCGAGAGGGTCGAAGGAAAAGTCTGCGGGTGAGGGTTGGGCCTGCTGCTGCTGCTGCTGCTGCTGCTGCTGCGAGGCGGCAGGGGAGAGGCAGGACGGGAAGGGGTAGGACGAGGGAGAGTGGGCGTAGGAGGGTGGAGGAGAGATGTGTCTGGGGTAGGGGGAGGAGACGGGCATGATGCGTTGGTGTATAGAGGTTGGGTGTGGAGTGGAGGCGTAGGTGTAGTTGTGGGAGGAGGTGAGAGGAGAGGAGGAGGAGGAGGAGGAGGGAAATGCGAAGGGGTGGATAAAAGGGACGGTGGCCGAGCGATGGTGCCTAAAAGGCTGGGTGGGGGAGAGAATTTGTATCTGGGCGGGGACAGAGACGGGGGGGTGGGTGGGCGGACTTGGAAAAGGGACTGAATGGCTGAACGGTCGCGGGGGCTGAGGCCGAGTCTGCGTGCTCGAGTCGAACGGGGGCGGTCGTGGGGGCGGTCGAGGCGGCGGCGGCAGGGCGGAAGCAGCGGATGGAGAGGGTCGGACTGGATCGTGGGAGGGGTGCGCCGGGCGGTGGGCGACGCTTGCCCGCGACATGGGATTGGGCTGGCAGAGTGGGCAGCTGTGGGCAGACGGATATGGACGATGTCTCGGTCTGGGGGGACGGACTGAGTAAGGCGGATGAGGGAGAGCGGGTCGGACGCTGACCTGGACCGAGGGCGGATGTGATCGAGGAGGGCGGTTCGTGAGATGTGGATCGTGTTCGAGTCGTGAGTCGTCGTGAGCAACAGAGCAGGGCAGAATGGAGGGCCAAGGAGCAGAGGAGAAAGGAGGGCGGGGGAAAGAAAAGAGCAAGGAGGAGAAAAGAAAAAGGGAAGGAAGGTGTGCACGGACGCCCTCTGAAGAGGAAGTCGGAAGGGGAGGCGAGGGCGGGCACGGCAAGGGCTGGCAGCCAGAGGGCCAGGGAGAGAGAGAGAGACGGTGGACAGGGCGCTCGTTCGGTCGCAGAGCCAGGCTCGGTCGGCCCTCGCCTGTGTACCATTATTTATCTGCCCCATCGCCCGTGCCGCCCTCCAGGCTCGCACCTGCCATTCTCGTCCCCCTCTCTCCGTCCAACCCTCCTCGCTCCCCTTCCCATCCCTCCCGTCCCCGAGCGCGACCCACCCCACGCCCCCTGCGCGCCGGCCACGGTGGACGAGCGGCGCGGGGCGCAGCCGTGGCCAGCGACGGCGGATCTCAGGCAAAGGATCTGCGACTGCGCGCGCGGGCCTATCTCCGATCCGCCCCCACCTGATCTCGTGCTATCCCGCATCCGGCACTCCCCGATCACGCCGCGCCCTCGGGCCCAGTGTCCCGCCTCGAGATCATTGACCTCCCAGCTTCTCCAATCGTTCCCTCGATTCAAATCGATCCCGCGCCCTCTTCGATCCCTCACCAGCCCTTCGCCATCGGAACCCCACCCCGCCCCCCCTCCTTCCTCCGGCCTGCCACAGGACGCCTGTCACAGGCCGCCTGTCCATCTCCGTGTCCTCGACCGACGATGCCCATCTGGCAGTCCCCTCCCACCCACCCGTCTCACAAGTCACCCCAGCCCCACCCCGTGCACCCTCGCGACACGTACACGTACACCCGCTACGTGTATTACCCACTCTCCCCCGCGCACACCCACACCGCGCCCCGCTCCACGCCCTCGCGTCCGACGCGCCCGCACGCAGAAATAGACACACTCCGACTAGCCACACACCTACACACTCTCTTCTCGGGAGAAGCGCGCGAGACGCCCACGCCACACACAAGGCGCGCCGCAAGGTCGTCGAAGCGCGCGCCCGTGGCCCCCGAGGCAAGCCTGTGCGCGCGCGCGTGACCCCAGCAGCCCCCAGAACGCGCGCCCGAACCGCCGCTTCCCTGCTTCTCCCCGCGTCTCCCTCTTTTGCGCGGCCCAACGCAGTCCCAACGCGGCACCCGCCGGCGGCGCACGTCCCCCCTCCCCTGCTGCGCTGCCGTCTGAGCCCGTGCGTTCTCTTCCCTGCCCCCTGCACCCTCGCCGTCACGCCCTCACGCGCGCGGTCCCCTCCCCGCACATCCGCCCGCACATCGCAATCCGCACCCTCCCCACCCCCCGCCCCCGCCCCGCCTCCTCAGCCGCCTAAACCCTCGCCCGCGCCACACACACACACACAGAGTATACACACACACATAGATACACACACATGCGCGCGCGCGTGCTGATCAAAGACGCCGGCAATATCATACCTTGCAGCCTCGCGGCGTCGAGGACCCCGGCCTGGCCGCTTATCTCCCCAGGACCGAGAGACCTCAAAAGGCTCGCAGCCAGACGCGGCATGGCGTGGCGCGGTACTTACCAGGCGCAGTATTCTGTGCACCGCGATCGGGGAGAATAGGATAGGGTGCCGTGCGATGCGATACGATGCGATGCGATGCGATGCGGGCGCGATAAAGCCCGCTGTGGTTTGTTTACCCGAGTTGTATTTGCCTCGTCGTTTTGGTGCGAGCGCGCTGCGAGTAGGTACGGGCTGGTGGTGCGGGGGCGGTTTCTGTGGACAGCAAGCCCGCGGCGTTGTTAGCAGTCGGCCGCGATCAGGCGTCGATTCGTCGGCCCAATCTGTCCCAAGTGCTCACTCACGCACTCACCCCGCCCTCACTCACGCTTTCACTCGCTGATCAAGATCAAGATCCCGCGTACTGAGTACTGAGCGCTGGTGCTGCGTACGGAGTATCATCTACTGATCTTTGATCCTTCGGATCCTGGCATCCCGCCGTCCCCATCGCCGCGCGCACGAGGCTTCTCTTCTCTTCTCTTCTCCCTTCTCTTCTCCCTTCTCTTCTCTCTTCTCTCCCCTTCCGTCTCCCCTTCTGATTCTATTTTCTCTGCGCCCTTCTCGCCTCTGCTCCCGAGGGCTGGCTGCCCCCGGCGAGTCTCTGCGCCTTGGGAGCGCTCGCGCACAGCGCCAAGGCGGGTGCGGGCGCGCAGCGCAGCGTTGATGAGTGAACGGCGCGCGCACACACGTCCGAGGCGCACGAGTCGACGCGCGCGCACGCATGCATGCATGCGCGCGCCGAGCTCCGCTCCGCTCAGCTCAGCTCAGCCCCCCGACTCGACTCGACTCGACTAGATTACGTTTCAATATTCACTCGCATCTGACACCCATGCCCGTGCCCGTGCCTGTGCCCCGGTCCCCGTCTCTCTCTCCCGTAGCATCCGTAGCATCCCCGTAGCATCCCCAGCATCCCCCGCCCGCGATTTACACATGCACGCACCGCATCTACTCACGACATGACATGACATGACATGACAGCTCAGTGACTCGTGTACTCGCAGTTCACTCGCAATGTACCCACCAGCGGCACTTTCCCGTTCACTCGCATGACTCGCCGCCCGTCCGCGGCGCCGAAATAAGCAGGCCCTCTGATCAAGTTCTTTTCTGAACACGGCAACAGGCCAAATGGCATCTGATTCCCTCGCGCGATCGCGCCTCCCCACACTGCCATTAGCACTCGCAATAAGCATAAGCGCCGCTGACTACCGTAAGCGCATAAGGAAGCACACGTAAGTGAGCGAGCGAGACAGCCGTGAGTAAATGAAGCCCGTGGGCCGTGTCCGTGTCCGTGTCCGTGTCCGTAGTGTGTCCGTGTGATCCTGCGTGCGTGATCCCGAGCCCCGCCGCTGCCAGGGCGCACGGCACTGCTCCGAGATCCAAAGATCGCGATGAGATAGCGTATTTGAGCCGTTCTCTTTTTTTTTTTTGGGGGGGGGGTTCGGATAAGATGCGATCGTGGGGCGTGTGCGGGTTCGTGATAAGTGCTGCATCTATCGCGCGCGCGGCAAGCGGCACGCAAGGGCGAGGGGAGGTCGCAGCAGGGCAGCGTCTGGCAGCGCGCGTTTCTGGCGATGCGGGCCTGTCGATGTCGATGTCGCTGTCGATGTCGATGTCGAGCGGCCGAGCAGGAGCAGGGCGCGCGCTTCGAGGTGGCCATCGGCGGCTGGGCGTCGATTCGTGTGCGCCGGGGCCCGTGGGCGGCCTATGTGAGGCGCGTGCACGGCACCCCGTTGTGATGGGCGTTGAGTGCATGAAGTGGGATCCCGTGTGGAGATGTCAATCGGCCAGTCGGGGTGAGGAGGAGAAGCTAGGGCATCGGAAGGCACATAGCTTGCCAGATGCTGTTGCTGCTGCCGACCGATGGAGAGAATCGAGTCAAGGCACCTGCGAGGCAGAGTCGGCGCGGCGCGCTAGGACACCGCAGGTTCGACTACTTCAGGCGTTGGAGCAACGTCAAGCAAGCTGCTGTGGGACGTCCCAGCGAACATAGCACGCGAACACGTCCGATCTGTGCGCTTCTGCGGTTTACACACGGGTGGCTCTCACACCGACTTGCACTTGCACGATCCCGAATCACCGACCGAAGCGCCGCGAGCGCGGCGTGAGCTAGCAGCCAGGCAACAGACGCGGATCTAGCGACGGAAGGGGAAGCCCACGGATCGGATAGGGCGCGGATCAGCAGAAGCGACGACGAGCACTCAGGGAGCTCGGCACGAACGCGCCTACGCCCGCTCTATATCGAGCACACGCAGCCCGGCGGAAGGAGAACCCGCCCGCCCAGGCACGGTTCCGATACCGCTATAGCTGCAGTTGCTAACCCGACCCTGCATCGCTGGTTTCCAAAGCCGCCAGACAGCCCACGCGCGTGCTCCACGTAGGCATCGAAGGCGAAGGCGAGGGCGTCCAGAAATACGCGCAGATGGCGACGATGGGCAGGTGCGTCCCGCCAGATCGGTACGGCGCAGTTGCCAACCCCAAGCGGGCGCGCTCCGGCCTTCGAACGCAGGCAGCGAGCCCCAGACGAAGAAAGGCAAACGCGAGATAGAGAGGCGATAGTATAGCCAGCGTGCGTCCATCCGGCCGGACTAAAGCCTACGAGATGCACGCGTCTGCAGGGCTGGCGCGTTCGCACAGGGACACGTGCCGGTGCTTGCCATCCTGCGATGGGATCAGGGATGCAGCGGACACCTAATAGACATGTCCTTCAGCTATCGCACGACAGTCATACTCTACTAGTCAGCTCCACGATACCCCAGGAACGTCCGGCGAGAGCTCCGCGCGCGCTAACTATTGCAATGCTGTCTGTGCCCGCCGGTAGGCAAAGCGCGCATACATAGACTGGCCGCCGGAGAGCGACGGGTGACAACAGGCAAGAGTGAGGCCCGCAGGCCAAAGAGAAGGGCCTCATTTGGGCAGCAGGGAATACCTCGTCAGCATGCATTAAGCTTCAGGCCCACCAGGCACTTGGCAGAGCGCATTATCCCCCTGCGAGATATCGGCGTCCAGAAAATCGCGCGTAGGCAGGTGAAGATGTGGTTGTCGAGACGTTCTCGAAGTCAAGAATGGACATGTGTGAAAGGTTACACGGTGCCGACGGGCCGAGATTGTCGTTTATGGCTCGTGTATAGAGCGTTCCAAATCTAGGTGCAGCTTCCAAAGGTGTGCTGTGTTCGGAAAAAGATTCTCGAATAGCGAATGGACGACTGTCGGACGAGCGAGAATGCGCGTGCGGGCGGACGGGCGGACGGGCGGACGGACGGGCGCGCGAAACATACGGACTGCAAAATGAAGAAATCGCGAATGTAAATCTGCGCGAGTGCGAAGGAATTGTTCGTCGACCGAGGACCGTCGGATGGCACAATGTTCCATGTTCCAGTCTGGCCGTCCAACGGCCCCGCTATACATTGCCACCGCCCCGACCAGATCAGAATGTGCGCGTTGATCGCTGGCGGAAGCCAGAGTTCGGAGGGCAACAGACGTCAGAGGAAGGCTCTCTTGAGAACGGTCGGCGGCGGAGAATGGAGGGCGTGAAGAATGGAGAGATAAGAGATCTCGAGGTCGGAGGGCGGGAGAAGCGGCGGAGGTATTTAGAGGACGCATGCGGCTCTACGAGCCATGACCACAGCCACGGAAATCCAGGCTTACCTCTTGACTCAATTGACCATCGTCATTTTGGAGCTCGAGTCTCGTAGGGCTGCAATCTGTGCGCACAGACACTCGAACATTAGAGTTTGGGCGTGCGGTTGAGTCGGATTTGCGGATGGAGACGAGAGGACTGGCGGTCCTCCCTCCACATCCCCTCCGAATTCAGAAAACGGGCTAGTGTCCTGCCGCGGACTTGGACGCACAGTCAGCCCACGCGCGTCTAGTGCTTCAACACAAGACATGAACGTGATATTTCGTCGGGTCCTAGTACGCGACCGCCATCGAACTCTGTGGCCAGATCCAGCCCGACGTCCAGTATGATATCATGAGGTGGGCGGAATCGAATGAGGATCGACGCTACTGATCGCATTGGCATTGTGTCCTGTTTGGCTCGAACGAAAAGGTGCGACGCAACAAAGGTCAATGACGAACGAGGTCCTCAACAGCTGTATTGCGACGCACCTAGAAGTCATCACGAGGGCCCTCCCCCATCAGACCATATCGCATCCAGCATCATTTAGACGGATTCAACGCCGAATATCGACGAAAATTTGCTCGCGGAGCCAGATCCTTCCATTTCTGCCGTCGCTTCCCTCTTTCGCATATGGTCAAACGGCGCCGCCCTTGCATACGATCGACTGAAGAGGCGACGATCGGTGGTGCTGCGATCTGCCATGATCCGCGCATCGTCTGGACCTCCAATGGTACCGTTGTATACCCTGATGCTGGAAGGTGGCATATGAATGTTCTCAACCAGTGACTCGTGTCTTCAATTCGACGCTCCGTGGGTTGGATCCGAACGGTGATGGACTCGGATCAAGTAGTCGAGACTGGAACAGTCGAAAAGCTTGTAGGACATCCGCCTGGAAATCCATTGGAAGCTCGCACGATCAAAAATACAATTGGGATTGGGGGAGAGAAAAGAGTCTAGGAGCGTCGACGCGGATGGAATGGGTCCGTGCACAGTGGTTGGGAGGAATGACGACGGAGGACTCCAGGCACAGTCGCATGGGTCTGGCAATGAAATGACTCACGAACCGATCAGCTCGAGGACGGGTTCGAGCTGGCCCGCGTTCCTGGCAATTTTGGTAAATTACAAGCATCCGTCCCAAAAGAGAAGGTGCTGTGGTTAACAGGGGCATCTCCGCTTTCTCTTCCTTCGACCGGCGTACGCTTTCATCGTGGAAGGCAGCCACTCTGCATCGTAAGTGCTTCTTTTTCATTGCGTCAGCTCAAGGCGCGAGATTCACGCAGATTCGTCTCGAAAGTGTTCGCGGTATACTTTGTGTTCGCCGTTCATTGTCGAATACTCCGTCTGGAAAAGTCGCCCGTATAGGGGTCATCGTCGCACACGATGTCGCAGAGCTTCACGCGTTCTACTGATGCATTGGAACAGCTTGCGTCCGTAGCTGTAAGCTACGAGGCACTCCGAATGGTGGGCACATGAGCATTTGCGGCGGACGATCTGCTCATCACATACATTTTCCCTTGTGTAGAGCACGCCTCGCGGAGAGGGGTCAAGCACCCCCCGGGTCGCAGACAGTGAAGAACTGAGACTCGCCAAGGCTGCGCTGCGTCCATTCATGCTTCCTGGCGTCGGTCGCGTCATGGTGTTCTCAAACACGGCTGTTTTCGACTCCAGCCCGGATGATCTGCAGTCCAACAGAGCCAACGCCATCAAATCAGAACGTGCATCGAGTTCTTCTTCAGTCATCGACACGCGACGCAGCTCAGCTCCCCCTCCGTCGCCGCCGCAAACTCCAGCACGCCACCCGTCACCCCCCTCGCCGTCCGCACCTCCCGCCAAACGAACCCGACGCCAAACGAATTTTGCGGCAAACCCTGCGTCTACACCTCCTGCTCCCACGCCGTCGACCTCAAGCACCCCTCTGCTAGGTCTGTACGATTACCCCGGTCCATGCGCTCGCGTCGCCCCTCCCCTTCCAGTCCCGAACCTCACCAAGCAGAGCCGCGGGCGGAAAGTTCCCACCGTCGACTCTCCTCCCGCTCCCTCACCCTCCACTCCGCCTACGTCGCCGCTAGACTCAGCCCGCGCATACATCTGCAATGTGGAAGGGTGCGCGAAGTGCTTCAGCAGGAGAGAGCATCTCAAGCGACATGTCCTGTCTATTCACACACACGAAAAACGTGAGCGCACGGCGTCTCGCCGCAGCTCCATTTCTATTACTGCGTGGATCTTGCTAACAAGAATGCAGCTTTCAAGTGCCCCTTTCCATCGTGCGAGAAGTTTTTCAGTCGGCGCGACAACTTGATACAACACGGCAAGGTACACGGCGAGTCGCCTACTCTGAAAAACAACTCGTCGAAGAGGAAGGCCTCATCTTCTGGTCGAAAAGCTCGCTAGCGTTCGCCACCTCCTCTTTCTGCATAATTATTGGTTCCAGAGGCAAAGGGTCGCTGTGGGAGGCAAGAAACGGACTCGTCTTCGGTCGAAAAATAACGTCGTATAATGATCTCATCACTAATATCTATACGTCCCTCACTAGCATTACTATCTTAACTGACTATTTAACTGTCCTCGGACTACATCCGCATGTGGGACTCGTGCTCGCGACGCGCGCTGTGCCGACGACGCGTCTGTCGATTGAGTCATGTGATGGCGCATATCCCAGCACATGCTCTTTGTCGTCCCTGCAGGCGTCCGCACCTTTCTCCTGTGCCGTAGTCAGCGCCGGACTTATGCGCTGCCATCTCCCGACAAAGTCGCTGGCATCCCGAGATCATGCCTGTCTAATGGCGATAGTTGCGCTCCATCACCAGCCAATCGCCCTGCTACCTGCTGACCGTCGCACATCCTTCTCTCGCAGGCTTGTGCTTCGTCCTGTCACCCACGCGATCCTACAGCCTCGGGCCTAGCGGCCAATTACAGCGGCCAATTTCTCGACTCGGGTGCCCACGGAACCTTGCGTGCAAGAATGGGAAATCCGGTGCAGCATCCACCGTCTGCGTGAGCTTTCTGCCATCCTCGATCGGCGAGAACGCTGTGAAGTGGAAGCGCCGCCCGGAGAAGCGCGCCTCGCGGATATCATGGCGCACTTCTGCGTCCGGAGGGCCTCTTCAGAGCGGCAAGCGTCCGTGCGCTTCCAATCGCCGATTGATAGTATCGTCCCCTTCTTCTTTCCCAATCCCTCCTCTCGCGTTCGCGTACGGCCTGCGCAAATGCATATGGGCCCTCTGGCTTCTCTGTCACCGGCAGCAATGGACGTCCTGAACCCGAAGTACTTCCCCTCTGCGCTCACGCACCCGTGGACGTTCGAGCATCCTCGCCCTCGCCCACACTTTCAATTTCGCGTCGCCCGAGGAGTTCTTCTAGTGCCAGCTGAGCAGGACCCACTGTATTCTCTTGTGACGGCACCCACCGCGCTGGCCCGCCTCGCAGGCCATCACGTTCGCTGTCTCGCTCTCTCTCTCTCGTGAGCGACAAATACAGCTTACAGACGCAGCCGCCGCCAGCAGCGTCCACGGTCGCATCCGCATCCGCGCATGTATCACAGGCCCACTATATGCGCTGCGCCCCGCACAGGCCGCCGGTCCGGGATCTCAGGGCCCGAGGGGAGGGGAGGGGAGAGCACGGTTCGACTTCTCTGCGCGCCGTCACAGCCCCACGTCCGTCCGTCCGCGTTTCTCCCGCCCGTTGCCGTTTCCGACCGCCCCCCAGCCCATCCGCCCGAGCGCCTGGTTCCAGATGTCGCTCGCAGGGCGAGGTCTGATAGGCATATCTTATCTTTGCTGTCCCCCCCCCCTCACCCTCCTCTGTGCGCCTCGACGATCCGCTGATCGAAATCTCGCGCTTCAGGGATCGCAGGTCCAGGGACTCGAGCGAGCAGTGCTCGTGCGTTAGCAGGAGGTGGAGCGGCCCGTGAGAGAGGGAAGAAGAAGAAGGGGCTGCCGCGTCGCTGCTGAGCGCAAACCGGCCGTCTCGATCGAACTCTCCGCCCGTTCTCTCGTTCGTTCTTTCATCCGTTCTTTCGTGGGTGGGCGCTAGGTCCGGTATAGCAGGATGCAGGAGGAGTGCGCTGCCTGCTTAGTTACTCACAGATCCGCACTGTAGCTATCATAGCGTGTGCGGCCGATGGGGTCGTCCAGCGCCGTGGGCGCGGCGTGTCCATCAGATGGCCCGTACGTGGTGCTGTCCATACCCACTCCATGCCCCGTGTCGGCCAGCCGCCTGCCGCGAACACTCGCTGATCATCGTACAGTATCAGCCGCCGACGCCGGAGGATTGCGGGCATCACACTCCCCGAGCCGCATGAACTCGCGAACTGCGCCTGCGGCGGCGATCACAGCCTCTCAGGACCCTCTCTCCCCCTCATGCCTTGTTCGCAGGCAGCCCCAGCACGGTGTTTGACGAGCACTACATGCATACAACGCATCTTGATTCATTTGACCATGCTCACCAGCAAGCGTAAACGACCCAACAATAAACATAATCTTAAATCGAAAGACGGGGCCTGCACGCAAAAAAAAAAACGCTCGCATCAAGCCAAGCCACCGAGCGCGCTCGAAGTCACAACGACACCACCCCTACCCAACGGCACCACTCCAGAAAGACATGATGATATGTATCCGCCGAGGCACCCTCCGATCACGCAACGCCCTCCAGCTCGACGAGCCACACCGCCGCCACCCACGCCAGCACGATCTCCACCCGCGGGCCATGCAGCGGGATGTTGATCGGCGCCAGCTTCTTCTTCCCGCTCGCCTTCTCCGACGCCGCCCGCTCCGCGCGCTCGCGCTGCCGCTTCGCCACCGGCGCGAGCAGGATCCGTACGCAGTCGAGCGCCGTGGCGAGGTCGACGCCCGGCGCGCCCGACACGGACACGGACACGGGCGTCTCGCGGCCGGACTGGGGCTGGGACGATGGCGGCTGGCGCTGCCGCGACGAGGACGAGGCGCAGGAGGAGGAGGGGCCGAGTGGGTCGGCGGCTGTCGGCGGCCGTGGGGAGGGCGGTGTGGACGCTGCGGGCGGGGAAGGAGGCGGCAGGGGCGGCGCCTCGATCGCGAGCTTCCCGTTCGTCTGCGCGCGCGCGAGCGAGTGCGGCTGCACGCCCGCGCGCCAGCCGCCGGCGAGGCGCTCGAGCACCTCGACGAACTCGGCCTGCGCCATCGAGCGCGGGGGGAGGAAGACGGGGTAGCCCTCGAGCCCGTCGACGAGGCTCGCGGTGCGCACGAACGTCGCGAGCAGCGGCGCGAAGTCGCCGAGCATGAGCAGGGACAGGAGGATCGAGAAGTGCGCCTCGACGAGCAGCGGGTGGTACGTCGTGAACATCGGCGGCGTGTCGGGGAGCGGCGGCGGCGCCGAGTGCGAGCCCGGGCGCAGCGCCTCGGTGAGCAGGAACGCATACGCGGTGCGCGCCGCGAGGTCCTCGCTCGGTGGCTCGGCGGGCGCCGTCTCGAGCGTGTCGAAGTGCGCGAGGAACCGCTCGTGGTCGCGGATGCTCTTCTTCAGCAGGCTGTAGATCTGGGCGCGAAAGCCGTCCTCCGCGAGCACCTGTCGGTACGCCTGCGCCTTGGCGCCCTCGCGCTGCCCCAGCGGGCCGTCGGGGTTCCCAATCTCGACCCCGCCGTAGCGTCCGTTCTCGATGTAGCACAGCCGGAGCTCGGTCCCGTCGGTCGAGGGTACCTTGCGGATCCCTTCGAGCTTGAGGATGGCCTGCTCGATAAGGAAGACGGCGTGCTGGAGGTAGGCAGCGCCGCGGAGGAACAGGAGCTGGTGCTCGAGGGGATCGGGAGCGTCGGGCAGGACGGAGGGATGGAGGAGCAGCGGCTCATCTTCGGTGCTGTTGGGATGCCCGTCTGCTGAGGCGCTGGTGCCGTTGGGCGGGGCCTGTCCGTTCGTTTTTTTCCGCGTGTCCCCCTTCTTTTTCCTCGAGTTCTTGCCGTTCCCTTGGGGCGAAATAATATTGTGCCGGTGGAGGGTGCGCGCTTTGCGGACGGCGCGCGCCTCTTTGAGGGCATGAGTGAAGTCCCGGGTCGCGAGAATGTACTCGTCTCGGAAGGTAGAGACGATGCCCCGCGTGCGGTACAGCTCCAGTCGATGGGGGTTGACCGCGATGAGCTCGTCCAGGACCTGCGTCGTCGTCGACTCTGCCAGCTGCCTGCTGAAGACGGTCAACGGCTAGGTATATGCGCGCGAACACGACAACGCGCTAACCTGGACGGTATTTTTTCGTGAAAGAAGTGCACGTATTTAGCGTCGGCATCGTTCGGGTCTAGCTCACGCACTTGATATGAGATGGGAAAGGGAGAGGAAAAGGGAAGACACACACCGACTTTGAGCACACGCTCGGCTATGTCGTCGAACACGCTGCCACCCTGCATGACCATCACGCTGGAGGCGATCTCGTCTGTCCTATACGCGGCGGCGAGCTTCTGGACCGCCAGAGCGCGCAGCCTGTGGATGCGCATAGCGGACATGGTGACGTTTCTTCCGCCACCGTCTCCGAGAGGGTTGATACCGAGCGATTGGGCGATGGCCCACGGGCTGCCGTTCATGCTAGAGGGCCCACCGCTCCGCATAGAGCCGAGAGCGACGGCGGAGAGGCCGGAGCTGGCCCGAACGGAAAGCTCGGCTGCCTCGTCGATGAGCCGGCGGATGGTGGTGACGGAGCGGAACGCGCCGGGGTCTATGGGCGGGGGCATGGCCTTTCCCGGCGGGGGCGCAGGGAGCGGAGACGAGGATATGGACGCGAATGGGCTGTGGGACGTGTCGAAGAAGATGTTGTCGGGGGGGCTGTTGAAGCCGCGGTCGCGGATCCTGGGGAAGGAGCTGGGGATGGGGTTGACGCTGTGGGCGGGCAGAGGCGGCATGCGGATGTCGGGGGTCTGGAGGGTGGCGGGGTCGAGGTTGAGGACGAGGAGAGAGTCGAGGAGCTCGATGGGGAGCTGTAGCCATGGGCCCTGCATGCGCGCGTGAGAGATGTGTTTGGAGCAAGAGGAGACGGCGGCGGGGACGTACGTGGTAGGAGCTGATGTATCGCCAGTGCTTGTTCCTGCTGATGCACAGCACGGGCGCGCGCAGGGGGTCGTCCTCTGGTTTGGTGGGCGAAGGCGGCTGCGTGGAGGGCTTGGCCGGCTTCTTGGTCTTTTTCTTTTTCTTCTTCTTCTGCGCGGCGGGAGGTGCGCTCTCGGAAGGCGGTTCTTCGAGCGTCGGAGAGGTCGAGCCCGAGGAGTGCGAGGATGGAGGGGAGAGGACCTGCGGGACGGTGTCGACGGCGACGAGCCGTGGAAGGGACTCTGCCGTGAACGTGGGCGAGCTTGCCATGGACGTGTGTGGAAGAGCCCAGCTGTGCCTACATCCTGTGCTTTTCCGTCAACATCCTGTCGAAACATCCCGCAATTCGACACACGTTTCGCCCATTCTCTTCATTGCCACATAATCTACTCGCCATTCTACCCTTTCTGGGCGCTTTTCACGCGGGATTTCGACGCAAAAACACAAGGTGCTTTGCGCCGTGTCCAGTCTTCGCAACCGACACGGTCTCTTTGTAGCCGTGGGAACTCATTCGTAGTCCCCCATCAATACGGAATATCTGTACTATTACACATCACACAATGAAGGCACGACGACGACAGGGAGGCAGACGAGAGCGCGATCCAGGCGCGCTATGCGTCGTCGGTCATGATAGCGAAGAACTCCTGCTCGTTGATCTCCCCGTCCTGGTCGAGGTCAAACTCGTCGATCATCGCTTGTCTGTCCCAACAATCAGCGCACGGCCTTCAGACACAGTGAAAAACGAGGCGAGACGTACAGCTCGTCGTCCTCGAGTCGGTCGCCAATCTCTTTGGCCACGCGCCGCAGATTCCGCAGGCTGATCTTCCCCGTGTTGTCGTCGTCGAACAGCTGGAACGCGCGCCGGATTTCCTCCATCGGGTCGCGCGCCAGTATCCGCTCGCTCACTGCACGTCCAAACGACGACGCATCGTCAACCACTGGTGCTGAATATAGCACGGCATAGACGCACTGATTTTCGCGAAATCCTCAAACTCCATGAGCCCGTGGCCCGTCTTATCGTGGTCCCGGAGCACCTTCAGTACCTCCGCCTTCTTCAAGTCGAACCCGAGCGCGCGCATGGCCACCTTCAGCTCGTGGTAGTCCACGCATCCGTCCTTGTCCGTGTCGAACAGCTCGAACGCCTCCTTGATCTCCTGCTTTTGCTCCTCGCTGAGCTCTGGGCGCGCGTGCGTGCGGCGCTTAGCCTTCGTGGCAGCGGAGGAAGAGTACATCGTAGGGAGAGGATGGAGGGGGTTGGGAGCCACTCAAGGCACGAACGCGACGCGTTGAGACGCGCGGGATGCGTGGGAAGCGATTTCCCTTCAGGGAGTCATCCCTACTTCACTCGCGCGCTGCGCCGACAGCTTTCTTCAAGTTCTCCCGGAAATATCGAGTTTGGTGTTGCATGAACGCTGCATTGTACCTGAGAACGAACCCCAGCGACGTGCAATTTATTGGGACGTATATCGCGCTGCATCAAAGTAAACGTGTATGATTGCGGCTGTTTGGTGTTGATGACGTGGGAGGACACAGAGCATGCCTGCCCCGGTGACGAGAATACTGCGCGGGACGCTACAATCATATATCTACCTATCCTGTTGACTGCGGTCTCCTCCTCGCAGTTTACAGCCCGCAACCCCAGCTTGCCAAACACCCATACCCACCCCTGCAATCCTGCCAGCATCATGGCAGAACAGCCCACGGGAACACGAAAGCGCAAGCAAGCCGCGACTGCGCTTTCGAAAGACAGTCGGGCAGACGAGGTGCACGCATAAAGTTTCCCCGTTCTGTGTGTTGGGCGTCGGGATGACTGACTCGGCGCTGTGATGCAAAGATCGACGCTGCCAAGTCGGGCGCGCACGCCGCGTCTCGAGGCGGCATCGTCCAACGCATGCTATGGGTGACCCTACTCTCTGCCCTCGCGTTCGCCGTCTACAAGGTGCGCCTCTACCTCGCGCCACCTGCCCTGGCGGAGCAGCCGTGGCTGTGCGCTGCGCGTCCGCGTGCTCATGCTCATCCGCACAGAATTCACCCGCCGTGAGGCGCTATGCTGGCATCTGGCTCGGCGTGCAGGACGACGCTGTAGAGCTGCACGGCACGCGCCGCGCCGACTTCATCGGGTTCGAAGCTGACGTCCCACGGCGAGACGCCGTTGTGGAAGCATTCAAGGTACGTGCGCGCGCGCTCTCATCCGAATAACGCGCCCAAAACCTGCCTGCCTTGCCTCCACCCGCACCCGCACCCTCCCGCCCACCTAGCACGCATGGTCCGCATACGGTGAGCTCCACGCCCCACGCCCCACGTCCCACGTTGCAGAGAGCGCCGCCAGCTGACCGACGCCGACTCGCGCGCCGCAGAGCGCGACGCGATGGGCGCGGACGAGTACCACCCGATCAGCCGCAACGGATCGGACCTGACGCCCGCGGGCGGCATCGGGTACACGGTCGTGGACTCGCTCGACACGATGCTCCTGATGGGGCTCGCCGACGAGTACGCGCGCGCGCGCGCGTGGGTTGCGACGAACATGACGTTCGAGCGCGACGCGAGCTTCAACACGTTCGAGGTGCGTGCGCGCCCCGCTGCTCCGCGCGTCATAACTGCAGCGCTCGTGCGCGTTCTTTTTTATAAATAAAAAACTCTCAGACGACGATACGCGTGCTGGGCGGCCTCCTGTCCGCGTACCACCTGTCTGGCGAGGACGCGCTCTTCCTCGACAAGGCGAAAGAGCTCGCGGACCGCCTCCTGCCCGCGTTCGACACGCCGTCGGGGCTCCCTCTCTCGATGATCAACCTCGCGAAGCGCGAGGGCATCTCGGATAAGGATAATCAGGGGCTCGTGAGCACCGCCGAGGCGTCGACGCTGCAGCTCGAGTTCCGCTACCTCGCGCACTTGACAGACGAGGACATCTATTGGAGGAAAGCTGAACGGGTGCGCTCTTTGTTCTTTTTGTGATGGTGCTTTGAGTGTGCGATGTTGAGAATTGGGGCAGGTTATGGCGGTGATTCGAGCGGGCAGGATGCCTCCGGGCCTGGCCAGTATCTTCATGAAGTAGGCCAACCGTTCTGCAGCTCTATCACTGCTCCTCATCGGTTTCATCATGATACGATAGCCCCAACGACGGCCGGTTCGTCACATCCGCCATCCGCCTCGGCTCGCGAGGTGACTCGTACTACGAATACCTGCTGTGAGTCGCGTCCCTCTTTGCGTATTTGGGCCCAGCTCCCATCTCGTACATCAGGAAACAGTACGTTCAGACCGTGCGTACCACGCCTCCTGCGCTCGCGCCCCGTGTGCGTGTTGAATTGATCGTGTTGATAACAGGATCTGACGGAGGGCGTGTACCGCGACGTGAGCAGCTCGTCCGTCGTCATTATGGGACAGAGCGAATTGAACTGTGGCGGGAGTAGATGTACGACGACGCCGTGCAAGCGATTCACGATCACCTTATCCAGAAGAGCATGACCTCGGGGCTCACATACACCTCCGAGCTCATACCCGAGCGCGACCCCACAGGCCAGATGTACGTCTTCCCGCCTGCATCACCTCCCAACCCTCACCGCTTCGTCCTCGCGCACGCAGATCCTGGCGCCTGACCCCGAAGCAAGACTTCCTGGTCTGCTTCTTCGGCGGCACGCTGATGCTCGGCGCGACGCGCACGGGGGCCGTCGCGCACCCGGTCTCCGTCCCGCCGCGCGTGGAGGAGCTGTCTGAGACGGGCCGGCGCGACTGGCACACGGGCGTCGAGCTCATCCGGACGTGCATGAACACGCACGACACGCAGACGTACGTCCCTGTGCTTTGCGAGTGGGTTGTTTGTACGCGTGCGTCGCTGATGGCGGGTACGCTGGGCTGGGGCGGGTTTGTGCACCCTGTGTAGGGGCCTCGCGCCGGAGATCGCGTACTTTAGGATCCCGAGCGATGATGTGGGCTCGGTGCTGCCCAATGCGCCGAGAGATTGGTACATCAAGGGTGCCCGGTGCGTACCGTCATCCCTCGTTCGCAGCCTTATATTCCCAAACTCGAACACGCATTTTATCTCTGTGCAGACGGGGCGCATTTCCCCCATACGATGCGCGCTACATCCTCCGGTACGCCTTTCTTTTCTCAATGACATCGGTGACATCACCCACCTTAACACCAACGCTCTTCCCTCTTTTCCTCGATAACCACAGGCCAGAGACCGTCGAGTCGCTCTTCGTCGCGTTCCGTCTGACGGGCGACCGGCGGTACCGCGAGTGGGGCTGGCGCATCTTCCAGTCGATCCAGACGCACTGCCGCATCCCGACGGGCGGGTACGCCGCGATCGTGAACGTCGACGAGGTGCCGGTGCGGCACGAGGACAAGATGGAGACGTTCTTGATGGTGCGTCCGCGTCCGCCCGCGTCCGGCGCGCTTGTCCCTGGGGCGCATCGCTGACGCCCGTGGCGCGCTGTAGAGCGAGACGCTGAAGTACCTGTTCCTCTTGTTTTCGGACGGGGACGTCATTCCGCTGGACAGTACGTGACACGCCGAGTTTGGATCTTCGTTGCGGCTGCTTGAGCTGAATTTTGTTCGCCGTGCGCAGAATACGTGTTCAACACCGAGGTGCGTGGGGCGCTGGCTGTCGATGTGCTCGGAACGCTCGCTCACGGCCCCGTTGTTCCGCCAGGCCCACCCGCTGCCCATCTTCACTCCGACGATCAGGACCGGGTTTACTTGATTTACTGGCCTGCGCTCTCGATGTATCCTATTTATCCACGCATGCTCAGTGGCTGGAATGCAAAAAGGAAGGGCGCTTCTGCCTGCTTCCTAAGATCTCACCCCGTAAACCAGTACAAACCCGGCCTGTGCTTGCGTGCAAGTATCGCGGGCAAAGCGAACATCAGCCTTGCACTTCCTCGTTCACGCGCACGCACGTTTCTCTCTCGCAAAATACATGTTGATTATCCTGTTTATCTGCTAAAACGGTACGTACTACTCATAAACAAGCGTCCTCGGCGTGGGCATAATTAGTACAAGGCATATTCCGTGGATTCCAGCTCTAACGATCGTGACGAATGAATGGCCTTCAGTCCTGCTTCGCGACGACCTGGGCGTACGAGGGTGCCTTCCTGGCCTCGCCCTCGCTCTCGCCGGACACGTACTCCCACGGCTCGTCGAGCTCGCTGGCGTCGTCCATCGCGTCGTCCAGGGCGATGACAGACCGGATGTGCGGGACGAGCTCAAAGTCGGCGTCTGCGTCAAAGCGCCCGTCGTCAGCGGCGGCGGCGGCGGCGGCGGCGGCAATCAGCGAGCCCAAGAAACAACACGCACCGCATCCCTGCTTCCTGTGCGCCTTCTTCGCAGGCCGCACGAGATCCGCGAGCCGCACCTCCCGCACCTCCTTCCGCGCCCACGCCGCGCCGAACACGCCAAACGCGATCTGCGCGCGCACGAGGTCCACGTCGTCCGGCGCCGCGCGCGCCGCATCCCACTCGGCGTCGGCGCCAGGCACCAGTCCGCCACCCCCGCCACCGCTCCCGCCGCGCTTCTCCCGCTCGGCCTTCACGTGCGGGATGTCGGCGTGGTCGTGGGCGTAGGCGTGGCCCTTGCGCCCCTTTGCGCGGTCGCCCGCCTTCTTCGCGCGCTGGCGCGCACGCTCGTGCTCGCGCCGGTCCTTGAGCGCGGACGCGGACAGCACGGCGTCTGGGACGTTGAGGACGGCGAGCGCGCGGGCTGCGCCGGTCGTGCCGTCATCGGGGACGGCAGGGGAACGGGTGGCTGGGTGGGTGAGGGCGGGCATAGGTGACGCTGAGGTTGGATAGCTGGCAGAGAGAGAGTGTGTGTGTGTGTTGGCGAAAAGGCGGCGAGCGAGTGGGTATAAGAGCGGTGGGCGACGGGGCTGGTGGTGGGTATCACTAGAGTGAGACAGACGGCCAAAGAGGGCGGTCGCGGTATTAAATATGTGTCTATTGTGTGGTGGTGGTTGTAGTGGTGTTAGAGTAAGCGTGCGTCGCAGGAGAAGGCGAGGAGTTTAAAGGACCGGTCGGCTCGCATCAGGCGAAAGACCGCGCGGGCTGACTCGATGGCAGCTATCGGCGTCGCTGCGTCCCAATGGCGCAGCCGGAGAGGGACACAGATAAGTCGGGCTGTCACGAGATGAAGCAAGGAGAGGTTTCAAATGGGCACGATAAGGCGTTTGGGGTGCTGGGGCGCTGCAGCGCGTCAAGGCCCTGCGACACCGCGCCCGTTTGTCCGGATTTGGGGCGTCGCCACGTCGCGGCCGCCCCACGTTTCTCGACCCTCGCCGGCCAATGGCGATCGCACACGGCGCGGCTCTGACGTGCCATCCGTCGCTGCTTGCTGCATGCGTCGGTTGCGGCGCCGCAGCCCCACAGCATCCTGCGTTCTAGGCATCTTTCAAACAACGCCCGTGTGTCACATACATGTATTGCACAACACGTGTCATCTTCAATGATCTCTGCAGAATACAGCACAACTTGGGTAAATGTCTATGATCGGTAACTTCTCACTTTCGGGTCCCCCTCACGTCCCGTGATTTTTTGCATTCACTTCTTGAGCAGCGCGGGCGGGGTCAGACCGGCTGAGAGGCCCTTGTCACCAGCAAAGGTAGCGGCGCTGCCGAGCTCCTCCCTGCAAAACCGTGACCCGTAAGCAAGCCTCCAATACCGTGTACATGACGAAGTACGCACTCAATGCGGAGGAGGGCGTTGTACTTCGCGACACGCTCGGACCTGGCAGGAGCACCGGTCTTGATCTGGCCAGTGCCGAGGGCGACGACCAAGTCAGCAATCAGGGTGCTTTCGGTCTCACCGCTGCGGTGCGAGACCATGACACCCCAGCCGTCGGACTGCGAGAGTTGTGCACTATGGGCAAAGGGTCAATCAGTCATTGCTCAACGTGCGATAGTCGCGACCGACTTACGCCTGGATCGACTCGGAGATGGTACCGATCTGGTTGACCTGTGAACGACGAGGTGAGATGTACGTTCGCAAGGCACAAGAACGTGGCAAGCTATACCTTGAGCAGGAGACCGTTGCAAGCCTTCTTCTCGATGGCGGTCTTGATGCGGAGGGGATTCGTGACAGTCAGGTCATCGCCGACGATCTGAATCCCACTCTGCTTGGTGAAGTGGGTCCACGCCTCCCAGTCATCCTGATCGAAGGGGTCCTCAATCGAGACGATGGGGTACTTCTTGATGTAGCTGAGGTAGAGGTCGGCGAGCTCAACACCCGTGATCCACTTGGATGGATCCGAGTTCGGGTTCTTGAAGTCGAGGTCGTACTTGCCCTCCTTGTAGAACTCGGACGAGGCGACATCGAGAGCGATCTTGACCTTGCCCTCGTAGCCAGCCTTCTTGATGGCCTCGGAGAGAAGCTCGAGGGACTCCTCGGCACCCGACACGTTGGGGGCGAAACCTCCCTCATCACCGACGTTGACGGCTGCATTGCCCCGTTGTCAGCGCGTGAATCGTGATCACGAATCATATATGGAGCGAAACACACCATCGATTCCGTACTTAGCGCTGATGACCTTCTTCAAGGTGTGGTAAGTCTCCGTGCCGATCTTCATCGCCTCAGTGAAACTGGTAGCACCGGTGGGCAGGAGCATGAACTCCTGGAAAGCGAGCTTGTTGCCGGCATGGGAGCCGCCGTTGATAACGTTGAACGCAGGGCAGGGGAGGACGAAGGGGGGCTTGACGCCGGCAAGGTCAGCGAGGTGCTGGTAGAGGGGGACACCCTTCTCCGCAGCACCAGCATCAGCGACGGCGATGGAGACGCCAAGGATCGCGTTCGCGCCAAGCTTGCCTTTGTTGGGCGTGCCGTCGAGCTTGATCAAGAAGTCGTCAATATCCTTTTGGTGGGTGACCTTGAGCCCGGACTTGATGAGCTCGGGCGCGATGATGGAGTTGACGTTCTCGACGGCCTTCTTGACGCCTGAAAAACGCGTCTGAGGTTTCGATCACTTGGAAAAATAGATGCATGCGCACCCTTTCCAACGTAGTTAGCCTTGTCGCCGTCGCGAAGCTCGACGGCCTCGTGAGCGCCCGTAGAGGCACCAGAGGGGACGGAGGCACGGAAGCGACCTATTGAATTACCTTTGTTTGAATGCATCGGGCCTAGAACGCGCATATATGCATACCTTTCTCGGTGAAGAGATCGACCTCGACGGTCGGGTTGCCGCGAGAGTCAAAGATCTAAGAGACACCGTCAGGATCCAAACAGAATCGCGAGCACAACGCTCTCGTCGCTCACCTGGCGAGCGTGGATCTTAGTGATGGACATCGATGGAGGAGATGGTGGTTGGAGAGGAAGAGGAAGGCGGCCGAAAAGTGCTGTATTTACGCCGCCAGGAACGACTCTTTACCTTTCTCACGCTGATTATCGCAACCCCAAGCAGTAGCATGACCGCCATGACGCTCGCTCCAGCTCGTCCGAGGCCTGGGGGACCAGAGGCTCGTTGGTGCAGTGATCATGGTCTAGCACAAGGGACAAAATAGCACTGCTTGCTCGCTTCTCTCATAAGGAATGTCACATTCGCTCTCGGTTGATTATGGGCCTCGATCGGACCGAGGGAATCACCTGGACGAGAGGTCTGGATTTTCACAAGGAACGAGACAGGCACTCACGAACTACAGCGTCACGAAAAGATGGTCAAAGTTTGAGTTGAACATTGTCGTTTAACTCAAGTGCACTCATGGTCGATGGATGCGAATCGTCCGAAGGTGCAGGACGATGAGAGATCAGATTCGGGAAATGAACGCCAAAGCAATGAGAGACAACGAGCTCATGGACGACAGAGATCTAATGCCGCCGAGTTGGAAGGCGGTCATTGCTTCCGTCGCCGCTTCACCTCTGCCTCTCCCTTCTTGCCCTGCAGCGACTTCAAGAGTGCTGCTTTGCTCCGATTCTTGTTCTTGACGTTCGCAGTCGTGTAGAAGTTCACGGCTTTTTTCTGTTATAAGTTGATATCAGCAATTGAATCATATATACTTGGCTCTCGCGCGCACCTTGTTAGTCTTCATACGAGACTCCTTTTGTGGGGACGGATCGGCTCCTTCCTGTTCCTCAGGATCTTCATCGGACGAGTGGATATTAGTGGCTTGGACTAGACAATGCAGCTCATCTCGATAAGACTAACCTTGTATAGGTTCTGAGCTGGAGGCCCCCTCTGAACTCGCCGCAACAGCATCCTCAGTAAATACATCCCCCCAGGCCAAATCTTCCTCTGATTCGTCGTCTTCGCTGGGCACTGCTTCTTCATCGCCATCGTCGGCCTCGACCTCGACATCCCCTTCAGTTGTAGTCACCTCTAGAGGTCTCGCGTCCTCCCCAACAAACGTATTTTTCTGCATGATCGAACCCAGGTTTTGCTTCACTCCCGGTACAGTATCGCCGTCCGTGGCGCGCTCCTTGCCTTTACCCTTTTTCCCGAACTTGGCGGCTTTGGCCTCCTTCTCATTCAACTCTTCCGACCGCTCCGGCGGGGCGACGAAGTATGGTATGCGGCCGCGCACCCAATCACTGAGCAAAACTTTCGCGACACCCTCGCGATCCGGTTCGCCGCCCTTGAGCAGACGGCCCTTCATTCTGGCGAGTTTATCGAGAAGCTCCTCGGCCTCCCATCCACGAGTTTGATCATCTGGATCTGGTAGCGAAATATCGTAGGTTCTCGCGAGGTACAAAGGCTTGATGCGGCTGAGGAGTGCGGGTATATGTTCTGAAGGGGAGGGGAGGGCTTCCACGCGCAACACGCCTTTTAGGACGACTGCGGTTTGCGAGTCGTGCGCAGACGCAGGGACGATACCAGGACAGTCTATAAGATAGATTCGACGCGTGAGCGTGATGTACTGCCAGACCTGCCGAACCAATCAGTCTTTTGTCCAGTCCCATGCAGGTAAAGTATGGACATACCTTGGTCTCTCCAGGTACTGGGGCGACGCGGCATACCTTGCCGCTTTTGAGGGTATTGATTACACTACTTTTGCCAACATTAGGATAGCCAATGAATCCAACAGATATCTGTTTTTTGTCCGAGTGTAATTGTGAGAACTGACGAAGCAGCTGGATAAGAGAACCCTTTCCGAAGGAGTGGTTCGGCGAGGCGTGGAAGGCGATGGTGGGATATTTAGGTGTGAGGTGTTGAATATAGCGAGCCTACGTGGATCGGGGTGTTCAGCGAAAGATGATTGGAGCCAAGTGGGACACTCACCGTTACCCAGTTTGGCACCAAATCGCATTTGTTGATCACTAGCACCACCTGCTTGTGCGCCTTCTCTTTCTTGATGTAGTCTAGCACACTTTGGCACATCGTCCCGAGGGGGTCTCGCGCGTCGAGAATATGGAGAACCACGTCCGATGAATCAATGACCTTGTAAAGCTCGCCATAGATTCGTCTGGAGGTTCCTTTCGAATAGATAGGCTCGATGTAATCCGCGTGTGTTTGATCTGACGAGGCAATCCCTTCTCCTGCCTCGATAGCCATTTCTGCGACAACAGCAGCCTCTTCGGCCACGTCTGCTGCTACAGAGCCTAATTTTCCGAGTTCTTCGAAAGTGCCGACCTCGATGCGCGGTCGTTTGCGCTGAGCCTTTGGGCCGAACGTATCGCGGAACGTCTCTGTTTCGACGATGTGAGAGCGCTTTGATATGTTCGCCCCTTAATGATGAATTATTAGCTAAAGGAAAGGAAGGCGTACCTTCCGAAGATTGGGATTGGCAGCATCATCTAAGAGCTGCATGGGAAGCTTGTTTCGTCGAAGAAGAACAGAGTAAGGGTCATTCTGCTTCGCATGCAGATTCGTTCGAAAATGATCCAACGCGGACTGAGAGATGACTCGGGTGTTTCCTATTGTCCGGCAGAGTAAATATTTTCAGTATGTGCTATGACAAAGTCTTTGCAGGAATACGCACCAAACCATCGTCGATCAGGCTGCACCCTGCCTGGCTTCGTTTCATCTTCGCCCTTCTGAAATGCGGCAGCCTCGATGATCCTCCCGTCCTTATCCCTCACGGCTTTGCCCCCAGACAGCATCTTCAAACGCTTGACCGTCTTCGCATCTCGGTAGAAGTTCTCGCCCTTCACTTTCTTGAGGGAGACGGAGGAGCGAGCCTTCGAGTCTGAGCTCGGTTTCTTTGTTGGCGCCATGACAAACCTTATTGAGGGAGTGGGACGACAATCAAGATGAGAGGAACAGTGATCTAAATCAAGAGGAACAAGGCGCACCAAGCGATGATATCTGCAGTCGAAGCGTTGAGAGCACTCAGCGGAAAATAGCAGAAAATGCAAATACAAGTAGTTCTCACGCTTCCCCGGTTCCGTGCTGGGGCAACTGCTTCAACGGCCTTCAAGGGCCTTCAAGGGGCTCTCGTTCTCCACCATCATATGAATGCAGTCTCTCGTTTTCCTCTTTCATCGCTTCTTCACCATCATGCATTCATTTAACACCAATGCAGCTTGGGCCTGCTGAAATCAAAGCTTAGATGTTGAGCATCTCTATAGTGGACCGTAACCACGTAGACAAATCGCATAGCGGTCGCACTTGGTAGAAATGGAAGAGTAATAGTCCATATTACACTGCTCCAGCGTTAACCACATGGGATTCTCAGCTTCCATCGAAGCTGTGAGACGCTAACCAGATACCCTGTGATTCATGGAAGCAGTCAATATCCCAGGCTACACATGAGAGGATAGCAACGCAGCACAGGTACGTGGCATGATCTCTACTGAAATGACAAGTATCCTTGCAGTGAATGCTCCTGGTATACAATGGATTGGCATCCATAACGATATCCCGACTTGTTACTACACTGCCACGAACACTCTTGCAAGGTGAATTCATCGCTGTAGGGACTCGATGACTCGGCATGTTTCCTTCTCGTCTGAGGAATGGACCCATATCGATTCACAATCAGGTTGCTATTCTTTTTGCCTTGCTTATAATGATGCTGCGCGTGTCCAACCTCCATACGAACTTTGGGCCCCTTTTGTCCTCGCTCATTTCTAGATTCATTCACTATCTATCAAGTCTCTAGCACCCATGTCTCTGTATTTTCATCAGCATTCTAGCATCGTCAACATCTTCCAGCTGAACACTGTTGGAGTGACATCGCGGTCGCGTAGCACCATTGCACTGGAACAGATGACCGTAGATTTTCACGACAGTCCCGCTGGCGAGACATATGATTTCAACGCAGACTATCCTCTGGGTCCGTGGCGAGCACGGTGTACCGGTATGTGTCAGTCACTTCTTATTGTTGCACTGATATTAAAAGTATGGAACGGCCAGTGCTAGGTGCTTGGCTCATTCAATTTTGTACCATGGGTGTAGTCAGTGCTTCTTCGGAAGATGGACCGTCCTAGGCCGTTCTGACTTCCTATCGCGATAGACCTTATCCTACGGCATCTTTCAAGACTTCTACACAACTACGCAGCTAAACAATCACTCACCGGCGGTCATTAGCGTGATTGGTGGCACTCAAATATTCTTGACCTTTGCACTAGGGCCTGTGAGCGGGCGATTGTATGTTCTGCATCACGCCCTCTGCGACGATCTATTTATGCCCGATCTCAAGGTTCGATTCTTGCTATACACGAACCGCGTTTACCTCCGGTTCTTTGCTCTACGTGCTGAGCTTTCTTATGCTCTCCTTTGTAGAGCCATCACAATGGTATCAGGTAAGAGACAACGTCAATTATGCATCAGTCTCTTTGATCACGCCGGTCTCAGGCCTTCCTTGCTCAAGGCGTTGGTATGGGATTAGGGGCCGGTCTTTTGTGCTTGCCATCCTATGCTGTAGCCGCTGAACACTTCAAATCGCGACGTGGTCTGATCACGGTAAGCTGCTGGGCACAGCATGCGAGTATAACACGGTGTTCAGCAATCATTTCAACAATAGGGCATTGTCCAGTCTGGATCTGCTTTTGGAGGCGTTGTATTCTCCAGTACGAGCCGTCTGTCATTTTATCGCTCGTGATCTCATTCAGTGCAACTAGTAATCCTCAATCATCTGTTCCGCGGCCCCTTTGCCGTTGGATTTGGATGGGGAACGAGGGACACGACTCTCATCGTCATGAATCTTCTTATATTGGGAAACCTTCTCATATTCGTCCCCCCTCGTCCCCCCCTCTTGTCGCCCTCCTCGCCATCTGTCGCCACTATCAGAGATACTCCTTTCCTGATCACGCTCGCCTGGGCATTCGTGACCCTGATTGGATTGTATTTCCCACTATTTTACATCCAGACATTTGCAAGGATGAATGGACCTTATAATTTAGCATTCTATTCGCCGGCGATCCTGAACGCAGCTGGGATACTCGGATGCCTACTTCCACATCTAGCTGCGAATCAAATAGGGACACTACGTGTCCTCGTCCCAGTCACAATCATCAGCGGTGAGTAGTCAGCGAAATTGTCGAACCCCAGTCTTTTGAATCGATATTTCTTTCCAGGCCTCATACAATTCGCAATATTTGGATCTTCAAGTGCCGTGGGTCTCATAATGTTTCTCCTAATGTAAGTTGTCTACTGTATATAGCTAGTTTCTGCTTAGAAATAACGTCGATCCTAGTTTCGGCATGTTCTCTCGAGCCAGTGAGTGGCAACTGTGTTGATCAGTTTCTCATCCCTTACAATCGGAGAACCGCATTCGTTGCAGCAATCACCTTGTATTTCCCTCTTATTCTTGACTTGAAGCCAGGAGATGCCGACTTAGGGTCAGTGGTTTTCCGCATGTATAGGTTAACGGCGTTCAAATATATTCGCCCAAAAAGGAAGCGTATATGGATAGGCTGCTTTCCATTAGGCGCTGCCGCTCTATTTGGGCCCCCTGTCACTGGTGCTATCATAGGATCCGGCTTTGCATGGGCAAAGGGTATAGCCTTTGCTGCGGTATGTCGAAAGCCTTCTGGTGCTCCTTATTTCTTTTGACGCTGCATTTTTTCAGGTAATGACATCTGTATCCTCGATTCTACTCGTTGCTGCGTGGTATCTCTACACCCTCCAGGCAGGAAGAGATGATACACAAGACAGAACGTCTAATGGGGTTTGAGATATAGGGCTACATCGGTGCATCATAGATGCGTAATTGATAGCATGAACATGTGTCTAATATCGAGATCTCTCCGTTTTGGCCAATGGCGCGTTGAAAAATGAAGGGAGCATGCCCAAATAGAGACTTGATCTCGGAGTGTTATACAGTCCATGCTATACAAATGAAAACCTGTTCACTGTGTAAGGTCAGCTATGGGGGACGATGGTTGTCCTCATGTCGGGATGCGGCAGTTGCCGATGGATCGCGAAAGTGGCGTCCAAATAAAGCGCCTTGAAGCGCGTCTGACATTGAAGCATCTCTCTCAGATTCACGATGGCATCGTCTGCAGACATCGCTCAGCTTCTGTCTTCTACCCTCAACCCCGATCCAAACACCCGCATCTCAGCAGAGTTGAAGCTGTCCGAGGTCCTCACAAATCATCGTGCGTTTTTCATCTGTTTTGCACATGGGCCACCACACCTGAACGCGTTCAACAGAATCTGTTCTCGCTCTCTCGGAATTGATTCTCGCCCCAGATGTCGACATGTCTCTGCGCCAGATGAGTCGACACGCTTTCTCCTCATGATCGTAACTTGATGGCGCTATTGGAGCACTCTGCGAGCATTGTGCTTAGAAAGTATGTGAGCGAGCATTGGTCGCCTTATTTCCAACAATTCAAGGGTGGCGCCCCGACGGTGCAGGTATGTGGCATTATATGTAGTATAGGATGGGAAGATCATGTCTGCAGGTCAAGAGACAAATTCGTGAAGTCGTCTTCCAGGGCCTCTCCGATCAAGACAGCAGGATACGGACCCTTTGCGTAAGTCTTGAATATATGCACCTTCTTTCGCTCTGACAATTTTTATTTAGGCACATATTGTATCCACAATAGCTAACAGCGATTGGCCTGATGACTATCCTGATCTTCTCAAAAATCTCATCGCCTTGTTATCCGCTGGCCAACCCAATTCGGTTCATGGAGTGATGCAGGTTTTTACGGAATTCATTCGCACAGATCTCACTGAAGATCAGATTTTACCTGTTCTCCGGGAACTCTTGCCGGCCTTACTTGCGGTCCTCGCGGGACATGAGGTATGTCTTTGTCGATTGTTCCGCCTTCTTCTCAACGGAATTCATTTGTTATTAGCGACACTCGGCTATCACACGAGCTCGTACTATCTCTGTTTTCCGACAATGCGTGGAAGCGCTATACATGGTCAAAGATCAGCATCCGCAGTCGGTCAAAGATGCGTCGGGTTCTATCTTGCCTGCCTGGTTGGACGCTTTCAAAGTGTTACTCAACCTTGACCCGCTGCAGGATGTCACTGGAACGTACTGGGATGGGCTTGAGCTTCGTACTGAAATCTTTGTGGTGAGTCAATCTGTCAAGTGCAGTGTATGAGGCGTTGACCATTGTCACAGGTGCTTGATGTTGTACACTCATCTTTCGCACGATTGATTGCGCCATTCCTCCCCGATTACCTTGCTGCGGCGCTTCATCACCTTGTCGTCCTCTTCCCCACTTACGCGCAGTATTATATCATAGATGGGACTGCTGTTCCCGAGTCATCAGAAGGAGCACTCATCGAAATCGAAAGGCTCATAGCCCCAATGATCGACTTTGTATCGAGTGTGGCAAGGCGTGGCAAAGCTGTAGGATGGTTTGAACAGAATTTGACGACTATGATGGATATCCTACTCCAGTGGGCGCAGATGACGAAGGAGAATGTGAGCACCATATGACACTAATACTCGGATGCTCAGGGTCATCATAATCACATCTTTTCACAGGAGGAAGAATGGTCCACCGACGCAAATTTATTCGTGACCCAGGAAGACGATGAGACCCAGACGTATTGTATACGGGTAGCCGTCTTCGATTTATGCGCGGTACGCGCATTTGCCTATGTCTCGACCTCATATTGAAACTAATAGCTTTTGTAGTCTCTCCTAGACCGATCGCCAGTCCTCACAGCCTCAGTCCTGCAAGCTGCGATCCCAAGCATTGTAGTCAAGTCTCGACAGGCACGGGAAGAAGGCAATACAGATTGGCAAATATGCTCCTCATCTGCATTAGAAGTCTCATGCTAATGCCACTCTGATAGGTGGCGCCCACTGGAGGCTTTGCTAGCCGTCATAGGTTCTCAGTCAGAGCCGATCATGGACTGTCTCCATGATGAGGCAGAAATAGGACGGCCGAAACCAATCGATATCGAGTATCTTTTACGAGAGGTCGTTCCATCTCTGGTAACACTTTCAGGTATGTCTCAGGAATTAAAAAAGACGTTAGCATCTTTGCTAATATATTTACAGAGTGCCCCTTTTTGCAGGGTCGCTGTCTGGTGTTTGCTAGTCGATTCGCGAAATTGTTGTCCGTCGACATCGCTGGACAGTACCTGGAAGCAGCAATTCAGGTCATTGAGTCCAGAGAAACTGGCATTCCGTTCAAGATATCTGCTGTCAAAGCAATTCTTCAGTACGTCGTAAAACGATGCTGCTTGTATGTCAGATTAACCTATTTCTTATATAGCTTCTGTCAAGGTCTTGACAACTCGGCTGTTCTACCAATTGCGCCGCGTATCGCGAGAGACCTGGGCCCATTCTTGTTGCAGACCACACATGACACACTTTCTTTAGTCCTTGAGACGTTGTCAATCGTTGTTGACATTGACGGTTGGTTAACCGTTGAACTCGCAAACGACCTCGTACTTGCTTTACTGGAAGTATGGAGGAAGAACCTCAAAGGTGCAGTTAAACCTCGTAAAAAATCAACTCATAAATCATCCGCAGAACATTCTGTGGCAGACCCAATCCTGCTGTCCATCCTCACGGATATATTCTCTTCTATTGCATCTTCATCCACGCCAGGCGTATATGAGACGGCTGTGAGGCAGGCTCTGCCTCAATTGTCTGCCGCCATTAGCAATTTAAACCCCAAGGAAGCATGGATCACATCCTCCGCTATCGAACTCATCAGCAGTCTCATAGAAGGTGCCCCAGAATCTGGGCTTGGAGAGGGGTTCTTCGCTGCCGTTGCACCTCCCCTCTTCAATTGCTTGAAGACTGCTGAAGACAGGGACATTCTCCAGGTGAGCAACTCGCGCTTTCGCCTGTTCATTGCGTAACGCTGAACTCGTGTTATGCAGAATGGGATAGCGTTGGTGACCCTTGTTGTCCGTGTGGATGTGAATCAGCTCTTAAGCTGGTCCGACGCAAACTTTCAATCTGGCCTGGGGAATGTGATCAACGTGATCGCCCGGATGCTCCACGGTCAAGATGAATCTGGTGGACTCGTCATCGGAGACCTCATACTCCACCTTTTGCGCAAGGCAGGCGAAGCCGTCCTCCCGGTACTTCTGGATTTGCTTGAAGCCTTGCTTGGCCGGATGCGGACAGCCAAAACTGCTTCGTTCCTGCAGGTGCGTCCCAGTTTTATTCTGGTCTCATTTTTCGCTGAATGCAGATCACCAGAGTCTTGTCATCCCCTTCGCATTCCTTATACAAAATCAACGCGACATCATTCTCGATCTCGTTGAAAATGTGAACATTGAGGGTCGTTCGGGTCTTGACATCCTCGTCAACACGTGGTGTGAAAACGCGGAGACATTCCAGGGTTTCTGGCAGACGCGTGTCAGCACACTCGCGCTTTCTCAGCTGTTCTTGGCAGAAAGGCCGACGTTGCAGAATTTGATGGTCAAGGGCGACATCATTGTCACCGCCGAGACAAAGAATGGTGAGTGACCCATCCGAGGTACCCAAGTTTTTGGGAGTTTAATTCACGTCAATAGTCATCCAGACTCGTTCAAAGACGAAAAAGTGTAGGTGATCTTATAAAGATCTATTGCATCGCTTTGCTCTGACCAGTTCACTAATCTAGCACCCCATCGGTTCACTTCCATCCCATTCCACCTGAAGGGACTGAAGTTATTGTTGCATGAGATTGTCAGTAATGGCGAAGCTGCTCCCATGCTTGCCCCCGGGGAAACGGCGGATCTCAAGTCCGACGATGGCGTAAGCTTCCGTGGTTTGCCAGGTTTGTTATGATTCGCTGAATATCTGCCGCAGGATGACGACTGGGAGGACGGAGAGGAGGACTTTGTGCCCGAGTACATCACTACGCTGATCAAGCACAAAAACCCTTTCGACGAGGAAGAGTCGCTAGATCAAGACGAGGATGAGGACCTCAGGAGTGACCCGATCGCTCAGATTGATTTGCAGGTTCGTCTGATTCATCATGTCTCTGCATAACACGGATATTCACTGTGCTGGTTGCAGGCGTACCTGACCACGTTCCTGAGAGAATGCGCTGTGCGGAACGCGAGCAACTTCGCAACTTTGGCCGAACAACTGACTGAGGAAGAGACTGTGGTACTTCAGCGTGTTGTTCAAGGGCAGGGGATTCAAGGGCAGCAGTAGGAAGAATGAGGGTTGATTTTATGATCTGTGCTTGTTGAGATGTAATACCCAGGACGCCGGTGACAGGGCTGCTTCATGGTCTTATTTTTGTCTGCTTGTTTGTTTGAATAGAATCATATCGAACACTATCACGAAACTTGCGATGACCGATATACAACGAGCTATCACTCTACATAATCTACAAGATGCATCATTCGAAAGCGAAAGCAAAAAGCAAAAGCAAAATCCAGACATATTAGTGTGCCTCTCCTTCATGATATTGAATAGAACAGCCAGTCAATAAAGGGAAAGCTTGACGGTTCTAAAATCCTTCCTTCCCCAAATCCCACTCCCTCACCGACCCTCGCTTCTTGTACTCGATATCCATGATATTGGCTCCGCCCTCCGTCCAACCAGACATCCCGGTTTCCAGGCCGCTTGCATCTTTCTTCTTATCTTTCCCCTTTTTATCCTTGCTCACGAGTCCTAGCCGCTCCATTCGCTTTCGCTCTTCCTTGTCCTCGCGCCGGATACGGATGAGCTCGAGCATCGCGTCCCAGCCCTCGAACTCGGCATCACTGATGAGACCGGTTGCAGGGATGTTAGGGGCCGCAAGGGGGGCCACGTCGAGCCGCGGATCATACGTTGCTTCAAAGTACTTGTCCATCTTGGACGGAGGTTCCGTTAGAGGGACAGGCGGTGGCGATGATGACGGGGGGCGAGGGCGCGAACGAGAACGAGAACGCCGTGAGCGTGAGGGGGCGCGCGCGCGAAGGTGGGAAGAGGGCGGGGTGCGCGATGAGGAAGGAGATACGAGGGGTACCCTGAGGCGATTGTGTGTCGAAGAATGACTCTGAGAAACTAAATTTGGTGAGAATGGCTGAGGCCCGGGAGAGCATGAGCGTGAAGGGGGAGCCGAGCCGTTTGCCTTGCCCTTGCCCTTGAGTAGATGGCGTAGCTCTGACTCTCGATCGACATCTGGAGGCTTGTCTGCATGTAGAGGACTATACTCCTTAAGCTTTGGGCGTCGAACGTCCTCTTCGTCTGACAAGGTTGCCGACCGTGAAGGTCGATTGCCCTTCCTTGGCGAGCGGCTACGGTGACTGCGGCTTCGATCATGTTCACGGCTGCGACGACGCTTGGTACGGCGACGATCCTCTCCGTCTGAGGATACATCGGTGCGGTCTCTCGAGTAGTTGTGGCGTCTGCTATGACCGGAGGGGCGTCTCTCTTCATCCGATGAGCGCGACCGATGTCTCGTAGGACGGTCCCCATCGTCTCTGTCTTTACGGCTCCTCCTCGAACGCGACGAATGTCGGTGGCGCCGCTGCTTGCGTTCGTCTCGCTCAGATTCGTGGTCGCGGTCGTGGTCGTGGTCGTGGTCGTGGTCGTGGTCGTGGTGTCGATGGCTCAGCCGTGGTCGGCTACGCGTATCGTCGTTATGATCGCGCCTTTCCCAACTTCTTTCTCTTCGCTTCCTACTACCCCGCTCCCCATCATCGTCTCTCCTGGAGCCACCCATGCGCCGTCGCATGCGTTCTGCTGCAGCCGCCTCCTCTGCACGCGCACGTCTGTCTCTCCGTTCTTGTTCCTCACGCTCCATGCGGATCTCGGCTGCAGAGAGGGCCTGAGCTTTCAGTATCGATTTGTTATGGTCGTCTGTGTTACGAATTATGGACGACAGGAAACGCTTGTTCATGCGCGGGGCATTGCTTTCCTGTCTATAACGTATGTTGGTTAACCCTAAGAAGACGATGCAGTTTGTGAGAGAGTTGATACATACTGTGGTAAGAATGCACGGATTCCGTCCTTGCCATAGCGTTCTGCCTTCTGTTTGGCCTCCTTGAGGATAAGTTCTGCAACATGGCGGTCTAGATCTTCGTCTGTGACCGTGCTCGTCGCAGCGGTCCCGACCTGAGCGCGCACTAGGTTAGAGACGACGGAGGAAAGAGAAGAGTTTGCCATAGTGGCCCAGTGAAGTTCAAGTAGAAGTGGTGATGGGTCTACTATGGCCTCCCAGGACCCGGCGGGTGCCTTTTATCCTGATATAGCCGAATCGGGACAGGTTTTTGGTTTAATGACGACTTTGGTCCTGATTACTGCTTATCTTGAACTGAACTCGAAGGGTTTCCGCCCGATATGGAGTCGTACGGCTTCGTCTCTGACTTATCAATTCTCAACCTGACCTTCGCCAGGCATGGTCTATTTTTCTCGTCAATGCATATTCATCGAAAGCGTTGTCATACAGCCATTGACTTGGTTGTTCATACTTCATGAAAATTTTCAAAGAAAGGTCGAGCATCTTATCCCATCTGGTACCATGAAACGTGTTTGCCGGAACTCGTCTTCGTAGACTCGCAAGCGATTCAGCCTGACCGGACAAGTTGAACCCAACGCTACATCTTCTCCGTCGTAGAGGAAACACAGTTGGGTATGGCGCTTATTTTTGATGACAGCTTGTGCTTGTTCTTTTCAGCTGTACGATTCAGACTTCAAGCTGCCAATCCCGACGATCCGCTCGGTCTCGGCCACAGATCGGCAGTAGATATCGTCGAGATGGGTAAGGGTGGACAAAACCATACCAAGCCTGCGCAACCGAGTGGGCTCCTGCTCCGATTATATGCGTTCGGCTCCTGTCTCAACATATTCATATTCATCCTTGTGCGACATGCGGACATCGCCTCAGCGAATGCTACGACTGAAGTCGGCTTACGAGCATCGCAGATACGCGTTTTTGAGGTCGACACGTCAAAAAAGTAGAAACTTTCCAGGGTCAGCTCACAGAGCTTTATAGAGGCGATTGAACCCATGCCTTCAAAAAGGCGGCACCCGGAGTATCTCCGTTGCGCTACATAGCCATGATGGGCAATGTTGCCACTCCAACAAACTTTACAAGCTCGCTGATATTGATGAAGCTCGAACCTTGCGAAGAAGAGTCGAGGGTCGGGACAAATTACCTAGGACGCAGGGATTGGGGCCGTAAAGGTTGAGATACTCAGGTAGTTTCGGCGGCTCCTGTGTGCGTGTAGATGATGTTACCGCTGTTACTGTTGCAAAAAAAAGAGAGGGATGAGTCCTAAGGTCAGGTGTGCACGACATCGGGGATTTTGGTATGGTAATTTGGACTCTACCAGCGGAACACAGCATCCAGAGCTTTCTCGGATAGAAATTGACGTTATGGTAACTTGTGAGTCACCTAGCGTCGATTTACTCATCTCTGACTCGATCTGACTACCCAAGCCTGGATTTTCACTGCACCATTGTTCGCCAGACCTCCATCGCTGTCACGTCTTCAGAAAACGGTAAGCCATACAGCGTGCTCATAGCCTATCCTCAAATTTCGCACTGCAACCCAGTTTGTCACAAGAGAGCCCACATCACTTCTGTCGTCCTGTGTTCAATATGGCCGATGTTCGTATCCCGCCTCAGCGTCAGCGAACCGTGGACCAGACACCCACACTCATAGAGAAAGAGCAGGACAAGCTTTCTCTTCGACAGAAACTCCACACTATCACCTCATTGATTCCCGTTCTGCTCGCCATACTGGAAGAACAAGGAGTCTTAGTTCCCTATCGCGTTATGGGAAAGAACTACAAAGCCGCTGACGCCTTTCATCGCCGACTAGGACTACAGAAGGATAATTTCACGCAAGGTATTCATGCTTTGGCCATACTCCTGTCGAGAAGCAACGCTTCTGTGTCTGTGCGCGCAGATGACTCCTCTATGAGCATGCCGCCCTCCGATTCAGTTATACTACTCGCAGCTACCGCTGTCTGTTTGCCGAAATCTTTGCCTGCTTTTCCCGGGAGACAGTACATTACAGTCACTCACTCCCATGGCGCAGAGGCGATAGGTGGCGTTGTGGGCCAGACATTCTCGCCAGACCGAGCGTTGCTTCAGATTCTGAAGAATCCGTCAGATCACATCTACCGTATCCGGTGAGCACAGCTACATAATGTGGAATGGGCTTCGTTACTCAAAGCGTTTCATCAGTCATATTAAAGATGAAAGCGCCTTTCTGCCCCATGTCGGTGTAATGATGGGTTTCGTGAATGTCCTCCGTGAACTTCGCGCGAGCATAACAAACCCCTCTAGTGCACCTAGGACTGGACTGCGGAGCAATTTTCAGGCTTCGAAGCAGCCAATCCAATTGGAAGATCCCGCACTATCAAGTGCTCAACTGCGGATGAGTCATTCCGGATCCCAGCCCGATAGTTCACAGACACTCTGTCGAGCCCACTGTGAATGCTGATGGCCAAATTCAGAAGCGTTTTCGATGGCTTGTTACCAAGCTTGGACTATACATTGTCTCCGTTTTCTTTCCTGCAATGTAGCGGCGGTTTTGTCATCCTGCTTCACAGCGTTTGTTCGAAATTATTTCATCCATAGATTCCACCGCCGTGGCCAATGCATTCAATGTTTATGCCAAAGACAACATTCGACGATCTCCTCCGTTGCGCCAGGACATTCGTCTTCTCAAGTTATTACGAACTGAAGGATTCGCTGACTTTGTCCGGACCCGTGGTCTCTCAATTCTTCATTTACAGGCGTTGACGTTAGCGCCAGGCAGCGACACCCTATACACTCAAGAGACATGCTCCGAATTTCACAGCCTCCTGTGTGGCCTGCTTCGAGGTTACTTGGATGCACTGTCATGCCTGATGGCGCAGTGTGGTTCAACGATGCTGTCTCTGGAAGAGTTCAGGCAGAAAGTCCAAGACACTTACACCTATTTGAAGCCCTTGGTAATCATCGCTTACTCCAACTTCATAGTGACTCACCTTGCGACACTTCTCCCTCTCCTTCATAAAACGATGCTATTTTTTCCATGTGTAACGGGCATGAGCACGAAGACCTCTTGAAATTATTGGAAGCTCAGGACTCCATTTCGGCTGATATATTGGTTCTCAAGTGGTTACGTATCCAGGTCGTCCATCTTGCCGCAGTTGATGTCGTCGCTGGCTGTGTACAAGCCATTCAGAAACCTATGACCATCACCTTCGTTGCCGCTGCTCGTGGTTCATATCGGTCCAATGGCATGCAACCTTGGAAGGAAGCAATCTCTGATCTCTCAGTATCCGCCTCAATCAAAGACGAATTTAATGCTGAAGCTATCACTCTTCTCTAAGATTACTATCGTCATTATCAGAGCTTTCCGAATAGTTCCTGCCACCCACATTATACTTCCGCTGTGTACAGGACGATGTCTGGCTTGATGCAAAGCGAGCCAGAGTTCTTAGGTAGAGTACACCCCTCTGCCATACGAGCAGCCTGGCTCGCACACCGCGACCGGCTTGACTCCATCGAAGGCATGGGGTTCAAGGTTAGAATAAGCTATCTCATCTCGCGCCGTATTTGACATGATCTTTTGTAGGCATTGCACCCGCCCATCATCGGCGCCTCCGAATCGGCCTGCTTTGTTTGTAGCGAGCTTCTACGCTCATCGCAGAGACATGAGACCCAGGTCAGACTTGAGATGCATGGATCTCGCCCGACAGTCCATCCTTGCGCGATACCTCCGCGTCTCTCGACCAAACTTTTTCGGTGATCCTGCGGCAACTTCTGGAGACCGCGTTGTCAGCCAAGCAAAGAAAACAGCATCCTCCTAGCCCTCAGGTTACCGATCCCTCTGGTCAATCTAATATTGCCTTTTTCTGTTAGAGTCTTACTTTATCGATATACCCACCCCGACAGTGACAGTGAGTGACGAGAATGGTTGCACCAGAACAGGCATACCAGGTTCGTCAGTCCGCAATCGGCGTATGATGTATTTTTCAGCTAATCCGGTTTCCGAGAAAGCTGTCGATGGACGTTTATGGTTGCGTGTATAGCTGTTTGATAATTTCTGCCGCTAGCTCACAGAGACCGACAGCGACCGACAGAGAAAAGATGAGAAAACAATAATCATTAGGAGCGACAGAGAGCAGGAGGGAGCGTCCCGGGCGACAAAAAAACAATACCAGGATAGAGCCCAGAGCCTGGGGCGATGGAGAAAGATGGGGATCTGTGAAGGGATCGATCAACGTCTACTAATTACTAGGATGGGCGAGTCGGATCGAGTCAGAGAAAATGAGTGGAAAAGGGTGTGTGTGTGCGTGCGTGCGTGCTACAGATCTGAGCGAGTGAACAGTGGTATGGGTTGAACATTGCGAAAAAAGGAGAAAAGGAACTCATAGTAGAGAAGAGCCGAAGGAGAGAGAGAGAAGAAATATAAAAAGAAAGAAGACAGAGACAGAGAAGAAAGAGGGAAAGAGACGTGCAATTAGACGATCGCAGCCAGCAGGCGAGTGTTCCTGGCAAAGTCCATGCTCGCCACGCCGTCCGCTATAGAATACTTGACTGTAAACGAACTCATAAACCAAAACCCGTTCCACCTCCCCCACACGATCCCACGATGACGATATATAGAGACCGCTCCCGCCCCGATATATCACACACGACGGCATGGCAGCGCCCGCAGGGAGAGGATGGGGGGTACACGGAGAACCGTCAGACATCAGCCCTCTCGTCATGACGGACCCCTCCAGCTGGACGGCGGCGACACGGCGCCCAACAGCGCCTGCCCGCCTCTCTTGCCCGGCGCCTGCCCAGGACCGCTTGACGGCGCCGTCCGCGTCCGCGTCCGCGGGCCGTCCTTCCTCGACCCGTTCCCGCCGTTCCCGCCGCCACCGCCCGCGACGCTCGCGGACGCCGGCGAGCCGTGATTCGGCCGCGAGGAGCGCGGCGGCCTGTCGCCCCCGAAGTTCTCACCGTACGCGCTGCGCGAGCCCCACCCGCCGCCCGCGACGCTCCCGCCCGCGTCACTGGCCGCATACACGCTCCCAGTGTACATCGACCGCGGGCCCTGCGGAAACATCATCCCCGCGCCGCCCTGCCACCCCATGCCCATGTTCATCCCTCCCGGGCTGAGGCCGCCCATGCCCATGCCCATGCCCATGCTCATGGCTCCCGGGAACATCCCGTTCATCATCGGCATGCCCCCGGTCGGCACGTTGACGCTGCTCGGTGCGACGCTCGCGCGCCCGCCGCCGCCGCCACCCCACCCGCTCACGCTTGACCCGCGTTCCCACTCGTCCGCGGCATCTTGCATCGCCTGCTGCGCGACCGCGAGCTGGTACGTCTGCTTGGCGATCATCATAGCTTGCTGGTGCGCGGCCATCATCATTGGGTTCATCGCGCTGGGGTCCATGCCCATGCCCATGCCCATGCCCATGCCCATCATGCCCATGTTCATGTTCATGTTCATGCTCATCGTGTTCGAGCTCGGTTGGCCCATGTTGTTGTAGTCGCCGGTCGGGAATGGGACATTGAGATTGGTAGGCATGCTCATGTTCATCATCGGGTTGGCACCAAGCATGCTCATGCCCATGTTCATCCGAGGACCCATATTGACGGGACGCTCGTCGTCGCCGTCATCATCATCATCGACAATGGGACCTCTGCCGTTGATGACCTTGCCCAGCTAGCAGAAATTTTGCGACTCAGTCTCAGACCGAGAAGCAAAGACGTGAGACGCACTGCAATGGAAGCCTTCGCCTCCGTCCTCCGCCTCTCCTTCCTCTTCTCCTCCGCACTGCCCGCATTCCCGCTCCAACTCCCACCCCCACTCCCACCCGCGCCCAAGGTCTTCAGCTTCTCCCTCTCCGGCTCATCCATGAACGACACGCTCGCCCTCTTCGTCCGCGGCTTCCTACTCCCGGCCATCGAGCTCGGCTTCCCCACCGCGCTCTCCTCGTCGCCCGCGCTCCGCGCACCGATATCGCTCCCGTCGCGCGGCGTCGCCGGCATCCGCCCGCTGCTCGAGTCCCCCGTCGAGCTCGCGGGGCTGTTATCCCGCAGCAGGCCCGTCGTGAACGGCTTCGGCGGCGGCGGCGCCGCGTACGACGTCGGCGACGCTGAGAACGACGCGGGCGCCTCGCCCGTGACGTCGTTCTTCGGGATGCGCGACACCAGCGTCATCGTCACGTGCGAGCTCGACGCCGTCCGCGGGGCCGGCTGCGCCTGCGGGCGCGGCAGCGCATTCCCCTGCGACCCCGTGCCCGCGCTCTGCACCATCCGCACGGTCGGCCGCGCGCCGCCGCTCGCGTCCCGCATCGCGGACGCCTCTGCGCCTGTGATCGTGCCGACCGAGTTCGAGCTCGCGTGCGAGATCGGGCGCGACATGACAGAGAACGAAGGCGCGGGCTGGCGCTGCCGGATCGGCGTCGGCACAATGGGGCTCGGGCTCGACTCCGCCGCCGCCGCGGCGCTCGCGCCCGGCGACACCGTCGACCCCGACGACGTCGGCCGGGCGCTCGCCGTGTCGACTTTGAGCTTCGTCGGCGGGAAGGTGAATTTCGAGGATGGAGGGGACTGCGTGGGCGGGGACGACGGCGGTGATTTGCTCGAGCCCGCCGCAAGGCCCGTGGCGAGTTGCGCGAGCCGCTCGCTAACGCCGAACGAGTCCTTGCGCGGCGCGCGGCCGCTGTCCGGACTGCGCCGCGCATCCGTCTGCTGCCGTGGAGAATCGTCGAGCGTGCGTCGCGGGAGCGGTTGCTTGGTGAGCGCCTTGATGTCAATCAGGGGCTTCGCGGGCCCGCGCGACCCATTCGAGGCGGCGCTGCCCGGTCTTGAGGGGAGCATGAATGAGGCCAGCGGTGCGTCGTCTTCTGAAGAGTCGGACGAGCCCGAGTCCGAGGACGTCGACGAGGCCGAGTTTAGACGTGAGCGGGGCCGCGCGATGACAGGCCGGGCTGGAGCCGCTTTGGACGACGATGCTAAATACGGGTTTTCGTTTTAAGAAAGACGAGACAGAATAAGGAACGCAGGATGGGCACAGAAAATGAGTGGCGAAGGGAAATGCAAACGGACCTGTCGCGTTCTTCTTGGAGATGAGAGAGGCTCGCCTGGCCGTCGCGCTCGGGACGAGCGCAGAGGTGGACACGCTCCCGCGCGCTCGCAAGTACACGCCGTTGCCGGCTCCGGCGGTCAAGTTTGCGCGATCGTCGTGGGGTGTCGGCGTCGATGACGATTGCGCCGGGGAAATACGCGGGCTGGGGCCGGCGCTGCCAGACCCTCCTGCGCCGGCCCGCCCGCGCGAGACAGGAGAGGTATACGGCGAGCCGCGGTTCACATCTAGGTTAAAAGGCGACGGCGAGGCAAATGGCGAGGAGAGCGGATGCGGGCCCGAGCGGTGTCCGAGCTCGGACTCCGCCTTTGGCTTTTGCGTGATCGTGCGCTTGCGCGTGGGACGGAGCGTGTCCTCGTTGTCTTCCTCTTCTTCAGATTCGGACTCTTCCGAAGACGACGATTCGGTGGACGACCCCGAGAAGAGGTTCGCTTTGGACGTGCGGTTCTGGAAAGGGGCTGATGGTTGCGGGAGCTGTGGAAGTGGTGTCCGGGTGATGGGGGGACCGACGAGCACCTGCGAAGAGGGGGAGCCGACTGTAGAAGAGCGCTGTCGACCTCGCTGCTGTTGCTGCTGTGACATACTGGGCGACAGGCGCGGACTGGGCCCGGCGCTTGGCGACTCTGGTCTGAGACCGTCGCCAAAGGTCTGCACGGGAGACCCGGCGGCGCTGCGGCGGGCCTGCGCCTCGCGGAACGCGGCAACAGAGATGCGTTGCGACGAGTCACTGGCGAAGCTGTTTCCGCGCGGCCGCACGGGGGGTGCGTACACCGAGGCAGACGATGGCGGGCGCTCGGGGAGCTGGAGCGGGGAGCGGGAGCCGTTCACGTGGCGGAAGGATTTGAGGTTGAAGGAGGACTGGTCGACGGAGGGGAGGGAGGGCGGGAGGACCTCCGGACCGGGGCGGGGTGGTTTAGATTTGGAGCGGTCGCGCGAGCGGGCCCAGGCGAATAGGCCGCCGCCGCCGCCGCCGCCACTACTACCGCCCGTCGCAGGAGCTTTCTTTTTGGGCGGGACGGGCGGGGCGTGGGGATCTGGGTTGCTCATGGTTTCGTACCTGACGCTGCTGTCGTGAGAATCGGTGCGGAGGTGGACATGGGACTGGTGCTGCGGAAGGGAGTGAGTGGAGGAGGCGCTGTCTCCGTACTGGGCGAAGAGGTTAGCGCGGGAGGGCGGGGGGTGGAGGGGCTGGGGAGCGAAGTAGTCGGTCTGCACGATGGTGGACGGCTGGCTGGAGGTGGAGGTGGAGGAGGACTTTGGAGGGCGCTGGCGTGGGGGGCTGTCGTTGAGGTTTATTTTGCTGGAAGGGGAAGGAGGGGCGGGGGGCGCGCCGGGGGTAGACTGCTTCCTGCGTCGGAACATGTTCAGTTTAGTGGAGGACGCGCTCGGGGGAGAGGGGTGGTTGAGATGGGGGTAGACGTTATGGCTGGCGGGAATGCTGTCTGCATCTGGGAGAACATAGTCGGTCTCAGCCGAAAGTTGAGAGCCCTCGTGCTCACGATCCCGGTCTGCGGCAGTGCTCGCGGACGCGGTGCTTCTGCTGGACGAGGGACCAGCGCTGGCTTCGTGCGAAGACACGGACGCCCACGGCGGTTGGGGCAGGGCGGCAGAAGGCCGTGGGGACCTGGACTTGTCGCGCTTTCCAAAGATACCTAGAAGGCCAGGAGCCATGAGGAGCGTCTGGGAGGGTGGGAGAAAGACGTCGAGGGATAGTGGCCCGCCACCAGCACAAGATGGGGAGGAAGAGGAGGAGGAGGAGGGCAGCTAAGGTGCAGGCGCGGTGGTCACAGATTGTCCCTTGTTTGGCAGCCACCGGTTCACCTCCTCGCTCACTCGTTCGGCGTCCCTGATGACGCCAGTTTTGTTTTCCCTTTTTCATTTTCGCTGTCGGAGACTGTCCATTGCTAGCGTCCATCCTGCCCCGCTGCGTGCTAGAGCTGCCAACTCGCGCTATCGGACACCCGTCTCACGGGCTGGCTTCCCCCGTACGCAGCCATTCAACGCTGCATCCTCGCTCTCTTCTGCCGTCTTCTGTTCTCGGCGTATCAGGACATGCATTCCCTCGTGCGGCAGCTCCATGCCCTGACCAAGCCCCGTCGGATCATTGCGGCCTTGACTGGCTCGCACCATGTGCGTCGGCCCTCGCTTCGATGTCCACGCCTGGCCGCCTCGTTTTTAGCTGACAAGCCTGGCCTGGCTGTCCCATCGCCATCTCCTTTTGCCGCTGCTTTCCGCCCCGCGGCACCTCCAAAGACGCTGCCCCCGTGTCCGAGCTAAAACCGCATCCTCGATCGACATGTCACCTATCACGGCCGGAATCCTGTCGGATCACCAACATAGCATTATTGGTGTCTTGTTTTGTTTCCAGAGCCCTCTTCTTTCCACCACGTTCTGAGTCAATATAGCCAGGAGAGCATTTTGCTTTCCTATCGGGCAGACGGGTTCTCGTTGCTCTCGAGACGCTCTAGACCTTCATGTTTCGTCTTCGCGCTGCACAGCAATACAGCAGCCGGCGCAACACGAGCGACTGCGGTCTTTCGAAGAACGTCAGTAGACCGTCTCATTACCAGTTGCGGGGCTCATTCGATGTCGGTCGCATCAGGTTGGTATCAACGGATACATCATAACTACTTTATCCTGCTCCAACACACTGCTCCGATTCGGCATTCCTCCGATGGTTGCGCACTGCACTCGTCCGTCGATTTGTTGGTGCCGGTGATTTTCCAATTCCGTCGGAGCCTCATTGAAGTTCGGTGTGCAGCGCACCCGATAGATCTCAGTTCTTGACTGGAGGCTACCAGTGGCCTCCAGTGGCCCGCCTTGCTGTCTGCTAGTCGTCCGGCATGGGCGCTGGCTAGACTAGATTGTTTTGACTGGTAGACTTTGGTCTGAGACGCACCCCTCCGGCCTTAATCAGGCTTATTAGCATCGGTGCTTTAGCACTGGAGCGCTCGTAAAGTGCTCGTGAGCTACCCGCGATCCCGGTCCATTTCATTTATTTGACGGACAGAACGCGCCTGTGGCTGATCGCCTGAAGTGATGTGCACATCCTCAACTTTGCTTAATGTTTCCATGGTACTGGACGTCGATGGCATCGTCTGATCCCGCGACCGTGAGAGACGCGGCGATGCTGAGCGGTAAATACGCGTCAACAGCGCGTGTCGCGACTTTGGCGAGCTCGTGAATGCCGCCGGATAACGTAAATCTCGGCTTGACCAGCTCGAGTCCCTCCCGTCGCGCACAGCGTCGGCGACGACCTCCAACCCGACTTGCATCCCAGCTCTAGTCATATCAAACATCACTTCCTAATCCAAAAGTACTTTTGTAAATCGGCCCTGCGCAGACGAGCACGATCATCGTCCGACCGTCGCGCCCCGCCATGCCTCCTCGCGTGCATCGGAATTCAGCATGGGACGTCAGCTTCCCAGGAGAGGCGCCCCCGGTGGTGCCAGAAAAGAGGAAAAGGGCGGAGGGAAGTGGGACCCAGGTGCGTGTGTCACATCGCCGTCGAAGGACGCCGCGAACCGTTGGCGCGGTCATTGGACGGGCTTGTGCGCGCGCGCTCACGCTGCGACGCTCATCTCGCATTTGGACAGGCTGCATATAATCACCGCCTCTCGAGGCCATCTGCAGATGCAGCCCAGCCCGGTACGTTACGCACCTCTTGAACGGCTGTCCATCGGCCGCACCACTGACTCAGGTGCCCCTGTCCAGCGCCGGTCGTAAATAGATACGTCCCCCCCGAAGATGTGGTTGAGGAGACGCCCAACACGCTGATCCTCGGAGAGGAGGGCCCGTTTGATGGCGGCGGTGATGGCGGCGACGAAATTCCCATCCGCCTGCTCACCGACTTCTGTATTTACGACCGCACGGAGGGCGACGCGATGGCCACGCTGCTGGGCGTGGTCGAGGACCTGTCCGAGCGCGAGCTCCGCGCGTCGGGCCTGGTGTCGCCGTACTTCGTCAACGAGGAGGACATGGGGCAGGAAGACGACGAGGAGGAGGCGTACGAGCCGCTGAGGCTGCAGTTGAGCACGTTGACCGGGTGGACAATCGACTACAGCCAGGCCGAAGAGTGAGTATCTCCTTCCCGTGCGGTGCGAGTGAACCAGCTGTGCGGTGCTCACGAATTTGCTCATCACACAAGCCCGATCTACATCAAAACCCGGTACGCGTGGTATATCCTGGTGAATCCGTCGCGGGGTTATCGCCCTTTGTTTATAAAATTCTATTCCGTGTACAAGACTGCCCAAAAGATCATCTCCGCTGCGCTCCACAATCCACAGCTGACCTACGCAGACTTCGTGAGGACGCAGTTTCGCGGAATCGACGACGTCCTGAGGCGGAAATTCCAACCGTCCGATATCGAACAAGCAGTATGGCTTCTTCATCCCTGCTCCTCATCTTTTCTCCTTGAAACCAATCATCTCGTGCTGCAGAAACCTATCATCGCCGTCACCGTCGCCGACCTAGACGGCGTCCCGGATCTGCCCAACCACCCCCTCATCCAACACATCCTCGGTGAAGAAAACCTCGGCCTCCCGCCCTCTCAAGGACACACCTCCTACCGCCAGCGCGAGCGCCCCAATAGGCTGAAGAACATCGCCCTGCACAACCTCGACCTCGCTGTCCTCCGCCCGGAGAATCAAAACCCGATCCAGATCTCTCCGCTCGTCTCGCAGCTCGCGGCGGGCATCTTCCATGGCGAGCTCGCGGTTGTCGGCCCGCCGCGCCGCGCGCCCGCGGCTGCGGAGCTCAGGCGCAGGGGCGAGAATGAGCGCGCGCTCCTTGAGGAGCTGTTACGGTCGGCGCGAGAGGAAGACAAGCCGATACGCTCGAGGCCAGAGTGGAGGCTGAAGCCGCGGTCCCCGTATCTGACGACTGCGAAGGTGGGTGGGAAGGAGTATTCGGTGGGTGCCTTCGTTTTGGTTCTGGCCTCGTGTATGCGGGCGACTCTGATGCGAGGGACTTGGTTGAGTGGACGTAGGTCGGCGACGTCGTCATCCTACCTATCGGGGTTGATCACGACGACAAAAAGATGCATGTTGAATTTCCGGACTCGGACAATATTCCGCCCAACGCGACGATTCCCGATTATTTCTGGTCCGTCCGTGTTGCGCATGCGGAGTGTGGCCCGCGCTGACCGCTCTTGGCACGCAGGTTCGCACAGATCGTGTTCATCAACGGAGAGGAGAACTTCATGCACGTCCGTTGGTTCGAGCACAGCTCCAGGACTATGCTGGGCGAATTATCACACCCCCGGGAGCTCTTCCTCACGGACGTCTGCGATAAGGAAAATTTGAACATCATCGCCGGTAAAGCGGAGGTTATACAGTTGGCCGCGGATGCGTCGCCGCCTCCATCGGACGACAGAGCGGGGCGCTATTTTTGGAAGTGCGTCTCTCTCACTTTACAGCGTGCTCATCTGTGTCGGCTCGACTGACGCGGAAGTATAGACAGGTGTATCTGAAGCATTCGGCGTCTTTTGTGGATCCGCCAAAATCGCTGGCGGTGGACGACTCGACACCGCCGGATAATTGCCACGCTTGCTTGATGAGCGCGCAACACGAGCAGGATTCGCAGGCGACGTCGATCAAGGGCGGCTATTCGTTCAAGGGATACAATCTGCACTATCGCGATTTCGTCCTCATCGCCTCTGAGGGCCATGGGCCGTGCAAAATCGGCCAGATCCTGCGTTACGAGCATGCCAAGCGGCACAGCGAGCCCGTTGGGGTCGTTGCGAGGCTGTTCGGAAGGGTAAACGACATTGGCGACATCCCGCCAGACGTCAGTATGCGAAGTGAGGTGCGTGGGATGTCCAATCGTTGAATGATCTTGTTGATAAAACGGCCCGCAGCAACAACTGTTTGCGACGGAGGACGAATGGCGCTTTGTACACACGGACATCATCCGTCCCGTGTATGTCCTACACAACCAATCGGTGCCCAACTACGCGCAGTGGGTGGAGCAGTCTCCGGACCATTTCTACGTGATCTTCCACTTCCCCACGCTCAGCCCGGAGTCGTGGGCCGAGCGCAGGGAGTTCCAGTGGGAGGAGATGCGCGTCTGTGGATCGTGCGTCGATGCGAGGTACCTGCATCTCGAGCGCGTGCGCGAATTCGAGACGGACGCGGAGCGCAAGCCGCTGCGCATCTTCGACCCTTTTGTGGGCGTCGGCGCGCTGGCGCTGGGCCTGGAGCGCGCGGGGGGCATGAAGCTCACGCACGCTGTCGAAATCTCTCCGAGCGCCGCCCAAACCCTGCAGTGCGTCTCGTTCCCCTCGCTGATCGCTGGATATGACGTAGATTATGCCATAGAAATAATTGCCCTTCTGCGATCGTGTACAATCAGTGTTCTAATGAGGTTTACCGCTACGCGGTTCGGCGGCACAAGCTTCATTCGGATGAGACGCTGCGGGATCTGCATCACAAGCTGCTCCCTCCACCTCCAAAGCCGGGAGATATTGACTGCATCACTGCCGGGTTTCCTTGGTGCGTGGTCTTCTCGGACGCCGTCGCTTCGACTGACACTCCGCGCCATCCCTCGCAGCCAACCGCATTCGACGCTCAACATGTTCCAAAAAGCAAACGACGTGAAGAGCCACCTGATACTGAACTTGCTGTCCTGGGTCGATTTCTTGGAGCCCAAGTACTGCATCTTCGAGAACGTCAAGGGCTTCCTGCAGTATAATCCGGGGGCGGTGCAAGTCGACATACACCGGGTGGAAGGAGGGATCGAGATGGGGGGGTTGCGATTCCTGGTTCACGCGATGCTCTCCATGAAGTGCGTCCCCACTTTTTACTTCCCCCTCCCCCAATTCACCCCTCGCTCCCAACAGCTACCAGGTCCGCTTCGGCCTCCTACAGGCGGGGCACTACGGCACCCCGCAGACCCGCATCCGTTTTTTCCTGGTCGCCGCGCGCCGCGGACTCGTGCTCCCCGAGCTGCCACAGCCGACGCACGACTTCCCGCAGTACCGCAAGCTCGAGATCCACTTCCCGAACGGGCACGCCATCCAGCCCATCCGGGCGCTGCGCGGCACGGCGCCGCTTCCGTTCGTCTCGATCAAGGACGCGATCGGGGATCTGCCCCAGTTCGACTGGTGCGCCCCCCGCGAATCTGCCATGCCATCGCCGTGTCCTGACTGACTTCTTTTCTCTCTCTCTCTCTCGCGCGCGCGCGCGTGCGCACCAGGGAGAACCCGATGTACGTGCGCAATCCGGCCAGAAAGCCGGCGCAGGAACGCGAGCGCGCGGAGACGATCCCGGTGGTTGTCTGCGACTCCCATCGCCCATCCGCCGGGCCCCGCGGGAAGCAGCCGTACCACAGCGAGCCGCAGACCTCGTTCCAGGCGCGGTGTCGCGCGCGGGAGACGACGGATCTGCAGCACATCACGCGCACGATGAAGCCGGCCGACGTCCAGAGGTGCGTGCGCGCGCGGTGACGTTTGCGTTGGTGTTGGCTGAGGCTTGTATTTGTTCATCTAGGGTGATCACCATCCCGCTCGAAGTTGGCGCCGACTACAGATGTGAGTCCCCCTCTCCCAACGACGACGACGACGACGACGCTCCCTTACGAGCACAACCCTGACCGCTCCCGCGTCTCTCTAATTGTTACTCAGCACTGCCCGCAGAGCTGCGGCAATGGCAGTTCGCGAACCCGCACTCGGCCGTCGCCAAAGGGGGCTACCGACCCGGTACGTGTGCCCCGTCCGTTGCCGCCCATCGAGCAGCCGGCCCACGCCCCACTTTTTTTTTCTGCATTCTTTCTGTTTCAAGGTCTATACGGCCGACTAGACAGCGACGGCTTCTTCCAGACGACGGTGACGAACGTAGGGCCGACGGCGAAGCAGAGCAAAGTGCTGCATCCCTACGTACGTCCCCGGCCTTTCCCGCCGCCCATCGTCGATTGACGCGACGCTACAACTGACGCGACATAACGTCGGTCGGCTCTGCGACGCGGCTTACTCCATCTTCGCCTGCAGCTGAAGCGCATCGTGACCGTCCGCGAGCTGGCACGCTCGCAGGGCTTCTCCGACGACTTTGTCTTCTACTCGCTCAACGGGGACGTCGACGCGGTGAGCCCTCGCTTCTCTCCGAGACGGACAGCGCCACGTTCGCTCGATCGCTCAATCACTCACGCAACTACACACCCCTCCGTCTCTCCAGATGCTCCGACAGATCGGCAACGCCGTCCCGCTGCCCGTCGGCGCCGCCCTCGGGAGAGAGCTCAAGGCCGCCATGCTCAAAAAGTGGCAGCAGGACAGGGAGGACGTGACCTACGTAGAGTGATGCACATCATGAAGCATACGATACGATGCCCCAAAAATAATAGCACCTCGCAGTCGATGGACGTTCCGCGTTCCGCATCTGACGAGTAGGTTACGTTCTGAGACATCAATGCAGCGCGGTGCGGGCGTTAGAGTACATACACACGACACTGTGCGGCACGGCCTCGGCCTCGGCGCCGTCGCATACGAGTACATACATACAAAACCAGCACAGGAAAACACGACAGGTAAGAGCGTGACAGAGGGGAGTATAAATACCGTGCAGCGAAGAAGAACATGGATGGGGCGGCGGGGGCGTGGGAGGTTAAATGATGGGTTGCAAATGTAGGCGCATCGGACGCTCTAAGGGCTGTAGACTGGCAAGTTTGCCATAGGATGCCTAGGTTACGAGGATACGGGCTCGACCAGCGCCGCTGCAGGATCCTTCTTAGGCTCACCGGTGTCCTCGCTACTTATAAAAAAAAGAGTAAGGGGGATGTTTGACATTGGAGGCAGTACTAGAGTTAATTCCGGTTACCTGGGAGTGAGCGAGGGTGTTTCGCTCTCTTGACGGGATTGCTCGCCTAGGGTTGGTGTGGGAACGGAGGTAGGGGCTGGCGCAGGACCGTCATTGTCCCGGATATGCGTTCCGTCCGGCGCGATTCCACAATGCCTGTTAGACAAAAAAATCAGCACAGCCCCCCTCGCGCCTCCAACGCACTACTCACTCGACCACCTGCGCCCAATAGCTCTCAAAGTCCCACTCGAACTCGTACTCGCCGCCAAAGTCGGCGTCGAGCTGCGCGCGCGGGACAAGCTCGAACAGGTCCGGGTTGAAGCGCATCTTGTCGCGCGTGATGGGGTCGAGGAAGGGCGCGATGCCCTTGTAGAAGAAGGAGAGCAGCATCGGGAGGTTGACGACGAGCGCGCGGCCCAGGGTCTCGACGTAGTGCTGTTGCAGGATCGTGAGGACCTGCAGTTCCCGGCGGGATCAGTTCCTGGGGGCCTGTGATAGGAAGTACGGGGGTGTACCTTGCGCGCGATGGAGATGGAGGGGTTCGTGCGCAGCGTCGTGCTCTTGTAATCGACGATGATCATGAGCGACTCTTGGCCTGGCGGCATCATGTCCTTTGCGCGCTCGCTGTGGGACGGCGACCATGAGTAAAAAGATAGCAACAATTGAACAGGAGCAACAATTGAACAGGGACAACAGTTGAGCAGAGATGAGCTCACAGGACCCAGACGAGGTGGCGCAGTTGGCGCGGAGAGGTCTCAGTGTTTTCGCGCCCGGGGCGCATGTAGATGATGGGCCGGCCGTCGACGTCGAAGCCGTTCAGGATGCTAGAAGGCGTGACGCAAGGAAAAATTAAAACCGGCCAGCATACTCTTAGCTCCCCGCGAGTGAGTAGGAACGCACATTTTTCCAGTCTCGGCTTCGATTTTGACCTTCGTTGTAAGAGGCGTTAGCACATCGTAGGTGGAGGCGCGCTCGGCGGGAAAACACGCACCTCATCTGGGGGAATGAGATCGGGTTTGAACTCGCGGCGCCATTCGAGGGTACCCTTGATGCGCTTCATGCCGTCGTCGAGCTTCCACTTGGCGGCGCGCATGTAGCGCGGGAGGGTGTCGGACCTGTCGAGCCAGCGGCGCTCGAAGGGGTGGTACGGGTCGGACTCGGGAAGCGCGATCGAGTGCGCGTACTGTGAGCGGGCAAGCACGATATAAATGAGCACGGCGCGTCTGAATGCGAAGGGCGGGGCGCGCACCTCGCGCAGGGCGGCGATCTGCGCGGTCTGCTCTTCCGTGTATGTGTGCACGGGGTTGATCACGGTGCCGGGGGCGGGGGCGGTGATGAACTGGGTGGTCTTCGCCATGGGGCACGATGTCTGTGACGGCGGCGGCGGTGGGAAGAGGACGGGGAAGGAGGACAAGGAGAGTTGTGGGCCATGGATGCATGGTGAAGACGCTGGGCGTGGAGATGACAAACGGAGATCACTTGCCTTGACTCGATCCGCTAACTCCGGTGCTTCGGCGCTCGCACTCCCTCGCCTGCTCACGTCATGCAGTCCCGCCAGGTCCCGCCCCTCCGTTCAGCTCCTCGGAGAGCAGCGCCCTCTTGACCCTGGTTTGTATCTCAGAGTGGCCCATGGGACGGTCGTTGCATGCAATAGACCCCTGAAACAACCCAATAGATTGACAAGCAATACACGTACGCCCACACGCACACCTGTTGTCAGTTGACATATGACATTCTCTCTTCTCTCCGAGATCAGCCGAGCCAGCACCAGCGACGCCGCGGGGCCCGACAGCAGTCTCCTCACCAGCATCGACTGATGCGTCTCGTCTAGCCCATTCTTCTTAGCTCATCTATGACCCACAGACACGACGCAGGATGGGCACCCACTAAAATCTAGTTCACCGCCTGCTCAACGTCATATTCCTCTCGTCCGCTGGGGCTCCAAAGACACGATTGACTATGCCGACAGACAGACATTCAGCACTTACAATTGCTAGCACAATGCAAGCACTCTATGTTCAGGCTATCAAAGACGATCGAATAACCAAAGAGGTTCCCGACGGAAAAATAAACGAACAGCAAGAACAGCAAAGCAAGTACGAATGCGTGGCAAGTAGGACAGCATTGCGGCATAGAGAGGACTCGATCTAATACAGGGATCCCTAGGATGAATGCAAACGAAAGTACACGTTACGTATCGTAAGAAGGGTTATAATGACGAAAAATCATACATGAGCCGCGACTGGTGAGTGAGCAGAAAACGGTTTGGGAAATTTAGGACAGGAATTCAAGCACTGCCAACTGAGCTCGCGACAGCGCCCATGATCCACCGATTGAGCAAGACCAGATGCAGCACGTTATCATCCACCGCAAACATTCTGCCATTCTCTAGCATCCCCAGCGGCATGCCCGACACCCAAGTCAACGCATCAAGAATTGGCCAAAATCTCTTGAGTCCTGAATATTGAAACCACATAGCCAAGCCGGAGACAATAACTGAGCACGGAAGGGTCGTATACGCCATGTACCTCGTCGGGAATTCGCTATCGTCCGCCCACGTCTTTTCCCGCAGCTGCTGAAGTGCCAAGGTCACGGTTATGAGTATTGTCGTGCCCATGCATAGTACGATTGATGTGTATACAACCCAGCCGGGGGTCGGCGAAAAAGGACCGAAGTTGAGTGCGTCTCGCGTGGGTCCTTGAAATACGGCACCAAAGATAGCGGCAGCGAGACCGAAGGTATTCAGCAGGACCCCAGGGCGGAGAGATCCTTGCTTGGGCGAGGAACGGTCAAAGGTCGCAATGGCCATGAGCTCCTGGGATCCTGGAACGTACATCTTCATCCCCGGTTCATCCGTCACTGCCGTTTTGCCATAGTATAGACTGTGCCAATCGGTCAGACGGCCAGCATACAGTGAATTGGACAATGCAACACTAGTCCAAACGCCGGCAGATGTTCCAACCGACAGAAAATAGCAGATAATCACCTGGCCGAAAAGGCCTGCGATGAGGAAAGGATACGCAGAACGCCGGTTGAGTCCACCACTAAAGACGAGGTCGAAAAATGCAGGTTTGTTCGCGTACTCGTCTATCTCGGCGAGTACTGTCTCAATCCGCGTGAGATAGGCCTCGTCGGCGGTCACCTCTTTCATACCCCAGCGTCCATGTAGGTTCTGAATAGTGAGCCGGCCTTTGTCGAGCAGGACACCGCCGAGAATGGCGATCCAAAGGGTCTGTCCAACGCTGATCTGTGCAAGTTTCGGTGAATCGGATGGATCGAAATTTTGTTTGATGTACTGCACGACACGATAGTATGCGGTGGCGAGTTCGGCCAATGATGCAGTGACTTTGGAGCCCTCGGGAGCGTATGAATGGAAGTCGACAGCACATATGGGAGTGTCATATTTGACAGGATCTTTGTCAAGGTCAAGGGTATACGGGCCTTCTTTCTTGTCGCTGTCGTTATAAGCCAATGCGTGGAGTTTGCTCTGGGAGTGTGGACGGCGGACTAATTGTGCGGCTACGACGAACAGAGCAAACTCCTCGCTGTCAACGTCGACAACGGAGCTGGCCGGCATATTTTTAGTGGAAAAAACAACCTGGCCACCCTTCTTGATTACTACCTCCCATTCTCGGAAAACATGATAGTCGATTGCAGCAAACAGTAGGAAATCGTGTGCTGAGGGAGTGACAGAGGAGGGCTTGATCGGGGACGAAATCAAGGGGCCGCTGCCATTGGGCGCAGGAATCACAAGACCTTCGGGCGTCAAACTCCAAAGCGATGGGTCGACGGTCGATGGTTCGTACAGGACGCATTTCAAACACTGTAAGGCCTTTCGAAGGGCCTCCGATCGCGCAAGAGCGGTAACTTGATCTGCTTGGATCCAAAAATTGGATTTTCCATATGCTGTACGTATACCTGGAACAAAATGGCAGGCACTTGCAACCCAGTTGACACGCTGCATTATGGGAATCGAGATCACGGGGAGGCCCGACCACAGAAACCATCCTATAGCAGGCTCGATCTCCCAGATTTTATCGGGAGGTGTTCCCAAGGCGGCATAGAGGACACTTGCAAGGAGTAGAAGGCCTGACGGCCAAGATACGACGTCGTTCACCGGCGCTTGTGCTAGGACAGGGTGTATGACAGTAAAGAGAGTGGTAAGAGCAGGGAAGTGAAAAGAGGATCGGATTGCTGTGAAAAGCGGCATGGTTTCCCTATGGAAGGGCCCAAAGGTCAGAGCTTTAGAATGCACATTCTGCTGAGGACCATGAGAGGGTAGGAGATGGGCTGGAGCTATCGATGTTTGTGCCCCCTGCCCTCTGCATAGTAAGTCGTAGCAATATAGTACGTACCAGTCAAAGGACCAGGGAATGTAGGAAGGGATGACCGAGAGCAAGGGCAAGAGCCATCTACGGCCAGCCCCCATGGTCTTTAAGCCTTGCAGTGACAGCGCAAAACACGAAGCCTATGCCTGTATACGGTCAGCACTCAGCAAAGTTGGTGAAATGAAGGGCAACTAGCCCGTTGCGCAAACGCCCATATGATCCTGATATAGACTGATATAGCTTACAACAGCTTATAACCCCCGTGTCGTACTTACGGAATAAATGCGGAAGCATTTGTCATGCAGCCGTAGGAAGACTTTCCACAGCTATGCATCGGCCAATGGGACAACTAGCTCTAAAGGTGGTGTATGTGGGCGTCGAGACAGCAATGCACACGTCGTGTTGCCGGACCTCGGCCAATGATACAATGTAAAGAAAGTGCTTTCCGTCAACTTCCGTCGGTCAGGCAAAAGCGTGTAAGAAATGCTTCAAACAAACAGGATAATCGGACAAGTCGTCTCTGGGAATCGGTCTCTGGCGGCGGAAAACAAAGGATTTAAACTGTAAGACCAAAACAAGCATCTCGACAAGGCAAATGCTCCGAATATGTATTCTTCTCAATGGTGCACTTGCCTGTTGACCATTCTTGAAGACACTGCAATTCTAAATCTATCCTGTTCGACAACGAGGTTTCATGTGATCCAGCTGCTAAGTATAGTCTTTCATATCCAAGCATATGACATGCCTCGTTCCCGCTGTGCTCTATACCCACTGCGCCATGCATCAATGGAAGGTCTTAGGCTTGGCAATGGCTGGCGTCCATGAAAGCTGTGAGTGCCGGTCAACATATACTTATATGCTCGCTAGTACGTGAGAAGTAAGGGTCTCAGGTGCTGCGCAAAATAAGGAAATGACACTGTCAAAACAAAACTTGCGGTGACTATTGAGTAGGCTACATCAAAAGGTGGAACTTACCTGAGAGACAATTGTATTGGGCATATAGGACTAGTACATCTGGGTCAACTTATGCCGAGCCGTTCTAAGATACCCAGCATCAGGAGACTCCACGGCACAGGCGCAAGGCCAAAGTACTCACGAGGAACTGGTTCACCGCCATGGCCAGCGGCACGATCGCCGAGTCGCTCATATCGTCCACGAAAAGCACGTTCGGGAAGACCCCCGCGCTGCACGCGGGCAGCAGCTTGCTATACAGCAGCGGGTTCGCCGTGCGCGCGAGGTCCAGGATCCCGCTCGCCGTCCCGAACTCGCACGTCGCTGCCTCCGTCGCGTCCTGCGTGAGCGTCCACGACAGCAGCCTATACGCGACGCCGGGCACCTGCAGCTTCGCAAGCTGGTCCGCGACCATCGTCGCCGCGTCGTTCGTGTTCGAGTAGCTGTTGTACGCGTTGAGCTGCGCGTACGTGTAGAACCCCTGCCCGTGGTACGCGCCGAGCCCCGTGCTCGCGTCGCCCGGGGAGAAGATCACGACCACGGCGGGCGTGCCGGCGCCTATGAACTGGTCCAGCGTGAGCAGCGTCAGGTCGACGGACGTCGGGTCCCCCGGCGCGACGAAGAGGTGCTGCAGTGACCCTGCGAGCAGCGCAAACAGCGCGTCCCACTCGCCCTGGTTGAAGTTCCTATACGCGTCGTTCCCCACGTCCGTGTTCAGATCGTGCGACAGGTCCAGGATCACGAGCTCCGCATTGTCCACCGTGAACGCGTTCACGTCGTCCACGATGCTCTGTATTGACTGCCCATTCGCGCCCTGCCACGTCACGTTCCCCAGGTCTGAGTAGTGCCCCGTGTAGTACTCCCCCCCGCTGATCGCCGGGCGCACGTCGAAGTACCGCGCGCCCGCGGCCAGCTGGCCCGCGATGCCCGTGGTCTGCGTGAGCGAGTTGCAGTCGAACGCGCCCGCCGTGCCACCGTTCCGCGCGCTCATCCCCGCATCGTGCGCGCCGGGCATGCAGATCTCGCGCAGTGTCCGCGCGCCGAGCGTCCCGCGCGCGCTTTGCATCCACGCCAAGGGCGGGTTGTTGGACGTGAAGTTATCCGACGCGCCGGCGAGCACGAACGGCACGGCGCCGTTCCACGCCCAGCCTAGCGGGATCGTGCTGCCCTGCGGGTTGTTCTGCGTGCTGATCGCTTCGAGGTAGGCTTGGAGCGCGAAGACGCCCTTGGGCGCGCGCGCCTGGATCTGGAACGCGTACGACGTGTCTGCGTTCGAAACGCCACCCAACACAGCTCAGGTCCAACGCCTCACTGAATTGTAGAACGAATGGACGCGACGTGCCTGCGAGCGCGAACGTGACCTCGCCGGCGTCGTCCGCCTGGTCGTGCGACACGTGCTGGTCCCACTCGACGTACACCGCCGCGACCTGGCCAGGCGCGAGTGTCGCAGGGAACGACCACGCGTTCATCTGGTACGAGTGCACGTACGTCTGAGTCCACGTATACGGCGTGCCGTTCAGGAGGTTGAGGGTGCCCCCTTGGCCCATTGCTCGCCGGTGCGCGTGTATGTGGAGGCGATGGAGGGGAGAAGGAAGACAAGAGGAGGGGAGAGCGGGAGATGCGGGGAGGGAGATGGTGGGAATGGCGACCGGCGGCGGGGGCAGCTTTTCTGAGATATCAAGAATGGAAGAGGCTCTTTTGCCACGCTCGCGCTGGAAATAGGTCGTCGGGGGCAGGAACGGGCCCGAAGCTGCTTGCGCCTCGACGCCAGAGCGCACGTTTGCGGTACATCGTCAGGTACACCAGATCCACTGGTGAGGTGCTCCGAGGTCCGAGGTCCCAGTGAGTTGCGAACCTCGGGCACGGGAGGGAATGTCTCTCCATCTCCCGCTCGACTCGCTCATTTGGGCGCGTCGGGAGGCTGCGCCTCGATGCTTGCGCGCACGTTCGAGGGAAGCGCATCGCAAGAGGGTTCTTGGATGCTGGCTTTTGAGGCATCGTGATTTAGGACGCGCGGGAAAACGCCTGCGTCGTCCCAAGCTGGGCTTGTGGGATCGAGTGGGCGAGCGAGGAGGAATGCGGGGGCGGGCGGACTTTGGACGATGTGATTATCATTACTTGTCAGAATCTCAGAGGCGAAGCAGACGGGGCATCACTACGCTGGGCTTATGTGCATCGGCGTTCTGAGCCTCTCGACGCGGGTCTCTATGGAATTTTCATACCTTTTGAGGAGTCAGACTAAGTGTCTGCGGCTCCGCGCGGCGGTTCATGACTTACCTGGACGCACGCTTAGCAAGACATGCCAGAGTGGTCAGAACCATGCCTGTGGGACGGCGCACGCAATAAGGGGACGATATGGCGAGCGCGCTCACCCCGTCGAGTGTTCTCTTTGAATGGCAGTCAGAGTCGTAAATGGAGGAGGCGCAACGGTCATAGAACGCGCGTTGTGATGGCGCGGCTACTCATTCTCCTTCCGTGCATCTGACAACAGCGGGCGCGCAAGAGTAAGGTTCGGTGATCTCAAGTGGGTCGTGTCTATCGTTGATGTAGATGATGGCGGGGAAGCCCAACTTTATGCATCGAGGCGTCGCCTCGGGGATAAGTCCCCCGTGAGAACTCGTGGGCTTATACGGCCCTGACAAATTTGGAAGAAACTGTTGTGGGGCCAGTGCAGGCGGCTGCAGCTTGCCTTCCGCATCGCAACGTTCGACCGCCATCATGCATCTCATGTACACGCTCGACGAGAACGGCAGCAGGATCTACACGTTGAAGGTGCGCCGTTGCAAGCGTCATGCATGTGTTTTGTGAACGAACACTGAGGACGCCCGCACGAAACAGAAAATAACCGACGAGGGCAAGATCACCAGGTCTGCCCACCCAGGTGCGCCCGCTCGCTCCCGCTGACATGGGCATCCACGCTGACGGGGGTGTCACGTCTACAGCCCGGTTCTCGCCCGATGACAAGTTCTCGCGCCATCGGGTGACGATCAAAAAGCGCTACAGCATCCTGCTCACGCAGCTGCCCAGCAAACCGCTGTGATGTCGCGCGCGGACATCCGATGCAGGCTCGGACCATAGAGTGGACGGCACATGCATGCGTGCGTGCGTGGGCAACAGAGGGGTGCGCGCGCTGTTGCAGTACCAGGGCTCGACACGCTACATGGATGTACGGCTCTTGGCCCTAAGACGGCCGGGGTGCTGCTTAGAATTCAAAGTCGGATCAGACATGCAATCATATACGACGGGGTGCACTCTATATAAGCTCGCGCACCGTGCAAACTCCAAGAAAACAAGGTGTGCGTGAGAGAAGGCCAGAGAGGATATAATTAGAAAATACATAATAAAAAAACCCAGTTAGGACAGACAAGGCGTCGAAAGGCCGTCACCGTCGCTCTCCAACGCTTGTTCCCCGTCCACCACCCTCGAGCACCCGCCGTCGTCGCCAGAAGGTCTGTGCTCGACGCGCCGACACTGTCTCAGACAGCGCTGAGAGAGAATCCGCAACTGCATATATCCAATTCCACCCGCGTCGGAGTTGGCGCCCTGCCCACGCTCTTTCCACTCCTCCACCACTCGTCTCGCCCTCCCTTCCACAGCCCCGCTCTCTCCTCCTCCTCATCCCGCTGCCATGGATCACCGTGGCCAGCGTCCTCCTCGCTCCGCCCGGCCCTCCCTCTCTCACGGCCAGTCATCAACCCCAAGCCCCCCTTCCTACCCCGATCAGCCCCCCTCCTCCTACAGCGCCTATGCTCGCTCACCCGCACAACCATACGATGCACCCCGCCCTAGCGTAGGAACCAACATCTCATTTGGCCCCACCGAGCGAGGCGACCGCCACGAGCCCCTCGACCAGCCTGGCCGCGTCCGCGGTCACTCCGCATACCAGAATGTCCTCTCTCCCACAAGCCCTGACCCCGAAGCGGGCTACGCCATGCCCGACGCCGCTCTCGTCGGCCGCAAAAAAAGTATGGTGCGCCCCGATCGAGAGAAAATAGAGCCTGGACACCGTCAGTGGCATTACCGCAGCCACGCGGCGCAGCTCGAGGACGAGGGGAGCGGCAATTTGGTTTATCCCTCTAGTGCGTCGTTGCCTCCTCCTTTCCTCTCCCTCTCCCTCCCTGTTTCTTGTCCCCCGAAATCCCAATTCCTTGCCGCCTGAATTTCAATCTCACTCCGTTGCTCAGCGACCGGTAACGCTCCCCAGAGAGATGGCCTCCGCCGCGGTCGTTCCATCCTCGGCCGAGAGCAGGACGTGCAAGAGTCGGGCCTCGCACTCTTCAAGCGCGGTACCACCCTCCGCAGGAAACGCCAGCCGGCTGCAATTCCAGATGACCAGCCGCCCCAGCGCACAGGCTGCATGTCCGGCATCCCAGGCCCCCACGACGCCTGGGTCACCTACTGCTACGTCCTGACTATATGCATTCCTGGTTTCTTGCTCAAATCGTGCGGTGCGTGCTGACGCTCGCCGTTCGCGTCCTGCCCACTGATCCCGGTATATATTGATTTTCAAGGGATCCGGAGTCCGGAGCAACAGCGTGCCTGGCGGGAGAAGATTGGCCTCGTGAGCGTGATCGCGACGCTCATGGCGGGCGTCGGCTTCTTGACCTTTGGGTTCACCGACGCGGTGTGCGGCACGCCGCCGAACCGCTTTCACGCGGGCTCCATCGATACGGGCTCGGTCATCATTCACGGCTACGACTATGACTTTTCACAGTTCCACCACCCCAAGGTCGGCATTTTCGACGGGCAGGCAAATCCCCTTTTCGAGGGCGGCTGGAACGTCGCAGGCAACGACGCGTCGTTTTTGTTCCAGAATACGGGCGGGAACTGTCAAGGGATCATTACCAAGGCAGACAATTCGAGCATCACGGGGGACAATGGGGCGGTGGATTGGTATTTCCCGTGCAATGTGTACAACCAGCACGGGACGTCACAGACCAACTTGAGTGATTACGGCTCCAGCACGAATTGCCATGTGTCCAAGACGGCGCGGACGGAGCTCTCGCAGATGAGCCCGCAAGGCCAGGTCTATTATTCGTGGGATGATGTCACCAACTCCGGCCGCAATCTGGCCGTGTTCGAATCGTGAGCGATGGGAGGTTTTCAGTAGTCGCCGTCCATGAGCTGACAAGCCTTCATCGTTCAGCATGGTGCTCGACTTTAGCCTACTCAGTTGGCTGAGTACCGGCGAGGTCAAGTTTCCATCGATCTTCAACGACTTTTCGAAAGCGAATGGCACATTCAACGGGAAGGATATCACCATGTACATGCTGCGGACGAATCAGCGCGCGCTGGGACACTGCCTCCAGGACATCATCGGCGTCGGGTTCATCGACACGAACAGCATCGGGTGCGTAGCGTCCGACATCGTGCTGTACGTCTCGCTCGTCTTCATCATCGGTGTCGTCGGCATCCGCTTCGTCATGGCCGTCATGTTCGCCTGGTTCTTCGCGAACCGCATCGGCGCGTTCAAGAACGAGACGTATGAACAGCGCATGCAGCGCTCGGCGGAGATCGAGAACTGGACAAACGACATCTACCGCCCCGCGCCGAGCGAGTACCGCCCGAACGTCGCGAAGAACGGACTCACGAGCGGGAAGCGGGAGAAGAAGGGGAACAACTTCCTGCCGCGCCAGTCGCGCTTCACGCCGTCAGAGAACATCATCAAGGGCTCCGGCGGGCGGCCGTCGACGGCGTATGGGATGCTCGAGCCGATGCCATACAAGCGGCCAACGGCGAGTGTGTACGGCGGGACGCCTTCGGTCTCTGGGAAAAGTAGCAAGATGCTGTCGCCGCCTGACTCGCCGTTCCGCACGTCGCGCAGCTTGACATCGCTCAATGACCCGCGCGGCTTCATGGATAACCCCTGTCCGTTCCCCCTGCACAACGTCGTGCCCCAGCCCGCGCTCGACTTTGAGCCATTCGGCTACCCGCTCGCGCACACGATCTGCCTCGTCACGGCGTACTCCGAGTCCGTCGAGGGCCTGCGCACGACGCTTGACTCGCTCGCGACGACGGACTATCCGAACAGCCACAAGCTGATCCTCGTCATCGCGGACGGAATGGTCAAGGGCGCGGGGAACGACAAGACGACGCCGGAGATTTGTCTGTCGATGATGAAGGAGTTCGTGATCGACCCCGAGGACGTCGAGGCGCACTCGTACGTTGCGATCGCAGACGGGCATAAGAAGCACAACATGGCCAAGGTGTTCGCGGGGTACTACGACTACGACAACGCGACGGTCGAGCGGTCGAAGCAGCAGCGCGTGCCGATCGTGCTCGTCGCGAAGACGGGGAACCCGCTCGAGGCGCGCGACGCGAAACCGGGCAACCGCGGGAAGCGCGACTCGCAGATCGTGCTAATGGGCTTTTTGCAGAAGGTGATGTTCGACGAGCGCATGACGACGTTCGAGTACGAGTTCTTCAACTCACTGTGGCGCGTGACGGGCGTGAGCCCGGATCGGTACGAGCTCGTGCTGTGCGTCGACGCGGACACGAAGGTGTTCCCCGACTCGCTGACGCGGATGGTGTCGTGCATGGTGCACGACGAGGAGATCATGGGCCTTTGTGGCGAGACGAAGATCGCGAACAAGGGGGAGACGTGGGTGACCATGATCCAAGGTGCGCCGCTTTCTGCTGTTTCTCTCTGCCTCTTCTCATCGTATGTACGCAGTCTTTGAGTACTACATCTCGCACCACATGACGAAGGCCTTTGAGTCTATGTTTGGCGGTGTCACCTGTTTGCCTGGCTGTTTCAGTATGTACCGCATTAAGGCGCCAAAGGGCGGGTCAGGTTACTGGGTGCCCATCCTTGCGAACCCGGACATCGTGGAGCACTACTCGGAGAACGTCGTCGATACCCTGCACAAGAAGAACCTGCTACTTTTGGGTGAGGATCGGTACTTGACGACGCTCATGCTCAAGACGTTCCCGAAGCGCAAGAACGTGTTCTGCCCGTCGGCCGTCTGCAAGACCATCGTGCCCGACACGTTCCGTGTGCTGCTCTCGCAGCGCCGGCGCTGGATCAACTCGACCGTGCACAACCTCTTCGAGCTGCTGCTCGTGCGCGACCTGTGCGGTACCTTCTGCTTCTCGATGCAGTTCGTCGTCGGCATGGAGCTCGCCGGGACGCTCGTGCTGCCTGCAGCCATCTCGTTCACGCTTTACCTCATCATCATCTCCATCATCCCTCACGGCTCGAGCACGACGATCCCGCTCGTGCTGCTCGCGATCGTGCTTGGCCTGCCGGGGCTGCTGATCGTCATCACCTCGCGCAAGGTCGCGTACGTCGGGTGGATGCTGATCTACCTGGTGTCGCTCCCGATCTGGAACGGCATCCTGCCCGCGTACTCGTTCTGGCACTTTGACGACTTCTCATGGGGCCAGACGCGCCAGGTCGCGGGCGACAAGGACGAGAACCACGGGGACAAGGAGGGCGAGTTCGACTCGACGCATATCGTGATGAAGCGCTGGGCCGAGTTTGAGCGCGAGCGCCGGTGGAAGAGCGGGTCGCAGTCGAGGGACTCAAATTCGTACGATAACAAGAACAACTCGCCGAAGCGGTGAGTGACTGTCTTCTCATCTGTTTGCTTGCGGTTTTTGATTGAGGTTGTCCGTTTGCAGGTATTCTATGGTTTCGAACACGGACTCTGGGTATACCCCTCCGCAGCCGTTTGACGTTAGCACGATGGACTCGTCAGCGTTCGCTGCGAATGCCGCGCGGCCACGGTACGATAGCAACCAGCTTTTGACGCTTCCGGCGCCGTTGGCCTTGAACAGGCCGCCGACGGGCACTGCTGCGTCTGCCTCATCTGTGGGCGTCTCTCGCTCCAGCGAGGACGCGTACGCCTCGGACGTTTCCTCGTCGAATCACCGCCTTATTCCCAGCCCTGCAAACGATTACTACGGCGACGATTACGACACGCCCCCACCTGCACCCGCCGCCCGCCACAGTACGAGCACGCCGCCGAATTTCGAGTCGCAGGTGTCGCGCGCGGCAGGGAACAGCAACGCCGTCTTCCGACAGAACACTGTATCAAATCTATATCCCGGGGAGACGCAGAACCCATACCAGCAGCACGCGCACGCGGGCTACACGGAGCACGTCGGGTATGTCACGGAGCCGGAAGAGATGCCCGCCGCGTCGCCGTCGAATTACTCGGTGGGGACGCCGCGGATGGGCGGGCGCGGCGTCAGCCTGGCGGACAACGGGCCTGTTCCCGGCCCCGAGGGCGTGCGACGCATAGCGCGGCCTCAGGGCCGCCGGCCGTCGTCGCAAGCTCCGGCTCCGGCGCAGCAGAACCGGTACTCACGCTCGTCGACGTACGCCAACCTCCCGCCGGGCGCCGCGCCGCCGAGCACTGGTGGCTACAGCGGGTACAACTGAGGTGGGCGCCGGGCGGGCGGAGGCTGTAGTCGCGTGCGTACAATGGATCTTGACTGCTGCCCCCTTTACTGCGCGGACATTTTTTTTTATCTTTTCCTCGCACTTTTTTAATGACGTTTTTTTCGCGCTGTCTTCCCCTCCCCCGTTTTGCGTCGTAATTGGACTTTGCAATCCCCTCTCGCCGCGACTCGGTTGGCTCTGCGTCCGTGCGTCCATGCGTGCATCCATCTGTTAGCGATGTGAGCTGGGAGCTCCGCTTCAAGGTTTGTGAAGTTCGGTGTGGCATACATGCTGACCGGCTTTTTTCGAGCGCATCGCGGCAGTGCGACCGCCCAGAGACATCGTCTTGGATTTAATGGCTCTCGAGCGCCCGATCGTCGATACTCTCCCATAAATTACGCATCTTGTTACTCCGATCAGAGGCTGCCGGTTGACAATGTCGATACATATATCTACGCTATGGATGTTCCAATGCATGCGCTTTGACGAAGGATTTCCTTCCGGATTGTTTTATTGTTCCTCCTCCCATGGACATTGATGACGTACATAACGCTGTAGTATGGGGCCTGCGTGTCTCATGGTTGTCGGTATTTTGTAGCAGTGGACTATGCAGATTATGATCACGAATATATTACAACGACCAGAAGGGTGTTACTATGTGCGGTGCGTGGTACGTCGACAGCAGTGCGACAACAAGAAGATAATGAGGACATGCATGAAAGGCGCGAATATACGTATAAATTAATCGTGCGTGAAAGTCCGGTCGAGAACGTCGAAACTACTACCAGCTCCTCCACCACCGCGTCGTCCGCGCCTCTGGATCCTCCTCCTGCACCTCGTGCTCGCGTATCACCTTCAGGAACACGTTCTCCAGCGTCGCCTTCTCCACCGTGTACTCCGCAAAGTCCCCCTGGTTCGAAAGCACGTGGAAGAGCTGCGAGAGCGAGAGGTATGCGCCGCCCTGCCCGCCGAGGTCGCTCTCGACCGGGACCTCGAAGCGCGTCGCGACGTCCTCGGCCAGGCGCGCGCCGGGGATGCGCGCCATCAGCTGCTGCGCGCGCAGAACGTCCTCGCGGGAGCGGCACGGTATGTGCACTTCGTATGCGGCGTACCGCGCAGCGAGCGAGGCGGTGGTGCCGACCGCTGTGTGCGGACGGGGTCAGCAAGTGTCGTCGACCGTTGTGTGGAGTAGACACGTACCGAGCATGCGCTTTGAGATGATGCCAACCTTCTGTGCGAGGGCAGATGCTTCTTCCATGGAGTCTGGACGCAAGTCAATCTTGTCTGCTCAACTACTACGATGATGGACACTCACGCGTCGTGATGACGATGGACTTTCCAATAGCTACCTGGCGCAGGGTTACCCACATCTCCCGCTTCATCTTCGCATCTATGCCGGTCGAGAACTCATCGATGAGAACGACGGATGGATTGCCTGTGGGCTGATGAGAAACACTGTAACCGATTGTTGATCCCAAGACAGACACGCACCCATCAGAGCGATCGCAAGAGACAGCTTCCTTTGGTTACCACCAGAAAGCTTGCTTGCAAGACGGTCCGCGAACTGCTCTAACCCTGTCGAGCGCAGTAATATACTGACATTGCTTGGCAGCTCTTCCCGCCTGAGACCCTTCAGACGCCCGTAAATCATCAGGTGTTCTCGCACTGTAAGCTGGGAATCAATAGCGGTGAACTGAGGGCATACACCCAGAGATAATCGAGCGGATTGGGGGTGGTGCACGACGGATACGTCATTGAGGAGAACGTCCCCTTGGTCAGGCGTGATATCGCCACCTATCGAATACTTAGGTCGTATTCCCACTATAGATGATAAATGAAAAATAACTCACGGATCATGTTGAATGTAGTGGTCTTCCCAGCACCATTGGGCCCTAAGAGAGCAAATATGGTGCCGCGACCTACGCCCAAACTGACACCATCAACCACTTTCTTGCTACGTCCAAAGGCCTTAGAGACCCCCAGTACTCGGAGTGGATCATCCGAGACCGCAACAGCCTTGGCCTCGTCCATCACATCCTCTTTGAGCTCCTTTTCCTCGTTAGACTGATCCCGTTGCACTACAGAACGCTGTGCTTGTATCTTGCGATTTGACACACTCCGAGGCAAGATGGAACCTGAGTCGACCCATACAAGGATAGCGAAGAGCACAAAGGAATAGACGATGAGGTACAGGATCGGACCTCCGTATCTCTTGATATTTGCATATGCAGATGGCGATATGACTCCTCCGCCACTGCACAGCAGTGAGAACATGTTGACGGAGACGAAAGCGGTTCTCATCTACGCATACGGTCAGCTACAGTGCAATTATCGTTGGTCCAATTGGCTTACTATGCTAGCGATAGGAGAAATCAATGCGATCGTGAAGTCTAGTGCATTTTGGTCAGCTTGGGCGAGAAATGAAGATCGTGAAAGGCATACGGATAACTGTCAGTGTCCATCCAGCCTTTGATGTCTTGGCATATGTGAGGGTTAGGAGGTATCCCGCGAGGTACAGCTGAACATCTATCGTGAGAGAAATTCTCCTCGAGATATGTCGAATAACGTACGATGAAGATGATCACTTGGTATCCGGCAGCCGCAGCAAAAGCGGCCAACGGAGAAGCGGTAACGAGCGAGAAACAGTAAGAGAACAGGGTTGCAGATATGCCATACAACACAAGGTTGAACCACTATTCAAATGAGGTCAGTAGATGGACATGGAATGAAGTCAGACGAACGACTCACGAAGAAACCTAGGCCATGGAATTGATTCGATGCGGCAGCGAAGACAATTATGATGATCGTTGACAAAAGCACGACGAACATGGAATCAAAAAGAAGGTGACCTAGCCACAGTCCGACTGGATTGGATAGACCATTCGAGAACTGCATCGCTTGGACGGATGAATGTCGCTCGCGAGATACATAGAGCGAAAAGAATGCGGGATATACAGCCTAGCAATCGTAAATTAAGTCAGGGAAATTCACGGCCTGGTGATGATGCATGAAGCCGTACCATAGCTGCACCGAAGAAAGTGATCCACTTGAGCGCCACAAGCGTCCCCGTTTCAACAGCTGGGAAACTCTGATAGCTGGCTTGGATGATGCTAGCGCTAGAATTGCCGCCATCGGAAGTATTCAGAGCACGGTTGTACAAGATATTGTCCACCAAGTTTAACAAGACCGGGCCAATGGAGCCAGGCGGTGAACTCTCCCACGCGATGAGAGCCTGAGCAGTTTGTGAATCTATGGAGATACCGCCCGTGAAGACGCTCTGGAATTCGCGGCTGATAGTGTTCACGAAGGCTGCATTGTCCGCCACATTTTCACCAACAATGGTGCTTATGGAAGGCCCAATGGAAGCTAGTAAGTTGGGCGGAGCGACGAAAATGTTGGCACTGTTGTCGGGAGTGATGGTAGACAATGCAAAAGAAGAATCAGGAAGATAAAGAGGGAGTTTGGGGGTGGTGTGGAATACGGTCGTGCACGACTGTGGTCTGTTGCGCATGAAGAACAGTGGGATACAGGACGCCAGGACAGCGACAAGTACAAGAATGAGCGGCGTCAGCCAACTTCTTTTGGCTATGCAGAATCGCTTGTTGTATATTGTCAGCGCTTGCCTGAGAGGTGATGTCTTCCGACCGTTTGTTAGCTGATCAATCCCGGGCGAATCAACAGTGACGGAATCGTCCGCCTTCTCCACCATGGATACAGGTTCATCTGTCATAAGGCCCAGAAAGATATCCTCAATAGTTGTACCCTGGACGTCAAAAGACGCGATGCCAAATTCATCCCGCTTCCCCTCGAGTAGGTGAAGCACGCCCTCTACCGTGACAGAGTCTTTGGACCTCAAATGGTAGGAAATTTGGGTATCTGACGGAGACGATACGTACGTCGATGGTGCCAATGCACGGATGTCGTCGACTAATTCAGCAGGAGCTGGAGAATTTGACTTCTCCGTCACGGTCATGCCCTCGCGGAATGTCACATGGATTGTGTAGCCCTCCCCGAGAGTCGACTTGAGAGCCACAGGTGATCCTTCTGCAAGCAATCGACCAGGGGCCGCAAGAATAGCGATCTGATCGGCCAATAGATCGGCCTCGTCGAGGAACTGCGCAAGTTGAGCGCTGGGATAGTGAGAGGTGCGTGAAGGAAACTCACATGGGTGGTGAACACAATTGTTCGATCATGGCGAACAGATGTCAGTGTCCTCCACAAGGCTCGGCGGGATAAAGGATCGACCCCCGACGTGCACTTCGGATCATTAGAACCTCGTATAGGATCAATACACCGGATGCACTTACTTCGTCCACAAGAACAACTAGAAGATGCGTTGCTCATCAGATGCCGATCATTCATGTGGATCCGCACTCACTCTTTGAGCCTCCGACTAGACCGATAGCGAGCTGCAATTTCCGTTTCTGACCGCCTGACAGCGTACTCGCATTGGAGTGAATCTTGCTTCCCAAGTCGCAATCACGCAGCAGCTGTTTGAGATCCTCTTCGCCGGCAAGCGATTCCCCTGAATGCTTCACTGCTCTCCATACACGCAGCGTCTGATGGCATGTCAGTTCCGGGAAAAGCACGTTCTTCTGGGGGACAATCCCAACGGTACCGCGGGGTGGCCGTGTCACTCCGCCTTCGAAGCGTACGGAGCCCGAAGTACGGCCAAGAAGATTCGCCAGGATTGACAGCGCCGTCGACTTGCCCGCGCTAAACGAATGGTAAGTCAGCTATAGAGACACAGTATTGTCGCGGCGTGCGAGACACACCCATTCGACCCCAAAAGCACGAATATGCCGGATTTGGGGATGTCAAATGAAAGGTCAGAGATCGCTGTGACGATACCACTCGAACGGTGGAAAACCCCAGGTTTGAATGTTTTTTGAAGGTTTCGGATAGATATTGCAACACCAGCAGGCATCTCAACAACGTCATCGTCTGCACATGGTGTTGCTCTATCCCACCAGCGCCACCACGGCTTCTCTGGACGCGGGGATGGCCTTCCCCACCAGTGCCACCATGGATCTGGCTTAGGTGGGGGTGGTGCATCATAGAGACGAGACTCCAAAAGCACCGCAAGCCAAGGCCATAGGAAGATGTTGATCTGAGCAGTGCTATTAGTCTCAGCCCGTGAGAAAGGAAAAAAAATTACACATACAACAGCAGCAATAATGAGCGGAAGAAGCAACATATGGCTCTTCGGGTCATGCTCCCAAACCTTCGTTGGAACCTGGCTAAGTTCAAATCCTCCGATGATGCGAATCGCAAAAATATAGAACGCAGGAGGGAACAAGACCGAGAAGACGAACGCGACACCTGTCCCGACCGCACCCATGACCAGTGCTATGATGGCGAAGACGATGGCGAAAAAAGTGGAAGCAACGGCCGCCAGTTGGGGGCTCTTTCCAAATGGCATACCGACGAAGAACGACCAACTGGCCAATGACAGTCCGAATAGGAGATGGATCGCGAAGACGAGGCCTGCGCTGGTTCCGCTGAAGATGCGGTAGTGCCAGATGATCGAGACGATGATCCACGCAGGAAGATATACCAAGGATATACTGACATGCCACGAACTGTGATAAATGCAGAAAAAGAGTTGAGTGATACAGCGTATATATCAGCGTGAATCCCTACATGATGCGAGCCGAATCAAGAAGTCCCATAGCCTTGAGATGACTTGTCAGCTGCAGAGCCCGTTCACTCATGACTGAGCCTGGGAGCTGATATGCAATCCCGATGTAACAAATAAACCTGCCGGACAATCAGAACCAAATTGACCGATGTCTCTCGTACACCTACAATGCCAAGACGAGCAAGCTCAAGATGCCATTGATGTAGCCTGCAAGGTCGCATTGTTCTCAAAAATCCACTGGGAACAACATTTGCGGGATAAACATACTCAGACGGATATCAAGGCTCTGCTGAGTGTTAGTAATCTGAGTAAACGGCCATTCCATCGGCGTCGGCTGTACCAAGCCAGTTCTCATCTCAATGATCGCCTACCATGGCCAATACCTGAGATCAATCGTCAAAATGCGCATAGACGCCAACGTACCTGATCCACAGCCCACTGCAACGGTAATATCCTGGTCTCATAGTCCCCGTCATGGCGTATCACGTCGACGTGGAAAAGGCCTCCGTCGCCGCGAATAGTATAGTTGACGGCAGACGCGGTGTGACAGCTGGGCGGAATGTAGTCGAACGCTACCGCGGCGAAGCATTCGGAATAGAGGTTGAAATTCTGCGGGCACGCGGCGGGGATGTCGGCTGGCGAAGGCACCTTCGTCACGGCTCTGAGCTGCTTCGCGGAGAAGCCCCTCGTTATATGTGCCATGATGTCATCCGCGGTCGTGAAGCCTGCCGTGCCATTCGTGCCGTCCGCCCAGATCAGCCTCAACGACCCGTCGAATGTTTGTGAAAGATTGTAGACGGGAATAGGGGATCCGATGCCATACTGCCAAAATAAATTGAAATGTGATTTGAGAAGAAATGACGGGACACTCACGTTGTTTGGCCTGTTCAAGAAAATCTGGGCGACCGCAAGAAAGATGCCATACGCGACCGGGAGCACAAAGCACCTCAAAATGTTGAGCTGGCGTGCGCACGACCGGGGACCAGACTAGTCAGCATCCGAACCCGCTCTCAAAGACGCATCACGTACCCATGGATGCTTCGAGAGAACTATCCAGTTCTTCCACACTAGTGCGTTGCACTGGCGGAAGAAGAGGTCCGCCGCCATCTGCGCCGCAAAGCCTGCAGCTGACTTGAAGCTTACGACGCTGAGCAAGAGAAAGAGGTGGGCAATTCAGTGCTTGGGCAGGGTGTGAGCCATGACCGCATGCATCATATATATTCTCAAGCTACAGATATATACGGAGGCGTCGACATCCGGACGGCTCGGATGCGGTGATAAATTGCCAAAGCCCGTGAAGGCACCTGAAGGCGCTTAAGATGGTACACCCACGTGATGAGAAAACACCGCACGAGACTGCGTCGCGTTCCTCCTTCCCGCGTCCTGCTGCCTTACTTGCCCCTTGGCTTTTACCATCGCCGTCCACAGATACAATATGCACGCACACGTATCGCAACAAGTGCATATATTTTTCACGTATCCATACCCGCGCTGACATCCCATGATCCAAGGCGCAAGAGGCACGCGCGGCCGCTTTGCAAGATGAAATCGATCAATTGCAGAACACACTGGGGTATTCTGCCAAGGCTTCTCGGCCTCAATTCAAGTCCTGTCTACTAAAAATCACCATAGAAAAGAAGAGAATGCCGAGAAGATTGTGTCTCGCCACATCAAGCTCCTGCATCGGTACAACGAGGCTAAGGATGCCGCGCAGGTAAATGGCACACCTCCATATCATCATGTCTACGCTATACTAGTGCATGCGCGCGTAGATCATAATGGGAAAGGTCAGTGCTGTGAAATGGAACAACACTCGATAATGACTGATGGAGGCGCATATATGCAGCTCGCCGCCCACAAGCAGACAACCATTCGACAGATCCATGAAGACTTTGGGGTGGCCGACGAAGACTGAGAAGATGTGGATTCGAGGTCCCTGTTTCTTTCCCTGTCTGCCAAAGTTTGTGTGACCGGTATAATGTTCACAGTTTTGTATTGCGTCGCATTCAGAATTTACGTCGTGACAGCTATCCAACTGGTCCCGCAGCCAGCCCAGACACCGACCACCTCCCCGGCGTTCGCCAAAGATAGCGGTGGCCATACTTTAACAGGAAGATGAACGTCATCGAGCGTGCCGAGGCCCAGATTTCCATGTTCGTTCCACCCCCAGCCCCACACCTCCGTCTCTCCAGGCAGGCCGGAGGAGTCGGAATCCGAGAAGCAAGCGAGGACATGCTCGCTGCCACAAGCAAAACGCCGCAAGCGCAAGGAGGAGCGAAGAAGAGAAGGCGGAAACTCCACTGGTCCAATCGCAGGGGAGGAGCTGGCGGACTGAGAACCTCTGGGCGCAAGCGGTCGCCCTAGCTGTCCCTTCGCGTGGCTGCCTGCCGACATAAGAGCTCGATGCCCCGCCTCCTCGATGAGGACATACGTCCCGTGCCAAGTGCACCCAACAGCACACGCGCGCGAGAAAGCGGACAGGCCCTGCACCTGCCCCTTCTTGTCCGACCCCAGCCCCGAGACGCGGCCAGAACCGCGCAGGAACACCGAGTGCTGGTTTCCAAGCGCGACAGCAGCGACACCGCGGTCGCCATCACCGCCACCGTCGCTGTCGAGCTGAACGAGACGAGGAGACGCCGCAAAGGCGACTGGTCGCCCAGAGGCACACGCAACAGCGCGCCCGAGCTGGCCGTGCCGAGCAGTCCCCCACCCGACGGCGAGCTCCCGCGGCAGCCCGTCGTCCCGCGACACCCGCAAGCACACCACGACGTGGTGCGGGCCCGCGGCGACGTCCACCACCGCGACGCGTCCGTTCGAGGGGCCCACGACAGCGGCAAAATCCACGACGTGAACCGGGCTCGCCGCGTGCTCCTCCTGTGCACTCCCCCTCCCCTGCCCGCGCGCTGCCCCTCCGATGCCGAGGTCGCCAAAGTCGTCGCCCCCCATGGAGAGCAGCGCGTCGTCCCGCCCCGCGCGCTGAAGCACGACGTAGCTCGTCTCCCAGCACGCAGCGATCCGCGCGGGCTCGTATCCTTCCAGCCCGCGCTCCGCCAACGGCAGACGCAGGCGCCGGAACACGGCCGACCGCGCCCCCGCCGCCTCGCGCGCGTAGTATTCGGGGCCGAGCTGGCCCTTCGATCCGTCGCCGCACCCCCACAGCTCAGCGCGCGCCGGCGAGTCTGGCGACGCCCGGCGCGAGAGCAAAGCGAGCGTGTGGTTCCCGCCGCCCGCGATGTGGACGATCGACTCGGTCCCCGGAGGGAGCTCGCCAGGTGGGGATCCTGCAAACGCGCACGGGCTGAAGGTGTGGGCGTCGTCACAGTTGGTCGTCCCGAGCTGGCCTTGTGCGTTGGATCCGGCAGCGTAGAGGTGGATATTCCGACCCATTTTCAATCGAAAGGCCGCCTTTGCGATTCAGCTTTGGTTGGCTGTCGAAGACGAAGACGGTCGGGACAGTCGGAGGTTGAAGGACGTTGCCAGGATAGGCCAGGATAGGCTGGCCAATCAGAACGACCCGAGCGGTGCGCCGTTCGTGCGATGGGGGCGACTCGGGGACACTTCCGTTTAATCATATTAATTTTAGCTCCCAGCAGACACCAGCTCGCGAGGTGCCGTATATGATTTAAATATAGCGCATCATAGTCGCTCAAAAAATAAAATGTTCTCATTGTGATACTAAAGTCTTCACTCGTCCAAATGCCAACATACGACGATCCACGTCCGTGGATCGTCGCACAGGCCCAGGATGACGTCCGCACCCGCACCCCATCTACATCATCGCGCCCACCACCAACATTAAAACTCGCCGCCTCCTCAGCCCTCCCACCCAAAACACCACCAGCACGCAGCACTCATCCGCCCAAACACAAAAAACACAAACAATAACCCCACGCACCCCGTTCCCCGCACCATGAGCCCATCCGACGCCGACGTCCTCGCGACGTTCCGCGCGCGCGTGAACATGTCTGCCGACGAGCTCGCGGCGTGGCTCGACGACCCGGAGAGCGCGCACGCAGGCACGGGCGTCGGGCTCGACAGCGGGCGGCGCATCCTCGCGATCTTGCGGAAGAACCCCAAGGGGGACCCGAAGGGCTACGACGAGGTGCGTGCGCGTGCGGGGGCGGTGCCCTCGTAGAGTCAGTTGGGTGTTTGGGGTGCTGACGGTTCTGCTGTTTCTTTGCGGTTGACGTGCGGGTGGGCGGAGACAGGAAGACGTGAAGCACATGCGCAAGGTCGTCGCGTGAGCACACCGGCGCCCCTCCATCGACGAACCGCTAACGCCTTTACGCGCATAACAGCTACCTCGCGCGCCACCTCGCACAAGAAGGCCACCTGAAGGCCACCAAGACGACGGACGAGCTCGCGCACACGAGGAGCACGATCAGGTGAGCCGCCGCGGCGCCGCACGTTGTGCGGGAACTCGCTGACTTGCCGACTCGTGCGCGCCCTCGTGTGTCGTGTGTCCTGCGTCCTGTGCAGCTTGAGGAACTGGGGACACGTGAGCAGCGCCGTGCCGTTCGTCCGCCGTGCGAGCGCGTACTGATGGCGCGGTGCGCGTTTAGGACCCCGTGAAGGCGAAGACGCAGGAGGAAGGAGGCACCGATGAGACTAAAGAAGACGACGACGATGGCGAGAGTACAACTGCGGACGAGCCGAGTCCGTCCGGCGCCGACGAGAAGGGCGAGAGCGTCGACGCCGACGCCGACGCCGACGCTGCCAAACCTGCCACAAGATCACAGGACCAAAGGAAGAGCGCGCGCGGGGACAAGGCGGGCGCGAGCGCGGGCTCGAAGCGGAAGCGCGGGCACGCCGATGACGTTGCCGGAGACAGGGGGAGCGGGGGCGGGAATGATGAAGATGAAGATGTTGAAGATGCCGACGAAGATGCTGATGCTGATGCTGATTATGATGTTGATGATGGGAAGGGCGATGAGGAGGACAGCTCGGGGGAGGACGCCGAGGACGGGCCGAGGCCGGCTGTGCAGCGCAAGACGGAGGCGGGCGCGGAGAGCATCGACGAGGAGCCCGAAGCGTGAGCGGAGGCTCGGCGTCTGAAATTTGGAACTTGCGTTTGGGCGACCGGATTACTGTAGTCGGGACTGTGAAATAGCTGTGAACCGGGAAGGGCCTGCGCTTGTACGTATGCAGGCACTCTGGCAATTGTGGAGTGGGGCAAGGCAACAGTGACATGCACGAGTACGGTACTAGTGCGGTGTGTCGATGCAGGCAGAGGCGTCGAGGCATCAAGGCATGCTGGACCGTGCTCCGAACGATGTAAGCTGTGATTAGGCTGTCCCATTCCCAAGTAGTGCCGACGCAAGTCGTCTGTGTAACCAGCAACGACAGCGGGCACCGCGCATACACACACGCCAGGCAGTGCCTCGATCAGCACGCCAGCTGGCGGTCCGCGTTCGACGCTAGTTGGTCAAGCATACTCGCATTCGGGGGCGCTGTAGATACATAAGCAGCCGTCAACCAACAGTCAACTAACTTGGTGATAGCACTGTAATAGCTGGTGATAGCAGGGCGGCGTGCGCCTAACCATCTCGAGGCGAGCTGGCGCCTGCGCGCTTGTTCTGGTCATGCGGCCCTGTGTGATCTGGGTCACTTCACTGTCACTTCTGGTACATAACTTATGTACGCGGCCAGGTCTGGCGAGGTGGGATGGTGTAGTTGCTATGGGCACTATGGGCGCATGCGCGTCGCGACGGGGGCTCGCTCGCTCGCTGTGTCAGTCGAGCTGCGAGCGTGCTGGAGTCGGGAGCTGGCGGTGCGGCGCGGTTTCTGTCTGTAGTTTGTCGCTGTGCGTGTACGCGTGCGAGACTGTAGGTTTGGCGTGCGCTCGGGGTGGCGATGAGGTGGGAGTCGATGGTCGAGGCGCAGGGACAGTCGGGGAAGCCACGGCGCATCTAGAATGCGAGCGCGAGATACCGGGATAGTGTGATAGTGTGGAGGTTAGCGGCGCGCGTCGTCGTCGAGGGTGCCGCGTTGGGAGAGGTCTGGGGAGGAGCTGGGCGGAGCTGTTTTGAGGAGCTCGAGGCGGTTCTTATCAGTAGGTGCGCGGGGGTGCGGGAAGTTGCCGTACGCGGGCGGGTGGGTGTGGCTGGAGGGACATGTTTGCCTGACAGGACGCGTGCGGCCATGGGGCGGGGCCCTAGAATGGATTTGGGGGCTGGTTGTGCTGATGTGGAAAGGGAGGGCAGGGCACGGATGGAAGCGGAACTGGGTGGGTATCTGACGAACAGATAAAGATGGCGGGCGGCAAAGGGCGGGTCTGGACCGCGCTCTGTGTGGTGGATGGAGCGGGCGCACGGGCCAGCGGTGGCGGACGGCTGGGGCTGAGGCTGAGGGGACGGCGGAGTGACGGCGGATGGGAGGGGGACGGAAGCGAGGGAGCGTGAAACGGCGGGGGACGCTTACGTCTACGGAAGGGGATTGGCGCCCTCGTGGGAGGGTGCAGCACAATAACGCTGTTGTCGCAGACGAGAGGAGAGAACGGCGGACGACGGCACTGGACCGAACCTGTCTTTGTCTGAGGGGATCAACACCAACGACGAGCGAGAGCGGGCACGGACGAGGCCTCGAGGCAGGCTTGCGATTGAGACTCGTGGCTTTCACGCTCTCCGCCTCGCTTCACATCCAAACGGTCACAATCGCTTGCTCTCTTTCGCCTGAACCCTCGCTTGCCCCCTCTCTTCTTTTCTCTCCCTCCCTGCTCCTCGTCATCGTCCCCAGCCTCGAGGCCCACCACTCCGTCGTCCGTCCGTGTGCCGACCCGCAGCCGACCCCCGCTTGCTTGCGTCCCACATCAGACGAGGCCTCTTCAGACTCCCGAGGACGCCCCACCAACATACACCCTTAATTCATTTCCGTCCCTGCGCACTCGCATCTTTTCTTGATCTTCATACCCCCCCCATACCCCGTCGCCGTCCTCGCCAGAGACGCCGCTCCCGCGTTCACACACATGCCCTCGATCAAGACACACTCCTCACAGGAGCTGCCGCAGTCGCGCCCGGCTCGCCGTCCTGTCCTGCGTATGGACGCACAGGATGGCCCCTGGACCGTCAGCGTAGCAGAGAATCCCCACGACCCTGCCTCGTCCTACAGCCTTTATGTTAAGAGTCAGTCCTCTCCCTCTCCCCGTCTCCCCTTGCGCGCATGCCTGACCACTCCCTCCTCTACGCTCCAGCCCCCACCCACAACCTCACCCTCAGCCGCACCTCCCGCGAGATCATCGAGCTCAACACAAAGCTCCACGACGCCCACCCTGCCGTCGCCCTCCCCCACCTCCCCATCCAGCCCGCACCCGCCCTCCCCCCGAAGCGCAAGTCCGCCTTCCTCAACACCCTCTCTCGCCTCGCCTCGCCCTCCTCAAAGTCCGCCAACGGCCGCCACACCGCCCGCGCCGCCTCCGTCACAGGCAGCGTGGGCACCCCCTCGGGCCTCCCCACCCCCGTCGCCTCCCCCGGCGCGGAGCTCGTCGACCCCTTTGCCGCCGCCGCCAACGGCCTCTTCAACAGCCCCGCCTCCACCGCCACCAACCCGACCGTGACCGGCCTCGCCGCCTACCTCACCACCATCTCCAACGACCAGCTCCTCCGCCAGACCCGCGTCTGGAAGCGCTTCGTGCGCGTCCGCACCGACGACCTCGAGAGCGTGCGCGTCGAGCGCGCCATCAAGCGCGTCCGCTCCGACCTCGCCGCCCACATGATGTCCCCGAGCACCGTCGACGTCCACGTCATCTCCTCCGTCTCCGCGCGCGAGATCACGCTCAACGACGACGGCGCGGCGCAGGGTGCCACTAAGGCGAAGCGAAACAGCCGCCTGCACGAGGACATCGTGGAAGAAGACGCACGCGACGTCGTCTCCATCGCGGCGAGCACCAGCACGCAGTCGGCCGCGACCGCCGACGACCGCCCGGAGACGCCCCGGTCGCCCAAGGCCTCCGTCGCCTCCACGACGGCCCCCTCCGAGACCTCCGCAGGCGCGGCGTCCTCGGCCCCCACGAACGGCGCCGACGAGGAGGGCGGCAACACGCTGTCGACGCCCATCGCTGCCGCGGCCGCGGACGCGGACTCACCCGGCGCGCGCCTCCCGCGCTCGCAGTCCGCCGACGTCACCGCGTCCGCCCGCCTGTCACGTGCCCTTACGGCGTCGTCCTCCGCGCTCGGGAGCGCCACGGCCTCGGCCTCGGCGTCGCACACCGAGGACGACGCGTCGACGCACACGTCGAGCGACAAGGCCGCGCGCCCGCGCCCGCGCCCCAAGCGCTCCCAGTCCGCCGACCCGAACCGCACGCGCTCGCTCCTCAAGAAATTCAAGTCGCACCCGAACGCGCAAACCGCGTCCTCCTCTTCCTCCACCGCCGGCGCGGCGTCGCAGGCGCCGACGCCCGGCGGGACGCTCTCGCAGCGCAAGGTGCAGGTGGGCGACTTCGAGATGATGCGCGTGCTCGGGAAGGGCTGCGCGGGCAAGGTGCTGCTCGTGCGCTACAAGTCGTCCGCGGACCTGTACGCGCTCAAGGCGATCACGAAGCGCCACGTGCTCGCGCACCAGGAGCTGCAGCACACGCTCACCGAGCAGGCCGTGCTCAAGCGCATGGCCGCCGAGGGCACCGACCCGTTCGTCGTCAAGCTCTGGTGGAGCTTCCACGACAAGGAGAACCTCTTCTTGGTGATGGTGCGTTCCCCCCTCTCCCTCCTTTCCGCGTCCAGCCTCCTCACGCCCTCTCGGACCGCGGCCCGCAGGACTTCCACCCGGGCGGCGACCTCGCGACGCAGCTCGCGCGCTGGGGCCGCCTCGGGCGCGACCGCGCGCGCTTCTACGCGGCGGAGATCGTCGAGGGCGTCGAGGGCCTCCACGCCGCGGGCGTCATCTACCGCGACCTCAAGCCGGAGAACATCCTCATCGCCGCGGACGGGCACATCGTGCTCACAGACTTTGGGCTCTCGAAGGAGTTCCCGCGGCGCGCGGGCGCGCTCGCGCTCGCGGCGCCGTCGACGCCCGGCGGGCGCAGCAGCACCAACGGGAACGGGAACGGCGCCGCGAACGGGTTCGCGACGCCGCCTGGAACGCCGTATTGGATGGCCAATGGGGGTAATGGGGGCAGCGGGGGCAGCGGAGTCGGGAGCGAGAGCCCGCAGGATCTGGCGGGGTGGCCGGCGCGCGCGACGGACTCGACGAGCACGTTCTGCGGGACGGCGGAGTACCTCGCGCCGGAGGTCATCCAGGGGCTGCCGTACAGCTACGAGGTCGACTGGTGGAGCTTCGGCACGATGCTGTACGAGATGCTGACCGGGATCGTGCGTGCATTTTTTTTTTCTGTCTCCTTCGCGCGCGTTGGCTTATTCGTGCGTTCGTTGATTCGTTCGTTCTTGTTGGGCACGCGCCGTAGACGCCGTTTTGGGCGGACAATCACTCGGATATGTATGTGCGGGTGCTGCAGGATGAGCTGCAGTTCCCGGACGATCGGGCGATGGACCAGGATACGAAGAGCTTGATTCGCGGGGTGAGCGGCTCTTTCTTTCCGCGGGCGGGGTTTTGTCGTTGCTGACCGGTGGGTCGTGCGGGATGCGATGACAGCTGCTGCAACGCAATCCCGCGCTGAGGCTGAGCGAGCCGCGGATAAAGCGGCATCCGTATTTCTCGATGATGTGCGTGTCGGCGTCTGTCGTTTTTTTTTTATGTCGTCGGGTCGCTGTGTGCTGATAGATGTGGATGCTGCAGAGATTGGTCTCATGTGTATCACAAGCGCTATATACGTGAGTCCGCCCCCATTCATACACATACACACCCCTTCTCTGTATCTGCGGGCGGTGCTGACCCGCGTGCCAGCCCCATATATCCCACCGATCGACCCGTCGAACGCAAGCGATACCCAAAACTTCGACGACACCTTCCTCGATATGGAGCCCGTGATCAACGACGAGAACGACCTCGCGGACACGGACGCGGAGCGCGAGCAGACGGACACGGACCGCACTGACGGCGAGGACTCGCTCACGACGCCGTCGCAGTCGCGGAGCTCGTCCGTGCAGCCGGTCGAGGACGCGTCCGTGGACGTGTTCGACGGGTACTCCTTCAAGGGCCGGCACTCCGTCATCCTCGACGAGGAGGAAGACGAAGATGAAGATGAAGGCGGGGATGAGGAGGAGGAAGAGGAGGAGGTGGAGGTGGAGGGAGACGACGACAGCGGGATGACGCCGAGCATTCTGGCGGAGGTCAACGGGAGCGCGGAGCCCAGCGAGCTGGGCGACGACGCCGTCGCCGCCGCGAAAGAGGAGACGCCGGAGCCCAAGACGCCCGAGGCGCGCCCCACCGGGCTGCCCGCGATCCCAGCCCCGGAGAGCGTGCCCGCCCACCCCGGACGCGTGTCGTCCGAGACGACGCGGGGCCCCGTCCGGCCCGTCCCCCACACGCTCGACAACCCGCCGCGCACGCCCCAGTCGCCCACCAAGGCGCTCGCCCCGGAGCCCGCGCGCGCCGAGCCGCCGCGCAAGGAGCCCAGCAAGCCGAAAGACAAGAAGGGCGGCGCGCCGCCGAGCAAGCCCGCGCCCGCGCGCGCATCGGCGGCGCGCACGGGGCGGCGGCGCGAGAAGTCGGGGATCCCGGCGCTCGACCGCGACCTGTCCGACGCGGCGGAGGAGGACGAGGCGGGGACGGAGCGCGACGAGGACGAGGACGACTGGGACTTTATCGAGGCGGACGGCGGGGAGGACCGCAACGGGGCCAAGGCGACGAGTTTGTTCGCGCGCGGCGTCGTCGACCGGTACAAGCTCGCCGTGTTCCGCAAGGGCGCGACGCCGAACCGCGCCGTGTCGGGCGTGTCGGGTGTGTCGGGCGTGTCGTCGCAGGCGTCCGCGTCGGACGCGCAGGGGTCCGAGTACTCAAAGTCGCCGAGCCCGCAGGAGAAGCAGCGCCGCGGGCGCGCGCCGGGGCTCACGTTCCGCCGGACGCCGAAGCCGTTCTTGGGCGGTGTCAAGTCGCCGCCGGCGGGCACGAAGACGCTGAGCCACTCTACGTCGGCGACGCTGTCCGCGTCCGCGTCGACGGGGACAGGCGCAAGCCTGCACCCGTCGTCGCAGTCGCGCGGGACGCTCGCGGTGTCGCCGTCGCTCAAGTCGAAGGAGTCGGCGGTGTCGATCGGGAGCCCGCATTCGTCGTCGGATACTTCGATGAACGACGACGGGGTCGCGGTCGAGGGCGACGTGGCGGAGGCGATGAGGGTGCATTCGGCGGCGGGCGCCGACGAATCATCGGAGAAGCAGCAGCAGCAGCAGCAGCCGAAGAACAAAAAGCTGAAGAAGTACAAGGAGGGCGCGGAGAAGGTCCTCTCGCTGTTCGCGTCGCCCCGTTGACCGCCGTTTTTCCACCTTGGCTCTCCCACCTGGATAATTTCATGTTTCTCGTCCTCTGTTCGCGCGCGCCGCTGGCGCAGCATATACACCCACGCCGGTTCTCATCCATTATGCATTGTCTTCTCTTCGTCCTCCCTCACCCTCATTCGCACCCGCGCTTATATATATATCCCACATACTGATCCGCCGACCGATCCGCACTCTCGTTTGCTTTCGTTCTCGCACCTCGCCGATCCCGCCGCGCGATATCGAGTGGACTCTGCCGTCTGGTTACAAGTTACTCTTTTCCTTTTCCTTTTCTTTTTCTTTCTCGTTTCTCTCTCTCTTTTTCCTTCTTTTCTCTTGTCCTCTTTCTTTCGTTTCGTTCTTTATATACTTACGGTCTGCCCCACGTCATCGCTGTTTCACATAGTAATCACCGCAACGCTCCTTCCTTCGTTCCCAGTTGGTTTTTGTCCTCGAGAAGCCGCCGCCTAGAAGTCCTCAACTAATAAAATTATCTGTCGAACACGTCCCGCGCGCCGCTCCGAATTGCGTGTGAACGAGCGTTTCCCTTTCAATGAACGGTCTGCGGGCGAGGATGACATCAGCAGCATGGAGCGGGGCCCTCTTCCGCCGACGTTCACAAGTGTCTACCGCCTCTTCCTCAGGGCGTCCTCCGCCGCCGTCCTCCACCACAAGGTCGCCACCCGCCACCTGCGCCTGCTGTGGCGCCCCACCTTCCGCGAGGCCGCGCGCGTCATCCGCACCCTGCAGGACCCCGCGCTCGGCACCGACGAGCGCGCGCGCTGCGAGCGGTGGCTGGCGCGCTGGGACACCACCGGTGAGTCCTTACACTCGCTGTCGCCGCCGCCGCCGTATATGTGCGCGCGCGCATGTACTCTCGCGGCGCCGCTCATCGCTCGCGCACACTAGTGGACGACACCCTCGCGCTGCTGTACAGCTCCGCGCGCTCGCGCGGCCTCGCGCACAGGCTCACGCGCAACCTCTCCTTCACGGCGCACGACTTCCACGGGTGGCACGACCGGCGCCTCAACAAGCCCGCGCCCGCGTGGAACCCGCACGCGGACAAATTCGCCGCCCGCAAAGGCAAGTTCGCGGCGCCGGCCCAGACGACGGCCCAGACAGCCTTGGCGACTGCGCGCGCGGGCGCGCGGGACAGGAGGCGCGCTAGCGCGGCGGGCGGCGGGGTGGAGTGGAGCGCGCTTGCGGAGGTTGTGCGGATGGCGGAGGGCGCGGCTGGGATCTCGCTGGGGCGGCTGGAGTTTTTCCGCAGGAGGGCGTAGCGCGATGATGTTCGCGGCGTGCAGGTGGCAGGCCAGCTAGCTAGCTACTGTAGTGCACATCACGCCGTGCTCGATGCGCGAGGGTTTTTTGATCGTGTCGCGGGCGTATTTCATTGCTCGCCTGCCTGCAGTGGGTCCATGACGATCGCTGTTTTTCTGTGTCTACGCCGTAGTCCCCATTAGCAACGCCAGCGGTGCACGCCTAACCGTACGGGCTTTAGCATGTGTGTAGCCTGATGCAAAGTAGCCAAAAGAAAACCGAGCAGATGAAAGCAAACGCGGACGCAGCAGAGCATGCAAGAAAATAAAAGAAGGTAAGAATAAAAATCAGTCCAAATCCACGAGGCTCTCCCTGACCAGCCGCGCCCGCTCCTCGACCGACTCCAGTATCTTGTTCAGATCCGCCAGCTCCTCCCGCGGGTCGGCCTTCCGCGCCAGCCGCGCAGGCACGACGGGCAGATGCCGCCCCGCCGCCCAGTCGTCCCACAGCACCTTCACGACCTCCTGCACCCACCGCTCCCGCTCCTCCATGCGCTTCAGCTCCTTCCGCCGCCCCGCCTCCTCCCGGCGCCCAACGAGCCGGAACGTGAACAGGTTGCTCACCACGAGCACCGCGATGACGCAGTACAGCACCGCCGTCGTGCTCGGCGCCGACACGCCCGCGAAGCTCGCGCCGCTCCAGCTCTCCGAGATGAGGTCCCAAAGCGTGCGCACAGACATTTTCGCGACGCCGTACCCGCCTTCGAACGTGTCGTACGCCCACTGCAGCGCGCGCTGGTCGTGCGAGCGCGGCTTGCCCTCGTCGCTGCCGGCCTCGTGTGCAGGTGAAGCTGGTGTCGCGACTGCCTCGGGCTCCGCCGCCGCGACGGCGGCCGCGGGGTCTATGCCTTCAGGGATGAACTCGGATTGGTGCTCCCGTATGTACCGGCGCGCAGCCTTGTCCAGCTCGGCGTGGTACGTCTTCTGGCCCTCGATCGCCGACTTTTCGATGATGCCTGTTCACCGCGGTGTGACGACGCAGGGGGGGAAGCGAAGCGATCAATTCGTTGCCGCCGACGACAGAGATAAAACGCGCGCACCTTTGATGAAGCTCCTCCCGGTCCACTCAACCTGGGTCGTGACGATGACCTTGGTCGACACCGCGCTCGCCCACATGATGCACGTGCGCGTCTTGACCGCGAACACGCCCCCGCTGGGCACGTCCGGGGTGCGCGTTGTCGTGACCGTGATGACATGGTCGTCAAAGTCACAATACACCGTCTCGTCGCGCAGTTCGCACTTCGTCGAGCGCGGGCCGATGCTCCCGTTGAGGGGCTTGATATACGACATGTTGCGCGTGAGGCACTTGGGCTCCGCCGCTGACGGCGTCCAATCCGAGATCTGGATGTCTGTGGGGTTTGTGATTCAGTGGTGGAAATAAATCAACCATAGAGAGTCTCATACCCTCGAGCTTTTGATCGACTCTCATAAAGTCCTTGATGAACCCGCTGGCAAACAGGAGGTTGTATATCCTCTCTGGCGTGCCAGGGAGCACGGTGTCCATCGCGATCTCGCTATAATGTTGGCCACTCTTCGAGCACGCACACTGCGTCGACTTGTGCAGCATCACCGCCGGTCCGCCTGCCCCCTCTGGCGCGCCCCCCGGCGCGCCCTCTTCGATCGCGAGCGGGCCTTCGACCGACTCGTCTGTGGGGCGCGCGAGGCGCCATATGTTGTGGATCACGTCGTATACGGTGTCGCGCGCGAGGAAGGAGGCGAAGGTGTACTTGGTGCGGGGCGTCGTGATCAGGATCGCGTTTGGGATCACGTACGCCGTCATCCGCTTCTCTAGCGTCTGGATATCGTAGATGGGGATCACGAGCTACGCGAGGGGAGCGATTCAGTGAGGATGCAGGCAGGTGTGGAGCGGTGCTTACGTCCGTGACCCAGCCAAAGATGTTAGCATGAAAGCAAATATGGTTTTCAGATATATATATGCGGCCCTGAATCAGGATCTCGCGCTGCAGCGCGCACCCGTAGTCTGTCCAATCATGTAAGAGCTCAGCAGGCGAGCCCTTCGCGACAAACGCACCTTCAATGAGGTAGTCGCCCTCCGGCACGTTCGGGAACAGATCGTGGAAGTCCGCGTTGCGCTTGTTGCTCGCGACGGCGAACCCGGTCACGGGAATGTCGTCCGCCCGCAAGTCCGCGAGGAGCTGGTCATCCTCATCGTCTAGCTCGTCGTCGTCCTCATCTCCGGACACTCCTATCCCTCCATATGTAGACATGTCGCCGTCACTCAGGTCCATGCCTGGCTGTGATAGCGAGCCGTTCCGCGAGCGAGAGTAGGAGCGCACGGACGGCGTGCCATCGTCGAGGGACGACCGCGGGCTCATATGGTGGCCACTGAGGGCGGGCGAGCGCTTCTGCACGGCTGACGACAAAGAGCCTGAGCGACCGTTTTGGCGACGCGGAGGAGAGGCTGAGTTCTCGGAGCCCCTAGGAGGTTCGATCATGGGCATCATGCCAGGGTTGACCATGGCAAGGCCCGATGCAGCGAGGGCCGACGCGAGACCGCTCGGTTTGCGCTTGGGAGAGCGCGGGGCGGATAACGGCGGGACAGGGGCAGGTTGTGGAGCGCCTGAGTTGTTCGTTCCGGTGCGCAGCCAGGTTCGCTTTTTGCGCGCGCTGGCTGTCGATGTGATAGATACAGAGTCCGAGTCGCGGTTGGAGTTGGATTGTGCAGAAAGGAGTGCGGGGAAGGACTGGGTGGGGGTGACGGAGATGGGTGAGCTGGTCGTAGGGGTGATCACAAACTCGGGGGGGATCTGGGTGGGGGACTCGACGAGGGCACGCTGGTTGGCGTCGGTGACCGCACGGGCGTGCTGCGCGGCGGGGTCGTTGCGGTCCTGGGTGCGCGAGGAGGATGGAGAGCGCGAGCGCGGGATGGTGGGCACGCTCATGACGCGGTCACGCAGATTGCCCGTGGACGAGGACGGCGTGAGCGTGCGCTTTGCGGGCGGATTCCATGCATGCGTGTGCCCCGGCATAGGCGTTGGCATCCCATCATCGTAACGTGGGCTGTCCATGGACACGGAGCCTGTCGCCGTCCGTCCGTCGCTTGGATGCTCGCTTCCCCCATAGACACTGCCTTCGCGTGTGCTCGGAAATGAACTCAGGTGGCTCTGCGGGGACGGCGGCACGACGGTGACGCTCGGCTGCGACCGCAGGGAGCTGCTTGGAGAGCCCGAGGGGCGCGCGGGCAGTGGGGGTGCGTCGACGCTTAGGCTTTGGAAAGACGGCGGCGTTGATGGCGAGGACATCGCGCGCGCGCGCTCGGTGTGCTCTGGCGATCCGCCCCGCGACCGGTTGTTGTTCGCTCCAGCGTTCGGCTTGACGAGTTTCGTGAGGAAGTTGGGCGCCATCGCGCGAGGATAATAGCTCGGGATGTCGAGCAATGTGGAATTAGTGTGGTGTCGAGTCGGTCAGTCGGTGCTCAGGATTGCGGATGCTGGAGCGCAAGAGATATGGAATAAAATAAGGGTATAGATGGCCTATCACTGGCCAACGGATCCGTCGTGAGTGTGTGGTGGAGCCCCAGATATGCGAAGCAATGAGGCTGGAATTTGACCGTGGGCGTAGAACTCTTTCACTACTCCTTCTAAGTGCGACTTTCCACTTCGTCACCAAATTAGATCGGCGAAATTGCGGTTAGGTTGGCAGGGAATTTTCGTTTCATGAAGAACAAAAGGCAATGGTACTCTGACATTAGATGTTCTACAAGTAATGGCATTGCGCCATCCGTATGTGCGAGATATGCGTAACTGTGCAAAGTACTAGGGAATATATAGCAATGTGGGAGATGGACGAACGGGAAGAAGATAATATATTAGTGGATGATAGAGCAATATTCGATACAAGTACGTCGAGGCTAAAACAGTCTTGCGAACAGAACACTAAGGAGGCATCAGATAATGTCAGAGAATAAACACCGTTCTGCACCGTTCGCGCGTCAATCAGACAAGCTTGCAACCCATGATGCGAACTGAGAGGGAACGCCTTGTGGTGAGCCCGTGAGAGCAAAACACAATACATAGTAGCTTACCGTTTCCGTCGGGGGTGCCGATGCCATACAACATCTCAGTCGGATGGAACGCGAGAGAGTTTGAGCGAGGGATGAAGGGCGATGGCCCAGAGCGCGAAGGTAAAGATGAGAGGCCCGTCGTCAGGTTCACAGTCGAGTGAATGTCCGGGCGCGCGATGGACTGGACTGTCGTGCGCTGATATCTCCAATTGGTCTGCATCAGCGCGGAAGACCTGCACCATGCCCATGATGAGTTTCTGCATGACCAAAAAAAGAGGCAAGACACAGTGACTTGCCCTGCAAAGACGCCCGTCTGTTCGTGCGCATCAAATGCTGAAAGCCCGTTTGGGAACAGGTCCCATGAGTGAGCAGGTCTGTCGGAGCCGCGGATATCCCACAGCTTGATCTCGCCGTTCAGACTGGCACATGAAGAGGTTAGCTGACGATCTCGAGGTACGTTTGAGGTTCAAAAGAGAAGATAATGTTCACCTCGCTGAAATGAACTGCCCACCAAATGTCGGATGCCATCGAACGTTCTGTACCCAGCTATTGTGCGCGTTGTACGAGCGCACGACAGCTTCCTCCAGACGTCGATCGAATACCTTGACCACACCGTCTGCGTAGCTCGCGATGAACATGGAAGACGTCCTGCCGTCTGACACCATGGTAGTGACTGGGCTCTCCGACTCGGTCATCAAGTCCTACCGCACACGTGAGTGTTGAGAAAATATTTGTAAAATCGGCTGAGCATACCATGACCTGCGACTCCGTGTGCGCGTCCCATACCCTGATGATCCGCGAGTCTCCGCTGACGAGGAGGGAGCCACCAGACTGCTTCCAGTCCACGATGACGCCGCTCCCGTGCCGGACCGGGATCACCTCGTTCAGCCCCCGGAAGGCGCTGACCATCTGAACGCCCGTATTACTGGTCGCCGGATCGTAGTTGCGATACAAACGAATCATGCCGTCCGCTGGAAGGCATCTGCTGAGTGCATCCACAGACACAAGAATGGAATTGGAAACTTACCTGTGCCGACCAGGATGATGCCGCCTACCTCCTGGTTGATGATCTTGACAGTGGTGATGCCTGCTTGTTTCGGATTACCGTTGAAGAAGGTACTAAGGCATTGTCGATGCGACCAGTCCCAGACTCTGCATCAGACACGTGAGAAGGCTGAGACGTTGAGACAGGAAGACCCTAAATGCTCACTGTACGATGTCGGTCTCGTTTGCAATAACGAGATGAGGGTCGTATGCATGGAATGCAATAGAAAGTGGTGAACCCGACACATGAAGCGTCGTCACAGGTCGATCCCATCTACGTCCGTCTGAGTAGAGAAAAGCTAGATGTGAGATTGAATTCAGTTCTGCAATAAAAAAGGTTCTGACCAGCAATTTCAGCGTGCGATCGAGTCTCCGGAATGATCTGCTCATTACGTTGCTGGCGCCACGCTTGGTAGTTATACTCGAAGCTGCCAGGCTCATCAGCTTCCGCTTGCTGGAGATTAGAAGAGGCGATGAGCAACGGAGATCTCGAGACCGAGGAACAGAGTACTCACCCGCATTTGAGGCTCCTTGAAGTACTCGCTGCACCAGTCGAAGAACCGAGATTTCAGCGGCAGAGTATCACGAACGCCGGCACCCGTCCCCAAGCCCAGATGTACAGCGCTTACACTCGGTCCCACACTGTCCGACGGACTCGTCAAGACGCCACCAACCATATTCATCTGACCCATTCGGCGTCGTACCCTCAACCTCATCATGTCCTCCTCCATCAGCGCCTCCATGACGTCCGATGGACTGAACTCTGCCTGCTGCTGTGACGCGTCCTCTTTTGAATAACGAGAGGAAGATGATGGCGATACAGGTGCGCTCATCGAATAACCCTTCGTCGGCAGCCGTGTGTACGGTGAAGCGTACTCAGCTAAATTGAGGTTTGGAGAAGGGGGCCGAGAGATGTCCGGTTGCTCCAAGTGGGTTGGTGAGCGCAGTGGATGGGTAGAGTAGGATGTCCGATGCCCATCGTCGAGCGTTGGGAAAGCAATGCCTCCCGCGAAGTTCTTGAGAATGTTGGCAAAGGACGATGTGCGCCGCAGAGTGTTAGAGACGCCGGATGAGAGGGTATTCATAGTATCGCTGCGGTTGATGCTAGGACGCGCTGATGTTGGCGATGGCGGTCGCGAGCGGCCTGCTGATGACGTCAGAGAAGAGCGGCGCGAGCGATACCCACCTAGCGGTTTCGTGTCTAGTAGCAGAGGTGAACTGCTCAGAGACGTGCTATTAAGGCGAGTGAAGGGAGATTCCAGCAGAAGGGCTGTAATATAGTCAACTACGGTTTGAGCATGGGTCGCAACTTCAAGGTAAGGGTCGACGGAAAGCTCCAAGAGGACGGTGAAGATGGTGAAGAAAGAGGATAACAAGACTCGACTTTCTTGGCGCAGACCATCGTCGTCACCGAACGATTCCAGCCAGTCCGCTACCGCTTGACCAGTAACGTGTTCTTCATGGAATTGTGGGTCTCCACCCACAGTCCATAGCCTATCCTCCTCCCAGTAAATCCAAGCACAGACGACAAAGTATCCTCGCCATTCCTTGACGAGGCAGCTAATAAGAACCAAAAGTTCTTTGCGCGCCATGGGGCTAGCGTCTTCCCTAATTGCCAGTGCCGCGCCTGTCACAACGGCGACCTCCATTCGGAAGTGTATGCGCTCCTCCAGATGCAGCATCGTCCCAGATCCTCCCCCTCCTGTCTTGTTTGGGTCAACGGATCCAGACGCACCCAGGAACGTACCAAGGGCATATAACGCGGCAGTCCTGACCTCGGGCGAGTCATCTGACAACAAAGCAATGAATTTGTCCTGGGTGCCATTGTCGACCCCAAACTCCTTGAGTTCGTCATTACCGTCCCACATCTGTGCAATGCACAGCGCAGACCACTGCCGAAGGAGGAAGTCACCCTCGTCTAGGCGCTCGAAGCAAGAATGAAAGACGCTCTCTCGCCAGCATGCGTTCTGACCAGGAGGAAAATCGCGAGCTATAGCAGAGAGTACGAATGCACACATGGCCTTGTGCTCCGACACGTTTGGTATGGCGACGTTCAAAGGGTCCTCCGGAGTCGCAAGCACGCTTGCAAAATACTTATATCCTTGATTTGTATGCAAATCTTTTTGGCATGAAGGATCTACGGCAAGAATGCGCGCCCAGATGAAGATCAAAACGGGTCGCAAATCCTGACCAGCTGCCTGCAGCAATTTAGATATGTATGGAAAGATTCCGATGGCTAGTGCGAGATCGACAGCCCAAGGGCCCAGATCGACGAACTGTGAGAGGAGAATGAGAGCCCGCATTCGATGCGGCTGGGACAGAAGAACCTGCAGAACGATCGGTAGCTGTTCTGGTGGCTTGCGTGGGACAAGATGGTGATCGTTCTTGGCGGAATTACTGTGAGGTTGTGACGACTGGGGCCCACCGTTTGCAAGCCCACAGTCCGCATTAGCGTCGCCGTTGCTCTGCAAAGGTAAAGAAAGTGGACCACGCTTGGTGAGCGCCGAACCACCCCGAGATATCCATACCTCGAATGCGGTCAATTGGTCGGAGAAGAACCGACTAGGAATGTAGACGTATGGCTTCTCGCCGAGAGCGTTGGACTTGTCCAGGCGAAGTGCCGGTGCTTGTGCCTGCGCCTGTCGCCGCGCGCGCATGGACGCGGTACCGCCATTCTTGGCAACCAAGTCGGTATATTTCAAAAGCTCTGGAAGCTGCCGCAAGCACGCGTCGACCGCGAGATCCCAGGATGCCCATAGCGGATGAGTGTTGGTTGGAGGGAGAGATGGAGATGTGTGGGGCGTGCAATGGTAGTTCTTCATGATCCGCTCTGCCAACAAAAAGTTACGGAACAAGGAGGCGATGAGGAGGTCAGACCGGTACAATCGAGTGAATACCTCGCGCGAAAACGACGTCCATGCGATAGTGTCAGTGATCGCAGTGAAAATCCAATTTAACTCTCCTAGAGGCGTCCGCCGGTCTTTGAGATCGCCAGGAACCTGCATGACCATGTCTGCCGATACCTTATTCGGCAACTGGTTGTGCATGACAAAATAGCGAAGGGCGATATCAATAGGGGAGGTGAGACAAGAAGTGAAGACATCAGCAGGGAGTTCAGGACATGATGGAAGTTGTTCGTTCGCAGCGCAGGCTGCCAGCTGTATTGACTCGGAATACGGCGGACCGTCCATCAGACCTGCGTCCCTGTTCTCCGCATCGCGTCGTTTCGCAAAATTGTTGAAATTGAGTAACAGATTCCCAGCTGCTGAACAGTCCCAGATATAGACGCATGGTGTTCCGAGCCAAGCCTGTACCTCCGCTAAAGAAACCGGAATATATTGAGTATAATTCCTGTTAAAGCACCATAGTTCACCGCTAGGCGTTGGTTTCGGTACGCCATGTCCATTGTAGTAAAACAGGACAGCGTCATCTTTGGCTTGTTTACGCAAGGTCGTGCAGAAGCGACGTAGATCCTCGTAAGACGGGTCTAGAATGGGCTTGTACGGGATTTTAGGGCTGAGCCCCTCGAATTGATGCTGAAGATTAGTCCCAATAACCTCCAGTGCTTTATGAGACGGCATAGTGTGAGGGTCGACCCAGCATTCAAGCACCGCACAAGGATTTGTCTTGATGATGTCTGGGGGGTCGACATCGATGTTGAGGCACAAAACAAGGGCAGCATGAGACGTTTTCAGCTTTCCAGGTGAGGATCTCCATTGGCTTGTGACAGGAGCCCAAGGTGGAGGGGGTGTAGGATTGCCACAGGTCAGATGGCGTTTCGCAGACCAGTGAGGAATTATGGGAGTGGGATCGGAGAGGGTTGCAATTGAACCGTTTCCTTGTCCGTCCATCTCCGAGCTCCCGTTTAACCTGTTGCCACGAGTCGACGTCGTATCGGAGCCGTTCACAGACTGCTGAAAGTCCCGCTCCGTGTCTGAGTCTTCGTCTGAGTGCCGTCTGCCATTCTGATATCCGGAGGCCCAATCATTGACGCCTGCTTGATTCAGTGTGAGTTCTAGCTGCGGTCCACTGATAAAAACGCACCAGGGTGTTCTCTGTAGAAATCCTGTCGTGATTGCATATATATTTGGTCCCCACCTCGAGCTGTGGGATTGTGTGAATCTTACGTCGAGCTGGATTCACCGGTTGGCTTACTTGGATTGCGAGTAGACATGGAATTAGGTGCTGGACCGTCCCTTCAGACCAGCTCGAATCAAGTCGAGTGTCAAGAGTCGAGTAAGCGCCAGCTTTTCTTGCTTTGGGATATCGCGAACGTTATGTGCAAGGGTAGAGGGGTCGTTGTAATAAACTGGAGCCCACAGACGCGTGACTGCAGCAAGTCACGCTCTCGTTCATACCAAAGCTGGCCCGCGCGGCTCCTGCCAGGACACTACAACTCAGCTGCTCGTCCCTTCACCCGTTCTTTCGTCTTCTCGCTACACGCTCGTTTTTACAACTTCTGGGCGCCAGTGCGCGCGAATCAACGCGATATGGCCTCCATAGATCCTCCTGTCGGCGCGACTGTCGAGATACCTGTTGGACGCGGCCTGGTGAGGTTCTGTGGACAGACACAGTTCGCTACAGGAAAGTGGGTCGGCGTCGAACTTGCAGAACTCAAAGGCAAGAATGACGGAAGTGTACAAGGGCAGTCCTATTTCACTTGTAAAATGGGTCACGGCGTCTTTGTTCGTCCCAGCCAGATCAAGGCTATCATCACAGAACCACCTGCGCCTGCGCCTATCAATAATGTATGTTATATTCGATTGACCTCCCCTGCTTGATCCATAACTTGAAATTTTAGCGCACCCCTCCAATGGTGAATCGACAACCCGTGGGCCACCAGAGAACAGCCAGCAACAGCAACGGAGTAGCTCGCCGCCAGTCTCTACGCTCCATGCCCCCTTCTTCGCCTCGTGCGTCCAGCCCAGGGAAAGCAGGGGCATCTCCTCTACCGAATCGTACTTCTAGACTCGCTCCGGTCCCATTATCACCCACAAAGCGCGTCCCTCCAGCTGTCGCGTCGGTCAGGAAAACAGTGACAGCTGCACGACGGTCGTCAATGCATGAGTCCAGTCTTCGAAACAGCTCCGTGGATATTTCTCGGAAGGATGAGCCGTCTGCGTCCGGGAACAACTCGGCTGCTCGCACTATAACTCTAAAGCCGATTCCCTCCCCACCACTCCCGATGCAGCCCTCCACGCAACAGCCGTCTCCAATACTATCAACGACTCCCGAATTCCTCACCACATCACCTCCCTCTCCCACAATCCCAAAACCGCCAATCCCTCCCCCTCCCGAACCTGTGAGTACAAATTCAAGTTGCGCGTCTTCATCTAACAATTGGACAGGATGACCAAGAGCTCCAAGAACTGCGCGCTAAAATTCGTGTACTAGAAGCTAAACGAGCGGATGATGCACGACATATCAGAGAGCTCGAGACCAAGCTCAATGAAGCAGAATCATTTGTCGCATTGAGACCGAAATTGCAGGCGAAGCTTAATTCTCAACAGACCGACCTCATTGCTGCCCGCCGGGAACTCGCTGATGCGCAGCAGCTGTCAGAGCTGACGGAAACTCGACTGCTTGACTCTCAGGAGCAGCTTGAAATGGCCATGTTGGACAAGGAAGTGTCTGAAGAAAGGGCGGAGGCCGCCGAAGCCGAGGTGGAAGAGCTGAAGGAGAAATTGGCTGAGGTGGAGGTTGAGCTTGGAGTGCTCAAGGGGGAAGGCGGCGGAGGTGGGCTTCAGACTCTCCGTTTTATCACCACATTCATTACATCTCCATTTGTTTCGAAGGAGGGAGCGAGGCCGGCGGGGAGGTCAATATCACGAGTTCTTTGCAATTCATTCAGTTGGAGAAGCAAAATACTCGCTTGAAGGAAGCTCTCGTGCGGTTCGTTCTTTGGTGTATTATCGGTCTCGCTTCTCAGGCTGACCCTTCGCAGTCTCCGTGATATCACCCAGGAGACTGAGCAAGAACAGCGCCGCAGGATTCAAGAGATGGAGAAAGACGTAATGAATGTTGAGGAACTGCATTGTCTGTCACTCATTCTATTCTTCGATTCGGCCGCGCCTAATCAAATGTCATAGCCCAATTGGACTCCAGCCTGATCAAGCTCGCCAATGCTGAAACCCAGATTGAGGATCTGAAGCTGCAGCTCGACGACGCTTTGGGAGCGGAAGAGATGCTAGTACAATTGACTGAACGTAACCTCATGCTAGGCGAGGTGGGTCACTCTGTGCATTTACAAAGTTCTCAATGTTGACTCATGAATACTGTAGAAAATCGAAGAGATGCGAATCACCATCGAGGACCTGGAGGCACTCAAAGAGCTCAGCGACGAACTCGAAGAGAACCATGTAGAGACTGAAAAGGCTATGCAAGAGGAAATCAGTCAGTCTTATATTGTCTGTCACTCATGATATAGTGAGCTGATCAAGCCTTCATAACAGATGAGAGGGATATTCAAATACGGGAGCAGCGCAGCAAGATCGAGTCACTAGAAGAAATCTGTCAAGACTTAGAAAACACGATTTCTCAGTTCAGGGAGCTCGTCATGCAGCTTCAAAGGTGAATGCATCTTCACTGATAACCAAGCCATGGTTGCCAATGATTTTTGCTGTCAGCGAACTGGACTCCCTACGTACTCAGACGCAGACTGTCCAGAGCGAGTATGCTGCTGCGACGTCACAGACAGCTGCCATGATGTCGTTGAACCTGAAATTGCAATCTACCGCGTCTAAGAATCAAGCCAAGAACATCGATCTCGAGATCAAGCGGATTGAGGCCAGAGAAGCGCGCGAGCTGTTATCAATTGTACAGGTGAGCATCATGTCGTCATTTGAATTCTTGCCACTGACCAAATTCATGCCATCAGCCATACTTGCCTCAAATCTACGTGGAATCGGATAGCGATGCAACCAGCTGCTACTTGTTATTCCAGCGCATGGCTCTCAAGACCGACTTAATCAATCTTGTCACGGCTCAGATGCATGGATTGCCAGACTCCCTCAACGGCTCAGTAACGGATACCCTTGTTGGTGTTTGTGAGGTGAGGGTTTACATCTTTCATCATGGCTAACAGCTCTGAACATGTCTCTTCTTCAGCTAAGAGGAGCTGTCGCCGTTTTGTCCACAATTTGCAAGCGCTTCGCTGCTATACTTCGTCACTGTGACGTTGAATCCTTCCTCAATGTCGGACGCCTTTATTCAGAGATTGCGCCTTTGGAGAAAAGAATCGACATGCACATCGACCTCCTGCGTAGAGAAGAATTTCGCGAAGTTGAATGTGTTAGTGACATCAACAAGTAATACTGCCCGTTTGACCACATGTTATATGTCGCTGACCTGGTCATTCTCCTCAGGATCCAAGTTCAATTTGATCATCTTGCCGAAACATATTTCGAGCATTTCGAATATGATATTGGAGAACGCGAGCTTGGTTATGCGCTCTCACTGGATCATGACCTCGATATGTATGCGGCATCCATTGGTCTCACTAAAACCGCAGTTGAGACTGTTTTGAAAGATGAAGGTACGTAGCATCTGATTCATTCTCTTTGAATACTTCCAATTTTGACTTGAATAGATGTTGTACTTGAACTCGGAGATGCCAATGCCCAAGAAGCTTTCTTTGAGCCAATACAGAAGTCATTGGACCAATACAAGAGTGCTAAGGCTATATCCAGGTATGGCGAAATTCCTTTTTGTTCTTGTCCGGCCCTGACGATCTTCTGGCATATAGAAAACTGACGAAAAGACTCGAGGAGCTCACCGATGAATCCTCAGCTCTCAAGGCGACAATTGCACCTCAGCTCAAAGCGCTCAGCAACATTGTCTCTGATCTGGTTAACTTCGGTATTCAGGTGCGCCTTTTCTTCTCTCCTAACTTAGCGCTCTAAGATGTTGGACCCTGTAGCTTGCTCAACAAACCATGCCATACATCTACGATGCTCGTGCTTCGAAACATTCCTTCCAGCTCTCTAAGGTTCTGTCGTTCGTCGGCGACGTTGCATCCTCTACCGTGTGGAAGAACAAGAAAGATATCTCGTCCTGCTGGGATGCTTTGTGCGATGCCATGTCCCAAGTGATTACACAGGCGAACGCGCTCTTGCCGATCACGATGGAGGCCCAAAATATCATCAAGAGTACGTTACACTGCCTGACTTCCGTCGTTTCTTCCTTCTTAACTCCTTCCAGTCAATGGTGCCGCACCATGGGTTATTCGAGTTGAGGAAATCAAAGCGAACATGGCCATCAATGTCGAAGCGGAACGTAAAGTTGCTCAACTTCACGAAGAGATTCAAGGCCTCGTCCGTAACCTCAAAGCCAAGGAGCAGCAATCGCAAGAATCAACTGTCAAGATCGAACTCATGGAACGTCGGATGGAAACGGTCAAGAAACAGGCAGATACTATAGCCGATCTAGAGGACGAGCTGGCGAAGGCTCGAAAGCAGGAGAAGTCCTATCAGGATGCTACCGACCAGCTTCAGGCGGATTTGGACGCCTTGGAGCAAGAAAATATCAAGCTCAAAGCTGCCGGTGTCTATGCCGAGCGACAAGGTGTGTATATAAGCTCATAAGCTCCACGTGCGTGTGATCTGATCATGGATCTTGCCTTAGCCTCCGGAAATCCTGCAGTCGAAACGGAGAATATTGCCATTGAAGGCAATCTCGAGACATCTCATCTCCTTGAACAGGTGAGTTTGACACTAATCCTGTGCATGGGGAATTGATTCACAGCAACAATTTAGCTCGATGCCTTCCGTGGAGCCGTTCGTTTCTTACGAATGGAGAATTCATATCTGAAGGGTCAAGACCTGCTGAAAGAGATCAGTGACCTGCCTCCGCTGCCGGAACCCGTTAGCCGCCGACCAACGCCACCTCTCGATGCATCCGGACTGTCAGACACAGACGATTCAGACTCAGAGGTACTGTCTCGTCCGGCACCGACCTTGCGCTCACTGGCCACAGAGCGTAAGGTTCTGTACCGTGAAGTCATCAAGTTCTCCTCCAGTCCGCGGGTAGTCGATCTGTCAGTGAATGCCCCATCTCGTGCGGATGGGACTAGAAATGGCAAGTCCTGGATGCCGAAGAAGAAGACACCAGCATACCAAGTATGGGAACGAAAGGTGGAGGCTGAGCGGCTGAGCCGACGGGTGCAAGGGTTGTTAGAACGGACAAGTTCTCTTTCATCATGACCACATGTGGTAGACTGTCGTTTTTCCTCCTATTGTATACGCTATGTTAGGTATGTATAATGTCGAATATACCCTATGGATGCTTGCTATGGATGATCGATGACGATTCATTATCAATTTTGTCTGACCCTTGCATCATAGGAGATATTGTGCTGTGAACGAGCTCGAACCGATTCAGTATGATATCCGTGGATACTGAGCGAAGCGCCGAAGGCTGATGACCGACGGAGATTCAATCGGAGACTAAACCTTAGTAAACTTTGGGGGTGGCGAGACGACTCCCCCCTTCACGCCACCGTTTCTGCCACTCTCTGCCACTGCTCTGCCACCGTTCGCCACCCGTTCGCCACAGCTACCCAGCTTTACCCAGCCTTTCACATCTGAGATTCAGAAATTATCCAAGATATTCCCTTGATAGCAGCCAGCAGATCTAGAGTTTCCTTGATATTAACATGGTTCGCGCGCACGCAAAACAGACGGTGAGCCCGTCAGGTGCCCGAATCAAGCCTTCAGCCACCTTACATTATCTCTTCACGATCTCCGCTAGCCTGAGGAGAAGAAAGAAACCCAGAAGAAGAAGACACCGACTAAAAAGAAGGTCGAAACTGGCATATGGCCCTGCAAAATCAATGGCTGCAATAAGGAGTTTGCTCGTGAAGCTGATCTAAAGAGACATCAGCGAACGACGAAAGTCCATTCATTACCCGGGTTGTAAGTCATGATGTTATGTCTATATACAGACAATTCTTACCTCGACCTCTAGTGCTTGTCCTCAGTGCGAAGCTACGTTCACTCGGGTACTGATACTCTATCAAATCACATGTATGGCCTACTTATCTTCTTATAGACAGATGCTCTACGACGTCACCAAAAATCACGGTAAGTAATCCAGTGTTTTTGCTCGCCATGCCTCAATACTGTCCGTAGCCACAATGGCGTGGTTATTGAGCCAGACCAAGATAAGGGCAAGGTACCAACACGCGACGATGAAGCTGCCTCCCCCGGCTCGAAGTCGCACAGTCGCAGCGCAAGTCCAGGTTCAAAGGGCAAAGCACAAGCATCCGGCTCAACGTCGACATCGCCTGGGGCAGGGCCTTCGGCTGCTGGACCCGCGGGATACTATCGACAGCAAGGCATGAATGCAGGTAATCGCATCGTTTATTGGAGCGCGCAGATTATTTATTAAGTCGCCAGAGTTTGTAGTGTTCGTCCCGACTCGCAACCCTGGAGAGCCGATGATGAATACCAGCTATTCAACGATCGGCCTTCCTACATCTGCCACAAGACTAGCGCATCCTCAAGCGAATTGGGTTCCACCCCCACCGTGGGATGCAGGCCACCCCATGGGTCCTTACCATCATTTACCAGGTGCACCTCCAGGGTATTACGCACCGGCATACTACCGTCATGCTCCTGGCATGATGCCACCACCTCCTCACCATCCACAGAACTCTGAAATGAATAGCCAGCCCCAAACGCCCAATGGACAAGAATCTTCGCATGACGAGCAGCGCGACAATTCCAATGAGCAAGTTGTTGATCCTGAGTTATCCGAAGGCGGACAGGCAGCCGGCCGCCCTTCTCAGAAGAAAACTGCGCAAGCTGCTCCCGTCATTGACCCATCCCTCGACGCCGGAGGGGCGAGATCTACACATGATGCGCCTCCGACCGGGAGTCCACCTGTTTCGCTGGCGATTACACAGGCAGCTATGCAAGCTGTATTGGACGCTGCGAGGCGGCAAGCTGAAATTTTAGATGCGGAGAAGGTTCAAGCAGCAGCTCGGAACAACGCAGAGGCCGCCACTTCGCCTACGGCGGACTCAGACCAAGGGATGGAGGACAACATGGAAGTTGACGACCATGCTGATGGTGGTGCTGGACCCGCTGGAGAGGAAACGACATCCAACTCGGCGCCGTTGCCCAAAATGGTCGAGGGACAAACAGAGGAGACTGAGCTTATATTGAAACCTGGTATGTATCGATTCACTCTTCGTACAGTCATTGTCAATACTGATTGTATCTGTAGAAGACCTACTCACTCAGGTTTGTTTTAATCATTCTCTTACATTGCACAGACCTGCTGCTAAACATCTCCTTACTCAATCAGGAGTCTCTTGCATCTCCGCCCCCAGCCTAGATGGCTTCTCTACTTTCCGATGTCCTTTCCATATCTCTTTTTCCTTTGTCGCATTATTGTAATATTGTCGGGATTTTTGTCATTTGTCATTTAATTATGGAGTTATGTGTATTTTTCTCATCGCCATGTTCTGTGAAGCTTGCCATAGTAGATGGACGATGGTATCACTTAGATGTATTACAAGCTGTGGAGAGCTTAATGCAGGTTGACACGCTACTGATACATGTCTAGAGGCTTTGCTGTTGAGAGCAGAGAAATAAACGAAGATCGGAAGAGATAGCGGAATCATCACAAGATATTTTCTTTGGGCCACTTGTACTGTGGACCAACCTACGGTATGCAGATAATTTGAGCCCCAAGAAACGCGCCGTTCCAGGAATAGACGCACCTGTTGAACGCACATCGCGCCCAATTTATGACCAGCAATAATACACTCGTCAATGCTCTTACCAGCGACAAAAGCGCCGAGGAAACCACCGGCAAACGCATCACCGGCGGCGTTAGTGTCGACAATCTGGGAGTCTGCAAGGGGCGTCACGGGGAAGATCTTTGGTTCATCGGGTGTGGACGAGGAGACGAAGATGGTGGAAGAAGGGCCTTGGGTGATGACGACGGTACGGGCGCGGGAGGGGTTGGATTTGGGCAGCGTCGCGAGCGACTTGGCGATCGCGGGGATGTTCTCCTTGTCGGGGAGTCCAGTGGCGCTTGCCCATGCAGCAGCTTCGCTCTCGTTTCCAATGATGATGTCGCAGTAGGGGAAGATTTGCTCGAGCTGGACTTTGAAGAATTGGGGGATGAAGGGAGCAGATAGGTTGAGAGCGAAAACCTGCGAATGACCGATAGTGATTGTGAGATCATGCTTCTATAGGGAGCTGAGTGTGTACCTTCCCAGCATCGGATGCTTTCTTGGCGACTTCGACGGCGGACTCGATGCCGTGAGTGAGGAAGTAACCCTCAACGTAGAATACTTTGGCGCCATCGATCAGGCGAGCGACTTCAGGAGAAGAGAGATGTGCCTTCTCGAATTTCTCAGCCGCGCGCAAGGTGGTGACGAGCGATCTGCGACTGCCTGAGCATACGACCATCTTTGGAGGGGTGACAAGCATTACCTGTGGTGACCAGTAATGACCACGGCACATGCGCCTGTCTTCTCGCCCTTCTTGACGAGGTAGGCTTCTTGCAGCCCCTCGCGCTTGTTCGCGACTTTCAGCTGCTCTGCGAGCTCGTCGTCGCCGACACATCCGGTGTATACGACAGAGTTGGGGGGTAGCACATACTAATAGCAGTCTAGTGAGTGAGCCAAAAAAATCGAAGTGCAGGCAAATAATCGTACAGCAGCTCCTCTGGCAGCATTCTGTGCAGCGCCTCCCGCAAGATATGCGATATTGGGCACTCGAACAACATCGTCATACCTTCCAGGTAAGGTCAGGCGGGCAGCAGCTCTTAGTGCTCAGCAACAAAACTCACAAAGGCAGATGCTTGTCCTCGGCCAAGATGGCATCATTTGCCTTGAGATCATACTTTTTGAGCAGTTCCTCTCCATTTGACACTTGCATATCAAGCAGGGGATTTCCCATGCAGAAGAGGGGGTAAGTCTGCGAAGCCATTTTTGTGAGAATAAGGCGGTTGGTTTGTCTGTAAAGCAAGAAGAGTTGGAAAGGGACCCTGATCCCAATCGGAGCCCGTGGGAAACCGACAATCGAACGTCAACTGTTGAATATTGAATGTTGCTTGAGATGACTAGAAGGTCCCTAGCAGTCCGCGTTTCTTAGGACAATTCAGGCGCCTATTTCTGTTGACCTCTACGACGAAAGATCAAGCTATAAAGTCTGTTTTCCTCGTGGGACTGGCAGTCGGGACGTATCCTCTAGCTAGCCCCACCCGTTGTGTTCGTCATTGCCCATATATGTGGAGTTTGGCACTCATGACATGATGGATGATGGCATGATGCCTCGGACTCTAGGCCCTTACAGGACTCTTACGCCTTTGGGGCTTGGAGTTCTAGTCAATGAGCATCAGTCTTATCGCACTCATCAACATCCTCCATGTCTTCGTCTTCACATGAAGTATATCGTGTCGCGCTCCGTGGCGATGCGATCCTCACAAGCCCTCGGTGGAATAAAGGCACTGCGTTTACCGAGCGAGAGCGCAAGGCCTTCGGCCTTACAGGCCGTCTTCCCTATCGAATCAATACACTCGACGAGCAATGTGCTCGCGCGTACGACCAACTACAGGCACGCACAGAGCCTCTTCGGAAGAACTCGTTTCTGCAAAGCTTGAAGGACCAGAACTGGGTGCTATACTACCAACTCATACAGCGTCATCTTCGGGAGCTCATTCCAATCATATACACGCCAACAGAGGTGAGTGTGTCCTTTTATACATTGGTATCCGCTTTACCTGACGGGTTTGAATATCTAGGCCGATGCCATTGCCCAATATTCACATCTGTTCAGGAGGAGCGAGGGTCTATACTTGACCTTCCCTGACCAAGATTCGATGGAAGAAAGCTTCTTACAGCAGACGCGCGGCCGCAAGCTTGACTTGATTGTTTGCTCTGATGCGGAGGCGATTCTAGGAATTGGCGATCAGGGAGTTGGGGTGCAAATTAATCCATTTATCTTCGGGCATGGCTGTTGACATTTTTTTGAAGGGCATCGGAGTACGTTGCATCGTCTCCACACATCATTGAATCATGATTCAAATGTGTGGTTCTGCCAGATCTCTGTCGCGAAGTCTGTAATTTATACGTACGTTCCTCCGATTCTCACACCGAGGGAAATATATTGATGGCTATCCGTACAGCTTGGTAGGAGGTATTGACCCACACAAGTCGCTGAGCGTCACACTCGACGTTGGAACGAACAATGAATCGCTCTTGAATGACGAGCTCTATGTGGTATGTCCTACAAAGCTACCTAGTGCCGCGTATGAAACGAACTTGACCGCACAGGGATGGCCACACGAACGCGTGCGAGGCGAAGAATACGATAAATTCATAGACAAGTTCGAATTCTCTTCGCTGCTCGGATGCAACATGCTCACCTGATGTCGCAGATTTGTTCAGTTGGTCCGGAAGTATTATCCCCACAGTCTGCTGCACTTCGAAGACTTTGGCGTCACAAACGCACAACGGCTATTGGATTTTTATAGAGACAAGCACGCTGTTTTCAACGATGATGTTCAGGGGACGGGCGCAGTGACCCTCGCAGCGGTGATGTCTGCAATCGGTGTGACGAAGAGTACCCTTGCGAATCAGCGCTTCATTATATATGGCGCTGGATCAGCGGGCCTGGGCATCGCACATCAACTTCGAGATGCCCTTGTCCAACTCGATTCAGTCCCCTACGAGCAGGCCAACAAGGCCTTCTATCTTGTCGATAAGTACGGCCTCGTGAAGGAATCTCTCGGCGCGGACAAGATACGTCCTTCTCTGCGCGATTTCGTAAGGCCGGATGTGGAGTGGGATGACGTGCCGACAAACGACAAGGGGGAGGTCAGCCTGTTCGAGGTCGTGAGGAAGGTGAAGCCGACTGTGCTCATCGGGTGCTCGACTCACGCCGGTGGATTCACGGAAGAAATCGTGAAGGAGATGGCGAAAGGCTGTGAAAGGCCTATCATCATGCCGTTGTCGAATCCCAGCAGGCTTGTCGAAGTAGATCCGGCGAAGGCCAACGATTGGACAAAGGGAAGAGCTTTACTCGCTACGGGGAGCCCTTTTCCACCTGCTAAGATGCCCAATGGCAAAGATTACATGTAGGTCTAACCGTCGCTATCGTGAAATGGAGGCTCATTCATATCTGTCTGACCAGCATTGCCGAATGCAACAGTAGGCACACCTGATACCTATAAAGCCATATTTCACCCTCATTATGCCCCTTTAGATGCACTCATTTATCCAGGTCTCGGCGCAGGCGCTGTACTTTCACAGTCGCGCAGCTTGACGGATAGCATGATCCTCGCTGGAACGCAGCGTCTAGCAGCGCTATCCCCAGCACTCAAAGATCCGGACAACGCTTTACTTCCCGACTTTTCAGATGCACCTGCAGTCAATTTCGAAGTTACCGTTGCTGTCGCTGAACAAGCGATCGAGGAGGGAAGTGCAGGGGTATCATGGGGAAAGGAGGAAGTAAGAGAGAGAGCAAGACAGATGCTATGGGCGCCGGTCTATGGCGACTACGAATTTGACGTGAACGGCGAGGAGTGAAAGGTATCCCAGTGTGTTTCATATCCAGTGACCAGTCGAAAACTGTGCAGGTAGGGTACACAATTAGAATACCGTATACTCTGTCTGGCGGCAGCGACTACCACGCCGGAATTTGCCGAGTGCTTCGATTTGCTCGACTTGCTCGACCATTCTCAAGGTTGTACAAACTAAACTGCTCAACCTCCGTCCGATATGTCTGAAGTCGCACCCGAAGCTGCACCATCAGCTGGTATTCCCATTCCCGTCGATGCCGCTGCGCCACCACCCCAGGAAGAACTAGATAATGCTACTGAAACCTTGTACATTCAGAATTTGAACGAGAAGATCAAGATCAGCGGTATGTCCTTGTCCACTCCCCACAACGTCCCTTGTCTCCCGAATTTAAGGCTTTTTCATGGTGTATAGTCCTCAAAGCGTCTTTGCGTGGTCTGTTCAAGTCGTATGGAGAAGTTCTAGACGTGGTCGCGCATGATAATCTGCGCATGCGAGGACAGGCTTTCGTCTCCTTTACGTCGCCTGAAATCGCAAAGAAGGCGCTGAAAGAAGTCAGGGGTTTCCCGTTATATTCAAAGCCTATGGTGCGTCTCCGGTTTCCACATCTGCGCATTCGGCAGGGGAGTATGCGTACCTTATCGTCACTGGCTCATGTCCTCATCAGCAAATCTCGTTTGCGAAGACACGATCGGACGCCGTAGTGCGCCGACTCGATGCTGCTAACTACGAGCACCACAAGAAGGTCAGAGACGAACATAAGAGTGCGTATAATAGTCTTGCTCTATACGAGACATCTCCGTGCTAACTCGAGCAGAGGAGACGCGGTACAACAACCCATTGAAGCGAAAGTTCCGCGAGAAGCGCATGGCCTCCGATAGTACGTCCACAGCGTTCCATAATCTTGATTTCGATGCCTTACTCACAGCCTCAAAACAGTGGACGGGTCGGGCGCTGCGCCTGCGCCAAAGCGGCCAAACGTCCAGATGCCCGACGAATACCTCCCTCCCAACAAAATTCTCTTCTTGCAAAACCTCCCCGAGAGCGTCAGCAAAGATCAGCTCATGGCCCTTTTCTCTCAGTCTGTATCCTTCTTCATCAGGTTTGATGTGGCACACTGCTGACGCGGCGCTGGGGCAGATATCCCAACCTTCACGAAGTCCGTCTCATTCCGACAAAGAAGGACATTGCGTTCGTGGAGTACATGGACGAAGGAAGCGCCACTGTGGCGAAGGATGCGTTGCACAACTACAAGTTGGACGGCGAAAACAAAATCAAGGTAGTCTATCCTCCTGTAATGTCGACCGAGTTACTGACTGTCATCCTTTTTGTAGATTACTTTTGCGAGGAAGTAAAGCATGCTGTCTGGTGTTTTCGTTATATTGGCAGTTCCGGTGTACGTTTTATATCACGCTGTATTGTAGTTTTAATCCTTCTTCCCTGCTCCAAAGTCTTTCAACGTCGGCCGTGGACATTGCACCCTTCGTTCAGCGTAGTTCAAATTCGATAAACGTTCACTGGTAAACATGCAACGAGAGTGTGGATCAAACGGAAGACTTCACATAATCAATGGCTGATGGGAGAATGATCAGCACTGCGGCCATGGAGGAAGCAGCTGCGCCCCCAGCGAGCCATACCAATCTGTCAATTTACATTTTCGAATCCTTCAAGGACAGCGCGAACATTCGTTCCGATGGTCTTGATGTCATATCCTCTATTCCGCGTCCGTAAACGTGAGCTAGGACACCGTGACATTTGTACGCACCCTTCCATTACGAATAACACAGGCTTGTCCAGTTGCCCTATAATTCGTCCAATTTCACCATAACAGTCTTGGGTCAATGCAAAATCACTGATCGGGTCGTCTACGTAGGTGTCTACACCGAGACTAGTCGTGTTCAGGCTCTTGGTCAGGATCGGATATAGGAACGGGGGATAAACTACCCTGCCTTATTACCCATACTCTGGCTCGAACTGTTGGACGCAGGCGACTGCTTCTCGCAACGTTTCGCAGTATTTCTGGTCGGTGGTTCCTCTCGGAAGGGGAAAGTTGATATTGCAGCCGATGCCCATCCCAGACCCCTTCTCTTTCGTGGATCCTGTGAAATCTGATTGTTTCGGATACACGATGGAAGTATGAGGTGAGGACACAGCAAGTTTCGATCGAATTCGAATGATACATACAAGGGTAGTCGTTCTGCGCATGAAGAGACACATAGAGGACACTGCCGTCGGTGTAGAATATCTCTTGGGCTGGTTCCGATCACCGTCGGGCGTGGACTCTAGCCGGCAGAAAGCTGGGACAAATGATGCTCACTGCCATTTCCATGGTGGTAGTCAATATCGAGGACAGCCACTGGCACGCGCCCGGGTCGATGAGATTTCCCCTGCCCTTTCTGTGGCATTTCAGAGGCACAAGAAGTTTGGAGGAATCGGACGGCGGCCGCCACGTTGTTAATGAAGCAATAGCCTCCGCAGAGTGATGAACCTGCGTGATGCCCTGGAGGTCGACTACGCGAAAACAGAGTTCAGAAGAAGGGTGATTGCGACGGCTGTGGTAGGGTTTGTCTCCACCTCAAAGCGAATACACCGGAATGGCTAGGCGCCAAAATTAGATGCTTCGCGGAGGAAAGCGTGACTCGCAGAGAAGCTAGAACTGCTGTGTAGGTTTCTAGAAGTCGATGCTTGAGAAGCGCCATTCGAACTTCAGTCATAGTTCTACAACAGACCTTCCGTGATGGGACAGCTGAGGTTGAAGCAATAGAGCCCTGTGCCAGAGGGGTAGAAACAGAAACATAGCACGGGACGCACCCTGACCCACCTGCTTTAGCGATGGGAGACAACGCCTCAGCTGAATCATCTATAGATGGTAAGGGCGATAGCAGTTTGGGATACTGAAATGTTTCTGGCAGCACAGCGATCTGTACAAGATGATTCAATGTCGGTGGCCGATAAATGGCCGACCCAGGCTTTGAGAACGCGCCTTATCGTTTCCATCTGCCACCCAATCCTCGTAGGCATTCCGCAGGTATTGAATGTAATCTCGATCGTGGATCGCCTGCGCATAGCCTAGGACATCGACATCCGAATCACGGTCAGCAATCTCGAAGGATGGAGAGCTCTCCAGCTCGTGTTTGATTGCGTGCCAGCGCGCGGGGCTCTCGAAATAGGGGACGGGCTTCCCCGAGAGAATCTCATAGGGTGGATCATGCAGCAGACAGTCGCGATCCACGAAGACCTTCATCAGGGCGGAAGAATGATTCAGAAGACGACGTTCATTGTGGATGTCGAGGTTCAGGGCAAACTGGCCACTGCTCGTCACGCTGGCCGCGATCAAGACACGCAGCACGTGAGTGACGCGCTCGAAGCCCAATTGACCCTCAGCTTGGTACCGAATCACTACAGCGCGTTAAAACCGCGACAGGTTGTTGATCGATGACTACCCGTAACCCTCCGCTCCTATGCCCTTGCTTTCCGGAACCTTGAAGGCCTCTTCCCACTAAATCATCTTGCTCTGCTCCTCCACAGCGAAACGCACGACCGACGAGCCGCATTACCCCTAAGTCCTGACCGCTCATTGGATATGCATCGCCGCAGCTCCAAGAACAATCGCAGGACCCGTCCTGCAGCAAAGCCTCGTACAGATGCTGCCGTAGATACTGAGGACCTGCGTGCGTGCCGTTGCATTTATTGCTCCGCCTCTGTCTTAGTGTTATGTTTTTCGTGTTCAGCTGCCCCCCAGAAAAGACCCCTGCTAGCCCCCGGCTTTCATTCGGTCCTTCCCCTCAGAAAGAAGGGCTCGCATATTTCCTTGTCATCGGTAGAGCCATTTCTTCACTTACGTTGTTATGACATCTCAACTTGGATCTCACGGGCGCAGGATGATGAGGAATTGTGGAAGCAGGTCGAGAATATAGAAGATTATGACACACTTTTGAAACGCGAGGGTATGCTTTTATTTTTATTTGCTTGTGTTACTGAATCCATGATGTGCTCGTTGGAATATTGTACTAGCCGAGCGGAGTATGTGTATTTACCCCAAGTTGTCTGTGCTATACTGAATTCTATGGGTCTATCCCAGTATCGACGGATACGGAGTCCCCCTCCTCCTCATCGCGGACCTCCTCGATGTATACCGCCCCCTCTAGGACAGAAAGTTCTTTGTCGACGTCCAACTCTGGCCTAGAGAATAAAGTGAGAGAGCGTCTCCAGGGCATCCCGCAAGGCTCATTGGACGCAAGTCCCACGCCCAAGGCAAAGCGTGTGTCAAGAGTCGCATCTTCCGCGATGAACACCGCCTTGAGATCTCCAAAGCCGGTTAGGATCATAGATGCAGCTCGCCTGTACCCGGCAGGCGGACCATCTCCTATGACTGCACAGCCTGCACTGGATTCTTTATCTCCATCCCCAGCTACAAAGCAGCAAACCAAGTAAGGGTTCTGGGTCTTCGCGATGTCTCTTCTGAGTTTGATTATCTCATCCCAGGGGGCCTCGTGGGCACGCAGCATCTTCCGTCAAGAAGGCACGTATTCCCCCTACAGCAGATAGGATTCCGAGTACAGTAGCTCCATGTCCCGCAGCCGATACAGCCATCGGCCAAATCAACTCCAATGTCATCTCTCAACCGTCGCATCCTCTCCCACTGCCTCTCTCTAACGCGATGCCCTCACCATCCACAATCAACGTCGACAACCTTCTTGGGAATGGCCCTATTGAGCTGGCCCTCCAGGTCATCGCTCATGATGACGCTGTGCAGAGGGAAATGGATCGACGAAAGATTTCGTGGGGTGTACAATTTGAGATTGCCCGCGGAATCACTCAAAAAAAGTGGACATGGCAGCAGGTGACAACGACGAAGCTTGACAAGCTCAAGGGCTGCAGTGCCGTCAGCGCCCCCCTCGTCGCGAACGTGATGCTCGACAAGATATCTGACAATGGGCCGACGATAGGTTCTAATTCTCTATGGTGAACCCGCCGATTTCACTTCGTGCTCTCTCCATCGTTCCTGATTCCTTGTATAATTAGGCACGAGTACGACAGGGAACAAGCTGCTATCGTTGAAGGTCGTGAGCGCGGCTTAGGCCTCATGGGCGAGTGGCATGGCGAGAAGAACTGGTACGGAGGAAAGATTCAGCAAATTCTCACCTTCAAATCCGACGGCGGCAAATATTCGATGCATCTAGAGAAGCCCGAGATGCTCAAGTCTCGTCGATTTAGCAGGTTCCTGGGCTCTCGGCGCATTCTTGAGATCAAGTTGCCGAAATCTGACGGATACAACGCTCAGAGTCAAGGTAGGCAGATGCTTCTAAGTAAGTTCCTGCTTTGTGGGCGGCTCTTTGTTCCGTTCGATGCGAAGGACAACACGGTGTACGCCATGGAGACGGACGAGAATCATGGGAGGGAGAGTGATCCCTCAGAGGGGGATGATCGACGAATCAGTCTGCAAGGATTTATACAGTGGCACAACCCACTGTCCTTGAATGATAAACAGGTCGGATCAATGTCTATTCCCCTCTATCATACCTGACTATTTACCAATGTCGACCCGCAGCCTATTAGCAAGTGGGCAGCACGTTTTGACCTCGGGCTCTCCAACTCGATTCCTGCCCTCGAGTTTCAACAAGAAAATATCGTTTTCATGCGAGACATCTGTTTGTACTCGCCTTTCATAGGAAACTTATGTTCCAGACTCATTTTTTGACTTCAGACGCCTCCGACATCCCGAGGGGGGATAAACCGCCTGCGGAGAAGATCATGACGGACGGTTGTGGGTTCATGAATGCGGCGGCGTTGATTCGCATCGCACAGCGTCTTGGCCTACCTAGTCGTCCGTCCGCTGTACAAGGCCGTGTCGCCGGATCGAAAGGTCTGTGGATCCTGCACCCCGACCACCTTGATCCTACGGACGTGCCCTGCATCTGGATCCGAGATTCCCAGAGAAAGATTCAGCTCGATCTGGAACATGGTGGGCGCGCCCATCTTATTTTCGATCACGTCGCTGCCCCTCGTCTGTCTACGCCAGGCCACCTCTCGAAGCAGACGATTATGAACTTGTCCCATAACCACGTACCTGACGAAGTAATTGAAGCCCTGATGAAGAAGGGTCTGGAAGAAGAGGTCCGACCCCTGATGCAGTGGACGGGACCTGAAGCGATGCGACTCCTATGGAGTGCCGTCAATAAGGCTGGTGGAGTCTCCGGTGAGCGTTTGCGTAAGCTCGCTGGTGCAGCAAGTAGAGCGCTAGGGCTCAACAGCAAGCGAGAGATTGAAGAGGGCTTTGTGGATGATGATGCGGACGAAGAATCGTTCAAAGATGCGGCTACTGCTGACTCTGAGGACGAAACTCATACGTCGTTGCATCAAGATGTCTTGTACCTCCTTCAGGCTGGGTTTCGACCAGAACACTCCGCCTATCTATGGAACAAGCTCAAAAGAGTTGTGACGATGGCCATAGACGGCTACATCAAGAAGTACCATATCACCGTCCCGCAATCCGCGGAAGCCTTCATTGTGCCTGGTTCGTCTCTCTTTGCTGACACTAGGAGGTGCACTGACCTCTCGCGATAGATCCTTGCGATGTATTAGAAGAAGGCCAAATACATTTCAAGGCTTCGCGTGAATTGAAGGATCCAATCTTGGACATGAACGTGAACTCTATCACAGGCCCATGCATCGCATGTCATTTTTTATTGATTTTCACGTTACAATGTTGATTGGACATTCAGGTCAGTCGTAACCCCGCGCGCATCGCCTCTGATTTACAGAAGGTGAGTACTCGTTTAGTCACGGCCCTATTCACGATGTCACGAATTGTTCTAGGTCGTAGCCGTCAATCACCCAAAGCTTTCCGAATACACCGACGTGATCATATTCTCTACCAAAGGGTCTCGCTCGCTTGCAAGCTATCTGGGTGGGGGAGGTTCGTATCTCCTTCTATTTGAGTGGAAGATGTAAGGCTGATTTCATGTGGTCGCCAGATTACGACGGCGGTACGTTGCGATTACGGTTCTCATCATAGTGCTTTTGACGATGGCATTCGAAGATGTTGTAATGGTAACTTGGGAGTCGACCCTGGTCGAACCTTTCTGCAACCATGAATTTGTACCCGAACCTGACGGTCTTAAAGAGCATTATTTCGACCGCAAAGTCGAAAGCGTGCAAGAGTTCGGTCAGCGTGTATCGAATCTTCCCGATCGCGCAAACGAATTTCTTCGAGTCCTCCTGGGAGGTTTTGGGAATGCTATGGTTGGCAAATACTCCAATTTTCACGACAATGCTGTGTACTCGAAGGGGTATATGGACTCAGAAACTGTACGCCTGGCCTACATGTACGTCACCTTCTCCGCTTCTGTTGGCGCTTGCTGACCACGGAACAGGTTTACTACTTGCATGGACTCGGTGAAGACCGGCCATCGTCTCAAAAAGGGTGTCTTTGAAAAGGACTCCAAATCTTACGATCGTCCGCAGGCCTCTTGCATGCGTACACAAGACGATGGGGCCTCGTGGCAACAAGAGCGCAGCAACATGTTGCCATTGTCTCGACCCCCTTCCATGGGTCGCTTCATACTCGACAGACTACTAGATTCTGGAAAGGACCTCAAGGATCAGCATCTGATTGAGTTTGGGGAGCTTGACGGGCAGAATGCTCGGGATCAAGATATGCTGCAGCCGTGGAAGGATGCAATTCGGAATGCAAGTCAAACTCTCCCTGCTGATGTTCTCGATTTCTTGGACGACGCGGTTCGAGATCGGGTGCTAACTGCACAGCGAGATCATCAGAAGCACGAGCTAGACGAGATCAAGCAGTTCGTGCAATCGATGAAGGAGGAGTGGGTGCGGGCAGTTCGACCCCCCTTCCCGACGGAGCTGTCTCGTCCACAGAAGCGATCTTTTCGGAGGCAGGCCACTGTGTCTGATCCGTTGGGGAGCCTTAAAAAGAAGTTTGCAGATGGTCCAGGGTCGGAAGAGCAAAGGGTATCATACGCCTACGAGCTTCACGAAACTTTCGCATTCTCCATAGCGTTCAAGGCTTCATGTCTGATCAAGGCACGAAATGCTGGTATCGTTCCCACCATAGGCCCGTTCGCAGACGCAATGACGATGCAGTCATCGGCCATCCGCATGTTCACCAGTCGCAATGGGGATGTAAGCTGATGGCCACCCTTTTTCTTTCTGGTTTTCAAACTCTCGTCCCAGTGATGCATCTTGTGCACAGATTAATTAGGGATTTTCGCATTGATATTCTTCTCGAATCTATCTCGATTTTTTCAGATTGGTGTCAATGTGCACTCGGTGCAGTTTGAAGATCATCAAGGATCGGATGCCTCAAAACTCGAGTACTCAAGGACAATCGCAAAATGAAGACACTCTCCATTGCGCGACAAAGTTTCTAGAATATCCAGTGCAAAATATCACTATCGGCTGATGCAAAGAACGTCGTCTTTCATATGAAGACAAGACGAGAGGCCTGTGGTGCGATGGACGAATGCATATTATCGGCATGAACTCAAGATGGCACAAAGAATATCAAGGCATATACGCTTGTCATCAGCAAATCTCCTTATTCCTACTTCGTCCAATGACGTGTAGGTTAGAGCTTAAGCCGCCACTGGGTCTCGTTAAGAGACGGAGGAGACGAGGAAGCCGGCGGAACATTGCTCGCCTGTTTAGGAAAGAGTCGTGCTATGAGGCGGAGACTCAAATCGTGTGCATGGTCACTGCACAGCTCTTGCACAATCCCCATTGCTTTGACCGCTAACCTTGCCAGCACATCTGCTTACCTCTAGTGCTCTCCTCATCGTTTTACTGATTTTTTTCAGCTGGTGATGGGTCGTTGGACGCAGTATGATGAAGTGCGCCAGACTCTTCATCTTCACGCCGTTCTAATGCGACCGTATTCCATCCGTGGCTGGGTTCCAGGATGATTATCGTCTTCCAGATGGAATGAAGCGTGTGGGATACGACTCTGACACTGGGAAGTACTACTTTCGTGACAGAGATGGCTCACTTTGGGAAGGTTCAGAGTACGGTGAGATGCAACGAGGTCAGCATACATGATAGAACACAGCACCTACCAGCGGCTAAAGGCGATCTCACAGTAGTCTCCGATCTCTCCATTCACTCACCCGAAGGTACGAATAATAACGATGTCGAAATTGGGCCAGACGGATACATTCCCCTGGCCGAGGACGCTGTGAGTTTCGACTTACTGCAATCATATTCATGATCCGTTTTTTTGACTCCATTCGCATCGTTAGGATCAGCCCCCTCGGCCCAAACTCAGTTCCAATGATAGCCCATATCGGATGCTTTTTCCCTTTTTCTTGATCGTCATCGTCGTCTTGCTCCTGGTGTGGAGGCTCATCGTTGCTCCAGCAAACTCACGTCCTGTGCTGACCTGTCCGGAGCATAGCACATCGTCGGTGATTGTTTTTGGCGACACCTGTTGGGCCATTGCGCAAGCGCACGGCTGTGTGGTCGACGACATTCTACGGTTGAACCCGAAGCTGAATTGCGACGTGTTGAGGCCTGGAGCGAGGATCTGCATACCATCGGGGCAGTGACGTATGTACTCATACTTTGCATCATTACAACGCGTAATTTCTACAACGAGCCGCTTCTTTTCCGCCTCCATTTCGGTGATGTAAGCGCATGACGTCGAGCTTGCAGTAAGGTGTCTCGGCTGCAAATACAACCAGTCAGGCGGGCTCGAAACTGCTCCAGGTACTTAACCTTGAAACTGATGTTCCTCTTCTCCATCTCTCTTCCCTGCCCACACGTGTAAACATGGCTTTCGATGCAATTAGACGCACTCATCCAAGTATGTGTCATCATTCGCTCATCAGACAGGTCCCTCTGACAGAAATCAGTTCTCTTTTCTCTTTTGACCTTGTTCGCTATCATCGAGGTAGGGTCCTAATCCCCGCACGTATCTCTCTACCAATTAACAGCATCTACCAGCTCTCTATTGCAGCATGGCTCATTTCGCGGTACAATTCGCATCATAACTACTTGTCCACCTCCGTCCGCAATCGCACACGCTACCTCCTATTCTGCGCGATTTGGACAACTTTACTCGTGCCCCTATTCTTGATGATGTTCCTTTTAGCATCTGGTCACTTCCTCTCCAGTGTAGCTAGTCATGGAATATTGTAAGCGCCTTTTACCCCTTCGTCCAATCATCTCAATCGAGCATTCGGGCACGGGTAGCCTTTTCATCACCTGGGCATTGTGGTTAGCTGGAGCCGCCGCCATCACGAACGCGTTGGGAGGAAGGCTGAATTGCAGGTACATATATCGATTATGCACGTTATCAAGCGCTTACCGATCATCGATAACAGCCGCCACTTCGTCTATTGCGGGCAGCTGAACGCCCTCGAGGCGTTCGCGTGGATTGAATGGCAAGTGTCTGATCTAGGTCTCTCGCCGCCGAGTCTATAACGGGAAATTTACAGGGCGTTGCTCACCCTTGCGCTTCTTTCTGTTATCTGGTGGGCCGTAAAGGGAAGGCAATCAGGACGAGGCAATGGAAGAAGTGGGAGCGTTACAAACGGATCGCGCGGCGCCGTCACCGCGTGAAAAATGGCGTCTTCTAAGAAGCGTGGCGTCGATCTTTTGACAGTGACGTACCCCTGTTGTATGAGCCTTTGAATGTTGTTTACATGCCTTGACGCAGTCCAGTGTATGAGCTTTTGAACGCTGAACAATATCATGATCTACCTGTCGACGTGAAGTTGCACGCGACGTAAATTTCAACGACTTGACTGCGATAACGCACGTGGAGACTATTCCTTGTTCCTTTTTACTTCAATTGTGGCGAGTCTTGTACTCACGTGCTTTAGCCATAGCCATCTCCGTGATCGAGGGCGCGTTATAGGTCCAAGCACATACCTTGCAATCAAAAGAAGTCGAAGCTGTGCGCGCGCTTGGTGGCTTTGGCTTCCTCGTGGCGTGTCAAGAAGTGAGGCGACTGGTTACGCTTGTGCCGCCGCCACCCTCGTGAACAATATAAGTCCCCGCTTTCCTGTCGTTCCTCTTTCCTCGTCTTCCCTCTCCCCTCCATCTGGTCCATTTCCTCAACCCTCCCCACCCTCAACCCCATCAGGTTTCTCGAAGCTATTGCGTTGTACAGGGGAACATGCTGTTCCTCCCCCTGCTCTGCGGCATATTTGCCGTCGCCACATTGTTTATAGGACCCCCAACCGTCAACACCATCGTCACCGCATTCCAGGCCACCCTCTCGAACCCATCATACGACGTAGTTCGTGGCATCTCGCGCATGGTTCACACTCTCCTCGACCAGGTCGTCTCTGTATACACTGCACAGGACATCATCGCTACACCGCAGAAGGGGTACATGCCACCGCGTATAACGCGCTCGTATTACCAGTATGTGCCACCATCCCGTGTACACGACATCTTCGGGCCCCGACCCTTGGACACGCCGACTCTCAACGATATGTGGCACTTCAACTGCACCGCACCACACCACCTCTTTGGCGACGCAGACTCTGGGTTTGGACAAAAGGTCATCTATGTAAGGGCTTCCTTGACAGCCATTGCATTAATCATACTGGGTTTGGTATGTATTCCACCTAATCTGTTATGAAGGACGTTTCTCATCGCGCGCTTGCCACACAGACTGTCACCGCATTTCTCGAGTGGCGCTTCGCCAAGACGAGGTCCCTCGAGCACGGAGCAGTAGAGGAGTCGGTAACGGCTCCCAACGGGTTCATTACCATCGTGGCTTCGGTGAGTTTCGTTGTTCTGCCCACCTGAACGCGCCTTTTGACATTTCGCCCAGCCTGTCTTTAAAGTTAGTCACCCCCTCCTCGACGACGCGATCATGACAGTGGCATTCCCGATTGGCGAAAAGAGCGAGGCCTTGGATCAGCATGACGTCGCAGTGGTCGACTTGGCTTTCGCCCACCCCATCCCGCAAGGTCTCGCTTCCCCGGTTTCGGAAGGATCACCCATCCTTGGCATGCCCCCTCAGGTCGAACCCCCCGCGCCGGCACAAGTGGCCCACATAGTCGACAGCCCTTCCCCCATCCTCCCCCCCGTCGGCCTGCCCCATCGCCTCGATGAATCGGCTAACCAGGACGTCTCGTCGGAAACAGCTCGCGCGCGCTCTGATACCGCCACCCGCCCCTCTATCGATCTTGAACTCTCAGGTCAGACAGTTCGAGCACTCGACGTCGCAACGCCGGTCACTACTGCCTTCGAGGACGCCGCCGGACTTGCTATTGCATCCTCCCCTGCGAATACGACACCGGACATGACACCCGCCAACGCTGCATCTCAGTCTACTGACGTGACGACGGCTGCTTCATCCCCGGTTGTCGACGCTAACCAGAGCCAGGAACAAGTCAAGGATTCGTCAATGTCGACTTCCTCCATCAGCAAACCGATCGGCAAGGCGGCACCTGTGTCGGAGGATATCAATGGTGGTCTCGCCGCATCGATCCATGCGACGGCATCAGTAGAGTCGGTCAGTGGCGTGTCTGCGTCGATGTGGGCAACAGCACCGGCGGCGCCCCCTTCACTGGCATCACGTAGCGGCCTGTCTGCATCCATGTGGGCCACGGCACCAAAGGCGTCCTCCTCACTGGCATCACGTAGCGGCTTGTCTGCGTCCATGTGGGCCACGGCACCGGCGGCATCCCCTTCACTGGCATTAGGCAACGGCTCGTCTGCGTCAATGTGGGCCACGGCACCAAAGGCATCCCCTTCACTGGCATTAGGCAACGGCTCGTCTGCATCCATGTGGGCCACGGCGCCAAAGGCGTCCTCACTGGCATCAGGCAACGGCTCGTCTGCGTCAATGTGGGCCACCGCACCAGAACCGTCTTCTTCGCGGACATCGAACAGTGGGCTATCGGCATCGATTTGGGCAACTTCGTCACCTGCATCATCCTCTCGGGCATCCACCACGGCGAGCGCTAGGGGTTCCAACAGGTATCGCGGATCTTCGGCTGTTCCAAAAGGCCCAAACTCGTCCCGCAAACCTAACGTGGCACGTCAATCGCACAAACCCACCGCGCGCCCATCGTCGACTGCAGCCCCCATCGCGTCCGGTTCCAAGCCTCCGCGATCGTCGTTCGGACTGGGGGCATCGATCCATGCTCCTCAGGCTACACGCGCGGCTCCCTTCGAGTTTGGTTCTGCCCAACAGGCTCCTGCTTCGTCAGTTGTGAATGGTTTGGCGGCGTTGGCTTCCGTGGCCCAGGATTTGGTGCCACCAACTGAAGTGCCGGCTACCGTGAAGGACAGCTCTCTGGACGCGCCCCGACCACAGGACGAAGAGGAGGAAGTATTCGTTTACCCCGGCACGACGACCCTGGATCTGGAAGGACGGCGAGAGGATAGCGAGTTTCGGTATCCCCAAGCGGACGAGACCTCCGGCGAATCTGGCAAGCAACAGGGTGAGTTTCTTTTGCTTTGATCTGGTTACACATCCAACTCATCAACGATTCCTATCTTTCCAGCACCTGTGACGACCACAGTCGAACCGGTAAAATCAACACTCTCAAATGATAATGGAGAGGGTAAGCACATTCTGTCGTTGTATCTTATGGCGTCGACGTCTTACACGCAAACTTTGTCCTCCAGATGCATCACTGGTGGCCCAAATCAATGGCGACGACTCACTGACCGCCGACAAGGAACCCACGGACACCCTCATCTCGGCACCCACGGACACCCCCATCTCGGCACCCACTTGCAGACGCACCCGCAGCTTGTCTGCTCCTGGGGTTTGTCTACCCCACCGCGATCATGTTGACGGACCCTACGACCTTCTCCGCCCTTCCTCGAGCCCTCCCTCATGTGCGCGTCAGGTCAATCTCCCACATCGTGACACGGAAGTTGATCGATCGGTGCAGGAAATGCAAGGTGGTGTCGCGCCCTCGACGGCCTCGAGTGGTTCGGTCACGCCCATCGGTTCTTCGTCATCGGCCACCTCGCAACCCAAGTACAAGGCCAAACCTCAGGCCCCCATCGTACCCCGGATCATCTCGATCATGGAACCGGCTCAATTCCACGGTGCAGGACTTCTGGCCAACGACGAGGACCCCCTGCAGGCGATAGTCAGGACGATCGAACGACTGGAGGCGAAGGCGGCATCTACCGAGAAACTGCCAGAGGACTATTGGGCCACTGAACGGGTTGTCGCGACGTCCCAGTCAATCAAGGAAGAAGCCACCCGGATCGCGGAAAAGTGGGAAGTGGATGCGGTCAAGACCGAAACGCGCAGAGCGGTCAAAAAGCTCCAGAGGACAAAAGGAGGGCGGAAACCCAAGGCGGCTTGATAGCTTGTCGACGCGAACGGCCCCGTTGATGCACTCACACTATCATTATTCATGTAGACAATTTGTACAGTATTTGTAGATCTCTCTCTCTCTCTCTCTCTCTCTCTCTCTCCGCGTTCGAGTGATAGTATGCTAGGTGTGCGCACACCTAGCATACTATCACTCGAAGGCGCTGGCGTTTCCGTGCCGCACATATCTCTATCTCTATTCTTGTACTCATACGGACCTGGGGGGGAGGGATCCAAAAGTATATCGCCCAACCCCCATACCTACTTACTGCAGGGATCGTAATACTATCTCCGGTGCACAGCCGAGTATCACAACACTTTCGCACCAGGACTCTGCGTAGATATGATGCCAAAATTCCTCAGGGCGTCAACAGCCTCCCTCAACTGCATGCCTGTTTCATCCTCGACACTCACGCGCACAACCGCGTCCTCCCCCGTATCAAGCGGGTCCTCCAGCGTGGAGAGTTGTGAGTCGAGCATATCAGCTTTCATGAAGTGCCCTTGGCGGCCGTGCATGCGAGACAAGAGGACATCCCGTGGTCCGCTGGGGTGTACGAAGAATGTGCGTATATCAGGAAGGGCCGATGATGGATCCACCTTCCCGCGCGAATCTTCTGACTGGCGAGCGACGGACAATACTTCGGTATGGTCCTGCGTCTCTTCCGACAGCGTGATCCGCTCGCCTCGTAGAACATCTCTATAGCTCTTCTTCAGCGCCGAACACGCGACCACCACCCCTCTGCCAGTCGTGGATTCGCCTTGATCGATCTCTTTCACCGCGTTCTGTGCAGCATCGCGGACTTTCACAAGCCAGGGCGCACGGTCTGCGTCTGTGAGTGGAGTGCCGGCACTCATCTTAGCGACGTTGGCGGGCGGGTGAAGATCGTCGGCATCAAGGAATGGGACAGAAAGTGCGGACGCGAGAGCCATTCCAAGTGTCGACTTGCCGCATCCTGACACACCCTGATACGATTGATTTGTCTCGAGAGAGCAGACGAAGGACATGATCTACTCGCACCATGACGATGATGAGGAATGGATATGGTCTGCGATGGGTTTCGGTGTCCATCGTAGCTGCTCGGTGAATGAGAGGAGCGATGCTCGGTGTGTAGAGGAACAAAGCAGACTCTCAAAGTTCCCCGTTGAAATCCTAACCTTAGATTGGGAGTGGGCATGCTCGCCTCAAAAGACAAGAATAAGGGTGCTTCCTTCTCAGAAATATAACAGCTTGGACATGTCTCAATCGATAGCCTCTGACGGAATCTTTGCTCACAAGGAGTCAGTTGCCTTGGGCATAGATCATATTGAATGCTTGGAACGGACATGCACATATGCTCTGAAGTGATAAAACAGCGAGAGAAATCGAGGAAAGCAGAACGAAAGTAAGAGTACAGAAGCTTAGGCAGTCGCCGCCTTCTTGCCTCGAGACTTCTTTGGTGGTGTCGCCTTGGGCTCCTTTTGGGCAGCAGTCAGGGCTGAAACACGGGCAAGGGCAGCCTGAAAGAGTTGAGTGTCAGCATACCGCTCTTGAGACAGGAAGGACACGAAGAAGAACAAGAAACTAAGGTGGTAGAAATAAAGCTGTTATCGCCTAATCGTCGGATACTCGAGTTGAGCAATCGAACGAGACCCGATAGCGAAGACGAGGTGTTCAGAGGAGTTTGATCGACTCCGACTGAGCTGGGGTTGTTATTGCAGACATGTCCACGCCCATCCTTCATTACACCTTTCGGCATATCCAGTGGGTTCTAACGAGAATGCGTTTTGCCCCCAGATCCCAAATGTATGGTGCAAAGATGGCATATAATGACGGAAGGAGAAGAAGAAACGCACAGAGCGGAGGTCAGGGCGGTAGCCACGCTTAGCAGTGTGCGTGGCGACGCCAAGGGCACGACGAGGGCCGGTGCGTGCGCGGATGAGGTTGGAAGCGCGGGTAGAACGAACAGCGCCAGGTGCAGCCTTCGTCTTGATGTGAGTGATCTTGATGCCAGCGGGAACCTCACGGATGTCGATTGTCTGGAGATGATAACTCAGCTGAGCATCTGCTGTGCGATGACCCTCATTTATCGTACCTTGGTGTTGGCAAGACCAGAGTATTTGTGAGAGTGGATGTTTGTCAGGTTGCCCTGTTCAAAACTGATCAGTCAGACCATTTGCGCGCACTGTAGTCTGAAAGCGTTCACGTACGGGCTCCTTGGAGAAGATCGGGCCCTCAGCAACTCGCTTCACAAGGAAGGAGTTGTTTTTCTGAAGAAAGCGACATAAAATAGAGAAATTCACTTCAACACAACGAGTTCATGAGATAGCGGAGAGGAGCAAGAACTGACGCGGAGGAGCAACCATTGGAGATCGTTGGACATGATGAAGACGTGTGCTGGTGACTTTAACGGGCGCCTATGTTTCGGGGACGACGTGGGTGGCTTGCTGAAACTGTACAGTCTTGCAAATATGCGCAAATAACGTTTCGCAGCCGGCGGCCCGACAGCGCCGCTATGCCACTCACATTTCGGGCTTCGGCGCTGAGCGCTGCATGCTCCTAATGCCATCTGAATTCTATGCTGCTTTCTCGACATCTGTGTGTTCGGCTTTTGTCCGTGCTGACTGTGTTTACAGATACCAGCAACTTGAACTGTATGGGGTGTCTTCTTGGCCCTTCCTTACACCAGTGTCCTAGGGCCTCCTAGAGCTAGCTCTCGGATGGTGGTATAATCTATCTTGCAGGATATCAAGGCGCAGCTGCATCTGGTGGTCGTTCCTTTCTCCTTAACCCAAAATACCCAATGTCATTCCTGATTCAATCAAAACCGGGTGAAATCGTAGAGGCGCCCGAGACCTCGCACATGAGAGCTACACTCCACAGTCCAACAGGTCAGCCCATCTCAATTTGAACAAAATCAAGTTTCGCTGAGATTGAGGGTATATCTGAAAAAAAAGCCTCATAAGAATCGGCCAGCCACATAACTGAATGCGAAGATGCATACGTCGTATTCACAGCAGTTTGCTTCAGTCCATCCAGAGGAATTGGAATTCCAAGCTTGCCTTCGATGGTGGCAACTCTGTTAAAATCAGATAAGTTGTCTGCATCCCGTAGACGAGCAGCGATCTGTCTCACCTGACGCTCACATCCGCGTTCAAAATATCCAATTCCTGGAGCGGAATAATGGCCAGCGCTGCCAGGGCACCCAAGGGAAGCGCCACGTCTGGGAACGTGCCGCTGTTGGCTGAGCCGAAGGCAGGAATGATAAAGCTGGTGAAGGACTGATTGAATGACGCGTCGACAACGCCAGCTACCCCAGCCTGGGTCACTGCTCGATCAATCGTAATCTCAAAGGGAAGCGGATTCTGGACTGGTAAACGTGGACAAAGGAAGGCTAGATCAGTCTGCGATCCATTCCACCACACTAGGGATCGTACCGTCAAAGTTTGCGCTGCCAAGGCGAGTATCAGTTGCGCGTGGTCGACAAGAAATGTATACACAGTGACTTACGAGACCGTGTTAGTGATCAAGGTTTCAAGCTACAAGTCGACGTCGTGCTCGCATTAATGTCGTTTCGCGCGTTTAGTGCATACCACCACGTACCGTGATGAAGACATTGATGTGCTTAACAAGCCCAATTCCTAGCAAATCCAGGATATCGCCGATGCTGAATCCAGCCAGGTCCACACTCGTGGGGGCACCTCTGACGGAGACGGCAAAGGCAAGCACCAAAGCGAACGGCCAGAAGAGTACATGTGATAACGGGGTCATCACGGCGAAATGTGGGTGCTGCCTAGGACTCTACGGCGCGTCCCAAGCATGCCTACAAAGCGCGCCTCTTCTTATATAGGTTTCCCGACCCGATTCATTCATGGAATCTCCATGGAACCGAGGGTGAGAATTTGAAGACTATGGCATCGGCCCCGTGGTACTTTGTACGCCTGGATTCCATATGATGAAGGTAACATCTGACTCCCTCCTCCTTTGGTTTCTTGTGCAGCTCGTAACATGTGAAATTAGATTCCATCTCAGTGTCGTCAGATAGATTCCAGTTGACGTTTGAAGATGCTGGGTGCTGTTGCTGGTTTTCCAAAGCGCCTACAGATCGCAGGCACATAAGCCGTCATGGGTCGGTTCACATTGTTGGTGGACCTTGCCAGACGGTAACTCGGATCCTTGGTCGGCATTAGAATGATAATGCGTGTGATACACGAAAGTCTTCGCGAGGGCCTGACCACTTCGTCCGAGTTGAATTGAGACGTTTGCGAGGTGCAGACGCCGGGCTTGTTTTCTGAACCCGAGCATGGATCAAGCACATATTTGGGTTTCTCACGGCGGATCTCGATGGTTTGAATTGACGTCGCTTTCCTATTGCGGACGTGCCGGGCTCATTCAGCGCTGCTCGCAAGTCAGTCTGAACCTCACCGAGTGACGAGCATCCCTGCTCTCCTCCATTTACACTCATCCACAATGATTCAGCGTAAGCATATTTACTGCCAAAATATGCGCCGTGTTGACGCCCTGTAGTTAGCACCTCTCCTTCTGCGGTCGACTTTCCGTCGACCGACCCGTTTGCACCCGCTGCGTCTCCAATGCCACGGCCTCCACACCTTCCATTTCGTCGTATTTCGTTGCCAACCGCGCCTAATCTGCTTCATAGGCAGTCGGTCGTCAGTACTGCCTCCTTTGATTCGCTCCCGGAGGAGGGCAGTTCCCCCGTTTCGCCGTTACCCGCTGCCAACCGAAGCTCGTCGAAGAGAATGAGATCGCGCCCATTGCCCTCGGAATCTCCCAAGAAAGCGCACAGGAAGAAGGAGCTCCCGCCAGTCGACGAGGAGAGAGAGATAAAGAGGAGAAAGATCATCGAGGAGTTCTATGCGACAGAGCGGACATACGTTGAGGGTTTGGATTTGATTTATACGGTGCGTCTACCATTTCAGTCTTCGAAACAACAACATTTCTTGCCTGAAAGCAAGTGCGATCCCGTCGATAACTGGAAGCACATTGTCATGTTTGATTTGTTACATATCATTCGGGCTTTGCGCGTTATCGGACGAGTTTCGCTGACTGAACCTACTTTGCAGCATTTCTTGACACCCATAATAGCAGCTTTGGATACACCTCAGCCGTTACTCACTCGGTCGGAACTCACTTCCGTTTTTTCGAACTTCATTGACATTTGGAACCTTCACCGTTCTTTTTTCTCGTCCCTGACGGATCACCTCCATTCCTCTACATCTCGGAACTCGCAGGATTCTCCTGCCGCATTGTCCCCCGTCCTTCTTTCTCACTTTCCTTACCTGTCTCTGTATACGCCTTTTGTTACCTCATTTCATACATCCGTCACTTCCCTCACAGTTCTACTCACATCTAATGCGGCTTTCTCCGCCTTTTTGGCGAAGCAAGAAGCTGACCCTCGTTGCGGAAAGCTGAGGCTCCGAGATTGGCTCCTCACGATCGTACAAAGATGTCCCAGGTACCTCCTCTTACTGAAAGATCTTATTGGGTGTACAGCAGCTGAAGATCCCGAGCGTGCGTCTCTGACGGCGGTACATACCCTCGTTTCGAAGAGTAAGCCGCCTCTGTTTCTTCTCATGTGTACGATGGCTTCTCATTATTTTTGAACTGAAGTAACCGTATCCCTTAATACCTCACTGCATACTCATGCACAAACGCTCGCGCTACTTTCTCTCCAGCGCAGCACCCCCAACCTCCCTTTCCAACTCATTACGCCTGGCCGTACCTTCCTCAAACGCGGCACGCTCTTGCAGCTCGAACGTTCTTCTCTTCCAAAGGAACGCGATTTCCTCCTCTTCTCCGACTGTTTGGTCTGGCTTGCAAACCTGGACAGAAATGACCACGAGCTTGCAGAGCGCTGGGACTGGCTTGGCGGTGGAGGTGCCGCCTCCGCAGGCAAGGGGCGAGCTAATGGACGTCCTGAGATGTCTCGCTCAAGGAGTCGTAGCGAAGCTGAACTTGGGTCGTTGCGTGATCGTGCGAGAAACTCTTATGCTCGCTCTCCCTCAAGACAAGGTCATGCCGTCGCTAGCCCCTCGAAGATGAAGAAAAGACAGGCGAGTAGTGGTACAAGCGACGAGAGATGGTGGTACAAAGGGCGCGCAGAACTTGTGGATCTTGACATTGTGATCAATCCGCCAACTGAGCTCAGCGAGAGCACACGATTCGAGTTGCTGAGCCCAGAGATGTCGTTCGCAGTGTATGCATGTGAGTGGTTCGCTCTAGCTCCACCTTGGACAGGAATCAATCGAGCCGCATTTCGTGGCAGCCAGCGAACAGGAACGGGATGAATGGGGCAAAGCTATCCGCAACGCCAAAGCTTCGTTACTGGTTTCATTGAATGTCACTCAGCCCAATTCGACTCTGACCTCTTCTGCATCGACAAATCATTTACGTCGAGCGTTGCAGGCGTTACCACATCCACCTGAGCAGGACAGTCGCTTGCCCAGGAGAGGCAAAGTCGAACATTTCGTTCCAGCCATATGGATTCCAGATGGTAAGACGGAGAGCTGTATGCGCTGTGGACGGACGTTTGGCTGGCGAAGGCGGAGGCATCACTGTAGGCTTTGCGGACGCTGCGTCTGTGCGGCATGTTCTGGCAGTGTGAGTGTATGTCAAGCTTCCGATCCCTCATATCTCATGCACACAGGTCTCAGACGTTCTTTATATCCGACCCAAATGCCAAGGATTCGAATAAATCTGCCCGCGCATGCGATGCCTGTTACGATACTGTTTTTCCCGTCCTCGATCGCTCGGCTTCCCCTCCTCCTCCGCCCTCATATACCCTTTCAGGTTTCACATCTTGGCAATCGATGCCGGCGCTCGCCATGCCCAATAGTCCCTCACGTCCAGCATCCGCACTTATGGCCATCGACATCAGTAGTCCTAAACGGGCATTGGCACGAATCGATGATGTATCGGAGGGCACGCGCACCCCGGCATCCCAGTTCGACGATATCTTTAGGTCAGACATCAGCATCGGCGACAGTCCTTCCCGCCCAGTGGTCCGTGTCAGACCACCACCCTCGCGCCCGCGCAGTTTCTATCAGATCCTGGAAGACTTTCATGACCATACTCTGGAGAGCGCTTTGCCGCCCTCCAGCCCAAGTGCGTCTCACTTCACGGCACGCACAGATGAGTCGTCAGGCCCGGAGCACGAATTTCAGCTACAGTTGCACTCGCCATCATCGCTCTCCCTCGCCGGACCAGCGTCGGATGCGGGAGGGGGCGGAATGAGTTTGCCTACCACCCCACGTCGCGAGGACACAGCGAGGAGGAGCAAGCGGTTCTCGATGCCTGCTATCGCATTGCATACGACGCCTGTGACGGCGCGTCCGAAGACAACAGGTGAGGGGATTGCCAAGCGGTTTTCGCTCGTGCTCGGGGGGCGCGGAACTAGTCGAGAGAGAAAGAATGGCGCAGATACGGATGGTGGTGGGCCTTCCTCGACCCTAGAAGACTCGCCGGTGAGGAGTGCTGCCGCAGTGAGATTAGGCGAATTGCTTGGGAGGCGGAAAGGACAACAAGGACATTGATTGAACCCGTGGACGATGTTATTGAGGAGCGATAGACAATATACTTACACGCGGCAGCCGCCTGAATACTGCAGTTCGGTTAGTTCACGCTGATCTATATCTTCTGGCGTACTCTAATCACTCGCATGCAGGAAATCGCATGAATTGATGAACATACATGATTTTTCTGAATTTAATGGTACAGAATTATGCAGCAGTGACACGAGCAATACCAGTACAACGTCCGACGCCAACGCTAAAAGCACAGTGATCGATAGCAGGCTCCCAACGTTCATTTCTTACACCCTTTCATGGAGCGATCGCGAAACCATGTCCTTCAAGTCAACAATCAAGCACCGAAACCCTTCCCTGCAGGTTGTGCGATCCGCCCACCTCCACCGATCGTCTTTCCACCGGGTGCCCAGCCCTCTTTCCTCGGCCTGTTTTCTTCCGCCTTGCGATGCGCGCTCTCGCGCATCCGCCGCTCGTTCTCGTGGGACCCATTGCCCTGTTTCTTCTCTTTCTTTGGGATCTCTTCTTCGGTGTGTGTATGCTCATGGTCGAGCTCGTGTTCAGCACCGGGCGGGGCGGGACGTGGGTAGTCGGGAGGTTCGCCCGGTGTGCCAGGGGCAGAGTGGCCTCCATCCCTGGGAGCAAGAATGACTCTGAACAAGGAAGGAGATGTATTTGGTAAACGAATGCACTCACGAGGTGACTACGGGCCTGGGCCTCGATGGAAGAGAGAGTCGGCGCCCGCCAACTCTCACTGACGATGGTCATGAGCAGCCGAAAGGGGGGCGGTAAGCATGTACTCACTCGCAGGAGGGTGTTGGGCAATATGAGTAGCCATATGATTGCTGGGCGTAAATCTGCAGTAGTGATGATGATGGCGATGAGAGGAGCAGGGGGAGCGCAATCCGCAGGAATATATAGGAAATCGAATCTCAGTTAGCATGAATGTGGGGTAGGTCACGCGTCCTGTTCACGTGAGGCATGCGCGCGAAGTTGTTCGCTCCTCACATCTTGTTCTCCATTCGTCTTTGCGGCTTTTGTTTTTGTTCCAATCGCAAGCTTATCAACAACGCGACTGATACTTTGTTAGTCCTCACTCCATTGTATTCCGGTCTTCACCCGCGCGAAGACACGCTGGACGTTTACGCGAAGAACATGGCGTCAAAGGAAAGTCAGCAACATACCATGGCCGTTGAGCCCCGTGAGCCCGGCGAGATACAAGGGAGTCTTGCAGATCGAATAGGGCCTGTAGGAGAGTTTGTACAGGGTAGCAGCAGCAGCCGCTCCAGAAAGAGAAAGCGTGGTGATAGAGATCATGAAGAGGACGTCGTGAAGGAGCCGCTACTGACTCCTTGGATAGCATCGCTTGGTGTCACAGAATACGAAAGTAAGGAACAAAGGTGCGTGAACTCCGCTATTCCGTGAAAATTTGTTATCTGAGTAATATCTAGGTTGCATGATGAGATCATGGCATATGTTCACTACATCCAGCCGACGCCACAAGAAGTGGAGGTGAGGAAGATTGTATCCGCACGCGTCGAGGAAGTAGCTGTACGCCGGTTTAGAGACGCAAGGGTGCATACTTATGGCAGCGTGACCACCAATCTGTCTCTTCCTCATGGGTGAGCCCTTTCAACATTAGACACCTAAACTGCAATATTGATCGTAACATCACCAGAGATGTTGACCTAGTCATTGGAACGAGACATGTTGAGACACTGGATGAAAAGAAAAGGACACTGTTTCAACTACGAGACAGGCTTCGAAATGATGGAATTGCAACAGCCACCCAAGTCAATGCTCGAGCGCGCGTTCCCGTCCTCAGTTTTGTCTCAACACCAGAGTCAGGTAATCAACTTTCCTTCAAAACGACTGGGTGTCCTAATATATATCCACGGTAGGTTCTATCAACATAGATGTTACCATCAATTGCACCGATGGTGTAAAGGCTATCGATATCATCATCGACCATTTAAAGCGCATGCCAGCTCTCCGTCCCCTTATCCTCGTTCTCAAAGGTCTTTTATTGCAGCATAACTTCCATTCAGCGGCCTCGTCAGGTCTCAGCAGCTACGCTTTGACTTGTATGACCATCAGCTTTATACAGGTCCGTCGAAGCCTCTTCCTTTCCGTGAGCCAGTCATTATATACTTTTCTCATCCGAGCCTCGCTCAAGCAGCTCAATCCCATGAACCGACCAAAAGACTACTTCGATGATCCTGTTCAAACGGAGTCGCTCGGCCACCTTCTCATGGACTTTTTGAACTATTACGGCTCAGAGTTTCCTTATGCTACGTCATATATCTCAGTCAATACTGCGTCCATCAAGTCCAAGGAGTCGAAAGGGTGGGATGCCATAAATGTGCCAGAACGTCTCTGTATCGAATGTCTCATAAATCCAGGTCGGCAGCCTCGAGGCTTTCCCTGTTATGACAGACATGCTAACTGATTTCACAGAGAACGACATAGGTAAACCTACAGGAAAGATCAAAGCAATCCGCGCACTGTTCCGAGATTCTCTTTCCGCACTGCAATCAGCGACCTTGGAGGCCACTCAATCAAACATCCTCGGGATCATACTGGGTGTGCCACAAGAGGTATGATTTGCGTGTTCCCCTGAATACCAAACGTGCCTCACAAGAACAACGTTTACTACAGACTATAGACTATCGAGAGCATGTGCGTCGGATAGTTGATCAAGGACTCGTCTACCAGTTGAGGTCAGGGCGCTCGTGGTCGAAACGAGGATCCAGTCATATTCTCGCAGGGGGGTATCCGATACATACCGCATATAGTCATTATGCGCCGCAAGCTTCCAAACGACCTCGATATGAACGCGACTAATCCCTCGCAGAGAGGGCATCCAGTCCTCAGTTGAGTATATGATAGTCTCCCACACAGTCCATCCCGCATAGACTCTCGATGTTTCCAGCTTGTATGTCTGTCTGATATTTCAACGTTACATTATGCCTGTAAATCGATAATCGCTAAGGAAAGTAAGCACTAGAGCGATCGTGGCAGCACAGAGCGATACAATGGTGGAAGCTGAGGCTCCCGAGCTGACGGAAATCATATGCCAGTCGAATGCGTTGACGGATCAATGGCCAAAGCTATCGATACTTCCACTCGATACCTTTTCTTTGTCAAGTCTCATTCTGCACGCTTCTTTGTCTATTCAACGTCAACCCCCGTAGCGCCCGGTGACTGAAAAGAAGCTTGCTCTTCGCTATGCGATAATATACAACAGCGTGCGATTGGAGCTGGCATGAGAAAAAGCACATGGATTTACACATGCAGTCATACACATACGAATGAGAGGAGTCGACATAACAGGGAGATGAATGCCAAAGATCGATATTTAATCTTCCTCCTCCTCGTCTCCACCCTCCTCCTTCTTGGCAGCAGCCAAAGCACGCTTGCGCTTGACACGGCCGGGACGGCCTCCACCGTACGGCGAGGTGAGAGCGAAGTCGATGTGTTTTTGTGAGTCAAGACGGACGACGAATGAAGGAACGTTGACAATCTGCTTGCCAACACTATATAACCCCATTATAGCTCAGCAGGCACCTCTGTAGAAAGGTACACAACGCACCGGATGTGTCGTTGCCTGATAAGGACACGGGCATGGTGGATGCTCTTAGCGAGACCACTCTTGAAGACCTGAGTCTGGAGACGACGTTCCAAGAAATCCTCAATCTTCAAAGCCAGCACGTAATCGAGACGCATGCGGGACTCATCGAGTACACCGATGCGGACGAGACGGCGAATAAGGGCGTTACCCTCGAAAAGACGCTTGGGGTCCTTGTCGTCGAGCTTGAGGAGCTCACGGGCAGCACGACGGATTTTAGACAGGATGAGGGCAATGCGCCAAATCTCGCGCTTGTTGCGCAGGCCATACTCGCCGGCGAGCTGCATAATCACGGAATGATTGCGAAGTTGTGAGAAAACGGTTACGAAAGATGCAAAGGACTCACCTTCAACTCGGCATCGAGACGAGCGGATTCGAAAGGTCGACGAGGGACCTTATAACTGTTAAGTTATCATGGGGCACGGCTTATAGTCAGCAACGTGTATCCCTCCACATAAAGTGGATCTTGAGGTAACAATGAGAAAGCTCACGTCTTGCTGTGATTCCGTGGGGCCCTACAGCAAACACATCAGCACATGACGATAGAGCTGTCGACAACGGGGAGATTACCTAGGCATTTTTCTTGAGGATACGACGAAGAGAGGGCCTTTAACGAAGTACTACCAGAAACGGGTGCCAAATGGCAGTCAACAAGGTTTCCTCCACGCGCCACAACTGTAAAGTACTAACTCAGCCACTCGGCGAATGCCGATTCTCAACTTTCGACCGACCAGGTATTCGACACCGAAGACACCAAGCCCGACGACGACGACTGTATGTATCCCATCCATGTCCGCGTGTGCTGCGCAAATTCACAGGTACACTAGACCTCAAGATGCCTCACTCATTCGGTTACCGGGCGCGTACGCGCGACATGTTCAAGCGGGGGTTTAAGGGTGTGTGCTAGAGTGCTGCATCTAAAGAAGGATCGATTGACGTTGAACGATAGACCACGGCCCCGTTAAACTCTCGACTTATTTGATCCCTTACCGCATCGGCGACATTGTTGATATCAAGGCCAATTCTGCCCAGCAAAAGGGTATGCCGCATAAATATTACCATGGGTGCGTGCTGCTGCTCCTACGGATTTCGTTTGATCTGACTGGCAACACATGAAACACAGCCGGACGGGTATTATCTACAATGTCACTCCCCATGCTGTTGGTGTCATCGTCCACAAGGTTGTGGGCAACCGCTACCTGGAGAAGCGCGTCAACATCCGTGTTGAGCACATCAAGCACTCAAAATGCCGGCAGGAGTTTTTGGACCGGGTGAAGCGGAACCACGAGGCACATGTCGAGGCGAAGGCCAAGGGTGGTGCGTGTCATATCTTTTACTATTGGCATTGCGGCTTCTCTGTCTCCTCCGATGAATCTTGCAAGGCTGATTTTTGTTTACAGAGCGTGTTTCGTTGAAGCGCCTCCCTGGTCTCCCGCGTGAAGCCCGCACCGTCTCTTCCGCCGACAACACCCCTCAAACTATCGTCCCTGTCCCTTACGAGACCACTATCTAAAATGTTTCTCGGCGACTGGGAGTGATGGCCGTGCTGGATCGTCGTGCATTTTCACCAGGTTTCTACTCATGTTTTACCTTTATTTTCGCCATGAGACTATGCAACGAATAAGCAGAGCATGAAAATACGTGGATTGTCTGCGCATCGTCAACATGATTACATAAGCGACGCATGACTTACTCAGCGTGGCCCTATCTTGTTCATCTCGCCACGCTTCTATGCAGCTGCATGCCTTCAAGACTCTCCCGCTCACAGTCTCAAGACCGTTCTGAATCGCCAGAGATACGACTTCCAGGAGGTGCAGCACCGATTTCTGAGTCTGATTACTTCCTCAAGAGCGCAGAATTTCGCGTATGGTTGAAAGATGCTAAGCACAAGGTGACAGCTACGCACCGACTCGCACCAAAGCACAGGAAATCCTGAGAATTGAACTGTCCGTCTTTGCCTTTAATAGTATTTCGACGAGCTGTCTGGAGAGAGGGCCAGAAAGTGAGTCTTATGAGCTCGTCTTCCTGTTGTTATTGAGGTGTGAGACAGGTACTTTCGCAAATTCGTTAAGGTGAGAGTCTACCTAAATTGCGTGTACTAATCTTCCGCTCAATTACTCCGACTCTTGAATGCAGGAATGGAATCGGGGAAAGCTTGAAAGTGCGCATGCATACACCCTCCCTGATATGACAGTTTACCCAGTACCCATACAGGAGCGCTATATTCGGGTGTAGACCCGTCCTCCCCGACTGCATATTCTCACACCAAATATAAATGGTCCTTTGCTTCCAAAAGTTCAAAGGCCGACTCTCAAGCACTCGAAGCTGCGCGCGCAGAGGTCGGCGCTGCGACCTACGGCGGTGGCCGTGTATCGAGCAGTTCTGGTCCGAGCGGGAGCGGCCGCGTGCAAGGCCCAACATTGCCCTCTCCAGCCGACCTTATCATCGCGCGCGAAACAGCGGACGAGTTTCGTGCAGCAGAACGGGAATACAAGCGCAAGCGAGATCGCGCAGAGGCAAAAGATCGCGTTGAAGATGCGGTCGGGCCGAGGGAAGTCGGTCGTGAGCGTCTTATGGAGAAGAAACGCGAGAAGAGGGAAGGTGACCGTATGTTCCGTGAGAGAGCGGAAGATGGATTGGAAGCGGACGAGGGCACGCTCATGGGTGGAGGGGACAGCTTCAAGGAACAGTGAGTCCATTCATAAAGAGCTTACAGAATTTCCGCGGAGTGCTGACCGGACGTATCCGACCGCTGTCGATGGCGGGGTTTTTCCGCACGATATCGCGCAGGATTGCCCGGAGAGATGCCGCCAGAAAGAGATTCGAGGAGAAGCGGGGCGGTCCAAGAGAGGAGAAGATTGCGGCAGTCCGGGAGAGAACAACAGCAATCCGAGAGAAAGACAAGGCAACTATGGATATGTTCATGCAGATGGCAAAAGCGAAATACGGCTGAGGGTCGAGTATCTTTTTGCGTATGCTATCTGCGCGCTAAGCACCTTGTATCTGAAACTTCGTGCTGGATACAATTTAATGACTAGATAAATGGTCATGTCATATACAGGTTGGCAGACGCAACGCATGCTCTTTGGGATACTTCTGACGGAAGATCATCTTTTTACATCCACGCACAGTCTTCTGGGTCGAGGAACTGCATGAATCAAAGGCATTGACATTAAGACATTTACTTGGAACTGCGCCATTTACCTCGGCATTGTTTTGAAGGGGTTTTTCCTGCTTGCGGGCAAAGAACCATTTGGATTGTTGATGATCTGCCTGCCGCGTCCCCATGGGATCTCCCCTGACTCTGTCTTCCGAATTAAGCATATTATGCTACAGTGGGGTATCGGTCGGTGAAAGCTGGTGCACTGAAATTGATATTGCTTACCCCTGTCGACGCGTCGAAGTTGATCTGTCGGAAAGGTAACTGGTTGTGGTGCCTCATCGATGCAGTTTTGCCGCGCGAAGGCTTAGGTGCTGAGCCCCATGAGCAGTTCTCCTCTTCGAGCCGATAGTCTCCGTTCTGCTAACACATGATAAGATCGATCGACGAGATGGAGAGTATATAAAGGTCTACCTTGGATCCACCCTCTCCACTGCCCTCAACTGACTGTAAGGTCTCATCGGTGGCAAAGTCGATCTAGAAACAGAGTGAGTCAGGGGAGTGCGAGCTCATAGAGGAACGCCTACCAACGTGCTGCACTCCGATTCTATGGCAGAAGCAGGAATGACGACCGTTGTTTCTTTCCAGGTCGAGTTGAGGCGCTATAGTGCATGCTGTGAGCAAGGAAAGGAATTTGTGTGAGGGTCAACTCACGCTCTCGGAGAACGTCTTGAGCTTCAACCGCAAAATGGTCCTGAGAGAGATTCGCGAGACGCTTTGATCACTGCTGGAAACGACGTCCTGGACGTAAGAAGACTAGTGTGACATCGAGATCTCCATGAGCAATCGCACCGAGTCTACGAGGCTCAGAGCCACCTCTCACCATGGTGCTGCAGTTGGTCGGATATCTATCGGTTAGACAAGGTGCAAACCTCGGCTCTGCCTCCTGACCCCTTCATCCCCTCTCGAGTTCATATAGAGTCTACATCCGGTCACGGGCCGGGGTGAGACATCCTATGAGTGCTGGCAGCTGCCGGTCACGACATCACCGCCGATGCCACCTAGGTCGGTGTTGAAATGATGACTCGTCCGACTGGAGTGACTTGGCTGGTTGGTCTGGAATGGAAGATCTAGAGAAGTCCAGGTGTCAGGTGTGTGGAATGGACATGCTTCGATCATTGAAATGCGGATGGGGATTCCTCGTCGCCATCTCGCCCTTGGGTCTGGTACGGTGCGAGATATCTCCCTGTTCAATCGCGGAGGTTCGCTGGGAGAGCAGGGAGCTTCATCAAGGTCTCCAATGGCGTGGTTGGGTCGGGGAATCAGTCACAAAGGCGATGCTATAGTCCAGACTCAAGCGGCAGTACGCCTAGAATCCACGGCTTCACTGTCGAGCGACCAGACCGCCACACCAGAGTGAATGAAGAGAGATAACAAGAACCTCAAGGTACATCGGTGTGTGAGTACTCCAATCCATACTGAGCTCCGTCCGACTCTCCTGGAATAGCTATACATCTGTTTCGGTTCCCGTTCATGTGAACGCCGGAGGTGCGTCAGTTGAGACAGATAATAGGAGAGCAGATCGGGAGTGTGTCATTGTCGCAAAGCCGCCGACATTCCGCCAATGTACCTTTGCACCCCGCGAAAGGTACTCTAAAATGAGAAACAAGCAGGAATCTTCCGTGTATGGTGAGCCGATGCTTCTGTCCCTTGTCACATGTAGATTCCAGCGGATATCGCAGAGCTCAGTCCAGAAATATCCATGCGACGGGATTCTCGGCCACGAAGTCTGAATGCTGGGCTAGGAGAAGCAGGTTCGTGGTCATGATCCTTAGTTTCCGAGAGGGACGTCTAGGTATAGTACGCGAGTTTACGACGTTTCAAGGCAGATAAACTGCAGATGACCACAACCCACCATAACTTGACCTGATGCGAGCAGGTGAACTTAAAAGGGATGTTGTCGACTCGAAACAACTGAAAGTGTCGAGGAGAAGATGTATACTACAAGGCTTTGCTCGGCTGTGACGGCTTAGGAGTTCTCGGCCTGTCCTGGCTGCCCAGGCCGGCGGATACTGTTCAGGGATGATTAGAAAGTCAGAAATGGGAGATACATGCCCTGAGTGAACGACCACTAAAGTTCAGTCCAAATATGATTGATTTGTCCCACTCATCGGAATACAAGATATTGACGCGTTCTCCGATGGCCGAGCGCCTCGACACTTTCTGCGAGTGTCCATAGCTTAGGTGCGTGGGTCAGTCTTTTAGCCTCGGTCTTCTCGCCGAGTGGACGTATGAACATGCCTCTGGAACCTTCTGCTATGGACATTGGGGTAGTCTGTGCAGAGTGTCTTAGCCAATCGAGAATCAATAAACACCAGGGTAGTGGATGTAGACAGGAGACTTGCCGACTGAGTGAATACAAAAGGAAATCTTCTTGGGTCTAGCAGCGCCTGGTTGTCATGCTGAAAAGATTATTGTAGAGTCCGTCCGTGAAAAAAGCAATACAAGTTCGAGCAGAATCACAGCGTACCAGGCCTCGCCATTTACTCCGCTTCCTCTTCTTCCTCCTCGTCCGCCATTTTCTTAGGTGCTGCAGCCTCCTTCGTATCTTCTCCCTTCCCTACCGCATCTTTCCATAATGTGAGCTCTTCGCCTGTTTTTCTCCTCGCCTCTTTGAGCACCACTCTCAGCGCCTCGTAGTAACTTGGGTATCCCGGCCTATCAGCCGTGACTTCAATGCGATGCTTAGTAGATGCATTAAAACCGTGCACTTCGGTACCCTGTGGAGGGTGCAGATCGTAAGAAATCACGAGGGTGGACGACATAAAGGAACACAGAATGTCGGACGAGGCAGCGGGTAGGTTTGTGAAACGCCAGAGCGCTAGTTCATCGATCATGTAAGCAGCTGATTGGGAGGTTATAAAAGGCCACGTAAGTTCGACTTTTCTTCTTCTCAACGCCCTCAAGTCAAATTGCAGACCACGTCGCTCTCTTCACAACTGGTCTGTGCCAAAGCAGGGCGGACAACGACTCGGTCATCTTAGTGCTCGACGTTTATGCGTTACGCTTGTCTTGCTTTTCCCATGCTGGGAAGCAGAGCCGGTAGTTCGAACACCTTTAAAATCCTATTCGATGGCTTTGGCAATCTACACCTATTCCCTTGCTCGGAATGCTGCCTGATCTCTTGAACTCCACTGTCAGTTCAAAATGAGGCATGCTATCTGTAAGGCATCAATGAGTTCAGTTGGTTTACAAGGTTACAAGGTGAGGGAAACATTTCATGTTCTTGCAAAGGCAAGCGAAGGGGCCACGCCTTTGCTACTCACGGAATTATATCGGTTCGATTACCGGCTTGCTTTTCGTTCATCCAATCCGACAACAACCGCGAAGCATCGAGGATCGAGGTTGCGATTTGTGTCGTCTCGTCACCGACATCATGATTGCATCTGGATTGACGTCATACACAGTGTCCTCCCTCCTTAAAGCCATTGCTCCGTCTAGTTTCCCTTCACTTCCCCTTACAACCTCCGCATATCATTCAACAGTGCCACTGGATTCTTCAAGCATTCTCTGCATCTGATATGTCTTCTGGAGCCATGCAGTCAAACGTTGGGAATTCCCAGATCTACAACGACGGGGACCAAAGGTTCGTTCCCGATTCTCAGTTGCATACCTCCACGACTGAATCTTTCGAAGAAATCCCCGTGGAACGAACGAAGAACCGTCTCCATACCATGCTGGCAAAGAACATTCGCACAACGACCTTGATTCCAAGTGCGTGTCTAAAGTATTCTTATGTGACGTTTGCTTAACTCTGTCAGAGATGAGCGCAGCATAGCCAACAGACTCGCCGCAGCGACTACCAAAAGCAAATGGGACGCGCAGAAAACAGTCGACGATCCCCTAGCTCCTGCGACTAGTCAAGGTCATGAGCCTTCGCATGGCGCCAAGGTCGATGCTGAACTGCAGCGGGAGGACGAGCAGTATCTCAAGCAAAAACAGGCATGAGGGATTACAGCCTGCAATTTCGATCACCCATTCTCTGTACATTATCACCGCCAGCTGAGTTGGAAAATTCATACTGTAATATGATGCTGAATGGTAACTCAGCATCCACAAGTCCATACTGTTCGAAGTCGGGCTCTTCCACTCTGTCCTTTTGGCCTAGAAAAAATGCCGTGAGAGCAACCATTAATCATTCTGATCTGATCATCCGGAAGGGCACCAGACATGCGCACGGAGCCCTTACGAGACACTTACAGGCGGCGGAAGAGCGGAGACGGACCAATTGGAAGCTGTCGGACCTGTCGGAAGATTCCCTGCCGTAAGTATCAGAACGCCAAACGCGATCACGTGTTAGGCGCGCGACGCGTTCATGAGTCGTTGACGACTGATCCCGTTACATAAATTGCAGGCCTCCTTTCATTCCCTCCTTTCTTCCACCCGCCATGGCTCCTGTCCGTCACGACATCTCCCGCACCTCCTCTATCGCCAGTATGTCTTCTGACGACATCCCAAATATCGACGTAGAGGGTCTTTGCGGTAGCGCGAAGCGCACACGCAAGCGATTCACGAATCTGCAACTCATGATGCTCGAACAACTCTTTCATCGCACTTCCCATCCCACCCGCGATGAACGTGAAGCCCTCGCGGCTGAAGTTGGCATGTACGTAAACACCCTCACCGGCGCGTAAGCGACGCGTCGAACGCTCGTTGACGCGTCTATTCGTGACAACGTGTAGGGAGTCCAAATCCGTGACCATCTGGTTTCAAAACCGACGCCAGACAGAGCGCCGAGCGACTCTGCATAACGCGACGAGTAGTGCGAACGCCGCACGGGTGCCAGTGCCCACCTCTTCCGTCCCTTTCCCGATTCAAACACCCTCCACAACACGTCGGCGCGTTTCTTCTATTCCTAGCTCCTCGTCATCGTATTTCGCGCCTGAAACGCCATTCAACCGGAGACCAAGCCTTGACCATGTTGCATCGCGCTCCGAACTTCGTACCGCGCCCCCACGCACACCATCTCGGAGACACGACCCATCCAAGTCGCTCTGGGACAACATGCCTTCTTCCCCCCTCGCGCCGCCTAGTCCACCTGCAAGGGAGTACGTCGAGTTTGGCAAAAACAAAAGAACGCGTACGCTAGAATGGGCATGTGCCGCGGCAAGGTTAGCAGACAAGGAGAAGGGCCGTGCAAAAATGTCGAAGGTGGAGGATGGAGACGAGACGGAAGAAGAGGATCCACAAGAGGCAATTACTCCCATGGGCAGTCTAACAGGAATCGACCCCTCATGGGAAAAAAAGAAGGAAAGTCAAAATCAAGACGCGACGGTGAACGACGATGTTATGACGGCTGCCTTGGTTCTATGCGGTTTAGGACGACGACCTACATAAAGATTATGGTGTAGTATGGCGGATGTATGCAGATAATGTACATGGATCTATGTATTGTAAGCTGAGCAGTCTCAACAAGGATCGACCAATGATGCAAGATGGACGGATGGATGCAACCAAGTTCCAAACGTAGCGCTATCTAGGGGCATTATGATCGTACCCACCCAATCTCAAATAACTTATACCCACCCTCGTCCGCTCTTCCTATCCCACCCTGACGCTCGAGGCGCTGCTGATGCAGCACAGCCAACTCCCACTCTGACGACATCGTCAACCTAACATCCTGGGCGCTTGGAAAGACATCATTCACCGTGTCGGCCACGCCCTCATGCCGCCCACTCGCTCTCAAAGCGACTATAAGCCAGAATACACCGCCAATAGCACCCGTCGCAGTAGGCTTCGCAAGTAGACTGTAAACGCACGCCTTGATCCACGCCGCGTGCGATGGGTGATAAACGACATCCGCTGCAAGGATAATATCAAACGGCTTGTCAAAAGGAGCGGCTAAATCCAGATATTCCCAGTCGAGACAGCGCACGTCAATTGCATTATGGAAGGAGGTGAAGTTAGTGTCAACATTGCGACGGAGGTTCGCAAGTACGTCTGGGTGGAAGTCCGTTGCGACGATCGTGGTATTTTCTAGGGCACCATATCGCTGAAGTATTTTTGCCGCCGAGATGCTAAGGAGACCTGTGCCCGAGCCAAGCTCCAAAATTCGCCCACCGTTACGGCTGGAGTTCGCATCCAGGCGAAAGGTTGCCGGTTGTGCACACATGCGCTCCGAGAGGATGATTGAGCTTGCCCAGCTCTGCAACCCGACTGAAGTATGGTCTCCACTCAGGAGCGGCGCATCGTTGAGCTCCACCTCGATTGTATCTGCCTTGGAGCCGAGGAATGGGAAAGAGAACGCCCGGGTGAGTGCCTGTTCCGGCTCGGCGCCGACGAACGAGGCGAGGATGTTGGCCGCATCGTCGACGGCCTGAGTGCGCTCGTCTTCTTCGATGGGAGAGGTGGATATCCAAACATCTGCGCGGGCTGCGAAGGCTGTGAGCCATTTGATGGCAAACGCGCGCTCGAAGGTGTCAGAGCGAAGGACATCGATATCGAACGGCTCTTCGCCGTCTCCTTCCCCCTCGACAGACGAGCTCACTGGAATCGCTACCACCTCTTCGACAACTCCGGTATCCTCGTCATCTTCCTCCGCAGATGCATAACCAGAGTCGGGTACAGAGTCATCATGGATGAGATGCCGATGCTGAAGAGCGCGGTTTCGGAGACTGTAACGACGGGGCGGGGATGGTGGTGGGAAGTAGAGAATGCGAATATTGTCTAGCGCATTTGTGACCTGTGATAGAGAGTGTGCTGATAGGCGGTTGAGAGGAGGAAGGCTGGACGTCGGAGGTACGGGTCGATTATTATAGTTCATCTTGTAAGTATGCTCTATAGTTCTACAGTTCTTGGATATCATTCGCCGCACAGGGGGGTCTATGAGACCTGAATGGTATCGCCTTCGTCTGCGATAATGCCCTTATAATCGATGAGCAAATGGGACCCGTCTATGGGGTATTGTCTAGCGTCTAGATGCTGAACCCAGGAGAAAGAGAGGAGGAAGAGAGAGAAGCAAAAAAAAAAAACAGGCGCAAGAGCAGACCACAGGGGTTATTGAGTAACGAAAAACATGGCGAGGATTGCTTGCAGGTTGATAACGTCGACGAGCAAGAAGGAGCGCTTCGTTCATGGCCAATCAGACGCGTGAAAAAAATAATAAAAGTAAAAATAAAATCTGCACGTGCATGATATTTTGGCGGCAGGTCCGGCGAACTATCCAGCGAGGTCCGGCGCCGGCCAGTATCTCATCCCCATAGTGTCCTCATCGACATCGCTGACCTCAGTACCAGTATCTATGGTTCGTCATACAACATACCTAGTCCGAGCCTCATCACGGCACAGCCCGTATTAGTCCAGTATCAGTCCCGTTGTCCTCGACGAATCCGCACCGACACGATCTCTTATTCATGACTCTTCGCTTCCGCCTTGCGGACCTCGCGGTGTTCCACATCTCGGAGCATCGCATGAGAATTTACACGGAGTACACGCACTGCGAACCTCACATCATGTCTCATCGTGTTGTTTCATTCCACTCCACGCTACCCAGTTGTCACTTTTTCGAAGTCCTCGTTGGGCCCGCACTGTAGGCCATGCCGTCTAACACAGGGCTGCATCAGATATCCTGGAAGGGAGATTCATAAAGCAGCTCGAGGGCCTGTGCTAAACAGTCTGAGGTGGTCAGAGGTGGTACGAGGGACAAGAACCTGATTAGTTGGATGTCCCGAAGTTCTGGCACTTCTTTCGCACCCTTTCGCACCCTTTCGTCGGAGTCAACAGGACTGACTTGATACACAGAACGACTTTCTTAAGTGTAAAGCCAGCCACGGAGACTCAGGACTGGCTAAGATCTTCATCTAGAAAGGTACATATAAGGCGTGGATTGAAGGTTCACGTCGAAGGAGATATCGTCGTGGGTTGAGCATGGTCTCACGGATTACCGAACACCCCAGCAAACCTCTTTCTTTCCAAGTGAGCACTGTCTTCGCTGGTGCGGAAATATTTGGAATCCATCTCCTCACTGTTCAAGAACGTTCAGGTCCAGCACAATCTCCTTGCTCAGACCTCGTCATCGTCAATGCGGCCACGGATCTAGCCTTGCACGAACGGGCCTGACTTCCATCTATGACAAGCGACCTGAACAGTATCACTCTGTCTGCAGAGTACAATTTGATGTCGCACGGGTCTCGCGAACTCTCACCAGGGCAGCATGTTCTCTGGGGCCTTTTCCATGTTGTCAAACTTTGATCGGTGGTAGCGTGGTCTTTGACCAAGACGTCGACCTCTTTCTTTCGAATATAGACTGACGAGAACATGAGGGACGTCTGCGGAAGATTTCATACATAGCTGTTTCTGGTATCTCCATTTATTTGAGGCGCTTTCTTTCCGACAACTGTGCCGTCGGAGGGAGAGCGAGAGCGAGTAATTGAACATGTCGCCGAATCCGGCAATACTTCGATACGAGATTTATTTTGTCATGTCCACTGGCTAGGCATCCTCGCTGCCCGCACGGCAGCCTGCAGGCCAACACAGCCCAATTCATGAGCCATACATCTGATCACAGTAGTATGATTACCATCATCGGAAGGAATGACCCTACTAGTCATGATGGATGACACCGGTAGCGAAGAAGCTCACGCAAATAAGCTCTGCTTCTTTGGATGCTGGGATCTACAATTGGAGGTTCGTGTCAGCTTGTTAAGTGTAGCGCAGCTATTGCCTCCTATATCAGGCTTTCCTTCAACCAAAGCCTCGGGGCCGCATCTCAAGCGCAGCAAGTAGAAAGGGCATCAAGAACAGATATTATCACCGCCGCGACGCCTTGCATCTCTTCTCGATTTACCTCAACTTCAGCTTGATTGCATGTGGACTGCTTCAGCTGGATCATGGAACAAGCGCGTCGTCGGGCCGTGGACCACGCTAGACCTCGCTAGACCAAAAGTTCAAGGCTCAAACGCGTGACACAGGGCGACAAACCGGTCCCTGGACTGTTCGAGGGATGATTTTCGTATCATGCGGTTCACCGGCTGCTTGTTGTCCAGCCGTCCCCTGGCCCCACTCTCCCTTGCGGTCTCTGGCGCCCGTCACTCCTTCAATAATACCCCAGGCCCTTCCGTTCTTTTCCTTTCTCCTCCTTACCCTCGATCTCCATCCTCCCCATCCGCGACGGATTACCCGCTCGTCTAACGACGCCGTCAAGCATGCTTCCGTACGCTATCCTCGCAGCGCTTATCCCTGCGCTCGTTGTCGCACAGGACGATGGCAGCATTTCTGGCCCAGCAACTAGTCCCCAGGCGGCTGGTTACTCTTGTGATGCCTCCAAGTGCCAGCTGCCAAGCTGTCACTGCGCCAGCACTAGTCCACCTGGCGGATTGAATGCGGTGAGTTTTGCTACATGTTTGTTTGCGCGCTCTCCTCAAGCGCGCGCCTCAATGCGACCGGCTGTCATACACCGAATCAACAACCATCATTGCTGAAGCTGATATCAAATTCTCCCTCAGTCCCAAGTTCCTCAATTCATCGTTTTCACTGCCGACGATGCCGTTCAATCCTACACCCTCGATTCTGTCAATCAGTTCCTCGCGCAGCGCAAAAACCCAAACGGCTGTCAGCCAAAGATGACTTATTATACATCGCTCAACTACACGAATTACACGCTCGTTACGGACTGGTTTGTCGCCGGTAACGAAATCGCTGACCACACGTGCGTAACAAGCCCTGTTCACTCCGCTTACGAGTGACTACTTACCTTGTGTATCCCGTGCTCTCTTCGCGTGTTTTTGCGGCTAGCATGACACATGTCGGTTCCCCGCCGGATAATGAAGTCGATGGAAACCTGATCGCACTCAATGCACTCGCTGGGATTCCCTTTTCATCCATCAAAGGTTTCCGCGCCCCATACCTGAATTATACCGCAGATACCTTAAAGCATCTCGCCGCGGCCAAGTTCACTTACGATTCCTCCGCGTCTGCGTCTATCCCTGTCACTGATCCTAATACGGATGCGTATTGGCCCTATACCCTGGACAACGGCCTTGCAAATGACTGCTTGAACGTCCCTAACATTTGCAAGGGCGAGCCGAAGCTCCCTGGATTCTGGGAGATTCCGATGTACGCATTCTTTGATGAACGGGGTGTGGATGGTCCGCATCTGATGGACCCTTGGTTGTAAGTCTCTTTCTCCATAAACTAGCCTGGCGTGCCTTCACGTGCATACACCTCTAGGGATGCAGCCAACGGTGCTTCCGCCGTTAACGATTCTGCTACACTTGAGTACATGAAGAGCACCTTCACTGCCCATTACAATGGCAACCGCCAGCCCATCGGACTGTATACTCATCCAATCCATGTTTCCGTAAGTCGCGACCTCAATTTGATGGACGATATCAAACCGACGTGATTTTCTTCTGCAGCTCACGTACCCCGGTTCGACTGCTTCCAAATCGACGGTCGCCATGATCAACACCTTCCTCGACTGGGCCCAGCAGCAACCAAACGGTGAGATCCCAGCGACATTTTGTGGGGCGCAGGAACACCACATTGATGGCTTTGAAAACAGTGTGGATCGTCTCATCCGAACAGCTGCTCGATTGGGTTCAGAACCCGACACCCATTTCGCAGTTGGACAGCTTCGGCTCGCTCAAGTGCTCGACGCCGCAAGTCAGCGACAAGATCTGTAACGGGATGCCGTCGAACGAGGCTGGCCTGTTGAGCCACTGCGCGTTCCCCGACTTCCCCTTCTACACCTGCGTAAGTGTTCATTCGATTCCTGTTGTTGGCTACCGTTGCTGATTGGTGTCAAATTTGTATCAATTTTTATGTAATTAGTACGGGTGCCCCGAGATCGCGCCAACAGTCGATAACCCGAACCCTGCTCAGCAAATTCCATCTGGCCAACAGGCGCGTGTCCGTCGTACGTCTCTTCTATTAATCAAGTCCCAGAAATCGTTTGTCTCACGAGAGTTCTTCGCCTGAATCTGGCCATAGTCCCCTCTAACTGCTCGACACCGTTCTGGGACCCCATCAAGGGCGACTGTATCTGCACATCCGACACTTGCACCTTCAGCGACGACTCCCGGCCCATCGGTGTACGTCTCGCACCCTTGACCGCTAGTCTGAGTATACTGATGTTGGAATCTTACAGCCAAACGGTGCAAACCTGACCGGCGGAGGCACCGGCGGTTCCGAAGTGAGCGCTTCGGCGTCGGCGACGCAGAGCTACGTGCCATTCAACGCCGCGCTCCCGGCGGTCCCTGCTGGAGTCGTCCCCGCGCTGCTTGTGGCCACCGTCGGCATGTTCGCCGGTTTCATAAGCACCTACGGGCGACTCTGAGGCATCCGAGACTCTTTCCCCATCCGCTCCTTGGACTCGGTCTGGATTCTCACTTGACACTCACTTTGGAGTTTGCGCTTCGATACGGGACTTCACATGGCTTCGTTTCCGCCCTTGGCTCACCGACTTACATCCGTTTCGTGGACATTCTCATTGGACTTCGTGCTCTCCTCCACCTCCCCTCCCCTTCACTCCATGCAATACTAACGAATAGTACTTACCCATTCCATCCCTCGCATTGCTCCGCCGCTCTGTTACTGTTACCTAGGCGCTGACTTCCGATCGACGCTTACTTGACTAATTAATATTATCGACGTTCGTTCAGTTACCTGCAGTGAGATTCCCATGCTGATTCACTGGGCGGTCAGGCGTTCGGTAGCCTGTAGCCACGACACTTTCATCACGACTTGCGCCATGTCGCCGTGGAGAAGAAATGACCAGTGCTTCGATGCGCTGATGGCGAAAGCACTCGCTCACTCCATCATGTCGGTTTGTATGGCCGTGTGCAGGCTCGGCGTTTCGCGCTCAGCCGGTAGGAACGCTTCATGAAGTGGGCTCGAAATGTTATAGACGGAATTGCAGCTGGTCATGTACACGAAGCACGAGTACCAACGACCGATTTTGAGACCGCGCGCCCTGCAGGGTACGATGCTTATGTGCATCGCGGTATTCACTCACCAAAGCTGTTTGAACACATATCCCAACGTGTTCACTCTGAAGATGTCCGTGCCGGCCGAGAAAGAACTTGACGATGCAAATGCGAGCCATGGCGCAGGCCCAATGAAGCGCGGTGTGTCAATCGTCGTCGATGGCTATGTTCGGGTCTATGTCGGCCGGCGGATTGATGAGAATGTCCGGGAGTTGATGAGAGTCAGGAATAAAACATTCCAGGATCTGGTCTCCGTAATATTTTGCGGCGCTCATCCAGTTCAATGGTCGCAGTTGTACTGCTTGGCAAGCGGCAGTCCTCGCACTAGAGGAATCCAAGTGCCTAGATGCGACGGGCCAATGCGAGGGAGAAGAGGTGTCAGGGCACGAGAGACGGGGGGAGAGACGACTGCGGAGAGACTCGCTGTGGTATTTTCCGTACCCGCCCTGCACCCTCTCGTGCTCGCCCTTCTGCACCTCGCGCTCGAGGACCCTCGTGCGCTGAAGCCGGCCGCGTTGAGGATCTGTGTCGCGTTGAGCCAAGAGTCGGCCCGCCGTCGCACCGCCGCGACGTCCTTGCACATCCTGGGCGCGTTCGAACACCTGAATCAGCGTATCTCGCCACACGCGGGCGAAAGGAAGATGCACGTCTCGTAGACGTGGATCCCGCTGTACGTGACCTGAGTGGGAAAGAGGCCATGAAGAAGCAGCGCGGTAGCTGGCTGCTGTATAGCGTTTAGGGCGGCTGGTCGCGTTGGCCAGTGGTGAGCTTGGCCGGGCTTGCTAGGCTCGGACACAGCCGGTGAATCCATATTCCGCTGCATGGCCATGACCGTGTTGTCGACAAGGACGACAATGTCTCCCCGTCGTCAGTCTCCTCTCTGGGCGCCGCATCTGGCGCTACTTCGTATTCGTACTCTGCTGATCCACACGCTGTCTCCATGGAGGAGGCCCTGTCTTACTACGCAGGCCTTCCTTCTCAGCCCGCATTGATCTACCGCACGGGCAAGGAGCAGTGGGCCCCGCCCAAGGGACCCGAGGCCTACCGTCGTCTCAAAGAGCTTTGCGAAGTCTTCGCCCATCCGATCGTTGAGGTCTGGAACGAGGAGTTAGGCTGGACGAGGAGTTAGGCTGGAAGGTAGTCAACATTATGGACGCTCACCAGGTACGTGAAAATCTCTACTGTCGTCGGCAGCGTTTGGGGCGCCCTCGGCGATGGGCTAGTGCAGTAGCGGCGTCAGAAGGCGAACTATAGCTGCTGCTCCTGCTGTACTGTCGTCGCTGCCGCTGTCGTTGTCATTGCCATCGTTATCGTCGTTGGTATCAATCGTTATTGCAGTCTTTATAAAGTTTACCAACTACGATTTCTAGATTCGTTCTACAACGATCGATGTCGTTCGTTTCAAGAAAGTCGTCGAGGACGAAGACGTCGGGGACGAGGACGACGAAGAAGGTGAGGCTACGAGTTCGGTCGTCGGTCCCGTCACTATCTGGATTGGCGTCTCCCCCGACACCATCTCCGCTACGGCTGCCCACGGCGCGGCTCAGGACGTCCTCGCTCTTCTCAAGGACTACAAGATCACCGACGTCGACATCGACTTCCGCGAGTCCACCTACGTGCGCGAGGTCGGTCCTCGGCTTCACAGGCCCGTCGGTGACCTAGACCCGCTCGTCGACGTTGTTGGTCCCCTCACTCCTGCACTCAGCCTCAGCATCTCTACCAAGGCCAGGCTCGGTGCTTAGGGGACAATGGCCGTCTACATCGCCGAAGGTGGTGACGGCGATAGGCTCTTGCTTGCCGCCACGTCCTCATCTCAGCCAAGGACACCAACGTCGACTACGTTTACCACCCCAGTGCACCTAAAAGAGACGTCTTCCTGCCCGGCAAGAGTGCCTTTAACAACCTCGTCAATTCGATTATAGTCAGGATCGGTCGTACAGCATTGCGATAGAGCGCTGGGGGAGTCAGATTGCTGGGTTCGGGCGTAGGGAGCAGGGCACCGACGCCGCCGACATTGCGAAGGCTAGGGCAGATCGTGTCGTGACTCAGGGGCTGGTGAGCAACGCGGAGGCGGCGATAGATGCACTCGGAGAGTTGTTCAACCAGGTCCATCAGGACTGGAAACAGCCCAACAATCGCGTCCTCGGCCATATCCTCCGCTCCCCGGCCATCGCTCTCGGCGTCGGGCCTCATCGCTTCACGGAAGATTATGGGTTAACCGCGACAAACTCGGCGAGCTTCCAGGGCAACAAGATAGACCTCGGTGCGTTTTTGACTATCCGACCAAGGCTGCGTGCTCACCGTTTATGTCTTTATATCTAGGAACAAAACTGGATGCCGACGAGTTTACGCTCAAGTGTTATCCCCGCGCTGACGCCGACTGGAAGCTCAGATTCCCCGACGATCGTCTCCTTCCCCTCACGGGCGCCATCGGCGACGACTTGATGCGCCACCCCGATATGTGGAACTTGGACGGCGAGCCCTGCTTGTTGGTGGTCAAGAACGGCAACGCCGCTGGCGCCACCATCGGCCGCGCGAACGGCGTCTTCAGCATCGTCCGCGACTACTTCAACGACCCGTCCGTCCACCAGACCTCCATGGAGTAGGGGATCATCAACTGCGACAGTAAGTCCGGGGTATTCTCGAAGCCTGGCGATTCGGGCGCGATCATTGCCGACATCTGTGGTCGTATCGGTGGCATGCTCACTGGCGACTCTGGCAAGGAGGAGTGTTCCGACATGTCGTACGCTACGCCGTTCTGGTGGCTCCTCGAGCGGTTCCCCAGCGCGCACCTCAACGTCGTCGCCTAGGCATCTCAACGGCAGCAACGGCATCGACGGCGTATGCAGTAGGTTCTCGTTGTTCGGATCATCGCATCCTCGCCGTGTACAATATATCCCCCCCATCCTCTATGTCCATCGTTCGCCTATTTTTATGACATCATTTATTACCGAAAATCGAGCACTCGTAAGGGTCACTCGCTAGTAATCTCGAAAAGATACACTATCCCAGATATCCGACGAGAACTTGTCTGAAGCGAGGCAATGTGAACGGCGCAAGCGCTTCACCGGAGAGCTGGTACTGTTGTATCATCCTCGCCTCCATCCCAGATTAACCGATCATATCGATCACACGAGACAGAAGCCCAAGGAGAGATCGTCTCTGCGGACGGGATCGTAGCACAGCGGAACGGAGAGCAACAGTAGAACACCTCCATCCGGTCACGTCTCCATTGGCCCCAACGCACGCCCCTAGTGGGCCAGAGTCTCGCGCGCTCAGCCGGTTCACCGTGGGCACACACGCACACGCGGCTGCTCTATAGCCAGCCCCTCGCGCGTCGGATCGGATCGAGGGAGCATCGAGGAGTATCGAGGGACGGGGGCAAGCGTGCTCATAAAAGACAGTGGCGGCGGCGGTAAAAGACAGACGTGCGGCGGCGGTGCGTCCGAACAGACAAACAGACGAACAGGCAAACAACAAACAGGGGGGGAGGCGGGGAGACACGAGTCCGAGAGGCGTACATGGGCAGGAAGTCAGGAGGGGACATGCGTCGGTGCGCGGGAGGAGCGGAGGGGCGGGGGCAGGGCTGGGAACGCCGAGTGAGAATGTGGACGATGCGTAGGCGCAGTGGTATAAGTACACGATGAAGGACCAGCTAAGAACGGGGGTGGACTACCTGCTGCTGTACTATACTAGTGACCGGGGAGTAGAGGTAATGCATAAATAATCGCGAGGGCCCGAAAGAACACGAAGAGGCAGGAACGAAGCCCGCAGATCGAACGGAGAACGAAGAACGAAAGACGGAGAGGGAGAGAAGAACGAGGAAGGAAGGAGGGTATGCACAAGTTGGCGAGAACGAATAAAAAGACGCATATATGCGCGCGGGGAGGCGCGAGCCTTCTATGACGACGACCCACGGGCACGGTACCGTACATACATGCACACGCTGCACCGAGCGAGCGCGAAAGAGATTCGGCGACCGTCGATCAGCGCCCCCCAACGAAAGAAAACCGACGAGGAGCCTCACCGAGCGAAAACCCGCCACGATACACCATCATACAACACGCCTCCGCACACGCACACGCACGCACGCACGCGCACGGACGGCACTCACGCGACCCCCACCCTCCCCACCCGCCCCCTGCCCCCCTCCAAACTCCTCCTCCCCCCCTCCCTCTTCTCCGCCTTCTCCGCCTTCTCGCCCTTCCCAGCCTCCCCAGCACCCGCCTTCGCACCCACAGGCGCCGACGCCCGCTTCCTCCTCCGCGCCTCCACGTACCCCCCCACATCACAGTCCCCAAAGCCCGGCGGCAGCACGTTATACGGCGGCCCGTACGGCTGCGTCCGCCGCGGCAGCTGCGCCTGCTGGTGCTGGTGCTGGTGCTGCTGGTGCTGGTGCTCCTGCTGCTGCTGCTGCTGCGCGTGCAGCCCGTGGTGGTGGACGTGCGCGAGCGCGTGCAGAGGCGACGGCGGGTGCGGGATCTGCGCGAGGAGCGCGGAGAGGCGCCGGTGCGGGGGCGAGCGCGGGGTTTTGGGCGGCGCCGTGGCTCCCGTGGGTGTTCCCGCGGGTGCTCCCGTGGGTGCCGTGGGTGCCGCCGTCGCTGCCGTCGCTGCAGGCGCAGACGCGGAGGGCAGTGCGACCGTCGTGCGCCCCGGCGTGGCTGGCGTGGCTGGCGTGGCTGGCGCAGTCGCGTGCCCACCGAGGCTCGCAACCGCCTGCGGCAGCGTCAGCGGCAACAACGACAACGACGGCGACGGCGACGTCTCCGCGTTCGCGTTCGCGCTCGCGCTCGCGCCATCCCGCTCTGTCGTCCAACCGCTCGTCCGCGCGCGCCGCAGCCTCCACGCGAACCTCCCGCGCTCGCGCGCGCTCTCCCCCAGCCCCGGCCCCGGCCCCGGCCCCGCCCCAACCGCCACCTCACCCAGCCCCGCGTCCCGCCGCCCGCCAAACGTCGCCGAGCGCCGCACCTCCGCCTCCGCCTCCGCCCGCTCCCGCTCCCGCTCGTGCCCCTCCTCGCGCGCGTGCGCGTGGTCCGCCGACCGCCGCTTGCGCGCCACCCGCTCCCCAAGCTCCGACGCCCCTCCCTCCCCGCTCGTCCCCGTCCCCGCCGTCCCCGTCCCCGCCGTCCCCGCCGACCCCGTCGTACCCGCCGACCCCGCGCTCGACGGCCGCTTGCGCCACGGGCGCGCAAGGCGCATGCTCAGCGCGCGGGCGCGCGAGCGCGAGCGCTCCCTCGCTTCCGCGGCGCGGTCTGCTGCTCCGGTGTGCTGCTGCTGCTGCGCGGACGGGGCGGCGGCGGCGGCGGCGGCGGCGGCGGAGCTGCTCGCGAGGGTCTCGTCTGAGGAGTGTGCGGACGCGGAGGACGGCGGGCTGCGTGGCGGGGGCGAGAGGGGCGGTGGCGGTGGCAGGGGCAGTGGCGGGAGCGGCGGCGTGCTCGATGACGACGACGAGGACGAGGCGGCGGCGGCGGCGGGGCCGGGGCCGGTGGTGGGCTCGTGGAAGGAGACGTGGCGCGCTGGGGAGGTCGGTTTGGATTTTGGCTTGGGCATCCATCGGGCGCGCGGTTTTTGTTTGGGCGGGGGCGGGGGAGAGGGGAGGCGCGGTAGTGGTGGCGATGGTGGTGGCGGCGGTGGTGGCTCGGTGAGCGCGCGCGTGTGCTGCGGGGGCGGGGTGGTGGTGATGGTGATGGTGGGGAGCGGGAGGGGGAAGGGAAGCGGGGCGGTGTGCGCGTGCGGCGGGGGCGCGCGCGTGCGGGGTTTCGACGGGCGGGCGGGGTTGGCGAGGGCGCGCGTTGGGGGCGGGAGCGGGGGCGGGGGCGGGAGCGGCTTGGGGAAGGGCAGGAGCCACGTGCCGACGCTCTGGATCGGGGTGAGCGCGTGCTCGGGTAATAGACGAAAGGGGGAGGGGGGGGCGCGGAGGGGCACGTACGATGAGGTAGCCCGTGTAGCCGAGGACGCGGGCTGCGGCGGCGAGGAGGAAGGAGAGGTCGTAGTAGACGCGCGCGGCGTCTGGCATGCGCGCGGGGTTCTGCGCGGCGGACGTGGACGCGAACGGGCAGGCGGAGTGGAGGCGGAAGACGAAGGCGAGGCGGATGTCGATGCGCGCGGAGACCTGGCGGAGGACGCGGGCGTGGTCGGCCCTGCACGCGTCGATGTATGAGCGTGCGCGGGCGCGGTCGTCGTCCCCGCCGTTGCCTTTACCGTCGACTATGGTGCGGAGGGCGGGGAGGAGGGCGGGGGCGTCGAGGTGGAGGGCGGTGTAGTGGAGGTAGAGGACGAGGACGGAGCAGGAGAAGAAGGTGCAGATGGTGAAGCAGGCCAGCTTGGCGGCGGGTGCGGGGGGCAGGAGGGCGGGGGATGTGTGTGTGCGCGGTCGTGGATCGCGGGCCGGAGCGAGGCGGGGCCAGCTGGGGCGGACTCGAGCCGGGAGCGAAGGAAGGAATGGGCGCGGGTGGCAAACGAAGGCGGGAGGGAGGAGAGGCCATGGTCGCAGCCAGCCGGCGTCTGTATATACGCCCAGAATCAGACCACAAACCATCGTCGCGGGTCCGCGTAAGCACCGTGACTCACCCCACGCGTCGGTGGCGCATCCCCCCTCCAGTCCGAGTCCGGCACTCCGTCTTCCTCTCCGCCTCCCTCGCCCTGCCCACCGCTTCGCCAGCCACACCTGCGACTCGAGCCCCTCCGCTGTCCTCCCAGCATCGCATCTCCCCACCCGAGCGCTGTTTTTTTTACCTGCCGGATGAAAACGCATGCTCATCGGAGCGACATCGCGACGCGGACCACGTCATGCCCGCCCTGCCTGCCCGCTCCCGGATCACCCCATCACCGATTCATCATGTTGCCATCGCCCCAGGCGCGCGCCACCGCTCGCTGCACAACCCCCGTGCGCACGCTTTCGTAAATCCCGGCTCTCGCCCGCCGCGCTTGGTACACCGTACCCACCATATGCGCACGGCCGTGGCCGGTGGCCGTGTCTCCCGTATATGTCCCCCGTATATGTCCCCCGTATATGTCTCCTCGCGTCTCCTCGCGCCGCAGAGACGGAGACAACGTGAGCCACCTCGTATAATCTCCAAACACGGCAACCTCGGCGGCACTCCCGCTGCTCATCCCAGACGCCCGCCTGTGTAACCGTATCTTAGTGCACACACGCCATACTGTTATTATAGCAAGTCAGCAGCCGACTGAGCTGGTCCCACACATCCATCGGGAGGCGCCCTCCGGCTCGCGTCATGGCACATACGCACATACGCACGATACACGATACACAATGCACGATACACGATACACATATTACCACGCGCGCCTTCCAGGCCTTCCCCTCCCCCCCCTCTTCTCCAGAGAACCCGACCGCGCGCGCATTCGCCCAAGCACACACTCCAGCACACCCCATGCTCAGCGCACACACGACCCAATCACGAGCCCCGCCTCCGCCCTCCCGACCACGCCCCACCCATGACGCGTCCCCGTCCAATCCCCGACGTCCCTCGGCGGACGCGTGACAGCGCCTCGCTTACGAGCCCAAACCCCGCATCGCCCAACGCCTCCAGACACACCGGGCGACACGCCGCAGACACTCGCCCGACGCATAAATTTCCCGTCAAAACCCCCGACGTCGCGCACACCTAAAGAGTGAGGAAAAAAAGAAAATCTAAGACTCTATTTTTTTTTTTTTTTGCCTGGGACGCTCCACCGGTACACAGCGCACGACACACCGCGTATTAGTCAACGCATTCCAACGGGCAAAGTTTGAAAAAGCCCTCCCGGCCGAACCAACGACCCGAGGCCGGGCCGGGCGACGCAGAGAATCAGACGTCGATAAAAAGGCAAGGCGAGTAGAGGGAACGCAAGTCCCGCGCCACGTCGCTGCGTATGGTATCGATGGACTCGGAGTGCGAAAAGAGAAGAGAAGAAAAAGTAAAATAGAGATAAAAAAAGTGGGTCTCGGGATCGTCTATCGTGCTCGACCGCCATCTATGTCTGTATCTGTATCTGTGTCTGTCTGGGTCGTCGAATGAAGAAATCACTATCGCGCGGTACTGTAGAATATCAGGCGGTGGGGGGTATGGGTCGAAGGGAGCGGGCACGGGAGTTGGACGCGACGGGGTCGTCGTTCTATAGAAAGGGGAAGAAACTCTAGGATGGGGATGATACGATACGACGCGGCGCGAGCGCCTAGGCACGGACGCAGGAGGCACCGTCCGCGCCGACCTTGTATCCGACCTCGCAGTTGTTGACCTCGCAGCGTCCAACGACGCACGAAACCGCCGACGCGTACGGGATCGCCATGCAGTTATGCCTGCACGCCGCGACAAAACAAATATCCACAATTATAAAATACCCCCCAGGAAGCAGCAGAAAGAAGGAAAAAAAACAGTCAGCGGGGTTTGCGGTTGTCAAACACGGCGCGGTCACTCACGCGTCGTCCACGATCCCGCACCCACCGCAGCTCTCGAGGTCCGAGCGGAAGTCCACGCACTCAAAGCCGTGCTTCAGCAGCTCCTGCAGCTCGCCGGCCTCGGCGCCGGTCGAGGCGACGACGGGGCACACGGACAGCGCGGCGGGGCACAGCGCGCGCGAGACGGCGTCGAAGGCGACCTCTGCGGCGTCGGCGCGCTTCAGGAGGCGCTTGGACGGGGCCGGCGCGGGGGCGGGGGCGCGCTTGGAGGGCTGGGGGTGCGCGGGGCTGTCGGGGGTCGCGCGCTTGGAGGGCTGGGGCGCGCGTTTGGAGGGCTGCGGGTGCGGGGCGCGCTTGGAGGGCTGTGGGTGGGGCGCGCGGGGCTCGACGGGCTGGGGGGGCAGGGGGGGTGAGAATCGTGAGGGGCTGGACGGAGAGCGGACAGGGGAGGAGGAGTGGTAGAATGGAAGGACAGGAGAAGGGGGGGGGGACGTACAGCGCGCTTGGAGGGGAATGAGCGAGCGGCGGCGGCACGCTTGGAGGGCGCGGGGGCGCGGGCCTGGACGCCGTACCCAGCGGGGCTGGCGTTAGGAACGGCGGTGACGGCCGTGCAGAGGGCAGCGAGGAGCGAGAGGGCGATGGTAGCGCGCATGGTCGAAAACTGCGAGGTCTAGGGATAAGGCGGATCTACTCGTGCGAGATAGCTGTGCCGTGTACGATCTCTTGTGATGGCGAGAGCGCGAGAGGCCGTGTGATGGGGTGTCGAGAGGGGGGGGGAGGTGGTGGTGGTGGTGAGAGGAGAGGAGGAAGAGGGAGAGGGAGGAAAAAGAAAGGTCGCGGGGAGGGGCGGCGGGAGAAAAAGAGACGGGTGTGGAGCGAGCGGTTAAAAGCCAAGAGCGGTCGCAATAGCTTGGCGGGCGAACTGAACTGGGTCGCGGAGCAGCGCGAGTGAGTCCGCCCGCGTTTGGGCCTCGACTGTTGCCGTGATCTGTTCTCCCCCCGCCGCCGCCGCTCCTCAGCCAGTCCTCAGCCTCCTGTTCGATCGCCCGGCGCCGCTGTGCCCCCTGTCGCAGGTTCAAAAATGCAGAGCCTGGCCTCGGCCCTCCGCCGTGCACACACCCCTCCCTTGTTTGCCCCCCCTCCATTCCTCTCGTTCATTCCCCAACAAGGCCCGAGCGCCTCGGTCGCACTCGGAGGATTAGCAGGCGGGTCAGCGTGGTGGTGGCGCGCAATGACGTCGTTTGGAAGCTTCTCTTGTTAATCGCACCCTTCCCGATAAGGACATCCGCATCCCCTTCGGTCGCAAACAAGCAAGCACGTCTCGCTGCACGCAACGAACGAAGCTCATATGTCTCTGGAGAGCGTCTGCATGTCTCACGATATCATAGCGCACGGAACACGGTCCATTCGCTCACCGGCGTCGGTAGCAGCTCCACCCCAGCTGCTTCGCGATAAGCAGCGCAGCGTCGTGGACGCTACTAGCCGACGGTGCACACTCGCCGCGCCTCGAGATCCTATCACGATGCACACGCCACCGTCTGCCGACGTAGCGCGCTGCAGAACGGTTCGAAGATGCGCCCGTTCGAAGCGTTTGACAGATGCGACAGGATGCGACGTATTAGATCAAGTGTTACAGCGCCCGTGTCCCGGGCGACGCGATCAGTGCTCGTTGCTTCAGATCTCATTAATCGACCATGTCGCCATCATCAGAAGCCGCGGCTGGAAGCGTGGTGGCAGTGGTCGACGGTTCTTCAAAGCGCTTCCGTCAGTCGTCGTTTACTGCGGCGGTGAAAGGATCATCAAGTTCACGGGGGTCACACGGTGTAGGTTCGTCCACCGTGAGGAGCATGTTATTGCTGTATGATCCAGGTCCACAAGATATGTGGTAAACATAGATGCAGATGTAAGAAAAGAACGAACGTGTGCTGATATGATAGAACGAACACAGGACGACGCCGGCATCATCATCAGGACTTCACAGACAACGGCAGCGCTCGCCGGTCTCTCCGCTTCCTCTCGACGAGGAGGTAGCTCACTGACGCCAGACGCGGAAATAGCGATCAACGTGGCCGCTCACAATGAAAGGCTGGACAGGCACGCACTGATCAAGCGGTCCATAGAATCGGTCGCTTCAGGCTTGACCTCGAGAAAGGCGTGCCGCGACATGCGGAGGACGAAGAAGTGCCGGCGGTGCTTGTGGAAGTCGGCGATCGGAGCTTTCTGGTCGCCATCGGCGCGCACGAGCTGCAGCAGAAGGACGATCACGAGCGACGACCGTGAGCGGCGTGGTACAGCGGCCACAGCGGGCTCACCTGCAGCTGGCGCCGGTGGCTCTTCCAGCGATATTCCACGCCCTCGCCATCGTCGAACGTCCCGCCGCTGTACGAGCATCGAGCGCCGCTCGACTTCGATACGCACCGTTTCGCAAGCATTGTGGGACACGCACCGCTTCGCATCGTCCCATTTCAGAAACTCGTCCGCGTCCACCCACTGCCCCTTCTCGCCGCCGAAGCGCACCTTCGCGCCCTCGCCGGCGCGGCGCTGGATCTCCGCGATGAGCGCGAGCTCGCGGGACTCCTTGTCGAGCTTGAACACCTTGGTGACGTCCGGGTGCCAGAAGCGCGTGACGACCTCGTAGTAGAACGCGTCGTCCTCGACCGCGATCGTCGTGTTGCGCAGGCTGTTCGTCGTGAACACCATCCGGTGCGGCGCGGGCTTGGTGGGCGCGGGCATCGTGCGAGCGACGGGCTTGACAGATAGGCTTGGATGTTGGGTGGAGAGACGCTCAAAAGTCAGTCGGGGAGAATCGGCTCGATCGCTCCTTGGTGCGGTGGGATGAAATGGTGAGGGGGAGATGGGGGCACGGATGCGTCGAGGACGGCGAGGCAGCCACGCCCGGTTTAAATCTGGTCGGCGTACTAAGACCACCCGCGCGCCGCCCGCAAGCCAGCAGCATCATAGGTCCCGAACGACGCGCGGGCCGTGCCTCTACCACAGCGCGGGTGCGAGAACCGCGCCGGAAGGAGCGCGATTCTCCCATGGTGCGACCGGACCCAGTGTGCCCGCCCGCAGCCATGAGTATTACGGCACTCTGCGCGCGAGAGGCTTGGATGCCCAGTAGCCCTATTTGGATTCTGCAGTGGGAACATGAGAGCGGAGGCGGTTTGGGGAGGGGCGCGAGGGCCTAGGCTGCCAAAGTGTGAGACGTGGTTGGGTGCGTGCATGGGAAAGCGCTGATTGAGAAAAGAGAGATGGGACGGAGCGTGCTATCGGCGTGCTCAAATGAAATGGTCGAGGAGATGCCAGTTCCTGTACGGAGCGATTTATGTCAGAACAGCTTGTGGTACGTACACAGATGTTCTGCTGAATTCGAGAGCGTCGCGTGGCGACTTGAGATCTCCCTAGTCTCCGTGGCTGACCTTACACAGAAGATGGTCATTTTGTGTATAAGACCTCCCTGGGAGAGAACCAACAGAGAAACGACTATGAACAAGGGCAACGTCAAAGGAAGTTTCCATATCTGCAGCAGGCAGAAGGCACAATGGGATGACCCAAGCAAAGCATCGTACGCGTCCGCACGTGCTCCTCTCAACTCTCGCGTCCGACAAACCGTCCGACACGACGAGCCTAAAAAGAATCTCTGCCGCTGGATGTACAGACATCACCCCTCCTCGCTATGGACCCCCAAAGCCCTGACGAGTACGACGCATACAATCTATCCGAGTTCACCGCCGACGAGCTCGCCTCCATCGACGACCGCGCACCCACGACGCCCCTCCACCACGTCCCCCTCTCAGCGCGCTCCCGCCGTGCGTCCAGCCCCGATTCGTACGATGCATACGCCCTCGTGGAACTCACCGCCGCCGACCTCGCCGCCCTCGACGCCTCCACGCCCCAGCAAACAGCCACACTGGCTCTCGCACTTGCCTGCCTGGGTCGCGGCGATGGTGCATCTGGTGGACCCCGCATCGCTGTAGAGCTCGAGGACGATGCTGACTTTGCCTCTGACTCTCCCCTCAAGGGTGGTTATGCATCGGGGCGCCGCGACGGCGGCAAGGCGCGGGGACCGCAGGTCGAGTGGTCTCAACGGAGCCCATTCGACCGCCATCGTCGCTGGAAGGGCATCTTCAGCGTGTCGGACCTAGTGGCACCCGTCTGGTATGCACCGTTATCCTGCTTGGTGTCGCCGACACCGAAACCTCTGTTTCTCGCTATTAATACGCGTTTTGGTAAGGTGTGAGGTGCAGTACGATTACGGCCTGAGGCAGTCCCGAGCACGCGATTTGGATCGCCGACCGTCGACCGTCGTCACGCGCGAAGGAAAGACGATCGTCGTCGCAAAGGAAGTTGCTGCTTCCAACGACAAGATCACACAGCGCGGAAGAGTACGTGGTTTTGTTTTGCCTCGCGCGGGCCGTTCTGAGCACCGCACAGAAAATCCACAAGAATCTCGAAAAGATGGTCAAGCCGGTCGAAGTCGAGATCAAGGCGTCCACCAACACGGAGCGCTGGGCATTGCGGTGTGTCTGAACTTTTATATACGCCCCGTGAGATCCTCGTTTTGATTCGCGTCGTAGACTAGTCAATATGCTCGCGAGTCTGGACAGCATCTTGGAGTTTGGTTATACCGTAAGTGGGCCGCAGTCCTCATCAAATCATTTGACAACCTGTGCTGCAGCGCGAAATTCCGGTCTTTGGGATAACACACAACGAGCTTGTCGTCGGGATCGTCGTAAGGCAGAGAATATATAATACCGTGTGTGGCAACGATTTATCATTTTGACAGGACGAAATTCGATGGAAGCCTATTTCCGAGGCCGACTCAAAAAGCAGCCCTTCGCGTAAACGACCTCCTTCACCGACTCAAAACACGTCAAGGGACCGAAAAAAATCATGGTCGCCACCACTTTTCCCACCTCAACCTCCCGCCGTATCAGATGACGCTCACGCTCCATTGACATCTCACTCTTCACCTTCGCCCCATCGCACCCACCGCTTCCACCTCCTTGACACCAAGACGCGGCGTACGAGAAACCTCCCATCAGATGATGATTCACTCTCCTCCCGCCTCCAGCTGATGCTCTACCATCGCCTCCTCACGAACCTCCTCTCGCCCGACTTCCCATTCGCTGCATTTTGGCAGCGTTGTCCCGACGTCTCGCCGACGGTTCAGCTGTCCGACACGTTCCTAGCACAAGCCGGGCTCGTCGCCACGCCGATGCGCTGTCTCGATGACCTTGCCCGGTCCTGGCAAGCGAGCGTGAGCGCCATGAACGTCGATGGGGTCTCGCCGCGGCTCGAGATCGTGTACCTTGCTCAGCAGAACCGTAAAGTATCGCCGGAAAAGCCGCCGAATGGGAAGAGCGAGAGCAAGAACGGCGAGGATATTTCCGAGCAAGAGGCGCTCGATCTCGAACGGGCCATCTTGGAGAGCCTGAAACAGGAGTACATGGATCACACAGATGTGCTCGTGGCGGACTTTCCAGTCGTGGAAACGGGGCAGGAGCAGCTGACGGATGTCGCAGCTTTAGAGACAGGAGTGGAAAGTGCTGATCGCCTCGAGAACGTGGTGGAAGCCGCTCTAGATCTCCAAGAGAATGGAGATGTTGTCGCAGGCGATATACAGAAGTCATGCTATGCTGAGGCGGCGGAGCCAAGCATGGTGGTTGTGAGCGGCGACGTTCCGTGCGAAGGTACGATGTGTACGGTAGGAGGTACCGTGCCTTCTGTATCGATGCTCGCTGCTATCACTGATTATCGCGGCGGTTTTCCCAGACGTAGAATCCACAGTCCCGACCCCTACCGTGACGCCTCCGAATGAGGCAGGCGGATCCTCGTCGCAGGAGAGGGGGCCTAGATTCATCGGAGAGAAGATTTTCAATATGGACGACCAGCTCCTCGACGCTCATCTGACGAGCATCCTGAAGTTTTGGCATGGCACACGCGCGCCGAAGGGTGTAGAGATCAAGCAGACGTCCCGCTGCTAGTGAGTACTTCCCGTTTTACCCCCACCTCTGCCGGCACGGGTGCTGACGTCTGGCACTATCGCAGCACGTGCGAGTACATGGATGGCTGTGAGTGGAGAGAGAGGAAGGCTTTCGATGCGGATACAGCTCAAAAGGGAAAAAAGAAGCAGAAGCTCTAGAAATCAACATACATCGTGGTGGTATTGTTGTTTCGGTTGCTTTGTATTCACTTGGACATTGCGGCCTCCTTGTCTGCTGTACTCACCACATATTTATCTGCATCCCTCAGTGTATTCTTGATTACTTGTACTCATAATATGCCTCGGATTTTTTGGGTCATCATGATGAGCGGCAGCAAAATTAAATCTAGACCCATGGTCGCGCCCCAGCAACCGATTCGAATCCGAGGATGCGAAGAACGACAGTTCTTTCATATTTCATGTATTTCATGGTGTGACCCCCAACTTATTCCTACAAGTCCTCTCTTTCTTTTCCATATCAAGCGCGAGCGCGCAATCCCAGGCTCGACTGCGAGCATCAATTCCTGTCTCTCCTTCACTTCAAACGTACCCGTATACTCTCTCTTACCCCCGCGATGGACGGCTGGCAAGACAGTCTTCACTTCTCTTTCATCGGCGAACATGTCCTCTTCACAGAATTGCGCCTCAAGTCATTCTCCAGTTTCTTCCTGGGTTCCGTTATCACCGTCGTCATATGCCTTCTTGAACGGTGAGGTGCCCCGATCCTTGGGCATCCCGGTCCTCCAACTTACTGAATATTTATCTCGTGGGGTCGATATGACGCATGCCCAGGTTCCTGACGTTGACCATCGCCAGGCACTGGACTCCGTGCCGGTCAGTGGGCCGTTCACGCTTGCAGAACGCGTTGTGGAGGACTGGGCTGTATTGGGTCGTGACGCTGCTGAGACTGTACGTCGTGGTTTTCTGCATCACATACTATGGCGGATGTTCACCGCGCTGCGCGACAGCCTTTATATGCTGATCTCAATGACATTTCATGTCGGGTGAGTGGTCGCCGTCTCCATCGCGTTCACAACCAGCTTGACAGAATGCGTCCGGTAGCTTGATACTCTTGATGGTGAGCATGTTTTGGACATGTGTGTGGAATGCGGGCGCATATATGCATCTCCTTAGGTCACCTCACTTTCCCTTGGCCAATTTGTTATCGAGTACCTCGAGCAGCCCCAACCCCCTACCTCTGGCAGAGAGTGTGTCATACCCTCTCCCTCTGACATTCGCTCCATTTATCATCCTTGCCAGCACATACCGTCCAATCGATAGCGATCCCTTTTACTCGCGTTCACCCGTGAGCTCCTTTGACAAACCCCGATCACCGCCTACCATTCGTCCGCGCGCAAAATCAAAGTCAAAACCCTCGGACATCTTCATCCACCCGAATTACTCCAACATCTCCCGTGCCGATGCTATGGCCGTCGAGATGGGCATTCACGGCGACACGGACCGTGTCAAGTCCAACACCGCCGCCGAAGACGACAACGCCTGGGAGCTCGGAAAGGGGCGCGCGGTTGCAAGGGAGCTGCTCCGCGGGTCATCCAGCTCGCATACACGCACCGCCTCGCAGCAGATGCTCTTCAGGATCGAAGATGGAGAGAGTGAAGACGAGCAGGGGTAGGGTCGATGCAACGTACCATCGCGGCTTTTCCTGCTGGTTCGCCCTTTTTATCATCACTCCTCGCACTTCATCGTCCTTGTAGACCTAACGCGCTTCTCGACCTACCCCGCACATATGTGCATATACTTGCTTCTTTGAGAGAACATCTTTCTCTACACTATGTGCATTGCGTGTCCATCCATGTCTGTTTTCTCACGCATCTTTGTCTCTCGAACCACCCCGCTGTCGCTCGCTCTTTAGCATCTAACCCAGCCTGTTGATTATCTCGCCTCGGACACACCATATAGGCCGGCTCCGTACTAGTCACCTTGGAAATACTAGCTGTTTGATACTCAGCGGGTGGAAGGCTGCGACCCAAGGTTGATGCATTTCGGCCTATTTTCATTGCTGAAGGTGAGCATATGTATCATCAATCTACAAGTCTTTGTCTCTTCACAGGACCATATCGTGAGTATCGAGTTTGCTCAAGAGAGAAGCGCGAACCAGCTGTTCTCCAGAATCCTTCTCCTTATATCACGTTTTGATGGCCTCGTGCACATTGAAGACCGCTCCTGAACTCAATATTGACGTGCACAGCCTCTGCAGCTGGTATATATATTGGGCAAGAATGGCAATCAGCTACTCTCGTTATCCTCAGGAACACTCCCGCCATGGACCTTTACTTCAATAACGGTGACCCACTCAATGCCCTTCTCAGAGACGAGCGCAAGCGAACCCTCTATCTTGTTGATACACCATTCGCGTTTGTTGACAAGGTGACGACTCTGACGAAATATGCATATGACAACGCAGGCCGTATGGATCATGGCCGTGTAGTGGCACGATTTGAATGGCACGTCTTCAGCGACACCAGATTCGAATTTGAGGGGCAGTTGTACACCGCCAAGGCGTTTCTGCAAAAGCATAGCAGAGGAAGGTAAGATGCTCCGTATATACGGCGAACACCACCAATGACGACATTTCATATAGGCAGCATCACTTCCAAGGTCTCGACGGGCGCCCATACAAATGGAAGTGGGGCTCCAAAGCGCCGTCGGTATGTGTTATAAATGGATGTGAACGTCTCGGAAAGATATTCATCTCCTCGCGATTAGCTTAGAGTGAACGATGGGAGCGAGACCGTGATCGCTGAATACCATCGACGATCATTGGGATTCTTGAACTCAGCTCACGATCCCTACCTTCGAGTATCCCCACAGGGCATGCACATGCTGGACTTGATAGTGGCTACCTTTATCTTTGTGGAGAAAAAGAGATTGGATGCCCAAAGACGGCGCAATAACGCAAACACATCCATGGCGAGCGCGTCGATGACGGCGGGTGCAGGTGAGGGGATACGAATTTTACTCGGTTTCTTGTTGACATCGCATGACTTCACTACTACAGTGGCATCAACCTTTTGATGCCTTTCGGTCTCCTTCGGTGCTTCGTTCATTTCGGGAGACAGCAAACTGCTCTCCAGGCAGTACTTGTATCTAATATGACAACACGACCTGGTACGATTTCTCAACGATCCGGTCTACTCACAATAAAGTCTATATACTAGCTGTCCTTTTGGTCATATGTGAGTCAGCGTATCTCGTGTCTGATTGAGGATGCTGTGTAGTATGCGCAGGCCCTTATCAACGCCCCTTCGCCCTCGTAATAAGCCTGTTTCCAATGTCCCTTCTCAATGCGGACACATGAACTGGTACTGACGTGCATAGCCTCAAAGTCAGGCCCATATAAGTCTGGATGGCAATCGATCAGCAATATCATCAGGAACACATCCCGGCATGGACATTTTCTCAAGAGACCAGCGCGACCACTGCGCGACCTCGCTGCTCCTTTGAATTCGACGTCATCATCGCCAAAGACCGTGCTTTGGCTTTTACAGAACATCCGCGGGCCTGCCTCGTATCTTGTGTCATTGGACCAGATACACTCATGAAGCAAGCAACGGTAGTGTGTCGAACGTGAAATCAAACATGTATCATGATCCCGTCCTCCAGAATCCTTCTCCCCGCTCTCCACCAGCCGTTTTTCTGCCTCCGAAACCCCTCAAGCGTCCGAGGCGCTCGTAAAGCTTGTATACTTTCACTGTTTTGATGGCCTCGTAAACATTCAAGGTTGGCGCTGAGCACCGTTCGTTCCCGTGATATGTTCTCAATGAATGTCTCCTCTGAACTCAATATTGACGCCTCCGCAGCAGGTATATATTGGGCGCAACAATAGCCATCAGCTGCTTTCGTTATTCTCAGGAACACACCCGCCATGGACATCTTCTTCAACAAGAGCAACCCATTCAATATGATTCTCAGGGACGATGCCAAGCGAACACTCTATTCTGTTGAAACACCATTCGCGTTCGCGAACAAGGTGACGACTTTGACGAAATACGCATATGACGACGCAGGCCGTATGGATCGTGGCCGTGTAGTGGCACGAATTGAGTGGCACGTCTTCAGCGACGCCGAGTTTGAATTTGAGGGGCAGTGGTACATCACCAAACTGTTTCTACAAAAGTATAGCGGAGGAAGGTAAGGTGCTCCACATATACGGCGAACACTATCAATGACGGCGAGACACAGATCATATAGTCAGCATCACTTCAAAGGCCTCGACGGGCGCCCATACAAATGGAATCGGGGCTCCAAAGCGCCGTCGGTACGTGCTATCAATGGATGTGAACGTCTCGGAAAGATATTCATCTCCTCGCGATTAGCTTAGAGTGAACGATGGGAGCGAGACCGTGATCGCTGAATACCATCGACGATCATTGGGATTCTTGAACTCAGCTCACGATCCGTACCTTCGAGTATCCCCACAGGGCATGCACATGCTGGACTTGATAGTGGCTACCTTTATTCTCGTGGAGGAAAAGAGATTGGACGCCAAAACACAGCGCAATGACACGAACGCGTTCATGGCGTACACTTCGATGGCAAACACGTCGAGGGCGAACACGTCGAGGGTGAACGCGGCGAGGGTGAACTCGTCGATGGTGAACTCGTCGATGGCGAACGCGTCGATGGCGTGCGCCCTTGCAGGTGAGGGGCATACAAGTTTTCCTTAATTTCCGGCCGACATCGCATAACTTTACTACAGCGACATCTCTCTGTTAATACTTTTCGGTCTCCTTTGGTCCCTCGTTCAATACGAGAGACAACAATCAACCACCTTCTCCTCTCCAGGCAGGACTTGTATTTAATACGACGGCACAACATGGAACTACTTTCTCAATGATCCGGCCTGCTCGAACAAACTATCCTGTTTGGCATTGCCATCACATAAATGTCTATATACAGCCGCCATTCCGGTCGTCCGCAGCATATATCATGTCTGATCGAGGATGCTGTGTAGTATGCGCAGGTCCTCATCAACGCGCCTTCGCCCTCGTGATAAACCTGTTTCCAATGTCCCTTCTCAATGCGGGAGCATATGAACTGGTACTGACGTGCACAGCCTCTGCGTCAGGTCCATATATATATATGTCTGGATGGCAATCGATCTGCATTATCATCAGGAACGCACCCGGCATGGATATTTTCTTCAGCAAGAGCAACCCACTCAATGCGATTCTCAGGGACGATGACAAGCGAACCATCTATCGTATCGACACACCGTTCGCGTTATTTAACAAAGTGACCACTGTGACGAGATCTGGAGGCCGTGGCCGTGTAGGCGACTGCCAGGTCATGGCGCGCATTGAATGGCATCGATTCAGCAAGACAAGATTCGAATTCGACGGGCACCCGATGGTCGCCAAAGTGTTCTTGAAACGGCGGAAAGGCGGAAGGTGAGCTGCCTTCTTCGGCTCGCCACCTGTAGAGTTACTCATGATCGAGTCGCGGAACGCAGAGAACATATTTTTCAAGGCGCCGACGGGCGTTCATACAAGTGGAAGTCGGGATCACATGCACCGTCGGTATGTCGCGTCTTCGAAACTACATAAGTTTATGGATATGTCAATGGAATGCGACTTATGACCTCTGACCCAGCTTCGATTGAATGATGGAAGCAAAACCATAATCGCCGAATACCATGGACGATCGCTAGGATTCTTCGGTTTCCGAGGACACAAACCATATCTCCGAATACACCCCCAAGGCATGCATATGCGGGACATGATAGTGGCCACGTTCATCTTCGTGGAGAAGAAGAGAACAGACAGAAAGCAGAGTGCAGGTATGAAGGATCCATAACGACTGGTGCCATTTCTCGCTAACAGGTCATGGACTCTAGCTGCTGTCGCAGCAGCTGCGTGAGAACACTCGGCGGTTTACTAGATTGGAATTGCAATATAATACCTCCCTCCGGACATTTTTGGATTTTGTACATATAGTCCAGCTACGTGTAAATCAGGTTCAAGCTTTGTATAATGTTATCTACGACTGTTGTGTGACGACGATGTAGGAAGGGTATATGTTATGAATGCTGTGAGGTCAATTGCGATGTTGGAAGCGCACACCACTCGAGACTATATGCAGAAAGAGAAAAGCCCTTCCAGATGGAACTCCTAACGGCCCCTTCCGGCCACAACGCCCGCTCTCCGTCCTGCAAACCCTGCCTTCTTATCCCCCTCTGGCTCGCTCGCCTTCTTCTGCCACTGATCTATCAGTCTCCCCACGCCTTGATAGGGCTTATCAGGCGACGCGGACCTAGGCGGCTCCTCGCCTGTGTTCGCAGCTGGAGCAGGACTAGCCGTCCGCACAGGGATGGGCCTCACAGGCGTCTTCAGTGGCGTCTTGGTTGGGGTCGCTTGCCCACCCGTCGACACGGGCTTGAACGGCGACCGACGACCAGAAGGCATCTCTGACGGCTTCCTGTCTGATGCCATACCAGGTAATCCAACAGGCATAATGCGCGACGCGGTAGGCGACGTCCGTGGTTTTGGTGGGTCGCTCTCCCACGGCCCATCATCTGGATTGCCCTGCAGGAGCCCGGGCCCAAAGTTGTGTCGAGGTCGGCTAGGCGAGGTGGTTCCATTTCCAGTTGACATGGGAGATGCTGTGCCATGGGATGCAACCTTCATGTGAGATGGTTTCGTCGGAGTACTAGGGACGACAATCGGCTTCCCACCCATAGCCTCATACTTCTGCACCATGTCAGATATCGATGTACGTCGGACGTTTCTGCGGGCTCTTGGGTCAGGAGGAAGGGCGAGCGTCGATGGAGCCATGACCTTCTCGACGTGAGTTTGTGGAGGGACCTTAGGAGCCACGCCGGGGGATAGGAACAAAGACTGATGACGAGATCGACCAGATGGCACAGGGCTGACCGGAGTCGGAGGACTGGAATATTCTACGGTGTTTGTAGTTTGTTTCCGATGCTGTGGGGATGTACGCCCGGGCGAATAAGCTCTTGTCACCGGCTCTGCTGGGGCTAGGGGTGAAAGAAGCGGAGAGGGAGACACTGAGCGCGGATGCGACACAAGCGCGGCAGTGGCTGGCAGTGGCGTTGGTCTTTTGACGTCTTGAGGTTTCTGATGCGAGTCCGTGCTCAGCTCGTTGACGAGCCCGGATGCGGCCTTCTCCACGCTAGCTCCTCCGCCCCACAGATCTACCAGATCGTGCACCGAACTCTGTCGCCCCTTGCCCCTCCGCCTGGTTTCACCGACCTTCTCCTTCAACTCAAACGCCTTCTTGGTGTGATCACCGGGTACAAACCCATTCACGTCCTCCGGACCTTCACTGCCTCCACTGCTAGATGAGTTATCCCTGCGCATCGAGGGCCGCGCAGGGGCTACAGGGGACCAGTTCTCGGTCAACGCTTCGCCCTTGTTCAGAATCTCCCTTGTGGAGGACGCAACATCGAGACCATCTAGCGGCTTTGGTTTAGACTTCTGCGGCAAACGACTATTGCTCGTCGTCATCCGGCGCGTGTTCGCCCTCAAAGGCGACGGGCTGGGTGTGGTCGGCGGACTGGGTTGTCGTTTCGGCGATGGGTACTTGTCAGCGACTGCCTCCTGCGGGCTCTGCACCACGGGATCGCGCTCGATGACCGATGCGCGTTTGCTGGGTGAGTCCCGCAGGACAGGCGTGCCGGGCGGCTGCTGATGAACCTCGTCGTCACTACCGGTGAGCCAGTCCTGAGGCTCTGTCCGCCTGAGGATCTGTGCAGTAGTAGGGGGAACTTCAGGTACTGGGGCAGTGGCGGCGGTACTCGAAGGCTCTCTGACGGAGGCAGCGCTGCGGTGTTTGCGTGTGACCTGAGGGCGCACATGCGTTGCTTGGACAGGCTTCGGGCTCTCTCTCCCAACGGTGGGTTTGCGCGCCTCACGAGACTCGCGCATGGCAGCACCTGTGACGTGCTCCGAGCGCACGCCATCATAGCCATATTTGCTCCCGCCCAGAGCAAGACTAAGAGTGTTGCTGATCGCGCCTGGGGGTTTCAACCCTCCGGTGAAGTTGTTCCTCGGCGATGACGTCTGACCAGCTGTCGCAGTTGATGCGAGTGGTGGAGGCTTGTGTATTGGCGTGGCTTGGAGAGGAGGTTGAGATTTGGAGTGAAGAGGGAGTGCGATAGAACCTGAAGAGAGCAAGGCGCGATCCAGATCCTCCAGCGAGGGGAATCGGTCTTCGGCGGCAAGATTGGGTGAAGGTATAGGCGAGGGCACGTGGGAGGGTGGATGAGGGGAGGGAGATGGACGGGGCGCGAGGGCGCTGGGAGGACGGGACGCTGGAGCAGGAACGCTGAGATTGGAGGAGTAATCAGACTTGGCTTTCCAGGCTTCAGCAAGTGTGGGCGGTGGTGCCTTGTCTGATGGGGAGAATCCGAGACCATCGAAGGCATCCTTTGCTTTTGGTGGAGCATATCGACCGGCAGTGCTTGAAGGCTGTTGAGATGGTATCGAGACAGCCTTAGAGCCCGACCGGTCTGGCATCAACAAAGCTGATGCGGCAGCCGCAGATGAGGAAGAGCCGAGCATGCCATCGAACGAGTCACCGAAGCCCGCGAGCTCGCCCTGATAGGTCTTTCTCCTGTTTCTATCCTTCTCCTTGTCCCTATCTCGCCCCAGGTCCCATGCATCGTCAAGTGGAGGGTTCCTCACCTTCCAGGCTTCTGGACTAGTCAATCCTGACCGGTGACCGCGTACTGCACCACGACCATGCTTCATTGCTTTCCAAGAAGCCTCTTCCTCGACCGCAAAGTCCATATCGAGCTCAGCATTTGATTGCTTGTTATTTTCCTTTTCCTGCGCCTTGTAAGGGCTGGTGGGTCGTTGAGTCGTTTGGAGTGGCGCTGGACGACCACGGCGCATTGGAGCGATGGCCTCAAGGACTTTCTCGCGCGCTTGAACGCCCGCGTTCTTGGCGGGAGACGTCGAAGCTTGGGCATGGGGAATAGATGTGGACGACGACGATCGGTACGAGACGAGGTCGTCCAAAGGATTTGGTGGAGGAAGCTCGGCATGGCGTTGAGCAAACGGTTCTCGTGAAGGGATGGCATAAACGAATCGGGATTTCGTTCCACGTAGACGATGCACATTATTGAGGACTTCAAAGACCGTCGGACGCTGGGCTCCATGCTCGCGTAGCATGGAACCTGAAAACATCATCAAGATTGTGGAAACTCAAGCAAACAGTCTTCACTGACCAATCAGAGCATTCATTTGAGCCGAATATACTGGATAAGGAGGGATCTTGTACTGGACATTGAGGATGGCGAGAGGACCGTGTTCCTCAAAAGGAGTTGTATAATAGCAGAGCTTATACAACAATACCCCAAGTGCCCAGACATCTGACTTCTCGTCGACCGGACGTCTCAAGTAAGGATCGACCATTTCAGGGGCACGATACTGCAGTGTCGTATGTCGATTCAGGTCAGCCTCCAAAGCACGAATTTCTTGTGTGTTCGAGGGCGGCCGAGGTGCAACGGGGGTCGCGGATCCAAAATCGCAGAGCTTGTATGAAGTCGCTGAGGATTGGAGGATGTTCTCGACCTTGAGGTCGCGATGGAGAAGAGCTGGGCGGAGATTGTGCATTGCCGCGACGCCCTCGCAGACATCGACAAAGATCTGCATTATTTCTGCCTCTGTGAGACGTTCGCGCAGACGTCTGTTCATCATGTCGATGATCCCGCCGCCTGCTGTACGATGAGAGGCGACAAGCATCGGACGTCGACGGCACGCACCTGCACAGAACTCCATAAGAATAAATACCTCATACATGCCATTTGACATCCTGTGCCAGGCGGCATCAATTAGGTGAACTATGTTAGGGTGGCCCTTCAAGATGCGCTATGGCTCGGAGATGAGAGGAAGAAGGCGAGATTGTGACGGGATGCGAACCATGATGTCCACCTCCTTCTTCACCTCGGACAGCATGCTCTCGTTTGGGACTGCGATGCGCTTGAGAACATGGTGGGTTGTATTGTAGACGGGGGTCGGTGTCCTGACGAGATAGACGTGCGCGAAACCACCTGTGACGAATGGACAACGGCTACAGCCACGTTCATTGAGAGCAACTGACCTTGGCTGAGATAGCGGTCGACCTGGACGGTGTATTTGTTAACGGAAATAGTTTGGCCAGGGGCGAGTGTACCCTTGTTCGCGGCGTAGGCCTGTGGGTGGGCCATAGAAGACGGCCTGCAAGACAGCCAGAGCGTCGCCGGCGTCGCCTCTTCTGTTGCTCTCTCCGCCCGTGCCTCCGTCACGTGCCCTCCCCGTCTAGCCCGACGTCATCCCTCCTCCTTCAGCACAACCCGTCTTCCCTCACCATGGCCGACAGGTTCATCCCCATCCCCACGCGCAACCCCCACGATGTCCCCTTCTCGCGCCCAGCAACCCCAGGCGCACACCCCATCCAGATCGGCTGGATAGGTCTCGGTGCCATGGGCTATCCCATGGCCCGGAATCTCGCCAATCATCACGCCTCCCACACCCCGAATGCCCAACCCCTTCTCGTCTGGAATCGAAGCCACGATAAATCCGAAAACCTGGTCAAAGAAGTCGGAGCGTCGAAGATCCGCATCGCACAAAGCGCTGGAGAGGTTGCCGCTACCTGCGATGTGATCATCACATCGTTGGCGAGCGACGAGGTGGTCAAGTCTATCTATGAGGAGTTCTCAGAGGCCCTTCACGTAGGCTTTCCTCCATCCCCTCAAAACATCCTTACTATCGACGCTGAAACTTCTTTGCATAGAAATCTCCTTCCATAAGGAATAAGATATTTGTCGAGACGAGCACAGTTCGTCCGGTAACCTTCGAGAAGCTGCTGATCCCCTCTGACGTGTTTTATATGCAGGTATATCCATCAATAGCAGGTTCATAATTATTGAAAAACTTTCAATATGCCAGTTTTAATGCATTGCGCACCAGGAGAACTCGATATAATAATCTCTAGCCTACCACATTGTCACCTTGTCACCGCCCCCGTGTTTGGCCCACCGGCGATGGCGGACGCGGCAAAGCTCCTCATAGCTATGAGCGGCGATTATCGCTCCAAGAAGGAAGTGGCTTATCTTCTCGTCCCTGCCATCGGCCGTAAAGTCTATGACCTCGGCGGGAATCTCGAGAAGGGTGAGCAGCTCTTTCATCTTCACACCAACAAGTACTCACATGTCTCTTCACGAAACGCCTAGCCCCTACGTTCAAGCTGATCGGCAACTCGGTCATCCTTGGGTGCATGGAGGTTCTGGCTGAGGCCATGACCATGGGCGAGAAATCTGGGATTGGACAGGAGCTCGTGTACGAATACGTCAAAGGTGCCTTTCGATCTCTTTCTGCTACACTGTTTCAAACTCACGAACATTGACACTCAGACATGTTCCCTGCACCTCTGTATGACTCTTGTCTGCCTTGTGAAAGAGCGACCGCTGAATAGGCTAACAGGATGGTCAACTACGGAGACAAGATGCTCAATGACAAATTCGACGGCACGAAAGGCTTTGCGATAGACGGAGGCATCAAAGACGCTTCGTTAGTACCTTTCCTATAACTGTGAATGCGGAACGCTCATCGACTGGCTTTCCCTGCATAGACACATCCGCCGCCTTACATCTGAACATAATGCGCCGATGCCCACCATAGACGCAGCGCACAGGAATCTACTCACCGCCCGCGCGCTCCACAACGCGCAGGCGCGCACAGGTACTACTCAGTACCCCGTCCTTGACTGGTCCGCGATTGTCGCAGGTACTAGGACAGCGGCTGGCATGAACGGGCTGGATACGAAGAAGGACGTATGTCGTGTCTCACCTGCCTTTCTTGCTGGTTCTGCTCGCTCACTTGCGTCTTAGTACTCTGGTCCTGTAAGAGACGATTAATCGATTGAAAGAGAGATATAGAACTGGGATCATAGTGTGGACTACAAAGGGAAATCGCTGGAAGTGCTTGAAATTGTAATATCTTTCTGGATTATTGCATCTATTCGTCTATTCGAGACCAAAGGAATTGAGTGCGCGATTGTAAGAATCCCATAGCCGATTAAGCGCTTGCGACCTACGGCCAAGTTGCGACGCGCTCGGTTACTACGCGTTCATCACGTGTTCAGTCCCATTTTAGACGAAGTACGCCCGCGGCGCGGCACAGAGCACCGTCACCTCGATGTCAGACACTCAGCTCCGTGTGTTTACTCTTAATTGCTGGTAGGTTGCATCTATACGCACATTCATGAATTTGAGTCTGATGCAGGGCGAAACGGGATCAGGGGCTTGAAGTATGTCTCCAAGAACAGGTCCGAACGCATAACGGCCATTACAAGCTTCCTGGCCCGGTCAGACTACGATATTATCGCTCTGCAGGAGCTCTGGGTGTACTCAGACTACGAGAAAGTACGCTCCAGCGTTATAAAGCGTCTACCCTACTCCAAGTTCTTCTATAGGTGCGCAGGCAGACCAAAGGGTGATACTCATGTATCTGTCTGTTTCTGAACGGTTTGTGTATGCAGCGGGGCCCTGGGTGCGGGGTTGGCGATATTCACGCGCTTCCCCATCGTGGCTGCCACGATACACCCGTACTCTTTGAATGGCTCCCCGATGGATGTCGCTGGTGGGGATTGGTTTGTAGGTAAAGCAGCCGCGAGCGTTCTAGTCACACACCCTGTGCTCGGGCAGATCCAGATATTCAATACACATGTACGTATGCATTGCTGCCACACAACCTATGCATTAATTTCTGCCGTGTCATTGCCATAGCTGTTTGCGAAGGGAGGCGAAGGGGGGCCTGAGCACCACAGAGCACATCGTTTAGTGAACGCATGGGAATTCGCTAAGCTGGTGAAGCAGTCCGCCGAATTAGGTCGCTATGTGATTTCGGTAAGCTCGACGCTCTCGCTCGCGTGAGACATCTCACGGCTTGTCCAGGCAGGCGACTTCAACAGTATCCCCACGACATTGCCCATGACTGTCATCCGGGACCATGCAGGCCTCCATGACGCGTGGGTGGCCACGCATCCCTCAACATCGTCACCCAGGTCAGCGCCATCGCCTTACGACGCCATCCAAGTGCATGGCGTCACGGCAGACTCGCCCATCAATTCCTACTCGGCGGGCAAGCCTCTGGACATATACGCGCGGGCCGCGCAGGGCAAACGCCTAGACTATGTGCTCTACCGCGACCCACACCATCACCCGCTCTCGTCCCCGCTGTCCTATCGCAAGCTGGTCTGCGCGAACACACGGGTCATGCTCACGGAGACCGTGCCCGGTCGCTCGTTCTCCTATTCAGACCACTTCGGCCTCGAGGCGACGCTTCTGATCCAGCACCCCGAGGCGCACGAAAATACGCTCCCTTCCGACCCGTCCGCGCTCGCCGACGTGCCTAGCGTATCCTCCGTCTCAGCAACCGCGCCGACAACACCGTCGACACATCTCTCCGACGCCTCCGCGACGGCGATCCTACAAGCCCTTACGACGTGCTACCGCCATGCGCGGGCGCGCTCACAGCAGGAGCTTCTTATTTTCGTCCTCTGCGCCGTGCTGGTTGTCGCATTTGTGATTGGCGCGGCATGGTTGCCGCACACAGCCTATGCGCCTATTTTTGCGTTCGGCGCCGCCTTTTCGACATGGCTGGGCACTACGATGCTTTATATCGGGTTCGTCTATGGGCGGTGGGAAGTCAATGCGCTCATGAACGTCATAGAGGAGCTAGAGCTATACCGTCGAGGTATCGACTCGACTGCAGGACAGGGTGGGGTCGAGGACACGAGCCGCGGGAGCTGAGTGTCCTCTGATACATATTTGTCCCATCGACATTTGATCCATCCAGTTATTGTCGTACGACCATCTGAACTCTTTTATCAGAAGAAGTATCGGATCTCCCTGCATAGGGCTTCTAATTAAACACTCATTGAGTTGTTCTCACTCTGAGAATGGAACATTGACACGGACCCCTTGGCACTGGAGACCTCCGATGAACCATAACTTACCTACGACTCATTCCCACGACTTGTTCCACCTGTGCACCGGGCCATCTATCATTAGAGACTCCCAGAAATCAGGGTTAATTTGATCAACGAGTCACTGCAATCCGAGAGACCAACATCTCAGGCGAGTCCTAACTGTCTCCGATACTTGATGAACTCTATTAGATTGTCCCTGAGGCCCTCGCCCCGCCGACGCAGATCACGCCCTCCCTCCCTTTTCCGATCAATGCCCTTCACCGCCTTGCGGACGCCCTCGACGGCACTCGTAAGAGCATCGAGATATTTGCCTTGTTGGAAATTGACGTCATAAGGCTGCTCTTCGTCAGAGTATATGTCGATGAGCGACGAGACAGCCTGGAGCAGCGCCTCAGTTCCGACGCGAGACGGCGATGTTGTGGTCGGGAGAATAGACAATAAGTATTCAGATATAAGCTAGGGGGTGGTCGGATCAGTAGAAGCTTCTAAAGAGAAGAGATTGATCATACTCGGTTGGCGTCGATCGAGCCTGGATATTGTCCAAGGCTCCCAAGCGCGCCAATAGCCTTGACGCGGACCGCTTCATCAGGCATCGCGTCGCAAAGTTGCATGAGCGCTTTGACATGCTTCTCGTTCGGAACCTATTCATAGAATGAACGGAAATGAATTGACATACCTGGGCTCTCGGAAAATACGATCACGCACGATTTTTGCGGTCCACACGATGCTGACGCCCCACAGCACCCCGACACCGATCTCCCACATCTCCTTGCGCTTTTCCTGTCCCAATCCGCCCCCCGTGCCTGTTGCTTCCAGCGCGTGCCAAAGCTCGACCCATACCCGCCGGCCGGCGTCTACATCGGCAGCGATAGACGGGGTTGGATTTGTGGCAAGGGAAAAGAATGCATTATTGAGACATTCCAGGGCAGCTGTATGAATCGCGCTGAGGGCAGATGTCGTAGGCGGATGTGGCGATGATGCATTGGGTGGTGGAAAAGAGAGGGGGGTGGGTTGTATCAAAGAAAGAAGGGGTTGAATGAGGGCAGGTAAGATGGAAGAGCTAGGCGACAGTGTGCTATTTGCAGTCGGATGTGCGTCATCGAGGGACATTTCTTCGTCGGCACCCTCGTCTATGGCTGCATCACCTATTCGGGATCAACACAGTCTTTCAAGTGATAGAAATGATTCAGATCACACCTGTATCCTCATCCTCATCCCCATCGTCTCCGAGTGAGAAGTCAGGATCGGGCAGGGTTGCACATACACCGGTGAGCACTTCAAGAGAGAGCTGAACAGTCCTGAGTTTCGCCTCTATGCGCTCCAACTCAGTCTCAGTCTCAGATTTGTGATCTGACTTTGGAACATGTTTGATGTTGAGCTTCTCAATCGGAGGCTCTGTGGCCTGCAATATACGTTAGTGCTGGTCAGGTTTATCCGGAACGGGGACATACTTGTCGTCGAAGAAGTTCTTGTACGAGGTTCGATACCTCTAGCAAGGAAACGGATGAAATGACTGAGATCATCACGGGCAGCAGGACTTCTCTATCAAAGTCGACCAGAGCGGTCGATGGAGGGGGTAACGGCGATACATTGCGTAGAATTCCTAAGCAGAAGGCATCAGCCTGTATGCAAGTAATGGGATACCTCAAGCCTACCGCATGTGAGCACTGGCAGCGTGATTGCTCGCTCGTCCTGAATGGGATTTTTTCCTTTGCTGCTCATCAAACTACCCTGTGACCTGGCAATTTCGAGAAGGCAGGACGTATAGCTCGAGTCTGCCCTGACTTCGCTTATGGCAGGCATATTATCGTCGGTGAGAACATAAAGACACTGTGCTATGATCCGATATAAGCATGCCTCTGGCACTCGATTCTAGAACCGGACAAACCTGCAGAGGTGACCGTGGTCAAGGGCAGCTTTTCGCGATAAGCAAGGAAGGACATCAAAAATGGGACCAGGCTCAGCTGGTTCACCGCATTCAACGCCTTGTTGGATGTCTCGCTAGGGATCCTTAGCTACCACGCAGCCGTGAGGCCAACCATGAGACTCACGAGAGACACCATAGGATAGTGATAACGTTATCGGCAAACTCATAGACTACGCTTTGAGCGTTTTCCGGTGCCGTTTTGGGAGATTCCAGATACTGTGACAGCGTCGTAGAGATCTGCGGATTGTTTAGCTCCCGTGTATACACAGAGTTCAAAAGGATGACCTTGGGTATAAACGTCTGCAGGGGTGCAATGATATTTTTGTTGTACATTTCAGCACAGATGTCGTAGCCCCCATCGATACATAGATTCCTAGCAAAGCGTAGCGTAAGAACACATTTTGGCAGACGGAGAGCACGAGTCTAACGCACCGTAAGGCCCCTGCAGCTTCTACGACCACTTCCTCTTCTCCGTCAGAAAGACGAGTGATCAGTGCGCCTACGACGTTCTTCCCCTGGAGCAGCCTTCGCGTCGACGGATCGTTATAGATCAGATTCGAGACGGCCACACAGGCCCATTTGCGCTCCGCACCGTCCGCGCTCCCCATCTGATCCATTCAACAAAGGAGTTTAGCATCGAAGCTGACGACACACGGTCGTCGATCACACCTTCTGTATGATGGGCAGAATCGCCTCCTGCTTTGATGAAGACGAGGAAGCAGATGCAAGGCCCTTCGGCAGATGTGAGTCGGGCACGCGCATCGGGTTGTGTCGACGCATAGAGCGTTTTTTTTGTGACTTGCCCATGACCGTAGATGACACAAGGTATCGAAAGAGTAACCAAGCCGTAGAGATGAGCGGGATGTCGATGAGCACCGTGATCCAACACAATCCGCCTCCGACGAAATTTGTTCCACGTGCCCCGATCGCTCACTGCTGCCCGAAATGGCAAGTCCAGTGTTCAGTATTCAATCTTCCTCCGGCAATTCTTCCATAAATTTACGATGGCCGATGGCCGATCTTTGTAGTATCTTTGTGTATTAGTTTAAGTTCTCATCGCTTCTGATAGGGGCAATCCGAGGATATGGAGCGGCTGGAATGATTTCGCCTTGTATTCAGGGGCAAATGTACGAGATGCAAGACTTAGGACGGACTTGTGAGTCTTCGACTCATTTGACGGAACCACAAGGCATTCACAAGTTTTGTTCACCATAGAATCGTAGATGGAGCTCTCACCCGGGATAAACCGGTACTTACGCATGGGGAGCAACTTTAAACGTGACAACCGCCTGGGGCTCGATGTAGTTCGCCAACACGATGAAGCTATGACCCAGCAGTAAAAAGCTGTCCAGACCTGAAAATGCTCGCCGACGGAGGTGTTCAGCTTGAAGACCTCAAAGCAACCGGTAACAACAAATATCTCGGGCTGACCAGTAAAGCATCGATACCGAGTAGGCTAGTAGCCTACTAGGAATACTTGACTCAACTTTAGAGTCTAGACTCACCTGGTAAGATCGGGGTAGCGGCAGTACCCTGCACAAACTTATAATCGAACGGATCGAGTATCTGCCGGGGAGATACGCGAAGACGCTTAAGAAATGAAGCCCGTCAACCGCTCGGTGAAACCCACAAAGTTTGACCTGACATCTACGCAAAGTCGCGTCAACACCATCGGAGAGGGCGTACAGCCTGATGACCACGAAGAGATGTACAATCTCCCTGACTCATCGGCCAAAAGAGAGACGGTAAGCCCCGTACAGCCTGAGCAGTATCAGAGCTACCAATTGCCATAAGGATAGACGAGAGCCGGTGCGTACTTTTCATTAGCAGTTTCATCTCAGCTGATGGTGGACCCCTGCGGAGACGAGTGGAGACCGATCGATAATCGCCCACCGAATGGAAACCGCATTGCGGTTTACATGAACAACTCATCGTGACATACCTAGTGGCGGCATGCATAACAGAGAAGCAGACCATGTGCGCTGTCAACAGTGAGAATGCCTGGGAACATCGCATTTTGAGTAGCTCGAATGACGACAGTCCAGCGGTTCGTGCACTCAGACTGAGTTTCGCAACAAAGAAATCAGGTCATCGCTTACTGCAGAACAGCTTCACGTACCTCGATTCCACTGCGCATGGGAGGCGCCATCATCCGCAGACTCCGTGACCTCAGCACCAAAAGGAATGTTGTTCAACGCGGTCAGTCAGCCTAAGAAATCACAAGTCACCGGTTGGGGGTTGGGGAGCGCCCCGAGGGCGCTCCGCATTCCACTTCTTCGCAGTACGGTATACCCATTAGGCAACCCTTCAAGTTCGCAAGCAAAACCTTGCGCGACAATGCCCAGTTTGGAAGCAGACCCACGGAAAGGCAAAACTTTACGCACGACGATCGCCGTCCGTTCACACCCAAGTCCGGACGCGAAGGCACCGATAAACAAGCGGGGACGGACACAGACTCGGACTCGGAGCACACGTCTCGACCTCACGAGAACCTGCAAGAAGCCACAAGCCGGGCCATCATATGGGCCGAGAAGAAATTAAGATCTGCCGAGCGAGAGCTGCAGTGTCCTCGAGCATTGTGTATTGTAGCGGCCTAAAGTACACCTTGAATTGCCGTATGCGAATGCGAATTACTTATATATTGTATGAACGCACACCATGCTATGCTGCCATCGCCATCGTCCACGCACCAACCCGACGCCACCGCTACAGAATGAAACTAGAAAACAACCAAAGCAGAGGGAACGAGCGTAAGATGGAACAGGAACAGGAACAGGGGGGCGGGACGGGCTATGGGGGATGTACAAGGGACGTTGCCGGCCCGTCGTCGGACTCCAGCGGCTCAGACGGGTCGCATGGCACTTCACTGTGTGGAAGATCCGATCTTGAAATCGAGGCAGGCGGTGGACTATGCTCTGTGTACGGATCCTCGGGATAACCGTCCCATAGCGGCGGTGCGCTAGCATTTAACGTTTCGATAGTGCCCTCGCCGTCGTCATCTAGCGGAGGAGCGGACGGGCTAATGTCGGGGACAGAAGGTGGTATGCTCGGGGACTCCTCGAACGGGGGCGCAGAAGGACCAGGCTCGGGTTCGACCCCGGCAATATCCAGGTCCTGTTCAAAACTGTACGGATAGTCATCGTAGTGAGGTGCGGCCAATTTGCCTTTCGCGGGAGGCAAAGGTAACCCGGAGAGGGGCGGGCTGTATGACGGCCTCAGCTCCGGAGAGCCTGGAGGTGACAGGGGCGGAAGATCGTCGGGTAGCAGGGCATTCTCGTAGTCCTCTAGCGTAGGGACCGACGGTGAAACGTGCGGCGAGCTTTCTGCAACAGCGACGGGAGGGGCGCTGGCCATGGCAACCATGCGAGCGAGTACCGCCTTATCATCAGTTGCCACATGAGCGACGCGGGTAGAAGGCGTGAGCCCGCTCTCTGCTTCGTCCACATCGGGTAAGGGTGGTGATGGCGGTGGCGGTGGCGGTGATTTTGAGGAGGATGGGATAGCACTAGACGAGCCATAGTATGACGGTGAAGCCCGGCTTCGAGAGATATTTATAGACGTCTGTAGCGGGCCGGGGGAGTTTGGTCGATATGCCGGTGGGTGGGAAGGGGAATCAAGGTCGGCCGGCGCCGGGGTGGAGATATCTGTGACATCTGTAGGTGGACCTGGGGTTGACGGCCGCGTGGGTGTTGGAGGCGCGAGGGATGACGAGGCATCGATGATGGCACTACGATGTGAATGTCGAGAGGGCGTCGGAGAGGAAGCTCGACTGTAACCTTGCGATACGGTGTGTTCCCCAGGGTCTTCCCGCAAGGTCTCACTCGGCATACCAGATTGAGAGCCTGACACGTTTGAGACCACCCGATTCGTACGCCGTCGACGTACCGAGTGTCGGATATTCGCCCTCCAGCGGTTTGCGGCTTTCGTCCACTTCTTTTGAGCCGCCTTCGCGTGTCGGACGCTCTCGGAGTCCTCGTCATCTGACGCATCCTCGTCCCCTCGGTGCTTCTTTCGCGACCTCTTCTCGACATCCTTAAAGACCTTGGACTTTCGTCGCCAGAACACGCATGCGACTATGAGACCTATGATGGCAAGGGCGAGAATCAACGACAGTGGTAGGATGACTCTCGTAAGGTCGCGCTGCTCGGTACTGGCTGGCTTCCAGCCGGTGGGGAGGGCGTCGAGATCGAAGGTGTCCAGGGTGGAAGTGGTGGCGGGTTCGGTGGAAGTGATGGTTTGATTTGTATCAGACTTGAGCTGATCGTTGACGTCGTTTGGGAGTGCGCTCTCTGAAGCGTCGGCGCACGGGACCTGTTCGCTCTGGGTTGTAAACAGGATGCTACAAAAGTGGGATGCGCTGCCGCTCACCGAACACAGCATAGAACCGTACAAAGACCAGCTTGAACTCTTTCTCCAGAGGCCGTCGGCGCCCTGGACATACTTGTCTGGAACGAGCGAGCGGCTGTCCAGCTTCCTGTGCACGGTCGGAGTAGGAAAGTCGGATGCGCGGGCGGGGTGACCGGGGACGGGGACAGGGGAAGGGTGAGGGTGGGAGGGGAGAGGGTCGTCGATGAAGGGATAGAGGAAGGGAAGGGAAGCGTGTGTTGTGTGCTGTGCATCAAGAGGGCGGCCGTATGCGGTGGCTGAGGATGCGCTGACGGCGGCGAGGAGAGTGAGGATGCCAGAGGACGGGATGACCGCGGTGCGATGACGCTTGTTGCGGCGGCAACGACGGCGCGGACGTGATGGAGGTGTGTTGGTTGTTGTGGAAGAGGACGAGGGACCTGCCTCAGCAGGAAGCTGGACGGGCTTGGCCATCGTACTAGGGGCGCTGTGCCAAGACACTCGTGGACGGAGACAAGCGACCGAGTTGGCTGAGATTAAATCAACGTGGACCGAGCCGTGTTCTGTGTGCTGGGAGCGGCGGCTGTCGTCCGCGCATGGATAGGAGGGACGGGGGCGGGGGCGGGGAGGACGCTGGGGACGACGACGGCGACGGCGACGACAAAGGTGGCGAGGGTAGCAAGGGGCTCGAGCTCAAGGGAGCACCCGGTCCTCGCTCGGTTTATCAAGCTTATCAAGCACATATTTAGCTTGCAGCGCAGTTATTTTTGGCCCCGGAAATTTAAATAACAACACAACAACACGCGTCCGCTATAAATAGAACACTCCTGCCGTTCATCATGCTAACCACCGGCTCCGTCGCCGCTCCTCCTCTCGTGCCGACGCGTTCGCCAACACAGCAGCCTCCTCCTCCCGTCCCCGCCGCCGCCACACCGTCTCCTCCGTCCCCGCCTCGTAGAACAACTTGTAGCTCCCCAGGCTCACCCGGATCCCCAGGTTCCCTTCCGTCGTCACCGTCTCCCGCGATCCTAGATCATCCGATGTCAGGTGTCTAACAATAGAATCGCCCCATCGTTAGTCGCCCGCGCAGCCAAAATAGACTCCCGTCGGTTTGCCCACCGTTTAAGGAAAATCGGGCTCGTCGCCTTTGATCTACGGACGCCTGCCCCGCCCACCCACTCCGTGGGATGGTCCATCACGTAGCTCTCGACGTACTCCCTCCATCGGCCGACGCTCGTACCGCCATCGTTCACGCTGGCTTCATCCGCACCCACCAATTGAATGCGCATCGCTTTGGACCCGGCATCCTGTGAGTTTCCTTCCGCGTGAGTTTTGCGTTCCAGCTGATCTATTGGCATCTGACTCACCCATTCAACTCCGTAAAGGTTGTCATCGGACCCAACGTGACGCTCTGCGGCGCGTCTATATCGCATGACATCCTGCTGTGTAAAGCTGTTCTCCGATCTTGCCTTCTTCAGAAAATACCACAGTTCCTGGCACTTGTTGTCTGTCACGACCGTCTGAACCTGTCACGCCAGATGAATGAGCTCTCTTTTTATAGTTCCTATGGAATTTCTCACCTGCTTGATGAGCGCCGCGATGACTTTATCAACGGTATAAAGATGGAACGCCTAGAGCTGGGTTTAATGGAAGAAGCCTCCGTGACGACGGGGAGGATGGCGTACCTTGGTTCCAAAGAACCATCGCATGTGCTCCTCAAAAGTAGCCTGGTCCATCTCACCGTCGAACAGTTTCTCGCACGAGTCCAGGAGATACATGTAGAGCACATTCGAGTCTTCGGTCAGATCCTGGTCCTGTACGGTTTCCAGTATCTGGTCGAGTACCGCAGACGGGCCTTGCGCGTCTTCCAGACCCAGCTCTACCGCGATGGGGTTAGCAAGGAGATGCTCAAACTTCTGGCTCGCATGCTTTGCGCCGACCTCCTTGCAAATCGATAGCCGAGAATAGAGCAGCTGCATCGGAAATTAGATTCGCGACTGACATAAAGTTCACTCTCCAAAAATAGTATGCACGCACCTGGAGCAGCCGCAAGAGCGTGTACAGCGTCGTATTCGCGAAGAACGGACGTTTGCTCACCGGAGCCTCGCGAATAGATTTGATTTCATCCGTAAGGCTCTCCCGTATCCAGACGTCCGCAGGTTGGGTGGGTGCTCTCTGTCCCTCACCTTTCGCATCCCCATTTGACGGCGACGGACCGTCCTGCACAAAAATACGCGACCCACTCGGCTGCAGATCGTCCACCACGGGGGACGCCGCTCTGGAGCCTGCGACAGAAGGAGTCTGTCCCTTTCGAGCAGTCCATTTCTCTTGAGCAGTCTTCAGTAGCTTCTTCCGGAGGTCGGCAGGGTGTACACCACCACTGGCATTACCGGTGCCCGCAGACCGGCGCCCACCTCGGTGTGGACTTGTCTCCTCCAATGTATCGGCAGCGCCCGTGTGCTCATCGCCCGAGTCATCGTCGTCCTGTTCGAGGTCGAGTGGCCCGCAAGCCGCATTGAACTCCGGAAGGGGGAACATGCACAGGGTGGGTACGAACACACGCAGGAACTTCTCCACGCTACGCCTCTCCTGCTGACTGTAAACCGCTTGATTATGGTCGAGATATGAATAGACCAGCTTGAGCGAATCCTGAAGGACGGCCGTGTCCTGGAAGCTATACTCGAGCTGGTGCCCGGGCGAGCCGAAAATGAAGGTGGGTTTTCCCTCAAGCTCCATCTCCTGAAGCTGCTCTGCTTTGATGCCCTCGATTTCCATGACGAGCGACTTGTTGGTGGTGTTCTTCTTGTCATTTGCTTTGAAGTTGATCCCCATTTGATCCAGCGACTTGTAAAAATGCTTCGCCTCGGTCTGCCGCCAAGTAATGCCCCAGGCCCGCTGCGCACGACGCCATTCATCGCACTTTTGCTTCAGCCGCTGGAGAACGACAGGCACGGTGACGCTCGGAACGTCCTGAAGGGCCTGATAAACCTCCGACCCAGCGTCCTTCCCATAAATCTTTTTGATCGTACGCTGATAGATGCATTTGCTCTCCCCTCCGAGATCAGGCTTCAATCGAAACTGTGTTCGCTCTTCATGCGACATCTCCTCGATCCGAGCATTCAGCGACTCCAGAATAACGATCGTACGGATGATGCCCTCGAAATGTATCTCATACTCGTGGCGCTCGTCCTCGGTCTTGTGCATCGACTCTTCGAAAGTGTTCTTCTTGTGTGTTACGAAGCCACCGTCTTCGGATGCCCAGGTAGGGTGGGAGACCCATTCGTCGTTGAGCACGGATCGAGCCAGTTGATCTCGGCCAGATGTGGCCAGCCTTGCCTCCTATCATAGCAGTAATATAGTGAGCACTCGCAGACAATAAATCTTGCACAACGCTCACACTATCGGGCAGTCGACGATAGCTCGGCCCTCCCCCATCGTCCACTGGGGCAGGTGGAATTAGTTCAGGCGGGCCTGTCCGAATGCTGAACGGCGGTCCATATTCCACACTTTCCCGCTTGTCGTCCCAACCGAGGAGTGCCTTGAACTGTGCCAGCAGCTCGCCATGCCCGAGAAACAGTTCCGCGCTCGCAATCAGCTGCTTGGTATCGATGATATCCTTCGAGTACATATTCAGCAATTTAAAAAAGTCTTCCCACGTTTCCCGGGGTTCGAGGGTCCTCTTGGCTCGGTCGAAGAACTGCTGCTCGTCATGAGCTGCTGAGCTGGGACCAGTTGCCGCAGCTAGGTTTGGCGAGTCTACCCAACTGAAGGTCTCGTGGACGTGTATGCCCGGGAACGCCGGTGTAGAGAAAGACGCCGACTGGCGCAGGTGGGATGGACCTGGTACAGGTGAAGCCGGTGCGGGGAAGCTGGTGAACGTCGGAGACTGCGCATGGCCCTTTGCAGGCCTGACCCTTTGTTTCTTTCTATTATCCTGTGCGCGAAGACCGTTAGTCGATGCGCGCGGCGCGAGGCTGAAATGCACAAGGCAACTCACTCGTCCAGGTTCAGCCCGCTGAGATTCCTTCCCCGCCTCTCTCTTCCGACGTCTAGATGGAGGCACTTCCTTTCGAGCAGGGGATGGGGGAGCAGCCTCATGGTTCCAAACGCTCGTTGCTGTAGAGTTTTGTGGGTGCGGCAGTATGCCGACGAGTGGCACTGCTCGAGTGGCGGACATCTCAGGCAGGAAGTCTTTGAACTCGCCAAGCAGATCGGGGGTGTCTTTGAAAAGGACTTGGACCTGGACGTAAACCTACAGGCCAGATCGCTAATAAAACACGGTGGCATCGACGGACAAAGGAAGCGCAACATACCTCCTGCATCATCCTTTGTTCTCTGATTTGGAGCGCTTGCTGATCCTTGACTTCCTTCAGGTAAATCTGCTGCTCTTTGCGGTAGTTTTGCAGAATCTCCAAGAACTGCTTGTACGTATTCGGTTCATCGGGGTATCTCGTTTTGATTTTGTTCAAGTACTGGATAGCATGGTCGAACTCTCCACTTTGTTGTGCTCTCTCGACCGCGTTCTGGCTCTTGTTACTCATATTGCCCAGCACAGACGCTGCGTGAGCAGTCGTGGAAACTCCCTGAGGTCCTGGTGAATAAGATGCAAGAGGGTCATAGTAGATGGGAGCAGTTGAAGGTCGGCCATGTGGGGATGGAGGCCGTGAGCCAGATGCAGAGGGGATATCTGAGATGGTATGCAACGGCGCGTGAAGCTGGGCTACTTGAGGTACAAACGGAGACGCGTTCACGAGTCCAAAAGCCGGTGTCGGGATGGTGGAAGTGGTTGTACCAGTGGGTGTCGTGACGGTAATGAGGTTCACGTCGTGAGGGTCAGTGGAACAATTTATGTGGTAGCCCGGCGGAAGGAAGGTATTAAATCCTTGTATGAGGCCGGGGTTTCCGTGAAAGAGCATGGAGACGCGTTCGATGACGCCTGGTGTGTCGATCCTGAGAAACGATTAGTGAAAGAACCATTTGGAGGATCGGATGAAGGCAAAAGGCCAGTGCTCAATGAAACTATGACATAGCTGCAGTCCCGATAAGGTAGGAACCGGTCGGACCGCCGGCAAGGCTTTTGGCCTTCCGTCATACCGTGCAATGTGCAGGGGAACGACATCGACATGCAAAAGTGTCGGAGAGACTTGGATGGAGGGCAACATCGCGTGGATGCATAGCTCCCAGTCAACAGTGCCGAGATGAATCGAGTTTCGGAACTTCCATGTGAAGATACGCCGCGGCACTCCCAAGGGAAGATCGGCAAACAAAAGTAGACCCCAGGACTCACAGCTGGCTCTTGAAATCCTTCATTATATCCAAAAACTGATTGTAGACATCCGGCTTCTCCGCAAACTGTATCTTCACCGCGTCCAAATAGCTCAGCGCATCCGTGACGTTCAACGGGCGGCCTCCATCCCCCAGTCGAGGGGTACCAGGACCACCGGTGTTCGACGGGCTTCCTCCCAGGCCGGGGACGGGTGTTTCAGACTTGGGGGGTGCGAGAGGCCCGCTGGATGCTGCCCGCGAGCGAGGTATAGTTGATACGCCGAAGGAACCTCCCATCCCCCGCATCTCTTGCTCCAATGTGTATGCTTCGGACAACTTGGATGGTCCAGCAGTCTCGTGGTCAGGAGAATGGCTCCGACTTGGCTGTGGTGCTTCCTGTTGGATGGCGACGGTGTGTGCAGGTGATGACGGCTCCGCGATCGCAGTGAAGGGCGGGGTACTGGAGGGTGCAGCAGCAAGAGAGATTACGTTGTGCTTGGGAGCAGGAGAGAGGGGCGGAGGCAGTGGTGGTGTTAGAGAGATATTCATAGCCGAGTCGTTACAATTTACGCTGCGATGCAAGCTTCTGGCGCCCACCGCGTTCTCGACAACCGCAATGTCGTGGGAGAAAATCTTATCTTATCTCCCCAGAGATTGATAAGATCAGACTTCAGAACTCAAGTACTCAAATATGGGTCGGTGCAAATGGTACATATGGAAAATCTAATCACGGGCAACCAAGAACAAAGCATCACGAAAGAACTCTACCTGAATTCATATCACCCATTCCCAGGAGCCCGGTTATTTCGAGCATGGAAGCTCTTCTCGCTTATCATGTAACTTGCAAAGTACTTACGGAGTGGTTTGCTGTATCCGACTGGATGGAGGAGAAAAACATGGATATAAAAAATTTAAGGCTTGGTGTATGATTGTGAATTCACTCGAACGTTGTGTACATATCCGTAGGCCTCCGGCGAAGCCGGTGTAGGGAAGAAGTATGGGGCTTCGTAAGGGTAGGTGCGCGCCACTGAAGTAGAATTCTTCTTTTGCATGGCACCGTTTCCTCGATGCGTGCTCTGCTGGTTCGTCGCTACACGAAGGCTCAGTAAGCCCGGACAGGACCAAGTGACGATTGATATTGCACAACTCACACGAATCGGTGCTAGGAGATCGATCGACTCGCTGCGCGACGGTCGCTTTCCTCTTGAGCTTGCGTCCTGAAATTTTCATATCTGGAAGCGAAGCCACTGCATGCAGAGGGGAGGTCAACAAACGCATGGGACTGCTCTTGTCCCGCGGTTGCTCTGAGGGCAACGAAAGGCACCGACAAAGTTTCTGCTTCGGCAATCGTGTGTGCTTGAGACTTGAAAACTGTAAAGAGGGCTTGTGCTTCCCGGATTGAGGGCATTCTTCTTCGGATGACTGACAGGGCGCCGCCTGACCAAACGTCCCACTGGAAGTCACTGGATCCCCCGTCGTTATCAGCTCGGCTCGTGGGCATTCAGGTAAGGTCGGCATTGAGGGAGGTATAGAGCGGTGAGGATCATGCCAGGAGCGATTGAAAGAGGGGTAGGGTTCAGGGTCTGAGTGTACGGTGATGGAGGAGGTGCGAATCGGTGGCGACGGCTCAGAGGCTTCATTCGATGTCACGAGATAAGTAGAGAAACTACGTTGCCGCTGTCCATGCTCACGGGTCAGCGGTACCATAGGAGGTGGCCTCTCGCGCAGCGTAGGTTCAAGTTGGCTGAGAGCCGTAGCCATGATGCTCTGTGTGATAGTTTTGTTCAAGGAGAGAGAGAGAGAGAAAGAGATCGTTCCACACGCACCAGGATGAATCCAGCCAGTGCTTGCATCACACAAGAGACCCAGAAACCGAATTCGTGCCATAGCTGGCGGATCATATGAGCACGTGGGAGAATGTGATTTCCTCGTTCTTTCTGGTCGATTCGGAGGATACGAAAAATTGCTTCATAGCACAGACAGAGGTATGAGAGTGCTCGAAAAGTAAGCGACTGCAGGAGATGGTATTGGGAATCTTATAGGTAGAAAGTTAGGGGTCAAGTTATGAGACATAAGATCCTGATCGACGGCGGGAAACCAACCAGCGGGATAGGGAAAGGCTTGGTATCATCTTACCAACCTGGCTGATGTAGGAACACCGTCATATCCAAACTGCTGACTTGCTGACTTGTTCCACGACGGGTTCCACATCGATATGAACTACTCACCCACCAATCAGCGCAAGATGCAGCGTAGAGAAACCGAAGAGCCGTCAGATGTCATCCAAATTGAATGCTCCAATCAGCTCCAAGAGTACCCCAAGTGGGATGCTGGTATCTGCATCCGCGACCTCGCCCAAAGAGCCTGAGCAAGCCAGAGGTTCATGACGGATCCGTATTATTCAATCGACTCGCAGAATGAACTTAAAGAGGTCCGAGGAGATATTAGCAAGCGGTGGTGTGTGGGAATTCGAGGTGTCCTCGTCGCGATGGGTTGGATGCAAGGATAGACCAAACTGGGCGCCCGGAGTCTTCGGCACAGTCACGTGACGGTCTGTGACGGTCTTGGACTCGTCGTGTCGGGCGCTGTTGTAACGACTCCCAGCTTTCTTCCGAACGTCGTCGACGCCGTTGCCCGTCATCTTGCTCTCTCATCGTCGCTAAACACACGATGCCCCCTCGCGGCAATGAAGGACTGGATTTCACCCCAATATTAACACATTATCTCTTCTTGTTCACTAGTATTCTTGCAGTGGTCAGTGTCCCATTGTATCTCGGAATAGAACGGAAAATTTCTCATCGCATCCATGGATCGTCTGATACAGGTTGGCTGGTTTGTAGCCTTCATATCACAAGCAGTCGTGACTGCACAATGTGAGTCGAATCGTACCTCTCAGCGCTCCACGCTTGACTGTCATTTCAGTCGGCCATGGCGCTGTTGGAACCCTTTGGTTTGCGATCTTTCTCGAACTCTTCCTCGTCGTTGGCGTCCTATACACTCTTGCCAGCGACTCGATAGCGATGCATCGCTTCCAGATCTCCACCTTCGGTGCGGTTGCCATCGTATTTTCCGTCCTCGGCGTAGATGCGGGAATCTTCACCGGACAGGCTGCTCGAGGTGCAATGGCTGCTGGTTGGCTCATCCTCGCCGTCGTCAATATTCTCTGGGTCCTCTACTTTACTTCAGAGGAGGACTCGCTTACTCTTCACGTCTTTAATGCATTGGGCACTGGCGGCCTCACCCCTCCTTCACGCAGGCGTCGCACACGCACGCAGTCCGTCCATAACATGGGAGCTGGGAACGGCTACGGCGGAGGATACTCTTCTCCAGCAGGCGTCGGCTCGGCTCCATACGACACCAAAATGACAACCAACTTTAGTCCGGGGGCGGGTATTCGGAGCCAGGGAAGTCTCCACGGGAGTTCTGGCGTGGACGGGGGGCCCCCAAAGAGTTTGAATGGGGCACCGAGCATAGCAAGCAACATGGCTCCAGGAGCATCGTCGATGCCAGGAGAGAACGGAGGGGTGACTTCGCCGCTCACGACTCCTGGAAATGCGGGGGTTGGTTCAGGAGGAGGCCCCCCATTGCCTGAGGATACCAGCATAAATTCGGAGGGATACGCATATAAAGCAAAAGCACTTTATGCTTGTGAGTATTTTGGTCAGACTGGGTACTCGATCAGAACTTATCCTATCTCTAGATTCTGCATCGCCTGATGATCCAAATGAGATATCGTTCGCCAAGGGCGAAATCATGGACATCATGGACAAACAGGGCAAATGGTGGCAAGCTAAGAAGGCAGATGGGTCGATTGGCAGTACGTTTATTGTCCCCGATGTCTTTCTTTACAGCCCTGACCTCGAACCGTCCACAGTCGCGCCATCGAATTACCTTCAGATTATCTAACCCATCTATTGGGTTGCTTGACCCATTTCGCATTTTCTTCTGCATACGAACATCACGAAACGAGAAGCGCACAGCGTGCGATGATGCCTACTCGACCTCATACATACCCTATTAATACTGAGCCACCGTCCTCACTCCTTCTAAGCACCACCTGCTCCTTTCTCCTCCCTTTCTGGTGCTTGGGCGATGCTGTTGATAACAGGGGTTTATCTTAGTGCCTCATCGTTCATTTCATTGCTGCTTCAGTGACATGTCGCGATTCCTAGGTATGTCGTCTGTTAGTCTATCTCGAACACTCTTGTTGTGCTATCTATATCAGCCACGATCGGGATACCTCCCAGTTTGGACTCTTTGTTTACCTACCATTTCGTTTTCCCTGTGTGGAGTTCGACGGACTCGTGTGCTCTGCTCGGTCTATAGGCTACGCACTGTATGTGTTCAATACGACTCGCTTTCATATCGATGTCAATTTGCGCGTGAATCGCACAAAAAAGCGAACAGCTGGACATTACATCGTGCTCTGGAATACTGTTACAATGTTGTTTGTTTAAAGCGTATAAGTATGCATCAAAAACCAAAATCATGTCTGTCAATGCATGCGGCCAGGTCCATTCCCTAACACCACCAACCGGTTTCTCTTCCTCCGCCCACCGCCCCCACCGCCACCGCCTCGTTGCTCTAACTCATGCCAAGCAATGTCTAGATCCCACTCGTCTTCCTCCTCCGCCCTCCGTGCTGGCCGCTGTCCAGCCACCGGCTGCGGAGTGCTGGAGTGCAACGCAGATGCAAAGCTGCGGGAGCCCCACGCCCCGGTCACGGGAACATGCTCCGGCTCTAGTTCCGGTTCGTGTACATCCTCGACGGGGGGCGACTCTGCGTACGCCGCGTCAGTCGGGACGCGATATAGCGGGGTGCCAGTCTCCCTCCACGCAACCGAGGCCAGCTTCTCCTTCTCTCGCTCCTCGGCGCGGGCACGCGCGCGGTCGTCTTTCCGCCCCTTCTCCTTGCGCCGTGCACGCCGGCTCTTCAATGCACCTTCAAAGTTGCGCAGCCCGTCCGCCCCGACGACGTCCGTCAGATCGGCCTCAATGAAGACGACGTCGGCGCCCTCGGCCACGTGTCCCAGGTACTTGCAGCGCTTGCGTAAATCGTCGTTGACGGACCCTTCGTTGTACGCCTCGACACGAACGACGATCGAGTCTGGGAACGATGCGTACCCGTTGAAGTGGGCGTTCAGTATCTTGATGTCCAGGGGGTGCAAGAAGATGGGCATGCCCGATGCTGCCTGGTAATAATAGTACGTCGAAGTGGAGGGGGGAGGGGGATTGAGGTTGCGACGCGGCTTCTGACTCCGGGGAGGGGCTACAGCGGGTGGACTAGGGACTGGCGCAGAAGAATTCAGACCAGACGAACGTGCAGCCAGATAAGCCTCTGGCACATCAAATGTCTCGCGCTGTGCAGCTTCCTGCTTTCGCCGCTGCTCGTGGTATAAAAATCGAGCCTGGATTTCATGCTGGGTCTGCAATGTCTTATCAATGGCGTTCCGAAGGTACTCTGTGTCCAGTGCCGTCGCCTTGGCAATCTGCACTTGTAACTTCTGCTCTGCGGCGTCAACAAAAGTCACCCCGAGGCTGTCGCCCATGCTCAATAACATTCGCCTCTCGATTGTCAAATCATTGAGATCTTGAGTGAGCTTCTCGACTAGATAAGTCGGCGTCGCAAGCATAAATTTGGAGTAGGTGTAAACATCGGGGAGGAAGTGAAATGGTGCTTGATGAGGGGGGAGTATATCAGAGGGCCAAGTGTTGGAGCGCGGGAGAGCTAAGGTGGTGATTTGAGGCCTCTGCATCAATCGCATTCGAAGAGTAGAGCCGGGCCGTGGTAGGTTATCGAGAGCTGTGGCCACGGACGATGACGAGGAAGAGGCTTTAGGAACAAGCCCGTCTGGATCGTCTTCGGCCTGGTGAGTTCCGTCGAACCATTGGACGCTCTTGAGCTGCTTCTCGTTGACCGAGTCAAAGCAGATCGGGCATCGGACCCACTTGGTATTGTCCGAGGTATTGAAATAATGTAGAATACAAGGAAAGCAAAATACCTAGAGTGAAGAAACTATGTTTAGATCGAATGCATATGGTCTGGAAGTGCACCACTGACATGCCCGCATTTGGTCATTCTAGGAGCAGTGGGAGGAGAGAGACATATGGGACATATAGTGTGTCCCTCGTCCTGGAGAGCCCCTTGTCCGCCGCCAGCAGCAGAGGCCAAAGCGGAGCTACGTGGGATTATAATTTGCTCGATATCTTGCCATTGGAAGAAGCTGTGAGACACACTCAGCCTTCGAGGGGATCAGAGCCCAGGTCAAACATACATGTCAGGATCAGCGAAGTGTACGGTGTAGTCCCCATTGGGGTTCATGACGAATCTATATTGCGCGTTAACAAACCCTACAGGCCAGTGAAGTCAGTTGTGTAAGTTGCCGATATGGAGATAGGATAGGATAGGGCACCCACTCTCTTTGTTCCATACAGGATGCTGTACCCCATGTCTGCGGCTTCTCCTAGGTAACACCTGTAGTTGCTGTGTTTGTCTTGGAGGCAGTGAGAAGTTGAGGAGATGATTCAGGGATTGTGATGAAGCCGTCTTAGCTGAACGCTTGGGGGTCGAGGGAATAGATTGGGGAGTCGTTACACCACGAGTAGCCATGAAATCACTGCGTGTATGAGAGGGGTGAAGATTCAAGGTGATTGGGAGACTTGTGGTATCTCCTGGACAAGCAATACTGCTCGTCGAAGACTTGGGAATGGACAGCCGTGGGTCTGCAATGACTCAACGCCACAGCTCGTCGCACGTGGCTCGTACGCACGTGCGGGACCGAAACAACGTCACAGACAAGTACAGTAGCTCCCCCGAAGATTTGGTGTCGATCAAACCACGGGTCTACACACCCCATACATGTGGATTGACTGCATCGCATCCCGCGCATATCCGGTACGGTGCACCGACATCCTAGAATGAGGTGGGCCACAACGGGCCATACATGTATGATACGATTGTTACAGGTAGGGAAAAGCTCCAAGATAGATTACTCAGTACCTCAACACTCCGGTGGACTGCAGAGCGGGTGGAAAGCAAAACAACAGCTGCTCGACCTATATCAATCGACCCAGTTCGGCTCCACCTTGAACTTCGCCTTGGGAATGTATTTGCCAACCTTCGCCTCCGCTTCCATCCGAATTTTCACGGTCCTGTGAACGTTGAATCCCGCCGAGTGCTGTTTCAGTATCTTTCGCCCGCGGCCGAGGTTGACCCTAGCGTAGTCGATCGCAAATGCTTAACTCAACGGATAGTGCCACGGAAAAAAGGACTCACGAAAACGTCGAAGCCCAAGATCGATCTTCCTTCTGTACCCTCGTCTGGAACGGTATTATCTCGAGGATCCACCACCATTTGGCAAGCTTCAGCTGGTCATAGATCGGACTAAGGGCGTCGTGTAGATCTTCCTCTTCCTCCGACAGCACAGAAGATTGAGGGCTGTCAACGAGTGTGCCGTCTGTCGGCAACAGAACGTGCTTGCTTGGGCTTTTGGCATCTTTGCCTTGTCCAGAAGGAGCAGCAGAGGACAAAACTACGGGAGGAGGACGTGGCCGCACAAGGGGGTAAAGTGTGTCTGGGTCAAGTCCGGTCCCTCTGAAGCCACCGCGGTGAAATTGAATGCCCGTGTCAGCGAGAAAACATTGACGAATCATCCATCGCAGGGGGATTCGCGCTAGACAATGACGTGTATCGTTATCCACGGATCCGCCCCCGATATCTGAGAGAATCATTCTCGTCGATCGAGAGCATTGGGTATAGAATGAATTGCATACCACAGTGACAGCCAGCGAACCATACTTCGAGTACATCCGTTTCAGTGATACGATCATCGTATTCGCGTTCTAGATGCCGCGAAGACATCTTGCCGTCGTGGTGATGACGATGAGGATGGTGCTGGTTAGATCGTGGCATGTCTCCACGCTTAGTACCTAGCTTATGCTCATGAGGTGGAGAGAGATGCCAGTGGTTCGCTTTGAACTTGGCTCGGTGCTCGTCGAGGGAGATAGCATGCCGGAAATAGCGGACAGCCGTGTTTGACTTAGTGAATGGGAGTCTCTTGGGGATCAGACCCACAGACGAGACAGTATCCCTGTGAAGAAGAGAGTCAGAATATTGTTCTTTGCTGATGATAATAGGCATACCACACGCCGAGGAATTCGATCTCAACATCTACCGAGAAAGCCTTCTTGAACGCATTGCTCTGCTTCCAACCCTCCTCGTTGTCCCGGGCGAACATTTTGTAAGCAAATGGGACTTGCTGATGATTGCATGCTGGTAGTATTCCAACCTACACGATGTGAGAATCAGGCCTGACTGACAGATCAGACTGAATGCGCACTTTGTGGATCATCCCTGCCAAAGCGCGTGCGGTGTATGCACCTCGAGAGAAGCCAAATATACAGATCTTGTCCTCTGCTTGATCTGTGTGCGATAAAATCAGCCACCGACTGAGCCCTAAGCACACAGACGACCGAATACTGACAGTTCTGCATCAAAAATTCATATCCACCTAGCAAGACGCTGTAAGGAATAACAGCCGATTTAACGCGAGCCATTACCCACCCATGACATGAGCATCAAGATATTTGGCAACCGCCATGTCGACAATTTTAGCAAGTTTCGCCATGAATGGCGTGGCGATCTGAGGGGAGGTGTAAGTACCGATCCCAGCCTGAAGGGTACAGGATAGGATACGATCAATTCAAGCCCAATTCCACTTTGTTGAACAAAATGAACCTGATAGTATACCATCTGCTGGCTGCGATCATCCTTCTTCAACATTGAGAAGAACGAGACGATGTTGGAGTTCTACAGGTCTCTGGTCGTCAAAAGGATATCATGCGATATGTCGTGGGGAAAGGCGCATACATCCGCATCGAACTGATCTCCTGTTCCGTCGAAGCACAGAACTAGGGTACGGCGCGCGTGCGAAGACGGGATCACGGTATCGTCGAAGGACAGTGAGTACGGGGAACTGGTAGACCTGCCTCCTGGCGAGGACTGAGCAGAGTCAGCAGATTCCCGACGAAACGGGTCTGTGTGGACATTGGTCGAAGGCTGAGCCTCGGATTCGCTGTGACTGCGAGGGGCAGGGAGAGACATGGATTTAGCACCAGAAGGGGAAGAAAGATTAGACTGAAAGAAGTCAGAGCCCCGCGCTATATATCTAGTGATGGTCAAAAGCCCCGACAGTTGGTCTTCTGCGTAAGGAACTTGGCGTACATGTATGGGCAAGCTTCTACAGCTTTCCATTCAGTATGTCAGACGACTATGATGCCGCCGGATCCGGCGACAAAATGATCATGATCTGCGACAGGCGGCATAGCAAGAGCTGGCCTCTCCCCGAGAGCCAGGTTTACAGACGGGAGTCTAAGGAAGAGATAGTCGCCAGAGAGTCAGAGTACTCCAATGCAAAAGATTTCATGAGTGCAGAATTCAACCCGAGCGATATTCCTCCGCTGCCCACTTAGGTTTGAGCATTGATGACAGGTTGTGCTTCCATGAATAGATCTGGATAGATCATGAGCGCTTGAGCACTGCCAAATGCCACAGCTAGCAAGTTGGCAGACAGCACGTAAGAGTCGGAGATGATCTGCTGGCGCTGGAATTCAACAGAAATGGAGAACAGAAGACGCCGTAAAGGGGCAAGTTTACTCATGCATGGTAGTCATCATCTATCCCAATCAGCAACGTCAATTCCTCCGCATGACGGTGTGCGGCGAACATCGGACCCGTTCTACGCGCTTGGGTATTCTGACCAGGTTCTCTCGGTCTTCAGCGAGCACCGCGGCAGACGTGGAGAATACCAGTGTAAATCCCTGCCATGCGATGAATGAACACGGTTGTTCAGAGTAAGTGCAGTATGACATATCGCATTGCCAGTTGTTACAGGCCTCCACGACGATATTTCCCGTGGTGCAGTCAGATAAGGATATTCGGGAATCACATCAGAGGTCGAAGAAGAACCGCCAATGTTGCCGCTGCCTTTGAGGGTCGCTGTGGTGCACTCTGACGTAGGTCTCAGCGAGTGGGCAGGGAGAGCGGCAGTGATGATGGGCTGATGCAAATAAGATTGTCCCGAGACGCTGCTCTTCGATAATCTGAGGCTCCAACCTGAACTCGTGACACTCAGTGACCGATTGATTCGCATCGAAGGCTCGAAGCATGTGTGGCCTGCGTTATGGCGCCGTCGCCGGTCGGTGATCAGAACAAAGCTTATTGCGGCGATGTGACAGCGCACCTCCATCAAACTTTTCCGTGTTCAGTGGTTGTGCAGTAAGAGCCCGAGTTGAGAAAGAGAGAGGGATGTTGATGTTGAAGAGCAAAAGTCAAATCGCCTCGGGCCAAGGATGCGACCGAGGGCTGTTGCTAAGGATAGATCGATCGGCTGGCGGCAGAGGATCTCGTGCCGCGTAGCCGAAGGGCCGTTTACTGCTCCTTGGTTGCTAATATCCACCTTGAAAATGTCGTAAGTAGCAGCCTTCGCTCAAGTTCTCACATATCTCTGTGCTTTCTTATCCGCGCTCTTATTGTAAACTTGGTCTTCTGGTTCTTATTTTTCCATTCCCCGAGCGACTCCCCACCTCTCTTGATCACTGGTCAACCCGATGCCCCCCACACCGACCGAAAAATCGCGCACAGTTACAGACCCACCGAAGCAACGACGACGACCAGGACGAGTGCCCGTCTCGTGTGCAGAATGTCGCCGGTGCGTATCGACTAGTTGTCGTTTGTCGGGCGTGTTCAAGTCGTCTTGTGTCAAATGTTCAGGCTGAAACTGCGCTGTGACCGAAAGGTGCGCACGAATGATCATGTCCTAGCCTCATAACTTCATGCTGAGGATCTGTGGAGGTTCCTTGCGAAACATGCACCAAACGCGGTTGTGCTGCTATATGCCCGAACGGTAAGTGACACCTGCTCAACATTGCCCGACAATCTCGCCGACCCTCTCGTTAGGTGCCCTTGCCACCGGCAAAGCAAACAATAAGTAGATCATGTGTATCATCGATCCCCTTTTCCACGACTGACATCTTCACGACATACATCGCAGATATGTGTTGGCCAATACCGAGGAGTTGCATGCAAAGATTCACGTTATGACAGTTCGCATTCGCGAGCTCGAAGTCGGTCTTGCTGCCCTCCAAGCCACAATATCGGAGGAACCACATCCCTTACTAAAAAAAGAGCGAATGTTGAATCAAGAGAGCTCACCAGCGCAATCAAGTGGATCCAGTCCACAGAACCCAACAGATACAGCGGGTGATGCGGACGATGAAGGCATTATAGAGGCGTTCGGTGCGTCTTTTTATTTGCTGGCAAGGCCACAGAGTTCATAGTTCGTGATAGGTACGTTGAGTATCGGCGTAAAGGGTGATACGAAGTTTTACGGCGCGTCAGCCCGTTCCGAAGTAATTCCAGCCCCTTTCTTATATCTAGTTTGTCATTGACGGTTCCCTCCTAATTGCAGTATATCCTCCAGGTGAGATGCGTGACATTTCCTAATTACCATATTGTTGCCAAATGCTACTTTACGGTAGTCATCCAAGTTGATGCCCAAACTTGCCTATACTTCTTCCACTCGCCTGCACCCACGTATTGTCGAACTCATGTGCCCAGAACTTGAAGGCGACAAAATTGACCCGGAGATCAAACGTCTGGTCTATGCCCACCTACCGCCGTTGTCGGAGGCATGTCAAATGTGCGAAACCTTCATGAACCTCTCACAGTACATGTATGTTATTTGACTGCGTCGCTCCATCTAAGACGAGCTCGTTGACATCTGCACGTGAATAGCCCCTCTTCACTGAATCGCAAACAGCTGTTTGATGAAGTATTGTCGCTCGCGTATCAAGCCAAGTGAGCCGTCATCCGTCTCAATCCTTCAAAGCTGTTGACATCTTCTTAGACCTTCAGAAGGGATGCAGTCCCTGCATGCTCTCAGCTTGCTGTTCATTGTCTTCGCGCTCGCCAAACAGTATGACACGACGACTGCGGACTATCATATTGAGGCATATGATTATTTTGTACTTTCTCGGGTCGTGCTTTTATTTGACTCGCCGATCACCTCGACAACAGTTCTCGCCGTTCAAGTAATGGTGCGTCTCATGGTCATGCAGCCCATGCGTTTCCGACTGAGATTTCATCTGTAGTGCTATATGGCACAATATCTTGAGATCACAGACTCCAGCTTTCTGCCCACGGGTTCGTCTAGAGCATGGATGTACTTGGGATATGCTGTTAAATTAGCCCACGGTGTGAGTTTGGACATTATTAACATATATATTCCCTCATGTTAGAAGCAATATGACGTAGGTCGGCTTGCGTGAGTCATTTTTGCCTTATTTCGAATAAATCGTCTAATGGTATGCAACAGATTTGAAAAGCACGAGGTGGAATCTGGACGAAGAGGAGAGCCAGAAACGGAGCCGTGTGTTTTGGCACCTGTTCACCGTCGATGCTTGGAATGTGGGTTTTCCAATTCGTAGTTTGCCACCTTTTTCAATTAGATGTCTTCCAGAGTTTCAGCTTTGGTCGACCGCCAACTACCATGCCGTCATTCATCGACTGTGAACTACCAGTAGATGACGAAGATCGGCTCAAGGAGGATGGGACCAAGGACCTTGGATGTACGACAATATAAATCATTCTTCGTTTTAATGAATCTAATAACGCACACCAGTCCAGCGATGGAGTTTTCTTTATTGTCAATTACTGCATACAGTCATGTGCACTGCCTTTGGGGCAAAGTCGCCGCCGTACATCACTATCCTTGAACTTGACCGCAGGATTCGCGACTTCATCATCCCAGAATTCTTGAGGCCTCCATGCGATGGCACGCCCGACGACCCTCCTGCAGATATACTAGTGAAACGCTGGATGGTTCATTCGAGTAAAGAGTGGAGTAAGTCGTGTCTACCGTCGCATCTGTTCTTGTAATTAACATCACTCGACCCCTCGAAGCCCTGTTGAACCTCCATAGAGTATATTTTGCTCAAGCGCTTCGCGAAAAACCCGAAGACCCACTGAAACATAAATACGGGCCATCAGTCATGGCGATATATCGATCGGGGTATCGAGTCATCGAGTTTGGCCAGCGGGCGATGAGTGCGTTGCCGCAATCTTTTTTCAGGAGCACCTTGGCATGGTCTAAAGTCCTCTCCGCTGCGGTACGTATGTTAAATAACCCCGGTCGTCAGGAAACTTGAATATTCCTTGCTGTTTGGTCTGTAGATTGTAATGTGTTTACTCGTCTGCAACGCTCCTACCTCAAGCCTGGCTCCCTCCGCGCTGGAAGAGTTGGACATCACTTGCAGTTTCTTCGAAAATGCGGTGCGCGCTGGCAGTCGTCCGGCGGCTGAGCATCTTGTAAGCATGTGTCGCTGCTGCCATATGGAGCTATTGTTCATTCATCCTTTTAGGATGCTATTAGAAGCTTGTACCGACAAGCGCACGAGGCCATGGACAAGACCCAACCGCACGGTAATCAGTCCATGAGTGCAGAACTTCAACGAATGGGTCGTGGGACACAAGTCATCTCACAAAGCTCTAGTCCAAGTGCTGGGCTATCATCGCCATCTTTAGACCAGAGGGCCATGCCGAATCATATTCCTCTCTACCATCCGCTGGTTTCAGATGAGCAAATGCACCCTACAATTCTCAACGACTTCCAGGCGTTCGAAACCTTCCCCCCTACGCCACAGCCGAGCACCTCATCATCCCTCCCCGCATCTTCAACCTCCATGTTCAATCTTTTCGACTTCCCGTCAACTGGTTATTCTCAGCCGGGCGATGCACAGTCGTTGCAGATGTCGTTTACTGACATGAGTCCTTTTGTGACGGGTGCTTCGGCCCAATCAGGGATGTATCAGAGCCCCACTCAGCAAGAAAGTTTGGGTGCTACGAGTGGGCAGCCGTATATTCTGGATGCGACGTGGCAGGATTTCGTTGAGCAGCTGGGCTTCTGAATGAGTCTTTTCAGCCGTCGATACTTCGGGTTTCGCTTTACGAATAATTGTCCGGATGTCTAATATCTTCTATTTCATCTACATACTCAAGTGTAGCTCCATGGAACAGCTGTTACTATAACCTCATGTATGTTTTCTCGTGTAAAGCAATATCCGTCGCTGGGGGGAATGGCTTCGGAGCCTCGGAAGAGGACGGGAATTAGGGGCTCGAAGAGGAGCAGCCGACGCATATGCGCCACGTGAAATTTTGTATGTCATGGCTTGTTCGGGAGACTTATATGCTGGGGAACGTCCGTGCTCAATTTTATGCGTTGACCTTCTTTACGACCATCCCAGTTCTCTTTCGTTTATCTCTCTCCTCTTGTCGTCGGGATGAGCTATATTCCTCAGCATGCGCTCGCCAACTTGAGGAATTACTCCTATAAAGGCGTGGACAAGTGCGTGTATCGACCTCATTACCTCCTCTTTCTTTGCTGAGCAAGTGCGCAGGTCATTGCTGTCGAACTATGTCCTGAACCCATATTGGACGTGGCTGGTGACCCTGTGGCCAACGTGGGTCGCGCCAAATATGGTGCGCCGTCTGTCATGTATATGCAATGTCTCTCTTTTGACACTCGATACACACGTGGATCAGATTACACTGTCTGGGCTGTCGATCGTAATAATCAATTTCCTGACGTTGCTTTACTACGATCCTACGTATCTGGCTCAGAAGGGTGGTGCGTCTGTTCCGCAATGGGTTTATTACACGCAAGTAGATTGTCACGTTGTTCGTCGGTGTCTACTGCATTCTGAACGTCATTGAAGTTGGGGCGCAGGGCTCTTCTTGTATCAAAGTTTTGATGCAATTGACGGGTAAGTTACGAGCTCTTTGCGAGATGAGGGTCTACTTACAACGCGTCTGGCGTATCAGCAAGCAGGCTCGTCGCACTGGGATGGCGGGGCCCTTAGGAGAGATGTTTGACCATGGTATGTCGTGACAATATTTTTTTTGATAAGCTTTATGTATGCTGAAGGTTTCATAGGATGCGATGCTCTCAATACCACGGTATGTCACGATGAGGCCCATACATAGCCTCTCTGTTGACCTGGAGTAGCTTGAGGTCATCCTCGCGTCGCATGCATTGAACTTGGGCCGTTCTTGGTGGACGGTTGCGGCTCAGGTCGCAACGCTAGCCAACTTCTACCTCACGACGTGGGAGGAGTATTATACCGGTACGCTCCTCAATCTGAACTCGTCCGTCAAAATACTCAACAATGATTACAGGCCAGTTGTATTTGGGGGTCTTCTCGGGACCCGTGGAAGGTATCATAATGATTGTTGCTATCTATATTCTCACTGGTATATATGGTATGCATTGCATGTATCGGTCGCTGGTTCACCCGCTGACTCTGTTCGCATAGGACCTACTTTCTGGGATAATAAAATCCTTACTTTCACCGGTCTGGACCAGGTGGATGCTATCGCTAGCCGTGTGCCCAATATTGCCTTGAACGAGCTATTCATGGTATTTGGCACCTTGGGTATGGCATTCAACATCGCAACGAGGTATTTTCCTTCTGCATGCTCATATGCGTTAATATTGATATACAGTGTCTAGCTATGTAAACGTCTTTCGGTCTCGTCGCGCATCCCACGGGTCCGTTTTCAAACCCCTGTGGTACCTCTTGCCCTTCCCCCTCTCTGTTGCTGCGCAGGTCCTCTGGATGAACCACCCTAAATTCACGAACTCGGACATCCTCCGCTCCCCTGCTTTTGTTCCATTCTTATGTGCATGGGGCCTCCAGTTCGCTCATCAAGTAGGTAGGATGATCCTAGCGCACGTTACCGGTCAGCCCTTCCCTTGGTGGGATTCGATGTGGGTATGGAGCGTCATCGGTGCAGTCGATGCTAATCTCCCATGGCTTATAGGCCGGTGAGTCGTTTTATCAAATTGACTGACTGGACCGGTTCATCTAACATCATCTTGGCAGCCCCCCGATCATCCAATCTTCACCAGAAAACACCGAAAAATTCGTCTATGTTACGCTGGCCATCGCGTTCTTGTCATACAGCCGCTTCGTCGTGCTGGTCATTAACGACATTACGAACTACCTGGGTATTGCCTGCTTGACGGTGCGCAAAAAGGACGCGAGGGGCGTATGGCGTCAGGCCGGCCCGCAGGCTTCCAGCGAGAAGAAGGTATGATTGGACCGACTCCGACCATCGGGAAGGGCATATCTTATCGCAGCCAAGATATACTTGAGGTTATATACGACATAGAGTGATTTCATGACATAGTCTATATACACCATACAATAATCAGTACTAGATGCGTTGACGATTGAGCGCTTGAGCGCTGAGCTTGTTCACCGTGCGAAACTTGGCCTTTCATATACAGACAGAGCAACGCCTTCTGTCTTCATCGTCGCATTCGAATTGAGTTGACGCCAAACTATTCTTCTATTTCTCATCTTCTTGGAAAATTTGATCACACTGCCTTATGTCTCCAAACTCGCCTAGCTTGCCCTCTCATTACAGTACTTGGTCAATCTTACGGTCTCTCGACCATCTCTCGCCCCCTTCTCCGGATATCAGTCTTGGGCACATATCCACTCTCTGTAGCTCAGGAGAGATTCCTATAATCCTTCATTCCGGTATTCCGACCTTTCTTCGCACCATTTCCTCTAGCTCTTCGACCTCGCTGAACCTCAGTCCAAGCCTGGTCCGCAGAGAGCCCAAGGAGTTGGAAGGTCCTACCACTGATGAAGGCAATGCTACAACATCTCCAGCTCGCAGTGTCAGAACTATTGACACTTGTGGCACCTTTGGACCTATCAGACGTGATAACAAACCTAACCATAGTGCAATTATTGCCAGTCATGATGTACCTCTCCTAGTATCTCCAGAGTCTGAAGCTATAAACTACGAGTCTAGTCGGCCATATGAAAGCAGTGAACAGGCTGACTTCTCACAGCCGGACGAGCCAAGCTTGAAGATTGACTCTCCTGCTGCTGAACATGACGACGCCCATGCATCGAGCGTTCTGTTTCTTGACCCATTCTTGGCAGAGCGAGAGGCTATATGCACGACCCATCGAAGTGTGGACTCGATTCATCTACGATCACCCATGGACGACGGTGGGCAAGTGCTGCTCATGACGCCTTCACAATCATTCTCAGCTCTTCCCACTCCGATTTTCGCTCCCCCCTCTCCATCCTATTCGCTAGACACACCTGAATCGAGCCCCAGTCGTGCATTGAAGACAAAACTGCGTCATGCGGTCAACAGAGGCATGAACTTTATGGCTTCCATGCATCCTCATTCATTGTCGCCGTCGTCTTGCCCTACTTCTCCGACCTCCGCTCGGGACCGATCTGAATCTGCGCCCTCTTCTCCGGTCTCTTCGAAGTCTAGATCACATCATCGTTCTCGGGGCTCAACGTCCACAATACTCTCGACACGGTCTTCTCGGTCTGCGCACTCGATTTCTGGTCCAACTCCGGTTGTTCCATCCTCTGAGGACTTGATGAAATTTCTGGACCTTCCGCTGGCTCTATGCTGGCTCAAAGATACAATGGTTCATCTTTCCATCGACCAGGAGGGATTCCGTGACATACGTCCTGTCTTCAAGCTTGTTGGCTATTCTCGTCCTCCAGAATGCGAAACTGCTCCTATTTCACTCAATGTGCACTTGAACTCTGCACAAGCGGATTTCATGCCTCTCAAGCGACAGTCCTTCATCTTCCATCATGCCACGCTGGATACTCCTCCAATTCTACGCAGGCTCACCATCAACGGTGACGAATCGCACGACTACATCTCTAGGCAAGCGTATCTCAGTCTTAGGGCGAACGGTGCCTACTCTGTCCATGGCGCCGAATCCTCGCATGTTGATCGACACCATGCGGAATGCACGAATCTGGCGTGGAAGTTCGATTATCTGGTTGGTGACAGGCGTGCAGACAACGGTAAGCTCGTACCTGGAGAGAAGACCTTCACCCCTCTTGGGTTCTCTTGCTCCCCTGGCCTCTTGCACCCCGCGCATAGAAAGAAAATTCGTCTGATGCACATCGTCAAGAAGAGCGTCGTCCCCAAGCTCACTGCAGAGAAACTCGAGCCTCCTGCGCCTCCCTGCTCGCTCAGACCCAGCGTACGACCAGGCGACACACATTCTATCAGCTTTGGCCCAAGTAGTCCGCCGCACCCATCTACGAGGATGGGCTTTCTGTCCCACCGAAGGGCTCGATCTCAGGTCTCGAAACAGCCGGACGCCGCTGCCCACGATTTATCGAAGAACTGGGAGCACATCTCTAGCATATCTAATACCTTGCATGCAACTTTCCGTCGGACCTCAACTCGGTCAAGATCAGCAGATTACAGTTCCTACCCCGCCTCCCGTGAACCTTCTGACATCCCTACTTCTGGGCTCGGCCACGCGGCTCCCCGCTCGGGCGGTTCATCATTGCCTACTCGGTTTTCCGGGGACATTGCGCTCGATAGAAAGATCTTACCTGCCACCATGCTCGCGACATTGCTGTCGGATCCCTCGGAGACTGGTCTAGCGGGTCCAACAGCAACTCATGCAAGCAACCTGGCGGGCAATATTCAACCCCTTCGTCCGCCAAACCACCATACTCGGACGAGCACGAGCCATAGGGGTTCATAACGGCAAGCCTACGACATTTCTACTATGCGGTTATGATAACGATACACATATATACATAAGATAATTCCAACAATAGAAATTGTGGTAATGATTTGAGCGACGCGAAAAGAGAATAGGCAGACGGGTGCACAAGAGTTGAGAAAGGCGACAAAGAACCAGCCTAGAGCTTCGCGAGGTCTAAGAAAGGTCAGACGATCGATGAGCGTGGCCGAACACGCCGCCGCCTAGGATACGCAACGGCACTTGGATTATCGTTGTCAAAGCTCAAGAAAGATGTCGGTGGAGCCTGAGTATGCGCGTTTGCTTTGCCCTCATAGTCTGGTGTCGTCGGTGGAAGAGACCTTCTGCGTAAAGAAGCTAGATTCTGCAAAAATTCCTTGCCACGAGTCACGAGCCTGCGGGATTGCCGTGGGCGTTCGGTGTCGATAGGACCATCCGATAATAATGTTGCCAGTTGTTCTTTGAGTACGCTAAGTTCATCAGGTTGTCGCTGGCCAGTTTGTCGCTGGTCAGGTTGTTGCTGACTATGGTTGGCAGGTACCTCTTCGATTGTAAAAAGTGCTCTCGAAGCTTGAGCGCCTGGCGCGTTGGTAGGTTCGCCCGAAGGTGCGTCCTTGGTCGGTGACGCAGAAGAGATGCCCAGAGCTTCCATCACCGCTCTGTTGACCGCATTGCTCTCCGCAGGCTTTATAAATGGTTCGCGGAGCGACTGCCGCCTTCCAGCATCGCTGTCTTGGAACCACACCTTGCATGCGAGCATCTGTGTATCGCAGTCGTCGCAAAGACCGCCTTCATCCTGGTGGTTGCACCGCGGGAGCATCGGGACCAACGACTGGCGTCTGGGCGGAGGACTGTGTTGTGAACGCGTAGAATCTAGAGAGACTTCAGATGCTTCGACAAATCTTTCGACGGTGAACGGAGACTGGGGCTCAAAGACGGGAAGATGACTCGATTCTGGAGTCGGGATGGTAAGCGCGAAGGAAGGAAGAGTGGTCATATGGTTGTCCATGTCCTCCACGCCCACTGGAGGTGGACTATCGATGTTGAGGGATAAGGGGGTCTTCGAGTTGATTGATAAGTCAAACGGATTTTCTTCTGCGATTTGGCCTGGGGATCTCTGCGAGATATTATGTAGAAGGTATATGTTATGGAATCGAGATGACCTGCCTTATTTTGTCTATGAATGTCTGAGCTTTGATTGAGGAAGATGGCAGCATCGGTTGGGGGATCGCCGTCGCGAAGGGCTGCAGGCGGCGGGCTCGAGATTGAAGCGAACGTCGTATGGGAAATACTTGCGAATGACGAGTCCAGTGTATGCACACTGTATGAGTCTTGTTCTATGATTGGGCTCAGTGACTTGAGGATCTGCTGATGTACATCGTCCGGAGCAGTCTCAAAGTCAAAAGCCAACAGTCAGGGGAACCTACGAGCACAGATAGATGTGACTTACCATCGCCTGTGGATTGATTTCAATGGGTGAGCCCTCATCTTGAGAACTAGGCTGATGCTGAAGACTTGGGACCATAATGCTCCAGCGACCGGTGGTTGAATTATCGCTGCAAAGCAGCGACTCGGATTTGGGCTATTCAGAATAGGGTAAGCAGCGTCCTAGGTATGAAGATTTCATCCCAACGTACCCTCAAACGGCGTTGAGACGTGATAGCGCCTTTAATCCTCCGCAATCGAGAGGCGTTGTCTTCGTTGCTTTCATTTTCCTTGTCCTCGTTTGGTAGCCCACCCTGCCATGATACTGTCAACACAAAGAGGAGTAATAGAGACGGTGCAACAGAACCTCATAAAATGCGCTACCACTCATCGTTCGGAGTCGCGCGAGTTTGATCTAGGACAAAATATGATCAGTACATTGGCTGCTTTGTGATTCATTTTGCTCACTTGTTCGAGATGGCTTAACGATCTGTGCTGCAATCATTTCACGTACGTCAGTTTTGAATAATCATGAAATCAAGGCAGCGGAACCTTGCGATTGATGACGGCGGGGTGCTATATGAGATATGATCAATGAACGGCATTGCATCGTTACAGTACAGAACGCGAACCCTACCTCACGTGAAGCATACGCCGCTGATGATGTGGTATCCTGAAACAATGCATATACCCAATCACTTGTTATTCAAAAACACTTGTCAACCTGAGACCTACATTCGCCATAAGGTATGGGCTTGGATAATTGCCTGGGTGAGGGGAGGATGTGCTCCTGCATGAAAGGAACGAGCCATTGCTTCGGCCGCTACTAGGCGACGGTGCTTGCGAACGGTTACCACATGCACTCAACTTGCTTGTAGGGGTTGGAGCGAAAGCACTAGAAGCTAGCATATATGCGCCATAAAGCTTTATATTATGATTATCGCTCAGCATCGCACATACCTGAGTCATTCCAAATACGTTGAAGCGGCGTGACGTGCGAAGGAGGAACATCAAAGGTCTGGAGGGAGTCAGCAAGCGTTGGAGACTGAACAGATCTGTACGCACAGGATGGAGCTTGACGATGTTGTTGTATATGCGGCGCGACTTTGTCAAGACCTTCGAGATAGCGCTGCGACGCTTCGAGACTGGAAAGAGATCGGGCATGTTGGCTATGTCATACACTTAGCGGTCCTGGAAGAGTCTCATCGACACCAGAGGCAGTAAGGAGCGGTATGCAGTCTAGCGGGACGCGGGGATGCTTGAGCGACGAGAAGTAGTCCGCCACCGTGTTCAGTGCCAAACAATGCGAATGGTCCAGAACCACGTGATGTAACGTCATCCTCAGCTATGACCCTGCTGTCAGTGTTTTGAGCTTCGTCTGCTCGTATAAGACCAATGAGAAACAGCGTGTTGCATGAGCACAGATCGCAGTCTGCAAGCGCTTGAATCATAAACAATTGATTGAGCAAAGTATCGAGAGCATGAATTAGTCGACCGAACCAAATAGGGGCACGGTGATTCGTCCGTGCGCCTACGCAACGTGTTGACCCCGATGCATATTATGCTAGGGCGTCTAAAGACCCGCATTCAGATGCCTCGTCAACTGACACACACGAGCACGCGACGAGCAGCAAGGCTACAGTACGCTCCGATCAAAATTTGGAAGTCCAATATGGTTTCCGCTTTGAAGTCCCGGAATCAGTTGAAGATGCGTTGAAGAGAAAACATTCAGACAACTTCAATGTCAGGTGGATTCGCTGCGTATTACGTCCAAACGGCAACAAAGGCACCAAATAATGTAGTCTTATTTGCCTGGCAGATAAAACAGCAATGCCTGATGGGACAGGGGATGAGCTGGCGAACACAGCAGTCGACCGAGAAAACATACTAGAACGATTAGAAGGATAGCATTCTATGATGTGAACAGCTCTTCTTTTGTGTTTATGCCTACCATCGAGAATATAAGGCCGTTGAACATTCAATGAACCCCAAATACCAAGAGGCAAATTTGACTCACCCAGCTCTTCCCGCACGGGCTTGAGCTCTTCCAAGTACGACTCATACTGCTGCTTGTTCTCCACCTTCTCTTTGACGCCCTCGAGGATTCGGACGGCGGTCGAGTAGTCGTTGACGCGTCTCGCGGCGCGGAGGGCAGACTCGACGACGGCGGGGGAGGGCACGAGATCGTGCGCGAAGCAGTTGTTGAGGCCGCGCTGGACCTCGAACAGATCCTGGGCAGACTGGAAGAAGCTGACGTAGCGCTCGCTGAAGGACTCGAATGTCTCCTGGCCGTGTGCGCTCGAAGAGGGGCGAGCGAAAGCGGGTGCGACGGATGCGCGGAGGGCGAGGGTGGCCGGACGGGCGCGGAGAAGGGAAGAGATCATTTGCGTACGCATTGTAAGGAGGCTGCGACGGCAAGACAAAAAGTGTGTCTGCGGGGAGGGAGGAGGTTTACAGGAGCGGTATCGCCGACAGCACGCCCGGTTTTTTCTAACCGGGATACTCCGATGACGCTGGCTAGACGACACCTCGATGAATCCAGACGTGACAACCGCCTCTATCAAAATACCACTTTTTGTCTAGACTTTTACAGGGAAGTATCGTTAGACCAAAGATTAGCGCGCTGAATATTACATCCGATACATTCTACCATACACCCAGCTCTCGATAGATATGGCCAAAGGACCAGGAACTCGAATAAGCAAACAAACCTAGAGTCTCTCCCATCCGTTATCAAAGCCCTCCGTAATCCGCCAAGCTTCACCGTTCAACCACCTGTCAATTCTCGTCTGATCAAGTTGCTGTGCGCCCTCGTCCAGAATCTGAACATCCCCGCTCCCCCAAAGCGACAACACTGACCATCCAACCACGATCATCCCTGGAGGTCGCTGTTCCCCGCTTCTTTCCAGCGCAACGGCTACGTTTGCCAACGTCGACGTGATGACTCTCTGATCCGGCATGGACGCGCGCTCGATGATTGCAATAGGGGTATGAGAAGGGTACGCCACGCCGTCGCGGCGCGAGCAAGACTCGGCCTGCAGCGTGTCGAGAACCTGTCGTAAACGTGCGACGCCCATGAGGATCACGAGCGTGCGCGCGCGGTCATAGCCTGGCAGCTTGACCTCTTTGCCCTGTCGGCCGACACCAGTGCAGACAATGAAAGACTCGGCAGCACCACGTTGTGTGACGGGGATGCCAGCAAAGACGGGGCCTGCAAGCGCAGAACTCACGCCGGGGATAAGAACTGACTCGTAGCCATGCGAGCGGAAATAGAGCACTTCCTCGCCTGCACGTCCGTAAACCGTCGGATCGCCTTGCTTAAGCTGAGACCACGAAGAACAAACAAGTCACTAAACCAGCAGAGTAGATGCAAGAGACAACACGCACGCGAACGACGGTCAAGCCGCGCTTTGCTGCTTCGACCGCGGCCTCCATCATTTCATTCTGCGCGCCATCCGCATTCCCGGGGAATTTACGCGCCACACGCACTTCGACATGAGATGGGATGAGAGCGAGAACGGCCTCTGGCACGAGTTTGTCGGATAGCACCAAATCGGCGTGTCTCGTGAGTGCATCGTGCGTCGCTACCGTGAGCAGACCGGGGTGTCCTGGACCAGATCCAACCAGTAGAATGCGGCCCTGCTTTGGCGGAGCGGGCCCTACGGATAGCGCATGCAGCGACCTGACTTCGTTGTCTTCCGCATGCTGTACTGTCTCGTTCCCTGGTTGCGAAGATCCAAGAGTAACACTCGATTCTTCGTCATTCAACACGTCTAACATGTCCTGCTCGGACATCTTCGCCAGCCGCGAATATGACCAGTACTCGCTGATCTGAGCGACCCACTTCATCCTGCGCCGCGTGCTCTCCAGCTCGCTCTCGGTTGCGGATCTGTTCCTCTGTGGTACGGGCCGATTCGGCGTCAACGCCCGGTTTTCTTCGGTCCACACTTCGTCAGCGGCGGAGGAGGCCGAGCTTTGAGCAGCGACGTCTTTCGCCAGCCTCCGGAGCTTTCCAACTTTTGCGACAGCCACGCCAGCATCTTTGGGCAGTTTTGTGAGCACCTCTCGGCGTATGCGCCCAGAGAGGCGGCAGCCCTGGCCGTTGGTGACCACGGCGAGCTGGAGGGGTGTTTTCTGCTCCGTCTCGGGATCAACGAAGCGGTGGGTGGATGCGAACGTGAAGTCACAGAGTTCGGGGATGTCGGTGATGTTAATGGGAATGTTGCGCGCGCGGCAGATGTCGAAGAGTTCTTGTGCGGAGGTACGCGAGCGACGGTACCTCGCGTGGTCTTCGAAAACTGTGTCAGTCACGCAGACGAGGCTGACATCTCGAGTCTTGTCCAAATAATCAGCAAGGAAGGCGCCTTCTTTGGCGAACGAATTTGAGGGTTGGATATCCACGTTTACGAAGATGAGCTGTGCCTGGCTGGCCCTGTACTGGATTTCTTCGCATGCAGATGCAAGTCCCTCTTGACCCATGACTACGACCTTTGCGTCCGCCTCAAGGGCTGCAAAGGCACGGGTGGCCGCCAGGGCATTTGAGCCTACGATGAGGACACTACGAGGCTGACGGAACGCAAGCAGAAGAGAAGCGCCGCCGCTGGGGGCCGAGAAGGATTTGTCTATCGAGGACATGAAGTACGAGCCGTGATGAATTGACCATTTGAAGGCTTGCTCACCCTTTTGAGCGTCGACTGAACGAAAAATCGCGATCGTGAGCACCGAATGAGCAGAAACGCCTTAGGTAATCGAAATTAGACTGATTGGCTCCTTTGCCGGTGGCTGGCTCGAGCCGATTCCATTCTGTTTTCATGCAGCTGGTCGACAACGACATTGTGCGTTTCTGCCCACTTCATATTCACCCGCTCGTCCGCGGATCGTGCTGAATAGCGCATTTGCTCGCCAGTTCTTGACACAGTTGGCTGCGCTGTTTGAATCGTCGAAGGAACGCGGGTCGATATGGCTCACACATAAGCGACGTACGCCCTCTCCGAACGCGTCATTTTTGCGCCACTGTTGGTTGATGATTCACTCGTCTGGACAGTGACTCACGATGGCGAGGATGTATCTATGGAGCATATAGATGGGGATAAGGAGTTGCCCACTCTGATCAGGGTAACGGATGGGAAGAAGACAAAGTTCTCCACACGAGTGAGTGCAGCACGCAAGCCTCGATATAAAACCATGACATGTTTCCCAACGAGCGCAGTGGGATGCACTATGCTTCTAACTGTCCGAGTCATGATCGGACCACTGATCACCTTCCTTGCGATGTTAGGTCGAACCGGGTCATCTGGACCGATTTCACAGCGCATACGGCGCTCTCCTGAAAGCATCCATGACAACTCTCAGAAAGCGCGACAAGAAGCGAGAAAAGCAGCGCGCCGAGCAGCACGCCATCCGCAAGAAGCGTCTCGCTGAGCCGATCGACGCCGAGGGGCCGAAGAGAGGATCTGGGAGAAAGAAAAGGCAGCGGCGGGTCAAGGCAGCGATCAAGCAGCAGGAAGCTAAGCAGAAGATGGCGGAGAGGGAGGAAGCTCACGCCAAGGGGAAAGAAACATAGTCGAACCCATTGTACCTGCATTGTCAAATGAGACATTTTGTGCCCTTGCAATGGGAGCACAGGATGTTATTCCAAGTAATTTTGTCAGAGCAGAAGCGTGCGAAAAACATATGTGCAGAAGCTGATCGAATCGTGCGCTCGGAGACGTGCCGAGCAATCGTTCCTTGCCGCCACCCTCACCCTTGCCCTGGCTCAGTCACTTCCAGCGTCAGTCTTGGAGTCGCACTCTTCCCCTCTCCTTGCTCACCGCCGTTGGTCGTGTGCACGTCATTGCTCATGGCTTCTACCAAGCCAATCGGTTCAGAACTCACCCTCTTCGACGCAGATGACGATGAAGGCTGGGAGGACATGCCCATAGTCCGGGAAAGTGACGAGTTCGCCGATGGTCTTGACGAGGAGGATCAGAAGAAGTACCACTACGTGCCACAGGCTAAGAAGGACGGCACAGCTAGCAGTGCAGGGAACGCGACCGGCGGGCTCTTGGATGTCGACTTTAAAGGTAACGAATGGCGGACGAAGCTCGAGGCTTCGAACGAGAGCGAGTACACTCGGCTGCGCATGATCGAGGAGGACGATGCCGACGAAGTTCATCTGCGAACCAAGTATCTGTTCGACGAGGACAAGGCCATGACTCCGCTCAGCCAGATGCAGCAGACGAAGAACATGCTTACGGAGATGCAGCGGATAGCTTATGTCGGGCTTTGCGCGCTTGTCAGTCAGGAGATGGTGCAGACGCTGAAGAGCGTGAACAGCAAGGAGATGAAGCCCGCGATTCAGAATATGGAGCTGTGGGCGCTCAAGATCCTTGGGCGACTGTATTATCACATGGAGCTTGCAACGCCAGGTAAGTATGCCACCATATGCTCTGCGCTGTAAGTTTGTTGATGGACGCTAAACGAGATCGCTAGAGCAGAAGATGATCGAGAATTTGGCGCTGCACGGGGTGCGTGCAGAGGATCTCGTGCCATCACTTATGACCACTCACACCGTCGCCAACCCCGAGTACGATCCTGCCGAGGCTCGCAAGCAGGCAGACTTACGGCAAGAGAAGCTACAGAAAGATGAAGAAGAGAGGGGAAGACATCTGGAAGACGAATCGGACGACCTGACACAGGTGATCTCAGTCCCTTCGACGCCCTCAATACCGCCCTCCATAAGCAGTCCTATGACCAGCACTAGCCACAGCTTTCAGACGACCGCGCGTATTCTCGAGGATACATCCACCGCCCAAATACCAGGCGTCTCTACATCTCTGTCATCCGCCGATGAAAGGGTCACTCTGGACATCCGGTGGACTGTTCTTTGTGACCTGTTCCTCGTCCTTATCGCCGACAGCGTGTATGATGCGCGCTCTCGTGTGTTGCTCGAACATGTCGCTATTCATATGGGCCTAGGGTGGATAGACATCGTGAAGTTTGAGCAGAGAGTCACGGAAGCACTTGAGATCCAAGAAGGCACGGAAAGTATGGAACATCGCGAGGTTGTCGATAGCCGGCAGAAGTCGTCAAGAAAACGGCGGTACATGATGGTCGGATTAGCCACCCTCGGTAGGTTGCGCATCTCGACATGTTGCATAGTGCTGACGACGGTACAAAAGGCGGAGGTCTAGTCATTGGACTCTCGGCAGGCCTCCTCGCGCCCGTCATCGGTGCGGGGCTGGGTGCTGCATTTACAACAATCGGTATCTCGGGCACGGCTGGATTCCTTGGAGGAACCGCTGGCGCCGCAGTCATCACTACAGGCGGCGTCCTCACAGGTTCCGGGATTGCTGCGCGGGGCATGGCGCGGCGGACACAGCAAGTGCGAACATTCGATCTCCTCCCTTTGCACAACAACAAGCGGGTCAATTGCATCATCACTGTGTCAGGGTATGCTCATCGTGTGTTTCCATTTTGATATTAAACTGATTAATGCTTCCGAGATAGCTTCATGAATGGCCCGAATGATGATGTCCGCTTACCGTTCAGCGTATTGGACCCTGTCGTGGGCGATGTCTTCAGTGTTCTTTGGGAGCCGGAGATGATCATGGAGACTGGTAGCGCGCTGAAGATCCTCACCGGCGAAGTCCTCACACAGATCGGACAGACGGTTTTGCAAGCGACGGTGATGACGGCTCTCATGTCTGCGCTACAATGGCCCATCAGTCAGTGACGCGTTTGGTTCCCGGATGGGCGCTAAAACATTTCTTTTTGTTATAGTTTTGACGAAGCTTGGATACCTGATCGACAATCCTTGGAACAATGCCCTCGATCGAGCAAAGGCAGCGGGTGGCATCCTCGCAGATGTCCTGATTCAACGGCACGTAGGCGTGCGCCCCATCACTCTCATCGGCTTCTCTCTCGGTGCACGAGTCATCTTCTATGCGCTCCTTGAGCTCGCAAGGCAGAAAGCGTTCGGCATCGTTCAGGATGTCTTCCTGCTTGGCACGACGGTCACTGCCTCGCAAAAGACATGGTACCAAGCACGATCAGCCGTATCGGGCCGATTTGTGAACGGCTTTGCTCGGAACGACTGGGTTTTAAATTATTTGTTCAGAGCGACCAGTGGCGGGCTGAACACCGTCGCAGGCCTCCGACCCGTGGAGAACGTGCCTGGTTTGGAGAACGTCGACGTCACAGACAAGATCGCGGGGCATATGAGCTACCGTACATTCATGCCACTGATCTTGGACCAGCTCGGGTTCCCTGTATCAGCCGATCATTTCGACGAGCCGGAGGTATGCATTTTTAGCTCCACAGTGGAGTTGGCTCTTTGTACGCTTGAAAGCTAATTTGGCCTCGTGATATTACAGGAACCCGATTTCGAGGAGGACCGGATCGTCGTCCGGGAGGGCGAGGATGTCTCAAAGAAGAAGGGCTGGTTTGGAAAAAAGCAAACGCCGGCAACAACGGCGCAAACTCCATCTCAACCTCCGCCTTCAGTCCGTACTCACAGACGCACTCCGGCGTCTCCCCAGCCAATCATGGACGACGATCTTCCTCCACGTCAAGAGAAGACCTCGACGGCTCCATCGTCACCTGCTCGCATCGAGACACCTCCACCGCCTTATTCCGCAGGCACCACGAACGTAGCTGGGCAGGCGGCCAGCGAGAGTCCCGCGGAACTGCCCGCAAGAGCTGGCTTTGACTTGGCTGCCATTAAAGCTATCATCGGGGACTCGGAGCATAATCCTTCTGAGCTCGTCATTCCAGGACCGAGCCGTGGTTCTTCTCCACGTCCAAACAACGCACGTTCCCAATCTATCCCTCTTGCTCTCAGGCCCTCTCCAACCACGACGCCCATTGGCTCTCCATCTCGAGGGTCTGAACCACCCATCGCAGGTCCCAGCTCGAGGAGTGACTTGACAAGTACATTTTCCCGGTCAATGTCGCTCAACGAGAATCAGGATGCAGTGACGTCATTCGGTGCCCTCCAGCCCCTGGGAGCGCAACAGCCGACGAGATTTTCGCCTGCGGAAGAATACGGCGGATTTTTCGGTTCTGGTTCGCAGGCTTCGCAAGGCGCCGGCCCCACCCTGTCGTTTGCCGGGTATGGTGGCTCAGCGTGGGCGCCCGAGCCGCCAGAAAAGGACGCGTTCTCTGGTGGGTTTGGGACGGGGCTGGGACGCGGAGGCATGTTTGGGGCCCATACGTCGTCGGCTGCAGTGGTGGGTTCGCCGAGCCCGTCGCTGGCGTTTGGTCGGGGAGACGGGTCGGTGAACGGCCTTGCGTCGGATCCGTGGTCGTCGCGCGTGTATCCTAATGATGGAAAGAAGACGAGCGGGTTTGCGACGAACCCATGGGAGAGCTGAGTTTCTAATTTCTTTCTATCTCTTTTTTTTTCCCCTTTTTTTCGCGTGTATTTGTGCTGCGTCTCTTTCCGACCCCATTCCGTACAACTATCTAGCACACGGCCCCGCATATCTCACGCACGACATTGGATACTTAGACGCACGTTCGCATAATTTAACATGGCAATGAGGCCTTGTGCAGATTTTATCAGGGTTGGAGTATTTTCTCCCTGTGCGATCGATGGCGAGGGTTGGCCGAAAGAGGAAAGCGTGGTGTTGGAGGAGGAATCGATTGTGGCTCTGCTTCACGAGGCTACTGCCGTGACCTTGCCCGTCTACAGCGACAAACGCGATCTAACGACACGCACGGGGCCCGTGATCTTGTGCGCGCGTTCAGGAAAGGTTCTTGAGAAGGAGGAGGAGGCTAGAGGGGCACGTTGTGTGTGGAGATTGGATGATAACGGGTGGAGGAAACAAGGTGTTGACACAGGAGGCCGGGCGCAGATGTGTTTTGCAAAGGCGCGCGGGGGATTGCCGTGCGGCGGTCATGGGGAGCCACGGTGTTGTGGGTTGTTTTGTGTCGGTGATGGGAGGCACAGGGGGCCACTGCCCAGTGCTGCGACCGGAGGAGCCAGGGATTCGGTGCGGGGATCGCATCAAGGAAGATTGACAACGATTGCGCGTGTTTCGCCCGACCCCAATCCATCCGTCTTCCCCTCCCTTATGAATCCTCCTTTTGTCCATTTCACTCGCTCGCACCAGCTCTCCTGCTCGATTCATAAGCACCCCTCCCCCGCACACATCCACACCGCACCCGCACACTCCTCCCCCTTGTCCTCGCGTCCTCGACAGCCACCCTCCTGCCATGCCTCCTCCGCCTCTCCGACCCTGCCTCAAGATCGACCACCCGTCTGCCGCCGCGAATAGCCCCAGCCCCTTCCCCTTCGCGGCCTGCTCCAACGTCCTCTCCCCACGCGTCCACTTCCCTCCCACCCCCGCCCTCACCTCCACCCACCTCACCCACTCCTCCAAACACTACGACCGCGCCCCCATCGTCGTCGCACCCAACGCATGCGCCCTCCCCGAGCGCAACGGGCGCACATACAGTCCCCCGTCCGAGCCCATGCGCCCTTCAAAAACAAAGGCACCGCCATACGCGCAGGCGCAGGCGCAGGCCCACGCGGTCAAGGGCAGCTATTTCCACCCCCGCGCGTTCGAGGCATGCGAGCGCGAGCCTAGCACCGTCCCCGTACCCCCCTTCGACCCTCCACCACCACTCGTCCCCGACATCTCCTCCTCGGAGTCTGACGAGTCTGACACCTACCTCACCACCCCTCCCGATCCCCACCACTACCCCCACATGCCGTTCCAGCTCCCGAGCAATCACCACGCCCACGCGCCCATGGCGTACCCGAGGGACGACAAGGGAGCCGCGATGCTGTTCTTGCCTCATCCGCCCTCGCCGAAGCAGGAGAGGCAGAGGGAGAGGGAGAGGGCGAGGAGCCCGAGCCGCACGCGGGGGCACCGGCAAACCAAGAGAAGCGAATTCGCGGCGCCGGAGTTGGACGGTTGTTTAGGCGGGTTCTGATCCTGCGACAGTTTTCCAAGTTTTCCTTGCACGACATTCACGGAAGCTTCATGCCACGCATCGATACCCATCATGCTGTACTACTTACTCTCTCATCCCCATTCGTCTCATATCACTTGAGCAGTTTGGCATACCCGCAGGCACGCTAATATTAATTGTACTTCTTCAGCTTCAGCGCTTTGCGGACTTGTCTAACGTGCCCCAACGGAAGAGCAGCGCAAGACCATCGTATATCGATGATATCGACCCTCCTCGGCCCTACGCAAGTGTCAACATGTCAACATGTTCCGAAGCGCTGGGAGCAATTGGAGCTCCTCCGCGTAGACTTTCCCGTTATTCCCCGAAGCCTCTGCTGGCTGGCAGCAGCTGCTGCAGTGGCAGGCGTATTGGGGTCGCTTTGTTGTCATCATGCGCGGCAGAGCCTTGCCGCCAATGGGCTAGCTTGGGGCCGAATTTGCCGATGTCGCATCTGTCGACCATCGCCATTGCAGCGAGCCCTGCATTGCATGTTTCGTATCACGATATGGACTCGAGATCCGGCGGGGTTGCAACGGACGGCGCCAAAGAGGCGACCGAGGCGATGTCCCAGCCGACTAATTTGTCTCGCTGTCCGTGTGAGTCGTCCATAGCACCTGCTTCATCTGGCTGGAAGGGCGACGTCCGCCCGTATCTGCGCGACTGCATTGGCCTGCGCGTCGAAAACGTTCCCAGCCGGTTTGGCCGCGTATGGTCATTGGCTTCGACGCGCGGGCGCCTCCGCGTCGAAGAAGTCTAATGTCATCTGAACCTGGGTGTGCGCAGACTCGATCGTGTACGCCATTCGGCGAAAGAAGAGAACCCGTTCGTCCACTTACGGACGCAGTCTTCTCAGGCTTGTGTACTTCATATCTGCCCTGTCCAGCTGCACATGACAACTCGTTGTATGAGAAGGTTCGACGCGTCTCGCGCTGGCTTGTCATCTGCCGTCGGTGTACATAACGACGCCCATGTTCACTAAAGCCTATTGCTGTGTTCATCGAACAAGTCAAGCCTCTGCCGCTCTCGTGGCGACCCCAAAACCTTCGTTGTGCAAGTTCTCGTCCAACTGACAACGATCCTCGATCCCGCTCAATCGAGTATAAACTCACGATCTGTGCGCGAGTTCACACGTTGGTACATACGCCGGCTCATTTCCCTGCCGTGTCGACCGATGGACAACACCGCTGCTGGCACGACTTCGACGCCGGACGCTTTCACGTCACTGGGCCATCAACTGGAAGAACTTCAGCTCATAAAATTTTCCCTCCTTCCTGGCGAGCTGTTCACGTTCGTGCTCCCCGACGAGGACGCAGCGGCGTGGACGAGCGCCGTCGACGCATATAGCACAGATCCCGAAGGCGAAGCCGTGCAGGCCCTGAAGCAGCGTCTATCGGATCACGTTCAGCCCGATGTTTGGGGGGCCAGCGGCGACGAGTCGGGTCTCCCGCTGAAACCCACAATCAACCGCGCGGCCCGTTTCCGGGTCGAGCTCGAGCGCTCACGGGACGTGTACTTCGAGCTCGAGTTGCCCGATGCGTACCCAGGCGCTGCAGGTGGACCTGGCGTCCATGTCAAGGGCGACGCCCTGCACCACGCAGAGGAGATACGATGGAACGAGATCGTCAACGCGAAGCTAGAAGACATTCCCGATTGCGGGTGAGTCCTGTGTTCGATATGGAGCAGCCCTGCTTCTTTCATCGGTGGCCGTGACCCATCGATATTTTTAATCTCCCGGGAGGCGTATCAATTTGGGCATCCGGAGCATGTGCGCGCGTGCGCGCGCCCGCAGGCGTACATAGCAAGTGTCCTGACACACGAGCCCCTATGCAGATTTCCGACGTACCAGCTGCTCTCGGAACACCTCCTGCCGCTCCTGCACGCCAAGCTCGACGCACAATCCCCTCGCGTGCGGCAAGCCGCAGCGCCCCGCGCGATGGAGCCTGCGCCGGCGCCGTCCCAGCTGCATCACGCGCTGCTGACCTCGCACCACCTGGTGTCACCCCAGAAACGACGCAGCATGCAGCACTGGTCCGCCGCGCTGTCTGTGTCCGGATTTGCGAAGGTGGGGCACCCCGGCGTGATCTACTGCGCGGGCGCGCGCGAGGCCGTGGAGGAGTTCGTGCGGAACGTGAAGGCCATGCAGTGGCTCGCGCTGCGCGTGCGTTTCGTGGAGCCCCTCGCGAACCCCGGTTCGGCTTCGGAAAACGAGCGGAAAGCGAACAGGCGCTGGGTCGAGTACGAGAAAGTGGGCGATGTGGTCGAGGAGATGAGGCGGCTTGGGCGCGTGTCGTACATCGTCGAGATGGGCATTGGTTCTTCTGCAGCGACCATGTCAAAGTGAATTCGCGAAACGTATCAACGCTGTTGATGAGTGGTCACCGGATCACCTGTTCTGCGAGTCAATCACACGTGCAAAAATGGTGCAAGGCCTCTCAGCCGCAAGGGCCAGGCTTCATCCAGCTGAGAGCTCAATCATCGAAGCCAGCCGGCATTACACTGTGGTGAGATTAGAAACCTCCACCCAGTCAAGCAAAGAAGCAGCCCGACTGGGCTGCCAAGACACTCGCATATCAGGAAGAGACGCGTGGATTCTCTTGACAGCATATAACTTTACATACATGAAAGGAATAACAAATAGGATACTCGACAGCGAAACTACCCTTTTTTTTAACCCAGTCTTCAACTGGATGGAAGGGAAAAGCCGTTCTTGAATTAGCTGTTTGCGCGTTGGATGGGGAGGCTTAGTACCTCCTGTCATCGTAGCGTCTATCATAGTCGCGGCCTCCGCCGTCACGGCCACTGTAGCTTCTGTCGTAGTCGCGGTAGCCACGGTCGCCGCGGTCGTAATCCCTGCGAGGAGGTTCATCGTAGCGTCCTCCCCGACCACCGCCGCCGCCACCACCACCACTACCACCACGGCGGTCGTCGTCGTAGTCTCTAGCGTAGCGGCTGTCGTATGGGCGCGGATCATAGAAACGTTCGCCTGAGAAAAAATGAGCCATATGAACAAACATCAACAGAAATGGTACACACGTTCGTGGCGTTTGGGTGGACCATAATACCTGCCGGGTGTGGGAGTGCGGGCGCGGCCTCGGCGGGCCTAGAAGGTATCCACTTTCGTCAAACATGAATCAGTGAAGAGTACGCAGCAGTTTACCTTCTCGACTGTCATCGTCTTGCCCATGAAGTCTGTAGCATTCAAGGCAGTTACAGCAGCATCTGCCTCCTCAGCAGTTTCCATTGTGACAAACCCGAATCCACGAGACTCGCGGGTGTGAGGGTCATACATGACTGAAGCTTTTTGAACCTGATGGATGGCCATCAGAGCGGGAACGGTATGCCATGATACTAAGAAATGAAGGCGTACCCTACCAATCTTTGCGAAGGCGGCCTCGAGGTCGCGGGTGTCGACCTTCAAGCTCAGGCCCGAAACGTGGAGGTTGTTTCCAGGGTTGTGACCACCGCCATTAGCGCGGCTATCAAATGGTATGATTCAGTCAAGGGAAGCAACGTAGTCAAAAGGTAGACGAACCTCCTGTCCTCACGTCCGGGGCTCCTGGATCGGCTCGACCTCCTGGGAGGTTCACCGCCAGGGCCACGCCCGGGGGAGCGAGCAGAACCGTTATTCCAGCTCTGCTCCTCGGGAGCACCGTTGGACATAGAAGCGTCTTGCGTGGGAATGCTGATCCCGCCTCCGGCGCTTGTGGGGGCGATGTCTTGAGATTGCCAGGCTGAGAAGAAGAAATGGGAGGGGGGTGAAAAATGAAGGTCAGGGTTGATTCACGGTGGCGATGGAGGCTGGATGGTGAGAGGCAAACGACGGGCCGACGACAGGCGCACAGAGAGCAGAAACGAAAGGACGTGGAGGCGAATGTCGTGTCGCAACAAATGTCGAGTCGCAACAAATGTCGAGAATCGACGTGCCGAGCGGCCAACGGCCGACAAGACAGGAAAAGAAACATAAAATGTCGGAATCGCATAGGCCAACGTCAAACAACTGCGGGCTGGGCTGGAGGCCGCCGATGTTGCACTACTGAGACGCGCGTGACTGGAGGCTGAATTGCCGAAGAAAACATCGAAGAACTCGTCGTCGCCGTCGTCTTCACCGTTGCCGTCGGTGATGCTGAGGACGTACCATCTTCCATTGTTGTGTGTTCTTGAGGGTCGGTGGCGGAGGTGTGTTGGTGGAGGAACGAGGCGCTGCTGAACTGCAACTCTGAGAACACGCACAAACAAAACACGCATTTGTCAGTGGTCCGTGGACCTCGAGATCATCTGTGACTGGGTGACAAACGCGTGACCGTGCGCGTTGCCTCAAGCGTGTCGGTCGCTTTCTCTCCGTCGTATCCTCTAGCTATGCCGCCTCGTCGCTCGACACGCTCAAGGGCCTCTGTGGAGCCTGTCGAGCCCCAAATTAAACGAGAATCTGTTGTCTCCAAGCGCAAACGAAGTCAGGTTATCGAGGTCGAAGATACCTCTCTCGAAGAACAGGAAGAGGTCAAGCCCGCTATTCGTACGCGTCGGGCATCATCTGCCAAAGTTAGCGCAGCACCTACTGCAAAGCCCCGCGCTCCTTCACGACCTCGGAGAGCGACTCGACAAGTCCAAGAATCAGACGCGGAGCCCGACGCGGAGGACTCTCCACCACCTTTGAAGAAATCTCGACCTTCGACAGACCTCGAGGATCTGCAGGAAGAGGAAGAGGAAGGGGAGGACGTGAAACCTACTGTGAGGTCCAAGGCAAGGGCCACATCCAAGGCCGCTGCTTCAAAGAAGGGGAGAGGTGCTAAATCCACGGTGTCAGAGGTGCTGAGTAGCGGCGATGAGGTGGTTGTGGAAAAGCCACCTGTATCAAACGGTAGGAAACCTCCTTCCAGGAGATCCAGTGCTGCTCCTGCCGCCTCGTCTACCAGCTCTCGGGGCCGACGCCCTACTAAATCCGCCTCCAGGAGCGTGAAGGTCGAGCCAATCGAAGAAGCGACAATCCCTTCACCTGCTGAGGGCTCCGATGACGATCTATACATAAATCCCCCTTCACCCTGTAAACTGCAGAGAGCGCCCTCACAGTCACTTGATCAACAACCTTCGCTCGAGGAGAATGAAAGTATGGAAGAGCGCCCGGCCAAGTCTACGCCAAAGCGTGGCAAGAGGAGGACGAAAGCTGCTGTTACAGTATCTGATAATGACGACGATGACGGTCTACCAGTGGTAGAAAAACGCAAGCCCTTACCATCAACGCCTAGTCCGACAAAGGCGCGCCTGTTCGCCCCGACGATAGATGAGGATGAAACTTCACTTCTCGATCTTCCGAACCTATCCCCAACAAAACCGTCAGCCCCTCCTATCCCGGAGGCTCCGAAAGGGCCCAAAGCACGCCTGGTAATCCACAAGATGGCGCTCGTGAACTTCAAAAGTTATGCCGGCCGACAGGAGATCGGACCATTCCACAAGGTCTGTCTTCCTGCATGCAGCAAGTAAACTGTTTCTAATGCGCTATATCTCCCATAGTCCTTTTCGGCTATAGTAGGGCCCAATGGCTCTGGAAAGTCGAATACCATCGACGCCCTTCTTTTTGTCTTTGGATACCGTGCTTCGAAAATGAGACAAGGGAAGCTCTCTGAGCTTATTCACAACTCAGCTCAATACCCAGATCTCGACGACTGCAGCGTTGAAGTGCATTTTCGCGAGATCATAGATTTAGTGCGTTCCGCAACTCTCTTTCGCGTTCACGCTATTTATATCATTCGCAGCCTGGTAAAGACGCATTTACGATCGTTCCAGGCTCCACACTTGTCGTTGCTCGCACGGCTTACAAGAACAACTCTAGCAAGTATACCATCAATGGGCAAATGAGTAATTACAAGGAAGTTCAAACCTTACTCAAAAGTCGTGGGATCGATCTCGACCATAACCGCTTCCTCATCCTTCAGGTATGTTCTGCTTATTTCATCTCGATCAAGTCATTGAGATGGAGCGGTTCTAGGGTGAAGTTGAATCCATCGCGCAAATGAAACCTAAAGCGCCTTCCGAGCATGAAGATGGTTTGCTGGAGTATCTCGAAGATATAATTGGCACCTCCCAGTACAAACTGCCTATCGAGGAATCATTGGCCGCGATGGAGCGCCTGGTCGAGGAGCGTGCGGAAAAACTCAACCGTTTACGTCTCGTGGAGAAAGAGAAGAGCGCACTTGAGGCGAAGAAACGAGAAGCCGAAGATTTCCTGCGTTTACAGAACGAGCATGTGAGGGCACAGTCTAGACTGTGGCAGTGGTATCTATGGAAGTGCCTGGTCAACGAGGAGGAATTCGCCAATCGCATGGTACGTTCATCTCATTTCTGTGCCTATTCTCATATGGAGATGACCGCGGGTTTTCCCTTGCATTCGATCAGACCCGAATCGAGAAGGAGCTCACACAAGAAGAGGAGCAAAATAAAGACGATGTCGAGCATCTAGCCATGCTCGAGAAGCACTACAAGGAGCGTATCTTGGCGTATGAGGTACGTACTCCTCCTGCGAATTGCGCCGTCTGGTTTAGGCCAATCGCGAACACATGATGCTCTCGTAGGAAGTAAAAGCTGCTGCAGCCGAGGCCGTCAAAGATCTCGCTGTCCACGAGAAGCAAGCGGTTGGTCTCGAGGAGAAGCGCAAGCACGCCACCGGTAAAGCCAAGAAGCTGAAGAAGTCTCTTCACGAGGTGCGTATCCTGAGCTTATATTAGCCTAGTTTGGCTTATAAGGGGGATTATTGGTATAGGATGAGCGACTACGGTCAGAAGCTCTTCGTGCAATCGACGACAATGCCAAGCGAATGGAGATCGAGAAGGAGAAGGTGGAGGAGCTGGAAGCGTCCCTTGAGAAGGAAGAGAAAGTCCTTGAATCGATTCGAGACAGTCTCAAAGGTTCGTGAATCACTATCGCTCTGCCACCGAGCGATAGTCCATTTACACAGTGTGAAGACAAGACACAGGGATTCCATGATCAAATCGAGCAGAAACAGAAGGAGTTACAGCCGTGGACGGCGAAGATCAACACGAAACAGGCCGAAATTAACATCAAGACCAGCGAGCGGGACATGCTGGCCAAGAAGCTCGAGGCGATCAAGGATGCTGGTAAAGAGGCTCAAGAGAACCTGCAGACATTGCAGGATGCCCAGAAAGCGAAGGTCCGCTCAGGTCCGCTCAGCATTGATGACTTTGCCTCATGTCACCGTTCTAGACCAATGAGCTCGAAGAGCTCAAGGCTCAGAAGGCGGGTCTTCAGCAGGAGATGAGAGCTGCGGAGCAACGATCCAGGGTACGTTCGGGGGCAAGATGATAACGATTTTGCTCACCATTTTGAAGGAGATGCAAGCCCGCGTGCAAGAGCTTAGATCGAAGGCTTCTGCTTCTCGACAACGAGTCGACGAAGCCAGATCCAACCAAGCTGCGAACACGTCCCAGAACAGAGTCCTTGACGGCCTCACTCGTCTTCGAACCTCTGGTCGCATCACTGGATTTCATGTACGAGCCACTTTTCATTGATCGTGGATCTGAATGCTGAAACTCGTGGTCAGGGTCGCTTGGGCAGTCTTGGGACGATCCCTGATAAGTACGACGTTGCGATATCAACAGCTTGTGGCGCCTTGAATAACATGGTCGTCGACACCGTTGAACAAGGTCAGGCATGCATAGAGTACCTACGGAAGCAAAACGTCGGGCGCGCATCGTTCATGGTTTTGGAGAAATTGTCACAGACCAGCGGCATGGAAAGAATACAGACACCAGAGAACGTCCCCCGTCTCTTTGACCTGATCAAGCCCAAGGAATCACGCTTCGCGGCTGCGTTTTACAAGGGGGTCAGTAATACTCTTGTGGCAGACAACCTTGAACAGGCCAATCGGATCGCTTTTGGTGGGCAACGTCGATGGAGAGTCGTTACCCTCGCCGGTCAGCTTATCGATTCGTCTGGTACGATGTCTGGAGGAGGCACCCATGTTGCTCGAGGTGGTATGAGCTCGAAACTCGCAGCGGATGCTGTATCACCTGATGTTCTCAGGACATACGAGCAGGACAGCGAGGCAGCTGCGCAGCAGCTAGAACAGGCTACCCAGGAGCTGCGTCAGCTGGAAGCCGAGCACGATTCTCTCGTGAAGTCTGGCCCACAGATCGATATCTCCCTGCAGAAACTTAACCTTGACATCCAAAATGGCGCTCGGAGAATCACCGAGGCGGAGAAACGAGTCCGTGACCTGAGGTGCGGGCTTTGTCAATTGGGTTTCTTCGAAACGTGGACTGATGTACACGTCTAAAGGGCACAGAGCAAACCCGATGCCGGTGACATCGCACGGATCACAGCGCTCGAGAAGGAAATCCATGCGGCCAGTTCAGAGCTCGAGAGACTTCAAGAGAGGTCAGGCGAGATTGAGGACGCGATCAAGGCTCTCGAGAAGAAGATCCTCGACATTGGCGGTGCTCGCATGCTCGGCCAAAAGTCCAAGGTCGACGGCATCAAGCTGCACATCAACTTGGCCAACGACGAGATTACTAAGGCCGAGGTCGCGAAGGCCAAGGCAGAGAAAGACTCATCCAAGCTCAAGCTTGCGGTGGAGGCCCACGAAACAAACCTGCAGGAGGTCGAAGCTGAGCTCGAGGACCTTCATCAGCAATTGAAAGAGGTCACAGATTATGTAGCCAAAGTTCAACAGAGCGTGGAGGAGGCTCAAGCGGCAGCAGAGAACTCCAAGGACGACCTGGATAACTTGAAGGCAGAGCTCGACGAGAAGAACCAAGAGATTCAAGGTTTCAGGAAGAAACAGGTGGGAGCGAAATGAAGACATCGCAGATCTGGCACATTTTTTGATCTTGGCTTTAGATGGAACTTCAGCAAAAACTCGGCGATGTGAAGAAAGAGGCGCTTGAGAACGACCGCGCTTTGGAACATTGGCGCACAGAACATGACAAGCTGCAGCTGGAGGATATCGAGTAAAGCTCCACTTACTACTTCCTTTCTTTCTAACGCAAGCCTGACGCTCTCAATTTCAGCGACGATGATGAAGGGGACGAGGAAGAAGACGCCGACGGCAACGACAAAGAAGGTACGCCTGAACCTGCGCAGCCCGCCAGCAACGGCGTCAAGGAAGAACCGATCGAGCACGGAGTTGGCAAGAAGAAAGCGCGTTCCCACACTCCGCCGAACGAGCTCCACATATATAGCGCGGAGGAGCTTGGTCGGTTTAGGAAGCAGGAGTTGATCGGCGACGAACAACTGCTTGATGGTATTATATAATGCGCCTGTCTATGCAAGCAGCTGCTGATGAACGCTTTGCAGAAAAGCTGAAGAACGCAAAGCCCAATCTGGGTGTGCTCAAGGAGTACAGGAAACGAGAGGAGGAGTTCCTACGCAGGGCTAAGGAGTTGGAGGACACGACCAACCTACGCGACGCCGAGAAGGCCAAGTACGACAGTTTGGGGAAGCAGCGACTGGACGAGTTCATGGCCGGTTTCAACACCATCTCGCTCAAGCTCAAGGAGATGTACCAGGTCAGCTCTGGCAGTGAACTTGCATAGTAAGACGTCACTCATACCATGGGCGGTGTTTCTATGTAGATGATCACGCTGGGCGGGAACGCGGAGCTGGAACTGGTGGACAGCATGGATCCGTTCTCCGAAGGGATCATCTTCAGCGTCATGCCGCCGAAAAAGAGCTGGCGGAACATCTCCAATCTGTCGGGTGGCGAAAAGGTACGCATGGCTCCTTCGTCGATGACGATGGCGCGCTGATCGCGCTATTTCAGACTCTCAGTTCGCTCGCGCTCGTGTTCGCGCTGCACGTCTTCAAGGTGAGCGTCGCATGCATATATGCGTACAGCCCTCGGATCTCTTGCGAATAATTGCTGACAACTCGCTACTCGCTCAGCCAACGCCGCTGTACTTTATGGACGAGATCGACGCCGCGCTCGACTTCCGGAACGTCTCCATCGTTGCCAACTATATCAAAGACCGTACGAAAGACGCGCAGTTCATCATCATCTCCCTGCGGTGAGCTCGGCTGCTTCATGTGCGTCTAGAACTAACGCTGACGCACACTTCTCGCGCGACAGAAACGACATGTTCGAGCTGAGCCACCGCCTCATCGGCATCTACAAGACATCGAATCAAACTCAGAGTGCGTTATCGCCCTTTGGCCGGTTTCCATTGCTTCATCGCGGGGTGCTCATCAGTGTGGCATTTTGTCAGGTATCTCAATCGACAATCGCTCGATCCACTCCGCGCCCACCAACCGAGTCAGCACGTCCTCCGCCATCAGCGCTATGCAATAAAGAACATCGTCCTTAGTTTCGACCACTCCTATTTCCTACTCTATCCATATTCGCGCATCTCACATGTATCGTTGGTTTCAATTCTCGAGGATTACCGGGTTACAACGTGAATTGTTGTACTTGTAAGGTGCATGTTGTAAAGCTTCCGTTTTCCGCCTATCTATACTATCGGATTGGTTTCATCGTCCTCTTCTGAGTCTGCGTCTACACCTAGCCTTTCCTCTGCTACCGGCAGGAGCGCGCCCAGCCAGCATGCTAGAGGTTTGTCCTGCCATGTCGTTTGAGCATGAGGCGGTAGGTCCATTCCTGATTCAGGAAGTAGCAATGGAGCATCCTCTGTGAACCAAGGATGTCGCAGCGCGTCGACGGCCGCGAGCCTTGACGAGGGAGGGTAGACGACAAGCCGATGGATCAAGTCGAGCGGGGTGGGCGACATTTCCTGAGGCGGAAAATGCAGCGGATCGCGGTCGCCCGAGCCTTCTTTCCGCTCGCGATCGTGCGACGGCAGGTGCGGGAGCAGCGTGGCGAGCACGACGCCTGGCGCGTCTCTGAACGTCACTTTGGGCGCGTCGGGGAGATCCAAGAAGGTCTGATGATGGGTTGAGCGGCGGGCGACGGGCGCGGTCCTGGAGAGACCCGGCAGCTCACCGGCCAACTGTACGCGCTCGGCGACCCGCGCGTCTTGAATATGCTCCACGCGAGCCCGATATCGCCTCTGCTGGCGTCGAACAGCGCGCACCGCTCCCACTCCATGCGCGCCCAGTCCAAGCGGCTCTCGGCGATGGCGAACGGCTGCGTGGGGTCGTACTCGGCGTCCGCGTCCGCGCCGTCTAGGTCAAAGTCGGAGTCGCTCGTGTCGAGCAGGCGGAGGGTGGTGAAGAACTCTGCAAACGTCGCGCCGAGGCTCCATAAATCGGAGGCGCGCGGGTCGTACGATCGCGTGCCAAAGAGGAGCTCTGGCGCGCGGTACGGTCTGCGAACGGATGAATGCGCTCAGCATTTTGTTCGTCGTCCACTAATGAGCGGGCTGACGCACCCGGTGCCCACTTCGAAGTACATGTTCTGCGCGCCCTCCGACCATATGTCGTCCTGCGTCTCGGCCGCGGCCTCGCGCTCTCTGAACGAGACGCCGAAGTCTACGAGCTTGACGAGGCCGTCCTGCGTCAGGAGGATATTGCCGGGCTTGATATCGCGGTGCGCGACGCCCCTGGGCTCGCCGTGGAGGAATGCGATGCCGCAAGTGATTTGGTACATGAGAGATTTGGCGACTATGATGAATGATGAGTTGGCCGGATGTTCGACGGGGGCTGAGTGTGGTGGGATATATGATGCTGGGCAGAAACGCGGGGAGGACAAGAGGTCTCGGAGGGAAATCGGTATGTAGGGCATCCAGAAGCTCTGTGTGTGAGTGGACTCGTCGATAACATGGCCGAGGATATTGATGATCTAGGAGAGTGCACGCGTGAAGCAACATTAATAGACAAATTGTCAAAGATAGTACCCACGGCATGGTGAGACAGCATCGACAGCAGCCGGAGCTCCTTTTTGATGTCGTGCGGCTCCTTCGTGAACTTGCGCAGAACCGTCGCGGACTTGACAGCGACTGGATACGACGAGCCATCGCTCAGAAGGAGATGAGAGCGGGTGACGGTCGAGACGAGAGTTTCTGCGAGGAGGTCGGAGACGGTCTACAGGGTGGGTTGAATTGTGCTGGCGCGTTGTAAGTCCGTTGAAGACATACGGGGTCGAAACCGAGCACGGTGGGCGAGGCCATGGCAGACGCGTCGTTGTCGTCGTCGTCGTCGTCGACGTGGGCGACAGACGCGCGTAGGAGTGAGTTGACCGGATATGGAAGATCGGGAGTTGGCTTGAACTCATCCTGCAATTGCACTCTGCGACCATGTCTGACGACTCTGCTGGCGCCAACAACAGTGCGTTTCTCTTACGACCGCACTCGCCACCTTACACACCTCTTCTCCAGATGAGCGACTGCTCGCCGCCGCCCGCGACGACAACGAGGAGATGCTCCTCGAGGTCTTCGAGCAGGGCAACTTCGACATCAACTTCCAGGACGGGTCTGTCTCATTTCCCCCCATCTCCTTCCATCGCGCCCCGCCTGACGCCGCCGAACCCAAAGTCTGGGCAACACAGGTGTGTCACGTACGTATCTCCGATACCTTGACATGTTTACCCATCTCGCAATCGCGCCCTAGCGCTCCACTACGCGTGAGCCTCCCTCCTGCTCCTCGTCCCACGTACCCCGGTCTGACTTGAGCGACGACGTCGCATACCTCTGCGCTGCCAAAGTGCATCTCTCGGATCGACCGACGTCCTCGAACATATTCTCTCCCACGAAGAGTGCGACGTCGACCCAATAAACCGGATAGAAAAGGCCACCCCGCTTCATCTCGCCGTCGTCATCGAAGACGCCGAGATGCGCAAATACATCGTTGAAAGCCTGCTCGACGCAGGCGCGAATCTGAGGTGCGCGCCAAGGGCTCTCTCCTGGGCCTTCGCGATCTTATGCTGCCGGGTGTTTCTCTTCGCAGCATTAAAGACAAGAATGGCGATACCCCGCTCGATCTCGTCTCGGATGACGATAAAGACGTCAGGGCGCTGATACGCAAGGCGCAGGCGCAGGCCAGCATATCTGCCAGCGATGTCGCCGACGGTGCGTGCTGCCCCTTCCGATACGACTAAACCTGTGCTCATGGCACGCCTTCGGTTGATTCAGATGACGATGACGAGCCAGGTTCAGGATCTGGCTCCGGCTCGGACGACGAATGAAGCCAGAAAGAGAAGTGCTACGGATCCATATAGTCGGAAGTAGACTTTTGCTCGACATTTGCCGATCCGTCTCTTGGAATCTTACCACGGAAGAAATGTACATCATAGAGGTCCAGGCTATCTTTAACGCCGCATGTAATTGACGAACGAGCACCCTCTTAATTTGCAATGCTCCCAAAATCTATATGAATGGAAATGCTCGTAGCAAGCAATAACGGCCTGTTTAGATCAACCTCCCGTTCGACCACTCCTTAAACGTCTGGGACTCCTTGAGCCACTGCACGAGCTCGCTCCGCCGCATCTGTGTGCCCTTGTCCGCCGACTCGACCTTCGCCTTCTTGCCCTCCACGATCTCCCACCGCTGTTGCTTGACGGTGACGAGCCCCGCCTTGATCTCGTCCCCGCCGAGGATGATCGCAAACGGCACCTCATCCCGCTCGCCCGCCGCAAACTGCGCCGGCAGCTTCGGCTTGTTCTTCGCCAAAAAGTCCGTCTGCAAGCACACACACACAGAAGTCAGTCATCGCGCAACCTATACGAGCAAAGCGGACGAACCCAGATCCCCGCCTCGCGCAGCTCCTGCACGAGCTCCATGCGCTCCTTGATCAGCCCGTCGCCCGCCGCCATCACGTACGCCATCACCTCCTTGCTCCGCATCCCGCGCTCGATCCACCTGGGCCACACGATCGCGAAGATGCGGTCCAGCCCGATGCTCACGCCCACGCACGGCATCCCCTTTTTGCTCTCCCCCGCCGCGGCGCTCGTGAACATTCCCACCAGGTTGTCGTACCGCCCCCCGGCCGCAATCGACCCGACGCCGACCTGCGACTCGTCGATCTCCTCATCCTCGCCGTCAGCGGCCGCCGGCGTCGGCTTTTTGATTTTCTTTTTTGGGGGCGCGGCAGGCGCGGGAGGGCTGGGCTCTGCGGTCGCGGTCGCGTCGGGGGTTTTGAAACCCGGTGGGGCGGAGGCTTCGACAATGGCCTCGTAGATGATACCGGTGTAGTAGTCGAGTCCGCGCGCGAGGGATAGGTCGAACGAAATCTACTCGTGCAAGATGTTGAGCTGCAGTTCTGAGGGGAGAGGGGGATGACGTGCCTTGTCGGATACTTTGTAGATGTCGAGGAACGTGAAGAGGGTCGCCATCTCGTCGAGGCCCTGCTTCGCGCTCGCGTTGGCCGTCAATGTTGTGTCCGCAAACAGCTGGTCCAGGAGCGCCCGTCCACCTGGAGCAAAGGCGCATATAGTCTATCGACGGGCACGAGCAAACGCCGTACAGAGCAATTTACCTTTGTGTTTAACGTACTCTCCGATCTTGTCTGCAGAGGCCGGGTCCAAACCCTTCTCCTCCGTCATTTCTTTCTTGACTTCCGCCCAAGGAAGCTAGGTTCACGTTCTGATGTAAGGACCACGTAGGAGCAAAGCAACGAAGTACATGTACCTTGTCTAGCTTATCCACTGCCGAGGAGATCGGGCGAATCTTTTCTGGTGGAACACCGCAGACTTCAAAGATGCCGTCGAGGATTTTTCGATGGTTGAGCTAAGCGACGTTTTTATCTGCGCAGATTGTGAGTGAATCGAACGAACACACCTTGATCGTAAATTCGCCGACGTCAAGTCTCGAGAGAAGGGTGCATAGCAGGCTGATCACCTCGGCATCGGGTATCATCGAGTCCCACTGTCCAGAGATGTCAAAGTCCTGGAAACGGCGCACCCGTCAGGACGCCCTCGTGGGCGCATAGCACATTAAAGCGCTCACCGCCTGAGAGAACTCCCTCATCCGCCCCTTCGACATGACAGGGTTATCTCGACGGTACACCTTGCCGACCTGAAACAGCTTCGACTGCGTGTTCGTCGCGCCACCCATGGCCAGGTACCGCGCGAGCGGCACGGTGTGGTCGTAGCGCAGCGCGAGCTGCTCCCCGCCCTGGTCCTCGAGATCGAAGATGAGCTTCGCGTCCTCGCCGTACTTGCCCGCGAGGATGTCCTTGCGCTCGAACACGGGCGTGTCGAGCTCGCAGCCGCCGTACAGCACGAAGCACTCGCGCACGATGCGCTGGACGTGCTCGCGGCAGAACATCTCTCCCGGGCCGTAGTCGCGCGTTCCCTGCGGCGCCGAGCCTGCATGAGCATGAGGGACCACCGCGCCGACCCGGGGGGCGGAGGCGCACGCACCTTGGGCGTCTTCAGGAGCAGCCGCTCCTTCTTCTTTCCCGCGTCCTTGCTCCCGCCGGCGGCGTTCTTGAGCAGGGCGAGCGACTTCTTAAGCTCGCCCAGCTTCTTGCGGGTCTCCTCGAGCGCGGCAGGCTCCGCGTTTTCGAGGCGCAGCTTGTTAAAGAGCTCTGTCTGCGTTGCGATTTCGGCGTTGATGGCCTCGGGGGTGGACATGGTTGCGATGTGGGCTCTGGGGAGTGTATGTACAAGACGAGCTGGAAGAAAGCGATGAGGAGCGCGGACGAGTCGTGAGGCCAGGCAAAGCATCCAAACCAGCTTGCAGCTTCGGCGTGACTCGATTATCGCAGGCAGACCCCGATCACTTGGCTCGCTCCACTCTCCCTTTCCTTCTTCCCTACCGTAATTGTTGTCCCACATATTTCGAATGCCGAGGGACTACGCCCTCCATGGCTTGGTTATGTTTTCGTCTAATAGATCAACGCAAGATACATAACGGCCGTCTATAACTTGATTTCCCCCTTCGCAATCGCCTCCCCAACCACCCTGATTTTATCTTCCACGTTTTGTTTGTGCCGCAGCAAGCAGTAGTCGCCGTACTTGTTGAGCGACTGCCACGTTTCCCCAGGTAGCCACAGCGTCCTCGTCAACAGCGAAGAGTGTCGAGCGTCCAAGAAAGGGAGACACGCTACACGCTCCCAGGTATCGCTCTGGACGGCATAGCGCGGCTCGTAGGTCGACGAGACGGGATCATGTGGGAAGTCCAGATCCACAAGATAGTCGCAGGTGGACACGTCGACCTAGCCGAACGCGTCTATTCAGGGACATCGCAACGTAAACCGCGGCAAACGACGTACGTAGTGCATGGGCTCCTCCCGGTTAAGATCGTTCAAGCCTAACGGAATAGCGCTCGTACCCACGATCCTTGACCGCAGGCCTCCCGTAGTGGGCTTGAAATGCGCCGGCAACTGACCGTCGAACTCGCTCTTGATCCAGTCCACTCTGACCCCATCGGCCACAAGGTAGTGTCCGGGGAACCGATACCATTCTTTGCCGATGCAGACTCTCAAGCCAAACTCCTTGATGGGCGAGAGGTCGATCGGGTCCTCGTCGGCATTGCGGCGCGTTCGCCTGTCTGGCGCGATAGGGTGAGGGCGCAAGGCGATGCCAGTGGCGTTGAGAACACGGGGAAGCTCATCAGCCTGGAGTCGGTACATGACAGTCATAGGGGTGTGATAGTACTTCCAGAGCGCCAGAATCCGCGAGAAGGAGACAATCGCCGCAAACAAGGTTATGGAAAGCGTGACCGACCGGAAAATGGACGATTTTGACGCCTGCGAGTCATTGTCATGAGCCTTCGAAGAATGATAAATCGGGGTTAAAAACAAACTCGGTATGGGGAGCTCGTCGCTTTGATGAACACAATCTCGGCCCACCCTCTGATCAGATAGACGCTGACAGCAGCATTAAAGCAGATGAGAGGGTATGCAGGATACATGAACCTCTCCTCCTTGTGAGCTTGCACCGTGAGGATTGCCAGCCAGATATAAAAAGGAAGTAGCCTAAGGGCCAATAGAATAAAAGGCGAACTCTCTTCTGTACTAGGTCTCACCAGACCGAGGCGGCGGCGGTCGATGCGGTACGTGACTGCCAGCGCCGGAATCGAAATTAGAGCGAGCGGGAGCAAGATATTGAAGTTGAGCAAAAGGTTCAGGATATAGAAAGACCACGGCTCAGTGCCATACAGATCAGGGCCTCGCGCCACGTCAGGGAACACGTTGTACTTGATGATGTTCCATGGAACAGCGACAATTTGACCGTAGAAGAAAGTGTCGACGAGAATGACCGGGACCTGTTCCGATATGAATGCTGAGGAGGCGAGTGAGAACAAGGTTTGAGATATGACGTACAGCAATTTGCATCGCTGCGCCGCCGCACAACAAGAGCCTTGTCCACCTGTTCACGAGCCAGCTTCCTTTGGCGCTGGGCGTCACCCGATCACCGGCGAAGACGAACAGCTCCTCGAATACAAAGGGCATCGCGAGTGCGAGAGCGAAAGGCCAACCCACGATGGCTCCAGTGGCAAACAGAAGGGTAGCCGCAAGGGTGCGCCTGCCATTTTGATTGCTCGCCGGAATGAACGCGAATGAACACGCTAAGGTGTTCGCGAACATAGCAAACGTCGATGGAAGGAGGGCTATACGCGAAATGAAAGTTCGTGACAAGAAGGGGTGGGAAGGAAGCAAGGCTTATTACCTATAGACGCGTTCCACATGCCAGCACTGGTCGCCAGCATGAACAACATATACCTGGCCACTCGGTTATTGATTTTCTGCTTCACGGTGTCATATAATTTCGCTTCACAGATGCTACACGCGATAGCCAAGAAGGCTCGCACGGCAAAGAATGCCGGTCTCTGCAGAAATCAGGGGAAGGAAGAGTACAAGGACCAACGCGAGCAACGTACCTTGCCCGTCTCATGGATGACCCAGGTCAGAAGCTTCACGGGGATATAATGCAAGACAATATACGCCCAACTCCGAATGGCGTAGACAGGTGACGTTTCCCACGTTTGGAATCCATACCCCTTGTCCAGATAATGCAGGGGCTCCCAGTAGTTGAAGACTGTAGTGGGGACGCTAATGAGCTTGGTGATGAACTAGGAGCCGTTGAAAGGGGCGTGCCTTCATCACAGTCCTGTATGTTGGCGTACATCGCGGCGGCGACTCGGATGAGTAAAAGAAGTCGGACAGCCATGGAGAAGCTGGGACACCATGGCGGACGCGCAGCTCTGTGAGACCGGGATCAGATGCTAAACGATACATGCGTGTTCGCCCGAGTGGCGAACAGACCTCCGCAGCTGATCCTGGAGGATTCCTGTGTGCCGTTTGGTGGGTTCCCGTGGCTTGGAGTCCTCCGTATTAGTTGGGTGACGCAGACGCAACGTCTGCACACCAGACATAATTTTCTTATTTGTGGTGTTAGCGGGAAAGAGGACACGGAGGCCCGTGTTAAGCTTACCAGAGCGCACGCAGGTGTTGACGACCTACTGGTGAATGTTGTATGTTGGCTGTGTGCTGGTTGGGGCTTGCATCAGAGACGAGTCGACAGCGAAGAAGGCTCTGACGTGATCATGTGTGGCGCTCATCGGGGGCGGATCTCAGAGAACATAAAGTCGGGGTTATGTAAGCTGTCTGCATCGTGGACCCACAAGGCCAACGTCTCTGATACATGGACTTGAAGCAAAACGATCGCCACGGTATAGGCCTCCAGCCTGTAAATTCATCCCCAACGCCATGTCCCGCCTAGACACGATCCTCAATCCGGAGGATAGTTTCGTAGAATCCCCTAGGTCTGTTGAGCCACATTTTCAACCGCCCCCCCTTTCGCCAGGCTCATTTATTCGCGTGTCTTGTATAATGCTACAGGCAAATTCAATCCGCTGCCTCTATAAAAATCGTGTCTTCCCCCTCGTCGAGCGCAAGCGGTCCGTTAGAGACTACACCATGCGACCGACCCTATATGGCAGCCGAGCCCCATCACCCACACCCTAGCTGCCCGAATACCCTTTCATGCCTACCTGACACTGACGGGCGACCACAACATACCCTTCCAGTGATTCTCCGATGTGCAATTTTGGGCAGTGCAAAGGGACGCCTTACGATCCGCGACATCTACAAGGCGATGGAGGAGAAGTATCCGTATTATAAAACCGCAGGACAAACGTGGAAGGTGCCGAGCACCCTTTGTCCAACATCGATTCTTTTCTGACCTTTGGGGAAACAGCAATCCGTGAGACACCATTTGTCGCTCAATAGGTTGTTTGAAAGGCAGCCTCGCCCTGTTACAGACCCGGGCTTCGGGTCGTACTGGACGGTGAACCTCGAAGCCCCGCCTGGAACGAAACGACCACGCAAGCGCGGCCGTCCCCAATCACAGGTCGACGATTTCGGAGACCCACAACCCCCAAAGAAGCGCGGAAGGCCACGAAAGAATCCTATTCCTAGCGAGCGAGCCATGGCTTCGACCAGCTCTCTCGATCACCCACCCATTGCCACCATCTCGTTAGCGGCGCTTCACAAGCGGGTTGTAAATCGTCCCAAGATCTCCGCCCTGCGCGCCAGCTCTCAGGACCAGTTGATTGACGACGACGAAGACGACGAAACCATGGCGGATGGCCGATCGTTCCGCAGCACGTTCTTGCGAGCCGACAAGTACAACAAGTACGACGATGATTACGAGAGCGAGGAGGACATGGACCTTGACCCCAGATTGCCGTCCCCCGAACGTAGACACCCACTCAAGCGGGGGTTTGCGGAAATGCTCGATGAGTTGCCAGAATTTCCGTCCAACGCGCTCGACAGGATGAAAATCGAGATGGCGGGGCTCCGCAGACAGTCGGCAGACGCCATGTCTGTGTCGCTGCGCATGTCGGACCAGCTCGCAGAGGCGCAGGCAGACGCATCGCGCGCCAGGGCGGCGCTCAGGACGGCAGAGAGCATGCTAGAGGATGAGGCGAGGAAGAGGCAGGAGGCGGAACGATTGGTGGACGACGAGGCGAGGGCGAGAAGGCGGGCTGAAGATTTTCAGAAGCGGGCCGAGGAAGCGTTGGTCAGTTTGAAGGCAGAGTGGGACCAGGCCGTGATCGAATTCAAGAAGAAGAAGGAGGCGATAAGACTCGAGGAAGAGGCGAAAACGAAGAAGGTGGAGGAAGTGGCGGCGCCGCCACAGGGGGGGGATTTGATACTGCAGGACTATGAATCGTAGTAAAGTGTGGCAATCATGGGTGGCCGGTGCCCCACAAACGTTAAACTACTCATCGTGAAAGGTATTCTCTCAAGAGCCTTGGTTCCTGTATATCATATTGTTTGTTTCGATGGCATTGTACCTTTCCTGGTTGTATCATGGAAGCGGGTCTATTATTATTTCCCTTCTCACTGGCGAGAAGTTAAGCATCAGTGAATCCAGACAGCAGCGCGTGCAACCAGCAGCATGTAGAAAATCTTACCATGATGTCTGCCGAGAGATGCCGCTTCCACGAACGCAGGATGCTCCCGCCACCGAGGTGTTGACTATACGATCGGTGGAAGCCTTTGGTACACAACACCAAACAACGTCGCAAAACTTCATTTCCAAATGCGGAACCCGCAAGCTGCAGCCTGCGGCACTGTAAAATAATGTCAAGCTCAACATCCAAGCTTAAAACCGCGTAAGCATCCCCGTACATATTCCTGCCGCTTGTCTTGATCTTCAATAGCTTTAAAAAGGCCCGTGTCATCGCGCCGTTATACACCGGCGGGCCCGTCGCTGCTACCCCAGATGGCCGGAATCTAGTCACATGCGTAGGCGAGGAGGTCATCCTGACGGATGTGGACCGAGGGGAAGAGATCGCGAGGTTTGTTGGTGTACGTCTGTTCTAAACTGTTTTTTTCCACGGGGGCGAACGAATTGATGTGTCGTCGTTCGCAGGATACAGAATCTATCACCTCGCTGTGCGTAACGCCCTCCGGCACAGTTCTTCTTGTGTTCACCGCGTCGATGTCCCTGCGAGTATACGACATCCCGACGTCACCCCGGACGTCCCCCATCCACCCGACTCGCGTCGTTGCCCGCGCCCACGACGCACCCGTGCACGTCTGCCGCGCCGACCCCACCTCGACGTACCTCGCGTCGGGCGCGGCGGACGGCACCGTAAAAGTGTGGGACATCGCGCATGGCTTCGCGACGCACGTCCTGCGGGGGCACGGCGGCGTCGTGTCCGCGCTCGCGTTCAGCTTCCCGCGTGCAGGCCTCGGCATGGGCCTCGAGACGCCCGCGCTGAAGCTCGCGACGGCGAGCGTGGACACGCGCGTGCGGGTGTGGGATCTCGCGAAGACCGCGGACGGGATGAGGAGCGGGAAGGCGGCGAAGCCAGAGGCGGTGCTGGAAGGGCATGTGAGCGTGCCGCGTGGATTAGACGTGAGCGAGGACGGGCGGTGGTTGGTCAGTGGTGGGCGCGATGCGGTGGTCTTGGTCTGGGACCTTGGGAAGGGGCAAACGAAGGAGAAGGAGAAGGAGAAGAAGGGGAAAGGAAAAGAGAAGGAGCAAGGTCCGGTTCTGGCGAAGACGGTGACAGTGCTGGAGCGGGTGGAGGCCCTGGGGTTGATTGGAGAATATGAGGAGGTGCAAGGCGTGAGCGGCGGCAAGGGAAGCTTGAGGTTCTACACGGCGGGGGAGAAGGGGGTGGTCAAGGTCTGGGACGGGAAATTGGGGAGCGTGATCTGCGTGCTTGGCGAGGAGCAGCCCGCGACCTCACCAGAGCAGGAAGAGCAACGGCAGATCATGGACGTGATGTACGGTTGCCTCTTTTTGATTTTTGCAGTGGTATTGACCGACTTGATATTTCAGTCACATCCCATCGGCGACGACCGTTATCTCCATTCACGCAGACCAAAACATACTTTTCCACTCTCTTCGTACTGCATCGCTCTCCCGCCAACTCGTCGGCTTCAATGACGAAATCATCGATGCCGCCTTTCTGAACTCCCCGTCCTCCTCATCTGCATCTACGCACTCGCATCTCGCTCTCGCGACCAACTCGTCCCTCATCCGGTTATACTCAACATCCTCGCTCGACGCACGCCTCCTTGCGGGACACACCGACATTGTCCTCGCCCTTGCCGCGAGCACCGGCGCGCGGGTGTTCGCGAGCGGCGCGAAGGACCGCACGGCGCGTCTGTGGGCGCCTACCGTGTCGTCTTCCTCGTCCGAGTCTGCCGCTCCGAGCGAAGGCGAATGGGGATGGGGATGCGTCGCGGTGTGCGAGGGGCACGCAGAGAGCGTCGGCGCGCTCGCGTTTGCGCGCGGGGACGCCGGCGGGGATGGGGACGGCGGGGAGAAGGGGCCACGGTTCATGTTCACGGGCAGCCAGGACCGGACGATCAAGATGTGGGATCTATCGTCCGTGCCCGCATCGCATTCGCGTGGGGGCGCGGCAGCGGAGGCGGTGAAGTGCAAATCGCTCTGCACGCACAAGGTGCACGAGAAGGACATTAATGCGCTCGACGTCTCGCCGAACGGCGCGCTGCTCGCGTCGGGCTCGCAGGACCGCACCGCGAAGGTGTTCGGGATCACGTTCAGCGCGGCGGCCGCGGGCACGCGGGGGGAGATCGCGCTGCTGGGGACGTGCCGTGGGCACAAGCGTGGTGTGTGGAGCGTGCGGTTCGCGCGGCACGAGCGCGTGCTCGCGAGCGGTGGCGGCGATCGCACGGTGCGCCTCTGGAGCTTGGAGGACTTTGCGTGTCTGAAGGTGCTCGAGGGGCACGCGAACTCGGTGCTGCGGGTCGAGTGGCTGAGCGGCGCGGACGCGGCGCAGGGCCAGGGGCGGCAGAGGCCAGCGCAGGTGGTCAGTGCGGCGGCGGATGGGCTGGTTAAAGTGTGGGATTCGAGGACGGAGGAGTGCATCGCTACGCTGGATGGGCACGAGGATAAGGTATTTGATTCTCACAAGGGCTATAGACGTCTGTCTCTGACGCGTTTTTGGGGCTGGGGTTTAGGTGTGGGCGCTCGCGGTGAGCAAGGACGAGCGGACGATCGTTTCGGGCGCAGCGGACTCGGTAGTCAACTTCTGGGAAGACTGCACCGAGGAGCAGGAGGCTGCGCGGGAGAGCGAGCGCGCAGAGTTGGTCCTCAAGTACGCGTCACGCCATTTCGCTATCATCCTCATTCGTTCGTCTGCTGACCGCCTTTGCCTTGACTTTCTTCGATGTTCTTCTCGGGTGTCGTCGCACGAGCAGAGAACAGGACTTCCAGAACTACGTTGCGCTGCACGACTACCGCCGCGCGATCGAGCTCGCCCTCGCGCTTGCGCAGCCCGGTCGGCTGCTCGCGCTCTTCCGCGACGTCGCGGCCTCCGCGTCCGCGTCCGAGCCCGGCGCGGGCGGAGAGGGCTCGCTGACGGGGCACCCGGCGGTGGACGAAGTGGTGCGCGCGCTGCACCCGGCGGACCTCGCACGGCTGCTGCGCTTCGTGCGCGACTGGAACGCGCGCGCGGCGAGCGCGGCGATCGCGCAACGTGTGCTGCACGCGGTGGTGAAGCTGCGCGCGGTGGAGGACGTCGTGCGCGCGTTTGAGGGGGCGGGTGCGCCGGTTGTGTCTGGGTCTGGGTCTGGAGAGGACGGGGGCGAGGGGAACAGGAAGCGGGGAGGGAAGGAGGAGCAGGGGGGCGTGCGGGAGCTGCTGGAGGCGCTGATTCCGTATACGGAGCGGCATCTGGCGCGGATGGAGCGGCTTGTGCAGGAGAGCTATGTCGTGGATTACGTGCTGGGGGAGATGGACGACGGGCTGGACGGGGGCGAGGACGTGGAGGAGGAAGGGATGGATGTTGACGTCGGCGTTGGCATTGCGGCGGGCGTTGTCGGGTGAGCGTCCGAAAAACGACGAGCGAGCGACGGGCGGGGCAAAAGTATCGTATGGTTTATGTACATCACAGTTGCTAGATTTTTACTCTGTGGTCTCAAAATGCACGCTCTTGCGGCTCCTCGATCGATGCTCGTTGCTCTCGATTCGACAGGGTGCGCTACTGGTGCACTGAAGAACAGTTGATTGATTTTTTCATGGCTAGTACAAAGTCAACTTCGGCGGTGGGAACGACAGGATGTGTGACGCAAGATGGGTGATTACGGGGCTGACGCAGAAGGTAGGATCTACTTGGAATGTAATTATCCGAAATGTAGTTGGTTGGGTGAGTTAGTCATGTGAGTAGGGGGTACAAAGGTAAGGGAGGGTGTATGTATGTAAGGGGTGTCATTATGTGCAAGGAGAGTGGGCTCTGAGTGAGTACGTGAGTGTGCGTTAGTGAGTGGCCATCTATTAGTTTTAAAGTTGGGTCCGACGTCCATCGATCAGAAAGAAGGGCGATGACACTCTGCTATGCCCCCGCGGAGTGTTTCCCGGCCACAGCCTTCTTCTTCCCATTCGCGGGGGCCGCGCCGCGGCACAGATGGACGACGCCGAGCCGACAGCCCTCCACGGCGTTGAAGACGATGGCCATCTCGCCGTCCTCGAGCTGGTCCACACGGAGGACGCGCTCGGTGTCGAGGTGCACGCGGCCGCTGGCGAGGAGCCAGCGGCGTGCGACGCCCGGGAGGCAGCCGGACGCGTCGGTGGGGGTGAGCCAGCGGCCACGGCGGAAGAGGGCGAGGTTGCGGATTGAGGTCTCGGTGAGGAGGCCGGCGTCGTTCCAGAGGATGACGTCTGCGGCGGTGATTGGCGACGTGGTGCTCGTGGCGGTGAGGGCGGTGAGCGGTGGGAGACCGGCGCGCTCGCGGGCGGCGGCGTAGTGGGGGCGGTGGGAGGTCTTTGTGACGGTGTACGCGGAGGCGGGGGTCGGCGCGGTGTCGAGGAAGAGCTCGAGGGGGGCGGCGAGGGCGGAGGGGAGGGCGTCGGTGTCGTGGGAGATGAGGGAGAGCGCAAAGGGGTCGGCGGGGAGCGCGGGGATCGGGGAGATGGTGAAGGTGAGCGTGCCATCGCGTGCGAGGGCTGGGCGGACCTTGGGATCGGTGGGAGGGCGAGTCAGTCGGCGAGTGCGCAGGCGGGGTGACGCGTCCGCAGCGCGCGTGCGACGGTGTCGCGGACTCACCTTCAGTGGGCCGGCCTTGCCGGGGCCGTCGTAGGCGGCGAGTGCGCACTCGCACTCGCGAACGAAGCGGTCGCGAGTCAGCGCGGTGCGCGCAGCGTCCCAACCGTGTGCTGCTGCGGCGGCGAGGAGGCGATCGTGGTGGAGCGGGAGGAGCATCCACGAGGAGGCGATGCCGGCGTTGGCTGCGGTGTTCCAGGTTGCATGGAGGAGTGCGGGGTCGACGCGGATGGCGGTGAGGAGGAGGAGTGCGGCGTCGGCGTAGGCCATGGGTTGGATGGCTGCGGCGCAGGGACGGGCGAGGAGACGGGGCCGGTTACGTCAGCGGGGAGGGATACTTATAGGCGAGGGATTACCGGCGCTGGTTGCTCCCCACCGCCCTCCCACCGCCATGTTCTCCGTCAAGGCAACCTACCGCTCAGAGACACGCAGGTTCGCTTTCTCAGACTCGTCTGCATTCCCAACCTACGACCAGCTCTACGACCAGGTATGCTTTCCTTGCCCCGCACGCCCCCTATTGCCCCCTGACGCCTGCTTATCGCCCCCACAGCTCTACCGAGTGTTCCCCATCGGCCACTCGTACTATCTCTCCAGGCTCCTCTTCTCAGCGAATCCACTGAGCCCCTCCTCTCGCATTCTCATCGGCATGGAGGCTCACTCCCCCGCCGAGTATGATGCTCACGTTGCGCCCTACGCCAACAAAGAATGGCCGGGCGCTCTTCTGCGCTTCAACGTCTATGACGAGACGCCCCACAAGTCCCCGGGCTCCGCCGCACCTCCAGAGCCCGCCCCCGCCAACGTCGATCCTCTTCGGCGGGGCCACGCCCACAGGCACGCTCATCTCAACGGGGCCTTTCCCCACGATCACCCACACCACCACCATCACCACCATCACAGGAAGGACAGACACGAGAGGCGCGCAGCCCTCCTGGCCGCACTCAACGCTCCGACCCACTCCCCGCGCTCGCCGTACGCTCAGCACGATGCGCGCTCTCAGGGGTCCTCGTCGCCGCCCCCGTTGGCCACCCTGACGCCGTCGCCGCCGTCCTCGCCTCCACCTCCGGGCCGGCACCCGCATTGGACTCCGCGCCCGTTCTCGCCCCGAGACTTGCCCCATCCGCCTCCGGGCCCGCCTCCGCCGCCGGGACATGCCCGTCCTCCTCCGCCACCGCCACCGCCTCGTCACGGTCACGGTATCCCGCCTCCGCCTCCGCCTCCGCCCCCACCACCTCCTCATCACCACCATTCCCCTTTCCCTCCGCCTCCTCCTTTCCACGGTTCACGCTCTCATCCTTTCCGCGGGCCATACTCTCCTGATCCTCATCGTCACGACCACGGTCACCCGCCTCCTCCACCTCATCCTCCACGCTACTCGTACACGCCCTACTCCTCGTCGGCTTTCCCTCATCTCGAAGTCCCCGGCCTCTTTGGTCCCCGCACGCCTCCGCCCCCTTCTGCGCCCCCACCTACCATGCCCTCGGCCTGGGATGCACCGCCATCGGACTGCTGGGAAGCACCGGAGTCCTGGAATGTACCGCCGGCTTCTGCCCCGCCTCCGCCTATCATCCAATCGTCCTTCCGCCCATCAGCAGCTAACTGGGGTGGCGTGCCTCAGTTTACATCCCCTCATGTCTACGCTCCACCTCTGCCCGTTACACAATGGAGCCCGCGCTGGTTGGGGCCACAGCAGGCACAGTCTCGTTCTTCAGCACCTCCAATCGACATTATATCTCAACCATACCAGCCCAACGCGCCCGTCGTTATCATTCAACCACCGACCCCGCAGCAGCCGCTGGGCAAGCAGGGCGGAGACCGCGACCACGATATGGAGAACGCGGTCGATAAGGACAAGGAAGCATGCTGTGACATCACGAGGGGCAAGCGTGAGATCCGGGATTTATTGCAGACCTTTTCCGTAGATCTGAACCGGGCCGTGTCGAGCGCACTTGGTGAAGACTTTGCGGTCAAGGTGACGGGAGAGCGCGAAAGCCAAGCAGCGCAGACGGTGAATGTAGATGCCGAGGTCTTGTCGAACGTTTCCGCTGGAGTGTCTGTGACTGCCACCGCAGTCGAGGCGACTACATCCACCTCGACACTAAACGCGGAGAGCGCTGCTACACCCCGCCCGCCTGCGGTGCATGCCAACATCATCTGCGACGGCTGCAACACCACCATTATCGGCGTGCGCCACAAGTGTCTCGACTGTGCCGACTTTGACCTTTGTGCACAGTGTTTCACGCGTGGAGTAGGTGTCGGGATGGAGCTCGGGCACATGTCGGAGCACGAGATGTTCGCGATTGAGGAGCCTGGAGGCGTGTGGATGCACACGGTGTTCGCAGGCGAGGGTACGCGGACGCACACTCCGGCGACGACGAGGGTGCAACCCACCGGTCATCGCGCGGATGCCAGTAGGCGTTCCGGTTTTCCGGCTATGGCCGCGCGCCAGTCAGCGAACAGGGAGACGGAGCACTCGCACCAGGAGCAGCAGAATGTGAGAATGACCGAGCATAATGCGGTCTGCGATATATGCGACTCGAAGATTTTGGGCTTACGCTACGTGCGTGTTCAGTTTTGACTGTGGCATGGTAGCGATGGGTGCTAACTGTTTTCTATTCTTTTATGCCTATGTTCAGAAATGCTTGGACTGTCCTGACTTTGATACGTGCGCGTCGTGCTTCCGTATCATGACAGAGCAGCACCCTGGCCACGGCTTCGTGCGCGTCGCGGATCCTGCAGACCTGATCCGCCCCCGCATGACGGATGTTGCCGGGCATGCGATGGTCGATAGGCACCCCGCGCGCTGCAACCAATGCGACAAGGTGATATATGGGATTAGATACAAGGTAAGTATTTTGCTCAATGTTCATTCCACAGTTCAATACACGTCCGAGTTTTACATTGCGTGTGGACTCATGCTGATGGTGTTCACTGTGTTCTTCCCTCCATTGCCCAGTGCATGCACTTCGCCTGCCCCGACTTTGACCTCTGCGCGGCTTGCGAGGCGCACCCTATTCCGGTGCACCCACCGACGCATCCGTTGCTCAAGATTCGCACCACAGACACCGTGATCCCGGCTGTAGTGCGGCGTCAGGAGCCAAATCTTGGCCTATCCTCCTTGCCAGCGGAGCCCAGTCTCGCCACTCCCACTTTCACGGGTCAAAACGGGAGGAGGCCTCTTCCGACCGCATTCCCTGCCTCACAGTGGGACACGGTCCCCGCTGCCCCGACGATCCCCGTCCCCCCGCTGCCGCCGACAACGCCATTCGACGTGTTTACGTGGCCCACAGTGGAAAGATTTGGCGAGCCGTTCCCGGATCTGCCTGGGATGTCTCTGTCCGTGACGCCACCGCCCACGAATAGGGCTCCCATTGGGCACGGGCTGCGCAACGTCCTCAGCTGGGATTCGCGTCCCCAGGACGTCGAGACGCAGACATTCGCCGAGAATGTGATGGAGCCTACGGCACCGCCTGCGTCGTCTATAGTCACTCAGCCCGCGCCCACGGTGACTATGCCGCCTTCGTTCCCCGACCTGTCTTATCTCCCGTCTTATGGGTTGGAATCAGCGGCACCTCACGAAGAAGAGGAGCTGTTGGCCCTCATGGAAGAAGAGATTCATGACATATGGGACATGCGCTGGTGGGCGCGCCGCGTCGTGTCGCCCCCGCCTGTCGCAGGGGCTGCGAAACTGTTCATGACCACGCCTCGCGCTCCGTCGCCGCTGTCCATCTCACGCTCACCGACGCCATCCATCCGTACCCTATCACCGGTCTACTATTCGCGCTCGCCGACGACGACCATCTATGCCCCGTCGCCGGAGCCTCAGGCCCAGCCTCCGCGCTCGACCAGCCCCACGCCATCGCCGATGAGCCCTGTGACATTTGCGGTCTCTACGACGCGTTCAATCCCTTACCTGCCGCGTGTCTCTCGCCCGATCGTAGTATCTATTCCGAGTCCCGAGCCGCTCATTGAGCTCGAGGCCAGCAAGGGGGATGTGGGAGAGCTAGAGGATGTTTCCGATTCTCGATCCACCGCGAAGCCAGCCTCTTCTGGGTTCATGGTCGAGGTCGAGGCGACCACCGAGAAGCTCGTCGAGATACTGAATTTGGGGAGGCGCCTCCCGACGCCGCCAACCAAGTCGCCAGTTTTCTCGGAATCTTCAAAGGAAGGGTCCGAGACTGATGAGGACGAGGTTCGGCCGATGTCTCTGGGCGTGGCAGGCTCGCAGCCACCGCTCCTGCCGATGGTCGACCGCACGGACTTCGACGGGATGTTCGATATCAAGTCCAGGTTCCAGCATCTCCTTGACCATGTGTCTGTATTCCCTCCGGCACAGCAGGTGGAGAAGGCCAAAGAAGCCGAAGAGGAGGTGCCGACGGTTTCTCCCCCTGTCGTTACCGCTCAGGCAACCCCGGCGCCAGAAAGTGCGAATGAACGCAGCGAGGGCGATTCGCCCCTTGCGCTCGAGCCGTTGCTCTCCCGCATCGCAACGCCGCTCCGGTCCACGCTCCACGGCCGCCTTTCGGACCTGCTGACTGATTCGCGCCGCACGAGTACCGTCAAGGGTGGCTCAATCCTTTCGAGGTCCAACACGTCGCACCCGTCGAGTCTTGCAACGGACTCACGCCCCACGAGCCTGTTCACGGACGACGCGTCGACGATCGTCGCCGAGATCACCGCGCACGAGCCCCTGCGTGCCGCGTTCGTCGCCGACAACAACATCCCCGACGGGACGGTCTTCCCGCCAGGCGCCGAGTTCGTCAAGTCGTGGCGCATGCGCAATAACGGGCCACGGGCGTGGCCAGCCACGACGGAGCTCGTGTTCGTCGCAGGCGATCGGATGCACCCGGATGGGAAGTTGCACGAACAGTCCCGCGCGCGCGAGCAGGAGGGTGCGCGGTTCAAGGTCGGCAGCGTGGATGTAGGCGAGGAGGTCGATGTATGGACTGGTGATCTGAAGGTACGTCCTTCTCCTGGATTCTCTCCCGACGATGAGCGCTGATTTCTTCCACTTCTCGACAGGCTCCTGACGTCCCGAGGAAGTACATTGGCTACTGGCGTCTGAGCGACGGCCAGGGTACCCACTTTGGGCACAGCATATGGGTCGACATCACCGTCGCGGAGCAAAGCCGTTCACACAAGGACGAGAACAGTGACGAGGGCTCGCTCGCCGCGTCGTCCATCATCATGCCGCGCTCTGCGCCGGACCACGCCCGCACGGCGTCGGCCGGCAGCGTCCCCGCGCCCGACGAAAGCACGACCGCGCCGCTGTCGCCCGCCGTGTCCGCCGCGTCAGACACGCTCTCCGACGCGACGTCGTCGATGTCGTTGATCGAGATGCCGTCGGACGACGAGGACGAGGACGAGGAGGTGTTCGAGGACAGCCGCTCGCACTTTGTCGGCACGACGCCCGAGGCGACGCAGCGCCGCTCTCCCGATGTCGAGTACGTTGTCCTCTACGACAGCTCTGATGACGAGTGAGCGCGGCCGATATCACCATGATAAATTTTGAAATTCCCATGTCAATCCGCTTACCTGCGCTAGGTGCGGACGTTGTACAGTCCCAATAGGAGGTGACGTTGATTCGGTTCGCTCTTTTCTGAGGTTTCTTTTCTTTTATTCTTTCTTGTGTGTCATCAGTGTTTGCTCGTATGCTCGCCCGATCCTTCTGGTATCTTCTTATTCGGCTCTGGGTGCACGGTGTACAATATAAACGGACAGTCGCGACTCTTTTTACCTCTAGAAAACAATAACGGTACTCGCACTTAGCGTCGTAGCAATGAATCGATTTTTTTGAGACATGTCTGGGAGAACGTGCTGCGCGGTGCGTCTTCATGCGGTTTGTATTACACTGCTCCCTCGGCGCAGCGATTGTGAATGAACGAACGGATGCCAAAGCAGACCTTGACATGTGTCCCTCGCGGTTATCAGTGTTACGTTCATTACTCACAACGCAACTCTGAAGATGCTCTGGAAAAGTCTGTCACCCAATCAATAAATCAATAATATCCCACTTCATTGGGTCCGGCATCCAGGTGTGCCACTCCCCGTCCTCCGTCCTGTCTGCTCAATTTGTGTCCTCTCTGTGCATGCCGCGCATCGGGGCAGGGCGTGTCCTCAAATTTATCGACTACAGCGTGTAGCAGGCGCTACCCTGAGTGTGATTCATCGCTCAGAGTTGAACGACAAAGACTGCAGGTGGGTGGCGAGTTGGCCTTCTTTCCTGCGATTAGTTAAACCAAGGTTGGTCGCCAACTGATATTCTATTGGTATCTGTGGAGTGGGCATCATACACAATCCGAGAGGAACATCATCATCATCATCATGCTGATGTGGCACACCGATACCTCGAATCTCCCCGTCCTGCTTTCGACTACTTTACACCGGAGCCCTGGTGTCTCGTAAATCAACTATAAAAAACCGAGATCGGAACAGCTGCACCAAGTCGATCCAGATATTCAGCTTGACCTCGAGCCAAGTGAAGTTCAAGGCGCTGTAAAGGAGCTCCGAACCTAGTGCGCTGCTCGAGGGCCCCTATCAGCTCATCCACAGGGATCACCCGACTACCTGCGTTTACGGCGTCGAACAGCAGCTCCCCGAGCTCCAAAATCTTCAACAGTTTGACGAACCGAAGTTTCGGGAAGAGGACAGGTGGGTCGTCCTCCCCGCCCTCCAGAGCGGGCGTGCGCGCGAGCATCGCGCAGAACAGCCGGCACGCATCGGCTGTGCACGCGATGTCCTCCAAGAGCCGGCCCTCTGCGAGCGGCTTGAGGGCCTCGCGGTAGTCCTCCGGCGCGCGCGCGGAATGCGAGGGACAGCGCGGACAGCGCGTGAATAGAGAGTGCGTACAGGACCGCGGCGAGGGCCGCTGGGCCATCGAGACTGAACGGCAAGGGGTACAGGAAGTAGGCCAGGCGAACGTAGAACGAGGGCGCTCTGTGGGACAGCGAGGTCGTGTTCTGCGACGGTCCGGCGGGGTCAGATGTGGTCCACCCTTTGATCTCGATGTACGGCTCTTCTGACGCATTGTTGACGTCCATGTGCAGGGTGCACAGCGGTGCTGCGTCGCCCGTCTTGCCGCTATGGGCCTTGAGGAAGGGAACAAGCACGTCGGTGAAACCGTCGTGCTCATGATTGAGATTCTAGCTGGCAAGATGGATGGTCAACGTTCTGGGGACTCGTATGTGTTTGAGAACGTAGCCCACGTCGGTCCAATCGCCTTTCAGCGTGAGATTCGATAGGCGTGGGAGTTCGACAGCCAGCCGTTTCGTTCGCCCCTCAGGGAAGCATTCCTACATAGATAGATATTCTAGACGATGCATGTTCGCCAGCAGATCGAAGAATGCTTTTTCTGAAGGGATGAAGGGTCTCATGTCCTCGCTGGAGAGGTGCGATCGTTTAAACGTGACCTCCAAACGGCAAGGTCCAAGGAACGATGAATCCGCGGAAAATGGCTGTGTGAAGGCGGGGAGCATTAAAATCGAACAGATTCTCAGGGAGGTCTACACATCCGAGCTCGTCGTGAGTAAACTAAACCTTTTCCAACAATGGTGCAGAGGTCGCAAGTGTATAGGCGTGAGCAACGCGGGAGCCCATGGCCATATCTGCTAAATAGAGTTCCTTTGTCCGCTCCAGATGAGAATGAGGGAGTTCGAAGTTGCCGTCGTCTATCTGTTCCATATATGCGTGCTGGAGTACCAAAGGTAGTAGCTTTGCATGTTGTGCCATCTCATGATACCATTCATGAGTGATATCGAAGCTGATATACGTCCAAAGCATCGGATTGTCTAAAGCAACCTGTCGCCATCGACTGCAGACATCGGCCACCTTGATCCATCTTAGTTTGATTGGTGCCCGACGTCTAGGTCTCTCACATGCCGCCAAAAAGGAGAAGATGTGTGCCAAAAGCTCAGAAGGAAGACGTGCCGCTGTAGGCAATCTGTTTCGCCGTGTGCGAACGGAGGCCAATACCGACAGCAACGCAACAATCTCTTCATCTACTTGCTCGAAGCAGTTAGTGATAGTGCTTCCAGGGCCAGAGGATGCCAGGAGAGTGTCCAGCGCACTTAGGCGTGTGTTCGCCGCCTGGTTCCGATAATCCAGCGCACTGGAGGTCGCGACATGAGTTGTGTTTAGAGTCTGTTTCAAGATGGCGAATCCCTCACTTCGATATCAACATATCGTGACCGTGCGGCCTACAGAGATGGTGAAGTGGTGGAGATGTTCCACAATTGAGTGATATGATGATGTATTAGTATGCGGTAGAAACGCGAGAAATTCTCGAAAATTCCTCATGTGGTAATATTAGTACAGTAATTAGAAATACAGGTGCTTGTCTTCTGTGATCACTGTCTGTTCGTGAAGAATACAGAAAGCAACAGCGAAGGAAAGATGGAAATCATGAGAAGCCCGCTCAAATCTCACCACGCTATGTCAACACTGAAGGAACACGCCCGTGATAATCATGCAAATTTTCAGAAATAAGAAAACGACGAGGACCGGTGAAATCGAGGTTTGGGATTCCGTGCACCATCTTCTGCCGACTGTGACGCATATGTCGTCGTCACGTTTGCAGGCCCAGAGCGCTCCCACTGCTGGCACAGCGAGTGGATATTGGGATGACTTGAGCTTGAGCGGATTGTTGGCGTGGGCGCGGGTACCATCGTCGACATGTTGAGAGAGGTAAGGCGGACGTGGCGATGGGTGTGGAACGAAGTTCGCCTTCCAGATCTGATCGCAGTATGGTGTCGACCGACGAGAACCCGATCTCGCCTTGGAGAACCAGGTGATCTCAAACTAGAAAGCGATGGCTCATCGTCATCCGAGTCCGATTCCGATTCCATGGGGCCTTTGTAACTTCGATTTAACGTGCGTGGGACAATCTCGTCGCCGATATCTTGCTCGCTGCCTGAAATACTGTCATCCGTAGATGAGTCGTTGATGCTGGCAGATGCCTTCTCCATTCCATTGCCTCGCACCACTCTTGCCATGACGTTGTCGATCTCGTGCGTCAACTCTGTCTGAGCGGAAATGTGGAGGACTTGCGGTGATTGAACTTGTAGAAGAGGTAGCACATTGTGCACGAAATTGTGACAGGAGAGAAACGCTTCATGCGAGGCATCAAGAAAGGGGAAGGCCTGGAAAACATGGGTCTAGGGAACGATTCAATTTGGTCAAGCGTCTTTCAAAGGTGTGATAAACGGAACTCACTGCGTCCTCGTAGAGCTCATGCCTTACCTCTACGCCTGCGAGGGATGCCTTGTGGGCCAAAAGGGTAACCTCGTCCCGTAAAACCTCCGCTTCACCAGATTGAATGAGCATGGGCGGCAATCCACTAAAATCGCCAAACAATGGGCTTGCATATGGATGGGTCAAGTATCTTTCCATATGCGGACCCAGATAACAAGCAATGGGATCCAGGGCATCTCCAGGAGTGGGCAAAGGAACGATATCATACTGTGCGTTACTATCCCACGAATCACAGCTCATTGTCAAGTCTAAGCGTTGTATAAGTCAGTGTATACTAATCAACATTCATAATATAGATACTGACCGACCCAAGGTGACATGAGTATAGCACCGGCAGGCAGAGGATAGCGATTGTCTCGAAGGTACATGAGTAAGGCAAGAGAAAGACCGCCGCCAGCGCTGTCACCGGCTATTAGGATATTCTCTGGGGGAATGTGAAGGTCATCAATGAGTCTGAAATACGTGGCGACCGCATCGTGTAAAGGCCCGGGGAATCGTGTTTCAGGAGCCAGCCGATAGTCGATTGCTGCAAAGTTATTGTTATTTTTTTGAACGGAATTGGAAAGTACGATGAGATGTACCGAATACGCGCGCATCAGCAAATTTGGACAGTTGTATAGTGATCCCTCTATGGGTAGAAGGACTGAAGAGATAGTATGCGCCTTTCAGAGCATTACAAAAATTGAGCGACCGCGCACTATTGTTTAATTGAGCAACGACGACGGACCTCCGTGCAGGTATAGAATCACTCTTTCTTTTCGCTGCTTGTGGGGTGTGGTAGGTGGGTGAGAGCCTGGCGCAGCCCGTGAAGCCTTCCACTCCGCTTGTAGACGTCTCCACAAAGTCTTACTGACCACCCATTCGCCTGAGAGCTCACGCGACCCGGTTTCTTGGGCATCATATTGTGTCAAAATCCCACGAAGACCGCGTTTCTTGACAGAGAAAGTGACAGGAGTCACCAGCGCATCTGGTGGTAAAGGAACCAGTCTGCTAAGAGCGATAAACATACGAATTGTAGCCTGTAGACAGTGACGAAGCACAGTGAGATGCCACTACAATTCAGGTTGAGAAATCACATACAATGTCAACGAGATCAGAATGCCGCCCTGCGTCACGCATGAGGCTTGTGAATATCGTCATCTGTATGCCCCACGATTTCTTTCGCGGGCCCCAAATATGATGAGACAGCACGTCTCCTGCCATCTCGGTCACTGCATTATAAGATATATTAACGAAGGACCGTCAAAGAAAATAAAAGGTCGCTTGCTCTAAACAAAAGCGTCGCAACGAGATGGGAAGCTGGCAAAGCCCGAGCGAATGAGTGCATATATGCGCGTGAATAGGCGCATATAGACACAGCGCCAATACATGCAAGATCTGAAACGCCCATCTTAACTCACCTTTCAAGGCAACGACCGCACCAAGCTTACACGCATCCCAGATACCAATGCCATGACCTTCCCGTTGTTGTAGCAAAGGATCTACTCGCGCAGACGGAGGAGCGACACCCGGCTTCTCGTAGTGCTGCAGCCAGGCTGATAAAGATAAACGACGTTTGCGTACACCAAAGCCTGTAACAACGGCCTGAGCAGGTGCAATTTGTAGAACTGGAACAGATTCGACACGAGAGAAGGGCCAAGGCAGCATATTTTGCGTTTGCAAAGTCTAGAACGTGGTCGTAAAAGAATTTCAAGCAAGCCTAGGCGTGTAGAAGAGTGAGGTGATAGGCTGTGCGGGGAGAGCGTGGGGTCGATTAAGATATAGATGACCGGGAGAGGCCATAAGGTAGAGAAGAGGAGAGGAGGGGACGAGAGAGAACTAAAAGGACGTGGTTCTGGGGTAAAAGCTTCTCAACAGATCTCAAATCTTACATATCACGAGCCGAAAGTGTGACCTCGTGATGTCACTCGGCTGCGCGGCCAGGCCAGGTGGTCTCTCCAACTGCGGTCCTCTGCCCATCCCCCCCTGAGAGACCCCTTTTTGTGCACCGAAAAGATACAAGAACATACTGAGATTTTCCGTATATATCACAAGGATGTAGCTGTCGACCTCGTGTACAAATCCCGCTCAGTAATCGTCTCCTCTACTGACCACTTCTTTCACTGTGGGGCGAAGCAAAATGGTATGCTCCTGTATCACGAGGAGCGGAAGGCCCGTGGATGAACATTAGGACGGAACACTGTAATAGGCGCGTCACTCACAAATTGTGCCGTCATGGACCCCCGCGCGTCACATAGAGGCGGGTAGTCCCGGACGATTCCTTGCGCGACTAGGTGGTTTAGCTACCAGACCGGGTCATGTCAAAATCCTGTGCATGGCATTAAACTGAAAGGAGACGCACAGCAAGCAAGTACTTGCTCTCTCCAGCACGGTCCAAGTATCTTCTGCAGAATGGCAGAGTTCCGAAATTCTTTGTGATCGATTTGAGTAACGATTTTGCCGATTGTAATCTATGCAATCAAGGAGATGCAGAACGATCAATGACATAGGACTTTGATCACCAACACGGTCTTACCGAAGAGGAACATGTGGTGCATCAAACACCTTAGCGTAGTGTGAGCAGTCGCCCTGCATATGGATCGTCAGGATACGGCGCGAGAGGAATCTCGGCATGATCAGCTTGGTACTTACGCTTTCTACAACACGACCACGACCAGTCGACCCAAATGTCTCAATGGCAAAGTATTCACCCTCCTCCATCTTAGTCTGATCATCGTTTTTCACCAAAAGCACGGACTTCCCGCCATGAATTTGGTACAGGTTGATGGAGTGCCCACTCAAGTTTTCAATTGCCTTCACTGCAGAGGCAGATCAGTTGAGATATCATCCCGGTCAGCATCCCGAGGCGCAACGAACCAGGATAGACCTTGGAGCCGACCTCAACTTCATATGACTCCATCGTTTCTTGGATAGCAGCTCCAACTTCGCCTAGTCGCACGTCAATGCCTGCTTCCTGCATGAATGAAAGGATGAACGGAGGGCTGTGACAAGTGGGGCCAATACTCGTACCCGAATGCCGGTATCCGTCGCAGCCTTGACAGCCTCCAAGAGTTTGTCGTATGTGGGCTCAAAAGTGAGAGTAAATGCCGAATCAAGGATTCGGCCCCTGACATGCACTCCAAAGTCGACTTTCAGCACATCCTCCTTCTGCAGGACTAAGTCCCAACCGTCCCAGTGTGGATTAGTTACACTCAGGAGCTTCGAATTCCATGGTAGACGTACCGATAGTGTCGCCGGCGTTTGGCGTGTAGTGCGCAGCGCAATTGTTCAGACTTAGCCCAGTAGGGAAGCCAATACCTGAGTCGAGCCCATTCTCTTCAACAAGCGCACGGGTCCCGTTCTCGATATTGTCTGCAATCTCTGTCATGCTCATACCCGGCTTGATGAACTTGCGCGCATGTTTTCGCACAAGACGGTGGACCTCGGCAGCACGGCGGATGTTGTCATATGTGGTTTCCGGATCTTCCATTGCTAGGCGTTCATTGTACCGTTTCTCCTCTGAGGTCGTACGCCATACGTTGCTATTGCAAGTCCCATCAACATCGCGCACGAGCCATGTAGTATGGAGAGAACGAAATAGATGAAAAAGGATTGATAGCACGCACTCGTTTTTATATTCCTGAATTTCGCCTTCAGGGAAATGACCGTCAGGGAAAATCTTCGACAAGCCGACACGGGGAGGATCGCTTTGCTCGACCTTCTTCTTTTTACTCTTTTTCTTTTTCTTTTTCTTCTTACCCTCTCCTTTGTGTCCGATCCAGCAAGTCACCCAAAAGCGAAAAGTTGAAAGGATTGCCTCAGCGTGCGATCAAGGGGCGTCTAGGGAGAGATCGGATGCTGACCGCCTGCTACAACATCGCCGACTTCTTCGATATCGTCGTCATTGTCTTCTTCTACCTGGCCATGTACGAGTTCTTTTTCGTCCACCACAACCTCGACGAGTTTCCCGTTGCCGTCCGACATCTGAGAGGTGTGTGAGTGGGCAGTCAAGTTTCGAGCATTACATATCAGTCTGCCTTTTCTGGTACACTTATTACTCACCGCGAGTATAGCCCCGGCCAATTTTATTGAACGAGGCTGCTGCTACTTCTGAGGGACCAACTTGAAGCTGAACTACTAGCCTGTGAAGGAATGAAACTGGGACGAACCTCTTATTCCTTGTGATGTCAGTCGACTAGGTGACGCGAGAGTTGTGTCGAGAATAGGCAAGTAAAGGATTCGCTTCACTCGATCTGGACCCTGCATACTACCTGCGTAGACTTCATCGGAATTCGACCCCGCCACTGACAGTACTAACCTCCAATTCAGATGCTTGGCTGTTATGACAAGCCCGGCCTTTCATCGAATACACTCAGGCCGGTGAAGCTGAGGCATTGCGATTCGTATCGATTGCAGGATATTCAACTACTACAAAAACAAAGTTTGACTTGAAGGGTATTGTCTGTATTGTGCAAGGATACTAGCAGCGGACTATGAAAGAAGAATACAGACGCGCGGAACGATGGGTACACATGATGAAGGACAGGTAATCAATCGGAAGCTAGTCATCGGTACTCCCATTCATTGTGTACTCCAGTGATGTACCACATCGGCAAAACCTTGGGACCCACCCCGATAGCCTTTTGCAGCCGACCTAGCGATTATCGATAAAGACAGTCAGCCTTCATGTCCACGACACCGAAGACAACGGTAACGAGCGTATATGTTCTTCTCTAGGCATCTGCTTGCCTTCGATGCATCTCCTGATGCAATAGTTGTCGAGCATGCACAAGACGAAAGGTGTTCCGGGCCCGTTTGCCACGCGTTGCAAATATACTGGTAGGCCGCTGTCTACAGCGAGACAGTCCACGAGCAGTCTTTCGGCTCCGTAACTGGACGATCCAAACTGGCAATGACCTGCATATTTGGATCGTGCGACTGAACAAAGGAAACTATCTATTCAAGCATGATAGGGAGACCGTATTGCAAACATGGCGGTGATGGCATTCCATTCCTGGGAAGTATGCGAGGAAGCTTGGACATAGGCGGAGCCTTCGCGAGTTCTTCCTCCGTCTATAAGTGATATAGCGATGACGATCAATCACAACAGTTGATGGGCAAAAAAAAAACTGACAATGATGAGGTCTGCGTCACTCCATCGAGGGTGAAGCTCTTTCAGAACGTCTCTGAAGGTGTGTATGATAGATCCCGGTAGAGAAGCGGACGGTGTAGTACATGTTCTTCGACTGTCCTCGTCAGGAAGCGCTGGAGTGATAGTAATGTCGGGAATAGAGAGGGTTGTCATGCTGGTGACAGATATCAAGTTACAACACCTGAGTAAGAGAGCGGTCAAGTTGCTCAGACTTTGTGGCCTCAAGGTTCAACATGTGCCACTGTTTAGCAAAGTTGAAGAAATCCGGCGGAGCTTTGCCACCGCTGTTCCTGAAGATCGTCTAGGAATCGGTACTGCATGCAGAGCATGAATGCCCCGTGACAATCGTGCCCATCAAGGTCAGATTCATCGAGAGAGCATGGTGAAGGCGTCCATGAGTTGTGAGCGAGAGCAAGAGTGCAGAAGGGACATGGCACTTTGGATTGTCCGAGAGATGCCGCGCAAGCCCGCTGCACGCCGCTTGCGGCTGCCGGTCCGGCTAGTATCTGGCTCCGCCCTTGAAGAACTCCGACATGCACATCTGAGTAGTCTACATCAGCAAACTGGTAGCCGAGCCCCAGCTGCCCCAGCTGCCCTAGCTACTCCTAGATGCTTATGTCATTCGAGGCGTCTGTACAGAAAGGTGGGTCTGGTCAGATAGTCGCTTTTTTATGATGTCTTCCCCAAAGCAGCTAGCCAGTTCAGGTCTCCTTGCGGGTCTGTCTAGTTAAGCATACATTGGTGTGATTCTTATCATCTTTGTCATACTTGACATCAATCTTATCTTTGTTTGTGTAGGGTCGAGAGATAGGTTGAGCAGTATTATAGAGGGAGCTTTCACGTGAGGCACTCTCGGAGAAGTACAAACAATTTAGAGTAGCTGTGTCGACAAACAAAAAGAGAGACAAGGGAATGTCGCAGACCTCCAACATGGCCTCCATGCGACTGTAAGTAGAAGTCTTCGAAAGAATAACAAGGGCCAGTTGAAGTTGTTCACTAGTGTGACTGTAGGCAGAAATCTCCGAGAGTGACATAAGGGCAGGCTGTTTACTAGTGCGATTGTCGTTGAGCCAGTTAGGTGACAATACCAAGCCGAATCAACACTTACATTATATTCCACTTGCAGAGGAGGGCGTCGTCGTAGTCGTCGTTGCGCTTGCAGCGGTAGCTGAGCTGCTGATCTATTGTCATCAGGGCGGCGGTGGCGGTGACAACATAGCCTGTCTATCAGGGGGAGTGAGTCCAGAGCTGCTGCAGAAACGAACAGGGAAAGTAGAAACCAATATAGCTTCAGGGAGAGGTGTACGGACACAGAGCGAGTGAGCATGTGGTGGGGCAGGCGTAGATGATGTCGTAGCAGGCATCGCACATGCGTGCATCGCATACGGAGAACTCTGGGGAAGGCGTCGAATGTATTATCTTTGTCCAGTAAGTCTTCGTAGCACTGTGAGAGTACTGTGAGTTGATCGTTATTGAGCGCGAGAGGATGAGGATGGACAGAAAGATTGATGCGCTTACTAATTTCAACTTGCCACGTTACTCACCTGCAAGTTCAAACGTTCAACGTTCAACGTTCAAACATTCACGTTCAACGCTCGTCGATGCCTGCCTTTTGTCCAAAATGCGGCAAGACATTTGTCTCTGAGGTGCGGGTCGTCAAACATCTCAATGGTCGACAATCCCCTTGCAGCGGTTGGCTCTCAGAGCTTGCCAGTATGGTTGCTGCCATGGATGTTGCTGATTGCGCTGCTGGGCAGACTCAAGATGGACCGACACTTGCAGGGATCGGAGATGATATGGATATTGATTGGGCTGCTGATTGGGACAAGTACCCCGAGGTGTCCTCATGTCCAGACACCGCCCGAACAAACCCATTACTTCTAGCCGAGGACTTGTTTCCAGGTGCCGGAAAAACATACGGTCAAGCACCCACATTTATGGACACTTTTGATGCCGACATCCATGCCGAAAAGCGAGTTGACAACATATTCTACCCTTTTGCGAACAAGGACGACTGGGAGATGGCCTCTTTTCTCCTCCGATCTGGTCTGTCTGTTGCAAAAACGGACGAGTTTCTCTCATTAAATTATGTACGTCTCACCTCTTCTGGTTTAATATGAAGCTGATCAACTCATTAGGTCAAAACTCGACCATTTTCGTTTCGCACAATGAAAGATCTCCGTGCAAAGATCGAGCTGCTACCGGAAGCTCCTCGTTGGACGTCTGAGCCCATATCTCAGCCCGGATACCCTACAAAGCAGCCGATGACATTGTTTCGGAGGAACAGTGTTCTCTGTCTTGAAGCACTGTTCTCAAACCCCCTCTTTTCAAATAGCATTGACTATGTGCCTCGACACGTCTACCAGAGCGCAGAGAGGCTTGTTCGTGTTTTCAGCGAGTACATGACTGGCGACCGTGCTTGGGATGTTCAGGTATGTGATCTTCTACCTGTGGTACTCCGTTTACTCAAACTTTCGACAGTCGACACTACCCGAGGGCGCAACGTTACTTGGCGTTATTCTCTCGTCAGATAAGACAACGCTCACTGCTGGAACAGGCAATCGATCGGCTCACCCGCTCCTTCTTTCGCTTGCGAATCTCTTTGCCGGCACTCGCATGAAAGCGTCAAATCATGCATTCTTACTCCTTGCCCTCCTTCCCATTCCAAAATTTCTATGCGCCAAAAATCTTCGCGGGACGTTGGAGAGCCGAGTAGTTCATCAGTGTCTGAGCATCGTCACTGAGGACTTGAAGATAGCCGCAAGATATGGCCGTATGATGACAGATCCTCGTGGCTATTCGCGTTTTTGTTTTACTCCTTTAGCCGCATATATCATTGATAACCCAGAAGGTCAGCTACTTGCTGCTGTGGGCGGAAAGTCTTCACCGGTCACGATTGTGTCATCAAAACAGCTCGGCGATCCCTTCCGTCACCTTTCTCGGACTGCGTCAGTTACGCTGGCTCAGATTCAAGACTTGAACAGCCGTGTTAATCCACAGGATCTTGAGGCATATGTACCAGCTGCGAAGGCTGCAAAATTGAATGGCGTAGACTCCCCTTTTTGGTTGGACTGGGCACGGTCTGACCCCTCTCTGTTTCTCACGCCGGAGCCGCTCCATCAATGGCACAAACAGTTCCTTGATCATGACGTTCATTGGTGCCGAAATACCATTGGTGATTCCGAATTGGACTTTCGCTTTTCCATCATCCAGCCACAAGTCGGATTTCGACATTTCGAAAATGGTGTCTCCACATTAAAACAGGTCACTGGCAGAGAACAGCGCAATATACAGCGTTATTTTGTTGCTTGCATCGCAGGAGCTGTTCCACCTAGCTTTCTTGTCGCAATCCGTGCTCTGATGGACTTTCGGTACCTTGCTCAAGCCCCCCAGATTGACGAGGTAATCATACGTCGAATCTCGGATGCGCTAGCTGAATTTCACCATCATAAACATGCTATCGTTGATGCCGGCGCAAGACGTGGCAAGTGGAAGGCGATCATGCACTGGAACATCCCTAAACTTGAGCTAATGCAGAGTGTTGTACCGAGTATCAGAGCGATGGGAGCGCCAATGCAATGGACTGCCGATGTCACAGAGCGCGCGCACATTGAAGTTGTGAAGGAGCCATTTCGCGCAAGCAACCATCGTGATTTTGACTCACAGATTTGTCGTGCTATGGATCGCGCAGAGCGGCGTCGTCATTTTGATCTTGCAACTTCTATCAAGTCCGCGGGAATTGACCTTGCCGCTGTTTTCAGTAGCAGCCATGTGTCAGAGGATTCTGGTCATGACTCTGATGACGACAAGCTCGATGATGATGAAAACCTTTGGAAATCAGTGATTAATCCTGTAGAGAACTTGACCGGCCCTCGTCGACGTTGTACGGACCTGTTTGCAAAGGCAGCAATCATTCTTATGTGGAAATCTTGGATCGACACCACCAGCGGCTCTCCTCGCACCTTCATGACGCCATCTACCGCATTTCACCTTAATCGTACACCATGCTTGTCTGCAGTCTCCGTGGATGATCTCGCCAGTTCCTTCCAGCTTCCAGACCTTCGACCTGCCCTTGCGGACTATGTGCTGCGGCTCCAGGCTGGACAGCAAGTGCATGCTATCGGTGGACGTCGAATTTCACAACCAAATTGCCTGCTTCCTTTCTCGCATGTTGACGTTTGGACACACGCTTATGTGCAGGTCAAGCCCTTGCGAGGGCATGAGATGTCAAATCCTTACAATATTCAAGCGAGTCCAAGATCGGCAGACTGGCCATTCGGCAGGCGTGACACCGCGCTTATTGCCAACACAAGTGATGCCATTTGGCCTCCTTTATCCACAATGGAAGGTTGGTTTCTGCTCACGTCATAAAACTTGGTGCTGATGACTCCTTCAAGGTCATTCTATTGTGTCAATTTGCCTTATCTTCCGTCTGATCTTCTCCACGGGGCAGTCGCAGCCACACCCACACCCATACCTCATGTACGGCCACCGCTTTGATATTGTTCCACAAACGTCATTTGCAGCTTCCGGGACAAGCCACCTGTCACCTGAGGCGAGCTTGGGAATGTACATCGTGAAGCGTGCCGTTCGTGCGGACAGCTCGCTGCTTGGTGATGTTATTCCACTGTCTCAGATACGTACACCGGTTCAACTGATTCCTCGTTATGGAGCCAAGGCTGATCCTCGCTTGACTGCCCAGAATAGCTTCCATTTCACTCGCGAATTTTTTGTTAATAAGTATGCTAACCGGGAGATCTACAACCTGCTGACTTAGTCATTTTCACATGCTGTTCTCCGCCATGTCGTCAATGTATAGTAAGAAACCGCACTGCAGTGTTCAATCGACAGGCTGTTGCCATTCTTCTGTTTCATGTCGCGTGCAGCAGTACTGTAGTTCTATCTAATATTTAAGACTCACAATCATCTCTTGTCCTTCCATCTGCTTTTCAGTCCGTCCTTATATTGCTATTTATCGTTCTCAGATCGCACAGTGAATTCTACGATGGATTGGTCAATGGACATTGACGCAGGTGCTGACTACTCTATGTATTACCCTTTCGCGCATCTCTGACTACCCTTGATTCTCTAGTATCTGCCTCTCAACCAAGTCGAAGGCAAAAAAAGCGGCCGGCAGCAGATGCAATTCCAATCATGGAGGCCCAACGTCGATCCACTAGGGCCAACCGAGGTCAAGGTGGACAGAATCTCCAACGAGAACATATTGAAGAAGCTCTCCTTGTGCCGAAGCGTCGTCGAGTGAGCCGTCATACATTTCCCGAAGGCCTAGACGACACAGAGAGGATTGCCGAAAATCCAATGGCTCCACCACCAGCAAAGCGAAAGCACCGCCAGAAAAAAGTAAGCTCGTCATCTATCGTTCACGAATTTGCGATAAATGCTGTATTTCAGTCTATTCTGGGACCTGTTACAGGCCAGGAGATTCCAAACCCTCTAGTTACCCATACTGTACCAGCACCAGTTCCCATTCGGATCCCTGCTGATGACAGAGCGCTTGGCCCTCCGCCCGGGTTTGGATTTCCTCCCGAATTTCCTGCCTTGCGAAGCGCCCTCCCTTCGAGCTCAGTTCATATGTCACAGATTGATCCCTATTTGATAGGTCTTCAAGCAATGCCTCATCATCGTCAACTCGCCACATCTAGAGGACCTTCCCCTTCTACAACACTTCAGCCTCAACCTCAACCTCAACCTCAACCTCAACCTCAACCAGCCTATTCAAGTAATGGCAAAGAGGCACAGAGGTCTGTCGTTGTTTCTATCATAATAGCATACTCATGGTGCAATTTCTAGCCACGTTGACTCACTTCCTTCGACCTACGCTGCAAGAACTCCGGCATATAATGCCGGTGCATTTGTTCCTGCACCGTGCTCCATACCTGTTCCGATTCAGAGGCCGCCAAATCTACCGGTGCAACCTGTGAACTCTAGGCATACAGACGAAGACAGTGAAGCCTCGGATGATAGTATCGAAGAGTTTAATGAGGATGACAAGGATGACGAGGACGAGATTGAGGGTGAGGACGAAATTGAGGGTAAGGATGAAATTGAGGATGAGGACGAGATCGAGGATGAGGATACCGAAGATCACCTTCAAGATATTGAGGAGAACCAGCAGGAAATGGAGGGTTCAGAGTCTGAGGATGATGGTCGGAAAACGAACACTAATAGTGAGTTTCTTTGGCTATAACTATCTTGAAACTACGGCCATGATAATTATGATGCAGATAACCAGCAGACGTGTGGATCGCAACGCAGCCTCCAGCACTCTCATCAAGCTTCACATACTGATGCTGTGGTCACAGAACGTGGCGGTGGGGTTTTGCGTGAGATAATTACATCCCAACTGGTCTGCAATTTTGTTTATTTGATTCTTTTTCGTGCTGATTACTTTGCTTTAGGCACCTCAGACACGACAGCTGCAGCCCACCGATATACTTCACGAGCATCAGCGCCGGAACGGCACACCAAGAGCGCCAGATGTCAATCAACTTACCCAAGTCGCTACAAGGATGTCGACACCATCGGTAATGCCTGTCGCAGGCAGAATTTGTATGTTCCTTCGTTTCTATGTAACTGCTTGCTAATGATCTTTTCATTGAGCTCATTCATCACTTCAAATCAACACGCGCCAGCGCAATCACCCACGCAAAAAATCGGCCATAGATATTGACCCTAGAGACTTGAAGAAACTCGGATCCCTTCCATCGCACTGGCGCTACGTAATTGTTCAGGCTCGCCTAAGGCACCGTAAATGGCTGGCATCCATCGACCCATTCCCTGAATACGAGACTTCTCTAAGGCATTCGACGGCATCTATATATGAAGTGGTCGCAGAGTATACCCAGAACTTCAGGGTACAGCTATTGCCACCAGGTTAGTGTAGTCTCGTGAATCTCTTATCTGCTTATCATATTCGACATTGCAGGTCAGCTGCTGGATCACGATATGATTAAAGGAGTATGTTTTGGTCACATACGCTATACTACTGATTCTTATAGTTTATCAGGTTCATGAGGATGGGTCAACATTCCGAGGTGAGCTCAAGCGTATTGCACGCTTGATTGTACAGACATCCTACAATCTCCTCTCTGCCTCCGACCTTGCTGAGAACTTGGACGCTGCCGGATATCAAGCTCGCATTCGTGCGCGGGTTGTTGAGTTACTTACTGATGGGAAGTTCATGCATGGCCCTTGCAACACAAATGTGAGTGACGTTTGTGTCGTACACCATAAGCTAAATGTATTTTCAGGGCATGATCCTAAACCTCGGGCATCCAGCAATTATGTTGTTGTGCCACACATTCTTCTACTTCGACAAGAAATCTTTGGGTATCCTGTTTCCAGAAACATACAAAGATGTTGTTCCGGATAGGACAATGGCTCTACTAATCTGTGTCGTAAGGTTTCCTCCCATGTCTGTATCACTAATGTACTAATATCTATGCAAATAGATCAAGAACTGTCTGGAGGAATGGGAGGGCGGCATACACAAGACTATCGACTTCTCGAAAGAAGCATATGAAAAAGACTTCGGTGCAATCGTAGGACTCATTCAAACTTTGAAGGCCCACCCGACATTCGGACCCACATACCAGTGCATGTGTCAGCGATGGGCAACAAAGGGACTGTGAGTGTGGAGCTAATCATTATTCTTATTCTGATTTTTCAAAAGCCCAGAAGTTGTTACAGCGGCTCAACGGAAGTCTGGCCGAACCAACTATGGACTCAAGCTAGACTTTGGCATCCCTGGGCCACCACTGTCTGTACTCCTTATTTCCGTTTTGTTCCTGTCTAACGATGCTCCGTTTTAGACCATATCAATGATTAATTCTTTCTTCTCTATGACATCATCCTTCCGCCCTGCCTAATGTCACTCGCTGTCCCATATCATTCATTTTATAACCTCTCTCCTTCCGTAATACCACCTCACAATTACTTCACTAATTCTAGACTGTTGATTACTGCCGTTTTGATCTCATTGTTCGGTGTTCAAATGCGACAAATATATACAGTTTTTGGTCAAATTTCACGAGATTTTTCATATTCTACAAATTCTGTCGGGGTGTAGTATCTGCTACCGGAAACATCTGACAAGAGCCTCTAAACTAGTCAGAGCTGCTCAGAGGCTGTCAAGATACTTTTTTTGTTCGGAGCACCAAAATATTAGCAGCTGGACAGTGTCTAGGCAGCTCCGGCAAGCATCAGTCCAGCAGACACTGTGTCTGTATAATTGGGGACTCGCTGAAGGTGTCTGGGGCTCTGGCATTGTCTGTCCAGCTTCGGACAGACGCCTCCCAGTTTGCTGATGTACATCCAAATCACAAAACTATCACTGGCCCTATGTTCGGACAATACCGATGTTCGGACAGTCTGTGTTTCTCGCTCATTGCTCGACATATCAACCTCAATATTTTGACCATAAACCGTTCAATAGTGTAGACTTGGTTTCTGAAACTTTGAGATTTTTTAAAGGTGATTTACATTCCTAAATGTTGAAAATGTGCCTTTCCGAGCTCAATGTCACGCCTCGGATGAGTCGGAGCATGCGAGGAAGGATCCTGATGATCCAATTTTTTTTATGTAGTCTAGTGTAGCCCATATATATTGGTTCTGGTATGTGAAGAAAATGCATGGGGTATTGTTGCACTCGTATGAAAATACAAGGTATCAAGTGTGACATTCGGAAATAGAGCATCGAAGAAGGGGAGTGCAAATTCATTCTCCACACATAGTTCCACCAGCAACCAGCCAGCATCCCAACAAGTCATGTCCAAACATTGTCCCCACTGTCTCCCTTCCTCAACCATGCCACAGACTATACTGAACCTACAGCCTCCTAAGTCACAAACTTTCCCCCACTCCTATGTTTACCCAAGGTCATACCCTTGTCTCACAACAGTTCTCCACACCAACCCTGCAGGGTGGCAATAAGCATAAACCTCAAACCTAGTAGCCATCAAAGAACTAGGAAATGACAGCCTTAGCCTTTGCAAAGCTGGGAAGAAACATGATGTCTCTCCTTAAATTCATAATTATGTATGCACTTGTGATCCTCGTCCAAATCAGTCACATGATTCAAGTATACAAATCTTTGCTGACCATGGACAGCTCAGCAACAAAGTTGAGAAACTGGTTGCAGACTGTTTCATGGAGGAAATCGGCCTACCAGTATATCTGGAGCATGTGCTGAATGCACCTGACACTCATTTCATTCTGTGCCTACTTAATAATTATATTGGCAAGGCTTTATTCCAATATGAGGAGATGCCTAAGAAGGAACATATTCATTTGTTGCCTTGCTTTTGGTGTTAGATGTGGGGGCTCACATTGTTCATTGATCCTATCAACATCAGGATGCATGCAGAAAGCTCTTGGTGTCAATTCCAAGGTTCTGCCACTGTGGTACATTGTTGCAGCATACTACCAGTGGCAGTACTTTGACTAGTCTCTTGATGGTTTACCCATTCCTTTACTAACATATGATCACTGTATGGCACACCACTTGTATGTCTGCTGTCGAGGAGGATAGTATGGGGTGGTCAAGTTGCCATTAAAGCTGGTCAAAGCTCGGAAGGGATCATTATAGCAGAATGGCTTGACAATTTATTTCACATTTCTATCTGAGTGGACGACAATGCATGGGCATCTGGACAGATCTCTAGGTGAGGTCAACACCCAAGATGGCATTGTAGGTTGTGGTATGGTAAGTTACAGGTCACTTCTCTGGGCTTCTAGTGGGCTACTTGACTGCTTCAACTAAAGCTCCCCATCAAATCAGATAGTGTTGATCTAACCTTGAGCGCTTGTGCTCTGGTCTGTTGGATCAACAACCGTATTCTGTATGCGTCCACATGGTCTGGTGCACTAGAAATTAATTTAAATATTCAATTATGGTGACTACAAGCCGCTAGTCGTGGGGGATCACTCTCAGTTGTGTCAATGCAACATTCCCTGAGAAGGGCGGCATTCGGACAAGGAAAATTATGGATTTACGTTACAGAGGAACAAGCAAGTCATTGGGTTTGACCAGTCAAAAGTACCGCCATTGGTAGGCACCTCCAGCAATGTACCACATCGGCAGAACTTTGGAATCTATCCCAAAAGCTTTTTGCACCTGACCTAGCGGTGGTAGAATTGATAGGGAAAGTCAACAACTGAAATCGCGACACCAAAAACGAGGTGACGAACGTATGTGTTTTTCCTTTGGTATCTTGTTGTGCCTCATGGATGACTGGATAGAATAATTGTCAACCAAGCACGCGATGATATACGAAGTGTCAGGCGCATTCAGCGCACGCTCTAAATATATTGGCAGGCCGACGATCTCAGTAAGGCATTTCTCAACGAAGTCGTCAGTTTTGATACTGAGAAGTCCAAGATCGGTAGTGATTGGTATGCTTGGGTCGCGAGAATGAACGAATGAGGTTATTTGATCAAACGTGAGAAGAAACCCATAGTGCAGATATGGCGGGGATGCATATTTATGCAAGGGCAATAGAGCACGAGGGAGTTTGGACATAGGCGGAACCTTTGCCACTTCTTCTCTCGTCTGGAATGGCAAGGATGATAAGTCATCATCGTCGACGGAACAATAGACACGCACGTAGAAGGGATCTGAGTCACTCCACCGAGGGTGAATCTCTTTTGGCACCTTTCTAAATGCTTGTACTATTGGTTCTGGTAAAGAAGACTGAGTTGTCGATGCCGTCTGGCTGTCCTCGACAGGATGTGCTGGAGTGATGGTAATATCAAGAACAGTGGAGGTCGACATGCTGTTGGTGAGTATGAAGGCTTTCACGCCCAAAAGAGAGTGACCAAGGTGACTGGGTGGTCAATGGTCAACACGGCAAAATTAAAATTTGGCAAAGCTTTGCCACAATATTTGAAAGCCGATGAGTCAGATATTACACGCGTACCACTGCGTGCACTGAGGCTGAGATGCCACCGCCATGTTCTAATGATTTGTATATCATGGTTCGTCTCCTGCTTAAAAACTATCCTACTTACGTCGAGTGCACTTTGTGAAGCAAGCCCACATAAGAACACCGGGCTTCATGCACCCTCAGACGATAGCGTAGACAGGGCCTTGAGAGAGCAACCACCTGCCAGCAGGCCGCAAGTTTGAAGCAACACGGAGAGGGAAAGTCACAACAGAGCCATGCAACGAGGAAGCATTATCCAACTACTACAAAAGCGACATAAGGATCGGACTCAGAGCTTGAAGCTTGAAGGTAAAGGCTGTGTTATGCAAGAATGCTTGCAGGCTGTGAGAAGAAATATCAACACATAAAAGGATGATGAAGAGCGATCACTTTGAAGCTAGTCATCGATATTCTTATTTGTTGTATGCTCCAGTGATGTACCACATCGACAAGATCTTGGGATTCACCCCGAGAGCCTTTTGCAGCCGACCTAGTGATGGTATTATTATGATATTATTATGAAGACAGTCAGCTCCTATAACCACAACACCAAGACAACGGCCACGAACATATATGCTCTTCTCTAGGCATCTTGCATTCGATACATCTCTTGATGCAATAATTGTCGAGCATACATACAACAAAAGGTGTTCCAGGCCCGTTCACCACACGCTGCAAATATACTGTTAGACCAATTTCCGCAGTAAGACGGTCTACGAATAGTCTTCCGGCTTGGCAACTGGATGATCCAGACTTGTTGATGACCTGCGTGTTTGGATTGCGAAGGGAAAAGATCTGTTTAAGCGTGATGGGGAGACCGTATTGCAAACATGGCGGCGATGGGATCTCATTCCTGGGCAAAAGTATGCAAGGAAGCTTAGACATAGGCAGAACCATCGCCAGTTCTTCTTCCGTCTATAAGCGACATGGTGATGACGATCAATCGCAGCAGTTGATGGGCAAGGAAATACTAACAATTATAGGGTTTGCGTCACTCCATCGAGGGTGAAGCTCTTTCGGAACGCCTCTGAAGGCGTGTATGATAAATTTTAGTAGAGAAAGACGGTGTCGTAGATATTCTTCAACTGTCCTCTACAGAAAGCGCTGGAGTGATGATTTCGGGAATGAACAGGATCGCCATACTGATGACAGATATCCAAGTGATGGCGCCTGAAGAGGAGAGTGATGAAGTTGCCAATGTGCTCAGACTTTGGTCCCCAAGGTTCGACATGTGCCACCATTTAGCGAAGTTTGGCGGAGCTTTGCCATCCTCGTCTTTGATTGAGGGTGCGTCCGATATGCTCCGGTAGAGAATATTGAGTAGTAAATGCCTTTCCACGCTGTCCTCGACGAGAGGCGCTGGAGTGTAGTGATGTTGGAATTTAAGAGGCTTGATGAGTATGGATTTCTGTGCCGAAGAAGGAGCGATTGAGCTGGGTACTTACACTGTACTCATTGCTCAGCACTCAAACCTTGAAGTCTCCTCATGACGTCGACGTTCAGCGTACATGGCAAATTTGATGCATGGTCATCCCGTGTCAACTGTGCGGATAACCATAAATCACCCTACTGCACCGCGGGTACCACCGCGTATAGACCTTGTTCTAGTATAAAGCCGCTGCGGTACTCTTGATTTGTTTCTATCCTACTCAGAGCAAGTGAAATATGACATCATGGATTTCCTCAAGAAGACCTGAATGATATGCCTTCTTGTCTTGGGCAATCTTTGAGAACGTTGGCACAGAACGGCGGGTTTTGAGTACCTGTCAATTGTTACAATATTGTGAGCCCATCTTCAGAAAACAGTGCAAATAAACTCTCGCCAAAAAGCCTTCATCGTCCTTGGACACTCGCTGTGCTCAGTAACGTGTTCCTGTTGAACGTGTGAATGAGTCGCGCACCAGGCAGTCGTCCGCTACCAAGAGATCAGAGTTCAAAGCTGTATGAGGCTCGGGCACGATACCACTGGCGGTAGTGTTGACGACGGAGTCTTAGGGAAAGTAGACAGCGGTCAAAGAAGATTAGGCGGACAGTTGAAGTAAGCGATACAGATTACAGACCCAGCCTCGCGGCGGTGTGTCCGGCCACTGCGACGAGTTTCAACTCCATGGCTTCAAAATTCCCATGCTACTCTGGTCCCTGACTGAGACCTGAGCATCTCCCTACCTGGTGTTCATGCATATAGAGAGTGCATGTGAAGATTTGAAGGCCCAAGGGCAGCCGTCCAGCACATTAGGACTTTCTGAAAGTGTGTAGAACAACTATATTCTGCGCACTAGGGTTAGCAATGGAGACTACCTCTGTTACAACGTCTTTCTCGATCACCCTGCTCAAACTCTGCTCAAGCGTTCGCATGCCTTTCACCTCCCGGAAGCTTGGCACACGTGGCTACCTTCAGATGTAGCGGCGGGGTACTCAATAGGTAAAGTAGAATCGAATGTCAAACTCTGCCACAATGAATCTTACAAGCTTCGACGAGCTTCAGTACTAACTCGGCTGCCCCCTACCACCCCGTCCAGCATTGCCTCACCAGGCACGCAGGTAGTGGGCCATGCAGTGATCACGTTGTAATGAAGGAATGGAAAGGGCAAATCATCGGAAAACTGATCAACGGTACTGCCACTCGTAGTATGCTGTAGCAATGTACCACAGCGGCAGAACCTGAGGATCCACTCCGAGAGCTTTCTGCATGCGTCCTAGAATTGGTTAGATCATTGACCAACGTGAGTTACTACAATCACCACACCGTAAGCAACGCAACGCACGAATGTGTTCTTTCTTAGGCATCTCCTCGCGTTGATATAAAGCCTTGACAATATAATTATCGAGGAGGCACAGAATGAAAAGGGTGTCAGGTGCATTCAACACGCGCTCCAGATATACTGGTAGCCCGATTTCCTCAGTGAAACAGTCTGCAACCAGTTGCTCGGCTTTGTTGCTGAGCTGTCCATGGTCGGCAAAGATTTGCACATTTGGATCACGCGACTGAACAAAAGAAGTGATCTGCTCAAGCGTCATAGGGAGGCCGTAGTGCAGATAAGGCGGTAACGCCATGGCATCCTGTGGCAAAAGTGCGTTAGGAAGCTTGGACAGAGGCGGGACCTTTGCCACTTCTTCCCTGGTCTAAGAAAGGCAGAGATGATGAGTCGCAACCGTCGATGATGGAAGAGACACTGGCGTGTATGGGGTCTGAGTCACTCCATCGAGGTTGTATCTCCTTCGGGACCTCTCTGAACGCGTGTACGATGTGCTTCGGTAGAGAGATCGACGGGGTCGCAGATGCCTTTTGAACATGCTCGACCTGAAGTGCTGGAGTGATGGTGATGTCGGGGTTGGGGAGGGTCTTCATATTGATGATGCGTAGTATGATGGCTTCAGCAACTGAGCAAGAGCGGTTCGAACTTCGAAGTTCTTATAGAGTTCGTCTAGGTTCACGTGATTTTTGAACATAACAAAATAGGACTGAATTGACATGTGTTGCTACCGCTTGCCATCTTTGCCATCGTCATTATCGATAGTTATCGATCCGTCTTGTTTGCTGCTGCTCAGTTAGCAGATCATCAATTCTCAGATCTCGATGTGCTGGGCAACGACGCAATGGTACACGAGGCGATGTTATATGCTGTCTCGCAGTGGGTGAGCTTCATTGTTGGACATATGGGCAGTTAAAGACACATGAACAGTCAAGTTTCAACACGGCATTGATCATGCCAATGAAATTGGTTTGGATCATTGCAGTAGCCGACAAGCCTATGCTTTTCGGGAAAGAGCCATCTTTGTTACGGCTCAGCTTAGTACGTCCATCTTTTGCCGCTGCTTATCATTCGAGCAGCAGCCAGCTTCTCCACCGGCACTGGTCAAAATTGGCAGTGACTGGTGGCTGTTTGAGAATTAGCCATCTTTACTATGGCGCAAGTTACGTACTCCCTTTGTCTCAGAAGATTGCAAGCGCAGCTTTATCAGATGTGCCAAGGATACCTTTATGTCATGGATGGCAATGGCTTCGAGCCCGGCTCAGCACTCTATAGGTGGCACTGGAGAGCAGTCGCTGTATATAATGGTTGGACTTTATAGAACACTGAGACATCATCTCCACTCCTGACAACATGGCGGGTCTGCTTGCTCAAGTCGATATCCCTGCCTTCTCCATCCTGTGGGTGTCAATTATTTCTCATCAGGTTGCATTCAGTTATTGGAAGCCTTGGATCCCGAATGTTAGCATGAATTCTAACGCTGATCGTGCTTCCCTCTTAGTGACATGCCGTTGAATGCACCCGCGCCATCTACTATTGTGACCAGGCAAGACCATATCAAGGACCTTCACACTCTCATAAGTTTTATCAAAGGCATCCACCATCGCACCAATACCATTCCAGAGTGGCCATGGTATGCGTTCTATGGCGACGTTCTGAGGCACTTCAGTTTGTCTTTACCCCTCACGCGCGGCACCCAGAAGCGATTGCTCTCCCTGATCCCTCAAGGCAGAGTCAAGCGCAGAACATATCGCTCTCGTGCGTTGAACCTTCATATTCTCGTGCAAGGGAAACAGCTGATCTTATATATCGGCCAGACCCTAATACGGAACAATGGAGCATAGCTGCCGACTGGGATCCCGACAAAAGCTTCGTCGCTGATAGTGCGTCAGTTGTTCCAGCGACCAACATCAGCCATGATAGCACCAATAAGGCTGCTGCTACGAATGACCCTATCAGCCATATCGCCGGCGATCCAACACTAGCTGCTCCAATCGTACACATTCCCATTATGAACGAGCACGACGGCTCTCAGATCGTTACAGACAGCCAAAAAGGAGATAGGCAGCGCTTTAACTTTGATGTAGCCTTGCTCGAGGACGAACAGGCCTTCCGTCGACAACTTGAAGAAGCTATAGCGCATGAAGAAGTTGCCGCACTGTCCTCCCCGCGCCAAGGGCCGTCTTCGGCCCCTCGTCAACCGTTGGCCTCCGACGACTCCACACCTCTACTCCCTCTTCCACCTGGAAACATCTTGTCTGCTGCTTTGTCCACCAATATCTCACCTGGGTGGGTCGAGTCCTTGCCTTCATCTGCGTCAGAAATGGAACGCGGGGTTTCAGCATTGGCCAACGCCTCTGCATTCCCCATCGAGTCTGCCTTTGACGATCATTCAGCCGAAATTTCTGCCACGGCTTCATCCGAACCTGATCACGGCCTCGTATCTGCTAGAACATCCCGATTAGACGACGAACATGAAGGTTTATCCATTGCAGAGCAAGGTCAATCAGTGTTATCGATTTCGGTCAATCTAGGGCATATTCCACGCACTCAAAACCGACCGCGTAATCCTGAAAAAATGGTCGTCGAATATGAAGAACGTATCCCCGACTTCATGATATTTTCGCAACCCAAGGCCGAGGGCACATACTCAACAGTCAACGCAATTCCTTCCTCCGTCGGTCACCCTATCCTGATAGTGGAGATCAAACCTCTTCGACTGGGAGGCTCGTTGCAAGATGTTATAGCGACGATGAACCACGCGTCGGCGACGAGGCAGACCTCAGTCCAAGCTTGTCTCGGTTTAGACGAGTACAAATTGGATGCGATTACAGTTATGACAGCCGTAGGGCTTTATGTACGGTTCGAAGAGTACCGCCGTGAGGATGTGGCCTCTTTCCTTCGGCGTGCTATCCCACTGGAGGGGGCCCCTCCATCACGATACGCCCGGCCATCCTCGTCAAGTGAGGTCATGTATATTTTCAACGACGACATGAGCGACTATTCGCCTGGGGTCTTGGAGCGTTGGAGAGAGGCACTGCAACTTGCGTAGCAGTTTGAAGTTCGATCCAACTGTAGTAATAATTCAACGCCTTTCTCACTTTATTTGTGGCATGTCTTCCCATTGACAAGCTACAACTACCTGATCATCAATTCAATAATGCCAGCCCATCTCCGGACAGTAACACCAGCATGGAGTCGACTATGGGATCGTCCTTCGCCATGCTCAATGGTGTGTTCCCATCAAATGCGCGCATGAGACGTGCGTCGAGCAGCCGCCTGCCACCAGGCAATGGGGTTAGCTGGATAAGCAGGGCGAACTCGAATAGTATAAGGAGAGAAATTCATACCGCAGCTGTTGCACGAGGATCCCGATGCGTGGCCAGGCGCGGAGCTTAATCGTCCCCTCACGTCCGCCGATGACCAGTCCACCGCCGATGTGGTTGACCGCAATGTTCCCGCCGAAAAGCAATAACGCGTAGAGAGGTACCTTAGCGATATCGTCATCACACCATATGGTTGCGAAAGACAAAACAAAAGGGGGAGGAAGGAGCAAGAAGACATACCTCGGTAACATCCCGGAGAAAGACGCGGCCCGTCGCAACGCGGAGGAAGGAGACGACGATCCCGCTTCGCCACGAGTGCTCGCTGAACAGCACGCTCGCGGGGTGGATCCACACGCGCTCTCCGCGCATGTCAACTGCCTTAAACTCCTTCGCTGTGTTCTCCCGGGGGACGGTCCCTGCTGCGACCTGATCAAATTTGACTGCGCCTTTGGGGAGCGAGATGCGTGAGACGCGCGGGTAGAATGCGGCGAGAAGGATCGCTTTTAGCACAGAGGGCGCGCCGCTGTGAAGATTAAGCGCAGGCGTATCGGGCATGGAGGCGGCTGGGACGAGGGAGAGCGAGGTGAGGGAATTGAAGAGTTCGTGTCGGAGGGCGGTGATGTCGCGAATAGTGGAGTAGGAGATGAAGTTCTGATGGAAGTAATACCGGTAAGAAAGAGTTTCAGTGGACAATTGATGTGATTATACGGACCTGCTCGCAGAAAGTCTTGATAGCGCTGGACGGCTGTCCTTCAGAGCGAAGACGCATACACTCATCATATGCATGAACGTCAGTCAGGATATCGCTCTTTTCTAAAGCGAATCGAGCACGAGCCCTGAAAGGGACGTAAGATAGTATTCGGAGTAGAATGCGAATATTATTTACTGGTTGGCTTCATCGCGCTTGTCCATAGGGCTGATGAAGACGGGCTTCGATGATAGACATGCTGCAATGGTAAGGATGGGCCCCAAACACTGAAATATGGTGCCAAGGATCAACATCTATGAATAGTATGTCAGTGCATGTGTCTTAGAGATCACGGATAAGCCAACTTTTCCGAGCCTCAGATCAAGGGGTATGGTTGCCTACAGCCATTGAGCACGAGGGAGGAGTGAGTAGTAAGGAAATCGCACCATATGTCTTCCAAGAGCCGTCAGTTCTCCTTCTTGATCAATTGCTCCAAGCTCTTTGAGAATTTGCCATGCGTTGTCCAAAGCGGCGACATCAGGGGGGTCTATTGCGCGCCTTAAGAATACCTATATATATATATATATATATATATATATTGTAAATTCGTCAATATACTAGCGATGCTTGTATAAGCTCAAGTGCATCACCTTCACGTCCTGTTTTTCCCGTGTTGCCTTCACCGTCAACGAGATGCTCTCAAGGGGCACGCGCAATATCTCAGGCCTCGGATAACGTGCCATCTTCTGTTCTTGAGCGCGTGTGTACAGCTTGTAACATATGCCAGGTTGCGTTCGCCCTGCACGACCACGTCGTTGTCTAGCCGCAGCACGAGTGACCCATGTCTCGACGAGTTTCGTCAATCCGCTGTCGGTGTCGTATCGCGTTTCTTTAACCTTTCCAACGTCGACGACATAGATGATGTCATCGATGGTGATGGACGTCTGAAGGGCAAGTTAGTTGAGGCAGGACGAATGAGATCAACAGGACATTGTCAGACCTCGGCCACGTTGGTTGCAACAACGACCTTCCATTTGGAAGTCGAGACGAAGACTGTGCGCTGTTCATTGCTGGAAAGATTCGCATGCAGAGGAAGGATCACGACGTTCGCGTTGGACAAAGTTGATTTCAACCTCTCAATGCATTGTCGGATCTCTTGAACTCCTGGAAGGAAAATGAGGATGCCGCCCTTCTTCTGAGCACTCGACATGATGTGGTCGATTACTGCAGTTATAAGCTAGTCGCGCGGTTAGCCAGATTACGGCTGACGTAGTGACTGCCCACATACTTGATAGTCGATGTTGTCTGAGCGAGATATGGCCTGGACAGCGGCAGCAGTTTGTTCATCTAGTCCATCCAGCTTGTACTGATTGCGCTCCATGCGCTCCTCGTCTTCGTCTTGTTTCTGACCTCGTTTCGACGATGAGGGACGGTACCTGATCAAAGGTAGAACATCCTCGAGATACCTAGAAAATGATGCATATTTGAGGACCCAAACCCCCAAAATGGTAAGGCAAAGCTGACTTGTCCGTGACAGGATGCGCGAAACCTGGGATGCTCAAGAGCGGAGCACCGTTGAAATATTGCACGAAAGTCTCATGATTAATCGTGGCGGACATTAGAATGATCTTGATTGTCGGATTATGATGCAATAGTTCCTTGAGCTCTAGTAGTAAAAAATCTCCATCCACCGATCGCTCGTGGACCTACCGTATGCTGATGAAAATTGCCATGTTTGACACCAGAATCAAATACATACCTCGTCGACAATGACGTGCGTGACATCCTTCAGACCATCACCAGAGCCGAGTCTTCTTAGAACAACCCCCGTAGTACAAAACAAAAGTTTTGTTTTTTCCGATTGTTTGCTTTCTCCGCGTATTGTGTAACCAACCGAACCATCGTCAACACGTTCTGTTGAGACACGTGCAGCAACAGATATGGCAGATATTCTCCGAGGTTGTGTCACCAGAATATTGGCAGTCGATCCTTGACCCTCCAGGATTAGAGCATCTAAAATGAACTGTGGTACTGGAGACAAAATTCAATAGACAACGATCAGGAATCAATTTTGTCACCTACACTGAGTCGTTTTCCCGGAACCTGCAGAACTGAATCAAATACTGTGACCGAAGGGTCCGACATTAAGATACGTACCGGTTTCGCCGACAACAATGACGACTCTAGAATTCTGGAGTAAACCTAAGAACTCTTCTTTCGCAGTATAAGCGGGAAGCTTCTTGCGAAGAGCATATAAGTCCGTGTATGCCTTTTGTTTACGCATGAGTTCAAACTCTTGTAAAATTTGATGGTCTGTTCGTTGCTCTTTTCGTCGCTGCCCTCCCCTTTTACCTGCCCTTCGCTTAGCCTCTACCGCCTCGGTCTGAGGGGGAGATTCGTCATCGAGAGGAAGGAACAGTGTGGATTTTGGCATGAGGTGCTGGAGAACAATCGATATATCTGGAGGCCCCTGATCTTCGACGTGTCCCCATTGCTCCTCCAGCACTTGCATCACACCTAAGCAGACACCTTCACCTGTGTTCTGTATGAACCCACTCTCGAAGGCTTCGTGCAGCTGTGACAGGAGGTGAAGCCGGACATAAGCAGGAACGGAATTGGAGGTGAGATATATTGGCGGCGGGTGAGTGGACTTATTGTAGGAATATGTCGGGGGAATGACGAAATGAACCTGAATAGGCGCCACGAAAAGCGGCATCGTGAGAGTTGAATCATCGTCGTAACTAGCCCCGATGGCTTCGGCTTCCTCTGTACTTATCGGCTCCGCTTCTATGATGTCCAGGTGTTCTTCAAATACAGTGAGCCAATCCTTTCCAACAAGGTAATGATTCAGAGCAGTGACTAAAAGCGCCCAATCTTCGATGAGCCGTGCATCTTCTAGACATTCACGTACGACGTGTGCGGGGAATCCTGCTTGTTTGGTGGCGCGTTCCTCTATCCAACGTCTCTTCAGGTCGTCTGAACCTCCGTGTGTAGCCGTGATGAACGGGTTAGAAGAGTTGACTGCAGGAAGGAAGCGCTGTGGGAGGTCACATTCCGGGACATGTAATATTAGATACTCGATGCACGCTTCGAGAGGATTAGCAGAATGTAGAAGTTTTGACGCGAGAGGGGATGGCTGCGAAAGGAAAGCGACAGCATTTCGAGCTTGCGCTATTTTAAAGCCAAGCTGTCCAAGCTGTCCAAGCAATTCGGGAGAATGAGTCTCTGTGAGCACGAGTGGTGCAGCATCCTCCGCTTCAGGGTAGAGGGCGATCGTCTATGGAGGCAAATATCAATAGCCTTTCAACGGACTCACTATCGCCAAACCTTTTTGATAGCATCTTCAACTAATTCACGAAGTTCTGTCGCCATCTTCACTTCTGGTGCGTTCAAAAATTCTTTGGATACTTTCAAGGTGCTTCCACCTCCCGCATTTTGACCTTGCTGACTTTCATCCCTCCTCTTCGAAGCTTTCTCTTGCCGTTCAGTTACGGCCTTGCGAGCGGCAAAAGGATCTGATTCATACATCCATTTTTGATGCTCTTCCACGTTCTTGTGTTCAGCAGCCAGCTCGTTCCAGTATTCACGTGGACCTGGAGGGAGAATGCGGTTCAACTGGATCCCGTTGCAGAACTGGAGTATATTATCAATGGAATATAGGAGTTATTACTGATGGACAGATGCAGACGAACTCGATAGAGAGCGTAAGTAGCACCCCAATGCTGCGCTTCTTGGACTGTAGGACGAACATATGGAGGATGAGGTTCTAATCGGACAGTCTCTCGATCTCCATCAAAGCCTCTTTTGTGGACAAGGCGTATGAGAACAACCACGAATGACCACCCATTTCCATGCTTGCGCTGTGCGAGGATAGACTTAAGATCATTGCCAGGAAATATGGGTCGTGCACTCACAGTCTCAATGACAGGCTTTTCCCAGCTGTTTTTTTTGCATCTAGTACAAGATATATGAGATCTGAGATACAATCGATGCAGATCGCGCTGACGTGAAGACGCATGAACGTCGAAGCTCACGGCTGGCGTCTGCGAACATACGAAAATGATTATCACCTCTCGTGGAGCAAACTTAACGGCGTCTTGGCGTTGGGAGGAAACAAAGACTTTGGGGCGGCTGAAGTGGATTGCTGCTCGCTATTGGGCTTAGGCTTGGAAGAATTTCCCGCATTTCCAGACTTTACAACGGGTCGTGGGCGCGATGGAGGCGGTGGCATCACCGGTGCCGTGTTTAGGTCACTCGTTCCAGAAAGCTGCGACAAAGGTAATCGCGAGAAGGGCTGACTCATCACGTTCACGGACTCTCGCAGCCGCCTGGACCACTGCCTCATCTGAGCATGGCGGAAGACGACCTCTATAACCTCGAATTTCTCTCTCTTGTCTCCAAAATCACACAGGAAATCGACAACCATATCGGACTCAACGACAAGACCCTTGCCGAGTTCGTCATAGAGCTACACGACCACTCCAAAACTCAAGTCGAATTCAAACAAAAGCTCAAGGATGCGGGGGCCGATTTCCCCGAGTCGTTCATCGAGAACATGGACCGTCTCATCCTCACGCTCCATCCCAAGCACAAGAAAAAGTCGGCCAAATCCAATGGCAAGGCGAAGGCCAACGGAGATGTGGAGCTGTCAGAGCAGGACAAGCAGAAGCGTCTCTTTCCTGGCCTTGCTCTCGCAGATCAAACGTGGCAACCCGCGTTCACGAAGGATGATTTAATGAAGGAGGTTGACAATATGATGTCTCAGTTTGAGACTACAGCGAAGAGACCACGATCACCCCCACGCCGCGACGAACCATCACCGAAACGTCGTCGCCATTCTCCGTCACCGCCTTCCCGTCGCAGTCCAAGTCCTCCGAGAGGGCGAGGGAACGATCGAAGAGATGATAGAAGGGGCAGGAATGGTCGGGAGAGGAAGGTATTGGACGAGAAGCCGGTGTTATACAAGATATATGACGGCAAAGTTTCAGGCTTGAAAGATTTTGGAGCGTTCGTTCAGCTCGAAGGCCTAGCTGCAAGGGCAGAAGGTACGTCTTGATATTTCTCAGTGCCCAGTTCTGTTTTCATGAGCATCTAGGCTTGGTGCATATCTCCAGTATACAAACCGGAGCTAGAGCGAATTCAGCTTCCGATCTTCTCACCCGTGGCCAGCAAGTCAAGGTCAAAGTCATGAGTGTCGCTGGTAATCGGATAGGACTCTCCATAAAGGACGTGGATCAAAAGACTGGACGCGATTTAACACCACACCTTCGAATCAAATCCGAGGCCGAACTTATCGAAGAGGAGCGTCAACGTGCCAGTCTCGCGTCATCCGGTGCGAATGCCGTCCCGTTGAACATGAAAGATGAGCCTGTTCGGTCTGCTAAACGCCTGACCTCTCCGGAGCGCTGGGAGATAAAGCAACTCATCTCGTCCGGTATCGTCGACGCATCAGAATATCCAGAGCTCGACGAGGACTTCACCAATCCTGTCATGCGTGCAGAAGTCGAGGAAGAATTGGATGTTGAGGTCAGAGAAGACGAGCCTTCCTTCTTGCGCGGTCAGACCAAGCGGACGCTTGATCTTAGCCCTGTCAAGATTGTCAAAGCACCTGATGGGTCACTCAATCGAGCAGCAGTCGCTGGAGCCTCACTTGCCAAAGAGCGCCGCGAGCTACGGCAGCAAGAGGCGAACGAACAGGCTGACTCGGAAGCACGAGATTTCAGTGCTCCTTGGCTAGACCCTATGGCGAAGGAGGCGGACAGAGTGTTTGCGCAGGACCTGCGGAGCAATTTGAGAGACCAAAAGGCTGCAGATGGCCAAGGATGGAAGGCCTCGGCATTCAATAAATCCACAACATTTGGAGAGATCACCTCCTTGAGTATCCAGGACCAGAGGAAATCACTTCCAATTTACAAGTTGCGTGACCCTCTCCTGCAGGCAATTCGAGACGTACGTCCATCGACTTTTAAATCCAACACCTTGCTCATCTCCTTTTAGCATCCGGTATTGATCGTTGTCGGCGACACTGGATCCGGGAAGACCACCCAAATGACGCAATACCTTGCGGAAGACGGTTTTGCCGATCGGGGCAAGATTGGATGTACACAACCTCGTCGTGTGGCAGCTATGTCCGTCGCGAAGCGTGTCGCAGAAGAGGTTGGCTGTCGCCTCGGCCAAGAGGTTGGGTATACCATCCGTTTTGAGGACTGCACCGGTCCTGAAACTCGGATCAAGTACATGACGGATGGTATGTTGCAGCGTGAGTGCTTGATAGATCCGGACGTCAGTCAATATTCTGTCATCATGTTGGATGAAGCCCACGAGCGGACTATCTCTACTGATGTCCTATTCGGCTTGCTGAAGAGTAAGCTCACCCTGCCTGCTCTATCTGAAAGTACACTGTTAATATTATCTTCTAGAGGCTATCAAGCGCCGACCCGACCTGAAACTCATCGTTACTTCTGCGACTCTTGATGCCGAGAAGTTCTCGAAGTACTTCTTCGGTTGCCCCATCTTCACTATCCCTGGTCGAACATATCCTGTCGAAATTCTCTACACGAAAGAGCCCGAGACGGATTATCTTGACGCTTCGCTTATCACCATCATGCAAATCCACTTGGCCGAACCTCCTGGCGATGTTTTACTTTTTCTGACAGGTCAAGAGGAAATCGACACGGCTTGCGAGATTCTCTACGAACGAATGAAGGCGCTAGGGCCTAAAGTGCCCGAACTCCTCATTCTTCCTATCTACTCCGCCCTTCCGTCAGAGGTCCAGTCCCGAGTTTTCGAGCCCACGCCGCCTGGAGCACGTAAGGTGGTTATCGCAACCAACGTGGCCGAGACGAGTTTGACAATTCCGGGCATCTACTACGTCGTTGATCCTGGATTCTCCAAGCAGAACGCGTACGACCCGAGACTCGGTATGGATTCGCTCGTCGTCATGCCCATCTCGCAGGCTCAGGCACGTCAGCGATCTGGACGTGCTGGACGCACGGGCCCGGGGAAGTGCTATCGTCTATACACCGAGGCCGCGTACCGGAACGAGATGATGCCCAACTCCATCCCAGATATCCAGCGGACAAACTTGGCGCACACGATATTGATGCTGAAGGCCATGGGCGTCAATGACCTGCTGAGCTTCGACTTTATGGACCCTCCACCGGCGCAGACCATGTTGACCGCTCTTGAATCGTTGTATGCGCTCTCGGCGCTCGATGACGAGGGACTTCTCACGCGTCTTGGGCGCAAAATGGCCGACTTCCCGATGGAGCCGCCACAGGCCAAGATGCTGATCGCGTCCGTCGAACTTGGATGTTCGGAGGAAATCTTGTCTATTGTGGCCATGCTCTCTGTGCAGAGCGTGTTTTATAGACCGAAGGAGAAGCAAGGGCAGGCAGATTCAAAGAAGGCGAAGTTCCATCAACCGGAGGGGGACCATCTGACGCTGCTGGCGGTCTATAACGGGTGGAAGGCGAGCAATTTCTCGAACCCGTGGTGTTACGAGAACTTTATACAGGCGAGGAGCATGCGGAGAGCTCAGGATGTCAGGAAACAGTTGTTGGGTATCATGGACCGGTATGTCACAGTCGTACAGGAGTACCTTGGGCAACGCTAACCTCTTTATTTCAGATACAAGCACGACATACTGTCTGCTGGAAAGGATTACAACCGCGTCCGCCGCGCCATCTGCTCAGGGTTCTTCCGAAACGCGGCAAAGAAGGACCCGCAAGAGGGATACAAAACGCTCGTTGAAGGCACCCCCGTCTACATCCATCCCTCATCAGCGTTGTTCAACCGAAATCCAGAGTGGTGCATATACCACGAGTTGATTCTCACGACGCGCGAGTACTGTCACAACGTGATGGCGATCGAGCCCAAGTGGCTCGTCGAGGTGGCGCCCCAGTTCTTCAAAGTGGCCGATGTCAATAAGATTAGTAAACGCAAGAGGCAGGAGAAGATCGAGCCTCTCTTCAACAAGGTATGTCAAATCCATGGATTAATGGAGCATGGACTGACGTATGCCTATAGTACGAGAAACCGGACGAGTGGCGGTTGTCAAAGGTCAAACGGAGTGCGAGGTCGAGTCAGACGTTCGGTTGAGGACTTTCAGATATCAGTGTACGGCTGTGCGATTGTATTCTATGTGTTTCAATTCCTATCTATTGCCCTGAATTCTAAACGATTGACGGCTTCCGCCTCACTGTCTTGCATTTGATACGAAAAGATGCTACAGATGAGTCCGGTCTGTCCTTGGCCCCTCCTGATAAGAATTCTGGTGGTGCACGATATACCCTGCTCGTCGAATAGTCCACCTTGCATCGCGAATGAGCAACTCGATGCAGATGATCGCGTTATGTGTTAACGTATCTTGACGTCCAGATGAATGTCTGATCTGTTTCGAGAGTTCAGAACGGCGCTCGGTGAAAATTGAAGCTACACACACCATTTCGGGGGTTTGTTGTATAAACCAGGACGTCTGCTCATCCGACGAATCGCATCGAGTCTGCGTTGATATAGTATTTCGCGACCTCGCCCGCTTTGGTAACGGCAGTCGCGTCGGGAACCAGCATGAACGTCTGCGCGAACACACGCGGGTGTCCCTCGATCGTTTTATTCGGGACGTTCGGGGGGTTGGCGGAGGGGCCGCCGCCGTGTATGACGGTCCCGGACACCGTCACGAGGAGCGAAGGCGGCTGGCTGCCTGCACAGTCCGTAGGTTCTCCGTCTCAGAAAAACAACAGGCGCGCTGCGAACGATCCAAGGACGACGCACCGGGTATGGGATGGCAGTCGAACGACTGCACGACGTGTTTCGTCTTTGGCATGTTGCTGACGAGCTCACGCATGCCCTGCGCGCCCTCATACGGCGTCCCGTTCCAGGTTGTGGCCGAGTTCGGGCGGTAGAAGTTGGGTATGTCGTCCGCGCGAGTGGGGGAGTCGTAGGCGCTATAGTAGAGGCGCTGGAAGTGGTCGGCGGCGCGCGCTGCGATTTCGATGCTTGGGATGACGTCTGAGTGCATGTGAGAGGTAAATCTGGAGTAGAAAGTGCTTACTCTTCCTTCGTGAGGGTGGCCATGGCCGTTTGACTGAAGCGTTGTAGAGACAAACGCTGGGAAGCTCTGGTCTTTGTTATCTAATCTCACATGATCGATGACATGCGCGCAACGCGACGCGACTTTCATCACCCTCCTCAATGCCTCATAGCGAGCCGTTATTTTATGTTGGGGTTCTTTTGATGATCTCCAACAATTTCGATTCACGAAAATGCGAATGGAAGAAATTTTGTTGATTGTAACCACTCCGAAAATTATGCTCGAGTGAACAGAAGAAAAAAAAACGTCGTGTCGAACATGCGTAGCAAAACGTGCAACAGACCGGAAGAGAAAGTCTAGATATGAGCGGGAACGGAAGTATGTATGTACGAACTGTCAGCGTCGACGATGTCGAGACACTGACAAGTGTGGGATAACATGATGAGATCGGTTCGATGCGCGCTGCGCACAACATCCGCGCATCGGCAACGAGTTTTGGGGAAGAGAAAAATGGTGGAGGGTGAATGGCGGAAGGGAGAGGATAACGAGGGCGAAAAGATGAGAGCCATCATGGAGGGTACCGTAGCGACCTGTTGCATGTATTGAGTCGCGTACGTGAGGTATGCGTACAATGGAGGCCATGGGATACTGCTATAACGAGATACCTCGGTCAGTGAGAGATGTACAATGGGTGCTGGTGTGAAGGCGGTGAGGGGTGAGTGAGACAAGTCGGGGAGGATGACGGCTGCGATAGACAGGTCATATGGATGATGCAGAAGACGACCGCAAGGCAAAGCGTGTATGTGAGATTGCGAGCTGGATTGGACGGATGGATGGGTAAGATTGGGGCAGATAGATCGACAAAACGTGTTTATGGGAATGAGATGGTGGACAGATCCGTCATGGGAGGGGTAATAGTGGGAGGAGAAAGGGAAGAGGAGGTCATATATAACCATCGCGAGCGGTCTCGTCGACTCGAATAGATGAGGGTAGATGCAGTGGTAGAAAAAGGAGGGAGACCGACCCTGAAGACACTAACGTACACTCAAATAAAGTTAGAGAGAAAGAGAACACAGAAGGGGAACGAGTATGTGGTGATTGATCCCGAAAAACGTCCGTGCAAAATCGAGAATCAATGACAGGAGATGAAGGGAAGGGAAGGAGATTCTGAGACACAGGATGGAAAAACACAAATGAGAAGTGGAATAAGCGTTAGCGATAGAATAGAGAATCACGATTCGTATTTGTTGTTGAAGGTGAGATTGGCGAGAGGGAAATCCAACGAGTGATTGAACGAGAAGTTGTTGGGCTATATGCGTGTGAGCACGTGAACGCATAGACACCTCGTGCCCTGTCTCGTCTCGCGTCGGTCCTCTCCTCTAACCATCACTGCCCTCCCAAGAAAGAAAAAGCATCAGTCCATGTCCTGATTGACACATGAAAAACACAACTCACCCTCATCATGCGCGCTCCAACCTTCTAGATTATTTACACGCGCGCGTACACCCACACCCACACCCACACCCACACCCACACCCACACCCACACCACACCACCCGCATATAATCACCATAACTCTACCCCACCCATCCGACAGCCTCAACCCCACTCATCATGCCAAATCCTATCCCACCCACAGCCCCTGGTGTAGCTGGAGTCTCGACAACGAATCCAACCTCTCCCAGCGCGCTCGGCCGAGGGTGTACGGCTGGCGGTGTGCTCTGCGCGAAGCACCATTGACGGAGAAACGCGGCATACATTGAATCGGAAGTATTCACGGCTGAGGGGTCGAGTGCGAGCTGAGACTGACTCGTATTAGGGGAGATGTTAGGGGAGCGTGTGGGAGAACGTATGGGCGAGGTACGCTCCGGGCTACCAAGATAGGAATGATTGTTGGTTGATGGTGGAGAAGGAGTAGGCGGGGTTACATTCAGCGACAGCTGGGGTCGTGCAGGCCGCGAACTCGACCCATCAAATGACTGAGGGCTATGCGCATCCGCGTTAAACCTGGCGGCCATCTCACCATCTTCTTTCACACTGCTCGTCTTCATACTGTCCTCCTGGCTCGCTTGCTCTTGCGCCGCGAAGAGGAAGCCTAGGTCAATGCTCTCCCGCTCTACCGACGGCGACTGCACAATCTCCTCTTCAGGGGACTCTATCGCCGTGGCCGGATGGCCATGAATAAGCATTCTCCCCTTCACCGTTGACCCAGTCGCCACCGGCGGCACCACGCGCGCACCAAACGTAGCCGAGAATATCGAGGCCGATGTCAGGTGAGAGTTCAAAGAGTTTGACCCTGGGACAGCGACGCGCGTGGGTGCCGCATAATGCTTCAGGTTTAGTCGCGTCCCAAATGGCATGGGCATCGACGCTGCGCGGGCAAGTGGAGGCGGGCGCGAGGCAAGAGCTACAGACGCCGTAGACTGGACGAGCGGGGAAGGACTCAAGGTGGATGTTTGCTGTTTCGAGACGGAGAAAGTGCCGCGAGACTCATGCTGAGTGACTTGTGGAGGGGGCGCTGCGGCGCTCATCGTGAACGGTCCAGCACTAGGCAAGGGGACGCTAACACCACGCTTACGCGCACTAGCCGCCGGCGATGAATCTGATGCGGCTGAAGATGGACGCGACCGGAAGCCGACGCGATAGTTGGCGCCGGAGTTGTTATCCCACCACTCGCCTTGCCCCGGGACAGTATAGCGCGCTACGAGGAAAAGTGTGCGCTCTAACAGACGCGCTTCGTAATCCTCAAGCCGAATGGTGAAAGTGAAGCGGTCCCAAGGGTCGGCAGGACCGGCGGCGAGCGCCCCAACAAGATCGCCGACGGTGCCCGTTGCTGATATACCAGCCAAGGCCTCGCTATGCGTGACGCCGCCAGCGTAGGTTCCGATTACCTCGGAGACGGTCGTCCAGTTGTCAAGCGTGAAACGCACACCAACCTGCTTCTCAAAGGAGATGTTGCGCACGAGAGCGGTCCCGCGCAGAATTGGCGGGCGTGAGGGAGGTAGGGAAATGGACTCGAGGTGTATGTTGGCATACAGGTCGGGTGAGGGTGCAGGAATAGCAGAAGTGCGGGCGAGGTCTGAATCGATTTCTGCAAGAGGAGCGTGTGAAAGAGAGGAAGGAAGGCGAGGGAAGGGAAATGCGGAGTTGGAAGCGTGTTCGGCTTCGGTCTCAGTCTCCGTATCGTCAGGATTGGTGGGGGAGGAGACGGCGGTGGGGCGGCCTGTGCGCCTGAAGAGACGGACAGACACGAGTCCTTCAGCCTGGTCCTTGAAATGGACGTTCTTCGGGACGAGCGCGGGCGTTGCAGGCTCTGATTGGGCGCGTGCATGGCGCGCGCGGGCGTAGTCGTCAGCGATAGATGAGGCGGAGGATGACTTCAAAGAAGACTTGAGAGGTTTGCCAGAGGAGAGGACGACGTGGGAACTGGCACGGTTGAATTTTGGGGCATTCGGAGGGTACAGAGAAGGGGAGGGGAGGGGAGAGGAGGACGGGAAGGGGATAGAGATGCGCGCCGGGAGGTCCTCTTGGACAAGGTCATCCGGGGTGATGAGCGGAGGTGAAGGTGGCGGTGATGGTTCATGGTCATCGTCAGCTGGGATGTGGAAAAGGGATTTTTTCTGCGACTTCCTGCGAGGGAGGGTGGCGAGGGGGGTGAACGCGCCTGGGCCACGCTCATTGGAGAATGTGATGGGGGAGCGCAGCGAGGAGGACGAGGGGGACGGCGACGGCGAGAGGATGTAGGGCATCAAGTGTGTGAAGTACAAGAGGATGGGGTGGGGAGGGCAAGCAAACGAACAGAAAGCCCTGGCCAGATAAGATAATAACAGCCATCCCGACACGTCTTGGATCAGCACCTTGACGTCAGCCATGACACCGCATTTTCCCGCCCCACCCACCATGGTCCATCCTCCTCGATGTCCCTCCCGCCCCGCAGCTTCCCCAACGTCTCTTCCCCACACCCCGCACCAGCCTTCGGATGCATTTACACTCCTCGCTCATTGTCCTCAACGTCCTCCAATTCTCTTCCAGCAGCCCTTATCCCAGCTTTCATGATGCGCCGTCCTCCAGCGGGCGTAGACCACGCCTGGGCCTCGTATCAGACCTAGCTTCCGCTCCATAATACTCCACTCCCTTCGCCGCCGCCCCTTCCCAGCCCTTCCCGCGGTCCGATTCTCTGTTGTCCTTCGCCTGCCGTCCTCAGCATCTTTACGTTTGCATTCTCCTTGTGGTTACACATTATCCTCGACGCGCGCAAAGAATCTAAACGACATAGCCTCGCCACCATACTACGGATAGCCTCAGGGATGCCAACTGCCTACGGCCTTCGCTCCGACCTCCCTCCCCTTCCCAAATTCTTCGCTTCCCCATCACGCCAAAGTTTGACAGGATCAGCCCACGCTCCCATGCTTTCAACCCAATGGGCCTACCTTTGTCCATATCCATCCGAGCGCCCGAGCGTCCGAACCCGCCCATCCGTCCACGCAGATTTGCGCCGCTTCCGCATCTGGAATCTATTTCTTCTTCTCGTCGCGTCTCGAAGCTCGGAGCCATTCATCTCGGCTTTGCATTTCAACACAGACTTCTAATTTGACAGCTTCGGATCGTGCAATTCAGTCTCGGCCCTGAGAGGCGGACAGTGTGCCTAGCGTGGGCGCTTTGGATTACAATGCTGTGTTTGCGAGGACGTCGGGCGCGTTATCCGTGTCGTCGCCGACGTGGGTCGCGATGGCGTCGGCGTGCTTGGTACCGCCCAATCGATCAATGATTGCATTTATTTCTATTCAACCTTCCTTTTCCGCATCTCTCCATTCCATACCCTGCTCGTTGCATGCTGCACACCACGACGTGTCTTCAAGCTCCTCGTCCCCCATCCTCCGGTTTCAGAGAAGAAGAAGGAAAGTCGCGATGCTTGCGCACAATACGGCGTCTCCCGCTCGAGTGCTCTCTCGAGTTCTTTTAATATCTCTCTGGACCGGATGATCCCGACGACTACCCTTCAATCTCCGTACCTGCCGACTAGATCACTCTGGCATGTTCCGAGGTCAACGTCGGTGCCGGATTATCAACCTTCATTGTTGCGGGTTTGGCCGCTCGAGGGTTGCAGGCCACTCGGAGAAACTCGTTAGGGTGACAGAGGCTGACAGTCAGAGTCGGACTGTTGGACCGTGCGTGGAACATGATCGTGACAACCTGAAAGGTCAAAGTCAAAAGTGAATCATTTGCTTCGCCTCTTTGTCTCAGAATTGTCTATGTCCGACTTTCCTGCTAATAGATTTTATAGCCCGACTTAGTGATCGCATCTCGTTTTCGTCCTCGATTGTCAGATAACGCGCAGGGCCCGCCGTAGGGTGAGTTCCAGGTCTGAGAACACGAGAACTACCGTTGATTTTACCGAACAATTAGACTACCGAGAAGCAATCTGAAGGACGGTCTAGCGCTTGCAGCCGAACATGCTCGACGATTAGAGACCTGAGACCTTGCAGCTGGAAGATTGGACAATTGGATATATCGCTCGGAACATCTGCAACCTTCACGACATTATCAATTTCTCGAGCTTCTGGAGATTTGGTTTCTTTGAACAACTTCTCATCATTGCTCGATATTAATTTCGGTCCTCTACCTACAAGGTAAGGACTTGAGGATAGACTTATCACTGCCATTTGCGCGTGTTATGCAATAGGTTTGTATCTTTCTTATGACTATACCATACACTTGTACTCATAATTCCCATAGCCTATTGCTTGGCCCGTAGCATTTGTCGCGGCTAACCACACCATATGTCTTTCGTTCTCTGCTCCGGGCTGCAAGCCCAGAAAGTACCAGATTGCCTCGGTTCCGAATACGCACTGCGCAGACGCTCATTCCAGGGGGCGCTTGCGCCGGCCGCAAATGTCTCAGATTTCAGCAACCCCATTTTTCTGCCCCGTACCTGGTCCTCGAACTTATACAGAAAGCTAAACATCAGTATGTATAGGAGTTAGGAGTGTGCTGATGAATGTGAGACCAACATACAGATCGCTGAAACCCGGCTCCATTCGATCTCACGATGCGCTGTGTCAGGCATACAACGCTTGTTGGCACTCAAAAAGTATCCCATCAACCTCATGCGTTCGAACATTCAAGCTTCAAGCATGCACAGCAAGAATTCAGTCTCACGCCTTCCGCATACCTTTCGTCGTGATAGGTTTCGAAGTTCAACCAAGCAACGCTTATCCTAGCATCCCTCCTTGCGTGCGATCTGCCTGGTCTTCCATGGACCCAAGGACTTGAAGCCTGGGATCACGTTCCCGTGCCTCATACAAGCCCTTCCATGCTCTTGTGAATGCACCCTCACCGGCAGAATGCACCCGACACACCCCTGCCCTGCGATCTGGCCTTCGCATTTGCCTGCAATCGTGCTTGCCATTACGGGCTCCCTCACCCGGCTTTCATGCGCGCGTTGCTACGTATGGAAAGTACGCGAGTCTATCTAGGCATCTAAGTTGGCTCCGCGACGTGCGATCTGACACTGCTGGCACTCCGCTGCACCTCTCGGCGATTGACCGCACGCGAGTGCCACACCTACATGTGGGCGCGTGTGGAATCTGAGGGAAGCCATTTCCTGTTTTCATTGTCCTGTAACTCTGCTCTTATCTGCGGAGCGTGCGATCTTCGCGCCGCGAAGCAGGAGCCTCTGATTTCAAGTTCACCTCCGCTCAACTAAACTACAACCTTCAGGTTCTACGCTGCCATTCTATGAACCGAAGAGGCAGTTCTGCGCATAGCTTTGGTTCCTGATTTCGTGCGTATCTATGCGCAGGGCGAAGCGTAACCAGAGCGGTGCGAGTGCGAGCCAGTCGGCACGTTCGACGCGGCAGGCGTGTATTGGGCGGATAAGGATTCGTAGCAGAGGCGTAACAGATGCTGCATGGGTCAATATCCGGGGATGATCTCGGGGATGCTGAATATGTTTTGTGTAGGATCACTAGATGGACGCCCACGGGGGCGTACATAGTGCGACCAATCACCCTCTCCCGTTCGCAAAAAAACTTTTGCGCCAGATCTGTTCTTACCTCGGTAAGCACTTAGGCTTAGTGGCCTGACATCTGGTTTCATGTAAGTTGTTTCGCGCTACATAACGGTTGAGAACTTGCGAAGACCTTTAGTCAGGCCTCGGTCCTTGCATGGTGTTGACGAATGAGGCGCTAACAATGCAGAATTCGGCTTATCGGCCTGGTGAGCATCGGGACTCCTCGTCCGACATCCTATCTTATTACTGACTGACAGGTCGACGAACTATATCCTGAACTTGATGCTTTCGACCCATGGGCGCGACCGCACCGCACTCCAGCACGTATGCACTCACTGGATATATCACCCCGCAATCACGACGTTGTTCATGATAGTGATATCGCTGAATTCTCCAGGCCGCACGTCGTCTCTATCATTTGTCACTATGTCCAGTATATGACGTAGTGTTTGGCGACCGCTTAGGACGCGTTGCTATATGCGAGGCAATACTAGGCAATTCCTTTTCAGCTGGCGCGCAAGCACTACCTGTCAAAACGTTATTGTCAGGCCAGGTAAGTAACTGCCTCCTCATTGTCTGCCATTATCCGATCAGTTTCTGCAGGGCATTCTTGCGACTCGGGAAGACTCACGACGGGCGCATACAGGCGCTTTAGAGCCGAATATTAGGACTCATGCGCGCCCGATTTCAGTGATGGCGACCTTGAATATTACGGCTCACTGCAGTCGTACGTTCTTGTTGGGCAGTTTTGACCCGACAGGTCCAGCGCTCTCGGCCATGACGTCGCCATTGTGCTGATCGTGCTCGGAATATACGTCGAAAATCCGATGAAGGATATCCAGTCACCGATATTCGCGCGCAGTTGTCAACGTCCGAGTGCAGCTTCGGTAGCCCATACTCCTTATTACGTGGACGCGTCCATCGCCGCAATCGGAGACGCCTTCATCAACGTTGCAAGCATGTATACTCATCGTGCAGGTCGAGAGGTGAACGCGCATCAGTTGTCTCATGTGCTTAACCACGTCCTTGCCCCTCATCATCACGGCCGTGGTCATAGTTTTAAACGTCCGTTTCGGTTCAACTTCTATGCTGGAGAAGCAGAGACTCACTGGCGGCTTCGATGTTACTTCTCACAGACTTCACATGCGATGTGAGAAAAGCTGGCCACGGCGTGCCTCTAGTCACCCAATTACGGCGTATGTGACCCCTGACATGGTAAGAATCGTGATCACGTCGCGCAGGTTATCAGCTGAGCCAGGACGAACTTCCAGGATCACCCTCATCGTCATTGTTCCGCCCTCCTGACCCACAACAAGCGCTGCGGCGTCGGTGAAGTTGTACGTACTGATACATCAAACGCGCACGGGTTTCCAATTCCAGTCCTCAGGGAAGCGTTGACCGTGCGTCATCTTTGATCTCGGAATTCGAGGAGTAGGAGGCGGGTTTACGGATGAAAGGACGGACATGAGATGGTCCCTCGCAAGGTGTGTAGAAACTTTGCATCAGAAAAAATCACTACAATGAAATATGCTCCCACCTCAGTATGACGGCGGCCCAGTCTAGAGGCCTGGGGGAGGGCCAGTCTTATACATCTAGTTATGACAACGGCCGAGGATCTCAAAAGGACCCTGATGACGACGTTGCTGATGCCCGCGCAACAGATGGAAGATTTGACAGCGCAGCGGGAATCAAATTTGCGTCATAGCATCCACTATCCCCACTCCTTCACTTCACCTTTGTTTCTTCTCGATCTCCTTCGGGCGTGGATCCGCTGAGACACATGCCGTAGCATGCCGTGAGGGAGTGCGCGTCATTGATATGGCACACGCGCTCTAAACAACTTGCGGATGTTAATTCCGTGGCACGGACGCAGGGCTAGGCTCAGTGTTCTAAACGTAGATCGAAAGTTGTCTACGAATCTAGAAGACTTCACTGGATGCAGGAGCGGTTAGCATTGCTGTTCCGATGGCTATATTCAAAGACTGGCTTTACAAAATGATCTTTCGACAAGGGCGCAGGCATGCCCCTCCTCGCGAAGTGTCTCGCGAATTTTTCGACAGTCTCCATCCTGTTTCATATCTCTGCATCGCGCTCTATCATGTCCACATGTCTCATCGTGCTAGACACAGCTGCACTCCGGATTGATCCCACCTCTATAATTAGATTTTTTGTTCACTGGCTCCCTCAGGCCACTGCTTTGCTGAAGGACCGCTTTCTTAGCTATGGGTGAGAACCAAATATCAAGTCACTCCCGGCGCACACTAGAGGCTGGGTACCCGGTTGGAACCATGGACTATCTTTCTCATTTTTGACAGGCTCTGTTGGTCTGACTTTCGACCTCATTCGCGTTCCGACCTCACCGAAGAGGAGCTGGTACGTCTCGATGTCATTAACTAGTTCCGCTACCTCTCCGAGACTAGACTAGGCCGAAGGCGCTATGTCTATGTCCGTTGTCCTTGAAAGATGGTCAATTCCTAACACTCCAACATAGCACACCCGGTACTATTTTGAGTAATACTCTGTTCGTTGACTGACAACATCACCTTCTTCCACTAGCCCTTCTATTCTGATACTTGCATGCAACATGTCGCGGTCAGGCCTCACTTACTCTCATCCCGATCAGTCTGCTGATGATCTTTTTCGGGCCCTTGCGCGGCGAAGATGATTGATCAGCGCTCAGCCTTCGAGCCATTGAATAGCGTCCATGGTGCCTATAGCTGGGCTCAATCTCAGGCCGCCGACAAGACACGCTCCGTCCCTTTGAGGAGGGCGCACACAGCCATAGGAAGCCGACCGACCGACCGACCGGTGGCTATAATTATCAGCGGTAGAACATTCGAGGGCTGTAATAGAAGGACGGATCGCGAACCATATGTATCGTTCTAGTCCATGGTTGGTCATAGAGAGTGTGTGTTTCCCTTGTTCCCAATGCCTTCACTGTAAAAATGACTAAAGCTCGTTGTGAGCTCTAACACGCCTCCCGCTGAAATATTTGTCGCGCCATAAGGTGCAATACACAATGTGTTGTCAGTTCCTTGATCTATTCGCCAGAGCCCAAACGAATAAGCACACAGAAGTCCACGAACGAAACTGTCGGACGATATCAACCAATATTGTCTCACGTGAAATACATACCACCTCACTCAGGACACTACGTTCATGCCGACGACGGTATCCCTCCCCATCACCTCCGTCCTCAGGTGGCGCAGCCCCGGAATGTTCTCGATCCCATCGGCATATCCAATGCCATGTGCGCCGACGATAACAGGGGCGACCGTGATGACGAGAGTGTCAACCAAACCATGTTCGGACGAAGACGATAGAAAAGACTTGATGACCTGAGCGCCACCCTCCACCATGACAGATCGGATGCCTTCCGAGCGTATGGCTTGCAGCACTTCTGGTAATGGTAGGTCTGTATCGACGGATGGCAAGTCTGGGTCTTTATTATTGTCAAGCGATGCTCAGGGACAATATGCCAGTGAGGCGGACATACGAAGAGGTTGCCGCTCGATCAAGATGACTTTGACGCCTGCTCTTTCTAGGACCGATTTCCTTTCTTCCCAAGCTTTGGCTTTAGCCTCTTCATCCTCGTTCGCCCAAAATCCGTCCACTTTCTGTGGACGAGACGAAACGACCCAAGGAGTTATGCCGGCTCCGAGAGCGGCATTGGCGATGAGCTTGCATTTGGGTGGGACTCGTAGGTTGGAGTCGAGAATCAGAGGACGAGGGTGATGATAGTAGCGGAAATGAGATTCCTGCGAGGGGAATGGCAGGTGTCGGACTAGATTGATAGCAATGATTCTCACACAATATTGCAAACGCAGCGGGATAAGCAGACGACAAACCGTTCAACTGAGGATTATCATTCAATGCGGTGCCAACGCCGATCAAAATCCCATCGTGCATGGTCCGCATCCTACCTATTAATGAGCATATTGATTTTCGTGATTTCATCTGTACTCACCAATGCGTCATTTTCATACTTTCCTCCCCACTCAAGATCAGCTGCAGCCCAGCCTTACCTGCGATCTTTGCATCCAGAGACTGAGCAAATGTGAGGGTGACATATGGACGGTCGGGATCCGGCGACACAAGAGATTCTATCGCTGATGTGCCAGGCTTTTTCCCTTCAAGTGGAGTGCCAAGCACTGTGTTCAGAAAATCTGGAGGGCCTGGCGGTGGAGGTTCAGGAGGGCCCACGACAAGCGATGTCTGGAGGTTTGTGTTTGATGACAGTCCATACTGCGTACCGGAATCCAAACACGCACCTCCAACGAGTCCAACAGAGAATCCATGTGTACCGATGGCTATCGAGACGGGGAATATATTTCAGCAGTGAGCATTTTGTCATACCCATCGATTACAATGCCAGCAGACAGTGATTCTCTACGCACATTTCTCGAACAAGCACAGGCCAGAAAAGAGAGAATGAGCCAAAGTGACGCGACGCGTTTCCACGTGACTCCGTTTATGGTCAATAAATGGAGCCAACGCGTGACTCTCCGCTCACACTCTTTGTTCTCTTACCGCCATCATCTCGAGCGCTAGCAGCACCTTACACCTCCTCTACACTCAAACAATCCTCTGAACAATGTCTGGACGCGGAAAAGGTGGAAAGGTGAGAATCTTACTCCTTATCCACGCTATATATCTCTCGCAACGGAACCTGCTCCGTTCGCGGTATCGCTCAGTGAAAATGGAGTCATAGCTGACGTGCCACCTCTAGGGCTTGGGCAAGGGCGGTGCTAAGCGCCACCGCAAAATCTTGCGCGACAACATTCAGGGTATCACGAAGCCTGTAAGTTGCTCAAACGTTCACTCATTCACATACCTATCTCATGCGGCGTCTTTCCTCAGGCTATTCGTCGTCTCGCACGTCGTGGCGGTGTGAAGCGTATCTCTGGTCTCATCTACGAAGAGACACGTGGTGTCCTCAAGATTTTCCTCGAGAATGTTATTCGGGATTCTGTCACATACACTGAGCATGCCAAGCGGTGAGTCCGATGCCTGTCTGTTAATCTAGTATCAGGGGCTGAATCGTTTGGGAATAGCAAAACTGTTACTGCTCTCGACGTCGTCTACGCCCTCAAGCGCTCAGGCCGTACGCTCTACGGTTTCGGCGCGTGAATATGTCCCGTCCTGTGTCGCCCCTCTTGTGTTTCGCTGGAATTCTGTAACTGTTTCGTCTGCGTGTGTGCCCTCTTGTATGATAGATAATTCTTGCGACGAGCAATTGACCTGAGATGCGCTCAGATGATTGTCTGATTCCTGCGCAAATTAAGCGCAACCTTGATACTACTCTAACACATTGAAGGTACGCTCAGTAGAGCAGTGTTATTCCAAGGATAGGATGTCTAGAACTGGGAGGGAGCTCCACAAGGTAGAAATGCAAGGTCGACCGGAGAATTCAAGACACAGACACTTCTTTCCCGCCTTGCTTGTACACCCCCCCCCCTTCATGACGAAAACAATGCTGTTCTTTGCCACGGCATATTCGAATGCATTCTCTAAATCTCCAGATGTCGCAATCAAGTCGGCTGCCCAACCTCTCTTGATTAATCCGAACGGCACTTCGTTGTCTCCGACCACCCTCGGATCCTCTCCAAGGCCGGCGACTTTGTTCATTCGCTCTTTCCCAGCGTCGCCCTCCCAAGCCATCGAGCGCACACAATGCCACCCGCCGAGCGTCGCCCAACGGAGGACTCGACGCCAGTCGGCTCCGAGGCGCACCATGAGCTGCATCTCGAGCGCGTTGTCGCCGTGCGCGAACACTCCGGTGTCCCCACCGCATGCGATGATGTCGATTCCTGCCTTCAACGCTGCGCGGAACGAGTTGGCTGCGCGCGTCCAGACCGCGTGGTCGCCTTGGTTCTGAGCGAGAGTGTAGTATGCGGCCAAAGTGGGCACCCAGACCGCAGTCCCGTTGTCGCTCTTCTGCGAGGTGCGCCGCAGCAATTCCGGTGCGATGCCGCTGGAGAGGTCGTATCCGTGCTCGATGGAATCGATCCCCTGGGTGAGAAGGGTCTCGACTGTCGCTTTGTTGGTCGCATGAGCGGCCACTTTGACTCCTAGCGAGTGTGCGGTTTCGATCATGGCCCTAGTTTCTACTGCGGTAAACAGGGGAACAGATGCTTTGGCGAGTAAGGGGGCGCTGTCGACGATCCTGGAGCGAAAGCGGTAGTCTGCATGGGCGACGTGTTCGAATCGACAAAACATGAATCTATGTCTATGAACGTCTTACCCGCATATATCTGAGCATCCATGCGAGAAGTGACTTTAGGATTCCCCAGCGATGAACAGAGAATGAAATGCCAGATCAACCTTGATCCAATCTGCGCCTGCGCCGACCTGCCTGCGGACGGCTTTGACACACTCGGCGACCCCGTCTGCAGCCTCCGCGCCCGTGACGCCATCGATCCCCTCGCGATTGACATACAGGCTGCTTTTCGGCCCTGCAGCTCAAGCCAACGAGGCAGCAGCCGATATGCATCAGTCCGCGTGCGGGATCAGCGTTCGGATCCACGGACGCACCGTAGCTGCCCGTGGACACGATGGCACGATTCGCGCAAAAATATCGAGGTCCAGGGATGAGCGGGTCCGGGCCAGAGAGGCACTTGCGCAACGCTATGTCTGCATCGGCCGCGCCCTCAGTGCCTAGATCCCTGTTCCAAAAATGGAATCCCGCGCGTCGTTCATTAATATCCGCCGGGTGCTCACAACCAGTACCCGGGGTCGGCGGACGTGGCTCGGCGTACCTTACGGTCGTGAATCCTGCCAGCAACGTTCGCTTGGCGTGGACGCCGGCGCGTAGCGCGCGCTCAACGAGGCTTTCTCGTGTGAGCTGGTCGTCCCACGAGACCTCACTGTACGGCCTCAGGAAAACTGGCCATGGCAGCGCGACGTCAGCATCTCGGCGCAGATAAACAACGCACCATCCGGTCCACGATCGCGCGCATCGCGAAGCAGATGGGCTCTGGGATGTCAGTGCGAGAGACAGGGGTCCCGACGTACGATGGACATGGGCATCGACGAAGCCAGGGAGCACAGTACACCGTCGCAGGTCGATCGCCCGCGGATCCTCGGACGGGCCTGGCTTCGCGTCGGGGCCAAATGGAACACGCGCAGGATCGAACGGGCGGACGGAGATGACGAGGCCGGAAGAAGGGGAGACGGCGATGAGCTGGTTGGCCAGCAGGGCGAGCGAGTCAGGGTCGAAGAGCCTGCCGGCGTAGATTCGGAACAGACCACGATCGTCACCGCCATTGGACGACGACCGCGCGTCGAAGTCCGCCGCGTCCACGTCCGCGTCGCCATCCGTCGTGCCGACGTGGGATTCGACTTCGCTGCCTTCGACGCCTTCGACTTCGGCGACCACGGCCCCATGAGCTGCAGCGTGGATGGCACGCATATTTCAAACTTCAGATGCCGGTTCTTTCTGAGTCACAGGCAGGCGAAACAGGATCGAAATGGGCAAGGATGACGCGCCGTCGCAGTAAGTGCTTGGCCGCTGATGGTGGGCTGCGACGAGTTAGATGAAGGGGGATGCAGGCAGATGCAGGTGGCGATGCCAGCGCAGATGAGGATATCAATCAGCGGCCAGCTTCAAGACCGCGGACACGATACCACAGGATATGAACGCAGGAGCCAGTAGTGCCTCCGATTCTCATGGAGACTGAAGCACACAAGAATAGACCCACTGACCCCCGTTCCGCCGTTTTGTCACATCAGTGTGAGACACCGCGAACCGACCCGTGATGCAACAGTGCCTTGGCGAGTCATGACATCACGAGAAGAACGCGGGTACCCCGTACATTAGGAATACAGTAGCAGGATATATGGGAGGAAGGGGCTGTAGCACAAAATAATGCGGAGGCATCGATATCTCGAGCGCGCAGATGGAGCAGTATAGATATCCTGAAAAATACAATACGAGAGTCAGACCAGATCCAGTGCCGTCCATCGGGTAAAGAATACAAGGAATCCCTGAGGAGAGATGGAAAGAAGCCACATGTAGCCGCGTTGTACAATATCTAAGTCGGTAGAAAACGGGGAGATGAGCGTGAGCATTTTGGTGATAGAAACAAAGATGCATCGACGTGAAAGAGATGGAGTCGTAGATTGTGAGAGAAAATGCAGGGTAAATGTTCAGTATATAGCTTCGTCAAAAACAAAAATTGCGTGAGCATATCAAGCGCGCTTGGACATGACGAACGGGCCCTCCCAAGGAATCGAGGTGACGCTCGTGGTCATACCACGCCAGCTGCCCACCAGGACCTGGCCATAGTACAGATGCCCTCGGAACACCCATCGTGGGCGGCCGACCTGAGCCACAGGTGGGCCCAACTGCGAGATAAACAAGTGTGTCAGTCGAAGATACAAGGTGAAACGCAGAGAAATGCTCGACTCACAGGAACGCGCACCAGCGCGATGAGGCCGTCCCAAGGCCGCACGCGTCCGAGAAACGAGAAATTTCCCCAGGCCATTCCATGTGCAGGATCGGTCTTTGGACAAAATTAGAATAAGGCGAAAAATCGCGACGGAAGGCCATGTTCGTCAAAATCACGAGAGGAAAAAAACAGATGCATGTGAAGACGCGTACCTCGCCGGTGAAAATGATATCCTGTATCCCGGAGCACTTTGCCTCGTACGTGTCCTCGTCATCTGACCCGTAGCGACTGTCACTGCGGGCCAAGTCTACCATCGCAAAATCTTCTTCGTAGTCCTCGTGTCGTGGCAGCTTGTCAGCCTGCTCCGCACGCGCGCGATTCGCATGCACACGCTGCTGTAGCTCCTCTTCGCGCAAGGCGGTGTTGTTGACACAAATGTGACACTTCTCCTCGTTGTGCGAATTTGGGCGGCCTTCGACGAACGTCTCATATTCCGAGGCCACGCCCTCGGAACGGTCTTGGATCGTCACCTTGCCCTGCAGCGTAGAAACTTTGTCGGTACACGCTGAGAGCTGCGTGTATGTGTGTAAACAACGCACCCCGGATTCTCGTATCTCCACGGAGGGGAACCAGCCGTTTCGAATACCGTCGTCGATCGCGTCGTTTGGATTATGGCCGGCCAAAGCGGGAATAGCGGGGCTGATGCAGTGGTGCTCGCGGAGGCGCATGAAGACGGGCCAGGTAGACGAGAATGGAGACTGTTCGCTGAATCCAGGAGGATATTCGCGCGCGCCGACTAGGCCGACATAGCCGTTCTCTTCTGGGACCTGTGAAGCACCTCAGTCTCCATGAGAGCAAACAGATGAGAAAAATATACTCACCAGTAATCTACCCTGCCAAAGCCCATTCAAGGCGCCGAATGTGTACAACACACCTTTAAGCTCAGGCTGGCTCCATGGATCTCCACAGTACACGATCCGCTCCCATTCGTTGTCCCACGCGGCGCTCGGGGCCTTGAGCTCCCGTGTCCATATACCTTCCTCCTCGAGCTTAAGTTCTTCCGGCGTCAGCTTCGCCTTCCAATCCCAGTCCGTCGGCAGAATGCACTTGGCTCCCCGGTGGGAATTGACCTCTATGACGTCGGCCTGGGTGGGCCCGCGCAGGATACCGCGCGCGATCGCGTCGGCGCGGTCAATAGGCATACCAGGCGGAATACCAAGCGGGGTCATCTCGCGACGGGCGAAGTAGAGGAGCTTCGCCGGTGCGGTGATGGGAGGGGGACATACACGAATGGTGGAGCCGTAGTGTGTGCAGGTATGGATCGATTGGTTGGCGTCGCGATAAAGGGGCCAGCGGCCATGTGCGGTCTGTATTGATTCGAGGTTTTCACGTTGCCAATCTTCGGGAAGGGGGAGATGGAAGTGGTTGTCGGGGGCATAGAATGATTGGTACTGACATAGCGGATGGATATCGACGAAGGTTTGATGAAAAAGAGTCTGCTCACCTTGAAGGCCATCACGACAAAGGGCAGGATGCGAGAGATGAGGTTCTGACGGGTTGCTTGACTTTCGGCGGCGAGAGACTCTGGGAGCGGGAGTCGGCCATGGCGAGCTCGAGGAATCAAGGAAGACGTACCTGGAGTGGTCATGCACCACAGTATCCATAGCGCAAGCGAGTTGATGGGTGATTCGACGGGCCAACCGTTGACGGGATTCTCCCATAGCCTCTCGGAGACGAACCTTTCGACAAGCTGAGGCATACCAGCCTCCCTCAGCTGGACGATATTGCGACCATCGTTCTCCACACACATGAAGTAGGCAGTCCAGAAATCGTTGATAAGAGAGGGAGAGTGGATGTCGCCGAGACGAATGCGGTTGAGGGCCTCGCAGTAGAGGCGCAACTGGGACGCGAGGTTGCGGGAGCGGATCGCTTTGTCCCCCATGCGGCGGTGGGCAGCGTCGGGGTCGAACATTCCGTCGAAAATGCGGGCATACAAGGCCTTGTTGTTGTCGAAGCAGAGGTTGTGGTAAAGAAACTTGCAAGTAGAAAGCAAGGGGATGAGGGCAGAGAGGCGGCCTGTGGGATGAAGGAGGGCGGTGTAGTGGGCGATGTGCTCCCAGATCTCGCGGGGAACGGTTGCGAGTGGCGCGAAGGGGGTATCCATGGGGGTGTGGGAGAGCGGATGGGACGGAAAGGACGGAGGGAGGAGCGACGGAGATGGTGCATGGAGGTACTTATAGAGGCACGGAGGAGGGGCACCGCCGGATAAGGCAAGAGGAGGTGATGAGCGACTCGAATCCGAAGCCAGCGACGTTTGTCCTGCCAGGGCCCGTCGCCGTCACCGTCATCCCGCTCGCTCTCTTGCACGCCTCTTTCATTTCCCGGCACCCGCTTTCTTCCATCCTCTCCTCTTCGCTCACCCACACCCCCGACGTCCTCCTCGTCGCCTCCGCCGCCCCCCGCGGCTCCACCTCTTCATATCTCCGTCTCCCCGTCGCCGCAACGTGTGAGTGACGAAGCCACCGCAGGACACAAGGTTTTCATATTATTAATGATACCGACGTTCATCCCCCCGGGCCTCGGTCCCCCCCCCCTCCTCATCCTCTTCTCCGTCCTCCACCTTTCCGTACGTCTCACCCTTCTCTTCCTCCACCTCCCCCGTCTGCACCGACCATCGCATCATCCACACCGTGCGCCCGTCTCTCGCACTCCCCCCCCGTCACCGATCGTCCATCCACATCCTCATCCCCATCCAGTCGCGCAAGAAGCCGTTACGATCCGTCGTTTCCCAACTCCGACAACACCCTTCCTCTTCGATGCTCACACTCTCCTTTACAGGGAATCTCCAGCGCGCCCCGCTGGCCACATCGATGCCATCATCTTTCCCTTACTGCTCGGTACACGTAAATGTCGTGTAACTCCCCCACGAGTCGACGTTTATATCCTTTCGTCTCATTGGCACCCGGCGCAGGGGCTTACTCTCTCCCCTCTCGAACGTCTTGCTGTGCCCGGGTACCTCTTCCGTTGCGCATATCTCGGAACGTAACCCCCTGGGAACGCTCGCACGACGTGCCAACAATGTCCTCTCGTCGATAGACCCCATTGCTCCCGAAAATCAATGGTAATGCCGATCTTCAATTTTCATATCCCATAACTCTCTCTTCCCGCAACCGCGCGCGTCTACATCGCCCTCCGTGCGGCCTTGAGCGTAGGCAGTCGGAGCAGTGCGGCTATTGTAGTAAGCTACGCATACGTTCGCGCGTCCCCCGGTAACATGGCCTCCGATCGCTTTCCCCGCAGGTTGCACGTCCTGATGTCATATGTTATGGCCCCCTACGGCCGCAAGATGCGCTCTTTCGATTTTCCCAAACATTCCAGTGCGTTGGATTCCAGTTCCCGTCCGCGCTGACATGGTGGAGATAACAGGCGGCGACGTTGTCATATTAAAGGTGCCCGCACACCCTTGGAGGGCGTCTAACGGCTGCCATACGCATGTCACTCCGCGCGCCGCGCCATCATTTGTGGCTTAGTGTAATCACGTCCTCTGCGCAACCTCTATGCCTTCTTCAGCCGATCACTGTGTAGACGGCATGTCGCAATGGTATCAGTCGTCAAACCACCGACGTATGCGCGGCGCTCTAGAGGCTCCTTCAAAGTTCATGCGCGTCTAAACTCCCTGCAGTAGCGCGTCCCAGGGCTACGGTAGCCGTTGGGACTGATGTGTCGACAATACAAGAATGTACGGACATTAAACGTCATTATTCAATTGGGCTTCGTCCGTGAGATCATTATAACTATCATACTTCTCTGCTGACATCTCTGTATTTGAAAACTTTTCTATTACAGAACCTTTCTCGTTGCACAGGATTCCTTGTATTGGTCATTACTCTCTCACCTCTCACCATGCGACCGTTCCAATACATATAGATAGGCCTCATCTGCAAACACGATCGAGTGTTTGCTTACGATGAGTCCAGCCGCCAACGTGTACGGCCCTTCGATTTGGGCTCTTGTCCACTCAATCCCAGCAACTGCTATCAATAGCACGACGCCTTGCGCTCCTGCCTTGACCCTGACGAGGTACCCGGCTCAAGTTCTCTTTGACTCCAAGCCGTACGTCCCTATGCGGACTCGCCAGGCTTAGCGAATCGATCGCGGTCACTGACATTCCTGCCAAAGCCCCCTGACGTGTTCCACGAAATCAGCTGCCGAGCCCGCGTTGGGTCCAAAATAAGCTATATTTAGCCTTACGGGTGCTGTATTATCTGTCAATGATACCTGCTTTGAGCACGGAACGCTCACTGCTTTGGTTCCCGAACTTATTAGGTAAGCGCTTATTGTGGGTCCAAAGGCCCAGGTGCAGGTAGCTCTCGTGTCCTGATATGTTCAAACGAGTGCAGCTGCTTGGCGCAAGTCTTGAATTCACCTGTTGCACGACATCACGGAACGCATCGGTCGCGTAGTACTTTCTCTCGAAATCTGAACTCGAGACTTCGTGATGCGAGTCCCCAACAGAACGGTTCGTACACTCCAATTTAAATACTGTGCCTCAAATGAACTGGCGACAGCGTCTAGGACTCGTCGCCTGGTCTCAGATGCCGTACTTATCCCAGACTCTTCTAGGTGTGTTTGTCTCCACAGTTCTACGGCGATGCGGACGGAAGCTCAGGCTTGCGGTGAAAGAATGGGTGCTATGTTGTGCCTTATGGGTTGCTCCCTGAAGGCGCACAATCGCGGGACGCTCAATTACGGCGATACCATATACGTGAGTCTATACGGAGTATGGTGTGCATGCGTGACTGCTCCCGTCTATCAGTGCTGTACGCTCGAGTTACTGCGCGCAGTCGCTCAGAGTCTCTCTCTGATGGTGACACGGGCATACGAGGGCACCGACTCCAGGGCGTCCCGTTCAACGTCGGCTAGCCCGGCAAAAGATTAGGTTCTGTTCAGCGCAAGCGTAAGCGTATACGCGTGTTCTTGTATGCCAGTGTGCGTTTTTGGATCTAGAACCAATCGCGCGTCGTGCAGTCCCGCGCCTGTTCCACGAACGTTCCCTTCTTTCAGGGCGCTACTCGTGATGGCGAGGACGAGATTTGTTGAGATGCGGCGTGCGTACTCCGATCGATCACTTAGGGACGGATCACTTGACGAACGGCGTGTCCGTCGAACGCCTGCCTCAAAGTGTGATCATTTCGCCACGAGTACGCGCACTTGAAGAGCCCGGTAGGGGCGTTGTCCCTGTTCACGTAGATCGGACTTAACCCTTTCGCGGGAGACTGCGGTTTGGGATTTATTCTTCATCTTCTACCTAGACTACGACAGCTCCGCTCATTTTCACCCACTTCGTCAAGACCAGTGTGTTCGCACGTAGAAACGGAGAGAGCGCCGACGTTGGCTACAGCACGTAAGTAATGAATCGACCGATTCGCCTCGTTGACCTCCCTCTCTGAAGGCACATTAGAAGAGCTCGACTGCGTAGAAGATGACCCAGCTGGCGGACTCCACCACGCTCCGTTTATTTAACGGCTCGGGCATCTGATTGTCAGCCCGAAACCGCCACCGCCTTTCCTGCGCACTTGTCGCGAAGAGTCCCTGCTGCACGGGTCTATTCGACTTCCTTTTCATATCCCGCCACGACGTGAGCACTGGTTTGGCCTGCGTGCAGCGAGTGCGCTCCCACCGTTTTGCCGGGCACGCGTCCCATGGCGTCGTGCCGCTGAGCGACAACAATGTGGGGAAATGAACGCTTCTAGCGTCAGCTCCCCCGCCGCCGACGCCTTCGTCGGATATCCGAGACGGCGACTAGTCATGCGTCGGGGCTCGGCGACTTCATATCAGCCCTTTTAGTGACCGCGCCAGCCGACGCGACTTCCTTCGGGCTTCAGGCTTGGCTTCTGTCCTTCCGCCCGAACCTCGTATTGCAGCTTATTGCAGCCTGTCGCCGGCGGGAACGAAATTGCAATCACATCGTGCTCGTCATTTTGTCATGGGCCGTGTACGTATTGCGCAGGATGAAATATAGGATGAACGTCGTTATTCTTTCGCTCTTCGGTCCGTGCATCCGTACCGCCGTACCGGCAGGTCTCTTCATTCAGTGTCTCCATGACTCGAACTTTCTCGACGACACCCGCGACAGGCCTCCTGCATACCTTGCTGCTTTGCTCTGCTGTCTCGTCGCCTCTGCATGGCGCATGTCATGCCTGAGACTCTGGCAGGAGCTTCCAATCCTCGCGTCTTCCTCGTTTTCTAACGATCACTCTCTCAATGGAGATTGCAGTAGCAGGCGGACATTTTGACAACTGGCTATGGGCTGGTTCATATTAGAGATCTGAATGAGTCCATGTGGTATGCTTGTTGATTCATCTGTTTCACCTAGTGGGCATCACGTCCTACATCCTTTTTGCTTTCCATCAAAAATTCGGATCCAAGCTAATCCAAGCTGGTCTGCTATTCAAAACTCATCTCTGAGAGGATCTCAATTTCATGTCTCTGGCCTTGCACACTGCTGACGTCCGAACTCCGAGCTTTGATCATTTTCTTTGACCGACAGTGTTTCGCCATTACTAACATGGATTGCTTGCTCGCATGGTCTGTCCGGATACACTGTGCGAAGCCGGGTCCGTCCTCATGTCGGACACCGTTGTGTAATTCACCTGCTTGCATCGTTCGTTGCTCCAAAGCGCAGGGTGAGACCGTCGGTATCTCGATACCACAGGATATGAGTAGTTCACCCTACGTCGAATCGTGGGAATGATGATGTAGTCCGTCTACACGCCCACGGTTCGTTTACAGCGAACGCCCTCCATCTATGTCTATGTCTGCCTAAACCTAGCCATAGCGTTTGTCTTCCGTGATCACAAACCGCCATCAACATCTTCGAGTCTCGGCATCAGCGCCTCGATCCATCGCCTTTCCTTCTGGCCACCTCTCGCACGTCTCTAGCCCTTCTGGACGCCAGCCTCCCCCGCTAGTCTATTCGCTTGTGCAACACTATGTCGAAGGCTGCCGATACCCCGCCAATCGAACCCGTAGATAGTGCGACACTCCCTGCTCCGGGAGAGGTCGCGGAGCCGGCCGTGGGCACTAACGCCGAGGAGCCTGGCCTCCATCCGCTCGGTGACGAAGGGGAAGAAAGTGACGAGTACGATGACATTGAGGTGTGTTCATCTGCTCACGGCGCTGTTTGAGTGGGAATTGAACAGACCCGTGTCACAGAACGAGGAGGACGAGGAGGCAGGTGGCTTCGAGGACGACGACGAAGATGGCGAAGAGGAAGACAATAGCAAAGAGGCGAATGATGTAAGTTTCACAGTTTGTGCTGAAACTCTCGCGTTCCAATCCTTTCGTATCGTAGAAAGGTAGCTTGACTGCTCTTCTCTTGGGAGGAAGCCAGGTATATCATTGTCATTTCTTTTCGGCCGCTCTCAGTGCTCACGATCACATTCAGGGCGGCGCCGAGGAGGAAGAGGAGGAGGATTACGAGGAAGACGTGGAAGAGAACGTTACCGCCAAAGGTGACGGACCCAAGCCCACTGAAGGTCTGGCATCCGTCGGAGCTAAGCGCGGGCGGGAGGAATCGGCCGAGGCTCCCAACGGCGGCGCAGCACAGGATGCGAAGAAGGTCAAGATGTGAAGCTGTTCGTTCAGCGGATCAAGGGCCGACCGATCGACATTTTTATTCTTTCAATATTGACGCGCTTTGAACCTTGTTGTGCGGGTTGTTTGCTTGTTTGTCTTGTCCGCCCATCTCTGAAGTCGATCGGCCCACTCGTAACCATGTACTGACGTTGTGTAACGATATACAGAAATTGAAGTCTACAATTTGGTCTCAAAGGTCCCATGGTCCAGAATACGAAAGCGTGCTGACGTCACAGCCGCTCCGCTTTACGTGCTACAGCTTGGTCCTTCCATGCGTTGCCCTCCCTCCAGAATCTCGTCCTCTGGTTAGGCACAATCCCCATTTGCACCCAATCGACCTCGAATGGCTCGATGACGACAAGGGCGAAATTGCTCAACGCTACCTCTGTATTCTTCTTCTCTTCGTCCGTCTGCGCGTCTTGTTGCTTCTTGACAGTGCTCACCCAGTTTTCTGCGTCGCCATATCCTCCAGGCTCCGGATGACAGAAGCTCGCACGCATGCGCTCGCTGATCGCGTTGAAGGCTTCTCGCCGCTTTGCTTCCCAGTCGAAAGATACCGCGTCTAGGGATGCGATTGCGGAGCATTCTTTGTCATGGGCGGGGACTCCTCTAGAGCCACGCTCGGGGGCTGAGACCACACGTGCGCGCCCAGAGATGCGGAACTGGTCTGAGCTACCGCCGATCCACCATGCCAGCTCGACGGCATCGGAGTAGGCAATCTGAGTCGTCTTCTCAGTGCGGCTGTCGGTGTTGGTGAGCAGCAGCAGGAGGGCGGGAAGAGAGGGAGGGACGAGGAAGCCTCGATGGATGTGAGAGCGGACGTGGGGCTTGTTGGATGAGTCGACTGTCGCAAGCTGATACACTGGAAGTCGGCATGAGGCTGTTATCGGCACATCGGAGGAGCATTGAAGCGGGATGCTTACAGCTGGATTTGTCGTGCTCGTTGAGCACTTTGGAGAGGGCTGTGAACCAGCGGGGTGGAGATGTCATGGTTGTGGTATAGAAGCAAGATGGTCGCGGACGCATCGGGGGGGATGTCCGCGCGCGTGATCGCTGAATTTGGTTCCGTGATGACGAGCTGGGCAGGTTGAGGCCTAACTGGGAGCAGAAACATCGTCAGAGACGAGGCCTTGCCGTCTGCTTGTCACTCTGATGGGACGCGATCCCCCAGACAAACGAACGGTTCGGGCTCTGCAATTCAGCCTCCACAGGTCATCGAAGGATCCCACACGTCACGACGTGGCGTTTACCCCGCGAGGTGCTTCCAAATATGGTCAGTTGGTTTCTATAAAAGGAAAGAGGCTTCGGGATCTGCTCACTTCGACAGCGGTAAGTCGCCTAATGAGTGGCCGTATAAATGCCTGGACGCTCTCGACTGCCCTCTTTCTTCCTGACCCCATCTTCCGCTCACCGTCCCCGTCCAGATGACTTCGTCGCAATCTCAGTCGTATCATCCGTTCCTCAAGAACGTGGAAGATTGTCCGTCCCGTTCCTTGAATGCTTCCATATGGGCCCCCCAGCCGCAGCCGAACGAGTCCTGGCCGAGGACCATCGCGTCGTTTTCTCGAGCCGCTGAGGATGACAAGCAAAAGAGTAGGCCCGGATTTATCCGTATATCTTCCGTTCCATGTGCTGACGCCAGTCCAGATGCCTTTGGTCCCGTTGGGTTCATCGGTAGCTGTCACAAAAAGGACGTTGGCGCCATCGGCGATGGTCGACGCAAGAACAGCTCCGACATGGAGCATATAGTCAGTCATTATCGCTTCCCCGGGAGCGAACTTTGCTCACCATGCAATTCGCAGCACGTAGAACAACTGCTTCGGACGCTGAACCTTAATTCTCCTGCTCCCTTCTCCCAACCGCCCCCTCTCACTGTGCACGCTAATAACTCGCCAGATCTGTCCCCTAGCTCTGCTACATCTGCTCTTCTGACTCCCACCGATCTCTCGCCTGCAAAGGGCATAGACTTGAAACTTAATAATTATGAGTATCACTCTTCGGCCCCTTCTCCACAGGGCCTAATGCTGGACCCCGGACCTCCTCATCGTGCTGGAGAGACATATCCTTCGCATCATTCCCACCATGTACAACCTGCCAATGCGTTTCAACAGACTGCTACTACATTTCCGTTCTTCGAGCCATTCTCTGAGGCCTCCGCCCAGAACCCTAGCGCTCAGGTATTCTCTTCCGCTCAGCACCATCTCGTCAATCGTAGTGACCCTCGCTCCTTCGTAAACTCAACCTGGCGGAGCGAGCGGGAACTCTCATCAGAATGGTTGCGTCCCGATGATATAAGGGATCGTAGCTCTGGTCTCGTCACTGACGAGCATTCAATGCGACCCATCACCTTTCAGAACAATTTCCCTCATCTTCCTTCGAACCAGGGTCAAGCCCCTGTGAACGAGGTGTGTAGATATACTCAGCTTCACGCAGAAATATTAAAGATATCGGTCGTCTAGCCAATCAATTTTCTTTCGCTCTTGCATCCATCGTCTTCGCCTCCTTATCATGTTTTCGTGTCTCGCATCATTAAATCCTCCGATCAACAAGCATCGATCTTTCTTCAGCAGAAACTCAAAGTCGCGGACCTTGACGAGCGCGCTAAGATCATAGACGCCATTTGTATGAAGGGGTTCGAGATGATGGCGCATCGGTATGTCCACGTTTCCCTTCTCTTATGAACTTCACTGCTAACTATATGCGCGTGTTCAGATTCGGCAATTGGGCTGTTCAAAGATGTCTCGAAGCGGCTTCCACGGCCGACGAAAGAAGGAAAATTGTACATTGCATGAGGTTTGAGCCGCATTCTATTATGTCCATGAAACGAATTCATAGTTCTTCGTTTAGGGGCCGCGTCGTGGATTTGGCGTCTAATTGCTACGGCTGCCACGTCCTCCAAAAGGCTTTAGATTGCGAGGAAGACGTCCGATTACTCATCGTCTCCGAGCTACTTCTTGGAGATCCTGCCCAGACTCTCGTCAACAAGCATGCGTCTCATGTCTGGAGTAAGGTGACGTGCGGAACCTTGTATCCCATCGAACGTGTCCTAATAATATGGATCACAGATCATGGAGTTGACATGGACCGCTCCAGCACCGCCCATATTCGCCTAGTGAGTTGTGCAGTGATTCTGGAAGCGCACGGAGCCCCTTACGGTCTTCTATAGTGTCAATAAGTCTCTGAAGGGCAAGTGGGCGTCGCTTGCTTGTCATGAGACAGGCTCTCTCGTTGTACAGGTACATCTTCGCCACGTTGAACTGTCCGTGTTTGTCGTCCTATTGAAGAACGCTCTTAGCATGCCTTCGAAAACTTGGAAGAGTCCGCAAAAGACGGAATCATCGACGAGCTACTCAATCAAGGGACAGCTGTTTTCAGCGAAGTCGCAAAGAATCAATGGGGATCGTACTGCATTCAACATAGTCAGTTTACGTTTCTTTGTCCTTGAGTCTTATGCTGACTCGGCAATGCAGTTCTCGAACATGGATCAGCTGACCACCGTCGGATGGCTCTGGACCATATAGTTGCGGGACTTCTGGAGTATGCGACGAACGAACAAGGCTCTAAATCGGTCACAAAAGCCCTCAAGGAAGGAGGCAAGGAGACATTGGACCGGGTTGTCAAGCGAATGGCCGAATCTTCCAAAGGGTACGCCACGCATTCAGCCGTGCATTCATTCATTCTTCTGACACCTCTTCGCAGAGGTCGCAGGGCTATTATCGTCGATCTGGCCTTATCTGTGACTGGCAGTCAGCTGATTGCTGCGGTTTTACCTAACGTCTGTCTTTTCCCCCTCTGCGTTCTCCCAATTGTGAATTGACGGGTCTCGTCTCAGGTTGACAAGGATCAACGATCTCTTCTCTACGATTCTATACGTGGCCATATTGTCACTCTTCGAGGCTGCAAAACTGGGTCCAAGGTCATTTGGTTATTGTGAGTGATCTCACATTCTGATCATTGAAACCGATGCTGAATCCACCTCTAGTGATAGAATGGTGAGTGTCCAGTATATGTGGGCTCCTGTGCGTCCTAACGGTCTCTCGTAGCGTGCCTACTACGGGTATTGAAGCTACAAAGGTTGATGCTAAACATCATAAAGAATCGTTGCAACATTTCTCGACTTGATCTCATCTTTATCCTCATCATCAGCATCTCATACTCCTGCCATTTGAACAAGGCTTCCCCAATCAACCATCCATTCATGCCCATCTCGGAACGCTCCAGAAATCTTTTACGCATCATTCATTAGGATCGATTTATGCACTCCTTGTGTCACCTCGAACAGCGTTTCTTCCAGAGCTTAGCTCTAGACGAACTATCGCTTCAATGCAGCCATCTCCTTATTTTTATCTTCGTATTTCATGTTTACTACTTTGTGCTCCTGGATTTCCACCGCCCGTCGCTCGTGACTTCACTTCCTTTGATACAGTTCGTTGTTCGTTGTCCCTCCTCTGTAGTAGTCTTAGACTCTGTGCCATTAGTTCACGACCGCACTCTCATCATGTATACTTGTTGTTATGATTAATGTATCCTCGCCGACGGTTTCCTGGTTAAACTGGCTTACCAGGTAACCTTCCTTCCAGGATGATGCTTCTCCATCGACGTCATACTGTGTCCACGTGATTGACTGGGAGTTCGAGTACCCTCGGCCTATTAGTCGTCGCTACCACTACAAGCTTGAACTCCAACCATCATGCGAGTTCAAGCTCTTCTTCCCTTCCTCGCCGCTCCCGCTGCTCTCGCCGTACCAGCGAGCGAGCTGCAAGCCGTTCTCGGCGACCTCGCATCCTACACAGATGTTATCAACGGCGGACTGTTTGGCTCGGTTGCCAAAGGTGTCAGCCATGTCATCGAGGACATGGAGAAGACTTTTGGTCTGGCTGAGAAGTGGACCGAGAAAGGTAGAGAATATGTGAAGCAGAATGGGCTCACGTGTAAGCTCTTGTTCAGCATCTGCATGCGGGATGCTGCAGGATCTTAATCTTGGTGTGTGTTTCTAGACGAACTTATCACCCATCCTTCTTTCTCTGGACACTCGTTGCGAGTCACGGAGCCCGAGATTTGCGATCCATCCGTTCAGCAGTACTCTGGGTATCTCGATATCACCGATGGAAAGCATCTGTTCTTCTGGTCAGTTCATTCGCGACCCGAAAGGTCCTCGCACGCTCAACCTTATGTATATGCAGGTTCTTTGAGTCGAGAGGCAACCCACAGAAGGATCCCCTTATCTTATGGTTAAATGGTGGTCCAGGGTGTAGCTCCTCCACTGGTCTTCTCTTTGAACTTGGACCTTGCCGCATCGACAACGAGGGCAAGAATGTGACGCATAATCCCGACTCCTGGAATGAGCATGCCAACATCATCTTCCTAGACCAGCCCATCAACGTTGGGTACTCTTACTCCTCTGACGGGTCCACTGTCAACACAAGCCCTGTCGCAGGTCAGGATGTCTACGCTTTCCTTGAATTATTCCTTTCTCGTTACACCAAATACGCGGACCTCCCTTTCCATCTCGCCGCGGAGAGTTACGGTGGGACCTATGCCCCGAACATTGCCTCGATCATTCACAAGAAGAACCAGGAGCTTGCCTCGTCCAGTGCGCCCGCGCCGAAGCTGCGGACGATTTACCTGGCCTCGGTGATCCTTGCAAATGGGTTGTCAGATCCATACCTGCAGATGGCATCGGTCCCGGACTATGCGTGCGAGGGTCCCTATGCTGTTTACGATGATCCTGAGGGCCCACAGTGCACCGCACTGAGGACGAAAGTTCCGACGTGCCAAAGGCTCATCAAGTCTTGTTACGATTACAACTCAAGGTTGACATGCGTGCCCGCCGCTTTGTACTGCTGGGGCCAGCTATTCGGGCCTTTGCAACGTGCGTCATTTGTCATTTGTTGATTGCTTTTATCATATTTGGAAGTCGTCTAATGTTGTCTGCCTTGTGGTCATCAGAGCTGGGTCTCAATATGTACGACGTGCGCAAGAAGTGCGACCGTGCAAAGGATGGTGATCTCTGCTATAGAGAAATGGGTTGGATTGAAACCTGGTTGAACGACCCGAAGAACAAGGCTGCTCTGGGCGTCAATCTAGACAGAAAATTTGAGTCGTGCAACATGGAAGTCAACCAGGCATTCATGTTCCAGGGCGATGGGATGCACAACAGCGCTGCGCTTCTGCCTGAATTGATCGATGCCGGCGTCAGACTGCTCGTCTACGCTGGTAATGCCGGTAGGCTTCAGTGGACCGCCTTGATATGCATGTTCCGCCTTCTGATCTGTGTCATTCTTTAAAGATATGATGTGCAACTACATGGTATGTCTAATTATATACCTTTGCCGACGCTATTCCTGACGGGGTTTTCTTCAGGGTAACGAGCGCTGGGTGTCTCAGCTCGAGCACAAGCTCCACAAGGAGTTTGAGAAGGCGCCCTCGACCAAGTGGGTCACGGCTAAATCTGGCCGCGTTGCCGGTGAAGTTCGCAGTGCTGGCGGTGGAGGATTTGGTGCGGGCAATGTTACCTTCGTGAATGTCTACGAGGCCGGGTGCGTATCACTCTCCTAATTTCACGTCACACTGTTGACGAAGGCGCCGATGGACAGACACATGGTTCCGTTTGATCAGTCGGAGGCTGCATTGGTAATTTTGCTTTCTCGTTGCTGTGAAAAGAGGCAGATTCTGATTCTATATCTCACAGGACCTGATTACAAGGTGGATTCAGGACGTGTCCCTCACATCTAATTAGTGCTTGTGTACACTTTTGCCGTCGAAGTTGGATGTTGTGTATGCCTATGAAGAGTAATTGGTTGTATATCCATATCAAGCTCTCCTGGTCATGATCCGAGTCATACTCAATTCTACTCCGACTGCGTATTTATGACATGAGCCATCGGCCTTGGTAAGTAGCCTGATCTCTCAACGTTTCGCCTGGACCAGGAGTAAATATTCAGATGACGTCATCGCATTCGGGCAGTTTCGGCGGGACAATAGCTGACAGTGGTCATGGGGTTTGCCTCTGGCGACCCTGTAACACAATCCGCTCATCAACCAATGCACACTGTTTTATCGCAACTTGCGTCAAATTCTCTGTACAGCGATTCTGACAACCCTCAGGACCTGCTATAATCATGTCTGCGAGCGAAAGCCATGAGCTGCGCGTTCTGTCGGTCTCTTCAAGCCTTCCTCGCGTGTCGCCAGAGGAACGTGTACGATCTACTGGCTTCGAGGAAGGCATACCTCCAGAAAATGCTGCGCAGGATTTGCGTCCTAGTCGACAATATCAGACGTTACTTCTTCTTTCAGGCTTTATGATGATCTTTCAGACCATTGGGATTGGCCAATCATATGGTATCTTCCAGGTGGGCACCCTGTGTGATCGGTATGATTTTATGCCTTTTCCTCCTGACGACGCTCGATATGTCTTCATTTCCAGGAATTCTATACCTCGCCTCAAAGCAATATCAACGATGCGTCTGGACAAGATGCGCTCGTTTCGCTCGTGGGTAGCATCGGTAATGGGCTCACATGGAGTGGGAGCATCTTTGTCGGTCCACTTATATCAAGGGTGAAGGATCCTAGATATATCACATTGACTGGCGCAGTCGTGATGAGCTTGGCCATTGTTCTCGCCAGTTTCGGAAGTCGAGTGAGTCGTAACAACGTGTTTGTCTACTATAAGTGACTCTGGCGATGCGTGCGTGCTGATCATGGCATTTCCTCTACAAGCTATGGCACCTATTCTTGACGCAATCCCTTCTATTCGGAATTGGTTCTTCGATGCTCTACTTTCCCATTCTATCCTCCATCCCACAATTCTTTGATCGCCATCGCGGGTTTGCCATGGGGTTTATCCTGTCGGGTAACGGAGTCGGGGGTCTCATCCTTGCCCCCTTACTCCATTTCATGTTAGAGCGTGTTGGTATTCGCTGGACGCTTCGAGCACTGGGCGCGTGGAACTTGGTCGTCACTGTGCCTGTTGCGTGTGTAGCTCGACGACCGCCCGGCGTCGGCATTGGTACCGCGGGACCAAGACCTAGGACAAACGCGGCAATCTTAAGAAAGGGAACTTTTTTCCTTCAAGTGAGTTGCACGCGTCCATTTATCGCGACGTCAATTTTGAATGATAATCTGGCAGTCTACGGGGGCTTTCTTGCAAGCCGCTGGGAACGTCATTCCACTTTATTATCTGACGACATATTCAATTTCAGTGTTGCACTACCCAAGCTCGACGGGCAGTTTGCTTCTCGCTGTGAATAATGCAGTCAATGCAGCTGCTCGCGTAGCTATGGGAATGTTAGCGGACTACGTAGGTCGGCAGAACACCATGATTGCCAGTGTAAGTCCCCGCTCGACCTGTAGCTAATACGTATTCAGACTTGTATTCAGGTCATACTCTCAGCCGTGACAGTCTTTGCATTCTGGATCGACGCCTCGCGTGGCCGCTTCCTTACCTTTATCGTCTTCTACGGCGTCTACGCCGGTGGCTACAACGCATTGCTCCCGACCACCATCACGGAGGTATATGGCGTGCAGAACTATGCGTATGTGAACGCTGCAATGTACTTCATTCGCGGATTGGGTGTCATATTCGGTGCACCAATCGCAGGTGTGATACTCGGTAGTCATGCCAGAGGTAATGCGATGATGAGCATGGATATCCTGAAGGATCGATATGATTGGGTTGCAGTATATGTCGGAGCGTTATTGCTTGGTGCAAGTCTATGTGTCCTGTATGTAAGGTGGTTAGATGCAAAAAACAAAGGGGGCTGGAGTTGGATCGCCTAAGGTAAGCGTACAATCAGCTTCCCTACAATGTGACTCTATTTATGATTTATCTTTGAATCGGCGGGTTTGTGCAGATGTTGACACTGTGTAGTGTTGAGTAGCGTTGCATATAGTATGAGCCAGGTTGGCTATAACTGATCCCTCATACAGTGAGATACCGATTTCTTTTTGGGTTTGATCAGACTTCACCATATGGGACGTCAGGTTGTTATCTAACCTTATTTCTGTTTAACCTCACACAATGAGCGTATACCCTAGTCATGCAAAGGCAGTGATGTTCGTTGTTTCATCAGTCATGAAAATCAATCACACCTAATCATGCCCATCATGGAGCGCGCCACGCACATCATGGGCATCAGATTTGCTGAAACTGGGGAACTCCAATTGTGAGGAGAAGAAGAGAGGTTCATCAGATCCAAGGCCCTTGATCTCCCGCCGTGGTTCTGGCACTTGTCCTTACTCAAAATAGCTTGTATGGGATAGAATATTCAATGTTCTGTTTCTCCATCATTGGCACCGCCTTTTTTCCGAACGCCATAGCTTTGCGATGGGATTTGCCAAGGGATTCATCGAGTCCAAGAACAGCATCGGTGGCCTCATCTTCGCAGCGCCGTTGCATTTCCTGTTGCATCGCATCGGAGCCCCCTGGAAACTCAGAATACTAGGATCTTGGAATCTGGTTGTGTGGGTTCCTGTCGTCTGCATGATAAGGCTACCTACTGGCTACCTCCTACTTTTCGTCCCGAAGGAAGACGGACAAGGATGAGTAGGACGTTGTTGAGGAGAGGGGCGTTTTTGCTGCAGGTGTGTCTCAACGACATACACCTGAGTGCCTTGCTCCCCACTACCATTACGGAAAGATTATATGGCGTGCACAATCATGCGCCTGTCAGTGCTGCCATTAATTTCGTTTGAGGGGGGCTGATGCTGGCTGGTGCCGCTTTCGATACGCCTATCGCATCATCCTGGATACCATAGCACGGAATATGCATTGGTCACTCTTCGAGGCTGGCGTATGTGTTGTGCATGTGCTAGATGTGATGAGCAAGGGACCTTGGGTTTGGAGGGCACAGAGCAGACCTCAGTGAGGTAGCTCATTGCGTTCTCAACTCCGAGCTGACTTCATAGACCTACTTTTATGTTTATGTGGATTGTTACGTCGCGTGCTTTCGACGCGTTGATATCATGATCACATGATAAGCTTTCCACTCGTGACACCTTCAGAAAACGTAACTTGGCCGCAACATACCTTCAAACCACAGTGAACTACTCAAACACATTCTACGGGTCGAACGCTCCTTCCAATCCATTCCCATCTGTTGAGTGACAGCCCTACTCGATTTCATCTACCATGCGCCGTGCGCAGACCTTGAGGCACAATGGCCGGCCTTCCCTCGCCCTAGGCGCAGATGATCTTGGTATGCTGAGAGAGAATCCGGACGAGTCCACAGAGGATATATTGAGACGACAATTATTGGAGAAAGACAGAGAAAATGATAAGGTAATTAGGTTTTATTGATCCACACTCCTGATATTATTGAGGATGCCGTCTAGCTCCAGACACAGATACAATCACTACAAGTACAACTTGCACAGCGACCACCGATCGAGACCATTCAGGCTTTGGAGAAAGAATACAAGAATCTAGAATTGATTTTGCAAGGCACACAGCGAGAAAATGAGAGGGCGATGACCGAGCTAGAAAGGTCGGTGCTCGATTCTGTCTGTGTACATGTTGCTGGAGCATTCTGCTGATATGTGTCGATGTAGAGGGAAGACGAGAGAGAAGATGTTGGAGCGTGAACTGGCTAAATTGGCTGGGGAAAATTGGCAGGCATGTTTAAGGCGCACTGCATACAGCGTTTGCACGGCTGACTCGCTCCCCGATTAGGCCAACCTCGAAATAGCACCCTCTTCAGCATCAGCTTTCGTGGCTCGATCTCTGATTGCAGGGCCGCCACAGGGCTCCAGTCCAAAGGGCTCACAAACTAAACACGAGGCCTCACCAGCAACTGCAGAGGCCACTTTAGCTCATGTTGAACAAATGCGGCTTCTAATTCTTGGCATGCAGCAGCGGCTGCAAACCAGGGAGGAGACATTAACCAAGGTGATTGAGAGAGCGGAAGGCGAGGGTATGAAGTTCGAGGAGTTGCGCCGGAGCATGCTATCTGCCAAATCTTGAACTGAAAGTGGTTTCTGATGTGATTGATTTTCTAGTCCCCTTGCTTTGATCTTCGTATACCCTCGCTGTGTTTGATGCGCATTGTACTTGTACTCTGAATTGTAGGACCCTTTCCTGTTGTGTTGATGCATGGTACGCTATTTCCTTATCGAGCGAGACTTATATTATCTCTGTCGCCAAACAAGATCCAAACAACAACATTCCTCCACCTCCCCCACACTCGTCCCCTATCCTTCTCAGCCAACATGCCCGACGCTGAGCCCATCAAGCCCGTACCAGCTTCCAAGCTGGGGGAGTATACCGTTATATCAGAAATTGCGGAGGGCACGTTCGGAAAGGTTAAGAGTACGTGCCTTGCTCCATTCGTGTATACGGGACTTGTACGAATCAATACTCGACAGTGGCGACGCATACACTTACGGGTCATAAAGTCGCCATGAAATTTATTTCTAAGCAGGTCATAAATGCTACACGAACAAAGAACAGAGTGCAGCGCGAAGTAGAATATATGCGTACTCTCCGGCATCCACACATCATCAAGCTGTGCGTCGATCTGTTTGCTCCTGTACAACTGAATCTAATCAATTTATCATAGTTTTGAGGTAATTTCAACACCGACAGATATCATTATCGTGCTCGAATATGCTGGAGGCGAACTCTTCAATTATATTGTTGCGAACGGGCGTATGCCCGAGCCGCAGGCCAGGCGCTTCTTCCAACAGCTCATATCTGGTATCGAATACAGTCACAAACTCAAGATCGTGCATCGGGATCTCAAGCCTGAGAATGTTCTTCTCGACGACGATCTGAACGTGAAAATTGCTGACTTTGGCTTGTCGAACGAGATCAAGGACGGCGACTTTCTCAAAACGAGCTGCGGAAGTCCGAATTATGCAGCGCCTGAAGTCATACGAGGCGGGCTTTACACAGGACCAGAAATTGACGTTTGGAGCTGCGGTGTTATTCTCTATGTGATGCTATGTGGTCGTCTTCCCTTTGAAGATGACGATGTACAGACACTTTTCACCAAAATCAGTCGTACGTGGTAACGTCTTTGTCCCGTGGTGATCTCTTTGCTCACCCGCATTCATCACAGAGGGAACTTATCATATGCCATCATTCTTATCCTCTGAGGCGAAGACTCTCATCAATGGCATGCTTGCTGTTGACCCTGTAAAACGCATCACAATCCCTGAGATTCTGCAACACCCGTTCTTTATAGTCGATCTACCACGTTACCTCCAGCCACTTCCGCCACCACCAGGACCCGTTCTCGGTACACTGTCTTCCCTTGTCACGCCCCCCACAACCCTCGACTTCGAGATCATAGATGGTTTAGGGCGCATAGAAGATGATCTAGTTGAAGAATTGGCTTTGCGAATAGAAGGAGTTGACAAGGAGGATGTGTGGGAGTGCTTAAGAAGGGACGACGGGCCGCAAGGAAACTCGATGAAAGTTGCATATATGCTATTGAGAGATAAACGAAGGCTAGGTCGTGATCGTAAGCACCTTTTCCTTGCTCTCAAAAACCGATCGACCTGAACATGCGGCAGTGGCACAATTCGAGGAGCAGGAACGTGATGCGCAATTGGCTGCTATGGATGTCGGTATCTCCTCGCATATCTCGTGTGTAATATACTGACTTTTGTTCGTCAGCCCCGTAACCTTGTCTCTCCGAGTGCACTATCACCCGGGGGCGGAGACCTAGAAGAAAACCCTTTTGAGACTGAATTCAACGGATACGACGAGGATGATGTCGACGATGGTCTAGACTTCTCAACACCTCAAGATGAAGTCGAAATCAACAACTTTGCAGTTCTGAATTCCTCTCTCCCCGACCAATTCCCCGAACAACACCATCTTGCATCATACGCCAACGCAAAACGATCGTGGCCAGTCAAAGAAAAGAAACAGCATCGAACAAAATGGCACTTCGGTATCAGAAGTCGGTCGCCACCCATGGAAGTTATGTTGGAAATATACCGAACATTGAAGGCGTTAGGGATGGAGTGGAAAGAGAAAGAGTACCTTGGAGGGTTGGGAGCAGGGAAGAAGAAGGGCGGGGAGAGGTCGAAAGTTGAGAGGGTGAGGGAGTATGACGGGGATGGCTATGTCGACCTCAAGGCTGCTGCATCAATCTACTTTGTGGAGACAAGGGTGAGAGTGCAGGATGTAGTGGTATGTCATTTTCGCTCCGAGTTCTCATTATTGCGCAGCCCTGACCCAATGTTTAAGGTTCTTATGAACCTCCAATTGTACATGGTCGACTCGATCAACTATCTCGTTGACTTTCATCACAAGCGGTCTTACAAAGCTTCCACAGAACCGGGTGCTGGAAAATTCGATATGTCCTTATCCGATGCCGCATCCGAGGCAGGTTCAGACTCCAGCAGGTCCATCAAAGAGAAGGAGGTTCGAGAGGACGAAACAGTGTCGCCGTTCGTGTTCATGGATGTTGCTTGTCGACTGATCCTTGAGCTTGCTGGTGGCGGCGACTAGTGACACGATCTTGGTGGGACTTTTACGACTGCACGAGACTTAGACGGGATGTACTTGTATCTGCATGCGTGTATGTTTCCTAGACCATCTTGCTTATTCTTTCGTAGACGACTCGTATATGTCTTGACGGCACTATGCATGCTTGTATCTCAGGATGTTGTTGTTAGGCACTTATATTATTATTTTTTCTTTCACTGTAGTACATCTTCCTGGGGACGTCTGCGACACGTTGTATGTACACCCATCTAAGTAGTCAGAATATTCGCAACAATGTATCTATAGGACAAGAAGGACATGAAAAATGTAGAAACTATCCAGTGGAGTGGAGTTAAAGCGCTCGCTTGTTGCTCATATCTAGTTCAGATGCCAAAAATACAGAAAAGGTTGTGAATGTGGCAAGACCCTAGTACTTCTGGATATCAGGTTTCCGAGGATAGAACGACTCATATCTTGAGGAAGCACATGCTTCTAGTATATATCAAGCCGGATGTCTGCAGAAAAGCAGGGCGCATGTCAACCTTCTACGACACAGGTACGATTGACCGTGCACACCTCAGGTGGAGGTGGTCTGTGCGCACGGAAGTTCTGTGGCACAACGCGCCCAAATTTGGACAATCGTTGACTGGAATCAGCGTGGGAATGGGGGGTCGGAGCAACAAAGAACGTTCTTCGTCTGATCCCCCGTCATCGCTTTCCTTCCTCCACTACCACCATCCCGCCTCGCTACTCATCAGAAACTCCCCACATAACCCTCTCAACAACTTCGTCAACACAATGGCTCGTACCAAGGTATGATTTTATGGTCTTTTTTATCGACAACGCTTGACGCCGTGTGGCCTGACTCGTTATCGCGCAGCAAACCGCCCGCAAGTCTACTGGAGGTAGGCCCATGCCACTCCTCCTACTTTCAATTTCACTGAGCACAATACCTTTTTTCTTATATAGGAAAGGCTCCCCGCAAGCAGCTCGCAACTAAGGCCGCCAGGAAGACTGCTGCCGCTGTATGTCAGCCAATAATACCCTCTGCCCCTTTCTGCTGATCTAAGACGACGTGCTGTGCGCGCCTCACCATATCAGGCTGCCACTGGTGGTGTGAAGAAGCCCCACAGGTTCCGTCCCGGTACTGTCGCCCTGCGTGAGATTAGGCGATACCAGAAGTCCACCGAGCTCCTCATCCGGAAGCTTCCCTTCCAGCGTCTTGTTCGTGAAATCGCACAGGATTTCAAGGTCTGTTACTCCCCCTGAGGTGTATTGATTCGAGAGCTATCATGCTGATCAAATATTGTGCATATAGACGGACCTGCGCTTCCAGTCGTCCGCCGTCATGGCTCTCCAGGAGGCTGCCGAGGCCTACCTCGTCTCGCTCTTCGAGGATACTAACCTTGCTGCTATCCACGCCAAGCGTGAGTTCTCGCTTTTTGTTCGGAGCCTCGGCATGTCTAGATCTAATAATCTGCTTCTTCACCCTGATCAGGTGTAACGATGTGCGTTTTTACAAATCACTCCTATGTTTGTCGTCATACTGACTCATATGTTTAGCCAACCTAAGGATCTCGCTTTGGCCCGGCGTCTCCGCGGCGAAAGGTCTTGAACGATCTGAGCACCCATCACCACTCCCACCGCTGTTTTTATTATCGTCTCGTGTGTTTACTTGTCTTTTGTTTGATTCCCGGTATCCTATGTAACTTTTAGCCCCGCTTATGTCCCGTCAAAATATGTCTGTTCATTGCACTTCCTTGAGGTTCTCCATGTACATTGAGACTGAATCCCATATTCTTTTGAGCAGAAACTCGTTGCGTGCTCTCCACATGCCCATACAGGTGAGTCACATGTTTGGTGCATACAATGCTTCAGATGCCCGCCGCTGTAGGGATGAAAACACCATCCCAACACTTGAATCCAACATCGGTCGAGATCTAAGTATGTACGAAGCATTCAGATTGGTGAAATCAGAATGACTGGATCACAAAAGGCACCAGTGACGGTTCGAGGACATACCGCGGTAGAGTTACACATCACAGCGACCGGAGAACCCGTCTCTGTGTGAGAAAAAATGTGCTTGGCAACGATGTTTGTGGCTGAACAAACATAAACGATCAGTCTGCCGAAACTTACAACAACGCAGAATGTCCCGGGCTCACTAGTATCGGAATACAAATCGAAGATCGCGACTTCTTTGCCAGTGGCGTTCGCTACAGAGTACCTGCGCACAAGGTGAGCTAGGTGAGTTATGTGATTGATATTGGACAGATGTAAACCCTACCAGCAGGGGTTGCTGACGCATGATCCCTCGACGTATGGTTTGCTATTCATATAGAATATGAGTAGGGGAGAGGAGAACGGCTGAAAAAAGATGATTACTCTAAGATACTGCCGACGAAGTTGTCGAACAAAAAGTCTTGAATATGTGTGTTGTTCGTGCCAGTGACATTGGGAGCTGGTCCAAGCTATATATGCCAAATTGACGTCAGTTTGGCAAGATATCAATGGTAAGAGCAAGTGCATGTAGCGAACATTCTGGTCCCAGTAGCTGCAGTGCCGACTATCAGTTCACTGAGATTGTATGTGTAATTGAACAAATCACGAACTTTTGAGTGATGTAAATCTGCTCGGACACCGTTACAATGAGTCAGCCTATGAAACGAATGCAAGGCGAATAGCACTCACAGGGAAAGGCACATTGTCGAATACAATGTTTTTCCACGTAATGCTAAAAGGAAGTGAGACATACTGCAAGGCTGATGTCGCGGAAATTGAAAACACCGTACTTGCGTGCTAGACCATTGCCACCAGTCCAGCTCTTGAAACGAGCAGCATACAGTGTGTTTTTCTATCATATTACCTTAGCAGAGGCACCGTACTTGGTAAATTTTGCATTTACCATGAAGACATTCTCGATCCTGGCGTTCATTTGTCCAATATCAACAAAAACCTGGATGGAATAATCACGTACAAGACATTTTGAACGTCTGCGACTTGGCCGCCCTTGCCTAGGGACCCAATCGAGAGACCATGGCCGCCCTCACAGTACGAGTTTCTTGAATTGAGACCAGAGCTGAGTGAATGCGTCTCGACGAACGCATAAGCAGAAGTCCAATTACCGGAAAATGATGTCCTTAGCACCATTGCCTACTGTCAGGCAGTCGTCGCCGTTGACTATGTCATTATTCTCGAACAGAAGGTCGGATCCTCCGGCAGAGAAACCTAAGTACATGTGCATCATCAGGAGGTAAGTTGTCATAAGTGATTGGATGTACACACCATCGCTATGTGTGAAGTGCGCAGAGATATGTGAGTTAGTTCCCGAGTCTCTGCCCATATGTAGTACTCACGTGTTGAAAGGGAACGACTGTCGAGGGTGAAGTCAGCACTCTGTACACTTGCATCTCGTAGATAAAGACTTGCATCAGTGTCCGACTTGGCGACGATCTTGTTGTTGAAAGCGTGTATGTTAGAGGAGCCGCTCGTAGCAAAATTCCACGCGATGGGCTATAGATGATTTTAACGGATAGACCCTACGCTGGCCATACTTAGCACGACTTGCCTTCCATAGTTTCATATCTCTGATAGTGCCATTTTTTATCTTGCTGAAGGCCCATCCGTGAGGTCTGTTCGTCTGTTGCATAGCATCCCACCACTGTGAAGAAACCGTTTGAATGCATAGAGCCGATACCGAGGTAAATGACTTTACTGACTGCTTGCCCATGTCCATCTACCCAACCCCAGTTGGGGTCTGTAGAGCCTTTCAATGTAACATTGTTACCTCCTTTGAATGTGAACCTGAATATGCGAAGGAGTGAGGGATGCATATATATGCGCTAAGATCCTTATACCGTGATCCTGAAAAGCTCTAAGACAGTGTCAACTTTTGCCAGATGGAGTGGTTGGAAAGTCAACGTACTGAAGAGCCAACAACGCCTGGGGATATCATGCAGAAGTCAGCTGAATAGGGAAAAGATCATCATTCTGTAGGCTTACCTTGGATAGTTGCGATATTATTAGGGTACGTTAAATTCCCCTGGATGCTCACCTCGACGTTATTCAAGACCGGGAACGTTACGGGAGTAAATATGTTATATGTGATGCCCTTTTTGAACAGGATCGTCGTATTTGCCGTGTAGTTAGCCAATGCAGCATTGAGGACCGCTGCGTCGTCGCTGTGGTCTGTGCTATGGGGAACCACGAACGTCATCCAGGCATGTACGAGTGGTAACAAGCTACTCGAGAGGAGGAGGTTTGACAGCATCACTCAACAGAGACGATATTCGAACAATGCTGCGCCGCAGGAACACAGAAATGGCGGCTGAGGTTACCCCGCACCGAAGGTTTAAAAGCAAGCAAACCACAGGCTTTCGATTGGCCATGTGATAGGTTGATACAAATTAATACCGAGAACCTTCCCTTGCCAGAAGGCACCTGGTCCCCGATCATGTCCTCGTTGACATTGTCGGTGCCTTTCTGAAGGAGTGACGAGCTGGGCGTGAATATGGGTCAAGGATCATGTATGCCTCTTCTGATAGCCTTTGAAAAACTTTCCACTTGTTCCCCACCAGCCCGAGCAGGGCTCGTAAGTAGAGAAGGCTAGTTCTGAACGTTGTAAGTGAACATCGAGATGTTTGGAAAAGGAGTGCGGTGCGGGGATCGTGGGGATTCTGATGGTGCGGACCGCCGGCCCGCCTCAGTTGGCTAAGCTCTGAATCGAGTTTGACGAAGTCAAGCCCAGTAGGGTTGTGACGACGAGCATATAAACAGATACTGCATCCTTCACGTCTGTGATAGTGAGTACTAATCTTGCCTCTCTCCGTCGACATCGCATGCGCATGCGCTGTGCCCTAGTTATCACATATTAGCTCCTAACTCTCAAAAATCCCAGGTTCACCGCAAAACAGGCCGAGCTCATAGACATGGCCAAAGGAAAGAATGTCAATCCTGCCGATGCTTTTCGTAAGGACATACTGGTTACCGGAGTCGTCATCACGTTGATTTGTTTGTTAGGGAAATCTCAACGTAAGAAAGAGCTCAAGAAGGTGCGTCGCTTTAGTTGAGGAGTATCCAACAGCGATGAAGTCCTTCCTCATTGCAGTAGAACAAGGCAGAACGGTCAAAGGCTCGCGATTTTGCATTGGTAAAAAAGGATACGAGTGGTACGCCGTTGTAGCTCTACTTTTAGTGACACGTTCATCCTATCTGGCGTCTCAGAATTCGAAGATGAGATTTCGGCACTATCCTCCAACCCTACACCTTCAGCCGCGGATCAAAAGCGACTTAAAGATCTGAAGACCGAACTCGAAAACATCAACAAAAAGAAGGAAGAGTACGTAGTCGAACATCCTGAACATCGCAGGCTCGTGTATCGCGCCCGGAAGTCGACAAAAGACCACAATGAGAACGAAGATATCAACCCCGTAGAACGAACCAGAAAGCTTTTTGACAAAAACGGTATTCCTATACACCCAGAACGTAGTATCTATTACGATCCTGTGATGAATCCTTTCGGTGTTGCACCCCCCGGGATGCCTTACTTGGAGCGGCGTATGTCTTTCGAAATTAGCTTTATCATGGATTCTCAATAACTTGACTTTTTCTATTCAATCTAGCTCTTAGACCTGACGAGATGCAAGTTGAAGAACAGGAAGAGGAAGGTACGGACTGCATCCTTGGACTGCGTTATCTGCACATTCATTCATCTATAGAGGGGTCCGATGACGACATTGCCATGCCAGACGGTCCCCCACCGGGCCCAGATAATGTTGAGGCAATGAAGCAGGAGGAAGAGGAAAGTGACGACGATATTCCCATGCCAGAAGGCCCACCACCGCCCAAACCTGGATCTGATTGTGTGTATAATGAAGTCATCATCTGTGTCCGTTATATCTGAATCGTTGGCCTACAGCTAACCCCTCGTATCCGCTACTACCTCTGTCTCAACCGCCTCCGTTCGATCTACATCCTCCATTACCCCCTCCGCCTGGAGTGAATATTTCTCAGCAAGGGTTTCCGCCTCCGCCGCCTCCGCCGCCTGGCTTTCCATTGCCGCCACCGAATACTTTATCTCTACCACCAATTCCTCCCGGTTTCGCACCGGGCTCAATACCCCCTCCACCGCCGCCAGGCTTTCCACAAGGCCCGATGCCGCCTTTTCCGCCAAATGCTTTCCCACATGCCTTCCTTCCTCCGCAAGGCTTCTACATGCCAGGAGGATTTCCTTCTCCCCCGCCAGGGTTTTTTCCACGCCGTGCACAGTCGACCTCATCAGTGCAAGACCCGCTCTCTTCTGTCCCCCACCAGATATACCAAGGTCATCGTGGAACTCGGAATGTTCCCCCTCCACCTACATCTGGTCTACCACCGCCTCCACCTCCACCTTCTGCAACAAATACTATGACGTCGGCAACTGTGTTCGCCGCACCACAAATGCGTGACCTCAAGAAAGAGAGCACCGCGTTTGTACCTGCGTCATTGAAACGCAAGAAAGCTGGTGCCGTTGCCGTTGCTGCAACTGGAGGAGGTCCGATCAACGCTGCGCCATCACTAGGTCCCGCAGAGGCTGGTGGGCCTTCTGTCGGGCCTCAGAGACCCGATCTGCTCAGCACTCTGAAGGGTCAGCTCGGTGGGTCTTCTGTCGGCCCTAAGGTGGACAGTAGCAAACCGAAAAACGACTACGAGAGATTTGTGGAGGAGATGGGAGACTTATTATGAAATATATGTTGCTCTTTTTGCATTCCCCATGTTGTTCATACAATCGTAACCCTTACAACAATCAACCTTCAACATGTAAACCTCCTGCATCAGATATGAAGTCGACTTCTATGACAGTACTCAGGTCTCATCTATCTCAAACAATGACTTCAACCATCGTGCCTCCTTCTCCATCTCATCCATTGTCCTCGGTACTCTATCTTTATCGGCATCAACTTTCAGCGGTTCATGACCGCCCTCCACGAGAGTTGCGGCAAGATGCAGCGGGAGCTCGTCCTCTGCACGCTCCAACTCCGGATAGATGTCGTCTTTGTGCTCGGAAAAGCGATCTCCTTTGAGTTTTCGAGGGAGGAGGTGGAAGTGTACATGTGGAATCGTCTGACCAGCGGCTTTACCGTCCTGGACGACGATCGTTGGAGACATGAGAGAATATGGGAAAGTATGGGATGTTAATGGCATGAAGGGAGCATTCACTTACTTGGCAGGCTACAGTGAGGGCGTCGGCACCGTACGCACGCTCTATTACACGTCCGACTTTTTGAATGGAGGTCATGAGCGCTGTGAGCTCGGACGAGTCAAGGTCTACTAGACGCCGAACGGGGCGCATTGGGCATACAAGGACATCTGGAAGTACCATGCAGCTTATGGACCAAATGACACAATGGACAGCTTACGACCGGGCACGAGGGGCTTTAAATTTACGATGGCGTACGAGAGAGACGTGCGATAGAACACCTGTCGTGTTACTTCGATGGTCGAGAACAAGATGGCTGCCATCAGGGCTTCAGATTAAGCGCCCAAACGCCTGTTCGCACTTGACTACCGCAACGAGATAAGGCAGTTTCTAAGTTTGAACATTTTTATCGTAGTATTTGTATGAAATACTATATGTGATGCTTATCCTTGCCTGATGCAGCGCTTCCTGCTTTTATCTACAGTCTACAAGCCTGCTCCGTCATGAAAAAGTGTCGCAGACGCCAATCTCATTCCTTTCCATAGGGTTCGTGCAGCATTTCTCGAGGACGACCTCGCACACCCACTCCTGTCAAGATTTCAACCTCGAGAGTCTACATGAGATAAAATCATTACCACTACACATCAAGGCGACCCGGGAAGGCGTACCTCTACTTGCTGCGTTGTGGTGTAGACAATTGAACTGGATGGAAAGCTGACTTGAAGGACCATCAAACAGTATGTGACAGGCTACTTGACAGTATTAGTACAACGCAGCTGAGTTAAAGATATGGAATGCGTACAACAAGTGAAGGTAAAATATCCAAGACGGCATAAGCACCATTCGATTGAGCGAAGTGCAGACAGATGGTTGCAAGGGTGGCGGCGGTATACAATGCCCCGCTTTCGGCAACAATCACGACCACAGGAAATATCGTCCGTAACCCATGGAAGGATTGTTTAGCGCGGTGTGCACACAAATAGGTAATTGCACCTTTGAAGAAAGGTCGGGATCTGTCGGTCAGCATTGAATGGTGAATTTAAATCGAAGTCGTGCTGTTCTCACTGGTACAATATGAATTGGCACCGATGGTTAGGAAAAAGTAGGCAGTCGACCAAGTCCTTGTGCGGGCTATCCCGGCTTCTGTCATATTCCCATATCTTGACCAGATCACCCCACTCCCAAAAGCAATAACTATCAGAGACACAATGGTGTCAAGTAGCTCAAATGGCAAAAGTTAAAGAGGCAAAGCTCACAGAGACAGCCAAGCATCGACAAGAGTGGCAGCGCCACTATTACCACCCGCCGATTGCATAAGACATAACAGCGCCAGACCTGGAATTATTTATTGAGCGTGAAAGCGAAGAGCACAGGAAAAGATATGTGCACGCACGAGTACCGCATCACCGAGTAATGCCTGAACGAAGTAGATCGTGTTTCTGGCATACGAAAGGGGCTGTGAAAAATCGTCGAAGTAGCCGACATCTCCGTTGACAAACACAAGTAGACCTCTATGGAGGTCTATCGCGATATGCTAGAAAAAACGCGTCTATTGATGGTGAAGGAGGGACATGCAATCAAAAGCACTTACAGCGGTTGCGAGGCTCCACATCAAGAATAGCACGAGCAGGACATACCGTGGTGTACACGATGCTGCACGACGCTGTAGAAATAAGATCACGGTCAAAAGTCCGAGGAGGAGTCCTATTTTCCAGTATAAAATTATGTACGGCGGCCTAACTGTGATAGATATCAATCGTACCGAACATGGCAGTTTCGAGAAAGAGACCGATATATTTGGCTTTGACCATTGAAATCCCCATCACCTACGAACTCTCTTGCAGATTAAGTATGCGTATCGTAGTCGGAGCGGAAAACGCCTTATAATATCATGCCTAGGCGAGTTGAAAAAAGCCAAAGCGTACTCCAAGTCATATCGAACGATTACTCACTCGGAGGGGGTTTGACCGGCCTGTGGGATCGAAAAGAAAAGTGGGGAAGGAAAGTGCTATAGAGTTGAGCTCAGTCTGAAGTCGATCCTATAGATATCAGCAGTCAGAGTGCACACCGTTCAGTGCCAGGTGTTGGCCAGAATCCACAGCTACGCAAAGTGTCGTCTCCGTCAACGAACGAAACAATGGTGAGGAGCGATACTATCAGCTCCAAGTCGTGATAGTTAGGGATTAAGAATGGGTTGTCGAAGGCCATGCCCTCATGGTCTCTACATAATCAAATAATTAATTAAATAATAGCGCACGACGGGGCAGGATCGAAGGTTAGTAACATAGCGAAGGCCTGAGAAGATGTGGCGCGTGGCGCTGCAGCAAGTGCCTAAGTATACTTGCCAGGATCGGTAATTTCGCTTATCCTCGCCTATCATTGGTCTTCGCTCCCTAGCGTACAGGGCTGGGATAGCAAAATAGTAAGGCGGTACGAGTGTCTAACAATATGGGTGGGCCATATGACGACCAAAAGCATCGCACATCAGTCATTAAGATACAAGGCGAATTTAGTTCGAAACCTCATCAGAATCTCACTGGTCGACAGCAAGTAGGTTTGTCAGCGTTCAAAACATAAACGAGCAAGAGAGACGAATATATCATGAGGATTTTGAACAACCTTCGGCGGAGTTGGCATCCGCCACATTGTTTGGGCGAGGAGCAAAGCCATCTGGTTCCCAAGTGCCTGGTACGAGTGCGACCGGAAGAAGCCAAGTCGCTGTGAGCACAACGCCATATCCTAGAAACGGTTTGAAGACGGCTCAGTCGAGGAGATGAACTCCGGGAAACAAACTTCCGACCTTTGTCGAAAGACTTGACTGCACCCCAACTCCATGCCAAAAATCCACCGACATATCCGAGATAAGGGACCAATCTTTGGGCAATCATGAGTCCTGGACGGAACTGCGGTGGGATGACGGTCAACGGGACATGGTCCAATAGCCATTTCAACGCAGTGGTTATGATAGCTGCCCGTTTGGCGGCTTCCAGTCGTCTATTGTTCAAAATGTCCAAGATAGGGGGAGGAAGATAACTTCACAGCGGGCAAGCTGAGGACTCAGTGAACTTGCGAAAAAGATATAAACTCACAGTCGATAGCCCCACCACGTAGCCTGAAACGAAATTTTGTCGCCACTAGGTACCCAGATCACCCTCGTCTTCGTGAATTTCTCTCTGGATGATCCCGACTGCACCAGTTCGTTTACCTTCTCTTCTGGTGGAGTAATTTCCTCTATTTTCAACGCCTCTGACTCTTCGGGCGGGGAAACGCCCTGGTTCTGATCTGGCAGTGAGTTCGACTCCACCTCCGCCTCTGTCGCGCTGACTTTCCCTTTTCCTTTCCATTTGGTTTTATCAAGAGCCTTGTCCTTCCACGCCTCGAACCATTTCCGTTCGGTGACGCTTTTACCTCCGGATTTGCCCTTCTCTTCCTCTGGTGCCCTATTCTCTTTCCGTCGTATTCCACCGTCTTTGCCATTGTCATTGCTGCCACCAAAAACCTGACCGTTGTGCCCATGTGATGAGTCCCGGCGAGAGTATTCTTCAAACGGGACCAGCATTGATACCCTATGCGCCGGCCTCTCGAACTCTAACACTTCCTCCCCATCATCGCAGACGCTGACGATATCCGACCTCGCAATCTCCACTTCCGACTCGTCCGTCGGCACAAGCGGCCCATACAGCATCACACTCGAATCGTCGTCACTGTATTGTCCCGATTCTTTGGCTCGCTCTGAAAGTGGTGTATCGGGAGAGACAGCGGAGTGCATACCAGGAATGTGAAGCCGATCAAGTATGGCGAATACAGACTGTCGACCTTTCTCGAGAGAACCGTTCATGATCATCCCATCTGATAGAAGAGAGAGGAGGCGATAGTCAGTGAGTGCAGCCGGCAAGAAAGACACTGGCGGCGAAGAGGGGGACGGCTGGTCGGAACCAGGAGCTTCTATCGCGTGGAGGTTAACGGGGACATTAGGGGGTGGAGATGAAGTTGCATCCTGGCCCTGTTCGGGCGCGACGGTAGTGATTGTGATAGCGGGGGTGGATATTGAAGGCATAGATAACAGAAGAGTTTGAATCCGTCGAGCAAGCGTCAAGGGCTCTGGGGGAGTATAGCTCCCAACAGTAGGGGTGCTGGGCTCGGACGACCCTCTCTTGTCATTGGTAGGCGTTATATCACCCTCATTATCCGAAGGAGGTGGGGGAGGCGGAAGCGGCTTTGAATCCGCGCGCTCGACAGAGGCAAGGTCAGCGCTCGCCTCGGACGCCCTGCGCCTATGCGAGCCCGAGGGTTCAGTGGTGGGTACACCTGGGGCCCATGAAGAGGGAGGGAAATCAGGCTTTGCCTTCTCCTTGTTTCGCCTGCCTAGCTTCGAAAAATGATCTAGTGCTCTCAGCTTCTCCCTTGTTAGCTTGTGACTGTCAGTGCTTCTGTTAGGTGGTGGACTTTCGAATTCGGAGATTGGTTTGATTGAGGATGATGATGTACGCCGGGGCGGTCGTTCAGGAAGGGGTGGAGTGGATGTGAGATGCGCGTTGTGATCGGAGCTTGCAGAGGAGCATGATCTGCGATGTGCGGGCCTTTCGACTGCTGTAGGAGATGTAGACGTGTGTTGTGTGTTGGAATGCCGCGAAGAAGAGTGGGATAATGGCGGACGGGCTGGTCGATGAGAGTCATACAGTGAGGATGACAGCTGTTGTGCATCCATGGCGCGCGATGAGAAACGGGATCTATAGGACGACGCAGAAAGCTCAGATCGTGAGGAACTTGGTTTCGTGTGAATATGAGAGGATGAAGCCACTGCTTGGGACATCTGAATATGTGTCTGTGTGTCATGTCGCGGCGTGTCCTGAGCTACTGAAGTTCGTTTAGGCGGCTGAGGTGCTTGCGAGAAGCCATCGGGGTCTCCAGGATATGGTGTTGGCGGCCAATCCTGAGGCAAACTACTATTGGTTTTTGGACTCGAAGCGCGGGATGTATTGCCGCCAGAATGTGATTGCTTGAGGCTAGATCTATCGCTAAAGGACCGCGCAAGACGCGAATGTACCTGCGCAGGTAACGTTGTGGGTGACATTGCTGCAGGTGAACAGGTGAATGTCTGAATGTCTCTCCACTGTCGCACAGTCAAGATGATCCACGTGCCATGATCTCATCATGGCAATGCCGAGGGTGCCGAGGGTAGAGTGTGATTGGACTATAACGCTGGTTTACAAGGACATAAAGTTAAGTTACAAGCTAATCAATCATCGTCATTGACCGATTATTCGGTCCAAATCTATAGTGTGTCCTCCCAAACCTCAGACGCGACCTGGTGCGCACAATCGTCCACATGTGCGAACCCGTCTCTCTCCCCAGGCCCCGCCAAACACAGCGATGGGCACCGCCCCTCGTCCATGGCTTCGCTGGCCACAAACATACCGTCCACCCCAACATCCACTAACCCATCATACCCTGTCTCACCCGAGCCGTTGTCCGCATCCGAAATACGCATGATGCGTGCCACCTTGTTCGTCCATGACGTCCTCAGCCGCCGCCGATGGTCAGAAACCACCAAAAGCCCTTCCTGCCACCCGTTCTCGAATTCGAAGCGCAGCTGCGCATGGCGGGCAGGCGTGACCGTCGAAGCAGTCGTTAACGTCAAATTGCGCAGGGCAGGGAGTGAGGAAAATATCCGCACTTTGGGGATGGGAGGTACGGAAGGGTGTCCCTCGCCCCGCGGAAGGGTCGCTCGAGGTGGCGGAGCGGTAGAAGGGCGGTCTCGGATGGATATCGTCGCGGTGGCCAACCCACGTCGTCCACGGCGAGCTCGAGGAGTATTGAGAGCGACAGGGCCTGGGGCGTCGCTGTCTCCAGCTAGTAATGCGGCTTGAAGCTGCAACGCCGCAGCACGTTCAGCCTCAAGCCACGCCTTCAGCTTTTTCTCCCGCTCTTTCGCCTGCTTGATGCCCGCCATCGCGCAGCTCCTTCCAAGGGCACGCCACTGACCATCCAAGGGCTCTCCCAACGTGAGGGGGCAGTTATCTAAGAGGAGATGCCTGAGGCCAGTAAAACGTCCTAGCAGCTCTTCCAGATCTAAGGACGTGATATTACAAGTCGAAAGGTCAAGGAGATCGATGCTGGGAAGTGCGCCAGGGTGTCTGTGCATAACAGGACCTACCCCCCGCGCAGGAATGCGAAGGCGGTAGTTCCGCACATGTTTGAATAAACGGGAGCTGTGCAAGCCCTTGAAAGAGTCGAGGCGGAAAAAAACAAGTGGTTGTGCGAAATTATTCCTCCGCGCGGATTGGGGGTCGAGGGGGTCTTGAATAATGGAGACGCTAGGCAACTCGCTTTCGTCCCAATTAGCGAAAGCATCCAGGGTTGAGTCGAAGTAAGCACCCTATTTTCTTCTTCGGGCGCTCTGTCAATTAAAGATAGACGATATGCAACGAACCTTCAGAGACTGGTAATAATTGGCCTTTTTCACGCTGAAGCACTCGATGATAAGCAAGGATCGAGCGAATGTTACACTACAACGAGCTTACTATGGTCTAAACCGAAGGAATATGAACTTGAGACCGCGGATCGGTTTTGAAAACAGCTCTTCTAGGCGCTCTGGAGCGAAGTCTGGCCCGATGCACAAACTCAGACGAGTGACGTTAGGGAGCTGGCGAATGAGCTTGATAACGACATTTGCATCGGCGCTCCAGGCCTCTAGTAAGAATGTCCTGACCAGCGCGGCGAGATCCTTCCTTTCCCGAGTCCGGCTCGCAAACTGAGCCAGTCTAAGTCCACTGATGAGCCGTACGTGATAGAACATAGGCTGCTCCGGAATAGGGGCGTGGGGGAGCGCTCGGCGAAGAGAGAGGGCAGCATATTGAAGCTCTAAAGTTGGCACGAAGTCAAGGATGGACGCATAAAGTTCAGCGGGAAGGTTTGCCAAAGAGGCGGCATTCTGGGACATTCGCGAGACCTGGATTCGATCATCAGTCAAGGAGTCGGCATACGAAGGACCCTGGCAATCACGCAAAATGTATGATATTCCCATGGTATTCAGACGGCGCGTAGCCTCGCATAGCGCCGAGCTCTGAAACCTCACAGTAGTTTTGGGGTCTCAATTTGGTCGCGAGTTTTGTTTTTTTGACGGTAGTTTCAGCCTGTTCAAGGAGGTTTGATATATTCACGTAGTCAGGCACCCATGTTTACAGCAACTATACTGCCCCATTTTAGGCCATTCCCTACAAAGATGATCATCAAGAATTGATTGCCTCAACTCTTGCTCATTGACTTTGCAGCTCCTATTGCCTAGAATGGAGATTCTCATTCTCAATGATGACAAGATTCTTACGTTCAATCCCATGGAATGGATCCAAGCTCGCAAGCAGTATCCTGCAGTATCCTGATAATTCTGCTCAAAGACCACCCGAGCTTCAGGCCTACATTGATGCAGCCCAGTGAATACAGAGTCCTGTTGTTGCCTCAAAAAACACTTGTTGTGCATGGATATGTCCGACTCACCTCGTTAAGGCGGGATCACAACATAGTCGGAAATCATGTGAGCTCTATCTTCGAACGCGATTCGGCAAATTTATCACCATCTTGTCTCCTCGGGAGGAGTATACCGAACATAACCTTCATTCGGGCAGCTCTGAAGGCAGTCGGACAGGCAATATTGGATGATGCACAAGCAGTACACTGAATGCTGCTTGCATGTCTTAGGGACAGGAGGATTGTTTTTTTAAGATTTCCTACGATTTTTTTCACGATTCTCACGATTATTCTCTTTTACGATTTTTTCAATGTCTGATATGATTTCCGGTAGTCTGAGGACACTCTGGTGAGGTCTGTTGCGAACCCGGTAGTCAGAGGACCCCGCAGGTCGCAAATTTTCACGGTAGTGGACCCGTTTTGGCGTATCATACATTTTGCGTGATTGCCAGGGGTCCTGCATGTGAGTATGATAGTCAGAAAAATGGCGATAATCAAATAATGCGGTCTATATATAGAAACTTAGAGCAAGGTTAGGTTTTAGATCTATGGAAAAGTAACAGTAATGAGACATAAGCTGGTGGTCGTGGGCCCCCGCTGACATGGGTAAATATACAACAAAGTTCGAAGTCTAGGGTAGTGGTATCTGTAAGAAGAAACGAAAATCATGTGCGGATCTAAAGATAGAGCGCGTTGAGCCAACGGATGTCGAGGCAAGAAGCATCAATGACGTACCGAGGAAAAGACGATCCTTTGACCACGTTCTCGTATTTTATCTTCGAGAGCCTCGAATCGAGGGTCGTGGAGAACGTCGCGCCAGTCATCACCGTACAGGACAAACTCTTTCATCGAGGGGAAGAGATCAGGATCGTAAGCGGCAAAATGCTCCTCTATGCACCTCCACTCCTCCGGATCCGTGTCGTGGGAATGAATGCTCAAGTTGGGGTGTGCATGGAGGCCGACGCTATGGAGTGAAGGATGCGGCGTCGTATAATGTGGAGGGGCGGTGAAGAAGATGTAATAGTTGAGCTCGCAAAGATGAGGGCACGAGGCAACGACAGTCGCGAGGTGATCCTCTGTGAGGAAACGCATATGGCTTCCGAGTTGGACGCATTGAATCCCTTCCCCGAACGTCTCCCATATATTGTCCAAAGCCTGATATGGCGGCAGCGCGTCGACAATGACGTGCGACAGCGAGGGGAGAGACCATACGCAGACCTGGCGAACGAAAATAGGGTTCACGTTCCGCAAACGAAGAACCTTGAGCGCAGGGAGCTCGACGTGCCGCTGCTGTCGGAGAAGCCCAAGGGACATATTGCCCGCGAGGGACAGATACTCGAGTTTGGGAGTGCGACTGAGGACTTCGTCGAGGGAATTGATGCCGCCGGTGCGTGCGGCATCGTTGTCGTGACACCAGTCAATGCGTTTGAGTGAAGGGAGGGGAGGGGCTTCCGCGGGAAATTCGAAGAGGAGAGGATGGAAAGTGCGGGCTGGTCTGACGAGGACCTCCAAATGCGGACAGTGGCGAAGGATGTCGAGAGCGGGAGGGGGGGACGAAGTGGGAGTCGCGGACTGCGAGTACTCGAGCTCGGCTCGACGGACCCAGCGACCTCGGGCAGGAATTGGGGCACCCTTCATGCACAGCTCGTCGTCCTCCTCCAAAGCGTGCTTCAGGGCACCTACACCGCGCGCAATTCTCAAGTCCTCATACAGCATCTCCGTACCCAAAGCCCTCCACTGCCTGCAAACACGCACGATGGCGTACTTTATGGCGAGCGTGTCGTCATGCTCGCTGCACTCGGTGAGGGCTTCTCGGAACGGGTCGTAGTCAGCAGCATAGAGGGATTCGTGGTGCGTCGCATAACGGAAGATTTCAATCCATAGCTCGGGAGGAAGGAAGAGAGACGAGTGGCTAGGCATTGTAGACAGTATGTTGGGGGCGGGTGCTGGTGGTAATGCGAATGCTGGTGTATCACAGCTTCAGCTGCGAGGCTTTATAGGCCTCCGACGACGATCATGGCGCAAGGAGCACGGCAGAGCAGCCGAAGCGACACGGTCCAGAGGTGAGAAGAAGATCGAATGACGGCTTGGTTAGCGCATGCCGAACGAGGGCCATCGACCTTGATGCGGAAGAGAGTGTAGGAATCGACATCCGGACTGACTGGCATGCCTTGTTCACTTTACTCCATCGGCAGCCGCGGCGGCAAAGCTTAGGGCAAGCGGCATCGCTCTGCGTGAGATCTTCATACGATCCATCCAGAGCACTCTAGGGCCTGCTGTATGTTGCACAGCAATCTTTCCTCGGTGATGTTTGAGTTTTTTTTTGCAATCAGAACAGTCGAGCTCAGGCGAGGCTCTCGGGAATCCCGCTATCGTCGAACCCGGCCGCTCACGATCTTCCGATAATGCCCGGCACCACGCCTCGCTGGATCCTCACGCGTCTCACGCCCCTCATAGCAATGACTTTGCAGATAGAAGCAACGCGAAACAAAAATAGCGACAAGGGGTGTTGTGTAAGGTACATAATGGGCATTCGCCGTCGCCTGCGCCGATCGGCTCAAGACTGCACAGACCCGAAGCCGGCCGGACAATTCTGCATCGCGACAGCGGACGAGCCGCTACGCAAGTAGCATATCTTCGCAACGATGCATTCCCCTGTGCATGGCTTCGTCATAACGGATGTTTTACCCTGGAAGGTGTTGAATGTCTGCGGGACAGATGCACGTTCTCGATCAGCTTGATTGACGGAAGACACTATGTCGCGGGTCCAACGTACCGAGACAAGTGTCGAGTTCGCCTCCATTGCTATAATTTTTTGGGAGCAGATAAGTTCGCTACGCTACGCGAAAGAGGTGGCGGAAACGCCGTGCCTTCTGTTACGCGGTGCCACCACGTAGCGTTCAAGGGATCGTCCAGGCTCCATCCGTCGATGCTCGCGCCATATGCTTCACGCGAACTGTACTCGTAAACGTAGGTAGGCCCGTTCTCGATCTGCGGGTCCAGCGATGGGAACGAGTTCACATCGCTTCTCCACCTAGATGTACGGCAGACATCAGTTATGTTCGCAGCGAAGCGTAGATAGATGACACACGTGTGAGCGTCGAGCACCTCGAACGTCTGTGGATACGTCGACCATCAGTGATTATGGAAGGGAAGTATAAAAGCCGTCGCGCAAGGCGCTTACCGCGGAGTCGACTTCGTACACTCGGAATCCCGAGTTAAGGTTGGTAATCGGCGTGAGTGAAGGGCCAACCTAATATGAAAATGAGATCTAGACGACTTGGACTGATCTAGAGTCAACACACCCAAGACACAGCCTGGGCAGTCTCCGCACTGATGTTCGTCGCGTTGTTGGCGTAGAAAATCTAGAAACAGAGAAAATATGACAGAAGGAAAGAAGGCCGTGAAGGCGCAATGCTCACGGAAAGCTGGTCCTCATGAGTATGGCCCCAGAAGATGTCTGCGGGCGATATATTAGGATGACGGCGATCCGTTTTGCTGCAATCACTTACTCGCAATGACATGAGGTGAGTAACGATCGACGCTACGATACCAAGCTCAGACAAGAATCACGGATGATATGCGTTCCGACTGACATTTGGTAAACTATAACAAGTTTAGCCCGAGAAATTTAGAAGGTAGTCAAGGACTCACAAAGATCTGTTGGGTTCTTCAACCCATTCGTCCCGTCCCATCCGCTCAGAACATGGCCCATAATCCATACTAGGAAGGATAGAACATTCGCATGAACCGAACAAAGCAGTGACAGATAACGGCGTACCTCGGTCCCCGGCATCCTCGGCCTCTTGCAGCTCATCAGTCAAAAATTTGAGCATACCAGATGGATCAGGATGACTCTGGTTAATATACGCGAACCAGTTCGCCCGATACCCTAAAAGCGGACTGATCAGTATCTCAGTCATATTGAGCGCTGGGAAGGCATACACAGGTTCGTGTTCAAAGTAATGATCCTCAGGCCATCTGTGCGTCGCACCATATACGCAGCATAATGCGCGCGCGCGAGGTCCACTGCGCTCTGCGGGAGCCAACCTTCCTGTTTCCAAAGGGAAGACACGTGATCGTAATTCCTACGATCGTATTTAGTTGTCGTGCTTGGCTCTAAGGAAGGGAATTTTCTACCAGCTGAACTGGTCGCTTAAGTTATCACCGAGAGTGTGGGGAGCATCCTGCGCCCTATTAGATGGTCAGGAAGCGAATCGAGGTATAAAGAATATAAAGAATATACATACTGATTATAAGAGTCATGATTTCCGAGGACGGCATAAACTGGCCCAGAAACGAGCATACGCTTCATAAGATCATAAAGAAGGGTCTGGAACCAATTTTTTGAGCATATACTATAGTATAGTATTGGAATGGTTGTTACCTCTGCATACATGACGTAGTCTCTGTATTCACTCTGTTATACATGCTGCGGATGTTAATCGCTCATAGAACTCACCTCGATAGCTGATTCTCAGCATCATGAGAAACCAGGTCGCCAGTATACAAGGTGAATGCAAACCCGGTTTCTTGCGTGCCCGTGAGAACTGGGATCGCCTCGAAGCCAGCAGCGACGAGTGCAAAAGGCGAGTCACTGTTGTATGGGTCCGTCACAACGACGCAATTGTGGCGCACGGGCGATGACGTACCAATGAAAGGCACCAAACCTCGGTGCGGGCAAAAGGGTCATATTAGGACTTGACGGGTTGTGTAAATTGTCACGGCAACAAGCGCCGGAGCTGCAATTTGCTTCAGAGCCCGTTTCGTACCCTAGATGGACGATGATGGAGCAGAAGGTCAGAAGACGACGGGGCAGTGATGAATTGAGAAATGAGGAGAGAATGTCACGAAACTGGGGTCAAGGTGTATATCAGAGAGGTGGAGGATTTTCAAGCGCTCTCCGCTAGGCGTTTTCGGCGATGGAAGCGGATCAGGTTTGGGCTTCGCGAACCACCCCGTCAAGTTTAGAGGTGATGTCGGGGGTACGGGGCATGCGCCGGCGAACGTATCGCAAATCATCTACATGGCCAAGAATAAAGCATACACTCAGCGCTAGAAAATAGGACGTCTACTGATGTGGGAGCTTGCGCGCACCTGACCATCAAATCCGCCAACGTCGGCACTCGCAAGGACCTGTGTGACCACCGACCCAAGTGCATCAGGACCGAACGTGGCCTCGCAAGTGCTGCTAAGCCGCAACTGGTGACAGAGGAAGATGGCAAAATCGGGTCCTTGGTCTGGCGCAGCTAATGACAGAAACTTGCCGACTGCCAGAAAAGCTTGACATCTGGCGCAGGTGCTGTTTGCGAAAATGGGGTTTGCCGCAATGGACTGAATCTGGGATTTCGCCTGCTGCAAAAGAAAGGACTCCGATGCCTTGGGGGGAAGAGGATGTGGGTCTGCCGTATCGTTCTGAGCAGGAGGTTGAGACCAGCATCCCAAGAGTCTGATACAAATTTTGACTACTTACTTGAGGTATGGATTTGGGGTTCGTGAGCGCAAACGGATATATTTTATGCTAGCCCCCCGAACGCGTCCATACTTACTCTCCTTCGGGTGCAAGAACTCCAGATGGCACTCACAGTCACAGGGTCCGAGATCACAGGTTGCACCTGCGCGGCAGTGGCCGTCGGGGAGTTGAAGTAGCTCTTGTATAGCGATGTGGGGAACGCGCCCGGAGCGGTGAACGTGTCTGGTCCATACGTCAAAGGAGACGCGGCGAGGACGCGGGAAGCCCCTGCCAGGAAGCTCAAAAGGCGGACTATGCGTTGGGATCCGACCATCTTTGGAGCGGTCTGCGGTGCTGAATACGGGGATGATGGGGACGGAACTGGTCGAAGACCTCTATATAAGAAAACCGCTCTGATGGTGGCCCTTGATTCTGAGAACTATGGGAACATGGATGATGGAACGACTTCCGTGCTGAATCGTTGTCCCTGGCACACGTAGATGTCAAGCGGGAGGCAGCCCATGATTGGGTTGTGTCGAATACGCCCATCAATGCACGCAGCTAAGTTGGTGCTTTAGGACACGGTCTGTGCGAATCAACAAATGGAAGGACACACGTTCGAAAGGGGAAATTGACATGTCACACGTGACGACTGATCTCGGGGAAGGCGCTAGGCGCGGGATGACAGAGGGCGCGACTTTCGCGTTCACTAACACTGATTCGTGAGCGAGCTGTGTGACTTGATTAGCCTTGTGTGGTATACACGCAAAATGTACATTGAGATGTACGGATATATTAATATACAGAGCACATACGCTGCAAAGACGATCCAAGAATTAAGAACAAGCAAAGCATAGAATATCGTGAAATGCGCTACGGATGTGGTCATACAGAAGAGGCAGAGGTGGTACAGCGAAACAATGGCACAGGTATGGTGGACGGCAGTGGATAGACACCATAGCTGGGTGCCGGCAATGTGGAATTTTTGGATATCGCGTGGTCTGCATCATGCGACAAGCTGAAAGGAACAACATCTGTGATGTTATGAGCGTGGCGCGCTGCTTCCAACAAGGCAGTGTCAATGGGACGTGATAGCAAGCGAATGTCGAGGACCGGGCTAACCTTATGACGCCGGTCGGCCTGTGGCATGCCCTTGCGATTGCTGCTCCTGCTCTTGCTTCTTGGCTGCCTTTGCGCGCGCCTTCTCCTCTGCCTGTCTCCGGGACTCCGTCCATAAATGGAGGGTGTACTCATGTAGCGACTTCGAGTATAACACCAATGGATCTGGACCGCTAGCGGGTTGTGGATGTGAAGAGTTTGCGAGCATTTAGAGCGGACGAGAGGATAATCAAGATGGGAGCGCACGGAGCAGACAAATGGGAGTGGATTATTGGTAAGGTGACATATGAAAACAGTATAGGAGGGTATATATATAGGAAATGGTCATTTTTCAGGGTACGGAGCTGAAAACCGGAGGACGACTATCCAAAACCCAATGATCACAATCTACCCGACGTTGGCGCTCCGCGGCCACAATAGCGGGGCGGCGGCATCTGACGACATGTACAACGTCATCCCAACGCATCTCATTTCCGACGCTCACGTGGTTCTCATCCTTTTTGTCTTTTGCGAAAAACCTGTTTGACGATTGCAGCGCTTTGGTCAGAGACTCTCAGACATAGCCTGCCATAGCTCCCGGCTTAAAACTTGTTGCTTGACGAGCACGAAAATCCACTTATGCCTGAAAATTTGGCAGAAGATCACCGCGCCAACAAGACAGTTTGACGAGGCTGCGAGAATGAACAAAAGGCTATAGGGAGCGCGTAAATCGTTGGGCCGCATCTAGGCTTTTTGACTCAAACACACCTTATCGAGCAGGGCATCGACATAGGAAATGTTGTCGGAGCTATGAGTCAAACCTTATCTGACCAAGCGTTGTTGGCCATGTTTCAAATTGGAAACCCTAGAAACAGAACCAGTCAACCCAGCGATCGAGGGTCTCAGAAATCTCTTCAAGGTACAAACTCTAACTTTGAACCTTGGAGCTGGAGTCGCGACTGACCGAACCATCGAGCACCAATGACCCTCATGAGCGGTGGAGTAGGGTATAGTAGCAGGGTGTTCTCCTCATTTACATATATTACACTTACTCAGGTGGAGCATCTCGAGTTAGCGCAGCGGTGTTCTCGGGTGAGTATAGAGCACGGTATCAGAGATGTTATCCACATGCTCTCTAAGACCACACCGCTGTCATTTAGCCCCATCGTAAAGGGGCGTAAAGACTCGCCGCGCGCCCTAAATAGCGCTAAACGACTTCGTTATGGCTCACGTGAGTAGTCCGGATTTCATCCTGGCGAAGAGCCCCTGCCTGACAATCATGTCCAAAGCGCAGTTAGAAAGTCTCCAATATAAGGTCCAGTTGTTAAAGAACAATAGAGTACAAACACGCCCACAAAACGGGTACCGACTACAGCGCGAGATGATTGTCCGAAGTTTGGGGATACATATTGTACGCTCTACCGTGTAAGTACCCAGTTCAACGACCGGACGCTCGATGAGCGCGCGACGAAGACGATCGCTGAGGATGCACATCCTCTTTGGCACGCACATCGAGCGTCGTCCGTAGATCGTGGTATCGCTGCAGATCGTAGGCCTCCGAGCGCGCAACGCCAGCCGAGTCGTTCGGTAGCCATATGATCGGAGCAGGAGCGATAAGCTCCGGCGCATACATGATACTCGACATTTCCTCTGCGTGGTCTGCGAATGACAATGGCGGAAGATACGGCGGTGCATCAGGATGGGTGCGTGCTGCTCGCTCAGTTGCAGTCAGATCGTTGAGCGTTTCAGTTTCTGTAACAAGGCTGAGCGTTAGTGGCACGTCAGGTGGGTCAAGCTGAGCATGAAGCTCAAGGGTCATGCGCGCGAAGGATGAAAAGAGACGTACGAAGTGGCACTGGGCCCCGTGTGCGAGTTGTGGATGGCATGACCGCTAGCGTGACGGACATCATCTCTAGGACGGACGCCATGGATCCTCGGGTTCGTGCCGCTCGTCCCGAAATAGCGAAGCTGGAGCTCTCCTCCGTTAAGCGCTGGTTGCGTTTCGGGCGAGCTCTTTTCGCGAATGTGTCCAATGAATTCTGAGTGACATGGCTGAGCGAGTTCAGACCCGGTTGTCGCATCTTAAAACACGTATATGCCTCTACGAAGACGACGGTGAACACAGCTGCTGCGATAAGGACACCGCCTTCTGCCCACAACTGTCTGCTGAGCAAGATCAATCCTAGAAGGAGAGGTTGCAGTGCCAGAATAGTCCCGAGGCGTTTCAGAAGCCACATTTGTAGAAGGCCCCCTGTCTGAGACAAGGTTCGTGCATATACGTAGCCGATCAGATAGCGATGAGCTGTACAACTTAGCATGAGTGATGGCCGAACTGAGCGGATTATAAGAAAAATACCGATGAGAGTAAGCAATAATAACACCGCGGCTGCAGGACTCATCAAGGGAAAGATCAGTGAGTAAGTAGATGAGAAAATTACTGCGAGGACACAGCAGCTTGACGCGAACAAAGGGCTGTAAGTTCTAGGGTATACAGCTAGTATATTGGGGATTGAACATCAAAGTCAGAGGTTTCGCAGAATCAGTGAACTCACCGCGGAAACGTTGACGGGGAGTGACAGCCTCCTTTTCGTTGCGCAAAACACGGCGAAGCCTAAGAGGCTGTAGCATGAGCAAGGCAGGAGAAATGATTGCGACATTGATGACGATAGCAAGCAGAAGGACAGAGATGTAGATGGCGCCGTCTGAAATAGTTTTTGCCCTACTCGTGTTCGTGCTAAGCGCTCCGAAAGCGTATAGGATGGCACCGGCGGCGGTCAACCAGATCGCCGCGACGAATGTCAACATATAGAACGCGGTCTTGAAGATTATCAGCTGATTAGCGGAGACGGAAGCTGTACTGATCAGGCGGGAGGATTCTGCTGTGGTGTCAGCACTGCCCGGCGGAAGGCGCATGTGGTCGAACGTACTATATAAACCAGCGATAGCAATCGCAATGAAAAGCGTCGCGCCAACGGCAGGAGCAAGGACGGTGGATAGTCCAGTCGTAAAACTGTTGTGGTTGGCCAGCGGCTGGAAAAATGTTAGATAGTGTGCATAGTCGGGGGCTGTTGCAACAGCTAGTCCAGCGGCAGCAGTCACTGCGGAGTAGAGGGACAGTCAACGGTGAAAAGGTGAAATCTCAGCTAGAATGCTTACATCCGATAGCCAAGAGGCATCCAGCCATAGCCACAATCACCCAAAACACGAGCCTATTCAATGGGTCGTTTTCACCCTGCAGTTCATCCCATCTGACGTCTTCCTTCGCTCTCCCCTCGATCAATTGCATGCCTGGGATATACCGCAAACCTCTCCCGACCATCAACCATCCCTTGATCCTGACACCGTCTGCGATGTCACTATATGCGTCGTTCTGGGCATCGGCAATCTCCTGGTTGATCGACTTCAGCTTGGTCCTCCAAGACCGAATATCTGCGTAGACAATCCCGAGGTCGTCATGGTCGAGCCCCGTGACCGGACGAACAAAAGGAGGCTGGGCCTGAAGACGGAGGTGTGGAGGAGCGACCTCGCTCGCGCGAGACGTCGCTCCTCGGTTGCGAAGTGGGAAGGTATCCATACGGTCCGAGGGTGAAGGTCCGAAAATCTTTGGCCGTCGTTCAAAATTGAACATCCCCGCTTCGCTCGGTTCATGAGCGGGCACCGGAGAAGCCTCCGCGAGAGGAGGCGACTCGTCCTTGCTAAAATCAATGGGTGCCTCGTGTGCCACATCGACCCAACGTTCGCTGTTTTCACCCTCATACTTGTCTAACTCAGATGGATTGCCGCCATCGGTATCTGTTGAAGGCTCGACGTAATTCGGTCCGAAGCGACGTGGATCGGGGAGTAATGGTGATGGAACAGGTATTGGCTCAGGGCTGAGAACTCCACCTTCCAATCGTATGTGGCTTCCCAGCGGCAATCGCCCGTAGAGGCTTGAATTATGATTGACTTCTTGGAAGCGCGTTCCGACGACGCGCTGGTGGATGCTATCGGAGAAGCTTGGTCCTGGATCTTCTTCGTCCGCGAATCGTCCTCCGTTCACACCCCTCAAACTGCCTAGCTTATAGTATTGCGAAGGGGCGACATACGATGTTGGTGTAAGTGAAGATGACGCATACGCAGGGTTTCGAGCTCTTCGTCTCCGAGCAGTGGACTGCAAATACATTTGTCAACAAAGATGCCGAAGGGACCGGCTGAATTAATATTTACCCTCAATGCGCGCGGACGACTGATATATGGGATCCCTTCGGTGTCGGACACGGGCACGGGAGTGAAATCCGCAATCGAAGGATCAGGCGTTGACAACCGGAATGACGAGATGTACTTTGTCTCCGCAATCTCAAGGTTCTCAAGAATCTCATCTCTCTCTTCGATTAACAACGCCAACGGCTGGGTATCCCTGCGATTAAAAACGTGGCTTCATCAATATCGTATTCTATAAGATACGGAGATTGATAACAATGGACAATTGTAGTCACCCTATGGAGAACAGACTTTGTATATCCACATCCAGCTTTTCCTCTTCGGCCCTTGCCAGAGGTGCATCCACGCCGGAGCGTTGGGTGTGTCCGTTGCGCCCGATATCATTGGACGGCCGATTATCAAAAGAGGAGCTTAACCCGGTCCTAGTGATGAAGTCTTTGAAGTGCTTTTCACCCCAGCCAGAGAAGCCGGGCGCGTCGCGGGCGCTCAGCCATCCCATTTCTAGCCCTCGCAGGTGCACGTTTAGCCAGCGCCTCCGGAAGGCAGCGAGCTTAGTAAACTCGTGAAGAATCTTCCACAAGGAAGGTATGAGGCCAAGAACAATCACGAAAACCGTCAAGATGATGATTCGAATACGCGTGTTGCTCGCGACATCGCTACCATCCACTATGGCTCTTGTCTGAGTACGGGGGTTAGATATCGAGATGTCCCTGTCACCGAGAAGTTGCAGCAGACGTAGTAGACTGAGATCCTGAAGGGTCGAAAGGAAACCTGTAAATCGAGGTTGACTAGCGGACTCTTGAATGCAGGGCGTGGATACTAGGTATAGAGGCAAGGCGGCGGCAAGACCGAGAATCGACCAGCCCGATGACAGGAGGAAGCATACCCACAGCGTGCGTTGGCTAAGCTCCTCGTCGGAGGGAAAGAGGTGCGCGTCACCAACGGGGGATGCGCCTGCGTCCGATACGTCTACCGGAATGGAAGGAACAAGGGGAACAGGAGGAGATAAGAATGCCCACAATGTGGGCTTGAGTGGCTTTGGGCGGAGACTGCGGAATTTGAGCGCTGAGGGAGCAGTGGGTTGAGATAGCAGATGTGAAGACTCACTCTTGTTGTACAAACCACTCTCTAAGACCATAAATTTGACGAAAGCGAAGGCGCAGAATAGCGAATAATAACTTGAACAGAGGTCAGACGCGATTCAACGCGAACGAATGGAAAGCGCTTACCCATAACAAGAGTCCAATAGCACTGGAGAGAACAATTGTAGCGAGGAGACCATCTGCGGACGCGTCGAGCCTGTCCCCGATACATACGCCCTGCCCACTCGAGGCCAAGCTGACGGGGGTCGCCGCAGATAAAACGGTTTGTACAGAGTACGTGATTGTCGTAGAAGGAAGAACGGAGGTCTGGGGAATAGTAGTCGTAAAGGTCCGTATAGAAAGTGTCTGTGAGCCAGAAGGAAGCTCGGAGTTGGAGGAATAGGCAGAGGGTACGGGCTGCTGTGTCGTGAAGGAAGCATTAGCGGACGAAAAAAGGGTGAGTATCGATGGGGATATGGGCAGACTCGTAGACGGTGATGTTATAGATGAGAGTTCGGTGAGAGTCTGAGATTGTGTCGCCGTGCTCCAGCGTTTTCGAACGTCATGACCGAGTTCGTTGAAAGCGCGTCGAGCTGGATTGGTTGTCCACGACTGCGCAGTCATGACTTGAAGGCAGTTTAGGTATCCGGAATGATTCTAAGAGCTCGTGTCGTGTCGTGAAATGGTATAGAATAAAGAAGATTTTCGTGGGTCAGAGCATGATCGCAGGCGTGTCTCCAACCAAAATCCGCTCGCACAACAGGTCTGTACCCCGATCACCACACCGCCCGAACAATCTCCGCCTGGCCGTTTTTCTATGCTGTGAACATATATTAAATGCGCACAATGCAGGGTCTCGCGATGCTGCAAGCCTACACAGTGTCGTATGTCAACTAACGCGTGGTATGGCAAGAATTAAAGGCAAGATTGTCATTTTCGTATATTGAGTCAGGTTCCCAAGGCTACTGCGTCTACCGCACGCGGAGGCATTTGTTGCATACGGGGTTATGGTCGGTTATGGTTCCGATCGAGAACTGCTGACCTGGAAGCAAAAGACTCACCAAAAGTCATCGACGAGTTGAAAGAATGCGGATTATGATAGCAAAGTGTTCTCATCGAAAGCTATTATGGAATACATGTGAAAGAGTGGAAGATCGGGAATCCTGTAGACCGGAGAGCAGTTTGAGAACATTTTCGACAGAACTATGTGGATGGGTGATGGAAAAAGAATGTGCGGATACGGAGGAGAGAGGTATCAGGATAGACGTCCTTAAAGGCCTGAAGAGGTCTGGGCGGCCCCGTGAATCATCACCTTTATTCAAGGGAAAGTGGACATAAAGGCACACCTAAGCTCAAATGCTCTGGACAGCACGCATGATATGGACGCCATTTACGAAGGCTTCTCATTCATGACGACAACGTCATTGTCTTTCGTCTCATTCAACTCGCTGAGCGAAAAGACCTTATGACCAGTCACCCATGGCGCTGGCTCGCCCTCAATGACGGGTGATGCAGGGCCGGCTTTCTTTGACCTCTTTCCCGGTGAGCGCGAAGACTCAATTTCGTCAAGGAACTTTTGCTTGCTTGGAATGCAACCCATTCTAGATATGATCAGTTTCAAGTGTTTGTCTGGGGTGATGTAGCATGACTCACTGGGGATGGAAGCAAGTATCCTACACGGTGGAGATGGGGAATGAAAGAAAGGGTGTTGGGGGTGGAGCTGGCAAACTGGACGCCACCCAGGGGCCTATACGTGAGCTAAATATCAACTGATACCGCTAACCATGATCAATTTCGTTGCGAGAAGATTGTTCTCTGCGTGATGATTGGTTACAAGACATTGTATTTTGGTCACGCGTCTAGCGCAGCGCTGTACCTATGAAGAACCTGATGCTGAGAAGTGGAGAAACACAGGCTCATAACCGTCCAGAGGGCCTGAGCGCAAGCTGAAGGTCGTCGAGGGACAAGAATAGATTTCGGTTGGATGTGTTCGTAGCGCCACGTGTTCATGTCTCTGAATATGGAAATTCCACGGATTGGCGCGCTCAGAAACAAGCGGTCACTGCTTCGACATACTTGTACACTCCTCGAGTCTGGGTTCGGGTCTAATACCATTCACAAGGGCAAGCGGGCTGTTGAACACATTTCTCTCTCACAATTGAACAATTCACAATGGCGAGCAACGCCCTGAAACAAGTGAGCGACAGTCCTATCGTCTCCTCGTACAGCAGCTCACCCCGGACCAACAAAGGCAACCGCTCCATTGACGCTACAGCAAGCGCAGACGAACGCGTTACTTTCACTGCTTAACCTAAATAACCCGGTGGAATCCACAGGTACAGCAGCCGCGTCATTGGGCAAATCGGGCACCGGTCCCAAGGTGCCTACAACAGGCCCACCGGTGTGGAAGGTCCTTGTCCTCGACCAACAGACCAAGGATGTGCTCGCGACGGTCCTACGCGTTCAGGACCTACGCGATATTGGCGTCACCCTTCACGTGTATGGTATCATTCCTTCGGAGTATTCCTGGCGCACCCTCTCATTGCGCCCACAGGCAGTTGCACTCACCTCGACCACCCTTGCCCGACGTCCCCGTAGTTTATTTTGTCTCTCCGACGCTCCCGAATATCAAACGCATAGCAGAGGACTTGGAGAAGGGCCTGTACGCCTCATACCACCTCAATTTCTCGGAGCCGCTGCCGCGGTCATTGTTGGAGGAGCTGGCGGCTGCGGTTGCAAGAGATGGCACAGGGGAGCTAGTCGAAGAGGTATGGGCTCCCAATGTTCGTGTTTGACGTGTGACTCACAATAAGTTCTACTCTCATCAGGTGGTTGACCAGTACTTGTCATTCATCGCACCCTCAGCGTCTCTCTTCTCCCTTCTTCCACCTCCACCTCCACCATCGGTACAGCCTGAACCCGGGCCATCTCACCTCATATCTTCCTACCACATACTTAACTCCCCATCCTCCTCAGAGCAATGTATAGAAGCGGAAATTGAGCGGATCGCCAATGGCTTGTTTAGCACCGTCGCTACACTGGGTATGCTCTTTATCAGACGCGTATGAGTAACCTGCGTACTGACGGAATGAAAAGGCCAAGTCCCTATCATCCGTGCGCCGAAAGGAAACGCGGCTGAGATGATCGCAAAAAAGCTCGAAACGCTCATACGCGACTCTATCCTTACCGCGTCTCGCTCACATGGCCCTTCCTTGTTCTCTCAAGACACGGTGGGCTTATCGAATCTGCAGCGGCCACGTAAGTGATCTTGGCGCTATGCTTCCATTCACGTTCTGAGGTTAGAATCTCAGTGTTATTGATCCTCGACAGGAACATCGACCTTGTCCCTATGATGTCACATGGCTGGACATATCAAGCTCTTGTCTCAGATTGTCTCGAGATGAAACTGAACCGTGTGGTCGTTACTCAGTCTCAGAAGAGGTCCTACGACCTCGACTCGAAGGATTTCTTCTGGGCTAAGCATGCTGCCAACCCCTTCCCACAGGTGGCCGAAGATATCGACACTGAACTCAACCGGTACAAGCAAGATGCGGCCGAGCTCACAAGATCAACTGGCGTCAGCGATGTCAATGACATCTCACAACTGTTGGTATTTTTTCCGGCCGTTGAACTGGATAATAACAACAATATTTCGACGCAGGGACCTCTCGACAAACGCTACCCATTTGAAGACCGCCATCACTCAACTACCAGAGCTCACCGCGCGCAAGGCTACACTAGACACACATATGAACATCGCTACTGCTCTCCTTGAGGAGATCAAGAAACGCGGTATGGACGAGCTTTTCAGCACTGAAGAGGCGATGAACAAGCAGGTGAGCTCATGAAGCCTTGAATCTGCATCGCTTCTGAGACCTACTCAATCGTGACAGACTGTAGCCTCCGTCCTCGAAATCCTCCGCTCGTCGAAATCAGAGGGCCAACCCAACGCGGTCGACAAACTTCGCCTTGTCCTCGTGTTCTACCTCTCTTCTCCGGACAACGCCATTTCCAAGGATGACATCGCAGAGCTCGAGAACGAGCTCAAAAAAGCGGGAGCCGATATCGATGCGTTTGAGTACGTCAGGCGAATGAGGGAAATATCTCGTATGATTGTGTCCAGCGCCGCTGCTGGTGGCGCGACGCCAGTTCTTGGCGGAGGGGGTCAAGGCGACAATATCTTCAGAGGATTCAGTTCTCTGAGCAATCGCGTATGTTACTCCGACCCCTCTGCGGCGTTCCCCTCGTCTAACGTTCCAATGTGCTTTCCCAGCTCGCCGGCCGTTTCGAAGGCGGAGGCCTGGGAGACCTTATCTCGGGCGTCAAAAATTTCCTGCCCACCAACAAGCTTTTCACGGTCACTCGGCTCGCGGAGGCGCTCATGGACTCCTCCTCGGCCTCGAACCAGTCCCTCCAGGAAACTGATGAATACGTGTTTCTCGACCCTCGTGCGCCGCGGACGAGCAACGCCAACCCGTATGGTGTATCAGGACCAGTAGGTGGTGCTGCCCGCGCGCGACGCATGGCTTTCCAGGAGGGCACGGTATTCATGGTTGGCGGCGCCGGCTATGTTGAGTATGGAAACCTGGAGGAGTGGGCTGGCAGGACTGGAAAGAAGCTCACGTATGGTGGGACGGAGATTTGGGACCCTGAGGGGTTCGTGAAGGCATTGGAGCGGTTGGGCAAGGAACAGTCGTAGGCATGTTGATAGGACCGAGTCGTTAGGCTTTTCTGTGTTGATTTGGTTTTTGTGTTTTGAGTATCAGGGACATTTTCATGATACTTACGTATTGTTCGTTGCATTTTTCTACGGCAAGGTCTGGTGACCATCGCCGAAGTAATGGCATGCATAACATTCAAATTGGACAAATGCTTGTGGAATTAATGAACGGGGATACAACAACGGCATACTAGAGTGATTCGAAAAAATTCATACAAATACATGGCTATGTCAGATAGCTCATCGATCACTTTTTGCTATTTTTCTGCATAGCGAGGATCTGCACGATACGGATGCTAGCACAATAAGGTTAAGAACTAATCGGTGCTATATATATATAACGTGGAGGGCGTACAAGATGTTGATCATGTCAAGCTCGAGGCTGACAGATTCCCGCATAGGATCAGGTGTCATGGCACCACGCTCTGCCATGCGAGCGTGCTGGAGAATCTTTTGGGTGCTAGATGCGGGGTGTCGGACGAGAGAGTAATCAAGGATAGAGGGAAAAGCTTACTCAAAGAGAACAAAACCGCTGAAGACAGCAAGACCACCGTAAAGAGATATGGACTCAGCAATAGCCAGACCGCGGATGCCGAGAGGGAGGGCCATTGGGGCCAGTGAGCTGAGTGCAACGACGGTGACACCAGCAAGGAGGGGCCCGCCCATGTAGAGGTACTTGTCATTGCTATTCACGGATCGGCGATCAGATGTCGATGAATTCGCTGAAGCGGGAAGACACGAGTACGCACGTCGCAGTAGCACCAACGTAAGACAGAGAGCCGACGACGCCACATGTATACAAGGCAGCACGAGACAGGATGGCAGGGCTCAAGAAGAAGAGAGGGCTCAAGGTTGCTGCCTGGCACGCATTGAACGCCTGATGGATGTCATGAGATCAGCCATATGAGAGCGCAGACATAAATAGGGTTGACCCACGAGCCAGAAAGCATGTTTCTGCACAGTCTTTTCTGGGGGCGTGTAGAACACACCCATCATGCTACCAATGCTGCCAACAAGACTGACGCCGAGCACAAGCCCTAGTCAAAGTCCTGTCAGCCTACTCGATGCGATCACCGGAGGGAAAGGATGTCTACATGGGTTAGCCGTCATGATGCGTAAGGGAAGGCCAGCCTTGAACATGCTCCGCGCAGCCAGGGCCGTCAAGACAAGGCCACCGCCAGTGTACTTGAACGAGTCATGCAAGTACGACTGTTCAGCTGCCGACAGCGAGTCGCGAGTATCGCGGTTGAGGAAAACTTCTACGCCAACGATAGTTCCGGCGACAGTAGCCTATCAGATGATGACCGTGTGTATGACTACTCAGGGACACAGATAATGAGGAGGTAACATACGGCGGTGATGGCGTATTTCTTCCAGGTTTCCTCCTTCGTCGGACGCACGACTACAGCATCGTTCATGATACCGCGCGCAAACGGCTTGGAGGATGAAAACACCGAGGACCCACTCGGTCGCATTTTGAGAGCATCGAGAATGCTCGAGCGAGATGTGCGGGTGCTCAAAGTGCGGAACGAGGGGAAGTGCGAGCCAGCGTGTACTTGGTTTACAGTTGGCCGTAAAAACGAGCGGGTGGACGTAAAGACACCCACTCGCAACATTGTTTCGGGTTGAAGTTGATGGAGACGAGAGAGAGAGATGGGTGGAGGGCAAGTCTGAACGAAGCTGCAGGTCGTTCAGTGCCGAAACTCACGCGTATGAGCTCGGCGTCGGCAATTACATCACTTTCACGTGACTGTGTACTTGCTCGAACTTCCGGGGTCCAGGCCTTAGGCAGGCATGAAATGGGCGGAAAACACAGCGTATACCAGGAACGTAGAAAACAAGAGGTACATACATCGTTGCCACGGAAGAAATTACTACATATTAATATTCGATACAACAAAAGCCAATCACCGCATGGTTCTCTGCAGCGCAGGGATTTTCGAGATGTCTATGATCCCAACCTTCTTCGATTCCAGGGCCAGCGCAATCCGGTCAACGTCCCCCGACTGCTGCCAGTCGATCTCGAAGATCCCGCGTTTTTGCGTCTCGGACCGCCATGACCATACTTTTTTCCTCTCCTGTGCCCGAACGTCGGTAAGAGATTGCGTGCTAGGCAAGAGGAGGAGCAAGACGAACATGAGGATCATATACATGAAGCCAACCGTCGCCGCCACCAGTCGACAGCCATCGGCCATCCGGACTCCATGTCAGGGTGTAGATCGGTCGTTTGTGATTTGTAAACACCTGGAGACACGCGCCAGAGACGGCATCCCAAAGTCGCGCCGTGTGATCGAATGACGACCTGAATGTATATAGCTCGACGACTTAGGCGTGGATCATGAAAATTAGATACATACGTAGCAAGGAGCGTACGCTTCCCCTCGACTGTCTTTGGGCACCAACCAATACCACTTACAGCACCTTTGTGACCCTCCAGAATAAGTGGTTCAGGAGTCACAAGGGTTCTGTTCCGCGAAAGGACAGGATATACGTTCCATATGCGTGTGGAACGGTCGTCCGAGCACGATGCAAGGAGAGTTCCCGAGGGATCAAACTTAATTTGGTTGATTTCGCTCTCGTGTCCCCTGAGCTATCCATGTGAATGGGGTGATGACACACAGAGACGCGACGTGCTCACTGGAAGGTTTTGATGGGTTCATCCACACCCAAGCCGAAGAGATGAATCATTTTATCAGCTCCGCAACTAGCGAAAGTTTCATCGTCAAGCCAGTCAACGTCCAAGCAGCAATCTGTGCTAGATCAGAGATGATAAACATTCAACGTGAACGAGAGTCACCTCCATGACGTTTAGATTGACTAAACAGCTTTTTTTCTTTGATATCCCAAATGCATGCTGTGCCATCCAAACTAGCAGTCAGCAACCATCGTCCAGTGGGAGAGAAGCGTGTCGAAAAAATTGGACCCTGTATTCAATGACGATGAGCGTTGCGCATTTGATCATGGGACAGTCATCAAACCTGATGTTTGTCGTTGGAGAAGTACAACTTGCCCGAGGACGTACACACTCGCAATACAGAATCATAGGAACCGATGGCGAGGAGAGTCCCGTCTCGATTCCAATCCAGCGATGTTAGGTCGGCTTGTGTGCCGTTCGTTGAATACGCTAATGTGAGCGGGTTGTCGCCAGTGGGTGAGGTGTCAACCTCGTCAGGGATGGGCTCCGACATGTTCCACAAGTGGACGATGGCGTCTTTAGACCTATAGATGATGTTTTTGAATGGAGATGCTCAAAATCGTATTCGAAAATTTACTGACCCTGATGCCAGCAGCTCAGGTTGAGCAGGATTCCAAGCACACACAAATACCTAGTTTCCTTTCCAATCAGGGTGTCGTTGCGTACAACGGATCAGCCATATCTGAAACGTACCTCTGTTTTATGTGCGTGCAAGAGTTGTATTGCTCCCGAATCGACCTCATCGTCGATGAGTGCTGGGGATCTGGAAGGTTTCCTCTTCTTGACAGAGTGATCATTCATAATAACATCCGCCGCAACCTCAGAGGGAGTGGCTCTAGAATCGTCTTTCTTTGCGCTCAGGTCTGAGAACACAATGCAAGCATCGTTGCGAAGATGCATTTAAAGATAAGAGGTCAGCAAAGAGAGGACAAGGGCAACACATACAATTAGAAGCTAGGTTCGTAGAGTCTACAAACGAGCTCTGGTCTTCAACATCCCTCCTCTGGCGCTTTTCGGACCGAGTGTCCTCCAGCGCCGGCATGGGAGACCTTCGCTTTTGGACTGTGCCTTTCGCAGACATCAGCTCATTTTCCAACGGCGCAGGCACAGGTGTGGGGATAGATAAGTTGACGCTGGGAGTAACACTGGCATCCAAGGAACACACGTGCAAGTTGAGGAGGGAGAAACCAGTTTTACAGTTGGCAGTGAGCGTGTTTCCAGCGTGATGAGCTTCAACCTCCATGTAAAGCAGCGCTTTACTCAGAAGATCGACGAGCTCACCCCGCGGTATGTGTTTCGTGAAGTGAGGGGAGTGGTCTAGGCGACCTTCATTGCGAATTGCGTAGGCTGAGTGCTGGAAACCTGGGCAGATTCGAAGAAGGAAACATGTGGTGAGTGTGACACTAGGAGAGCAGGGATATGTACCAGAGTCTTGGAGGTACGCGTGGATGAGGCAATTAATCTCGTCCGCGGATATTAAGATGGGTGCTGAAGCCATAGGCCAAAGGGAAGGAACCTTCAGCGATGAATTATAACCACTTACAAGGACTGAAGTCGCTGTATTCAAGACTGAGCAGGAAGTGGCTCAGGTGGCGTCTCGAACATACCTCAGCCACATATTTGTTCGGAGCTGATAATCATCATGGGCTTCTACCAGCCGAAGTGTCTGGGGTCCGGCATCCACAGACTCCGTCCCGAAGCCCCTGTTACAGTGATCCTTAAGTAAACTCGAAGTATGACATATGGGGTCGGAGGTATTGCTCAGCGTCAATCGGTGTTCTTCCTTCCCACCCGCAGCTGACATGCCACTCGAAGATTGGGAGATAGAACTCGGTGACGACGACGACGAGGACGAGTCCTACGTTGATGATGACGCTGAACAGGAAGATTATGGCCTCGAGATGGACCTTGAAGATCGGCTTGAGCGTGAAGCCGACGATGGGAACGATTCCCCGGAGACGCTAGGCGATATTCTTCGTAGTATGCTACCCTTTTCTCATTGCACTTGCATCGGTAATTCAGTTTGAACCCTGTAGCTATGGTTGAGCTTCGTGCACTTACTGGCCAAGCTGAGCAAGAGGTTCATGAATCGGCTGGTATCGCTTCACCTGCAACTCTGCAAGTCTTACAGCGACTATTGGGATCCCAACCCATGCGCGTGACTCGCATGCAGAATACTCGCTACCATGATGTTGGTGATAGCGAGGACGACGAAGACGATGGCGTGTATGATCCTGTCTGGGATCGCCGTCGTCCTCCACGCGGCAGTGGCAAGTGGTTTACCCCAGTGGAGGAACCACAGAAGGCGGGAGTGGAACTCTTGATGAGCGGAGAATTTGGGCGTGTTCAGCGAAAGATAGACACTCAAAGAAAAAGAGACAACGTCGCCAAAGCATTGCTCGCGAGGCGGAGCAGATTGCGAAGGACCTATCGCGAAGACATCACAAGTGTAAGCATCGTGTGCATCACTCTGTATGTGACTATATTCATTAGTTGTTCCAGACTCTTGTTCCTAACACCAACGGAACCGTTGTCGCTTCTTATGATCACAATATTTATTCTGGCCAGTTCTCTAACGGTGCGTGCATCAAGAACTTCATATCAGAATCATCAAACGATTCTCTCTACAGATTCAATGTTCTATTACACATGCTGTCAAGGTATGTGTTTGCTGTTGCATGAAAGTAACGACAGGCACCTATCCTTGATCAGATTTTCGTTTGCATGTATACGACACCACTGCTCCTCCAATCAAACCTCCACCCCGTTCTGCCCCACTTCGAGGACGCCATGGGTTTGTCCCCCCTGAACATGAAACAACGATGAAAGTGATCAAAACTATCGACGGACATCCTGGTCGTTGGACCATCACCGATTCTCATCTCAGCCCTGACAACGAGAGGTGAGCTTATACGCACATATCACCTCCCGCTAATGCATTATCTTTTATCGCGAAGGATCATCTATTCGTCCATTGTAAGCTCATTCTCTGTCCAGCGGGCGACATATCTGACAAAGTGCAGACGCCAACGGTGTATATGACTACCACGACCGACTCTTCAACGGTCCAGACGCCCATACGTCTTTCAGACAGAGACAGGCAGCGGTGGGGTGAGGAGAGCTTTGGTATTTACAGCTGCCGGTTCTCCGCAGACGGTAACGAAGTGATTGCGGGGGGTAGCGGGATGATCTTCGGTAGGAGCAAATTGTGCCATTTGCTTCAACCCAGCTTATATTGACATCACGATGCAGTCTATGATTTACTGGCGGATCGTCGCACAGTTAAAATCAACGCGCATGCCGATGACGTGAACAGTTGCTGCTGGGCCGACACTGCGTCAGGCAACGTCTTAATCAGCGCTTCAGACGATACGTTCTTGAAAGTCTGGTGCGTAAGCCGCGCCGCTATCTGTATGCAAAGGATCTCAATGATCTTGTAACAAAGGGATCGGCGGTCATTGGGGACCTCCAAGCGGCCCTCCGGCGTGTTGATTGGACATACGGAAGGCATTACCAACGTTTCCGCAAAGGGCGATGGGCGTTATATCATTTCCAACGGCAAAGACCAAGCCCTTCGGTTGTGGGACTTGCGCAAGATGTGCACGAACGAAGAATACGAAAACGTGCGCCATGTGACATATGGCATACCCGGCTATGATTATCGGTAGGTCATGATCAAACATTCCGGCATATTGTGCTCGTCATCTGAAGCTTTAGTGCTTTAGTTATAGACATTATCCGAAGCCCAAGGTGCTCGCCCATCCTAAGGACTGCAGCGTCATGACATACCGAGGGCACACCGTTCTGTCGACCCTCATCCGGTGTCACTTCAGTCCAGCCGAGACGACAGGCGGGCAATACTTGTATTCTGGATCAGCAGACGGCAGAATTCATGTGAGTGGTGATTATATGTTTCCACTATCGTGGTCCAATATCTATCGTAACTATAGATCTGGTCCTTGGATGGGCGCGTTGTACAGGTTCTTGACCGTTCACGCACTCTACCTATAACTTTCGATCCCTCGGCACCGGAACCGGATCAGACTTCTGGTACCCGTGCTGAAGTATGTGTGCGCGACGTGAGCTGGCATTCGAGGGTACGGATTTTTCTTAGTCACTGGAAGACCTCCTTTTGACCTGAGGTGTCCCCAAAACAGGAGCCTGTCATCCTTAGTGCTGGGTGGGAGAGTGGCACCATGGGAAGCAGAAGCAGCGTCGCGCGGCACGAATGGAAGGGACTCACGAAGATGGCGCCGGGTAGGCTTGAGGACTATCTAGAGCGACAGAGGCTCCAGAGTGGCGAAGTGCCTCAGTTGCAGAGGATGCGGATCCCAGGCTCCTTTGATGAGCAAGACGAGGTGTAGATGAATTGGGGTGGTTACTTATTTCTTGTTGTGCTTGAATCTGCTGTTGTGTTTGAACTTGTGTACTTTGTTCACTGCTTGTCGCTGCTATTTGTACGTTCACTCAATCGTTCCCTTGACGGTGGACCAAGACTACAGGATGAAAGCTGTACACTTGTTCCGAAGCGTTGTTCGCCGAGCGCCCTGGCCATTGGGCGTAAGGCTCCCGGGCTGTACGCTCCCTGTCACCTTAAAAGCCCCAGTTTGGATCCTTCCCTGTCTCTTCGCTTTCCTCATCGTACATCATGACCGCCACAAGCTCTAATCCTGCTGAAGAGAACTATGGATTCCCTCAAGGCTATTTCATCATTCGCTCCGTGGCGATGAACAGGCTGCTCGACGTTGCGCAAGATTCTCACGAGGACGGCAAGGAGATCATATTATGGCCCTCGAAGGAGACTTCCCTTGTTGAGAGTATGTCGTTCGGATTGGGCTGTGAAGGTCCTGCTGATTTCTAATAGTCACCTATGCATAGCTTTGAGGAGCCCGGAATCTAACAATCAGGTATATTCAACCGCGATATATATACGCGTCCGAATGATCGAACACATCTATACCAGGTGTTCTTCATCGACACCGCCGGCGCTCTCTGCTCGCGGGATTCGGGGCATGCCCTCGATGTAGAAGGTAGACGACCCTGCTGCAAAGAAAGCCTACACATGTGCAGTTCTTGACCTCTCCTTACCTAGACGGCCGCCTCGTCCTTCGTCACAGGCGCCCGATCTCCCACCCGTTCCCCAACGCGTACTCCCACCCCCTCCCCCACTTCCACTATTCCGCCGAGACGGGCGAGATCATGGTCAAGTACGAGGTCGACCCTGCATACCCCGATACCGACACGCACGACACGACGTGGCGTCACAAGGCGTTCCACCTGACCGCGATGCCGATGCGCAAACCGCGTACCTTCCTGGACGATGCGTCGGAGAAGCTCTCGTCTGCCATGAAATACCCGATGGCCCTGTTCTCCGGCGGCGCGCCGGCGTCGTCGCCGCCGCCAGTCCCGAGCAAGGTGAGCGAGGAATTCGACTTGAGGGAAGACGAACTCGAGGAGCAGGATCGCGGGGAGGAGGCCGAGGTCGACGACTCGCCGGAGCCGATCAGGAAGGTGCGCGTGATTGGGACGACGAGGTCACAGGCGGAGGGGCTGGGGGAGACCGCACGGAATCGTAGGCTGTGGATCGTTTCGCCCTTGAGGAAGACGTCCGCGAGGATTATGGGATGAGAAGTGGTGGTCTGCCTCGTCAAGTGGACTCTCGAAGTGCCCGAACGCGTTCTATGTAGTTATATGTGCTGTACAGTATACCATCGAGTTCCAGGAACATTTGGGATCTCCAGGAGTGCTTGAAGTTGCCGGCGGCTTAGATTCCGGCATTCGTTCCGGCTGGCATCAGCTGGCATATCGGCCACTTATCAGCAACGGCGTTGAAATACCTCCTTATCATCTTCCCCGTGCGCAAACGCTTCTCAGATACATCTTTGCGTCCAAAAAGCCTCCCGTGCAGCGCCTTGGTATGAACCATGAATAGCTCTGTTGTTGCTGGGATGTTACAACCTATCTCACTCGAGCGCAGGACACCCTAGGACACCTTGTCTCTATCTTTATGGCTTGGCCGTAGGCGACCTGTTCGTAGAGATACACAGAGATATACCGACTTATCGAAGGAGGCAGTCATTCAGGGCCTCTCGCGGTCCGAAATATCATCCCCATTTCACTTAAAGCCGGGGCACGACGATGAGATAGAGCGTTGCACCTTCCGTCTCCCACACCCGCGCACCCTGTCCGCGATGAAGTTGACCAGCGCGTTCCTCACCCTCGCCCTCGCGGCCTTTGCGCACGCACACCCGCACGAACAGGCCCTCCTCTCCGCCCCCGTCGCGGCCGCAGACGCGCAGGAGGCCCAGACGTGGCTCGTCAAGTACGGGAAGCAGGTCGACCTCGGGTACACGGGCCCGCTCTCGTTCTCGCACCTCGACTACCACCGCTGCCTCGAGGACGAGACCAAGGACTTCGATATCGCCGTGCTCGGCATGCCGTTCGACACCGCCGTCTCGTACCGGCCGGGCGCGCGCTTTGGGCCGTTCGGCATCCGCGCGGGGAGCCGTCGGCAGCACGGCGAGCGCGCGTGGACGCTCTCGTGGGGAATGGACCCGTACAGGCTGGGAACCAAGGTCATCGATTGCGGCGATGTGAGTGGGACGATTGCTGAGGCGTACGAGACGCGGGTTTTGATGATCGTGCACCCAGGTCCCGCTCAGCGCGTTTGACAATGCCTTGGCCCTGGATCAAATGGAGGTCGCGTACTCCACCCTGCTCGCGAGACCCGTGGCACGGACGCTTTCTCTGGACCCTCCAGAGCGCATCTTCGCCAAAGACGGCAAGGCGCATCCCAGGATCGTCACGTCAGTCCCGTCTCCCACCCCGATCCCATGTTCCATCGCCTGCATACTGACAGACCCGGCGTCGCAGCCTCGGAGGCGACCACACCATCGTGCTGCCCATCCTGCGCTCCTTGAACAAGGTCTACGGCCCTGTCTCGGTCATCCACTTCGACGCGCACCTCGACACGTGGGGGTACCTCCCCATCCCGGGGTCGTCCACCGACCAGTCCCGCATCACGCACGGCAGCTTCTTCCACGTTGCGTGGGAGGAGGGCCTGATGACCAACAACAGCGTCCATGCTGGGATCCGCTGCAAGATGGCGGTGAGTCCCTCCGTCGGCGTGTTGGTATCTGGGGCGGGATAACGAGCGTCGATTCGACCAGGGCGGTGCAGATATCACGAACGATGAAGACGTCGGCTTCAAGATTGTCTCGACGGACGACATTGACGACATCGGGATCAACGAAGTTATCAGACGCATCAGGGAGCGCATCGGGGACAGCCCCGTCTACCTCAGGTGACTCCCGAAGGTGTCCGCGTTTCCCGAGCCCGTCGCTCACACCTTGTCTTCCGCAGCCTCGACATAGACGTCATAGATCCCGGTCTGGCACCTGCCAGTCAGTACTTTACTTTTTGAACAGTAGATTCGGTACTCACACGACTACAGCCGGAACACCAGAGGCGGGCGGATGGACCGTGCGCGAGGTCAAACGCATCATCCGCGGCCTTGCGGGCCTCAACTTCGTCGGCGCCGACGTCGTCGAGGTCGCCCCCGCATACGACCACGGTACGTCCTCACGCTGGCCCAGAACGAACCGCCGCTGACCCTTATCTTGGGTGCTGTGTTTAGCCGATATCACGGGTATCGCTGCGGCGGACATCATCCACGACTTCCTCGGGACGATGCTGTCCTCCGAGCCGCCAAAATCGCGGGACGAGCGCGCGCCGTGGAGAGACGAGCTGTGAAACAAAACTCGCATTGCGGACTTTTTGCTTTTTTGTACACTTCTGAATGGATTTCATCGATTATCGAACGGGGTGTGAAGGCAGGCATCAAGGGTATACGATTCGTACATCTAGAACTACTCGTAGTACACAGTACCTCGTGCATCGATCTGAGGGACCAGGGGGGTGAGACTGGATCAGGCGCGCACAGAACATGTCGTTATATCGTCGTCGACGTCGCTCGTCCCGAAGCGAGGAGCGAAAGGCTACAGTCCGTTGCAAATCACGAAGTAAATACGAAAAGCGAAAAGGGAAAGAACTGAAAGCAAGACAAGATGTGGACAGAAAAGTAGATACTGTTGTACACAGTAGGTACGTGCACGCTCACGTACAGGATGCCCCTCGCTCACCACTAAATAGCCGCCGCAGTCGTACAACGCAGCATACAAAAAAGTCCGTCCGCCCGTCACACGCCAAGGGTGACCTGGGCCGCCCAATCACCGCTTCGCGCCCCACTGACCCGCAGGCTGCGCAGTCGCCGCGTCGTACACCGGCGGACTGTCGTCGTAGCGCCCCCCGTCCACCGAGCTCTGCGAGAACGGCCGTGGGCCCCTGGGGCTCGGCGCGCCCACCGCGCGGCCTACGTTCGTGTTGACCACCGGCGCCGCCGACGAGCCGCCCGCATACGGCATGTACGCCGCCGCGGCGGCGTGCTGGTCGCCCATGTCGGGGACGGAGCTGCTGCCGTACCCGCCGCCGCCGAGCGTGTAGCTGCGCGTTGGCTGCTGTGCTGGCTGTGATGGCGGCTGTATTGGCGTCGATTGGGGGAAGTAGGCGCTCGGTTCGGGGTGGGCGGGACTCGGCGCTGAATAGAGGAGGCCGGTGTTGTTGTAGGTGTCGGGGTGGAGGACTGGTTCTTGCGGTTGTGCGTAGGGGTTGTAAGGGTCGGAGTAGGCAGTGGGTGCGGCGTACTGCGCGTGCGGCGCAGCGACGTTGTTGTCTGGAGTGTACCGATGAGAAGCATGGCCACGAAGGCGACAAGGGGATGCTTACATGTGGAGGCGCCTGCGTTGCTCCCGAATGAATTGTTCCCGTACTGATCATCCCCGTATTGGGTGTTTTGTGATGCATACTGGCCATGGTCATACTGGGCGACCTGCGAGGGGTACTGAGCATGGTCGTATTGGCCGCCAGCCGCCAAGTAGCCCGTGTTCGCCACTGGGGGGACGGGAGGCGGCGACGAGGTGATGGAGATGCCCTGCACGTACGCGACCTGGGACGGCGCGTATCCCGACGTCGTGTGCGTGTGCGCCGAGCCCCCTGTGGCCTGCCGCCGAGGCTGCGGCGGGTACGAATTAGCCTGCTGACTCGACGGCGCGTAATACTCGTCCACGGCTCGCGTGCCCTCCGCTGCACGCGCATAGCCACCCGCGTATCCCTGCTGACCGGCGCCTGGGGCGGCGTCCTGGTAGTGCAGCGACGGGTGTTCGTCGTCTCCACCGTGGGTCAGCGGCTGCGTCGGGTCGTACTCCTGGAACGCAGGCAGACCCTGCTCACCCTGCTTCTGCCGGGCCTTCCTATCCGCCTCTGCCTTGACCGCGTCGAGCCGCAGCGGGTCGTCGTAGGCCCCGTTGCCGCCGGCAGGCGGGTTCCACCGGTCGCTGTTCTCGCGCTTGTTAAAGGCGTCGCGCGGGCGGCGACGGATGCAGCAGCGGCCAAGGCCGTAGAAGCAGCCGGAGAAGAAGAGGAGGAGCCAGGCGGCGAGGGTGAGCCAGATGGCGTTGCCCATGGTGGCGGAGCCACCGCTGACAGAGTTGATGCGGGACTTTGCGATGAAGAAAAAGGCGAGGTCGAAGATGAAGGCGAGGAGGGCGATGGCGGCGCCAAAGCCGGAGACGCAGGTGCTGAAGCAGGACATGGAGAGCTCGCGGACGTGGGCGAGGAGGCCGAAGAGGGCTGAGCCGGCGGCGAGGGCGAAGGCGACGATGTGGAGGACGAGGGCGTATGTTATCCATTTGACGACGACGTTGGGTATTTCGATGGACGTCTTGTTGCCGACGAGGGCATTGATGTCTGTGAACGGTCGGACGAACAATGAGACGTTTCTCTGTTCTTGGAAATCTGGGACAGACCTAGTTCATAGCCGACCGAGGCTTTTGAGCAGGTTGTTCCGTTGGACAGCTCCAAACAGTAACCCAAGACGCCAAAAGTGACGGAGCCGTTTATGCTTTCAACGGAAAGAGATGCTTTGAGGAAGAACACGGATTTGAACCAGGGGACGGAGAAGGAGACGACGCCGAGGAGGATTGTGGCGATGAGGGTGACGAGAAAGCCCGGTGTTGCTGGACGGAGGAGGCCCATGGATGGGGCCGTGCGTCGAAGATGAGTTGAAGGACAAGGAAAGGGGCAGCAGGATGGACGGTGCGAGAGAGCACAGTAGTTATGGCGTCTGCAGAGGCGGTGGGAGAACGTGAGAAAGCACCGGACGGATGAGCACAGCTCTCGAATGTCTTGTCGAGCGCAGCAGCGGCGGTCCCCTTCTCATTGCAATCCTTGGTCTCAGCCGTGGAGACCACTTCACAATCCGTACATACAGCTCGTTCTACTCGGCGTTCCACTCCAGAACGTGTATCGTCCGTCTCGACGCAGGGAACTCTCCCTTGCTTTTGACCTCCACCGCGTCCTTCACCGTCCGAGTCACCACAAATCCATTCTTCTCGAACACCCGCACGCTCCCTGGGTTTCCCTCGAACACCGTCGGTCGCAGATGTCGCACCCCCATCCTGGGGATCACCCACTCACGCATAAGCGTGCCGATCACCGCCGTCATGATGCCTTGCCCGTGGTGCGACGGCGTCAGGTAGTCTGCGAGGCCGCTTGGTCTTCAGGACTGGTCGCCTGTCATCACGCTGGGGTACGTACCTCCGATCTGCCAGATAATATTCGGGTCTCCTACGGGGCGCGCCTCATTCTCCTCCGACTGCTTTCGTTTCTCCTCGACGTCCAGTATCTCATCGAAGTTACACCGAATGAACCCGCAGTCGCCCAAGGGCACATCGCTCCCGTCCTCCTTCTGCTCTCGGATGACTCGCACCGGGCAGGTCGAGACGATCTTCGGCGCCGCGTCGGGCTCCTCGACGCTTGCCTTCACTAGCTCGTTCCATACCGCGTTCGCCTCTTCTATTATGACAGTCAACCACTGGACGGCATGCTCAGGCAGGTATGGCCAAGGCGGGCTCGACACCCATCTGTACACCCGGGGGTCGTTGAAGGCCTCGACCTTGGAAGGTACGTCCGACAGGCGCGGCGGGGTGATTATGATGTTCGACAGAGGCGGAGCGAGGCGCAGGTACGGCTCCCCCGTCTGTGGGTTGATTTCGAACGGGCGCAGCTGAGGGTGGAGGAGACCTGCCATACTGACTCGATAGCCCGCGCCATGTTCAACCGGGTTTTATACGCATGTACCTCAGGCGGCCCCGCAGCTGACCTAAAGCAGTAGACAGCCTGTGTATACTAGAAATCTCGTGTCTAAATCGTCTGGGGAGACCCGCTTCTCGCGATAATGGCTTCTACACTAGGGGCTACTGTGTCTGCTAAGACGATATGAGAGTGCTTGATCAAGGAGAGCCAGGCCTCGAGGTGGAAAGTGAATGTGAGATTTCATGGGGGAGTGGCACCTGCCCTAAACACCATCGATAAGCAGCAGGTGGCTGATAAAACTTTACTCATTGTCCATCATCGAGTCTCGCGGCCCCGGTTGCTTGCAACATTTCCCTCTGCTCTTTTTCCGCCGCGATCTCTGTAACGGACTCGCAGAACCAAACTTTCGTGTATTTTTCCTGTAAAATCTAGACACCATGGTGTACGTCCCTCCCACATCTTGGCCCCTGCGTGTGCTGATTAACCCTCCGCCATGACAGTAACTTCACCGTAGGCAAGTAGTGCAGTTTTCAGGCAGATCTACTTGCCAAGTACTCATGGGCTGGTCTTTGAACAGACCAGATCCGGCAGTTGATGGACAAGCCGACGAACATTCGTAACATGAGTGTCATTGCCCATGGTGAGTATACGAGCCTCTCTCTCTCTTCCGCGACTGACTGTGCTTCACAGTCGATCACGGCAAGTCCACGCTGACCGATTCGCTCGTGTCCAAGGCCGGTATCATTGCCGGATCAAAAGCTGGAGACATGCGATTCACAGATACAAGAGAGGACGAAAAGGAACGCGGTATTACGATTAAATCCACAGCCATTTCCATGTACTTCGAGGTCGACAAGGAAGATCTCCCCTCCATTAAGCAAAAAACCGAGGGTGCGTGCCTTGCGAAATTATCTCCCGATTTGCCCCTAATATCCTTTGTCATTCCGTTCCGTTTTGGACAGGCAACGAGTTCTTGATCAACTTGATCGATTCGCCCGGGCACGTAGACTTCTCGTCAGAAGTCACTGCCGCTCTCCGTGTGACGGACGGTGCCCTCGTCGTCGTCGACTGTGTTGAGGGTGTCTGCGTGCAGACCGAGACCGTGCTCCGTCAGGCGCTGACCGAACGTATCAAGCCTGTCGTCATCATCAACAAGGTTGATCGCGCTCTCCTCGAGCTGCAGGTGACCAAGGAGGATCTCTACCAGTCCTTCCAGCGCACAATCGAGACCGTTAACGTCATCATCTCCACCTACCACGACGAGGCTCTCGGTGACGTCCAGGTCTACCCCGAGAAGGGTACCGTTGCTTTCGGCTCTGGCCTCCATGGATGGGGTTTCACCCTCCGTCAATTCGCCTCCCGCTACGCTAAGCGTTTCGGTGTCGACAAGGAGAAGATGATGGTCAAGCTCTGGGGCGACAACTTCTTCAACCCTGCCACCCGCAAGTGGACGACCAAGGGCACAGACGCTGACGGCAAGCCTCTGCAGCGCGCGTTCAACCAGTTCGTCTTGGACCCCATCTTCAAGATCTTTGAGGCCGTCATGAACTTCAAGAAGGACGACATCGCGCCCATGCTCGAGAAGCTCGAGATCAAGCTCGCGCAGGATGAGCGTGATCTCGAGGGTAAAGCCCTCCTCAAGGTCATCATGCGCAAGTTCTTGCCCGCCGGTGACTCCCTCTTGGAGATGATAGTCATCAACCTTCCCTCTCCCGCCACCGCACAGCGCTACCGTTGCGAGACCCTCTACGAAGGTCCCATGGACGACGAGTCTGCCATTGGAATCCGTGACTGCGACCCCAAGGGTCCCCTCGTGTGCTACATTTCGAAGATGGTGCCGACGTCCGACAAGGGACGTTTCTACGCCTTTGGTCGTGTCTTCTCTGGTACCGTCCGCTCCGGTCCCAAGATCCGCATTCAGGGCCCCAACTACCTCCCCGGCAAGAAGGAAGACTTGTTCATCAAGTCCGTCCAGCGCACCGTGCTCATGATGGGTCGTTACGTCGAGCCTATCGAGGACTGCCCTGCCGGCAACATCGTCGGCCTCGTCGGTATCGACCAGTTCTTGCTCAAGACCGGTACCCTCACCACTTCCGAGACGGCCCACAACATGAAGGTCATGAAGTTCTCCGTCTCCCCCGTCGTGCAGGTCGCTGTCGAGGTCAAGAACGCCGCGGACCTCCCCAAGCTCGTTGAAGGTCTGAAGCGTCTCTCCAAGTCGGATCCTTGCGTCCAGGCATGGATCGCTGACACGGGTGAGCACATCGTCGCCGGTGCCGGTGAGCTCCACTTGGAGATCTGCTTGAAGGTTCGTCAGCCGTCTTTGATCGCATCCACCATCGAGCTCATCGCTTTCTAGGATCTCCAAGATGATCACGCTGGTGTGCCCCTCAAGATCTCCGAGCCCGTTGTCGGTTATCGTGAGACCGTCAAGGCCGAGTCCTCCATCGTTGCCCTCTCGAAATCGCAGAACAAGCACAATCGTCTGTACGTCAAGGCCCTGCCGATCGATGAGGAGCTCACCCTCGCCATCGAGAGCGGCAAGGTCACCTCGCGTGACGATTTCAAGGCCCGCGCTCGTATCCTCGCGGACGAGTATGGCTGGGACGTCACCGATGCCCGTAAGATTTGGTGTTTCGGCCCCGACACGACCGGCCCCAACTTGCTCGTCGATGTCACCAAGGGTGTGCAGTACCTCAACGAAATCAAGGATTCGTGTATTGCTGCGTTCCAGTGGGCGACGAAGGAGGGCGTCTGCGCTGAGGAGAACATGCGTGGCGTTCGCGTGAACGTCCTTGATGTTACCGTACGTCTGGTTTCGTGTCCGACGGACGCACTGTATTGTACTGATCTCGCTCGCCCGTTAGCTCCACACGGACGCTATCCATCGTGGTGGAGGACAGATCATCCCCACGTGCCGTCGTGTCACCTACGCCGCTTGCCTGCTCGCGACGCCAGGTCTTCAAGAGCCCGTCTACCTCGGTGTGTGACAACGTTGTGGAGTTCCGAATCGTGACTGATTCCCTTGTGTGCAGTCGAGATCCAGTGCCCGGAGAACGCCATCGGTGGTATCTACTCCGTGCTGAACAAGCGTCGTGGACAGGTCTTCTCTGAGGAGCAGCGTGTCGGCACGCCCATGTTCACCGTGAAGGCGTACCTGCCCGTCATGGAGTCCTTCGGCTTCAACGGCGAGCTGCGCGCGGCTACCAGTGGCCAGGCCTTCCCCCAGTGCGTGTTCGATCACTGGGAGTTGATGAACGGCTGTGCGTTGCTTTCACCGTGATCGATGTCCATCGTTGTCATTTACGTTTTTTTCTTCTGTAGCTCCCCTCGACCCGGGCAGCAAGCTCGAGGAGCTGGTCAAGGGCATCCGTATCCGCAAGGGTCTCAAGGTATGTGATTCGCAAGCTCGCGTGTGGAGGACGTGGGCTGATCGACCGCCCGCTTCAGCCCGATATCCCTGCGCTCGACACCTACTACGACAAGCTCTAGGGGCGAGTGAGAGAGAGGAATGTGCGGGCCTGTGTAGCTGTTATGTTCTGTTTACGTCCTGTTGTGTCGCTGTAGCGTTTGATTTACGACTTGTACTTTCTGCAAAGTCACGACAATTTCACTGTTTCTTGTAGTGAGCGTCGCGGTTGCGGCTGACTCGACGCGGGGCCGATACGGGAACGGAAATCGATTGCTCAGATATCTAACAGTCATACGCCGGCTCGGACCCGGGAGGGGAGGGCGTGATATAAGCACAGGAATCGAAAGAGGGCCGTCGGTCGTCCACAGAGCATACCGCAAGTCACGCGAAAACATGGCGTCGGAAGGCACTCACCATGAGCATCGAGCAGAACGCGACCACGACCTTTCCACGACGGAGGGCGTGCTGGCGTACCTCGCGGGGACGCGGTTCGCGGGTGCGCGGGCGGAGGGGCTGGCGGGGGGCACGGCGAACTGGACGTACCGGGTGTATCTGGAAGGAGGGGCGGGGACGGTGGTGGTGAAGCACGCGCGGGGGTACGTCGCGTCTGTGGGCCCGGGGGGGTTTAAGTTTGGGGTGGAGAGGCAGGTGAGTTTGCGTGCTTGGTTTCGATGTTGGTCGTCTCGCGGGCGCTGATTGAATACGGCGCAGGCGGTGGAGGTGGAGGCGATGCGGCGCGTGGGGGCGGGGCTTGCGGAGGGGGGCGGCGAGGGCGTGAGGGTGCCGGAGGTGTATTTGTTCGACGAGGAGCGGCACGTTATCGTGATGGAGGACGCGGGGGAGGGCGCGGTGACGCTGAAGCAGCTGTTGACGGAGGGCGCGGCGTCGAAGGAGGTGTGCGCGGGGATCGGGGCGGCGCTCGGGGGGTGGCTGCGGGGGCTGCACGAGTGGGGGCGCGAGGGCGGGGCGGCGGCGGAGGCGGGGGCGCTGGAGGTGTTCGACGGGAACGCGGTGGGGCGGTGGGTGACGGGGTGGGCGACGTACGGGCGGCTGGCGGATACGGTCGCGGGGCGGGGCGGGGTCGGGGCGCTGGACGAGCCGCCGCTCGGGGTTGGGGAGGAGGCTGTGGAGGTGCTGAGGGAGGTGGCGAGGGTCCGGGCGAGGGAGATCGCGGAGTCGAGGGAGACGATGACGATGGGCGATTTCTGGCCGGGGAACGTGATGGTGGACCTCGGCGCCGACGGCGGGGTCAGGATGTGCGTGGTGGACTGGGAGCTGGGGAAGCTGGGGCTGGGGGGGCTGGACGTGGGGCAGTTCTGCGCGGAGGTGGCGCTGGTGATGCGGTTCGTCGAGGGTGGGAGGGAGGGCGCGGGGGCGCTGCTGCGCGGGTTCGTGGACGGGTACGCGGGACCGGCGGGGATGGCGGAGGCGGTGGCGCGGGTGGCGGTCGTGCACGCCGGGGCGCACCTCGCGGTGTGGACGGGGCGGGTCGGGTGGGGCGCGCGGGAGCAGACGCGGGCGGTGGTGCGGGAGGGCGTGGACCTCGTCGTGGACGGGTACGGCGGTGCGGGGGCCGTGTCGCTCGTCGAGAAGCTGTTGTATTAGTCAGGCGCTGTGTCCGGGGACCGGCGGGCGTTGAAATAGACAGGCGAGAGCGCGCTCAGCAAGGCGAGACACACAACACAAACCATCCTCGCTCCCATGGCCTCCTCCACACCCACCCCGCTCTCCCTCCCCCCCCATCTCCCCTACCCCCTCTCCGTCCTCTCGCTCCACGCTGGGCCAGGCGACACCGTCGCACGCGGCGACCGCCTCCTCACATACTCCTTCGCCGCTAACGCACCGGGCGCGCCCCCGGACATCCGCTTCGGCACATGGGACTCCCCCCTCGACGGCGTCCTCGCCCGCTGGAACATCAGCGAGCGCGACATCGTCTCCGCGCGCAGGGCACACGGCACACCCGCCCTCCTCGTACAAGAGCAGTGCAAGCACGAGGTCCAGATGGGCGGCCTCTGCGCCATCTGCGGAAAGGACATGACCAGGTGCGCACCCGCGCACGCGTCCTCTCGCGCCCTCCCGGGTGGCCCGCTCATCCACGCTTGTCCAGCTTCGACTACACGGGCTTCTCAGACGCCTCCCGCGCCTCCATCCAGATGACGCACTCCGCCAACGGCCCCACCGTCTCCCTCGAAGAGGCCCGCCGCATCGACCGCGAGTCTGCCCAGCACCTCCTCAACTCCCGCAGGCTCTCCCTCATCGTCGACCTCGACCAGACGATCGTGCATGCCACCGTCGATCCCACCGTCGGCGAGTGGATCGCAGAGGGCGAGGCTTGGGAAGCTCGCAGGGCAAAGCGCATCGCCGCCGCAAAGCGCTCCCCGGCAGACGGTGACCCTGGCCCCGACCCCGACCCAGATCCTGACCCCGACCCCGAACCAGACGGCGACGGCGGCGGCGACGACGACGACGACGTCAATCCAAACTGGGAGGCCCTCAAGGACGTCAAAAAATTCAGACTCGGCCCAGAGTCCTTCGCCGCCCTCCCCGGCCGCAATCCCCGATTCCTCCCCAAGGAAAAGGCCATCGAGAACCAGGGCTGCCTCTACTACGTCAAGCCGAGGTACGTCCCATCCTGACCCCCATCCCTCCCCGCCTTCAACAACGCCCCCCACCCGCAGACCCGGTTGGCAGGAGTTCCTCACCAGCACAGCGACCAAGTATGAAATGCACGTTTATACAATGGGTACGCGCGCTTACGCTGAGGAAGTGTGTGCCGCTATCGATCCCGACGGCAAGTACTTTGGCGGTCGTCTCCTCAGCCGCGACGAGAGCGGCAGTGCGTCCCCGTTCTCTCCCTCGCTCTTCCCGAGTGCCGCGCTGACGGAGGAGACTCATCCATCGCTTCTCAGGTATGACCCAGAAGAGCCTCCATCGCCTTTTCCCCGTAGACACCTCCATGGTCGTCATCATCGATGATCGCGCCGACGTCTGGGAGTGGAGCCCCAATCTCGTCAAGGTCATCCCTTGTCAGCGCGGTTCCTTCCCCCACTGTCCGCCGCGCGCTCATGCTTCGTCTCTCTAGATGATTTCTTCGTCGGCATCGGCGACATCAACTCGGCCTTTCTGCCCAAAATCGACCCCTTCTCGGCCGTCGTCCCGAGCGACAGAGCCCCCCCACCTGCCCCGTCCTCGCCCACCCTCTCCGATGCGTCCTCAGACACCCTCGTCTCTTCGTCCTCGCAAGACGACCCCGGCGTCTCCACTCTCGAGGCGGAGGAAAAGGCGGAGGCGCTCAACAAAACGATGATCACGCAGAACTCGCTCGCCCTCGAGGCGCAGGTCGAGCAGCGGCCGCTCGCACGGAAGCAGGAGGAGCTGCAAGAGTCTGCGTCCGACGAGCCCGCTCCCGAGCAGCCCAGCGCCGCCGCCGCCGCCGCCGCCGTGCGCACTGAAAAGGAGGCTCCTCCCAAAGAGAAGCACGCGCGCAAGGCGCTGTTGCGGAACGACGACGTCGAGCTGGAGCGCGTCGCCAAGGTGCGTCTCGCCGCGCATGTGCATCGTCTCGGGCGTGATCGCGAACCATGCCGCCCGAATTCGCAGCTCCTGGACGAGGTGCACAAGCGGTTCTTCGACGCGTACGACCGGCGGCCGCCCGACAGCCACCACGTGAAGAACTACGCGCACGCACACGCGCCCGGCGCCACTCTGCGCCTGAACCGCTCCGCGGACATCTACGACGCCACGGTGAGCCTCCCCCGTTCTCGCGCGTGTCCGAGTACCATTCTGATCGGAAGCGTGCCGCGCGACCAACAGCGCATCATCCCGCGCATGCGGATGGAGACGTTCAAGGGCGTGCACATCGTGTTCTCGAGCGTGATCCCGCTCGACACGCGCCCCGAGACGACGGAGATATGGCGCATGGCGCGCGCGTTCGGGGCGACCTGCCACACCGAGCTCTCGAGCAAGGTCACCCACGTCGTCGCCGCAAAGGTGCGCCCTCGCGCCCTCTCTATTCGTTTATCTCCCCGGGGGCACCGCGGCTGACTCGCGCGCGCGCGCGCTCTCTCTCTCTCTTTCTCTCGCAGCGCGGCACGGTGAAGGTGGACACGGCGCGGAAGCGCGGGATCTGCGTCGTTTGGGTCGCGTGGTTCACGGACTCGGTCGCGCGCTGGGCCCGGCAGGACGAGGCGCCGTACCTGATGGCGGACCCGCCGCGGCGCGCGCGCACGGGCGCAGGCGCGGGCGGCGGCGGAGACGAGCAGCAGGAGCAGGAGCAGGAGCAGGATCAAGATCAGGAAGGGACGGACACGGCGAGCTCGTCGCCTGTGCTCGAGGCGCAGCAGATTTCGTCTGACCCGGAGCCGGACGCTGATGACTGGGATACGGAGCCGGGGGCGCGGGGCGAGGAGGGCGGCGCCGCGGGGGCTGGGGCGCGGGGGGACGTGAAGGCGCGGGGGCGGGTAGGGGTGCTGGCCGCGTCTGGCTCGGGGAGCGCGTCGGAGACGGGGAGCGAGGACGGGAGCGAGGACGGCGGCGGGGGTGGAGGCGCGGGCAGCGGCGGAAGCGCGATCCAGGCGCTGTTGGCGGCGGAGATGCCGTCCGAGGCGTCGGGGGAGGAGGCGCGGCGGCTGGACGAGGTGGATTGGGCGCTGATGAGCAACGAGGTGGACGAGCTGATGAACGAGAGCGAGGACGATGAGGAGGGGGAGGGGGACGAAGGCGAGGGTGCGGAACTGGATACGGACGAGTCGAATAGTGTCGTTAGGTGCGTCTACTCTCTCGGCTCGCGCACGCGCTCGCTGACTGGACGCTGATGATTCGTGGTTCCCCCTGCCTGCCCGTTTACCTGCTTGCCTGCCCACTCGCCCGCTCGTTCGCCTGCTTGCCTGCCTGCCCGCGCGCTCGCTCTTACAGCAGCGCGACGTCGACGCCGCGGACGAAGCGCAAGCGGGTACGCAGCGTGACGCCGTCCGACGGCGGCGGCGGCGGCGGCGTGAACGGGGGCGCGGACGGCGGCGAGGAGGACGACGAGCTGCGCTCGCCGCTTGCGAAGCGGAAGAAGCTCGTGGAGGAGCGGCGCAACTCGTCGAAGCTGCGTGAGGCGTTCTCCGTTGACGAGCTGCACGCGCGCGAGATCGAGATGGATGGTGCTGGAGGGGCGGGCGTGCAGGTTGGGGCTGGGGACGGGGCTGGGGTCGGAGGACTACAGGCGCCTGTGCTTGGGGTGGTTGCGGAGGAGGAAGAAGAGGAGGAGGAGGTTGCGAGCGGTGGGAAAGCGGAAAAAGAGGAGGAAGAGGAGGACGAGGAAGACGAAGACGTCGACGATGACGACGACGACGACGACGATAGCGACGATAGTGATGATGACGACGAGGAGGAAGACGACGACGATGACGACTTTTTGGCGCGCGAGCTGCAGGAGGAGCTGGGATGACCGGTCGACGCGTCGGTCGGCCCTTGCCTGCTTTCTGCGCGCGCGCGCGGGCGTGCGGCTTCGCTGCGTGATCTTTTCATCTGGTTGGGTTGCTCTCATTACTAGGCTGTATCCACTATCGGTTCCTCTCGGGCTCGGCTGGGCTCTCCCGTCACCCTCCTCTTCCGCATCTCTTCGTTCTCGCCCGCATTTCCTCGCTCGGCCACATCGGATCTCACGGCTGCTACATCGGCCCACACGGTTTCTTTCCATCATCATCACTATCATCACCATCATCACCATCATCCCTTTTATCTCTTTTGACCTTCTTTCTTTCTCTGGCAACCGTGTTTATTTTATTTGCTGACTCGGGTCGGAGCGATGTAGCGATGTATATATATAAATGAACGACGCCCGGAGTACGTGCTGTAGACAATCGAGATGGGTACCTGAACGAGGCCGTAGCGTACACCACACCACACCGCGCTGCGATCTGCCCCTTTCCCCCGCCATCACGCGCGCGCTCGGAGCTCCGCGCAGTACGCGCGCCAGAGATCATCGACGCTCGACCCCGTCAGATGGTGGAACACCGCGTCGTCGTACGCGGGGCCCACACTGACGCTGCTCGCCGCGTCGGAGCCGGAGTCGAGGGCGGCGTTGAGGGCGGGGACGGTGCGCGGGCCGTGGCGCGCCTCGAGCCAGGCGAGGAAGTACGCGGTCGCGTCGTAGCCCGCGTCCCACCTGTCCGTGGGGCGCGCGCGCCAGTGAGGAGGCGCGAGGTTCGCGCGGAGGCGGACCCAGTCTGCCGATCGGTCGGTGGTGCGGGGAGTGTAAGCAAGGACGCAGGGAGGAAGGACGGAGGGGCGGGCACGCACCGGCGATGCCCTCGACGAGGCCCGAGGGACAGGTCCCGCGCGCGTTGTGCTGGAAGCAGTGGACGGCCTCGTGCGTGAGCACGCCGCGGATCTCGTCCCGCGCGCGCGCCGGGGAGGCGGAGGCGGAGGCGACGACGTGGGTGAGGGAGAGGTGGATCTGCTTCGCGGTGTGCGTGCCGGTGGTGTATGCGACGCCGGGGAAGGCGCGGAGGATGAGGTCGACGGTGCGCACGCTGCGGCGGCGGGCGGGTCAGCGAGGCGCGGGGAGCGATGGGGTGGCGCACGCACTGTGCGGGTGCGCTGGCGGTGGTGACGTAGAGCCACTGGAAGACGGCGGTGACGGCGTCGCGGAGGGCGTCGGCGGGGTTGACGCTCTCGAAGAAGAGCTTGGCGCCCGGGTGCGCGAGATCGTCGACGCGCACGTTGAGCGTCGGTATCGGCCACTCTGGCCGTGGCGGCGGCGGCGGCGGCGGAGGCATCTTCGTCTTAGCACGACGACGGCCGAGTGTGGGGATCGATGATCGATGTGGCGTGCAGACGGCCGAATCAGGCGACGGAGGGATCATCGCGGTCATTACAGTATTAGCAGCGGGCAGACTATCGTACAAGTTACAGAATACAGCCTCGTTCCCGTTCTTTTCGTCATCGGGTCGTCGCAGCGTCATACAGCCGGCAGGCGTTGATCGGTCTGCGCGGGGTATCCACCACTTCTAGCGCAGAGGCGCGTCCCAGCTCAGTATCACATGCGTAATAAAAAGCAGATAATTAAAAACGCGAATGGGCCTCACCGTCCGTCGGTCAGCCCCTCGAAATCGCCGCCGCCGCCTCGACGCGCAGGACCTCCGCCGTGAGCGCCTCGATGCCCTCCTCGAGCCAGTGGCAGTACTCGACCGCGCGGAAGAGGACGCCGCTCTTGCCCTTGGTGCGGCCCTTGTTCCCGCGCGAGCCGCTGCCCTTGGGGCGCCCGCGCGTGGGCATGCCCGTGCCGGGGGGCGCGCCGGCGGGGGCGAGCAGCGTGGTGAGCTGCGCGTAGCCCTCGCGGATCGCGTTGCGCCGCTTCTGCTCGGAGAGGATGTGGTTCAGCCGCTTTTGCGGCGTCGAGAGGAGCGGCTTGGCGCGCGGGCCGCCGCCGGGGGTCGTGGAGCCCGAGGTGGGGGACGTGGGGGTGGCGGCGGCGGCGGCGGCAGCGGCGGCAGCGGCGGGCGCGGAGGTGGGGGGCATGTCGGGCGTGGTACGGGAGGTGCGGGTGTTGTGGGTGTTTATTTGCAGCTGTGGATGGTGGGCGTGGGGGTGCGGCTGCTGCCGCTGTGGGTGGTGCCGGTGCTGTGTGTGCTGCTGATGGTGCTGCTGCTGATGGGACTGGAGATGGGGGTGGTTGCCGCGGCTGTGGACATGGTGGTCGGCGTTGTGTGTGGGGGCAGCAGATGACTCGGGAGCCGCGGTGAGCGGCGGGTTGGGGAGGGCGGGGAAGGCCGGGGCGAGGGGGTCGTGGTGGGGGAGGGGCGGGGGGTCCGAGGCGGAGGGGGGCAGGGTGGGATCGAACTCCCAGTTGAAGTTGTCGAGGAAGCCGAGGATGTCGGTCGTCTCTGAGGCGGAGAAGAGGCCCGCGGACGAGGGGAGCGGCGGGGGCGAGGGGAAGAGGGAGTGGAGGGCGGGGTCGAACGCGAACTCAAAGTCGGCAAAGGGGACCGGCGGGGCGTGCTGCTGCGAGGACATGGCGGGCGGGAGGAGGAGGAGGAGGAGGAGGCTACCGGGCACGGAGCTCCCTCAGCCCGGTCCCGGTTCCGGCGCGGTCAGGCCCGGACTGCTTCGGTCGCCGCAACGCTCGTTTCGCGCTCAGATATTATTTTGTGCACTTCCCCGTTGGGCCCGGTTCAGCACGCAAAAGAGGCCGAGAATATTAAGTAATACGCGGGGAGGGTGCAAACAGGCGCACATATGTGCTGTTCGGGGCCAGGGCCGGCTTATAAGCGATGGACGGCGGGCGCCCCCTCGCACCGGCCCCCCTCTCCTCCAGAGCTCCGAACCCCCTGCCCGCATCGCCAGCTCATGTCAGCCCTCAGCGAGGCATCGGCCTCCACCCCGGCCCAGGACCCGCCGTCGATCGACACTCAGCAGCTCCAGCAGCACCACGACCAGCTCGCTCACCAGGCCCTCTCCCAGCAGCAGCAGCAGCAGCAGCATCAGCAGCAACAACAACAGCAACAGCAGCAGCAGCAGCAACAGCAACAGCAGCTGCAGCCACAGGATGCACCCAGAAAACGTGCGTGATCGCTCCCGTCGCCGCACCCCGCACCCCGTCCCCGCCCCCAGCCCGTCCGACGACGCCCTTTTCATAGCAAAAGCGCCCGCAGTGAGGCGCGCATGCACCGCCTGCCATGCAGGCAAGACGCGATGCAGCGAGGTCCTCCCCTGCCAGGTAAGCCGAGCCCTTCTCTCCTCCCCTCCCTTCCTTCCCTTCCATCCCTTCCTTCCCTCCCGCCGCCCCCATCCGGCGAGCCGACACCGCCCGAGCGGGCGCTGATCATCCGGATTCCTTTCTTTCTTTTTTTCAATTTCACAGAGCTGCCTCAAACGCGGCCTCGGCGCGTCCTGCGTCTACCCCGACCCCGACACCCTCGAGCACGCAGCCGCCCAACAGTCTTCCTCCGGTCCGTCCCTCCGTCCCCTCCCCGTCCCCTCCTTCCCCGCAGCTCACCCCAATCTAGCCCCGGGCGGCGTCCCCTTCGCCGCGCCGCTGCCGTACGCCATGCACCCCCCGAGCCTCACCCACCAGCAGTACTACGAGTACAACGGCGCCTTCACCGGCGCCTCCACCTCCACCTTCCGCCCGAACAAACGCCCCCGCCCGCTCACCGAGGAGGAGGCCGCCGCCATCACCCGCAACTTCTCCCGCGGCGACTTTTACGTCGGCGCCAGCGCTCCCGTGCGCATCGACCCGCGCCTCCCCGTGCGCCTCACCCTCGGCGAGGGCGACCACGTGCATTTCACCATCGGGGAGTCCTTGGTGTAGTCGCGCCTCCGCGTGCCTTCTTTTTTTCGTCTTGCTTTATCTGGTCATTTGTGTGTCTCTTTCTCTCCCATGCGTCTTGATTATTCTTGGCTTGGACCGTTCGTCTTTGCTTTTCTCTCCTCGCGTACGTTACGTCTCCCCGTGCCCACCCCGCGTTTCTTTCGCCCTCCACAGTTGGTTTCGCTTCTACGCGCGGCGTCGCCGCCTTTGCTCTTCATCCTGCATTCGCCCGTCCCGTGTCCCGTGTCCCGCGTCCCGTTTTGTTGCGTGTACGAGTACGTTTGCACCGGCGCAGAGCGGTGCTTGTATCAAATCTAATTCGAGAACCGACCCGGTCCGCAGATGGCTCGCGCGCGTGTCCGTCCGTCCGTCCGTCCGTCCGTCGACCGCGAGCGAGCGCGTCCGTCTCTATTCACGGCTCTGCAGGGGCTTGGCCTCGGGCCCCCTGCGCGCTTCACCGAGCGCGTGCCATCTGCATCTCGGCGCACGCGTGCGTATCAATGCGACGTGCTCCCAAGGGCCAAGGCGGGCTCGCGGCATGATCGACGCCCTGTCGATCCCGGGCGTCCTTTCATTCAAGGCGGCCGGCTGCGCGCATACGACTGCGCACATACATACATCTATACATACATACATGCTTGCTTGCTTGCACCCAGTCACTCGCGCGTAGGGAACCACACCGGCGCGATCCCCCCTGCGGGCCCGTCTGCGTCCGTCCGGTCCGCGTAAGTGCATAGAAATACATACATGTCCATCCAGGCTCCCAGCCAACTTATCGACCCGTCGGCGCACGCATGTCCATCGACGGCGGCGGCAGCAGCAGCGGCGGCGTCTGCCCAGGCTCGCGGGCGTACCTGCGTGCGCGTCGGCGGGCGTACCTGCGTGCGCGTCGGCGGGCGTACCTGCGTGCGCGTCGGCGCGCGCAATGCAGCGCCTCTGCCCGGCTTCTCCCGACGTGCCGCCGAGCGTGCCCCACCCCACCCGTCTGCGGCGCGCAGCACCACCGCTCGACGCCCCATCACCGGCCCTGGCCAACGCCCGCGCCTCGCGAGGACGCGCGATGGCCCGCGCGCGAGCTGTCGAGCTAGTACGTGCGTGCTGGCATTTCCGCGCGTGCGTGATGGACGGCGACGAGGGTGCCAAACGCGGCTGGACAGCGTGGGGCTGGGGCGCGTCGGGGAGGCGAGCCCGAGCGGGCGGGGTCGGGGGTGGAGCCCTTGAGACGCCAAACGTAGATATCCGGCTCGACCCTGTCCGCTCGTGTGCTTCGGTGCGTCGACGACAGCGCGTCGTCGACGGGTGAGGGCACCTGGTTTCATGGCCAAACAACAGGCGTGAGGAACACGCACCTGCGGTTTTCACCCCGACGCGCTCCGACGTCCATCAACGTGCAAATTCGATTCGATCCCATCTGGCGCGCCGTCGTCGTCGTCGCCGATCCACCGTGCCGTTATACGATATAGCCTACGTTCAGATCCCATCCGCACGGCCGGCCCTGCATGCGTGCGTGCGTGCGTGTGCCGTGCGTGCGCTCCCTTGGCACGGGCACCGTCTGCAGGCCCTGGTCCTTCCGCGTGCGATCTGCCATTGCACCCGCCCAGCCCCACCACGACCCTGAGCAGCGGCCTGCAGGACGCCCACGGCCCTAGGACGCACGCGCGCAGTCCCCGGCGTCGGGCCGTCCTGAGTCTCCGTCCGAGTCCGAGTCTGCGTCTCAGTCCGAGTCCGAGTCTGCGTCTCAGTCCGAGTCCGAGTCTGCGTCCGAGTCCGAGCGCAATCAGCCCGCCGTGTCGTCCGCGCGCGTGGGTGCCGCCTCGCGCGATGCGTGCGCGTGCGCGTGTCCGTGTGCAGCTTCCCGCCGCCCCGCCCAGCGTCACCGGCGAGTGCTAGACCAGTGCTGCTGCGCCGCATTGCATCCCTAGCTCCTGAGAGAGGCTCCTGAGACCCTGCCTGGACGCGTGTCGCCCAGGGGAGAGGGCGAAGGGGGGGGGGGGGGTAGGGAGATCGCCGTCCTATAGCCCCAAGCTTGCCCACTCCCGTGGAGCTCGCGCTGCGGGTGCGAACACGCTGCAGCGAGCGCAGACGCACCGCGTACCGCGGGCCCGGCGCGGGCCTATGTTTCGTACTGCGCGGTGCCCCCGCCGAGGATGAGATGGGATGGGATGGGATGGGGTGGAGCGGGACGGGACGACGTGAGTTCAGAAATGGGGCGCGCGAGGATACACGGAGGGTTGCTCGACGATGATTGGCCGTGTGCGGGGTGGATGGGGTGGGCGATTGTCTAGGCCCGGTTGCTGTGCGATTCCTGGAGTCGACTCGCGCGAGTCGAGTGAGGAAGTGAGTGTGGGTGGGTGAGTGGGGCCTCTCGATGGGGGGACTCGCAGGGCCTCGCGGAGGTTGTGTGCGCCCGGTTTTTCAGTTCATTCATCTCGGGCGGAGTGCCAACAGCAAGTCGCGATGCGTGGACGGAGGAGGGTCTCAGTCTCTCAGTCTCGTGGAAAACTGAATGGTAGGGCCTCGCGGTGCGATCTAACTTCTCATCGTAGTTAGCGAGGTAGTCCTCAAGAGACGAGCTCGCTCGCAGATAGGTCGACTCGAGGGCCCAGAGCGCGTTCATGAGATCGCCCGCTTGCCCCGCCTGGCACTCCTTCACATCCAAGCAGGCCCGCGAGCGGCCCCCGCACTGAGATCCTGGTGGAGCGGGTCCGACGAAGGGCGATATTCTCACCGTCAGGGCCCCGATGGGCTTGCAGGACTCAGTAGATCGCAGCCTTCAACGATCGGGGACGATGCGCAGTGGGGAGTGAATTAGGTTTCGGGGCCCCTCTGTGCGAAGTTGGGGCGTTTGGCGAGGGGAGTCCTCGAGAGACGAACTCGGTCGCAGATAGGTCGACTCGAGGGCCCAGAGCGCGTTCATGAGATCGCCCGCTTGCCCCGCCTGGCACTCCTTCACATTCAAGTAGACCCGCGAGCGGCCCCCGCACTGAGATCCTGGTGGAGCGGGTCCGACGAAGGGCGATGTTCTCACCGTCAGGGCCCCGAGATCGCAGCCTTCAACGATCGGGGACGGTGTGCGGTGGGGAGTGAATTAGAGTGAATTGGGTTGTGGAGCCCATCTGTGCGAAGTTGGGGCGTTTAGCATAGTACGGACGACGGTGGCGATCGATCGAGGTGAGTAGATGGTGGGCGTCTGGGCGAGCGTGTCATGCTCCCGACTCGCACATGATTACGCGGAGAGTCCTCGATACTGTCTTCGGTGGCTCACGAGGAGCGTCGAGGAGTCAAAGACATGTCTCGCTGAATATTTGTCGAGGAAAGGACGGGACCCGCTTGAGATGATCGTGGAAAAAGCGTGAAGTGGCAAAGCCGATCGGGAAGGCCACCTTGGCAAGGAACCAAGAACTGAATTGTCGAGATCCCCTCATCGACCTCCTCCTCGATGGTTCACGTCCAGCGCAGGACCCCCGCATCGACGGCACACGGCCATGCAGAGAAACGGGGATGTGCCAAAGTGATGAACGATCGCGCATGGGGCAGAGGGACTCGGAGCGACGGTGACTGAGCGTACCGCTCCGTCGTTTCCTTCCGCCGCCTTGGGCTCGACTATTTGTTCTGAGTGGTCCAACGGCGATGTCTCCCTCGCCCCACTCCCTCTCGCCCCGCCCCAACCTACTAACACGCTGCTCCCTCGAACGGCGAGTCCACTGCACTTTCGATGACGGTCTACGGCTCTTCGCTCTCCCAGTCTGCTGCTGGCGACGCGGCCCTGCCCCTGCACACGTCTCCGCGGGCCAGCGCATCGAGGATGGCGCGGTGGTCTCGGAGGCTGCGGCGGTCGGGGACGGTCGTCGTGAACCACGCGGTCAAGCACACGGGAGTCGGGATTGTCTGCGCCGTCGCGTACTTTGACCCGTGCGTTTTTCCACCTCGCCGTCGCCCCTGGACCTCCTATCTCACGTTGGTGGACCCTCGTGTCCGTGGACTGATCACGTGTTGAGACAGGGGAAACTGGGGGGTGGACCTGCAGGCAGGGTCGCAGTACGGCTACAAGCTGCTGTTCGTGGTGCTGCTGTCCGGCATCTTCGCCGTGTTCTTGCAGGTGGGCGCGGTCCAGAGCGGCACGACGTGCGGGCGACGACTGACAGACAGCGCGGATCGCCTGACAGAGCCTCGCGAGCAAACTGGGCGTGGTGACCGGACTCGGTGCGTCTTCTCTTGCGGCGACACTTGCGTGACGCATGCCCTGACAGCGACACCTGCACGTCCGATGCGCTGCGCAGATCTCGCCTCGCACTGCCGGCTGCTGCTGCACGACCGGCCGAGGCACACGCGCCTGGTGCGGTGGCTCGCCCTCTACCCGCTCTACGTCCTCTCCGAGGTGGGCATCGTCGCGACAGACCTCGCAGAGCTCCTGGGCTCCGCCATCGCCCTCTGCATGCTCTTCCCGAGCCTTCCGCTCTGGGCCGGCGTCCTGCTCACCTCGGCGGACGTCCTCGTCATCCTCGCGCTCGGCGACCCCCTCCGCGGGCGCCCCGTCAAGATGTTCGAGCTGCTCATCGCCGTCCTCGTGCGTCTCTGCTCGTTGCGGTCCATTCCGCGGTCGTCCCGCTCACCCGGGGCCATCTATATATATATAGGTGATCGCCGTCTTGGTCTGCATGTGCATCATCATCTCCCGGGTCGACGTCGTCCGGGACCAGGCCTTCGAGGGCTATCTCCCCTCCAAGACCGTCTTCCAATCCGGCGCGCTCTACACCTGTGAGCCTTGGCTCGCCGCCCCCGCGACAGACCCCGCTCACGCCCCGCTGTATTTTTAGCCGTGGGCATCCTCGGCGCAACCGTCATGCCGCACAGTCTCTTCCTCGGCTCGGCCCTTGCCACACAAGACCGCGTCTCGCCCAATCCGGACAAACTCGCACGCTCGGACGCCTCCTGCTCCTCCTCCTCGACCTCCGGAAGCCAGCTCGGGTCGATCCGCCGCCTGTCTCCCCGCTCCATCTGGCGCGCGCTCGCCGACCGGTTCCGCACGCCCCCGCCTCGGTCGACCGGGCCCGAGCCCAAGAACCACGGGGAGCGCGAGAACCAGCCGCTCTCGTTCGTCCGCGCCCACCTGTCCCACGGCATCGCGGACATCGTCATCAGCCTGCTGGGGTTTGCGGTCGTGATCAACTCGCTGTCCGTCTTTCTCCGACGTCCGTCCGACGCGCGCTGACCCACTAATAGCATCCTCGTCCTTGCCTCGGCCGTGTTCTACTACGGCCCCGAGAGCACCGATGCTTCGGAAAACCCCGCAAGCTTGTTCGACGCACACGATCTCATCAAGCAGACCGTCGGCAGCGGTAAGTCCCTCGCCCGAGCACCTTTCGCAGCGGTGCCGTGTTGATCCTTCCCAGGCGCCGCAATCATGTTCGCCCTCGCCCTCCTTTGCGCCGGTCAAAGCTCCTCCATCATCGCCACCGTCGCAGGTCAAAACGTCTCCGAAGGCTTCATTCGCTGGCGCACCTCCGTGAGCGCCCCTGCATCGAGTCCGAACCAGCAGCACTCATTCTGCCCGTCTATAGCCTGTCCTCCGTCGCATCTACACCCGTCTCCTCGGCCTCATCCCCTCCATGGCCGTGGCAATCGCCGTCGGCCGCCCCGGCATCAACACCCTCCTCGTCCTCTCCCAGGTCGTGCTCGCCATCGTGCTCCCCTTCATCGTCTTTCCCCTTGTCTGGCTCACCTCCACGCGCGCGGTCATGACCGTCCGGAGCGACCAACCGCCGCGCTCGCCCGAGGAGGACGACAAGGCCGCCGCGACCACCACGACAACCGACGGTTCGTGTGAGAACGACGCGGACGCGCGGAACGAGGGCAGCGTCGACATCGAGGGCGCGCGCGACGCGATGGTCGACTTTAGCAACGGCTGGATCGTCGCCGGCGTCGGCTACGGCATCTGGCTGATCGTCGTCGTCGCGAACCTGTATGTGCTCATCGAGCTGATGCTCGGCAACGACTAGGCCCCCCCCCCCCCCCCCCGTTTCCGGCGCATCCTTTCTCACCGTCAGAGGTTGATATATCATTCATGCGGGGGCGCATATCTATTTAGGTTTGAGGAGCGGCGGCGGAGGAAGCAGCCGAGTCGCATCTGTCAGTCGTCGCATGGCTATCGTTTTGGAAATGTATCTCTCTAGCTTTGGTTCACACGTCTTGACTCTCGGTGTAATGTATTAAACAACGCTTCGGGTTTTTTTTCGGGACGACGGACAGAGCCGTCGGGATGCGTATTGCGATGTGAGAGGCAGGTATGCAAGGTACAGATGAAGCGACATGAAGTTCAGTAGAGCTTCTCGAGCGGGTTGATGACCGTTCCCATCTGTCCGGCGGAGAGCGGCGCAAAAAAAAAAAAAAAAAACATAAATCAGCCGCCGCCGCCACCGCCGCCACAGTCCAACAAAGGACCACCACCGCACCTTTTTCGTGATCCTCGGCACGGTCGCGCGCTGGAACCCGGCGCGCGTGTTCCACTCGACGCCGAGCGGCGTCTCGAGGCTGCGCGCGTACTGCGCCGCGCTCGTGTACGGGTACGGCAGGTCCCGCACCGCGTACTTGGCCGCCTTCTTGTCGCGCCGCTCCGAGATGACGACGTGCGCCTTGCCGTGGTCCGCGCGCGCGGCGGGCGCGACGCCCGCGAGCCGCTTGAGCTGGTGCGCGTGCGGCGCGCGCTTGCGGGCGCCGTGGCCGCCCCAGGCGCCCTGCAGTGGCAGTGGGAGGGCGGTCAGTCTCGTGTGCGGGAGAGGAGAACAAAGGGGGGGAAGGGGGGGGAGGAAGGGCGTACCCAGCCGGGGAGCGTCGTGTCGACGGTCTTGGGCGCGTCCGCCTGGATCTCGCGGCGCTTCATCTCTGCGAACTCCTGTGTGCGGGGGTGAGCGTTTCCGACTCTTACAAAAACAGGGGCGAGGCGGGCCGGCGGGCGTACCTGGACGACGTTGTCGCCCGCGAACGCGAGCGCGACGAGGTCCCGCTGCTGGAACGCCTTGACGCCGCTCGCGGGGGCCTTGCCCTTGCCTTTGCGGTCCAGAGCGCGCTCCTGCTCCTCCACCTCGCTGTTCGCGTCCGAGTCGTCCTCGGCCGCAGCGGAAGACGCGCCGTTCGTCGCCTTCGCCCTCGCCCTGGCAGACTCGCCCTTTGCCTGCGCTTCTGCGACCTTGGCGGGCGCGGCAGAGGGCCCGGCGGCGTCGGCGTCGGCGCCCGCGAGGACGTCGTCGAGCGAGATCTCGACGACGGCGTCGTCTTTGGCCTTCTCCTTCTCGTCCTCGCGGTTCTTCTGCCGCTTGCGCAGCTTGCTCTTGGACTTGTCGGCCGCCTTGCTGTCCTTGCCGACGAGCAGCTCGTTCTTCTTCGGCGCGGTCCTGCTCGGGGCGTCGTCGCGCGGGACCAGCCATGGATTGGACGGCGGATTTGGGTTCGTGGTGATGGAGATGGTGGGGGACAGTGGCGAGTGGGGATCGGCGAACGGAGGCAGATCGGTGGATTTGAGGGTCACGCTCGACGTATCGGAGGCGAGTGAACCGATGGGCCGGATGGTCTGCGGGCAAAGTCGCTGAGCTGACTGCGAATGGAGACGAGGCGCGCGGGAGACAAACCTGAGTGCCGGGCCTAAACGAGAGCCGACCGCCAGTGCGCGAAACGAGGGTGCCGTCCGTGGTGGCCATCTCGCCCGCCTCGGTCTCGTCCCCGCCGAGCTCCTTCAGAAAGTCGTCGACGTCCTTGTCCACCTCCCGCTGTTCGCGCGCGGCGGCGTCTCGCATGAACTTCATGTCGAAGACGCTCTTCCCGTTGCCGCTGTTTTCCAATTCTGGGCCGGCGCCTTTCAGCTGAGCGAGCTCGTCGAACGCGCGCGCCTTCAGGCCCTCGATCCCGATATCCTCGTCTTGATCGCTTTCGTCGTCCCCACTCGAGCCGTCGCTGTCCTTCTCTCCCCTGATCCGCCGTCTGAGCTGCTCCCCCCGGTCCAGCATCTCGTTGATCTCTCTCCTTTGATCCTCGTCCAGCTCACCACGCCCTCTCATCGCCTTGGCCCACTGGCCAGTGTTTTTATGCCTCAGTGTCGCCCGCTCCATCGCCCGCTGCGCCTCCCGCTTCGTCCGCACTTCCTCGTCATCCTCGTCGACCTCCCCGTCGATCTTCGCCGACAGCTTTGCACGCTCCTTCTTCTTGATCCGACGGTACGTTTTGCTCTTGATCTTCGCGACGCGCTTCGCTTTCGCCTCGGCACGGAACATCAGCTCGCGCACCTTGCGCACCTCCGCGCGACGCGCGGCGACTTCTTCCGCGGAGAGGTGGTTCATCTTGAGCTGTTCCGTCTGCGGCAGGTCCTCTTCCCGCATTTTGGCCTGCTTGAGGAGCTTGTCCACGGCGCTCTCCAGCTCTGTCGTTGGCTATAAGGAGTGCGCGAGGTAAAGCTACGTCATGTAATAATGTATAACAAGACACTCACCTTGAATTTAGCGGCGAGCTCGAGGTTCGAAGTTTTGCCAGAAGGTTGGGCTTGTAATGGGAAGGATAGATGCTCGGCCTAATTGAAGATACCGTTTAGTTTGGCATTCGCATGATGTTGCTCAATGGACACTCACCTCCTTGATGCGCTTCATTGTCTCCTTCCATTTGTCTACTTCTTCCTTCGTCTGCTCGTACGCGGCCTGACGATCTAAACGATCCTGCGTGCGCTGTGGTAGGGGCGCAGAAAGTTTGACGGCCGATTTTGACGAAGTCAGCAACTTGACAGACTTCTTCAGATCCAAAATGTTCGAGGACTGCGACGTCAAAGGCGTGAGCAGGTCGTCCAGACTCAGCCTGTTCGAGCCTGCCATCATTCATCTTTTAGTGTTTCACGGTGCGCACGCAGTCCGCCGTACATACCTGAAACTTTTGCCGCGAATTCATTTTCTGCGCCCGCCTCTGTGCGCTCCTGTATGATCCTGCGTTTTCGACGAGCGGGATCCCCAGAAGCTTCAGCCTCGTCGGCCTTTCTCTTCTTCCCGGTGTCCAAGCCGGAGATGAAGGTACCGAGGCCCTCCAAAGCTTCTGGGGCATCCTCTTCATCTGCTGAGAGCGCAGAACCTTCTTCGTCCGAACCCTCCTCTCCGTCCTCTTCATCTTCACCTTCGCCTTCATCTTCATCTGAGGCCTCATCCTCATCCTCATCCTCGTTACGTTCTGCGCCCTCGAGTGTCTCCATCTCCTCCTTCTCATCTCCCAAATCAAGCTCTCCTCGACCATCCAAGACGTCTAGGATATCTATGAATTCGTCCGGATCGCCCTCTTCTTCTTCTTCCTCCTCCGAGTCGTCATTGTGTTCCGAGATGTGATCGTCTTCCATGTCGCTCCCATCCTCATTGAGATCCACGTCCACAAATCGCACTCCCTTTGGCTTCTCCTGTTTCTTCACCTTCTTCTTTTGCTTTGACTACGATAACTTGACATGAGCCCAGAGACTGGAAGTAGATGTAGTGCTGACCTTTGAACCGAACGAAAATCCAGCAAACCGCTCCTCGTCGCTCTCCTCGAATGCCGCGTCACTATCCAGCTCCTCGTCGTCGTCCGGGTCAATTTTCTCGTCGTCCTGGTTCTCCCCTATAAGCCTCGCTTTCAACGCCTCGCGATCGACTTCGTCGTCCGATCCGTGGTCAAATTCAGCCGCCTCGTCCCTGTCTAAAGTCAGAGATACATTCTGTCTCCTGACTTTCTGCGATTGATAGTCGTATACGTCGGAAAGACCTGCTGTGCCCTTGTCCTTCCGAGCATGGCGTTTCGCATATCCTGCGGCATTCGCTTTGTGAGACGACGGTAATGGTTTCCCCGAGTGCGTGCTACGAGCTGATCTGGCCATGAATCAAGAGGGGTTTGTCGTCAAGAATAATTTCAGGTAGGACCGAGGTGCGTTTTAGAGCGGTGGATCTATCAAAGTCCAGCCACTCTGGGATTATAGGAAGTGCACGTGTGTTCCACAGCCGATCCTTGAACGCGTTGCTTATTTTTTGACAAACTCAAGATGCGTATATGCTTCATCAAAAATACAACAGAATTGCAGAGGAAAACGAAAGAATCATGGGTTGCATGGTCGCATGGATACATGTCAAGCTATCCCTATCACCCAAAACTGCACACGAACAACTCCAACCAAACCAAGAGCGAGTCGACTATTTCAACTTCTTCTTGCTGCAGATCCAAAGAAGTCAACTTCCATCGATTTTGTCAAAAAGAAAGCACTCACGGGCGGAGCTGAGAGGAGTGCCCGCACGACCTCTTGCGGCAGTTCGTGGCGCGAGGAGGAAGACGAGCGTAGCACTTCCGGCAGATCTGCTTGTCGCAGTTGTACTTGCTGGCGAGCACCTTCAGCGAGGGCTCAATGAGACCACCGCGAAGACTTTATGAACCAGTAAGGACATGAAACGAAAATACAAGATGAACAGCTACGCACCGGAGGACCAGGTGAAGAGTCGACTCCTTCTGGATATTGTAGTCGCTCAGTGTCCGGCCATCCTCAAGCTGCTTGCCAGCGAAGATGAGGCGCTGCTGATCAGGGGGGATACTATAGAAAGATCGTATGACATGAAGACGAGTGAAACGGGAATTTACGCATGTAGACGTACCCTTCCTTGTCCTGGATCTTGGCTTTGACGTTGTCGATGGTGTCAGAAGACTCCACCTCAAGGGTGATCGTCTTCCCCGTGAGGGTCTTGACGAAAATCTGCATTTTTGTTGTTGCTGTCGATGGTGGCGCGCTCAGTCAATCACTATCCCCACCACGATGTGGCGGAGTTTAGAATTTAAACTCTATTTGTGGTCCTGTACAGCTATAGGAACCCTACAGCGGTTTCCAATTCGGGGGTATTCCAGAAGTCCGCCCTCGCTTTCGTTCCCCTCGTTCGTCCAAGTCCTCCGCCTCCCCCGCTGCCATGCTTCCCCCCATCGGTCTATCCAGCTATCGTTTCAGGTGATCGTGGTGTAGCTGGAGAGGAGGGTATGTTTCTCTTATTATTTGGCATTTCTACACGGCTTTCTTTTCCCTTGCTCCCTCTACCTGATGACACAACTTCGTATAACTCAGCTCACTTCGATGCTTTTGGCAACATGAGACGAACGCGATTTTTTCCTGAATTTTATTCATCCCATTAAGTTAGTTTTGACATCGTTTACTGATGACTTCAACAGTATTCACTACATTGCCCCATCCTATTTTCTACCACAGAACATCGTGAAGGTAGGCCTCGCCTGTAATGCCATTTCTCTACCAGCGTTAGTACAGGGCAAGGCTCAGAATCGCTCAGGTAAGCCTCGTTCCGTTCTTTTGCTTCAAGATGTAAACCTTTTGCAAAACCTTGACGTGTTCACGCACAATGATTGTTTTCTTCGGAAATCATTCAAGTCTCTGAAACATGTCGTATTTTCTCATTTTTGATTTCATGCGATCGCTGATATCCTCGCCCATAGGTTAACGTCGTTTTCTGTAATTTATACTGTCAATCTTATGCAAATGTATCTTCTAATCCCATATGCTGTCCTAGACATTCTTGATCTCACGATGTGTGGGTGTATTGTGGACGCAGTTGTGAGATCTTAAATTTGAGCCTCTGAGTCACACATGGCCTACAACGAACGTCAGGGCAAGAAGTATCATGAAGGGTGTACAACTGTGGGCTGTCACGACCATGCATCATGAGGTCAGCCTAATGAACGTCTGAAGCGAAGCGGTGTTGTAATCCGGGATTCCGAGCGAAACAGGCGATAACTAGCGGTTCCGGCAGGCTTCCACGCTTGAGCTCGACTTTTCGGCGATCCCGTCACCGTAGACGGATGGCGCTTCGGGCGAGTCTAGCCTGGCGTCGTCCGTTATCTTTCAATCGTTCTTAACTACGCTTTTGTCCCCTTTGAAGTCCTCCGTTCACTACCACGCCCCCGGGGACGTGGTTTCTGATATTCAGTCCGGCTGATATACCTAACGACCTTCACGACTCGAAATGACAGATTTCAACTTGGTAGACATCCGAGGATGGGAGTATGACCTCCAATCCGTATGTCGAGCTGGCGTCGAGCTGTTCAGAATGTTCTGACGCAGCGTTTGTCATGGCAGGTGTACACCGCTTATATGGGATACTTCCAGCAACACAGCATTCCATGGTCAGTCTAGTGCGTTATCGTCCACGTATCACTCACATATATATCAGCGTCGTAGGTATGACCGCACGTGGGGGCACCTGTTCAACACATTTGAGGACTTTTTGTCCTTCTCTTGGCCTGTCATCACAATCACAGATGCCCTAACAGGACGAGCGCACATCGTTACGCGAATGTCCTCAATCGGAGCCTTTCTCAAAATGATCAAAACCAGGTATATATTGATCTGCAATGATTCCTGTTCGTTCTGCATTCGGACTCATTGGAAATATGTGGCCAGGTTCGGCGAGACGCTACCCCTTGTTGACAACATGCTCAAAGTCGACGCATTCGAGACTCATCAGAGACACTCACGCACTGTCTCCGACTATGCGACGTACAAGAAGCTGCACGCTACGCTACCTGCAGCCGTTCTTGCTGCGCTTAAGGTACGCGTCAGGAACGGAGATCCACGGGCCATACGGGATATGTGGCAAAGAAAGGACAAATCTTATTTGGCTATTGATTTTGAGTGCTCGGAGAGGAACGCGTCATCTGTGCTCGAGTGGGGATATGCAGCGCTACGATGTGGTCATCTAGACACGTGAGTTTTTATAGTAGTCGTCATTAGCAATAAGCTCACGTATCGTCAGGCTGGGAGCCTGGCCGCCAGTGCCCGATGATAATTATCGGTCAGTAACTGTGTCTCTCATGATCGATACTTCCGACGCTAACTCATTCACCCTCTAGAAAAGGGCATTATATAGTTAGCGAATACGTGGACAAGATCCGAAATCGCAACACTCCAAATTACCCTTGGCAGGTAAATTCTGCTTCCGTTGTTCATTGATGCACAACTATATTAATCGTCGGATTCCCTCGCAGTACGCAGTAAGTAGCGACTCATACATATGGTCACTTGCACACTGAGTTCTTCCCGCGAGTTCGGTGAAAGTCAAATCGTTCCCAAGGACAAGCTGCCACAAATTATACAGGCAGTGATCAGGTAGCATTTCCTTGACATGTCTTTTGGGCGGAAGGGCGCTGAAGCGCTGTGCTATCTGCAGTAGCATGGCTAGTCCCGATTCGGAGACTTTTGTCAACAATCTTGTCATTGTGACTCAATCAGCTACGGAAGACCTTCGTCGGATGGAAGAAATGAAAATCAGTGCGCGCATCTCCTTCGAGGCAAAACTGCTTTAAATAACTTCCAATCCATAGAGATACCTCACAACGTCGTGGTTCTTGACATCAACGCTTTCGAAAAATCGCTATTTCGGGCAGGTAAAAGAGGTGTAATGTTAGACGCGAAGACCGGTCAACCTCGTCAACCCAACTCCACCATCCCCCTTTCGAGCCTTCTCCTTTCCCTGAATCTTCCCGTTGACTACGCACTTCACAACTCCGGGAATGACGCCTTCGCGTGCCTACTCGCTTTCCAGAAGCTCCTAGACCCAGAGGGTACTAGGGCCCCGCCATTACGGATCAGGACCACAGGCAGATCAGGGAACCTCAATCCTGCCGCTGCTTCCATACCATTCTCGGCTGGGCTTGTGCCTATGCCCATGCCCATATTGACGCCCCCGATAATGTCGTCTCCTCTCTTACGTTCGCACTCGACTTCCCCGCATGCCCGTACGCCAGATGATTACTTCGATCGTGACGAATTGTCTGTCAACCGCTCGAGGAGGTCAACCCAACAGCTTGCAGGCCTTTCCCCCGATGCCGGTAGTAGGTCCCTCAGGGCAACAGACACAGGGTCGCGAAGGATAAGTATGATGGTCTCGACTACGGATGAGCAAGGAAGGATGACGCGTGTCTCTAGTGGCGAGTTCCCTGACACCAAGATGAGGAACACTCTGGGATAATATTATTTTACATTGACGCTTATCCCATCATTGAACGTTTGAACGTCGGACTCTCCTCCTTTCTTCTTTCTTCCGGACTACACCTTCCCTTCCTTCCATCGGACCTGGCAAATGATTATGGTACTCCGCCATCCCTACGCTAATTATCATTGTTCTTGGTTTTCGCTTCGCTTTCGTTGTCTAACTCAGCTTTGTTGATGGACTATTGATGTATGTGGATCAGTACTCCCTTTTCTCTGATTGGACGGGAGTCCACCCACGAACAGGGCGGGGAGTCAACTGACAGATGTCCATTCACATAATGGAGCGTCTGTAGATTGTTAGTCTACCGGGGCACTTGACCGATTCCTGTTCAGCGTACGGAAATGGAAGGACTGGAAGGCCGACCCTCAAGCACTGAGTACTCAGTACGCGTTTCGATTCTCAAGCTCTGGGGCCCGCGGTCAAGCGTCGCTTTTTGAATTCAGAACTGTGTCTAGGCGTCACCGGCACCGTCGATGTTGTTATCGCCGGGATTGACAGAGTGATGTGACTGGTATTGGAAGCGAGAAAAGTAGATGTCACTGGATGCATTGGGCAGCATGTCACCCCTGCATCAGCGACGCAAAGGGATGAACGAGAAGAATGGGGTCCTTGGTCATTATTGGTGGCCACATACCAGATGGACGGGCAACGATGCGCCGATATAAGGTTCGCCCCCCTGGAAGATGCGAAGCCCTGTCATTCGAATATGTTCAGAACTCATGACGGACTCGTGCAACCGTGCACATGTGTCCTCCGCCGGCACACGACCCCACCCGTTCAACGATTCTCCATCAGGCAGCCCGCATGGCATGGAAAATCCCGACATGTCAAAATCGCATGAAAAGGCTCAATGCGCCCGCCCCAAATTGCGAGCAGGATGACAGGGCCTATTCAATCTGCGATTAGAAAGCTTATGAGAAGGCTTATTTCATCTTTTACATGACATATATCCAATTCACGTCTAGCTTGCCAAGCAGAGGCCCCAAGGCCTTCAACAATCGATCATGCATGATCGCTGGAATTTTTGATGGATAACTTTGTGAAGCCTCAATCGGCCTGATCGCAATGAGCTGAATCGAGTATCTGACTAGCCTTGCACACACACGCCTTTCTGTGAACGGGTGGTAGTCCTTATGTCTGAAGAGTAAAAGGTCTGAGCGAAACACACACCAATGGTAGAATTGGCCGACAGGTGCGTCCGACAATGTCGATCGACATAGAACACAATTTATTCCTCTCTCCATCCGCAGATGAGCATGATTAAATCTATACCTTTAAGATATCTTTTCAATCATCTCAAGCAAACCATCGCCTGCCGTGCACGTCTAGATCCGGTCTACCATACGTCGACTGCGAACCGAGTAGAACTATATAAACGAGCTGGTTCGGGGGGAAAGGAGATAGACCGCACCGGGGGACCAGGCTTGTTATTCACGATCGTTTCAATCTTTTCGAGAATCCCCGGGGTTAATTTCGGAATAATTTCGAGAGCTTTGAGGTTGTCAAGGACCTGCTCTGGACTGGAGGCGCCCAATATGACCGTGCTGGTGTTAGGGTTTTTTGCGAGCCAAGCCAGAGCCAAATGCGAAACTTTGCAGTTGAGTTCTGTAGAGACGCACATCGTAAGCGAACCGCGTATATCGATATAGAGTCGAAGATTGTACCAGTCTCAGCGATCTTTGACAATTCCTTCACCGCAGTGATTTGGCGCTTCCCTTCTTCCGATTGCAGGAATTCAACTCTTGACTTGATATATTCGTCATCACTGTTCAAGTCGTAGCGAGATCCTTCGGGTATGCCATCGTTGTACTATTACCTGTGAGATACGTTGCAAGGGCCGAATACTCAAGGATCGTACCTTGCCCGTCAAGATGCCGCCTGCCAATCCGGAGAACACAGTCGTTCCAAGGTTGTACTTCTTGTATAAAGGACTGGACGGTGAATCAGATCATCATAGGACATTCACGAAGAAATGGTTCGCACTCGAATTCGCCCTCCGCGCGTTCACGGTCAAGGAGGCTAAGAAGGGGACATCAGGAGAAAGATCTTTCAGAGGTCGATAATACGGACTTATGCATACACTGCTCGGCAACGGGAGCATGCAATCCGTACAGTTCAGCAACATCTACGGGTTCTCTGGATGAAATGAGAACATCAAGTCAATTTCAAAGGTACACATACGGTGTGCCTCCTCTATCTCACGAGCGGACCACTCGGAAGTTCCCCAATAGAACGCCTTAAGTCATGATGAATTTCCAACCTATAATGTAGCACATAAAGTCAAGGCACGACGCACCAGTCCTTGTTCAATGACCCAGTGAAACGCGCGAACGGTTTCTTCGATAGGAGCTAGGACGATAGAAGATAAAGGAGATCGAAACATCTACAACGAACAAAAACGTACTTGTAGGGTCAGGTCGATGAGCAAAAATCACGTCGACATAGTCCAACTGGAGCCGCTTCAAAGATGCCCTTGTGCCTTCAATTATGCTTTTGCGGATATCTTTCAGTAGAGGACGGTTGACAAAATCTCCGGTGCGCACTGTTTCCGCGAGAGACCCATATGGTTGTGTCCCCTCTCCGAACCCCAAAACAGCTTTGTGGTGACGACAAGATCAGTTCGGCGCAGACCGAGTTCTTTGATCACTCGTCCCCTGAAAGAAGTAAAGTTCACAAACAAGAGTCTGCGTTGTACAGCCGAGGGACACTCACATCTCGATTTCTGATTGACCATCGGCATAATTCTCAGCTTCATCGAACATGTTTATTCCATTTTCGAAAGCGGTTTTGATTATTTCCTGTTCATCTGTTAGAGACGTCACCAAGATATTCGCACTGAATCGAGCATACCTTAACAGGGTCACCAAAGACAGTCCCTCCGATAGTCAACCCTATACTTCACGATAGGTTTCGAAAACAAAGAAAAACATAGGGGGGTCGACTTACAGCCTCCTAATGAAAATACAGGAACGCGTAGCCCACTAGATCCCAACGTCCTGAAGGGCATGTTCTTTGGTTGAAACTCCAACTTTACGGGTTGAGACATGGTTGGGAAGGTATGAGAATGCGCGAAATACTCGAGAGATGTTAATATATAGCGGATCACCGAGGATTCTGCATCTACTTCATTTGTGGCGGGTGGCGGACCGCAATCATGATTGCGTGAAGTTGCGTGATCACTTGACTCTCACCGAGATGACTAAAGATAGTTTTCTGGAAGCGAGACATACATGTTCTCTGAGCGACGTTCGGTGGTGGGGATAGATGAAGAACTAGAGTCAGAAGCAAGCATGGAAAGTCGGAGATCTCAAGGTCTCAAGTTAACACAGATGCTGCTTTCCCGTAAGCTAGCTGAGGTCACCGATTTGCTGAACGTTCCCCGCGAAATCTGAAAGTAGAACGTTTTTTTTTGGAGATGCGTGAGCATGAGTCGCAAGCCCCCGGGACGCTATACTTCTCTGTGCCCGGGCATAACTCCCGTCGATCTGCCTTTGATGCTTCCTCCCGGCACACAAACTTTCCCCAAAATGTAAAGGTCCAACATCGTACCCACCGCAGGTGTTCACAGGGATGCATTCATCGATGCGTAGAAAACCAAGGCAGTGATGCCTATACTTATCCCTGTCGCCGGACAGCAAGAGTCGGATGTAGAGGCTCGAAGTACACCTGAGCGCTGTGCAAGGATATCATCGTCGTGCTGGTTTTGTGTTGCGATAAACTCAAGGAGGTTGTTGTCCGTAGCGCCCGAGAAAACATCGACATCTTGGACACGTCCTCATCCAAGACTTGGTGCTGAGGGCAAGGCCTGCGCTGCAGTGATAGATGCATTGCGGGGATGTGCTGGAAGGACACCGTAGTCCCACACATGGTCAACACGTTTAGATATTTTAGATATGAGCATTATCGATATCAGAGGTTAAAACCGTATATGGAGCGCGCGGAGGACAGGAGACGCTGTTGCGCGTGAAGGAGGTTGCGTTTCAACACCTGGCTGCACGTTTTCGCGCACACATGCCAGTTCGGGCCAGCTTCGGCGTCTTCCGGTAGAGTGATACCTTCAACGTGAGAAGTGGTGCTCCTTCACCTAGAACGATGAGGTTCTTTTCGTTTGCTCTGCTCCTGCTCCCGTTATCAGTGCATTCTGCCCTGGACAATCAGTTTGTGGTCTCTCCAGTAACCAGAATGTCAGAGATCGTCGAATCGCTGCAACACGCTCAGCCCACACTTGCCGATTTGCTTACGATCGAGCGCTCAGCGTCCATCTTCTTCTCCTACGCTCGGGAAACAGGTTTGAATAGCCTATTCTCGGATGAGACGGCAATGAATACAATACTTGTGCCAACAAACAAAGCTGTAATGGCGCTCGCTAAGAAGCCGTGAGTTGTCTCACACTGAAGCGATTCTGGGCATGATTTGACGAGTCTCCCGGTCGTTTTCGGAACTCAGACACCAGGATCCGTCACCTGTCGAACACGGTATCGAGATCTCAGAACAAGAGTTCGATTCTCGTTCGAAAAAGAACGTCGAGAAATGGGTCTCACTTCACATCATCCCAGTATGTGCCGTGTTCCCATGAACACTTGATCTGGTGCCCATATGTTCGTCTAGGAATCTCCCATATCACTCCTTGGTCACACGTACCCTACCCTTATCGAGGGAAAGTACGTCACCTTCACAGAAGTTGATGATGGGGCGACCGCTCCTGAATGGGCCCGAGTGCTGCTCAATGGTGATGTCCGAATTCTGGAGATGAAGGAGGTGCGCCGAGTGCTTCTCATTCGTTTCAGCTGCATCTCTCACCATCCACCTTTAGGCATCCAATGGGGTGTTATACCTCATCGACGGGACCGTTAGTGATGACTGATCGATACATATAGCGCGTACTCTTGATATGTATTCTGCATGTACGTTATTCGAGGGTTTTTTTTTCAAACACAGTTCGCGCCCAAGAAGCGGTGGCAATCTAGGTATCGAAGTCGCGCTTGCACTCGATGACGCAGACTGGGCAAGCGCTCTAAAACTCATTTGAACAAAAACAGATGTATACGTTATAATGCAGATGTTCAGAGTCATCCGCTCGAGGAACTGATGCGCATATTCAAAGGCATTTTCTACAAAAACTTAATATGGCACAAACAAGGACATGCGAAGAAGGCGGAGTCCTACAGCAGGTCCTCAATGCGCCTTGAAGCTTGAAGCCAGGCTGACCTGTTGGAATATGATTGGGCTTCCAGAAGCGCAGCCACTATCAGAGAATATCGTGAATAGTAATCATGACGTTATGAATCTCACGAACTTTCCTACATATTGGCTCAACGACCGTTGGAGATTCAGGCCCATTTCTAAACGGACTGTGGCAATGCCAGGAAGATAAACATGCATATCTGAAGGATGCCATGAAATTGTGACCGCTGTGCAGGCTTACCCCATCGTTGAGCGTTCCTTTCTCCTGTGCGGAGGGCGCGAGTCACAGTGATGCCATTAGCCGTCGGCATAGATAGAGACTATGCCGGGTATCGATACCAATCCTATGAAGAAAGGGGGGAGGGAGGGTTATTGATCGAGTCTAGTCAGACGTCACGATTCGATATAAGTGAGTAGTCTGGGATGTACTGAGTAAAATCACCATGGACTCACGAGAAGGAGAATGCTCGAAAACGCAACACGCACTCGAGACCTTGGAGAGTGGTCAAGGAATATCAGCGCTAAAATTTTCCGAGGTAATTCATTGTAAAACCATTCGAAGAATCGTCTAATGTAGACTGTGATGAAATGATAGTATTGAGTAAAATCTTTGTCTTTGCTGAAGGTCTTTCCACAAAGATTTCATGGAAATCCTCAGGCTCAGCGCGCAGTGTGGGGAGAAGGAGAACCAGTGACCTCACGTGATTCTCGCGTCGCGATGGTGGCTGTTGTTTATGATGAGTTTGGCTTGTGTTCACTCACGCTTGGTCACTCTTGCGCTGAATCAACAGAGGTCCACTTGCATCCACGACCAGGTGTGTGTCTGTGTGGATATCAGTGTGTATGAATGACTCATCTATACGTTGGATTTCCTGTAGTACCAATATGTCACATATCTCGAATGCAGAAATCAGTGTTCGTCATCTACCTGATGTTTCCGACACATCTATTACTTTCCAAATGCCTTCCGATGGCCACTTCGAGGAGAGATTGATGGATGAAGACAGCAAGGCATTCCTTCTTGGATTTGATGATAGCCTCGAAACTCCCATCCCACCCACACGGTGTTCCGCCCAAGATCCTTTGACCCTTGACCAGCTGACGCCACAGCGGAAACTGACCTCCGACATACAGGACGCTCTGACATCGACCTTTGCACCCCCAGATGTCTCGAATGCTGTATCGCCGAAACTCCCGACATCTCCTTTGCGTATCGGAGGCCGCGCACATACTAAGGCCCGCCCTACGCGATCAAAACTTACAAATAGCCACATTACCCCCGACGCGTGGAGCACTAGTCGATTCGGCAACCTGGAACTGGAAGCGGATAGCTTGCTGCGAAGAAATAGCGGTGCCGATTCGATCCGTGGAGCTCCCACTAGGCCGGGCGAGAGACGACCGGACGAGACGAGAACTGAACCACCGGAAGGCCATCGATTGCACAGCGAGGAAAGGGCGTCTGAACTACAAGATGTGGGTATTCATTTACGTCTTTCACTTGTTGTGCTTACACCTCCCTCAGTCTCGCACGGACACAGGGCCCATCGAGTTTCCATCCAGCTTTGTATCCCATACGCTATCGAAACCCTCTCCGTCCAATGGGGAAGTTGCATGCGACGGTATTGACACACAAAGCACTGGAGGTAGCAGTAGCAGGCTACTCAACGAGAGAACGTAAGACTATTTGTCGATCGAGACGGGCGTCTTTGTTCACGTTTTTTCTTAGGTACTTCAAGTCGGTCCCGCAGCCCGAATTAGCGCCCGTTCCTCACTGTCTGCCGAAGTCACCCGACCGTCCTCGTCCAGGTGTCGGTGCACGCGATCAGGGACCGCTCACCCTCTCTCAACTGTCACCTCGCAAAGGTTCCGAAGGAGTCCTGTCAACGCAGGCCGTGCCACCATCGCCTATGAGGACTTCCATGAAACGTTCCATATCTCCCTCGCTGCATTCTATTGAAGCAAGGGACATGGGAAAACCGGCGGATAAAATTTCGAATGAAAGACGATCGAAACGTATCAAGACCCTCCAGCTGTCTCTCGCAAGGAACGTGGTTGAACTCAACGCTTCTTCTCAGCGTCTGACCAGAGCTCCGCCGGCAGCAAGGAATTTCACTCAGCAGGGGCGCCGGACATCGCTGAGGAAAGATCGGAGCGCCTCGACATCTTCCAGAACTCTGCATGTTTCCAGCTCCAGCGACGCGAGGCGTTCAAGGGCCGCTGACAAGCGACGCGACGAGAATTCGTCCACCTCAAGGCCTGGCCCAGCGACCAAATCGAGCAGACTTGTAAGTCAATGTGCCTCATGTATGTTTATAAATCTTATGAGGTCGTTCTAGTCCGTTGCATTGCCTCCCGCGAAACTCACCAAGCCGATCGCTTTCCGCTTCGAATCGGACGCGCGGATAGAAGCGCGGAAATTGGACTTCCAATCGAGCGTGCCTACAAGACGCTCGGAGCGTCATCGTGGCCCGTCGATCCCAGATTTCAGGTCCCTGCACGCAGCGCAATCTGAATTAGCCGCGATTAGGAAGGAGCATATCAATCCTACTGTCCCATTACCTCTCGGGCTCAGTACCGAAACGAGAGCCAAGGAACGCGAGAAGTTCGAGGAGATCAGGAGGGCAAAGGAAATGGAGATTGAACGACAGAAAGAAGAACAGCAGAAGCAGAGAGAACTCGAAGAGCAAATGGAGATCAAGGAGTTAAGGAGAAGAGCAGTCCCGAAAGCCAACCAGGTCCCAGAATGGTATGCTAATGCACCCAAACGGAAACAAAGGGGCTCATGAGGTGTGTTTTATGTAACGCTCTTCGATGTCCCAACACTGCGTGGTCTGGCTCATCTGGTTCTAGTGTATACCATTTCAATCATATATCTGTAGACATATGTTGTCGTTTTTTGAAAGATCGATGTCAGACGACTAACACACATCAGACACTGGGCTGCCACGCGTCGAGCCCGTCGAGCGTTCACCGATCATGCACCTGTCACTGACTACCCACCGAACACTTCTCCGACGGCGTGTTTTCCGACGAAGTCGGGATCAATACAGTCTCGTTTAACTGTTCGCAACAAAGGAACTTCACTTCCTTGAGCCGAATGCTAGCCTTGGCGAGGCAGGTCTGCTGGTCGAGTCCTAGCAAAGCCTGGATTGATGAAAGTCTCTGGCCGCTTCCACAAGATCCCCACAAGGGACCCAAACACCCATGAGGAGCTAAGCAGTCTATGTGCTCTCGTATTTTGTGCGCGGTAAGCTTCTTCACGATCGGGCGTCCTCACGAAACGAATCGCAGATCTCATCTATACCCTTCCGGAACCCCAGACACGTTCTCTTCAGTGGGATGTAAGCGCTAGATCAGTACAGTAGGTGTACGGGCTGTTGCTGCGTGTTGCGATGTGAGTCGCAGGATCGCACCCGCTGTTATATTGCATTGAGTCTGGTGGCGAGGCCCACGACTTCTCAGCGCCAACTGCGTTTCGCTGCTAATTGAAGTCCGCGACAAGATTTATGAGGGCGCTCAATCGAGAGACTCTTCACTCGATCGAGCGGTAAGTACACTACGGGGGTTTTTTTTTGCGAATGCCACTGCAATCGATCATTCCCTCCGGGAATCGATAGTTCGTGTCGATGTTAAACGGCCGCCATCGGCGATAAGTAATGGCCTGTGGCAGATGCGATGAATCATCAGGATACTACGTACATATTAGTCAAGATATATCTAGATATATGCACTGCTTTTGACTGGCGACCATGCGATGAAAGTGAATGTTGGAAGACTCGGAGCGGAAGACGGCAGACTGATCCGCAGTGGCAAAAACTAGGCGGAGGACAATAGGACACAGCTCCACCGATTTTCGGGCACATGTGCGCTACAGGACCCGAGGTCCGCTCGTGGCAACGGCATGTTTAGGACACATCTGGTTTTTGTGGTGCGGGCCAAGAGAATGGAGACGTCGTGGTGCGCAGCGGACGACATGAGGCCATGAGACAGTAGACTGGAAACGAAACGAAACAGGCGGCGCCACCAGCAGCGCCGTGTGCTGGTGTAAGGGAAGACGTTGCTTTGTTCCTGTGTGGTGGACCCTGAGCGTCAATGGTGCGACTTCCTTTTCGGGATAGATAAACGGATTGATGTGTCCGATCCGGACAAATGTGCGTTATCAGGGCGACCCGGCAGACAGGCCATGAATTGACCACAACACTTGTCCTCCTTCCCTTTCCAGACGTCACCACTTCATCCCGACTCCGAGATGTGCATAAAAGGTGGACGCTCTCCTCCCCTCCCTTCCCATCTCCAACTCGCTCTGTACCCATCATAACCAGCTTGACATCTCCATCAACCTCACAATGCACTCCTCCTCATCCGCGTCTTCCGTCGCTGCCTCCGCATCACCCTCGCCCTCCATGTGCCATTCGCACAAGTTGTCCGCTACACCCACGGTCCTCCACTCTGTCACCAAGGTAGACAGTGACGAACATCCCTTCGCGAACTTCAGCTCTCCGCAATGCTGCCACTGCGGTTGGCGCGGGGCTCACTCTCCTACATGCCCCTTCCGCAGGCACTAGGCCTTCTGTACCCGTTTCTCGTCCTTCGTGAGTTCTCAATCTTTTTTCCACTTACTGCGGATACTCAACCGTGGCCACAGGCTTTCCCACATCGATTGTTTCACGACCATTGTTCTGCTGTGTACTACCACCATCATCCGCATCGTATTTCACACGCCTTGGAGGAGGGTAGGGCGTTATTCGACAGTCAGTGTGTAATGTAGGAGGTGTAGGGCTGTTGGACCCTGTAGGAGAGTTTTATCGTTTTCACTGTATCATGCTATATCATGCTATCGTATCGTCGTCGTCGTCTTGTTTCATGTTCCTTGCGACCATCAAGATATCTTGTGTTCCCCACAATCTCCGACTCCCGAGTCAGCTGAAGTCTGATCGATGCGATCCGTTCCGGTCCTCCTTCCGTGTTGATCTGGCTATCACTCTTCATCGCGATCAGGGACACCCTCGGAGCGCAGGTTTTTGAACGGAGCTCAGTACCAGTCTTGTAGCCGGACGAGTAGCAGCGGGTAACGGTCCGAGGCTTTCTTTATAAGCGACAAGTATAGGCGGCCCGGAAGCAAATCCACGGCGTGTTGAATCCTGGTTCATCGTTTCTACCGTCGAGCGGGCTTCGGCATGCTCACGAGCCTTTCCGTGCATCATTTTGTGCTCGCTATAGAGATCACCAGTCAATTTTGTTTTGTTCTGCAAATTTGTGACAAAACTGGCTCAACTCGGCAATCGGGCACCCGGTCGCCTATTTCCCCGCATTACACCATTCAGGAACCGAATCCCCGCAATACATTCACATTCAACATCCCTTTCTCACCGCTCGATCGCACCTCATACCATGACCCCCCAACGCGATTTTCTCGTCGAACAACCCACTCACTCCGATGAGGTCGTAATTAACTTCCCTGCGGAACATGTTCTTGTCATTGTTATGAATCGCCAAGCATCTTTGAACGCGATGACGCCACAAATGGAAACAGATATCAAAAATTGCCTCAACTGGTTCGACAGCGAACCTTCTTTGTGGTACTTGTCTACACCACACTGACATCGAAGCCTAAGCTGATGGTCTCCCGCCTCCCACTTCAGGGTGGCAATCATCACCGGGACAGGCCGGGCCTTTTGTGCGGGCGCAGACCTCAAAGCGTCAGTGTGCTGACGAGGCACTTGTCTGGCTACATCAAGTTGCTGCTCACGTTTGGCATTTGTAGATGGAACACTAAGCAGCAAGGCGGCCAGTCTGATGAACAAGAGAGAATCGCATCATCTCCCCATGGATTCGGCTCTATCTCACGTCGTGTGTCTTCTAAGCCGATCCTCGCTGCTGTGAATGGCGGCGCGTTCGGCGGAGGCGTGGAGATGGTAATGAACTGCGATCTTGTCATTGCCAGTGACGAGGCCGTCTTTTCCCTTCCAGAAGTCAAGCGTGGGGTCATCGCAGCCCAAGGAGGTGTGCATCATGATTCATGCGCGCCTCGGTCATATCAGAAAATTTGAATATCTGGCTCCGTTACAGTCATTCCTCGGCTGAGAGCTGTAGCAGGACATCAAGTTAGTGCGACTCGATCATCTGAAAATAGATTGCATTGTTGATATTCTTGCAGCTGGCCTCCGAGATGCTTTTGCTCGGACGAACAATCAGTGCCGCGGAGGCACAGCAGCGCTTTGGATTGTAAGCTGTGCGCGCTGTGTACTCTTTTGTTCACAACTGATTGATGTGGACACGCAAGCGTCAACTCTGTCGTTCCAAAAGAGAGAGTACTTCAGACGGCCATCGAATGGGCGACGCAGATAGCGGCGAACTCGCCAGACGCTGTGCAAAGCACGAAGCGGGGGTTAATTTTGGCCGCACAGCATGGTGACGTAGAGCGCGCAGTCATCGCCCATGCCTGGAGCGCCGAAAGCAAACGGGCTTACAAGGGGAATAACATCAAGGTTCGTCTTCATTTTGATACACACACTGGCGATGCACGCTTCACACCGTCAATCTAGGAGGGCCTCAAGGCGTTCTCGGAGGTACGTACTTTCTCCCTTGCTGGCCTAGGTCACTGAATTGTATATCGAATTTGTAGCACAAGCGCAAGCCCAACTGGAGTAACCCTGCCAAGTTGTAGTCAAGTGGCTATTGTACGAGTACCCTTCCTTTACGCCGCCAGCGAAATACAGTCCCCTCTCCTTTTTTAAATATACTCCAATTTGTAGAGATTGTTTCGACTGACTGTTCCTTTTATGGAGCGAGGGATGCGCTCAGAAACCAGACCACAGGACATCGGTGCTTTCGGGTGTATCGTAACAGCGTAATCGAATACATAATCCTGTGGATCTCCAACGCTAGCCAGCGCTCATATATATGTGTCCTGATGACGATGCAAAACGAGGCTCAGCGAATGACTGCGAACAATCGGAGATAACTTATCTTCTCATCCAATATTTCGAATAAGGCCTGCGCGTATTATCAATAAAAAGATATCTTCGAGACCCTGGGTGTGACCGGCATTCACGGCACTCCCGTTCAACGCAGTATCGAAGCGTGTTGGGATTAATGAAATGTCGAGGATTTAGCGAGGGATGTCTGATCGTCGTGAAAACGGTGCAGTATACCGTGCAAAGTCCCATCGATATCATGATAAGAAGCAGTGAACCCGGGAACAGTCTGTCGTCCAGCACGCGCATCAATAGGCACGGGTAAGTTCGAATTCGACGAGGTAGCTAGAGTGCGAACCATGTCCGTGAAAGCTGGGAATAAATCGACGCGTTTTTGTGACAGACCTCCAGGATGCGCAAATATCGATTGAATTGCGAACAAAGCCGCAGAAACACCGAATCAGTTCGAGCCTTGACTCACAGACTCAAGGGGCATCAATAGAGTCGGATGGCGAGAGCGAACCGAAGAGAAGTACATTAGTAGTCCCTTGATCCACACAATTCGAAGCCGAAGGCTTGCGGGCCAATCGTGAGAAGCATATGTACACACTGGGTCTTCTTGGACACTGATCATTGGGCGGGTGCTTTTCAGTTGGCAATTCGTTCGGGGGCATGCGAGATCAGGTGCGGAGATTATGCAGTCATTCCTGAGAAGAAACCTATCTGATGGGGTCGAAGAGGGTCGAAGTCTCCCAACATTCAAGGGGATCCACGGTACAGATGATGCTATCAATCATGATTTCGAAACCCAGAAAGCACTAACCAATAGAAGGGACATAGCCAGCCGTGCATAAGATTCTACTCATCGTGGTATCAGCAGGTCCTGGCACATGGCCAACAAGCGCGGTTATTCCTCAGATTAGGTCATAGAACAGTCAAGTGAGACTGGCAACGACGATGAGAAAGGATGGAAGTGTATAGGGCAGGCTTCAAGTAGGCGGCACAAACACTGCAGAATCCAATGAAAGTTGGCAGAAGCGAAATAAGGAAGACGCAGATGTACTCGACACGTATCCAGGCAGGTGCCCCATTCCCGTCTGGCTATCAATCGAGTCGAAATATGTGTAACCCTTCTTAGATAGCCTGAACAGTATATATGCGGACAAACATACGAAATATACGTCGACTTCATGATTGATTAGAGAGAAAACATAGGCCATACTCCGATAGTTGTGTGTAGAATCGGATGGTGTTACTCAGATATTGAGTACTTGGGTATGCATGTTCGCCTTGGCATCTTCTGCATGCCGTGCTGGAAACTGCCGGAAACTGCTTCCTTGTCACGTCACTGTCACGTCACGCATTCACGTCTTTCTTTATTACCTGCATGTCTCCAGATCCAAAGTCGATCAACCCGGTGGACATTCCAGCCCCACCTCCGCCCAATAGGTTCTTTCAAGAATGGACTCGTGAATTCTCTCTGCTGACGGGATACGGTATATCTCATGATGAGCGCGTGAACGAGATTGGACGCCGCAATTGCGAGAAATGGAAGAAAGAGCTCTTAAATTACAGTCAGTATTCGTGCGTCGTCGTCGTCGTCCTATTGCTCGTGTTCTACCGTATATGAGGCAACACTCACTCCGATGCCAACCATGATTTACAGGTCCTTCGGTTGTTTTCATGCTGCGACAATTGAAGCTTGCCGGAGTTGACGTCAAATCTGAAAATCTGCCATGTTCCCCATGCGACCAGACTCGGACTGGTGGATTTTTGCCCGATCACGGAGCTATCATTCTTTGTCAGGCTAATTTACTGGGCAACAAAGACCACTTGGAACATACGATGGTTCATGAACTTGTGCATATGTTTGATCATGTCAAGTTCAAGGTCAGATGGAACGATCTGAGACATCACGCATGCAGCGAGGTGAGCATGAATGGATATGAATACACACCTAAGGCAGATTGATTAGTGATTCTGCCAACAGATTCGTGCAGCTAGCCTGAGTGGTGAGTGCAAATGGACAAGGGAGGTGGATCGCCGCATCTTGAACTTCTCTAAGCAGCATCAGGCGAGTCTGCCATCCGTTTGTCAATCCAGTGCATTAACAGGGCCATCACAAATTTCTAAGGCCTGCGTACGCCGACGTGCTATCACAGCCGTTATGGCGAATGAGGCGTGTCTAGACAAAACGGCCGCGGAACGTGCTGTGAACGAGGTCTGGGAAAGCTGCTTCAATGATACACGGCCCTTTGACGAAGTAACACACACGTTGAACGGACTAGGTGCACCATACTGATTCATGCCGTCCCACCAGATCTATTAGGTCAATTTCCGCGGGTCACCTACCAGTAAACACGCGGTGTGCCAACGCTGGCTGGTCACCTTTATTGACTGCTTGGGTGATTTGGCAGGAGCGTCTCTTAGAGACGGAGAATGCCCGTATGATATGCTCCACGAACCGCACTTCTCAATGTTAAACATCTATTCGACAGCTCTCAAAAGCTTGCAGCCGAATTTTTGGCAGTGATTCGAGAACAGTCTGACATGAAAGAAATATGAACTAAAAATAAGGCCGGAAACGGTGGCACAAATAGAACCTCGGCACGGTCACGTGGAAGTACGGCGTGCGACTGGGTATATAAGTTTTTGGTAGCTCAACATGAGTAGGCAAACTTGCCCCGCTTGTTCGCTTACGACTCTCACGTTCACCATTCCCCCCGTATTCCCCCTGTCGCCTCCGCCGCAAAATGTTCTTTAAGCTTAGGTGTGTATGTTTCCTTTTGGTGGGTGCTAGACCTGACCTCACCATCTCAGCGTCCTTGTGGCCCTTGTTCCTTTCGTCGCGTGCCTCACAATCAACACGCCGGAGAATCTTTCTTCTGGGGGCACTACCACCATCTCTTGGTCCACAAGCTCTGGAGATCCGTCTGTATTTTCTTTGGAGCTTACGAACGTAGTCTTCCACAATTCGTTCGCCATCGCGAATAATGTCCAGAGTTCGGCTGGTAGTGTGACTCTTCAGCTCCCTGCTGTTCCGCCCGGGTGAGTGCCGCTTTTACAGCTAGAATTTATTCAACAACGTTAATGTCCGCGGAAGTGATGGTTACACTCTCGAGGCTGTGAATATTACGTGAGTCTAAGGTGCCAACTACATGCTTCGCATAGGCAATAAACGCAACTCTACACGCTCAGCAACATCAATGATGTAATTGCAACTAGTGGAGGCTTCTCCATTGCTGCGGCATCCAGCATTGTCGCATCCAGCACTTCCGCACCGGCTACCTCTGCTTCGAGTGCGGCCAGTGCATCTGGGTAAGAGCCCGTGATTGATGATTGTCAATGGAAACTTATTGCATCCTTCAGCACCGGGAGCGCCGCTACCACTCCTGCGACCAGTAGCAGCTCCTTTGGCCGCACAGTAGCTGCTTCCTCGACCCTTTCGGGCTCGGCTTCTGGCTCTGCGTCTGGTTCTGCTGCGTCATCGTCAACATCGCCGACTAGCTTCAACGCCGCGACACACATTAAGGCCTTGAGTGCTGGTTCCATTGGTGCAATGGTCGCTGGTGCAGTTGTCGGGGCTGCAGTCTTCGCACTATAGGTGATGGGTCTCGTCTGTTTCTCTTCTCGGACTGTGAACTTTTTGGGACTTTTTGAGACGGTCTTCTCCCCATGAGACTTCTCTTTGAACTTTTCGGTTTTGTACCGTCTTGTCGATATCCTTGCAGGAATGCGTACATACCACTCGATACACTCGTTCGATATTGTCTACATAGCGTATCTAGTGTCTAGTACTTGTCTGTTCTAGATTTATTTGGAGAGGCCTTACGGAACGTGGCGATTTCTTCAGTCTATCTGCGATGGGAGCGAGGTAAGTCAAGACTTTTGAGATCAACTCGAGATCGTCAGTCAAGGACAATGGAGGCCAACTGACGACTTACGCACTTTCGGGACGGCCTGGGTCAGTCCCTCTGACAAATCTCTCTTCGTAGTGGAACTGGGAAAGCGCCAACCCTCGCCGAACGCGTTCGTAGTACCTTCTGCAGTTTTGAGCCTCAGTGGAGGGCTTTGCACCTACGGCCGTTCGAAGGGGTGGAGTGACCTTGTAAGCAAAGAGACGCACGAATGCTGAAACACTTACGTTGTCAGTGAGGATCCCGATGTGAATCCCAAGCTTAATTCGGGCTTCTCGGAACAACGGCGAACTTTACTGGCATGGCGTTTATTATATTCAACAATGCGTGCTGTAGGCATGCTATGGATCGATCAAGAAACATAATAGTAGAGAAATCCAGATGGACTGCATGGAGGCGCCCCTTAACATTGTCATTTTTTGTTGGCCATCGTTGAAAAGCCTAAGGTAGTCATCACTTCGTTAGCGGGGCAGTGCTGCGTCCGCATCCACCGGATGTGCGGACGCCAGTCTACATTAGCGCATCCAGGATATAGCTAAGCAAGGTGTCTGATAAAGGTCGCAAGCGTCATCAATTGGATGCGTGCATAATCAGAGCCTATCTTTGCGCGCAAATTATCACCGGTAGAGTATATAAGGCCCCTTGCCGCAGGAATAGAATAACACAAATACGGTCATCGACTGAGCTCTCGACAACGTAGTCCAATAGTTCGTAAGCCTAGCGGGACGGTACGTCACATGAAAGACAACCGAGGGACGTCGAAATATAGTACTCCAAGACCATGAGAAGGCGATGGTATTATAGTCGAATGACGCCGTGAGTGTCTACGTCGCTGCCTGGGATGCCCGCGTGCCTATCACTCTCTCGCGCGGCGTCATTTGAGAAAGAATGCCCGTGGCTTTGCCCGTCGCTTTCTGATCCCAAAATTGCTTCCTCTTCTTCTGGAAGGGACGGCAGTCGTTCGAAGCCTGGGCCAGAACGGTCTCCATTGTTCCAAGAACGCGCATGTTGTCCAGCGAACTGATCGCGAACCGATTGAATCCTTTCTAGAGTGTCTGTAAGAGAGAAGAACGAGACACGAGGGATTTGGTCGAAGCCGCGCTGCTGGAGGACATATCGCCTATACAGCGTTCCACCGACAAGGTAAAGCATGACAAGCACCAGCGCGCTGTGTATCATTGAATGCATGATGAGAGAACTTGGACTCTGATCGATGAAGACACGTACATCATGGACATACCGACGATCAGGCCTCCCCAGAAGCCTGATGGCTCGCTAGTAGGACACGCTAACTAATAGCACATGAGAAACCAGTGCCAGCTATGTGGTATTTACGACCCACGTGTGTCCTCCATTCAATAAAGAATGCACACGCCGACTCATCGTTCGGCGGAAGCTGTGCGACTAGCCGAGGCTTTCCTACGAACAAATGTAAGCTGCAGGAACAACGTTCTCACACATCGACGTCATCTACCTGATCCGAAAACAGACGTATCACATATGAAGCGTACAGCGGTCGAAGCCCGAAGGTGGTCAGCACCCGTACACGGTGATCCTCCTGTCAGGATGAGAAGGGGATGCCTATCCCGTACAAGTAGAGTGGTATTGACTTCGCTGAACCATGGCGAAATCAGTCGCTGAGACCTGAGGGAGGTCAGGTCCTCTATGAGCTCACCCTAAAGAGAAGTCGCCGTGGCCTCTGCGCGTAAATGCAGCGATGTTTTCTGGGTGTGCCACATCGGGATTCCATGTCTCATGCACGACGCCTTTACAAACATTGATGAACAACTCTTGACCGCCTGGAGCCTTGAAGCTATAGTCTGTACTAGACTCCTGACCATATTTAGTTGTAAATTCTATGGGTGGCTGGGGGACCCGAATCGGCAACAGGGGGAGTTCGCAGAGGGTCAACTAAGGATGTAAACTTACCTCGACTGAAGGGGCCGTAGATCATAGTACCTGCCACCCCTGTGAGCTGTACACGGTTGTTCTTCTGCCGCAGCATAACTTCTCAAGAATACGCAAGTAGAGGAGAGAGCTAAAAGCCATTTTGTTAGCGAGGGCATACCAGTAACCAGATGGTAGTCAGCGGCAACGTCGGACCAGCGAAAGCTCGAGTTTGGAGAACACAAACCGTGGGAAACTCCGAATTCAGCTGATCGTCATTGGGCAGCCCGTCGCCGCCTACCTCCGCCTACCCGCTCCTCAACTCTCGTCATCGTTCATCATGGCCTCGACACTCCTTCGCCGCCAGCTGCCACGCATTTCACATCTGGCCCCACGACGCTGTATTTCAACATCTTCCTCTCTGTACCAGCAAACTGAGTCCAGGGGAGCATACACACCAGAGGGCAAACATGTTTTCGACACGCACACTGTAGAGGATCTACATGGGATGGCTGCGAAGGATATTCTTGCAGAGACTGGTTCGAGAAAAGAGAGCCAAATGAGGCATTTCACAGGTAAGTTCTATCTTCCTCAGAGGTATAGATACTCACTCATCTTTCCTATCTCAGTCAATTTCGGGTAAGTACAGAAAATGACATATAATGCCCAATTTTGCGAAATATCTGTCACCACACAGTCCCCAGCACCCCGCTGCACACGGTGTGCTCCGGCTAATTCTTGAACTCAATGGAGAGGAGATTCTCCGTGCCGACCCCGTAAGACGTTTAGTATTCACTGGCCATTTCTTCTTTATAACACACTTTTCTGCTAGCATATTGGACTCCTGCACAGAGGAACTGAGAAGTTGATTGAATACAAGACATACATGCAGGCTTTGCCGTACTTTGACCGTCTGGATTACGTGTCCATGAGTAGGTCCTACACTCTTCCGTGCACCATCCAGTATTGATGTTGCGCTGTAGTGACGAACGAGCTGTGCTACTCGCTGGCTGTCGAAAAGTTGCTCAACATCGAGGTACCTGAGCGTGCCAAATGGGTTCGCACTCTATTTGGCGAGATCACTCGTATCCTCAATCGTATGTTTCCCAGACTTAGACATGTGGAGCTAACGTTCATGAATAGCTTCCTCACAGACTTGATGGCCGTGCTCACACATGCTATGGACGTCGGTGCCTTGACGCCATTCCTGTGGGGTTTCGAAGAGCGCGAAAAACTCATGGAGTTCTATGAGCGCGTCTCCGGTGCGCGTCTGCACGCTGCGTACGTGCGCCCAGGCGGTGTCGCCTTCGACCTCCCTCACGGCCTCCTCAACGATATATTTCAATGGGCGACACAGTTTAGCAGTCGCGTCGACGAGATCGAGGAGGTTATTACCGGTAACCGTATTTGGAAACAGAGGACGATCGGGGTAGGGAAAGTCACTGCTCAGGAGGCCCTTGATTATAGTTTCTCGGGAGTCATGCTCCGAGGGAGTGGAGTCAAGTGGGACCTAAGGAAAGTCGCGCCGTACGATAAGTATGACGAGGTGCGTCCGCGAGTCTTTCCACAAATACATGGTGTCCAATTCAAGCATGTGATGATGTATAGGTTGAGTTCGATATTCCTGTGGGGAAAAATGGTGATTGCTATGACCGTTACCTTTGCCGTGTTCAGGAAATGCGTGAGTCGTTACGGATCATTGACCAGGTGAGAGAGGTCAACCCTCGCCTCTTGATTGACACCCTCACCACTCACATCCTACAGTGCTTGAACAAAATCACTACCGGCCCTGTCAAGGTTGATGACCATAAATTGGTCCCACCTCCTCGTGCATCGATGAAGGAGAGCATGGAGTCTCTCATCCACCATTTCAAGGTAAGATCTATTTTTTGTCTCTAACTTGCTTTATTTCATCTTTGATACTCACACGGGATGTGAAATACAGATCTTCAGTGAAGGATACTCTGTCCCACCGGGTGAAACGTACTCTGCTATTGAGGCGCCTAAGGGGGAGATGGGTGTTTACCTTGTTTCGTGCGTGTGCTTTCGTCCAGATTCAGTAAGTGCTGCTCTTATAGTTTCTACCTACTTGAATAGGGACGGCACCAACCGCCCATATCGATGCAAGATCCGCGCACCTGGCTTCGCGCACCTGGCTGGAGCTGACTTCATGATGAGACGTGAGTCCTATATTTTTTCTGACTGTTCCAAAAAGTTACTAATTCTAACTCTTTGCAGATGTGAGAGCATTTGCAATATGTGATCATTATCTGGCAGCTGACCCTTGTTCAATGCTCTGTAGCATTTTATTGCAGATGTTGTCGCCATCATCGGCACGATGGATCTTGTATTTGGGTGCGTAAAGTCTGTACCATTTCTCTTCCTCCCATATGCTGATTTTACGGTAGCGAGGTGGATCGGTAGATTTAAATCGAGTTTCCCTGAAACTATGATTTACGGTTCATTAATACACGATCGTCGCCCAAGACGCAACCCATTCTTATACGAGAAATTTCGCTCCCCGTTCGCCTTTGATTTTGTTTGTCAACCGATTCTTACACTGTGATGAGAGGGTCTGCGTCCTTGTCGCTAACGTGGAAGCTGATCTCCTTGGCCAAAGCCCAACCCTCCCCGTCTAATTTACTGAACTCTTCCCTTAGTCGGTTGGCCAGGATTGGAAGGTAGCCTCGTTCTGTGTTCGAATGGCCGCCTAATTGTGAATGTCCAGTGATCAGCAATAGCCTAGAGAGGCAGTTAAGAAGCTCCTTACAGAGGATAACACTCCGATCCGCGGCTACGGCGGCAAGGACTTCATGCTGAAACCGACATATTGAGCGGTTTTGAACAGTCAGAAAGAGAGTGGCATACATGCGACATTTCGCCAGTGAGGTAGACATCTGCCTTGATTCCCTGGAGGACGGAGCCGCCTGAACCAGCACAAATGGCTATTGTTTGGACGTCGTTGTGAAGCCTTGTGGGCGCCTGAGCAACTTGAACTTGGTGGATGGCATGAGGAAGATGGGTGAGATGAAGTCCAAATTTCTGGGGCAGTGTGCTCACGATGGGTAAGGCCCAAGTATTTCTTGACTCTCTCCTGCAACACCTTGAAGCTTACCTTCTCGTCCAAACACACAAGTCGTCCTCCACCTCCAAGACTGGGTACCGTCTCCCCATGTAAGAGTTCGACCTTGCCCTCCCCGAGGCCGTCCGCCAGCCAGTCATTGATACCACCATATACCGAGTCTAGTGCAGTATGTGGCGAGTATATAGAAATACCTGCGGTTGCGCACCAGAGCAGGGATGCTTGTAAAGGGTTGGCGAGGGTTAAAGAGGATAGTGGTTTAAACAGAGGCGGATGATATGCAATGATGGCCGCTGCAGGAAGGGCAATCGCCTCCTTAAGGACTTGAGGCGTAAGGCTGTATGTCGAAAATGATGGATAAGGTCTGTGAAAGTGCAGTGTGGCAGAGAAACTCACTCGATCGTGAGGAGGACATTGCGAGAGTTTCTGTGTTGTAGTGGAGGGCCTTCTGCCGGGGGTCATATTCTTCAGAAGGGCATCACTACAGCTAGGAAATGGGTTTGATGAGACCTAACAGTAAACCGACCTGTTGCCGACATAGCGCAGGGTCAGTGCAAGTCGAACGTTGAGCCATTAGATACATGCATTATCCCACTTTTCAGCAAGACTCAGCGGAGCGATCCGTTCCATTGCCTTGCTAACAAGCTTTATGACGGACATAGTGGCGTATCCCTTGAAGATCTCGAGAATATTGCGAAGAGAATGTTGCTTGCCATGGGCCACCGACGTCTGCTCGATTCCCGAAAACATGGTGCGCCACGTGCCCGAGTCATATCACGTGTGGATTGGTGGAGGATGACGAGGAGATCGGTCATCCAGAGGGCAAACCAAGCATATGTTCCCCCACCTATATAAGGCTGCATCTCGCCGTTTCACAGGACCACTATCGTTCACCCTGTTTTCTTCATCAGTACCCTCTTCCTCGCGTCCTTCTCCCAGACAACTGCACGCAATGGCCGTCAAGGATTTTGTAAATGTGCGGACCCGTCGATCGCGCCGGCTAGATTGCTAATGTTCGGCTTGTTCAGGATACCATCGCCCAGAACCAGGTCACCATCTTCTCCAAGTCTTGGTGCCCTTACTGCAAGCGTGCCAAGGGCCTCTTCGCGTCGGATTACTCTGATGTCAAGGTCAAGGTCATCGAGTATGCCTCTGCTTACGGATAGCCTTTCGCTTCAATTGACGGCTTTCAAATTCAGGCTCGATGAGAGGGATGACGGCGACGCTATCCAGGCTGCTCTGCTTGAATTGACCGGTCAGCGAACCGTTCCCAACGTCTTCATTAGTGCGTGTCTATATATTCCTCTTACTTGATCTGACCTTTCCCTCGCACCTGTAGACAAGAAGCACGTTGGAGGTGAGCTTTTTGTTCATCTATTCTGAGTTCTGAAATTGACTCGCTCATTCATAGGCTCTGACGCGGTGTATGCCCTCCACGCGAAGGATGGGGTCGCTCCTCTCCTCGCATAATCACTTAGACAAAGGATGCGCTTTGTATCGTAACACCATATGCTAGAACCATGATGGCCATGCGCCAACTATACCGATAATCTCCTGGTTACTCTTGAGCCTATCAGATTTTATCAAGGTTGTATTACAATCTGTCAAAAGGTATCCAATCGGCCGAGAAATATCACGAGAGCGTAGTAGCAATACACAATAGCTACGGCCGAAACTGGAAGTACAAGAAAAGCTGCTCTACACGAGCATCAGTCCAACATTCTTTGAGACGGCACATACTGTGCAGTCTCGGAAGACGAGTGAATGCAAAAAGGAGTCAACGACAGTACGTTCACAAAAGAGTGACGATAACGAGCGGTTTCAGCAGTAACGAAGTCAAAACGGCGCCAGGAAGAAAATGCACTGGCTGAGCATGTGTTCAGACACAGAGCGCGACTCGCCTCACAGGCTTCGTCGTCCTTGTCCGTCGCTCGGGAGTTGATCATCGAGACCAAGAAAGGTTTTCGCCACCGCGAAGGGTACCTCTTTGACTTCCTTAGCGGCAACTCCGGCGACGCCTTCAAAGGGATTAAGTTCATCACGAGCCTTGACAGACCCGTGGGCCAAACCGTCAATTATGCCCTCGACCTTCTCTTCAACGCCATTGTCCGGCAGGCCAAGTCCACGGGCTTCAAAAAAGACTGATGGGTAGAAGAATGTTAGTTAGACCGCACTGCTGGGCATTGGTGACGAGGAGAAAACAACGAACTATCTGATGTCCCGATGCGGCCCACATGGACGCGACCAACGTCGCGAACTGGAGCAGCGAGGGCTCCCAGGGATGAAGACACTGCAATAAAGGCGAACAGCATGAAGGGGCTCGACGAGATTTTCATTTTGAGAAATGGGTTGCAGTAGCTGCGATGGCAAACGATTGTGGATTCGAGGATGAATTCAGAGAGAGAAGCAGTGAGAAGAGGTGGAGATGAGATTGTTCTGAGCGAGAGAAACGACTTATATAGGCCCAGAAGAGCTGTCTTACGGCTCAGCTTGACCTCATATCAAGGCAAAACGGCACCGAACGAGGATCTCTGTGAGATGTAAACTCATGCTCGTCGTGGTAGCGTTAGGATACTTCTAGAGATGTCAGGCAAGCACGCGAGGGGATGATACAGTGGTCACCAAAAGGATACGGTGTTAGAGCGGGCGTGAATCACGACTCACGACAACGTCCCCGAGGAGAGGCAAATCAGTATTTCGACATTCAAGGTGACACTCAGCTAGCGAGATAATTATGATCTCCCAATTTTTGGATCCTCAGTACCAAATGTTAGACGGTGGATGCGATGATTTGCTCGTGCTCCTTACACTTTCCTCGACGATGATGGAAATGAATGTCGAGGATCATCACGCTGTGGCGCAACGCGTGGAGACTGGCTTGTTCTCCGGTCCATACGGCTCCGATCGTCACGCTCAGTAAAAACATTCTTCAGGTGAACGTCAAGCTCAGTCAAAAAAATGGTCTTTTATCATGCATCCGTCAAGAAAGTGGCGCGAAAAGTCATGCACAAGTCATAAACTGCTAAAATTGGACACGACTTTCACACGACTTCTGCACTGCTTTCATGACGGATACATGACAAAATATCAATCTTTTGACTGGGCATGACGTTCACTTGAATTTCCGTTTCTACTGAGCGTCACGCGTCACGCGGCACGTCTTGCTCAACCGGATCACATGAGACAAAATGGACCCGACAAGTTGTGAAGCTGTCCGTTGGTCTTGCTGGGAGCGTTCAATACCGGGCTATATGACAATAGGATAGGAGATGCTGGTATTCAAACAGACGACCACAAGCGCAGTGGTACTGGAGGCATCGAGCACAGGACACGAAGAATAAAGAATAAAAATAAAAATATTGCCGATTCAATGATAAACATCAACCTCTTCTCAAGCAGACGCTGAGCTATGCGCACCCGCACTAGCCGTCACCTTCGCAGGCACATCCGAAGCAGACGTTGCGGCCGAAGGCGCAGCGGAAGGCCGGCTCATAGGCACGTCTTGTCCGAACAGTGGCGGCGCATCGTTCGGGACAGGCGCTGCGGGCTTCTGCGCACCGATGGGGAGCGTCGGTACGGGCACGGGCACAGGAATGGGCGCAGGTACGGGCACGGGCACAGGAATGGGCGCAGGTACGGGGATGGGAGCAGGCACGGGAATGGGAATAGGCACGACCGGAGGCGCTGCAGCTTGACGGCGGAGCGCAGGCGCGTTGGGCCTCTGCGCGCCAGCAGGGGGCGACGGAGCAGGGGCGGGCACAGCTGGGTGTGACGGCTCTGCGGAGACGGATGGAGGTGCGGGCGCTAGTGCAACAGGTGCAGGTGCGGGCGCGTTGGGCCTCTGCGCGCCAGCAGGGGGCGACGGAGCAGGGGCGGGCACAGCTGGGTGTGACGGCTCTGCGGAGACGGATGGAGGTGCGGGCGCTAGTGCAACAGGTGCAGGTGCGGGCGCGTTGGGCCTCTGCGCGCCAGCAGGGGGCGACGGAGCAGGGGCGGGCACAGCTGGGTGTGACGGCTCTGCGGAGACGGATGGAGGTGCGGGCGCTAGTGCAACAGGTGCAGGTGCGGGCGCGTTGGGCCTCTGCGCGCCAGCGGGGGGCGACGGCGCAGGGGCGGGTGCAGCTGGGTGCGAGGGCTCTGAAGCAGACGGAGGTGCGGGTGCACCAGGTGCGCCGGGTGCGCCAGGTGCAGCAGGTACAGCGGGTGCAGGTGCAGCTGGAGGCGCGCGCCGAAGCGCTGGTGCGTTGGGCCTCTGCGCGCCAACAGGAGGCGACGGCGCAGGGGCGGGCGCAGCTGGGCGCGAGGGCTCTGGGGAAGATGAAGGCGCGGGCGCAGCAGGAGCGCCAGGAGCGCCGGGTACTGCAGGTGCAGGCGCGGCAGGTGCGGCTGGAGGCGCGCGCCGAAGCGCTGGTGCGTTGGGCCTCTGCGCGCCAACAGGAGGCGATGGCGCAGGGGCGGGCGCAGCTGGGTGCGAGGGCTCTGGGGAAGATGAAGGCGCGGGCGCAGCAGGAGCGCCAGGAGCGCCGGGTACTGCAGGTGCAGGCGCGGCAGGTGCGGCTGGAGGCGCGCGCCGAAGCGCTGGTGCGTTGGGCCTCTGCGCGACAGCAGGAGGCGACGGCGCAGGGGCGGGCGCAGCTGGGTGCGAGGGCTCTGGGGCAGATGGAGGCCCAGGTGCTGCGGGTGCTGCGGGTGCAGGCGCAGGCGCAGCAGGCGCGGCTGGAGGTGAGCGGCGAAGCGCGGGCGCGTTGGGCCTCTGCGCGCCAGCAGGGTTCGACGGCGCAGGGGTCGGCACAGCTGGGTGCGGGGGCGCGGAAGCAGACGAAGAGGCAGAAGCAGGAACAGGGGGCGCCGCGGGCGCCACAGGGGGCTCGCGGCGGAACACAGGCGTGTTGGGCGGGTTCGGCGGGAGGGACGGGGAGAACATGTTGTTCGCGAGCGCCGCGGCGGACGCCGAGGGTGAGACGGCGTCTGAGGCCGAGAGCGTCGACGTCTCCGTAGCTTGCGAGTCCTGGCGCCTTATGGGCGGTTTCGCGCTCCCTACTGCACCCGCTGCGCCTCCGGCGACGCCCCCCACTGCTCCTGGGATGCCGGTGACGATACCTGCGATGCTGCTTGCCACGCCCGTAGCTGCGCCTGCGGCGCTCTTGATGGCACCTATAGCGCTGCTTGCGACTCCAGGGCCATCGAGTGCCGCGTTGTTCATCGCATGACGGATCTGATCTGCGGCCTGCGCCTGTGCAGCGCGGATTTCATCCGTGTCGGTGCCAGCGAGAGCAGCCTCGGCGGCGGCGGCGGTATGGCCGAGTCCGAGAGCATCGATGAGCGGTGTGAGGGCGGACCCGACGATCGGCAGGCCCTCGAGCAGTGCACCGAGGCCGAGGACGTCACGAGAGTTGACCTGGTCTGAGGGAAGTGCAGGTGTGAAATGAGAAGTGGAGGTAAGAAGGAGGGGAACGTACGATCAGAAGTAGAGGAAGGGACGTTTGAGGTGCTCGTGGACGAGGGCATGCCGGTTGCATCAGCAGCAGCAGCAGCAGCGGCGCTTGTGGTAGCTATGTACGAGGAGGTGCTGGTAGTATCCGCTTCAGCCGCCGGGGCTGCTAGTGCCACGATAGATGAAGAAGATGAGGAGATGGCGAGGGAAGCGAGAAGCATCGAGGAGCTCGAAGGGAACTTCATGATGACTGGTATGTAGAAGGATGAACACGCGAATAAAAATAAACTAGCGGAAGGTGTAGAGTATGCAAAAAGCGGGAGATGATGAAGGTTCTCGTCAAGAGATGGGTGGTGAGTGCAGTCAGACAAAGGAGGGTTTAAATACCTTTCGAAGCGAGGTCTCAAACAGCAGAGCTGGTAGATTGGATTGAAATCGCAAGACCATGTCTGGCAAGAACGGGTATGACGTACGTGAAACTGGGATGTGAGTCGTCGGTCAGCGATGAAATTTAGCAATCGAAAAAGCATATTATCATCGCGCACGACATAATTGTTTCTTGAGAACCAGACCTAGACCATGATAAAATAGACTGTGCGATGTACAACCGATGGTTCAACACGGGACGAGTGATAAGAAGCAGGCTTGTGCAGATATAGAACAAAGAAGCTGCGAACGAGGTGCCGTATTGCGCGAGTGCTTCTCTCGACAGAACCGCTTCACGTCGCGCATCTGATGGGACTACATCGAAACGGAGGCAATATACATGTTTCAATTGTGACCAAAATCCATCAGTGTTGGGAACCAGTGCTCCAGCTATCTCATCTCATTTAAAGAACCATGAGAACGTGCGAGAAATCCGTATTTTGTGCACGACGTACGTACCGCAAACACTGCTGACTGGGTAGCCGACGCGTCAGCTGAGCCGCCCCCTCCTGTCCATTTCCCATGCCTCGCCCTGAGAGGGGAACGCGCGACGTGATCGGGCGGTGGGAGCGTTTCCGAGGCGTGCACTCTCTAATATAGAATCCCACAGACCAGATAGGGCCCGCAAAACAGGGGTTCCCATGCATGACGAGAAGAAACACCACGCGAGGGAGCAAACGCTGGAAGAGCGCGGTCAGAGTGAGCCGTCGGGTCAAGCGCGGAGAAGAAGGGTGATTCACATGAGCACAGATAGGATCAGAAATAGCATGGCCAAGGACGAGTCTATTCCAAAGGTTTGCGCGCGTTCTGGTGGCATCCGGGCGAGTCGGAGTGGCAGCTGAGTGGTAGAGGAGCGCGCGCCACGATGTGCTGGTTGTGACTGGTGATCGGGCCGAGGACATCCGAGGCTATCTGATAAGATGGCAGTGCCACCGCCGACCTTGGAGCCATGCGCGGCGGCTTGAGGGGCGTGTTCAGGTGGAGAAGGGAAGCGAAGGAGAGCTCTCTTATGGAATCGGGGAGCTGCACTGAACGGGTTGAGTCAGAGGGACGGGCGGCGGTGCAGGGCAGTTGCAGGGCGGACAGCCAGGAGCCAAGCAGTGGCCAAGCGAGGGGTTGGAGTTGCGGACCTTCAAATGGCCGGGCACATAAAGACGAGACTCGCGTTGAAAGCGACGACGGACGACGCTCTGAACCGGACGGCGAGCAGCAGGGAAGCGCAGGTGAGTGGCTGCCGAGAGGAAGGAGGTGGTGGGACAGGGGGCCCGAGGGAGCGGTAACACAACTCAAATGGTCCTGTTACCGCTCTTTCGGGTCGGGCTGGCATTCCCACCGTCGATTTCTCCCACTAATCCCGTCTTTTTTTCTCAAGTCGCCTCAGCTCACTCGACATCATGATCTTCCCCGACGACTCGAAGGACCTCTCCGACACTGCCGTCTCATCCACCATCGAACCCTCCTCCTCAAAGGTCCGTGCGCCTCTTTCTCCCTCGCCCTCTGATCTTGACCCGTTCCCAGATCACCGACACAACGGTCCCAGATCACGGATCTCTAAACAATGACATCGAGCGGTCGTCCGCCCACAAAGCTAACGCCTCCGACCCATACATGTTCAACAACGGCTACAAGAACGAGGAAGAGCTCGCAGCACTCCGCAGACGCAAACGCGGTGGCAGGCTCGAGCGCTATCACCGACGCCAGAATGCCGTCAGTCTCCCTATCTTTCTCTGTATTCTCATGCTCACTTATTTCGTCCCGCGCCGCGCATATAGCTCATCGCTTCGCTCCTCAAGCCCATGGAGGAGCACACCGAAGATGCGCGAATCGAAGAAGACGCCGCGCGTTTGCCAGTGAGTCCCAAATTATCGCACTGTCGACACCAGTTCACTTACGGTACGGCCCTCCCTCAGGTAAAAATCGCCGTGCGGGCAAGCTTAATAGCAAACTTTGCGCTCTGTATCTTACAAAGTGAGCGCTTCGTTTCTGAGCACCCAGTGGCTTGATCATTTGATCGACGCCGATGCTTTCAGTGTACGCTGCCGTATCTTCCGCTTCGCTTTCCCTCCTTGCGACCGGCATCGACTCGGTCTTCGACATCGGAAGTAACGTCCTGCTTTATTGGCTACACCGAAAAGCAAATGCCATGGACGAGAAAAAGTGGCCCGTTGGTGGCGCACGGCTCGAGACCATCGGAAACGTGATATATGGTGAATTTCGCATTCGTCTCATGCGGAGAACTTTATAGAAATCATCCCTACGTTTTCCTTTGTTCCAGGATTCTTGTAAGCAATTTTCCAAAATTACGCATGAAGCAGTAGTCATCCGTTCCAAACAGGATGGGCTCGGTAAACCTGGTTGTTATCGTCGAGTCCGCGAGGGGGCTCATCACACATGGCGACGGTGACCTGAATCAGCTTCATCTAACTTCTCTAATAGCAGTCGCGGCCGCCCTGGGTATATGAGGTCCATGTATGCGCTATTGGAAGTTAATTGACCAACCATGGTTTTCCTCCAGGCGTCAAATTTCTGTTGTTCTTATATTGTTACTCGCTCCGCACAAAGTCTAGTCAAGTTTTGGTCCTTTGGGAGGACCATCGTAATGATCTGTTCATCAACTCTTTCGGTGAGCGTGCACTAGCGAGGTTGGATACGAAATGAATGACTAACAAGTGACTGACGCAGGATTGCTCATGTCCGCGGGTGGCAGTAAATTGAAATGGTGTACGTTATTCATGACTCTTACCTCCTGCAGTCGTTCAACCGTTTTTATCCTGCAGTTTTGGACCCTATGGGAGCAATCATCGTGCGTTGTATCGTCACGGTCCTCGGAGAGCGTGGACATTAACGGCATCATTCCAGATCGCGCTTGGAGTCATCATTGCGTGGGGCCGCACGATACATGGCCAGTTCGAGCTCCTCGCGGGCAAGTCGGCGCCGCACGACTTCATTCAGCTCATCATCTACAAGGCCATGATCTTCAGTGATGATATCGAAAAGATAGACACCGTGCGGGCGTACCACGTCAGTGTCGCCCTTTCTCTCGCGCTTTAGCTCGAGCACGCCAACCTGACCATTTACGCCCTTTCACCTCTTGTTCTTCCTCGTGCAGAGTGGACCGGTATGTTTTGATTAGCTGATGTGAAGGGTACGAAAGTTGGCTGACGAAGTGCCGTGCAGGACTACTTTGTCGAGGTGGACATCGTGATGGACGCGCGGACTCCGCTCTGGAAAGCGCACGACATCAGCCAGCAGCTGCAAGACAAGATCGAAGTCCTTCCAAACGTCGAGCGCGCGTTCGTGCACGTGGATCACGAGACGACACATCCTCCGGTGCGCGATCAATCCAAAAACATCCACTTACTTCTCCGTCCTGCGCATCTCTCTGACACGCACCTTACAGGAACACCGAAAGTTTATATGACCGATCACGATATCCAACACATAGACCCGCGGTGTATGCGCCAGCGAGCCGCTTCGAACCTTTCTTGTTCCGGCCCATTTGTATTCGAGAATTATAAAGGGCATAATCAAACTATAACAGGCTATTCCTAGTATCAAACTAGCAATCCGTAGTGTATCATTGGAATGTCGATATTGACAGGCTCGCCGGGCGTCCATGGTCAACACTCATCATAAGTTGTCCGATCCAACAAGGAATGTAATGGATCGGAACCTGTCATACCGGCCCCGAGCTCTTGCCTCTTGACCAGTCCTCGAGCAGCTTGATTCCGGAATCAAACTCCTCTAGCAGGTTCCTGGTCGAGTTTGGTGTCGCCACTGCCTTTTGGCTGTGCGTAGGTGCGGCTCCCATCGCATATCCATAGTCGGCGGTATCTATCCCGGGCACCCATCCACCAGTAAAGTTTGATTGATATGCATTTTTGTGGTCGCTGTAAGCACGAATAAGGGGCTGTGTCTTGGCCCATTTTTCAATTCTTATCAGCGGGGATAGAGGGTAGTTAGATGTGATATGGGGTTTCGGTGTAGAGCGTCGGCTCACGTCTTCCGTATTGCATCTTTGCGAATGGTGAAATGGGACGCAATCACGTCCTGTGCATATGGTAGGAAGAGAAGAAGCAAATTAGAAGAGGGCAAGTCAGGCTCTAATGAGGAGACGCACAGCCCAAATCCCGTTCTTGTGTTCGTCTTTCATCCAATCGACGACTGCCCAGCGAACGGTCTGCAAATAGATGTTCTTATTATACGCTATACTACTGTGATTGCTGGCATTGGCAGTGCCATATCCGGGTCTGGAAACAAGTGCGCAGCATCAGAATATGAACAATGAAACGTATCTGACAGGGCGTACTCGTTGAAATAGGGCAGGTCGATCAGGATCATGCTTTGAATGCTGACGAGGACCTGCAACAGGGTCGACTTATTCGACCATTGTTCCTCAGGCCTGCATCATGAAGCGGGTGATCAGAATAATATAACAGGTGTACGGGTTGTTAACCCACCGGCCTGGCCAAGTACCCAGCAATGACAGACAGACTTTGCCTGAATTGTACAGATTGGGATTGAAGCGCACGCTCCCGCCGCCCGTCGTGCGGAGATGCATGAGTGGTGGCACATTGGGGTACTCCAAAGGTATAAAGCAGTCGAACTCAAAAAGACCACCCTCGTACGGCGTCCCGGTCGGTCCCGCGATCATGATTTTGCTGTCAGAATGAAATGTTAACGAAACCGAATAACCTGATATGAACAAAGGCAAGGATGACGGCAAACTTACATTACGTCGTTCCGCACTTCATCGACACGGACCCATACACCGGGAGGTAGTGAAGTTGCCGTCACCGCTAGCTCTTTGACAAGGTGCAGCCTACACTTCGGGTTTCTGGTTGCGGAGGCTGTCATCGTCAATTCATTGGTATAGGAAAATGTTGGATAGGTGAGGCCGGTCCCGTTGCTGCTAGTTTCTGAGAGCGCGACATGTTTGAACGCCAAGTGCTCGCATTCGCGGGTGTACACTCTTTCCATATCCACTGCGAAATCTCGATTCTTCCCTTTTCCCTTCCCCTTCCCCTTCCCTCTTCCTTTGCCGTCGACCGCACCGTTGGCCTGATCGACTTGCTTCTCTTCGGCATCAACAGAGATATCTTTGCCCATGACTTTCATGGCCCGTTCTATGTCATCCCGCGCTGCAATAATATCGCCGCATAAGGAACTCGCTCGGATCGTGATGTCATCGACTTCTTCATCGCCGCCTTGAACTTGCATGAGCTGTGAAGCGCCTGCCAGAAACGCCTCGCACTGCTTCGTGAGCTTCTTGAAATGGGCGTATAGCGGCTGAGATCGCGAAATGGGCGCATTGGGCTTGGGTCTTTCCCAGACGACTTCTCCATCATTCCACATCCACCCCTCGAGGCCGCAAGACTTGTCTTTATCCCATTGCTGCTCGATGAGAATTTCGACGGTAAGCTCGCAGTCCGCCATGCGCCGGAGAAGAGCCAGCATGGCATAATAGACTTCGCTGCGGAGAATCCAGTCCGAAACGGAGTCATTGCGCAGGAGGCTGCCCAGGAGTTCTGGGAGTTGCGAGAGGGGCAAAATGTGTTGGATGCATGCATGCGGGAGTATGTCATACATTTTTCCAGAATCGGAATAGGGATCAGGAAGGAAGTCTTTGATGGTGGTCAAAGCACGGACGACTACATCGTCCCAGTGGGCGGCCATATTTTGGGCTTGTTGACCCCGCGTGTCTGTAGAGTGAAGGTTTACGCTCTTTTTCCCGCGCGCGTTTGGATATTGACCAGGTCCGTAGTGTTGATGGTGAGTTCCTCCGGTCCCATATCCTGTCCCGCCTGGTCCCACGGAAGCGCCGGCATTCGCAGAAGCTTTGGTAGCAGTATCTTTCGCCCGCGCATCTGAGTTTGCTCGCTCGCCGATATAGAGTCTGTCAAAGCCTCCTAATGCTTCGAACAAGGCAATGGCACGAACTTCCGCGCAGCATGATTCGACAGTGCAGTTCGCTGATTTAGCCTTGCCTCTGCAAGGCGGAGAACACGACAGCGGAGTGAAGCATCCTCGGCAGTGATTGATCTTGCATTTGCTACACGACACGTGCAGCAGGCTCAGTAGGCTAGGTGGTGGGAGATTCGCAGAGAACGCGACCTAATAGCAGTAATGGTTGATCAATTTTGTTATGAGTTCGAGATGCTAGGGAGCGTACAATGCCTCGAGGGGATGGAAGGGACGCGCCGCACTTTGAGCACGGTCGGTCGGCAGTAAATAACTCAGTGAATTTTTTCAGCCTGCTATCTGGCGGCTTGTCCAGCCCCGTGGTGGATTCAGAAGAGGCTCGGATGCGACCAGAGCTCCTAGGTTGAGCTGACTCAATACCGGTAGTCACTATATTGTTGTCACTATTTCGCGTCGATGATCTCGTTGCTCTCTTGACAACGCCACTCTGTGTCTTCCGGGAGTCTTCGAGGGAGCGTTGAATCGCGAGCGCTTCACCTTCACTACCTTCGTCATCTCCAATATCGATCACATCGTCGTGGTCGTCTGGTTTGTATAAAACACCAGACGTGCCTGAAGCGGAGGCGCCTGCTGTACCTGCTGTACCTTCGTTTCCCCACTCTTCCTGAAGCTGCCGCGCAAGCGCCTCACTCGCCTCTTGTTCTCGAATCTGTGCCAGAATTTCGTCTAGGTCCTCGTCTTCATGCGCCGGTTCCGCCTTGGATGCGATACGCTTCGAACGCTTAGCAGGTCTTTCAGTAATTGTATCATCGGAAATGGATTGGCGGCGTCGCCTCAAAGCCATAGTAGAATATAGCTCAATGAAGGAAGTGTGTACGATGACTCAGGTGTAGGTGGAAGAATCTACAGACAAAGGATTTACAACATACTGTAGCAAATTCACGCAGACTGCGAATAATGCACGTGCTCAAAACCACGTGTTTGAGTTGCCACAGACGCGTCGCAACGCGTCGAAAGTTTGACATCGAGTATGGAACGAATGATAAGTGAGTAGCCGCTGCGGCCAGGCGAGATTCAAATGTCGGACAGTCTCATTAGTAGCCGAGGCTACACTCCTCTCTGTTATCGTCCTCGCGTGCCAGCTGCTGCATCGGATTGATAAGTGCAAGCTCACTCCCCTCGAATCTCTTTCGCTCCTCTCGAGAAACACCTCGATGACCACTAGGTGGCCTCGCACAGGTATCGCAATCGGCGCCCTTGCTCGGATTTCATATGCGAATCCTATCAGAAAGAGCCCTTCTAGTGAGCAGGCTCAAATTCAAGGTCACGTCCGAATACAAGGACTTCCGCATCACCTTCTCGCTCCTAGAGAGGGTATATTCATCCCTCCACCTCCAAGTCCAAAGGAGGAGCACAAACACATCATCATAGCATCCATCCTCGCGTTGTCTTTGATGCTGCTGGCAGTTCTCGTAATCCGATGCATCATCCCATTGACGGTTGGGAGGCTCGCACGAGGCACCGTAAGGGGCGGGAAGACCACGGGGCAGCAAACGCAGTCTGATCGTGACGGCAACGATGGGCGAGCAGAGAAAGGGAGAGGAAATGATAGCAAGGCCTGTCAGGATTATCAGACATTGGGGAAGATCATCGGAGGGGGGTATGTGATGGTCGTGCTAGAAGACGATCAGAAACGAGAGGGGGTCGAGGGCAGGCGAACAGTGAGGCTTCCGGAAAAGCCTCCTGCAGTCGTTCTGAAAGAGGAGCTTCCTCTGTCGCCAATTATGCTGGTCATGGGCAGTCCACACGATTCCCGTCCAGCGTACCACACGCGGGCGAAACTTACACTGTATGCGACACAGTAACCTCTGATTTGCTACGGAATGGCGATGAGCACGGCGATGTGAAGAGGCACCTGTGGACGTGGTGATAATAAAAAATTAGTGAACCATCATGATCATTCTAACCATGTCAAAATACCTGCAACCGGATCGTCGCAACGAGGACGCCCCACTCGCCGTCGATCATAATTAGCCAGGTAACATCTGGTACGACGGGGATGGCCCCACTGACATTAGTGTTACTAGATGATGACGTCGAGAAATGGTTCATGTATCGCGCCCTGCATGAATGTTCAGTCGGTGTTCAGTCGTGCAGAGAGGTAGCAGCCAAGCGTTCTGAAACAAGTGGGCGGGAGGAGAGCACACGGAAGCCAAAAAGGCAATCGAAGACGCGAACTGCCGGACCAGTTTGACTGTGGCTACCAAGTCCTCGTCAAACCTGCCATCGCCCAGATCCTTTTAAAGCCTGTTCCGTTTCTCTCTCCTCCCTTCCCCTCCAGGCATCATCCTCACATCCTTCTTGTTTATACCAAACGCTTGAAGCGTTCGCCGGACCTTCCTATTCTCATCTTCGGCACTACGTCCGCCCGTTCTTACCGCCGGACCACATAGCCAGACGCGACACACGACACAAACCGTCATTGGGACTCGTCGACTATACCCATGGTACGCGCTCCTCGACGATATACGTGATTTCCATGATCTTCGTCGATCTCAAATTATGTGTCTTTACGGTAGGATTCACATCAGTCAGATCCGGAGGAGTTCTACGTGAAGCAGGATAGGATCGGTATGTCGTGAACACATTTGATCAGACAATCGCAATTGACGCGTCAGAAAACTATCAGGCAAAGGATCATTTGGAGAAGTTTATAAAGGGTATGGCGCTGCAATTTCCCGAACCATCCACGCGCTCCCTTGCTGAATCCTGGCCACCTGGCCACTAATAAAAGATATGACAAGCGGACGCAGAAGACTGTCGCGATCAAGATTATAGATCTCGAAAGTGCCGAAGATGAGATCGAAGACATCCAGCAAGAGATACAGATTCTTTCCCAGTTAGATTCCCCTCACGTTACGAAGTGTGTTGGCTCTCCTCAATAATCCTCTCATTGATCTTGGGCGTGCCCTGACTAACCCAAATCGCGACTTCGACAGATACCATGGGTCCTACTTGAAGGGATCTCATCTCTGGATTGTTATGGAGTAGGCGCATAAATGTAACATGCGAATTCAAACTGATCGCTTTTCTGCAGGTATTGTTCCGGCGGTTCATGCTCTGATCTCGTTAGTTCATCATTCATTCATGCGCAACAGCGGTTAAATCTTTCTGTAGATGAAGCCAGGCGTGTTTCGCGAAGAGTACATCGCGATCATTATTCGCGAATTGCTTCGCGGACTCGACTATCTTCATACGGAAGGAAAGCTTCATCGGGATATCAAAGGTTCGCTTCCAGGACATCCGTTTCATTTCTTCTCACCTAATTCTTCACCCGTGTAGCTGCCAATATTTTGCTTTCGGCTGGCGGCGAGGTGAAGCTCGCTGATTTTGGTGTCTCCGGACAGCTCTCCGGAACACTGTCCGCGAAGAAAAACACATTTGTTGGAACGCCATATTGGATGTCGCCAGAGGTCATCAAACAGAGCGGGTACGATCATAAGGCTGATATTTGGAGTTTGGGAATCACAGCTATCGAATTGGCAAAAGGTGAACCACCATATGCGGAGTTGCATCCTATGAAGGTGTGTGTGCTTTTAGTAGTGACGAAAAGCCATTTTTTGCTCGATCGTAGAGATTAACCTATCTGACATTGACATGATCATAACAGGTTCTCTTCCTCATTCCTAAGAACCCTCCTCCGCAACTCGATGTCAGCTTTTCCAAACCATTCAGAGAATTCGTTGGGTATTGCTTGCAAAGAGATCCACGGGAGGTGTGGTCTGCTGCTTTACATCTGAAATGTCATCTGATTTTCGGCGAATCTATAGCGTCCAAGCGCACGTGAATTGCTGAAGCATAAATTTATTCGCATGGCAAAGAAGACGAGCTATCTTACCGAACTTATCGAGCGACACGAGAGGTGGAAGGCAGAAGGTGGCGAGAGATTGCAAGAGGAGGAGCAGGGTGGTGGAGAGGATCCGTAGGTCTCATGCTTCGATATGGACGAACAAATTCGCTAACATCATATTAGCAATGCTAATGCTGACCCAGAGGACCTATGGGACTTCGGTACTGTTCGTAACGCAGCTCGGCCTAGTACGATTGGGCGTGCTCATCCAAATGGCGTGCAAGTATCGGGGCCGCCATTGACGTGGGATTACAACGGTACCACACGATCGCAGACATCATCTGGTTCGGGCTCGTCTGGAAACAGCGCGCGCCGTGGGCTAAGCTCTGATTCACATACATCTATATCGTCCTCGATCACTGCGAAAGGCGATCAACTCCCACCTCTACCTCCTTCGGCGCCCCCGACACCGAAGAAATATGAACCTGAGGCAACTGTCCGCCATGGACTTGAGAAGAGTAGCAAGAGAGATGCTCCTCGAGAGCCGACAGATGAGTACGACGACTTTGAGGACGGTGATCTAGAGACTGCGCAAGACGACGATTTGCCGGATACAACTATGCTCGACTCTGTCGTCTTACCAGCCATCGCTTCGGTAAGTGGATTCCGGTGTTGATGGGAAATTCAACACTGAAATCACTTTTAGTTATTTCCTCGTGTATCTACCCAGGAGGCGCGTGTTGCACTTAGTGCACTTCAGCGAGCGTTCACGGAAGCCGAACGCACAATTCCTGGCGTTACAATGGAGCTGGTAAACGAGATCGTCGATTCGGTGGAGCATGTGGAGGACGAACGATGAGCAGTGTGCGATCGATAAACGAAGTGAACTCAGGACGGTATGCCTCTTTGATTGAAGAGTGTCAGTGAATCAACTTTATCTTTTTGGCTCTTGATTTGTCGGCTTAATCTCCTTTGCTATCTGTGTTGTCTTCTGCAATATTTGTCCTTTCTGCCTCCGCCCACAGCCGATCTGTCCACAACACACATATTGACTATGTCAAGTCTACCTGTGTGACTCTTCCCGCGGTGCATTTACCTCATTAGTTTCCCTCGCGTTTTGTGATTCATTATCATGTCAGAATTACCTTATAATCCGCTTTGCTCCCAACTGCCTGTATAACAATGTCCTTTGAATAAAATCAAACAATGCATATTTCCCATCCACGTCTGTATGAAGAGTGACAGACTATGATCCCTCAACGGTGCGCTTGACTGATTTTTTCCCTGTACCCTTTTTCTTGATGCGTGTGACCTTTATTGGCTCTGGGGTGCCGGTGCGAGGGATCTCATCATCTACGACGTAGAGAGGGAATGACGGTAGTGGTTGGTGAAGCACGCCGTTTGGCGTAATAGACCTGGAAGGTTTCTGTGATATGGGTAGAGATGCCGGAAGAGGGACACCTTCAGGCATCTCGCCATCTCTGTCAACGACAATCAATTCGGACGATATAGGTGTGGCAGGCTTTCGAAGCAGGCTTGGTACTTTGAAGTCATCTGGAAGCGAGCGGAACTTAAGGTTTGGACTTCCGGTATACAGTTTCAGTGGACGCACCTTGTGGCATCGGCGGCATATCATTCAGATGGACGACAGGTATTGAATCAACATCATCGACGTTTGGAGAATGTCGGTCGTCTTTGATATAGTATGGGTCGTCTCGCTGTCGCTCTAAGCGAAGAGTTTTTTGCTGATAGAGACCAGATAAGACGTGAGCGAGCAGACCTCAGAGCTGCACGACAACTCACCCTTTCCCGTTCAGCCCTTTCCTCTGATGTTTCGACTGGCACTTCAACCAGTGTATGGACTGTTCGTTCGCCCTTCTTTGCCTTCTTCTCGCCCTTCTTTGTGGCCCCGTTGGTCGCTTTGGCTTTGGCCTTTCCCTTTCCCTTTCCCTTGCTCCTCACAGGACGACTGTCTTCGTCTATGGTCTGTGCGGGTACCAATTCGGCATCTAGGTCTTTCGATGGCGGGACAATCCATGCGTCAAGGTCTAGACCCACCGGCACGGGAACTCTGGTTTGAGCGGCAGCCGCAACGGTGTTGAGATCGTATGAAGAAAACAGAGGTCGAATGAGCAAGAGACTTTTTGGGAATATGGGCTCCTGGCTTGCCACCGGATCGAATGCAGATACACTGACGTCCGTGAAGCCATGGGTACTCTCCGGTCTGGGGCGGTACACCGAAATATCGGCCCGTACGAAGACAAAAAGCTGGAGCGAGTTCGCCGCCTTGACACAGATGCTATCAATTGCAATCGAGCACTGCGTGAGAGTAGAAGACATACCCGCTCCTGTACTTCGAGACCGGAGTTTGAGGTGAAATCGCTCATGCGAGTAATTATCATATCAACCACCTCTTTTACCCTAGGCAAATCGTCATTGTCCCATCTCTGAGCTAGCTCAGCAGCCCAAAATCCGAACACTTTCAAGACCGCTTGAAGGTAGACCTCGACGATATCTGGGGCCAGGTTTGAGGTGCTATGCTGTAAGAGATATGGAAGGAGTTTGTACGGCTCGGCCAGTTCACTTGAATTGCACACACGCGCAGCTCAAACTTTGCTATGAGATGGAGGCTGATGATGAGACTCACCCACAGTATTCGCCACATATCCAAGCGGCAGCCCATAGCACTTCAGAACAGCTACCCTCTTCATTTGCATTTCTCGAGAACGTTTCGTCGCTTAGCAGCCGGACCATCAACTCCACAGCCCATCGACGGACGGCCCTCACTCTGCCCACAATGTCGACGAGTTGATCGCGAATTTGCGCACCAACATCTACGGACGCGACGTATGCGAGATCGACGAGGACAGAAAGATACCACTGGAAGTCTGTGATGTTACTGTAGGTGTCGTAGGATAGCATAGCGAGAATGCGCTGGGAGAGAATGAGGCGATAGCCTGGTGAGTGACTGGGATTTGAGGGCAACTTGGATGTCATAGACGTTCCGTTCTGTGCTAGGGATTGCGCTGCAGTTGGTAGTACTGAGGAGTCAGAGCGGACAAGATGGGAAAGTAGCTGCTGGACAATTGATTGTAGGTTCTCGCGGGTGACCTACTCATCGATTCCGCATCTTGAACTCGTAAGGATGATTTGAACAGAAATCGTACCATGGCAGATAAGAGGTCAAGAGCCCGCAGTCGAATGCTTATGTCCTGATCGTTGACGCTGGACAGAATCATATCTTGATATTGAGCCACAAGATGCGGATGCGAGGGCACAATCTTCACAAAAGCGAGAAGGGCAATATACTTCACTGTGCACGTTCATGAATGGAGGTACATCGGCAGGTAATGGAGTTTGCTCACGATTCTGGTCTGCGTCTTGTAGAAAGGCAGCCAGCTTTGTGACGCACAGCTCTGCAAGTGAGTGTCCAGATGCGCTCTGCAGCATACCTCCAACGATGCATGTGCGAACGCATTCATACAGGAGAGAGATTGCAGGCGTTGTTGAGATGAGCTCAGTTATTGGCGGTTGCAGCTTTCTGACGAGACGAGGCTCGTATGGCGATAGAAAGCCGAACTATTCTCTTTGTCAGATGAACGAATCATCATGATCGAGCAAAAACTCGCCAGTTTGATAGTCTTTATGAGCATCCAATTATTTGAGGATGTCGTAAGCAAATGGAATAGCTGCGGTGCCAAAGAGAGATAGTCTCGTGGATTTCGTCGAACGAGTTCACACAGGACATTGACTGTGGCCGCAACGACGCCTGCAATTGGTACTTCAATGACGAAGCCAGGAGATTCGAGAGACACAATCCAGTACCAGGATCCGGATCATCCAGTTTCTCCTTGAACCGAGCGATCGCAATGGGCGTGGCTTCCGGATACTTTGTAAGAACCTTGTAAACAGCAATGACCGCCCTCTTGCGTACTTGAGGTCGCGAATGATTAAGCATAGCAACCAGGTCGCGGGAGAGATCTCGAGCAAGGTCAGGAGATATGATGTGGGACAGTCCATTCAAGGTAACTGCAACGTCTGAAGGATTCGAGGTAAGGTCCTAAGCTCACGTATGAAAACTGCGAGCGAATATCGATCAGGTGAAGCTCACTTTCTTCAGCAGATTCGTCGTCAGCATTAGCACATCTGTGTCCTGCCCAAACGACTGGGTAGCGCCGAGGTAACCAACACTCTTCAGGTGATATTTGGGAGACGACATGACTTCCACGACATGGAACGAGGCCCAACTCATGTCATAACCCATCATCTGGAGCTAACACGCACGACAGTGATTAGACATATCTTGCGAGAGATCTCGGCGATACGCAGCATACGTATGTGAGCTTGAGAACTGCCCCTGCCTTCAACTCCATATCCTTGCTCTTAACTTCCCGTCGTATCTCGTCCAACGCCTGAGCAATGAACTTGGCCTCGTCCTTCTTGTTCGCTCGTAAACCACGGATGAGATCCTGGAGTGTTCGTTCCCACATGGTCTCGACGACTAAGGGGATTGAAGATAATAGATGCGCTGAGAATAGCAGGTGAGGGCAGCGAAGTATATTCGTGGTGAGCACAGACCCGCACAGACCTTGAACTGGCTTGGGGGGCGGCATGCCAGATTGTGCTGTCGGCATCGGCCGGACTATCTAACCTCCAGCGCCTAAAGTTGTCTTGAGCATGGACTCTCATCCAGGAGCACTGCGCGATCTTCTAAATGACTATGTCCTAACTCATCTCACCGTCGACCATCGCGAAGTCACAGAGGCTCTGGTATATGACGTATGTCTTCCACTCTACCTCAACACATCAATGGCTGGACAAAGGTTTTCTCAGATACTCTCAAATGCCCTCGTTCCCGTTCCGACGACCGATTCATATTTCTTCACACTACCCTCAGACCCCTTCGATGACCTTCTAAAATCTCACACATGTGGCCCTTCTCTATCACTATTCGAAGAAAAAATTGAGACAATAGTAGATAAAGGCGCTTTCAGGTTCATCCAGGAGACCTTGAACTTCCGAGGTGAAACAAAAACACAACGTTGTTGGCAGGATAATGCATTGCGTACGCCATATCTCATTCTATTTGATTGCTGTAGTGATTTCTCTTTCGAAGTCGAACTCGAGGAGACATACAGTACATCGAAGGACACAGTGCTAAGCCTGCGAGCAATCCGAGAGATGCCCAGTTCGGCACCTTCGGCTACCAAGTGTCTACCTAAAACAATTTCGGACATTATGAAGTGCTATTACATCAAAAGCGTAGCTGTCCAAGAATTCACTGACCAAGTCACATCTATTGATGATGTATTGCGAGTATATGCGGATATATGCGCTCTACATCTTCGTTCTGACACTCGCATGTTCATCCAGGGATGTTCAGCTTGAATTAGACGCAAAGACTCGAAAAGCCGCTCTCGCCCTTCTCTGTGACAATCCGTTTGCGAAGCGAATGAATAATGTCCCTCGTCAGGTTGCTCGTACCGAGCCGTGGCTTCAACCTCCATCTCCTTCATTGCCTATCATATATCCACAAACGCCTCCCCTCTTCCCCAGAGTACATGCTCCCCGTGAATTGAAGGGGAGTCATATTCAGTCTATTACTGACCTCCCTTCGGTGATGGGTTCGATGTCTGTGGACAGCGAGCCCGACATGCCTGAGCGACATATGACCATTATCAATGGATGGCGTGAGCCCTTCACTGGTCTCCCATATCAAACTCTTCCGAACGACATTTTTCGTGATAGAAACTTTCTCAAGCGTTTCACCGTCCTCAACATCATCTTCATGTGGCAGCCACAGTGAGGTGGACGAACTCTGGTTTCCTTCTTCGGAAACAGAGCCTTTGGTCATCAATGAATTAGAGGATGTCAAATTCGGTCTGTCGTTGGATTTGATCCTCTTTTGCTACTGAGACGTTTCTGAAGCTGGCTGTAGATGAAGTTCTAATGCCCCTTCGGCCAAGTCTAAGGGATACTGGCGAAATTTCAGTACCTTTTGGTGAGAGGGAAAGGTATGTATCTTATGGTCATCCGCATCGCAGTACTGATTTTCGGGCTAGTAGTCTGGCTTCGTTCCTCAAGTCGCATGTTATAGAATCCATACAACTGAAGGCCTACAAAACGTCTACAACGCCTTCGCCTTCTCCAACAAGTGGCATTGAGACTTCGATGCAAGGACACCCAGATACACCCACTAACTTTGATCCCGAAGGGCTGCTGTTCTTCTCTTCTGAACTAGACCAGGACATACGAAGACTGTATCCAACGTTGTCAAAAGGTGCATACGATATCATGTACCTGGAGCAGCTCGAAAGCTCTCACACTGATTTGATGAACGGTATGTTTCTAGTTGTATGTGCTCGCAGCAGAGCACAGTTCACTATTTTTTCTACAGTTCCTATGTTGCCACCTCCTAATGAACATAACACGCTATCCTTCCCGGAAGATTTGGCGTCTCTCGTCTGTAAAAATAAAAACAGTGGCAATAGCTCCGGCGTCCCCCCTTCAGAGTTTGGGGTCCTTCAAAAGGCAAAGGGCGTGAAATCTCTTAATATTGAATTATCATGGAGGTTTGTCTCATCCCAATCAACTGCATGATTGACTTAGCAATGCGACCGCTCGCTAGACCGTTCAAGTTTCAGTCCAAAATTCCAACGCAAGAAGAGCTGGCTGATGTCATTGCATTGCAAGATACATTCCCGCAACATGCCAATCTTGACGCTGATAATAGCCTGGTCCAACATCTCATCGAGCGGAATGAGTTCTCCGATTCACGATCAATACTTCCAAAGTTCGACGAAGCAGTCATTTGTCGAAACGCGTGTCGTGATGATAATATCTTAGTCCCAAATCAAGGCGACAACGAGGATGGCTTGGGAGTCATTTTCAATTGGGAGGAGAGGCGGAGGCTGGTGCGCCTAAGCAACGAACGAGTCGATCAAGTCGACAACGCAAACATTGATTCTAAACCATGTATGGTATGTGCCAATTGTGAGGAGGAAGCCCGGTCAAGAAATGTTGAAGGAGCCCTTCACAATGGTCAAGAAATTCTGTATGATTTAGCTGACTACCAACAGGCTCAGGTCGACGACTCTGAGATAGCGATGAACTTCTCTTACGATAACAATAATTCGCTTTGTAGGGAGGCTGACATTTCCAGCGGTCCCCTCCCTTGTGAACACAACCACAGCGCGCCTTTACATGTTATCCTGGACGAGGTTGAAGATCTGTTCGTTTCTAGCCTCGACGACTGGAATACAGGGCTAGAAGCTCCAGCCGGATCCTTTATTCCCTTGACGCAGGAGTCCTCAAGACCTTTCGAAGCCGATGCTGCTACTTTCCAGTGCGAGCCCTTGTCGACTCAGGATGCCGATCCCTCTGGAAATGATTGGTTTGCTGAATCGACCTCTTCAAATCTCCTGGCTAGTTCTATTCCTAGCGACGGCACATCCTCGGTCTCGAATGTTGACCCTATCAGATCCACAATGATGCCTCATCCCGAAATGCTGGACAACGCTCTTACTGCGGGTCTCGTACACTCTCGCAGGGAGTCTGCAAGACAATCTCTAGCGGATTTCATGAAGCTGAGAGCTAAAGCTCAGGACGACTTGCCTGATTTTGTTGCTGACCTCCCTTCTGATGAAATTGATCCTGAGACTGTACTTGAGAATATTGATTCACCGCCTATCTGTACTGTGCCGCAGGAAGTTATCGACCGTCACACGCTTTGTCTCACTCCGGAGTCGGCTCTGCCTAGCATCTCGCATCGTTACTTAGCATCGATTGAGTTTATCCAAAAACGACAAATCGCTTTGGCCCTCTGTTCTTCGAAACTCAAAGTGGAACTAATCGAACGGGATGCTCTTGATGGCGCGGACCTCATCCTCGACTATGACACCGCAGTGCTTTTCTTTTCTCTGTTCGCTCTTCCCTCTCAGCTTTCTGCGCTTCAATCTCGGTTGGAATTTCTATCTTGGCGGTATCTATATGTTCTCGTCGTCCTTGAAGCATACACACCCTCCCTTTCTTACAGGTCAGGTGATGTTGGACGTTTGGTACCTCTTGCGTTCACTCCCCCCGTTCTGAAGGCGATCAAGAAACTGCGCCGAGACTTGGCTATCGCGGAGGGATATTTTACAAAATGTCCCGACTCGGAGATCCAGTTTGCTTTCGCTCTCTCCGTCGACGAGGCTGCTATGTATAGCAGAATGTTTGGTGATTATGCTGCACAGAGATCCGTGCCAGAAATCTGGGGCGAGCGTCTCTGGCTGGACGAAGTTGTAGAGGTAAGACCACCTTTTCTATTACAGTAGCACAGAAGGTAGACATACACCTCTTGGATCCAGGGAGAAAAAGAGCTAATCAATGCCGATGGCATGAACGCATTCACTTCTGCCATGATTTTGTCGCAACTTCCTTTGAACGCGTTTCTAGAGATGAGTCCGGAGGAAAGGACCAATGCCTTCGCGCAATCGATGGGGCAAGACAGGATTGCAAGCGCTTTCTCACTTATTGATTGTTGATCATGCTTTGACGCTCCATTATAATCCCCAGGTCAAGTTCAACGAGTACATCGCTTCTCGCTACGATATCATCCGCTCGACGACGACTTCTCCCAGTCCCATGGATGTCTCTGCTGATGCTTGAAAACTCAGGAAGTACTAGTTGAAACCGGTAATTCTCGTGTGTAGTGTACTCTAATGACTCATATACATGCTCCGAGTATCTTACTAATGCCTAAAGAAAAAAAAACTTGGGGATGTAGCGTATGTCGAGACATCCTTTAATCTGCTCTTCTTTGTACTTTTGGGACCAAGTACCAGAACACACCTTGACCCCCGAGCAAAGCCAGGATGATTGGCTCGACGACCCAAATTCCTTTCTTTGAGCTCACAAGTCCGACCACTAGGGGAAAGAGTGCGCTGCCGCTTTGTCCTACCGAGCTGATGAGCAAGAATGCATCGGCATGCATCGGACGCGGTAAGAGGCGTCCGCCAGTCGTGATGGCAGCTGCGTAGAAAGTTGAAATGGCGAGCCCGACGAGCGCAGTGGCTAGTGCTGTCGATGCGAGAACGGGTACAGCCCATGCGACAGCCTCAAGAACAATAGCGAGAAAAATATAGATAAAAACGGCACGGCGCTCCCCTAGAAGAATGCTCAGAGTCGGAAGGACAATGCGTCCGATTGCAATGCCTGAAAGTTACGTCCCTGAGTGGAGTGCAGCCTAAGACGAGCCGAAGGCTCACCGAGATAGAAACTTGAAGCAACCCACGATGCTCCTTCAGGCGTCCCTTTTCGGACCTCTAGAACATATGAAACTATCCAGCCGCCACTGTAGAGTAGTATGTTGTAATTAATTAGGTCTTCAAAGAGATAAGATCACCTCTCACATCGAGTCTTCGGCCCTACAAACAGATGCACAATCAGAAACACTCACAGCTCCCCGAAAAGAGTAGTTGCTAAGCTTACCCGATGTAGAGCATCAAGAATATCGCGAGTGTCCAAACGGTACGGCTCTTCAGTGTATCACGCATCGTAGCTGAGCCTTGCAAGGTCAATGTATCGGCAGGATTTGATGACAGAGAGTCTAGATTCCTAAATGCAAACCACACCAGGGCGAACACTGGGACGTTCATCCCAACATTTGTGAGATAGAAGAAATGATACTAGGAAGGGTAGCGATGTCGGAACATTCTCACGAAAGATACGAGGAATAACCGTACTGGAATGCCGCGAGTTACCATGGCCGTAGCCACGAGGGGGCTCGCAAAGGCACCAAGACCGAACATTCCATGAAGAAACCCAGTGTATAGCAGCGGCTTTTTCAAGAGGGTAAAGTATGCGTTACACAGCCCTAACTAAGTGATGTTTGATGATTTGATCAGGTGGGAGTGAAGAAGAGAAGTGTGATCGACGAACTTGTGTCGCAAATGCAATACCAATAATCCAGAATCCAAAGCACATCAAGCCAAAACTGGCTTGTTGAGAGGCGTTGATAACATTCTGATGATGGGAGCACCTCAGCGAGACTTTGGTAGAAGAGCAAAGATTGTTTGCTGACTCCTATCAGCTCTATAGCAACCGCGGCTAATAGAGCACCTCCGAACCCAATTTTTCGTGATAAGACACCTCCCCCCGCAGCAGCAGCTACGTAACCCATGAACGTGGAGACAAAAAGGATGGCAACGCGCGCATAGCCAATGCCAAATGCTCTCTCGATTGAGGGAATAAGAGCTCCTGTAGCACCACCACTGTGATCGCCATAAAATACGTCAAAATCAGGTCAGTGTAAAACAAGGTGAGTACGAACGGGCACTCACTTCCAGCCCGCGAGAAACAAGGTTACGAAGGACGCAAACATGCGAAAACGACGAAGGCCTCTGCTTTCGGATAGCAGCTCAACTACGGGTGTTATAGCTAGCGCAGACGACACGATGGGGGGAGGATATGCCGCCTCCACGTTAACTACATAAACCACACCTTGCACCTGTTCTGCTGCTCCATTCGCAATCCGCGCCTCATCGGTTGCGGAGTCGAGTTTATCGCCAGCAGGAGTCGCGGGACCTACAGCAGTGAAGTCTGAGTCATGTCGCTCCGTTTGAGGGCGACTCAGACGCTCCTGTAAGCCTGGCCTCTCCGACTGGGGCTCTATTGCCGAAGAAAACTCGACTGGGGATTCGACGGCTACAGACATGTTCTGATGAGTGAAATATGGGACTCCTGGTGAAGGGCCGCAGGAATTGATGGGGGATAGGACAAGCTGTCATCAGCATAAGTAGTCAAGCAAACAAAGTGCGATTGGTGGCAGTTTGCGGTTTCAGTCATTTGATGCAGCACAAAGACCCAGTAAAGACCCCTGCCGTGTTTAGGTGATAAATTATTTTGATTCTATTATGCCAGAACATAAGCATATTTCTCTATGTAAGCGAGTCGCTTCTTGCGTGATGTGTCATTAGCTCATGTCGTGAGGTACACCCCTTGAAGGAATAGCAAAATCCTCCACTCTTTACCGTTTTGCATAGCGAAGGAAGCGGGACGCAACTGGACGGGATGGATTTGTCAGTGACGATGTCATTGTACAGTTCAGGATGTCGACTAAACTTACTGATGGTAACGATGAAGTTGAATACTACCCAGACAAGTCACGTTAAGTACGATACGTAGGAAGGGTAAGAAGAAACGGACACGCACCAAAGAACGCTAAGATGATGAAGGCATCTCTCCACCTGTTTTCGAATCGAATATTCAAGGGAAGGAAGAACTCATCTCCAACCTTAACCAACGTTCAGCGCTCTCCAAATGCGCCGAAAGTACAGGCTACTTACAGAGTATTGACAGTAACGGCACGCCGTGGTATCGTTGGGATTGTCCAGATAACCACCAAATGCGCTGACAAAACTGCTAGCCCATGCTTGGCATGTCTGACTAGAAGGGGGGTTGAACACGACAAATTCATCGAGCTTACACCTAATCATCAGACCGCTACAAAGAACGATGCATTAGCGAGAGAACACTAGATCATTTACACAACTGGCTTACTGGAGCTCCGTGGATAACATAGCAGATAGCAAGCGCGTAAAGGGGTTGAGCTCGTACAACCATGACTTCCAAAAATGAGCTAAAATTCAGATGAGTGAGTGTTGTGGACGGAAGGCACGAAAATACTTGCAGAGGACGGGGTATTGAATGACCACTCCACAGAAGGTACTGAGCACGACCATGATGAACGGGTTAAAGAGCACAGCAACTTGAACGCTAGGGGTGATAGCAGCAATAACTTGGCCTAGAGAGACACCGAACAGCTCCGTGAACAGGATCACAAGTAACTGGAACCCAGTGCCTGCGGTCCCCGCCGCTCCCTGACCAAAGCCTTGTGGGTATACCTGGGATGTTGATGAGCAGAAGCTTCAGTCGCAAAAGATTTTTGACTGACCATGAGTGCCCAGTACACGATGGCACATAGCACTGAGTATGGAATTTCGCCGAGAAGCTGTGCGATGGCAAATACTTCTGGAGAGTAGATCCTACTGGAAGACTCTGGAACAATGTCAGAAAGGGATTGGTAAAGTGAAATATCGCATACCTCGAATGAAGATACCTGGATCATATCGCTCGTCAGTTGAAACCCAGCCATCCAGACATAAACTGGACATACGTCTGTTTTCGATGAACTTTGGTTCTATCTGATTCATCAACACTGCTGGAAGAATGGTTGCCCAGAAACTATCGCCGTATGCTCTGTTCAGCGAGCATAATCGTAAGTACAGAGCTGGAGGACTCACATGGAGAACGTCCGGTATTGTAAATCACGCTGGCTGTGACCAAGCTGGAGGAAGGGCAAGGACACGAACAGCGAAATGAAGATATGAACGAAGAGGCGAGTGAACACGTAGTCGGGCGAGCGCCAGAGGGCATACATATTGCGCTTGGTGACAATCATAAGTTGGTGCAGGAAAGGAGTGGCGTCTGCAGAGGATTTCAGCCAAGGGTATCAGAGGGCCCAAGGGACAAACTCACAGGTGGAGCTCTTGACTTTGTCGATATCAGTGCGCACTTGTCCGATACGCTTGATGGCATTGATTTCTTCTCGAACGCGCTTGCACTCAGGCGAATCTAGCCAAACATCCTTCCAGTCACGATCCCCAAGCCGAGGTGAGATACCAGCTCCTATGGCATCCAGCATATACTCTGCAGGGTTCACATTGGATGGGCATTCAGCTCCATGGCGCGCTAGATACTCCCGGAGGACGCCAGAGTCCGCCCCAATATCGCCGAAGTAGACGGTGTGCCCACCACGTTCGAGCAACAGTAGACGATCAAAGCTCTCGAAAAGCAAGGACGATGGCTGATGGATGGTGCAAAGGATCGCTTGACCTTGGCTAGCCAGCTTTCGAAGAAAGCGTACTAAATTCCATGCGCTCTGCGCATCCAGACCAGAAGTTGGTTCATCCAAGAATAGGAGCAACTCAGGTTTGCTGGCAAGTTCAACACCAATTGTCAGCCTAAGGTCCGTAAGCAAGACAGGTGAGACACGTTGTAACCGGAGACGATAAACATCCATATTTACCGCTTTCGAGCTTCAACATCAAGCCCATCGACAATAGCATCAGCAATATCGTGGAGCTCCAGAAGTTCGATCATATCCTCGACGTATGCGTCCTTCTCTTCCTTCGATACTTCAGCCGGCTGTCGCAAGTATGCTGAGAAACGCATCGCCTCCCGAATTGTGGCGGTTCCTTCGTGGACATCCATTTGTTCAGCATATGCGGTTCCTCGAGCGAAATCGGATGTCAAAGGGCGTCCTTCTACGAGCACATCACCAGTCACGATGCCGATATTCTTCCTCCCCGCGAGCACATCGAGACAGGTCGTCTTGCCGGCGCCTGACGCACCCATAAGAGCCGTGAGCGTACCGGGTTTGACGTAGCCGTAGACTTCATTGAGTAGCTGAAGCTGGCCATTAGGTACGGGCACATGATAGTTTAGGCGCTCCCAAGTGAAGGTCTTGCGATCAGCATAGGCGGTACTGCGAGGAACACGGTGAGATTTGAATAGACGAAGAAGGGCATGGATGTCTCACAAATCTCTCTCTTCGGTATCTTCCATTGCCTGAGCTTTCTCAGTTTCGGCGAGTTCTAGGCGGTGAGACTTCCGTTCTCGAAGCGTAGCATTCAGCTGTTTGGTCTCTGCGTTCTCTTTTGCAAACAAACGGAAAGAAGCGCCTCCCGTACGTTTCTACAAGCAACATGAGATAGCAACGCAAGAGAGAAAGCCACACTTACCGGGAAATAATCCAGCGCGATGATCTGTGTCGCCTGGAAGAATAAAATCCAACCCACAAGGACAAGGAAATCCCGACGCCAGATGTCATGAATGTTCAGGTCATAGCCAGCAGAGATATAGGACCGGCCCGGGACAGTGTTCGAACCCGGGGCGGAGCCAAACAATGTGCAGATTTGATTGGGGCCAAGGCCGTCACTGGTCCCCATCGTGAATAAGTGCTAAATAAAGTAAGCGAGAGATACCTACGGGTACACGTTCATACCAGGACCATTTCTTGGAACGACATAATCGCCATCGCAAGTGAACTATAAAACAATTGAGCAGCAGTTTATTCGAGAACACTATGAAGACACATACATTAAGACGGCCGAATTCATTCCCCATCAAGCCACCGTACGCTAAAGCACCGTGTATAGTCCGATGTCAATCAATGTCAATGATATTTGAGATGCGTTACTTACCATAGGACATAGGGTTGAGGTAGTACTAGAGACGAAAGTCAACGTGGGGAAGAACAAAAATAAGACCAGAATGTCGACAACTTACGATCCAGAATAACCAGCGTTTCATCTCGTTGACAGGGATCATGTAACCCACGTAAAGGATCAAGTTAGGAATGAAGAACGATGACAAGCGGAAGGCGCTGTCATAGTTAGAACAAAAGAGGCCAAAAGTACGGAAGAAGCCTTGGATGGCTAGGAAAGCGATGTAATTAAACAAGTGGAAGATCCAGAAGGCTCCACCCGAGCGATATAAGTGGGCCATGAAGTAGACGATGATGTCGTACAAGAACAACCGAACAGCCGAAAAAGGCATATCCGCGAGGGTGTTAGCCAAGGCAATGGCAGAAGGCCGATATAAGCTATAGCTTGTCTGCTTGTTTAAGATGGCGCGGCCGCTGACTTGTACAGCGAGCTGTGACAACTAATCAGTGAGATATATACAATCTAGGTGGGACGAAGCTGACCTCTCCAAATGCATCCAAACAGCTCACCAGCATAGCGGTAAAGAGAACACTTCCACGAGTAAACGCACCGTCCGAAGTCGGTGGTCTGTTCAAAAATGCAGCGCCGATAACAATGGCCAATATCTAAACAAGTCCGTGGACACATCTTTAGCTTGCCGACTTCACCGAAGGGGAAGATTTTTTACCGTGCTCAAGGAGAAACTTGTGATGAGTTGAAAACGATCTTGCAACCGCATTTGGAACTGTCTGCGCGCAAGGGCTAGTACCTGTCCGATATATCCAAGGGTGTATGGGCTCTTTTTGGAGACACCTTTTTTCTTGTCGGAGGCTACGGCTTGTTTGAACGCCTCTTGATCGGCTTTCTCCGTTTCCATTATTAATTTGTATTTCTCCAAGGAGTCAAGCATATTGTCGGCGAGGGTCGAATCGAGGAACGCCTGCTCTAGGGCGGTCGGATTGCTAGGGACGTCGATAGCTGAGTGTCCTGTGGCAAACTGACGCTCATTGGGATCCGTGCATCCCGTAAGATAGTCAGCTGTGCTTTGGCGAGGAAGAGACTTGTACCCCAGGTTTTGGAAGTAAGTACGGGCCTCTGAGGGGGGGCCAAAATAGACCTGACGACCTTCATCAAGGACCATAACCTTATCGAAAAGGTTGTATATCCCTTCGCCAGCTTGGTACCTACGCGGAAATTGGAGATCATTGAGTGATGAAACAAACCTTGACAACACACTTACAGAGTAACGAAAGTCGTCTGGCCGAGAACATCAGTCATCACTCTAAGGCTTTTTACGTAGTCAAGAGCTGTCGACGCATCAAGACCTCGGGTCGAATTATCCCAACACTGAACACGCGCCCTCGTGGCCATCATCTCAGCAATGCTGACACGCTTGCGCTCTCCGCCTGAAACTCCTCGCACGAATTCGTTGCCGACAAGGGTCTGAGCAGTGTGTGAGATATTGAGCATCTTGAGCAGCATGCTTTGAACTTGTTCGTTGAATGCCTTGCGCGAAACGCCTGGAATGCGTCCATGAGGACCAGGCGTCTTGGTAGAGAGAGCGAAATCAATCGTCTGTTGTACAGTCAAGGTCGCGATATGAATGTCGTCTGCACGTAGTCAAGATCAGTATTGTTGACGTGTCTCAAAGTCATATACTGACCTTCGGGGTTGTAGACAACCTCTCCTTTGTAGATCTTAGCCATCTCGGTCGCATCAATTTCAGCGTAACGAACGTCACCGGATACGGAGGCATACTCTCCTCGCTGGTTTGCAATAGCTTTGAGAAAGGTCGAACAGCCAGACCCGGGACAGCCTAAAACGAGACACATTTCACCGGGCTTCATGATGCCCGAAGATCTGATGTGTATAATCATCAAATGCGGGACAAAAACAACGCATAGATCATAACGAACTTGTGCAAGATAGTTGTGGTTTCCTCTTGCTTCTTGGGCAAAGCTTTGGCGATAAAGTTCCATATCCAGAGGATGACGGTCATCCAACTCTGAGCAACAGCAACTGAACCATGGCACATGAGCAAAGGGCAAGAGATGGAAAGATTTCAATGAAATCATGCGCACTGTCGAAAGTTCGGATATACGCCTAGAATCGATTGAGTTCGGCAGTACACTCGAGGAAGTGCCATGCACTCACCTTGAAGCCCATACCACCATTGACCTCGACAGACAAACCCTCCCAGGTAACACCCACGTGCTTGTGTTTAATCCCAGCAGCTTGGTTCGCGTCATTGGACGAGGTGAGGTATTCCCTCAGGTCGAAGGGCTCCTCGGGATTCGCCAAAGAGCCTTTTTCTATATCACCTTTCTCGAAATCACTGTTCTGGACATTTGTGGGTGTCTTTGCAGACTGCATGGAGAGCTGGCGAGATAATGCATTGAATTCTGCCTCCGCCTCGACGACATTGACCTGGTCTCTGGTCGTAAAGCCATCTTGCACGTCGATGGCCTTGTCGCCCACAGAGGACAGAGGGAGGTCACGTAAAGTCGGTTCTGCACTCATCTGTGAGGCACAGAAAAAGCAGACGAAGCGAACGAGCGGGTGGAGCGGAAAACGCTGCAGGCATTCCCTGGCTTCGAAGCTGCCTTTATAGCGCCCTAATCGGAGCCACGATCTGGGAAATGCTGCTGACAGATGAGAGGAAAGGGTTTGGTTGGTCATCACAATCTCATTTTTCAGCCGAAGTTGACTCGTCCGCTCGGTCGGTAGCGGGAATGGAATAGCAATACCCTCTGTCGTCGCCTATGCATCTTCATGTGCACGATAGCCACAAGATGACTCCACTGATGCAAGTTTGGGAACCCCTCCCAGTTCCTCGGAGCCGCTCGGTACAGCGTCAGACGTCAAGGACAGATGATCCATTTGCCCCAGCATTTTCTTGACTTATCGTGAGCATTAACCATGAATTGTAGTATTTTTGAATGGGACTATAAGATCTAGATTCAATTCGACCGGGGAGACGATGTGGGTCTTGATGAGTAACTTATAAGTATTTCACCGTGGTGGACCCACCTGGAAACTCGCGAGTCTCTGCCCTCCCATCGTTCATAGACACCCTCATTCGAGTCACTATCCTGACACAAAGGTGCGGAGGACATGTGCTTGTCTAGCCAGCTATCCATCGTTGAAAACTATTGCCCAGAGACGTATTGGCGTCGATACTTGGTACACGGCACGATGAAGGTAAACGGGGCAAATCGTCGTTTCTCTATTTTAAGTTATTACTAAGGGGCCGATGGCTTGGCCATGCATGGCCACCCAATAGGCCACTTATCAATTGCAAGGTGGCGCACAATTCGACAATTAACACAATACACTTGCTCAGGTTCACAATCATCTACTCGTCAGTCATCATCTCACTCAGCCGGGCTTGATTTACTATCAAATCGTGGTGCATTTATAATCGAAACATTAGAAGTACCAGCGGGGAATCGTGGGAAGAAGCTAGATCGAGATCTTCGTTTCTTTTTGAGCTACAATGCGCGACACAGGTAATTAGCATTGCTAACGAATGCTTGGGACAAACTCCATACCCATAGTGATCCGGTCACCAAGCGATAGTGCTATACCCTGAGTCTTGCTGCGTATACGCACATGGCCGGTGATAGTGCCAGCCTCGGTCCGTTCAATGCTCAGATTCGCAAGAGCATCCTCGCCTATGATAGTCAACGCATGTCTCAATGAAGTACCCGTCACCGCGAAAGGGCTCTATGCACGTACCGAAAAGGCTTCGGGCATACAAGTTGGCCGACAAAAAATCGGAGTCGCCCGACATCGCACCATCAGGTGTCAAGCACGACATGTTTGTCGAGCTCATGATGTGCTTGAGATAATCCCGAGGATCCCTATACGGCGAAATTGGTAAGACCTTGTCTTCCAAGGGTTTGACAGCACGTACGACATAGTGGTGGACACGTTCACTCGGTTTTCCCATTCGAACTCTGTCCACATGCTACGAAACTGTGAATGATGATACATGAATGCGTTTTGAAGAGTTTCACAAGAGACGAACCTGAGCCTCAGTACAATGAGCAGGCTTGATGTAATCCATAATATCGATATGAATGTCGTTGAGGATCACCGCCTGCTCGGAAAGGTTTGGTCCTTCCCATAGTATGCTACCGAAGATGACGCCTGTCTCTGTTGATGAAACTTTGATAGTCGCCTTGATACTCTGGAAGCCATGAGGTGCGATGGTGTGCACAGATGGCCTCTCAACTAGCTTCAAATCACCAAGCGTAGCAAAGTCCAAGCAAAGATTTTGGAGAGTGTCGGCAGTTTGATTGACAAGGAGCACGTCTGCAAGTAAATATTTCAAACAGTGTTTCGATGAACATTGGACGGTAACTTACCAAGCATGATATCGAAACCATGAACCTTGACATATGCTTCCGCATAAATTGGGTCCGAAAACCCTGATGGAAAATATTCAAAGATATAAATAGAACAAGTGACGGGTCAAACTGACCTGTGAGCTGGGAGATGCGACTAAGGTTTGAAATGAAATCCTCATGTACTTCGCCAGCACCTGTTGCACGACCCACATCTTCGTCGTACTGTACATAAAGGATGAATGACGTGCGATCACACTGGGAGGATCGGGATATCGCACATCTATCACGTCGTCTGCAGCCTTCTTTGAGAACTGGCGGAATGTCAGCAGATCGTCGACCTGAATAGAGCTCTCCTTCGTGGCTTCTAGTTCTCTCTTCTCCGCTGCCTTTTTCTGCAAGACTCGCTTCTCGGTAAACCGACCCAGCGCTTCAAATGGAGCTTACGAACCTCTTGTGCCGCGACCATTTTAGAGTATGCCGCCTTGGTGTCTGTGAGGAAGATTTCGTTCATAGTCGACTTGCTCTCCAGGCCACTCAAGGTCTGTATGCAGTTTAAGATGCGCTCATTGGAGTCCTCGTCGATAGGCACAGTCACAAATTTCGACTGCCCGACCCGAATGATGGAGGTCATTATGAGCATTGCCTGTGCATACGCGTTGAATAAAATGAAACAATGAGCCAAGCGATCCAAGAAATAGCAGAGGTTATTTTAATGACCTCTGCGCGAAGAGCGTTCGATTTGCGGTTGTTTCCCGAAATCTCGGAGAACCGCAAGACCAGCTTTGTCAATGCTGAGGACAGCACAGAGCCTGTGAAGAAATCTCCACCGAGGATGAGCGCTGATTGTGTGTTCAAAGTAGGTCAGTACGCTGCATCTCGTGTCGTGATTACGAACGCACTCCGCAATGGGGGCTTGGCAGCCGACTTGACAGCTTCCAATCGCGAGGCAGACAGGCTGGTATAGGCTGTCTCTGTGGCATACGTTCCATCTGCGAGGACCTTCGGCCGCCCACCAGAGGATGCTGCCTCCTTCTTGCCCACCTCGTCCTTTGTCTCTTCCTGTTCTGGATTCGTAGCGTCCAGCAGTCGCTGTTCTGACGCCAGAATGGGGACCTCGCCAATGACCTTGCGTACTTCTTGGAACGCTTCAAGAATCTCTGGAGCGTTCTCGACGTATTCACCAAGGATCCAAAGGACGCCACGGAACACTTTTCCGGACTTCACATCGGACAGTGTTTGGATGAGATGTTCCGTGATGGACGAGCGAAGCGCGGGGAATTTCTCCACGACCTCTCTACACGACTGAGATCAGTTCGAATCATCAAGATAACAGTGAAGAAAATCTGACCGAACAAATGCGACAACATCCAGTGCCGAAGGATTATTAGAGTCACCCAGGAACTCCATGAGAGCGTGCACAACACTAGCTGCAACTTCCGAGAATTTGACTGCGCAAACATGAATAGACTGAATAAGGAGTTGGCGGTACTCTGGTGCCTGTGACGATGTCAGAAGGACCTGGTCGTCATAAAGTACGTTGACTTTACCTTATCGAATTCCTGATCCTGAGTCTTCTGAAGCTGCTTCTTGAGAAACATGACGACATCCTCGACATTACGACTCGAAGTCATGCTGAGAGCAATGCTGATGGCTTTCCGACGAACTTCAATATCAGCACTGCATATAATTCAGTTAAAAGATATACCGCCTTCAATCATTTATCTGGTACCTTGACAGGACCTGTAGAACGTCCATGATGAGGCCATCGAGGACATGCCCATGCTTTGATCGAAGAACATCTAGTCGATCTAGAACGATGAGCTTGACATTGTTGTCCGACTCTTTAACGACAATGTTGATTAGTGTAGAGGCAGCAGCTGTCACGTCGTTTGTTAGGACGTATTGAAAACAAAGGTCCAATATCATCCCACCTTTGACAGCGGCAGCATTTTGCGTCAGACTGGTCAAAGTGGTGGCGGCCTCATACTTGACCGCATATGATGACGAGTTGAGGAGTTCAAAGATACAGCGAATCCATCTTGCCTGTAACAAGGCAATTATTGAACGATGACGAGTATCGCAGAAGCGACACTCACTCTATGCGCCGAGTCTGCTTTGCAATCCAATCTCACAACGTCAATAATGGCCATCTGCAGCAGCTCGTCGAGGCTTCCAATCTGATCGTACACTTGCAAGACGTACTCCACAGCCTTCGGCATTGCGCAGTTGGCCAAGAACACAAACGCATTGCGCTTGCATGTCGCGTCAGACTCGGCGGCGAGGAAAGTTTGCATGAGTTCTGGCGCGTCAGGAATAAGGTGCTCAAACTCGCGGTAAATTGTGTAGACCGCGAAGACCGCGTTCTTGCGAACATAAGAGTGTCGATGCTCGAGACATGAGCGGCAGAGTGGAATGAGAGGTTCGAGGAGTTCCTGATCCTTCGAGATCTTCTGGAGGAATCGGAGAGTCGCACCGCGGATGTACTCGTTAGGATGTTGCTGAAGGAGCGGTATTACTATTAATTGTGACACTGCAGACGCGCAAAACTCACCAAGTCATTTCGAATGGCATTCCTACAGGGAGTTAGGGCCCGGCAGAACCACAGATAGAAGATTACATACACGACTAGGATCATTTCCTGCTTCAGCTTTCCGTTATCGTCATACTTTGGACACACTTCCCAGTAGAAGTGCAAGAGTTTCTTGAGTTGCTTGTTCCGCGAAGGCATGATGTATTGAATTATAGGCATGAGCAATGTCGGCTACTCTCGTATTGCATATGCATCAAAATGTCAGTCAGAACATAAGTTTAGCAAACCAATCTGCTTGCCTGAGGATTTCCATTAATCGTAGAGACTATGATCTTACGCAACGTGTCGAGCTTGACATCGTCCGTGCCCTTCTGAAGCGCGGTCCGCAAGTCCTGAGTTGATGGAGATTCCGAGCTGTCCTCGTAAACCACGGTGTAGCAAAATGCTTCTTGGTTCGACATGTCCGGGACGAGGCGGAGGTAAAGAATGGATGTTGACGCTGTTACAACCACGACGACTGGCAGAGTATATTAGAAGGGTTCCCACGTGGTCTTGCCTAATTCTGGTATGCCGTCGGTGCGCTCGTTGACCTGAACGTGCAGCCTCAGATCTCAGAACCGAACCTCTACAATCCACGCTGCGGCATGTCTACCCCACAAGTCCCTGAGGATCAACTTATTGACCTTCTTCTGCATCTCAAAGTAAGGCACGGATTGTTCCAAAGCGCGAGTGTGTATTTGAGAAAATGAGCGCGTATAGAAGACGCCTCCGGACCAAGCGCGTACCATTCTCAACTCGCAGCCCCAGATTGCATATGCGCTCATCACCCTCATGACGAAAATAAATGCAATCAATGGAGAGGTGACCCAGGTATGAGCCGGCCCATCCATCCTATTTCCTGATCTGGATCCTCAAGATTTTCTCTCAGAAAACACTTGCAACATTCGGGACCTTACAGAATGGAGTATCCCCGCCAGCTTCAGTCCAAGCTGCTGCAATCCCACCTCACATGACCCCACAACCAAGCCGTGGAGGCACTCCTTTATACCCAACGCCTCCGCCTATATCTTATCCTGCTCAAGCGGCCCCGTCCAATTTCCTCGTATATCCTACTGGAGGAATGCCACAACCGCAACCAAATGCATACGGCGCCCCATCTCAGGCCTATGCAGCACCTCAACCCACAGTACCCGCAATACCAGATGCATTGGCCGCCATGCCAGAAGAACAGAGAGTGAGCACATAATGCCAAAAGCTCTCATCATTTCAGGCTCTCATACGTCTTGAAGGCTATGATCATGAGCGTTATTTCCATGACCCAGGACCAAATCAATCGGTTACCTCCGGCCGAGCGTGCTAGCGTCATTCAGTTGGTATGGATTTTCTCCAACATCGTAACAGGAGTACACGCTCACCATTCCTTGTAGCGTACCTCCCTTGGTGTATCATGATGTTCTCACCCACGTCTGTCTCCATGTTTCTGGGCCTTTCTCTCTCGCTTCATCTCATTTTAGCTGCAGGCTGTCTCTTTCTAGAGCGATGAGTAATTTACATGGCTGCGACCAACGTTTAATCAACAGATACGCCTTTCGCACGCAATTCAGTCTTGGCCTGCGTTATTTCCTATTCAAAATACACGTATATGAGCAACTACTATGGAGTGCTGAAAAGTCGTTCTTCGTACAGTGAGCAGTTCCGTATACGCATCTGTACATTCTTGAAAGGTGTATAGCCCGTGACCCAGAGACCCAAGGCTGTATGACCCAAATGAGACGAGCAACCACCAGGGCAACTGAGTGGGATGATAGAATTGGCATGCAGGGGTTAGCCATAGTGTTGCTACAACCGTCGGTGATAGCACACACCACAAGTAAGACCTGATCCGAGACTTCTTGATGGACGAAAGGTACCGGGATGTAGGACAGAAATGCGAGGATATAAAGAATGAGTACTACGCTAGACCAGATAGCGACGCGTCCTGCTCGTGTCATGTTGAGGAAACTTTGCTGAGGATGTCTGTACAAGGCGGTCTTGAGATGCGTTGGCTCAATAGATGTGGGAATCGCTGAATCAGCAGGAGTCTAGATCTAAGTGGTGATTCTGCGTTTGTTGCCAGGTCTTTTCCAAACTCTCTCCTCCATCCATTTCTTCGAAGCCATCGCGAGGCCAAGCGACGCAGAAGAGATGCCTCCTCCTCATCTCCAAAACATTTCCTCAGCTCGCGCATACTCGGGCAATAACCAGGCTCTCACTCCGCGTACACCCCATTCGCGCGCCGGTCGCGCTGAAGAGGCATTTACAGAGGTCGAGCTTGAGCAGTTCGGTGATAATGAATATCGCGCCTATTCCGACGTACAGCAACAGTCCGAACCTCTCCTCGCGTCTTCTGCAAGTGCTACGTTTCCTCCTTCGGGTATCCGCGCTCGGGGCGACGATGTTCACTCTCGAAATACAAAGAAGGCTAGGACGTCAGGGCGAATCCTCCAGTGGATTGTCACACATGTAGGACTCGTTCTGGGCGCTCTGGTTGCCACATTACTATTCTTCATGATTATCCTCTCATTGAAACGGCCAGACACGCTTCTCCGGGCCATTGGGGAGAAGAATGCGACTGTATCTGAAGGCGGTTCTACCGCGCACACGGAACAGGGTACCACAGAAATTACGGATCCTGCACAAGAGTTCCCGGCAAACGACGCGAACATCATTTCGTATGCCAACTACACACATTTCCCTCTGCGTCCTGATGAGTACCATGCTGAGTGTCAGAAGCTCATGGGTGGGTTCATGCCTCCCCGTCCCTACTGGTGGGGTGAAAAGGACGTCCTTCATCACAGCGATCCGGACTCGGACACATATCCTTTACCCGAAGGCGAACGAACTCAAGTCTGCAGCAGTACTATCACTTACATGCTTGATGGCTATGTCGGTCTTTCGGCTGATTTGGCGCTGATGGCGCAAGCTGCAGCGTTAGCTAAGGAGGCAGGTTAACTTGTTTGTTTCCCATGAATTTGTCTTGGTACTAAACACCAAGTCCTTGCCATCAGAGAAACCGGACATTCCTAGTAGATGACACATACTGGAATCGTGGAAAGTACGTCGAGATATAATGTGGATCAAGTCCTGCGTCGTAATATATACCAAGATGGATAGATTACTTTCAGGATGTGCGTGCTCGTCAACCAGGTCCAGAACCTGGGTGCCGCGCTCCTCCATCAGAAGGTGTTTTTCCAACTTGGTAATTTCGCTGGTTGATGCTTACAGTTCACTCTTAGAACTCGTAGCATGTCCCCGGACAGCTAGGTGAGATTTATCCAGTGCGCTTAAGGTTACATCAGCTCATGAATGTAGACACTGGGTCAGTGTCTTCAGGTCGTTTAGGAATAGTAGATAGTCATACCCCTCTTGCTAGGTCATTAATTCTCGCACTGCTAAATGGCATTTCGGTCATGGATTTTCTGAGAACTACGAAGACGCGTGTGTAACCTCCAGTATATCCTCTCCGGTACTAGCTTTCCGACTCATTTCTCATCACAGATATGCTCGTCAGCTGAACCGACTCAAGGTTATCTACGAACGAGCCCGTGAATCGTTACAGCACACAATCCGGCCAAACGCAGCTACAGCACTTCTAATCCGATCCGTGCGCGCAGAGTTCGCCTCCCTTCTCCCCAACTCCACCTCTGGACTTTCGTCCAGCGACGTCGGTCGGTACATTGCGGTGCACATTCGACGCGGCGATCGTTACGGCCTCTCATGGAAATATCACGGCAAATACATCCCGATCGAGGATTATGCCGAAGCCACCTCTTCTACCTGGTCTCGCCTATTCCTCGACCCTGATCTTCCTCCTTCGTCACACCCGCCTTCTCCAGTAGTGTACCTCGCGTTCGACGACCCGACCACACAAGAAAATTATCGCGCACAACTTCCGGCGGATACGACACTCTTCTCTCTTGTGGAGAGTACGGACGGCGAGTTAAGAGCTCTGTCGAGTCCGATCGCGTATGTACAGAAAGAGTTCGATGCGTTGTGGGAGGCGGAGAGAGTGAAGCGCACGAGGGGCATGGTCGTGGACTTTGCGATGATGGGCGGGTTTTGGAACTGGGAATCGGAAGGTAACATCGTGCCAGGTGCTGTTGTATGCACAATTGGGTGAGTTCGTTCCATCTGAGTCTGCCTCGAGCTTACACGTCGCCTTTCGTTTTGGGCGGAACGACTGTAGGTCTAATGCCTGCAGACTCTCTGCAACAGGGTTAGGCTGGGACCGTGCATTCGGACATGTGTTTGGAGATCATGTTGAAGGGAACATCGATGAGCAATACAAGCGGTGGGTAGAGATCGACGAGAAGGGGGCTGTGGAGCCGGTGTGGCAGGCATTTGAGCTGTTCAACTAGCGTACATCGTTCATATGGAATATTTAATTGTCGTTTTGTTGAGGTGAGATGGATGTAGGAAGATAACATCGATACAACGTGCAAATAATAATTGTACACGGAGCACCTATGTGAAACAAGACGAGCAGTAAATACAGCGACAGCAGAATAGAAGGTAAGAATATGGAATCTCCATGAGCCAACAAGCAGATACAAAAGAGCATATTCGAGTGAAGCAATGTTCCGAAAACAATATCCAAGTGAACAATCGTAAGTCCATGTCATGTATCGCACTTTGCGGGGAATATGTTGGGTGTAAATGGTGCAAATCGTCGATATGTTCCCCTCCCCACTATAGCAAGCCAGCTCTGCTATCCACCTAGCCCTTTTCTACCGAGAGCGAGCTTAGACCCCAGTGCCCCCGAGCGATTCAACTTCCTCGACAGAACTGCGACAATGTTCAGCTGTAGTCTCTGTGTGCTGGGTCTTCGATTTTTTCGAAAGGACACTTCCACTCAAGGTGGTCCCAGTCGATGACTTCGGGCGGATCGCACACGGATACAGGCGGCAAATATAGGCTGCAATATCCAGGGCTACTGACATATCTATTGTCGACTGGGAAGGGTGCTAGAGATACTGACGTTGAGCAAGTAGTCGATGGGGGATAGTTTAAGTGCGTCTACTTACGGGCCAAGCGACGCTCGAGCACCAAATTCCAATCTCTGCAACCGAGAGGTCAGCGGTGTCATGAAGATTTAGGACGAGAGCTATCGCATACATATCCTCGAAGAACGGGTGTGCTTTGACATCAGCAAGCTCGATGCGATTTGTAGGGTCCTTTTCGAGGAGCTGCAGCGACGATCGGAAACTGATATTGAAATAAGCAGCTTTTATAACCCACCTTCGTCATTAGATCTTTGAAATTTGGATCCTCTATGTCTTTCAATTCATTAGCGACATCCCAGTTTTCCGTGAGTTCGAGCTGGCGCCGACTATCAGGCTCATAGTAAAGCGGAGTGAACGGCTGGGCAGCAGACGTGATCAGCTGGATTGTCGATGGATCAACGTCAGTTCACTCACACCACGCCTGTACAATTCGCCGAGTATGATGCCGTACGCCCACAGATCAACCTGGCCTGTGTAGTTGACGCCGTTCTCCGACCACTTGAGCACTTCAGGTGCCAAGTAACCAATCGTTCCGACCATGTAACCCCGCATCTGTGCATCCCGTAAGGCTTCCTGATTGCCCAACTGAACCCGAAACGACAGGTTGAAGTCCGTAAGCGCGAGGTGCCCGGTGGGCGTGACAAGCACATTAGCTGCCTTGAGGTCTCCATGGATGATCCCCAAATTGTGCAGTTGTTCGATGCCCAAAATCTGCGGAAGGTTTCCTATCAAAAAGAAAATATAATAGGAAAAGAAACGAGACACGCACTAGCTCAGCAGCATAGAACTGAATAGCTTCCAATGTGAAATCGACTGGCATGCTACATACCAGACCCCAGAGGTCCAATGGGTAATACCTCTGCAAGCTCGTCAATCATCTACTCATAATAAACAGAAAGCACGAACCATGACTAGGTATAGATTGTACTCGTCCTGAAACGATGCTAGCAGTCTTGTTGCGAAGTTACCACTTGACTGAGTGGTGATCTCTTGCATAATTCTTTGTTCCTGAAACACATATTGACAAAACGACCTAGAGTTGCACATGGACTGCTTCGAGTAAGTCTTGATCGCGACCTTCTCAGGAAAGTCTGAGTCCCGACGATACGATAGAGCCGATGCCATGAAGACGCTAGCGAACCCGCCCTGGCCAACCTTATCGAGGAAGCAGTAAACGTTGTCGCCGTCTTCAAGTACTAACGGGTCATCTGACTGGGTTGCCAACCAACGGTCTATCTCGGCATCCGTCCGAAAGACAGCATCCCGTTCTACCTCCGGCCCCATGTCCACTTCAGCCTGATCACTGTCCGAACAGCCAGCAAACGCATGAAGAGCCTCAAATTCTGTTGTTTCGATTGACGATGGAGATGCGTAAGAAGAGGATAGTCGAGGATGACGATGACTATCTGAATGGGATGCCATGGACGCAAAGGAATGGGCAGCCGGAGGACGAAGGACCTTGCGCATTTCAACAGAACCTAGTGGCGACGTCGCGCCGCACGTAGGTAAAATCGTTGGGAGAGATTGTAAGGATTCTTGGACTTGAGTGGCCGATGGAGCGAAAACGACAGCGACATCCCTCTCTACAGATGGAGGAGTCTTGAGTAGTTCATAGTTGACCGACGAAACACCTGAGGACGGAACACTGTCATTGGAAGACGCTGCAATTCCAAGAGCGAGGAGCATGAACTTCTGAAAGAAGATAAGAGGGATGGGTCGCCGATGATGGTTGAAACCGACGGATGCTACAGCTTCCAGAGCCTTACCAGGGCCCCAGTATCTAGGCAAAGAGTGATGTGGAGGAGGGGGAGGAAGCATAGCACGAAGCCAACCCTGGGCCACACGGGTTGCTGCGGGGAGGGCGATCTCAGTAGTGGAGACAGCTACGACTAGAGTGGTAGCGGTGAAGAGACGAGTGATGATCGGGATGTTGTCTTCGTAGGTGTTTCGACGAAAAGCGCGGAGGATGTTTATAGTGAGGCTCATGGCGAAGAGTGCAAACAGGGATGAGGAAAGCTCCAGGTGATGTTGATGGTGACGAGGAGGAACCACGACCGTCGCTGCATAGAGGATTATTCAAAGGCTGAACGCTTTATACTTTCCCTCAAGCCACAAGCGGGGCACAAGAAATGGTGGTATGGGTGGCGGTGCGAGCTTTGACAGCGATAGAACAAGCACGTGGTCGGAGCTCAGAAACATCAAAGCGCAGAAATCACTGTTGTTCAATTGTTACGTAGCAAGGAGGTGCCCGGCACAACTGATATTGACCAGAATTAGTACTGCGAGGCCGACAGCTCGTCTTGTACTGTCACAAAGCAAGGTATTGTCACGAGGAATGAGGTCTGTACAACCAGTGCAAAGCGGATCGCAGAAGCCTGTCAAAAAAGCGCCGGCTTGCTCAAAGTGATAGAACATACGTACGGCAGGAGTACAAGTCTATCGTATCGGTGCTCGAGCACCCTCGATGTCTAGATCGTAGACAGTTATACGACCAAAAAAGTCTGAGCTCTCTTCGAAGACAAGTTTGATGGTTTGGATGCCGTATTGGACTTGCTCGGCTATTCCGAAGAGTTCAAAGACTTGCTTCCGATTCACGTCTTCGGGGTATATCCGAATCAAAGTCTCCCAACCAGATTGCGGAGAGGATTGAACATTGACAAGACACCGGATGCCGACGAAACCTCCTTGGAATGTCAACGAGATGCTACTCGGTATGACTGGTGACGGGAAGGATAGTTGAATGGACTGCGGTAGACCCTGCGAAAAACATCAAGGCATCGAAGGAACGGAGGCAGGGGGATACATGCTTGTTGTGATGTCCAGCACGTCTCGGGGCTACGATCTGTCAGGTATTTTCTTCCAACGGACTTGTTCAAGGTTGAGCTAACTCTTTTGAGTTGGACCGTCAATAGGACAAAAAAAAATGATATTAAGAAGCAGCACATACTTGATTCGTGTCTCAGCTGTGATGAGCGATGTGGGTGAGCAGGCCGACATGGTGATTTCTATAGTCGAGGTTTATAAAATGAAAACATCAATAGTTGGGGGATGTAGCGATTCGAGAGCTAAAGGAACACATGCACATGCAGGATATACGATGTTGTCAGCAGGAGATCTGAGATCCGAACCAGCCCCACTGGCGTGTTTGTTTGTCTTTCTGATACCCATGGACTGTCAATTTTTCCTCACTCAGTAACAGACGTGTGCCCTCCTCGGTGTACACGCTGCTGCAAGGCCCTAGCTCTCTCATGCAGACATGACTACACTCCCATCCTACATCCCATCCTGGCTCAGGAACTCCCACAATGACGAGCATATCAACCGTGTCCTCCATATCCTCGCAGAGAGAGAGAGCATCCGAGTTCGCGCTCGCGCAGATTCTGAGAGACGCTCTAACGCATCCCTAGCGCACCGTATCGCTCGCCTTCCGTCGATCCTTTCCCCTAAAGTCCAGCTTGCCGACCACTACTCCGTCGCCGTAGCGGCTCAGTCAGAAAACGTACCGTATAATCGCTACCGCGATATCAAGCCATACGACCGCACGCGAGTCATTGTAGGAGATCGCTACTTCAATGGCAGCTGGGTTCGAGAGACTGCAGGTGGAAGCTGGTTCATAGCGACGCAGGCGCCTCTTCCTTCGACCACCCATGACTTCCTTAGTATCCTCGCAAAGCCCACAGTGAAGCCTCCGGATGGGCGCTATCCCCTCCCTACGCGTGTGCGTACTGTCGTTCAGCTTACCCCAAACATCGAGTCTGGGATCCAGAAGGCACACGTCTACTTCCCTTCTCATCCCGGTCAGTCCTGGGTAGCTCTTCCGAACTCCCTGCACGACGATCTCCCATCGATCAAGGTCACCCTCGTCAACTCCATAACCGACGATCATGCCCAGTGCATCGTGAGCACCGTCTCCGTCATGTTCATCGATCGTGGTGTCATGCAGCCTCCGGCGACGTTCAAGCATCTCATGTATACATCCTGGCCTGACCATGGTGTCCCCGAGCCAAGGGACCGAGCCAAGTTGCTCAACTTCATCAAGCTCGCTCACCAGGTGAATATGGATACCACTAGCTACCCAGGTGAAACGGACTTCATTGCCGATTCACCAATTGTTGTCCACTGCTCAGCTGGGGTTGGTCGTACAGGCGCATTCATCGCCCTCACCTCACTCCTTCACGCACACGATCTCCTTCCTGCTCAGCCTGCGGGACTCGCTGGACACCGAGCTCCTCCCCCGCCTCTCCCAATACCGCTCTTCGGACCACTACCAGAGTCTGTAGCCTGGGATCTGGTAGCTCAGGAGGTTGATCAGCTGAGAGAGCAAAGGCCGGGCATGGTACAGCGACATGAGCAAGCTTTGCTCATATATGACGTGCTTATTCTTGCTTTCGTCACTCGGGGGCGGGTTTGAAGTCAGACAGATCTTCTTGTAGGTTAGTATCGACCATCGAACGTTTTCAGTCACCACGGACAAGTATCTCTCCTCTGTACCCGGCAGATAAGCGGCGCACGACAAGCCCGTAAATATGTAGCGTGGTTTCCGAGCATAATGATTTGTTCTTCACGAAGTGAATGATAGCATTCACACTTTCTCTCCCCAGAAACGGCACCTTCTCGGCTAAGTACAAGGACAAGGAAGCAATCAACAGGGGTAAATATTGTGTAAGCAAATCATCTGAATAGAATTGTGGCTGCAATGGCTGCTCTTCCGACACATCATCGTCTCGTTTACCATCCGCTGCGATCCGGAACCTATATATTGCCTTTCTCGAGTCTTTGCAAGATGACACTATTCTCTTCCCACAACCTCACCCACATTGCGTTGACCGCATTTTACCGTTGTCATTTGCTACCATGTCTATTCATTCCAGTGGCTTCCTCCCTGACCTTACCAACCGCTTCATAGGCAACAATAATTTCCGCATAGCAAAGCCTCTGCGTGCGGGAGGATATGGCTTTGTGTACCATGCACTCGACACTGCTGTCCCCCCCCATATCCGCAAGGAGTACGCCGTCAAATGTATGTTGAAAGCCACTCCTGACCATCCCATGGCGCGCCGTCAGGATCGCGAAATGGCCCTCCATGCAATGGTCTCGCACCACCCTGGTGTCATTACTCTCCACCGTGTCGTGGAACAGGGAGGTTTCCTGTTTCTCGTTATGGACCTCTGCAAGTCTGGGGACATGTTTGACGCCGTCATGGTGCGGCAGATTTACAAGAACAATGATGAGTTGTTGAAGCTGGCCTTCACCCGACTCATCGATGCTGTCGAGGGTTGCCATGAGCGGGGCGTATTTCATCGCGATCTGAAGCTGGACAACATCCTTGTGTCGGAGGACGGATCGCAGGTGTGGCTCACAGATTTCGGGCTCGCGACTTCGGACGTCATGTCGACTGAGTATGGCAACGGTACTCCCACCTATATGAGCCCTGGTAAGTTCATCCTCATCGTTGTTGAGTTAGCATGGTGCCCCTAACCCCCCTTCTGATAGAATGCACGAGGCGAATCCCTGAGGGATCATTTTCTTCCGCGGCAAGCGATGTATGGTCTCTCGGTGTCATCCTTTTTAACATGATCACCCTCAGCAACCCCTGGAACCACACAAGATCTGATGACAATATGTTCAAAGACTACCTCTGCAATCAGGACTTCACTCCCAAATATGCCATGTCTGATGCGGCCAACACCCTCTTCGAACGCATCTTTACCCTTGATCCCTCCTGTCGCATATCTTTGGCGGGGTTGCGTGAGGAGGTGGGGAACATCCACAGTTTCTTCCCGGCGAAGAAAGCTCGACCCGCGCCCTCGATCCTCTCTTCATCATGTGCGCATGGCCATAGTTTACAAAATTCCCCTTCTGTCACTGGTTCTACACCCAGCGTTTCGGACCTGTACGCGATCCTTGACTCCGTAGCCCCTATCCCCTCGTCGACTCCAGGCAGCAGTCGCCCCTCCTCCACCGACAGTCAATCCGACATCTCGTCATCCGACCAAGACAGTGATATGTCTCAGACACCTGTGGCCCTTCCTGTGCGGCTAATTTCCAACATCCCTAAATTGTCTAAGAAGACATTCTTCGCAAGGTTGTCGCGTGAAGCCTTTCGCAAAGTTTTTGGTGTTGATATCTCATAGGCGGGTCATGTGTAGTACTATACCACATGCGTGTATTCTTTCCCTTCGTTTTCACATAATTCGAATAATCCAATCACACATTCAATCACGTAGTAGACGCTACAGAGCGCAAGCGAGACAGGCAAACAAATCCCAATAAGTTACCAGTACGGTGCCGGACAAGCAAAGTCAACAATTTTGCTAACTCCCCAGGCAGAATTTTTTGGGACAAACTGAGTTCAGATTCGGACTCAGGGAAGCAAAAGGAGTCAAAAAATGCCCTTTATGGAAGTTCCCACGGTAAAATGGGGGTGGCCAATTTTTTGGGCAAAAAAAAACAAAATGTAATTAGGCCTAAAATGGCATCAGAGTCAATCTGAGTCAATCTCAGGTCAGCATTGTATCAACAGACATCATTGTGCACTGCCCAACCCTTCTGTGTGACTTCTGTTTGCATACAGCCCACTCTGCCACTTTCCCTATAAGCCCCTTATGATATGCATCCATAAACCACCATGATTGGTTAAAAAATTGGTGAATCACCTTGACAGGACACTTATTGAGGCATTGCTGTGCCACTTTCTTTGCATCCTCAAATTTGACTTTGTAAATTTTACAGTACCAATGCTTGCACCAGCCCCAGTACTGAGTGATATGAACATGCCATAAAAGAAAAGACTGAAGAAACCGACCATCTCAATAGGATCAAGCTCACAATGGAACTTCAGAAGAAAGATGCTGTTATGAAACATCTTGCTTATGCCTACCTACTTTTCCTGCCATCTTGACAAGGACACATAGGACCTTTCTCCTGACTCTACCTCATGTTCCTGCTCCACTGATACTTGGTCCATGCTTTTGCCTGTACATATTTATAGATACTGCGGTGCAGTGTGGAAGCCTTAGGCTATCCACTTCTGTCCAATCTAAGAACTGCTGTTCACACAGTCTTCTCTGATTCCAAGACACTAGTCTGATCAGTCCCGATCACCCTCTCAAATCTTCTTGTATTGTTTGTGGCTTAGGATCTCCTCGTCTTGAACAGCCGTTCGTGACAGATGTAAATGTGACCTCGAGCTTTTAAATTCTGCTCAAAAAGGGATTCTTGAAAAAAAATTATCCTGCCTGCTTAGGAGTCAGGCTATATAGCAAGTGTCATTCTTAAAAGGACAAATTGGAGAACACTTGGCCTTCATTATGTAGATATCAAAGCTACATTCTGTAAGAGTCTGCTGCAATCCCTTTGCCTTGCCATTCTTGGTTGTTATCTTGCTTACTAAGAAATAACTATTGAACTTTGCCTGGCCCTCTCACACTCACTTCCACTCCAGGCATTGCTGCATATGCACCGACTTGTTGCTGATAATAGGACTATGTGAGTGTGATTTATGTGGACCTACTATTTATGGTCCATCCAGTATTGATTATAATGTACTTACTCACCAGGTTTTTCATAGATGAGAGCTAGTCTCTGTCTCATAGATCATCAAGATCAACATCCTCCATGTCTTTTTCAGTGTCTGACTCAAATTCAGGTGAGTTTCTTGAGTGGATTGATTTTTTGTGAAGATGCTGAATTTTGGGTGCATGTTTCTTTCTTGGAGGGTGCCCGGCACTGTAGGCTACCTACCGGCATCTCCCGAGCCGGTTACTCGTCCACTGCTGTAAAGTCAGCCGCGCAGTGAGCAGCTTGTTCGAAGTCGCTATGCACCTCCAGACCGCCCTCTCGCTTTTTTTCTGTATATGCTCTGTGTGCGCTCACGGTGATCATGAAGGTCATAGTCAGGAGCCCGTCACAGGTGACGCTACCGAATATGCCCTGAAGCACGTACGTGGGTACCCTCAGCTCAGTGTATGACATGGTACTTACATGGAAGTATAGATGGCCACCGAACATCATATGTGGGTAAATTTGATCGCCTTGCTAGAATAAGTAACTGACAGGGCTGTTCAGAGACTCCTTTGATCTCGCAAGTTTCTTCCAACTTCATGACTTGAACAGGTACGTCCTCATTGTGGCGTCATGTAGCGCTTGTTTAACGAAGAACCGGAATCCAGGGATGGGGTCTGGGATACTGCAGAGATCGAAGCTATCTATGGTGTTCACCACGTCTACTCACAGAAGAAGTCAAAGGTGCGCATAGATGCCTCGATGAGCCAACCTCCACGTACCTGAATGTCGTTCTGTAGGATGATGTCGAGCATCAAAAGAAGGCGGACACGATAGTGCAGGCCATACTGAAAGCTATGGACAAAGATGGCAACGAAAAGGTTACTCAGAAGGAATTTGAGGCAGTCGGACTTGCAGGTCTGCCCAGTTTCGATGAGCTGGGCGCGGAGGGCCACCATTATGATGTCGAGAGCGGTATGTTCCTCTCACATCGCATCTCCTCATGCAACTCACAACTCTGCCAGAGTTCTTCCTGCACCACGAAGGTACATGGCACGCTTTATAGCACCGACCAACCCTGTTCACTCTCCTTCTCCTTCTCAGAACAATACCATTCCACCCCCGAGACTCAAACCGATGAGTCCTACACCCACCCAGAGGACCTCGAGCATTTCGCCCAGCACGAGGCGATCGAGCATAAAGAGGCCGAACGCGAGGCGAAGTTCCAAGGGATCACCGTCGAGGAGGCCCTCTTGCAACACGAGGAACATGAACATGACGAGGCTCCGCCCGCACTGGTGGCTGATTCCAACGACGCCGATAATGACACGACTGATGCCGCCCACCCACCCACGACCAAGAAGATCCAGCGCCAGACACCACCAGAAAAGCAAGATCCTGCCGTCCGCTTTCGCGACGCAAAGGCTGAAAGTGAGAGACATGGTGATTGGGGCTCTGGCGATGCTGGCTATAAGCCTCCGAATACGCCATCTGAGAAGATGCGGAAGAACCTTCCGTACAAGGTATCGTCTTTTTTCTCATTTTTAATCGTCTTGTGTTGGAACATTGACAACCAGGAACGTATGCAGTATAAATTCCGTCGGAGCTGGGGCGATTTCTAAACGTGGTTAGGCACGATGTCGAATTGGAAGTCGCTTGCGAATTTTATATCACGTTCTGCACGGATGTTATTTCTTATTCTCGGTTGATTAAATATCTCCTAAATTCTATGTCTCGGAATATACACAAATCGGAAGGAAAAGTACAAACAGATGCGATTGTCCAAAGCTCATCCGAATAAAAAGTTAGCCACGAGATGCTTTAAGGTTTCGTTCCCTCAAACATATCACCCACAAGTCCTCGCTCGACCTCTTCCCAGTCGATGTTACCTCCGCTCATGTACACACTCTCGTAACTCGCTATGCTCACGCTTGAGAAGAATGGGACGAGATCGCGGATGGAGTCTATCTGGCGTAGGTCATTGAGCATAGGTCGACGCATTGATCGCTCTTCATCTATTGACGTTGCGAACAAAGGACTTGATGGAGGACCCCTTGATGAAGGGACAACACCCTACCGAATTGAGCATTATGAGTGATAGGGCAGTAGCAGCATGTGGCTTGATCATTTACTTCTGTGATGGGCAGCCTTGATCCAATCTCTGCCAGCTGGTCGAACATGGCCTCGGGAAGCCAGTCATCTGGGCGATACACTGCATCGACGGTGTCCGTGATGAAAATCCATTGATACCTGCTTTGGACTCAGCGTCTTTTTGTGGATCAACCAGAGGGTGACATACACTTGGAAATCCTCTGTCTGCAGCACAAGTAAAAGGTCGAGGAATTTACACGCGGATAAGACTAAAGGTAGGTCTTCCGAGCCGTCGGTTGGGAGTATTGTCATAAGTTGGTCCAAGAGCCGGTACTGAACATAAATATGTAAGTATGGAATCATCTTGGACAGATGTCTGGAGCTTTACCATTTCAGTCAAGATGACTGGCCAGAAACTGACAAGGTTATGCGCGCTAAGCCGACACAACAGAACACGGACGCATAGATAGACTTCGGCTTGTACAATAGGCGCGGGGACGTTCCGCAGGACATCAACCAATTTTTCCTGGACTGTCGGTAAGGAGGTCAAGAATTGATTCTTCTCCCCACAATACAGGGCGTAAGACAGTCGACGGAGGTTGAGCGAACGGAGTAGATTCTCATATTCCCTGTTTGTGAAAATATTGGTGGAGGGAGCAGTCGTTACTTTGCCTGTACCAATCATCAGCTGGGAAAATGAAAGGCCATCGTACCAACCACACCTAGAAGTTCTGAGAAAGCGGTCTTATCTGTGTCAATCAGGGCCTTTGTTATTGATCTAAAGCCACGTCCGGCTTCTAGCGGGCTGTTGAAGAATCGATTATCGCTGAGGATGTCTGATACTACGCTTCGCCAAGCCTTGAGAGCAGCCGGGATTCGACTCATCTCCAGGATCATTTGAAGAATGATATCATCGACGTCTAGAGGTCTGCGACAAGTCAATGTAGGGAAATCGGAGCCTTCGAGGCTGACGAACCTGGGTTTTCCCTTCATAGAAGGGGTAATGATGTAGTAGACGATATTAACACATGCGGCAGTGATTTTGTCATTGTCCATAAGGAATCTGCGCAAGCTGGGTAACGCCGTACTGGCAACATATCGGTTGATCTGTCCGTGACTTATCAATATAAATATGGTTCTATATGCGAACGGGTTACCTGATCCACCATATCTACACCTGGCAACAGTCTCAACGACTGTGGCTCTTGCAATGACACTGAACTGCCGTTCATCTTCTCGTCCAGCTTGACATCTGATGCAACTATGCGTATAAGAGTGTGAGGGCAGTGCAGACAGCGCAATCGTAGAGATATTACCGCGAGGTACAGGAGAGTCCCGGCCGTTCAATGATTCCTTTGCACCACGGCGAATCCAAGAACTTTGATCAGAGTTACGGCCAGCAGAAACTACGACAGAGTCAAGTAGCTTCCCGAAAGTATCCTGCAAATAATTGAGATCAGCTTATTTGAAGCGCGTTCCTTCATACTCACTTGGAGCTCTTTTCGTACTCGCCGATCTTCCATTGCCGTAGTTTGTGTCATCTTGTCAGCTAAAACGGATACACACCTGAATGACAAGAATAAGCTTGCCTACTCTTAGGACAGAATTGCACCTGTGCATACCTCAAAACAGGATAGAGCTGATTCTTGAAGTCCTTGAGATTTCCGAGAATATCCTTCGCAAGCTGATGGAGGCGGCCCCATACTTGGAGAGCTAACGGCCCTTCTAACTGCTGCAAATATTGCTCCAGAAACCGAAACAGGTTGCTGTCGGATCTGAGGCCCAGGAATTAGTATGAAATTGCCTCCCAAATCACAAGACTCACAGGTCAGGGTTAACTACCTGCTTTCTGCCTCTCTCCGTGAGGCCAGGGACGCGACAAGATATGCTTTCGCACACCATGTGTACAACACTCTGGGCACTAGATGTCAAGGCATCCACCAGTTCAAATGCCGCTTTTTGAGGCTGGATGTTATCCATGAAAAAGTATGCCTCGACAGAAGCTCAGATGGTGACACACCGAGGGATCCCGATTCCAGCAATCGATAATAGATTCCAATACCTCAGGCGCTTGTACACGGAAAAAGTGCTCAAACACCCGTCGACAGCGCAATCGTGACTTGCTGCAGATCATAGACAATGAGTCGTCCTTTGGTGTCCACGACTTCGACTCTGGCCATGTCATGGTAGACCAAATGGTATACAGCACGCGGATACCTTCATGTAATGAACGGTATCCAGGCGAACGAGCCTGCAGAGGACATAAGCTATTCCGAAATGAGACTACCTTCAGGTACACACCGTCATTTGTTCTTCTGGGACTATGGGTATTGTCTCGGAGCCAAAGACTGTCGTCATCATTCCAAGTAGGCCACCGCCCTCTCCTCCTGGGGATTTCTCTGGAAGGATACTGTCATCTTCTGCCTGCGCAGTATCAGATGTTTTTAGATTCAAAATGATTAAACGCTCGAGTGCATTGAGAAGCATGGTGAAATCTGCGTCAGTGGTCATTGACTGTAAATCCTCATCCTCCTGTTTATCAGTAAATACCCGGCTGATATCTGCCAGGCTAGATCGGAGTTGACGACCGACACAATCGCTGAGAGGTGACACTACAGCTTGCAGCGCATGCTGAAATTGAGGTACTGTCATGAGTATGAAGTCCAACCAGTGCTGCAACACAGGGCGATTGGACGATACAGCGATGCCGTCGATTAAAGTCTGCACCAAAAGTGGATTCACAGAGTGCATCTGACCACCCAATTCCTGTGATCCAATGGGAGAAGGGGGTCTCTCCGGCATACCATCAACTGAGGCGACTGTCGTCGGTTTGGCTGTTCGGGTCGCAGTAGCGGTCGTCGCAGATATTACGGAGTGGAGAAGATGGAGAAGCTTGTTCTGGAGGTCGATGCGCTTCATATGCACAGAAAAATACAATTTACCGATCACCGCCGCCTCAATACCTTCGAGGGCAAGGCCGTCGACATCTCCTCGGGCAACAATAGCCTGGAGGAGATCAATCGCTGTCGATTGAATGATGATGTTGGCAGAACCCATTCGTTCGACGCGTCTGTGTTTACACTCGGATTGCAAGAACCTGTAATATTTTGGTCAGTCAGCTGATTGACCGTATTCATAGAGCTTGCCTGGTAAGAATTTCAATCAATACGTCTTGATAGGTTGCATCAGGATGTGCGAGGCCGGCTTGGTAGGTAATTTATCAGTACCTTAGAAATGATGCATATAAGTGAGGACAATTACAGGCTTCAATTCGTTCGACAAGCCCCGCATGGTGTGAGCGTCTGACATGACTTGTTCGAGCAGTCTTGCTGAAGCCCTGTCCTCCGAATCGAACGATCGATAGCAGTGTTTCCAGGAGGTAAGTAATGTATGACTGATCGATTGGTCGTTCATAGGAGAAATCCCGGAGCTCCTTGCCATTTATCTTGGAAACAGAGGGTGTTCGACGTAACGCCGGGTCCAGAAGATCAAACAGAATAGGGTCCAGGACCCTACAGAAAGATTGAGTCTGGTTCAAAAAATAAAAACGTATACCCACGTACCGGAGATACGACTTTAAGCTACAACGCATCCAAGTCTCTCCAACCCGGCGGAGGTTAGGGTCGTCGCTTTTCAACGTGTCCAAAACAATCATTATTGGAACCTTGAAGTGAAAGCCTGGCAGCAAACTATCCTCTGTCGGTGAGATGTCAAAAATTATGCTAATATCAAATTTTCCGCGGTAGTTACCAGTCAATCGCCAGAATACTCCAAATGCCTCGTATGACTCCTGCACATTTCGAGACTGGGGGGATGTGAGACCCTGTGCAACAATGGACTCGACATATGGCCTCTTAGTCACATTTTCCAATGCCCAGATGAGGTTGACAGCGCGCGCATGGTACACGGTACAGTTAGGACGCAGATATCTGAAGAGCTGGTAATAACGATCATGGGAAGCAAGTAACGGCAAACTGGGTATGTCACGCACAGTATGAATCATCTTGAATGTAGTTTGTCGCGCCTGAATCGAGACACCAGGTTCAAGTCCACTGGTATGATGCAGGGCAATGACCAGAGAAATGACTCTATCGACAACGATGAAAGTTGTGTTCTGCAAGACACAAGGTTAACTACAAGACCTATATGCTCTCGACGACCTAGATCTTACCTCTTGTTCGATTACAGTCAAAATTACGGCAAGCCATTCCACTGGATCCCAGTCTACCTTAGCTTTCAAGTCCGCGCGTCCACCAAGTCCTTCCACAAGCTGAGTAACTAGGAGTAAGGACTGCACAAATATGTCACGCAAAGAAGCATCCTTGCGAGTTGCGTGGCATAAGTCTTTAGCGCAGGCAATACTGAGCTCCACAACATTTTTAAATGCCGTGGTAAAGTGAGTTGCAAGAGACTTTTGTGCGGCGGTCGGAAGATCGATGGTCAATGCAAGCCCATAAAATGCTCGTGCAAAGATATAAGGGCCAGAAGTGTCAGGAGATTCTTGTGTTGCTTCTGGGAGCTCAGGTGATTGCCAGAGTACTGAAGGTGGTATCTGCTTTAAGAGGATCGTCACGAAGTGCATTGCCTCCGAGAGAACACGCAAGGAGGGTTTGGAGACGGATGTCGAGAATTGATACTGTAAAACAGCATTATTGTAAATAGACGCCACGCGAAAAAAATGACTGAAAGGTATCACTTTGACAATTTCCACGACGGCAGCAAAGACTAGGGGGAAGTGAAGGGTTTGGATCTCGTCATCTTGTACATGGAATGTCGTCAAGATGAAACGAGCCAAATGAATCGCCTAATGCAAAGCATGTCAATGGTATGTGCACAGCTAGATGATAGAGGACGCACCTCGCAATCAATCCCATCACCGATAATCTCTTGGAGGATGGATCCTAACAATTGCCTCCAAACGACACGGGGCTCGACAGCCTGGTACAGCGTACTTGCTGTCATGACGATCTACAAATAATGATCAGTATCATGCAAAAGAGGCATATCCCAATCTCTCACCTCGTCATTGTTATCTAGACTTGACAGCATCGCCTTCTTGAGAGCGTTGAACGCATCGAGAACCAACACTTCTGTTAGCGGGCCGCCAACTTCCCACTTATCCAACAAGGAGATAAAAATCTTGAACGGCCGTGACTCTGAGTACTCCGCAGAAGGTGAGAACATTTCCTCCTATTGGGGCATCCAAGATATTAGTATCATGATTCCTATTGAGAGTATCGTAACTTACTTGCAGCGTCGCCCGCAACAGTTCAAGCGCATTTGACTTGAAATACTGCGTCTGTTGTTCGCTGTTCTCTTGGGGGCCTAACAGCCACGTATATAGGCGTCGATTCAACGAACTATCTCTGCGCATGACGACACTCGTCGCTGCTCGCATGAGAATCGCACGGTCCTCTGCCGACGCCTTTTGCACCGCTGCGTTGTCCATGCGTAAACTCTGCAACAGCAGATCAAGAGCGCTACGCCTGACGAGCAGATTGTCGTCTTCAAGCGCTGCGGCAAATGCGCGGATCATTAGACCAATGTCCCGGCCAACTATCAACGTTATGTCTATTATGTCTGATGCGTCAATGGGCGTCTCAGAATATAGTCCAATCATACGAACCTTCGTCACCATTGAGACGAGGAAGCCGTCGAGAGAGGAATGTGAGTGATGTTCCACGAGCAGAGGGAGTCGTTAGCATGACTAGCCATATATTCTGTAGGAAAAAAGACGGCGAAACCGTCCCTGAAAGCCGGTCTAATAGGCTTAAGACCTGCAAAGCCGTCATTCCACGTCCAAGCAAGTAGCACAGCTGCATACCTTGTCAAAGAACTCCCCAGTCTCCTCTTCTAACCCCGGAAGTAAAGCAAGAATGAAAGATTTCATGATAGGTCGTAAGCCCGCTTGAAGGGGCAAGAAGTACGTGTCGCAGATGTTAAGGAGGGTGGGCTACATGCCCCCATGATTATTAATTCCAGCGCAGCGGTCTGTAGATTTAAAAAGGTACCTTGACAGATGTAGCTGCATACTCAAGGAAGGGGAATAAGCCGGATGCCCAGAGTGCCATGTCTCGTTTAAGGCCTTCGGACTGCGGGGTGTTAGGACGTAGCAAAGAAGTGATTAGTGCGGAACACACCCCGACAACAGCTAAGATATGGGAGTAGACATCCAAGGCCCTTTGGTGTACTCCACTCGGTAACGCGGGATTTAGACATTGCGATAATCGTTTCGCGACAACGATCTTTCGGGGAATCTCCTTGAACTGCATATACGCTTGAAGAGTCTGTATGACATGACGACATATTCAGCATCACGGACAATATGCAGGAATCACAAAGGTGCGTACCTTGAGCAACTGCTTTAGAAAGGCAATGAAGTCCGCCCATTCGTGCACATTGTCAAACGAATTCAAGCATCTCTCCACTTGCTGCGTATACTTCTTGAACTTCGGATCTGATGCATACGTTTGTTGCAAAGCAGCTATACAGGTAAGAGATGATACTAAGCTCAATGTCCAAAGATTCACCGTGTCCACGAACCACGATCGCCAACCCTGTCTGCAATGCGCGTCGAGGCCTTGTCGCCACTGCCTTCTGTGGTTTGTGATGCCATATCTCCTATCTATTCCAAAGTCATGCGCCAGCGCCCGAAGATGTGACGGGAAAATGATAATAATGGTAGTCACTCGTGAGATGAAGCTTGAAAGCTTGAAACGGTGCCGCTTTCGAGACTGCATCTCTCAACTGGACTGGACCAAGTGTAAGGTTAGGGTTGCTTGTTGCACACTTCCGCTTTCACGGTGCATAAGTACATGCGGTAAGAGTAAATAAGAGAGCGGGGTACAGCGCGGCATAAGAAAGTAGTACATATCGAGGTACAAAGACTTGCATGATTCAGAGAACGAGCTCTATATCCTTGTCAACTTCCGAAACTGCGATTGATAGCTGAGATTTCTTCCGCGTGGCCGCACGAATCCCAGGAGAAACACTGACGCTGGCTACATCAGGAACAGCAGAAACAGAACGGGATGTCGCAGAAGACGCAACAGTCTCCACCTTGCCAGCCCTAGCTTTGTTGCCTACTCTCCCAGCAGGTGGAGCCGACAATGATAACGTAGGAAGTTTCGGCAGAGTGAGTGACCCTGATCCCCCTGCTAGCCTCTCGGTCTCAACCGCCGCTGCCGCTGCCGCTTGCTGGTTCGCAGCTGTTGCCGCAGCAGCAGCAGACGCTAGCTCTGAATCTTTCTCTCCTACCCAAGACCGCGCGAACCACCGCCCACCTGCAATGCCGCGGATCTCACGGTTCGCTGTACGCCAATGACGCACTTTTTTGCCTGAACGGTCGAGTGGTATGACAGGAGCATAGCCATTGCCGATCTTAGGCGGTGGTTGAACGTAGAAAGGTTTGCTTGGGAGGGGATAACGGGGCAAGGCGACTGTGTCAAGGTTGAATTCGTCTACTTGCGGGACACCCAGGAGCGCTGGCGCTGTTATAGATTCAACCTCAGGTGTGTGAGCCTCATGACGCGTTGGTGAGGAAGGTGCCGTCCCAGTATAGCCTGACAAAAATGAGATTCTCACATCAAGTATCCTCGTCGATAACTCTGCTACATACCTTCACTCAGTTCGTCATGCACAGGAGCTAGAAGGAGTGAATGCTTTAATCTAACAAACGATGTTATTTGGCTGACTTGAAAGATAGTATAATTGAGAATACTTTGGACCAGATTTTCTAGGTGCTCGCTGTGCTGCGGTAGTACCCTTTGGGACAGCCTTCTTCAATGCGAGAATAGTAGCATGGGAAGATCCTTCGCCGTCGACGGGATCGGCAACATCTCTAGAAGGAGATGTTCTGACCGCATGGCTTGCTGGCGGAGACACTTCAAACGTGGTCATCAACGGCGCGGGATTGAGCGCACCCGTTCGTCCCTTCCGCTTAGTACCACCGCCTCTACCCTTTCCTCGTTTTGTTGGTGCAGCACCACGCGTAGAGGGGCCAGGTGCTGAAGGACCCGGAGTCACCACCGTGGAGCTGATGCCTTCTTCGTCATCATCGATGAGTTGATCCTCTTCCTCTTCCTCTACATCCTCCTCTTCGTCCGCCTCGTCGCTCTCCCGGGCCTCCTCGCCGGTCTCGCCGTTGAATGTGATGAATTTTGTTCCTGGTTTGGGTTCATTCACAACGAGGTTGACGCGGAATTTCCCTGTGTGTGACGGGGATGATTGAGGCGGGGGACTGTCCTCTTCACGAAGAGTAGAAATATGGGGTGCATCCATGTCAACGTCTTCGTCCATGTCAGATTCTGAGTGGTTGTGAGCGATGGCAGTGGTGGTGAGGTCTTCAGTTCGAGGGTCTCCGGAAGCAGGGTCGTAGCTAATCCAGGGAGAGGCGCGGAACATTTCAGGATCGGGGCGAATACTTTGCCTCAAGCGACTGTGGCGTTGCGACCAGGGCTGTCCGAGGGAGAGGTGACGTAATCGCATCTCCACTCGAACTTTTGGAAGCGGGCTCCTGTGCTGCTCACTCTCAGCAGCTCATCCACTTGCCCTGAGCCTTTTCGCCTCAAGCCCCTCAGTGCTACATCTATTGATGAGAACGACGAGGGCAAACTTATCCCGCTCAGAACCCGCTTGTTACAAAGATCACAACCCCAACCCCAAGATACGACGATCATTGAACGATCTGCGGACTGATGCTCTTCCGACTTGTCAACATTGCACTTCCTTTTTCCTAGCGACAGAAGATGGAAGATTGCATTCAATATTTTTGGCTGTCCGATCAGCTCGGTGCATATTCTTACTTTATCGTGGGTGTCGTTCACGTCCGATGGAGAAGAGGGGGAGGCGAAGCGCGAATACATGCACGGTGTCATCGATCATCAACAATCCAACATGCCTGGCCCACCGCTGGCCCGCCATTGTGTGAGCGTGTGCAAGGTGTAAGTTACACCTGTTTGAAATTCATCATTTTCGTGATGCAGTTAAAGTCCTCGTTTGACTTCGTTTGACCACTGTTTGACCTCGTGTGCATAATAGTGGGCGGTCATCAGCGGTCAGCGGCGGGCATGCTCCAGGAAATGCCATCTAAGAGCGCTCTAGGACCTGCATTCCTCCAGAGCGTTAAAATTTTTTGACGTCTCAATATCAATGACCGCAGTATAGACCAGCACAAACTATCTTCGTACAAGTTCATTGTCCCTTCTTTCAAAAAACCTTTACTCCTTGCCCCTCTGCAAGCGCTGTCTCTCCGGACTTGGCAATGGAAAATGGACTTGTGATCCCGGTGTGGAAAGACCGAGAAACAACTGTCGAACTAACGCGCCGAGGCTCAGCTTCAATTTCAGCACATGCTCCTCCCGACCCCTCTCAAAGCCCACGTGAAGTTGGGCGGTCATGGGTGCCCGAGGAAAATGTGTATAAAAGTGCTTAGCGGATTCAGAATTGGACCCCACCTTTAGTTCCTCCACTAAGGTGCTCCTCTCCCTTTCCTTTAGTACGTCATGTTCCGTGGTCTCTTGACAGGCTTCGTTCTCGCTTCTGCCCTTGCCGTTGTGGCCTCGCCGAGTGGCCCTGGCATTTTACACGCTCGCCAAGACGTTCAGAACATTGTCTATGTCACGAGCACAGATAAACACTGGTATGTCATCCCAAGTGTTTCACCATCTCCTATTTTTCATTCTTTCGCCACCAACAGCATGATCATGCCCCGGGATGCGCATACGAACATTGGCGATAGCGAACACCCTGGAGGCATGAAAACCTATTGCACGCCTGCAGGCCGCTACTCTAGCCAGCAGGGCCAGCTTCCAGCTAATTTCTGGAGTAACATCGAGTTCCAGAGCGGCAAGGGCAAGAATGGCGGCCGTTATGCACAGCGTATGTGAAGACCTGTTACGTTGTAGCATGAATACTTACCTGTATTTGCAGTCACTGGCTGCATCAGACCTAGCACTCTCAGCCGGTTGAACGCAGATGATGCAGGCGGACAGTATGACTCCAGTGGTGGAGATGGTGGGAGGGGAAACCCCCAGGATTCTGTTTGTCTCGGGTGGGTTCAGATACTCTTTTTTTTCACGCGTTCACTGAGCAGGCATCTATCTAAAACAGTTACAATCACTACGTGGAGCTCGTTGAGCCTGCTGGCCCCCGTGCATGCATTAGGTGCTGTGACGACCCTGCCGACTGCCCTACCAATACAGGTACGCCTGTTTCTCTTCGTGTCTACTCCAGAGTTAATGCTTGCTGTTTCCAGATACGGCAGGCTGCCCCAACGTCATCCCCGGCAACTACTTTAACTGTGGCTGAATCCTGCTTGACGATTCTAGCGATCCAAAGCTACTCGTACTGAAGGACTTTCATCTTGGACACTTTCATGGACATTGATGAACTCACATTACTTCGCTTTCCTCATATGATCTAATTTGCCATAATGCTCTCGAAACCCATTTTATTGACATCGTTTTCTTTACTGCTCATGAGTGACATGGTCAAAGAAGTTCTTTCGACTTCCCTTCGTAGCCTTCCCACTTGCCCAGACCATCATCGATGTCCAACATCCTGGTAGCATAGAAAATGTGCGCCGTCGGTTTCACCTCGTCCCATCTCTTGACCTTCCCTTCGTCATCTCTTTCCAGCTGTGCACCCCACACGCTGACTCGATTTGTCTTCGAGTTCTTCGATGCAATGGTACAGCCACAGGACTTACAGCGGAAGCGCTGTTTCCACGGTCTTGAAGGATTGACGAATCTGTCGAGAAAAGATTCATGCGGGGTAGCATGAGCCCATGTGAAGTGCAACGCATCAACATGGATCGTATGGATGAACGGGCAGGCTATGATCAAGGCATAAGCGGCACAACACTATCGAGCGCTAGAAGGAACGCTCACCGTTCAACCTCTGGCACTGAGTGCAGTGACAGAAAGCACGCGTCACAGGCGGTGCGGAAATCGCATAAGAAACTGCCCCGCAGTAGCAGCCTCCTTTCAAAGGGCTTTCTACAGATATCGTCGTAGACATGATGGTCGATTGCGCCAAAAAGTTCGAATACTGTGCAACGCGAGCCTGTGATTACGGGCTTGGTGCTCACGGACTCTCGTGCCCGTCTGAAGAGGTAGAGTAGAACGAAATCCGTATTGAATCGCCACCAGAGTTCCCCGGAAGCAATAGATAGGTAATTCCAGCAGTTGTTGAATGCCGAGTACGCGAGCCTGAACAATAGAACTGAGGAGGAGCAATCGACCATATACGGAAATGAGCAGTCTCGCCAAGATCAATGTTTCACAACCATTCCACGGTCTATCCGAACAGCTAATCTCCGAACCAGCCTTGAGCGAAGACGTGAGCAAAGAATCTGTAAACCAGAACTTTGATAGCGCTCAAAAGGTGGATACATTGCTGAAAAATTTGGGTGCTGTTCGCTGTAATGATGTAAGCAATAACAGCCAGCCGACATCTTCCGGCAAAGGCAACTTTCAGCCAACTCACGCTCATACTTAGACTCCCTCACTCTCGTCCCTTTGCCGGTACGTTGCTTCGACTCGCGACAAGCTGCGAAGAGACACAAGTATCTGACCGTTATTTTACGATGCCTAGGACCCATTCCTTAAAGGATAGTGCCGACGACCCTCCTTGACTGGTCGGATAGAAAAAGGCGATACCATGGTTTCCGCTACCGTCAACGTGTGCCCCGCTGGTTTCTACCACCGATTCTTGATATCAACCATGATTTTATTTTGGCCATGAATAGGTTGTCCGATATACCGCTCTTCTGTCCGGAGTGTTCTACGGTATCGCTCACCGTCGCACACTACAAAAAACACACGACGAGGAGAAGGCGCGTCATGCGGTACATGATCGAACAAACCTGATAGCACAGGCGAAGGAGGCATGGAAGAGGAAGCAAGAAGGCTCCAAGGACGGTGGTGAGTAGCTGTTCCTCCTGCATATGCTCGGCACCTCGCCTTCCACCCTCAGGGATGACACAATTTCTGGTACACGCTCGACTTATGTTTTTGCGAGCTCAATTATGTCTAAGTGACCCGACATAATTGTTCAAACATTTGAAGTCTGGTACCCTATCCTTTCATCTCATAACCCCATACTTTAGTTTGCCTCGGCATTCCTCCTTGTACCTCATGCTCATGTTCTTTATTTTAGTTGTCACCGACCCAGAGGACTCTCGATTTGACCTCGAGAAGCTCTTCGCAAAGTGGGAGAGCGAATCGAAATAGTCGCATGTTCGTTACCGTTCTGTTAATATAGAGCTCTCGTTAGGGGACTGCATGCATCTTCCGACGCCCTTGCCCTAATATCACTAATCCACCCGCTGCCATGCTATGTTCTCGTCCATGTCCACAATTTTTTTGCTGTACATATACCTTGGAGTGCCTCTACTTCGGTCTGTGAGAAATGTATGTGAATGCATCGTGGGAATAGAGCTAACGCGCTTTGACGCGTCGGGCGCGTCCTCCGTTTCCTTTAGCTTTCGACTCTTCATATCATATACCTACCATCTGACAGTGCTGTACGCTCAAAATCTATTGATTCAACCGGAGAATGAAACCAACGGTGGTCGATGAGGACTTTGAAGATGCTGAAGAGGAAAACAAGTTGATCAATGAGGTACGCTGAGGAACTAGATGCATGCCCAAAGCTCACATGGGAAGTGGCCTATCCGCAGGAGTACAAGACATGGTGAGCATCGTCAAACCTATCAAAAGTACTGGAATGACATAGGAGTTATGATTGAAAGGAAAAAGAACGCGCCGTATCTATACGATACTGTGATCACACATGCTCTCGATTGGCCAAGTTTGACCTGTCAATGGTTCCCCGACAAGGAATCGTAAGTCAAATTAATCTAGCTAACTTATACGGGATATCTCAACGGACACAGACCATCCAACAAACCATATACTGTCCACCGCCTGCTCCTTGGCACACACACTTCCGGCCAAGCGCAAGACTACCTTCAGATTGCCACCGTCCAAATCCCCAAACGCGAGGGTCCAGGTGCAGATACGCTCGATCGCACGAACTATGACGATGAACGCGGAGAACTGGGTGGACACACCATTCCCAACACCCCTCGTATACAGATCACGCAGCGCATCAACCATAAGGGCGAGGTGAACCGTGCGCGGTATATGCCACAGAACCCCGACTTGATTGCGACTAAGGCGGTTTCTGGAGAGGTGTATGTGTTTGATAGGACGAAGCACTCAAGTGAACCAGAGAGGGGAGGCGTGTTCAAACCAGACATCCGACTAGTAGGGCAGACCAAAGAAGGGTTTGTCGATAGAATGTCCGAAGCTTTGGGTGACGCTGACAACGTCTGTCAGGTTCGGACTAGCTTGGAATCCACTCAAACCCGGCCATATTCTGGGCGCATCTGAGGACAAGACCGTTTGCCATTGGTATGTGACTTTTGTTGTTCCAGATGAGGCGTAAGCTGAATTTGCATCAGGGATATCAATGCGTATTCCAAAGCTAATCCGTCTATTGAACCGTTGAATGTGTTCAATGAGCACACTGCTGTTGTTGGGGTATGTTCTTACATGGATTCTAAGTATATTCAATTCATCATTGCGTCAGGATGTCGACTGGCATCCTACACAAGAGAATGTCTTTGCCAGTGTCAGTGACGATAAAACATTGAAGATGTAAGTCCGTGATACCGTGCCCTGCTGTAAGTACTCATAGTTTGTGGCAGTTGGGATACACGACAGAAGGCCCCCACCTCCTCCATGCAAGTTCACGAGCAAGAAATCCTGGCTGTCGCCTTCAATCCAACGGGTGACAATCATCTCGTGACTGGTAGCGCAGATAAGGTGAAGTATAACTTTGAATATATAACTGTCAGCTGGAACCATCTGACACATTCAGGATAGACCATCTTATTGCATGATATGAGGAGGCTAGGCGACCGCCTGCATGTCTTTGAGTCCCACACAGACGAGGTTCTTCACTTGGCCTGGTCGCCTCACAACGCAGGGGTATTTGCATCCGCATCTAGTGACCGTCGCATCAACATTTGGGATCTTGCTCAAATTGGAGCAGAGCAAACTCCAGATGATCAGGAAGACGGGCCTCCCGAGCTCATGTTTGTTCACGGCGGTAGGCATTTTCGTTTTGAAATGTCTATTTCTGGCGTCTCACAGAAGGTAACATACAGGCCATACCTCGCGCCCAGCGGACTTCTGCTGGGCACCGGGGATTGGGGAGAATTGGACAGCAGCAAGCACATCTGAAGACAATGTTGTGATGGTATGGCAGCCGACCGCTCACGTCTGGGCCGGTGATGAAGTCAAGGTAGATGTAAGGCAACTGGAGGACGACGCTATGCAAGGCATAGAGACCACAGCAGAGCCTACTCGAGCGCCGGTCGGAGCGTCTAGAGGTCGGAGCAGCGGTACCCAAAGCATGAGCATGAGCGCCTCCGAAAGCGTTTCAGCGGGAGATCTGGACGAGGAGAGCTGAAAGGATGTTGTGCTCTATGGATGTTCATGTTCGAATACGATCCCTGGCTATGCTTGTATGATGGCTGATTAAAACAATAAATAACAGACAGATCCCCGAATTGTATGATATACAATGATGCAATGGTTGCATACCCATGTGGAAGCCTCACCGACTGATGCGTTCGCGGTCGATGACGCTAGTGGAATTACACTCCCCCTCCCCAATCCTACGATGAATGAAGTTCATGCATAGCATGAATCACAAGAAAAGAAGCCTCGCGAGCTCGAATAAAACTGATCCAGGACAGTCAATAGATGATTAGCGTATAATATGCAGTGATAGCACACCTCCACCGACAACAACAAATACAATCAAACCGAGGGCCCAGAGGCCTACGGGAGATTGCTTTGCGAGCTTATCTTTTCGTGATGGATTGACAGGATTTTTTCCAGCCTTGGCCTTGTTGGCGAACTGTGAGTTCTTTTGGCGGATCTCGTGCGCGGTTGGCTGACGCGGAACGCGACAAGGTCAATATCCTGAGAGCAGAAAAAAAAGGATGCACATCGTTTGCTTACCATGATGACGGGTGAATGAACGGTAAGGAGTGACTGGTAAGATTGAGTTGCGTATATATGGTACCGTTTGACAAACGTGGCAGGCCAGTAGTGCGCCACGCTGCCGACGCACGATGTTTGACCGTATTTACCAAGAGCTTCTGAATTATACATCGCCAAACAATGGCTATCTGAATCTTAGATCCACCTCTCCCATGGCAAAAAACAAGAAATCCTCGCTCAAAAATGCTCTTTCTTCTCAGCAGTCGAGGCTCAAGAAAAAGCAGGAGGTGAAGCAGGCCGTAGAGCATCAGGCTATGAAGAGCAAGAGCAAAACAAAAGCCCCGCCGCAACGCCCGACGATTCCATTTTTGCCGACGGACAGGATCCTATTGATTGGGGAGGGAAATTTCTCGTATGCTCTGGCCCTCGTCCTTCATCCTCCTCTAGGCCTTGAGCATCTTCCCTCTGAAAACGTTACGGCAACTGCCTACGATTCGGAAGACGAGTGCTATACGAAATATCCCGAGGCTATGCAATACGTGCAAACTTTGAGGGAGAAGGGTGCTCAGATTATGTTTGGAGTAGATGCGACAAGGTTGGAGAGGTGCTCTCCACTGAAGGGCAAGCGTTATGATAGGATCGTCTGGAATTTTCCTCATGCTGGTGAGTGAGATCAGCCATTGAGACGCGATAGATGGAAGGTGCTGAAGGATACAAGGAAAGGGTATCACTGATCAGGACCGCAACGTCCTCTCGAATCAAACTCTTCTTCTTGGATTTTTCCGCTCCGCTGCGCAATTTCTGAGACCCGGCCCTATACCTCAAGCAACAAAACCCCGAAAACGCAAGCGGGCCCCCGACGAGGACGACAGCGATCCGCCGACCGAGGACGAATCAGAGAAGGGCAATACTGGTGCGCGAGGGACTGTCCTTGTGACGTTGCGAAACGTTCCGCCGTATACAACATGGTATGTTTTCAAGGCCGCATGCTGTGCAGATATTGTAACATCAGTGTTCTCAGGGATATTCCAAGATTAGCCAAGAACCCCCCTCCCCCACATACCATCAATGTCAAACCAAACCCCCCTTATATCATCGTAAGATCGTTCGCATTTCACAGAAGTGATTGGCAAGGATACGAGCATCGTATGACGAAAGGAGAGCGTGCCCACGGGACAGGTACCACGGGTGCAGGAGGTGAAGATAGGACATGGGAATTCTGTCTCAGAGACTGGTACACGGTGAAGCAATTAGCTTTGTAGGCCTCTTGCTTGCACACTCATTCGACATTCGATCTTCTCCGGTCGCCGCGGTTGGGGTTGAATCTCAAATGTGGCTCCCGGTGACATCTTGCACGTATTGACCGACTGGTTTTATGTTTGTTGAGTTCTCCACTGAGGATAGTATCCACTTCTTCCTCCGGATGTGGCACTTTTGGCTCTGAGAGGACCCCCATCATCCGCTTGCGGAATTGGTGAGCAGCTGACGTCAGGGACGAGATCTTATCATCCAGCCGGATCGCGATTCCAAATTGAAAGTCGAGCCGTGTGCACTATATAAAAGCTCACAAGAAACCGCATGTGAACAAGCTGACCTTCTCCTTCCATCTCTTGCCTCGCAACCACATTCTCATAACCCAGCCGCCACCTCACGAGAAATGTCGGGATCCGAAGTTAAGCTAGAGTACCAGCAGAAGAATATGCCGTTCCGCCGGCTAGGGTCAAGCGGTCTGCGTGTTCCGGTGTTCTCCCTGGGTGGCTGTATGTGAATTTGAACTCAAACCTTGTGATTCGCAAAGCTTTACACCTTATGCAGGGTTGACCTTCGGGGGAACTGTCGTCGGTGACCCCGTCAAGGTATGATCCCCTGTGCATGGACACTCCTATAGTACTAAATTGCTAATTGTTTCCATATAGGATATCGTCAAGACTGCTTTCGAGAACGGTATCAATATGTTCGATGAAGCGGAGGCCTATGCCAAGGGACAGTCAGAAGTAGAGCTGTAAGTTTCGCATGCACTTTTTCATGCTACCCAAACTCTCAATTATTCGCACCTTTTCTCTCCGCATAGTGGTCGAGTGCTTAAGGAGCTTGGTTTGCGCCGCACTGATATTATCGTTACTACGAAACTATACTGGGGGGCGGAACGCAAAGGTCCAAATGACCAGGGTCTTTCTCGGAAACAGTAAGTCGCTGAATGTAGATCGAATTCAGACTAGTCGCTCCATAACGCCCACATTCTAGTATTGTCGAGGGAACAAAAGAGTCTCTTCAACGTCTCCAGCTTGACTACGTAGATGTTATATTCGCTCATCGTCCTGACCACACCGGTATATGAGACATCTTTTGTCTGCAAGTCGCGTTCTGATCTATGGTCGCAGTCCCAATGGAAGAGGTTGTGCGCGCATTCCATTGGGTTATTGAACAAGGACTGGTATGTGGCATTCTGATACACGATATCTAGTATTGCTGATAGCTATGCAGGCATTTTATTGGGGCACTTCTGAGTGGTCTGCGCGAGAGATCGAGGAAGCACACCGTGAATGTTACATATAGTTGTGCTGATCGACGAAACTCATATTTTGATGACAGATGTCGCCGATAAATATGGACTACACGCACCCGTCGCTGAACAGTGCCAGCACAAGTTCGTGTCCCCCGATTACTTTTGATGCGTTCTTGTCTTTTTCTAACAATTGAGATCAGCCTGGTGCACCGTGAACGCCCCGAGGGGGAATATGGGTACGTCATTTTCTGTGCTGCTGTAAAGTATTCTAAGATTTGTTGCAAAGTCCTTTGTACCAGAAGTATAATATGGGAACGACCGTTTGGTCTGCCCTTGCCGGTGGTATCTTGACCGGAAAGGTACTCCGCTCCTTTTATCTGTTCCAATTTTATACTGAGCACCAATTTGGTCGACCAGTACAACAACGGCGTTCCGGATGGCTCCCGTCTCGACACGAACAAAGAGTTCCTAGCCCATAGACTTAAGTTTTTGGAATCCGAAGAAGGAAAGAAACAAATCGAGATAGTCAAGCAACTCACTGCGGTTGCAGAGACCGGTGCGTACTTCATGATTTCCCTCGCTATATTGGATACTCATTCACCAATCATCAGAATTGGGCTGCAAGGTCTCACATCTGGCTTTGGCGTGGGTTGCGAAGAACACAAACACTAGTACGGTCATTCTGGGCGCGACGAGTCCCGAGCAGATCGTAGACAATCTCAAGGCGCTCGACGTGATCCCTAAGTTGACACCAGAAATTCTGGCGAAGATCGAGGCCATTGTAAACAACAAACCTGCGCCGCCGGTGAGTATCCTACTTTTCCTGCCAGGCTATTCAGCGCATACTCATCCCGATTTTTTCCACGTAGCCGGATTTTGGCAGGCCAGGATTAGACCCCCACGGCAGACTGTAGAGTAGTACTAAATCGCCAATTGAGAGCTCTTGAGGATGAAGCAGATTGAAGGAGTTATATAGAAGAAGAATATACTTTGTTTTCTTTTTATTAATATTGTAAGATTAAAGTATTGCGCTGCCCTCTCGTTGAAGTTGATGTGAAGATGCGGCTTGAATTGGCGAGGCAGGACTACAACGGGAGCGGACTTCAAAATTTCCCTTACCATGCTGTCTATACGTCCATCACCGAGCTGCTCAGTCCTCAGACAGCATACGCGCACCTATGTTGTCTCTATAAAACCTCCCAAGGTTTACGACCACAAGCCAGTCCCTCGCGTCTACTCGGAGAAGAAGACATTCCTCTATCACCAATACCTGCGCCTGTTTGAGAACAATGCACACGCCCCCCTCATCTTCCTCCAGCATGACAAGTTCTCCGTCCCCAATCTCATCAAAATTCGCCGAGAAGTCGCTGCCGCTGCTCTGAAGCACGTCAGTGCTCCGCCATCACTAGCTAATCCTGGCCCCAATCCCGTCCCAGGAGAGCCTCCCGCTCTTCCGACGCTCACCGTCATCCGGACTTCTCTGTTCGGCGTCGCGCTGCGGGACTTTGCACCCATCGATGCGGCCGCGAGTGACGATATCGCACGTACCGTAAAGAGGGGGCTCATGGTCCTCACACTGCCCAATTTGAACCCGCCGCAGTTGAACGCCATCCTGCGCGCACTGGACCGCGCCGTGCCGAAGAAGAGGGCGCCGATGGCCGCAGAGCTCGCAGAGAAGGCCAAGCAGAAGAACGCGGATCCGCCGAATCCTGGACGACGCATCAAGCGCTCGCGGCCTGTGCACTCACCTGAGCTCGCGGTGATGGGAGCCTTGATCGAGGGGAGGGTGTTCAAGACGGACGGGGTTGCAAATGTTGCAAAGCTGCCAACGCTGGACACGTTGAGGGCGCAGATCATTGGACTGTTAAGTAGTCCGGCGACACAGCTTGCGGGGGTCCTCAGCCAGGCCAGCGGAGGAAAGCTAGCGAGAACTCTAGAGGGATTGAAGAAGGGATTGGAGGAGGAGCAGGGTTCAGCGGCGGAGGCGTCATAATACCTGGCCGGTGCAGCGTTATGATTTTTGTTTCACACCTTTGCTTGGCTATTCGATAGCGTCGCGACGCGCCTGGACAAGACCATGTCCATGGTTGAAAGGGCATAATCGTTCAGCGCTCGGCCTTGAATGAGCTTACAATTGCGCGAACCACGAAAATTTTCAAGGAAAATGTGCACGCAGAATCATACGTCAAATTAGTTTACTGCGTGTGCTTTGACAGTCTGGAAGGGTACTACGCTCGGGTACGCGGAGGAGAGCATTCGGAACGGAGGCGGAGTTGAATTGCGCGTGGCTGAGAACAGCCGTGCTGAGCAAGTAGAGTGCACACTCTTGATCTTCATCGCCTCGAATCGACTTTCCCTGTAAACACAATGTCTACACTTCCCGATGACACTCTACGCAAGGTACTTTCGATTGTCTGGCGACCAGATATTGACTTGCTCATCCGTGCTTCCGAAGATCTTGATTCAGATACAGCAAACTGCTATCCAATCCCAGCGTGCACTCAGCATGACGCGCCAGCAGGTCGCGACTAAGGAGCGAGAGCGACGGATATTACAGCTCACGATCGATGAAATAGGCAGTATGGAAGGGGATGTCAAACTCTACAAAGGTGTCGGCAAAATGTATGTACCAGCTACTGTCTTCCCCGCACCTTTACCAACGATGGTTTCAAATACCAGGTTCATGATGATGCCCAGACCTGTCATGGAAAAGGACTTGAAGTCGCAAGAGAAGGGTCTGACAGATGACATCAATAGCCTAAACAAAAAGGTCAAGCGTCCGATGTTCTACACAGTGACCGCATGCTTATTGTACCGCGCAGTCCAAATATCTTGAGAAGCAGTTCAATGACTCCCAATCACAGCTTCGCGACATTGTAAGTTTGGCTATTATCCCACCTTGATTTTCGTATTGATTTCTGCTCAGTTCCATAGTGCACCCAAATCGTAGTTTTCCAGGAATTCTTGATACCCTGCCGTATAGACACCCTCATGCTTCATTGCATATCTGTAGCAAATAGTTTTTTCCGACGCTTATCAATTCTCCTTGTGATCTAACCTCTACCTTCCAACGCTCAACGCTCTGTTCCTATGACCTGCACGTTCCGTGGTCAGCCTAAATGGGTATTCACATTTCGCCCGCACCTGACACGAACACCTGACCTATAAACGAATCCACCTTCGTCTGCTACCACCACCAACCCGTCTACTGATCCTTCCCGTCTAGGACCAATGTCTTCTGCTGAAGCAAACACAGTAGAACAATTGAAAGCCGCAGCTAATGACTTGTACCTCAAGGGCGACTACGAAGCTGCCCATCTGACGTACTCACAGGCCATAGAGGAAGATTCAACTAACCCAACTTTGTTTGCAAACCGGGCGCAGACAGACCTTGCGATGAAGAAGTTTGTTGTCCTTTTTCTACAACGTCCGCTCGACACGCCACATCTCACGATTCTTGAAGATACCCTGATGCGGTGGCAGACGCACAGAAGGTACGTTGTACTCCTAATCAAACTATGTCAATGCGTCATTGAATAACGTCACATAGGCTGTAGATTTAGACCCGAAGTTCTGCAAGGCTTGGGGCCGTCTGGCGACTGCTCAACACGTACGACTGCCCTCACTATTCAGTGTGTTTGACCCTCGGCTGACGTGCACGTCAGGCGCTTGCGCAATATTCAGCAAGTATAGACGCATGGCAGAAGGCTCTCTTATCTCTTCCACCGGTGCCTGGGGAGGCGAAGCTCAGATCACAGTTCGAATCAGGTCTTCGAGCAGCACAGATTGAGCAGGAAAGTGTCAAGAAACAATATGTGCCCACCGATGGTGTGGTAGAGAGCAAGGATCTACCTTGGAACAGGGCCTTGGCCATGAAGGACGCGCTTCTCAAAGACAAAGGGGACTCTATGAACAGTAGCGTTGGTAAAATTGTTTTCATCATGTAGCCTGAAACTCATATCATGACACGTTTGGGTGGACATTAGGCTTGGATTATCATGGCTGCCTACAAGGTATTGGTCTCTCCATGGTGTAGTCGATTTCATGGCTCATGGTCGCGCACAGGACTTCTCTGAAGGGGTCAAACTAATGAACGAAGGGGATATCGACGTTGGCCGGAAGGGCAAGCTATCAGTAAGCAGCGGTGTTGAGAATCGACCCTCACTCCGCTTCCTCATCGCCTGCTTGGAAGGCTCTCACTCTGCTATCAAATGGTATTCTACGTGATTCGCGAGTGTTTCATATGAATTTGCCGGATTGGGTTGAGAAGTACAATCGGCGAGGTGAGCTGTCATGTAGTTTAAATTGTCTGAGGCGCTCGATGAACACACACATCTGCACCACAGCCATTTTTGAGAACAAGCTGTACAATGCGTGGCTCGACGGCGGTGTGACAGCAGTCCAAGAAGAGGCTATGGTGCGCCTGCAGGCCAAGGGATGGGATGATGTCAGGGCCGCTCTCTCTGTGACGGTGCGGTATGTCTGAGTATTCTCCACCCTCAGTGTATGTTCAAACAACCCGTTGCGTCACAGCGGCTGGATCGTGGTAGGTCTGATCGCCAGCAATGATGGGCCCGAAAATGGTAGCGCCGCGATGGAGTGTTTCAGCCAGGCCATAGGTGTCTTACAGTGGGGCAGGAATATGTGGCAGAGGGTACCAAGGGAACAAAGGGGGGAGATATTCGATAGTGCCTTCTTGAGGGGTGTGAAGCGATTGTTTCTGTCAGCTTTTGTGAAGGTAACGTCGTCATATTGTCGTCGAACACACCACTGAAATTTGAGGAAGGCGTATACAAATAGTCTTGGCCCTGACTCGGATTATGACCTTGACGATCTATACGAAATGACCCGAGACTATATCAAGGAAGTGCAGGCGGACCCTCCAAAGTTCATACGTGATGAAATGGACCCTGGCTTCCTGTCGTCCTTCTGGTTGTATCCTCAAGCGGAGGGCTTTTCGTATGTCTGTTTGGCCTTTGTGGTAATCGGCAGGCCCATTCTGATTTTTGTACAGGATTTTGGGCTTCGTGCATATGCGCAAGGGTCTCGATGCCTTGGAACGTAAGGACGATAAGGCGGCAGAAGAATTTACGCAAGCAGCAAAATGGTACAGCCAAGCAGGACAGTCATATCCGCAGGACGACGAGAAGCATGTCTGTGAGTACTGACTCTCTCCAGGAAGTGTTGATTTCATCTCAGGTATCATGCACATCTCATAGTTTTCCTCGCAATCGCAATGGAAGCCCTCTGGCGTCGTGGCACCGACCTTGGACAACTGCTTCCACTCTGCAAAGTCATCCGAGAAGGCATACCCGAGATGAAAAGAATCTGGGAATATTCGCCGATGGCGGAGGAGAGGAACAGAATTGTGCAAGAAATTTTGGATTTTGAAGATGAGTATCGTTCAAAGCTGAAGCGAGGTGAATGCACGCTCAAAGATGTCGTTTGTCCGGTGGTGAGTCTCACATAAGTCTTGGATGGCAGCGATGATATGCTGATGACCAACGCCTTCTAGTCGTTCCAAAGTGTCTCCAGCTAATGTGTAGTCGTCATTCGCGAGTAATATTGTAAATACGAAATGAGAAAAGTGCGAGTGATCTTCGTGGAGCGATAGAAAAGGGGGGAAAACATGCGATAAACTCGTATCATTATAGTATCGAATGAATGGTATCTTGTCTAGATCTCGGAACCACCTAGTCCGTGGATTTAACGTTTTGCGAAGCGGAGGAAGCGTGAAGCAACTGGATAGCAAGTCAGCAACAGGGGACATTGCAGAGAACGAACGGCACTTACTGATGGTGATCATGAAATTGAAGACTGAAATGCAAAGCAAGGGAAGCGGTCAGCCCAGTACGACAAGAACATGGTCATCCTTACCGAAGAAGCAGAAGAAAATCCAAACATCCCTCCACCTGTTCTCGAAGCGGATATTAAGGGGGAGGAAGAATTCGTCGCCGCGCTAGGATTCAATGAGCTTTGTGCGTTTTACTGAAACGGAAACTACAAACCTGATATTGGCAGTAGCGACATTCTGACGTGTCGTTAGGATTGTCCAAATATCCACCGAGTGCAGTAACAAAGTCGCTCGCCCAAGCCTGACAAGTTTGATTGGAAGGAGGAGTGAAGCGCGCAAACTCCTCCGGTTTACAAGTGATCACAAGACCACTAAGGAAACGTACATAAGATCAATATCGGCATTCTAATACACAGGCCAGGCGCGAATGTGACTTACTGCAACTCAGTCGACAGCATGGCTGCCACCATCCTTGTGAACGGATCCAACTGATACATCCAGCTCTTCCAGAAGTGGCTCAAGGTGTTGTAGGGCACAGTGACTCCGCAGAACGTGTTGAGTACGACGCTGATGAAGGGTGTGTATAACACAGCGACCTTTACTGAATGGTTAGAGTAGTCATCAACAGTCTCAGCGATCGACTCACCTGGATAGTGGGCGAAATGGAGGCGATGAATTGACCCAATGTAACAGAGAACAGCTCTGTAAATATGATGACCAAAAGCTGGAAGCCAGTGCCATTGGTACCCGCAGAGCCGTCGCCGAAACCCATCGGATACACCTTTTTGTTTCCAGTTTATCATCATAGAGCTAGATTGACCTTAGTACAGCACTTACCATGAGAACCCAATAAAATATTGCGCAAGCTATCGAATAGGGTATCTCTCCGAGCAATTGACCAATAGCAAAGACGTATGGCGAGTAGATCCTGCTAGATGATTCTCGGACGAAGGTCACTGAGAACCCAGGTGAGTCAACTGTCTAGACTAGCGATAGCGTAGGACTTACTCCGATTCATGATGAAGACAGGCTCCAGTTGAGGAATGACCAAGCCAGGTAGGATAGCCGTCCAGAAACTAGACCTACGTCAGCCTGCGCCCGCTTCAACTAAACGGACGACTTACATTCCGAACACCCTATATTGAAGGTCCCTGACGCTATGCCCGAGTTGGAGGAATGGTAGCGATACCAACAGCGACACCATTAGGTGGGACAAGAGCCGAGTGAAGACATAGGCTGGTGACCGCCAGAGGGCATGAGTGTTCCTATCCACAACGACCTTCAATTGGTACCACATTGGTGTAGCATCTGAGGACGAATACTGATTAGGAGGGCAAAGAGCGACAAAACGCGCTGTGACCTACATGTCGAGTGCTTCACATTCTCCAATCTAGAACGCGCTATTGCCTGCTCCTTCAAAGCAAGGATCTCATCCTTGGCTCTTTGGCACTCTGGAGACTCAAGCCAGATGTCCTTCCAATCACGGTTACCTATTCTGGGCGTTACACCAGCACCAATTGCTTCCAACATAAATTCGGCAGGGTTGACGTTGTGTGGACACTCAGCACCGTTACGAGCAAAGTAGTCTCGCATGATGTGAGCATCCTCACCAATGTCACCGAAGTAGATCGTGTTTCCGCCACGAGCAAGAAGAAGAAGACGATCAAAGCTCTCGAACAAAAGAGCTGAAGGCTGATGGATGGTGCACAATATCGCCTGGCCGTTATCAGCCAGTTTGCGCAGGAACCGAACTAAGTTCCAAGCGCTCTGAGCATCAAGACCAGACGTTGGTTCGTCCAAGAAGAGAAGGAGCTCAGGCTTGCTAGCCAGCTCGACACCGATAGTCAACCGTTTGCGAGCCTCGACTCCAAGAGTGTAAACGAGCGCGTCTGCAAGATCTTGCAACTCTAAAAGTTCGATCATGTCCTCGACATAGGCGTCCTTTTCCTCCTTCGGTACTTCTTTCGGTTGACGGAGGTATGCTGAGAAGCGCATAGCTTCTCGAATAGTTGCAGTGCCTTCGTGGACATCCATCTGTTCGGCTGAAGAGCTGTCAGAAATTTGCGATGATTTCGATCTTATGTTCCAACGCACCATATGCAGTGCCACGGGCGAAATCGAAATCAAGCGGCTTCCCATCTACCAATATGTCACCAGAAACTACACCGATATTCTTTCTTTGTGCAAGAACGTCCAAGCAGGTAGTTTTGCCTGACGAGCAATGTGAGAGACACTATGATAGTTAGCAATGTTAGACATACCAGCGCCCGATGCTCCCATTAGTGCCGTCAGTGTTCCTGGTCGTACATATCCATAAACATTGGTGAGAAGTTGAGCCGTACCGCCAGCGACAGGGACGTGGTAGTTAACTCGCTCCCAAGTGAAGACTTTGCGGTCGGAAAATTTGCTCCTAAGATATGATTGAGACCCATGTTTCCTTGAAGGGAGACGACAGACTCACAAATCTCTCGTCTCCTTGGTCCCTTCGATTGCGCGAGCTTTCTCCTCCCGTTCTCGAGCGGCTTTCTCAGCTTTGCGTGCGCGGAGGGCATCGTTCAATTTCTTCCGCTCGCTAGACTCTCTGGCGAAGTAAGCGACACCTCCACCGCCGATCGGTTGCTAAATATGCCATCAGCTTGTTGTCAGACAAAAAATCGGTGCATAAGCTTACCGGCCAGTACTCGATTGCGATCACCTGGGTTATCCAGAAGAAGATCATGAAGCCGAGCACAACGACAAAGTTACGGCGCCAGAGATCAGCCACGTCTAAGCCGTATCCTGCTCGCACGTAATCGCGACCGGCAACGAAGATACTTCCAGGAGAAGAACCGGGGAGAGTACAAGCTTGATTGGGACCAAGAGTGTCGCTGTAGATTATGATGAGCAATTCCCTCCATACATGTTGCACCAATTAGTTGCACCAATTAACTACTTACGGATATTTGGTCATTCCCGGGCCATTCCTGGGAACGACGTATGTTCCATCACATGTCAACTGAACAAAATCATGTTAGGTCCGCGACTGACTGCTTTCATATAAAGGGAAGCCTCACCGTAAGCCTCATGAACTCGTTCTCCATACAGGCAGCCCATACTGATGACTCAAATCAGCAATCAAGTGCTTTGACATCCAGAAAAAAACATTACCATAGCTGAAGGGGTTGAGGTAGAACTAACATAACGTATTCATCAGTTTCGGTAGCCACTGAATTCGAAACCAACTCACGATCCAGAAGAGCCACCGTTTCATCTGGTCTACGGGGATCATGTACCCCACGTAGATGACCATGTTTGGGAAGAAAAAGACGGAAAGGCGGAGGGCGGTGTCGAAATTGGGGCACATCAGACCGACAGTACGGAAGAATCCTTGCATTGTGAGGAAACACATGTAGTTGAGGAGGTGGAAGGTGAAGAAACCACCAGCAGAGTAAGACAGATGGGGCATGAAATAGACGATGATGTCGTAGATTAGGACGCGAGTCGCAGAGAACGGAATATCAGCGAGAGTGTTGGCTATCTGGATAGCAGCCGGTCGATAGAACCCATAACTCTTCTGCTCAATCCAAAAATGATCAGTACCCAGGCGCATCCCCGCAGAAGGAGACGAACCTGTTTCGCAACGAGAGGTCGTCCGAGCATTTGCATCGGAAGCTATGAATGGGCACATTGTCAATAGTCTGGGGTAGATTGGCCGAGGCGAAACACCAACCTCTGAGAATGTTTCGAAGGAAGATGTCATGCCAGCCACAAATATAACACTACCACGGGTGAAAGCGCCGGCAGAGGTTGGCGGTAAATTGAAGAAAGCGCCTCCAATAACGAGAGCCAGAGCCTGTTAACATCCCTTTAGAATTATCAACTATTCGCTATGAATTCGAGACATACGGTTGAAAGCGCGTAGCTGGTGAAGATCTGAAACCTGTCCTGCAAACGAACTTGGAACTGACGACGCGTCAAAGCTTTAACCTGGTCGAAGAGACTGAGCGTATAGGGGCTTTTCCTTGAGACCCCGCGCTTTTTGTCATCTGCGACCGAGGCGCGGAACGCCTCCTGATCGTTTTTCTCAGTCTCCATAGTCCGCTTATAGTCCTCGAGCACAGTGCGGACTTTCTTTGCAGTTTTCGACGCGAGATATGCTTGTTCAAGCGCTTCGGGAGTGGACGGAACGTTTAGTTCAGAGCGGCCCGGCGCAAATTGGCGTTCATTGGGATCGGTGCAACCAGTAAGATAATCAGCCGTGCTTTGACGAGGAAGAGACCTGTATCCAAGCTCTTCGAACCAAGCTCGGGCTTCTGATGGGGATCCGAGATATACTTGTCGTCCTTGATTGAGGATCATGACCTTGTCAAAAAGGTCGTAGATACCTTCACCAGCTTGATATCTATAACAAAGCTCAGGTGCGATCATGGTACGGGTAGGAAAGTCAAGCTTACAGTGTCACAAAAGTCGTCTGACCGAGTACATCTGTCATCACTCTCAAGGACTTCACGAAGTCCAGAGCCGTGGAAGCATCCAGGCCACGAGAAGAGTTGTCCCAGCATTGTACACGCGCGCGCGTGGCCATCATCTCCGCGATACTGACACGCTTGCGTTCACCTCCAGAGACACCACGGACGAACGCGTCACCAACGAGGGTCTTAGCAGTATGGGAGATATTCAGCATTTTTAAGAGCGTGGCCTTGACCTCGTCTTTGAAACCAGCACGGGAAACACCGGGCTGACGGCCTCTTGAACCGGGAGCCTTAGTGGACAGCGCAAAATCGAGCGTTTGATCGACAGTCAACGTAGCGAGGTGAATGTCGTCTGGGTGACAACGTTAGTTTGAGCTCGAAATAGAAAAATTATTGAACACGCCTTCAGCATTATAGACGAGTTCGCCGTGGTAGTAACGACCCATCTCCTCTGCACTAATCCCGGCATACCGAACATCACCAGAAACGCGATGAAAAAGACCTCGTTGGTTGGCAATCGCCTTCAAGAACGTATCACAACCGGATCCGGGAGTTCCCAAAACAAGACACATTTCGCCAGGCTTCAAGACACCGGAGTTTCTGCGGCGGAGCGTGAGCTGCAAGGTCTCAGCGAATGAGAGAATGCGCATACTTGTGTAGGATCGGCGTCGACGGAACCTCTTTTCTGATAGCAGGAAATAGCATCCGGAAGAATGACAACAACATGAAAAAAGGCGTTAGCCAAACCTGCCATGCCTCATCTACATTCAAAGAGTTAGTCTCGATAGTCATTACCGATACTGTAAACATACCTCCGAACGTTCTGATATAGAGCTACAATAATCTTGAGACACCACTCAAAGACATGCGGGATAATATACACACCTTGGTAAATGCGCTGCCTGCAATCTCCACTTGAAGATCCTCCCATGTGACACCGACGTGTTTATGCTTGATGCCTGCTTTCTCATTGGCATCGTTAGACGAAGACAGATACTCGCGGAGGTCGAACGGTTCTTCATCAGAAGGTGCAGCCTTTTCGGGATCGTACTCCCGGCTCGTCTTTTCGGGGGTGGTGGAACCTGCAGTCGAGTGGTTGTGCCTCCTGGTCAGCCTACGAGAGAGGGTGTGGAACGCATTCTCGGCTTCCTGGACATCAACATGGTGCGCGTCTGATTGGTCTAATGGCTCGTTTTGAAGGGTGTGAGCGTCGAACGGAGTCTCGCTCATCGCGAAAGAAAAAGAAAGAAAAAGAGAGGAAGGATAAAACCTCGGTGGGGAGGATCGTGTCAGCCATGTAAACGTAGAACGCTATATGTATGAATCCAGGAGACGCGATGATGTCCTTCTCTTCCATCCTCTCGGTCCTAAGACTGGAGCGCTGACTGACAAAGATTCGAAGACACTGGAAGGCGCTCCCAGCCTCCCGTCGGCGATAGCGCCAACATAGCTCTCAACGCCGCGTTAGTCAGAGATTCCATGCCCATATATGGACGATAGCCCCGATGGTGGGTCGATCGAGCTGACAGAGCTGACCAAAAAAAGGAAAGAACCTACGAGATCAAGAACGATCAAGATGTGATCTGCAAGATGTTGGGCGCCTGTCATAGTGGCCGCAACAATATGTTTTTACGCTCGCTGCAAGGGAGTACTGCGGCATGAATCCAACTTCGTAGCATGCATATATGAAATCCTCACTCACCCACTAGGACCACGCAACACTGAAGTCCTGGCCGTGCCCGCGCTACATTCGCGCAGCGTAGGCGCCAAAAACACGACACAAGTCGTCGCCCTGTGTTCTTTGAACTCCCTTCGATAGTCAAATTTCTTAACGGGGTTGGATCGGGTCGCACCGTATCAACACGAGCGCATGCGCTCCACGTACTCGGTCAGCCAGCAGTCAGCCACAAGAAGCAGCTCGAAAGTTCTACAGAGTGTTGTGAATCCTAAAGTTCCTGAATAGACTAGCTGTTGCATGAGGAAAGATGTCCCTAAGCATGAAGAAAGATAGCCTTCGGCATGCTGGCGCGATGGATTGTTCCTACGATGACGCATATGAAGCCGTTAGATTGACTTCGATTCGTCGGTGTTGTCTGGGGCCTGAGGATTGTCGTGATTGGTAGTATTGCACAAAGATAGCTGTGCAACGTAGCAGTGTCCAATGTCATGAAACGCCGTTGCTAGTCGAAGTTCTGGCCCCGGCATAGGGCACTTCTGAAAGCTTCGCGGAGGTGGTACATGTCCTTCGTTGCGCCAGCTGAATTGACATGTCCATGGGCCAGCGGCTCCTTGCTCTCCGGTCATCATTTTACGTACCAGCCAAAGAATAGACATAACATAGAGTGCTTGGCAATGGGAACTACTGTACCACAACGAGACATTAGGGGGAGTAAAACACGATCTTCAATCACAGATCCTGTCTCGCAAGAAGGACGGAGCCTTTGTTGCTTATCGTGGTGAATGCATTGCCCCCAAGAGCTCGTTTTGTGGGACTTGCGACCGATGGCAGACCAGATGTACCAAGTTGGCCAGCTATACGTATGCTCTTTGCGAGAGCACGGACCTGCATCAATCAGCAGCCTTACATACAGCTGCTATCGAACTTTGAAACCACATACGTCAACGGTAAAGCTGGACGAAAGCCATGAGAGCACAGCAGTGATAGGGCTGTAAGATAAATCAAAAGGCGAACACGCAATATCCATAAGCGTTACAGATCAAGAGAAACATACGATAACACAGCTTCGACCGGACGAAAGCCAGCTCGTTCGGCGTTTCGAAGGAAAATCGGCCTGAAAACGATCGTGTCTCCGTAGCCTAATGCGGCGAGAGCTTGCTCTGTAAGCCCTTTACTGCGCAGATACAAGGCGGAGGCATCCGGGTTCGAGTAGTTTGCCTGGAGACAATGGAAGTTGAAGATGTGATCTGTCAAACAGAAGATCCGCAGGGACGGACAGACAGATAGATAAGGCGCTGGTTCGCATCATTGGTGCGCGCGGCTTTGGCAGCGTTGACCACAAATCTACACAGAGAGCGCACATGTATAAGCCACGCTGAAAACGGCATTATGATAGGACTTGCTCTCTGTCAATCTTTTCGAAGTTTTGTGGGGATCCCGCAGCCTTAATTGACGTCCCCATGCTGAAAAGCGGTGTCACATAAAGATAACCTGGCGTTTTCGAAGATACGCACGTGATGAATACAACGTCCCATTTGCCCTTTTGAAGCTCTGCATCTTCTAGTTTCTCGAAGTTGATCACTTTTTGCTCCAGCTTGCTTTGAGAGCCTCTCGGAAGCTGTTCTTTCGCCGTTATGCGTCTGCCCATCTCTCCTACACGTGTAAAGTGCGGTGAAGTGAGCAGCTCGCGCAAGACATGCTTTCCCGTAGCACCAGTAGCGCCGATCAGTAAGGCAGATTGACCTGTGAACCGGGGTTAATGTATAAGAAAATGCTACGGGGAGTCAGGATAGCCGGTGAAACACACCTGACATATAGTTGGAGTCGATAGAAGAGGACTGGAGACGCTCAGTGTGAAGGATTGGAGCCGCACAGCATGGCTTGTATATATGCGGACGTGCATGCATAATTTGGAAATACTAGCGCCTATGCGCGTCAACACATGTCAAGAGTGTACTGGTGCACTCAAGTATCTTCCACTGGATACATTTGGCCTTTTCATGAGTCACTGATCAGAACTAGCGACCGCCTACCTCGATGAGTCGAGCATTCTCCAAGACTGAGTGGATTTCGTTACTATTTCGTTGGGGCGAGGCCCACGAGCGCGTTGGAAGCATGCGGTTAAGGAGGGACTGCTTGGGACACTCTCGGGCCATTACGGCCCGCAAACGGCGGACGGGAAGTCACAGTCTATTTATGCAAAGCAATTTGTTTCTCTCTGAATCTACGACATTCGCTCAACAGATTCCAACATAACCTGACATAAGTTTGGTGACGACCCACAGATAACATGGCAGCTCATGCCAGTCGTACAATGTGGTCTTAAATGGCCGGAGATAGATTCGGAGTGACAGCTGCATCGACCGTGGGTGCATAAGCACCATATATCGCGATTTCTAAGATTGGATGCCAAACAGAATGTGAGTACACCGATATGCTACGGTCTGTCTTCCGGCTCACACAGGTTGCCCACCAACTCTCGTCGTCGCCATTGTCCTTGAAGCTCAATATGTCGTACCCCTCCACTGTGAAAGCCGTCGCGATCGCTAAAACAGGCGGGTTTGAGGTCATCGAGGACATGACCCTTCCCTTCCCGGAGCAAAAGCCAGGGGACGTGCTTGTGAAGGTTTGTATAGTGTTTAAGAGTTGGAAATGAGACTGGGGCGCTGATTTCGCCCGATCTGACGTTTTGCCGCTATGAAGGTTCAATATGCCGGTGTCAATTTCATCGACACTTATTTCAGGTGGGGATATCGTTTTGATGACCCTTCGTCTCCATTCGAACATAGCATAATAGAGCCGGCGTATACCCTACCCCCTTCCTACCTTTCCACATGGCGAAGGAGATATCCGGCGTCATCGCGGAGCTACCCAAGGATGAGGCGACGCTAAACAATGAGGTATACAAGAAGCGCAATTTGAGAAAAGGCGATAGGATTGCAGCGGCAAGTCGAACGTTTAGTCTATCAACATCTCTATCTCATGTGACATTTAGGATCTTTTGGGGGGCTTGCAAGAGTATGTCACGGTCCCGTGGGACGCTGTGTATCCTATCCCGAAGGATGTCTCCAACCGGGTCGCTGCAGCCGCCCTCCTGCAGGGAATCACTGCTTTGTCTTTGATGACAGAGTCGCACAATGTCCAGAAAGGAGAGACGATACTTATTCACACCGTTGCTGGTGGTGTCGGTCTACTCATGGCCCAAGTCGCCAAAGCTCGGGGCGCAACCGTTATTGGAACGACGTCTACTCCAGAGAAGGCAGAGTTGGCGAAGGCTCACGGTGCTGACCATGTCATCCTGTACAAGAATGAAAATACGGTCGAACGTGTCTCACAACTCACCAACGGCCAAGGGCCTCATGTCATCTATGACGGTGTAGGCAAGGACACGTAAGTAATTAATCAAGGGAAATTGCAAACTTGACGTGTTCATATTCCCCTCACCTAGCTTTGAAGATGATCTCAAAATGATCAGACGCAAGGGAACACTTATCTCTTTTGGGAACGCCTCTGGCCTTGTACCTCCGTTCTCTATTGTCAGACTCAACCAGAAGAACCTCAAGTTACTTCGCCCGACGTGCGTCTACGCTCTACACTCGATCATTGCCGACTGAATACTGACGGTTCTTTGTGTTATTCGCAGAGAGACAAACTACACTGTGACTTTGGAAGAACGTGAATACTACGGAGCACAGCTTTTCGATCTGATCTCGAAGGGTGATCTGAAGGTGAACATCTTCGGAGATTACCCATTCACAGCAAAGGGCGTTCGCCAAGCGCAACTTGATCTCACTGGAGGCAAGACGACTGGAAAGCTCATAGTTAAAGTGTCAGATGAGTGAAATGATGGGGCAGGGATGGATTGATGAAGACCTGTATGAGTACATTGATGCGCACTGAATGGAGGCTACTTAAGAGGAAGAATTGCTGTTTCGAAACGTGGAGCGGACACTGGTTGTTGCTGCGTGCGTTCTCCGGCAAGGAGATGACGACGAGTTACGAGATTCGGGAAACCCGCGCTTACCAAAAAGGGCAAGTGGAAGCGCTATTACTGCACCTTGGAATGCTGCCAGTGTGTCTGAAAGGTTCTTGACAGGAAGAGGCGGGTCTTCTTTCTCTTGTTCTGCCACCACCACCACCATTACCACCATTACCACCACCACCATCACCACCACCCTCGTTCATTCTCGTTTCTTGTCAAAGCCTGCCCACAAATCTCTTGACTTCTTGTTTTTATGGATGCACCTCATCTCGTGCTTGTCCCGCCCAGCCCTCGTTATCCCACCTCCTCTTCTCCGAGCCCCCCGCCTTCAACAGTTCGCACAGCCCCCCCAACCCCAGAACTAACTTACTCTTCCATTGACCAAGAGCGTAGCTCTTCAGAAACCATAGTCTCCATCTATTCGATGTATGGTGACGAAAGCAATAGCCTGTCTCCCGACATTCCTTCGAAGGGCGTGAGTGCGTCCCTCGACCGCTACTCCGTTTACCGTGATTCCCCACGGAGTACCAGCCATAATTCCCACGAAGGTTCTGCGTACTACAGCGCCACATCAGACAACCACCACGCCAGTCGACGCAGTACACCTGTGCACCGGGCGTCCGCTGCTACCACCACATGGTCGGCTGGAAGTCGCTCTTCATCCGGCGAGACTGGTTCGCCTTACTTGGGTATCAATGTCCCAGACGAAGGCCCTCCCCGCCAGAGAGGCTCCAGATACAGACATAACTCAACTCACTCTTCCAAGCACATATCCCTTGACGAGGAGTCTAAACCCTTGCCAGCCCACCCGCGACACCTCGTTCCTTCAACGCCTCACAGTCGATCGCCTTCGCATTCCCACTCCTCACTTCCAAATGGCAATGCGTCCCACCAACAGCGTTCATCCGTACATACATCCCCCCAGCCGACAGCACAACGTCATATCTCGACAGCGTCTTTAACGTCTGCCCCCTCCACTAGCGCATCCCCATCGAGTCCAGTGTTGAGCAAGAAGAATAGCAAACTGTCTATCGCCCGCTCGGAGGGCGAGGATCCGGATTCATTCCACGTCAGGAGCACTTATGCACGCCTCGACGTCTTTGGAGTGAAAGGTGATGGCTACGAAGAGGGTATCGAGCGAACCCGTGCTCGGGTAGGCCCGAACCGAGCTAGTGAGATTTTGGCCGCGAACGCCGTTGGCGACGAGGCCGAGAAAAAGCGGGAGTTGACATCACAGGAGATTGAGATGTTGGCCGGTCTCGACCGGTGAGCTTCCTCTTCCGTTCATTCTCTCTCGAACTAAAATTGACCGTGCAAAAGTTACGGATTCATCACCGCCCCATCCCATGACCGTTTAGTGCTCCTCCCGGCAACTGCTTTCACCAAACCTTTCGCTCGCATAGCCAATCCTGTCGTGAATGGGACCCCGAATCCGACCATCTTGAAGTCTATTCCTCCCCCTCCCCCTCCAACGCACGAAGTTGCGAGAATGGAAAAGTGGGGACGTATGCTGGAGCCACGATCTCGTGATCGCGGAGGAAACATCGAGACATGGGGTCTTCGGGCTCCGAAGGAGCACAAGTTGTCCCGGCGCACTTATAAGGGCATCCCAGATCGATGGAGAAGTGCCGCATGGCAATTGCTCATGAGCCGGTTCTCCCAGACTGGTAAGGAAGAACTTCGGGCGCTAGAGGACGAATACTTGCAGGCCTTGGAATACCCTTCGTCGTATGACATTCAGATCGACCTAGATGTTCCAAGAACCATCAGTGGACACGTCTTGTTTCGGACCAGATATGGACTTGGGTTGGTTTTCTTGCCGTCGTTCCCAATGATTTGAGGCTGACGAAGCTTCAGCCAACGCTCGTTGTTCCATGTCCTCCACAGCTTCTCCTTGCGCTGTTCGGAATGCGGGTATTGTCAAGGCATGGGTCCCATTGCATCGATGCTTCTGTGCTATTTTGAGCCGGAACGCGCATATGCTTCCCTCGTGCAACTCCACGATAAGTACCGCATGCACACCATCTTCAGCCCTGGGTTTCCTGGCCTCCTCGAGTCGATATTCGTGCAGGAACGCCTCATCCAAGAGATGATGCCGAATGTCTATGCTGCTTTCAAGACACATACGATATCCACTACGTCATATGCAACCAAATGGTATATCACCCTCTTCGCGAACTCTGTACCATTCCAGACGCTACTTCGTTTATGGGATGTCTTCTTACTGGAGGGTCCCGACCTTTTCGTTGTCGTCGCTATATCCATCATCTGGACTTATCGAGGTAGGTAGTCGATCAACTCTACATCATAAGGTATTCTGACCCACACTTTCTCAGACCACATCACGTCCAGCCAAGCCAGCTTTGAGACCATTCTATCTCTACTCTCCTCTTTTTTCGTCCCTGAAGACGAGAACGGAATGATGCTTTGGATCAGTAAAGTACTCGAAGTCCAGAAGCTCCGATCGGATATCCGGTCGTGGAGAGAAGAGTGGAAAGGTCTTGTGGCTTCGGGGAGGGACGGGCAGGCTCTCCTATGACATTGCTTTCACTATAGTGCGGCCGCTGTTTCGACGAATATCCTTCTTTGCGGGTCTTATCAATTCGTCCTAGGCTCTTGTTTTCCATCTCAGCATCGTTTCTCCTTTTTTGCATTGACATCGGTCTCTAAGAGTTATTTAATTTCCATCCGTGCATCCCGGCATTCACTCACTCGCTGCCTCGCATCATTGACTGTCACTTGCGCATGTCTACGAATCGTACGACACTCCTGCATCCTCTGGACTGGTGCAATATCTCACGTCTTCGGTTATCTATGATTTCGTTGCTCCCTCGACACCTGAATCTCCTAATTATCGTGCGGCATGTATTTACACGCCAATAATCAGACGAAGAGACTGTCACGGGGTGTGCCAACTGCGCTCCTCGACGCTTCTGTTCGTTCCTTCGCGGTTTGCTCTAGATCTTTTCGTCCCCTTCTTCTAAAGATGGTACTCACGGTCAGCAGACATATTGTTTGATGAATGGCAACCCCGCGCATTTGGGCGCCCTTCCATTTCTAGACAAAAACATTGCCTCGAGGATCCCATTCGGGCAGTCCTTGTATTTTGTCTCCTAATCGAAGAGTGACGAGATCAAACTAAGGTAAGTGTATATAAACGTGCACAATAGGGAACGTCAAAGAAACAACAGGGCCGCCTGGTTCTTGTACGACGAGCGTTCTTCCTGGTCCATTCAACCAACGACATTTTACCACACATCACGGAACAGGTCCCGACACAATTAGGAAGGCATCGCTTATTCTCCAGCACCTTCACCAGACTTCAGTACCGTTGCTGCCTCCAGGACCGCATCTCAAATCCACACCCCGGACTCCTTCACCTCTACCACAGGCTTGCCCATCTTCATTGCGCTTGCTGTTGGCTACGTTTTCGAGCGTTGCTTCCCGATCGGCATCTCATCTTGCTTGTATCCAATCTCTTTCACGTGTATCGTTATACCACATCCCAATAATCCGCCTCGAGTCTCTACCACTTCAAATAATACTCACATCGTCATGTCGTCCTACAACTATACCACTTCACCTGCCTCTCCAACGACGTCTTTCTTCCCCACGGGTCCTTCGGCACCACATGCCTTCTCGACGATGCACCAATCTCCGCGCGACCAGTACTCTATGTACGCGACGTTAGCGTCCACGGTGCAAGGCGGGCAGAATGGACAGCTGGGGAGCACAGGAGGCAAAATCGTGCAGAAGGTTTTTGGGAAGAAGTAGCGGGGAATGGTCTGTGCTCTGAGACGGATTCGAAGCATGCACTAGGAGAGGGATGATATATAGAGCATGGTGACGTCGGGCAGCTGGTGGAGCTCGGACGGTTAATCATGTTCCGGTCGCGGGACCAGAGCTAGGAGAGAGCTGGAGAGAGGTGGTACGGTCGTGTTTCAGCGTTGATCGCGGTCACACTCACATTCGACATTCTACCCTGTATGTTTTTATCGCATAGCTCCACTGTATCATAGATCCTGTTGTATTGTATATCTTTTGCTTGGGGACTTTCACACAGCGCTGGCATCTTTTTGGGGGGACAAGCTTAGGTCGAACACGTCCCGTCGCGTCAATATTGCCACGTGAAGCGCGGATGGGACCCGTGATTGAACCAGGCGCGCGGTCCTTGCGGTCCGTTGCGCTGAGCAGTCCCTCCACGTCTTCCTTCACCTCAAGCAACACATCGGCACCAACAAATACCCCCACGAACAGCATCGGCAATGCCAATGACCTCCGACACAGTCGCCCTCACCGCGGCGTATTCACTTTCTCTCCTCTCTGAATACACGCACACCTTAGACACCTTACCCCTCGACCTGTCGAAGCAGTTCGCTGACCTACGCGAACTCGATGCTGTCCTCTCCGCATCCATGCACACCATCACCGCCAAGGTCAACCGCCTCATTGACATGATCGAGCACGACACACAGCCCAAGGAGTCCCGGCTCTGGCTTCTTGCCGAGATCGCAGAGGAGGCACAGCGGTTGAAGCTGGGTGGGGAGGACAAAATCCGAGTGGCGTCTCAGGCTGCGGACGGCCTTAAAGGGCACCACGACCACCTTGCTAATCTCTTACAGCATATACCCAACTTCGACACCTCGGTCTTACAGCGCAAGACGGTATACCCTCACGTAGCTCCGCGCTCATACGCTCCCACCTCCATGTATGAAGGCGGGCGAAGGAGACGTGGTGCCCTCTTGAATGGGTCCTCCGGCGACCAAACCCCCGCGAAGAAGAGGCGCATCGCTAGAGACGACGATATAGAAGGATCAGTCAGTCGGACCCCGCGCGGAGACCGCGTCGGCGATAGCAGCGCGCCACAGAGGCCTAAGAACGGCAGCCGCGCGAGGAAGTGCGTCCCCTTCTCTCATTTACGACCTTCACTCGTGTGCTCACCAATACATTCCAAACGTACGTTGTGGCCTGAAGAAATGACCGCATGCCATCCCCTGCAGAGTCTGTTCTCTCCGTAATTTCCCACCAGCCTCCACAAAGCCTCCCTGTCTCCCGGATCACCAGCCGTTTGGTACCCACCAACAGACGGGCTCGTCCTTCCGTAGACCCATCCGCACCGAAGGACATTCCAAACGCCCCACCCGCTGCTTCGCATCCCTCCCTCCCGCCGCCGTACGCTCCAGTCTCGACGTTCTCGGGGCCCGGGTGGTCCGGGCCGGTGCACGCTCAGTTGCAGGGCCCTGGAATGCCCGTCGCCCGAAACGTCGTACCCACCTCTGCGATTCTGATTGGTCCTGGTGTAGAAGGCACGGCCCATATTCAATCCGGCGGCGAGGGTGAAGAAGCAGATGATGGGAAATTGTACTGCTGGTGTAACGGACCGAGCCACGGCGTCATGATCGCGTGCGACGACGCAGAGTGTGAGAAAGAATGGGTATGTTCTGTTTCTGAGCACAACAGTTGTTTTTTGACGTGTTGTTTGTGGTCGCAGTTCCATCTCGGGTGCATCGGCCTCGAGGTTCTCCCCAAGGGAGCTTGGTACTGCGACACATGCAAAGGTAAGAAGAAGAACCAGCGTGGGGGGCGGGGAACAAAACGACGAAGTGGTGGTGCACGGTCCGGCGCGAGGGTTGCCTCGGCGGCGTCGACTGCATGAACATAGCGGTTCTACGTTGCTTGATGACACCCCTACACTCTGTATCAATTAGTGATGTCTTAAGCTAGTCATTGTCTGTTTCTTTGTTTCTCCGTGTTATTGATGGCACACTATTCTATCATCTGAACTGGGAATAAAACAGAAGAGTAGCCCAAGAAATTATGGGAGGAAGAACAGATATAAGCATGACATAATGTACACACAATCCCTACTGTGACTCGCAAACAGTCAGCGTCTCTTGGAGTCTCTCCTGTCATCGCTTGGCGATCGCTCTCGACGCTTGCTGCAAAGAAGAAGAGCTGAAGATGGCGCTTCTTACGCTGTAGGAAAGTGCACTCACCGACCGACCCTCTCATCGTGTTCGCCTAGCGGCATACTACCGCCTCTGTCCTGGCCTCCGCCATAGTCCAAACCATCAACCGCCTGGGCATTATTATCCCGATCCTTGTATTTGTTCTGGTTACGAGGCCCGGTGGGCACGTTAGGTGGAAGCGGGGAAGCAGGTCGAACAGGCACATTTGGAGGGCCTGCAGAGCACGTCGTCAGGAATGGACGATTAAGCACGTTGTAGAAATTTCTATAGTATTGTAGACTTCCTCATACCTCTGCCTCTGGGAGCATACCCAACGCGACCGCGAGGCCCTGGATTTATTCCCCTCCCTCTGAACTGGTTCGGCGTGCCACCGCGAGGTCCACTCCCAACGGGCACTGGCGGGGGCGCTGCAGGTGCCTCCATGTTGGGATACATCTGCGCCTGCATAGCATTTGGGTCCTGTATGAAGTGGAACCGGCGTATTGATGAGCACCTATCTTGCTCACGAACAAAACTTAAGCAACGTACCTGCATGCCGTACTCGGGGCCCATCCCCATTCCATTCATATTCATACCCCCGGGCGGTCCCCCTTGTGGATATCCCTCGCCCATAACTTGCTCTTGTTGCGGATTCTGTACTTGCCCTGAGCCATCGACCATACCCATGTCACCACCCATCCCGACCATCATAGGGCCCATCATCCCCTGCATGCTCATATCTCCCGGTCCCATCATGCCATTCATGCCTGGCATCATCTGGCCACCCCCACCATTTGCCATCATAGCAGTCGACCCCGCCATGACCATGGTGCGAATCTCGGGAGGGAGCTGTGTGAGCTGGTCTTCTGGCATCCCAGCGAAGTTCTGCCATGCATTCATCATCAACATTAGCATAAGTAGTACGAACGAGAGCTATATATAATTTCGTTGCGCGCACCAGAACATTTGCCTTCAGAACACCAGCCAAGTCTCCAACCTCTCGCCTGCGGAAACAATACGCCTCCCAACTTATTTCGTCAAACCCATAATTGAACCAGTCACTGATATCGGAGCCTGGGCGTCTCCATGGCTTCTCCGCCATATTTGCGATGTCGACTTCAAGAATCGAGCGTCCATCGAGCGTTCCAGGAATTGACGGGTTGATCAACGGATGAGAAGGGGGTGCAGTAACGGGGGGTAATGTGGAAGGATCAGGCCCATCTTCCACTTTAGACTGGGATGAGTCTGGAACAGGCGCATGGACAGAAGATGTTTGGGATGTTGATGAGGTGATTTGTGAGGCGTTTTGCGAGGCATCGGTGGCAGGTTTTAGCGGGCCGCCGCGTTCGCGCGGCGTATACTCAGTCGTGAGTGATGGACCTGGTGGTTGAGGTCCAGCTGCGCAATGAGACAGGGTAAGCTTACGACAAAGAAAACGTGAAGAAGTTCTAAGGAAGACCTTTTGTGGGAGTGGATGTAGAATTTGCAGGACGGTGAGCACCCAGTCGATTTTGTGGTCTATTTACCAGTTTCTGAGTTTCATGAAATGATGTGAAAGCACATTGCGCACCGCAGGTCAAGTGAGCGTGAGGTGGGTTCCATGATGATCTCGACATCCTGGGGCTAATCTCAGCAGAGGGTACGAAAAAGAAGTGATATAAACACACGTCTTCACTCTCATCATCCTCTCCTTCCCCTTCGCCGTCTTCGTCTTCTTCCGCTTTCGGCTCGATTGAGCTGCTCATCTCGCGTTCCACCGAGTCATTGCCAGACCCATTACCGAGGCTGCTCTCGACGGACGCTTCCAGTTGAGCCACAGGGCTATTGAAGTCTTCTCTCTTTGTGATTGGTATTCTATAAAGAAGATATATGAGACGCTACGCGCTGAGCTTTAACGGACATATACGCACGGCTGTGAGACTAAAACACACACACACAAATGGAGATGATGAGCAACACGTCTCGTTTTATTGCAAACCAGCAGCTAGAATACAAGAGCCCGAATACTTTCCGACCTCGCGAGAAACACAACCAGAGGCCACGGATTGCGAACGTGTTCTTACCAGACGTTTCAATAGGTGTTACGACCTGCGACTGAGGCGCTACTTGCGCACCGCTGGAGGAACCGTATAAGAATTCATCGTCATCCCTATAAAATGTTTCAGAAACCCGATTGGAGAATATGCAGTTAAACTGACATGGTTGTCGAGTGTCTCGACAGCAATTATGTGCAGTTGGCGTCGCAGAACTCAGTGGTCGCAAGGAGGGATAGCGTGGGAACTTTCATAGGTGGAATTCTCGTTCGTTCAACTGAGATTCGCCAGTCGCTTGGCCTCACAGATTCCCCAGTTTCTGAAGGCTCAAAAATCATTCCATTATCTGTGCTGGCTCCTGAACAAACGACCGAACGGTGCTTTTATTGACCCACCTTCTGCAATGGCTTCCTTTGAGGATTACGACGAATTTGGAAACTATATCGGGGCTGACCTCGACTCTGGAGAGGAAGATGAGGAGCCCCAGAACACCCTTCAGCAGGCACCTGAAGCTCAGCCTTTGGAGGGCTACGATGAGCCTATGGACTCTGAGCAGGAAGGGGCGTTAATGCAGATTGACGGTGTGTCTCGCTTACTTCTCAGCTACTTGACGCGTCCTCAATTCTAACTAATATCTGCAATATCTGCAGAACCCATTCACAACGCCATCGTCCTGCACGAGGACAAGCAATATTATCCATCCGCATCAGATGTCTATGGGGCCGACGTGGAAACACTGGTGCAAGAGGAAGATGCTCAGCCACTCACTGAACCCGTCATTGCGCCCGTCAAACAGCGAAGATGGACGATAGAGGAGAAGGATATGCCAGGGACGCGTTTTGATAAAGGGTGAGCAGTGCTCATACTTAACTCAGTACACACGCTGACGACGTTTCAGATTCTTGGTCAATATGATGTCTTTTCCTGAAATGACGCGAAACGTCGCAGTTGTTGGCCATTTGCATCACGGAAAAACGGCTCTTATGGACATGCTGGTATTCGAAACACACCAGCTGTTATGGGACGCCGACAAGCCGGTCCGTCCTAATACGCCTTTCGTGTCGTCTCCTTCTAACTGCGATGGGAACCTAGACCCGCTACACTGACACTCATGTTTTATCGCGGGATCGGGATATTTCCATTAAATCTTCTCTTATGTCTCTCATTCTTCAAACGACGGGTGGAAAGTCGCACTTGATCCATCTGATTGACACACCTGGACATGTCAACTTCGTCGACGAGGTTGCATCCGCAATGCGTGTCGTAGATGGTATTGTTCTTGTGGTTGATGTGGTTGAAGGGGTCAGTTCTACGTATGATTAATCCACGGTATGTTCTGACTGCTTACACTCAATGCAGATGATGGTGAACACAGAAGCCATCATTCGTCATGCTCTACAAGAAAACATCAAAATGACTTTGGTCATAAACAAAATTGACCGTCTAATTCTTGAACTACGAATCAAGCCTGCAGATGCATACTACAAGATAAAGCACACCATCGAAGAAATCAACACCTTCATTAGGTTCGTCACTTCCTGAGTTTCCAGCACGTTGACTTACGTCGCGTTTTTTCAGTGGAATCGACCCCGATCCAGAGCTTCGCCTTAGCCCTGAAAATGGGAATGTAGCATTTGCTAGCACAGACATGGGCTGGTGCTTTACCCTTCGGTCATTCGCTAAAATGTATGCAGACACATACGGTACGTCTTTCAAAGAACTTTCCTGCTAATTTCCCGCTTAGTCTCGAACAGGTTCCGTTGACATCAATTCGTTCGCCGATCGTCTCTGGGGTGACATCTATTTCAACTCTGAGACGCGCAGGTTCACCCGAAAAGCTGCGGACCCCGAGTCAAATCGGTCCTTCGTCGAGTTTATTCTTGAACCGCTTTACAAGCTCTACAGCCAAGTGCTGAGCGAAGAAACGGATTCACTGAAGGCAACACTAGCAGACCTTAAAATCCACTTGAAGCCCGTAATGTACAAGATGGACGTTAGACCGCTGCTGAAGGCCGTGATGGACCAATTCTTTGGCCCTGCGACGGGCTTGGTCGATATGATTGTGGAATGTGTGCCCAACCCCATTGAAGGCGCTCCAAGCAAAGTGAATACCAGTCTTTCACTACTGTACTACTGCTCATTGACGCATATAAGGTTGAACGGACATATACTGGCCCACTTACCTCCTCGGTGGCGAACTCCATGAAGGCCTGCGACCCTGAAGGACCTGTCATGGTGCACGTTACAAAACTCTATCACACGACAGACGCCCAGTCTTTCAGAGCGCTCGGTCGTGTTTTTAGTGGCACTGTTAGAAAAGGCATGAATATCAAGGTTCTTGGCGAGGGCTACTCACCAGAGGATGAGGAAGATATGATGAAGGTAACGGTGGAGGATATTTGGCTAGGCGAATCAAGGTAAGTTGCTAACAGTCAATAGAGCATCTTAGTAACTGATTTCATTACTCGAACAGATACTTCATCCCAGTAGAGGAAGCGCCAGCTGGAAATCTCATTCTTCTCGGTGGTGTTGACCCATCAATCATGAAGACCGCCACGCTTGCTTCTCCTGATATCGACGACGATCTCTACATTTTCCGTCCTATCAAACACATGACACAATCTGTGCTCAAAATTGCTATTGAGCCCATCGCACCATCAGAACTGCCCAAGATGTTGTCTGGCTTGCGGAGTATCAACAAGTCGTATCCGCTGGTGTCGACGAAAGTAGAGGAGAGCGGAGAGCACGTGCTCATTGGAACTGGGGAATTGTATCTTGACTGTGTGATGCATGATCTACGACGGCTCTTCTCCGAGATCGAGATCAAGGTTTCAGATCCGGTGACCAAATTCTGCGAGACGGTTTTAGAGACTAGCGCGCTGAAATGCTACGCTGATACACCAAACAAAAAGTAAGTCTAGTCCGTCCGTCGCCATTTATACCCGCTCACTTGGCGTCAGGAATCGTCTCACTATGATTGCGGAGCCACTCGAGCGAGGGATCGCAGAGGACATTGAGACTGGCCGCGTCAACATGCGGATGCCGGCCAAAGAGCGCGGCAAATTCTTCGAACAGAAGTATCAATGGGACTTGCTGGCTTCACGATCAATCTGGGCGTTCGGTCCCGAGGACAGTGGCCCGAATGCTCTACTTGACGATACGTTGCCTTCCCAGGTTTGCATTACGCGCGTCTCATGAATGTTGTCTCATTCATCGTACCCTTCTAGGTTGACAAAAAACTGCTCGGTTCCGTCAAGGAGCATATCAAGCAAGGCTTCCAGTGGGGCACTCGGGAGGGCCCTCTATGCGATGAGCGTAAGTGATCGATATGTTCCTCCGAAACATTGTAGGCTGATGACGCGCACCAGCGATGCGCAATGTAAAGTTCCGTATTCTCGACGCCAGTCTGGCTCAGGAGCCAATCTTCCGCGGAGGCGGACAAATAGTGCCCACCGCACGACGCGTCTGCTATTCGTCTTTCCTCATGGTAATCGTCGACTTCATACCCGGCTTCTGGATAATGCTCATAACCCATACTTTGACTGATTGTAGGCCACACCAAGATTAATGGAACCCATATACTACGTCGAAGTTCAGGCGCCAGCAGATTGCATATCCGCCGTGTACACCGTTCTTGCGCGTAGGCGAGGCCACGTCACTCAAGATATCCCGAAGGCTGGCTCACCGCTGTACACTGTCAAGGCCCTCATACCAGTCATCGACGCCAACGGGTTCGAGACAGACCTGCGGACGGCGACGCAAGGGCAAGCATTCTGTGTGCAAGTCTTTGATCATTGGTCAATAGTGCCGGGTAAGTCCCACGCTCGGACTTCGCGTTTCTCATGTTGATGTGCCGGCGAAGGTGACCCTACGGACACGAGTATCAAGCTTCGGCCATTGGAACCCGCGTCCGGCCAGGCGTTGGCGCGAGACTTGGTGCTGAAAACCCGTCGGAGAAAGGGACTCGGCGACCAGATAGCGGTCTCAAAATATTTGGACGACGAGTTTGTGGTGAGTAATATGTATCCTGGGATCTTTGTAGCCTTGTGCTCATCTGTGTCGCACAGCTTGCGTTGTCTGCGTCTGGACATGCTGACCTACTAGGGTAGAGTGCTCTTTGGATCCTGTATTTATGTAGCGAATAATGATGAGCAGCACTGTGATATCGCGCGATAGTGAAAGCTCAAGGAATTGAAGGAACATGTCAGTGAAGGTTGCTGTGTGGCTGGGCGTGGGGATCGGCGTGGGAACGGCTACGTGGCAGGGCGCTCTCCGAACGCATTTAGTTGCGCCTGTGACTTGAAGCCGGCCCCAAACCTCCCATCCTCTCTTTCTCATTATCCCTAATATCCCTACCCCTCCGTCTTGGTCCTTCGTATCACAATGCGAAGTGTAGCGGTGCACGCCCTGCTTGCTGCTCTCGTTGCGACAAGCGCGTCGGCAGCTGACAAGCCTGTATTCAAGGTATGCCCGCCCGCTGCCCGAAAGCACACATACCATGTTCTGACGTGTCGTCTTTCATCGCTATGTAGCCTACAGATATCGAAGCTCCTTTCCTTGAACAGTTTACTGAGGGCTGGGAGGAGCGCTGGACACCGTCAGAGGCGACGAAGAAGACGCCTGTTGGGGGCGAGACTTTCAGCTACGTTGGCAAGTGGTCCGTAGAGGAGGCCTCGGCGCCTGTCATCGAAGGTGACCTCGGATTGGTCGCAAAGTCCAAGGCCGCCCACCATGCCATCTCGGCCCCGTTCACTGAATCCCTCGACTTCTCGGAAAAACCTCTCGTCGTGCAGTACGAGGTCAAGTATCAGAAGGGCGGAAACTGTGGTGGTGGGTACCTCAAGCTCCTTGAGGACGGCTACCAGACCAGCGGCAAGGAGTTCTCCGACCAGACTCCATGGGTTGTCATGTTTGGTCCCGATCTCACCTGCCCAGGTACCAAGGTATGTCTGACACGCTGCTCTATGCTGCTTCCTTGCTGGAGCTCACTACTCACTTGTCACGTGACAGGTGCACTTCATCTTCCGTCACAAAAACCCAGTGAACGGCGAATACGAGGAGAAGCACCTCACGCTTCCACCGAAGCCCTCTATCGAGAAGACAACTAACCTCTATACTCTCATTCTCCAGTATGTACATGCAGCCATTGACATATTGCTTTGGTGCTAACGTGACCTGGACACAGCCCGAACAATACCTACGATGTCCTGTTCAACGGAGTCAGCCACAACCTCGGCAACGTCCTCGAGGACTTCACCCCCGCTGTCAACCCTCCCAAAGAGATCGATGACTCGGAGGACAAGAAGCCCGAAGACTGGGTCGACATTAAGAGAATTCCGGACCCCGATGCTACCAAGGTCAGTGATTTGTCTCGTCAAAACATGGCCATTTGAATGATGTTCGTCGACTAGCCTGCCGACTGGGATGAGGACGCTCCCTATGAGGTTCCCGACGAGGAAGCCGAGAAGCCGGAAGGCTGGTTGGATGACGAGCCATCAACAATCCCCGACCCTGGTCCGTATAATTTGATTACGCCAACAAACACGGCTAACCATCTTGCACAGATGCTGAGAAGCCTGAGGAATGGGACGACGAGGAAGACGGTGACTGGATCGCGCCCACTGTCCGCAACCCCAAGTGTGACGAGGCGCCTGGCTGCGGTGAATGGAAGCGTCCCTTCAAGTCTAACCCCCTCTACAAGGGCAAGTGGTACGCCCCCATGATCGACAACCCTGCATACAAGGGCGAGTGGGCCCCGCGCAAGATCGCCAACCCTGACTACTTCGAGGACCTGACTCCCGTCAAGAGCCTGAACAAGATCGTTAGTTCTGCACGAGTTGTTCTCGTGTTCAAGTAACTGACGCTCTCCAATTGCAGGGCGGTGTTGGGATTGAGCTTTGGACTATGACTGAGGATATCCTCTTCGACAACCTTTACATCGGCCACTCCGTCGAGGACGCCAAGAAGTTGGCTGCGGAAACCTTCGAGGTCAAGAAGGAGCTAGAGAAGGCGGCTTCATCTGTCCCTGAGGACGAGGAGGAGGTCGTGGTTGGCTCGTTCGCTGAGGACCCCGTCGCGTTCATCCGCCAGAAGGCGTTCAAGTTCATCGACCTCGCCAAGGTTGACCCTGTCGGCGCGTTCAAGACGCACCCCGAGACTGGTGCCGCCCTTGTCGGTACTGTCGTCACGTTCTTCGCGATGCTCGGTGCTCTGTTTGGTCTTGTCGGTAGCCAGCAAAAGCCTGTTACCAAGGTGCGATCGCCTCCCTTTTTGCCATATCTCTGCCTATATGTGCTGACCGCGCCGTGACCCACAGTCGTCGAAGAAGACCGATGCTGCCACTCCGGATGACAAGAAGGATGATAAGGCGCCTGTTGCGGCTGCCGGTGGCGAGAAGAAGGACGAGAGCTCAGTGAAGAAGCGGAAGTAAAAGACTGTTTGGGCTTTTTGGATCGGGTCGGGTCGGGTCGGGGGATGGTACAGGTCTGTTACCTACCATACATAGCACAGCCGTTCCCATGTCGTGCGCGCGAAGAAATTTGCTTTCTTATATCGATACTGTACACCTGGCAGAACGACATACTTATTGGCGTACATGGATGAGTTTCAGTCTCTTTGTTCGCCCTAATATTCTCCACTCGAATCATAGAAACGCAGTGATCGCGGACGACATCCGAGGGAAACTCATCACCGTCAAACACCGCAATAGCGTCCAACTTCAAAGGTCTGACGCCTCAAAGATTCTAAGCAGCAATTATATGCACTATATAAGGTGTGAACTGGGCAAGATAAAGCGTATGGTCCAACACGTCCAACATGTCCAACGTTCCGGCACCAATGCGTGCTTGATACGGTAACGTAGAGCACACACACCGGGGCCAAGTCGCATCGGATCACCATGTCCGCCCGACCACGTGCTCCGTCAGGACCTCTAGCGCGCTCCTCGCGTCGCTCTCTGGGAGGAGCTGCAGCGTCTCCCGCGCCTTGTCCGCATGCGCGCGCGCGAGGGCGCGCGTGCGCTCGACGCCGGAGGAGCGGCGCACGAGGTCGCGCGCCTGTGCGTCCCAATTTCGTCGATTTTAAATAAGCGTGGCTAGAGGCGTAAGGGGAGAGGAAGGGAACACGTACGAGCTCGACGTCGCCCTGCTGCTCGAACTTGCGCGCGATGAGCGGGCCCATCTCGGGGTGCTCCTCCCAGGCGTAGAGCGCGGGCCCGGTCGCGAGCCCGAGGCGCAGGTCTGCGCCGCCGGGCTTGCCCATGGTCGCCTCGGCCGCGTCGTAGTCGAGCACGTCGTCCACGAGCTGCTCCGACACGCGCGGGTGAGCGCGCGCGACACGGGGGAGGCGGGGCGCGGGGAGAACGCACCTGGAATGCAATGCCGAGGTTGCGGCCGTAGGCGTAGGCGACCTCCTTCCATATCTCGCCCTCCTTGGAGCCGCCGAGCACGACGGCCGCGCGCGCGCCCTTGGCCATGAGGCTGGCCGTTTTGAGGTACGTCTTCTTCAGGTAGACGTTCCAGCGCTCCTGGCCGACGCGTGCGGCGACGAGGGCCTCGCTCTCGCCCGTGCGGCCGGCGTCGGGGCCGGCCTTGCCGAGCTGGAGGATCTCGCCCTCGACGAGGTTGGCGATGACGCTCGCGATGAGCTCGACGACCTCGTGGTCGCCGAGGCGCGAGAGCGCGGCGGACGCGCGGCCGAGGAGGAAGTCGCCGCCGAGGATGGCGAGCTTGTTGCCGAAGGCGGCGGGGCCGGAGGGGACGCCGCGGCGCAGGTCAGCGCTGTCGATGACGTCGTCGTGGAGGAGGGACGCGACGTGGATCATCTCGACGATCTGAGCGAGGCGGAGCTGCGTGGGGAGCAGGCGGGCGGAGGGCGCGAGGGCAGGGATCAGTGCAGACGTGGACGGGCGGGGCGGCGGGGGAAGGGGCGGGTGCGAGGGCGCGGAGGGCGGAACGAGGGAAAAGACAGAGGAGAAGGAGGCGGTGTGGTCTGGCATGTTCGGGTTGTAGTCGTTGAGGACGTCGGCGCGGTTGAGCGGGTGGTCGAGCTCCTCGGTGCGGCCGCGCGCGCCCTCGCAGTCCGCGGCCCAGTCTACGAGCGGCCAGTCGCGGCCGAGGCCGTTGGTCGCGCGCGCGAAGAGGAGGACGAGGAGCGGGCGCATCTGCTTTGACGGGTGCAGGAAGTAGTAGCGTGCGATGTCGGTGAGCGTGGGGTGGGCGGAGCCCAGGAGGGTGAGCAGACGCTCGCGCAGGAGGTCGAGCTCGGGCTTGACGAGGGCATGGGGGCTCGGGGGCACCGACGCGAGGCGGGGTGGCGAGGGGTGCTGTGCGGACGCTGAGGTGGACGCGACGGGGGCAGCGCGGGCGCTGGCGAGCACGCTGTATTTTTTGCGGACGGGGCGCGTGACCGTCGCGGGTGGGATGGCGTTCTTGCGAGGAACGCGTGTGCTAGCGGAGGCGTAGGAGGACCATCGTCGCATCGTCTATGAGAGCAGCGTGCCGCACAGAGGACCAGCTGCGTGCAAGCGAGGGTGCGGGTGGGAGCAGAGCAGAGCAGCCCGTGTGCTCGTCCCTCGCTCTCTCCCCGGTCTCCCCGCCTTTCTCCGGCCGTCTCACTCAGCTTTCCTTCGACGCTTCGCGATGGATCCCTGCACCGAGACATGAGAGCGGGGTGCTGCAGGCAGCCGAAAGCGCAGTTTCCTATCTACTACTGCAGGCGTGGTAGCGTACACCATGACTAGCTATGACGACGTCGGCCAATGACGCGACCCCTCTCTCACTATGTGCATCCTCGATACAGTGTACTGTAGTGGTGCTGGTGCGTTGGGCTTCGTCCAGAAGCGGCGGAACAACCGCAAAAAAGTCTCCTCTCCTGCACGGGGAGAGGCCAGCAAGAGGCTCATCGAGGCAGCCGTGACGGCGTCGTCGCCGGCGCCGCCGGAACAGCCATCGCCGCAGCCAAGGGCGCGCGAATCTTCCCAATAGGCCGAGCCAGGTGGCCCGCCAGCTCTCGTCCCTGGGAGCGTCGAACGCGTCGCGTGAGTGTGAGATCAAACACGCAGCACCGTGGAAGGGAATGGGATGGGAATCGGTGCGGGACGCGGGACTTGCCTTGGCCTCCAGAACGTCCCACTCGACTGCGCTCGTCGCGTTCAGCGCAACGAGCATCAGCGGCTTCTCGCTTGCAACCTCGCCCGCGCCCACGCCCTCGCCCTTGTCTTCGTCCCTCCCACCCCCAACGGTGCCCCGCGGCTCACCCGTCCCGCCCTGCCCGCCCGTCTCCCCAGGCGCCTCGACCGCCAGCACCATGATCCGCCCAAACGGCGACTCCATCCCGACGCCCCTATCCCCCGCCTCCTGCCACTTCTCCCCGCTCAGCCCGACGATCGCCCGCACGTCGTCCTTGCACCGCGCCGGGTCCGCCGCACACGACACGAGCTGCCCCGCGGGCGTCAGCAGCACCGCTGTATGCAGCTCCGGAGGCGCGAGAGCGCGGGCAAGCAGCTTGTGCACGTTAGAGAGGACCAGCATGTGTCGTCGCTTCGATGGTTTATGTGGCGTGTCGCTAGCGTGCTCGTACAGTAACGTTTGGCGCGGGTGGTGTATGTCGCAGATGGGCAGTCCGGTCGGAACGTGGGCGACGGTCGCGGCAAAGTCCGAAATGGGAGTCGCTCAACCCGCAGTACGAGTACATATACGTGCTTCGCGCTTAAGTCGCGATCCAGTCAGTCTCTCTACAGTCCATCAAAAGAGCAAGCAAAAGTAGGGTGCATACGAAGCAGTCACTGAACAACGAAATCACAACAAGAAGGTCGAAGTGGCAACCAACGCGAGAGCACAAACCGAGTCGAGCAGAAAAGTGAAAGAAAGAATAAAGACGGAGACATGTTCAAAACTCTTTCACCTTATCGACAATATGTGCATGCCGTTGACCATCCGAAATGTCCCGGGTCAACGCCGAGAGCAGCAGCGGAGAACTCAAACCTCAGAACAGATCATAAGAGAGTGATAAATACCCATGAACTACGCATTGCGGTCTCGCCCGCGCACACATTCTCCGTTTTTCTTTGGTTCGAATGGCAAACGCGGGCATTTTCGATGATTATTGCCTCTTCACAGAGGTCTGCTATGCACAACAGTCGTCAGCATACGCGCAAGCATACAGTCGAGCCTCGACTCACCAAGTAAGACAATAGCTGGTTGAAATCGCCGTGCGTGTTCGCCGGCGGCATCTGCACCCCAGGCGGCGGCCCACCGGGCATGCCCTGTGGGGGCATTCGCTGCATCGGGGGTCCAGGCGGTGGCGGCGGCATCCCATACTGGTTGGGCATCTGGAGCTGAGGCGGCGGACCACTCATGGCCTGGTTCTGTGCGTTCTGCAGCAGCGCGAGGATGTTGGGAGGGAGTCCTGCCAGACCCGGAGGTGCAGGCGCGCCAGTGCCCGGGGGACCGGGTTGCTGCGTGGCGTTGGAAGGCTGGAAGGTCGGGACGTTCGGGGGTGGCATGCCGCCTGGGTAGGGCATGGGTGGTGGCTGATTCATGACTTGAGGAGGAGGCGCGTAGTAGTTGGGTACGGGAGGCGGCATGTTGAGCATCGGAGCGGGAGCCGCCTGCGGGACTGGCGGAGTGGCGCTTGGTCCAGCGCCATTTTGCGGTTGCTTGAGCGCTGCCAGCAGCTGAGATCCGATCAGTCTGATGGGTATCGGTTGTAATTACAAAAAATAGAACGCACCTGCTGAACCTTGCGAGCTTGATCAAGACGTTCATCGACGGGCTAGCGCAGAGGGTGAGCGGGAGCTAGAAGAACATCAACGAACAGATTTACCGGTGCCGGGGCAGCTTGATTGTACGCCGAAGGGGTGCTCTGGCTTACGTATCCGTTCTGGGGTCCAGCATTGTACCCAGTGTCGGCTCCGACAAATCGGTCGTTGTACCCACCGCGCCCGCCTCTGCTGCTGTGATCGTCGTCATACCGCCTGGGGCGCTCACGTTCTCGGGATTCCCAGTAAGGCTTTCGTTCTTCATCGTGGCCACTGGGTCCGCCTCGACCTCGACCGCGGCCGCGGCCGCGTCCCCGGTTGGGCTGTCCACGGAAATGACCATCGTCCCAGTCGCGGCCTCCACCTCCACCTCCGCCTCCGCCTCCGCCCCCGTACTCGCGTTCCTCGCGGCTGATTGGAGCATTTAGATGAAGGTAGATACGATTGATTCAAGTTTTACGTACCGAGGTTGGCCGGGAGGCGGCCCTTCCTCCCAGGCCAAAACGATGTCCATGACGCCGTCTTGAAGACCTTGGTGGCGCAAACGGTCGAATGCGTCTTCGGCAGACTGTAGAACGTTTCATCAGCTTCAGACAAGAGGACACAAGGAGATGAATTAGATTTACCCTGACATCGTAGAACTCGACATAGCGTTGACTGATTCACGAGGTGTCAGCTCATCCTGCTGGTGTCGTTGTATTGTGATTGAAACGTGGACTCACTCCATGCGATCCCCGATGGGTCTGACAGACTTAACGTCACCAAATTGCTGGAATTTTCGGCGGACCTCATTGTCGTCGATAGGCTGGCCGGATATTGAGTTACGGAGTGTCACCAACAACGTGCCTTGCATCTCCTGCAAAGAAGCCAACTCAATAGGGAAAATTGTTGCAAATGGAAGGTCGGCTACTTGGTTCTTTTCGCCACCCTTCGAGTTGCTGTCATCACGAGGCAGTGAATAATGGACATCAATCTGGACAAACAATTCTCAGACACCGCTATGACTCGGCGTGGGTAGAAACTGACTGGGCGACCACTGATCTCGGAGCCTTGAAGGCGCTCTCTTGCTCTCTCGGCTGCACGTAAATCAAACTAGGACACGTAAATGAAAGCAGGGCTCAAACGAGGTCCGCTAAGTGCTTTGCAGACGGCCGCACTCACAAAGGTTACAAACACCATTCCTCGATTGGCGATGAGATCAAAAAATGTTTTGATTTCACCGTGTTCCTCAAATTGCCGACGGACGTCGTCACTATCAGTTTCATACTACAACGACACAAGATAACATATCAGTTTCGGATCTTCAAGAACCAACAAGATCTGACGCTCGAAACTTGTTGACCGCAAAGACAAGACTCAAGACTCGCCTTAATGTTACGTATGAAAAGTGTACGGCACGGTCGCTCGCGTTGAATCCGTTCTTCAATAATTGACTCGTGAACTTTATCGTCTCTTTCACGACGGACTCCACGTTTCGCTGGTGGACCTCCTCGACCGTAATTAGGACCTGGGTTGGACAAACGGGGGAGCATTGCACGTGAGATGAGTCATATCGCCATCAATTGAGTCCAGAAAATCGGGACACATAGCGTAGCGAAGGCTGTATCGAGAACGAGCACGACGCCTGTAGAGAAGGGGCGCAGTGCAACTTCCAGAAGCATGGCCAATGACCACTAGGATGGACTTCCTTTCCAGATCTCAGACGAACTATCGTCGAAATGAAGGCGTCGTGCTGCTCGCTTCAGAATATTTGCCTTCGCTAATGGATAGCTTAAGCTTGCAGCGGCAGATCGCTATGAGAGTAAAGAAGCCTGAATCTGGCCCCATAAATCACTGAAGCGGATCGCTGATGGCTATTCCTCAGTTTGTCGCGCGAGAACGATACCAGCGCCAGTCGAGCTCCCTGGATTTACAATTCTGTCTTTTCAGTCGGTGTGTTCAAGCGTACCTTCGAAATTTCCATAATTCTGCTCAAAGCCTCCCGAGGCAGGCGGCGAGCCATACTGAGGTGGAGATGGTCCTCCAAAACCATTTTGATAAGAGGACTCTTGAGTCGATCCAGAATCGTACGTGTTGTATCCTCCCAATCCCATGTCACCTTGCGGGGGCGCTTGATCGTACGCGGCGTGGCCTCCGCCTGCGTCATAACCACCACCTCCATATGACCCACGACCTCTTCCACGACCAAATCCTCTACCACCACGAGGTGGACCATTTTCATGAAACCGGTGCGATCTATCTGGTCCAGGGCCGGAGGAAGGGCCTCCTCTACGAAAGCCAGAGTTGTCGTAGTTGCCTCCGTATGGGTGATGACGGCTCATGCTTTCAATTCAGACGTTGAGGTTCGAATGAAGAGGGAAGAGTGTCAAGACGAGTACTTTGAACGTTGATGTGCTCTGAAGAAAGAACCTTCAACTGAAGAAACTTGGGGTGAGCTCGATACGGTGTACACGCTGGTCGTGAGGGTGCGAAAGACAGGAACGGGGAAAATTGAAGCATTCGTATAAGATTCCCACGAGTCGTTGGGGACCCCAAGACAAAGTCGGTCTATGGACCACTGTGGCGCCACAAGCGTCCAATTGGGATGTCTCCCCATCACTGCCTTCGTCCTACTCGTCCACCATGTCCAAGCAGCTTCAGTTCAAGCTCGTTCTCCTCGGTCGGTGTCCGTTTGTTTTGAAGGGTTGTCAGCGCTCATAACAGTTGCTCGCACACATCCAGGTGAATCCGCCGTGGGCAAGTCTAGGTACTTCTAAGCGCCAAGCTTGCGCTCTTTCGTGGCTGACGCACTTCTTGCCAGTCTGGTCTTGCGTTTCGTGAAGGATCAGTTCGACGATTACCGCGAGAGCACCATCGGAGGTTTGCTCATTTCTCTCCTACCCATTTGCTCCAGCTGCGAATCTATCTTGAACAGCCGCGTTCCTCACACAGACGGTAACTCTCGATGATGGTATGACCGTCAAGTTCGAGATATGGTGCGTTCACCCTACCAATCGCTTTGTATGTCTCCGTTGGTCCTTATGTTCCGTTCAGGGATACTGCAGGCCAAGAACGTTATAAGGTGCGTTGAACGTCTGTCCCTGTATTCCTCATAATTGAATACTGATGTCCTTATCTGAACCCAGTCTCTCGTACGTCCTATATTTGGTCATATTTTGGCAGGAAGCTGAGCACGAATGATAGGCACCAATGTATTATCGGAATGCCAACTGCGCGGTGGTTGTCTATGATATCACGCAAACCGCATCGTTGGACAAAGCTCGTAATTGGATCAGGGAGCTGCAGCGCCAGGCAGATCCCTCGATAGTCATCGCCCTGTGCGGTAACAAATCCGATTTGGCTGCTCGCCGGCAGGTAACCCAAGAAGAGGCTCAGAAATACGCAGAGGAAGAGGGTCTGATGTGGGCAGAGACCAGTGCAAAGAGCGGCGAAGGTGTGGCAGATATCTTCACTGCCATAGGCAAGCCATCTACCTATACCCTTCTGACCAGATCTGATACTGATCATGCTATATGTACAGCTAAGAAGCTTCCAACGACCGCACCATCATCATCGAGAGCCGGCGCTGCTGGTCGAGCTGGTGCTGCAGGTGGTAGAGCGGGTGTTGACCTCAACAAGCAGCAGAGCGCTGTTCCAGGCGCCGACGCTTGCAACTGCTGATCGCTTTTCTTTGTCTTTGTCGGTGTGGCCACTGTCTATGCATGTTTTCTCCTATCCACCTGATTTTTGACTATGGCGGATATCTCTCGGATCGCCGAGCATAGATCCTACGCAAGCACCTTCATACTTCTTTGCGTCCTCTCACGGATCCTGTTTTCGCTTATCTCGTACTCCTGTAGTATATTTAATCTCCTTCACATTTGGCTTTCTCATTCGATACATGCGACATATTATGTGGACTTTACATGGGAGTCGGCCTCACATTCATGACCCCGCATTGTCCTGAGTAAATAGCAGTGATATGAGAGTAAGAATCTAAATAACATCAGCCAGATTGCATAGATCACAATGAAGTCGGTACTTAGTGAGAGCATAGACAAATTAGCATACATATCCTTTACAACATAAAAAAAGCCGCGAATGGCACGGAAGTACAGTAAGCAACCTCACCGTCTGGCGAGGGAAAACAAGGTGGAAAACGCAACAATATTAGTGGGCAGAAAGCAAGAACGAGTTTTGGAGTCGATGAAGGCGAAAGAGAGAGACTTCGGAAATCCACGAACAAGAGCCATCAAAACCCAGCCGCCTCCAGACCCTTCCTGATATCTGCGTGAACAAGCTCCGCTTGTTGCAATTCGTCGCTCCGGCTCCAGTACCACCGCTCGTCCTTCCCCGTCGTACTCGTCATCTGAGACTGGATGAAATTCGTCGTCGCCTGATTCTCGGCAAACGAGTACGGCTTCCCTTGGAAGCGGAGAATGGCCGTGACGATATCGTACCACTGCTGTCGTTTCACAAAGTGAATGAGGGCGCGATGCCCTCCAGGCGACGAGGGGTAAGGGACACCGATGTGATCCCCGTGTTCGGCGTCTATGTGCAGCATGTTTTTCACATACATGCCGATGAAGGGCACGCAAGGGCCGTCAACTCTGTCCAGCACAGAACGGTAATATGAATAGTTGCCGGCGGGGACGTTGAACTTCAACAGAGATTCTAGATGCGATTCTCGGGCCGTATGGACCCATGTGAAGTGCAAGCGAGAAATAAGCGAACTCGAGAGCGCAGCCACGATCGAAGTCATGGAGGAATAATTGTGCAGCGATTTACACTTCTACAAGGGCGATTTTCAGGACGTCAGAGGGACGGATGCTTGCCAAACAGCTCACCTCCGCGATTCGTATCCAGAAATCGACCGCCGATGCTCGTTTACTGAGGCCGTCGATCTCCAGGATACTCGACTTGACCCAGTCGGATAGCTTGTTATGCGTGGCGCAAAAAGCCGCCATGTTCTTCACGTCGTTCCCGACTTGCTTTCTCGTCCACGTGAGGCATTCGGTTGCGCGAATTTTTGCATACAATCGATGCTCAAAGACGCTGAGATGCTGTGCTATATCCAACGGATCCATCCGAAGCAGCTCGTAGGACTCGTACTTTCGTACCTTGTTCCTCCACCGCTTTTGCAAAGGTGTGACCGCATCCGGCGGATTTGGATCGGCGAAAGTCTGCGCAATCTATCATTCATATATAGCGCGCTGGATATCAGGAGATACGGGCTTACCAAACGTTCTAGCGAAATCAGCACATGCTTCGCGGTCAACGTCAGAGATGCCGGTGAGTGTATCAGCGACAGAAACTCTTGGAGACGAGGAGGGATATCAGGGTCTTGGTTAAGCATGTCATGGTCCTCAAGCCATATCGTCAAGACAGATAGCACGCGTTTCTGCGTCGGTCGTAGTTTTCTTTTCTTCCAATCCTCGAAAGCCTCCGTGCTGAGGCCCTTGGGCGCGTCCATCTCGTAATGAGAGATAAGGAGATCATAGACCTCATTGGCAGAAGCGAAAGTCCTGAACGTGGTGAGAAAAACGTGTCTGAATGTTTCCTGTTGTGAGAGCCCTGCATGAAACATTAATGTTAGCATCAGAGCGGGCACAGGTCTTGTGACGGGCGGAACAAGTCTTACGAAGGGGGTCGATAACAAGCCGCTCGACGAGTGCGGGAAGCGTTCCGGCCTTGACACTCCCATCGTACTCTAACTTGATTTCATCATCACCATACTTGGGCCGTAGATACCACGGGAGATTTGCCTGAGCGAGTTTCGCATTGTGAAATGCTTGTGCATCATCATCACCAGTCAACTGTTTGATCTTGCCCGGTCGGGGAAGAGATAGCGCCTGCGGAGGAGTCGGGTCAGTCGGGCTTTCGAGATCAGGACTGGCAAGCAAGTCGAGTTCCTTGATATCGTGGGCTTGAATGAGGGCTGAGAGTCGCTGGAGAGACGACTGATCGTCAAGAATGAGAGGGCGCCGTCGGAGGTTGCGATTATTAGAAGCTGGAAGGGTAGGGTTTGAGGCACTACGGGCGTGGATACCAGATTTAAGATCATCTAAGTCAAGTGCAGCTGAGAGAGGCGATGGTGATGGTGATAGAGACTTGTCGAGCCGGCGCGCCTGTAGTTCTGGTGGGCGAGGCAGGGGCGATGATGGATAATGTCGTAGGTTGAACGCGTCTATCGGGGAATCCTCCAGACCAGAATCTGTAGGAAGACGGAAATCGTGCAGGTCCTTGTCACCGTCCGTCGGCGATGAGTCCGTACCAGGAAAGAAGTTCATGGCATTGGCCTAAACAATTACATTCGGTGATTCAGCGACCCGATACGATTTGGCACAACCGCGTGTCTGACCTTATTGGTGTCCAGGGCCTCATCGTCCGTGTAATCGAGGGCGGAAGACAATGGGGAATCGAGGGAGGGCTTCAGACTGGGAGGCGCCGACCTGGATATTCGATCAGGATTGTAGTGCGGTATCTGGGTCTCCTCTTGCAAATGATGAACCTTCTCTGCAACGTCCTCCGGGAGAGCACGAACGTAGGAAGCGGGTATCCAGCCCACTTCACTTCCATCTTTACGCACCGCAGCCCACCACCCGGAATCCTCCTTCCTCACAATCTCCAATATTTCGTTTTTTGAAAAGGACAGATGGTCGGAATCCGATGAATTAAAGTCATAAAGACATAGCACGGAGCATATCCTCTCGTATGATTCTCCGGAGGGCGACTCGTAATTCCAGGTCCCCTTGCGAAAGCCAGAGGCTGAAGACGGGGTCGTGGTGGAAGATTCGCTCGTGACGTGACGGAAGAGAGTGTCCTTTGGATCTATCAACAGTCGGAGGGACTGTCGAGCGAGTTGGGGAGATGAGGCAGCCATAGCGCGAATATTGATACAGACGTTGCGGGGTCGTCCAGCGAGAGGTTTAGACAGAAGAAGAGTGGCACAAAAGGACAGAGATATACGGATCCAGAGACAAAGGGCGGCGCTTGGAATGCCCCGCAGGCATGCACAGGTCTATACCAAGCACTGACACTGATATGAAGCGGCGCAGGAGGCTGCGGTGTGAGAACACGAAGAGCGGATGATGATGGTTAACTTTATACGTTAAGCCTCCATGCCTTACTTGGTAAAATGATTACTCAACTACCATCATAACATCAGGATCACCACAGCTGACAGGATGGTAGGGCAGAAACCGGGAGGGGAGAGACAACGAACGATGCCGCCGCCACCGTGCCAGCTGGGAAGCTGTCTGCTGGGAGGCTATTGCCGTATGACGAACATGGAGATCTGGCGACTCTCAATGACTCTGAAACCACAATTATGGGAAGATAATCCCGGTTCGCGTATCTCGACAACCCATTCCATCTTGCCCAGCTCTGAGTCATGAAAGATGAATGACGTAGGCACAGACCCATGTCTCGCGGAGGCCACGAGCTTTCCCGAACTCAGGTAGCAGATATCATGAATAGCACAGGCGGTATAGCCTTGATGAATGCAGAGCAGGTCCGGCACAGATAATTTAATTCCGGACCCCGATCGCAGACGTCACGGCGACTTCCGGTTCCCTTTTCGGGTTATCTTGCTCGGCTGCGATAAACTGAACCACCTCTCAAGTTAACCACAGCGCAATATACCGGCGCCACCTGCTCATGGCACCTTGGAACCCCACCAAAGCAAAAGTTCGTCCCGGACGGCCACCGTCCTCTTTGTCCTCGAGTCCACTTCCGTAGCTGATTTACGACATACAGGTGCAACTCCGGTAGGATTCTCTCATGGACGTCTGCTTGTCACGCATGGAAACTGATGGACACCATCAGCCTGTCCGTCCAAAGGTTGAGGACATCACAGGAGAAAAAGAGTGCACAGGCCAAGGCATCCCGGCGCGATATTGCCACCCTCTTGGAAAAGGGGAAGGTCGAGACTGCGCGAATCAAAGTCGAAAACAGTACGTCCTCCTGTCCCACCGGGCCGCCCGCACCTGCATTCCTCATCGCATTTCACTGCAGTCATCCACGAGGACATCCAGATTGAACTCCTAGAGCTCCTAGAGCTCTACTGCGAGCTGCTCATTGCCCGGTTCGGACTGCTGGACCAGAAGTGAGTGAGTCTTACACATGCTGACTCGCAACGATCAGAGCTGTGGTCTCAATATGCGTGCGTGCAGCACCCGGGACCCAGATCCCGCTGTCAGCGAAGGCGTATGCAGCATCATTCACGCAGCACCACGGACGGAGATTAAAGGTACGTCTCCTGAGTCATTTGGTCACGCCAAACTGAGAATCGGCGGCGCGTCCCCTCGTGCCTTCAGAGCTTCATATCTTACGAGACCTCCTTATGCACAAGTATGGTCGCGAGTTCTCCGTTGCGGTGATGGAGAATCGCGATGGATGCGTCAGCGAACGAGTGAGTGATCACGGCGGGCTTCCACTTACTCCTCCCAACCTCATGGCAAATCTGAGATGGCTCATTTTTCCGTAGGTCATGAAGAAGCTCACCATAGACATGCCCTCTTCCGAGCTAGTTGACGCCTATCTAGCGGAGATCGCAAAGGGCTACGGTGTGAACTGGGCGCCACTGGTCACGCCAGGGAAGACCGATGACGATGACGAAGGAGGGGGGGTGAAGGTGGGTTGTCAGTCCCTCGCTCGTCGGACTGCAACATCGATGATTCATTAACTTTCGGCGAACAGGAGGCGACGGCAGAAAAGCAGGCTGTTCCGGTCATGGCTGCATCTGCTGCCTTTGCCGAGGGCAAAGGGGACAAGCCTCCCAAACTTCCAGACCTCCCCCCAACGGAGGATGATGACACCAAGGGCGCCGCGTCTACTAACAATAAGCAGGAGATCTCGTCGCCGCCAGCGCCGCCAGACGACTTTGAAGTGCTAGCAAAGAGGTTCGAGGCCCTTAAGAAGCGTTAGGGGTGAAACAGGTGAGTCAAGACTTAAACGAACCGTGTCAATTGCACGTTCATGCTCACGTCACGTCGCGATCGTTCATAGAAAGGATAATTTATATATTTCATGGCGTTGGAGGACTATGGATAATCATGAGTGATATTTGATAGCTGTTGTACACTAAGGTACGGTACGAGACGTTGGAAATGACATCCGTTCAAATGGATGCCAGTGGCTAGGAGAGCCATAGACACCACATTCCGAATGGCGGCACAGGGTCACAAGTGGATTGTGATGGGTGCCGTCGTAATGACTGAATCGGAGCAAACTCTTTTCGTATCGAAAGGCCGCGAGACGGATATTGTTTCAAGCTTATTGGATCGTCGGCTGAGGCCTGGCCGAGAGCGTGAGCGACCACTCGCACCGCACCCACGCACATGCGCCACAGGATCTCGGAAGGGAAGAAGTTGGCGCGCGCCGCGCATCCAGTGCGGAACTGCCAGGTCTGCTTCGGAAATGGGCCAGTAGCTACCTGTTGGCGGATCTCGTCTTTTGTCTAGTGCAGTTGTCAGGAAGCCAAAAGAGGTATGTCGCGGGAGTGTTCTGGCCGCAACGCGTGATCAGGGTTGTTTCATGTCCTCGGACAGCGAGCGTGTTCTCACCCGCAGGACCTGAGGGACTTCCAAGAGTCACCAGGGAAATGGGTATTTCAACAGGCAAGATTGTTCGGGGGGATTTGACGCGTACTGTGTAAAGTATATCTCCAGGATCAAGCAGGTGATTGGCTGGATGCAGCGCGCATAGCAGAAGGTTTGATGAGAGGTACTAGGGAGGAAGGGAGATGCCCAGGAACGGAGTGATGGATCGCGAGCGGTGCAGGGCTGGTCGGCGGCGGAGAAAGGCCTCGAGGCAGAGTGGAGATGGGATGTGTGTGTGTGTGAGAAGGGCGATAGAGGGAGCGGCGGCGGATGGGACGAGACGAGCTGGAGCGCCCGGGTCGAGGATGTTCCAGCGGAAAGGTCAGTGGAAGGAGAGACCGAGGGAGAGACCGAGGCTGGAGGGACCGCCAGAAGAGAACGCCTGGGGAGGACACGAGGCGGTCCCGGCGAGCCTTGAGGCAGATTTAGCAGCGCGCAGACCACACACGGCCGCCGGCTTTATGTCCGCCGCAACCTCAACAGCTCAAATGCCAACCTCCTCAGACCCCCAGCTCCTATATACTGCACTCCCCCCCCCCCCCCCCCATGCCCCTCTGTCCCCAATGTACTCCTACTCCCTCCACCACAACCCCGAGCCCGCCATGCACGCCCTCGACTGCTCCGAGTCCGACGACGACAGCGACATGCTCTCCGACTTTTCCTACAGCGCCGCAAGCTCCGCCACCTCCTACGATGTCTCCATGCGCTCCGCCTCCCCCGCCCCCTCCCAGTACTCCGTCACCAGCTCCATTCGCGCCCAGTCGTATCGCCTCGAGTTCGGCCGCGGTCTCAACAACTACTCCGACGTGTACCAGCTCCCCGCAGACGACGAGGAGCTCGAGCGCTTGGGTACGCTCGATCGCACACCCGCCTTGTCCGTCCACCCACGCTGAGACGCTTGTCTTGTCTTCGCGTCTCAGACATGCAGCATGTGATGTTCAAGGTGGTCATGGGAAAGTACCCGCCCCCTCTCGTCGAGATCCTGTCCGAGGTCATCCCAGGGGAGCCCAAGGCGTGTTTAGATCTGGGTTGTGGGAGCGGCAGCTGGTATGTCTTCGCCACCAGTCCTCGCGCGTGCTCCGAAGCTCACGCTATTCGCGTCGGAAGGATTATGGATGTCGCACGCGATTTCCCCAATTGCCAGGCCGTGGCCGTCGACCTTGTTCCCATGCAAGCCGAGTTCGTACACCCCTGCTTCTCACCGCCTGTTCCTCGAGAATTGACGCACCAAATTCACGTTCAGAGACATGCCTCCGAATTGTAGGTAAGGGCGTTCCTCGACCCAGCATCCTTTACGTCCGCGCTCAACAGGGTCTCGATCAGGAGCGAGGTCGACGATATCAATCTAGGCATGCAGCACTTCTATGGTGACTTTGACGTCGTCCATACCCGGCTGGTCTCTTCAGGCGTAAGTCGTGACGGCCTCTATGGATAATATCCCCGGGACGCTCGCGTCCAATAGGCTCAGCTGATCGTGACACTGTTTTTTCTTTCTGCGCGATCAGGTCCGCGATTACCGTGCCTTTATAGACGAGATTGCGCGAGTGCTGCGGCCCAAGGGACTCGTCGAAATCGTGGAATTCGACTTCCGATGTTACGACAACGATCATAAGCCCATACTGTCAATACCAGATGCCATGGAACCGCCATGGCTTCCTCGCTGGTTCAATCTCTCCAACATGGCAGTGCGCCAGCGTGGCGGTACCCCCGACGCGTCCAACATGCTCTATGCGTGGTTTCGTCAGCACCCCGCGTTTGAGGACATCGTGTACAGAGAGGTCTGGCTGCCGACCTCGGCCTTCTATCAGAAAGGCCACAAGGATTTCTATGCTGGGACGGTTATGCAAAAGGACATCCAGGTCAGTGTCGTTGCTCAACGTGGTGTCGCACACTACTGCGAATCATGTGCGACTCATCACACGGTGCAAACTTCTTTTTTCTCCTCTTGCAGGCCTTTCTTAAGTCCGGGCGGCCGCTGTTGCTGGGAAGTGGGCTCCCGGAGGCGTATGTCGACGAAGTGACGCAGCTCGCCCACGATGAGGTGGAAGCGGCGCAGACTGTCACCTTTTGCCGCGTGGAGTCCGTGTATGCGCGGAAGCGAGAGGCTTTCTGAACTTGAAATTTTGGTTGAACTTTACATCTTGGCGGGGCCAATCGCAATGGACCTTTAATACGATAGCATATGGACATGGCCTTTCAATACAAGTAGTGTACGTCAAATTAATCCCTCGTCTTTGTCTTTCCTATGCGTAGTCAGACAAATGAGATGAGGTGATATTCACTTTCAGGATACGTGCATCGTCGGATGTCGGAGAAGAACTGGGGTCAAGAAACCCGCACATCTGCCCTTACTAAGAGCATGGGAAAGAATGCTGCGCAGATCTAAGAGGCCGTGACCTGCAATGGGGATATGTTCAGAAAGCTTGATATATGGGGACGGTAAACCGCGATTCATGAAGCTTCAATAAGGTGAAGGGTTGCCCGGGATGACATTTAAGAGAGTACTCATTCCAGGGCACTTCACACATGCTGCAGAATCATTGTCGATATCGTGGTGGAGGACTATAGGGAACATCTCCGCCGGTTTCTCTCATTTTGGAGCAGCGATGTGATGAACATGGGAATGTCGATGCACGACAAGATACGATTAAATTTACTATTCGGCCGGAGGTGGTGATTCCATCTAGGGGATCGTGGTGCGGGAGGCTCAGCGATGAGGATGCCAGAAGCAAGGAGCGTTTGTTTCCGAGCGAGATGCTGCTCCTGGGCTCCAAACTCGTTGCCTCGGCTGCCAGACTGGGCCGCGCGCCCCGCGAGCCGCTCGGCTCGTGCTTAATGAAAGGCAGGCTTCTCTCTTGGAATGTCATGACGTCGGCGATTGGACACGCCTCCGGGATCTTTGGATGGCATCGAGAGATCGGACATACAGTATTGGGCGTGATGTACGGCTATAGCTGTCTGGATTACAAGTGCCGACAGGACCCTCGCCCCCAAGCAAGCCCCGACTGGACACGGTTCTTGTTTCTTGCACTCGGCGCGGTGAGCGCCTGTGATCCCGGATGCGCGAGAAAAGGGTGACGGTAATGACGATGAGGCCACCGATGGTGCATCCTGCGATTCCACCGGCCTTCATTGTCATGTTGATAGAAGTGGAAGGACCGTTTCTGGCGTGCATCATGTGGCTTGGTGGGTTATTTTGAGTCGTTGACATGTGTGATTTGAGACGACCGGCGGTACTGGCTGCAGTGCTTTGTTTTAAGTTCGAATTACATGGTGACTGAACCCGGCGTGCCTGTCCAGCTATGTAGAAGGGAGAAGACGATCAGCATGCGTGGGACGTTTGAGTAATAAAAAACTGCCACTGAACAAGTTCAAAGTGACCTGTCTGACGATTTACCGAGGAGACTCTGGGCTGTGGGCTTGGACGTAGTACAGCAATGAAAGCTGCACTGAGTAAAACGCATTGCTTTGATACAATTCACGCCCACAGTTGAGCGATCCATTCACAGCCACTATAGTCACACTCCTCAATGTGGACAAGACAACCAGAATTTGTATCCCTTCCATCGGCGTTTCTCGCAAGAAACTGATTAAGTGACCCGGACCGATTGCGGATGAAAAGTCGCACAATATAGTCGATGATCGGAGAGAAGGCTAGCGTAATTGCTCTGGACTTATTGGATACCGTCTCGATCAGTAGGATGGGTGAAGGATTTTATCTTCATCCCATGGCTACTATGACTGCCTATGAGGTCGCCTTTGCGATTGGTTAAGCACTGGTGACCGACAGATGATGCTTAGCAGTGCTTAGCATAGTCATCAGCGAGCGCCTGCTGAGAAACACGATGTCAAACAAGCGTGAGACCTATGGGTTCAGAGAATGGGAAAGCTCGCCCTCGTCCTATCAAATGGATGGCGACATGCATGGTGGTGGCAGAATCAATGAATCATAGTAATGAGTCTCCGCGAAAAGCATTGTATTTTCTGCCGCTAAGCCTAATTTCATCCGTAATTTCGGGAAGTGGTTCCAAACCCAAGCATGAGGTTAAGGTCACTACTACCTTCACTCCCTGACAATCACTTATACCGCGTCTACTTCAATTGCATTTTCCGTCACTAAGGGTGGAGCTTCGTCGGTATGACAGACCTTGCTCGCGATGAAGTCATTGACAGCATAGTGAATCCACGACCGGAAAATGCTCAAAAGCTTCTAGTCAGCCTCGGTTTTGACAGACTTCCATCTCGTGAACAAGTTCATCGTAATATCGAGGAAAAGTTCCTTCTACCAAAAGATCAGCTTCCTGAGGATTGGCTTCCGGACTATCAGATGTGAGCAATGCAGTGCGAATGGGCTCCGTGCTATGAGCTCACTGTGGCATGCACCTTTCGTAGTCACTGGGAACATTCGATATCTGTCCCTTCGTTACTGGCGCGATCTCCCGCTCCACCGCCGACCTCACTATCGTTTGTAAGAGCAGGCCTTCATGGAAGAGTGACCGGGTACGCCGAGGTGAGCTTTGTGACTTCATTGAACCCTGTGTCCCAAAAGCTATACATGCGCATAGACGCCCAACCCACCTGTCCGCACTGGTCTCACATCTACATCCATCGATCGGGCACCGGGGCCGAACAAGAATTTCGTCAGGGGAAAATCTGGATACGTTCCTTTTTGGCCAGGCGGTCTCGAGAGTCTCGTCCCAGTGCTGAAGGAAGATGAGTCCGATACGGATTCGAAAGGCCTTCGGACCACTCCTCCAGGACTTTCGCGGGGGCTTCGTCTTCCTGGGGATGGTCAAGATGACGAATATCTTTCTGAAATAAATGCGATATCCAAAAAATCATCACGGAACGATTACGAGGTACGATCTTAGATGTTTGTCCCCTTCATACTTACATGGTCACCCTAGGATTACGACGCAAATACAGGCCTCAACGATGAGCTACCTATCCCCTCGAGAACGCGCGTAGATCCAATCGATGACCTACTTCCGTCGTCGGTGAGTAGAGCAACCATGCAAAATCAATTTGTATCTCTGAAGTCTCTGCCAGAGATCACACCTCAGTCCTATCTCCTCGCCACATAAACCTGTCCGAAAGGTGAAGATTCAGAAGCGAGATTGGGCGCATGTCATCGATATCAACAAACCAATGAAAAACTTCCACACACTCGTTCCCGAGATGGCACACAAAGTAGATTTAGTTTCTCGTCGAGGTTATTAGTCTCGGTCGCACTGACGTCCATATTTGACAGTACCCCTTCGAGTTGGACACCTTCCAGAAGGAAGCTGTCTATCACCTCGAGATGGGAAACTCAGTATTTGTCGCTGCACATACTTCTGCTGGAAAAACTGTGGTCGCCGAGTACGCCATCGCTCTTGCAGAAAAGCACATGACTAGGTGAGTATAAGTCTTGATGCAAATTTCGAACATTCAACCATGTCGTGCAGAGCCATTTATACGTCTCCAATCAAGGCGCTTTCAAATCAGAAGTTCCGAGACTTCAAGCAGACGTTCTCGTCAAACTCTGTTGGAATCCTCACGGGAGACGTCCAAATAAATCCAGAGGCTAACTGTCTTGTTATGACGACTGAAATCCTGCGTAGCATGCTCTACAAAGGCGCCGACCTGATACGTGACGTCGAATTCGTCATCTTCGATGAGGTGCATTATGTGAACGATGCTGAGGTAGGCTGGACCGTGCAATTAAGTTGATTTCATAGCTGAACTCTTCTTAGCGTGGTGTTGTATGGGAGGAAGTCATCATCATGTTGCCGGATCATGTGAATATAATTCTGCTATCCGCCACTGTACCAAATGCGAGAGAGTTCGCAGATTGGGTTGGGTCAGTATCACCTTCTTCAATCCACATTCATGCGTTAGCTTATACGCTGATCTGGTCCCAGCCGCACGAAGAAAAAAGACATATATGTCATATACACGGCCAAGCGTCCTGTGCCACTCGAACACTACTTATATGCAGGGCGGGAGATGCACAAAATTGTTGATGCAAATCGAAACTTTGTAGCGGATGGGTATGCAGACAATCTTCTTTTTAGGACCTCAATATGTAACGGTCCCTATAGGTACAAAAGTGCAGGCGAAGCGCTTCGAAGAAAACAAGACAAGGAACGTGAGGCAGCGGGACTACCACCGGTCCAGCGGGTAGGTGCCAGGGGTGCAGCGCCCCAGAGAGGTCAACGTGGAGCAGCAGGTGGGCGCGGAGGTGTTTCTCCTCGTGGTGGACAAGCCCGAGGGGGACAGGCCCGAGGAGCTCCAATTGCACGCGGAGGAGGATCATCACGAACATTCCATCAAGTCGACAAGAGTCTTTATGTTCATTTACTAGGCCACCTGCGGAAGAGTGCACTTCTACCGGTTGTCGTGTTTACACTCTCAAAGAAACGATGCGAAGAGAACGCTGGTTCGTTATCGAATCTGGACCTCTGCTCAGCCGTCGAAAAGAGCGAGGTACATGTCGCCATTGAGAAGGCTGTGGCACGATTGAAGGGTGTGTTATCGATCATGCGAATTTCTGAGTGCTGAAGTAGTTTGCAGGAAGCGACAAAAGATTGCCCCAAATTTCCAGAATGAAGGACTTGCTGTCGCGAGGAATAGGTGTGCATCATGGAGGGCTATTGCCCATCGTCAAGGAGGTTTGATTGGGTCTCAATATTGAGACAAACATCGCTAACGCTATCTTAGGTTGTTGAAATCTTGTTTGCTCGTGGTCTAGTCAAGGTTTTATTTGCGACCGAGACCTTTGCGATGGTATTCATACTATTTCATGCACTAAAATTACCATTGGAAATCGATCATTTTTTAGGGCGTGAACATGCCTGCAAAATGTGTTGTGTTTTCAAGCATTCGCAAGCACGATGGGCGCAGTTTCCGAGATATTCTACCTGGCGAATACACTCAGATGGCTGGTCGAGCGGGTCGACGAGGTCTTGATACCACAGGAACCGTCATAATTATCTCTGGCGATCAACTACCCGAGGTATTTTTAGTAAATTTCTATCAGGGATGAAAACCTAACGTAGTTCTAGCAAACCGCACTACAGCTCATGATACTGGGAAAACCTGGAAAGCTGAACTCTCAATTTCGCCTCACCTACAACATGATTCTCAATCTTTTGCGCGTCGAAGCGCTAAAGGTCGAAGAAATGATCAAACGTAGTTTTTCAGAAAACGCTTCCCAGAAACTGCTACCTGACCAGCAACTGAAGGTCGCCGAAGTGCGTCAAGCACCCTTCTACATTTTTTGGCAGCTCAGAGATGAACGCTGACTTTATCATTGGTCTACAGAGTGAACAGAAACTTTCGACACTCCAAAAGTTGCAATGTGACGTCTGCTCAGATGACATCAACGCTTACTATGATGCTTCAACGGATTTAGTTGACTTCACGCAAACCCTTTTGACTATTGTCGCCAATACACCACAAGGTTCAAAATACTTCACACCAGGACGAGCTGTCATCCTGAGAGATGGGGTAAGCTTTTTTGATCATTGGTAGAAAAAAATAACACACTTTAAACTCTTTCCCAGCATTTCAGATGGAGTGCAGCCGTATTGCTCAAGCCCACTGCCTCCAAAGAAAAGGTGAAAACCTTCTGGGTGCTAGCTCGGGTAGATCAAGAGACGAAGAGCGGGAAGAATGGTGTGTGTTTCTTCGCACGATCCCGACATTGTGTGTTCATCAACCACAGATGTCGACACGCAGCTTGTCCCACCACGATGGCAGGCCGACCCTCAAATTCTACAGATCGATGATGCCGTTTACGAGTTGGTGGCAGCCCCGATTACCAGTATATCTATGGTGACAGATCGTATAGTGAAGGTACTATTATTTGGGCTACGTCGTGCATTGACGTTGTTGACAATTGACAATCATTCTATGGTAGGTTGATGTAGATGCTATTGTCGAACGACATAAGACCTCGCCAATGAATGAGGTTATTGCTTCTCTCAAAGACTTGATCGACAAATGGATATCAATGGGTACGGTGCCCGAGGCACCCTGGCCTCGTATGCGAGCTCTCGAGTTTCAAGAAGTGCTGCAATCGAGAAGTCAAGCCCTGCAGCGAATACAAAGCTCGTCTTGCACGCTTTGCAGCGATTTCGATCATCATGTGCGCATATATGCACTCTGTCATCTCTCATTCTACATATTGACATGACTACCAGTACACGCTACTCCATGCCGAGAAGACATTACGAGCCAATATCGCGAACCTCAAACTGGCCATCTCGGATCAAAATTTGGAGCTCATCCCAGACTATGAGCAGCGTATCGAAGTGCTCAAAGAGCTGAAATTCATTGATAATAATTCAACAGTTCATCTGAAAGGACGTGTAGCTTGTGAGGTATGTTGTTCTCTATTTCCTTTCTCGTTGTCTCTCGTCTTACAACATCTTAGATCAACTCGGTAAACGAGCTGATTCTTACGGAACTGATTCTTGACAATACTCTCGCTACATATGAGCCGGAAGAAGTCGTCGCCCTTCTGTCGTCATTTGTATTCCAGGAGAAGACTGATTCAGAGCCGTTGATATCACCGAGGTTGGAGGAGGGTCGAGCTGCCATTCTGACTATCGCAGATCGGATCGGCAGGGTCCAAGACCGACATAAGGTCGCAGCAGATGACTTCAGGTCCAGCTTGAAGTTTGGCCTCATGGAGGTTGTTTATGAATGGGCCCAGGGCATGGTGAGGCTTCCTCAACAATTCTATGCATGGTTTTCTTACAGTTTTGTAGCCATTCGAGAAATTGACTGATCTGACGGACGTGCCCGAGGGGACCATTGTACGAGTAATCAACAGGTTAGACGAAACTTGCAGGGAGGTTAGGGATGCGGCGCGAGTCATCGGAGACACAGAACTCATGAAAAAGATGGAGGAGGCGCAGAACAAGATCAAGAGAGATAGTAAGTGCTATCTTGAATCGAAAGAGTCGGGCGCCCAACTAATCCCTTTTCAGTCGTGTTTGCAGCAAGTCTGTATTTCTAGCAGATTCAGGTAGTCCGAGCAATATATCGCTAGCAGTTTTGTTTTGTTAACGTTCACTACATGAATGTGTAATTCTAGAACTTTTATAAGCAGAAGATTGCTGTATTTAGCACAGAGTGATCGGGGTCTTGCACCAGTAAACGTCATTGGTAGATCAACCTGGTCAACCATTTCAACGAATTTCAACCTTTGTTGGCTTTGGTTTCGACCACTACATCTCCTTCGACCCTCTGCGTGCGATGTCAGACTCTCAGGATTGCCATGAGCTTCTCTCTGACTCTCAAAAGTATACTATCTCTCATCCTATTTTATGCGAAACACCACAGGTCTCACAAATGGCAGTTGACTACTTGGCACACGCTTCCACCAATAAGCACATCTATTACCCCTCGCCGAATGGGCCCACTTCATCTTTCCAAGACAATGACAACTCCTCGATACTGCCTCCGCAGCGACGTAGAGTCAACCCCGAGAGTCTTGCAGCCCGCCTCGGCCCAGATCTTGTTACCGAGCTTGAAAGGCATATAATACCTGGAAATATTGAAATGCCATCATTCAGTGTGCGTAGAGATGTCCAGGTCAAGTTTGGTATCGATAGGCGACAGATCTACGACTTTTATCACAGCAGAGGGTTGCGCTGTATCAAAGAGGAGAAGGGAGTGCGACCCGGAGGGTTCTTTCCAGAGGTAAGGACCTAATGTATGCGTCAGCCTTAAATTAATCATGATATAGGGTCGGACACGACCTGCCAGACAGCCCATACCGCCGCCTAGCCCCAATTTGCTAGAGCCTAAAAAGCGAAGGGCTGCTGCTGCATCTGCTGCCGCCGTTCTGACCAAGCCCCATCGAGTGCCGCGTAAAAGTAGGACCATGCGAAGAAAGCATACTCCCTCTGACAACTTCGCGGAAAGCGTACTCTCGGAGTTCATTGATGACCCTTCTGATTCTGGGTGCATTATAGCTATGCCCGAGATCTGCGAACTTACTTGGGACGGTCAACATGCGGACTTTATCCCTCGCATACATCCGCTCGAGGACAGTTTCCTTCAACGCGCCGTCAGTGACGAGGACTACGCCTCGCGAACCCAGCCTCTTCTAGAACGTCTGGCAGAATTGCAAGGGTTTCGTACCTATGTCACTCCGTCATCCTCAAGCTCTTCGATTTCGTCAATCTCTTCGGCCTCTTCTAATTCCTCCATTTCCACCGCCCTTTCATCGCAATCCGATTTTCCTTCGTCCCTTGCACTATCTGCGACACCTGAAACACAGCCGAAGCTAGCAGCTACCTCCCTCAAAGAAGTTGAACGGGAGGAACATTACGACTGGCTTTCTGGTCTTCTCGGTCCAGCCATGGGCATCCAAGAAAATGTTGGAACTTACAGGTCGTATATGGAATGTCAGCGCCGGGTTTATCTCGAACGACTTCTGGATGTGGACGGTTGGAAATGTGCTCCATGCTCGCCTGTGACGAACGAATTCAAAGGTTGGGTCTCCCGCCCCGTTCCGAACCAATCCCCACTGCAGAACCTCCCCTTCCGGTCAGTTGGACAACCTCAGGTTGACGCCGATGAAGTTCCTGTCTCTTCCGATTCGCTAGATTCACTTTTTCCTCGATTGGATATGGAACAGCGTACACCCTTGTCTCCTAACAATCCTGACTATCTTTCCGACTGCTTTGGGCCCTCGACTTCCTTGGCTGTTAGGGAAGTTGGCGTTCAGATTGAAGACGCTATCCGAGGCCCCAAGCAGACGGCTCAGGCTCATTGCCGGCGGGAGAGCCATATCAGTGCAGGAAGGCACATTCGGTTTGATACAAATTCAGATGCATCATGCATCCGCAAATTTCAGACAGAAGTCATCAGGATAGTACGCAGGCGGACGTTTTCGAGTGGAGGGGAATTATGATCCGCGTAACCCCAGTAGGCTCCCTCTCCTCATTTGGGAACGATAGCTGAATCGTGTTCATACGTGCTTCAAGGTGGCCCTATCTCTCGTTTCTCCGTCGCCACCAAACTATCTTAGGAACTTTCATTATTTGGCCCTCAGTTCTAGACCTTGATTGCACTCTGTGTTCTTCTTCGTTTCTGTTCTCCGCTTTGGCGACACCCAGCAACATCTTCTACGGCTCACTTCTCACGGGCCAATCAATCCCGACTTCTATTGGTTCAACGTGTTCAATCTGTGCATTTTCGTGGCTTAGCTTTCCACGGTTTGGTTCTTTCTCTGTATCGAACGGACGTCTCAAGCATTATCACGCGGACTTTCTCGGACTTTCAATACCTGGACTTCGTCGATCTCTCTGGCGCAATGCTACCCGCGATACCCCGGCCTTCGTCCTCACCCCACGCGATCCTCAATAATTCACCTTGTATCTAGCACGCTCTCTCTCTCCTCTCTCTTGTCAACTGTATGTGCCTATTCCGTATATGGAAGCCGATCGCCCAGGAGCGAACCTCAGCATTATCAACACCCGACATCCAACAATCGGAACTCCCACCGCGGACACCCTTTCGCTCTTATATGTCTCACTCAGCCCGTCGCCCTGTCTTGCATTCCCATCGCGCCCGCGCCCCGTCTTCTCCCGTATCTCTGGCTTGCTTCCAAATTCGCGAACTCAAGGCCCCAGCCTCCACGAACCTTGATAACGACTGCGCCCGTCGACACGCTATTTCTGGGGCGCTGTTATCCATTACTGGATACATTGGTATGGCTGAGCCCCATGTGTATGTTTCATTTTTATCAGTCCGTGTTCCTAAGCCCTGAGACCTGTACACTCTTGTTGTCGTTGTCGTTGTTGTACACCACACATGGATTTTGACCTGTTGGAATCAATTTGGCTCGTCTCGCAACGTCCATCTGTCGTCGTGTAAGGGCCTGTGCACATTGTGCGACGACGTGCTGTCAAATGTATCATTTCCGTCTCCGGCCGCGGGGTTCTCGGTAGCGTTCATCTTCGCTTGAATGGCATTGGACTCGGGGATAAATGGAAGCACCGCAACAGGCAAGCAAAACAGGGAAGGTGCGGATTAGAGTTTACAGTGCTATCTCGACGCGGAAACGCTGATGTGTGGGGCAGCTATCTCGGACGTGGCTTTCTCGAAGTTCTGCGGACGGGTTTGGACGACGTCCGGATGCCGCTGTGAGACCCTTACTTACTTGTAACAGCCCTTGTGCTGCGCCCCGTGCCATGCCAGCGAGGGGAAGCGCAGACCATGGGCGTCGACTCCTTCGTGCGGCCCTCAGATGTCTTTTTGAGCGGGCTCGCGCGCGCGCGCGCGATGCCAGGCACGAGTTCTAGACGCGGTTTGGGCACGCTCCACGAGCTCGCGCGCGGACCGTCTGCGCGTCCTGCGCGCTCTGCGCAATCTGCTGCGAAGCACGCGCGCCGCGGGCGGGGCCGGGCGAGGGGCGGTCGGTAAGCACCGAGTACATGCTCGTGCAGGCTCGTGTCCGACGATCGAGGAAGTACGCTGCTGCTAACTTACTGGGAGTGGGATTCCAACGCTCGGAATCGGACGGCTTCGGGGCCGCGGTGCAGGGCTGGGGATATCTGCGATTTGCAGCTCGCTCGCTCGCTCGCACGCACGCACGCATGCACGGAGGGCCATAGCGAGATCGTCGTTCTCTGAGCTGCTTGTAGAGCGCGGAACGTGCGCGCGCGCCCGCGACGTGCAAGGGCACGCCGGCGCTCAACGTTCGACGCTCGCCCGAGATATAGCGTCCACCGCGGGACTGTCGTCCTCGCATCTCTCACGCGGATTGACTGTCGCGCGCGTCTCAGGACTCGCAAGCGGCGCTCGCGCCCCATCTCTCGTACTCGTTTAGTTCAACAAGTTCGCCCTGCGCGGCTATCCGCGGGCACGTACGTACGTAGAGTACACCGTGGCGCGACAGATCCCACCGGACGCTTCAACGTGCTCGAGTGCAGATCTGCGGCATCTCATCTCGCAGGAGGGCGCCAAACGACAGCGACGCCACCTCTTTGCAAGTACGACTAAAAAAAGACTCGCCCCGTCTACGAATAGAGAACAACAAGGCCCTTTCGAGGGCACTGGGCTCCATCTGCGCCCGGTCGCGAGGGGCACGGGGCACGATGATGCGGCGGCGCCGGACGTGGATGCGGTATTCAATCTTTGCTGGCTGGCCACGTCCACGGAGAGTCGAGCGTCAAGGGCCAGCCGGGGGCGCCGTGAAGTAATACTTGATGATGCACAGCGGTGCGACGCCCTGCGAGACCCTGAGAGGCCCGAAGAGGCAAAAGATGCATCTCGCATCCACGCGACGGGATAGCCGCGGGAGGGCGGGGGACAGCGCGACTATACTCGGGAAGGGCGACGCGCGGGCGCGTGGATCTGTCACCGAGTGTCAGGTATGAGACGCGGGTGCCCGATCGGCAGACACCGTTATCGCGCGCGGAGGCGTACGTGTCCGTCGGGCGAGGACGACGCGGCCCGGCTGGCTTTGGGAATGGGAAGTCCCCGCTCGCGGCGCGCGCGCAAGCAGAGCAGAGCAAGTGGATGCGCTCAACCCCAGACGGAGATCAAGGGTGCCGAGAGACAGTACAGGACTGCCCGATCCTGCGATGCCAGCAGGAGAGGAAGGAGAATCCGCGATCGGGGGTCCCAAAGGGCGCCCGCCGGCCACGAGCCCCTCTGACGTCGACAGTGGCCATCGACACTAGAGACCAGACCGATTCGGGCACGAGCGCGCATCCCTAGGGGCGCTCTGCGCACAGGTAGACCGGCGGCGTCGCAGTCATCGCGCGCAGCCATGGCATGCCCGAACAGGATTCAACCCTAGCCTGCGCAGGCGGCGCGTGCGCTAGCCTCCACCGGAGACACAGAAGCGACAAGCGAGCGAGGCGCGTGCCCGAGCCCGGGTCCCTAAACAGCAGGGAAGAAGAGAACCCGGGTGAGCAGCGGCCACGAGCCCTCTGACGCCGACGGTGGTCATCGACACCAGGCCGATCCGGGTGAGAAGGGCGCTCGGCGCGCAGGTTCTAGAAGACCGACTTCGTCGCAGCCATCGCGCCCAATGCAAGTCCGCACCCGCGCAAGCGAAGAACCGTCGCGCGCGGCTGCGCCACCCTAGCAAGCCCAAGTCCGAGCCCTAGCGAGCGAGCGAAGCCGCCCCATACCAACAGAAGCGAGAACCTGCGAACCTGCCAACAAGCAGTGCGCGCGCCTTCGCCAGGGGCCCCGTGTCCAATCGTCGCCGCCGTCGGCCGCGATCGCATCGATAATCGCCATCGGACCCTATGAGCCCACGCGCCGCAGGCGCCTTTGCCGGCTTCGCTTCTGGACGGGCACGGTCGAGTGCTCGAGTGTTCATCGGGTGTCCAGCGGGCGATGAGGTCCGCGATGACGACTCGATAAGAGAGTGCCCACAGCAGCCGAGCCTGGACTCCCGCGTCGTCCTCTCCTGTGCCTATGTGACATGGTCAGGACGGCCCTGGGACCCGAGAGACAAGCAATGCGCCCCGGCCCTCGAGCCTGGTGTGGGTGAGCGAGGATGACGCGCGGCGCGCGTGGCGACGCGTAACGCGTACGCGCCGCGTCGGCCGTGCGGCGTGCAGACAGGACGCCGATGCAGACGCCAATATATCACGCGCGCATGCGATGACGCGACGACGCGACGACGCGACGCGACGACAGTGCCCTCGGCGAAACGCAGGCCCTAACAGGAGACGATCGGAGGCTCCCAACCCACCTTGCCGAAGCCTGATCCCGCTCCTGCTCCTGCTCCTTGTTCGGCCCCCCATCCATCACGGTACCTTTGTGTGTGTTTGTGCGAGTCGGATGCGGCGCGTCGTCGTCGAAAGCTCGGAAACCAGACCCAACCGGGTGCAAAAAAACGAGCGCGAACGCAGGCCCGTCCCCGTCGAACCCCAGGGACGCAACCTCACCAGCCTCGAGGCTGCCCCTACCCGCCTGCGTGCAGCATCAGCGCTTCAGCGCCCGAACCCGAGCGTCTTTGGCCAGATTCCAGACCAGCTCTCGGGAGAGAACTGTAGATAAATGTAGATAACTCGTGAATTAAACGTAAATCCGCGCTGCAAGATTCGGCGGCGAGGCAGCGGCGCATGTTTTCGATTTTATTATTGTTTTATGTTTTTGGAAATGGGCGGGCGTTCGTCGGACTCGGACCTGGACTTGTGCGCGCACGACCGAACATCTCCGAGGCACCCCAGAATTCGTATATCGCTTCACGAGGGACGGTGCGCGAGATGAGACTGAGATGGGTGCGCGCGGGCCGTCGCGCGTGCTCGTGATCGTGTATAGGCGTTGAGCGACGGCAAGCGGAGAGAGCTCGAAGGAAGCAGAAATACGCAGAGAGGCGGGAGACGAGGCGAGGCGGGATGGGGACCAGGACCGGGAGCGAGACGCGGACCGGGGCGGTGCAGGAGATCCGCAGGGGGCGTCGCAGAGGATGGACGCGCCAGAAATTCGACGAGGATTCAGCGAGATTGTGCGAGATTGTGCGAGATTGTGCGAGGATTTGCACCAGATTTGCGCGGGCTTGCGGGCTTGCGGGGATCGCGGGCGTGCTGCACGCGGGCTGGCGGACTGCTGGCCGCGGTATCCGGTGGGGTCCGGTGGGGTCCGGCGGGTGCGCAGGTGGAGTCAGGAGTCAGGAGTCGGGACAGCGCCGATTTGCGATTTGCGCGCGGAGGTGGACGCGCGGGGATGGATTGCATTTGAGTTGTTGAGGGTCGAGAGACGGCTGGCGAGGGGCGAGAGGCGAGGGGCGGGACTGGAGCGGGCGGCGGGGATGTGGGTGCGTGATGGTGGGAATGGCGAGGGCGCGCGAGCGGGTGTGGGATGATGATGCGTGCGTGCGTGCGCGGCTGTGCACGGTGGGAGGCATGCAGGTGTGCATGTGTGCATGTGTGCATGTGTAGTGTCTGGCCAGCATCGAACATGCCGCGCGGCGCACGTAGGCGCTGGGGTATTCGTACGCGGCGCATGGACCGCCCTTATTCCAGAAAGCAACGCAGAAAGGAGACGCGAGGCGGGGCGATGAGTCACCTGCGTACCTGGGGCGCGCGGGGGGGTGGCAGATAAGTAACGGAGAGCAGGGGGCGCACGAGGCGGGGAACGAGGTGGGGTTTGATAAGGGCGGAGGGCGCTGGGGGGCGGAGATTGGAAATGGACGGGGCAGGAGGGGAACGGGGGACGGGGGAGGGGGGAGGGCAGGTGCAGAAGCGGGGTGATGTAATGGGGAGATGGAGATGGAAGATGCAGGTGTAGATGTGGGACGCGGATGGGGATGTACTAATGGGGCGATGACGATGGGTATCTGGGCCACGCGCGGGCACGAGGCGGGTGGGTCGCGTGGGCGGACGGAGGGCGAGGACGGATTGGGGAGATGGGGGCCGATGGCGGGCACGGAGGCGACGAAGAGTCGCGGGCGGGACAGGCAGCGGGGATGACGTGATGGGGGATCCGATGGGCGTGGGAGGGAGCGTGGGAGCGTGTGGAGGGGACCGAGTTGCCGGGCCTTGTGTGGCTGGGCCGGGGTGCAGTATGTAAGAGAAGAGGCGGGCCAGCTCATCGCCGCTTCCCGTGCCACCCCTCCGTCCTCTCTCTGCATGCCCCCGTCCAGTCCCCATGCTCACCCCCGCCGGCCCCCGTCCCGACTCCCTCCCCTACCGCCGCATGCCCCCCCGCGGCCGTAGCACAGCCGTCTCCCCCGCCGCACTCGCACGCCAGGCAGACGACCGCGCCCTCCGCAGCGCCCTCTTGCCCCACCCCAACCCACCCGCCGTCCCCCCGACCCCGTCCCACCACAAACAACATCAGCAGCAACAACAACAACAACAACAGCAACGCCACCGACATCAGCGTAAGAATAGACACTCCTCCCACATGTCCCCGCCCATCATCACGCTCGAAAAGACTCCGTCGCTGCAAGGCCCAGGTGCGCACCCACTCCTCCCGTCCCCCTCCGTTCGTAACCCCCTCTTCCGCAGCCCCCGTCCCAGCCCCGTCCCAGCCCCCTCCCCTCCTCCCCTCCCGCGCCCTCTCCCCCTCCCCCGTTGCGACTCCCCTCGGGCCCCTCACCCCCCCAGAGCCCGCCTACCTCGACTCGAACCCCACCGTCCTCCTCGGCCCCTCCCCCGCGATCCCCCACGCCCGCGCAGTGCGCGTCGTCCGCGCCGACCTCGACCTCCCTCCCACACCCGCACCCGCACCCGCGCCCGCACCCGCACCCGCCCCTTCAGCCCCACAAAAACGCGCCGCCCCAGCCCCAACCTCCACCTTCCCCCGCTACGCCCGCCTCACGCGCCCCGCCCCCGCCCTGCTCGCCCCGCCCGAACCCGAACCCGCGCTCGACTCCCCCGCAGACGCGTCCCGCGAACGCGCCGAGGCCGCCGCCCGCGCGCGCAAGCAGCAACAGGACGCCGAGCGCGAACGCGCCCGCCTCGCACGCCTCGCACGCTGCGCCCAGAGCTTCGACGACGCCCGTGCCCGCGCCCGCCGCGAAAAGGCCGCAGCAGCCGCAGCCGCCACAGCCCGCCACGAGGCCGCGCGCGAGCATGCGCGCGCAAAGGAGGACGCCGTGCGCGCGCGCGAGAGGGAGCACGAGCGGGAGCAGAGGGAGCGCGCGCGCGAGGCGGAGACGCACGGGCACGGGCACGGGCACGGGGGCAGGTACGATCGACATAGCCGGTATCCCGCCTGGAATCACCCGCAGCCGCAGCCGCCGCGCGCGACGCGCGCGAGCTTCGTGCTCGCGCTCCCGATTGGCCCGCAGCACGGTGCGCCATACCACCCGCAGGCGTACACCCCGGGGTACCTGCGCGCGCGCGCGGGCCTCCAGCCGCAAACGCCTATAGCGCCGCCGCCGCCATCATCCCAAGCGGGCAGGACGCGCGTCGTGCACGTGTCCACCACCACCACCACCACCATGACAGGGCAGTCTTCGTGCGCCGAAGACCGCTTCACGTACGACTTTCCGATGCCCCGCGCGCCCACGTCCCCTCCGCCGCCGCGCGTCGGCACAGGCGCATACACCCACAACGTCGCGCTCGCCGCGAGCGTCCGCCGGCCCCCCTTTGTCCGCGCGTCCGCGCCCGCGGCCACGGCCCAGGCGCTCCCGAGGACGGGCCGCGGCCGCAGCTTGGTGCTCGGGCTCGCGGGCGGAGACGCGGACGGGGACGGGGATGAGGGCGCGGACGACAGCGTGGTTCCGTTCAAGCAGGTGTTGAGCGCGACGCGGGGCGCGCTGTTCGCGGACGAGTCGCCCGCGACCGTGCCCTCGCATTCTTCATCATCATCGTCATCATCACCATCATCGTCATCGTCAGCATCTTTAGCGTCTCGTTCCCAGCGCCCCAGAAACTCGACCCTCCCCCGCTCACGCGCCAGCAGCCCCGAAAACCCCCCAGAAGCAGCCAACGCCACCGACGCCGCCGACGCCCTCAGCCCAAGCCCCGCACGGCGCCGCCCCGAGCTGCTCCGCACGCTCCTCGCAGAGGTACACTGGGCGCGCGACGAGCGGCGCCACACACGCGCCGGCGGCCACACGCGCACCGCGTCCGCGTCCTCGGCGGCGAAGCGGCCCCCGCCTTCCTCCGAGCGGAGGGCGGTGCACCCGCAGCTGCTCATCGGCGCGTGCAAGGCGTGCGCGGTGACGGGCGTCCCGGACCCGTTCCTCGAGCTCGCGGCCGCGGCGGGCGCGGGGAGCACGGGGAGCGCGGGTTCGAGCGCCGGCGCGAGCTCGAGCTCGAGCTCGACGCTCGCCTCGTGGTTCTCGTTCGGCACGCGCAAGTCCGCGTCCACCGCCGCCTCGTCTGTGCGCTCCGCAAAGCAGCAGCAGCCGGCGCGGCGGGACTCGCACGCGGGCGCGGGGCCAGCACAGGGAGAGGAAGAGAGGGAGGAGACGCCCCTCCGCCACTCGTGTCGGCGCGGACAGTGTTTCGTCGCCGTCGAGCTGTGGGAGAGCCCGCTCGCGCCCGCGGGTGAGGGCCCGCCGGTCCCTGCGCCGCGGGTGCCGGCTTTGGGAGACGAGGGCGCGCGCGCGCGGACGCGGCGCGCGAGCGGGGTCGGGATCGGGCGCCGGCTGAGCGTGTCCCTCGGGACCGTGCTGCGCGCCGTGGGGCGCGCGCATGGTGCGTATGTGCGCGCGGCGATGCTCAGCGCGGGCGTGGACGCGCGAGCGCGCGACGACGCAGACGAGAACGGGGGCGAGGACGGGTGGGCGTGTATGGCGGCTAGGCGGGACGGGTACCGCGTGCGGCGGGCGGACGTGGGCGTGTTTCTCGGTGTCGGGCCGGGTGGTGGGGGCAAGCCTAAAGCAGAACTGGCGAGGGGCAGGAGGCCGTATACGCTGCACCCGCTGATGCCGCTCGCGAGCTGCAGCTGGCGCGCAGCGCTCGACGATTCCTCGTCTTCGTCCTCATCCTCATCCTCATCTTCGTCCTCGTCGTCCTCGTCCTCACCCTCTCCCCCGCGCTCCCCCCTCTCCGCATACACCTTCCTCACCGACCCAGACCCCTACCCATACTCGCACCCCCCTTCCGTCTCCGCCACAGACCGCTACACGGGCCTCCACCCCGACCCGAACAACGACAACGACAACGCCCCCGACGACGACGACGACGACGACGACGACGGGTACGGCCCCGCGCCGCTCGGCTTCGCGCGCGCGTCCGCCCCGCCGTCGGCCCGCCCGTGGCAGGAGCAGGACCCGCCCGCGCCGGCGTGCCGCGCGCGCGTCATCGCGAACCCCGCCGCGCTGCGCCTGCGCGCGCTCGCGAACACGATCGTGCGCGCGCGCGCGTCCGTCGTGCTCGCGGGGTCGAGGGCGCCCGCGGGCGGTATCCTCGCGAGCGTCGGGGGCCCGGCGCGAAGAAGCGTGAGTGTGAACGTGAGCGGGAGCGGGGCTGGGGCCGGGGCCGGGGCGGGCAGGGGGCAGAGGGGCGGGAGGGGCGGGAGGGGCGGGGGGAAGGCGGGGATTGACGCGCGGGTGGAGACGGTGTTGGGTCCGCGGCTTGCGGCGTGTGGGGTTGTGGTGCGGCCGGATGCGATGGGCGGGGGGAGGGAGCGGCTCGTTGGGGTTGGGTTTGATGTGCATCTGCGCGGTTCGGGTGGGGGGCGCGGTAAGGGCGGCGGTATGCGCGTGGGCAACGCGGTGGTGGTAACGAGGGAGGAGAGGGGGGCTGCGGGCGATGGGAAGGGGGCGAGCGGGACGAGCGGGACGAGTGGGACGAGTGGGCTGCGGTGGGGGTGGAGGGTGGTGTGGGAGGACGAGCAGGAGCGAGAGGGGTGGTGGTAGGTCCTATGTCCTAGGCATGGCTCGTGCGTGCGTGCGGTGGTGGTCCTGGTGCAGGATCCGGAGGGGCGTGGATGCAGCGTGGACGGGTGCGCCGTAGACGGCACCCGCTTTTCCTTTTCCTTTTCCTTGCCTCTTCTTTTTCTTCTCCGTTTTCCTTTTCTGGTCTGGATTCTTTGCGGTCTCTCTCTCTCTCTCTCTCTCTCTCTCCATCCACTACTTCTCTCTATCGCTCTCTCTTCTCTCTTCACCTGATCTCGCCCCGCATCAGTTTTAGCGGGGCACGTTATCGGTTATTGGGTGTGCGGATGCGCCATTGACTTTTGCCGCTGCCGCTGGGTGCGGTGTACGAGTACGATACATATTAGCGGATATCTTATGCGTTAGAACGGGGCGACCCCGCGACGACGACGACGACGGCGACACGACGACACGAACAGATGCCTTACCCCCCCCTCCCTCCCCTTACCTCTTTCTCACTTTGTGGCACGGATGGATGGATATGGCTTACTTGCTAGCGCGTACTGTACTGTAGAGCGGGTGCGTTGGGTTATTGTTTATTAGTTTGTTTGTTTTTGTCTCTTTTTTTTCTCTATCTGCGGTTTTGGTGGAACTCTCTCTCTCTCTTGCTATCGTTACGACCTATAATGATGTACATATATACACATAGACTGTTGCATGGCGCGTCGCGTCGCGTCGGGTTGACACATTCGTCATCGTTTGTGGTCAACTGAGGACTGAGGACTGAGGACTGAGCAGATCGCGGATGCGAGGTGGACGGGGTAAGCTGGGGTAGGGTGACAAATACGGTACGGAGGCATAACTGTGATCGAGGCGTGCCGGATCGCTGCCAGATCGCTGCCAGATTAGATCTGGCCGGGTGAAGACCGCTGAATATTGAATGTAGGCGCTGGTCTGTATTGTATAAGTACGAGTGTAGTGCCGTTCATCATGCTTCCCGCTCTGCTCTGCTCTGCTCTGCTCGCGACCGAAGGAGCATCCCCGGTCGTAAAAAACAGCGGGCCTCATCCTCGTACGTCGCACAGCACCGCAGACTCTATTATTCCACACGGAGGCCAAGCCACCGATCGAGGAACAGTCGGTTCCGACCCGCCAGCTTGCGCAGGTCCGTCGGCAGCATGAGGCGGCTGTAGCTGCCAGCTGCCAGCGCCCCGAGCGAGGGCCCGCGAACGCGACGGATGTCGGTCTGAAACTCGTCGCTCGTCCCTTGTCCCTATCGGAGGTGGACTCGGGGGTGCTGCTGCAGCCGAGTCTTGGTTCAGGGATGCAGGAGGCGGCGCGCCCGCTCGAAGGATCTGTCGACGCCGCCGCTGTCGTTAGTGAGCTGTATACCGTGTAGACAGGGAGGAGGAGGAGGAGGAGGATGTGTGCTCGTATCGCCGGAGCGAGGAGGGTGGCGTGGCGTCTCTGATTTACCCAGAAGAGGATCAGGAATATAGGGAATATAGGGACAGGGACTCCTAGTATCATTCGGAGTGATCGCTCGACGTTTTGCCTTCGTTTAGGTTGTGGTTGTTATTATTATTTTGTTGTACCTGTCGTTCGCTCTCTATAGTGCTTTTCATTTCTGCTTGCGCATTGTCATGGATTGATTCTGGATCTTTCCGTTGCGCATGGGCGAGTTGAAAGCGATGTAATTTTTGTCGGAGTGTCATGACGCGCGGTATGCATCACATGACGTGCCGTCGCGTCGACTCGACGACGCGTGCGTGCTGTCACGCCGTCCGTCGACGTCCTTGGGCTGCACACATGTACGACCCCGAGCTCACCCACCTCGCAGGGCACTCCTCGCTCACTCTCTCCAGCTTCGCACGTCTCTCGAATCGCGACAGGCAGGCTGGCACGCCGACGCTGCACGGCTCGCCCATGTCCGCGATGTCCGACCTCCTTCCGTCACTCAAGCACACGGGCGATGGTGATCAGGCGCCCGAGCGAGCAGAGACCCCTGCACTGTTCCGCCCAATCGAGGGGGGCCGCGATTGCCAGCTCAGTCCACTGCCAGCCCTCGCGTTCGCGCCGTTGGCCGCACGAGCGCAGCAAGATGTAGACGTGAGCTGACGATCGCTCCACTCCCGCGCGTTCACTGTCGCTCATCAGGGCCCGCAGACGGCCTTCTATCCAGACGAAGCACAGATGCAGATCATCGCCACTGCGAGCGCAGACGACCTCCTGCGATTCGGCAACCGCGCGTATGCGGCTCTCTTGCGCGAAAAGCTCTCGCTTGAACAACAGTATTGGCAGCTGCAGGGTCAAATAAAGGCCTGGAGGTGCGCCCTGTCGTTGTTCTCGAGCAGGTCGACGTTAAATCGTAGGATTCTACGTGTCAGATGGGTCGCGTCGCAGCTGTCGCACGTATTATCTGGCCAAGGCGAGGTCGGCGAGCGGTGTGGGTCGCATCCCACTTCCTCTGATAACCTCGGGGGTGGCGGCGACGAAGACGACCTCTGGGTTCGCGACGGTGAATATGACCCTGAGGATGGTGACGATGAAGATGACCCCGGTGAAGACGGTGGACGACGTACGGAAACGAACAAGCCAGAGCTATTCTGGACAAAGCAGGCATGGTTGGACCATCTCGCCAGGAACCACACCGTCGTCGCAGACCCTGACTCGCACGCTAGCGAGAACGGTGGGCCGGGCGCGGCAAGCGGCGTCGACGCTGCTCACGGTCTCGTCGTCGACCTACATTGACAAGCGATTGAGGGGATACGCGGCGGGTGAGCTTCGCGGCGATTTAGAATCCATCTGGGAAGGATGGCTCGACATGGACGTTGCGCCGTTGGAGTGGGACTCTCGCGGACGACCTCTCCGCTCTTTTACGGGACGACATGGAGGCGCTCTTTCCGCTGCTTCGCAGGGACGGATGGGCGTCAGTACAGAGTTTCCTCACCCTGTCCTACGCGTCTTGGCTCGGAGAGGCGGGTCGAAGGGACATCCTCATTGCGCAGCGCGCGGCTTCGACAGGTGGAGTGGAGTCTGAGCTTTGAGACGACGACGCACCCGCCGACATTGGGCGCAAGCACAAGCTGGACGCAAGCGGCAGTGGCGATCGCCCAGCAAAGCAGGCCAAGCCCATGCCGTCGAAGGGTGAGCCTCTAATAACTGGGGACATTTCCCCGCCTGCGACCACAAACTCTACACACCTTGTCTCTGCATAGCCTCTACCCGTCGCTTCGTACCGCCGGAATGAGGATGAGAACGAGAGGCCTCAAAACAGGAATCGTTTTGGGCGATCGTTTTGTTTTCGTGCTTTTTTGAGCTTTTATCTGTCGCTCGCTCTCTATTGTGCTTTCTAATCCTGCTTTCGCATTACCATAGCTATCCAATCGCTTTATCGAGATTCAACTCAATCCCGCATCCTTCCGTTTTGCGTGAGATCAGCGACGAAAACACAGTGACTCCCCAGCATGAGCAATTCGTGAACGATGTGTGAAAAAAAATGCATCGGAAGCGCAGAGAGCAAATAACAGAAACCAAGTCTGCCTGCATACATCTATGTACAGCTTCTTCCTCCGTCCGTTTCCTCCCGGCACGACACCCGCCGCATGTGCATGCTCTAGAAGAACTCCCGCCGGACGCATCCCGACCCACAATCGCAGGGCCCCACCAAGGCATGCGCGCCATCTGTCATCACCACCCGCGCCGCACGGCGCGCCCGCCGCGCCCGCCATGAAGATCCCAGACGGCCGTCCGCGCTCCCGCGACGCAAAACGCGAGGCCCTCCGCGCGCTCACTTGTTGAACTCGAGCACCTGCCGGAACATCGACATGTTGTCCTCGTCCTCGAGCGCGGGCGGGTCGAGGAGGTCCATCGCGCGCCGCGCCTGCGCCTCGCGCTGGAAGCGCAGCTCGGGCTGGTGCCGCTGCTGCAGTTGCTGTTGGTGGTGGATCAGCTGCGGCCCGTGGCCCAGGGCGAACTGCGATGGGTGCGGCTGCGGATACGGGCGCGCGTGGGCCTGCTGCTGCTGCTGGTGTTGCTGGCGCTGGAGATGGAGCTGGAAGCTCAGCTGCTGGTGCTGTTGCTGTTGCTGCAACATTTGTTGCTGTTGCTGTTGCTGCTGTTGCTGCTGGAGGCCCGCACCGTTCCCGTTCCCGATTCCATTCGATCCTCGCGCGCCGGCGCCAAACACGCCATCGGCGATCCCAAGCCCCGTCCCGTTCTGCTGCCCAGCGCCGCCTCCCTGCGCGTTCGCGTTCGCATTGCCGCTCCCGCTCTCGCCCCCCTGTTCGTTCCCACTCCCTCCGCCTCCGCCAGCGTGCGCGGCGGGGTTGGTGGGGATGTACACGAGCGGGACGACGTAGTCCTCGTCGTCGGGGACGCCGAGCGCCTCGAGCGCCTCGCGGTTGATTCCGAGCACGGCGCGGAGGCGCGTATTCTCGGCGTCCAGTCGCGCAATCTCGAGCTCACGCGCGATGGTCCAGTCGAAGGGCTCGTCGCCCTCGTCTTCGTCAGACGGCTCGGCGCGTGGTTCGGTCGCGGGTGCGGGCGATGCGGCAGAGTCGAGGTGGAAGTGGGCTGGCTCGGATGAGTCGGGTGGGAACGGTGGTGTTGTTGATCGTGCGGGGTCGGCGGCAGCTGAGGTCGCAAGTACATGCGGAGGGTGAGGTTCGAAAGATGTCGTGGGTTGTGCTGGGGAAGGATTCGGGGCCACGTCCTTGCCCGCGATGGACAGCTGTAGGGCGCGCAGGCCGCGCTCGAGGCGGCGAATGGACGGGCCTAGGTTGGGATCGATGACGAAATGCGACTCGTGCGCGAGGAGGGCGTCGTAGTGGCGCGTTAGTGTGAGCTCGTGCTGCTGCGCGGCGAGCTATGAGCCGCATGAATGAAACGGGGGGGCGGGTCAGGCATGCGCGCATGGGGAGTGCAACGGACGGTGCAGCGGACGCACGGCATGGCTCCGATATTTGGACATGACGGTCTCCATGGTCTGCTCGTACTCCTTGAGGAGCATGCTCAGCTGCCTGTTTTCTTGTGTGAGCGTGTGGTTCTCGATGATGGTCCGGGCATTGGTGCGCTCGAGCTCCGACTCGATCGTTTCTTGAGCACAATTCGGGTTTGGTGAGCATGTGCATGCGGGCGCACACGGTGCATGCGTGCGCGAGCGGGGAGGATGGATGCGTGGACTGACCTTTGGAGAGGTCGACGTTGAAGCGTCGGAGGTTGAAGGTCGAGTGGAGGTCTGCGCTCTCTGCCTGTGATTTCGCCTGCTCGTCTCGCGATGAGCTGTGGCAGCGAGGGGCGGAAAGCGCGCACCTTGAGGCCCCTTGCCTGTGCGAGGAGTGCGGAGGCCTGCTTGTGGTTAGCGAGGAGCCTGTCGCTTATTTCGTCGAGGACATGGCATGCGCGGATGTAATCGTTGTCGGCGTCGCCGTACATGTGTCCCAACGGTCGAGTGGAAGGCGGAGGACTCGAGTGCGGAGGCGCCCATGCCCGTGGCCACGGAGACACGTGCTGGCCCCGGGACACCCCTTCGAAGAAGGCCCCGGCAGCTTTCCCGCCAGCTGATGAGCGTATCCGTGCGAGACGCCCCTTCGGCAGGTGGCTGGTCGGTAGAGAAAACAAAATAGAATAAAAATAACAGAGGGCACGCCGCGCGACTGGCCTGTACACGTCAAACGGACGCGGTGGGAGGGCGAGCGGGCGGTGAGGCGTGAGATTCCTCTCGTGGGCAATACGCAGTCGGCTGGGATCTGCTCGATGCGTTCTCCAACTAAACTCCAGCTCACAAACGCTCAGCTTCTCGTTCTGTCCGCTCACCCGTGCTCTGCTTCTGCTGTACAACAACATCTCCCCCGCGCTCGCTCTCTCTCCTTGTGTCCCTCCCGCTAAGCCTCCACTGCCCCCGTCGCTCCCCGTCGCATCGCCCCTGTCCCGCCCACCGACAAAAGTCACCCCCCTCCTCCACCCCTGCCACAATGTCGACCTCCATCTCCCAGCTCTCCGCGTCCGTCACGCGCATCCTCTCTTTGACCGGCTTTCCAAAGGAGCTCAAGACGCGAGACATCCACTCCGCCTTCTCCGAGTGGGAGAACTCGAATGGCGGCTTCAAGATCAAGTGGATAGACGACACCAGCCTCCTGATCGTCTTTGTTGATGCCCTCACAGGTGAGCACCCCTGATCCGCTCTGCGTGTTCCACTCCATTCTGCCCCGCCCTTCTTTCCACCTGCCTGTATGCGCGTGCTCCCGGGTGCTGATGCTCGCTACCACTATCAGCCAAGCGTGCGTATCTGAGCGCCCTCGCAACCCCCCCTGCCATCTTCTCCTCCCCCTCGTCCACGGCCACCATCCGTCCCTACGACGGCCCCGACGCCCAGGCCATCATCATCAGTGTCAACTCCCGCGGGCAGCACAACGGCAACGCATCGCGCGGCCACAACGCGCGCTCTGCGTCCATGTCCGTCGCCGGCCAGCAGCGCGCGCGGAACGGCAGCCACGCGACCCACGCGAATACCAATGGCAACGGCAACGGCAACGCGAACGGGTACGCCCCCGATGCGCTCGCGCTCGCGAACGGCGTCGCCGCTCCCGTCTCGCCCATCGGGCGCGAGGGCTCCCCGACGCTCCCGACGCTCCCCTCCCATCCGACGCTCGACTCCCTCATCAACTCGACGCTCGGCGACGGCGTGCCCCCCGCCGACCCCGCCATCCTCGCCACCAGCATGCACCCCAACGGCATGCCGAGCGGCGCGGGCCCGCGCATCGGCGACCCCGGCAAACGCATGCTCGGGGCCGCGCTCGGCGTGCGGCACCCCGGGCTTCCTGCGCGCCAGCTGGGCATGAACGCAGGAGGCCCGGAGAATGCGGATCAGGCGATCAAGGAGATCCAGCGCGCCATGGGCGGGCTGGCAGTGGCGGAGTGAGCAGACGAAACGGACACGGGCGGAGGTCGTGGCGGCCGTCGGTTGACGGCATGTGCGGCATTGGGGCTAGTTGGAGGAAAGCTGCCTCCGCTGCGGACGACGCGCCTCTTCTTTCTTCGTTCAGGCCTGCACAAGCCACCCCTCGTTTATTCTTCTGTTTCTGTTTTTCTTTTTCCTCTCCTCTTTTCCTGTCTGTCACGTGTTTCCACCGTGCCCTGTTTCCAGTTCCAACTGTCATTTTTTCTTTGTGTTTTTAGGCATCCTGCTTCGCGAGATCGTCGACGGCACGTCGCGATCTCGACAACTCTCCTTTCTTTTCCACCAGTGGTCAGTACAGCACTAGCTACATATGTATAAAGCCCAAGTTGTTTTCTCTAATTTCTCAATCAACGCCTCTTCCTGGAGCATTCTGGTCGCTCACTCCGTGTGGACGATGACTCATGATCGCAACAGCTAGATGTATGCACTCGGATCTTGGTTAGCGTCTACGGCACCAATTATAACATTCCAACGCAAGGCCTGGTGGCGGCTCGAAAATTTCCGAGACGCCTCCACAAATCCCTTGGGACTAGGTCCACTAGGAAGTCGGACTGATCATCAATATCATGGTCACTCAATCGAGTTTCAAAGGCATCTATGAAGTCGATGGTTTCCCTGGACGCTTGAGCGCTCCAGCGCCTGCGGGGTGACGTCCATTGTCGCTGTTTGATCAATGATCGGGGCCCTTCAATATTCAACAGCTGTTGAACCATTGATAGGGCATACGAGCTCTCGCTGGTAGTAAGCAGTGGCTCATGGTGGCTCATAGCGGCGTCATCTCAGCTCGCCACGCACTCGCCACGCCGCTTTGGCACGTCCAAAACCACTCCTTCGTGTGGCAGCCTCTCCGACTTCCGAAACCGCTTCTTGGACATCTCAATCACGCTATTGTACCACATACCTCTTGTAACGGGTTCAGGATACACGTAACTGTCTCGCCGCGAGGTTCCATGCCCAACCCACAGCCCCTCCCGAAGCGGGGTAGAACCTGGCAGAACGGTCCACGAGGGCCGTCGATGAGGTTCCGCAGGATTCTGCCGCGCGTCATAGATCACACTTGGGCCATTATTCGTGAGGGTCTGTGCGGAGATGAGCGCGATTCGGGAAGCACAGCCAGCAGTACTGTAATTGGGCCGAGGGCGGAGACGTGCTGTCGGCTAAGAGCGCGAGCGTCTGTCGAGGCAGGATGCAATCAGATGTCATGGGAATGACCAGACGGTAACGTGGGCTCTAGCAGCGAGGCTCTAGCCCTGTCGGTGTCAGTGGTCATTAAATGAAGAGGAAAGCGCAGTATGATACGTTATGTGTAACGCGAATAAGTGGACGCAGGGGTGGAGAACAACAAGGGGAAAACCGCGAGGGGTGATGGGGACGGCTCGATGGAGCAAGAATGAAGATGCGAGCAAGGCGAGTCACTGGACACGAGGCTCTTGTAAGATGACATTCTTTCTATTCTTCGCAGCTCGCGACGAGGCGCCAGAGGAGCGAGAGGATCAGATCTCCCGAGACGCCTCGTTCGCGGTGCCTGCGATGCAAACTGAATCACGCGGCGAAGCCACGTATTCACGGACTGCCACCTCCCCCTGGCTACACGACTGGGGGCACGGCGGTGGCCGCCAGTTGGCCGCCCTGCCTGAACAAGCGACTGATCTGCCTGATATGCTCATCAGCGCTGCTCTCCAAACCAGATCTAGGGCAGAGCGAGCGAGCGAGTGCCCCGCTGACCTGCTTCTTCGTCCTTGTACAGCTTAGTTCCGAGTTCCAAGTGGATTATGGCTGTAGGTTCTGTTCTGCTGATCGTCTGCGCACGCATCCTATCTTCCAGATGGATCGCCATCGCCATCGCGCGCTCGCCTGCCGCTTTGCCCATGTCGGCCTTCCCATGCAATCTGTGGTTCCAGAACGCCAACCCGCTTTGGCTTGCCGCCACCGCCAATAAGTATGTCACCGCTTCTCGTCCACCGAATCTGAGATCCCGGTCCCTCCTCGATCACGACAAACAACAGAGAGCGATCCTTGTGTCCGTCCTCCCCACGCCGCATATTCATCTTCGCTTTCCCTGCCCACATATAAACCCCCTCCATCCGGCCTCATCCCGCCTATCCCACCTGTTCCCCTCCCCCCCACCACAACCCACAACACAACAATCCAATGCAGTCCTCCCTCTTCGCAACACACCCGTGGCCCGAGGCTGGTACATCCTACAATTACCCCATCCCGATCCAGCCTTCCCAGTGTACCAGCACTCACATCTTCGACAGCGGAACTTCCATGGGCCACACCATGGCCACACCATCCTCCCCTTCCTTCAGCCATCCTCCTCCATCTTACAGCACCACGGAAATGAACACCACCACCACCACCACCCAGTTCACACCCCCCGCGCTCACCCCAACAGGGTCCTCGATCGACACCCCCGTATACGACGGACATGTGACATTTCCGGAGATCGCAGGCGACGGCCCCAGCACAAGCCAGTTCGGAGATCATCTCCATTCCTGTCAGGAAGGGCTGGGATGGATGCCATCAGAGCAGCTGCAGGTGGATCAGTACAATGCGCATCTCCTGTGGGCCGCGCCTGCGAAGGCGACGCTCCAACAGGCGCCGGTTCCTGCGCCGTGTCACTTTGGACCAGGTAAGCATCGCTCGTTCGCGCGCGTGTGGAGCCACTGGGGGTGCGTGCGACTCACTGATGCCCCTCTCTATTTTGCAGCTGTCGGCGCGCTGCACGCTCCATCGAGCTACGGAACCGGCGCGGGGAGCTATGTGAACCCTCAGCGAGCCGACGCGACGGTGCATGCATCACAGATGGCAGCGGCCTTGCACGCACACCCCGTCCAGCATCAGCATCACTCGCACACACGTCCGCAAATGCATCAGCACGCCAACGTACGTTCGCATCCCTATCAACGCCCACAGCCGCACCCGTCCGCGCACGCGCACCCCCGGTCGCACTCCCATCTGTCGCAGGCCCAGCGCGGGCAGCCGCACTTCCATAACGCACAGATCGCGCTCCTGCAACAGACGCACCAGCAACAGCACCAACAGCAGGTGCAGCGCACCACCACGATCTCGATCACGACGACTACGACATCAACGTACGCGCCGCAGGAGGTGACCCACATGACCTCATACGGGTCGCAAATAGCGCATGCGCCACCTCCCGAGGCGCTCCACGCGCACGGGACGTTCACAGCGCAGCTGCACGGCCCTGCGTTCCCAGCCGTGTCGGCGCCGGCGCCCTCAGCCGCGGCCTACCCTGCGCACGCGGCCCCCGACGCGTCTTCGTCCTCGGTGCACCTGTACCAGCCCATCCCGCAGCACTCTCTCCCGGAGTGGGTCAGGCTCCCGTCGCCGAGCGTGGAGGAGCTGTTCCCGCCGGAGGCGCTCGACGCGTTCGAGAAGCAGCGCCTCCAGCAGGGCTTTTCCGAGTCCGTCCCGGCGGGCGTAGTGCGCGGGACGTCGCTCGACCCGGGGTGCAGCGTTGAGGAGGTGGCGACGGAGGTCCCGATCGAAGAGGACGAAGACGCCGACGCCGAGTACGACACCGATGACGAATACGTGGGCAGTGGAGACGATGGAGACAGTATGAAGTCTGGACCGTGCGAAGATGGCGGAGATGGAGCGTTCATGGACAACGAAGTCGAAGAAGGAAACGCGTACAGCATCGACCACGTCGCGCACGGCGCGTTAAACGCATGCAGCGATTACATCGCCGGCAGCGCGCTGCGCTTCCCGTCCTTCTACGACTCCCAATCCGCCGAACCTACGTCCTCATCATCTGGCACCCTCCCGGCCTCCGCGCTGCTGTGCCAGCCCATCTCTGAGTCCGTTCGGGACCAGTTCCGCACCGCCCTGCCGCCGGCGGGGCCTGCTGAGCAGGTGCCTTCACATATGCAAATGGACGGGCTGGCGGGCGCGGGTAACTACTGGGACCCTGTTACCTATGGCCTGGGCTGGGACCGGTGATCGTCCCGCTCCTCCTGCGTGCAGCAGTTTATTTCTGGGCGCGGCCCGCCGCTTGGCGCAACCCCTTCATCGCGGCCGGCCAGTGTCAGGCGTTGTGCAGCCGTGCAGCGCGCGTATGTTCTCTCTTCCTTGGAGCCGCTGCTGTTGAGTTAGGGTCCGGGGGAACGCGTCCCGCGGCTTCATCTCGGGCTGCGTGGGCGTGCGTTTCGCTTGCCCCATTCGGCGGCACCCCTTTGTTTCTCTGTCATGTATCATCGCCGTCCGTTCCGTTCTCGCATCGATCGCCCGCCCGCATCCCCTGTGTATTCTTTTCATTTTCACCCACGTCCCATGATGGCTTCTCAAGCGCAAGTCCACAATTATACCACGTTCATTTGTATCCATTATTGGTTGTTTTGGTTTTGGTTCTGGCCTTGGTCTTGGTCTTGGTTTTGGTTTTGTTTTATTCTCGCTTCTGTACTATCGTCATGGACCATCGATTCTAGACACGTTCGATCGCAACCCCGTCGTGTAGCCGACAGATAGCATCACGCAGGCTTCCCGCCCGGCGGCCACTCTACCTACATACGTTTATGCCATGAAATTCTGAATTATGCCGATAATCCATGCCCCACGCGCGCCCGATAGTCTATTGATATTGAGTTCAGTGGTGCGTACTTGGGGCGCCGGCCGCTGACGCAGCGCAGTGGATCAGCTGCGGAATTCGCAGAGCACTGTGCAACGAGGCGTGCGCGAGCACACGGTGCGAACGATGCGCGCGCGCTCGCCGCTCTTCGTCGCTTGGTGGAGAGCTGTCACGCGGGGGCAGATCCACTGCCGACAGTATGCGCGAGGTCGCTTGCGGCGCATTGCAGGCCTGTAAGCACTCGAGATGCATAAATCGCGCAGAAGGCGGATGCGTGCGGAGCCGTGGGAGCTTGGGGCCTGCTCTTCTGGCTTCTGTCAGTCCGATGCAGTAGCTGCTAAGATATTCCCGGCCCCCCGTTCGAGGAATCGCAGAACGGGCGGGGAGTCGGGGAGTCACGTCTAGGCACGTGTGCGCCCTCTCCCGGCATCGCGTCTCCGCAGGACCGGCGCCGGACCCGTGTTTACGCAGGGCCGTTGACGACGACCCGTCTACCCCACGCACTCGCTCGGCCGCCCCGCTCGTCTCTTGCGCCCGTCTTTCATGTTGCTTATGCCCCTCCGCTGTGCACGCGCGAGACACCCCAGCACACGGCCGCCCATATAGCCTTGAGAACGCGCTGCCTCTCTTCGTATCGCATCAGGAATTCCCAGGATCTCTCAGGGTCGGGTCGGGTCGGGTTTGGGTTTGGGTCAGAGTCTCCGCGCGACAGACAGACAAACAAACAAACAAACATGTTTCGAAAAATTCTCTCGCGGGCTGTGACGTGCGTGTTGGACACGAGCGCGGACGTGGACGCGAACGTGGATGGGGGCGCAAGGCTGGACGGGCCAGTGGTAGAGCTGGAGTTGGGGCTGGAGCTGGAGCAGGAGGCGGGCGTCATCGTGGGTGGCCTGGGCTGTCGCGTCGTGCAGCGGCCGGTGGCTGACCAGCTGCGCCACGCACTCCTGCAGTCGGTCGACGTCGAGGCGCTGCGCGGCCTGCTGCCCGCGCGCCCGCGGGTCCCGTGGCGGCGCGTCGCGGGCCTATGCGGAGACGCGGTCGTGCCTGTGTATCGCGCGCTGCAGAGCACGCTCGGCGAGGACGTGGAGCACCTGGCGGCGCTGTTTGCGGAGATGGAGATGGAGATGGAGGCGGCGGCGGGTGCGGGTGCGGGTGCGGGTGCGCTCGATGAGGTGGGTCGGGGTGTAGTTTCCTCGGATGTTTCGAATAGAACTGTGTAGATGACGTTCGCGATAGGTGCACGCAAGCGGAGTCGAGCGAGAACCGAGCGCGTCGGGCGGACAGGCGGCGGGGGTAGAGGGTTGCGAACGAGACACAGCACCTATTACCGTGAGTGCTCGTTTCTATCACGACGGGCGCGGAGTGCGGGACTGACGGGGGTCGCTAGCTGGAGGAGGACGCGGACACGCACGCGCCGGCATCGAGCGACGATCACTGGGCGACAAGTTGCGCGCACCTGCCGAGGATCGTGATCACGCCGTGCGAGGGCGAGGGCGAGGGCGAGGGCGAGGGCGAGAGGGCGGGGGAGGGGCGGACGTGCTGCTGGGTGCCGGTGCAGGACGCGTGCTTCGGGAAGCGGCTGGTGGTGCCCGCGCACGCGGCGGTGAACGAGGTGTTCCCGCCGCAGCTGGGGATGGGGAAGGCGGGTGTGCTGGCGCGGCAGTGGGAGTACGCGGACGGGCACTGGCGGGCGGTGCTGCCGAGCGTGGACGAGCAGATGCGGAGGGGCCTGCATTCGCGGGCGGTGTCGCACCGGCGGAGATCGTCGCGGTGTCGCCGGGCGAAGTGAGGGCAGCCTGGGAGGGGCGAGGGAGGTCCCACTTGAGGTGGATCGGTAGATGTGCTGTTTGGGGCGGGAAATAGACCGAGGGCCTGCAGCGAAAGAACCAGACAGCGAGCGAGTGAAGAAGCACTGGCCGGTGACGTCGGTGCGGGCCAGCAGCGTGGGAACGATGCGCTATTCTTACAGCAGGCGGGCGCCGAGCGAGCGGCTGCGGGCGCTCTGCGGGTGAAGCACGCACTCGCCAGCCTCGTCCTCCACCAGCAGCCGTGCACTCCTTCCCGCCACTGATCGTCTCTGATCCACTCCTTCATCCCCCGCTCCTCCCCTCTCTCGCTCCCGCCCCATGTCCTTCAAGGCGCTCGTGTACGCCTACGTCCTCGGCGGCATCACATTCGTCCCCCTCGTCATCCTCGCCCTCATCGCCTACACCATCTACACCTCCGTCCCCGTCGCCGACCCCGACCTCTCCAAGCCCGCAAGGGAGGCCCGCGCCCACGCCGCTGCATCAGACACTCGTGATGCCACCGCAGAGCCCCTGCTCGACCTCGCCGACGTCCCCAAGGCACGCAAGGGCTGGCTCACCATGCGCCGCACTTTCGAAGAATCCTCCTTCGAGGGCTCCTACGTCACCCTCGTCAAGTCCTTCCTCGACGCGCGCTCCAAAGACCCCAAGCGCTCGCGCCCACGCGACATGTGGTACGTCGTCCTCAAGGGCAAGGTCCTCTATCTCTACGAGGACGAGTCCATGACGGAGTGCGAGGCCGCCATCGAGCTCGGGAGCCACGACGTCGTCATCTTCCCCGAAGGCCTCCTCGACGGCGAGCTCTTCGCCAAACGCAACGCGATCTGCCTCAAGCCCAAGCTCGCGCCCTCCGATAAGGGCCTCCCCAGCCTCACCCGGGACATGCACCTGGACCCGCTCAACCTCGAGCAGAAACTCGAGGAAAAGGTCGGCCCCGGCAGCTCGAAGAAGAAACACAAGGAGAGGGAGCGCGAAAAGGAGAGGCTGCTCGAGCTGGAGAGGAAGCGGGAGGAGGCCCTCGACCTCTCCACCCCGTGGTTCATCTTTGTGCGCTCAAACGTGGAGATGGAAGACTGGTATTTTGCACTCGTCCATGCCTCGGACAACGCAGCGAACACCCCCACCCTCGCCCCCCTCCAGGCCATCTTCTCCACCGCCGACATGAACTATCTCGTGACGACCCTCGACGAACAGCCGGACGTCATCCCCATGCGCTGGCTCAACGCGCTCCTGGGCAGACTGTTCTTCAGCTACTACCGCACCGACGCCCTCGAGTCGTACATCATCGGCCGACTCATGAAGAAGCTCTCCAAGGTGAAGCGGCCCAACTTTCTGACCGACGTCGTCGTCACCGAGGTGTACGTCGGCAACAAGTCCGCAACGTTCAGCAAGCCGATGCTGAAGGAGCTCACGAAGGAGGGCGACGCGGCGCTGGAGGTCCGCATGTCGTACAAGGGCGAGATCCGCGTGACGGTGCAGGCGACGGCGACGATCAACCTCGGGTCGCGATTCAAGCCGTACACGGTGAAGCTCACCCTGGCCGCGGTGCTGCGCGAGCTGGAGGGGAACCTGGTGGTGAGGGTGAAGCGGCCGCCCAGCAACCGGATCTGGTACGCGTTCACGCAGGCGCCGAGGATGGTGTTCGACGTCGAGCCCGTCGTGAGCGACCGGCAGATCACGTGGAGCATGATACTGAACTCGATCGAGTCTCGGTTGAAGGAAGTGGTGAGCGTCCGTTCTTTGCCGCGCGGAGGGGCGCGCCTCTGATCACGGGATGTGTTGCGCAGATCATGGAGTCGATCGTCATGCCCAACATGGACGACATCGCCTTCTTCGACACCTCGCGCTGCGTCCACCGGGGCGGCATATGGCCGGACGCCGGCCGGAGAGAGAAGCCAGCCGACGCCGAGCCGAGCACCCCGTCCTCCGAGGAAGACGTGTCCCCCGTGCTCGACGTCGCCTCCTCCCCGTCTCTCGAGGGTGAGCCCGCCGACATAAAACGATCCCAGTCCGAGCCCGAGGTCCGCGGCGACGTGGACCCGTCGGCCTCGGAACCGCCGTCCCGCGCTGCGACGACCGCCATCGGCACCCAGTCCACCACCTCCTCTCCCTCCCGCTCCGCGCAGAAACGACGGCCGACCTGGTTCCCGAGCAATCACCATAGCGGCAAGCACCACCCTCACATGGTCGACGACCCAGAGCCACTGCCTGGCGCCGAGTCCGAGGCCGACCTCCCAAAGTCCGACTCGACGCTCCTCGACGTGTCGCACGACGCGGGCGAGATGCCCCGCCAGATCCGCAGGAAGGGCTCCAAGTTCCTCACCATCCGCAAGTCCAGTCGCTCCCCCTCCCCAGGCCCGCCTCCCCCCTTACCGCCCTCCCGCTCCCCGTCCCCCGTCCCGTCGCTAGAGTTAAACCGCGCCGACAGCCCCGACTCGCTCGGCCGCCCGGCGTCCGTCAAGAGCAGCAAGAGCTCAAAGAGCTCAAAGTCCACGCGCTCCAAGGAGCACCCTCCCGCGAGCCCGTCCCTGTTCTCCTCGCTCAAGTCGCGCGCCGGCGACCGGCAGGCGCTCGGCACGTCCGCGAAGGAGACCATGCGCAAGTGGGGCGTCAACTGGGCGGGGCTCAAGAAGGACAACGGCGCGGCGAGCGCGGGATCAGCGGCCGAGGACGTCCCCGACGGTGGCGACAGGCGGAGCTCGGACAGCAGCTTCACCGCGCACAAGGCCAAGGCGAGCTATGCCGAGGTGCGCGCCGCGGTCGCGGAGCGTAAGGAGCGGGAGAAGAGTGCGCAGGCGGCCGGTGGGGCCGCGCACGCCAACGGGGGCGCGTCGGACCCGATCCCGATCCCTGTCCCGGCGCGAGACGCGCGCGTCTGGTCGGGCACGTCGTCGCAGGGCGACTCGTCCATCATGTCTGCCAGCCGGGGGTCCGTCTCCTCGACGTCCTCGCGCGGCCGGTCATACTCGGGCGACCGCACGCTGGAGCTCCCGCCCATGGTCAGGACCAGGACGCCCTCGACGGAGCGCCCCGCGGACGAGCTCGCAGAGCCGAACGGGGCGTCGCCGTACGCGGATCTGGATCTCGTGCAGGGACGCCCGCCCGCGCCGATCCACACGCAGCCCTCGCAGGGCAAGACGATGACGATTCCGGGCATCCACGCGAGCCACCGCGGGGAGGTCATGGCGATGGGCTACGTGCCGCCCGCGCCGCCGCCTCCGCCGCCAGAAAATAAGGGAAAGGCGTCCGGTATCCAGAGCGTGTACCGCCTCTGGAAGAACCCCACGCTCCCACCGCAAGACGCGGGCGCGCCTGAATCGACCGCCGAGCGGCCGTCGTCCCCGCCGCCACTAGCCCCGCCGCCATTAGAGCAGGAGGCGGAGGTCAGCCCCGTGTCGCCCGTCGTGCCCACGATGTCCCGCCCGCCGCCGCCGCCGCTGCCCCCGCGCAGCGCGTCCTCAAAGGCGATCGAGGCGATCGCGGCGCGCCGCATGTCGCTCATGCACTCCGACGACGCGCCGTCCGCCGACCCGCTCGCGCGCGTGCTCGAGAACGACCGCGTGCGCCCAGACTCCCCGACCCTCCCGCCGCCGACACCGCCCGGCGCGTCGGCGGAGTCCTCGCATCCGGACGCGTTGCCCGCGCCCGTGCCCGTGCCCTCGACGCCTGCGGCGCCCGATATCACGTTCACTGTGCCGACGCCCGTGCGCAACGAGATCACGAAGCCGCCGCTGCCCCCGCGCAACGCGCCCGTGACCGCTACAGTATAGCGACGTGTTTCTCCGTCCTCGCGCCCGATCTACGTAGATACGACCCGCACGTACATGCACCACACCACACACTCACACACACACTCACACTCCGCACGCACACGCACACACTGTACTATATATAATCCTCATCTTCCTCGTCGTCTGGCATAAACTCCTCTTTTCGTTGCCCTTCTTTCGTCTTGCGTATTTTCTCTTTTTGTTTTTGGCATCTTTTCGCTTACACTTATCACTTCTGCTTTCGCGGTTTCATTTCCTGCTTTGACACGCTTGAGGGGACACGACGCAACGGGTCACTTAATCATTTCTGGTGTTCGTTTGCAGCTATGATTGGTTTCTGGTCCGAGATGGCTTTTTTGTTTGTTCTCTGTTTTTCACGATTCGAAATGATATCAGGATCGGAGAGCGCTCGGTGGTATCTAGTTTGTTATGGGGATGGCGTTCGCGATGAAAGGTTGCACGTACTACTACATACCAATGCTGACCGATAATTTGCGACTCTTTTGAGCGTGCATGCGAGCCCGAAATGGAAGGAGAGTTGCCTGTTCGAGACGGTCGTGACGTCGGCTGGTTTACGCCACTTGACTCTCGCGCCGCGCGTTCGACCTCGACACCTCCGCGTGCAGATGCCACCCATGTGAGTCGCTGTCCCTGTGCGCGTGAATGCGGCCGCCGACGGGCGTGGACAGACGGGACAAGTTTACGATCCATTCGAAGGCCGTGGTGTGCCAGGATGTCGAGCTCAAGGGCGACATCACCATCGGGTCGGGTAGGCTCCGCTTCGCTCGGCGCGCCCCCTACTGTGTGCTCACGGCGTGCGCGCGATATAGGGACCATCGTGCACCCCAAGGCGACGATTTTCGCCATCGCGGGGCCCATCGTTATCGGCACGGGGTGCATCGTTGAGGAGGGCGCCATTATCGTGAACCGGTGCGTGTGCCCGTCCCCGCGTCCGCGTTCTGCCGCGCATCAAGTCGCTCATGACGCCCGTGCCCGCGCGCGCGTGTGCCCAGGCGGAAAGAAGTGATGCGCATCGGCGACGACAATCTGTTCGAGATCGGCTGTCGTGCGTGTCTCTTATCACTTGTTCTTCCTTCTGTCTGTCTTTTTTTCTATCTTTTTTTTTCTATTTTTTTTTCTTCTTCTGCGTAACACACCGACGGTCGCTCACGGATACGCGGACCTCCCGCCCGGGCTGGGCTGGGCATCGCACGGCACGGCACGTCACCGCAGGCGTCGAGTCGCCGACGATCGGGAACTTCAACACGGTCTCGACCCGCGCGCGGGTGCACCACACGGTGCGGCTGTCGTCGTACTGCGTGGTCGGGGCGGGCTGCCTGGTGGTGCCGACGGAGGACGAGGTGCTGGAGGAGTACACGGTCGTGTACGGGCCGACAGCGGAGCGGCGCACGTGGAGCGGGCGCGGGAAGGTGCAGGAGGCGGATTTGCGCAGGAAGCACGCGGAGTATCTGCGCGAGACGCTGCCCAAGTTTAATCGGCTGAGGCGGGGCGACGCGCACGGGGCGGCGGCGTGACGGGTGCGGGCAGGCGGCGGGGCGTGGGCGATGGTCTCGAGCTGTGCTATTCTACGTTTTTTTTTTCCTTCCGTATCTTCATTTCTGTTTCTGTTTCTGTGCGATGCCGGCTGGGGCACGCAGCGTTGCCACACGCCCGCGCGGGCGATTTGAAATGCGGGGTGTTCGAAGAGCCAGCGCCCCGACGAGCTTGCACGGTCGATGGAGCGATGGTTCGATATGGGCGCGATGAAGTGCGCTGAGAGGGATCGCCGATCCGGAGAGGGACGGATACAGGCACGGGCGTGGGTCTATGTTCCTGGGCGGACGCATGCCGGGGTGGGTGCTCGCGGGCCTGGACGCAGGGCTGATGGCGGTGGGCGATGCGGAGGGCGCGGATCAGAGGCCGAGGAGGGCGACGACGGGCGACGACGGGCGACGACGGGCGACGCAGGCGGTGGCAACGACGAGGGCGCGGACTGGGAGGGCCGGTGTCGAATTTGCGAACGGTGTATATTGGGGGCGTGGATCGCGAGCGGTTGTCGCTGCCGTCGGCGGGTGCGGCCAGAGCAGGGGCTAGCAGGGGGCTAACGGCGGCAGACGGCGGCACGCTGGGGTATTACTGCATCCGGCCGCGGCCCCACACACGATCATCGCCCGATCCCGATCCCGGTCCAGCCCCTCGTCCGAGTCGCGTCTTCGTGTGTCCGCCCGCGCTGCAGCCCTCCAGTCCGTGCAGACCGTGCTCGTCGCCGCACACCCGCGCACACACCCCCGACACACGTGTTTCATCCGCCGCTGGGCGTCGCGCCGTTTCACGCTGCTGTGCGGCCCTCCCTCTTTTGTTTTTCCCTTTTGGCAATTCATTCGTGTCGCGGGCTGTCGCTGCTCACCTCCGCGATGCGCTCCACTTCCTGCCGTTACGTCTTATTGACAATCCCGCGATCCATGAAACCTCGCCCGGCCCTTCGACATCGAGACCTCCTCCGCCACCCGTAAAACCCCTTCTCTCTTTCACCTCTCGCTTCCCCTCCCTCAAAACGCCCCGCCCGCTCGCCCGACTCCCTCCAGCGCTCCCTACTAATACTCCCACCACCGCTACTACTCTATCTCCAGCTGTCTCCTCAACGTGAGTCCGTTCTGATCGTCCTCGTGCTCGCCTTCGCCTGAACCGCCTTCCGCACCAGGACTAGCTTCCACCCTAGTCAAAGTTACATATAATTCACCACACGCGGCGCGTTCATTCTGGAATTTCTATACACACACGCGCGCGCACACACACACTATATCTCGCGTGCCCCTCCTCTCACTCTCGCTCACCTTCTCGCCCTACCACCACCACCACCACCACCGACACCCTCGACTGGGCGGCATGGCGCACCCCCGACCCACATCGAGCCCCTCCGCCGCGACGTTCGCCATCCCGTCCGGCTCGCTCGCCATCTCCTCCAACCTCGACGCGCTGCTCGAGCACGACGCGCGCATCCGCCGCCAGACCAGCGGCATCAGCCTCCGCTCCCAGGCCGAGCAGCACACCCGCGCCAAGACCGTCGCCGTCGTCGCCGCCGCCGACTTCCTCCAGGCAGCGTCCCAGCACGCCGCCGCGACCGCTGCTGCTGCTGCTGCCGCCGCCGCCGCGGCGTCCGCCAACGCGGACCCTGTCACGCGCAGCTTGCCGCCGCCCCCGCGCGGTCCTCGAAGAGTTTCGTCGCGGGCGACGATCTGCCTCGGGGACGCCGAGCGGGGCGACGTGTCGAATCCGACACCAGATTCGCCGTTGGAAAAGGAGGACGGCGAAGGCGGCGGCGGCGGCGGCGGCGGCGGCGGCAGTAGCAGCAGCGGGGGGCTCGCAGGGGGCACGGGGAGGGGGGTCGGGGTTGGGCGGCGGATCTTGGGCGCGAGCAACACGAGCCCGCCGGCGTCGCCGACGCGCGTGAACGTGAACGTGAGCACGCGCTGGAGCGCGACGGCCGCGCAGCTGAACCCGTTCATCAACCCCGCGCCGCGCATCGTGCGGCAGCAGCCGTCGTGGCAGTCCTTCGCGACCGCCAGCAGCGTGCACCCGGCCGCGGCCTCGTCCGCGTCCGTGTGCTCTGCGGCTTCGACTTCGACTTCGACGCTCTCCGCGGAGGACCACGCTTTCCACCCGCACGTGCACGCGATCGGCGCGGGGATCGGCAACAGCAGCAGCGGGGGTGCTGGCGATGGGGGCGGCAGCGGGAAGGGCGGGAGCAAGGGCGGGGGGCGCGGGGGCGTGCGCAAGATCAAGCTGAGCAAGAGCCTAACCGCGAGCCCCGATCGACGGTTCTTGGAAAGGCCGCACACGGCGCAGTCGGTGATGCGTGCGGGGACGCCGATGCCGATGCCGACGCCGCCGTCGCCGACGCGGAGCCGGAGCCACGGGTCGCTGCAGAAGATGCTGAGCAAGATGTGGTCGTTCTCGAACCTGGGCGGGCAGACGGGGACGACGGAGCGGGAAAGGGAGGCGGCGCGGCGGCAGCACCAGCAGCGGCGGGCGGAGGCGGAGTGGGGGCGCAGGATCGCGGAGGGCAAGGCGCGCGGGGGGCTGTTTGCGTTTGGGACGGGGCGCGGGGCGCCACCGCCGCCGGCGCCGGCAGCAGCGACGGAGCAGGCGCAGGCGCAGGAGCACGGACTCGCACACGGACATGCTAGACAATCGGAGGCTGGAGCAGATACTCGGAGGACGTCGACAAAACCATTGTTTGTACCATACGTGCGCACGTAGCGATCGATCGATACTTTACTTTACGGTAATATGACCGAGTAGTGTGCGACGGCAGAGGTCGCTTGACTCACTAGGACTGATCCGCGGCGAGATATGACTCGACGCGCCGTGTACCGACGACCTTGGCACGCGTCGGCCTTGTGTTCGTTGGTCGTCGCGAAGATCAAGGGGCAGATGGACATTCTAGCGCGACGCGTCGCAGGCCCACAGGCTCGACTGTGCGCGACTGCCGGGAGGCCGTTGCCGTCGCCGTCGCCGTCGTCAACGCCGTCGCCCGAACCGGTCGGTTATCTGGCGGGGCGGCCCAGGCCGCGTTCGATCGCGAGTTCCCACGGCCGGGTTCCTACTTACACCAGTGTGGCAGGTGCGCTGTGTCTCTATTACTATTAGACTCGGCCTGGTGTCTCGCTTTTTTTTTCTCTCCTCGTTTTTCACCCGCACGGTCCCTCCTCTCTCGCTCTCCTCTTCGTCTGTGCACCCGTCTCCTCCTCGATTCTTTTTGTGTTCACGACTCGTCCGCTGCGCCCCCGCCCAATCACTTCTGCCTTCTCTTCTTCCTCTTCTGTGGGGCTTCCTCCTCTTGGTTGCTCTCCTTCTCTCCCTTCCTCTCTTCCAAACGCCCCACGTCTGCTCTCGCGCTCTCATCTCCTCACCCTTCACGCCGGATTGTGTTTTTACGTCTCTACTAGGACCGTCCTCTATAAACTCGTATCTTACTGGCCACCCCGCGCGGCGTAATAATAATGGCACACGCACATCACCACTACGACCACGCGCCCCGCGCCCGACGCTCTTTCTACGACGACAGCAGCTCCGACTTTGACGACACGCGCTCCGTCGCGTCCTCCACGCGCGAGTCCTTCATGGACCTCACCTCGCCCTCGACGCCCCACTTCAGCCGCCACGACCGCCTGCAGCCACAGCATGCCCCCGACTCCGACGCCGACGACGTGTACTACGGCGGCCTGAGCGTGCGCGCGAGCTCGGACACGACGTACTCCGACGATTCCCCCGTCGTGCTCTCGCCGATGCGCTTCTCGCGTCCCGAGCGCATCGGCCCCGTCAACGCGGACGCGGACTCGGACGGAGACACGGAGACGGAGGGCGAGGCGGACCCACGCCCCGCCCACGCCCACAACCACGCCCCCGCGCCGCGCGGTGGCACGCGGGCGCACATACGAGTAGACACTGGCCACGATAAAGCAGTGCGTCCCCGCATCTCCTTTATCTCTCTTAGCGCCCAACTGACAGGACCTTTCAACTCATCGTGGCTGTGCATGACCGGCGGACAGCAGGCGCGCCGCGGGCCAAAGCCACCGCTGCCGGAGGCCCCGAAGCCCCTGTTCCACGGACGCGGGCCAACGTCGACGTCGACGTCCGCGACGAAGCGGTCCCCGAGCACGCCCGGGGGCGGGTGCGGGACACCGGCGCTGTCGCTATCCGTCGCGAGCTCGCCCGCGGCTTCGGCGTCGGCGTCGCCGGTGCGCTCGCCGGACGTGCCGCCGACGACGAACCTGCTGAACCGGCAGGAGCGGGCGGAGCTGGTGCGCAAGACGCGGAAGCTGGCGCAGATGTTTGGGCAGACGCCGTCTGGGCTGGCGATGGCGATGGCGGGCGGAGGGGTGGGCTCGCCGCGGCAGGGGTCGCCGCCTGCACGGCTGGTGCTGCCGGGGCACGGGCACCGGGGCGCGGTGTCGATATCGGGAGGCGAGGGGGAGGTGGTCGGGGTGGGCGGACAGAGCAGCAGCAGCAGGGAGAGCCGGCGGCGGTCGATGCCACTGAGCCCGAGCGAGATGAGCACGGTGCTGTCGGACCGGAGATCGGGGGTGGTCGGGGGCAGCGGTAGACAGACGGACGCGGAGTCGTTCATGGACCTGTCAGACGAGGAGCGGGGGACTGCGGGGGCGAGGGACGGGCGGACCTCGCGGGTGCACGGGCGCCTGTCCGTGCTCTCCACGGCAACGACGACGAGCGGGGACGGACTGGACGATATGGCCTCCCTCGTGCTCGATCCGGCGGAGGAGGAGCGCAGGCGCAAGCGTGAGAAACTCGCCAAGCTCCATCGCTTCCTCGGCTCGCGTGTCCCCGCTTCTCTTGTCCTCGGCTTCAACGACGCTGATCCCGACGCATCCCTCCCCGCCCCCCAGACCCCGCTCCCCGCCCCCGCAATCCCCGCCGACGGCCCCTCGGACACCGACGCCCGTGCGTGGCCCCGCCTCCGCCGACGCAGCAGCTCCGCGGCAGAGATGAAGAGCGTATGGCTCGACCCCGCCGACAGAGTCAAGGAGGACCTCGACGACCGCGAGAAGGCCATCAACGTCCGCAGGGCCATCAAAATGGAAAAGGTGCGCAACCGTCACGCCCCCGCCGCCCCCGCCGTCCGCTCACGCTTTTCGCTCGCAGATGTTCGGCGTCCCGCCCCCGCAGACCCTCTACCACACCCGTCACTCCCCGGCCGTCACGCCGCACTCCCCCACCTCCTCCGCCCGCTTCAGCGTCGCCTCCGACCTGCCCTCCCCGTCCCTCGGCGACGTCCCCGCGTCCCCCACCGGCCGCAACATAAACCAGAGCGCCTACGTCAACAAGGGCAAGGGCCGCAGGTCCTCTCACCGCCCAGGCCACTCCAGCCCGTCAGAGTCCATGCAGAACCTCCTCATCCACAACGCAGACTACACCCTCTCCGGCTCCCCGTCGTCCCCCTCCGCGTCCCTCTCCCTCGACCACCGCGCGTCGTCCATCTACATGCACTACCGCCATTCCCTCAACTCCCTTAATGACATCATCGATAGGGTCCGTGCTCCACGTAATTATCCTCGTTGCTCTTGATGGCTGATATTTTGTCCCGTCCGCAGGACGACAAGGAGTCCCTGGCCGAGCTCCACCAATATATCACCAACGACCTCGCCTCCCTGGACCCCCCTACCTCCCCACCCCACAACGCCTTGGAGCACCCGTACCAGCACCCGTACCAGCATCCGCACCCGCACCCGCACCAGTCCCCGCAACCCCACCAGCACCCGTACACGCACGCGCTCGCGCAGTCCGAGGCCAAGGCCCTCCGCGCCGAGCGCCGCCGCTCGCTCCCCGTCCGCACCTCCACGCTCTCCCTCGCGTCGCAGTACACCCTCGCGTCCCCCGAGCCCGAGATGGTCTCCTTCCAGGCCCGCCGCCGCCGCGCGGCGAAGCTCACCAGCTTCTTCGGCGTCGACTACCGCGACCTCGTCGGCGAGATCCTCGACAGCATCGAGCATGGGCTCCAGGAGGACGGCAGCCGCGGCAGTCTGCAGCCGGAGGAGATGCAGGTGCGCTTTTTTTTTTTTTGTTTCGTGTCTGTTCTGGCCAGTTGGCTCGTGTTCGCGGATCGCTGACGACTGGTGATGGTGATGGTGGTCTTGGTTTGACAGGAGCTGCTCCAGAGACTGCGCAAGCTCAAGACGAAGCGCCCAGGATTGGTCTAGAGGAAGCGAGCGCGCGCGCGCGCGCATGCCGCGCACCCGGCGCATACCCCGGCGTAGTCCTCGTCGCGGTGCCCTCCCCCCCTGCTCACGGCGGCGGGCTGCACATTGACGAACGTCTGTCTATACTTACTGTGAAACCTAATTGCCTCTCCCTTTCCTGTCTCATGTATTACAATCTAGCACAAACTGCTATATACTATTCTGACGTCCGATCGAACGCGAGGAACTAAGAGATGGGTGACAAACAATGGGATCCCGAAAAATCAAAGTGCAGTGGTGAGTAGGTAAAAACGTACGAGTAACGAGCGCGCGCGGGGCGTGTTAGAGAATGACGAGCTCGCCCCGGCACGAATGGCACCAGAAAATATGCGACTCGTCCAGGAACTGCGGGTGCTTCAGCGACAGGCTCAGCGTCGCCGGCGCTCGCGGCTCCACCACCGTCGGCAGACCCGGCGCGACGCCCACCCCCCCTCCCGTTCCCACAGGCGCAGGCGACACGGCCCTCGACGACAGATGCGACGCGCCCGCCGCCGCCGCGACTTCGCTGTCGATCCGCGCCTTGAGCATGCTCAGGCTGACCTTGCGCTTGTGCCGCGTCTCGGGCGACAGGTTCTGCCCGAACAGCAGCGTCTGCGACGCCAGCGGCGGCGGCGCCCCCCCGCTCGCCTGGCGCGCGAGTGACGCGCGCCGCAGGTCGTCCGAGTGGTTCCGCGAGCGGCTCGACGGTCGCGACGGCGGGCCCTCCTTCGCCGCCTTGCCGCCTACGGGCACCGGCGCGCGCGGGGCCGTCCCGTTTCCTGATGCCCCCGCACCTGCCCCCGCGCCCGTGGCCGCCCCGCGCGCGAGCTGGTCCTCGAGCGCGCCCGCGTGCTTCTGGAGCGTGTGCGCGCGCGCTTCGGCCTCGAACACGGCCGTCTGCAGCGCGCGGATCTGCGACTGCGCCGCGGACAGCTCGAGCGCGTGCTGCTGCCGCAGCGCGCTCAGCATCTCGCGGTCCAGCGCGGGCGACATCGGGCTCCGCGCGCTGTCGTCGTCCTCGGCGGCCGATGCTGCTGCTGCCGCCGCCGCCGTTTGCGCCTCTTCGACGGTCGCGCGCAGCTGCTCGAGCTCGTCGTCGCGGGAGGCGAGGTCGGCGCGCAGCGCCTCCACCTCGTTGCGTGCGCGCTCCAGGAACTCCTTCTGCTCCGACGCGGCGGTCCTCCGCTCGTCGAGCTCGACGCGCAACGAGGCGACCACGTCCTTCAGCTCGTGCACCGCGCCCTGCAGCCGGTCGATCTCGCCGCTCTGCCGCGACACGAGTTGCCGCTGCGCCGCGCGGTCCGTCTCGAGCTCACGCACGCCTGCGCTCGCGACGTCCAGCTCAGCCTGCAGCTCACCGTACGCCCGCTGCAGCTCGCCCATGCCCTCCTGCGCTGCGGCGCGCTCGGCCTCGTGCCGCGCCTCCGCCTCGCGCAGGCGTGCCTCCGCGGCGTCCTTCTCGTCCCTCGCGGCTCCCAGCGCGACCTCCACGTGCCCGACGACGCTGTCCCGGTCGCGCAGCGCCCGCTCGAGCCCCGCCGCGCGCTCCGTCAGCTCGAGCTTTGCGTCCGTGAGCTCGACGATCTTCGGTCGCATCTCCTCCAGCGCGCCCATGAGCGCGGTGCCCTCGGCCTGCAGGGCCTTCTGCTGCCGCTCCGCCTCGTCCGCGCGGCGCACCGCAGCGCGCAGGTCGCCCTGCGCGACCTGCAGCTGGCGCGCGGTCGCCGCGTGCTCAGCCGCAGCCTGGGACGCCGCGGCCTGGAGGTCCGAGAGAGATTGCTGGCGCGCTTCTAGGCGCGCGGCGAGGTCCGCGTGGTCGCGGGCGAGCGAGTCGTGCTCGGCGGTTAGGGCGTCCAGCAGCTGTTGGACCTCTGCGTGCTGCTGTGCGAGATCGGCGTGTCTCTGTGCCCAGTCGGCTTCCGAGGCGGTGCGTGCCTGCAGCTGAGACTCCAACGCGTCGCGCTCCGACTTGAGCGCAGCGTGGGCCTAATCCGGAGAGAAGCGAGAGGAGGTGGGTGTCCCCTTGTTCATTCACAGCGCGCGAGGTGAGGCGGAGGGGAAGGGGCCCACCTGCTTAAGTTTAGACATTTGGAATTCGAGCTCGCTGGCGTGATCCTGGACGTTCTGCAGCGAGGCCTCCAGGCGCTCGACACGGTCATCGCTCTGGATTTGCTCTTCGAGTTCGCGTACCCGTCTCAGGGACCGCTCTGCTTCCGCCTGGAATTCATCCGCAGCGCCCTTGGTCAGCTGCAGCTCCCGCTCCTGTCGTTACGAGTGCGGTGGGGTGGGTGGGTGAGTGGGTGTGATGGATCGTCGTGAGCCCGTTTGCGAACCGTTGATCAATGAAAAAGCCGGGACCCACCTGCTCTCGGAACGTGTCCTCGAGCGTGCGCTCGCGCGCAGAGAGCTCCTCGATCCGCGCGGACGCTTGGTGAGCGTCTTGCTCGAGCTGCGTCACCCGCGCCTCGAACGCCCTGCCCGCGTCGCGCTCAAGCTGTAGGGCCTGCTCCGCCTTGCGCAGCCCTATTAGACGCGGGAACCAAGTCAGTTGCCATCAGACACGCGCTCGCGGCGGCACAGAGGCGTCGTTCCGAGAATCAGCACTCACTCGATTCCACCTCGGACAGGCGCTCGACCGAGGCGCCTAAGGAAGCCTTTTCGGAAACCAGTAACGAGATCGTCTGCTGCTGGGTTTGGATGACGGCGTGCAGGCTGTTCGTTTCATCTTCTGCGGGTGGGCTGCTCGCGGCCGGCGGATGGAGTGAGGACGGCGCCGGCGGGGGAGACTGGGCCGAGTGCGACGGCATGGGCTGTTGGGCTGCACGAACGGGGGAGGACGAGGGAGAGGGCGCCGGTGGAACGGAGGGGGAGCCCACTCGCTCGAGAGACGCGAGCCACGGCACGTCGGCCGAGTTTGCAGGCGCTGCGCCCCGAGCGAAGCTGAGGAGGATGTGGAGTCGCGCGTCAGAGTATTCCGACGATACCGAGAGAACGGGGTGGGCACGCACACGTCTGCAAGCTCGCCCTGGTCCTCATCCGCAGGAGTGTCTGACAGGGCGGGAGAATACGCGCGGACCAAAGGAGAACCGGGCGTTGGTGTGCTCGAGGCAGCAGCGGCGCCTCCCTTCTTCTGCTGTCTTTTCTTGAGCTACGTCCAGATGAATACAGAATGGAAGATCAGCCATGTTTCTCCAGAGAACGCAGCACCGTTACGGTGATGAAAACCCACCAGCGCCTTTGCCCTGGCACTTTTGGTAGCTCGGTCGTCTTCTGACATGTCAGGGTATCAATAATAGCCTATGTGTGTTAAGTTTGGAGAGGCGAGGCAGCGAGGTGGAGAGGGTCAAGGTCAATAAGCGCAGCGGAAACCGGGCGTGTCGCGTTGCAGCTGCTAACTTGGTACGCGCCGTTCAGCCACAGCATGCTTGCTTCTCGCCCACGTACACCCGCTTGGTCACACAGCCGCAGTGTCCAGTACAAGCATATTTCTCATTGGGAAAAAAGAAACAGATATATAGATCACGGACCGGGGGTAGCAGTGGAACATATTTCAGAAAGAGAGAAATAAGAATGTGGAGCACGACAGGAGACGGTATGTATAGCACAAGAAACGGAAGAGACCCCCCCCAATCGTGATGGGAGACGCAAATGGGACTGTAAGGACTGACTCGCGGCGTCCGTCCGTCGATGTTCGAAGGGCGGCGCAGGCTAGAGAAAGGAAACAAGGATATAAAATGACAGATAATACCAGCAGAAACGGAGCCGACGAGAAATGGGATACGTGCGAAACGAGTGGGGCTCCAACGACGAGGGTATGAAAGGCGCCGGGGAACCATACAAGCGCCTTTACGCCCAGACCTAAAATGAGCCGACAGACGTCAAGCCAAGATGGAATCGATTGGCACGAAGAAAGACTGACCTTGAGAATGCTGTCCCAGCTGCCTGTGCAAAGCGCCATGCCGTCCGTGCTCACGCCCAAGCAACTGACCCTGTTGTCATGTCCTGTCAAAACGCCGACACGCTCGCCCTTGAGGGTGTCCCAGACGTTGCATGTCCAGTCATCGTATCCACCAAACAGGATCCGACCTGAGATGGAGAACGCGACCGAGGTGATTCCACAGAGAATGTTGTCGTGTGTGTACGCATTCAATTCTCGGTCGGCGCGAATATCAAACAGCCGGCAAGAGGCGTCATCAGAACCCGTCGCAAACGCATCGCCATTCGGGAAAAACCTGAGACAGATTGGTCATGCGACGGGGGGAAAAAAGGATCTGCAGTAGACTTACTGGACCGCGTTGATGTCAGACTCGTGACCAGTGAACGTCTGGGTAGCCTTGCCGCTGCGGATATCCCAGAGCTTCGCGGTCGCGTCACAGGCACCCGAAACGAAAACGTTCTGATTTGGTCCCAGCGAGAGACTTGGTACATCGATCAATACGGGCGGTCCGCAAAGACAAAAAGAGAAGAAAGCGCCTACCTCATGACATCGCCGGTGTGGTCGCTGAATTCAACGACGCGGACACCGGCCTCGATGTCCCAAAGCATGCAAGTCATGTCTCCGGAACTGGTGACGATTTGACGGTCATTGATGAATCGACAGCAAGAGAGGTAGCCCGAATGGGCCGAAAGCTCTCTGGCGCCCTTGATGCCGTTGCCTTCCTTGCTGTGAAGGTTGTATATGGAGCAGATATTGTCGAGACCGCCGCAAGCGACGAAGTTGCCAGATGGCGAGTAGGCGCAGGTCATGACCCAGCTCGATCGCAAGGGGATGGCGTGGACTTTGTTTGTCGTGTAGGCGTCCCAGACGATGAGTTTACCATCCTGAGAAGCCGATACGAGATGCCTCTTGTCGGTCGCCCAATGCATTGCGTAGATCTTTGCGAGATGGCCTCTGAGGGCGCGGCGGGGTCGCATGACGATACGGGGGAGGGCGTCGACCTCTGCCGCCATAGCGCGCACTGTACAGGGGAGATTGATGTGAATAAGCAAGGGCGGGTATAGGCGATAGCGACTGACGACTGGTGTCGGCTGAAGACTCGCGCTTGGCCCTGATTCTCTCTTTGAGGCTGTCTGCCTCACGGCGAGCAGCCGCGATGCGCTCTTGAATGTCACCCTGTCCTTGAGACATGATTTTGGATCACCGGGGGTTGAGCGGCGTCGGATGCGTTGGCGACGAGACAGAAAGGAGGACGATGGCTAGCGTGTTGGGAGTATCGGAGGTGAGTCGATGGGGAAGCACGTTGAAGGGGAGCACTCACGGAAAGGAGACGGAAAAGAGAGAAGGAGAAGAGGGAGAGAGAGAGAAATGAAGGGGAGATGGGGAGACGAGGGGTGCGTGGGAAGAACGGGGGGCGGGTGGGAACTGCGAGGCCGAAAGGGGAAGGGCGGGGCGGCAAAGAGCGGGCAAGCAGCAAACAAATGAGCTCTCGGGGCCCAGGAACGAGGACGGGAGGGGGGATGCGGACGGGTGGAGGGGACGGGGAGGGACGCCTGGGTGTGCGCTGATGCGTCCGTTGGCTTGCGCTCCCACTTTCAACCCCCGCTCTATGTTCCCACACACCCAGCGGTGCTTGCCGTTCTCGCCTCGCCTCCCTTCCTGCCCATTCCGCTCTCGTCAACGATGGAACCCCGGGTCACGCACGCACCCGGCCGCCTTTGCGCCATCGTCCCGCGGGCCCACGCCGCGACAGCTTGAAACGCCCATTTGGCACCACCAAGTTCCCAACAATATTCAGCGAATGTCATACACAGGAGCCCGTTCCTCTGTCCCTCCTTGCCAAATTTCGTCTTCGTGCCGGCTCCTCGCCGCATTTTATTATCGATCTCGCTCTCCCGCGCTCCCGTCCCGGTGCAGGGGCACCATGTGCCCCATCCCCGTTACATCGCAGCAGCCTATTCGCGCGACTGGCATCTTTTACACTGTTATTAGCTGCTCCCTCCCCAGGACCGCTCCAACTGGCGTCACATCAGTCAACCCAAATAGCGCTCGCTTTCTGGCTCGACGCCTTTGTTCCGCGAAAATAATACCCCGCCCCCTCAGACAATGTCTGGGTGGAAACGGCAGCGACTCACTCTGTTTCACGACCGATTGCTCACGAATGCCGGCCCCCCCGTATAGTTCTGTGTTTCCCAGCGAGACCCGTCAGACAGAAATGTTGCACGTATAACGAGAACCCCAAGTGGACTGTTCCGCTCGTTCCTTGACGCCTCGATCTTCATATCCCTAAACAATGACTTTATGACCGTCGGCGTCTAGAAAGACGAATTTCATATGCCCACCTCGTAATGTCTCCCGCTTCTCGAACGGTCTAAAGGTTAAAATCGCTCATCAGTTACCTCACAGCTTTGCGCAACTGGGTGGAGTGCGTTCTGATGCACGGAACGTCTGTTTCTCGGATTTCTACTCTTCACACGTGTTGGGAGGCAGAACACTTGATTCAGAATATCGAGTCCCCGTCTCCATTCCTGCGACGAGGGCCCTGCTGGTTTCATATCCGTTATGGGACCGTCTACCGCTGGTCATCTGTCATTCGCTCGATGGTCGGTATTACCAGACGGTACGATCTCAAGAAATCTCTCGTAAGCCCCCCTACATGTCATCCGATTATCCTTGATGTATTGCTGTAGGACAAGATCACTGTTTCATGAGGACGGGATCTCGTGAGGACGGGATCTCATGTGTTCCGCACCTCGACCGAGAGTTTTGGAGAAATGGGCAACGTCGTCATGTGTGGTCTGTGGATAGGACGGAGGTCAGTATAAAATCGTGGACGCTAATTGCTCTACCCATTCAACAACTCATTCCCACTCAAACACACCCCAAAGTCTTTCTACAATGTCTCAGAACGGTACGCCTGTCGAATCGCGGCCTTCATACGCTATCTGACATCCACCACTCAAGACTCCGCTGTCCTCTTGAACAATCACCTCCAATCGACCAAACAAGTCCATCTGCTGCAATGGCGCTTCGACCAGGTTGGGCCTTTGGACCATGTTATTCATCACGCCATCGCCTACCGTGAGATCAGCCATAGTCTCTTGCACACCAAGGACTGACGATGTTCCTGCAGTCGGTGGCCGAGAGATCGGTCGAGGCCATGGCAATACTCGTAATGAAGCCAAACGAAATGCCTGTGCGATTGCTCTGCAGACACTCGGTGCAGCCTGAGTTATTGTGAGGGCATTGAATCCTCCCGCCTGAATCGTACTCACACTCCTATGAGCAGCATGGAGGCGAGAAACCGTCCGACTAATTTCTTGATTCCCAAGCCCATGCTTTGTACATGTAGTATCTGATCGCCGGCTTGAAGTAAATGAATCTTGTTCTTTCCACGATATTTCTAGAGCATGATAACCTTTCGCAAAGTGCACACAAATATTCGAGCACCGTCGGAACAGCGACGGTACTTTGCCAGACTGAAGGCGCCACCACAAGACACAACCGACAGACCTTAGGCGCTGAGATCACACGGCGATGCGGCGCCGGAAAGTGCGTGTCGGTCTCGAGCCGCTAAGGCGGTAACTTTGTCCTTTACAGTGACGTTGAGTACGTTACTGACCCGACGATTCAGATCCTGCCCGATGGGCTTAATTGTCGAGAATAGTAGGAAAGCAGATTTCGCTATACGCAGGCTCCGGTCGTTCCTGACGGACGCTCTCCATGGGCGACCCTCATAAGGTTGGTCGTATGCTTTTTACGGAGACAAGACTCACGATCGCTCGCTCCGCGCTCCCCGGGAATTAAACTGTTCGCGCATCATCCACCTGGATCTGCACGAGCCCTACACCGCACCTCGTATGGGCGGCCTACGTGGAGCGCGATACCTGTAGCTGTAGCCGTAGCCGTAGCCGTGGCTGTCGGCACGATGACCTCTACGCATCTCGCAGTCATCGCTGATACAGAGATATGTCGAAACGACGGACGGCGGTCGTCCGAGCCCTACACTCCTGCGTATTATCTGAACTATGGTCCTGGCTCCTCGGAGAATCGTGCGTGTTAAAAGACCAGCAACAAGATATGAACTGGCCAGCAACTCGACAAGCCTCCTCGACACCTCGGCACCTGTACATATCCAGCTTCCTAATTCCTACTTTTTTTTTTCAACATGAGCAACCTCGGTGAGCAAATTCTTTCCTAGGTGCTCGTTCGGATGGCTGATGTGCTGTTCTTAGATTGGCCTCGTGAATTGAACAACTTCCTCCAGTCCAGAGGACAGACTCATTTGTTAAGTTGGCACGACGAAATCAGAGGGCCACCACACCAGTGCATACATTATATGACCGCTATTTGTAAGTCCATAGCGATCCAAGGAGGCTGATTTTTAATTCCTCTTCGACAGTCAACGGCCGACCGATTGCCCGGGGACGCGATAACTATAAAAATGGTGCAAAGGCGATTGCAGCCCAACAGGCTTTGCAGATTTTGAGAGGATATTAATCTAGGTGGGCCAAGTAATCGTGGCTAGAGATTAGACGGACGCGCTGACGCCAATTTCTTGATGTGTCTTTTCTGCAGGTAACGCAGCCATCTGTATCACCACACTCGATTGTATGCTTGTAATTTCCATGTACGATAAGTTTCCTTGTCATGTGTTGATAACGGCGTGCCGTTATGGCCATCGCTGCGGATCATAACGTAGCATGGCATGCAGCATTTTGAACCATCAAGCAAAGTCCTACAGCTGTTGTGATTGTCGCGCCGCACGAATTTACGTGCCCAATCAGGCAGGCGTTGTGTTCGCACTTGGCGCCAACAACCACTGCCTGATATGTGGAGCTAAGTTGCCTTGTCAGCGGTTATGGTGACTCGGAAGGATCTAGGTGACTCCAAACTGATACCCAACGTGACGGACGGCGAGTCAGATTTTATGGTATAATATACTTATGAATGAAAAATTCGAACTTTTTCGGTTTCATCGCACGATGAGAGCAAACATAATCATCGGATCAACTGCAAGAACCACCGGTCTAATAGTATTATTATCTGCTGCCATTCCGGTCTGCCGATATCATGACAGCAGACTCGACAAGGACACTGCTGTTAGATCTTCAGGCCGGACACACGACGCCTGCCGCTCATGTGTAGTGAGTCATATGCTTGAATAGCTTCGAGTCACTCACCAGATTAACAATGTCCGCTCATTAAGTTACTAGGATGGGCGTAGAATTTCGAAATCATTTTGTGGCGCAGCACCGCTCAGCGGCTTGACGCTGCCGACGGCAAACACCGTGGTCGTTGACTCGACACCGTCTCACCAAGTCACTCTCGTCGCATGCAATTCAAGGAACCCTTCAACACCTATCAGACATCGATATTCTGAGCGGCATGCGCAGCTTTGTGAAGGAGCTCGTGCTTCGAGATACCAAGGTAACGGCTCATCACACGTTCAGCTGGTATTGCGCTTGCCTTGCCGCGTTCTGCATGACCGAAGAGCATTGGCAAGTGGGCGCGTGGTCACGGTTACTTCTCGAACGCGGCTGGATCAGGCTTTTCGTGGCAGCTATGACGATGTGGAGAACCCTGGAGAACTTTGCCTTATCGACGATCATCAAAGCAGACCGCCACCACGTTCATATACAATCGCAGGCAGCCAACGCCGCAGCCTTCTGCCTTTCTGCTACTACGACGATGTAACTTTGGTCAACGGGTATGTAGCCCTACGAGGCTCGCATCATGTGCTGATAATTTAATCACCCCGTAATGGAGGTCATTTCAAGAGCACCCCTTCATGATTGTTATCTCGAATTCGAACAGTGGCATTCAAGAATGCTGCAGGGGGGAGGCTAGAATGACAGCGTCGATCCGTAACTACTTCCGTGGCCATATCAGATGCGCAGAAGTGACTACGCGTACCTGTCTCCGACTATAGACTCAGCTGCCTCCGGCGGTAGAAGCCGCAGTGATGTTTGCTTCCTATATCTTTTCTCAGGCCTTCGCTGCATCCATATCTGGGCATCCTCAGGTCCTGTGGTGGAACCTGTAGAGTCCAGAGCGAAAACAGAAATTATCTTGTAGTTCCACGTGAAAATCGTCGTCGACCGTCGGAGACCTCTGTGATACCTCACTGACTCGTCCCCTCCAATTAACTTCTGGTACCGATTCGTGATCGCGGACGTGCGCGCCTTCGTGGCTCATGACACCGGCCTCTAGGCGAGTCACATAGCATGTTCCCCTTTGTTCCTCTTTTTATCAGATTCGTGGAAGATCCGAGAGGTTCTCAGATAAGCCTCGCAGAGATCTTCGTCCTCGTACTCCGTCCATGCCAACTGACTGCCTCCTGGTACGTTCCTATTCGCCACTTTCGCGCTTCACGCTGCACATCCAAAATTATGATGTTTGAAATTCATAGTCTGTTGCATTCACATTGGTTGGCAACCTATGACATGCGTACTCCTAATCCTTTCCATTCATCTCTTGAGGATTGGTTCTCAGAAGAAGGCGCGCGGTAATTCTGGAAGGACAAATACCGTCGGCATCTCTCCGAAGAACACCTACTCCAGCAGTGCTCAGGGTTCAATGTCCATGGCAGATTGAACGGATCGTATGTCACCAACTACCGCGACATGGACGCACGTATTGGGCATTTTGAGGCTGACTGGGCGTGCGCCGAGAACCATGTCCTCATATGCTGCTTCGCACGTAAGTATAAGAGGCTGCCTGAAAGCTCGATGACTTGCACACTGGCTCAGCTCAACCAAGGATGTCTACTGGTAAGTTGGCTGTCAACAACATGCGCATCCTTTAGACGTTCTCACTTTTGTTTTTCTAGGAAGAATGAGTATCGCCTTGAACAACTGTGAGCGCCATCTGACTCGTCGCTGAGATCCTTCTTACTCTATATCCAAAGATCTTCAATCGAAGGACATGCTGCCATCCTTGAGGTGGGAGGAGTCCTCCTCTGGACTCGCCCATGCCCCCGTGTGGACGTCAATCTGCAAGAGTGAGAGAGGTGTTGATAGATACTTGCTGCGCAGCTCATCTAATTTTCTTCATAGTCGACGATGAAGTCATCTCCACTGGGACAGGATCCCACAAAAACATTGCCAGAGACGTCGCAGCCGAAGAGGCACTCAGGATCTTGAGGTCTCGTGACACTTGATGTTTTTTTCTGTACCATTTTTCTTCATGCCTTCCTTCTAGATGTGGCTGGATATTTTGTGATCTCTTGTGCCTCGTAGAATCGCGTTGTATCTCTAAGGCTCTTGCTCGCCCTCTTTGTTTGAAATGTTCTGCTTAGACTGCGATCATTCTCTGAACAACTGTAAACCATGCAAGGATCTCGACGATTTGAAAGGTACAACATCTGAGGCACATGAAGAAAATGAGTCTGTGACTCGGGGATTGGGAGAACCATAGTTCAAAGTGGACGCATAGGATATTTAAGTAGTAGGTACATTCGAGAGCGAGCGAGTAAAGGTACATATGCAACAGGGATGAGATCGCTGATTGTCCGTTCCGAGACTTTGGCATTTGATCAAAAGATATACCATGTCAATCTGGCGTGCCATTCAATTGCCCCCGAGCTGTTGTAAAGCCTGTAGAGCTGCGGCCTCCTTAGCATCAGCTTTACGGGCTGCTGAGGCTCGGCCTTTGATGACTCCGTGAACTAATGGCAGTGATTGAGTGAGAGATAATAAGTTCATAATTTATGGAACATACTATTACAAGTTATGGTCCATCTGTTCTGCGCATTTGGCTGACCGCTGTCTTGTTCAACATAACTGACCGCTGCCAATTCTCCACGGATCTGAAGGTCTGATAATGGGAATGCGTCGTTAGTTAGGTTAGTAGGAACTGAAGAAAATACCCGCAATTGTTCAGTTTCACTGTCGCTGTTCGGCTAATCAGTACTCTATTTAAATCAAAAAGATATGTGCATAGCCTACGTCGGTTCTCGTGAGCCATTGCAAGTACAATGGGGATTTAGTTGAAGTATGTGGATATTGTAGAGAAGAGTTGTGAGTCAGGGATAAACTCAGCGTACCAGGCAACCAGCTTTATACAGGACTCGACTGGCACTTGTATCAATTAACGGCGAACTGAATGAATCGCGGTGAGCCTCCAGACCCTGACATCGTCAGCACCCAAGGGACCGGACAAAAAGAGGAATGTCACGCACTAGATATTTTCATGATGTCTCATCTATTTTCTCAAACAAAGACCCCTCTGGCAGAATTCTCGACACAACAGTCATGTTACTACAGACCGGAGGGCTTACGGGAATGGCTATGCCGGAACAATGCGCATTCTGACCTCCCCCTCTTCTCAACATCGAACCCACGTCTGTTCCCTCCGGAGGGTCTTTACTAGCCGAATGGTTATGAGCGGGGCGTGGATAATCGCTCCATGAAGTCCAAGGACTATTAGACCATCTGGCCCAAAGAAGACACAATCACTCACTCTTCATTCAAGAGATACACGACTATGCAGTGAGACAACATATCAGACCCATGACTTTCTAGACGACTGGCGTATCGCATTGACACAAAGGCGGGATTGCTCGCGACCGGAGTAACTCACAATACCGGCGTGAGATGTGGTGACCTATGCGACACGTAGCACTGCGCAATACGGTTAGTGACAGACGGCGATCAGTCGTAGGCCTACTCATGACGCAAGCATGGGCATTTAGGACCTTCACACTCTGCTCGTGAGCGGTGTTTTCACAGGCGCTCATAGAAAGGAACGCGTTGAGATTACTTGCTAGCGCCCACGTCCGGAACATTTCGGTAAGTACCGTTGGCTGGGGAGAGGCGCTGATAGAACTGTTTCTAGGCTGCAGACGGCTAGTCAACATGAAACCTGAGGTCTATGAGGAGCGAACGTCAGTGAGTAGAAGCCGCATAATCCCATGCCTAGTTACTCGCCTTACAGGCCTCTATATCGGAAGGGTGGAATTCCTAACCGTCGCAGAATGAAAACGGTACAATCAATTACCGGGTCAAACGTTTCGTCACGGCGCTGGTGTCGGCTGAGTTTACGGCCAGTCTACTTTGCTCTTCAGATTAGGTAGCTGTAATACGTGCGATTATCAACGCGTTGTATCAAAAGGTATCCGCACTCAAGAGTCACATCCAGATATGGTGGGGTACGGGGTATAGGTGGCATATTTGAGTTCACCAGCGGTGCCCCGAGTTAATTAACGTTGATTAGACAAGTCGAAAGGAGTAGCGGATTCCACGCTGTATCATCCATCACGATAGATGATCATGACATTGTGAGACTCCGACGATACAGCTCGGTGACGATTCAGAGGCATTCATATCCACAGACCTGAATTCCAATTGCAGCTAACGCAGGTCGTGGAAGGGTTGATATACGCTCATCCTGTGTCGTCGTGCATTGACGCGCGCCTTGATCACAGCGTGTTATTCTCAAGAATAAGCGAGCAGTGATGAGTGTTGGTTGGATTGTGTGGCTGAGTGACGGCGAAATGCAAAACCTATTATGTGAAACCGTGACGGCATTGTGGCGGGCGGGAGTTGAAATACACATGAGTCGAAAACGAACCCAAAAGTGGAACCATGTCTCGTCGGTTGGTTCCATATATCGTTGCTGGCATCACAGGTCAGATTCAGAAGAATGCAGGCACCCTAGGAGAAAAGAACTCTCACGTACTGACTACGGATTGAATTCATAGGCGTAGCATCAGGCATATACATCTTTCGACCTATGGTCACGCCTGATAATGTCAACGTGTTCAGGCCTACTAGCAGCACTGGCGATAGAACGTGAGTGTCTATGAAGTCGTTCACGACGAGTGGATTGTTGAAATACACAAATCGCCAGGCAAGCAAAATCAAGCTTGCTAGCGGAGCGACCTGAGGCAAGTAAGCAGGAAGCTCCAGTGTCCAAGCCAGAGTACAGTAGCAGCAATGCGCAGCCGTCCTAGCGTCACAATGTATCCATAGTCTGTGGGACATGAATTTGGCCATCGACTTATCACCGTCCGAGATGTATAAGCTTCACATTGAAGACGCTCCATTTAACGCTGAGGACATCGCCCTCGACACATAACTCCATATAATACACCCGTCTACCGCACAACCCAAGCCGCTTCGGCGAGTCGGACAGACCGGGTCTTCAGTGTGCCCTTCACGAGATTCCCAAGATGTTACGTTTCCACGATACTGTACTGGCCTTGCACCGTGCGGGATACAGATACTTGGTTTCAATAATAAAATGCATAAAATGTATAAGTTCTGTGGCATATGGCCTTCAGTCTCATTTGACAGCCAACCCTTTTCGATGTGGAAACAACTCCTGATTCTATGAAATAACTAGGGACGATCACTTAACTAGGGCTGGCTATCTACATCCATAAGTTTTGTAGACCCACGTGGGGGAGCCCTACGTTCCCAAATCTTGACCGAAAAGATATGCGTCAGATCACACAGCCTCTCGAAAGGGCATCCACAGAGCGTACCTGCAAAACTGTTTCTCCTAAGAATATCATCTCCTTTCTGATCTCCTCGACAATGAGGTCCTGTATTTGGAGCCATTTCTCATTGCCGCCTCCGCCAGAACCTGCCCGAAGTTGCACCTTCCATACTGTGTTCTGTTTGTCTCTCATGGTGCCAGCGACTGACTCATGCGTGACGTTGGCGATGAGATCATATACGGTCGGTGGTTGAGATGCCGGTGCGTCTACATCTGAAGGGAGAGAAATGGAAAGAGCCAAGCATGCATCAAGTGTTAGAACCGAAGTTACGTATTCGCATGCTTACAATCGGAAAAGTCAACCCCTCTCAGAGGGAAATTCACGATTGTAGGATTTTTTTCCTCCACAAAATTATTTTTTGTGAAGCGTTTGTAGTGCAGAATGATGTAGCTCGGTAACTCCCGGCACTTGAAACGGCGCAACTGACCCCTCGATTCCTGCGATCCACACAATTAGAGACGAAAGATTAAGAATCAAAAGCGCTACCCCGGAAGAACGGGGATGCGAACCTGGGTTGTGGTTCCATCATACTTCGCCAACACTGCGTGGATACCGACTTGAGGTATGATATTTTTCTCGACTGCATCTTGAAAAAGTGGGGGCGGTGGTAAGTCGAGGGCCAAAAAGAGGAAAGGCGATGCATTGATTTTGATTTCTATTTGCGACATCCGACATCAGGATCTTTTCGTCAGCTGAAAAGCAACGGCCTACCCCGGTCAATGTCGAACCGTGGCTTCTCATTCCCAGCGGCATCTGGGCGGACAAGAACTTGCTGTGTCTCCATCCGTACCTCTCCCTGGAAAGTGGAGAATATGATACCTATCACAAATAAGATTAAAAATGTCGAAAAACAAGGGTTGAATGAATATGGAATACTGGAATTCTTCTTTTTTGTCCCGCCCATATCTTTGTGTAAGTGGTTTAACAACCAACCAAGGAATTCGACTGGATCACCCTGGCTCTCCATCCGAAATTTTCCGCCGCTGGCTCTCCCTACTTCCTGTAGGAACTCATGTGGGCTGACCTGGCTTTTGAATAGTCTGGGGTTCCAAATTTTCTTGGATATGGTTGCAAAGCGCCTCAATAACTCGGGGTGTTTTCCACTGAGATCTGAGAGTAGGAGATGATCTCGCAAAGGCGGTACGTGGAGAAGCGAGTGAATTATGACGTTCATGTAGTCGTTCCTCTTGATGTTGTTGAGTCCTATGTATCCCGGAAGGTACGGGTTCGATGCGAGATCGTAAGACGGTTTTGACAGATGGGCGGGTGTTGATAGAGTGCTGACAGAGGACGGAGAAAATGAAGGGGAAAGGACGTATGAAATATCTTCGAGTGACGGGTCAGACACTAGATAACCATCTGGTAGGACGTACACCTGATGAGGTAAGTTACAAAATAGTTGGACAGAATTGGTTAGAGTTGAACCGCACCTGAGTTGTTTCGAGATTGATGAAGACGTGGTGGTCATCGTGGATTGAGTGGGCATACGCGTACGAGTTACGGCCTCTGCCTTGGAAGTACTTTCCACAGACTAGACAGCCATAGATATTGATATTGGATGAACAGACTGAGCATACTTTCTCGAAGTCGAAATCGAGGAGGGCCCGATTGATCTATATTATTATGCTCAGAATCAGTATAACAGTATGACCGCAAGACCCACTTACTGTGTCGAGGTATAAGTCAGACCCTTGCGCAGCCGTATTGGTATCCTCCACCCGGTCCGTTTCTTCATCTGACAAGTCCTCTTCTAGGTGTGCGTCCTTTGCTGCATCCGGGGAAGGGACCTGGTCCGCGACACCAGCGGATTTGTCGACATTGTCTACGCGAGCACGCTTCAAAGGTCTGTCCGAATCAAGAGACAGCTCCGTTGAGTGGGATGCGACCATTGTGGCCTTGCGGCAGAAGAAGGATGATAGACGGATAGTGGACGCGCTTCAAGGCACTCAGCTTAACAGTGAACGAACGACCTTTGGCAACTTGGTTACTGTCAGTGCTTATTACGTTAGCAACTCTGGAACTTGCGACTCGTTGTCACTTTCACTCGACGTCCATATCCTCGTCTTGCAGAATTTCATGCTTCGCACTCGCTGCCATGCACCTGTACGCGCAGTTTTACGCACGAGACATTCTCGACTCTCGTCTGGCCTGAATTTGGCGTCTCATCATCCAAATGCTCCTCTGGATATCGATCCCGCATTCAAGGCCTTGCTTAAGGATGTTGATATGTCGCTTCTTCACCACAAATCGCGTCATCATCACGCTGAGGACACTCGTCCTAAGCTCCGAGAGCTTGAGGTATATCCAGAGCAAGATCTGGTAAGCGAGGTGGTGCCGAACGACGAAGAGTCCGAATCAAGGATGTCACGAAAGTCTCCAGCAGCAATCTTTGGCAGTCAAAGTATCGGTGCTGTCATCATCCCTGACGAGCTCCGAGAATCTGTGCAGACCCTTATCTCAGGTGAGTCCGAATCACGCTTGTTTGAACCTTGACCTGTTATATTTTTCTTAGCATCCGACAAGCACATGCTTCATGCCGATGCTAAGCGTCTCTTCCTCGAAGATGGTGTTGGGTGGGACGCCACCTACGATATCGATTACAAGTCTCGAAAGCAGGCGGCTCGGCACTCGGAGCGAGATGGAACTGCTTTCGTCTCAATAGCACTCCCTGCTCACTACTCCGCAATATACTCTGTTCTTGATCACACACGAATAAGGCTAGGGCCTGAATGGAACGTTGATATTGTATTTGATTGGGGTGCAGGGACCGGAAGTGGGCTCTGGCGAGTAGTTCTCTCTCGAAGTTCCGTCTAACTGGATCATCTCTGTATTGACTACTTCCAGGGCTTCAGCGTATGTTTTCCAACAGAGTGGATCGGATGCACCCGAATACGCACGGCTTATCAACTCTACAATTAATAAATACGTTGGCATCGACAAACGTCAAGGTCTAGTCAGCATCGGAAAGAGAGTATTAGAAGGTAATATCAATAGCTTACATGCACCCTTCATGACTGAACGAATTGTTTTTGTAGCCGTCGAACATGGCCAATTAAACGCTCTCTGGCAGAAAGCGATTCATGACGAAGACAAGGTAGCGCGCGCCGACGGAGGCAAAACTCTGGCCCTCTCGGCGTTCCTACTTTCCTCCCTGTCTACCTCCCTTCAGAGAAAGGCATTAGTCAAAGAGATGTGGGAGAGTGGAGCCGAAGTCATCGTGGGTAGTTTCAAATTATGCTTACTGCTACTGCTTCACAATCGTGCCGTCTCAGGTTTTGATCGATCATAGCACCCGTTCTGGTTTTTCAAATATCATCGAGGCCAGGCAATACCTTCTGAATTTGGGAAGGCGCGAGGTTGAAGATCTCAAAGCCGACGATTCTCAAATCAGAGGCTGTCATGTTGTAGCACCGGTAAGTGATGTCTGCCACGTTGGTGACCACTCTGATCGTTACGTTTCAAGTGTCCGCACGATGGTGCATGCCCGCTGTATCACTCAGATTCCACTAGGCTAGTGTGCGGCTTTTCACAGAGATTGCAAAGACCTCAATTCGTGCGAAAGACCAAGCACTCTGGTACTGGCCACGAAGATATTGGATACTCTTACGTGGTCATCCGGCGAGGCCTCAGGCCACCCCGGCCGGAAAGTAAAGTGGGGAGAATTGGAGAAATCGGGAGTCGCGAATTGGAGAAACTAGAATCCAAGGCGCCCATAGCGGAGCTGCAACTTCATGATGAATCCTTCGAAACCTCCCCTCCAATGTCCGAGAACTCCACGTCCACTATTGCTCCGTCGGAAACCGCCGATGTTGCTTATGTAGACGCTCCGGCGATTTACCAACAAGACGGTCGAAAAGACTTGGAAGATGCTCTGAGATTAGAAGCCTTCCATTGGCCCCGCCTGATTTTTCCTCCGCTAAAGCGGAGTGGCCATATAATTCTAGACAGTTGCACTGCGGAAGGTAAATTGTTTTCTCAATCAAGTTTATACTGCACTCTTCATACTCAATTTGGCCTATAGGTAACATCGCGCGCATGACAGTCCCAAAATCACAAGGCAAGCAGCCTTACTATGACGCTCGCAAGTCTGAATGGGGCGACATCTTCCCGCATGAGCCGAAAAATCGCCCACAAATTCGTCACCAACCTACAACGGCCAAACGTCAAGGAGGCAAGGCCCCTGCCACAGGGGCTGGCATCGGAAAGCGCAGTTCAAAATTGTCTGCTGACTCCTACTCCCACTTAACAAACGAGGTGACATTAGAGAAGAAGAAGATGCGAAGAGAGAGACGTCGTTCACAAAAGGCCGTTTGATAGCATTTCACTGTGACTCGTCTCTTTGTTTTGTACATTGTTTCCTTTATGTCAATCGCCGTGTATTATCAACTCGCTGTCGACTAACACGTCCATCTTATGTTTATATGGTATTTACATGTCTGATACTTGGATACCAGGCCCTTGTCTCGAGCTGAGGACTATCTTTTTGATTGCGTTTACTACATAACGGTCAGGCCTAAGTGGGCAGGAAGATAGATCGGACATTACCAGGCATGCCACCCTTCTGACTCTTCTCGGATGTAGAGTCTCGCTGATTTCCTGTCGCGCGCTTGACTGAGCTGAGGAAATGGCGGACGTTTCTGACGACGTCCTCAACAGGGAAATTCATCTGCGAAAGAGTCAGTCTGGGTTAAATTGATCACATTCGTTGAATCACATCAACCAACCTTAGCAATTGGAGCTCGGATCGTCCCAGATTTGTCACCCTTCCATTCGCTGGTGCCTTGGAGTCGCCGTATGTACCCAGCCAGATCATCTGTGACGGTCCCCCGTCGTTCGGATGGCATGAGGCCACGAGGACCAAGCACACGGCCCAAGCGGGGAGTGATAACCCGGATGAGCGCTGGCGTGGAAAGGATCAAGGATGCTTGGTGACGACCACTCAAAACCTGATGTCCGTGACAGTTTTGAATGAAGGGAGTTATTCTCAAGGAGGAAATTGCACGTACCCCATCAACAAGTTCAGCGCCACCTACTATATCAGCGCCAGCTCTCTTTGCGTCTTCCGCGGCCCTCCCCTCAGCAAACACAAGGATACGGTCCTTGGCCTTGGCCTTCGGCTCTCTGGGAAGGTTTATGCGCCCTTTCGGAATGGTAGATCCTCGAGGCATTTCAGTCTTAATGGTCAACTCGTATGTGGCGTTCGGAGAACCAACTTCGATGGCCTACGCAGCGTAATCGAGTCAGAAATTAACGGCCAGCAGAAATCCATGCTGACGCACGCGCAGGATGTTGATAGCTTCTAAGAGAGTCATTTTCTCCGAGTCGTATATGCTCTTGCCTGCTTTGAGCGCCCTTTGCCGTGCCCTAGCAGCAACAGCTGCTTTAGACAAAGTTGGTGCCTTCTTGACCTGGCGGGCTAAAGTAACTGAGCTGTGAGAGAACTGTCTGCTTCTCATTGCAGCCTTTCGTTCCATGCAAGCGAATGTCAGATTGATGGTATAACAATGAGATACTCTCCCACATACTGGAAAGGACGAAGTTGATGAACAACATTGTCGGCATAGAATGAGAAGCCCGGTCATTTTTGCTCAAAGCCAGCCGAGCTAGTCAAGAAAGTCCGCTAAAAAGGACTTGAAGACACGATATAGGGTGCAGGCAAGCTGTCAGCGCGTGGGACTGAGAGACGCGGGTGGTCGAATTAGGTCATGGCTTTGAAGGTCACATGCTCGACTGTAACTTCAACAACTTTCTGTAGCTTTTTGTTGATTCTTCATACGTTCCACATGCATTGCACACAATCTTCTCTTCAAAACAATGCTCATGATATAGAGCCAAACTTCACTGCTGGGAGATATAGTCATTGTGACTATGCATGAAATCACCATCATAAGAGACCAGATCCATGAGAAGAGTTCAATGAAGGAGTTATGAAATACAAGATGTCGATACTGGCCACGACTTGATGAGTACCGAAAAAAAATGAAAGACCCTGACTCAACACGGCGTTACCAATTCCCTTGTCAGATGGCAGTGTGCATGCCTGCCATAAGGGCGCGTGAATTCGAAAGGCGTATCTGATGGTCCGGACATGGCAGGGGCTCTATTTAATTGAGGAGCCTGAATACGCGCCCTGGTTCCCATGCGGTCCGAATGGACAGAGGACGGGGATACATTGCCTGAAGATGTCAAATACTGAATAGTATGCGCATATCAGAAATCAGATTCGGAGCATGATGTGAGCGACTGAGAACGCACTGGACCCTCGAACGGGATAGCATATTTCTCGACCGTATGTTTGGAATCAAATTTACAATTCCCGGTTGTGACGCTACATTGTTCACTGGGCTGGGCATTCGATCCATGGAATAGGCGACAACGGCGCTCTTCGCTCGAGCGAAGGGGCACTGCTCCTAAGGGTAGTACGGGAATGACGGTGGTACATAACGCTGACTCACCTGTCTTTAAGCTATGAGCCGACCGTCAGATGAAATCATACTAATTGTGAGAGACTCTGGGCATCGTGTGGTGAGCGGCAGCGGGACTATTGTGGATAGGCAAAGGCTGTATGAAGGTGAAATCATATGATACTTGTGCTTGATAACACATATTTTAAGTCGAATATGACAGGTGCGGAGCAGAATTGAAGTTATTCTCATGGCTAGGAATTTGATTTCAAAAGAGAAAGAACTTATAGCCTTCTCACGATCCGGCCATTGCGATGCAGACGCCAAATGCGTGCACGCACGAGGTATTTACGGTTAAAAACACAAACCGAGACAGCTCATGAAACAATGGGGATATAGTTGATGAGTTTTGGCTCTTGAGTTGCGCAGCGCTGAAAATTCATTCCGAAAAATTTATCTCTTCCACGGCGCGCTGATGTGAACATGCGCATTCTCTAGATGCACATGGCAAATACACCATGCTCCGCATTGAATTCTAAACAGGAGAGCATCAGCCATCTAAAGGACTGATATGTAACTGGAAAGGAGCGACCTATGTTCCGCATGCCGTGTTTCAGGGCTCAGGGTGACTGTACGTATCGGTTTCTTCACCGGCATGCTGACATGACAGAACAGAAAGCCGCTGTACCTGCCATGCCCGTTAAGGACAAACATACGCAGGGGATCACATGCGGGGGACCTCAAAAGAATAGCGTGCGCTAAGTACGGCCAGAAGTCTTCGCGGTCGAAAAGGAAACATGGCCTTCCTTCCTGTCAGGCTTCAACCGCTACCAAGTGGAAACGGACTCGGTCGCTCCGGTCATTCCGTAACTCTCAGATATCGTTTGGGTTGCGTGAGACACAAGGTGGCACCGATTTCGAGAACGACGTGTAGAGAACCGTTATTATTGCGATCTCCATGACGGCGGTCCCTGGCTGTGATGCTACGAGGTACACGGGAGCTAGCATTTAGATCTGCAAGATACTGGGCCAACAATCAATACATACAATTGCACACTCTCTCATGACATTGACCACTCCTTGATAGCGTTATTCCTACTCAAGGGCGTAGACAAAGTGATTCTTCTGGAAAAGGTTGCTGCGGGCACCGATTTGCTTATAGAATTTTTCGTCGAATTGTCTCGTCTTTGTTTGTTGTCGAACTGAGGGCATTGACCCCTCCTGATACCCTCATGAAGCCTGTGACAAATTATAGATGGAAGCTGTGGCGGGATTGACTAAATAGAGTTTGGAATTGCTGGGAGTGGTGATAAAGAGCCGGACGAAGACCTTGGTAGAGGTTCAGCATGAGGAGTCTTCGAAAAGTACGGTGAAGAATCAGAAAGATCATCAGGGGTCCTTACGCGGTTGAATGCGCGGAGTTTGAACCTTTATGTAGACTTTCCAAGGCTAATTCTTCTTCTGGTCCGCCACCAACCATGTCTGTGCTGTTTGCCTCATCGACATCAAAGCTACCTTTTCGCGTTTCCCAAACTCCCGTGCGCTACGCCGGAAGAACTGTTGCAGGAGTCGACCCCGTCAAAGATATCCTCCGTCGCGTTCTCTACCCACACACTGTTCGCAACAAGCCAACCCCCACGGGTACCTGGCGTTCAGATGTCTCTCGTGCAATTCAACGCGCCATACCCTCCAGGCAGGCTCATGAAACCATAGAGCGAGCCTGGCTGCTACATGTGCGGCATCTTCGTCGCAAGCGGGACTCGGAACTGGGGAGGAAGTACGAGTGCATGAAGAGGGCAATGGATGTACTCGAGACGATTGATCCTCGTCTGTATAGAGAGGCAAATCGACAAGAGGATCCTAGAGCGCGGACTCCCGCGGAGGTACAGCTGATGAAAAGTCTGAGAGGAGTCGAGAGAAAGGCGCTGGAGTCGAGACCACCTGGTCTATTTCCGAGGGAGCTTAGGGTGCCAACGGACACACCTTCACGCAATGGTTGGAAATATGATTGGACCCCTGTCATCCTAAGGCCCTGAAAGTGAGTCCGGTGTCTTTGAGACGTCAGGATGTTATTCGGACGCTGACATGGCGAACACGTAGTTTCGGGATTCACACGTTGTTGCTGCCACCTTCACACCTGTTTCTTCTGCTTGATAGACGTTCAAAATTTGTGAATTTGGATTCATGAATAGTTGACGAAAGAAGTAGCTCAGATCAAAATAAAAAAAACAGGCTACGGACACAGCACTAGTTGTCTCGAGAGAAGCCCATGGAGTCTGGGAAGTCTGTGGTTCGTCCTACGCCAATATTCTTTCCGACAACCGCTGCATGGACGGATTCCAGCGCTTCCGTCCACTTATCCAGAGCTGCATACCGTCTTTTCTCGATGCTTTGCCTACACACATAGTCAGCTCAACAGATATGACGCCATCGTGATCCACGAACGTTTTGTCGAGCTCCAGTCGCATGGCTACTTGGTCAATCCTTCCTTCGACCTTGCCCTCAAGAATCAACTCAATAAGAAGCTCTTCGACTTCTTCCATCTGTACGTTAAGTTGCTGCAGCAAAGCGTAAGCCACACGTATAAGACGGTAATAGAAATTCGCACCCGTGCTAGGAAGGATAGCTCCAGTCTAGTGTAAGGCTTGATCAGGTCGATGAGGTACTGCGTCCTCAGACTGCGAAGAAGTTCTCCGATATACGACAGGATGAAAGCGTCATCCATGATCGTTGAACGGTTATCTGGAACGATCGTGCACTCAAACATTTCAGACAGAAGACATCGATCTTACCTCGAAGAATCTTCTCAGCGGCATGCACTTCGCGTCGCTGATACGCGTCGACGAGATCTGTCATCGCGGTGATCTGTGGGTCGTTCTTATACCTGTGTTTCGATACAACTTTGTGTTAGGTAGTTGCAAACCATAAAGACGCTCACGGTTTTGTCTCTTGACTGTCGAAAGGATTGACCTCGCTGCCGGTCAACATGTTGGCGAGTACGAGGTATTTGAGAACCTGAATTCGCTGGGGCGATCCAGCTTCGTCATAATTTCGAAACGACTCGAAAAAGTCTTCACTAGCTCGATTCCATTGGCCTAGAGGGATTTGAGTTGAGCGAAGACAAGAGATAGTCTTGTGTAGACATACGCTCTCCCATCCACATCTTGCCCCCGCATTCCTTAATAATACCCATTATACGTGGGTGCGGTATCGCCGACCGGACGCTGTTTGAGGCATTATAGATTTCCTGATCAAATGTCAAGCAACGCTAGCGATGTGAGCAGATGCAGAAAAGGCACTTTTAACTTCTTGTAATTCTTCGTCTCGTTGTGCATTTGAATCTCCAGAGCGTAGATCTCTAGTAACTGAGTCCCTTTTTGGGATTGCTCATCGCCATCGGTGTTGTTTCCCGTGGTATCATACAAGTCACGAATGAGCTGCGCGGCGTGTAAAAATGAGGAAGTGACGTGGAAAAGTCATATTGCCCGTACTCTGGACAGTCTCCCGTATTCCTTGCGATCAAGCCAGAGTTTGGCGAGTTTGAGGTTGGTTTTCACGGACAAACGCTAGTGCCCAACTGTGAGTTGTTGGACTACTCGACACGCAAAGCGGAGCGGACGAACGTCGTTCTTTGCTTCCTCTAGCGCGTCCTTTGTTACTTGATAGAATTTTTCAAGGACATCAACCTCGACTGGACCACCCTTGCCCGCGCCGACATAATCCAGGATACCATTCACGGTCTTTTCAGCGTAGTTCCTTGTCACGGCGGACTTGGTATAGGTCAACAACTGGGTATAAGTCTTGAGTGCATCTGACGGTCTACGAAGGTGAAGGAACAACAGTTTCGTAGATTGCTTTAGCGCTTTAAATCCCCTTTGGAAGATGCAATCAAAAACATGTGCTTTAGTGGTGCCAATGACATACCAGTCTCCTTTCTCGTCCTCTTGATCCACAATTGCTTTGAATTCTTTCAACGCCTGCTCTGGATCATCCTCCTTTTTTGCTGTATGGATTTCTTGAATCACACCATTAGGATGTGCACGCGCGAAAACTCACACTTCGCAGTATAATACATGTTCTCGACATCCGCGCTGCCAGCGTCATCGGCATCCTCTCCGTCCGAATAATCGAAGCCGTAGTCCTGTGGCACTTGAGATTAAGATCGGACATGCGTATAGATAGGCTACCTCATCATCGCTGCCTTGCATATAATCGGCATCATCGTCGTCCATGGTTCAGATTGGGACTTCGGAGATTATAGTACCCTAGTGGCGTAGAAATACGAACATGCGCATCGTTACACCGCTTCTCCAAAGGATATTCAAGTTTTCGAAGGGGCTCACAGTGACCAAATGCTACGGGTAGATTGGATGACGGGAAATGCTAATAATGAAAGCAAAGAACAGGGTAGTCAAGCGGAGAGTATTGTGCAGGCAGAGAGTGACTGCAGTCATTGTAACGTGATCTCGCCCATAAGTCACGTGAAATCGACGCGCTAGCAAGACAACTCTGCTATGACGCCCACTCGGTACTTAATGGTCATTGAAAGTAAGTTAAATATATGTTTTCTTGAATTAACCGTTTCTCGTAAAGAAGAATGGAGTGGACAGAACAAAGGACGCTGTGGAGGGCCGATAAGTCGGCTTGTTAGATCGATTAGTCACCACGCACGCGGAGCCATTCGTTGTGGCTCAGCGGGTGCTCGTGCATCACATCATACTGGGCTTCCTCTACAGCTTTTCTCATGGGGACATCTGCTCGAGTCCACCAACTTTCACCATTCTAGTCTTCCAGTCTAATGGAATCTCTGCAGGCTGCTAGCCTACCACGGACAGGCAGTGGTCCGTCCACTAGATCGCGTAGCAGCACCAAGGCTGACGACATAGCTAGTCTAACATCATTCAACCCCTTCTCAGAAGAAGACGAAAATGACCAGTCATCGTATGCCCTCATGTCTTCCCTCATATCCAAAGTCAAGAGTACACTAGCGGCTCCGTTGTCCTCCGCGGTGGCGGTTGCTTCAGGGAACAACTCCACTCCTCAGGGTGTGCCTAACGGACACACTACAGAACGTCGACGACCCTCCAATGCCGTAATTCAAAGTATTTCCTCTACCGCTTCTTCAAGATCTTCTACAGAACGCCCACCTACTCTCAGTATGATGTCTTCGAATCTCGCTCCTCCTTTGGTCTCCTTGACACCTGTCACCTCCGAGGCACCTTCCTTCAATGTAGAATACGACAGATCATCTCATGGAGGAGCTATCAATCCCCCGGCTCTAGAATCCAGCGAAAGTGGTATATATGGCACGACCATACCTGGTTTTGCCATTCAGGATGATGCTCGTAGCATCCGGACGACTACCAGTGTTAAGAGGTCAGCATCGGTTTCCAAGGTCATAAGAAGGATTCGCGGAGAAGGTAAATAACTTTTGCAACTCGCTCTATGCTGTTGCCTCATATGTTGTAGGCCTGTCGCGAGATTATTGGATGGATGACGAAAATTGCAAGGAATGCTATGATTGCAAGAGTATTTTCACCACTTGGAGACGGAAACATCATTGTCGCATATGTGGTGAGATCTATTCCTTTACTTTGAGCGATATCTCTGAACCCGTCCGAAGGACAAATATTTTGCTCACGATGCGCTTCAAACATCATCAAGGGTTCACGATTCGGACACGATGGCATGGTTCGAGTCTGTAATCTCTGTCTTGAGAAGCTCGCCAAGGTCGATGAAGACGACGATGATGACAAGCGATCAGTGGTATCTAGCATGACTTCTTCGTTCCCATTGCATCAAATGGGTTCAGATGCCGTATCTCTCGGCTTAGGACATCATCCACAGTCTCCATTTGCCGCCTCCCAATTGTTTGGGCGCACTGACGAACCATTCAACCTTTTTTCTATAGCCGAGACGAGACGACCGGTGTCTGGGTCTGACGAGAGTGGTTTCGGTTCTCGACCAATCACACCCTTAGATGTGTATGGAGACGATACTTGGGGACCTGCTCGCAAAACTATGGCGCCTTTTCGGAGAGGCTTGGCTGATGACGAGAAAGACGTGAACATGTCGACGGAGGATTTCAGTCACAGTAACTCTCCCATCACTATTGGTTCCAAGACGCCTGTCGATTTTCCCGTGACTGTACCCGTTTCTGCTGATAGTGCCACTAGTTCCATCCAGTTTCCGATGAGCGCCGATCATGGTCCTGATAGCCCAACGCCCCAGAGTCTTATGCGTTCACGTTTCAACTCCTACGTAGACTTTGACGTAGAGACCCCGTTCATTCGCAGCCGAGCGCAAAGTCGCATCCCAGATTCGATCATGATGGGTGAACCGGGATGGCGGACAAGACGAGAAAGCACCGCGTTCGTACCATGCATTATTAAAAGCCGCCTTCGTCTAACATTCAGGGTCGCTTAGATATGCCCAAGAGCTCAATCTCTTGTCCATGTCCCATCTTCGGTTAATGCTACATCAGATGTTGACCACAGAGAACATTCCCAATATTGAAGAATGGGAAGAGACGCTGCTCAAAATGGCGCTTCGGATCGCTAGGGAGCTAACATTCACTGCTCATCCCCAGCGTCAGGGGACAGATATGGATGTCCGTCGATATGTCAAAATCAAGAAAATTCCTGGTGGGGCACCGAAGGACTCCGAATACGTCGATGGCGCTGTGATCACCAAAAATGTCTCTCACAAAACAATGTCAAGGCTTCAGCAAAATCCTAGGGTCATGCTCGTCACGTTTCCATTGGAATTCAATCGTGTCGAGGGCCAATATATGCACTTTGGCCAGATTGTTCGTCAGGAAAAGGAATACCTTGGCAATCTTGCTAGCCGCATCGCCGCATTGCGTCCTCATGTCGTTCTTGTCGAGAAGTCTGTGTCTAGACTCGCTCTCGATGCACTTGCGAAACATAACATCGCAGTTGCGCGGACTGTGAAGTCTTCGGCTATCCAGTTTATTGCTCGCATGACGCAGGGAGACCTGTTCTCTTCAATGGATAAGCTCGCATCTGAACCGCGCCTCGGACACTGCTCCCGGTTCCGCATCCAAACATTCGACCACCCCCTCATTCCTGGCCGGCGTAAGACCTACATGCGATTCGAGGGCTGCAATCGAGAGATGGGGTGTACCATCGTACTGAGGGGTGGAGATATTGACACTCTGCGGCGAGTCAAAAAAGTCACTCGTTTCCTTACTTTCATCGTCCGGAACTTGAAACTAGAGACTCATTTGTGGAAGGATTCTGTTATCACAATGCCTACTCCTGGTCAAGAAGCTGTGCCGGCCTCGTACAAGATGCGTTTTGGACCCGTGACTCATGCGTCTTCCCTCAGCGTCCCTCTTTCCAATTCTACAGTTCGACTCCCTTCTTTCCAACAAAGAGATGTTTCACAACAGACCCCCATGGAGACAGAAGATCCGGATGAACTTCCAGACGATGATGCAGACCAGCTTCGCCTGTCTCGGCGCATTCAGCAATCTCTAGACCCATACTTGTCCACCTTCATATCGGTATCGGCGACATTACGATTCCCCCCTCCACAGCCCATCCGCCGCATGAAGGAATTGGATGATGAGCTCATCCGCGTCAAGCAAGCTTGGGAAGACGAATTTGTCAGACGAGAAGAAACACAACATCCTTCCGTACACATCCAAGAAATCACCGTTACTCCTCACGCATTTGACCGAGAGGACGTGAACTCTGAAATAGAGTCGCTTACGATTCCTGATTTTCCAAAGACCCCCACTCCAGGAAACACTCCGTTCACACGAGTTGAAGAACCTGGGTACTTCGATTACAAACCGGTGCCGTCATCTTCACAAACCAGCTTACTTCCCCCTGTCGTGCTCTCACCCGGACCTATCATGCCTCTGGGATTCCCTGAAGAATTACCGATACAGGTGAAGACGGCCGCTGACATTGCTCTGGAGAGCCAACTCAGTTACGTCAGATGGCAACACCAGGAGCAACAACGAGTATGGGACTGGTACCTGCGTAAAAATGCCGATGATTTCGTCGTGGAGAAGTATCAATGTATCACCTTATGGGAATTCACACTGCCACTAGGGGAGGATGGCCTTCATGCCGCGTGTTTCCCTCCACAGTTCAAGTACATCACATACTATGGCGAGAACGATTGTACCCTTGGTCAATTCATCGAGACTTGTGTCGCCGACACTATGCTATGGTCGCTTGATCCCAAGACTCCTCTATGCGCTGGAAAAGGTTGCAACGAGCCCATGGCAAGCCATTGCAAAGTCTACATTCATAACGAGACTCGCTTATTCGTTGTCGTCGAGCAATGGGATGGTCAAATCATCGGACGTGGAAGTACACCCTCCCCGGACTTAATCACTACCTGGAGTGCATGCCGCATATGCGGCTCTGCTACACCCTTCATCCCTGTCTCAGAGGAAATGCAACGCTATTCTTTCGCCAAGTTTCTTGAACTACACTTCTACCCTGCAGATGTTCAGTTAGTCCAGGGCGCGGGCTGTTCTCATAATATCTATCAGCACCATATTCGCTATTTTGCCACTAGAGGAATGACCGTGCGTTTCCAGGCCGATCCTATCATCATACATGATATTGTGTATCCTCCTATGCGCATTCGAGTTCGTCCGGAGACTCAACTGGAGCTCAAGAATGCGGATTACGAACGTTTAATGGCCCGAAATTCTGCGTGGTACAATGCGTTAATCGATGACCTCAAACTCATAACGATCGACGCAGCAGTAGGAGATGAGGAGGCCGACGCTATACTTACAACCCGTATCAACAAGCTCATCATCAGAGCAGAGTCAGAGAAGAATGAGATCTCGCAAATGCTCTGCAATGTTTACAAGGAGTCCGCACCGACAGACACGCTGGCGCTGAATCAGGTTCGGTCTTATCGACAAGACAAAATTGTGGCTTGGCAAGCAGATTTTGATAGGCTACCTAAGCCGAAGAGTGCACTCCTGGACAAGAGTGGCCGACGAGCTTCTGCATTCGGATCAGTACGAGCGATGTGGCCAAGAGGCTATGGATTATCAGGGACGTTTGATCACCCACACATGCCATCGTCCAGTGTTTCTGAAGCCGAAGAGGCTCTTCCTCCACCCATCATGCGGAGGGTCACAGGAGAGTCTTTCATGTCATCAGCATCTGAAGCTTCTGAAACAGAGGCGTCCATCGAGACATCACGGATGGACAGTACAGACAGGGAAATGCTGACGGCCTCCACAATAGAATCATCTCCTGTCGTTGATCAAGCTCAGATAACCAGCGATGCACCTCTTTCCTCTTCTCACGGTCTCAGGTCTGATCCAGACAGTGACTCGACTATTGGCGCCCCTAAGGCTGAGCCGGTGACCTCTGACAACGAGTCATCTAAGGCCCTTGCAAAAGTATGCAGCCGCTCCTGCTAAGTACAGTTATATTGACATGTTCTCAACCCAGGGTCAACGGGTCTCTACCGATTTCATGGCCGTCTCTAGACTCCCACGACGTCCTTTGCAGCAGCCGAGTGTTGCTGAGCTGGTCAAGAAATATCAAGAGTTTTTGCCCCCTCAGGGCGTGGAGGAGCTCGCAAAAACTGCAATGTCACCGCGCCATCCTACAGCAGAAAGCGATCAAGAATATACCTTGCCACAACCACGCCATCCGACGAGAAACAGGATCAGGCATGCACCTCTTAGGAAGGGCTCAACATCCGACTTCGAATCGGGTTACGCTGCCAACATTGCTCCTCGGTACCTTACACGTTCTCGAAGGCCTGTCAAACAGGCTCCTCAGTCCAGTCGAATTCCCGGCCCAATCACGTCCTCTTTCGACTCTCAAGAGCCATCTCGCCGACCCTCGCCTGAGAAAAAGCCTCGATTCACTGCCACTTCGGACACGACAGTAAGGTCCGATAGGATGAGCCCCACACCAACTGGTCGACTTTCAGGGCCACTTCCAGGGCCGAAGATCAATCGGACAAAATCGTCCGTTCGCAACCCTGTCAAAGACAAAGTCTCGTCACGTCCTGGGTCCAGCTCTGGACCAAAATCGACTTTGCGCCGTACGCCCGCAGCCCCTGGAAGCAAAGTCTCTAATATTGCCAAGCATTTCGAACGCATCAACAAGGATAGCGAACGTGCCAGTCGTCGTTATGCTGTCATTAGAGGTCGCCGCGCACGCCCTGTCGCCTCCGCGCGAGCTAAGGTTGAGGTTTTGGATAGTGTCAAGGATGCTATCAAGGATGATTCCGACATCTCAGATTCTTCCAGTGAGGCAGATGACGAAGGTGGTGACGAAGAGGAGAGCCGGAAATCTCCTGACAAGCCCTCGCCGGAGTCATCTACTACCCTCCCCCATATCACCGTCGAGAGAGAGCCTGGCTCGACTGCCACCTCCCCGAGGGAGCCATCGTCCACGGAGTTAGCTAAACCCGAAGAGGCTTCGGGAGAACAATACAAGCGACCAAACCGCGACCTTGCCATCTCAGTGCCACCCTCGCCTCTGCTGTCCACGTACCTGCCAGGCCATAAGGACTCGATCTCACCACCTCCCTCAGACCTAGATTTTGGTCCACCTGGCCAAGAGCGGAGTTCATTACTGAAGGCGCTTTCCGGCCTTTGGCCCCAGCATTTACCTCAGTCTCGGCATCGAGTCGAGTTGGAAAACGACGATCCAATGATTGACACTGAACACATTTTTCGCGATTCATCGATGGTCGTTCGCACGGATGAGCCCACATCAATTATTGCATTGGCCTTGAAGTGAAGAATCTCTTGTTTTTCATGTCTGATGTCTGTCTAATGGTGTCTGTAGCTCTCCGCAATATCGTGACATGCTTGCAAAATCACGGGCAGAAAAGCGCCACGCAAGAGAGCCCAGGTTGACCGACGGTGGCGAGGCATTTATGCCTGATGATCGCTCGATCGCGGAATCCAATTCTACGTGGGGAGTCGTCAACGTGGAGGCCACCGAAAGCGCAAATCCGACCGAAGACTTGAGAGTCCCATCCTCCAAACTTCCTTGGGCCATCTGTCAGTGATCTTCTTCATGCATACTATGTTGAAAGACTGATTGATGGCCATAGCGTTCGAGAGCGGCGACCTTACCATCAGCTGCACAGTGCTTTATCCCGAGCAGTTCGATGCGTTGCGAAGAACTTACGATTGTGAGAAGAGCATGATAGAATCGCTAGCAAGGTGTGTTAAGTGGAACGCCAGTGGTGGCAAGTCCGGTTCAGCCTTCCTAAAAACTCGAGGTACGTCTTTCGAGTCATCATTGGTCGCCTTGCCTGACCTCTGCACATTGTAGACGACCGCTTTATCGCCAAAGAGATGTCTAGGACGGAAGTTCAGACGATGGAGACCTTCGCTCCAGCGTATTTTGATTACATGTCGGCTGCAGTATCTGCCAACGTATGTCTCGCTCAGTTCAAATTCTCCTCTCATCCTCATAGCTCTTCTCTCCAGAGACCTACGCTCCTTGCCAAAGTCTTTGGATGTTACAAAATCATCTTTAGAAAGAATGGTAATCACAAAGGTCCCGGTCGAGCCAAATCCATGCAAATGAACCTTTTAGTAATGGAGAATTTGTTCTATGATCGGCGGTTTTCCAAGGTATATTTGACCAGTGTTATCTTGTAAATTAATAGGTTATATTTTTTGTTCTCAGATCTATGATCTCAAAGGCTCTACTCGCAATCGACACGTTCAATCTACAGGCAGAGAGAACGAGGTTCTCCTGGATGAGAACTTAGTTCAATGTATGTTTTTTTACTGCACAGATCTATACGCAGCTATTGAATAATCTTATCAGCTGCTCACCTTGCACCCTTCTATCTTCGCGAACACTCCAAACGCATTCTTCGTGGAGCGCTATATAATGACAGCAAATTCCTGGCGGACATAAATGTCATGGATTACTCGTTAGTCGTAGGTGTGGATAGCGTGAAGAATGAGCTCGTTGTTGGCATTGTCGGTATGTTCATGTGATTCCCTTTCGCCTGCACATCTGTGTCAATTTATTTGTTTGTCAGATTATGTGCGCACATACACTTGGGACAAAAAACTCGAGAGTTGGGTCAAGGAATCCGCATTTCTCGGTGGTGCAGGCAAAGGCGAGCCCACCATCGTCACTCCTAAACAATATAGACAGCGATTCACCAGCGCTATGGAGAGATATTTCCCACTGGTAAATTCCATAGTATGGAGTAATGCGTCGTAAACTGAAGCTTTGGATAGGTTCCAGATCGGTGGATGAAGCAAAAAGACTGTCCCGAGGAAGACGGCAATAGTCTCCTCGACTTGTGGCCAGATTGGTGATGTCCATGAAGTCATCTTACGATTCCTACGATTTCCCTTCCCTCTGCTTTGCATTTCTCTTTCTTGGAACGCTTTCGCTCGCATCATACAATAGTTCTTACACCGTCATGTATTACACAATACCCACAACTAACAATATTTATGTCTGTACTAGTTACTTTTCTGTTGTACATATCTCTTATACATCGCGCACGCATCGTGTCAAAGCTTTCGCGTCTTGACCTGCTTGTCGCCTATGATCCGAGTCTGCTGCTTTATTGCAGCAGAGAACTGCTCTTTCACAACTTTCTTTTCAACGCGACGCGTTTGTCGACTGGCCTTGACCGCGTCCTTGCGTGCCTTCTTTTCCTCCCTGGTTTCTGCTCGAGGTCTAGTGATAGTGGTGCGTGCTATTCCAAACAGTATGCTTTAGAAAATATCACCCTCAATGTTTGGGAAGACTAACCAGGAATCATTTCGTCTATGGGAGATGGAATTCTATGTTGCCGTTTTGGTGCATTCACAGCAGGCGATTCAACGACAGATGGAAGGCCGGTTCGTGGATCTAGGCGTATCCTGGGCACGGGCTTACTTTCGCGAGCTCTAATCAGTCGAGGATGATTCTCAAGATTGGTGTGTGTTGCTGTGTTCGCCGTCAGGCGGATACTATAGGCACGGAATGATTGAGAGGAACTCACTAAGGACAGTTTCAACGTCCCATCTATATTTTTTGTCTTCTTTTGCCCATGCAGCGAAGATGTCATCGTCATTACTGTCGTCCAATTCATCGCTGCCCCTCTCCCTGACCCGGCTATCCTGGCCCATCGCCAAACGCAGAGCTTCCAATTTTTCGGCGCCTGTACCTGGTAGAGACGGCTTCATTTTCCCGCCAGATATCTCAAACTTTTCCAAGAATTCGTCCATGAGGTTATCAAAATCTTCACGAGAAGTGAGCAGCTGCGGCGCATCGTCGTCATCTTCTTCAGGGTCATCCTCCTCATCCGATGCGTATTCCTTCTCAATCTGAGGACATCATGAAAATGGATCTAGGGCTACGAGGCTCGGACGTGACGTACCTGATCGAATCGCTCATCAAGGGCCCTCAATCCTTCATTTCGGAACATCGATGAGCTAGTCATACTGTATCCTGAGGCGTCGGATGTGCTTTTTCGTCTCTTCTTCCCTCCCAAGACGGAGAACTCTGGCATGCGGCCGATCGTATCTGCGCCTTCAGAACACTCGTCTTCACCACCGGATCCACCGGCTCCAGCCTGCTGTGCCTTCTTGAAAGCCACGAACCTGGCCTCCCAATTATCATCTACTTCTCCCGTCGCAGTATCCGCCTCTTCCGAGACCCCATCTTCCACGAAGTCGTAGTCGGACCTCTCGTTTGGCGCTCTCTCGCCATCCTGAATCAGATTTTCAAAAAAGTCGTCTTCTAACCCTTCGTCTACAAATGCCTCGTCTTCCAATGCGTCCAGAACCTGTCTCAGGTGAGGGTCCATATCCGGCTGAAACCCTGCTATTGAGCTGGGAATGGCCTGCTGGCTCTCGACATTCCACGGTCGTTCCGATGTCGAAGGGAGTGATTCGGCCGGGAGGTCGCGTAAGGATATCGGTGTCTTCCCCTTCTCTCTAGAGTGCGATTTCGGAGCAGCGGGGGCTTCAATGAGAACAGAATCCACGCCTTCCTCCTGTATACCAACGTTCCGCAAGTGCTGCATGTAATCATAGTCGGTGTCATCGTAGTAGACGCCGTAGAGAGAGGCTTCGCCGATGTTAGATCGTGAGGCATCGTGGGCCAGGTCAGACGGAGAGAGTAGACTTTCTAGCTCAGCCTTTGACTTTCCCTATTTGATGTAAGACTGCTGTTGGATGTCGATGAATGTCCCAGGCGCACCTTCTTCTGGTTTTCTGGAACGAAGGCTTTGAGGACATGCTGCGACGCCTCAGGGTCGTGGATGAGGGGATCGCGCTGTGACCTGTGGACCAGCTGGAAGTGCTGGGCCCCTGGCTGTCGGAATATAGATTTTTGGGGCATGCCTCGTCGTCTGCGATAAAAAGGAATGCAGAGGAGAACACACTCCTGCCAAATCGGGTGAGCGCCAGACCATCCTCGTTACATAACCGAGCTGTCCCCACGTCCGCCGCATCGTTGAGGTCACGATCCTCGCAGAAGGCGTCCTTCGCCCATCCTCTGACTCCTCTCGCCTTGGACATCACCACCTCAACACCCACCCACAGCTCGTCTCTCTCCTTCGCGCCCCCTCTCGACGCGAAAGCACGGGCCCAAATCCTGTTGAGCACGTTCAAGAGCATGCAGCGCGAGCACATACGACGCGGTTTCTCTATATATGTGTTCATCTGCTGTCTTTAGCACATCTTTGTACTGACTACTGTTCTCTTATATACTGTTCATCAGAAGGTTGTTCTTGAGATCGACTTTTCCGGCAGTCTCTGGGTACGTTTGATTATGCTTCTCCAACACCCGTCGCCTCTGACAGCTCTTCATCCAGGGATATACAGAGATCACTATCGTCCCGACAAGCAAGGATCTCAAAACCCTTCATCTACACTCGCGTCAATGCAGTCTGTGTTTGAACATCTTCTTTGTCTTTACTTTGCTCAACATGGTCACTTTATTACAGCCATCCATAGCGTAACGGTCGCAAACCATCGCGCCGATTTCATTCATTACGACCCTCTCACAAATCTGTCTGTTTCCGATCCAAAGGACCTTCATACACACCCGGAGCTCAGGCGGAAGGTGTATTCGGCTCTGGCAGATGGAGACGAGGGAGAGTTGTCGATCGCAATTCCAAAGGAAGTGTCATTGAAACAATCTGGGAGCACCACAGGAGTCGTTGTCAGTGAAGGTGTGTCAATTTTTGGGTTGGAGTTCTCCTCGCTGGGGCTTATATTGCATTCGTGCACTGTCTATCAAGCTGCTACCCCTGAACCGCAGACTCCTGGTTTTGCGGTGGCACACACTTTAGTGGCGATCCCAGAATTCTCTCCAATCACCGTAAACATCGAATACAGCTTGCGACATCCTGTCGACGGTCTGCAGTTCATAGTGCCTTCGGACGCTTACCCATATGTGAGTGTATGCTATTGAAACCGCACTGGATTTCTTCCTGAACATGCACAGCGAGCTCCTCATGTATTTACGACACCATCGTCGCCAGACGCTGCGAGATGCTGGGTTCCATGCATTGACAATATCTGGGAGCGGTGTACTTGGGAGCTCGAGTTCGTTGTACCGCGCCACCTTGAAGACCGTGACGAGAATCCTCGTGCAGACGATGAGGAGGAGGCTGCAGACAGCCACCCTACGGTCGTAGTCTGCAGCGGAGAGTTCGTCGAACAGGTGTGTAGCATCTAAAGGCTGCACAACGCGCGCTTCATCTGCATTCCTCACCTAGGTCGCCCACCCATACAACTCGAACAAATCCATTTTTTTATTTTCCCAGAGCATTCTGACATCTGTCCAGCACATCGGCTTCGTTGCTGGCCCTCTGCACGTGTTTCCCATCCCGGCGGATCATGCGTCGGACGATGTGAATGGGTCATCTCAGCCGCTCATGCACGCGTTCTGTCTCCCTGGACATGAAGCACAGCTGGCAGCATCGGTTTCCTTCATTCGTCAGGCTATGACGTTCTATACGACGGAACTCGGCTCCTATCCCTTTGGCTCGCACAAAATTGTGTTCGTGGACGAATTGCCAACCATACGATTTGATACATCCACGCTATCAATCGTAACTGTCGATCTGCTGCACGGCGAAGACGCGATCGACCAGGTTTTCGAGACCCGTGAGGCACTTAGCCATGCTTTGGCGTGCCAGTGGTCTGGCATCAATATCCAGCCGAAGACGTGGTCAGATCTGTGGCTTGTCGATGGCATTGGCCTTTACATCGCGGGCTTATTCCTGCGGAAACTATTTGGTAACAACGAATACAGGTTCCGGCTTAAGAAAGACATGGAACGCATCTTCGAACAAGACGATGGATCTATGCTCCCGATATGCCAACCGCAGTGTCTTGACCCTCCCGATGCAGGAAGACTGCCATTCGTTCATCTAAAGTCGCCATTAGTGCTTCACATCCTTGATCGACGTCTGGGAAAATCTGGTACAGCCCTCGGACTTTCAAGGGTCCTGCCTAAACTGTTCCTTTCTGCCATCTCCGGCGAAATGCCCAATAATGCACTCTCTACGCATAACTTTTTACGGACGTGCAGGAAGGTCAGTGGTGTTGACCTGCGTTCATTTGCGGAGCAGTGGATCTACGGGAGCGGATGCCCAAGCTTTGGCTTTTCGGCCAGCTTCAACCGGAAGAAGATGGCAGTTGAGATTACTATGCGGCAGGAGGCGCCTGCTTGGAAATTTCACGAACATGATGAAGTCACCAAGGCATTGTACAAGCCCGTGCCGTTCTTCGAGGTATGTCTACTGCATTCCACGTCACACAGGTGAACCCATATATGTCATAGGGACAAATGACTATACGCATTCATGAAGCCGACGGCACGCCGTATGAACATGTTCTCGACATACGTGCACCGTTTAAACGCTACGAAGTCCCGTTCAATACGAAATACAAGCGTGTACGTCGTAACACCAAACGGTATCTGGCTCGACAAGCCGCGGCACAGGCGGCTGCGGAAGGTGATCAGGAGGCAGCGGAAGCAATGGGCATGGTAGACATGGGATTCGGGCTGGAGATCTGGGAGAAGGAGAAAGAGCGGGAGAATTGGAAAGTGGTGGACTGGACGGAGGAAGACGAGCAACTGATGAGTGGAGCGACGTATGAGTGGATCAGGATGGACGCAGATTTCGAATGGATCGCAATGATTGCCTTTGACCAGCCCGACTATATGTGGGTTTCCCAATTGCAACGGGACAGGGACGTTGTTGCTCAATTGGAGGTGAGTGTTTTGATGCGATGTCCGATTATCGGTTTTGTTCACACCGTTTGGTTGAAGGCGATCAACGCGTTGACCAAGATGCCAACGCCAGTTATTTCTAGCACCCTCACGAAAACGGTGCTTGTTACCAACTATTTCTACCGCATTCGTTGCGAGGCTGCCCTGACGTTGGTAACAGTAAGTCCGAACAAGATTTCGCTTTACGATATCATGTCTCAGCAGCGCATGTTCTTGTCCATCAGTGTGCGTTGCCCAAACTGGAGTTCCTAGGCCTGTTTCACCTTTTCAAGCTGTTCCTCCGCTATTGTTACGACCCCGAAGACCCACAACAGGATCTGTTCACTCACACGTACGTCCCGAGACCGAATGATTTTTCAGATATAGCAGAATATTTCGTGCGGCGGGTGCGTCTCCTTATTACAAATCTACACGGACGCAATTGAAGCTGCTCGGTTCTAGACTTTGATCAAAGCTATTGCCCAAGTTCGATTTGGGAACGGGAAGTGCCCTTCAGTTGTACGACAATTCTTGATAGACCAGCTGAAATACAATGACAACACTGCGAATCCTGTGAGTTTTTTCTCAATACAGAATGAGCCCATGTCTAAGCTGGCTGCTTGTTCTAGTATACCGACGCGTTCTACATATGCACTATAATTTCTTCTTTGGCGTGTGCTAGTGTTTCCACCGCCCCGCCGGAACATGGAGAGTTATTCCCAATGGAGACAAAGACCGAACAGACTTCCGAAGATGCCAATTTGTTGCAACAGGCGCTTTCAGAGGCTGATCGATATCGCAACATGGACAGACTGATTGCTTCACCTCACAACATCGTAACGATTGCTGCTCTCGAGGTGGGTCGCACGGAATCGCATATGTGCCGACACTGACTTCGTACAGTTCCGCCTGATCCTAAGTATGGCGAATCTGATTCCGAATGACCCTCGTATTTTCTTCCCACTAACGCGGTGAGAGACCTTGTTTCATTCATGCGCCTTTTACTCAGTGCCATACCAGTGAGGGGAACTACACTCAAGTCCGCATAGCTGCGTTCGACGCGCTTTTCCTCACAAAATGGTTCAACCCTAAGATTACGCGATATCTCTTGGCCGTCGTGGCGAATGACCCTTCACGCATCATCCGTCGTCACGTAGCTCGAAACGCGTTCCAGTCTCTCGCCCTACTCGTGTCCATGGGCGAACTAAAAGGTGGACCAAAAGAAAGCGAGTCTCTTTTGATCGAGGAGGACGGGACACTGCACGAGAAGGTTAAGGAGAACAAGAAGAGTGAAATCGATGTTCTCATCAAGGCTCTCAGAAAGGACAAAGAGGTGGGGAAAAACGAGGTCATAAGAGAGTGCTTGCTGCCTATTGCCCTGTAAGGTCCCCTTCTGTCGCTCTGTGATTCCAATTGACATCTTATTTGCCTTCCTCACAGTGCTCCTGATGTCGACTTTGAAGTCCGCTGGATGATGTTAAAGCTCGCCGACATCGTCGTAAAGGGTCACGAAGAAGCCCCGCCCAAGCTTTCTATCCATCTGCCGCCTCCAACTCCCATTATCGAAGTTCTTCCTCCTCTTCCTCCGGTAAAGGTACTGCCAGTTCGACCTTTGAAAACGGGCGGCCTGCCTGCCAGAAGCCCTCTTCTACCCACTCCTGTTCCCTCCAAGATCCGTCTCTTACCTTCAGGTGGACCTGCTGAGTCGCATCTGCTCAACCACCGCCCTCCCGATGGTACACACTCCTCCGTTGTCGGTGTGAAGAAGGGGGTTGCATTCCAGCAACCTCTGCCGAAGGGGAAAGGCAAGCAGAAATCCAATACAAAGAGTGTTCCGAAGGCGCAAAGTAGTGGTATGGGCGTGATGGATATCAAGGCGTGCCGCAACGCGTTGGGCAAGGTCAAGGCGAATAAGCACGCACATTGGTTTTTACAACCTGTTGACCCTGTCAGAGATGAAGCGCCTCGGTTGGTCGCTACACTGTTCCAGCTCAACCACTATAGACTCACCTCGGTGATTGCAGGTACTTTGAGATCATCAAGAACCCCATGGATCTGGGTACCATGAGTGCCAAACTCGAACAAGGGATGTATAGAGACCGCTTCGCATTCGAATCCGACTTCCGTCTCATAATCCGCAACGCGAAGACATATAACTCACCCGACACCTATGTCTTCAACGAGGCGGTTGCGATCGAGTCATTTTTCGAGAAGCGTAAGACTTCCAGTTGCCTCTATTCCCTCAGTTTCTGATGCTAAATGTTTATCGTAGTGTGGATCCGTATCAATAAGACCATCGACAGCAAAGCTGTGACAGGTATGAAGCCTGTGATGCCCATGGCTCCTCCACCGCTTCCGCCATCAGTTGCTGCTATCGCCGAGCCATCGAAGCCACGACCAATCCTTCCTCCACCAATTCTTCCTCTCTCTTCCGAAGCTGCACCTCGCCCGTCTATCAAGCTCAAATTGGGCGGAGGAGGACCTCCAGATATTTTGCAGAAGTCCACACCTGTCGCGAAGCCTAAACCACGCAAGCTGAAACCCGTGGGCAACCAGCGGCCCCCGCCAGTCGATGATGGCTCAATCGACCTGCTCGAAGAAGTAATTGCCATCGAAAGAGAGAAGGAGAAGAAAAAGGCTCATCAGCGCCATTCGGTGGAAAGCTCTGAGAGGCAGGACTCGTCGTCGTCGACTATGCCCATGAAGCGTAAGAAGCTGCATACTCCTGAAGGATCTACGGAGGACGAGATACTGGAGTTGGCCTCGCCGAGCAAGAAGCTAAGCAGACCATCGCCACCTGGGAAGGAGAGGGAGAAGAAGCCTATGCTCAAACAACCTGGCACAGTCAAGATCGGGAAGTCCTCACCCGCAGAATCTAGTACTCAAGTTAAATCTCCACCACCGCCTCCAGCCATCGAAAATCCTCGAATATCGATCAAGGTTAAAGACGACAGAACCCCCACCCCTACGTTCTCAAAACCCACCCCTACTTCCTCGAAGCCCACTCCTACCCCAAAGTATACCCCTCCCTCCAAACCCATTCCGACCTCTTCCAAACCTACACCAAATTTGTCCAGATCTGCTACTGCATCTTCTAAACCGCCTAAGAAGTCTCCTGTAGTTCAAGCAATGCCTATCAACAAGACAAAGTGTAAAGAAGTATTAAAGGCACTGTTAAAGCTTCCAGAGGCTGGTATATTCGCGAGACCTGTTGACCCTCAACTCGACGGATGCCCAACGTGTGTCCGCATACACTCTCACATTGTGAAGTGCTCATAGCTCTCGTTTCCTTCGCAGATATTATGACGAAATCAAGGATCCCATGGATTTTGGAACCATAGGCCAACGTCTCAACACTACCATCTACACGACGATGGAAGACTTCACCAAGGACATTGAATTGGTATTCAGCAACTGCCGACTATTCAATCCTCCCACCACCTATCCTACGGACTGTGCCGATGCTGTTGAAAGGTTGTTCAAGAAGGAATGGGCCAAGATCATGGAGAAGAAGCTCCCGTGGACAGAAAAACGAAGTTTACAGTCCCTCATGACCAACCTCGTCAAGGAGTCGATGTACGTGCTTTTGCTACTCCATCGCGTGTTTGCTGATTTTGCTGCTTTCAGATCCTTCGTGTTCAGAGAACCCGTTGATCCTAAGGTCCTTGGCATTCCCCAGTACTTCGAGATCATCCCTAAGAAAGATGCACGGGATCTCCGCACGATACGGCAGAAACTGGATACGGACAAGTATGACTCGATAGAGGCATGGGAGGCTGACATGGAATTGATGATACGGAATGCGATCCACTTCAACGGTGCAGACTCCGATGTCGGTCAAGTCGCAGTGCTCGTTCGCAATCGGGTGAAAGATATGTTGTCGGGCGTCAAGTCTCAGCAGGGGGTGAAGAAGAGAAAGGAAGGTGACAAACCCAACGGAGGGCCTGTGACGAAGAAGGCGAAGCTTGGGTGAGTTTGCGGCGATTGTGCTTGAGAGGGATTTGAATGGCTTGTCGAATGTTTTTCTTTTGCTTGTATTTTGTAACTTACATACGATACGCTCATCCCTGTATAATTCACCTGCTCTGACGTAGACGTCATGGCTTGGTATTTCTTGGCACCAACGGAGATGCAGATGTCGCTTAGATATGGAAATCTTCGCAACTACTCTTCCTAGTAACTGCGCTTGTCTTGCATTCAAACCATCATAATGCCCACCTTAACCACCACTTTGTTGCTACTCACCGTACTGGTCGTGCTGCTGCCTGCAGAAGCATACGCGTTCGGAGCAGGCGATATCCCCGATTTTTCATATCTGAACGGTCAGTACTTCTGAGTCCCTTTCTGCTAGAAAAACGATGCGATGAACTAGTGTCGATGTCGATAGACAAAGCTTTCCGTCATGGAGATATTGAAAACATCCTCACTGAACTGCTCAAATCGACGGGGAGTACTGCTGCAGGAGGTGGACTCCTTGAATTCGCGCAAACTATCTTGTCTGCAGGATCTGGTGGATCTAAATTTAATAAAGGGGATGTGAAGAAAGTGTACTTCGTGAGTGCCACGGCCTGTACTACTTATCTTTCCGGATGTTGAGTGCAATCTCTTCAGGGTAACTGGTTGCGTGACTACTCTCAGGTAGGTGAATCGAGATGGAAAAGGCGGGGGTATCCCTCTGATGCCATCACTGCGCCCTCAGGCGATGGATATTGCTGGCTTGCAGAAGCTTTCTGCGGATACCTTGGTTCTCATTGTCGCTGTCCTCGGCTTTATGGTACGTTGCAGCTATGTAGTGTCGTTTGGTTTGAGGATCTCATTGCCGATTCGATCTAGACATTTGGATTTGCTACGGAGGAGTTTGAGGTCACTGCCGAGAGATTAGGCGTGTACTTACCTGTAGTAAGTGCTTCGAGGGTCATTTGAACGCCTCTCAGAAGCTCACATTGTGCCTATTATTTAGGAACACATCGACAATCCGAAGTAAGAGAATCTATGACACCTCAGTTTATGTACTGATGCACAATGTTCGAACAGGGGCTACGCAGAGAAAGAGGGCGATGCTCGCCAATTCCATCCGAAGCTTCGTCCTCCCGTAGACCCTCGGGAACTTGAGATTGATCCCCGCACTGGCATGAAGGTTACCTTCATCACCTATATTCACGTCATGTCAGCAGTCTGACAGAATCCCCTCAGAAATATATGGCCACCGAAGGGCACGGCTGGGATACCTCCACAGCTCACATTCGACGCACGCTCCGAGCCTGCATCGAGCACGGCCGTCGATCACGCGGTCGGGAAGGTGCAGACTTGTTCGAAGCCTATCGGCTTCTCGGTACAGGTCTGCATACTTTGGAGGATCTGCTTGCCCACAGTAATTGGTGTGAGCTTGCGCTCAGGAAAATGGGTCATGAGCAAGTATTCTGCCATGTCGGAGACGATGGTGCCTCTCGTCTATCATAATAACCAGACAGACTTTTAACAGTGATTTTTTGCAGTTATTGTTGATACACCCAATGGTCCTGCTCCCCCCTTGATCACTGGGACCTTTGGAAGCGCCGACTTTATGCACTCAATGATGGGAGAGGCAACCGATCACTTGAGTCAGGCATCAGTTACTGATCTCTCTCAGAAGTTGAGCGACGTATGTGTTTATTTTCATACCGTACATCGTTCTATTTACGAAGTTTTACTTCTTGTCCCTCAGGCATCCAGTTCGGATCAGAACTCCAATATTTCTAAACTCAAGGACCTGCTATCCAAGCTCCCACTTGGAGGCGATAGCTCCTCGCAGATGGGCGAGGCTGAGTCTCTCCAAGCATCCTCTAAAGCGTATAGCTTTAACCCGGACGATGTCGCGCCGAAGGAAGTTCAGCAGCAGCTGTGGGCTTTATTGAAGTGGAGGGATGGGGTATACCGCGACGTGCTCGAGAAAATCGAGAAGATACCTGGTTTGTCGGAATTGATCGATGGCATCACAGATGCACTGAATGCCTGTAAGTGCTTATATGTGTAATGTGCTCTTTTGTCTGTACTGATGCTCGATCGAAGATGTATACACCATCTTGACACCCTGGTTGACAGTCAGTGTACCCAGCTATCTTGGCTCCCAATCACTAGCTGACGAGATGCGTGCCTCGGTAGCCAATCTTGAAACAAACTACAGATGTTCTTGGTGAGGGTAGCAAGGCCGTCATTGATTCTGATGACCAGTACGAAGTCTTCAATGACCCACGTGCCTCTGACCCGTCACACAGCCTGCTTTCCAAGGCAAGCTCTGCACTCGCCGACACACACGCTGGCCGGCACTTATCATGTCTTTTAGGACCACTTCCAACTCATCCTGAACGAGCCTGCTGGGAAGATTGCACAGGTGGTGGTGCAAAACACAGTGAACCTCATTGTAAAGGCATGGTTCGACGAGAGCGAGGATCCCAATCAGGTCATCAATCAGGTACGGTGGGCTCTGTAACTGTCAGAGAAATAATACAGCACATTGATGCGAATCGCATAGGTCCTTGAAGCCTTCCATCACCCATATTACAACACTGGCAACTCACAAATTCAGCATGCCATGTTTGATGCCATGGACAAGTGGATAGGCGGTCAAGGAAGCGAGAGAGAGACCACACTGGAGGCACTGACCAAGGTTTGAAATATTGAATTGCCGTATCTTTCACCTTTCTCACATGAGTCTGAACGTAGGAAAGTGTTCGCGAAGGCAAGAACAAGCGCCAGGGCTCGGATGATGAGACCGCTGCTACCCCAGGTGGCGCTCACTCGTATGACCAGGGTGCATACGGCAGGACCAGTCAATATACTGCAAGCCAGGACTATACTTCGTCGCAGGGCGGCGGTTACAATCAACCCCAAGGGCGCCGGTATGACGAAGGTTTGTAAAAACCACATTGGACTAAATCTATCAACTGAAGGCGTAATGTTACTCGTTTAGAACCAATTGGTTACGGCGGGGGGAGCCGTACGGGCTATAGCCGTACAGAATCAAACTACCAGCCTCCCGAGGAACCTCCTTACGGCCGAGGAAGCGAAACACTTTATGGGCGAGGTGATTCTCGGCCCTCATACGGTAGGCAGGAGGAAGGCGGTTATGGCGGAGGAAGAGACGAAGAACCGCCTTATGCCAGGAGGCAGGAACAATACCGAAGTGAGGTACGATCCTATGATAGACGCCAAGATGACGAAGGAGGATACAGGCCGTCATACACCAGTGGAGGATCAGAAGGGTACGCTGGAGGTGAAGGTTATGGATCTCGCCGTGAAGAAGGATACGAGCGTCCATCAGATTACGGGGGAGACTCGTTCAGAAGGAGCGAGCAAACCGAACCTGTAGAGCCGAGAGACCACCAACACCATAGCCATCATGATGACCGCCGCCAGGAATACGATTCTAGTGGTCAGGAATATGGCAGAGGTGGGGAAGAATATGATGCGGGCCGCCAGGGGCCTGAGAGGGAGACGGTTGGATACGGCGCAAGCCGAGAGGAGTACGGAAGCGGCACGGAGCAATATGGTGGAGGTAGGGAGGTTTATGAAAGCCAGAGACGCCCCGGATACGGAGAAGAACAACTCAGTGGATATAGAGACAATGAATCTTCTCCGTATGCTGAGCCTCCAAGACAGTATGGCGGTTCCGGCTATGGAGGTGGTCCTGGAGGATACGCTGAAGACGAACGCCGAGGTTTGCATCGTGGCGAAGAATCCTATACCGAAAACGAAGACGAGACATTTGGCGCGGAAAGACTGAATCTCAACGAAGGTTACCAGCGGCGTGGTGGATATGGAGGATCCGGGTACACCCAGGAGGACTACTGATGCAAGGTCAACGAGACATGATTTCGTTGCGGTTGATGAAGTTTGTATTTGTCGAACATGTATATTAGAGGTTCCACGTAGTGTTGTGCGTCCAATAAAATGCTCCGTGTTGCGCTCTACTACAGCAACCACCGCGCAGTGCGGGCCGGGAATCCGGTGCTGCCTTGATATGCCACAACTTTCGTACTGACACTCATACTGTTTTGATGGCTCACAACGGCTCCGGAGACTCGTCCTCCTCACATGTCGAACCAAATATCTATGAAATAGATCCCAGTCGTACGGCACGTCAAATTTACGCTTTGGGAGATGTTGAGAAGGTGTGTACACTCTTTTCAACAGATTCAGTGGCAGAGCACATCGACATTCTATTGCAGGACATATCCCGCCTGCTTTCACTGGCTGCTTCGTCCATTTCCCTGTTGACTCTCCCGCAAACGGACGGACCGGACGACAATCTATCACAGGGTGACGAACGGTCAGAGCAGTTCGTGCTGGAAGTAAGCGAGTACTTCGAACGACTAGACGTGAGCACCTCTTCGCATGTGCGAAAAGTGAAGTATCACTTACAGAAGTCTGTCTTTGACCGTAGGCTATCCAAATTGCCATTCGCTCCTCTCTCGCCCATATTCGCCAATCACGTATTGCGCCTTCGGCGATTGATGCTCCTCCGCCTGGGTTTGTACCTTCTGTGACAGGCGCTGATATTCCTCCACCTACCAATCCAGGAGATGGGAATTTATCAAATTCGACTACAGAATCGTGTGGGTTACAAGAAGAGCGCATAGAGAGAGACGCCTGGCGCGGAGCGTTGGATGCGCTGACGCGAATAAGGGATCAGCGTTCAAAGGAGTTCAAAGAAAATGAAGACATGGCGGATGCGACTGCTTTCACGGGTTGAACGAGATTGAACGTTCGAACCATGGATGATAGAATTTTGCACAAGGTACGTATTATATACTATGCTTACTTTGTTACTGGATATAGCGTCCACTTCCATCAGCTTACACTCGATGCATTCTACATATATTGGATAGCACGCTGCCTCTCAGGCGCTGACTGTCTCGAAAACCTCCTCTGCTTTCATCAATTCTTCGTCCTCTGCGAATGCAGGGTCTTTCTTGGCCAAAACCTGGAAAGAAGAGACATGATACTCAAACCTCGAATGGCAGATGCAGGAGATATGGACATACGATGACGTCGCGCAAATCCTCGACAGCCTTTCTCAGGCGTTGATCCGTATTTACGACCATTTTCTTCGACTCTTCCACCAATTTCGCCTGCACGTCGTCCCATATTAGCATGGATACTGGTTGTTCACTTGAAGCCAAGGCAGCACGCACCGCGTTCCTTACACCCCAGTCCTCTTCCCCCTCTGCCCTGAGCTTATCGAGCTTGATTTTGTTCTCTACTACCTCATTCTCGTAAACTTCGTGTTCCTTGAAAACCCTATGTTCCACACGCCCGCGCGCAACCGAAAGCAATTGTCAGATCGACTGGGAGATCACAATGCAGGCAGCTGACCTCTTGGCTACCCCAGCTTGGATCTTGAGCTTTCTGCGTGTAGCGGCCGCGTCCATGTGCTGTCGCGTAAATTCACGTTGGCTAGTTGATGATGACAGGAGTTGTTTTCAGTCTTTTGAAATGGTTCTGTTGCCTATGGACTCTGCTTCTGCACGCGACCAAATTTGGAGTTGATGATGACTTATCTCATCGATGATTGACGGAATTACGTAAGTAACCTTTCGTTACAGATCTCAAGACTCGCTAAAGAATCTATTACTTAGTCTTCAAAATCGTTGCACTGTTGCACCTGATTATTTTAGAAGCTCACAGCGTGCAACGTGCATGCGCTTGTCCTTCTCACGGACATTTTTCTAAATGACCCCGTGTGAAGTTTCAGGTGGTTTCCCCTGGTGATAAAATGGGCTCCCTTCCTCCAGAGCTCTTGACTTACGGTGACTGCGTCTTTTAGGCCTTGCCGTTTGGACTAGGACTCTGTTCGTGCCCACGATCACTGTCCGAATGTTGGCTTTTATCTTTGGGGCCCTGACTGCCCTCCTTGCATCGCAGAGCGCTCGCGCATCGCTGGCACCAGCTCTACAAGCCCGTGCCCTTACAGCGATCCAAGGCACATACAACACGACTTTTGTGCACGTCGTCACAAGCAAAGATCATGCACAAAGTGTACGTGCAAAGCCTCCCACTGAACGCTTCCATCGCCGTGTCATTTACGCCGACTTTCCTTGTTGCGCTGTAGTTGGTTCCATCCCAGTACCCGCTCCTCCCGGTCAACAAGACCCTTTACCCGGGACTCTCGGATGATCAGCACCCCATCGTTCTCGAGCTCGGGCGCGAGGCCAACGCCGGCCCTCCAGGCCTCGGAATTCTCAGCTTCCAGGAGGCCAAGATTGAGGTCCCTGACGTCCAACGCGTGAGCGACTCGGATCGACCCTTTCTTCACAAGCGGCAAGCATTAGAGTTGTCCATTGGATCCAGGATTGGGCTGATATTGCCTTTTCATAGATGGATCGCAGTCGATGATGGCCTTGACGTAGTTGGCTCGTGGGTGCAGTATGGACTGAACACCTCGCTCGAGACGTTTGCGCCCGCGAACAGCAGCAACTCTTCTTCATACTCATATACTGTGCAGGGTGCAATTGAAGCGGAGCTCAGCGCTCTGAGCAAGGAAGAGACTCCCCGTTTTGGCTTGGATACATACACTACCGGCGCCACACTGCCATGGTAAGTGGAGCCGCAGAGTCGCAGACCCTCCTTCCGCATTCGAGAAGCTCACGGCTTGGACCAGGTTCGGCACGTACCTACTCTGTGCACAGCACACCTACAACTTCACCCACCCCGTAGAGCCCTTCGTATTCACTAAAGGTCCGATCTTTCCCATCACATGATCATGTTAGCGACGGAGTTTACTGATATTCTTCATCACTCTCTACGTCTATCTAGGAACTGTTACTCTATACCCGCCATACGCCGGACCCAACGCTACCGGTCCCATCACGCTCGAAGCAGCAGGCGTCCATGTGACAGCTTCGTTCGACATATCATATGCACTTGCGTGCTCTGAATTCTTCTAATTGTATGGCCTGCGAGAGGCACATGGGGCTCGCAATCGCCCAACCCATTATGTATTGAGGGATAGTTTACGGAATACCCTTCTTTTCCAACACAACACGCCAGATACTGATTCTGGAGGGTCACGGCGCAGCAGCGAGCGAAGACGCGGCCCTCGATCGACCTTTGCACTGCCCGTCGGCCGGTGAGCGGCTCGGTGTTGAACATGAGACTCAACATACAACGTCAAGGCTCGGTGTTCAAAAGCGTCTTCGATCTGGGGCTCCGCGCCGGCACCAGGGCGCTCGGGAGGATCTCCCCAGATCTCCCCAGTCTGCCATTCTGTGTCCACAACTGGAGATCTTCTCCATCTGATCCGCTTGATGGGCCTCTTCGGCTTACTTGCGAACCGAGCTGTGCACGAGAAGTTCTTGCATAGCATGTTCTGTTATCGAAACTTTTTGTTGCGAACAGAACATCACTGACACAAGTCGATGGGGAGAACAGTGCACAGTGCACACTCACGACGTTCCATAAAATAGGCTAATCATTGCACGTGTAGTAAGAAAACTGATGTAGGTGTAACTAACATTCAGTCGCAAGCGCCGTGACCGTAACTAGACTCGACGCTCACACTCACAATACAAGAAGCAACGTAGCCGACGAAGAGAAATGGGAAATCAGGGACGAGGAGGGATAGATATGATGGTAGGTTACGACAACGCATGTCAGGGACCATCAAGTCGGTTAAGGTACGGGGGAAGCGCAAGAATATAAGGGCATAGAGGGCTACATGGGAGTACTGTCGTGTGCAAGTAAACAAGGAGGCAATTCACAAGGAGGCGCGCGCCCAGCGGACCCAGCTCGGGGTGCGAACGACGGCTCCAAGGACACAGGTCCAGTGCGACCAAAGAACGTCTGACTAATACTGCGGCACCGCGCGGCGTTAGGTGCACAACCAAGCCACTCGAATACGGGCACCTCAACTCGAGACCCGCGGCGCGAACTAGCGCGCAGGCAGGTCCGAGGAAGCGCGGGCATGAGCAGCTGATAGTGCGCACACTCGCACGCGCGGGCGGACGGACCGGTAAGACGGGGGTCGGTGGAGGTCGTGTTTGATGCCGTAAATGCTACTGCCACAAGGACGACAGGCGTAGCGCCAGACTGCCATCATCGCTTCCGCGTGATCCCGCGTGAACTTAATGAAGTCCATGCTTGTCGGATAGATGACAGAGCACGAGCGGGAGGACGGAGATAAGTAAAGAGATGAGATGCGAATGATGAGAGCCGAACGGAGGCGGAAGCGTGCTTGGGGTAGTCGTCGAGGTTGCGGTGATCAGCCGCACGCCGCCACGCACTACATGATGGGGGAGGATGGGCGGATGGGGAGAACATAAGTCAGGGATATCAATAATATAAGTGCACAGGGTGGTGGCGGACGCCTCAGTGGGAAAGGCTGGGAATGCAGTTCGTGAGAGTCGTGGTGGGCGTGGCGAGGTAGACGAGGGGACAGATATGATGCCAGTGTATCGGCGCGCACGAGGAAATTAGGGCGGATGCGAAGACTCAGCAAAGAGTTCGCGAGTGTGCGTAGGCGAGGGGACTCGGATGGAGACGGAGGAGGAGACAAACGACGAGTTCAAAAAACAAGAATGTGCCGTGTGCGGGTGGGCGAAGCGCGCCGCGGCTCATAGGAGCGGCAGTCAAGCGCCTCGAGCCTCTAGGTGCATCACGGTCTTGTGTCGGTGTCGTGTCGCCTCGGGCATCTTCGTCATCGTTGATGATCACCTTCAAGTTGTCGGTTCGTCGTGATTCGGCAGTGGCGTTGTCGGCGTCTAGAACGAGGTGACCACAGGTCAACCGTCAGCTTCAGAGGCGGACAAGGAATGTGGTGCGGCGCGGCCGCGGGATGAGGACTCCCAGGATTGAGTGAGCGTGGAGCGCATCGCCAGATGCGCATCCAGCCTAAATCCTCCCATGGACGAAAACACCACCTAAAATGCGACAAGAATGATGCGAGGGAATAGGGGATATGCAAATGAGTCGTGAAGGAGAAAAAAATGTCCATGGTAATAATGTAGTATCCCGCAGTCCTGGCAGGGATCCAGTCTCATCGATCGTCAATAACATAACAGCAACAGCCGTTTTTTTCGTGAAGAGACCGCGAAGCGAGTGCGCAGCTACGCATCGGCCTCCCAGGACAGAGGTCAATTAGTAGGCGGCCGGAGCCTGCTGCTGAACGGCAGCAACGGCAGCAGCAGCGGCAGCGTGGCGTTGCTCGGCGGTACCGAGCATCAACGCCTCATTGACCTGGCGAAGTCGCTGGGTCTCACTTTCAGCCTGCTGAAGTCTCGTCTGCAACTGTTGTTGCGTCATCTCCAAGTACTTGATGTGGGTGGTGGCTGTCGGGAAGTGCATCAGTCGTCGAATCACTAATTTGCGCCAGAGAAAAAAACTCACCCCGGTCCAACAAAGACACCTTGCTGGACTTCTGGTTAGAAACCGGAAGGGCGTCTTTGAGACGACGGTACCCATCACGAAGCTCGTCGCGCCTCCTCTGCTCCGACTCGATGCGCTGACGACGAATTTCCTCCCGGCGACTGGAGGTGCAAAAACGGTGATGAGACAGATTCGACGATTATCGAAGAGGGAAAAAACTTACACTTCATTCGAAGCATTGCTGGTCTGGACGGGCTGGAAATCGTCGTCGTCATCGGAAAAGTCCTCATGCTTGCTCGCGCGGCGCTTGCGCTCGCGGGTGCCGGAAGTGCGAGGGGGCATCACGCTCATGGGGTTGTAGCGATGCGAGCGGGGCACGGTGGCAAGCGACGGGGAGTGGGTACCGCTGCCGCGACTGGTGCGGCCGGACTGCATGCTGTCGGAGGACATCTCGCCCGCGCTGAGATTGGAGAGCACGGGAGGGTAGATGTGAGTCGGGGTGAAGGGGCGAGCGGGAGAGCCGGCGGTGTAGGAAGCACCGATGTAGGCGTAGTCGTTGAGCGGACTCGAGAGATTGAGGGGAGCAAGACCGTACGGCTCTGCAGCCAGCGGGTAGTTGATGTAGTCGAGGCTATTGAGGGAGTCGTACATGAAGTCGGGGCTCTTGGGGTGGTCGGGGATCTGCTCGAGGGGGCCTTCCATTGAGAGGAGAAGAAGAAAGACGAGACGAGGCTAGAAATAGAAAAAAAAAAGTGTGCGGGTGGTCGAGACGATCGTGCCAAATAATTGAGACGGAATAAAGCTGGGACCTGAGGGGGGAGAGACAAGGTAGTCAGAGAAGGTGATCGGAGCGACGGGAGGACAAAGAAAGACGGACGGTCGCAGCACAGAAAAAGAGGAGGGTGCTGGGATGGAACAAAAGGACAAAGAATAAAAGAGGAGGAGGCCGGCAGAGGAGTGCGGGGAGCCGGGGGAGAAGGAGAGGTTGGGAAGAAGTGCGACGGATTGGCGTCCGTTTATATGACCTCGACGGTGCCTAGGGCCCGGAGCCCAGCCGAGCCTGAGCTGCCTCGTGTTCCCGGCCTCGGCGCCCCGGCCGCGCGCTCTTCACACTCTGCGGCCACCATCGGGGTCTCCCGTCCGCCGTCCCGCCCCCTCGGGTCCCTCCTCCCCGATTCGGTGTCCGGCCCTCTCCTTCTGTCCCCGGGTTGACTTAGCCTTTCCCCCCAGCCCTCTTTCTCCGACCGCTCCCCTTCACCCGCTTGCCTGCCTATCATCATCACGCCTTCCTTGTGAACATCCGACGCGGCGTCCCCGTCATCGCAAATTTTTCGTTTCTTCCTCCCTCGCCAGCCCGGCGGACGCGCTCCAGCAACTCCAGCAATCCGTTATACGTATAAAGCCCGCCTGCTCCTCCCATCGCCATCGATCTTCCGAGTCTATCTCATCAAATACCTCTCCAAGGCCCGATCGCCGAGGAGACGTTTCTCTCAGCTACTAGTCCGCCGTACTCGCAGACGCGGTCCATAATATTCTATCCCTTATTATGCTTCCGCTCTCATCTCTCTCTCTAACGACACCAACACGAGGTCACCACCTGCACGTTGTTTTCATATTTGTTCGCATCTTGCCTTTCGTTTCTGTGTCTCTCTGTTTTTTTTCCCTTCTCCGATCAAATGCGCAGCCCTTTTTTTTCATCCTTCTCTTGTGCTCCGCCGTCGGACCCGCACCCCATCACACTCATTCCCGTATCCAGCCGCCCCAACTCGCTCTCGGAAGAACCATCGCTCCTCCTCGCTCTACTAGGACACATATGGCTCATCATAGCGCAGGGGCCTGCGGGTGCCACAAGCACCGCATAGCACTATCGGGGACAACAGAAGCAACAGCGCCCAAGCGCCTGAGCGAATCGTCATTAGGTTCGTTAAGATATCTCATTATGGAAAGGAGCGCGGACGGCGTAAAGTGTCGTAAAGGTCGTGAGTAAGTCGTTAATAAGGAAGAACACAGCCCCATCGCGAGAAGGAAAGTCCACGTCCATGACAGCGAGAGATCCGGGGAAACAGGCGAGAAGGTCCCCGTCTGGGATTAAGCGTTATAATAACCTGCATGCCCGCAAAGGCGTGGTCAAAAGACGCGACAAAAAGATCACGGGAGACTCACCTCCAACGAACGGGCCTTTCATTGTCTGATAATGCTCCAGCCGCTTGGAGAACCGCCAATTGAGGAAGACCATGTACATCTGGCCGAACGTGGGTTCCGCCATCAGTTATCACTGCGGCGAAGGTCTGGTGAATGAAGCTGGCACTGACCTGAAAACCGAGATCAACCAGCAAGGAGATGATGAATGCGATGTTGATGTTTGAGAAACCCTCGGTGCAGAAGGTCCCTGGGATGGTCCCAGTGCTAGTGGTCTCAGCAGTGCTCGACCACACGACACCACCATTAGCGCACTCCCATTCGATCTTGTCCTTCCTGCGTGATCCGGAGGATGTTCAGTACAAGTTCCGAAATTAGAATAAACAAGAGACGCCGGCAGTCCCGTGAGAGAGAAACGGAGGTCCCTTACCCCCGCTGTAGCTCCACGATCATAATTACTGCACGGATCGCCGAAATGACGAGCACGAAGGGCCACAAAAATTTGCATACACGTGTCCAGATATAAGACCTCTAGCGGCAGAAACGACGCATCGGAAGAAATCGTGAGCAAGCATTCAGCCGACAAAAGGTGCGCAAGGAAGCGAGGCGCTTACGTTGGAAAGCGCAAGCATGTTGATCAGAGCAGTTGCGCCGACCGCCATAGCAATCCCACCATAGATTTGTCTGGAAGGACAAGACGTCAGTGGGGAGCAGAGTCAACGAGAGCGATCACTCATTACGCTTCAGGGTAATTGAAGAAGAAGTATGGGCCCCATTTGAACAGGAAGATTCCGCCCACAACGCTGTAGAGCTAGAAGACAACATCAGAAAAAGAGAGCCAATGAGAGCGGCAATGGACGATACCAGAATCACAACACCCCAAGCGATGGCACCACCCCGCTGGACGATCGAGCTTTGAGGTCAACAAAGGCATTTGGAATCGCGTGAAGACTCACAAGAGGGAGGAGAAGCAGGCAATTATCACACCTAGAAAACCCATTGCACGTCAGCACAGACCGCACAGCATCGGTGATCAGCCTGCGCGAAGTACGCACCACATATCGTCAATAAGTTAGAAGAATAAATCAAGCCTATGGAAAGGTTGCGCGAGATGTCGAAGACTGGCGGTCAGTGAGGTCCGTGCGGAATTTTTTTCTGTTTTATGAAGCTAAATTGTCAAATCTTGAGAGCCTGCAACGCCGTGGAGCGTCGGTCGACGTTGAGGAGGGCTTGGGAGCGGAAAGAGCCTTGGAGGTTGCACGTTCGACGTCACATAGTATGACACAGGGCTATGTCACGCAGCCGAGACCTAACCCTATGCTCATTCTTATACACTGCAGGTTCAAACTCCTCCAGAAACGTTGTTCGCACTGCAACACTGAGTGGGATTCTCACAGGGTAGCAATGCGCATCGACGGCGCTAGATGTTCATAGACCCTTATTCTTCACTTCCTCGCGAGCTATTCATATCATGTGAGTGCCCCTTCGGATGCACACACAAGCTCTCCTAGGTTCCTGTTCTCTATCAAGCAATGCGAACTCCTTCGCTCTACATCAGCTGTCTGATCCAGTCCCACAATGGGTAATGTATCACATTACCATGCGGACGCTCTGCTCCTCTGACCGAAATTGAGGAGTACACAGAGAATCTGCGGCTTCCATTTGGCGCCTTTCCCAAATAACGCACTCACCGGACATGTAGGCCAACTCCGCTTCGCTGACTGCCCCAGCGAAGACCGGAGCTTCAACGACTGCAGAAAGAAACAGTAAAGTTAACCCGCATCTTTGTTTTCCTTGAGCGCTTAAGCACCGAACTCTCCGCGCCATGTCGTTCGCTGCATCTCCATTTCTTTGCACCGATAGACTTCGCTTCTCTGTCGAAGTGCATACCCCCTCCTGGGCTTCGGTGTTGGCGGGGTCCATGCACGGTGCACTCGGCCCACCGTTCCCGCTCGCTTCCTTCCCCGCACGCAGTAGCGCCACAAAGATACCACGTCACCTTCAGGCTCTCGATGGGTTCCTCTACGCAACTGATCTATATCTTGCAGACTCCACCCCGATGGCTCACAAGCCCCGCACTATGTGCGGCCGTATGATCTCCAGTCTGGACTCCTCCATGGAGATCTCAGCGTCCGGCGAAGTCCCTTACTTCGTTCGGTAGTTCACCCGGCACGTTGATCTGTCTCATCTATACCTGATGCTCAGTCATGGGTCGTAGTGCTGCTGTCCGTGCCAACTGGACGCTTCGCTCACATAATAGTATTCACAGGTCGCTCTTTGTCAAAAGCCTCGCTTGCACGCCATGCATTTCATTGATTATTTGCTTCCGAAATGATGAACGGATGCTTTGCTTCCGGCTCCCCCCGTTGTCGATCGATGGGTTTTTCAAAATGGTTAGTTCGAAATTCCCCGCAAGCGCGCCGTTCGCCTGCTTCATATTGCGTCGTGATCTAGGCTTCTCGTTTCTGAAGAGGTTTCGATGAAGCGAAGATGGCTTCGTCACTGTCAGTTCTCAGCACTAATGTTCCGGCGATGAACCTCTGAAAACATACATGCATAGCGCGAAGAGAATGCTGATCGGCTTCGATATATCCCTTGGGTTCTGATGGACGGTTAGCCTTTCTATTGAATCCGCGAGGCGCACCGAGAGTGTCTTTTTGATCTCCAAATCTCCTTCTGTCTCGTCCGGTTCACTGGCTCCCTTGGAACCTGCGACTAGCTAAGTCCTCTGTGATCGTGACATATTCATGTGCCCTTGCTCACGGTTGGCACCTGGCCACGGATATTTGGAGCTCCGGAAAAATACATGTACGCCCACAGCCCAAACTTGACAGCACTCACAGAGTGCATTGCTCGGTGTAACACGTAGCACAAGCAGGCGGATCGTTCACGTAGTCCAGTAGCGTCCCGATACATTTGAACATGAATCTGAACCTCGTCCTTCACGCCCGCCTTGTTTCTAATCCTCTAGGAACGAAACACGCCTTCTCTCGACATTGGGGCCACATCCCTGTTTAGCACTGTCATATGCGGGCAGAATCATAAACACCAGAGTTGCTAGGAACAGGGGTATTCATCATCGCCATCTACGAGGGTCTAGAGACGACGGACCAAGACTACTCCGCAACGCCACCGCATCACTCCAAGGGTCATCGCACTCGCCATCGATATTGACCAGTAGAGTAGTTGTAGGCGGTGCGCTGCTGCCGCCCATTATCCTCGCCCATCTCATCCCCATCCCCTGTGCTTGACACCTGTCACTTGTCCTCGTCACAAAGGCAGCGTGTCCACCGTTTCACCAAGTAGGCCTTCACCTGTACACGCCTTCCGCCTTGCCTCGTTGAGTGCGCAGAGGGCGTTCGCTCATCCCACGCTGCTCGCATTATGCCTCCATGGGTGATGCTGGTGGCCTCAGCTTCGCAAATCTCAGCCGGCACCCAGGGATCGCCGCGGCCACTTCTGCCAGCCCTTTTGCCCCTTCCGCCCGCAACGTGTACAACACGTGTTTTCGCCTATCACCCAAATCCAACCCGGGACGCTCCTTTCCTCGAGCACTCGAGCAGAGAGGGAAACCCATCGATATCGCTCGGAGATCTTCCCGATTCCACTCTTCCCTCTAGCCTAGCCCCGCCCTTCCGCAGCGCTGGCCATTGACTGCATACTCGTCATCGTTATTCTGAGAACCATGAGGAACGGTGTCGCCGTCGGCTGTAAGATGTATTCTTCCTACTGAGTTCCCAGGGACTCCCCAACGATATACATACTTTCCCTTTAGATCAAATCAAATTCTCCGATACTTACAGTCCATGCTTCTACTGAAGCGAAAGCGAAAATTGATTCCGTTGACCCATGAGGTGCATGTATCGGACATCAGACATCCAGTCGCAAAGCGACCGCCGACAAGTTAGAGGAGCGCGTGAAAGATACACAAATTTGGATTGCATAACATGAGACAAACGACTACAAGAGATACAAATGCGTTAACTCCCCTTCATGGCCAGAAACATGTGAGCCAACACCAGTCAAGTATACATCGTCCGATAGAATAGCACACCGCCCCCACCCGAACGCCCACCCGCTGCTGGAGCGGGAAGCAACGCAGTGGTCTTCATCAAGAAGACACGATGCGGACAGTCGGCGGGCACGCCCAGCCTATTTGTCCAACACCACTGCCGTAGGGGTCTTTGTATAGGAGAGTGCGACACACCGTCTCGCAGGCACATGTATATCAGCTTCGCTTTGACCCACAAGATTTCCGCCGTCAAATCGTAGACAGTTCGTCAAGTGTCCGTTCAGTCATACAATGCCCGTGTCCTTCGTAATGTCATCGCGTTCGAGTGTCCTCCATCTTGATGGAAGGGCTGGAATCGTGGGGAGAAGGTAGAGGGTCGGAGAGAAGGAAGTGAAGGATCCCGACAGAGGCAGAACGAGGGCGATGACGGGGAGATGCGGTAAGAAATAACCAATGACCAAGGCGGGGGACGAGGGACGGTACGATGTACGCGTCATCCCCTGAGAACTTCGCCTTTTCGGTGTGCGAGTCTAGAAGCCTTGATCGACAAGATATAGCAGATCGTAATCAGCAGCAGCGAAGTGTGATGCGATCGCAACCTCGGATGGTAGTGCTTTCCATAGCCAGCCCACAACGTCGAGTCGTGGGTCTCGCGAGAAAACACCGCTGGTCGGAAAAGGGCGAAGGAGGATGGTCGCGCAGCAAAACGCGCGGCGTTGTGCACGATCCCCCAACGCCGATGCCATCGACCAAAAGCGGGCCCCGAATAGTTGAGCGTCTCTCATCCGCAAGTGCCCGCCCATGATGAAAGTGTAGAAAGGGTGAGATGGACAGGACGAGATATCTGAGGGAAAGAGAAATACAGAATGTTGGAGAGATCGGAAAGATGTGGCAAATGTACAAGAAATAAAGGGGAAATAAATGGAGCGATGGGGCCGGTCGTAGTCAGTACCCGCCGTCAGATGGAGACGGGCTCGATTCTTCGCGAGGCGCCTCCTGGGCTGATACCGAAGTGAGGGAGTGGCCAGGCGCAGAGCCTTCCGGCGGGGGAGACAAGGGCCGGGCGTCAACACCCATTGACATCGGAGAAGGCGTGTTCCCCAGAGAAATCTTCTCATTAAGAGAGCGGAGTCTCATAACCTCTGCTTCGATTGTAGCCAGACGTTTCTGCAATTGTTGATTCATTTTCTCGAGCTGGACGATGTGGTTTGTAGCTAGGCCACATGAAATCGGAATTTAGCCTCGGATCGATGGGGAACGGTGAATTAATGATCCCGTACCTCGCTCTAGGAGCGACACCTTGCTGCTCTTCTGGTTGGACACGGGCAACACCTCCTTCAACCGCGCATACCCGTCGCGAAGCTCGTCGCGTCTCCGTTGTTCCGCCTCGATGCGCTGCCTCCGCGTCGCTTCCTTCCTCGTGTGCGCGATGGTCTCTGCAATCGAGACAACCATGTCCTCGTCCGAATCGTTAAAAGAATGACCTCGACTACGGCGACCGGATGAGCCGGAGGGAGAAGGGGTCGGGTTGTAACGTAACGGGTTTCGGTGTACTTGGCTGCTGGCTCTGGATGAAGATGGCGAGCCGGTACCGCTGCTGTTACGGGTATGGTAGATGCCGTCTGCAGAAGTGTCTGATCCGGAGATGGGGGGCGAGAGGGGGTCGTACATATTGGGACTCGGAGGAGGGGGGGAATTGGACAACGCCATAGGAACGTGTTGCGGGGAAGAGCTGTACACCTGGTTTGGATAAGGATTGGAGGTGGGCATGAGGCTGAGCCCGCGCAGTTGGAAGGCCTGCTGGAGCTCTGAGGACGAGAGCTGGCCTGCATAGAGTCAAATGTGGCGAGAGAGGAGAGAGATCAACACGAGAAACGTGGGGGAGGGCAAGCGGTTGGTACCCACGCGGATTGGGTGCGGCCTGGGTGAGTTGCTGCTGGTACGCGGGCATGGGAGCGTTGGGATACACGAGGTTGTAGTGTTCCTCAGGCTCCGCATAGAACCCGTAGGAGGCGCCAGCGGCGAGGGCCGCGTGATCGTCTATGTGCTGGTGAGATGGGTCCATGAGGGTCGTATGGGATCGTGCAGGTGGACGCGGCGTTGTTTAAAGCGAGAAGAAAAGAAAAAGAGAGGGGGGGGAGAGAAGAAAAGAAAAGGGGAGACAATGAAGGAAAACAAGAGGAGGGGAGTGGCGGATTCTCGTTTACGTTCGCGAGAACGAGAACCGAGCGCGGGTTCGTCCCCAAATCCCCGTCCTATTCTACTCTCCAAGCTTTCTCACGCCTGCCGCAAACACTCCAAAGGCGCCCGTCTTATCGTACAAACAATGCTCTCATTCTCCTCCTCCTCCGCCTCCTCCGCCCCCTCCCCGCCATCTTCCCCCCCCCGCCCCCAAACAGGTCCTCTGCGGCCTTCCACCGTGTTCATCGTCGTCGTGCGATAGCGGCCGCTCCATGCCCCGATAATCAAAATCATTAGTTTGATGATCTGCGCTGAACACAAATCATCCGTCCCATCATCATCTCCCCCATATTTAAGCAGACCCAGCCACACCGCCCATACAGGCAAGGCTTGTGCTGCTACCATCGAGTCCGTGTGTGTTACGCCCGATCAACAAGAGTCATCGCTATACAGAAGTAAAGGCGCACAGCAGATACCGCGGCTCGTGGAGTACGCGCCCGTGTGCTTTCAGACTCAGCAGAGGGGCTTTTGTCCCGAGTTATGTCTGCCAACCATGGAATCGCTTGATGCGTGCCGGTAGAATCGAATGGATCGACGGCTCGTGTGCATAAAAGCAGAGGCAAGAGGTACTCGGGCGAAGAAGTATTTGTATTCACCGCGGCGACCTACCGTCGAATAGGATACGCACCTATCAAACTTGGAAAGAACTCATCCGCGTGGAGGCAGACGCGTTACCGCGGAATCAGATCGAGCAGTAGATACACACTGAATAGCTAAGGCGACGCGTCGAGCGCAAGAACTCGATCGGAACAAGCAACTTTCATACAGAACGCCGCGCCGCACGACAATTGCGCAGGTGACAAAGGGTGCCGAGAGGGATTCGACCGCCGAGGGACCTAGGATTGGCGTTCCTAACTTTGGAGTCAACATAGAGGTGGAAAAACAGAGAAGATCGGCTTCTTCCTGAAATGAGTCTGCGAAGCAAGACAATCTCGCTCTCTCTAGTTACCTGTGGCCGCAAGGCCAGGCGGTCTGAGGTATTTTTAGCACAGTCAGTGATTGTCACGTCTTTTGGATCCGAATTGTGTCCACACGCGGCTATACCTTGCTCCGCTCGCACACATGAAATACAAGGTCTTGCCTCTCAGCCAACCTAGAAAATGCCCACATTGTCCCTGTAATCAATTTGACATGTCCTTACTATCCCTGGACCACAGTTAAACAATGGACCAGTAGTAAACAGCTGCTATAGCTTCTTCCATACTAAAGTGGCTGTCTTATAAATATTTAGGGAGGTTTATATATGTGTTTAGAATGACTGTGTATTCTTTGAGGCTTGTATGAAAAGCATGTAGAGCAGGAGAGAGAAAATAAAGGTAAGTATGGCTCTCTGCCATATCTAAGAGTTCAGATCCAAATGATCCCCCACTCTGAACCTTACATCTGGAAAACCACCCCCTTGTATTAAGCTCTAATTAGCTATAATTGATGCTTTGCTATACTAAATTATGAAAAATTAGAATTAGACATTTTTAGCTTACCCCCCCCCCTTAAACCTGTTCTAATTAGACATAATTTTCCTAAATTAAGAATTATTAGGATTGATCATAACTTGAAATTTCGGAAAAATAGTAATAAATCAAGCATCATAGTTCTCATAGCCTTCTTATAGAGTCATGTTTATTAAAGCACTAGTTGAATACCTAAACACAGAATATACCTTATAACAAACTTGCCTTTTGCCAGAGTTAAATCAACAACCTCATGTATGCAAGCACCTGGAACAGATGCTCTAAGCCACTAAGCCACAAGGTCTAATATATAAACTTGTTAATCAAAATAAGTAGACATAATATAGGCAACCTCAACATCTCTGATTTTATTCAACATTTATTTTTCCTCTATCTTATAAATAAATAGGTCAATAAATACCTAAAAAGTCAGGTCTTTCATGATTTAGTTTAAACACCAGCTAAAAAGATAATAAACTAATGGGAAATAAATAACACACTTTATATAGGATAAAAATAAATTATGGCACTTATACAATTTGGACTGAGAATGTGTAAAACTATGATTAAGTATAATATTCAATGGGACTCTACTAGTATAGACAATGCTACCTTAATTTGCAAATTTGATCAAAAACATGATTATAAATAATTAAGATCCAATAAGAGAGAGGGGTTTTCTAAATAGCCACTAGTGAGGTAGAGGGTGTGGACAAGGGTATATGTATGGCATGCCTATATATAAATAAGCACAAGATTGTTGGAGGTGATCTTAATATGCTTAATGCATATATTTCCTATATGGCAGGCAAATATATTATTCTAGCACCACATACCAATATGACTGTCTTTTCCACAGCCTAATAGCTAGAGGAAAACACCAAGTTTGGGCATTTTTTGTATAACAAGGCAATAAACAATATAAATAGTGCTAAAAATTGTAATATCAATAGTAATGATGATTGTGTGCTGCACAAGATAGTATTGACCACTGTACTAATAGACAAGGTCTACAAGGCTGCATATAGCATATTTCTAAGCCCAACCCACATGTTGTGTCCTATAATGACCAGTAGCAGGCATTGGCTAACAATGACAACTTTAATGATCTTGTGTGCAAGGACAAGGTACCTAGGTCTTCATAGCCTCTTGTGGTAGCTGCCAAGCTGCCAACAAAGTGGCTAGGGGCATCAATGTATATTTCTCTCTTTCTATATCCCTTGTAAAGGCAGCTGGAAAGTTAGCAAAAGAGCTACAAGATAATGGTATAGGCATATATGAAGGAGAATAATGTGCTAAAATAGTATAGAATGTGCCACATCTTTACCTTCTCACTGATAGAGCAGTAGTACTTACTATTTCCTACTGCTAATTAAAGACTTCTTAGTATAGAATTAGTGCTAATATCATGAAATTAGAAACCAATCCAATGCTCACAATGTGTTGTTCCCAATTAGGAAATTAGACACTTTTAGATGCTATTAACACTTTTGAATACTTTTAGACACTATTAGATATAATCCGGAGCTAATACAAGGGGGTGTTTTTCCAGATGTAGTCAGAGGTTGCCGAAGCCATATCATCATCCTCCGTTGATCGGACTAAGCTGGTATCAGTATCTTCATCCATATTGTTATCTTTGGCATTGTCATCTCTTGATCGGGAATCTTCCATAGCCTGAAGGCATTCTTATGAGATGTCAAGGAGGGCTTCAAGGTCGGCAAGCTTCAGAGACCTACGAGCAAAATAAGGAATAATGCAGAATGCTGCCACTGGCCTATCAAAGACTGATCCGTCAAGTTCGGCCAAAATATATGCTCCTCCCCAATTCCTAGAAACTACTAGCAATGGTTCTAAATACCATGGAAGCATCTTCCAATTGAGTGCCTTTTCTATGGCTGTGTTGCGCATCAGGACAAGCAAGCCCCAGTGAAAATTGAAGTTGCAAAGGGTGGTCAAATACTACTGTTCAAATCAGATGGTGGCCTGGACTTGGGCACTGACTACTGAGCTGCAAAGGTGGGTGAGGTCCGATCGGCATTTCTGCAAGGCAATGGCCTGTCAGACAATGAGGTCAGTGGTGCTGAGGATTGTGGTCAGTGATGGCAGGAGGTAAGTCGCTTTGGCGATATTGAGGGAAAGGAGGGGATGGGTTCCGGTTGCCACGAAGTATGGCGAGCAATTCATTTGGCACCGAACAGTAATACAATCAGCCCAGAATATGAAATGAGCTACATGATTCCACTTAGCCTGATCTCCATCAATGGCTTTGAACAGAGCCTGCCAAACATTGAAGTAAGGTCATTTGGCGATGCCGTTCACATGGGAATTGTAGCCCAAAATACAGATGTGCCGAACATGGTACTTTTTTGCTAGCTGGTTAAGCGCCTTGACAAATGTAGGTCCGTTGTCAGAAATGATCTCTACCAATGTTCCCTGTCGGCACAGGATATCCTTGAAGATCCGATTGGTGAGTGCAGAGCTTGTTTCATGTCGCAGCATTTAGAATTCAGGATAGTGCAATACCAAACAGTGACCTCGAACAAGATACTTGAAACCACCAGCGGTCGGCATGTGCATGGTGTCCATATACATCTTCGCAAAGAGTGGTGCAGGCGTAGTGACAGTTAGAGGAATGAGGACATTGCAAGTCTGGCAAATCTGGCAAAGGTGACAGGTCCAAACAAACCAGGAAATATCTTGCCTCATGTGTGGCCACCAAAAGTGTTCAGCAACTGAGGCAGTCGTGGCATAGAAACCCTTGTGAACGACGTCATCCTGGGTGACAGTGAGAATTGCGATTTGACTGGAGGGTGCTACAACAATCTTGTGTTGGCCGTGCAAGTCTTTTCTCCATAGCTTGTTGGCTGCAATGAAGAACTCAGTGCAATATTGCAGAAAGGTGGCATATTCAGAGTTGGAGAGAGAAGGGGGCCGAACCAATGTTTGGTGCCAGTCGCAGACTAACCATAGGCATTCTTCAGCTTCCAAAGCTTTCTGTGATCTGGGAATATTCAAATAGTCGATGGCTGGCTCTTCATTAGCTGAGTCAGCATCAGTCTGGTGGTCGTCTATGAGTGAGGAGGTGAAGATGGCGGTTGTAGATGTTGATATGGAGGATGGGAATGTATTGTTGATCAGATAGAGGAAGCCATAGAGATTGTCAATCCAGTCATCAAAGTTGTCTTTGGGTTCAGGTCAATCGGAGGGTTGTGGTGGTCGCCAGGAGAGTCCATCGGGGCCATGGAAGGTACTGGGGACGTGGACAAGTGTGAAATGGAAGGTGAGAATAGAGATGATCCACTGATTGATGCTGGTGCTGGGTTTGAGATCTAGTTTAGTGAGCATGCCCTTAATGTAGTGTGCATCTACTTCGACTATCAGGTTCCAAACGCCAATGAGGTATATTTTGAGTAATCAGAGGGCACAAAAAAGGCTGTAGAGTTTGAGCTTGGGTTGGGAGAATTGTGATTCGCGGTCATTAAGGGTGATGGAGCCAAATCAGGCATAATACCAAATCCGAGGATTGTCAAGCGCACATTAACAAAGATGGAAGCCAACTGCGATTTGGGAAGTGTCGACTGCAAAGATGACATTGGCTGCTGAACTATAGTCGATCAGCCGAAGGGCTGGCGATTCAAGAAATGCTGACTGGAGGTTGTCCTGGGCCGCTATCTGGTCTGGGCCAAATACAAATGGGAAATCTTTGCACGTTAACATTGTCAGTGCATATGCTCTATGTGCAAAATTCCGAATAAAGATCCAAATGACACTGATTGTCCCTAAAAATGCCCAAACATCTGAGAGATCCCAGCAAGGTCCCCACTTTATAATTGACTCTACCCTAGACTCGTCAGGTAATCTTCCTTTGTACGTGCAGCGATGGCCAACCACTGTGATTTCGGCCACGTAGAGGGTCACCTTGTGTCCCAAAAATGTTCCTCCACTGTACTTCATCTGCTGAACTACCTGATTGAGGCCTTGAAAGTGTTCCCACACAAACTATTGTATTCTGGGGTTGTTGGGGTGCGTCTCGAAGCCGCCGTTTGGAAGTTTGTATTGGGTTGGTGGGCCCTAAATTGGGACATTGTCAATGAAAGGAATGGTGGTGTCTGGGATCTCTGGCTAGAGGATGTGGGTATTGTCATCATGGAAGATCAGGACCGAATTTGTCCATCCCATGGGCAGGGCGATGAGTCGGTGGGCACCAAACAGGGTCTGGAATGTGGTGAAGTTGTGAGATGATTTGGCGAGCCCTCATTTGTCATATCCAACATAGAGATCCAGAATGCCGCAGCAAGTGCAAGCTGCAAACTGTTCAGCAATCTGATTGGTATATGGGGGCATACCTGAATGCTAGATAGTGACAGTATTCAGGGGTTCGAGGCTGTGAACGATTCGGAGTTTGGTCCCAGTAGAGGTGCTATTTATCTTCTTGATGACTGTAAACCAACACAATCGGTAGGAAGAATTTGACGGCTTATAGACTCCAGCAGCAATCTTGGTTTTGATAAGTTGGCATACTTCATCGTAGATGCCTGGTGGAATTGGGATGTTGTGCTGAACCCAGGGCTTGTGTTCAACTACCGGCATATTGACTAGTGGGAAGAAGTCCTTATGGAAACGTCCACGTTCTGAATTGTCCTAGGCGAATCCCATCTCTTATAGACATATGAAATGGTGCATGAGCTGTCATTCGGCTGGCCAAAGAAAGTCATCCAAGTGGACTTTGTCGATGAGGTTGTGTTATTCAGTGGTGTATCTGCCAGTCGGCACGAAGGGTGGGGGGTTCAGTGTTAGTGTCGGAAAGGCAGCGAGAGGGTCACCAAGGATGTTTCAAATAATTCAGAATTTTTCAGGGAGGTTGGCCAAGACTGGTCATGTTTTCTGAGTGACCAGTTTATACTTGCACTTGGCAGCAAAGATGGCGACCAGGTTGGTGATATTAGTGGAATGGAAAGAACCAGGGACAACTGAGGAAAATAAGGACAACATATTGGAATCAAGATTGTTTTTGAGATGATTTTTGGGCCCCAAATTAGAGGCCATAACGTATTTGAGACAGAGATCACGATAAGAGGAAAATGGAGAATGGAAATCTGAGAACACTTCAATAAGTGGGAAATTGGGAGTATCATGATTGGTGGAAATGATCAGTGCAACTTCTCCTTGATCTTGGTGATACGCTAGTGATGCCTCTAAGTGCGAAACACACCCAAGAAACACCCCTACAAGCGCAGGTAGGCAGGAGCTGGTTCTAGTGTGCAAGGAACTATAAGCTGTGCAACAACCAACAAGGGAGCATACTAAAAGTGTTCGGAGTGTAGTGAACAAACAACTCCAAAATCAAAATATTCAGTCGGTCGGTCGGTCGGTCAGTCGGTCAGTCAGTCGGTCGGTAGGTTGGTTGGTTGGTCAGTCGGTCGATGTTTGATCGGGATTTGATTGGGACGCAAAGGGAAGGGAATGGGTACAAGGCCACACTGGACACTGGCAGAGGATGACAAACTAGATGAGAGGGAGAGAGCAAAACGACGAGGGCTCTGATGGAGGGCTGCGATCGAATGCAACAACACAAACAAAAGGGCAAAATGCTAACAAGGATTGGAAGGCAATGGCTCAAAGTCTTATAGACACAAGCACACAAATGGAATTGGAACAAGGGGGGAGCCAAAGCTGATGTATTGCAAGGCCATAGGTGCCCTTTTATAGTAAGTCCAAACAGGTACAAGATAAGGAGATTGGCAGAGGCATAGAGCAATCGGAAATGCATGCCAAGAGTGATCAAAGGTAAAGAAGATAAGGGAGTGATGTTGCGAACACTATAAGATAAGAAGCAATAACTCTAAAGCCTAAATAAGTGAAGAGATTGCCAAGGTGAGTCCACATGGACCTGGAGATAAGAACCACATGCCACATGGGTAAACCATTTAGAAACTTGGGAGCTCTGAAGATAACAAAGGATAGGTCAACAGAAGGCATAAGGATGATAAGAGATAAAAAGACAGATCCGTTCTGAGTCAACAAAGTGTTTGGCTGCCTCCGATTTGGGACACCGAAGCCGACCGAATGTGCCGACCATGTGAAGTGTACCAAACCGATCGGTGATTGGCCGCGACAGTCTGTGGAGAGCCCCTACTGCTAATAGTGATGATAGATGGATAGGATGACTTTGAACAGCTCCGAACAACTGTGTGGAGGTCTAAATGGAAAGTCAGCACCTGACAAATGGCTGAGATCGCCGAACGGATCGGGATCGGTCGGTCTTAAGTATGCCGAATGGTCGAAGAATACTGAAAAGCTGCGAAAAGTGGGGTATTGGTGCCTAGAGCATACCCATGCTCATCATCGGATCAATTCATCAAGTCGCAAAAACCTGCATCTGAAAAACCACCCCCTTGTATTAGCTCCAGATTATATCTAATAGTGTCTAAAATATCTCAAAGTATTAATAGCATCTAAAAGTGTCTAATTTCCTAATTGGGAGCAACATATTATGAGCATTGGACTGGTTTCTAATTTTATAATATTAGCACTAAGTCTATACCAAGAAGTCTTTAATTAGCAGTAGGAAATAGTAAGTACTACTGCTCTATCAGTGAAAAGGTAAAGATGTGACACATTCTATACTATTTTAGCATATTGCTCTTCTTTATATATGCCTGGACCATTATCTTATAGCTCTTTTGCTAACTTTCTAGCTGTTTTTACAAGGGACATAAAAAGAGAGAAATATGCATTGATGCCCCAGCCACTTTGTTGGCAGCTTAGCAGCTGCTACAAGAGACTATAAAGACCTCAGTACCTTGGCCTTGTACACAAGATCATTGAAGTTGTCATTGTTAGCCAATGCCTGCTATTGGTCATTACAGAACACAACATGTAGGTTGGGCTTAGAAATATGCTATATGCAGCCTTGTAGACCTTGTCTATTAGTACAGTGGTCAATACTGTCTTGTGCAGCACATAATCATCACCACTATTGACATTACAATTCTTAGTGCCATCCACACTGTCTATTGCCTTATTATATAGAAGATGCTCAAACTTAGTGTTTTTCTCTAGCTATTAGGCTATAGAAAAGACAGTCATGTTATGATGATGCAAGTCTGTCAGTAAGGTGACATTTTTCAGGCTCGAGAGTGCAAGATTTTGATCCGAGATGCCTGAAGGAGAGTTGCCCGCCCAGGGGTCAAACTTTGAGGCAGACCTTATACACGACTTTCTTCTGTGTAAGGTCAGCCACGGAGACTAGAACATGCCGGAGAGTCGTAGAGGAAGGAGAGTGGTTGTTCTGGGTACCGCGTGGGAGAGAGACTGAGCGGCGGTCCACGGACCACTCACTTTAAACTCGTCCTTTTTGGACTAGCGTGCTCACCGACAACGACGACGGCGGCCGTTCTTGTTCCTACTTGTCTCCAGGCTCCACCGTCGCCTTGAGCGAGCTCGTCGCCTTCAGACACAAGACAGCCAGAGGCAGTTCGCATCTCGCTGCACTGCTGTTGCGATCCTGCAAGTTGGTGACACCCCGCCCGCCCACGAGTGCTATGTTGATGAATATTGCCTAGGCAGTCTACACATTACCTGTTCTCGTCGCTGTCGCCCGTTCGTCGTCGCGTCTGCTCTTCACTCCTGTCTTTACTGGCCGCAAACATGTCGAACGGAGACCCAGAATCCGCGCTGTCCCCGGCTGCTGCTGTCACTCCATCATGGCCCCGTCCACGCACTCCTTTGCCCCCACACCGTCTAGCGAAACTAGCAAACGCGCTCGGCGTGTCGACACCCATCCCCGTCGGCCAATCTCTCTCAGACTCGGCTTCCTCGTACTCCTACTCTTCCGTTCCCAGGTCTTCTGCTTCATCAGTTGCCGAATCATGGCGTTCTCCTACTCCCTCGGTTACTTCTACGTTGCATCTCACGTCTCAGACTCCCCATGCATCGACCTCCAGGTTCTTGCTTCATGTCGTGCCTCCAGTTCATCTCCCTCATGACTCGGACTCTTCAGAGAGTCTGACACTGACACCTCCCCCTTCGACCGCGTCTGGATATCATACTCAATTTAGGCGAGGCACCCTGGTCCCACTTTTTCCTACACTCCAACTTCAGCTATGGGCTATTGCTAAGGAATATGCGCTCCCGAGTACTAACGGAATGATTCTCTACCTCATATCCACACAACCCTCTCGCCAGTCGATTCCCGACGCTGCGGACAAAGACCTTGCAGATCTATCCGACGAGCCAGGTCCCCGCCTCTCCGAAGAAATCTGGAAACATCTCTGGACACGCGTTGTTAAGGTTGAGCAGGATGCATACCCATCTCGAGCACCGACACCCAACCCAGTCGGAGTTGGCCTGGGTTTCGGAGGCCGCACTTCCCCTCTATCACCAGAGTCGAGCACCTCGCGGCCTAACCTTAGACCACTCATATCACCTGGTCACATAACTCCTCAACCTCTCACTACGCCAATAACCCCAAATCCTTCGACGCCCTCCACGTCTCAAGGAGCATCGTCTACGCCATCGCAGTCTGATCCTGCGACACCAGACACATCTCTCCCTTCGGGCTCACGCGCTAACTCCCTCGATCTTCCCGGTCTCTCCTCACCCTCCCTCATCCCCATTCTTGCTAAAGTCGAATTCGACATCGACCGACGTAAGGCCGGGTGGTATGAACCATGGATGCGCAGCAGACGGGTCAACCACCGGAAACGCGTAGGTCGTACGCGACCAGATTCCCGCTCGACCACGACGACGGAGGAAGAGGGAGAGCAGGAGACTGTCCCGCGGACCGCACCTATCAATCTCAAATTGGTGGACCGACAAGCGGTGCCGAGGTTCCTATGGAAGGAGCATGAGGAAGAGGACGTGGTTGATGAGGGTGAAGAGTATACGCGGTTATCCGAGTCACCGGGTGATGAGGATGAGACAGCCCCTCTAGGGACAGTTGGTGCTCAGGACCCGTTAGCGGACGTATTTGGTTCAGACGGAGAAGTATGGGCAGATATGCACGCTGATGGAACAGGCAAGCGGCCGATTACGAAGAACGGGAACGTCGTCGAGTTGGCCTTGGACGGTGCCGCATTGTCTGCACCTCCCGAGGACCCGGAGTCTCATGATCAAGGTAATGATGAACTGGAGGTGAAGCAGCTATGGGATGCACATTCACGCCCTCGGTTGTCGGTCGCCATCCCTCCATCACCACAGGAGTCTCCTAGGGACAGGCGCCGCTCGTCGCCCACGACTGCTGGGACCGTTAAGAAGTCTCCTCCGCCTCCGCTGACCTTACCATTCGTTGTGCCCAACGATGTAATCGCTATGGGCGAGTCAAGTCCATTCCCAAGCGCGGGCACTGCGAAGCCAGCGTACTTGCGAGATGGGATAACCCCAACCCAGTCTTCCGAGGAAGACCTCTCGATTCTCGGCGACGAGGAAGTTGATGAGGCAATTGTTCCAGAAGGTGTTGACCCGAGGAGATTCAGGAGGATCAAGAGTCCAGGAGAGGAGAAGAGGGTCGGGGCATTCTTCGAGGACCTTGATCTGGGACTGGAATTCGAGGAGTCAGGAGAGGTGAGTTTTTGATGGTTCCGACGATCGAAATCAATTCTCAGTAACGCGTGCTGGAGATTGACATGAGCGATCCCAATGATCGACGCCGGAGCCAGTACGAAATGAGTGCGACGCTTGACGAGATTGAACGGGTTAGAGTTCCTGTTTAGATCCTCAAAGACATAGCTGTTGACTTAGTTCCTGGTAGAATTTCCGCCAGTTTTCTCCTCGTCGATTGAAGCATGAGCTCGACGAGGAAGACGAAGTCGCGGCCAGGACTCCCCCACGAACTACCTCATTGTCTCCACCCTCTCAACTTAAATTTACGGGTGCTTCTCCTGGAAGCCCTACCCGTCGGAAGGAAAGTGCTGCAGTACAAGGGTAAGCCGAAACTCTAATATACTATCATCGTTACTCAACGAAGCGCGTATGTCAGTGGTGTATGGCCGGCGGTGCCGTTCTCAGCTCTCAAAGAACAGGATGAGCCGCCTGCGTCACCCACTACGTCCTCCCATCGCGACAGTTTCCCAACACCACCTCGACTGGCTCTAAACGGCGTGTCCAGCGCGATCCCAGTGTCGCCTTACGCGAAACAGCGGCAGTCACAACCAACAGGCGATGCGTCCGACGAGTCCATGGCCAGGAAACGGGAGTTTGAAGGCCAGGAGCCATCATATCCGGACATCGTCCCGCCCTCCCTACGCAAAGCCGAGGTCTCCAATTCTCCCGTCATCCCTTTATCACCGGACCCGTTTGGGCGCTTTCCATTCGACTCTGATGCTGCGCGAATGTCCGAAGAGCGGTCGTCCTCAGAATCAACGCGTGGTTCACGTATCACGTACTCTACCTTTGAGATACCTCCAGAACGCCAGGCATCTCTGAACAGGGATAGCAGCACCACTAGCCCGAAGCATAAATCACAGGCGCCCTCCAGTCGGTTCTCTATGGATTCGTCAGATGAACCATTTGGAAAGAATAACAATAACCTCAGCCGTCCGTCCACGACATTGAACCCTGTGAAAAGCATCAGGAAATTATGGCGAAAAAGCAACAATCGATCGGTGTCAGGCTCACCTCCAGCCCCAGCTGCCACCGCGACGTCGAATGGGCAACCAGCCCTTGCATCTCCACCGCCTCTTCCGAATGGACAGACGCTGCTAGCCCCACAACCTTCACAACAGGAGCTTGTGACGAATGCTATGATACCCCCTAGACGACAGATGGAGCCACCCTTGATGACCACGACGCAGGCCATGCAACGTGCACAAGCTGAGGCTTCCATTAGTACTATACATTTTGACCAGGAGTCGCCATACCCCATTCGTCGATCACCTCAACCTCCACAGAGCTATCAAAACTATGCTACTCCAATGAGCCGGCCGGGCCACCAACAACAGGCATCAACCTCGTCGCGGATATCGACGGTCTCGCCTCCAAATCAATCTGTGCCCCTTGAGAAGGAGCGCAGCGGCATACGCAAGTCGATCCTTAAGTCCTGGAGGTCGCCGCCTAACAGTCTTTCGCAGGCGTCCGGCAACCCAACCATGTCCTCTGATGGCTCGCGCTCGAGCACACCGGAGGGACCGCTTGCGGCACGAAAGCGGCGACCGAGTGTGATCGAGATGGCGGGACACTTGGTGCGTGGATCTGTTGCGAGCATTACGCTTTCAGAGATTCCGCCCAGCCCGATTTTGCCAGAGCAATATGCTTCAGCGAACGCGACATTGGGGAGCAGGCAGTCGCGCGCTCAGTCGATTGGGGATAATGGCAAGCAGTTTTCAGTACGTACAGGCGGCACTGGTGGCACTGGTGGACGCAACACGCCGTCGTCGTCGATGGAGTCCTCGCGCCTCTCGTCATACTCCTCGCCACCGCCGGTGCGCACGCCTCTAGGGGGCTCGCCACCGCGGCCGGGACGCAGTCCAGGTATCTCACGCCCATCAGAGGAATTGGACGAGTTCGAAATCATCAGCCCAGCGAAAGCAGGGCACGCGAAGACGCCATCATTGTCATATCCCTACAACGAGCTGGATCACCAGGAGTGATCTGGTGCATGAGCTGTGCTTGAGGCCTTAGGTCGTGTGCAAGGGAAGCGCACGCTGTATCTGGTCGACCTTCTTGTCTTGTTTCGTTGCTTCCTTTTGCTCTGGGATGCAATTTAACAGTTAATGCTTCCTTCACCTCTGCGCCTCGTCTGAACCATTGCGTCACAAGGCACTCTCCAAGTTCTATTGTATCGCAGTTCGTTTTGGGACAGTGTGTTTGCAGCTTCATCTTCAACTATCTTATCGATTTTTCGCGCATGAAGTTTTCGCTCTTTTGATCATACCCATAGTTTTGTCAGTGTTTTGAAGGTATTGGAACACTTGTATCTCACCATATGAATCCGATGTCTTCAAATAGTCATAGCAATTTCGCGCATGTCCAATGTTTAGCAATAAAAAATATATTTCAATCTGTACTAGGGTATATTCTAAGAAGGGGGTATAAGGAAGGAGAGTCCAGCTCCCCACCTTTCACAACTTGCAAGCGGAAGTAGGAACTTGCTCCACGTTGACCTCGACCTTTCCGAGCTGAGTAGCCTTGCCGTTTGTCAACTTGTCCATGGCCGCCTGGGCGACATTGAAACCGGGGCTGGCCACATCGATCGCGAGGACATTGATCGTAACACCAGTCTCGGGATATGTAACAGCCCAGCAGGTTCCACAGTTGGCAGAGTTCCAGGATGAGACGGCGAAGACACCGCCGACATAGGGGTAGTCAGGGAGGTCACCGAATGTGGGAAATTTCGAGGCGAGACCGTGAGGGCCATTCGAGCAGGCGGCGGTGTTCATAGAACCCGCCTTGTTGTCGAAGACAGTGTCGTAAGTCAGGGGAAGTGTCAAGACTGGTTTATTGTAAGAGGGGCAGTTGCTTGAGGGGGAGGGGTATGGCGCTTCACTCGAGTATGACGTGCCGCTGGGATAAGAGGTCTCACTGTGGTATGAGTCGGCGGAAGTCGAGTAGGCACTTGGCGTAGAACTGCTGGCGTATGCGCTAGTCGAGTGTGAGTACTGAGTGGTACTGTAGGTCGCAGACGATTGTGTGTAAGGAGTTGAAGTGGAGTGATACGACTCAGTGGACGTGGTGTAGGGTGTAGTTGAGGTGGCATAAGAGCTCGAAGTCGTGTAAGGAGTCGATGACGTGGTATACGGAATCGTGGACGTGGTGTAAGGAGTGCTCGAGGTGTAGGGAGTGCTCGACGTGGTGTAGGGAGTGTTCGACGTGTAAGAAGTGTGCGAGGAGGTGTAGGGAATGCTCGAGGTGGTGTAAGGAGTGCGCGAGGTGGTGTAGGGAGTATTCGAGGTGGTGTAAGGGGTCGTCGAGGTCGTGTAGGGAGTCGTCGAGGTCGTGTAAGGGGTCGTCGAGGTCGTGTAAGGGGTCGTCGAGGTCGTGTAAGGAGTCGTCGAAGTAGTATAAGGAGTCGTCGAGGTCGTGTAAGGGATCGTCGAGGTGGTGTAAGGGGTCGTCGAAGTAGTGTAAGGAGTCGTCGAGGCAGTGTAAGGGGTCGTCGAAGTAGCGTAAAAAGTCGCCGAGGTGGTGTAGGGAGTCGTCGAAGTGGTATAAAGAGTGCTCGAGTAGGGAGTGCTCGAGTAGGGAGTGCTCGAGGTGGTATATGGAATACTCGAGGTTGCGTAGGGAGTACTCGACGTGTAGGGGGTGCTCGAGGTGGTGTAAGGAGTGCGCGAGGTGGTGTAGGGAGTATTCGAGGTGGTGTAAGGGGTCGTCGAGGTCGTGTAGGGAGTCATCGAGGTGGTGTAAGGGGTCGTCGAGGTCGTGTAAGGGGTCGTCGAGGTCGTGTAAGGGGTCGTCGAAGTAGTATAAGGAGTCGTCGAGGTCGTGTAAGGGGTCGTCGAGGTCGTGTAAGGGATCGTCGAGGTGGTGTAAGGGGTCGTCGAAGTAGTGTAAGGAGTCGTCGAGGTGGTGTAAGGGGTCGTCGAAGTAGTGTAAGGAGTCGTCGAGGTGGTGTAAGGGGTCGTCGAAGTAGTATAAGGAGTCGTCGAGGTCGTGTAAGGGGTCGTCGAAGTAGTGTAAGGAGTCGTCGAGGTCGTGTAAGGGGTCGTCGAGGTGGTGTAAGGGGTCGTCGAAGTAGTGTAAGGAGTCGTCGAGGTGGTGTAAGGGGTCGTCGAAGTAGTGTAAGGAGTCGTCGAGGTGGTGTAAGGGGTCGTCGAAGTAGTGTAAGGAGTCGTCGAGGTGGTGTAAGGGGTCGTCGAAGTAGTATAAGGAGTCGTCAAGGTCGTGTAAGGGGTCGTCGAGGTCGTGTAAGGGGTCGTCAAGGTGGTGTAAGGGGAGGACATCGTGGTGTAAGTAGAGGATGTTGATGAATATGACATGCTCGGAGACGAATACGAGCTATAGTGGGCGGGTATAGAGCTCGTATACGCCTCAGTTGTCTGAGAGAATGGAGGTCGGGTGCTGTAAGGTTGAGTTGTATATGGCATCGAGGGCATGCTCATATACGAAGAACTCGGAGTCGGCGTTCCAGACGGCGACTCAGCGTGACTACTCCACGTCGCCGGCGTCGAAGCCGGAGGCGGGGAGGCGGATGTGAACGTCTCCAGAGACGTAGGGCGGACAGGACCAGCCTGAGGGGCAGCGCCAGCGCTGCGAGCGATGATGAGAGCGATGATGGTGACAGCACTGCTGTAAGTCATAATGAATGGTTTAAAGTGGTTGGTATTGCTTTGGATAAGTGAGTGAATGATTGGGGAGGAGGGACTTGGACGATTTCAGGCCGCCTTTTAAGCAAAAACGAGAAGGGTCTGGAATCTCTTTTGGACCAAGGAAGGCGGTGTTCAGAGGTAAGAACGATGAGTTCCCGAGACACTTACCAGCGACCCGCAGGTGAGAAATTGTTGGATTGAATGGGTTGCACGGCCTTGATGATTGGTAACATGAGGTCGAGGCATATGTGCCGACGATATACATTGAATCGGTGTCTTAGAAGTGAATAGGTTCAGAAACAGAAGATGTCGGATGATATACGAGCGCTCACAATGTATACCTCGCATAAGAGCCTGGACGCCCGCACACAGCATACTTGCCGAGACTGTCTCGGATGTGGAGGAAGGCGAGACATGAGTGGTAATTCTGGGCTTTGAGCAATAGAAACTGAAGGGCTGGAATGTTTGTCGACAGAGGCTGTTCAGTCTCTTCCGAGACACGCTCCATTTTTCGCGTTTCACATCATGTGACCTCACAAGTCCATCACGTGAGATGTACACTTCACTCACACAAACTGCCGAGATAACAGAGGAGCTTGTGGTATCTGTCCAAACGTCGATAAGATAGCGCACTTAAAAGGTTAAAATCGGAACAATATAGCGTCTTAACCAGAGTCGAAATCGATACACATGATGAGTTGTCGCGCGCACCATCCGTCATACAATGAACAGCGGAGTGTCCTAGGGCACAGTGCAGAGAAAGATGCCTGAAATGAGTCTGAGCAGCAGTAAGTGGTAAAATACATATGGGCAAAGAGCGATGAAGGATACAGGCCCCACCCGACGGGGTCCAGCCCACGAGTCATGTGTGGCTGCCGTCTGAACCAACCAGATGACCAGCCAACGCCCTAAATACTGTCTCGTTTGTCGTCGCAAATGTCCAAGACAACGCTGCTTTCTCTGCGATGATCCGCCTTTGGCAGGCTAACAAGGTGCTGCGCCGTTGCCCCTGGCCCAATAGGAGTCACAGTGTATCCTTCGCCTGTCATCACAGAGAAGCGCGGGATGTCCACAAATTTCACCGGCCATTCAACCTTTTCAGGGTCATTGGCGAACGATGCGGGAGTGAAGTCGTCGTTGGCAAGCGATTTCAGAACCATGACTGCGTTGCAGGGTGAGAAAATTCGTTGAAGTGAACAGAAATTCAAGAGACGTACGATAGTGCGCCAAGCCTTGACCGAAGTTAAAGCGGCAAGCTATTCCGAGGACAGAGGTAGCCACAAGGAACACATACGAAACGATGGTCATGTTCGCGAAGAACGGCCACGTGAGGAAGACAAATCGGTAGAGAGGGCTGAAGAACATGATGGTCCATATGGTGATCACGACGAGTCCGACTAGGAGGAAAGGCCAGAACAGGGCGCGGTTTTCTCTCCGAATGCAAAGCCACCCCTGTAAACGTGTCATGTCTTGAACCGCTAGCTAGTGTACAATACGCAGATAGACTCACGGAAGTAACCCAAACTATGTTAAGCTAGCGGAGAAAACAGGTAAGGACAGGGGGAATTGATATCTGGGAGACAAAACGGCTTCACCAAGACAGTAACAATGAAGCCCGCGAGATAGAGTGAATAATTCTCGGCGGCCCTGCGAACTGCGTCTTCAGTGAGCTTGGAAATCCACAATGCCGTGGCTGCAATCGTGAAGAATGAGGCCAGTTGCAGCGTCATGACAAATCCGAGATACACCTGCTCAAATAACTATCATAAATGACTGTTGCTTGTGTCGATTAGCAATCCAAGGCGCACCCGGTGGATGCGGATGATATTGGATGGTGCCCCGACACTACGGAAAGATTGTCGATGGTAAATCTAAGCCCTCTCAGTCAGCCACAGATGATACGCAATAAGATTTCTATGCGCATACTGTTGACAGTTTCCACGTGAGATATACCATTGCGAGGGTGGCGACCATGTTCAACACGAGAATCGGCGCCTGTGATGAACATCAAAATAGGATATCGATGTCAAAGATGACTAGAACATACGGAGTGTCTCAAACGTTCGTCCCACCAGCCTCCAAGCACATCGACCCCATTACAAGCACCCGCGACAATGAACCGTTGATACTCGTGCTTCATTTTCACGCCAGTGTATACGTTGAAGGAAGCCCAGGCCGTGTTCATAAAATGGCCGGACAATGCAGCGATCCTATATCAGTCAGGTTGGAGAGCTCATGCTTGCTCAATGATAAACACTGACAGATGCGGGGTAGAGTCGGCCAAGACCTATGGATGAAATTTATCAGTGATTAAGAAAGAGTTTGGGGTCAATACCAAACTTACAGCCATCATAGACATTACAAGGAGCCACAATTGGAAGAACAGTGTAGCCAGCTCCTCGCGCTTTGCGTCGTGGAAGCTACAGAATTCTCAGCAAAGTTGGGCAGGATATAGAAATTGCTCGACGCACACATCCAGAATCCATCCCATCGACATGGCGCACTGGTCTGTCACCTGCAGCGAGTCATCAAAAGTCACATCTGAAGCGTCATCTGTCTGGTTGTACAAAACGAGAACCTGTTCAGCGTGTCAGGACACGTTGAGTCTTCGATCCAGGGGTAATGTCAAGCTCACCGAGTTCCAATAGTCTGCAACAAACAAGGCATCGGGCCCATTGCGGCCATCTGGTGGCTGAGCCAGCACTGTACAGGATGTGCCATCGAGGTGTGCGGCACCATCACAATCCCTCAACGTGCCACCCTCAATCAATGGCAGACCAGGCCTAATGCCGTGATCGTCGAGAATCCCCGAGACCGTGTTGACGACGACGGTATCATCGGCTAGTGTGATCGACACAAGGATGAGCTGGCCCACGAAATGTGCGAGTGCGAGGAAGAAGTAGCATGCGATGAAGCGACTGAGAAAGATGCGTAGGCGCTACGAAAACAAAGGACGACATGCGACAGGACCTTGTCAACATCCCTTCCTAGACAATGAAGACGGACCACCACTCACCAGATGTTTCACTTCAGACTTAGCCCATGACCATACTCCCATTTCTGTGTAATACGAACAATGGCCGCCTCGAATCGAAGGGAAGAGCGGCCGGAAGACGGAAAGAACGTGTGACTATATCTGTCGGCGCCGCCGACGAGCCAGACCAGCTAGCCTGCGCTGTACAAGCAGTTAGGAACGAGCCTGTGAAGATACTTGTCGTGGCAAGCTGCTGAGGGGCGGGCAGGGTTCGGACTGGCCACGCAGTATCTGCTGGCCGATTGATATACGCGAGGCAGCCGGTCCCTCTACGGCAACGGCTCAGGATGATTTTGCATTGGAGTATCTGAACGGTTAGATTCTATCACGAGTCTCCGATTGCCGCAGCTACGGACCAGACCACTACCAGACTTTGCACTGAAGGACCATTCACGAAATCTAGTCCGCATCATCGCTTGAACCTTTGTCTTCCGCACTATCCTGTGGAACATAGAATAGAGTTTGAACAGAATGCTACAGAGAAGAAGACCGGTGGACGAGAGAGTGTCTTGGCTTTGAGGAGCTGCAGGATATTACTATGATATTGCGCAGTACCGTTGCAACGGTATCATATATGAATACGATCGGGCCAGCGTCGCGGGGCCTAGCAGTGGCCTAGCTCTTTCCAAAGTTTTTCACCATTTTAGCCAGTTCAAGCGGCGAGCGAGGACTCGTAGGGACTTCTAGGGACTCCTGTACACTCCCGGACAATGCGTAAATCACTCAATCGTGGAATGACATGAAGACAGCGCGTCCCGCTTCGGGGTTAGCAGGGGATAAAGTCATTTCAATGGCTTTGTCTGCTGCACATTCCGTTCCGGACGAGATCAAACACCCAATCATCCCGGGCACTCGGTATCTACTGGTACAGCATGCATTGACCGAAGTATCTATGCACCAACTGATTCCAAGGCTAGGGTCTTTCGACACAATGAAGGGAGTATGAAGGGCCGCTTGGAGTTCAAAACGAATGCTCAGTGTTGTCCTTCCCACTCGATGACGTGCTCGAAGACCCCGAGGCCAGTGTCGTGAGGATTCGATCGATGTAGTCTGCCCCACTCCTGCGACGTAGGCCCAAGTACATCCATCAACAACGACTCTCTGATGAGGAAAGGACAACACGCACCACTTCTGGTGCGTCAAGACGTCGCAGCCAATTTCCTTCTCCTTCCGTTGCACAGTTTCGACGTACGCGAGCATCCCGTCCGTCTTGAAACGCTGGGCGAGTTCCGCTGTGTACCAACCGGACGATAGTCAGCGAGTGACTTCCCAGTAAACAACAGGATCCCTTTTATACGCACCAAACCCAACAGCGTTGCTGTGCAGTCCTGCAAGTGAGATCAGCTGGAGGACGAAGCCCTCCTTCCCCAGCTCCCATATGAACTTCTTCAAATCCTCATCTAGATATGCCGGGGACAGACATCAGCAAGGACCATTCGCAAATGGGTGTGCGACACACCTGAGTACCCATGTGCGCTCCAGTTGAAAGAAGGACTCAGATTGTACACTAGCCACCTACGCCATCAGGGCACCCGCGCAAAGTCCAGATGAGTGAACCGCCGAAGGATCAATGAAAAAGGTGTGTGGAAAAACACGCACTTTCCGGGGTGCTTCTCGCGTATCCTTCTCGCAAAGCTGCGCGCCTGCTTCAAGTCCGGCATCTTTGTCTCCAGCCATATTAGATCCGCGTAGGGCGCAAACGCGAGCGCTCGAGAGACCGCCGATTCGATCCCACCCGTGACGTGATAGTAGCCCTCGCGGGTGCGGGGTACTTGATCGAGACACGACGCTGAGAATCAGGCAGAGCGACGAGTGACAAACAGGAGTGCTCACGGTCCCAATCCCAATCGACTTGTTCGCCGAGGATGCCAGCTGCTATTTCTCGGGCATCCTGATTTGATTTGCCCCTGACTGCAGTGCGGTACTGCTGAATCTCGGAATCTTTCCGGTTTGGGGCGACACCATTCGACGTCTTGATGGCGCGCTCGACGGCTGCATGGGACGAATATGGGTAATGGGATCCCGATCAGCGTTTTGTTTGTCAAAACGCGTCGGGAGGTGCGGTCCATAACTCACCCTCGTCGAAAGTAGACAACTCCACGCTGTCGAACCACTCCTTTTCGAGACGATCAATTTCCCCTCCGCTCAAACCCCGCGCCTCGGCTTGGTCCAATGTCTCTGCCAGCCCGCGCCTGCGCGTCCCGTCCGGCGCCTTCGATGCGACGCCCCTAATGAACGGGTGATCACGCGCGTCAACTGTCGAAGAGAGTAAACGTGCAGACTCGGCATCAGTGCGCGCGATCAGGAGCATCGTGTTTTGCATCAGGTCGAGTTGGAAGCGCGAGGCAGTGAGGCGTGAGATGTGCGTGCTGGTGGGGACTATGACTTTGCCAGAGAGATGACCACACTTCGATAGTTTGATCATGAATAAAGGAGATGAGCGATGCTTGCGCTATGCGCACCTTTTTGCCGCCGTGGAGCTGGTCTTCGAGATGAATAGCAGACGCGCCCTGCGTGAAAGATATAGACAAGGGCGCATTTGGGAATGATTATACACACTTACCGACTCAGCAAACAGTTTGACGAGCTTCATCACAGCAGATGTTCCGCCGTGTCTGATGAAGGTTTCGTACCTTTTTCTGAGGCAATATAAGCATGTATGACACTCACCCCGTATCCGCATCCGCAATGATAGGTCGAAGATAATCAATATATGGCATGTCAGCGCGCTGTTCAGGTGTCGCCTCGTTTCGTGCATCGTAGTGTTTCTTATCGTGCAATTGTTGAGCACGGAAGATGCGGTGAACCTGATTGGGGACAGTTGTATAAGGATAGTCACTTGAATCCGTACGCCAGCACCGCACATAACCGCGAAATCACATACAGCAATGCATCATTGAGACACATAGATTTGATGATTGGACAAAGCGCGTGCTCACCCCAGATCAGGGCCAACCTCGTTGTTTGCCGTGGTGAGCAGGCTGCTCGCGGCCCAACCAGAGATGTAGACGACTTCTAGCCAACGCGCCATCTGCGTCATCTGTACCGGATCAACCGCGCCCATGGTATGCACTGGACGCCCTTCGGCCGCAGCCCTCTCAAATAGTGCATATAGCTTGTCGGCGAGGAGTGTGGACGGGAGGGGAAGTGCGGGAAGAGAGCCCTGCTTAGATGCGACAGCTGCAGCTGAGTATGGACGTTTCAAAGATGCGAAGCGTGGTTGAGAAAAGAAAGCTTCAAGCGTGGCGATACGAGCGGCGAAGGCAGAAGATTCAGCTGATGCCGACGGTGGGTCAAGAGGTAGCGCAGCTGGAGGAGCATAGGCAGTCTGTGTGGCAGAGATGGACATGGCGCGCGCTGTTCGCAGGGAATATGCTCGAGGCAAAGCAGCGCGATGTTTCGTCAACAGTCGAACACGATGCATGGTAAGTGGTAAGACGGAAGACGTGAGGCACGACGACGACGGCGGTGACGGCGTGGAGGCGTTTTGTGGGGTGGGAGGGTCAAGTCTGGGGAGCTGTTGACGCGACTGCCGGCGTCGGCGCGTCGGGCAGAGGCGAAGGGGAGGTTCGGGCACGTGGCCAAACATATGATTCCATCTCTCCGCTCTCTCCCGTCCCGCCGACGACGTCGTTGCTAGTCCACGACCCACACCGACCCGCTCAGCGTTTCACGTAGGGGGTTAATAACAGGTCTTAATAACGCGTTATTAACAGGCACCTATCCTCACCTATCGGACCCCTTGGTTATTAAGGTTAATAACTAATTTCCTAAAATAGTAACATATCTCAAATTTGTTATTATTCAGTGCAATCTCTAAGTTAGAGCTGTTTCTCAATGATTGTCAAACCTCTATAAACTAAACCTAAATGGACTGTAGAGGTATGGATGGCTGGAGTGCAAACAGGGGATTTGAGTGAGCAGTTGCCTCCCCTTGCAGCAGAACCAGAGAAGAGGTTAGGCTAGGACACCTAACTCTATAACCACTCACTCAAATCACCTTGTTTGTGCTTCAGCCATCTGAGCCTCTCCAATCCATTTAGGTTTAGTTTCTGTATGTATACAACTGAGTGAGCTATGAGCCATCATTTTGTTGGCCCATTTTCTTGATTAACGCGTTATTGACACCTCCTGGTTAATAACCGGATAAAAAGTCCTGCGGAGTTCTACACAGCGCCCTAAGTTTCACGGCATTCCCGAACCTTCGAGTCAAAGCGAAATTCTGCGCTCCAAAAGATGAGCAAGACGTCTGCAAAAATGATCTTGGACTTTGTGGCCCTCGTCTGGACCTCCGATGTCTTACCTGATATAAAAATGCACAGAGCGTCTGCTCGAGTCTTCCTGTCGCGCCACCAGGCGAACTAGAAGGCATTTTCGGCACTAAAACGCAAGGCTAGGAGAGCATAAAGACAGATTTTAGTGGAGCGACCGGTCAATTATTCGATCGAGTTTACCGAGATTTACCGTGGTAAGCATATCTTTGTCATACATCGGAAGATCAAAGCTCAGCGAGTGTCTGCGCGAGACTCAGGATCGCATGGTGTTCAGATCTTTCTTCTGAGCGCCAAGAGCTGTTCTCGCAGTGAATACACGAGCCGTGTGGGGGTATATTCATCACGATCCAGCGTGGGTCATGGTATCATGGCACACGGAATGAACGACCCTGCGTCACTCGAGCTTGTGCAGCGCTTTCCACATGCCGTCGACTGCTTCTGAGCTGGCCAGCACATAGTCGCCAAGTGACAGTACTGCGCACAATTCGCGAGCTAAATTAGGCTTTGAAATCAGACAATACAGAGGTGAACGGATCTGCATGCTGATGCTCTTGCGTCTTCGCTCGGAGTCTATCATTGGGCGGCGATGGTGGCTTTTGAGGTGGCACGTGGCCTGAATCCTGACGAGCATGGGTAGCAGCGTCTTCTCTCAAACGCAACGTTCACAGGCTGCGATATCAGAATCAGCATCTATTCTCGCGATGGACATGAACTGCGTGAGAGATCAGATTGGAACACTCGCAACAACGGATCCGGGCCAGATGGTGCTCGAGAAGCGCCAAAGAGGATGGGGAAGCGTACGTGGGGGGCGAGCAGCTTACCGAGCTCACGCCCGCGAGTAGCCTGAACGAAACTGACGTCTTTTGTGTCTCAGCCGGCTCTTTCTTCATGCTTTGAGCAAACGCCGCAACAGGCCTCCATGCCCGCCACGCTGGCGACCCCCGTTCCCGACCCTCTTCTGCCTTCTATAAGTAGGACCGTCCATCAATCCACCGCATCGCCTGCGGTTTGCAGTCCCTCGCAGTTCACATCCGCTTACGGAGCTGCTCATCATGCTTCGTGTCGTCGCTCCACTTGACACCTCGTCCGCCACTGTCTCCCCTCCCCCGTCCCTCCGCGTCTCCAGAACATACCTCCAACACGCCGTCCTCGCCCACATCTCATCTGAACTTCGCACATTCGACTCCATCATCGAGCTCCACAGTCGTGGTCGACTGCACATCGATGCTTCCCCTTGGCAAACATCACTCCTGTCCCTCCCGCCAGAGCTGCTCCTCACAATCCGATCCCATCTCGTCCCCACCAAAACTTGCGCCCTCCTTTCTTCCACTACCCACTCGCTCGCCTCAGCGTTCCTCTCGCGCGCGCGCAACCTCTGCGCCAACTGTCTCACCTACAATGTCGAGGTGTTCGGCCCAGACGTCCTCAACTGGCCGAGCATGTTGCGCGTTGCCCATTCGGCCACAATAGCCCACGGGGGCGATGCCGCCGAACACACCGGTTGCATGTGCGGGCTATGGGAAATGGCCAATGGCCAGATTGTGGAGGTGCCATGGCGTCGCCGCGAGCGCGAGCGCGAGAAGGCTCGCCCACTTGTGATTCCGGACCCCACGGCCCCGCAAGAGAAGCCCACTCAGGCTCCCTGCGACACCACCCCCGGCGCCTCGCGCTGCGCGGCCAAAATTCAATGGTCGTCAACTATCCCCGTAAACCGTGCACACACACCCCAGGCGTGGCTTGACGCGCGCCTGTCGCGCTTGACGCCCGACAACGCTCCAATCTGGTCCGTCATTAACGATGTGCTCGCGACCGAATTCGCTTGCGAAGTCGTGCCTATGTCCCCTGACACACCCTTTTCGCTCAACTTTGCTTCTGGTGACGAGATGGAGGTCTTCGGCACGAACCAGGACTCTATCTGGATTGCGCCCATTTCCAAGGTCCCCTCCGAGCACAAGTTTGCCCTCGAACGCCTTGCGCGTGCCCTAGCGCTCCCGACGTTCTCAGAGACGTCGAGAGGCACAGCGACAGTGCTCATCGCCACCGCACGTGATTCAGCCGCTGCCTATCTATCTGCGCGCATGAGCGACCACTCCATTGCAGATGAACGACAACGCTGCTCCGAGGACACAGAACTCTCCGCTTTGCGCCGCCCTGCTATGTCGGTCAGCTTGGGCCTTGGCATCGCATGCCTGGTCGCCTCGTTTGGCCTTGCATTCATCGCATGAACACCCTGCACGAAGCCCTAAAGATACCCCGTGCCTCGTGTCCTCATGCCTTTTCACGAATGGTAAGCTTCTTATATTCCGTGACTGCGGCTCGACGCTGACCTTATGGTTGCAGTTTTCAGATACCGCTTCTTTGTACGCACATTACGACATCTTCTTTGTTCTACATCCGCTCTCCGATTACGACTCGCATTCATATCGCTCCTTGCCGTTCATGCCCCAGTTTCCACCGTCTCAAAACTGCAAGCAGGAATAATTTGTCTCATCGCACATCAACCGCATTATGTATTCTTTAAGGCCGTTCTTCCGTGTTTTTTCTTCTTCGTTTTACTCGTTTCTCACTTTCGGCGCATGTACAAACAGTTGTACCAGGTCGGCAGGCATCATGGAAGGTCTTGCATTTTGACGCATTCGAAATTACGCCGTGTGTTCCTCGCGTTTGAGTTCAGGGAGTATGGGATGCCGACATTCATAGAATGCGGATTATACTTGCTTGCTGAACCTTTTCCCAGCTTCCAGAATTGGGCCAGCGTGCCCAAATGCTGCCCACGAAGTCGCGAAGTCGCAGATCGTTAAGCTTTTTGCACATTGCTCGCCCACGGGCCCGTGGAAGGGTGGGTCTCGAACGTCGCTGCTGCACAATGCCGGTGCGTGCCCCGACTCTCTTGTGCGTTCCAGCAGGGACCCCACGCCCGGCTGATAGACACTGCGACGAGGTTAGTACGGGACTAACTTTGTCGTTCTACGACGGAGCTATCCCAACTCGCCAAGCTGCAACGCGGCGAACTTTGCCAGATTCACCGCAGAACGCAGAATCATGTGGCCCATGTGAACGAGCACCTCAGCGCCTCGTACCGCCATTTCAGTTCGGATCTCAACAAACGTAAGTGCCTGACTGTTATTGTCGGCAAATAATGCAGCGCATCCGCGGTTTTTGACAGGTCCATTCACCTGTTGACCGGGGAGAGGGATGTTACGCGGATCCACCGTCGTTCCTCGTAGAGCCCGCTCGATCAATAATGATGCTATATATGGGTAACGACGGGCCCTGAAATTGCTTGGGGGACCTCCAGCTCTAGTCGTTAAGCATGTGAGGTCAGTTACTATCTCTAGCTCGACTCGAGCTCTTGCGAATAGTCCCTGTCCTGCCTTATGCAGGATATTGACTCAGATTCTTGATCAGATGTCTGTGCCAGTGCAAAGATTGTCTGCACACCGTTGGTAAGTCAGATCAGATCTTACAATGACAGTGAAATATTCTGACGGCCATCAATAGATTGCAGCCATTGGCGTATCCGCTGGGTCACCGAAGACGCCCACAATGACAATGCTACTGCTCTAAACGAACGGCATGAAGCCCACACTTCCTTATGCTGATCGGGCGTTTAGAAATTTTGATGTCTCTGGCTTGGTCAACCGGTAGATATGCCGATGCATTTCAGGGTAACGAGTCAATGTCGTCCTCCGCCAGCTGTACCGAGGCAAGCATGGTCTACCGCATGTTTTCCGCAGCACTAACGCCGAAGGCTCGTAGGCTTTAGGCTTTATAGCAGGTACATTTCCATTGCTACCATGGGATCATGGCCCTGAGGACATCTACCAAGGGACCTATTTCTAAAGCAAGATGCGGAACATCACAGGGATGCTCGTGACGCGTCGGTCAAATATAGTCTGCTATGGATCGAGAATCATACCCATTTGCATCCTATCCTATCGTCCCTGCTGCTCCATTAGGTTCTGCTGCCAATCTTCTACTGCATAGCATCTGTCATGATGGAAGAAGATATTGTCAGGAGTGCTGAAACCAGCGAAGATGCACTGACGAAATTTGATTGGCAATGTGAAGACCAATAGCTGAACCGTCCACGTCCTGGTTCTCGCTTGCCTTTTTTGAATCTGACTGAAAGATTGGATCCTCCTTTGTAATGCTTGAGTGGCGCTATCAATCCATGTTTGAGAGAGTTCCGCGAACACTGAACAACTGATTCTAGTCTTTGGCTTTTGTTCTATCATCAGGAACTATGTGCATGTCCCTTATGCTATCGAGGTCAAGCACCGTATGTCAGCTCACTCTGAGATTTGCACTTTAGCATTCTGACACGCATCACGAATCGAATCCCAATCGAGCACGCAGATCTCAATCGTGTCAGACCAAGTAGAGCAGGCATCACGATTTGCATCATGCAAGAGCTACAAAAGTGGTATGGCGAAGCACGTACGAATATATGATGGGACCAACGCAGAAGGTAAAACAAACAGCGACAAGACGGAGACATGGAAGTGGTGAACCAGGGAAATGCAGGATGTGTTTTTGGCAATGCACATGTAAAGGTTGATATTTGAGCAATAAACATAAATAAAACGACCAGCATGCCATGATGAGGTCAAATACAGTGCAAGGTATTCCACTGACTGAAATATGGTGCATCGTAAGATATCACGCTAACACAGAGCAAAGGGAACCTTGGAACCTTGATAATAGGTGGCGATGATGCATCAGTGAACGAATAGAGGACTAATAGGAATCGATGAAGTGCAAGGATCAGAACGGATTGCGTGTATGACTGCATCAGATCTACGATCACTGTCAGCATCGTACCATGTGATAAATCAAAACATACACGCACCACTTGTTAGTGCACAATATGATGATGGAAACTTAGTAATAACAAAGCGTCTTCGACCTTGACGCCTGATATACGACCTGGAATTTTCTGCAGCTCAGCGTATTTGACCGGGTCTATATCCATGCCTGCCCCAACTGCGACATGGTGTGGTACTGGCGGGGCAATGAAGGGTGCAGGGACAAACGAGGGCTTTGGAGAAGGCGAAGGGGAGGATCCAAGGGGAGGCGTGACAGCTTCCTGGTACTCATCGTCGCTGCCAATGTCCGAATGAACATGAGTATGATCAAGCCTTTCATATGCATCATCTTCCATAGGAACTGATATGCGGTCGTTCTCATCCATCTCCGTTTCCATCCCATGGTCGTGTTCATGTCCGGCCGAAGAGGATGAAGACGTGAATGATGGCGTCACGGCGCGGGAAACAGACGCAGAATCCAATTGAACACTGTCAGTGTCACCATCGTCTCCTGTCTTCCTGGTGCGCTTGCGAGCAGTTTGTCGCAAATTTCGGAACCAGTTTGTGACCTTCGTAAGGTCCCTGCATGAGGTCACGTAAGCATGACCAACGTCTCATCATGGCCCAATAGAGCAATCATGAGATTCGCTTACATTCCGACAGCAAGCGCCAAAGCTCCGCGCTCCTCGATGGATGGATTGGAGGTGCGATCATACAACTTTTGAAGGGCATCGAGCTGATAGGGCTCTGGCCGTGTTCGGCGAGGACGCTGTGATGGAATCAGGTTTCGATACGGTGATGCTCTTGAAGATACAGATGCATTTGATGGTGGTGCACTAGGTGATCTTGTCTCCCTGCTCAATATGGCGACCAAAGATGGGTGATGCGATGCCGGAAGTAGCGAAGGATGTTCAGATGCGGGTGGGTAGGAAGAGTATGTTCTAGAGTCGGCAGAATGCTGCGAGCCCGACTGCTGAGATGGTGAAGCTGCGACTTCCATATCCTCCTCTTGGCGCTTCTTTGCCATACTCCTTTGGTTCTGGAACCAATTTGTCACGCTTTGATAGCGCCTGTCATTCCTAATGAGGCTGTGCCCAGATAATTGTTCGACAAGTAGATTTGCGTACATTCCAATACGTTCCCCTAATGCCTCCCGCTCTTCCTTAGTCGGATGAGGATTGCTGTTATAAAATTTTTTGAGTTCGTCCGACTGCTGGGACGTAGGCCGCTGGCGCATGCGAGGACGGGTTGGCATTTCAGCGGGGGCTGTCTCATAAATGTGCCGATGTTCTGGATTCCCCGCGTAAAACGCAGATTGTTGCTGCTGCTGTGGTGGGTCGGGAGTCGTAACGAAAGATAAGCGTACTGTGGGCTTCTCGAGGTGAGGAAGCGGTAATATGGGATGCACCTCGGGTTCGGCCAAATCATCAATATCGTTTGGACCGGGAGGGGTAGATGTAGAGGAAGAGGCAGACGTGAGCAGGGAGGATATAGGCGGGATATCGTAAGTGGGAATAGGAGCTATGCCACTCCGATGACGCTTTTTCGTCGAAGCTCGTTTGTTCTGAAACCAGGCATTTACTGTCTTTGTCTCCCTAACAGAAAGAAAATAAAAATAAAGCAAAAAAAGAGGAACAAAAGTTAACATCTGCATGAGAGACGGTAAAGATGCTCATACGGACATTCCAAGACGTTCTGCTAAAGCGGTCCGCTCATCAAGAGCAGGATGCTCGTTTTTATCATAAAGCTCGTTAAGAGCTGCTAATTGAGCCGCTGTATGGCGATGCCTGGGCTTCTTGGGCTTGTCCTTGGACTGCTCAGACTGTTTGGGATGAACGCTGGCTGCTTGAGGCCAGGAAGAAAAAGCACGCTCCATGACGAAGGATGAGGGGATCAGACTGGAACAGGACGAGAGGAAGGTGTGGAACCAAGAGGGGACATTGGGTTCATCGGAAATTATAGCAGCTTAGCTTAGCATACTTTCCTGACGTCGGATCGCTAATGAGCTCTATTTTCACACGGTTTCATCCTCATCCAAGCATCTTGATCCCTCTTGTTTCTGTCCCCGCCACTCGTTGTCTCGACGTACAGCTGTTGCTGTATCCTTCCGCCATCCTTCTCGGCCCCCGAAGCTCGTCAACTGTCGGTACGTCGACGAGAACAGCTGTTGCTCGAGAATGCCATGTCCGATATCTGCTGACAATGCAATGACTACGTGCCTGTATGCTCATCATAACAAGTCTCACGTGTGAATCATTGCTCTCGTTCCATGCAGGCGTCTTTCCTATCCCGGCAGGCCCCACCACACCGAGAACAAAGCAGAATCACCCGGTTATACCGAGCTGTTACTTCCCCTTTCTGTGATACAAGAGCGTGAGGCTATGTATCTGTGTTATGAATGACTCAACTCTTGAAAGTTTGCGGAAACTCCGAGCACTGGTCCAGTTCCGAGCCGCTCGGCACAACGGCTATGATGCTATTTATGGGCCCGAAAGTTTTTCTCAGAGGGTGTCATGCAGCATGCATTCGATTGGCAGTCTGTAAAGCAATGCCGACTGCCGTGGGTCAGCACAACTCCGAATGAAGTCCACCGAAATCACTCAATCATGCAGATGTATGCTCGAATGCAGAGACGATCAAAAACGGATATGTTGGGCAAGGTAAGGCGCATTACATGCAGATTAAGGCCAGACCATAGTCAATCAGACCAAGCCGGTCAGATTTGAGAAAAATAGCTCCCAGCACTGCGACATTACAATCAACACATCATCTGATACTATCATGAAAGATCACTGCGATGCATATATAAGCGCCAGTATGTTTCACGACCAACTGTATCTAGCTGATGATGCCGCTGATAAACCGGAGTAAGTGCTCCTGCGTCTCGGCGTAAAGTGAAGGCGCCGATAATCCTAGGACGGGTTTGAGCTTCGCAAAATCATACCTTTTTCCAACAAAAGCGATCAGTCTGCGTGTACTCTCAGCTAAGATCCGGGACCTCACGAAAGATCGCATCAATCGAAGTAAGTAGATGTACTAGGCCATCTGCAAGAAAGATGGGTTCATATGGGGAACAAATCATCGAACCTGCGATTCACTGCAGGGTAGTGAGTATGATTCCAGATTCTATGATACAATTAACGATACAGCTTTTACACCAAGATAAATAACAGAATTAGGCGTAACGGAGATCCCTTGCAAATCAACTTTCAATGCTTGTAGAATTATGATTCTTCCATCTCGGACCCATTATCACCATCGATGTTCTTGATCCAAGCACCGATGGCACCGCTGAAGATGGGAAAGTTAGATGACGTGCGCAGCATTGGGAAAGAATACGCACAGGAAGCCTTCATGTCGCAGGAATAAAGCCCGCTTCGTTCCCTTGCTCCAGAATCGAATTGCATATGACAGCGTAGCAATGGTTGCAGCGTGTCCGCGGATGAAGCAGCCACCGAAATATATCCTATCTAATCCGTATTTCTCCGCATTCATATAACTGAGCAAGCATTATGGATCAACATCCGACGTGTAAAAGAGAAGCACTGTCACATACGCAATTTGTCCAATGTTGTTCGAGATCGCGTATAGAAGGCTCTTGCTGATGTCTTCAGGGGAGAAATGACGCTTCTCTTGTCCTTTCTTGAACACCTTCCCGAAAGAGCTGGCGATCATGGTGGACTTTAAACCGAGTTTGCTATAGTCTTGGCCATAGATGTCACCAACAAGCATGTCGACTGTGGCGTTGTCTCCTTGCTCAGAGAGCTCTAACATTTCTGGAAAACATTATCAGATACGCGGTAGACGGCGCTGGTATTCGCTCACCATCGAAGCTTCCGGCAGGAGTTAAGAGACTGAGCAGACCCCAAAGCGTTCCACCGCCGAGGCTCGTCCCGCTCACGCGCTCAAAGTTCCCGTCCTCGTCGACTTTGATCACTGAGACGCCAGAGCCGATATTCACAAGTAGACAGGGAAGCTGTGGTGAAGGGTTGCCTTCAAACGTGACCGCGAACCTCGGTGGATTGGGACTCGGCCGTTCCAATATGACGCCGTTTGGTTCGTGGCCCTTGCCCGCTCCCAGATGTCCGTGCGTGACAGACTGGATGAGTTCGTCAGAGAAGAAATACGCCTCGTCCGGGATAAGCGTAATGAACTTCAGTCCCTCTATCAAACACTCCATCTCGTCCTCCCGTCGGACCTGAACTCCCAACGTCCCGCTGAACAATTCGTAGAATCGATGTGCGCCTCCCCCAGTAGCCATAATCGTCACGCCTTTGCGCATCTCCTCGATGGAGACAGCGTTTATCTTGGCGGAGCGTTCGATCAAGTCTTGAATGAACGCAACACAGTCATCGATATTGTCAGTTTCGAAACGCTCAAAGTTGAGCGAGCCGCCCGGAAAGTGTTGGAGCGACGCGCGTCGGAGGATTGAGTCATGGAGGAAGCTCTGGTCGAGCGCGGCGAGTCCGTTGTTGTTCGATGCATCCAGGACCATTGGCGTCAGAGCGCCATTCTGCTTCGAGAGCGAAGCGACGGGGTGAAGCGGAGGCGATGGTCCAGCTTCGTCTGACGGAGACAGCGACCGCGGAGTGGAAAGCGCGCTGTGGTCGCTGTTCCCGTTTGTCGCGGCGATGGAGGGAGAGGATGGGGGCTCATGCGAGCGAGTGAAGTAAACGACCTTGGCTAGAGAACCTCCGATCTGCAGCGAGATGAATGGACGGATCAACTACGGCCACGGCAGCACACGACAGCTGGCCACTCACGTCTACCGCGATGTGCGACACAGGCTCGATGTAGTTTGGCAAGTAGATCCCCCGACTGTCCCTAGTCTGAGCCACGTCCCGTCGGCACCGGTCAGCGAAGGTCTTGCCAAACCTCGGACGCACTCACCTCGGGGGATTCCTCATGTAGTATGACAGCCCCACGCGTGTCGACGTGAATAACCTTGGGTGTTGGCAGGGGAGGTGAAGCCATGACGTTGCAGATCCGTTACACCAACACAATTCCAGCAACAGGTCGAACGAATAAAACGGCGAGTGGGACCATCTACCCTCGTACGGGCGGCGACTGGAACGGAATGTCTTACGAGCGACCCGGCGGCTGACAATACAGCGTCCCGCGACTGGACCCCACAGCACCGCACCCCACAGGCGCACGCGTCCCCACATATCTGGCTACAATGATCCAAACGACTCAAACTCATACTTATCCATAGTCCCTGTCCGCCGGTCTCGGTTCACGAATCAGCGCACAGGCGCTCGGGCACATCATAATGATGTGACGCAGTAGACGCAAAAAATTATGTCCAGATATCTACCAAAACACTACAGCTGCTGTCCTAGCCTCCGATAGCAGCCAGAACCAAGCTACACGCCTCCTGCTTCTCAGCACGAACGCCCAATTCCAGAGTCACCCCTTGTCCATGGGAATACGTCATGCGGCATCGTACAAGGATCTTGCCTCCCCCACCCGTCAATAGGCCGGATACTTGAAGGGTGTGCACCGATGTCGACGTGGGATTATGAGACCCACCTAGGGGTTCCATGTTGAGAATCTCGACGATCGAGTCACACGCAGCTAAGGATATGAGTTGTCAGGGTCGCTCGGACGAATGAGAGTGCTGTCAGTCGGCGTACCTTTAATGCTCTCCATGGCGGATAACGAGAATGTTTCGGTGGCGGTGGCACCTCCGCGCAAGCGATCCCATTCCGCGGAGAAATTGACATAACTTGGAACAATGTAATCGCCACCAGCCGATAGCTCAACCTCTTCCAGTTGGTACTCGTCCTCGTACCCTTCTTCCTCTGGTTCTCCAGTAGCAGGGTCTACTTCTTTACTGAAGAACTTGAGAATGCATGCAAACGACGCCATCGCATAGTCCTCCGGAGAATCACGGGTGAATGAAACATAGACGATGCCAGGCGAGGTAGATGCGGACAGAGATGGTAGAGGAATGATGAAATCCTCGGTCAGTCCAGAGTCCGTGGAGGGCTGCATGATGACCGTGACCCCTTCCAGTATTGTATCCGGCAATGTGTTGGACACGTTGAACTGTCGAGAATATTAGTGAACCCGGACCGAAATGCGAGGAGATGTTGCCGACCTGGAACACAATATGTTCCTTGAAAATATGCTTGACACAAGAAACCTGATACTCGGTTTCGCTTTCGGTAAGCTGCACTGGCTTCGCACTGCTGTTCAGTACAGGCCCATACGATGACAATTCTGGGACACCGGCCAGTTGCTGGAGGTATATTGAATGAGTTTCCTCCGCAGTTGGTGGCTGCGGTGAAGGAGATAGATTCCTCGCGACAGGTGCACCGATTGTGTCCAGCGTGCTTGGACCTGCAACCAAGTTTAGATCAATATAAGAGACACGCGCAAATTGTGATGAGTCTTACGCGCTGCTTCTTGAGCAGCCTGTTGACGACTGACTTTGGGTATCGAGGATATATCGAAGGCAGTCTCTGAAGCATCTGTGTCGTTGACGTACGAGACCAACTTCGCCTCTAGCGCTGGCAGCGAAAAGACAGACTCTGAAGGGCACGATAAGGGTGGGGAATCACTTCAGGTGCAGAATTCAAACGAACCATCTTTCACGTAGGTCTCTGCCAGCAAGGGTGCATTCAATACCTTCAGATACATAGCAGCACGATCTCGAACTTCATCATCAATATCGTCGAGACACCTTGCATAGAAGTTATCAATATCAGTAGAGTTACATGATGAAAAATTTGTCCCACCGATTGAGCAATACAGATACGCTCTTGTGAAGCTTTCCATCATCAACACAGATTCCAAATTTGGCTAGACTTGATACTGCGGCTGCACGAACGGTCGCGTTCTCCAGAACGACACGATTGTAAATGAAACGGATGTACTTGGCAGGTTGCGGTGCCTTGGGACCTTCTATACCGAGCAAATGGAGAATTCGGACAGACAGCTTGGTAAATTCGCAATCTTCGATAAACTCGCAGAGATGGGATAACGCTTGTTCCTTGCAGTCGCCGATGAACTTGATCATATCAAAAATGGCCTCGACAACCGCACGCTTGAAGTCATAGCCACCCTCGTCTCGCAGAACGCCGGATAGGAAACCGAGCATGGAAACATGCTTGGTCGGGAATTTGAGGCAGAGAGAGCGGATAGCATCGACGATGATGACCTTGAATTCATCCGAGATCTCGCTCATGAAGCCTGTAATTTGCTTCATGAGGCGGTCAACGGAAGCTTCGTTTCCAGTCTGCGGATAGTTAGTACGACCAGATACACTATGATCGAAAAACAGTTCGCACCTTTAACAGAGTCGTGATGGCGTATGTAGCGACACTTCTGTTCGAGTCAGAGATCAGATTCTCCAAGTCAACATTGCAAGTCGCAACACTGGTAGGATGAGTCAGTGCAAGTGAAGCAAGGGTACGTGTCGCTGCAAATTTGAGTGTTGGTTTGGGTGAAGAGAGGAACAGCTGGAGAACTGTGCGGGGGGTGAGTAAATGCTTTGCGACAGTAGATGTCAATGCATACCCGCGATAGACCTCGTCAATTGGGCGGGAGTGACGCCCTTCATGTCACAGATAGCACGAGCAGCTTCGAAGTTCACCATATCACTCTTATGACGGAGCCAACCTTCAAGGATATCAAGAATTTGCTTTTGCACGCTAGAATAGAGTTCAGGTAACAGTTTACTTGATCTGTTAGCTGTACTTACTTGGGATCCTCCTCCATAACCTTCGACGCGTAACGGATGAGCATGCACAGGGCCATGGGGTTCTTGAGCACAGTCCCTGCTCCAGATTTGCCCCCACCAAGCTGCTGGATCATTTTTGTGACCGCCATGCGATCCTGTTGTCGAATGAGATATAATAGACCAAGAGCGTGGTACTGGGTGATGAAACTGGCGGAAGGCATGGGCGAATAACCGCTATTGCTGGAGGAGGATGAACCAAATCCAAGATACGAGCTCGAAGATGTAGCGCCAAAGAAGCTGGAAGATGACTTCGCGTTGACAGCTTCCTGCGCTTCGTTGACCCACCGCTTGACAACATCCTTAGCGGCGGGGAAAAGATGGTACGAAGATACAAGAGCTGCGGACGAGATTGACGGCGTGCGATCGACAATGGCAGCTTTAAAAAAGCGCTCGACACCTTGCACCATAGAAGGCTATTTGAACGGTTATTGCATTGGGTATATGCGCAATATACCAGACGAACTCACGTCGATGATACGGCACAAGGCCCGGATGGCATTCGGTCTATATATGACCTCCGAATTGGGCTGCATGTCTTTCATTATACTGCTCGTAACCATAATGACATCTTCAGCTGTGTTTGCCAATTCTTTGATAGCCAGGTAAACCATCTGGCGGAGCGCGCTCTACATCCCAGCCCATGTGTAAGTAACACAGGCCCGTCGATCGGGGAAACTCACATCTTTATGTTGGAACAACTTTGTTGTCCCGAAGAATAAGGTAGTGGCCTCTTGAGTCCCAAATGACTCTCCAAAGTACAGTAGGTAGACAATGCGCGTGAGCAATGCACGGCACTTCCGTGGGCTGATGGGTGATTCATTGAAGACGCGAGCCTCCTGGAGGATGGTAGTTTTGTTGTTGTAGTAAGAGTTGAGACCGCCCTCCTCCTCCTTTTTGGACACGAGAGACATGATGAACAGAAGGTCCTACGGAGCGAGAGGCGAGAAAGTGGGAGTCCTTCGCTGTCTCTCCCGGCGAGCGCGACGTGGTTTGTTTGGTCGTCCTGGATTACCACTTGTGGTTGTTTGGCAACAGCCTCTAGGATCTAATATGACCGCAATCTAATCGCATCTCAGCATTTGTACTCAGTGTTCTCGTGGGCGCATCACTCAATTCTTGTAGACTGGCCTACAACCAGCTACGCTAGGTTATTTTCAAGAGTCGGATTCTTTTCATTCCATGCTGGAAGCCCTACAATGAACAGGAGCGCCTTGTGAACCCTGCTTCAGCGTTGAAATACAAGGTACATCGCGATTCTACTCAGGATCAGTAGTGGTAGGTGTTGTCTCATTGTCAGATTCCGAAGTCCCGTCACTTAATAGACTCGCTTCTATCCATGCTATATGCGCGTTGAAGCGCTTGGCCTCGGTACAAGTTATACCACTGCTTTTACATGATCACAATGCCCTCATAGAATTCTATATCAAGTTCATATTCGGTCAAGTTCTCTTGCAAAATTCTATCTAGTCCCGTTTCGTCGTTTCGAGGATGGTAGCCTGATTATTCACACAAATAGGAGTCATCGCAGTCTTCTTCGCTCATTCAGCACACCATCCCGCAGATATCACTGTTCTGACAATCTTTACCACAGGCATGCAGGGAGCCTCAGCGGACAGCCGCATAAGCCAGATCGTGACAAGCGCGACCCCTTTCTTTTGGAGCCATCACGTCTCCAGCGCAGGGATCTAACCAATGTCGGTCCTTGCGCTCGTGGATCTCGAGGCGCCTGTCCGTGCTTTCTTTTCCTCTCGACCAAAGTCTGCCTCGTCACATTGAAATGCAGCCTCTTATTTGGCTCTCATTCAGTGCCACGAGAGAATCAGCTAGGTAAGACGATTGGTGTTCGTCCCAGCATCGCTTTGGCTGTAGGCGTCGAGATGACAGTTCGTCAACGTGCCGGCATATCCACACCTCTTGGTCGTGGTCAAGCACTTGGCGTGTGGCTCTGAATCGGCACTTAATCGGCACTTCACTTACCAGCATCACAAGCATCCCTTCTTACGAATAACTCCGTAGCAGTGGCGAATATATATATATCGATGTATCTCGTACACTGCGCAAAGCACCTAACGCGCACTGACCAATGATGGTCCCATACAGTGATGATGGAAGGGGGATGGAGACAGAGGTAAAATCGTGAGGTCGTCATATGGATCAAGCAAAGTCCGAGCAGTACCCTACTCCTTCAAAAAACCCATAGACGCAGGATGGTGTCTAGGCAAATGACGTGCGCGGGGTTTCCTAGTAGACCGACTAACCGACCGACCCTCCAATTCCAACGACTTCGACGGACCGAGCCAGACGCAGCGCCCTCTCTCATCCCACTCGCCTTCGAAGGGACTCTGACCAACTATATGCAGAGCCACAACCAAGTGGGGAATAAGAGGACAACCAGATGCCATGTCTATGCATGCGGGAGGGATGGGATAGGGGAAACGGACGGGAACGAGAATGAAGACAGAGATGGAGACGGTGAAATAATCAGATGGGGTAAAAGAACGTGGGACCGGGAGGCTGGAAATTAATAGTAAACAGGCAGACAGGGGGTGTGACGACAGTACGTGATGGGGGAGGCGGGAACGAGGGAGACACGGGCGCCGACTGTGGGGTGGGGGGGAGTGTACATGATGTCAGGAATGAGGCGGCCGACCCCTTGCCCACTTCGGTGAAGAACGGTTCGGGTGCAGCGTGAAAATAAAGAGCGTCCGTGTAATGTGAAAGGGAGCCGAGCGCGACGCAGTGGTGATGGTGAAGCGGTTGTTGAGCAACCCTTGAAGTATTGTAGCGTATGAGAGCCTGCGGCCTGTCAAGGGAAAGAGAGTGGCCTTCGCGAGGCAGCGAGCGTGATCCAAGACGTGGGGTCGGGACCATGAGGGATGATGGTGTGTCCCGACCAAAAACCGGGCGTGCCCCGACCGACGCTATCTTCTCCTTCAACCCAGGCCCATCCTCATAGCCATAACTTTATCCATCGCCGACGAGAGAACAACCGATGACGCCCACCCAGAGAATTCAACGACCAAGACACCCCTGCAACAACCATCCTCCCGCACCATAACTTGGTCGAGCTCCGGGAGTGCTCAAGCAGACAACCAAAAACGGACATGGAACCGTTTACCAGAGATCGCCATCACGTCCCCGTCGCACATGCCCCGTCACACCAGGTGCAGCAGCCTGCATTTGACGAGTGTGCGAACGAAGCCTAGGAAAACGTGTGGGTCACCCGGAGAGACGATGTGACAATCGTGCACCTACTGTCTGTCACTGACACGATGCTCGATGTCTTCGTCCTGGACAACCTTCCTCCTGGCGCCGGCGGCAGCCTTAGAGCCGCTAGTACCATCTTCCTGCGCGCTGCGTTGTACGCTCCAATCGAAGACGTAATCGTACTGGAACCCTTCACGAACAAAGAGGTCGCGGAACAACTTCCGCAAGTACGAGTAATCGGGTTTGTCATCGAAACGAAGTGCGCGCGTGTAGTTGAGAAAGACGCCGAACTCAGGGGGGAAGCCGCGGCAGAGGAGATCGGTGGGCGTGGTCATCTTCTTCTCCATGATTCGGTCGTACTTCTGCTTCTTGGTAGCAGCCTTCTGACCCTGCCAGGGGAGAGCGCCGCGGAGGAAGTACATGAGAACATAAGCGAGAGACTCCAGATCGTCCCTGCGAGCTTGCTCAACCCCAAGGTGGGTGTTGATGGAGGTGTAGCGCGCAGTGCCTGTCAAGTTCTTGTTCTCCCTGTACGGGATGTGAAGGTGCGTCTTCGGATCCCTGTACTTCTTGGCCAGGCCGAAATCGATGACGTTGACCTGGTTGCCACGCTTCCCAATGCCCATCAAGAAGTTGTCGGGCTTGATGTCGCGGTGAATGAAGTTGCGCGAGTGGATGTACTCGATCCGCGAAATCTGAAACAAGGGCTGAGTTTATCAAATATCACAAAAAAACAAGAACATACCAGTTGATCGGCCAACAAGAGCACTGTCTTGAGACTGAACTTCCGGTTGCAGAAGTTGAATAGGTCTTCGAGCGAGGGACCGAGGAGATCGATGACCATCGCGTTGTAATCACATTCCGTGCCGAACCAACGAACGAAAGGCACCCCAACGCCGCCAGCAAGGGTCTTGTACACCTTGGATTCGTACTCGAGCTGTGGGTGCTTGGCTTTGACAGATTCCAGCTTGATTGCGACCTCTTCGCCCGAGATTATGTTGATCCCGAGATAGATATCACCTATCGATGGGCGTTAATGGGGATACAAGCCACAAACAGGAGACGCACCAAAAGAGCCGGAGCCTATCTTCTTGCCCAGTCTATACTTTCCTCCAACGCGGAGATCGAGACGATGAGATGATGATTCGGCCATATGAACGGAATGAAGAGGATACTAGAAGAATCGATGAGTCAGTGAACTGCACAAGGTCGAGAGGGTAAGTAGGGAAGGTTTGAGTCGTCGTCAAAAGGCCATCACCGCCGAAGTCTCACTCTACTTATGCATCATGAGGCTCGATAGAGCTCGCCATGAGCACCCCACATGGGATGAAGACGGGCATGTAGCGTTGTCCTTGGTGGAGAAGCGCGATGCACTCGAGACGACGATATCGTAAGGTGACGCCCGACGAAAAACCAAAATAAATCGTAGAAAAACAGCAAAAACTCACTGTGGTACGAGAAGAGTGTAGCAAGAGTCGTAAAAGTGCTTTAAAGGAGACTGAGAGGCGCGGGGACGAGAAGTTTCTGTAGGGGGAAACAAAGACAGGGAGGGGAGGAAGGGTGTAGGGCGGGCGGAGCGTGGGAAAATGGAGTGGGGCAGGCGTTTCTTTTTATATTTCGGGCAACGTGTAGTGCCACTGCTGGGCGGTTGAACCGGCCACTGCATTTGTTTACTCGAATTCGACGGTCACCTTCTCCTCGTCACATTGATCTTCTTTTTGACACGAACACCCACAAGCCATATGTCCCCCGCCCTTTTGTGATACGTGGAAGCGTCATTTGCTAGCGAACAATGCTTGTATTTGGCTGCATAACGTCGATTCCTGCGGGTGTACAGCCTGGCTCAGACGCAGTGCTCCACGTCCTTGCCCAGCATCCTCACGAGCAAGTGGGGACCTTCCGTTCCCTGACCGAAGCCATCTCCACCTTCCGCGTCTCCACCTTGCTCACGGCTGCATTGACCTCCCGGGCACGTACCGACTCTGCCGGGTTGTATTGATAGGCGCTTGGAGTATCTCTCTTCGGTTCGCGTTGGCGGCGAATCTGTCCGTTGTCCACGCACGCCCATTGGTGACCATGCTTCTATTCACTGTCACGCCGAGCCTTGCGGGCGCCTGCGAAGAGAGATGCTATGTTTATGGATCCTTGTGCGCCTATCCTGCGCCACTTTACCTCCGTAGAGACTGTTGTCGCCTGATCGGATTGCCACTCGTTCTGCTGTGGCATGGCGTCGTCTGAGGCAGATTACGACGCTGATACTCGTGTGAATAGAATATATACATATTGCATCGAAGCATCGCCTGCCTGTTAGTATCAGACGGAGGGGAAGAGTGCCTGTTAGCGGATGGCTCGATCCGGCAATCGTTACCACAGCGTCTTGGACGCGGCCGCAGTCTTTGTTCTCTCCCACCGTGTTCTTTGCTTGTGTGCTGGCCTCTGGGCTCCTTTGGCCTTCGTCTCTCCTTCTCAAGTCTGCTCGACAGGCGTCCCTTCGCTGATCTCCGTCCTCCTCTCGCCAACTCCATCATCTGCGTCCACGACCCTCTCCGACCCCCCCGAGCACAGCTCACCCAACCATGGCCTATCGTCCGCCTCAAGACAATTTTTATAACAATAACCAGTACTCCGCAAACCCATACCCCCAGTCCTCCACCGGCTTTGCACCAGAATACCCACCCGCCGGCGGGCACGGCGGTCCTTATGGTGTGCAGTCCCAGCAGCTCTCACCCCAGCAACCACAGCCCCATCAGCAGCCGTATCAAGATTACGATCCTCAATGGGATGCGAAGTCTTCCAAATCCTACCAGAGCAGCTATGCTGGCTCCCAAGCGCACCTCAACACCCAATACCAGATGAGCGAAGTCAACATCCACAACGCGCCCCCCGTTCCCGCCATACCCTACCAGCCGTATCAGCCGGACTACCCCCCCGCGCAGCACCACCGTCCCATGATGATGCGCGACCAGAGCAGTGCTGGCTGGTCGGCAGCAAGGGAAAAACTGATGAAGCGCAGGTCTGTGCGCCATGTCGAGCTGCAGCAGGGCAACCTGGTGTTGGATGTGCAGGTCCCATCACACATCGTCCCGAAGGGCATGGACGCATCGGAGGAGATGACGAAGATGCGGTACACGGCCGCTACCTGCGACCCCGACGACTTCATGCGCTCCAAGTATTCACTCCGCCCATACCTGCTCGGACGCCAGACCGAGCTATTCATTGTCATGACGATGTACAACGAAGATGAAGTGCTATTCTGTCGGACGATGAACGCGTGAGTCCCATCTTGATGTTCACTCCGTGTTTCTGATCGTCTTCTTGGTAGTGTGATCAAGAACATCGCGCATCTGTGCGGTCGCTCGCGATCCAAAATGTGGGGCGCGGACGGTTGGAAGAAGGTCGTCGTCTGCGTCGTCTCCGATGGCCGTAACAAAGTCAACAAGCGCACCCTGCAAGTCCTGTCCTTGGTAAGCGATCCCCATCATAGAGATCCTAGTCCCCGCTCTTACACCGATTTTCCTAGATGGGCTGCTACCAAGAAGGCATTGCGAAGGACTCCGTCGCAGGGAAGGACGTCACCGCTCATATATTCGAGTAAGTTTGTACGGATCAGCGAAACCCTTCAAATTGACCTGTCGCGAATCTCACAGGTACACCTCGAGCGTTGTGGTCACGGATTCCGGTGAAGTCTCGACCGGAGCATGCCCTGTACAGGTCATTTTTTGCCTGAAGGAACAGAACAAGAAAAAGCTCAACAGCCACCGCTGGTTCTTTAACGCTTTTGGCCCGCTCATCAAACCTAATGGTTCGGCAGACGTTTCGAACCGAAGGCACATCATCGGACTAACTTATCTCTTCTAGTCTGCGTCCTCCTCGACGTCGGAACCAAGCCGACGGGGACTTCGATTTACGAGCTCTGGAAATGTAAGAAGAGCACATATCGTTTTCAACGCTTCTACTCACGCCAGCCGAAGGTTTTGACAAGCATCCTGGCGTTGGTGGGGCCTGCGGAGAGTATGTCCTTCTTTTCGCTTGTGGCATGATCGTATCTGATCTAGAATTTGGCGTAGGATCTGCGTAGAAGTCGGCCGAGGATGTAACCAGATTCTCTTCAGTCCGCTGGCTGCCAGTCAGAATTTTGAGGTGACTTCCATTCCGCATTTTGATGATGAGGACGGCGCTCACGCTTCCGTAACTTTTGTCTCTAGTACAAAATGTCTAACATCCTTGACAAACCCCTCGAGGTAGGACTCTCGCCTCACTTCATACGGCAAACATTCATCTGGCCATTCAGAGCGTTTTCGGTTACATCAGTGTGCTTCCTGGTGCTTTCAGTGCATACAGGTACAGGGCACTACAGAATGGACCCAACGGAAAGGGCCCTCTTGCCTCTTATTTCAGAGGCGAGACGATGCACGGTGACGGAGCTGACGGCGCCGGTCTTTTCGGTCTGTAAATACGTCGCATACGCTTCGACAGATCTGATGCTCTATATTTATTCACAGAGCGGAACATGTACCTGGCCGAGGATCGTATCCTTTGCTTTGAGATTGTGACCAAGAAGAACGAAGGGTGGACGTGAGTCATGTTCTCCCCGGTTTTATTCTGCTGAAGACAGCTTCTTTGTTATCAGCCTCAAGTACGTGAAGAGCGCTAAAGCCGCAACCGACGTTCCTACGACTGTACCCGAGTTTATCTCCCAGCGTCGTCGCTGGCTGAACGGCTCTTTGTTTGCCTCTATCCACGCGACTGTTTTCTTCTTCAGGATATGGACGTCAGGACAGAATTTCTTCCGCAAGATCGCGCTCCAGGTACGTATTCCTCCAACAATGTCACGACCGCCTGACCTTGTTCTGACATCCCTGCGCCCTGATTCAGATCGAGTTCATCTATAACGCCGTGCAGCTCTTGTTCACATGGACGTCATTGGCAAACTTTTACCTGGCTTTCTTTTTCGTGAGTGATGTCTACGTGTGAAGTAGGGCCATACTTGACGGCATCCAAAGCTTGTCTCATCTGCGACTGCTGATTCGAAAACAGACGCGTTCTCGTTCCTCAGTGTAGGCGCTGGAAAAGATGTATTCGAAGTCTTTCTGAAGGTAGAATTCCTCCGGTCTCGTAGAGCTTTCAAGATTCTTATTCTTGATGTCGTGCACATAGCTCTATATTGCGTTGCTCTTCGTAGTCACGGTGTGTTCGCTTGGCAATCGTCCTCAAGTACGTATATTACTCGATGGGTATATTTATGACGCTAACAATTCTTCTATCAGGGCTCCAAATGGACGTACTCTGTGGCTATGATCCTCTTCGGATTGTGTAATGTGATCACCTTGTGGTGCGCGGGCTACACAATCTATCTCGCCGTCCCCCACAATGTCGACGGATGGAAGAACTTCCCTAAGTACATAACTGTGCTCTTTCATCTCTCCGTCTAAAGCTGACTTACTTCCTCTAGGCTTGTTGAGACTAATAAGACGCTGAGAGAGCTCGTCATCTCCATCGCTGCAACATATGGGCTGTACTTCATTGCGTCGTTCATGCACTTCGAGCCGTGGCACATGTTCACTTGCTTCATACAATACATGTTCCTGCTTCCTAGTTGTAAGCTTCGTATCCCCTTATGTGTAAACATCCGATACTGATTATATCGCTACATCTAGACGTCAACATCCTCAGTGCGTATCAAGATAGATCTGAGGTGGCCTTTGAATATTACTAACATGTCTCTCGTCCAAAAAGTGATGTACGCCATGTGTAACCTGCATGATGTATCATGGTGGGTGATGAGCAGGTTTTGTACGTCAATCGCCTGACACATACCTGACAGGGGTACCAAGGGCGATAACGGCTCTGCCAAAGACCTCGGAGGTGCCAAGAAGGTCAAAGGCGAGGACGGAAAGGACGTCATGGAGGTTGAACTCCCGACCGCGCGCGAAGATGTCGATCAACTTTGGGCCGCTGCTCGTACCTCTTTGAACCACAAGCCTCCGGAAGAGAAGGAACACCGAGACGCCGCGACCAAGCAGGCTGATCACGATCGCAACAGTCGCACGAATGTCGTGCTGGCTTGGGTCGGTACGAACATGTGCGTTCTTTTACTCAATGATCGATCGATTGCGCACGGTCGTTTTTTCCTCGGGAACTCACGTTCATCTCGGATGTCCCGCGTCAGGCTTATGATCGTCGTGTTCACTTCGACCGCATTCACGGACTTTGTGGCCAAGCATATCGAGACGACTGCCGACGCTAACTTCAATCCTTATCTGAGCGCCCTGTTTTTTGCGCTGTAAGCGGTCACCTATTGCTCTTCTCCATCGAACGTTGCTCACCAACCTCGATGTCTGCTTCCCGCAGAGCTGGCCTATCCGCCGTGCGCTTCGCTGGCTCCGCACTCTATCTGATCTTCCGACTGTTCGGATTCTGATCCTCGTAAGCTTTCCCTCCCTCCCAGCCCGATATTCTTCTTCGCCGTTCAGAAGCATCTCTTGTACTTTTTATTGGTTTGAGTTATCGCCCGTCGCCACCTGCTGGTGTGGCTTATTGGATAATTATTCGCGTTGTAAAAGTCTTATACCCGCTCAGAGTTTCGCGGAATTCACAAATTGATTTTGTGTTCGCATGCTTGTACCATCTACGTAGTTTGTTTAGTACATTGTTGAGGTTGTGATTGGAGAGGATATTTCTGCTTCATCTGTGTACATGGCCTCAAGCAGGAACGCTCTGTGCCCAGTGCCCAGCGCCCAGGCCCTGCCAAAAAAACAATGGGCACGTTTCTAAAATGAAGGGCACGTGATCTGAATTGACGCGTTTTGGGGCCGGACCTGCGCGTCGAGCCTTCGAGAGCAGCAGCCATATAAAGCTATCCAGCGTCTCCCGATGGACTCCCTTCCATCGCCTCACTACTTGGACGCCATGGAGCAGACGGACAGACACCCCATTGTTTCGTTCATCTCTGCGTTCTTCTGGGTTATACGTACGCCGCAACTTTACAAATCAAGCCATGTTTCTCGTACTGACCGACAGTTCTTCAACAACCAGTTTATTTACTATCATGGGTCAAGGCTCTGGTAGCATTTGCAACTATCACAATTCCGAGGCTGATTTACTCTCTACTCTCGTACTCGATGACGCTCACGGTGCGCATGGATACTGGCTGGCTAGGGTTTGACAACTGACATCATGGAGTATAGCTGAATTTTTGGTCATTCGCCGTTATCTTCGTCGCCTCCGCTGTCGCTTTGAACTACTGGATACGCTTCCGGTACCTCAATACGTACGCTGAACTGAAAGAGCCGCCGCTTGTGAAGCCGAACGCTCAGGAATTGCATCCCGACGTCAATACTACAGACCAGCCTCCTGCATTCCATAATTATCTCGACGAATTTTTGCAGGCGGTGAGAGTATTTGGATTCTTGGAGAAACCCGTGAGTGATGTACTCCGCACTTACCTTCAAGCAATTCAGATGGATTGCAGGTTTTCCATGAATTGGCACGGCATCTCCAAACTCGTAGGTTGATCGCCGGCGATAGCTTGTCTTTGGATCAGGACAAGAGCTTCTATTGTGTCGTTGACGGTACTGTCCAGGTGTATGCACCCAGCGGCAAGTCTCCTGAACTCCAAAGTGGCTCTTGGGACGACGAAGACATGAACGGGTATGAACTCATGAACGAGGTCGGGAGCGGCGGGATGTTGTCTAGTCTATTTACCATTCTCAGCTTGTTCACGGAGGACGTCAAAATCAGCTGGCAGAACGGGGCTGACGTCGACGCCAACTTCAGCGTGAGCACGGATGCGGCGCCCAGACAGCCTTCGGGCCCGCGGAATCGCACGAGACGCGCCAATTCTGACGTTTCACAGCTGGATCTTGATTTGATGGCGCAGAAGTCGCGCGCGCGGTCTGCATCCGTCTCGTCGTCTGGATCGACCGTCCATCCTGGCGAGCCGTCCTCGCCTCCTGCCACTACCAGGGCGCATACACCACTTCAGCGTACTGAGACACCGCAGTTTTCGACACTTCACCAACGCCGGCCTCCTCCTCGGAGAATGTCCACTGTCCAGACGCAGATTCATCACGGGACTGTGGCTCGCGCGACCGAAGACACGACTCTCGCCGTTATCCCAGCAGAAGCGTTCCGGCGGTTGACTAAGAAATTTCCAAAGGCCACGGCACATATTGTTCAAGGTATTTTTTCCCCCAATGATCGTTGGGATATCTTCTGATCTTCTTCCGTATAGTGATCATGACACGCTTTTCGCGCGTCACCTTCAATGCCGCTCACAAATATCTTGGTTTGACCACCGAAGTTCTTCGGACCGAGAAGGCCATCAACGATATCGCTTGCCACCCACTGCCAGCTGCTTTCTACGAGGGTGGTGGAATGCAACAACTGCGACAGCGTTTTGACAGAGCAGGATCGGAAGAGCCAGTCGATTCAGGCCCCGATTATTTCAGTCGATCACCTTCTTCAACAGCTGTATCATCGAAGCCCTATAAATCTAACCCGCTACCGAAGTTCGAACTGGCTGATAATGTTGTACCGATAGAGAAGAGGCCCGTTTTTTCCCCAATGAGGACACGGTCTCCCCGCCACATGGTTCAAGCTGGAGATTTGCACAGCTCAACTGCTCACTCCAACGACGCTTACAGACCTCTTCACAGGAGCCTCAGCATTCTCAGCACGCCTCACATTCCTCGCCATACCGATGCGTCGGCTGCACTCCAGGATTCGATGCATTTTCCTGAAGTCGAGAGCGTGGCTGGTGATGACTTTGACCTTCGGCAAGAGGTCATGAATTGTATTGCGGTCTCGATCGGCTTATTGCAGCCGCCGCTCAGCGGTGACGCTTCGGTGGAAGCGTCGCCTGCATTTTCACCCACGGACAGTGGGCCGGCCTCTCGCGGCGGTGTCTTCGCTTCTTCTTTCGGGTCTCTGTCGTTGCTGGACATGGCCGATGATGCTTCGAGTGCGACCGGCACATCGTCTGTGACAGCGAATGGCTATATGAGCGGGCTTGATAATGAAGTCGAAATACTTTTCTTCAATGCTGGTTCATATTTAGCCAAAGCTGGAGAAAAGAACACAGGTGAGTTTGCTGTTCTTATCAATTCGGATCGATATATATAGTCCCTCTTAGGACTGTTCTACGTCATTGAGGGTTTCCTCGATATCGTGCTGCCCCCGGAGAACACACCTCCATCAGCAGGAAAAAAGCGTGCGAAGCCTCCTCCAGCGACGCCAGACTCTCTATACGAACAGGACACTGTGCTGGAGAGCAGTGCCGAGTCCATCTCAAGCTTTTCGAAACGGCCAGCGCCAGCACGAGATACATCAAATCAAGCCCGCGCGCATGAGACACGGCGGCCTCTGTTCACTGTCAAACCGGGTGGTATTGCTGGTTATCTAGGTTCGAGGGCGACTTCGTTCTCTGACACAACGGAACATCTATCTGATTTGGCTCTACAGCGTCTTTAACGAACACTGCTTCATATGTGGATATCGTGGCGAAAACCGATGCATATGTTGGGTTTTTACCACACCACGCGCTGGAACGCCTGCTCGAGAAGCAACCCATCGTTCTGCTGACACTGGCAAAACGTCTCATATCGTTATTGTCACCACTCAGTGCGTTGAGCCCATTGTATGTTACTCGACCTGTGTTGAGTATTTTCGATTTCGGTAGTTCTGCAGATTGACGCATCTCTGGACTGGATGCAGGTCAACGCCGGGCAAATTCTGTGGCGCACTGGAGATGCCAGCGATAGCTTTTACATTGTGATCAATGGACGTCTTCGCGCGATCACCGAAAAGGAACAGGGCGGCGTGCGTATCGTGGCGGAATATGGTCAGGGGGATACTGCGGGTGAAGTAGACGTCATCACCAGTTCTCCGCGAAAAAACACTGTCCATGCTATTCGCGATACTGAGCTCATCCGAATGCCCCAGACTCTCTTCAACGCCATTTCATCACGGTAAGCTTTCTCTTACTTGCTGTGCTGGGTCCTCCGTCTTATGCTTCACAGGAATCCTCAGACAACGGCACTGTAAGTTGCTGTCTTTGATATTATGGGCCTAAACTGATATAGCGAACGCTTAGCTTGTTACGCATGATCGCCTCACGTGTGCGAAGCGAAATCGACTCATCCTCTACGAGCTCGACTACAACCGAGCTACGTCGCAACACAGCCAATCTCAAAACTGTCGCCATCCTTCCCGTTTCGCGTGCCGTCCCCGTCGACGCCTTTGCTCGCAAACTGCATGCTGCTTTGGAAGGAATCGGTGCTCCGACTTCGTTCCTCAATCAGGCGTCTGTTTCCAACACCCTTGGGCGCCATGCATTCACGCGGATGGGCAAGTTGAAGACGGCCGCATGGCTGGCAGATCAGGAACAGAGGTACAAGATCGTGCTCTACGTGGTCGATTCGGCCGTGAGTAGCTCATGGACACAGACGTGCATCCGACAAGTAAGTTCTTTTCAGGACTTTTACCTCGTGCCTTGTTGACAATTCTCAGGCCGACTGCGTGATGGTCGTGGGTATGGGAGAGGATCCTTCCATTGGCGAATTCGAGCGGCTGCTGCTCTCTATGAAGACAACCGCCAGGAAGGAGCTTATTCTTCTACACCCAGATCGTTCAGTTGTTCCTGGATCAACCCGAGAATGGTTGAAGGTTGGTCAATATTTCGGTGGATTTTTTATGGGTCCAGAGCTGATCGTGTTGCCACGCTAAAGAACCGTCCTTGGGTTCATCAACATATTCATGTTGAGCTTCCGGTGCGTCTTTACTCCCTTCCCATGACTAAATGGGCCTGACGTCGGAGTTTGGACGTAGGGCTTAAAACTGCCAGTCCCAAAACCCAACCCTGCGTCTCCCCAGGATCCTGCAGCAGTCGCCGCTCTGAAAAACTTAAAGGATAAGGTCCAGAGTGAGATCCAGAAGTACCGCGGCGGAAGATCAGATGTCCGCCCTCAGCGTCAGCCTCATGCAAATGATTTTGCACGGCTCGCGCGCAGGATTTGTGGCAAGTCGATCGGGCTTGTTCTAGGTGGCGGAGGTGCCAGAGGGATTGCACATCTTGTAAGCGCTCTCGTCCCGCCTCTAATTAGTTTACCATCTGACTTTTCCATCAGGGCGTTATCCGTGCGTTGGATGAGTACGGCATCCCGGTTGATCATATTGGCGGTGAGTAACAGGTAAGGCATCATCAATGTTCAGGAGTCCGATTGGGCAACCCTAGGTACCAGCATAGGGGCATTCATCGGAGGTTTGTATGCCAGGGAAGGAGATCTCATTTCAAGTGCCGGGCGAGCCAAACAATTCAGTGCCAGGATGGGCAACATCTGGAGGATGCTGTCAGACGTTACATACCCAATCGTTGCCTACACCACCGTTCGACCTTCCTTACTCCCCAATCCGCCTGACAACTAACATGCCTTCCGCAGGGACACGAGTTCAACCGCTCAATATACAAGGTTCGTGCGCATACGTGAGACTTTCTTTGGCCTGCTGACGTTGGTGATCAGGCATTTTACGACCTACATATCGAAGATATGTGGCTACCTTACTTCTGCAACACTGCCAACATCATCGCTTCGCGCATGGAGATACACGAAACTGGTTATGCTTGGCGATTCATTCGTTCGTTTCTCAAATATCATAACTTTAGACATCTCAACTTAATGGTTTCCTTAGGTGCTTCGATGACACTGGTCGGCCTTCTACCTCCGTTATGTGACAATGGGAATATGCTTGTCGACGGGGGTTATCGTGAGTAGTCCTTTGAAGAATTTTCTGTACCGATTTGTCCTGACCTTTGTTGCGTTAGTGGATAACTTACCTGTCTCTTCTATGTTTGATGTGGGGCCGAGCATCGTTTTCGCATCAGATGTTGGATCAGTAAGGATGTCGTGTTGATGCATCAACTCATCTAACGTGTTTCAGTAGCTTGACGACAACTCACCTCGAAATTTTGGAGATACCGTCTCGGGGTGGTGGCTGCTCATCAATCGCTGGAATCCGTTTTCAAATGCGAGAATGGTGCCAGCTATCACAGAGATCCAGGGTCGTTTGGCATAGTACGTCGTCTCAGTTCTATTTGTGTCAGTGCTTTGAATCATGTCTGTTGTGATACAGTGTATCTAGTGTGCGCACTCTTGAGAGCGCCAAGGTAGCGCCTGGCTGCTTCTATATGCAAATGCCTGTTCATGAGGTATGCTATATAGTCGAGAATATTCTACAATGGAATCATTGATTGCCCTTCTTAGTACGGTACCCTGCAATTTGGGAAATTTGAAGACATTCAGGAGAAGGGATATAGAGCGTCTTTAGACTTGCTCGAAAAGTGGGACGAGGAAGGAAAGCTTCCGTCCGGTTACGTCGAAGGAAAGGAGGCAGTTTCTAAAAGAAAGAAAAAAGGTCGAAGCGCAAGACGAAATTCTATATGACATTAAAATAGAGCGTTGCTCAGCGCTTCGTCGTAATTGTAATCTATACCATCTGTATATCTGCCAGTACTGTATATGCACGGTGTTGTTTGGGATGTGAACGTCGAGGGTTTGTGGGACCTTATGGCCTTATGGTCCATGCACCGTACGTCATACGAACCGGGTATCTGGATCAGAGGCCCAGGTTGCCGAAAGCGGCAGCCCTTCTAATTGCAAGTTGGCTGCTTCAAGTTAGCATTGCCTGATGGCCGCTGCCTCCACCTCCGCGTCTGACGAACAGCTATCTGCCCAAGACTCAGCTGATCCCAAGGACCTCCTGGATGTATCCCTCCTGAGAGAACTCGCTCGCAGCTCTCTGGTACACGCGTTGATCTCGGTACGTCTGATCTATAGCTTTCAACTTGGGAGGTCGTCCGTTCATTTCGCACGTGTGAAGGTCAATGGTGCAAAGACACTAGTTTTGGACCCAACCCTCGCTGGCCCACTAAGTTTAGTCACAGATGTAACCTTGCTTCAGGTGCGGATCGTCTGGTTGTGAAATCGAGGCCTGACGTGCTCATTAGCGTCCGTGTAGCAACATGGGGTCGACAAGATGTTTTGGCTGGAATCAGGTCCACTGACGGCCGTTTCGACAAACATCGTGTACCTATGTAGGCCTATGATTAAATGGGTGAAAATTATCGCTGGTATGTGCCTTTCTACACTCGGCACGCGGTTGACGTTCATATGCCTTAGTATAGACCAAATCAAGCGCCATGCAAGAGAATCCAAGAAACATACATATACCTTACTCCTCGTCCCGCGAAAATCCATTCTTGTTACACGCGTTCTGGAAGAGGAAGGTGTTTTGGGAGACGTGACAATATCGTCGTACAACCTCCAATTCATTCCAATAGCGGATGATGTTATCTCTTTGGAGAATGAAAATGTGTTCAAGGAGATCTGGGTTGTAGGTATGTTTTACCTTGGTGCTTGTTCCACGCTGATGTAGCTTTGCAGGATGGTGATGAGACGTCTGTATACGATTCTTCACAGGCTCTGCACACGCTCCAGAAATTGTTTGGTCTCTTTCCCCGTATCGTTGGGAAAGGTGATAGTGCTGAAGTAGGGTTTTCCCCCGTCACAAAGCGCTAAACATTGATCACGTCACATAGCGCCTGGCAACGTTGCTGAACCGACAAGCATCCCAGTCAACTAACACTGGACCAGACGACGCACTCGCTATTTCAGATAAATTTGATTCATTGATTGTCCTTGACCGACGTGTCGACATGATATCACCTCTTTTGACCCAACTTACCTATGAAGGCCTCATCGATGAGGTTATCGGTATCAAGAACTGTGAGACAATCCTCCCGTTCTGACTTAATCGGTGATAACCATTCGCCTTTTAGCTCATATTGAAGTCCCTGTCTCTCTCCTTAACGCCCCATCCAATCCCAATGCGCCTCCCACATCTCCGTCGACCTCCACTACTCCTGGTCCCTCGCTCGCAAAGGAAAAGAAGAGGAAGTATCACCTTACATCGTCTACAGACCCGATCTTCTCAGAACTCCGGGATCTTAATTTTGCTTCCGTTGGCAAGCGATTGAATACAGTCGCTCGTAGGCTCGATGAAGATTATAAAGTCGGTCCACCTTATCTCCGGGGTCACTATAACTCACCACCATTTATAGGCTCGGCACAAAGCTCAATCTGTTGCTCAGCTGCGCGACTTTGTAGGCAAGCTTGGCGGCCTGCAAAACGAACATCAATCCCTCAGGCTTCGTAAGTTTCCATGCTCGACGCTCTGGACTGTGGACTGAACTATTTATGAGATACCGGTTTGTCCGAGATCATCATGCCGCACACCCGATCGGAGGTGTTCAATAAGTCCCTCGAGATTCAACAAAGTGTGCCTGTATCCTCAATGGGCTTTTGTCGGATCTGACTTGTTGTCGTAGATCTCTTGGCCTCGTATGATATTCCAGGACAGATCACCGCGATCGAAGAACTACTTGCTCAAGGGGCAGAGTTACAGATCGTGATTCGATTGTTATGTCTAGCTTCCGTCACCGCCGGCGGGATCAGAAACAAGACGCTAGAAAACATCAAGCGTGAAGTCATGCAGGTGCGGCCATCTCTGTTTCACCTGGATTAGCGCTCTGAACTATGTATATCAGACTTACGGATACAACCATCTTCCCCTCCTGCTGTCTCTCGCGTCGCCACCATTGGCAATATTGCTCCCTAATCCTCTGCCCCCGTCCGCGCCCGCAGCTGTGGCAAATTCCAAATATCCTTTTACATCCCTGCGGAAATCACTTCGTCTTCTGATTGAGGGCACTGATAGCCTAGATGAGCTGGAAAACGATATCAGCTTCGTGTACTCCGGTTGGGCACCTATCAGTGTGCGCTTGGTGCAATGTGTGGCACAGAAGGGCGGCGTTCTGAGTAATCCTGCCAACAAGCCGAAGGGAGCCGACGGCGATGAAGATGGAAAGAAAGGCAAGGCAAACTTCATCGGGAAGGTGCAGGCACACCCGATCATGGGTTGGAAGGGGTTCGAGGATGTTGTCGCCAGCATTCCTGGGAAGACATTTGACATCACCCAGAAAGGTTCAGGAAGCGCGGATGTCGCACCTTCTGCCGTCACCGCCCGTAAGCCGTCTACTTGACTGACACCTCATAGTCGCGTAACTGGATCTTTAGTCCCGAGTCTAGAGCAATCGACAACCACCGTCGTCTTTTTCCTTGGTGGGTGCACATATACTGAGATTGCCGCGTTACGTTGGGCTAGTCGGCAAAATAAGGGTGAGTCGCATCAATCTGTCCTTGACCCACGTTAGCCGACGGATTTTTCAGGCCGCAAATTTTTGATAGCGACGACTGGGATTGTGAGCGGGGCGAGTATGATCGAGGGGATCGCAGGCGTCGGGCGCGCCGTGGCGACGTCGAAGGATGCAGGGCTCTGACTGTGGCGCATGAACCATCTGAGTCATGGGAGCCTTTATGTCGGAGACATGACTCGTGATATTCGATGCTATCATCGTCTCCTTCTGTATTGCGATCCGAACCTTGTGCTTCGTGATCTATTCACTTCGCCTCGGATAAGGTCGTTTGTTTTGTTCTGAGTCGCATTCACGGCCAAGTCCTTCTTTTCGTTGCTGTAGAGCGCCATTGAGAGCGCCTTGCAAGCTGGGCAGCGGCCCTCTCGTGGGGGGGCGATATTTCGTTGTCCCTCAGCCTGGGTGATATCATGACATTGCCTGTGACGCGACAGTATTGGATTGGCAGAGCCCCCGGAGCATGGGTGACGATGCTTCTGACTTTAGCCAGCCACTCAGAGTCTCAGACTGACCTGTCGCGCTTTTACCACGACCTGCTGCGCTTGAGTCGCAAGATCCTGGTGCATTTTCATCATGTCAGATGGCGCTGTTATACGCCTCAGAGATTTCATCGGTTGCATGCAGGGCTCTGGGGAAGTCCAGAAATACGCCCAGAACTGTTGAAACTAAAAAAAAAACCTTATAAAACCTGCTAAGTGGCACGTGGGCATATAAGCGGTGGCAGGAGGTATCGTTGAGCATAGCGCGGAGAAGATCTCGATCGAAGCTTGAAATTGAACTGTCAGTTGAATCGTATAAGACTCGCTCACCAAGGGAAATGCTCCTCACCTCCCCCCTAACCACCGCTCTACGTACCCAAACTTGCGTTCCGAGCTTCTCCCAACCCCGTTCTGTGAGTCTCTTCAGAATCCTTCCCCAGTTGGCTCGCTCTGACGTCCCATCCGCCTTTCCCGCTGTTCGCGCGTCACGGCCCGTGTTGCTGATCGTGTCTCCCGCCCCCCGACGCGTCTTCCGCCGCCGTTTGCGGTTTTCTTCCGTTCTTTGCTCCTGGAATGTCCCGTGGAAAAGGTCTAATTCGTGACGCCATGGCCCCACGCACCGAAAAGAAAGCTGCCGGAGAAAAGCCTGAGAGAAAAGGTGAGCCCTTGCCCTTCACCCTTTCGCCGTGGCCGCTCCCGGGACCGCCATCTTCTGTGCTCACAGGATCTTTCGTCACTCTACAGCGAAGTCTTCTGGCGGCGGACGCAAGAAGCTTACCGCTTACAACAAATTCATGCAGACGGAGATGGCGCGTCTCAAGGAGGAAGATCCGGACATGCGCCATCAGGACAGGTCAGCCCGTCCCCTCCGTTCGTTCACGGCATGGCGCGCAGCGTTTAACCTTTGCCTGCACCCTGTCGCGCAGGTTCAAGCTGGCCACCTCGAACTGGAAGACAGCGAAGACTAAGACCGGGAACTGATAGCTAGCGGCCCACATCGTTGCGTCCGCGTGTTTCGTCGCGTGATGGTGGTTCCTCATCTTCTTGATGCTCCTCGAGTAGCACCCGCCTCAATTGATCCACCCACATACACTTACTCTTCGGCTCTTACCCTTGGCCTCTATTTGTCTTTATAGGTACCTTCATTGTTGACTGTATTCCGGACATCCTATTTATCATGTTCTACTGCTGCCCATCTCGTTGCCGAGGAGTTCACTCTGTATGTATGATTTTTTTTTCGTCCGTCAATGTTTGAAGGACGGCCTGTGCCATCGTTTCGAAAGTTTTCAAAGGGTCCGTGCGAGACGTTTGCCAGCGGACGAAGCAAGCGTAGCTGCACGGAGGGGAGCGTAAAATTCGGCTGCCTGGGCCGCGTAGGATCGACTCCAGCTGTGCTTCGAATTCTCATCGCTTTCGCGCCGCTGCAGGCGTGCCTTGGTGCGTGGCAGGATGCCTCCCAACCGAGCGCTCAAAACGGCGCGAGGTTTCTGATACGGCTTCTTGATCGAGTTCCAAGAACGCCCTATATATTGGGACATTATTCCCTCCTTTGGCATGGCAGGGCTCCGAGTGCCACAGCTTGTTACATGTCGCACTCGGGGCACTGGGAGGTCGTCAGTGACTTTTGTATGAGGCCTTGAGCTCGCGCTCCCCGTGCCTGCTGTGATAAAGACGCGCATTGGCGGAGGTGAGAGCCACAAGTGGACGAGCCTCGAGCAGAGTTCCCACTCTCGGCCCGTGAACGACTTGTTGGGAATGAATTGTCCATGCGTGACGCGTGACGCGCGTGGCCTGCCATGGAAATTACTTATCAAGGGGTCGTCGCCGGCAGCGCCTCCGGGAGGAACAAGCTGAAAGCAGCGGTGGACCTGGGGAGACTGTGGGAACTTGGAGCGTGGACTGAGGCGGCGGACCTCCGAGGGGCTGGAGGAACCGAGCAAGCCGTTTAGGGTCGTGTGGCCATCGGTGAGCTCATGCAATTGTCGAGCGGTCGGGTGAGGGCCTCTGCGACTGCGTTCCGTCTGTCTGTCTGTCCTCTCTATATCTCTCGCTTTCGAAATCTGTATCTGATCCTATCTTATAACATAACATATCACTAAACACCTTCCCTTCTCCGGCCCTCTCAGGCTCGCACACCATGAGCCGTGCGCATGACATCGATAACGTCCCTTCTGTCCCTCACCAGCCCCTCCATAAAGCCCTCTCGCGAGCCCCTTCCTCCTCTGGCCCCAACCTTCATCATCGTTTCACGATGTCCCCCGACCACGCAGAGCACAATGCCGCGGCTCCTGAGGGCACTCCAGTCCCAGCTACACCGCCAACTCGTGCCCTCAGCACAAGCGACCCATCGGGTTCTCTCCCACTGTCGCCGAACAAAGGCAAAGGCGTGCTCGCATCCGTCGACGACACGGCTACGTACGTTGATGGGGGTCCAGATGTAGCTCCCTCGTCTCCGGACTTGGAAACATCTTCATTCGAAAGGGTGTCTGATTCTTCATCACCCCTGATTCATTCCATTTCTTGTCTCTCAGAGAGCCGCCCAATGCACGATACTGTCTCGGACGCTTCTGACAATGACTCGCAGATTAGATATGATGATCTCGAGCCTGCCATCACTTTAGTCGGCAAAGGCAAAGGCAAAGATCTCCCACCCACTCTTCCGCCTTTGTCTTTTTCGCCCACAGAATTTTACTACGACGATTCGTTTTCTTCTCCTACTCTTACGTCTGCTGACGCAGGTCCTTCATCTTTCGGTTCGGTCTATACTGCTGTGACGGGTCATGATCCTACCCCGGCCGGAGTTGTTCTTGACGATCCTTCCCTGAGCCGAGCCGAATCCATTCCTGTTCACATCCGAATACCTTCCAGATGTCACTCTATCTCTGACCTTTCTACTCACACTACCCATTCCCTACCCACACAGTCTATGTCGCAACACAAGTTTCGCGTCGGAGCTTCCAAGAGTCCAACAGCCTTGGCCCGAAAATTATTCGCCAAGGGCGGGGATCAGTCGGATTCACCGTCCTCCCCTGGCAGTCCTATTACCGTCGAAGGAGTAATTGACCTCGATTTAGATTCTGCAACGTGTGGTGCAGGCAGCTGCTTCGGGCCATGGAAATTGGATTCGAAGTCGCGCGCGAAAGACACTTCCGCCTCATTTGTACCAAATGTTGATATCGAGCGCATCTTCAATGAAGACATGGGCAAAGTCTCGGGATATTTTCCAATCTATCCCTCTTCCAGCAGGCATGCGGACCCCATGCACCCGAAGGGCAAAGGTCGATCCTACTCAAACCCTTTCCCGTTGTCTACAGCGTTTGAGCCTATCCCTCCGATTACGACGCCGGTTTATACACCTGCTCCGATTGTGCTGCCGCGCAAGCACTTCGATGAGCTTTTACCCCACGAGCTCCAGCTTCACATTCTTGTGTGCCTCGTGGATCTACACGAGGAAGAGCAGGGACGACGTGAACGCGATGGGAAGTGGACGGTCCTCAAAGCGTCTTCGTCGAAGAACAAGTGGGTCGGGCGTGAACAGGGTGTACGTGAGCTCGTCAGGCTGAGCCGGGTAAGCATATATGCACTACTCTCTGCACGGCGGAAGTGTGTGACACGCCCGCTGCACGTAGGTGTGCAAGTCATGGACAGCCCTGGTCTTTGACGGCCAACTTTGGACGCGCCTCGACCTGCGATCATTTCCGAAGATGCCTGCATCGCAAATTCTGCATATAGCGGCATCCGCAGGTCCTTTCATCCGGAAGCTAGACCTTGCAGGGCACACGAATTTACATCATTCGACCCTGCTCAGCCTCACCGACAGGCTCTCGATACACCCCAGCGTCCCCGGCACCGTTTCGCCGTGCACCCTGCTCACCTCTATCAACTTGTCTGGGTGTTTCGCGCTTACCACGGGATCTCTACATTATCTTCTGGAACGCTGTCCGAATTTAACGAGTCTGTCCATGAAAGGTTTAGATGCGGTGACCAACGAGACTTGCGAGCGTATCTACAGGCACTGTCCCAAACTCGACATCCTTAATATGAATCGATGCAGAAATCTATCCGGTGCTGGTGTCTACACTATGGCCTCCCTCGCTCTCAAACACAGAGCACCTCTTTGCTTGAAGGAAATGCGGCTGTCGGGTTTGAAGGGCATAACAGACAGTGTCTTGGATGCTCTAGGCAAGGCCACACCTTATCTTGTGGTTCTAGATCTCAGTTATTGTAGGGATCTCCATAACTCGTCTGTGGAGGCCTTCGTGTCTTGCTCTGACGACTTCGGCCAAACGGAGACGGTGCTGTTGACGGCGCGCGAAGCTGGCCATACCGATCATCGTCGATACCGAAGACGCGTCACGCGCCTCCGCCATCTCTCCTTTTCCTCTTGTATTATGCTCACCGACATCGCGTGTGCACACCTGGCACATGCACTGCCGCACCTAGAACTTTTAGAGCTCGGAGGTATAGGGCAGCATCTGACAGACGAGGGGCTGATTCTTCTGCTGCAGACGCTGCCAGACCTCCGGAAACTCGATCTGGAGGATGCGAGGGAGATCACGGACGCCGTTCTGCAAGCCATCACCCCCCGGCCGGTCTCCCAGGATCCCGGGCGCGGACGGCAATCTGCGGCCTCGGATCCTGGTCATGCGCTGGAGCACTTGTCCGTGTCGGGTGCCGCGAATTTGACGAACGAGGCGCTCTCGACTCTGATACAGCGCTGTCCACAGCTGCGTGTGCTGGAGGCGGACGGGACGCGCGTGTCTGGGGCGGTGGTGAAGGAGTTCACCGCGGTCGTGCGCAGGAGAGAGGAGCAGGACGCGGTGATCGTCGCGATCGATTGCCGTTCTGTGGGCGAGGACGTCGTAAAGGAGCTCGCGGTGTCCACGCGGCCGCGGCTGGGCCGGCGGACGTATGAGTCGCGGAAGCTTGGCTATCTGGATGGGCGCGACGAGGAGGCACTCGGAGTGGGGCAGGACGAGTGCGATCCGCGGCGCGTCGTGCTGAAGACGTACTATTCTTGGCAGACGGTGGACGCCGTCACCGCTGCTCGTCAGAAGCGGAAGCGAGGGAGGCGAGACGGGGGCGGGTCCGGAGGCGGGAGCGCGGTGGAGGAGTTGCAGCTAGGCCGTGCGCGGTGGTGGTCTCCTGGCGGGAGACGGTTATCGGGAATGAGTTCCCCGTCCCTGATGGACGCGAACAACGAGCGCGATGGCTGCATCGTCATGTAAGATTACGTTGTGCTCTCAGGTTTGTGCTTTTGCTCTTGTTTTTGTTTTTGTTGACGCTTGGCAATGAAGACGACAGTACACTCGTACTCTCTTTCAGATGCAGTATATATAGAAACAGCGATGCCCCTCACTCCATATTTTTCACGAATTACTTGACGATGCCTGGAAGGTCCATGTAGGCTCTGTGTATGTACGATTGTCAGCAGCATATCCTTTACTATTGTACGATTTCCAGAAGCGATAGACGAGAGCCGAAAGACCTTGCTTGATGCTACTATTCGTTCCTGATATACTCCAACCTGAGTGCTGCGCGACGCCTACGAAGGTTTTTCGATACTTCGTTGTCGTGGGGCGCTATAATGCTGTAAGCAACGCTGATAATGACCTGGAATACCCTCAGGTCCGGAAGCTAACGATGGAGAGGAGGTTGATCGCGATAGATCTTGCAGTAGATCTCGCCAAGATCCGGCCAGATCATGGATGACATGCCCAGTTCACTACCAATTTGCGGTGCATTTCTGGTGAATTTTGAACAGCACGTAGCCGCGTGGCTTGCACATCGTGGGATCACGATGAACGAGGATGGACAAGCGAGGGATAGATTCAATCATGTCCGCATCGAGTAAGACTAAGCGAAGAGCTAAACTTTGAGAAGGGCACCAGTCAGCCCTTCGCGAGCTTAGACTTGGACTTCTTCTTCTTCGCTGCCTTTTTTGCCAGCTTTGAGTTCACCTCGTCCGCTGAGAAACATTGAGGTTGGCAGAGGCAGAAGATGGAGTTCTAGGGGTGTTACTGCCTGTACCGCTGGAGATGGCGGAGTGATCCACCATGCGAATGTCCTCGCTCCCGTCTGCACCCGGCGTCTTCGTGCGCTTGGCAAAAAAACCGGAGCGCGCAGGGGTCTCGTCTTCGTAACCTGTTCCAGAAGATGGGTTGGGGCGGCAGATCAGTAAATGCGGATTGTGAATGTGTGCGACAGAGAACACGGAAATGGATAGATGAAGAGTGGAATGGAAGCGTCGGAAAGCGGCAGGTGAGTCTGTATTTCTGGACGCATGAGGTGGCGGTTGAAAGAAGCAAAGACGTACCCGCGAAAGGATCTATTACTGGTCTGCGACGCTTTCTCTCCGCTGCTGGTCTAGATGCGTCTGCTTCAGGAGTCGTGCTTGGAGATGCCTGAGCTTTTCCCTTGCCCTTGGTGTCTCCTCGCGTATTGGAGACCACCGCCAGCACTTCTTCATTGTACAACTCCAGGTCCTCCTCCATCTCATCAGTATCATCTGCCTCTTTCAGTTCTTTCAAGTATTGCTCGCGCGCAAGCATTTTTTCCGTAACCTTGAGGGGAACACGGACGTCGTGAGGCGTGCCATCGTCATCAAACCGGAGGTGGGTAGACGGCCCTGGTGCTGTCGGTGTTGGTGCTGTGCGGGCTTGGGAGATGGCATGTTTTATGAAGCGGCCTGCAGCAGCCTTGTCGACGGCGAGAGTACCTGCATAAGTGGAAATCAGCGTCATTCCGTATACTAGGACAGGTAGAATCAGGGCACACGCTTGGCGGGGTCCTCAGCATTCTTGATTTTGTCAAAATATTGTTTAATTCTTTCCTGATGAGCGTGTTCAAATTTCCGGCGTATGAGATACACTCATGAAAGACGGACCAGTTCTGCGATGACAGGGTGAGTCCTTGGATCTACTCCTCTCGTCTTGAGGTAGACTATCGAGTGCAGCCGCGTGAGTCAGCTCCTCAGCAGTAGAATAGAAAAGCCACCGACTGAATACCAAGTCATACACCAAGTAAGGGATAGCAACTTGGAGCTTGGCCTGCTGGATTGTCTCCAAGGGTAGAAGAGTTTCTGGTAAGCTCTGCGAGAACAACGGTTCCATAACTGTGACTAGTTCATCTAAAGATCGAGTGAGTGCAGATAGTTTTGTCTTCAATCTTGCGGTATCGTCGACCATGATTGAAGGTGTCGCCGGCGGGAGATTTTGAATCCTTGTGTGAAAGCAAAGAAAAGATCGCAAAGGATGGTCACGTGGGTCTTTTTCTCGACTTGTGTGTCTGCCTCGAGTCCTTGGTCCTCGACCGATCATCTCTTCAGGTGTTATATTAGTTCGTACCCAAGGCCCGGCACCTAAGACACTGCTCCATGTAAGCCCTTCTCTCGTCTGATCATCATTACGAATAGGTACATACGCGCACCAGTCGGAATGGGTGTTCATTCGAAGCTAAGGAACTCAAAGAATGCATGATCAACGCAGACGTTTTCCATGTCCAGCCAGTCATCCGACATTCCTTCATTTTTCGAGGATGAATTGAAGAAGGCCTTGCGTGAGCAAACATATGGCATTGATAGCTCAAAGCTCCTCGGCTCGACTGCGCTTGACGCGACGGCTGAGATCACCATCATCGAAGGCACTACAATCAAGGTTATGCTCTTCACTAGCGGGTTCCAGGTGAGTCCGTCATGTGCAGGCAAACCATTCGCTGTTCAATTATTGCGATGAAGATGCTCATCGCGCCGCACCATAGCTCTCCAAATACACTGGGGATCATTCTGTCAGTGGTGGTTCTGCCCTGGTAGGGATGATTTTCGAGACACTCGAAGAGCTCCTCTTAGCCGTCAGTCCGTTGTACGCGGCGAAGCAGGGTCAAGAATTGCTGGCGAGGTTAGAACAGCTGTCGAATAAGCCCTAGGAGGACACCATCGTGCTACTCGTATAAATGTATACGTGTCTTCGCCTGTGGATATTGGTGACATAGCAGTTTGTGTTTGCCTGCTCTTGGTGTTATGCCAATCGGGTCTCGCAGATGGTACAACTTCCTCCCTTGATGTACTTCTGCTCTAATTCTCCTGTAATCAAGTCGTCCAACAGGCACATGAGTGCCCCGAGTCGGCAGAATCAGTCTTCTAGAGAGACTTATTGCCACTGGTTTGTGATTTACCATCAGAATAGGTTCCATCCGCGATTCTGCGCCGCTCTGTGCTCACAGACAGCTAAATCGATAAATACGGGCTTTGGGAGGCTTTGCGTCACTGTTCTCTCGCTATCAATATTGAGATATATGCGTGTTGGGTGGTATTTCAGCCTCCTGGCCATTCTGGGCTTCGCCTAAGTTCAGTGGTGGTTGATGCACATTGCGCCGGTAGGTCCTCAGGCTAATGGGCTGATACAATCGACCGTCATATGTTACATGACCATGGTATAGTACACACAGATTTGGATTCTTATTGTACGTTGATTGAAAGTGTCCTTGGATCCACAGGAATATGCATAGAGCCGTAAGTGCGCCAATGAAATCTCATGCCGTGATCATCAGATCAAACGCGGGCATATCGGTGTTCTAAATCGGTCCTAGGACGCCCGCTTAGTCAGCCATACCTTACGGCGAGGCTGCTGACAAGCCGCATCGAGCCAGTCCAGTGCCAGTCCTTGTCATGGTCAGTCACCATGGTACAGTGCGGTTCTCGGTATACTGACGAATACTGTAACAGTCTTCTGAGTTGAGATACACGGCAAACACGCAGTTAGAGCACCGTATGTCCTCTTCATTGTTATTCAGAGGACTGGTCTGAATTTAACTTCATACCTGCAGTTCATGCTCGTTACACGGGCACTGGTGCGTGTATCTCTTCTGTGGACCTGGACGCCTTTCATTCATGATCATTTGATCCTTAGGGCATGCCGATTTGAGCAAATAGTACGTCGATGCCGTCTCTGAACTCCATTCGACATGGTGCTGATGGTGCTCTCAGTGATTGGCTCACGCATCAGCATCGCGATACGCTGTCGTCCATTGTTGGCCACCCGACGCTCACCTCATACCTGGCCATTGCAGACGGGGAGGCTACAGGCAGGATTAAATTTGAGATGACAGAGGTGCGCTGCATGTCGGCTTGTCTCGCAGAGGCTGGGAGGTGCTGATTTTGGGGTTTTCGACAGCGAATGCTGCAGCCATGTGGGCCGCCTCCTGCCAAAGACGAGGAGTAGTGATTGTCCTACGAGTGTCTTGTCTCGTTTTGCGGCGTCATAAGTTATAGGTTCTCACGAAATGTGTCAGCTAGCATCGAAGGCACACCTGTATATTTACCCGATGTGTCGTGTACTTACTAGTGATACGGCCGTGTCGATGGCTTTGTTCCTGATTCCGACGAAGCGGAAGGAAAAGAAAGTGCAGCGAAGAAGCGCTAAAACGGGGACAAAGCGCGCGGGGTGTCATCATCTTCACAGCCTACAGATTTGATGTACACCGTCTCTTTCGTTCCCTTGACCCGCTTTAGCTTCCTCTTTTTCCCTTGCTCTCTGTTCTCTAGACTTTGCCCATCGCTCGTCGACGTCGCCGCTCTGAGCGTGCACCACCACATGTCATTCGTATTTGCCCTGCTGGTCCTATAATTGCTTTTGCTCTGTGCCGTGCTCCTCGCTCTCCTTGGCCGCTGCTTGACTACGCAGTTCGGCCGTATCGTTTCGCTTTCTAGCAAATCGTTCTGTGTTTGCACCCGTTCCACAGGCCACAGGCCACCGCCCCCACACTAGTCCGTGTGGCAGCGGCCCACTCGCTTTGGACCCTCAAAGACCCTTTGACACACCTGCACCACCATAATCACACACACAGTATATAATCATAATGGCGGCGATCCACAGGTCGTCCATTTCGTTCCCCTCCCTTTGGTCCCATTTTCAATCCGACCTTGAAGACCCCATTTTAGTGCCGTCCAGGCGGCATTCCTGCGCTCTCTTTGACTCTCTTCCTCCATCCGCTGCGCGATCGCGCCGTCGAGACTCGCTGATGGCGTCTCTACGCAGCAAAATCTCTGCCACACGCGTGCCTATTTCGCCACCCAAGAGACCATCCCGGTTGAGCAAAAGATCCCCCTCGATGCCTCTTCCAGAGACAGAAGAAGGCGAGGAGACTCCTCGGATTTCTGATGCCCCAGGGTGGCTCGATAGGCCTGCGAGACAGGCCACGACCGGTAGCATCTTCAAGCGAGCCATGAGGCGCAAGAAAGCCTCCCCTGTTCGCCCCAGTTCTCTCGACAGCTCAATTAGCGACGACCCCTCCCACACCGCATCCACATGTACCGCGTTCTTTAAACACTCCCCCCATTCCAGCTTGTCCTCTTTCATCCCTGCTTCTGATGTGGACTTCGAAGCTGAAGATGCGAAGGCTCTCGGTCATGAGCGAGACTACTTCGTACAGAAAAATGGCGAGAAGTTTCATCCTTATAAGTTGGAAGAGGCACCGTACATGCAGGCGTACACGCATATGTCCTTCGACAAGTGAGTTCTTTCCATGATATCGACCCGCCTTCTTCTAATCTCGCCTAAAGCGACCGAAAGGCCTATTCACTCCTACGTCAATTGATGCCGAAAGGCCCGTCGTTTCATGAATTTGGGAATAAGCATCCTACCAGGGTGCTTGACCTTGGCTGTGGCGAAGGCCATTGGGTCGTGGACGCGGCGTCTGAATGGAGAGGTGCAAGAGTCACAGGCCTTGATCTTGTCGATGTTTGCAGCAAGGAGTGGGATGAACTCGAAAAGTCAGTGGCTGACAGGATCAGCTGGGTTCGCCATAACTTGTGCGTTTTCCTTTGACATTTTTTCGCTCAAAGCGCTTATTATCATCGTGCCACCTATTCAGCGTTCAACATCCACTGCCTTTTGAGAGCGCAACGTTCGACTTCGTTCGGCTTGCCAACGCTACGCTCTCAATTCCTTTAGCCCATTGGCCCTTCGTCATGACTGAGATCAGCCGCGTATTGGCCCCCGACGGCACATTGGAGGTGATCGACGACCAGCTGTATTTTCCATCCATACAACCATCATCTCCCTCCACATCGACCTTCCCCACCAACACCCCCCCAGAACCTATGTTTCATCTTGACGTTGACGATTCCGAGCCCGAACCAGAACTTGAGTCGGACTTTGACGACCTCTTCGCTTCTCGTCGACCTGTCAGACGCAAGTCAAGAAAGGACTCCCACGCAGATGACGAACTGAGCCCTTATGATGCGTGGGCGAAGGAGATGCAAAATTGCCGTGGTGTGGAAAACATCTTTTCGCGCATGCTTACCGAGAAATATGGGATCCACCCGCGACCATCTGAGTTTCTGCCTACCCTCCTCAGCTCTGTCTTCGGCAAACCGCACGTCACGAAAGTCCCCCCTCTTCACGTGTGTCTCCCTTCGCGCGAGTTCTTGGCTCGAGATTCGTCGTCCCCGGGGCGGAAGCGCGCGGACAGCGACGGGCGTAACGCGTGGCACATCACTATTGAGTGGGACAAAAAGGACAAGGGCAAGGAAAAGGAAAAGGAGAGCAGTCCGAAGAAGAAGGGCCAAGCGGATCATTTCAACGACTCGTCGTTCCGCACGACGGAGCTCCCCCCGTCACTCAGTAAGAAGGCAGCCGCACGCCTGGGGATGATGCACCTCTCGCCCTCGGGCGCTACATATCAACCCCCCGGCATCGTCGTGTTTCCGTCGACGTTCATTCCGATGGATCCCGCGGAGATAGAGATGCATACATGCCGACATATGCACACACTCATGAGCTGTCACGTTGCTATTGAGCAATTCGTCTCGGAGGTCTCAGACGACGATGGGAAGCCACTGATCGACCCAAGGGATATGCAGGATGCGTTGTGGGATTATGCCATGTGAGTTCACCTCTCGCGTCCTGATTAGTTGTCGGACGGACTACTCATAGGACCCCCTCTCTTTTTCTTGTGGGCAGATTCCGGCGCCGACGATTTAACTGGCCTTCTGAAATTCCCGATCTGAGATTCCAGGTGGATGAGCACCCGCACCCTGATGCGACAGCGGTCGAAATTTTGGCTCACAAGAACCTCTGGCGCACCCAGAAACACGAGCGGGTTGCAAGTATGTCCTCGACTCACAGCCGCCCCGCTGAAGTCAACCCTTCCTGCGACGCGGACGGCCTCACCTTTGTGCGCTCCATACGCATCTTCGATGCCACGAAAAGCCCAGCATTCTTCTAATCACTAGCACCGACACCCACAGATTCATACCACCAACGTCCACAGATTTATCATCAACCTACAACGACCATCCTAGACTACCTGCTTGCTTTCTGGTTTCGACCTCACGACCTCAATCTTTGGGCTTTGTACTGCTATGTTATATTTAAAGGACGCTCCGCCAAGGAATACGAAGAATTATGACAAATGTGTAACTGGATCGTTGTTTATTCTTCCCAGACTCTCCTACCCCTATTCTACATCTTGCTGTCGTCGCTTTCTTGCCGCATTGGCACGCATACCTTATCGCCTCATCACTATGCTAGTGAAACATCCACTTTACAAACATGCTTCTACTCAGATTCGAGTTAATTCTTGTTGTACAACATTTGCGACATTCGATAGATTTTTTCAACTTATAGCCTGATGGAAGTTAAGATTTATAATTGAAAAGGATCAGTCAACGCAAGAGTTTCACGATGGATATAATTTGTGAGAGGCTCGTGCATACATGTGAAGAAATCCAAGATATAATGATATGTGAAAATCAATCTGTGACCGTAATGTAATGTAAATAAGGAGAATATGCTTTTCTACAACTTGCACTCCGAGGCAGGAAGCTGGTAAGCGTTGACTTCGATCCTACCAAGCTGGTTCGCCTTTCCACCCGTCAACTTGTCCATTGCCGCCTGAGCGGCGTTGAAACCAACGCCCGATGTGTCAATAGCGATCAGCTTGATCGTGACGCCGGTCTGCGGGTAGGTGAGACTCCAGCATGATCCACAGTTAGGCGAGCTCCATGACCCGACGGCGAAAGCACCGCCAATATAGGGGAAGGTGGGTAGATCGCTGAAGGTCGGGAAGCGTTCCACAAGTCCCTTGGGCCCATTGGAGCAAGCGACGCTGTTCATAGAACCAGACCCATTGTCGTACGTATTGTCATATGTAAGAGGAAGCGACATCATGAGGGGATTGGAATTTGGGTTCGGAGGGCAGTTTGACGGGTATGGAGGGGTAGCACTACCCGAAGGGGGAGGGGGATATGAATGGGACGATGAAGGAACTGGATATGAACTGGACGAGGGATAGGGCTTCGAAGAGGTGGACGGTGGATACCACGAAGAGGTACTCGAAGGATACCATGTCGTGGTTGCGGAGGTGGTTGTATACGGAGAAGTGGTCGATGTAGTAGATGAGTAGGTTGAGGTGGTGGAGGAATACACCGGGGACGTAGATGGTTTGGACCAGGTCACCGCAGACGTCGCAGACGTCCCCGATGGGCTGTTGGGTGTGGGGGGAGCTCCACCGTCCTGAGGAGCGGCAGCGGTGCCGTGGAAGAGTGCAGCGACAGCGATGAAGGACGCAGTGAACTTCATGGTGAATAGTGGTATAGCAGATAGATGGTTGGTTGGGTAGTTATTGAGTGTGTAAATGCAATGAATTGGTGAAGGAAAAATAAACGAAGTTCAACTCCCCTTTTATACACATTTACGGATAGGAGGAATACGAGAGCGCGCATGGGCCTCTTGAGTGGGTGCTGTGCGTTGAGCAATGGTGTCGGAAGATATGGCTGTCCTCTGAAACTTCCGACCGAGTTATACGAAAATAGGTCAACAAGTGAATGAAAGGCAGTGATAACTGATGGGGTAATGCTGCGTAAGTGTCTCGGGAGGACATGCACGCGAGACATACAAGAGTCTGCACACTCATCTTTCAGTATGAAACCACTGGGTCGAATATCCATTCTTTGTGGGTGCTGTACATTGTTTCCATTCCTACGCGAAATAAGCTCTAGAATTCATCCAGATTGGGCACCAAAGTCAGTGCTTGGAGGATTAAGATAGCTTCGAGCCGAGACGCGACAGGAGCTTCCATCATGTGATACAACATAATAACCACGTGATTAACTATCCCCCGAGGTCTACCAACGCATCTGCCAACATCATGTAGACTTGGACCACAAAAGAACGAAATCATCAACGAGTGGACGTATGCATCCAGAGACATTCAATCGCCAAATATTTTGATAACCTTGACTTCTTGATCAATGCCTTCGAATAACTGGAAGAAAGGGCTCTCGTCGCCCGTTGCGAGATCGATGAATTCTGTTAAAAGGTGTTTCGCTTCTGGAGATGTGTGGGTCGGTTGTGCGTTACCGAATCGAAAAGAATTGGGGGACATACCGAGTGCCGATAAAAATATCTGCCATGTCTCCTCGTTCCGTACAGTCAGTGCAAGAATCACGGTCGCCGTTCGACGTATGTCCAACGTCAGCACAAGATGGAGCACAGACACCAGCGCTGGTATGATGTCAGGATGATAAACCTAGGTGAAAGAGTGAACAGATCTTTCATAAGTATGTGACGAAGGTGTGTTTACCAGGTCAGCTCCAAGTACAACGTCCAGACGAGCTTCACGGAAAAACTGCAGAAGTGGCTTAGAGGAGTGATGATTGAGTGCATCAGACCAGTCCAATACTCGGGTGTGAAGGTTCTTGTGTTGAGACGAGATATCTGGGACGTCGTATCAACGGCGGCGGGTTCTGCTTGCGAGGGTACATACTACATGAGAGATGGACGTTATTGCAGCATCTCTTGAGAACGTCCTCGTGCGCATCTGTGAGCCATAGCGTTGATTCATTGTCTTGATCGTCGAGCATCTGCAAACGCCCCATTATAATCCCTAGGAATCCGGTCCCGGATCCCAACTCCAGAACGTTCTTATTAATTACGAGCTCTGATATGCAATATGTACATCAATCTAGATGGGCAGAAAAAGGGCCGTGATCCATACCGGGGTGTGAGATCAAGTATTGCGCCAAAACAAAACTCGCTCGCCATGTGCGTAGCCCCGTTGTACCATTTTCGATAATCGTACGAGACTCAAGGAGAGTGGCCGTGTCGTATCCAGTGATGGCCTGTAACTCTCGATCTACCCAAGGGGACTTCCAGTAGTGAGTGACGAAAGACGGAGGAGGCGAAGCTATATTGCTTTGTCTTTTCGGAGCATTCAAGACCTCGGGCGCAAATGAGTATTGTTCAAGCTCACGTCTGCTGAGATACGGATAGCATGGTAACGTATCTCTCATAAAACCGTTCATCGAGTTCGCAGTCCTGATCCAGATATCATGAGCCTGAATCCTGGATGAGGATATAATTGGTCAATACTTGCGCTATCGTCCATCAGAGCCTCTAGTTGACCGATAGCCCATCTCCAGAACGTATGCTGATAATAAGCGGATGGGGGGTGTTTAGCTAGATGGGGGTTTAACAGAACCGAGCCTAAGATATAATCGTGCACAAGAGTGAAGGGTAGATCAGCAGGAAACGTGATGAGTTTAGGAGGAACTAGAGCGGAATATGCTCGGAGCAGATTGAGGAGTTCAGGTGAATCCATCTTTTAGCCCGTCTTACTGAGAGTTCAAGATTTGAGCAAGTCGTTTAGCTTTAGGTGCCTATTAGGCTTTGCAGCCACTGACGCGTCAAACCTGCCCTGAACTGGACACGTGATCGCCTCTCCGAATGGCCTCAAATTTTTCTCAGGGCTACGTTTCTCAAATGGTTGCCCACTTGCGAACAGCTCTTTCACAAGCACCGCAGCGATGGTCAATATGCTCCACGCGTAGCATCTCCTCTTCATCTATCCTTCGTAAGGAACGCCCTTCTAGAGCAGACGAAGATGGAGATGAAGAAGGCGGACGTCGTGCCGTATCGAAGGATCCTTCCTGGAAGGAATGGGCAGGCACTGTGGGGAAGCAGTTTGCGGAGTCTCATCGTCCCCGCAATTGGCTTGGAAATCAAGTAGTTGAGTCCGTCTGTCGCTCATCACGGTTGATGAGATATGGCTTGGCTAACATGTTACATGTAGCCATTTCCGTTGAATCCATCGTTTCAGCCTCCTACTCCGGTCTCGGAGTCCATTCGCAACACTTTGTACAGACAATTCATGGCGAACCCAGAGACGAACTCAGTCCGAAATCTCGCCTCTCGGTACCATCTCAGTATCAAGCGAGTAGAGGCCATCCTAAGGTTGAAAGGCCTGGAGGCCCACTGGATCAAGGTTCGTAACTTCTTCATCGTTGCCATTCTCTGCTCCCCTGCATTAGAAGCTTGTGATGAGTACAAAAATCGATTAGTCTTGAAGACACATTCATGGTTAACAAATTTAACAAATTCTGAATTTCTGACCTTCTTTATATTCTATCACTCTGCTGACGCCGTTTGCAATTTCATAGGTAATTGAAACTCATCATCACAGCTTACTGCGAAGCATTTGAGTTGTAGTCCTGACCTGCATCCGCGCTCTTTTGTTAATTTCTAGGAGGTGAGCTGTCGTTTTTGTCAATGCACCTGAAAGACCATCGTGTGCCATACATCACTCGGCTCTTGGTTATATCGATTTCAACCCCATCTGAAATTTCTCCCTTCTCACCTCGATATCAATGCTCGTGCTAATCTTGTCATTCAGGGTAAACCTCTACAAACAGGTTTCCGCGCGGGGATGGAGAAACTCCTCGGCGTGAAAGCAGATGCTGAGGCGTTCACGACACATGAACAATGGGTCAAATCTCGCTTGAACGTCATCGAGACAGACACAATGGATCAGGTTGACGGTAATGATCCCGCTCGTTCCAGATACCAGCACATGTTTTGGGAACCCGTCGCTGAAGGCAGTGTAAGTCATCTTTCATGATCAGTGAGCCTCGGGGCCCTTATTTTGAGTGCAGGAACCTATCTTGCCCGCTATGATTGACAAGGCGCGCACTGAGGGTAAGAAATCCAAGAAAGAAGATGGGGCCCAAAAGTCAGATGACCTTGGACGACATTACAACCGGGCAAGGAAGGTTGTTACAACGAGTGGTGATACCTCGGGACGTCCGATGATTGAGTTTGTTGATGTTGGGGGTAAATTCTTAGATCCTAGAGACCAACAGAGTAGGACGAAGGAGAGTGAGCGGAGAGCACGGTTGCGGACCAAGAAGAGGCAGTCTCCACAAATGAGGAGTACATCCCAGGAGTCCGTTGCCGTTGCTTGATATTCCTCGTTTATTGCATTTCTCCTTATTACTTCGCATTGTCATTTTCATGTCTTGTCGTGTCTCCGCCCTATCACTCATAATTGGATGCTTTTGAATTGATTGATTCGCACGCAACTATCAATGTAGATGATATATATAGCCATAGATGCATCTCTAGCACATGCAACGGTCATTGCGACGGCTAGTATGCATAACGGAAGTCTAGCCTTTTGTTTCCAACGTCTTTTGTGGTTTCAATGTACTCTGCTCGTTCCTATAGGAAAACATACATGAGTGTGTCGGGCGTTACAGTTATCGCCACGGACCTCTGGGCTCATGGCATTCCATGTGCCGTCTCTCCTTCTATTGATAGTCTGGTAAAAGAAGTAGGTGCCAATATAGATCACAATGTTCATGGCGCAGACGCCGATCAGCGCGCGGTTTCCCTTCTTGTCTGAAAAAAATGACAGCGTCAAGATTTGATAAATAAATGATTAAGTTTGGAAACCTACACAAGGGTTTGTCGCTCGTACGATAAATATTGGCCTAGATAAAGAACATGAGCAACGCAAGGGACTGCTAATAGTCATCTATCGCAAATCGACACACATAGACGACAGCACCAGCCTGTACGAATATATTGTAGACCGAAGCTGAGATTGTCCTCGTTCGGACGCTATACGAGTTTCGCGATGCCCAAGCGACTTGTACGGGATGTACATATGGGAAACCGACGATTAGTGTGACGACGGCAAAATACACCCATTCAGACGTGTTCTTGTCGAATGTGTACAGAGCAATTAGGAGTGGAAGGGCCCAGATTTGCAGGATGATTGTCGCCATCACTCGACTGTTAGTGATCTCACTAAAGTACGCAGCGAAGACGAGACCCAAAATACCAATCACGTAGGCTGGGATGCTGAGGAGGCTGGATATCGCGGTCGAGAAACCAAGATTGCGGAGAGATAATGTGAGGTAAACCTGAGGAGGACCGACGGGTACTAAAGTAGGATGTCAACATACTAGAGTGAGAAAAACTGGAAAATATTTACTCATGTGCACTAGTCCGAGAACATATATTGGCCACATGGTCCAGTCTTTCAGGGCTTGCCAAATCATTTTGATAGATAATCCTTCACGATTGTGCATATCCGATTTGGAAGGATCGTCACGGAGAACTCTGCGGGACAACAATTAGATGCAAGTTACAAAGAAGATTATGCTCGTTGTATCGTCCTACCTGTTCACCATGATGACTTCTTCGCTGTATGATCATCAATAGATAGAGCAAGACTTGAGGTGAAAGGACGCACCGTGCGGAAAACCAACCCTTAGGTCTGTACCAGGCCTTCGTTTGTGTGGGGCCAGGTGGCATCATCGCGAACGAAATCAAACCCACCAAACAAGTCATCACTCCCTCCAGGAGAAACAGGTATCGCCATCCTGCTCGGCCGTTATGCCCTCGAAGACGAAGGATGCCCACGGCCAAAAAGGCGCTGACAATGTGCGTGAGATAGTTTGACACCCAGAAGAAAGCTAAACGAATGGGCACTGAAAAAGTGGGTTATCAGCTCAAGTTCGAGGCTTCGATGAATCAGGAGTTACATTCGTTCTTCGTGTAGAAGTAAGAAAGATATAGGACCACGTCGGGAATAAATCCACCTTGAAGGAAGCCGAGCAGGAACCTGAGACGAGCATCTCGATTGATGGTTTCATATGGATGAAGCGGAGACATACCTCGTGGCTAGAAATGAACGACGATCCGACAACCAATACTGGCTCCAAGAAACAATGCTCCACAATACCATCTAGCAAGTATTCATATTGATGAGCATACAATCAACGTTTCATCGGCCAACCCTCTCACTTGAGAAGGAATCCAGACATCAGGCCCTACTCGTTTCGAGACCAATTGCGAAGGAAGCTCGGCAATCAAAAACGCCAATCGGAACAGTGTGTTACCCAAGTTGAAATCATCAGTGGTCAGATTGAGGTCGTCGAGAAAATTGTCGGTATTTGCTTGCGAGATGTTGCCGCGATCCAAGTCCAGCGAGAAGAACATGATGAAGGCCCAAACCATGATCTTCCAGTCAATCTTGCGAACAACAGCCTTCATAATGAATGTCACTACTCAGAATGAGCGTCACAGAAGTCCAAGTAAGTCAACGTACCCGTTCCTCTCGCCATGTCCACCGAGCGTTAGGATCGAAACGATGCGCATTCTCATATTGAGCTGGTGGCCGATACGCTTCCGACATGACTGGGTCATCAAACACAGATGGTTGTGTCGCGATAGCATCGAGATCCTTTTTTTCGCGTTGCCAGAGAGGTAAATGATCGTCGATGGGTGCGCCTAGATGCAGAGGCGGCTCGTCCGAAGAGCTGTCTTTGATGCCCTGCTTCTCGTCAATGCTCTCGTTCAATGACGCAGGCTTCTTAGGAGAAGGAAGGACTGTGGTCATGGTCACTTCGCAGATGAGACGAGAGCCCTAGGTGTAAGAGGAGGCAGTCGTAAAAGTGAGCGGCAATGACATCGTGTGTCCATGAAGCAAGTTGATTATAAGGTGCGCCAACGCCGGCGGCAAAGATAACATTTCGGACAAGGAAAAGAAAAGATGAGACCAGCTGGTCGTATTGCGCTACTCAGGTTCGGATGGCGCGATGAGACGGTGAGACGGTCTCGACACGTGACCTACTGCACTCTCAACATCGACTGCAATGAGGAGTGATGAGAAGTACAGCATTGATTCGACGATGGTAACAAAAAAAAATGGAACTCTACATTGCTGAATGTTTTTATTTTCTTCAATTTTCTTCTATCGGCGCGGCACTCCTCCTCGTCCCCGGCCTCTGAGCGCCCGTCCAGCGGTCCCTGGTGGCGCTTTGGGACCTGCGGTTTGCTAAAGTACGGCTAAGTAAGCACCCTTACAACAGCGGGATTTGGTGAGCACTTACTGCTTCGCTCTGGGGATTCCTGACAGTCTCATCTACACTGATAATGAGACAAGCCGCCTCCACAGCACTACTGATCGCGTTGACTTTTACGAGGCTTGGCTCCCAGACGAACGCCTCCATGTTGTCCCGGACACCCTCAGGGCCATCAACATCGACACCAAACCATCTTTCGCCGTTGGCATGTTTCATACGAAGCTTATTCAGAATATCGGTGGAGTCGAGACCAGCGTTGTCACAGATCTGGCGAGGGATAACTTCGAGTGCCTTGGCGAAGGCGATCTGCACGAGTTGCAGCTTTCCTGGGATAGAAAGTGCGTGCTTCCGGATGTAAGCAGAGAGTTCCATCTGTAGATAAAGCGCAGCTCGCGATCAAAACATAGGCAAGGAATACAGAAGGTAACACACCTCGATGGCGCCACCGCCGGCTACGACTTCACCATTCCTCACAGCCCGCTTGACAACCATGATAGCATCGTGCAAGCTGCGTTCTACCTCCTCGATGAACTGTTCGGCGCCGCCGCGTAGCAGTAACGTGCATGTCTTCGCTTTGGGGCACCCCTCGAAAACATTATACCGTTCGCCACCGATTTGCCGTTCTTCAAACTTACCACATGAGCCCAAATGCTCCCGGCTGATGTCTGAAGTTGTGGATTGAATCGATCCTCCCAACGCCTGCACGACCCGGCGCAGATCGCTAGCAGGAACACGGCCTGCGCAGAAGATGTCACGGTCCGCAAACCATTGTGTCGCAAGATCTCCTATAGGCAGCTTGCTCAAAACAACTTTGGCGCCCGTCTTCTCGATTTCCTCCAGCTTCCGATAGATGATCTCCCACTCTGCATCTACAATTGCCTGGTAATCGGAAACAGCATCCACCCGGACCTCCGCATTGTCCTTCTCAGCCTTGAGCTCAAGTTCGACGTTGAGAGAAAGAACCAAAGGGTCCTTGAAGGATTTTGGTTGTTGCTCGGCACCAGCGTAGGTGAAAGTCTTTTTGAATGCAACACCACCAATGAGGAGGGAATCTTGCATACCGCCCCCAGGTATTTTTTTGACTCCGATGAGAGATTCGTCCAGATCTTTCTGGTCAAGGGAAAGTACGGCGTCCACAACCATTTTTGAAAAGAAAGGCTTTTCGGAATGGATGAGTTTCGAGGACATGGACGTTGAAGCAACCTTTAACAGGAGGGAACGGAACGTTCTACAATGGTATGAGCTCCATCTAGAGAGGCGATGGTGGAAACACGCTCACTCTGGGTCAGACTTATCAACAGAGACCTGGATTTCCTTGATGCGATCGACCGCCTGATCGAATATGGTCACGTACAAAATCTTGAGAGTATTAATCGAGTAACGTACCAGCTGAGAGGCCTGGCGGAACCCTTTCATGATGATGTGAGGACTAACATCCTCTTCAATGTATCCTCGAATCTCCTTCATAAACTGCGCAGCCAGCAGAACCACACTTGTCGTGCCATCGCCCACTTCCGCATCCTGAGCCCGTGCGATATCCACCAATGACCTTGCTGCAGGATGAACGATCTCGAGGAGTTTCAGGATCGTCGCACCGTCGTTCGTAATCTGAGCCTGTCCCTTGTCGTTGACGATCAGCTTGTCCATACCTCTAGGACCGAGGGTGCTGGAGAGCGTGTCCGCGATCGCAAGACACGCCGAAATATTGGACAGAAGCTGTCCTTTTCCTTGCGAAGAGTCTGTGCCCTCCTTGAGGAGGACAACGGTAGGTTGCTGCAATGTACAATAAGATTTTGTTGGCCACAGACAACAATAATGATAGCTACCATAGGCAAAGGACGCTGCATATTTGAGTATACTGTTGTCGATGCCCGAAGTCGAAAATGCAGTAGTTAGATCTGGCTGACCAGCAGGTGTTTATCGTTGTTTGTCTCGACGCGCTCGACGCGTCTCGCAACGAACGCGTCCGTCATTTCGCTACGCACACTTTGAACGTCAGTGGAGGTGAGACTGACGACCTATGTCTCAAAGCTCTCCTTTCTTTAAAGGGTCGCGCAATGAAGCCAATGAAGCTGATTTGATCGAGCCCGCAATTCCCGAGCCTGCTACCGACGTGGACATGATCGAGGGAGAAACGGACGTAGCGAACGCTTCAGAGGGTCGACCCAAGAGACCACTATTCTTCGCAGGAAGCGATGACGAGGACCAGAAGCCTCAAGCGCGTTACAAAACGCCGAAGCCCACGCCTGTCTACATGGATGACGAGGACGAACCCATGATAGTCCTAGGCGATGAGGTCGACTTACCTCCCTTTGCCTCGTCTCCGAGGTTCTCGAGCGCGTCGAGTACTTCATCTTCCCACGTCCCAAGACCTTCATCTCCCGTGTCCGCTCCTGAAGATATAGATCCTCCAGCCAAGAAGCGCCGCCTATCTCCCACTGCGCTCCAGAGCGACAATAAACCCCCCTTTCATTCCGCATATATAGGATCGTTTCTCGTCGGAAATGCTTGGAGCACAGTTAAAGGCAAGGGCTATATCACAAATGGAGACGAAATTTGCGTCGAGCTCGACAATGTTGATGAAGCATCGTCCAAGATCCGCCTTCCTTCAAATGGGAAGGGTGCTCAAGGGAAGAAGAAGCAGTTATCTATCGATACCATGTTCAAAGCGGCTCAACAGTCTAAGCCTGCCAAGAAGAAGCTAAGTTCTGTCGTTCATTTAACGAATAAGAAGGGATTTGGTATGCTTTTCCACGATCGTGCCTTCACCGATGCTTATGGACACCTTCAGAATTTGGCCGGCTCCCACAAGATATTGCGGTCTGGGTCGGCAAACTGCTTGAACTTAGTATGTAAAGAACACGGAGCTTTTCGACCATCAACTTAAACTATACACAGAGATCATTGACTTCCGAGGCAGCTTGATGGTCGAGTGTCCTCAAGTCTTACATTCCGGAGCAGATCTCGTCGTTTCACTATCTATTTACATCAAAGCCTCCGCATTCAAACAACTTACAGTTTCGTCAGCAGATGGTCCTAAAACAATGTTTAATCAAGGGCAGGAGACTGCAGAAGAGCAAGGCCTTCGCGAACGGAAAGGCTCATTGATGCGCCTATTGGATGCCGTGGGCTTAAAGCTTGTGAACGGAAACAACGCTTCCAAAATTCGTCAGCATGCTAATGGTCAGCTGGGTGACGATGACCTACGACAACTGACACAAGGCCACCGGAAGAACAACAATTCTAAGGAACCTAAGTCTAAGGATTCTGCCAAAACTGATACTGCCGGAGACAGCAAGGAAGTCGAGGTGGAAGAGGATGAGGACTTGGCTGACAACGAGCTCGATCTCATCTATAAACGGCAAGTTTTCTCGTTCATGTCCGCCCATTCAAGGCTCATGACTTCATTCAGAGCACAACAGAATGATCAGGCTATCGCGGAGATGGAGCCGGCCGATAGCTTCCAATTCACCCTACGACCATATCAAAAGCAGGCGCTCTAGTACGTGAACCGTAGATGACTATGATATTGCTCAAATGACCAGGAATAGCTGGATGCATTCTCTTGAAATGGGCCTGGTGTCTGCACGAGCAGCCGATTCTATGCACCCACTTTGGAGCGAGTAAGCCCTCGGTGTAAGATATTTATCTGCTCTTTTATATGATAACTCGGTCCAGGTATCGCTTTCCACTCGAGACTGTTGATGGAATCACAGATCTTGAGCAAGAAGAACAGCCGTTTTATTTCAATTCATACTCGGGAGAATTGAGTCTAGAATTCCCTAAAGCTGAGCGTAGATGCAGAGGCGGTATTCTCGCGTGCGTTGGTTCATCTATATTCTGCGGTCGATGCTAACACTCCTCGACCCCATAGAGATGGTATTGCACAACCCAATTCTATGCTTATTGATTGATACTCACCTAGAAATTTGTCTGTATAATTCTCTTCACCAGAAAGTGCGCATACATGTCATGTTATGCATCATATCATGGACTGACGTTGATTCACCGCAGTGGGCATGGGTAAAACGATCATGATATCGTCCCTTATTCATACGAATCCTGGCCCTGACGCACTCCCTACGCCTTCCCAACCCAATGCCAAATTATCTGGCAAACGTCAAGTCCGACTGGACCATGCCTTTCAATCTATCTCAGTGAAGTCTGGGTCCTCAAGGGGACCATGTGCGACACTGATTGCTGCCCCAACGTCGCTTTTGGCGCAATGGGCAGAGGAACTCCAACGATGTAGCAAACCCGGCACAGTCAAAACCTTCGTCTGGCACGGCCAGAATCGCACAGACATTGATGCCGCGATCGACGACGATACCGAAGGCGTGATGAATGTTGTCATCACTTCATATGGCACGCTAGCTTCTGAACACGCGAAGGTGGAGAAATCAGGGAACAAAGCGTCGCCGATATATAAAAGTGAGATAGACTTTTCTATTACATTTCAAGTACTCAAATGAGCCCTTAGCGGAGTGGCTTCGCGTCGTGATAGACGAAGCCCATCATTGTAAGTCGCGCTTGAGCAAGACAGCGAAGGCGGTCTATGCGCTGCATGCAAGACGTCGCTGGGCTGTCACTGGAACACCGATCGTCAATCGACTAGAGGACCTTTTCTCGCTGCTGTACGCCTTACAAAATATTGTGATCTATCATTTATCAATCTTTCCAATTTAGAAAATTCCTCGACTTCTCCCCGTGGTCCGACTACACGTTTTTCCGCTCGTGCGTTTTTTTTTTGAATCTGTTTTTTGTTCTTACCTTTCTAACATTCATTTTAGGTTCATCACATTACCTTTCTTGGCACATGACCCGAAGGCCATTGAAATCGTTCAAGTGATCCTGGAAAGTGTGTTGTTGCGGCGCGAGAAGAATATGCGAGATAGTGATGGCAAGCGGATTGTGGAGTTGCCTGCGAAGGAGGTATATTCGCACAACGAGACTTCTTATCGGTATTAAACTGATTGTTATCGCAGGTAACGGTCGATATGTTGCCATTTTCAACGGCAGAGAGGATGATCTATGATTCAATATATGATAAGGCGAAGAAGAATTTTGATCAACTTAACGCCAAAGGTCTTGTCAACAAGAATTATACACACATCTTAGCCATGTTGATGCGGTAATGTCAGCCAACGATTCTTCAGAGCACCGCACTCATTCATCCTTAGGCTGCGTCGAGCTGTGCTCCACCCCAACCTAGTTGCTGAAGATAGCAACGCGGAGTTGTTGAGCGACAACAAAGCTATTGACATTGACTCTATGATTAAACAATTCTCACAGGCCCAAAACGCAGCTGGAGACAGTGCTAGCGGGAGTGGAAATACGTATGCAGAGGACGTACTGACGAATTTGAGCAATAATGCTGGTCTAGAAGCAAAGGAATGTCCTATTTGTATGGATGTTATGGAAGTACCCATGATGTTTCCTGATTGCATGCATCCTTGGTTCGTCTACGCCTCTGCTCGATGATTACTCATTGCTCACAAGTGTTGACAGTTGCAAAGATTGTGCGACCGGCTTCTTGGAGTCATGCTTAATCCGAGGTGAAGATGGCCGGTGTCCGACGTGCAATCGAGGGCCTGTGAAGGTAAGTCCATTGGCAGCAACACGTGATTATAGGAGCTGATAGCTCCTTGACCGCAGGAGAATGAACTTCTCGAGGTGTTTCGCCCACGGAAACATGAACCCACTAGCTCTTCGCCTCTGCGTTCGCAGAGCGCCCTGCCTGAGGTGATTCTGCGGCGCAATGACTTTCGGTCCTCGACAAAGCTCGATGCACTCATCCAGAACCTTCGTGTGTATTCAAGTCAACATCAAATTCTATCTGACTGGACCATGTTGATGTATAATCAGGTCGCTTGCAAGATCAGGACCCTTGCTTCCGTGCAGTTGTCTTTTCACAGTTTACATCTTTTCTAGACCTCATTCAGGTCGCCCTGGAGCGCGAGGACCTTGCCTGGTTCAGATTTGATGGATCGATGGATGTGAAGAAGCGGACTCATGCAGTAGCAGAATTCAAAGAGCCTTCGAGGAGACCAAAGGTCCTGATTATCAGTCTGAAGGCAGGCGGTGTGGGATTGAATGTGAATTTTCCTCAAAATATGTACTGCGATTCCACTGACGGCAGACTGCAGCTGACGACGGCTAATCATGTATTCATGGTATGTTTCATGGACGAAAGGCGGTATGGACTTGTAAACTCACTTGAATCTCAAGATGGATTGTTGGTGGAACGCAGCGACTGAGAGTCAAGGTAAATTCAGTCTTTCTTATCATCAGATCAACCTAACAACAATTACAGCAATCGATCGCGTTCACCGAATAGGCCAAGAAAAAACTGTCTACGTGAAACATTTCATTGTGAATGTCCCTGGTCTCATCTCGAACAAATGCTCATATGAACTTATTTAGATTGAAGATACGATTGAAGGAAGAATTCTTGAGATACAGAAAAGAAAGACAGCGCTCGTGAGGGAGGCGTTTCGAGGCACTAAAGGGTCGGATGGAGCAGACCCGGAGAGTCTGGAGAACTTGAAGATCATGTTTGGTGCTTAGATGCTCGCCTATACCTACTATGACCTTATTAATTACTATCTTGGAACTGTGTCATGAGTTGATTCTATGATTGACGATGAGAAAGGGTGCTGGATTAGGATGGAGCTCCGCTCTACAATACGATACATTTCACGCTAAAATATTCTGCGCGGGGCCCAACCAGTTCATTTACACAGGTCGTCATGGGGTCCAAGTGTAGTTGTTCAGATATGAACGAAGAAGAAAAGAAGAGATGTAAAGCCATCATAATTCAAACGGATATCGCTCGCAGAACTCGGCTTTTGTCATCGCTTCTCCGTTATTCTGAAAGAATTCTGTCAACCGGCGATTGAGCTGGGGGAGTGTCATGGGCTGAGTGCATTGCATGGAGTAGTGGTCGGAATGTTCGTGTAAGAGAACAAAGTCTGGCGGAAATGCAGTCCCTATGCGAACTGTGAGCGACCTACCTGGTGAAGGGTAGAGAGCAGTTTACCTTCTTTGACGAGGTAAATGGTGGTGTTGCGACCTCGGAAGTTGCGGACAACTTCCTGCATCATAGGGCCATTAGGGCGGAGAGATGCTCCATTTGGACCTACAACGAAAAGACGAACCGCAAATGTGCATCGGAATGCACACGATATATGCCATCGCAGCAACGGGAGGGTCGCGTCAACATCATGTCGGGACCACTTGTACCCGGGACTAAATATTGAGAAAACGGTAGGCAGTCACTTACCATCGAAGTTTGGACCGGGCCTCGGGTGCACCTTGCCATCTTCTTGAATATGCAGATCGTAGCTCGTCCGTCCAAGTTTCTTCTGCACTTGGTAATCCCGCAAGATGATCTTGTTGCTTGCCCCAATTCGGAAAAGGTCCACGGGGAAACTTTCAGTATAACGGGCGATGAGGGGTGGATGCCTATCCCAAGGAGTGCCATGACGGATTGAAGATGTCGTGAATAGTCGATAGCTCGGTTTGGAAACGCGTGGAAGGCGGAGCATTGACTGCATTGGATGATCGGACGACAATTGGACTTTGGAAGAGGATGGAAGAGCTACTTCGTTCATGCGATTACATAACCGTATGCTTCATCAATGCGTTCTCGAAAGGTTCAAACTGAGACGTTTCACAAAAGAGATGCCAGCGGGAGTGGAAATACAGACGAGCTACGCAACGCAAACGCTACCTATTTGATGCCAAGTTAAAGATCGTGTAAACCACCATTATAAGACAATGTTTCTCCTCCTTTGTCTCCACCAATACCAGACCAGGAGAGTGTAAATACACAAGATGCTGAAGACACCCACGACAATGCCCCCAAATATGTAGAAGTGACCGTCTGGAATGTTGGTAGGAATGTTTACATTCGTCGAGAATAGGCCTATCAGCATCACGACATCGTGAGCCAACACGAAAGATGGTGAAGAGAGGCGAGATGCATACCAATAATTATTTGCGGGGGAAGGACGGCCATACTGACAAAAGTAAGGATGAAGATCGCCTTGTCGCCGCTTGACCTCCCAAGGGAGAGGGCGACCCGCAGGTTGTTTAGGTAGGTAGGTTGCAACTGGCTGAGCATGCGCTCGTAATGTGCGAGTGACTGCTGCAAAGTGAGGATATGATCTACAACAGCTTGCTTAGTGCACGGGGAGGCGTGAATAAGGTAAGAGCTGACCTTGGACATCGGCCATATATATTGCGACCTCCACATCGTCTCCTCCCGCATTTAAGTGGCCATGTTCATCGGCAGTGAGTAGTCGCTTCTGGAGCTGAGTGACGACCTCAGACTTCGTGACAAGCACCCGCCCCACTGAGGTAACAAGCCTCCTCACCCTCGTCATACGTTTCAAAGTCAAGGACGTCGGGTTGTTGGCTAGTTGGGCATACGTAGTCGACTTTGAAGAAATCAACCCTGACCAAGTCCGATGGAGAGTTCGCTTGAACCGATGATATGTCAAGGACAGCGTCGGACGGGGGAGAGAAAAATGAGTTTTGGAGGGTTTTATGGATGCTACATCTTTCCGCGAGGATTGTTTCTCGTCACTAATAGTTGAAAGAAGGAAGGGTTTCTCGCTGTCGCGCGTCTTTGGCACAGTTAAAGACGTAGCCTTGACTTCAAGAGCGGGCAACTTGGTCGGCGCCTGGACCACGCCATCAGAAAACACGATGTTTTCTACAGCTACTATTTCTGCTTCCATCGCCTGCACGAAAGGGAAAAAACCGTCAACTATGGAATCAAGCATTCCGTGGGCAATCCAAGCTATAAGGTCCGTTAGTTCCATACATAAGCCAGCCGCTAACAAATGACTAACCAGACGACATGCTGAAATTCTCTCCTCGAATCGATAACTTAGTGCGAACACGTTCGGTATGTTCTACAATTCATGTGTTAGAAAAACGATGCAAGGCAGGATGGTTTAGTTACCCGATATATCTGAAAAATGAAACTATGATACAACCCTGTCATTATTAGTGCGTGCAATGACATTTCGGCTCACTTACCAAGCATAGTCCCTCTTTGAAAACAACGAGGTATACATAAACTTCATCAACGAAACCATCATCGTTACTCCTATCGTCAAGGATGTTTAACCGCTCGCGTGTTCTATTGGATTCTATGGCCCGAATGACGAGAAAATAGTATCCCAACTTTGGAAAAAGTTCCAGCTTCTCCCGAGGTTCCTGCTGCAAGATATCCTCGAGAGTCAGAGGATGAAGATGCAATAGCTAAGCCAGAAGAAATGAGCATCGACAAGATTAAGATAGATGTAGAGCCTACTTTGCCTATCGCGCGCATGTCTTCCCATGTAGGGCTAGCAACGTCCAGCCACCACGCTTGTTGGACCGTCTGGTCTGGAGCCAATGTCACTCCACCGATGACACTGGGAATGGGACTCGATATATCCTTCTGTTTGCCTTTTCCTCCCTTTTGAGGTAGAGGAAGGTCAGAAGATGTTGCAAAGCGGTTTGAAACCTCATCAGTCTGTAGTAACATATAATCCTGTTGAGGAAAAGATGCTGGTGATAAGGTGGAGGTGCCCTTCTTTGGAATACGCGACCTCTGCCGGGGTCGACGAGGCTTGATGGGCCGCTTGAGTGCTGCATCTAGCTCTGTTAATATCAGTGACAACGATGTTGTGTGGAGAGCACGCTGATCGTAGGACCCCAGCTGCGATCCTGCAGGTAGCCGCTGGAAGCCTGCGTAGGAAGGTGGCAGATACAGAGAGAACTCTCGGGAAACATAACGACGCTCCTCCCGAGCCTTGATTCTGGCTGCAACCTCGCGCTCTGACTGGGCCCTGTTCAGGTCTGCGACGCTCAACCGCCGCTTGTGCCGGCGATTGACGGACTTGTTGGTGGTGCGGAAGGAAGACCGAGACGAGGATGTGGTTGAATCCGAGCTTAGCGAGGACGTGGACCAGTTGGCACGGGCCCAGCGGGTGATCGCCCGTTCGACCACGGTAGCAATGGCGCCGAGACGACCGCTAGCTAAAATCGAGCTGGAGGATGAGGAAGACGAGGACGAGGAAGACGAGACTGATTCGGGTCTCTGGGGTCGTAGAGAAGGGGGAGGGTCTCCTCTGTAGATGTCATCATCCTCCAGTTCTTCCTCCAGTTCTTCCTTTCTCTCGGGCTCCCGGCGAGCAAGTTGCTGGTCAAGGAAAGAGACTATCAACTCCGAAGGTTGAGCAGCAAAGGCTGCAGGATGCGACGATGAGGCCGGCATCGTGCCTGGTGAAACGGAAAGCGACTGGTATTGCCCAGTGGGAGCAATACAGCATGGAGAATCTACCGGGCCATGGATGCTGTCAATTGGGTCAATTTTTCTGCTTTACTTCTGTCCGTGGTAGCAGTTCCTGAAACAGTATGTTTTTCCCACAGTCGATCGGCTTCTGCTCTACCGAGCCTCTAGTACTCCGCCCTGAACGTTAACATCACCTGTGTTTCACTAATGGCAAAGCGTAACAAAAACCCGCTACAAGACAGTGAAATCATCACAGAGAGCGAGGACGAGAAAGAAGATTCTGATGGACCCAGGGTTGTTCAATGGGTTGACGAGGAGGACCTAGTGCAAAGGCAGAGTGATGGTTCCAGTGACAATGAAGAAGAATCTGAAAATGAGGGCAGCGACGATGAGAGAGGCATGGTATGTATGTCGTTCTTCCAAACCTTTAAATGACTCATCCAGTCATCATAGAGCACACTGCAAAACAGTACGGTGCAGGCACCTGACATTCTTTCCGTCTAATATACATGTTTCGCAGATCTATCAGACTTGCCTTTTGGCGCGCTTCAAAAAGCACACCGTGTTCTGGCGCAGATGACAGCAGACAGCGACTTTGAAGACTCTGAAGACGGCGAGGCACCCCTCTCTGAAGGTGGGCCTTCGAGATGGGGTGAGGAACAGGGGAGTATTGGAAGAGAACAGGGCCCAAGAAAGTCACAAAAAGACATCGCGAAGCGAAAGGATAAACATGCGTATGTACATCCTTTTAAATATCTGCAACATCTGAAATGTTTCTGGTTCTAGGCCAACAGAAGTCACGTCGAAGCGACCCGTACCGCGTCGACGGAATATTGTAGAGATTCCCAAAATGGTGCGTCATACCCCCTCGGCTAGAGCTTTTGAGACGAAGATTGCAAGAGTACTGATTGCGATATTGCAGGAAGTTCGCGACCCTCGCTTCATACCTCTTACAGGCGAATTCGATGCCGCAAAATTCCGTACTCAATACAATTTTATCGCCGACATGCACCTCACCGAGCTCAAAACACTCCGAGATAATTTGAAGCGCGCACGCAAAATGCTTGCATCATCTCCCCATGATTTGCGCGAGGAGCGCGAAAGGGAAGTTGAAGGTCTTGAATTGGCTGTGAAGCGCAGCGAGAGTATGGTCAACAGAGACAAACGGGAGAAGATAGAGCAGGAGGCCCTCAGAAAAGTCACGAAGGAAGAACGTGAAAAGAGGGCACAGGGCAAGGGCGACTTCTGGATCAAGAGTTGTGCGCTCCTTCTACCCTTGCTCTCTCGTATCTCTGGAATGACTGAAGTTTTTTTTATTTTAAAATTTGACAGCTGCCAAGAAAGATATTCTATTGAAAGCTCGATATGAAGCCATCGCTGCAGATGGCGGGAAACGGGCTGTGAAAAAGGCTATTGAGAAGAAACAGAAGAAAGTGAGCCAGAAAGAGACGAAGTCGAGACCTTTCGCTCGCGGCGAAGCATTTAGTGGAAGAGGAGATGGCGAAAAAAGTCGGGAGATGGGCAAACGCCAATTTGAAGGGCAAAATCATCATCCCAGAGGGAATAAGCGGCGGAAGGTTACATGAAGTACGGTGTATGTCCCTCTCAGCTCTATCTATTCTACTTAGTTTTTAATGTAATAGCACAGTCTTCGAGATTCCCCGCGGAATGTGATTGCATTCACGTCGTCAGTTTTCAGACTATGTGATGTCCGTGACCATGCACCTTCCTCGTTCTCCCCGCATCGCTATCCATCATCACGTACCTCCCATTCTCCAACCGTAAATCCAACGTTACGCCTCGGGATGGGACCCCTATCCTCCAAAGTGGTGTCACGCCAAGCCACGCTCCTAGCTTAGACAATAGGTTCCTTCGCGGCTTCAACCTATACTGTAACGAGTCGTTCAAGATACCTTCCCATCTGAATGCAGGGCGTGCAGTTATTGATTCAGCATCGTGGTCCGTGCCGCCCCCCGTGCCAAGGGTAGAAGGACGCCCTTGGGTCTCAATGTCAATCTCCTTCATATCTAGTTCTTCAGATATATTGTGGCCTAGATGGAATATATGCGCCTATGATGACAGGTGTCAGTCCTTTACAGAAATCGCGAAGAGAGGAACGAACCTCAGTTGAGCCATGGAAGACGATGTCATTCAGACGGATATAAATCTTGTTCAAGAAGCCTGAAGTGATGAAATCACCGCCCCAGGGCGGCGTCTTGTGTAGTAAACCACGCTGGATAAGGAATGTCTCTAGTGCTGACCGAGGAAGAGGGGTATATGCAATTGAGGAAGCATAGTGTGGGTTGAAGTCTGGGGCGTGTATCTCCAGAGCCTTGATCGTGTCGTGATTTCTTCTCCAGAAATCGTCCTTGAGGTCGAAGACATCAGCAGAGGGTTTAGAATCGGGGTAGCAAGAAACCCCTCACCCAGAATAGATACCACCAAGTTGCGACCTCTGTCGCTGACACAGCCGACAATCGTTCATATGTCGTCTCAAAAACCGCCTCACTCCCGACCATCAACTGTCTGACCCGCAGGTCCCGCTCAAATTCTATCGAGCTTGCCGCCAACCCCGAGGGGTCTCGAGGCTGATCATACACATGCGTCAAAAATCGATAGGTCAGAACATCGACTTTCTGCCGACATTCATTCTTGGAATGTTCACGGTAGGCGGTCACGACGGCCTCGATATGACGAAGCTGTGAACCAATGGAGTTATGGTTCAGGGCGAGGAACTGTGCCAAAGGTCCAGTCAGATCGTAATCGTCGTTGAGGCCAATGATGCCTCCATCGAGGCGGACGTTCTTGGCATAGACCAGTTCGACGTCAAATCCGCTGCCGAGTTGAATGCCTTCCCATACCAGATGACCCCTACGTTTGATGTTGAGGATGCAAGTCTGATAGTCGACAGACGTTTGCGCCTTGTACCGCATACCCCGACAACATGACACCCGCGAACCCGTCGACTACGAAAAGGATGAGTAGCTGCCCGATACAAGAAATAGCTGTAGACTTAGCTCACCTTGACATACCGATGTGGCCAAAATACTGCGCGACCATCTAACGCACGTAGAGCCATTCGAATCTCTCGTCTTCTTTGTATGTCTGCACTTGAATTCTGCGCTACATATCGCTCAAGATCTGATACGTCCTGCAAAACTGCAAGAGGTCCATCATCATACTTGATGACCTGTAATACTTCTGATTTACAGACGTCCAAAACGACATTCGCCCGACGAAGTGCGCACCAGCGTTGGGGGGAAAGGTATCCACCAAGCATTGCCAAAATGTCTGGTACATCCAGGTATCGAGTCTTTGGCTGGATTCTTCCAATAGCAATCTGGCCCAACATAATGAGTTTGGATATCGTCGGCCAGGTACTGAAACCAAGCGAGGTCTGGTCCAGACACCAATGAGACCCCTTTCCTGTAAGCCATGGTACCGACTTCTCGAAGAATCTAGTGCATGTTAAGTCAGAACGAGCGTGAGCAGAGCAGGCAAGACGAAAGCATCGCCCACCTTGAGATTCTCGACGTGACGTTCCCCCGGAGAACCCAAGAAATTCTGGAGATAGGGTGGGTACTCCCAGTCGCGCGCTTGGAGATATTGCATGGGTTGTTTGGCTGGGATGCGACATTCGGGACTAGTCAAGAAGAGTGTCGTGATTGCCTCTTGCCAAATGCGTCGTCGTGTATGGGGCGATGATGGAGAAATATCTAGCCTTCATACGGCTTTCTTGATCAGAAATACAGAAACTTGTAGAACCAGAACTTACCGAGGAGAGAATATGTCGATGCCTGGGTAAAGGAATAAGTATATAGAAACCTAGATGTCTGGACGCTAACTCACTGAAGTCGATGCGTCGGGTCAGCCCTTAATTGTCCTATCAACAACCTCAATCTCGCGTGATACAAAGTTTACTTACGCTTCACCATCCGTTGCACCACGCTTAAATTTATCAAAGCAAAATCTGATAGTGATTGGTTAGTATCTTCGTGCACTGATACATGAGAACGCCTACAGGCTGTGAAACCATAAGTGATAATATAGATTCTGCAAAACAATGTCAATAGAGTATTGGAACCAGTACATATAGAAAACATTGAGCTTACGCGTAAATGATAACACCGTTGAGAATGTCCTTGCTGCGTATATCCAACGCGACTGTGAGTGCAACAGCGGAAGTCAGGATGTAATTGAGTCGCGAAATCCATTCGCTGGCATTATTGACAGGGTCGATGAAGGGAGAGAAAAAAGCTTGAAGGCCAAAGAATATAGTCATGACCACGAGGAGGACAATCTGACGGACAATAGTGATTTTGGTTTGCGAAAGCGATCGGAAGAGGCAGTTGTTCGGGTCGATGACAGAAACGATGAGAAGTGTGCTCATCTTGGCAAAGAGGTACAGTGTTTCATACGTTCCCCATCCTCGTCGGAATCCTGGATATCTCTTAGTATACAAAAATAAACAACCGGGATTCGCGAACCTCCGTATAAGAACGATAGTGGGTTTCTATCCCTCGACAAGAGCCGCCGGTACTCGCGGTCCATGTCCCTGTCGCTCCGAGGCCTGCCCAACTCTGTATATCGGTCGACAATGGGCACGGCCTGCTTGATCGCCATTCGTAGAGCAAGAGGAAACCAGATCGTCAACTGCATAGAAGGGTTATATCCAATACGTACAAGGATGAAAGTGGATACATACCCCGAAGAAAATGATGATTGCAAGGATGATAAGCACTGGAGCAAAGTTGATTTCGTTTCGCTTCATAGTCGTAGTATAGCAGAAATCAAGTGGGTCCCTATACTCATCAGCGGGACCTAGGGGGGCCACTTGCGGAGGATTGGTGGTGGTGTTGGTATATGGGTTGGGTACAGCCCAAAGATCGTCCGACCATACAAGGATATGAACCGTCATGGTGCTCAAAGGCAGGTAGATGACGGTGAGAAGAAAGCTAACGATCACGATGCTCCACCCGCTGCCTTGCTTCTCAGGTTGTTGAAAGGCTTCCAGGCGATTATATCGCATGCAAGGTGACGATGAACGATGAAAGCAGTAGAGCAAGCCACCCGCAAGAGCCATGAAAACCAGGAGGTAAATCATGGACTGGATTAATGTCGTAGCGAAGTTAAACGCCAGGATGTTCGGTCTATACGTCGTCGTTCGATTGACACAGATATGTAATTTGAGAGAAACAAACTGACATAGTACCCAAGAACAACTGGCGCCATTTCCCAAGTGCTTCCTTTCCATGGAGAGGAACTGGTTATCAGAGAGTGAGTCAGCATAAGCGACGATCTGTGAATGGTGACTTACTGAGAGTGCTAAGGATAAGAGCGAATATCTGTACTGTGTTGAAAAGGCCCTGCAAGCTATAGAACGTGGCTAGTGCACTTGAACCCTGCAGCATATATATAAGTACGATGCTACAGAGGAACAGCATCGACAATCTTACAGTGATGCCAAGAACAATGCTAATGATTACCCCAAAAATTGAGTTTCGATTCCTCCACGCTGGTCTCACTACGGAGTTCAATTCCAGGTCCTCGATGGTTTTTCCGGATGCTACTAGCTGACTCATTGGAATAAACATAGACGCCTCCTTGCCTTTTCCGTTGGAGTATGGGAAGGTAAAAGAAGGCATTGGCAATGAGGAAATGTACTCATCGAGGTGAAGAAGGTGTAGAGGTGCCGCCTTGGAAGAGAACACCACAGACGCAGGAACAGGGTTATGACTAGCAACAGTGGCCGCCGAGGTCATTAAGGGCTCTGCCCTTGCGACTATAGTTTGAGGATTATGTTCGGAATTCTCAGCCCCAAGAGACACATCAGCCAACAGAAATTGCTCCTCATGATGCGTAGAGCCAGGGATTTTTCTGCTCCCATCAAGCAGCCAGTTCCTGATACGCGCTGTGCGTGAGCCTTCGCGAAAGTGAAGTTTACCGGTGCCCAACTCGTCTGCCACATCTGCCGTCGTTTCGCCTGGTGTATCGACTCCTGTCGAGTAACCTTGCAGAGTGTCCGAATTGCTTGTCATTGAAGATGCTAAAGTGTCGTTTGGCAGGCCTTCGGAGGGGCGAGAGGAAGGACGCGAGAGGAAGCGAGCCGGTGAAGCGGAAACGGAAGATGTCCCAGCGAAGTCATGAATTCGTAAGTCGTCATTAGATTGAAGAGGCAGTTTTGAGGAAAGGGAGGCAGAGGTGGGGACATCGTAGAGACTGACTAGTCTCTTCACTCTGCTCTCTGTCATAGGTTCAGCATCAACAGTAGCAGCGAAGGATGTTGAAGAGCTATGCGTTTATCCCGTTTTGGGTCGGTACCATAGTCTCCCAAAGGCAATCCTCCTTTAACCTCCGACGTGGTCTCCGGATATCCGTATCTGACGAGGACCCCCGACAACCCCATCAGAGGTATATTTTTCCCATGGTAGTGGTGCGGCACGTAGCACCGCAGCTCTGAAAATTTCCGGTAGTATTGAGGCCCATTTTTGGACCATAGGTCTATGCTATTTCCCGGTAGTTTTGCCCATTTAGGTAAGGTATGATACAGTTCCAGTAGTCGGAGTCTGATTTGAAAAAAATATTCCATATTTGGTGTATAGCTATTCAAACCTTTTGTAGCACATCAATTCTTATTAACCACATATCATACTACTATCACTGGCCCTATGTTCGGACAGTACCGATGTTCGGACAGTCTATGTTTCTCGCTCATTGCTCGACATATCAACCTCAATATTTTGACCATAAATTGTGTTAAATAGTGTAGACTTGGTTTCTGAAACTTTGAGATTTTTTAAAGGTGATTTATGTTCCTAAATGTTGAAAATGTGCCTTTGCAAGCCCAATGTCATGCCTCGGATGAGTCGGAGCACGCGAGGAAGGATCCTGATGATCCTTTTTTCTTTATGTAGTCTAGTGTAGCCCATATATATTGGTTCCGGTATGTGAATAAAATGCACGGTGTGTTGTTGCACTCGTATGAAAATACAAGGTATCAAGCATGACATTTGGACATGGAGCATCAAAGAAGGGGAGTGCAAATTCGTTCTCCGCACATAGTTCTACCAGCAACAAGTCGTGTCTGAACATTGTCCCCACTGTCTCCCCTCCTCAACCATGCCACAGACTATACTGAACCTACAGCCTCCTAAGTCACAAACTTCCCCCTACTCCTATGTTTACCCAAGGTGACACCCTTGTCTCACAACTGTTCTCCACACCAACCCTGCACAGTGGCAACAAGCATAAACCTCAAATCTAGCACACTGAAGAGCAACCCCAAGTAGCCATCAAAGAACTAGGAAATGACAGCCTTAGCCTTTGCAAGGCTGGGAAGAAACATAATGTCCCTCCTTGAATTCATGATTATGTGTATACTGTGATCCTCGTCCGAGCACAGGTGCAAGTGTCAGAGTCTAAAATTAGAAGCGGCCGCTTCGGCTGTGCGATGCGGATTTGTGACCTGGTGTGACCAGACTGTCCGAACAATGGTCTCGTTCACAAATTTCTACTTTCTCCCCGTTTCCACCAGAATAAAGTATACAGGCTTCAAAAAGGTCTAGCAGGCATTGTTTGTGCAAATTTTGGGGGTACAAGGCAAAGTCCACAGAGGGCAGGATTTTTTTTCATCCAGTTTGTCCGAACATAGGGCCAGTGATAGTATAGGCCTCAAAGTATCGACTTTGAAGCTTATTAAACCAGGCTCATTTCTTGCCACTCTTCTGACAAATTCCACACTGCTAGGCCAAAATATAGCCATTTTACTATAAGATATAAACTAGTTTCTGTTAAGCTACTAGGCTTATCATGTGACTGCAGGCATATAGAGGGGTTCCCTAAGCTATCTGAATGGTAACTGTCCAATGAATGAAGACTATTGCTCTTTATTGTGCTTGTGCAAGGAAGTAGTCATTACTATTGACCTTATCCTCAAAGAGATGGAGAAGGTAATTCTTAATAACAGCACAATAACCATTCATAACTGGGCTATCTTTTCCAATCCAACAGATGACTTCTATTAGGACCATGTCATCTAGAAAAACACCCCCTTGTATTAGCCCCGGATTATATCTAATAGTGCCTAAAAGTATCTAAAAGTGTTAATAGTATCTAAAAGTGTCTAATTTCCTAATTGGGAGCAACACATTGTGAGCATTGGATTGGTTTCTAATTTCATGATATTAGCACTAATTCCATACCAAGAAGTCTTTAATTAGTAGTAGGAAATAGTAAGTACTACTGCTCTATCAGTGAGAAGGTAAAGATGTGGCACATTCAATACTATTTTAGCATATTACTCTTCTTCATATATGCCTATACCATTATCTTGTAGCTCTTTTGCTGACTTTCCAGCTGCTTTTATAAGGGATATAGAAAGAGAGAAATATGCATTGATGCCCCCAGCCACTTTGTTGGCAGCTTGGCAGCTGCCACAAGAGGCTATAAAGACCTAGGTACCTTGTCCTTGCACAGAAGATCATTAAAGTTGTTATTGTTAGCCAATGCCTGCTACTGGTCATTATAAGACACAACATGTGGGTTGGACTTAGGGTAATGCTATATGCAGCCTTATAGACCTTGTCTATTAGTATAGTGGCTAATACTGTCTTGTGCAGCACACAATCATCATCATTATTGATATTACAATTTTTAGCACTATTTATATTGTTTATAGCCTTGTTATACAAAAGATGCTCAAACTTGATGTTTTCCTCTAGCTATTAGGCTGTGGAAAAGACAGTCATATTGGTATGTGGTGCCAAAATGATATATTTGCCTGCCATATAGGAAATATATGCATTAAGCATATTAAGATCGCCTCTAACAATCTTGTGCTTATTTATATATAGGCATGCCATACATATACCCTTGTCCACACCCTCTACCTCACTAGTGGCTATTTGGAAAACCCCTCTCTCTTATTGGATCTTGATTATTCATAATCATGTTTTTGATCAAATTTGCAAATTTAGGTAGCATTGTCTATACTAGTAGAGTCCCATTGAATATTACACTCAATCATAGTTTTACACATTCTCAGTCCAAATTGTATAAGTGCCATAATTTATTTTTATCCTATTTTAAGTGTATTATCGATTTTCCATTGGTTTATTATCTTCTTAGCTGGTGTTTAAACTAAATCCTGAAAGACCTGACTTTTTAGGTATTTATTGACCTATTTATTTATAAGATAGAGGAAAGATAAATGTTGAATAAAATCAGAGATGTTGAGGTTGCCTATATTATGTCTACTTATTTATATTACCAAGTTCATATCTTAGACCTTGTGGCTTAGTGGCTTAGAGCATCTGTCCTGGGTGCTTGCATACATGAGGTTGTTAGTTTAACTTTGGCAGAAGGCAAGTTTGTTATAAGGTATATTCTGTGTTTAGGTATTGAACTAGTGCTCTAATAGACATGACTCTATAAGAAGGCTATGAGAACCGTGATGCTTGATTTATTATGATTTTTCCGAAATTTCAAGTTATAATCAATCATAATATTTCCTATTTTAGGAAAATTATGTCTAATTAGAACAGGTTTAGAGGGGGGGTAAGCTAAAAATGTCTAATCCTAATCTTTCATAATTTAGTATAGTAAAACGTTAATTATAGCTAATTAGAGCTTAATACAAGGGGGTGGTTTTCCAAATGCTTGCCTGTACATATTTATAGCAGCTGTAGTGTAGCAGAGAAGCCTTAAGCTATCCACTTCTGTCCAATCTAAGAACTGCTATTAACTAGTCTTCTCTGATTCAAAGACATTAGTCTGATCAGCCCAAAACCCTTCACACCTATCACACTCTTCACCTGTGCTGTCACTTGTGGCCTAGGATCCCTTTATCCTGAACAGCCATTCATGACAGACACTTGGCACAAGGTGTGACAGTGGTTTGTCACAGTGTTAGACACTTGTCATGGGATGCAACAATGGTTTGTCATGGCATCGGACACTTGTCACAGGGTATAACAGTAGTTTGTCACAATGCCAGACACTTGGCACTGAATGCAACAGTGGTTTGTTGCAATGTCTGCCACTTGTTACAAGGGACAATTATTCCAGTGGTTAATAGATTATTAGAGGATCAGACAATATGCACAGCTTACTATTTTTTGCTTTGATTTTTTGATTTGATACTAACAATCCCTACTTTTCTAAGACTAGACACTATTATGATGAATTTAGCTATAAGCTAGCCCTTGTATTGCTTTGATGATTTGTGATTGCTAGTATGATTCTTTGTCACTTTTCCAGTTTTGTCCATGCTGCTTCACTTTGTATTTACAATTACACATTATTTTTTTTTAAGAAACTCTCTATAGCAAGGTGGCCTTTGCAGAAGGCCATATTCATTGAGGTTGGTCAAGAGATGTTGTGGATAAAAAGGCTGTCTAACATTTGGTGCCAGGCAGTGCCCAAAGGGCTGTGTAATGAACACTGGATCAATTACTGATTTTCATGATATTATTTGCGATTTTTTATGTGTGACATAAATCCTGTTCTTAAGAGTTAAAGATTATCTAGAGTTTTATCCCGGGATTTACTGTAGGACAAACTTAAACAAAATGTCTGAGCTTAAATGTAAGGTTATGTTGCGGTTTTGTCCCGGGACAAAACCTTGGATAAGCTTTAAGTTCTTGTTTCGGTAATTCCCGCGGATAAACCTGAACAAAAACTTTATTTATATCCATGGTTTTATCCACGGTTTATCCCGGGAAAAACCGTGCGGTGCACGCAGTGCAGGCGGATTAGTTGCCCAGTCGTAACGACTCCGACGAAAACGCGTCGTGGAATTTCAAAGCCCGCTTGGCCTATTCCGCTTGGTAAGCACGAGGCTAAATTGATCTGCCTATATTTGCCTATATCTGCCTGCATTTGCCTATATTTGCCTTGATCTGCCTCGACCAACTTTTCACTAGGCCTCAGATCCTGGTCACCCTACATGTGTTCTATCTCCAAGCTCTACAAATATTTAGTCGAATCCAACGAGCAAAGAAACTGTAAGCGGAAGAATGCTTATTATCATAAATAGTTCATAAAATACTATTACCAGGATCTGGTAAAGTAATATGATGGAATATCATGAAAAGAAACATAAACAATCGTGAAATTCATTGACGAGACGAGTCAACTCGTGTGTTCTTCATCATACAATCTCAGTTCTCACTTCTTGTCCACAATTTCCCGAACGAATGCACCAAAACTCGTGTCCTCGGTAAGCCTTGTCAACCAGCTCCTAGCCTGCTTCGGAGACTTGGGACTGTCAAGCATGGTGGATATCGTCGGCGCCGGCTCGACATGGCCAGACTCGCTCAGGGACCGTCGCGTGATGACGTCTCGCGTCCTAATCATTAACGATTTGTGCCGCGTTGCCTTGACCTGAGCAGTCTTGTTGCCGCGCATGTTGGGCACACTCCCACCAGAGGCATCGGAGACAAAAGGCCAGTCCACCTTCAACTCCTTCTCAAGCGGCATCAGGTCCGCAAGAAGCTCAGGATGCTCATCTAATGCGTCCTTCAAAGTGGGACAGATCTTGTCTTGTTTGAGGACAGAAGGGTGAATAGTTTCCTGGGTGACGGGATTGAAAGACTTTGGGAACTGCCGCTGAATCTTATCTGCAAGCACAAAGACACCTTTGACCGAGCTGTAGTCGCGATGTTAGATGTTGACAAGAGAAGAGAATGATCGAATTTACTCGTGAGGCTCTTGCTTACCCCAAGGTGCGTTTGGACGAATGATAGAGGTGAGGTATTTGATGTCCAAGGACAATATGTCGCCGACTTGGGCCTACTCAGCGCCCGGTCAGGGAATCAAAAGATTTGAAGCAATATTGACTTACAGCCATCCAATACAGCGTTAAATCAGACAGGTCATGCTCTTCAAATCCACCGCCGATCTGAAAGCCTTGTCAACTACTTCACACTGACTACACAGACAAACTCAAACTCACATCAGAATGAGAGCCTGTGTGTCCAACTATCAGCTTGGCGGTTCTCGTCTTGGAGAAGATGATAACGCACCGGCAAACCAACACTACAGAGCGTGGTTAAGTTCGGTTCTTTGACGATTGATTGCAAAGAGGTGGACGTACTTGCTTCAATATTTGGTGCTTCTTCCTCCCTTCCTCTTTCTGATGGAACTTGTTGCAATTCTTCAAGAAGCCTTAGGTGAGTACCGTACAAAACACGAAGGACAAAAAGCATACGAAGTCAGCCCTTGTCTCGTTCAGCGCCAAAGCCTGATACGCCCTCTCCACGTGCACCCCTAGATTAGAATCCGGGAATCCGAACAGGGTCTTGAATTTCTTAGATTTGAGCGTGAGCTCCTCCGGAAGACCTAGAGATCCGACCGTATCGAACACGCCAACACATCTACATCACTATTAGATCTTCCCCCATTCTGGGCGACAGACGCGGGGAACGCACTTTATCGAGAACGAATCGTCGTCATAGTCAGCCCTCTTTTTTCCAGGAGAGTTATGGCCTGTCCATGGGGCAAGCATCTTGTCTAACGCTTTCCGTTCTGTTACATATTCAACATCTGCTGCATCATAAACACAAATATGTGCTAACCAGCCTGATTGTCAGCCTTGCCACGTTTCTGGAAATCTATGTAGATCTCTGCAAAGTGATCCATCTCAGTACGATCGAGAACACCGATGTGTCCCTAAGCAGATATCGTGTCAGCGACTTCTGAATGGCGACTACATTACACTTACGATGACTTCCGCGATCATACGTGCGGTGTATGCGCCCTGCAGATAAATGATGAACGAATAAGTTCAGAGATGAAGCTAGTTATCGTACCCTAGAGAAGCCGAACAGGAAGATCTAGCAGGAAGGTTTCAGCAATTGATAAAGATAGATATCGCTCATTCCCATACCTCGTCCCCTGGTTCATAATTACTATTGCAGGGCATCAGCCTTCCTTCAAATGCAAAACTAGCAATGGTTCTACTTACTGGGCAATGAAAGCATATGCCTCTTGAACCTTATCCCCTTACGACGTTTAGAGCAAATTAATTTCCTTAAACATATAAGCCCTCGAACACAACAAACGTACCCAGTGTTGCACCAGTCGCACCTTATTACGATCGAGTAAGTATCGCAAATCTGTGCAGCGGACTGAACGAACCATCAAGTATAGCGGCATACGCATTTGATTCCGTTCCTACACCTGATTGATAGAAAACGATCTGAGGCATGGGAGGTGAACTATTTGTGTCTTGTGAGCTTAGCGTCTAAAATCGACGAGATGCAATAAGACCCTTACAAACGTGCGTCGACGTGATTGATAGCTCTGGCAAGCCTCTGGGGTACCCAATTTTTTGTAATGTCAGTAGGTAGGCATGGAGGCGCACGCAGGCTAGTAGTAGGGAGACTGACCAGAACGTTCGTATACTTCCCTCGCTCTTTCACTGAAATACCATCCTGCCATGTCCTGTGGTTATAAGCCTCTAGGACTGATATGAATGAATTTGATGAAACACACCCATCGCAGCAGAGAACGATCCTCTTCTTAATTCTCAAGTGTGTCGGATCTGGGTCGGTGAGGGATCTGTTTCCTTGTCTTGGCGACGACCTATGTGAGGAGGTCGTGCTATGTCCCTTATTGTTCTCGTCCAGGAGAACAACATGAGCAGGTAGAGCGAGTGTGGGCGCGGTAGAAGAGTGGGAGGGCTCGCGCGTTGAACCGGAGGGCGTGGGAGACGGTGACGGAGGCATTTATTACTCTGAGCAGTGGGGCTCTGACCTGGGGAACTTTGAGGTAGGGCATCTCGATATCAAACATCGTATTTATAACAGAATGCGGTCGCTAACGGTTATTAGATTGGTTTAGTTGATCTTCTGAGAATAGAGGCATGATGGTGTTTTAGAGGCGCTAAGCGCGCCCATGACACTGGACAGGACTACAGAGCTCTGCTTCCACTTGCAGCAGACACACCGCCGCCGAGCGCTGATCGATGACTAGGCTTCGGATGTCCGGTCTGCCCTTGCGGCCGCGAACCTTCTCCACCCGGCGTGCAATTCAGCGCGCTTTCAATACTCTCCAAATTCAACACTAGCACTATAGACACCCCACATATATTGGCAGGCTTCAATAACCTCTTCCCATGACGAAGCGCTCAGGGCGGGGCCCTGACTATATCATGAGCAGATGGCAGATGGGATCCCCGACAAGTGATGGCTAGATCTCCGGAGAAACGAGGGGGCAAATATAGGGGCGAGTATATTTGCTACGCCATCTAACCCGACAGTAGGATGAGACGACGTCGTCGCCTTGGATGTCAGCTCTGGTAACTGCTCTGACTCGCACCAGCGTCGTACTCTGTATTTCACTCGTGTCGAGTCATGCACACCGATCTCCAAAGGTAAGGAATGGGCGTCAAGATGATGAGCCGTCGTCGAATACATGAACCTACACACAAAGGCCTCGTCCCTACCTGCCAAGCCGCATTTCCGCGCCAGAAAACCCATCCAAAGCTTGGCAGAACTCCGCTTCGTCCAAGAGTATACAAGGTGGCGAGCGCCAACGGCCCTTCCAAGGCTTCAACCAGCTTCGGAGACCGACGTATCCGTCATGACTGATGAAACAGCGGAGGGTTAGCACCAGGATGAAACTAGCCATGGGCAAAAAATGGTATAGTACGCACTGTATTTCTGTCAGCCGGATCTGCCATGGAGGGAAACCATACAGCTCCAAGGGTGTCCTTCTAAGCCTTGGAGTTGTTACATGGTGTACAATCATGAGATCCGGTGGAGCAAAGCCGTGCTCTCCTTTACAAAAGATTCGCCATCATCAGTTTGCGGTGCTTTGACAGCGTGATGCGTTTCACCTTCTAGACTACATTGAAGGTCTTCTACAGACAGCTCAAACGGCTCTCGATGGGCGAACTCTGGCTTGCCGACGACCCGTCGGGCAGCGCTGTGCAAGAGAGAGTTCGCGACAGATGTTATGGCCGGCTTTCCCGACGCGCGCGAAACAAGATGGAGAGTCACAGGTTTGGTCGTGGGCGCGCCTTCGCCACCTGAGCAAAAGGTAAATTGATGGACAGCATAGAGCATAGAAGGCTGACTCACGAACACTCCGCCGGCGCCTCAAACTTGACTGGTACTGGCTTAGTCGCCTCTGTTTCTCGTGACTGCGGCCTGTAGGATGAATGGTGGCGACGTTCAAATGCTCGCTTGAGACGCCGCCCAACGGAAAGGTGTTCGAGTCATCCGAATCGTCAGAGAGAGGCGGTGTAAGGGGATAAGGGATGTTGAAGGGAGGGTCCTCCTCTATGTCCGGGACTCCGGGGTTGAGACGCTGCTCTATCACCTTTTGATGTCGTACCAGAAGGCCTATGGTGGAACAGTTCAAAGACCATACTGCCACACAACGAAGTTCAACATACCCTGACGATCATAGACAGTCAGTCGAGATATTCCGCAAGCCTGACACCAACCAGCAGCCCTCTCGACGTTTTGGATTAGCGCATCTTCCAAGCTTTCACTATCTTCAGAGTCTGTCATTTCCGAGTATACTAGGACGAGAGCGAGGTGCCGTGGTATTTTACCCCGAGCAGCGGTAAGTGGTAGCGGGACGCGTCGGAGTCCGTTGGCCATGCTGGACACGGCGATGACGAGGGAATAAAAAACATGGATAATACGCAGTATCAGGGATGCCAGCCAGGACATCAAGAATGTCGGAGAAGTATCCTAAGGAGTGGAGGGGGGAGAGGGAAATGGAGGGTGCGAGCCTTAGAGCGAACAGTGGTGGTGAACATTCTGCGGACGTGGCGGGTCGCGCCGAGAACTGGTTCTTGGATCAGGCCCACGTCTATTTTTGCGCAGCTACGTGTATTCTCAATCCGGACGGCTGCCATACGCGAATTCATTCTCGTCTGTATTTCTCCACTGAGCAGAGCCATACTCTCTATAGCAGTACAGTCCCGGTTGTTGTACAATGTATGACAAGGTCACAGGGATCGGCAAAACTCATTACTTAGGTGAGACCGGGCTCGTCCTGGATGCCTCTCTTGATCTTCAAAAGGATCCCCGTCTTCCAGTTATCCAGCTTCGTGACCTGATCAAACTCGACAACTGCTCCAGTAAACGCTTCCTGATCCCCCGACTCAAAGGCTTCCATCAGCGCGCTTGCAAACTTGGCTTCGCGTGTTGTGGAGAAGGTGGTATCGAGGGAGCTGTAACGAGTCAAGCTACGCCTCGCTGTGACGGGATCCTATCAACAGAGTTGAGAACGGTACGGGCGAGGTGTTCAAGCACCATACCTGCATGGCGAGGGAGCATAAGAGAGCCCTCAGCCAGTACTCCTTGACGCTGTACTTGGTCAGAGCCGAGCCGAGCGAATGGTCGGCGACTTGCTCGTAGCGAGCAATAGCAGCAGGATATTGCTCTAGGTCGGCGTGCAGATCTGCAGCGTCCTTGAAGCACGCGTTGGCGGTCCTGCAGTCATTATGTAAATAATTGAGTGTGCAAGAGGAGAGGGAAAATAAAACAAACGCTATAGCATCCTCCTGGGCATACCAATCTCCAGCGCGCTCGAAGCTTTCGCAGGCTCGCTGGAGGTCATGCTGCTCCTGCAAGTATATCTGCGCAATCTCCTTCTCGCGATCTGCTGCCTGGCGGAAACGCCCGCCTTGGGTAAAGTGCGTTATGGTCTGTGTTAATGCCTGGATGGCCACTGTGCGTTACACGCGGCGATCAACTCCCCCGCACGTAAGAGCAGAGTCCTAAGCCCTTACAATCAGGGAACCCTCTCTTATAAGCCTTCGCGGCATTCCACCAGGCATTGGCAGCATCATTCGTCTCCTTGCATCTCTCCCTGCATTCTGCCTCTCTTGCGAACGCGTCGCCCGCCTCCTTGAATAGTTTGTCGAGCTTGAATGAATTAGCAGCCTGCTGATAGAGATCGCCGGCCTCCTCCCATTTGGTTGTGGACGAGGAGAACCATCCTGACGACGCGTTGGCCTTCTTGTCGGCCTTCTCCAGAAAAATCTGCGCTGGCGATTTGGCTGGCATGGATAGGTGCGGTGCACAAGGTACAGCTCATCGAGGACAGCTGCAGTGCCGCTCAAGCTAGGGACATATCACGTGGTGCGTATATAGGCCATGATGTCACGTCTTTGCCGCACTAGTCGCTGTGTACGGCAGTACTTCAGCTTGGATTTATATATCGCGCACATCCACCCAAGCAGTAATCTTTTGTCTTTTTTCCCTCCCTCCCGTCATGCCTGGAGTACTCCCCATCGATGGAATAACGCAGCTGGCCAATCTCCACCCAAGGCCGAGTCATATTCGGTATCAGTATGGAACGGCAGGTTTCAGAACATTGTATGTACCACGCGTGAGGGTCTGAGATTGTACAGTGCTCACTGATTGCTGTAGAGGAATCGTGCTTGATTCTGTTCTATTCCGGGTAGGTATTCTCGCCGCTCTCAGGAGTAAAAGGCTAGATGGAAAGACCATCGGGGTGATGGTGACCGCATCCCACAACCCAGAACCGGTGCAGTGCATCCCAACATACTCTGAAAGAACACGCACTCACTCGCACGATAGGACAATGGCGTCAAACTAGTTGATCCTCGTGGAGAAATGCTCGAAGCCTCATGGGAGGCGCATGCTACAACACTCGCAAATGCCGCCACCACCGAAGACTTCATCAAAGCACTCGAGACTCTCGTGAAGACAGCCAAGATCGATCTCTCAAAACCTGCCAGGGTTGTCTACGGTCGCGACACCAGACCATCTGGCCCCGCGTTGATATCTGCTCTTGAAGATGGATTTAAAGCTATCGGCGCTGAAAGTCGGGACGCGGGTGTCACCACGACGCCGATCCTTCACTACCTCGTCCGTGCTACCAACACCAAAAGAACGAAGAATGCATATGGAGAGGATACGGAAGAAGGCTATTTTAAGAAACTGTCCGGTGCCTTCAAGAAGCTTGTCGTAAGTATTCGTACACGTCGATTGGCACACCGATACAAATCGCCCTCTTATACAGGCCGGAAAACCTGTCTCGCCGCCTCTCGTTGTGGATTGCGCCAATGGCGTGGGCACAGATGCTGTGAACAAAATGATTGGATACCTCGACAACAGCCTCAAACTCATACCCTTCAACACCGCCACGACTACTCCTGGCGCGTTGAACAACGCCTGCGGCGCGGACTACGTGAAGACAACGCAGAGATTACCCCCTTCCCTCATATCGCATCTGAAGCCCGGACAGAGGGCATGTAGTTTCGATGGGGATGCCGATCGTCTGATTTACTACTATTTGGACGATCGCGGACAGTTTCATATGCTGGATGGCGACAAAATCGCTGCTTTGGTAGCGGCGTTCATCGTCGAGCTCGTCAAGACGGCTGGGCTCGAGAACGAGATCAGGATGGGCGTCGTACAGACCGCGTATGCCAACGGCAGCTCGACAAAATATCTCAGCGAGGTACGTCGGTCTACGAATCATCATAGTTGTCATTGATTGGCTCCTTTGCAGCGTCTTCCTGTGCGTTGTGTGTCGACTGGGGTGAAGCACCTTCATCATGCTGCGGAGCATTTCGCCGTCGGTGTCTACTTCGAAGCCAACGGACACGGAACTGTGCTCTTCTCGCACGAGACGCTCGAAAAACTGGCTACCCATGAACCGTCGACTCCTGCGCAGTCGCGCGCCCTGAACTACCTTGTAGACCTTACGAATCTGATCAACCAAACCGTCGGGGACGCGCTCTCGGATCTCCTCCTGGTCGAGACCGTGCTTGCGCATAAGTCATACTCTGGCATCGAGTGGGACTCGTTGTACGTTGACCTGCCTAACCGACTTGTCAAGGTCGTCGTGGCGAACAGGCACGCGTTCCAGACGGAGGACGCTGAGCGACGGCTCGTCAGCCCGAAGGGTTTGCAAGGAAAGATCGATGACCTTGTGAAGAGGTACGGTGGTGGACGGTCCTTTGTCCGGCCCAGTGGAACCGAGGACGTCGTTCGGGTCTACGCGGAGGCTACCATCAGGTCTCAGGCTGATGGTATGTTTCCTTACTCCAAATCTGGAAGAGTGTAGAGCTGACTTTGTCGAGCAGAGCTGGCGTTCCGCGTTGCTGGGTTGGTGTATGATGAGACTGGTGGCGATCCTACCACTCGCCCCAAGGAGTTTTTGTAATCGCGAGCACAAGAAGTGAAGGTCCTTAGGTTTCTGTATTGTGTAGCTTTTATGACCACTGTACTCGAATAGGCAGTGCTTCGAAGAGTGTACATACCACGGCCGTCCGAGCGCAACCTCCTTTCAGCAGAAAGATGTACATGTAGCGACGAGGAGAGAAACGAGAAAAGCGTAAGCACAATGACGGGATGGACGGACGTGTTCCGAACGGAGAAGCGTCGTGGACAAACGTGGAATCCCGCGGCACCAGGATTTCTTTCCTTTTATTGCACGAGTTTCCCCCATGAGGATAAATCGGAAGATGCCGGGCACGCAGGATTGAGCGATGGTGGTGCAAGTTGGATGCAAGCAGGCTACAGAAAGCTGTCCCGCCATGACTCGCATCGTTCATCATCTTCGCCTACCCCATCTTCCTTCCAGCGCACACGTTGACTTCCCATCCTTCGCATCTCCTTACCCATGTGCCGCCTAGTCATCTATAAGGGCTCTTCTCCTGTGCAACTCTCGCATGTGAATCCTTATTCATCCGCTTTGCCTTGAATCACGACTTCTGACATGTGCGCTGCAGCTTCTCACCAGGCCGTGCCATTCCATCATCAACCAGGCCTTTGACTCAAGGTTGAGGGTCGATCAGCGAAGACCTATTAATGGTGACGGGTTTGGCGTCGGTGCGTGTGGCGTGGCGGCCTTTGAGATCCTCGTGCACGCGGCTTGCTAAACCGAGCTCCGTCAGGCTGGTACGACTCTGTGTACGAAGAGGACCTAGGAAAGCAGCCATGCATTTTCACCTCTGTGACTCCGGTAAGCCGGCGGCCTTGAGGTTTTGCCTTCGTTAACAAACTTGTCTGGCCTAGGCATGGAACAACATCAATCTCACGCGGTTGGCGGAGAAGATCAAGTCGCCCTTGGTCTTGTGCGTCCGCCCTTTTTTTGCTACTTTGCACGTTTGCTGATCGATCAGATTTCTGTCGGTTCCACAGTGCCCATGTCCGTGCTACCACCGCCGGATCTCTTTCCCTGGATAACTGCCATCCGTTCATCTACGGAAAGATCATGGTATGCCCATCTTATTTATTGAATGGCAGAGTTCTGAAAACTATATGCTTGCTTAGTTTATGCACAATGGCAGCATTGAGCAGTTCCCTAGGATCAAGCGACGACTGCAGGCCGAGTTGCCAGACGAGATCTTCAATGTTGTAAACGGGAACACCGACTCTGAATGGTCGTTTGCGCTCTTCTTGTCCAAGGTTGGGGCTTCGACATCGTATTGATTGAACGAGACTCAGAAATCTATTCAGCTCCCAAACGCAGATGCAGATACATTCACGCATCAAACACTCCGCCAGGCTATGCTGGATACTATCGCATCCCTCAATCAGTTTGCCGAGGAAGCTGGCATCACAGAGGTTCGTATCATGCATGTTCTCACTGCATATTATCTGACCCAAGCATCACGCCACCAGCCTAGTCTGATGAACTTCTGTGTGACAGACGGTGATAGCGTTGTAGCTACCCGCTACGTGTCATCTCGTTATGACGAGGCTGCGTCTTTGGTAGGCAGCTTCTATTTCTGAGTTATATCGTCTGACCGTCAAGTATAGTGGTTCTCGTCCGGTACCGCATTTAGTGAGTACAAGGAAGGTGGACACTATAAGATGTCAAAACTGGACAAGCGGGAGAATATCATCATGGTAAGAATAAGTGCTTGATACAATAGATCTCGTCCTCACGCGATGTTTGCTACAGGTTGCAAGCGAACCTCTTACGTTCGAGAAAGGTAAGCGTGCAGCTATCTACCAAGCCCTTGCATGGGATGCTAATTCGTCGTTACCAGCTGACTGGATGGAGATCAAGACGAACTACATGATCGTGATCACGCCCAAGATGAACGTTCTCCAAATACCCATCATCGACAAGTTCTATGTGCCTCCTTCGGATCCCGCATCACAATCTCGCGGCACCCACCTCGCCGCTGCCAAGGGTCTCCTCAACTCACATCGACCTGTCGAATTGCAGACCCCTCCGAGCCCGCCGTAATTGATCACTTCATCTTCGCTCTCGTTTTTCTGTTTTCATGTACCATCGTTTTCTGCATTGTTATCATTCTGGTATTGCATGTCATTGTTACATAGTCATAGAGGATCAGAATCCAAGTAATATGTTTTGATAGGCTGTCAGTATTTTGCGGATGGGTGCACAGTGGGCGGCGGGCGCACGCGATGTATATTGGTAGTCGCGTAATTGGCTGCTGAAGTTGGTTGTCTTTGTTCGACACTCTCAGAAATTGCCATGCCTTGCGCGTGCTCTGTGCCACGGCAGAGGCATTCTGTATAAGTATAGAGGTAACTGGCCTTCTGACCTCTGCCGACGTGTTCATTCTAAAGAACTTGTATGCACAGTCGCAAGTAGAACTGATGCAGGGTCCGTGGTTCCTATGGAGTGCACTAACCAGCACCGCAAAGTCAGTGACAATCTCGCCGTTCATTCCTGCAATCTGATATCTCTGCTGAATCCCTTGAAGACTCTCTAATTTTCTTCAAGTCCTCATTTTCCTCCCGCTGACCCTCTCCACGCTCTCCAAATCCGCATTTTTGCTCTTGTCCCTCCTCATCTTCCTCCAGTCTCTTATCCATGGGACGCTCCAGCTCCTTTGGGGCTCTCCCGTGCTCCCCGTTATGCAGCTCCCCATCCAGCCATTCCTCTTGCTCGTCTGCTTCAATATCTTCTCGGAGTCTGTGCACCCGCTGCTCTTGAACTTGGCGTCATGGTGGGGGACCATTCTCACGTACTCGAGCCCGCTCTTCATCATATTCGAGGCCATGTCAAGCCTGCTTGTCTCGCAGAAGCTGGGTCAGGTGGGGAGGGAGCTCGTTGGGGAGGGCGAGGCGTATCAGTTCGGCCTGCTTATTGCTGCCGCTGCCGCGTATGTCGTGTCCGCATGGTGGATTGTCGTGGTGCGCACATCCCCTGAAATCTGTTGGCGTAGATTCTGACTTTGTCTAAGGCTTATCCCGCCGCTGCGCTGTCCCCGTTGTCGTCTACGCTCCTTGGAGTGGCACTGACCGCCTTTCTCTTCCTTACATTCATCGGGTTTGTGTTGCGGCGCACGAACGTCATCGAGTCTTCGGGCCTGGCCCTCTTCATTGCCTACAACATCTGGCTTTGTGGCTTTGACCAGCAATCGTTCACTGACCTCGGGTCGACATAGTACGCCTTCAGTCATCTCGCAGACGATATTTTTGGTGATTCATGTTTCGCGTTTTCGGCGTAGTGTGCCTCTTGTGGGCAACATCGTGCCTCACTTGCAGACCTTGGTCAATTTCATCATGAACACCTTGCCAAAGCCGGTGCTCATCGCGCTCATCTATCGCGTCGCGATTCTGCTATGTGCCGCGCGGATCCTGCCGACCATTGGCGCAGACAGCTGGGAAACGGAGTATGGCGTGGATGATGGCTGGGACGGTCGACCGGTGCGTCTATGCGTTGAACGCAGTGACTTTCACTGAGCGATCTAATGAATGTTCTGCAGACTTCTCGGTTAACGAAGATTTTGCTGACCTACCGACAGTCGATTCTGGTCACAGTATACACCCACCTACTTTGTGAGCTCATCTTGTGGTTTGACTATGACTTCAGTACTCACTCCGACCGACCGGCAGTGCTCGACCATTCCTCACAAGTTTGGTGGCGATGGATGAACATCTTCTTCACGCTCTTCATATGGAGCATCGAGCTACTTGTCAGCGCGGAAGACGACGCGATCACGAAGGAGTGGAAAGTCGACTAACTTGTGCTCTTCTCTTTCTCAAATATCACTTTCTGATGCGCACACGAGCAGCATATGGTGGCTATCTTCCATATTACTATCACTCATACCGCTACAACCGTATTCTGGCACATCATTAGGACCGATCGTGTAGGTTCAGGGTTTCCGCGCTGGGACGAAGATGTATTTGTTCGCGTACAATACATGGCATTCAGCAATGCAACTCCACGATCTTACATACCCTCCAAAGGTCGTGATGGGTTTCTCACTTCTCCGCATGATGCGCCGCAGATCAGAGACTCGTCTGTCCGAGGATGGACTGGAAGACATGCAGCGCAGTCTGGGGCTGGTCGGTCTCGATCATGTCTGTTCAACGGATATTCGAACGTGATCAGTGTTGGTAAGACGAAAGCATTTCTGAAGAGTGACTCACGGCCCGCGTTGTCAACCTCGATGTAAGTCAGGTTTCTAGAGGCGAGAGGTTCGACGATCAGTCGCAGTCTTGCGAACGACTCATAAAGACGCACCTCTCGCTATGGAAGATTCCTTTCTGGGTGCCACCTACGACAAGGGGAGTGGTCGGTGGTGCTTGGAAGCCCTAAGTTGCGATCGCGTTAAGTCCCAGATTCGTAATAATATCAGGCGCGACTCTACCTGAAGACCACCCCATGTCATGTTCTGGATGGTCAAGCGATCGCCGATGTTGAAGAGGATGGCGTCGATAAGCCCATGCCAGAGAGTCACGCCGCGCGGGAGCGTGGACAGGAGATGGGGGAAGAGGGTCTCGGTATACGCGGAGTTGTCATCGCCGTTCACGAAAACGTTCTGATGTGCGGCCCCGAAAGAATCAGTATCAGGGGAGCACGAGGTACAAAGACCGTGATTGGCAATTATACTTACGATACTCGAGCAATCAGCCCAGGTTCCAAAGCCAGGAACATGCAGAGCCGTCTGGACATCCGAGCGCTATTTCGCAGTCTTAATGAGCTGAAAGAGCGAAGCCGAGAGATAAATTACCGAGTAGTATCCGGGCATGGGATCGTCTGGGGTAGGGCACGTATCTGTGATGCGGTCTATGGCAAGACGGTCAGCTTTTGGATAATTCAGTCATGAAGCATACATACAGATGTTGAAGCAAGGGTTGATGTCGGTCGCTGTGAATTCCCAACATAATTTCATCAATGTTTCTGGGCGCACAGTCTCGTGATGGAACCTGCCTTCGTCGTAAAATTTGTCGAAGAGATCGCACGCGTCAGAGACGGTATCTTTGTTCCCATTGGGAAGAGGAATCTTGCCACTGGGAGGGTACTTGATCTCGCTGAGCAGGGTCTCATACCCGCACGACTTCGAGATCTTCTGGAACGATGCGATCTGCGAGTCAGAGAAACCGAGGACGGACTGGAACTGGGTGCTGAAGTTGGCAGTGGGCGCTTCCTCGCCTACGATGCTGTTGATCGAAAGCAAAATTAAGAGGAGGTGACAGGTGACAGCGTGTTCGAAATAGCACTGACAAGCTGCTGTAGACACCATCATTGATGAGTAAGCCCTGCAAGTTGAGCGGAAGGGCCGCTTTCTCCGCCTTGCTGGCGTCGACGATACGGGTGGCAATGTAGGGAATGTAAAAGCCTTTTTGGACATCGTTAGTTCGGCTCGTGCTGTGGTTGACCTTGGTCTAGTCAAAATGTACACACCAGCATAGCTCTCTCCTGTAATGAAGAGCTTCTTCGCTGCGAGTTCAGGGAAGACGGTATAAAACTGTTGTCTGTTGAATTAAGACAATCAGAATAAGCAAGGCCTGGGAGATATTGTACGACGTACAAAAATCCATAGAACTCGTCTGAAAGCTCAGACTCGTTGTGGATATCGGGCGTCCCAGTGGTGAAACCCGTGCCAACAGGCTGTGGGCTTTCTCAGAACACCTTTGATGCGACAATATATATAAAATGTGCCAACCTGTTCAATCCAGACCTAATCCAACGATACCATGTCTGATGAGATTCAGGCATGATCAACAAGCTGTAGGCGACTTACAACATCGGACGCGGAGGTCCAAGCATAAGGGTTGGCTTGCGGAGCCGTCATGCCGGGCTGGAATGAGATTGGCCCATTTTCCTGAAAGATCATTTCAGTTACGACGATCAGGCTTGCTGGTGCGCAACCCTTCGAATCTCTTACCTGCAAAAAGCCTCCCAAGGAGCTGCATCCTGGACCGCCGTTGAGCCAAATGGTGAGGATGTCACTTTCCGTGCTCTGGTCTGATGGCCAGTACCAGAAGAACAGTTGCTGTGATTCCACAGGATGTTAAGGATGTCACAACGAGACACAGACAAAGGGCATACGCGTTCTTCTTTAGTATTGTTAGTGATGGGCAAACGACCAGCCCAAGAATCTTGCAAGGGAAAGGTGACTAGAGGCAGGGCAGAAGAGTTGACATGGAATGTCGCTGCCTTGGGGTTGGAGAACTTGGGCGTAAAGAAGTCTGTGTTCCGCCTCTCGATAGCGTTCCTTCTCTCGTGGCTATCGGCGAAGACGTGAGGCCGGGTGCTTCGAAGACGCTGTACAGGGGACACAGCTAGTGCACCAGGGATAATGGGGAGCAACACTGTTAACCAGGCGGGAAAATGCATGGCGGCGGCTTGGTATGGCGGACGAGACGGCGAGCTAGCGATCACTGTATACCAGGTTTTATACTCACGCGGAACCCATATATTATGGTTGGTCGCGGTGCCCTGGCGGGAAGCGTGATGAGCACACGTAACTCGTTACAGGAAGATGCAGCACGCAGGCAATAGTACCCACATGACATGAGACACGGAGCTACTGCCGCCAACCGTTCTTTGGATGCATGTCGAGGGGCTTATGGAACAGAAATCGATACTGCCTTAGACAAGCTTAGACGCTGGAACAGACAGTCGACCAGCCCGAGAAGCAGACAATAATGTCATATCACAAGATCTTATCTCGACCCACATGCATCGTTACTGCCGTACAGGCGCGGAGGAAGTCAGCGGAGTCACAAAGAGAGGGTCGAGCACCTGCACGACTCAAATAGGGTCACTTATAATGCTGATGACGACGTAAAGGAATTTTTGGACGATCGTGGCTGGGGACCATGTTGCTCGAAGGCGACGATGGTGGACGATAAGGGCAGCACGGCGAGCAACACACGAACTCAAGGAACCTAGATGAGGACATAGCCACTGCAAAGGCAAGAAATCAGCGCCCTGTTGATGTCGAAACCAGAGCAGTGGTGAACCGCGTGTATATACCGCATGGAACTTTGAAGAGTCCAAAAATACACACTCCAATATCAGATCTGCTTTGCCACCACTGTGCTCAGGATGAAGACTTGTATTATTGATTATGCGGTGTTTCTTTCTTACTAGAATGAGTCAGACTTACTGGTACTGTCACAGGTATATGATCGATAGCTAGACGTTTGTCTTCCATTCCGCCTCTTCTGAGCTTTCTCCCTCGTAGAACTCCCTCTTCCAAATCTGAGCTCTGGCCTTGACGCCCTCGAGTATCTGTTCGCAGGCGGCGAATGCTTCCCGCCGGTGAGGTGAGGACACCGCAATGACGATGGAAGGCTCGCCGACTGGTACAGTACCCAACCGATGGTAGATGACACAATGGATCAAGGATTGCACACTTTCAGACGTGGGATGATGGGACGAGTGGGTTGTGGACAGTCGAGCTTGGTTGATGATGTCCAACATTGTTCGGACCGCGAGCTTGCTGTACGCCTGATATTCAAGCTTGGTGACCACCTTCCCTGCAACAAAACATTGGATAAGACTCGGATGACGCAAAGGGCCGCTCAACAAACCTTTGAAAGAATTACGTGTCGTGCCAATGAAGACCGCAGTCGCGCCCGACGCATCGTCTCCTACAGACCCGATGATAGCCTCGGTGTTCAGGCGCTCGTACGTTAAAACACATGTGCTCCCTGGCGTCTCAAGACGGGCTTCTATAGATGCAGAATGGGTGTTGGACATCCTGCTAGATAATAAGCCGATGTCGAAGCAAACAGTGTCCAGCGCGCTACAGGCCGACCATCAGGCTATGTCACGCTCTCGCAAGAGGGACGAAGGAAAGCTCTAGATACTTTGCGTTTCTCACGCTCGTGGTCCCCGCCTGGCATTTCCCGTCGAGTCTTTGTTTAGACCTGGCGTTATTCAAGATTTGCCCGAGTTCACGAGTTCGACGATTTGCGCACCATGTTGCGCGCATCAGTCCGTGGTTTCTCGACGTTCTCGAGGCTGAGGAGTGCGTATCCGGCGAGCTTGACGCGCGCGCTGGACCGCGGCGCGTTCATCGACATTCATCCCGAAGTCGCAGACGCTCTTGCCACCAACAAGCCCGTCGTCGCGCTTGAGACGACGATCATCACCCATGGAATGCCATATCCTGTCAATCTCGAGACAGCCAAGTCTGTAGAACGCAATGTGCGCTCGACCGGCGCCATCCCTGCTACTATTGGCGTCATTGGTGGACGCGTCAAGATAGGGCTTGAGCCTGTGCAGCTGGAGTACTTGGCTGATATCAAGACAAATCCTTCCTCTGTGAAGCTGTCGCGTCGGGATCTTGCTGCAGCGATTGCTCTCAAGAAGGATGGAGGCACCACCTGCAGTACCACCCTGATATTTGCCGCCTTGGCAGGAATAAAGGCATGTCGTTACTTCTGATAGCGCCATGTCAGTCGGGGAACTTAATCATCTGTGGCGAAGGTCTTTGCGACAGGAGGGTAAGACAACGCATTTTCGATGTTTCTCCGTCACCTGACGTCTCGCGCATGCGTTCATTCCGAATAGCCTGGGAGGCGTGCATCGAGGCGGAGAAAATTGTGACTGAGTTTCTTTTGTTCTTGAAAGGCGCTCGTACTTATCTTGGCTTTAAAGCTTTGGACGTGTCGGCGGACCTGCAAGAGCTCGCGCGTTGCCCTGTTGGATTGGTATCTGCCGGCGTCAAGTCTATACTGGATATTGGAAGGTCGGCCTGAACTCTTACACATATGCCAGCAGCGCGTGTGAATTTTTAACAACATTTTGACACGCGCAGGACCTTGGAATACTTAGCAAGTTCCTCATGAAGCTCATAAACAGCCATTGATTCTGAGTAGTTATAATGACATCCAGGAAACTCTTGGTGTCCCTGTATTCACATATGGGAAGACAGATGACTTCCCCGCGTTCTACAGCACTCGGAGCGGCTTTAAGGTGAGCACAAAACTGCATGTACCGTATCCTGTGCCTCATCTGGTGCTGCTTCGCATAGAGTCCATGGAGAGTGGACAGTCCACAGATTGCCGCCGATGTCCTATGTGCGTGTCCCCTTGTGTAAAGTTGGGGAGCATCTTGATCCGAGAGCTTCCATATAGACGCACAATGGAAGCTCGGTATGAGTAACGGCGTTCTCTTTGGTGTACCCATCCCCGAGACATACGAAGCCGTCGGGGAGCGGATACAGCAGGCCGTGGAACAAGCTGTCAGAGAGTCTGAAGAAAATGGGGTATCAAAGCGCGGGAAGGAGGTCACGCCCTGGCTTTTGAAGCGCGTCGGAGAGCTCACACAGGGCAAATCCTTGGCTAGCAGTAAGTGTAAATTTTGATTCTGGTTTTCACAACTCATGCCTTTTTCTCTGCTGTGGCAGACGTTGCTCTGATTGAGAATACGGCCCTAGTAGGAGGCCAAATTGCAGTCGCTTATGCAAAGTTGGCAGCGGATCAGCCGCAAGAAGTTGGATCGAATGTGAGGACCTGATAGCTGTTGTATTTTTGCCATATTCGTGCCGAATCATGGTTCGTATTTCAGAATTATCTTGTTCCGCCATTGCTTGTGAAAACCTCAGCGCCTAGTGAGCAAGCGCCATCACCATCTCCCACAGAAGAGAAGCCGGCTGCGAAGCTGCTCGTGGTTGGATCCGCCGCCGTAGATATCACTTCACAGGCATCCATCTCCGACCAAGGCGGTGGTCTACATTCTACGACTCCTGGCAGCGTTTCCGTATCCTTGGGTGGAGTAGGGCGAAACATGGCAGAAGCGGCTCATCGTATTCTGATGTTGCAATCCACAAGCTCTTCCTCCACAACGATTCTCATCTCAGCTGTAGGCGGCGACTCATTTGGCCGTTTACTCGTCGACGAGATGGGCCGAATGGGTATGCGCACTGATGGCTTGGTGCACTTCGAATCGAGCAGGTCCGCGGTATGCAACATGGTCCTAGACAGTGGTGGAAACTTGGTCGGGGGCGTCGCTGATATGGACATTATCAGCTCGTTGAAGCCTGAAAAAGTGAGTGCCTACAAATCGAAGGGAACAGCTGAGATTGATCTCCTTCTGTTCCACGCAGGTCCTGGAGTACATCCAGAAGCATAAACCATCACTTATTGCTATCGACGCAAATGTATCGTCTGATGTGCTCAAGTCCATCGTCATATACGCCAATGCCAATGGCGTAAAAAGTGGGTTGAAGATGTTTATCCCCTCCTTCGTTTGTTCACGCTGCCTTTAGCTTTCTTGTTAGTCGTCAAAATTCTTCACGAGACTTACATGATAGCTTGACTTGTCTACAGTGAGCCTACCTCGGTGATCAAATCAACGACCATTCTGCCTGCAATTGCTGCCTCCTTACAGACCTCGAACTCGGCTCTGGCTCCCATCACATTTGTTTCCCCGAACCTGCTCGAGCTCAGTGCCCTTTATAATGGCGCATCTAACGAGCCGCACGAGCTAACGAGCCATCCTAAGTGGTGGGCAGCCCTCGACGGGCTGTCCCTAGGAACAGAGTTCCGCTTGTCACTTGAACAGCTCTCGCGCTGCAGTGCCAGCGATGAAGACTCTAGCAAGGGGACATTGGCCTTCCTCGTCGACCAGGGTATTGCTCAGATGGCTACCAATCTTTTGCCATTCTTCCAGCACCTCATCATTAAGTGTGGCCCCCTCGGCGTCATTCTCGCGATGCGCATTCCCGCAACCGGCGGATCTCTCTTCATGCTCGAACGCAGCAACCCTCGCCGTCGATACATTGTTGCGCATGGAGCAACGGAGATCGTCGTCTTTAAGCATTTTCCCGCTCTCACTTTACCCAAAAAGGCGGTCTTGAATGTCACGGGCGCCGGTGACAGTCTAGTTGGCGCCATTCTAGCGGCCATTGCCGAGAACCAATATGTGTTCGAAGACCCACAGACTGTGGACATGGCAATCGATAGAGCACAAAGAGCTGCGATAAGAACTCTTCAGAGTCCTCTTGCTGTCTCTCCAGCACTCTCTACGCTCGATGTGGAACTATAGCAGCGCTTTTCGTTACAGATACAAACGCAGAAGGTTAGTCGCCTCGTCTCGCTGCTTATATTCTTCAGCAGTGATGGGGGTTTCTGCACGATGCCTTAATAGGGCTTTTTTCACCTTCGTACCTGCATGTATTCTCTGCCGCGGATATATATGAGATGCGCAGCCAATTCTGGCACGGGCTCATGCCGCTCAAGGGTTCAGAAACACATTGTCAGGTTTCTTGCGATCAGTGGTTGGTTTACACGGCCGCTTATACTCATTGTCGTCTCAAACGCCCTTGGCCGCAAACGTTCGAACTCCCACATTCCGCGCGAGTATGACATGGCAGCCTCAGGTGGTCGTCTGTTCTACTAATAAAACACTGCCCGTGTTGAAAAACAAAATCAGTCAGACTTAAAAAATAAAATTGATCAACCACCATCCTTAACCTCGACTTGACGAGCTGGCATATCCGGTGGACACAGATGAGAATGCAGGTCGTGCATTATAAAGACATTAGATTACAGTTTGCTATAGAAGAAAAGTCATATTACAAGGCTGTCACATTGTGAATCCAGTGTCTGCAGACGTTGGATGCTGGGGTAACGGCCCAACTCGGACGTGCTCCCGAGCCAGCCGCATGCGTTCCTTGGTCGCTACTCGTTCAGCCTTCTGAGCATTCTTAATCTTCTGCGCGTAGCGGGACTGCGTTTCCATCGTCAGAACCTGTGCCAAACGCCGGAATGCGTCGACGTACCTGAGCACCGTGCTTCAAGCGCGTGATGATATTTGCAGCCTCCCCTTTCGTCATTCGGTTCAACTTATCCAGAGCCTCTCTCCCTCTGTCATCCGCATCGTCAGGAACCGACGTACGTACACGCCATCGCTTGCTGATCACCGCCTTTTGATATTCTGAAGCGGGCTGCATTCGCCAGCGTGCAGAGCGCAGAACTCTGAATACCTACGGGTTATGACGAATGCCTACATCGCAGTGAGAACACGCACCCCAGAGCCGCCTGACCCCTTAAGATCTGGTTTGCGATATACGTGTCACATCCTCGGATGGCGATGTCGAGAGACTCAGCCTTCATAATCTCCTTGCTCATGCGGAAAAAGGGCGCCTTGGTATGTTTGGTCGCGCCGAAGAACATCACCGGAGAAAAGTGTGCCCGGAAGTAGCGCTTTAAGTCTGGGTTTGTGATAAAATCGTCCTCGTCGGTGACATCAACTGGTTCAATTCGGACGTGTCCCTTGCCAAGGCATTCGAGGACGTATATGTCGTCGCCACAGCCGACCCACGAATTTCTGCTCAATTGGGCGACGTGTGGTGGGACCCCCGACGCTTCGTTGACCAAAGAAAAAGGGTTCTCGAAGTCGATATAGGTGACGGTCGTAGGATCTGGAATGTCGTCCGCAGTGTCCATAGAGAGCTGCGTCCCATCTAATGCTATTTGCGCATCCGCGCGCTTCTCCAAATCGTCTGTGGTCATGTCTATGCACATAAGATTGAGTTATGGACGACATCGCGGCTGGGAATACCTTACTGTCAACAACCTCAGAGGGATCCAGACCAAATAGGGTTGGCGTGCAAACGACACCAGGGATGCGGGTTGTGATATCCACAAAGTCGATAATATGACAATCGACTTTTTCGGTAGCAGGTGAAAGACGCATGCCACGGCCGATCTGTGCAAAATAAGAAGGGCGCCTTGTAGAGCAGTGATAGAATGTACCATTTGCGCAAATACATTTCGCGAGCGTGTAGGTCGAGCGACGATCACGCAGTCGATATTTGGGATGTCCGTACCTTCGGTGAGTATCGCTGGTGGACTGTGAACAAAGTGCGACTTGGACAGGACGTAGATGCGTACCACAGTTGAGAAGTACTGGGTAAACTCCAGCTTTGAACCCTTCTATCAAAGCCCCTCGCTCTGCCATGGGTGTACCAGAATGGACGTATCGCGCATCGATCCCGGCCGAGCGAAAGGCCTGCGTCAACTGGCCAACATGAGCCAAATTGACGCAAAACACGAGGGTTGATTTACGCTCCGGCGCTAAGAGCGCGAAGAGCATTCAGTTCATATGCTCAACGTCGTCTCGCTGAAAGATAGCTACCTGCTCTGTCCAGCCACGACTGAACCACGAGCCTGTTCACGGTGTCCGTGTTGATGACTTGCGCCAGACTCGTAGGGTTGAAATCACCCGTTCGAGAGCTGACGGTGACGGCCTTGAGATTGATATTCGCTCGCACCGTGGTAAAACGTACATTACAAAGCCTGCGACACATTTTCTGATCAACACTCCAGCTGGACCGCGCAACGAAACGGGCATGGACACGTACCACTGCTCCTTGATCATCTCGAGGAAGTCACGGTGATAGACAATACGTTTGAACACGGAACCAAGCGCGAGGCCATCATGCCTACTAAAAGTCGCGGAGAACCCGATGATCGGGATTGTCCCGGGAACGGCCTCGGAAGGGGTTGTTGAGAGAACTTCTGGGCTGGGGATGGTTGGATCGAAATACGCCAAAATGCGTCGATATCTGGGACAAAGTAAGGCACAGAGGACAGAGAACCCGCTGGACTCACTCACGACGGCGCAGCGGCATGATGGGCTTCGTCCACTACGACTGCCTTGAGATACTTTGGGCTGAACTTTGCCAGTCGAAGAGGTTGGAGGAGTGTCTGATAGGTCGCGATGGTCCTTCACAGCGTCAAAGTATGTGCCCCCAACGTATGAGATGCTAGCTGCGATGGTGGTAGAAGAATACAACTCACACATCAGCAAGCCCTGAGGCCTTATGTTTCACGCCCTGCTCAATTTCCACCTTCCAGTCCGGATGTAACCTCTCAGCCTGTGCCGCAGCCTGCTGCGCAAGCTCGATGCTGTTCACGATTACGAGCGCACGCGTCGCCTCGGGGCGTTCATCTGAAGGCAAGATTCGAGAAAGCAGGGAGATGAAGACGGCAGTTTTGCCTGAACCGGTGGGCAAGGAGACACCGATGCGCGAGACGCCGGATCTCAGTGTCTCGAGACAGGCCTCGAGACAAGTTTCTTGGTATGGTCGAAGGGTTATCGAAAGGGCTTTGTGTGAATTATGTCTGACCGCCTTGGAGAAGGGAGATATCGTCGTCGCCCTGGGTTGAATCTGGGAGAGTAACCATCCGCTCCGCCAGAACGGCATGAATGACCGTTCGTTGTCAACAGGATCAACTCAGATTCTTGTGTTATTTGTGAAGCGGCTGGATGCACTGGCAAAATAAAACCTGGCCCTTGGCTGACCTCACAGGATGCTTGCGAAGACCTTCGGGTCTAGCCCATCACCTCATTCGCCATAGAATCAGGTTCACATGCGGATTGCCCATGAACCAGATTGCATTTCATATGTACTGCAACTTTGCAATGAAGGACTATTCACCCCAGCTCGGAATAGAGGCAAGATGATAATAGTAAGAGATATAATCAAAGAGTCTATTGAAAGATGTCGTAAACCAGGAAATGAACATGCGGAATCAATGCAACCCCACGCGTCCCATGCATCACGACCGTCTATCAGCCAGAGGCATTTAGCCAGATCCTAGAGGACAATCAGACACAAAGTAGTTCAAATAATGCTCAGTACATACCACCGGAGTAGACCTTGCCGAACATGACCTGCTGGAGCTTATCGTAGAGCGACAACACACCAGCACCAGCAACACCACGGAGGATGTTAGCACCAGCACCCTTGAAGAGCGACTTGGTACCCTCCTTGGCGACGATCTGTAAGGGATGTAAGTACAGTTCGCGTTAGCGAGGCGAGATACATACCTGCGAACCAGCATCGAACATAGACTTGTAGTGGACGCCACCGCCGGAGGTCATCATCATGCGACGACGGATAGTGTCAAGAGGGTAGGAAGCAAGACCAGCACCGATAGTAACACCCCAACCGAGCAAGAAGGAGGCGAAGAAGGAACCCTCGAGCGAACCGACAAGAACGACAGGCTCTGCGATATTACCGTCAGCGCGTATACAGAGAGTGAAGCGATCTTAGAACGTACTAAGCGAATCGTAGACACCGAAGTAGAGACCACGGTAAACGATGATGCCAACAACCGAGGGGACAAATCCACGGTAGAGACCAGCAATACCATCAGACGCGAGGGTCTTCTTGTAGACATCAACTAGACCGTTGAATTGACGAGCTCCTCCACCCTTTGCGGACTTGGCATCGTTAGCGAGACGGGTACGAGCGTAGTCGAGGGAATAGACGAAGAGCAAGGACGATGCACCAGCAGCACCACCGGAGGCAACGTTGCCAGCGAACCATTTCCAGTAACCCTCAGACTTCTTGAAGCCGAAGAGGGACTTGAAGTAATCCTCTGATCTTGACGTCAGTAGTTTAAAATAACCGATCAGTCACGCGACACGTACTGAAGGCAAAGTTCAACGCCTGCGTTGGGAAGTAACGGATGACGTTGGCGGTGTTACCACGCCAGAGAGAGAGGAGCCCCTCATCCTTGTAGGTGCGAGAGAAGCAGTCGGCAACGCCCTTGTAAGGGTGAGAGAGACGACCTTGTTTGATCTGCGCGAGGTGTTAGAATGGCTTGAAGTGCCAACTAAACACAACACGCACCATCTCATCCTGGTTTTGGACCAAAAGCTTGATTCGCTCAATGGGAGCGGCAGACGTCTTCGCAACAGCCTGAAAGACACCCAACACGCCGTCAGAGGGATGAAACACGCGTGAAACAAATTGACTTACAGCGGAGACACCTCCCATCAGGAAATCGACTGAGACGAGTGCCAGGTCAGAGCGCGTTCAACCACAAACAAGACGCGCTGGCCGAATGAACAGAGAACAAAACACACCAGCGAAATCCTTAGGGGACTTGACCCTCTTTACTTCATCGGCCATTTTTTGGAGCGGAGGAAGGAAAGGGAAGGAGAAAGTGAGTGGTGGTGGGTGATGGGCAAGATGCAGAAAGGCAGAAAAAAGTTTCGGGTGTCATAAAGCTCTCGGATAATTCCGAATTCTCCCTAACTCCGCTTCCGGCCACTCCGTGATTGGCTCCGGCCCGACATTACCTAAATCGTAATACAGCCCCTCCGCCCCTCCGCATTCCAGATTGGCAGTGTCCCGTGGGGTACTACATCCTCGCTCATCGAACTGTGGGCAGCATCGATTTCCTAGAGCGTACCATATCTTCCTTTGTGGTCCCACATTCCCCACTTTAAACAAATCAGAACAAATCATCTCAGCTAGTCAATCAGAAATTTTGTCTCTTAGGCAGCACACGATGCACACCATAGGTGAGCGCCGCGAGAGCACCTTCCCCGGCTAAACAACCACTACGTAGAAAATACCGGGTACGTGAGTTGTTTGACTCACTTGCAAGGTGTGCGTCGGCCAATCGAAACGAAGCTTCCGGTATTGCGTCCATTTCCGAACATGACGTGCTCTGTAGGGAGTTCCCTCTAATCACAAGCAGGAACCTACGGATCACGAGCCTTGTCCACTGGTCCAAATCGGAGGCGTCTTGCACAGTACCCAGCTTCGAGATACGACTGCGGCTTCTCTGTCGGGCAGGCCTTTTATCGAAAAAGTAAAACAATGTCTATGACAGAAATATGTTGACGACATATCGGTTGATTTGCAGCTTATCTCTCGGATTTCGACCTTGCCCTCCAGATCTGCACTCGATATTTTGACTTCAGTGAACGTCCGCACAAGGGGAGCCGATGTACACTTGTCAAATGCCATCACAGCGCTTCCCACCAGCTTTTGATTTTCCCGCCCAGTCGCCTCCATGCTGTGCTACTTTGAACGCAACCTCTTCACTCTTGAGTCATTTTTTGTTGTCAAGCAACGTCCTTCGAGGTTTCTCTCACACATTTGATGACCGTCATCAGCTGCGTCGTCCGGCCAAATGTGATCCTCGTTCATAAGTTGTCTGCAGTTATCGTGCGCGCCTTGCCTGAACATCGTGCCTAATTACAGGTATCTTGGAACGCGTGGTACATCACTCCGGTGGATCTTTTTCTAGTGCATGTATGGCAGTTGTATGGTGTGTATGAGGCAATGCAGTGTACCATGTTCGTGCGAGAGGGACTCGGATTGCTCTTGTGGACCACCCATATTTCGAGTCAGACCTCTGGTACATGTATGATGGAATTATCTTGAATTATGTGCATCTTGTGTTTCATATCACTAAGGCTGGCAAAACAGAAATGCCCTCTGCGTATCGCGGCCTCTCTAGATGCCATGGCCCGTGTACATCGTGTAAATGCTACAAAACCACCATAATATGACAAGATAAACCGTTCGTAATTACGCGCAGCTTGACCCGCCCACCAGGCCGCATAGCCGAACCAGAGAAAAAAAAGAAAAATAGCATCTGAATACGAATGGTACAGTTCACAGGGCACGATTATGGCGAAAACGGCCTAGCAGTAAGATAAACCCGAGCACCCCAAGATGTACAAGCTATATCGCTACATCAGTCTGGTCAGCACACCCAAGACTACTATCGCCAATCTTGATATGGATGACGTGTGGGAGGGGAGTAGTAATGGTGACGAGGACTGGATGTTGGACGAGGCGGTGGAAGTTGGTTCGGCGGATAGAGGGGCGAGGTGAACGCGGACGGGTGCTGAGGGATCCAGGGTCGTGCTGGGTGTGGAGAGTACGGGTATTGACTTGACGCGGAGGGCTGGCGCTGGTAAGACGAGCCGTTCATGTACGGGCTTCCCCCTATATTACTACCAGTGGCGGAGGAGGTGGAGGCAGAAGTGTTGACATTACCATTGACACTTCGCATCACTCCGTGTAGTGATCCATCCGTATCCATGCGGGATTTCTTCCATATCGGCTCTGTCGGTGACGGCATCTCGTCAACAGCTTTCCGCTTCCCCGATGGGTGTGCCGGCGGTTCAGGCTCGTCGTCAGAATCGAGAGTAAGGTCGATGATCTGAGATCCAGGCGGCGCGGATTCTAAGGAAAAATTGGATGATTCGTCGCGGCAAGAAGGTGAAAGCTCCCTCTTCACTCGGCCTTCATCCTCGTCGTCTGAGTCTAGCACCAGCACCGCGTCGCCGTCACGAGGGCCCCACATCTCCCCTTTTGTAGCAGAACCATTGGGAGGAAGCTCCGGACTGTGAGATCTACTCTGTTTGATGGGCTTCACTGGCGATGGAGGCATGCTGATGGGTGTGGCTGCGACTGGCTTACGGCTTTGCTTCCAACCTGCAGATGCATAGTTGTCATCGGATGTGTGCCATTCGCCGTCGGCCTCTACCATGACATCCTCCACGGTATCAGGGGTTGTTTTGAGGATCTCATCAAAATACCTTCATCAAGATTTCAAAATTAGGCGACACGTAGATGCACGTATTTGACACGGACAAACGTACCCATCCACGATCAGATCCTCATGATTGATAGTTTTATCACAGACCGGACACATCCAAGTGGTGGTCTGCTCATTGACACTATACCACGACATCGCATCGAAGCATTGTGGATGTACACATTGCGCCGCCCGACATGGCGTAGTAATTCGCATGTAACTCAGCTAATAACAAGAATGTGAGGTGTAGTCAGTTTTGAATGACAAAGAGGGAGGCGCACAGGACACTTCAACGACATCTTCTGTGGGCCAGCGACGATGTCGTCATCGTCCGAGACTGCCTGCTTCACTGTGCTCGTGTTTAGATATGGATTGGCCGTCAGAAATGAGAGAGAGAACAAACTTTTCGCCAAGATATCTGACTTGCTCTTGTACTTCCCCTTCACAAGCCTGTCGATCAACTGGTCGACGTTCGTGACTTGGACCAGCATCACCGCGATGTAATATTTCTGAACCACACCCAGTCAGTCCCGCGCGTGGATACTAGAGCCATGATTGCGCATACCTTGGGTGGCGGAGGCTGCTGATTGTTGTTCGTCTGATTGTTCACATATACCATCTCCACCTTGGTCGAAGCACCGGAAATCATCTTCACCAACTTGGTTAGATCAGCGGGCGGCGCAGTGCCAGGTTTCTTTTTCAGCCCCTTCATGTTGGCGGTAATCTGGTTTTGATTCACACGAACTTCACAGGTTGGCGGAAATTCGATTGGGCATAGTGCATTAGTTTGACGGAAGGCGGCGGGGGACAGGGAATAGTAGGACGACGAAGTGCAGTAGAGACGCAGCTGGTATTTCGTGCTGGAGGGAAGATTTGAATGGGAGTTTCTGGTTCGAGCATATATGCGTACCTTGACGAGGTGAGCTTCAAAATCTGTTCGTTATTCAGAGTAAATGAAACGATCTGCTGCCGCCGATCAGCCTGGCTTGTGGATTCTGCATGCGAGCGATGCGGTCAAGAAGACATTATCGAAAAGGTTAGTGAGGCCGTACCGGGGCATTCCACGACACTAGACACAATTTGGTCGACGTGGAAGAAAGGGGACGATCTGAACCGGATAACTGAATACCGAAGCCGTGTGAGCGCGATGCGAGGATCAGAAACAGGAGACCAGCGCTTACTAGGGCGGGCCGCGGATAATGATGTGCTAGCACTAGGAGACGGTATGGAAGAGGGATTTCGGAGAGTCGAAAAGGAGTCATAGCGAGGGATGCTGGAGCCGGCGGACGACACGGAGTAGACGGATGCTGCAGAGCCAGGGATATACTTGGGAGGGTAGGCGATTGGGGATGGGGCATAGGATGAGCCGGCAGCTTTGAATCTAGAGTTAGAGTATGAGCGAGGGTCGACGTAATTGCTCGACCTGCGCATGTTGTGTGTGATGAAGGGAGAAGGCAAGTAGTGTGTGGCACGCCACCGGGGGGGGCGCCTGACTGATGGCAAGATAGAAGTGGCTGGCTTACATTCCTGTGTCCCGCACCTGGTTCAACACGACCCGACCAGCATTCCACCTATCAATATTGCCTGTGTTTTTCCAGCCATCGAGGATGCCGAGGACGCGGTCGATGAGCTCCTGCTTCTTTCCAGACTTGCTGAGGACTGTGCAGCAGACTTCATTGAAGCCCGTAATGATCTGCTTGAGCTTGTCCACGGTATTGTATCGGACTTTGACCTTTGAGCTCTGTCGCAAGCCACGCGGCGATCTGTCTGGTGCCGATACAACAAGCACAAAAGGGGGAGACACGCACTTCAAATTCAGCCCAAGGGTCTGCGGCCGACATTGGGCACTCTTTGAGACGACTGGAACGAGCAGAGACGGATCGAATCGAGCCAAACCTGAAGCCAAAACTGCCCGCGACCTCAGAGCAGCGACCAGCCACAGCCGTACACACGCGTAAACATTCGTAAGCAATCTCACTAGTCACGTGCCTCTCAACCCTTCCTCCCCACCACACCATGTCCGCCGCAGAAGACGAGTACGACAAGCTCTCCCCGGAGCAGCGCGATGCAAAGGACAAGGCTGATCGCGATCGCGAGGCCGCAGAGCAAGCCAGTGAGCCCATTGACCCGTTTACCCAAGTGCGCACACATATCGGTGCATCTAGCCCTCCCATACACATGGAAGCAGGAGCTTGGAGACGTTGACATCGTCGTCCCCGTTCCCAAGGGCACGCGCAGTCGCGATCTCACCGTCGTCCTTCAAAAGAAGAAGCTCAGCGTCGGACTCAAGGGAAAGGAACCCATCTTGACCGGTGAGCTCTGCAAGGAGATCAAGCTCGAAGATAGCACATGGACCCTCGGTATGCGTCCACGGATCGCTTTCCGCAAATAATTGTCTCTGAAAACCCTCTAGAGGACCAGCAGACTGTAGAGATTCACCTTGAGAAGGCTAACCAGATGCAGTGGTGGGAAAACGTCCTCACTCATCACCCCAAGATCGACACCAAAAAGATACAGCCGGAGAACAGCAAGCTCAGCGATCTGGACGGCGAGACGAGGTACTGTTCTCCTTTCACATCGCCCATGGATCGCGCTCTGATTTGGACTACAGAGGTATGGTGGAGAAGATGATGGTAAGATCCGTACATCAACGAATCAAGTACGCAGTCCCTTCTGACCACGCTGTCGCCAGTTTGACAATCAGCAGAGAGTGAGTATGCCCGGTGATCTTTGCTTCATACTCTGACGATGTATTCTAGCAAATGGGCAAGCCAACTTCAGATGAGCTCAAAAAGCAGGAGGTAAAGACGTGCAACTCATGAAGCTCGGTTATACTCATAGATACCTTGCCCTATGTTACAGGCTCTTAAGAAGTTCCAGGCTGCGCATCCGGAGCTCGATTTTTCCAATGCGAAGATCTCATAAACTGTTTCTAGCAGAGAGGAGAAAGTATAATAAACTGTATTTGTTTCTCCATGCGTCCATATATCCGGTGTATCTCTTATCCTCACGTCTGAATTAAAGTGGATTCATTTCGCTGGGGCTATTGGCAACAGTAGCATTTCAATGACTCTGAGAGGAACGTTTCGCAAGGCAAAAAATTTGGACCAAAAGATACTGACAAGATCAAACTTTCCGTCTTTTTCCAATTCCCCCTTCCGTCGCTGCGCTTTTCCTCTTCACACTCTCTACGAGACTCGTTAAGGCCTGTTTCTCCGTGCCCTCCGCCGACAGCGACTTGACATCAGCTCCATCCCTATCTCTCAGTTTGTGACGTTGTCGCTTCGATCGCTCCTGCAACATTGAAGCCATCGCCTTCGTCTTTTTGAAGCTGTCGACCACCGTTGTCAATAATTTTAAGATAACAGCGGACAGTTAAAAAATGAGACGTACCGGGGATTGCTCGGGTCGATAGCAAAAGCTGGATCCTCGTGTATCGCCTTGAACCGCTCATCTCGAACGTCGATTACAAAGTCTTCCTGCATCTCGTTCTCTGCTTCTTCCCCTTTCTTACCCTTCTTACCCTTTCTGCCCTTCTTTTTCTCTGCCTTCACCACGGCTTTCATGTCGAAATGCTTAGGTTCCGCGTCAGGCTTGTCAGGACCGACTAGTAGAGTGAGCTCCTCCGTAGTGGAGGGCTTCCGCGTCTCATGAACGTCCTTCTCGTCGCCCCCACTCCTGTCGGACTTGCCCTTCTTCTTGCCCTTCTCCTTCTTTGGCGCTACGACTGCTTCGCCTTCCTCCTCGCTGCTGCCCTCTTCGAAGAACTCATCACCTGCCAGGTCACTAGTGCCTTTCGATTTTGTCTTCGACTCGCCTGCCTCACCTCCCGCACTCTGCTTCACCTCCTCCTTCCGCTTCTTCCGCTTCTCCTTCATCTTCCGCTGATACTTCTCTAGCGTCGTCTCGTCTCCCTCTTTCGTCCCGCTCAACGCCGGCGTGAACGTCACCTCCATGTCCACATCGCCCTTGTCCTCGCCGTCGAACGCGCCTCCACCCCAGCCTTCAGGCATATCCTCGCCCCCTCCACCAAGGAGCAGCGCGCGGAGCTTGTCACGCTCCATCGCCTTTTTTCCCTTGTCCTTTGCATTGTCGTTGGACTCAGACTCGGAGCCCGAGGAGGACGCAATAAAGGCGCGGAAGTCGTTCTCCTCGATTTCTTTCCGCGACAGGTTCCGCCGAGTGACGCGGTCGCGGTCGGGATCGTCCTGGTCCCACGTGAGTTTGACTTTTGAGTGACGAAGGGCCTGAAGATGACATCAAAGACTCATGTTATCAGAGACCGGCAGAAAGGTGAGAGAAAGCTTACGTCGGTGACGAAATCGAGACCCTTGTAACCTGTACCCAAGTCATCGCCGAGGGCTTCGTCTCTGTTTGCAAAATAAGAAAATGAAAAACTAGATGAATAGCTGTGAGCGTAGATACCGAGGCTCCTCCTCGAACGTCATGTCGTCTGGCACGAAACTCAGATCGAAGACATTTGCAGAACGCTCGAGTTCAGTTCCCTGCAGTTCATTATAAAGATGTACTGCCGCCGGTACCGTGTCGCACTCGACGATCGCATAATAATAGCTGATAGATTCACCCAGTTTAACTTGTGTAGGTACATTGACGGTGACAGCGACGACTCACCGTAATCGTTCGAGTTGGTACTTCCTGAGCGCGTCATCGTCGTATTCATTCGTATCGCCCGTCTCATAGATATTTGTCTCATTGATATCTTCCTCGTCCAGTTCGACTTTCTTTTTGAAAAGGTCCACCGGCGGACCTTCCCTCTCCTCTCGCTCCAGCCTCTCTTTCCCGAACTGGCTAGGGTAGACGCGAACGCTACGCACGGTACCGCGAACGACGGGCGCAGAGTTTTTTGACGATTTTGACGAGGACGCGATGGTAGGTGAAACGACCGAGGCAAAGATCCTGTATAGATGATTGGCACGCACATAGTCCCAATCGAGGTTGACAACAGCGAGTCGACGCGTTCGAGTCACGTCATCTTCCTGTTCTTCGTTGGCTGCTTCGGCTGCTTTGGAGTAGGCGGCTGCCTGAGCATCAAGATCGGCGTAATTAGTCTCATCAAGGTCCACTTCAAGATCTTCATCATTGATGCGAATGGGTTTCGACGGGTCGCGACCGAGGGTCACGACCCCGTCCGAGTCGCTTTCGGCGTCGGAAGCTTCATCTCCGTCGTCGTCAGAAGACTCGAGTAGAGCTTCACCGCGCGCATAATCAGGACCGGCTCTGAGCGGCTCTTCCTCCTCGTTTTCCAAGCGATAGAAGCGGCGCAGATTGTCTTTCTCGTGCGTATCAGCCAGGGCACGGCCATACTTATCCACGCGATTGCCTGTCGAGCGCCGTGAAGGGTCGCATCAGATAGATGCAATGAGCGGGATGTAACATAGAAGTGTCCCACCGCCTTTGTCTTTCTTGCCCTGTTTTTTGCCGTCCTCGAAGATGCTCTTGAAGCGATCGTCCACGACGACCTTCGACTGGTGTTTCTTCGGACGCCTGAAGCGTGGGTCGGACTTGAGACGGGCAAAGCGAGGGTCAGACATGGGAGGAGAGGTGTTGGTGCAGCAGCCAATCAGGACACGGAGAGGCCAAAAGTGAGCGTGGGAAAGGGGACCTCGGGGGACATTGTCCTGGAAACGATCACGTGGCGTACACTACATCATTTGATTCGGTGTTCGTTTCTGGCTCTTAACCAGGCTTTCTCTCTTCCCTTCACGCCCCTCCTTTCTTCTCGTCAGTCCTCCTCTCTTCCTCTTTCTCTGCCGTCGTCCAGCTCACTTTCCTCCTTTTCCAGTTTCTTCCTCGTTCATACCGCACAGGCCGCAGGACGACCTCTGAATCATTATTTCCAACTTCGATCGGCACCTCCACCTCTTGACTGTCATTGTAACGCATATCCATTCATATCCGCTGCCATGTTCACCCCTCGCATCTCCGTCCTCGCCACTTTGGCCGTCGTTTTCATCAGCCAGGTTGCTGCTGCGCCTATGCCAATGCCCTTGAAGTTTCGGATGGGAGTACGTCCTTCATTTTGATGTGATGCTGACTCTATAAATAGAAATATTCCCTTTTTCAGCATGCCCTCGGACAGCGTGAGCTCGGTCCTCTCGATACCATTCCCGTGTACATCAAGCGGTCTCCCGCTGACCTCAACACCATTCCTGCGGAGGTCCCGACGAAATCACCCTCAGGCGTGGTCGAAGCATACAAGCGCGACGATATTCCTGAGGAGGTCCCGACGAAATCACCCTCAGGCGTGATCGAAGTATACAAGCGCGACGACGTCAACACCATCCCCGCTGAGGCCGCAACCAAGTCTCCCTCGGGCACTTTGGAGATGTACAAGCGCGACGATGTGAACGATATACCGGCCGAAGCTGCGACTAAATCACCATCTGGAACACTCGAGATGTACAAGCGGGAGGACCTCAACGAGATCCCCGCTGAGGCCGCGACCAAGTCCCCCACCGGCGTTATCGAGATGTACAAGCGGGCCGATATCAACGAGATCCCCGCTGAAGCTGCAACCAAGTCACCGACAGGTGTGCTGGAAGCGTACAAGCGTGACGATGTGAATGTGATTCCCGCTGAGGCCGCGACCAAGTCTCCATCGGGTGTCCTTGAGATGTATTAGGTGGTACGTTGTTTTCGAAATGTCTATGATATCTGATTATTCATCATGTTTATGGTAGGTGAAGTGGATGTAGTATCAGTGTCTCAGGACACTGGTTTTTCTCACTTGCGGATGTTCTCTTCTTCCTCCTTCGGCTCCATTGTTTGCGTAGATTCGCATTCTTTGTCGTTCCTCGTCGTCCTTGGAATTAGAGTGATTGGAGGCTGGGAGCTGGAGATTACTGGACTGCGTGAATATGCAAATGTCACGAAAGAACAAGCGAAATACATGAGATGTGAGATGTGAGATAACAAAGTCAAGGAAGACAAGCTACAACGAATAAGACTTATGAAACAGCTTAGCCTGTCTTGTGTACCCAGACCCATATAGCTCCCTGTTCTCCTACCGCGATAACTACTTTCCGGTCAACGCTCATACATGCTGCCTGAACACTTTCTTTAGCTTCCTCGTCTGCATCAAATCTACTCTTCCCTTTTGAGGTTCCAGTTTCAATACCCCATCCTAGCCCCTCTTGCCATATCCTCTCGCCCTCCCCGCTGCCCTCGTCCAGCCGGATTCGCTTGGTCATCTCCACTACCTCAGGTACATCGAGCGGAAATGGGGGCGATGCGCGTGGGGCTAAGTCGCCAGCGTTGATAACACGGACGATGTCCAGAAGCGGGACGAGGATCAGCGGATCATGGCGATTTGACCTGGTGGTTGGGTCTGTAGACGGCGAGCTGCAGACGGCGATCTGTACTGAAGACGGCGGAATTCTCTGGGAAATCGGTGGGTAGGGAAGGGGAACGGATGATAATATCTTGAACGACGCTAAGGGAATGTGCAATGAGTCGCATGCACTTGCCTGTTTCAGACGAGACCTACAGCTCTCTTGATAATCCTAGATGCATGTCATGAGTTCACGAGAAGGAATAGATGTTGGTCAAGCCTTGATGGGGGATGCAAGCTTACCGAAGTGCATCCTCTGAGCACATCCTGGACGGGGTGGTGCAGCGGAAAAAATCTGTCTGCACCCAACCATTGCCACACCACCATCTCACCTGCCTCTTCTTGCCACTCTTTTGGACCCCTCCGCAGGAGTATTGGGGCGCTATGCGTCAGGAGTGTGTCGTAGCCTATCCTGCAAGCAAAATAGTCGAATAAGAGTTTGTTGTCCGTCACAATGCAAAGGAGAGCGGATGGAGCGGACCAATTGATGGACAGCACGCGGGACCTATGGACGCAAGAACTGCTGAAAAGCGGTTTGTCTTCTCGAAGGATGGGCGGATTTTCCCCTTCGACTGGTGGCGGTATGCGCCATATTTTCACAACTCTGTCTAACTGAAAGACCTAGCATCAGCGTCGGCGCGTCGACTACCTAGCGATAGCCTCGCAAATCATCGACACAGATGCTCACTCCGCATGTTGCGATGATGGGGAGCGTTGGATGGAAGGCTGAGCCCAGCACGGCAGCCTGATGGCCCCCACTCCTACCCGCGCACAAGACAGCCACGCACCGCCCGCTATATTGGCCTTCAGACTCCGTCATGTGGAGAGCATGTGCTGCCCCAGCCCTGTTGGGACCTGCACCAGGCATCCACATGGGGTTATTGGGCTCTTGATTAGGTGAGAGAGTGAGGTCGTAGATACGCGCGGTGAAGTCGCGCGAGGTGGTGCAGAGCAGGTGGGGTTCCGTCGGATGCACCGTGATCGACGTGATCGCCTACGATGAGACCCATATCAGCGAGCCAGAGTGAGGGACAAGAGGAGCATAAAACACACGCCACCATGACCACGTAGGTAGCCTGCAATCTCGTTGCTGCGTATGTCGACGATGTAGAGCATAGAGGTACAGCTAAACACAATAAGAGGGTTCAGGGGACGTTCGCGATTTAAGGACCAGCAAATGCATTTGATGTCCTCGTTCTGTTTCTGTATACGATATTGCCTTGCTCATCAGCGACCAACGTACGAATGCGGGATATTTCGGAGGATTTACATTGATATCTTGAAGGGTCAATCGAAGCGGGGAATGTGAGGTCGGCGCCAAAGCTTGCAAAATACAGATATTGGCAACACTCCCGACAGCCACTGTGCCAGCCCACTGTCGCACCAGTTTTCTCCATTGAGGTTTGATCTGGGGATTATTATGAATTCCACCCCATAATCTCTCGAGGGAGTCCTCCTCCCAAGGAAACAAAGCGATACAGTGGCAACGACGCTTCCTCTGGCTGATCTGTTAGCAGGGGTAAATGCGACAGAAAAGCCGCTGCATCTAGGAGATGAGAAACAGACAGTTAATTTTTTAACAAGCTCGAAGCCATGAGGCCGTCCGTGATTTCTATACCATGCTTTCGCAGTGGCATCCGCTTCCATATCAACGCTCTCCATCGAGCAAGACTGAGGGAATAGAACAGATTAGATATGCGTCTGCTGATTCAAATCCAACGATGTTATACGCGATGTACACAAGTGAAAGCGACTGAGAAAGAAGGGGTATAAGTTTTGGCAAAAGTCCGGACGCACTGAGTCGTTGGCGGGTGGTCAACAAACGATCGTGCCCAAAAATGACAAATCGCTGTCTCGCGGCCGACTGTTCGCTTGCTCGTCACCGTCGTTCGCCGTCGTCGCTCCCTCTAGTATGTCTTCCGACTCATCATCATCTCAGCCTATAGACACTCCCGCATTCGAGAACAAGCCGACTGTCCAGTACGCTGCGACCGTAGGCCTGCAGGCGGGCTTGGTCGGCGCCTTTGTCAGTGCTGTCCAGAACGCGCTCGGCACGCACTCCAAGGGTGCAAGCGGATTCTTGTCGAGGAGCGGCGGGACCATCGGCTTCTTTGGTGCGCATCTAAATACTCGACGCCAGCTGCTTGAAAGACTCATGACAGGGTCGTGCTCGCGAATGGACGTGCAACAGCTGCCATGGGCTCGACGTTCGCTTTGACTGAGTCTATCGTAGCCAACCAGCGTCAGAAAGACGATGCGCTCAATGGGGTCGCTGGTGGATGTGCGGCTGGATTCCTGGCTGGTATAAAATGTGAGCCCTGGTTTTGCGCCGTCGACACTCCCCGCTGAACGCTATCCAGCACGTTCACTGCCCGTAGCAGTTGCATCATGTGCACTCATTGGCGTAGCGGTTGGGACGTTTGACTACTCAGGGCAGTCACTCCGGGGCGATACTGCATCGATGTCTGTGGAAGAGAAGCGTCGGCGATTCTTCAAGCAACCTCAAACGACTCCTGCTATTGCTGAAGATTAGATTGTATAAAACTCACGCTCTATCGTGATTCTATCTTTTTATTCTTTGTTTCAGACATCTTGAAACGGTATGGTCAAGACGACGCTCAAAGGTATGATGGAGAGATCTATAAAGAACAAGCATGGCTGGACAAAATGATCCACTGGTCATTTAATGTCGCCTAAGGAATTTCCTATGTACATCCTCCCAGCATCGTGTAGTAAGTAGAGTGAACACCAGACCCAGGCCGTAGGCTCGCCATACGTTGTTCACGAAGGGGCCATCTGCAGCTGACATCGTCGAGCGACTTCCTCCATGACGGCTTCCGAATGTCGCTCAACAAAAGTTCTCCAATCTGGAGCTGTCTGGCAATGATGCTATATCTTTCGTCAGCGGGAAGACTACGTGGAAACCGGAAAAGACAGACCAGCCGCGTCAGCAGAGCCCAAACCTCTTCTTCCCCGCCGTCATCGGCATCTGCGGAAGAAAGAAATCCAACAATAGCCTCGAAATCAACTCGAACCTGCGTGCTATCTAAGCTGTCGTCGAGGACAGAGGCTGGGACAGATGTGGGGGCAAGAGAGGGAGTAGGAACGGACGCAGGCGCCGGCGGAGCTGTAGGCACAGGCTCTACATGAAGCTCAGTAGCAGGCGCAACGGTTTGAAGGTTAGATCCAGGAGTAACAACAGAGACAGGATCCGAGGTGGAAGGTGCCTCATCGTGCCCTTTGAATTCTGGGAACGGATTTACCATCGACTCTCCAGCAGACGGCCTTTCGCCCACATGATCGTCTTCCCCCAACAGATCGCGAACACCTTGTATATCTTCATCGGTGTTGTCGTCATCATCATGAGATATGTGGTTATTACCATTATGAACTATGTCCTCTGGTGGAGGCCGAGACGTGGCGCTGGCCTTGGCCTCTTCCCATATACCCCTCTTGCTCATGGTTTGTTGCCACGATCCGGAGGTGTGATGCGGCATCTGTGAATGATGGGGTCCGAGTGTTCAAAACTCTTGAAAGCATACATGACCCAAAGCGGCGCACCTTCACGCTGAGCTTGATGCATGCGTTCACCAATGAGGTGTTGGGATCGATTCCCATGAGTCGACGGAAATACATCCGCGCATAATTTATTTCTGCATCCGTAAAATAATACCTCCCGCCCCTCATCTCCTTCGTTTCCAGCGGTGGAGCAGGGGTAGGTGACCGGTCTTCGTGCAATGAGGGTGTCTTTTGCTTGATTTTTTTTCGCCTGCCCTTCGGTTTCGCTTCGGATGGCTTGATGACATTGTCTTGGGCAAGCTTTGGCTGGCGACCTCTTTTCTTTTTGGCCGAAGATTCGTTGAGCGAGTATTCCTCGGGATCCAACAAACGTCCTTCCGTGATACAGTCATGCACGAAACTCGCTAGAACGACAGGCGTGCCGTGACGCTCAGCCTCGCCACGCAAACTATGGTATGTCGTTGAGCGCACACTTAGGACTGCGTAAGCGGCGACGGCGATGTCAGCAGTGATGATCCCGCCGTTTTTCTGACAGGTGATGTCAACTAGATCAGCAAGAGCGGTGAAGGATCTGCTCACCTTGATGGATATCACGATCTCACGCCTGTTTCGAATATCAATCTGCACGAACATACGCAGAGGACCATTGGCCACTCTGAAAACACCTTTGTCCTCCCGTCTGCTTTGCGAGTCCTTAGGTGGAAACGTCGCAGATGGTGTGGATGCAATTGAAAATAGAGAGGGCGGTCTATCGGAAGCAACTGGAGGTGGAAGAGGTCGTGAACGTGTCAATGGCGATTTGCGACGGTGCAGACGTGAACCTTGATCGGCCTGATCGGCCTTTTGTTTACCTTTTGATCTTGATGACGATGCTGGGCGAGGCGGAAAAGTAGGGCTGACAGAACGGTCTTTGCGTTTCAGCGAGGGTGTCGGTGGTTCCTGAGCTATGAAGAAATCCTTGATATCACTACCATCCGAAATATTATCTGGAAGCTGGGCCTGAGCAAGAGACCGAGCTTCTAAAGGCGGATGCTGAGAAGATCCAGCGATGGCTGATGGGTTTGTGTAATTCTGCATATTCGGAAATAAGAAAGGATGTGACGTTGGCTGTTGAGGAGGATGTTGAGACAAAGATGCGTGGACAGCTTGGAGCTGCGTAGTATCAGCGCCCTGTTGACGGGCAAGGTGTATAGCAGACTCGACCAGTGAAATGACAGATGGAGCCTGCATCATCGGATTAGGATATTGGAACTGTGGATTGAGCCCAAACATGGGTGCGAAAGAATTAGAGGGTGACAGCTGAGAGAACGGGTTATGCATCGGAGGATAATTATGGTTGATGAAAGGAGGCTGGGGCTGGGGTTGGAGTTGGGTTTGAGACTGGGGCTGGGACTGGGGCTGGGATTGGGACTGAGGAGGATGCATTTTCGGCTGAAGATGAGATTGTATGGACGGAGGCTTAGTTGTCTTGATGCTGCCAGGGAGTTCCGAGGGGGTCGGTCGAGGAGTGGGCAACGGACTTCTTCACAGATAAATGAGTAGCTTTGACGATGCAGAGGAGACTTGCTTACTTTTGGATCTCCTCAGCATATTCGTCCTCGGAATATATATCTTCTCCATCGTCTGAAACGCGAAAACCTCCCCAATCATCGTCTTCAAGCAATAGTCTTCTCTGTGCCACACATCTACGAGCCCATTGGTAGCCTAAGACAACTTTGTTCGGATCGGCGGCCCAGTCGCGTACAAATTGCCTGCCAGATATTGAATCAGCATCCACCAGGAGAATCGACGCATCTTTCGGAAAGCGACATGGTGCTGCTCCCGAATTCTGTTTGAACGTCGGGTCAGGTCAGAGATTGCCACATTCAACGGTGACGAGAACAACAGACGCGGAGGGTGCGGATCAACTTTGGCCTGTTCTCAACACCGCTGATGTCCAAAAAGATGCTCAGTGCTGCACCGGAAGAATCAACAAAGAGACGCATGTTCTCCGCTGCAGGTTGTATTGAGGGTGAGTGCTCCATGATGACGGACGCGAGCGCGCCACCAGCCTTTGACCATTGTTGAGTGCGTCCGCGGGGTTCAAATTTACACCCTCGAGACAATCCAACAGCCGACGACTTCCAATAAGTACTGTAGTTTCAACAAGACTCAAAGTACTCAACCCCTCTCTCTGCTTTATTCGGGTCACTCCTGGCACACTTCGCCTCACCATTGAAAAGTTCACTCAAATCCCGAAAGCTTCAAGCTAATTTTAGTTGACCTCATTTCATATCAGCGCAAGGGCGCCGCCCATAGAGAACATGTCGATTTTGAAGGGGAGGCATGTTGTCATGTCATAGCAAGGAGGAAAAGTAACACATGATGATGCAAGGAAATAGACAGCGACAAAAATCCTTCACCGGTAACTGGAAACAAGAAGACGCTCAATCGGTGTTGGGAGACGATAGCATAAAGGACGAACCTCTTCTGCCTGCGAGCACGGGCACCAGCACCACCGAACTTCTTGGGCTCCATCCGTCTTGGGTCCGCGATCAAAAGAGTTCGGTCGTATGCAACTAGCTTCTTCTTCAACTCGATGGCGCTGTACGCATCAACGTACTTCGCGTAGTAGGCAACGATGGCCTTGCTGATGGCTTGGCGGATGGCGTAGACCTGGGAAGTGTGTCCACCACCCTTTACGCGCACTCGAATGTCGACGGAAGCAAAAGATTCCTCGCCGGCGACGAGAATGGGCTCATAGACCTTGAACCGGAGGATCTCTGGCTGAACGAGGTTGATGGGAGAGCCATTGATACGAATCAGGCCCTTGCCCTCACGGGCGTGTGCGACCGCCGTTGCGGTCTACAATAGTGATATTCGTTTCATGTACGGGATAGTGAGTTTTAATCAGAACACACCTTCTTTTTACCGAAAGTCTGAACAGCCTTAGTTGTTGACGCCATTTTGTTCTAAGGGAGAGAGGGCCGGCTCAGCTTGATGGGGGAGCTAGAGGCGAACATCAAGGTCAATTATCTGAGTTGTAGGTGTGAGGAATGTCCGTCCGTCGCGTCATCCAGACCAGTGAACAAGCATCCAACTCAAATCTGGTCGGTTTTCGTCCAAACAAGCGAGGAAATGCGATCTCCTAGCGTTCGACGGACGTTCAGAGAAATCGACAGCAAAGACTCACCCTTCTTGCGGTCGTTAGTTGTATCGAGCGGGTGTGTATACGACGGAGCCCTTGAGGACGGCACCCATTATGCCGGTTTCTCACGATACGCGTAATTACGTAATTAGACGTGACATCGTAGTGATTCTAGCTCTAATAGACTGCTCCACGTTCACTGAGTCGTCTGCGCCTTGGTGCATTATATCTCTTCAAAACAGCATGTTGGCTGCTACAAGGCGATCGCTCGGACAGGTGAGTCATTTTTTGAAAGGTACTTCCATCCAACTACCCTAACTGTGACCCGAAAGTCGTCGTGGTTTTCCAACCGCAGACTCACGACTGCAGCCATAGCTGCTCAAGGACATCCTGGCTCACTCTTGACGATACCTGCTCAGCAGGCGCACTCCGTTTCTGCTGCACCTTTCATAGGTATGCATTATCTTTCAGCGTGAAATCTGTCTTTACATTGGAATGATTTGCGACAGCTCTCCCGATCACACAACCAATATATGTTCCAATGTCCTCTCTTCTCCATCCTCGCAAAGATGACGACCCATCCGACAAGCTAGTCGAGCTTGACCCAACAGTGTTTGCTCATCCCATTCGTCGCGACATCCTGCACCTCTGCGTAGTTCACTTCCTGGATTCGTTACGACAAGGCACTGCGAGCACGAAGACGCGAAGCGAAGTGCGTGGTTCTGGTCGCAAGATTCGTCCTCAAAAGGGTAGTGGTATGGCACGTCTGGGTGATGGTCAAAGTCCCATGCTGCGAGGTGGCGGTGTCGCTTTCGGACCCAAACCGCGAGACTTCAGCACCAAACTTCCTCGAAAGGTTATCCAGATGGGTATGCGGGTAGCGTTGAGTGCTAGAGTGAAGGAACGGAACCTTCGTGTTGTGCAGAGTCTGCAGTGGCCTGGGACGAAGACAAAGGGTATGGCACAGAGGCTGAAGGAGCTTGGTTGGGAGAAGACCTTGTTCGTTACAGGGCAAGAGACTGTCCCTCATGGGTTGGCCTGCTCTAGTAACAATCTCCTCAAGGCGGAGACGGTCACTGTGAAGGAGTTGAACGTGTATGACATCGTGAAGTGGCCGCAGGTCGTCATGGATGTCGACGCTGTAGAGTGGCTTGAGCAAAAGTTGAGTAAGGCGTTGGGTGCAGATTCGTCTTCGCTGATACCATAGATCATTCGACGTTCTTTCCATTATACTATCTTTTCACATATGATATGAGGGTCGCCTGACGACTTTGGCCTGTATTGTCATTCAATCCTTGGGTCTTCTACCGAATTAACATTCAAGATTGAGGTCTGTCAATATCTTATCTGTCCGTCTATTCAAGTTGTTTACCTTGGATTCACGTCCCAGAAAGCTAAACCTTTGAGTTCCAACCGTGTATTTCCAACCATCATACAGATAGTATGGCTTGACCAACCCATCTCGCAGTAATTCGGGCCCTCGGATTTGTCTAGACACATTCCACTAAATATCAATTATTTAACAGCCTTTTGCTAATGTGAATTTACCCTTACAATAAAATATACTCAACATTGACTCGATCACATGCTCAGAACACGTCGCGCGGCGCGTGATCACTACTCTGTGACTCTTCCTTATACCTCCTGCATCGAAGCGTTTCGTTTATACCATTTCTTGAAGCTCGAATATGGCATCACAAGAATCTGAGGTACCCCAAGAAGAGGGAGAGGAGGAGCTGCAAATATCGGGACCGCTTCTCATCAATAAACTTCAAGAAGCTGGCATTCATGCACAAGATATCAAGAAACTGGCAGACGCCGGTTTCCACACTGTCGAGTCGGTCGCATATACGTCCAAGAAGAACCTCATTAGCATTAAGGGTATATCGGAGCAGAAAGCAGAGAAATTCTTGGCAGAAGGTATGTACTTGCCAGTTGAGCGCTAATGGGTCTCGTTGACGCAATGAATACTTTGTAGCACAAAAGATTGTGCCTCTCGGCTTTCAAAGCGCCACTGAAGTACACGCACGGAGGTCTGAGCTCGTACACATTACGACGGGCTCAAAGAACCTTGACACATTACTGGGAGGTACGCATATATGTCGACAACCAGAGCACACCATCAGAGAGCTTACTACCAGCAGGCGGAATTGAGACCGGCTCAATCACTGAATTCTTTGGGGAATTCCGCACAGGAAAATCGCAAATATGCCATACAATCGCTGTGACATGTCAACTTCCGGTCGACATGGGAGGCGGCGAGGGCAAATGCTTGTATATCGACACTGAAGGCACCTTCCGTCCCGTGCGTTTACTTGCCGTTGCGGAGCGGTACGGTTTGAACGGAGAAGAGGTATTAGACAATGTTGCATATGCAAGAGCGTACAATGCAGATCATCAGCATCAACTGCTCACGGCTGCTAGTGCTCTCATGTCGGAGTCTAGGTGAGTCTTTTCGTTCTCGCAAGAGATGCTGCACTCAAACACCAATCAAGATTTTGCCTACTTATCGTCGATTCGGCTACTGCATTGTTCCGAAGTGACTATCTTGGCAGAGGAGAGCTAGCTGCTCGCCAAGCTCACTTGTCTAAATTTCTACGAGGCTTACAAAGACTTGCTGATGAGGTACAACTGAGCTGAAGCAGCACGATCCGGTCCTGCTAATCTTCTTTGCACAGTTCGGAATCGCAGTCGTGTTCAGCAACCAGGTAATGTCCACCCCCGATGCGGCCGCTGGTCCATATGCATCAAATGAGAAGAAACCCATCGGTGGCAACATTTTGGCACATGCTTCCACTACACGGTAGGCCTGATTTACCTGTAGAAATGACAGTGTGTTTTACGCTTCTTTGTCTAGCCTGCAATTGAAGAAAGGTCGTGCCAACACCCGTATCTGCAAGATTTACGATTCACCCTGTCTGCCGGAGTCCGAGACATCGTTTGCCATTCTGCAAAGTGGGATTGGGGATCCAGAAGAGGAAGAGTGAGCAGTGGCTTTGATACTCACAATTACCGGATTATTCGTAGACTGTATTCTGTAATGTCCGAAGACTTCAGTGTAAAACTACCGCCTAATTATCAAGGATTTCTGCTGGGGAATGGCGAAGAACTTTTTTGAACAGACATCGATATCTCTGAATTACTTTAGGTCTGACGGGGCAGCAATCTTTTCAACCTGTCTATGGAGTACAGATAGAGAGATTTACATCAAGCACACGCAAGCGCCCATCACTTGCGTAGCAATATGTATACAGGATCTCCAAGAACTATGCTCGTCATATGGCGGAATGATCCTGTCAAGGACATAAGCAGCCCCCCAAAAGACGCATATGCAGTCCTATGGTAGGAGAACGATCAGGTAGGTACGATAGATAGAACAAGGATGACATACACGATCTCAGCCGTGCCAGAATCGAACCGATACACCTTGCCGTACATGACATAGTCATAGTCTTCTTCAAGTCCTCTCCGACCTTTGCCATCTGGTCGCCAGACATTCCTGTCCTTGTCTTCCTCTTCTGCCGCATTATCCGCTCCCCCTGTACCCCCGACAGCGGGGCCACCTCGGGCGAGGGAACTCGCCAATGCCAGAGCCAATGTCTGACCATTCTCAAGAGGGAAAAGCTCGATATTATAGTCTAGTGTCAAGTCCATATCGTAATTTTTGGAGTGCGCGTGTAGTCGTGACACTGTCGGAGATGGGGCCATTTCAATGCAAGCTGTGATCGACATATAGCTTGAAACTTGCCTCGGTCGAATTTCTTGCCCTCGGGATCAATACTTTTAATCGTGAAGATGTCATCAAAGACAATGTTTGACGATGCGGTTGTCATTTTGATTGATTGGACGGATCGATACAGAGCAAATAATGTTACAGAGGCAGGGTCGGTGGAAGTCTCTCGGTAGCGGGGAGGGAGGACTTAAATCATTTACTTAGGTTCATCTATGCCCTTAGATTATTGCCAACATTATTATCTGATTGGTCGCCGATTTAATGATGTAATTCTTTTCGTGCGCGATCACGATTTTTTGCCAAACTTTTGCATACTTCAGCGGTATGTTTGCAAACTACACACATATTCAGGATCCTCAAAAAAATTATGAGGTGATATAAGAGCAAGGCTAGCTTGATTCGTCTCCCACACAGAAGCAATAAACGCCATGTTAGCTATGGGGACACCCAAGAATCAGACCAGGATACCATTGCGACGATGATAAGGCCTATGGAGGGTCTAGATTCGAGAGCAACTGGTCTGCAGCCCTGGCTGGGGCCGTGGGGCTATCAAACGGCTTGCGCCGCCTACAGGGATGTCTCAGAAACAGAAAGAGAACATGACTGCTACTACAACGCACCTCTCCCCCGCAGCAGCGGAGGGAAATGATCCGAATAAATCTGGGTGTTTGGGAAGTGGTGACTCTCTGTCAAAAATATTCGTCAGGGAGAGAGGAGTCAGAATTCTGTAACGACGAACGTAAAATAAGGATGTTGCAGAGCTTCTTCCGCTGAGATCCTGCGCTCAGGATCGTATGTCAATAATGACATGAGCAGATCGATGCCTGCCGTGGTCATGTACTGGAATCTTTGGCGGAGCTGGTGTGGCTGTGGTGAGGGTAGCGTGATAGTTTTTGCCAGCGGTAGGGATGAGTACTCCGGCCAAGAATTGTTGGTTGGCGGTCCAAGGAGCTTGAATATCATTGATAGAAGCTCAATTTCACCTTTGGCCTGAAAGAGCGGCTCCTTGAGGAGAAGCTCAGCGAAAATGCAGCCAACAGACCACATATCCACGGCCGTCGAATATGATTTGGCACCAAGGAGGATTTCAGGAGCTCTTCAAAAAGGATTAGAGAACGAAGGCCTTTGAGATACAGATATATGTACCTGTACCACAAAGTGACAACAAGCTGTGTTAAACCTCCTACACCAATTGGATCGCCGTACCGTCTGGCAAGGCCAAAGTCTGCCACTTTGATTGTGCCACGATTGTTCATGAGTAGATTGCTGGTCTTCAAGTCTCGGTGAAGGATCCACATCGAATGGCAATGAGCGACAGCCGATAGAAGCTGAATCATGAGCGTCTTGATCTCTGATTGCAAGAACGGGGAGGGCATCAGGGTCAACAGAGTCTTGAGGTCGTGCTCAATGAAGTCCATGACGATGAAAACCCTTGAAAACAGAGAGGGAAAAAGTACGATATATAAATTGGGATATAACTTACTACACGTACTGGGTCAGGGTGTCACCGACTACTACCTCCCGAATGCCGACGACGTTCTCGTGGCGGCAGGTCATCAACGCGTTGATCTCGCGCAGGGCAGTGATAGGAAACCCATGTTTCTCCTCATCGAGCTTTAACTTTTTCAGGGCCACGATATCTCCGGTTTGTTTTTCCTTCGCGCGGAAGACGACACCGTACGACCCTTCCTCGATGGAATTTAATCTCTCATAGCAGTAGACTGAGCGTGATGGTATGAATGGTGGATGGTATGTTCTTGGGGGAACGAAGAGACTGTGATTTGACCGTGGTCTGGATTGCGAGGAGGGTGATTCTGTGCGACTAGGTGTTTGACTTTCGCTGCTGACAGCTTTAGGCTTGGCCTTCCGCTTTAAGATAGGCTGGCGCACAACAGCCTCGTTGTCCTGGTCATCTTCGTCCCATTTGGAGCGCTTGCGAAGGGGTGTGGGTGAACTCGACATGAAGAAGTGGAATCATAAGACTCGGCAATTAGAGCGAGTGTGACCCTGTGTGACCTGTACGACTGGAACGTGACCAGTAGTACGACTGCCAATAAGGCGAAAAGGCTGTTGTTAAAACCGGAAAATATTTAGAAAAGATAAGCCCGGTGTCGAGTCACAACATCTGTATCATATACATGACTGACACCCAATAAGTAGGAGCTATCAATAAAAAGAAACTCAAAGCCACATCGCCCATGCTTACACCAATCATACAGTCCAATTCACAGCAACTCATCATCAGCCATCTTCGTCAAAACCTCGCGCATCCTCTTGAATCGTGCATGTGTACGATCCATTGCACCGCAGCGATCATAGTACTCCTGCACCTCGTCTACGGTGAAGCGGAATTCCTGAGCAATGTTGAGGATGCTCTGATCAACTAGGTGCATGGTCTGCATGTCATTTGGACCTCCGTGCGGCTGAATAGAAGCTGGGATAGGACCCTCACTGATGAGAGCGTAGTCAGCTTCTATATCATAGATGAAAAAATGGACTCGCTCAGTCCTCTGCCTCTTAGAAACGCCATTTTCGAGGCTATCTTCTTCGCCTGCCCTTTTGGCCCACGCAGGAGGAGGCGCGTTGCCAACTCTTACAGCCCATTCGGCCTCGTCATCTTCCATTTCCTCTTCTGCAGGGCTCTTGCTCATTAGCATGAGCCCGGGAGGGACGTTAGGATCCATAGGCCCTCCCCCTGAACCTGCCAGGTGATGCATATGCGGAGGGGGTGCGTGCGGGTGTCCAGGTGGCGGGGCATGGGCATACATGCCGACTGGCACAGGAGCGAGACCTGAGAGACCTTCGTGGTGGTGCCCGTCCTGACCAGGCATTGGCATGGCCATGGTAAGATGCATGTGTGCGCCACCGTTCAAGTAGTCGTCATCGGGCGCCGCTGAACCTCCAGGCACGCTCTTGCGCTTTCGGCTGCGTTTCTGCTTCTCCTCTGGTCTGCGCACGTAGCCATACTGACCCTTCTCTCCGAGAAGAGGTTTCTTCTGCTCCACGATCGCTTGGATGATGACGTCCAAGCGCTGAGAGTTTTTCTTGTAGCGCTCGCGCCAGGACTGCCAGGTGTGCCGGCCAACCCAAGCGAATTCGGGTTCACTAGCCTATTGAATTTGACTCAGAAGATGAAGCAGTGTGATGCTTAGGGAGTAGAAAACATCCATACCTGTTCGCATAGTTGCTGGTAGAGCCTGTTTCCAGTTCTGCCACCAGTCTCCTTGTAAGGGATCTTAGCGGCAATCCAGTTGCAAAGATGCTCCTCGTCCTCTTCAGTAAACTGAGTTCTCCTGCAGGATCACTGGTGAGTTGCGGGAGTAAATGCCCCTGACTTCGGGACCACGTACTCCTCGCCGGGGCGTCTGCCGCCTGGATTCTTGTAGACGAGAGGAGTGTACAGCACGGTGCCCTTTTCAACGCACTTTTTCACCCAGAGGTAGGACTCGACGTATTTTTCAGGGACGCCTTGGTAGCTCTTGACAAGGTGCTGAAAGACTTCCGTGTTGGGGTCGGCTAGAATGACCCGCGCCGATTGAGCTGAGGCTGTCGGATCTCCACCAGAGTGCTATCTCCAAAACATGAGCCATCGCAGCGCGCGTGGAAAGGGGTAGGTGATGGGAGCAAAGAGTGGCAACGCACCATGACCCTTGCGCTAAGCGCCGCTCGAGCATTGACGTTGGCGATGCTCGAATCGATATGGAACTTTATCGGCTCTCCATTTATGACGAATATCTGCTTCAACAACATCCCCGCGATCTTGCATGCCTCTACGTAGGAGTAAGGCACGAAATGTCTGTCCGGACGTTCAGCGCTGCTCCAACAAAGACGCAGTCGCTCAGCCTCTGGGGTGCCAGGCTGGATGAGAATAAAGCCTTGCCGCGGAACTTTGGACTCTACTCGACCTCCAAGGGACTTGGTGATCTCAAACCTCAGACATTCAACTACGAAGAGCTAAAATCATGAAACGCACAGTGATGGTCTCGCAGAGCTCTGCTTGCATCTCTGTTGATAGATCTTTTTGGATAAAAAACTTGATAGCCATGCCATTCCGGTCTTGAAATATGGGCTAGAAGACGCCCATGCATGATCAGCTTGAAAGCTACATGAGGAGAGACGGCTGTACCATGGTGGTCTTGTTGACTAGAGAGGCGTCCAGAGTGCTAGAATAAGGTTGGGGGTAAATTCCCTAAAACAAGGTTAGGGTGCAGCCACTTCCATTCCCAGTGGCACAACTCGGGCACATTTGTACTTTGTATTCGCCTCATCTATCGTTCAAAGCTCGTGTATATTCATATCGATACATAGGATGGTCACAGATGCTAAAACGAAGGTAGGCCTCTCAGATTTCCAGCACCTTTCCTGGGTTCATGATTCCCCGCGGGTCGAACAGCTCTTTGATCCTCTTCATTAGATCCACGGCGACCCCGCTTTTTGAGTAGTGGATAGCATGCGCCTTCATGGCACCAAGGCCATGTTCTGCAGATATGGAGCCATTATAAGAAGCTATCGGTGACGACGACAACGATGAGCATTGGCCAACAAGTGAGAGCAGTGTCACATACCGACGAGCTCATAGACAAAGGGTTCAAGAGCAGCCTCAATCTCGGGAGCATATGCAGCGGCGACGATATTGAGGTGTAGATTGCCTGGCGATCGGTTTCGGTGAACATTACACATGTAAAGGAGCTCGGAGACTTACCGTCACCTACATGTCCGTACCCGATGACATGCTTCACAGCGTCCTCGTGTAGCAGCCCCTGTTTCCTCAGGTGCTCACGGACTATGTCCACGACATCCTTAAACGATGCCAGGGGAACCGAGATATCGTACTTGTAAGCTTTGCCCTCTTTGGACACAGCTTCCGTTACGCCCTCACGCAATCGCCAGAGTTGTGCAAATTGAGCTGGCGACTGCGAAACGACGCCGGTGGTAATGAGCGGCTCGTCCGCATCCATGAGCGTCTCGAGGAGTGTATTGAGTTTCTGAAGAAAGCCAGTCAGCCACGAGTAAGTTGAAATGCAAGACGATCTACCTCTTCATCGTGTTCCCTTTTTCCCCCGCTCGTCTCCAGCAGGACGAAGCATTCCGCACCATCGATTTCACTTTCACTGAGCGCTTTGCCCTGGCCGTGTTTCACAGCCAGCTCGTAGGCTGTTCGGTCAATGAACTCGAATGCAGAGAGAATTTCGGAAAGGTGTTGCTTGGTAGTTTTGAACAGTGGAAGGACATTGTCGAACTTGGGCAGCGCGAGGATGACATTGTTCGTCGCCTGTGGTGCGGGGGGTGTTGCAATCGATACTCCAGTGATGATCCCTAACGACCCCTCTGCTCCGATGAAAAGCTGCTTGAGGTCATAGCCTGGAGATGAAATTCTCAGTGCGGAGATAAATGTGAGGCAACGTGGAAAGGACCTGTATTATCCTTGCGGAGCGTAGATAGGTTCTCAAGGATGCTGCCATCCGGCAGAACAACTTCGAGGCCCAAGACAGACCCGTGTAAAGAGCCGTACCGGAGCAAGCGGAGCCCCCCCGCGTTGGTAGCGACATTCCCACCAATTTGGCAACTACGACACTATGACCATCAAGGGGGTTGTACGATGCATTCCCGGACACACCTTCCCTTCGCTCCTAGATCCAAGGGCATGATGTGGTTATGAGGAGCAATGTACTCGGACAGCGATTCCAAAATACATCCCGCATCGGCTACCAATGCACCTGCAGGACTGCTCCTTCAAACGCTCCGGAAAGCAGACGAAAATTTGAGATGTACCAACCTGACACAGGGTCAAACGACCGCACCTTGTTCATGTTTCCCAAGTTGATGATGAGCTCGTCACCGACTGGCACGCTGCCGCCCACAAGGCCAGTATTTCCACCTTGTGGGACGACGCCTATCCTGTGCTCATAACACCACTGCATGATCTTGCTGACTTGCTCGGCCGTCTGTGGTCGCAGCACCGTGGTTGCACGGCCATGATATTTTCCCATCCAATCATTGTTGAATGGCTCTAGCTCGGAAGACGGTAGGGCTGATGGTGCGAGCGTGGAAAGGATGGCAGTCTGCGGGAGAATTTTGGAAAAGTGGGCAACATCCTCGGGGGCGACGGGTTTGAGCGGCTTTCGGGATGCGCTCGAGGCAGATACATGCGCCCACCGTCGTGCGGAGAGGGTGATCCGTCGCGGAACTGTGCGTGTGGAGAGCATCATGTCGCAGAGTGGCAGAGCCGAGGGGCGTGACCCGTGCGTGACCCAACCCGATGAAAGTTGCGCACGTGCTGCGATCGCGAAGTCCAACTCCCTGGCTTCTAGTGGCGCGTGCCCTCCTCCATCGCTCGCACCCCTGCTTGACTGTGATCCTAGATTCACGCGCGCTACTGGGAGTCGACCATGCCTACTGCCAAAGAAATCATCACAATTAGCAGCGATGAGGACGAGATCGTCCTTGTAAAGAAGGATAAACAGGTCATGGTCATCTCGTCTGATAATGAGGCAGAGGATGGCTCCAGGGGGCATACAATCATGCCCCAATCCCATCGCTCTTCACGCGCTCGTCTCCTTATCTCAGGGGCATCTCGTACCCCAAACTTTGATAGACCTTCAGGCAGCAGCACAAGAGGAGATCCCAGTGCGCGCGACCCCTGTCAGTAAAGAACTCGAGACTGACATGCTATTATCAGCCCCCTCATCGTTACAAGCAATGCAGAGGACATTGGAACATGCTCAGAGGCTCAAACGCACACATCCCGAGGGCAGCAGCTCTGCTCCCAATGCCAAACGCGTCAAGAGTGAGCGTATATCGACACCCCGGTCGCTCAAAAACGAAACGTCCTCCGCATCTCATTCAAACTTAAAGCGCTCTCGGGCTGTTGTTCCCGAGATAATAGAATTGAACGATAGCGATGCCGAGGACGTGGTCCCACCCCCGGCGGTAAGTAGGTTTTATGATCTGCAGAAACAAAATGAGACGTGTCTGGTAGCAGCGCAAACGGCTCAAGCTGAAGCCAGCCCCGTCAATTCGACTCGCAGGGGCAACGACACTCAAAGCACGACGACCTGACGAAGCAGCAATGCACGTCAAAGCAGAGCCATCTGCAGAACCATTGTCTGAATTCGAAGACGATATTGACTATGACACTTGCCATCCGGGACTCACTTACCACAGCAACTCAAAGGTCATCCTTCTCATATTACTCCCGCTGCTCAGTCTGATTGGCGCGATCTGTAGTGGAAAGAGTCCACGAGACCACTTTGGATCGACTCGGATCCTGTTTCACTCACCACGTCCATGTCCGAACTTTCTATGATGCACACAACATCGCGTCCCCGGCCGAAGAAGCTGCACGGCAATCTCCCCGTCCAGTTCTTCTCGTGGAACTCAAAACCTAGTCATTATTGGCATTGGAACGCAGTGAGTCTGCCAGATCTGGATGGAGGATGGTCGGCCCATTAAGTGCGGCGTAAAGGTTTCAAAATCGCAGTCGTGTCATCCCACGTTCCGTCGTCCACTACATATAGGTGAACAAGTGTACAACCGACGGTCCAATACGATGGGAAATTCTACATCCTCCTTGCGCGAGAGTCTTCATTTCGACACGCTGCAGCTGTCGGCGTCATTCAAGCAAGCAGGTGGTCGTGAGTCTCTTCTTCCCATCTCTTCTCGAATATGTCCTTATACACGACACAGCTATCAGCAGAATATCGCAGATCCCCGGTTTGGTTGCAATTTCGAGCCATACCATGGGAGGCCATGCAGAAGACGAGGAAGACACTGATCGTGAGAAAATCTCCTGTGACATCGGTATACGACGCTGATTTCTCTGTGCAGCGCCTCCGCCTGACCCGCAAAATCGAGAGGGTAGCTTGCAACTATTCCGCGACGGGTCTAGTAAGGTCTCCGTCGGAACGTCAAAAGTATGCTTTGTTGACTTGTTGTAAAGACACTATCGTGCGTACACACGACGGGGTGGTTTCCCGAACTATAAACGACCAAGGTGCTGCTTTTAGCTATCCTCACAATTTTGGTACTGATACTGAAGACAGTTGTAACTCTCCCGAAATACTTCACTGTCACCGATGTACAGTTTGATCCACACAAGTACGCAACGTCTTCCTCACTTCTCGACAGTCTGTTGTTCAAAATGACCTGGTAGCAAGGGACATATGGCATCGTCCGGGCAGGACTGCACGGTCCGTTTCTGGAACTGTGAAGACGGCATCAGCCCTGGTTCGCACAGTAAGTGCTCGCAGATCCGAGTCGCAGGCGTCTCTCACGTGCGCGTGCCACCAGTGGAATTCAAGGACGTCCCCCACGAGCTGCACTACCACCCGGACGAGCCGATTCTAGCCGTAACATGCCACGACGGGTGAGCCTCTTTCCGCCAGCCGCAGGACGCGCGGGCACTCACTCGCGCCGACGCAGCTGCGTGTACCTCTACCGGAACCCCGGCGAGCGCTCGACCGACTCGATGCTGCACATCGCGCCCAAGACCGCGCGCCAGTCGGCAGGTGCGATGGTCTGGGGCCGCGAACGCACGCAGCACGTCCTCTTCGCGTCCTCGGAACCGAGGGACGCAGACGACGAGACGGGCTACCACCGCGCGTTCGACATCCACACCCAGAAGCAGCTATACGAGCTCGACGCCCAAGAGGGCGGGGACGCGATGGCCATCGACCCACAAGGTGAGCGCGCCGCCCACGTCTCACACGCCCACGCTCACGCCCACGCCCCTCTTCCCCCCGCGCAGGCTCGACGCTAGCGCTCTTCACGCTCGGCCCCGGCGCCTCACACGTGCTCCGGCTCTTCGACCTGCGCACCAAGCGCGCGCGGCGCGCGGTGCACAAGACCGCGCTCGAGGCGTTCCGCTTCGCGCGCGGCGCGCCGGCGTGCGACGGCGAGGTGACGGCGGCGGCGTTCAGCCCGGACGGCGCGCTGCTCGCGGCCGCGCGGAACGACAACCAGCTGCACGTGTACGACGCGCGCTTCCTCGCGCGCGGGCCGCTGCTGCGCTTCTGCCACTGGGGCGCGGAGCGCTGCGCGCCCGGGGGCCGGTTCGGGGTGACCGAGGCCAAGTGGGTGCAGGGCTGGGGCGGCGTCGGGCTCGGGCTCGGGCTCGTCAGCGGCGGCATGGACGGTGAGCAGGCACTGTGGCCGAGGCGCGGCGCGGCGCGGCGCGGCGCGGCGTGTGGGTGGGTGGCTGACGCGGCCGTGGTTTTGTTTGCGTTTTTGCTGCAGGATGCGTCCGGCTGTGGGACGTGCGCCTCTCGGACGAGACGCCCGCGAACGGGACGGTGCTCGCGCAGGCGGACTACGACATCAGCGCGTTCTCGCTCGGGGACGTCTACGGCGGCGAGAGGCCGCTCGTCGTGTGAGTCGCCCGCCGTCCCCCCAGCAGCGGGCCTTGTTTTGCTGACGGTTTCGCTCGATCAGCGGCGACAGCGGCGCGGGAGTATACGTGTACGACCGCACGGGGCGGATGGAGAACCTCGTGCCATGACCGCGGACGACCGCCCGCCCGAGCGTACCACAGATTGCCTCTGTTTCCAACTAAAAGTATACTTCATGAATGCGATCGCTATCCCGCCAATCTCGCACCAAGCTGTACATACATCGCTATCCCACCGTCCGCTCAAATACATATCAAAAGTACATCAAATCCACAACGACGATCGCGCGACTACACACATCATAACATGAACTAACGTAGAGTAAACGTACAGCAACGCGCGACGCGACGAACAGTACATGTATCCCCCCGCGTGAATCTCCCACACCGCGGAACCCAGCGCACAGGGCACGCGCGCACGAGGCACGCGCGGACGACCCGCAGGCCGGCCGCGCGATGGCGAAGAGAGGACTCGGTCAATGTAGGCTGCTTTTTGACCCCTTCGAGCCACTGACGCGAGGCGCCGACTCGGGAGGCTTCGAAAGAGCCGAGCGCGCGCACACGGCACATACATGCGATACTCAAGTTACTGTACTGTTACCTACTGTACTGGGAAAAAGGAACTTGGGGTCACGGGGCGCCGCCTGCTCCCGAAGAATGGAAGCCTGGGGCTGGGGCTGGTTCGCGGGCGGAAGGGCGCGTTTGAGTCGCGGACCGCGGTGCTGGAATCGCGCATTTGGGTCGCGCGTGAGACCGCGCAGGACGCGTCGGACGTCGGATGTCGGAACAAATACATCATTCTTATTATGAGGGTTACACAGGGCTGGCATCGCCGCCGGGGAGACGTCAGCGACCGGAACGACAACGCGCGGGAGAGAAAGAACGCGCACTCGCCTATCTAACGTTTCTACGCGCCAAGAGCGTATGTGCGCCGCGCCACGAGCGCGCATCGGCGAGCCGACGCGCGCCGTGCCGCGCCTGTATCCCTGCGGAGGCGGTGCTCGTGCAGGGACGGGCGGGGGGCGGGGTGGGTCGATGTGGGCTGCACATTGACCTCTCTGGACCATTGCTAGCGCGGTCCAGGAGGCTTCGATAGAGCCGGGGCGTTACGGAGTCTGGGTCTGGGACTGTGAGTGTGAGTGCGAGTGCGAGTGTAGCGGGCGAGGGCAGGGGCAGGGGACCGGACGATGCGTGGTATTGGTGGTACAGATGCGCGGGTAGTGGTAGGGGGTACAGAGTGCGAGCAGAGCGGATTAGCATAGATAGGGAGAAAGATCACTCAGAAACCTGGTAAAAAAATGGGAGTATTTATCAGCACAGCACGGCGGGCGGGGGACGGGCGTGCGCGGGACACGCACAGCAGTCGCAGTCGAACGGACAGAGCGGGGTGTCTGTGCGACAAGGCGGCGTGAGCGTGAGCGTGCGGGCGCGGGCGAGGGGGGGCTAGGAAGGAGGGGGACGCACCGCCGCCGGCGTCTTGGATCCCGAGCTCGTCCTCTTTGTAGATCGCGAAGCCTTCCTCGGTCTTGCGCCCTGCACGACGACGACGACGACGACGACGAAAAAAAAATTAGAAGCCGGAAAAAGAATCCCCCGTCGAGGGCGAGGACTTACGGGGGCCGGTGCCGCGCGAATCTTTGAAGCGCGCATCGTCGTCGTCGTCCTTTGGGGCCTTGGCCTTTGACGAGGACTTTGGCGGTGGAGGCGCGGTGGGCGACGGTTTAGACGACGCCTTTGGGCGTTTGGCGGAGGAGGCGGGGAGAGTTGAGAGCCGGGCGGAGGGATCGAGGATGGTCTCGACCGCGGGGCGTTTAGCTTTGGAGACAGAAGAAGAAGAAGAAGAGGCGAGGGGGGCGGCGTCTGTGTTTACATCCGCGTCGTCGCGCTTGCGTTTTTTGTCTTTTTTCTTCTTCTGCTTTGGAGTGGGAAGCGACGGCACGGACGCGGACGGGGAGGGGGAGGGGACGAGGCGCTTGCCCTTTGAGGAGGAGAAGATGAGGTCGATTTCAGAGGGGGGCATGGAGGAAGATTTTCGGATGGGGGAGAGGGCGCGTGGCTCGACCAGGAAAAATGCGCGTCACAGGGTGACTCGGGTAGCGTCACGGTGTGACGGAATTAGATCGAAGGGGCGGCGTGCGTCTGGACAGGGCGTGCGATGGGGGCGTGTGCCTGTCGGTAGATAAGAGGGACAGCGAAGAGAGCGAGAGTGAGACGGCGGCGACGCCGCCGGTGACGATGACGAGACGGTGTGGGAGCTTGCGGCGTGGGGACGGCCCGATGTGGGATGGACGCGCCACCGGGGATTGTCACGCCCACGACGACGAGGGAGCGCCGCAACGCGAGAACTACCCGAATAATCGGAATCAGAGGACATGTCGATCTTGTGAGTGCCATTTTCGCCGCCTCGCCGCGCGCCGTGCCGTGTCCTGAGCCCGCGCCTGCAGCCCGCAGCATGGAAACGGGCGCCCGGGGGCGTTTCAGCCGGCGCCACAGCCGTCGCCGACGACGACGACGACGACGACGACGACGGGGTTCGGGGGGGCTGGAGCGTCGGGAGCTGGACTCGGGGGCCACGCGGGACTGCTGGGCGACGGGATCGGGGTCGGGGCCGGGGTCGGGGTGGGAATGGGGGGCGGGGGGATGTTTGGGCTGGACGCGAGCGCGGCGGCGAAGCAGATGGCGGCGCTGAACGCGGCGGGGATAGCGCGGGTTGCGCAGAGCGGGCGTGGGATGGGAGGGCACGGGCACGGGGGCGGGAGCGGGGTGGGCGGGCCAACCTCGGGGCCACTGCTCGGGGGAATCGCGTCCGCTGATGGACGGGCGAGCACCCAGGCACATCCACCGCTGCACGACAACATGGCCGCCCTCCATCCCCGCGCACTCCCGCCCCAGAACACACATCCCATCAACATCCCCGCTTACCGCAGCAAGCACCGCCAGTTCCTCGCCTCCCTCGCCGGCATCCACGCCGCCCGCAACACCCCGCTCCCCCCCGCGCTCACCGGCATCCCCAACCCCGCGTTCGATCCCCTGCTCTCCTCCTGGACCCTCCTCGATCCGTCCCCCACAGAACCCGGCTCCATCCGCCTCGCAGGCAGGCTCGTCGACCTCTTCAAGCTCTGGACGACCGTCCACACCGCAGGCGGAGGCGCAAAGGTCAGCCATTCGCTTTCACCTCTCCAACACCTAACCCCGCCTCCTCACCCCCCACCTCCCCCACCCCCACCCAGTTCACCCAGCAGGGCCTCTGGCCCTCCGTCCTCCCCGTCTTCGACCTCCCCGACACCCTCCCGCCCCCCAACTCGTCGCAGTCCGTCGCAGAATTCCTCGGCCAGGTCTACATGGCCGTCGTCCTCCCCTTCGAGGACGTCTACCGCAGGAACTCCCGCGAGCAGCAGCAGCGCGCCCTCCAGGCCGCCGCCCAGGGCGCCCTCAATCCCCAGCAGCAACAGCCCTTCCCGTCCCCCATCCACCCACGCGTCCCCTCCCAGCCCATCCTCCCCCCCGTCACCTCTGCCCAGCCGTCGCCCCAGCTCTCCCGTCAGCTCTCCGCCTCCGCGGTCCCCGGGACGCCCCAACAGTCCTTCACCGCCCTGCCCCCCGTCGTCGACCTCAACCCCGGCCCGCCCCTGCTCCCCTATGAAGCCAACGCGCCCTTTGATCCAGACCTCGAGTCCAGAAAGCGCAAGATCGAGCCCGAGGACGAACAAAAGCGGACGCGTCAGAAAACATGTGAGTGACTCCCCCCGCCCGCCCCTTGCTCCACGTTCTCCGTCCGCTCACAACGGCGCCCCATCAGCGGAGCCGCCCGACCCCATCTTGGTAAGCCCCTGTCCGCTCTCCCCCGCGAGCAGTGAGCCTCACCGTGCCCCACCCAGTCCGCCCTCGACCCCGAGTCCACAGGCTCAGCGGGCGCCCCCGCCGGCGTGCTCCCGCAGCCCTCGCCCTCGACCCCCGCCCGCGGCCAGCCGCAGCGCCGCAAGATCGAATACGTCCCGACCGTGCGCGAGATCGGCTGGGGCGGCCGCGACGTGCCCGCCATCGCCGAGGAGCACGCCCGCGCGAGCACCCGGCGCATCCTCCGCGACCTCAACGAGTGGGGCAGCATCGAGGTCGACGCCCTCGCCATGAGCGTCCGCTCCCGCATCGCCACCGAGCTCAGCTACGCCCTCACCACCCTCACCATCCTCTCCACCATGCGCGGCGCGAACGGCAACGGCTTCTCCGCGAGCATCTGCCCGGACCTCGTCGACGAGCTGCTCGACCTCGTCGCGGACGTCGCGCTCGGCGGCGTCGAGGCCGAGCTCGCCGACGCCGAGGAGGGCGAGGACGCCGCGGAGAAGATCACGACGCACAAGGAGCTCGTGAACAAGGTGCTCGAGGACGGCAGTCGGCCGTTCGCCGCGCTCGACCGGAAACAGGGCGCCAAGCCCGAAGAGCTCGGGCACAAGCAGCGCCCGGGCGACCTCGTGCTCGCCGTGATGAACATCCTGCGCAACCTGTCGGTCTTTCCGGAGAACCAAGAGTTCCTCGCGCGGCACGAGCGCGCGCTACCCTATGCGCTGCGGCTGTGCGGGCTCGGGCGCGGGCTGCAGCCCGTCTCGCCCGCGCTGTCGCTGACGGACCTCGTCGCGGTGCGCCGCGACACGCTGTACCTGCTCGTCAACCTCGCGCCACACGTGCGCCTCGCGAGCTCGCTCTCCGCGACGCCGTCGCCCACGGCCGCGCGGCTCGCGCAGCGCACGTTTGCGCTCGTGTCGTCCTTCCTCGTGGACCCGTTCGACGCGGTCACGCCCCTGGAGCTCCTGCGGCAGTCGGACATGGTCCCCGGCGGGCCCGTGCACCCGCCGCCGGCGCTGGTGGACGCGGCGCTGGAGGTGTTCACGCGGCTGGGGCAGCCCGACGCGAACCGGCGGGTGATCGCGCGCAGCGTCCCGCTCGGGTGGCAGCGGCGGCTGTTCGAGGCGCTCGTGCACCGGATGCCGGTGGCGGAGCCGGACTTTGCGGTCGCGCTGCGGGACCACTGGCTCGCGTACGTGGCGAAGGTGGTGATGGCGCTGTACGCGCTCGCGTTCCTCGCGCCGCCGCGGCTCAAGGCGGCGCTGCGGGCGGACCGGACGCTGGACGCGGCGCGGGTGCTGCTGCGGCTCGTGCGGCGGTTCACGGTCGCGGTGCCGGACGCGCTGCGCGGGCACGCGCGGGGGTCGGCGTTGCGGGCGACGGAGGCGCTGCGGGCGCTGGACGAGGAGGAGGACGCGTTTGACGGGGCGCGGAGCACGGCGGGGCCGGTGCTTGCGTTTGGGGTCGGGTACGGGGAGGTGGGGGAGGACCGGGTGGAGACGGGGACGGGGCTGCTGGGCGGGTTCCAGGACGAGGTGGTGTTTGAGATCATGATGGCGAAGGATATGGAGAACGACATGTTCAAGGAGCTGGACAGCCTCGCGCGCGTGGGATAGGGCGCGGTGGCTGCGACGTGTTATTATTTATGAGGCTTGTCTTGTTGTCGCTGTATATACCGTACCAAGTCGGTAGACGAATGTCGTGCGCGGGGGATCTAATCAACGCGCGCGGTATCTGATAAGTGCACCGCTTTCTCAGCGTCCACAGCCTTCCTCGTCCTCGTCCTCGCACACACGCAACTCGCACACACTCGCACTCGCACGCAACTCGCATCCTCGCCTCCTCGCCATGTCCTCCGAGCTGCCGCCCACGTACGAGCGGGAGTGCCCCGAGGGCGATGCGTCGGACGTGTTCGCTGCGCCGCCGCCCGACGAGCCGCAGATGCTGATCATGCCCGCGACGGACGCGCTGCGCTTCCAGCAGGGCTTCCTCGGCGCCGACGGCGAGCGCGCGGCCATCGAGGGCGAGCTCCAGGTCAAGTGCGCCCAGCCCACCCGCTGGCGAAAACTGTCCGTCCCCCTGTCTGCCACCGTGCTCTCCTCTTCCGCCCGCTGAACCCCCGCCTTCCCCCCCTCAAGCACCATGCACCTCCGCACAACAGAGTCCACCGCCGACCGCTCCATCGAGCTCGCCCACACCGCCATCGTCCTCTACGACCCCGACCCCGCCGACGACCCCGACGCCCCCTTCCCGTCCTCGTTCCCGTTCGCGATCCCGCTCACCGCGGACACCCCGCAGTGCATCCACACGCCCCAGTCCGCCCTCGCCCACGTCCTCTCCGCGACCCTCCACCCCGCCGACCCCGCCGCGCCCCCGCTCACAAAGGCCCTCGCAGTGCACACCCGCCGCTTCAGCTCACACACCCACACCCCCGCCATCGCCCCCGTCACCCGCACCATAGCCGCCCCCGCCCGCGTCGACGTCCAGGTCCCCCGCACCACCTTCACCGCACGCGAGCCCGTCCCGATCTACGTCACCGTCCCGTCCCCGAGCAGGGAGCTCGTCGTCCAGGGCGGCCTCCGCCTCCGCAACATCAAGGCCGAGCTCGTCCGCACCGTGCGCGTGCGCCAGGGCGACCCCAACGACGACCCCTGCGCCGACGAGGAATACGACGACGAGGACGACGCGGACGACGAAGATGGCGGCCGCCTGCCCCTCGGCGTGTCCCACGAACAGGCCACCGAGCCCTCCTCGTCCTCGTCCCAGGCCACCACCACCACCACCACCACCGCGCGCCGCCGCGCCCCAACCGCCGTCTACAAAACCGTCGTCTCGCGCTCGGGCGCCCTCTGCCGCTTCCACACCTCCCTCCCCGTCCGCCTGCGCTTCGTCCTGCACCAGTCCTCCCCCGCCTCCTCCCCGTCCGATCCCGCGCGCCCGCTCCCCGCGGGCGACTTTGGCCTGCTCGACAGCGACGCCGAGTGCGGCTCCATCACGCAGGCGACGCTCCTCCACAGCGTCGCCTTCCGCCTCCGCGTGCACGTCACCTTCCGCAACATGGTCACCCGCACCGAGCACGTCTCCACCCTCGCCCTCCCGCTGACATTTTTGCCCCCGCCCGCCCCGCTCCCCGAGCTCGAGGCGGGTATGGACTCCGCGTACCACAAGAAGCACGACCGCCCCCCCGCGCGCACCGTCCGCGGCGACGACCAGGACGCCGCGCCGCACTACGAGGAGGGCGAGGCCGGCCCGAGCGCCGTCGTCGTCTCCGCGAGCGGCGAGCCCCCGCCGTTCGAGGAGCGCGACGCGCCGCCGTCCTTCGCGGAGGCCTCGACGTCCTCGCGCCTCCCGACCTTCCTCGAGTCGGAGCAGGAGATCTACGTCCCCCCGCGCAGCGACGACGACGACGACGACGACGACGGCCACCCTATCGAGCCGTCGCTCCCGCCGCCTCCAGGGCTCCCCGCGCAGCCGCAGCCGCAGCCGCGCCACGTCATCGACGGCGAGGGCGTGCTCTTCGGCTTCCCCGCCTCCGCGCACTTCGACGGCCACGCGGAGGACGTCGACCGCACGGGCGCGCCGACGCCCCCGCCGACGCTCGAGATGGCAACGCACGACCCGGACGTGACAGGCCTCGCCGACCTCGACCTCGACATGGGCCTCGACATGGGCCTCAACATGGGCCTCGACCTCGCCCTCGACCCCGACGCGCCCGGCACCCGCGCCATGCAAGCCCTCGGGCTCGGGCTCGGACTCGGGATCGGGATCGCCCTCGAGCAGCGCGAGGAGACCACCGCGCGCGGCCCGCCGCCGCCGCCGCCGCCCCCGATGGACGACCCGTCCGACCCGCCGCCGTCGATCCACTCAGAGTACCGCTCGCGCGAGGGCGTGCCGCACCAGATGCCCGGCGCTCCCGCGTCGTCGCCGCCGCCCCCGCACCATCACCACCACCACCATCACCTCCATAATCACCACTCGCCGCCGCAGCAGCTGCAGCCGCCGGCCACGGGCGAGGGGGGCGCGCCGGCGTCGCACGCTCCGCCGCCGTATCTTATCCCTGATGATGACGACGACGGTGAGGGCGGGCACGAGCACGTGGCGAGGCCGCCGCCGTACGTGGACGTGATGCACGAGCACTGATGTGGGGCGGGTCGGGCGCAGTTGTAAGTTACGGTTCTCGTAGATCGCGGATCGTCGAGGCAGTTCAGTCAGCAGATCATTTTTGTTGTTGTTGTTGTTGTCGTTTTTTGTTGTTTCGAGTATAATGCATGGACTCGGTGTGGTCAGACAGAATACCAGCTCTAGGAGTCCGGGGGTCATAAAAGCAGATTACATGTAATGCAGAGGGTAGGGCGGAGACCATGTATATAGAGATCACATCACATCACGTCACAAAGAATGAAAGAAAGCGGCCGGAGAGAGTCGAGAGACGATAGCGAGGAGCCGGCGAGAGCGCGGCCTGGCAGGAAGGTACGTGTCAGGCGCAGCTCAGCAATTGCACGCGTCCTTGCCCTTGGGCTGGTTCTCGTCGAGGTTGACGCCCTCCGCTGCGCCGCCGGCGCGCCCACCGCCGGCGCCTGGTCGGCCTGCGGCACCACGCGAAGACGCCAATATATGCTCGATCGGGATCTTCTTGGCTGCAGAACGGCGGCCGCATCGGCGCATCAGTAACGCGCGCGGCCAGCCACCACCATCATCACCATCAAAAGTAGAAAAAAACGGACCTATTTCGGTGAACACCTCGACGACGCCGTCGCCCGTCTTTGCGCTCGTTTCGAAGAAGAGCAGGCCGGCCTCCTGCGCGTACGCCTGCGCCTCCTCGCGGGGCACCTGCCGCAGGCCCTCCGCGTCGCTCGTGCCCGCGCCCGCGGCTCCGGCGGCGGCGGCGGCGGCCTCGCCAGGGGTGGCGGTCGCGTCGTCCGCTTCGTCCTCCGACTCGCCGAGGGCGCCGCTGCCCGATGCGGCGGGGGCGGGGGTGACGAGGTCGAGCTTGTTGCCTGCGAGGGCGATGACGATGTTGGGGTTCGCCTGCCGCTGGAGCTCCTTGACCCACGTCTTGGCCTTTTCGAGGCTCGAGGCTTTGGTGACGTCGTAGACGACGACGGCGGCCTGGGCGTTGCGGTAGTACATGGGCTGCGGGGGCGCGGTGGGCACGGTGCGATCGGGAGCGGACAAAGGGGGAGGGGGTTGCTCACTGCGAGGGAGTGGAAGCGCTCTTGGCCGGCGGTGTCCCAGATCTCATAGCGCAGGACGCGGTCCTCGAGGCGGCATTTCTGGGTCAGGAAGGCGGCGCCGATGGTGGGCTCTTTGTTGGCCTGGAACTCGTTCGAGACCTGCGTGCGCGGCTCGTCATCGGGGAGGTGGGCAAACTGGGATCAGCAGGACGCACAAAGCGGAGGACGACGGAGGATTTGCCGACTGCGGCCTCGCCTGCGTGGGACCAAGTATCAGCATTCGGCTCGAACGGGGTAATTTGGAAGAGGTAGAGAGGTCGGGCGACGGGGGCTGCGCCGTATGCGCGCAGGTGGGGGACTGCGTTTCCACGGTATTTCGAACGTCATGCTGGGGCTGGCTGCGGACTCACCGAGCAGGACGAGCTTGACTTGTACGGATTTATCGGCGGAGCCTGATGCAGCGTCTGCCATGGGTGGATATCGACAGCGAGGGGGGGATGGGGCAGGGGATGGGGATGATGGGGGCGGAGGTGAGCGGTGAGCGGTGGCCAGGATGCCCGCAACAGTTTGCGCGTTGTTTACCAGCCGTGCCTATTCGGGCCGAGTGGCGCTCGCCGCTCTCCCATCGACGACCACGGCGGGCATTATCCTCTCACTCTTATTTCAGCTCGCCGTTGTTTACCCCTTGAGAGGAGGTGATGGTGATGTAGGGCCGCCACACTTTCTGTCCCCTTTTATCCAGCGAACGGCAGCATGGGTGTGTCCACGTTTCGACGACATGCACGGGCAGATCACGCTGGCCCAGGGCGCCGTGCTAGTCTCCCAAAAGCTGGCGATTTCCCCTCAACCTCAAAGGTGGTCTATCTAGCGTCACACTGTATGGACGGTACGAGACGATCGTCGAAACTGGTTTGGTGCTCTGGCTCGTATATCGCTCGTGGCCATGGCGCTCAGGTCCTCCGGATGCGTACATCACTGGGGAGGGTTTTGCTTGCTGCTCGTCAGCCGGCGAGCGGACGCTCTGAGGCCTCCCACCTACTCTTTCGTCGAACCCCACCTGTGCCCCTTCCCTCGCACCTTCGAAACATACCATGTATCATGCCAGCCTCTGATCGAGCGGCCCAAGGTGCTCGTTGTCCTCTTTGGCCTTCGTTCATACCGGTCAACGGGCTGCGTGACGTCGCGGCTATGAAACCGCCTCGTATGTGGTCGGTCTGCCATGCGGCGACGGCGTCGGAAGGCATCATACCTCTGCCATCATTGAAGCCGGCATCCCGATGTATCGTCTCGCGCGACCGCAGGAGGGCGTCTTGATCACCTGAACAATCGTACAAGTGTCAAACACATTGTAGGATCCTAGGGATGGCGCATGCATCGTGTGGTCCAGACCAGCGCAGTAGGCCCCGGTCGATGCTACACAGTACGCCCAGCTCGTGTGTACTGTATTTAGCATGTGTATGGGGTGATGTCTGCGCGAACCATCGAACGCTCCAAAGAGAAAGTGAGATACGCCAGGGTCAGTGCTTGGCTGCCGATCCGGCAGCATCGATTGTTTATCGCCGTGCAGAAGCGGAGAATGTCGAACGAAGATCTCTGCCGAGTCTACCCAATCGCGACATCGAGTGGAGTCGGGAGATGGATGAATCGAGGATCGGGCACCGGCCAGGGTGGGCTTCGCAAGATCAACGATGGTGCTCACAGTACCTACGGCCAAAATCGATAGTAGATGATTTGTGTCTGACATGTTTTGGAGCTTCCGAAGCGAATGGTCGATATGTATCAGGAGCAGCAGCTGCCTCTAAAGAGCGCTAAAATGCCGAAGCGGGTTGCCGACGGAAAACATGAGAATGTGATTGGCGGTGAGGAGCGATGGACGTGAGGGCCGCTGGCGGTGAACTGAAGCAGAAGGCGCGCATGACCAATTGCGACAATGCGGGGTACCCCGGACATTGTGGGGTAATATAAAGTCGCCCTCGCCCATCTCGTCATGGCCCCGCTGCTCTCGCTCCTTTTCTGACATGTCGCCCGCAGATTCACACAGGTCGGTCTTCGAACCCACGCCCGAGAGCATCCCCCCGGCCGACGCCGACCTCGTCCTCCGCATCCCCGATGGCCTGCCGACCAACATCCATCCTCTGGTGATCATCTCTTCTGCATTGACGTCTCGACGTCCTCTCACGCGCGAATGCACAGAACCCTCTGCTCTTCCTCCTTCGAGCCGCACAACTCTATCCTGACCACTTGGCCCTCGCACATCCAGACGTCGAGTTCCCCGTGTTCTATTCCTATGCCGTCTGGTGCGTGCGCTGCAACTCATCGTGCCCTACGCCGGCCCTCACGTTCACACACGCCACAGGGCGCAACGCGTCCAGAACTTTGCCTACGGCCTTATCCACGCCGGCATCCATCCCGGCGACCGCATAGCCGTCGTAGCCCCCAACTCGTGCGTCCTCCCTCTCTCCGCCGCCACGCCTCCGTCCTGAAGCCCACAGAGACCCCTGATAGCAGGTCTCTCCACCTGCGCTCTCCGCTCCGCTTCGACGGCTCACCGCGCCCACAGATGCCCTCCAAGGCGTGATCGGCGCCCGCGCGATCCTCACGACGATCAACATCCGTCTCACGAAGCCCGAGGTCGACTACATACTCGAGCACAGCGGCGCCAGGCTCATCTTCGTCGACCACGAGTACGCGCACCTCGTGCAGGGCGCGAAGGCCCGCGTCATCGTCTGCAGCGACACGGGACGCGTCGGCGATCCGTACGAGCAGTTCCTGAGCGCCGGGAGGGCGTTCAGTCAGGAACGGGGATGGGCGGGCTTGGAGATGGACGCGGACGAGAACAAGCCGCATTCGTTGAATTATACGTGAGTGGTCGACGACCGCGTCTGGGGCTTCCGACGTGCGCGACTGAGCCTTCTATCAATAGCTCGGGGACCACGGGGCGAGTATGTATTTTGGGACCGACATGTCGATGCCGTGCTGAATTTGGCTTGTTTTAGCCCAAAGGTGTCCTGACCACCTTGAGAGGCATGTGTTATGGATTTATCACCACAAGGCCATCTGACATTCAATCTTATTGCAGGGACATACTTGGCTGCCATCGCAAATGCCTATGAGACACAGTACGTCGCCATCTTCGCCGCTGGAATCAAACCTCTATTCAATCCTGCGCGCTTTCTAGAATGAACAAGGAGTCCACATACCTCTGGTATTTACGTGCGACGTGATTATAATAGTACAGCTCTGATCGGTGCTGAGCGCAGGATCCTCCCCATGTTCCATGCAGCAGGCTGGACGTACCCGTGGGCAATCACTTTCTCCTTTGCGACCCAAGTAAGCGATGACGAGTGCCATCCGGATAAACGAGTGACAGGCGTCATACTTGATTCGCAGATAACCCTTCGGTCCGTCAATTATCCTCTCATATGGAAACACCTGCTCCATTCGAGAGTCACACACTATTGCGGTGCGCCGACCGTCCAGGTGGGTTCCTTCCATCGAGGGCGTCTGAAGTTCTGCTCATTGTGTTTCATCCCTTGCAGATTGGGATCGTGAACGACGTCAACGCTAGGAGGGTCGACCATCCTGTGATGGCTATCATCGCAGGAGCAGCACCGACGGCGCATCTCCTAGGAGAGTTGGAGAAGAAGGGCATACAGCCGGTGCACGTATACGGATTGACGTACGTCCTGTCTGCATTCATCAAGTCGCGACGTGATGCTAAACCCGCACCGTCCTTGTCTTTGCCAACATCCGATCAGCGAGGTGACCGCACATACCGATCGTGACAACGATGGGATGAACTCACGTAATGTTTAGACGTACGGGCCCCTCACCCGCAACTACCCGCAGCCGTCCTGGTCGTCCCTCCCGCTGGACGAGCGCGCCAAGCTCACGTCCCGGCAGGGCCACGCCTTCGTGACCTCCCACCCCGCGCGCGTCGTGCGCCTCCCTACCGAGCTCCCGGCGGACGCGCCGCCCGACGCGCTCGTCGACGTCCCGAGGGACGGCAAGACGCTCGGCGAGATCGTCATGCGCGGCAACATCGTCATGCACGGCTACTTCGCCGACGCGGATGCCACCGCGCGCGCGTTCGCGGGCGGCTGGTTCCACTCGGGCGACCTCGCCGTCTGGCACCCGGACGGGTCCATCGCGATCCAGGACCGTAGCAAGGACATCATCATCTCGGGAGGAGAGGTGCGCCCCCGCGAGCCACGCACGCTCTACGTCGTCCGTCCGTCTGACCAAACCTTCGCCCCGGCACCTGCAGAACGCGTCCAGTCTGGCGATCGAACAAGGTCAGAGCCGCCGCGCGGCGCCTACACGACAGATAGCGGGGTGCACAATATCTGACTTTGCGTCGCAGAGCTGTCGAGCCACCCCGACGTGCTCGAGGTGTCCGTCGTGGGCCGCGAACACCCGCGCTGGGGCGAGCGCCCGATGGCCTTCGTGATCCTCCACGCCGCCGCCGCGGCGCGCTGGGCGGGCAAGCACGGCCACTTCGCGGATGCGCTCAAGACGCACGCGCGCGCGCGCCTCCCGGGCTTCGCGACGCCGGAGTGGGTCGAGGTGGTCGCGGAGCTGCCCGTGAGTGGCCATTTAGCCGGGCGCAGTGGTGGCCGCCGCCACGACGCTGACCCGTGCGTGCGTTCTCATTGCAGAAAACGTCGACGGGCAAGATTCTCAAGACGGCGCTCCGCAAGCGCGCGGCAGCCGCGGCGTCGTCCGCCAAGCTGTAGGCCGTGGAGCACTGGATCAGGAGAGACATGCATCAGGGAGCACTGCAGGTAGACGCGCAGGGGGGCCTCGACTCGTCTGCAGAAGGCCGTCAGCGGAAGTGAACTAACCGATCGGATCTTTGGGGGTTCCTAATGTAACATCTATTGTATTGCATATGATGTCGAATCGTCATCCGTTGCTGGTGCGGGACGGTATCATGAGTAGGTACTGCACACGGAGAATAAGATATGGATTCTGAGAACGAAGACAGTGATGTGAGAGAGTGAGGGAGCATGCGGAGAGACAAGAAAAGAGGGAGGGGGGAGGGGGGGAAAGAACAATCGTGACACAGAGAGCCTACGTAAATCGGGAAGAAGAGAAAAAAAAAGGGGAGAGTGAGAGGACGAGAGTCGAAAACGAAAGAAAATAATGAGTCGATAAGAGGAAATATGGATATTACGAAGGAATGCGCGCGTGACAAGAGCCGGTGGGGGGTTCGTATTCGTGGGGACATGGCCGACATGAATGGAGTTGAAAAGTATCCATGAGATCAAGAAGAGATGACGATCTGCTGCTGCTGCGAATAAATAGTGACATGATTCTTTTGAGAGTGGCCCGACCGATCCAGACCCTCCGCTCCGCCGTCCAAAAACTGCGCCCGCGCGTGCAATGGCATGTACTGTATATACAGCTCCAACTCCGGCACAACGGTACACTACGACGAGCCCAGCGGGCACAGGCGCAGTATCCGGAACGCGATGCCGTTGCGCTCGCAGAGGTAGATGTTGTCCCCACGCCTACCGAGGAAGATCACCTCGTCGCGCGCGCGCTCCGCCTCCGCGTCCCCGAGCTCCGGCCGCCCAGGCGACCGCCCGGGGCCGGTGCTGAGCTTCTTCACGGGTGCCCCGAGGCGGTGCGAGTGGGACTTGGGCGCGAGCAGCGAGGTGGGCGCGTGCGCGGACGGCGTCGGGGAGGACACGGGCATGCCGATCTTCCAGATGAACGGCGCGCGGCGGTTCACCTGCGAGGGCGCGACGGCGAACTGCGGGAGGGCGCTCCTCGAGGCGTCGGCGGGCCGGAGGAGCGCGTCACTGAGGTCGACGGCCTCGAGGCCGCCCTGCCGCATCGCGACGAGCACGGAGCGGTCCTCGACGTCGAACGCCTCGAGACGCTTCACGTCGCCCATGCGGCCGGTGAGCACCGTCGTCGACGACTCGTCGTCCTGCTCGTCCGGACTCCACATGAACCGACCCTTCAGCACGGACCGGCCGCGGCCGTCGACGATGACGGTGCTGTGGCCTCCGCGCGATGAGAAGAAGAGAGCAGGAGGGCCGAAAATCTTCGGCTGCGAAAGTAACGAGAGTGGTTGGAGGAGAGGCTTGCCCTCCGCAACAATTGGTATCGACTCTGCAGGGTACGTGCGAGAGGGCGATGGGCCAAAGGGCTGAGATGGGTCGACGCTCTGCTGGCGGAGATCCTTGAGGAGAACGTATTCAACGTCCTCTTCACGTCGTACTGGAAGATCGGTGGGCAGCAGCCCGTCCCGATACCATGCTTGCATCAGGGTATGTTTCCATGGACCTGAAGGGTGCATCACACTCAAAACATTGCAAGACAAAAAATCGGGCTGAATCGCCCTTACCGTGAACAACGCCCTTGGGGTCGCGATAGAACCACTTGGACGGCGCCGAGGGTGGTGGCAGCGGCAACCCTGGCGGCGAGAACTGTACCTGCGACAGGTCGATATCGCTGCTTCCGTTCACCTCCGGCTCGTGCTCCGACCGGTATTGTAAGAAGTCGGGATACGTCGGTGGAATCACATACTCGTCCGCGATCGAAGCCAACGGGAAGTGAGGTGCGAATGATAGCTGCTGAAACGTCGTGTACGGGCCCATTTGTGCCGTAGCAAGAGCAAAAAGTTCCTCCGTCTGCGGCAGCGCAGGCGGGTTCGCCGTTGCCTCCACAAGTGGTGGTGTCGGGGCTCCATTTCCTGCCGAGACAGAAGACCGGACAATGGTCGTGGCAGGTGTAATCACAGGCGAGGGAGTCGGCGTAGTCGTGTCCGTCGGGAGAGATGTCGGTGTCGATGTCGATGACGGCACCGAGACCCCGATGCTGACATTGACATTCGTGGACTCCTCCGCTTGCGCTGCAGCGTCCGTATCGTTTCCTGCGCCCAGCGGGTCCTCGTTACGCAGCTCGCGTGCACGCCGGCGCGCGGCCCTACGCTCCGCGCGGCCAATGCGAACTTCGCGCACACGCACGGTGGCGGGCTCCAGGCCGAATACGTTCTGGGAGAAAACAAGGAAGACCTCGACAAGGTCATCACCTTGGAGCTGCAGCTCGAGCGAGCGCGGCGAGTCAGGCAGAATAAACGTGCGCGAGAGGCCAAGGGCAGTGCGATACGTGCCCGCGAACAATTCCACCTTCTCTCCGTTCTCACCGCAAAGAATCGCGAGGAAGCTGTTAGGCCATGTGAAAAAAAAACCGCGCACGATCAGTAACGACAAAACTTTCAAAGAAAAAGTGCACAACACTGACCTCTTCTTTGACGTTTCCACAGCCTTGACCATCAGCGCGCCCTTGGTCCCAGGCAGCTTCACGTACTCCAGCTTCGGCGCCGGGGCTGCAACTGCCGTGGGCGTTCCGGACGACTTCCGTGCACCGTCCGCCTGCTCCACGCGCTGCACCTGCTGGTGCATGCTGTCCTCCGACCTGCGCGATGCGAACGCGTTTCCGATAATCCGCGACAAGAAACGCGAGTGGGAAGGCACAGGCGCAGGAACCGAGGGCCCGTCAACGAAAGTTGCCGCCCGCGCGGACGGGGATGAGGACGGGCGCGGCGATTCGGGGGGTGGCGGTTGGGCGGGCGGTGGGTGGAATGTAGACGAGTGCGAGCGCGAAAGGAGAGTCGTGCTGCGCGCGCGCATTTCTGGCGGTGCAGCAGCAGTGGGAGTAGCGGATATTGGTGAAGTGATGGTCGTACTATTCCGCGATGGCAGCTGCGGTTGAGATGACGAACTCGGCACTGGGAGAGGCTGAGACTGGGAGGTCATTACTGACGCCGACATGCTGCGTCGTTCCTCCATTGACATGGACGACGAGGGCGTGAAAACATTTCCCAGGACAGACCAACGCCGCCTGCGCGAATTGTTTGCTTGCGTATCCTGACTGAGGCGTGTGCGGAAGCTAGGTGCCTCGGCGGATTGAGGGCTTGCAGGGACGTCGTCATCACCCGTTGCGACGGGATGTGAGGCCGTGATCATTATGGGCGCTTGTACGCGGCGGGAGCCCGGGGGCGGCACATCAGGCAGCCGGCTCTCAGACAGGGCCTCCGCAAATGTGATCTGTTCGTTCGTAGGCGTCCTCTGGTCCTCGTGCGTGCCCTCGTCGTCGCCGTCTGGCGTCGCGGGCTCATCTCGCTCATCCATGCGCGATGCAAGAGAGCCCATGGAGGACACGGGACCCGCAGCAGGCGATGTCGACAAGGCTTGTCGGAGCGTTATCAGGGTAGGTGTCGGAGAGGGTGGAGCGGTGGTAGCCGAGGGCACACGTGGAAGCATGCTGAGGTCCAGGTTGGCTGGACGCGGCCGGCGCACGGACTGGGGCGTCAACGTACTAGAAGACAGTGGGCGAATGGGTGGAACAACGGACGAGGAAGCGGCCGCCATCGCGCTAGTGCGCTCGTCGAGCGCCTCGCTCCCGCTCGTGCCGGCCGCGACGACGTTGATGGCCTCGTCGTCGCTGGAGCCGCGGCCCTCGACCCAATCACCTTTGGCGTCTGCATCGTTTTCAAAGTCTCGGCCCACGACGGCGGCGTCGGTGTTGCGGCGGGTGATGGACCCCGCGAGGACGTTGCCGACGGAGGTGCGGCGCTCCCGCGGAGCGTGCACAGAGACGGGGCTACGTGGACGTCCGGGGAGCGGGAGACTGCTGTAGGGCGGCGGGGGCACGGACGGGACGAGGGCCGGCGGATGAGGTGGCTGAGGCGGACTCTGCGGGGGCGTGGTGCGGATCCTCCTGTTGTTTAGGGCCGGGGCCTTGGCTGGAGAGGCCGAGGCGGTCGAGGGGGCAGAGGCGGAGGACTTGCGGGCGGACTTGGATCTGGCCGAGGACGAAGGCTGTCCGAGCTTCTCTCTCGATGGCCGGTCGGAAAGCCCGCTGTCCCGCGAATGAATCCCTCTTTTGGACTCCTCCCGGCGAGCCCGGTCTTGCTCCCTCCGCACCTCCATGTCCAGCCGCCACTCCACCGCCTTCTTCACCTCCTCCAGCGCATACACCCGCACCCCGTCCCGTCTCCCGGCGATGGCTACCAGGACACCCCGGTGTTCCATGACGACCACGCTCTTGAAGCTCACGCGACGTATCAGCGCATACGGCTGCGGCGCAGGAGGCGAGACGAGCGGCAGTACGTCCAGCCCTTGTGCATGGCAGAGGAGTAGATAGTGCGGGGCCAAGAACGCGCCGCTAGCGGGTGGTGTACTGAAATGTGATGGAGCGAGATTGCTAGTCAATACCGAGAGGCTCAGGCCGAGCTCTTGCAACGTGGGTGGAGGGAGAGATGGTGGTGGAGTCGTGGGACGTGCAGTGAGCGCGGGAGACGATGACCGTGAGGCGAGGGTGGAATGGTCGGGCGTGGGTGCAGATGTCGAGGGCTGTTCGTGAGCAGGCGCAGGCGGGCGAGGCGAGGGAGGGGGCATGTGGTCTCGTCGATGGATGAGGTTGGAGAAAAACCCTGAGAGACGACTCGAGGATCGAGGCTAATGACATTGATGAACATGCCTGATGGCAACAAACGCAAACGAGAGACAAAAAAAGGCAAGACGTACGTCAATGGCAGAACCCGGTCGCTGACGTCGCGTGCGAGTCGAGGGCGTGAGGGGCGTGGTAGACGACGCACGAGAAGGCCTGGAAGATAGTGTGTGCATGTCGTCCGCGGAGGCTGCGAAGGACGAGGCGGCGCTTGCTGTTTGGGGACGGGGCTCGGGACTCTGAGGCTCTGTGATTTGGACAGTCGGAAGGGACTGCACGCTCGCGGCATCAAACGCGCGCTGCACGGGGCTAGTGGCGATCGGCGAAGGGCCGTCGAGGGTGGTGTCGAGGTCGGGCGGGGAGGAGGCTTTGTTCACGTCGGCGGAGGCAAAATTCTGGGGCTTAAGGGTAATATCCTCGTCGTCCGCCTGGCCAACCTCCTCAATTTCTCTGCGCATGGCTTCGACGCCGTCCAGAGTCTCGGGAGCATCACTCCATGTCTCTTGACCGTCGTCGAGGTCGGTGGTGTGGTGTGGGTGGACGTGCTCGGTTGGAGATAAAGTGTGGAGCATAGACTCTTGGGACATGGGATGGATATATTTGCTCAAACCCGAGGAGGGGATATGAAGGATGGAAGAGACCAATGGCGTCGATGGGTATGGAGGGTATTACGGGCCCGGCTGAGGTAGAATACAGGGCAGACCAAGACTACCTGCCAATATGCGTTCGGAGTGTCGTCCTCATTCGCATGCGCCACACTCCGCTGCCCGCCCGCTGCCGCCCGTCTCGGTCAGCGATTATGTCACATCCGACCTGTGTCTCAGTTAGACGCCGACCAGTTGTTCCCTTGGGAGCATCGACAACGGCCTCCGTCACCTATCCATCATCCATCCTCATCTCGCTTTCCTCATTCGTATTATTAGCCGCATCCTCCCGCTCCCACCAATTCCTAGCTTTGTGAACACTGAGGCACTATCATCAACACAGCCGAAGCCAAATCTGACCTTATATGATCTTACGCAACGGTTTGACAGGGCACACGATGACGAGGACTACGGTCGTTGTGCCTTTGAACCCTGTTGAACTTCTGGCGAGTTGGGCCTGGATGATTCTGATATCATGAATGGATGCCAGTGTACTTAGTTCGGGTTGAACATCCCATGACCTGATTAGATCCTAATAGACCGACCTGCAAATGCTCCAGGCTCAAGGAGGGCTTTGGACACCTATGCCTCCGACGCGCCAGCCCAAGGATACTTATGTGTAAAAGCAGCGCAAAGAGACGGTGTACAGCATAGACCTGTTATGATCAACAAATATGCAGCAACCGTGTTCTGCAGCACACTGCAGCAAATCAACGTCCCTGATCGGAACAGTTCGTGCAGTCGGAACAATCACGGTCGATGAATCACGATGCGATGGGGACAAGGCGTCGTTGATTGGATACACCAAGCTTCTAAGCACTGATCCAATGATTTCGTGGCTGCCGCACTCGCCGTTATCTGATCAGCTGGATCGAAGCACTTGTGTTCGAAGCTGCCCGTCAGGTGATGTCGGGTGCGTTTCGTTTCAATCTCGGACTCCACCATTCCAAGAGTTAGCTGGGAGAACCCTCGGGCTCGATGACCTCGGATCAATTCAGCATGATGAAGGCGCATTACCCATGGTTGCTGTTATCTGTGCGCTATGAGTTTTCCCTGGTCAATCTGCGGTGGGGACAGGCCATTCGACGCGACGGACGCGTGCGAGATACGCGAGGATACGCGTGACGTCATGGCATCACCTGCCGCGGCATACAGGAGCTCCGCGACCAATCTCATTCCCATCCTCAGACTTCCGACTCCCAACCTCTCCCAACACCCCGAAATCTCCTCATCTCATCTCATCACCCACCACAGACACAACCACAACCTCTTCGAATCACATATCATGTCTGCCAACAGCCCCCTCGAAAAGCTCTCTTCTAACAAGGCATATGGCGGCCAGATCGTCAAGTACAAATTCAAGGCGAGTCTGCACCTCCCCCTCTCGCTTATCACCTCCTCCTTTCTCCCTTTATCGCCGTCGTTGCTCTCCATTCAAACTTCAAGTCTCGCCGACACCGATTTCACCGATCTAATATCATGCCCTCGCATCTACGCCTGTATTCACGCTCGACGTACAGAGTGCTGCGCTCGGCGGGCTCGACGCCAATTTCAACGTCTTTCTGCCAGCTCACGCCGTCGATGGAAAGGAGAAAGTCCCACTCCTCGTCTATCTCGCCGGACTGACCTGCACAGAAGACCATGGGTGCGTCGCTTCTGGATCTGAAGCTGAGATCAAACGTGGACTTCGTCCTTGCTTTCAGGCCCAACAAGGGCGCGTTCTTGAGCACAGCAGCTGAAGAAGGCATTGCGATGCTGTTCCCTGACACCTCACCCCGCGGCGGAGGTGTTGAGGGGGAGGACGACGACTGGGACTTCGGCACAGGTCAGGCTTGAGCTCCTCCGCGCCCCCTCCGATCATCGATATGTTCTTGAGGCTATATCTCTGGTTTCCCTAACATGTTTCTTCTAGGCGCGGGATTCTACCTCAATGCGACGAACCCGAAGTATTCCACCCACTACAACATGCGCACACACGTCACCCTCGAGCTCCCTGAAGTCCTCGCCGATGCCGGCCTCCCTATTGTAAGGACCCCCCCCCCCCCCCCTTCTTGTCCTCGCTTACACCTATAAACAATCCTCCTCACAGGATCTCTCCCGCCAATCTATCTTCGGCCACTCTATGGGCGGCCACGGCGCGCTCACGCTCTACCTTTCCACCGCGACGCACCAATACCGCTCCGCCTCCGCCTTCGCTCCCATCTCTAACCCCATTCATGCGCCCTGGGGTCAAAAGGCATTCGCGGGCTATCTCCAGGGCGGCGTCGCCGAGGCAAAGGAGCTCTACGACGCGACGGAGCTCATCCCGCGGCGCACCGAGCCCGCACACATCCTCGTCGACTACGTGCGTTCTCCCGTCGGGCTCGCGTCTGCCATCAATCTTAATATTTATCTGCGTTGTTTTGCAGGGCACTGCAGACCAGTTCTACAAAAACGGCCAGCTGTTGCCTGAGAACTTCGTCAAGGCAGCGCGCGGGGCCGGGTTCGACGAGTCGCAGGTGAAGGTGCGGGAGCAAGAGGGTTACGACCACAGCTATTATTTCGTGAGTCTTCTCTAGCCGCGGAACTTACACGCATTAGCATCACAACCTAACGCCGAGGGGCACAGATCTCGACCTTCGGTCGCGAACACGTCCAGTGTAAGTAGCAGCGATATCTTCGTATGTTTACTAGATGTGCTGATTTTTGACTCTTCGGACAGTCCACGCAAATTTCTTGAAAGCGTGAAAATTTACCATATAAGAAGCAGGCAACACCGACCGCAACGCCGCAGAAGTCTGCGTTTTATGTGTATTTGTTACTCAAATGTAAGTCAACAGAGGTGAAATAACATCTGCGTCATCGCACCATCACATCCGGGCATATACCGATGGCGACTGAGTTTCAAGCACAGCAATGAGAAAGGGTGCAGTAGCGAAGATGCAGAAATACAAAACGGAGACCTGTACACAAGCCGTTGAGAAGGACACGCAACGACGCAAGCACCAAGCAGCAGGAGGTCAACAGCCAGGACCAGCAGAGAAGAAGTCCAAGCTCAGCTCAGTCGATGTCGGCAGCAATCCGCGTCGCGTACGCCTTCTTGAGATCCTCTAACTCCGAGGTGATCCACTTGCTCTCCAACGCCAATCTGATCGTCGCGCGGTGCAGGTGGTTGTACATCAGCAACCGTCCTACAAGAGCCTTCGCTGCTTACGCCCAAGTCGAGTCCAAGACGAGAGCACCAAGCAACAAACAAAGACAACGATAAGTCAGCTGCACGTTAGGAAGAGCTATCTTCTCCGACCATCAACCGGTGGCAGGTCCTCTCGGCGGTGTCGAAATTGAACCTATCATGTGATGGAAGTTGTAGTGCGATGACCTACCTTCTGGCAGTGCGTCCCAGATGCGCCGAGGGAACGGGACCTCTTGATCCACAATACGTTTCTTTGTCAAGGCCTCGCTCTTGTCCGAATTTTGAGATAGCCAATGGCATAAATCACCCTCATCCGCGTCGACAGAGTCGTCTGCAAATCCGCTGACGCGATCAAATGGGTGCCAACCACTATATCCATTTCCATGCAACAGCCCATTCCAATCAGCAAATATGAGCGCAACAAATGCAGCAGAAATTTGGACGATGCCTCGACTTACGAGAGCATGATGTACAACACGATCCCCGCACTCCAACAGTCTGCCGGCATACCGACGTAACCGCGGTCTTTATGTTCAAGTGCGAGAATACCCTCCGGTGGAAGGTACGGGACTGTACCGCAGACGTTGAGGGTCTCTTGATACGCTTTTGGCCGGGCGAGTCCAAAGTCTGCGATCTGGATGCGTGGGTATGATCCTGGCGCATAAAGGAGGATGTTCTCGGGCTGTGGAAGTGCTCTCGGTCGTCATCTAAGCAAAATATGTGAAAAGTTTACCTTGATATCTGTGAATGAAGATGTTATCAATGATCGTTTTTGATGACAACGATTCTAAACTTACCCCGGTGAGATATCATCTTGTCGTGAAGATATTTTAGCCCCGTAAGGAGCTGGTACATGATATATTTTGCTTCGCCCTCAGGCAGGCTACCATTACCATCTCGGTTTCTTTGGCTGACCATGTAGGTGAAAAGGTCGCCTCCTGTGCACAGCTGAAGAAAAATATGCCTGGAATTGCCGGTCAGATGGCAAGCATTTACGACGCGAACTTCCTACAGAAAATGGCCATCCTCCTCAACAGCCACAACTTGATTGATGTTCGGCTGTGAAGCATTTAGCGATTCAGGAGAATGACCAGCAAGGGACCAGCTAACATGATTCAGGGCCAAAAGGATGCGTGTTTCGTGTTTCACTTTGACTATATTCGTGGCTTTAGTGACCCTAACCGATTTGCATGCGTATTGTTTGTTTTCAGAGATGTCCATAGCAAGATGAACAGTTGCGAAACTGCCGCTCCCTAGACAATGAGATGAGACCTGGAACTTCCCGATTCTCTGAAGGCCATTTCATCAGGGCAGTGTAGTATACGCGAGTCAAAAACTTGCCTTGAACAAAGGCTGGGTGGGGGGAGTGGCCTCGAATACGTTAGTTTTATCCTTCGCTTTCCAGAGATGGAGACATTGGAATACTTCGTTCAGACGCCGGTCAATAAACCTGCTTTTAGATACGGAGGTAAATTTCACCTTTTGATGGCGTAATCTCGAGCAGATCGCCGTGCATCAAGAGTACGGTGGATTGTTGTATCTTGACCCCATTGAGCTGGATCCCGTTGGTTGACATATCCTCACAGATGCAGATAGCTAAGTGCGCATACAGCCTATTCAGAATTCGATTTAAACACACCTGACATGAAACGATGACCCCTCCTGAGCCCGACTCGACCCTGAAGTATACAATCAATGATGATAATGAGCTGAGGGGATGTTACCAGCACGAACGCATATATTTTGCAATGGATGTTCGAAACGTAGATATCCGGTATGGTATACGTGCTGTGAATAGTAATCAAACAATGGGGAAGAGTAGGTGACATAAAAGTACATACCATGAGATGGGATTCCGACCAATGATCACGGGCTTGTTAAGACTCAAAGCGATAGCTAGTCAACGGCAAGATCAGGTCAATTGGAGGACACAAGTGCTTATGGCGGTCAGAAAACCTTCTCTACTCCCTCTGACTTTTGTAGTGCCGACAAGTTTTGCACATATATGCGGCAGCTTGGAGGATTTGGAGGTACTGATGACAGATCTCACTGAGGTTTGATCATGAAATTTGGGAGTATCTTGTGGGGACATGTCTGAGCTGGAACATTCGCTCGAGTACATATCGCTTGACATTTTGAGCTGTTTGAAGGTGCCCAAAATTCGTGCCAGTTGTGGTAGGGGTGACAATTCAAAGTGCCTGCCGCTCTGATGCCATCCCGCGTCAAGTTATCGCAACACGTGACGTCATATCTACGGTCATCGAAGATCAACATGGTCTTTCGGACTGGCTCAAGGTAGTTTTCGTAGAGGAAAGTATATAATGAGGCACAACACACACGTACGTTTCGCAGGTACCGCTTACTGCCAATAATATGCAATGTTATAGAACATACAGAAAAGCTCGAACGTCGCAAAGCTAAGGCTATAAGCTCGTACATACCGCCACCGTAAAATACAGAGCATCTAATCGTAACCCTTCCCACTCCTTTGTTTTACCCTTTTACCCTTCTTGTGTTGTTTCTTTCCGGGGTGGGACTCGCCTGCACTGGAAAGCACAGACGCGATCCTCGCTCTCCGGCCACCCAGTGAAGTCCCATCATTTGTGATCGAGTTCTGATGAGGATACAGCTTCATCCTACTGAATTCCTGTGGAGCACGTCCGGCACCCCCCTTGACATAGGGCCTTGCTGAAAGCCCGGAGCTGTCGTGGAAAAACTGCATATCCAGATCACGCGTCTTGTAACCCTGTCCTTGTGCTGGAAGGATGTTACCGTTGATGATTGGTGGGTTCGCGAGTCCAGGAACAAAGGTGAAAGCGTTTTTCCCGACATGCGTGGTGGGAGCCCGCTTTTTGCCAGCGGCGCGTTTCAAAGCCAACTGGCGCGTTTGTTCATTGAATGCATCCTCGGGGATATCAGGTGGTGGTTGACAGAAGAGGAGTTTAGCATTGACGTAGTCCTTTAGTATGTATCTTGCAGCCCGAGCTTCGTCAGGGTTTCCCATACCCGAACGTGAGAAACCTCTTGCGACTGTTCTCATCAAAGACTTGAGTATCCTTCTTGTATATACAACAATGACAATGAAGACGCACCGGCATACGTGATCAGGAAATCCTCAGCTGTAATCTTTCCATCTCCACCTTCTTCTACTCCTTTGACCCTGATCGTAAGACCGTAGGTCATTTCGAGAACATCCGTTGGGATTCTTTTGACTACCAAACCGACAGGACCAGTGTGTTCTCGCAATTGATCAATGGGCAAAACCCCATCACATACAAGATCCGCTTTAGTAGTCGCGAACTGTGGGAAAACCAAACCAGGGCAATCGCACAAGACAATATTGTCAGACAAACGAATAGTCTGGAAATGCTTCGTTTTCCCCGGTGTCGCAGATACTGAGACCTTCTTTTCGCCCAACAAGGAATTGATGGTACTTGACTTTCCAACATTGGGATAACCAACGAGACCGACAACCAGTCGTGACGGTGGATTGCCAGACGAGTCAGGAAATCCTATTTGCTGCATTTAAAATCTCAACTGTGTTGAAACACCATGCGAAACCCCTTACCAGACAAATCCGGTGCTATCTTCAGAAAAAGGTCTTCCAATTCGAGCACCGATAGAACCCTGGCACGAGGATCTTGACCATCCGATGTGTCTTCCTCGGCTGAGAAATACATACTTTCGTCAGGGTCTGACTCCGCCTCCGAATACGAAGAATCTTCATGCATGTCCTCGTCGTTGGCATCTGCAGTATGTGGCAGCAACGATTCCTCCTCCTCCTCCTCCTCTTCCTCCTCATAGTCACTCGAAAAATTGGCATCCGCATTAGCTTCCTGTGCTCTCTGTTCCGCCTCTCTTCGGGCTTCCTGTAAAGCCGTAGCATTGGCAGCCGAGAAGAATGCGTACTGGACCCCCTGAGAGTCAAAATAATCGGCCCATAGTCGCCTGTGAAAATTGATGATAAAGATGATGCTCTTTCAGGGAATCAAAGAATGGAGGAGGAAAACAAACCTTTGAGTCGCACTAAGGAGATCTGCCTTGTTGATGAGTAAAAGGCTCTTGCGCTTCCCTTTACCAGTCCCTTGTTCTCCCTCCGCTCCTTCCACATCATGAACATAAGATTCTAGATCTTCGCAGCGGAATCTTAACGGGTTCCGAGCGTCGACAATTTGCACGACAAGATGTGAGCGTTCCAAGACACGCCATAATTGCCGCCAGACTTCGAGATTGCGCTCAAAGGGTGTGAGTAGGAAATTCTCGCGATCTTGGAGACTGTGCAGTTTTTGAAAAATCAGGGACAATGTATAAGATGTGCAATAAAAAAACGCACTCAGCGAGACCCCTCCGCCATTCTAAGAAAGCGTCCTTCTCTTGCCTCTCCAATTGTGCCGTAGTCATTGCTTTTGTCCAGGGCGGTCTTCTGGGAACTCGGAGTCGCTGTTTGTTCTCTTGATGCTTTTTGATCGTGATCTTTTCTTCTTGGTCGGACAGAAGGTACGGATTCTGAGCTGAATTTGTGGAAGCTTGGATAATCTTCACGTTTCTACGTTCTTGAGGGAGGAAAATAAACAAGATGAAACGATGATGCCTCTGGGTAGAAACAATCACTCACCGGCAGTGAACTCAGTTCCCGCCAATGTCGCAGTGTTCAAGAACTCGTCCAAATCTTTCTCTTGTGTAACCGATTTGAGACGGGACGTTGAATCCATGTCGGTGGTATACTTAAAGAAATATATTGAGCCATGATATCGATTGAAAGTGTTTTCTACGGCGCTCACATTTCCAGACTCGAATGCATGTCGGGCATCCTTAGCCTTCTTGTTGATGATGGCTCTCCCTAGTCCACTCGGATTGGGGTTCTTGCCTTTGGGTGCCTGTATCAATTCATGCAACTCATGAATAGTCAATATCGTTGGAGACATACCATAATCACGAATGGCACGAGCGAGATAACTTAAGCAGTAAGATAGGCGATTGTTCTGAAAGACTTGAAAATATGTCTGATACGCCTGATGTGAAGATGCGTCAACTGTGCGAGGATAAAAGAGACTGATGAGAGCTGATGCTTCGAGCTCTCCGAGTCAAAGCGGCTGCGAATTTTCGCTCAGTGAAACATCTGACTAAGTCACAATGAGGCGATCAATCGTTTGTAAGATCTGACATTCTGAGGTCTCTGGACCACCTCACCTCACTCATCGCACCTCAAAATAATGTACAGTTTGCATCGAAAAACATAATTTTTATTGTATTTTAACCCTGCCAAGTTTATGTCAAAACCCGTATTCATTTCCACTAAGGCCCTGAGCTCGAGGCCTATGGGAGGTTGGGTCTCACTGAGAGGCCAAAGTGACATCAGAGACAAAAGAAACTCGTAAAGCGAGCGGTCTCACCAGCTGCCGTCCATAATGGTTGATCAGTCCCATTGGCGTTCGGGGTGACCGAAAGGATATAGGTAGTGTCGAACGCGCCAGCAGCCCAGACGGAAAACCCAACGATGCTTCGAGAGTTAGCTTTGACGAAGGCTAGCTCTTGACCGAGACTACGGATGTTTTGTCAACCAATCACCATATCAACCCGAACAGAAGGGCCATACTCAGTCTCGCAGGAAGCGGTGTTGCCCCCACCAGTCTCACTGAGGATAGCCTGGCGGTTTCCATTTGACTGGAGCCAGGAAACAAGAGTTGTGAGGACGTCGATATTGTTCTGATGTCAATGTTAGCTCAGGATACAAAGGTCTTGATTCCAGTATGAGGACGAACCGTTACACACTCAGCATGAGTTCCACTGTTGTCGCTGTCGAGGTACTTATGAACTAACGGAAATGATCGGTGATTGTACCTTACGGCTTGGACTATGTCTGAGAAGCCTACCGTCAAATAACAATTTGCTAGTTCCGCCAGCGGGATCAGTAACATTGAGCAAGAATGGACCGGCTTCTGTGGGCAATGCCTGCGCGCTAGACCAGGAAGATCCAGGCAGCAACAAATGCTGAGAAGTCGCACCGGCTGCACGAATAGCATTAACGGCGACCTGAACAGATTCCGCCCAAGTAGAGATAGAGTTGAGATCATGGGGTTCGTTCATGATGCCAAACTGCGGGATAAAGGACACCCCCATGTAAGTGTAGTCCGGAGTCTCTCAAAAAATAGATGCAGCTAACAATGATGTGCGGCTCGTTAGCATACTTAGCTGCAAGTTGGGACCAGATACTAGCGAATTGATCGTTGGTAGGACCTCCTTGACCGATGATCTCGCCGTTCCATCTGGCATAGTTGTGCTAACTGACCTCAGCAATGGGAGGCGAGATCTAGATATAGAGAACACATACCAGGTCGACGATAACGTAGGGGCTGGTGGAAGCAGACAAGGCGGCCTGTACTGTTGCGTCATACCTAGCAAAGAAGGAAGACGATATCGTCCCCCCAAGGGTTGGCGTCATGAGCTGCCAAGCTAGCCGTCTGTTCAGATTATCATGTCTAGCTGGCATACAACCTGATTCTCACCGAAAGCTGAAAGTAGAGATCATATGAACTGTCAGAAGACGCATGTAGAAGTGAAGGAGGATATGCTTACGAATTCGGAAAATGTTTACGCCCTCGGATGCAAAGTGGGTGAATTGAGACACAGGGGGCGAGACGCCAGTGCCGTTAAAGGATCCGTCCGTAGCCTGAGAGAAGAGTCATGTTATAATCTCTCCATGGTAACTGAAGAGAGCACTGACGACGGAGAAATCGTAACCAGCAGTGTTCACACCTCCGAGGAAGGGCAGTGATGGCCCTTGGGAGTCAGGGATACACTGGGAATAGTCTAGAAGAAAGAAAGGGATTTAGCGTAAAGCGTATGTCACGGGTACGAGATAAATCCACAAGGGTTGTTGTCTGCTGGAACACAAGTACTCCCAGCCTCGCAGCTAGTAGCACCAGCTGGTGATTCAAGTCAACATTCTATTGAAGTGTTCTGAGAGAAATAGCTTACTCCAATCTCTACCTCCACACTGACCCCATATCTGAAAGGCGATTTAGATGGTGAACAAACAAGTGACAGCACGGCTTGCGATACTTACAGGCGACTGCGCGTACACGAAAGGCGCTGTAGCAAGGATAGCCGAAAAAATGATAAATTTCATAGTGGACCTGGTATCTTTAATGAAAGGGGTTGGGCGTACCAGAAGAGTTGATTAAGGATCCTTTATATTCGTTCCAGATGCTCTGTCGTCGTGCGTGTATTGGTTACGAACCTCCCGTACGAAGACTTCGGGGAATCTGCGGAAAAATACTTCGAGTTCCCAAGTCGCAAAGTAATTCGCCTGAATACATTTGTGGAGTCATTTATAGACTCTTATTTAATCCGAGGTTCGTACTGATATATACCGAGCGCAGAACGATGATGAAACCCCAGGCCACGACGTCTTGTGGAGGGATGGCGTCAATTGACGGTGTGAGGCAGAAGTAGCCACGTTGCTGCAAAAGAATTCACCTTGTATGTGTCCAGTGCTACCTATGTAACGCCCGCTGGTACTGAAAGCTTTCGACTTCGACGATGAAAGTGTATCGCCGTGGCTTCTTTGAAGTTCTCGGACATCTCGGCGACCCGAATTATCGAACACGTGGTGTGCTCCCGATGAGCGCATTTTGAATTGTTGTACGCGTTTAGCGACGATGTTCAGTGTTCTCCATGGCTCTTGGGAAATCTCTTACAGGAAAGAAAGCCGTGCTGTCACTGTATCGGTCAGCTCTGCGACAAGTGCGACTACTTCCCCATAACTATCTCCGGTACAGTGCATCGCTACACACTCCTCATAATACCTAAACAAACTCAACCGTAGACAGTATTTCCGAATTAAATTCGCGGACGATGCACATAGGATTTTAGGAACATGGGAAAATGAAGGGCTGAGATATTACAAGATCAAGCGAGTGCGCAAGGTATGTACACCTCTGCTACCAAGTGCTGTGGAAAGATCATTGCGTTGCAGGAAGTGACAAAACTCGAACGTGCAAACGCAGGGGACAGGCATTATCTCTTGCGCGCCATGAATTTTGCATACGGTCGTAGTGGTCCTTTGAAGTATGCTATAACAGAGGTACGCAAAGGACACCATTGGACTTCAAATCTCCCTCATCACTGTCTGTAGCCTCTTCTCTCTAACCCTGGCGCTGATGCACCACCCCGAATTATCTCGTCTTTGGAACATTCTCGACCTCCGGTGTTTTCGCCGGAGTTGTCTGCCTTGCTTACATCTAGCCAATCTCGGCTCGCGAACAAGGCTCTTGTCCCGGCTGATCTCGTCCGTCCACCGCTTTTGCCTCCCCAAGCAGACCCCAATTCGACAGAGGCGCGCCTCTTTGGGCCCCTCAGTAAGCTCCGTGAAGTCAATATTCGTCAGAGGTTCTTCAAAGCCCAGTGGAAAACCATTATACCCCCACTCGAAGTCACGGTGAGAACCAATGGTCAGGGCAGTACTGCAGAGTCTACGGGCTGGGATGATGTGAAACGTGCTGGTATTCGAGGTATCGGTTTGCAGGGAGCGGGTGTCTTCCGAGAATTACAGATCTTGGCTGGTCCCGTTGGGCAAAGCCCTCCCAAGCCTCGGAGACAACGCCAAACAATTAACGGCCTCGAGAGTGACAATGATTCTCCACGAGAACCCACAACACCTCCTGCTCCGAATAGATATCTTCGGCGGCGATATCGAGAGTTTCTACGGAGCATCCCAATTCTCAAGTACACTCCTCCAGCCGACAAATCCGCGAGCGAACCCAATCGGAAAGGCAGGTATCATGTGGCTCTGGCTCCCAACCTTCTCTCGACAAATTCCCGCGCCCCCCACAGCTTACCAGAAGCTGATGTAGTCGATATCGCATGGCTAGAGCGGGGCCGGCCACATAAACATAGCGCAAAAATTACACCACAATCAAAGTAGTTCTGTTCCGTCAAACCAGATATGCAAGTGTTGATAAATATGAGCTGTAATGGTTTTGGAAGACCATCATGACCCCTCATCTCCGTCTTCTCCTAATTCCAGCCCATGCAAGTCTATGACATACATGCTGTAATTCCTGTCTGTAGCTTGTGGGGCACCGTTACGGTTACTTTGATCGACACCACACTGTAAATCGAGCATGGCTTTGTACTCGTCGAAGGTGAAAACTTGCTTTTTGCGAATGCTATCCAGCATTTCCTGTGGATTAGATCATTCAGCGATGTCACACGAATTATCCATTCGAATACATACTGCTGGGTTCAAGGAGAATAAAGCGTAATATTGTTTGGCTCGCTCAAATTCTGTGTCTTGTGAGTCGCGTGCGATAGTCTTGATGCATTGCTGTAGAGCAAGCATGTTTCGGCTGATTTTCTTGATCCCAAGCGCGTTTGCGAACGGCATTTTCCGAGCGTTAGAGATCAACAGGTCCTCCATCAACAAGCCTATGCCTTCGAAGACAAACCTGAACATCCCATTAGGACATTTGTCATATCTGATGGAATTTCTGCGTACCGCTGCTCCCTAGGCGGGAGCGTAGTCGAAATGATGTCATCACACTCTCCAAGCTCTATATTGAGGTCGATGATGTGCGGATCGGGTTCGCCCACTTCTCGGTGTATGCGATAATTGCCCTTTTGTGATCATGTTTCAGATGCCAATCGGGAATACACTGAAAGAAGGGCACTTACATGTCGAAATGCCTGGTCTAAGTAATGTCCCGCTCGACATCGGGTGTCCACGCGAATAGTGTACAGAATCAGTTCTGCTAGCTGCTCGTAAGTTTTCAACAATGCATGGAATCGCCTACGCCATCAGGTGAGTGATGACAGAAAGCATATTCAAAACGAATTGTACATTGCCATTTCCCTCGACAGTGGTAGCTGCAACTGTTCACCTGCGGAAATAGGGAGGACGAAAGGTAGATAAGGGGTATAGGGTGTTGGTGCGGCGAGAGAATCGAGCTTTGGCGTTGTCGGTGACAGACTTTCCACGGAAGCAGCTTTCAATTGATTTAGAGAGGCGGCGAACCAGGCCTGCATATGACTATTGACGATTGACTACTTCGAAGCTGATGATGTGACTTACTACGCTGCGATATAGGTTCCCCAACGCAGAAAGATTCCGCAGTGGGTGAACCAAGTCATCCTTGGCAATAATGCTGTCACCCAGCAGGTGCGACTCGATACGGCCTTCCCGACGACAGATATTTCGCCTCCCATCTGGTTTGTCATCCTATGTCCACGGATCAGCAACTGCCACCGGCTCAATCTCGCAGGACGTACCAATGACTTGTATAGCTCTGTCAAACATGGTATGAGTTCTGATGATTGTGCCCATTTAGATGCTAATGCGATCCGAGGTTCTTCGTCCATTTCTCCCGAACCAAGTGGAGCTACCAAAGCTTGGAAACGGTCACTACAGCGCTGGTAAAATTGAATGACGACAGTGAGGATTAGTCGTGCATAATTCTCCCGGTGAAACGGCGTAGTGCGAAGCATGGCGCAGAGAGAGTTGATCAAAGACATGAGTTGAGTGCTCGCCTAAGTTGAGGGTACGGTCAGATGAGTATTGAAGCAGATTGAGAACTTACGTTGACCAAGGGTTCTGACGACAGCCATGCTGAAGCGGGATCGGGTTGGAAGGCTTCAGGGCCTATCACGAGAAAATGAGAAGAGGGAAGCAGAACAAAGTATATTATATATTTACCAGTGACGGCATGATGGAACAGCAGCGAGACCTTGTCTTCCAGTTGAGGTAAATACACCTTGAGAACGAAATCATCCAATATAGCACTAGATGCTCTTGCCGACTCTAAGCCAGACGGTAACACTTCCGCAATGCGATCCAAGAACGCGAGAGTCGGTTGAAACAACACGCTTACGTGGAAAGCGTCGGGTTTGATGAGCAGACGGTGATGCTGATCCATACCCAGAAGTCGTTCATCTGTCCCTACGGTAGATAACGTCGCTTGCACGGTAGATTCAGAGGAGCCTTGTACTAGCCCAGGGACCGTGTCTCTCAAAACTCGGTTGAGCTCGTCCTCATGCGAGCGTAGTGCTTTGTTGGAGAGTTTGGGGTCCGTATCGGCGAACCGGAAGACATTCTGAGGTATGACAGTAGAGCCATGAGCACGGTCGTGTCTCAGTGATAAGCGCCATGTAACTACCTTGGTTTTATCCCTAGTAAACTTTCCTTCGCGCAATACATCATTGATTGAAGATATGGGGTTCCTTCCAGACATTGCGCCTTGCTCTTCATTCGTCAAGTAGTCATTCAAGATTGTTCGAACCTATGTGGAATATTGTAATGAAGCCCATGTCGCTTGCTCTTGAACGTACCTCTGCTTGAACGGGCATCCATACTTCTGCTAACGGAAAGAGGGCACCCGGCTTGGTTCCAGAAGAATCCTTGAAATCTCGTCGCTACATTCAAGCGTAAGTGATAATGGCAACTTAACACACTCTTGATGAAGGTTATAGATAGCAGAGCAAGAGGAGGCTCACCGATCCAATACGGTTTGCAACCTCGTACACTACTCGCAAGCCCTGCGTGACGGCGTCCAGTTTTGAGTACAACGTCCAGAACAAGTCCCGTAAAATCTCATGATCAACGTGTTGCGAAGACGATTCAAGGGCCGTGAGTCTCAGTCTCAGGGCGCTTAATGTCGTACCATTGATAGAACCGGACGCAAAACCAAACATCGTCCCCACAGATCCGATGCCTGTACCGTCGGGCGCCGATGTCGGCGCGACCATGTACGCAGAATGTAGCTTCGCAGTGGTGCTTGTGGTACTGTTGATCAGCATCGATGTGCGCCGCCCATACTCAGCGCGCTCGCCGACCTCTTCGATTGTATTCTCGATGAGTGTGAAGATTTCACTTGGCAAACGTTGTGCGACAACGTCAAGACCACTGCCTAGTTTTCCAAGTACCGCGAGAGACTCAAGCAATGTTTCGATGTAAGCAAATGAGTCAGTTTCCGGGTTTCTGCTCTGCGTTTGTGAACTGCCTCCGCCAGCAATACTCGCCAGGTTGGCAAAGGAAGATATGGAGGATGGACCATTTCCCGTCGTCAAATTTGATGTAGAGGTGCTTACGGAAAGTCCTGCAGGAGAAAATGACACGCTTTGCCGGAAGCCTTGCTCATCGACATCATCGGGCGGATTGTTTGGGCGAAGGGCAAGGTCATGAAGATAACGAGATAGACGGGAGGGTCGAGATGTAGGAGATGTAGGTGTGACAGGTGTCGTTGGCGTCGGTGGTTGCGGCACGGTGTCAGAAGGAAGAGGTTCATCCTCAAATTCGACTACGGACACTGCAAAAAAAAGGGTGGATATAATGAAGTATACATGATTGAAAAACCCCAATGAACGCACTGGTTTGTTGATGGGCAGTATACGCAACCCAGCGGCTGTCACACCAAAATGATTTCAAATACAGATGGCTATGAAGCTCGTCTATGAGAATTTCACGCAGCGCCTGTTTACATCTTAAGCATGAAAGGTGAGAAGAGCTATGCCAATTCTTACCGTTTCCTGGCCGTTCAGGTAGCTCCGCAAATCCGCGACAGCGCCAATATCAAGCATGTCCTGATTGTTAATCATTTTGAGACTTCGGATCAAGAGGACAGAAGCCTGCAACAGCCGTTTCTCAGACATGAGACTCTCTAAAACGTCGGGAACTAGTTTTAGGTGTTCACTGTGATCGAAAATTCGATAAACTGATTATATTGGGAGCATCGGTACACGTACATCTGATCTAGTAGGCGAATCATTTCTTCCAAAGTTTGTCCTCTTGTCCACATTTGAACCAGATCAGCTCGCTTGCTACCTAGGGCTTCTTTAGCCTCTAAAAGCGAACCGCGAGCTCCTCTGATCTGTGTTTGTGTTGTCCCGAGATGATTCAATAAAGATGCATGATGAGGAAGAGACGCCGCAAATGCTTGATAGTGTTCTGAGAGAGTATCATCAAGATGTAATTAAGCGATTTGTGCTATGCAATCATCATGGACATACTGTCAACGGAGCCTTTCAAGGTCTTCGACAGCATGGATTTTGTGCGCCGAAAGGACCCGATGTCTTTTCCTGAGTTTGAATCATCGATTAGTTGTAGGGCAAGGTCAATTGGGTTGAACTGCGATGAAGAAGCCTTAGTTGACTCTACACAGCGAGGATGATTCTCCTCTCACTTCCGAGTCAATGACGAACTCCCACTCGTCCTTGATTTGTTCCAGGATAGCTGTGTGAAGTTGTCAGAGTTACGCACAAATGTCGGACAGAGAACAATATAATTGAACGGAAGACATACCATCAATATCTCCTGCTTTCGCTTTGCCATTCGCCCGTCTGCCGGGGACCTTGTCCATGATTCTCTTCTGCCTTTGCCGCTCAGCTTCAACTTCCTGCTGACGCTCTCTCTCCCACTCATCGTCTCCGTAAGTATCGACAGTCTTCTTCCGAGCTGCGCTCTGGAATGCAGACATGACAACAGCCAGTGCAGGGCCCTTTTCAGAATCTTCTGTACCCGAGCGTGTAGGCCTCCTCGGTCGAGGAGCAGAGGTCCCCATGCTAGCGCTGCCATTGCGCGCTCTATAGGGATTAGGGAAAGATGCGTCCGATCGTGTTGTGCTCACGCTGTCCTCGCGATCTCTGACGCGCGGGCGCGACGAGGTCGAAGGGGAATCGGGATAGGAGTATTCCTCCACTTGGCGGTTTCTAAGTTCTGACCTCTGCGGACGTGAAGGCCCGCTAGGTGAGCTACCTGTGGATATTACGGAGCTGTTGCTAGGCGTCGACGGGCGTGCTGGGGTGCGGCTGATCTGGAGTGGTTTGGTATTGGACGAATACGGCGAATCGGCGCCATTTGCAGGAGAACGTGGTCGTCGAGCTGGAGCAGTTGGGAACGGGTTGGCTCTAGACATAGAGCAGGAGGCTGCAGCAGAGAGGGAATAAGAGTCGAGAGGACAGCTGCCTACAGTGCGCCAGTTACCAACTGGTGGTGGAACAACAACTAGAATGCCAGTCAAATGGGTCCACGGACCACACTTCACCAGGTCCACTCGTCTCTCACGCTCCAGCCATGGCGGCTGCTCTTAAACTGCTCCCACCATTCTTACATTCATACGACCTCAAAACCCAGGGAGAAGATGGCACCTATTATCATACACTGTATCACCATGCAAGCGTGTCCAAAGCAGCTCACACTATCTGGTGGCCGCCTGTAGACGGCGAGGCTTCGACGCCAAGCACCGTCTTACTTTTCATTCCAGGTCAGCAACCTGAAATCGATCATATGCCATATTCACATTGCTTTTCAAGGGAATCCGGGATTACTGGGATTCTATGTACCATTTCTTTCCGCCATCTGGAAGGGCTCTGCCCCCGGACTTGCGATTTTGGCCCATTCCTACATAGGGCATACTCCTGGTATCGAGCCAGTCACAGGCCGGAAGAGGAGCGCGTCTACTGTTGGCCTGCATGTCCAGATTCAAACTATCATTGAAGTTTTGGATGATATCGTCGTCACTTTTGGTACTGGTACCAAAGTGGTCTTGGTAGGACATAGCGTGGGGTCTTGGCTGACCCTTCAAGTTCTCAAGGCAAGGCCAAACGTTGTGTCTGGGACTTTTTTGCTCTTCCCAACTATAACGAATATTGCGGACACTCCAAATGGGCGCCTTCTTAGTGTATGTCTGTTTCAGCTCAATGTCATCGTTCCCGTCGCGATGACGAGGCCGCCTTCTACAGTGGCTCTTCCACCCTCCTCTTCCTAGGCTTGTGTCATACGCTTCTTTCCTGGTGCGACACCTTCCCCATCGCATTCTCTTGCTGCTTTTCTCCTCCTGGCCTCGAGAGCAGATCATCGTTCTACAATCTTTACTTCAGTCTCCCTCCACTATCTGGGCCTCGCTTTCTATGGCTCACGAAGAGATGGGAGCCATCCGCGAGATGGACATTGCCTTACTGGAAGAGCATCACGAACATATTTGGTTCTACTTTGCAGAAAATGATGCCTGGGTTGGCAAGCATAGGGAAATCATACTTGAGACTATGCATGATATGCCTGCGGGCGTCAAGGTCATCCATGGCGGTACAGACATTCCGCACGCTTTCTGTATCAGTGAGTCCATCGAAAATTTAAAGCTTTCAGAAGCACATTGTCTCAATGCATATGGGTTCCGCTTAGACCACGGAGAGGATTTAGCATTGCAGTGTCTTGCTTGGATGCGCGCTGGAGACTTATTCTAGGCTTCGTGTACACTTGGGAAGTAGATACCAAACACAATGTACTTACGCTTTGGATGAGACTTTCTGAGAACTCAGCCGGATGATTCTAATACGTCTCAACGCACGAGCCAATCATAGAGCTGGCATTAAGATGGGTTAAGGTTACATGATCCCACGGACCGCACACGGGGACCTGGGAGTTATAATCGAAAGGACGCGACAGTCGTGAAGAAGCCATCGACGCGTCCAGCGACCTCGCATCGTCTTACCTTGTACCATGAGCGATGCGGAGCCATCTTCGGACCCTATCCAACTATTACCACCCAGAAGAACAGTCAATCCTGAGACCGCGTTCTATGCTTCTTTGAGCCCTCTCTCAACTGGCTCTCAGCTCTCAGAGGCCGTTGCTCACGTCGCCGCGGCAGCACCCGTACCATACGTCCAGGTGGCACAATTAGCACCTTCAGAACGCGTCGTTTACCATGAACTTGCTGAACTCGAATTGACGTCGGACCACGAGCTGTATAACTTCACACCCCATTCTGTGGTCGGCGAGTTCCGTCAGGGCTCTGTCTTGTGGTATTTTGCAAGAGACAAAGTGGGGCCAGCACACAAGGTATCACCACTGCAGGTCTTATTCGCTTCGCCTTTCTAACATTTCACGGCGCATTCAGTTCAAAGCAGCAGAGTTCGCGAAACAGTACCCCACCCTCGCCGAAGATTTCCGTAAGCCGTAGTGCCACTTCACCATACCTACATTGTGAAACGAAAATTTACTGACTTGCATGTTTGCAGAACGTAGGAAGATGGATGGAACGTTGCCTTCTTTCGACCCGAATGGACCTGATGTTCACCCACAGTCGCGTGTCAAGATGACGATCGCCTTCACTGAACTGCAAAGACAAGTAAAGCAACAAAATCTCGTGCGCGCCGGGCCATCACGCATCCCATTTGACAACGAAGGTGAAGAGTGGGATAACGACATTGCTGAGGGCAGTTCTCCCACCCGTGTCGAAGACAGCGAGGCTGAGAGCGAGGATGAAGACGAGGACGAAAGCGACTTCTTGGTGGGGAGCCGTGTTACCCGTGGGACCACTAAAGCCACTGCCACCAACAAACGGTTCACAAGAAGAGGACAGTTACCTTTCAGCCCGAGAAAAACGCGGTCCAAGAACGTGGTGATCAACGTGGATTCGGACGACGAGGACGGTAGTCCAGTCGAGACTGCTCAAGCTCTGCGGCGTTCTAGCAGGGCCACAACAAATCGCAGGAAAACCCTGGCTGACGACGACTACCAAAGCGACAATTCGGACGACTCTGGCTCTCAGTTTGAGGCTCATTCTCGTGGGTCTAGAAAGGGGAAAGCTACGCAGCCCAAAAAAGTGCGTCGCGGAAAAGAGGCCCGTCCAGCGTATGGTCATTTCCGCCTGGTCGCAGACCTAGACTACGATCCATGTGAGGACGAAGATACCGTCGCTCTTCGTGCACACCGAGATATATGCCAGAAGTGCCAGCGTAAGCCAACGCACCTCCTCTTACTGAAACCGAAGGGTAGAACCAAAAAGAAGAGGGCGGACGATGAAGATCAGGATTCGGAGGAAGACTTGGCTTCGTTAGGCGGCTGGGTGAGATGGTATGGATGTGTGGGTTTTCTAATTTCAAGCAGCTGATGAGCGACTTCGTTAGCCTCAAGTGCCCCTTATCAGCTCATTGGAGCTGTTTGGCCGGTACACAACGCAACGAGATCCTCAAAGCAGCGCTCCAACGAGATCGAAACAGATGGCAACAAGCTGCGAAATTTGCCGAAGGAAACGATACAAATGTGTTGCCTGAGCCTAAGCGGCGCGATAGCCTCAGTGCCTATCAAACAACCGAGTTCATATGTGCGATGTGCATGAAAGGCGGTGTGTGCATGGGCTGTTTGGATGTCGCACTGGAACCAGAAGATTCACATTCGAAGCCCAATGACGACAATATCGTTCCCTCGAAGATGGGCTCAAAGGATCCGGAAGGCTCTCCTAGAGTAACTCTTAATGATGTCGAGATAAACGACGTTCCTCAAGTGCCTGTTAGTGGTTTGTCTGCAGAAGAACCCAATAACTCGTCTAGTGCTCTTCAAAAAGAACTATTGTTCCGATGTTCATTGTGTCGACGCCTAGCTCATTATGCTCACCTTCCTTCTCCTGACGACACTGCCGTTGACGATGGCGATCTTGTTGGCCGTGCGATGATCGCTAGTTATTATCAGCATGAAAACAATTGGACATGTGCGGATTGTTCTTCTTATCAGTACACTGTCGACAATATCTTGGCTTGGCGACCCTTTCCTCCAAATACCATCGAACCTCTTCAGCTTGCGGGTCAAACTCCACATTACAAAGAACCACTTTCTCGAGAATACCTGGTCAAGTGGCTCGACCGAAGCTACAGACGCACTAGCTGGGTTCCTCACGGATGGCTGTTAGCCACACACGCCGCAAAGTTAAGGCATTTCTTGGCAGATGGATCCAGAATCGAGCTTTTGAAGGAGCCTGTCAAAGAGGATGCGATTGCGAATGCCGTAGCCGAGGGAGGCATTGGCGTCGCAGAGGAGTCGAGAGAGTCTTCGGTCAGGCTTGACACTGTCAAGTCAGCTATATCTTTGTTCTTAGGTGCTCTCCCCGACGCGGACCGTCGGATTCCTCCGGCTTGGAAGACCATAGACCGCCTTCTTGACGTCAAGTTATGGTCCCCCGTCAGGCAAAGCTCGAAGACAAAATCATCCAAGCGCACTGCGAAGGATGCCATTGTCATTAGCGACGACGAGGATGAAGATGATGAAGATGACGCCGTGATTGAAGCCCGGTATCAGCGCAACGCTGCCTTTAAAGACGGCGAACCGCCTGATGAGCACTTCATGATAGGCATAGATGAGTTCGAAAAGACTCGAACTATGGTCGCGGAAGACATTAGCAAGGTGGTGTGGGCGTTCATCAAGTGGGATGATTTAGGCTACGATGAAGGTTATTAGTTTCTTTTTATCAAATATGTCCCGCAGGCTGATACAGCCCCCATAATTACTTGTCTCACCTATCAGCTACTTGGGATTCTCCACCTCGCACTGGAGAGCCCGGTTACGAAGCTTTCGAAGCCGCATTCAGGTATCTGATTGAGTCCCGAAAGGTCACTGTACCTTCACGCACCAAGGCTCAATATCAAGAGTTAGATAACCGGAAGAAGGACGGCTACGCCCATTACCGATTGCTAGAGGGACAGCAGCCTAATCTGGGGCAGAGCGAGCAACTTAAACTCATGCCTTTCCAGGTGCGACGCCATTTTTTCTACATAGTCCTTATGACTGATAAATACCTTGTAGATTGATGGCTTCAACTGGCTTTGCGATAATTGGTATAACCACCAATCTAGTATCCTCGCCGACGAAATGGGTTTGGTACAGTAAGGACCATGGCTTCTTGAATTCCTTGCTAAACAGTTCCGGTAGGGCAAGACCGTCCAAATTGCAACATTTGTGGGCAAGATAATAGCGCAGTGGAAAGCATATCCGGTTCTTATTGTCGTCCCTCAGTCCACAATCACAAACTGGGTCCGAGAACTCGCACGATGGGCACCCGCTCTTCGCGTCGTTCCTTTCTATGGCGAAGCCAAATCCCGTGAAATCATCAAGCGGTACGAACTGAAACACACACGTATATCTTCTGGAACGACGGGAGCCAAATTCCATGTGTTGGTCACTACTTACGATAACGTCTCAAATTCGAAAGACTTCACGCCTGTGTTTAAGAGCATCGCCAGGTGGGAGGTGTTGGTCGTAGATGAAGGACAGAGACGTTAGTCCAACTAGTCATCTTCAACAGATCAACGCTGACCTTTCTTTGTAGTCAAGAATGATAATAGTCTTCTTTTCAAGAAGTTGAATGAGCTAAAGATTGCACATCGCATCATCATGACCGGCGTGAGTGTCTTCCTGCATCAAAGTGTGCTCATCTATTCAATGTGATATCTCGCTTTATAGACACCGCTGAACAACAACATTCGTGAACTCTTCAACTTGATGAATTTCTTGGATCCGGATCAGTGGAATGACTTGGAACAGCTAGAGAAAGACCACGAAGAATTGACCGAGGACCTCGTCAAACAACTGCATGAGCGATTGCGGCCCTATTTTCTGCGACGTGTCAAAGCAGATGTCCTGCAATTACCACCCAAGGTTGGCGAACATCATTAATCGTTTTGCAGTCTATGTTGAGTGATGTTTCCCAGAATGAGGTCATTGTTCCCGTCTCGATGACATCTCTTCAAAAAGAAATATACAAATCGATATTGAGTCCGTCGGAGGTGATCTTGATATTTGACTTGTTACTGATCTCAAACCAGGTAAAAATCTTAGCATCTTGATGACCTTGACTCGGTCTTTGGGAGATTCGAAGACTAGGTCATCTTCGAGCGGTGTCAAAAGCAATATGATCAATATCCTCATGGAGCTACGAAAGTGAGTGCCTTCTACGTCGTCTTGACAGCCATGATTTCTCAAATCTCCGTCTAGATGTATACAGCATCCCTATCTCGTGTCAAACGACATCGAGCCTAAGAATCTGAGCGAGCGAGAGTCGCATGAGAGGTTGGTTGCTGCCAGTGCAAAGTTGAGGCTGCTCAGGGCATTACTACCAAAGCTCAAAGCCCGGGGACACCGTGTCTTGCTATTCAGTCAGGTGAGTGAACCTTCCTTAGGTCCAGTTTTATCAGGCCTCTTGAGTTCTTCACATAGTTCGTCATAGCACTGAATCTCATTGAAGACTTCCTCATTGGAGAGGATTTCAAATACTTGCGTTTGGTATAGTAATCCGCCTTTATGACACAGTGCATATATTCATGGGTAAACAGGATGGTTCGACCAAGCAAGCCGAACGCCAAAAAGGGATGGATGAATTCAATCGTCCGGGCTCCGACGTTTTCATCTATATGCTGTCCACACGCGCTGGTGGTGTTGGTATCAATCTCTGGAGCGCAGACACCGTTATCATCTTCGATCCCGATTTCAATCCACATCAGGTGAGTCCACTTTGAACCTGCTTATCTTGTGCAAACAAGTGACAGTCAATTGCAGGATCTTCAAGTACGTCCACATCATGAGAACAGGTAACACTAGACTGACATTTGTTCAAGGCCATCGCGCGTTCGCACCGATACGGTCAAACCAAGCCATGCTTGGTCTTCAAGCTCATGGGCAAAGATACTGCCGAAGGTGAGCTTTTCGTTGCATGTCACTCTTCGATGCTGAGGTTGTCGGAAAGAACGGATAATGCAAGCTGGGAAGAAGAAGCTGGTTCTGGATCATGTCATTGTGCAAAAAATGGACAACGACGAGGCCGGCGAAGACGTAAAATCTATCTTGACTTATGGCGCCAAGGCTCTGTTTGAAGACGACCAAACCGCTCGTGATATTATATGTTCGATCCTTATGCCCTTTTCTGGTTAAGGTTCTGATTAAATGCTCTTTAGATACCGACCACGATGTGGACAATCTCATTGAGAAGACCGAAACAGAAGGAGACCAAGAAGAGGCTAAAGTTCCTGGTATGACATTCGCATTCGCCAAGGTCTGGGCCGCAGACAAAGAAGGTTTAGAGGAGATGGCTGACGAAATCCCGGAGTCCAATGAACCTTCCGATTCATGGGCTCAGGCTTTGCAACGAATTGCGGACGAGCGTTCCAAAGTTCAGACTAATGAACGCACTGGGCGTGGTGTCCGTCGCAAAGCTGCTGTCGCTGCGAGCATGAAGCCGCAGGTACTGTTTGCTATTGACTTTATAGCAGGATGTGATGCTGACCTTCAAGTTCTCTCAACACAGCAAACATTTGACCTTGAGGATTCATCTACGAAGGACAAGTCCGGGGCTAAAAAGCAGGACAGATCGAAGTCGATCATCTCGGACGACTCCGACGCATATATGGACACATTCTCAATGGCATCCGACAACGAAGTAACGGATGACTTCACAATGGCCATGGATGGTGTTGCTCCCAAATCGACACAGCCAGTCCATGCTTCGATCAACGGGGCGTCTGGACTGTCGGAGCCACCTCCCCAATACCGCACTCCTGAGAATCAACGGTCGGTCACTGTTCAAGACAAGGCACAAAGAGAATGTGGACTATGCGGCACACGGCACGCGGGGCCTTGTGCTATGACTGAGAGCTCAGAGAATTTGGCTGAGTACAGGATGCTTCTATTCAATCAGGCAAAGGATGAGGATATTGAAGAACGGGTTTGTGATCTTGTTGTGAGCTCTTTATTCGACGTACTGAGATCATATGCTTGCCAGCGCGCAGCGATTCAAGCCATTGACGAAACCTTAAGCCAACGTGGACGAATCGACCTGATCTACGGCCAGCCTCTCCAGCTTGTCGAATCAAGTCCTAATTCGGCCCCTCCAGTAAAAAATGGAAAATCTCGTTCTAATCAACGAAATCCTCCACCTATCACTCCGGCTCACCCTGTCAAGATGGTCGACAAGCCCACTCCGATGCGACCTCCTTCGCCTCCGCCCGTTGCTGGGCCCTCTCGTGTGACATCTATGAGCAGCTCTTTGAAACGCTCTGCGACCCCGCACGATGATCACACAAATTCGAAGAAGGTCAAAAACGGCAAGGAATCGATATGCCCTGTCTGCACGAGGTCTCCCCACCACTTAGTGATAGATTGTCCTGTTGTCGCAGCGGGACCAGCGAGGTATGTGCAAGCTTCTGTATAACTGCCTTCTGCTTACACACATCAACATTAGTATATCAAAAGCAATTGCAACCTTGGAGCAGCACTCGAGACACGATCAAATCGTTCAGATGCTTCGCAATCTCTTGAAAAAGCGGAAGAAGCGAGAGTCGTTTTTGTCCGATACAACAGGGCTTAGTACTTAGTGGCCGCACCTAGACTCATACATCGATCTCTATGGCCTTTTGCCGGTAGATCTCTTGTCATCTATATTAGGAACTAGCCATTATTTCCGCCTACACGAATTTGTATGCAGTACTGTAATTTAGGACTGGTTAGCCACTATCAGCGCAGGTGCGGTATGGGTGCAGTCTTCCCAGAGTCGCAACTCCGGCGTCTTGTCATTTGACTTTAATTGCTGCACCATCGCAATGTAACAGGTATGAGGATAGTAGCATTGGCAAGGGCACAATCGAACAGTATATCGATCATTCGAACATGAGGCTGATAGCATAGATACAATGAAGAAACCCCGTGCCAATGAAGCCATCTCTACTGCCCGTCCCGAAACCTAGGGTAGAAGGGCTTTGCTGACAGCCGGTTGCACATACAAGTTGTGCACTGACGACAGAGAGTCGACAGGGCAGCCAGAGCCTATGAGTGGCACTGGCGAGTATATAGCAGTGTTACGCTGATCGACGGCACTGCAGTATTTAGGCCAGTCAGGTGCCTTATCCTCGTACAAAGGCCTGTAAAAGGCAATTGCGGGTCTCAACAATTGGTGCCGCGTGTTCCGCAGTCCTGAGACAAGCAGACTCAACGAATCAGATCCGAACAAAACAACACCAAGGCAAAGAACGTTGTCGAACACAGGGGTCTTTCCAGTCAGGGTCCAAGCGGTCCGGTGCAGTGCGGTGTACGTATATAACCCGTAGACTGATTTAAACATGGGATGCTCACTCCTACCAGTCTTCTACTTCGCTTAGCGCTCAGCGCTCAGCACCGGAGTTTTTCCTTCTCGATACAACTCGATATCTGCGGCGCAAAGTCGCAGTGTCTATACGCAGCATAACTTACGACAATCTGGTATTAATCCATTTCTAGTCGTCCTACGCGCGTCGACTGTCGAGCCACTTAAAGCCTGAAGTTTCCGATGTCCACCACATCAACCAATACCTCCAGCGTCGCTCACTCGACATCCTTGAAACGAGCACGATCCATGAATACTCCACAGGCCCCTACGATTGATGGAGACCTACTTCTAGATGTATTCTCTCACAGGGCCATCCGGTATATTGGAGCTGATATGAACGATGATTTTGGCGATGTTGACCGTGTGGCTTTTCTCGGCAAACGCGTGCTAGAGATGGTTGTTGCGCGAGCCTTATTCGATAAGAGGCCAATGCTGTCAGCATCGGAATTGACTGTACGTTTGATCTGTATTTTGCATTCATTGTTTCTAGTCCTGATGATATGCGCAGATCCAGACTGATGAATGCCTTTCTGAATCAAATCTTGACTCTTGGGTCACAATGTACGGATTTCGAGAACGGGTGCGCGCCTCCCCTGACATTCGTGAGTCCTTGAAAGAGCCGTCGGTGAGCAATCGTGATCTTTTGGTTCTTTGTTTGTCTTCTGACATATCGCTTATAGGAGACTAGGCTACTCTTCCATTCCTATATAGGAGCCGTATATATTCAGCGTGGCCTCGATGAAGTTCAAAGCTGGATTGGCAAGCTCGTAGATCCAACTTATGAATCGAATGATTCAAAAAGGTCCAGATACCAAGATCCTCCAGATCCCATACCTCCTGCGGACACGCCTCCGCCGCTTCCCAGTCCCGCTCCCTCAACGACTGTATTCCTCCCCATGTTCAATCAAACATGCACACAAAGACGCATCGTTGTGGATTGGGTTGCTAATTCGACCGGGCCTCCTCATGCCCCTGCTTGGAACGTTCAATGCCTCGGTATGTATCATTTGTGATTCTGCGGCTGAGGAGCTGTTCTAATCGTAAGGCAGTCGGGGGTTTGATCAAGGGAACTGGCCATGGGCGCAGCAAACAATTGGCAAAAGAGGAAGCAGCCAGAGAGGCGTATATTGCTATGGGCTGGGCTTCACGTGCGTAGCGAGGATCATTCTGACTGACGTCGATTGAATTTCCCCACCTCTTCGCAGCTGGTTTTTGATGAGATATTAATTGTTGTATGCCTTCATATTTGCTGGTCGTTGTGGCATTGTAGCGCCATCAATTGGCCTCAACGGCTCACCAATGACCTCCTTCGTTCATCTTTGGTTGTATCAGAAGCCGGACGTTGACTGTAGTAATTATGTACCAATTCAATCCAATGTAGTTTTTCACTCAACAATCTGTGAAATAAAAGTTTGGTAGCTCGCCGTAGCTACACAATCTTCTGATGTAAATTCGATACTCGACCAATGTCCTGAATTCCATTCCATACAACGAAGTCAGCTACAAATCTCCCATCGGCCAAAATCTGCCGCAGCGGGGCTACGAATGACATCGGGCCAGTGACTTCAGTGCCGTCCAGGTAGGTGAGGAAATCCCCTACAAAACTGCCATCAACAAAAACAGAGGTGGTGATCTCCGTGCCAACTATAATAATCTCTCTCCATGGAGATGCTGCGACCGTTGGCAGCGTATAATTGAACAGTGGAAACGTGATATTAGAGGAAGTGAACGACAATGTCGTCCCATTTCCAGATGATGTGAATCCGAAAGAATCGTCCGGGCCTGTGAGAAGGATGTTTGGAGTATACGAAGAGCTGATATTGACGAGCAAGGTATAATCATGGCCTTTGGAGCCAAGCGGCGTAGAGACAACACTACCGGACAGTTTCCCGTTGTATGAATTCCCGCTGTGGTCCAGGATGACGCCTCCTGAGTCGTGCGTCAAATGATATTCCAAGACGATGCCGCCCTTACTAGCAATTCGGCGATCTAAATTTTGGCCAGGTGCAGCCGCCTCGAGCGCAGGATAAGAAGAATCAAATTGTGCTTGGGTCAAGTGGCCCGAGCGAGAGGCTGTCTGCCAGCCCGCTGAAACAGTCACAGGAAGCCCTCCCTTCAGGGCGTAGAATGCTTCTAAAACAGTAGATGCAGTGGGACCGTGATCATTCCATATAGCCTGTGCACAAGAGGATCAGGATCAGGTCGAGATCATAGCGGAACTGCCAAGAATAGCCATACGCACCATGATTGAGCCCTGAAGTCGACCGGCTTCTACAGTCGGGTTGTTTGACGCATTGCCTGGAGAAAGAGTACAAATCAGCAAGAGCTGATGGCCATTGGCAACAGGTGTCCGCCTTACCTCGATCGAAGATATGGGGATCCCAGATTCCTCCTGTATTCACATTCGCGCCATTCCAAAGCCGCGTCTGGTTCAAGCGTTGGGGATAAGATCCGGACTGTTGAAATCCCATTGAGTAGTTCTTATGACTTGTGCGAAGATCCGAAACTCACGTATTTCATGACAATATAGTTAAAAGCATCATCGCTGAATACTCTGCATCAACCCTTACTCACGCAGGTGAACATGAACTAGTCGTACCTGTTAATCACGGTATAATTCTGTCTGATCAAAGCGTAAGGATCGTCCTCGAAAAACTCCCTGAAAAGAACGTTAAATGGAAAGGAGACCTTTTTAAACCATAGCAGATGCATTACCAGTGTTGGATCGTGATACTCTTGCTGACAGACGTGGTGTTTGATGGCTCGTTCGTTCCCCAAATCCGGATAGACTTATTGGATTGCTGGCTGATGAAATCGCTCTACCAATCATGTATTTCAATCTCTGAAGCAACCAAATTGTGAACCCACTTACCATGTCATTGACGTAATGGTTGTAATCATTTGCCAGACGCGAGTCATATTCGTCTGCTCCGATTGAAACTTGTCCTGAGGGGCAGTATCGTTACAAGGACCATCATCGTGTATTAGAGAAAGAGTACTTGTTTGGAACCAAGGAAGGAATTCTATGTCATCGTCAGCCAAGGGCGTCGTTAGAACAACATAGCGAATCGAAGGAATGACCTTGCCAGATAGACTTGATAGTGGGGATCGCGTCCGGGACAGTCAAGTTGATAAGGCTTGGCTCTGAGGGGATCGCAAGTTCGGGTTTCCATTGAGTGATGACCAATGCATGGCCAGGCTAGCGTTGAAAATTTCATAAGCTATGGATATTTCAATGAATGCATGCTCACTGCTTCAATTTCGGGGATGACCTTCGATCCGATATTAAAATCATGGTTGGGACTCATGTACCTCAGAACTCACTGTGACGCCCCGTGCCGCACATTGAGATTGAAAACTGGTGAATTCCTGCCGGGAGTAAGTTTCGTTAAGGTGAGGGGTCAGACCGGCCAAGACGGCGCTTTCAGGACGCAAGCGGAAACGAGCATAGGTTGTATCCCCAACGCCGAGGTTGTCAGAGAGGTGCACGTGCTGAACAAAATAGTAGTTAGGTTCTATGCCTCTCCTGTACGAATCGATGACTTACGAACTCACTGGTTTTGAACCAGGAGGCATATGCACACAGGTCCGTCAGAAAAGATATTGGGTACCATTGCCGCCCAACATCTAAAGAGATGGTCCAAGTGAGTTCGATGAATCAGTCAGACAGATAAATAGACAAAAAGTAGACCAAGGTACCGAGCATGAGACCTCGTGTTTCCCAGTCCGGTTGATCCACTACTATCCCTGCAGGCAGCTTCATCCCGTTCAAGACGAGCCCTTGCAACAACGTGCGTGTGCCCCAGAACGAACCTCTTGCGCCAGACCCCTCTAGAGTGACGCCTGAGCCTGAAATCTCCATACGGTACCCTTCTGACGTTGGGCTTCCTTTTGCCAGCCTAAACATCGCTGCCTGTTCTTTCGACAAGATGGACATAAATATGTGGCCTCCACTGCGAGCATCGCCTTCCGATACGGTCGCTTTCACTCCAGGAAACACGTCTTGCACATCCTTCGCGAACGTCTGCGCAAAAGACAGGAGCGAAGGTGGGATCAACGTCATCTCATCATGGTCAGACTGCCCTGCCACCTCTCCATCAACGACAATCCGTAGATCGTGCGGTAACACAAAAGAGTCAGTCGACGAAGCGGCGAAGCTATGCACGGCGGGTACAACAGCGGGGAACTGTGAGGCATGAGACAGCGTGAAGCGGGCCGCGACAGCCGCAGCGAACCAGATCATCCGTCCAATTAGGCCTGCTGCCATGGTCTTTGTGAGTATCGTTTGTGAGTTACCTAGATGAAAGGAATAGCAGTTGGGGGTGCAGATAAGTGCCCGGTTCATGTAGTGCTCTTGCTGGGATGATTTGAGATGGCGACTTCGATTGTCAAGAATACCTGGCTGGGAGGAGCATGCGGTCTGGTGACGGATAGAAGATGGTCATGTTTCTAGATGTGCGATTGCGTACAGGTCAGTACATATTCAGAGATAAGATATGGCATAATCACTTAGCCCTGAAATGTGATCCTAATCCTAGTCAGCAGAAGAGAGGTCCCGGTCAAGGTATCAAATCAGCGAACCCTCATTAACGGTCGTTAAACTTCGTTGAATGTCTTAGATCTCGCTTGATCAGGCAATCAAGTGAGAGAAGGTGTATCTATGTTTAATCGACTTGAGATAACGCTTGAGACCCCGGCTTAGCCCTAGTGCACAGCACACTCCTCGAAGTTGAATGAAACCGAGGAATTCATTTGAGGTTCAGAATACGTCATGATTCCCTTGGTATGATAGGCTAGAGAAGTACGCCTGGTCCCTAATATTTTTTCCATTTCCAGTCGCGAACAGACCAAGAATCGTCCCTGGAGAGTTTATAAGTCAACTTTCGCACAATTAAGAACAGGGAGTTGTTCCGGCGCCACATACCCGTGAATCCTCCACTAACCTGGCTTGAATTGCCCCACCCGACAGTCGTCCACTCGGATCCGCTCTTATATCTAAACGCGTATGTGGTCCTATTGACCGCCTCTATCTGCAGAGAGACCGTGTTGAGTACCTCAGGACCCAATGGTAGGATTGCCGGCTTGGAGAACGGGTCCATAGCCCCTCCATTCGTCGAATGGGCCGTTATGGTCCGCAACCGCGCGTATCTGCTCGTGCCATCTGACAACGCGCCCGAATACCCCGCTTGGATGGCTGATTGTGGGGAGAGCGTGACGACGCCGAGATCGAAATGCTGCAGCTGATTCAGGTACACAGACACACCGGCCTCTGCTTGATCTTGAGCAGAGTCAAACTGAAGGGTGACTTGGAATGTGAAAAGAATATGCTCTTGCCGGCGGCCGACAAAGGTTTGTGGGGTAGGGGAGGTGCGCCCGTCAAGTCCCGTGATGTTAAGGATAGATGGGGCTAGGCGGAGTGTATTTGGATGAGAGGGCGGCGAGACGGTGTACGCAGCGGGATCAGGATATCGAATGTGGACGAAGTGCATGGGAATAGAAGATCCCGGGGAGAACGTAATGCCATCGTCCGCTCCAGCCCAATTGCTATAAACAGGATGTCAGATTAATCTCCAGGAAGCGAAGAACAAAGTAGAGCACCCATTGCCGCCGATGTCTTTGTTCGCCGGAGGCAGTGGACCTACTTCTGCACCGCGGACGGGGATGAAGGTCGGAAATTTGTCTTTTTCCCATTGAACAGGTGTAAGAACGGTCTCTCTTCCCATTGGGTAGTATGTATACTCGGGGCCCGAACGCGTCGATAGAGCAACTGCCCACCTACATAACAGCTTGACATTAGATCGACGCATTCCAATATCGCTTTAGTGACTAACCAATCCCCCTTTGTATCTTGGAAGATGTCGGCATGCCCAACGGTTTGGACTAGCCATTGCATGAGTGCCACAATGAGCGTTAGGTTAAGACCAAGGATGACTTACGGTATTGCGTAGTATTCGCGTTGGTAAGAACAGGATTTGCAGGGTCTGGTTCGTAAGTGCCCCACATATCCCGAGACCGTGCATAGGTCACCATATGGTTCAAACCAGTGCCTCCTGATGATTGAGTCGTGCAGATCAGAGCGTACTGTGCAACTAGAATCACGGGAACGTACCCTCAGCGATCATCAGGTAATAGAAACCATCTCGGTGATAGAGATGCGGCGCTTCAGGCGCCTGAGAATTGCCTCGATTTATGTACACGCTTCAGAGGTTTACTCACTTACTATTCCGCCAGTGCCCGGCCATAAATCGTAAATCGTGCCCGTGATGTTACCAGTGTTCAGGTTAATGTTGAACCCTATTCGCGAGCAGCAATGGATTAGATACGAGTTTGTGGGTGCGATGCGATCCTACCTTGTATCATTTCTAGTATATGCCACGCATGCGAGCCCACGATGTAGGAATCCCCTTCCTCATCCCAATATGGGGATGTGTCATAGCCTTCGAAAGTAAAATGGACGGGATCAGACCAAGCATCAGAGGCGTACGGGTTTGTCGTCTTGAGGATGATCTAAAATGATGTCGACGGGTAGACACTACAGTAGAGAAGGAAGGAGAAGTGCGCACTCACATTATCCCATCGAGATGAGTCATTTTGGGCGCGATCGTCGTATACGAGAGTTGTAACGACCCAGAAGGTCCCGTTATGAAACCTTTTGATTCGTAATGCGTTGAGTGCTATTGTCAAGCAAGCTCGAGATTCTGACCGTATGGATGGTGCCCAAATACCACTCGTAGAGCCGTTTGTATGCGCCAAGCCCGGGAGTTGGCTGGGCCTGGTAATGACATTTCCTGAAAACAAAAATGGTGGGTGATGAGCCGAATCGCTGCTCATGGACCTTTTATACGCATACCAATCTGCCTGAAGCTCTGCAAATCTTTGCTAGCAAAGACAGGAACACCAGGCGCTACATTGAAAGAACTTGTTGCGCAAAAGAAGGTGTTATCCCACTCCTTCACAAGTGTACAGGAGGGATCGGGGTGGAAACCGGGTAATACAGGGTTACGATAGGCCATGCTCGTCATTGAATAGGCCGTCACAGTGACCACAGCCATCCGCTGCAGCCAGAGGGTCCATGACAATGAGCTAACGTGCGAAAACATCGCTCGAGCCACTGGGCGCTGTTATGTTGGATAGCATGGGCTTCAACTTCTTAAGTACGTTTTTGTTCGTGTCGCGCGGTAGGCATATGACCAGCTCAGCGGGCCGTCGCTCATGAAGCGATAGGCTCTCGGCCCAGCTATGACATGGTCAAGTAACCAGAGAAGGGTTAGAGTACGAGGAAGATATATGTAGCACAGAGGCACGTAAGTTTACCTCTGACAAGAACAGATGCCCGAACATGGAAAAGACTGCGCTGTGTCTGGTTCGAGAATGCCCGACGCGATCTTTCACACAGTCGGCATGATTGATCAGCTGCGATCGCAGTTAGGAGATGTCGGCTGCGCTGACGAACAGCTGTTGGAAACATTGTGCTCGTAAGCAAGCGAATGGGAAGCTGTGGACTGCTGTGGAGAGCAGGCAGTGCCAAACAACTGGAACAACAGCTGAGAAAAGCCAGTCGATGCTTGGTCGAGCCCATCACACTCCGCCGGGTTGTGTGATCACGTGGCTGTCGTCGCTGCAGCGCCTTTGAAGAAAGCTGCTGACTAGCAAACAATCCTCCGTGACTGCGACTACCATGTCGACGTCCTCGACGTCCTCGACGTCCACTTCTTTCCACCTCCCACCAATTGCCACCTACGCACAGTCACATCCCATTGATCTCACCATGGACGAGGATCAAAGCGACTACGACCAAGACAGACTCGCAAAACGTCGGCGCGTCGAACATCCCTCCCCCTCTCACTCTTGGTCGCATAGTCCATCGTTTCCTCCACCTACTCCTCCTCACCACGCTTTCAATCAGGCACCGATACTCGAATTTAGGCCCATGCACCAGACTTCGACTGAACCATCATCTTTCGTCCTAACCGACGGACGCCTAGCACTCCCTTCAGCGCCCTCCTTTTCTCACAATGTTGTGCATGGTAATTATACACCTCCGACGCCCTATTACGCACCCCCTACGCCCCCAAATTCTTTACCAGTGGCATCCTCTTCCTCGCCTAGCCGTCATTATATGCAGAACGGTTCTAGAGAAGATGTAATTGACCTCACGGGTTCGCCCTCGCCCCCGCCACGATCACTTCGACCTCCTGAATCACACACATCCAGCTCCCAGTCTCAGCCTGCCTTTTCACCGGATCTTCCACCCAAAACCCCCATTTGTATTGGCCTGTTGAGGGTTAACGCTCTTGTCCTGTATCCTGTCGATTATCTTAAGTCATCACAACCAAAATATCCCGGAGCGGAAGATGAATGGGCACCCGTTCGCTTGCAGTACGAACGTAACGTTAACAAGCCGGGCAGTGAGGATACAATCAATATCAAGGTACCGCCCACTCGGACGCTTACTGGTGAGTCTCGGCCTGGGGATATATTCGGTGTTGTGGAACAGAAGGTTGCATCTTCACTGGGTCCAATGCTTGGGAAGGGTCTGATTAGACTTGACGCGAAAGTGAGGAGAGGGCAACCCAATGTGAGTGTCATGTTCATATGGTTCGTTCAGATCTCACTATACATTTTTCTCAATAATAATCAAATAGCTTCCTATCCTACCTCTTCACCTTCTCGTATACACCCCCAAAGGGAATATTCCAGTCGTTGGAAATTATCTTCACCAGTCGACTCTGTATCTGGATCACCCTCAATCCATCACAGATGGACAGGAGCGAGTTGGCAATTATATCTATTATAATCCGCACACTCTTTCGACGGGCGGATCCAATCGGTTTGTGCCCGGTCGCTTGGGATACAGTGGACCTGGAGGCAGCAACTACCGTCGATGGTCGACACCTGCCATCGTAGGCAAAAGTATCGAGGTACACAGGAGTCAAGTCGACGAGCTGTTTAAGAATATGAAGGGCGGTGACGAACTTGATGAGACAGATCCTCGTGCGTGGACACATAAATTTGTACTGAAGTCTGGTAATCTGATGAGATGGCCACTTCTTGTGATTTTGTGAATATATAGCACCTGAGATCGGCACGAAGCTGTATTCACATCAGAAGAGGGCACTGACTTTTCTCCTTGAGAGAGAACAGGAGATCACTGGTTCGGGAGGTAAATCGTCGCTCTGGCAGCCTCGACAGAATCCTTTGACAGGTCAAGACTCGTGGCATCATCTCGTCACGCAGAAGGAAGTTTTCGAGGAGCCTATTGAGTGTAGAGGTGCCATACTAGCGGATGATGTATGCATACTCGAGCATAAGCATCTTTGAGTTGTCTTCCTCTCCCACTGACTTGATCTTTTTCAGATGGGCCTTGGGAAGACCATTACATGTGTTTCCCTCATCGCATCGACTATGAAATCTGCACAAGTCTTTGCAGCTGAAAGTCTTCCCCAACTCACTCCTCCTCCCCCAGAACGCAACTCCGAGGCGGAACTCACTGCCTCTCACTTTGTAGGGAGCGTCTGGGGCATGCCAGACGTACCCGTAGCACCGTCCACACCATTGCTCTCCGCGAAAGCCAGAGCAAAACAAGTCAGGTTGCAGGACAGCATGGAAGCGCAATACAGTCGGGCCTGTCGCATCAAGATCAAGAGCAGAGCAACCCTCATCATCTGCCCTTTGTCCACTGTTGCGAACTGGGAAGATCAGATTCGCGAGCATTGGAAAGGCGGTGTCAGTCTCTTCGGCGGGGCGGGATCTTGTCCTACTCCTTTGTCCCAGCTTTCCAGGACTTCTTCTCTCGTCCCGAGTACTTCTACTCCAAACACTCCGGAGGATTGCCTTCCCGACAGTAAGAAGATCGCATCGGCGTCAGCATCCACAACGATAGCGAAGTCCAATGCGCTACGGGTGTACGTCTACCATGGAAATGCGCGTCGCCCGGATCCAACATTCCTAGCTGATTGTGATGTCGTGATCACAACTTACGCGACATTGGCTTCGGAGTTCTCAAAGCAGAGCAAGAGCCTTGCGTCGGCCGAAGAAGAGGAAGACGAGAGCAGCGACTCTACCGGCGACGGCGATGTGATGACCATCAGACTCGGAAAGCCCAAGAAGCCCACGAAACGCAAGAAGCCCGGCACACCCGCATCGATGGGCGCCACAAGTGCTTTGCAGAGCGTGTACTGGTTTAGAGTTGTGCTGGACGAAGCCCAGTCAGTCATTCAATTTTCACTCACGTGGGACTCCTTCGTCTAACACTTTCCAGCTCTATCAAGGAGATCAGCACCGTGGGATGCCGAGCCTGCTGTGACTTGATGGCAGACCGTCGATTGTGTCTTACGGGCACCCCAGTGCAGAACAAACTGGATGATATCTACGCCCTCATCAAGTTCCTGCGGCTAGAGCCATTCAATGACAAGACTGTGTGGACCGAATATATAGGTGCTCCTGTCAAGTATGGCCAACCGTTAGGAGTCGCCCGGTTACAGAGCATCATGAAGTGCATCACACTGCGCCGAACGAAAGAGAGTAAAGCCCAAGATGGCCAGCGTATCCTATCTCTACCGCCTCGACGAGACGAGCTCCGCTATCTCAAATTTGACGCGCAGGAGCAAGCCATCTATGACCAATTCTTCAACGAGTCCAAAGCAGAGTTTAACGAGATGTCCGACAAGAACGAGGTCATGAAGAACTATGTTGGGATTTTGCAGAAGATTCTGCGGTTGAGGCAGATTTGTGATCATTTTGAGCTGGTGAAGGGTAAGGGTCTCCTGGGCGACGTGCAGACGCAAGATGCGATGTCTTATGAAGAAGCTGCCGCCGCTATAGCTACGGACGGTATCACCCCCGCTAGAGCTGCGATCGTCTTCGCGCTACTGAGAGAGGCTGCTACTACTCAGTGCGTCGAGTGCGGGATCGAGCTCTGCACAGGGTCTGAAGGTTCTGAGTTCTCTGGTACGGACGAGAGCTCTATCGCTCCGAAACGAGGAAGAAAGCCAAAAAATACTCCGTCTCATCCCCCATCTCGAGCTCATAGCCCCTCTCGCCCGACCCATCTTCTCGTCTTGACGCGCTGCCAGCATCTGTTCTGTGGCTGTTGCTACAAGAAGAAAGTACATCCGGATTGGCCGAAGTGTCCGCCCGACCTATCTCGACCGTGCTCAGTGTGCCAGTGCGGCCTCCTGCCCAGTGATGCCACTGAAGTCAATCCAAACGCAGTCTCCGGGGAATCGTCATCGTCGGCAAAAAGAAAATCGTGCAAGAAAGAGAAGCGGGTCAAGGGTATCTCGATGGAGGATTTCCATCCCTCGACCAAGGTCAAGGCGTTACTCGGGGATCTAGTCCAGTTCTCGAGGTTGAATCCCCATTCGGTCAATTACGACCCTGGTGCTGTTGAAGTGCAGATGGTCGATGGCGAGGGCAACATTGTGGATGATGCACCCACGAAATCTATTGTTTTGTGCGTCTCTTTTTTATCGAACGAAGAAGTTTTCTCATTGCCTCGCGCAGCTCCCAGTGGACTACAATGCTTGATAAGCAAGTACATCTTCCTCCCAGTGTTTTTGTTGCTGACCAAATGTCCCTAGGATCGAGGATGCCTTAGAAGCTGCTGGAATCCGATATGATCGTTTAGACGGAACAATGAAACGTGATGAACGATCGCGTGCTATGGATGCCCTGAAGAACGATCCTGGGTGCGAAGTATTACTGGTCAGTCTGAAAGCAGGCGGGGTCGGTCTCAATTTGACAGCAGCCCAACGTGCATACCTTATGGATCCTTACTGGTGAGCCACTTGAAAATCGTTCATCTAACTAAGTTAATGGTTTTTCAGGAACCCCGCGGTTGAGAACCAAGCCGTGGATCGCATAGTTCGTCTGAATCACTTCTATCTGGCACAGAAAGTTTGTTTGAACGCGACTCTTATATAGCACCGCCTAGGACAGACAAAACCAGTCACGACGATCAAACTCATCATTGAGAACACCATTGAGGCCCGTCTTCTAGAGGTGCAGAAGAAGAAGACCGAGCTCGCGAATATGACCCTCCAGAACTTTAGCAAGGCAGAGATGCTACAGCGTCGGTTGGAGGAGCTCAATCAGCTCTTTGGGTAGTTTCTTCTCATCATCCGCTTATCTATCTTATTTCTCATGTCTTGGACTGTTGTATGAAGTACCATTATTATGTCCCGTCCTTGATCGCACTCCGTTTTGTCTTGCTATCGTGCACCTTTTAGCTTATTTCTTTTCTTGGAGCCGCCTGCTCGAGCGGTTAGATATTCGATATGCAGAGCATAGTACATGTAATGAATATATAGTGCCCCTGTATATAGATACATGTTTGCGCGCTAGAAAGCAAAATGTGCACCTTGCTTGCGATTCCCAGTTGCGTATATCAACGTTTGGGCGACGAAGAGACCGACAGTGACACCAACAGCTACCCGAACCATTCGAATGCCAAGTGTCAGGCTGCTGGAATATTGTTGGTCGGCGTTGGAAGCTTGTGTCAGGCCACCTGCTTGTGATAGTGCGGACTGGATTTTGGTGAGAAACATTGTAGCTTGTTGGGGCTATGTGGGACTTACAGGAACGAGAAACATGACTCCTGTCACCATGGAGGTGAAAGCTGTGCCACCAAAGACCCGAGAATAGACATTTCCGAGCAAACTGATCACGAAGGCTCCGACAGCTGAACCGACGTCACTGGCGTTTGAGATGAACCGCGCTGCCAATTTGTTTGCTGCGTATGTGATGCAAGAAAAGAGGACCATAACGGGAAATGACCAGCTGCGGACAGACTGCAGGTTTGAGAGAGACGAGCATGTTGAATATATCGGCACCAAAAAAAACACCATCCACCATGGGAATGATTGGTGATACCACGGTAAGGATGGATCATCGTGGAAGCAAGCTTCATATCGTACGATCAGCCTTTTTGGCGACCAAGATAGGCAAATCAAGACACTCACCTTTAGTGGCACGATGGGTTTTTGTCGCTGCATCCACAAAAGCAAACGTGCCAGAAAGCTGGACCGAAGTTTCGTTACCGGTATTGAAGAACGTTCCATGAATGTAATCGCCAGCGCTGGCCAAAGCACCAGCGCCACGGAAAGCCTTCGGATTGAACGTCGTGTAAAAATCTTCACTGATACTCAAGGTAAAACTCTATTGTATGATGGTAGTAAGAAAAACGGAACAGAAGGAAAACCTGCAATTGGTGCCTACCAAAAGGAGTGTGTAGATGATCGCATATATCAGGCGCACTGAACCGCAAAAATAGTTTCCTGATGTCAGCTCGAGGGAACTAACAACTGTAAGTTGCGTCAGGACCTCATCCGTATCGATCAAAAAGTGATAGGCACTCACGAACACTGAAGCCGGGTAATAAAAGGACTACACCGGCCGATGATATGGCACTGTAGCAAAACATATGCCCAGGGATGCCAGCCAGAACTTTGGCGACGAACGAAATGAAAAAGGAGATAGATATTCTGGGAAAAAATCAGCAAGCACGCTTTGGGCTAAGAGAGGTCCGTGCACGCACTCATAGACATGTGCATACAGAGCGCTCTTGACAGCGGTTCGCAAGCCCAGAAATTGTAGAATGGCAGCACAGGTGCCGCTGATCCACATATCTACGAAACTGCCACCGAACGCCAAAGGGCAGATCACAGAGGCACACATAAACGCCAGCATGCAGCGGAAAAATACCGGGTACAAGGGTTTCGTGTGCAACAGGTTGTCGATCGCCTTCGTCCCGGTTTTGACCCTGACCTGATTGTGAAGCACGTCCTTGTAGATGTCGTGAACGCGATGCAAGTAAGTGAGCGCAAGACGTCCGCTGGACCTGACAGTGTGCAATCGCGTCGTCTTGGTCTCCCGATTGTGGAACACGACGATAATGACACCCGGCAGATAGACAAACTCAGCGTCCACCTCCAAAATGACAGAGGCAGCGAGAAGCTGTGACTCTATTCGGTAGGAAGGCGAGCCGAATGTGAGCAGAGCCTGCGTCAATTTCAGAAGGAAGTCTCGCCGATCTACACGATCTGGGCTAGCGGTCAGCATCGAACGGATAGCAATCATTTTGCACCAATTTTACCTTCAAATTGTTGCGTGGCCGCTGTGCGATTAAGGTCCTCCTTGAACGGGTCAACTTCAGCCAGCGCCGCTAGGAATGAGGCCTCGTCCTGGCTCGAAGAGCGTGCAGGCATCTCAAAGTCCCCGGCTTTGTCTGCGAAAGGTGAATCGCTGCAGTCGAGACGGGAATTGCGTCGCCCAGTTCGGTCCGCATCTCCCAAGCCATCGAGGGTAGACTTAGACCCAGACTCCGAGAGGTCTCTGAGTTTTATACTGTCAGGGTGTGATAGTTCCCTAGGAGTGTCTGATGCAAGAGTTTCATCACTGGTTTTGGGGGATGGTGGATTGGCATAGGGCAATGAAAAGTAGTCTTGAGGCGGATTTTCGACGGGCTCGTGCCACGCGCTACCTGTGGAAGGCTCGGGAGGTGAGACGGATGGAGACTGGGAAATGCGGGAAAGGGAGGGGGATGTAGAACGCTTCGGCATCGAGGAACTTGTGATGAAGATAGAAGGCCTGTTTTCGGTGCTGGCCACCCAACAAAGGGTGGGGCTGATATTAATAGCTAAGGTCTTGATGCAGACTATTGCGATCTGGCCGTCTAGCCGTACAGTGACCAATCGAGAACTAACATGGACCTTTCAGTCACTTGAACCCCTCAAAATAGACAACGACGTACCGTGAAGAATGGAAACTACCTCGATCAGCCTTTCCATGAAAATCGGATGGGTTTACAATGAATAAATCCGCATGCATATCGCTCAGCAATTCCTATAAGATACAGCATAGAGTGTACAACAAACAGCTAAAGACACAGCAGAACATCGTGACATAACTACCAAATCTGAGGCGCAGGAGGGAGATAATCATTAGGCAACAAAAATGCGTCAATACCGTTCTGTGAGAAAGAATTGCCACCCAGGCTTTGATCAGATAGCCAGACAGGCAATTGCTCGTTCGAGGTCGCTTCGAAGCCACGCCAGATATAGTCGGCATTTGCCACGTATTGATTCGAGGGCATGTAATTCGTCGTTTGGGCCACATGGCTCACAGCATCCTTTCCGCCATTGGGGTCGTAGGTGGGAGAAATGGGGGGTTGATTGACGACCTGGTTCACCGCCATGCCAGATGGACGGTCGACGGGAATTTGACCATGGTAGGTCTCTCGGCTAACTTTCGGCGACCGTGAAGAACCCTGCTTGCGCTTCTTGGACCTTTTCAGCATTAATTGTAGCGTCAGCGCGTAGCGCTTTCCGGGAACTGCGCGCAATGATTAGACGAGGAAGGTGTGTGATAAGATGTGTCATGTTGAGGGCTCACTTTCGGACATAAGTGAAGCTAACATCTCCACTTGAGATCTGATCTCTTGCATATCGCAGTCATGGGGGCTGAGAAATAACGTTAGACTCATAATAGCAGATTGGAACGTCATCACAACTTACAACAGTCGAGCCAAACGAAGCAAAAAGGAGGCAGCGAACGTAGCGGTCGCATGGGTATAGTGGACGGCATATTTCATGCCTTCTCGGTAGGCGGGTGAGTTCACGGTGATATCCAAGCCTTGCCGTGCAATATGAATCGATCGAGTGGCCAGGTCCCGCTGGGACTGTGGCATCTTCTGTACATCTTCTGGGCCATTGAGACCGCGTAGAGCAGAAGCGTTATGGTACAACTCAGCATGAAGATGCTGTATTTGCAAGCTTTGCCTGTAAAATGCTAATGCGGGACATTGGTTGTAGGCACAATGCGATGAGAAAATGACATACCCGCATCCTCGTACTTCTGAGAGAAGGCCTGATCCCACGTTTGATACCAGTGTACAAACTCGGCATCGGCACTGCGGAGAACTTCAAAAGTACGCTCGTCCACCGAACCATAGGCAAATGGTGCTAGCTGATTATGGACTCGTTCTCGGATGGCCATTAGCTCTACCGTGGAAACGAGACGCATATCATCTTCGATTGCCAAGGGGTGCCGAAGGAGCATACGACATTGCCATATGCTCTCATCGTCCTTCAAGATAGCAGGACGACCAGTCCCATACGACATTCTAGAAATCTATTAATAAACAGAGCGGCATGACGGCGTAGTGAGCTCACTGATGTTCAAATAGATAAAGGCAGAACCACGTCCTAGCAGCAACGACTAGATCTCTATCTTCAGACCCATCGGTGGCCTTATTAGAATTCATTCGCCTGAGAAGCCTGGGCCACGCTTTATGCATAGCTGATTATAGGCAGAGGTTTGAGTCGGAATGCATTCCGTCACAATATAAATACTTACAAAGTTCAAAAGCCATGCGGACGGCATGTCCTCCAGTCAACCAACCATTGTCGGACCAGCCGGAGACGAGAACTAACGTGAAGGTAAGCCCTCTTATCGACGAGATATCGTCGAAACAAGACACATACTCATAGCTTGGACAGCCTCGTGGCGCATAACCGGGGCAAACAAAGTGGCACATGATATCGCTTGGACTTCTTGAAGGCATTTATTATACACGTCACTAGGCTTCCCTAGAATGAAAAGATGTGTCAGCATTAGGCGCGCATGTCTCGGTTTCAACCTACCTCCTCCGTCGCGCACATGAGCGGCCACCATGCATATGCTATCAACGGCAAATGGAGAGCGCTCGTGCAGAGAGTCATAGGTATCGGTGGCCAGATCGAATATGGGTAAGAAAGTCGAACATCCATGGTAGAAACTGCGCAACATGTCAGCCAGTGACAAGCTGTGCCCCACACACATACCGACATTTTGAAGAGTTCGCGCGCCTCCGATTCTGAAATAATTCCCTTTGAGACCACTGCGAAACACTTCGTCAGCGGCTAAAAATAGAGACGCAAAAAGCCACTACCGTCTGGGAAGGTCAGGGCACGGGGTACTTTGTGATGCGTCTTCCTCCGCTTCGTGGGTCTTGGATGTTTGGGATCGGGAGATGGCGTCCTTTGTCGACTCTGCGGTTCGCTGCTCTCTCCGCTTTCCTTGAAAATGCATGTATCATGAGTGGGACAACTTTCTCACCTAAACTGATGGCCCACCTTAGCAGCTCGTTGGATTGCGACGTCCGCCAGGCCGCGTAATACCTCCCACGGTGCTACCAAACCTGATGCTGGAAGCTCTCCATCATCGTCTTCCACCTCAGAAGAATCGGCGCTGGTGACATTGGACATCGGCATAGCGCGCTTTGAGCCAGCAGTACTTCCAGGAACATTCAGGTGTTTGGACGCGCGAGTGTGCTGTGCATTGTCCCCATACTGATGTCGCATAGATGAAACATTAGAATGTTGTGGGTGTTGCGGTGGACCCATTTGCTGCTCCATACTAGAGATGGGCGGCAGCATGGGTGGATGGAAATTCGGGGGTATGTTGTAGGTTTGCCCCATAGACTGGTACTGCCCGGTTTGGTGTGTGATTTGAGAGTTGTGCATATCTGTAGAGGGTCTTGTTGCCGTTGGTGGAGGACTTTGATACGCCTGTTGCCCAACATTCGGATTCGATATGGGTCGGGAGGATGACGCCATGGGGTTAGCGCCGGGACCACCGTGCTGCGGAGGAATCATGGAGTGTGAAGTCTCCAGTATAAGAGGTGCGCGTACAGTAGATGGCGTCGACAGCGCCGGTGACTCCGCCTGCATGGTTGGAGATGTCTGCATCCCGAACACTGACGGAGATCGTGCCATGTTCGAAGATCCGGCGCGCAAGTGACCGACGATCTCACTCAACGTGTTCTGGATCGAGGTCTGAGATTGTCGGATATCAGCAACGTGCGCCTCAAGACTCCGAATACGCCTAAAAGGAAGGGAGTGAGAGTCAGGACATGACACGAAAAAAAACCTGAGCGACGTACTCTAGCCCCGCCTCGCCAGTCAACGATGCTTCCCTTGAGGGTTTTTCGAAGAGGCATTCGAGACCGGCATGCCTACAACGTCTACAGGGTGGATTCTCAGCACCTTCGCACCTCATCTTCTGTTTTCTGCAAGCGTTCTACAGGGTCCGTAGAGCGATGAGTCAACCGAGTACGAAAATTGGAGACAATTGATGAAACTCACACATGCACCTAGAAGAACGAGAGAGAGAGAATGAGGCCTGCTTTTGAATTCAGAAAGATTGGGACGTACGAGGAACCCGATTCAAGGTCTTGGTGGCAGGCTTGAGATCTGGTTTGCTTCCGGGACCACCTTTCGGATCCCGATCCACATCCTCCTGCTTCTTTACGATGTGAGGGGGGCCAGCGCTGCCGTTGGACATGTCCATGATATGGAGAGGATGGTGGATATGTGTAGAGCGCAAGCTGGGCCGAAGAGTGTGGAAAACCCCCTTGGCCGGCCAGCGTGGAGGAGAAGGAAAGGGCAAGAGAGTCAGACAAGATTATTCCGTTAACAGATCAAGCTTTCGAAGATAAACACTCCCTTACAGCGTACAAACAGTCACACCTAGTCACGTACGGTCACGCATGGCCGCAATCAATTACCCCGCACTGCTCTCGTCCGTTCCGGGGTCTCGCGCGCTACAATTAGCGGTAACAATTATACAAGGATAGACTACATGTGGGTATAACAAAATTTATCCGAAGGGGAGAAAACTGCGTTAGCTGAACACAGGAAAGAAAGAAAAAATGTGCGATGTCATCAAGCTCCAGATGGGCCCTCTCCCACCTCCGACACCCTCTTCACCAAGTAGAGTAGCGACAGTGCGCCGTCAATCACAGACGGATCCGTGTCTCGCACACGCTCGATCAATGCAGCAGGAGACGACTCCCTCGACCCAGATGTGGCAGAGCCAGAGGGGGCAGTGTCCGAAGCCACATATTCGATCCCGATGTCCCGTAGTTGCTGAATCAGGGCTTTATTCGTCCCTGGAAGGTCGTTACTCCTCTTCAACCTAGCCAATTTCTGCCGCGCGTTGCTGAACCAGTTATTCACCCTCTCTGGCCGTCTATTGGGAAGGTCAGCCTAGAGCGTGAGAATGGCGCAGACGCATACGCACTCATCAACCCGGTGGGCATACGCACGAATCTGCTCCTGGGTAGGAAGTGGGTCTTTGATGAACCCCAATGTATAGATGTAGAGCTGGTAAGGAGTGGCACGTCGGCCTTGATCAGCACGCCTCGCAGCAGACGTCTTGCGCTGTTTGTGCCTCGGCGAAGGACTGGTCCTGCGACGAAGCTTGTGGCTTTTGGCAGCCTGACGCTGCTTCATCGCACTCTGCACTGCCATATTTCTAAAGAACGGAAAACAAGACAGGGAGGGCCGGTCGATGGTCGATAATCAGATATTAGGGGAGGCGCAAGAGCCTTTTAAATGCAAGAGAGGGCTCCCACAGCCATGGAAGGAGCTTTGTCTATGAATCAAAGCTTCACAGAGGTGTAAACAAGCTGTGGCCTTGGGGGTTAATTTCCGGCGCGCCACGGTGGTCCAGAGGTGGCGAACTGTAGCTTATCGTCACGGGGTACGCCATGCGAGCCTAGTAATGACATAGGCGGGAGGGAAACTTGAGTAGTTACCTGGCCGAGCTACGTTTCGTGAAATGCGAACATCTGTCGGGACGAACTCAACCAGAGGGGCCGACGTTCAATGTACGAAAAACGAGAGGTTTGCCTTCCGTGAGGTTGATATGTATGGATCTATGAGTAGGAACGAGGCCAGCATTTTGTGATTCGGCGATCGCACTAAAGGTCAACGAGCTCAATTGAAAATGTAGACTGGATTACGTCGCCGTTGCTCATCCCGTCGGGACCAAAAGGGGAAGGCACCGTTTGTCATCTCCGGTAGCTATCCGCGTCTATAAGTATCCCGGCCGACATCATCCTGCTCGACAACGCACACGACTATTCTCATCTCCTCCCCATTCCTCGACAAAGTCTCCTGCGCTCCAAATACAGCGTACGTTCATGCTCCCATCACCCAAAGTGACCATGCCTCATTGGCCAACTATCGTCTAGTCACCATGTTGATGTCCTTGCTCTCGCGGCTCCTCACGTATGCGTATCTCGTTATCTCTGTCTGTCCCAACATAACAATCCCTACAGCGGGTGGTTTGCATTTTTGCTGCCCTCATACTCCACATTCAAGGCCCTCAAGCACCGCCCGATCTCTGAGCCCGAGTTGGAACGCTGGACCACCTACTGGGCCGTGGTGGGTGCCTTCGTGGCGTTCGAGTACGGCGCGGAGTGGCTCCTGAGCTGGCATGTCTCACCGTGTTTTGTTGACACACTTTGCTGACACGTAGCAGGTTCCCATTCTACTGGGAGATCAAAACTGCCTTCCTGCTGTACCTTTCCCTCCCGCAGCTGCAGGTCCGCAGTCTCCCCCTTATCCACCTCTCCCCGCCACTGACCTCCAGCATCTGCAGGGCTCCAGTTTCATCTTCAAAAACTACCTCGAGCCGTTCTACGGCAGCCACGAGGCGGATATTGATGCCGGCATTGCCTCAGCCCAGACCGAGACCCTCGCCTTCGCGCAGACGCGCCTTGCGAGCCTCTGGGAGATTGTCTGGAGCATCATTAGCAAGACCCCCGTTTCTGCCAAGGGCACCGGACCTGAGGAGAACGGTCACCCCGCGGGACAGCAGAGCCCCTTACAGGCCGTTCAGGGGCTCTGGAATGCCTTCGGTCCCGCTGTCTTGGGTTCGGTGAAGCCGGCAAACGGCCAACTCGCCACTCCCGCTGCATCATCGACCTCTGTCGAGCCGTCTATCAACGGTTACAACGTCGATTCGCGCGCCCCACACACTCCCGAGCCCGAACCCCAGGCACTTTGAAATGCTTGTGTTTGGTTCGATGCGTGAGGGAGGGAGGGGTTAACAGGGTAGAAATGTTGAGGCGTTGATTTTCTATCATCTAAAAGAAACACTTTCTTCCTTCCTCGTTGCTCTCGAATTTTTGTTTATTGTCTCATGCCTAGTTCTCTTTGGTGCATAGCTCGCAGACGATCGTTAGAAGTAGAAGAAATCTCAGTGCTGTACATCATACACGACACGACTGTCCGAATGCATCGTCTGCTTCACGATCCTACGCGATTCCGCTTGAACGCCGCCTCGACGTCCGCGGCAGAATACTCCAACGTGACCCCGCTGTTCGCGTAGCACTGAGATATCCGCTTCACGAAGAGCTCCGTGATCCTCAACAGCTCCTCTTCGCAGGCCTTCCACACGCCCACCATCACCGTCCCCGGCGCGATACCGCCGCCTTCGTCCGTCGTGGCTTTTTCAGACGCCTCGGTGAAATGTTTCTCCACGCGTTTGAAGAGCGCGTCGACGTTTTTGCGAACGTCTTTGGAGTTGTACTCCTTGACAATCTTCTTCAGCGCGGAGCGGTTGTAGCTGCTATTGTTCGCAACCTCTGACGGCGCTGTGGTCTTGAGAAGGCGCTCTACGCCTTCAAAGTAGTCCTGCGGTATATCTGAGCGAATGAAATCGCACGGATATGCACGACGATCGACGTACGATGATCTTGGCAAAAGGTCGCCGGAGGACGATCTTGACATAAGCGTTCAAATTCTCGTCGTACAGCGCCTCGGCGCGCTTAGAAAACGCCACGACGGAGCCGATCTCCTGCTGCCGAATCTCGGCCACAAAGTGGTGCATGTTCTCTGCCCTGGCGACTTGAGAACGAGCGCTTGGACCGGGCAAAACGAAATGAAAGGGGGCCCACCAATCAGGATGACGTGATAGTTCAGCTGCCCCTTATCTTCGCCCTCGCCGTCCATCTTGGCCATCTGCTTGAGCGAATCAAACATCGTCTGCACGATCTTCTCGTACGCGACATCGACGTTCTGCCGGATCTCGAGCGTGTCGGCGTTGATCAGCTGGCTCTCGACGCGGCTGACGTAGACGGGGAAATACTTGATGAAGTGGACGACGCCGTTTCGCTTCTTGCTCGTCAGCTTTGTTTGCTCCACCGCTTTGATTTGCGTGTTCTAGCCATAGTGACGTATCCTTCAGCCACGGTCACCAACAGGAGGAAGGAAACTGGCACGCACGATATGGCGATCGAATAGAGCCTTTAGCCGCGTGCGCTGCTTCTCCAGAAAAGTTAGTACAAAAGCATTGCCCCTCTCTTCCGCATCGGCCTGGAATCGCTCGAGATAGGCCAGAATGCCAATGATCTGTCTGACATGCAAGAAAGAAAATAAGCTGAATAGATGAACAAGCCTTCACCGCACTCACAAACTATCCTTCGCAAGGGCGGCATCTATCCAAGTTTTGAGCTCCATTGGCAAGAAGCCGAATATGAAATCTAGTGCCCCGCGAACGAGCTTTGCGGTTTGTTGACTCAGACCAGACGACCGCGCCGCCTGCCTTCGGAAATAGTTCTCCAGACCCATGTAGTCAGCAAACGTGAGAGCGGCATCGTTAATTTGGAGGAAATCGGCGATGAAATCCTGCTCGCGGTAGACCTGCGGTGCGACCTGTTCGAGAATGTGACCAAACGCCTACGGAGAACAAAGAAAATCAACAACATCCTAGCATGGTGAACGAGGATTCCCTTACTTCTGATGCCGGCATTTCTCCTTCAGTATGTTTCTCCCTGTCCTTACGACCGTCGAGCGGAGATCGTACAATTGTCCCAGCACGGCGGAGGCCGCCAGCGGCACGTGAAGTATTGGTGGCCGGTGAAATTGCAAAGGCTGATCAAAGACAACTGTGAGAGGGTTTGCTCCAGGATGAGGTGGCACCCTACTCTGTTCACCATCATCCTCGACAACCTTCTTCACCTGCCCCCCATAATGCGACAGCAGGGCATTAGTTTGCTGATTATGAAGATCGCTAGCAGCTGAAAAGTACGCCTGCAGACACCGACCGCGTTGTGTTATAAGTGAAAGGAGAGAGAAAAGACAACGAGACTCACGGCACATAGTTTGCCATACACGCTTTCGTCCATTTCTTTCAGATAAAGAATCAGACCACTGTAGCGACCAAGATAGGTCTCTATGTCGTGGTGGTCCTTCAAGGACGGTCGACCACGTCCATTCGGTTTGTTCATCCCTCCCGTATCGCCCAAGAGCATTTTGGACTTTGGCGAGACAGCCATCAGCCCCACATCGTGACGACTCAGAAATAAGCACTTACCTGCGCGGTAAACATGATAGACAGAAAATCAAAAATTCGCTTGCAGAACTGGGAATTATGGGTTCGGTACTCGTCCAATCGTTCCATCGTGGCAGCCATATCTAAAAATTGTGAATAAAGAAGCATTAATGAAATGAGATTTGTTTAGACTCACCGCGGTCCCGGCCGGCCTGCAAGGCCTTGTAAAGCTCTGTCGAAGCTTCTTCGAGCCTTTGGATGCTCTGTGATTTCTCCAACGACTCTTGGGTAAGCGTGAGGAGGGCATCTCGGTCGACGTGAACCGTTTGCTGATCAAAAACATTCGTTGAGATGGAAACGCCGTGAAAAAGGGAACATCACTCCATACCAGAAGCTGCTCTAGCTCGCCAAGCAATGCACGTTGATTCTGAGTCTGTACCTGCAAACCCCTGTTCTGTGACTGAATGAAGGAGATGTCATCGTTAACAGCCTTCGATGAAATGGGTCAGCAGGATTCATGGGAATATGATGGAGAAGAGTATACGTTGAGGTGAATCTTGTATGATGACACAAGACTGTCCATGTTGTCAAGCTCTGCGATTGCTTCATCGAGGTATTTGAGCACCAGCCCGACTCGGTCATCTGACTCGATGAAGGAATGTATGTTGGCCTGGAAGGAAAGGTCATTGACATGTCTGCAAGAATGAACGATAAAGACGGAGAGTACCTTTTCCAGGGCCATGAGCTCGTCTAGCAGTCGAGCCTCGATCTGTGCGACCGCTCCTCGCGTCCTCTTCTGCCCCAGGACGTCGTCGCTCGCCCACTCGTATCCCTCGAGCATTTCCTCCACACTAGCCATGGTAGCCTGCGTGCTCTCCTCTTCACCTTCTGCGTTGATCTCAGCGTCGTCCGATATCAGCCGATCAAGCGCGCCTTGGTTGGCGGGGTCAAAGAACGAAACTCGAGCGTTATGATCTCTGCGCGGCTGTGAAGTTTCTGATGTCGTGCCGTTTCTATTCGGCGGGGATTTATAGGCCGCCGACCGAGCAGACGCAGCAGGAGACGGTGCACGCTTCGGCGTAGCAGACCCGTTAGAAGGTGCAAAAGATGTTGCCGACGAAGGGACCTCTAGGGAAGGCCGCGACGTAACGTACGTTTGATTGCTCTCTGTCGAAGACCTGAAAGAGGAGGGTATGGAAGTTACCGACGGTCGAGAAGGGACGGATAGAGACGGAAGACTGATAGAAGGCACTTGGCTGGAAGCCGCGGATGCCCGCGAAAGGGATGCTGCGTTCGACGGTCGGCGGGCTCTCGGCGGGCGCACTGTGCCCAACTGGGACGACGGTGTTGTTGGCCGGGGCTTGACTGGCGACGGTACAGATTCGGGAGAAGCAGGACGGGAGGACACAGGGGAGGGCCTTGGACGAGATCGTGACTGCAGGCGTGAAGTCCCTGGCGACCTTGCCCCTGAAGATCGTTCGTGGTCGCTGCGATCTTGCGAGGGGGTGACGGATCGCTGATTCGGTGGCGGTTTCGAGCGCGGCGCTCCGGCAGGGGGCGTGGGCGTACGTAGCTCGGATGTGTAGTCGTTTGAGGGGGCCTGCCTCGCTACTGAAGTGTGCGATCAGTCTCCCAGACGTCAATGGAGAGCAATTTTCGCACATGGGAGGCCCCCTGGATCAGGAATGTTGATGAGCTGGAGGGGCGCAGATCCATTTGTGACGGTACGAAAGAGCCTTATGAGCGCGATCAAGAACGTCGTTTGATCTCGCGGGTTCTCGGTCTGCCACCTGTAGCTTCGTGCGAGGGTGATGTTGAGGATGGTGGGCTGTTGTGAGTGTCAGCGACAGGGGGCGGAGACCGGTGACAGCGGAAGAACGGTGACATACATTGATGGCCTCGAGAGCGCGCAGCTCTTGCAGCCTCCATGTCTTCCCGACCGAGAACGTGCCGTTGGAGTTCAGCTTGGATTTATGCAGGGATCCGCTGCCGTTACTCGATTCTGCGGAGATTATGCATCACTGGCCTCGGAGATATGCGACGCGGCGTTTGACATACGAGCGAGCAGGATGTACCGCGGCTTGAGCCCCTCAGCGTCGGAGCCCGAGTCCTCCCAGACCTTGATGTGCGAGACGTAGCTCTCCTCAGCGCCCCCGCTGGCGTTCCTCCTGGAAAACACGGAGCGGATTATTCTGTCTCGGACCGATTCATGATCTGACATTGCCTATATACGAGACGAAAGACGGTGACGGAATCAAGAGCTGATGGGAACTCCCGACGGAGACGGCAACGTCGAGCACGTGTCGCTCGCTTGTTTGCGCGTGTTGTCCAAGGCCTTTGTTCCTGACCCGATCGATCTCCATGACGCCGTTGCTATTTACGATCGACGCTCGGTCATTACCAACGGACCCAAATCATCTGCTCGATCGCACTTCTGGACCGCGACCTGCCGTCGTGGGCCCCTTCGCTGAACGCATAGGACAAAAAGGATGGTATAAAACCTGTATGACATGAGGCCGGTATATTCGATGGTAAAAAGAGGAATTTATGTATAAACACGGAGACGTTTATGGATGACGAGAAAGCATAGCAAAGCAAATACAGAGCCGATTACAAGCGACCAATAAGCAAGGGACAAAATGAGCGACGGGGGATAGGAGTGGGAAAATACAGTGTCAGCATCACATAGCGTGGGTCAACAACGGGGATGAGCGGGGGGATACAGCCTTCTGAGTAGCGATACAATGTCGTGGGGCAAGGCGCACTGCCAAATGCCAAAATATACGGATAATACAAACGCGGTCTGCCGAGCGGCCAGTCAGCCTATCATACTGGCTCGAACACGATGGACCACTCGTCCCCCTGGGCGGGAACGAGGCCCGCGAATCGCGTTCTCCCACACAAAAAGTCAACCCGCCTCAGCCCTCTGCGACGCTCCTCCGTGCGGCGAGGTTCCTCCAACGCGTCACAGCGGGTCACGAACGCGGCATAGACAGCGGAGTACATGGCGGGATCCGCCTTGAGCTCGTCGTACTCCAGGCCCTTGACGAGCGTCCGGAGGTGGACGTATATCCCGATCATGACGTCTAGGACCGTCACCGCCTCCACCTCCGCAATTTCGGGCTTGATCGACAGCTTCCAGGGGAAACGGGTGCCCTGGAGGGTCATCTCTGCCACAGGAGGGTATGTGGCGCAGGAGCTCAGGACTTCGGCGTCTATCCCCTCGCTGGACACGCGCCTCGACGCATCAAAGGATATATGCAAGGGCGACAGGTAGCGGTGGAGAGAGGCGCGGGTCTCCTCAGGGGGGACGACCGGCGGTTGTGGTGCAAGCTCTGTGTAGAGATCGGGGGAGGCGGCAATGGACGGGTATGATTCTGGGTTGGGCTTTGGAGCAAACGTGTAGATGTCCAAGGCAGACGGGGGAGTGGATGGCCCCGAGGAGGAAAGAGTCGAGGACGTGGACTCCGGAGAAGAGCTGCCCTTGAAACGCACGCGACGAGGGCTCGACATCACGGAAGGCGAGTGTCAGCGGTGGGGATGATGCAATAAGGTTAGAAGTGGGTGGTGAAACTGGGTGGGAGGAATTGGGACGCAAGAATAGAGAGGGGGGGGTTTAAATGAACGTGGGGATGGGCACCGCGGTGCAGCTGAAAGCCCTAGCCAGGACGATGAAGCAGCCATTGACAAGTAGCGGCGCCGTCTGCACGGTGAACTGTATACAAAACTCGATCAGCCGGTGCGCAGATTATCCACTCACTGCTTGTAGTCTGCACAACTAGCCGTGACTCGGACCTGTAGAATTGGGGGAGCTCGGCGGTGTCCTTGGTTTTACATGACTCGCCCGAAGAATGCTGCCTTTTCGGTCCCAGGCACGTCCGGCCCGTGCCCCAGAATGACCACATATGGTGTACTGGTCGGGGAGCTGGACGGCAAGGACAGCAGAGAAAGGGGATCCGGAAGGGCGCGCGTTGATGAACGTGCATCCTACTAGCCGTCTCTCGAACAAGCAATCGCAGCGCCGTCGTTGCTCACTCATACACACGGGACTGTGATAGATCGTGATAATCCACGCGACGCATATTTCAATTATGCCGGCCATCGAAAACTCAATCTTGAGCAAGCTCCATCCGTTGATAGTGATCCTTCCTCGCCCTTTGACCCCACCTGAGCCAACCCCGCTCCCCGCTCGCTCGCCTGACCTCCCCATTCCGCAATACCTGGTACGTCGTCCCCCTCCAGTCGACCTCGTTCCCCACTATCGCCAACAGCCAGATGGGGAACGCGAGCACTTCCCGCACAGCCCACGCCGCGATGAAGCCCCACCGCTTAGACGCCGGCAAGGGGTACCCAGCCAACGACGCGTATACATCCAAGTCGACCAGAATCCATAACAAGAAATGCATGGGGATAAACAGCCACGCGGGGAACCTGAAGAGGTACCGCAGGCATGCCGAGGCGACGGCACCCAGCGCGACGGACTCCGTCAGCGGTTCGACCAGAGTCGCGGCCAGCGTCATGTGCTTGCGGACGCGGATCCAGCGGACGCGCCGCCACACGTAGTCCGACAGAGACATGTTCCCGATCGCGTTCAGCGCGATGTCGCAGGAGAGGTCGTGGCGGACGTCGAGCTCGTGCCAGAGCGCGCCCGCGATCATGTTGTCCTCCGCAAGGAACCGCCCGAAAGCGGCCAATCCGCGTTCCGGCGGCGGCTCGTCTCCCGCGTGCGTGCGGGGTTTGAGCGATCCATCGACGCGTTCAAGGTCCGAGCGGCGGTAGAGGTTCGACTTTCCCATGACGCACGAGTCAACGGCCACGGTGTTGATCGCGATGTACATCTTCGCGTGGTTCGTGTTCAGAAAGGCCTCCTCTATCCGGGAGCCAAGCGTGAGCTGGTGCGCGAAGGCGAAGGGAACGTGGTGCACGAGGGCTATGCGCCTAGGACCAGGTATCGGAGGGGGTGGTCGGTTTAGGATATCGACCGCGCGCGCGAGGGTACCGGGAGCGACCGTGACGTTTGAATCGAGGACCCAGAGTATATCGTGCGCAGCCTCTCGGTACGATCGGATAAGGTTGTTGACTTTGGGATTGACTCCGACGATTTCCTCTCCTGGAGAGATCGGCGTCATCTTGCGGCCGCGCGGGCACTGACATGTGTGACGGCGCACCTACGATGACTCTGGCGTTCGTGCCAGGGTACTTGGCCACCAACTCGCGAATAACGGGCAGCGCCTGGTCATCCTCGTCCGCAACCGACAGGAGGAGCTCGAAGTTGGGATATTCTTGCACGAAAGACGACTCGAGGTTTTCGTAAAGATTCGTGTCCAAGCCCTTGATGGGCCTGAGGATAGAAACGCCCGGTGCGGTCTGTGCAGAGGACGATGAAAGAGGTGATCGTGGGCGGATTCGGTAGCGCTTGCGACTGCAAAGCCATCAGGAAGGAACAGCATGAACGAGGCTGAGCATCAACGTACGCAGACCAGCAGCCCAGCAGCCCAACCGACCAGATGGCACCGTACCAGACTAGGCCGGCGACAGCGATGCCCAGAGGCAAGGCACTCCTCTCGAATATAGCGCTCGGCACGTCTTCAGGCGAGTTCATTGGCACTGTGGCCGGCGTCGTGTATGCAGGCAAGCCGCGAAACGCGGTTGAGCCGTCTTGATGCGAGCTGGTCAAGGGTAAGGATCACTGCGGGGCGCCCGTTCGTCATCGCCCGCGGGGTCGGGCAAGAACGGTACAGAACAAACGTGTCCGGTCTTCATATAAGGAATTTCACATACAATTCGAAGAGCGTCGCCAGAACAGAACATGTATGTACGGGAGTGTGCAGGGGCTCAGGCAAGCTCCCGCAGATCAAATACGTCTACGGTATTCTTCCACGCTTTCTCTACCACCTTGTCGAAGGGCACGCCCTCGTTCAGTCTGTGAATCACCCATGCCACGCCCCCGATCGCGCTGGCCTCGTTCCTGCCCTTCACGGGCTTCCCGTATACAAACCTCTCGGGCTTGGTGAATGGTGGGAAGTACAGCGCACGCAGGGAGGCGGGCAACGTGTCGAGGTGTTTCTTGGAAGCGTGGGTAGAAGACATCGAGCACCACGGGGCATCTACACGCAATGAACACTTGCTCGGCGGGAATGAGGATGCGGGATTACCAGTCTCGAACATGATTTTTTCAGGACGGATCGATCGCGCAGCGGCCAGGTTCTCCTCCGTTTTCAGCGAACACCCGTTCACGCTGCGGCCACGCACTCCCAAATCAGCCGCTCGACCAACACGCCAACGCACGCCGTCACGAACCTGATATGAAACCCCATGTCCATCTGAAGTGCTCGTCGTCAACGTCAGCGTCAACAGAAGAGGGTGCGACGCACATATTCTTTACATTCTTCGATCGAGCCCGTGAAGCTGTGAACGACGCCTCCCTTGCCGCCCACCGCCCTGCCGCCGTCCTCGCCGAACCCCTCCTCGCGGAGGATCTGCACGAGGTCCCTATGCGCCGCGCGCGAATGGAGGAACAGCGGCAGATGGTGCTTCCTAGCGAGGCCCAACTGCGCACCTGTGGCCGCCGCCGACGACGACGAGAGCGAGAATGAGTCTGCCTGGCGGACGCGACGCGCACATGCTCGAAGGCGCGCTCACGGAAATGCCGCTTCTGCACGTCGGGAGACGCAAAATGCGTGCGGTCATAATCGAGCCCGCACTCCCCCACGGCAACGACCCTGCCGCGGCCTGTCCGATTAGCCCGGATGAGCGCGTCGAGCGCGCGCAGGTAGGCCTCCGCGCCTTCCGGGTGCTTCTCGAATTCGGTCGAGTGCGTCGGGTGGCAGCCGACGGTCGCGTAGAGGCCTGTTCTCGAGAATTGCGAGATTAGCCTGGCAGTATACATGATACAACGGGACGCGACATACCATGCTCCTTCGCGAGTTCCAGAGCTTCCTTTGATTCGCGCAGGCTGCCGCCGGTGACGATCATGGACTTTACACCCGCCGCCTTCGAGCGCTCCAGCATAGCCCCAAAGTCATCTATCTCCGTGCGTCGGCACCGACACATCGCACCAGCACACGAACCAACAGACACGACGCACCATTGTGTTTCTTGCGCCCGTTATAATGTCCTCGGAACACCGGATCCGTGAGGTTCACTGCGCCAGCGACGCCCTAGTCAACACAACAGTGCCAACACAGCCTCGACGCCGAACGGGTCTGACGAACCTCCGATATCTGCGATGCATCGCACGCAGGCGTGAGACGCATCCACACGCTATGCGGGGTCAGAGATGCGCACCGATGAACCTGAAGTTCACGTTCTCAGCGGGCTTGGCGGCGATCACCGTGACGGGCATGATGGGTGGTACGGCGGAGCGAGATGACGAGCGCACGAAGCAAGAGACAGCGACTGATACTGTATGCGTCGGCCTTGATCGCGTGATCGCTGGTATCATGGGGGGCGAGCGACACAGCAAGCACGATGTCCTTCATCTGCGAACACAGCCAGGGTCGACACAAGCGATCGTCTGACTTCCTCAGCCAAAAGCCATGATGCTTCGGAGATTAGGGCGCTGTGTAGAACTCCTAATTTTTAACCGGGTTAATAACAGGTGTTAATAACGCGGAGAACACGACCGGATGCTGACCGGGTCCGGCCGGGTCCGCTCATTGCAAATTAAACCCGCGCCAAGTAACCGGACTCCCGACGCCGGCCTCCGTCGTCGCTCACCGGCGCAAAAAAAAAAAACTGAGCAAATTATTCTGCCCCTCCTCGCAAGGTGGAAAAAGTGTACTAGCCCACCGCGAGGGTCGAACTCGCAGCCTTCAGATACCCGCCTATAAGAGTCTGACGCTCTATCCGATTGAGCTAGGCGGGCTGTGGTAGTGTGTGCATTGTCGGCATCATGCTCGGCGCAGACGATGTGCAGGCGCCCAACGCACATAGACGCCCACGATCACATACTTATCACGGTGCCACACGACCGACTGCCACTCAGCCAAAGCCGAACACATCACCGCGATAGACAAGAAAAAACAAACAGGACATAGATCATGAAGCAAAGAGTATTAAATCTTAGAGCTTAGCTTAGACGGCAACGCAACACAACGCAAAATAAAGAAATAAAGAAACAAAAAGACAGCGGACGAGGAAAAAGGCAAGTGTATAATTTCGCAACAACAACGCGCAAAACAAGACCTGCGGGAGTTCGATGGTGGTAAAAAAGGGATTCGAGGGGGTTCCGGGTATACTACATACACGCTCACAAGCAAGTAAGTAAGTAGGTAGGTAGGTAGGTAGCACGGACTCCGACATCTTTACCGCGTAAAAATGAACATTCGTATCGTATCGGGGGTAGAGACGGCGGGGGTCCGGCGCGTGTAAGGGAGGAACAGGGAGGAAGGGGGGGAGGGGGCAACCGAAAGGGTATTTTTCATCGAAGGAAAGGGATGAAGAAAGAACGCGCAAGAACGTCCAGCGGCTCGAGACCCGAGAATTCATAGACAACGTATAAATAAAAAGAAAAAAGCGCAAACCGAAAAGTCGACGGGCCGTCCTTGTATATGCGCAAAGTCCACGAGGGGGCAGGTAGGGTAGCAAGTGGGGAGGGCGGAGGGGGCGAGGCGCGCGTGGGAAAGGGTCGTCAGGTAGGAGTTAGTATCTAAGACAGTCGCGAGCAGAGACGTCGCAGCGGCGCAGCCGTGGCCCCGTCCGCCCACAGCACAGCAAAGGTCCTCTAGTACACAGCACCACACAGGCCTGCACGGCGGTCGCCGGACCGAGCCGAACCACCGAGTCGCATCGAGCGCATCAGCAGCACACGTGCCGCGTGCGTGGGGGAGGAGCCGGCCGCGATCAGCAACAAACGAGGGAGACGGCGTCAGGCCAACGGGGGGGGTAAAACAAACGAATGGATTGCATACATCAACGACTCGACTCTGTGTCCGACTCTGTCTGACGCGCGACGAAAGAACGCACGCCACGCACGAACGAACGGAAGAGGAGCAACGCGTTCAACGCCCCGCCCCACGCCTCACGCCCACGCCGGCCCCCCCGCTCTTCACTCACCCTCCTCAGTAGCCCGCGCCCCGATTATAGTCGTACGGGTTCGGCACCTCGTACCCGCCCGTCTGGTGGTGCAACGGCACGCCGTACTGATCGTACCCGCGCGCCATGCTCGGCCCGCGCGTGAGCGGCATCTGGCCCATCTGGCCCATCTGACCCATCTGACCCATCTGCGGCGGGGCGGGGCTCACGCCGCGCGCGAGGTCCGCATAACCGCCGACGGGCGCAAAGTTCGCGGGACCCGCGGTGAAGTCGTGGTCGGGGATCGGGTTCAGCGGCGCGGGCGCATTGTTCGCCGTCGCGCCGTACCCGCCCGCACCAGCGCCGGCGCCTCCCGCCGCGCTCTCGTGGCCCGAGGAGTGGAAGGACGACGCGTTGGACGGCACGCGGCGATGCGTCGGCAGCCCGCTGTCGTGGTCTGTCGGCTGCCAATCGATCGGCTGCATGCGGTCCTCGAACTGGGACGAGGGCCTGAACTTCCACTTGCGGATGATGGTCCATATGAGCGCGGTGCCACCGATGCAGGAGGCGATCACGATGAGTATGGTGATCGCGGTGTGGGAGATGGACGAGTTGCCGGACTTCTTGGACGTGTCCGAGCTCGCGGAGGCCGTGGCGGCCGCAGCGGAGACAGAGCTGAAGACGGTTTTCACGGCAGCGGCGGAGGATGCGGCGGCCGCTTCAGAGGACGCGGACGCCTGCACAAAGTTGACGGACTGCGAGGTCTCGACGGCGTGCGTGGTTTGTGCGGCCGCGGACGAAGTGGGTGTGGCCGAGGTGGAAGAGGCGCTTGAGAGGGATGCGGTAGACGACGCAGTGTTAGTGAGCACACCAATGATGCTACCGAGAAGGTCTGTGGAGGACGCAGCCTGGAGGAGAGATAAGGAATGAAACGTGAGCAAACGATGTAACCAGGGAAGACGACCGGTCGTCAGATGGGAGGAACGTGGATACTGACCGAGCTAGTAGCAGCAGACGAAGCGGCGCTAGAAGTGGCAGCGCTCGAGGCAGCGGAAGAGGTGGCAGCGGCTGATGTGGCCGCAGCGGACGATGCGGCAGAGGCAGAGGCGGAGGCTGCGGCAGAGGCAGAGGTGGCAGCACTGGCGCTGGCGGATGCGGAAGACGAGACGGCGGCAGAGGACGACTCGCTGGGGGGGTTGCCTGCTGCGCCGAGAGCGGGCTGGTTGTCACCGCCGGTGATTATGCTGCTGAGCGAGGTCGCGCGTTTTCTGACCATGCGGGTGAGGTCTTCGCCATGGGGGCGACGGGGGGCAGGAGCAAAGCCTTTAGCGTCTGCGGTTGTGGAGGCGATTGTGAGCGCGAGGGCGACGTATAAAACGAGCGTGAGGGCAAGCTTGCTGGGCTTGGCGATAAACATAGTCGAGTGTGTTGTGGTTGCGTGTGTGCGCGAATTATATGATACTGGGTGATGGGAGGAGGGAGGGACGAGCGGCGAACTCAGACAAAGCTGACGGACGGCCTTGTTGGAGATTGACGGTGCGCTGCTTCGGCCGGGGAGGAGAGGTGGAGGATATGTGGATGGAGTCTGTTGGAAAAGGAACGGGAACAGCAAAAAGCAAAAAGGAAGTGGGGGGAAGGAAGAGAGAAGCGAAGCGAGGCCAGCACCACCAGGGCGAGGAACGGGGGTCGAAACGGGGAGCACGGGGATGTGGAGAGAAAAGGGAGGAGAGAGACGCGGATGAGCAGACTCGCGTCGGGGAGGAGGAGGAGAGAAGGGAAACGCTCACTGAGACCGCGGGGGGAACGGACGAGCCGAGGAATCGAGAGAGCAAGAGAGGCGAGGAAGGAGCGTGAGGGCACAGCAGCTGGCCAACGCCGTCTCGTCTGCGTCTCTGCGGCTGCTGCGTCCCCCGGTGCCTAGGTAACCACCTTCCGTTCTGGGCGCAGTCCTCCCCCGCCTCTCACTCCCGGTTCCATTCCGTTCACGCAGGGAAAAAACGGTCCTTGCCATCATCGTATACGAGTATAGTCGTCGCTAGGGTACTTACAGTCCACACCTCCCATCTCCCACCTCGACATCCAGTCCATAGTTCCTCATCAGTCGAGCGTGGGCAGCCACGTGTAGTACGCAGTGGGGAGTAACGACAGAACGCTATCGAGAAACGAATTCGAAAAAACAGATAAAAGATACTGAAAAAATCCGATGCCTCGTCCCGCGTCCCCTCTACTCGTGACTCGTCAGGCTCCACTGGTCCACCGCGACGAAGTTGGGCGTCTTGAAGTCGCTCGACTGCATTCCCGACCACTGCGGGTTGAACAGCACCTGCAGGTTGTACGTCCCCGCAGGCAAGCTGATCATCACCACCGTCACACCCGGGTTCTCCTGGTCCGACTGCCCCGCCGGCAGCGCAGGATCGTCCGAGAACCGCACCGCCAGCCCCGTCGTGAACGCCGCACCCGAAGGCGCGTTCAGGATCTCCATCTTCAACGTCTGCCCGTCCAGCGCCAGCGTCGCAGACGTCCCGCTCGAGTCCACCGTCACCGTCGCGTTCGTGTGCATCCGCCACATCACCGGCTGCGCCGCAGTGATGTCGTCCTGGATCAGCACCTGCTTGCGTCCGTTGATCAGACGCACTCCGCGCGAGAACGACGTCCTGCATGCATGAAACATCTTTCCTTTTAGCCGCCGCCGTCAATCTTTCCGAGCTTGGAATGGAACACTCACACGTCAAAGTAGGCGCTACTCAGGTCCGCGGTCCAGTACGCCGTCGAGTCGCTGGGCACATCCAGCACCGTGCTCGAGCCTTGCGTGGTGCCCGAGGTCCCATGCGTCACCTTGGGTGCCGCCAACACGTTCTGGTTCGCCTTGTTGACCAAGATCGTGTTCTGGCCCTCCGTGCGCTTGCGGTAGTACAACCACCGGTCGCTGTTCTGCGTGTCGTTGCTGAAGTAGTTCGTCGACAGGTAGTCGCCCGAGCCGAGCTCGCCCGCCCACCGCGTGCCCAGGGCGTCCAGCACAAAGTCGCCGCAGTCCAAGTCGTTGTGTGTCTGGTGGCCCTGGTTCTTTCCGGCTTTGGCCGCAACATAGAGCGCTTGGCTGTCGGTCCAGCTGCTCCGCATCGACGCCCACTGGTCCAGCTCATTGTCGAAGAAGTTGTCCAACGCAGCGCCGTCCCAGAACGCACCTGAGACGCTCGGGTCGTACCAGAACATGCTCCACGGTTCGGGCGCATCGTGCTGGTCGCGCTGGAACAGGGCGAACTGCGGCTGGTTGTACTGCGTGGCGTAGAAGATCATCGAGTTGGCGGTCGTAGAAAATTTGTTGGGTCCATGGTCACCGTAGTTGAAGAGCGAGGTCGCGCCCGTCGCGTACATGTGGTAGACACCGGTCTTATAGAAGTCGGGGTTCGTGGAAAGGAGCCCGTAGTCGGAACCGGTCGCGGTGATGAGAGCCGAGGACATCTCAGCGTGGCCGGTGGTACCGAAGTACCAGTAGTTGGCGGTTTCGGACCACGTACCATCGTCGGAAGGCGCAAGCGCGCAGTTCTTCTTGGCATCGGGGATGGTGTATCCGAGAAGCTTTTCAGCAATGCCCGTGGTATCGTCACCGATAATCGCAAGGGCTCCGAGGGTCAGGCCGCCGTTACACACGCAGTTCCAGTTACCCTCAGTGTTGTTGTTCCACCAGCCGATGAAGCCGGGGTCTCCCTCATAGGCAGAGACGCCGAGACTAAGACCGTACTTGGTCATAGTGAAGATGATCTGGCTCTTCTGGTCGTCAGTCCACATGTCGTGGAGCCAATCATATGCGATGGCAAATGCGGCTGTGAACTCGGCGGTATCGAGGAAATGAGGCGAGTTCCACTTGTCAGTGTCGGGACCAAACGATGTCGTGCCGTTGCCAGCAGCGTTCTGATCAAACACGTTGAGGGCACGTCAGCGCAAGCGAGGCGGGAGCTGCATACCTGAATCTCCTCCCACGCTCTGTCCACCCACTTGGTGTCGTTCGTCATGCGGTAGGCATATGCGAATGCCTTGATCCTCATTTTGATCTCGCGAGCATTGTCCAAGATACCGCTGGCACCGTCCATGTGGTAGACGACAGGAGGTAGAGCGGCGTACGCAGTCGCGTTTCCGAAGATGGTGTCGTTCCATCCTTTGAGGTACGGGTCGTTGGGAATGAGATTAGGCAGAGCTTGCCACTTGTAGGAGGGGGCAATAAGGCGGGGGCGGTCCGTACGGACCTCGGTGGGACTGGGGTTGGCAGGCTTGAATGAATCAGAGGGCCACGAGAGCTTGGCGTTGCTCGAGGCTACGAATGTGGGCGTCGTGAACGCGGCGGTGTTGGTCTGCACGAGGCCGAAAAACAAAGTTGCAGAACAAGGAACGGACTTGGCAACAAGGCACGACTCACAGTGGCGGGATATACAGGGATCATGAATTCGCTGTTGGTGGAGGTGGCGAATCGGCCGATGGCATTCTTCGCGCTCGCAGCAGCGCTCGCGGCTGCCTCGCCTGTGACAGCAGCGCTGCTGGCGCCGGAGGACGAGGAGCTGCTACTCTTGGATGATGAGCGTGTGCCGACGACACCGCCGACGACGGCACCGATGATAACGAGGACCAAGACGGGGACACCGATCTTGAGCCAGTTGGAGGAGCGCTTCTTGGGCATGGGAGGAGAGATGAAGCCTGTGGATTCGTTATAGTATGGATCACCAGAGCCGTACGGAGAGCTGCCGTGTTGTTGATTGTTGTTGATGGAGTTATAGCTGGCCATGGCGCTGCAGGCCGGGGTTAAGTGACGGCGCTATCAGAGGGGAGAAGATTAAAAGAAAGACAGGAGTGGGCGGTGCAGGGAAATCGGACAGGGAGACGGAGATGGGAATCGTGGTAACTGGTGCGGAAGCTCCTCCCCGTGCGTTATATACCGTAGCCTCGTTCCATTTTTAGAAGCCCGCCGCCACAAGCCTTCCCTCTCGACTATAAAAAGCATCCCACACACACAACCGCCCTGGCTCCATGATGCGAGACGTTAAATGGCGTCAAAAATAGTAGGAACAAAGGCGATGGACGAGTAGAATTATGCAGATACAGCGCTACTCCCGGATAAACACAGCCGCGGCACCCATGCCCGTCCCGATACACATCGACGTCACCAGCACCTTCCCCCCTCGGCGCTTCAGCTCGTTCAGCCCTGTCACAACCTGTCGGGCACCTGTGCAGCGTAAAGGCGCCGTCGTCGTCGTCAGGATGCATATCTAAGAAAAACGCGTCGATGAAGCGACTTATCTAGCGGATGTCCCAGAGCAATTGCCCCGCCGTTCACGTTGACCTTTTCATGGTCGAGGTCCAGTGTGCGCACGCAGTAAACCAGCATGGACGCAAAAGCTTCGTTGATCTTGGGGTGGACATTAGACACTGATCTTCAATTGATGTTGTGATGGACGATCTTACCTCAAAGATGTCGACGTCCTCTTTTGTCAGTCCCGTTGCCTCCAAAACCATCGGAATGGCGTATGTGGGCCCGATGCCCATGACACGGGGTGCGAGTCCTACGACATCGCCGTCAAAACGCACGTCTCCAATAAGTATGCAGCGCACTCACCAGCGACCGACGTCGTCACATACTTGCCCAGAATCGGCTGTCCCAGCTCCTCCGCCTTCCTCCGCGTCATCAACAACACGGCCGCAGCGCCGTCCGAATTCTGGCTCGCATTCCCTCCCGTCGTCTGAGACGGCGCCCACTGCGGGAACGCGGACCGGATCTTCAACAGCGCCTCCTTCTTCGTCCCGGCCCTGATCCCGTCGTCCCTGCTCACCACGACCGCCTCGCGCTCGCCCGTTTTCGGGTCCTTCTTGAATGCGTGGAACGGCACGATCTCGCTCTCGAACCAGCCTGAATTCTGGGCACGCTCCGCGCGCTGGAACGAAGCTGCGGCGAACGCGTCCATGTCCTCGCGCGAGATGCTGTAGTCGCCCGCGACGTTCTCGCTCGTCCAGCCCATGGGCTTGAGCGCGTCTGCGGCGGTCGCATGGCACGAGATCTCCGAGCTGGCTGGGTCGGGGCCCTGATCCGGGCTGAAGCGCGCGTCAATATAAATGAGCACCCCGACATGTTCGAGATGGGGTGGCTAGACGCACTTGAAGGTCATGCTGTCCACGCCCACAGCTAGCCCGACGCTGATTTGCCCTGCGCGAATCTGGTTCGCGATGCTCGTGACGGCCATGAGACCCGAAGAGCAGAACCGGTTCACGGTCTGCACGGGGACGGATTGGGGGATGCCGGCAGCAAGAGCAGCGGAACGGGCTTCGTACATCGGTGCGCGAGGGAGGACAGTGCCCACAGTGATGTCTCCGATGACGGAGGGATCAATCTTCGAGTGCGAGATGGCTTGCTGTTGGCGGCAGACCACGTTATAAAGCTTTCTTCGAGTAGACTATATTGACGGGCTCACCTTGAACATCTCGGTCAGGAGCTCATCGCTCCTAGATCGTTATGTCAGTTGCTGCCGCGAGATAATGTATGATACTCGAGCTCGCACCTCGTGTCCTTGAGCCCTCCAGACTTGGCCTTGCATAGCGGTGACCGGATAGCCAACGTGATGACTATATCATCTGGATTCTTGCGTTCCAAAACCGCGCGCCCTCCAGAAGGGCTAATGAGATGAGAGGCCAACTGCTTTACGCGTTCCATGGCCATGATGAGATGATGTTCTGCTCGTTAGTTTGAAAGTTCAAGTATCAGTGATGTCCAAGAGCGATAAGCGAGAGGAGCCGCGAAACACTCGCCACTTTCAGAACTGCTGGTCTTTATGTGCGTCCTGGGTCTTCGGGGAAGCTGCAAGCCGTATTACAAGCATGCGCCGGGAAACAGAGGCTCACTTGATCCGGCCGCCTCGTCGCTCGCTGAAATACGCTCAGTCAGGCCAGACTTCAAATCACAAGAACAGACAAGGCAGCCGCCTAAATGTTGGTCCTCCAGCTCGCTGCAGCGCGAATAAAAAAAAAAGCTATAAAAGGGCATAACCTCGCAGAACAACCATAGCATGTCCCGAGCAGTCGGAAGTTGGGTGCTCTTCCGATGATTATCCCCGCATTCCATGACGTCACCTCCTTGCACGGGGACCCACAAGCGTCAAGAACATATACGCCGACCGCTTTCAATACGACAAGCCAAGTAGATGTATGCATTACTCTAGTTCAAAGTACAACTCTCTCTCGGGCGTCTTTTTTTGGTCTTCCTCTAACCCTCCATCATCTGATCTTCTGGAGGCGCACCTCCACCTTCCTGCTGACGCTCCTTCCGTGTTGCCTGCACGACATCGTCGACGCGAAGGAGCACGCGGGCAGCCTGTAGAAAGAGCGCGTGAGTGAGTACACGTTAGATGTGGCATAAGTATAGAGCTATCACCAACCTCGATAGCCGTTTTGAATGTCTGGATCTGGATGGACGATAAGATCGTTCAGTCGCGGTAAAACACAGAACAACGACGAGACATACCTTCACGCTCGCTGACTCGTACAAACCGTACGTTTTCATGTCAACGATCTTTCCAGTGTCGCCGTTAATGCCCCACGAATGCTCGCCATTCGCGTGTTTCGCCTACGGAGAAAACATATGTCAAACATGTATTTTTGGTCGGAGCACAGGATGTCAACTCACCCTCAACTCGGTAAGGACCCGGATCACGTTTCCACCGCTGTTCTGAATGAGCGTCCGGGGGATGACCTCCATCGCATCGGCGACAGCGCGGAAGGGGCCCGCCTCGACACCGGGAACGCTGCGCGCGTGCGCGTGCAACCCAACGGACACGGCCATCTCGGTCGCACCCCCACCTGGGATCAGCGTCGGGTTGAAGAACACGTTGCGCGCGACGGACATCGCATCAGCGAGATTGCGGTCAACCTCGTTCAGGACATCCTTCGAAGGCCCACGGAGAAGGATCGTGCAGGCTTTTGGTGTCTCGCACTCAGTGAGGAAGGTGAAGTATCTGGGCAGAGTTTAATCAGAGATGGTGAAGCCACAACGAGGGATCCGACACGCACTCGTCGCCTAGTTTTTCGATGTTGAAGAGGCCACATTTTGTTCCGACGTCAGCCTCACGAAGGTCTTCGACGCGGTTGACGATCGTTGCGCCCACAGCGCGAGCAATACGGTTGTTGTCTGACTTGCGGACACGTCGGAGGGCCGAGACGTTGGCCTTGGCAAGGAAATACTGCGCGTAGTCTGTGTACCAACATAAGCCAACGGAATTATAGCAGACGAAGTGTGCATACCAGAAACACCCTTCTCAGTAATAACGAGGTCGGGCTTGAATTCCAAGATGCGATCGACCAACCCCTTGACCTGCTCCTCCTCGATCTGATTGATCCGCGCGTAGTCCGCCTCCTTCGAGATCTCGATGTTCGTCTGACTCTCACCCTTCTTGTACTCCAACGGGCAGTCGAGCAGGATGATGCGCGGGTTCTGGATCCGCCGACGCATCTGCGGGTGTGTGATGTCCTTGTTGAGCATGACGCCGTTCAGAACGCAGCTCTGTTCGATCTCCCCTCCAGGAACCTTCTCCACGCGGGCATAACGCTTAATGTCGACCGTGCGAATCCCGTTCTCTACAGACGAGACAGTGCGGACGGCTTGCAGCGCAAGACGACACATGAGCTCAGACCAGCGGATGACAAATTTCGTTCCAATGGAAGTTTTGATGAGGGAGAGCATCTGCTCATCGTCGGTGGTGTCGATGGGGATGGAGATACGCTGCACGATGTCGAGAGCGGTCTGGAGCGCCTTATTGTAGGCGGCGATGATCACCACGGGGTGGATATCGCGTTGGAGTTGAGAGAGCGACTGTGCGAGGATCTCGCCCGCTGGAGGGGGCCGTCAAAAAAGCGTCAACGCGGTATAAAACACGAACGCACCGAGGACAATGACACTCGTCGTTCCGTCGCCGCACTCCTCATCCTGCGTCCGGCTCAGCTCAATCATGTTCTTCGCAGCCGGATGCGCGACCTCGATTTCACGGAGGATGGCATTCCCGTCGTTAGTCAACCTGTCCAAACTCGCGGTGAGCATCGGAGACGGCAGGCAGAGATATGGGACGCACAGGATACCGCCCATTGGATCCAAGATCATCTTGAGCATGGCCTTTGGACCCAGACACGTCCGGATAACATCTGCGACAGTCTATGGATGCAAGAGCGGGTGAATGCAGTCATTTGGGCTCCGAGAAAGAGTGTGACCTTTGCAGCAGTGATATTGGAGATCTGCGCCTTCCGCCCCGACTGCCTCTCCGGGGCGGTGTCTACACGATGTATTTAGCAGAGACCGAGGACGGCTAATATGAGGCTCACTCATAACAAAAACTGGTGTCTGTCCGCCTGCCTGCATCTTGATTTTACTGGAAAGTCGTGAGCGGGATGTCGGAGGCTAGGACTGGCAGGAACTCGAACGGGATTGGTGACGAATTGCTGAATAATAATAGATATTGGTACTTTCCGAGGATTCATACAGATATCTGCTATAAAGGGCTCGAATGTGGTCTCATTCTCTATATGCGTCCGGATATCGCCTTTTTGTTACATCATGTAAAGACGCCTCTTCCGGTCAAGAATTCTCAGCCTCACCTGGTTAAGCGAGTTCAAGGCCCGCCTAGCTCAATCGGATAGAGCGTCAGACTCTTACAGGCGGGTATCTGAAGGCTGCGAGTTCGACCCTCGCGGTGGGCTAGTCAATTTTGATTTTTGTGTCTGGTCATCACTGGATTTTGGCTCCACGTTAGTCGTCTTCAGATGTAAATTCTCGACTGCATGCCAATTATTTCAGCGCGTGAGGGTGCGCGCACACCACTAGACCAGCAAAATACGCGAAGACGGTGATGACGACGACGACGACGACGACGACGACGCGCATATGACTACCATCTCACAGCAAAGACAGCGTGGAACCCGAAGTACACTCTACCCCTCACTACAGCTCCCCGCCAGAACTGCGCAGGACCGACACCACCCCCAGCACGTCCCACAGCCCGCGCCGCCACACGACATACGTAACACCCACCAGCAGTGCGACCGACAACGCGCCCACCGCCCACCACCACCGCCGCCTGCGCGCGCGCTCCTCCCCAGCGCGCCACGCCGCGGCCGCCGACCCAGGCGCCCCGCTCTGCTCCGCGATCTTCGTGCGCGCGAAGAGGCTCTCGAGGCCCGTGGCCTGGTCGGAGCCCCGGCCGCCGTTGTGCTGCGCCGAGGGGAGGCGCGCGGCGGGTTTGTGGGGGGAGGAGGTGGGGGACCAGTCCATGGCGTCGGGGTCTGGTTCGGCTTGCGCCCGAGCACCGACGATGTCGTCCTCGTCGTCGGCATCGTCGTTGGCGGCGCCGCTGGTCGATGTGGTGGCGACGTTGGTGGACGCGTGAGAGGAGGGGTTGAGGAGGGAGGGCAGCCCGAAGACGGGGCTTGGATGGTGGACCTCGGGCGCGGCGGTGAGCGTCAGGCTTCCGCTCCGCAGCAGGTGGTCAGGTATTGGCGGGGGCGGTGGGACCGGGCCCGTGACTGGGGTCATGGAGCGCGAGCGAGTCGTGGTGTCGATCAGGCGGACGGCGGGAGGCTGGTTGAGGCGGAGGACGCCGAACGAGACCGCTGCGACCTGCGTGCATGGAACGATCCATATGTTTTTGTTTTTTCACGAAACGATCGAGGAAGAAGGGCGTTGAGTGTGACTGGAGTGGAGCTGGAGACGGAGGTGGCGGGGACGCACGAGCAGCTCGAGGAAGAGCGAGAAGGCGAAGAAGATTCGGCTTCGCGTGGAGGCAGGGGAGGTCAACAGGTCCAGGACGTCCCACGCCGGCCGACGATGTGCCGAGGCGACGAAGCACGCCGCGAGCATACGAGAGAACCAAGCAAACATCTGCAACGACTTGAGCGGCCCGCCGCGTCGTCAGTCTCGAAGAACCGCAAAAGAGGCAGGAGGGCGCGCGCGCTCACAGCGTATTGGAGTTTACCTCGTACACGCACTTTCCGGCCTTGCAGCTGGGCCTGCCGCAGCGATGCCCACGTCGGATCCCAGGCGGTCCAGAGTACAGATACAAAGATATAAATAGGCATATACGGAATCGCGGCGTCAAACGTAGAGGGCGGACGATGTCCGAACGCGCCTGGAGTAGGCGCACCCGTGAGCCCTCAAACGTCACGGACGTCATGAAACTACGCACCTGCGAGATCGCTCAGAAGCACCGCGCCCAGCGTCGCTATACACAGCGCGCCGCGCACGCGCCACCAGCGGAGCTCGCGCTCGAGCGCGCGGCGATCGACGCTCGACAGCACGGGGCGGCGCGCGCCGGGTGCGCCGGGGGGTGCGGCGCCCGGGCGCGCGAGGAGCGCGGGGGAGCGACTCGAGTCGCGCAGCCAGCGGCCGAGGGCGTCTGAGCGGGCCATGCCGTCCTTTTTGCGGATCTGCTCCTCGACGGGGGCGGCGCAGTTGGCGCAGACGGGCGGGTAGCGCGCGTGCACGGAGGCTTTGTAGGCGTCGTAGGAGGCGAGGCGGCGGTCGTGCTCGGGGTCCTGTGCACGCGTGCGTGTGAGGGATGGGTAGAGCGAGGTCAGGGGAACAGGGGACTCACGTCGGAGGAGGGGAGATAGCTGGAGAGGAGCTGCACGATCAGGCGCTGGTTCGACTGGCAGACGTCGCAGAACGGCGCAGGCCCAAACGTGCTCAAAAACCTGTCCTTCCTAGGCGAAGCTGCACGCGCTCAGCACACCGCGCTCCTAACCCGACCCGACCGCCAGGGAAGAGCGGCCCCGAGGACGAGAAAAGCACCGCCAAAGCAGCACGCACCTCGTCTAGCGAACGACCCGCGGTTGAGGCTCTCGTCGTGCATCGCGGGCTCGTCCGACATGATCTCGCCGCGCGCGTCGTAGCGGTTCCAGCACGCGCACTGCGGGCAGACGAACGAGCGCGGGTTCAGCGGGGGCGGGTCGGGGGCCGACTGGCAGAAGAAGCAGGAGACGCGGGTCGCGCGGCGCAGGAGGGGCGCCATCCGGTGTGGTCGTTGGTGTTCGCGGCGTCGAGAGACGGGGCAGGGATAGTGGCTGGGGACCAGCCGTGGGCGCAGATCACTGAGTCGAGTCGCCGCGCAGGGCCACCGAGGCCGGGCACGCGCGGGTCCGGACGCGTGCCACACTTCCGAACACGATGGTCACTCGAGTACTCAAGAGTCGATGACATCTATTAGTCTGATCTTCACGCGCTCACGCTCGGTCCGTCAACAGGGTGGGTGCCCGCCCTCGAAACCTACAATGCTGTCTTCGCAGGGGTATAGAAAGACGCTCTACTGTACACGGCCCGGTATAACATGCGATAAATTTCCATAAATAGGGCTGCCCGACCGTGCGAGAACGGCTGGACGACACGGCGGCGCGCTGAACGGGCGCATAGAGGAGAGGGACGCGGGGAGGGAGAGACGAAGAGAGGAGAGAGGAGCGAGAGGAGAGAAGGGATCGGATGATGCCTAGCGCGCGCGCGCGAACGCGAACACGAACGGCTCATCGGATAGGGAAGGAGGAAGGAGGGAGGGCGCCGTCCGCGCGGTGGGTGGGGTAGTAGGTGGTATGCTATGTACTTTCAACGAAGGACTAGGGTGGGTAGGTCAGATGAACGAGCGCGGCAGAAATAAAACGTGTGGCGTAGGGTAAGCGTGTGGGTGTGGCAAGTGTGGCAACATCGACATCAGCATCGACAAAGGAGAGAACGACGGGTGAATGGATGGGTGAGCGGAGAATGGGCTGTGGGGTAGGTGGCCGGGGTGCGGGAGGGGCGGGCGACGGGGCCGGGACGCCGCGTGCTGTGGGTTCCAGGAGAGTGATTCGACGCCAAGGCATCGATATCATCCGATGGCGGCGTTCAGCATTGGCCCAAGAACGAGCTCTTCGGGACCGGCTGGCCGAAATCATCCGTCCACGTCGTGTAGTTCGGATTTGTATATGCGTCGATGAACCTGCCTCCAATCATCAGCATCCCACAGACATCCGCGACGAGCAAACCGCCTCAAGACGACAGGGGGAAGGGGGCGACGCACTGATTGATATACGCCTGCGTCGGGAAGTCCTCCGGGTCGCACCCAACGTTGATCGCGTCCGGCTTTTGGTACACGCGAATATAGTCGACCTTCATAGTCGACGGGAACGTCAGGTGGTCGAGGTCGACATACCCGAACGCGGTCGACATCCCGAGGTTCACGAGCACGTACTGTCCACCCACCACACCACAACGACATGTCATCAGTTGCTCAGCACTCGCGCCGGCGGTGAGCGGAACGCAACGCGGGCTGGGCTCACCAGAGGCTCCTGCGGGATCGGGCGCGCGCCGATCTCGGTGCGGTTATCGGCGGCCATACCGGCGGACTCGAGCGTCCACGCGGTCTTGTTGTCCGAGATCCAAGTGATGTACTTTACAATTTCGAATCAAAAAAAAATCGGTCGCGGTCAGGACTTCCAGGTGCTCGTATCATAAATATGCTCGAAACGTACTGCATCGTCGAACCCTGTTTGAGAGGCAGATTTCTGAGCACTGCGACGCACCGTCGAGGAGAAAGGTGCGGCGTACCTGGTTTGTACTCGATCCCGTACACAGACGAACACCCAGTGCCGAGCTCGTAACAGTCCGGGTCTACCGCACCAAACACCGCGACAGACACGGGTAACTCTATCAACGGCGTTCTAGAACCACATACAAGCATGGGGGATCTTACTTGTGGTGGTGACCGAAGAAACGGCCTGCTGGTACACGCCGCCCTTGTACGAGTTGAGCGTCGTCAGGCTCGAGTCGGGGATGAGCAAGTTGTCGGTCGTATTGAACCACGTGTATTCTGCGTTGAACGGCTGCGGGGGTAGAGGGGGGGGGGGGGGGAGATGAGGTGTGGGAGGACAGACACAATGCGCGTGGTAAAAGAGACGTACTGCGAACTGCGCAGACTGCGAGACAAAGCCTATGATACCGGACACCTGCAACATCCAGCTCGACCTTCAGTACCTCGTCTTACGTCTGGCAAGCGCGACGACGGCGGAAGCACGCACCTGCGCCTCGAACACGTCAATCTCGGGCGCCGACCGCCCGACGAAGGTGCCGTCCTGATGCGTCGGGCCGGGGTGCACCTCCCCAGGGCATGTGCAGCGCGAGAGGCGCTGGCCGGGGAGGTACGAGAGCACGCCGCCGTGTGACTTGTCGCCCTTCTCGGTCGCGGCGAGCGGCTTGCCGTTGAGGGTCTGGTTCTTGACCGTGCCGACGTCGCACGAGTCGTAGGTGTATGGCCACTGCGGAGCCGTGTCAGCACGGCAGGAACATCGAGGGGGGACCAAGGACGCACCATGCCGTCCAAGGACCCGCCAAAGCCTGCGCGGCCGAGATTGCCCATCGTCCACACGGCGGGCCAGAGCCCGACGACGTTCGACGCGCCGGGCAAGACGACGCTCGCCTCGACCAACCCACCCGTGAAGCAAAACTTGTTCCAGGTCGAGACCATCCCGCCCTGGTAATCCATCCCGTGCGTCTCTTTCTTGGACAGCGTGATCTGGAGCGAGCCGTCCTTGGTCGTGACCGCGGCGGGGTCGTACCACTCCATGTTGCCGGTCTGCCAGTAGTGGAGGTCGACGGCCTCCCAGTACGGGTCGTCGCCCGGGTAGAACGTGCGGCCGTCGGTGTTGAACTCGTCGGAGAAGACGAGCTGGAGGGTGTCGGCCGGGTTCGTGAACGAGACGCGTGTCTTGGCGTAGTCGGGGGTCTCGATGTCGATGAGGCCCCAGTTGCCAGGAATGCTGGGGACCTGTTCGAGGAGAATGTGAGCAAGTCAAAAAAACAAAAAATGACGATGGTACGCACCTGGCCGGTGCCGTTTGTCCCCCCGACGTTGAACGCGCCCTGAGTCGATTGTGGACGCTTCATAAAATGCTGCATGATCGGGTAGCCAGCACTAGAGCACAGATACGCGTCAGTGCACGCCCAAGAAAAGAGGAATAGAGAGGGGACCAGGGGCGTACAAAAGCATCAATATGCCTGCGGCGAGTATGAGGAGGCAGCCGAGGTTTGCGATACCACGACAGGTGCATATTGTGCCGCCCCTGTCGCTCTTTCTGTCGCGTTTTGGATCGGGATTGTGCAGGTGGTCGTCGGGTTCTGGATCATCGGTGTAGCGAAGGCGACCGCCCCAGGAGGAGGGATCTGGGGGCAAGGAGAACTGGAGGGAGGGTGTGAGCCGCAATGACAGCGGGACGTGCGGAGGTGCCTACTTTTTGTGAGATGGAAGAGCTCCTGCCGTGCACGTCATACGGATTGCGCGTGTGCTAGCCACACGTATGAGCAGAGAACGGGGCGACGGGGCGACGGGAAAAGAGAACGCGCACCGTGGACGAGCCGCTGTCTCTCCACTGGGACGCGGGTCCCTGTGCAAAGGCAGCCCTGACGTGCTCGCGGTTGCTGGACCTGCTGGCGGGGCGAATGGAGGAGGTGGGGCTGGGCGGGGGGAGGGGATGGTACTGGGGGGGCGGGGGATTACCTGAATACATTAATTGGGGAGGGGACGAAGGAGCGTGGGGGCGTGCTTGAGGGCACGGAGGGACAAGAGCAGGTCAGGGAACGGGCATCAACGAGGCTGGCAGAGCGCGCGGTGGACGACTGCTACGCCGGCCAGCCGTCGCCGCCAGATGTAATTCGCGACGCGTCCGCCATAAATAGCCTAGCCGTCCCACCGGCTCAGTGCTCACGCTCCGTTCGTCGCTCACCGTTCTCTTTGCTCCGCAGCGACAGACCAGGGCCGCCCCATGTCGCTCACGCCCTCGCCCTCCACCGGCAGGGGCGACCTCATCCTCCAGCCGTCCTACTTCACCTCCTCGCTCTTCGTGAACCCGTACAGAGCAGACGTGCAGCGCCTCCTCGATCTCTACGCAGCCGAGTACGCCCCACCCGCCCCGCCCTTCGCGCTCTTCAAACGCGTCTGGAAATCCCAGGGATGGCTCTGGATGCACCTCAAGGTCTTCGACGACCGATCCCGCGAGGCTTTCCTGCGCGTCGCCACCAGGCTCTTCGTCGGTACGTCCCCCCGCGCCCCATGTCGTCATCCCGCGCTTCTAGCTCTCTGCAGAACGGCTTGTCGAGACCGAGCCACCGTTCACCCGCGCAGTCGCCCTCTTCGCCCTCTACATATTCTACTCCACCCAGCCGGCAGACGCCTGTCCCGCACTCTACATGCTCCGGCACGTCGACATCGCCGTGGGTCCGTGGCCTCCCTCTCACCCTCGTCCGCCGTCTGATCTCATCCCCTCTCGACAGACACCTACACCTCTCTTCTCTCCCTCCCCGCCGCCCTCCGTCCCGAGTTTGAGCCACTCGCGCCCTACGCCACGCACGTCCTGAAAAAGCTCCTCGCAGCGAAGGCCTTCTACATCCTCCCCCCTTCCACCTTGCACCCCTACAACCCCCGCACCCTCCCCCGCGAGATCTTCGTCCCCGACGACCCCTCTCCCGCCCCCTCCGGCGCCTCCACTCCCGCGCCCGCGCCCGCCCCCACACTCCCCCCTGCCCCCACCCCCATCCCGACCGCCCCCCAACCCCCCAAAAAACGCGGCCGCCCCTCCCACGCCGACCGCCTCAAAAAAACCCGCGACGCAGTCGCCAGCATCGACCGCTGGCTCGAGCGCACCGAACACACCTACCGCGTGCCCCCGCCGCCCGCCTCGCCCCCCGGCGCCCCGCCCACCCTCGTATCCACCCACGTCCTCCTCTCCAACCCCCCCGTCGCGTCGCGCATCGCCTACCAAGCCCGCAAATCCCACCTCCTCGACGCCCTCGCCGCCTCGCACCCCTTCGCCCGCCCCGCAGGCGCAGGCGCAGGCACCGGCACCGGCACAGGCGCGGGCGTAGGCGTAGGCGCAGCGTCCCTCGCGCGCGCGAACCACGCCGTCCTCGCCCGCCTCCGCCACATCGACGCGCTCGCCGCCGCGCGCGGGCTCGAGGTCGGCGACGCGGGCGGCGAGAGCACGGGCCTCGCGCGCGTCGAGCGCGCCGTCGGCGAGCTCGCGCGCGCGCTCCCCGATCGGCGCGGCGGCATCCTCGGCCTCCTCGAGGGCGCGGGCATGGAGACTTTCGTCGCCGGTGCGCGGCCGGCTGGCGGTGCGGGCGGTACGGCGCAAGGCCCGATGCCGGTGGACGTGGACGTGGACGTGAACGCGAACGCGAACGTGGATTCAGGGGCGCCAGGGGCCCCGTCGACGTGACCGCCAGCTGTTAGAGCGACACAGGGACAGGCATCCCTGTCGCCCTGTCGCGCGTCTCGGCATTATCAACTCTCGACATCGTTCCCTCTCGCGGGACGTTCTCCATCCAGCAGGCGCCCCTGCCTCTCGTCCGACCTTCCGACTATTTTTCATCGCAGTGCTCTGCGCTCAGCTCCCACGTGTCGCGCAGGTATCGGTGTATCATCGACCAGTGCTAGCTAACTAAAAACTAACCACGCGCGACGGCCAGCCACGTCTCAAACCGACATCGGCCGGGCACGCGCGCGTGGGAGGATCAAAAAACAAAAGCTAGTCACAAGAATAGAACACGGGGGCCAGAAAACGTAAAGAGGTAATAAAGGTAATACGGGGCGCGAGGCCGTGTGGTGGTTGAACGGTAAAACAACTGTGCGTAGTTCGAGGACATGGGTGCGAGAGCGGTCGTGAATAATAAAAGTTTCAAAAGGTCCCAGTCCATCCGACCAGAGGGCGAGGTAGGTGGGAATGTTCTGACGGTGGTAAACGCACACACGCGCGGACATGCGCGACGTGGCTATGTGTATTTCCAAAATCAACACGCACGGCGCGCGGCGCCATGGCACGACCCATAGTTAAAAGTTCCAAAATAAAGAGGCACGAGAAAGAAACCGCGCAGAGGACGCTCTGCCAGTGGCGGCCAACCTAATGGGATTGAGTCCAGAAAGTGATAGTCGCTGACAGAAGGAGGGCGGCCTCGACCTGGAGAGGGGTTTGAGCGCGGATATATTGTGACCGAGGGAAAGAGGACGCTCGAAATAACCATGGACTTGAGACGAGGGTGAAACAAGACGACCATGGGCGTGGATATTATATGCAAGGGGTCAGCGTACAGGCGGTTTGTCGGAGTTGGTGTGAAAGACAGGAGATCTAAAAATGCATGGAAGATACGAGCAAACATGGCGGCCAGACTGAGGAGGACGATATCGAGTGACAGGAGAGCTTAGCATTGGCCCAAGAAAGAGTTTTTAGGGAATGGCTGGCCAAAGTCGTCTCGCCACGTCGTCAAGTTCTCGTTGGTGTATGCCTCCATGTACCTACAGCAATCGAAATCAGCGATAGTCCACAAGGAAGGGAGCTACAACGCACTCGTTGATGTATGCTTGTGTAGGGAAGTCCTCGGGGTCGCAACCGATATTGATCTTGTCCTTGTGCTGGTACACGCGAATGTAATCCACGCGCATCTTGGTCGGGAACGTCAAGTGATTAAGGTCGACGAAACCGAAGTTGGACGACATGCCCAAGTTGGCGATGATATACTATGTTCCAGCGTGAGCAACCGCGCGCCGCCATGCATGCCTAAAAAATAGCTTTACCATAGGCTCCTGGGGAATAGCACGGGGACCGATCTCCACCGCTGTATCAGCACCCATTCCAGGAGCATTCAGGCGCCAAGCGGTCTTGTTGTTTGCGATCCAAGCAATGTACTAGACAAGCAAAATCGTACACATCGTTCGTGACTGTAGAAGGAACAAAGGACGCACCGCATCGTCGAAGCCAGGTACATATTCAAATCCATAAACAGAGAAACAGCCCTCCTTCAATTCGTAGCAGTTCTGGTCTGTTTCTGTCACACTTGACACGGCTTGCTGGAAGACACCGCCCATGTACGAGTTCAGGACCGTGATGGTATCGTTAGGGATGATCAGGTTGGCCGTCGTGTTCGGCCATTTGTACGCAGCGTTGAATGGCTGGAGAGGAGGGGATTGAAGAAAGAATCAATTCAAATATGTAGTCAGAACGTACTGCAAACTGGCCAGATTGCGACACTTGACCAGTAAGCGGATCACCCGTAATCTGACCAGCACAAGGAATCAAAAATTGCACATCTGACAAGCAAGTAGTAGACGTACCTGCGCTTCAAAGATATCAATCTCGGGTGCAGACCGACCGACAAATGTCCCATCTTCATGCACAGGCCCAGGGTGCGATTCACCGGTGCATGTACATCGAGACAAACGCTGACCAGGCAAGAATGAGAGGACACCGTTTTGACTGGTGTCACCATTGACAGTCGCCGCGAGCGGCAGTCCATTTTTTGTCTGATTAGCTACTGTACCGACGTCGCACGAGTCATAGGTGTATGGCCACTGCGTGATAAATCGTGAATAAGACAGAAATATCCAGAATTGGGAAACAACGAACCATTCCTTCAAGCGATGCACCATAACCGGCACGTCCCAAATTGCCCATTGCCCAAACAGCAGGCCAAAGTCCGACAATGTTGTTCGTGCCGGGAAGGGTAACAGCTGTCTCGATCAGACCACCGGTGAAGCAAAACTTGTTCCAAGTCGACATCATCCCACCTTGATAATCCAGACCATGAGTTTGCTTCGCTGACAAAGTAATCTCCAGCGCGCCGTTCTTCGTCGTGATTGCTGCAGGGTCATACCACTCCATATTGTTCGTCTGCCAGTAGTGCAAATCTACGGCTTCCCAGTATGGGTCGTCTCCGGGATAGAAAGTGCGTCCATCCTGTTCGAACTCATCTGAAAAGACGAGCTGCAATTCTACACCGTCTTCTGTGAATGATGGACGCGTATATGCCCACTGTGGGGTATCCAGGTCGATGAGTCCCCAGTTTCCAGACATGTCGGGAACCTAGCATCGAGCGTGAGAAGAATGCAAGGAGGTATCCTTACAGAGACAGTACCTGTCCACTGGCATTTGTCCCTCCCAGGTTGAATGCGCCGAACGTGGAAAGAGAATGTTTTGTGAAGTATGTGGCTATTGGATATCCAGCGCTGCGATATAAGGTCAGCACGACATAGATTACGAAGAGATGGATCACGTACAAAAGAGCAAAAATACAGAGCGCAAGGAGCAGTAGACAGCCAAGGTTTATGAGACCACGGTATGTGAACACGGTACCGCCTTGATCATTCTTTCTATCGCGTTTTGGATCAGGATTATGAAGAAAGTCATCAGGCTCGCGGATGTTAGGCGACAAGTCTGCACCCCATGAAGAAGGATCGGGCGACAACGAAAACTATAGAGACCAAATCAGATCAAAATTGGGATGATTTATATTGTGGGATAGTGATACTTTGTCCGATATTGATGGGACCACCGAAGCCGTCTTCCTCCCACTGGCGTTAGGGTACGGAGACTCATTCTAGATAATAACAACCATTAACGGGGCAAGGCATTTATAAGAACGCGGTGATTTACGAGAGAGGCCGAGCTGGTCATAGTACGCAATGACGGGGGACCTTGAGCGAGCGCGGCCTGCACGCCTCCCTGGCCTCTTGCTGAGGGGGGTAGAAGACTTGTTGTCGAGGGGGTATTGGGATTGGCAGCATAGTAACGCCTCTGAGCATCTGAGGCCATCATATCTGCAGAGGAGGGGAGTGGTGAAAGAAAGCGAAGGGTTCAACGAGGCGTTGATGTGGTAGAGTACAGACGAGGCTGAGCAGAGTGCACTGGCTAAGGAGCGGAATAGCGGTCGACGCCGTTGGAGACCGTGTTCTCACACTGTGTCGTCGGCTTCGTCTTCACATCTTACCTAATTGTTTCTTCCCATCACGTGCCCACGGCACCTAACGCGACTAGGCAGCACAGAATGGTTCAAGCTCCAGTAGATTAGCAAAGGACATAGACATACTCAACTAATCAGACAGATGTCCTACCTCTCAACAACATCTCAATCGTCAATTCAAAAGGAGAACAGCCAGATAAAGGCCAAGTTCTCCCCGCTACCGAAGAAGTTCATATAGGCTTCATCGGTGTATGAGTTGGCGCGCCCGTTGGAAAGACCTCTGAATTGCACCCGATCTGGCTTAATACACACAGGCACTGTCACTGTCCACGCGCATCTTTATCGTGAATGCCTCGGCCGTGACATCACGGAATTTTAAAGCGAGCTAAATCACGTTCTGATTACTTCCTCGGCTTGCAAGAGCCTCCAGGCCAGGACACACAACTCGATACCGCGCTAAGAATGATGGCAGCGTGCAAAGAAATACAACGGAATAAGAGTTTAATGTCTAATGCTAAGTATATGATACCTCCATACATATGGTGAACAAAAACGCATAGAGCCAACTATATCTGTACAAATACAGGATTCTTCAGAGATCCCGCGTTACTATGAACTCTGTAAAGCTTCCAGTTTCGCCAGTATCCGTTCTAGGGTGATGATACCCCCCGCTGTCAATCGTGGCACTGCCAGGTCCCGATCAACGTCTGCATCAGCTTCTCCAATAGGTGATGCACGGCTCTTCTCAATGAGCAAGCGTGAATCTTCGAGGACCTTCTGCAAACGGCCTTGCTTGCGATAGAACCAATTGATCTCTGCCTCCAGAGACCCTAGAGGAATTTCGAGAGCACGTCTGACGAACCCGCGAGATAGGACATATGCTTTCTCGTTGTACAGACGACTGAGATAAAAATGGCAACAATGAGGCGAGTCCCTTGAAGCTCCATGTGCTCACGTACCTGTTGACAATGCCTTCTTGAGTCCCCCTCAGCTTGTCATACGCGGGCTCACAAAACCATCTTCACGTATGGCGAATGAGCATTAAAGACATAACAAAGAAGCGATACTCACGGTTCCTTGACGAGCACGAGGCCCTGTATGGACACCAGGGCTTGAAGCAAAGATGATCGAGCAGGACTCCACGATTCGCTCTTGTCGCCCGCCCACGTCCCCAGGATAGATAAACATACTTTACCCTCTTCGTACAGGTTTCTATGATGGGACAACGTATCAGCGGTGTAAGAATACTAGATCCAAAGAGAGAGAAATTTACGGATTGACTGCAGAATCGTAAATTTGGTCAGTGCTCGATGGCAGGAGAGATAACCTGCGACATACCTCTGCCATTTCCGTTTGTCCAACTGAGGAAATAAGCGATCGGCGGGCTTTGTGGGAAGTTTGAATCGAGCATCCAATCAATCACAAAAGGCGCATCCTCATATGGTGTATTTTCAGGGCCGATGATGAGAGAGCGAAGGAGGTCTGATCGATCCTCATAAGCTCTGACAACGATGGAATCTTTAAATGCTTGATCAACAAGGGTTCTTGCCCACAAACCAATATATGCTCACCAGGCAAACTGCTTGTCAGCGCTCGGTATTCCTTCTGCAAGCGAGCCAGGAAACTTCTTGAAGGTTGTGATGGAGTCGTGCTATAAAATGCGTGGTCATGGGGCGCCTGTGGAAGAACATCAAACCGTGACCAAGGAGAAGATTCTGCGTCAGTCCTCTGCGGAATATGCGCATCATCGGAACCACTCTTCTCCCCCATGTCCGCATCGTATTTTTCCTCCACTGCATCTTTCGGCACGTCGGGCGAAGAAGAACGGACAGTTAACGATGGAACTTGAGAAACAGTGGAAGAGTCTGAGTTGGCTAATGGGGCGTTACTGGCTATATTGGCGACCACGTCAGCCCACCATCTCGCATGGACATCGTCCGGATCGGGGTCGGCAGTTGGTTCCGCCCAAGTGTCTTCATCCACCTCCATAGGTTCGTCCTCGTCCGTTTCTTCCCAATCGCCCTCATCACCGTCCGGCGAAGAATGTGATTGCCAATTTCCGTCTTCGTCCATATGCCATACCTCTTCATCGGCATGAATGTGATCGTGGTCAAGCTCTTCTTGCGTTGACATATCGTCCCCCCATAGATCCTCTAACTGCTCGATCGTATCGTACAATTTTGTTAGGCGCTCGAGCGGAAAGATATCTCTTGATCCACTGGGATATGTAACTTCAACTCTCCCGTCTAATCGCAACTGTTTGATGTCAGGCAAGGCTCGACAGACGAGGAGGGAAGGCCGAGCACTTACATCGGAAACTTCCCCGAACCAATCAAAAGAACGATCATCGGGTCTGCAAATTCGACCCTCGGTGAGTCGCTCTTGTTCTCGGCGGCGTGCAATATCCATTCCGATATCGCCCATTAACTTGCGCCATCCTCCGTACGTGCCATTCCCGTGGACTATCGGGGGCTCTCTCACCCACGGTTCAATTTCACCTATTCGTGGTATTCTGGGAGCTTCTAAGCCATTGTGCAACCCTTCGGAGTGAATGAACACGAAATCCCCTCGACGCACGCCTAGACCGTCGAAAGGCGCGGGGGTAGCCGCCGACCAATCGCTGGTTCCGTGAGGATCTAACTCAAGGAGTGACACCAGTTCTACATTGCCTATGTCGCTGTAGCGGACAGAAGCAGTCCGATCCACCGCATTGACGGACTGAACAACCGCTGCACGCTTCTCATCCTCACTCTTCCAAATTACATGATCTCCAGGCCTCATTTGCAGTTTCAGTACGGAAATATAAACTAAAGCAGAGGACTACTCACCAGGTATCATATTCATCCGGGTTAAGATAGGGAATGAGATCCGTTGATAACACCACATCTTTTGATCCGTCTTGCCAGAGGACCTCCACTGTAGTCTGTGTCGACTTTACAACATAAACACGAACCTCGATGGAGCCGCAAATGTCCCCCTCCTTTCCGTGTCGTGTAAACGGAAGACCATCCGTATTCTTCAGAATCACTTTGTCGCCGACCCGCATCATTTGTTCCGCCCGTTTTCGCACAAGTTTGAGCTTAGCAAGATTTACTCCATACCAGAAGCGGTCTGGACGAGAAATTCCGGCAGCTTCCTCCGCTGGCAACTAGACGTTGTTCTCCAGCCAAATTATATATGATGCGAATTGAAAGGTACACACAGTTTGGTTGATGGCTAGCCACGAGATGGCTAGCACGCTGTGCTTGACTTCTACAACTGTATCGGTGTTCCTTGAAGGTCTTGAGAAGAGCCCGAAAAGGTTTGTAACGCTGTTGGGGAGCGGTATAATATCCTATACGGCGGTGTTGAGTAGTGAGACACAGAGTCAGATGTCGTCACTCACGCTCCCTTTCTCGCCCACTGTGAGACGCGAGCTGAGTTCTGGCAATCGGACCAACTGGCCATTTGACACATCAACAGTAGCTTCATCAAAGAGCTGATCCATATTAGCCCAGTTTAATAACCAAAAGGAGTCAATTAAATTACCTCAACAACCTAGAGCAAGGTGAGATAGTGGGACGAAGAGATACACCATGCGACTTACCTGGCCAATCCAGTTGTCATACGCTACATAGTCCCCTGCATCGACATCTGACGGGCTCTCAACGTCCGCCATACTCTTCCATCCTGGCACGGGCACACCGCTGATCGCGTGCTCCAAACGACCCTTGACCTCTACACTTGTAACAACCCCCGACCGGACGTCGTCGATGCTTCTCTTGCATAGGTCTCCTGGTTGAAACATCCGGTCGACAAGAGTGAATTCTGTTTCAGGGAGAATGTCGCGGATACCGCTAGGAAAGAAGGAAACGCCGACTTCTCCACGCTCAAGCGGGCGCATGAGTGGGTCACCGTGATCATGGGATGGTGGTAGGTCCTCCGCGTCGTGCCAACATCTCTAGTGAATGTGCCAGTAGTTAGTGGATATGCCACAGCCGTTGAGATATGGGCGACAGACCAGAACTATGCCAGTCTGGTTCGGCGAACTTATTCGTTGTACGATATCCTCTTGATAGAACTACGCTCGGCACGTAATGAGGGAACGCACACGCTCTTCCAACTTGAAACGAACCTTGGTTGGTGCTCTGATGTCATCCTCGAGGGCCATTAGAGCAGTATGATATAGAGAATTAGGAAAAGATAGAGCTGGGAAAAGTAGATTCGTAGTAACAAGTTGTGCTGGTAAGAGAGAGATCGCTGCTTCAGCTCGAGTCGCACACGGCAGCTGCCGGAATCCAACCCCATAGGCCTGTGGACTCAAACAACTAACACAACACTCTTTCGAGTTGACAATGACTACCTGAGTCAACTGTATGCCCGCAGACACCTCTTGGTCACCGTGCAAGCCAGTAGGTCGACTTCATTCAACTTTACAAATATCTATAACTATCAAGGTCGTGGGCACTGGGCATTTATCAGAAGCATCAGCATTTCGCACGCAGACGCAAATCCTGCGCGCCAAGATACTGCCAGGATTGGCACCCATTAGTATCTTCCTGTGAAATGACAAACGCTTGGCTGTTTTGCGCTATCAGACCGTCCCGGCGCGGTGTGACTAGTGAACATTGTAGCGTAGCGTTTTCTGACTCTTGATGCGGCTTGTCCGAGAACTGGTCTGTATGCTGTCGCGGGGGAAGACTGCATAATTCACTGCGGCATCATTCAGTGTTCTTTCTCTTCTGATACCAGAGGTAAAAAGGAAATATTTGCTTCAGAGGGCAAGTTACTACCCCACTAATAGCCTGCTGTCCTTGCTCTAAGCCTTCCAGAGCCGCTGAGCTCAACTTTGATAATCTCAGCAATCTATGCGAGTCCACATGTATCGCACTTCCTCCTATTTTCCTCTCCCGCTGAGGTCATGGCATCGTCCCCTAGCCTGTTGACACTGCCAGCGGAACTGATCCTTAGGATCCTGGAGGATCTAGACTATCTTTCCATTCTCGCGTGCAAAGGAGTGAGTTTTTAGCCCACCTACATCCATATATAAGGACACCCACAAATTTTATCGGTGCAGATATGTCAAGGGCTGAAGGCACTCATCGACCAGTCCGTGGCCTTGCAATATACCGTTGCGCTTACGACTGCCGGTCAACAAGACGGATCTAGCTCCCGTCTGAGCACCGCAGTGCGGTCACAAATGCTAGTCGACCACCAAGATGCCTGGAGAAAGCTGAAGTGGAGCGAGCATACGAGCGTCCCAATGAAACCAGGCGGAGTCTGGGAGTTGTATGGGGGTGTTTTCGCGGAGAGTTCAATAGACCGCGAAACACTGTTCTTCAGACAATTGCCTTCGCGCTTGCGAGGCATCGAAACTCGCGAATGGCACGTCGATGTCGGTTTTCATATTCGCGATTTTGGAATGGATCCGTCTCAGGACCTGCTCGTAGCTCTACAGTGAGTGACATCCTGCATCTCTTTCGTTGGTCGAGCGGCATTGACCCTCTAGCAGGGTAGACATCCCTAATGAAATGTGCAAAATACATCTACGTTCAATGTCGACAGGCGCTGCACATCCTTCATCTACCAATCCATCTGTACTGCAGCATCCTATTGAGAACGCGGATCAGAATTGGGAATATTGTATCATCATAAGTGGTGATTGCCTTGGTATCATGTCCAAAGCCGTAGACGCTGCTGAGGTTGATAATCAACTTGCAGTGTGGAATTGGAAAACGGGGAAAGTCATGATGGTAAGATCACCGTCCTCCTCGCTGTTCAAATAGAATCGCGTTGAAATTTTCTCCACTTTTATAGTGGCTGAGTGGATACGATCTCAAATCATTTGTGTTCCTCGACCAACGCTTTGTCTTGGTCGGCCACTTTGACGGAGGACCATCACCTGGCAGCATACCTGGCCTTGCCGTCTACGACCTGAATGTGATGTCTCTCCAAAAATGTCACATCAAGATAGCTCCTTTTCGCCATTATCTTACCCTTCCTGCTTTGGAGGAAGAGACATTTCTACTTAACTTGGGTATTCGCTCCGATCCTGCACCTGCCTGGGAACCAAGCTCTGATTTGGCCGTCCCATTTCACACAAAACATGAGGAGCGATTGTTCGTCATCACAATGCTAGGCGTCACCCCAACAAGGGCACGGACATTGGACCTGTTTGTCAATTCGCGATACATCCTGGAACTAGCGCGCGGCGCATCTCCGCCGTTCTCTGTGGTACCTTGGCATCAATGGGGCCCTCATCACAGCCGCGCGCTGGCGCACCGCCCAAATTGGACGGCCTGGGTGTGCTACGTGTATGGAATGAAATTTGTCGAGCCTGCACCAGTCGAACACGCTGGTACTCTGATGCTACAAATCATGGACTTTCACCCGATCAGAGTCGAACGAGTCAGGCGGGGAGAGCTGGCGGAAGAAGGATGGACTCTCGTCACCCTTCCAAATCGAGTACCCAAGGGCTGGCTGCAGTCCATCGACGTAGAAACGGACCTCCCATTTCTCATCAAAGAGATCCCCCTCCCTCCAGAAGTGGGCAATGCTGCTGAAGCTTTCATGATCAGTGAAGATACACTAATCGCTCTCGAAGAGGTGTGCGGGTCTATTCTCGTCGATTCGTGGGCCGTGCTGATAGGAACCGAGAGCAGCGATCTGTGCCCCGGATAATGCATCTGTGGACTTTTTGAATCGTGTGGAGTTGAGTGAATGACAAACCGAAGTCCAGTCGCGATATGATTATACATCTATCTTTTAAAGCGTCACAAATGCACACCAGGGCTATGTACCACGGGCCTCGTGGGTGCCTCAACTGGTTCGGGGCCTCTGGATTGTTTTTGTCGTCTTGTTAGGTTGGCCGAGAATGAAATTTCCGGAGTATGTGTCCTTGGTAAGCGACCTTCCTTTCGTCATTAGAGCTCGACTTGGTATGTTTCATGATCGGCGAAGATATATCGGTAGCTGTTGAAGAGGTACGTGGGACCATGATCCTTTTCACGAGTCATACAAACCATAGATCACACACAGCACTCTCAATGACGCATGATATCATTATTTTTCACGGCGATTCCAGGTCCTGATGTGACCTCATTTCGCCTTGTCCGCCTGGAGAAAACGATGGCTCAGATGACGGCATGTATGCTATGGGTGTTGTAGGATCACTGAGACCGAGACTCTTATCCCACGGAACTGTCTGCCGGAGAGACTACCTTCCTGACCAGTAACGCTGTATAAGCGCCAGGGGATGTAGGCGCTTTGAAAAGCGCTTCTCAGACGGGTTTCACTTTTCCCAACGCGAGTCAGTATTTTTAGCGCCAATCGGCGGCACAGCTTCATCGACTTGCAGATCAACGACGAGCGCTCGATCTGTTAATTCACAAGGAACAAGGTTCACTTTGTATGGATGCGAAATAAGACGCCCGCATTGCTCTGCCTTCAGGGTGCTCACTGCTCTCGATATGCTGATCGACCTTGATTGCTTCCCATGGGAGCGAAAATTACGCGACTTGACACACAAATAGTGCAACCATGTGGAGCACGTTGTCTGATCCGTGCGACGACTGCTTCGACCGCGCTGTCTGAGTGCAGGAGCATCCGACCGACTGGTGTAATAGTTGACGGAACGAGGCGGGCGCCAAGGGATCTTATCTGATACAGCTAGATGAGATCACTGACTGAGGACTCGGTTGCAAAGTTTTCTCGAGGACAGCTGCTGCAGCTATGCTCCCCCCATGACTCATATAATTACCGCCCTCACGTCCCCTTACCTCCCAGCACCTCCCGCATCCCCCCTCCACCATGTTCCACCATACCACTCTCCACGGCCCACACAGATTCGCCTCCATCGGCCACAAGGCCCAGTCGGCACATACCTTCAAGGCGTTTTACGCTGTCCGTCCCTCTCGGTTTCTGTGTCTGTGTCGCAATGCTCACCTGTGCCATGCCACCAGACTGTACGAGGCCTCCGCCAGCTACCAGAGCACGATGATCATGAGTTGCCAAACAATGTATGTGGTGGAATCATCTACTTTCGCCTGGGACAAACGTCTAACCTCCCCCTTCAGGACTTCATTCTGTCCATCCTACGTGCCAACCCATCGGCGAGAGACGCCAAATCATATCTGGCCTCCTTTGGTCCTCGCCCCCAACGCACTCCTTCACTAGCCTTCCCTCCTGCTCTTCCCCAAGCACACCCCCCGGCTCAAGATGATCTGAAGACTTCAGCAGTGGTCGAGGAGCCCAGACCCAGCCCTCTCATCGCGTCTATCCTCAACCCCGTGTACCGCCGCACGGCACTTGTAAAAGTACAGGGCCCCTTCACAGAACGACAGCTGGAGAGTATCACCCGAGGCATGGTGTACCTTGAAAAGCTCGGCCTCGTGAGCGTGATCGTCGTAGAGCACGACGACATCCTAAAAGGCGACGACGGCGAGCGCGACGCCATCATGCAGCAAACGATGCGCGTCGTCGAGTCTCTCGAAAAACATGGCGCCAAAGCGCGTCCCATGCTTAGCGCCGTGGTCCGATTAGGACCGAAACCTGAAGATGATGCCGGACGTGGACCGCAGCACAATATCCCCGAAGCGCATGCATACCCATCGGACCTCACCCCTATCCGCTCAGCGCTGCGCTCTGGAGAGATACCGGTGCTGTCCCCGATGGCCCTTGATTCATTTTGTCGCTCGGTCCGAGTCGACGCGAATGACGTGGTCGCCGCCCTGGCCCGAGGCATGGTCGAAGCTGCGGCGCTCGACGGGCACAATAAGCGCAGCGCGGACGGCCAAGTGGAGTTCTCGGACGATGTTGATCTCACCCCGTTGCGGCTGATGATCATCAACCGCGAGGGCGGTGTGCCATCCTATGCTCGTTCCGGATACCCGCATCTTCTCATCAATCTCGCATCGGAATACCATCACATTCAGGACACATTTCAGGGCTCTTGGGAATCGACGCACCCGACGGCGCTTTCGAACCTGTCGTTGGCGCGGACATGTCTGGAGTACATGCCCCCGACGTCCTCGGCGATCATGGTCAATCACCGCGCGCCGAGCTCGCTCATTGCGAACTTGGTCACGAACAAGCCTGCGTTCAGTTCGAGCTTGCCCCACGCCCTGTTACAGGGAAACCGGAGCCTGACCCCTCACACCCCTACCCTCCTCCGCCGAGGGCTGGACATCTCTGTGATTAAGAACGTGGCCGACATCGACAAGGCGAAACTCACCGCGCTCCTCGAGCAGTCTTTCAACCGGATCCTGGATGCGGACGCGTTCTATAAACGCCTTGAGAAGCACCTCGATTTCGTCATCGTAGCCGGCGACTATGCAGGCGCGGCTATCGTCACCACCGAGCCGTGCCCCAACGCGCCCAACTTCTCGCCCATCGCCTACCTTGACAAATTCGCCGTGCTTCCGAGCCACCAGGGAGACGGTACGGTCGACTTCCTCTGGGTCGCCCTGCACGACGAGACGTACGGTCTTGGCCTCCCCAACTCCGTCAACCCGAACGGAGGGAAGGAGGGCCGGGGCGAGGGCCAGGACCTCGTGTGGCGCAGTCGTGCGAACAACCCCGTGAACAAGTGGTACTTCGAGCGCAGCTCGGGTCACATTCGCATGGGCGACTGGGTGCTTTTCTGGTGCGACGCGGAGAAGCGGCTGAAGACGGTGGAAGGCCGTCGAGCTTCGGCTGGGTTGTCATATATTGAGGAGTGGGAGCAGGGCAGGCTGTCCTCGTGGGCCGATGTGGTCCCCAAGATACCTTCGAGCTGGAAGTAATGACCTAGACGCCACGACATTGTGAAGGGATTGGCGTTGACCGCACGTTCCTCTTGTGATCAAACCGAGACGATGATTTGTAGACTTATGTATCTTACTAGGGCCTTAGGATATGTATCATGGATCAAGTAAGTAGTATATTGCAGCAATCATACATAATCGAAGACGTAGCAGGCCTCCACAGGGCAAGAAGCGACTCAGCGTCGAGGGCTCTGCCGTTGTCTGCAGCTTCGTCGTGTGGGAGCGGGCACTGCCGAGACGTCCGGGCTCGAGAGTTGATTCTCGTCGCGGTGTCGCACTTCAGCGAGCGCGACGCTGCCCGCACGTTTCCACGGCTGGTACCTGGAGCCGTGTGTGATCACAGACTCCCTGAGGTCGTGCACGCCCTCGATAATGCGTTCGCGGAAGCGGCCCGAAGTCCAAGTGTCGATGTTCCGGATGAGCAGCCAGACCTTGATGATGTCGCTGGGGTCGTCGAGGCACCATTCGTGGAACACGTCATCTGCGGCCTCTTCAGCACGGTCCAAGCCGGGAAACGGGGCGGACTGCACGGTCTGTCCACAATGAATATAAGCTGGGTGAGCACGATTTCATTAAAGGTAACGCTGAGCACCAACCGGAGTAGCACCGTGCTCGCTCGAGCACCAGTCGACATGGGCGCGGACTGTCCCGTCCGACCATATCAATCCAAATACTGGCGCCCTCACGTGCAGTGAATGCAGATGCCTGATGGCCGCGGCGGTCGACATGCGGTTCTGGCGGTACGCGTCGGTCAGCATCTGGTGCAAGGGCTTCTTGTCCTCCCAGAAACTGGACGCAAACTCGAAGCAGGGCGTGCTGGGGAGCTGCGCGCACGGCGTGCTCTGGCTCTCGAAGGACTTGCTGATGCGCCCGCGGGTCGTCAGCTCGCTTCTCTTGAGGGCCTTGAAAGGAGATTGTGCGCCGGCGGATAGTTCGCGAATGTCCTTAGACGCAATGAACACGGCGCAGTCGGGAATGGCGGTTTTGGCGTTTAGGATTCGTGCTGCAGTGGGTTTGGGTTTAAGGTGTCGCTGGGGTTGGGGGAGGGATATAGTACATTTAGCCCTGTGAGCAATAAGTATTTACGTCGAAATTAGCCGGTGACGATGTGGCAATACCTGTAAGAGGATGTCGAAAGTGCGGGGCTTCGGAAGACTTCATAGCTACATTTATCATTAGGGTCTTGAGTGTGATTCCCCTGGTACCAAAACAAATGAATAGAACGACTGACACGTTCGCGACGAAGTCGGCCTCCGACACCTTCTCTCCAATCTCGCGCATAGAACGAAGACGCTGCCACGCTTTGAACACGACCCGAAGGTCGTCGAGCAGCTCGAGGCTCTCTTCTGTTTCGGAAGATACACTTTTGGAGAAAAGGCTCCGACACGACTTGCGGGCCTTCTTGAGGAATCTGCGAAATTCCGCCGATGCACCAGGCAGAGGCAGCTGTGCGACAGGCTCCTGTCAAAGACAGTACGACAGGAAGAGAGTCAGTGGAAATCACCTTACTCGCCCATGAAGCGGGTAAAAGTCCGTCCACGGTGAAAACCTTTGTGACGTCGTCACGAAGGTCATTTGGCACGTCCGAATACGCGACCTGTTCGCAACCCTGGTAAGTCGCCCACGTCTCGAAGTTCTTGACGTTTCGCGCAATTCTGGATGATCGACGGGTCAAATCACGCGACGTAGCAAGCGAGACACGAGAGCCTACTCGGACGCAGAAAGAGAACGCGGAGGACGCGTCCCTTTCTTGAGTGGGGGAGCAGTGGACACGGAATCCAGCGATTCTCGGTTAGGGCTTGGCATGATGATAGTTCTAATGTAGGTTAGTAGAAAGAATGTCGCTGAGTGATGTGTTGTGTTAGAAAGAGGGGGGTAGGTGTCGCTGAGTGTCGTGAGTATCGTGCAAGCCACCACAGTGCAGCTGTAGTGAGGGGTCAACTGAGAGGGGGCGGAGGTAATTTGCAAGGGCGGGGATTCCACCCTTTTGTATCTTCGAAAGTTACCAAATCAGGACCGCTCGGAAGCAACGTATGTTCTCAGATCTCAGATTCGGTCATTCCCATCACTTTGCCTTTGTTCCGCTGTCCCCTCTAGTAGACAAAGATTTACGCGTACATCGCAGGAAAATAAGACCAAACGTGAAAATGTGGTATGTACTATGCAGATCAGAAGAAGCTGTCCATGACCTTTCTCGAGGCCTCCACTCCGAGCTGAACGAGGGTCAGTCCGTGAAGCACGCAGAGAAGGAATGAGAGAACGCACGAAAGTTGCAGCATTTGCCGGGAATGCCTGCACAGCTGTCCATCAGTATCTGAAAATGGGGGCTCATGTTTGACACGTACCCGTCCCATCGCTGGGCCAAATCCTTTCCACAGCGCCTTTACTCCGTCCGCTGCGATCGTCTTCCTCGCGCAGTCAAAGAAGCCGGAGTATGTTCCCGTGGGTGCCGACTGCAGTCTCGATTTCAAGACCTGTGATACCGCGAGCCAGTCAGCATATATCCCACAAACAGTGAGGACGGTGGGGGCGGCGTACGTCGGGAGGAATAGCAATGGCCCACATGGCCACGCCAGCAGTACCACCAGCCAGTATGACGGCGCCAAGATTCAAGTCTGCTGGCGATGCACCAGCAGGCGTCAAGAACTTCTTTGTGACTTCATACGCGGCGAAGTATCTATTCGGGCCCGGATGAGCAAACAAGCCATCAGCAAGGCAGATTGAAAACGCACGCGGCGCTACCAGGTCCGTCGCGAGCCAGCGTCGCACCTGTACCGCGGAATATACTGCGCAGACCACCCTCCTTGTACAGGTGCTTCATCACATCCAAGACACCCTTATATTTATGTTCTGATCCGCCCTGCCCTTGCACCTTTACAAAATGTCAAACAAAGTACTATTGAACGAATATACAAGGTGACTCACTTGGAGGAGAACCTTTGCTCTCTCAACAGGGGCAGTGATGGCGGTGGTCGGGACGGCGGAGAGAAAGCCAGCTGTAGCAAGCTCTGCGATAGTCAAATTTGATTGTGTGCGGTTGGGTGTCAGAGCGAAAATCAGGGCCTTCGACGCGTCATACGCCTGGAAAAGAGAAAAATTGAGTCTATTAAGCTCGTCGCTGCTCGAAGATACGGTTCTTACCCAGAAAGACACGGCGAATATTGGCGTGACGCCGAGTAATGGCGGGACCATACCACGGTACATGCTTTTCAACGACGACGATACCCTCAGTACCCCACTCGCAACGCGTCGGATGATAAGACCTACCCAGTGATACCGTCACGCGCAACAGCCTGTCTCACCACATCTACCGCTCCCTTGTACGTCCCCGGAGGTGCGGTCTGCAGCCGAGTCTTCGTGAGGTCGAAAGGATGACCTTGAAGCGGGAATGCCAGCAGATTGAGCGATGTTCACGAGTGCTACGCGCGCAGACGTACCAACTAATACCGCAGACACGCCTCCAAACCCTCCCGCGATGAACGACTTCACATTGTCGGCAGCGGACGAGACCGCCCTCGTTTCTATCGCCGCGTCGGCGTCGGTGCTCTGTCACAACGAGCATTTTTCAAGTGGTCCCGATCCACGAAAAAAAGTGACTCGACGCACCATCTCTGCGTGGTGGAAAAGTGGGGTAATGGGAGAGTGTGAGCGGTAGTGCGGGAATGCGCGGACGAGGACTGGAGGGTTATTTGAAGACCGGCTGTCCGATGGCCAATTCCGGACATGATGGAGCGTGATTTTGCCGACCTAACACCCTTTATCTGATAAGTAGATCGGTGTGCAGATGTGCACAATCTTATAGATGGGACCTCATGAAGGAGTCTTATAAGCAGGACCTTATGGGGAATATTACAAGGGAGCCTGACAAGGAAGCCATATAGATATAATTTAGCAGAGGAACCTCAATCTTTTGAATGTGACCTTGCAAAATCTTATAGAGGGGCCTTATTGGGGAATCTTATAGGTAGAACATTATAGGATATCATGGAAAATGGACTTTATGGGCACTAAAAATGACATTCTGGCACCTTATAGAGGAGCTTCATAAGAGAGCCTCACTGGCAGGACCTTATGGAGGAACCTAACAGAGGAATATAATGGGTAAGCATAATAGAGGAACCTAACAGGGGAATATAATGAGGGAACCTATATAGGAGAACCTTATGTGGGCCATATCTTCGCAGCTGTTGGAGCTTGAAACAGTATCCTAGCACTTCATGGAAAAGCCTCATAGGCAGGACCTCATAGAGGAACTGGATAATCCTTGACAAGAGAGCCTCATATGGAGAATATTATGGGCAGGACCTTATAGGATATTACAAGAGAGCCATATTGCAGCAAAATACTTTATGGGGACTGGACTTTATGGGGACTGGACTTTATGATCAGTGCACTTTACAGGTACACCAGACCAAGCACTACAACGCATGGTTACACCGTCGCAACGCGACAGGTGGGAAGCTAGTCACAGACAATTACAGAGATGCGTTCGAATGACGTTATGATATACAACGAGTGTCCGTGTATTTCCAGTACATATTCCGCCTGTGGTAAAGACAATAACCTCAAGAGATATTCTACAATATTCACGTGCCGTGTCCGGTGTCTAAGCCCAATACATAAAGCACTACCCTCATCACGCGTCGACAAGCGCATCCTCTTCCCTGGAAAACCCGCCGACAGGCTCGTACGTTGCCTCGGTCGCGTCCCTCCTCCACACGGCCCTCACGCCCAAGAAAAACATGCAGATCGCGAGCGAGCCGATCACGCCAACCGCGACCGGCGCACCGAACGCTATCCACCACGGCGGCTGGTACGGAACCAGCAAGCGATCGATCTGAATGACGCCGCCCGTGCCGGACCCCGTCGTCGCGCGGCCCCACGCCAGCACGCGCGCAGAGTCCGCGCGCCCGTTCGTGCCCCGCGCGTCCTTGATCCCGACGACCAGGTCGCCGCCCTCGAGCGCGCGGAACACGACGTCGCCGTAGTCCGAGTATGGCGAGAGCAGCGTCGCGTACGTGGCGGAGTTGTCGAGCGACAGCGGGCGGTTGTTATTCGGCGCGTCGGACACCTCGACGGACTGCGGCACCTTGATCAGGTGCTGGCTGACGATCGCGCGCAGGATGCGCGTGTTCGAGTACAGCTGTGTCAGGTTGAACGGCTTGAACGCGTCGTCTGTGGGGCATAGGAGCGTCCATCCTGTGCCAGTCTGGCCGTCGTGACCCCACGGCGAGTCTTCTGGCGGTGCCGTTCCGTTCAAGACCCAGTCCATGCCCGCCTTGACGACCATGTTTGTCATCGTCGTGCCCTTAGCTGCCTTGACAAGCTTCCCGACAGTAAGATCGAGAGAGCGTGGGATAAGTACGTCGGAGAGTTCATGCACGACCCCAGTCTGGGTGAGCATGTTTCTCGGGTAGAGATCGGAGTTCAGGCCGGCCCAACCGCCACTAGCATTGAGAACGATCGAGCCATTCGCGGTCCTTTCCACGTGGAGGTCTGAGCCTTCCAAAGTCGCATATGTCCGGGCGGAGCTGTTTTGCAAGCTCTGAGCATATACGACATCGTCGAGTACGTGGTGCAGGATGACATGTTCTAGATCGGATTTCGAAGAAGCAGAGAGAAGATGCTCGCTGACTAGGAGACCCAAGCGCTTAAACGCATCGTTATGAGGGATGAGAAGCGTTGTGCGGGGTGTTGTCTTGAGAAAGTCAGCTAGCGAAGAGGAAAAGATGGCGGCAAGGAACGAAGATAGGTCGAGAGAAGGAAGTGCCACTTGCAACGCATTATCAGGCGGTGCGAGCGGTCGAGAAACGAAGTAGATTAATGTGTTGTTTATCTCGTCTGATGAACGCGTGAGATGGCACCGTGTCCGGGAGACTCGTTGAGAAGGAGCGCTTACGAGGTTCTCCGACGATAGAGGCACCGCCAAAGCTGATCGAAGCTTCGGATTTCTCTTTCCCATGCCCGCTGACCTCTACCTCGAGAACTTGCCTTCCGGAGCCCAATCCAGGTTCATCCAACTCGGTCTGTATAAGCATTCCGTCCTTCAATTTGCTCGGATTCCACTGGCCCGGAAGGAAGTGATATTTCAGCAACTTCTTCAGTTCCTCACTACCCTTCTCCGGTAAATCACCGTCTCCATACATAGCAATAACATCGTCTTGAGGGGCAAGGATGGTGTACTTCGCTTGCGTGTCGTTCACTAGATGAGTGAGGTTGACCGAATGGATAAGCGAGATGAAGTGGGTACAGTGCAAAGTGAGAAGGAATTTCTCTGGTGTCAGTTGCAGTACGCCGGGAGGAATGAGCAAGGAAGAGACAGTGTGGAGAACGCCATTGGAGGCGTAGATGTCTGGCTGTTTGAGCTCGGCGTCAGAAACGAGCACTTTGTCGGGAGCGGTCACGATCCTTAACGTCTGGCCGTCAAGAGTGGTCACTATGATCGCGATGAGACGTTAGTCGAAGAATTCTCATGGTTAACTTACAATTGATCGCAGGCTGAAACGAGTCGGACCATTTCACAGTCTTCTTCTCTACTGTGTGCATCTCAAAGATACGACGAAGGTCGTGGGCCGCAAAGCCACTCTCGAGATACAGTTTCTCAATGGGATCAAGGGCGTCCCATGCAGTGTCCTCTGGGAGGAAGAGGGTGAGCTCTGAAGAGGAATTGAGACGGTCTATGATCTCTGGTGTGAGAATCTTGTGAAAGTAAGAGACAGAGGAGTGAGACGCGACGATGTTTGCTGTGGGAGACGGCGGGTGAGAATGGGGTACGGAAAGGGCCGGAACCGACAAGGGACCGACCTAGGTTTGTTGGGACGGGAAGAACGTCGTCTATTCCTAACAGTATGCCATTCCCGGCATCGACCTGACCCTTTACCAGCTTCGCACCTCCTTCGCCGAACGCGTCCACGCCGACACGGAGCTCGCCATCGCGCGCACCAAGACGAAGGCGTTGAGGTTCGCCACCCAGAGTTCCACCTGGAATAGGCATCCAAGGAGGGTGAGGAGGAGGTTCGCGAGTGGGAGGTTCGGGAGGAATGTGGGGGAAGTGGAGGGTCTTCAATGTGAGAACATCCTGTTCAGCAGGAAGGACGATAGAATAATTCAATAGATGATAGAATAAGTCCTGACGGAGTTGCTCGTTGATATTATCTGCATAGGGCATAGTGTGGTCGTGTAGAGCGTCCATCCATAGAGAATTGGAAGAGGAGTGCCGTTTGACGGCATCGTTGGTCGGAGCGAAGAAAGTGCTGCCGTTCAACTTGTTGAGAGTTGGGATTAGCCTTGCGCGTTGAAGCAAGTGGAGAAGTAAGGTATAGTCCGGATCTGCAGAGAGCGCTTCGACGAGTGTCTTGGGGGGAGATTCTAACGAGACCTGAGCGGCGGAGTCTGCGAACACGCGAGGCGGGAGGAGAGCGAAGAAGGAGAGGGGAATTGCGTTCCAGAGACGCATAGCGAGGAGTCAGAGGAGGCGTGCGCAGCAGAGGCAGGGGTGGATTAAATAACGCGGCCTTGCAGGGAAGGCGAGGGCGCGCATGAACCGAACGGCGCAGACGCCGGTCACCACTCGACACGCTCCCTGCGTGAGGCCACGCACTTACGTAACACAAGGCGGCCCTTACCCCCGAGGCGACCGCGTTCGGCGACGTCCCCTTCGTCTACAGCGTCTCCCTGTGCAGCTGATCTGCTTTCTGCTCGATGCTGGACGTGAGCTTTCCTTGAAGGCCTCGACAACTGGCCCTACGACTCCCTTTAATCCGCACGTCGTGGCATCGCAATGCTCGACCTCCTCCGCACGTATGCAGGGTGCCCCGCTTCTGGCCTCCAATGCCTATATCTTCCAAACAAAACGCTTCTAGTCTGTTGACGCACTCCCTCGCGCCCGCTCTTTCTGACGCGACATTCCCAGCTCTACCCCTCCGCAGACACCGTTGTCGTTCTCGATGCCCGTAAACTTCTCCTCATCCGCGCTCTTGCTTTCTGGCAAGTCTTCCCGGGCTCGCGCCACGTGAGCGACAGCATAAAGTGCCTGTCTGTCGACTCTTCAATGAAGCTCGTGCGTCCGCCCATCACACTGACGATCGAACATTCCTTAGGCATCCCCGCTATGTAGATAGTGGCTTCCATGGGCACACGTGTTGCTGCCTGGTCTCTCTCGGGAGTGCAGCAGGACGTTTGGCGCGTCCATTCCTCCCTCACCCTTCCAGGAGGGCATGACGTGAGTAGTTTGGACTGCAAATCTGGTAAATACTGCTATCTTGTGATTGTGTCGCTAGAAACGAATAGATCATCGTGTACCACATCAGGTTTGCTCGCCGTCGCTAGTCATAATTCTCTCTCCGTTTACACGTTGATCCTGGAAAATGACCTCCCAACATGGTTGAAGAAGTGGACCTGCGCGTACGTTTAGTCGTTCTATTACTCCTCGCCCCACAGCTTGATGAAAGCCTCAGCATCGCGACGCCCTCACGCGTCCGGTTCTCACCATCCTTGATGTACATGGCCACAACGTGCCAAGTGCGTTACTCCAATCCGCATTCCAATTCTCATTTTGACCAATGCGCAGCACGATAATGTAGTGCGCATATATTTAACTACCTCCGGCCGCCAGACCCAGGCCATCCCTCATCCGAGACCGGTCATCAATATCACTTGGCGCCAGTCCCAGGCCTCCAGTCGGTTCGTTCTATGTACACTATGCGTCACCTAACATTGCCGACATCCAACGCAGGGACGATCTCATCCTATACACCATTACTTCTGACTCGACTCTGCGGATATTCCTTCCCATCTTAGATTCGCCGCAGCACGTACAGCTGCATGCGACATTAGATCTCTTCTCGTCTCTCCCTCCTACAGTCCTTTCGCAAGCATCTTCCAATTCTGCAGATTCCAGTGTATTTTGGTTAGACAGAGAAATTATCGGAGACGCGCTCACCCACGCTGTACGCGATGTGCCTGATGCAGAGGATGCAAAAAGTCGGAGAGCAAGAGACATCAAGGAAGCGGGTTGGGACCTATTTCTTCGAGTTTTCTCTGACGGCTCTTTGGTCATTCGAGCTGTTGCAGTGAGTATAATATGTTGTCACCTCTCAATCGGCTAGAGCTTTTCCTCAGAATATAGATCGCCGGCCCCCGACCCTTCTCAAACAATTCACATTACTTCAGACGTGGCCCACGACCTTTCCTTCGCCCCCTTCCCACCTTTACATCCTCCCAAACCCTGGCGAGCCTACCCTGACCCTCGTGTCCTCATCTCCCCTCGCTACTTACTCCCTCAATCCGCTGAACTTTTTTGATGCGCGTTCGGATGGTTTAGAGCTATGCGCACAAGGCCTAGAGCGCGTCCAGGAAGAGGACTCGCATGTTCGTCGCTTTGTGCGCACGCCGGATGGGCAGGGCGTCGCCGTCGTGCGCGAGGACGGCGGCGAGGTGTGGACCGTGCACGAGCAGGGGTCAAAGCTTGTGCGTGAACTTCGGTGGGCAGCCGCAGACCATGTCGTCGTATTAAACAGAGGCAAGTTCAGCATTCTTCTTCGCCTTCGTAATGGTGAATCTTAATGCACTTGATAGGTCGCACTATTGCCACCTTCTCCAACGTTGATCATATTCTCACTCTTCACACCACGCCCACCACGACTCTCGCTCTTCCTTCTATCACGTCGTTGTTCTCTCTCCCCCCCTCGTCCGGCGAGCATGAGTGCATCTTCGGTGTCACGTCGGACACTACGCCGTCCATCCTCCACATTCATGCCACGCTCGAACCGGCACCGTCTCTGCACCTCTTATCGAATACCACGCTGCCCTTGCCCTCGCCGCCTGCGTTCATCCTGCCCGTCGATCCGATGGCGTGGAGCGGCAACGAGGGTGCAAACGGCGCGCACGATGTGCTGTTGAGCGTGGGCCAAGATGGGCAGCTGATGTTCTGGCTCCCCGACGAAAATCCTGGAAGGGGGTGGAGGAGCACAGGTCACGTAAAGACGGGGCGCGCGGGTATCACGCTTGCCCGGTGTAGTTCCGCGAAGAAGTCTGCCCTCGGTGCGCATATATTCAACGAGAATCGCTTGATTATGTTCTAATTTTCATTCGGTTCCTTTGAACCTTTCGACGTGCGCACGCATAGTTGTCCCGACCGTGGATGGCGAGGAGCTGACGATCTGGGATTCGAAAGAGTCCGAGTTCTCGTCCGGGCTGGAATACAAGATATTCCTCTCGTCGTCGGACCCGGTCAATGACCTGGACTGGAGCGCGACGCCTGACAGCCAGTCGATTCTTGCCGTCGGCTTCGCGCACCGCGTCGAGCTTCTCTGCCAACAGAGGATGACATATTTCGACGAAGACCCTGGCTGGGGCGTGATCCGGACGATCGACATCGAGAGGTGTGTTGCAGCCTGCTCTAGGCTGCTCGTACATGCGATCTCATAGCTCGCTTTCGCGCAGTTTGTTGCCGCATCCGATTAGTGATTCGATCTGGCTGGCGCACGGCTCGCTGCTCGTGGGCTCTGGCCATCAAATGGTCCTCTTCGGTCGATCGCCACAACCGCGACCCATCGAAAATGAGGAGCCTCCAGATAGCCTCTTCGAACACGTCGCACGGTTGAATGGTCCTCTAGGAGACTGTCATCCTCAGATGCTTCTCCAGTGCTTGCTGTGGGGTAAGCCTATCCTGTTGGCTCGACTGTATGCGCGCTATCTAAAGATGCTGCAGACAAAGTGGAGTTGGTCAAGGAGGTCATCGTCAACCTCGCGCAAGATCTCAAGAAAGTCCGAGCGATGGAGGCCGAGAGGTTCCATTCCACCAGCGTTCCAATTGACCATTTTTTGAGGATGGATCAAATCACCAGCGTACGTTTCGCGCCGATTATCTTACTCCCTAAGATGCTCACTCATCTACCCTCAGAGCAAAAGGAATCATCGCCGTCAATATTCGTCTCTATTTGCTATTCCAGATCAGAACGACGAGTATGGTGCAGACTTGCCAATGGTGTTCATGTCCTGACGCGTCGTTTGTAGACCGGACGATGAGAGCTTCTCACGATCACTGGTTGAGAAGCTGCTAGAAGAATTAGAAGCAAATCCTTTACCCCACCTCACGCCGAACGAGCACGCACACCTCCTTGTCCTTATTCAAACGACGCTGGAAGTGAGTGAACGGTATATCATCCAGACCCTTCTATTTTAAAATGCGTCTAGGTCGACGAGTCCCGCCGGGCCCTGGACGCGAACGGGTTGCGATATCTGATATCTATGCGGTCCTTCTACATACTCAATAGACGTGCGTCTGCGCCGAGCAGCCCTGAATCGAAAGGGGGCGTCGCGCGGCGCACCGGGCGTAGGGAGCGACTGCGGTTCAGAGATATGATCTGGGCATTTCATAGCGAGAGCCAGGGCCTGCTTCTATCCTCGTCCTCTGCAGCTTGCAATAACAAAATGACATGGTCAGATGCGAGGGCGCTAGGCGTGTTCGTGTGGCTCAATTCGCTGGAGATCATGGTATGTCCGTCGCACCCCCATCTCCCGCGAACACGAGTATAACAATTCATAGAAATCGCATATGGAAATCATTGCCCGGAATGAGTATATGGCTGGAGACGCTCGTGATCCTGTCGCCTGTTCGCTCTTCTATTTTGCGCTCGGGAAGTCCAAGCTCGTACATGGGTTGTGGAGGCAGGCTGCCTGGCACAAGGAGCAATCGGTCATGCTGAAGTTCCTGTCAAATAATTTCAGCGAACCCCGTTGGCAAACAGCTGCACTCAAGAACGCGTATGCCTTGCTCAGCAAACGCAGATTTGGTCAGCTTTCTTTTCGAATTTACTGCACCAATCAATATGTCTGACTTGGAAGTGCCTTCAGAATACGCGGCCGCTTTCTTCCTGCTCGGGGGAAGCCTCAAGGATGCTGTCAATGTCTGCATCAAACAGCTAGATGATTTTCAGTTGGCTATTGCCTTGGCACGGATCGTCGAACAAAGCGATGACGGGCCGATTCTCCAAGATATTTTGAACAATACTGTAGTCCCCGTCGCTTTCAGGAAGGGTAATCGCTGGCTTGCAAGTTGGGCGTTTTGGCTGCTTCATCGCCGAGATTTGTCTGTCAGGATACTCGTGGTACGTTTGACTGATGTGCACGATCAGTATACGAGACTGATTATGGTTCTTGATTCGCAAAGACACCCCTGCAAGACATCGCGAGTTCTCTTGACGTTCGTATCCTGGATATCGGAAGTCCACATTATGACGATCCCAGTCTGGCTCTGCTGTTCTCTCAGCTCAAGTCAAAGACGCTGCAGACTGCCAAGGGCACGAGCGAAATCTCAGGCCAGACCGAGTTCAATTTCGTGCTGCAAATAGCGAGGGTGTTCATCCGGATGGGTGGGGGTCCACTACTGTCCACCGTTCCTTCGCATTTACTGACAGAATTCGCGGTCTAGGGTGCCACGTTCTAGCATTGGACCTGGTCCGCTCCTGGTCCTTCGACAGACCTTCGACGGTCGTGCGCGAGCGTCCGGACGCCCCTCCCAGTCCCACATCTCCTCGTCGGCTGTTTGCCTTGGAACCCGCATTGCGCCGGCGGTCCTCAATCATGATCGACATGGATGTGTCGACCGCGCCTCCGACCCGAAGAGCCTCTCCCGAGCGTCGCGCCTTGGACGACGTCCCAGAAGTCGCTCCGAAGGCGCCCATTAAAGAGGAAAGCGACCTGTTTGCGCGGAAGGCGGGGCTGGGCAGCTTGATGAAGTCTGCGAAGGAACATGTCCAAGTACCGGAGTTCGACGCGAGCGCATTCTTCTGACCACCTTTGTTCGTATCCTACTCGATCCTGTCTCCTATTTTCCTCAGAAAAGATATCAATTCGCGACACGAACGAAGAGATAAGATGTCATGTATGCTAAGGTTTGGTATTTCTCGTCGAATGATTGTACAAATTTCATGTGTTGGGTGTTACTGCCGGATCCAAGACGCGATACACAAAAGCCGATTAGGAAGAGTAAAAGGGGGTGAAGTTCCGTTAATCCGTCATTAATCTACTCGTCAAGGCTCTGCTTCGACCTCGCGCTTCTTCAGGACGAGGTCCGACCCCACGACCCTCTTCCAGACGTCCTGGACATCCTCGACGACGGTCTCGAAGTGGGATGTCGCGTCGTAGGAGCGCGTGATGTAAATGTTATCTGCCTTGCCATCAGACGTAGGCGCATACAGGGGCGTGACGGAAACGAATCTGGAAGCAGATGAGGTCAGTCAACTGAGACGCGTGAGTGATAGCTGATCGATCGTACTTGTCGATGAGGGGTCCAAGCAGGGAAAGGCCGAGTTGAATCTCATTCTCAGGGGCACTCGTCTCGACGATTGTGCTGACGATCGCGACGTAGACGTCCTTGGCACAAACGTTGTGGGTGGAAGAGACCATGGCGATGTAAATATCTGTCGACGGCTTAGTCAACGGGAATCGTTATCGAGCCAGAGACCACGCACCATTTTTACGGCCAACCTGGTTCTGGGGGATGATGATCTGGACACTGTCCGAGTCATCCGTGCCAGGAATGGGGTGGTTGAGGAGACATATGGCGCGGATGACCTTCCGCTCTTCAACTACGCGGACCTTGCCACCATCCAGGCTCCCCGCGCCGAAGTAGCTGGGGTCTCCGATAACCTGCTTCGCTTTGACGGTCTCAGTGCCACTGCGAACGCCGACGAACTTGCCGTCCGCGTCGGTCACAATCTCGTCGATGTGCTTGTCGAGCATGTAGGTGCCCCCGTAGATAGCCGAGAGACGCGCGAAGGACTGGGGAAGTTCGCCGAGGCCGTAAAGGGGGTAGATGTAGGGAGATTTGCCATAGCGGGCCATGGATGAAGTGTAGAGAACGATGCGATCGTAGGCTGGACGCGCAGGTTTGTTGATATAGCTGGCAAGGATTAGCATAAGCGTGATGCATGAAACCTATGAAGAACCTACTCATCATCGAGATAGAGAGCCATAGCATGTCCGATGAAGTCCTGTGTACCGGGCTCCAGCCCGAACTTTTCATACACGCTCTTCATGCTATCCTTGTCAAGGTCGATCCCTTCAATGAAAACTCATGAATGACGAGCATGGCTATATTAGACAGTGGTGACATACCCTGGTGAGTAGCGGGATCCTCGTCTTTCCAGCCTTGCAAGAACTCGAAGAATTTCTTCGCCCTGCGCTTTTCGAACAGGCCCATAAGGGGGCTCTTCACCGCCTCCATCTCCGTACTCGGGACCTTGGAGATCTTGCCCTCGCGGTACACGTAGCTGCCTGCGATCTGCTTGAACTCAAGGTAGCGAGTGACATCGGTGTGGACAAGGATCTTGGTGAGCTCGCCCGAGGCGATGATGAACTTGGGGATGAGATCGACGGCGTAATCTCTGTCACGTCCGAGGTTGGTGGGAGGGGTCTGATCCTTACGGAATTTACGGTAGAGCTATATATGACGTGCGATATTAGATGACGATTGAAGGGGATTGTGATTCTACACGAACTTGAGTCAGGTTCAGACTGGCGCTATCACCACCATAGTAGTCGTTCCTGTCCATGTGCAGGACCTTCTTGCCCTCGACAGACAAGAGACCAGACAGGATACATTCCGTCAACCCAGTGCCCAGAACAACAACCTAGCAGCGATCATGTTTAGTTTCGAGCTAGGTAACGGCATCGGAACAGACTTTACATCGTATTCTTCATCCATGGTAGCAAGCGGTGTTCGTACGGGAGGTTAGGGATAAGACAAGTGATGAGAGACAGCAAACACGCTGTTGCAATACGCGAAGCGGCTCTATAACTATCGATTGAATTCCCCACGTGCCGGTGGCTGAACTTTGCGCAGGTCAAATATTGCTTCAACCAGCCTAGGCGAGCAATGCACTGTTGTTCATCTCTAAATTGTCATACATTGGGAGTTGATATCGGTATATCAATATATCGACAGGTGAGATTATATCCGAAAGGGTCTCCATACCCCATCCCGCGATCCAGGATCATACTGTCAACAAATCCAAAAAGACATTCTGTCAAGCGACCTCATCATGCGTCAGTATTGCAATCAGTTTTCAACCTCTTGGCGTCGTGAGCTGAGAAATATTCAGGAGAGAATCGCCGTTTGATTGGACCATTCCGATTTTGAGCAGAGCGTTTCTCAGATCGTCTTTGATATCTTTTGACATGCTTCAGGATGTCTGAAGAGTCGGGATGATGAGTACACTTCGAAGATAGACGCAACTATAGACGTACCTTTTTTCCTTCTGGTAAAATAATTGTTCCAGGCCTTGTCGGATCTTTGAGGGTACTGAGAGTTAAGCTCCATGTTACCGACTTGCATCACAGTTTCCGACGCAGAGAATTATGACGCACTCTCTGACTTAGATCCTCCCATTTTTCCTTGTAGGACATCTCCTCCCAGTCAGGGTGTGAAGCTACCCATTTCGCAACCATCCGCATGTCCGTGTCCGTGAAGGCTGATCTCGCCTCGCCCATCTGCGCTAGATCATCATCCGTTGATTCTAGATCTGAAGGGTCGTCATCTGAGGGGTCATAATCTGGACCATTCTCCAAAGATTCTTCCACAGTCTCGTCGTCGTCGTCGGATATCTCTATGGTCTTATCGGACCCGTTCTTGTATGCTTTATTTGTATCTTCCGTAAGAAGTACATTCCCGATTACTTGAGCCCACGATGATTCAGTGTGATGAGAAGCCTTAGGTATGGTCTGTGAGTGTTCTCAGAAGTGTGGAAACAGATTGGAACTTACCCTTGCGGCTAAACGTTTGGCCAATTCAGCCTTACTCAGCGTCGAATCACGACTGAGAGCCCAAGCCATGTATTTGTTGAGATATGTCTTATCCTTGGGCGTGAACGGACGTCGGGTCCCAGACTGCCAAAACAGGGCAGGGCCAATATCAGCTGGGGGCGATGGTTCATGGGATGGTACCCTGGGAGTGATCGCTGAAGTAGAAGCTGTTGGTATCGATGGGCTAGCCATCAAGGATTCACTTGAAGTCGGTTGGCTGCGAGCCATATCCGAAGGCGGGTTCATAGATCCAGGCACTCGACGATTGCACTGCCTAGGACTGGACGAGCTCCCAGCCTGAGGAGCAGAGCTAGAATGATTGAGATGGGGCAGCTTCCTTCTAGCAGTCTGCAAGCTAGTATTGGTATCCTGCCCAGATGGAGGAGTAATGATAGGCTTCTTCACACTATGGTTAACAGGTTCGGATGCAGGTCCGTTTGACAATTTGGATACGAGACTGTTGATATGATGGACATTTTCCAAGTAATAATCTTTCCATTGATCAGCTGTGTGGTTATTGACCTGAATGGAATAGTGAGATATTGAGGCTAAATGGCGTCGCGAGCGAGGGTGCTCACCCCGTTCAAGCTTTCTAGCGATTGCCTGTAATTGATTCCTTTCCCTGATGACGCGTGCAAAGCATGCACTAATATATCCTTGTCATATGGAGACTGGCCAACAGGCACTGGCACAAAAGCCAGCTGAGGAAAGCTCATTCCTAGTTACAATAATCTGTTGGACGATGTAGCGACATGATGCACCATCACCTACCAGTCCACGAGATATTGCCTTGTGCTTGTGCAAACAAGTTAGGAAACTGGAACGCGAGCATTGCTAGGGCCTGAGCTTGAACCGCCTGCGCCTGCGCCTGAGGGCTCTGCGGAAAGGCCGGATTAACGGGAACACTAGGCACGGCTGGATTCTGCTGAGCCGCTCCATTGATAGGCGGAGTGCTGTTATTCATGGCCGACGAGGGTGCGATGGTAGACGACTCGCTCGCCCCGAGGGCCTTCTCAGGCTCGTGGTGAGCATCGTCACGATGGATTCCCACAGTAGTCCGAGTTGAGGCGCGCCACCCGGCAATCCTCTTCCCTCGCGCCGCGATGCCGGCACCCCGTGGGGTACCCGACGCCGTATTTAACGGTTAGTCTTTAGAACGTGAGCACTCCCTTGCACCTTCGCTCGTTCGCTTTCTCATGTCGTCGTCTCGGTTATCCCATCTGCGAACAGCGCACCTTCGCTCTTATGCAACCGCAGCATCGCGGGCTCCTCTGAGCGGCCTCAGCGCTGCTGCTCGTCCAAAGGCCGAACAGATCTCGAAGGAGTGGAAGGGAACAAGTGCCGCCGGCCACAACACGAAGAATTTCATCGGAGGAGAGTTTGTCGAAAGTAAGGCTACAAAGTGGATTGACGTCCTAGATCCGGTTCGTATCGCTCGCTTCTCATCTGCCCCCCTTCGGAGCATCTGTTTGACCCGTCACGTCAGTCAACCCAAACATTACTCACCCGTGTTCCCGAGACAACACATGCCGAATTCGAGCAAGCAGTCGATGCCGCCTCTCGTGCATTTAAGACGTGGAGCAACACCAGTGTGCTCACTCGTCAGAGATTCGTGCTGGAGTGCGCCGCGTCTTCCTCCCGCCCGGCAAAGTTTGTCGCTGACAGCCGGGTAGATTGCAGCGTCTTATTCGTGAAAATGCGGACGCTCTTGCCTCCAGCATCGTTCTCGAGCAGGGGAAAACGTTGCCAGGTAGAGCGGTATAGTATCAGTGTCGTGTTTAGTACGCTCACAAACCTGTTTGGTATCAGATGCTCATGGCGACATACTTCGAGGTCTTCAGGTAGTAGAGCATGCTACTAGCGCACCTTCGTTGCTCCTCGGTGAGAAGATTGAAGGTGAGAGCCGCCTCGTTGAGATACTCAGCATCTTGTCGCCATAACTCAGCTGAAATTCGAATTCAGTCAGTAAAGACATGGACACTGAAGTGCGCAAAGTCCCATTGGGCGTTACTGCATCGTGAGCCCGACCTGCATTCATCTACAATTTCCCGTACCTTGACTCTCTATTGCAGCATAGCTCCATTTAACTTCCCTGCGTGAGCACTTCTGCCTCCTCAATCAGCACCCGTCAGACCTAAAACACCAGCTGGCAGGATGATCCCGTTATGGTCCATCCCCATGGCCACAGTGACAGGCAACACGCTTATTTTGAAGCCCTCGGAGCGCGATCCCGGAGCTGCCATGATCATCGCGGAACTCTGCGAGCGTGCAGGCCTCCCTCCCGGCGTCGTGAATGTCGTTCACGGCACTGTGCCGACCGTGAACGCCATCTGTGACCATCCTGCCATTCGCGCTATCAGTTTTGTGGGCGGTGACCGCGCGGGGAAGCACATTTACGATCGGTATGCGCGCGCTAATACACCAATATCAGAATGTGCTAAGTCTGATGATTTTCAGGGGCACGCAGAATGGGAAACGCGTGCAAGCTAACATGGGTGCAAAGAATCACGCCGTCATCATGCCTGATGGTATGTTCGCAATATTTAGTTTCTTCAGAGATCTCATTGTCTTGTCCGGGTACATTCAGCTAACAAGAACCATGCATTGAATGCTATTGTCGGTGCTGCTTTCGGAGGTACAGGGTCACTACATGTCTCGGACCTTGAATGCTCAATATCGTCTGACGAATAGCTGCCGGTCAACGATGCATGGCCATCTCTGTTGCCGTTCTTGTCGGTGACGCCCAGACATGGCTACCGGATCTATCGCAACTTGCTCAGAAACTAAAGGTTAACGGCGGTTTCGAGAAAGAAGCTGATCTGTGAGTACCTTTACCGAGTGAGACGATTCTCCGAGTTGAGATGATGCCCTCAGTGGACCTGTGATCTCACCTGCCGCAAAACAGAGGATCCTTGGGTTGATCGGCTCCGCAGAGGAAGAAGGCGGCAATATCTATCTTGACGGCCGCGACATCAAAGTACATGGCTATGAGCATGGCAACTTCATAGGCCCAACGATCATCGAGGCAGGCGTTGGAATGAGGTGCTACAAGTGAGTTATCCTAATCATGCTGATACAGCGATTCTGATTCAACTGCAGCGAAGAGATCTTTGGCCCAGTTCTGGTAGTTCTCAAGGCGAACACCCTTGACGAGGCCGTCGAGCTGATCAATGCCAACCGCTACGGGAACGGCACAGCTATCTTCACGCAGTCAGGCGCGACTGCTCGGAAGTTTGAGCACGACGTCAACGTCGGACAAATCGGCATCAACGTTCCAATACCCGTGCCGCTCCCTATGTTCTCTTGGAGCGGGAACAAGGTACGTAGCGATGCTCATAATTATACGCACACGAGCAATTTTTTAATCGGATCTGAACGTACAGGGTAGCGTCTTGGGTGACCTCGGTTTCTACGGAAAGAGGTGTGTTTCATTGACGCTCTCTTTGGAGATCCTGTTGAATCATTTTTTCGTAGTGCCTTCGAGTTTTATACTCAGAAGAAGGTACGTTCTCTAGGCCAAGCTCGCTTGCGCATACCATCTGACTTGTGTGGAACAGACCACGACCAGCCTCTGGAAGTCGGAAGACGCTATCGCAACGAAAGCATCTGTGAACATGCCAACGCATCACTGATCGGAATGCATCCGTCGGAAGTATGAGCATCTTGTACAATAACCGGGCTCGTTTTAGGATGGAACATGGAGCACCATTTCGGTCCTGTATGCTTGGCCGACTTGAGTAGCATACAATATCAGGTATATTGGCGTTAGCGCCCATAATCTACAGGTTGGCAGCCTTGTTGCTTTCGCCTTGTTTACCGACGACCTCATCGAGGAATGCATTGGATAGCCTCTCACACTGATGAAAGACGGCTTCGAAGTTTTTCTGCGTGAACGGGGCGGATTATCATGTGTCTGGCCGCTAGTATGGCTGAGCGAAAGCCGGGACTCACGATGTTGCCGTAGTAAGGATCATCGATGCGTTTGCCGTCTAAATACGAGCCCCAGAGCTTGACTTCAGCGGTGGCGTAGCCTGGCTTATCGCGCAGGAGATTGCGCAGGTTGTTCTCGTCAGCCGCAAGGATGTGCGTGAACTTTCGATAGTCCTCCGGCTGGACCTGACGCGCCTCGTGCGAGATGGGGACGCCAAACTGGATGACAATAGATTTCGGTCGATATAAGCATGCCAATTGTCCCGATGATACGCATTCCCCACTGTTGTACAACGCTCACCTTCTTACACGTCGCTGTTGAACTGGAACGGCGCGTCGGCATGAGATCGGGAAGGATTCAAAGTAAGACATACCGCTCGTCAGGCTCCTCACCGACATGATACCCTGCTGTGCCCGCGCTATCGACGGTGATGTCGATGCCGCGCTCGGACGCGACGTTTCTCAGGACTGCCTCCCCGATGGGGGAGCGGCAGATATTGCCGAGGCATACGACCAGCACGTTCAGAGTCATCGAATCGGCGGAATGATCGCGTACGCTGAAGCGGCCTCGTTGCAGCTGCTATAAAAGGCAACTGCTCTTGTCACCAACGTTCAGCTGCCTTGCAATGCCGTCTCCTCCCATCCAGTTGTTCCTCACTACCATAGCCTCTCAGCCAGCACTCCGGCAACGTCAAGGTAAACCTGATGCCCTCTTGCAGTGTTCGTCGCTATGAATGACTGGGAACCTGTTGTCGTCGCTCAACTGCCAATGATGAGCAGAGTACATTCTCCGCATCCTTCAAGTCAAGAAGATCCCGTTCATCTCGTATGACCTGGCGTCGGACGAAGATGCCAAACGGCTCTGGAAGCGAAAGGCGCCTTTAGGTGAGCAGACAAGTGTAATTATGGCCGACTGCCACTCAATGCATCGGCGGATCCTTCGGTCACTTCACAGACAAACAGCAGTTGCCGGGAATCCTTGTCGGAGGAAAGTTCCCTGGCGTACGTCCCTGTAACCATGGCCGCGTTTCATGTCCCTCACTGACCCTCTTTATCAGACGTTCACCGACTTGTGTGTCTCACTTCATCCTTCGCTCGGGGATCCTTCGAGCTCATGTGGCATCTTTCCTCTAGCGAGGAAGCCGTCGAATATGACGAGCTGGCCACCTTTCTCCGTCTGAATGAGCCTTATAATCCCGCCGTTGAAGAAGATCGTCCTTTGCTTCGTGAACAGCCTATCGGCGTACCCGGCGCATCATCTCCCTCCCAGATGGCAAAGCCCGAGCACAGGGCCGCATTCAATGCCAGCCCTTCGCCGTCACCGCTGCGTACCAAGACGTCTGCTGCAGATGTGCGCAAGCGAGACGAGGCCGAATTCGATGTCGGCCAGGAGCTCGTCGGGTACGGGTTGCAGGGCCTCAAGGTCACACACGATGATCTCCTGAAGCTGGTGCAAGATTTGGGATTAGAAGGTGATGATGCCGGAGATCTGGTTCAGGGCTTGAGCGAGATGACTGTGAAGGATAAGAAGAAGGGAACAGGTAAGGCAGAGAAGGAGAGCGTCCAGGCAGAGGAAAGGAAAGGTGCAGCAGACACTCAAGACTCGCCACAAATCAAAGTGGAGACAGCCGGGGTGAAGGGTGAAGCAAAGCAGGCAACGACGCCGGCGAATACTGCTAAGACAAGTGTGGTCGATGTCCCCGTCTCAGAGACATCAACATAACGCACTTCAGTCCACCGATACCTTGGGTCTTAGGTTACTATTGTTCTGCGGACATCTAATGCCAGCTTTCAGTCGTTTTTTCGGATGTATATATATATATATGTGGTTGTATAGATACTCTAACCATCGACACTAGCAAATCATCCGGATAAAAGCACGATATCAGAGTCTGGAGATGGAGGGCATCTTCACCTCCGAACCCCCATCAAGTGTGATGGTGGCGCCATTCACGAAAGCGCCTGCGCGACTGGAGAGGAACAGGGTCGTCCCTGCTATGTCTTCTGGTGTTCCAATTCGATAGAGCGGGACCGAGTCTAAGATGATGTCTTTCAAAGTAGCGAGAGTATGGGCCATCACTGCGGAGAGAAATTCGTTATGATCCGAGTGGGAGCGAGTCAACATAGTACATACTCTTCGTCTCAAATGGACCGCATGCGATCGTATTGCTGGTGATGCCCTCAACGCCCAGTCGGCCAGCAAAATGACGGCTAAGATGGTGCAGAGCTGCTTTCGAAGAGGAGTACGCGTAGGTCTCGTGGTTTGGAACCCCAAGTCCTTCTACAGAGCCGATCTATCAACAGGACCCTGTCAGTTATACGATAGGCGAAGTATAGTAAGGAGGAGACTCACATTGATTATACGCGCGGGATCCTTGTATGAGCCATCTACCTTTCCACCTTGCTGGGCGGCAGCCCGGAGGAGCGGTAAGCACTTCTGCGTGAGCGTGAATACACGCTGCAGATTGAGCGTCATGACCTTGGTAAAGCTGTCATCCTGATATGATGGTGAGCATCAAGGATGCTGAAGAACGAGACTATATCTCTAGCAACGAGGCGCGCACCGGGTACTCGTCGATGCCCGCACCCCACACGGCTCCTGCATTGTTGACGAGGATGTGAAGCGCCTTCTCCCGCTTTGAGATTTCGCTCACAAGACGCTCGACCTCGGAGAGCTTCTGCATATCCGCCGGAATGGGAATGCACTGCCCTGGGCCGAGGGCGTTCAGCTCGTCTGCCGTGCCATTGCAGTCTTTGACGGAGCGAGAGCTGATGTACACTTTGACACCGTTCTTAACAAACCCAGTAGCGATCTGCTCACAGGGAATGTCAGTGACCAAGGAACTTCCCAGGAGTCAGACACAGGTACACTGCCACTGCCTTGTGCAGAAAGTGGAGAACGTACCATCTTGCCAATGCCCCTGCTCCCACCGGTCACTAGAGCGACCTTTCCCTGAACTCCAAATAGTTTTACTGCGTCGAACTCGCTCATATCGGGCCAACAATGAGCGTCGTTGAGTTGAGGAATAGATTATGGGGACGAGGAGGTATAAGTATGCTGTGGAGGGCCGGTAACGGATAACTAACAGCCGGAAGTGGGGAAGCGGGGAAGGAGCTCGCGGAGACTGAATGCAGTTGTTTCAAATATGCGACGGTAAACGGAATGGCTCCAACAAATCATGTTCAGAAACGACAGAACATATTAGTCAACGACAAAAGCGTGAGTGTAGGATATCATGAGCAAGCGAGAAAACGAAAGCTGATACAGATACAAAAGAAGGAAACTCGAGAACACGAAAACAAGGGCGATAAACTACGAAATACGGGACACCAAAACAAATGACAAAAATGCGAATAGCAAGCTAGACTACTCGTCCTCTTAAGCCCCAGCTAGATTGAATTTACCAGATCTCGATAAGTACAAGAGGAGATTTGCGGCCTCCTCTCTCATCGGCATGTTGATATCCTTCGGCAACACGCATATGGCTCGAGGACATTCGCTCACGAGGACCGCTCTTGGGGGTAAAGGGTGCCCGTAATTCTCCCGCAGTGGCATGGAAGGAACAGACTGTTGCGCTGCGAGAGTGCGTGCTTGTGTGCTTCGTAACACTCTATGTTCAGTCTGGATCTTCTCCTGGGTCATCTTGGCCAACATTTCGACGACCGTCGCCTCCAACGCAGCTAGATAGACGTTGTCCTCTCCCGGTGACGCTTTTTTGACTTTCTGTCTCTCATTCACGAACCAAGTATCGAGCTTCGTCTTCTTCCTGGATATAGTCTGTCAGGTGGATAAGTAGTGTCATGATTAAGCTTGCGACGTACATTTCAAACTCTCGGCAGATTGCAGCCTTTTGATCAACAGAAGGATGTTGATTTAGTGCAAAGGATGCACGTAATATTTCGAGCGGAGCGCCACGAATGGGTATGCCTTTCTGTGCGTCCTTGCGGACGGAAGCCTTAGCTTTGGCTTTCGAGGTGGCCACGGCAGCGGTCCGAGTCCCTGCGCCTTGCTTTCGAGTACGATGAGACACCATGTCACAAGGATAAAAGAGAAATGTGCTGTGCTAAGGGGATTGAGACAGAGGGGAGGTCAATGACCCGAAGACCCGTCGGTATCTGGCCTTATAACGGACAAGGACAAAAGAGACTGCCACATTGGTGAAAGCCACAGCCAAAGCCACATCCATGTCCACGCGATCACGACGCGACTGATGGTGGCGGCCTCTGAATCTTGGGAATCGTTGCTTTGTCCATGGCCACAAGCATTGTCCTAGACATACCACTTCCGGGCGCCGCCACGGCGTTATCGATCGGTTTCGGTCCAGGCTGCCGGAGCCCTTCAAACAGTCGCATTGACTCGAGCCGGGTTGACCCGGTATGTATCCCTCAGCAAGGGGGCCACTTGCAGGCGTTGTGACTTGAGAGTCGCGCGTCCTCGAACTGAAAGAGCTACTTTATACGACTGACGCTGTATTGCATACCTGTACAAAAACATTACAAATGATGGGACCGCAACACTTGGCCGTATACATCTAACTTAGAGAGGATCACAGGTCAACACAATCTTCCACACTATGATGCATATAGAGGGAAGAAACCGACAAAAAAATATCAGTCCGAGCCCGAATCTCGTTGCAAGCGAGAGCGGCGACGGCGAAGCGGTGTTGCAGAGGTACCCTCTTCGCCAATCGGAGCAGAAGTATCATCCTATGGAGGGAGACGGTAGAGCATGTCACTAGAGTGTGAGCTCTTTGGACTGAAAATCAAGTGGTTGATGGGCTTACATCACGACTACGTCCCAAACTTTTGCTCCTTCTCGAGGATCTCTTCTTCTTGACGCGCCATCCTGGCTCTTGCTTGATGTTCGAGACACGCTCCGACTCGACTCCATCGTAGTCCCACCTGAGTGAAGGGAGAAGACATGCTGCCAACACGGCCAAGGAGCAGAGCAGGAATGTCGCTGCTGCGATGTTCCCGAACATGAAAGGATACCGAGATATCAGGCCGCTACATTTCACATCGTTAATCAAAAGCATGTCAAGATAGGATTTCAAACAACGCACCGGATGCCTTTATGTCGCACTGTCCCGGATACCGATGCTGACAAAACACTCAATTCGCGACCCTCTCCTGAGCCAAGACTCCTCCAGCTGTCTTGCCTCCCAATTTCAACCCTGGCCACGACATGGCTGTGGCCAGTGACATACGACTTCAAAAACTGGACTTCGATCGCAACGGTCCTCCTCTTCGAGGAGACGAAAGGTATCCAGGATGACGTCGGAGGAAGGATCATGGACTATGCGATCATCAGCTTCCCGCCATACACACAAGATACGACTCACAGGTCGTCGGGTTGTGACTATTGTCTTGTTTGAAGTCGTAGACAAAGTTAACGTGCTCATGAAATTTCCAAGATGGAAATTCGACTCTATCGCCGGAACATCGAGGCGAAGTGTGAAGTCGTATGGTTGAACGGCACTCAATGTGGGCAACGATACTTCAGCATACGGTGGGAGTCCATCCCTATGATTTGGGCAGCTATTTAGCACATAGCAGACCGATATTATAAGAGGGGCATCACCCATATTGCAGGTACAATGGGACCTCCCAACCAACCGCAACAGAACGCCATACGTATACCCCAGATAGACCTGATAGCAGGATGAGGAAGGGAACGAGGAGTAGACATATTGCTAGAGGAATGAGCTGTGGGGTAATGGGTCGAACTGTGCGAATGGCAAGTCCAAAGGCGCGTTCGAACGGGAATGAGAGGATTCTCCATACGAATGACGAGAATTGTGACAGCAGACTTGATGGAGCGGTCTGATTCTGTCTTGGCCTCAGTTTAACAGCATCTGGGCGGTCTGCCATCCTGGCTGTCGACCCTTGTGCTCAGGAGAGACGGCCCAACGCTGCAGAGTACGGCGTCGGAAAACATGCGCGTGGTCAGATACGTCACTTCGATCGCGATCTCTCGGGGTCCCTCAGCTGCTTCAACGATGTCCACCATCAAGCACCTACTGGGCTCGTCCCCCGCTTCTTCTCAGCTTTCGAATTACCTGACAGAAATCTCGTCTGCTTCTGCATCCACTTCTGCCCTTGTTCCTGAAGTCAAATCGTATCCCGACGCAGTGTACTTCAACTATCATGCTCTTGGACTCAGCTTACTCTTCACACCGATCAACGGCTACAAGCCCAAGTCAGGACTGTCCAGAAATCAACTGAATGAAGAAAACCTAGTTTTAGATGGAATTGACATCTACAATATGCCCCAAAAACCTGATTCCCCCGACGATAGCTCGGACAATCGCAACAAATCGGCGACCGCTCCTGCATATACCACCTACCCCATATCACCCATCACTCTCGCGGTATCCCCAGAAAGTAAAGACGGAACACCACTCCCGTCTTCCATCTCGATTGAACCCAATACCACGGGTAAGGATTTTCTTGTTATGCTTGGTGAGCCGGACAGGAAGGGTGGTGGAGCTGGTCCTTCCTCAGGCAGTATTCAGATTTGGTTGGAGTGGTCGAAGAATGGGATCATGGTCGAATTTGGTGGCGATGAGAGTCGGGGTCCACAGGCATGGGAGAGAGGGAAGGATGCTGTGTGGAAGGTTCTCTCGATCTTTCAACCGAAAGCAGAATGAAGGTATGTCACAGAATTGTACTATTGGCCCTGAAAAACCAATCTATATAATGCGTAGAACACTATACGCAGATACACCACTATATGGCAACATATCCAATCGTCTACCATGATACATTGACGGGCGCGTCGACCCAGGCCTTGGCGGTCAGTCTCGTGTGTCTCTTTTATCAAAAGCGAATTCATTGGCTGGCGTCAGCCTTCCGTACGAGCGTGTACAGCACTAAGTACGAGCGCTTTCAGGCGTCGGCCCTGATGGCACTTTCTTGCATCTCAAATGCCTCCGGATGTCGGTATACACAGTGTCTCTTGCATGTGGACTCAGGTCTTAGTTATGAACGCTCTGATGACGGTGTTGGATAGTGAATTTAGGCAGCTGACCCTGCATTCTCCCGCACTCCGCATTATCTGCCACCTAGTACCACTTTAGTCAAGATTTCGTCTATTCATGTGATTCTTGAATGGAGCTTCGCATGCCACCAGATGCCATCTCAAGGAAGCCACTATAAAATAGACGCACGCTCGAACGTTGAGTCTTGACATCACTACTCGGAACACCAATGGCTGCCCCATCCTCTTTGACGACTCTCGACCTAAGCGGCCAATATGTCATGGTATGTATCTTCAGAAACACAGTCAGATCAATAGACGGGTATTGATGAACTCGCAGAACAAGTCGTTGAGTGACTCTACCGATGAGATCCTCAGACTGCAGGGCGTTAGCTGGTTCACACGCAAAGCGATCGGAATCGCTACGCTCACACTCTCCGTGAAACATTACAAAGACGACGCCGGTGTCGAGCACATCGACATCGACCAAACCATTACCGGAGGTATCAAAGGCACCACGGAGATCCGCGTCCTCAATTGGGAAGCTAGAGAGCATGAAGATCATATATTTGGGTTTGTCGTCGGTCGGTCGAGAAGAATAAGGGTGGAAGACATCGAACACGAGTTTTTGAGGGTCGGTTGGTTACCAGATACCACGGAGCATGGCGCCGTCAACTCGTATGTAGAGAGCGATACTCCCAAGAGCGGGACATCGTGGACAGCTGAACAGGTGAGCATATGTCTGGCCCGGTCTTTATCGAATTGTCGAATCTGACCAACACGGTGGTGCCTCCGCCAGATCTGGGGGTTCGAGGAAGTCAACGGAGAGCGGCGGTATGTCAGGCACATCAGGTTCATAGGCCCTGGAGGTGAAAACATCCAAGCACGATTGGTGTATGATTACAGTGCGTATCTGTCCTCTGTACGTCTTGACTACACTCACAACCATAACAGATGGGCCTGCTTGAGAACATGCCACTAAGATTAAGATTGAACGTCGCGAGCTGTAACTTGTAATGTGTATTCCAATTGTGGATATGTAAACGTGCTTGTTCTTGGACGTCCTTCTGTCGCTTCTTTGTGCTTCGCCTATACGCGTCCGATTTGCTTGACCGATGTCAAGTTTTCTTCTCGAGAAAAGTCCCCAGATAAGTTCCAAAACGGGTCTGATTTGTGCTTCTAAACCCTCGGCATCTTTGGATCCGGGATCGTCTGGTTGCGGCCTGACCAATGCCGCGACTCTCCTAAGTTCTCGCTCATCGTGTCATGTGCTCAGACCTAGAAACCTGCTAATTCACCACGATGGAGGCCAATATGAGCTCCAGCACACTTCAAAGGCACTCCGACCATCTTTCATCCGGGCGTCAATCTACTAAATCACCGGCAGAGCAAGAATTCATTCTGGGAATCCCGAACACAGAGTGTGCCACGCAGCCACGGCTACCCTGGTACACTCGTCTGGAGAAAAGCTTTGCTATCAGACATCCTAGCTTGTACCAGAAGTACTCTCGCATCGCTCATTATGTGCGAGGCCCTAGGCCGAAGGTCGAGCTGCCAGGTTCGTAATATAACTTCTGCTCAATTCACACTGTTTGTGAGACCGATCACAGAGTCCAAGCCATGGCTTCAATTCAGCATAAGACGCCATGGACAGGTGCTGAGTCTCCCTCTCGAGACTCATCTAATCCGCGCGACACACCCGCTCACCTCCCCATGGATTCTACTTATTTTGGGAGCAGCCTGGATCATCGGCATGGCATTCTTCTCCCGCGCACAGTCTTTCCAAACACCGGCAGACTCTTTCATCTCATGCACATCCACATACTGGGCAGCCAACAATGGATGTGGATTAGATGGATCGTCCTGTGCCCCGTTCGAAAATTCAACTTTCAATTTTCGGTGTCCGGCGCAGTGCGCTCCTGTCGTCCTACAAAACCCTAGGACGGTAGGCAACGAACAGATCGTTTTCAAGCCCCTGATCGTTGGAGGCGGTGATGACGATGAGACGTATCGAGGGGACAGTTTTATCTGCGCTGCAGCTCTACAAGCGTACGCACGGCTCCGTTCCTTATGAGTCCTGGTCCGCTGCTCACATCTACAGACAAACAGCGGCTTGATCAGCAATTCTAGGGGAGGCTGTGGTACCGTCAACCTCGTCGGAAGCTACACAAATTTCTTACCTCGCACGGCCAACGGCTTGAGCTCCATCGGCTTTCCTTCGGTATTCCCACTGTCCTATCGTTTCTCAGAATCCCCTCCATTTGCGCACTGCTCCGACATGCGCAACGAAGCGCTCGTTATGAATGTCATCGTCACCACGATCCTATTTATGGCCTTGCGACCAAAGCCTATCATTCTTTTCTGGTGCTTGGTCTGCATCGGTTACTGGCACATCACACTATTTTCGCAACCTCGCAGCAACCCGCCCGATCTCGCTGACGGGTTTGGCACATTCCTTCCCACACTATTCATCTGTTATGCACTCTGGCGCTTAGCGATCCGCTTTGTTTTGCCTGTATTCGCGACCAAGATGCCTCTAGAGGGCGCGGTTTGGTTCCTTGGGCCGTATTGGGTCACGGTACTCACCAATCTGACCACGGACAAGATTCCCATTGACCGCTTGACTGCTGCTGACATCAAAGCACAACCAGGCGGTTTGATAGCTTTGATCATCATCATCGTTGTTTTACTTGTAATCGTCATCAATCAAGTACGCGTCATACGAAAGACCGGCTGGTTGCCGTACTATCTTGGCTGGTACATCCTTGGCGGACTTGTGACACTCGTGCTGGCCTTACTCCCGACATTGAATCTTCGGATTCATCACTACTTTTTGGCGATGGTCTTGATGCCCGGAACGGCATTCCCCACCAGATTATCTGCCCTATATCAGGGATTTTTATTAGGAATGTTTCTCAATGGCGCAGCTGCTTGGGGCTTCGACTCCATTCTACAAACCGCGGCGCAGGTAAGCATATGCGACAATAAAGATCACATTCATCTCTTAACGAGCTCGTCCTGAAAGCTTATACGAGATGCGCCTTTGGGCACCGATCTTCCATCGTTTGCCACCAACTCATCCACCTTCAACGCATCGATGTCTTTGCAAAACCAGACCATCTTTTGGTCGGCTCTGCCAAGTGGCGAAGGCTGGGATGGTTTCTCGCTCCTCGTAGATGACGTGGAGCGTTATGTTGGGGTCGCTTTGAACTACTCCTTAGCAAGCTTACAACTCGGCATACCCCATTTCTTCCGGATAGCCGTAAGAAGTATCCTTGACCTTCCTTGTGCTTTTGAGCTAACGGGTGCATCCGTTGGCAGTTTACAGATTCTGGGGCAGTGGGGGATTATACGATGCCTGCGACTCTATGGCCAAATGGGACGTGGACGGACCCACTCCCCGGGCCTTCATGAACAGTCTACTGCCGGAATATTTATAAGTTTTGGACATATTGTCGTACTTAGGTACAATGTAGCTGTTGATAATGGAGGATGTGTGATCACGCTCAGTAAAAACGGAAGTCAAGTGAACGTCATGTCCAGTCACGAAACTGGGCTTTTGTCATGTATCCGTCAAGAACGTGGCGCAAAAAGTCATGCAAAAGTCATAAACTTCTAAAATTGCACACGACTTTTACACGACTTTTGCACCGCTTTCTTGACGGATACATGACAAAAGCCCAGTTTCGTGACTGGACTTGAATTTCTGTTTTTACCGAGGATCACGTGGCAACTGCCCACAATTGCGGCTTCGGCTAAAGAGTCAGAGGGCAGTTCTCTTTATGTAGCGCATCCCACAGCTCTGCGGACTTCTTTCCTCGTAGTCCGCAGAAGTGAACACTATTTCTCTTACCATAATCAACATCGCTCTACATTCTGCCTATACGTCTAGTGCAACCCTCGTCATATTCAACGCCTGCGACCGTATTCCTGGACAAATGGATTCCCAGGTTCTTCAATTACAATTCCCTGATAGTGCGTTGCATGCTGGCTTTTGTTATGACAGCACTCTGATGCCCTCTTAGATTTCGACTCGGTTCCAGAACTGGACCACTGGAGATGTCTACGATGTTCAACAGGCTTCCTCCAGGACGGTAATGTCGAGATCATGAGTCTGAGGCAGGCAGTGGAGCATGAACAAACTGCTGCACACCAAGCGAAAGCAGCCGCCCACGATCCTTGGGGGCCTCCGAATACCACCTGGGGTGATGTCAGGCTCCAAGATTTCTACTCCGAAATGAAGGTGCGAGAGAAGCAGCAGTGGGTCGACCAGTGCCCCGAACGCATATTATTCTGGCTCAAGGGTGTGATGGCTGCGGAAAGAGGAGAGGAGGTCGAGAACATGCAGGTTTTTCTGGATGAGCTCGATAAGAAGCGGGAGGAGTACGAGAAGGGTCTAAGTGAGGGGTGGGGGTCAGTCAGTTGGAACAATAATTGGGGTTGGGGCGGAGGGGTCAAGGATGAGGTAGAGCAGTGGCAGCTTCCGGAAGATGGGTGGGTCCAGGCGGGACCGAAACGGAAACGCAAGGGAAAGAGGACATCCTGGGACAAGCAAGGCGGCTACAATGTTCAAGGTGGCTCAGACGAGATCGGTGCCAGACATCCAATAGGCAACTCGAATGTACCGTCGGTGGCTCGGAAGTTCACTCAGCCTCAATCTGCTAATCTTGTTCGAAAGCAGAAGATGAATGCTTTCCTCAAGGTGTGTGTGACGTGGTTTGTGGACCAACCGTACAGCACTTTGCTGACTATATGCCTAGATGCCGCTCGATCAAAAAGCGGACAAGATCCAGGAGATGATTCATTCTCTACGCACATGAAGCAATCTCACCTCACATTTCCATCTCCTCATGATATTTCACAAGAATCTGGCACTTCGACTTCATCCACATGCTCACATACCAGGTCATGGATCTAAATCACTTGTACAATACCCATTCGTGGATGTACAAGTATCATCTTCTGTATTTGCCGGTATTTATAGCCGTCCCATCGCATGGTGCGGGAATTGGGGATTGAAGTGAGTCAAGTTCTCCTCGATCTCGACAAATTAACCGGCGTTCACCAATTCTATAGGAGCTAAGTTCTGCCTATGCCAACGTTATGCTTTCAGTGACTCAGGCCGAGTAGTAGGTGAAGCGTTTCGAGAGCGGGGTACTATATATGGAAGCGCGTATTCGTTCTGTGCATAATCCAACTAAACCCATATTTCTTGGGTCTTTGGGCGATTGAGCACCTCTGAGTATCCAAGGAGTCTTCGAGGAGTCAGCCGAACCAGCTGCGCATCAAATCATAAGACGTTCAGGTGAGCACGGCAACTCATTTTGAATTTCGGACTGCTGTGTCAGAGCATTGCCTGCAATCGCGCAGCCTTGGTCGACAGCGGAAGGCGGTGAAGTGACATATAGATTTTGTGCGTGGAAGGCGCAGAGGCGGGTGTCACTGGGCAATATAATATGCCACTGTCAGGATCATGAGCGGTTCATGTTCCAGAGTGCTTATCGGATCTAGCTATATCATCGGAATTAAGCGTGGACGCTGTGCACATATTCGACCCCTAACCAAGGAATGCTATGGGACAGATGTGGTACGCGGACGCTGGAGGCGATGACGCATTCAAACCTAAACTGGTTCAGGCCGGAGGTATATAAATCCTCATGGCATTTTCATTCTACTTCCCGCTTTCTCTCACACATCATGACCACGGACGAAATCCCTCTGCCCTATGGCTGGATTAGAGAAGTCGACCCTCGAACTGGCCACCCATTTTATGTGCGCGAGCACAGTTCGGCGCTTGATCATCTTAATACTGATCGACCGTTTTGTACTAGGTGGATACCAAAGCGGACCCGCCCCGTTCTATCTGGATTCATCCCTATGAAGATGAGCAATATCTCTCTGAACATCCAGATGTGAAGGAGAAGATCGGGAGTGTAATGGACCATCATGCATCGCCGGATGATAAACCATCCAATCCACGAAGGCACTCGTATAGCGGCCTCACCAGCCCGGATATGCTCGTCGACGAGGGTGGTTCAAGGACCCCAAAGGAAAATAAGAAGAGGAACTTCTTCGGGAAGATGAAGGACAAGGCGATAGGAACTAAAGAGGAGAGGGAGCAATATAATCGGGAAATGGCCAAAGTAAGGGGTCTCCTACTGCGCATTCGTCTACATCATTTTGATATATCATCTATTAGCTAAAGGAAGTGCGTCGAAAGCGGGAGCAAGAGGAGCTCCGACGGCAACAAGAGGCGTACCACCAGTTCAGTCAATTGCATCAGTATCCCGGCCGGTCGACCTACAACCAGTCATTCGCAGGGCCCTCTATGCTGGGGCCCTCCATATTGGGGCCCTCGATGTTTGGGTCCACGTCGTTTGGATCCACACGATACGGACCTCCAGCTGGTAATCCGTACTCTGCATATTCGAACCGCGGAGGCTATGGTTATGGGATGGGTAGTAACAGTCTTGCCTTGCCGCTTCTCGGGGGTATGGCCGGTGGTTTGTTGTTGGGCGATCTGTTCTTCTGATGACATTGAGAGAACTTGAGGGTTTCGACGTGATTATGTGCTTGCTCTCTGTATTCGTAGTATCATATTGTAGTAGGTGTACGACTGTACAAATTCCAAATGTTCCGGGGAACGATGGGGGAGATAATCGGGATCCTGACAAAATCGCAAAAAGCGCGAAATTCCGACGAAATCGAGAGGGTATCTAAGCGAATCTGCGATTATCGACGGATGGTGATGATTTGGACCCCTTTGGAGGACCCAAAGTCATGTCCAAGGCGCTGTCCCGTCTTGCCCTTCAAGCTCGTCTTCTCTCCACTACGCCCACCATGGCTGCTCGTGCGTCCCCTATGCAAATCCTCTAGAATTTCTTCCTAACTTTGAGCCTCATAGAATACACCCCACGCCTCATCGGCGCTCCCAACACCCTTGGTATGCCTCGCCATCGCTCTCATACGTATACACGACGTTGATCTCGCTCATCAGACCACCGTGTCTACATCGAGCAAAACGGGAATGTGGTGTCGCCTTTCCACGACATCCCACTCTTTGCCGACCAGAACAACGGCATCCTCAACATGATCGTCGAGGTGCCCCGTTGGACGAACGCAAAGATGGAGATTTCCAAGGAGGAGGCATTCAACCCCATCAAACAGGACATCAAGAAAGGGCGCTTGCGCTTTGTCCGCAACTGCTTCCCCCACCACGGCTACATCTGGAACTACGGTGCTTTCCCCCAGGTTCGTCCACTTTCTGTCGGTATCTCGCTTGACTGATTGACTGATTAGTATCGGCGATACAGACTTGGGAAGACCCTACCCAGTCGCATGCAGAGACCAAGGCCAAGGGTGACAACGACCCCCTCGATGTCTGCGAGATTGGCGAGCAGGTCGGCTATGTCGGTCAGGTCAAGCAGGTCAAGGTCCTCGGCATCATGGCCCTCCTTGATGAAGGCGAGACCGACTGGAAAGTCCTCGTCGTGGACGTTCAGGATCCTCTCGCTTCCAAACTGAACGACATCGAGGATGTCGAGAGGCATCTCCCTGGCCTCGTTCGCGCGACCAACGAGTGGTTCCGGTTCGTCTCATTCAATTTACGCGCGTCCACAGGATAGTTGACTTGGGTGATACCATATCCATAGCATTTACAAGATCCCCGATGGCAAGCCCGAGAACCAGTTCGCCTTCTCTGGCGAGGCTAAGAACAAGAAGTACGCCACGGAGATCATCCACGAGTGCCACGAGGCCTGGCGCCGTCTCATCTCTGGCGAGAGCCCCGCCAAGACGTCGACCTACGATCTCTCGACGTGGGTTTTACCTCTTCACCATGCCTCTATCTACGCTAAATGCTCTCTCCAGTCGCAACGTCGCTGTCGAGGGCTCTGTCGGGTTTGTCAAGACCTCCGACCCATCCTACACCAGCCTTCCTGCTGACTCTAGGAAGCCCCCCGCGCCCATCGACCCCTCCAGTGAGTTTTTGTCTCATCATGACACGGAAGTCATTGTTTCTAATAGACTTTCAGTCTCCAAATGGTTCTACATCTCTTCTGCTCAAGTCTAGCTAAATCAGGGAGAGACGTTGGGCTCGTATGTAGCAATGTGAATCAACAAAAAGAGAAGTTTTGGTATCTTTGAGCATTGTTCAACGAAAGAACACTCCGGTCGCCGATGTCGTTCGTGAATCTCGAATTAGTGCATGCCTGGTATCCCAGATTCTATAGCTACATGTGTCATCAGTCGTCGTCCTCAAACGTATCTGCCTCTAGTGCTTCTCCATGCTTCCGTCTGGAGCGGCGGGTGGGTATCGACAGTAACGGTCTGAGATGAACGTTACTGTCCATGTGCCTGGGCGCAAAAGACGTCAGAAGTGAAAGAGCCGTGTTCTTGAGAGTGCATACCTTCCATGGCAGAGAAAATTGAATATTCTTTCGTAGTGACGCCCGAGACGGTATGGGTTTCGAGGACCTTGCCAGGTTTGCCGCCTTTTTTCAAGCTGACTTCCGCACGCTGATACGTGAAGGTGAATGGCGGCTCTCCGACCAAAGTGAAGGTAATTTCGGCCTGATCGCCTGCATCACAACCCATTCAATACGCGTAATCCAGATGATCAATGACACAGATTGCACTCTACCTTCATGGATATCCTGGAACACCCTCTTCCCATGCCCAACCTGCGCCGACGGTAGCGAGTGGACGGTATAACCAAGGTCGGTCACAATGGACTTGCACATTTTTTGTTGATGAGCGATGGACGCGATTCTGAATTCCCCTGGCTGTTGTTGGGCCAGTGCGAATGGCGATACCTTCGCTTCTTGTGTGTAAGACTTGCCATTCAGGCGGTACCTGGTAAGGCATGATCAGCATATAAAGCAAGCGTTTAATTGCCTCAACCCACAACGTACCCAATGGTCCATGGAGGAATGCCCTCAAGCTGGAATTGGGCGACATCCCCTACGCAGAAATGTTCTCTGCGATCAAACGGTACGATGGCAGCGGATTCGGCTACATCCACCCATATTGATCTTTCGTGCGGATCCGGAACGGTCTGCTCACAGTGCGATGCATCTCGCACCGATTCGATAGTAACGTAATGCTTGCCGACAGACTTGAATGCATATGATGGCAAATTCAACTTCCATGTTGTTTTCTCCAACTCGATGGTCTCCGTGTGTGTTTCGCCCGCGGCCAAGTTACGGACAGAGACTTTCAGCTCGAACGGTGGCGTGCCTTCTAATAAGATCAACCCATCTGAGCTTGACTTGTCCCTAGGAGTAAGAGTGTCGTGCAGACAATACGACAACCGATCCGGGCTTTTGAACCGAGCAGAAGGACGCATGAGTACTTCTTGTTCAAAGAGGGGCCTATGGAACCGGGGGATGACGACCCCCTTGTGCTTGGATAATGGATAAGCAGCATCGCCTACTTGCTTGACTTCGTAGAAGATACGCCCAGGTTCTGAGGTGTGAAGCTGGAATCTGGTCCGCGATTGAATGCTATTGAAGATTGGCTGGTCGACCAGTCTTGTACCACCTGATTCGCTTGTCCGAGCAATGTTGTACATGATCTGGAAGGGCGGACGTCCTGAACGGTAGAATTCATGAGACTTGATCAGGAAACATGGTAGGAGACACTGACCGGTAAGATCAAGATCAACATGACCGCCTTGACTTTCGCAGATTGGCGGCAAAATGAAAGAGCCGTTGAATGCTTCGTAGGCCGCGTTCGTATCCTTTGAGAGCTGGGCAGATGGCCTGGGCACCCAATCAACTCGATATGTGGATCCATCGGCAAATACATTGCCGGGGCATTGTGTATCTGTGACCTATATGAAAGGTCTCTCATGAGTCCTGACCAGCTACAAGACGCATCAAATACTTACGCTCATTATTTCATACAGGCCCTTTTCGTTGACGACAAGATGGTCATTCGGCGTTCGGAGTGTCGCGTATTGGACGTGGTCAGGGTTCTCAAGGGTTCGGTATTTGATGCGCCATGGCTATGGAAAGGGTTAACTCAAGCTGTCGTAAGTCAGAGACCATTCCTCACCCCATCACCCGTCAACCTGAGCGGTAAGTTGGCTTGTTCATTTTCGAGAGTTGTGACTTGGCGTTGGCCTTCTTTGCCATAGAATCGAGCTGTGGGCTGTTTGGCCATGCCCTCCTGTCAGTCACCATCAAAAAATACCAACATTCTTCTCTCACCTTGATGCGTCTCACATTCACCGACACTCCAGGGACTGACAAAGGTCGTTTGCATCCGTAGGAGTCTTCGATGCTTACTAGTAACAGGAATCAGTGAGCGAATTTGTGGAAGATCTACCAAGAATCTGACCACGCACCAAGATCAATTTCAAACGTTCCGCCATCCCGGTTGATAGCTTTTGGAATGGGTAATTCTAAGGTTTTCCGGGCGGTTTCGATTCCAGTGAACGCGAGGATCTCAGATCCCTTCGGCCCAACTAGCTGGACTTCCAGGTTCCACGGACCTGTGCCCTGAGAAATTTTGAGTACCAGACTCATCGCGGATCACAAGTCCAGGCGTACTTGGAGGTTCACATCAACATCGACCACATCGCCTGAACAGCTGTTGATAGTCTGCTTATCCCGACCAGGTATTCCGGTTTGCACGAAGCGGGCTGTCGCCAAAGGATGTACATTTTGATCGATGCTAGGCCCCTTTAATTCCACCTTCTGATAATTGGCATCGCTGAGATGGGTGAACGAATAAATGTAATGTCCACTTTGAGGAGGTTGAAGCGTCATTTCGCCTCGCGAGCCGGAGAAAGTTTGAACGAGCTCGCGGGGAGGCTCCTTGTCACGTTGCATACGGTAATTGACTTGAAACGGTGGTGTACCGTGGAGAACAAGTGATGCAGCTACTCCAGTATCACCAGAGCTGGAAACAGGGTTAGAGAGATAGCGATACCATGCGTATATTAACTGACCATTCGTGTATGCGTCGCCACTCAATTTCAGCAGTGGGTAGGGGAAGCTCAATGACAGTGCACGTTTCCGGGCTGAGAACATCTCCCTCGCAGTACTTGCCCTTGACGTCGACAATCGTATATTGGCCAGGGGTGTTTGCTTTGACAATCAGCTCCCGTTTATCCCTGGGCGTCGCCAAGTTCTTCTTCCAAGGTTTGAATCGCTTGTTAGCGGCCTTCCCAGTTTCGTCTGCGAGCGGCGAGGCTTGATACTTGAGGGTGATATCCCATGGGCCATCTAGAGGGTCGGCCTCATTCGTAGAGACAATCAGTGGCACCTCCGATCCGATGCGCTGGGATGCAGGCTTCCCGGGACCGCATCCCTTAAATGAGACGGTCGGTCGACGTAGGACGTGTAGCGTTCTAGTGTTCTTCGTGTTGGCATCTGTGGAAATAGAGCTATTACTATCCTTGGTGAGCACAGAATGGCTCATGTATGCCACATTCCCCAGGCCATCCATCACTGATTCAAGAGCATAGGTGTGCGTTCCGAGGGCGTCAGCAGAGACAGTCAGAGGAACATGAACATCTTGAGCCGCGGCATAAGATGAGTGAATTCCATCGGTTTGGGTGGCATGCCCTTCTTGGATGCCTTCCACTGTGAAGTATTCCCGTTTGCCATTGATATCCTTGAACCACTTCAAGCTTAATGGCGGAACACCATATATGCTCAAACCTAGCTCAACATCCCTTTCTCGTCCTCCCACGCTTCCCAGTCCCGGCGCAGCACAACGGACGTTGTCACCACGAGTGATTGCATCGCCGTCAACAAACTGCGCACGGGGGCACGGCGCAATGGTGACCTCCGAGGGATAAACAATGCGCGCACCCACGCGGGAGCTATCAGTGACGTCCGTTAAACGCACCGTCCCGGGCTGCGAGATGCGAATGTGTGCCAGTGACTGCGTTTTCTGCATTTTCGCCGCATGAGGATCCCGCTGAGCCTCTTCGTCCTCGTCGTCATATTCGTCGTAGTCATAATCATCCTCGTCCCGCTTTGAGGCCCCTTTGGCCAGGTGTAGCGCTTCGATGCGTGCATTCTCTATAGCCTTCAAGTCCTTAGCGTAGGAAGTTTTCGGTTGAATTCTGTCGCCGGAGCCTTCGACGTAGCCGAGTGGGGTGATCGAGAAATGAACCTCATGAGGACTCGTGTTGTTCAGCAGGATAGGTATGAGAACACTGCCCGAGGATGTAGCAAGGCAAAACGTTTGGCCGAAAGGATTCAGGTGTGCAGTACTGATGGGTGACATGCGGACCGTGTGCTGACCCAGCAAATGTGCATCCTTTCCCGCGTAGCTCTCACCGGTCAGCAGGCCCAGAGTCAGAATAGACAAGATGCTGAATGTGCTAGTAGTAGCAATATCATGACCTGTAGAACATCAGCAGAATAGTCGCAAGAGAAGTGCTACTGCGTACCAGACAGGTCTGCTGAGCCAGACCCTCCAAAAAGATGTAAACGGATCCCGCCAAATAATAGCCCATCCAACAACCACAAAGATAGGACCTGGAGAACAATCACAGTCGTTGCGTAGTTGAGCCGTGGTATTCGAAGTTGCCCGAGGCCAATGCAATATAGCAGGTCTACGAGGAGCCATTTTTGGCCATAGCGGGAAATGCTGGTAGTATCTGATGCGAATAGATACTGCAAAAAGTCGAATATTTTGATGGCCTGTAGACGAACTTGTGAGTACAATGGATAGTGAAGAAGTGCAATGCCAGAACGCTGTGGCGCGTCGGAGGAACAATCAATCGCGAGTAAGAACGCAAGCACACCTGAATAAGGAGCCCAAAGCTTAATACATAGAGTCTCTGTGTTGGAGCATCGAGATATTTTTCTGGAATACGCGGTTGTGGCTGGCTATGAGAGGGCACTTCTTTAGTGGTCGACATATGGCCGTCACCGGCAGTTACGGTGGGGCGGTGTCCTCAGAGTGTTCAAAAATGGGGCGGCGCGCTTGAATGGTTGAATGAAAATTGGAAGTCGTCGGTATCAGATGGAAGAGGTCGTAGAGAACATGAAAGGAGCCGTGGTGTCGCTTCACTTGCAGCAAATCCACGCGCCTGTTCCACGTGACCACCCTGCTGCCCTTGTTCACGGGGGCATCTTCCGAAGGTTCCCAAACAACAGGAATATAGACGACGATAGATTGTTCGGACAGGTGCAGGAACCCAAAGGGTCATAATATACAACACAACGAAACGATAAACATAGACACCATAATCGGCGTTTAGCTCAAATACCAGAACAATACATATGCCCCGACTAGAAACAGTAGTGTTTTCACCTGCGGATCCAGATTAGTAAACGAAGGAATAGCAGCGGCAGCTGCGATATCTCGCTTGGGAGCAGATGAGGAGCCTGCAAGTGTATGACCCTTGCCAGAAAATGCTGCCGGCGATCCACCGGAGGAGTGTTTCTCGAGAGCTCGCTCGATGCCGCTGAAGGTGAAATGAGAGATTAGAAGAAAACACTGAATTTCCCTTCAACCCACTCACTTCTTGTCGGCACCTCGGACTTGATCAACCTTTGTGGTCCCCTTCAAGAATACAAAAGTTGGCCTTCGACACGTCGGATTAGCTTTGAGATATACAGTGTGTGATTGCATTACACGAAATCTTGTACTTACATGGCACTTACGCTGTACTGACTTGCAACGTCCCTCGCAGCATCGACGTCACACTTCAAGAAATTCACATTCGTGTACTTCTTAGAGAGTGCTTCAAAAGTCGGCGCGATCGCATGACACGGGCTGCACCTGTTTTCAAGGTCCTCAATACTCATATGAAACGGCTGCAGGTGAGAAACGCACCATGAAGCGTGAAAATCTATGACCTGCCCACCACAGTCATCATCTCGCCGGCTGAGATACCGCACTCAAGGCTCACCGACAGCTTATCATTAGACTTTGACAGGATTCCGTTCAGCTGTGAGAGCGTGGTGACGTGGGTGAGGGACATTGAGATTCAATATGGTATCGCAAGCTATCAAAAGTGAAGCAGACTGAGAGTGTCGAAATGTGGTGACCGACAACGCTGACGCACGACGCTGTGGGTGCATGTTGATTGTTCACGTGACTGCCACACCAATCGTGGACAAAACGCGCGTTGATTGCCCGGAACGCGTATTCCTGTTCTTCACCATCACTAACTCGAGCGCCTCGCCTACGACGCCCCCCTCTACACAGCCATCCTTATAACTTTAGTTTTTCCTTTGTATCTGTATCATGTCTGGACGCGGTAAGGGTGGAAAGGTATAGAACTTTGATCTCGCGTCATGTCAGAGCTTGTTTGACTGAGTATCTCGCTACAGGGACTCGGCAAGGGTGGTAAGCGTCATCGTAAGATCCTTCGCGACAACATTCAGGGTATCACAAAGCCCGTACGCCCCGCTGTCTCCACCTGCCAACCTCGACGCACCACTCATCTCCATTTACATGCCACTAGGCTATCCGTCGTCTCGCCCGTCGTGGCGGTGTCAAGCGTATCTCAGGTCTTATCTACGAAGAGACCCGTGGCGTCCTCAAGATCTTCCTCGAGAATGTCATTCGTGACTCTGTCACATACACCGAGCATGCTAAGCGGTACGTTCAGGGAATAAGATCACTGTAATCTTGTAGCAATTGATGCGAAACATTTATATAGCAAAACCGTAACTGCCCTCGATGTGGTATATGCTTTGAAGCGTTCTGGGCGCACCCTCTACGGTTTCGGTGCTTAAGCTCCTCATTTCTCCTCTTGTACTCGACTTTTGTACTACTATATGTCATAACATGTGCTCCTTACCTCTTTTATCGTGCAGTCAACAATAGGCCGGTGAGTCTAAGTAGAGCTCTGTCAACAAACAAATCCGTAGAAAAAAGGTATGAGTACATATACATATACAAGGTGCAATTTACTCTCAATAGCAGAGGGGAGGTACTGGGTTCAATTGTCTTCCCCCATATGCTCAAACAAGTCAACCATCTTCTTCACTGCTGGACAAACGGCGAGCCTTACTCTCTCACATTCTCCTGCCAGGATTGGAGTGCGATCCTCAATCCATCTGGCAATCCCACCGGGGCTCTGGTCTCCCTTACCGGTAAGATACATATGGCTCTTGCTCCGGATCATTTTCGCCAGGCTGTCACGCCTGATACTCCATTTGAGCTTGCGCATGACAGGGAGAAGGGAGCGCGAAACAGTCGGGGAAGACATCTCGACGTCGGGAAGGACGTGGGAAGCCTTTAACGTCTGCAGGGTGTTAGGGAGGCGGCGGAGGTGCGATGATAATACATTGGAAGCACGGCGACGCAAGAGGCGGACAGAGCTTTCGTAGTTGATCACGGACTACAATCGGGGAGGAGCTATCAGTTGGAGGCGTTGTCAAGCGTTACCGAGATCCTCACAAGCGAGGAATAGAAGTACAAGCCGTGCCTCCAGCGGCTTTCGATGTTGAGGCCTTTCATGACACCTCTGTGCACTAAATCGGCTACGGTTGGCCGGAGGGGGTCCCCGTGAACTCCCAGGGCAAAGAGCGAGTGTGAAACTCGAGAGGGAGCCACAACGAGCAGACGGGTGCGCTGCAGAATAGGGTCTGTAGCCAGAAGGGCAAGGTAGTCCGAGACACACGCGATCGCGGCGAGGTCGGGGATGTCGAGGAAGGATACTGGGCGAAACGGGATGTTCAAGGTCAGTTATGCGAAAGGATGTGTAGTGCCGGACTGGACTGACAGATATACAGAAGTAACTCGGGGGGAAATGTCAAGAGCCTGCTTGACATGGCACTGAAAGGTGAGAAGGTGTGTTTCGTGAATTTAACTGTGCCTTGCGATGGGAGCGCACTGTCGCGCGAGAGCGGGTGGAAGAGGAAGCCGTGTTGAATGTGCCGCAGTCTTGCCGCGCATGACCGCACATTTGCTCGAAGCGGCCATGACATAAGCAAATCACTCTTGTTTTGGTAAACCGAGTTGAATGTCGAGCTCCCTCTCAGCCTCGCGGTCAGAAAGAAGTCGCGTCCCTGATGGCCTGGTGGCCACCTTCAAAGGTTCATAATGATGGGCTGAAGAGATCCAAGACTTGCTGACCTGTACAGCGTGCTTTCCGTGCCGTCGATTGAGGGCGGACCCATCTTGGCGTTATTCTACTTCGGTTTGGACGAGGCAACGCGCTGATCTACCAGGATTTACCGGACTTGCCATGGATGAGAATTGGAAGTATATAGCGAGCGGTGGCTGCTTTGTGGAGGTGCCAGAGAAGCCGGATGCATGTTTGCCCGGACTTGTTTGGCTGTTCAGTATCCTTTCTGAACACGAGTGACGTCCCGGGGGTGACATCGACCCTCGATCCGCACACTCTTCTTTCACCGTAGAATGTTTCCGCCGCGAGCCCCTTCCCTGCCGCGCTTTTATGCCTTTTATCTCGCTCTTTCCTCCCGACCGGCCTTTCCTCTGATCCCCCACTCCTCCCTCTTCTCCAGCTATGCCTGACACAATAGAGACCGCTCAACACTTTATCTTTGTGTAAGTTCCTTCTCATCACCACTGGGATCCCACACCACACATGCTCACGGTGCACATAGAACGCAGGTGTACTTTTGCTGTGAGTGACCGTTTCTTTCTCCGACAAACAACAGCCTTGATATCCCTTCGCCCTTTCGGGTTCATGTAGCCATGTGTACGAATTCTCTTCCACCGCTCCCTCTGACAGCTCCACCTGATGAGAGATAATCGTTAGATGCGGTTGTCTTGTGGGACTGGGTCGTCTGTCTCCCTCGCGAATGGCAGTTTGTAAGAGCCTTTCCCCATCCCTAGGATATCTGACTGAAACTTCTGCTACTACCAGATATGGAGGACGTCCTGGACACCAGTCAAGGCATCTTATATATTCTGCCGGTAATTGGCGTATTTTCGTGCCTATATGCGCTTCCCTCACTTGTCCCATGCCCTCCTCTTTCAGTTACTGGGTTATTGCTGTCGTTCCATACCTTTTGTATTGTTTCGTGATCGACCACTCGGAGGAAACATGCAAAAAAATATACAAGGCAAGCTTTATTCCCCTTCGGCCAATTCCGTATGTAACTATGCCTTTTAGGTGCCGGTCGCTCTCGCCATGTGGAATCAAGTGGGCGCGGAATGTACATCATAATTTATCACCGTATTAGAGGCTTGCTGATGATGCGTATCCGTCCATTGTAGCTGTCCTGCTCATTCGGACCTACGCCTTTTTTAATCGTAACAAACTCGTGCTATTCTTCCTCCTGTGTGCCCTTAGTGGTATGATTGCGTATCAACTGTTCGTCGCCACGTCGGAAATGCTCGGTACGTACCTGTTCTCAGATTGACTACCCATCTGTTCACGTTCGACAATACTAGTCCTTCCGTTTGTGAAGCCACCCTTTGTAAGGCAGTCAGCTTTCCCGATAACATTGCATGGACTGAACCATGTCACAGGATCAAGGGCCATGTCTACCAATGTCGAAGCCTCATTCGGCACATCTTCTTGGTGCGCTTTAAATTTGATTTTGTTCTTCAACACCTCACCTCAAACCCGACGCAGGCTTCTTCGTGAGTTGCCAAGTACAGGTCACGGCCACAAACAAGAGTTCCATTTTTTTGAATCTATAGATCGCCCCACTCGCATTCGATACCGTCATTACGCTCATGACCGTCTACAAAGCTTTCTATATTCGCCGTCATAATGGTGGCCCCAGCAGCAGACTCATCCAAACGTTCTTACGGGAAGGCGTCTTCTATTACTTTTTGATATCAATCGCGAACCTGGTAAGCAACAATCGCAATGTCACCTGCACCACGTTGATTCAATCCCGCAAAGATCAACGGCATCTTTTATCTACAGTGAGCGGTGCCAGTTCCTCGGCATGACTCTTTATTTGACACTGACCGTATATATCAGACCTCGGCAGGTAATCTCGGCCATCAACATCCCCCTCAGTGTCATGCTCAGCCCTGTCTTAGCCTGCCGTCTAGTCGGTCTTCTCTCTTTACCCGTTCTGATCACAAAGACTGACTCTTCATCATCATGCCAGATCCTTGACCTTCGTCAACGTGGTTCCGAGACGGTCTCCCACTCGGAAGGTACCATCCCTGCTTTTACTTTTAATTCCAAGATTTTTGGAATTCGCTTCGGCGGACCCCGCTCTGATAGTAACAGTAACTCAAGACCAGCTCCCATACGGTCCCACATCCGGAGTAAGACGTCGGTCCTCAACTCTGGACTCGTGCTGAGCACCCTGGGGAGCGTTACCGGGGGCGAGGCGTCCAGTCCTGGCAGCGTCGAGCTTCACAGTCTGGATGTCAGAAAAGCAATGACGGATGAGGGTACCGGGGGTCTGGGCCACCACCATGATGATGACGACGAAGTGCCGGAGTATAGATCGGTGGACATGATGAATCTGGGGATGGGGCTGAGCGGTGCGGTCCACGGAGTTAGAATCGACGTGGAGAAGCAGACCAGTGCTATGTGATAATTGACAGACCAGGATGTCTGGACCAAAGCAGGAACCATTTTCCAAAATGTGTACGAACTACTATACCACCCATGCCGTGTTTTCACTGTCGTGCTGTCCTCCACCGCTTGCACGGGTTTCGACTTTTTTTTTTACGCTATACGTTACATTGCAATCCCTCTTGTACAACAGTCCTTTATCGCTGTCGTGTTTTTTTCGTGTACCCTCGCATACTTACCATACATGCGCGAGGGATCCTACTGCACAAAACCAATCCATATATTAGGAATTTGAAAAATGGCAAAGAACGTCCGCATGGACGGCGAATTTATTGGCGATTGTCTGTGGTACGGATTGCGTGTGCTCCCAGATTGAAACGCGCCGATGTGCATATGGAAAGATTAATGATACAAGTGATCGGGTACAGGATCGCAGGCGTCGACGGCCGGAAGAAACGCGAACTAGTCGGAAGGTTAAAACGAAACGAAATGAAAAACGCCGAGGTCGGGGGACGTAAGTATGAGCGGTAAGTATGGGACAGAAGCGGGAGCCCAATTAAGAGGGGGGAAAAAAATCATAATACACGAATCGAGCGAAGAAACAAACGAAAAAAGACTCTAGGCGGAGGGTTCGATACGGACGGGGCCTATGACGGGCGGGACGAGGGCGGCGCTGGGGGCGGGGGTGGCGGGGGGTAGGTGAGGTAGGGCTGCTGGGAGGTGTTCATCATCCCGCCGCTACCGCCGCCGCCGCCGCCGCCGCCGCTCATCCAGAGGCCCTGCTGCGTCTGGTCGAACGTGAACGGGATCGGGAGCGCCGCGGGCGGGCTGCTGTGCGACGAGTGCGGGGAGGGCGTCGAGAGCGTGTGCTGCGAGCTCTGCGCGGGGCTCGGCTGCTGGTGCTGGTGCTGGTGTTGGTGTTGGTGCTGGTGTTGTTGGTGTGAGTGTTGGTGATGTTGGTGGTGCGGGTGCGGGTGCGGGTGCGGTTGGTGTTGGTGCTGCTGGTGCTGCTGCTGGTGCTGCTGCTGCTGCTGTTGTTGTTGCGGGTGCTGCGGCTGCGGCTGGCCCGTGCGCGGCCACCACTCGTACCCGGGGAGGTACGACGTCGAGGGCTCGATGCCCGGAATATCGATGCCGAGCATGTGCGCGAGGATGCGGTTCCCCGCGACCTGCGCGCCGGGGCCCGCGGGCGCCGCCGACGCGCTGCGCTCGAGCTCCTCGAACGCCTCGCGCTGGAGGATGTTCGAGCTCTTCTCCTTGCCGAACGCGTCGTCCGCGCCGCGCTTCGCGCGCTCGCCGGGGCCGCCCGCGCCGCCCACGCCGCCGCCCACGCCGCTGCCGCCGATCCCGTAGAGCGTGAGCAGCCCGTTGTCCACCTGGATTTTGGCGCCCTGCAGGAGGCCCCAGGCGCGGTGCGCGCTGGGCCATATCACCTGGCGGGGCGGGTCCGTGCGTCTGGGGCGTCAGCGCGCGACGCGCGGGGGTTGGCGGTTCACGCACCTCCATCTCTTTCAGGCTGGCCAGGGTTTGTGACAGGGATACCGAGGCCTGCACGTTGGACGGTCGGAAGGTCACTGGGGGGACCGCGCGGTTAGTCACGGACCGCGAACAAAGGCGCGCGGGGTGCCACTTACAAGTGACGACATGCATGAGGCTGTAACGGAGACGGAGAGTCGCTCAGCACGCAAGCGGCCACGATTCATCAGGCACTCACCCTGCCGCGAAGAGATGCTGCGTGAGCATGAAGACGGCGCGCTGCAGGCCGAAGCGTTTTTGGTAGGCGACGACTGGGCACGCGCGCGCGCGGGAGGGGAGGGGGAGGTCAGCCCGAGCACGTTCATGGTGACGGCGAGACACGCCGCGCGCGCCGCGTCTGCTCACCTATCGCCGTGATGCGCCCCGCCGCGCTCTGGCAGATGTCGAAGGACTTGAGGGCGCCGGCGTCGGACTCGCGCGTGGACTTGTTCGTCGCCGTTTTCGGATCCCTGCGGGGTGCGCGTTCGTCCATCGGACCAGGGCGCACATAAACGAAGCGGGACGTACCGTTCGGGTTTCCATTTGGGAATGCTGGGGCGTCGGAGATCAGCGCGCGGGGAGACGGCGGATCGGGAGGATGGACGAGGACGTACAATGCGCGGTGGAGGAGCATGACGATGTTCCAGTACGTCATGTGCAGCTGCAGGATGTGCGGCGGCGGGACGTGGCGCTTGCTCACGGTGTCGTACGCCAGGCACTCGGGCAGTTCCGCGTACCACTTGTCGAGGCGCGCCTCGAGGTCGGCGAGCGCCGCGCGCTTCGCCGACGGCGTCGTCGGGCGGATCGTGTACACCTGCTCGAGGATCCGGCCGGTGATGACGCCTGGCGGTGGCGGGGTGCAGCGAGGAGGGCGAGGTGAGCGACGGAGAGCGGATGGAGGGAAGGGCGCGAGGGGGACGTACTCAGCGTCGACGAGGCGCGGAAGCAGGCCATCACGCGTCCCGGAACGGGAGGGTAGTCGGCCGCGGCCCTGTCGACCGGATGGGGGAGCCACTGCTCGTCCGCGTCGATCTGCAGCACTCTCAGTTGTAGCAACGCGCTCACGAGCCGCCCAAATAGGAAAAACGTGCCGCACCTCCGGGAGCGGCGTGTCGCAATTCGATTCCGAGATGACAGGCGGGCGGCCCATCCAGACCGAGGTGTACCTGCTCCCCCCGCCGGACATTAATTAAAAAAGAAGCAAGACGCGGGCGAGAGAAGCGACGCGTACTTGTCGGCTCGCGTGCACGCCCACCAGATTTGCTTCCGGGCCTGCAGCTCTGTCGGCGAGAACAGGCTGCGGTCGTTGATCTGCCACTTGTCCGCGTCCCGGTGCAGTCCTAGATCGTACGCCTGCACACGCCGTGAGCCACGATCAATCGAGCCACGCCCGGCGCTCGGGCTTACCATTCGGATGGCCATCCCTGCACGCAGTCGCGAGGCAAACATGAGCGGCCCAGATCGCACCGACACAGATCCAGAAAACTACCCACCGACGTACAGCCAGCCGTGTTCCGTCGAACCTGGTGAGAGCGCCCAGTCAGTTGACAAGCGCCGCCGCGCTGACGAGGAGAATCACGCGACGCACCGAGGGCGGTCTCCCGGAGTCCGAGGAGTAGCAGCGCTTGGCACGTCGACGGCCGCGAGTAATGGTACACGCGATCTAAATTAGGCGCGATTCAACGAAAAGTGTCATCGACGCGGCGCGCCGCGGATCCGCCACGCACGCGCGCGCGCGATAAGAGACGGAGAGGAGGGGCCCACGCACTGAGCAGCTCGCGCGCCTGCACCATGTAGGTGAGGCCCGCCTCCCAGATCGTGCCCTCGGGCGACGACTGGGCGTCCTCCGAGTAGCGCGCGGCGGTGGCGAACATGGAGAGCAGGAGCAGGTTCGAGAGGTGCATGCGCTCCGGTCGACGGGTGCCGTTCGCCGGAGTTCCGTTTTCCTGATACCTGACGCGGCGTCAGCTTGCTTGCGGGTGGCGCGCGCCTCCGATGGAAATCGGACTCACGAGTTTCTGTCAAGGAGATACGCGCGCACGGTGAGCGGTGAGCGTCTGGCGCGACGATGCGATCGTCCGCCGGTGATGGCAGGCGAGCAAATTCGGTAGGAAGAAGCACTCACGCGGCGTTGAACTCACTCCAGAACATCGTCTTGTGCACGACGGGAAAGACGGGGTGCACGTATACAAAGTAGAGCTCGAGCAGGTGTCGCTGGACGTCGAGCGACGGCATCGGGACATCCACGTTCTCCTCTGGGATGAATTGATTTGCCGCAGGCGGCCACACACGCGCCATGGGCATGTTCCTGCGTTGGCGAGGTGACAAGCGGTGGCGATCGCGATGGGGCGAGTAGATTACGTGCGCACGCGAGTGAGAGTGAGAGATGAGGGAGAGGGAAGGGAGGGGGCAGGGAGGGGGGGAGGGTACACGTACCAGACGCCTCCGGCCTTGCGGTCGTCCGTGCGGTCATTTTGGTAGAGCAGAGACAAGCCACTGGCCTTTCCGTGATATCGGACCTGGAGCCGAGGCATTAGCATCGGCGAGGGGGATCATCAACCAACGCAGGCGCGGGTGCGCGGCGCCAGCTATCGGTCCCCAGGGCGCGAGAGCCGACGCACCTCTTTGTTCTCGTCGAGAGAGAGCTGACCGAACATGCACGAGCTGTCCTCGCTCTCTTTGTCCTCTTCCGAGGAATCTGGGGCGCGCAGGTGTCGGGGGAGGGCGGTGAGCGGGGGCGGGGGGTGAGTGTCAGTGGCGGGATCGAACTGGAAGACCGGGTCACCTGAGAGCCTGTCCATTCTATACATGCGGTCCCAGTCAGGCTGGAGGGAGGCATCGCCGTCGAGCCGCCGGCGCTGTGGTAGCGAGGGACCGCCCGTGCGTTCGCGCTCGGAGGACGCGCGGGGCGGACGGTGGCCGTTGTTGTTCGCGGAGGGCCCGATGAGGGCGAAGCGGGAGGACAGGCGGTCCTGCCACTCGAGGGTGGGGCTGACGAGGGCCGAGTTGTCTGGGAGAGGGGAACGAAGGGCTACAGGTTGAAGGGAGGAACAAGGGAGGGGATAGGGGGTGGACGCACTGGAGGAGACGATCTCGCGGGAGACGCGGGATTGGCGGCGGGGCCGAGAGGGGTCGCGTGCGGCTTGTGGGTCTGCGCTGTTGAGGATGGAGGCGAAGAAGTCTTCTTTGGTGACGGCGACGGAATGGTTGAGGCGGCCGGTAGGGCCCTGAAGGAGTGGGCGAGGATCGAACATGGTACGGTTGGGGGGCCGCGGCGAGGGGGCGGAAAGAAAAAGGGAACTCACAAAGGGACCCGAGTCGACGCGGTTGAGGATGTCGCGAGCGAGGTCGTCTCGTTTGAGGTTTTTGATGAGATGGCGGACCTGGGGGTCTGGGGACGCGAGGATGGCGCCGAGGATGGACTCGACCTGATGCCATCGCTGCTCGATGGCGTGGATGTATCCTTTGGGAGGACCGCGCTTGTAGCTGGGGCCTGGACTGCGGGGTTGGGACCGAACGCGAATGGGGCAGCGGGGGACACATACCGAGAAAGGTGCAGGCTGGGGGGAGGATGACCAATGAGTCAGTCGAGGTGGAGGACGCCGAGGGGAGGGGGAGAGACGGGAGACGGACCGACGCCGGCGAGGGTGCAGCTCTTGCACTGCTCGCTGTCGCCCTCGTACCTCTCGCACTTGCTCTTCGTCTTGCGACATTGATCGCAGGCTGGCTGGAGTCAGCCGGGGGACGGGACGGGGCGGGGTGGGGTGGAGCGGGGATGGAAGGAAGGTGAGAAGGGCGCACCTCTGCTGCTGCGCTTCCTGCTGGACGCGGCTTCTGTGGGATGTGGACCCTCGTCGTCGGAGGCATCAGACTCGTGCATGGACTGGTCGTTGGACATGGCGGGGTGTCGCGAGCGAGAAGGAGAAAAAAACGCAGGTTCGAGACGCAGGATACGAGGCGGATGGGTGTCGGAGGAAAGAAGAAAGGGAGCGCGCGTCAACGCTGACGGGGTGGAGTGCGGCGGGCGGCGGAGGAGGACTGGAGTCGAGTGTGTGATGGGGCAGAGAGAGCGAAAGAGAGCCGCCTGCCTGAGTCCCACCTCCGAACACCCGGGCCTCGGGCCTTTCCCCCCGGCCCCCTCCCTCGGCCATCCCTTCCATCACCCGACCCGTCCCTCTTCGTCCCCGTATCCGTCCTCCACCCTCCTCTGTTCAACCGCCCCGCGGTCGCATAAATCACGTCACCGCACCCGTTCACGTCTCATGTAACTTATATAAACTTCCTCTTCGAGTACATGTATATCCTCCCAGCTAGCACACAGACGTCCCGACTACGGCCGACGCTGGCCCTGCTGATCGTCGCTATGTCCCCGCGCAGCACAACTCCTGCGAGCGCGATGTTCACTTGGTGCCGTTCCCGTAGCCCGATCGTGGTACCGTGCGCGCCCGAGAAGCGTCGTATATCCTCAGACCCTCGCGCGGTTCTTTCGCAACTTTCACGAGCGAGCCGCAGATACAGCGGACGCAAGAGTGCCTCCGGCGATCTACCCTGTGCACCGCGGGCTGCTGCGGCTCGAGATCCGAGTCGTCCCCACAACAGCGACCAGGCCGTGCGGGGCGCCAGGCACCAGAGCGCCTCCGGGCAGCATCTTCCAAGATGCGGTCCGAGTTCGAAGGTGGCCGTGGCCGCACAGACGCTTGGGGTCTGGTGAGAACGACGCCTGCGAGCGTGCGTGCGTGCGTGCGTCCCCGCGAGCCGATCGAGGACGGGCACGGCGCAGGAGAACGCAGGGGGGGCGAGCGTGTCCGAGGCGGTGCAAGAGTCTGGACGCGGCTGACTGTACGGCGCCCGGCCGATGCCGCAAGCCTGACTGAGGTCCGCCCAGTGCCGCGTCCTGCACACCTTCTTTCCCACTACGCCAACGTCGTCCTCCCCGCCCCTCCAGCCCCCCCTCATGGTGGTCCCCCCCCCCCTCGCCCCCCCTCCCCTTCCCACAACACCCACACCTCTCTTCCCCATGCCTTCCGACTCCCCCGTACACCAACTCGACTCGCGTACGTCCCTTTTTCCGCCCACCTCCCCGTCTGCTGACGCGCCTCGTTCTCGCTTTTCCCGCCTTTTTTTCGCAGCCTCCCCCCATCCCTCTCGCTCCCCCTCCCCCTCCGGTCATGACATCCTCACCCTCCGCGCCCTCGTCAGCACCAAAGACGCCGGCGTCATCATCGGCAAGGCTGGCAAAAACGTCGCCGACCTCCGCGAACAGACCGGCGTCAAGGCTGGCGTCAGCAAGGTCATCCCCGGCATTCACGAGCGCGTCCTCACCGTCACCGGCTCCGTAGACAGCGTCGCAAAAGTGCGCACGCCGCGTTCTTTTTTTTCACCTCCGTTTTTCACACGTTTTGATATTCTTTTCATTTGATCTATTAGGCCTACGCACTCATCATCGCGCAGCTCGTCGAGGCCAACCCGTCGTCCCCCGTCGTCTCTTCCTCGTCCGCGGCGCATACATCCATCCGTCTCCTCATCTCCCACAACCTCATGGGAACCATCATCGGCCGCAGCGGTCTCAAAATAAAGGCCATCCAGGACGGCTCCGGCGCCCGCATGGTGGCATCGAAAGACATGCTGCCCCAGTCCACCGAGCGCGTCGTCGACGTCCAAGGCGCCCCCGAGGCGATTGGTCGCGCGATCGAGGAGATTGGCCGGTGTCTCCTCGAGGACTGGGAGCGCGGGCTCGGCACGGTCCTCTACCACCCCGGCGTCGGCGAAGACCGCTCGACCGGCCGCCGCTCGCACAACTACTCTGCAAGCTACTCGAGCCGCCGGTCCAACGGCGAGTCGAACGCGCGCGCGTCGAGCCCGCCCTCGCCCGGCTCGCCGTCCTCGCAGACCAACCTGCGCACGCAGAACATCTCGATCCCCTCCGACATGGTCGGCTGTATCATCGGGCGCGGCGGGACCAAGATCACGGAGATCCGCCGCCTGTCCGGCTCCAAAATCTCCATCGCCAAGGCGCCGCACGACGACACGGGCGAGCGGATGTTCACGATCGTGGGCACGCCCGAGGCGAACGAGAAGGCGCTCTTTTTGCTGTACAACCAGCTGGAGAGCGAGAAGGAGAGGCGGGTCGGCAAGGAGCAGCAGCACCAGGAGGAAGAGATGCAAGACTGAGCGTCGCGCGATCCCCCGCGCGGTGATCCCTGTTTTGACACGCGCGCGCGCGTGCGTGTTGCCGGGACGTGCACGCCTAGTAAGGCGGCTGGCTGGCGGGTGTCGAATGGACTTTTTTCTTTTTTTATTGCCGGGTATAAAACCGTCCAGTGCCCGTCCGTTATACACATAGTGCTCATCTTGCCAGGTGGCCTGCGCAGCTTTTTATCTTCGTTTGTGGCTGCTGGTCGGTGCCAGCTCGTCGAGGTGGTCTGTAAATGGACATCGTTACGTACCACCTGTTCATACTGTTCCGCCCTTCCCCGTTCCCCCGTGTCCGCGTGTCCCGTACGTCGGCTTCTTGTTCCCGCTCTTCCAAAACCCCACAAAATCCGTTCCCTGTCTCTTCGCTTCCCCGTCTCTCTCTCTCGTTGCCCACTGCGTCGGCATCCCTCTTCTCTCTCCGTCTCCGTCCGTCCCCATTCCCGCTCCGTGACCGCGACCGCGCCTCTCGTACGTCCCGTTCCCGTCCCCGTCTCGACCAGCCTCCCGACCGTACTCCCGACCGCACCAGCACGTCTACGCTCCCGCCCCCTCCACTGTCCCCGTCCCCTCACCCACCCCCACTCTGCTTCTCCCCCGGTCTCCCTCGGTCTTTTCTTCCTTTTGCTCATCTACTGCCTCCCGGTTGCCCCTCCCCCCCCGTCGTGTCTTACCGTACCGCTTTCGTGCAATTTGTGCTACTGCAAAGTCTAACTCTATAAAAGTATGCGTATACTTCCTCCGCGCCGCGCGGGTGGGCGGGGCCCAGGCAACTCCTAGACAATGCTGACGTGTGCGCGCTGATGAGAAAGGTGAATCGCTGCGTTGTATACTACGTGCGAACGGGGACGTAGTAGCTCGGATTGGTGACTTCCCGTTAGTGGCGTCGTCTTGGTGTGACTCGATTTTTTTCTTCGACTTCCTTTGAAGGCCTGGGCCTAGCCCACTCGAAAAGAACGCCCTCGGGCAACGCGATGCGTTCGAGGTCGTTCGCTCGCTCGTGCGTTCGCCGTCGACACCCGGGGCGGTCACGGGTGCAGCGCGTGACGTCGCCGTCGACTTGGACCGTGCGGCGTCCGTTTTGGGCGATGCGTGCACGATGCTCCCCCGACACAACAACCCCCACGGCCTGCCCGCGCGCCCTGACTTTGCCCAAAATGCACCTCCCCCTCCTCCCCTTCTTCCTCAGCAGCAGCAGCAGCAGCGTCCACAACGGCAGACTCAGAATAACCCCGCCGCGCTCGCGCAGGCACTGACCAGCGCGCTCGCGAACCCCTACGGCGCCGCGCAGTACCAGGCGCCGCACTATGCGCAGGCATATGCGCAATACTACGCAGCGGGGAACGCAGGCGCGGGTGCGGGTGTGGGCGCGGGTGCGGGTGCGTTCGGGCAGGGGTACGCCCAGCAAGGTTCGCCGGCGTCGTTCAGCGCGCCAGGGCCGTCAAATGCGACCGCGGGTGCAGGCGCGGTCGGCGCGAGAGGCCGTGGGCGCGGAGGGGGCGCGAGTCGAGGGCACCAGCAGCAGCAGCACCAACAGCAACAGCAACAGCAACAGCAAACGCAGGCGCACTGGTACGCGCCGGGGAGCAGCCGCTGCGCGCACCCCGGGTGCGGGTTCGCGGGCGCGCCGAAGGCGGTGGAGGTGCATATGATGGACCGGCACCTCGTGTACCCCGCGGGGTGGGACCGGCGCAAGCGCGCGGGTGAATGGGACGCGGACCCCAGCCTCAAAGGGTGCGTGTGTGCGTGTGCGTGTGCGCGCGCACCATCAGTGTATTTCGGCGCCCCTCGCGTGGCGCGCGGGCTGACAGCGCTGATGCATCGTGCCCACTGTCTGTTGCAGGAAGCCGATCGTGATCCAGGGCACGAACGTCGCGCTCGACACGCCCGAGGAGATCGCGCGCTGGCTCGCGGAGCGCAGGCGCCGCTGGCCGACGGACGCGCGCGTCGCGGAGAAGAAGCGAAAGCTCGACGACGCGATCGCGCGCGGGCAGATGCACCCGGATGACCCCGCCCTGCGCGGCCACAAGCGCCGCAGGCTCGATGGCGGACCCGACAGGCAACAGCAGCAGCCGGACGCGGGCTGGGGAGAGCAGCGGGGCAGGGGGCGTGGGCGCGGTAGGGGACGCGGCGAGCCGAGGGCGCGCGGGCGAGCAAGAGGCGGGCGTGGGGGTGCGTCGACGGAGAGCGCACGAGGCCCGCCGCCCGACCCGCCCGCTGGCCCTTCCTCGTCGTCGGGCTCGGAGTCTGACGAAGACTCGGGCGACGACGGCGCGCCAGAGGCCGTCTCCTCCAAGGCGCCACCGGGTCTAGTCGACCACGCCCCGCCGTCTGCGTCGTCCCCCGCCCCCGAGGATGCGGACGAGGACGCGGGCGACGCGGGCGACGCCGTCGCACCCGTCCCTGTCCCCACTCCCGACGAGCCGTCGCCTGTCGAGTCGGCCCTCGACGCGCCCGCGCCCGCGCCCGCTCCGACCGCCCACCCGCCCCTCAAACCCCTCCGCAAACCCCTCCCTCCGCAGCCCAAGCGGCCTCCCCGCAACCCCTTCGAGGCCCGGCCCTCGCTCCTGCGAAACGTACGTCCATCCGGCCAGCGTATTTTTCGCTCTCTTGTAAACCGTACCCAACGCCGCCGTCCCGCAGCTCCTCCTCCCCGAGATCCGCATGACGGTGTCCAACCTCTCGCAGGCCATCCACTTCCTCGTCTCCAACGACTTTCTCGAGAACGTAGAGACGCGGCCGGGCGAGGCGGACGAAAAGATGATCGAGGTCATCGGCGAGAAGCCCACGGCGGAAGACAGCGCTCCTTCGTCACAGACGCCCTCCATCCCATCTCTCGAGTAGACACCGTTATCGTATATATATATACGCTGTCGACCTCCCGGCGTACAAAAATTATGATAGAGCAAGATAATAGATACTGCTATGCTACAATGCGTCTCACGCCTCATCGCTCGAGCCGGTGCTGCTCCCCTCGTCATCGCTCTCCTCCTCGTCCGACTCAAACTCCCCTTCTCGCCCCACGTCGACCGTCCGCATCTCCACCTCGTACCCGATCGCTGTCAGGCCCTGCGTGATCTCCTCCGTCTTTCCGGGCGCCGTGACCGACACGACGACGGACGTCGCGGGGTCGAACACGGGCAGGATGTACTTGCGCAGCGCGTACAGCACGTCTTCCTTGGTCACGAGCTCGAACTTCTTGAGCAGGTCGATGTTGTAGTTCTGCGGCACCCCGCGCAGCGCCTGGTTCGTGAACGAGCTGTTTGCCTGTAAGGAGGAACGAGAGCGAAACGATCAGGCCTGATAGATGTCAACGCGTGCGAGAGGCTGGCTTACCGCGCGCCCCGGCGTAGACACGCCCTTGCTTACGCCGTACACGATGCTGCTCTTGGCCGCATCCAATACTGTTTGGTCCAGCTCTACCTGCAGGCAAAGGGTTCAACCAAAAACTTCCTTTGGAACGTGTGGATGTTAGACTTACTGAGCCGTCGACCAAACCCCGGACGACAGCCGCGCCCTCCTCATACCCCTTGATGCTGTTCGAGGTCTGCGAGATCTCAGGAATCAGCGTCAAGCTCGGTATCCCTTTTCCGAAACACGTACCCGGTAGAGCATAAAGCTGATCGTCCCCACCTCGGTGTCGGCGCCGAGGTACGCACCATATGCCAGCCCAGATCCCCGGATAGCCCGCTGCGAACAATCCGGCATCAGTTCACGAGCATCGAAAACGCGAGTGATCTCGCTCACCCAAAGATAGCTCTCGGTAGCGTTGAGCAGCTCCATCGTGATCCTGTAAGCTGGGTAATCGGGATGGGCGAAGCCCTGAATGCCCTTTGCGATGTGCGCCGAGAACGTGCTCTCGATGGTCGAGAGCTCAACGATGATGGCCTGTATGCGCGTGCGTGCGAACAGCTCAGCACCATGGAAAGGGCGAGGGATCACCAAGTCTCATCACGCACCTTCTTCGTCGGGTTCCTGCCGATCTCGCTGAGGTTTTCAGAGGCCATCGGGACGGGCGCCAGTTGTGACACCTGTCCGGACACACGTGCTTGTCAGTGAGCCAATACACACCACGCTATCAAGAAGGAACGCACGGGGAGAACGTCCGCAAAGTACTTGGCCCACGGTGCTCTTGGGTTGGGAATATCCTTGACGTTACCGGCCACGGACATGCGAATGCCAGTCGGATCCGTCACTGACAGAGACTTGACTCTCAAGAACTAAACAGCATATCGACAGCAGAGACCACGCACGGTATTTTCTGATCTCCTCGAACGCTTGAATGGCCTCCTCCGGCGCGTCCATCAGCTGCTTCGCGAGGATGGGGAGGAAGTGCCCCTGCTGGAGCACCCCGCCCGCCCGGTTCGATGAAGACTCGGTCATGAGCACTTCCATGGTCATCGCGGAGAGCACAGTGCTGCCGCTCCGCTTCATCGCAGGGAGCGACTGCTGGATCTGCGCGACGTTGATCTGCAGCCTGGAAGGACAATATTCGTGAGGGGTCCGCGGCGCCAAGACAAGGGAAAACGCTTGCCTGTCCCGAGCGAACACGCTCCCATACACGAGGTCTTTCACCCACGCGACCGCCTCCTCGTACTTCGCCACCTCCACCTGGAGGCTTACGCGGATCAGCTCGGGGAACAGGCCTGATGTGCCCAGCCCAATTTCATGAGAGACAGTCTCATCCTCGAGCTTGTCCACGACCTCCTCGTGTGTGAGGTATTCGCCGTTGTGGCGGGAGACGGGTAGCGAGAAGAACGATTGAATGTACGTCGACAGGTACCTATAAACGTGCACTACGGGGTTAGTGATCCGCGATGCAATGATAGCCGAGCGCTCACGGTCTGAGATGGTTGGGGAGCTTGGCAAGAGAGAAGTGTGCGTTGATGCTGATGAAGTCAGACTGCGAGATGCGGTCAATGTATGCGCGATGTGGAAGGATCAAATCATACCTTGACGTGATCGTACTGGACGAAGAACGGAAGCTCCTCCCCATCCCTCGCAACATGGCGCGCGAGGTCTGTCTCAGGCAAAGGCACCCGAGAAGTCCGTCCGATGCCTGGCTCTTGAGCGCTCTCGACCGGGATCCACGCGATGCTCTTCACGTCGGGCACAGGGAACGCGGTGATGATTTCCTTCGGGATAGGCTTCTCATGTTCAGCCAACGCGTCCCGCAGCTCCTGCGCAGCCTTGGCGAGACCGTCGGGCCCAAGGCGCGCCTTCCGCTTCTCCAAGCGTGCTTTCTCCTTCTCAGCCAGCTTCTCAGACAACTTGGCGGATGGCTTTCCTCGGACGACGACAGAGTGCGCATCGATATAATACCTGGGAGCCATGTGGGTCAGCACGCCTGAATGACTGATCGTTCAAACGCATGAGACGCACTTTTTCAAAAGGGCTGTCCATTGCTCGTTCGTCCATGTGCGCAGCTTGGCAAGTTGCTTGAGCTCGTCGAGTGCCTCCTCAATCTGCGATCCGTCGCGTCTGCCATAGAGGGCCTCAGAAATCAAGGCCCCCGAGAAGGCATCGCCGCCGTCGGCCTCCAGTTTATTGAGAAGCTGCGAAATCGAAGATTAAGCAAACAGGAGAGCGGGTGTGATTTGGTGACTCCGAACCTGGCGCTGCTCTCTGTTGAGGACTCGGGACATACGGTCCATCTCGATACCTTCGCTAGCGATACGTTTGAAGCTGTCCATGATTCTCTGGTCGAACGTGTCCAGGTTCGCGGTGGCGATGTCTCCGATATATATGGTGAGATCGGAGAACGTCGCCCTCGTATCTTCTCCAAAGTAAATATAAGAGCTATGAAAGATCAGTGTCGGGACGTCGAAACACGAGTACCATGAAGCATACCAAAGCGGGGGGTCGATCTCGACGAATTCTTTGATCAGCGGCGCAGTCGTCGACCCGGACAAGTAAGAGCCCATGACGTCAAGAGCCTAGCGCGCACAGATAATCCATAAGCGGAGCGTCAATCGTATGGTGCATATCCTGATATTTACCTGCGAGTCCAAAAAGTCGTCCATGTGAGGGCCGAGGAAACCGATCATAAGTTCACCGTTGGACTCGTCGCTCGAAGGGAACTCGATCGTCTTCTTGATCGTCTCCTTGAGCGGGGAACGACGGACTGAAGGAGTCTCCAAGAACGGGCGCTTCCATCCCTCAGGAGAAGGCCCCTTGGCTTGTCCGTGAGCGATGATTGAAGGCTCGACCTGCTTGTCGATGACGGAGAGAAGGGTCTCCGTGCCACTGGGGAGTCTGCCGGCGACGATCAAAGTGAGGTTGTGTGGGACGTAGTATTTCGCGTGATACGCCCTGACTGAGGAACGTCGTCAGCAAGGTAGAAGACAGTACAGTGAACGGGATGTATACTTTGCTCGACGGTCAGTTTTCGAAGGGCTGACTTGAGACCACCCGTTTCGCTTCGGTACGCGCTGTCTGGAGGATTGACCAGACGCTGTAGCCTATGCATAAAAGTGGCATGAATTCATTGCAGCGATCGAGAAGGACGGCAAGGACGCACTCCAAAGCCATGATGTCTCCGGCACTGCTCTCGCGGCCTTGCATTTCACTGTAGACGACGCCAGCATCCTCGCCATCCCCATTGATATGGTGTACCTGTCGAAAAGAAGGAAAATAATGAGATGAGACGGTGAATTGCGAGACGACGGCTTGCGCACTTCTGTGACAAATCCGGCTTTTGTGATCGTGGGGTAGAGGACATGGTCGAAATAGATGGGCAGTATCTGTAGGAAGCCGGTTTCGCCGGCGGTGGAGACGGTGTAGGCTGTGTGGTCGGTATCTGTCCAGGCGTTCGTTCCGCTCGAGAAGCCGCGGTTCGCAAAGTGGTCGATGATGCCTTTGTACGGGTACTTCTCGGATCCCATGAATACGAGACTGGTTGTATGCGCTCAGACATGGACGGGATGGATCGCAGAGAGGGTATAACATACTGTTCTAGGGTATGCGGGCATCCGGTATCATCGAATACTTGGGAGGTGTGTTAAAACGTGAAACCGAAGGAACTGAAAGAATAAAGAGGACGTACTCTCGGTGGCAACGGCAAGATAGCCGTTTACAATGGGAGCTTTGACGGCGTATCAGCTAAACACGTCCAGGAACAGGGTATATGCGGGATGTGGGGCTCACCGTCGTAGCTTATGTGCACAACACTGAGGCCAGTGACTCTGCTGCGCCATTTGGTGATGATGGTATCCGTGAAGTCTAGCTTGACGCGTCTGACGAGGTCAAAATTTCCGTGTGATTCAGGAGAGCTGGGGAGAGAAGCGGTTGATTCGAGGGAGGGGGACATTGCGGGGTGCGTGGCGAGGGCGCGGATCGATGAATGTACAGAGAAGAAGCGGGGTCGAGGGCGTGTGGCGCGGGGAAGGAAAGGAAGCGCAGCGAGAGAGGCCGGAAAGGATCGTAATGGGCCGAAAGAGGAGGGGAGGTGTCCACAGTGTCGCCAGAATGTCGAGAGGCTGTTCATCCACAGAGCGTGTCGATGGCGTACGGTCCTACGGATCGAGCCCGCCTCCAAAATACCCATCGGCTGACTCAGTCCTCGATCTAATCTAATCGCGCTCGCTTCCGTCCAGTCAAACGTCCTGGCATTCCTCCAAGCCCTCGTCTGCCGGCGCACATCAGCCACGCGCTCCTCGGCGCAGCCCCGCAGACTGCTATCCCACAGGACACCGCCCGTCTTCGCACCGCGCACGATGCCGTCACAGGGCTTCCAGCTGACCCCCGAACAGATCGCCAGGCGCGAGGCGCGCAAGCGCAAACGAGACGACGCGCAAGCCAGTGGCGCGAGCACGCCCCGAGCCCTCCCCGAGGACGACGAGAGGGCACGCATCGTCCCCCGGCCGTGGCTCTCCGTGCGCGAGGCCCAGGCCGGCGCCGAGCGGCTCAAGGTCATGACCTGGAATGTTCGTAACACATAGCCCCGCGTGCTCCCGTGGACGTCTCACGACTCGCGTCTGTTCTCAGCTTTTGGCCCAGTGCCTCGTCCGTGAGTCGCGTCCCATCCTGCGCGTGTCTGAGCCCATCGAACGATCGTCATCGCCACCATGAAGGGCGTGAACTCTTTCCCGTGAGCGACTGTCTGAAAGGCGCACAGCGCGAACACATGATCTACAGGGAGATCCTCTCCCCCAATGCCGATATCCTCTGTCTTCAGGTCAGTCGCGTCTTCCCGTCCTCGGCTTCCAAAACCACATACATGACATCAGGAAGTGGACCGCCTCGAGAAGCTCCTGCCAATCATAGAGTCAGGCGGCTACGAGCACGTGTACGCCGCAGGCCCCAGGAAGAAACACGGCTCCCTCATCGCCTACCGCAGGGGCGTCTTCACCAAAATTAAAACCCACGTCCTGGACTTCGACACTGCGCAAGTGCGCGACAAGTCCGGCGGGGACGCTGACCGCGGTTGTACAGGGCTCAGTCACGTCACAAAGAACGTCGCCAACATCGTGGCCCTCAAGAGAGAGGGCACGGAAGACGGCGGCGTGATCGTGGCCACGACGCACCTGTTCTGGCACCCATCGTACGTACATCTGGAGCCCATCGACGCGCACTGCGGCTCACAGCCCTCCACAGATACTCGTACGAACGTGCCAGGTAACACACGCCCTCTCTCCGCTCCTAGGTATGTAGCCTCAACTCTCCTTCCAGACAAGCAGGCATCCTTCTCCGCGAGGTCACCAAATTCCGCGATGCCAACGACTGCGCCAACTGGCCGTGCATCCTCGCGGGCGGTACGCGCCCCCATCTCCATCTCCATCTCTTCGTGACCCCTCACCCGCGCGACAGACTTCAACTTCTCCCCGACCGACCCAGGCTACTCCCTCCTCGTCGGCGCGCCTCTCCTCCCCGCCCAACACGACCTCCTCTCCCAATCCTGCGTCGTCCACCTCTCCGTCGACCCCTCCGTCGCCCCCACCACCCCGAAATCCACCAGTGCCGGCGCCGACGACGACGACGAAGAGGGCGGCGCCGACCCCGACCGCGTCATCAAGAACGCGCGCCCCGCACGCCCCTCAGACGGCCTACTCACCGCCGCCGAGCTCGCCGCGCTCTTCGAGACCCCCGCGCGCCCGCGTAGCGCGTACGACGCCGGACAGCGGCTGCTCGCGCACAGCGCCGAGCCGTCCATCGCGCGCTGCGGCGACCGCCTCGCGCTCCCGCCCGCGCGCCTGGGCGCGTACGAGCCCGAATGGACGAGCTACACGCACTACTGGAAAACCGTGCTAGGTGCGCGTCCGGTCCCACGCCCTGAACCCGCTCCTGACCACGCGACCGCGTCGTTTCCATGATTGTATATTTTTGGACATCGCTGTGACAGACTACATCTTCGTCATCGACCCGCCCGACCGAGTGTCCGCCGTCGTGGGCCTCCTCAAGCCGCACCAGACGTCGGACCTCGACCCCGGCATCCCCAGGAAGGGCATCTCGGGCAGCGACCACGTCTCCCTCGCCGCCGAGCTGCAGTGGCAGAACGTGCCGTAGCGTAGCAGCGCAGAGTGGCACAGAGTACCTACCGACGCGCCGATCGCACGGGCACTTCTCTCGACCCCGCCGATCCTGCGGGATCGCCTCGCTCGGGCGAAGAATAGAATAGAATCCACCGTGGCATGTCATGGTGTGCGGTATATTTGTAAGGGTTCGTCGTCGTCTAAGGTACGCAAGATTATTAAAGATGGTGAGGCCGTTATGTGATGATCGATGAAAGGAGCCGAGAGAGAGAGTGAAAAAAATGGTCAAAGAAAACGATGAAAAAGGAGAGTGATTGCGTGGGTGAGAAAAACCGTGAGACCGAAATGTGAGATCGTGATATCGAGGAATAGCGATGTTTTTGACCAAGCGAATGCCAGCGAACTAGAATGTGTAAGTACGAAGGGGTAACGTCCGTTGCAACCGTCCAACAGGAGTCCGCCCGCGAGACCCGCTCACCCACTTACCAAGTCTAAAAAAAAAATGTTCCAACCGCCCGCCCGCGCCTCTGCGCCCCAGAGTCTACAGCTTCTGCCTCCGATCGGAGCCCGCGATCAGACTGTCGAACAGGCCGCCCGCGCTCTTCTCGTTGCGCAGCTGGATCATGTACACGATCCCCGTGCGCGCGCCCTGGTCGCTCAGCTCGATCGCGACGCCCGTCTTCCCGACGCGCTCCACGCCGTCGGACAGCACGATCGTCGATATGATCACCGACGCGCGCTTGTCGTCCGCCTCGACCACGAGCTGCTTCACGTTCGTCGGCTCCTGGCGGTACAGCTTGAGCTTCGCCGACCCGAGCGACTTCCACTGCGCGTGCTGCTGCTTCAGGAACACCTTGCACTTCATCTGCGCCGAGATCGTCGACGTCACGGGGCCCGAGGGCGGCCGCGTCTCCTCGATCGGCGAACCCGGGGGACTCGGCTCGTCGAAGGAGCCCACCATCGAGATCGAGCGCGACGAGAGCTGCGCGGACGGAAGCAGCGGCGGTTGCGGGGGTTGCATGGATGAGAACGAGTCGTTGCGAGGAAGATAGCCGGGCTGGGGCGGCATCGGCGGCGCGCTCAGCGCAGAGAACCGCCCGTCGTACTGGGAAGCGAGAGACCGAGATGACGTGCTCTTGCGAAGGCCGCCCTGGAACGACGGATCGGACGGCGCGCGACCAGGAGAAGAGGCGTATGGCGGATTTGGTGGTCCCATACCACCCGACGGACTCCGGCGGACGCCACCTTGGAACGATGGGTCTGACGGCGCGCGACCGGGGGGAGACGCATACGGCGGATTCGGTGGACCCATACCACCCGACGGACTCCGGCGAATGCCACCTTGGAACGAGGGATCAGAGGGAGCTCGGCCGGGGATCGACGCATAGGGAGGATTTGGAGCCTGCATGGGGCCACCCGGCGGGCCCTGCATATACGGCCGCTGGCCGTTGAACGGCGGTCCCTGGTTCGGAGGGGGCGAGCGGCCCATCGGGCCCGCGCTCGCACCTCGCGGGGGAGGTGCGCCATACCCAGGCCCCGGCATGACCTGCCCGAGACCAAAGTACCCTGGCCCAGACATCCCCTGGCCAGGACCGTGCGTCGGACTCGCGACGATCTCGCCCGGAGCGAACGACTGCTGCTGGTGATCGATGTGCAGCGGCACCGGAGCGGCGAAGTGCTGGGCTTGCGACGAGGTGCGGATGGGGTGGCGGGGACCAGGCAACGGGTCGTGAAGGGCAGGGACCCGCTGAGCGCCCTGCTGCATCTGTACCTCCGGGGACAGCACCAGCTTCGACATGCCCTCGGAGAGCGGTCCGCTGTTCGTGCTACTACGCGAAAGCGTGTCTGAGCTCCGCTGTCCTCGCTCATTAAACGCAGTCACGAGTGGGCCTCCACTTGGCGATGAAGATCGTTTAGACGGCGGACTCCAGCTGCCGTTCATGGATGGATTGTCCAGATCCGGCGCAGAGTGCGACGGAGGTGGACCGTTGCGATCCGAGGGGAGAGGTGCTGACGGGGACTTGGGTATGCCATTGAACGATGGCATTGGTGGAACCGGATGCTTGGCGGACGACGCCACTGCCGAGAGCAAGTGTATCAGTATCCGCGCACAAGCCGGAGTACGCAATGCACTCACTGGCTGCCGCAAACTCGATGCAATCCTGGAAATCCGTGATCGCCCGATTGCGCATAGAAACCGAGTCGAACTCCAACACGAGTTTCTCCTTCCGCATGATGTGCACCTGCAGCGCATTGTCTAGACGGCGGGCACACCTCAGCAGACTGCAGCCTCACCAGAAGCGCAAACACTGACCTTGTCCGTCGACCTCCGCAATTCTCAGGAACTTGCCCGCCAGCGGCGGGTACAACAACCACATGTCAGCTTCCGGGCTGTCCGCTCGGTCCTCCGGCGTCATCCGTTCAGCGATGAGAAAGAGGTCGGACAGCACGAAGATCCTCCCTGCCGGATGCGTGACGTCCACGCCCGTCGATTTGGGCGTGAAGCGGATGAAGACGTCCGCGGCGAGGCGCACGTCTCGCTTGAAGGACAGCGTCGGCGGGAGCATTTGGAGCCGCACTTGCTGGAACGAACAGTCAGCCTTCAACGAACGCCGCAACGCCGCAACGCCGCACCACCGTGGAAGACGCATGCATACCTTGGGATTCATGGTGAAGATGTCCAAGCATCTGTCGACCGAGAGTCGCCTTTCCAGGTCAGTGATGGGTATCGACAACGGCCCACGGTCGATGGAGGTCGACCCAGTGTCTCCCGAAAACCGTGCGCTACGACCTGATCAGTTTGCAACACCAGCGTCCGAAGCAACAGGTACTGTACCCGCTAGAAAGGCTCGAGCCGCGCGGAGAGCTGACTTGGCTTTCCAGCGCCGAGCCTGCATCACGTATGGGCGTCGGCGGCAACGACAAGCCCCCAATCTGACTTCGAAAGTCGACGACGACTTCGTCCTCGGTCTCTTCCACGGTAGCCGGTTCTCCCACGCGGACACTGGCCCGACCTTCGATCACGCTCATCAGTCTGTCGAGCTTCTCTGCAGCGCCAGCGAGCAGCTTGTAGTCTTTCCGGCCAGGCTGGGTGGCCTTGAGCAGTCGCCCGTAGAGCTTCCTGTAGTACTTGATTCTGCCCTTGGGAAGGATGAAGAGGTCATCTAGTGTCCAGAGCGGGGGTTCAGCCGGATGTTGAGGCCCGTTTGAAGGTAGAGGGGGAGGATTGGTAGCGGAGAAGGAGGCCAGCATCGTGGGGAGTCGTGAATTGATCTGCACGGGCTCCCAGGTGTCGAAGCCCACGCAGAACTTTTCGCAGTAGTTGCTATAGGGCGCCTCGAGGTCTTCAATCTGTGACAAACATCAGCGAGTGACCGGGAGGTATGCATAGTCAATACGGACCCATTGCATGAGAAGGTCACCCAGGGCCTTGGGATTGGATGGGTTCGTGCCGATGTCTTTCAAGCGCTGTGACGGGAATGAGGAGATAAAACAAGAGCGCAAGCAGGACGACCTACGGCGAGCAACGAGCGATTGGCCTTGTACACGCTCTCTAAGCTGCGAAACATGGTGTCGAGCTCTGGAGGGGGCAGGCTCGAGCGAGACCATGCTGAGGCCACTTTCTGTCGTGCGGGGTGAGCGAGCGGACTTGGTGGGGCCAAGGGAAGAGGAAATGATGCGCACCCGGATGACACCAGTGAGCTGATCGACGTACGCTTTCTCCGTCTCTATGAGATCGATGAGGGGATTGGACTTCTTGACGCGTGCGTCCGCAGACGCGACGGAGGCTGCTGGGCTGGTGGGTGTGGGCGGCAGGGCGCTGTGGGGGCCTGAGAAAGAAGGCGCGAGGTGTCAATAGAAACGGATGCGAGCGCGGGGCCGGGCTGGTCGGACGGAGGCCTGGAGCGTACCTGGCGCAAGCGAGTGGACGGAAGCGGAGGTGTCGATGACGGCTGGACGGAGGCCGGCTGAGGCGGTGTGGCCGGGGTCGAAGCCCAATTTTGGAGGGGGCGGCGGGGGCGCGTAGTGGGAGAAGTGGTCGTCGGGGGGCGGCGGGGGCAGCTTGTTCGCGCCGGGCGAGGGCAGGGCCTTGCCGTGCACGTCGTAAACGGAGCCCACGTTCATGAGAAACCAGACGAGGACAGGGAGGAGATGATGGTGGTGGAGGAGGAGGAGGAGAGGACGCGACGCTTGGCTGCAGGCGCCCAGGGCCAGGCTGGCTGTTCCGTGACGTAACACGGCGTGACACGTGAGTGACGGGGCGGGGAGAGCGACCCGTGTGACGTGCGACGTGCGTGGATCGGCCATGTCGCGTTCGACGGTGGGCATGCTCGCCTGGCTCAACGACACCTTCTCCTCGCGCGAGCGGACGGAGGACCTCCTCCGCCCAGACCTCGACGCCGGCACCATCACCCCCCGCGACTACCGCGCCGCCGCCGCCTTCTACCCCTCCAACAACCGCTACCTCCCCGTCCGTCTTTCTCCCGCCCCCTCGTCCCCGCCCCGCGCCCCGCTCACTCCCCACAGTACGCCTGCAGCTGCTTCGCCGCCTCCAGCCTCTTCGTCTACGGCCACTTCTTCAGGCGGCCCCCCATGTCCCTCGCACGCATCACCTCCCTCGGCGTCCTCTCCGGTATCATAGGCCAGTTCTACGGCCAGTACCGCCTCGTGAGCATGCACAAGGACTTCGTCCGCCGCCTCGAGAACCGCCCCGGCTTCTACAGGGCCCTCGAGAACGTCAACATCCGCACGGGCGGCCGCCAGCCCTTGGGCCTCCTCCGACCCCCCTCGCAGCACCCCGGGACCGCCGCACCCCACGGCGAGCAGCACGAACAGGACGCAGATCCCTGGAGCGACGATGATCAAACGCGTTTCCAGCCCGCCGACCAGCCCCCCTCCGGTGTGTCCCTCTAGCGTGTTTTCACCCGCTCCCCGCCTCACCACGATCCGTCCCTACTACGCAGCCCCCCGCGGTCCGCAACCCCAGCCCGAGCCCGCACAGCAGGGCCGCTGGGGCGAGATCCGCGCCGCGAACGCCCGCAACGCGGGGCCCCGCTCCGCCTGGGACGAGGTGCGTCAGAGTCACGAGCGCACGCGCATCGCGTCCGCCTCACAGTCTCCGAACGACGAGCCGCCGCGAGACGCCCTCGCCTCGCCGGACACAGACTCGGAGCAGGCAAAGTTCGACGCCATGCTCGAGGCCGAGCGTCGCAAGGCAGACGCATCCACCTCCGCCTCTTCCTCCGGCCCCTGGCGTGGTTAAACACAGTCCATACCCCTTCTCTATTCACGTATTCCATCTGTGTAACGTACAAATAGCAGCAGAAAAAAACATGGAGACAACAATCACCAGCTCGCGTATGTAGAAGATATATACGGGAGCATCAGAAGAACGAAAGGAATTATCCGGGTGCGATCGAATCTACGAGGTACAATGGCTACAAGAACTTCTGGCGCGAATTTAGGCAACGAAAACAAGCATAGGTGTCGTACGCGTACATACGGAGTGTTCCATTCATAACGACCGATAGAGAGAGAAAGGGAAGGAAAAGGAAGAAGAAAAAAAAGACTTCACTGCGTATATGGTCGCTGGGACACATCGTTCAGCACCCACGGGCTGCCCTCGGAGGGCGAGACGATCATCGTCGGGGGTATAGGCGGCAGTGGGCCATGAGACGCCACCGGCGACAGCTCGTCATCATACGACGGGCTCACAGGCAGCGGAGCGACGTGCGACTGCATCACCTCGTCGTCTCTGCCGCTCGCCGCCTTGTTGAAGACGCCCGCGTGAGAGAAGGGGTACAGCGGGATGCCGACCTCGAGCGGCTGCTGCTGCGTCGTCATGCGCACAATTTCGGTCATCAGGCCCTGCAGGAGCTTTTCTTGCCGAGCTGGAGGCGCCGTCAGAAACAAAAGAAAAGACTACGCGAGGGGCGAGATTGCCTTACTCCCTATGGGCGAACGCTTGCCGTATTCCGTCATGGCGAACCTGCACGGACAGCCCCATTAATCAGTCGCTGATGCCGACCAATGAACGTGGGACCCACCTCAGCACGTTGATCTCCCCCCAAACCGCGTACTCCCGATCCGTAGCGCCGATCTCGATGAAGTGTTTGCAAATCTGCACTTGCACGACGGCAGCCAAGTACCAGCATATCTAAACAAGAGCGGGCTGGCGGTCAGCAATCAAAGCGAACGCGAGCGCGATGGAGGGCGCGCGCACCGTGGCGAATGGGTGCAGTCGCGTGATGTCAAACGACGTCGCGGTAAGCGCGTAGTGCTGTGTCAGGATCGCGCGCGCTGCGGATATGCAGCGCGCCGTCGACACGCACTGCGAGTCCCCAAAGTCGATATATGGATTATGCAGTGTGATCGTAGCTCTAAGATCCGAGGAGTCAGCCTCTCGTTGATCGGTGATTAAGAACACCGCTCACGCGTGAGGCACGAGGTGGACCATGTACAGGTCCGTGTCCAGGCCTCCTCCACCGTACAGCGTGTCCTGGTCGCCAAGGCTGTTCTTGTACCTCTGCGGGATGTGCGCCAGAAAGTCGACGGAGGTCAGCCTATCCAGCTCCTCGAATCCAGGGAGGCGGAAAGGATTCTGAGCCTCGGGGTGCAGCGCTGTCGCGCGCAAGTTCGCTCGCACGCCAAAGTCGGTGACTCGGCCGAACAGCATCATCGCCTTGATAAGCAGTATGAACGAGTCGGTGTATTGCGACGGATGCTCCGTAAACACATTCAGCGTCGTCAGATCCTGAGGGTTGTCAGGCATGATTTGCTGCCAGAAGCGGGGCCATTGTGAGCACGTGATTCAGAATCATTGGCCGTGAGAATAGCTCACATTCGTTTCGAAGTCGATACCGCGTAGGGGCAACTCAGTGCCGATATCGCGCTCGTCCACGCCATGGACCCATCCTCCGACGGATACGATACGATCGAACAGGACGGTCATCCACCACGTTCGACGGCGCAATTCAAGATCTTGCTGGTCCTTCGGCGGGGGAAGGTACGCCCCTGGTGATCCACTGTTATGCGAGGCGTACGTATTGGGATAGTTGAGCCGAAGCGGCACGGCGACGCGCGTTTGGAAGCCTGCGAATATCCACACTTCGACCCACCGCCCCTCGGCGTAAAAATACCACGAAAGCAGGCCGCAAGCCTGCATAACGGAAAAAATGTCATCGCCACTTGCCATCGTGCGGTCAATGTACTGCCGCGTCTTGTTCGCGTGATATTCTGCAAATCGATCCCGCCGGGCACCGTCCGGCAAGGTCATGAAGCTTTGCGATGCCCATCGCGAAGCCGAGGCGCACTGGCGCAAAGATCAGAATGGTCATAGCGTCGAAGAAGGGACGAGCCGCACTATAGCATGCAGAATGGCAGGGTGTGGGAAATCTGGGCTCGTAGGCGGAAGCCGGAGCGAGGTCATGAATGATGGACGGTGTAGTACGCGGGAGCCACAAGGGTCGCATCTGAAGAAAACCTCGACGCTGTGACAAAAGACGATGTGAAACAGTACCCCAAAAAATTACTGACAAAAGACCTACTAGTGCTCAAGGACAGACGGCTCTGGCAGATCAGGGTTCCACCCTAGATAGAGAAGGCTGTGCATCTCCTCTGCACGTCTGCCCGGAAAGACGGCATGAGCACGAAGCTCTGGGCTTTCACTGTGTGCTGTGCGCTTCGTGGACATTCCGCTCAGATCTAATGATGCCTGGGGCAATGCGATACCCGCGGTCGTGTGAGTCCCATTCGCATTACGATCGAAGTCCGGGGAGTAAGGACCAGGCGGTGAAAACTTCATAGGCGGTGAAGACGAAGTGGAGAACGTTCGTGGGTGGTTCATTGGGGGGGAGAGGAGATTAGGGGAGGCGGAGCGCGAGGGCGAAGAGCTCCTTCTGCTTCCCTTCAATTTTTTGCGCAAGTGGGCTAGCGAGATATGAAGGCCATCTGTGTGAAACCCACTGAAACAAACTCACATATTTGCTCCTCCAGATCTCTTATCTTGTCCAAGGGGTCTACATCTGGAGCGAGGGGCAAACCCTCGACGGGATCGTACGAACATTGCGGCTCGGTGGGATGCCTGTGAGTTGGTATATGAGAACCGTAAAATCAGGACGTCATTTGAATGCTTGAGAAACATACGCATAACCAGGAGGGGGAGGGACGCTGACAACGGCCTGCCATTGCCTGCAGAGTGTTCAGAACGGGAAGAGTCCGTACTGGAGGGAATGATACGCACTTGACGCAGGTCCCACAGTGGGGGCGTGCTGCATCACATTTCTGAGCCTTGATCAGGACAGCCGGTGGAGCACGTAGTGGATTCGCGAACTCACCAGCTTTCGTTTGCGGCAGGAGAGACAGGCCTGAGCATGGCTGAATTAGGACAGCGTATGAGGCACTCGGGGGGTACAGAGAGCGTCACCTGGTTCCTGCGCAGTGATGGACGAGAGGAGGAGCTGGATGACGCTTTCGGCATTATGGGAGAAGGCGATGGAATAGCGCAGGGTGGGGGTGTTGGCAAATGGGGAGCGCGAGAGGTGTACAGCAACCGGATGGCAGAAGACGGAAGGACGACGGTCGCGTGGAATATAACTATCGGCGGGGGAGATGGGGAGTTGCTAGGCCCACAGAGAAGAAGAGAGAGACGCGACTGAGGAGCTGGAGGAGGACACCAACTAAACCCAATGGCGACTCGAGCAGTGCGCCTTGTCCAGCGCTGTGGCGTCCCCTCCGTGACCTCCTCCGAGGATCTCACGACCCCCTCCGCCATCATGCCGGTCCACCCCGCCTGCCCTCGCTCCCCGTCCCCTTTCGTCGTGCACACACCGCCTCGCTGCACACGAACTGCCTGGACTGACTGGACTGCCTTGCCTTGACAGTGCCCTCTGCGCCCTCATCGTGATCGATCCCCCTCATCACGCGCACGAGCAATGGAAATTGCCAGCCCAATCATCTCGAACACGCGCGCTCAATCGGCACGGCGCACAAGTGGAGCTGCCGATCGCTTCACCACCGTCAACCTGATAGCCCACCGTTCTCTTCCAACATCTCGGGATAGCATATGGGGCAACTCATTGGTTGCCACTGTTTTCTGCTCCGATGTCAAGCTCTGATGTCAAGCCAACACGAAGTCGGGGTAAGATGCTGCACCGGCGATATTTGACCATGGGTCTTCATCGGACTGCTGGGAATGTCATCCCAAATGAATTGCACGTAAAATGCTCGAACTCGTAACTCGCAAGGCTGTCGCGCACAATGGTACATACATACAGTACACAGAACCCAGAGACCGTCCGACTCAGCTTCTACCTTGGTCGCTCGATCGTCAGATCCGCTGCGAAGGAAAAGAAGAAAGTTTCGACGCACAGGACGGTAGCTACGATACGCCGCGAATGTGGGATATGCCTGAACTCAGTCAAGTAAATACCTGTAACAGGCGGCCAAACCGGATTTAGAGACCAGAGACCGGAGCTGCGTTGACGCGGGGGACTCAGTCACTTACCTTGCCAGGTACCCAGATTCATTCGCCCATTCGTAATTGGGATTGAAAGGGATGTCCCGATCAGAGATGTTTTGGTGTGGGAGACCCTGAGCGGACAACGCGAACGAGCGCCATGGGAAAAAAGACCATCAGTTCCCGCGTCGAGTCATGATCCAAGGAACGGCTCATACGAATCGCTGACGAAACGTTTCAGAAGGTCAGCGACACGATGTTCGTGGAGGATCTAGCAGCTCACTTACTCGGGCCCCTCATCGGTGTGCTGCCAATTGAGGGACTCGGGGACCACATTATCGAGGGCCATGTCCATGTCTGGTGTGTGTAGGTCTCAGTGGACATTCCCACCAGAGATGATAAGCTGGAAAAAGGACCGCACCTCTTCGAACATCTGGACGCCGACGAGCTCGGCAAAATTTCATAGCTCAAGACTGATCACGCACCTCTATCGAAATTCTCGTTAATCGTCAATGCTGCCGATGTGTGTTGTCTAGGACGATCTGTTACTACCGTTCACCAGGTACAAGAATACGTATCTGCCCCACATGAACAGGAAGAGCATCCCGACCTGCACAGATCAACAAACGATCAGCGGCGCACATCACAGAGAGAATGAAAGGTAGAATCAACCTGGACATCACGAAGACCCGACTGGATGTGAGATAACACCTCCTCGGTTACCAAGTGGCAGCCTTTGCCTCGCTTGGCCAATGTGAACGTTTTCTGCCAGCCCATGCCCACAGATAATAGATCTCGAAACTACGGATATAATTGAGATGTCGCGTCAGTCGAAGAAGGTAGTGGAAGATAAGTTGTTTGTCCATGATTGAATCTAATCTCATTCGCAAATGGAGCCGATCAAGCGAATAATGACATCACACCGATTGAATCCATGGCATTGTGTTGCATGTATCCTTACCAACGTACAGCAGACTACAAAATGAAAGCGACAAAATTGATGATATACGAAAAGCAATCAGGTCTCATCCATGTTGCCAAACCGCACCCTCTCGATACCGCCGCGATTACCAGGAACGTTCCTATTCCTACAGTGGTTGGCGTAATGTCCCTTTTCACCACACTAGAGCGACAGCGGAATGCTAAGCACAGCATAATTAAATAGAAGCAACATCGGACCATACCTTGAAACATAGCACTTCGTCTAAGTTCCGCCGTGGTCCTGGTAGCCCAGCACCAGCACCACCATGTGCCGGACCTGGCCCTCCCCCAAACCCGCGGTCAAAGTCAGCATACCGTCCGTATCCAGGTGGAGGTGGACCAAGGTCTCTATGAGACGGAGGAGAAGGAGGGTCGTATGACTTTGGAGGAGGCAGATCAGGTTTGGGGCTAGAAATGGTCTACGGTGAGCACTCGTATCCGTAGAGGGAGAGGATCTGCACGCTTACTGGCCACGTGAACAGTCAGGACCCATAGGGCAAAGCCCTGTCAAGTATAGTTGACAAGCGACGCGTCGAACATGCTTTCGCGGGCAGCCTGGGCCTGCAGAACAGTTGATTAAACTACAGGGCAATGACAAAGCACACGTACCAAGTTTGCAGAATCCCCGCTTGTAGTCAGGACACTCCACCTTCCGCTCTTTGGGGTGGGCATACAAACATTCATCACCGGCAGAGCAGTAGCCATATTTGGCGTACCACCAACACTCGGGCATACGCCTTAGGTTGTACTCATGGAGAAACTCACAAGCATCGCCTTTTTTACAGAGACCCCTCAGCCAATGTTTGCACACCGTGGCCAGACGCTCTCGTTCTCGAGGATGTGTAGGCAGTTGTTTGGGTGGCTGAAAGTTTTGCGCAGAGGGAGTGGTGTGTCGCAAAGGACAGTGCAACGGGCCCAGTGGACAGCCAGCGGGAGTCAGATGAAGACGGCATATTTGGTCGTCTGTTTGACGAGCGCAGCTTGTGAGTTCATGATCGAGTCGGAGTAAAGAGAAATACCTTTGTCGAGCTTGATTCCGAGCTCGGTCTTGATAAAGAGTTCTTCTGGAAAGTTGTTTTGATGAAACTGAGGATTCACAATGTCGCGCAGTGGGGATGGGCCGGCGAGTGGGTTGTCCATGGTAGTCAGCTAGTCACACTTGAAGGGGTTCGGGTCGAGGTGTTGAGTAAAGGACGCTGACATGCAACACCGAAGACGATGTTTAGTCATAGAGTTCGATCGTGCCTTGCTCCCACTGCCAAAATGTCCAGTTCTAAATAACGAGCGTTCCAAACTTGAAATATATTGCCCGCTCTCATCGTTGGCCTCAGGCCTGCTCCAGCTGATCAGAACTAGCCTATCCAACATGCGGTTCCTTGCCCTTGTTCCGATAACACCTCATTGGGCAGAGCATCAACGAACGTCGCAAACAGGCCATCCTGTCAACTACTTCAAACTCCCTCGACTCGCTGCAATACTGCTGTGATGCGGAAGAAGAGGTTGAATCGGGTGATTGTTTGTGCAAATCCAGGCTTATGCTTCGACTCCGTCTCAGGGGTACGTACACCATGCTGGAGCGGCTAGATGAGTCCCGACAGCAAGCATGTCAGTGCTTCCGACTCCGGATACTTGGCGAAGTATTAATTTCCAGCGGTATAAAGTGATGCCACGACGTACAACAACCTTTGGGCCCACTTTCGACCCGATACACTCTGATCAAGATGCTTGACCTGCCCCCAGTCCTCCTAGTTGGCTATGTCTTTGCCCTCGTGATTGCAATCTTAGCGACATTCATCGTCTGGTCTCGAACCGGGTTTCCTTCCCTCCCTCTTCCACCGGGTCCGAGGACATCATGGTTTGGAGGCGTATCGTTACCCGTCAGTCATCCTTGGCGAACTTATGCAGACTGGCGGAGTGTTCATGGTACGTTCGTCCCAACTTCGCAGCCGTGCCACAGAAATCACATGGTTTATAGGCAATATCATATACATGTATACGTTCGGGAACCCAATCATCATCATCAATTCTGACCAGGCCGCAACTGACCTCCTCGAAAAGCGAAGCTCGAATTACTCGTCTCGGCCAGTGCGGACGATGGTCCAGGAGCTGTCAGACGGTCTAGAGCTATATGTAATTTGAAAGCATCTGACACTTTCTTTCCGTAGAATGGGTTGGGACTGGCTTTTCTCCTCCATGCCGTACGGTGCGAGATGGAAAAGTCATCGCTCTCTTTTCCAGAAGCATTTTCCCTTGACTGCCTCGCAGGACTATCATCCAATACAGGAGAAAGAAGCCCGTGCGCTTCTTCGAAACTTATCACGTAGCCCTGAGAAACTCAGTCATCATGTACGGAGGTACGTCTTCTGGATGCAGCTCATGCTCAGGCGTCTTCAATCGCAGTGGATTGCAGGAACGCTGCAGCCCTAGTGATGAGAATCGCTTACGGGCACAAGGTCAGCGAAGATGGAGACGTATATGTCACGATAGCGGACCAGGCCATGACCGGTCTCGCTCGGGCGGGTATCTTCGGCACGTATATCGTGGATTATCTCCCACTTCGTAAGTTTGGATGCTTCCAGCGCTCACCTTGGCATGAGGCAGTAAACGCCGTTATTCAGTCAAGTATATCCCATCATGGGTTCCTGGTGCTGCATTTCAAAAGCAGGCTCAGAGATGGAAGCAAGCTTCCCATGCGATGATCAACCAGCCGTTTGATATGGTCAGACAGAAGATGGTATAGCCCAATCCTTATGCAGAATGGAGCATAGTTGCTCAACGACCAATTTAGGAGTCTGGTACCGCTGTGCCTTGCTTTACCACCACCGAACTTGAAGAGTGGTCTAGGGCAGGCCAGGACCCAGAGCAGCTGACCTTGATTAAAAACGTTGCGGGTATCTTCTATGCGGGTACTGTAGCCTTCGATGCGTCCTTCAATACATAAGTCTAACGGTGTTATTAGGCGGTACAGAAACGGTAATCCGATTACTGTCATGGACGCCTCTTTCTGAAACTCCTCCAAGACAGCCACTGCCATCCTGACCTTCTTTCTCGCCATGATCATGTTTCCTGATTGTCAGCTGGAAGCACAAAAACAGCTTGATAGCGTCCTAGGTCCTGACCGTCTCCCACAGTTCTCCGATAGATCCACTTTGCCTTTTATAGATTGTTTAGTATGGGAAACCCTCCGCTGGAATCCCGCAGTCCCTCTGGCACTGGCACGTATCGCTGATGACGACGATGAGTATGCAGGTTATCGGATACCTAAAGGTACAACTATCCTTCCCAACGTCTGGTCGGTGCATGAACCTCTTCCGCTCCAATAGAAAAGATGCTCACCAGCTCTCAGGGCCATGTTTCATGATGAAACCAAGTTTCCAGACCCACTACGATTTAGCCCGGAACGTTTTGAGGATGAGAAAAAAAACCGAGACCTTGGCATCAACGACCTCCCTCACGCCGCGTTTGGATTTGGACGACGGTGAGTTTTTTCAGAAAGAGCTCTACAATAGTGCTAACAAATGTTTTGTGCAGGGTATGCCCTGGCAGATGGCTTGCTCTGGACACCATGTGGATTACGATTGCTTCTGTGCTCACTGTGTATAACATCTCTAAGACCGTGAGCAAAGATGGCACCGTGATCGAACCCGACGCAGAGCCCTTCACCTCGGGATTGATGAGGTGCTGCCTCCTCTTACAAATAAAACAAAATCTTCTTACTCACGAAACTTCACCCCTGTAGTCGGCCCAAGCCACTGAATATAACATTGACGCCTCGATCTGAGGCAGCATGTGCTCTCATCAGGCAGATATCAGAATGATGTATTGAAATTATGTCCTCTTCCGCATCTCACGTTCTCTGGACTGATTCCAACCGCTGTTGCTACATATCCATAACTATGGAAAAATATCTACCAAATCCCTAACACGCTTGCGCTGCCGCCTGCTCCTATGACACGCCCTGCACCGTGAAATACCTTGTCGAACCAACGCTTCTCATCAACTTCATCCCCGCGGCCCTGCTCCTCTAAATATGAAGCAGATCTTGAACGGTCTATCACCTCTACAAAATAGGCGTGTCGATACTTGCTTGGCTCCAATGACGGTCTTCGGTCTATGCGAGTCGCGGATAAGCGTAGTGCTCCAAGCAAGTCCGTTATGGAGACAGAGGAGAGACACTCTGTATTGTGTGATAATGGCGGCCCCACATCAATGCGCACCAGGGCCTGACGGGGATTTCGTGATGGCGGTAAGGGTAATGGTAACTTGAGGTCGTTTGCCATGATATAAAATCGAGTGAAATTAACTGAAGGTCGACGAACGAGTTGTTAGTTAGATGTGAGAAGATACTACAGGGAAATTACCCACAGTTTACATTCTGTATGCCTTCGTGAAGTGCTTGTATGTTATCGAATAGTGTAGTGCAAAATTTGGAGCATATAGCTGCGCTCTCCGCTCTTTTGTCATGCGTAGCGATGAATTCGGCGGCGGCGGCGGTCGACGCTGTCTTGACCAATGTAGCATCCGGCAAGTGGTTTGCAATAAATTGACTGCACTGGCCCAGTGCCTGGTCGTACAGATCACACCAAAGGCCTAACACCTCATAGATAGGGGGCTCACCTGTTCGTGGCTGAGCAGTCGTTTAATATTATGCAGTTTTTGCCCTTTTCGGACAAGCAAGCAATGCTGGACGGGTAGTGTCACCGCTCCACGGATCCATTTGGTCCGGCCAACATCGTCCGAGCGCAAAAGATCATACGTCTCGATGACCATACCGAATATACTGTTTTCCTGAGGCAACAGCCCGAATTGAAAAGTTTCATTCACACTATAAAATACATCTGAACGACGGAGGAAGTCCGAACTTCAGCATCATGACATGGCTCTGCATGAAGAATGTACGAACCGGCGATAGTCTTGCAGGCCTTGTATTCCACGGACTCTGAAAAATGCTCGTTTGCGACCTGGAATTGAGTGTGAAAGCATAAGTGTGGGCCTATACAATTGTTTGTGGGAAGCGAACCTGGTGGGAATATGTGCCCTCAGGGCCAAGGAAGGCAAGCCTCGGGAGTGCGGAGCTATCCGATGCAGCAGGCATTGTGTTTCCAAGGGTGCTTCTTCGACGCGTACAAGTAGTCGAGTGGGTCCGCGTGGAGATCCACACTGATTCACAGCGGCACTCGACTCGTGGGTGGAGACAAGACGCTGACAGCGACATTCGACGGCGCCACCTGCCGAATCGCGTTATACAGGCGGGCGCCAAAGTATGGCAGCTCCACAAGGAGAATTATGAACTTCCTCTCGATATTTGGTGAGAACGGCCAAAAAAAGCGGGAGGTATTTTGGGGTAACATTTGTCACTATGAATCAGAGTCGTCTGGTACAAAAGACTAGCATTTAAGGGCATGCCTAGTGATACGATACTAATACAATACAACGAAGACGTATGAAGCCCAATTAGAGGGGTGAGTCGCGAGAAAAGACAAAAACATCCACTTTCCGAAAGCTTAGCGAAAAGATGGATCATATGATGGAGACATAGGTTTTAAATGATAAATATTTTCTCCCCACAGGTTTTTGTAGCAATCTCGTTGAGCATGCGAGAGTAGCGTTCTACATGCGAAAATTCAGCTCGAGGAAACAACCGAATTTCGCTAGAGTACTCACTAGCCAAGGGGATGCGTTCGCCAAACTTACCAATGGCAGAACTGGAGAGATTAGGTCAGCGGAAACTCAACGATGAAAAACAGTAACGACTGGCGCACGCGATGTATTCAACTTCAGCGCGAAGCGTTATAATCTGCTCTTCAGATTTTGCTTCTTGGGCAGCAGTCCAAAATCGAACCAGTACTCGCCCTGCCATGAACCAACAAAACTGATGATATAGGTCAATTGGTGAAACTCAAAGGGATATCAAGGCAACGTACTGTGACGAAAAAATCCAGCAGGCTAATGTCGTAACTCGTAGACTGTACCGAGTATATGAGATCCAGAATCGCACGGGATGCTTCAAGAATCTTGAATGCTGAGACACAGCCTGAACTGCCGACATGCGCGTGCGGGTCGTGTAGAAGAATAATGGCGCTACGAGGAGACAAGTAACATTTAGGGACTTGGCAAGATAGCAAAAGAAACAACACACAGGTGTGGTATCAAACATGCCGTGTATAGATGTGAGTCGACAACACCATCCGGCATAGGGTTTCTTAGATGCGCAGGGAAGGTCTGCCTGAACGATGTCGCGATACGGTCGAGTTCAATGAACGCCGGTGTGCGTCGAGGGTCTGCCATCAACTCCTTATCCACCCCGTCATGTTTTTGTTCCTCCCACGTATTCGAAAAACTTGGATGGTAAGCTACCGATGGGTCACCGACATATCGTTTCGACCGAAATCGAATGTTAAACCCCTTAGCCATGGAAAGAAGTATCGTTCCCTTGATATACAAGTTGAAGGAATCTGTTTGATCTTCTGGATGTACAAGGAGGACTTCTTTGGAATGCGCCCATTGTCGTTCGCTGGGTGATGGCATAGTCTAACCGTCCGTGAGCATAAATCGACAATGAGGAGCTAAAGAAGCACTCACACCTAGGTCGAACTGGTCACCTTTTACAGGTAACAGCTGTGTTACGTCCTGGTCGTCTAAACTGAGAGCCCAACCATTACTGCACCCGTGTTGACGTTCTAATGCATACGCCAACCAGAAGGTATTTCTTCTGACCTCGTCCTCGATGACATCTTGGGCGGGAGGCAGTAGAGATGGAGCGTTGACGGTTTCCGAGATGGTATGAAACGGCGCGCACGCATTCAGCCCGAGTGGGACTGCTGCTCGTAACGCATTGGCACTTGTCAAAAATACCTGCAACATGCTTCAATGTATGTGCCTTTCCTTTACGCGTACTCAGCTGCTCACCTCAACCCACCTACGATCAATATGAGTCAGTACGGCGGCATCTTCGACGTGCATACTGTGCTTACTTTGCATGACACCAATACCACCAAGTAAGGATGATCTGAGCTGTTTTGCACAGTCGTCAAATCTGGTCGTGAGTGATTGAACAAAACACTAACCTTGCACGCACTCCAATAGATGGCTCCCGACACTGATCTGTTCGTCAATAGCCTGCTTGGCAAATTTGACTTGTTGCTCTGCAAATGAATCTACATGCTCCTTGGGTTTGTATCTCTCACTGAAGAGTTCATCTGGTAGTGGCGAACATAGCATGCTTGAATAGAGTGAGAAGCCAAACTCGGAGTCATTGAACCTACCCGGTGGAATGTCTGACGCTAAATCTGACGGCATGATCGAAGCGGTGTACAGACTTCCGACAGCACAGATGGCGTGCAGCACTGCGGTACTGGGAAATTTAGGGTGTGACGGAGGCAGAGAAAGAGAGGCCATGAAGCTGGGACTATGGAACAGTCTGCCGGCATGCGGATGAAATCCGAAGAAGACCTCAACCCTGCCAGAAACCATTCGTTGGTCAGCTGACTCGTTGAATGGAAGAGTGAACACGGTGAGTACGCGGAACAGACGCACAGATGACGAAGCATATTAGGTAGGGGGAGGTTGCGTGGCCAGGCAGGCCAAAATACGTCATAATCAAACTGTCCAGTGGGTGTCGAGTCGACAACTCCTTCCGTGTCGGGTGCTAATGTGCTGTAAGCGTCGACGGCCGTAGCAGACGCCACTCTCGGTGTAGAAGATTGGTTTGCAGAGCGGTCTGGATCGTTAGAAAAAGAATCGAGAGTGTTCTCGAAATTGAATGGCGTGAATGGGGTGGTGTTCTCTGGAGGTTTCAATGTAGATTGTGGGCTGAACTGCTCAGAGGGGGTAGTCGAAGAGGATCCATTCGAAAGGGGCACTGACATCAAGGAGGTACGATCGCCTGAAGAGGGGGAGCTGGTGTCTGTGGAAACTGGGGTGCCAAAACTGACGCTGGTAGTCTGTTCTCTCAATAAGGCCTCTAGTTCACCTATAAACACGGCGTTAACGAACTGCTTATATAGCTGACTACACCAAGCGTACTGATTCTGTTCTCCAGTCTTTCATACCGATTCTTAGGCTGCTCCTGGACCCCGTTGTTTCCAGGCACTGCTGAAAGAAGTTAGGATTGAGGTGGTACGGTATCAGGACGCTTACCATCGTCATATGTGCACTCAGGATGCTCCGGGAGGATCACACCAGCCGGCGCATGAGATACGGAGTGCGCATGAGATCTCACACAAGTTGAACATGGTTTGTTAGCGTCACTGTTCTGGGAGGATTAGAAGTGGTCGGCATCGGGGATCGGGGATAACACATTACCATTTCTACGGAAGTCTCAGTATTCTAAACAAGTCATGCATCAAAACAAGGACATACCAGTTTTCGCTTGCGGCATTGGTGACACGCCTGATGATTGGCATTCTTAGCAAGAGATAGAGCTAGAGGTGAAGTTACTGACTTGATTTCTTTTGAGTACGTTGGGATGGCTGCCTCCAAAAGGAGTGCCCGATGTGGATCCAGAGTCGAGCTTAGCAGACAATATTTTAGGCATGTCGATAGCCGCAACTCAAAAAATGTCGTAGTATAAGCCGGGGGTTGATCGACGGAGGTATGGGGAGGAAGGCTCGCTATAAAGCTATCATGCAACTGGCCGGGCTTACTCATCTAATCTCGTGTCAGGCGCTGTTTGTTGGCTCAGCGCTGCACTAAACCAAATGGATTGCGGCAACTACCGAGACTTATCATTTACGTATTATGTGTACCCGCAACGCCTCTGGCACCGCCATGGAATAGCCATCCAGCAGACGCATGAACTATGATATCGAACCGAGACACAGGAGTCTCATGGGCACTTGCTATTTTGTTCAAGCAACAGGCTCTCGACTGACGACCGCCATCAGACTAACCATTTCTCACAGAACAGACAACAGCTATCACTTGTGCAAGTGAAAGCTTTGGATATAGTTGTGGACGCGATCAAATAGACTCGATGACACGAAAAAGAGGTGTATGTAAAATCAGGAAAACCGGTACCACTGAGAGGAAACAAAGAAATATCTTCAATATCCGTATGATTGACATGTCAAGGGGTGACTAGCGAGGAGGTCGTTGAAAGAAGACGTGGGGGTCGTAAAGGTCAGCACGAGAATAGATGGTATGATATGTCGCGGCTCGATACTGCGTATTGGGGGGAAGAACGCGGCAGCAACCGGGATCAATTTATGCCACAATGCACTTGCTGTTCTTGCTACTCTTCTTCTCTCGAACAGGAGGGTTCACTGAAGGACGTCATAAGTATCGTTGATGTTCTAGCAGTAGATTCGTCGGCACTCACGGACTGCCCGAATCGCTTCATCGAAGACATTCTTAAGGCCTTTCTGCGTCAGGGCAGAGCATTCTAGGTACTTCACGGCACCGATCTCCTTCGCCATGCCAACACCCTGAGTGTACTGAATGGGAGCCATACGACTGCATACAATCGTCAGCAACTGATGAACTGGACATACAATATGAGTTCTTACCGGTCTCTCAGTTTCTCGATCGTCGCCTGATCCTCACGCAAATCAAGTTTGGTTCCGACGAGAACCACAGAAGTTTGTGGTGCATGATGAGAGATTTCCGGGTACCACTGAGTCGCAATGAAGATGATAGATTGGTGTAGAACGTGGTGAGGCTATAATAGGTACACACCTTGGTTTTCACGTTCTCGAAACTAGGAGGACTAACTAGAGAGAAGCAGATGAGGAAGACGTCTGTCTGCGGGTATGAAAGTGGTCGGAGGCGATCGTAATCTTCTTGTCCGGCGGTATCCCAAAGACCAAGAGAAATAGTCTTGCCGTCCACCATGACATTAGCTGAGTAATTATCGAACACTGCATGACGGATACGAGTGAGTGGACAGCGAAGTCTGGGGCTCATTTCGCCCACCTGTCGGAATGTATTCTCCCTATAAGGATCAAGCTTAACCACGGCTACGGATATGCAAGATAGAGGGCTCGTACTGGGAAAGCGTTGGTGGTATATGAGATGAGAAGACATGTCTATTGCAATCCTGATAAGTGTCGCCAGCTATGAAGGATCTGAGTATATCGGACATACCTTTCCGACGGCACCATCACCAACGACGACACCTAGCGGTGGTGAATCAGCTCTCGACTATCCACCGTGAATGAATCGACAAGGACACTTACATTTAATTGCCTGCATCCTGATGTTTCAATGACGTCTCTACGATGACGATAGTGGGGTAATGGGTGAATGAACGGGAGCGATGAAGTCTCTAGGTCGGTGGATGACGATGTTGAAGGCGACTACAAAGAATGTGATGCACGGCAAGGATAGAACCCAATCAGGAGTGGAACAATGATGGTATTCGCTGGGAGACTATTTGTGGAAAAGGAAAGTTCACCTCTTTCACCCCGAATAAGTCGTAGGAAGGGGTTTGGATCCAGAGAAAAGAGAAAAGAGATAAAAGAATCCGATTGCGTGACGGCAAGTCGTCGAACAAGTTGGTCGAAGTGACTGACACCAGCGGTATCGACCACGCCAGTACAAATAACCAGATCGGCAACACAGGCGGCTCGGGCGGCGGTTGATCCGGACTGGGACTTGTCGTGAGACTAAGTATCGGTTCAAGTTCTGTCTGGAATAAATAAATAAATAATGAACACTATACTTGTGCAGAAGTAGGGGTATTGCAGGAAGCTCAAGGGCGTTATGTCGGGCAGCTCCACCAACGACACGTTCACAGAAGGGTTGTCCTGAGCAGCAGATAGAGCTCTGAAGGAGTCTGAGCCCATCAGGCGGGCGTTGCCGTCTGGCGGTTCGAGCTGGTGTCATCGATCCTGCCCTCGACTTGCGACAGGTTCCGTACATTTTGATACCATATCACAGAAGATGGCGCCCGCCCCCATGCCCAGGCTCATCATCATCCGGCACGGTCAGTTTGTCGCTCATCAAATCAGAGTTGGCGACTCACGCTACGCTTTGACAACTGCATAAGTATAGGAGAGACAGAATGGTCTTTGAACGGGTCAGTTCACGCGATAAACACTTTTTTGACCATCATCTCAATCGCGCGCATTTGAATCATGCAGAAGACATGTATGTTGCCTTACTTCTGGACGAGTGATCACTGACTGATCCTTGTTTTGGGATGCGATGCAGACAGGGACCTCTGACATCCCTCTAACCGCTCGAGGCCAAGAGCAAATCAAGTCTAAAGCTCAGTCGCTTGTGGGCGAAGGCAGTATGTGTTCAATATATATGTCTTTTGCGGGCATGTCATTGATAATGGAAGCCCTATAGAACTCGTCGATACCGTTAATCTGTGCACTGTATTTGTTTCTCCAAGGCAACGTGCTCACAAAACCTTTCATCTCCTGTTCGATCACCTTCCGGAGCTCCCAAGCCATATCATCACGGAGTCCGTTCGTGAATGGGACTACGGTGAATATGAAGGCTTGTTGCCCTCCGAAATCAAAGCCAAAAAAGCAGATTGGACTATATGGAGGGATGGGTGGGCTTTTTATCATTTGTCGATGTTCGAAAATTGACAGTGAATGGAGTTGCCCGGGCGGTGAATCTGCAGAAGATATGGTCGCTCGCGTAGATGGTGTCATAGACGATGTAGGCTATCTACTCTTTTCAATCTGCTGCCATTAATTCTGTATCCTAGGTTCGCAAATATCATAGACGGTGGAAAGAAGAGGGACAGGGCACCCGCGACGTCGTCGTCGTTGCCCATGGACACTTCAACCGTTGTCTTCTAGCCCGTTGGATCAAACTCCCTCTTGCGCATGGTATGCTTTCTCAACTTTGGCATTCTCCAGTAATCTAACTCTTTTCTCCTCCAATCAAGGCACCTTCTTCAATGTGAAACCTGCTGGGGTCAGTTCCATCACTTCCCGAAGTCTACGGCCGGAGCATCGCTGACTCGAAGCTCTAGATCGCGGTCTTGAGTTACAATCACGGTTCTCTCGACGAACCTGCATTGAATGCGTTGAATCTAAACGCCTGATGGTTCGCTGGACCTGGAAGTTGAAGTAAATGGTTCCGAGGATGGAGCCTTCATGAATCGGCTGTACAAACTGAGGCAGGTGCCAGTACTCTAACACCGAGAACGCATATATGTACCACTTTGTATTGTACTCGAGACTGTGTCGTGGAAGCTCGCGGCTCTTACGTCGATCCAAAATCCGCTCTGCTTTAGTGACGCGACTCGGAAGTTGCTCCTTCCCACAGCTTCCGCGTCCACGCGTCTGCCAGTTGGCAACTAGTCTCATTCTCCCCCTCTCATTACTCGGTCTCAAAGTTGCCTCTCTTGTTATTGCTCCTATTCTATCTACCTTCTCATTCTGATAATGGCCGACACCGGCGTCCCGGAGACTACATCCAGCACCGACAATACCACGCAACCTGAGGAGAAAGTCTCAGAGATCGAGGACGTTCAGTCTCCCATTATCGGCCATAATGAAGACGAAGCCGAACACGAGGAATCCAACGTGACGGATGCTGAAGACAGTGTCGCGGAGGCAGCTGAAGAAAACGTGTCTGAAGAGCCTGCTGACGAGGCAAAAGCAATCGAGGGCGAGGCCGAACCTGCCCACGCGGAAGATGCAGTAGAGAGCACGACCGAAGCGGCTGCCACCGACTCTTCAGAACAGGAAATGGAGTCTACACCCCTCAAGACGATCGCAACGAAACCTTCTGGGAAGGCGTCTGTAGACACGAAGCCTGTGACGGCAAAACCGACCGCGAGCCAACCCACAACTTTGGTAAAGAAGGTGCGTTTCGAGCATTCTGGCTGTGCATGTCTGAACGGCCTTCACCATGCCTACAACACATTTTCAGATCCTCAATTCGGGCAAGTTTGGGACAGGAACTGCTAGGCCTTCTCCGCCCCAGATTTCCAAATCTTCCAGTTCCTCCTCTACATCTCCTACGAAGACCACGTTAACTTCTTCTACTGTCAAGAAACCTGCGAGCAGCATCACAACGTCAGCCTCTAGAGGAACGATGCCCCCGCCGAAGACTACTGCTGTAAACCCTCCACCCCCAACTCCTCGTAGGGCCTCCCTTGCCCCGTCGAAGACCTCAGTGCCGGCACCAAGAGCCTCTTTAGCCACATCCACTTCTACCAAACCCTCTCCTCCGTCTAGACCAATCCCTTCATCAGCTACTCGCCCTTCGGTCGTCTCTCCTGTCGAATCCACTGCGTCGAAGTCTTCGACAACTGCACGCCCTCGCGCTTCAGTGTCGGAAGGTGTCCCAGCAAAGAAACCCCCAGTTTCACGCCCTAGCTTGAGCTCCGCAAAGCCCCCTAGTGCTACTGCTACAAGGCCGACTCGTACGCCAGGTGCGGGTTCCATTTCATCAATCAAGGAAGTGAAAGGAGAGGGAAAGGTCCTTGATGATGTCCAGAATAAGGTACGCAACGACCGCATCTACTCTGTTGACCTCTGTCTGACTTGCTATAGCTTAAGGAAGCTACGGCGTCTTTGACGTCTAAGGCTGATATAATTGCTGGCCTTGAAGGCGAGATCCAGAAATTGAATGAATCTTTGGAGGATGCAAAAGCCGATGCGGATGAAAAACGCCAAAAGGTAGAAGAACTGGAGCGGGCCAGAATCGATGCCGAGAAGGAACTTGTAGAAGCAAAGAGTGCCTTGGAGAAGCTCCAGACCCAGACTTCGCAGTACGACTCTATCCATGAAGAGGTGCGTCATTCCTCAATTCCCACACCCACACATCGTTAATTGATTATTGTATTTAGCTTGCATCCGCCAAGGCTGCTTCAGAAGCTCAGACTGAGCTCATCCAAAGTCTTCAGGCGCAAATTCAGTCCATGGAGCTGGAAGTTATAGCCGCCAAGGAGAATCTTGACATCGTCCGTGCCAGTGGGTCTGTTTCGGAAGCTGCCCTCGCATCGGCTGCCATCGACCGTGAGGCGTTGGTGAAGGCAAAGGGGGACCTCGAAGCTGTTCAATCTGAGGTTGAGGCGCTGAAGGCTGCTCATGCTCAAGCGCTGCTGGACGCCGCAGAGAAGGCGAAGAGTCTCGAGAGCCAAGCTGCTAGCTCCCAGGCGCTCGTGGAAGAGATTGCAGACCTCAGAGCTGAAGGGGAGAACGCGTCAACTAGACTTTCCGAGCTTGAAATCGAGATTCTAGAGTTGAAGGAGTCCCAGGACAACGCTGATGACGAGCACTCAAAGTCTCTTGCTCGTATCAAGTCGTTGGAGGAGGAATTAGTGGCAGCAACTGCAGCTACGGAGCAGGCCTTGCAAGATGCTAAGCTCAAGGAAGAAACCTATGCGGTCGAGCTCGAGAACTTACCGAAGGCGTACGAAGAACAGCTTGCGGCTGCCGCGGCAGAGCAGTCGAGACTGACTGAGCAATGGCAGACCATCCAGGCTGAGCTGGATAGTACTCGCGCTTCTCTTGAGGAGGCTAAGGTCGCCGCTGACCTCGCGGGGCAGGAGCACGCACATCTTCTTGAAGAAGCTGAGAAGGAATATCAAGCTCGTCGCGACGAACTCTCCGAAGAAATCAAGAGGATCTCAGCCAATCTTGAGGTATGTTTCTCTTGCACATCTACATCCATGCGGCCCTTAACACGCCCGCAGGGTCAAGAGGCGAAGTATAACGCTAAAGTTGATGCTGTCAAGGCTGAGCATGAACAATTGCTTCAGGATGCTTTCGAGCGTGCGAAGGTATGTTGTCTCTACTAGCTCAAGTTCGAATGCTTATTCCAGCCACACAGAATGAGGCCGGGGACGCACATGGCCAAGATCTTCAATCTCTTCGTGCAGAATCTCAGGCGACTATTGAACAGCTGCGCTCTGCTCACCAGTCGACCATCGAAGGCCTTAAGGCTGAACATGAAGCAGCACTCGAAGCCCAGGTCCAGAATCTCGAGAAACAGATCACGACCCAAAGCCTAGAACTGAAGGCGACCGGTGAGGACCTCGCTAAGGCAAAGGCGGCTCTTACTGCCTCACTTCATGAGGTCGAGGGCCTCAAGGCGCAGTTGGATGATGCCCATCATACCGCGGCGATTGTTGCTGGCTCTAGCGCGTCTGAACAAGTGGCCGAGTTTGAACGTCTTAGAAAGGAACTTTCTAATACCAAAGACGATCTTCTTGGCCTTTCGGACGTCTTCAACGCGACGAAAGAGTCTATGAAGGAGATGTCTAGCAATCACGTGAAAGAACTAGAAGAGGCAGCGAAGGGTCGTGTGGAGGAGGTTACCGCCTTAAAAGCTCAGTACGAAGCAGAGTTCCAGAGGATCGTCGCCGAGAAAAGCGATCTCCTTACCAGGCTCTCGGATCTCGAAGGCGAGTTGGCAACAGCGAAGGCCTCGGTCAACACGGATTCCGCTCCCACACACAAAAGGAATGGCTCGGCTCAAGTGATTTCTCCTTCTGTCACCAAGGATGAGCTGCAGAAGATGCATGAGGCGCATAACTTGAAACTGCATGATCTCCAGGCTCAGCACGAGAAGGCGATGAAGGCTATCCAGGAGCAGCTCGAGGCTGTACAATCTCGGGCCGCCGAACTAGAGCAGGACGTCGAGCGAAAAACAATGGAAATCAAGTATCTTGAACAAGACCAAGAGGAGAGCACCGATCAAATCACGCGGTACGTGAGATGCTTTGGCTTCAAAAGTTTCATAGGTTCTATGTTTGCACTGGCGATGGTTATCGGTTTCATTTGAACCGCTATCATTGTTGTCCTTTTTTTTTCTACGCGTGCTTGCGGACTGCGTATTTATTTTATCTTATCACGCATTTGCTGGTCCAAAATGCATCGTCACCTATGACTAACTTCCATCTTTTGCCTCATTCTCGCTTCCTTTCCTTCCTCGTTTCTGTGATCGACGTTCATTTCATCATGCATGCATGGACCGCGTCTCATTTCATTTTCTCATCCTAACGGAGATCAATACATAAAAGTCGATCCCTCTGTGCTCATTATGTTCCTCCATAAAAATAGGTTGAAAGCGGATATAGAGCACCTCACGAACCAGATGCCCCAAGCAACCCATTAATCACGAACAACGCGTATCAGGTCCGGCCATTTCGCTTCAACCTTGCGACATCCACGACGATTCCAGGAGGGATCCCACCGATTGGTCGTTCATCTTGCAGACGGACTGCGACAGTGCAGCCAGTTCATTATCTTTCGGTATCAGTTCCGTGCGATCGTACATTCTATTTGCCTGCTTTATGCTATCGCATTCCCACTACCCCGGTTCTCGTATACCTTGCTCACATTCTCCTGCGCGTATACTCCTGTATGTTGATACCCGGGTTAATGTGCATACCTTACCAGTTTTTAATGGATACCATTCGTGCCGCCTTCCTTCCAACGCGGATTTACTTGTCTCGCTCTAGTGGGAGTGGCGGCGGACACGGCTCAACTCACTTCAGCCGAGAACCTTTTCTGTACCGAATTGTTACAGATTGTTACTAGAACTGACAGTGATGGCAAATGTCGCGAATAGCACATCATTGGGGTCCCGATAGGGTATTTTTCTGCAGGTAATCACCAGTTTTCACCCCAATATGGGATTAATGAAGATCTTCTGATTTTCCGCCTCCCTCTAGTAAGGGCCTTGGTTGGATTTTTCCGACGGGAAGACGCTGATTGTATAGTTCGTGATCAGAGCGACCACGATGAAGACGGAGGGTGGGCGGAGGTCCGAGTTATGACGGAGGCAGAATAGACGCGGTACCGCAAGCGGCGGTGCTGTTACCCAAACATGTGACGGCCATGTCCGGTTATGAATACCCCAAGATATTGCACGCTCGTTCCACCTCCCCACCCTCTTCCTCGTTCCTCCTCCCCCTCACCTTCACGCCGCATCCCACGACGTCTGCACGATGGCCATCCAGAAAGAGCCAGGTCAAAAGGGCGTTAACTGGTCCAATATCGCCGTCGGTTGGTTATTCCAGTGTCAAACAGACACGTCGACTGTACTCACGCGTTTTTCATGTATGTAGGCGCCATCATGAACATGGTATAGTCGCCCACATTCTGGTCCCCTTCGATGAGGCTGACCACGAACCTCTCTTTTCTCGGCACGTTCAGTTTGTAAGTACACGCTGTTTCACTATTGTTTCCCGCAGCTCATGATTACGCGTTTTGTAGGAGGCAAGTCAACGAGTCGTGTGCAATCTGCGCGCTATGCTTCACGATGCACACTTTCTAGGTCACGACACTAGGCCAGCCTCTGGAAGTCATCAAGACACAGATGGCGGCCAACCGATCACAAACAATGGTGCAGGCATTACAGTCCGTCTGGTCTCGTGGCGGTTTCGTTGGATTCTACCAAGGTCTTATCCCATGGGTAAGTGATATTTATCGTTGAATTCAATCGAATAATTCTTCAATATCATATATTTCTCTATCCATAGGCTTGGATTGAAGCATCAACGAAAGGTGGTGTCTTGCTGTTCTGCGCGTCTGAAATCGAAACCGCTACCGTTTCGATGGGTGTCAACCCCGCAGCCGCTGGCCTGCTCGGCGGTATGGGCGGAGGAGTTGCTCAGGCTTATGCTACTATGGGTGAGTTGATTGATGCGTTTCACTCTATCTCTTGTTCCTCGATCTTGAATATCTTTCGGTAACGTGTTACTGAAACCTTTGACGCATTCTGATATATTCGCTTGTGCGTGTTTGACTTACATATGCCTTGATTTCTAGGTTTTACGACAAGTATGAAGACCGCTGAAATCACCCGGCACAAGCAAGCAGCAGCTGGGATCAAGCCACCATCAACATGGGCCCTTTTTGCTGAGATTTTCCGGAAGGAGGGTCTCCGCGGCGTCAATAAGGGTGTCAACGCTGTTGCTGTCCGGCAATGCACCAACTGGGGTTCTCGGTAAGCCGAACCCAGTGAGACCCGTTCATGCATTCTGACCGTTGCATATATAGCATGGGCTTTGCTCGATTAGCCGAGACGTCTATCCGAAAAGTCCAGGGTAAATCTGAAAAAGATCACCTCGGTGCTTTTGACAAAATTCTTGCCTCGTCAATCGGTGGTGCGTTGGCCACATGGAATCAGCCCATTGAGGTGATTCGCGTCGAGGTATGCGTCGTCATAAATCATCAGTGAATGTACGACCGACATTTCTTACCAGATGCAAAACATGTCAAAAGAAGCAATAGCCTCTGCTAACCGACCTGCGAAGTTGACGATTCTCAACACCTTCGCCTTCATCTACAAGGAGAATGGCATAAAGGGGCTGTACCGCGGTGTGACCCCTCGCATTGGACTTGGGATCTGGCAGACAGTGTGCATGGTCTCCTTTGCGGACTACGTGAAGGCTTGGTGCGTAACACCGTGTATTGTCAACATTGGCTCTTTTTAACTCTATATCAGGGTCAAGGGACCTGGGAAGTAGAGCAAGCCGTGGAGCACTCGCATAGACATTGCTGGACTGTTTCCTTTCCGTAGATTATCGTATAATAACATTGCATTTTGCTTCTGGAATGCGCCTGCTACCATCGCGATTGGGCGAGACCATAATCACGTGTAGACACTGCGGGCGTCAGGAGAGCATCTGGCACGGACGAGGTGTAAGCCGGGGCCGTCTGGGGTAACCTTATAATATCTTCCGTCTGCTGTGCGGACCTGTTCGCCATCTCAATCGCAATTCCTCGTTTCCTGAGCGTTCACGACCTCGACACCATGAGTCTCGCGTCAGGCAAACCGTCAGCCAGACACCCTCTACTTGTTGCATACCTCGCACAGCTCACTGCCAATCCCCTGCGGACCAAAGCTCTCACCACAGGTGCGCAGACGCCCTCAACCTCACATTGTATAAATATAGAACATGAAACGCGCCACGTCTTCCAGGCATCCTCTGTTTCCTTCAAGAAGTGCTCGCGTCTCACTTCGCCGGAGTACCAGCACAGCGTCTGTCCAAGGAAAGCCCACTGTACTACCATGCCCTTGCCCGCGCCAGGGTCGATACAAAGGCGCTGAAAATGGGGTTGTATGGTCTTCTCGTGTCCGCGCCGCTCGGGCATGTCCTCATTGGAGCCTTGCAGCGCGCATTTGCGGGCAAGACTGGGCGTGCAGCCAGGTTAGGCCAGATCCTGTCGAGTAACCTGTTCATTGCACCCATTCAGACTGCTGGTGAGTGACGTACTTTGGCTGTCGGGTGCCTGTGTGACACAGGGCCCGCGAAACAGTGTATTTGGCGTCAATGGCTGTGGTCAACGGCGCAAAGTCGGTTGATGAGATCGTCAAGACTGTGAAGGGCGGATTTTTCTCTGTCATTCGGGTGAGTTTTCCACGTAAAATAGTTGGGTGTGAACATCGAATAAATGCCGCATCTTGTTGCCTGTAAGGTGATGTGGGTCAGCTCACCTTTGTCAATCATCTTCGCTCAAACATTCCTCGCCCCGGAGGTGAGCCCAACTTATCACAGTCTCGGGGGTGCTTTACCTTTCTGACCGTACAACGTATCAGCTCTGGGTGCCTTTCTTTAATCTCGTCGGCTTTACCATGGGTGTATGTGTTCTACAGCTTCAAAATCCGCCGAAGACGATAGCCTAATCGCTTTTGTATTTCGTTCCAGACGTACTTCAATACCCGCGTTAAGCAAATTCGGCTCGCGGTCGAAAAGAAACAGAAGAAAGATGAACAGGACAAGTAATCATGCCATCGTGATTTATGTATTACATATAGGAGCATCTCTGTAATCTTGTGATACGTTTGCTGTGTTTTATGTTCATAACCCACATTGATAGTCAACCTTGATCACTACACGAACCCCCAGGTTTGCACAGAGACCACATCCCCGATTGTTAGGCTTCCCGCCTCTGCAGGAACAGCGTTACACCCGAAACAAGAATAACCAAGACGTCCAGGGTCCAAATCTTTGCGAAATTTCAGTAAAGGCTTGGAAGGAATATTCAAGTTCCTTGTTCCAGTTGCGGGGTCGATATTAGGCAACTGTGACTTTGCGGTGAGTATCATTGTAAGAATGAAAGCAAATGAGAACCAACCAAGCATCTTGTACACTTAGACACCAGGGTGAACGAGCGGGCATTTGACAACCCGTGTGGAGTGGGGGATGAGATAGTCATTTTTCTCCACATATCTTCGGCGAATGGCAGAGACGCCCCCTCAAACACGATGTTTGGTCTATACCTAACAGTCGGGGCATGTAAGTATCGGCAGCGCTCCTCATGCGTTTGCCTGGAGTCCATACCGTTCCAGCACCAGCGAATCCGTATCCCAATCTCTCAGCTCTTCTCGTTCTTGTTCTCGGCACCAACTAGCTACCATGACCTTGGCGCATAAAAAACTTTCATTGCTCACGACCATAATAGGATAGACATCCTGATAGTTTATGCCAACCTTTAGGTTGGGGAAGGACCACGTTGGAGGAGCAGGTCGCAGGCGGGGGCCCTTGTATATGAGATGAACCGGCTTGCCGAAAAAACGTGACAAAGTTGCGGAACATAACGATGAGTCTACGAAGGGTGATGAGCTGTGGGGCTGGGTTATATAGCCGTCGATATCAGCGAATATGAAGACGGTACAGTCCTCTACCCTGGTTCATGCACAGTGGTCAGTATGTGAAGGTAGTTGAAGTGAAAGCGAGATAATTACGTTGACCATCTTTCGAGGGTTTCGGGGTTTGGCTTCAACGGAACAGAAAATGCTTCACAGCCAGATTCTTTAGGAAACGTGATTTCCAGCTGCCCTCCATATCGATCATTCGAGTTCTCAACGATACGAGTCGTGATTAGAACCATCTAGGAATCCAATTAACAATAGTCAGGGTATCTGTAATGAGGCGGCTTGCCTTTGGAAACTCTCGGGCTGTGATTATAGCATGCGATTGAGCATCAATAATGCACCATTGACGGTCGTACTGTAAGGGTGACGATTCAAAGGTATATATGAATGAATTGACATAAAGGAGTACTTACCTCAAGGCCCAGCTGTGTGTAGCGTGATGTCCGAACAGAGATTCCACGGCAGCTCTATATTTCAGTGTTAGAGTTTGCCGCAGAGTCGCTACACACATAGTCACCTTGATCGGATGTACGAAGAGTCTAGATATTTTTACCTCCCTTGCATCCAATTTCTGCTTGACAATTCCTTGGTCTTTGGGGTCGAAAGTGATCTTGGATCCCCGGCTTTCGGTCTGATCTCTAGACAACATTGACAGCCTACGGCTTATTACTATTAGGAGGACAAGGCAGGAGAAGAAGACGGTCAGTGCAGTGATTCGACGGGACCATGAGAAAGTTAGCGCAAAGGGGCAATCCAGAGGCGTGACTTCGGAGTAAGGCATGTCTTCTTGAAGTAAACTAGGAACACAAGTGTTGATTTACATAAGGACATTCAAGTCAGCTGGCTTTTCTAGTAGTAACGAGCCAGGAACAGAAGTGGTTCGTCGCCGAGTGAACGAGTAGACTTCAATAGACTGGACAGGAGATGGAGGGCCTCGCATGACGGCATGCCGCCGGTATTTCCAAACACAGCCTCTGAGTGCAGGAAATGGAAAATAGAATCCTTATGATGCTAGATTGGATCAGTATACAAAACGGGTCTTTGTGAGGGGGTTCATGTTGAAAATCAATGTAAGAAGACAGCTCATACATGGGGGAACTCAAACATCGTCAACTCAACATTAAACGATATCCCATGTCGTTACCGACACAACGTCGCCAACGCTCATGACACCCGACGCGAGACCCACCGCATTACATCCGAAGCAAGAGTCGTCCGTTCGACCAGGATCCAATCCTGTGCGAAACTTGGAAAGCGGCTTGGAGGGAATAGACATATTCCTAACGCCGTTCAACGGATCGATATTAGGCAGCTACATGGGCCGTCTCATTAATGATGAGCATAGCAGCACCAGTGAGCAAAATCGTACCAAGCATCTCGTGCATTTGGCCACCAACGTGAAAGAGGAAGATTCGTTCGTATGAGAAGTCAAAACAATCTCCCGCCACATGTCCTCAGAGAATGGTACGGAGGCGCCGTTGAAGACGATGTTGGGCCTATATCTAAAATTATGATGTTGGTGCGTACCACGGAGTTACAGGCGCGATGGCTGCAAATCGAAATTACCTTTCCAGTACCAAAGAATCCACGTTCCAGTGCTTGAACTCATCTATATCCTGCTCGCTGCACCACTTGGCAGCCATCTTCTTCACGCTCCCGAAGCTTTCCTCACTAACAACCATGAGAGGGTAGCCGTCTTGATAGTTGAGATGAGCATTCAGGTTCGGGAATGACCATGTCGGCTCGACGGGACGCGCTCGTGAGCCCTTGAAAATGAGATGCACCGGCTTGCCGAAGTATTTTGAAAGGGTGGCCGAGCATAAGAGTGCATCCGTGTTGGAAGAATCAGGGTGAGGTTGAGTGATGTAACCATCTATGCCCGTGTCCGAGTGGACGCTGCAATCATCCGTACTGGAAATTCGTCTGTCAATATCACGTATTGATGATGCGTCAAATTTCTTACATGCTGTAGTTCTGAAGCATGTCTGACGTTGGTTTTAATGGAACAAAGAATGTCTCGCAACCAGATTCAGCTGGAAATGAGATTTGAAGTCGGCCGCCGCATGGGTCTATATCGCTTTCAATCACTCGAGGAGTGATCAGTACCATCTGACACCCCATTTGGGATTGTATTTCAGTAAGAACGCAATGAGTGTAGAACAGTGAGCATACTTTCGGTACTGCTCTGGCTGTAATTATTCGATGCGACATAGCATCAATTATGCACCATTGACGATCGTACTATATTGTAGGGACTTTTCATCGGCAGCCAAGGGCAGGCAGACAGAGATGCTTACCTCGAGGCCAAGCGGTGTGAAATTCGATTTGAGAACAGATATTCCACGGCAGCTCTACACAATCACCAAGCGTCAATGTCCGGAAATATAGAAGCTTGATTAGGCGCACCTTGATGGGATATACCATTATTCTGGAAACAGTAACCTTGCCCGCATCTAGTCTTTTCTGGACAGCGTCTTGATTCTTCGTGGCATCGAAGATAAAGCTCGTCTCGAGTGCCTCTGATGAGCTTGAGTGGAGCCTCGAGAGAGATTCGCTTGCGTTCTTCAGTCTGGCTGGCTCAAAAATTATTGACAATAAAAGCCTGCAAGCAAGCATGGATATTCCAGCGACGGCAGCTATTCCGACAGCGTGACGACTCCATGGGGGTGCCTGAAAATAGTCTACCAAGGGCGTCATTATGAAGACTCAGCCCCGCAATGGGTATGAGAAGTTGAGAACAGACCAAAAAGCTCGGGTGAAGTTGCCTTACCAGTTTCCTTTGAGCCAGAGGGTATGCCGACCCTGTTGGGTCTCTCTCACTCAACGTGGGAGTCAGGACGAGCTGATACATATGTCACCATCGAAAGCAACGGCATAGAGCTTGCAGCTGGCATCACGTGTCTGACCTCCAAGACCGCTCGACTAGTTTCACGCTCCGACTTACGTAGCTGATGCCGTCCTAGCATCTTTACTGCCTATGGCGCTGCAACGTTGTCTTCAACGAAAAAAAGTCCGAAAGGGAACAGAAGTAGTACAGAAGTAGTACAGAAGTGGACCAGAGTTGTCATTGTTATTTGCTTCCATATTCGGGACTGCCACCGTTTGATATCCTTCAACACACAAGGCTCGTCGTTGCAACTTGCGGGGAGAGCTTAGCGAGGCTATTTCTCAAGAAAGATGCGATCACTATCTGTGATCAATTTCTGACGACCCTACAAGCATCTGTGTCCTTTGATGAGCGCTTTGTCGTGATATTGCAGATCTACGGAAAAAGATCCACGTCATGTTTACAAGAACGATGGCCTTGCAACAACAATCGATACCGATGGAGTCCCTTCTCACTGTGCTCTCGCTATTCCAAGAACAGACGCAAGTTTACTATGTGTCCATCAAATAAAAATGGTATACAACTCATGTCTATACAGACGGCACATTGACCACAGTTATACAAGCAGCATCCTCACTCGACGGCTCTTGTATGTAGCGGGACCTCGGTCGCCAAGATGTTTCCTTTTGCGCAACCTCGGTTTCCAAAATCCAACCACTAAGAGCATATGAATCTGGTCGAGGAGCATACAGCGTTGGCTCGACGATGATATATTGTAATGGTCCAAGTATTCCTCGGTAAGTCAATCGGCCTGCGTACGTTGCGCAAGATAGAGCACTGCATATGGAGAACCTGATCAGTACATGTATGGGAAATTCAGGTACAAGTGTACGCACTCAGGATGGTGAGACACCGATGACTTAGATTCGAGCTTGAGCGTGTATTTGCAGGAATGTGTGAGGGAGTAATTCCGAAGGGTAAAAGGAACAACTGCATGACAAGGTCTACAGCAAAAAGACAGTGTTAAGTGGTGGAATGGAGTTTCGCAGAGGGAAAACGTTCACCCTGCGGAGAAGTCATGCTTCACCACCTCCCCTTGCTGCAAAGTAAGGACCAATGGGTTCATCTCGGCATTCCACTCGCTCGTACGGATGGCGTCCAAAACGGCGGACTTCTCGCGCTGTGTCTCGGCGTACATGCTCCGCTTCACTTTGGCTTCCTGAGCTTCTTCCACGATTTCCTTCAACGCTGCATGGCCGGCGCCTAAGATGGCACCTGGGATGAGGACATGTCCAGAGCGCTGCTCGGAAGGAATTTCCCAAAAGAGTAGAACATCGACAGCGTGTGGATGATACAGAGGAAATGTAGAGGGATATAGAGCTGCGGGAATATTTGACTGCGTTGCTGTAAGATTACGCAGCGCCAAATTTCGTCTTCGTTGATGAATAAGTGACGAGATAGTTGGTTGAAGGACAGAATATACGGGCGTCTAAAGGGTGCATCAGGACAGTGGCTCCTAAAAGGCTCGAGTATATGCATACCTTAGATACGTGACTGCACAGTACATCTATTGGTGGAGGCTCCGAGGGCTCTAATGTCTGACCTTGCAGAACATTTCTAAGAGTGTTAGAAACGAAGTCTAATGTAGGCTGAGTGTCAAGTTCATTCTCCCATCGATCGACTCCCAAGGGCAGATGGAGAACCTGACTTGGCGTGAGCATGTCCCTTGAAATAAGGTATGATTGAGTACTGGTCCCAAAAAAGCTGAGCAAGACACGCACGATGGATATTCGGACACGGCAGAACATGACCAGGTTGGACTCAACGTCGTCACTTGGGAGATAGTGACGTCCGAAGACGCAGACACATTTGTGATATCTAAATCAAGGAGGAATAGATGCTCTAAGGCACGACTAGGTGCCGATCTGGTGGACACAGATAATATAGGCTGAACCTCGAACTGGCGTGTCACCCGGGCGGACCGGAATATATCACCTTCTTTCTAATGAGATTGTGTCAATGAGGTTGATATGAAAGGAAACGTGGTGGCGAACCTCTCTAAAAACGAAAAGAAGGCACATTTCATGGTCGCCAGGATGATTGGCGTGTAGAGTGAGGGAAAACTCCATGCTACCTCCGGGAGCAAAGGGCAAAGAGTCGCGCAATGTCTCTAGAGGTATTCGATACGGCCTCTGTGCCGCAAGAGAGTTTGTTGAACGAAGCACTTCCGTCTGCGGGTGGCTAGTATGCTCTGTCATAACGTCAACATTACTATCTGGAAGATAAGATTGTGAACGTACCAGGCTGCTCTGTGGGCGCGTCTATCCAGAATTCATCTTCCGCACCTGCAATCAACCACATTTCTCCTATAGTCTCACTGCCGGTGTTTGACAGCCACAGTTTCACGCGCTTACACTCCCCCTCAGCGAGAACGAGACGCCCGTCTTCGACAAAATTGGCAGACACTTTCTGACGCGCGTCCTCAACTTCTACTCTGATGTGAACATCAGGCGCATACATCTTGCTTTGGCGCTGGAGAGGAGTTTCCTGGAGCCTCCGGCCACGTGTGCCTAGAGATTCTGTCACTGGAAGCAGTGATAGAAACTCATATGACGCATGGCTGACGAACAGGATGCCCGACCGTTGGGCGTGCATAGCCAAGGGTATCTGATGAGCAAACCGTGATTATGTTACAATAAAGAGGTTCATGCATTTTAGAACACCCACCGTTCGAGTCTCCTTCGAGCTAAGGATGATATCGTCGATCACTTCTACCTCAACAAAGTCTGCGGGAGTATTCAAATGCTCTTCTTTGACGACAACGGTCAAGTTTGCCAGATTGACGTCGACATCCAGAGGATTTTGCAGCGTCAGGTCAACCCAAAAGGTTTCTGGAAGCTGTGGATCAGCATATTCATGCAGACTTTTTTGTGGGATATAGCTCTACCATTGACAGTGGCTTTGCCGATACTCTGTAGACCTTCCTTGCCTCGGGTTTTCCTAAATTCCTTCCAGGTGTCTTCTTGCGCCTCCCATATGGACAGATCACCTCCGACCGAGTCCCCCGGCACTCGCAGCCTTGTGTGTCGCGGAATGCAAAATGGGACAGGAAGTTTCATGTCAGACAAGTCCAGTCGACCTTCAGCGGTATCTCTCAGATGCTATTGTCACGTATCAAGTGCTGAGGTCACCAAAGGTTGAATAGAGGGACATGCCGTACCTGAAAGGCCACTCTGAAATCTTCTAGAAAAACCTTGTCCGACACGACGGATTTCGGCAGCTGCACATCGTTGCCAGTGGGTGCCTCCGATAGAGTGAAATTGGTTGTTCCTGTAGACCCATGGAGGAGTCCGAGGAAGAAGCGGACCCCACGCTCGACATCGCCACTCGTGTAATGCAGTCGGCCGAGAGCGTGGTCGATCCCAGGGATGATAGCCTCTAGACTGCTGTGCGTGTTTGAGTCCACACCTTCTGCATCCCAGAACGATGGGGAAAGCTCCTTCTCTGGTGATATCTTGTACAGCTCGTGTGCTCTCCGGAGAAAGTACATCGTGAGCGGTTTCTACACATTGTATAAGCAATCAACAGCGAAACGGCTTCGATCATGGGTTTTACACTCACAATCCCGAATTTCTCCAGTCTGTTTGCCGCGAAGAGATACCACAATGCAGCCCTTCTTCTTGCCCGTTTACGAACGCTAAGGTACGCAGCATGAGCAAGTAGGAGTGCAGAGGGCGGTTCTTCGGCCTTGAAGAACCCTGGCATTATCAGCATTTCACTCTCAAATGTGTCTTTCCTTGCTTTCTCTGAGAAAACAAGTAGGCAAGTTGCCGATCACTTACGGATGATGCTGCCCAGACAAGCCATTTATCTCCTTCCAGCACGCTGCTCAGAAAGTCAGAGCTAGGGATGCTACTTTCCCATCGTACGGCGTATACGAGTGCTCGAAGCTGAGAAAGCGCCGAAAGATCTGATTGAGGTGTTCTGATGAGTGACAAAGCATGTGTTACATGCAAAGGTATCGCGGGAGACGGTGCAAGTAGCATGGGTAGAATTTCCTGCCCATACCAGACAAGTTATTAGTCGTTAGATCATTCTCAACATGCCACACGCGTTTGCTTTTGCTCACGGATCCATTCTTTCCTTCTTTCCTCATGGATTCCCAGACGAGGATGGCTAGTTTGTAGTCTCCCAGGCTAGTGGCAAATTCAGCTAGTCGCCGATGTTGCGGCGGCCGTTCGAGCAAGCCAGGAGAATTGACCAAGGAACTTATAGACCCGGATAAGCCATGGCCTCGCGAGGAAACCGACGAGGTCGAAGGATTAGACCCGTGCGAAGGAGTAGCACTCGTAGAAGCAGATCCGAAAAGTCGGCGAGTAGAAGAAAAGAGGCGAGACGGAAGACGGTTCTTCGAAGAGAACTACACGTAGGCATGATTTGTTACCAGAGGAGTCAGACTGGAGTAGAATGTCATACATTTTCGTTCCACTCGACGACGCATTTCTCCATCCATGGTACAAGACTCATGGCAACAAACTCCCGCATGAACCTGGCAGTCTGCTGTATGTCTTGTTCATTCATCCTGAGCGTGTTTGGGACCGGACCTGCACTCGACGATTCGTCGGATGAGCTATTGTTAGTATTGTTCTGTGGTGGTGGGGGTAGACGTGGAGCAAGGAGAGGGGCAGGGACGGGCTGTGGAGGGGGAGAGGGCATTGCGAGCGGGAGGAGGTAGCATTGAAGGCCGTATTGCTTCTTGACGGCATTAAACAGAGCTCCAGCTCTGCATACAAGTCAGTGTGATCAAATGGAAGTCGTTGATTGGACGTACTCTTCGTTAGAGAGCGATGAGTTCTGGGGGTGAACGATGAGCGAGTAGACAAGATACGTGTTGTCTACCCAGACTGGGAACTCTGGCGGGCGCGCGTGCAGTTGCGCAAGTGCTTGCAGAGGGTTCGGTGCCATAGTTGACACGGCCAGGACAACTTGAAAGCACGAACGAACAGTCAATCAAGTACCTCCTCGCACTCAACGCGAGCACATTGAGAACCCAAATGCGCGTACCAGCAACAGGGTGGTTCCAGCCTTCGATAGTAGATGGAATATGATCTCCCTCAACACATCTCCTGAGCTCATCCCACCAAGGCGTCCGTATATTCGTACTCCCGTCCTTCTCAGCCGCTGCAGCGCCTGCACGCTCCCAATCTTCGACCCACTTCGCACATCGACGCGAGACTCGCGCGCTGATCCAGTCTATTGTGCGCCCAGCACGTTGCTCCTCGTCTTCGCGGCATCCTGACTCAATTTCGGTTAAGTCGGAGAACCGTAGGGCGAACGAGGGGTGAGGGACCGATGTGAGGGTGGTGGTGCGTGTTGTGACTGAAGTGCGAGTTAACCCCTCATCAGGAAAGCCGGTGATGAAAATAAATCGGGTTTACCTTGAGGAAGGGGAGAGAACGATTGTAAAATTTGTGAGAGAGGTGGTAGAGACGATGCGGTGAGCAGGTCAACCAAGTCTGGAGATGGGAGGATGCATATATGAGGGCTGAGAGACGGTGGCAAAACGGGTGCCATGAACAAATGCGTCAAGTACACGCGCGCGACCGAATCGTCTCAGCCCGCGTTCGCTGGAGCAATATAGTCACTACTGTAAATAGTCGGATGTCGTGTTCGGCTTCAGCCCTGTCCAAATTCAAATATCGGACGCGTTCGTCACAGGCGTCAGCAGGACCCCCGAAAATAGGTGGGGAGGCTGGGTGAAAATTTGTCAAAAGTCGTCAAAAACGTGCGGACAAAAAGATCAAAAAATCGGCTCTTTTTTGCCGGAAAAATTCAGGCATGTGTAAGATTTGCCACAAAATTCTCGGATTGAGCCATTTGACCCATTCAGGCCCCCAAAGTCCCAAAATTTTGCCGGACAGGCCAGTTCAGGCCTTTAAAATGCTGGCAGTCTGGCAGAACACTAAGAAATTCCAAGGGAACAAGAATGTGATGATTGACAGGGGCTTCTGATTGAGCATGTGTTAAGCCAATAGGTGTTACGACTGCTCGTCGGTAACCCCAAGAGTAGGAGGTTCTTCCCTAGGTCACTCGTGGAGGATGTGTGGAACGGTGGTCTCGACTGTACGTGTAGCACAGGAGCCAGAAGTGTATTGCGATGTGGCAATGAAGACTGTAGTAGGAAGACTACAGTGGATGAGGGTGCTGTGGTAGGAAGACCACAGCGAACGAAGATCCCTGTATGTGAAGATACAGGGGAACGAAGAGAATAGACTGAAGATCCTCAGCCTATTCTATGGGCCTTTTATACTACTTTAGGAAGTAGGGCGTGAGAATACCGTATATGTATCCATAGGTATTCCTCTAAGTCGTCTCTCTCAATAACGACTACTCTTGTGTTTCTCCGTTAGTCTCCTTCCGGCCAGGAACGACTAGGAGCTCAATGCCCGATGTGTGAGTAGTTTGTAAGGCGGCGTTCCATGCCCGCTAATACAATAGGCCCGTGATACTCGACCAACGATAAGGTGATCCGTTGGGAGTGGATGACCAAGGTTGATATCTGTACCTTGGTGTACGCCTCAACCTATGAGGCTGCTTGATATTTGTGATGATCGTGTCGGCATAGACCGCCGTTAAGGCCCGACAGAACGTGATCATAACAATACCCCCTTTCTACGTCCTATTCGCCTGGTAGGACAGCGCTGTGCGCTTCATCGCCACTCCATAAACGATTTGCTTTCTTGATCCAAACGATGGTCTCCGGATGCGACTTCCGAGACATGACTTCGTTTTCTGGGAGGAAGACCGACTTACGTTGTTTGATCCTCTAGGAGTTTTCCATCTCCGTTGAGCTGTTTGTTTGTCGAGTCGTGAGGTTATCCAGGCCTCCGCTCTCTAGGGTGTTCTTCCTTCACCCGTGGGATTGATTCTGCCACGGGTAAACCTCATCGCGGTCTTACTTCCAGCCCGCTTCTGGAATAGCATCAAGAAAGGCGTATGAATGCGAGTGGTGTGTGGATGAATAGAAACTCTAGTGTGTGGGTTCCGATTCGTGTCATCAGGTTCTTCTTCTTCCTTCTCCGAGGGCCAAACCTCAGTGTTTCCAGGATAGTCGTCTATCCTCATGATTTGTTGTTCCTCTTGACGACAGTGGATGGCGCCCATGGACAAGTAGGTTGATCGCTTTACGAAGGCTTAGGCCTACTTCTCCAGGCTACCAGTCATGACGCCCCAAGCAGTATCGCTCCCATACGGTGAGCTCATCTCCGGTGAGGTTGCAGCCAAATCCCAAGCAGTATTGTCCCCATACGGTGGACTCATCTCCGGTGAGGCAGTTTACGGCGTCCAGAGTTTGTTTTTCACAAACGTGGGCCTATGGTGGGGAATACCACGTGTAGTGTTGGGTTCGAGGCAAGGATATGAAGAGAATTAGACTTGAAGGGTGCAGCGAGGAGTAAGGAGGAGTCTGACTCCTTCTCCAAGTCTGCCCGTTCGCTTGCACGAATGGACATCAGGACCACAGCTGATATATTTGTCGGGTTGCGAGATATATCCACGACTGGCAGTTTAAGCGTCATGCGGGACGGTCTGTAGTTTACCGTCGTTTCGGACGATCCGTAGTTTAACGTCTTTGCGGACGTCCTTCATCATCAACATGGAATACCTGTGGGGAAAGATGTTTCTGCACGCCAGAATTTCCATCGGTGATGTGCATAGGGCCATAGACCAGACTTTACCCGCTCCAGATTCCACTAAGGCATGATGGACGGTTTATACTATATCAAACCGGATAACTTGTACGTCTCAATATTAGGAGACCGCTCAGTTTAATGCCGTGAGGTAGGCATCCTCGCAGTTTAATGCCGTGCGATAGGCGGGCTATCGTCTGACTGTGTCCCTCGAGTCACGATAGGCTTTTCCTCCGAGGATGAGGGTAGTTTAACGTCATCTCGGACGTTGTCGACACATTCTCGTCAAGAATGATGTCGACCGATGATCCCTGTACTAAAAGGGACAAGTAGTTTAACGTCATCTCGGACGGTTGATGACCAGGGTCTTGGTCAACAACCACAACTCCTATTCGGTAAGGAGCACATAGTTTAATGTCATTGCGGACCGATTGACACTATGGCGGTCAATCCACAACTCCTATACGGTAAGGAGCAATAGTTTAGTGTCATTGCGGACGATTCAGCACCAGAGTGATGAATCACAACTCCCATACGATCGGGAGCGAGTAGTTTAGCGTCGTTACGGACGCATTGGCGGCCAGGGGATTGGACGTCAATGACAACCCCTAGGTTCAGGGGCACTAGTTTAACGTCGTTGTGGACGCGCGGTATCTTGTCAAGATCGCCATGCACAATCCCTGTACTTGAAGGGACAAGTAGTTTTACATCATTTCGGATGCCCGTAGTTTACCGTCATTGCGGACGTCAATGCCATTGGCCTCGAACAATCCCTATGTGGAAAGGGACAATAGTTTAGCGTCATCGCGGACGTTGTTTCGCCACAAATATTGTGGAAAAACAATGCTTAGTTTAACGTCATCCCGGACGTTTCGTAGTTTACCGTCGTTGCGGACGAGACCTAGTTTTACGTCGTTGTGGACGAACAATAGTTTAAGGTCATTTCGGACCCTTTCTGTGTCAGGGGAAGGAGTTCCTCAACTTCCTTACCCCCTTTCTTCTCCTTGTGCCCTATTATTAGTCCGTTTAGTAATCGAAAGGCCCTTGATAATCTCCGCCCCCTTCATCCGGTCGATAGTAGGGGTCCGCCTCGTCGTAATTTCCCGGATCGTCTAAAGCATCCCATGCATCGAGTTCGGATCTAGTCCACGAGCTATTTCTTCGAGCCTCCGAATCAACGCGGCGAGTTCTGCGGCTACTTCGGTTATCCTCTCTTTCGTTCGTACGAAATCGAGCACTAGGAGGAGGCGATCTAGGCCGGTGTCGAACACTCCGGCCAGCAGTTGTTCCGCGTCCGAGGGTTGCCTGGCTTCCCCGACCCCGTCTTCCCTCATTTCTTCGATAGACGGGCGGTTCCTCCTCGTCGGTATTTCCTTGGGATAGGGGAAGACCTCGTATCCAGTGAGAGGGGGGAGTCGCGGTATGGCTATGCGCTGTAGGAACCTCTCGTTGTCTTGGTGGAGGGCGCTCCACGACCGTACGCGGAAACCTCCTTGGATTTGGTACAGGCGTGGGATGTTCTCCGGGACGTGGTACGTTCCAAGTGACAACTCGGAAAGGGTCGGTTCTGCTCGGCTGGACGTTTCCCAGTTCTCCTCCGAAGAGGAGAGCTGGAAGGAGCTCTCGGTTGACATATTGGGAGAACTCGTCAGGGTGGATGAGGAGGGCTCGGGGTCGTCCGTCATTGTGGGCGTACCAAGAGGCTGTGTCCGGGTCGGTTTGGAGGGCGAGCGTCCTGATCTGGAGACTGGCACTAGCCAGTCGTCGAGGTACGTCGCTATGTTCATTCCCGGGTTGTCCTGCCGAGAAGTTAGCGAGTCTTTGGAGGGCCATGGCTGTGGCCATTTGTATTACCGCGGAGATGGTGTTCCGCTGGAGGAGCGCGTCCGCGTGTCGCTCCAGTTCTCCGGCGTGAGGATCTGTACGAGGGGTAGGTCCTCCCATGGAGCTGGGAATCGGTCCACTAGTTGGTACTGGCGGAGGTGCAGTTTCTGATAGAACTGGTATTGGTTCAACTTCTCCATGGCTTGGGAGTTGAGCTGCCGTTCTTGCTCGAAATCCCGAGGGACCTGCAACTCCACTATTTGGCGTGCCTTCACTAGGAGGTGGAACTCCCACTGGTAATTGGCCAAGGCTCGACTGGTTTCGGTCATCAGGGTTTTCATGCCGTGGTGCATCTCGTGAGGCCCTCTCCGGTGAGGGTCTTCGGGTTCTTTCCCTCTCTTTGAACTTGGCATAGTCTTCGGTGTCGTCGTCGGAGAAGTTGTTGAGATGAGGGGTGAGGAGGACGCCGGTAGGTCCTGGTTGTTGAGGACTTGTTCCTCTATCAATTCGTCCAGCATCTGGTCGGTGAGGACTTGTTCCTCTTTCCACTCGTTCGACATCTGGATTGGCGACCATAAGGACGACATCGGGGGAGGAGTTTCTGGATGGAGACGAAGCATCGTGGTCGTCGTGGAGGAGCATTCGAATGGGGGATGTGTTTGAGAGGGGAAGAGGGTGAGAAGATGTTCTTGTTGGAGTCCTCTTGTCGCTCCTTTTATAACCTTGTCTTTCCCTTCAGGCTGTTCCCGGACGCGGCTTGTCAGGGTATTGGTCATGGAAATCCTTCATGGCTTCTTCCGCCGTTCCCTTTAGGAGAGCGTAGGGCTCCCAGGTGTTGTCTGCTTCGGGATATCCCATCCATTTGACCAAGTATTTGGTTCCCCGTCCTTGCCGTTTTGAATCCACGATCATTTCTACTTCGTAACGTTCTTCATCGTTCAATACTTCCGGTATTGGTCGCGCGAAGTTTTCTCCGTGGGCTTCGGTTTCTCTATATTTGGTGAGCACGGCGGCGTGGAACACCGGGTGGATTTTCCACTGCGGAGGAATTTGGAGCCTGTACGCCAGGGTTCCTACTTTTCCCAGTATCTTGAAGGGGCCATATCGCCTAGGGGCGAGCTTGAACTTAGGATGGGTTGTCCGAATATGGGTTCCTTCTAACCATACTTGGTCTCCTTCCTCCCATTGGGGAAGTTTCCTGTGAAGATCCCGGTCTTTGGCGTAATTGCTGGCTATTTGTAAGCTAGCAGCGGCTTCTTCCTGAACTTCTGTGATCGTCCTAATGCGTTCAGCTACCGCAGGTACCTTTGTCTCCAGCGCCATGTCAGCTGAATAGGGGGGATTGAAACCGTATAGCACTTCGAAAGGGGATTTCCCGGTGGCCGAGTGTTTCCATGTGTTGTGTGAGAATTCGGCGAACGGCAAAAGGTCTACCCAATTGTCCTGATGGTAGTTGCAGAACGTTCTCAGGAATTGCTCGATCTCCTGGTTTACCCGTTCCGTCTCTCCATCTGTTTGGGGATGATACGCCGTGCTGAGAGCGGCGGTGATTCCTAGCCGTTTCCAGAGTTCTCGGGTGAATTTGGCCGCAAATTGAGGGCCCCGATCGGACACTATTTTGGTCGGCAGTCCATGTCGATTGAAAACGTTATTTTGGAAAAGCACGGTTGTTTCTTCTGCCGTGATCGTTTTCTTGCATGGGGTGATGACTATGCCTTTTGACAGACCTTGATCCACTACCACGTTAATTGAGTCGAAACCTTTGCTTTCGGGTAGGTCCGTGACGAAATCTGTCGAGATGAATCGCCAAGGAACGTTGGTGGTTTCCAGAGGGTGGATAGGTGGGTGTGTCTTGTGTGTCAAGTTCTTCGTAGACTGGCATATGGCACATCCATCCACATATTCGTGGACAAATTTAGTCATGTTTTGCCACCAGTAGTGTCGTTGCACCATTTCCAATGTTTTTGCTCTACCCGGGTGTCCTACCGCGGGTGCGTCGTGATGTGTTTTGACGATGAGTCTTCGGATGACGTCGTCTTTGGGGACGCATATGTGGCCGTTGCGTCTGGTGATTCCGTCTTCATATGTCCAATGTCCCAGTAATCCTCTCATCCCTTGTGGTCCTACTCGTAAGAGCTTTGCGAGGGCTACCCTTGTTAAGGCATCATGTTCTGATTTCGAGTGTCGGATGAGGGAAATGAGGTTTGAGGAGGCGATTTCCGTGGACTTTATATGTCGTGTCGGGGGTGGTTCTACCAATGTTTCGTCGGATTTGTTGAAAAGCTTGGCCGGGAGTAAAATTTGAGATTTGTTGTCAGATTCTACCCCCTCACTTAGATCTGGACGCCTGGACAGAGCATCGGAGTGATTTGTTGATCCTGCTTTATAGCTGAGTGTAAAGTCGAATCTGCTCAAATAAAGGCTCCAACGGGCGTGTCGTCGTGATAGGTCTCGCGCCGTTTGGAAATGTTCCAGGTTTTTATGATCTGTCCAAATCTCGAAGGGGTGTCGCGCGCCTTCGAGGTAATGATTCCAGTGTTCCAATGCTTTTATTATAGCCAAGAGTTCCCGGTCGTGAACATCGTAATTCCGCTCTGCTGGTGAAAACGATCCAGAGAGGAAAGCGACTGGGTGCCAGTCGCCATCTTTTCCTTCTTGTAGAAGGGTAGCTCCATAGGCGATTAGTGATGCGTCCGTTACTAATCGATATGGGTGCATGGGATCTGGATAGTTCAAGACGGGTTTACTGATAAAAGCTTTCTTTAACCGTTCGAAAGCTTCTTGGCATTTTGCAGTCCAGTTCCATTTCTCGTCCTTTTTGGTAAGGTCGTGTAGGGGGCGCGCGATGAGTGAGAACTTGTCAATAAAGCGCCTGTAAAAATTCCCTAGGCCCAAGAAGGAGCGAATGTCGCGGACTGTGCGTGGGGTTGGCCAATCTTTTATTGCGTCCACCTTTGAGTCCTCCATGGCGACATGGTCTTTTGAAATTGTATATCCCAGATATTGGAGCTTTTCCTTGTAAAACTCACATTTTTCGGGTTTCAAATATAGATCGTTGTCGCGTAGGATTTGGAAAACTTGGTTTAGGATTTTGACATGTTCCGCCATGGTTTTGGAGAAGACGAGGATGTCGTCCATATATACGGTTATCTTCCGGGCTGTGATGAGCTCCCTGAAGATCATGTTCATCATAGCTTGGAAGGTGGCTGGTGAGTTGGTTAGGCCGAAGAACATCACCGTAGGTTCGTAAGAACCTAACGGGGTGATGAAGCTCGCCTTCCACTCATCTCCCTCTTTGATGCGTATATTGTTGTATCCCCATCGCACATCCAATTTGCTAAAAATGATGGCCCCTTTTATCACGTCCAGTAGTTCTTGGATTAGTGGAAGGGGGCACACATTCGGGATGGTGTGCGAATTCAAGTGGCGATAGTCCTGTACCGGGCGTAGTTTTCCATCCTTTTTTCCTATAAAGAAAAATGGGGCTGCTGTTTGCGAGGTGGATCGACGGATAGTTCCTCTTTCCAGATGTTCCTTGATGAATTTTCCTAATTCGTCGTGTTTTTCTGGGCTCAGGGCGTAGATTTTGGGCACTTGAGGTTTGAAGGTTGGTTTTAAGTCAATGGCATGATCCCAGTAAGTGTGTTCTGGGAGTCGCTGCGACTTTCGTTCGCTAAAGATGTCCAAAAATTCGTGATGCGCCTTGGGAACTCTTTCCTTTAGATTGGTGACGATGATTTCGTCTTCCAGGTCTTGGTCGAAGCTGGCAAATCCTGACGGTTCGGGGGCCAGTTTCCGAATAACTGGGTCCCGGGTGGCCTGTTTTCCTGAGGGTTTGTCTGGGAGATCAGGTTCTCCCTCGTTTGGTGAAAGAGATGGCTTGTCTTGCGCCTTTCGTTTCTCTTCTGCGTATTTCCTTATGTCCTTTAGGAGCCATTTCCTTTTGAGGTATGCTCGTAGTCGGACACCAAACGTTCCGCTATGGTCGCGGAGTCCTACATCTTCCGATAGTCTTCGGAGATGTTCTAGGCGCTGTTTTTCGCGCTCATTGATGCGTGGTTTGTGCCGTGGCTCCACGTCTGATAACCGCCTACTGTATGGCGGTTCTTCCCTTGCTCTGGTGAACCCATATGGTTGCTGGCATTTCTGGGGGCACCGATCAAAGTGCACTTCACGTCGCCTCCATTCGATGGAGGGATCGTGGTATTTCAGCCAATCTGTTCCCAGGATAAGGTCGTCTTTCCCTAGATTGGAGATAAACATCTGGACGCGCTCAGTATGCGTTCGTCCACTGATGTCCCGAATGGTGAGGTTCACATCCAAGGCGGATCGGATGAGACCTGCTTTGTTAATGGTGTCATCGACGTTCCGGACGCGAATGGGGTTGTTGAGTGTATAGGTGGGGAAACGATGTCTCTTGACCCAAGTTTCGTTTACTATAACCCCTTCGCAGGCCGAGTCGATGGTTGCTTTTGCTCCAGCGTATTGACTCCTGTTGGATACCTTCACGTTCAGGCGTATGGGGGTGATGATACAGTCGTTCATTGCTCCGATACGAATACAAGTGCGGGCATCAAACTCGGGTCGTCCTTGACCTCTCTCCTTCGCTGGTGAGGGAGAGGTCAGGAAAAACACTCCGCATGTCCCAAGATTACTTCTCTGGCTTCATCTTCTCCTAATTCTCCGAGCACTGCTCCGATTCGAGCAGAATGACTGACGTCTCCGTCTCCTTGTCGTCCGTTAGGTAGCATAGTGCGCTGCCCATGGTTCGTCTGGGGTCGTCCGGATGGGGTAGAGTGAGGACGTTCCATTGAAGGACCAGGTTGTGGTACCCGCTGGTTGTTGCGATGAACATCCTCTGTCTCCATTCCTCGATATATTCCCGCTTGGTTTCCCATAGCGGGTGCGTCGTCTTCTCCTTCCAAATCAACCGCGCGGCTTCTTCTCCCTGTTGTACCCATGCGTTTCTTCGAGTTTCCTCGAATCGGTCGAACGCCTCTGCGTAATGACGGGCAGTCAGCATTCCAGTGTCCTGTCTTTCCGCAATAGTAACAGGCGCCAGGAGGCTTGCCGTCATGTTTCCGTTTTTGGCTAAGGGCATTGTGCTTGCGTGTCGCGTCAATGTCCATGTCAACGACTTGGTTGTTCATTCTGCGAGGGGCGTTTGTGGAATTGTAGCGGGGAGAGATTTGGTTATGAAAACGATTCAGATAATCGCTTCGAAAGGAGGTGGAGTTGGCGAGGATGGCCTTTTGAGCTGTTCTGGCTCGAAGTCGTCCATCTATTTCGCAGGCTGTATTGATCCAGTCCTGAATCGTATCCTTTGGCTGAACTTCCTTGTCGTATATTTTGTCCATGACGCGCGGGTCTAACCCGCGTTGGAAGTAAGGGACTTGCTCTTTATCGGAGATGTCGGCATCGGCGGCGATGAGAATGAATTGGTTGGAGTATTCATCAACCGTCATTCGTCCTTGGGAGAAGGCCATAAGTGCGCTTCGCGCCTTGTCGGTCTTGCCCGTCTCCCTGAACTGTAATTTGAACTTGGCTAAAAAGTCCTTCCAGGTGCCTAGATCGGTAGGTGGATCTGCTCCTACTGATTTGAGGAGGAAGTTCTCCGCCCAAGCTCCCGCCGTGCCGTATCTCATGCATGAAAGCACAAGGGATATTTTGTCTTGATCGGTCTTGTACCGATCGGATTCTGCTGCGAAAAGAAGGAGGCATTGGAGCATGAATTTCTGGGATTCAATGCGGTCGCCTGTGTAATTGTCTGGGAGTTTGACTTTTCCTCTTCTGGGTTGTACTGTCGCGGAAGGGGTGTTTGTAGAAGTCGAAGCTTGTCCCGACATTTCGGCGAGTGGTTCGTTTCGGGTGTTGATCGGTGTTTGGTCTGGTGAGTCGGAGTCTGATTCCGAGGTTGTTTCCTCTTGCTCCGAGTCTTCGGGGATTACCGGCGCCGGTTCCCTGTATTGTGGGGCTAGTTCCCACTGAGCTTCTGTTTCGTTCCAAATATCCTCTTCTTCTGTTCCGTCTTCAAGGGTGAAGTAATAACGCCCGTTTCGGTATGAGCAGTTATCGTAATTCGGAGGGGCAGTTCCGTTATTGTCTTCGTAGACCCAGAAGTCCCCTTCGCGCCGGATAGGGCGATTGTTGTGACGGAGTTGGTTATTGATACGTCTAGTGCCGGGTGGATATCCCTGGCCTAGGTCTTGCTCCAGAGTGTGTGCAGTAACGCTTTCTCAATGGGGGTCTATATCCCCACTGAGCAAGGTTATGAGAGAGGGTGTGGCAGCAAGCTAGTGCGAGCAAGGTAGGGGCAGAAGAGTCTATTCTAGTGTTACGACTGCTCGTCGGTAACCCCAAGAGTAGGAGGTTCTTCCCTAGGTCACTCGTGGAGGATGTGTGGAACGGTGGTCTCGACTGTACGTGTAGCACAGGAGCCAGAAGTGTATTGCGATGTGGCAATGAAGACTGTAGTAGGAAGACTACAGTGGATGAGGGTGCTGTGGTAGGAAGACCACAGCGAACGAAGATCCCTGTATGTGAAGATACAGGGGAACGAAGAGAATAGACTGAAGATCCTCAGCCTATTCTATGGGCCTTTTATACTACTTTAGGAAGTAGGGCGTGAGAATACCGTATATGTATCCATAGGTATTCCTCTAAGTCGTCTCTCTCAATAACGACTACTCTTGTGTTTCTCCGTTAGTCTCCTTCCGGCCAGGAACGACTAGGAGCTCAATGCCCGATGTGTGAGTAGTTTGTAAGGCGGCGTTCCATGCCCGCTAATACAATAGGCCCGTGATACTCGACCAACGATAAGGTGATCCGTTGGGAGTGGATGACCAAGGTTGATATCTGTACCTTGGTGTACGCCTCAACCTGTGAGGCCGCTTGATATTTGTGATGATCGTGTCGGCATAGACCGCCGTTAAGGCCCGACAGAACGTGATCATAACAATAGGCTTGTCATGTGCACTTGATGCACTAAGAAAGGTTCCCTAAGCTAATTGTGATGGCCTAATAGATAAAGACTATTGTGCATCTTTGGGCTTGTACTAGGAAGTGTTGGTTACTGTTGATCCCATCTTAAAAGAGATGGAGAAGATGTTGATTGATGATTGGATGATGCTCGTCGCTGACCAGAAGGTCTTCTCTAATACAGCAGATAACTTTGGAGGGGTTCCAATGGATGACTTGATAAATAGTGAGTCCTTGATAAGTTGCAGAGATGGGAGAATGATAAGGGCTTTGAGATGGATCCAGTGCTTCATTAGACTAAGTATGTTTTGATTGATCTGACAGAGTTTGCGATGCATAGGCTAAAGGGAGCTAGACACCAGGCACAGTGCAGAGATCAAGAGGTATACAAAGTGCATCTGGAAAACCACCCCTTTGTATTAAGCTCTAATTAGTTTTATTTATGCATAATTAAGAACAATTAGGATTAGACATTTTTAGCTTACCCCCCCTCTAAACCTGTTATAATTAGACATAATTTTTCTAAATTAGGAATTATTAGGATTGATTATAACTTGAAATTTCGGAAAAATCATAATAAATCAAGCATCACAGTTCTCATAGACTTCTTATAGAGTCATGTCTATTAAAGCACTAGTTCAATACCTAAACACAGAATATACCTTATAACAAACTTGCCTTTTGCCAGAGTTGAACTAACAACCTCATGTATACAAGCACCCAGAACAGATGCTCTAAGCCACTAAGCCACAGGGTCTAAGATATAAACTCGGTAATCTAAATAAGTAGACATAATATAGGCAACCTCAACATCTCTGATTTTATTTAACATTTATCTTTCTTCTATCTTATAAATAAATAGGTCAATAAATACCTAAAAAGTCAGGTCTTTCAGGATTTAGTTTAAACACCAGCTAAGAAGATAATAAACCAATGGAAAATTAATAATACACTTTATATAGGATAAAAATAAATTATGGCACTTATACAATTTGGACTGAGAATATGTAAAACTATGATTGAGTGTAATATTCAATGGGACTCTACTAGTATAGACAATGCTACCTGAATTTGCAAATTTGATCAAAAACATGATTATAAATAATTAAGATCCAATAAGAGAGAGGGGTTTTCCAAATAGCCACTAGTTTGGTAGAGGGTAGGGACAAGAGTATATGTATGGCATGCCTATATATAAATAAGCACAAGATTGTTGGAGGTGATCTTAATATGCTTAATGCATATATTTCCTATATGGCAGGCAAATATATCATTCTGGCACCACATACCAATATGACTGTCTTTTCCACAGCCTAATAGCTAGAGGAAAACACCAAGTTTGAGCATCTTCTGTATAACAAGGCAATAAACAATATAAATAGTGCTAAAAATTGTAATATCAATAATGATGATGATTGTGTGCTGCACAAGACAGTATTAATCACTGTACTAATAGACAAGGTCTACAAGGCTGCATATAGCATATCCCTAAGTCCAGCCCACATGTTGTGTCCTATAATGACCAGTAGCAGGCATTGGCTAACAATAACAACTTTAATGATCTTGTGTACCTAGGTCTTCATAGCCTCTTGTGGCAGCTGCCAAGCTGCCAACAAAGTGGCTGGGGGCATCAATGCACATTTCTCTCTTTCTATATCCCTTATAAAAGCAGCTGGAAAGTCAGCAAAAGAGCTACAAGATAATGATATAGGCATATATGAAGGAGAGTAATATGCTGAAATAGTATAGAATGTGCCACATCTTTACCTTCTTACTGATAAAGCAGTAGTACTTACTATTTCCTACTAATAATCAGAGACTTCTTAGTATAGAATCAGTGCTAATATCATGAAATTAGAAACCAATCCAATGCTCACAATGTGTTGCTCCCAATTAGGAAATTAGATACTTTTAGATGCTATTAACACTTTTAGATACTTTTAGACACTATTAGATATAATCCGGAGCTAATACAAGGGGGTGTTTTTCCAGATGAGGAAAGACCAGATCCTACAAGACAACAACATGCAGCCTCTGTTGAGATATGGGCTAGAAGTATTACTCAGCGTCTGTGTAGATCACTATATATTGAATCGGTAAGTACCTAGAAGTATTACTACGTGATAGAAGCGTAAGTAAAAGTGACATCTATGTCTTAAGAAGAAGCGGGCTCACCTCAGCGTCTGTGTAGATCACTGAGGGAAGCCCGACACCGAAGGCGTCAGTAACTACAAGCGCAGTGGCTGAGAGCTGTATAGTACTTCGGCAATCTCCGAGCTCGTCAAGTAAGTACGCAATAAGTAAATCATAAGAAAGAGATGACAAAGGTGATTTGCCTCAGTCCAACACACCCCCTCAAATCTCCTGAAGTCCAATAAGCTCTATCATCTTCTCAATCTTCTGACGAGCCAGCGGTTTAGTAAATCCGTCAGCCGCCATCTCGCCAGTAGGACAGTAGCGTAGCTCAATGAAGTTCTTCTCGATAATGTCGCGGATGAAATGATAGCGGATGTCAATGTGCTTTGTGCGAGAATGGAAGGCATCATTCTTGGCAAGGGCAATGGCGGATTGGTTATCGCCATAGAGAATGGTAGGTGTGGTGAGAGGGGAGAAGATGTTGCCTAAGAACATACGGATCCACAATGCTTCCTTCGTTGCATGAGCGAGCGCGACATACTCCGCCTCGGTGCTAGACTGAGCAACAATTGACTGCTTCTTGGAAGACCAAGACACAGCGCCACCATCGAACAGAAAAACATAACCCGAGATTGAGCGTCTGTGCTCCTGACCCCCATGATCAGCATCTGAGAATCCCTCAATCCCCCGCTGCTCCTTCCCAAAAGTTAGCCATAACTCTCGTGTGCCCTTCAAATACCTCAGCAATCGCTTTGCGGCTTCCCAGTGAGCACGTCCAGGATTCTGCATGAACTGTGAAAGATATGACACCGCAAAACAGATATCTGGTCGAGCGGCAACGGCAGCATACATGGCAGATCCAATAAGTTCCTGGTATGGAACATTGCGCATCTCGGAGAACTGCTGCGGAGTGGATGGTGATTGCATCATCGTGAGGTGTGCGTTTGGATCAGTGGGAGTGGAGAGTGAATTTGCGGTCTCGAGATTAAAGCGTGAGAGAATTGTGTCGATGTACGCACGCTGAGACAGGGAAATAGTCCGCGCCCCGCGATCACGCTTGATCTCGATACCGAGCAACCAATGAATCTCACCAAGATCTGTCATCTCGAAGGCCCGATTGAGGGCTTCCTTCATAGCTAAGATGGCAGCCAAGGAACTAGCAAAGAGAGCAAGGTCGTCGACAGAGACAGCAATGATGGAAACACCCTCGTCGTCACGCTTGTAGAAGATGCCGTGTTCGACGGCACAGACCGTAAAGCCCATGGCGAGGAACGCATCACAGAGCTTCTTATACCAGCGCCGAGAGGATTGCTTCAAGCCATAGATTGTCTTGAATAAGCGACAGACTTTCTCTTCGAGGCCGGGCACTGAGAAACCCGGGGGTTGCTTCATAAAGATCTCTTCCTCGAGGTCTCCATTAAGGAATGCATTCTTTACATCCATCTGATGAATTTCCCAGTCAAAGCGAGCCGCAAGAGCGAGTAGAATCCGAATGGAGGTAAGTTTTGCGACTGGTGCAAACGTGTCTCCGTAATCGATGCCGGGGACCTGCGTGAAACCCTGTGCAACGAGCCGCGCTTTGTAGCGCGTGATTTCGCCGGCCGCGCCCCGCTTGATCTTGAAGACCCACTTAGAGCCGACGACATTGGCGTTCAAGGGCCTGTCGACGAGCTCCCAGGTGTTGAGCTTTGCGAGGCGGTCAAGTTCGTCTTGAATCGCCGCATCCCATTGCGGCCAGTCCGGTCGTTTCCGAGCCGCTTCCACGGTGCGGGGTTCCATCCCCTCGGTCGCTTCCGCTGCCATTGCCCACTCTATTCCTTCCCACTTCCTCCCCAGCATCTCTACCTCCTCCAGGACCTCTTCATCGGCCTCTTCATCGGCTAGGAAAGATTCCATGGCCGCTACCTGCGCACTATCGACAGGATTCGACTCAAGGTCTGGTTTGGGGTCCTCGGATGCTCGCATGCCACGAGGGACAGCTGGCGCTCGTGCGCTGCCTGTCGTCGTTCCTTCGCCTCGTTCAAGGCGTCGGATGTACTCGGAAGGCTTGGGAGTGCGACGGGGACGCGTCGTTTCGACGCTGGGAGGAGAATTGGAGCGCTTAGGGATGTAATCCGGGGTTACAGGTAGGTTTTGACCTCTTGTTGCGCTTGCGTCGAGTTGCGCTGGCGCCGCGTCGTCCTGCTGACCTCCCGGGATGCTTGTAGGCTCGCGCGACTCGGTTTTGAGCCGCGATGCGTCGACGGCATTCGACGGCGTCGTGTCTGGGGTGCCAGGCGCGCTTGCGCGACCTGCACCCTTTGCAGAGTGCGCCGGCGTCCGTGCGTCGTCGTTTGGGCTGTCATTATCGTCGATAATGACGTCCGGTACCGGTGAGTCGTCCCAGCGCACGTTGCGCTCGACGCTGACCTTCCGTTTCATCGGCCAGTACACCAATATCCCCTTGCTTTCAGCACTATAGCCGACGAAGCGTCCTTCGTCAGCTTGCGCGTCGAGCTTGCTCCGCCCCTCTATCTTCACCCATACTCGGCACCCCCACTCGTGGAGTCCACCCAGGTCCGGCTTCGCGCCGTGGACCTTCTCGTATGGCGTTGTGCCTTCAAGCGTGCGCGTTCCGGTCCGATTCCACAACCAGACGGCATGTGACATTGCTGCACCCCACAGGGACCTTGGAAGTCCCGACGCTATCAACAACGCGCGGCCGCGTTCTACAACGGTCCGTAGGAACCGCTCGGCGGTCCCGTTTTGTGCCGACGAGTCGTGAACAGTCTTCTCATGGACTGTTCCCTCGTCTCTGAGGTGGGATTCGAAAGCGTCAGAGGTGTACTCGCCACCGCGGTCGGTGCGTAGAGTGCCGATCCGAACGACGCCACGATGGCCCTTCACGAAGGCCTCGTGTTGAAGATAATGCTTGAAGGCTTCATCCTTCGAGCGTAAGAGTTTCAGGATGATCTCTTGCGAGAAGTCGTCCATAATGGGCATCGCGTAGCGATAGCCAGTAAGGGAATTGATGGGTGCGGGGCCCCACAAGTCTGAGTGTAAGAGCTCGCCATAACGTTTTGCGCGCGGTCGGGTCCGTTCCTTCGGGAATGAGACCCGTGTCATCTTCGCCTGCACACAGGCAGTACAAAGCTCCATTTCGGAGACGAGAGCGTCGAGGGTGATGCCTTCGATGACTCTTTCCTTGACCAGCCTCTTTGCTGTGTCCAGGGATATGTGACCCAGGCGACGGTGTAGTTCCCGCGCTGATAGCACGAGGTTGGCATGAGCTTCCTCGTCTCCCCCACGTGGTATCAGAGGGGTGCCATCGGCGATCCTGGCGGAACCTGCAGTTCTCGAAATTTTTTGACTGACGACTTTGTACAGGTTGTTTGACCGCGGAATTCTCGCGACAACATGATCGGAGGGGTCGGAGATCCTGCAGATCCCCCCTTTCAGATAAATGGAGTATCCAGCCTTGTCGATGCGACTGGCCGAGATCAACGTGATCGCGATTGACGGCGCGTACAGCACATCGGATAGCCGCACGGCGGTCATGTCGTCCCCATTTGGGAGCATGACTGTAACATTTCCGCGGCCAGTTGCCATGAAGGTACGTTTGTCGGCTGCGTAAATGGGTTTGGATGGGATACTGACAAAGTCTGTGAATTCTTCTCGATAGGGTGACATGTGGTGACTCGCGCCCGTGTTGAGGCATCGGACACGTGTCATGGACGAGACGTCGGGGCCTGCTGTCAGTGCCGCAAGGTCAAATGTTGCCGTGAATCCAAATTCGGGATCTTCAGCATCCTCGGCAACTGCAAAGTTCCCCGCACTCTGGTCCGTACCCTTCTTGTGTTGGCCTGGCCGATGCATGCCTGCCGGCCATTGGCCTTCCTTCCCGCCGCCGGGTCGGAAGCAGTCTGCGGCTATGTGGTTGGTAAGTCCACAGTTATAACACTTCTTGCCACTCGACGACTGATTGCCCTTCTTTCCTTTCCCGCGTCCCCCTTTTCCTTGTTTACCTCCGCCATGTGAATACAGCGCCGTCTCGTCAGACGGTGCCTTCTTCTCGAGCCGACCTTGAATGCTGCGCCGGTCGTGCTCCTGCGTGAGGTGCTGAATGATTCCGGAAGGGGTAAGGGGCTTCGAACTGAGACTCGAAGCAGCCGTCATTACTGAAATAATGGACTCGTAGGACTTTGGGAGAGAGGAGAGAATGACAGCAACAAAGTCATCGTCGCCGAGAGCCGCATCCATGCCAATGAGCTCGTTCTGGAGTGCGATCAAGGTGTCGAGGTGCGCACGGACATCGCCGCCCTCTTGGCATCGAGAATCGTGAATACGCCGTCGAATGTCAATTTCGACCATCTTTCCCCGCTTCTCCGCAAGATCGCAGAGCGCCGTCCAAACTTCCTTGGCGGTTGTCTCCCCTTTGATTCGATTGAGGATGGAGTCGGGGATCGTAGAGTAGATCTGCTGCTTGATGGCGGCTTCTCTCTGATTGTATTCATCAACCTTCTCAATAGCCTTGTCATACTTTTCTAGAACATCATCTTTAGCATCTTCGGCAGGAAGCTCGGGCTCTCGTGGTTGCCGAGCAGTGCCAGCCAGGTGTCGCGACAGCCCTGTCTTTGATTCAATGGCTGTCTGTACCCGATCCTTGTAGATCGGCCAGTTTGACAGATCTTCTGAGAGCTTCGGAACGGTAGTGACAGTGATTGAATTGGCGAGCGACATGGCTTGGACAGCAGGGCCCATAACCTGTTGAGATATGGGCTAGAAGTATTACTCAGCGTCTGTGTAGATCACTATATATTGAATCGGTAAGTACCTAGAAGTATTACTACGTGATAGAAGCGTAAGTAAAAGTGACATCTATGTCTTAAGAAGAAGCGGGCTCACCTCAGCGTCTGTGTAGATCACTGAGGGAAGCCCGACACCGAAGGCGTCAGTAACTACAAGCGCAGTGGCTGAGAGCTGTATAGTACTTCGGCAATCTCCGAGCTCGTCAAGTAAGTACGCAATAAGTAAATCATAAGAAAGAGATGACAAAGGTGATTTGCCTCAGTCCAACAGCCTCGACCCCACAGAGAGCCCTTTTTGTTCAGATTTTTTCAGGCCTAGGGATCAAAAAGCCCCAAAATTTTCCGGATCGGCCACCCGGCCTCCCCACCTATTTTCGGGGGTCCTGCCTTGGCCACCCATCGGCACCTCGGCCACCGTTAGGAAACACACGCGAATGGATAAGAATATATTTTTACGGTACACGTACTTATACAGCGCTACAACATCTCAAAAAGGGTGACAGCCACAGCACAACAGCACCGGTTTCATGTAAGGCCACCCTGTTTCAGGATACCCGAAGCAACCTCTTTCCCCATCTTTGGCTTCGAGAACTTGCCGTTGAAATCCAGTCGCAATAGCAGCCGTTCGACATGTCGACGCACGTCGCCATCACCTTCAAACCGTTTCCCGTCTTTCATCCGAATAGATGTGTGCAGGTGCGGGAAAAGGGAAGTGTTGACAGTGTTGCTCAGCAGCACGGATTTCGAGGCATCTGTTCTCAGCGACTGCTGAGATGTCGAAAGCGACAGCTGCTCATAGAAGGCTTCCGTCAGGGAATGAAATACCTGTAAACGAACGTGAGGATACAAAAAAGGTGTTCAAACAAGATTTGGTACTTCGTTGATATCCGCCACTATTTTCCAACGCTCCTTGACCATCTCGCCCACTTTGTCTCCACCCTCGGCCAGGCTTCCTTCAAATAAAAGGGCTGGAAGAATGTCACCGCCCCACCGCTCTACCTGCGCCACGAATTGCTCGCACAACTCAAAGATAGGCCTAACTATCGCCGTCAATGCCGTATTAGAGAGCAGAGTACCTGTCAACAGTCGTTCAAGATAGGTGCTATGCATATTGCGCAGGGTAGAGAAATCGAGAGGTGCAGAAGCAGCGATGGCATTCGGGTCAAAGAGCGAAGAGATTGATTGGGTTGTCGGAGGAACGGTCTGTGAAGGGGTTCGTTCTCGTCTTGCTGCCGGATCTGTGTGACCTCTGCTCTCTATCTGCGGGTTGACCAACAGTCGCCTAAGCCTCCGAAACTCGACGTCGACGACATCTGTCATCACATACTCGAGCATATTGTCCAGAAACCAGCTCATCTCTCTCACAACACCCCAGCCACATCGTAGAAGGAGCTTTCGATCGTCGAGGTCTTCCACCGTCCCCCCTTCTCCGAGGCCAGTCCACCGCCGCCTCGCGCGCTGCGAATTGGAAAGAGAGGTCCAACAGGCATGTATCCGGGTATGAGTTTTGCGAAGGGACGACAGATAAGCAAAGAGGACGCGGTACGTTTGTAGATCATGTGGTTGCAAAAACAGATCGAGCGGCCACTCCACTTTGTAACTGAGGCACAGTGGTGTTCCAAGGAGGAGGTCATCAAAAGTGGTCTCCTCAAGAACATTGCTATTGATAGAGGATGCAAGGTCCTTTGGTTCCTTCAAGGTCGGAAGAAGTGGGCGAAGGGGTCCAGAAGGAAGGTGGAAACGGAGGCGGGATAGAGAGGGATCAAGCTGAGCACTTGTCCCAAGCGAGGCTCGCAGGAGCGCTAGCTGAAGATCCTGCTCCCGAATAATAGTTGAAGGTCCTGTACGGCCCGTTAATCGGGACAGCTTTAATCGTTCGAGTTCTCGAATCAGCGAAAGGCTAAATTCACCATTGCGAATAAAGAAGTAATTCGCACTAGGAATTTGAGTGAGCGTAATGATTAACGCCAAAAATGAATCACGACATACAGGGAATCGACAGCATCTTCAACGTCTTTTCGAGTCAGCACATGAAGCCAGAGCCATTCGCTGATATTTGTCCGAATCTCAGCAATAACCCGATCAAATTCGTACTGATCTTCGGCAAGGACGCCTTCAAGGAGCTGTGTATGCTCCGAAGCAAGACTTCTAGGAGGCTGCTCTTGCCATTTGGCGCTTTTGACAGTCCCGATCGCACGACCAACGTACGCAATCGAGTTGCGTGACTGGAGAGACACGCACGATGGAATGGAGCCATCAAGAAGAGTATAATCTTTTGAAGCCAAGGGCTCTGCAGATGATAGAGTTCCATGAACCAAGAATGCGATCAACTGTGTTCGCCAGACACGCTGTACAGCTGATGAAAGACGAGAGACGATGGCTGCGATCCGATGAGTACCGGTCAGCGAGCGCATAAGAAGCATGTCAATAAGAGGGCCAGGTTTCCACTCAGTCTGAGACTGAAGTTGATCAACCAGGGACTCAAGGGCAATGAAAGGCGCGTCCCATTCAGCAAAGGCTGCACGGATAGAAGAAAGTGGCACAAAAGATCCGCTTGCAACCAGGCTCGCATCGCGCTTGAGCACCTTCGCCTCTGTATCAATAACGAGAGTCTCGTACTCGTCTTTGAGTATCTGGTTCAACGTCGAACACAGTGCGCAGATGTAGCGCGAGGGTGAGCGCGCGAGGAGGGAACATGCGCGCTTGATTTTGCGGTAGCGAAACGCGATATGGCCAAGAGCTTCAAGACATTGCTGTTCGCCTGGATGAAGGAGGGATTGGAATGCGGGGTGGATGGTATGGTCTTTGGGGAATAGTGAGGACGAATGCCCAGCCAGAACGAGAAGGACTTCTGCAATCATGACATAACTTCGTCCACGCCGTCAACTGGTAGATATCAGGCTTGTTTCGTTCCACTCACCTCACCTTGGAGCAACGTAATTATCCTCAGTGCTCAGTCCTCCGTATCAAATATAGGGCAAGTAGCCGGTTGGAACGCAAGACTTGTTTGACAGCGTCCAGACGCGCTCAACGCGTGAAGTCACGTGGATCATGCAGGGCGTGCTGTGCAGCTCGGCGTAGCTCGGCGCCTCTGCGCGGAATGCCCATCGTTCACAACGCTGACGGTTTTATTCAAGCTTAGGAAAACGCGATGAGCCACGGGGACGCGTCGACGAATGGTGATAACAACATAGTCACTCTAGAGCGCGAGGCCAAGACTCCGCCGGCGGCGTTCTATCTGGATGATGCTTTCTCGGATGGTGATGAGCCGGAGATGCCTTTCGAATTTTCCTCTGCAACGATTCGTGCTGAGCTGGGAAACTCCTTGTCTCCTCCATACGACGACGTGGAAGGGGTCGAAGATGATTGGGTCAAGGAGAAACAGTCTTCTCGCATCACGGACGCCTCCGTTTCCACCCTTGACATCAATGGCCTCGAAGAGCGTTCACCTTCGCAGTCGACAACTTATTTCACTTTTCCCAATTCTCGCTCACCTTCAGCTTCTCATTCATCCCCGCCTGCCATTGACTCTCGACAACTATCTTCCCAATTTGATCAGATTTCTCTTAACTCTCCTCATCTGGAGCGCGCAGAGGAGCGCATCCACGAGGAGTCCCCCGTCGAAGAGAATACTATCACCGTCATGGATGAACATTCTAGCTCTAGTGGTGATACCGTTCCGCAAGATATTCGTGATCGTGAGGAGCACGATCCCGAAGCGAACACCTATCCCACCGTTCACATCGATGCCTCAGTGTCATTTCCCGTCGTGGTCGAAGTCACACCCAGCTCACGTCCAATCTCTCCAGCGGTTCACTTAGACTCCCGAGCACGGGCCTCGCAAGAAAATCCCAGTGTACTCTCTCCTTCTGAGCCCAATCCGAAATCCGTTTCGACACCATCTCTTCCCATGCATTCTCCTTCATCGTCATTAGCGAGCGCAACACTCCCTCGACCGTCTTCCAGCCACAGACCTACTCGTTCCACAGGTCCGAGTATGTTTGAAAGAGTGGTAAGCAAAACACGGCCAACGTTCTTACCTCCCAAAAGCCGCGAGGAGGATAAGAAGCATATGGCGGATTGGGAGAAGATGATGAGGCGAAGTCGTGTTGCTGGTGAGTACCAACCGTAAACGGGGATCGGCTTAAACTTCGTGAAACTGAAACGAAAACCGATCACAGAGGAAAAGCGCCGGAAAGCATTAAACGAACGGAGGCTTGTACGGGAGCTAAGAGTCGAAGAGTCACTCCACATCTGGGAACATGAAATTCTTCCGGACTGGCGAGTTGTCAACAAGAATCCTGCGCTGCGAAGACTTTGGTGGGCTGGAATACCAACAAAACTTCGAGCAACGATGTGGGAACGCGCAGTTGGAAACTCGTTGGCCCTGAGTAAAGGTAGATACTTTGCGTTCAATCTGAGAATTCTGATGTTTTTAATCACGGGTGTAAGATACATACCGGACATGTCTCGCTCGGGCTAAGCGCGCACTGGCGGCCGGTACATTCCCGACAACTACCATAAGTCTGATCGAAGACGATGTCTTGAACACGCTGCCGTCTCTACACATATTCCACCCAGAAACAGGACCCATGTATCAGGATCTCAAAGACATGCTCTATGCATGGGTCGTTGCACGATCCGACGAAGGCTTGGGATATGTACCGGGCGTCGCCAGGATCGCAGCTATGATCGTCTTAAACATGCCCCCTGTGCAGGGATTCATCACCATGCGCAACCTACTAGAGCGACATTGTATGCGTTCATTCTATGGCGGTCTAGCGACAAAAGACGATGTAAGTGGTTTGGAGGTCCATAATCGTCTTTGCTTTCTTACATTGACCATACAGCATCCAGGTTGAAGCGTATTACAGGTAATGAAGGTCTGCCTTGCTCAAAGAGGGCAATTCACTGAGCATTAGTAGGATTTTCGACACTTTGTTGGCCGACGGGATGCCTAAAAGTGAGACGGGTTTAATGCCTGCAATGTCAGGATACTGACCATCCTGCAGTCTACTTCAACTTCAAACAACACCAGATATCGCCGTCTGCTTATCTTCCAGATTGGCTGATACCTATCTTCCTGGACCATCTTCCGTTCGAAGCGTGTGCTCGAATATGGGATGTAATTCTGCTGGAAGGGGACTCATTCTTGTACCGGGCTTCTTTGGCAGCTCTAGCTGTCCTAGAGCCGCGCCTATTCTTCCCTGACAAACAAGAGCTTATGGATTTGCTACGGTAAGCTATGTTCACATCAACGTTGAGTTCCTGTTGACGCCTCGGTCCCTACAGCGGCGAGAATAAAGCGGCTTTGGAGGTAGCAAGGCGGGATGGCGTGCCATTAAACGGAGGGAAATACGAGATATATGGCGTCGATGAGGAGACGCTGTGGGACCGTATTGGCGCTATGGACGACTGGTGGAAGGAGAGCACTTGGACAAGATTGCTGACAAGAGAACTGCCGGACTTGTAGAGCGCGAAGACGTTGTAATAGGCATTGATTGTCTCTGTACTTCTATCCATCATCATATCTATACATTTTTGCGCCGCTGATATTTAGATGACGTGGACAGATGAAAGGTGGTTTTCGGAGCCGCATCGGGCAAAATTGGAAGCGCATCTGCGGATCCTTCCGGTATTGCTTCTGGCCAGTAGCCTAGATTCGTAATTCCGGTTCTCTTCCACTCCAGATGCTTCTTTATTGCTGCGCATGACGTCTGCGGGGACATAACTTCGCCTCACGAGTGCCGCCCGTCGCGCTGCAAGGGCTCAATATCCGGTGTTTTGATCGAGAGTGATGAGATTCCAGCCTCCCCTACGCTTGGTCTCAGGCTGTCGAGAACCCTCTGTGGCTCTGTCTGAACCACGTCTACTCGATATCACGCCACGGCCTACGCTTTTTCGTGTCTTTCATGTCGAGAGCGATCGAGCAGCTTCGAGCAGACTCTGGAAATAGGCCTCGACGACTCTGGATTGACTCGTAGCTCATCTGTGATTTCTGGCTTTCCTGGTGTTCTCGAACCTCGCGATCGATGGTGTGGCCTGTTGCTGCCTTTCGGGAGGCATATAAATTGTCCCCCAGCTGGGCCAGGACATCATCAGTCTCAAACACTCCATCGCATCCTATCCTCACTTAAAGTCTTCCTCTAGACTCATCCTCTCGCATTCATCCATGCCTTTGAGTCTCGTCTTAGCCGCTCGTAAACCAGTGAGCTCCCGTTTATTTGAACTGCAATGACCGCTTCTGATGCAGCGCCCTTGTGCAGTCTATCATCCTATTTGGCACGCTCGAGGCCCTTCTCGCGGCGGCTGTGTGGTCACAGTATCGGCAACCGAGGTATGTGTGCCTCTCAGTCCAGTTTCAAGATACGTGATTGACTTCGTGTCCATGTGGATGGCAAGCATACTTGTGGGCAAGCCCAAATCGCATATTCCGCCAGCGAAGTTCTGGTGGTGATTCCGATTTTTTTCGCAAAGCGGATCCCTATTATTTTATACATACATTCATCACATCTGTAACATTGTAACATGGCATAACAATTCAGCACTCGAGGTTCAGAAACGGTGTTCCGTTTTGGTCATAAAGCAAAGGGAGAGCAACAAACAAGTATAAAGCATCAACTAGCATCGATAGGCCTATCTTCCTCGTCGTCTTCATCCTGGTTACTTTTCCAGAAAGAGTACAATTTTCGTCGGTTACTGTCTCTAGTGTCTTGCTCGCTAGCAACATCAAATAACTTCCGCAATAATGCCTTCCGGAGTGGCGACCTCTCCATCTTCCCCTCGCTTTTTGGGTCCAGCATACAGGCATTGTCCAATAGTGAAGCGTAGTCAACTTCCAAAACTCGACGACGCTTTGCGCTAGGTGGCTCGTCTGAGCGTATAGTCGACAGTGACTGAAAAAGGGGATCCAAAATGGCTGATTGTATGCGTGAGTAAGTGGTGTTGGAGATAGTGCGGGAGGAGAGGCTGAGGAACGGAGAGAGGACAGTGACGAGAGGTGTAGGGGTGGGCTCGTCATCGGATTCGTCAAGTTTTAGTTGAGAAGCAACAGCTTTGTCGAGCTCCTCCAGGTAGATGTCAGCAAGGTGGTATGCCAAACTTGATGGGACGCGACTATCGTTCACACTTTGTGGGACGTCAATAATGCTCAATCTGAGGCAACATAGAAAGTGTGGTACCATAGTGGACCGCCTGGACCAGCCAATATGTCATTGTACTCTTCACACCAGACAGAGTTCCAGTTGCATCTCACTAAGAGACGGAATGACGCATTCGCGAAGCGACGGATGAGCATGTAGTATTTGTCGATCCTAGGGCCAGTGAGTTAAGCATCGCTCTGCGTGCTGCAGAAGACGTACCTGAGGCGATCGATACCATTCCACTCGCGGACCGTTGTCTCCCAGAATCCTCTGAGGAAAGCCAAGGAAGAGGCTGTCGACTCAATGGTCAAGATAATCTCCGCGAGCTCACTTGCCAGAGCTTGTTGCACAAGAGGTTTATCTGACATCCAGAAGCCTGAAAAAATATAATATGAGAGATACAGTTTCATGCGAGGGCGGACAACGCACAGTAAAATATGCCCTTCCACAATTTATCCATGTCATTTTTGCGAAGAGGAGGTCGGGACGAGTCCGAAAGGAAGATGGCGAGGCTTTTGATGGCCTTGTCTCGCGTTTTCTTGTCTTTGGACGTGTCATTGAAGAGTTATTAAGCATCCGAGTATAAGACCCACCAGTTGAAGCCAGATATTTGCCCAAGGGAGGGATGCCCGCCGCCGAGCTCGATGCAGAAGCCATTCTGAAGGACTTTACTTTTTCTGCCCAAACTGGGCGATCTTCGCTGTTTGCCGATGAATGCATAATGCCCGCAATTTGTCAGCCTCTTGATTGACGCCGCATCCGGGATTGGTACTTGCCTAACGAGCCACGGAAGGCGCGCTTGACCGACGACATCTCGCTCCTGTCTTCGACAACCTGACGTACGACAGATACTTGAATTGCCATTCCTTTGGGTTCCGGTGCTTCAAATATATACTGCTGGCCTGATCTAGACGGGTGACGTCTGCTTGTTCGAGAATGCCTTCATGCAACCCGTCGCCGATTCAACCCCAGGCGCTGCCCGCTCACGTTTCTCCGGTCTCAACAGGGTCCGTGTACAGGATTTAAATCTTTCGTCCCTTACTCGTCGCGGTGCCGGTCACGTTCGTCCCATCCAAAACACGCTGTTATTTGACTTTGGAGCCCCTGCTTCTACGTTAGAACATGTACACATGTCCCGTGGCGCGCATGATGTGGGAATCCCTGTCAATGCCATGTCTGCAAGCGCCAGCAAACCATATAAGAGTGATACACCTTCGACGGTCATTGATCGTCCCCCTTCACCATGTCTGAAACAACCCCATTGCTCGAGAACAGTCCGACCATCACAGCATACTCTGATGGGTCTGCAACTGAGTACACACCCTCATCCGCGTCTTCTCGTACATGGATTCCTCAAGCACGGTCTGATCGTACCCTAGTTTTATGCTTTGACGGTACCGGCGATCAATTTGACCAAGATGTGAGTGCTCTTGGCTTTGTATGTTCAATCCTGTTCGTTGTAGCATTGATACTGGCACTCGTAGAACTCGAACATCGTCCAGTTTCTGGCTATGCTCAGGAAAGATGATACCTCGAAGCAGCTTGTCTATTACCAGGCTGGGATCGGGACGTACACCAACCCCGTTCTGGTCACTCCTGTTATCTCACAAGTATCGGAAACTCTGGACGAAATGTTCGCATGGAACTTGAGTGCGCATGTCAAAGGTACGGTATATCGACTACGATATCTCTTTCCCGAGAATCAGCATCTGAAAACTCTGACACCACATAGGCGGGTATGAATTCTTGATGCAAAATTGTGGGTCGTTGATCCTCGATGCGTTTTCATCCCACTCATATCTCCTCCAGATGCTGCCGGTGATAAGATCTGTATCTTTGGCTTCTCCCGCGGAGCTTACACAGCTCGTGCACTCGCCGGGATGCTCCAAAAAGTACGTATCCTTGCACTGACATCACCGGCACCAAAATAAACAGGTTTTTTAAAGGTTGGATTATTACCGGTCTGCAATCATCAACAGCTTCCTTTCGCCTACACGATGTACGCGCGTGACGATGAGGAAGGCTTGAAGCTCAGCGTCATGTTCAAGAGGACATTCTCTATTGACGTGAAGATCGAATTTCTCGGAGTTTGGTATGCCATATATATGCTCTGCCATCCTACAACACTAACTTCTAGCCTCAGGGATACCGTAGCATCTGTGGGGCTTGTGCCTCGCTCCCTTCCCTTTGTCGGAACGAACAGTGCGATCCGCTTTTTCCGACATGCCCTTTCCCTAGATGAGCGCCGTGCGAAATTCATGCCGAGTTTCTATATCCAATCCGCCGAAAATGTACACTTGACGGCTTCTCCTCGTCCTGCCCCTGTTCGTAGGCAAACGAGTCAGATCAAGGCCTATGAGGATGAGGAAAACGCGAAGAGTGGATTCACTACGGATGTGCTAGAGGTGTGGTTCGCTGGGGTTCACTGTGGTATGTCCGCCTGGCATAGTATCCGTCGCCTTATGCTAACTGTTGTGTGCAGACGTCGGAGGCGGTTCCGTTCGCAATGGTGAACGTCATAGCCTTGCCCGCATCCCGCTTCGTTGGATGATACGCGAATGTTTCGAGGCCAAAACAGGCATCATTTTTGATGCTCACATGCTTCAAAATGAGGTCGGTATGAATGTGGATTTTGACAAAATGTCGCTCAAACCTCTGCCTCCACGATTGTCTCCTCGGCCTGAGCTCAAGACCCAGCACATCCAGCCCAACGACGACATCCCGTCGTTCTTCTCGTCGCTCTGGAAATTCGTCTGGAGTGCCGTGTCTTTCCCATTCATCCTCCTAACCAGCCTCATCACAGGCGGAAGGAAACCCTCAATCAATCTAGAGCCCAGACTAAGGAGCCCATTCCTTGATGAGGATGTCGAGGAGTTGCAGGATGCTTTGAGTCCAATATATGACCAGCTCCCACGCCAGTGGTACTGGCGTGTACTCGAGTGGATACCCTTGCATGTCAAGAAGCAGAAGGCCCTCGTCGCTCAGACGGACAATGAAAATGACTACGTCTGGACGTAAGTGTACATCATATATCGTGAGCTTCTAATCTTACCAACTGTGATTTTTCCCTAGCATCAACAAAGGCAGAGGTCGGAAGGTATTCCGACACGTTATGGACCGACAACTCAAGATCCACCGATCCGTGAAGACGAGATTGGAAGCTCTGGACGCGGCCGGGAAAGCAGGGACGTATATTCCCCAGATCCGTCCTAAACTCACACATGAGCCTGCGCGGAGAATGACACATCAAGATTGGAATGTCAATGAGTCTACATGGTTCAAGTGGTGGGACTAGATGGACGTATCGTTCAGTCTGAAGCGCGGGGAACTTAGTGGCTTTACTACGGCGACTGTCCGAGACTCACTTACGATTCTGTACACATCTCGTGATTGATCAACGACGTCATTGTGCTTGTTTCGACGTCAGCGGCACTGCAAATGTGTCGATCAGAATCATTGCATGGATTATTCCCCTTGGCTCACAACATTGTGTACTTGAGTATCCTGAACCTCGCCGATTAGCCCATTCCACAAGCTTTCTGAGCTCATTATCGCGCGCAACCTTTTCAACGCATCCGTTATGTCGAAGTCTCCCATCACTTGTCATGGTGAGCACACATTCAAGTCATCGATCTAGCAGCTCATGTCCACACTCGATAGTTCTCGATTCATCACTGGGAAAGCCAGCGACGGGTGTTCAAGTGAGCCTTCAAGAGTGTTATTCTCCCGCCTTTGACGGCGGCCCAGTCATATGGGAGCCTTTAGCCCACGGGTACGTTCATATTTGCGTGTTTTCTCGCCACAATCTTACTTCCATCTGCAGGGAGACAAATTCGGATGGCCGGTGCATGGATTTGCTTCCAGCTCGTGGTAGTGAAGAAGCCAAGGATAAGAACGTGGAGCTCAAAGCCGGAAGTACATACAAAATTGTGTTCAAAACCAAGGATTACTTTGAGAGATCAGGTCGGCGATGCTTCTACCCTTGGGTCGAGGTATTAGTTTTGCACGAGCCCCTCCTCTATCCTATTGAGTTGTTGGTTGCAGATACCGTTCGAAGTCCTCAATCCCACGGAGCATTATCATATACCTTTGCTCATCAGCCCATACTCTTATACAACGTATCGTGGCAGCTGAGCGATGATCCATTGAGCGCGACATCTCCGTCAACAGGCACGTAGATAACAGAGTATTGACAGACTAGATGTATATGTGATGGGTGGAAGGCGAGACTTCTGCTAGCTTCCTACCTTATTCGATCTTTATCTATCTATCCAAGAACAATTGATAGAAGTAGAGAAACAGTATGAGGCGAGAGATAAACGAAAGCAAGATGACAACGAGGAGAATGCAAGGAGAAAAAATACAGAAGAATGAGCGTTATAGTCGGGATTACAAGGAGTTACAGTGCCATTATCTAATGAATACTTTGTCATACTGTACACCCTTCACATAGCCTCCCCGCATAGAGGCCATAACGTTGTGAATGAACTGATCTCGATTCCTGCGTAGATCTTCAGCAGCCTCTGGAGAAAGACGTTGGTTCACGAAGAGTGAGAGAGGAGAGGGGAATACCTTTGTTCAAAGGGTCGTCCGCGTTTGGCTCGAGGAAGAGGTACTGCAAGCCGACCATAACCGAATTCAAGTTGAGGACTGGCTTCCAGTCTTCTCTGAGAATGTTGAGGCATACGTTGCCCTCGAGATCAACGTTCGGATGGTAGATCTGATGATAGACGAAAGACGTGTCGGAACATTGAGGAAAAAAGAGACCTTTGGGAAGCAATCGTTCACTGACTGTTTGTGTGCATTTGACTTTTGGAGGCTCGTGCGGGTAATTGGTGTTGATGACAAATGAGAAAACGAACGCGCCTCCCTTGTACATGCCTTGAAGCAATGGAGAGATTTGTCAGTGGATGAGTGATCGATCGATGTAGGGGTGCGCACCTTCATCAGGAGAGATGGTGAGAGTGAAGTTGAGGAGGTTGCTAGGATCGGGAAAATATGTCTTCATAGTTGGTGGCAAATCTAATTCGGTCAAATCTTTGCGAGACAGTTGGTTATTCGTGCTAGATATTGACGAGGCTGAGAAATTCAGGTGTTCAACGTACCTTTCTGCACGCGAATCTGAGCCGCACTAGTCTTGGGCTTCTTCTTCGCTGCCGCATCCTCATTCTTCTTCATACTCCAGATCTGTACCAAAAGCGTTAGAGAGATGGATTCATACTGAAAGCAAATTACCTTGATCATGGTGCCCTAAGTCGATGGGTTGAGTGGTGCGATTGCGGCGTGAGGGAGATCGTATAGCAGTTTGCAGACAAGCAAGCTTGTAAGTTACTATCACGAGGTCGATTGTCACTGGGCCTCGGCAGCGTCCGAACCGCGTGCCCTCATCGCAGCTCATCGCATGGTATTCCAGGAGACCGTTATCTGCCATTTGACCTGAACCTCTACAAGTCTTTGTCGCCTGAAAACTTTCCTCCAACTCAAATTCTAACAGTAAGGAAATTTTATCTTTCTCAAATATGATTTTTTGTCTCGATTTTGACTGGCGTTCGATGCGCCGAACTTATCCAGATTCAGAAATATTATATCGCTTTGTCATGGCGAACTTACCTGTCATCGACCTGGACTTATTCCTCTCTCAACCGCTGGAGTCTCAAGCTGTGCAGGATGAGTGCAAAAAAGTGAGTAGATATTGAGCACATTGCTCCCAAAAGAGTCTTACATTGGTATCTTTACAGGCTGCCGATGCGTTGATTACCTATGGCGCTCTGTTGCTTAAAGATCAGCGTGTCTCTGAGGATGACAACGCTAATTTTCTGGATCTTCAAGAGGATTACTTCGCCCAGCCGATTTCCGATTTGAAGAAGGATGAACGCCCCGAGTTTAGCTACCAGGTCGGCGTCACCCTAGAGAACACAGAGAAGCCCAAGTGTGCAGTAGATGAGCCGTGCCTGCGTGTCATCGAGCGGTTGAGTCCGTCAGAGAGACCGCTTGATATCACAGCACATCAGCCCGACCCCAAGTGTAGGTTCTTTTGGAAGATGAGCGAGAAACCCCCGTACGAGACCAACTACCCGGGTCTGAATGCTCCTAATGTCGTCCCTGATGACGAGGCTTTGAAGACTCGCTGGGCTCCCGTCATGGGAGCCTGGGGCACTTCTATGAAGAACGCGTACGTCCAGTAGGTTTCGTGCATGTGCTCTATTGAATCGCGTCTTTTAGTGTCCAAGGGTTAGCTCAAATGGCTGCGATGGGCATGGGCTTATCTCGTGAAACGTTCACAGATGCGGCTAAATATGGGTATGCCAGAACTGCCTTTGAGGAGACGTATGACATCCATTGACCATGATTGCATAGACCGCATCTTCTTGCGCCAACCGCGTCTGACCTTGTCAAGTACGGCGAGGTCAATACTATCCTCGCTGGATTCCATACAGACCTCAACTTCTTAACAATTCATGGTCGATCTCGATACCCTGGTTTGCATATTTGGGCTCGCAACACAGGGAAGCGTATTGCAGTGAAATTTCCTTCGACCGGTCGCTATTTGCTCGTACAGGCGGGCAAGCAACTCGAGCATCTCACAGGCGGTCTTGTCAAGGCTGGGTACCATGAGGTCGTTGTGAACGAATCAACAGTCGCTGTACGTGTTTCATTGTACGGGGAAGGTTATGCTCTAATGCCTGTTTGCAGACCATCGAGCGTCGCAAGATTGAGAATCCTGATCGCCCTCTCATTCGCATCTCCTCCACGTTCTTTTTCCACCTCTCATCGGATTATGATTTGGCTCCTATTCTTTCTCTTGCTAAGAAGGCTCAAGATATTCGTCTTGATGGCCAGAACCTTGGAACCACGGACAGCGTGGAAGACACTGTCTACGAAACCATGAAAGTTGGCCAACAGGTCCAGAAGTAAGCATCCCTCCAGAGTTCTTTACCCACATTGAAACTCATATAAATGTGCGTGTAGCGAATTGCGACATATCGCCTTGATGGCATGAACTATCAGAATCACCGTCGAAGTGAAATGGGAACAAAGACGCCCTTGTTCTTGATTGATACCAGTCTATGTTTTGTCCCTCAATATGTATTGATTCCAGGATCTGGGTGGCTTCACAAACACTAAAAATGCTTTGAGTATGGGGCCTTCGTCGCATCGAGTTTGGTCCTCATTCTGCAGCACCAAGCGGAACGTAGCGGGAGGATATCAGAGGTTCACAACCGCATAGCCCTAATCTCAGACTAGGTGTCCCACAAGATGTTCCCGTCTAAGAATTACGTGCACTGCGTTCTTCTGAATGGCTGAGAGATACAGAAAGACTGTGTGAACAATGACCGTGTTATTATCACTGATTATGATCTCGAATTACCAAGAGGGACATGTCCTCATGTTTTCCCTTTTTTACTTTTTGCCAAAGCGCGTTCTTCTGCTCGTTGCTCTTTGGAGTGTTTCATGTCTTTAGGTGCAGTAGTACGGAGTTGCTTGATGTGTGTACGTTCTAGCCCTGCGAGAGCAGTCGGAGTGGATAACCAAGATGCCTTGAGAATGGGAATCGACTCAAGAAGTCCATCAAATTGCAACTGATGAGGGAGAGAATCCTGACCCAGCAATTGTTGAACAGTACGTTATAGTCACAAGGAACTAAAAACTCACATCAATCGCAAGTACTGCGGCACGTCTGAGGCCAATGGCCTTTGCAAGCGCCAACTCCGCCCCCTTAGATAGTGGAACCAGCTTTATCGAAGAAGATGAAGCCGCCTTTGGATCAGAAGAAGTAGAGATGGAGTTACATGTTGCTATAAGCTGCGGAAGATGAGCCACAAGAGCTGGGGGGTCGATGTCTGCACAACAAACGAATACAGCTCGAATCGGCGGCCGCAGCGCAGTATCGTGCACCTGGTGCAACGACCGAGCAAACATTTCGAGACGTTTGGTGACGTCGTTAATACCAACGGTGATGTGTCGCAAAACTGAGGGCAAAGGGGCTGATGATAGATCACCAAGATTCTGAGACTCTAGATCCTCATCTGTTACGCGGGATGGTCTGTCTTGCCGAGTTACCTCGCCTCCAAGTGCTTCGTGCACCGCGTCAGATGGTGATTCTCCTTTCTTCCGTTTCCGCCTTGCCCCTGCCTCATCAACTCGCGCAGCCTTTCTCTTTCGATGGGCATGATCGGACTGAGTTTTACGATACTCGCCAACTCCGTCAACCAGCGCGACGAGATGCGCTAGTATGGAGCTTTGCATTTCGACGGGAACGGACGGCCTGCATGATGGATAAATCAAGAAGGCATGACGTGTAAATTCAATGAGATACGACCATTGTGTGTGGAAGGGGTTGCCAAGGACGCTCTTATGAACGATTTTGCGCTCCAATGGGGCACGGGCCTTGGCACGTAAGGATATGGCATTGTGTGTCTTCGCAGGATTATTCGACATATTGATTGAGACAAAATTCTAGGTGGTGGGGTTGAACCTGGTTGAATGTTGGGCGTTGGAGCTGTTGATGAGACGGCCAATCGGCCCAGCCCGTATTACTGTGGCGTAAGGTGGCGTAAGGTCGCTACATCACCCAGTTTAGTCTCCCCAGCAGACTGATAAATAGTTGATGACGAATCAATTGGGTGGGTCTCTCAATTAGGCGCACTGATCATGTTTTCTCAACTTCCCCACTTCGTCCCATCCAAATTCTGGCTGCCGCTAGAGCCATATGTGTCTAATGGTAATCCAGAAAAGCCAACAGATGGTCCGGAACTCGTGCACGAAGATATGATGCCTTCATGACTCGACTTCACTGCATCATGGACTGTTCACACAGGTATCAGAGCGATTTTTACATGTTCAGGTTCGTAACGGATCAAACGGTGCTCAAGGTCCGGAGCGTGAGCCTCCTCAAACGCGTTTCCTAGAGATCCTCTGTTTGTGCTGCACGTCGATGCTTCTCATGGTGCATGGGCGCTTCATCCGATAAGCGCCGATGGGCGGCTCCCATGACAGTCAAATCACCCTCAACGAATAAACTGCGTCATGAAAACCCTTGCCCAGCTTGTCTAGGCTCTTCGGTTGATTGAGGCCCATCAATCCACGGCATCCAATTAAAGCTATTTTTGCCATATACAATGCAGCGGAACGCATTGGTCTTGTGATACACTAAGTATCCTGCAGCTGTACCTGTTTGTTCGTGAGTTCCATGGACTGTTGTCCTGTGTGGCTGATTTGATTTCTCGCATTGCACAGCTCGTGTTATGCCCTGTCAAGCTCATATAGGCACGCGACGATTTCAACGGATATCTGATGGCTGGGCTTTGAGACTGCTTTGAGGCGGGAATTAGTGAGCATTTCATGACTCGACTCTCCGACCCGGGCGCTAAAGGCCACGACGATCAATATGCGGCGTCGATGCGACACGCCCTCGGAAGCCTGCGCCCGCAAGTGGATGATGCAGTGAGGATTTGACTGTTTCCTGTGCTGTTCCATATTTGCACTAAAGCAATAGCCAGAGCTGTGGACTCGGAACACAACCATCCTGGTATGTGGGAGCCTCCGCGAGCGGGCTTTGTTACATCCCGTTGCCATCCCTTGAAATGGGATATCCATGACTCGTACCATCGGGGATGGAGTCAGAGAGCTGTCTTTGGTTTTCATTAGACATCAGGACAGCCTGTGCACTCTATTCATATAAAGACGTTCGTTTAATCAACCATTTAAGCATTCTTTCAAGCACTCACCGTTTTGCATTATGCCTATCGCTATTCCCCAAAGTCCCATCGTCAGCGTTTTCCGCCATTCCTCGGCGCTACCGCCCATGGTTTGGGACGCGTTTCGTCAGCACGAGCGCAATGCGAACATAATGTATCCCCATGCTATTGCACACTTGACCGCACCGAATGACACCTCTCGTCCTCAGCTCTGGCTCACATGCTCATCATATCACTCTTCTACAAGCCCATTCACATTAGACTTCGTGTTGTCATGCACCGAAGGACCACTCGGCTCATATCCCATTTTCATCTTTACCACCGCTCCGTTCGACACACTCCTCGACACGATGTATGTGTACCCACGGATAAAGGCTCTCGTCGATGCACTTTTGCAGAATATCCCCCCTGAGAGGGTATTCTCTGTTTTCGCTCAAGAGCCGGTCACCCGCGTTTTTACTTCCCTTTGGGAGGCAAACACTCAAATTTCGAGTTATAAGACGCCATACTATGCTGCGAATTTGACGTACTGCACGAAGCAGACATTCGTCAATCGAAGCACAACGCTTATTCCCGGGATCTCATTCACTCCAAGGCTCGCTGTAGAAAGTGACATCGACGCCGTGGCATCCCTATGCAAAGGTTTTGCGGCTACCTCTGTGAGTCGTCACTTATCCACTGAGGCTAAATCATGTGATATTGATTGTCGCCCCCGATCAGGAACCTTTCACGCTCTGCAAGAAAGGTGCCAAGAAGGACGCAAAATATCTTATTCGCCGTAACTATCTTTGGGTGCTTGAGGCCAAGTGCGACGGAGAATCTTCGGAGATCGCGTCAATCGTTGCAGCGACGCGCCGAAGCGAAAAAGTTGCAGCCATCACTAAAGTGTACACAAATCCCCGTTGGAGGAAGAAAGGTTGCGCGGAACGTCTAGTGCGCTGGGCCTGCAGGCAGCTGTTGAAGGAGAAAGAGTATGTTGCTCTTTACGTCGCGCACAACAACCCTGCTGCGGCGGGCGTTTACCATCGAGTCGGCTTTGTTGGTTTGGGTGACACAAGCCAACAGGTTGACGGCGTTGACCCTTGGTTAGAAATCGGCTTCGATCAAGAAGCGGTTCGTCTTGGACATTGGTGACAAACGTGAAATCTCCTTTTCCTCTCCTTTCTTCAGTCTGCATTGCCACACCCACTTATATTTTATCATTAGCATTGCCTACTTTTGACCATACTAAAATTATATCCACAAGCCGGACTTTGATCGGACAATCGCACTTACAATCTTTGTGTATACCAGTCCCCGCACCTCCATATTTATTACTTATTGCTAGTAGTCACCAGCTCCTGCACAATCCAAACTCCCGTCGTATCTCTAAACTTCTTGAAGCCTTCTTCCCACGGTCGGACACTCCCGGTGTGCACATCAGTGCTCCGACAGCGGCGGTATATTATCGCCGTTGCTAAGCACTGTCTACCTCCTTTGATAGGCCTTGCAACTCCCAAAAAGGAACAAGCATAGAAATGTGCCACCGGCTGCGCAAGGGCTGCGTTCGGTGTTTGGTTTCATCAACAAAGTCATCTTGCGTCCTAACCATGATGTTTCAGACTTTCGGCGGTCTATTTCGTCTTCACCCGACGGTTCAAGTTGACATTCGAAGTCAAAGAGCACTTACAGATCTCAATAGCTCTAGCGTCCCTTGGCTTCGTTCAACATCCTCTTGCGCTTGACCTTTGGTTTGCCCCGCAATGCTGTTGACTGCGCATACCCCCGTTCCCCATGGACCAGACCATATTGATGCCGATAGATATCAAATTTCAACAGCACATACTAGAGCACCCACCCAGTCTAGCTCTCGCATGACAGTTGGATCTTCTCTTGAGTGTGTTTCTTTCGCTCCCATCGTTATCTCAGTTGGTGCTATGTCTGGGCCAAATTTTGGAGGGTCAAGCGATCTTGATGGCAATCTGCACAGCGAACTCAAAGGGACAGGTGCACCCGCATACATCAATGATGACGTCAAGGAGCTCAATGGTCTCAGCCATGCCTTCAGTCGCGATGATGCAGAGCATCGGCATACGGATCTGGCCGTAGACACTTCGGAACTTAGCGAATCTATGATTTCTATTCAATCATTAGCTTCTCGAGCATGCTTCTCGGATTTCAAGGAACAATCTGATCTTCAGAGGCATGGCACTCTGATCAGCACTGGGGCTCATCCAGCAAGAAAAGCTGCGGAGCTGACGAATCTTCTAGGGAACTGCAATGCAAAGCTGAAACCTGGTGCTGTGGTTGTCTCGTCTCTAAATAGTTCCGCGCGGAGCTTGGGCATCGATGAAACAGATCCTTCTGACACTGTTATCTTGGAAGGTGCGAAAGCTCGAGCGCGCGTCGACGTCGACATCCTTTTATCCAGCGACTGCTTTGTTCAAGGGCAATGCCTCTCCGGACAGGTGCTGGTGCGCGTCCGAAAGTGCTCCAAGAAAGAATCGCGTGTCCTCCTGGCGGAAGGGAAAGTCCGCGTACTTGGCTTCGAGTGCTTACCCGATGGCATGCACAAGCATCTGTTCTATCAATATACACGAAGACTGGAGGAGGTGAGCTACGCTGGCGATCAAATCTTCGCAGAATGTGTGGAGGATGGCGACGAAGAAGGATTCAGACTCAGTCGAGAAGGCGTACATGTTCTCCCGTTCGAAATGGATTTGCCTGCAGAGGGCGAAAACGGCAATGCGAAAGGAGCTATTGATATCCACGGAGGCATAGCTATTCGATACATCGCCATGGTGTATGTTCATGTTTGTTGTATCTTTGAATTCTCATTCTCATTCCTCGTTGACAGCTCCATCAAGGTCAAGGATCAGGACACATCTGAATGCTCTCTTGCGCACTTCTACCGGTCATGTAATATCTGGCCGCATCTTTCCATGCAGACCTTGTTGGCGCCGGCGCCGAGGCCGCTCATCGCCACTGCCAACAAGTCCCTCTTGTTTGGAGGTCGCTATCCGTCCAACAGGCTCAAGCTGACAGCCCGTCTCCCACGCCTGACGTATCTTTCCGGACAACAATGCTATGTACAGATACGTGTGGTAAACGACACTCGCCGCGTCGTACGTGGCGTCATGCTCGTGCTCATGCGGAAGACGACGACATACAAGCCACTACAAGACAAAAACACCGACGATGCTGGAGCATATAAGAGTACTGTCTTTGAAAAGGAACTGGCTGAGAGTAGGCTCGAAATCGGTGAGCGCGGCACGAAAGGCCATGCCAGTGCTAAGGGGTGGTGGACGGGCGTGGGTCCCGATGCCGATATGGAGTTTCAACACTCTATTCTGATTCCAGTGCGTGTGCTATGCTGGTCTGGACCCTTCATTTGTTCATTGGGCCCTGCAGTACGATGCCCTCTCCATTTCACGATCACGTCTCCTTGCAGTGGACTACTCCATCCGTGTTACGATATCCGCTTCTTCAAGCGCACCCGGCTTCACATCCGACGTCTCGGTGATGCTACCCATCCGCATCGCTAGCATGATCTCAATTGATCCTCCTCCGTCTCGATGTGCGCCCCATGATGTCCTTTTCATTGATGGCTACACTAAGACGGTCGAGGCGGCGGAGGTCAACGTTCAAGATCCGGAAGCGGAGGCAGGAACGCTTCCCTCGTATAGGAGTCGGGCACCCTCAATCTCGGCCAGGAAAGCCTTCACCGATGAGGTACGTGTACGTTGCAGATGGTTGTGTAGGTAGCAAATTGAGTCACTGATTGTTATTCCATGTGGTTTCCTGTTCGACAGGTCCCTCAGTCAGCAAGCGCAGGAGAACAGCCTCCATACTATAAGTCTAATTTGGTAAACGCCGCGTCATCGTCTGGCTCACACGTCGGTCGCGGGCCCGGAAAACAAGGACGCCCCTTGGTAATCGCCAATTCCTCGTCTCCGGAGGCTCATAGCGCTATTTTGGCCCTGTCTGAAAGGCACGAAGTAGGTGCACAGCATGCGGAGGGTTTTCCCGCATGTCTCAGCGGATCTAATCTGTCAGAGCGTGAAGGTACCGCCGACCATGACGTCGGTGACCTCTTGTGGCGAGGGGATATCTTGTTTAGACACACGGACGACGAGGCCGCACCCGAGGATGGAGATAGGGCTTCCGAACACAGGGATACCGAGCACTCGGATGCATGTCTCGGTTTCGCGGGTGACCAGCTCTCTCGCCCGCTTCCGCCCGTTCCCAGTTCCCAAACGGTCGCAAGTGCTTCCCACCTACTACCCTCTCGCTCTTGTGGAATCGAGGGCCTGCCGGGCCAAGCTGTGCTCAAGAGGGGCCCCAACGGTCCCCGCAGCACGTTGTCTTACTCAGCTGCGCATACAGTTGACGCCAATACTACCAACATCGGTCTGATTCATCATCGCTCGTCTATTTGTGAACATGACTCGGAGACGTCCTTTGCCAAACGCGTTCGTGAGAAGCTCGCCCGAGCGCGAGCCGAGATGGCGGAAGCGGCTGCGGGGGCAAATCCGGACTCGGAATCAACGAGTGGGCGATTGAGCAACGCTCCTGCATCAGTAACGGAGCCAGGGTCGTCATACAGGCAGCTGCAGCGTCCTTCCCCTACCCGTGCTAACGATCCCATCTGCAAGGATCATACTCGATCCTTTCAAACTCAACTGTTCCCGACGGGCAAGCAGGGTGATCATCTATTGACCGCCCGCACAACTAGCGTAGGCGACACCAATCCGCCCAAGGGACCCCCAAGCACACCGTCATCGGCGTCTGGATCTGTGCGTGATCGAGTGATGATGCTGGAGGAGCGGACGCGGGCTGAAATGGAAAGTCCGTAAGATGAGGTCCTAGTAGAATAGGTACGGGGTATTTAAAGACAGAGTTCGTCCATGCGGTAGATGCGTGGAGAAGTGAAGAGTCGGAGGGAGTCGACAGTCTCCTTTTCAAAGACTGCGTTTTCCAATGCTTCGAGACGTCGTAGGGCAAGTGCAACACAACGAATTCAACCGTTGGAGCGATCGTTCCACTTACGACCTTGAAGAGAAGATGTACTGCGACCTCATCCACTTCTAAGAGGAGTGCTTTTGACGAAGACGGAGAATCTGCTGCTCTCTTAGTCGTGTTCCTTGGGGTACCATGGGAGTTCATTGATTTACGAAGATCAAATTCGTTATCTCTTTGCTCTGTTAAGTCAAGCAATGACCGTTCCGCCGTTGGGGTGCAATACTTGCCCACTACAACAATAATCGAATGAATCAGAAAAGTTGTCAACAGGGTAAGAAGGACAATGCAATACGAACGACATGTAGCTTGAGTCCGCACTAGAAAGAAAGACAAAGAACATCGCGATTTCAATCGGCTGTCTGCACGGCCGATGGGTGCCCGCAAACCGAATGACTCTTTCGAGTCTTTCGTCATCGTCGTGACGATCAGAGGCGTCCAGATTGGACCAGGAGCGACCGCTATGTGAAATGAAGCACATAGTATAGGGTTGTCAGAGCCAGTTCCCTTGAGGACCTAAGAGGTAGTCGCTATATGCGTACCGTTTACCCGAATGCCGCGCTCAGCGACGATTTGATTGCTGAGGGCGCGCATGAAACCAACAATAGCACCCTTGGTTGCAGTATAATCGACAAGCTTGGGGTGTCCTTTGGCGAAGTTGATGGATGCGTTGAACGTGATAGAGCTCCCCGAGGGCATATGTAGTATAGCATGCTTGACTATAGAAAAAGGCATTGATGTTGGTGTCAAAAGTCTCGTGCCAGTCGGAAGATTTTAGGGTGGTGATGTCGGTATTGCTGTGCTGGACACCGTGATTCAACACCCTGTCGTGTAGAAATCGAGGGTGAGCAGAAACCATATAACGTGATAGCCACTTACAATGTGTCGAGGGTGCCTTCATGAGCCTGGATGTGCTTCGCGACGAGGGCTTTGCAGTTGTCTTCGGATGTCAGGTCTGACTCGACCGTCACCACTTTACGGACATCGTTCGTTTTCTCCTCGATCATCTGAACGGTGCGCGCAATGTCCTTTTTTTTCTTGGGAAAGGTGGGCCAAGGTGAGATCGGCCCCCTCCAAAAGTACACCTATGTTTCAGCACGAATTCAATATCATTGTAAAGGGGAACCGACCAAACAAAATGGCAACAGCCCTGCCAATCCCGCTGTCCGCTCCGGTGACGAGCGCCTTTTCCCCTTCCAACTTCCCAGCGGCCTTGTAGTGCTTCCCATCAGCTGTAATGTCGCTGATAGGCTCGGGGTCGAGTTCCGCCTGAAGATCAGGGAGATCCTGATCTTGAACGGGAAACTTGAATCCACGTTCGAACTGCTTTGGAATCTGAGACATGTTGGAAGCAAGGTGGGTGGTCAATTCTCCATCGAAAGGATTAAATACTCACCGAGGTTCAATGCGCCGCGATGTGACGCCAGGCCGAATCAGAGCCCTCGTCACCGTGTAAGTGTCGCAACACGTCCGAAAACGACGTCGACGAGGTCGTCAGGTTTTTTGTATCCGCATCATGAGACTGTCTCTAGAACAGATTAGAATTCTGCCACTTTGGCAGAAACGCATTCCAGCCATCGTGGACGTCGAAGGGCCAAGGCAGAAAGCAGACCGATACGAGAACGAAATCGAACATGGAGAAAGACTGTAGGACCTGGTGTTCGGTGCCATGACTACAATGCAGACCTCCTCGAGCGATATCTCACTGGTGACCTCGAGCTCTCTGTTGTACTCGAACCTCACAGATATAGTCTCAGATGTGCGCGCAAGACTCCCACGGTGTGCGCACGAAGCGCTACGAGCCTACGAAACGATGACGTCAGGCCCTAAAGCAGGGTCACGCAGGCTTATGCGAACTGGGACGGTCAGCGTTTTGCACTACACCCTCTGTGGCCATCGAATCAATCCAATAGGGCGGACGGCAGAGAGCTGCAGGGAGCCAACCTGAAATTGAATCTTGGAGTCGACGCGCGGCAGCCTCGTTGCCAGAATCCACGACTCAAGTGGAGCAGCGGACGTCTTCCCTCACCCAGGCCAAGGTTCACAGCCGTGTCTGTGCCACCCCAGGATTCCGCGCTTTCATTCCAGACACAGCACAGTGAACGCTTCTGTGCCGATTCAGCAGTCGGTCCTGCGGTCCCTGGGACTTTTCCGTCTGACTTTCACATCTTATCCTTCTCCCATCTCCACCACTCACTTACCTCACCTTCCCCCGCCTCCTTATAACTTGCCTCGCTCTGCTGCCCTCCTCTTCCTCATCCATCATCCCGCGTTTTCCCCACCATGTCCCCCCACTCTTACCTAGGTCTTCCCCCCATCCCACAGGATTTAAAACCCGTCACATCTTTTTTACAAAGGGCGGACGAGCTCAAGGCACAAGACCCTATAATTGCATACTGGTGTACGCTTCACGTCTTTCACATATCGCTCGCTATCCTCATGCCCGTGTCATATAGGTGCGTACTACGCGGCTCAGGTCGGCATTGCCCTTAAAGCGCCCGCACCTGCTAACCGGGCCTTCCTATCGTCCCTCCTCACCGCACTCGAGTCCCTTCGAACGACCATCGGTCCCTCTGACGCCGTCGACGTCGAGTCCGCTTCCTCAGCATATACCGAGAACTTTGCCCTTCGTGTGTTCACTTTGGCCGACAACGAAGACCGTCGCGGTGTCGCCACCCGTTCCACGGCCAAGAAATTCCTCGCGGCTGCCACGTTCCTCGAAGTCCTCAAGGTTTTCGAAGACAAGGGACCGTGGAAGGCGGTAGGCGCCCCATTCACTTATCCGATTCTTCTCCCGCACTGACGCTCGCCGTTTACTCACTACCGAATCAGCACGAGGATAAAGTCCGTTATGCCAAGTGGAAGGCGGCAGACATCGCCAAGGCGTTCCGGGAGGGCCGCAAACCGACGCCAGGCCCCGCCGATGCAGAACCAGAGGAACAGCCCTACGAAATGCCGTCTGTTCCTTCGGCGATAGTCTCGTCCCAGACCCCATCACCGTCCCAGGACAGTCAGCGTGGAACGCCCCCAAAGACCCAACGGGAAGGCGACCATCGCGCGCGCGTCAGTGGCGAGCTTGAAGGACGCGAAGACGACGGCCTCTACGAGCAACCGAAGAATGCTGCCCACTTCACCCCACTTGCCTCGACATCGCTACCGAAGACAGCTGCATTCTCCGGACTGCCCACCGTCGGCGAGGAGTCTTCGATGCCCATCACATCACATCCAAAGCCAGCGTCTATCCCCATCGCAGGCAGAGGCGCAAGCGGCAGTTCACCGCCGTCGTCGGTCTCTTCCTCTGGGTCTGGATCTTCGAAGAAACGTCGCTCACGTACGACGTCGCTGACAGCGTCGAGTCCACCGACAAACGGGAGTACTGTTCCAACCCAAACACATGGGCACAGACGCGATCGCACGGGTTCCATCGGCGCGTCATCTGTGACCTCAGTTACGGGTGTGTCCGCACCCTGCAGGTCCGCATCGCCCACGCATTATGTGCCCCGCGCATCGCCCACCAGCGCAGGCTCAGGTCCGGGCGTATCATCTCCATACGCATCGCAGCAGCCGCAGCCGCCATATAACTCGTCGAGCGCGGTATATCTCTCGCATCCTCCGCCCCCGCCCCCGCCTTTACAAGAGTTGACGCCATCTATCATTGCCAAAGCGCAGAAGCATTGTCGGTTTGCGATTTCGGCGTTAGACTATGAGGACGCCGAGCAGGCGCGGAAGGAGCTGCGGGCAGCGCTCGCGATACTGGGCGAGTAGGTGCTATCTTCCGCGCTTCTATCCCTCGCGATATCTCGGATGCTTTGCGGCGTGTGGTATTTTCAAGGGGCTTTCATCTTTCATTCGTTTCGTCTATTCGTTCGTTCAATTTAGGCCGTCGGTGTTATTCTGGCTGTTTTGCTCAATGTATTGGGATAATCATGCATCTCCTCTTGTCATTGTAGTACTGTGCTGTCTAGTTTGGCTCGGTGGACCGGGTCTAACTCTATGTTATCTACTCCCATATATAAATCCATACGCGATCGGTGTACTCAGCTGCTTGCTCGGCCTGCATTCCTCGAATCAAGCTCCCAGCTCTCTGCAAGTTGTGGTCCCACGTATCAATTGATACATCTACGGATTGAATTGCCTAGTCGGCCTAATCCCTTCGAATCAAGCTCCCAACTTATGTCTGCGGGTTGTGGTGCCCGTCTAGCATGCTCATTGGGTCTGTAGTAATCCTGTCCTAATCAATTTAGCTACGAAGCTTCGCGAGAGACGCCGGCGTTCGCGTATGGTGTCATGTGGATTAAAGCGAGTCATTGGAAAACTAACCTCGGATCGAAGGTCCATCTATCCAGCGCTGAAAACGATCTCGACCCGTTCACGTAACTGGTAGTCTCTGATCTTCGTATACCCGGCCGAACATAACATCTCCCAGATCCTAATATCACGCCAATGCTTGACGGAATACATCTGACGGGAGCACTTCCAGCATCTCAAATCACACGCGATCCACGTTCGACTCATCTGATGACGTCCAACGCGTCCACGACGCGCGCTTTCACCTTCAAGATCCTCGCTTCCAGCGCCTCGAAGTTCTCCTTGTTCGCCTGCCACACCTCGAGCCGCGCCGCGCGCGCCGCCACGTCCTGTGTGACGCTGTACCGCATCATCTCGCGCCCGGACGACTCGGTAAAAAAATCGAGGAGTCCGCCGCGCGTCGAGCAGACGACCTCGAAGCGCGCGAGGATGCGGCCGGCGGCGTCGAGCACGAGGAGGAGCGCGCGCCCGCGGAGGCCCTGAGTCGGGTTGCGGCAGTCGGTGTGGACATCGCAGAGGAGCATGCCGTCGCGGTAGAGCGTCGCGCGCGTCGTCATGGTCTTGTGGTCGCCGACAGATTCGGATTTGTAGACCTCAAGAGGTTCGGTGGGTGTGGGAAGGGGCGGGGCTAATGGCGAAGGTGATGATGAAAGAGGCGGTGGGGACGATGGAGGTAGAGAAAGAGTTGATTGAGGAGGAATAGGAGAAGGAGGGAGAGGTGGTGGTGGTGGTTGCAGCGCAGGCGGTGGTGGAGAAGGTGGTGGTGGTGGTGGTGGTGGCGGCGGCGGCAGCAGCAGTGCAGGCGGTAATGGAGAAGGTGATGGAGGAGGTGATGGAAGTGGTTGTGCAGCCTGTGCGGCCTGTGGACGAGGTCGTTGGCGAATGGTATTCGTGTTGCCTTGCTGGGAGTCAACTGCGGTCCCTGCGGATCCCATATCGATACGGACATCCCTTGGAGGTTCCCTGTTATGAGTTCAACTTATGTCGATGAAGAGTGTACAGGCGATGGAAGGGAGCTTACTGGTTTCCTTGCGTCAAGTTTGATAGAGGTAGTTGATTGTCTTTCTTCAAATCATGCTTCAGAGCCCTGATTCCGCTCTCGTCAGGATGTGTCCAGGAATCAAACATGAATGCAGACTCATGTGCTCACCAAAATGGCAAAGCCATCGCAACAAGCGACAGCCCAAATGCAATGTACTTGAGCGCCGTGTTGTTGAACAGGCTGCCCAGAATAGCGACCACCAAAGCGCAGACAGCGTTTAAGAGCGCACTCCACAGCTTCACCTTACCCGCCCGAGTCAAGCTGTTGTATTTTCTCGATAACCCAAGATATGGCCTCCGAACCACGGCCCAAGATGGCATGTTGGACGCACACACTAGGATGAGAGACGATGGTAGGATGGAACGAAGGTCGTTCAATTATAGTCACCATGACAGATACCTTCTGGCCGTGGACACCGCATGTTGGCCATGAACAACAACATGCATCATGCAAAGGACAGCGTTTTCCCAAAGCAGTTCGTGCATGTAACGTACGTACATGTGGACCCACGGCGCAGGATGAGACGCACCTGTCAATCAGATACCGTTGACACTCTTCTATTACGAGTGTGAAGATGCAGCACGAGCTAGATTGTGTGCGAATGTCGATGTCGAGGAATACCACCCAGCATCGTGTGGGGCGGTACGAACAAATTTGGTACTGGAGCATTGGCATTGGCTGACACACAGGAGTGAATGTTTCGTCATTTCGTGCGACGTGCTTTCCTTAGGAATAAAGGGTCTACAGTAATAGACATGCAACAGGCTACATACCTCAATTCTCAGCTCTGTCCGCTCAAATCCTCTGAGACTATTGTCGATGAAATGACACGTATATCGCTGCAGTTGATAGACCTACAGCTGAAGTTTAGCGTACAGCTCAAACTTGGGCGAGAGCGATACTTCAGTTCAACGTCGAGTGAGCAGCGACAGCAGGCGACTTTAAACATATGGCAGATCTATCCAAAGAGTGCCCTGAACATAGGTCGACGGAACACTGAAACAGTGGTAAACCTAAACTAGTAAGTTATGCAAAGGAGGTCTGAGAGGAGTCGGAGCGAAAAACGGGAAATTGCACGGAAGTTGGTAGAAACCCAAAATGGAACAAAATTGTGAGGAACAACGGAACTTCATCATTTTCTTTCCAATTAAGATGGAAGGGCATCCATCCTGGACGCATACCCACAGGGAGTGTTTCGTCAACGCAGTTGGCGATCGGCTAGCGCTAGCAGTGTCTCCAAGAATTCCGAACCAAAAAATTTTATATGACGGCGGCCACGGCACGCGTCAATTTCTCCACCTGTTTCATAACATTCCCAAACTGTGCCTCGTCGGCTTGCCACACTTCCAAACGCGCAGCCCGTGCGGCCACTTCCTGCGTGACGCTGTACGTGCGGGTCTCTTGCCCGGACGACGGCGTAAAAAAATCTAGGAGCCCACCGCGAGTCGTAGCGGCGATTTGGAACGTTGCGAGGACGCGCTCGTCGCGATCGAGCACGAGGAGGAGCGCGCGCCCGCGGAGGCCGTGCGTGGGATTGTCGCAGTCAGTATATATCTCGCAGAAGATGGTTCCATCGCGGTAGAGTGTCGCGTGCGTTGACATCGTCTTTCCGGACCCGACGGTTTCTGATTTATGGACTTCGAGGGGTTTCGTGGGCGGAAGCGGGAGTGTCCTCATCACCCCGCCCTATCAGTTCATCTTCTCATTGGTACATAGTAAATAGACGAGGCTCACTGTCTGTCATGCGTCAGACTTGAGAAAAGAACTAGACCGTCTTTATTTAGATCAGCCCTAGATCCACTTTCGTCAACACTTACCTAGAACAGATGAATGCCAAAGGCGCGTGACTTACCAAAACAGCGTACACAATGCGATGGACATCAACCCGACCACGACGTACTTGAGCGCATAGGTATTCAACGAGATGCCGACGAGAGCAGGTTCACGGACTTGGAGGATTGGGGTGGATGGTGGGCGGATCAGAGCAAGCGTCGGAGGCGGACGCGGGAGGGATTGTCCGAGTTGTGCAGGTTGCGTGCGGAGTCGGTGTCGAAGGGCGTTCACGTTTACCCGCTGGATGTTGACTGCCGTCCCCAGGGCGGTGCGGACATGTCTTCAAGGTTTCCTATGAGCCCACTTTGCATTGAAGAACAAATGACTGGAGAGGCTCACTGGCTTCCACGTGTCGAGCTCGATGAGAGCGTTCGACGATCTTTCTTTAGATCGTGCTTCAAAGCCCTAGGTCCACTGTTGTCAGTACACGTGCAGGGCTCGTGGACATCACAGGCTCGAATGCTCACCAAAACGGCAGGACCATTGCAATGAGTGACAGTCCGAATGCAGCATATTTGAGCACAGTGTTATTGAACAGGCTTCCTGTGACGGCGGCCACCAAAGCGCATACGAGATTAAGGAGCGCACTCCATAGCTTTACCTTTCCGGCTGCAGTCAGGCCGTTATATTTTCTTGAAGATTGGAGATATGCCTTCTGAAGCGCGTCCTTAGTCAACATCTAGGCGGCACACTGGGAGAGAGAAGGTGAGGGTGGGCTCAGGATCCAGGCGGCCAAGGAGTATAGGTACTGGTCACATAGCCATCGCATCACCTCCTTGCCTTGGAACACAGCATGTTGGTCTGGGACCGTTAAGACGAGGCAAAGGACATGATTCTAAAGGCTTTCCATTCTAAGCGGTCCGTTTACGTACATATGGACCCATGATGGCGCACACGAGGGGTATGTCAATCGAAACTTCATGGACGTTCTACTACGATCGCAGAAATGCAGCGCAGGCGACATGCTTGAGACTGCATGCCATAGGAGTGGTGCAGAAAAAGAATGTTCAGAATCGCGGGCTTCATGAGCATATACCTTCACACTTTTGAGGTGCTATCAGCGATCACGAATGGCGACATCGGGGAGCGATCCCAAGCGGGGCGAGCAGTAGAATCAGAGCGCTGAAAGAAAGTCAAGTGTCAAACAAATGAGGCGGCAATAACAACCGAACGATATGAAACACGACACGCACCCTCATCGTCACCGACCTATATGTGTACATGTACACGCAGTCACGGTGCTCACATGTGAAAGCTGCCAGTCTCAACATTTCCGTCTGTTGGGAGTGGACTGTGAGCGCTCACGGGACTCTCCAAGTAGAGATCGTCATGTATGCGCGGCGAAGACCCATCTAAGGGGAGGCGCAAGAGTCCAGGTCGGTCGGAGCGGAGCATGGAGGGCGAGGAAGGTGTCATGGGTGGTGCGGTGGAGGTAGTGTTGGAGCGGGATACGGCAGCGAAGTCGACAGTGGGAGGTTCAAGGGCGTGGAACGTCGTCAGTGCCTGTGAAAGCGCGTCGAGCTACATGGCAGAAGGTCGTTGCCATTTACATTGTAGGATCGCGGTCTGGACAGGAATGCACGCACCTTGTGCATAATGCCGTCGATCTCAGCTTTACGAATCTCAAACTTCTCTTCTGATTTCTCGAACTCATCCTCCCGCTCTTGCAGCCGCCGCTCTCCTGCTTCCTCCCCTTCCCCTTCGATCCCTTCGGCCCCTTCCTCGGCCCCATCCCCATCTAGCCTTTCTGTACCGCCACCCCTCCGACCCGCTGCCCCCCTCGACCCGCTTGGCTTACCCAGACCCACTCCAATCCCCTCCATTGTCACATGCATGCCCGCGATTTCCGCCTGCAGGCTTCGTATCCGAGCCAGGTGGGTCCATAGCTCCTCCTTCGCGCCAATGCCCACGTTCTTGTTCTGGGTCTCGTCAGGAGCGGAAGAGACAAGGGAGAGCACTCCTAATGGCGCGCCCGTAAACGGGTCGTAAAGTGTGTCGAGAGGCGACGACAAGCCATCCGTGCGAGGCAGCGTATCGCTGCTCATGCCGGTGACAGACGTCGGTGCGGGCGTGGCATCGAGTCGCGCGCCCGGGTCATGGTCGGGTCCCTGTCCCTGTAGTTCAGAGAGTACACTATCGTGCGGTGTGCTGAGCGCCGCCGTAAACGCGCGCTTCCTGGGCTCTGCCTCCGCCGAAGCGAGGGCGGGAGCGATGGGGGATGCCTCAAGGGACGCTTTGAGGTTGCCAGTCACTGTCCCTGCCCGGCTTGTCTCAGAGGTAATAGAAGGGAATAGGGAAGTCGTGTCGAGGCGCTTAGGAGAGCGGGGACGAGTGAACCATGAGCTCATGTTGAAAGACCGTGGAGGACGCAAGACGGCCCCTGCAACGACATCGAGCACACCCTCACGTGATCAAGACGCGTTCATACGCGGCATGTTTGGTTCTCCATTGCAAAAAGAATAGCAATATGTTCTCCTGACTATGTATATGAGGCATATGAGGCATTATCGACAAATTATCCATCCGCCTCTTCCTCCTCTTCGTCTTCAGACCCATCGTCGCCGACCAGCTGAAGGGCTGCGAACCTACCGCCAATACCGTGATTGCCCTGGCTCACCTCGTCTTCTTTGTCCTCGCTTACAGCCTCTGTTCCAGATTCTGTCCCAGCACTACCTTCTCCCTCTCCGTCGCCTTCGCTTTCATATTCGCTTTCCGCTTCTTCCGCTCCGTCCATTGTTGCACTTGAAAGCAATATCCCATTCCCTGCCGCTTGCTGCTCTGCTTCTACGATCGAGGTAGGGGTGCCAGGAGGCCAAAATGCCCACTGTACCTTCCCCTCTGCCAAAAACCTTAGGATCGCATTTCCAGCGCGGTTCACGTCCGACCTCCCAGCCTTGGCAGTGACCCATCCCTTTCGATCCGCAAATGCAGACATAATATCCATCGCCGTCCATGCGGGCTGGACCATCTTGACATCTTCCATGCGCCGCATCCCGTCACGCCACGTGCGCTTATCCTCTGGGGGTGGCACTGAGACTTTTGGGTGCATGAGGCCGAAAACGCGCTCGAGTGGGAGAAGCTGGGACGCGTAAGAAACGCAGAGCGGGATAGCGGGCATGCGCGAAATAGGTAAAATGCCGCCTAAAACCTAGCGCAGACAGTTGGAATAAGCATAGGGCTGTGGAAGCGCCAGAATCGCTCACCTGCATCTCCATTGGCATTAAGTCGGGCATGACGAGGCCTGGGCAGTCGACGAGGCGCACATCAGGCGTCCAGAAGAGAGTTTGGAAGTGCTTCGTCTGCGAAAAAGAAGTCAAGTTTTCACTAGAGTGATAGAATAGCGAGAGAACGACTAGCCTTCCCTGGAGTCTTGGATGCTCGCACTTTGATGGTCCCAAACAGAGCGTTGAGCAGGGAAGATTTGCCGACATTTGGCTGTCCTATTGTTTACATATCAACCTTCGAAGTCAAGTGCAGATGCTCAACTAGGCTTGTTACCGATTAGCCCAATTGTTAGATAGTCTGACTCTCGACCATCATCGTCTTGACTTTCAGTCGTCACAGGAATCCCTGGATTCCCACCTAAATGTGTTTTTGCCCCGGCAGCAAGCAGCGCGTCAAAATCGACCTGCCGCTTCACTTTAGGCTTCCATTCTTTCAACCGTTCTGCGTCCTGCTTAACGCGCTCAGGGGGCTCCAGCATCTCGGCGTGCGCATCCTTCAGGGCTGCGATGAGCCGCTCTTTGAACGTCTGCGGTAAATGCGGCTCGTATCGTCGCTTCCCGCTTTGCACGACGCCGGGGTCAGGATCAGACGCCTTTTGCACGTATGATTCGACCATTACCACCCTTACGCCGGGGTGTGTAGCGCGCAAATATCGAGCCCACGCATCGGTGCGTTGAGGGCCAGCGATGTCGACTTTAGTAAGAACAAGAATCAGCCGGTAGTGCGGTGATGCAAGAAAATTCCTGAGGGAGGGTGGGAAGTGAAGTGATGGGCAGCGGGAGTCGAGCAGAACGAGGATGATCTGCGAGAGCTCGGTCACGCGCCAGCTATAGCAAAGGGGAGACAAAGAGAAAGGCGTGAAGAAGGGTGCGATCGGTATGATCGTGCAGTGTGAACGTACAGCTGTCGCCAGACCTCGAGATTACGCTCGAAGAACGAAGGGGAGGGCGGTGCACTCAAGTCGTCTTCTGCCTGCACTCTGTCCCCGTCATCATCGACCGCGCGCTCCCGCGCAGCAGTCTCTTCAGCGGCCTTTACCCATTCATCAACGGCACCATCAGTGTTCGAGAGCCATTTGGCGAACAGACCTTCCTCGTTCTTCTCTACTTCTTTTTTTGTCATCTCGTACCTCCATTTGGGCCTACGCATACAGCTCATTGCCTCGCGCATCTCGCGCTCCCGCGTGGAATCGAGTCTTCCACTGCTCTCTGGCCATATAGCGGCCTGTGGGGGGATAGGGCGATGGAGGGGTACGCGGTCGGCGAGGATCTTGCTCTGCTCGAGCAGTGCGGGCGAGAGCTTGACAAATGAAGACTGGAGACCGCGCGCAGAAGCGATGGCGAGATCGCGAGCAGAAGAGAGGCCCGTGGTCGCCGCTGTGTTGTGCGCAGAGACTCGATGCACACGAGCGCGGGTGGTAGGACGGGGCTCAAAGTCGGAAGGGGCGACGGAGACAGCATCGCCGCGTTTTACGGCGCGTTTGTGCTGAAGCTTTGCCTTGTGCTGTTTAGCTGACTGCGGTTTTCTGCGAGGCATACTGTACTAGCTATAACTAAGTACAGGCGCAGCTTGACAGACAGATCGTGATAGCTGACTGGACGCGCTCGTGAAATCTGCTGACGTTTACCCTAACCCGGAGTGAGCCTTTCCTTTCTCATCACCAAGACGCGTGATGGCGCTTACGTCTGACGTGTCTGGCTTAGTCCATCGTTGAACTTTGCTTCCCCACTGCTTCCCCTCGCGCCATCTGCGTGTACTTTCACCAGGAACCTGCAGAAATGGCCTATATAAATACAGCATTCCTCTGTGCTTCTAAGATTAACCATACCCCCGTCCTTTCTCCCCCGCCTCTTTGTAACATCCTATCTACCTCCACGCGTACACTGACATGTCTGGTAAACGTAACGACGACAAGAAGAGTGTGGTCGTGGTCGGTGGCGGCGGCGCCGGCTCCTACATCGCGCGTACTTTGTCTTCCAAACTCGACGCATCCAAGTATACCCTCACTCTCGTCACTGCTCGTCCCTTCGCCGTTCACTATCCAGCTGCCATCCGCTTGACCACCACCAGCGAGGGCAAACTCGAGGATACCGTCCTCATCCCCTACGACAAACTTCTCCTAAACGGTAACGGCACCATCAAGATTGATCGTGTTGTGAAAATTGAGGACCACAAGGATGGCGGCGACCTCGTCCTCGCGTCTGGCGAGTCTTTGCATTACGACGTCCTCATTCTTGCTCCCGGCTCCCATTGGGAGGGTCCTCTTGCTCTCCCCGATGGGAAGGACGAGATCCTCGAGCACATCAAGCAATGGCGTAATAAGTTTGAGTCTGCTAAGGGTGTCGTCTTGGTGGGTGGGGGAGCTGTCGGCATCGGTACGTCCGCTTTCTTTCATGCATTGAGATCCACCTCTAAACTTCATTGCCTAGAGTACGCTGGAGAAATCAGAGACTACTGGCCGAAGAAGCCCGTTACCATCGTCCAGGCTAGCTCTCAGCTTCTCAATGCGACGTACCCAGACAAGTTCCGCAAGCGGGTGGAGAAGGACATCACAGTCCGAGGCGTCAAAGTCGTCTACAACGATTTTGTTGACAACTTCGAACCCGAAGGTCCTATCACCACCCGCGGTGGCAAGACTCTCGAGGGCGATCTAGTCGTGAGTTCACTTCTCCCGCAATTGTATACTTCTTTTCACAGACTTGCGCCTTTCCAGGTCATCGCACGTGGTAACCGCCCAGCCACCGAGTTCGTGAGCTCGCTCGGCTCCGGTGTCCTGAACGAGCGTGGCCAGATCAAGGTCCAGCCGACGCTTCAGCTTCAGTCACATCCGAACATCTTCGCCGCGGGAGATGCCATTGACTGGGATGAGCAGAAACAGGTGGCGAAATACCCGGCCCATGGAGATGTTATCATAAAAAATGTCTTGGCCGTCCTCGAAAAGAGAACTTCGACTGCACAATACAAGGGCGGCCCGGAGTTGATCATCGTCACGAACGGCAAGGTGCGCATGGTCATGCTTTAATCCTCTCGAAGAGATTACTCACAGGCCCCAAATTTTACAGAACGCCGGCGTGGCCTACTTGGGCTTCCTGTGGGGCATTGTGCTTGGAAACTGGTTTGCGAAGATGCTCAAATCGAAGACCTTGATGGTCGATATGGTCAGGAAGTCATACGGTTACGCGTGAGCTCCTTTGACTCCGACTGTTTCGTAATTCTGTGTTATTTCTGTGTCATACGACGCTTGCAAGAGGCTTTGATGTCTTTTTTCAGCATCTTTTGGTTTGATGTCCAAGTATCTTATTTAGCGCTGCTGATGGTCAGAAGCCTACTAGTACATTCATATTTTTTTTTGAGTTCAATGCCTATTCGATATACCCATCTGGTGGAACCGCGCGACGACTGCGATATCAGAAGCGTCGATGAGCGTGTGATCGAGAATTCTGAGCGTGGTGAATGCGGTGCGAAGAAAGCGTGAAGCTTCGAGTTCGTATTCTCGGATGGCCTCTCCGAGCCTCTCTGCCGACGACAGAGCTGCATAATGATTTGTCGATCACCTCCGGCCGATGAATTATAGAGAGGTTCCGCAGTTGAAATGACTGTGGGAACTTGATCGTGACCCGAGGTTGCACAGCGCTTTCTTCAATAAGGGTCATCGTGGGACTGAAGCTGTTGATTGGCATATGGCATCGGACACACCGCAGGCACCCCCGTCATACGCTTCGCAAAACCGCCGGGAGCGCCTTAGTGCCACAAAGCGTCAGTTCTTCAATTTCCATTTAACTGTCCTAGGCCAGTTCTTAATCCTGATATCAGCATCAGGGGCTCTCCTACAAGGCTCCTTGTCCACTCTCCACTCACATCTAACATGCCCTCTGCATCGGCATCCTCTATGGCGGAAGACTACGCCGTCGCGAGCTCAAGAGCTAGCACCACGACTGCTAGCGCGTCGAAGGCGAACTCTTTCGAGGGCCGTCGCGGCCCGCCGCGCACTGGCAAAGAGAACCAGTTCACATACAAGAACGGCCGAAAACATCATGCTTATGGGTCAGAGAAGGCCCCTTATCCACTGTCGTATGATAGAGAGGTCGTCGACGTGTGAGTCTCGAGACCTGCTTCGCTCCTTCCACGCTAAGATGTTTTGGTAAATGAAATTCTAGGGATGTCATCGACAACGTTCTAAGGTTTAAATTGAGCCCTGCCCCTTCGCTGGCGACTATCCCGGCCCCGAGCCGAGTCTTGGATCTTGGTTGTGGTGTATGTTCCTTCATGGACTCTTTCGCCCCCGTCTCCGTGCTCATTCTCAACGGTTCTCTAGACAGGAGGATGGGCCATTCAGGCGGCACGGGCGTGGCCAAACGCCGAAGTCGTCGGATTCGACCTCGTTAATGTTCAAATAAACCTGGCGTGCGTGGAACCGTCAGTAGCACGACGCATAACGTGGCAACATGGCAACTTGTTCGTGGGCGCTTTTCCATCTCTGATCTGATCCTGAACGAAGGTGTTTCATCACAGTCTATCCACAAGGCTTCCGTTCGAGGACGATTACTTTGAACATGTACATATTCAGTCAATCTCTAAAGGTGTTCCAGAACACAAGGTGCGTGCGGATATATTGTGTGAGAGGTCTGCCTTTGCTAAATAATTCTATTTTTAGTGGAGTTCGCTCTTCCAGGCACGTATTTTATCTCGACGCTGAAGCTGGTGTCCTCATTCTCTGTAGGAGATTCATCGTGTATTAGCTCCAGCAGGCTCTGTAGAAATAATCGAAGATGGTAAGTCGCAGCAGCGTGCAGTCTTGGAACAGTTGTAAACACCATTGGCAGACATCATTTTCCCTGTACTCCCACGCTGGTTCACCGAACCACTGCGTGCAAAGGCCGAGCGCAGCTCAGCCATCCAACCTACGAACGGCACTCATAGTGAACCTATACCCTCACCCCCATCATCTCCCCGTCGTCCGCCTCATGAACATGCTCTGCTCGAATTGCTATTCAAATCTGTTTATGAAAGTAGGTTTATTAATCTAAAACCAACCGGTGTGTATTCTTCTCTAATTCTGTGCAAACAACGTCTGAAAACCCATCTAGCTGTGCTGCCTATCTATTTCACGCCGTTCTTCTCGCAGTGTCTTAGTGGTTCCCCCATGATTCTTCCTGTCCCTTTCCTCGCCCCTTTGCCACCACTGCCAGAATATACTCCCTCGACGCAGCCTGATACTTTGGACCGACTATCGATGACCGTAGCGCGACCACAATCCCCTCCTCGGATACGGCCTTCCTCGCAATCCTTTTCTTCAAGCGCATCAGTACCCACTCTATCCTCCGCCTCCACTTTTAGCGAGGTATCGAATGATGCCTCGTTGCGATCCGTCGTTGATTCTGAAAACGGCATTCACACGCCAACGCTTCCCCACATGTCCGTCGGCGACGGCTCATCACCGACGCTCAAAGAACGCCCTTCGTCTCTCTCCAGTTCGCATCGCGAGTCTCAATGGCTCTCTGCGGACAAGGACGGAACGACACTCGATAGCTCTTTTTCAAGTACATCAATATTTCCGCCCATAGATATGCAGCAGTTCAGCGACCGCACCCGTGCGATGAACCTTTATCGGACGTATATGGGAGTAGTGGGTTGTAAAGAAGAGATGTGGGGAGAGCTCAAAATGCTAAGGACATCACGACACAGATCGTTGTCTGCCTACGGATGGGAGGAGAAGACCTCGGAGGATAAGGTACTGGAAGATCAAGAAGCGCGGGGCCGATTCGACGAAATTTTTGAGCGCTTCGAATCGTGAGTACCACAATGCCCATCATACTGGCTTCTTATCGTCTCACTCGTCTCCTAGGGATATGCTCACTCGCATAGCGTTCTGGTACTCACTAACCGAACTGGGATACCCTCTCCCTCGACGCGACTCCCTCATCAAGTCAGAGCTCCTTGAAGAGGAGAGATTGCGCAAAGCAATCATAGAATCGTATGCATCAGCGACCGACGAAGATTTTGAAGTCCCGAGCAGGGTTTTCAGGGTGTTTATTGGATTCAAAGCATATGAGACCGAAGAGGATGAGGTCTCAGCCGAAGAGAAGTAAGGGCTGTATCTTTCTATGAGCCCACATACTGCTATGTATTTTTTTGTGGTTGTTTATGAACAATGCCATAATTATGTATCCTAAACCTTTCTCACATATCGTAGCGTGAAGCATGAATGCATGCATGACAGACTGGAGGATTTGTCGGATCTGCCACCCTGCTCGAAATGGTATATGGCTCCTTTTTTGGAAATTCAGATCCGTTGCAACTTGTTTGGTCAATTTTTTTCGAATCGGTACCGCGCCAAACTGTCCCACAGAAACCCTGTAGCCTTTCGCGACGTCTGCGATGGCAGCGTCCAAACCAAAAAACTCGACATTACGAGCACTGCATGATGTACCATTACCCGCGACGCCAGACAAACTAGCCAAGGCGCGGAAGCCAAGATGGGGGAAGGGCAAAGAGGAGACGGCCGGTCCAGGACGCGTACAGGCAGCAACTGCCTCTGGAGGAGCTTCCGAGGCCAGTACTTCTGCTAACACGGTACAAGACTCGCCATGGCCATGGGTATCGATAACCGATTCGTCCGCTAGCCGACATCCTGCCATATTCACCAAGGATGGGAGGTGAGTGTCTGATGTCGCGTGCAGCTCACAGGGATATACTTACTTGTTCACAGCTACTTTTTCTCTATCATGGGCTCTTCCGTGAAGATATACTCCTCGATTACCGGCCAGGTCGTGTCCACGCTTTCGGCTTCCCCGCGGTCAGCGAGTTCATCCGAAGGAGCCGCAGGGCACTCCGATGTCATCACTTCCGCTCTTTTGAATCCTCAAAACATATTTCAGCTCATCACAGGCTCTCTGGACGGCTGTATCAAAGTCTGGGACTTTCTAGACGCGGTGCTACTACAGACAATTGACCTTGGACAACCGATCTACCATCTTGCTGCTCATGAGAAAATCAAGGACTACCTCTTTGTATCCGTTACTCGCCCAAATAAAAAAAAAAGCAGAGTCGGTATGTGCCGCTTTCACCTCAACCGACAATCCTTAATGCTTGTATACAGAAAAATTAGCTGAAGACAATGGTGCCGTTCTCCGAGTCTCCCTGAAGCCTACGACTGCAACTGCGCAGGCGAGCGTTCAAAAGTCGTCCGACATCATGGGTATCGGGAAGACAAGGTTGACACATGGACTTGCCATCTCACCTAGTGGCTCTTGGCTGGTTGCTATCGGTGGCCATAAGGCCTACGTCGCCACGACCTCAAACCTGAAGGCTGGGTTTACCAAGTTTGTCTCGCCGGAAGCTCTCACGTGTCTGGCTTTCCATCCTGCTGAGGAGTATTTTGCGACTGGGGACGCAAAAGGCAACATTCGCCTATGGTACTGTCTTGATGAAAGCGTTACCGCGCATGTCGCGGCCGTGGAGAAGCGCGCGCCCACTACGACACTCCATTGGCACTCTCACGCCGTGTCGGCCTTGGCGTTTACGCCTAATGGCGCATATCTGCTCAGTGGAGGGGAGGAGTCTGTCTTAGTCATTTGGCAGTTACACTCAGGTAAAAAGGAGTTTGTACCACGGATAGGGGCACCAATCTTTAGCATAACCAATACTCGAGCCTCTACCCAGGAAGAGGAGTATTTACTTAGCCTAGCAGACGCGAGTTTCGTGTTTGTAAACTCAGGCAGACTAAAAATCTCGCGAGCATTTTCTCGCATAAAATTGGGCAAGTCATTCCCAAGCCAACATCACGCGTCTCTTCTGACTTTTGTTTTAGATCCAGCGATCTCTCACAGCCGTCCAGCAACGTCAACATCCGTACCTCTCGCCGTCCATTCCTTGTCATCTACTTTGATCCTCCCATCATCTCACCCATCATCTCTGCAAACATATGCGCCTTCATCTTCCAGGTTACTTTCTGAGTTAGAAGTATCGCCATCTAATCGCGTATCAAGACGAGATGAAAAGGCTCTAGAGCCATCTCGCGTAGAACGAGTCGTCATCTCGTCGTCAGGCGAATGGATGGCAACAATAGATAGTCGAGAGGGTGACGACTCCTTCCGAGGAGAGGTATATCTGAAAATTTGGTGGTGGGATAAGATTTCGGGCTCCTGGATATTGAACACAAGGGTTGATCGACCTCATGGGCTGGCGAAGGTCACAGCAGTCGCATTTACACCGGGTCTTTGTGATCACAATGCTCTGCTTCTCGTCACTTCAGGTGAAGACGGAAACATCAAGAGCTGGAGGATCAGGGTTTCCAAAGACAAGAAGGGCACTGAAGAAGGTGCGCGTTTTTCAGAATCCTTCACACAACATTTTGACCAACATAAGTCTCGCAGTTTTCTGGGTCTCCCGGTCGACATTCTCCTTCAGAGAGGAGATACCTAGCCATGTCGCATGGTCAGCTGACGGCTCTTTACTTGCAGTCTCGTTAGGCCCCTACGTTGTGCTTTACGACCCGGTGACGAACGCTCTGCTCCAGGTTCTCGCGACGCCCGAGTGCAACCACGTAGTCGCTGCATATTTTCTAGGTGTTACCAGTCGCTACCTTGCGGTCGTTGGCAAGCTTGACGTTGCACTTTGGGATCTCATCACCCAGACGTGTAAGTTTTCTGCTATATGATTGTCCTTGCGAAGCTAATCTCAGTCACAGTACAATGGCATTACCACGGCCCGTTACCGATAGACACGATCGTTCCTCATCCACAGAAGGAGATGATGGCGCTTTTCCAGCAACAGCCAACCTACTCAAATTCAGAAAGCCACTCAACTCGAGTGTTGATCTTCGACCCCTCTTCGGCGACCCCTCGCAAAGCTTACACGGTTCCCTTTGGTCTCCGTACTGTCGCATGGTACTCTCATTCGTCTACTCCATCTTCGCAGGATCCATCATTCCATCTCGTCGGCATCACGGATATATGGAGTGTGGTCCTCTTCGGTGATGACATCCGTGCACCTCTGGAGGAAGGTGTTTCAGCGAAGGGCATCGTGGATGGCGCTGCTGATCCTCAGAAACGGACACTGTTCCAGGATATATTTGGCAAATCAGCTTTCGCTGACTTGTCTATTGAACCCTCGTCTCCTCCGTTCCTGGCAAAAGCGCAGCATTGGAGCGGCAAGGATGTTGCAAATGTCTTTGACGCTCCAGCCTATCTCATGCCGCCTATAGGGACGCTCTTTGATTCCGTCATGAGTAATTTCTTGAGGCCACGACCTGCGGAAATAGAGAGTATCGTCGACGAGGTGCAAGGTGAAAATGACGAAGATGTCGATATGGAAACAGACGGGGAGGATGCAGACCGGCCGATCTTGGTTGGGGAACGCCTAGACCGGCTAGTGGATTGGCGAGAGATGAATATATTGATTGAGGTGTTCAGGGAACATGCCATCAAATGTAAGCTTTCGCGGATTGTGCTTGGTTTATGTCTGTTGACGGAACGTCGATAGCCCCTGCACCTCCAGCGACATCTATACCGCGCCCCCACGTCAATGGAAATGGATTACACAAAACTTCCTCCCCTGTTATGGTCAATACCGTCTCAAAGTCAAACGGAGCACCGCGACCTGAGATACCTGTAGGATATCCTTCGCCGGACAGCAGTTCTTCAGGCGAATCAAGCTCACCTGCTATGCTCGGGCAGAAGCGTAAGAAATCGTGAGACACTAGGTCGGGATATTCTGTATTAGCCATCTTTCGCGCGCAATATCACTGTAATGGGTCTCATGAGCTTTTATAGTTATTCTCCACTGTTGTTCCGTTGTCTCTTCGAGCATCCGTACATTCGTCATTTTGCATATATTCCTCCAACTATTCAATCGTCATTTCACTTTGGCCTCCTCTGTGCTAGTCTCATAACAATAATCACGTCCGTGGGACTGAGATATTGTTTCGTGAGATGAACTCGTGCTAGATATTATCGCTATCGGTGTTGAATCAATATAGGTGGATACAAAACGTTGACATAGGCGACTCATAGTAATCGGATTATGAGCGAGACTTGCTTGGCTAAGGGATATATGTGTTCTAATAGTATGTGTGAACCAATGTTGGCTAGAGAATGTGTATAATCGACGGAAAATGTCCTAGACAGCAGACTGCTTCAAAGATAAAAGTGTAATGGCACCCTCGATGACGTCGGCAGAGAACGCAGCGTAGTAGTCCCCAGGAAGATCATGCAGAGCGTCGATGGCAGATGAGGATGCAATCTCTTGAGAGGTAGAAACCGCAGGGCTGTTGCTCGAAGATTGCACGCGGTCAGAGAGCGCCGAGTCGCTGTCCAGAGCGCCAGATATTCCAAGACCAAGGCCAGAAAACGGCACCACTTCCTCGAAAGAACCAGCGTTAGTATCCGCCACGTACCTCTCGCGATTCCGCCGACGCTTTGCTGCGCGCGCACCCTCACGATCGCAAGCCCATTCCAGGTTCCGAACACGTTTCTCCGAACTTGAATCGATTTCGCGTATGTTTCCGAGTCCCAGGTCGGTCGAGACACCGAGCCCGCGCCCACGAGGACGAAGTCTCCCCACGTCATTATTTGCGTGCTGTACAATCGGACGACCACGGTAAAGAGAAGAGAGGGGAGACAAGACAATGCATTTCTCTGAGTCTTGAGGCGGGACATTCTCCTTCCGACTGGAAGAGCGAGTATGAATGCGAGAGCGTGGATTCGGATGAACGAGAGGGATGGGTTCCGCATCGGTTGGGGTTCTGGGCACATTCGTTTCGTGGTGGACAAGAGTGAGCGCGTGGCGGTGTGAACGAGCTATGGGTGGGTACTCTAGGGTAGGTTCTGATTGAATAGGTCCATCGGGTTGAAGCTGTGCAGCAACATGAAATGGTTGGAGGCCACGGGCATCTGGGGGTGAGAATTCCAGGTCGGAGAAGGTAGGCGTAGGCGCCATACTACCACCTGTGCCCATTCCGAGGCCATTATCACCTTGATATGAATAGTTTACCATCCACGAATAGCCTGGAAAGCCTGGTCCAGATAGCTGAGAACGGGCGGCATTGGAGCTCAGGAGGGGCGTCTGAGGCGAACTCGCGGTAACTGGCAAGTCCGAACAAGCAACATCGTCAAGATCAGGAGTATTCGTCTGAGCAGAAGAGTCATTTCGAGCAACACTAGAGTCACGTTGCCTTTTCATCGTTTGCCGCTTGTTCTGGAACCACACTGTGATGGTCCTGATATCCCTGCAACATTGCATCCACACATCATCGGCACTTCATCTATGGTTACTAGAGACATGACCTACACATCAAATTCCCGAGCGAGAGAGCTTTTCTCCGCTTTGGTAGGATGGGTTGTTCGCTGGTAGAGGGTCTCAAGCTGCTCAAGTTGTCTGTCGTTCATTCGATGGCGTGGCTTCCTCTCCGAAATATGTTCGCCTAGTTTGCCTGCTGCAGAAATGGAGATAGTATTATCGAGACCAACGTTATGACTTTCCAGAGCTATCCTTTGAGCTTGGGGGAGAAGAAGCTGCACGCTGGATGGCCTGGCGGTTACCTGTGATTGCTTAGCGCTAGCGTGTTCAGAAAGAGTGCGTGCAGAACGAGTGGAACGCGTCGAAGGGCGCATGGTAGTCGGAATAGAGATGGAAGAAAAACTGAGAAAAGAACGAGGGAAGTTCCGCGAGGTAGAGCGGGTCGTGGTTGGAAAGAGAACCTGAAGCGGAGAAAGGCGACTTGCATCCGAACCACCAAGTGGAACGCCCCGTGACACTGCAGCGACGTGACTCCCATCAATCCTATCATTATAGTACAAGTCGACAAACAGAATATCCGGGGATAAATAGAAGAATACTGTTTATGAATAATAGCTACTGGGGTATCTATCCTGGTAAACAGAATGTACGTGGTTCTAAAGCTGAACAGTTCTGATCCATGTCTAGTACAACAACTTCTCGGCATCATAAAGCAGAGATAACAAAGAACATACCAATTTGGACAATATACGGTCCTAGGGAAGAAAGAAAGGTGAGTCTATGAATCAATGCGTATCATTTGCGAAAGCCAAGCAAAACGAGGGCAGCTTCCATGTCTTCAGGTGCAGACTCCGCACACTTTTTGCGTGTCTCATGCTTGATCTCCTCAAGGAAAAGGCTGCTCCGCATGGATGACATGCTCGTGCTAGGAGTGATTGCTTCATCTGATTCCGTTCCGGTATCCGTCTCCTCTTCCTCCGATGCGACCTTAGGATTCGTTCTCGTCGACTTCATCTCAGCCTCTAGGGACATTGAAGGCACTTTCCCGAGACTTCTCGGGGTTGCGCGATTTCCTTTTGCCTTGTTTTGCCTCCGACCTTCCCTCGCCTTGGCACAAGCCCACTCCAAGGACTTCATGAGCCTGGACGGCGAATGAATCATAGCGAAACGAAACCTATCCGCACTTGGCGAGGACAATGGCTCGGGTGGTGAGGAAGGCATGTGCGTCCACAGCTGAGACCCGGAGGCAGGGGACATGGCTCGACTGCCGTGATTTGTTTTTCGAGGGGTAAGAGGCGGCTGAAATTTGGACGTATTGTCGTGAATTGTGGGATGAGATGGACGTTCAAAGAGCGAGGCGATACAGTCCAGTGATATTTGCGGCTTCGCGACAGTATCGTGGACGAAATCGCCATGAGACTTGTTCTCTTCGGACTCGACGCAGGCCTCTGCACGGGTACTTTTGGTCCACGTCTTGCGCTTCGACGATTGACGTTTGTTTTGGAACCAGACGGTAACAGATTTGTAGTCCCTGAATATATCGCAATCTATCGGTTTCGATTCCATGGCAGGAGATGGAAATGATCCTACATTCCGATATCGGTTGCGAGGGTCATACGGTCCCCTCTTGTGGGGTAAGGTTTCGCTGTGAATATTCTCTGGAGCGCTTGAAGCTGGGGAGGGGTGGGTCTTTTCCTCATGTACGGTACTTCCGTGAAATCATCATCGCAGAACGATGCGGTGTCGTCAACGATTGTCGATGTTGTAGTAAAGGAGGAATAAGGTGAGTAAGAGTGACAGTAGGACATGATGGATGAAGAAACAAGCTGTACAGGGAATACAAGACCGATTCCTACCCCAAGAGATGATAAAGGGGCGGGGAGACTATGCTGAACGAGAGGGCAATGGGAGAGTTTCACTGGCCAAAACGAACACGTTTCGACGCGCAAGACCAAACAAACAAACGCGTCGCGTCGTCCGTCGTGGTGATGCCACCGCACTGGTCTTGTGACTTTGTGGTCAGTTGCCTAAAAGTTCGATGTTTTGCGGTTTCTGAGGGCGATCCCTCACAACAACTGGACAGCGGCTCATTAGCATCGATCGTTCATCTCGCTAACTCTGAATTAATTATGACGACTAAATATCCGGACGAATCGAGTTCCAAGTCCCTGGGTCGCACATAGGACAAGACAATATAGCATTGTAGGCGATATAAACAGGCAACGCAATATCGACGGCGTTAAACTGGACAGCAAACTAATTGTTATTGTAGACCAGATCATAGATCCCGTTCTGCCTCCATAGTTCTTGCTCCTCCTCCGAATTACCTCCATCATTCGACACCCAGACACTGCCCAAAGCAAGCAAGAGATCCTTTTCAGCTGGTGATAAAGTTTGAATCCAGTCAATCGTTACGTAGATTCGGTTTAGGGTCTGGCCAAAATTCGCCCTATACCGCGCATAGTCTACAACTCTGCGAGTCTCCATCTTCACGTATTCCACAGTTTTGAGCCTGGGGAATACGAGCATTCGCGAGTCGGCAGCGCGTTCGATAGGCCACTCAGCAATGGAGCCCTGCGGATGATATCGCCGAGCATCATCGAACAAACTTTCGCTCACGAACTGTTTGAGCTGGGAGAGACGTAGAAGTTTCACCCATGGCATGGAAATTAGCCACCTTGACACCACTCCTTTATTCGATGGCGATGGTGTCACCTCCAAGGCGTAGAGTGTGAGAATCTGAACCAAAGGGAATTTGCCTTCCAGTGTACGAATGAAACCGCCATAGTCTTCCATGGACATGTTCATGAGCGTCAGGTCCTTCGTGTTAGGTGCTTCAAATATTTTGAGCAAGGAGATCGCGTAGAGACTGGGCAGGGAGCCCAATACAAATACATTGAGGTTCGGTAACACGATCGGGGGATAGCTAGGATCGAGGCTATAGTTCGAATCCTGTGACAATCGAGGCCCAGCTCTGTCGAGGACAAGCTTTCTGAGATTCGGGGATGATATCAATATCTCTCGGAAGCGCTTCAGGCTAGGTTGCACCCAGGGAGGCAGTCCACACAAGTCCAAAGTAGTGAGGTTGGTAAGAGGGCTACCTTCCCATTCGACGTCAACTCCGCTGAAGCAAACACGCCTCAAGGAGGGGGCCATACCACCACAGACAGACATTGCTTGGAGATAGTCCTGCCTTGAATAGCCTGGCCCAAGCCAGATATATTCTGAGCCGAATCGATGAATCTCGAGACGCTCGAGGTTAAGCATGCGATGCCCCGCCCTGTGAAGCCTGTCAAGTGCGACGAATACGGGAGGCCATGACTGGACGACGATGACGAGAGTACGGATCTGCTCAGCCTTGGTGATGACGACGTCCATGAGTTGCTCCATCTGAGACCCTGTCAACTTCAGCGACACGTCGAAGCTTTCCATGTACGCCATGCTCTCTCCGAGGCGTAAGTCGAGCAACGATGTGCCCGCCCTGTCGAAGAACATCAAGGACCGCAAGAAGGGGGCCGCGTCCTCGACCCAGATGGCGCTCCACAAAGCCTGATCAGCAATGGCAAGCTGCCGCCATTGCCTACAAACCCACGTAAGCTGCAAACGTCTCTTTACACCCTCCTGCGCATTGCGAGTCATCCAAGATACGAAACGAAAGATATTCGTGATAATCTCGACAGGGAGGTCCTTGAACCGAAATAGATGGAAAGTGGTTGCCCTGTACCTCCATTTAGCGTCTGCTAGCTGCTCAGTGGTCCGGGAAGATCGAACAGTCGCCCAATTTGAGATAATGTATTCGATGAGAGCTGCGTATCTCTTCTGTTCATCAAGGAAATGTTGGCGCCTGATGCCAACATTGTGTGGGATAGGCTCTGTCATGCTATTGAGGTAGGCCTTGATGTTGAAGTCTTCCCATTGATCATAGGTGATCGCTGGCCTTTTCTTTGTGAGTACGAAGGATTTGCGAGGTGTTACTGTCAGGGGAACAAAAGGATATGTGATGTATGGCTTGGCGGGAGAAGTGGACATCTACATTGCCAACAAAAGGGTCACTAAGTCAATGTGTGTGAGCATCATATGCGAGTCAAGTCGCGCACCTGAGATTATGGTGGAAGGTAGGACGTGGCAAATTGCGCAGACGCACAAAAAGTTTGAGAACACAGGTATGAAAAGCTGGATTGTGTCGTGTGGCTCCTTATATGGTGAGGAGGGCGCGAGTACAAGGACGACAGTGGAGAAAGCATTATTATCGATTAAAAGAAAGCGCAGCCTCCAAAGCCAGTTGTTTGTGCTTGTGGGCGCCCAATAAGCAAGTTTACTCCGACACGTGTCTCTACCAAATACAACGAGCCAGTCCTCAGCTTTCCTTGCTTTCGTGTTGTTCCGCTCCACAAAGGAGGTCATAAAGGCATGGAAGATCCGTGTATATCACCTTCGGCTGGAAAAAGGAATGCAAGGGACAGTTACTACGCGTGCCATCGGAGATTGGAAATCCCGAGTTCTGGAATTAGCTATCCCCAAGGACCTACTGGTATGTCCTCCGCCTTTAGAACGTCTTGAAGAGATAATTGCGCGCAGGGGAGGAGGAAATCGAGAGGATGGCGATGGGATTAGTGGAGGTTTATTTTTTCCGGAGAGAAAGCGTGATGCGGCTATGACCTCGACATTTCCAAGCGCCATGGATGTGATCCGCTGTCAGGTTTTGTTTGTGGGTACGTATTTTGTTTCTATGGGTGACATTTGTGTCTTCAGCAGGTCGGGAAGAATCGGCAAGGCTGTCGCACTTGCCTAATCGGGTATCCGAGTCCAGGCTTTCAGCGTTTCAACCTCCACAGCAGACCAGGCCGGTCGAGTAGCGGTGCACAGAGTTCGAATGCCATTTCGCTTTGTACAGCCTAAGAAAAGTATTTCCTCACATCATGATCCACAACATTGACGCGTCGTTCCCCTCCGCAAAGCTCCTTCCGCTTTTTCGACACCCGCGGCCCTTGGAAGGTTCTTATTTTAAATATACTGCATGACAAGATCGCCACCTACCGGAATGGTTATTTGGCCCATCTTTAGCGCCTCAGCTTCAGCCTTTTACCGCGTCGTTGAAGAGTTGCCTTGTTTTCGTGTTGACAGAGAGGGACGGCGCAATTTCACTTGACCATCGCCCCAATCGTCGCCATCGGCAACCCATGGCAATCTCTTGGCACTCGATAGTGCTTCGATCTTGCCACTTGCCATAAGTGTAGTAATCCAACAAGGCAAGATATCTTTTGTTCGCCTGTCAAAATCATTGTCCACTAGTTGGCTACTCACCCTCTAAATACGAACTCCTGAGCTACACAGCCCTTTTCCATGGATCTTGTACTTTGGTTAAACGAGTTCCCGACATCTGATCTTCTTTGCCACCACGGATCCCACCAATGCGGGGTCATGCAAGGGCTGCATTCTGCGACGCCATATGCGCAAGTCTCTTTGCGTCACAGCCCCTGAAAAGCCTCGTAATTCTCTATCTATATCCCCCTTTCCTTGTAGGTGTACTGTGCCTGATTCAACGTGCTATCATCAATGCACAGCTGTGTTCCCCAACGCAGCGCGTTCCATGCTTTGTTTTACAGAGCCACCCGCCCTGGTATCGGATCTGATACAACGGTGTCAGCTATAAATCCATGTTGCTCGTGGCGAGAAAGCACTGCAGACGAGATCGGTGGGGTTAGAAATTCATAGAGACAAGCTAGGCCTCAGAATGTCACATACTATATATCATTTCTTCGTAATCACAATAACACTAAGTACTACAGATAGCCTCTTACAAAACATTGAACTAAACTAGAAACAGATGACAAGATATAGAGGAAGGCATAAAAAAGACAAATGGGCCGACATGATAATATCGTATTCGTACACCCACCGGAACACACAACAAATTCGTACACCGACCACGAAGAAACCCTCGAGGATCCATTCGATCATGGTAATCAGTCTGCACCCCTATCAATTCGAGACCCAGAAGCCCGCGGCGGCTCATTGGCCTCATTTCCCCCCAGCGTCAAAAGTTCATCGACTATTTCACTCACAAGATCATCTTCCTCCAGCTGCGTTAATTTCTTTCCCCCAGACGGTAAACGCGCTTCCAATACCTTCTTCAGGTCCGGATAGCCGTGCTCCGTCATCTCAATCTACGGGACAGTACGTGAGTTTTGGTCACCAGCGCATGGACCCCGGCAATGCTCACATCGCTAAGACGCCGTATAATTTGCCTCTTTAAGATATCTGTATTTTCGACAACAGGACTGTCAACTCGTCTGTCGCTGTCATGGTACCCGCCCACAGTGTGATGCCGGCGAGGGCTATGCGGGAGGCTGAACATCTCCATCTGCGGGAATCCGTCTCGGGCGTTGCTGATAACCTGCGTCGCTGAGGGAGAAATAACTGGAGATTGTACCTGAACAGACTTGGACCGTTCCCTGGGTCTTCCAGGATCAGTAGTAGAGGCTTCTTCACCGAAAGCTGTAGGGCTAACAAAATAGTTTACTAAAACACAGTTAGAAGGATGAAGTAAACTTACACGTCGAAGGAAGTATCAGCCATGTGGTCCCTGCGCTTCTTTCTTTCCTCCCGCTCCTTACGATACCTCGCTTTCTCCTTTTTGTAGGTCTGCTTTGCAGCATCCAACGACGTCCTTAACTCCGCCATTCTGGCTTGCTCCCTTGCTCGGTCCATGGGAGATGCCGCGTAGTACGATACTTCTGGAGGTTCAGGCCTAGGCGATTCAGAAGTAGTAGGCCGCTCTGGGATGATGGGAGCGGTAGATGGTGGGATATACGGATATGGCCTGAACTGATTCCAAACGGGGATACGATGCGGGGCCTGGGCCTGAGCTGGAGGCCTAGCATTCAGAGGCATAGAAGGAACGAATGGTGGGGGTGGGGGTGGGGGTGGGGGAAAGGCCATATGCTCTGACGGTATACCATTCCACCCTCGGTACATGTGTGGAGGAGGCGGAGGCGGAGGAACGGGATGATCAAACCTATGCCAAGGATGTATTTGATAAGGCGTCGTGTCTCGTTGTGGTAAGTACGCCTTGAAGTTTCTCTTCATGGATGGCGGCGGAGGGGCGAAGGGAAGAGAGCGTGGTCCACCGACGGCTGTGGGAGGAGAAGTAGGCTGCAAGCGATGTCCATCTTGCGGCGATTGGGCTGTCACTTCTCCGATCGAACGAAACATGCTGCCGAGAGTTTCTGCAACCCTTCTCCCTGCCTCTCGCTCAGCGATGCGGGCCGGCTCCACGGATATCGTAGTAGCATTGCGAGTTTCCTCTGCTGCGCGACGGAGATCTGCCACTGCAGATGCGACAGATTCGCGACTGCCGGCCCAGTATGTGCCATTGGTGGTATTTCGAAGAATCGTTCGCAAATTTTCGAATAACTCTGGATGGGTAGTAAATACTGCAGAAATGGACTCAAGGAGACTAGCTATATCGTTAACCAACGAGGCCGAGGTCGCCGAAGAGGGGGTAGGAATATCAGGAAGAGGTGGGTCGTCGAATATATCGCCAGGAGCTGCTGTAAACTTTGCGTTATCATTGAGAGATGACTGCCTGTTCAGATGCTCTGACGACGCTGTTGAATGTTCCTGCGATTGATCGGTAGGTCGAGTAGTGGAGGTGGAACTCAAGGGACGTTCGTCGGGGCGCGGATGAGGCTGTGCTGACGGCAAGGATGTCGTGGAAGAACGGCCAAAAGTGCCGGAGTCGAAGCCTCGCAGACTATGCACTGGGACATGGATGTCAGGTTTATCGGGTGCGTCGGCGTCAATCACAGAGACGGAAGATGAAGAATCATCAGAAACGGTCGGCTGCATATCCCTTGCTTTCCCCTTGTCTCTTTTACCTTCCAGCGTCGACGATTTGAAAGACACATTACTCCCATCTTCATGTCCCAAACTGGAAGCATCGACATCGGTGTCAACAGTTTCAACGAACGCGTGAGGACCGCTCTCGTTGGAACGGATGGGCGTAGAGCCCAAGATATCTCTGAATCCAAATTGGTCCCACCCATCCTCTTCAACTTCGATAATCAAGGGAGATGGCCCTCCACCGAAACTACTGAACGTATTCCTGGAGGAAGAGCCGAGGGGAGTAGCAGGGAGCGGCTTGCCTTCTGTCAAAAAGGGTCTAGCTCCGAGGTCGACCACCGAGAACTTGATAGTGTCGCCCAACGGAACACGTTCGTAATAGTCGGAAAGCTCCTCGTCTGAGCTCAGAGTGACAGGGTCGTCTCCGTCCTCTGCATCAAGGTAGGACACTGCAATGCGGTCTCGGGGGACTTTAAAGTACAAATGGATCTTATCAGCAAGAGTTTTCCAGGACGGGCTTGAAGAAAAGGTAGCTCGACGGATTATACCGTCTTTGGAGAACTTGAAGTTGATGGGCATGGCTGTATGCGATGGACGAATGTTCTTGGACGCCCTAGCCCTGCAGTCATATATCGCACGTTTCAAGGTCCGACGCTGCGCAACGGCATCGCGATGATATCACCGCCTTTTGGTACTTATGTAGCTCCTCGCATCATGTCCGTAACACTGATTGTTTACACGTGCAACCAATCCAGTACGTGTGTTTACAGATATTCATACACGCAACGCGACAGCAGGCATTCTGATCATACAACTACGCAAATATGGCAAGTCGAGGGTCAATATCGACGGGATCGTTCAACTGCAAGAGGTTTATAGTTTGGTCACTACCACGCACGAGAGACATATGCACTCACCCTGAGATGCAAGTTCAGGGAAGATATTTTTTTGATCTCATCCGCCGTCAGATCAAACGAATTGCAGTCGAGATTGGAGACCAGGCGCTCGTGGCTGTTGCTCTTGGGTATGACAGCGATACCTTGCTGAGTTGCCCATCGCAAAAGGGCCTGTGCAGGTGCTGAAGTAACAAGATCAACAATAAATGTTCTGCGTGCGATTGAGGCCGTGCATACTTTTCTGATGAGCTTGGGATATCTTGATGATGGCGTCCTGCTCCATGAGACTTTTCGTGTTCGTCATATCAACGCCAAGCTCGATATAGCCTTGAGGCCCAAACGACGAATACGCAGTCAATGCGATCCCGTGAGCTCGAGTAAACTTCACGAGAGCTTCCTGAGTCAGGTAAGGGTGCAACTCGACTTGGATGACTTGAGGTTCGTATTTCGCATAGCGAAGGACGTCCAGAATCTGAGAGCCACCGATGTTGCTGCATAATGGGTTCAGATTCACTCATGCATACTGAAGAACGACCGATTACCTCAGGCCGATGTTGTGCACTAGTCCTTCCTCTAGTAATTCCTCCATGGCGCCCCAAGTCTCTTGCATTGGTGTGTTTTCTGTCGGAAAATCAGCCATATTCTCTGCTTGATCTTCCGAACTGTGATATACTTACGAAGATGCACCTTCCCGTCATCACCGAACCACTCAGGTGGGTATCGGTGGGCAGGATCAACGTACTGAAGAGCAATCGGGAAGTGGATAAGAAAGAGATCGAAGTAATCCAGCCCCCAGTGACTCAATTGCATCTTGGCTGCCGCCTTTGCCTAAAAATAAAGTCGTGAAAGTTAGATGAGCTCTCTCATCGATGTATCATGAATTTCACAGACATGATCATGAGCGTGGAAAGTGTTCCAAAGCTTCGAATTTTGGTAAGTTGCATGAACCACTGGTTGCAGTTATCTCTACTACCTTGGAGGTAATGACTAGTATTTTTAAGGCAACATGAGTCCTGATCAACTGATCCGCAGCTAGAGACTCACATAGATCTTCGCGTTTTACTATGCCCTCTTTGAGAGCACGGTTGACGCCTTCCCCGGCCTGCTTTTCATTACCGTAATCGCCCGCACCATCCAATAGACGATAGCCGGCCTTGATGGCGTTGTAGACAGTCTAGTTATATCAGGTCAAATGAAGCAACGTTCTTCGATGATCTCAAAAACGTACATCGGCGCACTGATCTTTGTTTATCTGATTTACTGTCAACCTTCAGCGATCTTTATGAGGATCGTTCGAGACAACCTTCCAAAGACCAAATCTGCAGCCAGCGCGCATCATCAGTGACCTCAGACTCGAAATAGCCTGATGGGCGTCTTACCCGATCAGCGGCATCTAATAGGGTAATTCATGAAACCTCGCGTGGCCATCCAGGAAAGTGAAGGCATACCTTATGTCCAGTCCTCTTCAAAACGACGGATGCCATGGCGCGCGCGTTGATGGTGAGAGATTGGCAGCAGGAGGGGGAAACAGCAATATGGAGAATCCACCCAAGATCTTTATAGCTCCGTGGCTCATGACCTTCTTCGGCATCCGCGGCGGTCCGTGATGATTGCGCGATACCTTTGAATAGCGCTGGGAGAAACGTTTTACCGTCCGAGATTTGTTCGAATCACCTCGGGGCCATTGTTTCTGTTGTGAGGTAGAGCATTCTGCACTTGAGAACTCTGTTGCCGTTGAAGAGAGAAAGTGTAATGAGTCGCGTGCCTGAAGTCGCGTGCAAAGGGACCACGTGATGACACCAGTATGGCCCGTGACGAGATCGTTCCCATTGGACGTGTCTGGGTCGGAGAGTTGGGTGAGGTTTCGCTGAGCCCGGCCATGTTCTAGTAAATTTGCTCGTTTCGCTCGACTCGCGTGCGGTCTGTTCACAATGTCTTTCTGTTCAGGTCTGCGTCGCTCCCCGACCTGTCTCCCTTCCCAATCCGGCTCTCATCAGCATGCGCTTCCACGTCCTCGGCGTTGGGCCCGTAGGCACCCTAGTCGCGCACCATCTTCGCCACACCCTATCCGATGCACACTCCGTCGTCCTCATCCATAAAGCCCTTGCGCAGATGCGATTCGCGCAGCGCATGGACAACACTCTCGTAATGGAGCGCGACGGAGTCAAGCAGCTCTCAGGCGGATATCGCTCGGAGGTGTTCATCCATCGCAGGCAACTCAAACAAGACAAGCTGGCCGACAGGCTGCGGAAAAGAATGGAATGGAAAAAAAAAGCGGGGATCACAGAAGAGGACCGTGTCCTCAAAAGCTGGGTGGCGCAGGCTGACAGCCCGGAAAATTTGGCGCCTTCTGCTGAGATCGAGTCGCTCTTCGTCACGACAAAGGCGTACAACGTGGTCTCTGCCATCCAAGAACTCGTTCCTCGATTGAACATCAATAGCACCATCGTGCTTATGAACAACGGTATGGGAGTGTATGAAAAGCTCCTCGAGACTGTCTTCCAGAACCCTGCGTCGCGTCCCCACTTCATCGTCACTGTCAACGATAATGGTGCGTTTCTCAGGCGTTACATGCACGTCATACATTCTGGTCTTGGCTCGATCAGATTTGGGATCGTAGCAGACTCAGATGGGCGTGATTATGAGGCCAGCCTCTACGACACAGACCTTCCTCGAGACGCGCGCAAACTTTCCCTCGACTCGATTGTGGATCCAAATGGCGAATCGGCTGCTCGCTATCTCTCCTTACGCAATACCGTCGCAGCTCTGTCCAGCCTGGAGGGACTCGGCGCGGTCTGGGAACCCATGTCGGATGTTCTCATCGCGATGAAGCGGAAGGTCGTGGTCAACGCGGTCATCAATCCCTTGACAGCCTTGATGGGATGTCGGAACGGCGATATCTTTGAGACGGAGGGGGCAAAGCGTATCATGGAGCGCGTCTGCCTGGAGGCCTCGTGGGCATTCGCTGCCGAGTTCTGCACTCAAGAAGAAGAGGCCGCCCCCAACAATGGAGCCACGCTTAAACAGAGGGCACGCGCCATCGCTCTTGGGCAGAATGTCGTAACAAACTTTCCGCCAACGCTGACGGCCGAGGCACTGCAGGCGGAATGTATCCGTGTGGCGAAGGCAACAGCAGGCAATGTCTCATCTATGTTAGGCGATGTGCAGAAGGGTAAGGGAACAGAGATCATCTACATGAACGGATACTTGCTCCAGATCGGCACAGCGCTCAGGATACCTATGAACACAACCGCTACATTATTGAATCTCGTCAAGATGCGGACAACTATTCCGATAGACCAGATGCTCAAGTAGAATAAAAGTGGTGTGCGTGCGCATCTCCAGCTTGCGCGCTGTTATGCTTACACGTCCTTCAAAGGCTCCTGGCAGTGTATCCCTACGCATATTCCCCACTATCCGCATCCTCCTATTCGCGATAACTTATGACCATGCTCAGCCATGGTGTTACGCCCTCCTCCATTCCTTAACCCCTGATCCCTCTGATCGGCCCACCTCATACAGGCTAGCAGCTGTCATTGCTCTTCGTCCCTTGCCCCTAGTGCCGAGTTGGTGGTACAACGAAGTCAGAAGATTGTATGCAATGAAACACCGAGGCGTTGTACCTACGTACAATCGCGTCTTTTGTTATACCAAGGTCTCCTCCCCTCTGTCTCCGCGCAAACCCTCGCACTCTCGATTCCTACCATCGGAAGTTCAGCGTACGTAGTTCGGAGATGGTCACTGCTCCCGACATTCAGACTCCTGACCTCGTCCCACCTCCATGCCGCGTCTTGATCCTTAACCAGAGCCATATCAGCGTACACAACCCCATTTCGCCGTATGTATATTTACACTCGCATCTGAATAATCGCCCGCTTTTTCCCCATTCGCCGCTCCGCACGGTCCGCAGCGGTGCGGCGCCCAACCACACAAGTACAACACCGAAGTGACGCAGTTTCGTGCGCTGCTGTCACCGCGCGCCTGTGCGCGACATTACCCCGTACGAGGATCTTTCTATCACCCATCTGTCTGCGTGTCCATTCGACGCGGTTGCCATTGGCCGCTCTGGGGACTATCATCAGACCGCGTCGCGGTCTGCTGATCCAGGTTGCCGCTGATGCTCCATCGATGCGACTCGTGTCTGCGGGCATGGTCGCCACACGCATCAGAATCATGTCCAGCGCGATACATGACGTCTCATATCGCGTTATGCGCCTCTCCGAACCCCATCGTGTCCGCCGAATGCCGCTCGCCCAAGTGGTTTTGTGCGTATCTGCCCACGTTCGCATGTGCCGCCGTAGCGCCCTCTGTCGTAAGCTCGTCGGCGTGGATCTCCGCAGGCGTTTCGATAGGGAGCCCGGACTCGGACCATCCCCGGGTGCGTTCCGCGCTCCGAGTCTCTGCGAGACGAGCCTGCGTCTGCGTATGGCGGAGACTCGCCCGGCTCCGTGACCTTGCATAACGATCCTTCGAGACACACGCGAAGCAGCTCCTCGTCTACGCAAGCCCGGTTTGTCCGATTCGTCAGCCCTGTATGTGGTCCGAAAGTTCGCTCAATCTGCATGCGCGCCAGTTGAAATAGTGCGTGCGGCGATAACATTTTCATATATATATATACATGGACACATATGTCACGACCGAATTGCAACGACCACATATTACCTCTTCACGCCATGCCAGCTCTGTCCCAGTAGCGGCACTCCATGATACGCCACGGTTGTCACCCAGTCGACAAATACGGTGCACATGGAAGTGTCGAAAGGCGGGCGCGTCCGTCTTCAACAGGTATATATATATATACCCAAGGGATAGACAGACACACGTTCCGGTGGCGTCGCCAGGGCTCGCGACCGCCTGATTCGAGGTTAGAACGGGTTCGAGATCAGTTCTTCCCGTACAGACGCGCGCGTATGTACAATATGCGTATCTGTTTTAAGTGACAATATGGTACCACAAAACGAGTCCGATGTCTCTAGACCGATGAAAAACGAAGTCCATCCCCGCGGAACGATGTAAACCAACAAATGAGGGTACGAATCGGCGCCGAATCAACCTGTGGAGTGAAATGACATGACATGGTGATGTTAATACAGGAGAATCGAGGCAGGGGTATGCGCACTTCTAGGAGCGGTATGCAACGCAGTACACAGATGCACATATACATATACATACATACACTAGAATTCGAAATCTCGGGGCCGTTGGCAATGCTAAATCGGAAGAGTGGGGGAGAGAGGGGCGTGAAATAGAATGACTTCAAGGCTTGACAAATATGAGGATGAAGCTAGACAAGTGTGCGTTATCACAGATAATCCGGTCATCGTCTTGCGTCCCACGGAAATGGTGCCAAGGGTCTATCAATGGTCGTCGGCGTTCGGAGTGCCCCACTTGACTGTGCGCACAGCTCCGCCGTGCCAATCTTGAACCCGCCGCCGCGCGAGGACGGACATGGTCGACGTATCCGTCCCCACGAACCCTATGCCCGACGATTGAATTACAGCATCGATGAGGAGTGGATACCTGCAATTGAAGAAAGGAGTTTCGCGCGAGCCGTTTGATAAACGCGGACGAAATGGAGAGCAAGCGCACATACCATCGCCCGTACTTCGCTGTCGTGTCCTCCGCGATGTGGTCCGGAGTGTACCACCCAAGGAGACGCACCGCGTCCCACCAGCCAGGTTCACGCTCGTCGCTCAGCATGACGACGCGCTCGGGCCTATAGCCGTAGCGCTCCTGCACCTCATCCTGCACCTCCTGCACACGCCGCGCGACAACAGACAAGGACGCGAAGCAGTCTTCCTTCGGCGTTTCGCCACAATAGTTGATGAAGTCGCCGTGCCGTATGTGAATCCCAACGTACTGTTGTAAAGGAGTCGTCAGCGATTAGGTGGGCTAAATTTAGCACGCGTGCGCAAAAGGGATGGAAGCGGAAGCGGATAGGGGGGAAAAGCTTACGGGAGGGACGGGTTCTTCTTCGGGGACGCCGAACATGCGCTTGAGATAACCATCTGCGATGCCCTGCAGGCGATCCGTCCACCTAAAGTTCTTGACCGCGAAGCGCCATCCCGGACTGTAATCGTACTCGTATTCGAACGACTGATAAGCCAGATCGGGGGTCAGCGCGCTATAACAGGTCATGTCACGCCCGCTTTGGCACCGCTCGTCCGAAGACAGCCAGCCCAAGCGTCCGCTTTGACGAGATATGATGTCACGCACCGTGGTCGCGCAGACATAGTACAGGTAGTCGAAACAAGCGACCTGCTCATCGGGGTGCGCGACAGCGCCGAGGACGTTGGACGGCTGAGGCGTTCCCAGGTTGTTGCGGCGTTCTTCTGGGAACGTCAGCGTTGCAATCGACCAGAAGTGTGCATGTGGATCGTGCTCGTATCCAGGATTCTTCTGTACCCATGACGGCGCCTTTGTATAGGAGATATCTATGCGTATCGCGAGTCAGCTCCGTTGACCAACGACCAACGGGAGTTTGATGGGATACCTAGACCCTGAGAGAGAGCGCCAGTGATGCGCGGGCCTGCCTCGTTAGTTTGGACGGCCTGCCAGATGCTCCAGCAGCCGAGATTTTCGATTTCCGTGCTGGCTGGATCCTTGACTTCGCCCCATTCGACGACAGACATGCCGATGGCTGTGCTGAGCCGGTCGAGGTCAAAAACCTCGCTGAAGGGAATACTGCCGGCTTCGCCGCCTATGTGGGATGGAGTAAAAGGACCGATGATGGGCACGCGCTGGGAGATCATGGCGAGGTAGACGAGATTGCCCTAGAAGAAACATGTCAACGTGGCATGGAAGGAGAGTCGGAGATCAGACAAAGCTCACGTAGGTCATAACATCGTTTGCTTTGGAAACGATGAGAAGAAGGAGCGAGATATCATGAGATTAGAAGACTCACTCCAGCCGGCGGAGATCCAGGAGGTGATGTACCGAGTGTCGTTTCTCAGGTTGTCTGCGCTGCTGATGAGCAGAGGATCAACTGGGAAGGACGAGCGTACGCGAACCTCTGAAATGAGAGGTGGGAGGACCGAGGAGGACCGAATGGCGATCGACGCCTGCGGCGGACTGAGGAGCATGCGGGAGTAGTTCTGGTGTCTCGAACGGGAACTTTGGCTGTGCGTAGTTGAAGAGGACGAAAGCGAAGAGGGTGACGGCGGAGAAGAGGGTGCAGGCGGCAAGCATGAAGCGTCGACGTTTCCAAGCGCGGGCCTGGGACTTGTACGGGTAGTGGGGCGGGGCGGACATTTCTGTGGTCGGTGAATCGAGGAAGGGGGCATAAGTGCGACCGACGTCTGAGCTGTTGATACGCTCGAGGCCAGACGAGTCCTTGCTTTCGTCCATGGGGAGCGGGAGGGAGAGGCGGGAGGAGGGAGGAGGAGGAGGGGCCCTAGACAGGAAGGGACATTATGTGATGGATTAGTGGGTGAAGCAGCTTTCGGAGACGACGGGTGACTGCAAGCGTCAGGCCCACTCCGAAACGTCGTCCCCCAGTCTCCGCAACCTAATCGCACGCGGACACAGATCCAGATCGTAGATCTCGTCCCCTTTTGGCCATCCTTCTTTCCCACCCAATTCGGTCCTGCCTCGCTCTCCCCACCCGTCTCGGTCCTGACCATGCTCCTGTTCGCCCTCGATGATGATCGCCCCCCTTCCCCCGAACCACTTTCATACCGCTGATCCGGCCCTCCCTCCTCTGTCCTAATCTTCAGCACCTCTTCAACACTCCTCCACCCACATCCCTACCCGTCTCCACCTCGAGCTACTCGACATGGACTCCAACAGACAGAGCCCGCCATCGACCGCCCGTGTCGTCGCCGTCGTCACGTTCTACATGACGGCCGCCCTGGTCGTACGTTCTCTCTCCCATCTGACTGCACCTATGCTCACTCCCATCGTTAGATGGTTTTCGTGTGCGTCCGAAAAGTTATACGCCCGTTCTGATCCAACTCATCTCCTCCGTTAGGAACAAGGCCGTGCTCAATTCCTCGCCTGATCTCCCGCTTTTGTTCCTTCTCATCCAACTCGTCATCGCCGTCATCCTCCTCCAGACTTCAGCCTTCTTCACCCCCAAGGTCGAGATCCCAAAGTTCGATCTGCTCGCCGCCAAGAAACTGACGCCTGTGGTGCTTGTCAACATCATTGGCCTCGTCTTCAACACCCTATGTCTCCGCTCGGTCGAGGCCTCTTTCTTCCAAGTTTGTCTTCGCTTCGTAGGTTCTGCTCGCGTGCTGATCTTGAGAGCTTTCGCGGTTTCCAGATTGCGCGTGGGCTCGTGCTACCATTGACTATTGCGGTCTCGTCCGCGGCGACGTCCTCTTCGCCTTCCGCTCGCGTCGTCATCGCAGCCGCCGTGGTCATGGCTGGCTTCTTCATCGGCATCGCCCCGGAGGGCAACCTCCCGGTCTCAGCGATTCCCTCGACCCTCTCGCTTTTCTATGGCGTGCTCTCATCTCTCTTCATCGCTCTTCATGCCGTCCTCATAAAGGCGTCTCTGCCCTATTGCGGCAACTCCACCATACAGCTCGCCTGGTGGACCAACCTCGGGTCCGCTGCTTTCCTTGTTCCTTTCGTGCTTCTCGATGGCGAGGTAGGGACGCTCTTCGCGCTCATGGCCAGCCCAGAGTGGAACATGCGGACCTTCATCTGGGGCAGTCTCGTCACCGGCGTCTTCGGGTTTCTTCTCTGTGTCGCGGGTTTGCTCAGCATCAAGGTCACCAGCCCTATCACACACATGTTTTCTAGCGTACGAGGCATCGCGACTTCTTTATCTGCAATTGTATACTGATCGTGACGATAGGCGGCTCGCTCGGGTATCCAGACCCTCTTGGGCGTCTGGCTCTTCCGCGATGTTCTCACTCTGTCAGTTTTCCCCGTCCGCATGACTCATAACTGATCAGCTCATGCATCTAATTAATCAATTCGTTAATTAGCAATCGCATCGTGTCCATTACGACCATCCTCATCGGGACCATGTACGTCGATTCTCCAACTTTTCGTCGCCCCTTGAGCGCTCTGACGCCGCCGCATGCGGCATGATAGGTACTATACTTGGGTCAAGTCTGCCGAGGGTGCGAAGCCGCCACCGCCTCGGGCCATGGACCTGGAGGCTATGGGGAGCGGCGATAGACAGCCTAAGGAAGAGACGATTGTCTGGCAAGCGCCTGAGAAGGAGCTTGGGGAAGACTCGGAGTGATGGAACACTTCATACGGGCTGATTGGTTGCTGCTTTGCGATATTTTTGGGTCTTCCGTTGTCAATTTATGGACCAGTCTCGACACTAGACACTTGTGTAGTAGTATCTCTCACTCGATTTGTACCTTCAGGTTCGTTTCGTGTCTCTGGGCTGTAGCGCTGTATACGGTAGCGTCCCGTCGCGCAATGAATAGCACGTTCGGCATTGGAAATGTCCGACCGCGGAGATCAAAACAGAAAAGGTGGTAATTAAAGATTACGTATGTCACGTCGATCATTTTTGCACCCACGGTCGACGACGATGCACTCTTTGGGAAGTCTACCCTGTCCGGTTTCCATTCTTGTCGACATTCTGCAGGGCTCATCGGCTCAGAAGATCCAATTGTCTCGGTCTGCACCTGGGATTTGAAGCGCTGGCCGACTGATTCTGCAGGCGCTGCTCTGACGTGCCTTTCGTCCATTGTCTCCATTCATGGCCGGGAAGGCCAGGGCTACAAGTGATTGACACGTTGCCTGAACATCTCAGGCATGACATGACAGAAGCCTCTCTCTGTCGAGCTGTTCAGGCAGTGGGAAGAGCATGCAGAGGGTGGGTATAGAGAGGGGGAGGGGTGCTGTACGGAGTCGGGCGAGGCAGTGGCGAGGGTGAGTCCGCCGGAGTGGGGGAGAACGGGAGTTGAACGGATCAAGGCGAATGCGATCGGGGAATGGGGCAGAAGAGATCTGGGCGGAAGTAGGGATGTGTCACTGCCTGGGTCCCTCCGGTGGCAAACATCCCTGTCTGATCTCTCCTGTTTCTTGCCAGTGTCACCCGTCCCTTTATATCCCTGTTGGCTCGCAATGCCATGGCCTCGACTGCCCGCGCCCCCTCTCCCTCCCACCGCCTACATCCTATACCCCTCTGCGTATATATCTCTCCGCACACGCTATGGCGACCGTTCCGTCCATCACGCTCGCACCTCTCCCCTCGCCAGAGCTCTCGGACGTCGAGGAGACGAGTTACCTCTCAGTCGGCGGCTTAGGATCGGCCAACTTCATTGCAGAGCCGCTGCAGCACAAATTACCCGAGGGTCGCCCCGCCTCCTATGAACGGAAGCTTGGGGACAGCGAGCTCTCCTACTACCTGCCGTCTCGTGCAAATGGCGTGAACGACATGTGAGTTACCACACCCTTGTTCCTGTCGCTTGGAGCATCTCTCAATGCATGTCGTATTCACAGGTACTTACACCTCGGCTTCAAGGCTCCTGAGCGCGTCGTACAGAGATCGAGGATACGTGCAGTGTGGTCCATTCTTCGTATGCGCCACCCGTTGCTGGCTTCCAAAATCGACATGCGGGCATATGATGACGTCAGATTCGTGTAAGTTGGTTGTTTCCTTGTGTTTTCTTTTTCATTGATAAATTGTAACGATATTTCAGTTTCACTCCACCTACGTCCCCTGAAGACGCGTTGATCGAAGCAGAGAGTCAACTCCAATACAAGACTGATTCGAAGGACGGTAAGCATCATGACCATGTGCTCTACAGAAATTCTGATGTGATTCCTCGCCGTTAGAACTTATCGACGCATATCTCAATGGGCCGCGCACCCTTTCTAACGACCGGCTCTCGTTCCTCATTGTTTCGCGTTCATTGGGTTCTGATGTGTCACTCCCCACGCCACCGCAAAGCCCCACGCTTTCGAATGTGCTTCTACAGTCCGCGGATGAGCCGGAAAACGATTACGAGTGGTTCATGTGCGCGGCACATTTCATCGGGGACGGCATGGCCCTGCACACGTTCGCGAATGATTTTTTTGAACTGCTAGGGAGCATGCGGTCTCAAGAAGACCTTGAGGAGCTTGTGGCCGAAGAGTGGCAGCAGCGATGGGGAAAACCTGTCCCTGATGGCGTAAGTGTACTCGCGTGCTATCCCCGCCTTCTCTCGCTGACCGCCTCTCTCGCCTTCGATTTGTACTTCCAACCGTACTATACCGCATTCGCAACAGGTCCCGGCTCTTCCCGTCAGTCCAGAGACGCGCCTGCCAGAAGCGCAGGGTAAGTTCCGTCGGGCGGTTGGGCGCGTTGACTTTGAGCGAAACCAGGAACGCCAGATCGTACGTTCCCTCTTATTTATACGTGGCGATCGGATATTAAAGCTTTTCGCTTGCCGCATCGTGCATGTAGGGCGGTCAAGCGTTTCCGCGCAAGTCGGTGGAAGTCAGGCACACAGTCGTGCCGACAGTGCCCTTCGACAAGGACGTTACGAAGTCAATGTTGAGAAAGTGCAAGTCACAGGGCGTGTCTATAGCCAGCGCGCTGTTTGCCATTTGTAACATTGCGTGGGCGAGGATGAGTCCGAGGGAAAAACAAACGCTTCCGATGTAAGTGTCTTTTTCTGATGGAAAGTTTTACGCGGAAGCTGAACGGAAATGATTTTCCTTAGGATGATGTACGCTGCATTGAACATCCGACCCTACTTCGTGCCGAGACCATTGAACGACTCGTACTGGTTCCTTGCAGTGGGATACTTCAATGTTATCCTACCGAACTTTATCCCTAGCAGCTGTGACCTGTCAAAGACCTTCTGGTTGCGTGCTCGAGCTGCGAAGGACCAAAGTGCGCGAGCTGCGAAGAATCCCATGATCGTTTCGCGGAGCAAAGAAATGTCGCTCAAGCGCGGGCGGCAGGCTCGAGCATGGGCGCGTGAGGACGACGAAAAGGAGTGTGGCACATGGGTGGCACCTCCGAGCAAGCCGAAGGACGCTACCGCCGCTGCCCCACGAGCCCCTTCGGCGGCGCTCATCGGGCTGTCTTTACTCGGGAACCTCGATGCGATGTACAAGCACGCGACGTACCCAGAGATCAAGATGCACACACTCACGACAGGCTCGCGTCAGCGGAATGGCGGGATGCTGTTGTTCGGGTACACTTTTGCGGGCAAGCTGTGGGTCAGCCTCGGTTACGACGAGAACGGGTTCGAGCAGAAGGTTATCGACCAGTTCTGGAGCAATGTGCTAGGCGGGATCGAGGAGTTCTTGGTTTGAGGCTCGTCGAGGTATCTTTCATTGAACATGAACTATTTTCTTCTTGGTTATCATGGTGTCTCATGGACTGTATACAAGACTCGTAGCGCACCTCACGCACTTTACTAGGATCAGCGGACCATTACTATTGACATTGAACACGTAGATACATACCGACATTTTCAAATATTTTCCTTCCTTTTTATCGCGCTACTGTCCCCACATCTTGAACTTGATGTTGTTCTTCATTACGATGTACCTTGTAGCCTCTTCCATTTGTCTAAAATAACCTTGACGCGGTTTCAACACAAATACTCCCGGCGACGTTGTGGATTGCTTGCGATAATGCGAGCGGTCGATGACGAACAATATCCAGATAATCCTCGGGAAGCTCTTCATTGCGCATTCTCCCACGGGCCCTTCCCGGCCCGGTAGAGCTGACTTGCCGCTGACCACTAAACCAACTGCATCTCTCTCGCTAGCCCTCGTCACTGATTAGATGTCTTGCAGGTTTTCGCTTGATTGTACTAAACCAGGGAGGGATCTGCTTCAAAACAAAAAACAGAACTTGAAATCTGTTTCGTACTGGTGGGCGACTCGGCCCACCATGGCTTCGTCAATAAAGGTGGTGGGCAAGACGTTGTTTGGGGACACAGACAGATGCTCACGGCTCGATTGCTATTGAACATCGTCCTTCATACCAGGTCGTCACATCACTACCGTCCGTGGTGTCCTAGGTAGGTTGTGTCTCATTCCTTCGACTTTATGGCTTTCACGCGTCCACGTCGATCGACGATCACGCTTTGACCTTGAGTGGACAAGGCGCTTCGCGTGTGCATTGTTGACAGATTTGGATTAGACCATTCATTTAGGATCGAGGATGCGACGGTGGCCGCGCTTGGACGCGTCAAGACCGCACCCCATCGCCACGATCACAGAGTCCTCACAGTTTGCACTCGCGCCACCGCAACTCATCAACACTTTCACCAAATAACATCCGTAAAATATCAACACTTTCCCTCAATAACGTCCGTAAAATGTCAATGCTTTCGTCCAATAACATCCCCAAAAAATCCATAGACACCTCTTTGTTGCTGTTGTGCGAGGTACCACGGTAGTCGTCAAAGGATTTTCGCCGGCGATACTCAGGGTCACTGTCGGCCACGATCGTGGAGTTGCCCAAGTCGAAGGGAGGTATCCATGTTTCTTTGTTGCATACAGTGTCCCCGTTCTTCTCGCGCGATCGTGGCGAGGACTGGCTTTTGACCTCGTTGTCACAACTTGACAGGTAGCCCCTCCATCCACCATTGGCGTTACAACCGCTTTGAGGCCTCGAAGCCACACATTGGAGGCTTAAATACCCCGTCGGTGAGCTCAACATCTCCCATCCCATTTCCAAACTATCGTCTCCGTATTCACTTTCTCGATAACGAACTCATCTTTTTGTATTCCGTATGTGATCTGTTCGCCTGCTCAGTGAATCATCGCGCTAACGACTATGTCTATACCAGCGTCTGCTAAAATGTCCACACAGATGCACACGGTCATCGCCCTGGGATTGGAGCACATCCCTACCGTAAGACCCAACGCCCACTCCTCCAAGACTTTAGCTGATACCGTTCTTCTCGAGCAGGGATGGATGAAGATCACGGACCGTACGCACAAAAACTATAACCAATACTGCAAAATCGATATGAGAAAAGGATTCATCACTGTACGTTGCAGGCGTCCACTGTTGGCAGTTCGATTCTCAACGGCTTGTGTCTAGAACAGCGATGGGGACAGACTCTTCAGCGTCAATATGCTCAACGGCGGCCCGGAGTCGGTTTGGATCTCGCAGATGCAGCCGAGTGACGTTATTCAAGATGTGACAAAAGTAAAGATATCCTATTGAGGCCCGAGCTTCGAGCCTCGCCGGTCGATGTGTATGAACTCGGCCTTCTAAACGGCCTCTAGCTAGTAAACTATTTAATCCCTAGTGTCGATATATGCGATTATGCTACTTACTATACCTGAATTGCTGAGATGGATGATGATGTTTCATGGTTATTTTCGAGGGTATAGCAAAGGATCTCGCTTTGGTTGCGTGGTGCAGCGCGTGCTCATTTGGACACTCACAAATGGCATCCGATGCTCAACGTTCAAAACGTTCAGCCGTGGCATGGATTGCCTAGTGCCACTCATGGTACCCGCGCCGTCAGTGGCTTTTCTTTTAGGATACTCTACTTTAAACAATGCGCTTTTGACTGTCGCGACGGGGCAATCATGTATGAGGCTTTCCTCGGCCTTGGTCAAGCCTCTGATCTTGAAAGCAATTAGAAACTCAGTGTTGCATCGAAACTCAAAGATGATCACACTATGTTCCATCCCCCAGGTGACACCTGGCATCATTGATAGGAACTGGACACGGTGAGATAAAACAATAGCGTGCTCGTAATCCCGTCTCTGATCTCTGGCAGCTGACCAAAACTATGATAGAGATCAAAGAGACGACATCGCAGTCAGAGAGATAGTAGTGTGCGAAGCAGAGCACAGGCGAAAATGAGGCAAAAAGGGCGGCCGAGAATTGTGAAAAAAGCACGGGAAGTTCGAGGAGACAGCCAGGTGCTACATGGCATTGTCCTCGAACAAAAGCTCTGCAAGATGGCCTGCAGATTCATATGCAAGGCAGGGTAACACGATGCTATCATATGCGTATGCGCTCGATCGAATAAAGTCAAGGAGTACCAATAGGGCTCACAGGCTTCAATTCATCTGCTCGCACACATTCAGAGCTTGACAGATCCCGGTCACTTGTACGGCGCTGCTGGACACCCGTGACACTTCCAGAGGCATAGTGGATGTCAGACGGACCAACCTGAGAGGCATTTCCGGGGAAATCCCATATTGTACGCTTGAAGGCGACGAGGAGGAGTAGGACGGTAGGGTAGATGCCCTGGTGGGCGACTCACTTGTTATGCTGGGGCTCAATAAGGACGAGGAACAAACCCACCGCAATATGAGTGCTTATTGGCCACATGTATTGGCTCACAACAAAGCCACTAGGAAGCCGAATGAATGAGCAGACGATGAGCATCACCTGCCAAAATGTCAATTTATTATTATTGAGATAGCACCTGGACTCACGCATGCGAAACAGTAAAGCACACTAGACTCTATGAGTAGAACCAAAATCTTCTCGACCTGTGTTCGCCTACTGCTGTGTCCCAGCGTGTTCATAATAAATCGCCTGTGCCTCCTAACGAAGACGGCTGTTGAACATCAATGAAAAAGACATATTTCGCTCACTCACCAAGCAGTGTTTCCAACTAATATGGTAGCAAGCATATTGATCGACAATGATATCCCCAAGCCGATATACTGCGTATCATTACAAAACCCATTGTCTTTGATGGTATTTGAAATGCATCCTGCGAATAGGATGGCCACTGCTGTCATGCCCAAGTATCGATTACATTGCTGAAGGATGATCTCGTTGAGTACTCACCGATGCCACAACCTGACAGGAAACAAAAAAGGATGATCATTTTGCGCTTGCTGCCCTGCCACAACACGCATGCTCTCCAAGCGACGACACAATCGCTGAGAATAAACTGAGAAAGTGAAAGATTTTCGGTTCAAAATGTACTCCCAGCAGGTCCATACAAGGTACGCACATTAATTATGAACACGAGCTCAGCCTTGCCGTACAAAGCATTGCTTGATTGAACTAACGCATGACTTATGTCTTCGGGCGATCTTGTGGGGTCGGATAGATGGATGATCTTGACCATTTCGACTATGCTAGCCAAGGACAGCGCCCAGACGGTAGTCGAGACCGCAAACATGAATAAGGTTATAGCCAACATGGCTATGTTCATCTTTTCCATGGATCCCTTCTGCCTGCTCATGATCAATATCTTCACTGAGCGATGAGCCGAGGTTTGGACATACAAAAGGGTGTAGGTTGAGAATAGGATGAGAGCTAAGAAAATTCCTATAGGAAGTCCAGGTCAGTTTTCGCGATTAATAGCTAGTAAACGAGATACTGGCCGTAGAACATGCTCTGTATCGCAGCTTCAACGATTGCCTCATTTAAGGTGATCCCGATGAGGTGCTGGAATTTGGGGTCGGTCGAGTACATCTAGTGAGTTCGGTGAATTCAATCAAGCAGCATATAGTGGGTATGGGTCGAAGGTGGGGGAGAGGGTTGCTGTGCAAGCTTGACATATCAGTGATAGTAGGAGGTTGTCTGCCTGTCCTAGCGTCAATAATATTCTGTGAATGCGCGCATCGGTGAACGCGGAGGGCTATATAGCGCTAGTGACTATGGCGAAGAGTGCTTAATAGTCTGACGACTGTCTTACACCGCGAGCAAAGTTCGATGGAATCGGTGATTCCAGACTGATTACCCGATGATTTCTTACCCAAAAGAATCAGTATGAGGTCTACAGATAAATCTTAAATGAAATAGGAATGTGCTCCTTGATTTCTGCACAAAGTGTGCTTAGATTACATCATGATCTGATTAAAAAATTATTTTGGCATAAAATCAGGCTGAAATTGAGCAGAAATGTCATAAATTCCACAATATGTGTCCATGGAGCACAAAAGGAAGGACGTTTCAGCCTGACGCTGTGGTCATGTGACGTGTCGTTCGGCCTTTTTCCCACTTGACGCTAAGAACGGCTGAGAACTTGTTGCTGCATTGGATCTCGAAGATGATCACGACTTTTTCCACAAATGGCCGCGGGGCCACTTCATCCATGCTCTACCGTCCTCCCGCACCCACTCCTCACCCTCCTGCGGCTGCAACACCAGTCATTCCAGTGCACCGTCCTACGCCAAATGTAACGGACGACTATGAACGTGAGTCTCCATGCTAGGGGCGTCACTGACACCGGAGCCGATGTTTTCTTCATGCTGTCTGTCTCTAGGCTGGTATACAGAGACTACCCCGAACAATCGCATGGTATTGTCCTTGCGTTCCGGGATTCACTCGGAAATCGGCTGGGCCTTCGATCGTCTTACACGGCTCTGCCACAATGAGCAGTTTACGCTTCGCGCAATTCCAGGACTGACCGACGCGTTGTTCGAGTGGCCTGAGTGGTACATCGCACATGGGCAGGGTGCGAACGCGCGGCTTGCTTCACTGTTTTCACTTTCACCTGAGGAAGAGCGTAAGCGGCGACACGGGTTAGAGGCATTGTTTGTCATGCGGAATGCTGCCGTCAATGTGGAGAACGCAGAGGAGCTGGCGGCGCACCAGCGGACGCGAGGTTTGATCACATCTGCACTGTACCAGGTCGCACCAGACACAGATACCAACGCCGAGTTCTTATTGCACATCCTTGAAATACTGCATTTCATGGCTCACGCGTTTCCCCTCCCTCCCCCATCCGCGCCACGAGAGTCTAACATTGTGCCCGCACTCACCGAACTTGCAGGACGCACTACCAACCGTTCCCTGATCTTGGCTTCGCTCACCGCGCTCAATTTGCTACTCGCCAACCCGGGCGGCCCCGGACACCTTACACCCACATCACCAGCCTTGGGTGCATGTCTGCGGTACATCGCCCTACTCTCCGACAAAGTTCTTGTTGATGTGTCTGTCAATTACTTGTACACACACCTCTCGCATCCCCCTCTGGCTCAAGCATTCCTGCTCCATCCCGACATGCCTGGCACACTAAAGCTATTGGTGAGCGTGATCATATCTGAGCAGCAGGACGATGTCGTTGTTCAAGAGGTTGGTGAACCTGTGTATACTGCACCGTCCATCGCCAGCACGACCAGAAATCATGAGCTCACAAAGGTAGAATTGGAAGCTCTGGTGGGAATGCCAGAACCACAGCGATGCTACGAATGGTGCGAGACAAGTCATTTTCTTGAGTCATCCATGGTATGACAGCTAAGTCACTTGTTAGGATGAGAGCAATGTTTGTCGCCAACCCACAAGGCGAACTCACGCAAGTCGACTTTTGGAACCTCTACAAGGATATTTTCGTACCCTTTCAAGATCGATACCACCTTCTCGTTGCATCAGATGTCATAAAGAACGTGAATGTCGTCTTCCCACAAGCACAGGCAATGGTTCTTCCCGGTCCCCCGCAGAAATTCGTTGTGCGAGGCGTAGATCGTCGAAAAGAAGAGAACGCAAGCGAACGTTTTCAATGTCGATGGTATCGGTCACAGTGCCCGTGCCCAGCACTCTCTTCCAGCGGAGAGTTGTACGATCACGTTCTCGAGCATATCAACGAAATTGAGGAATCAGAGAAGGAATGCGTTTGGTCAACCTGCCTTCATCCATCCTCTCCAAAACCTCATCTGCGTGCGCACATCCTTACTCACCTTCCGAGTGCACAACCCCCACAAAGGCATCCATCTCAAAGCGATACTGTCACATTACCATCCCAAGCCTATCCGTATCCGACCCCCGATCCTACGACGCGGCCGCTACCCCCACCGCGCCGTACCACCGTCACATATCGAAATCCGCGGCCCAACCCGCCATCCGCAGCCCTTACGGCCTTGCTGTGCGTCCGCATTCTCTTCCGCACGTCATTTATGGCGATCGAGAGTGCTCCCCGTGTCGATGCGGATCATTTTGGGTTTCCGGGAATTGTGGAGGAGACTGATCAGGAGGAGACGGAAGTGCAGATCGTCGCGGAGGAGGAAGGGATGAAAAGAGGGGAAAAGGCGTTTGTGGGCGTCAGGCGGTTGCTGGAGGGGGTGCGGATCCAGGAAGAGGCATTGATGGGGTGGGTCACGGAAATGATCCAGGCAGTGCTTTAGGGGCTCGATGAGGTCGGGTGCCCTGACCGCGCGGCGGCCCGCGACAATGTAGCGGTCTAATTTATTGGTTCGTTTTCAGTCCCGTTCTCGTCGACACGTTTTTGGGTAGGCGGCCTATTTTCTCATGATACCAAGCAGACATCAGTTCAAAAGTAAATGCGCCACGGCACTGTATTTTTGTTCAACGTATTGTGTTCTTGCACCAATTCATTTTTTGGGTGCAAGGTATGTAACTGAGGCAACAAGCTAGGTCTGACGGCAACTTCCGCATCAGCGATACAGCCCTAACTACGAGTCTTGATAGTTCATTGCCGCGACATATGAGTCCTCGTAGATATTCCGTTCAATACACGTCGAAGTTTGCAAGCACCTGTACTAAACTATTCCAGGAAAGCTAAAATGACCCTTTCAACTCCAGCACCCTTACCTAGAACTGACTCATCATCTACAGGGCCTCACACCTATCCAGATAAGTCCGAAGGAAAGCGGGGCTTCGTTCTGGTCGAATTTTCTATCCTTGGATGTGGACCGGTCCTTCTTTTCTACGAGGCTGAATGCGCTTGGCAAGGAGGATTGTCTCGGGGATGTCAAGGTCGGCTTCTAGCGCTGTAAACTGACCTCGCTTGACTTGCGTCTTCAGTAGCCGCTTCTAAACGCGTTGTTCTCGACATGTCTCGAGCATGCACGGACTACGCCGTATGGAGACGTTAGGAAGACGCATGCTGTAGAGATGCTGACCATCTTGATTCGGCGTCTTCTGGGAAAGAGCAACTTAGCGGGATGGGAGGTGATGGAAATGTTTGCTGGGGAAGTCAACGAGAGCGACAAAGTGTTCATGGTGAGTTTCTACTGTGTGTGATTATCTCTATATTCACTTTTTGGTGGTTCAGGACTTTGCTACCACTGTGGACGTGATCATTGGAGATGCCGAAGCGCCAGGTGAGCCGTTCGAACCTGTCATCTATGATATATCCAGGAGCTGAAGAAGATTGGATTGAAGCAAGTCTTCGCCATGAAGTTCTTCAGTTGGCCATCATCTTCATGTGTGGAATCAACCAGTTGAGCCCAGGAGCCTACTTCCTACGACGCGACTTATTCGGGTCCATACTGTCTGTAAGTAATTGACAAGACATCCGAGATGTTCGTCTGCTCAGGTCAACGACTCTTTTCGTAACAGATCATGAAAGACCCAAAGACAGAGATGTACACATTCGAGGCTCTGCTTCTCCTCTCATTACTCGCGAATTTCCATAAATCTGATGCGGCCAAGCTCAACCCATACCTTCAACGAATCGCAGAAACAACAGATATAGCTCTTATGCGGAATATCTGTTGGGCAGCAAACTTTGCTACTGCCGCTACAATCAAGTAAGTATTTTGATCAAACATTGTATCACACTCAAATGAAATCACTCATGATGTACGCCATGTTCAGAGCGTACCAAGTAATCTCAGATGATTCGCCGCCGACCATGGCCTCAGCGTTTACCCCCCTCGTAGCGTCTCTGCGCCTTGATCATGCTTTGTCTTCGACACCAGTAGATCCTCCACGGGAATTGTTCAAAAATCAGTACGTCGTAATGCACACATCAAGAAGATGACCTCATCTCAATGGTTCCTGTAGACCCATTGAGGCATGTCTAGTCCTCTTGCCCGTTTTCGAGTTTCTACACAGCAACAGAACTTTCTTGGATGTACTATTGGAACCGATGCTTACTGACACTGACAATAAACCCGCGCCTACCTCCTCGTCGCCTCTGCCATATAATTTGATAACTTTATCTTCATATTTAACAGCTCATGCTACGTCGCTGTCTTCGCCTCGTGCCATCGCTTATGCAAATCTCGCCCTGAGCATCCTACTCACCTTCGTAGAGAAGGAAGAGATTATGCGACTCTTCTCACAGCCTAGCTTAACCGATATCAGATTATGCCGTCAGGTGAGCGATCATACACGACTTTTCTCAGCCTGTACGCTGAATTGATGACATAAAGAGACTGCCTGTGCTTCCACTGACGTCTCCGCCTCGTCCGCCTGTATGCGCTATATTGGATTGCTGTGTTATATGGCTTCGTCACAATTTACACAGACAGTTGGAGGTATATATGTATATGTGGGTCCTTGATAGTAAATATCACCATTCTCAGCTAATTGATAGTAGAACTTGTGTACGGATATGCCATCGCGTATTGTGGTATTTACAAAAAGAGAGCATCCGCCTTGGTACGTCGTATTCGACTCTGCAGCGAATCTCACACGATAATCATGAGCAGAGTACCACTGGCTGGAACTCTGGAAGGCCGTGTTTGGATTGTTGGATTTCCTGGTAAACAAGCTGGACAGCTTAGCTACTACAGGAGGCATCCAAGTACTCGCACAGGAGGTAAGTAAACAACAATGAATCACACGCGCCTATTGATTGAATGTCGCAGACTATCTTATTGCTAGACTCTGCATTCCGCAAAGCCGATGACTTTCTTCCCGCACCTAGCGCTGTTCATGCGTCCATGGTGAGTATTGCTTCATGTCCCGTTGTGCACTGACGCATCATTCCTCTCAGTATGAATTAGTACGATCTGCGCCCGCATTGCGCAAGCTGAAAATAATGCTTCGATCCTTGGCTGTGCCCAATTCGTCGCTTGACGAAAGCCCGTCCAATGCCCTATCAAGACTCATAGCTGCGGCAACATATTACGAAGAGAAGATCGCAAGCGCTCAGTCTCGCACAGCCAGTCAAGCACTACGCGTTGTGGCAAAGAACATCGATCAGGATGGTATACACGGCCTAGATCATGAATCACACACAGAGAACCCACCGTGAGTGCGCTTATCGTTGGATTAACGTTGTGTCAGGTTTAAACGTCCTGTTCGTTATTTCGGGCAGGCGGCGGTCAGAGGACGTAATTATCTTCCTCAGGCAAGCGTACGTGGACGGGATGTCCTTGATGCCATGAGGAGTGTTTTGTATGGAGTCATATCATTACCTACGAATTGATATCGTGCGATTCGTGTATCAAATGAAACAGTAAAGGGTGCCTACGGACCATTTGAGGGTCATCTCGGTCGGTCCTGTGTTCAGCGAAGTCCATATCCAAAGAATGGTGTTCACAGGGCCCAGTGGTCAGAGGTGGTCAGCTAGTCACTAGGTCTAGATGGCCCTGAGTGTCCTCGAGACCTGTCTTCGACATCGGGCGATGAGCTGTGATGAGGTACTATGGAATGTGGAAGAGGAGAGCCGTCGGAATTGCTCCGAGCCATCCGAAAAGGGAAGAAAGAAAAAGTTTTTTCACAGCGATAAGTGAATGACTCGGGAATAGAGCTGGAGAAGGCGGCTTTTCAGTTTTTGGGTAGAAACACTAGGACGATAAGCTTGGATCTACTCGGTGAATGGCTCGGTGAATGCTCGTCGACACGGACGTCCCCGCGAACACAATGCTTTTTCTTTCACTCCCACCCACGCCCTCTCCCATCTTCCCTCGTCGAGCGCTCATTCCTCTGTTCGATGGCGGCCCTGCGCGTGGTCTCTGGAGCAGTATGCAGACGATTCGTCAACGCTCACGCGTCCCTCTCGCGGTTGTCGCGCTCTCATTGCCTGTCACGACGTGGCCTTGCTTCGGCCAAGCAGCCCTCTTCGTTGTTCACAGCGTTGGACACCTTCCCGGACCGACACATCGGTCCTGACGATGCTGAAGCTGCATATATGCTCTCCAAGCTGGGCTGCGAGTCCATGGAGGCCTTTGTGCAAGAGGCGGTCCCACCTAAAGTCAGGATCCCCCTCACGGCGATGACCGACAAGGTCATAGAGTCCTTGAGCGAGAACGAGCTCAACTTGAGGGTAAAGCAGCTTGGAAAGGAGAACAAGCAATTCAAGAGCTACATTGGTATGGGATACCACAATGCTGTCGTACCTCCTGTCATCTTGCGCAACGTGAGTGAGGCTCTTTTGATTACAGTATAGACACTCAGAGCAATCTTCTGATAGGTCATGGAGAACCCTGCCTGGTATACTCAATATACCCCCTACCAGCCAGAGATTGCTCAAGGTATGTCGTGTGACTTATTTACAACGTGTCGTGATCCGATGTTGTTCTACGATAGGGCGTCTCGAGTCGCTGGTCAATTTCCAGACAATGATTATGTCCTTAACATCGATGCATATAGCGAACGCTTCGCTTTTGGACGAGGCCACAGCAGCCGCAGAAGGCATGATCATGGCGTATGTTGCCTCAGGTCAGAAGAGGAAGACTTTCTTTGTAGAGAAAGGTGTTTTGCCACAGACTCTCGGGGTGCTTCGCACGCGCGCGAAGGGCTACGGTATCCGCTTGGTCGTTGGAGACGCAAGCACTGGCCTCAATGACGAAACTTTGCGCTCCGATCTTTGCGGTATTCTACTTCAATATCCAGATGTCGACGGCCACATCAAGGATTTTGGAAAAATCACTGAACAGGTTCATTCATTGAGCGGTTTGGTAGTAGTTGCATCGGACCTTCTCGCATTGACTATGTTGAAGCCGCCCGGCGAGTGGGGTGCCGACATCGTCTTGGGCAACTCTGCCCGGTTCGGCGTCCCTGCCGGCTATGGTGGCCCTCATGGCGCTTTCTTTGCGTGCACTGAGAAGCTGAAGCGAAAGATGCCTGGACGGCTGATTGGTCGTAGCCGAGATGTCACTGGGCAGCCAGCGTATAGATTAGCTCTTCAGAGTGAGTGATTCTTTCTCTTAATGATGTATCTGTCTAACAATGAATCACGTAGCTCGAGAGCAACACATTCGACGAGAGAAAGCAACGAGTAATATCTGTACCAGTCAGGCTCTCCTGGCGAATATGTCGGCCATGTATGCGGTCTACCACGGTCCAGGCGGCATCAAGCGGATAGCGACAAAAGTGCATGGTTTAACACAGCTGCTCCAGTTAACGGTCGCGCAATATGGCTTCAAGACTACGAATGAGGAATACTTCGACACTCTCACGTTGAATGTAACTGGTGCTGTGCCCAACGCCGAAGTCTTACATGAAGCGTCGACCAGAGCGGGTGTTAACCTTCGCAGAATAGACAACGAGCATGTCGGCGTTACGCTAGACGAGAGTGTTGGACCAGTTGATTTTTTGCGCTTGGTTAACGTTTTTGCGTCAGCTGTATCTGTGCCCGCCGCTACCTTGGCTACTCTTCCGCACCTCGGGCCTTCTTCCTCTATCCCTCAGGCCCTCACGCGCACGTCGGAGTTCCTCCCTCATCCTGTGTTCAACAAACATCACTCCGAGACGGAAATGCTGCGGTACATCCATCACCTTCAGTCCAAAGATCTATCTCTCGTCCATGCTATGATTCCTCTAGGCAGTTGCACCATGAAGCTCAATAGCACCAGCAGTATGATCCCGCTGACTTTGCCGGAGTTCAGCTCCGTGCATCCGTTTGCGCCTCTGGATCAGGTCAAGGGTTACTTGGAAATGATCAAGGTAACATAGTACCCTAATAGTCGTCACCGCTGCATTTTTCTGATGTTGCGCTGTAGGAGTTTGAGTCCGACCTCTGCACGATCACCGGCTTCCATTCCTGCTCTTTGCAACCCAATTCAGGCGCCGCTGGGGAATATGCCGGTCTTAGTGTCATCAGGGCTTATCATGAGTCCCGCGGGGAGGCTCACCGCGATATCTGCTTGATTCCAGTCAGCGCGCACGGCACAAATCCAGCTGTGAGTTGCATGCTTTATCTTCAACGCTACGTTGCTGACGCATAGTTACGTTCAGTCTGCCGTGATGGCAGGTCTCAAGGTTGTTCCTATCAAGAGCTTACCAGATGGTAGCCTGGATCTGGTGGACCTTAAGACGAAAGCTGAGAAGCACAAGGACAACCTCGCTGCCTTCATGGCAAGTGTCAGCTATCATGTCACCTTGACCTTGACCGACGTCCGATCACTCAGATCACGTATCCATCAACCTTCGGAGTCTTCGAAGATGGTGTACAGGATGTAAGCCTAACCCTAGCCGATACCTTCGTCAAGGGAACTGTTCATTAATTTTGTTCCAAGGCTTGCAAAATCATCCATGATAATGGCGGTCAAGTATATCTAGATGGTGAGTGAATGCCAAATTCCTGAGTCGCCACGTGTGCTGAATGGTGTTCAGGTGCAAACCTTAACGCCCAAGTTGGTCTTACAAACCCTGCCATCTGTGGTGGTGATGTTTGTCACATGAACCTGCACAAAACATTCGCTATGTACGTTCCAGACTGTCTTGCTCCTATACAATCCTTTTCTGACAAGGCTTTCAGTCCTCATGGCGGTGGAGGTCCTGGTGTCGGGTAAGCTTATGCCATCTACAAACACCTTCTCTTCCTCATGTATCATACACTAGACCTATCTGTGTCGCGGAACACCTCTCTCCGTTCCTTCCATCGCACCCTATCATCACCACTGGAGGCGATAAGGCAATTGACGCCGTTGCTGCCGCCCCCTTCGGCAGCGCTTCGATTCTTCTCATCTCATGGGCCTATATCAAGATGCTAGGCGGCCAGGGATTGGCCGACTCTTCACGGATCGCCTTGTTGAACGCGAATTACATGGCGTATCGACTGTCTGGGCATTACAACCTGAGGTTCAAGAATGCAAATGGGCGAGTCGCCCATGAACTTCTAATCGACCTTGCCGAGTTTGACAAGGCGGCTGGTTTGAAAGTCGCAGACTTCGCGAAACGTCTACAGGTACGGTCGTATACACATTACTCTTGAGAGCGCAGTCATTGACATGTGATTGTCGGTCAGGACTATGGCTTCCATCCCCCTACTTGTTCCTGGCCTATATCGACGTGCATGTTGATCGAGCCGACAGAGTCTGAGACCCTAGAGGAGATTGACAGGTTCTGCGACGCGATGATCGAGATCCGCAAAGAAGCGGAGGACATCATTGCAGGCAAGCAGCCGAAAGATAACAACCTTCTCAAAAACGCCCCCCACCCTATGTCCGTCATTGCTCTGTCGGAAGAAGAATGGAAACGGTACCTGCTTTCTTCTTGTCAATGAATGAAATAATACTGACCTTTCCACCTTCGAAGTCCATACTCACGGCAAAGGGCCGCATATCCTGTCTCATGGCTACGCGAGAAGAAATTCTGGCCCACTGTTTCAAGAGTCGACGACGGTAAGTGTTCCAGCAATATGTTATACAATTCATTGACGAATTACCTCGCGTGTAGCATATGGCGACTTGAACCTTATTGTAAGTACACGCCACTTTTATTCTCACTCAACATTTTCTTACGATCCCTTTTCAGTGCGATTGCCCGTCAGTCGAGGACGCTGCGCACGACTTTTCATGAAAGACTAGAGCATTACATAGATTTACTTGGCTTTCTCCCTAGATAGGCCTGCCCAGCCTAGCCATATTGTTCAACCAACCAGGCTAATTGGCGTCGACGTTAATCCTGTAAATTATTGCGTTTGTTTTTCTCTTGGTTCTTCTCGTTCAACGCGAGCATATGATTTCCCTCGTCAGTCTCATGATTTGAGAATTCGACCGTCTGATCACGGCGAAGTGCCTGCACTTCTGAAGGCCACACCGCCCGCTGCATGTGCGCCCTGCGCCGGAGTTTATAGCATGCGAGTTCTAAATGAAGGCTGAGTAATTGGCTTCAGCGAGTGCGTGGTACTCTGATTCGTCCCCTGATGATTATTTTCAACATCTTTCTGTAGACTGTACATAGGATGGCGAGAGGCTGAAGACACTCCAATGCTGTCATGACGCAGCTTTGAACGTGTGTGATCGAGGCCAAAAATTTCAAGTGTCAACTAGGGATCGGGTAGATCAGGGTAGATCTCGACTCATTTATCTCTACGTTACCGATTATTATGTGGTGTGCCTGATTGCATGTTGTATAAAGGTCGCTGATCTTGAAGCATTGGGGAGTCCGCCTCTGTACGCAGTGCAGTCCGGTGTACAACTCTTTGCCGACCTTGACCACCGCCTGCGTGGTTGAATGTCTCCTTAACATTTTTGGCTGTCAATAAATTGGAGCCCCTCATCCCGTTAATCGTTCCTTTTAATGTCAGGTACGTACCAATTTCTCCTCTGGAGGTCCCTCTCAAGCCCCTCGCTCATTTTACTCCGTTGGATTTGCGTAGATATAGCAAATAAGGGACCTCCTCATCTGGGACACCTTGTCGAGGTCTACGCAACTCTTCTAATCGCTGGCGGTCAAGCTGGACTTCCCATCATCATCCTCACCTTCCTTTTCGCGAAGAATGTTCACCGCCATCCGACTGTTGTCAATTTCTGTATAACTATGATAATTTATTCGATCGTCTTTTGCTTGTTGTGAGTTCTTTCGCTTCTTTTCAGGCTCAAAACTTGCATTGTTGACTCGATGACAGGATATATGGTGGTCAGTATCGTTTAGGACACCCTAACAAAGCTCTGTGCATAGCACAAGCTTCCATGATCATGGGAACCCTTCCTATGTAGGTCGTTGAATATTGAAGAGAACCGCTGCTTCATTCTGACTCGACCGTGGCTACTAACAGGATGTGTGTTGCAGCTTTAGTCCTTGTTTTTCAAGTGAGTTTTTGGCCTAGTCATAACTTTAATTGGTTGAAATATTCGGCCGTAGTTGTGGGTGACGTTCCAAGAGCCTGGTTCAAAAATATTCAATACATGTAGCAACATATACATCAAAATAGCGGTCCGTATATTCTCGCTTTATCCACTATCCATCCTGAATGATGCATTTTCATAGCTCCTCGTCGCTCCTTACACTGCACTTTTGGGGTACGCAGTTGCGGGAATCATTGTAAGCGATATACCCTTCAAGCTCGTCATCTGCTTAACTTCTCGTCAGATTGGAGTGTCACGCCCAGAAGTGGTGAAGCCTTCTAATGGGTTATATTGTTTCCACAAGTTGAATTCCATGTACGGTCTTGGTTGTTCAATCCCTCGAAAATTCCTCACGTATTGAAAAAGTCGACGCTATGCTGAGCCCATACCTTGCCTTATTCTATTGGCCGCGACGGCAGGATTCGAAGGTATGTCCACCTTCATAGTTTCAAGTGCACTAATTCACCCTTAAATATGTCTCTTCGCAGTTGCTATCTTGGTCCAATGGTATCGTCGGTGGTACAAGGTGAAGCGAAACTTCCCTTTGGCCACGAGAAAGCTTGGGGCCATGGTCTGCTTGCGCGCTGGCCTCTTCACCCTCTACTCTTGGGTTGCTCTCGGGTCAGGATACCGTCGTGTTGTCTCCTTGGAAAGTTGCTGATGACTACCATCTAGATCGTCTATTTCCTTCGTCTTCGATACAGTTCCTGCGTTGCCTTACATGATCGAAGCCGGACGTAAGTAGTACATCTCACTTGTCCTCATCGCCTCAAATTTATGATCATTAGTTCCTGTGGCTGCGTTCATTGTCTTCGCGACGCAAAGGGTAAGGGTCCATCGTCGCTTTTCGACCTTGTATTCATGTATTAAATGTCGCATCCTACAGGACGTTATCGAAGCCTGGTGTTTCTGGAGACGGACGTCGGACAACGGGATAGGGCGTCGACCCTCTACTGCCGCATTGTTGGAAAATGAAGGCGGGTCTCCAATGGAATCTGTGCACCGTCAATCGTGGCAAGTTCGTGTTTAGGATGCAGCGAGATTTTGATTGCAAAGGACATTTTGTGAATACGCTATCGGTGCATAGTGGTTCTGATGGACAGAGTAGGCTGTACACAACCTTCGTTATCGTTTTGTGAATGATGAATCTGCGCAAATAGAAGCAATAACATGTGCGAGATGGACTAGCCACACAACTGATGCACCAACAGTGCCCTGAGCGTCTGACCACGTTGTCAAAGATGTGGAGAATACTTAGGTAGAATTTGGAGTTGTGGTACAGAGACCTCCCCAGAGTAGTAGACAAGCAAGTCTATGCTCCTCCACTGATGCAAGGAAAGGTAAATGATATGCGCACGGCCTAGAAGCGGGAGTGACGTACACTAAGATGTTATTACTGTTCGATCTTCAGCATCGCGCTACTTCATGGCAAACAATGATGAGCACTTACATCGGAATGTGAATAAGCTTCACGAAGTATCCAATGAAACCCATGACAGCGAATCCAATTGCAACGGCTTTGCAGATTTGGACGAATTCTAGGAGATAAATGTATTTGTTGGACTAGCCCTCCAAACGGACGGAATGTCTCGAGGCACCTTTCTGAGACGGTTTTGTGCACCGCACCAAGAACTGTCATAACGCTCAGTCGTGTGCTGAAATAAACTGAGTATACACATACTTGATTGCCGTCCCGCAGGAATTCTTGGGGAATTTCCATGAGTTCCTTGACCTTTTCAGACATTGCAGATGAACAAGGAAGAAGTAAAGGAGTGGGTAATCTGCAAGGGAAGATGGTGGTGGGTGTTGACGTGGAACTTGCGGTCATGAACACGCCTTCGCTGGGGGTGAACAGCTTTCCCACGTTGTCGGAAGGCACCTCTCCGACCAAGTCCAGCTCATGAAGCAGCGCCCTCAATTCATATTTGCGCATTGCAAGTGAGCTCTTCATCTCGCATATCACAGAGAAATGGCCTTGTGGTACTGAATGTGCGATTCTACATGGCAGGTACAACTCGCGTTGAATGTTCTTGTGGAAAGCCGTGCGCCAACCCACATCACTCTGTCGCCCAATATCTCGAAAGCACCGTCCCAAATACAATGTCTACGCGTCAATCGTGCATCGCGCCCGTCTAATATCCACATCATCTCCTGGAGCTGCCGTCAATCCCACAGTCGAGCTCGTTCAACAGTTTCGCGATCGTGTTTGGCATGCTATCACCAGCCCCGATGACCTTTCCAGGGTCCACGAGGCTTACACTGCTCTCAGAGGAGCCATATTCACCTCTGAAGATGCTCAAACGGAGGCGAAGGATCAAAAAATACTTAGCAAAGCTGATTTTAGCGATGCTCTGGACGTCCTGGCCTCTTCTGGGGAGCAAGACGATCTCACTCTTGCTCAACAAATCTTGGGAGATGTACTAGCTTTGTTTGGAGAATCTGTCGTACCAGAACTCGAACTTGCGACCATCAAGAACCTAATTCGTCGTGGCAATGTTCAAGCTGTTTTCAATTGGATCGAAAGCATGGAACACCCCGACCTCAGCCATTGGCATCTCTTTTTCGATTTTTGCTCAAAGCAGGGGAAAATTGATGCCATGTGGGTAGCGATCAAGCGTATGTCTCACTCGGAGTCTCCCCCGACCAACGAAACTTTCAAATTTATACTGCGCGCACTCTTCCAATCATCATCTGTTCCTAGCCTTGCGAAGGTTCTTCACGTTGTAGATCACCTTCAGCAAGCGCGTCTTCCTTTCGACGCCTCCCTCCTCTCGCTGATGGTTGAAGGCTTCACCAGCCGAGGTCTTTTTGTCCAAGCGAACAGACTGGAAGTAGTATATCAGTCGAGGATAGGTCAGCGGAAGCATACTGCGCCTGCGACAGAGCGAGGCCGCAACTATCGACTTGCGAAATGCTACCGAACTGAAGGAAAGCAATTCGCGACCCACTTGTTCAATTCTTTCCGACAACGTGGTTTCAAACCTCATCATGACACTTTACTTGCGATCATCAGCGCCTCATTTGCTCTTGAGGATCTTCCATATTGGGAGGAGACATTGGGTGTCGAAGCAAACCACGACGTTTGGACTGGTTTGATCAAAAATTCACTAGCGTCAAAGCGTCCTCATTGGAGGACGCTGAAGATATATGCGCAGGCCAAGGAAGTAGGAATTCGACCCGATGTCACGTTGGCCGGACCTCTCATACGTGCTCTCTGCGCAACATACGTACGCCCCCCTACTGCTGAAGCTATCGACCAGGCACTTGAGTTGTACCGAGACATCAACATTCCTTCGTCCCAGGCTTCCGGTGAAGCCGGGGGCACAGCAGAAGCTGCGGCGCAGTGGCTCACCATTCATCACATCCTTATTCGCGCTTTGATTGCATCTCCAGCTAAAGAGAAGCATTTCAAGATCGCTGTCGAATTATTGAAGGACATGTGCAGGCGCAAAGAACCCATGGATAGCACGACCGCGACATCGCTCACCACCCTCCTTATGCGCGCAGCATCTGATTTCAACGAAGCTTTCGTTTTCTACACCTTTATGCGAGACTACGAAGAAGCTCCCCTTGACGCTCATGGATACGCTACCATCTTGCACACCTTCAGCGACCTACAGTTCGACAATAAAACTATCCCACCATGGGACAAATATTTCCAGATTCTGAGGGATATGCGTACCGCAGGTCATTCATATACCCCTCACGTTTACACGAGCGTTTTGCGTCAAATGGCTAGGATCGCAACGGGACTCTCTCCGGACGACCCGGGCGATTTCGATGCGTATCGAAAGCTCATCCTCTCTATTAGACAACTGCATCACTTCCTCACACTCGACGCCTCTCTGACTCCGGACACGGCATTGTGGAATCAGTTGATGGACACATACCAAAGATCATTATGCTACCAGGATGCACAACGTATCTGGGATATGCTCTACCTTTCCCGCGCAATCGATCAAACCAGCATCAGCATTATCTTCGATGCTTATGGATTCGCAGGTGCTTCGAAGGCCGCCTTTCGGTTATTTGAAAAGCTTCACGAGGACGGCTACCGGTTAAACCTCCGGAACTGGCATGCTTGGTTGGAGTGTCTGTGTCGTTCAGGCCAGTTCGGGGAAGCTGTAAGGCAATTGTGCGTTGAGATGGGGAAAGGAGTAGATGACGTGGCGCCTGACGAGGACAGCGTTCGCATAATTCTCAAGTTTGCTCGCCATTATTCTGCGCGGGTTGTTGCAGACGTCCGTTCACGCATTCAGGCACACCTTCCAGGACTGTGGAAAACACTTCCAGACCATCTACGTCACTGATTCTCCAGCCACAAGAACACTTCATAGCACCTGGATATTGCGCGATACATGCCGATCTACACCTCGCATCCCCAACCAAATAGAAGAGTACTACTGCCGATGCTTAGTAGTTTATTGGACTGTGTTACTCCCAACCAACAATAATCCAAACCGAGGACCAGGCTTCACAAGGTCCATCGCGGGCCGAGCATGCTCGCTAATCGGTACTCCGAACTGTAGAAGGGAGTTGGGCTTGCCATTTTTGCTCGTCGACTTGCTGAGCGGTGTCGGGGGCCAGGAAGGTGGAAGAAGAGGCGCCAAAAGGATCTGGGTACGCGATATATGCTCCGACATATCACCTTCCAGCTCGAGGTCGACAGTTTCTGGACCTTTTATAGGCGGCTTAAATTGCATTGATCAATACCCAATTCCGTATCTGCTTTGAGTGTAAGCCTACCTCAATGTCCGGTCGAGTGAGTCCGTCGATGCGCGCAATTATTGAAGCCCATGTATCGCCCCAAAGCTCGGACAGACTGCGTAGGAATTTCAAATTCCAACACGTTTGGACGTCCAGCGTTTGTGAAGTGACTTCATCGAGCAATGAAGTGACAAAAAGTTGCAGTGTTGCTTCTGAAAACCTATTTTCCCGGGAAGAATCTAGCGACATTCCCAGATTTTGTAGAGAGTTGCACATGGAAAGCAGAGCTTGGATGAGGGACGAAGAAGGACCCAATGATTCACTTGTGAGGTCTGGAATGCTATTAGCTTGGCACTCCTGTACGTTCTCAACGACTTACTGTTGCGCGCGCAGCTCTCACGAGCCGTTCGGTACAAAGCAAGGACATTTCTGATAGTGTATTCTTGCCAGCGGTTGACAGCGAGCTCGCGGAGGGCCTGAGCCTTTCCCTGAAAATCTGCAAAGATGGGATTAATATCTGCCCCTCAAAAAAGGAGCAAAAACTGACTATTGCCCGCGTCGGTCCCACATGACACATTGGACAAAAAGGAGGATAACGACAGCTCGTTGGAGATGCGCCCGAGAAACGCGATCGCACCCATCGTTGCACCTTTTGAGTGTATCAAGCTGCTGTCCGGATGACGATGTGCAAAACGTACTGGATTCCTCTGTTACGCTGGCCATACTGGAGGAAATAACGTCAATGATCGCGGCACATAGCTTATCGGCATCAGGGCGATATGCCTCGTTCAACTGAGCAGTGAGTTCCCTGTGGAAGGTTCGCCTCGTCAAGTACTTTGAGAAACATGAGTTGCACTTACCGACTATCGCCCTCGTCTTTCCTCACGGCGCGAAGATCCTTGTGTAATGCCTCCGCACGACTTTCGATCGCCTTCAGCACACCATCTAGGAGGGGCGTCCGACCAGTTACCTGATATCGAAGAGCCGATTCGTACTTCCTGAATGAATATATCATGCTGGCAGAGCCCACACCTGCGTCATGTAGAGACAGCGCAGGAGGCGCCTGAAACAAAAATTTAGCGGGTGATGCATCTGTTCAACATGATCCATTTTTCAACCGTGCTCGGAACACAGCCGTAAGATGGAGAACACACCTAAGACGTTATCACTCGCGCCCTCGCACAGTGCTGTGAACGCCGAGTTCAATTCGGCTCGGAACACATCCTCTATATCTTTCAGAGCCAACTTCCAGATCTGCACGGCCTGTTTCTCTACAAGAGCGTCGATAGACTCCTTGAAAGCTGCCCTTTCGCTCTCCTCCAGGTGCGCATTTTCACTGACCCATTGTCGGACCCACGTCCGGATGACCCATACTTCCTTCAGGGTCTTCAAGTCAGAGAACCACTTTTCCGCGGCGACTTGTAGCTCGCGGATCGCTTTCTGAAACCAGTCCTGGACCCGGTCAGATAGTAGCTTCTGGGATAAAGACGAAGACGAAGAAGAAAGGTCGATGTACGGTTTATATGAGCGGATGCTTGGAGGAAGTACGGCATGCTGAGATCCTGATGGAAGGCTTCCGAGGATATTGGGTGTCGATATCTGGAGCTCTGGTGGCAAAGACGTGTCATGCGACGAAGTAGAGTCGGATTGGATGAATTCGAGCATGCGAACCATCAGAGAACGTCTGCGGGAGCCATCATCACTGAAAATGTCGCGCGCAGCTCCGACTGTCATTGCGATAACTTCAAGGACGGCCGTGATATTCTCCCGAACCTCGCGGACGACAGCCTTCCTTGATTTGTTCGATGCAATGCCATTCGGTGTTTGCGAAGAGTGGCCGTTCAACGATGCCTTCGCACTGCGCGAAAGCGACAGCTGAAGGCCCTTGGTGCGTTGTGACAAGAAGACGATCAACGTGTCGTTGAGTGGTCGGGATTCTAAGAGGTGCAATGTCAGCAAAGTCGAGCATATATCCTGGTTCAGACATCAGACATCACTCCAACCATGAAGAAATAGGGCTTATGTATACCTCTACTGATACAGCAAATTCGCGAAGGGATAGCGTTGCTTTGTGGACAATCTGTGAACGAAATTGGGCAATGGTGTCCCACTGACGCTGCGCCAGAGGAAATTGTTCCTGTTTCGAGATAAACACAACGCGATGAGAGCGAGGACATTACTGCTGCTTACGGTCACATCAATACCATATGCCTTCCAACTCTCCTCATCCTCGTCCTGATCCTGGGCATTTTCTCGCACTAGCACCCTGTGAAGGACTCTTGCAAGCAGAAATAGCCACGCCGCATACAGAAATTTCTTTCTCTCGATCAATCGCCATAGATGTTCGGGAGTGTCCAGCAAAAGCTTCATATGCGCCGCGAGCGATTGCAGCGCCTTCAAATATATCTCTACGCGCCGTTCCAAACGATCAGCGCCAGTGCCAGAAGACACATTGGCAACGTACCGTCCTTCTCACTCGTAGAGACCTGCCTCTGAAGGTGCGGCTCATCTGCAGTGGGTATAGAAGCCTTCATTTCGTCCAGAGCCTCCAGCACGCGTTTAGTAGATTGTGCAATGGATATTATGGAGGTGGACGCTTGCAGGAGGTCCCGGTATCGTTCCCTGTGCTTTCGAGTTACAGTTCTAACAAAGCACCGCGAGGCGAAGCACATAAACGCACCCAACCATGAGCCTGAGCTCCTCCTGCTTGGCATCCGCATCAGCCCTGGTGTGCGACTACTGTGAGCGCTCAAAGGGCAAAAGCAAAGGTTCCGCACGCACCTAAGACGTTGGTGGATATTCTTCACTTCGGACACGGAGTATCGGGTAAACAGGTCATCGGGGTCTGTTCCTTTGGCTACCTCCGCTGGCTGGGCAAGTGCAGACAGTGATGCAGAACGGGGAGGCCATGGGGACGTCGGTGTTCTGAAACCAGCTGGCAAGGACGACGCGGCTTGTGGAGGAGATGTTGCGATGCGGGAGAGGGTCGAGGACGATGCCACGGAAGAGGAGATGGATGCGAGCGAAGGACGCCTCGCCATGTCAATGAACCCGCCAGTTCATCCACTCACTGCAAGCCAACGTCTCCAGCCCGGTCGCCGTTCGGCATCCCGGCCCGCTCGATCCGCCATCGTGAAATCCAGACATTTGTCTCTGGCGAGCCCAGCTTTGACACGATTATCTGAACGATGTCACCTCGTACGTAGAGGAACGGGCAAGAGTATTAAATCGGCATTATGTACTAGATATAAGGACACGATAGGAGTGTCACAGAATCAGCTACTCAGTAGCATCTTCACGGGCTTTTCCTTTCCCCAAATCTACGGAGCCGATCGACCCCGAATTGCTACGCACAGGTGACGAGGGCATCGGAGGGCCGCCAGGCTCAGAAGATGCCGCTGCGGGGGGAGGGCGCGGCGCCGATGCTCCAGAACTGCCGCCCGGCGCAGACGAGTTGGCCATCCTCTGGTCCAGCGCTTTGAGAGCCATCGCCCTGTAGATAGAAGGACGTTATGAGCTTCAAGATGATTCGAAACGTTGCCGATGCATACCTTCGTCGTTCGGCCTCTGCACGAGCGCTGCCCGGTAGAGCATAGCCGTTGTTTTCCAGGTCAGCGCCTCCACCCGGAATGAGATGGAATCGAGAGGCGTATTTATATACCACATTCGACAGGAGTGTTATAGGGGTGCTGTAACATTCACGTCAGTCTCGAGACCATGTCTACGAAGAAGTCGGACATACTGCAGGGGCGGAGGGAACCAATACACGAATGCAAACGTCTCACTCCGGTCTCCGTAACTGTCCCCGCCTACAACATCTGCCGCGTTCTTTTTGTAGAAACGAAGCCAGATCCATCCGACGAAGAATCCGAACTGGATGACGATATATGGACATTGGAAGCCGATAATGCACATAACCGTCGAGAACGTGACATAGGCCATCGGCAATGTCTGTCAAGAGATTCGAATGCTTAGAATGAAAGAGCTGGACAAAGTCGGAGGAAGAATACCTTCACACGGGCCTTGAGGACTCCGAACAGCTGCACTTGATGCTCAGGAATAAGCTGTGTGAACGCAACAAGAATCGCGACCTGTAACGCCATCTGTCCATGATACTGCATTCCGTACCTGGGCGAGTTTAGACGTCAAAAACAGTGAAACAGGTCAGCACATACAATAGAAGGTCCGCGTTCCGCAACGCGATGAACTCTATCCAATTCAACCCAAACGCGATGATGTTCGAGAACGTGACGGACACCACGATGAATTTGATGGTCTCGACAGCTCCCCATAATCTCTCCAAATATCGCAAACATGGTGGAACAACGATTAACGATACAATCAACTGCTCGGTCATCAGTTCAAAGTCAGATGCGAGGCGAAGGAGAGCGGTCACGCACTTCAACAACACTGGTCTCTATGAACACCGACGTGAAGAACGTCCACGGGTAAAAGATGCTCGCCCCGGGTATGAGTACGAGATAGGGTGCAGAGAAACTGTTGCCGCCCTGCCATCGAAGCCAGAAATAAAACAGGGAGGAGATAGCCGTGGCTGCTGTAAAGAAACGCGTTACAGGCGGAACTGAAGCGATGAGCTGTAAGGGCGAGGATAAGATGGCCATGCTGATTACAAGGTCGTCAGAGTCGTCGGAGTCGTTCAAAATCCGCGACTTGGAAGCAACACCCTGGCGGCCAGAGGGAAAGCTGGTTCGCTTTGCAGTTGAGCTCGGTGGGTGGTGCTCTGAGAAACCCTCGCGTTCGCAGAACCCGACCGAGGAATTAGTTCCCACGCCTGCGTTATTGGATTTACACAGCGCCGTGACGTACGTAGAAACTCAATGATGTGTGACAAGCACTTCTTGCCACCTCCCCTCACCCGCAGGGATCTGCAGGATGTCGGACTACGACTTCCGCCCAGGTGGCTCCCTCAAGATCAGAGGGGGCGTCGCTGAGGGCGGCATCACTAAGAAGTACGCTTTTGCTCTGGCTGCTAGGCTTCCATTCGTTAACCTTGCGTGTTACAGGAAGAAAAAGTCGAAATCAAAAGGCGACAAGGACAAGAAGAAAGACGCCGTGAAGGAGGATTCTCCTGTTCTCACATCATCAGCTGACGGTAGCAGGAACTCTCCACTTCCTGGGAGCAGCAGTGATCGAAAGACAGAGGCAGAGAGGCGTTTCCAGGAAGTACAGCGCAAGAGGGTGCGTAAAGTTGGCATTCTTCTACGCGCCTTGCAACCTTATGTTGTTCAAATGCAGCTTGAAGAGCGGGTCAAGAAACTGGCGACGAAGACCCACAAGGACCGCGTTCACGAGTTCAACTCGAAACTCGAGGCGCTCAGCGAGCACCACGACATCCCCAAGGTCTCGAAGTCTCTGTTGGTTCGATTGGCCAGTCTTCTGATCTCCTCCGCATCTAGGTTGGACCTGGCTAAAACCCCTCGAGGACATTCGCCACCCCCTGCGTGGCTGTGGTTTTCGGGGGAATTTTGCCTTTTCTTCCTGGTCCTGCATTGCCGCAGATTATTGTGGAAATTCTGTGAACAAGACGATCTTTTCTGTAATTACGGCGTGCCAGGGGGTGTTATTGTATTGTATTTGTTCATCCGACTTGAAATAGATGGCAAGATGTCATATTAGAGCGCACTTTATATACCCGTGTCTTCCCTGAACCGGCACCATCACCTTTCACTCAGATGCATCGCCCATCTCGCCGCAAGCTCGAAACGAAGCCTGCTCCTCACGATCCACCTGGATTTACGACTGCGAGACCACACGTCTGCCCTCCGTCTGATGCTAAGCACCCAAAGGATCGCTGGGAGACTCTGTTCGTATACACGTTCCTGTGTAAGTTCACTCAGCTACGAACAAAAGTGGAGGGCTTCGAATCACCAATGGAGTATGTGGCCCACCTACTGTTGGTTGTTCTGAACTCTCTGATGGTGTCCAAAACGGTGCAGTCTCGAGGAGGCCTTGCTTTCGCATGAGCCACATCCCATCTTGACGCAGATCCTCACGCGTTTCGTGCTGAACCTCCGGCCACAAGCGCGTAATGTTAGGTGCGGACACCTCAGGCGGCCTCATGCCGACGCTATGCACGTTCACTGAGCGTTCCTTTGTTCCCAGTGCCGACCAAATCTCCAGCACCGTCCTCACGGTGCTCGCGGAATTCTTCAAAACATCCGAAAGAACCGTCTTCTGGAGCGATGAGCTCATGATGAACGTGGATCCCTTTCTGGGGCTGGACGGGGGGTTCTTTGCTGCGGATTGGGACTTGAAGGTACGCGTCGCTACCTGACCGTTACCTTGCGTGCGCTCAGCTGCCGTCCGCGACTGCAGCTCAAGGTGTTGCGTCAACTGGTCGAGCTGCAATTAACGCACAGCACAGAAATCAAAGGGAAGATTGACCGCGCGTGGGGCGTGGTCCACAACAAACACAAGAAAAAGGAGCTGCCCGACCCTCCGCCCCTGGATCCCATGGACCCTAATAGTATGGAAAACCTCCAATTCATCCCGTTCGGCCAGGACATGCGTCGGACACGATTTTGGATTGTCGATGGTCCGTGCACGTTCCCTTCACCCGCTCCCCGTATTTGTATGTATTTGGGCGAGGACTGACGTCTTTTGGCCATTTTTCGTTTTGGACGACACGGCTTTCGCCGCCCTGGTAATTTATGCCCTTTTACATTTCATCGTTGTCCCCTTTACGCCATTCTATTTACAGACTCGCCGCGAGTCTATACTTCCACAAATCCGTGGAAAGTATCGGCGGTCATCACCGCCGTGTCCTCCACGCGAGAGGAATATGCTGCGCTCGTCGAGGAACTCAGAGAAAGGTCTCCTGGAAAGGTCAAGGACGAATCCAAGAGATCCAAAATGGAGCACGCGCACATCGCGCTCGTCAAAGCTCTCGAGAGCCGCCTGGAGCTTATCGACAATGAGATAGCGGTGAGTAATTTACCTGATTCGGCCGGGCATTGTGTCACGGTAATCAGCGTGCATCTACGTCACTTTTTTGCTGCTGGGAAAAGAACGCGTCGACGAGACTGATATTGTTCGATAGCGGATACAAAAGGCTCGCAAGAAGATTGAACAACGCAATCTCCTGCTGGCGCAAGCCGAAATACGGCAAACGCGGACGCGACGACAAACGAAGCGTCCAGATTATGTTTATTACGGCGGTGGGGACGAAGATGTGTGTAGATGTGACTCATCTGCTCGGTTATCTGATGGACTGCTTGATTTGTCTGCATTCAGGAGGACGAGGACGAGTACAAGTACGGAGAGGATGATCCCTACGAGGATCCGCTCGAGGGAGGCGATTTTGCTCGGTCAGACACCGGCTCTGGATCAACCGGCCACCATGGAGACGCCGAACAGGGACGGCGGCGGTCAACACGGACCAAGGCGCTGAACGGCAATGGAAAACGTCTGGCGACGGATACGTGGAACTCGTGGCGGGGGGAGCGGCGGTCTGCACGCCTAGGCGCCCCGTCAGACATTCAAGTGGACGAACCAAGACCGAAGCGCGCGCGCACGGAGGAAAGCACGATCAGCGTTGTCTCTGTGGATGATCTAGGCGGTAGCGCGAGCACCCAAGGCACGAGCGGCGCGAATGGGAATGGGAATGAGAATGGACCGAGGGCGGCAGCGGTCAAGCCCAACGAGATCGCCATGGAGCAGGTTGCAGGACGGAAGAAGAGCAAGTTCTGGTACTATGCAGTGGAGCCCATACCGACGCCGGTGCCAGTTTCGTCGGTGTCCTCTGGGTCAAACGGGGCGAAGGGGAACGAGTTTTCTTCAGGCGAGGTCGGCAAGAAACGTTCAGCCGGTCGGGGAAGCGACATTGCGCCGAGAACCAATGGCGCTTTAGAGGGGAGCTTGTCGCCTGCATCGAGCTTGGAGGACTTTTGACCAGTGGACCTTTTGAAGCGCCTCTCAGACTTTGTCTCTCACCACCTCCGCATGCTGCCCCTCGAGCCGCCCACGCGGCATCTAACGTCTACCAAGCGCATTACTAGTCTTGCATATCATGGTATTTTCGAACCTAATAATTTAAAGAAGAAGCACATAAGTTACGACGCATTGGAATAGTTGCGGTCAGTGCTGCGGCGTGTGTGTATAATGACAGATGATCGATGACGTCTGCGGCTTGTGTGCCGTCACGAAAGAAAGTGGAAAGTTAATAGAGCGAAGGCGCCGGCGGGTCTGGACTGACGAGCGCGGGCGACGGGATTGGGCAGGCGAGAGATCCGATCGCGTGATTCCCCATTCGAGCGCATCGCGTCTTTGCAGTCGACCACCGCTCGTTGGGGTCACCACACTCGCTCCCTCTCGCTCCCCACCTCCTCTCTTCATGCTCGCACGTCATGCGAGGGTCCATCTCTCAAATGCCCTGCCCCGCCTCCCCGGGCGCTGCCGCTCCCTCGCAAAACACGCCGTCCGCCAGGGGCCAAGATCCTTGGCCACGATAGCCTCCACCTCCTCTGACGACTCGGCCCTTGTACCCTTCTTCGACCACCCTCCCTCCTCGTCCCCACGTCCACGTCCCTCTCTCACGGGCCTCTTTGGCGCTCACCCCCTCCATTCCCCACACTCATTTCAGGACCTCGCCCTCGCTACTCTCGTCCGCGCACACCTCCTCACGGAGCGCATCGTGCGCGCTAGGCATAATCGCGATGAGCTCTTCAAAGTCGTCAAGAACCTCGACCGTCTCAGCGACATGCTCTGCTCTGTCATCGACCTCGCAGAGCTCATTCGTAATGCCCATCCGGATCAGGAGTGGGTCGACAGTGCAGAACAAGTCTACGAGCAATTATGTGAGTTCATGAATGTCCTGAATACACACGTCGGCCTCTACGAGGTACGTCTCTCTTCCCTGGCCCCCGTCGACCTGCTTGACATCGTCCCGCTCGGAGTAGGTCCTTCGAGACGTAATGTCCGACCCGAGCATAACGGACACCCTCAGCCGCGAGGCGTTCCAGACCGCCTTGATCTTCTGGCGAGACTTTGAAAAGTCTGGCGTCAACCTCCCACCGGAACAGCGCGACCGCTTCGTCTCCCTCTCTTCTGAGATCCTAGTGCTCGGTAGACAGTTTCTGAACGAGGCCTCGGCCGCGCGCCCACCCGCCACCATCAAGCACTCCGAGCTACAGGGGCTGAAGGATCATGGCCTGGGCTCTCGGCTGCAGTGGCAGTCTCGCTTCACCCGAGATCTGCTCGTCTACCCCGGCTCACTGCAGGCCCAGATGATCATGCGCTCTGCCCCAGCTGAAGAACCCCGCCGGAAGGTCTACATGGCGTCCAACTCGAGCTCTCCAAAGCAGGTCGAACTGCTGGAGGCTCTTCTGCAGGCTCGCGGCCGGTTAGCGCAGCTGGTGGGTTCGCCTAGTTTTGCCCACATGGCGCTAGGAGACAAGATGGCCAAATCTCCAGGTAAAGAAACAGAAATACTTTTCGCCTTCTTGTTGCTTATGTGTTTACTAGAAAATGTGAATCAATTTTTGGATACCCTATTGGACCACACGCGACCGCATGCACGACGAGCATTGCGGACTCTCAGCATGCGTAAACAGGCACATCTTGATACTGGACCTTTTCCTATTATTCAGGCCTGGGATAGAGATTACTACTGCCCACCAGAACCTCCCGCGCCGCCCATCCCACTTCCTCCTCTCACCATCGGCACGTGTTTTAGGGCCCTATCTCGATTGTTCCAGAATCTGTACGGTGTCACCCTTCGTCCATCTGACGCGTCGTCACAAGAGGTATGGCATGCTGACGTGCGAAAACTCGAGGTCGTGGACGAGAAGGACGGGTTGCTGGGCTGGATCTATACGGACTTGTTCGCGCGGAGGGGGAAGTCCAGCGGCGCGGCGCACTACACGGTCCGATGCTCGCGACGAACGGACGACGATGACGAAGCGGGCGATCTGGAGCCATCAGAGGAACACAGGGAGCTCGTCCAACTATCACGCGCATTCGAGGCGAGCAATCGGCACCGAATGCCAGACGGCATCTTCCAGCTTCCGATCGTCGTCCTGCTGACTGAATTCTCGCGGCCACCCCTTTCGCGAGGGCCAGCGGTCCTGGAATGGCACGAAGTGTTGACCCTTTTCCACGAGATGGGTCACGCCATGCACTGTAAGCCCCCCTGCTCTTCGGACCGCGCCGCACGTCCCACAGCTGACCTGCCGTAGCCATGATCGGGAAGACGGAGTACCAGAACGTCTCGGGGACGCGTTGCGCGACGGACTTTGTGGAGCTGCCCTCGATCCTCATGGAGCACTTCCTCACCTCCCCCACGGTCCTCTCGCTCTTCAGCTCGGCGGACGACGCGGCCGCGCGCCAGGTGGGGAACCACCACGAGGACCCGTGCCACAACATCGACACGCACGGGCAGATCCTGCTCGCCGTGCTCGACCAGGCGTACCACTCGCCCGCGGCGACGGAGCCCGGGTTCGACTCGACGGCGACGCTCGCGCGGCTGCACGCCGCGCGCGGGCTCATCCCGTTCGTGGAGGGCACGTCGTGGCAGACGCAGTTCGGGCACCTCTTCGGGTACGGCGCGACGTACTACTCGTACCTCTTCGACCGCGCGATCGCGTCGCGCGTCTGGCGGAAGCTGTTCGCGCGGGACCCGCTGAACAGGGAGATGGGCGAGCGGTACAAGCGCGAGATTCTGCGGCGCGGGGGCGGGGAGGACCCGTGGGCGATGATTGGGTCGCTGTTGGGGGCGCCGGAGTTGGAGAGTGGGGACGCGGAGGCGATGCGGGAGGTTGGGCGGTGGCGCATAGAAGACGAGGTCGCGATACCGGGGAGGCATTAAACATTCACTACACAGCAGCAGCAGCAGCATCTCTTCGCAATCTTGCCACACCGCACTTTAGCAGCACGTTATCTGTAGGTAGTAGTCGCGTCGTCACCCATGTATCTTTATTGCACGATCTCCACTCTTGACGGATCTTCTTCACCGGTTCACCAGTGGCACTTTTTTTTCGGATCTTTCGGCCCTCGTTCGGATTTTAGATGCGTGTGTGGCGCGTTCCTTTTGCGTGCGATTTGTATTCTGGCGGGATGGGCCTACAGTAAAGTACACTACACTACGTCTGGCGCTGATAATTAGCATGGGGGGGATGAAGGAAATGAGAGACAAAACGAGGTGAGGCGACAGGGACAGCGAGGGGAAAACAAGATGTGGGTATGTGTGGCAAAGCGTGACATATGGACTAGACGAGAGCGACGAGATAGCGGGAAAAAACAAGACACGGACAAGCGGTGAGAACAATGTCATAAGAAGGGAATATAATAATAATAGGGACAGCGGAGAAGCGGTGGGTCGTTCTGTTACAAATGAGGTCTTTGGGTATTATCGAACCGACACAGCGAACACGGGAACGTACAGGTTATGTGAGTCAGTCAAGGTCCCATAGACCAGTCCACATCTGTGACTGGTCTCCGAAACCGGAGTATATATCGAGTCCGAACGTGTCGGGTGGGGGGTTCATGTCGGGGGTGAACATGAACGGCAGCAGCATGTCGTCGACCAACGACATGGACTGGGCGTATCCGGTCGAAGCCTGAGAACAGGGGGCCACAGAGCCCTGCGGGGCGATGGGCTCGCAGGCAGGAAAATGCGCCAGGGTGATCTCGTCGAAATGGCCCCAATCGATGGCCGAACTCGCGCCTTGTGGTGTCGCCGCCTCAGGACTTTCGGATACCAGCGCGGGGGTGTTCGGAAGAGTGGCTGAGGAAGTCGTGGGGTGGGTGGCGGTGGCGGCGTCGGGACTCGACGCTGAAAGCAGTGCCAGTACATCTGATACGGAGAATATGGGGTCGTCTAGATTCACCGTAGGATAAGTGGGGGCTGTGAATGACAGATTATTAGTGATACGAATCTTCGTCGTATGAGCATTGGCTCACTTTGGACGGGTGGGACCAACGCTAACGAACTATATGGGTCATTCGTCGATATTGTGGGGTCGTCGATGGACACGATCTGGGGAGGTTGCGGTTCGACATCTGGGGGCGTGTGGCGACTTGTCGAGAAGAGCCCGGCCCAATCTTCATCAGATAATAGCGATTCAAGGGTATCACCTTCCAGTCCTGCAGGTAGAGGGTCTGACACTGCATGGTCACGGGGTCCCTGGATTACTCCACAAGGTCGTTTCGGCTCTGGTCGGGATAGGTCTGCGTCGGATAGGCGTCGCTTGCGCGATATGCATGGGGCGGGAGAGACAGGAAGTTCGGTGGTTTCGACGACGTTGGGTTGGGGGAGGTGGCGGGTAGGTGTGGGTGAGGATGGTAGAGGCGTTGACTCCTGGATTGGTGGTGGCAAATTATGCGATAAGCGTGTTTGTGGCAACTTCGATGATGAGATAGGATTTGTTTTGTCGGTCCTATGAGATATAAATGAGCAAAGATATGGAAAAGCAGTATGGAGACATACCTTGAGCGTTTGACTGGTCTGTCACTCAAAGATTTGAGGCCATCGGAGGGGGTCTCGGTGGCGCAGTCGAGACGACGCTTACAACCGGCCACTGGAGGGGGAGGTGTGGTGTCCTCTTCTTCGTCAGAATTATCTGGTGTGAATGGGGATGCTGGGATGGATAGCGACGCCTCTGGGAGAGGCAAAGGAGACGACGGAGACGGCTCCGCCTCCTTGCCCTTTCCACGCAATTGTTCAATTTCCCGATCGATTTCTTCACGTACGGATGTCCCATCGACGACTTGATTTCGCATATTCTCCAGCTTCTGCAACGTTTCTGCATCCGCTAATCCGGCATCCTTGCCTGGTGTACGGCTCGAGACCGGGAGGCGCTCTAACTTGTCTCTGACGACGCGAAAGGCGTGCTTAACGTTCTCCGGGAGATCAGGATCTCGAGAGATGTAGGCAAGACTCGCGGCGCGCGTTGTCTTGGAGCGAGAGCCGGAAAAGATCTCGCTGGAGAGTGTCGACCAGCCGATCTCCTGCCTGACTTGCTTGAACCAAGTACCGATAGCTTTGGGGGATAGACCATGTGCTTGTGCAAGTTGTGCTTTGATATCAGGTGAAGGGTAGGGGTTATGAAGGTTATCCAAGAGCCAGCTATATGCTGAAGTAGACGAGGATGGAGGAGTTGAAAATCCAGTGAATCTGACAATTAATACGCGGGAAATCAGTGGGAAAAGTTTACGAGTAGCTTGAGAAGCAAGAATACCCACGACTGCATTTTATCTGGGTGGTACCGATGTTCGGATAATATTGAGATCGAGGGGTCTTCAGAAAAACCAAATCGCGTGAGTGTATCGCCTAGCTCGCTCATTAGATCATCGCTGAGCGAGTCGATGTGTAGATGTGTATTAAGAAAACCTTCCGCAAGGGACCCAATTCTAGCAGAGACGACCTTTACCAGAGAGTCTGTGTCACTTCCCAAGCCATGGCTGCGAGTGGCGTACTCGATATCATGACCCAATGAGGCCCAAGACTCGTAGAAAGATTTGAGCGACTGAGGACCCGTTGCAACGGCGTCCAGGAAATTCTGTTCAATGTGAAGAAGTCGTCGCTGTATAGTTGAGTCGTCCATTGGGGGCATAAGTGTCATGCTGGTGACGATCGATACCACTGATGCTAAGTTACTTGAACTTAGAACGGACAATGGTGGTCGGAGTCCAAAGATTGAGAAGATGCCGAAGGCACAATGGATCGGCAACGATACCAAGGACACGGCACTATATCTGGTAGTATCCCCCACGACTGAGTCTACACGTCCCAGGACGTCCCATGAGATCTCCAGTCATGTCACCCATCTACGAAAATTCTCTTACCACTGACTATCTAAAGGGGTTACCTCGATTCATCTCCATTCTATCACAACTTCGTAACCACTCAAGGGAGTTGAGCCTACTAACCGCTGAATACGACAGTGGTGTCGATTCATCCTACTCACTATCAGCATCCATGTCTCTAGAGGCTCGCCTAACACTGGAACTTCCTCAACCTCTTACTCCTGATCTTCTTTCTCTAGGTTTGCCCCTCATGAAAGCTCAGTCTATCTCTGGTACATATATAAAGGCCGCGACGCGTTTGAAGTCGAAGTTGGAAGCACAGTTTCAATATCGTGCAGATCGCGGGCTCTTGGAGTCGAAAAATTTGGGTGGATTTCCTCCTCTACGTCTTCAGACTCATATTCCAATGGTCTATGCCTCGCATTTCCGGAAAACAACAGCCTCATGGGCCGAGGTTGGGATGCTTTCAACGCAGCGATGGCTACTGACAGCAAGTCTGAAGAATCGACTCAGATCTTGCTCCTTGGTCAAAGTAAGTCTGTAGTCGAGACATCATGAATCCACTGTTAACGCACCCCTTAGCCAGCTGAGGAAGCATATGTCACAACTCTTCCGCACACGGACAGAAGAACTACTGGAACGAACTTATTTGATATCTCTGACAAAACTGAACTGTTAATAGTGCGCTTATTTTTAATCGCCGTATGAAATAACCATTGATTGTGAGAGAATCTGACAGCCTCGTATATCTATCGGTAAGAAGACGAAGCACAGTGCTGGCCTGGCAACTCGATATGTAAGCCTTCCTATACTGTATCTTCATTCGTAGCGCTTATATTGCTCTTGTTTATACAAGTCTACCGTTAGCTCTTGTGATGGAACGCTTGACCAAACGATCTCAGAACCGACTCGTATTGCACCAGTCATCAAACCAGATTCAGATGCAGGACTCACATCGAACCGAGGCGTTGCGATCAAAGGTCCTAAGCCCCAACGCTCTGCCGGTCAAAATCCTTCCCCTACGTCTTGGGATTTAACATCCTTCATCGACGATTTTCACGGCCTCAGCTTACGCGATCGATCAAAATCCGTCGGCTTGAAGGACGAGGGTGACACGTGCAAGGCTACCCCTTCGGAGCATATCTTCACTCTGTCCAAACATTCATCATCACCCATCATTCGTCCCCCCACCCCAGCCGGGGTCCGGTCGGGGGCCAGCTCTTCCCGTCCTAAGAGCCACTTACAAAGTTCACACGATATTCACAGCAGCCATTCGGCATCGTCGCAGAGTGCCAGGCGGCGGAAATTTGCTCCTTGTCCCAATCGCGATCGATCAATGCAGTCTATCTACAAAGGGTCCAATGTCTTGTTCTCTCGCCAGACGGATGATACGACTTTGACCTCTTCAGCAGCAAATGCTAAAGAGCTATCGGACCCAACTAGTCATTGTTTCTCTCCCTCGGCGTCTTCCCACACTCGCAGAAGAAAGATAGCTCCCCTTCCTCCGAGACATCCTTCGACGACGACAACAGATATAGCAGTGATAATTTCTTCAGATCTTTGTAGATCCTCTCAAAGACCGCCTCACAAGCCCCTTGGTAGTCGTCGATCTACCACCGGGACGTCTGGCCGTTTGACTGGGCCTCTATCGCGATCCCCCTCCCTTACGTCGCTCTCATCCGACGAATCGGGTCTATCATGTTCTGATGAACTTGAGACTCCCCCTTCGTCACCAACGCTTCCTTCCATGAACTTACCAACTACCTCCCCTGCAGTCTCGCTATCATCCGGTGAATATAGATTTCTATCAGCAACATGCTTTCGTAATCTGTTTCCTGCGCCACAACTGCTGGCAGTGAAGGCAGAGAACCCTCGACCTCGTACTTTCACCTTCTCCGCAAGAGACGAAGATTCTCCTCGCTTCCCCTTTAGTCGGTGACGTTCTATCATTATTATCCAGTACTTTTATACCCTTGACCTTGTTTTACTGCTCTATATGCCCATCGGCGTTGTGTCCTTTACAATATACAGTTAAGCTACCTATCTGCATCGTGTCTGTGCTTTCAATGCTCTGCTCTTTGATTCATTGCTTTGTCGCCATTTCCCTTACTCAGTCATCTGTACTTGTCAAGGCGTTGATATAAGTTTACGAGACTTATCTGACGGCTCTCATCCGTGCGCCATTCACAGTGAAAGTCAGGTTCAGCGGTCAGAAACAACCAGAGGTCAAAAGAACAGCGTTTTGACACCAGAGTGAATTGAATAATTTTCTGTTACACAGACATACGTGCCTCATAGCGAATGAAAGCGAGTACAGGAAAAACAAGAGACAAGGTGCGACAGCTATGGAGGGTATACATGATAAAGATACAAGCAAGAGAGATTGCGGAGGAGAATAAGGATAGACAAGAGACAAACTTGGGAAGGAAACCCTACAAAAAGAGAATAATGCGTCAAGAGCTAATGTCCTGAAGGTGATTGAAAGACTACATCTGAGCGGATCTAGATGGTCAGTAGCACAATCATGTGAGCCCGTTAGTCAATTTCTGTTGATGGGTATGGTTAAATGTGAACGTACAGGTTAGTGTCCTTCCACCCCAGTACACCCGCTGTCCAGTTGTCGAGCGAATCCTCACCAATGCCGCATAAACTAGTACATTGAATGAGGGTGTCTGAAATCGGACTGTCGATCTTCTTCAAAGGCGATAATAGAATTTGACGGGGATGATCGTAGGAAAGAAAAGTTGGTATAGACGACGACTGTGCCTGACACTCTTCAATCTGGGAGGTGCTCACTGCCTGCAATCCTAGGTCGATCATATACTGAGCAGGTTGTTGGATTAGAGTCTCAATGCCAGAACATGATGGCGGGAAGAGATCATCGAGTGAAGGCAGCGTTTCGAAAATGTCTTGGTCGATAGGCATGAACATTGAAGACATATTATAGCCTGATGCGAGCATTGCTTTGAAATCTTCGTCGGAGAGATCAACTTGCTGTGAGGGAACCATGAAGTCTGCGTTAGGTTGATCAGCGAGTCTTTCAATCACAACACAAGATGACGTGGTCTTCACCATTCGGAAACACTGGCAACCCATCCGTCCATGGAGTATTCAAAATTGATGTTGCAGGTGAGCAATCGCTAGAGGGATCGCCGCCAAAAGGTTCAGATGCTGCATAGGTTACGTTCTGGTACCAGCTTTCGAAGAGAGCACTATCTTGTGCAATCTCATTAGGACCAAGTGGAAGAGGATTAGACACTGTTTGCATGTGATGGCCATTACGAATGTGTCGGGGGCGCTTTGGGATGCTATCACAACTTGCTTCTGATAGTCTTCGTTTGCGACTAGGTACTGCAGCAAGTGGTGGCGATGACGATTGGATAGCAAGGGAAGACGATGATGTGGGTATGGAGGAACCTTCGAGTAGCATGCTTGGAGATGAGTCTGGGGAAGGGATAGACGAAATAGCTGGTTTAACATGTGAGGCCTGGACTCCAGTCACAGTCAAGACAGGAGAGGAGAGAACTTGATTATCTGCGGATGGAGGCTCGGACCTAAGGTCGAATCAGGGTAAAACGAGATAATTAGGAAATCAAACAGAAAACTTGCCTTTGCCGCTTCAGTGATCTGTATGATATTCTATTTCTATTGGAAGAACAAGGGGTGAAATCGGTTTCAAGGTCAACATCCGCGCGTCGCTTGCACCCAGCAATCGGTTGCGGTAGTGTCGTGTCTTCTTCCTCAGTCTCGTACCACTCCAACGGTGAGAGGCAAGGAGACGAGCCCAGTACTGCTCGTGAATCTCCGAGGGTCAAATCGCTCTTCTGGTCCGCCCCGCCAAGCCCTCTGGCCAACTCTTCGCGTACGGCCTGCCCATCATATATTTCCGCACTCCATCCCTCTGCTCGATCATCATCGATATCGGTTATCGCGAGCGATGTAGCATTATTGTGGATTTGAATAGCTTCAAGATTCTTCTTGATAATTGCAAATGCGTTTTCGAGATCGAGAGGGAGAGGTCGGGTGGGGTCGGGTGTGACAAGGGCACGGTAAGCAGCATCTATGATAGAGGAGCGTTTGCTCTCAAAGCGATGACGGGCCAACGTAGTCCAACCTATCCGCTCCCGAGTATCGTTGAACAAAGATGCGATATACTCCACCGTCGTTCCGCAGGATGCAGCTAGTTCTTTCTTCATCGATGCCGAAGGGTATGGATAGTGAAGATTTGCGAGAAGCCAGCTGTATACAGCCTCAGTAGGAATCTACGCAGGATTAGAAGTGAAAATCAAATGAATAAGTAGTGCGTCAACATACAAGATCAGTTGACGAAGGCAATCTGGAATTGTCAAGGGTGTCCTCAAGATCCTTTGACAGATTGGTAAAAATATCATTTGCACAGTTATCTAGGCTCAGAAAGGAGCTTGCAAGGGTGGAGACAATCGAGGCCGTAGATTGAGCCATCGTTATGACTGCATCGTCGACACGATGTAGACGGACTTCACGGTCAAGATCGTTGGTCAGCTCTTGCCAACTTTTCTGGAAGTCAAGCAGCGCAGCAGGACCTCCAGAAGCAGATGAGAGAATGGCGCTTTGAGCTTGTTGAAGCCGATGGTATAGAGGGTGCTGGGGCATGATGCGTTCATAGGCTTTCGAGAAATTTGGGCGTGGCATTACAATGGGTTTTGGGACAATGAATCGGAGCTGCAAAGGAGATGCCGGACAAACAATGGGTCGGCATACGTGTTTCACACGGTATGCTAGCCATCATATGTACTCAAGGACTCAAGGACTCAGTACTCAGTACTCAGCTAGTACTTAAGTCTCCACGGGAGCAAACTACCGTTCCTTGTTGAGAAACATGCCTTGTTCACTGGAGTCGATGTCTTACAGCGATCGCCTACGACGCATTGCTTCCGAGAGCGAACGCTTGCAGTCGTTATCTGGGTCCCGTCAACTTGTGCCTAAACGACACCACTCGCTCATCGCACCGCTACCATCATCGGCACATCCATTCCCTGCTCCCCGACCTCTGACCTCTGATTTGCTTGCGTTGGGTCTACATCCCCAGATCGCCGCAAATATCTCACAATTTTATCTCTCAATCGCACTTTCGATGAAAGAGACATATGAGATTGAGTTTCGCCAAGCCGAGGACGCATGCCTGGGGGTCATCCTTAAACTTGGCCGTACCTCACCCATACAATCTCGTCTTCGTTCCACATATGTGTCTCGGTTTCTCGCAACGACACAGTCTTGGGTCGAAGATTGTTTGTTGACCATACGCCAGTGTTTGTTGGGAGCTACTTTGAAGCGCGGTAATAGGTTGAAGGTGAGACCGTGCTCACGCATATCAAATTGTTCTTATTGACGCCTCCTTTGTACTCTCACTTATTAGCTACCAGCTTTTATTGATGTAAACCATAGATTCAAAACCGAGATTGGCGAGCAGTCGGTTGCTTCTAAGGTAAGATAATCTCATTCAAGACTTATCATTGCATTTAACTCTTCGTTTCAGAGCATCTGCAATCAACCTACCACATGCAAAATTGAGTCTGAAGAGCAGAGTCAAAATCGAAAGATGGTGCATTTGACCTCAGTACGTTCATCTCTACCGATATTCGCAATATATCGATAACAAGTTTACATGCAGCTCTTTCAATCTTCAAATTCCCACATCAAACCAGAGAGCGGCATCCTCCTTCACCAAGAAGCGCCCAATGAGGCTTTCCCTACAAAGTACCATCATTCCTCAGCAAGGCAGGACTTAGACGCATGTCTTAAGGTCTTATCTCGCGGCTTGCGAAGAGCCACGCGCCATTCTTCTCATAGAACGTCAGACGTTGATAGCCTGGTATCCACCTTCGATCACCTTTCTACCGAGGAATGCTCGTCAGCCGACGAGACGAGAAAGTCGAGAAAGTCACTGGATATGGATTGTCAACATATGCAATCCTCCGCCCTCATACATCTGTCGACGTCATCGGCGTCAAGGTTACCCCTTTCTACACCTTCATCACCTTCGACGTCTCTACCGAACCCGTCTGTAAGGAGGTCATCAGTCACCACCGTAACATCTCCATGTTCTCCTGATATTCACTCGGACCCAAGCTCGTCGTTCAATCTGCTCAATGCTAACCGCCGAAAATTTGCAGCTCTGCCGAAGAAAGTTCGAATGGTAGCAAGCCCCACTATGCCTCATCCAACTACTATTCAGTCCGAAACGTCTCTTGCAATCTCGCATGCCGTCGAGAGTCCATTGTCTACATCGTCACCTGTCCTACAGGCTGAGCGACATTCCCCCCTTCCCGTTGCGTTGCCTTTGACAGCATCAGGCCTTCGCAGAAGAAGGAAACTTGCAGCTTTACCGGCGAGAGGTGTTCCTGGTACGTCGGTCAAAACGATTGCGCCACCATCTTTGGTCTCGTTTGCTCCGCTTAGCGTGGCCAATGTCTCCTCCCTATCTCCTCCTCGCTCTCGTTCTGTCGTCTCTCGCACACCCTCGCTGGTTTCATTGGCATCGGATGAGTCGGGATCATCGTCCTCCTCAGACACCCTCGACACGCCGCCATCAACTCCTCCACCATTCATCACAAAGTTGTTGTCGTCGATCTCGCCATCCTCGCTGTCGGTGAATTGCTTCCCGTCAAAACTCGAACCGAACGTGTCAGCTGGCGACGTATTCCAGTTCTCTTCGACAAGGGAACCCAAGAAGTTCGAGGGGAGTTTGCTTTCTGAACGTACTGCGTTCAATTTCTCAACTACCATGAAACAAGAAGAGCAATCTTTCAGCTTTGCGTTCGGCTGATAGTGATTCATATGTTTGGGTGGCTATCTTTTACTTCCGTTGTCTTTTGCCTTTTGAGCCCCCCGCCCAGATCAGTCGGCGCTCGTCATCTGCCCGTCCTTCTTGGAAACGGTATTTATTGCTGATTTTTATTTGTTTCGTATATACCCGCCATAGCTCTTGCTCATCCTGCATTAATGGCTTCCGCCTTGATTTACATCACCACGTCACTTTTTTTTTGGGGGGGGGGCTCTTCGTTGAACCTCTTATATGTCCTGTCCACTTGTCATATTTGCTATTGCTGTGTTGTCTCTGTTCGCTGTCCTGCTAGTCGTTGTTCTTGCTATATGTATATCATTGTATGTCGCATCCAAATTAAAATCGCATTATCTCAAACATCTTATCATAGCCGTGATGCAGCCGAGCTGATCAAACTCATGAACAATCGAGATACTTGAAACAATTGCGCACTTTCGTGCGTATACAAAACAGCGTGATATCGTTATACATATCATTTATCCTACTTCCCATTGTCCTTTGCGACCGCCATGTAATCAAGAGAACTTAGACGCCTGGAGTTGATGATTAGACGTCAACATCCCAAGATTCAACGTAGAGGAAGACATACTAAGCTCAACAAGCTACCCAAACCACCACTGCTGCTGCCGCCGGTAGTTCCACCGCCGCTAAACTTGCTCTGCACCATGAGCTTCACGACGGTCATGGCAGCGCTGTTGACTGCATCCTGCTTGTTCCCGCTGCTCGCGCCGCCAGACTTGTCGAACAGCTTGGTCGCCTCGGCCATGGCCATGCTGATGAGCTGGGACTGAGAGCCTCCGCTGGAGCCGGAGCTAGATCCAGATGTGAACTTCTTCAAGATCTGTGGATAGGGGAATATTGACGGGGCTTAGATGTGTGGGAAATGGAAATGATGACGGGAGTGTGGACGCACCTGGAGCGCAGCTGCGCTACCTATAGAGGAGGCGTCCATGTTGCTAGCGCTATCCTCATGGTAGGCTTTCTTGTGAGCCTCCTGAGCTGCGTCCTCATCGATGGGGTTCTGATGCTCGCCCTAAAAATAGATGCTGACATGGTCGCTTTCGTCTCGAATCGCTACATACCTTGTTGGAGCTGATGAAGCTCATCGCAGACGAGAACAAGGAGCTGTCGCCAGAGCCATGCTCCTGAGCAGTCTTCACGACATCGTCGTGGTCAACTATTGTAATTCAATGGTTCGACTTCAATTTGGTTTCTCGCAGAACATATTATTCACGCGCTCCACTTACACTGAGGGCTCCCAGAGCTAGGCCTGCCTTGCTCGGAATGGTGGGGAGAATTGTATTCCGCGCCCCCAGTCTTGCCGTAGTTGGCTGATGGACGGTGGTCAGCTCAAGCAAGGATCACGAGTTGATGCAAGTTAGATCGTTACATTCACTGTTACTGCTGCTGCTTTTCTGGTGCTGTTCGTAGGCGTCCAGGCCTTTCTTAGCGAGGTTGACGAAGTTCTCCTGATAGTTCTGATCAGAATTCTCTACTCGCGAGTAGAGTAGTTGAGTGGACTTGCCATTGCGACCGATGGGAAGGATGGGGTGATGGTTTCGAAGATGGCAGATGCAACTCCGATAAAGGATCCTGGATGGCTGTGCCAAGCCGCAAGCGTTCAGTCGAGGCATACGTCATAGCTCTAATAGTTGCCTTATCGAGTTCCTGACATGATGAGCGAATCCGAAGAGCTTTTGTGCTTTCTTCGCCGGCTTCCCTTGTCGATGATACAACGGCGCCGTAGGCGTAGGCTGTCCCTTTTTGGAGTGTAGTGGCTACTCTATGTCAAGGGGTCTCAATACCTGTAGCCCGTCGGAAGGTCGCATCTCCCGTCGGACCATATACTTGTGGGAATACGCGCAGGCCTCACTCTCGAATCACCCGACGGCATAACCGCTCCTTGCGATTCCTGACCGCGCTTCACGCTGGGCTGGAGGGCTGTATATAATGACTCTCACAGAAAAGGTGTGTCACTGATCCCCAATGAGCTCGAGCACTAGCACTGATACGACAATAGTACGCCGTCAACCAGAAGATCTAGTTCCAGCACCAATTCAGGCCCAGGATGGATTGGTCGCGTTAGACACGGAAAAATCGTCTGTATCTCCGAGCGGTCAGATAGTTGAAGGAGGCGACGAGGTGCTAATTGTTGACTGGGATGGGCCCGACGATCCTGAGAATCCGAAAAAGTACGTATCTTGCTATTCATGTGGTGAGTTTGACCACTGAACTCTTGTTCAAGTTGGCCTAGTCGAAGAAAGTGGACTGCTGCCGGAGTGGTCGCTGCATTCACTTTTATTTCTCCCGTCACATCGAGTATAGGCGCTCCTGCTGGCGCTGCTATTGCCCGCGACTTCGGTATTCACAACGAAAGCCTCGTCGCTATGACGGTGTCCATATTTGTGCTTGCGTATGGTGAGCATGTTTAGTGCACTGTCACAGCGCCCCGCTCATCGTCGATCATCACACAGCTTTTGGCCCTCTAATTCTCGCACCTCTGTGTGAAGTATTCGGACGATCTCGTGTCATGATGGCAAGCAATGCTGTATTCCTCGGTACGTCCTATGCATAGCCAGATAACAACCATTTACGAATGTTAAGTTGGCAGCATGGAATATTGGGTGCGGTTTTGCGCAGAACGCTGGGCAGCTTTTAGGATTCCGATTCATCGCCGGTCTTGGCGGAAGTGCGCCGCTCGCCGTAAGTCTTGATCTCAACACGTGAACACACTGGCTTACTGGAAAACCGGGCTGGTAGATCGGTGGCGCCGTTCTCAGTGATTGTTTCAGGCCTGAAGAGCGAGGGCATGCGATTTCGCTCTTCTCTTTGGCTCCTATCCTTGGTCCTACTCTGGGCCCTGTGGCGGGAGCATGGATTGTTGAGCGTACGACATGGCGTTGGGTCGTAAGTTGACTCTAGGACCAGTTCATTGTTTCAATGAAATCACTAACACCTAACACACCAACTTTCATCACTTATAGTACTGGGGCACATCCATAATTGACGCCGTCATTATTTCTGTCGCCTTCTTAATTTTTGAAGAGAGTAGGTCAACATCACCTCTCGGATGGCCGCGTGCTCAAGCAGCTTTGCTTTTTTAGCATATCCTCCAGTTCTTCTGAAGCGCAAGGCAAAGAGAATAGCAAAGAGCTTGGACGCTGAGAAAGGCCCTCCGAGAGCCGTACGAACTCCGTTCCAAACACAGGATCGAAGGTGAGTCAAAACAGTTTGAACTTTCGGTCGAAATGATGCGTATTGAATGATTTGCAGTGTGCGGAAGCTTTTATCAACCTCCTTATTAAGACCCTTCCGTTTTTTTGTCACAGAATCCATAGTTCAGCTCTTGGGCTTCTACATGGCTTTTCTTTACGTTGGATTGGTCACTTGTCTATTACACCAGGAAGAACGGCGGGACTATGCAGCCGGAGTATCGCCTGCGTAAGTATCGCTCCCCTCTTTCGTGACGCTGGATTTTGACTGAATTTCGTACCTATGTAGCGTGTTCGATACCCGGCACAATCGCTATGCCCATCGGGCTGCTCCTTTTGGGATGGGGCGCGCAGAAACACGTTCATTGGATCGTTCCTGATATTGTGAGGTCGAATTCATCCCATAGAGCTATACCAATTATCGACCTTGACTTCTCTCCTTCTCCTCTCTGCTCAGGGACTTGCCTTCATCGGTTGCGGCATGGTCTCGAATTCCATCAGCATTCAAGCATACATTGTAGACACGTACAAGCTGTACGCGGCATCTGGTATGCTTCCTTCTGGAAGGAAATCATTCCTGCCCATCACAGCAGGATATCGAAATGCTGACCAGCCACAACATACAGCGTTGGCCGCCGTCTCCTGCCTTCGTTGTCTATTCGCGTTCACCTTTCCGTTGTTCGCACCGTACATGTACAATGCTCTCGGATACGGGAAAGGAAACACCATCCTCGCGGTCGTCGCGATTGTCCTTGGTTGCCCGGCGTAAGTGCATATATACTATTGACAAATGTAGAACCGGCACTGACGTTGTCGTAGACCGTGGTTCTTCATGAAATATGGGCGAAGAATACGGGCGAGAAGCAAGTTCACTCCGAATATGCTTGAAGGTCGTATATAAAAATTGTTCAGATATCCCTACTCTTCCAAATTTCTATGCATGAACGTTGTCATGGACATTCCTTTCCTTTCTTTGCATTGTCTCGCTTTACGTTTGAAGTGTTTGAAGCGTTTGACATACAAATGTTGCCAAGTTTAGACGATGCACGCTCAACCGTCAACGTATCAACTTTCAGACGTGCATGTCATGGATTCACATTCCAAGTGGTGGCGATAGAATACACCGATATAATACATACAATACGAAGTGCAGTCCAAATAATCTGAATGAAGATTCTTCGATCTCAGATACCTTTCTTCTCATTTTCCCCAATCAGCGTATTCTTCGTCGTGGAGGGGTACGGCGTGGTCGTTGTATGGGGGCCACTTTCCAACGGCGCGGTCGTCGGCGGAATGCCCGAAGATCCAGCGGGTTTATGCTCTCCGCCCAAATAGTCTTTCGCGCTCTCGATGCTATGCGCAAGCGTCACCTTTGCCTGATCAACATGGGGCTGAGAAGCTACTTGCGCAGACGCCAGATAGCTCTTAGCTGCCTCTGTCGCTGAGGATACGGTCGATCCTAGTGTTTCTGTGATCGAATGTGTTTGCGTAGTAGCCGCCGGGTTTGGTTTAGAGCCGACAGGGGACGCAGGTAGGTAAGACTACAAGATAAGAGTGTTGAGTATATTTAACCAAGACGCGCGCAAGATTACATACCTGAGCAGTGGCAAATGCACTGGCTGCAAGATGCTTAGCCTGGTCAAGGTAACCAGACCCAGCAACGGCAGCGGCGTGGACATCGTGTTGGCCCTGGGCGACAGCCGCGTCTGTTGTGGCCTTTACATTTGCCTCGAATTGAGTGACAGCATCCCCAGCGTTGCCAGTGACTTTCGGGCCCTTCGTCTATCATTCAACGTGAGTAAAAACGGAGCATTTACATATACAAGAACCTACATGAGCGGTTGCAGCAGCTTCCTCGGCGGCACTTTGAGTCTGCCCTGCCGTCGCGCGAATTTGACTGGCAGACAGTTGGGTAGGAGCCTGAGCTTCTACATTTGCGGCGGTGGTAGTGGACCCTGCGGGCCTGTCAAAATGGCTTAATGCTTGGATAAATTTTGCATAGAATGATTCACTAACTGCGCGGCCGGGTGTGATGGGACGGACTAAAAGCAAAATTAGAATCGAGCAGAGTGTTCGAAAAAAACGAGACGTACGCGAGCAGTTGCAGCAGCTTCTTCAGCCGCATTCTTGGCATTATCTGCCTGCCTGTGGACCTCCTGAGCAAGACCGGAGGTAGATGTCTGGGCTTCAATGCCAGCAGCGGTGGTAACGTGTCTTTGGGCAAACATGAACTTAGATCATTACAATACGCTGCAAACAAGAAAACTCACTGAGACATGTAAGATCGTGGATTTAGTAGTGGCAGACGAGGTGTTTGACAACTTGAGGGATCGCGGATGCATGTTGGTTTTATAGCTCCTCGGTGGTGTAATCGTCACCGTGAACTCCAAGGACGATCGATGACATCATTGGCGAGTTGGATACATACTTCGATGCCTTTCCCACGATGCGCCACTTTCGACACTCCCGGTGACGTGACAAGCACTCGACGAGGCTATATTGCAGCAGGTCGCGTGGTGACTCCCACTTTGCGTGAGGGTTGCATTGCTCTTTGCTTATCCACGCATTATCCAGCTCAGTCAACAGAGCATGTCCAGATTCTCATATCTTATCACAGCCTTGAACACCAAGTATCCACGGTCCCAGCATCAGCGCAAATCTCCATTCTAGCCTCCTTCTCTCTACGAAACCTCCTCGTTACTGCCAACTGTCTGATAGAACACATATAGAACGCATGGAAAGGTGATACTGACCAGTAGCTCTTAGCCATGGTTCGGACATGCGCAAGGTAACTCTTCCCGTTCACAGAAGTTTTGTGTTCTGCAAGACATATTCAATTTCTATTGATTGCATGTCACATCTCAGTAAGCGTCCCTGGTTGTTCTTCGGACCCTCACTCATCGATGCCGCAATCGCTGCAGTACACAATCAACGAGCCACAGAATATTAGTGCACCGCCTTTCGTCCCGCAGACGTTCTCACCAGCGTTGACTAAGATGTCCTGACATCTCGGCATCTACGCGGTCATCGTCCCGATTTGAGATTCAACAGAGTCTTACATGGGCAGGGACTTTACTCGCAGTCCAGCAGGTTCAACCCCCTCTACATCTGACCGGTCTGACCGAGTGACTCCTGAGGCATTATTTATATCTGGCTTCTTTTCATGTGCCATACGACAGTACACGATACTCGAACGTGCATACAGGCATGGACGTCGAACGTTGAGCGAGCAGCAATGAAGACGCGTCTCTGAGAGCTGACCCTTCCCTGAGATATTACGAATGGCATCATCGTTTGCTCTTACTGCTCAATGTCCTCTGGCCGTTCACGAACGTGAAACGTGTGAGATTTGTGGATCCTTGGACGACCACTCATCGAGTCCGAAAGACCGCGTGCTCGACTGCGCGGTGCCTTGACCGATTTCCAGGTTGTGCCTCTGATGGTCTGCTGGTCTTTCTCCATGTCCATGCGGTCAGTTATATTCTATCAGCGGTATCTTTGCGTCTCGTCAGCAGGCTTTCTGCTTCCGACACTCACTGCCAAGGTCGTCTACTCCACAGTATCCTTCAGCTATGGGTGATGTTCAGACCAATCGTCTTTCGAGTAGCACTTGTAAGTCTTGCTTGTTTCCATGGATATCACAGCTGAGCAGAGATCGTCAGGCCAATTTTGTTTCCGGAGCCGTTGCACACCCTAACTTGATTCGATATCCGACACATCTGTTCTTCTGTCATGCCGACTTGAATAACAAATAGCGAACGTTTCTTCCAACCAATGGCCGTGCCTTGTCCGTTGCTTCACGCATTCAAAAGGGCCGGTGCGCACAAGTATGCACACCGTTGTGTTCTCCTGGTTGCATCGCCCCCCTCTCTTTCGCAATGCTGCACCTTGCCCTTGCCGTTTCCTTGGCCGTCTCTCTTTCCCGCATTGCCCATGTGCAAGCATCGGGGACTTTCAACATTCTCTCTATGAATGTTGCTGGTCTCCCAGAGATTCTCAATGGCAATGGAGAATCAGGTGATAAGACCACGAATACCATGGTCATTGGACAGGTCCGTGTTTTTGTCGGCCCACAAGCCTTTCCCGAAATCGCGATTCTGATATCAAGTACCTTGGAAATGACAGGATTTCGCTACATATGATTATGATCTCATACACGTACAGGAGGTCTGCATTGCTCCCCGTTTTTTGCACTTGAGCTGGACTGATTCCTGTGCAGGACTTCAATTATCATGCCACACTGTACAAATATGACACCCACCCATACCGTACCGCGACTAGCGGAGGAGGTGCGTCGATGTAGCGTCTCATACGTATAACCTTCAGGTCTCTAAGTGGTTGATAACAGCTGGCATTGGAAGCGGCTTGAACTCCCTGTCTAACTATGACTGGATCGACTTCGATCGCACCAAATGGAACGATTGTTCTGATGCATCGGAAAATGATTGTCTCACACCGAAGGGTTTCACACACATGCGCTGGCGTATCGCCGAGGGCGTTTACATTGACGCGTTCAATTTGCACACGGATGCTGGAACAGAGGATGGCGATGAGTCCGCTCGCCGGTCCAACATCCAGCAGGTCTGTGACATGCGTCATGCCCCGACATGTTGTTATGACACTGATCCGCGGCGATCTTCGTTTTCCACTGACAGGTTGCCGACTATGTCGACGCCAACGCGAGCGGGAACCCTGTTCTGATCTTCGGCGACACAAACTCGCGCTACACTCGGTCTGCGGACAACATCCCGACCATACTATCCCAAAACGGGTTGACAGACGCTTGGGTTCAGCTCGTACGGAATGGCGTTGCGCCTGTTGCCGGCACTGATGCCCTCGTGTGCCCCGATGGTGTACCCACCAACACTAGCTGCGAAGTTGTGGACAAGGTCTTGTATGTTTTCACATCACGCTACATCTTCTGGCCTGTATACTCATTACTTGCCCCAGATACCGCGGCTCGAAGAGTGTAACACTCACCGCAACAGCCTTCTTTTATGACACCGCTCGTTTCCTCTCAACCGATCTTGCAACCCTCACCGACCACAACCCCGTTCGTGTCGAATTCAAGTGGGCCGGAGCCAATGGTTTCAGCCAGAGCGATCTCTATGGCGGTCCTCACGGGTTCGTGGATAGATTCATCTTGGGAACACGAACCTTCTGAATCTTTTGCTCATATTCGGCGTTTGGTTCTAGCAGCTCCTGGTTCAATGACCTCCCCTCTCTCCCGACCTCTCCAAAAGTCGCCTCTGTCACTCTCCGAGGCGCGAAGCGACTCGATGCTGTTTCTTTCACGCTGTCCACCGGCGCCGTCCTCTCGCACGGTGGTACAGGCGGAGACGCATCCTCGCTCACCCTCGCGTCCGGCGAATACTTCACTTCGGCCAAGCTCTGCTGGGGCGAATACAACGGCCACACGCGGAATTTCTATGCCCTCCTGACTACTAGCAGTGGGCGGACTGTCTCTGCTGGTACTACAACGGACGACTGCGCAACCGTCACTGCGCCCAGCGGTTCCGGCATCGTCGCGTCGTATGGCCAGAGCGGGGACGAGATGGATCTGCTCGGATGGATCTACTCCGCTCACTAATCAAAATTTGTGCAAAGAGGGATAGGGCTATACAGCGCGCTGTCTCCCCACCCACTCGTATATGTTTAATTATCGGTCACACATACCCATTTAATCATGACCATATCCTCTCATTAGCTCGATGTTGTAGTTTAACGGCCTGCTTCGTCGCATTCATTCATTTCATGCAATTCGGAAAGCCTGTCTAAACGTGAAGAAGTTGTTGTAAAGAAGACTGAGGTCGGTGGATAGAAAAACCTGTGTTCTTGAATTTGCCGCACAATGGCAAGTTGGCAATCGTTCTTCGGGTGCTGCGCAAGCTATACAGCACAGCTGGCCTTTGTTGAGGTCAATATTAGTACACGGATCGATATATTACAGGCCCAATCAATGACTGTGGGCCGAGTATGAGTGGAATGTGCAGAAGTGTGACTATGCAACAAAGCATTTGTACGCGAGGCCCGTGAGAGCGAGGGAAAGAACGATGGAGATAGGAAATTGCGTGAAAGAATATTTTGGCAGTGCGTCCTGCGTTCTTTCTGCCTCGATCTCATCGAGATCCTTGACGTAGTGTTTTGCAAAGACTGCGCACACGGAGCTGATCAATGCGAGCTGATGGGCATAATAGTGAGGGTACGCACGATCATTTTGAATCCAAAGAATTTTATTGAAAGCTTTGAGGACAGCACGCTTTGTCGCGAGGTCGAGGTCGGGATGTTCCAAGACAGCATCAATGACTATATCCTCGACATAGCCTGAGGGGACGATCAACACCGCGAAGAACAGGGTAGGATCAACGCGTCGTCGCACCTAGGAGCAAACCCATATGTATGAACTCGACGCGTAGCGGGGACTTGGTCGATGCTTTCCCCGTGTTCAACTGCTGTTTCACGCCCGTGTGAATGACGCCCACACGGTCAAGATACTCCCACGTTTTGATATCGTCGTAATCTGCCGAAACGAGCTTCACGAAATACGCCTGCCAAAGACGGAAATCAGAATATCAAGAAATTAAAAAAATCAGCACGGGGCACGATCAAGAAGAGATACATGCCTTCAAAAAGTCTTTGCGCATAGCAATTTGGGGATGATCAAGCGTCAGCTCAGACAGGGTCTTCGCCGTCTCGCCTTTGAAACCTGTGTTTCGAGGAAGGAAGGTCGCGCGGGTGATGTCGAACGAAAAAAGCTTCGCGTAGACGGCATCGAGAATGGCTGGCAAGAGAGGAGCGATGACGGGCTTGGCTGCGTGGAGAGTGGCTGCATCCTCTGGTCCAAAGCCAATGAAGTCTTTGAGATACTGCACGCGCTCGGGCAAAGAGTTCAGAGAGTCAGCAGGGACGTGCTTCATTGGCGGGTTGGAATGTGAGGTAGACATGCTTCGACGAGACTTGTATGACGCTTCGAGGGTATACCCTCGGACAGTAGTACCCAAGTCAATTTATATATCCATCAAGAGATGCTGTCGGAGCGACGAGGAAGAGCATAGCACGAGTCATTCCGAGTGCATCACCCGAGTGAAAGTGGTCGGATGGAATAACAGCTTCGGCCTAGAATTCATAGGCGCCAACTGACGAGGTTATATTCGAAAGTCATGCGATGAAACGGGGCAGGTGATGGGTGATCAGCTGAGTACGGTTGGGCAGCACGCCAAAGTGCCCAGCTTGGCGAAAGAGAAATGGACGAGGCCGGGCGAGGCGCAGATGGAACGTAGGCGAGACTGGCGTTGACTGGCGTGATCGTGAAAATTGTTCGCTACGATGAACAGGACGGGCAGGAACGGGCGTCTTTCACCGAAAGAGGCCGACGATGATGACATGGTCCGAGGCGCGAGCCTGAGTCAAGGTTCTCGTTGACTTCGACAGGCGTCCCCCCGACGTAGAGAAGCGTAGAGGTGTTCGGTATCAAGCTGAGATGTATAAGAGTCAGAACCATGAAGTGAGCAGTTCAGGCAGTGCTGAAGCCTGCTGAAGTTCTGTAGCATTTATTTTTAGTTCCCGGCGGCACACTTGGGCTTGGCGCTCGGCCTCCCACTGTCCTCTGCCTTCGACGTCCGGCACATTTGAGAGATTAAAAAATACATTCAAAAGACGTGCGCATCATAAAATGCAGGAGAAAGTGGGCCATAGCAAGTTGATAAAAAAAGGGATGAAAAGATGCGGGCATATTGACAAGGCAGTTATCCATATCCAGGCATTTGTTGGTGGGAAGACAATTGATGGGGGAGGGAGACGTGAGGTGTATAGTAACTTTGGAGGTGTACCCATATGGAGAGAAAGAAACGAGGAGAAAAGGCAATAAAACAGTTGGATGCCACACGCCGTCCGAAATCGTGGGGTATACAGAAAGCATCGAGAGCGTTATGAGGACAGGCAAGGGCGTATGGCTACACACATCCCAGATGATATCCAGGTTCAATTCACGAAACTGCTTTTTCGACGGACTCCTCGTCCCACGAGCCCATCCTGAGGAACTTCGCAAGCACTTCCTCGGACCCTTTCTTGAAGATTTCCACGCCACGCGCGGGGTCCCATACTCGTGCTGCAGTCTTTCGCATGGGGGTGTTCAGTGTCGAATTGCGAGGAGAATCAAGACGCGGAGAATCAAGGCGCGGAGAATCAGGGCGTGGAGAATCAGGGCGCAGGGACTCAAGGCGCGGGGACTGGGGTGGACCAGCACTCGACGACGAAGAGGACGTCGCGTCGCTCGATATCGTCCTCACGACAGGTGACATCGGCGCGCGCAATTGGAGCCTCGGTGGCGACCCGACAGCGCCAACAAGGTTCACTGACGAGCCCTTCGGTGAGCCGCGAGGCGACGTGTACATACGCGGGCTTCTCAGCCCAGTGGGCGACCCTAGCGGCGACAGCTTTTTTGTGCCGCTAGGGACCGTGTCTGCCAAATGCGCAGGCATGAACGCGCCCGCTGTGGTCGTCACGGGCGACGACGCATCTGACATCGCCATCGGCGACCACTCCCGGCGGCCCATAGGTGGAGTTATCACGCCCCGCACCCGTGATCCCATAGCCAGTCTTCCTTCCTTGTCTTTCGCGAGTCGGTCAGCATCCGGAGGGACGGGGAGGAAGGCGACTTGAACACCTTGATTGCGCGTCTCCTTCGGGACCGTCTGCACACCCACCATCCGGTATTCCTTCTTTTTGCCCTTGCCCGAGATCGAGCCCGCGCGAGACCGCCGCTTTAACTCCTCCTTGCGCTCCTCCTCGTCTCCGGTATCCTCATCATCACCATCGACGCTGCTCTCGCCCGACTCCTCCCATTCACTCTTGAACAGGCTGTTTTCCCGCTTCCGCGACTCGATCAGATCGAAAGCGGGAGCGAGGGGCCTGGCAGGTGGCTGCACCGGGCGGACGAGCTTCGATGCGTACTTCTGTATGCTCGGGATGGAATCCCAAGCGTTCGTGTACATGAACGACGAAGGCAGCCCAGACAGAGGGGAGTGCATCACCAGAGGGGAGTGCGCCACTGGCTGAACGGGCGAGGACACTAGGGAAGGGCTAGGCGCCCCGGAAGAGCTTGTAGTCATAAACGTACCCGGAGGCGGTGAGTCTGTAGAGGGGAACACTCGACCTGGCATATGACGCGGTTTCGTCTCCCATGGGAACACGGACCTGACCTTCTTGCGATCGGGGCTGGGTGTCGTATCAGATTGGTCGCCAAGCACATTGGTGTAATGTCCCTCGCGCAGCAGGCGCTCAGGAATCTGTCCCGGCGGAGGCAGGGAGAAGAGGGCGCTGGACGGAGGTGTAGGCGAATGCAGGCTCCCAGTGGGCGTCCCGAACGAGTCCGTGGATCTATCCCAGACATTGGGGAAGTATGTATCAGTGGGAAAATTTGAGATCGGTGCGTCTTTTGGAGGTGGTTCGATGGCAGGGTTCCACGTCAACATGGGGGGAGACCGAGGACGTGGGGGTTCACGAGGCGGCGGCGGCTGACGATGCTCATGGTCATAGTATCGTGATGGTTCATGCGTAGGTGTCTCTGGCTGCTGTCTCAATTGTTGCCTCCTCTCTGGAGGGACATCCGAAGGTTGACTAGGTTCAGCTTGGTGGTGTGCTTGCGAATGCTCATGCAAAGGCCCTGGTGACGGGCCTTGGCCATAGTGCTGCGAGCCTTGCCCAGTCGGAAGAGACTGCTCCTGTGATGATTCAGAAGACGAATGTGAAGGATTCCTCGATCTGTCTTGCGGGCTCCCCGTCGAATACTGAAAATGTATCCCTGGAACATATCGAGGAGATTCGATAATAGGCCGTTGAATATAGTATTGCGGATGTCCTTGAGCCTGCAGTTGTTCACTATAGGGCTGGCCTTGATTTTCCTGAGAATAGTCTGGTTCACGCGGGTGCCACGGCGAAGCAGGATCGATCTGTGGCGGCATATACGTGCTCGAGGAACGCGAAGGAGTGGGCGTCACGGGAGCCGAAGGAGGGAGGGAGAGCGCGTGAGGGTGCGGTGCGGGCGGCAGCTCATCTGGTCCTGGAGTCGGGAGCGTGTACATGCGAGGAGGCGAGTCGCCAGTAACAGAGAACTGAGAACGGTGCGCGACGGGGGTCGAAGGGCCAACGGCGTCAAAGTAGCTCTGCTTCTGCTGAGGCGTCCTCTCACCCTCAAGCTCTGCGCTCGGTCCCGGTTCCGCGACTGGAGCTGGCGTTGGGTCACTTCGCGGGCGCATCAGGTCGAGCCGTCCTTCCAGCGGCAAGCGCATATACTCGCCCTCCCCAGGAAGTACCTGAGAATATCCAGAGAGGCCGGTGAATCCTTCAACGGCTATCCTGCGCAGATCGTCGAGACCAAGAACATTGCCAGCTGTCAGTGCCGGCAGGGGGCCCACTTCTGCGCCGATACCACCTGACTGCTCCCAAGCTGGCTCATATCGCCGCAGCGCGTATTCAGGTTGGGGTACTACAACAGTAGAGCGGTAGTGCTTGTCGTACACCGCGTACCAGCGGTCGACAAGAGATCCGTAATCATACGCGCGCGGTGGCTCCGAGGCGGCTTGATGCGCGCCGGTCGAACCGGGTGCACGCCAAGGGATAGAACTCCAGGGCTTGTTGGGGCCGATAAAATGTATAGAGGATATCTGTGAGCCAAATCGCTCATAGGCAGGCGCGTAGCTGCGCAGGGATTCAGCAAGGGCATGTCTTTTCAGGGAAAGGGAGACTCACGTGTACGCGGCGGTGGGTGTCGTGTTGTACGTGAAGCTGAGCCTGTGCCAGTCATTGCCGCGCCACTCGTTGAGAAGGCCCTGGTCACCGCCATCCCAACTGCCTTTCGACTTCGATAGATCCATTAATTCATTGAAACTGGCTTCTCTCGGGGTCAATAGCATCAGCCCAGAGTTGAATATGTCGGGCCATCCGACGTCTGGGACGGCTGCGAATTCATAAGGAAGGGTAAAAAGGTGAGAGAGTGGACGGGTTGGGAGAATGTCGGCATCGAGGAAGACGATCTTGGAGTATTGAATCAGGCGGAAGACATGCAATTTCGTCAGGACCGAGTGGAGATCCGGACGACCTGGGTTGGGGAAAACAAGTGAGCATGGATGTTTCATATAGGGTTACAATGTGCCCCATGTTAACGGAAATGAAGTGGACCGCCATAGCGGGGATAGCGATTAGAGGGCCATTGCACTCTCCCACATGAGACGCACGTAGTCATGTGTCGTGCTCGAGGCCGATCCCGTGTCTGAGCTGTATTCATTCTGCGGACAAGCATGATATCCACCGCACAGCGGCAGACAAAGGGGGGAAGGACCGAAGTAATTGCATTCGAGAAGGTGTCTCGAGACGCGAGACTGAGGAGCACTCACCTAGGAGATGCAATCCACGGGCGTTGTTCTCCTCGATAATCTCTACACCGATAACAACATTGAAAGCTCTCCTCAAGAGCTTTATGCTGGATACGTCTACCGTCTCGGGAGTGACGAGGCAAACGGTGTGGAAATCGACCTCGGGTGGAGTGGGTGGAGTTGTATGTACATCTCTGAGGGCGGCTGCGACGGTGAGTGCGCCAGGGAGGTAAGAATCAGAAGTCAATAAGGTAACAAAGGCATAAGGAGTGGCCATGGACTGGCGGGTGAAGCCCAAGTGCAGCGGCGTGGTCAAGGACGAGGGGAATGCTCGCCTCTGCCGATACTGTATTTTTTATAGAAACTCGATGTTGGATCCCCCATGGGCGGGACACACAAAATCAACAGGTGTAAATAAGCTGGAAATTGGCGCTTCTTCAGGTCCGGGCCGATCTAGAGATCCACAGCAATCTGACCTCGATTGCCAGGTCCCGCAAGGCTCCGCACCGCCCCGCATCCTGAGCATATTTGGCGTTGTCCATTGGGCGCAGTGTCGGTCTGTCCAACTCCCTTGACGATGCTAGTGGACAGAGGACCGCTAGGCCGACCAATAGAGCGTCGGAAGCGTCTTCGGGTGGTTCTCACAGTCATGAAGGTTTTACGTTTTGGGAGTTGAAACCATTTGTAAACCGGTCTGATTCGAAGAGACACGCTGAATCGAATCTCCCGATTTGTTCTGCACGTCTGCGAATATGCATTTGTGCCGCTGTCAACGCCGGGGCCGCCTACGTCAAGGCGCTTGGAGATGAGGAGCGTGCCAATGGGCGTCGGAGGCAAGGGAATGCCATGACGTCAGCGGGAGATGAAGGTCGCAGGATGTCGGGTGCTGGCCTGCTCAGTCCGGCCTAGCTGGTAGCATGTCCCCGCCCTTGCACTTGCCTGCCGTCTGCTAGTGGTCCCCTCAATGGCCCTTCGTCTGGCCGCCCTCCCCGCGTCCCTTCGCTTGTCCCTCTCCACCCCCGCACATTTTCAGCGAATACGCTACGCGTCCCGCTGGGCTCAAGACCATTCCTTCTCAACCTTCTTCACTCGCGCGCCCTTGTACTCACGCGTCTCAATCAGGAGATCTGCCTTGTGGCTTGTCCCGGTAGCCGGAGGCCTCGGTTTCCTACTCCTACCAGGGCCTCCGTCGTTGCTTCCTCACGTCTTCGCCTCACCCACCCTCATCCCATGCTCGGACCGCTCATCGTCCTCCCAGCCATGTGACGACTCTCTCGCCGAACGGGAACCATCGGTCCTCAAGAGAACTCTATGTATGCTGCGAGATAATGTCTGGGAGTCCATCCTGACCGCCCGTCGTTTCGTCCACTTGTTCATCCTGTTTTTTCCCGTCATCCTTTCATCACCGATCCTGCTTATTGGGTCTCCCGAGAAAAGACTAAAAGGAGAAAAATGGGGCGCTTTGTGGTGGTATGATTTTTTGGTCGTTCAAATGGAGCGTGCGGGTCCGACGTTTGTTAAGGTGCGTCCGATCATTATCCATAATGTATGCGCGTCTAACTGCGCTTTTCAACAGTTGGCCCAGTGGGCGGCATCTCGTGCGGACCTGTTCCCTAATGCACTCTGTAGTCGACTTGGGAAGCTGCACTCACGAGGCACCCCGCATTCATTGGCACACACGAAGCGAATCATCGAGCGCGCGTTCCAACGACCGTTCGAGGAGGTCTTTGAGGAGTTCGATGAAACACCCATAGGCACGGGGGCAGTTGCGCAGGTGCATATATGCGCGTTTTCTTTGATCGTGCCTCCTAGATAACTTCAATGACAGGTGTACCGAGCGACTCTCAAACAAGACCTTCTTCCTCCGTCCTACTTCGAGCCCAAACGTACGCCGAAATCCGGACCAGGCGCAATTGCGCCTGCGATCATTCCTGAGTCCACGCCCTCCGTACCCACCGCCAGCGTCGCGATCAAGGTCCTTCATCCACGCGTCACCAAGCTGATTGCGCGCGACCTCGCGATCATGTCAATGTTTGCGCACATCATCACTCTCTTCCCTGGCATGCACTGGGTGTCCCTTCCAGAGGAGGTCGAGGTGTTCGGCCGCATGATGTACGAGCAAGTCGATCTACGGCATGAGGCGGACAACCTTATCACGTTTGAGGATAACTTCTTGACAAGAAAGGCGCCTATCACGTTCCCGAGACCCTTGCGGACGTGGTCGACCAAGGATCTGCTGGTGGAAGAATATCAAAAAGCCCTGCCTCTCGAAACATTTCTAAGAAATGGCGGTGGGCCTTATGACGACCAGCTTGCGGAACTCGGTCTCGACGCGTTTTTGGTATGCAGTTCTTGTTTATCATCCTCCTTGTCTAATTCGGACCCAGAACATGTTGCTGTTAGACAATTTCGTTCACTCTGACCTGCACCCCGGAAATATCATGGTCAAGTTCACTAAACCATCTAATTCTGCGCTCGAGATCTTGAAGAATCTTTGGACTTCTTCATTCACCAAGGACAAAATTATGCTACCGCCTAATACTAACGCCAGCGACTGCGATGACATCGTCACGCGTCTCAGGGCTCTTTCCTCATCTCCTCAGGCTTGGCAGCACGAGCTCCGGATGCTCAACGAAGAGGGTTACCTCCCTGAGCTCGTCTTCATCGATGCTGGCCTCATCACGACGCTCGATGCACAGAACCGCCGCAACTTCCTGGACCTCTTCCGCGCGGTCGCCGAGTTCGACGGCTATCGCACGGGGCAGCTGATGGTCGAGCGCTGCCGCACGCCTGAGCTCGCCATCGACACGGAAACGTTCGCGCTCAAGATGCAGCACATCGTGTTGAACGTCAAGCGCAAGACGTTCTCGCTCGGGCAGATTAAGATCTCGGACATCCTGACGGACGTGCTCAAGGCCGTGCGGCAGCACCATGTCAAGATGGAGGGCGACTTTATCAACACGGTCATTTCGATACTGCTGTTGGAGGGGATTGGGCGACAGTTGGATCCTGGGTTGGACTTGTTCAAGAGTGCGTTGCCGATCTTGAGGCAGTTGGGGAGGCAGATGACGGCGCAGGAGAGCATGAGGCAGCTCCCGACGGGGAACTTTGGCGCCTTGTTGAAGGTGCGTGATACCTTGTATCCGATATCCTTTGACCAAATATGCTTTCCTCCTTGGCGACGGAATAGGTCTGGGTGTGGCTCGAGGCGCGTGAGCTGGCTTCCGCGGCGTTCGTGAACGCGGACGACCTTGTTCGGTACGACTGGTAAGAATGTTCTACTCGCATGCATCTTCGCGTCCGATCCCAGTTGACTTGATTCTCGCTTTGTGTAGGCTGGTCCCTAGCATATAGGACGGTGCGGTGTGTTCTTTACCTCGGAGTTGTGAGGATGGAATCGTGGGATTTTATTTTATGCAATTCGATAATGTCATGATAGGCTAGTCCATTTAGGCAGGTACATAGACATCTAGAGACCCCCTCTAATGAGCGGATTCAATGGCCGTTCGCAGATCGTTGCTGGCGGGCAAAACATATCGGCGTTCAGTTTGCTTGCCGAAAATGTGCATCTGCGCGTATCTCGATGACATCATACTATGTCACCGTCCTGAGAACACTCACCATGGGACGCTCAGATATACCCTCTATCATCCTAGAATGTCTGCAGAGACTGGAGCCTGACTCTCAGTTCAGCGGCGGTTTGCCTCACGTCAAGTCGTCGTCAGGGAACAGATATTTCGCGAAGGTAGGTTCACCCGGGGAGAAAGAGCAGTACATAGGCGAAGCGGAATCCCTCAAGGCTATGAGTGCGGCTGCACCTGGTTTGGTGCCGAACGTGCTCGCATCTGGGAATGTAGAAGAGTCCGGGAAGCCGTACTTCGTGTCGGAGTACAAGGATCTGACGTCGCTGACGGAAAAGTCGGGCGCGGCGTTGGGGCGGCGGGTGGCGACGGAGCTGCACCGGTGCAAGAGCGAGAAGGGCTTTGGGTTCGGGGTGCCGACGTTTTGTGGGGCCACGAAGATGCGGAACGGGTGGTATGGGACGTGGGAGGAGTGTTTTGATGCGATGATCGGGGATTTGCTGCAGACGTTGGAGGGGAAAGGGAGGTACGCAGACGTGTGTAGCAAGGGACACGAGGTGCGAAAAAGGTGCGCGGTGTGGAATTGTTTCGTGGATGCTGCTGAGTGCTTGCAGGGTCATACCTGCGTTGTTGGGCCCGTTGAAGATCGACCCTGTTCTGTTGCATGGGGATCTGTGGGTAGGTGTTTCGCTATGAGCACAGAAAGCCAAGTTGTGATCGGCATTGGTAGAGCGGCAATACTGGCACAGACACCAAGACGGGAGAGCCGATCGTGTTCGATCCTTCCTCATTCTACGGCCATAACGAAGCAGAGTAAGGGAGAACACGAGCCGTACCTTATCGTGTAGATACTCAACTACTTGAGGACAGGCTAGCTATCGGACGCATGTTCGGTGGCATACCAAGCTCGTTCATCAAGACGTACCATGAGCACTTCCCGAAGACGGAGCCGGTGGAGCAGTATGAGTTGCGAGGAGACCTGTATGAGCTCTTCCATTATCTGAATCATACCGTGTTATTCGGGGTGCGTCATCGAGAGTCGTGGGAGGACACCATTCAGAGACTGATAAAGCGTGCAGGGAGGATACGCTGCCAGCGCGCTCCGTAAGATGGAGGGACTTTTGCGCGCCGTCTAGCAGTGCTCGGTGATTTCGATTGTCGTCAGTGTATGTTGATATCCGGAGATTATGCCAGAGTTCGGAGAAGAATCGTCGACGTTGCTGCCTTTGTGAGGTGAGGTTATAGTAGAATAGGAATCTGAGATGTCGAGACTCGAGAGCCCGGCGAGATGACACGATGATAGAACAGGACTAGAACAGGACTTGATAGCGCCGCGTGAACCAGTCAAGTGTTCTTGTAGTGGCCTTGACTTCCATGCATTCATTGGACGAATCGGAGGGCGGTTGATAAGGGAGATACCTGATCTCTGGCTTTTGATACTGATAGTCGTTCGTTGCAACTATTATGTTCCTCATTCGTTCTCCTTGCATTCGATGTCTGACAGTACGAGTCAGTTGAACCAGACCGAACCACGAGCGTGAGAATGCGTGGCCTCAACGGGCAAGTGCGAGACAAGCGTTGGTAAGCCCGAACGCCGAGCACGACTCTCTTGCGCTCTTCGACAGTCTTCGTCCTCGTCTCTGCTCTTGACTTCGGTACTTTGCACCTCATACACGACCTTGTTGGCCCTTCATCGGTGCTTTTCACGTGTATTCCCTCGGTTTCTGTCTGCTTCATCTTCTGAAGTTCGTCAATTGAGTCTCTTTGCCCAATATGAGCGCAGGTACGGAAGGACAGCTTCATCCACTTGTCTTTGTCATTTCACAACAAAGACTACTTAGACCAAGTCACAATTGAGGAACTTCCAAGTTACGAAGACCCTGCATACGACGCAGAAGAGGTGGAGGATGATGATGACTATGAGGAGATCACGCAGGAGGATTGCTGGGCCGTCATCTCCAGCTTCTTCGAGGAGAAGGGTCTAGTCCGACAGCAGCTTGACTCGTTTGATGAATTCGTTCAGAACAACATGCAGGAGCTGGTCGACGAGAACGCAGACCTCATCTTGGATCAGGCGGACCAGCACACGGGCCACGCGAACGACGTGACGCGTCGCTACGAACTCCATTTTGGCCAAATTTTCCTTTCGCGGCCGACGGTAACGGAGGCAGATGGCTCTGTAGTACCCGTGTTTCCTCAGGAGGCGCGTTTGCGAAATTTGACGTACTCTGCACCGCTGTACATCGAGGTGCAGCGGAAGTTCTCGGTTGGTCGCGAGGATACGGAAGGCCAGCCGGGAGACATTATTTGGGATGTAGAGCTGGATGATACAGTTGCGGAGGAGAAGCAGAAGGTGTGGGTTGGCAAGGTGCGTTTACACGTCTTTCAAACACGAACGAGATTGTTGAGCTGTCCCGCAGCTTCCCATCATGCTTCGGTCAACTTTCTGCATCCTCTCTGAGCTCACTGAGAAAGAACTCTATGATCTCAATGAGTGCCCATACGACTCTGGAGGATACTTCATCATCAACGGCTCGGAGAAGGTTCTCATTGCCCAGGAGCGCATGGCCACAAACCACGTCTATGTTTTCGCAAAGGCACAGCCCTCTCCCATCAATTTCCTGGCCGAGATTCGTTCTGCTGTTGAAAAAGGTGGAAAGACTATCAGTCAGTTCCAGGTGAAAATGTACCACCGCGGTCAGGAGAAGGCGGTGCGTTTGCCACATTTTTTGCACATATACATCTGTTGATGAAAGTCGCTCGTAGTCTGGAAACGTCATGAAGGCCACTATTCCCTACATCAAGGTCGACATCCCAATATGGGTCGTCTTCCGTGCACTCGGCGTCATCTCAGACCGTGACATCCTAGAACATATCTGCTACGACATGCAGGACTCCCAGATGCTCGAAATGCTAAAGCCATGTATCGACGACGGCTTCGTGATTCAAGATCGCGAGGTTTGTATGCTTCTCGAGTATACTTCTTTCAGAATTGACTTGCCATTCAGGTTGCTCTGGATTTCATTGGTAACCGAGGCACTACGACCGGCCTTTCGCGTGACCGCCGTGTACGATACGCGCAGGAAATCCTGCAGAAGGAGATGCTGCCTCACATCTCGATGTCGGAAGGGTCGGAGTCAAAGAAAGCGTACTTCTTTGGATACATGATCCATCGATTGTTACTTGCTGCCATGGAGCGGAGAGAGTTGGACGATCGTGATCACTTCGGGAAGAAGAGGTTGGACCTTGCTGGCCCGCTCCTCGCGAATCTCTTCCGGATGCTGTTTAGAAAGTTGACGAGGGATGTGTATCGGTACTTGCAAAAGGTGCGTCGTCTCCATCATATCGTCGAGCATATATTCATGCTTTATGCTTTAGTGCGTCGAAACACATAAAGACTTCAACCTGAACCTCGCTGTCAAGCACAATACTATCACGAATGGTTTGAAGTATTCTCTTGCCACAGGTAATTGGGGTGATCAGAAGAAGTCGATGGCTGCGAAGGCCGGTGTTTCGCAGGTTCTGAACCGGTACACTTACGCCTCTACACTCTCACATCTTCGCCGGTGTAACACCCCACTTGGCCGCGAAGGCAAAATCGCGAAGCCTCGTCAACTTCACAACACACATTGGGGAATGGTATGTCCGGCAGAGACGCCCGAAGGACAGGCCTGCGGTCTCGTCAAGAATCTGGCTCTCATGTCCACCATCTCTGTAGGTTCCCTCTCTGCCCCTGTCATCGAATTCTTGGAGGAGTGGGGTCTCGAGTCCTTGGAAGAGAACGCGAACTCGGCGACACCGACAACAAAGGTTTTCGTCAACGGCGTGTGGATGGGTGTTCACCGTGACCCGGCAAACCTGATCAAGACGATCAAGAAGCTGCGTCGGAAGGATGATATTCATCCTGAGGTGTCGGTCGTGCGGGATATCCGTGAGCGAGAGTTGCGGTTGTATACTGATGCTGGGCGTGTCTGTCGTCCTCTCTTCATTGTCGAGGATCAGCAACTTGCACTGCAGAAGAGACACGTCAGGTGGCTCAATGCAGGTCAAAGTGATGATGGACAGCCGTTCAAGTGGAACAATCTGATCAAGTCTGGTGTCATCGAGTTGCTCGATGCGGAAGAAGAAGAGACTGTCATGATCTGTATGACGCCAGAGGATTTGGAGAACTCGAGGCTGCAGGGAAGTGGCATTGATCCTCATGCGAACGACGGTGAGTTCGATCCTGCGGCGCGCTTGAAGGCCGTTTCGGGGATGAATACACATACTTGGACGCATTGCGAGATCCATCCCAGTATGATCTTGGGTATCTGTGCTAGCATCATTCCTTTCCCTGATCACAACCAGGTATGCAATTTCATCGATACTGACCTTGCCATTACTGAGAAATTTGCGCCAGTCACCACGTAATACATACCAATCCGCCATGGGCAAACAAGCCATGGGTATCTATCTCACAAATTTCCTCGTTCGTATGGACACCATGGCGAACATCCTCTACTACCCACAAAAACCCCTCGCCACTACTCGTTCTATGGAATACCTCAAGTTCCGAGAACTCCCTGCGGGCCAGAACGCCATCGTGGCCATTTTGTGCTACAGTGGGTATAACCAGGAAGATTCCGTCATCATGAATCAGAGCTCAGTCGACCGTGGTCTTTTCCGCAGTATCTATTATCGGAGTTACATGGACCTGGAGAAGAAGTCTGGTGTACAGCAGTTGGAGGAGTTCGAGAAGCCGACCAGAGATACAACGCTTCGGATGAAGCATGGGACGTATGACAAGATCGAGGACGATGGTCTGATCGCTCCTGGAACTGGTGTCGCCGGAGAAGATATCATCATCGGCAAGACTGCGCCAATACCAGCCGACAGCGAGGAACTTGGCCAACGGTTGCGGACACACACGCGTCGGGATGTGTCGACGCCGTTGAAGAGCACAGAGAGCGGTATTGTGGATCAGGTATTGATCACAACCAACTCCGATGGCCAAAAATTCGTCAAAGTACGAGTCCGATCGACTCGTATTCCGCAGATTGGCGACAAGTTTGCCTCTCGTCATGGGCAGAAGGGTACCATCGGTATCACATATCGGCAAGAAGATATGCCCTTCACTGCCGAAGGCATTACTCCCGATATCATCATCAATCCCCACGCTATTCCTTCTCGTATGACGATCGGACATTTGGTTGAGTGTCTGCTCTCCAAGGTTGCCACGCTCATCGGAAACGAGGGTGATGCGACCCCGTTCACCGAGCTCACTGTCGAGTCGGTATCAACATTCTTGAAGCAGCAAGGCTATCAGTCCCGTGGGCTGGAAGTGATGTACCACGGACATACAGGGCGGAAATTACAGGCGCAGGTTTACCTTGGGCCTACATACTATCAGCGGCTGAAGCATATGGTGGACGATAAGATCCACTCGCGTGCGAGAGGGCCCGTGCAGATCCTGACCAGGCAGCCGGTGGAGGGTCGTAGTCGTGATGGTGGTCTCCGGTTCGGAGAGATGGAGCGCGATTGTATGATTTCGCATGGTGTTGCAGGATTCTTGAAGGAGCGTCTATTCGATGCTAGCGACGCGTATCGTCTGCACGTTTGTGATATGTATGTGGCTTTTAGATTATTAGTATCTTCTTATACGTTACTAACTACTTTCAATAGCTGTGGCCTCACCGCTATTGCCAACCTGGTCAGTTTTTTTTCTCGTTTCGTCTTGTCTGCCTGATCATACTCATAATTTCGTTGGATTTCAGAAAAAGCAAAGCTTCGAAGTACGTATTCTCCGATATAAGCCCTTATCTTTTCTAATTTCCCCTTTAAGTGTCGCGCATGCAAAAACAAAACGGCATGTTCACAGCTACATATTCCTTATGCGGCGAAGTTGCTGTTCCAGGCTCGTTCATTCTGTTCCATCTTTTCGTGCCAGATGCTGACACGTAATGCAGGAACTACAAAGCATGAACATCGCCGCTCGTCTTTACACGACTTCCACGGGTCGTATACGGGATTGATTCCTTTCTTTGGTCATTGTATTTGGTTTGATCTCGAGTTGCTAGATAACCACCCATGTATTCTACTCATTATAATAACACTCGCAAAATAAAAATACCGTTGGTGGTGAGAGCGAGCATTGTCTCCTATACTGGACGCGTATGTTAATCGTCCCTGTTCTTCCTTGGCGCATCGCCTCCGCTCATCAACCCATCTCGCTCATCATCGCTACCATCCTCGTGATGCTGGGGAGAGGCGCGTCGGGCTGACCGCTGCTTCGCAACATCATCCTCGTCGTCGCTAAGATCGTGCGCATCTTCATCCCCAATTTCAAAGACGACAGCGTCGTCGTGAAGAGGGTTGGCTCCGTGATGGGCGCCGACAAGCGTTGCTTCGTCGTCGTCACGAGGCCTGGACATTGTGCGCCGCTGCATAGACTCAAGGTCGTAGTCTTCCGCATCGTCGTCATCCTGTGCGAGCTCATCTGACATCATCAACGTAGATACAAGAGAAGAAAATAAGTAGAGATTCGCAGAAGAGAGTCAAGAACTACATATCTTCTGTTGTTGGCAGATGGCCGCCAGAGGTACGCGATCAATACGAAGGCGACGAGGAAGAGAAGGGCAAGCCAGCCGTCCAGCAGCCACCACCGGTATTTCCAAGTCTTGGCAGCATAGTCTGTACCTGAGTTGAGAATCCGCACAAAAGAGAATGGAAAATAGTGAACAGACCTTCGGCAAGACGCCCAGAGAACGACAGCGAAGACACCACGAAAAAAATGACAACCACTACCACAACGAACAAAAGAATGTAATGCAGGCGTTGGAACATGCGAAGTTTGTAATGCTGTTTCCGGGCCTTGAGTTGGGATATCGTCGCTGAAAACCATTTTAGCACCAGCACGAATCACCAGAAATGTCAGTTGAATGCATACCGTTGAGAGAGTAGAGGATCCACATGAGGAATCCGCTGAGTGTGAAGGCCAACGGAATGACGAACATGAGCAAGACGAGGGCAGATGTGGATTCGAATTCGAGCTCTACGATACCAACGGCATATAAGACTAGAAAAAGTAGAACGTCAGTAGCTTGATCCTGTGATGTTGATACAGAACGCAAGGTACCTCCAAAAATGAAATGGGCGCCAGCCAGAAGCTGGCATTTTCGCATTGTGCGTCCAAGCTCATCACGGACCACACTGAGACCGAGAGAAACCACAAGAAGCATGAAGAAAGACAGTGAATTTCGACCTGCATCGAGGATTGCTACTACGAAGAGGAAAACCGTCGATGTGGTTCCCTTTCCGTGAGCATTAAGATAGCGGTAGTACGCTGTATACAGTCAATTGGATTGATCCAGGAAGAGATGCTGTGCATATGTACCTAAGTTAGCAATCATTTCAATGACCAGAAACCCTACAAGGCCGGAAAGATAATACTATCAAGAGATTAGCTGCGAGTTTTTCTGTAGCGTATACTTAAGTACCTGTATTGGGAGTAATTCTGAGAGGTGCCGGTAACACAGCCAGGCCCAGGCACCACCCAAGACGGCATACACGATGAACATTGCTAGATAAAACTAGGTGTTCAAAACAAGTTCAGCGACCTATAGTGAAGTAAGCTGAAGGACGGCGCATACATTGACTTTGGGGTAGTCGGTCGCTGGAAGCTGACCATCGAACGTATTATGAAAATGAACATTGCCTTTGTATTCAGGGTGTACGCTAGTAGAGTTTTGACGTGTGATGACATCTCTCGTGGATGACTGTAAGACAGTGACGGGGACGACCGCTGTGGGGTTGGAGAGCTCGATAGAATTCTAATAGGGGAACACACAAATAATTGAACATACCGACGCAATAGTAGCCCGTTTTTCGGACCAAGTATTGTATCGGCTCCCGATACCAGTGAATACCTGAGGGGCTTGGGTTGAATGAGCCATCCTGTCGCTTGGTGACGCGGGCAACGTCTCGGCGCCACGGAGATGAGTATTCGCTGTTCTCATCAGGGGGCTCAGGGTTTCCGGCAGGATTGTTCCAGAAGCCTTTCCCCGTGACATCTGAGCTTGGGGCAGCTTCTGAAGTAGTATTCGAGGAACTTCCAGCAACTGGAAACGCAACTCGTGCTGACCAGAAACTCGTGTCGTTGATAGATCTGCCTTCCGGAAGGTCGAGAATAAAGCGGCCTAGCTGTGATTGGCTGCAGAATCCACCCCTAACGGCGTCGGAAGTGCACACATATGTTTTCTGCTACGTTGTGCTCATAAGGATTAAGGGATGCGCAGTAAATTCGCATGGCAACTCACGGGAAGATAGTCATCCACTTTGGACGTCACCTTGCCTAGATATGGAGAGTCTTTCCATTCATATATGACCATTGCTACCTGGCCCTGGGAAGTGCTGTCGAAGCTGACTTGTGCAACATGAGTAGAGCCTTGCAGGTGGCTCTGAATGAGCGCATACCATTCAGGTAGGTTTTACTGTTGCTCCACATGCCGGAGCATATTTGCCTGGAGTAATCGGTGTCCAGCAAGGGTACATCGTACGCAACGACGGCGGAAGCTGCAGAAAGGATGGAGAGCAGCGCGAAGCTGCGTAGCATATTGGCAAGACCAAGGAGTTGTTGACGTCTGTTGTCCAAAGCCGTCTATGATGCGTATGTGCGTTCCTAATTGGGAACCAACACCGGAACACACTCAGGCCCTTTGTTGCCCCACGTAATTCACCCTCGCTCTGCTCGACATGCTCGGTGACGACGAGGACGTTTTCGACAGCGTCACATGGGAATCACCTTCAGCACCTCCGTACGATGCTGCTCACAGCAACTCGGCTCCCTCGGGCCCTGGATTTAGACAAAGCACGTCCGAGAGCGAGGATGGGCGCGGTCCCCACGATCCGAAATGGGAGGGATACCTCATTACCACAGTCAAGGATCCAGTAAAGGAGCTGGCCGAAACAAAGGATGCATATGTTTCCTATCTTGTCTCCGCCAAGGTCGGTTTGCAGTCGATTGCGTCGTACTTACCAGCAGCCTCATCGGCTTATAAACAGACAAATCTCCCTATTTTCTCGACTCCCACACCTTCTGCCCGCAGGCGCTTTCAGGATTTTGTCTTCCTTCGGAATAACTTGTCTAGGGACTTCCCAGCATGTGTCGTTCCTCCACTCCCGGACAAGCATCGACTAGGTCCGTCCATGCTTATCCCTCGCTCAGTAGATCCGAGCACTTATCTTCAATGGGAATCCTTGACCCAGAGTATTTAACGGGCGACAGATTCAGTCCCGAGTTTATGGAGCGCCGACGTCAAGAGTGAGCATGCTGATTCGTTCAGTGAATCGCATGTACTGAGGTCATTCGTGCAGTCTTCATCGTTTCTTGCAACGTCTGTCATGTCACCCTACCCTTCAACGGAGCACGCTTGTTCGTGCTTTCTTTGAATCGACTGAATGGGTGCGTGTGAATTGCGACGCTTTCCTCTTCCATTCTGATTTTATTCGTAGCATGTCATCATGCATCAACACATAGCTCACCCACCAGTACCTGACCAATCCACAGGCGTCATCGATAACATATCAGACACTCTCCTTAACGCATTCTCTCGCGTTCGCAAACCTGACGAGCGCTTCCTTGAAATGCGTGAGAATGTCGACAAATTCGAAGAGAGTTTGAATACATCCGAACGATTGTGGACCCGCGTACGTGGACGGACAACTGGTGAGCTTTATGCCGCATCATTCTGCGAGTGCAGGATCTAAGACTAAACGAGCGGGTAACCCGGACTCGCCCGGTGAAGATCTCACCGCGGACTACCATGACATGGCGGTCGCAGTGCAAGGCCTGGGCTTTCTGGAATCAGGGATCACCGACCAGTTGAACCATTTTTCGAATACATTGTTGGAGTTCTCAGCATTATTTCGCCATACGGTATAGCTTCCGTGTTAAAACTCGATAGACCAATTTACTGATGATCTGTTGACATATAGACGCAGAATACAATCGATCCTTTCTTAATTCATCTGCACTCTCTCCTGACATATTCCCACGCACACCGAGCAGTTCTCAAACTGCGCGACCAGAAACAGCTAGACCTGGAAGAACTCACAGATTATCTATCGGGCGTAACAGCAGAGCGCGACAGACTGTCTGCCGTCATCAGCGGGTACGCGGGAAGCTCAGGGCTAGGACTGGGAGCGTACTTGCGGGATAGAGTCGACGCAATTCGCGGTGCAGACGACGATAGGAGCCGCGTAGAGAAAATGCGGAAGTTAGATGGAAAGATCAAAGAGGTAAAGTCCGGCGTTAGTTACCCTGAAAAGATCTATTTACCAACGGCCGCATAGCTCGAGGAAGCCGTCACCACTGCGCATGAAACTTCCGATGCCTTCAGTGACGAAACTTTGCGCGAGCAGGCGGTTTTCCAACGCGCCAAGGAGTGCGAGATGAAAGAAATGTTAACAAACCTTGCTGATGGTCAAATTGAGCTCTACAAAAGCGCAAGTCTTGTCTCTGAACCTGCGTGACTCATCTTGTGCACTGACCCATCTTTTGACTTATAGGCGATGGAAGAGTGGGAGAGAATTATTCCAATAATTCAGCGCATACGTGTGGACGTTTAGGACTTTGAACCGTTTGCAATCTATCGCATGACTCGTCGCGCTTTCTCATTGTATTTTTACTTCTGTTTCCTTGAGATTTATACCTTGCCATTTATCTCTTCACATATAGCAACTATCCTGGCGAGCTCGCTCTTGAAGATCTTATTTCCCATGGGTCACACATGTTCTTCTCACAGCTTGACAGTGCCACCATTTGAGGGAACCGTATAGTATATGTACGGTGCACGGAGAGACGTCACTTTTTCGTGAGTATCTACTTTGCGCGCTCCTTTCCCTTGCCGGTGGTATGACCATTCTCCTCCGCCAGCATCCGTAACTTCTCTGCTGATTCTTGGACAGCCAGAGACAGCTATAAATAGGGCAGTAAGCGAATGGACAAAAAAGCTAGTGAACAGACAAACATTGATCACTCCTGTGTCTACTGCCCGCACCATATACAGCTCAGCTTCGTCGGATGCCCCTGATGTGGTATCACCAATGTTCGCCGGCATCCATGGAGGAGGGTCGTCCTGAAAGGAAGTCAATCATACATGGTTCGGTGGCTTCGCGACTCCGTACCTTGGATAAGCCGACGGTTGGTGCCTTGTTATCTTGCAATTCCAGCAGGATGGCAAAGGTATTTCCATCTGGATGATCAATGTGAATGAGTACCGTGGATGTGGGCGGTATAGGGGCAGTCTCCACCAGTTGGGGCGAGTTCACCCAGTTGCGATTCGATCATGTTGAGTTTGATCAGGAATGAACGGAAATACTGTCCGAGGACGGTTGATGGCATTGCGTCTTCGATACTTTATCAAATGGGTGGTGGCATCAGCATGCATGGCATACGGCATTCAGAGAAACTGACCTAGTATCTTTGTTATAAGATTCAACCTCGATCATATTCTGGATCGAGAATATAAAGCGTTCCAGCGCAACATCATGTTTATCCTTGATGACGACGACCACTTTATCTACGTGCCCCTGTGGATGGGAGGATATACGATAAGAATAGATAGGAAGGCGACAGGATGATACTTACAAGTATCAACTCCTGTCCCACGGCTTTGATGGCCCCAGAGATATATTCGTTCAAGCCTGGATGACGAGACTGATAGACAGGTGTATCATACTTCTTTCGCCGTATGAAGAGCTCTGCAGGATAAACTTGTCGAACGTAGAGGATGGTATGTATCGCAACCCCGACTTGAGAGATAAATGAGCATGATTTGGAGTGGGCCACACGCACAGTTATTACTCACTAAATTCTGTGATCCCTCGGACGGTTTCTGGTAAAATATTTCTGGGTTACCATGGACCGTGAACTCGGTGAAGTGGTATACGTACGATTAAAAGTTAGAGAGGAGCCGGGAGGCATTTCATATTTCTAATGGTGACGGTATGGGTCTTAGCTGTGAAGCTAGAAGTCACGGCTCTGTGGCATTCAACGCCGCGATCAACGAACCGGAAAGATCCAGCGACCCGTTTTGGGAATCAATTTAGTCCCTGCCACCTGGCTCGGAAAGCTGGCAGTAAATCCAATGATTTCGAAGCATATTAACTCGCGTAAGTATACAGTCTCTACGAATGTATGATCATGGAAGTTGAGATTGACAATCAGGACATCCACTTAGCGCGAGCAAGAACAACCTTAATTACGGTCCGCCAACCGTCGACGCCTTCCTTCTCGCCATACAGGGCCCCACCGAATTTCTACCCACATCAGAGGACTCACAGCGACACATATCCCGCCTAAAAGGACATAGGTCCAGCCTGGTCCCATTGCCTTTAGAATGAGATCTATCACGGAGACGAGTGCTGCACCCAATGAACAGCGTATCAGGTTATTCTGAAATCCGAAGAGCCATCAGGGAAAGTCAGAAGAAGGAAACAGGATGAGCTCACGCAAGCGGTGATGGAAGAGCCTTGAGACGGAGCCAAGTCCAAAAGGAGAGTTTGAATCGTATTCATTACAGCATTGGTAACATAACCAACTGTCAAAAAAAATTCCGTAGGATCATACCCTTGCATTGTGAAACTGCCACACAGACTCACTGATGATTTGTAGGATCAATGGACCTGCGAGCGACACGCGAGCTTTCAAACACCAGCCGTAGCCAATAGTGCATGCCACGAAGACAGCAACGTAGATTGGCATCGTCCTCAAGCGCGCCATTTCTATAGGAAAGTTTTCGTCCTTTGTTACATCTTTGACATCGCGTTTCTCTGGATCGGATTGCGCCTTCTTGATCATGCTGTTCTTAATAGCAGCATAATCCCTGTCGAGGAAGCGACCCGTGATGACAGAGCCAAATACCATGCCACCTCCAATGGCGAGGAAACACAGTCCGATGTCCGTTTGATCCAAGAATGGGTAGACATCTGCAAAGAGAGAGGATATTGTAGTTGTCACGCTGTAAAATACGGCATATAGGACGCCATTGAAGATGAGCAGGATGACGATATCTGGATATGTGAATAGACGAAGTGGATTTGCGAATGGCTTCGGCAGAGGCCGATTATTAGGTGCAGTAGGTTGGCGGCTCTTGCCTATGATAGGAATGAGAGGTCGATAGAACGCCGAAGGGACAATGCTTCCATCTCCTACTAGAGATCGCAGAGTCTCCGGTAGAAGGCTGTGCCATAAGTGAGAATCAAAAGGTCATACGCATATATTTGATTCATCTTACAGAAGTATGACCAAGGCGCAGGCAGCAGATGATATGCAAAGGAACCAGAATATAGCCCTTCGTGAAATTTAGAAATCAGCTGCTTTATAAAAAGGGAAGACTCACCTCCAACCCAGACCTTGGGCCAAGCCACCACCGATTACTGGTCCAAGGCAAGGTCCTATCTAAGATATCGTGAGGCCCTCGAATTATCTTGTGCAGTAACCTGAGGTTACCATCGGCCCCATGCTGAACAGTCCAAAAAGGCCTCCTCGTTCAGATGGCGACGCTATATCGGCGATGACGCCCGCGCCTGAATATATCAGGTGTCAGAAGTGGCATGTGGACTACCAACCACAGCATGTATGAGACCTTACCGAGGGCAATCGTGCTGGCCGACCCGGCTGCTTGGATACACCGAAGTAGCATCAACAACCAGTACGCAGATGTGGGGACGAGAGCCAGCCCTACGCATGACAGAGACAAAACAATCATGCAAGCGAGGATCATGGGCCTACGACCCCAACGGTCAGAGAGGGTTCCCCAAAACATGGGGGCTGTGAACGAATTAAAGTATGAGAGAGAGAGACATAGAATAGGGTTGGGCGACGAACAGATGCCTTGCATGACCATGTAAATGGTTACAGTCAAATTGATCATCTCGATAGACTTCCGGAATTGGGAGGCAATGGTAGGAATGGCTGGGAAATATATGTTTGCAGTAAGGGGGCTATAAAGATGAACTTGGTTGTTACTTCTTGAGAATCGGGAATATGTTTGAACGTTACCTGAAGACTCCAGCAACAGAAGCTGTACCAACCAAAAACCACTTCTCATGCTGCGTGAAGACACTGTACTGTTTTTCAGCCGATACAGTTGGTTGCTGCATATCTGCTTTTTCGTCTATATGTGTCGTCCCATGTGCCGAGGACTGCTGTGAGACAATCAGATTATTGGTAGCAGTGGTCGTGTCATGCTTGCTGGCAGAGTTGAAAGCGGAACCAGATTTCGACATGAACCCTACCAGGGTAGATGGTTCAGCGTTCAGCCTGATGAGAGGGCCCTACCCGGCCTTCACAAGCAGAGGGTGCATATATATGTTCGAACATGCAGCTGTGTGGGTCCAACCGTCGGATTCCTCCACTTGATTTATTTCCAGCTCCGAAACCTACGGACCGTCGGAATCTTAGCGTGAGAGCATCTCATCCCAACGGAAGACGCGCTCAGCTCCCTCGCAACGATTTATGCTCGCTTCCAGTGCTTTCAACATGGGTGAACATTTCAAAGGTACTTTGGTAATATCTCATGAACAGAGGTAGACGAAGCCGCCGAGTACTCTTCTAATATTTCCTTACATGAAAGATGGGCGGAGTCGGATGAAACGACGTTATCGTGCTTCAGCTGAGCCACCTACAAGGCATCAATATAAGCATGAGCGGAAGACTACATTGTTAAAATAGAGTAAATGGAATCACCTGATCTCTTGTCACGGTAAACAAATTCGGAGGGAGACGTTCAAAAATAGCGCCTTGAGCCTCTCCAACGAACCAAGGAAGAGATATAATAGGTCTTATGCGCTTGGTATACTTGAGGACCAGCTCGATGATTTGACGATAAGTAAATACTAACAGAGCACGGCTTTCCCATCAGACTTGGGAACTCAGTTCCGTGGTTGAGAACACACCATCTGGACCACCGGCCTCAATAATCTTACCCGCGACCTTTTTTATGACTTCTTCGTCGGATCTCGTGATGATCTCAACAAGTCGCCCCAAATCACCCGCATATACGGGCTGAAATCGTGTGAGGCCGCCTCCAAAGACTGGCATGAACGGAAGAATTTGAGATAGCCTAGCGAGCCTCTACTTTCTCTACGCAGTCAGACGTTGTCTCAAAGCGGAACATGGTCATGGTACGCACCAGGAAGAATCCATCTCCCGGCCCGAACACGAGACTGGGTCTCACAACCGTAGCTCCCGGGCATGCCTTGAACACAGCTTCTTCACCTAAAGCTTTGGTCCTCTCGTAGGGAATATCGCTATCTTTGTCTGCACCGATTGCACTGATATGGATCAATCTGGCGCCAACTTCCTTCGCCGCGTTTGCCACGTTCTCCGCACCCCTCCATTGAATCTTGTCAAATTGTTCTGGCGACCCATGGAGAATTCCAACCAACGAAATAACGACATCAGCATTGTCGAAAGCCTGTCGCAGGGTCTGTGGATTCGTGATGTCGATTGGAATTGGCGGTAGGAGATGTTCTTGAGGGATGTCACGGGTCAACTGGGTATATGTAGACTGAGGATGTCGCGAGGATACTTGAATGCGACGCAGAACCTTGGTAGAAGCGTTGCCTTTGCTGATAGCGATTGCAATGTTGCTTCCTGCCAAGCACATATTAGTGGCATGGCGGATAGCGATTACCGCTAGAGCTCACCTAGAAATCCTGCCCCGCAGAGAACGACCTTCTGAGCCATGGTGTATACGATCAGTCTTGAAGAAAGGCAGGCTAGTCCAAAGATATTGAGAACGTCAACACCGACGGCAGTGGTCTACGTCGGGAGGCGACAGGTCATCATGCGCTCATGACGTATGGCCGAAGCGATCCTAGACCAGCATCGGATTCCGCTGATCATGAGTGACGCCTCAGTCGACATCGCGAGAAGCCGAGACCAAGGCAGCCGGCTCGAGTGATCGACGACCCACGACTGGGGCGATCCAGCTCCTCTGCATGCGGAGATCCATGACATCTCAGTACCACGCGTTGCCACCGTCAGCTCCTCGTCTTTAGGAACATGCCACGATGTGAATTAGAATCGATGGCCGTCTAGCCGTCGCACGCCATTGAGATTGACGAACTATCGCGTTCACCGATGTCCATGGAGACAGGGATGTGAGAGGATGTGAGGAGATGTTGGGAGGTGTGAGGGGATGTTGGGAGGTGTTGAGGTGTTGGGAGATGTCACTCGTTCAGGCCAGGACTTGTTACGCTACCTTTCAGAGGGCCGAGGTAAAGTTTGACATGTCTGTCATAAGCTTTCTCTTTCGACTGTTGATATGGGCACACCTGAACACAGCACCTGCCAGCGGCCACGTACAGGGTGCAGGGTGATACTTGGCACGTGGACGAGAGGAATATACGTTGAGAGAATAAATGAAACCCGGGGATATGGCAGTGAGGTGGGCCACGGCAGGAGGGGAGTTCATGGCGGCTTCCACCCATCGGGTCGGTGAATTGTCATGTCACGGCGACCTGTTTTGGATCACCATAGTCCCAAACCGCATCAACCTTGGTGGCTCTGCTCCAATGCATCGTATGCAATGATTACCGCAGTAGTTCCCAGAGGCTTGCTATTCTGCTGACCCCTTATTCGACGTCTTGACGGCAAAGGTGGTCACTCGATCGTCCTACAATTGCAATGGTGAGTGCATGCCGCACCTCATTCTCGTTGATGGTAATAGCTAAGGGCAGCCAAAATTCGCTCATCTCGACTTTGTTGCTCTATACTTTCCCTCTATTCGACGGTACTAATATAGCCAAAATTGTTCTTGATCGTCTTCTCAGGTTAGGGAAGGTTTATTGTCCGGAGAAAATTCGATTGAGGGATATCCGATAGTTGTTGGAGTCAGATTCATTCCTTGGCAGACAACCCGGACGATGTTGACTAGTTCATATGCATCGCGTACCATCCGTCTTCGATTTCAAGTCCAAATTTCAAGAGGATCCACGTCGATTATAGCGGCGCATATACGGTGTCACTGGAAGGCTCTCGAAAGATGGTCGTAAGTGATTCAATTTCAATCAGTTTCAATCAGACAAGCCCGTAACATGACAACTTACCCGTCATGACCAGTTTTGGCCCTTTGGGAAGCCAACGAATCAGACGTGCGAGCAAAAGTCCCAGCTGGACATAGTCCTGGCATTCAGCGTTCCATAAATGTTCTGAAAGACGGATGGGCGTCAGCCGGAGCCGCAAAGCATCAGGATAGAGTGACCTGAAACCTTCTCCTAGTATGCGTCTTCCTGACTGTCTTCGCAATGCGAAGAGATAGCCCTACTGCGAGGTAAGAGCATAGTTTTCATGATGACGCTAAAAGGTCTCCGAGGCGCAGACGCTGAACCCATTTCCGACTCTGGACATCGTTGATCAAGAACGTGGCGTTACTCTCGGTGATGAGCAATCATATCGCAATTCCCCCACACCATCAACGCAACCGAAGCGTATGGATAGGCACCCAGCAGGACACAAGAAAGTTTATCCGGAAGGGCTTTATAAAGATTCACGCTTCGCCCGCGCAGCACAGCTATACCGAGATTGCTTCGCCGTTCGCACCCCTCAGCTCAGATTTTCAAGCCAGTAGCAAAGCCCCTCGACCATCGCCAGGCCATCGACGCGTACTAAAGCGTGCGCAGATTTCGTGGTCAATGGTAGCGAGATACTCGGCGGAAAGACCTCGACGGCGATGTAGTGGTCAAGAGAGAAGTAGATTCACCGCACGTTTGTGGGCGTCTATTGTCTCTGGTTTTTGGCCATACCAACCCTTGACCACGCTCCACAGTTAATTCTCTCGCTCCTCATACATAGTCTCAGTCCTTTCCTCTCTTGAACCTCACTAGACCACCTTCGCGACCTCGCTTCTCGGCCATAATGCCTTCAGACACGCAGCCTTCCACCCCCACCCCTGCAACGACGGCGAATCCGTCGCCACTCCCCTCCTACCCCTTGCGCCTCCCGAATTACAGATTCTCCCATCAAGAGAGATTCCATCCGTATGGACGTAGGAACGAGCCCACCCAGGCATTCGATCCGATGGTGGGGCCTCTCTAATATGTGCTGCGCGTTTTCCTGAAACCTTTTCATAGCAAACCATCAACTACAACAGCGAGCCGCGCCAGCCTGAATTTGCCATGGCATGTTCGATATCTACCCACTCCTCGCAAGCACTAACGCCTCTGCCCTCGCAGGCTGTCATCCCCGAGGAAAATAACGCGGATTTGAACGCGCTCGAAAGAGTCGTCAGCGGCTTGGAAGGTAGGCAACAAGACATGACGCCGCGGAGGCGCACCCTCGGGGTATTGGTCGTCGTGCGTTCTGTTCTCCTCCGTAGCAGTATGTTGTTGGGTGACATCTTCCCCAGGACTTTGCCCTTGCCATGCGGAACAGGCTCGGCGGCAAAGACCGGCGCAGGGCCTGAAGTCAAAACGAGTTGATTTTCTTGTTTCTTTCTTTCTTAAAACTATGCGACAGCCACGGTCAGCGTCTCACCAAGATGAGATGGCTGCGGGTGGACTGTCCAAAATATCGAGGCGAGTTCCGAATGTTTTCCTGTCAAGTTCCATGTAACGTATTTGCGTCGTTGGCGTCGTTTGAAATCTGACCGTTGGCTGTGCCGATCTGCGTCCGTTGAGACTTTCGTGTGTCGTACGGCTGCACGGGCTCCACCACCCTCTTTGCGAACCACTAACAGTTCAGTTTGGAATGCGCTCCGAGGTATCGAGCGGAGGGATCTCGCTTCCACCTTACATCTACACATCCCTCGCACATACGATCTGGCATCGATGTCCTCCTGTCAACAATTCCGCGTTCGCTTCCCAGCAGAGCTGGAGAAACCCCCCGCCGACCGCCCCAGAAAGGTAAGACCACGCTCAGCAGACCGCGGTCCAGCACGGCGACTGACGCGCGCGTTCAGGCGAACCTCACCTACCCCAAGGTCGCCCAGGTCAAGCACAGCAAAGACAGGATAGAGTCCGCGGACCTGTACTGGGGCCACCGCTGCGTGACGGCCTCGCCAGAAAAATTCCTGCGCAACCGGCGTCGTGAGCGGCGTGAGCCACCCCCTCCCCCTCCCGAGAATGTACGTCGCCTGCCGTTCTTCTGTGCGGAGGGCATCGCCGGGCTCACGACGGCCGCAGGACTCCAAGGCGGGCTTGCTGCGCTCCCTGTCGAACGCGCTGGCGACGGACGGCCCGCCGATCGGCCTGAGGCAGTCGCCCCGCCCGCAGCTCGCGATATCCGTCCCCGACAAGAACTCCGAGAGGGCCGTGCACCCTCTGCGGCTCAAAAGTGCGCCGCCGCTCAGCATCACGCCCACGTCCACGTCGTCTTCGTCTTCGGGAGACCAGGACTCGAACTATTCATATCTGGACGTGAAGGAGACGAAAGACGAGCAGCATCACGGTCCACTGCTGAGCGAAGTCAGGCCTGTCACGTTCTGACTCCACCATGATTTAAATAAAAAAAATCCATATGTTCCAATATTCGAAGCAGTGAGAGAGACGGTCGTCGTCGAAAACATTGCGCGGTGAAAGTAAAAGTACATGAAAGTCTGCATACTCATCCGACTGCCTCCGAGACCAGACCCGCGCGCCCTCTCCTGAGCCTCTCCTCCAATCCTCCCTCCCCGCTGAACGCTTTCTTCTGCTCGCGGCTCAAGAAACTGCTCATGCCCTTCGACTTGATCCTCAGCCGCTCGTCCTCCTCGAGCTCCGCCTTCTCCTTCTCCAAGAGCAAGGTCAACCGCTCCTTCCTATCGGTGCTTAGACCCACGGCATTCGAAGACATCGCCGCCAACCGTGCCGCACGATCGTCCGCCGAGGAGTTCGGCGGATGCGGGTTCGGCGCGCGCGATGGTGGTTGGGTGGATCTCGATGGTAATGGGAATGGAGCAGGTCTTGGCGGAGTTTGTGGCCCGAGGCGTGCACGCTTGTAATACGATGCATCGGGATCCCGAGGACTCTGGCTCCGATATCGCTTGGGCCCGTCATCCCCACGATGACGTGGACTGTGTTCGCGGAGCCTGCTCCTGCTCCTACTCCGGCTACGCCCCCTGCGGTCATCGTACTCGCGTGGGCTCGGCGATTCGTCTGACCGCGTCCACGGAGGCGTACGACGATCCACATCGTCCCGCCGTCTCTCGTTAGTTGGGCTCCGGGGCCGACGGCGGTACTGCGCGTCGGGAGTGCGGCTCCGGCTGCGATATCGGCGCGAATGATCGTCATCGCGACGGGCATACTCGCGATTGTTATGCGGGCGTGAGCGATATGGCGAGCGGGAGCGAGGGCGGTCACGAGGGCTGAGCGAACGCCTGCGGGGGTAGCGGTCGCGGTCGTCATAGTCCAAGCGGGGAGGCGAGTCGGCTGCCCTGCCTCTGTCTTCTCGATCCCGTCGGCGCTGCTCCTTCTTCTCCTTCTTCTCTCGCTTCTTGTCTTTCTTGTCCTTCTTCGGCTTGATGCCGTTGCGCTCCTGCATCTCGCGCAGGCGCAGGGGGTTTGACTTGAGGGCCTCCAGCGCGGCGGCCTCCTGCTGCTTGATCGCGAAGAGCGGATCTTCGCGGATTTTAGCAGCCGTGTCGCGCGCGTTATTTGCGTTCTGGACTGCGATGAAGTTCTTGTGCGCGGCACCGAGCTTTTAGTCGCCCGCGTCCGCGTTAGCACGCGCATTTCGTCAAAATGAATGAATCGAGATGGGCGCACCTTCTCGTTCTCGTCGGCCGTCAGGATCTTGTCGACCCGCTTCTTGCCGAGCAGGTAGTCCTCCAGATCGTTGGGGTTTTGGCTGCTCCCCGTGGCGGGGGTGGTGTACATCCACTCTAGCTTCTCCGTTCTCTTCCTTCCCGTCTGTTCCTCTTGCAAGCGCTGCAGCTCTTGCAGCTGGCGCTCCTCTTCCTTTTCCTTGCGGAGCTGGTCGAGTTTCTTCTTCTCTTCGAGCTAGACAGAGTGCCATCTATTCAGTCGAGGTTTCAGAGAGCAACAAGAGTTGCTACGGACCGCTTTCTTTTCCTCGAGCCAGACCCGCTCCTGATTCTTCAACAGGAGCGGATGCCAGGACTTCTTCATGTTCAAGTCTCCGCCACCCATCTTTGCGAATGTCCCTGTTCGACGATATAGAAAGTGTTCTGTGTGTCCTTGAGACGAAGCGCGGGGAGAAAGACAGAGGAGGAGGGGAGGAGCAGTGAGCGTGGAAGGCAGCAGACGTTCCAAAGTGGCACCGACGACGTTCGGCAACCGCCGAACCCTTCTTGTCGTATGCTTGCGTGAAGCACGTCCGTCACCCGCACGCGGAGCAGCTGCGCCCTCTCTCACCACCAGTAAACTATGTCTGGGACGGACGATGACCGTCTGAGCGACATTGAAAGCGGCGAGCACGACCCTCTGAACGGTCGCGCTGGCCTCGGTGGATCTCCCGTGCCCCAACCCATGTTTGCACCCCTTCGTCTTCCCCCGTATATATCGAGCCGTTAACGTGTCCCGTCCTGCACACCCTCTCGGACAGGCCCTCGCGCTCCATCTATGCCCTCACCCGAGGGGAGATAACAAGGGGCATCGCGAACCGCTTTGTGCACTCCCGAACGTACATCGTGCTCTATCTGGCCATGGCGGCGCTCTCTATCACCACGGTCGTGCTCAGCCTCAAGGACGGGTGTCCCGGCCTCGCGTTTTTCATCCTCGAGATTATCATCAACACGGCGATGATCGCTGAAGTGATCATTCGCTTCCTCGCGCTGGGACGGGTGAGTCATCCGCCGTCCTGATGATGCCGGGCGCGCGCGCACGCGGCTGTTCTCTTCGCTCCTCTCGCTAATATCAAAGGGAATTAGCAATTCTGGAAATACCCATTCAACATCTTCGATCTCATCGTGACGACCTTCTGCGCGCTGACGCTTCTCGTGCTCGCCTTCTCGGGGTGCGGCGCGGCGAGCAAAGAGGAGGAGATCTTCGACACGCTCCTCCTCGTCGCGCGGAACGTGCTCCAGTTCGGCCGCCTCGCGTCCGTCGTACGACAGTGAGCCCCCCTTGTGCTTTTTTTTATAGCCCATCATGGCGCTGGTCAAGTTTCGGACGCTGATGGGTGATGGGTGATGCCTGGTGGGCTCGCCTGCGTGCAGATCCGGTCAGTCGATATTCACTAGGCCAAAGCCGATTGATCTGTCCGCGGCGCGGAGGGCAGGCTACAGCCTCGACATGGATCTCGACGTGCCGGAGGACGACAGCGACGAGCTGCGAGCGCCGTCGGCGCGCAACCCCGTCCTGTTCGACGCGCGCGAGGAGCCACGGCCGGCAACTCGCGGCCCTATGTCTGATATGCCTAGAGCAGCGCAAGCGGCCAGGGACAGAGACGAAGAAGACGTGTGGGCCGAGTTGGGCTGATGCGACGCTTCCCAGAGACTGGCATTGGTTGATCCGCACGCTTGTACTTACTCGACTGCATCTAAGAATTTTTATATGCCTTCTTCGCGACGATTGCGCGCCCCGAGAAGAGGGAACGCGATGTTCCTCAGTTCCATTCACGCATGCCTCGACTTTGCTCAAAGGCAAAAACTACTCTAAATGCAGACAGAAGTGGGCTGAGGTCACGCGTAGGTGCCCTGACGACACCGATGGGCACCCCGGGATCTCGAGAGTCAGGGAGAGCTGGTAGTCGAGTATGTCATCCGTATGTACATAGGCCGTAACGTGCCTAAAGCGGGCGCAGGAGTCGAGCGGCAAATTGACTGCCTCCCGGCCGAGGATCTGGTTCGTCGGTCGCATAGGACGGGGTTCAGGAGAAAAGAGGCCGCGAGTGGAGTTCCATCAGACGATGTTCCCCCTTATAGATGGACTGGGCGGGGAGGTTTGGATGGCTAGAGTCGGCGATTGAGAGTGGAGCGGAGAAGAGAAATGGGCCGCTCTGTTTATGATGGGGGCCAGGCTGTACGTGAGACAATGTGGAAGGATGGGGAACGCGATGGAGTGAATAGCAGGTGACCGAGGGCGAGAAGCGCTGATTGGGGGCGAAGGCATCGGCAGCAACGGACGAGTGAAATAGCAATGGGGCCAAGGCGAGCGAGTTGCGAAATCGCAGGTACATGCCGGGCGGACAAAAGAACGCGATTGCGGGAAGCAGCAGCGGTGGACAAACCGGACGCAAGTGGGGGCAGGCAATGGACAATGGGGAACAGTGATGGGTGCGGTGATACGGAGCCGGTAGGAATTCAAAAGCAAGAGGGAATGGTGATAGTGAGTTATCGGCAGGTGACGAGCGACGGAGGCTGTTTGACAGGGAGAGTGCGGGATTGATATTGGGACCAAGATGGCAAGTGGCCGGGAGCGGTTGATAAGTGGTCGCGGATGACCGAAAGGGGCAGGCGTCGGGACGGGACGAATGTGAGGAGCTGAGGGGATTGATCTGGGGGAAGAACGAGAGCAGGCCATGAGGCGAACGGAATGATGCGGGAGGGGCAGCGTTCTCTCGAGGAAGAAGGGGAAGAGGATGTGTGGCAGGAACGAGGCAAAGAGGGCGGGCGGGGGTCAGTAGCAGGACTGCGAGCCGACCTGGAGAGACGTAAAGCGACCCAACCGCGGCCTGTGAGCCGGCTCCCGAGTGCCCTCCTCCTCCTCCTCTCTCCTCCCCATGTCCTGACCACCCCCCGTTCTATAGTCCCCTCCCCTCCCCTCCCCGTCCCCCGTCCATCCCCTGTATACTGTCGTTCCATACCTCCCTCTCTGCCCGTGTACCTCGTTCTTTGCCGCCTGATCTCTCCCCACACATCCGCTTCGCTGTCATTTGCCCTCCCTTTCCATGTCTGCGGCGTTTTCCCCGCAGCAGTCATCCTCAGCGCGTCCATGGTGGTCACGTTCGGCCTCGTCCAAAACCATCCACAAGTGCGCCCGCTCCCTTCTCGCTCGCTCGCTCGCTGCTCCGTTCCTGATCCTCCCCTTGCGCTTTCGTCCAGTGATAAGCAGCCGTCCGCAAGCTCGTCTGCCAAACCGCCCGCTGCAAAAAAGCTGAACAACCTCGTCACCGCCATCGGCCTCAAGCCCAGAAAGACCGCGCTCGCCATCCAGGAACCCCCGTCCCCCGTCCTCCCCCTCCACACTCATGACATCGATGACTCAAAGTACAGGACACGTCTCTCCGCCAAATCAGTCCATTCATGGGACGACATGCTCGAGCCGGTCACCCCCTCAGACCCGACCAGAGATCAGCACAATTATACCCACTCCGTCATGTCCATGTCCGAAGACCCGTTCGCCGCCCGCATGATCCTCGTCCCAAAGATCCCGGCAGACCCCACAAGGCTCTCTGTCTTCTCAGACACATCCACCTCCGATTCGCACAGCAGGAGAGCAGATTCAGGCCCAGACTACAATCGCATGTCCTTCGCCTCCTCCTCGTCCCACTCACACCAGAGATCCGAGTTTACCCCAGACGTCACTCCCCCGTCGCTGCTCCATTCCAACACAGGTGCTCGGCGAATATCTCGGTGCATAACAGCCTCATCTCTCCTCCCATCTATCAGGACGCTGATATCTTCGTTCTCAGATTGACAGTTCAAAGCGACAAGCCCGTGCGGCGCATGTCCAACTTTCTGTCCGCTCAGTCCACCCCCACGTCCCCCGCTCCCACCGAGTATTCAGATGCGGGGCGTCGCATTCACACCTCCGCCTCGTCCACCACCTTGAAGGACAAGCGTCGCGCCGCGGAACCGCTCGTGCCCTCTCTCCCTCGCCCTACGACGCGACCTCGAGGCATGACCGACGTGGGTCCCGCTCGCCGAGACCTCATGCCCCCTCCAGATACCCGGCTGCCGCCGTCTGCACACCCTCCTCCGACCCTGCCGGCGACGTCGAATTCAACGCAACCGCGCGTCGTCGTCCGGCAAGCGTCTCTCACCCGAATACAGCCTCCATCCGCGCCACCTACATCAGGCCTGCCCCCTCCGCCACTGGTAACGGGATCATCAAGCACAAAGTCTTCTTCATTGCGACTTCAGCCCCCGTCTCCCTCCTCCACCTCCTCTTCTAGCTTGTCCTTCGCGTCCTCCCTGTCCAGTGGAGACGCCGTGCACAGTTCCGTCTCCCATCATTCAGACCGACGCAACATCAAGGAGAAGAAACGCTTCTCCAACGAGCGCTACATGTCGGAACACGGAAAGGAGCGCGGTCGAGACAAGCACGCAGGCCCCCGTAATGATGCGAATGGCCCGACCTCTTCGCGCCATCACAGGGAGCCCAGCTCCCCGCGAACAGTCAAGAAGGCCGCCTCGCAACAGACCCTATCAAAGCATTTTCCCGGCATGGGCGCGGCCTCGACTTCCAGCATCGGGACGGAAGACGGAAAGGCGTTGAAGAAACAAAGATCCTTCCACACCTCTCGGATCCCCATGCCGCCGCTTCCCGCGCCCTTCCGACACGTTAATTCCTTTCTTCCGCAGGGAAGCTCAGCCCGCGAGGAGCCGCCGCTCTCGAAAGAGCAGCGCCGGGGAAGCACACAGTCCACCTCTGGCCACACAAACCAGCCGGCCGTCCGCAAGCGCCTCTTTTCGGGCACGAGTCTCCGCCGCTCTTCGTCCTCGCAGGCCCATTCGACGACGACGGACGACGACGCGCACTCGGTCTTCAGCCTCCCCATCCAGGACGAGTCGCCCTCCTTCGTGAACCCGTTCCACTCTTCGGACCACGTCACGTCCTCGTTCTGGGACGAGGCAACGGACCCCATCACGAGCCCTCCCACGTCGCCAAATAGGGATTATTATGCCCAGCAGATCATGTCCCCGGCGGAGATGCTGAGGCTCGAGGCGCTGGTGCAGAAGGGCGGACCTGATGCCGACATCGGTCGCCCGCGCGTAAACTCCTTCGCCTCCGCGTCGACGTCGATGTCCAACCCCCTCTCGGACGTGGTCTCGGTGGACATCCCGCTCCGTCCAGCGTCGCCTTCGCTCAATGCAGACGACGGCGGGAAACACGCTGGAAGCAGCTCCGTGGGGCCCGGCCCGCATTCGAAGACACGCACTCCCTCGCTCATATCGAGAATGTTGGGAGCGCCGTCCGTCTTGGCCGGGCGACCGGCGACTGCACAGGGAAGAAACGTATCCCCGCCCGGGTCCCCCACACGCTCCTCTTTCATCCAGGTCAAGGGCAGCTCGGGCTTGTCACCCCCGCCGCGCCGCGCGCGCCCCTCGACGTCGACGGGCCTGCACGACAACGGCAACACCTCCGGGAATCGCATGAGCATCGTGCCTGTCTTCCCGCTGTCTCCTCCACCGGCCCGGCGAAACACACGACGCGCACTCAACGTGGAGCAGGTGCTGCAGCGCCGGTCGATCATGAAGAAACCCTCGTTCCTGGAGATCGACGACGAGGCGGAGCGGTATCGGCCGCCGCCCCAAACGGATGACAGCTTTCTCGACATGGGCAAGGGCTCGTTTGACACGGTCAGGAGCACGGACGAGGAGTTTGGGCCAGCGTAAAACGGCCGCTCGCACGTTTCGTTCATCGCATTTCATTCCGCTCATCATCATCACTATCACCACCACCACCAACCACCACCACCGCCATCATCGCCATCACCATCTATCTGTTATCTTATTCATTTATCGATATCATCTCCTCCGCTCTTTATTGTCTCTTACTTTTTGCGTCCTCTATAATCCTCTTCTGCTCGTGACATGTTCAGCTCAAACGTTCGGTGTGGCTAATACTCTGACTCGAGGTCGTTTTGCCTTCTCCTTCATTCGCGGCATGCCCCCACCTTTACATACCTCCCTCTTATTTGACTGCTCACAATGGATTCGAAAGCTCCGCATGATACACGCCATTGAAGTGTCCGGCCAGGTGAATTGATTGAGACCCGGGATAGAAGCTAAGTACATAGATAGTGTGCGTTAGAGGAGAGACGAGATCAGGCACGTCATCGGGGATGCGAGTGTAAAGTGTTAATGTAATAGATGGGTCGTCGGTTCGCCTATTATTGGATCTTGGATCATCAGTCTGTCTCCTCAGTGTGGTATCCCGCTCTCCTCATTGCGCCCAGACGATGCCGCGCCGCGCCGAGATCCTTCTCGAGGCGCAGGATCTCGACCTGCTGCTCCATCTCGCGCTTCTTGAACTCCAAGTTCGCCATGTTCTTGTAGTCGACCTCCTCCGCCTCGGCCTGCTTCGCGGAGATGGCCCGGACCTGCCGCACGAGCGCCTTGCACGCCTCCGTCACGGCCTTGGCCGCGAGCTCCAGGCGCTCCTGCGTCTTGGACATCAGGTTCGCCTTGACGCGCGAGGCCGCCACCAGCTGCGCCGTCGCGGCCGCCACCTCGTTCGACGCGACGATGAGCTGCTCGAGCGAGTGCGTGCCGGAGAGCACGCCGTCCGCGCTCTCGATCAGCAGGTTCGTCGCGAACGCGACCGAGCGCGCCGCGGAGATGAGGCCCTCCGTCCAGCGGTTGTTCCGCTTGTAGAACTGCTGCGTCGTGCTCGACCCTTTGCCCTGCGCGACGATCTCCTGCTGCGAGTCCGTCGCCGCGCGGATGAGCCCGCCGATCGCGTGCGTGATCGCCAGCGCGGCCGCGAGGATCGAGTCGTGCACCTGGAGGTCGACCGCGCTGAAGCGGCTCGAGTCGCGCGGCCGCGCCATGAGCTCCTGCAGGCGCGCGGTCGCGGCCTCGATCGCCTGCGCGGCGCCCAACATCGTCTGCTGGACGAGGTCGCCGATGTCCCCGTTGGCCTTCGCCAGCGCGGGCGACTTGCCCTTCGGGATGATGGCCTCGACGGCCTCCGACAGCTTCGTGAGGGCGCTGCGGGCCTCGCCGTTGTTGCGCATCGCGATCGTCACGCGCTGGGAGCGGTCGACCAGGTCGAGCTTGTACGATTGCAGGTTCAGGAAGAACCGCAGGCCGACGTCACCGGCCGTCCTCGCCACGTTGATGAGCTTGTCGGACGCGTCGTCGCCCTCCGTCAAGCGCGTGATGCCCTTGACGTTGACGAGGGTGTCCGCGAGGGCCTGCGCGAACTCGTTGGCGCCCTTGATGACATCCACGTGGTCGCCACCGGGCTGGTTGTCCAGGTAGAGGTTGAAGATGGTGGCGAAATCGGTCGAGTTCGAGAGCGCCTTTTCGATCATGGACAGGGTGTATTCGGGCGTCGAGTTCTGGTTGCCGGCTTGGGTCGGCGACTCGAGTTCGTAGATCGCGTCATCCACCTTTTGAACGCAGGCCTGGAGGATGGAGTCTGAAGCGATGTTCAGGGTTCGAGCAAATAAAGATCACATGTCTGCATGCAAACGAACCGATGATTTGGTTGAGCTTTTTCCTATTGTCGAGGATCAGCGTGTCTATCTGCGCGTTCGTTGCCTCTTCGGCGATGCCTTGAGTCTGGATGGGAAGTAAGCATTGTTCACAACACCGTGTACAATAAGCCTCACCTGCTGAGCGTCAGACAGTCGCTGGATGGTGCTGTCCATGCCTTCCTGCAGAATCATGATCTCTTGGTCCTTTTCCTCACGAAGGCGCTCAAGTTCGCCCGCAGACGCGTCTAATCTCGTAAGGAGATCGTCGATCTGGATTTGCTTCGACTAACGACACAAGCGTCAGCAACGCACGTCGCAGGATTGTTTCATGTATGCTCACGCGCAATGAGTCTTCCAGCTCGGACATCTGCCTGTTGTATTTCCCAAGCACACTCGACACCTCGGAGCTCTTCGATCGAGACGCATCCTCGGCCCTCTCGTTGGCAAAGTTGATCTCTCGACGAAGACGATCGATCTCGTCCTTGTGAGACGACTTCTGGCGGTCCACATCGAAGCGTGCACGATCCCGCTCGCGGATCATGTCAGCGAGCTCGAGATTCTTCGCCTTCAGATCACGCTCCATACGTTCCATGCGATCGACAGCCTCCTGTGCCGAGTTGGCTTTGAGCTGGAATTGCTTGAACTTTGAGAGCATGTCCAGATGTTCCGTGCGGAGCTGACTGTACAGCTTGGCGAGGGCTTCGTACTTGTTGCGCCACAAGGCGACTTGGTCTTGTAGTTGCTTGATGAGCTCGTCTTTCGACGCCACTTGAGAGCCTATGTGCATGGAGACGGCACCCAGTTCGCCTTCCAAGGCCTTCACCCTCTGTGATAAAATAGTGTGAGCAAATCAACCGACTTGGGAGGATTGAGAATATACGAACGCGGTCATATTGTTCAAGCAGCAGCTGGTCGCGCTCGTATTGCCCTCTCATCGCAAGCATATCCCTTTCCATGTCATTGACATGCTGCGCAGCCTGGTTATTGAGCTGCATCATCTGCTGCTGCATCAGTTGCTCCTGTGCAAGCCGCTCCCTCTCTGCTTGTTCTCTCTGCCGCTGTTCAAACTCATGCTGTTGTTGCTGTTCCAGTTCATAGCGGCGACGTTCTTCGGCCTCACGCGCGGCTTGCAAAGCAGCCTGCTGATCTTCATACTGCTTGAGCATGCGGGCCTGCTCGTTGACGGTGGCGGCATCAGGGGAAGGCGCCACAGGTGGCGGGGAGGGTGATCTCGGTGCAACAGTTGTAGGGCGGGCGGGCAGGTCTGGCGCGCCTCCACTGTCCATCAGATTGGGAGGATCCTGTACAAATTGCATAAGAACCAAGTTTGTTGTATGAACGGTGTGATGGGCGTACTTGACCGAGTTTGGGCACATTGATGAGACTTGTCAAGTACTTGAGGTTGGAGCATTCGTAGTAAAACTTGCGCAAGTTGTAGTGCTGGCTATTGAATCGCGTCCTCAAAGGCTCCAAAGCTTCGACGTCGTTTGTTCCTGCACAGCGGGTCAGAAACGGATGGGCTCAAGGGAGAGAAGCCGATACGAACTTCTGTGCATGGCTCGCAACATGCTCGTGATGAAGCGATAGATACCCCAGCTTTCTTTAACGAGCGGGACTAGAGCAGAGATGCGACATTCGTTGTTGGCCGAATGTCTGAAATGCGCAAAGACCATCTTCTGGAAAGATTCAATCTGATCTTGAAGAGCCATGAGATCGGATATTGTCTCGTAGCTAAGGAACATAGGATGAGCTAGCGGTCCTAACACAAAATCTGACGCACAAACCCTTCATTCGGATCATCGATACCCTTGAGCGTGACATACTCCTCGTATTCGAAGAGACCATTGAATTCTGGGCGAAGACGATGGAATCGAAGCTTTGCTAGTATGAATTGCACGTATGTGCGGATGAGCGTTCCATACCCTGTGCGGCAGCATGAGAACCAACGGGAGGGCGCAGACAACTAGACCATACCTCTTCCGCTGTCATGACCAACAGTACGAGCGCACGACTCGAGCCAGCCAGTCTGGGCCTGAGCCTCCTTAATTGTCTAGAGACAACCCTCAGCCTGGCCACAAGGATCGGCGAGATGCAGCTTGACATACCACCGGGTGTCCCTCTTGCAATACTTTATGTACAGTAATGAGTGCCTTGAAGGTTTGAACCTCGTCGGATAAGATGGGCTGAACGCGGAGGCCCGACCAGAAGGAAATCGAGGAATGATAATCCCATGTAAACACAATACATTCTGCAAGAGGTCAGGATGACGTCGAGGTGAATGCGAACAAACATACTGCGGACATGCTTTTGCTTCGGCGCACTCTCGTCTGCAGTGGTGGCCTTCTTGATGTTCACAACCAAATCCTGCTCGGCCTTGTCCTTGTCGACTGGCCGCGTGGGGTAGTGGACCTCATCCCCATCGATGTCAAACTGGTTTTGACGCGTCCGCTGTCCGGACCACCTAGGTCGAATGACACAGGAAATGAGCCATGTGCATCTCGACTCCACACAGACGTCGGCTTACATGGTTTAAAGGAGAGGCAATTCTGAGGTCAAGGATAGGATGTACGAGCTCGTAAGTAGGCGCCGGCTAGGGTGACGAATGCGTAATGGTCGTGACCAGACGCGTGGGACGACGGATCGGTTTGGCTTTTCCTCTTGACCGCGTCTGCTATGCATCCCGGTATCACTAACAGCCTTGGCCAGAATGCATTGCGCTCCGGATTCCGTAGACTTGTGCCGCTGCGACCTCGCATGCGCTTTCAACATACAGACGTGGGCGCGGGCCCTGCATACTCGGTCAAGCGTCACCCTCTTCTCAACACCACAATGTTAGTACTGGGCACCATTCCTATATTTACATTTGCCTTGGGAACGTGGCAAGTTCAACGACTAAAGTGGAAAGTCTCGCTCATTGACGAGCTGACGGAAAAACTCGAGCGCGAGCCTCTATCTTTGCCGAACAAAGTAAAGTAAGTTCGAGAGTGCTCTGACGTCGTGGAAGAGGATTGATACGCCCGTCAGTATCGCGGCTATACCTGACTTCATCTATCGCAAGGTCGTCTTGCGTGGTGTATGGGATGACGCCCATGCCATGCTCCTGGGACCTCGCGTGCGAGACGGCACCAACGGCTACCATCTCATCACCCCTCTCATTCGCTCCAATGGGTCGACAGTACTCGTGGACCGCGGTTTCATATCAGGCGACTTCGTGAAGAGCGGAAAGCGGACGCCCAAGGTTCAAAGTGAAGTCGAAGTTTGCGGCATGCTACGAGATTCCCAGGCTCGCAATTCTTTCACCCCGGACAATCATCCTGAAAAAGGCGAGTGGTACTGGGCCGATTTGGATGCTATGACGGAGTATGCAGGAGGCGAGCACTTGAATGTGCAACCAGTACTTGTCGAAGAAATATTCGGTATGCCCAAATGTTTGTCTGTCTGTCTGTCTGTCTGTATTCTGACCAGCGTTTGCAGACGGCCATGCCGGAGATGCTAGTTACAGATTAACACGGGGCATTCCAATAGGCAAAGCGGCTACTGTCGATGTTCGGAACGCGCATGCATCGTATGTCGTCACCTGGTGGGTCTCCAGTTCACAACAACAATGATGCATTGCATGTTGACGAAGATCAGGTACTCACTGTCTGCCTTTACGACTGTGATGTTTGCGCGTCTTCTGCTCAAACAGCGTCGTGCGTTTGCACGGCTTCCCCGATGACCCCAATATATTGTGAATGATGTCTAGCGCTACACCTATCATGACTTGAAAGAGTGATGAGTCTGTCATCGAATTCTGAGAACTTCGCCTCAGCAGGGATGTAAAGTGAACTCGTGAATCTACGAGCATATATCTTTGTATTGTTTCATTATGGTCAATGAATGAGTTGAACGGTTATTTCCATGTGAAATGCGGAAGCTGTATATATATTGGAAATTCTACCTACTCCAGACTCACATGCATGTAGCTAAATATAGAGTCAGCCACATCTTCGACTGCAGCCAACGGGGCGAAAGCCTTTGACCAACCGAGGAACATACTAGACCATCGGTCATGCCTTACACTGAACCTCCCATATCATCTACATCCTTTTCATCCGGCGACCCAGCTAGGCATCCCCGCATTTACTTCCCCGCAATCGAGGAGGATGACGTTAACAATTCGGCCTCGTCTGCAGCGGGTGCACCGGACAAGCCGTCGCTGCTAGGCCTCGGAAGACCCTCGACTTTCAGACAATCTTCATTTCAGGATCCCAAGCCCTATCTTGATCTCAATGGAAGACGTCGTGTTCGCTCTGCGCATGCCGTCAGCGTGCCGGGCGCACCTCGGCTGCAGCCTGCTACCATGTCTGCCTCCAGTCATGCCCGGAGGAGGACGATGACTTCAGGTGGTAGCATCAGAGGGTCTCTGATGGTGGGTAGAGGCGTCCCGTCGAGCGGCGGTCCCGAGTCTCCAGTGGAGGAGTTTGCGCCCGAGATATTTTCGGACGAGTATGACTTGTGTGCGTCTCTCTTCCGTTCGCCCGAACCACCTTTTCTGACATAGCATCCTAGCTCATGAAGGCAAGTGGCACCACTAATTTATTTCTAAGCTGGATCCAACAGTCGCCGTTCCTAGACCCCCGTATCCTAGAAGATGTTCAACGAGCTCTCAAGCTGAAGGCTCGGCGTGAAGCGCGATTGCAAGCGAGGGCAAACCCAGCACTGAGGGCAGTTACTTCAAAGTCAGACATGACCTCCACGTCGTCTTACTCTGCGAGTTCCTCTCTCGCGCGAGGGATACAACCAGTCCTAGGGCCACCCGCCCTATCGTCGCGTCTGAATGGCCCAAGTTTGGAATCAGAGATTGATTTTAGCCCATCGGTGGGAAATGAAATCGTGGTTGGGGCGCATCCTGTTCCTATGTCCTCAAATGATGGCACGACTCTGGACTGGGCCGGATCATATTCAGAAGACGAGAAACCAGACAAGCGGTGGAGTCTTCGTTCTAAGCGGAAGCCTAAGGACAAAGGCACTGGTAACTCCAGCAAGGACGTCGTAGAGAAGCAAAAAGCGCTATACGTTGGTAAGCCTTATGCCCTCGCTGTCCGGGAACGAGAGCTGATATCTGCGATTGTGTGCAGATAAACTTGCCCGTATTCGACAATCCGTGAAACATAATACTGAGAAGAAGGCTGAAATCACACGGCAACAACTCGGACGAAGATACAACTTACTCTTTTCCTCTCTCAATTCGAACTCGAGCCCCCTTTCACCCACCCAAATTGTTCGTTGGTACTCGAACGTAGATCCTCTAGTACAGGCGGACCTTGACCGGGCGGAGCCGTTGACATGGATAAAACACTTGCGCGATCGACGAGGGACCAAGAGCTCTGATCGCTCTACGTGGCATATATCCGCGCTCGTCGCTGAGGAATTTGTGAGGTTACATCCTCGCCGAGAGACTATGGAAACAATCCCAGAAAACGCGCTCCCAGTCGGGTCTCCCTCTTTGTCATTTCTTTCACGCCAAGAGAGATCTCCATCCAACACTTCGAGCTTTGATATTTCATATCGTACCCAGCTTGATGCGTCTCTATCGCGCATAAGGTCTCCTGACGGACATGTCTCATTCGAACCCGTCATCGATACTGGTCGTCGGTCTCTGGGTGATGACTCGCAACGCAGTGGTGATGTGTTCACTAAGTTCTGGCGGCCTTCGGCAGCATCTCCGCGAAATTCAGTCTACAGTATGCTTAGCGGGTCGAATACTAGTCAACCCGTCGGTGGTGGGTCACCTTCTAGTAGCCGAATGCACATACGTGATCTTGCTAGGCGCGTACGAATTCACGGCACTGATAGTGAAGCATCGTCATCGCGCCACTCCCTATCCGAAGAGCACAGTCGCTCTGACAGCGGTGCCAAGCGTCGTAAACGTCGACGCCCTAGTCGACCACCAGACCTCAGTCTGGTCGCTTCGGTCTCGCCCGCCCATGACAAGAGACCTTACTTGGAAGAAGAAAACTCCATGGTCATACGGGAGTTTTTGAAATCGTCGGACGCAGATGATCCTCTTACAGCGAAGGCCTCATCAGCTCAGGATCTACAGGAGAACAAACCCGGTACTCCTTTGTCCCTACGCGCGGACGTTCCCCCCATGTTGCACCGCAGTCGATACCGGACGTCTCTGCCCTCTTCAGAAAGAACATCTTTGCGTGAGCTAGAACAGCGATACGACGAAGAGAGCGAACACCATGAGTATGAACGGAGGGCCCAGTAAGTTGTGTTCAATTTACTCTCAACCTTGTTGGACTCATCTCGGCAATATAGACTCCTCGATAGTGCCATTGCGCAGAATCAACGCAATCGTTCTCTCTTACAACGTGTGGCCGTCAGTGTCAAGGAGTATGACAATGCTCAAACGAGGATGTCCAGGTCCTTGGGATTGTCTTTTTCCACCTTACCCCCAGAGCTTCTTGACGCGCTATCTCATGATCCAGCGATCGTGATAGGTTCCACGCGTCTCTTGAAGGGGTGGAGAGCCGTCGAGGATATTCACGACCACATCCGTAACCAACAAGAGACAATTCAAGCCTTTTTAGTGCAGGCGTCCGAACAAGACGATATACCACCCCAACCCAGCATTCTCGATCACCCCCTCTCGGCTCTATCACGCTCTTTAGACGCTTTAGAAGTGAATCGTGTCTCCATAACAGAGCAGTCGCACAAAGTGGCCGAGGCTCTTGCCAAGGTGAAGGAATTGCATGCAGTTGTCAAGAGCGAATTCAACGAAACGGTTGCGCATACGTCCGTAGTTTATCCAGAGGTGCGTTCCACTACTTTCTTGTTGATGTCAGCACCCTCAATTTCTGCTCAGCTTTCGCACATTGTCGCATTGGAGGAAAGCTACAAAGATCATTATCAACAGTTCTGGGAACTTGGCATGGACGCTCTCACTTTCCTTTTGGACACAGTTACGCCGGTCTGGAGGATCTACGGGAAGGTTATTGGGATAGATATCCAGGATTTCCTTATCATACCTTGGTACCGGAACGAGTTCACGGGCGAGGCAAAGCGATACCCCATTCTAGCGCTTCCCAAACGGTCTTTACGGCACTGGATTGCACTCATTTTATTCTTTTATATCACGCTCGCCACTCTTTTGCTGCAGATCCGCGCTGCGTTGACTTGCATCTCATTCTCTCGTTCACATTTTATCATTGACTTAGGGTTACAGTGGATGGCCGTTCCAATCTTTTGGTTCGCGCTAGTGATACAGTGGTGTGCTGTTGCTGTGGAGGTATGCATCGTCGCCGCTGAATGTGGGGTGGTTATGTGGTGGCTCTGCTGGTGGGCGAAGATTGTGGATTAGTTTGCATTGTCACCTTCGTTTCTTTCCTTATGATGTTTTCGATATCTGCATGGGTGGATGGGTATATATTCGTCTCAGTTATTTCATGGACATTCACACACATGATCTAGGTATTATCAGTAGTAGAATCACATAATTATAATCACTGCACTGATGGCTGGGATTGGGCATCCCCAGGCACTAATAATACAGGGGTGCTCGTAGCCAAAGGTGAATGGGCATGTATAGTCGACATGTTCGCTGGTCTCTCACTGGGAAGCGCCGAGGGTATGGTGTTTGGCACCACCGCCAGATGTTGAGGGTCAGTACGAGTCATCGACACGCTTCCTGCGGCTGTGGCCACCATCATCTGATGTCTACCTTGGTCAACGCATGTTCTACAGAAACCTGCCGAATAGTCGTCAAGGATCTCAGCACCGCAACGCCATATGCAGAGAGATTGACTTACGTCCGCCTATCATGAGAGGAACATCAGTTTGACCACATGAGATGCAGGCGATTGGCTTTGATGGGATGGTCGGTTTAGATTGTGCGGGCTTCCGTCGTTTGGGAGCTATTTTATCCTGCTCCGCTTGGTCCTTTCTACGAGTCGATTGTCGCTTTGCACGAGGTTTATAGCTATGACTGGGTTTAAGCGGTTTCATGGCATAGGGTGGGGCAGCATCCTGATATTGAACGATACCGACATTAGATCGCTTAAGCGAAATAAATCGTACAGAGCAACTTACAGCTTGGAGTTGCGTGAGTAGATCTCCTGATGACACTTGGTGTTGTAAGTAAACTCGTTCGGGCGCTTTCTGCAAACAGACTGTTAGAAATTATATACCACATCGCATATAGCACTTACGATACTAGCCAAGGTCTTCCTACTAGCAGTCACTTTTTCTGCGTCACCTGCCCATCGTGTCAGCCCGTCCCAAGTCATCTGATGTACTTTCTTCAGACGAAACGTGACGACTTCGGGCGGAATATCGGTCGTGGGTTCATCCTTTGCATTCTGCGAAGAAGAATCCGTTCCGTCATTGGTGAAGTCAACTTTGGGAAACGGAACGACAGTCGACAAGAGAATTTCTGTCAGAGGTCCACTAGTTGGCTTCCGTTCTAAAACGGTGGGTCCTCTAGGGATGATCCACCGATCGAAAGGTTTCTCACGAAACTCGAGGACGATGTCAGATTCGCGAACAGGTTGTTGAGGGGCGGGGGAAAGAAGGGGTTGTGCAGTGGAATATCCGTACGGTTGGTATCTGTAATTCGGAGGCGCAGCAGTGAAAGGTCCTGGCGAGGGGATAACTGAGGCTAAAGGTTGCGCGCTCGGAATGAGCGGCGAGGAAGATGTATTATTTGAGGAGGTAGACGCGTTCAGAGTCGACATATTATTGAGGGATGTTACCAATAGTCCCAGTGTCTTGAGTTGCTCTGGAGAAGCATGCCCAGATGCAGCTAGCTGAAGAAGGTTGGCAAGGATAGGGTTCGTTGCAGCCGCTGTATTGACTTGGCTGACAAGAGATGGTGTGATGGGTGTGTCTATTGCAAAAGACGAGACGAGAGGCGTAGATGCTCTTTGCAGTGCATGCGGGTTAAGCGGCGAAGGTGCGGCTGTCACAGGCGTCGATGCAGCGGGTGAAGGCAATGCGTACTGACCGTAAGGCGTATATGCCGTGGATCCATATTGGACAACAGCTGCTGGCCATGTACCGACAGGAGAGTACGAGGTTGCTGGGTACGATGATTTTGTAGCTGCGAGAGCACTCCGCAAGTACTGCGCTTCATACATCGCTGTACCGGGAAACACGTGTGGCCCAATTTCAAGATCGCATTTTCCTAGAGGCTTGAGTATATGAGCAGGAGGTGATGCCTCGACGGACGGCTTCCCTCCACGCGCCTTGCTCGAGAATTTGGGGAATATCGAAGACAGCCAGGTTTCACGCGCTAGGTGTCAGGTGTCAATAGAGGTGAGGAAATAGCATTTTTTCACGTATAGCACACATTTTTTCAACGAATTTACGACTACAAGGCTGCGATAGATGAGCGCAACATGCTCGCAGCTCGCGCAATTGGAGGCTTACCTAGCAGCAACACTCTTCAACTCTGAATGCTCGTCGTTATTGCTCTCCCCCTGTGGCAGCTCCCACCCAGGTTTCGAGCCGACTGGTAGATCTTGGCCACGTAGCATAAAGAGCGTGAAAGGTAGAGATATATGTTGAGGAGTTGGTGTTCAGCTCCCTCGAGACACTCTCGAGACGCGCGCTGGGCGAGGGACTCTTGGATCTCGATCTTATTATGTAAAGCAGCTTACACGAGCTTTCAAATTCTGATGAGACTTTCGTTTCTGACTCTGCGCCCCAGCTCCCGCGCGCCGAAATTCTGATATGTCCACCCGCGTCCGTGAGTACATGCAGTAAGTCATAATCAAACTCACGGGCTCACCCCGTACTTAGAAAAAGGCGGCATTATCTTCAAACCGGTCGCGAAAAGGAGGTCTCATCCACCTCCCAATGCAGCCCGCAACTCGACAACCCCTGCCCCTCAACACCCAGTCGTCCCTGTTCAAGGACAGCAAGATGACCCAACACTTTCTTCTGCGGTGCTCCCTCCTCCCACCCTACCTGTTGCACCCATAGCTTCTAGCGATGGCACAACTTCCTACCCAGACACATTACCAGTTTTCGACAAGGGCGTGCCTCGAACTGCCAGTGCATCACCTATCGCCACCCCACACCCACGCTCTGTTGAACCTGTGGTTGCTCGTGCCAACACGGTGTCTAACAATACGGCTCAAAGCTTGCAATTCTCACCTGCTCCGCTCACAATCCCTTCAGTTATATCTAACGGTGTATCCTCCGTTGTCACTGGTCTATCTCTTCCTATTGTCATTGGCTCAAGAGCAGCACCCATTATTCTGACAAGTTCTTCCCCTGTACCACGCGCTTCATTGACCGCAGAACCACCCTCAATTATCACAATCCCAACACCACATCCTCCATTACCTGTCACTCAGCGAACCATGTCCAGTCATGCCGGACCGTCTTCCATCTCTCTCCCAAGCAATGATCTGCAGTTCGACTTTTCTACATTGGCGCATCCAGATCCTGGCCAAGATCCAACGAACTCTTCACCCTCTAGACTTCAGTTGAACTCGGAAAGTGTAATTAAAGCCCCTCGACCTCGAAGAAAAACTGTTAGGAACGATGTCGCAGCCCCCCAGGGCGATCTGGAGAATGCGCCAGACTTCTCCGAAGTGAAGCCTAAGCGCACACGTGCGCGACAGGTAGCCGAGGCCGTCCAGGATTCAGCTAACTCGCAGACCCTACCCAATCGACCCCAGAGGATGCGACGGGCTCCAAAGGCTATCATCGAGACTTTTGAGCATGGCGATGATGATTGGGAATCGGGTCCCAAAAAGCGAAAGCGTCGGGCGTCGGGCGATAGTCGAGCACGAAGGAAGCCGCGTGCTGCCACTTCGCCGCCGTATGATCCTGGAGCTGATCCAGAAGAGGAATTGGACCCAACGGTGACCACAATGGCCGCACTATGCGAAGAAAGCAGCCAAGGTCGCGCAAGCAGCAAGGCAGCGCAAATCTTTGACAACCACGCTACCTGGAAACGAGTCAACAGGGAAAGGAGAGCGCGCATGCGAGCTCTCATGGAGGCAAAGAAATATGGAAGAGACGACGAGGATGACGAGGGCGAAGGTTTGTCCGCTACACCCATTGCGGATGGTCCCTCAAATATTCCTCCCAACGCTGTCCCTAGCGGTTCGACGTCTAACGATGCAGAAGTCGAGGCCGAGGCGGGCGAGGGGGAGGATAGTCAAGGCTTTGATTACTCTCAATCCCTGAATACGAGCCGGTTCAACGTGCAAGTCAGGATTGGGCCGAACGGCGAGACAATCGTAGACGAAGAGTCGCTTTTCGTTGATCGCGCAGACGATCAGGATACGGCAAACTACACCCATATCGAGGAGTCTGATGCGACTAAATTTGTCAACTCGGCATCGTACGCGAAGAAATTTCGAGGCTCTCGTTGGAGTGCAGAGGAGACGGAGCTCTTCTACGATGTAAGTTTCGTACATTTGAGTTCAGCCCGTGACTCACACAATGCTAGGCTCTTTCGCAATTCGGCGAGAACTATGAACTTATATCTTACATCCTCCCTGGACGCGACCGTAAATCGTGCAAAAACAAATTCAAAGCTGAGGACAAGAAGAACCCGAATCGTATTACATATTGCCTCAACAATCGGATCCCATACGGTATACTCTCTCATAGGTCTCTAGATTGCACCGAATCTGATGCATGGTACTATAGACATGAAAACGCTTTCCAGGATGACGGGGAAAGATTTTTCTGGTCCTACGCCAGTCATCATAGCACCCGCACGGCCGAACTTGGCTCAGCTGAGCCTTCATACCGCTGCGTCTCAGGCTGGCGCGAATAACCCGACAGACCAAGATAATGCACCCAGCAGACCCAGCAGCGCAACAGGTTCTCGTGCTCACGCGAAGAAACACGGAAGGAAAAAAGATGATGGAGTGGAGGTGTTAGGTGCGATTGACAGCGTTGATTGGGATGCAGATTGAACCGTCTTGTTTGGGTATCATCTGTGATTCTACAATATCCACCGCTTCCCCTTCCGAACCATATACTGCTGTCCTGCTGTCCGAAATCTTCTATGAATACTCATCATTTCTGACATTCAATATTTACCACACGATGAGCTGAATGAGCCGTTGACCTCGTCGTTGGACTCGGAATAGCTCAGCCGTGACAGCAACAGACTGAAGACTAACCAACCCATAGTTCTGACAGTTTCAGCAACCACCACCACTCCTCTGTCTTCTCCTCAAAAGCGGGAGGAGGGACGTAGTCAATAGAATTTCAGTAGAGTACACCAATATGTGTTTCCTCGAATGTGGACCGACGCGATCACGTGTGAGTTTCAAGGTTTGAGTTTCGCTTTCCGTCATCCATCCGCGTCCTCGCTCTGCCCAGAATATCGTGAAAGCATCGATACTTATGCCTCGTCGTACTGCATCGACTTCGCAGAGCATGCCACCGCCACCGACATCTCGCCCTGCGAGTCCTGCAGCAGAAGAGGCAGAAGAGGTAGGATCCTTTACAAGCTTCCTGAATCTCCCGCTGACTTGCTTGCCAGAGCTCTTATTTTGATGCGGTAGACGAATTGCAGCAATATGTATGTGATGGCCCGACGTCGGTGGTCTATGCCGCTGATCGCAAAGCAGGGCATCAACATGCAAGATATCATCAAGCTCAAGGTAGGCAGTGCTGTCGTTCGAGACACAATGACACCTCGTTACATTTGGGAATTCAGGCCGCTGCTATCACCACCGTCTCTGGTGTCAATATGACGACCCGGCGGCAGATGCTAAAACTCAAGGTTTTGTATCATAGCTGTCTATATGCTATGACACTCAACCTAGGCTCTCCGCAGGGCATGTCTGAAGCCAAAGTCGAGAAGATCAAAGTAAGCCTCGTCGTCACATGTCGTCGCGAGCTGATATGATGTTATTGTAGGAAGCCGCACATAAGATGCTCGTTCGTTGAACTTGCCGTCGCCGGGAAACCTCGCACTTATGTGTATCGTCAGGGATCTTCCTTTGCGACCGGACTCGAGATGCAAGACAAAAGAAAACGCGTCCTTGCCCTCAGTACGGGTAGCAAATCTGTAGACGCCATGCTTGGAGGTGCGTTACTCCGTGATTATTGTATTAAATTTCGATGATATATCGTGGCCACAAGGCGGTATCATGTCTCAGTCGATCACAGAAGGTAAGCGATATTGTATTCCTTCAAGCTCTTAACTGATCGTTTCCGCCTGAGCAGTGTACGGCGAGTACCGCACTGGGAAGACACAACTTGCGCATACACTCAGCGTGATCGCACAACTTCCACCTGAACTGGGAGGTGCTTCCGGAAAGGTGAGTATATGCATGCACTCTTGATGCACCTTCATAATTGGACTTGACGACTAGGTTGCATACATCGACACTGAAGGTTCATCTTCAACTTGGATCAATGACAGCTGTGAATGTGCTAACTGCTCGCTTCACAGGGACGTTCCGTCCTGACCGCATCAGATCCATCGCAGAACGGTTCGGAGTCAACGGCGACATGGTTTTGGAGAATATCCTCTACGGTACGTTGCTCGTTCACTCAGTCAGTCATTCTTTCAATTGAATATTTCCACTCAGCTCGCGCTTTCAACAGTGAACATCAGGTAGTTTCATATGAAGTGGAAGCTGGGCGCCTCTGCATATACTCATACCTTCGTAGATGGAGCTCATCAACGAATGCTCTGTTCGCTTCGCGGAGGACAAAGACTTTAAAATCATGGTGGGTGTGACCCTCGAACTTGCAATGATTCTGCTACTGAATTCCTTGGCAGATTGTGGACAGCATCATGGCCCTCTTCCGTGTTGATTTCTCCGGTCGAGGCGAGCTCAGTGAAAGGCAGCAGAAGGTATGAAACTGTCACTGACTAAGTGCTGGCTAGCTGACATTCGATATCATTGAAGCTCGGACAGGTGCAAAACTATCTGAATGTGATGCATTAGGTCTCATACGTTCATAGATGCTTTCAAAACTCACCAAACTTTCCGAAGAATTCAACGTCGGTACTCGTACATTCCATGCTCCACATCCTAACGTTTGCATTTTCTTCTGACACGCAGATTTCGATACTGATAACCAATCAAGTCCAATGCATGTCCCAGCGTCTTTGAAGTACTCGGAGAGCTCTCACTGATCCACTTCCTTAAATCAACAGCGGACCCCGGTGCGACCATGACCTTTGTCGCCGGCGGGGCGCTTAAGCCTATTGGTGGACACATCATTTCACATGCATCTGCGACCAGAATTTTTCTCCGCAAAGGTATTCTTGCCCGATCCACCTACGACACTGCTAACAACCTGCCTGCGATCGTACTAACTACATTGTAACTGCATTGGTCCCATGCAGGACGAGCTGAGGAGCGTGTTGCAAAGCTAGTTGACAGCCCTGACAAGCCCGAATCAGAGGCTTCTTACAAGCTCGACGAAGGCGGTTGGGCGGACGTCTAACGCAAGCCGGTTGCCTGTGGATTAGACTGGCTTGAACTGGCTCACTCAACGTCTCTTGGCCCTGACACTGGTGTTCCTTGTGCTGCGTCTCGGTTGCTTCGCCTGTTACTTACTGATCATCCGTCCATTTCATATCCGCTGGTACCTTGTGCTGCGACTACTAGTATCGGTGTAACCTTGTACCTTGACTGTGCTGTATTTCTGATTCCTGACTCGGCTGGTCTGTATTTGTTCTCGTGATGTTGCTGCGAACAGGATTTGTATATGAATATACTGTACGGGATATTCCCGTTGTCTAAGTGGACAGACCGAGAGAGCGTCCTATAAGAGATGAATCCACTCACAGACCCACTTCAGTCCGGTAATCGATTTCCGTCTTTGTGAGCATGATACCAATCAAGCCAAACATTCGCTCAACCCATTGAGCATTTGCAACGTCTGACTATCTTGACCTCAAACCATGACGACTCCTAAAGCACTCGTCCTCGTCTTTTCTGAGCCTGGCTCGGCGGTCTCTGATACTGAATTTCACGACTGGTACGACAACGAGCATGTACCTCTGAGGGTAGATACCCCTGCTTTTTCCTCATGGGCGCGCTATGTACAGAAGGACGGAGAGAAGCCTTCTTGGGTGGCGATCTATGACCTCGAGTCATATGAAGCGACGCAGGTCCCGCCTTACAGTCTGCTAGCGGAGACGCGAAGCGACCGCGAGAAGGATATCTTGTCGAGGGTAGAGGTATTGGAAAGGAGGACGTACGAGTTATATGAGGGCCATCCACTGCACCCTCCATCTGCGCTCTACAACCCCAAGACGACTGCGCCTATCGTTCTGCTCGTGAGCCTGTCCGTTAAAGCCGAGGCCGAAGAGGATTTCAACAAATGGTACGACGAGGAGCACATTCCGATGTTGGCGAAGGCGCCGGGGTGGGTGAGGAGCAGGAGATACATCTTGAAGGACACTGGGCGCGTTGGAATCGAGGGGAGCAAGAAGGAAGGATCGCCGCCAAAGTACCTGGCGGTACACGAATGGACAGAGGCGATGGACCAGGAAAGCGAGGAGTACAAGGCGGCCACGAACACCCCGTGGAGGGCGAGGATAGTGCCTAGCTTGACGGGGTTCGAGAGACGTCTGTGCACATTGTACAAGCGGTGGGACAGGGAAGAGTGAAGACCGAGGGGAGCAAGTGTCGGGAGATCGACAGAGTTGTTACACGGAGACGCACATGTAAAGAAGATTTGACCCAGACTGTGAAGCAAGATGGCATCCTGCGTCCACCACCACTGCCATCTGCGTCCGCAAGAAATTTGGCTGATCGGAGAGCTACATAGAGCTACGTATGCCCCCGGAGGATGCCGCCGGCGCCCTCGCCGACTGCGTCACCAGGCGCACTTGTGTGTCAAGCTCATGTCTGCATATCCGACGCGGTCAGGAAGATTCTGCGATTCTCGCCGTCTCGCAGCATAATTCATTCTTTTTTCCGGCCTGTATTACTCCGCGGAATGCTCTGAAAGCCATGGCGCTCTCCACCCCAGCAGGCAGGCAATCCTCTCAACCCAAGCGCTCATATCAAGACAGTTCGAGATTCTGGCCGGCTCCTTTGTAACTAGGGCACGACTATTCTTCCTGCCCAGATTCGTGGCCGTGATAATATATGCTGACATCTGTACCTATTTACATAGAGTCGCCTCTTGTCGCCTCTCTTGCATCCCTGCGCAATCCTTCGTTTCCCACCACGTTCTTTCCTTTATTATACCCGCTTTTTGGCACGATATGCCACCGTGGCGTTTCTGGACGCTGGTTTGTCTATGTCCAATGGCGCTCCAGTGTATGCTGCCGCCTTTTCCTTCTTCCATGTCCACATGGATTTGCTGATTTCAGTTTGCCTTAGATGCCAAGGGAGATACGTCGCTGTACATCCCAGGATTTGGCGACCAGCCATTGAGTGTCGCAAATATTGGCGATGATAACGCGGGTCAGACTACTTGGCAGGTAGTAGGAGGGACGCCGACGGGAACCTTTCAGTCGGCTGCGTTCGCTGGTACTGGTGAGTGCAAGGTCATATCCTGCCATCAATTCGGCATGCCGTCACGCTGACGTTCCGGTGTGCAATATCTAGCCACCCTCATCGAAGGCCCTCACGCTGCCTTCGTCACCGCGCATGCGCCGTCTGGCATCGGAATCGCCATCCTATGTTCCGTTCTAAACGGTATCGCAACTTGCACAGAAGTGGTAGACGGGAAGACGACCATTGTCATTGAGCTCGTGACAGTCATAGTGGTCCAAGGCGGGGGGACAGCACCCGTGCAACCTGCCACGAGCATATTCTCTTCGCCCGCGACTGCAACCGTAACAGTCACCGCGATCGCGACGTCCTCATCCCAGCCATCGTTTTCGCCGCAGATTACATCCTCTATTGCACCCTCGACTACAAATTCGCAATCACAGTCAGCGTCTGCGGCCTCGATAACTGCCACACCAACACCAACACAGGATAATGTTGGCACCACTATCCTGCCGTCTGCATCCCTCATTCCTGCCGTAAGTGGAGCCAAGGGGAGGCAAGACAGTGGATTGGAGACTGCGGTTGCAATTATTGCAGTCTTCGCCTCTCTTGTCATCGCGGCATAGACCTCGTGCCTTCTTGTCCATTGCGTGGTAATGGTGAAGATCGTGCGAGTCTCTGCGGTCGTGTATACTCCTGTTTATGGGTACTTTTGGCATCGGCTTGATGGGATCTGACTGCGACAGCTAAAAGTTGTACGCACCACCTTGGTCTCTTGCGAAATGAGTGGTGTATATCGTATCCTGATTTTCTCTGATTCGGACTACATACATACCGCGCGGGCGCCTCCCCGCCTTGCAGTGCCAGGCGGTGTACATACTGCCTCCCACGGACTAGTTACTTGTTTTGACTTCATCGAGCTTTCGTTCTGTAGTACTCGCGAGGCGACCACGAGATGTGTCAATCGAGAGCGTCTCGTCGTTAGGAATGCACCCCCTTGTACCCCACTCCGGAAGCCCCAGTATCTGCCGGCATGGGTGTTCGGGCGTTCAAACTTCCAAATGATTATAAACACTTCCTGAAGCAAAACAATCTCGGCGTCCATTGATGCAGCCATTTTGCAGTATTCACTACTCCCGAGTCCGGACCGAACAACGAAATATGCTCTCGTCGAGGGGGGCGTCGCTCTGCCTCGGTGTGCAGCTGTGTGCAGCATTGTACAGCTAGCCTTCTTCTCGATTTCGTTTGCGACGTGCGACCCTCTTGTTCAGGAACGTGTGTGGACGCTTTGCGATCTTAGCCTCTGACGACTCAGGGCGTCGAGGGGCGTCATGGCCATGCTGTTTGGACAGTCGCCCCATATGATCACCTTGATCTATGAGATAAGAATACCTGGCAGCCCTGAAAATAAAAGGCCAGAGATTAGGCTCGGCAGCTAAGTGATTCTTCCTCACTCCAGTGTCGGAAATGCCCAACATGCCCGTCCACTATGGGCTGCTCACGTTGCTGGCTGTGTCTTCGGCGTGCTACGCGTCTTCCTCGCAGTTCTCATTCGTTCCCAACACCTTCCCAAATATCTCAGCCTGCGTGAACCAGCCACCGACATTCTCATGCGAAAACACCACGACTATCACGAATACGTGTTGCTCGCCGACACCGGGGGGTCTGGTTCTGCAGACTCAATTCTGGAATACCTACACTGGGTTCGAGAGGCAGGGGCAGCTGTTGCCGAAGAACAGCTGGACTATCCATGGGCTCTGGCCGGACAACTGCGACGGGTGCGTTTCAACTTCGTGCACACGGCTATGCAGTATCAGAATCGTCTCGCCTTGATCCTGTAGATCGTACGAGCAATATTGCGACTTGTCCAGACAGTACGATCCGAATCCTTCACCTGCGGTCCTCCCAGATGGTACCGTAGTACCACCATACAACGGTCCTGGGTTAGGTACATTCGTAGAGGAGTTTGGCCGCTGGGACCTGCTTGATTTTAGTACGTCGGCCCATGGGTCCTCGTCAGCTGATTCTCAAAGCCGCTTTAATTACAGTGAACAAGTATTGGGTCAGCCAAGGGTCGCTCAATTCTGATTTCTGGGGTCACGAAGTAAGCTTGAAGCGCCACAATGCGCGCGAAGTACAAGGAGTTGATGCCACATTTGTAGTTTTCTAAGCATGCAACTTGCACTTCGACTTTCGACCTGACTTGCTATGGCCCCGACTACAAGAAGCACCAGGACACCGTTGACTTTTTCTTAGCTGTTGTTCGCGCGTTTAAAATGTTTCCGACATTTGATACGCTCGCTGCGTAAGTCTTATTCCTTGCCTACAACTGTGCTCTCATGCTTGTTATGTAGATCCGGGATCATTCCCTCTAACAAGACAACATATAGCCTCAGCCATATTCAAAATGCACTCAAGGCACAAACAGGCTCTATTCCTTTCATTGGTTGTGGTCACAACGGAACCGTCCTCCAGGAGATCTGGTACTTCAATCATGTCATGGGAACAGTACGAGTCTCTTTATTGTGCCTACTTGTTCATCGTTTGATTATTGTTGTAGGAGCAGTTCGGATCGTTCAAAAGCGTGGATTCCACGACCAAAAGCAGCTGCTCGAACACGACAGGTATAAACTATTATGAGAGAACGCCCACCTCAGAGCGTGAAGTCCGATAACGCCGTTTGCCCGGAATTCGCTGTCTAAAAGGCTGTGCTGTTGCAAAGTAAATCTCAAGCAGCAAATGCTATTGTCATAAGATATACATACATCTTCACAAAATAGAATGCGACTTTGAAACCATCTGTCGGAAAGTGGCCATGGCTGTCGGAGGCCTGAGCGAGGCGCGTCTGGGCACGAGATACAATAAACAGAGAACACGTGATGCTACGCGGTAGAGCGCGAATTGTTCAAAGCGTGAGCCAGGCGTTCGTCCCTTCTTTCCTCCTCACTGTCATCAGCGACTCCTCTCCCACAGACTTCCCACAACCACTACAACGCGTTGAACACGCCTTAGGATGGTTACCACCCTTTCTTTAGAGGCATCGTCCTCAGATTCTCCTACTAGACGAGCATTGTCCAGCCTGTCCCTGGCTGTGGCAAAAAGCAAACGAATTGTTGTCGTCACAGGGGCGGGAATCTCATGTTCATGCGGTATCCCAGTGAGTTCTCTCATGGATGCATCTCCCGCATGTCGACGTATCCTTTAATATGGGTTCTCACGAACGTAGGACTTCCGGTCGTCTGATGGGCTGTATGCTCTCGTGAAAAAACAGTACCCCGATGTTGTTCTCAGAGGACGTGATCTTTTCGACGCGTCACTCTTCCGGGACCCTACATCCACATCCGTGTTCTACACTTTTGTTTCACAGCTTAAGCAATCGGTCGATGGAGCAAAGCCATCACCAACCCATCATTTCCTGAAAACCCTCGACGCGAAGAAAAAGCTACTGCGCTCATACACGCAGAACATCGATGGACTTGAGGAGCGTGCTGGACTCCTGGGGAGTTCGAGTCAGGGGGCGAAGTCTAACGTGAAGGGAAAGTCCAAGATCCAGGTGAAGGAGGTCCGCAACGTTCAGCTCCACGGGGACATACACCGCGTGCGGTGTACGTTCTGCTCTGCCGACCTACACTGCACCGAGGAGTATCTGAACCTCTTCGACCAAGGCCTTGCGCCAGACTGCCCCGAATGCGTGGCACGTTGTGAGTTTCATGCGAGGCCTCATGCCCTTCGTGTGCTTTAGACACGGGACACTAAATCTGCCGTGATTTCTCAGCAGAAGCGCGTCTCGCGCGCTCGGCGCGCCCGTTAAAGGTCGGAACCCTCCGCCCAGCCATCGTGTTGTACGACGAGGCACACCCGCTCGGCGATGACATAGGCGCCATTCAATCTTCCGACATCGCACGCAAGCCGGACTTGCTGATCATCATGGGAACGTCACTCAAGGTGCACGGCCTCAAAAAGCTTGTAAAGGACTTTGCGAGGGCCGTGCATGCCAACGCTCCCGCTGTCGAAGGCAGTTCCTCAAAAATGCTCGCGAAAGGTCTTGCAGGCAAGGTCATCTTCGTGAACAAGACTGCGCCGGGGAGCGAATGGAACGGCATCATTGACTATCACATAGAAGGCGAGACGGATGAGTGGGTAGAGAGGTTACTGGACGAGTGGAGGCGGATGAGGCCCTCGGATTGGGAGGTGCAGAAGAAACTGGTGGCAATCGCAAAGGACGACGGTGGCGCGATGAAGGTCGTTAAGGAGGTGATCCCAAAGCCAAAAAGTGCGTGGATCCTTCAAGGATGGCCCGGAGTTAGTCCTGACGATTTTACTAGAGGGCAAGAAGCCTCTAGTCTATGGTATGGAGAATATTCGGCCTGAGGAAGACGTTTTTGTCGTGCCATCTGGTCCCAAGAATCCTCCGTCCTCTCCGAAGCGCCGCAAGTCGATGTCGCATTATTCAGACATCGAGTGCAGTCCATCGAAGAAGCACTTCGTGAGCCGCCCTAGGCCCCACACCTCAATGGAGGAGCGCGGCCTGTTGTTCGGAGACACGACGAACAGTAAGGTCAAGGCCACGGATAAAGAAGACGGGGTGGAAGAGTGGGAGGTAGATCTTGCTCAGGGCAAGGCTTCGAGCGCGCTGCGGAGGAAGCCGAGCAGAGGGAAGGCGAAGATGGAGGTCATCATCGGTGCGCGTTCGAAGTCACGAGCAAGGAAGGCATTGCTCCCCGCGCCCGCAGTCGAGGCGGACGTGTTTGCATGAAGCAGGACGCAGACTTTGCATTGAGGATGCTGTATCGTAAATTATTGTTGTATCATATCACGACCTTTTCCACACGCATCCGCATACCCCAAACATAGTGTACTTTTTGCATGTCCATGTCTAGACAGGATGCATGGGCGGGCAGGAGATTTGCATAGATACAAGACAAGGTCGAAGCACGTCTTATTATATATCGGAAAGCGAGAAAACAAATGGCAGGAGGGATATAGAGCAGATTGGGGAGAGAACAGCTGGAAGAATTCATGACCATAACAATACACAGAGAAGGCTCACTACGGTGTACACCCTAATCGCTAATGAGTTCTGAGACGCTCCAGTCCTCAAAACTGCCGTCGGGGAGGTAGCGTCGGATGATGAGGGGAATTTTGCGCTGAGAAAGCTCCTTTATTGCGATTTGGAGGGCGTCGGTCTCGCCGTCGAGCGGTACGAGGATGGGCGCGTTCATGCTAGAGGCGGGGGTATGAGATTAAGAGGGATGGCCATAGTCGCGTCTCGGCGCACCTGATCTGCAGGGCTCTTGTGCCCAGAATCCTCGCTCGCTCGTATTTTGTCAAGTAGGGAGTGGTGACTCGAGTTTTATTGGGCAGTCTTTCGCCCGCCGCGCCGTTCGCCTGAGAGACCTGTGCGCCGTTTGCGTCGCCGTTGACCATATCGTGCTCCGCCCCGTTTATGCCCTCGTCGCCCATGGGTTGCTGCTCTTCTTCAGGGACAACTTGGTTCTCTCCCTCTCCCTCACCCATACCATCTTGGTTCGCGAGCAAGTCGTAGCCGTCGTCCTAGAGAACGTGGAATGAAGAAAAAAGAGGGGAGAGAAGGAGAGAAACGCACGAAGGCATCGTCATTGAAGCCGGGGCCCTCGTAGTCAAAGTCGTCGACAGGGCCTCCACCGTAGCCGTCGTCAGACATGGTGGATTAGGAAAGAGAGTGCGGCGGATTGGGAGCGACGGGGGAAGTGGGCGGCTGCCGGCAGGGGAAGACGGTGGCGCCTTGCCTGTGCCGGCGGCTGTTCATTGCGGGCCAAGTGGGCGGTGCGAGGCGGCGCGAGCGACGGACTTTGAACTGCCGCTTTGGAGCCTCGCCTCGTCGCTTGCCCAGTACTCGTTTTTGGTCGACCTGAACGCGTCCAGCGGTGGCAAGTGCTCTGATGCTTCGAGAACTGACGTGAAACACCTCTTCCGAACGAGGACTGGACATGATCCGCAGCTAATCCGTTCAGGTTTGCACGGCCTTCCATATATGGGTGCTGATTGGAAGAGTTGGGAGGTTGGGGACGCGATTCATAGACATATGTAGGCCGAACGAGGCCCCCTGGCCGATTGCAGTCACGAAAACACATGCTGGGTGCTGACGTTTGGGCGATGCATTCCATAACGAGGTTGACAGTTTCCCCGTGCGACTGGCATACGTTTGGGTTTTGAAGTCTGGAGGATCTCATCAGCACGGTGCTTCTCGTGGAGCCCAAACAAGGTGAGTAAGATCATCGACCGCCACTGTATCGCAGCCCATGCCTCGCCCGCTGCGTCTCAACTCGGATATATGTCCCCTGCGTCACGCGAACCCCATCACACCCTCCCTCCGGCGTCACGCGAGCCCTCTCTCATCCTAACCCCCATCTCGTCCTCGTCCTCGTCCTCGCCACAGGAGACACGTTTCTACCACCAACTGCTAAGTACCTGCCGCACCCGTCCCATTCCTTCTATGCCCCCCAGAGCATTCCAGAGGCCCCGCACGTGGGGCACCCGCTTTGATTCCCTCACTTCCGCCTCCCCGCCGCTCACCCCCCCAAAACAACCCATCTCCCACCACCCATCTACCCCCTCCTTTGGCCACTCGCCCACGCCTGGCAACGCCCCTAGCCCTGACGTGAGAAAAAGGGACGACAAGATGCCCCACGACGCCAGCGTCTTCGTCGGCAGGTCGGTTCATTTCGCCTCTCTCTCGTGCAGGAGCTGCAACCCGTTCTCATGCGAGCAAACAGCCTGCCGTCCAACATTGATCACCAGGAACTCACCCGTCTTCTGTCGGAACATCTCTCTGCACACGCGGAAGTGAAAAGCATCAAAGTCGTTCGCGATGCAAAAGGCGGTGTTTGCGCGTTTGTTCAGTGTGAGGTGAAGCCGAACACCGTCGCGCCTATTTCCCACGTTCCCGTTATTGATTCCTTCTACTCTCCCAGGACGCTGCGTCTGCCACCCGCCTCATTGACATTCTTCGCTCCCAGCCGTCCCAGCCGTTCATGGGGCGATACCTGCGCTACGAGCCAGCTCGTGCTTTGAGGACTTTGTTGATCTCATATCGGTAAGCCTGCCTACTGGTCGTCATTTCGACGCGGTCTCACAGATCTCCCGTCTTGTAAACAGAACACCCGTTCATGCGACAGATCCTAGGTCTCCAACGCTAGCAAACGGTCAAAATGAAGCTATCATTGAGCTCGAGCCGGCTAATGCGATGAGACTTTACAGACCCCACGGCCAAAAGTGATTTTTTAAAACCATTTTTCTTCCGAATAAAGCTGAATATATGCGCCTTGACAGATTCGTCAACATTGTCTATAATGATGAAGCGTGCAATTTTGACACATCTATCGTTCAAACACCTTCTCTTGCCTCAAATGCGGATGTCAGCGCCGCCCACACCTCTTTGGATGGGCCCGGTCTGCTTCTGTCTCCATTGACATATGATTCAGATGTGAGTTCACAGAGAATGATGCAGTCGATCTAGCTTATTCAAGAAACGCACTTGTTGGTGATTGAGTAGACAATCTACCAGTTAGTGTCTGCCTTCGGACCAGTTGAGTATTTCGGTTCTCATGAACCCGACCAGCTTCGGCCCACTATCGAAGGTGTGTTCGGACTTCTAATCATCTTCGCTTCAACACATTCAAACACAAATCAGACCTTTGCATATACCCTGCTCCGCACAACGCATCGAGGTCTTCGATGATGGATCCCGGTTGCTGGGAAATTAAATGGCAACATAGAGATGACTGTGTATCTGCGTTGATGGTGAGCGGTCTGGGACCTGTATCTATATGTTTCACTTACCCTGTCCGCACACAGGCTCTTCGCGCCGTACCTCATCTAACAGTGACATGGGCTCATTCGCCCCACTCTCGTTCTTCTTTCAACACTCCCTTGTATAACCAACGCCTCAGGGACCCAACCCATACAACCACTCCTTACCGCGGACATCACTTCTCAGAGCCAAGGCAGGCCGGTCCTTATCGGCCTCGCGCCTATACCGCCGGAGCCCTTCTGTCGCTTCATAACAAAGAGCCGACTGTATTGACACACGGGTCGGATGCCGAATATGAGACTGCTGCAGGCGCTACAGACAATCTCCCTTCTGGAGCCTCTTTGTCTCTGCACGCCAACAATGTCAATCCTTCTGCGGCGAGCTCCGATGATGTACTTTCGGCAGAGGAAGCCGAGCCAGTTATGAGGACTCAGAGTCGTCAACATCGCCCTCGTCAACCTAGTAGCCCAGGATCGCCTACTGCCCATCGTGGTCAGGGTGCAGGAGTGGCACGATCACTACTCCTACCTCTTCATCCCAACATCTTTATTAAAAGAAACAATGACCGATCGAACCTCGTTGAACAGCACGAACAGGGCGGATTTTCTCCGCTCCGTCGTCAAGAGCCACAAGGCAAGACATGGAAGTCTTCTTCATGGAGCGCTAGAAGAGCTGGCGCTCATAGTGACGATGATGATGGGAGGTAAAGTGACTTCTTTTGTTGCTGTATTGATGAACAATCTGACCGCCTGAACAGATCTTCAGAAGGAGATATTGTCTTCCCTACCTTGTCTGCGCAGGTCGCTCCCGCCAAAGCTCGCATTGCTGGCTTGTCTTCGCCTCGCAAATCGCAAGGTGTGCAGGTAAACTCTGTATCTACTCCATCGATCAGGCACAACATCATCGACGGAGGCTCAACCACCTCAGAGTCAGCGCAGTCTCTCATTTCTCCTGATACTCCAGGATTCATGCTTCCACCGACTCCTGACAGTGGGAGTGACGGTGGCGATCCAGCGGTACAGGCATCTTGCTCACGCACGGATGATGGAGCGACTGAGGAGGGCATGTCCGAACAATATCATAATGTAATTTTCGACAAGACTGTACGCGATCTAGATCCGACCACGATCTTTGTCGGTGGATTAGAGATGGACGGTCCGTATGCATGGGACGAAAACAAGGTTATGGGTGTGTTTGGAAAATATGGAGAGGTGGTGGACGTCAAGGTAGTGAAGCCAGGTACGTTGATTCTTCGCCTTCCATGTATCTTGACGTATAGAGTAACGTGTGTATAGTGAATAAGAGGTCGGCTTTCGCTTTCGTCAAATTCAGTAATACGGATGCGCCGGCTCGAGCGGTTGCTCAAGAGGTAAATACGCAGCCATCCGCCTTCAATTTTCTTATACATCTCATGCCTCGCGACAGCACAATGGTATGCACAACGGTCGCCAAATTCGTGTTCAGCTTCGAAACAGCAATCCCCACCAGCGTAGTCCGTGGAAGTTTGCTGGACGAGGGAGGGGCAAAGGGTTCCCTCATCGCTTCCCTATGGAACGGCCTGATTTCAACTTCCCGAACGGAGGTATGGAAGGCCATCAGCCTCTGATCATAGATAACATGCATCAGGATCAACCGTCTCATACGATGAGCGGGTATCGCGGCGAGATGCCAAGCGGTGCCACTAGCTCATCGTCTGCCGTCAGCAGCAGTTACGGCGGGAACATCGAACCAAGCTCTTATGTCCCGTCAAACGCCCACACGCCAGACTCGTCGACTGTTCCTCCTCACGTCTCAAGCCATCTTCCCTCTGGAATCGATTCTGCCCCACTCCCAACAGCCTTTGGTCCATGCGTTCCTTCTGGACCTGAAATGACCGCACCCATCATGGGGTATCCTGCGATGTCTGGTGTCGGATACTATCCTCCCCAGCCATGGTATCCGCACCCTTACCAGTATCCGTTGCATGTCGCGCCTGGATATCACCCTCGATTTCCGGTCCCGGTACCGCAGACCACGCAATCCGGTGCTGAGAATGGGGGACCGATTACCACGATGGGTGGAGTCTATCACGTATGTATCCTGTATTTCTAAAAATGCCATCAACAATACCAAAATTTCACAGCCTTTCGCACATTACCCACAATACCCCGTCGTCGTCCAAGAACCAGTCAAGGACAGCCATCCAGCACAGCCTGACATGCAGCCATCGCAACCTCCATTATTGCCCACGGGCTTTATACAAGGCGAGGAGGGTTTGGTCCCGCTTTATCCGCGAGAAGCTTTGGATCAATATATGAACAGCTCGAGCAGTCAAAATCAGCCCGTGCCGCCTCGAGCCCGCCAGGAAGGGATGCGTCGAAGCATGGCCATGCCCGTCGGAGCTTGGGGACAGTTTCCTTACCCTCCGCCATTTTATCCCAATCAAGGGTATGGCACGCCGGCGATGGTCCGTGGCCAACCTCTTCCGAGTCCGGGAACAATGCCATATGGACCTTCATGGTTCCACAATCCTGCTTTCGCGATGCCTCACGCTGGCCATGTTCACCCTCCGGCTTATCCCTCCATACAGCCTCCTCCGGGAGCAGCACCGGGCGGCTTTGGGAGTCCTTATCAACCGCATGCGCCCCAAGCATCGACCAGTGGTTCGACTGCATGGGAGAATAGTCCCTCTCCTATGAAGCGCTATCCTCGGAGAGATCGCACAGCCTTTCCTGGTCAGATGGCCCAACACAATTCCGGAAATTTTGCTCATTTTCATTTTCGGAACGTGTACGCACGGAACTCGCCTAGCTCATCAAGTCGACCCGTACACGGTGGTGGGGTGGTATCCATGAACAATATCGTGGATTACTCTGGTGTTGTTGACGGAGAATCTCAACCAGAGGGTATCACCCATCGAGGTGTCAAGGCTAGTGCTTCCGCACCTGCGCAATTCAAATACGGTAGCGGGAGACGACCCTCCATTGACCACCCATCATCTGGATCGCAATACCAGGCGGAGTGTGCTCGGGGCTAACGAGTCATGGTGTCCTAACTTGACGTCCTCTTGACTCTGAACTCCGCGGACTTTCCTATTCCATTTTTGCTCGTTTACATGTGTCACGGAACAAATAACCTTTTTTTCTATCCCTGAAACCCCCTCAAAAACGATAGTCTCACCGCATTCTGGAGTCTTATTCTATGGGCTATGCATTCTTCCCCCTCGTCTGTCTGTCTCAAAACATTGTAACATACCCACTACTGCCGACGCTCCTTGCATTGACATGGCCTGTGTACGTTCACATTTCGACCTTCCACCATTTCACACCATCCGTTCCCATTTTAAACCCATCTTTAATTACCGCCTGTTGGTCAAGATTCATCTACTCGTAAATTCATAACAACAATCACAATCGATGTCTGGTTCCGCACACACTCTGTGAAATGTCGACCTAGTGCAGACTACAAGGAAGCGTCAATAAAAGACATCCAGTCGCCAATATCTGTCCAGAATTGTTTTTGACGCTGGGTACCTAACCAGAGAGGCAAGATGGAAGCGTGGTGCCCTTGCTCCAGGTCGTACACGTACCAGATTCCTCGCTCATACTGCGGAGGTCGGGGATCGCCAAATGCGTGATGTTGACATCGTGCTGAGCTGATACGTGTCAGACAATGTCGCGCATATTTGACTGTACACTGACTGAAGCGCATACCTGCAATCATGAGGATGCCATTGTGAAAATAACGGAACAACCCCGTCATTTTCCCGATGCTCTTCTCCTGGCTTCTGAATCAAGATCTCGTTTTCGACATCGCAATGCATTTTGTCTGAGTTGCATTCATAGGACGACATTGAATGTTGATTGAGAAAGGAAGGTGAAGGTTGGATCCTGGAAAAATCGAATGATCCCATCAGGTAGGAGAACATGTACAGCGGGCTGGTTAAGATGCGCTCCAAAAAAGCCCAGAGAGCTGCGGGTGTCATTCCTTTCTTCCTTGTCTGGCACAATAGCATGAGCGCAAGACAGTCGTGCTGTTAAGATATTACACACTAATTGAGTGACATAGCTCCGGTAAAACGTATGGCGATGCGGCACGCCTTCTCCTCTCGATTCCCTTTCATCGGCAGCTTGGAATGTTACATCATAGGGGAGGGCATCTGTGCTTTCCGCCCAGTCGCTCTTCCACAGCTGTTTGGCAAGCGAGAAGAGAGACATCTCACGGTACGAGAGGCCGCGGGATTCGGTACGAAGATCGACGAGACGGGAGATAATCGGGGATATGTATGAGAGAAGGTGAACGCATTTCGCCAGCGCTGAGCCGACGGAAAGACGGTGCACCGATGGGGCCGCGTCTGCGCGCTCGCCGAGCAGATACACAATCTGTGTCCCGCGGAATGGCGAGCAGACTATCATTCATAGAAGAGAATTCAGCTTTATGCATGCGAGCATTCGTGACGATGGGCAAACCTGTATTCACGGACAAGACCATGTCGGGGTGGTATTCGTGCCCAAAAAACCCGTCGTGCAACAGCTGTTGAAGTTTAATTATCGTCATGCCTCCCTGCATAGAACGAACATCAATTGAAGGCAAGAGAATCAGTCTAGCGTGCGTACCACCGAGTGTCCCAGAAAGTGCAAGGGTCGTTCCCTGGACCAGCCAGGATAAAGGGCGTCTGAATGCAGGCGTCCATACCGTGCATGCTCGTTCCGACATGCATGTTCCGCTCCATAGTCAACTGCGATGTATGGGTCAGAGTAATTCATCTCGGGAAGAACCGAAACGACATACCTTGTCCTCCTATTAGTTCGTAGAATAGTTCGCAAGCGCGGTCGTGAAGAGAGCTCACCGGGCCAACGCTGTCCAGCACAAAGTCAGAGAATGGTATCCGTCAAAGTAAAGAGACTGTGAATCACTTCGCGAACATGACCCTGCGTCTCTTCTTCGCTTTTGTGCCCCCTTTCGTTGCACCTCCATTCATGTATGACTCAAAGTTCCCTCCCGCAACTCTTGCTATCCCACCCAGAAAGCCTTCAACAATGACCAGCGGAATTGGATTGCCTCCATCGTCTTCGACGCCTACGTCGTTCGCGAGGCCATTGTGTATCATGTGGGTCATAGCTAGTGTAGAGGGAGAGGTTGCGACGACGCAATTCATGTAGCGACGGCATACCTACTTTGGTTGCGGAGCAGTCTCGGACTACCAGGCCGTGCACGGCTTGCGATGGAGGCCTCCGACCACTGTCACCGTCCCGCAGATCGGCGCATCGGCTTACCAATTCGATCAGTCGTATGAAATTACGCATGCGCGAGTCAACTCGGATACAAATTAGCGAGGGGATCGAAAACATACAAGGATCTTTGACGGCTGCATAGGACACCAGCAACTTTTTAGAAACAGGTATAAATGGGGAAAGCGAGTTGTGAAACTAGTGTAGGGTATCGGATGGAAGCTGAACGGAATGCTGGATGAAGGTAAGTTAAGATGCTACAAGAAGGTTGATGAAGTAATTCGTGCAATATGGGGTAAATGGGGATATGATGTGCAATGTAGATACGGGTCATATGAAGTGTGAGAGTGGGGCTGTCGCACGGCGTACAAATCAGAAGACATGATCGGACGTATACAGGTAAGCCACTCACAAGCAGGGCATAATGAGATGACGGTCATGGGGGTCATGGTCCAGATACGTATGTTACAAAATTAAGGTTAGATGTTCCATAGAAGTACCTCGTACACCGATAGAGGGTGAACCGAGAGCGGGCTACGTCGTGGGGGACATGTCCTTACATGTACTCGATTCTAATCAATGTTTCTTGCCTGTGTACCAGGACAAGGAGACACTTCCAACTCCGGCGATGTGAACCCTGGCGTTAAGTCGGCACACCTACCCAACCATATATCAGTAAACGCCGCACGTCAAAAAAGGGACGAACATACAGTGTCAGCAACCTCGGACCTTCGAAAATCAATATGAAGATCGCCGTTCTGTGCGCGCGTAATTTGATTGACTTCACCGAAGGACTTGTAAATGTACCATGAGTATAGATCAGATGGTTTGAGCACATCAGAAACACATACCTCGCACCACCGCCTGACGCCATCGACACGTCGTTCATCATGTATTCCAACGCCGCCAATGACAAGCTTCTTTTTCTTCTTCTCTTGGGATACCAACACGCTTGGGACGCGTCGCATTGGCATGCTGTTCCTGGGCGTTCTATGGGCAAAAGGAATCCGGATGCCCGTGGCAGGCCTGAGAGAGAGAACCGTTTCCGACCCGGGAGGGTCATGCAAATGGGAGGCATCGCGGGGCAAGGACCACATGGAAGGCGAAGGAGATTTAAATCGTGGGACAGGAGGGGCACGCTGAGAACCGTGGGCAGGCTTGTGAGATGTAGTTACATTAGAGGTCCCTGTCGTGCCGGACGAAAAGGTATTGACTGATGAAAAGCTCGGTCTAGGCGGAGGCATTTCGTCGACTGGATCTGGTTGAGCGATTGGTGAGTGGGAAGGCGAGGAAAAGGCGCTTAGGACATTCGGGCGCTTGAACCTCCAACTATTGTGAGATTTGGATATGCGGGTAGTAGATGGACCATCAGCTGTGTTCGGTTGTGCGGAAGCGAGGGAAGGGATACTAGTCTCTCGAGTATGTCCATTACGGGTATGGGGGCGTGGAAGAAATGAATGCCGAGAAGTCGGCGAGGGCGATTTATGATTTTCGGCTGACTTGCGACGGGAAGGGGGCAGAGACAGGTGTAAATTGCGCAGGGAAGGTGCAGCATGGAATATGCCTGAGGATGGGCGAGGGGTTGCGCCCGTAGACAACGTGGGGGAGGAGCGGACAGGTGGAGTTGCAGGATTCACCTGAACGTAAGTTTTTGCTTGTCAACCTCGTCGTGCCGCGGTTGGAAAGTCACGTGATGAGAACATACCTGGAACACATCCTCGTCCTCCGGCTGGAGATGGGAGCTCCCGGGCCCGTCATCATCCACGAGGACGTAGCTTTCCAAGGTTCGAGAGTCGTCGGGGTCACTTTCGCCGAAACGTGGCGGAGTGATTCCCGGATACGCGAGATAAGGGTGAGGAGCCGTGCCGTGCGGGAGCGTGTCTGTCGAAGCACCCTCCGCCGCGCCCGCGCTATGAGGACGGGTGAGCTGGTCTTCTATCCATCGTTGAAGATGGCTGGAGCGGCGGCGAATCGTCTTGGGAAAGGAACCAATCTTGGAGATCATGTCATTTGGCGTTGGTGTCCGCGAAGCGTTTGGAATAGCGGTTGAGGTGGGGGAATCGGGTGAACACTCTGTCGAGCAGGGGAATTTCAGGAGAGTGCGAGAGGGCGGATTGCCAGCGCCACGTACCTTCCGAGATGACAGGCATAGAAATGTGAGTGTTACGTTGAGGAGGTGCAGGCAAGGGGAGAAAGTTGCGGAATAAAGTTTCGTGAGAGAGGTCGTCGCTCATCGTGAGATCGGGTTGAGGTATAAAGGTAGCTGGTCAGAAGACCAGAAGCATGGAAGGTGGAGCGTCAGGATTATACAGAGCTACGACGGGAGGACGACGGGAAGCCGGGGGAGGGGTATTTGGCGGGAAGAGGGAGGGAAGGTGCTAGAGAGGCATGTCGAGGGAACCCGGTCGGAGAGAGGTCGCAGTTAGGAGACGGGAAAAAGCAACGAGGAACCTCGACCGCGACTTGTTGCGACACGCGCCGGAATTTGTTTTCTGCTGCCGCCACAGCCTCAAACGAGGCTTCCCTTTCTGGGCCGCGATGATCACGTCCCGGATCAGCGTCCCTCTCACTCCTCGGCTCTCCGAACATCTTAGGTCCACGACCCTCTTGCGCGTTCCGACCGCATCTGCGTTCCATTCTTCCACGGGTCTCTGCGGCCCACACTTTATCTCAAGTCGTTTGTGCGCAGAGTCGCAACCAACGGACAACACGGCTCGTAACTCCGACTCAATACCGATCTCGATCAAGACGGGATCATTCGCGAAGACTCGTATAGTATACAACCAACTCTACTGCATGCCCTTGTCGGATGGTAATCGGCCGGAACGCCATCAAGAGGGGGAACTTCAGACAATGCCAGGGTCACGGCAGACGGTCATTAATTGAAAAGAAGACCGTTCCCCAGGACCGAACGTCAGAGAAGCCAGGAACGAGCCGGAGGGGAACGCAAGACTAGGAGGAAGTTGGCTGTATCGATCCCTTCAACTGACAGCCGATCCGATGAGCGAGAGGCCAAAGTATAGCTTCGCATCAGCTGTCAATTACATGGAATAAGATGATAGCAGTACAACAAAAATACATACATATCTTCCATATATTGTGTGATGCTCATCGATTATCGGACGGCCTCTTCTGCCGCTGGCAGCTTCTGTACCAGCATGTCGACGACATTCTTGAAGAGCTTCGCCGAAGACGTCTGCTGATAGCGCCGAAGAAGCCCAAAGGAACGCTCTACATTGTCATCCCTTTCGCCCGAGGTCGTTTCCGCCCCCTGTTCTTCGATTTCGGCGGCATCCAGAAGAGTCACAAGCTCTGTGTCAACTGGAAGGCTGCCCAGAAACGGCAGCCCCTCGCGCCTCGCCATTTCCTGTCCCCCTCCAGTCGAAAACACATTACTTATTTCGCCACAGCATGGACACACGTATCCGCTCATGTTCTCGATAACGCCCAGAACGGGCAGGGAGACTGCGCGGGTGAAGGAGAGACATTTCATGGCGTCCATCAGGGCGACGGCTTGCGGCGTGGTGACAATCACCGCGGAGAGGCGATCATGGACAGGCGCCATATGCTCCAAAAGAGATAGATGCTCGTCCGATGTTCCTGTCATTCAATGTTTCTCTACATGGACTATCGATGAAGAGAAGGGCGGCAGACTTACCTGGAGGTGTATCGATGACCAAATAGTCTAGGTCACCCCACCTTACATCGCTGAGGAACTGCCTAATCATCGCGTTCTTTTTCGGACCTCTCCATACAACTGAGTCCTCCTTCTTTTTCAACAAGAACCCGACGCTCATGCATGCCAACCTCGCTTCGGTGCCGTCGGCGTAGACTGGTACCCAGCCATCGCTACTCTGATGCACTCCATGGCCATCCATACCAAGCATCCGAGGTATGGATGGTCCTGTGAGGTCGACATCGAGAATGCCAACACGAGCCGTTGGAGACGAGGCATGCAACGAGAGAGCGAGTTGAGCGGAGACGGAGGACTTGCCAACCCCGCCTTTCCCAGAGCAAACGATGATGATGTGCTTGATGTGTTTCAAGCGCCGTGCGGCGGGTGTCTCTTGCGTCGAAGCCATGATGGAGATCGATTTGCGGACAGGACGTTGGAGGACATGAGCAGAAACGGCATATTGATAACCACCCTCGATGACCAACGCAATCGTATTACTCATTGTGTGAATCTATCTACAAATCGGGCCACTTCAGGGATCTAAGGGACTGTATCGGACAAAATCCACTTCCGAATTCCCTTCCCCGTGAAAATGCACTACCTTTGGACCGATAGAGGTGATTCGTCAGTTCAAATACTTCACTGACATTTGTGTTCTGTATCCTGCGATGTTGTTGGCGATTCTGACAACCACTGGAATCTGACGAAGGGAGGAAGTATGAAAAGGGTTGATGATTGCCAAAAACTACTGATGAAACGTGCTGTATTTAGATTGGTGACTGACGTTAGTTGAAAATGGTCAGATTCTCAACTATCAGGGTATGAGCCTATTGAACAGAGGGTCATCTGAGGGAATGGTGGTATACATGAGACATCAAAGGATGGAGCGACCCTGGTAACAATTAAAGATACAACTTTACCACTGAGGTGAGTTACAGCGTCATAGCCGGAAAAGCTCTGGCTTAATGTTCTAATTAAGATTTGGTAAGACGCAGCACTCAGGGAACAAGGCGGGAAATAGAGCTTACAATTTTACAAAGACGAGCCATGAGCCCCCCGAGTTGAATCAAAGTTCCTACGCCTTCGAGAATACGCATGTGTGTGAAGCCAATCTCCTATATGCCAGACCCATTAAGACATGTGCCGATTACGGACCCGCTCAAAAGAGAACCACCCACCTTAATGTACTCTAGCTTCGTGTATTCCGGTATCCTAGCAACATAAGTCAGTCACTATAGCGAGATGCTTTCGACGGTGACACGGAGCATACTCGTCAAATGTCTTCACAACTCGGAAGATTGTCACGATGATATCCACAGCACTGTAGCCTTGGTGCCAGAGCTCTGACATTCTTTCCAAAGCCATGTCGATATCACCTTTCAAGCACGCCCGGATGATGGTCTGAACAATGATAGGGTGCGGCTGATCGCACACTTTGAAGACGTTGTCGCCGGAGACGAATCCAAATCCAGACCATGTTGATTGGAGATTATTTATTGCCTGACGCATGTCCCCTTCCGACGTAAAAATGAGCGCTGTAAGGCCGTCGTCATTGTACTCGACCTGTAGTAAGGCGCCGTGAGAGATGAAAACTCCCCTGGAGACACGATAAATCTTACCTTCTCCATCTCACAGATCTCCAGAAGACGCTGCAAGATCTCTGCGTCGCGTAATTTGCTGTACCGGAGAATGGCACATCGACTTTGAATGGGTTCTATGATTTTATTTGACATGTTACAGGCCAAGCAGAAGCGCGTTGTGTTGGAGAAGATCTCCATCGTTCGGCGAAGTGCCTGTTGGGCACCGGCCGTCATGCTAAAGAAGTACATGAAATTAGGCATTGGTGAGAGGACTGGGAGGCACAGACCTGTCGGCTTCGTCTAGAATCACTATCTTGTGGCGGCCTGGTGGCAGTGTGACTTTCTTCTGTGCAAAGGCCTTGATTTTATTCCGGACAACGTCAATTCCTCTGTTACATGTCGTTGAGACACCGCAGTAGAGGAGTAAGATTCAAAAGACATACCGTTCGTCGGAAGCATTCAATTCCAGCACACCCTCCTTGTAAGCATCTCCTAACAGTTGATGTGCGAGGCAGTGAATACTTGTAGTCTTTCCAATACCTGGTAGTCCCTGACAGAGCGACATGCGTCATATCAGCACGTATCTACACAGAGGAAGTCTCTAGACGCACTGAGATGATGAGATGAGGAACGTTTCCATCTGTCGCGATGACTTTTAACCGTTCCACCGTGTCCGAGTTTCCGACGACATCGTCCAGGACGTTTGGTCTATATTTTTCCACCCTGTCGGGAAGGCATCAGTATAAATGCACATATTAGAACGTAGTGATCACCATGGCAGCTCGTAGGGAACGTCTGTTCCGTTGATGGGTACTTTGCCCTTGGTCACCGCTGTGGAAGACATGAGAGACGCGTGTGTGACAGGACGTGACAGGACGCGTCTTGACATGGCTTCATGTGTTCGTTGTGGCTTCCAATTTGTTTCTCAAATCCGCGCTCTTCCTCGCTTCGGTAGGTCCTCAACTTCCAGCTGTTCTTGCTGTTTTCAAACTTAAAGCGCTAGGCTCGAGGATCAGGCACTACTCTACTAAGGATGATTTATCTCGTTCGAATTTGCCGAAACCACGTCTCGACTATCGCTCGATTTCGGAGAACGTTGTCTACAAGTCCCACAATGCGTTCAATCGGAAAGCACCACTTCCTATTGGATCCGTGCAGTCGATAGAGCGCCTGTACAAGCAACAGAAGGAGCTTCAGCACAGCTTCAACTCGAAGAAACATGAACAGTCACAAATCGGCGAGCTGGTGCGCACGGCAGCAAAGGATACGGAAGCCAGGACCGCCGCAGTCCAAAAAGCCAAAAGCTTGAAGAATGATATTGCTGCTCTTCAAGCACAACTGCATGAGGTCGCCGATAAACTCCTTTCGCTCGCCCTAGCCATTCCAAACGATACCCATCCTGAGAGCCCCCTTGGCTCGGAAACCGAGGCTGTCACTCTTTCGACGCATGGTCCTTCGCCTATGCCAGCGTCATCAGATAGGGACCATGTCGCTATCGGCCGCGCACTAGGACTTTTTGATCTGGAGGCCGGTGCATCTGTCACAGGTTCGTCATGGTACTACCTCCTGAACGAGGGTGCGCTTCTCGAGATGGCCCTCGTCAACTATGCTCTATCTGTTGCAATCAAGCATGGCTTTACCCCCGTGACAACACCGGATGTCGTGCGCTCGGACATCGCGAGCCGATGCGGCTTCCAGCCCCGCGACCAAGCGGTAGATCCCCCTGTATCCCAGATGTATCATCTTTCAGGAACTGAAACGTCATCATCTCCGCATCCTGAACTCATTTTAGCGGGGACGGCAGAGATACCTCTTGCGGGGTTGTTTGCTAATAAGGTCTTCTTGGAGAACGAGCTTCCACGAAAAGTTGTAGGTCTTGGCCGTGCATTTCGCGCTGAGGCAGGAGCCAGAGGCGCCGATACTCGTGGCCTTTACAGGGTACATCAATTCACAAAGCTGGAGTTATTTGTTGTTTCTGAAAGCGACAAGAGCGAGGAAATGATGGAGGATATGAGAAAGATACAAGTGGAGATCTTCGATGGGCTTGGCCTTCCCATTAGGTGAAATACCATCTATCATCTTTCCGACATATGGCTGAGGTCATCTGCTATCAGAGTTCTTGATATGCCAACAGAGGAATTAGGTGCCAGTGCATATCGGAAGTATGACATGGAGGCATGGATGCCTGGCCGCGGAAGCTGGGGTGAAATATCCTCGACATCGAATTGCACCGACTATCAGTCGCGCCGCCTCCACATCCGATATCGTCCTATTGCTTCTCCGTCATCGACTTCCACCTCGGCTACGCAACACTCCAGTCTTCCATTTGCTCATACCTTGAATGGTACAGCCGCAGCTGTTCCTCGACTGATCGTGGCTTTGTTGGAAAACGGCGCACGCTTCGATGAGCAGGGCAAAGTCATTGGTCTCCGTCTGCCCGCAACTTTGAAACCTTTTTGGCTTGGGGCCGCGAGAGATATCATAAAGTGGATATAGCAGGCGTCCGCTTCAGTCAATTCCTTCCTTATCTGTTCTCTTGTTCTAATGCTCGTCAATCAAAATGGCTCCATCCATCCCAATATTTGTATCACAGATATCCACGCACTAATTGCGCCGCACAACTCCCGAGTTATATCCAACACTGCCACACGGAGACTTCTCAGACCGAACGTATCCGGTTTCGGACTCCATTGCCACTAGTCCCGAACGTTCCACCTACCATTTGATTCCATCTCATAGATCACCTTCGGTCATCAATCTTTCAATCCGCAAATGGATCTGCAAATGGATCCTCCTCCACCGTCTTTTGAACGCCTCGCTTGCTGTCGCGTTCGTCATCTGAAACGGTAACATATGTTCGTCGAGAGGAAGGTCCGGCACGTTGATGATGCGCGTCTTCGTCTGACGACTGATAGTCACTGAAATCGGAAAGAGAGCCCCCACGTCGATCATCGTCTGAGGAATATGGTCCATTCGGTCGGATGGGGGGTGGCAGGTTCCTATAGCAATTGCGATTTTTATCCTTCTCAACACCGCGACAAGAGAGCCAACTCACTGTTGATCGACTCCCAGCGTACCAAAGCTAAGGTCTTGTAGGTCAGGGTGAAGAGGGGACTGGGGCTGTCGTGATCGTTCATTCTGTTCCTCCAACACAGCGCTGCGATCTCGGTTGACTGCACGTTGGAGTGCTGCCCGTTGTTTGATTTGCAGTTTCTGCAATTCAGAATCGTGGATGTTAGCGGCGGCCAATCCTTCTTGCACATCGGCGATGTCTTGCTCTGTCACATGTGGGTTCGAAAGCTTAAAACCCGCCATAACTGGTGAGGCTTGTACATGTAGCTAAGAAAGGTCCCCACCTTGTCGTAAGTCTCAATTGCGGCGATGATCCGGTCATTGGTTTCAATAAGAGTGCCAATGAATTCCTCATCTTCAACTAACTGAAGAGGATGTTTTAACAATTGATGGTACAGAAACTATTCCCAACGTACCTGTATATATCGCACAATTTGTTTGCGAGCCTGTTTTGCCTTGCCTAGGCATTCTTGTACACGCTCGTTAGCCTGGAGACTGTCATGTTCGGTATTCACAAGCTAGAGAAAGTTAAAAGTGATCGGTCGATTCTCTGAGTATGGACCCACGGTGATTGCATTGACAAGATTGTTTGCAGCAGATGAAGCGCTTGCAATCGAGTTCAAGACTTGCGGTTTCTCCTGACCATCCAAGAGGTCAAAGATCAAACAACAGAGAAGTTGAAATCAATTCACAAACCTGCTCGAAATTGAACGGTTTCCTCGTAGTCTTGTCCTTTGCTCGTTGACGCCTTGCCGCTTCTTCGTTTTTCAGTCGCTCCTTCTCCGCCTCCTTGTCCAGCTTTGCCTTCTTCTTCGCCTCCTCTTTTGCGATCTTCTCTTCTCTCCTCCTCTTCTCATACTCGCTCTCGCGTGCTTCCACTTCGTGATCAACAGAACGACGGGCAGGCTCCGAGGGTCGACGTGGCTTAAACATATTCGCGACAAGGGTCATACTGTGATCGTCTTTAAATTGATTTCTCCAAGACGCGAGGACGGCATTGAGTTTCCTCTTGACTTTCTCATCGGTTGAGGAATCCGAGGCCAGATGTCGTATAGCATCTGTGAGTTGACCGTCTGCGAATGTGGCTGTGACAAGATAACACAACAATATATCATGTGCATGATAAAAGCAAGTGGTGACTACGCACTCTGGAATTTGTGTCCGCAGTTCTCCACAAGCGCTTTCAGAATCTATCAAGGCTTGGATATCTGAATCGGATCCTGGGAGCTAATTGCGTGCACTGACCACGAGCGCACGATATTGCTGATGTGCATTACCGTGCTTGAGCTTCTTTCGGATTGCTCGGGAAGCCTCTGCTGGGCTAGAGGACGTTCTATCAGTGTGTAGAAAATCTGTAGATGTTAGGCGAATTCACCCAGTGGGTTGAAGGTTAATGGAATCGATGAGTTCCGGTATACTGAATCAGGCGTTGGGCCATGTGAGCAACAATAGTACGAGCATTCATACGAGGCGTACCCGTCGTAAACTTCATCAGCGTAGCTCGGTGCAGTTAGAATGTCAATCCATTCAGTGATCGAGGACTAAGCATCGAGTTATCCAGTGTTAGGCAGACTGTAGTTCTTCAACGAGACTCACACGAGGTTTCTCTCGCCCAAATGCTGCTGCGACCTGCTTGCCTAAAGCAATGGCCGACATGATACGGGATGGGAGATCGAAGATAGAAGGAACTCCACAATCACTTGTCTTTCTGAGAACGATATGGATGTGACGTCACAAGAGACTTAGTCACATGTACAAGTCTAACTCGTGCAACGGAAAAGATCGCGGTCGATCAAGAACGACGAAGGCTGAAGAGGACAAGGCTATCGCTTGCGTTCCACTCGCCATTTGTACACCCGGGGCTTGTACGCCTTTTTATCCACCGCTCCGTTATCCTGCGCAGCCTTAGCACTCCTCGTACCGATATCGTCGTCCTCATCGTCCTCGTCGTCTTCCTCCACCTTCTCGACGCCCTTCAGTTTCTTTGATCCACCCTTTCCCATCAACAGCCTCTGCATCTCTAACTCTCTTTCTGCGTATCGAAGCATTCGATCGCGAATTAAACGTGCCGAGAGTTCCTTCAGAAGTCGTCCACGATGTTCCTATTACTTTTGTTAGCCTCATGTAAATGGAAATTAGAACTATTAAGCTCACTACTGTGGCCTCTCTCCGTTCGTTGATAAGCGAGGCTTTCCCTACCTCCACATCTGCATCAGTATCAGCCTTCGTTTTGCCTTTTTTCTGCATCGTCGATCTCCATCCAAGATCAATGACTTTCATCTCAGTGGTTGCGGCTGTGTTGTCTGATGGCAATTTTCTTTTATTCCGAGTTGCATGTTGCTGAGCTGCATAGGTGCTCAGGCGAAGATTTTTGAATGGATGCATAGATACGCACCTTCTTCCGCATTCACTGCAAAGATAATATGCTTTGCAGACCCTTTCGAACTAGACTTTTTCCGTCCCTGGGATGGTCCCGCAATCAAGCCCACCTCTCTAAGAATCTCTAATTCCTCTTCATCGAGGTTACTTTCCTCGATTTCAGCATCCAGAGACCCTGGCCGAAGCAGATCAGCCAGAGAGCTCAATTGACTTTTCAGCTTCTCAATTTTCTGGAATACCATCGAAGCGCTCGTCAGTCCCCTCGCAGCGTTTACAGCTGACAAGATGCGACTCACCTTCATGCCCATCGCTCGCATGGTACGGATGTAGGCCTCATCCTGGCTTTTCAGCACCTTCACCATATCAGCTGGAAGTGCTACATTGCCTCTATCTTGTACATGCACACCACCCTGGAAATAAGCACTGAGAACAGTATGATCCTTGCCTTGCGCCCAAACTTACTTCCGTCCTTTGTCTTTTCATGGAAAAATAGAATTCATCTTTGTTCCTGTCAGCAGCCTTCTGCTTCAAGCGGATGATTCTGTCCTGCTTTGAATGATAGTCCCTTGCTCGCAAGACATAATCCTTGTGTTTCTCGAGAATGCCCAGACGCGTACGATGGGCAAGCTGAGAACGTTCCTTGTGGTTTCGACGATGGAGAGAATTGCGAATTGAAGATGACATTTGGGACTGTACCACACTCCCGGTAGAATCAAGTAATAAGAAGGTGGGAGGTGAGCTGGTTGATAGCCAGGAGATGCAGCGCTGTTAGCACTTGTGAGCACTTGTGAAAAGCGTGGGAATATACGTGAGTTCTCGTGATTGTTGTTGAAACACGGAAGTCGTAAGTAATTGAAGGGAATCATTAACATCACTACGCTCAGTCTCAATAGCTCTGTTGAGATTCAATGTTGTACTAAGTAGGAAGACCTTATGTTAGGGCAAATACATAGATTATGGAGACGTCGTCTCGAAGCCTTGACAGACACGTTTGAACACCACATCCAAGGAAAGAGATACTTGAAACTTCTAAGACTCTTCTTCTTCCCCAGAACCACTCTCACTCCGCCCATCCTCCATCGGAGTAGGTCCTGCAGGCGTCGGAAGGGCTTGCTGCTGTTGGGTGGGAGGCACCATCATCTGAATTGGCTGTGCGGGGGTTTGGATCGGGCTCTCGAAATACATGCGCATGAGCACGCTCTCAAGTGCAGCCACAGAAGGCGGAGGATATTCAAAGTGCCTTGCATGTCCGCGAATACTTTGAAAGAGGGTTTCAAACCGATCCCACCTCTCGCGCTCAATCCTCCCGCGGTCGGTCTGGTCAGACGGAGGAGGCACACTGCCTAACCCAGGAGGAGCAGGCATCGACATGGAAGGAAAATGAGGGTAGGATGTAAAACCATTGGGGTGTTGCGGAGGTTGTGCCCGCATAGGAGGGGAACCTGCCGCTACCATTGAGGCAGTAAGGTATTGGGCGGGCTGCGCAGGCGTGAGGGCATGACCGATACTGGAAGTAGATGCGATGGGTTGTGGAACTGAGGCACCATCGACCAGCCCCGCCTGTGGACTCGCGCCTGCAGCAGCAGCACGACGGCCGCGTCTGGTATAGGGCAAGTTGGATAATCCGGTCTCATGTGAGTGCTGTGAGAAATCTAGACGACCTCAATCCAGAGACCACATGCAGGGAAAATATTACTTACAGCACACGCGAATTTCGTCGGTTTCAAAGTAGGTCTTGTAGCTGATGGATGCAGGGCAACCTTTGCCCTCAAGCTGTGAATTTTTCTGTTAGACCATCTTTCAAACAAGCCACCAAGCTGCGCTGACCTTTCTGCTGGGTACCTTCCTCACCCTGTCCGGAAACTTTTTGACATACTTCTTCCTGCCACTTCTCGAGTGCCGGGCGCATACCAACTTGACATGGTCTTTGAAGCGTGGAGGGACAGCCTTCGACCCATGCGTGTCGCCTTTGACAAATTCAACCATCTTCTCTTCCTCCTCCTTTGCCCGCCAGGCTTCAAATGCGTTCATGTTCTCGAAGACGAGCGTATAACCATCGTTCATGTCACCGGAACCGTAGGGGCCTCTGTTTGATCCTCGAACGCTACCATCGACGGTCTGTAGTTGGAACTGAGGCGGCTCTGAAAGCGGACCAAGAACTGGACCAGACTGGGCCGGAGGAGAGTACTGATGAGGGGTGAAAGTCTGCGGCGGTTGTGGTGGCTGCTGTGGGATGGGCGGAATAGGTACTCCATCCAGACGGAAATTTTGGAAGCTCATCGTTCTTGCTGCAAATCTGGTCTCTTTCTCGTTCCATCACTGCCGAACTGGCATATTCACCACAACTGTCACGTGCGTCACAGTCACACCATCATACTTCGTACAGAACTGATATTACGAGTCCGTGCTCGAAACTAGGGAAAGTGTGCTAAAGGTCCGTCAAGCTCAAGGTGTAGATAGTGTGTGCAGGATATATGTGTTTAGACAACGCTGCAAGTTCCAATGAAGAAACCAACAAACAGGGTCGCAAACACTCCCAGATAGTTGCTTGACATCCTAAAAGCTGGAATCGCGGCGCTAGAGGTGGAGACGGAAGACGATGACGACGATGACGAGGAAGAGGAAGAAGAGGATACGGGCGATGGAACGGGAGTCGCTGGATTATAGGTGACGCCGTTTGCCGTGGCAGCAACCTGGAAGACAGAGCCGCCACCATATTCATAGAACTATCATATATATGTGAAATTGTGAATACTATGTCTGAAGGAGAAGGCTGCAAATGCACATACATCTACAAGCATGAAATTGGGGTTGCGGCTGTGCTGAGCTGCGCAAGTTTCTACTTGCTGGCCGAGAGACCCTACGCCACTGACAGCATTCGTCGTATTGGCGCGTGAGGAATCCGGTGCAGGCTGGCCAAGTATAATTTTGTCCAGGAAGTGGTTGATCAGATACATCTGAGTGGACGTATCACCGTTCGTCCGATTGACATTGCAATCGAAGGTGGTATCAGTGACATCATACGCAGTCTCCCAGATATTAGTAAATTCTAGCGGACAGAGGTTAATTTGATATCGCAGGTCAGTGGTTGGTGATCATCATACATACCATCAATGAGATAAGACACGGACGTAGAATCTGCCCCAGAGGCCAAGAAGGTGACAAGTCGTTTGCCCGAGTCAATCATGCTGCCTAAAGTGGGCCAGCTGTCGAACGTAAGAGAAGATGCACTGGGAGAGAACGAGATAGAGTCCAAGCCGACAGATTTGAATACACTGTCGTAGTCAGATGGCTTGAAACCATCCGAGTTGACGATGAGAAGGGATACCACTGCTCAATATGTTACCTCTCGGACGAATGTAAGGTTGAGAAAGCACTCACCATCATTGGTATTGGCATCCATCCATGTCTTGACTACGTTGTGGGCATGAATAACAAGGCCTTACGCAAAATCAATTATACTTGCCTGAGCTGAGGTAGGTTTCGAGAGTTCCTCCGTTGTACAGCGCCTATTGAAGTTGTCAGAATATAAAAGGAATCATTCCCATTAACAAGCCAATGACACATACACAGGACGTGTGGCATAACTGTATCACGCCATTCTGATTGTGTGTCTGCATCTGCAGCATGCGAATCCCATCATTTAACTGTTGCGTCACTACGACACTTATTCAGACATTGGCATAGGTAAGTGACCATCCTTTCACTCACCATTGTAGTCTTGATTCGCCGCCACTGAAGACATGTCGAATTGTGAATCAGGAGTCCTCAGTTTAGAGAAAGGCCACACGATAATCGGCACACTGACAGTTGTTTGTTCCTACGGCATACGAATCATGCGCACCTACAAATGTGACGTTTCCGAAGCTCTTTCCGCAGAGCTAGACCCTCTTGACATCAGCTGTCGAAAAGCATCGAGGCGAATGGCGTTACCTCAGAGTGACCATTGCATGTCGTCGCCCTATGATGTAACGAGGCAGCTTGGGTACTCGACGTGAAAAGGGAGAGGAGGGCGACCGGCGCCAAGGCCATTATTGAGGGGATCATTGTGCGAGCAAGATAGAAAAGAGCGACTGAGTAGGAGAGAAATAAGGCGGGCAGAACAGGTGGTTGCAGTAATAGACCCGGCCGCAAGCGTTCGTCACGCGTCAGCATACCTACTCAGCTGCAGCGGCGCAGTCGGGCGCAGCAGCCTAGACTAGAGGGTTTCATTGAACATCCATTTGGATTGGGACGTCACGTCCTGGTTAGCACGACAGGTCTTGTGTCTCAGCCTTCTTACATACTGAGATCAAGGAGACATGACTCAGACGCATACAGGCGAATGGCCAAATTGATATCAGAAAACCGACGGCAACTCGACGGCGTATTCCTCTTCCTCGAGGATCACAAAGTGATATGCCATATTGTAGTATCATGCATATTGTAGTATCATGCCTAGTGAACAGGAAGGGAATGACATGCATTGGTACAAACTTACTACATTGAGATCTAGATGACCTTTCGACGTTCACAGGAGAATAGCGTTCGGAAATGTGTTGCATGAACTCCTCAGGGCTCAGTGATTACGCAGGTCAAGGTTGTTTTGCGTAGAATGGCAACGTCACCTGTATCTCACTGTCGCAATAAGGTACTAAAAATTTGCAGGTCCTGAGGCATCGTTCAGGCTTACATGGGCACTGTCCGAACAGGTAGTTGGCAGTCAGTTGGTTCAAGACGCAATGTGGATACACTGGAAAGCGTAGCTTGGATGTGGATCATCACCATCAAGCAGAAGTGGATGTCAGCTTCGTATATAACGTTGTGCTAGTCCTTGAATATGCGATTGTGTGTATGATTTGCGCCTTGCTGCGACTGATTTACGGAAGAGGGACCAATAACTGCCGACAAGCGGCGCGGGCTTGCGCGCCGCGATTAGATATCATCCGATGGGGCGCATAACCTCACTCCAACTACAACCAACTGCACTCTGCCTTCAACATGTCCCGCTATCCAGCCCACCTTTCACCCAACATTACTCCCACGAAGCTTACTAAAACACAAAAGTCTCGTGCCCGTCGTGAACCCTCTGGCGTGTTCTCTCTCTTTCAACCACCCCAGATTCAGCAATTCAAAGAGGCCTTCGCCCTTATAGATCAAGACAGAGATGGGATAGTAAGCGAGCAAGATCTAAAGGATACCTTTGCGAGTCTCGGTATGTTTCACTCACAAGCACTACTTCATCATGATCATACCTAACAAACTGACAGGAATCACGCCCTCGAAACAAACAATGGACGATTTGCTTACTGATCGTCCTGGTGCACATGATCGTATCGGGTCCTCTTCTTCTATGGATGACTCGGACAGGGGGATTAACTTTGCCATGTTCTTAACGATGATGAGCGAACACCTCTTCGATTTCGACACGGAAGCAGAACTGGTTGATGCGTTCGCATGCTTTGATGAAAGTGATTCTGGCATGGTCAAAGGCGATGAAATTAGCAAATGGTTAAGCGAGACAGGAGAAAGAATGGATCAAAAAGAGGTGAGAGATCCCCAGAACATGATTAGAGAACTGTGCTCATTCCAGACTAGATTGATAGATTCTTGAAGGGGTCGTTCACTGACCGACAAGGTAACTTCAATTACAGAGAATGGGTGAAGGTTCTTCGAGTCAACGAAGACGGTGATGAGCCTGAAACCTAAGCATGAAGTGCCTACGCGTTGTACTCCTATTTTTACGACGGTTGACGATGTATACCCATGTCACGATTTTACTCATCCTGTGTAGATCCAACAGAATAAGAGGTACCTCTACTTGGACTCTCGAGAGCAAATGTTTCTAATATCCTTCATACAGGATATTGTACAATCACTGGCTACGCCGTGTGCACCGAATGTGCATAAAAGTCATTAGATCCACTACCTTTCGAGTGGTTCAGCTGGGAATCTACCTTCGTCCTTTGCCAAATCCCTTCAACGCCTCTGTGATTGTTATTATTTGGCTCTGCTCCTTTCCAACGCCTTGCAAGGCTAAATCTTATCTGAGGAAGATTCCGTTATCCTTCGATACAAATTCATATCATCCCGTCTCCTTCCATCCCCAGACTGGCCTCCAGACCAGCCTCTAGTCGCAATCGTGAGGCCCTTCTGCTTCTCTTCCTTCTCAGATGGTCTGTCCAATACGTTCTTGAAAGCATCCAAGTCATCATCTACTCCTGACCATTGGACAAATGAACATGTTTCCCCCCGGTTCAACCATGATGGAGCTGCTCCTTCCCCTAGATAAGATGACGGTATTCTCCCTTAGAGGAAAACCATCTTAAGAGTCTTCATTGCCACGGTAGGCTACTTCATTGCTAGTTGGTATGTAAAATCGGCTGACATCCTTGATAGAATGTACCCAATCATGCTCGATCATGGGGTGGAGCATATATCGTGCTGGTAAGCATCACAGTTTACCACTCGTATGTGTTGCCTACGATAGAGGGTGTGTGACACAATGATGCTAGGAAAAATCAAGTGCAGATGACACGATGAGCCCTGCAGTATGTTTCGTGTTGGTCGATCAATGATGAGAGACAGTCACAGTCACACAGACGTACCGAACTTATTGAGGGTGAGTAAACGCTCTGGGAATATGGAGAGAAGCAAAGACTCCGGCGAGAGTGATGATCCACAGGATACAAAAGACCATAGAGCCCCCAAGAAGGTTATGCTCTAGAGAGATGGCATAGAGAGACGATGCGAGCGCGGGTGACACGGAACGACAAAGGGATGCAGTCATCTGAGCGATGCCATTAGTCGTCCCATAGGCAGATTTCGACGGTGCACTGTCGACAAGATATAATTGCATGGTCCCTATCAGAAAGGATGATGAATCGACTTGAGCTGAATACATAGAAAGGGCCGACTGACCATAGCACAGGAAAAGCATACTGTTGCATGCCAACTGCATTATAAGAACTGTCCATACCCATGCATCGACTATGCCCCCCGCGCGTTTTGTGAGGAAACTCATGAGAGGATACGCGGGGAATACGAGCAACATGCACGCAAATGCGACGACATACAGCCTTCTAGCCCCGAGCTTTTCAACTAAAGGGGCAAATATGATAGACTGTGTAATCCCGTTGATCATGCCCCAAGTGCCCATGATAGCACCTATGGTGAACGGGTCAAATCCGAGACCGCCCAAAGGAATGGACGTGGAGTACGTAAGAGGGAGAAGAACTTGATGAGATTGATCTACCAAGGCAAGAAATGTGTAGTTGATGAGAAGAATGATGAGACGGGGGGTCAAAAGTGAGCGAATTGACGGAGAGGATTCCTCTGAGTCGGGTATGTCAGGAATCATAGATTCGGATGGCAGCTGAGAGTTATTATATGCAGACCCATCGCCATGGTTTAGAAGTGTTGTCGTTTCAGATGCGTATATAGATGATTGCCGTGAAATTTTTTGTTGCTGGCGTTTGATTGCGGCCGGCAGAGTCTGAGTATAACGATTGGTTTGGAGATTCTTATAAATCCCGCGAAAGTGGCGCACCTCTTGCAATCCCATAGCAACTACTGTCAATAGCATAAGAGATAGCAGTCCAGCTACCGCGCAAGGCATGAAATAAGGGTACGATCTCAAGAAGTCAGATCGTCCAAACAACTTCGGCCAACGTTCAGCTGGTCTCGAGAAAAGGCCACCGATCAAAGGGCTACAATGGGACCGTCAATAGCACCCAACATAACGAGGCAATACCCTCGTACCCAACAGTCGCTCCAGCCGCCCATTGTAATGGGATGTAGCCAAATGCACGAGCCATATTTGTCGAGTCAGTCAGTTCTCCCATTGCGCTTTTTGTGACACCTATGTTGCCATTAGCAACTCCCTGTATGAATCGACTGGTGACCAGGAGCCAGAATGTTTTAGATAAACCGAAGCTGAACATAGATGCGGACAATATGACAAGGCCAAACATCAGGACGGGCTTTCTTCCAATTCGATCTGATGCACGGCCCCATTGGACGACAGAAGCCGCTTCTCCAACGAAAAACAACGATTCCTAGCACAGAAAGAATATGAGACCGATGTATCAATATTGAATGAGCTTCATAAAATATGACTGACGATGATACCAGCGTAATAACCTGTTTTCTTTTCGTCACCTCTAGTGATGCCCGTCTCTCGAACAAAGGCATTAACGAAGGGGTAAATGACCGTCGAGCTGACGGGTTCAGCGAACATGATTAGGATGACAAGAAACAACTGCATTTTCGGCAAAGGTGTGCGATGGACCTTGCGATCGTCCCGTGTCATCTGAACATCATCATCATCTGAGGCCGCTGAGAGATCACGGCCCGACTGAACAGACATGTTGATACAGTCCAAGGGGATGTGGAAACGTTTGATAATTAGCCCATCTGTTGATATATAAAGCAAAGATGAGTCAGAATTTTTCCGTCGGAGTGCTACCCTTATTCTCCGCGGCGTCGTTGTTTTGAAGCAGCAGAACGAGTACGCTATTAGGCGATATCAAACACCCGTCAGACATGCACGGACGTCTATTTATCAATTCACATGAGTAAAATATACGCATGACGTATCTAAAGGAATTACTGCCGCGAATGGCGATGACGTGAATCGGAAGACTGTCGGCATGATCCTTCTATGGCGGTTAGAGGCTATCAGAGGGCATTATAGTCATTTTTCATCGACATCTTGTTTCATGACATTTAGTTGTATAATTTTAGACGCTCATGTCCATGCGGTTCGATATCGCTAGGAATCTTTAATATGGACGAAGAAAATGAATTTCGTGACGTACTGTGACCTTAAGACTTCATGGCCACATCACAGCAGCTTTCCAGTCGGTTTAAGTCCTGCAAACTCGCCTTGGGTCCGATCAAAGACAAGTGTTCCTCTCACAAAAGTCTTCAATACTTGACCGGATAAAATCAGCCCCTCATATGGTGTAAGTTTATTCTTGAAATTCAGTGACTTCTTGGTTACCTGTAATTCAAACAGTAAGTGCTCGAAACAACGATGAATGCAGAGATGGTTTACTGTATACTGAATCTCGGGGTCCCAAACGATCAGGTCAGCGTCGTAGCCAGACTGGATACGTCCCTTTCTGTCACTGAGTGCAGCATGCTTCGCCGTTTCTCCACTGGTCCATTCCATGATCTTCCCAATCTCAACACCCCTCTTCCTTCCCTCCGTCCAGAGCAAGCTGAGGCCAAGCCCCAAGGTGCTGATGCCTCCCCATGCAGCCATTATATCTCCCTCGTCGACTTTCTTCAACTCTGCTACGCATGGACTGTGATCAGAAACGACAAAGTCGATCGTCCCATCCTTCAGTGCTTCCCACAAAGCTTCGCGATTTTCGTCATCACGAATGGGTGGGCAACACTTAAATTCGGGGCGACCATGAGGTATCGAAGACGCGGAGAGACAGAGGTAATGGAAACATGTTTCGACGGTAAGTTTACTGCCAGAAGCCTTGGCTTCACGAATGAGGGGTAGACTTTGCGCGGCCGAGAGATGCACTATATGGCAGCGGAGGGATGGGTATGAACGCTGCAATGATGTGATGCGGCTGATTGCATTTATCTCGAAAGTCTGCGGGCGTGAGGAAAGGAATGTGCTGTAGAGGGTGGGATCTTTCGAGGCCTGTTCATCGTCCAAGGTGGAGTCATCGAATTCCGCATGAAACAGTAAGACAGACTCCGTGTTCTTTGAATAGTTCTCGTAAGAGGAAGGACCATGCGTAGGAATCATGTTCCGCACCTCTAAATTCTTCATAGCAGGGTGCAAGTCGCTTTCTGTGACGCATGGAAATTCCTGAAGATAGATCAGAGATGGGGTCTAAAATCTAATAATATTCAATGCACGTACTTCAACCCCGCTCTCTATCATGAAACATTTGAACCCCTTGACTCCAGCTTCGACGAGTGGTTTCAGGTGAGTCTAATGACCGATTGCTCATTCCAGGGGACCGACTCTCGCAGGGAAAGCCTCGAACCTCGTTCCCAGGAATGACACCTCCCCAGAATGCGACATCTGTCCAACATTGGCCATCCGCCGATGCTCGTTTGAGGTTCAGATTCTCTACGGTTGTGGTAGGAGGTATTGAATTGAGCGGCATATCAACGACGGTTGTGACACCGCCCGAAGCTGCGGCACGAGTGCCAGTCCAGAAACCCTCCCAATCCGTACGTCCAGGTTCATTCAGGTGTACATGCGCACTGCGATCAGATCAGCGGGTGAAGCAATCAAAAATCCAGATATCAACGTACTCTACTAGGCCTGGGAGGATGAATTTGTCACCAGCATCCACCCAGTTCACATCTTCAATGCCGGGATATGCATCTCTTCCTCTCTGTTCTTCGTGAATCGCAGTGATCTTACCAGTCTGGATAGATACTTCTATTGTTGCGGGCCTGGGCGAATCGAATCCAGGCAAAAGAGCTCGGCCCGTGAAAACACGCATGAGGGTACTGACGAATGACGAGATAAGAGACAAAAGTCACTTAGATGGACAACGACCCGTGCTGAACGTCGAACGCGGTGAAGGGCTAAATCTGATATTGAGGTCTAGCACCGGGCCGACAAGTGCCGAGTTGAGACATGAGTCCGCCGAGTGTTCGCCGAATTTTATGAGCAAAACCAGCAACTAGCCATTTCGTATACGAGTCACGATTGTAGTACATGTATAAACAGGTCCGAGTTCAACATCGAACAGTTCACCTATCCGTTTCCCAGCTCAAATCCGAGTAACACACCAGGTCATTAATTGACTGGTTTGAGTCTGTCCAGGCAGTAATGCCGTTCCGTCTGGCCTCGCCACCTCCTCCAATGTCGCTTCAACTTTGAACGTGCCCTTCTCGAAAGCCTCTTCCTCCCAGAGCTTCTTCCAACTGTCGGGTGAATGGCAGAACATAAAAATTCCTTTGGAGATAGGTCCTCTCAACCCCTTTACCGTGTTCGACCCATGTTGTCCGAAAATCATGGATCCGGGCTCCGGAGAAAGGAGACCAGCGAATGCCTTGACGAGTTGAAGCTGCCCCTCTTCTGGGAAGATATGGAAGAACGAGGACGCATGTATGGCTGAGACTCGCCCGAGGAGCGGGTTCAAAGAGGTCAGAGACTGAAGATCCGGCGCTGGCCCAGAGGGCGCTGTAGTAACCACGAACGGGGGCACTACTTTGAGGTGGGAAGGGTTGAGCGCATCACCCGGGATAAAAGGCACGGGGAAGCTTTCGGGCGTGTCTTGAAATAGCTTGTACCCTAGGGTCCAAAAGTCTACGGAAGCCTGGTAAGTATCGTAAAGGTGAATGTTGCACTGTTTGGGTACTCACCTTTCTCCAAGTCAGATGCGATAACGTTTTGGACCGGGTATCCGTCTGCAATAGCCTTACGGACATCGTTCCCGACTGGCATTAAAGCACTCGTTATCAGCATGTTAAGAATCGTCGGCACCCCAAACTCACAACAGCAACCTATATCAAGGAGTATTGCGCCTTCCCTTTTCTTACCTAGCTCGAGAAGCGCATCGTACGCGAAAAGACGAGATATCTTCAACCTGCAATGTGTCAATTATGGGATACTCGCGGCAAAAATGTGATGATCGTACTTTGTGAATGCAAAGCGACGGATGCATGGGTACGGATAGACCTATGATACGCCAAAGTTCAGTCAGTAAGGCTAGGTAGTTGATGGAAAAATCAGTGGGTACCTTGAACGCCTCTTCTTGGGCCTCCACAATATGCTTCTTTAACTGTTCGTCGTCTGTGATGCCGGTCTGAGATTTGAAGAAAGCACTCTCAGCGTCATCTAGATTGTAAAACATGATATCCTGCAGAGGAAGCGCTCCGAATTCAGCTCGCAAGGTGCCCAAACGGTCGGTCTCGGCCATGCTGCGAATATTCTTCACAAAAAAGGAGTCTGTGGTAGAGGTCGTAGTGAGATGCGGCGAAGGACTCCATATACTCGAACGGCCTTTTAAACATACCTGACCATGCTTTCCGACGGGAGTGCCGTCGGCACACGTTTTGACGCTATAAGCTGTCGTTCGCTTGTCATATATATAGCATAGGACGCCAGGTGTTGTCCGACGGAAGGGACGCCCCAAGATATGAGGGTCGCTCCGCTGGGTGTGGTACCGATGGCACTGTCCGTCGGAAAGAGTGATAAACCACCCCCTAGCATCGTTGCGGATTCGGAAGGGGGGTGAAAGATATGACGATGCCCAAGGACAACGCGCCATCGGATAGCGTCCATACCATTGTATATTTGGGAAAGAGAAAACTCACGTGTAAGTCATATAGACGCCAACACCGTGCTTTGCTTCGTGCTGCCGATGGCAGAAGTTCCTTGTTCTTCGGGTCGAATCATGTCGCTGAATTGGAAGCCATGATACAGGACAGCATCGCTCGTACGATGAGCTTCAAGACCACGGACCGTAAAAACGTTCTACCATACAAGCCGCGTCTTAGCTGTTCAGGTATCGAGCAACCTCAACAGGTCCGCCGTGAACTCGGCCAGCCCCTGGTCAAATCCGAGTGACACACCAATCCATCATGTAAAACTTCCTTCCAGCTTCTTCGGGCAGCACGGACGCCAAATCTGGTCGCTGCACCTCATGCAGCGTCGCCTCGACTTTAAACGTGCCCTTCTCGAAGGCTTCCTCCTCCCAGAGCTTCTTCCAGCTGTCAGGCGAGTGGCAAAACATGGCATAGTCTCCGACGATAGGATTTCTTAGCCCTTTCACCGGCCGCGACCCATGCTGTCCAAATATAATGGATCCCGACTCCGGAGAGAGGAGACCAGCGAGAGCTCTGACCAGATGAAGCTGCCGTTCTTCTAAGAAAAGGTGGAAGAGGGAGGACGCGTGTATGGCCGATACTCGCCCAAGGAGTGGGTTTAGAGAGGTCAAGGATTGAAGGTCCGGCGCTGGTCCGGAGGGCGCCGTAGCCGTCGTGAACGGGGGTACTACTTCGAGGTGGGAGGAGTCGAACGCATCGCCCGGAATGAAGGGAACGGGAAACGTCTCGGGGGTATCGAGGAAAAGCTTGTGACCTAGATCCCAGAAGCCTAGGTAGGAACGTCAGCCTTGCAGTGCTAAGATGACGCGGTAAGATCACCTTGTCTCAAGTCAGACGCGAGCACGTTCTGGACCGGATACCCGTCCGCGACAGCTTTCCGGACGTCGTTCCCGACTAGGGTTCAAAGGTCTTATTGAGAGGTATTGGAATTTGTGGGATATAGGACTCACAACAGCAGCCGATGTCGAGAAAGATTGCGCCCTCCCTTTGCTTGCCTAGATTTAACAAGGTATCGTATGCAGAGATTCTCGATATTTTTAACCTGCGATTATTTGTTAGGATCATGCAATGTCGACGAGTCATGGCCATACTTTGTGAACGCGTAGTGACGAATGCACGGGTACGGATGAACCTGATATATGGTGATACTGTGTAAGAAAGTTGGCAGCAGCTGGCCGACAGTGAACTATTACGCACTGAAAAGGCCTGTTCTTGGATCATCACAATATGTTTCTTCAGCTGTTCATCATCGTGGATGCCAGTCTGAGATTTGAAGAACGCGCTCTCCGCGTCACCGAGGCTATACAAACTCTCTTCCAAGGGAAGAAAATAGTGTTGCGGTATGAATCCCTTCGCGCTCTTCTCGTCTTCAGGCATATTCGACTGTGGATCTGCAGTGTGGCCGTGCGAGAGATGGACGAGTCGCATCACGACGGATCATCTTATAAACATACCTGACTACGCAAGCCGATGGGAATGTCTTCGGCACAAGTCAGCGTCTACGACCAGGTATAGGAGGTTTTGTCCCAAAGAAGTGATTTCAAGGCACTTGATTAGCGTCTGAAGATACGATAAGAATAAACGTTCTATGTTTGGAGGATGACGGCTGACACCACGACAGTGCTCATGTGAAAGAGGGCTTCGCATCGTCTGAAAGCCCAAATGCGGCACATTGATCGAAGGAGTGGTGTCTCGAGATGCCATGCGCAATGGAGTCGTGTTCGAGCGAATATGTATACTGATTCTATGCTGGTAGTATCCAAGACGAACCAAGAATCGCAGATGAGTGATGTCAGAGAACCGGAACGTCTTGGTTGTCTGAGACAGTTCGAGTGCCTGATAGTTGGAGGCCGCAGGTTGAGGATCCGAATGCCCAAAGCAAAACCGAGACCGCCAAGAAACATGACCGTCAGATCTAAGCTGACGTTGGGATCATGTTAGTCAGCGGAAGGGCTGCGGAAGGTCATCCGCGATGGCCTTCCTAACGCCATTTCCCTCTGAAGAAATCAGCACGAACACAGAACGGCAGCGGCCGACATCAATAAAGACAGCTCCTCTATTTCTCGATTAAAGGAACTGCTGCGGGCAACGTAAATGGAGGAATAAGCAGTCAACCAAGCGCTCAGTGCGAACTGCCGCTTGCTCACCCGATCACCGCAGCAGCTTGTATTATGCATGGAGCAAGGATCCGCCTATCAAGCGAATCCACCGAGGATGGCGGAAGCTATTTTCATCCAAGCCTTAGTATTAGCTCGTAGTACTGTACTCTCCTAGTAGACGGCGACGAGAGAAGCAAGTTCGGCTTGGCCTGCACAGCCAGGACAGGCTCCTCGAGTTCGACTTGGCATCATCGCCAATCTCTGTCAGAAGCGGCCCCTTCCTCATTCGAATCGCAGAGGTGCGTTTACAGGCGGTTTGTACTGGTAGTGCCAGATGCGTAAGAGCTTTGTATGGCCATGGGGTAAGCGGAAGCTCCCAGTACCACGGCCCCGAAATGGCATGGTGTATGTCCAGAGAACAAGAGGTCCAACGCAGACCGACGTTGCCCGACAGGTCATAGTGCCCGTCGCACACAGATTTTGTGCTACGGTAGAGGAAAAGCCCCTCAGGAGAGCGGATACTGCATCGAGACTGGCACTCCGACTCGCGGCCTCGCGTTGGAACTGGGAAGGAGCAATCGCACCTTCATCCGTCCGTCGGGAACGGCATGGCCCATCCCATCTCTGATTCTCCCGTAAGTGCCGCCGAGAAACGCTGCACAAGCAGCGCGCACAAGAAGAGTTTCTCGCTACAAATATGTCGGACATGACGAGACGTTCGAGGGCGCACACAAGAGTCACGCACTACAAATACGCCGGATATGAGCAAACGTGCAAGGGACGCTGAAGAAGGGCTCTGACAGACCTTTCAAAAACCAAGGTCGCGTCTTCCTTGGTGCTCTTGGGGCCCTTGGTGTCCATCGAGTCCCATCCACGCGGAGATAACAGAGGGCTAGAACGTGTATACGCACCATCGGAAACGTATGCAGGCATTCCCGTGGCCTCCAAGGACCTCCAAATGAAAGCGATAGACACGTACACGTGGCCGCGATGGTAGACCCCTCTTGCATAGGAAATCCGTCGCCGATTCTGGAGAGGTGCTCGCGCCCGCCGTATCACTGTCCGAACACGAACACCGGGACCGAGCCAGCAGCGCCACGGCGCTGTCCCATGATCCTGGCACCACTCAATCCGATAGGCACGCAACGTGCACGTCAGTCCGGGCGCACTCCCTGTCCCTAAGCATTACGCCCAGAGAAGCCGATATTGATCCTGACATATGGAACTCCGCTGCAGCGTCTCGTCCGTCGTCGCACTCGCGCGCGCTTCTGGACAGTACGTCCCAGCGCACGCCGGCTACCCCTCCCTCGGGGCCACTCTCAGATGGCCTCACGCCTCTCCATTCGTCCTGCCCGAGGCATTCAATTGCGCGTCTCCAAGGACACGCTCTGGAGTTTACACGTGCGCGCGGCCGCCGGTCGGCCACTCCGTCGGCGCACCTCATCCACGTGCAGCGCGCGTCGCAGTCTTCGTCTCTCAGACCGTGGCGGGCGTCGAAGCCTGTCGAAGCCCCCACCCCAGGGGCACCCGCTTGGCGGGCGCCTTCGCCTAGCCCCGCAAATCCAGCCAATTCGATTCTATCCAATTCCCTGCGAGGCATATCAGCCCTCTTGGCAACCCGATCGCGCTTGGCAGATTCAACAAAACGCGGTGCGCAGCGCGCGCTGCGCCAACCCTGTCTTCGTCTGTCTTCTCTCGTCTTCTGAGGTCATCCTTGGCCGAATGTACGCGTTCGTGCGGCCCCGCGTCCGCGTCCAGCCGATTTGACCCGAAAGAAGAAAGAACGAAGCGCGCGAGATCGTCGAGGCGCGAACCTTGCAGTCGCAGTTGCGCTGAGCCCGAGGAGGTGATGTCGCGGTGCAGAACTCAACGCATTGGAAGTGCACGGAAAGTTCATGCATCCTAGCCCGTGCGCACGGAGAGGTGTGGGTCCCGCCGACGCTATCCGATGTGGATCTGCTGCCCCTGCGCACAGCAAACCGCAAAAAGCAAAGGTCAGGAGTCCTGGTGATACAAAACACGGGTCGGGCAAGACGTACACGAGGCGACGTGGGCTGATGCCTGCGCAGCTGCTCATGCACCATCTCGATCGTATCAGATTTCATATAGCCCCAATATCCTTACATAGAACGCAGCAAGGCGTATCCTCTTCTCGCCCGGCGAGCGAGCGATAATCTGGGCACAAGCGAGTGACGAACGGGGCAGGCAATGTGACCTCCGCCCACGGCCCTCCGTCAAACAGCGTCCTAAGTTTAGGACGAAGTCTATCTGATGAGCACCTAAACATTACCACTGTGTGGGAGGGGAAGAAGCGGACGGATATATGCGCACCTGAACGCGTACACGCGCGAGGGTGCGCCGACTGGGCCGACCGCGGACGGTCCCCGCATACGCGACGCATGTACGCCTCGCTCTCGTATGCACCCCCGATTTCTAATTTGAGCTGCGGTGTGCGAGCCACAAGCGATTGAGCGTGTGCGTATGTGCGCGCTGCTGTGGGTTCTTCTTGATGACGTGCAGTCCGGTAGTATATTTAGGTCTACGGATGGAGACTCTGCTTCGGGAGTGGTATAGAGGGTCACGACAAGAGGGAAAGGTGCAGTTAACAGGGTCGATGCCGTCATAGCTCCCGTGCGGCATGGCGATGCTCCTAGACCGGGCAGGAGCGATGCGCAGCAATAATAGCAGCCCACGAGAGGTCCGTGTGATAGACGCAGATGGGCTCGTGGGCAGGTGTCAGGCACTGATAAGTGTGCCGAAGGCTAGTTACATGTCGAAAAGCAGCATGATGGACGTCAACTCGACTGGGATGCAAAGAGAGCCTCGCGCAGGTTCCGTGACCCATTGTACATCATGGAGCCTGTGAGGGTCGGTGCAAGGCTGTGGTGCCAAGATAGAGAAGCGCCGTGGATGACGAAGTTGGCCTGTTGGAGATCTGATCGCACATCAGTCGGGCCACATGCGTGTGCGCAGGACGAGGTTCAACACCAAAATCATGGGCACCAGGGCAGAGACTCATAGAGCTATTACGAAGGAGGGCGGCATGATAGGCCGTTGAGAATTGGGCGCAAACAGATGGGTCTGAGAGGGCGCAAAGCGAGCTGCGGTGCCTGCGGTCCCAAGATCCCGCCGAGGTCGGGTTTTGCGGAAGTGAAAGGCGGGAACGCAGACGGGCGCGGCGGGGATCGGGACCAAGCCCTCCCAAGTGAGCGTGGGCAGCGTCTGAGCGCGTTGGATTCGCGCGCGCACGCTTCGGGTCGGCGCGATACGGATGCACACACGACGACGTATATCCGTCGATTGAGCCCAGAAGGAGATGCCTATGACGTGACGTGTCCTTCTGTGCGACAGAGACGGGGGAGCGGTAAAGGGCCCACGAGGATAGCTGGAGGGAGAATCCGAGCGCCCGAAGCTGAGGATTGAACGGGCCACCAGCAGACGCGACCGAGCCTCTCCTGAAGCCTAAAGAAAGAGCCAGAGAGAACGAGGGAGAGATAGCACGCGATCGAGGAGCGCGCGAACGGACCAAGTCGGGAATGGTGTGAGAGAGCGGTTTATCGTGCTCGGCACGTAGGACACGGAGACTCGAGAAGGCGAGAACGGGGGCTGGATGACTGATCACCGAGAGGATGATGGTAAGAACTTAGCAATCAAGCGCGCAGCAGGGCGACCTCAACTGCACCCTCCGCACGGGCACGACGGGTCGCCGAGGCGTGGATTTGAGAGCGCACGGTGTCGAAAGAGGGCATAGGGCACGTTCCAGTGGGTGGGTACCGGGATCGATCAGCGCAGTCGCTGGCTGGATGAAGTGGGGAGAGGGTTGTGGGAGGGCCGCATGGAGGCGCCGCGGAGGAAGCGAGAGGGTGGACGGATGTGGGGATCGGGACGCCATAAATGAACACGGAGAAGCGGGATGCCATCTGTGAGAACGGGCGTCGAGGGCCGGCGGCTGCAAAAATAGACGGACGTGCCAGTTGGTACGTGCCGTCGGTCGCAGAGAACGAGGGCCGGCGGGGCCACTGCGAGAGCTGGGGAACTTACAGTAGCGGTGGCGGCGGGGCTGGGGGGATGCCGGCCGAGAACGGAAGCTGGGGCCAGTGCCGGGATGCCGAGCCAATGCAAGCGGACGGTGCCCTACGGTGCCTCGGGGCCAGAGAGCCGGGGACGATGTCTTGGCGGAGCTTGGCGGGCTTCGTCGCCAAGGGGGGACGGTGCTTGGCAGAGGCTGGGCGCCAAGCGGGAGAGCAGACCGGTGCCCGTTTAAGACTTCGCTCGCGCACTCGCCGCCTCCGCTCCCCAGCCGCTCCAGCAATGTCCGCCTCTGCCTCGCCGCACACAGCACCAGATCCGTCCCAGCTCGCAGACACAGACATCCCCTCCCCCGACACCCACACCTGTCTCTGGATCGACTGCACGAAGAGCCTCCCCGACCCAGAGGCCCTCTACAACCACCTCTGCAACGACCACATCGGCAGGAAGAGCACAAACAACCTCTGCCTCACCTGCAGGTGGAAGGACTGCGGCACAACATGCGCAAAGCGCGACCACATCACAAGCCATCTCAGAGGTACCGCCCCGCCCTGCCCCGCCCCTCTCCTCCCTCGCGCCCTCTGCTCACCCCCCTCGTCCAGTCCACACTCCCCTCAAACCCCACACTTGCGAGGTAAACATCCGCCCCTGTCCCCCCTCTCCCGTCAATCTCACTCTTTTCCCCCAGATCTGCAAGAAATCTTTCAAGCGGCCGCAGGACCTCAAGAAGCACGAGAAGATACACACAGAAGAGCACCATGCCCAGCACAAGCACTCAAAGGCGGTCACCGTCCCAGATCCACCCGCCGCCCGCCGTCGCGAGTCCCTCTCCATCGACAACTCCGACCACAACCGCTCCCAGGACTACTCCAGACACCACAACGCTCGCTCTCGCTCCATGTCCTCCCATCCCTCCCTAGGTCCGTTCTTCTCCCTCTTGACCGTCCGCTTCCGCTCACCCGTTCACACAGCCCACCACCCCGGCATCCTCCCGACGCCCTCCCCTGAAATCATCCACCCCCAAGCATATGCCCATCATCACCTCTCCCAGCAACCTTCCGACCCCCGTTTCCTCCAGAATCAACTCCCCACCTGGGAAGCCCTCCGCCCCGACGGCACCGCGACCCAGTCCACAGGCTCCAAGCGTGCTCACGACGCCTATGCCGTCGACGACTTTTTCGCCGACGTCAAGAAGCGCCGCGTGAACCCCTCCTATGACTCGAGTAAGCCGGCCCTGGCTGATTGCTCCCGACCACTGACCTAGACCCACCCCTCCTCTAGGCATGGCCGAGCGTCTCAGCAACCTGGCCTACATCCAGAACATGGCCGGCGCAGGCACAGAAGACCTCAACGGCTTCAATCCGCGCTCCGTCTCCCTCGACATCCGCTCTCCCGAGGAGCTCGCCGCCGTCAACCAGTTCCTGCTCACCCTCGGCCGCGACGTCGAGGCCGGTGTGCACCCGCGTCACACCTCCCACACAGTGAACAGCAGCGCGTATTCTCCGTATCAGAACTACTTTGACCATGCCCAGCTTGCGCAGCTCGGCCTCGCAGGCATGCCGGGCATCCCCTCGCCGTACCCCCACGAGCCCCAGGCCGCCTTTGCCCAGAACGCCGCCCCCAATCACTATCAATCCAACGCGTTCTACCCCGCGCCGAGCACCTCGCGCCTCAGCCACCCGCCCGCGTCCGCGCCGCAGTACGGCCAGATGTACCCCTCCGTGCACGACCTCGCCGCCTCTGCCTACGGCGGCAACCCGCACCACGGCAACGCGTACGACCGCCGCCTCTCCAACCACGGCCCACACGGCCTCACGCCGCTCGTCCACGGCTCCTCGCTCAACGCGCCCTTCCCCAGCGCAGCCTCGTACCAGTCGCCCGCGAGCCACCTCCACCCGACCCCGCCGCTCGAGATGTCCAGCTCCCCGCACTCGTCCCTCTCCTCCCCCTCCAACTCTACCCCGCCTCATCTCTCCGCGGCCGAGCTCGGCCCGTACGAGCCCCAGCTCCGCATCGCGCGCGGCGTGCCCCCGCCCGCGCACCTCGCCCCCGTCGACTACGGCAGCAAGGCCATGCGCACCATCGTCCCCCTCAAGTCCGTCCCCGCCGCGGAGCGCGCCTCTGCGCCCGGGCCCGCCCGTGCGCCGCCACCGCCACCGGCCTCATCACAGCGTCCGCGCGAGGCTGCGCCCGTCGCGGCGGCCTCGTCCACGAGCGATACGCTCTACCCGTTCCTCACTTCCGGCGACAGCGACCTCAAGCTGCCCCCGCTCCAGCACCGCTTCCGCTCGCCCTCGCCGTCCCCCGCACCCTCGTCCACAGCACTCCCACGCTCCCCGCCCGCGCACTCCCATTCCCCACCGCCGATGCTCCCCAGCCTCCGCTCCATCACCACCCCCGCCGCGGCCTCCAGCCCGTCCTCGCGCCCCTCGTCTTCTTCAAGCGCAGTCGGCGCCGGCGCAGAGGATCGCCTCGCGCGCAGCGTCGGGCGGCTGCAGCTCGGGCGCGACCGAGACGAGCCCGGCGGAGGCAGCGCGATCGGGCCGGAGCACCGCCGGCGCCACGCCGCGCTCATCCGCGACCTGCTCGTCATGATCAACGGGCGGTACAAGGAGTACGCGCGCGTGCGCAGGGCGGCGAGTCCGGGTCCGTCGCCGCGGGACGTGGAGATGGCCGTGGTGTAGCCCGCTCGTGGTGAGCCGACCCTCAGAGCCGAAAGTGGAAACGCCGAGTTGTACGATTAGATGCTGATGCTGATGCTGGTGCTGAGCTGCTTTCCGTTGTTGTTCTCTCGTGGTATCTTACTGTATCCCTCACGCCCTCTTACTATGTTTATTCCGTTCGCCCTTCGTCGTGACGCATGTTTCGCCTCGCTGTTGTTCTCTCACTTACTCACTTACAAGTATCGCCTACTTACTTGCTGCACACGCTCCGTCATCACCGCGCACACGCGATCAATCGATATCGAAGTTCATCGCATACCCGCTCGAGGATCCATAAATCATACACCGAAAGAAAAAGAAACATCATCCCCGTCGCGTACACGACCCTCGTCAGGCCGCCCGCCTGCCCAGCGTCAGCTTGATCTTCGGCGCCCCGCCGCCCAGCGCGGGCGTCGCCGGGCCCTCGTACCCGTCTTCGCTCATCGCGAGCGACGACGACACGGGCGGGCTCGTCGCGAGCGGCGAGGGCACGGCGGCGGGGTGCCCGAACGCGCTGGGCCCGCGCAGGCTCGCGATCTCGGGGCTCAGCGCGAAGCTCACGTTCGGCGTCGGCGGCGCCGCGGTCGGGCTCGTCGCGGACGCGGGCGTGCCCACGGCGGGGGGCGCGCCCGAGTTGAACTCGGCCCAGCGGGGGCACTTGCGGTTCGTTTCTGCGCGCGCGTTCGTTCGTTCGTTCGTTCGTTCGTTTGTTCGTCGGTGTCTGTCCGTTAGTCCTTGGCTCGACAGAGGGCGACGAGATCACGGCACGCACTCATGTGGCCCATCTGCCCGCAGTGGCCGCACCGCCTCTGTCAAACGCCAAAGACGCACGCCGATCAGGCCAAGCCCACCCACCAACACAAGACGAATAGATTGCGGCCTTGCGGCAGATTGTGCTCACCGTCGTGTCCGGCTTGACGGGGCGATTGAGCGTCATGGGCGTCCCACCCTCCTTCGCGATCTTGGCGTTCTTCCGGTGCAGGCGGCGCTCCTGGTTTTTCTTCATCCGTGCGATCTCCTCCTCCAGCCTAGAAGCGCCCGGCGCCGAAGACGTAAACGGGCAGTGCCACGACGCAAAGTGCCAGATGTCAGCCCGCAGATCCGTGATCGTATGAAAGACATATGAAAAGAGCTGAAAATTGAAATAAAGACAGGAACCCGACGTGCACGAGCAGATGGCCCAATCGGGGAGGAGACAATACAGCACAGGGACGACAGAAGGAGAAAACAGACGCACCGCTTCTTCGCCCGTTTGTCCTTATCGACATCGCCCGTCGGCGCTAGGCTATCCGCCATCGTCGTCTCTTCCTCAATGGACTGTCGTCGTCGCGCATAGGCCCGAATGACCGCCGGATCCCGCACAATCTCCGTCTTCCACTCCCCGTTGACCTGTGGCGCACCACCTGTCAGCATGAAACCTGGTGACAATGACGAGCGGTGACGCACCTTTCGCTTGATCCGCATGACCCTCCTGCTGTCGGGGCCCACGCTGACCTCCCGGTCAATCGATGATGCGCGACTGAACGCGGGCGAGGGCGCAGCTGTCACTGGCATCGGCGACCCTATTGCAGAATACGCATAATCTTCGCGCTTCAGTCTGGCACCGAACGGCTGGGACAGCAGTCCCTTCTTGCCGTTCTTTGCGTCCTCCTCGTCCTCGGAGAGCTCGGGCTCGTCTTTACGGCTGAGAGACTGGAATTGGGCTTTCCATATCCGCTCGATTTCGGACTTGTAGATCTGTTGCTGCTCAGCAACGTTGTATCGATGAGCGGACTTGGGGCGGTTTTCCGCCTCGGCTGCGATTCAATAGGTGTTAGGTATTCTTCAAGCGCGCGTCGCCGAGGAGCGCACCTAGTTTCTGCTCGTAATCTTCGCCGGCCTTGACAAAGATGTCCTTCATCGACACGCGGATGAAGCTGAATCCTTCGCCGCGCCCGGTTGGGTCTCCTTCGCCGTGGAGCCTGAGCATCGCTTTGGCTTGCGTTGCGAATAGGAAGTTCTTGGTGGTGATCCAAGGCGCCAACTGCTGCTCGATGGACAAATTGGCCTCGTCGTCATCTGCCTGCTCTGTCGTACCGCTGTAACCCGCATCCTGCAGATGGCGCTGGCCGACCTGCATGCTTTCCGACAACACCACTTGTTCTGGGCCCACCATCTTGAGCATGTCTGCATCGCTTGGGATGACCCATCCCGGTTTGAGACGCCAGAAGCCCTGATGTGGTCCGCGCCTATGGTACTCCATGAATTCCTATAGATGACTGTTCGTTAATATGGCTGCCGTTGGCGGTGGGGTCTTCACTCACCTTGAGCCGTTGCCGCATTTGCAGCTCATTTTGATCTGGAAAGTACTTCATCAGCCTGGCAATCTTCAAACGCTCGCCGTTGCTCTTCTGAAGCAGCTTGTATGCGATGATTTGCAGGCGGTATTTTATGGTGTTGGTGATCTTCCTCGAATGTGGCCCAGGGACTTCGGTCACAGGGTACGTCTGTCCCACTGTGAACAGATTCTTGATCTCGCGAATATAGTATCTTGCCTCGCCCTTGATGGTATTTCTGGACATTCATTCAGCGCGGACTGGGGTCTGGTAGATCAGGAGACTGACTTGATGACCAAGAAATCTGTGTGTTGTGGTTTATGTCGAAACAACGGCGCGCGAACAAGGTTACTGTAGAGAGCGGGGACGGTTTGACCAGGATAGACATAACCGAATTTCATAAAGGGCGACTCGTCCTGAGGCTCGAGAACAAACGGTGCACCAAGGTCCAACTTGCCAGACAACTGAGATTAAACCGACTAGGTGCGATGTCTTCTACATACCTTGGGTACATGATCGTCTTTCTCGTTCTTCTTGCGGTAGTAGTTGACGAGGATGCTGCCCATGCCAAAACTGGACATGATAGGTGGATGTTCTTCCTGTTCAAGTGCCAGCCCATCAATCGCACGTAAACTCACCAGTATCAGGAGTACGAACGGAGAACTCCCAGAGTACAAAGTTGCTTGTGTCCCTCAAGCTCAAGTCACTTGTCTTGCGTAACCCTTCCCCGACATTGCCTCCACGTCCGACCTTCCTGCCAGCTTTGTCCTTCTTCTTCTTGGCTGTGCGCACCTTACTGAACCGCAGTTCGATATTGGAGGGGAATTGTAGAGCTGGGCGATGGAAGGATCGTGCCTCCTGCTTCAACAAACGTGTTTTGTACTACAAAAGTTATATGTAAAGTTATGTGCATCATGATGAGAAAACGGGACGCTTACGAAGGGCAGTTGAAGTTTCTGTGCAGGGTAAGCATGCTCGACAACAAGTTGGCCAAACGTTTGGCGAACCCGATGGCGTCCACCTTCCTTCGCAACCTCATAGAAATGATCATTTGAAAGGTTGAACTTATCTTTCGCCTGAGCATTATCAAGCCTGAGGCGCTTTCTTGGCCGTGGATCTTGGGCTGGAAAGCGAAATCAGAGACGTCAGACGATTGGATAAAACTCCGCATACTGGCGACGCGTTCTTCGGAGACGGCATCCTCCCCGCTGTTGAATTCGAGCTGCGTGAAGTCACGGAATGGCGCTCGTGGGCTCCAAATGATGCTCTGTGTCCAAGCACCGGAATCGAGTGCTTTGTTTACAGGTGTCGTCAAGTCTGTGTGGACGGGCTCAACAGGTGACATATATTCCTCCGGTTCGTAAATGATTTGATCCTCCCAGTTGGAGAGTAGAACGAGATCGAACGAGCGATCGTGGAGGGGAAGTGAGACGGGCACCTCTGATTCTCCACGCTCCTGGTTGTGTGCGTCAAAACTAGTATCCCTATGCGCTGTTCAAAGGATTTTTTACCTCAATAGCAAGACGAAGATCGTGCTCAATGCTTCCTGAAGAGACGGACTCCTCGACACGTTCGCTTTCTACGCGTCTCTTTGTGTCCCCTACGATAGTTTCCAGAAACGCCTTGGGCACGTCTTTCCGCTTGGAATAGACCGTTTCCACTGCGGAATGGTCAAATTCAGGGCACTTTTTGACCAGATAGGCATCAACGTACTCTGGAGTGGCCGTCTCATCACACGTGGCTTCGTGCCGGTGTATCCCTTGAAAAGCTCTGTGAAATCCAAGATTTTGTTCTTCTCGAACATCGGAAACCGTTCATATACGGTCTTTGGGCGCTCCACAAATCGCCTGACAATACGAACACGTTTTTTTTGGAGATTGCTCGCCTTTGGAGACTCTACCTCCGTCTTCACAAAGGATTCCTCCTCCTCCTCTTCCTCTTCTAGTTCACGATTCACCTCATCTTCATAATCCTCGCCTTCTCCCTCTCCAACAGCACCGTCGTTGTCCCACTTGCCATAGATTTGACTGGAGTTCAGGGATGGAATACCAGATATCCCGAGTTGATTTGAAAGTGCAGAGCCAGACGGCAAAGAGAGTCCTGTGAGGACGTGATCAATCGAAAAGCCAGTCAACGCCGATATAACTTCATTCTCATCCTGTCGCCGATGCAATAAGCCAATTACAGTGCGATATGACCGAGGAAACCTACATGGACAGGCTTGGACATTTGTTACGAGTAGAAAGCAGGCCAAGTGCGTGACTATTATATAATGATATCCTTGATACGAGCGCTTCGTATCGAAGATAAAGAAGTCGTTGGCTGTCGTGAAGATAGAAATGGCAAGCGTTCAGATGAGCCAGTGAGCAGTGGCGAGCGGAAGCGCAAGTCTCAGCGCCACGGCACCCATAAGGCCAAACAAGAGCAGCACAAATGTCGAGAAGCATGCTGACTCAGAGAAACGCGCGTCACGAAGTCCAGATTTAGCGCTTAGCTTGCTTGCTCTTCTTCCCCGCCTTCACCATGGCAGGTCAACCCAAGGTCGATGCAGACACTGCCGCACAACTTGAGGTCTTTTTCTCATCTGAACAGGATGTCACACTATGCTCATGATGACATCCACAGGAATTTCGCAAAGCGGTCGCCGCCGAAGCAGACATAGTCATCTTTCGCACATTTCCGAACAAAGTACGTTGGTCTGGGCTCTCGTCTTTTCCAAACGAATGAATTTGTTTCCTGCAGATACTGTAAGAAAATATGTATATCGTGGCACGCTCTCTTCGCGCCTTACGACCCTATCATCTCAGCCAGCTACAACAACTGATCGACTCCACGTCGTCTACATCTTCTCCCTTCCATCTCTCACATGCGTCGTCATCGACCGATGCCACTGTTTATCCACCTCCTGGATCCGTCGACTCCTCTCAGGAGCCCGATGCAAAGAAACGGAAGAGAGCTACTGATGATAAGGGCGTAGCCGTCTCTAACGCTAATGGTACTCACCATGCACGCTTCCCTAACCTCATGTTGTCGAACAAGCACCTGGTACAAGTTCACGCGAAAGTCAAGGAAGAATGCGAGCACCTCGCTGAACTCTGTGTGGGTAAATCTATAAATGTGGACTCGCGTTTATTTGATGCACTTCTCACAGGACAAGGTCAAACTTTGGATCAACCTCACCATGCCAAAGTGCGTTTCGATATTTACCTTCACCGATCATAATGCTCATCTTCGACAGGATTGAAGAGTACGTGCCACTGCCCTACTGTGCGTCTTTGTGTCCCAATAACGATCTGCTGTTATCATCAGTGGTGATAACTTTGGTGAGTGCAATGGCAAGCCATGTGCAAATTACCGAGACTGATGGTTTGTGCGTAGGCGTGCAAATCCAAGAAGGTTCGGCCTTAGAGCTCAAGATGAGGACACGGAGCTGATTTCAGTACTCTTGAACAGAGGTTTTGAGTGAACTTCACCGTTCTCAAGAAAGCGCATACAACCTTCGCGACGGTGCCCGACAAAGCCATCTCAATAGAGCTAAGATTGCCTCAAAAATCATCAAGTACCCACATATCGAAGATTATGCTGTGAGTCCTGTACTAATTGAACGCTAAGCGCCCAGAGGTGACGTAGCCATACAGCTTGCTCTGAAGGAGCACGATGAGAAACAGCTGTACGTTGCACGCCAAAATCTTTTCGACTTACGAAACATCTACGCCGTCATCTCCGACATCTTACACAAGAACATTGCCAAGGTCCCTCTCCAATGCATTTCTAGAATTTGGGACAGCGAATAATTGACCTCCGCCTCCCAGATTCGTTCGCCCAAAGGCAACAACGGCGCCTCCCTCTACTAAGGCTTGCTGAGCATATCGCTACTTTTCCAAATCCTATCGCATCCTCGAGCATAGTGTAAGCCCGCGAGTAATAGCAACACGACGTGTCCAATACAACAAGTATATGCAGGATGAAGCCGATCATACAGAGATTGTCTTGAAGATGTTGAATCCATCGAGCGCCGTGCTGATGACCGTACCCGGCATCTGGGGATGCCAATGCACCTCCTTGACATCTTTTTGTCCCTGGTGAACAAAGAGGAGTTGGGGTGGGACATCGTGCCCTCCTTCCGGTGTCGCATCCATCTCACCAGTTTCGTCATCGTCCTGCTCTACCGCCAAATCCCACAAAGTGATTTGGTCGTCGGCGCCCGATGCTGCAAAGATTGAATCTTCCGTGGGATGCCATTCGACCGACGTGATGGCTCCACGATGCCAGGTAAAGGAGGCTACGGGTGTTGGGTCCGATGTGGCAGCACTAAACCAACGGGTGAGTGAGTTATGAATGCACGTGTTGGGTGGGAAATAAAAGGTTTGGATTACCCCTGCTTTTTTATATTCCGCAAGTCCCACACCTTAAGGCCCCCCTCGTCTCCGCCACTGACCAGAAGATACGAGGTGCTCCGATTCCAGCTGATAACATTGACATCACTGCTATGTGCCGCATCTATCCCTGCCACGCTTTGCCTTCCTCGACTTCGCACGTCCCAGACCCTTACACTTTGATCCGCTGAGCACGATGCAAACACCGTCGGTTCAGAAGGACTCCATTGAAGATCCTCGATGCTGGACGTGTGTGAAGTAAACGGCTGCGAGAGGGTGTTGAAACCAGACGAGGTAGATGTTGTCAAATAAATCTTGGAGTGAACGTCTCCGGTCAGTAGGCGAAGACCAGAAGGATTCGCACTGCCAGATGAAGCCCAGTCCATAGCGAAGCCCTCTGCTCTCCCGTGGGAGCTGACAGTAAAGACGGGCGCTTGCGTGCGGGTTTTGTCATACGTGTAACCTGGGACATCCAGTGACTCGATCAGCGGTCGGACATCCCAAATATGCACTTTTCCCGTCTCAGACCAAGTCGCGACATGGTAAGGCTGAGAGGCTGGAGGAAGAGGCTGCGATGCGGGAAGTGGTTGGACTCGCACGCGATTCACGCCGCCCATGTGCGGTATCGAGCGGGATTCGAGTATGGCGTCTTCGTCCAGGTTGTCGTCGTCGTCGTTTTCATCGTCTGAGTCGTCGCTATCTGCGAGGTCACAGATTCTGAGCAAGCATACTATTGAATGAAAGATTTAGTGTCACCTCCATCTTTTTGTGTCCGGTGCAAAGAGCTCAGCTTGTATACTGTCAGCTCGTTATTTTTTGCGACGTCTGCTTGGGTCCCAGCAACGAGGTAAGCTGTCGCAGGGTATCGCTGTCGCTGGTCCCCAAGATTGTCACGTAGCACGTCAAACGACAGACAAGGCCAGTTGACATTCATCGAATGTCGTATGATATACACAGAGTCGTCGGGTTCGAGGATCTCATCTTTTCCCAATTGATGAACGCCCGGAAGGAAAACATTCGGTGCGGAAGGTTTCTCCTCAGACTCTTCAATAGGGGGCATCACATCGTCCACATCCATTCCTGTTCACTTAACGAGTTGAGTTACACGATAGAATATGAGCAGAAAAGACAGACCTTCATCAGCATCCTCCTCGCTGATCACGTCGTCCTCGATCTCGTCCTCCCAGGCATCCTCAAACTCGCCCATCTCATCATTTGCGACCGCGCTTTCACGCGTCAAGCCATTGCGACTAGCCTTGGCCGAGGAGGTGGGAAGATCAGCAGCAGCACGCTTGGACATTATGAACGGTGAAGGATCTAGAATCAAAATCTGAAAACGCGTCCATCTACAGATAACCACGTGCGTAAACAAAAATACGACTGCCTGGCACGTGTTCCAGACGCGTTGCGCAGTGACGCGTCGTCGGCATTGCCCCCAGTAACAGCTTATCAACCACATTATAAAGCTTACATACGTGTAACAAGTCGGCAGGGCGGTTTGCGTGGCTCGGCACGAAGGCGTATATAACGGGAAGCGCCTCGCACGCAATCTGCATCCAAAATGAGCACCATCATCTTGCCCGAAGGGTTTGTGACGCTCGTTCCGTTTCTCGATCAGCTCCTGACGTCGTTCCTCTTCTAGCACCTCTTACGTCGCCGCTGGACTTTTGTCCACGACGATTCTCCTCGCATGGCAGTCTATCGTCGTCTCGAAGGCCAGAAAGTCCGCAAAAATCGAATATCCCCGTCGTGAGCATCATTACACTGTTTTTGGAGCAGAATTTACACCAACGCTCGTGCGACAGTGTATGCTGAGAAGGCCGAGCAGGACGCGTCGATTGATGCACTAAAATTCAACTGTGCACAGCGTGAGTGACTTAGAGAATTCCTTAAGCTCTGTCTTGACATGTATCAACTCTAAGGCGCACATCAAAACACCCTGGAGAACATGCCCATCATCTTGACCACGTTAGTATCCACCATGTAGCCGTCTGACATCAGTACACTCACGCCTTTACAGTTCGCTCGTTACGGCCCTGAGCTACCCAAAGCTTGCCGGGGTCGCGTGCGGCTGCTGGTCTGTTGCTCGAGTCCTCTATACTTCCGGCTACGCTACTGGTGACCCAAAGAAGGTGCGTGCAATGCGAATGCAGTCTTGCCAATTGTTCATCACATTGCAATTCGTTAGCGTCAACGCGGTGGGTGGGGGTCTCTCATCTTGCTTGGTGCGTGTCCCGTTTTACTTCCGCTCAGGACTTCGCAGCTGACACACAGGAAAGGTCTCCTTGCGTCCTCGGGCAAGGCCGTATATGATCTTTTCATGGCTGGCATTTAGGCTTAAGGCTTACAGATCGTTATCTAAACTAAATATAATGAGGACATCTTGGTAATGCAAACTTTTGAGAGGACTGCGTTCCAAGAGGCTTTCACAGGTGTAAGTACGGCATGTGCGTAGGCAAGCCGTGTAGTAGATGCGCCGAAGCAGGCCTGAGCGTTCTGAACCGCGTACATATCTGATCCTCCGACAACATCACTTTGCCCTATGGGCGAGAGTCCTCATGTCGAGCACAACACCATCCTCCCCGCGTCGACCTCTGAATTTGCTCTCCCGTCTTCTCCGTCTTCGACACCAATACAATCGACAGACGAGTTCAATCCTCTCCTGTTCCGTTTCCGCCGACCAAGCCTCGCATTTTACGTCTCCTCGCTGAATCTCGTGCAAATGAGAATGAAGTCAAATCATAAGCACAATTCCAGTGCCTCGTTGCGTCATTTTCCGAGCTGCAGCATCGTAAAAAGGTGCTGAGAGTGTGCAGTGGGCGATTCCTATGTAACGCCGAAGAAAACTGTTCCAGTGATCCACTCGGCGCGCGTCCCGCGTTTCGGGATTCATAGCGCTTCCGGCCGAGGTTGGGGTTTGTCCTCTCTGTTCTGCTTATTCAGATGTTTGTCGAAAACACTCCGGTCATGTTATCTCCCGAGGCATTCCTGAAGCTAGACATACGCCCAAGTAACCAGAAGGTTGACGGTATTGCAGCCATATCGCAGCTAAAGACCACCCATTCGGATCCCCAGAAATTGGGTCTATGGAAATAGCCTTCCGATCGTACTCAAAGCCACAGCGATTTCGACGATTTCTTGCGATGCTATCGCTATCATATGGTACCTGTTGATCCATCAAGTGTTCACAGGCAAGCGAACTGCTTTTTAACTGTTGCCTCTATCCCAGACTCATACAGATTCAACAAGTACCAGCACCTTCGAGGTCAAGTACATTGAACCAACTATCCAACTCATGAACAAAGAATTCCTCAAAGATAATGCACCGAACTTGCGATATGAGATTGAATCGGACGATCCAGGTAGGCCAACTAATTTTCTCATCATCCTCAAGTCATTGACGTCAACTGTGTCTTATGGTACAGGATACCGTTTGGCCAGGGTTGTAACCGATGGCTGCCATACAAATCGACCGAGTGCTGGCGACGCGAAGCTCCATCCAGCAACACATTGTCAGCTTGTCGTTATGTTCTTAGTAATAAGCTTCCTTCATATCATTCATGATCTTACACTTAAATTAGTCCGATAGGAGTCGACTATCGAAATTGATTGGTCTGTCCTTGAACCGGTTGGAAACAAAGCATGCTTTCCTCATGAAAATGAAGCTTGTCCTTACTTTGACGCTCTGGTTTCCGAATGCAAGCGAGGCGGCAGCCCTCACGGGATCATCACGGACGAACACCACATCGCCATTCTATATTTTCCCCCTAACGGACCTCCATTCCCTTACGACGAACTTGACTTTGATGTCAACTTCTTCATCCTCAACTCGTTTGTTATAGACTCTCCCATCCGCTGGACTATTGCTTCTTGTGTGCATTTCGCGGCCAACGGTTCAATCAAACCACCTCATCGGTCTGATTCATGTCAAGGTGCCTTGCGTGTCCCGCTTCTCTGGAGGATGGCTTCTCAACGGAACCCGAAACTCTTCAGTCCTACCGCTCTTATCGGGACTTTGACTTGTACACTTTACAGCGATCTCAGGCTGCTTGGGATCAGTTCAAGTGCTGGAGAGTATGGGCTGGACGACAAGCACTTGACCCACAAACACGGATTAAGCGTGGATCCGTTCTGCACGTCGACTTCAACGGATCTGCACGCAAACATCATTTCTGGAGGTCTCCGTTTCCGAATCCATGTCCTCCTCAAGAGACTCTCGACATTATAATGCGACATGTGCGTCTTCGGGATGCTGCCATCGACCAGGCGATCTCCCAAGCATCGCTCAATGGCCATAGTGTTTCATTCAAGATCACGGATATCAAGCGTGCGGGTGCGGCTTATTTCTCACAGGTCCATTTTGGTACACTTGAAGTGACGACTCGGATTATATGCTTGAAGCTGTTCGACGAACGCCTTTTCCCATTCAGACAGCGACCTGAATACGGGGATGGCGTTAAACCAGAGACGCAGTGACTAAATCTCAACTTTGCGGACGATTTGATGCGACGTGAAGAAGGGGTCTATTGCGATCGTCTACAATATCTTCAAGGGTCCACGATCCCGCACTGCTATGGGTTTCACATACTGCGTATTGCGCTCTACTCTTGTTCGCACAAGGGTTGAGCATCGTGTTTGATAGTTCACGCTCCCAGACGGTTGGAAAGTGTTTGGTTTCTTCATGGAAGCTATAGACGCACCATCGTTATGGGAAGTTGGGCAGCAGAGGAGCTCGCCAGATTTTCAGGCCTCCGTGGTAAGAACTATTATATGCCAATCTATGCTCCTCCGCCCTGTTGATTTGCTGTTTGGGTCATTTGTCACTCTATCAGGTTACACATGTACGACACATGGTACGAGCACTTGGGTTTGCGGGAGTCGATCAACAGGATTGGCATCTCGACCAAATTCCGTGCCCTGGAAATTCATCGACGACTACAGTTCTTGATCACAGTAGTCCTCTGCAGTCAAATGGCTATCTCCATGCTTGTCCCTCAATGGTTCTGATTGATTTTACATTCGCGCCGCAGAGGCTGGGAGAAGACTGGTCTAGGCCTGGGTACCCGGTCCACAATCCGAACACCATACAGTTCATTTTACATGATGGCCTTGGAGTGCCTTGGGACACCTTCGAGAGTCATTGGCTACCTATGTTGGAAGAGGAGTATTGACTATGATTTATTCTCTATCATGATCCCTTGTCTAAATGCTACCGATGCAGTAGCTCCCTTATAATGAGGGTGTTTTTGGTAATTCAATCGTTTGAGCCAAATGTGCTTCAAAATGCTTCAACAGGTGTAAGTGCGTATATCCACAATAGGCAACCCATGCATGTAGTGCAGATGTGCCTAAGCAGGTCTGAACGTTCTGAAGAGATCTGAATCCTGTACATACCTGATCCTCCTACAACATCACTTTGCCCTATGGGCAAGAGTCTTTATGTCGAACACAAACTCAAGCAGACCCATCCTCCCCGCGTCGTCTTCTGAATTTGCTCTTCCATCCTCTCCGTCTTCGACACCAATACAATCGACAGACGAGTTCAATCCTCTCCTGTTCCGTTTCCGCCGACCAAGCCTCCTCGCATTTAGGCACGTCCCTGAATCACGACTCAGCAGCCCGCTTACAACGTCCTTCACCTCTCCCCTGACTCGGTCCAATCTTGAAAGTGCGAGTGTAAGGGACAAGGAGTCCATGTGGACCGATAGTTCACCGTCCAGTTCCGAGAATGCTACTCCACCGATACTGGGCTCTCGATGTGAGAGCAACGACAGTGATAGCAACATGAAAACAAGTCGTCCACAGACCCCTCCGCGGAATTCTTCGTCTCACAGTATGGAGGCGCTTGGAGACCCTCCAGAGCGCCTGTCCGCAGCGCGGCGTCTGTCGTATCCTGTTCGTATTGCCCATCGCATTCCATGCTGTCCTACTGAAATATCTATCTCTAGCAGCCCAAAGACCCTCGCATTCTACATCTTGTCACTGAATCTCGTGCAAATGAGAATGAAGTCAAATCAGAAGCACAATTCCAGCGCCTCGTTGCGTCATTTTCCGAACTGCCCACGCAGCCTCGAACGTCACGAGCGCCATCGGACCGCGGTAGATACCCCGAGGAGGCTGGTGAAGAGTCGCAGAGAGAGGACACACCGAGCGACGACGGCGACGACGACGACGGCTATACATTTGCATTCGGGCCACCTGCTACTAGCGACCCCATTAGTCTCAGCAAGCCTCGCACCCCTGCCCGCAGTGTTGCGGGTAGCATCAACGGAGATGATCTGGCTCTTGACAGCCCGGGCGGTGCGATGGCAATGGAAATAGACTTGGTGCGTTGGTACATATGCTACAGGTACTCTGAAATTCATTTCATTTCTTCCTCGCAACCAGCCATCCTCAACATTTGGCTCTCCCTCTGTATTAGGAGCTTCAGCTCACCAGTGGCGATATACACCACCTCCGACAGCATCGGCTGTGCGCACAAACAAGCGAAAGTGTACGCATATACTCAACTTCATCAAACTCATGCTCTTTCTGATAAGCTTCCATCCTTACAGACGACGATCGCTTCGACCCATACCCAACAGTTTCGAAACGCCGCGCAGTCTCACCCTCCGTCTCGTACCTGCGTGACTCCCACACCGCGCTCTCGCCGATATACATCCCGCGCCCGAATGCATCTTCCTCACGCAGTCCTTTTCCCATGCCAATCCCAATTCCAATAGCCCATTCGTCCTATCCCTCCGTTTCATCTTCGCCTACCGTCTCACACAATGGGCATGCGCGGCTAGAGCGCTCGATGAGTGTAGCTTCCAGTCCGACGATGCGTGCATCCATGAGCCTCGCTAGCCCCATTACAAGGCCTCTGAGTCTGAGCAGACGACGTGGGGAGGGAGAAGAGCGAGAAATAGATGGAGCTGGTGATGCGGTGAACGGGCTTAATCTCGGATAACATATTTTCTGATTCTTGAGCTGTTGAGCCGAGCTATATCTGTCTCATCTTGTTGCATATCTTCGTTGCATCTCTATCACTGTATTATACAGCATCCCTTTGTATCTCATAGACCATAGCATGGCGAGTTGAAGTTCGGTAGTACTGTTCTACTCTTAATATCGGTGACGGGGTTCTAACTTATGATAATCAGGCGATTTTATGGCTTCATGGGTATGGGTGTACGTGCGCGTTACAATAGGTGCGGTCAATGAGCTAAGGTGAAACGTCAACACCGAGAGCGTCAAGTAAGCCACCATCGAGCCCGCCAAGTAGACCCTTAGGTTTCACGTCGCTGTCCGCTCTGTTTGAACCAAATCCATAGATTATTAGGTCCGTGCAGCAGAGAAGTGGAGACATGAATGCTCACGGTTCGGATGCCTCGGCGGAGGAAAGCAGAGTCTCGCATTGGCTGATTGAGAACAGGTTTGACTGGGCAAGGATGGCATTGTAATGATCCGTGTCCCTGACGACGTTGAGGTGATATCCATCGCCAGGAATGAACTGACCACGACCGTAGGGCGGGGACATGGCGGTCTGGTTCAGGGAGCCATCGACCCCCCAAGCGCAAAAGTCTGCAGTGCCGTATTTCTATAGTCATGGGTGCGGATGTCAGGCTAACAATGTGTATAGTGGAGAGGTTGACATACATCGTTGACAAGGACTACAGCGAAGGTCGGGGGATCTGTTGGGGCGCGGGTCCACGTCATGGTATTGGGACCCAGGCATGACCAGGATGTGCCCGAAGCGGGAGAAGTGACCTGGTAGGCGAGAGAGAACGTAGCCAGAGAAAGGATCACTAGAAAATGCATGGCGGCTAGGTATATACGGTTGTAGGGTGGTCGTCAAAGCGGCGTGCAGGATGGCTAGATGCTAGTTTGAAGTTGGGATCGCGTGTGGGGGCTGAATGGGCAAGCTGGTCTTTAAGATACTCAGAGTCAGAGCCAGCGGTATGAATTGAGCATGTCTTCACGAGTTCCTCAAGCGGTCAGTGGGCTACCGAAAGAGAATACAAGCTTGCCTTTCCCGACTATTCGCATCCCATGACATGTTACTTCACGACTCATTTCGTCATAGAGAAAAGCTGAATGGGGAGAATGGCATGATATATGCGCATCGTCGAAGCTACGCAGGATGACGAGATATATACCTGCCAATCCCGAGCTTTGAGACAATTCATTGGAGCAGACACACGAAGGGACCATAGAAGCTTAAAAATCATTTCAATGAGGAGTATGCGCCGTTCGACAGTCAGGAATGTCGATGAGCACCCAACCCAGGTCAGGTCATGATTCAAAGTTCCAGTTTCTTGAAAAATCAGGCACAAGATTCAGAGGCCGCTGAGTCACAACATTCGCAGCCGCCGTGGGCAGTCCGCTGCAGTCCGTGGGAGTTCCATGGGCTTACGTATTGTCATTTCCCACACCTTAGTATTCTCGTCGAGTCCCCATTGTTCACCAGATGCTGGAACCAATCATACGGCAAAGCAAAGTCGCAGACACCTTTGTGCAATTTTATTTCCCTCACGCACCTTGTCTATTCCTAGACACCGTCATAAGCCTTAACAATTGCAGGAGGCGATTGCGAGATATAGACGCATTGAGGGGCCCTCACAAAGAATCAAGCTCACAATTGACTAGCTTTGCTCGTATCTCTGTATCTCTACCTTGAATAGAACTAGTAGCATGTAGGTGCCTCACCACCTGACTCCCGGGGTATTGCTGCATCAATCGTGCTAACTCTACGAGGCATACCTTTTGATTCTCTTAATCAAGTGGGTGCTCGTTTACTCCGTTAAACATCCGAACAGACTCTTATGCTAGGTCCGGCTCTCTAATCTTTCTCGTGGCAGTTCTACCATGCCTACCTGCTGACGGATCAACTTGTTTCGAAATGTACCTCGTTATACTTAGGTTGGTTTCATTCGAAGAATTGCTATCCAGTTTGTTGATTGAATTTGTACAACTTCCTTCGATCCCACATCAGCTCTGAGGATTCTTCGTCTTCACATCGACTATGAGGTCATTTTATTCCAGAGACCGAAACCTCGCCTTTCACATCTTATCGTCAGTCTGGCGCACCAAATGCGCCGATATATGATGATTTTGCACGGCTGGAGTTAGTCATTCAACAATGGAAGACCCGAGCGCTCGTGATTTCCCCGGGTCTCCTGCCAACAGACTCCATCTCTTGACACTGACGACACCTTCTCTACGGGTGTATTGCGCTTCTAACGTGCACGAAGCCACACCGTAATTTGACACTGAATGTCTTTCTAGCAGCAAGAACTCCTCATTACGCTCCGCAAATTCTCCCGACGGTTTGCGTGACCTTATAAACCAACCCGAATTTTCACCCATCTTTATCCATCTCTCCATTCCCGAGAATTCTACTTCCTTCGCTATGAGTCGCTCCACATCACCTGAATCTACGACCAGTATAAAAGCAAGCAAGACGATTCATAATGCGTCTGGAATCAATCCAGTTTCAAGATGTTCCTAGTCCCCCTTCTGGCTGCTCTCTCTCTTAGTGCCCCCAAGGTATTCACGCATACTTGCCGTCACCCGGACATGGACTGATACCTCAAAGGTTGCCGCACATGGTGGTGTACTAGCTTATAGCCTCGCCGGCACTTGGTACAATGGGTTCGTCTCATCCTCATTGTCGACTTTATTTCGCCTGCTCATTCTATTTTTTTCCAGCTTTGTGCCTTATAACACTCCTACCGGTCAAAGCACCATCCAGCGCGAATGGGACACTTACAATCCCATCACTGACCCTACCGATGCCTCCATCTCCTGCAACATCAACGGCGCTTCACTAGGCTCCGCACAAAAGTCTGCTACTGTAGCGGCAGGATCTTCCGTAACTGCGTACTGGAAGTGCGTGAACCGTTGTCTTACGGTCAAGCGGGGGTTTATCGCTGACACTGACATCTAGTCAATGGCCTCACACCATTGGCCCCGTCATGGTCTACATGGCCAACTGTGGTGGTGATTGCACGACCGCTACCACATCATCTTTGGAATGGGTATGCTTCCTCGTGAATCCTCCGATTAAGAGCGCTCTCAGTTCATTTCTCGCAACAGTTCAAGATCAACCAGGTTGGTTTGGTCTCCGGAACGCTCACGAGTGGTACCTGGGGTATGGGCCAGCTCGTCGCAAACAACAATTCCTGGACCACTTCAATTCCTTCTTCGCTTGCAGCGGGCAACTACATACTCCGCCACGAACTATTGGCCATTCACACCTCTAACCAACCCCAATTCTACCCGGAGTGCGCGCAGCTGATTGTCACCGGCGGCGAAGGAGCGACCCCTCCGGCTAGTTACCTCGTCAAGCTTCCTGGTGCTTATTCGATGTATGTGCATCCCAATTGGTATTTGCGAATGTGTGTTCAATTTCGACAACTTCGGGCAGGTCTGACCCTGGTGTCAACATTGATATCTACTCCCATGAGACGGAGACGAACTACACTATTCCGGGACCTGCGGTCTGGCAAGGATGAGGGCAATGTACAGGCCGCGGAAGTATCTGAGCGCGTCAATAACTTCTTGTTTATGTTGTAACATATGACCAGGATTCAGTTTCACATAAGCCACTTTCAGTAGCTCAGATCAAACCAGATAATGAAGCGGAACCAGGAAGAGCACTAGCTTATCCTACCATGAACCCTTTGAGTTCAATCTCACGAGCGCTAGCAACAATGACAGAAAGTAGGTTCCGTGATAGGAGTGTGGTCATATTAACGTTATCTACAAGGGTATCTTTCCCATCTACCCGAACACCATGTCGAGAGCGTCTATCAGCGCGAGCCATTAGATCGGGAGTCCAAGGCCGCTGAGGCCCGGAAGAGAGCTGAGGAGACGTTTGTAGTTGTGCTCCCTGCCGAGCGTTCGCAATCAGCATTCGCGTCCATCGACCGGGACAAATTCACAGAACTTACTTTGAAGGCTGGATCTTGAACGCCGACGATTGCGCGAGGATGTTGTGGAGGTGACTCGGGTCTTGAACGAAGTTGACTTGGTAGCCTTCACCGACGGGAAGAGCACCAGACGGGTAGATCGTTGTCTTCCCCAGCTTGCCGTCGACCTTGGGGGCGAGTGTTTGCAGCGTCTGGTATTTCTGAAAAATTCGGACAAATAATCAGAGGGGGGGTTGAAAACTGTTGTCAGAGGTGCTTACGTCGTTGTAGAGGACCATCGTGAAGTACTCCGCATCGGTGTCGACACGCTGCCAGGACACAGTCACGGGGCCATGAGAATACCAGATCTCCTGACTATTGGGTGAAGTGACTTGGTACGCGAAGGTGGTGGCCGCGAGAGAGAGGAGGGCGAGGAAGACACGCATTGTGATAGACGATGTAGGGTAAGATAGAGGGTGAGTGTCGAACTTCGAGGTCGTAAGGGGGGCGTAAATAGTGAGGATAGCGTGAGGGGTCGACCCGCCCGTCTTTAAATAGCCTGAGGTATTTTCGATGCCGACATGACATATGGATGCTCGCTCGAAATGGTATTCGGACACTCCAAATCAAGCAGGTCACTTTCCTTTTCTGGTAGCTCGCTAGTTTCTTCCCCTCTTCTTACCATCTGACATCCATCTCCTCCCATACTTCCAAATGTCAGCGGCAGACACTTCGAAACTCACCAAAAAGCAGAAGAAATCGATTGCCTTTCGAGACCGAAAGGGAAAAGGAAAAAGAGCCGAACATGATGAAGCTATTCTTGACGTTCCTGTCTCCGAGGATCAGGATTTGGCTGAAGTGGAGGGCGATACGGCGACAGGTGAGACGCATGACCCGACTCGACCATCTCAGAAGGAGAGAAAGCGGTCGAAAGCAGAAAACGATCAGGGGGACAGTGGGCCATTGGCGAAGAAGAGGAAAAGAGTTCAGGGTGAGGATAGGTCGACGGGAGCGAACAAGAGTGAGGGCGAAGACGTTGGTGACGAAAAGAGGAAGAAGAAGCGGAAAATCAAGGCAGCAACAGAGGGTGCTGGGGCTGGGGTTGCTGCTGAGACTGAGGAGCAGGAAGAGAATGTGAATTCGAAGACAAATTCAAAACAGAGATTCATCTTGTTTGTCGGTGCGTCGCTTCATTTCTGTCCCAGCTTTCTCTCACCGACGGCCATATGTCAAGGAAATCTGAAGTATACTACTCCGAAGAATGCTATTGAAGAGCATTTTGCTGCATGTGGTACGCCCATCCTTCCTGGGATTCGCGTCTGTATTCTCAGGCTCTGCTCTACAGATCCGCCGCCCACTATCCGCCTGCTGACGCAGAAACAGCAGCGGGCTGGTGCGACAGTCGCAAAGTCGAAAGGCTGCGCCTTCCTTGAGTTCACCAGCAAAAATTCCCTACAGCAAGCGCTCAAGCTACATCACTCCACATTGGACAGTCGGCAAATCAATGTCGAGCTAACGGCGGGTGGCGGAGGTAAGAGTGAAACTCGGCTGTCGAAGTTGCGAGAGAGAAACAAAGAACTAGCTGCCCAAAGGGTGAGACACTTTCCGGCCTTCGTCGTTTTAAAGCGGCCTAAAATACCATATTCGTAGACGAAAAAACTACAGAAGGCCGTAGCAGACGGGCAAGAGGTACGCCCTGATCGGCCTCAACGCTTTTCTGCAACTTCCGGCGAAGGTGAGGCACCACTAGCGAAGCGGACTTGGACGGTCGGCGAAGAGGAGGATGAGAACACGCACCGTGGGGGGAAGAAGCACAAAAAGACGCGTGGTGCAAAGGTCAAGCCTTGGGGAACAGGCGTCAATGCTATACCTGTGGGGTGATGATGATAGGCATGCAATTGCAATTAGAGAGATTCAGTCCCTCGGATCAATTCATGGAGAAGACGCATATGAATCTATATGCATATCGACTGCATCTGCAGCAGCCATTAGTCCAAGAGTCCATGAGCATAAGCCCTGCGATATATACACGAACACGGAGCCATCCGTCGAAAGAGTGTCATGAAACCAAAATAAAGACAAGGAACTGTTGAAAACACAGATTCAGAATGGCACCCTGCCTGCGTCAAAACCGATGAACTCACGAAAACTATCAGCACACCGAACACCTTCAACATCAACCAACGATTACTGGAAATACTGGCGTAGTATTTCAAGAGCTCTCGTTGAGCACCACCCACGTTCGACGCAATATCCATTGTGTCCGCATCAATCCGCTGGACTGTTTCGTGCTGTTCAGCAACCATATGAGCTAGCTGGTTGAATATCTGGCCGAGCTCCGCAATAGTTGACTCTATAGATTCAATGGCAGTCGACCGCGATTGTATGTAGTTATCCTAGGGAGAACGGGTGCTTGGTTGAACGTGAACAGTAGACATGCAAGGCGTGAAATGCATACCTGCTGCTCCACTAGTTGCATCTGCATAAAAGCGCCACCTCCGTTCTGTCCACCTGCGCCCTCCTCTGCATGATCGAGATCCAGCGCTAGCATATCGCCATTTGGCGTAGCTCTGCCCTTCCCCTTCGCGTCATATCGACCAGATGAGCCATCACCCATTGGATCTTGCCGTTGTGTGCTCGAGAAGAGGTACGAGTCTATATACCGTCGATGAGAGATGTGTATTTGACGGACAGCAATAAACGTACTAGCTGGTGCGTGATTGGCCGCCGTCGCCGTCGAATACATGAACTGTTCTGTTCGGTCTTTGGACTCCTTCATATTCTGCAGTGATAGATCAGCTAAAGCGCCTGAAGATAAGCAGTGGTTCGCGTACCTGTGTTCGAATCTCCAGCACATCCTTGAATGTCATACTCGTCTCGGCCAACTTGTTCTGTAGGAGCATAACCACATTGTGGTTATGCTCTTCCACCTGCTTGGTGTCAGAAGACTTTGAAGAGCCCTGCGCCTTCTTCTGTTTAGTGTAGGCTTGCAAGGAAGCAATCTGCTTGTTGATGTTCGCGATATCTTGCTTGATTATGAACGTAAGTTCCTATCAGCCCAGCCCAAGTTGCGACGTCAGCTTATTCGACCAGTTGTATATAAAAGAGCACTTGGGCGCACGCTAATCTCCACAGGTCGGTCATCGAACAACGTTTTTCGTTTCGCCACTACCAACGTTCAGCGCTCAGTTCTCGTCGCGCTGCACAGCTCTTGATACCTCCGAAATGAACACTCACGTTGTGCCAGCTTCCCCAGCTTCGTCGATGTTGTGCTGATGTCTTTGGCAATGACCTTGGCCATGCGCGAGAACTCACTCGCATTATCACCTCTCCCTTGCTGCAGTAGCCGCTGTTTCTCCACCGTCCGTGCAGGGAGCGAGGACCGGTTCCGAATGGACTCGACGCAGGCACGGAACTCGTTCGTGCGGTCTTGTGTTCCAGGCATTTTCAGGAAATAATAATAAGATAGACCTCAGTTGAATGGCTGAATAACGCCCGGGACGATGATTGAAAGGAAGAAGCAAAGGTGAAGGAATGTGAGGTGTTTGTCCGGAGGCGAGATGGTCAAGGCGCTTACGCCCTCAACTTACACGTGTCACGCCCTATGGGGCATGTCACATATGTCACAGTGTTATATACTATACTATGTCACCGTGACATCATGCTCCTGACGTTTAATTCCGAGAGGGTCCGTCGAAGGGCCAGACACTAGAGCCCATACTATCTTCAAAATAATTCCTGTGCGTCGACGTTCAATGCGTATCTGAGAACAGAAGGCCACCTTGTTTCTCTTCTATTAATGCTGACGACGAGCGCGCTCATTCTAGGACCGAGCCGCACGCGTAGTACCGCGATCCACTTCCGCTCCAACTTACTCTCTGACCTCTCTCTCTTCCCCCGCTCACTCTCCTTTTCACACAATCGAGCATATTACCGTCAAAGATTCGCACATCCATCGAGATTTCCGATGCCCTCTCCTTCGCGCTCTCCCTGTCCAAAATCAAAAGTCCTAGTCTTAGGTGCTGGAAACTTTGGTAGCTGCCTCGCTGACCATCTTGGAGATTCGAACCATGAGGTCTACATGTGGTCGCGCGAAGCGGATATCGTCGAGTACTTCAATCAACATCATCGTAATCCACGATATCTCCAGGACCATGACTTCCCTAAGAACATTACAGCCATTGGCCCTGACCTTCCCGACGCGGAATTGATCAAACAAGTGGACGTGCTCCTGTTTGCTATACCCACAGAAGGTGTAAGGTGGGATACTCTGTTGTTTTCTGCGTTCCGAACTTGAGACGCGATTTTTAGGTCGACATTGACTCAACTTCGACCGCGATTGGATGAAAAGAAACTACCCCTCCTGATCTTCGTCAACAAGGGCATCGAGATCGCTACCAATGCCTTGACATTGGAGATCATTGCCGACACGTGTGGCAAGGACATCGCGCGCGTCGCGACTTTCATTGTGAGCTTCCAAGTGACGCGTCGTGGTGTGTCTGAACGTGAGCCTCCCTAGTAGTCTGGCCCGTCCTTTGCGAAAGAGAGTATGCGTCATTGTTTCGTATTTTAATACGCTTTCTGACGTGTTGTTCAGTTGTCAGAAGACAGCCGACTTCTGTCTCGGTGGTGTCCCTATCAGAAGCCCACGCCGAAAGAGCCTCAGAAGTCTTCCATCAGCCATGGTTCCGATGGTTCGTCATCCGTGTCTGTAGGAGCATACATGTTGTCTTACAGCAGATCAGTTACACAGGCTACGATCCTGTCGGCGTAGAGTTGGCAGGCGCGTTGAAAAACGTGTATGCGATCGCGGCAGGGATAGCCGATGGACTTGGGTTTGAGAACAACACGCGAGCTAGTGAGTTGGAACGGACAAGGTCGGTCACACCGGCATCATCTGACGCGCTAGTGTGCTTCCAGGTTTGATAACTCGTGGGTTGGCTGAAATGACACGGATCGGGACTGCGTATGGTGCCAACCCTTTGACGTTCCTGTCGCTGGCCGGGGTTGGAGATTTGTTCCTTACGTGCAGCTCGCCCACGAGTCGCAATTATACTGTCGGTTACCGGCTCGGAAAAGGTGAGACGCTGGACGAAATCATACGAACGCTCGGCAGCGTTGCCGAGGGCGTTACTACGGCGAAGGGGCTCAAGGCCATTGTGGATGACCTCGGAGTGGCGGCACCCATCGCGATCGGGGTGCGTACAAGCACGTAAATTATGTGTTATGATTGTGACTGACGGGAAGCGTCGCGCCGAGTCCAGGTGTACGAGGTGTTATACGAAGGTGTGTCTGAACGACCGTTGTTGCCTTGCAGTGCTGACAGGCTGTATGTGCAGGGAAAGCGGTGAAGGATCGGGCGCAGCAACTGATGGAGCACCCGCCCATACGAGAGCTGGACCTGAGGGAGAAGGCAGGTGGGCCTGCGAGGGACCTGATGAGGAAGCTAGGACTGGATTGAGTATTAGATGTAGCAGACTGGGCGAATAAATAGCGTGAATTGCGGGACGGCAGGGAGCGAGGCGGAAGAGCCGGACTGGAGCGAGGGTGTGTTTACGTGAACGGGTGCTTGATCTGCTATCGAGATCTTTCCCAGGCAAATTTTCGAGCGACTCGGTGGCGGATTGCTGTCCTGCATCTGCACACCCTCTCCACCTCCCGTCCCCACCCATCTCCCGTCCATATCCCTCCTGCTCTCGGTCTCGGTCTCCTTAATTATTTCTGAAAGTGAAAAATGGTCTCTGAACTCTGGAAAGCTTCCTCGGAGGGTGACCTCGCCCGAGTGAATCACCTTTTGCTCGAGGCCACCGTTGCCGATATCGAGATCAACGGTTCGTTTTTTTCCTGCTCGGTTTTGCCTCGTGCTCCTAGCACGTCCAAGTTGTATTGACACCCAGTCGACTCAAGATCAGAATGGCATGACACCGCTCATTGAAGCGGTCAAAAACGGTCACTACGACGTGGTCAAGGCCCTTCTCGACAAGGGTATGCATTCCCCCCACCTCCTCTATCAATTCCTTACGCCTCTCTCGTAGGTGCCGACCCTAATCACGCGTCGAGTCAAGGCCTTCCCCCGCAGTACACGTCAGACCCTGCCATCGTGGACCTTCTCCGCGCTGCCGCCGCCAAAACGCATTCCGAGGCTTTCCAGGCCCAACCCATCTACCCTCATGACCCCAACGTCGACCCTACCAAGGGATACTATTTACCTCCGCCGGGCCCTTACGCGTACTATCCCGGCATGCCCATTCCGCCTCTTCCCGAAGGCGCCATTCCTTACTATCCCCACCCCCCACTACACCCCGCGGATGACCAGCACCCCCAGGGCGGGCTTGTCTCGAATCTCCCTCCACCGGAAATTGCTCGCCTGATTCCCTGCAGGTATTTCCCCGCATGCCGCTATGGCGCGTCTTGCATGTTCGCCCATCCCCAGGGCCCTTACTTTCCAGGTCCTGTCCCTCCTCCCGCCCAATACCCTACCCATTACGACCCTATGAACTCCCACCCCTACCCACCCAATTTCTATCCTATGCCACCCCCACCGCCTTTCCAGCAGGCTAATGCCATGCCACCCCCTCCTCTCATGACCCCCATCTCCCCCCAGAACGGGCCGCAATCGGCGCCTCCGATGGCTCACGCACGTTCAGGGTCAGACGTCCTTTCGCCTCTGCAGGGTCCTTACAGCGCGTCGGGCGTTCCAACTCCTAGTTCTATGCCGTATGGCGCGATCTCCCCAGTCTCTCCGTCCTACACACACACCGGCCCTCTTGCCCTTCCACTCTCTGCGAACCAACATCCTCCTGTCAACGGCGGCCCTCAGTCGCCAGTGTATCCACCTCCCGGTCCTTCCGGTCCCAACTATGATCCTCGTCGGGATTCAATCGGTCAATACCCTTCTGCACAGCCCGCACAACGTGTCCTGTCAGAACCGAATGGGATGCAGAAATCGCCGCCCCTCCACGTTCCCGAAAACTTCGGTCCTGGAGGTCATCGCGATGGTATGGGACATCACCGCCGAGGGAGCTTCCGTCGGCCGTCTTTCGGTGGCGGCCGTAAGCCTCCTTGCCTTTTCTTCCCCTCTGGAAGGTGCAGGAACGGGTTCGTCGTCACTCCATATGATCGATGTTTTCTCTCCCATTGACGCGTTCTTAATCTTCAAGTGATGAGTGTCGCTTCCCTCACATCATGAGTGAAACTACTGTTGTCCCCCCTCCCCATCAATCCCACCAGCCCTTTGCGGGCCGGGGTGGTCGGTTTCGTCCCCCGCCCTTCATGAATGGCAATGCCGCTGGCCCGGCGGCAATCGAGGACAAGCTGGCGGCGATGACTTTGAATGATGTAAGCCTGCTTTTGTTCTGGTATATCCCCGATGTCGAACTCGCGCTGATCATATTCCGCAGGACAGCGTCCCCGGTCGTCAGGAGAGCGTGGACAGCACAACTCCTCCTGAGGTCGCTGCGAACCGTGTTCGCCCACCTACAGGTCCAAAACAGTCTAACCATGCTGCCCATGGTGCACGTCCTGCCAGGCCGGCCGTGATACCCAAACAGCGCGTGCCCAACGCCGATGAATTCCCTGTCCTCGGGGGTTCGACGACCCCTCCTTCGCGAAGCCCGGCAACAAACGGACATGCCAATGGGTACTCGGGCCCCACTGCAGCTCAAGTCCTGCAGGCCCCTCCGCCGGCGCGCAAAGACAGCACCAAGGGCTCTTCGCGCAGCGAAACCCCGGACTCTCTCCATGCGGCTCAGGTGGGATGATACTCTAATTACAACGGAGATCGCGCTGATGTGTCATCGTAGACCTCAAAGCCCGCTTCTGAGGCAGTCCCCGTCGCTCACCAGGACCACGTGAACAAGCTTCCAGTTTCGTTTGCCGCGGTCGCCACCGGGGCACCAGACGCCTCCAAGGAGGTCTCTGTCTCGGCATAAAATGGCTATCTAGCCTGCCCTTTGTTTTGCTCGATGTCTTGCCTAGACATTGCATCTCTTCCGTACTTTTTTTACGCATTTTTTTTCTCCCGATCTGGGTATCGCGTTTCTTCTTTCGTTTTCAATTCTTCGGTTTTTCCAAAATTTCAACGTCTATATATCTGTTTTCGGTGCTTCTCCACACATATATTCTCCGACTCCATTTCCTCTGCTTTCCTTCCTCTGTTGTCTCCCGCCCTGCTTACCTCGATAAACCAACCTCTAGCATGTCACGGACCCTGACTCCGTCCCTCAGCATCAAGATCGTCATGTCTCACTGTGCATCTCTGTCCACATATGCCTGTTTAGATTCATACTCTCTCTATTCTCCCTGTCTATCGTGTTCTGGTCTACATAAAGGCTATTTACGCTACTAACTCATTTCTTGTGATACTTGGCTTTCGTATCATATGTGCCTGCAGCAGTTTCCTCTGTGCTTTTTTTACTTGTTATTTTCCACGCCTTGCCTTGCTTTGCCTCGGCTTCTTGTCACGCGCTTCCTTTCCCCAAAAAATAGCATGGGTCTATGGGTTGTACTGGTTTTCATCACCCGCGTCGATAGACAAACGGTAGATAGTGCAATATGAATATGTGGCTGTGTGTGGTGTTCGATGTCTACGCCGTCCATCCTTCCAGGTTCTGCATCTCTACGCCTGCCTTGTCTGAGACTTGACCGATCATGTACACGCGCGCCTCGCCGGCTGCGGCGAGGGCCCGCAGCACATCGTCGACTTTCGACGGGTCGACGATCAGCACCATCCCGATCCCGTTGTTGAACGTCCGCGCCATCTCAAGCGGTTCGATGCGGCCATGCTTGACCAGGAACTTGAAGACGGGCGGGAGTTCCCATGCTGACGCGTCGATGGAGCACCCCAGGCCCTTGGGGAGGACGCGGGGGATGTTTTCGACGAAGCCGCCACCCGTGATGTGCGACATGCCCTTGAGAAGACCCGCTTTCACGGCAGGAAGGAGCGTTTTGGTGTAAATTTTGGTGGGCTCGAGCAGAGCGCGGCCAAGCGTGACGTTGGTGTCCCATGGACAAGGCGAAGAGTAGGTCAGCCCTGAAATCGCGACCACCTTCCGAACTAGCGAGAAGCCGTTAGAGTGCAACCCAGAAGAGGACACGCCAATCAGGACATCTCCGGCGGCGATGTTTGGTTGCGGCAAGATTTGCTCTCGCTCGACCGCTCCGACTGCGAAGCCTGCGAGATCGTAATCGCCTGCGGGATACCCGTCAGATACAGGCGTTCCTGATTTGACCGATATACTTACCTGGTAGGTACATCCCTGGCATCTCGGCTGTCTCGCCGCCAATCAGAGCACAACCGGCCCGCTGGCATCCAACTGCAATGCCCTTGATCACTTGCGAGGCGACATGGACCTCGAGCTTGCTGCAGCCGTAGTAGTCCAGGAAATACAACGGCTCAGCGCCTTGAACGATGAGATCGTTGACTGACATGGCCACGAGGTCGATTCCTGTATAGAAACACAAGATTCATCACCAAAACATAACCTTCGGACCGTAAAGATACAAACTCCCGGAATCCAACATCGAAAATGATGTAGCATTTGAAGAACAGGGTACGAACCTACGCTGTCGTGAATTCCTGCATCGACGGCGACGCGTAATTTTGTGCCTACGCCATCGGTGCCGCTCACGAGCACTGGATCTTTGTATCCTGTCGCCTTGAGGTCGAACACGCCACCGAAGCCGCCAATCTCCCCGTCCGCACCCGCTCGACGCGTGGCACGAACATAAGGCTTAATGGCTTCTACGAGTGCATTACCCGCGTCTACTGACACACCTGCCTGGGCGTAAGTAAGGCCAGAGGTAACATCGGACCTCAAAGCTCTGTGGAAACGAAAGACAGGGTCAGATGGGGGACACACAAGACATAGGTGCACGGGTATTACCTGTGAGCAATGTCCCGTCGGTACGTCTTGCCCTCAAAGTCCACCTTGTCGACCCCAGCATAGACGGCATCCAGTGCCTCGCGTAATGTCGGTGCAAACGCAGCAACAGCAATCACCCTGCCCCCCGAGGTTTCTACTGTGTCATGCCTTTTGATAGTCCCTGCGTGGAATACAACCACATCTGAATTCACGATATGTCAGTCTCTGTTCCCAAGCAGACAGTGATTAACATACTCGAGGGGACCTCGCCTACTAAAATGTTTTTCCCTTTAGCGTAGCTTCCAGGGTAGCCTCCAGAGGCCAATACTACAGATACAGCAAACCCGGGGCGGGCGTTAATCTTAACCGCGTCCAGACGGTGTTCTACACAAGCCTATTTTTGCAATCAAGGCAGGAAATAAGGAGGTTGGTAAACACGCTTACTAGCAATACAGATGCTAAGTCAGTGTCATCGCTGAGAAGAAGCATAAGAGCCTCTGTCTCCGGGTCTCCGAAGCGAACGTTATATTCGAGAACTTTTGGACCCTTTTCTGTGAGCATGAATCCGGTGAAGAGCATGCCAACGAAAGGAAAACCTGGAATTATCGAATTAGATATGAATGTATGCTGGTTCATAGAGGAGGAACGCACCATCTCGACGCATGCCATCGATCGTGGGTTTCAATGATTCCTTCATGATTTGCTCCATCACTGCAGGCGTTGCATCTGGAGCGGGCGCGTAGGCCCCCATACCGCCAGTATTTGGGCCCGTATCGCCTTCACCAATTCGTTTGTGATCCTGAGCAGCAGGCAACGGAACAATGGTGTACCCATCGGAAAACGCGAGCACAGACAGTTCGGGGCCGACGAGTAGTTCCTCGATCACGACCTCATCCCCTGTAGACGATGTAAGCTCTTCCTCAATGGTAATAAATAGCCAATACCATTGACATACCTGCTGAGCCAAATACGTTTTCGACCATGATCTCCTTGAGGCCCTCAATGGCTTCATCCACTGTCTCTGGGATAAGAACACCCTTCCCAGCGGCGAGTCCGCTCGCTTTCAAAACGACCTTGTGTCCGCAAGTGCGCACATACTCGATGGCATCTTCGACTTGTGACGAGGTGAAGGTGCGGTACGCAGCGGTCGGGATTGAATGACGCGCCATGAAATCTTTGGAGAACGCCTTCGACCCTTCCATCCTGGCCGCCAACGCGCTGGGGCCGAAGACGGGGATGCCGACTAGAGGCTAGGCGTTATAAATGTGTGGTATTTACGAATGTGTAACTGTGAAGACCTTTTCGGAAGTAAGTTTCGACGCCGTCTACCAGTGGTTGCTCTGGCCCGGGCAATAGGAGATTGATCTAAAGCAGAAAAAGCGCGATGAATGGCGATGTGAACAACATTGAGGATAGGAAACGCACTTTGTTCTCGACGGCCCACTTAACGAGCTCGTCAAAGTCCGAGCCCGAGACTTCGGAGACGTTGGAGATTTTAGAGCCAGTGCTCGTTCCTCCGTTTCCGGGACAGACGAAGATGTGCTGGACGAGCTCGGACTGGGCTAGCTTCCAGGCCAGCGCATGTTCCCTTCCTCCACTGCCCAAAACGAGGATTCGGAGCGACATCGTCCTCAAGAGTGAGAGCAGCGTCAGCTAATCGTAGGCAAGAGCCGATGAACGTATTTGAGTGAAGAATTGACTCGAGAGTTTTCAGTAGATCTACTTTAGATCCTTGGAGATTAGATAAGATTGCACACATCTCCCACATTTGTCCTTCATGTTCCTGTACGACATTATCTGTTGTGGTTCACAATGGACTTCTTTCTCTTCTGATTCTATCGATACTGCAATTCGATTGTTGATCGTGTCAAAGGATATGATGAAATGTCCGTGTCTCCTGATAAGTTTCCATCCTAACAACATCTTCGTGATGAGAATATGCACTGGGTCCTGACACGGCGGATCCAAGTGTACAACATGACTGTCGCTGCGAGAGCACTGCGGCAAACTTCCACTCCAACCATCAAGGACGTGAAGCAGATTACTAGAAATGACAAGCCGAGAAGCATGACACGAAATCAATCGAGAAGTCAACTGCGCTCACGTACAGCCTTCTATTAGGCAGGGCATGGTGAGTGGCGCATTGCGCTGAGAAAATCAACCAAGGTCCGCATAACAGACCTAGCGCGCCACTGACGTTTTCAACAAAACTGCGGGATCCAAAACAGACGGAGTAGCAGAGTCATGTTCCTGTCATCCAGTCATCCAGTCATGGGTACGAATGGAAGCTGATGTCTTTCCTACAACGAAGCAAGTCCAGAAACCAGCAGACGTCGATCTCTCGATATTAGCAGACAGTTCGAAAGCCCACAATGATTCATGAGTTGCAAGAAGAGTCGCCCTTGTAAAGAAGAGAGATCTCATCCGTATCGACATGAGACCATTGGCCGAGTTGCCAAGCGCTGTGACTGCGTCAATATCAGTATGAAGTAAAGGAGCTGACCAAACGCGAGTCTGCGGAAAGCTGTAGGGTGTTAGGCCGTGCAGAGCGGTGCAGGAGAAGTTGCAAGGGAGACGGATTCGACTCGTTGAGATGCTGACCTGAACGTCGATGGTGATTGCGGCGGCTGTGAGGCTCTGTCAGACCGATGATAGAAAAGACTAGGAGGGATTATCAGGCGAAACAAGAAAAAGGAAGGCAATACGGGGAAAGCAGGGCTGCTAAATAGGGAGCATAGGATGCGGCCTGAGGGCATTGATGTCGAGCGAGGGAAATCAGCGCCTACATTCGACCGTACCTCTCAATCTCAGCTGTGCAGGACTGCTGCCGCAAAGGAGGACGATGGCTACGTGGAAAGACCATATGTACGGGCTTGAGCCGTTCGAAGAGGCAAGTCGCATCCCACCACGTTGTTTACCCGAAGTTGAAACTCCACCGCCTCTTCCTCGCAGTCGCCAGGCTTCTCATATCACTCTTCCAACACTCCACCAGATGATAACTCTCTGGTCATGCTCTCAAACGATGTCTCTCCTACAAAATCATCAAGGTCAAAGCGCAGGTCTCTCTTTAGAAAATCTTCAAAACGCGCCAGCACAGTCCCAAAGCCGTCTGTAGCCAACTCCATCCATTCCTCCGACCACCAGTCTCTTAGCGAGAAGGCGCGCGACGGAGAGGAGGCAGAGAGCATCTTCAACAATGCTAATTCATCAACAGACACCTTTTCTCCTGTTGCACGCTCCATCATCCCCGAGCCGTTGACCCAGCTTCCATCATGGTACAACAAGGATGGCGAGTTGACATCTTCCTCCGTACATCAGTTCCGAGCACGATTCCCCATACACAACCCAATCGGTCCCCGCTCTTACAAGAATCATCATCTCTTGCCTCCGTCCACCCGCCCATCTTCTGTGTTTTCTCCTGTCTTTCCTCCAATGAATTCAGATGGCGCTCAAGAACCTGGTTGGATGCCAGCTCCTAGTCGCTCGCCATCAGGATCGCCCCTCCCGACGCCAAGCTCCTCGCAGACTCGCATACAGGAACCAGGCGGTAAGCGCACGCGAAAATTGTCAAATACGCCGCACGACAATGTAGACTTGCTCGACGTGTCTGACCCATGGGGGACCAATTGGCACCATCAATCGCCTTACGACGTCGGTGGGCTAAATGCAGAGAGGGGTGGCACTATTCCTGAGGCGTCTGATGTGTGTATTCTTTCATGATTTTCAAAGACGAAGCTCATGTGTCTTGTCAGGGTCGCCCCGGCGCGCGCTCCCGCAAATCTAGTCTCACTGGCCAACGACACAAAACCACCACTCCTTCACCACTATCCCAATCTACATCTGCGATACATCTACAGCACCCAGACGCAGATGGCTTGGGGGTCTCTCGAAAACTCACCAAGCGCCGTAAACCCGGCATCCGCGGTGTCTTCAGCGGCTCAATTGACACAGACGCCCCTGCCAAGGCAGTCTCTGCACCCACGACACCTATCGATGGGGATATTGTGTCGCAAGATACTCTGGCTCCACTGGGAAGGAAGACGTCAAAGCTAACATCTACCATGTCGACAACGTCTGGGAGAGCCTCCATTTCCATCGCGTCCATCGCGCCCTCCTATCTTACAGAAAAGAAAGAGAAACGTGGGAGTGTTTTGGGGCGGTTCGCCAGGAGGTTCAGCGTCTTGCGAAAGACGCCGCGTGTGCACAGTAGGCAGCCTAGTGCCGAAGATGGGAAGCAAATTGGCGACCGTCCTAGTCTTGAAACAGCAGACCGCCATCAGACAGCTTCGATGGAGCCCAGGGTCTCATCCTCACCGGAAAAGGCGAGACAGAGCGTGGACGTGAACAAACGTGTTCCCCCTCCATCTACAGAGCGGGAGGAAGCGGATGAGGTGCCTGAGCCCATACACATCGTCCGTGCTGAGCCGGAACATGACCTTGGCGATGGAGCATCTTACATGTCCGTCGAGGCCCCATTCTCGATGGGCAAGCTGACTATCGCCAACCCCGACACGCCAGGATCTGCTGAGAACTCACCCGGCCCCTACGTCACCTCGTTCCATGTCAACTCAGCACCACATCCTCAAGCTACTGAGCAAAGAAGTCGACCATCTGAGGATCGATCTCAACCGCTGTTGATTCCTGTGACGGTTGCGTATAGTCATGAGATGGTCGAGACGCCCGTCGCACTTTCCCCAAGCCCATCCCCACCGCCGAGGGCGCATCATCCCCAGCACACACTGGCTCATCCACATGGATTCATCCCTCCGCATCTACACGCCGCCCATCTGGCGCCAGAACAATATTTCCCTCCAACGCTGGTATCTAAAGACGAACCCTTGCCAATACCCAACCAATTTGAACCTCCATCATCCCAGACCGATGACTCTCCTATGTCAAATTTGTCTTTGCTCGTGAACCCTCCTACTCCGCAACTCCCTTCAAGCAATGTATCGCACATCCCGTCTCCCTACGTGCCACCTTCTGCACAGGTTCCACCGTCTCCTGTACAACCATCTCCGACTTCCCCTCAAACGCCTACGAATGGCATGCAGCCTTCCTCACGGGACTCGTCTCCTACAAAGAGACACGCAAGCCGACGCCAGAAGTCTTCTGGTTCGGTGAAGAGGGAGACCGAGACGTTTAGACTCGTGAGGAGCCCTTCGGCAGGATATGTGCATTTGACGGGCGAGACAATTGTGGCACACGGGGAGCAGTGGGCGGTGGTCGGTTCGCCAGAACTACCGAAGAAGAGTAAGTCAACAAAGTCCAGACGTCACGAGAGGGAGCGGACGGAGACGGAGGCTGTGGCTGGACCTTCTACGGAGCAGGTATGTCACCGACTCATCTATTTTTGTATCATCCTAGTGCATCTGCACAGGAGCATTCACACCTATTTTTGTCAATCCTTTTTCTGATCTGGATCTTGACACACAGGCTAGTTCAAGTCGTCTTGAAGGCACAGAACATGCAAGGTCAAGTCAGACCAAGGAGAGCTCGTCGAGTCGGCGGCACCGAAGTCAAAGTGAGCATAAAGAACACCGTGACAGGTCGTCGATAGATACCCCTGCAGGTATGCCAGTAAATGGGTCTGTCAACGGTGGCGCTCGTGTCGAGCGTCGTCCATCGACGTTAGCACGTCCAACTTCTGAGCTTACATCTGCAGCTGATCTCAATGCTGTTAGAGCCAAAGACGTGTGGGAAATGGAGCGTCTTTGGAAAGGACAAAGCATGGCCTATGGCCTTGACGGGCCTCAGCTCGTCTATGCGCAGTCGATAGGTGAACGGTCGAGCGCCAGTGTCAATGGTGATCTACAAAGGGCGAACACCATGAGCGGAGCCGTGCACGGCTCCAGTCACACTTCCTACAAACTCCAATCACCATTTCTGTCTCCAAGCCCTACATCGTCTCAGCCTTATTCCCCCATCCCCGCTCCACCGCCTCCCATCATTTATTCGTCTACGACTGCATCTGGATCCTCGCCTTCCTATATATATCCGAACGGCGTGCGGTCGTATCCAGACATCTCTACGATTCCCTCGATGTCTTCACCAGAACCCTCGCCCCCGCGCCGCGCATTCACAAACCCTCTGCCGGAACCCCCGCGCGAGTCACCATACAGACCGCCCCCACTTCCCCCATCGGTCGACGACCACGAGTCCGCGTCCGTCGCGGAATACTGGAACAAGTATGCGATGACCACCTCTTACTAAACCGAACCGTATTATACCCTACTCACATTCTCCCGGAAATAAGACCCTTTGCGATATCTAGATGACACTCATTCTCCTACGGACTTTATTTTTTTTTTCCAACTCTCGCTCTCTCTCGCTCCATTTCCAATGCCCGGGTTTCTCTTGTTGCATTTCTCCAGCGGTCGCTTTGCATTATAATTATGGACTAGTCGGTTGTGCTGCCATGTAGTTGATTTATCATTACCCTTAGTGTTCAGCGGTGGTCATTCCTAGCGTTCACCCTCAGGCGCGTCTGAGGTTTATTACGATAATAGAACATTTCGTTTCCAAATCTTGGATGTAAAGTACAGTATAACATGCATAGGACAAGGGGGTGTTGGTGACATAGGTGATAGATGAACAAGAAAATGCGGGAAAAACAACACGCGGGAAGGACAGAGCACAAACAAATCAAGCATGGAAGAAACCGAAAGCAACTACGTACGTCCAATCCAATACATCAATCAACGGGGGTACGCCTGAGGGTCCAAAGGAAAGTCTGGCACGGGGTAATCCTCCCAGCGGCGCTCTGCGTCCAGGAAGTGTCGGAGGCGGGATATCTGGTACGACAAATGGATAATGATAATCTGCATCTTGATGTCGAGGTTCAGCTGGAGGATCTCTTCGCACGTGCGCAGCGCCTGCGTCCGCGTCGTCACGAACATGCTCCCGTGGATGCCGAGCGTCTTGACGGCGTCGATCATCTCGCTGAATTCGGCGCACCACCCCAGCACGCCGAGCTGTGATCGCGTACGCGCGCATACATGAGCCACGATCGGTCGGTATGGTGGAAGACGAGAGGAAGGAGAGCGCGCGCACCTGCCCGAATTGCTTGAAGCGGCCGTAGAGAACGTTTGGGGCGGATTTGAGGGCGAAGTCGATCATCTCGTTTTGTTCTATGACGCCGGGGAGAGGGGGCGGAAGGGGAACGGGGGGTGGGCCAGGCTGGGGAGGGGAAGGAGGTGAGCACAGGACATAGGCGCGATGCGAGAGAGGCTCACCGCTGGCCGCTCTGGTGGCGGCTCTTTGAACCACTCAAAATCGGTGTAGTCCGGCTCGCCACCAAAGTCGACTGTTTCTGCGACCTTGCCGAAGGCATCGTAAGTTGTTTCCATATCGAGTTCGTGAGGGACAGTGTTCAGTGCTGGGATAAACTCCTGCGCTTAGGGAAAGGACGAGGTGGAATCGGGAGAACTGGGGTGGGAGTAGGGTCAAAGACGGGTGTCACTGTTGAACATACCAGCAAGGGCAAGTGAGCGCCAAAGCCGAGGGTTGGGAGCGGACAACAGGCATGCTTACCAGCAGAAATGATATCGAGCGGAGGGAGAAGCGTAACAGTGCGTTCAGATGGGACTGACGGCTGGTCGGACGTATCGGAGAAGAGTTCGGGTTTACGAACGGGACCCTACGCAGATGCCCGACGTCAGACATCAAAGTATACACGGTTCATGGCCGAAAACACAAACTTTGAAATACGGATTCTCTCTGTAGCTTCTAGATTTGGTCGAAGGCGCACCACGAGAACAAGACTTTTTTCGACTCTCGACTATGGAACGTCGGTAATGTGTGATGGTCGCGCGGGTGACGGACGAGGTGCGAGAGCGGGGAGATCTGTATGGCCGTGAAGGGGAGCTGTTGGGCCTGAGAGACGTCGAAAACGAAGAGGACGAGGTGCGGCGCGAGCCGACGCGAGATGTGAGAGTGAAAGTGGAGTCCGAGTGAAGGTGGATATCCGATTCCGGAGTCGTCAGAGTGGTCTCAGATGAGTTGAGGTCGTGAATGGCGACACGTCCCTTGATATAGACGACTTCGCTAGCAGGATGTGGAAGGGGCAGTGCCGACGGAACTGGGAGGGGAGAGGGAGAAGGGGGTGGACGAGCGCCCTGAGAAACGAGATCGATGGTATCGGTATCCGAGTCGGTCTCCTGTACGAGTTCTTGATCGGGTTCGGTCACGTCTGAGTACACAGATTGCGGCGATGGGGTACCGAAATGACCCAAGGACTTTTCTAGCTCGAACACGTTTCGCGACAGCCAGGAGGGAGAAGGAGGGGCCCAAGATGTGGCTGACGAGTAGCGGAACTCGCTAGCGGTGTAAGCGGGGGACGCGGTGAGCTCTGCGGGGTCGACACAGGCGTGGACGATGGCGCCTTGGTATTGGGGAGGCGGGAGGGGCAGCGGGCGGGTGGGGCGGGGAGGGCGAGGAGGGTCTGCTGACGCGGTCGATGTGACAAGGTTGGCAGGCTCGGACTGGGAGCGCACGTGGCCACGGGGGCTGGGGAGGGATGGCGAGGACTGGAAGCGAGACCGAGGGGAGCCCGTGAGAATGTCCTCGAGAGAGTGGTAAAAGGACGAGAGGGAACGCTGTGGGTGGAAGGTGGCGGCACCGGAGGTACGGGGGCTGCTGCCGGCAGAGGAGAAGTCAATGACGAGCGCTTCCGGAACAAACTCTGGAAGGAGGTGGAAGGAAAGCCTGCGTTCTTCGGAAGATTCTGGACGTGCTGCAGGAACGTGTGGTACACGCCGCCGACTCCTGTGCGGTCTATTCGAAGATATCTCAGATATCGGCGTGCGAAACGAAGCACGCAGTGTGCTTTTCAGTGACCCAAGCCGCTTCAACGTCGAGCTCGTCTTGGGCCCGGTCGAGGTGGACGGTGCAGAGGGCGCGGGGGTCGATGCACGTGACAAGGCGGTATGGAACGACGCGGTGGCGGAATCAGGGATGGTGTGCGCTATGGACGATCGAGCGTCCACCGGATCCTTCTCGAGAATCGACTCTGCGCGGAAAGGGTCCTGATCGTAGAACACGGACGAGTCGTCTCCGATGGGCGCGGGAGAGCGGTCGTGTGCGGTCCCGGCCGGCTTTGCAGAGTCGACGGGGGTGGGAAGGTGGCTGGGCGGGTATGGGAAGTCGAGGATAAGCCTCAGGTCCTGCAAATCACTGATGTGACGCGACGACTGGCGGGACTGCCGCGATGCTCGGCTCGAACTCCGTCGCCGGATCGATGTCGACGTCTTCTCGACAGGACTGCGAAGCGATGAAGAGCGCGACAGCAGCGACACCGGATGCAGGGAATCGATGGGCGAACGATAGTTGCTCGGCGTCGCGAACGGATCCGAAATATCGCTCTGCTGGCGCGCACCAGAGACCGTCCTCAAGCGCTCGGGCGGGACAATGGACAGTGCTTTGTCGATGGCATCGGCCGAAGGAGGGGATGGCACAGACGGACCTGTAGGTGCAGCGTCCGCAACAGGTCCCACAGTGGGTACGTCTTCCCGCGAGATGGGCTCGATATCCTGCACCCCATCACTCACAGCAGATGGGTCCTCCTCGACGACGGTGCTGAGGCCGTTGCTCCCGAATGAAAACAGGCGAGGATTGTCCGGGAAGGGATGCGCGATAAAGCCTGAAGCTGGGACCTCGGCAGCGCCGGTCGAGCTACGCAGAGAGCCTCGAAGGCTGCGAGCGAGTCTCGACCGAAAGGATTTCTTGGATGAAAACGTCGGGCCTCTGGCAGGTCCTTCAGATGGGGACCTGCTTGAGGGAAGGGCTCTGCGACGGACTCTCCGAGCTAATTAGAGTGCTCCTGAGCCCTGACCCGGTGTGAAGAAAACGTGGAGGCCTGGCGTTGTAGGTCCCATCCGGCAGCGGTCGTGGAACGGTCAACAGAAGGCCAGTTACCTCGTGTCTTGCGATCATCCTCATTGTGCCGAATGGCGAACGGCGTACAAAGCCTCATGGTTCATGAATGTATTGGGTGTAGAGACGACTATGTAATTGTGCTAAGGGTCTTTTGCAAGTCTATACCAACTGTTACCCGTACTAAGTGTTGCTTAGATGTTGCTGCAGATATAGTCCTCTTCTAATCCCGCAACTCATTCGCCGAAGCATCCTGGTACGCATTAACAGTCAGTCATGGGCGCGCTCGTATGGAGAATCGGTACCTTTCTGGAAAACGTGCCATTCATTTCAACCGTCCGTCATGGCATGTACTACTGAACGAAGGACTTGCGGATATCGCTCACACCCTCCTTCATGCGTATAGTTGAGCCAGAAGAGATATATGACCACACGAGTCCTGCCGAGCAGCACTGTATACGCGGTCAATACGCCTACTTACCCGTGGGCCGTGGCACTCGCTATATGTGATCGATAGGAAGCATTGACGACATAGGAACTTACCAGATGTACACAAGTAATGATATCCACGGGTTCATCGAACCTTCTAGTCACATCTGTGCCCCACCAAGTCGCCGTACATGTCAAACCCACGAACATTGTTCGAGAGCGGAGCACGTACGCATCCAGAGGCTCAGATCTCGAAGGCTCCCCTTTTTGCCCACAGGTGAATTTAGCCCACCTCATCTCAGCCCGCATCGATTCGTCTACGATGAGTCTGATCGTCCATGATGGGCCTGACTATTTTCAGGTTGAGGAAAGTCTGGCATCTGGGAACAATTCAAAAGAATAAAAAAAGACGTGGACATACCACACCCGATTGAATGAGGTGCGAATGAGGCACCGCACCTCGATCTGCATCGTTACTGATATTTTGGGGTGTTCGATATATACGCTGACCAGAGCGTCGGCCGAGGGAGGTTGATGCTAGCTCGACGCTGCGCGACGACGGCTGTCCTCCGATCTGCGTCGAATTTCGATCGAATGAATCAATTTACCGCCCCTCATGCGGAGAAGTCTCGAAAAGTGCGGGGCATTCGTATCGCGAAGCCATCCGCCAAGACGCGTCGCAGCCTGTGATTGAAAGACTTCAGCACCTCACGACAGTGCTGAGATATGCTCACAAAGGTCCAGACGGCAGATTCGAGGTCGACATGTTTACCATTATTCAAAACGCTGGCTGCTGCGACAGATGGTGGAGGTGATCCGCGCATGCCATAGGGCGGAAGGGGTGCCAGAGGTCTTGCAGTGTGGGGAAGCAGGATATTGCCGATAGGTGTCAAAGGTACCGACATGTTGATCGCGTCGGCTCGGATATTCGGAACGAGCACGCGTTCTGCTTAGCGCAGTCGGGGACGGAGCGCATCAAAGAGCGCATCGTCCGTAACGACCTTTCGCTCGGTCACGACACCACGTTCTTGACCGCAGTGTACCTCGGGATACATACAGTAGACTCAAGCGCTAGAGTTGGGCGATTTCGCTGCAGTTTCATCGGTCTAGCAATTTAATGATTCGCTTTCAGCAGTCGTCCCTCTCGAACACTCAGCCTTGAACTGCTGCAGAGTCCACGGAAATTGTTGACCAAAATGTTTGCCATCGATCGAGGACAGTCCGCGGTCGTGCTCTTGCCGCTGTACTAGTCTGGCAGCCTGTCCGGACCGCAGGCATCACAGGGTATCACGGGGCTACCCCAGATGCTTCCCCACAAAATCCATTTATGCATATCCCCTCACTATATCTATCGGATGTGGAGTATTCCCTGGATAGCCAGGATGCCTTAAAAGGCTTGTGAATTGAGCGCGATCCCTTGTCTGCCTCGTCATGGCTCCCCCCGCTGGAACAACAGGCATGCTGCACCGCACAAACACCCTCTATTCGACGTAACTGATCGCGACTCTGGCCCACAGGTAGCGAGCTTTCGTTCGCGCGCTGGGCATTCGCATTCGCTCTCGTCACCAGCTTGTTCTTCACGTGTACGTCCGCAGTCGCTGGTCTTTATATCACGACTCACCTGCAAACTGTGACCTTCATCAGGGGGTTTCGCGTACGGGGTGAGTTCGTTCGACGCACACTCCCCCATCACGCCGTCCTCATGCTATTGTTTGTGTTTGTAGCTTCTCGATGTCCTCAACTCCCACTTTCAAACTGTCTTCGGTATCTCGAAGCTCCAGAGTACGCTCTTGCAACTTGCTTATTTTGTACGGATCATGTCTTGTCAATGGGGCGCCTATACTCCACCTGACCGACGTAACCTTCTAGGGAGCGTACTTTGTGTGGGCGCCATTCGCGGGAATGTTCGTAAGTGTATCATCGTCTGTTGAACGTTCTTCAACCTAACCCCGAATTTTAGATGAGACGCTACGGTTATAAAGTAAGCGCTGACGAACCCCAGTCGACCAGCTATCTCTCATCATGACCCATCGTGCAGAAAGGCATCCACTTAGGTCTTACCTTGTACTCATTAGGTGAATCCTGATTCTGTCTATTTATATATCCGCGCCTGACACCCATCGTGTTACAAGGTGCCGTTTTCTTTTGGCCCTCTGCCAAATTTGAGAAGTATGGCGGCTTCGTCGGATCTACATTCGTCATCGGTCCGTCATGTCCACTCGTTCTCGGATGTCTGCCTATCTTCTCATAATTGTTCTTGCGCAGGATGTGGATTGGCCACACTTGAAGTCGCAGCCAATTCGTACATATCTGTACTCGGCACGCCTCAATATGCGGCGATGCGGCTGAACTTTAGCCAAGGCTTCCAGGGACTCGCTTCGTTTGCCGGTCCTCTGATTGCCTCGACATACTTCTTCAAGGGAAAGAACGCGAACTCACTTACGAACGTTCAATGGTGAGCGAGATCGCATCTGCACGAAAGATTCCAAGATTCATACTGGCTCTTAGGGTATACCTCGCGGTCGCTGCATTAGGGCTGGTCCTGAACATTCTATTCTTGTAAGTAAGCCTGAAAAGGGGTGATGATAAGGCTGACTTAAGGTATAACAGCTTCTGCGATCTACCTGAAATCACCGAAGAAGCTCTCGAAAAGGAGATCGAGGATGCTGGGCTCGTCGAAGACGACATTGGTCCCTTCTGGAAACAATATAGGTGTATCTTTGGCTTCGTAGCTCAGATGGCGTACTGGTACGCATTCTGTTGCTTTCGTCTGGAACGACTCTAATACTCTCACTCAGCGGAGCACAGATTACTGTCGCATCATTTGTAGTCAATTACCTTACTGAACAAGGCGTGGGCATAGACCACTCCAGGGCCAGCTTGATGTTCTCATTTTGTCAGCTCACGTTCACTGGCGGGAGGTTCGCTTTTCTGGATGCTTGCCCGTTTCTGCGTGTAGTAACAACCGAAATTATCCAGATTTATAGGAGTCGTCCTGCTCAAGTGGCTCGATCCTGCTCTCGTGCTCAGCGCTTATGGCATTGCGTGCTGCGCGTTCTGTCTTGGCGTTGCTCTTGCGGGAGGCAACGGGGGTATCGCTTGCTTGTTCCTCTTGTTCTTCTTCGAAAGTATCTGTTATCCGGTATGTGACCACTTACCGTATTTACTTATGCAGCTCTGACACCCTCGTTTCCAGTGCATCTTCACTCTGGGAACGAAGAATCTGGGGGTCCATACCAAGCGTGGTTCTGGCCTCATCGTCATGGTACGCCACCATCTACAAGTCACCCTAGACGCTATGAAATCTAATAACGCTCATGATAGGGCGTGGGAGGGGGTGCATGGTACCCGCCAGCACAAGGCGCTCTGGCTGACAAGACCTTCACGCGTCATTCATATCTCGTCCCATTCTCCGGCTACGTCGCCATGTCTGCCTACGCCATGTACGTCCCTTCGCTACCCACAGACAGCGGCGATGCTGACCGCAAGGCGTTTGCGAAATAGCGGCCTCGTCATCGACCAATCCATCAAGCGCGGCTTCCACTTCCGCAACATCGATGAGCTCTCCCAGACGCGGATCGCCATGGCGTCTGCTTTCCCGGAGAGCGCGCTGGTTGTAGACGGCGCGCTACCGGCATCGGTCGAGCAGGCGTGGGCGGGCAAGAATGGGAGCAAGCACGCCGCCTCTGACGAGAAGGAGAAGGATTCCATCGAGTATAAGGAAAATGTATGAGCTGTTTGTTGCACCTGGGTGTGCGCGGACTGCTGTGATGATCATAGTTGCATTAATGAGGATACCATACCATACGCAACGTTCTTGTCAGTGTCTTATGTACGATTTGTACAAGCTATCCCTAAAATGATACCAATGAACGACCCGTTCTCAGTTTTCTAAACCGAAGCAGCGGGATCTCACACCACCATCTTGCACCTGTGATTCTATAAATTTGGTCCGTAGTCCGCAATGGGTTATATTACATAGAGACACAAACTCGCAAAACTTGTACAGTGGTATACAGACAGTTAATCTCAAGGACAGAGAACAACACAGCTAAAAACATCGAAAGCATGACAGCAAGAAGTACGGAAAAGAAGATTAAATATCGTTACTGTAACAAGGGCTGCTCCTCGCCTCGCCTGTGCCTCCAACCCCGAATGGTGATATTGAGTGTCGTTGCCAACTCCCAGACACTCTCCGTTGATGTGTGCCAAAGTTCCACGAATGTTTTTTGCCCATATTCTCTCCTCAAAAACTCTCCTGCCAACACGGATCCTGTCAAACCCCAAATGATCACGAACACGGTATAATTACCAGCATATATATACGCTGTGCGGCGCTCATCGGACGGCCATTGAACACCAACCGTCCTTGTCCAGGAGCCGCTCCCGATCTGCATGATCTCGTTGATACCTCGGCCTGCAATACCACTCACGCCGTTGTGCCCACCGTCACAAAAAAGGACCATGCTACCGGCTTCCTCTGCTCGCGCTTTCGCCTGCCCCCATACCGCCAGCCCGACGTCCGGGTGCCAGGTGCGGGCGGGCGCAAGAATTAGGGCAGGTCGCGACGACAACTCAGCAAACGCAGACGGGGACGCGAAGTCAAGGCAGATAGATGCCGTCAAAGGAACTGGGCGTACATAGGGCGGGCCGTGAGACCAGTCGCTCTTGTTAGTGTGAGCGGGAGGCGGGAGGGGTAGGTGATAGACTGTGGGTGGATCATATGATGGAACGGCACTGAACGATTCGGCTACTAATGTGCGACCATCAGCACATGGTATGATACGAGGCTGCAGATATCTCACCAGGAACTAAGTTTCGCTTGTAGTACTCGAAGACCGGGCCATCGGGCCCGACGAGGACCAAACCGATCCGTTTTTTGTCTGTATGACTATGTCCTTGCCAGCCCGAAGGAGCATTCTCCACAAACGAAATCCCGACATACGGTCCCTTTATCATCTGCCGGACCTTGGAGATGGCTTTATCTCGCTCGTCAGGACTCTCAAAATGGACCGCACCTTCGGGCCAGAGCATGATCTTGGCACCACTGGGTACTACACGTTGTGATTCGAGAATGAATCGATCAAGGATAGAAGTATGGTCATTGGGTTTGGGTGGCGGGGGCAGAACGCAGCCAACCGTGATGGGCGTCGACGAGGAGGAGAGAGGAGGGAGCGGAAGGGGATGTACAAAATACGACGGTACTGCCAATAGGAGAAGCAATGTGGAGAGTGCGAAAACGGGTTTTGAAAACGACGAGGGATGAGAGGGAATCTGGCGTTGTTCGCTAGAGGGCTCGTCCTCAATGTCAATGAGCTGCTCATCACGGAAATGAACGCGGCTGCTCAGCCACGTGCCGACTACATCCGAACCTACGACCGCGAAAGATGCTACCACCCAGTCGACTCCCCATGGCCCGAGGACAGGTTTTGTCCATGCGTAACTTTCGATGCCCAAAACGGGACTCCACGTGGTCAACCTCCCTAGCGGACTTTCGAAGGCTAACGCCTGCCAGATGGTTGCCCAAAAAGCGGGAAAGATGACAGCTCTAGACCATGGAGAGTCAAGCTGCTGGCTTAACCAGACCTCCAAGCCCATTGTAGCTAGGACGGCGAAGGATACCAGAGACGATATGAAGTGGAGCATTGCTAGAGACATCCAGGCAGACGACAGTGCGGACGTAGCTGGGAGAACATGAGCTACGGTCGTCGCGAGCGACAGACAAAGCCAAAGTTTAACGGAATGAAGTGCTTGGTGTGGTTTGTTCAAGGATAGGGCCTGGGAGACGTAGACGCGCACCAACGTCAATGTGATTGCTAGTGGTATGAGCGATGGCGATGGCCCTAAGGCGACAGAGGCAGATGCGAAAGTGAAGAGAGGGAGAAGAACACTTAGTTGTTGAGTGACCATGGCTGAGGGTGAAAGACGGCTATGTAGGACCACCATGGGGCCTGCGAGAGAGTTCGCTGTGCGACTCAAGCGGAGGGCGTATCGACTGCGCGGTTGATCACAGTTTGATCGCTTGTTGATCGCGCAGCCGCCCACATCTAATCTAATCTCCAGCAAGGAGACCATGCCGCTCGGAACGTGTTGAGCAACGTGGCATCGCGTATGTCATCCGCGGCGCCGGCTACAGACATTCACGTTAGTCTGTCTTCTGCTACAGAACGCGTCCCATAACGTGTGTAACATCTTCTCGCAAATGTTTATCAATTTTCATCCAGCTGAGCCCTGCCATCGGATGGGTCCAACGTGCGGCAGCCATCAGCATTCCTTGTACTATTAGCGAACCAACCCGTAAACTCCCATGGGCCAGCCTCGGCGACATTGGTGATCCACATGTGGGTCCAAGTTCAACGTTTTTTGCGTGATTTTTTCCCTCTGTGCGGATCTAATAGATGGAGTCGCATGATCCTCCTGCCTGATTACGGCTCCCCTTCTAGATACCATGACCGTCCACTCACCAGAGTATTTAATGCCTCATCTAATCCCAACACACCCTATTCTACGAATTCATCCCTCCCACACAAGAGCCATGGCAGAAATTCACTCCCAAGCACCCATTACTTTCATCCCTGATAACTTGACGATTCCTCAGTTTTTCTTGGACTATCACCATCCACTGCGTCCCGTTCGAGAGGCCACTACGCCTATATTCATCGACGATGACAACGGGAGAAAGATAGGGCTAGAGGAAGTACGTTTGTCTTCTTCGGCACTAAGTATGCGGAAGCTCAAGGCTTTGCAGGCACGTACACGAGCATATGGTCTCGCAAACAGCTTGAGCCTCAGATTCGGCTTTGGTGCGTCGAAATTCTTCGTGTCATGGACAAAGATTGATTTTCCCTTGCACGCACCGACCAGATCAAGAAGAAGTTGGTGAGTCTCTAGGTAACAAGGTATTGCTTGACACATGATTGACAGCTTCTACCCGCTTACAGTCTGTCTGTTTTCTCCAAATCATGTCGGTAAGCCTCGTTCCGCAATCTCGGATCCTTATCCCCCTAATCAGACTTCGCCGTTCTCAGATTATGCTGTCGTCCTTTGGGCAGTTCACCGACTAGGTGGTGTTATCACGTAAGTAAAGTTTGCGCCTCAAGGCTTTATGTATCAAGCAAGTCGATCGTACCAACGTGTCTTACTTCGAATTTACTAGGCCCTCCAATGCGAGTTACACCACCGAGGAGCTCGTGCATCAGCTCCAAATCACACACTCATCATTTGTCGTCGTTCATTCGTCGTTTCTCCACACGGCAGCAGAAGCTTGCCGCCGAGTCGGGATCAGTTCCGAGCGTATCATCATACTAGATCAGGCCTCTTCCCCACTACACGCTACACCATCGCATCCATCTGTTCCCGAATTGATCGAGGATGGCTTGACTCAGCGATGCAATTTTGTCGAAAAAAGACTGGCGCCGGGAGAGGCTAAAACGAAGCTGGCACTGCTGTGCATGTCGAGTGGGACGACAGGAAAACCAAAGGTGATGACCACTGTCTTATAAACAGATCGGCTGAACATATGTCATCGCAAGGCGGTCGCAATAGCACACTATGCTCTAATTGCGAACGTGATACAACTAGTCGCACATCATGGCGACGCAGAAACGAAGTTGGGAACGCCCGCAGAGGAACGTAGATTCAGGCGTGGTGATATCGCGGTCGCTGGTGAGCTATCTTCCTATTGCTTTAACGCGTGAATTGATAAGTGCCGCCCAGTGCTACCGTTTTCTCGTAAGTCGTGTGCTCCTGTGTTCATTTTCACCTGTCTAACTTCTGAGAAGATATATATGGACTCGTGGTAATCGTATGTTCCTTTCAATCACCACTGATTTTCATTTCCGACTCATGAATGTCTCTAGCTTCATAAGCCAATTTTTGAGGCAGTCAGTCACATCAGCATGGTTTCTTGTCGGGCACTCTAACAGCGTTGTTTACAGATGGCTCTAGTCATCGTCCCTAAATTCGACTTTCCCCGCTTTCTTGACAGCATCGTACGGTACAAGATAACACATCTTTTGTGAGTGTTCTTGACTTCCTGAGCGTCTGCGAGCGAACTGAGAATTCCTCGGGCTATAGTGTTGTTCCACCTATGATCGTTCTTCTTTGCAAGGTACTCCCTGATCTGATCTCCCTGGAGCTAAAGTTAACCGGCGATTCGCGATGTTCAGCATCCGATCGTTAAGCAGTATGATCTTAGTCGCGTTCGGTTCTGCGTGAGCGGTGCGGCACCACTCTCTTCCGAGCTCATAGGGCAACTGGCGTATATCCTACCGAGTTCGGCCATCGGGCAGGGATACGGTATTACATATATTATACTCGTTCGTTCGTTTACTAATCGACGGTGTGCAGGCATGACGGAAACATGCACTGCCGTTACCTTGACCTCCGCATCACGGTGGGTTGACAGGTCTGGGAGCGTGGGCACCTTATTACCTGGAGTTGTGGCTCGTATCGTGAAAGCAGATGGAACGTTAGCGAAACCCGGCGAGTCCGGAGAGATGATCGTTCACAGCCCGTCAAATGCTCTCGGCTACGTCGGTAATGAGAAAGAGTATGTATTTTCTAAGGAACTTTCCAGGCTCTTTTTTGACTATATTGCTGGAGGACAAGTGCAACGTTCTCAAACGGGTAAGCCATGATATCCGAAGCCTATTGTCAGATTCTGATGGCTTTTGAATGGCCCCCAGATGGGTCAAAACAGGCGATGAAGTCATCTACAACGAATCTGATGATGAATTCTACATCGTCGATCGCCTCAAGGTCAGAGTTCACGATCTTAGATCAGACTCCTGGCGATCTGACCTTCTACTTTTAGGAAATGATCAAAGTGCGAGGCTTCCAGGTAGCACCAGCAGAATTAGAAGGGCATCTGCTTGGTCACCCTGACATCGCCGACGCCTGCGTTGTAGGCGTGCCCGATGAATTCAGTGGCGAGATTCCCTTTGCATTTGTCGTCATGCGTGCCCATGCCGCTCAACGCATCCACAATAGTGCATGGGAAGCAGATAGCATGAGATCCGCCATTTCAAAGGTAAGATGCTGACATTTATAGACTTGGTTGATACTCATCCCGGGGGTTTCCGCAGCATGTGTCCGATGCAAAAGTCAAGTACAAGTGGCTTACGGGTGGGGTTGAATTCCTCGACGTCATTCCGAAGACTCCCAGTGGGAAGCTGCTGAGGAGGCTGTTACGTGACAAGGCGAGAGCTCTGAGAGCGAAGGCGAAGGTCACAAACCCCAGAGCGGATACCAGAACAGAAGTGGCCATGGAAGCTCGGGCGAAATTATAGACATAAGTGTTAGGAGAGGGTGGTTAGTAATTGTTTCCGTAGTCTGTACTCAATGTCTTCGTACTTTTAGTTTGTAGCGTCCTAGAAATTTTATGCTCATACCTTAACGCCAGAGGGCTGCGCCCACTAGATGAGCAATAAACTTGTCAGAGAAATGAATGAGGCAACAAGTGTGATATACTGATACTTAGTAGACGAAAGCTTTCCCAGGGCCAATTCGAGCTGTCCAGGGTGGGCGCGGCAATTTCCGGTACCGGGCAACGATGCGTCGGGACTCGGGAGTCGAGTGGATCCATCCTGCATCTTTGATTTGCTTTTGCTTAGTATCTGCACATCGAACTCCCAGACACGTCTTCCTTGCTAGCCCAGAAGTACATTGTGCCCTCCCACAGTCACCATGATCGACGATGAACAAGAGACTGAGCTCCGAAACCCATTTCCCTCCCCTCCCTCGCATTATATGAATTATACGAACCACAATCTCAAACTTTTGGCCCTTCTTCGAGAACGCGTCCCCGAAATTGAAAATTCTGATATCAATCAACGTGATGTTCTGTCTGACCAGAACGATGTGCCAGACTGGCCTTTGATACAGCTCGAGAAGCCCCGAGTAGATTGGATACTCGAAGAAGGCCACTACAATGTTTTTGGTGATACTTGGTTTGTACGCACAATTTTCACTCTCCTCCTGCCATGGTCTGATAGCGGTATCCCAACAATTGTTTTGTAGCTTAAGGAGACAATTCCTTCGCTGGCAGAGATGGGTGGCCACCAATTGTACCCCGCCGATATCAGTATCGGTATGCCACGCAAATTCTCGATGTGTCGGACCCTCACGCGTAGATAGACAGGCGGCCTGCACTGTTATCCGTACTTCGTTCCACCTTGGTCACCTATTCCACACTCCTCAGTTCAATACTTGCTCCACCGTCCGCAGGAGAAACGCAGGAATGGCAGCGGCATGTCGAGTGGATAACCATATTAGCTCAAAATATCATGGCCGCAGCAAATGACCTACGTCCGGTGCAAGTAAGCTTGTGAGCTGCTTACAGTCGATCGTCTTGCTAAGTGAGTATAAATGGCTAGGCACGGGCTAATCTAGAAACCATGATGCGACGGCAGCTGGAAATTCGCAGAGAAGAGACGAAGAAAATCCACGAGTAAGCGCGACGACGTTATGATGCTGCGACGTTAACTGGAAATAACGCCTCAGGAAATGCGATTCGCTAGAAGCCAAGCTTGCAGAACTGCGTACAATCTCATGCACATCTCAAAATGCTCTAGTTGGTCACGAGGTAAATCGAAGACCTATCCTCCTCCACAATGCCTGATGTATACCAACCGTTCCAAGGACACGCCTCGGGCGGGAGTAATAAAACCTGCAGGTCAGGTATGCAATTTTCACCTGGAATACTCTTACCCAACCCTAACCATTCAACTCATAGCCTCTTGGCTTGAACGCACTTACTATGGAGGAGGTTCTACGCTGGGTTGAGGAGGTTTAGACCTTGGATCATCGCGACTCTACTTAAAATCCCAAGCTTTAGAAGTTAAGCCTTGATGGTATCGCGGTCAGAACGGCGTAGTAGGTATGGATGTCGTTGTTTTAGTATTGCTTTCTGTATTTGTATCAGTCATCCTCAGCGTGTACTTCAAAGGCGTATCGTGTCATTGGCCGACCACGAGCGGCAGATGTTAGACACCCAAGCTAAGAGCCGTTTTGATCAGCTGCGTTCGGCTGAAGTAGCCCAAGGAAGATACGTGTTGTGTACGTAGCCCACACATTCGTCAGATTTTCAAGATCGTAGAGTGCCGAGACCTCTGATCCTTGCCTCTCTCGCGCTGAAGCGCTGGGCAGTGTCAATCTAAGATCTCAACAACGCCTGTATTTCCTATTTTGGAAACCCTTCCCTTCACCTTGCCCTCTCTTGAAGTATCTGATTCATGGCGACAAGACGTAGAATTGGAATCAGCGCCGCAACTACGGAGGCTGCGCGGAGACAGCTTATGCAGCCTGTACCATGTTGGGGAAAGGTTTGGGTAACGCCTGAAAACCTGCCGCCTGGTTCGACTTTGAAAGTGTTTAAATGGGTGAAGACGGAGAAGATCCAGGTGCGTAAGGAACACTCGCAGCGGGGCCATTTTAGTCCCTTACTCTTTGGCTAGCAATTCAGTGATGATGAAGGAGACGTGGATGAGCCGCTTGCCCCGTTGCCAGATGAACCGGAAGTCGTTGAAGGAGATGAGGAGATGGATCAAGACGAGCCCGCGCAGTCAGTTCCGCCAGGTGCAACGTCGCGCGACCTGTCTGAACCGGTGATACCGAAAGATGAACCTCAGTCGAAAATATCAACTCCCAAACCGCATCCACTCTCCGTATCCTTTCAACCCTCCATGTCGACCGAAGCCGCTGACGACGTGCTGGACGAATCCCTCAAAGCATTGGACGACAGCATTGCCAACGTCAGTAGTGTCACCGACACGCTCGATCCGGACGCTCTGGTCAATATGGATTTGTCGCAGTTAGGGCCCGACGGGACTGCATTCGAGGCTGAGCACGATTTGACGCAGATGGAAGCGACGGATGCCATTTTGGGAGGAGAATTATTGGACCAATCCATTGACCCCTTCGCGGAGACGTCAACATAGCTGCAGTGCTTTGGTGAGTGTTAGCTATGTTGCAAAACGGATCTTGCTCTCACACTTGTTCGTGATATTGTAGATCTGGCCCCTTCGAGTTTCAATCCTTCGTGCGTCGTGCGGAAAAATGTCACGTTCAATGTGTCATTCTCGAACAGCGAGATCGTTCAGGCAATCGAAGCTTCAAAGACAAACCGAGGTTCATCTATGGCCCGACAACTTTATCCTTCTGCTCGAAAAGAATCAAAAACACCCGTCTGACCTGGCACTGCCTCCTGAAGCATCTAAGAGATACCACTTTTACTGTGATGGTCTGATCTGGTTTTACATTCAAGGGAGAATACCGTACTGTATAGCCTACCGTAGAGTCAAGGTCGGCTGTTGGACTCGTTCCCCGCACCACATGATCGGAGGAATCTGACCAATTTGATGCTGTACCCGTTCTGTGGGAGCTTGTCTCTAAACAGGGCCGGAACTTGAACACAGCTGAGATACCCATTTATCCGGCTCTTATGTACCTTGGCTCATGCATTCGTGTAAATGTGCTGACTCCGGGAGCCAGGTTACAACCGGCCGCTAGAGCGTCGGAGGGCCACAAATAGGACTTCGGTTGCTTTTCACCCTTTCGACTCTTGCCTCGCCCCGCCCCCCTGTACTCTGCGATCGCCTGGATTGGCTAACGATGACGGAATTTGTATCGCCTGCGGGGCCTACGCCTAATATTCCAGAGGACTTGACCCTCGCCCAGTTCATGCTTGACTCGGTTCATCCATCTCGACCTGTCCGGAACGAAGGCATACCTTGGTACATCGAAGATGCCACTGGAAGGCGGATAGGGTTTGAGGAGGTGCGACACGGTCGACCCATTTCGTTGTGACGCGTGGGCTTGGAATAGACATGATGATTGATGGCCGCCATCATGCAGATCCGTTCACGGGTGTTTGGCCTTGCGAACGCGTTAAGTCTGAAGTGGAACGTCCGTGAGTCCAGATCCTCCATCAACGTACATATCCTGTTTCACTGACTGCGCGCTCCTCTAGACGAGGACGATGTCGGTGCGTTGAACCTCCACTGCTGCCATTCTAGCCTCAGATTCTAACACTTAGCTATACAAAGTCTGCATCTTCAGTCCAAACCACGTTGGTACGTCTGGGCGCGACTGGAGAACTGTATATGATTGACTAGACTTGAGTAGACTATGGCACGGTCATTTGGGCTGTTCATAGGCTTGGTGCTATCGTGACGTATGTTTTCATTTGGTGGTACCTGATCATTGATAAACTTACCTGGAGATTGGGTCAGTGCGGCAAACCCTGTGTACAACGCGGATGAACTGTTGTACCAGCTTGAGACGACCAAGGCGGTCAACATCATCGTACACCCCGACTTCCTTTCCGCCGTACTCATAGCGGCGCAAAAGGCTGGCATTTCAAACGATCGCATCATCCCACTTGATGCTCTCTCCCCGTCCGAGTCTGCTCGCGTCGGTCCGAACGTTCATGAACTCATTGAGTATGGCTTAAGTCAAAACCCTAACTTTGTTGAGAGGCGTCTGCGCCCAGGAGAGGCGAAGACGAAATTGGCTTTTATGAGCTTTTCGAGTGGGACAACCGGCAAGCCCAAAGTACGTTAGCATCATTTTGTATTTCTTTTTTGGCATCTTGATCATGGCAGTTGTTCGATCACAGGCTGTTGCGATATCGCACTATGGTCCGATCGCCAACATCATTCAAATGGCGGTTTTTCACAAGGTGAACGAGAACTATACAAATTGGGAAGACCAACGATTCAGACCTGGAGATGTCGTCTCAGCAGGTCAGTCACGCTAACAGCATATGCAGGCGCATTGACTGACACACTTTCAGTCCTCCCATTTTTCCGTGTGTTTGTTAGTACATATGAAATGCTTTCTTTATCTGACATGCTATCATCACAAGATATTTACGGACTTGTCGTCGTCGTAAGTGCCACTATTCATGCTCGTGAATAATGTGATACATCTGGATTTTCTCTTCAGATGCATTTCTTATTGTACAGTGGAGTAGGTGCTCACATACGGATTTTTGTCATGTTATTGAACAAAATTCCTGCGGAAGCTCACTCTAGTGGTGGTACCGAAGTTTGACTTCGTCAAGTACCTAGAGAGCATAGTCAAGTACCGGGTAACCCATCTTTCGTGAGTGTCTGTTCTGGTTGTACGATGCGCACGCCCTTACCATATGTGCGATAGAGTTGTGCCCCCGCAAGTCGTTCTATTATGCAAGGTGGGCTCTCTGACTGTAATGTGTGGGCGCCCTTTTTATCACCGTTCCAGCACCCAGCTACAAAAAAATACGACCTGAGCCGCATCCGATACCTCATGAGCGGAGCAGCTCCCCTTTCTTCTGAACTAACCTTGCAGCTTGTCAAAATTCTTCCTAATGCACAAATTGGACAAGGCTATGGTACGACCATACACTCAGTCTGTCTAACAGAGGCTGATCAGATGTCATGTCAAGGCATGACGGAGACGTGCACTACAGTTTCAATGTGGCCTATCACACAAAAGATTGGCACCTTAGGAAGCGCCGGTCAGTTAATGCCAGGTAATAGGGCTCGCGTAGTCAAAGAAGATGGCACGTTTGCCAAGGTCGGTGAACAAGGAGAGCTGGTGGTCACTGGTCCTTCTATGGCACTGCGGTACACAAATAACGAGGAGGCGTGAGTTCAATCCCTAGGTCAACTATTTCAACTGAATGATCTGGCTGTTCTCTGAAGAACCAAAGAGACGTTCATTGACGGGTCAGATTCATACTTGGTCTGCACGCTAGAACCACATACTGATATTCTTTCTCAAGATGGGTCCGCACTGGAGACGAAGTGATCATTAATGAGAACAACGAATTATTCATAGTAGACAGATTGAAGGTACGCGCCTGTCATAGTGCAGTCTCACCTATCGCTAAAACGTTTTTGTCCTCAATGTAGGAAATCATGAAAGTTCGAGGTTTCCAGGTTGCCCCGGCCGAATTGGAAGGGCATCTTCTCAAGCGGGCAGACGTTGCTGACGCCTGTGTTGTACCTGTCGCCGATGATTACAGCGGAGAGGTCCCATTGGCGTTCGTAGTATTGCATCCAGATGCCGCGAAGAGGGTAGGATCGAGCCCAGCTGAGGCAGAGAAGCTAAAGGCGGACATTGCTAAAGTATGTTTTCCCGGATCCTGGCGGTACAGTTCCATGACTCAAGGAAATTCAGCACGTTGCAGATCACAAGGTCCCATATAAACGATTGGCAGGTGGCGTCGAATTCATTGACGTTATACCGAAGAATCCCAGCGGAAAGCTATTGCGGCGTGTGTTGCGAGACAAGGCCAAGGAGCTACGGGCGCAGAATCCGATCAAAGCGAGGTTGTAGGGGTGGAGGTATCATCTGAGGTTTATAACTACACAAACTATCGTCTGTAACGTACGTTTATGGCATTCATGACATGGATTTGTGTTGTGGGCAGAACTGGAACTCGAAAAGCGGATGAGTCGGCTCGACAACGTAAACGTGATTATGTAATTTTAGAAAGCTACTCGGCGAGTGGAAGCTTGGAGGTGAACGAAGGCGACGAGTGCCAACGAAGATGGTTCGACGGATAGCATCTCAAGTCCACCAGCAGGCTTCACGTCTCCTTCGCGCAGACTACATCAAGCAGCGCCCAGTGTGGCTCGCTGCCGTCCTCGAGCACCCACCACTCCCTCTCCCTCCCAAAGCACCTGCAGCACGAACTGCCTACGACACGCCTACGCCTAGGTCCACCACTCAAAAGGCTCCAGAGCCTCGTCCAAAGCCAATCCACTATTTGGAAGATGAAGTCCGACGCCAGTTCTTTCGCGACCACCCCTTCGAGTCCTTCCGACCCATAACCCTCACCGAGAGCGGCAAGGTCAAGCCTGAGCATCCTATCCATGGTGCAGTGTGGACGCGCCTTCGCCAGCGAGGCCGGAACCCTTCGCCGGAAGAGTGCGCTTCATTATCATCCATGAGTTTCTAGTGACGCTTCCTTGACACCTCACAATTTCCGTGCAGCGCCGTCCGCTTCGCCGTGAATCTTCACGAGTACCACGGCCTTCCCCTTACCGAAGCATACTCTACGTCCATTGCTCAATTCCGCGCTCTTCGCTCTGAGCATCACATCGCTTCCGCGTTCGCCGCACAAGAGGCCGAAGCTTACGGCGCAACCTTTGGTCCGTCCGCAATCGAGAACAGTTTCATGCAGGAGGAGAAGGTGCTTGCCGAGCGGCGTATCAAGAGCGAGCAAATGGACGAGCGTGAGCTCACCGCACGCAAGCGTTGGCGTGCCGTAGTCAATCGTGGTGGTTCGCCTGGAGAGTGGAGCCGAGGTCAGGAGTATGTCAGACTTTGGAAGGAGGGCGTCAGGCCGGACTATTCTCCTGCATTGACGGAGCCCGTGTCGCCTATAGAGCCTGTCAAGGCTGACTTCACGCCGATCACGGAGTTTACACCCAAGCCATGAAAAGGCATCGCTATCTCTTTTCCATACACCCAGTATCACATAATTTTGGTCGTCGTTATGTTGTCGTGACGATACCTCGTCTTCAGTGTGTCCGAAAAGCAAACTCAAAATACAAGTCCATTATGCAACATCATCTGGTACATACAGTATCATGCCTTTACTCTCGACTGTGCTGCCTGGGCGGCGTTCATCCCCATCCACGTCTTTTCGACAAAGCCCAGCAGCTTTTGCATGTCGGCACTCCAGTCGTTCATGACATCCTCGGCGCTGCGTTTGTTACGGAAGTTTACCACACCCGATGGTCGATCGATACGCGCCCATATTGTGCCAGAGACGACGAGGCGACAGAGTGTGTCCTCCGTTTGTTGCGGGCTCAAATCAAGGAGTGTTGTGAGACGCGCAAGGGTAATACGCGTATAATATTGTGCGATGACACGGATGTTCTGGAGGCATATGATGAATTGAATAAATGAGCAATGAGCGCTATCGTAATCACTCACATGTTCGATCACTCGCGTGTGCAGATCTTGCCAATGCTTGTCAACTTCGAACACGGCGCTCTTGCGGAGGAAAGGTCCGTAGATGGACTCAATGCCAGGCCATCTCATCAACTCTGGCGTCGTGAATGACTTGACGAGGTTGCTGTATTAAACTCAGAAAGGTAACCCTGGATAGACAAGGTCTAGGACGCACTAATGCAGCTCAAGCCTTGATAGAGCAGGGTTGGTAAAAAGGCGGTGCATCATATCAGACTGCTCATTGTCATGCGAAGCCAACACAACGAAGTAGACAATATGCTCTAGAGCCTGTGGTGAATTAGAGATTAGTACAGTGATCCTCTGTGTAGACAACATGACGCGTACTATCCGTCCTTTCCCGGAGACATCCTCCTTAATCGATGGCGTTTCCCAGACTTTATGGTAGTATTTGGCCACATCCAGGTATGCGCTGTGATGCAGACCGTGTTGGACCATCATGTCATAGTACTTGAGTTTGAGGTCCTGCACGGACTGTTAGAAACGAAATGTAGTTACGGTTGTAGGGCTGACCTCATGCGCCGCTTCACTCAAGAAACCTTCGTTGATCTTCCTGCTTCCTACCCTAACCTTCACCCACTCGGTCTCGCCACCACCCAGCGAATCCTTTCCTTCGCTCCCACTCTCGGCATCTTTTAGGCGTGCAACGGCAATCAGCAGCCGCATCTGCTCAAGAATAAACTCTGTCTTCTCCCGTCGCTCCATCGAAGAGTATGTCTCCACTTCCAAATCTGCGAGCAACTCAGAAGCAGTGATGAGAGAGTCTCGTGGTGGCGGGGAGGTCGGGGTCGGGGTTTCGACGAGGGATTCATGATAATGGGATAGTAGTAGAGTTACACGGGCTCGTGGGGTCTCCAAGAATAACTGTCAGGGATACAAATGATAATTAACAATCGGAACAAATAGTTATATGAGTGGGGAGCCTGACCTTGCCCTCCGTGACGGCTCGCAAAGTCTCAACAAGCTCCAACCACTTCTCAACACCATCTCGAGCCTTGATATCCTCCAACCAGCCCATGGAGAGCTCGACCATCGCTTGAATAGTGACCTTATATTGGCCCTGCTTTTTGCTCAAGAAATTGATGTTCGAATTTAGTTGGGTGTAATCTCTGGCCGCGTATGCCAATTCAAGCACGCTTTTCGCGAGCCGTGTCGTCGATGCCTGATCCGATGCCTACAAGTGAAATTAAGGTGAGCGCCATCTTTTGTATGCGTTTTCATCGCGTTCACTCACATTACGCGTCTGCTTCTCCAGTGCAAGCAATTTCTCCAGTGCATCCCCCAGCTGACCAGACTACTTATGGCGTGAGACATGGACTCCTTGCGCTACTAACAGGCCACTTACCTCCGCCAAAGTCGTGGCCTGGGGAACAAGCTCGTCCACCTCCTTCGCGAAATCTTTCTCTTGTTTCCTGGTCTCTGCCATGGTGTGTATATGGTCGTGAGTGGATGGAGGAGCGTGAACGGACTGACGCGTCGCCGCGTGATCTCCTAGAGACCTTCCTAATTGGGGCATTCTTCCACTTCCTCTGAGTAATTCAACTGGAAGTCCTTGCCTTTGTCCTTTACGAATTGCTTGCGGCCGGGAGGGCTCTCTTTCTGAGGTGGAAGGTATGTCAAGAGAGGATGCATGATTATCATAAGGAACATGGTCGTCAGAATTCATACAGTCATATGTGGTATGGGGGTCAAGCGCGCTGTCCGACACGTCCTACATCGGCACCATAAGCGTAGCAGTAAGTAACCGGGTTCCATAGTAAGGTAAGGCGAGGGAGTTATATACAGACGGGGGAGATGTCGCCATTGCTAGTGCCGTTCAACTTTGATACGCCGACCTTTCCTTTTTCAGTTTCCGTGGCGCCGTTGGCCAGTTTTTCCCGTGCTGGTTCGTTTTTGTGTGCATACACGCGGAAGGGCGTCAACGACCAAATGTCGTGCAGGCGAGAGGTCATGAGATTGGGCCCAAAGACCATCGCCTTCCAGGCCAGTGACACTGCGCCACTTACCACCGGAGGTACGTACAATCGCGGATAGTACGTTCTCTGGGGCGTGTCGGCCATCTTCAATTCAGGATAGATGGAAGCATCGACGTATTTGGCTGCGGTCTCAACGATTGCATTGATCCCTTGCGAGAAGACCGAGGGCGTAGCGTCCACCGACTGCTCGAAGACGGGAGGAACAGCGTCGATCTCTTGTTCCTTGACGGCGGGTATAGCCTCAACCGACACGGAGAGGTGAGCTGGCTTCGCCTCGACGAATCGGCTCATAGTCGAGGGCGCGAATTGGATCTCAGCCTCTGCTGTCCTCACGACGGCCGACATTCCTCTGCTGACCACCAGGGGAGTAGCATCGACGGCCTTGTTCACCTTCGCCGGAGGGTCTGGCACTTGCTGCGCTGCCGCTCTGCGTTCGACAAGGCGCAGTGACTGAAGGTGTGGAAGCATCTCTGCAACGCGTGCCCAGCCTTGTGCGTGCGTCTCAATGAACCCAGGTCGGTTCTTCTCGTGGAACCATTTGAAAGAATCGAGGTAGGGCGCAAGATGGGACAAGAGGATCGTGACCTGGAGAGGGTCACGGACCCACGAGTGACCGACGTGCAGGCGGAGAAGAGATCGTGAGGATGCAGGAATTTCGAAGATCTCATTGCTCCCGGGTTGGCCATTCACGGCGATCGCGATGGTATGAAGACGTCGACAGTTGGCTGTGAGATGCGCGAGGCCCTCCAAGGTGACCTTGGGAGGACCTGCCGAGATCGGGAAGCGTGCGACGGGGCATAGTCGCAAGATCTCGATGTTCGGACACGCCTCTGCAAGCTTGGCGATATCGGAGTTATGGAAGATGACCGACTCTGGAAGGTCGATATCGAGCCGCACCAGAGCGGGCAAAGTCGACAAACTGTCCAAAGACAAACGCTTGGCTGCGAGTTCTCCTCTAGAAGTGGACCGGACGAGATCGGCGAAACGCGATGCTCCACTCGCAGATACGCGCAGCGACTGCAGCGAGTCGCCAAACGATTGCGATAACAGGATACAGAGATCTTGCCAATCTGCTTTGTCGAATGGGTCCTCGATGACCAAGTCCATCTGCGAGACAGGACTCGCCACATGTCTCAAAAATACCACCACGTTCGCCACTTCGCCTGTTAAATGCAAATGGCGCAGCGGTATGAAGGCACCTCTGATCGGCGCGCGGTCGCCTGTCAATTTCAGAGTCGACCTCCTGATGCTCGAGAAATCGATATCTTCGCCTGCATTGGGAGATCCCGGAGTGCTATATCCTGACCTCGATTCAATGTCGTCGAAAAACCCCTCCACAGCTATCGTAGATCTCCCTGTCAAGTCGACCTGCAAACTGCGCAGGGCCGGAAGAGATGCAGCCCATTTGCCTACGCCGGGCGAAAGCGCACCTGGAGCCACCAACGAGAGCTTCTCCAAGTCTGTCTGGGGAGCGAGAAGGCGCGGAAAGTCATCCGGAAGATTCGTGGGTGACACGACCGACAACGAGGTCAACCTCGTGTGAAGTGAAAGGTCGGTGAAGAAGGTCGCAAGCTGCGGGAAGCGCGTGCCGATCTCCAGCACGAGGCCTTGCAGGTCAGGGTTCATGAAAAGCTGGCAACGATCCAGGCCCGCGGGAGTCTCGACACGCCAGATGAGGGTGGTAAGGTTGGGAAGAATATACGTCCTGGGACGATGCTCTTCTAGAACGGGAAAGATGGAGGGAGAGATGCTCTTGGCGCTCTCGTCGTAAGTAAGGCGTCGCACACGCTGCCCATATGCAATAAGTCTGTTCCAGTCCTCTTCGACCGGCATGGCAGCCTGCATGCAATGCTCAGTCGAGACACAAGTGAGCCTTCAAGTTTATTGCAGTACGCACCAAGCCTAAGCCAGGACGTCTCGTCCTCTTAAATAGATGATTCGGAAACAATGAAATAAGCGGGATCAAGGAATCCATCTCCCTCCAAAGCAGGTTCAACGCCGGCTCGCAGAGAGCCTTGCACGTCCTCGCCATCCTCGACAAAGACCTCTTTCCATTCTGCGAATCGAGGACATATTCGAGTAGCTTTCGAGTAACTTCAGCGTCCCTCAAAATACTGGGGCCCATGGTTTGGCGGTATACGGAATACGAAACGTAGGAGGCGGTCGACGGCTGGCGGTGCAATTCACGAGGGCGGCGATGCAGGGAGATGTTGGAGAGAGTACGGACGCGTTCGGTCCAGGAAGAGGTTTGGGGCATTTGAAGGCTGCGGATGTCAAGCATAAAAAGTACTTAACGGTGCTTCAGACACGTTGGAGGTGGGCTGGGGGCAGGTTAGGGCGAGGTGGGTGCATAGCAGAGGCAGCATCAACCAGGCGCAGGACGCGCGAGACTATCATCAGCTTAACATGGAGATGACACCTTGTTGTGTGGATGTTTGATCGAAACACGAGACTTGGGTACCACGTATGTATGAATGCTCGTGGGTGATAAGACAGTGAAGGATTAGCGTGCTTAGGCGCTTCAGTAGAGATGGCGCGAGGCGGATGATCTAAATGCGTGAGCAGTGAGGCTTTGTATCTTATACACGACATAGCCAAGAGGGCATCTCGTTTCGATATTAATTTCTGTATTCGGCGAGGGGAAAGATCGCACGCCAGTGTCCCGTGTAAACACAACGGTGCATGCCAGTGTTGCGTGCGGTAAGCACAGCTACCTAGGTTCTGAATTGAGCTAAGGGGTGAAAGTCCAAAATCATATAGAGACTAAATAACATACACATACAAAGGGCAGGATCAAAGCTCGCCCGTCTCCCATGGTACCGGCTCACCCTCCCAGTCCTCTTCACCTTCCGTTCCATGGCCAAGCTCCCCTACTTCCCATATATCGCCGCCTCTTGCGCCGTCATAGTGAGTCGTACGTTGGCCATACAGCAGCTCACGAACAACTCCTTCTTCGTTGGGATCGCGCGCTTTAGAAGGCGAGATGGCCAGCATGCGCCGGAGGTGATCTGGGAGGTGGACTTCGAATCCACCAGGATCATCATCGCTAGCCGGACCCAGCGTTGGGACCTCGCGCAATGCGCCATCAGCGCGTAGACGCAACATGAGATCAGGATCCAAATCGTTCACTTCGACATGCCTCCGCCTACTCCAGTCGCGTACTTTGACGCTAACATCCTCCGAGCTGTTATCCTCGTCATCTTGCGTCTCTGTGACCATTTTGAGCTTCTTCCGTCCGGCGGCTTTCGATTTGACTTTATATTTTGAGCTTCCACTCGCGGGAGGCGGAGATGGTGGTAGGAGAGGAAGTTCGGACGTGGACACAGCTTCGTCTTCGGCTTGCACAAGCGGCCGTTTCATCGACGCCTTGCCGAGAGCTCTCGTTCCAAACTCTTGATGCGAGGGCAGACCCGGCTTAGAAGTAGTAGAAGGCTCCTCCGGTAGATCAGCAGGCGCAAAAAGATTGTCCTTGCCAAAGGTGAAACCGTTGACGTGTAGCCGTCTCTCTTTTTTGGCTTTCGATCTCTGTGCGCTGTCATTATTCTTGCCTTTACCCACAGGCTTCATCTCCGGCAATCGATGATGGTCATCGGACGCGGCATCATCTGAAGATTTGGACATGCTCCCAGCACGTTGTGAGTTTGACCTAAACAGTTCATCATTGGCTGCAGCGGTCCTCGATCGAGCAAGTCCGGCATTCGCATTTGGCCGAGAACTTGAGCGCAGAGGCACTTCCTCCTCGAAAAGGAGTTTGAACGTTTTACCTTTCGGGGCGGCTTTGACAGGAGAATCTGCGACAAAAAACGAGTTGGCTTGTTCTACAAGTAATTGATCGTCGTCATCACTATCGGCCGCGGCAAGGGCGGTGAAGCTAGGGAACGGAAGGACAGGAAAGGAGTCGACGCGCTGCCTCTTCTCTTTCATGGGAGATGGGGAAACAGGCTCTCCGCGGAGACGCTTCCGTGCTCTTGCTACCGGGTTACTCGGGCCTGGTTCATGCTGAGAATAGGTGGCCTTTTCACGCTCTTCAAAGGGCGGGAACGGATCAGGGGAAAGGGGTCGGGGAGATGAACGTCGTGCTGGCTTTGCTTTGAGAGGAGAGGCAAATGGATTTGGAAGGCGATCTGTAGGGGGCGTCGATTGCTTCTTCGTCCCTCTATCTTTGACAGGGGAGAATGGATTGGAGCTAGAGGAGACCCGAGTTGTGACAGCGCGTGATTTCGGGATGATGGAGGCGGTCGGGCGAGGTTGCGATCGTGGGGGGGTGGTGGGTCGAGCTGGTGGCTTGGACAAGGAGGGGAATGGGAGAGATGCCGATGTGGAGGCTTTATCTGCTTTCACCAGTGCCTTGTAGAGCTTGTATTTCCCAGCTGCGCATGCGTGATATTAGCCATGTATGAACTTCGGCGATGGGAGGCAGGCGGTTACCATAACCAGCCTTCTTGATATCGTCGACGGCAGGGTCGCGAAGGTGTTTGGCGCGAAATTCGCGCTCAAAGGCCTTGAGCTGAGCGCGTAGGGCGGTGGATTCGGCGGACATGGACAGAGAATGGGTGGGATGAGGAACCACAACGCGCTGGAACGCGAGACGAGGGAGGCACGTGAGCGCTAAGGGGTGGGTGTGGCGGGAAGACTCCGGGGAAGCGTCGAGTGGGTTGGGTGATGGGTATAGAATACTGCAACCGTCGTCAGCCGTTCTCAGCACGGGCCATGCACCAGAGCATATTGCGCTCATCTGGTCGAGCTGCACCGAGTTGGCAGGCCCCTATCCTATAAGTGTCTTTCTCTTCCTCTGTACCACTTTGAGCCTTGTTGTCTCTGGACTTTAAGACCTGGTTGACCCAGCGTCTACTTCAGGCCCGCGAGCTAGTGGTGTACTGGTGCATGATCAAGGCGTCAGTCATGACATACCCCCATCAGACATCCTTTTCTACCTGGGTCGACTCTCCCCAGACCGTCCACGATGAGTCGCGCTTAGCCTTTATGCCCATCAGACGAGGCATGTACTATGCACAATCCTCAGTGCCCAGGCAGCCTATACAACAGCGGCAGGACCCTCGGCCATGGCAGCCATTGTTCCGTTCCAGCCCGTACATAGGGTTCGTTGAAGGCTCTCAAGCCCCAATTGCTCATATTCCCCCTGGACTAGCCCCTAATCTTCCTTCGTCTGTACTTCGGCGGTCCTTGTTCGACGATCCTGCTTTCTCGGTCGACCCCTCTTCCAATCCCAATCACTGGCAGCGTCTACCTCCTCCCCCGCTTCCGCCTAACAAGCCGTCGTTCGTCCCTGTCGCCGAGGATTCTCCCCGCGATTCTACCTTCCATAAACGTGCATCGTCGGAAGGTGCACTCGCGCAGAATCTTGGAGATCATCGTAGGCAGACACAAACCATGCCTGACCGTCAACTTAAGGCTCTCTCTGCCACAGACCCTGATCTAGATCCCGATCCACAGGACTCAGGGAGCATGAAGCCTCAATTCGCAACTCCGTCTACTTCCCCTTTGGCTGCTCAATTTGCGACTGTATACATTTCCCCTAGTTCTGGTTCCTCATCTCAGTCATCGTCAGACTCATCAGAAGCATCCGGGCCGTCTGCTAAGGAGGTTGCTGCTCGGTCGCAGCGATCCATCCGCCGCAAGTCTTCGCATCGCAAACCCCCTCCTAGCTATGATGAATCAATCGATGCACATGCAGAGTCCTCAGAAGTTCATGCTCAGCCATCTGCTGCAGATCAAAAACCTCCCCTCGTTGTGCTTTCCTACGACCCACAAGAAAATCAAGAGCAACTGACGCTGAGGCCGAAGAGGGCATCTGGTACCGCACTGCCTGCTGATTTGGACCGTATCGATGAATTGGACGAGACGGATCCCACGGGGTTAGGTTTCCACCACAAGGGTCCGTACGACCTCATAGCCGCAACTGTTGGTCCACACGCGCCCGCCAGTGGACCTCACCAGACGAGCGACACGAGAGATTCGCGTCATCCGATTGGAGGACACAATGCCAATGCTGAAACACCGCGGAAGTCGTCTAAAAGACGCAAAGTTTGTCTCCATTCTCTGCATGCATGAAGTCCATCTGACTTCGCTCGATTTAGGATGTGCCTTCCCCCGAGCGTAGCGCGAATCCTTTGGCTTTGAATCTTAAACCTGGCCAGATACTCCCTCCTACCATTTTCAATCCCTCACCGACCTCCCCATCTTTCCCTATGACGCGCGCTCCAGCTACATATCCTCCAGATCATTACCTACAAACCGCAAATGTAGATACAAATGCACAGCCCACTAATGGACACGGCACCACCGCCCCACCGCCCTCCCCCCTTCGACGGAATTACACTCTTCCAGTCTCTCTTCCCCGAGTTGCACCCGAGCAATCTCCTAATCCATATGTTCCCGATATCCCTCCATCATCCTCTAGGTCATCTCCCTCAAGAGTGTCTCCGCGTTCTGGGCAACCTCCGGCGGCTTCGCACTTAGGACGGCAGGTCCCTGTGGAGAGTATGCACACACTCCCAACGCCTTCTCCTTCTCCTCGTCCGCGCGCGGCTCCGGTCTATCATCCTGGCCCAGCCGAACAAGCACTTGGGAATCACTCTCATTACTTTGTCGCTCCGAGCCCTCCCATGCCTCCGCGTCCACTGCGGTCGAATACAGCTCCCGAGCCACGACGTCCCTATCCAGAGAATGGATACCGTGGCAATGCACTTGACGGTATCCACCAAGATGGCCCTACTCGAACAGCCCGCCGGCAAGCAGTAATATATGGTGGCCCGCCTTCAATCCATGCCCCTCCACCTCGTCAGTTTGTTCAATCACCTCGCCCAACACAAGCGCATGAAAACATCATGCCGGGGCGTCATGCCACGCCCTCTCCGGCTCCCATTGAGCCAGAACACTCATCCCGGGAGGCGCGCCGACATGCATCTCTCTACGTATCTCGAAACCCACGACCTGAACCTGCGCCTTCACTTCCCACCTACGAGAACGGAGCAACTCTTCCATACATGCCACCCACGGAACTGATCGCGGCCCTGAAGCAAGCCGACCTTCCGTTACCTGGAGGCCCTCCACCCGAAATCAATCTTCCTCCCCCCTCTATCGCCTCTTCCTCCTCGTCGCAACAGCACTCGGCACCTCGGCATGTACCAAAACGCCTCGTGATGCCCGCGCCCCTCGCCCCCCAACCGACCAATGTGAATCCGGACGCGCAGTTTGACCCATACGTCGTCATCGACAAACCGAAATCGACTCCGCGCCGTACAAAGTTCCGTGGAAAGTTGGAGGTCAGGTTCGAGTCGCCCCCGCCCATGACTGCTCAAACGATGCCGATGACACCCGGGGGCAAGAATCTTTTGAGAAAGAAGAGTGCACCTGTAATCCCACATCCACCTCATCATCAGCCCCAGGCTTCTGAGTCGCCGCCGCCGCTTCCGCCTCCACCGCCACCCCCACTTGAACCCCAGAAGGTGCAGCACACTGGCGTACTGTCTCTGTTCGGGTTTGGTAAAGGGGTGAAGAGAACAGAGATCCGCGAAGTGAAGGATATCAGAGAGGTGAGAGATGCTAGGGACGACAAGCAGAAGGCGCAAAGGAAGTTGAGCAGGAAGCGGTGATATATTTGGCATGTTGATACAGCTCTCAGAGTCGCCCTCGTGGGGCATCGGTGCGTCACTCGAATATATGGTCTTGTTGTTGTTCTACCATGTATTGCTATCCATTTACGAGATACTCACGACTGGACTTTAGTTATGGTGTACATGGTTGTTTGCTCTGTTTCTTTTGCTTTCTGTTGCTATGCTTTCTTTTGGGATATCTAACGTTCTTTTAGACTCTTGTATTAGCACAAGTAGTATATACTGCCACACTTTCAAATCTGCTCTGTTGTTTGTATCACGTTTTCGCAGTAACATAAATATGACTTCGATCCGCATGGACGTGTGGTCATGCTCATTCGTCACCTCTCCGATATTTTTATACCGGAGCGCACGAGCTGATCGACAGAGAACTGGCGTAGCATATGGTTTTTCAAGTTGAAACTTCGATGCCTATCTTTATCAACCTTGACGACAAAGCGTGACAGAATCCATATGGGACATCCGGTGCATTCGTGTGTTGGACAGCGACGATACTCTCCACTTTGATAGTACCGGCCACATGATAGGGATAAAGACCACGTTCGATCTCAGTGTAGTATTTCCTCCGGTGGGGTGCATCAGAGGTAAAAACAACCCACATGGTGCAGCTGCACGTCCTCCTCTACACACGTGTGTAAACCCGCTCTACACCTTCTAGGGAAGGAGAGTCTATGCCGTGATGAAGGCTGGTATTAGGTGTACACCACCATGAGGGGGTTTAAAAGGGAGCGAGGAAACGGTATGCGATGTCCCAAGGATTTTCCCTCCAGTCGCCGTCCAGCCCGCTCCGCGCAATGAAGTTCATCACTTTCGCTTCCCTCCTCGGCGCGTTCATTGTCGGTGCGCATGCGGCCAACGTTGGTCGGCGCCAATCTGGAGGGTGCAGCTGTGCTGGTCAGTCAGCTGTAGATGTGGTGTTATAACAGGCCATTGATGCCAGGAATCGTCGCAGGGAAAACTTACACTCAGTCTGATGTCGAGAACGGCATTCAACAGGCTGAGGGCGGCGGCGGGGGGTGAGTAACTTTTCTACATCATCAGTCATTCAAGAGCTCACCGAGTGTTTGGCCGAATGTAGGAACTACCCCCACCAGTACCACGATTATGAGGTGAGTCAATCGACTACAGTGCCTTGCTGGGAGCAGTCTCTGATACACACCGAATGCCAGGGCTTCACGTTCCCTTCTTGCTCTGGAGAGTTCTTTGAATACCCTCTGGAGCACAGCTCGGTCTACACTGGCGGCAGCCCTGGTGCGAACCGTGTCATCTACGATGAGGACGGCGACTTCTGTGGTGAGCATCCAGTATCAGTACTTTTGTGTAGGAGTTCTGATGACCATGGACGCAGCATGCTTGACGCACACTGGTGCATCCTCCAACGATGGTTTCGTCGAATGCGACTTCTGATTGAGGCATCATGTAACTTATGGTGATTCTGTGATAAGAGTACTGTTCAAATAAATATGCACTCAGAATGACGAAGTCAATCATCGCCTGCTTCGTTCAATGAAAGAAGCGTGCATACGAGACTACTGCAAATTGAAGACCGTAAGAGGCCAGAGACAGAATCTAGAAAACAGTTGTGTGAGAGCATTCTCCGCATCAGTAACAATTCCCGCCGTCAAATCGGTATCATGAGCACTGGCCACCTTATCTCTGTTCATACATGTATCGATGGATAATAAAGAATCGTTTGATCGGATGCAGCTCGCGTGGAACATAAGGAGAGCAAGGAATGTTGTGAACCAGTTGTGAACCACACCAGTCCAGAGTTGTCGAAACATGACCCTGCCATATCAAATTGCGGATGAGATTCATGAGGTGACAGAGAAAGATAAGGGTACAATCAATAGCCTAAACGGAACATGAACTGGAAACTGTACTGCTTGGTGTCCGGGTCCCAGTGGGACCAGTTCCAATATCCTGCGTCGTCAGACTCGTCCTCAATCTCCCGGGCAGGGATACGGAACGCGATAGTTTCGTATGGTTCAGCAGCCACCTAGATAAAGGAGTCAGTGGTACGGAAAAGAGAGAGGGAAAGGAAACGAACAATGAGGTACTGATATGCCTTGTTTGGTGGCTCCCTCTTCTGCTCCCAAGCACTCATGAACCGTCTCCGAGGAGTAATGCCAGCCTTGATTTGGGGCAGATGCACCTGGACCATCATTCCTTCTTTTCCTGTGTCCCGATCACGGACTTTTGTAACACGATATCCTGGGCGTCCGATTTTGAGGAACACCTTGCGCTGAACGGTCTGCTGCTGCGGAGCCACTTGAAGTTGGCTGTCCTTCATGTCACGCGCAGCACGACGTGCAAGATTCGTCTGATGTTTTTTACCTTGCGTGTGTGCGAGGTAGGAGCCTTCATTGGTGTGAAGAGTGAGACAGAGACGGCACTCGAGAGAGCCTAAGTGATTGCGAAGAATATAGGGATCCTGTAGTATGGTGAGTTCGAGACAGAAGGCTGCAGGATGAGTGTATAGACGTACCTTGGCTAAATCAATCGTCTCCAATGCAAGTTTTCGTAAACGTTCACGTCTGTCGACATTGCTCTCGGACGCCCCTGCAACACCACCGCCACCGAATTTCGAACCGACACGATTCTAGTAATGTGGCTTAATAGCTCAGAGTATTGGGAGATTATGCTCTCTTACCTGATAATCTACGTTTCAATGGTAGTTAGAGCAGCGTACGGGAAACGATATAAGAGCATCACTCACCCATGTTGGCAAACTTGGATGGACTGAGAGAAAGGGGATGGTGCTGAGTAAGCGAAGACGATCAAGTGGGAGATCCATGTCCCGATCTAGCACCGTGGGCAAAATTTCGATTTCTCTGAACACCGATTCTCTGTCCTCACAGAACTCCTCACAGGCGTGAGCGCCGCATATTCATCCATCGTTGACTTGGTCGACGCGACTGCATAAATTAGCTCAGAAGGTGTATAGTCATCGTTTATTTTCTTGCTGCATGTAGCTGAGCTCAATCACCAGAATGGCAGCCAAGAAACGCCAGTTGGAGGACACCGCGTCTGTCCCCAAGGCCAAAAAGACCAAGGTCGCGTCGGAGGGCAAGAAAGAGAAGAAAAAGGCAAAGCCAGAGCACATCCCTCAACCAACTGCCCATATAACTCCCGAAGAAACAGACTTCCCTCGTGGAGGTGGGACCAGCTTTACCCCGCTAGAAGTCAAGACTATTCGTGCAGAGGCAGTCAAGGAGGCGAACGATGAACTGTTCAAAGTGCGTGACGTTTTCACTGCGTTGACGTGCGATTTCACTTCCAACCCGCCTTGTAGGAGAAGGAACAGGCGAGGAAAATCCAGAAGCAGCGACGGAAATCAGACGTGAAGGGTAAGGGAAAGGCTGTTGATAGTAATGGAAAGAGCGACGTTCTGAGGATCGAGCACTTGAACTACAAGGTGCGAAACTATCTACTCTATGCCTGCTTGCTTCGTGAGCTCATGTCCCCTCAGCGCGTTTCCGTAGGCATGAAACTTCTCGCTCAAATCATTTCCACACATCCTCTCGGTCTCATAGTCTCCCTTCCTAATCAACTTGTTGGTCACGTACCAATAACCCAGGTATCTTCGGAACTCACACAACTGCTCGAGACCATGGATATGGACGATGTCGAGGACTCCGAGTCCGAAGATGAGGAGGGCAAGCCATCTAAAGTGCCTGATTTATTCGAAATATTTCAACCGGAACAGTACGTACGTTGTATTGTTACGGCAGTGCATGCTGCGGGATCTACGGAAGGTGTGTCTGGTATCGGAAGGGGAAGGGATGAGGTTGAAAAGGCGAGTCGGAGGGTAGAGCTGAGCCTTCTCCCGGAACAAGTAAACGAGGGTGTGGCGAAGGCAGATATAAAGCAAGGCTTCGTAAGTCAATCATATCCTAAGTTAAATTGGAACTTCCTATCGTTGACACCGCGCGTAGACCATGTCGGCGGCTGTCAAAAGCATCGAGGACCATGGATATATCCTCAACCTTGGAATTCCCGACGTATCAGGATTCTTGTCCTTCAAGGACGCTCAAAAAGTCTTCAACGACTCCTCAAAATTACACATCGGCCGAATACTCGACGTGTCCATTTCGAAATTATCAAGTAACGGTCGTACGTGCAATGTATCAATAGCTCCTACTACTCTGCGTTCAGCTTCTGTAAGGCAGTCATCACGTCCTCCTTTGCATATCCCTAATTCTTAGATTCGTCTCCTAGATCAGTGAAGTCACGACCGTTACCTCGGTACTCCCCGGCGAGCTTGTTCAATGCCTCATCACGTCTATGACTTCCTTAGGCCTTGTCGTTCAAGTCCTAGGCTTCTTTGACGGTACTCTAGACGAATATCATCTTCCTCTTGGTGATCCGGATGAAATCTTCAAGATGGGACAGAAAGTAAAAGCTCGAGTGCTGTACGAGGTTCCAGGGAAATCACCTCCGCGCTTTGCTTTATCGTTAGCTGAGCACGTCGTGAAACTTGAAACGAAGGGAGCAAATTCTGGGACTAAGTTACAGGACGTCTATCCTATAGGAACAGTCCTTGATACTGTTCAGGTGGTGAAAGTAGAGACAGAACGCGGGCTAGTGGTTTCAGTGCAGCCAAACATCCGTGGATTTGTTCATGTAAGTCACACGCTGCATCATCTCTATTGCCAGAGTTTTAACATACCACTAGATATCTCATGTGTCGGATGACCACGTTCCCTCGCTTTCTGCTTCTTCGGGTGCGTGGAAACTGGGTAGCAATAATCGCGCGCGAGTTACTGGATATTTTCCTATGGATGGTCTCCTTCAGCTCTCGATGCGCTCCTCGGTTCTTGAACAGAAATTCCTCCAGGTCGCGGATGTTCAAGTTGGGGAACTCATCAAGGGCACGATCAAGAAGTTGACAGGCTCTGCATTATTTGTCTCAATGTCGGGTATCGTCGACGGCGTCGTCTTTCCCAATCATTATGCAGACATCATTCTCAAGCACCCACAGAAGAGGTTCAAATCTGGCGCAACTTTGAAATGCCGAGTGTGTTGCGCTTCATTTAACCCATGTTCACAAAACTAACGGGGCTGAATAATAGGTTCTCACTGTCGACCCGGAGCGAAGACGTGTTACTATGACGGCCAAGAAGACGCTAGTCGAGTCTGAGCTGCCAATCATCACGAAGTTCGAAGAGGCGAAGGTTGGGCTTATCACTTATGCTGTCATCTTCAGGGTGGCCGAACGACGACTGCAAATCGAGTTCTTCAACAACATCAAGGGGTCTGTCCCAGCGAAGGAAGCAAGGTATGTTTTCTAATGTCCTGCATTGCTTTATTTTGATCTCGTCCTTCAGCGAGGAATCAGTAGGCTCTCTATCGGACGCTTTCACCGTTGGGAAACCCGTGAAGGTTCGTATCATCTTCATTGATCCTGAGAGCCACAACATTGTCGCCAGCATTCGACAAGCAGCTTCAAATTACGAGCCAGTCGTCGCCGATATCAGTGGGGTTGAAATTGGCGACACCGTCGAAGGAGACATCACTGAGATCCACAAGGACAACGCGGTCCTCACGCTCAAGTCGACACAAATCCGGGCCTTGCTCTCTCTAAAGAATCTAGCCAATCTGCGCAGCTTGCCAGTCGCACAGCTACGAGGCTCGCTTCAGGTCGGTGAAAAGCTGGAAGGACTAGTCGTCGTATCTCGGAATACCGAGAAGGGCATAGTCATTGTCGCCAACAAACCAAAAATGAAACCAGCCTTGGATAATAAGCAACTTTTGGCCATCGACTCTGTACAAGTTGGGCAGGTTGTCGGCGGTCGTGTCCTTCGGCACCACCGCAAGGGGACTCTCATCAAACTTTCCTCTCAAATCACAGGAACCCTTCATCCCACCGATGCGTCTGATGATTACGAGACCGGCTCTGTGTTCCCTGGTGTCGACTCGATTATCAAAGCTGCGGTACTGGCTGTTGACAAGGAGAAGAAGCACCTGACGTTGTCGACTCGTCTGTCGAAGCTAGAGCCCACCTCGCCAACCCAGATTGTGGATCGGGAGATCTCTGGCTTGGCGGATCTGAAGACAGGAGAAAGCGTCCGTGGATTCATCAAGGGCGTGGCCGAGCACGGGTTGTTCGTCACCCTCAGTCGAGATGTGGATGCTCGTGTGCAGATCAGGGAGCTGTTTGATGAGGTAGGAGGTTTTCCAACGTTGTCTCGCGGTTTCATCGTTAACGGTAATCGTAGTACGTGAAGGACTGGAAGAGCAGCTTCAAAGTAGATCAGCTTGTGAAGGGGCGCATTCTGAGGTGCCCGCCTCCTGTTTGCCTTTCCTCGACTATATCTGACTAGTGATGATGCAGCGTCAATCTGGAGAAAAAACAAGTCGAGATGTCCTTTCGTTCCGGCGACCTTTCGCGATCATCGAAATCCTCGTTGAACATCTCCGACCTCCAGGAGGGCGAAAAAGTCGAAGGGCGCGTCAAGAAGATTGAGGACTACGGACTGTTTATTGAGATCAACGGGTCAAAGTTGACCGGGTTATGTCACAAGTCTGAGGTGCGCCATGAAATCGTCTATCGTAGCGGTTTGAACTGACGCATGACCTAGCTATCCGACAACAAAGAGGCAAACGTCGCATTGGCTCTTCGGAGCTTCCGCGAAGGCGATACCGTCAAGGCCATCGTACGCTCCATCGACTCGGAGAAGAAGCGCATATCTCTTGGCCTGAAGCCTTCATATTTCTCCGAAGAAGATTTTGAAGATAAGGAGGACGAGTCGGGCAATGAGGAAGATGTACCTGAGGCATTTGGCGTCATCGATGAGGACGCTGAGATGTCTGATGCCGGAGGCGACGAGGAGGGCGACGCTGATGTGCTTTCCGAGAGTGACGAGCCCTCCGGTGATGAGGAAGCAATGGCTGTAGACATCGATCTCAACTCTGTGGCTCTCAATAAGCCTTCGACTAGCTCGACGCCTAGCGTTCCTGCACCTTCCCTTCAACTGCAGGGAGGATTTCAATGGTCCGGCGGCGACGTTCAAGACGAGGACGAGTCTGCTTCGTCAGAGGAAAGCGAAGACGAGGACCAGTCTGGCAAGAAGAAGAAGAAGAAGCGCAAGGAGATTGAACTGGACCTCACGGCCGACATGCACACCAAGACGCCCGAGTCCAATACCGACTTTGAACGTCTCCTGCTCGGGTCCCCGAACTCCTCGTACCTTTGGATTCAGTACATGTCCTTCCAGCTCCAGCTCTCTGAGATCGACAAGGCGCGCGAGGTCGCCAAGCGCGCGCTCCAGACGATCAGCTTCCGCGAAGAGAAGGAGAAGCTGAACGTGTGGATGGCGCTACTCAACTTGGAGAACGTCTACGGCACGGACGAGTCGCTCGAGGCCGCCTTCAAGGACGCGGCGCGGCACAACGACTCGAAGACGGTGCACCTCCGCTTTGCATCCATCCTCGAACAGTCCGAGAAATTCGAGGTACGTCCGTTCCCGCCCGCGTGACTTCATAAATGTCGGTGACACTCGTCCCTTGCTGCTATCACAGAAAGCAGAGGAACAGCACAAGCGGACGTGCAAAAAGTTCGGCCAAAGCTCAAAGGTGTGGACGCTGTGCGGCGAGTACTACCTCAGGCGCGGCGAGCCAGAAGAGGCGCGGAAGCTCCTTCCCCGCAGCCTGCAGAGCCTAGAGAAGCGAAAGCGTGCGCCCGACTGCCCCTTCCCCCCCAATTCGACTTTGTTTTGCTGACTCCTGCACCTCAGACCTCAAGACCATCTCCAAGTTCGCGCAGCTGGAGTACAAGCTCGGCGACCCCGAGCGCGGCAAGACGATCTTCGAGGGCATCGTCGACTCGCATCCGAAGCGATGGGATCTCTGGGGCGTCTACATGGACATGGAGGCGTCGCAAAAGGAGATCCAGAGCCTGAGGTGCGCAACACCACATCCGCCTCTGCCTCGCGCGCCGACTCTCACGCTTCTTCCTGTCTTTTAATATAGGAACCTCTTCGATCGCGTCCTCGCGCAGAAGATGACGAGTCACAAAGCCAAGTGAGAGCCCCGCCTGTCCTCTCCACGTGTCGCCACAGTGACAGCTGACGCCGTGCGTTCCCCAGATCGTTCTTCAAAAAGTGGCTCGAGCTCGAGCGCCGACTCGGAGACGAAGAGGGCGCCGCGGTCGTGAAGCAAAAGGCGATCGAGTGGACGCAGCGGGCGAGCCACCCGGCGGCCGAGGGCGAGAGCTAGTTGTTCGTTCGCAGTGTAGTCCGTCGGTGTTCAGAGAATGTTCAATGCACGATAGCATTCTGCAACATACGGTAGAGGAAGATATATATATAAGTAGGAATGAATATGCCAGACAACCGCCGAAAGCAAAAGCGATAAGTAGAGTATGAGATGGAGAGACAGAGAGAGACGGAGGCAAAAAAAAAAAAAAAGGTGGGAGGGAGAGGAACAAGCAAGGAGCGTGAGCGACAGCAGTGAGTCGGGGGGTTTCAACAGGGTATAAGAGGGGGCACGAAGGAGGAAGGCAAAACAAGATTTGAAAAAAGTAAAGAAAAAAAAAAGCAAAAAAGGCATATCCACCGCCGACGCGTCACGAGCGCGGCCTCTGGAGGCTCCCAGACGACGCAAAGTGCGACTCGAGCTCGCTGAGCGGGCGGCGGCTCGTGAGCGAGTTGGACAGCTGCCGCTGCCAGTCGTCGAGCTCGCTCGTGAGGTGGTCGTACGCCATGCCGTTCTCGGAGCTCGCGTGGCTCGTCGGGCGGTCGGAGAGCGAGATGCCCGACTCGGGGCGCCCGCGCCCGAACACGGGCTGCTGGTCGTCCTCGAGCAGGAGCCCGATCTTGTGCGACAGCTGCTCGTTCTCGCGCTTGAGGCTGTTGTTCTCGTTGCTGAGCTGCTCGAGGAGCGTCTCCGAGTGCCCGCCGCGCGCGATCACGAGCGCGGCCTGCACGCGCTCCATGTCCTGCTCGAGCTCCTCCACGCGCGAGAGGCGCTCGTCCGACTCGCGCTGCGCCGCGACGAGGTTCGAGCGCATGTGTCCGAGGTCCTTCTCGAGCGAGTCGATCCGCAGCCGGAGGTCCTTGTTCTCGTTCACGAGCCGCTGCGTCTGGCGCTGCGCGTCGATCAGCTGCCCGCGGAGCGAGTCGCTCGCGCGCCCGTCGTCCGACATGGGCGTGCCGCGGCCATTCACGCGCGTGCGCGTGCTCGAGTCCACGCTCGCGCCGGGAGAGCCGCGGAGGGACTCGACCTCCGACAGCAGCGTGGTGTTCATCACGCGTTGCTTCATCAGCTCGTCCTTCATCCTTCGGTTCAGGCGCTCGGTTTCCCTGCAAAACGCAACAACGACAACAACAACGTGGATCAGGACACCCCGCTGCTGCGGGGCACGGGCACGGAAAACACGCAACACACGCACGCGCGCGAGACTACATGTTAAAAAAAAAAAAAAAAAAACTCACTTGACCAGTTGCAGCGCCAGCCGGTAATCGTCCTCCTGCTGCTGCAGCCGCGCCTTGAAACTCCGCTCCGTCTCCTCCAGCCTGCGCTCCGCCTCGGCCGCCCGCGCCTCGCCGCCGCCGTGCGCCTCGTCGCCGTTGCGCGCGCTCATCGCGGGGCTCTGCGTCGACCGCAGCCGGTCGAGCTGCACCGACATGCTGCTCACCTGCGCCTCCGCGTCGCGCTTCTGCCGCGCGACGACCTGCAGCTCGCGCTCCGCCTTGTCCTGCGCCCGTGTGAACTCCTCCAGCCGCGCCTCGAGCTCCGCGACGCGCGCCATTGCCGCCGCCGCCGCCGCCGCCGCCGCGTCCCCACTCGCCGCGTTGGCCGCCGCCGACGCATTCGCGGGGAGCCCGTCGTTATCCAGCACGATATCGTTCTCCGCGAGGTAGTTACGCAGCATCCCAAGCCGCAGCTCCGCGTCCGCCGCCGCCTTGCCCGCCTGGCGCACGTCCGCGTCGCGCACGGCGACCTCCTTGCGGAGGCGCCCGCCGTCCGCGAGCGCGTTGGACAGCTGCGCGCGCAGGCCGACGATCTGCGAGCGCAGCGCCATCTGCTCCGTCTCGCCCTCGCGCGCGCCGCGCCGCTCGTGCGCGAGCTCCGCGTGCAGCGCCTCGAGGCGCGCGGTCGCGTCCTTGAGCATCGCGCGCAGCGCGGCGGCCTCGGCCTCGACCGCCTGCACCTTCTCCGCGTGGCCGCGCGTGAGGCGGTCCTCGTCCCCGCGGAGGTCGCGGTGGGTGTCGAGGAGCTCGCCGAGGCCGGTCGTCGTCAGCGCGCGGAACGCGTCCGCCTCCTCGCGCGACTTGGCCCACGAGTTCTCCACCTCCGCCAGGCGCACGCGCGCCGTCTCGACCTCCGCCGTGCGCGCCTCGAGCTCGCCGCGCAGCTCCGCGAGCTCGTTCTCGAGCGCGATCGCCGCCTGCCGCGTGCGCTGGTTCTCCTCGTCCACCGCCTCCGCGCGCGTCGTCGCGACGAGCAGCGCCGTGCGCGCCTGCTCCAGCGCGCGCACGTGCTGGTCCCGCGAGACCGAGAGCTCGTCCAGCTGCGCGTGCGCGTGCGCGAGGTCCGCCTCCTTCTGCTCCAGCGCCGAGCTCTGCGCGAGCAGCCGGTCCGCGTGCGCCCGCAGCGCCGCCTCGACGTCCTCGTGCCGCTCCTGCATCTCCGTGTGCTCCCGCAGCGTCCGCACGTGCGCCTGCTCCAGCGCCTCCGAGTGCTGCGACGCCTCCTGCGCGCGCGCCTCGGCCTGCGCCAGCAGCGCGCCCTGCATCGCCAGCGCGTCGCCCAGCTCCCCCGCGCGCCGCTCTCGCTCCGCGCGCTCGCTCAGCGCGACCGTCAGCTGGCGCTCGAGCTCCGCCGTGCGCTCGCGCTCCAGGCGCGCGACGCCCCCTTCCGACGCGGCCTCGAGCGCCGCGAGCTTCGCACGGTAATACGCGGCCTCTTGGATCGCGCTCGCGCGCTGTCGCTCGGCCTCGTGGATGCGGTCCGACGCGCTACGCGCCTGTTCCACCACGCCCGCCTGCCGGCACACACACACGCGCACACACGACGCGCGACAGGAAAAAAGTCACGTCACCCCGTCTGCGCGAAACACGCACGAGCGAGCGATGCACACGCACCTGGATCCGCGCGCGCAGCTGCTTCAAGCTCACGACCACCTCCGCCACCCGCGGCTCCTCGACGCCCGCGCCCGCGCCCGCGTCCCCCTCCAGCGGCCCCTCCGCCGCGTCCACGTCCGCGTAGATGAAGCCCGCGCGCGCCGCCTTGGCGAGCGCGACCCGCATCCACGCCCCGCGCCTCCGCATCGCCTCCGCCTCCGCCTCTTTCGCCTTGAGATCCCGAATCAGGTCCGCCGTCACGTTCCCCGTCGACCCCGGCTTGCCTCCCGGCCCCGCCCCCGCAGCCACAGCCACAGCCACCGGCGGCGCGCCCCCGGGGCTCGCGAACCCGTTCGCGGTCGGCGACGCCCCGTTCGCGGGGTAGTACCCCTCCGCCGAGCGCGCGCGGTCGACGTGCGGCGACGCGCTGCGCGGGCCGTTCACGCTCATCATCAAACTCGCGACGTTCGCGTGCTGCGCCGGCGCCGGCGCCTGCTGCCCCTGCCCCTGCCCCTGCGCGCCGGGCGACGCGGCCCTCGCGGCCGTCGGGCTCAGCGCGCGCTGGTTCACGGGGCCGCCCTCGGACGCGGACGCGTACGCGTCCCCCTCGTCCTGGCCGTACCCGAGCCCCTCGTCGTCCTCGCGCGTCGGCCGCGCGGGCTTGCGCGTGCCGTTGACCGGGAACGGCTGCACGGCGACGCCGTTCGCGGCGGGCTTGACGCCGCGCGCGTTGGGCGGCGAGATCGCGCGGCGGGGGTCGTCGGGGTCCTGGCCTGTGGGCGACATGGATCGGGGTCCGTTCGTGGCGGCCTGCGAGGGCGGTTGCTGTTGCTGTTGCTGTTGCGGCGGCGTCTGTTGTGGTTGCTGTTGCTGTTGCTGCTGTTGTTGCTGCTGCATCTGTTGCGCGGCGGCCTCGGTCCCAATAGAGGGTTTACGGCCCGACGAGCGCGACCCGTTTCTGTCCGCGGCCTGCTTGCTCGCGTCGGGATACTTGATGTGCTCTGTTATCAGGCGCCCGTCAGTCCGATACAGAGGCGACAGAGATGGGGACGGGGCTTGCGCACTGGTGTCGAGGACGTGGATGAGGGTGGTGTCCTCCGGCTTGGTCGCGGTGTAGGACTCGCCGCCGAGCACGAACACGCGGGTGCCGCTGGACGCCATGGCGTGGCCCGACCTGCCGCTCGGGGACGGGCCCATGTTTTGGAACATGTACCACCGCTGATCTGGGGCGCGACGCCGGCGTCAGGAGAAGGAGAGACGGAACGAACGAACGAGGGGCGACGCTCACTTGAGATCTTGAACGCGGCGAGGTCGCCGAGGTCCTTCCCGTCGACGCCGCGGCCGCCAAAGACGTAGATGACATCGTCGACGACGGCGGCGGCGTGGCCCTCGCGCGGGGACGGGATGAAGCCGATGCACTGGAGCTCGGACCAGCGCCGCGTCGCGACGTCGAACACCCACGTGTCGTTGTAGTGGTATTGGCCGTCGGTGCCGCCAAAGCTGCCGTCTCGTCAGGCGCGGAAGGACGCGAGGAGAGAGAGAGAGAGCGAGAGCGAAAGATGCGCACATGATGAGCTTGTCGCCGTGCGTGACGCACACATGGCCCGTCCTCCTCGCGGGCTTTTCGGTATTCGGCGGGGGCTCGTAGAGCTCCCACGTTGCCTTGGTTTTGACTGCGATGGCGTCAACGGACGCACGACGAGAGGAGAGGAGAGGAGAGGTGGGGCACGCACGAGAGTTGAGGTCGAAGGCCCAGAGGTCGTTGAGGAACTCCCCGTCGACCTGGCCCCCAAAGACGAAAAATTTGGAGCCGACCATGGTCACGGCGTGCCCGTAGCGGCCGACGGGGCCGGGGCCCGACACGGCCACGCGCGTCCACTCGCGGGACGCTGCACGATGGCGGGCGTCAGCGGGCGCGAAAGAGAGAGAGAGAAAGCAATAGCGCGCGACGGACCGAGGTTGAGCAAGTACAGCGAGTCGTCCTGCTTCTCGCCCGCGCGTGCGCGCGCGTCCGTCTTCGTGTCGCCGCCCCAGACGACGAGGACGCTGCTGACGAGGGCGCAGGCGTGTCCGACGCGCGGGGCGGGGGTCTCGCCGGTGGTCTGGAGGAGGGTGGCGGAGAGGTCGCGGGTGGAGAAGACGTAGAGGTCGTTGAGGGCGGCCTCGCGGACGAGGCCGCCGAAGAGGAAGATCTCGCCGGCGGCGGTGGCGGTGGCGGGGATGGCGTGGCCGTAGCGCGGGAAGGGCGAAGGGGAGGGGGCGGAGGGGGCGGGGGGGGCGGGGGGGGCGGGGGCGCCTGGCTTTGGGGGAAGGAGGACGGGGGCCTGGAGGTGGAGGCGCCGGGCGGACCAGGGATAGGCGGGGCGCTGGGGCTGCTGCTGGGGTTGTGGTTGCTGCGTGGGCTGTTGCTGCTGCTGTTGGAAAACTTGTTGGGGAGGAGACTGCTGTTGCTGTGGTTGCTGTGCGACCTGGGAGAGGAGGCCGACGGGGGCAGGGCTGTTGGTGTTGGGGCTGTTGCCGCGTGGGCGGGGCGCGGCGGCGGTGGCGGCAGCAGCAGCAGCAGCGACGGGGGCCGGCATGTACTGCTGAGGCGGGTTGCTTTATGGGGGTAAGGAGCGAAAAGGAAAGTGAAATGAGGACGGCGATGACGGTGGGAAAAGAGGAGGAGGGCGGAGGAGGATGGTGTGGGAGGGCGTTGGCGACGGGGACTTACACGTCATGGGCACTCTCCCTGGCCACGGCCGCCTGCTGTTGTTGCTGTGCCGCCTGCTGTTGTTGTTGCTGCTGCTGCTGCTGCTGCTTGTCCTGTTGCGGGCGAGGACGAGGACGAGAACGAGGAGGCAGGGGACGGGTGAGGAACGAGGGAGAGAGGAGAGGGGAGAGAGCGTACGCTTGGGTGCTTCTTCCTCGAGAAGAAGGACATTCTCCTTGATCTGGAGGGGAGGATGGACGGTATGGTGGGAGCGTGGATGCGGGTGTGTGTGGAGGGAGCTCAGGGAGGGGACGATGGGGAGGGCGGAGGCGGGCGAGGGAGCGGATGGGAAGGCGCTTGCCTGCTGCCTCTGCGGTGGCGCTGCGCCAGACCCGTGCCCGCTCAGAAGCCGACTACTACACACGCTCCGCAATCGATATCAATTCGGACTCTCGCTCGTTCGCTCGCTCGTCGGACGCACGCAACGCTCATTGTGATTATCACGGACACGGACGCAGACGCAGACGCTACCGACAAACGACGGAAAGTATACAACAACAGGCAAGCTGGGAGTCGCCCGATCAGGCGAGGAGCTGGATCACGGAGCGGGCGCTCCCACCCCTTGGGCCGTATCAGGCGACGACGGGAGCGATGGAGGACACAGAGAGAGATGGGACAGCGGTGCAGCGATACAGCGAATCAAGGCACGGGCGCGGCCCTCTCTGAATGAATGGAGTTCGCCCTGGGGACTGCTAGGAGTCGTTCCAGGTGATGATATCAGCGGGGTGGTCCGAGTCGTGGTCGCGACGGCGATGGAGCACGAGGCGGTCGCGCGAGGGGAAGAGGCGGTTGCAGTCTGTATATACGCGCTGGTCAGGGCAGTGAGCGAGGGGAAAGCAGCCCACGCGCCTTTGAGCGCGCAGATGAAGATGGGGGTTCTGTGTGCGTGTGAGCGAGGGCGGGGCGGGAGGGTGCGGGGACGGGGACGCACAGAGCGGGGGTGGTGACGCGCCCGAGGGAGGCGGCGATGTCGCGGGCGGTTGTAGACACTGCAGGGAGAATGAACGAGCGACTGTGGGACGAGCGGCGAGGCGGGTACCGTCTCTGAGCGCAGGGCTCGCGGGCAGCGCGGAGGGCAGCTTTGGGAGCTCGGAGGAGGCCATGAACAAACAAGCGCACGCACTGCACTGCACTGCACGCACGCACGCACTGCACGCACGCACTCACGGCCAACGCCGCGGGCACGATGCGAGCGCCGTCGCCGAGCATCAGCGCCGTCAAGCCCCCGCCCAAGCCCCCGCCCCCGCCCCGCCCGCCGCAGCTGCAGATGCCCGCCCGCCCGTCGTCGAGCCAGCCGTCGCCGCCGCGCTCCCCGCTCCCCGTCCTCCGCTGGCTGCCCTCCGCCTCCGCCTCCACCCCTGCCACGCCCCCGCCCTCAGTCCTCCTCGACGCCCTCTCCTCCACCCTCCCCGCCCTCCCGCCCCAGGCACACCGCCCCCGCTCCCCCGACCTGCCCTCGCACCCGCGCTCGCCGTCCGTCCCGCCGTCCGTCCCGCCGTCCTTCCTGCCCCTGCAGCGGGCCCCCGCCTTCCTCCGCGCCCTCGCCGCCTCCACCCTCCCCACCTCCTCCCTCTCGTCCCTCCCCACCGCCACCGCCGCCTCCGCCGACCCCGCACACCCCTCCCACGACCCCGGCTGCCCCATCGTCCTCGAGCACTCCCCGCCCACCCGCTCCTCCCTCGACTCTCTCCGCGCCCTCCACGACCGCACCCGCACCCGCGATCCCGCCACCGCATCCGCACCGCCACCCACCCTCGCCGCCTCCCCCACCGCCGCCGCCGCCTCCTCCTACTGGTCCGCAGCCCGCACCCTTCCCCCGCGCCGCACCTCCTCCCCCGCACCCGTCCACAGCGCCAGCTTCTCCACCCTCTCCGCCTGGCGCTGGTTCCAGCCCGACACCAAACACTCCATAGACCCCCTCCTCGCAGACGACGACCGCGCCCCCACCCTCCAAGAAGAGCACGGCCACATCCACAAAAAGTGTACGCACCCCTGCGCCCCTGCGCCCCGTCACCGCTCCCTCACCCGCCCTCCCCACAGACCTCTCCCCGAAGCACCCCGTCGTGTTCTGCCACGGCCTCCTCGGCTTCGACTCCGTCACCATCGGCCCCGCCATCGCCCCGCTCGAGGTCTCCCACTGGCGCGGCATCAAGGAGGTCCTCGAGGCCAACGGCACAGAGGTCCTCATCACCCGCGTCCCCGCCACCAGCAGCCCCGTCGACCGCGCAAAGGTCCTCGAGCGCACAATCGAGGCCGCCTACCCCGGCAGAGCAGTCCACCTCATCGGTACGCCCACGCCCACGCCCACGCCCCCCGCGTCTACGCCAGCTAACCCTTCTACCCCGCCCCACCCGCGCCTCCAGGCCACAGCATGGTCCGTCCCGCCCACCCTCTCTCTCCCACTCTCGCATCTCTGACCCCCCCACCCCCGCCACACACAGGGCGGCCTCGACTGCCGCTACCTCACCACCCACCTCCGCACACACACCTTCACCGTGCTCTCCCTCACGACCCTCGCGACCCCGCACCGCGGCTCCGCCTTCGCCGACCACTTCCTCGCCACCGTCGGCCGCGCCCGCCTCCCCTCCGTCCTCGCCCTCCTCGACCTCCTCCCGAACGGCGGCGGCGACGGCGCGGCGTTCGAGTGCCTCACGCGCGAGAGCATGCGCGCGTTCAACGACGCGACGCCCGATGTGCTGGGCGTGCGGTATTTTAGCTGGGGCGCGCAGTACGAGCCCGGGCTCATTGATACGTGGAAGTGAGTGTGTGTGCGCGCGCGTATGGATGGCCCCGTGCCCGCTCGCTTGCTGATAACACGCGCCGCGCAGGTGGCCGCACTCCGTCATCCTCGAACAAGAAGGCCCAAACGACGGCCTCGTCTCCGTCGAGTCCTCAAAATGGGTGCGCCCCCCCCCCCCCTCTCCCCCATTAACCCCCATTAACCCCACATTAACCCCCGCGCCCCGCGCAGGGCACCTACCTCGGCACCCTGCACGACGTGAACCACCTCGACCTCGTCGGCTGGATCAACGCCGCGCGCTACAAGTGGGCCGCCCTCTGCGGGCGCGAGATCCAGTTCAGGCCCGCGACGTTTTACCTCGGCGTCGCGGACCTGCTTGCGCGCGAGGTCGACGGGCTCGCGCCGCCCGCGGAGACGGACGCGACGGCGGAGGGGACGACAACGACGACGACAGGGACGACGGCGGCGGCGGCGGCGCTGGAGACGGAAGGGAAGCCGGAAGAGGCGGGCGTGCGCGCGCTCGGGAAGAAGGTCGCGGACGAGGGGTCCGCGGGCGGTGTCCCGCAGCCGACGCCGTCGCGGGAGGGCGGGGGCAGGCCCGCGCGCGCGCGGAGCATCACGGACGACCCGTGGGATGCGACTTCTGACCGCGACGACGACGACGACGACGACGACGGCGACGGCGACAACGATGATGACGGCGATAAAGGCCGCGGCGGTCGGTGAGTGTGCTCGATTGGACTTTCCCTCCCATCGCCGCCGCCGCCGCCGCCGCCGCCGCCAGCACTTGGCCCGACCCCAGACGCGGCCCACGCCACGACGTACCTCACCCGGACCCCATCTAATGCGCATCTACCGTAGCACAACCGCGCAGCCCAGATCAGATCTCATCAGAACAGTTCAAAGCAGCCGCATCCATACAGACATACATCCATACATCCATACAGAACTCAAGCACCTGAAGCACCGTGTATCTCCCCACGTACCGTACTCACCGATACCCCGCCGCCCACGGCGTATTCGCTCCCGCCAGGCGGCGCGTATTCATCCACGTCTCTCTCTCTCTCTCGCGCGCGCGCGCGCGCATATAAACATATATATAATTCGTGTACCCCGTTCGTGTATTTAGCTGCTGCACCATATATGACACGCGTTGCTAGTTGCTAATCAGTCGTGGTCGCTCGCCCTCGCGCTCGGAACGCACGCTGACCTGCATCGATCTACGGTCCCGAGGGAGTTGACGCTCGGCGCCTGCGTTGCGACCCGCGTCAAGCGGCACCGATCGGATGCTCGGCAAAAGAGATATACTCGATGTGGATGACGTATGATACAAGATGCCAGGACACCCCAGCGACTCGAAAGACTTGGCGTTGATGACTCTGCCCCGCCGCGCTCTGCGCCCCGCCGCCCCAGTTCCCGCTGCGATCGTGCCCGATCCGCGCGCGCACACGAGGTCGCGGGTTACTTGAGCGGGCTGAACGAGAGCGGGACCATCACGTACGAGTCCATGAACTTCGCCATCTGCGCCGTCTGCGGCGCGCGACGCACGACGCGCGTCCGTCAGCGCCAGCGTCGATCGAGGAAAGAGGGAGCCGGGACGGACCTTGGACACGGTGTCCGCCCACCCGTCGAGCTGCCACGCCTGCTCGCGCATCTCCTTGCGCGTCTCGAGGTCGCTGTCGATGTCGCGCGCGCGCGCGCGCGTCAGACGGACGAAAGGAGGGGAGAGGGAGGTGTGCGCTCACGGATACTGCCACATGTGGTGCACCTGGTGCAGCCGGCCGACCTGCGAGTACCACGCGCCGACGGGCGCCACGAACTTCTTGCGCGCCTCGATCCCGCGTCGCCTAAACAACAACACCAGCAGCATTGACGACGACGACGACGCGACAGCCGTCAGCCCAGCAAAGCCGAGAAGGACCCAGACAACGCTCGCCGACGTACCACGTGTTCTCCCACTCGAGCAGCGTGCCCGGGTTCAGCTGGTACGTCCGCAGCTCGAAGATCCCGCCGCGCGCGTGCGGCGGCGCGGTGGGCATGAACGCGAACTCCTGGTTGAGCTGCGCGTTGCGCGAGACGAGGTGCGGGAGCAGCGCCTTGTACGCGCGTTCGTGCTGCGAGCCGGTGCGTGCGCGCGCGGACGGTCAGCCCGGGGCGAAGCGAAGGGATGAAAAGAGATCTAGGCTCGAGGAGCGCGACGCACCTCCGACCCGCGGATCTTCTCCCACGCCTTGTCGAAGCCCGCGTAGTTCTCGTACTCAAGAATATGGTCTGCATGAGGCGTCAGCGGGCGCGCGCGCAGGCGGACGAGGTCGCGAAGCGTGGGGTCGCTCACAGAACGTGTCCTGCTCGCCGATGATCGTCTCCCAGTTGCCCGTCAGCTTGATCCGGAGCCCCGCGTCGTCGCGCAGGCCCGTGTAGTATCTCTCCCTGTAGCGCAACCGGCACGAGTCAGAATGCATGCATCGGATCACCGCCACCCGCGCGCAGGGACTGACGCGGCCTGCTTGTACTCCTCGACCTTGCTCGGCTGCACCCTGTGGACTGCCCAGCGAGTCAGCGTCCGGAACCACCATCCGCGCCGAGCGACGCGGAGCAGGGGAAAACGCGGCGCACCCTCGAACCCGTGAAGGTACTTCCCCCGCGCGACAAGCCGCGAGTGCTGCTGCACCTCGACGTCGCCGGCGCTCTTTGCCTCTGGGGACCCGTGCAGAAGTGACTGGCACAGCACGTCGTCGCCGTCGTCGTTATTATTTGGAAGCAACCGCACGGGGAGATGTCAGTACGCGGTCAGAGGGGTGGGCCACGCATCACCTGAACGGATATCGCGCGCTGGGGCCCAGCCCGAGACACTAGCGACGAGGGTACGGCGATGGCCGCGGGGCGCAGCGTGCGCGACGCAAGGCGTGCGAGCATATCGTACAATGAAATGCTTGGTTATCTAGACGGGTTTCTACGTGGTTTTGAGGGGAAGAAATGGGCTGCTGTGGTTTCGAGGTGGTGGTTGTGGGAGGGTGCAACAGAGGACGAGAAGTGGCGCGGCGGCAGCACCGCAGCTATTACCCCGCGTTCGCGTGACGTAATTAAGACGCTAAGCCAAGCCACGCACAAAACCCACAAAAAATCCGTATATTCACATGTAGTCAGACAAGCGCTGCATACGAGAGATCAGAAGAATCTGTGGCATCGTATCACATAGAAGAGGGCAAGAAAGAGATACTGGTAAAGGGTACGGATCAGATTTGCTTCCGCTCACCGCGCATCCAGACTTCGTGGACCGCCCACTTCTCCGCTTTACCTCCCCCGTCGACTCGAGCACGGAAGAAACGCGCATGATGGATCTTATCTGCCATCCGGACGCTGCATTCTCTCAAAATCTGTGCACCTTCGGCAGGATCCGTCACGTCGAAACAGGAGAGTTCGCCCGCGGAGGCGTTCTCCTTTTAACACCTTGATAAGCTCTCTGGAGCATGACTTGGAAGCAGGACATACCCAAACTCGGCCGTCGATTGACGCCTCGAACGCACAATCAGAAAGAACGCCCTCAGTCGCCGTATCGACGAGCCAAGCCATCTCAGTTGTAGACCAGAAGGGTTCGATGTCCTCCAACATGTCCAATACGATGGAGTCTCCGTTCTTAGCACCTAAATCATCACATCAGAAAGCATGGTAGCCAAAGTTTCACGGCGGCTCACTTTCTGGACTACGGAACACCGTTTCGGGGCGGCCGTCCACGGCAAAAGAGGGTGGGAAGCTCACATAGTGCTGCTCTGCGTCTGTGTCAATCGCTGCCAAGTTGCGTTTCTCAAGAGAGAGGATGTCTGAGGCCGAGTCGACAGAGTGAGTGACTGTCCCCGGCAGGAGAGATATTGTGGTCTCGAGGACACACGGTCGACCGACACACGGCGTGCGAACGGTCGTGTCTAAGAAGTTTGGCGCGGCGCGCTCGAAGGACACATACGGATAGTCGCTGTGCCTGCCTTCCAATTGCAGACAGGGGGGTCTGTCGCACTGCACAAGTGAGTCGAGGTACCCGGCCGCTTGCAGCTGTGTCGGCCATTCCCAATGCGATGATAGTCAGCGATTCCCAGGCAATCATCCAAGGTGCTTCTCCGCTCACGATGTGCTTCCTGTTCCGTTCCTCTCCCGCCGAGCCAACAGTAAAGGCCTGGCCCCCACCGAGTTCGATGCCCTGATCAAACCAAGCCTCGGGGATTTCGTTCCTTAGGATGCTAAAATAGTTGTCGGCCATTTTCAGCTCGTCGGCGGTGACATGTAGATGATCAGCATCGAGAAGATGGAGAAAGGCGGTGGCAAGGGAGCGGTGAATGATGCTGCCATAGCCCAGCCAGGCGAAGGACGTGTGCACATGGGAAGATGCGCTCTGGGTGATGGCGCGAAGGGAGCTGGTGAGGTGCTCGTGCGGCGGAAGGAGGTAGATGGCCGTCGATTTCCTGCTTTCGGCAATACGGGATGAAACAGCTCGGACGATTTCGGGAAGTATGAGATAGTCATCATCCTATTGAAAAAAAAACGGAGCATGAGGAGAATGCTAAGATGGCAAGCAGCCTGAGCTCGGTACTTGTATAAAACAGTGCGCTGTGCTTGCTTGGGAGCATGCTATGAACCTGGCATGGAAGTAAAGGTTGTCCGGCGAGTTGAAGACCCTAAGTTTGCTCTCAGGACACGTGGTGTTCACAAAGTCCTGCCCGCGCAGTCGACAAATCAGCACTCGAAACAAAGGGGATTGCCCACATGATATGAGATCGCCTTGGGGTTATTGTTCCATATGAATACCTCCTTGATAGTCCCATGGAGCCCGGGCGAACAGAAGAGAGACGCGATGCGCTGTACGTTGTGGAAACGTGACCAGTTGAGAACCACGGCAGTTGTGTCAGGCGACGCTGCCGGCTCCCAGACGGATCCAACATTCAGTAAAGAGAAGGAAGCGAAAGGGACTTCTGTGTTCGGACGATAGGACACGGGCGGCGAGTGCGGAAAACGGTCTGACTGAGTCTGCGATTCCGGAGGATCCTCATTCTCAGGCGACATGGGCCAAAATTTGAACAGTGCACCGAGAGCAATGGAAACGAGTAAGATACGGACCGGCGAAAGTACCGAGGGTGCCCAGCGATTTGTTTGTATGGAACCTGTACTCATGTTGAGTGGTGTTGAATAGCCCAAGCCGCGAGGTGAGGAAGTTAAGCGCGCGCATGAGTATTTTGGGACGAGATCAAGAGACAAAGAGGGGTATCACGGCAGACGTGACCGAATATGAGCTCGTATTCCTATTTTGATCTTATCTTCTGTAAGTTGTGAAGAATTACGAGCTCATATTCGGTCACGTCTGCTGTGCCTATAACCAGCTGACCGTGCGCCTTACGAACCTCTTCGTCCTTGGTTATGGCCTCGCTCGCCACCCCCTAATTGCCCTTTGTATTGCTATTTTTTTGAAGAATTTCTTCTCCCGATGCGCGGCATCACAGCTACCAGACCTTCTTTATCATCGCTGACACGCTCACACACTAGCACCGCCGCACGCTGGTATACATCACCATCTGGTTTGGCCCACGCAGAACCAGCTCCACCAAGTCGAAGAGATCTCATTCGAGTGCGGTTCCGTGATCTCACCTCCGTTATCCATGTCGACTGACCCTTGCCCATACTAGTCTCGAATTGCACAGGTTGACGCTATCTCTTCGACAGCTGAAGTTTCACCATTCTTGGTGGATACTTTTGGCCGCCGACACAACTACCTACGCATTTCCCTGACAGAGCGATGTAATCTACGATGTGCGTCTGCATCAATGATCCCCCCTCCATCTATTGATAGCCGGCGGTCTGCTGTGCTGTCGGCGGCGAACAGGTTTCTATTGTATGCCAAGCGAAGGCGTCGACCTTTCCCCAAAATCAAACATCTTGTCGGATGATGAGATTATCCGTCTCGCAACTTTGTTCGTCAAGAGTGGCGTCACAAAGATCCGGCTCACGGGCGGTGAGCCAACTGTTCGAAAGGGCCTTGTTGATCTTGTCGGTGCGTGACTTGAGCCCCGTTTTTTGTTGGGACATGAATTGTTGATATCAAATGATCACATCTAGCACGCCTGAACGAATTGCGTGAGCACGGCCTCGAATCTATCGGCATGACCAGCAACGGGCTCGTACTCCATCGATATCTATCGAATTTGGTCCAGAGTGGACTCACACACCTTAACCTGAGGTATCTTCACTCTCAACCATCATTGATCCACTCCGTATTTTGACAGTAGAGTCAAGTTTAGACACCCTTGACCCGTTCAAGTTTGAAATCATGACTCGACGCATGGGTCACCAGGCCGTATTGAGGTCACTGGACCACGCGCTTGTGTCCGACCTGAAATCTGTCAAAATGAACGTCGTCATAGTCAAAGGTCTCAATGACAACGAGGTGTTAGACTTCGTTGATATGACGAAAGACCGAAACTTTTCCATCCGGTTCATCGAGTTCATGCCGTTTACAGGTAACGCACCCGCCGAGCGGATCCTGAGCTTCAAAACTGACAGGGATCGCAATAGGAAATCAGTGGGACAAAGCTAAGATGGTCCCATCTTCCGAGTTACTGTCTCGCATCTCAGCAGCTCACCCAAGCTTGAGAAAAGCGGCGGATGAGCTCAATGACACGGCCAGGTCATATCGAATTCCTGGTTACCGAGGCAGCATTGGGTTCATCAGCAGCATGTCTGATCACTTCTGTGCATCTTGCAATCGCCTGCGGTTGACCGCAGACGGGCAAATCAAGGTTCGTTGTTATGTTTTACCGTCTACATCGTGGTTTCAGGCTCTCATGCTCCGTCCTGCGATCAGGTTTGCCTATTTGATGCGAAAGAGGTCTCTCTGCGGGATCAGATGAGACAAGGGGCAGACGACACGCATCTACTTCGAACTATCGGGAGAGCCGTCAACGGAAAGAAGGAGAAGCATGATGGTATGGAAGATATAGATGTTGTCACGAATAGACCCATGATTCTCATCGGTGGTTAATGTGCATATTTTATGATTCCCAACGTTCGCATTCAAACGCCTTTACCTCTTCGAATGACTAACCTGATGCGGACTTTTTTCTTCAGCTATCCGTTTAGCACCTCGCGTCGCCTATGCCTGGGCATCACGATCAGCGCGAGGCGCGCGGCTTAATCATCTCTGGTCACCGACGACAGTACCTCCTGGCTTGTCTACTCTCGAACGAGTTCGGTGCCTCTCCACGAAGTCGGCCCTTGACTCATCACATCAGCCCGAGTCTAAGTTGACTCACGTTGATGCCGAAGGCCGTCCGCACATGGTTGACGTCTCAAACAAGGAGTCCACCAGTCGCACTGCGACAGCTGAGGGCCGGATTTACCTCCCCCGCGTCGCTTACGAGCTTGTCTTCCCAACGACTAGACATGCGCCGGGGCCTCTGCCAACCTCGAGGTTAGGGGGTGAGAAGCCAAAACATTCCGAAAAGTCCGTCGTCCCGGACCGTGCTCCTGATCCGGCTTTGGAAACGAATTTGGGCTTGGGCGCGGCCATGAGTGAGTTGGAGAAAGCCAAGTCCAAGGCCCGAAAGAAGGGCGACGTGCTGATCGTCGCGCAGCTCGCTGCCATTATGGCATGCAAACGCACGGCCGAGCTCATTCCCCTCTGTCATCCGCTCCCCTTATCCCACGTGTCTGTCGCACTTACTCCAGAGGTCCACCCCGACCCTGATGCCACATACGATCTGACAGACCTGCCCGACAAAGGGAACACCGGTCGACGACCCCACCTATACAGCATCAAGTGCATCGCGACTGTGTCCTGCGATGGAAAGACGGGCGTTGAGATGGAAGCGCTGACAGCCGTATCTGTGGGCTTGCTCACCGTGTGGGATATGCTCAAGGCGGTGGCGGGAAAGGAGATGGTGATTGGTGATATTTTGGTTCGCGGCAAGGCGGGTGGGAAGAGCGGTGATTTTGTTCGGCGACAATAGACCTCTGCTGTGTATCTACAATTTTTCCAAAGAGTAGATCGTCCTTACGTCGCGGTGTACACTGCGTTTGTCCTCTCTTCGATCCACTCCGCGCGGTCAGTGCACTGGTTATCTGACAGGGACGTTTCTACATCAATTCATCCTGTTTTGCGATGGCAACTACATAGATTGCCTCAAGTCGATGCTTTCCCGTTCACCGTGGCTTGGAACATTGGTGGGAGGACCATCTTTTCACTGAATGAAGAGAAATAGGTGTAGTATTGCCTGAGGTTGATGTTACTCCGTTTCTGATCCGTTTAATGAGACAGACGTCACATTTTGGTCGCTAATTATGCTGCATTGCCAGAGCGATCAGATCTCATATTCAATGCCTTGCCTTGTTCTCTTTGTGGCCTGGCACGGTGACGGGCGGCGAGCCTCGGCGAGCATGCAGTTGTGTGCCTTGGGCCCAAAATATTGGAAGATGATGATCGGAGCGGATCGAGGTCGCAGCTCGAACATGCTTCGGGCTTGCGAACAGTTAGTCATCATGGATTTAAGGACCCGCGACATAGCTGCGATTGAAACCGAGCGGAGCCATGATGATGGAGTTCGATCGTCATCAAGAATGGAGACGATCACCGTTCGAGCGCACTGTGTCGCCTGTCGACGCCGACTGATGGAGAAGTGAGATTTCGTCCATGATCTAATAGATTTTCTGCTTGCAATAAGAAGATTTTAACATATAATATATGTTACATTAATAACAGGATAATTATACTATGATACTTGGAGGCCTCTACGCAGCAGCGCCGAGACAGAAACGCAGTGCTAGTTGCTACAGTGGGTAATAAAGTCCGTGATACGCATCCAAGAGTGTCCAGAATTGAGGGAATAGTGGGTGAGAGTGAGATGAGAGGTGGTCGTACGCAGTACGCATCCTATGTCAAGCCCGTACGCAGTACGTGTAAGTGTAAGTGTAATTAGTAGATTATATATAATTGAGGATGGTATAGTTTGTTGCAAGAAAGTCAATGCCAGTGTTCACCAGTGGCCTCTCGGAGCACCTGTTTTGAAGCCCAATTCCAGGGCATCTTCGACACCATCAAGTTTGACGTTCCCGCACAAGCCGACGAAGCCGACGCGGTCGTAGACCCTTTGAGCGCTATTGCTGTGGCCAACATACAGCGTAACACTGCTCTTGCCGCAGTCCATCAGCAGTCTGATAGGAGATCAACATCAATCATCCGCCAGATCTGAAGAGTAAAACATGGGCAAACTCACCTCCGTGTGACGTCCCGCACGAGGTGCTCGGCGTAGCCCCTCCGTCTCCATTTGGGAGTAGTGTACACTTTGGTGATGGCGCTGACATTCTGCGAGCTACGTGTGACAGCACAGATAGTCGTGCACTCGCCCTCGACTTCGTAAATCCAGATCAGGCCCTTGGCGATGAGCTCGCGCGCCTCGATCCGTGCGCGCTCGAGGGTCAATGGGAAGTAGATCTATTTCCCGTGATCATGAGAATGGAGAAATGAGGGATGAAATAACAGGACGCACGGAGTCATCTGCAAACTCTTTGCAAAGCTGGGCAACTTGCTCGAGATCACGCATGTTGGCGCGGCGAATGTAATCGCCGCGGGACAGAGGCGCGTCCGAGTCCTTGAATGTTGATAGTGTGCACCAGGTGTATGAAGCGGCGTAGAAGGGCTCAGGCTCGACAGCGATATTTGTGAGCTGTTTCCAGTAGCTGGCAAATGTCTTGACGAGGAGTGTCATGCCGAATATTGAGAAGACACGTTCTGGTGGAACGAGGTCGAGTAGGTTCTCGGCGACGAGATCGATGCGGGGTGTCAACCACTGGCTTGTAATCTGAGAGGGGTTTTTGGGAGTCCAAAGGAATATGGGATAGTCGCCTAGCGTCCAATTGACGCAAGACAGGACGAGGTCGAGCGTGGGTTGGCTGAATGGGGAGGGGGATGACCACACCGTCAGCCAGAACGGCTGTGTCTCGTCAAAGCGCATTTGACTGGGTGAGTGAGATGATTGGTTCCACCAACTAGAGACGTCGGATTCATTGATGAAATTGCAACCAGTCAAAGCCGCCTCAGTCCCGACCAGCTTCAATGCATGGGCGAGGACGATATTGGCAGACCTTTCGTGTCTCCGGAGGGTGGGTAGTGTCGCGGACAAAAAGTCATACGCGGTGTCGTGAAACTTCACGAAGGTATTGCGGGATGTAGAGATGGGAGTAAGGCCAGGCATCTAATTGAATACTAGAAAGAAGGTGGCAATTAATGTGAGAGAGAGATATGAAACGAAGTGTTCGAAGAGAAGGCGAAGAGAGAATTATGATGGTTGGTGAACGCACCAGAGCGTCTTTATAGAGTTTCTCTCCAGGCATGGATTAGGCCCTGACGCTGTCCCATCCGGCCAACGCCAGGGGGCATGTGGGTCTTCCTGTGCATCAACTCCGTGTGCAGAGATGCGACAGAACAGCTTGTTTACTGCTTAATCACGATCGAGAAATATCTAAAACGTCTTGATTGACGCAAAATGACTGGAAAATGCGCAGCCTCCCGACCTAAGCGCCCAGGTGTGCATAGACGCCCATGATGGCGCCGAAACTGGAACGGAAGTCAAATATCAGCGCCCGTCGGGTTTCTGGCTATGTTCTCGATATGGTTCGACACAGCAAGCAATTGACAAGGATGTCATTTCAAGTATTCTGGAAAACCCGCACCTGTGACAGTATCCAAGTCATCGCGCGAGAGCCGCCTGGGTCCAACACGATGCAATGTGCCGAAACGATTGCTGAAGTTGAATATCATTGAATACGGAAAGGGAGTGGGAAGTTTCCATCTATAGAGCTGGCCAATGAACGAGCTGTTTGCACTTCTGTTGAATATGTGTAAGCAGGAGGCCCTGATGCGATATATCCCAGTTTTCGGGCGGTTTCAAGCGGAACGCAAGAGACCAACCGGCCAGGGCCGAAACCAAGTTGCTGCAGGTGGCGCTTGCGTTGCCAACGATCATGTGGCAGTGTGCTGCCCCAAACATTGGGTTCTGTTTGCGAGAGCGCATTGAGGATCACTTTGTTCCTAGTCTGAGAAGGCTATGTGAATAGACTTCCAGCTTATTTCCAGGCGAAAACACTGCACAGGCTACGTACGGGAATATAGAGATGTAAATAACTCGCCACCGCTGCAGCTACTAATATACTGCATGCTCAAGGTTCGAATTGATTCACATCCGAATACAGTTCTCAGAGTCTCTAAATTCCTCAAGCCGGACTGAAAAGGTACCACTTACTCCGCCGAACGATGCCTGAGTGGACAGGTGATTGGTGAGCTGAGGACAACAGCTTTGTCAGGCTCCATGGGGTAGAAATGAGTGAAAATCGACTCGATATCGACTTGACTCACTGACACTTAATTACGGATCAAATTGCTACCCTTTGTTCCGGAGGTACTCAAGGGGAAGTAGATCGATGCGGGATGACCGTAGTGTAAGCTATCCACGGATAGAACTGACCTCAGTCCATGCAATCCAACATCAAAAATTGATCATTGTACCTGCCCCTCTACGGTCATATAGCGAACGAAACCCGACGCGCGCCTGCATGATCTACTCAGGGTCTGCAAGGGGCTCAAGCCTGACGAAATCCTAACAGGATGGGGATCTGTCAACGGGGCATCACTGCCTTCGCCCGCGGAACCAAAACATCTGACCCCTGGTTTGGATGACCTGGAAGGTCCCCAACGGTTACTGGACCAAAAAGCAGCTCACCTGACGGCGTAGATGATGCCCATCAGCCGTGACAAAACAAGCTCTGGGTGAAGAAACTGCAAGCCACTGTTTGTCTGGCAATCCCCGAGTGTGAACGCGACGGGCTCTAACGGGCTTCGGATGCCAGGATCACGGAGCGGATCGATTTCCTATTCATTCAACAAAATGGACGGGATGCGCCGAGGCTTATACAGATTTGACAGCATCCAAAGTGTTGATTGAGGATGCAGAAGCAATCACTGGGCGTGTGCTTTTGACCTCCCAACTCATGAGACCGTCCCTGTTTTGACTGCGATGATGATTGTGGTATAGAACAGCGCAGTGATGAAACGAGAACGGAAAGACGATGCGTGAAGAACGCGAGTCCGCGGACCAAGCGTAGATGGAGTAAAGAGCATACTCCTGTTAGCCATCAGGTAATGTTTCCTAGGCAATGTGGGTCAACATCACGGCACCAAGAGCCTGGCAGGACGGGCCAAAGCACTAATAGATTGAGATGCCCGATATAAACAGATTTCTTACCAGCGGAATGAGTACAGTGGCGTGTCTTCGGGGACAATGACGTCCATCGTCCCGAGGTGACAGCATGCTGAATGTACGAATGGGCCTATCATGGTGTGACCCGCTGGATAGGTCCCGTAGCACTACCGGCTTTGGCTCCGAGTGTGCTAATGGGGTGAGCTGGAGGATCCCCTTGCAAACGCGCCGGAATGTTCTTCAGAGACTGCTTTCCCATACAGAACAGCGGTCTGAGTCTTGACGCAAAGTTTGATGTTGCAGAGACAAATAGCCCAAAATATCGATGCCATAATAGGTTGTAATCACAGCATAGGAGCGGGTCATGCAGGCGTGAAGCTATGTCCTGGACGGGGAAATGTGCAAGCCGACGGAGGAGTGAATGGGCAATACTGAGTACAATTTGAGTCGTGATCTTCGCATCGGAGAGCGATAGTGCCGGGGTCCCATCCCAAGAATATCACTTTACGAACGAGGCCAACTGACTCACAATGTCGCCTTCGACAAGCCGTGCATCCTCGGTAGCCTTGAAACATGGTCGGCATGAGGTTGATCAGTCACTAACCGCCCCATCCGCAAAAGATAATGGAGCATACGTCTTTGACCCTGACGATGGTGGGGATCGCCTCAATATACCAAGGTGCGTCGCGGAAGTGATTAGAGGCCGCTTTCCATCTGACGAAAAGGACACTGCATGAGCGCGATGCTGTCCAGTTGTTGTGCAGGGTCGTGAATCAAATTCGCGAGTGCAACATACTCGGGCTTTTGTCCAACGTAGATGATTAGTGCTGGTGGAGCATCAGCGCCCGCGAAAGTGCGCTCGACAGTGTCTTCGACATCCCGGCAGTCCTGGAGCCCACCAGTGAGCAGCATCCAAAATCTCCAAAGGCCCTGCATCGGCTACTTACGGGACACCACATTTTTCCCTCCCGGTCCCGAGATGCATAGAAAATGACGAATTTTTCTTGGACGTCCTTCCAAGACGAAAATTCCAAGGGACTGGAGGCAGTGTAAAGAGGCATGCCTGCAACAACGTCCCGATTGATGCCGAGGCCCAAGAGGCGATTGCTGTGCAGAAGACGGTTGATGCGCCACAGGCGATCGCCATTAGGCAAGACGAGTCACTCGTGCACATCCGGAGGCCTTGCCGGGGAGTACAGGAGCCGATGTTTCAAGACCATGTATTGCAGATAAATTTCAGACAGTTCATTTACATAAAAATATACCGTACTCGATCCTGCTGATTCCATAGAACTTTGCTCAAATTTGTGCACAGGACTTGCCATGGATTCAAGACTGCATTGTTGACAAACCTGAGTGCCAGCCTGCCTCCTTCTACAACTCCCAAACCCAAGATTAAGCACAACACAATGACGGGGCGGTTAGATGAGAGCAAGAGTAAAAGGGTAACAATGTGTGTGCGATGAATCATATACGCCCCAGGAGCAGAATAAAGGAAAGAATAAGTGTCCGAGAAGGGGAGACGAAAAAAAAGTGTTGAAAGGACTACAATGCGCGACAACACATTAAGGCACCAGCATGTGCGCTATTCAAGAAACCAAATATGAAGTCAACGACGGATAAGATGTCCATAATGCCGTCCGTTCCTGTCTACCCACGACCGACCCCAAAAGCGGGATGCAGTCCAGCCGCGAACGGCCAAAAGCATGTACTACTGAAAAGTCCATCAGGAAAGGAGACGTGTCAAGTACCGAGATGAGTGGGTTGATTAGCAAGAACCGCCACTGCATCCGGAGGACGATTGCGAGGAACCGCAAGAGCTACCGCTGCAGCTGGAGGACGATTGAGAAGAGCCACAGGAGCTGCCACTGCAGCTAGAGGATGACTTCGACGTGTCGCAAGAACTACCGCTGCAGCTGGACGACGACGAAGAGCCGCAGGAGCTACCACTGCAGCTGGACGACTTGGACGAGTCACAAGAGCTACCACTGCAGCTGGACGACTTGGACGAGTCACAAGAGCTACCACTGCAGCTTGATGTCTGCTTCGACATAGCGGCGGTAGAAGTGGCCGACATGTACGTGTTGTACGTGTTGCTGTTGCCATACATCATGCCCCATTGCGATTTGCACTAAACACGAAGCCGTCAACATTGTTCTGTACTATCCCGCCCTTCGAAGACATACCTTGCCGAGACAGTCAGAAAGATCGGTCTGAATGACGGTCTGGGTCGCGGTTGCGGTCTCCGTCGCGGTATCGGTCTTGGTGGCAGTAGCGGTAATTGTCGCGGTCTGGAACTCAGTCATCTTGTCCACCACCGTTTTCGTGTTGGTTTCCAAGACGGTCTTTGTCTGGAGATGGAAGGTGGGTCAGTGATAGTGGAAATTCTTTGCGGCAAATGGACTCACGTTGTCAATGACCTTGGTGCTGACCCAAACGGACGTGAACGTGGTCGGTTTTACGATGGTAGACACATAGACAGACGTGACAACGTCAGTCTTAGTGGCAGTCTCCGTCTTGGTGGCCGTGGAGAGGATGGTCATCTTGTCAGTGACCGTCGACGTCTGAGTTTCCTCAATTGTCTTCGTCTATATCGCGCGAGCGGTCAGTTTCAAACGAAAAGCAGATTCGAAGGAGACACGAGCTCACGTTGTCGATAACCTTTGTGCTAACCCACACGCTGACATAGGTGGTCGGGACGGTGACCGTCATGATATCGGTCTTCGTCACGAAGTCCGTCTCGGTCTGCTTGACAGTTTGCGTCGCGGTGTTGGTCTTGGTGGCCGTCTGCGTGTAGATGTTGACCTGTGTCTTCGTCTCCGTGGCGGTGAGCGTGTGCTCGACCGTGCTGGTCTTGTCGATGATCTCGGTCGAGACCCAGACACGAGTGGTGGGGACGAGCTGAGTGGACGTGATGACCTCCGTCTTGGTCTCGAAGTCGGTCATGACCTTAGTCATGGTCTCCGTCATCGTGATGGTGGTGGGGACGGTCTTTGTCTGTTCGATCGTCAGATCCGCACGCGCGCGCGTTTCAAGCAAAGATCAAACACACCTCAGTCATCGTCTTTGTCTGCGTCATCGTGTCCGTCATCGTCACAGTCATCGTTTCCTTCTCCGTTTTTGTCTGAACTTCAGTCATGGTCACGGTCTGAGAGTCGCAGTAGCCCTTGCTGTGATGGGAGGCAATGAGACATCAGCCAATCAAATCCATCAAATTCTGATACGTACTTGTTGATGATGATGGTCTCGTAGCACCCCTGCGTTTGATACTGCGGGGCACCCGTAAACGGTAGGTCCATGAGTGGACGAGAATCGACGTACCCATGACATTTGCGAGCAGTACCCGTTTGACTGCTTTTGATAGCCATACCCACAGTTCATGCTGCTGTAACCGCCAGACATGAAGGAGGAGTAATACGACGAGTCGTACGTCATCTGGGGAGGCTGCGTGTACACCGAGGGGGCCGACGAGTAGGTGTTGGAGCCCTGGGTGTACTGCGCCATGGGGGACGACGAGGCAGCAGATGCCTGCGAGTCGCAAGAACCACCATTTGATCCACAGGAGCTGCCCGAGTAACTCGAGCCGGAGTTGTTGTTCGACGGGCCGGCGGAAGCGGTGGGGGCAGCAGAAGATGCGGCAACGGATGAGCCTGCCGATGGGGAGGCCGCGATCTGAACCATGGAGACGCCATTCACTACCTGGGCAGCCGCCGCGCTGATAAGGGAAAGACCAAAAACAATTGACTTCATGATGTAAAGAAGGTGGGGGACTTGAACAGTCAAAGAACGAAAGCTGGTGCGTCAAGCGAAGACGAAAGGTAGGAGGGGAGAAGACAAATGAGGGTAGCGGTCTACGCTGGGCGGATACTGTCTAGCAGTAAGCTTTGGCGGGTGCGGGAAGCTTGGCTAGAGGCAAGCGCTCTGACGACGGGCGATGATGAGCTGCGACGTCGGGCGGGGACAGGTGTGACCGAAAACGTACCGCTGAAGGAAAGAAAAGGGAGGGAAAAGAAAGCGAAGAAAGCGAAGAAGGAGGGGGCGCGGATTGGACTGGAATGCGCAGGCCTTTTGAAGAAGGCTCCCAGGGCTGATCTCCGCGTGAGCCAGTCACATCAATTTTCACAGGGGTCATCTCGGGCTAGTGATGGGTTTCCCTAGTGACCACACCGTCCCACCCCGCTTCGCATTGGACGCTGCTTGCCTTGCCCATTGGTCTGCGGTCCCCGGCGCCGTTGCCGCCTACGAGACCCCATCCTCATTGGCCCTTATCCGCGCACTCGAGACCACAGTCCATGCCAAGACTTCCGATATCTCAAATATCCTCCAATAAAATCTATCAACAACCCCCTCACTCCGAACACAGTTCGATTCTAACCCATCGATCCTCCCGGCGACCGCCGTCCGAAGTCGCCGTGGACGTCCAACAGAATCTTCAACGCGTTGCGCGCCCGCGTCTTCGCGATCTCCTCTGGCCGCGAGGTCAGCGCAGTCTCTACTTCTCTTGGCTGCTCTTTCCACGGGTACTAGGCGCAGAACACGTCCATCAGTCATGGTCCCAACCATCTCTCGAACCAATTAACACTCACTGGCATCAGCTGTTGTGCACGGGGCGCCCGGGCGATGCGCAATGTCAATGCGAGATCAGCCATCGTAGGTCCATCAATAACAACACGGCGGTCCGTACGCACCTTATGCAAATACTCGTACGCGACAAGCGTGAACCCGAATTGGGGGCTGCTCCGGATGATGCGTGCAGGTCCGCCCTTGAATAGTGCCCGGAACCCCTCCTCCCGGTCTACAGGGGCGCAGCCCGATATCAGGCAACTATCAAATGCATAAAAGCTCGCCGCAACAACTCACAGATCTTGACAAATGCGTCCGTCAATCCTTTGTAGTGCGTCTGACCCTTCCGCGCCTCCACCTGCAAACGCGTCTTCACCACGTCTGTCACGCTACCGATTAGTCTCCACGCCCATGGTCCCACGACACGTAGACTTTCGTACCTGCGGGTGTCGTCAAGTATGCCGCAGGCATGCCCCTTTCCATTCGCATCCGCCATCAGTCCCATCAGCAATGTCAGTGGGACACGTGGAGGCGATGCCGATGCTATACTCACGCGATCGCCGCTGCCGACAGAGTCTCCATAAACGACAGATGTTTTCCGTGATAGCCTTCATGAAATACGTCTTTCTTCAGATGCCAGTAGGCAGGGAAGTATATCGCCGAGAACGGTATGTCACGGAGCAGGCAAGCGCTAGCACCCTTGTACAGGCCGACGAGACCAAGCTGGCGCACAATATGCACTGCACCCTTGGCGACGGCACCCTCTGCCTTGGCCGCCTCGCCTTGAATCTGAAGCCTGATTTTGCTAGCGAGGATTGTTAATTCGCGGAACTTCAAAGATCGATCGTGGACTATCTTACACAATTTCAAGTGGGTTCGTAAAGACCTGTTCGGTGTCAGCGCATCTCTCGCTTAGCGGAAGCAAAACAAAACTCACCACTTGGCAGCCTCCAGCAGTCCCGCCTGCAAGGAGCTCCCACGGAAGGGTGATGCTTCCAGTCTCAGGGTCCATGGCACGACCACGTATCAAATCATTGACAGTAAGCTTGATGGCTTTCTCTGGGGCGACACCCTAAAAGAACCAGACTGAGTCTAACTTTACGACGTCGTAATTGATCCCCCTCACAATGAGCTGAGGTCCCAAACCCCGGTAGAAACCTAGGAATCCTTCATTATGGAAGACTTTGCGGACGCAATCCAAACTGTTTTTGTATAAAAGTTGGCCAACGACAGTGCTCCGTTGGTTTTGCATCCTGTTCGACAGTGTCAACATACATTACACCTTGGCGCATAAAGAAAATGGTATACCGAGTCTGGAAACGTTTCAGCGACGAATTTAGGTTAGAGCCATCTCGCCAAGCGAAGATGGATTGTTCGTACCTTGACTGCACAGATACATCAGCAATGAAATCTCACGACCAATAAATGATGCATACCTAAATCTATGGGGTATACGATAGTTGCTCCAAACGCCCCAGCAAACCCTTTATTGAACGATGGTCACTCAAAACGGTTCCAGTCCGTCAAAGTCGAATAGCGATCGCTTACCCCCTTGAACAAAATTATACGCCGATTGAGCAATGTCGTGTACCACGGATGTAACAGACAGGCCGGTAGCAGCAGGATCCTCAGTGGGTTCCCCAGGAGCCTTCCAACGCGGATCAAGCAGCCGAGCAAAGTCGATCAACGCGAGGCGCTGTCCACTGATGCCGCGTCCAGCAAAGTGGAATATGATGGACGCTTCCATCGGCGTGAAGAGGGAGTAGCGCGCACTGGACGAGGCATGATTCAAGAAGTCGGTCTCGCTGATACGTCCGTCCTTCGACTTCGCAGTCGCCTCGCGGAGAACACTACGAACGTGTCAGGCAAACACAAGGCAGCGCCAAAGTGAGTGCTTACCGCTCAACCATGTCCATCTCTGTAATACAGAAACAATTCTTGAACACGTCAGTGATTGGCACTACTGGTGAGTCTGCCCACCTCTAACAACATTATGGAATGCAATAACTTCCGAGTAGGATATACGGCCTCCAGGGGTGAGTGTGGTCAGAGTGGGTAGACGCTCGATGACCTCATCTGAGAGTTTATGCCCAGCAATTTCCTGAAAGAGAAAAAAACACTGCTCAGCGCAAAGCCCAATTCACACCGGAAAAAGATTGTACTAGAATGATTCTCTTGAACTGGTCGGGCTTAATGAAGCCGTCCTGGTTGTCGTCTAGATACTTGAAACCCTGGCGCAGTCGCTCGCCCTGCAGGCCCTTCATTAATTGGGTAAACTCGTTGTCTACAAGACCACATCAGGCACATCTCACAAGAGGACAAAAATCGAAAAGACGCACATCCCAAGACATGTGTTCCGTTCTTCTTGCCGAGGTATAACTTAGCCCAGTCACTGCAAGGAGATCATGACTTGTTTCCCTATGAGATAGAATTTGAAGGCTCACCAGTCGAAGTTGAAAGGGATGGCATCTGGTCCAACGTTGGCCTGAAATACGTTCTTGAGTTCATCAAACGTGATAGTTCCCGAGCTATCGCTGCACCGCCGTGATCGTCATCCGTTCCACACCACGACCAACACCTATATCAACACAACGTTCCTTAGAGATATCGCGAAGACATTACGCACACATCGAAGTACTGGAACGCGATCCAATAATCAGCGTCTGGGCGCTTGAGCAGTGTCTGGAACACGGTGAAGTCGTCCCAGGATACTCGGCCGCGTTTGGAGCCGTCCGCTACACGGAAGAGTACTGCAAACTGCGCGCGTGCGATGCGCGTCAGGTCGCCCGTCGGCGCGATCGCATTGACAAATTGGTCGCGGTCCAGAAACCTGCCCGCAGTGCGGTAGCAACCCCCGGTGCAACGAGGTCAGAAGGCGTGGTGAGGGAGCATCATAACCGGGCGTGAGGTCGTGAGAAGGAAAGGAAGGCGTGACGTTAGCACAGTTCAGGCGTGCATAGAAAGGCAACGTAGAATGACGCACCTCTCTCCGTCGATGACCGTTTTGGCGTTGGCCTCGAAGACTCTTCTCCACCGCTTCAGCTCGCTCTCGGGCGTGCGTACTACGCTCTTGACTGTCTCTAGAGCACGCGAGGCCTTTCTACCTTCGTTCTCCGCATCAGCATATACCCGTTCGAAGATACGGGGAAGCGGGATCATTTTTGAGAGAACTCGGCGTGGGGATCAAGGTTGGTGCAGAGGGTATAAATCTAGAATCCACGCGGGCCGTGGCGGGATAGAGACGTTGTTCAGAGAAGACCGGAGCAAATAAGAGCGAGAGTAGTCTAGCGACGAGGGGGCACTCTATGAGGCAGGGAAAGAGAGTCTAGGGAATGTGGGGAAAGGCAAGTCTACAGCAGAGCAACGAGTGTGCCGATGCGGGGAGCCTGAGGGACGCCGAAATCTCTGTTGTCCGATATTTTGCTTGCCGCGGCTCGTCAAATTGAAATTATGTCAGCAGGTGTGGCGCTTGCGGTTCTCTGGCGCGAAACACCGGCGACAATTTCCGGTGAGAGGTTGTGAGACGTGCTGTTAGAACACGACGTGTCTACATTCATTTTATCGCCTCGCAAACGCCGCTTCTTGCGGCAGGCGGAAGCTGATACAGTACATGTCCTTGCTCGGTGCTACGGAGCGAACAAAGTGCAGCGACATATCCTTACCGAGCGGGTGCCCGAGCTGTTCCTCCACCCGCTTTTGCCCGATGCGATCACCGAAAATACAAATTCAGCATACACTTTTCCAACTAATGGCAGCGGTAGGCACGGCGCGGACGTACCTGTTGGATGTCCCTCCGAGCTGCATCAGTCTCAAGTTCGCGGGTGAAACAATGGCAGTGAACCATCGGCATCGTGTCGTACACTTCCCTGAAGACGCTCTCCTCCGCCTCAGATTCACCAGCCAATATGCCACGAAACGCGTCAACAAAACTGATCGCAGAGTCCGGTAAGTTCATCACGAAATGGCCGACTCGGCTCCGCTGCGGCGCCGCCTCGGCAGGCGGTGAAGATGTGGCTGCGGAGTGGCCTGCCGTCTGCTTTACCCTGGCCCGGCGTTGTTCCTTCACCTTGGACCTCGTAGCTCTCGGCCCCTCGTACGACGGCAGCGGGTTCTCAAGTGCTCGCTTGGCTGCAACGCGAATAAAATCGCGCCCGTCTTCGCAGAACGCTCGCACGTGCTGCTGGACCTGCTCGCGATAGTCACGGCCAGCCACGGATGTCGATATTGACAAGACAGACCTTGTTATCTGCGATATTCTTCTGCAAGTATCTGTAGCTGTTCGGATTTAGATCGTTCGCTAGAACACCGCAGCCTTTTTTCCCCGCGGGAATAGCGAATGGACCGACGCCTGCAAATACGTCTGCAACAACGTCTGACGGCTGGAATAGTTGCACGAGGCGGTCGTGCTCGGTGTGCAACCGCGAATTCCAGTAAACCTGCGTGAAATCAAACGTAAATCGGCAATCGGACTCGTGCTACCGATCAAAGACATCAGCCCGGAAGTGGTCGAAAAGGGAGGGTGAGCGTACATGCTCAACGACGAAATCAGGTTCACCCGCGATGAGCTCCATCTCGAAGAACCGGAACTTTGTGTCAATGGAATCCAGTTTGTTGACGACTGTGCGGATCTTTTTATTCTTCTATTGGATGTTTGTAGCATGAGTAGCGACCGGGTCGCGCGTGAACGAAAACAACCCACATCCATAATAACTTGGCCGATGATGTGTTTGTACGGTAAATATTCGGCATTCAGATTGATATGGGCTGCAAAGAAATTTATCAATCTATATGACAGTTGACTGTAGATGGTAGCAACATCTTCCATACCAAGATGACCAGTGACAGCGAATCCCGTTGGAGAGTCTTCGAGGAGATCTTCGGGGAGGATGGCCTGAAGGATCTCATCTGTCATGCATGAGGATTTGATTTCTAAACCCGAGATTACAGCCGCCATGCACATACCCGCCGTCCAGTAGTCATAATTCAGTTCCAGCTGGTAAGTTGTCAAATCCGCGCTCTGCGCCTGCAAAAACTCCTTGGCATCAGTCGCAAGGTCGACTACCTTGCCGTGTCATTAGTATCATTTGAGCCAATAAATGCGCTGCAGGTAAGGCTTACCTTCATTTTGTATCCTGAGAAGAACGAGTCTGTTCTCATCCGGGTTGGCAGGATCCGCCACGACGCTCCGTACTTTTGGCAGATTCATGATGGATCTGTTTCAATACCAAAAAGTTGGTGAATTCACAGTGGCTTTCCATGATCACATCCACATAACCCCTTGACGGGTGGCGGTAACATGGATACGTCGTTGGTTGAACAGGACTCGGACCTACCCTCTCATAGCTTCAGCCTTCATCACCAACCCTGCTTTCGCCGGTGGGACGCGGACAGCGAGGACAGGAATAGAACGATAGAAGACGGAACGGTCAAGGGATTCTTTCATCCATCGCGCCAGTGGTGGTGCGATATCAAGTGTTACTTTCCGCGGCATATCCAGTACAACCCTAGTCAGTGATATAGACTGCGCAGAGGCAGGTAGGCGAAGTGAAGGCACAAAAGAGAAAAGTCTGAGCATGCAGACTCTACAGAAGGCCACGGCGGCGAAAGCGGAAAGGCAGAGTTTTGACGTGACCTATGTTGTATGACGATGTTTGCCGTTGTCGGTCCACTTGCATACTTTGATCTTGAACCTTCACTTGAGCGGCAACGACAACCCCGTTTAAAAGCAATTCCATCTATATCTATCTATATGTCCTCGGCGAAGCATCGCTGATCGACGATAGAATTTCTTTCAGGCACGAGAATCAAACATAGCGAGTCCAACTTACACCAGTCTTACACCTCTCCTCGTCCTCGATGACATCGCCAGACATCGCCAATAACTCTGTCCTTGCACATGTCGTTGACGTCCACTGTCATCCCGTTGAATCATCCATAGATCCTCGCGTCATGGACACCCTTCCAATCACCATCTGTGCCATGGCCACGACCGCTTCGGACCAGCAGAAGGTGCATGACCTCGCAGAACGCTGGCCTGACAAAGTCATCCCAGCCTTCGGTAAGCATCAGTATCGTATGCAGTGCACGCGCCCATTGTCCATGTGCGGATCCACTCGAAAGTATATAATCAGCAGCATCGCACCTATCACCTCACCTCCACCGCCCATATATCACTGCTATGCTCACCCGATTTTTCAGGCTATCACCCCTGGTTCACACACACGATCGCACTGACCCCTCCATCTTCAACGGAGGACCATTATCGTACACTCTTCTTGCCTCCTTCGGCTCCGCAGTCCGCTCAAGATGCGTTCACGCGCCTCCTTCCCTCCCTTCCGGCCCCTCATATACTTTCAGATCTCCTTGCGACCCTCCGTACGAACCTGACTGCCTTTCCGAATGCCATGCTGGGCGAAGTAGGGATCGACCGTGCTGCCCGGGTCCCCTTCCCAGCCTCATCTGACTCGTCTCCGCAACCATGCTGCACGTCCGACGAAGATTCTGGTGCCGCATCGGAACTAGAGTCATATCACCGCCGCGAGCTATCCCCGTTTATTACGCCACTCTCCCACCAGCTCACCATTTTAGAAGCTCAACTGGCCATTGCCGTTGAGCTGCGCCGAAACACCAGCATCCACAGTGTCAAAGCTCCCCAATTGACACGGGAGCTACTCGACCGCATGGCGAGCACTCATGGCACGGCATGGCGGCGTATCAGCGTCGATTTACATAGTTGTGGGCTCAGTCCCCAAGTATGGATAGAAATTGAGGTACATTCGCCCAGCCTACTTAATATATGATCATCACGTTGATCACTCATATGGACCTTACCTCTATGCAGAAACGTCATCCGAATGTTTTTCTCTCGCTCTCCACTGCGATCAACTCTCGCTCGACGAACCACCGCGCCCTCATCGCTGCCTGCGCTCCTTCCAGGCTCCTTGTTGAGTCGGATTTTTGCAATGTCCGCTTCTGTACCACTCGTACATGGGACATGGTTCGCATTGTCGCAGAGGTCAAATGCTGGCGCATCGAGCAAGACTGGGGCGAGGAGGATGAGAATGCGGACGAAGACAAGTGGGGGGCAGTCCGACGCATGGAGCAAAACTGGCTACGGTTCGTGAAAGGTGGGCATGAACAGGTCGCAAAGGTGTCCCGAAAAAACAGGAAGACAAAATGGGATGAATGGGGAGATTCAGAGACTGAGGACGAAGGTAAGATATAAGATACCGGTCTTCGACATCACAGATTGTACTTTAGATCACATGCAATAGAACTATCCACGGAGTCTCAGACCAAATAGGGGAAAAAACGGTAACACATGTAAGCTACAATATCCAAAGCTGCAAATGCCGAGTCAAATGATGAGACTAGGAGTGTTGCGAAATTGTTCGTACCCGAAACCTTTCCTCGCTGGCTACCAGGCCTACCGGAAGAGATATGTCAACAAGAAGAATATGCATACGCCGATTAGACCGCCAACGATGAATGAGTCGCGTCGCCGTCGCTTGTGTATCATCGAGAGGATATTGTTGATGCCGGGAATCGTATCTAGCAGCCGCAAGGGCAGTACGGGAAATAAACAAAGGGGAAATGGTTAGAGGGAGGACGAAAGAGCAATGAGCATGACGCACTGAGGACGCCGGTCATGCGTGTCTGAATCGAACCTAGCGAGGTTCGCTGTCGCGCGAATTCAGAGCGCGTCTCATATGCTTGCCTGTTAAGACCCGCGCTCAGATAGATGACTGTAGTAGGAGAAGATAAGTGTACTCTAATGTCTCATCGACCATGCGATGCGATGTGTCGATTCGGCCGCGTTCTGCAAGGAGTGAGTCTGCTGCCGAGGACTTGTATGCACTGACAAGGCAAGGCATTAATGTGAGTTATTCGGAACGGGGGAGGAAGCTCAAATATGCACTCAATGTCATTGCGCACGCCTGCCAAGAGGTTCGCTTGATCCAACGCCGTCTGCACATTCGTCTACCCGAGAGACTCAGGACACATCAAATCAAAAGGGACAGAACGCACCTTTGTCCTTCGGAACTCGCGCACGTAGTCCTGATACACGTCACGATGTCGCTGAATAGCTCGTAGCATCGACTGTGATGGAGGATTTTCCTTGTCGCCCGACAACGCTGAGAGCTGGTCGTTCGCTTCGCCGAGCTGCACACCCCACAGTCAGCAAGAAACATACAAATTAAGCGATGAGTATGTACTTTCTCCAACAGCTCTTCCACCTCTGTTTCCATATCTTTCCATCGCGCACTGGACCCGCTGGATTCCACATCTTCCTGCGAACGGGATATTGTCGAGGCGAGCCGAGAGTAAGAGGTAAGCTTCGTATCGAAGAGGGATTCGAGCGTGCGACACTGGCGATGTATTGAGTCGTATGTTGCCATTACTCAGGGTTTATGCGCGAAATGCGAGTCAAAATATTGGATTCAGGCTAGGTAGTGGAAGTGGTGTATCGCAGTGTATCGCAGAATGTGAACTGCTTGCAGTAAGCATTGCCAATTCGAGCGAAGTGGCCAATTTCGCGGCCGATTTCGTCATTGCCCTTTGCCTGCGATCCTCCATGGACATCGACCTCGCCCACCGCCTTTGCGTCCCATCGAGCACAGATGCCAATGACGGAGCGAAAACAGCAATGACGCCGTTCAACGCATCATTTCCACGCCGCCATTCGTATAAAACAACTCAAGGGTCTTCATGTTCCATCATATGAACGTCTTTGCCCGCCCAGTCTCTTCACAAATACGTAGTTTGCCCGTCACAACTTCTGTCATATCTCGACAAATATCTTTCTCGTCCTCGGTGAGAATGCCCTCCAGTAACCCAGACGCGGTCAACGCAGCGGGTCTCAAGCCCGCAGAAAGCAAGTCTCTTTCGGAGCGCTCTGCGAAGCCGCACGAGGAGCGCATTGTGCAGTCCATCAAGGAGCTGTACACTTGCCAGCCGAAGGCAGTATGTCTCCCGCTCCTTCTCGAATTCATGCGACTGATGCATAGACAGAGCACGTATGAGATTTATACCTCCGATGCGGTCTTTCATGATCCTGTTGGCATCGCACAAGGAGTTGACTCTATCCGTGCCCAGTTCGACGCACTTCCGAAGGTCTGTCAATCTCGTAGTCAAGAAGAATAGTATTCAACGCTATCTAGTAGCTCTTTCCCCGGGCAGACATAAATAAATTCCGCATCCTCTCTGGCCCACCTTCTGGACCTCCAAACACCATGCTCATTGATCAAGATGTTGCGTACTTCCGTGATGTCAACGCATCATCTTCATTTAAGGTGTGTTATTGCGCTGCCCTCAAGGGGAATATGGCATTGACCTCTTGATTTTTGTCGCGCAGACAGTAAATTCGCTCCTGACCTTGCGAATGAATGATGCGCACAAAGTGATTAGTCACTCGGAGGAGTGGGACCACAAGCACGAAACGACATCTGAGGATGGGTTTATTGGTATGCTGAACGAACAGCGCAAAAGGGCGACGGCGGGTCTTACAAACTTCTTCATGGGTAAAGACGGCGGTGACGGGAAAGAAAGCGGAAAAATGTAAATGAAGCGTCTAACCTATGGCCGCTTTCGTCAAGGATACGTCGGCATAGTAGAGAGCATTTGGTACCTAACTGTAAATCAGGTTATACCAGGTGCAATTTGGTAATTTCGATAGACATTTTCATATCATTTGGAATTCGAGCAGCAAAAGAAATGAGCACACGTATAAATCTGCACCACCCTTTCGGCCAATCAGGTATCGTTTTTCTCTCATAGAGTTAATCAGCCGAACGCAAACCAACTCTTCGCAGTCTGCTGCGCAGCCAACCGTTTTGCCTTGAAAGATCGTTTGACATATATCATGCGGTTGACCATGAAACAAAGCATCACTCACCTGAGCAACCATACTCTTGCTACCCTGCTCCAACGAGTTGAAGCTCTCCTCCAGGCCTTGGAGCATCTCTCTGGAAATCAAGAGTCAGACAAAGTGATGGTGGTGGGTGCAAAGATTGGGAAATAGACTAACCCTCTCTCAGCAACGGCGGCGTGGAGCCGGTCGTATAGGCTACTCTGCGTGCGCGACGCTTCCGCAGCGGTGGAACCGGCCGGGTTACTCTCCCAGTCTGCATATTTTGATTTTCCAGCAGCGGGCGCCGCGGGTTTCAAGGGGATGGGACGGTCCGGTCCAGCCACTATTTTGTGCCCGAAAGACGGAGAAGAAAAAGATGGTGGCGTGATCAGTTCTTCTCGTCGGATAGAGCGAAAGTAACATGGGGCATACACAGGGCATCAATCTGATCTCCACTGACGCTGCCTTGTCCGACGAGTCCGCCAAACCATGAGCTAGCGGTGCTGAGCAACCCCGCTGGGCCAATACTGACGGGTTGCGGTTGCGGTGGGACTGTTCTAGTTGTGCCATCTGCGCGTTCAGTCAGGGCTACGAGGGGCGTGTGGTACCCGCGTCGCACATCGAAGAGCGTGTGCAGATGAGCACGGCGGATTGGCGCTGACTGTGATCCAAGCGGGGAGAGAGTGAAGAAGTCGCCGCTGGCATCTGCGGAAGGTGATCTGCAGGAAGGAGAACTCAAGAGACAAGTATGGAAAGTTGAGCAAAATGCACATACAGAGGGGAAGTCGTCGGGAGCGGTATGGTATGCATTAATTCTAGGGCCGGAAGAGAATACACAAGGGCGTCGTGCCTATCGGTAAATGCTACTAGAGCGTATGATCCTGCGGAATTGATCGTCAAAACAATTTCTACGGCTTTGTGGATCGCAAAGCTTACCGTTGCGCTCTACAATTTGCACTGCATTCACCGAACCGACTTTGCTACCCCATTCGGCTCTCGCCACCCGCTCTTCACCCAGATCGGCGAAGGACCTGACTCCCTTCTCACCAGCCACGATCAAGAAGCACCGCGGCCCCTCCTCCCCCTCGACATGTTTCCTATCAGCTCCCATGCCCATGTTACCGGACTGACGTTCCAGAGATATGGCGAGACGATTGCGATCTGCCCTGCAACTAGCACCAGTGTGTGCATCCAACACGAATATTCCCATCGGTAGCGTGTTGGCCAAAGTCTCAGTTTCGTGGGCTACTGCAGAGACAACCCAAGGGCCAGATTGGGAACGGGCGAGGGTGAAAATGTTGGTGAGTCCCGAGGCGCGTACAGCGACGAGACGGAGACGGGGTATTTCATCTAGATTGACGTTTAGCGAGGCGAATATCCGGCTAGGCTTGTGTGTTACCTATTTGGAGGCTGCAGATAGTCCAGCTCAAAGCTGTGATAGCATCTGCTTCGGGAGCTTTGTGAAGAGGGACAAGACTATGCCTTTTGGACTTCCTCTGTTGCTCGCTGGAGATGTGATAGACAATGTTCGGACCGCGCATATCCACAATGGACAAGGAGCCATCGATGTAAGCGACTGCCAGAAAGCCTAGAAATACCGATCGATGCTTTGCATTGCGATAGGTAGAGAGAGATGCTCACCTATGTCAGACATTGCGCAGGCACTTGTTTGCACCGTAGAATTCATCATGAAAAAGGGCTTGTACCGTAAACCTTGCTTTACTGGAATATGTTCCAAGAGCACGAGCTGTTCATCCGGCAACTTTCGATTAATAACATCGCCATCAACCCCATCCCTGAGCCTGTATACTATGACTTCACCGCTAGTGAGGATAGCTGCAACTTCCAAAGCCTCATTGGTGAATCGCACGTCTTCTAACCGTGCTCGACTGACTAGATTTGGGGGGATTCGAGAAGTGATTGTAGGAGATGCCAGTACCGTCAACAAATCTATGGTGAGAGCAGGAAGGGGGTTAGGAAACGAAGAAGTCAAGGGAGCGTTTCCATTTGAAATTTGAAGTTGTACAGAGACATCAAGGAAACGGATGGACAAGTCATTGTGTCGTGTCACCAGGATGCGATGAGGTTCATACTAGATATATCAGGTGCAGTTAACTCAACGGCCACTAACTCAGCAGGAGAGAACTGTGCACCTTCGCTAATTTTATATTACTCTGTACACTTTCTGCTGGGACGGCGACACCCCCTTCCAGTTTCAACGCGCGGTGGGAGAGTTCAGTACCACTCTCGATAAGCTGATCGTATGCCACCCTGTCTAGGAGTACAAGGGCTCCACTAATCAAACCATCCGAACCAGTCCACAAAGTCGTTGGTAGAGTTAACTTGTGAGGCTCATGGCTGGTTTGCATCGACTGAAGAGTCGCGGCCAGATTGGTATCCAACGCGTCTTCTGGGTTTTCTGATTGTATAGCCCGCGAAGGACCTCCAGATTCTTCAGCAGCTTCCAGAAAGCCGGGAGGCGGATATTCATATGCTTCAATTGTCCTCGTCTGTTTCTCACCTTCTGAGAGAAGTAGTACGGCAACTGGATCCCAAGCACCTGAGAAGTGAGGACTGTCGCGGGGTATGAGTAAGAAATCTTGCGTTATTCCTGAAGTCGCGTAGAAGTAGGCATCCAAAGGATCGATAGATTGTCGGATAGCTTTGCGGAAGAATGGATGTAGCCCTGTTGTAGCAACAGAACTGGCAGGGGCATCCGGTGGATTAAACCGTGGAAGCCAAAGGACGTTGATACCGGAGGGATCACCATTGAACTGACCGCCAAGCACGGCCAAAGAGGTTTCTCCTCCTCGTGGATCGGATGGATTGGGAGATCCACTCCATGAAAGCTTGAAGATCGGTTCGCGAAGGCTGCGCTGTTGACCATCCATCATCGGTCTATGATATTTTGGGAGTATCTCCTCTAGTTTATGCCCATCAACAACATGGATGTCCAGGTCGTCCAGTGTCCGGACAAGCAAAGGTTGATCCTCATCTTCGACTGCCCAGAATGCGAACGATCCGTCGATATGACCTACCACAAAGAAGTGTCCAGCAGGATGAATAGCCAATGAAGTGACCGTCGGACGGCGGTGGGCCAAGAGATCCTACATACTAATATCTATCACTAGGGTCAAGATATCACAAAATTCACCCACTGGACTAGTGTAACCTCCACCCCCTGGTGCCCCAGGAGGTAATACGAGTTCGTAGGCACGTAGGCTATTGCGTTCTTTCTTTGAATCGTGATGTTAAGGTGTGAAGACTCAAGAGTGCGTGTTGAGATTAGTACCGACCAGATCGGTCAAAATCACGCCGCCTAAAAGATGAAACCCATTTTGCCATAAGTTGGAACCGCCCACCACTATCAAATCCCTGCGTACCTGCATATGCGATGAAGAGGAGATTGAGGTTTCGAGGGTGTATGACAATATCAACGGGTATTCGTCTAGACGAGATCTGTCCGTCATTGTCAACAGTGATAATGTCGAGGAAGACACTGACGATGCTGCATCAAAATCGCCAACTATTCCAGAAGCAAACATCTTCTTTTCATACAGCTCCCAAGCGTTGGGTATGGTATATGAAGATTGGCGGCGACACAGAAGATCGTAGGTCTTGATCTCGCCAGAGTCCAGCCCGACATATACCTGCAGAGCAACAGCTCAGAGGCTTTGGCGAGGTATGAGCATAGAATGTAAAACAAACGTGGGTGTGCGAGGGAGAGAGTGCAATGCAGCTTCAAAGAACATACTTGAGTGATGCCGGCTACGATTATAATGAGGTAGACGGACTTTACGGGTGACTTGAAACTGGTGGTAACTTCCAATTTCATGTTTCCGATGGACGTTAGGTCCCATAAATAGAGCTTGTTGTTATCATCTGAGGCCTCCGTATTAGTACGTTCATATTTATCCTGTATTGTAGCCCACCAATACAAATAAGCTTGAGAAGGTTCGTTGCAAATTGGATGAATCTAATGGAACTAGTGTCGGGCAGCTTCAAGATCGATTCCACCGCAGGGGAACCCAAAATCCGTACTGTACCAGCAGTACATCCTAGGAAACATGCGTTGCTGATTGGTCTGAGAGTATGAGGCGGTAGACGTACCAATGGCCAATAAACTCGAGACGGGATCTATTGCAAACGCGGTGATGTCTAGATGGTACTCCAAAGTCTTCAACGTTCCTACAACCCAGTCTTCTTTGTCTCTCAATTCAAGCGAGAAATCATTGCGGCCAGTCCGACCAAAGTTCTTGAGAGAGAACATGATGGGTGTGACAAGTCGCTTATATGTGCTTTTGTGTACTGGATTCGAGCATGGACAGACTTAAGTCGGAGTGTGGAACGGTGAGGCGATTATTTGAGTATTTGAAATACAGGACCGGGGGGTTGCGGCAAGAGTTTCTTCGAATCTTCAGCTGAGGCGCTTCATTTCGGATAAATATCATGTTGAAATCGTCAGGAATTCTTGTTATGGAACATGTAAGAAAAGCATAGTGGAGTCTCCTGGAGAACTCGCTGGTGAATGTCAGCTAGAGCGGCTTCCATCATGGAATATTCCTGCAGTGCATGCGGTAAACATCGAAAGTAGAAGCCATGGAGCGATGTTAGAGATATAGTACATGGTCTGAATAAACATACGAAGAACCTATTGATACAATGTGAAAATGTCATGATCCGAGCCCTTGCACACCAATCACGTGTCACGATGCGTGTCCACCAGTGGCTCTCTCAAAAACGCCAGGCCGCGACAGTCGTGGTTGTGAATTGAGGCTCGAAGATGATTGACCTGAGGAAACACCTCTGATTCTTCCTAACCAACCACGCTTAGCGGCCTTCAGTTCAATACGCGATGATGTCCGCGGACTGTTCGTGACATCCAAAATAGCAGGATCGCTCATTCTCACAGGAGACCCATGAGTGAGAGTTGTCATCGGGCGGGCGGTGGTGTTGCGAATAGGCGTAAATCCAGTGCGCAAATTCTTTCGCATACGAGGTGTGGCACTATCGATGCCGCGCGACTGGTCCAAAGCGCCATCGACAGTGAAACCCTGCACAGGTGCATACTCGTCTGGATCGTCCGGTGCCGATCTCTTCTTCCCAATTGACGAAGTCGTTTGGAGGGGACCGGAGAAATCGGGTTGAGGTATGGAATTCATTGGCCCCGGAGTTCTCGTCTGGAATATTGGGGGGTTCAATCTCTCAGGAGTTCTGGACTGAAAGGCTGAATGACCAGCACGACTCTCGGGCGTCTTCGCTCGAAACACCGGTGGTCGACTGTCAGGAGTCTTTGGTCTAGGTAAGACGGATGGTCCCGGTGGCATACGCGAACGCGATCGGGGGGTAGAAGAGGATTGGGACAGGACAGGCTGTGAAACATGAGAGGCAGCTACGGCGGTGGTGACCGGCATTGATGAGGCGGAATGGGGCTGGCGGGAAGGCGCTGAAGGCTGCAGCTTTTGTGGAGGCAGTGCAGAAGAGGCATCTTTAATGGCAGCCAACTTGTTTTGCAGACTCTGAACTTTTCGAGCCAGATTTTCCATCTTCGCCGTCATTTTCTTCTTCTCCTTGAGGAGTCTGTGGAGCGTGGGGTTATTAAAATAGATTATGAATGAAGTAACACTTACTCAATAAATCGATCATCATTCTCCTCGATTTCTTGAGTTTTGCTTCGCATCAGATCGTCCATCATCTGCACTTTCTCATTGAGCTCCGTAATGATATCTCCCTGCTTAGGATGGGTCCGAAGGATATCAAGTTCACGACGCAAAGAGGATACCGCATGCTCATGCTGGCCCGACTTCAAGGAAAGCTCCATCTGCGCCGACTTGCAGGCTTGTTCCGAACGAGCGTGGTCCGCACGAAGACGACTCAAATCCGCCTTCAACGAGTTTATCTCATTCTCGCTACAACAGACGCACTGAGATGATGGACTATGACAAAAATAGATTAATGCTTACCCGTCCCTGACTTGCTTCTCCAAGAATTTCTGCATGGAGAGCCCACGCTGCATCGCGGCTTCCAAACCAGTTGCTTCTTGCTCAAGACTTAGCTTTTCTTTCTCTAAGGATCGGAGGAAAGTGTCAGTCTCTATTGCCTTGCTCTGCAAGGTAGCAATAGTTTCGCGAAGGTCGGCTTCGACGGTCCGAAGAACCTCGTACTGCTCCCGGACAGTTCGACATTCGGCATTGGATGCATTCCGATCTGCCATCTCCACTTTCAATCTAGTTTGTAAATCAGCGGCTTCACTCTGACTGAATTGAAGGCGCTCCTGAAGTTCGACAAGCTCCTGCGCATGGCGTGACTTGACCCTATCGGCTTCCTGCTCCAGTATCTGAGTGGCAGCTGATGCTTTCGACAGCTTCGCTTCCAAGTCCGCTTGGGAGAGGCGTGCCTCGTCAATAGTGCGGTGGTGAGAGGCCTCCAACTCATCTTTCATCCGTGTAGCATCCTGAAGGTCTCGAGCTGCTTGATCCAGTTGACTGCGGAGATTCTGTAATTCATCCCTGTGAGTTGTTCGAATAGCTTCAAGCTGGTCAACCAATTGCTGATCGACTACGTGTTGTTCGTGAGACCTTTGCAGTTGCCCTTCAAGCTCCTTCCTAGACTGCACGACTTCCTCTAGAGAAGCCTTCTGTGCCTCGATTGCCTCAGCATGAGCAAGCTGGATTTCCTGTAGTTCAGTAGTAGCTTGAGTAAGACGATTATGAAGTTGCTTGGTTTCCTCTTCAAACGAGGTCCGCAGCTGCTCTAGCTCTTGTTGAACCTGGGCACTTGCTCGCATTCGCTCCATGTGTTCCCCAACAACAGACTGCAGCTCTGCTTGAGAGGTCTCCAATGCCTGCTCGAGCTCAGCGTTAGAATGCTGGAGTTGTTCGAGCTTTTCCTGGAGTTCAAGGGCTTTGACCTCATTCTCCTGAGATTGTTGCGAGCGGACGGACTCCAATTGCTTCCGAAGAGACTCGATTTCCGTGACCCTGATGGCGAGTTCGCCTTGCACCACTCTAAACTGGTCCTTCAAACCCGTCTGGAGGGCCAGCTGGGTGGCGAGGAAGCGTTCTTTCCGGCGAAGTTCCAGTTGAGAAACGGCAAGAGCAATTGTGGCTTGACGGCTCCTCTCATCGCTGAGTCCACACTCGTTCCTGGCAGCTTCTAGTTTGTATTGATTATCATCCCATAGGGCCGTGACCGTCTCCTCTTGGTTAGCGATATGATCGAGGAGGCCAGTATTTGCTGTGTGGGTCTCGTACAGTGTTGACCGAAGATCATAGATCTCGACTCTCGATTGGGATACGACCCCTGCCCATAGACCGATCAAGGTCATAGTCTCCGTTTCGCGCTGCTCATCCAGTCGTTCGAGCCGAGCCTCGAAGGTCTCCAATTCTTCCTCGAGATCTTCTACCCTCCTCAAGGCCACGTCCCGCGCCTCCCTGGCCTCCGCACAATCCTCGACCATGCTCTTTTTCTCTGTAATCACGGTCTCTAGTTCTTGTGTCATCTCCGCGATTCGATCCTCCTGCAACGTTAAGTTCACTTCCAATCGCTTGATGTCGTGCTGCTGGAGCCCAATCAGCTCAGTACGCCGCAGGACACGGTCCTCCAGCTCCTCAATCTGCGACTTCAGCGTCCGCGTAACCTCACCGGACGACATAGCCGACAATTGCAGAGTTTGCAGATTGCTATAACGCCTCTGGGCCTCCGCTAAATCCTCTTGAGCTGCAACAAGGTCCATCTCCAGATTGTTGACCTGCAACCCAAGCGAATCGCGTTCCGACTCCAAGCTTTCGTACACTCTAGCATACTCCGATAACTGCTCTTCTGCTTGTTGCAGGTCGGTCTCAGTTTGTGCGTGTCCCGCCTTCAGCTCGTTGATCTGGGATTGGAGAAGTGAAACTCGGGCTATGAGTTCGTCTCGCCGATACTCCGTGTTGTGAAGATCCTGCAGGCAAGCCTCGAGGCGTGAATGTGTTTGATTCAACGTTTCGTCGAGTTCAACGATGATACGTTGTTGATCTTCATTGGCAGAAGTAGCGTCGTCTAGTTGAAGATGCAACAAATCCATTTCAGCACGACTACGCTCCAGCTCCTCGTAGGCGTCCCTATCTTGATCCTCAAGGCGCGACTGTAGATGGCCAACCATGATGAGTGAGGCTGTTGTTTTGAGCTCGAGGAGTGGTTTTCGAACAGGTTGTGCCTGCCCGTGAGACGCTTTCGAAAGTTGTTCTCGAAGAGCGTTAATTTCGACGTGAAGTTGTTCGATTGTGTCTGTCGAGTGGACACCTGCAAGAGTTGCTGCCAATTTTTCCTCCATGGCTTGGATGGTAAACTTGGATTCAGCTTGCAGATATTCGAGATCGCGGCGCAACCCATCCCGCTCGCCTCTCAGACGATCAATGGCCGAGAGCAATTTCTCCACAGCAGCATCATCAGGAGGAGGGACTGAGGGTGTACGTGCACGTGCGAGCTCTGCTGGATGATGAAGCGGGGTGGAGTGCAAAGGGAATGTGGGGCCATCATCGGCGGAAAGCAGTCCTTCATCGAATGTAGTGCTCCCAGGACGCTTGATGAACTCTTCCGCAAGGTTATTTTGCTGCTCGGAGCGTGCCTGTGCGAGCTGAGAACGAAGTTCTCTGATGATTTGAGTCGGTAAGAGGCATTCGTGCAGCTGAGTTTGGAACACACCTCTCCTGAGAATCCAAAAAGTCGATACGAAAGTCTTTTTCCTGCAAGGCCCTAGTCAGATTCTCAACCTGCACTCGGGTACAGTCCAAGAGATCCAGTGCCTCCTCTTTCTCCCTCACGAGCTCCGAAGCTCGCTCCTCGCCCGCCTTGGTCTTGACCATCTCCAACGCCAACTTCTTCTCAGCTCTTTGTAAAGCATCTTGCATGGTCTTCATGTTTCCGCTCTTTTGCACCAATTTCTCCATGGCTAGGACCTTTGCCTCTTCCTCCTCGATCCTCTGAATAAGTTCCTCTTCCCTCTCCCTTCCAAGACCACCATCTCCTTGCTGAGCTCGCAACTGCTCCGCCTCCTCTTCTTTCTCTGCCAAGTGCTCCTTCAACGTGCTGACCTCCTCCAACATCTTCCTCTCCAGCGCGGACTTCTCGTTCTCCGCCCTGATAAGGTCCGTCTGCATCCGTCCGCACTTCTCCTTCGCAGCCTGGAGGTCCGACTCGTGAGTGGTAGATAGAGATCGCGCCTCGTTCAATTCCCGTTCCAGATTCTTGATCCTCACGTCCGAGAAGTCAGAGGATCTTGGTCGACCGGCGCGACTCTTGGCGGGCGTGGCAGAGGATATGATCTGCTGAAGATTGGCTTCAAGTTCCTGCACGCGGTTTTCAAGCCGAGTTTTGTCGCGCTGGAGGGAGGCCACAACGGAACTATGATCACTTTCCCGCCCTGCAAGAGTTTCAATGGTCTCTTGAAGGTTTCTAGCTATCAGTTCCTCTGCTTTGATCTTCTCAGAGGCAGCACTGAGTGCCGTCTCTGCGTTCTGTCGAAAGAGCTTCTCCTTCTCGTAGACTGCTTCACTTTGCGTTAGTCGCTGCTCAAGGTTCAGTGCTCGGTCGGCTTCAGTGCGTAACTAGAAAGTTCGTGGCATTTGTAGTTGTAACCTTCCACCAGTCAGCAAGCATAGGACAGCATATACTCACCTTCTGATGGGTATCGCTCAGTGCAGCCTTTGTTTCCTCAAAGCTCTCCTTGATCTTCAATAGTTGACTCTCTATATGAGAGTACCGGATATCTTTGTCGAGAGCACTCAATGAAGTGATCAATCGAGGGCGATGACTTTCGATAGAGTCCGTACCTTGATTAGCTATTTGTTTCTTCAGAGCAACGACCTCGCCCTCCTTAGGATCCGGCCCGACATTCCAGTGAGACATTATGAGAGATGATGTACAGCCGTGATGGCCTCGCGGATGAGGGAGAGGGGAGAAGGAGTTGACGTCGACGCTCCAGGGCTCCCAGCACAGAGGAGGCAAACCATGTTTTAACGGCACGTGATCGCGTTTAAGGATCAACGATCTTTCCACCACAGCAAGTTTGTCTGGTCTGACTCTGTCTGACTCCATCGACAACTCATAGGTAAGATACCGACGACTGCCACAGCCAGCGCACAAAACACATGAGATACTTTTGTTTTGTCCTTCAATCGAGTCCCCAATATTGAGTTGTATTGCAGCGCCCCAATATAGCGTTTGCGTCTTCGTACGGTCACGAATAAGTTAGTGTACACCCAGACAATTCGTGCTTGCAACCCTCTTTAGGCTTCGATGATACTTGCACCAGCGTGAACGTCAGTTGATTGTGAGTATTTTCAATGGAAACGCGGTCACTTTGGAAAGGGTGGTGCTCGCTTAACACTATTCAGTTGTCCATAGATTCAGACATAGCAATGATGACAAAGTCTGCAATACGGTTACAGTGAAGTTACACAGGGAGACACACGGAACGGGCTGCATACAATACAGGTGAGAGAGTAACATGAAGTATCACGAGGGTTCGAGAGAACACAAGTATAGGCGTCTTTGGGCCACAGATATAATGGAAAGAGTCTACATGGTGGCAAAAAAACCTTACAGTCCTTAGGCAAAGCGAACCTTTTCGCCAGGACGGCCCTCGGAAAGAAGTACAACCGCCTGGAAGGTAATTGTGTGCTCAGAATTCTCTGCAACATTGTGGAGTCGATTAAGAACTCACATATTTGCCGCTGATTTTCCACCCGGGCTCGTCATTGTCGAGTCTCTCAGCCACCTCGTCGCTCTCCAGTCCAACAACGACATCACTCTTGATCGTGCGAAGGGAGCATATTTTCGGGGCTCCCGCCGAGCTTGCCATTGGTCCAATCGCAATGTCGAACGGCGTCGACGCGGGTGCGGCACAGTCGTACGTGAGCTTGCGGTGATTCAAGTCGCCCTTGAAGAAAACAAGGTCTGATCTGGACAAGTGCAGGAAGAGATCCGGAGCCTCGCCGTGAAGGTCCCAGAATGTGTAGCCCGTGCACCAAAACGGGTGTTGCTCGTACACCCACTTGCCCTCACGTTCATATTGCTGGAACAATCAATCGTATATGAGTGAACTTGTTCCAGAGCTATTGGTAGAGACAGTGTATTACCTTCCACCGATTGCCGAGTCTCCGAAGAGACTCGCGCTCCGCTTCCGATGCTTTTGGGAAGAGGTGACCGTACACCATGGTGTTGAGCAGCCACTCCCAGTCCTTCTTGGTGACATCGGAAACAAACCACGGATAGCGCTTCCCGTGGAAGCGGACCTGTGTCGCAAGTCCACTTTGAATGAGAAAGTCGGCTGATGAAACCATGGAATTAATTTCGATGATAGTGAATATATGCGGAAATAACATACCATAGACGCAGTCGCAATACAATTCGAAACCAGCGTTATCGAGAACAAAGTCAACTCTCCCACCAGTCTTTCCGCGAAGCTCTTTGACAGTGTCCCATAACTTGTTCAAGTCATTTCCGAGGATGTTTTTCTCTGTCGAGGCGAGATGCTCGCCGCCTGTAGATTGCAGAGACTTGATTTGCTCTTCAGTCATATTGATCAACAGAGACAGATCGGTAGAGTTGCCCCAGAGACAGACTGAAGTCAAGGTCAGCAAGGCGAAATTAGGTTGGGGAAGGCTGTAATGAAATACCTTGAGTGAGCTCAAGGAACACGAGACGCTCAGCTTCAAGCCTCTCTTCAGCAGAAAGGCTTGGCGACTGTGAGAAAGGCTCGACGAAACGCATAGACAACTCGAATACAGCGTCAGAAGAACGCGAGAAAGTATCACACTGGAGGAAAAGGGGCTCAGGTGGGAAGAGAATTGAACAGAGCGACATGACCTTGCCTTTTGCCTGTAAAACACATCATAGTCGCCCCAGTATTTACTAACACTGAAAGCTTCATGGAGGCGACGATACTTATAAGCCTCGGCAAAAAGCCAAGGCGCATTCATGAAGTCCTTGCCTGAGGATATTCAGGAAAAAAGAGAGTTGGGTCAAATCAGAACCGGGCCTACCTTGGAAGAACTTCGCAATCTCTTTGTTCCACAGGGCAACATCTGCCTCACCGTCGTCGATGATAGGCCTCAACTTCGCGTTACCGGAGAGGTCAGTCATGAGAACATCCATGCGCTCGATGCACTGGACGAGGTCGACGATCCTATCCTCGGATGATTGCTCATTGAGAGTGCGAACTGTATCGTCTATAGCCTTCCCTAGGATGGTAGGGAGGCGGACACCCATAGTGGCATGGGCGAAAGAGTACTCATGGTAACCGCGGTATGCAGGCCACGGCGGGTTGTTAGGATCCACCTACCCAGACAGTATACAATAAGCTATTCCAGTGAGGAGTTGCGGAGACAAGCGTACCCTAGTAGGAGTACGTGGCCAAGGACCTCTGATGTCTTTCTTCTGGGGAAGGTGGCCAAGATGGAGAGTGACTCTGGACGTGGCAGCCTTCGCGCCCGGGGGAGCGTTGGGCGGAGGTGCAGCACCGTTATGAACAATGTTGGCGGACATGTTGCGCTTGGACGATTGTAGGATTTTGTCCTGCTCGTGGTCAGAGGGAGAGGGGGTTTGGGGAAAGTACTCGAACTTCGGAGAGTCAAAGGTAAGGGTGGACATGCGGACAGATATGGAGTTCGGGGCTGGATCGGGACGCACCAAGCACGTTTTACCTGTTCTCTTATATCCTCCAACGAGCGTTGACGTTGAGTGTCACGGTGATGCTTTGTCTGCGTTTGCAGAACGTGCTGTTTTCTACGCTCATCCTCTCGAATAGGAAGCCGGTGACGTCACACGCTCACAATCTATCTGCCGAATTTCCTGTTTGCTCCGCTTGCGACACACTCACATACATACAAACCTCCAGGACGACTGAACGGCGTCTGGTCCAACGTGCCTCTATTTTCAGCACTTTTCTCCATGCCTACCGCTGATCACCATCTGCTTATCTACGGATGACCATCATCCAGTCTCCTCCAAGGACCCCACCGAAGCTCCTCCGCTCTCAGCGCACCTTTTCCACGCAAGTTCTGTTTGGAGCTTCCCCATAGGCTCTAGCTTTGCCGGATATGCCACAGTCCATCGCCACTGTCTTCTTTTCGCTTTATTTCCCAAATCTGACCCCACCATCGTATTTCCTCTCTTGTGACCTTAACCTGAGTTTTCAGCTTGTGTACTGCCAGTGGATGATGTCTCCGTGGAGTTCACCAGTCACCTGCCAATCAGGTCTGTTGCTCAATTTCATCGTCCGAAGCCTTGAGTCCTTGAGCCCATATCGCACAAAATCTACTATACCAGCTTGCAGAATCATGTCAAGTCGCGTTATCGCACATGATATTGCTTCACAGGCTGCTCTCAGTCGGACTGCTCGACGCATATCGTCCATAAGCATTGTATACACGTGATTCGCTACCTTGTCGGCACAAGATCCCATCGCACTCCGCTGCGAGACCCGCGCTCACCTGGCTATCGAGACCCCTATTCCCGTCAGACGCAACCCTCAAGCCACACATGCACGCATCCTCTCACATTGATCTGTCCGAGATACAACGTTGTTCATCGATGTCGTTGGTGCATGAACTATCTAAATCGGGTTCGCTTCAAACTAGGACGTTCTAGAATTTGTCCAATCAGTGCGAACCAATTGCCTTTTCGCAGTGTTTTCTGGATCTTCGCGCTCTCCGGTCTCCTCATTACCAGGATCCATACAAGGCGTGTTTGCATCTAGCGTTACCGTGACTTCTGTGCTAACTCCTTGCACAATGCGTTGGCCACCTGTTACGAGCGAGAAGGTCAGTGCACGTACAAGCGCTGCTTCTTCCTGGACTCTTTGACGCTTGACGCAGCACGGGATCTATCAACACTCACAACGTGTCCGCCTCAAGGCGCGAGGTCAATGTGACCGAAACATAGAAGAGAGAACGGAGACAGGCCTGGATGTCTAGAACGCAAGTGGCGTAGTAAGGCATAACAGTACTATCGCAATGAGATGTAATCTAAATATGGAGGAGGGTGGGGACGAAAAAAGTGTCGGACGTAGCGAGCGCGGCAGCGAAATTGAGAATGGATAAAAGTATGCTCGTCAGCTGTCTATGAGAATGCGAGAGAAGAAAAGCGTCGTTGTGTGGCCTTACTGAAGTGTAAGGCTGAAGCGTGGCTCCGGGCGTGGCGTGGGCGTGCGAGCTTGAGGCCACAGTGACCCCTAACAAACAACCCGCTCGATTCTATAAGTATCAGGCCTCAGGGCCCCAGAGGCTAACCTCCCCGCCTTGGTGCCTTCCTTTGTTCCGGCTAGCCTGACTAGGATCTCAATACCCCCACCGACATCGGCATCGGGGCGTATCTTTCATTCGTCTTAATTTTACTTTCCGGTAATCCAGCCCCTCAATCAAGCAATGCCTGGGGAGGTATTCTTCACGCCTTACGGCATCCCCTATGTTGCCGAATTTACCAATGTCTCTATATATCCACGGATGCCTACACCAACAATTAACCTCGATCTGCCCTCCCTCCCGTTCTCGAGCCTTTCTCGCTCGGATACCAATGCGAGTGCACCGCCTGTGCGGTCACTCAGACCCCCTCTATCGCTCCCCGGCCCTGTGCGTAGCGCTTCGATGAAACTCTTCCGATATAAATCCAAGGCTCCTCCTTGCGACACCGCTGGTTCTGACATTGACGATAAGACCCACGCAAACATGAGACCATTGCATCGGCGCAATGCTAGCATCTCAAACAGCTGGGCGCGAAAGAAGAATCACCGCGAGGCATATGTGTACCAGAGCGCGGAGATCACTTCTCTTCCGGCAAAGTCGAGTCCGTTTCCTCATAATCCAGGGACCCCGTTGGGATCGTCCTTTACGAGTTCGCAAATTACGCTCGTATGTCCTGAGTCTCGACCCGCACCTGATCATCAGCCCGCGGATATATCTATCTTCAACCGATTTGCGAAGCGCACGGGTGGGCTTTATATTCGCTTCCCAAGCGACGCTGAGACTGCCGGCGCTGCAGTTCCTGGTCCACAAGCCCGTGACGAGATCCCTGTCATCCCAGTGAAGACATCCCTCAGGAAGCTGAAATTTTTGAGCAGGACAATCGCAGATGCGGTAGTCGCCGCGGGGATGGACACGCCCGAGAGCGCGAAAGATGGCATCGAGGGAGATACGAAGACGCCGGATGGCGTTTCGACGACCAAGGCCTATCCAAAATGGAACGCAGATGGGAACGGCAAGGCTTTATTTAGGGGCACTTATGGTCAAGTACGTACTGCGCTGTGCGCAGCTGGGCTCGTGACAACTCCATGTGAGGAGAACGGCTTTGCTGATGGTTCGTAAGGTCTGCGGTTGTCTGGCTAGTCGAAGCCCTAACTATATTGGCCATATAGCGACTCGGCTCGGTGCATTGTTTGTCGCAAATCAGGACGGACAGGGGCGTGTCGTGCTCACGAAGATTGTCCTTTGGGGATAGGATAAGATTGAGCGTCTGAAACCTCCATCGATCGATCCCTATGTTGTCCAACAAATTAAAAAAGGGCCATCGAAGATTGTGGGTCCTTCGCATTCTACATGGTCAGTGACTCATATGGCTGACGACCAGTTGATGACCGTTCCATTATCAGTAGGGAGTCTTCAGTCGGGTGCCTGAATTCGCGTGCAGAGTATTCTTCCGCTTCGATATCTATTCTGCACCCAATCCTTCGATTCGGCTCGGGTTCAGAGCAGGGTATTATGTTTGTTTTTTGAACGGAAACTTGCGGCGCAGTGTTTCCAGTCCCCCATTCCGGACTTGTATCTTGTACGATTAGAACAACCAGTAGAAGTTCATCGGTGAATGTAGGATACCTCATGAAAATGGCATTTGTGGTTCATGAACTACTGCGCGCGGGGATAATGCGAACGAGATCACTGTCAAGAACTATATAAGTAAGACATGGCAAGTTCGAGAGATTTAGGCTTGTGTTCCGCTGGGCAGCTCCTCGAGTGAGAGGAATTGATCCCCCGGAAGCATATTTCCCCAGACCATGACTGTCGTTGCGTTTACAAGGAGAAACCCGAGATAAGAACCGTCGAGAGGAAGGAGTAGATAGCGACGATGGCCATTGCGCCATCGAACAAGATGATAATGAATCCCTGATATAGTCGAAATCACAACTGATTGAATGAATGCGAGGAGATGCGAAGCCACATACCTGAAGCTGCACGTTTTGGCCCCACATCCTTCAATCTTGTGTTCCTTCGTGTTTACATCACCCTAGATGTTGGAAAGGCAGAAAAAAAAAGAGTCTCCCTTGGTCTTTGTGTACGATTAAGCACGGATGCAAGGTAATGCTCGGTTTTGAGAGTGTTTTGAGTCAAAGTCATTTCGGCTAGTTTTCGGCCCTGGTGTCCGAAGCCGAGAGGGAAGTATTTGTAAGCCATCGACTTGTTGATTCTCCTTCAACAACCCCAACGTAGTCATTGGAATGTCCTTATCTTTATCTGACAATCGATTGACTGCATGCGATTGAATTCTTCTTTTACAAGACTACAATGTCTACTTCGATCAACGAACCAGTTTCCGTTGTTGTCGTCGGAGCAGGCGTTATTGGTCTGACAATTGCGCACATATTGACAGAAGGAACCAGCGCTCAACAATACAGGGTGACCGTTGTGGCAAGAGACATGCCAGAAGATCTTGACAGCCAGGCCTTCGCGAGTCCATGGGCGGTGAGCATCACTACGTCTGACAGGACATCTAGACAACGGGTTATATTCACGTCATAAGACAGGGTGCAAATTGGTCTCCGATGCAGTATGATGAGCGATTGCACCGCTGGGAGAAGCGAACCTTGTAAGTACAAGGGGATCTCATGAAGTGATCTAATATTTTGTGTGTCAAATAGCGACAAGTTGTGGGACATGATACCTACTGGCCTTGTCCGGGTATGCTCGAATTTATACGAGAGGAACGATGGCTCGCTGATCACATGAACAGAGGCTGCCGTCCAAGGTGTATTTTGAACAAGAAGACGCCGAAAGTCAAGCATGGTGGAAAGATATTGTACGAGATGTGAGCTATCTGCATTTGTTTATAGCGCTGTATCAAAGCTTTCCTCAAAGCTGAGCAATCCGCGTGTGTCATCTTGCGCTCATTATTTCATAGTTCCATCTCATAACGCCTGAGGCATATTTACCATCGAACGTCAAGAGTGGAGTTGGATTCCATACTGTCTCAATCAACCCTGGAATCTATCTTCTATGGCTCAAGTCTGAGTTAGCATCTCGCGGTGTGAAGTTTGTGAGGCGTCGGCTAGTGACTCTCTATGAAGCAGGGACGCTAGCTGGCGATAAAGGAGTGGTCGTCAATGCCACTGGACTTGGTAAATTTGACGCAACTATTTCAGCTTACAACACAGTATAACGAGGCAACGCCGATTTAGGTGCACGTTCATTGATAGGCGTGGAGGATGTTAAAATGTATCCGGTAAGTGCGGTTGTCACGCATATGCTTCTGAGATTCTACCTGAGCTGTCCACGATAATAAAGATTCGCGGCCAAACTATCGTAGTGTTTGCACCAGAGGTCGACCATTTCGTCACTTTGATACCTAGTGAGTAGATTGCCAACCCAAGGGTGTCTACTGATATACTGTTCTGTAACAGATCCGCCAAGGGGCAGCGAGGCGATCTATCTCATTCCTCGACCCTCTCCACATGGTATGGTCCTCATAGGCGGTACCTTTCAGACCAATGATTGGGATACCTCGATTGATATGCCTACTGCGGAGCGCATGTTTTCGCGTGCGAAAAAATTCTTCCCTGCCCTGAATCATCCACAGACCCGCGTCCTCAGCCACAACGTTGGCTTAAGGCCGGCCCGTGAAGGTGGCCCACGGCTAGAGGCACAAAGGATGAATATGCCCGCGAAGGGAGGCCTGATTCCAACCTCAACGGATGCTGCGGTCAACGCTCTGGTCATCCACGCATACGGGTTTGGGTAAGCATGAACCCTCTATGAATTACGGGTGTCAATGTCGTCTGATATAATTTCGGCTTCAGGCCGGCAGGGTACCAGCAATCGTGGGGAGCAGCGGAGGAGGCTGTCGAATTATTAAAAGCAGGCCTCGGGAAATCATGACTCGCCAGACACGAATCGGTGTATGGTATACTTTTCATAACGCAGATGATTTTATAGTTCAACCTCAGATTGGCAGGCCCTATTTCCTCTGCAGGTCAGTAATTTATTGCGACTCTCATGATTTCTAGGGTTATCCTGTGGCATGTTTCATCCGCATGGTTGTGCAAACCTCCTTGCGACAGCGTGCTCGTTGTCTAACGACTATGTGAGTACTTTAGATGATCTTCCTTTTCCCACATCAAGGATCTCCTGGGAAAGCAACGGCTCTGCCCCATCTTTTCTCACCACAACAATTGTGATGCTTACGGCTCTCTGCGATTGTTGCGCATGGTACAATGTGTTCCCGCCGATGATTGGTTCTTCCTTCAGACCGTCTCCGTTAGATTCGCGAACTCACAAACTCGCAAACGATTTTTGAATGCTTCTGCTTCATCACTCGATGGCGTCATCAAAGCACTCCTTTGCAAGTCGAGATCGCATGCCGACGTCAAGATTGTGAAGTTGTACGTGCTATTTGCTTCTTCGTAGTGGACTAATTATTGATGCGGTAGCAAGTGCCTACGAAGTCTAACTTTACGCTCTCCAGGAATGTCAGGCACGTTCTTGGAACCTCGTCGTAATCGGCTGTTTGTGCCCGTTCAGGCGTGATGCAATTGAACTGCACTTGCAAGCGCCTACCTTTTCTACAGAAAGTCGACGCGGGTCTCCTCACTTCTATAAGCAACTCTCCTACAATATTTTGTCAAAGTCAAGTCGATCACCAGTCCACTCACTGTCCTTTTGCCGAGCGCAACATTCCGCATGTCAATTTAGGCTTACAAGCGGGAACACTGCACTGTGATCTGCGACAGCCTCACGAACATCGTTTCGTTGCTCCTTCTCGCTGGTATCAAACTTCCGCACCTGATTCAAAGTTGAACAATCGATGGCGTGTATGGTCATATGTCATACAATAGTGGCTGTTGATGCTGGTCATCATTTTCTTCCCTCTACAGGTACGAAAAAATAATCAAGCAGCGAAAAAAAGGCTACCTGCCCAGTTGGAATGTGAACCTGGCCCTTACGGCGATGCGTTGATTATCGGACTCGTCTCGCAAGACGCATGTCCATAGCTGCCGTATGGGCTGTCTTTTCCCACCTATCTATCCCCACACTCTTACCGATTCGCTTCAGAGACTTCCGATCAGTGAAGGGTTTCTAAATCCTTATCAAGTCTTTGAATGCTGCACGTGATGCGCATCGTCTTATGACATACATGAGCATCGACTCGGCGCAATAGCAGGCAAATGCAACCGTGTGGGTATCTTAGTCTAGGACCGCATGGCTCCCGGTATAGCATGCAAGTATGGGAAGGGAACTATTGGGATCTGTGTGTCTTCCGTTGGCTATAAAGGCAGACCCTAGGTTGACTGGGGACGTCGTGGTCCTATTGTGGTTCACTTCCCTTGATTCGCTTCACCTCCCTGCCAGTCATGTTCCCCACTGCCGCTCTCACCTCCCTTCTCCTGATCTCCTTGTCTGTAGGGGCGAAACCCGTTGTGATCCGCGACTCTCTCATTTCCCTCCCTTTCGCGAAGAGCGTGAATGTGACGTCTTTCCCACATCTCCTCAAACAGGATCAGGCGCGAGCGAAAGCTCTGCGTGCACGGGCCGAGGCGAAACTCAGCGGTATCCAGCTAAGCGAGGATGCAGTGGTCAGTTTTTCTGTCGAGAACCAAGCGGTGGTGTACACCGCCTCTGTTGGAGTGGGTAGCCCCGCGACTACCTGTAAGACAGCGTCTTTCGCATGATATCTTGTATGTGAAGCTTACCCTATTGACGTTAGATAGTCTGCTCATCGATACGGGGTCTTCCAACACATGGGTAGGCGCTGGTAAGGCGTATGTGAAGACCAGTACTAGTACTCAAACCTCAAACCGTGTCGTAAGTGTCACCATGGAGCTTTCATCGGATATCTGACGAGGACGGGTTTTAGTCGGTGACATATGGTTCTGGGTCATTTTCTGGTAATTTATTCTTTTGCACGTCGCAAATATAGATCTGATGGTCGTGAATGCATCCTCATTTAGGCACGGAATTCACAGATCAAGTATCTTTGGCTTCAGGCTTGACTATTTCCAAGCAGTCGATCGGTGTTGCTTCCCGCTCAACTGGCTTCACTGGCTTCGATGGTATTTTGGGGTAGATAAGACTCGTACATATATGTGGATATCCCCATCCTAACGAACCTTCCCTACAGCATTGGTCCTGTCGACTTGACACTCGGTATGAACACATCATGCCGCCTGACTGCTGGTTTGAAAAATGACGTTCCTGTCATCATAGATACACTCTCTCCGGCCACGACGACGACAATCCCGACTGTAACCGACAACCTCTTCAGTCAGGGAACCATCACCAGTCACTTGGTCGCCGTTTCTTTTGAGCCAACGACCACGGAGACTTCGGAAAATGGCGAGCTGACATTTGGTGGAACTGACTCCAGCAAGTTCACGGGATCAATCACATTCACGTAAGTGGATCAACTGACATGGGCGCGTCTTCTGTAAACTACCCAGCTGACTCTTGCTTCGCAGTGGAATCACAAGTACTTCGCCTGCTAGCGAATTCTGGGGCATCAACCAGTCCGTCCAATACGGCACCTCGACGAGCATTTTATCGACAACTGCTGGTATCGTTGACACCGGCACCACCCTTGTTCTCCTTGCTTCTGGTGGGTCTAATTTACTCTTGCAGATTCTGTACAACTCTGATACTCCAAAATAGATGCTCTGAAGCGTTACCAGACGGCAACAGGTGCCGTGGAAGACAACAACACCGGTCTTCTCCGCTTGACGACAGCGCAGTTCAACAACCTCCAGAGCTTGTTCTTCACCATCGGCGGGGTACTGTGTTCCACGTGCCTCACAAACGCGCCCTACTCACCTTCGTCTACATTTTAGACTACATTTGAATTGACAGCCAACGCCCAGATCTGGCCCCGCTCTCTGAACACCGCAATCGGCGGCACTGCCGGAAACGTCTACCTTATTGTTGGTGATCTTGGAACGAACTCTGGCGAGGGTCTCGATTTCATCAACGGCTTCACCTTCCTCGAGCGCTTCTACTCTGTCTTTGACACTGCCAACCGCCGTGTCGGTTTGGCCACGACCTCTTTTACGCAGGCAACTACCAATTAGACAATATCAATGAACGTGTTCATGAAGGCCTCCTCTCCTATCCAAACTTGGACTTGTGGTCATTGGTTGGACATGAAAGATGAAATCACGCATTCATCTTGTCGCCTGTATAGCCTCGTTATACCACGATCCGAGCCTCACTTTAAATTACTGCGCATGTGAGAAGCCTCAGAGCGATAGACAGCTCGTCAGCATAGGGCCGAAAGCTTGTGCTCGAGCAATGTGCCGACAGATCAGGACAAGCTTATTGAATATTTGACCGTATCCGAAATGGGTTCTTTCGCACTTAGTTGTGAGATTGTACCCCTGAATACGTGAAAATCTCAAGCGCTACGATGCAGGCTCTAAGACACATATATGGTGCGGTTGCTTGCGCACTGCGGTATTTGATGTGCTCTGTAAAACACTGACTGACCCAGCCCAGAGCTTGTTTGTGTCATGAATGACATGAGCAACAACCCTGAGCTTCAGCAGTGGCTTGAGGCAGACTCATAAACAAGAAATTTCCTTTTCTTGCCCTTCCCATGAGTTCCCTCCCCAAATCATCTTCACAATCCGAAACTCTGTTACTCCAAGGCTTCCTACCTAACTCGATAGGCGAAAATGGCACAGAAAGCCTCATTACAAGTTCAGGTCATGCACCAATCAACCAAGTAATCTGATCAACAGACATGCCTTCAATAAGGTCACGTTGCAGTCAACGAGAGCAGACAGTTGACAATAGAATGCTCGAGCTATACAACTGGAGAGGATGATGCAGGACGGCACCCGAGTTTAAGTGAGGTTGGTTACAGAGGAACTTAGTCATGGCATCTTCCGCAGTGCTTTCGCGCTGTTCCTGGGCAAGAGAAATTTACTGAAGATTTAAGTGTAGAGAAAAGTGCACTTCGGATACGGTCTATTGCACCATATAATCAGAGATCGCGGATATGGATGTCAATCATGAAGTACGTTTTGAATTGATTGTTACCATAGGAGTGCCTCCTTATGGCGTTGATGCCTAAGAAAAGCTGCAAGGAACGAGGAATGTTCTCATGCTATTTAAGGTATTCACGCTCAGCAAGCGCTTGGAAGGGAAGGTACTGTACATATATCAAGATATCACTTCGAGTCGTACATAACCAGTGCGAGCTAAGATACAAGTCTACAAAAATGTGTCACCAGACCGTGCAATCCATTTCTTCGAAATCCAAACTGAATCGAGACCAAAATCATTCCCACCAGCCACCGGGTATGTCTTCCTCTTGACGGTCACCTGACGAGCGACGGAGGGATCTCGCAGAACCGCCGGACGAACTGCTATTGTTGCTTCCGCCACTGCTTCCATGGTTTCCGCCGCTCATGATGTTGAAGAGCGAGCCGAAAACGCCACCGCCACTGCCGCCTTGACCAGAACTTCCTGCGTTCCCGGATTGGCGGCCGGGGCTGCTGGGACGAGAAGAACTGCTCGACGATCCTGGTTCGGGTGGGTGATGTTCAGGTTGGGGAATGAGTTGATGTCTAAGTTAGGATGAGGAAAGGGATCAATCCGAGGGCTACGAAACAATGGTGCACGATAAGTACCGGCAGACTGGACATGTTCCGCTGGATTTCAACCAAGGGGTGATGCAGCCATCATGGAACGGGTGTTTGCAAGGCAAGGTGACCACCACCTGTTCATCAGGATCTTCGGTTCCAAGAGAGAACTGCTCTTTGCACACAGCGCAGTCCCGTTCTAGTAATGGGGCTTTTGACAGATAAGGTGAGTAAGATGTTCGTGCAACGAGAACATGAATCTTACAGCCTTCCTCCAGCACCTGACGTTCCAACTTCGACATGATTTCTTCTGTTGCAGGTACTGGGCGGGAAGAATTGGAATTCTCCATAATTTGGGTGATAATCTGATCCAGTGCTGTATTTTTACTGCTGAGCTAAACGACGTCACAAATATTGAAGGCATGCTCACCTTCTTGGTTGAACACATAATCGCCCCATCGACCACTTTCAGCTCCTTCCCCAAAATTAACACCAAGGCCGCCAAATGGGTCGCCTCGGATACCTCCAGGTGACCGACTAGCGAGCATACTCAAGAGGTACTGTGCCATCAAAGGTCCCGCGATGGAGGCATTCTCATCGTTCCTAACAACGTTGATTTCATGCCGTGAGCTAACGACCATATTTGTAGGACTTGCACGGAATATCACCGGGGTCATATAGAATGAACGGACCTGTCACTTCTACTATTGCCGAGAGTAGGAGGCCCTCCTAAGACAAAATTGCGCGTGCCACCACGTCCAGGTGCACTCCGATTAATTTCAATCCTGAATCCTGGCCCTCCCTGCAGGACTCTGTTGTGAGCTTATCACGTCTATGTGAGGCGGAACCCACTAGAGTTTGCCGCTCTGGACTGCTTGGTCTTCCCGTAGTAGATGTCGATGTATCGAACGGGCCTGTCGGCTGGCGGGATGGTCCTCCAGGGTTGAAGAGCTGGGCCATATTGACTGCGCAGCAATGAGCTGAGCACTGGTCTGTGTGCAGGATATAGTACGCACGTAAGAAGTTGTCAAATCCGGGACTGGGGGACCCATCATCATAGACTGGTCCAGAGGCCTGGAAGGCTCGCGGGTCGTCTGCATCGCCCTCGATCTACAGATTCGACATAGATCATTGCCTCAAGCAATTCGCATAGATAAACTGACAACCACCTTCTCGACGAACGTGCCATGACATGACGCACAATGTGGATCTGGAAGCTGAATGTATGAGACCTTTCATTAGCTAGGGTGCCAGTGTTCATAACCACCACTGACCATGAGCGGCCTCATTTCTGCATGGCACTTGTGACACAGACGTTCAACCCAGTTCGGATCAGTTACGATGGCGGTGAGCGCTTACTTCGTGGCAATACCACAATGGTTCCCTTGAAGACATATTGGCAAAAGAACTTGAGCTACGACGAATTGCAGCGAGAATGTATAGACTGGTGAAAGGAACGGGTTGCAAGCGGGTGAACAGGCGCCAGTGGCACTATGTCAGCTCGGCGATGACGTGATGCACGTCGCACGAGTGTCGCACGAGTCCCACAGCGCTGTCATCATCTCTACTTAACCCATGAGTGTCCCATCTTCACTATTTTCTCTCATCCCAACTACCAGCTCGATCGAGCTCTCTCCCAACACATTCTGTCATTGGTTGATATCGCGAGGAGCAGTTGTCATGTTCTCAGGCTCAGTCACCCATCTAGCTGTACCTTCAATCCCTGCAGTAATATGCGAGATGTATTTCTCGCTATAGTGATGATTCCATCTTTGTTCCTTCTCGTACGAGTCGCGCATCGAGCGCCTCCACCTGCCGTGAGATCAGACCTGTGTTGACTGTACTGCCGCCCTTCTTCAAAGCAAAAGACTGCCAGCTAACCACTGTTCATCGCTTCATACATTTTTCGTCAACTTGAACCATCCAAGCCCAGATGCTGTATTGGATTCAACAGCGCGAATAGCGTTACCATAATGTCTTTGTATACCGCACAACTTAGCTGTTAAATGGTTTCTTCTAGTTTCTTCTATGGTATGTCGTGTATCGAAGGTCCAGGCTCTGAACGTCCACAAGGATATCGATGCCCAAATTTGGTCACCCTGTGACCGTGTTTTGCTAATCTCAACGGGTCTCAACGTTTCTCCCTCCTTCTGTTGTTCGCCAACTCGAGGCTACTCACGACTATGGGGTCTCTCCTTTCTTTCCTAATTCACCCTTTTGATGCCCTTCAACCAAAACATCAAGACAATGACGGCAATATTAACGACTTATTATACCACCTCACACTATGCGTAGCCTTCGGCATATGGACAGTGGCGAGACGATACCAGAATGCTCAAAACAGAGCGATACCCTTCCGCATCCCTCCATTAGACGTACGCTTGTACCATGATATCCTCGGCCATGTTCGAGCTCAAAAATAACCTACAGGCAGCAGAGCCGAAATTCACTGGCAAAATGATCTCCAATGCTACTATCGAATCCCACAAATCTGACAACACCCTCCTTCCCGCCTATACTCTCCAGGAACGCGAATATATCACCAACTTTGATCCCGCGACGGGTTATCACCTTGGGACTTACATGGCTGACAGCGTTGAAGACATTGAACATAAGATTCAAAAAGCATCTGTCGCGCAGAAGGAATGGCGGAGGACTACATTCGCAGATCGCAGACGCGTTGTACGTAGTCTGAAAAAATGGCTGGTGGAACATCAGGAGGTTTGCGCGCGGACTGCTTGTCGAGACACGGGCAAAACACGTGAGTGCTTGTACTGTTTGGATTTCATGCGACTGACGACGGCCCGTGCTCGTAGTTATCGACGCTGCGCTGGGCGAGATCCTGACAACATGTTCGAAGATGGATTGGCTAATTCAACATGGCGAGCGCTATCTGCGACCACAGACGAGGAGAACCAACCTCATGCTCAGTTATAAGAAGTCGCAAGTGCATTATGAACCTTTAGGCGTCGTTGCTGCAATAGTATCTTGGAACTACCGTAGGTTCCTTTGGTTTCTAACTTTCTAACAGTATATTCTTAAAAGCAAGTTCAGCTCTGCATAATGCCTGGTCACCAATTCTCGCCGCCATCTTCGCTGGTAATGGGGTGGTTCTGAAGTGTTCAGAACAAGTGATTTGGTCAACGACTTGGTTTGTTGACGTCATCCGCAAGTGTCTTGAAGTGTGCGGGTTTGATCAAGAGCTAGTGCAGGTATGAGTTCCGCATCTGCTTCAGAATGTCACATTTACCAGTGCTAGTTGGCCTGCTGCCTACCTGCCCAAGCCGAAGCTTTGACACAGTCCCCAATTATCAAACACATCACGTTCATTGGCTCTGAACACGTTGGCCGCGAGGTCGGCCATCTTTTTCTATTGGTCTGAAGACTTCACTCACAGGAGGCCAGGTCGCCAAAGCTGCCACGAAGCATTTAACTCCCGTGACTCTGGAACTTGGAGGCAAGGATCCCGCAATTATCCTGCCTGGCACTGAAATCGATAAGTGGGCCAGTATCTGGATGCGTGGAATCTTGTGAGTTTCTTCGAGCTGTCGTACTCTCTTCATGTTTTTAACACCCTTTCGTGAGCCAAAATGCCGGCCAGAATTGTATCGGTATCGAACGCGTGATTGTTCATTCATCACAGTATGACGAAGTCTATCAGCTATTGGTTGAGCGTGCGAGCGGCTTGCGCTGTGGCTCCGCGTTGACGGCCGACAGTGTAGGCAGTGGTGTAGATTGCGGTTCCATGATTTCGTCTCAACGCTTCGAAGTCTTGGAACAAATAATCACGGATGCAGGATCACATGGTGCAAAGATTGAGCTTGGTGGAGCTCGTTTGCGCCATCCATATCTCGAAAGCGGGGCGTATTTTGCGCCAACAGTCATCGGCAATGTGACCCCCGATATGAACGTTGCTAAACAAGAATGTATGTCATTCTATACATTCTCGCAGCTATGGAATTTGATGTTCGTATAGTGTTTGCTCCGGTGGCCGTTGTAATGCCATATGATGAGATCGAAGATGCTATCGAAATAGCGAATGGCACAGGATATGGTCTGGGTGCCAGTGTCTTCGGTCCCGACCAAAACCAATGTTTAGACATCGCGAAGCAATTGGAATGCGGGATGGTCTCTGTGAATGACTTTGCAGTTTTCTATGTAAGTCGTAACCTCGCTACTTTTGAATTAATAATTGAATCTTATCCCCAGTTAAAGTGGGCCCAGTTGCATTGTTTGACTCGTGCTTCATCCTCTCTAATCTGCGTCTTATCCTCAGTCAAGATCTGCCCTTTGGAGGATTTAAAGCCAGCGGTTATGGGCGATTTGGTCAGTCCCTCTCGCCCATACTGGGTTCTCGACTGACGAAGTTCGGCGGATCTAATAGGTGGGCCTGAAGGCCTCCGCGCCCTCACAAATCCTAAAGCCATCGTAACTGACCGTTGGCCTTGGCTTATCCAAACTGGTATTCCGAAGCCTTTGGACTACCCGATCCGTTCGCTTTCGCAAGGCTGGTCAGTCTTCTCGTCTACTCCTGTCATAATTTCGGCATCTTACCGTTTTCAGGGACTTCGTGAGCGGCCTGATTGGGCTCTTTTATGCTGACGGATGGCGTGGTCGCTTCCAAGGCTTGAACAAGCTCTGGTTATCAAGATAATATCGCTTCCGAATTGCCCTAGTGGTACTGAAGCCATGAGACATACCGCCTGGGGTGACGGATGTTTAGGTATTTCTGGATATAATCTATTTTTTCCTCTCGTGGCTCTCGATCGTGAACGGTGGATTCTGTTGATAGAATCAGCCAGCATCTTTTTGGTTGATCAAAGGATAAGGCTCGTGTCGGTACGCCCCACATGCTCCTTTCTGGATAAGATCGAAGATGGATAGGACACGGTGGGGTCGCGCCATCGCCAGCTTTTGGTTGAAATTTAGTACACTATTTCCATACCCAATACGTCGATTTGCCTGTGTTGAACAGCCTTGGAACCCATTTCATGATTTTGAGTATGGGCGGTAGCAGAATGAATTTCAGGCCCTCGCACATGCGTGACGTCCTAATAGAGATCCTTACTCCATCCGAGACTTCGGATTTCCACGTTCCTCTTTCTGGATCGCGACGCATGCTTCTGTCGTTAGGTGCCACATGTTTTCTTCCACTGCCCTTGTGTTCACCTTGCCTACCCCAGACTCCCCGTGCTGTAGCGCTCAGTGAAAATAGCTTGACATGCGTCACGCAGACTATCGGACGTGCAATTCGACCCACGAAAACTATCAAATGATTACTTACCTGTCTATTTCGAGCATACTGCTCCATGTGGGTTTGCTGGCCTGCACGTTCGATAACACAGTCAAGTCTTTCGATGATCACTATATAAAAAGCCGTCGTTGTTGGCCTCCATGCCTACGTCCGCCTGCTTTCCCTCCATCATGTTTTCCCTCTCATTGCTTTGGGTCGCCCTCTCTGGTTCGGCTGCTGTTAGTGCTAGCACTATTAACACCACGTTCGCGAGGCCTCTGGACCACTTGTTCAAGCGCTTGAGCACCAGCTGTGGAACTTCCGGGCAAACGTCATGTCTGAACACGACTGCGCAGAGTAACTTGTGCTGTTTCGAGGCCCCTGGGGTATGTTCCTGTTGGAGAACAATGAGGCAAGCACTTATTTCGAGCGTATCCTCGGTTTCAGGGCTTGCTGCTGCAGACTCAGTTCTGGGACACCAATCCTTCTACCGGGCCTAGCAACAGCTGGACCATTCATGGTGCGTGATCAGCGAGTCCTCTAATATTTCACAGGCGGCCTGACAATGGTGCGCAGGGTTGTGGCCAGACAAGTAAGTAATTTCATTGATAGAGTCATAAGCGGCGCTTGAACGCGATTTTGTCCTCAGTTGCGATGGCACCTTCAAATCGAGCTGTGATTCCAGCCGTGCTTACACGGGCATTAGTTCGGTGCGGCCCTTACTTCCGCTACGAGATATGTACTGTCAAGCTGAAAGTCAAGTCCCAGCTCCTTTCTAGTCAGGGAGCAAGCGACACCCTTTCCTTTATGGACGACGTACGTGCTGTTTCTTGGGGCTGTCTTTCAGCGTTAATGAGCCACAACTGAACGCTCATCTCAGTACTGGGTTGACATCAATGGCGATAATGAGCAATTTTGGGAGGTAGAAGTGGTTCCCAATGTGACTAGTTGATATTGACGCCGTCAATGCAGCACGAATGGTCAAAGCACGGAACTTGTATGAGGTAAATTGTTTTCATTTTTTGGATCCCAAGTCGAACTCATGGAGCAATATCAGCACGCTGCACACCAGCTGCCTTCCTTCTGGAAGTGCAAAGGGCGCAGAGGTGGGACCAGATTCACAAGAGCGTTCATGCGCCCCCGTTGATAGACCTGTTCCAGGCCGTAGCTTTCTTTCAAACCGTCGTCAAGTTGTTCAAGGTAAATCGTCTCAATTCCCTTGAACAGTCGAAGATTTAATAGCTAGATGTAGTCGCTTCCAACGTACGATTGGCTTGCTGCCGAGGGAATAACTCCGAGTTCCAGTCAAACATTCACATTGTCCCAAATAACATCTGCGCTCAAGTCTCAGTCAGGGGTGAGGTCATCCTGCTCCTTGTACAATCTCTTGTGAGGCTGACACTGAGCAATAGGTCACTCCGGCGCTCGATTGCGATGGAAAAAATCTGAATCAAATCAGCTGGTACTTTCATCTGAAAGGGTCTGTCATTGACGGGAAGTTTGTCGCCATCGGTCAGCTTCCTTGCTTGCTCGAATAGTAGGTGTCACATCTGAAGCCCGAACTCTAGATGCACCGGAGGCAGGATCATGCGCATCCACTGGACTCAAGTATCCTCCCAAGTCTGGAACACCTGTGAGCAGCGTAAGTACGTCTAATGTCACTCTTAAACCCTGGCTCACTTTGCTTTGCAGACACCCTCTTCATCTTCCGTGAGTGTGTTTACATTGTCGATGTCTAATTAGATTCATAACATGTGCGTCATATTAGACTAGCACACCCACCTCTGTAGGTTCTTTGATCTCTTGCACTTTCATCGTTGTTCATTCGGTGGCAGGCCCCAGGAGATCTTCCTTCCAAGGCTACTATCAGCGTGTTGACGTCCTCTGGTGCTGTCGGAGGACTCCTTTCAGCGGGTACATGGTCTGTGCAGACACCGGGAACTTATACAATATCCGGGACAGGCTCGAGTTTCACCTTGACATCATCCAAGGGCAAATGCGCAGTCCAAAGCTCGTCTTTAATATGCGGCAGCAGCGTCTCAACCGCTTCCACGTTCTCTGCGGTAAGTCGCATATATGTACTGGACAGCAGCATATCATGATTTTGGCTCTGTTTAGGTCACGTCAGGAAGCGACCTACTTGTAGCTTTCAGTGGATCCACGGCATTTTCTAGCAGTGCAGTTCCCAGTGGAGCCGTCCAGCAGACGTTGGTTACGGGCAATGGCCAATCTCAACATGTCACGCTCGCTCTTGTGTCGACATGAGTAGATAACAATTGAATCGTGTTGATATCATTTATTTGAACGTTTGCCGTACATGCATTTGTCACAGGGCCCGTGCGCTTCTGTGATTATGTGATTTCGAGAGGAACATCCTATTATATAGACCTTAGATTGGCTACGATATCGATGCAAGTAGTGATTATCTTTTAACAAGACGTCTTAGCTCAGTGGTAGAGCGTGTGATTCCAGTTAATGCCTAGTTCCACTGCATTTCCCAGAGTGCACCTCTCCTGAGTCAATCCACAATTGTGATGTGTTAGAGATTCGCAGCAAAAATGATCCCTGCCGGAGTCGAGCCGACGACCTTGTGGAAATATAGATTGCAATTCTGGAATCACACGCTCTACCACTGAGCTAAGGGACCATACAAAAATATGCTTATGCTTTTTCATCAACTTAGCTGACAAAGCGTGAAGTAAGACTTGTGCTTTTAGTGGATGAAAGAAAGAGGTTGATGACGTACCAATCTCTTATTTCTCTCTCGTCCCTCATGAATCGGTTGCACGGCAAAGTCCATAATGTATGCCCGCAAAGTATCCAGGGGCAGATTGAGAATCTCTGCCTCAGAGCTGTCATCTGTGACATGTTCTACCTCGACATCGTCTGGTGGATCGACCCAAAAATTGTCAGCCTGTTCTGCGGAAAGTTCTGCTGGCGCCGTTTCCTCAGACACTACGTCACCAACTCCTAAATCCATCCTCCCACGTCGAAGGCTGGTTGTGCGCTGCTTGAACTGCACTGGGAATCCCTTTGCACAGTCTCTGATATCCTTTGCAATCTCCCTCTCATCCGGTGCCCCATTGACAGCCTCCAATGGCATCGAGCACGCCATATTGTCCATCCAATCCTCCAGCGCAGAGGGCAATACAGACTGTGGCATGGGAGTGATGTCGCCAAGTTCGTGAGGAGTGTGGAGGAGGATAGACTCTGGGGTTACTACTGGGGCAGGCATGGCTCCTTTGCCTTTGTCATCGCAAGTAAGCTTGGCTTGAGTGGCAGCCAAACTGAGTATAGTAGAGGGATCTTCACGAACTTGTTTGAGTGCATCGTTTCGCTCATTCGCAGTCCTCATGACCTTTGGTACTCCACCAGCCAGCACCTCATTTGCCGTGCGCTGTAGGGTATTCTTCTCCTTTTTAGTGACCCTGCGACGGATGGCTGTCAACAATGAAAAATCATCCGAGAGCTTGGCTCTACACTACACAGGCATCACAATATCAACATGGCGGCGGCACCTTGGAATTTTCCAGCTCTAATGTAATCTCAAATTCGGCCGAGCTATCACGCAGACGACGAAAGCGGAGGTTCTCTAATTTGCAGTACTAGAATTGTTGTCAGGTAAGAGCTGGAAAGAGAAATGTGAGCGGAAATTACCAGTTGGCAAACTTTGTACTCCTCGAAGGTGGGACATAGACTCCCTGGCCGGCACCCAGTGATAAAGGATATACATATGGCAACTATGAGTTGTAGTTTCATGAGACATCCGGAGGATACTAAATTTTGCAGGCCTTCTTCGATCATCAGGATGGCCTCATCCCGCCCGAAATAGTGTACCACCCTCCGCTTGCGTGACAAGGCAAACTCTACGACGACTACAAAGTGTGCGCTGAGTAATGATCAATGAGAGCCACGACACTCACGCTGATCCATAGTGTCTTTGAGGGTTTGATACAAATTGCCTGTGGTGAGCAATGAGAGTCCCACCGAAATCATGGTTCTTCGTTGATGTGCGTGAACCAATATACAGTGCAAAAATACGTGGAACCAGCAATTCAGTGTGATGGCCTTGACAAACTGTGAGAAACGACCAGGAACGGCGAGGACCTGTGCCATATAAACAAACGATGAGATGACAAATAAGCTCAAAGAAAGGACGAGCTCACCCGTGCGCGCAAAAACCCTGGAGCATAGGCAAGGATAACGTCGCTGGCCCAATGGTCTTCCTTGAGTATATTGAGAGCAAGGAGAAAGCAACCCCACAAAATCAACGTCTGGACACGGTGGTTGCGAGTACTAGGGCTCTCGTTGTCCTTTGGTTTGAGGGCCTCGACGGCTGCGTCGTGCAAAAATTGCGTGACATTTGTTGACTTTGCTGCCATCCCGAGCTGACCCATAAATCGTTTCTTCATTGCGCTGGCCTTGTCACCATCAAGTGGTCGAACTGGGGCAGCCAGACGCTTGCCATCCACAGTCGTAACCAAAGGCTGGCCTGCCTGCTTGGCCAGTTCTTCGTAGAGCCCATAACCGGATCGCGGTGCCTCACGGGATGTAGAGGCCGCCTCGGAGATGGATGCAAGTGTAGCGAGGGAAGAGGATGAGGTCGCGGTCGCGTGGACGGCAGCGTTCATGACCTTCTTAGGCTCAGCAGCATGTGCGAGAGCGCCTACTGTGTTCGACTGTCGTTGAGCGAGGAGCTCGCGCCGCTGGGTGTCCTATCGCAAGGACCAAGAATGAGCGATTGGCGTGCGAATACGTTGATGGACAAGAATCTCACCATGGGGGGTGGGTGGGGAGAATGAGCAAATGATAATGAATGAGGGCGCGCGACCAAAATGAGTCACTGCGAATGCAAGAAATCGGGCGAAAGGACGCGCTCTTTTACTATTGAGAAGGCATCCGTGTGGCTCGTCCTCTTGGAGGAGATCGTCCCGGTGCAATGTGAGCCTTGCAAGTGGGACACTTTCTAGAATGAGGGTGAAATGAGAGCGCGCGACCAAAATGAGGATTGTTGAGTCACTGTGAATGCAGGAAATCAAGAGAGAAGACGTTCGTCTGGCGCATGTCAGCGAGACACAAAGGAATCTAAACAAGGATTGTTTAGTCTCCGTGAATGCAGGAAGCGAGAAAAGATGACATACCTCTTGCTCGCGAGGAGACATGAGGGAGTGGCTCGGACCAGATGGCAATGAATCGTGGAGGATCGTAGAGGATCGTCCCTGTGTGATGCAGGATTGGCGATCGGGATGCTTCCTACAATATGGGGAAAGGGACGGCAGCCATCCCAAATAGGGATTGTTTACAGCGCTCGCGGGTTTCAACCACAGTGTCGAGTCAAGGGACGGCAGCCATCCCAAATAAGGATTGTTTACAACGCTCGCGGGTTTCAACCACAGTGGGACGGCAGCCATCCCAAATAGGGACTGTTTAGACCGCTCGCGGATTTGAACCACGGTGTCGAGTCAAGGCCGGCGTTTCGACTCCGTCAGGTGTCAGTTTTTGTTTCTTTTCACTCGGTTCGGCTGCGGATTTGTTTTGCGTGTAGACCAGTTCAAGGTCGATTTTGCACCCCACGAAATACCACGATGTCTGCCAGCTCCAGACCATTCAAGCAGGAATAATGACGACTCTGATCTCATTATCCACCTCCCAGCACAAGAAGCAACTAGGACTGAACCGTCCCGTGTTGCATCTGCTTGTATAAATTAAGGAGCATATCGTTAGCAGTAAGAGTGATTATCCTAGTGATCGTATTTATGAGCAAACGGAACGTTACACAAAGCCAGGCAAAGCACTCACGTATGTGGCGCGATACGCAAGAAATGTGCTGTGGAGCCTGAAAGAGTGCAGGTAGGGAACAGCAAATCGAATGAAGCATGCAGAATAACGCACCTTTGTACCACGCAAAAGGCCCCTCTGCCTTGAACGTCTTCCAAAGGCAGTCTATCGGATTTCTATACAGGGTGCCTACAATCCTACCGTTAGGCAACCGCTGTGTTGGTTGGTTGTATACTCGAGTAAGGGCCTTTCGGAAATGCAATGAATCAACACAACAGCACAGCCAATGTAGAAACACATTAGAGATCACGCACAGTGTCGGCTGGTTGCATCATGACGAGCTATAGGCGAATCTAGTGATCTCTCTCTCGTGTAGTATCAGAAAGATACGCACGACACAAGCACCAGATACGGAGCTACTGGCCAAGTAAGTCAGTATACTGTCTGCGGGTAGAATCCCTCGTGTGACAAGCTGATTCTTGGTCCAATTGTATGTGGGGAGTTGTACCTGGACAAGGAACATTCAGCATTAGATAGCGACAACAAAGACAATACCCACAGAAGATCCCATAGCTGTCCGTAAAATGGCAGCATCGATTCCGCGTACCAGACCACGAAATTTTTCCTTTCCGTATATGGTTCTGAGGGCGTCGAACGAGTTTTTGTAATGATGTTGAGTGCCAACAGGAAGTGCAGGGGAATAGGCCTGCGGTCAACCACTACGCCGTTGAACAATGTTACCTGGCCTATAGCGTAAGGTACTCGCCTGCATTCGTGCCTTCACCAAAAACAAAGGGTTTCCAAGGGACGCTGTTCGCAAAGATGATAGGGGGCTTCAACTGGAAGTGCACCGTGACGGACCTCCTACAGCGCCACTGGCTGCTCCAGCAATGACGGAAGTGATGGGGAACTGGTCAGATGGTGACAGACCAATTGCACGATTGAGAGCGTGCCGAAACGGCTCATAGAATCCTGAATCGCAGCGTCAAGTAACAGACATTCAACGTGGCGTGAGAGTCATCATACCAAGTCGAGAACCATTGAGCAGTATCTTCATAATAACAGGTTGAATTTCTGTTCAGAACATCAAACGTGGTCCAAATTCTTACTTGGTACGCATACTGTGTTGCGGTCAATATATGATGGACAATGTAAGGGACTGCCACTCACAGCAGGGGGAAGACCTCTTTGAAGGCCACGTAGTCCCTCGTTCCTCCATGTCTTCGCGAACACGTCAAGCGCGCTATGGTATACTTTCTTTCCACCTCCTCTTGCGAGCTCACCCTGCAGTTGCAGACGCGTTTTCGCCACCTCGGCCGGGTTGGAGAATGTGACCTACAAGTTATGTTAGATTGTGTACTCGCTAAAGAGAAATCTGAACATACAGCGATGCAAGCTGCAAGTCCGCCCAGGACAAAGGTCTCAGCAGTAGATAATGGTCGAGATTGCTGAGTCACTGGTGTTGAAGACATGAGGCGAGAGTAACAAAAGAGCGATGGCTGCCAAATTCTGAGGCTTAAGGTCCAACAGCGCGTCTGATCTGGGTGCCAGCGATATTGGAGGAAAGAGGTATTACAGGTGTTTATTCCTACTTGTGTGGAGGTGAACGCTCGACGCGGTGCGGGCCCCGGCGCGCTTCGGCCAGCAACTCCGAAGGCGGTCAGGAACCCCATAAATCGGCATAGCTGTCACAAACTCCTTTCAGTTTTGTGTGAAGCCGGATAGCGAGGGTCAATAAACTGGTCTGAACAGGGGTATATTTACTGAGCAAATAACTTCAAGAGGCTAGCTGGTTCACCCCACTTTTCTGAGTGTGACATGTCTGTGTCACGCCTACTTGCTTTGAGAGTGCTCCGCTCATAAACTTGGATCACACTTTCGACTGTCCCATTGTCGTCGTCGTCGTCGTCGATGGCCACTACTGTTGCCGTCCTCGACAAATTCTAATCATGCAGTCGATCGGTATCACATCCTTTGTGTCTATTGCTCTTCTCGCGATTGTTCTTCCTGCTGGCTTTCGCATCATCATCTCACCTATCGTTCTTTTGCTGGTTTCGCCTCTTCTTATTCTGTTACTAGGACTTGTATTTTTGTTATTGAACATTGCATTGGGCCACTTCTTAGACACAAAAAGGACGAAACACGACGATCCCCTTCCTCCTCCTGCTCGACCGCTGGCCTTCTCCACTCCCGCTGCTTGGCAAGCTGTTCTTACTCGTTCGCAATGGTCGTATAAGCCGCCGCAGACATTGCCGCCAATCCATCCTGAATCTCCAGCCATCTCAGCTGCTGTCAATGATATCCTTATCATGATTGTCCGAGACTTCGTTTTAACCTGGTACAAGGAAATATCTTCGTCCCCATCTTTTCCTACTGCCGTCTCGTCTACTCTCCACGCTTCCCTGCTCTGCTTGCTCGTGAGGCTTTCTACCCTAGACATATCTAGCATCATGGTCAAACGTATCCTTCCCAAGATCACTGCACATATAGAGCAGTTTCGCGATTCCGAAATGGCTCTTCGTGGTGCAGGATTAGAACGAAGACTGACACAATCTGAAGAGTTAGATTTATTGCTGGCCAGCCGTTATGCCAACAAAAGCGGCGAGAGGCTTCATCCTGCTGTGGGCAATCTCTCCTCAAGCTTCACAAAGCAAACGGAGGAGACCCATCTTCGACAATTAATCGACAAGGCCTTACCCTTCGTCCTACCCGAACGTGAGGCCAGGAGCAAGGCTCTGAAGATCGTAGTTCGAGAAGTCGTAGCTTGCTCGGTCATGTACCCTTTGATGGATATGTTTGGGGATCCCGACTTCTGGAATAGGACCATTGACTCTGTGGTATGTTCAGTAATGCTTGACCCGTCATTCCAAGCTCATTATTTCAAGGCGGGGGCAGCCATTCGCCAACAGTACGTTTTGATCTCATGTATCCAGATTTTCCTTCTTGAGCGTGTCTCATAGGCGACTCATATCCAAGGTGCGAAACATTTTGGAAACTCAGCTGCCTCGCCCCGCGCCTCGACTAGTGACGCCGACGGTCTCATCCGCAGAAGCAATTACCATCCGAACGGATGCACGCCAATTTGAATCGTTTCTTCGAAGTATTAGCAGGACATCCTCTCTTTTGGATGCAAGGCGGCTAAAGAGTGATATCATGGGAGAAATTCGACGAACAAGGGGACTTCTAGGTATGTGTACTCTGAACCACGCATGCTCTGGTGCTCATTTCTGAACCTCCAGCAAATCACGAGAAGGATGACTGGATCAACGGTCAGAAGACTGAGGATATCGTCGCTTTTTTGGATAGACTCTACACTGCTAAACGCAAAGCGGAAGCAAGAATTGCAATTCTAGGAGGGCATGATGATTCAGTACGTTCCTCTAAACATTAATAGCTGTTAACAACTTCTCAAGGACACCGACATAGCATCAGTTCTCCGCAGAGTCTTCAGCTATATCACGCTTGAATCTACGCGATATCTTGGGCAACCCAAGCTCCCTCTCATATTTCATGGAATTCATGGACCGCCGAAATCGCTCACTTCTCGTCCAATTCTGGCTCACAGTGGAAAGTTTCAAAAATCCGCTTGAGTCAGTCGGATCTGGAACATCGGACGACGACGACGATCCAATTCAAGACCCTTCTCACACAGCGTCAGCGAAGGAGGATATATCCATGATCTACGAGCTCTACTTCTCGGGTCTCACCCCTCACCCCGCTCTGGCGGCTATATCCCCTAAACATTCTTCCGCTATCCGTGCGTTTGTCTTGCACGAGACGACACCTTCTCCTCCAATGGAACGGAAGGCTCGTCGAAGCGTCATGCTCGCACAAAAGCAAGTCGAGCAGAATATGGAACAGGACTTTGAGGACTTTGAAAGGTCTGAGTTATGGTTTCGTGTTGTTGAGGACATCAATGCTAGTTGGAAAGCAGCTTCTTCCTCTCATATGCCACCGGGCGCTCGCCGCCACCGAGAGGCATCGTCCGGCAGCAGGGAAAATATACTTGAACCTGGTCATCACGGCCTCCCCTCGCCCAACGCGCCACCTCCAATGCAACGTTCAGAATCATTACCATCTCTCTATTCACTTCTCGGCGGCTCCCATTCTTCCTCTCGTTCAGACCAAAGACCCCCTCACTCCCCTCCTTTTGAGGCGCCACCCCCTACACCACCTGGTCGCCTCCCGACCAATAGCCTTGATGTTCTCATGTCTCCCATTGGAGATTCTTCTTCTCCTTCTTCTCGCGCCCCGCTTTTTGATGATCCCGATGACCGGACGAAAGATACCCGCGAAAGCCAATCTACAGTTGAAGCCATTCAAGCCGCATTGACAGATATCATCGCTCTCGATAATCAGCAAGACAGACGACGCCTATTCATGCCTCCTAAAGGTGGATTGTTCGACTCTTCATCCGACCCCTACGAGTTGCAGATGTCTTTAGAGGTCAATCACAACGATCCTCTGACTGGTACCGAGCTTGACGATGAGAAAGAAGACGAGTCTACTGAAGCCAGACTAGACTCTCTCCAGCTCGCGGAGCCAGGGGACCTCCGATTATCGCACGAGATAAATCGCCTCTCGGCCAAGATATCGGCTCTACAATCACAGGATGTCATGCTCGATACGTTGATCAAGAAGGCAGAGTTGACCGGTGACATGCAGGAGATTCGACTTCTCCGCAAGTCGCAATCTGCGATGAATAGAGAGATACGGGAATTAACCTTCCAGCGCACACAATACGAGCAGCAGGAGATTGCTAACCGCCTCATTCCAGACCGGACGAAGTTATTCATTACCAATTCGATAGTAGCCGAGGAGGGTGGCAAATCAGTCGTTCGGTATCTTGTCGACATCAAACAGCTCGCCCTCGACGGTAGTGTTGCCTCAAGCTGGGCTGTGGCGAGGCGATACAACGAATTTCTGAACATGCATAATAAGCTGAGAGAGCGATATGCATTCATCAGGAACTTGGATTTTCCCGGGAAACGACTGGTCACTGCGCTTTCTGGCAGTTTTCTTGACACTCGTCGAACGGCCTTGGAGAAATATCTTCAGGTGAGCTGTCACTTCCATTCCCCTGGACCGAGTTGACGGGGTTCAACGCACAGAACATGATCCTTATCCCCGCAGCTTGTGAATCAGAAGAGCTGCAAGCCTTTCTATCTCGCAATTCGCCTTTTATCGTACCTGAGCCCAAAGCCACTTCTTCTAAATCTTCACCTGCATTTCCCGGAAAGGACCTTGTGCGCACGATGTATCATTCAGTTGCAGAGAGCATCGATGACATGTTCTTCGGGCCGTCGATGTTAGATGTTATGATTCAGCGCTTGACGCGACAGGCTGCCGAGCTAGCAGGGATTGTGGGAAGTGCCATAACTGACGAAGACGCAGTTGCACAGGCTCTAAAGGCTTCCGGGAAAACGGCATCCGAGGACACCCTCTTACAAATCTCTGGTGATCTCCGGCCTCTCGATGGAGAGACGAGTTCCTCAACCTTTTCAGCCCCAATATGCGACCTTCTTCTTGCTATCTTCGAGCTCAAAAAGAAGAACAATTGGCTTCGCCGACAAGCCATTGTGATCATCCTGCAGCAGGTTTTGGGGAGTACTGTGGAAAGGTCAGGCTGGCTCGTTCCCGTTTGCGTAAGTTAAATTAATGCATCTCATCACACAGGAAATTTCGGGAAATCGTCAGCACGTTTTTGGATGAGCCACATATCATGGGCTTCATCAACATGGTCCGTGATTCAATGTGGCCTGGCGGACGTCTAAGGCTGTCCTCAACGCCTCGTTCTTCGGAAGAGAAGCTTCGCACACGGGACGAAGCGAATCGAAAGCTGTCGGCTCTGATTCCTGGTATGCTTTATTAATGCATTCTCTCAAAATGTTATCGAGAACTTAATGCCGTGCCACAGACTTGGCTGCTAACATGATAGGGCGCTCAAACGCCCGTCGTGGAGCACGACGGATATTTGCCGTTCTTCAGAATCGGCGATTGAATCAGCACATTATGTATACAGTGCTCGATGAGGTTCAAATTTTTTCAGTTATACTACCGTCCTTCGCGCTAATACCTCCGCTAGATGTTTACAGCTTTGTTCCCGGAAGCAGCCACACAAATTGCATGACCACCTGGTGCTGTTTGTGGGTTGGGTTTACCCATGAACATATGTTCCCTCTAGACAGGCTGCAAGCAGGACTGTAGAGTTTGTCTGAAAGAGTCACCACAAATCCAGCACACTTTCGATGGATACGGAAGGGAATTTCGAGTGTACCCTCTAAAGCAATTGCACTCATGTGGGGCACAGACCAGTACTTGTAACGCCGCCTGCGATGACGTCTGTGCTTTTTGGCCAGACCAAACTGACCAACGTACCTGGTACAATTGAACATTTGAGTACCTACCATGATCATACCTATTACTCCTTATGTGGTTCATTGACTTCCCCGCTACTCGATGGTCCTTCCCCCTCAAGATCTGCTGACGTCGCATTTGGCCCGACTTCGCCTTCAGACGCGGGTGATGGGCCTGTTTTCCTCACTTTTGGACGACGATGCATCTCTACGGGCATTGCAGCAGGATCATCGTATCTAAAAAATAAAATTTTACAATCATGATGACACAGATCAACGTGCCCTACATACACTTTTATCGCATGTAAAAGGTATCCTCCTGACCCAGTTGTACTCATTGTTGGGTGTGTTCGTCCTGGTAGCACCTGATAGCGACGAAGCCAGCTTTCCGTTACGCTGGGTGCAAGGTACTGGGGATTTTCTCGCAGTTTGTTCTGCAAATCAGACAGTATCTACTCGAGTAAAATAAAGGCATCAGCTCATTCAAATTGATGTGACATGAGAATTACCTGAAGATGTGGACTGTATACTACCAAAGACGCAGAACCACCAAGATACAGGACTAGCCTTTCAATTATAGAGAACGGATCGTACTCGCTAGCAACGACAAGTCTGCGGATCAAAGTCAGCATTCGTAAGTGCAGACACTGCAAAGATACGATTACCCTTCAAATCCCCCAGAGAACAACTCTTCCCGAGTGCTCGATAGCGTGTCCGAAAGAGCCTTCCGTTTGCTGAGGCGCGTTTTGTGCTTTTCTGACCTATATTGACTGTCCGTAGGCTCGACAGGAGCCATGACTGTATATAATCAACTATTGTAAACCTAGGGTAAGCTGTTGAGACCAACCAGGTACATATTCTTTCTCTGCCGTCACCCAGTTTAGTGACGACAGAGTTGATGATACATGTTCTTTGGGAAAGTTCATTTGGGCCATGACCGGATACGCTGGTGGAGAGTCGACATCACAGACGGTGATCAACCGACCATTTCCTATTTCAAGGTGACGATGAGCGTTAGATTCACCCAGCCCAAGATGAGAGCTTACCGCCTAGACGCTCCAATATTGCTGAGACGACCATCCCAGAAGCATCGTCTACTGCCAGATATCGACCTCCGGGTCGAATATTTGCCATGTTCACTATTTGAGAGAGCGTGTCCACGCGGATATCGCGAATACGGCTATGGTCTTTATTGTACCAATATTCACAAACGTTGAAGAGGGTAGGTTCGATGGTGATGAATGATCTTGAAAATCTTTCGCCCTGCAGCCTTAGTACACCGATGCGTGCAAAGAGACAATGTACATACTTTGCCTCCTTACGCTTCTTGTACTTGTCTTTGCTATACTCTGTCTTCAAAGAGTAATTTGCGTGCATTTCTATCTGCTTGTTGATGATGTCCTGCGATTTGGTGTGAGATTTGAAAAAGTCCAATGCCTGGAAACATCTGTACGGAAGCATGCACGCCTGATTGTTTCAAAGCCTCAATCTCGATGCCTGTCAATGGCTGGACGAATTGTCCGTCATTTATGAGCTCGTTGGTGGCTTCCGTGTCCTCTGCTCTAAAGGCGTTAGCTTCCCTCCTGAGCATTTCTAAGCTGGCTTACTCCTCACCGATTTCACTCATAGTCCGAGGCAGCAGTACTCTAAGCTGTTTGTCAACGATTTCATGCGATAAGCCGTAAGGCTGGTCGATGAGAGCATTCGCGTAGAATGACCCAAATTTTCCTAGATTTATCGTCCTTTCCGTTCGTCAGCAAGCATTGTATATAATATCATAATAGACGCACGAGTCTTTGTCTAGTTTGACGCTCCTGATCTCGCCAGTTGGCAGTCGCAGAAGAATATTATCTCCTGATCGAATAGCGAAACTAGCCTTCTTTTCATGCTTCATTTTGTGGGGTTTGTTGAATGGCGATGTGAGCGGGAAAAAGTCGGTCAACAAACAAGAGTACATTTGGTTATCATGCGCTCTGGACGTCACCATGACCTCCGAACTCGACCATAATCCCGCCTCCAGCACCTCTCCGAAACCTCATGGCAAAAGTCCAAACCTTCCTGATGAGCTATCATATATAATTCCAGCATTTCTTCCTTCCCAACTTCCGTCTTTCCGCTCCAAAGCTTATTTGGTGCTCTCCTCTTTCTGCCAAGGAGTGCGCACGTCTTCTCCAACCCCTAAAGATGAACAGGATGATCGTGCAACCCAATCGTTGGTCGCAACGTTCCTTCCGATAGTAGAATCTCATCTTGCAGAACCTACTGAAGGGGAGGTCATTGTTGGACTATCGTTTCTCTCTGCTCTTTTTCAAGTCGATTGGCAATGCGCCTCCACCATCTTCCAGCAAGATTCCATCTTCACATCTATCTCCGATATACTCGATCTTTACCCATCTGACACTGTGGCAAGGGAGGCTGCTCATCTTCTCTCGCAGGCTAGTGGACACAAGGCTTGTCGGGCGGTGCTACCCTCTGATTGCGTCCAATGGCTGTACTCGTCGTTGCGTCAAACGCAGGATAAAACCCTCCGGTCAGCGGCAGCCATCGCGGTTGTCAAGCTTTCTCGGGGTACGTCCAACGATGCTTCTGTCATCTCGGAAGTGCAGAAGGGCTCGCCTGCGGTAGACGAGGATCTAGTGACTTTAATGAAAGGCCTAGTGATCGACGGCGACGCGAACTCTATTGGCGACGCAGTCGAAGGTTTGGCGTACATGAGCGTGGAGCCAGCAGTCAAGGAGACGTTATCCAATGATCCCGCCTTCTTGTCTCGACTTTTCTCTCTTATCCCTTCTTCCAAGAAAAATTCTTCCAGAACTCCACATGATCCTGCTTTCGCTCTTCTGTATGGTGTGGCCATCATCATTTCCAACATTTGTGCCTATCAGCCTCGCCTTTCCAATGAGGATACCCAAATGGAGAAATTACGACGAATGGCGAAGGCTGGGGCAGGGTCATCGCAGAAGCTCGAGGATATCACCTTAGATCCGTTGGAAGATGACGAATGCGTTAAACGTCGAGGGAGGAAGCTGGTCCAGGGCGGCGGCTTGGCTGTTTTGACAACCGCTATCCGGGTCACTGATAGTCGAGGAGTTCGGATCGTTGCGAGCAAGGCCTTTTTGAACCTAATTGAAGACAAGGAGAATAGAGGCAAGATATTACAGAGCGGAGGAGCCAAATCTTTGTCACTTTTCATCCGTGGGTCCTTGTCCTCGACATCCTCGTCTGGCTCACAACAGACAATCAACGGTTTGGAGCAAGCCGACCTCGAAGCTATTCAGGCATTAGCGAAACTTGCTATTACAGCTTCGCCTGTACAGGTTTTTGGACCAGATGAAGGCGCTATATACGATTCTATTCGACCGTTCACCGCTCTGCTTGTACACCCATCCTCGACACTCCTACAACGCTTTGAAGCAATGATGGCTTTGACCAATATCTCGTCTCACAGTGCTGAAGCAGCGAGCCGTGTTTCCAAAGCTGATAGTCTTCTTGCTAAGATAGAATTCTTGGTTCTGGAAGACCACACTCTTGTACGACGGGCGGCCACGGAATTAATATGTAATCTCGTGGCAGGATCAGACGAGGTTTTTGAAAGGTACTCAGGCGGAGACAGTGCCACCGAGAATGCGAAGTCTAAACTACACATCTTGCTTGCATTGTCGGATGTCGACGACCTTCCAACGCGACTTGCTGCATCAGGTACACTTGCGACCTTGACCGCTTCTCCCGCCGCATGTCGTGCCCTTCGTGACTTGGAAAACGAACGACACCGAGTGCTGCGTACTTTCACCCAACTCATTGACCCCGATGGAATGTCTTCCAATGAAGAACAGGTCGATGATATTCGCGCAGATCCAGGATTGGTTCACCGAGGGGTAGTATGCGTTCGCAATTGTCTTTTCAACTTAGATGAAAGGTCACGGAGAGCCTTGACAGAGATGGATGAGATGAATCGTCTCTCCAAGGCCCTTGTGAAGGCTCTGAAGGATAATACGGAGAATCCAGGAGTGTTCAGACCTACCGCAGAGGCGCTGAAGTTGCTTATCGATGTTGGAATGAAGGTTGCGGCATGAGTTTGGACTCGGCTACAGTATTAACCATGTACGGTGTACTTGTTCGAAATCCCCACCCGGCTATGAAACCGTATAACTGCTATCATTGTCGTAACTTAACTGTGAAGGTCAGTTTAGTAGAAGTTACTCCGAGGCAGAGCACGTGATGATGTCAGATTGGATGTGACTTCGCCCACACTAGTTGCACGATCTGCCTATCCATAACCTTCAGTCCGCTCCTGCTTCGCTCTTATACTCGCCAATACTTCTGAGTGGTAATCTACAGCACACATTGACTATACTGGCCTCAAGCTGACATGGTAGGCCTCTAACTCTACGCAGTGCTATTCACGTCTCACAATCCTCTACCAGGCGCCATCCAAGAAGGCCGGAAAGAAGGTCAATGCTGGTCCGAAGAAATCAGCGCCTTCCAAAGTCGCCAAGGTCTTTACCGCTACAATTTAATGGTATATCCATGCTCACTCGACGTTTAGGCGGATTGGAAGGAGGGCTTCAAAAAGAAGCAAGTCGGTGTTTCTGATATGACGTTGCTTACCACTATTAGCAACGAAAGCGTGAATGAGAATTTGCAGAAGCGGTGGACCAGTGGAGAAATCTATACCTATATCGGAGGAGTTCTAATTTCAGTGAATCCGTTTCGAGGTAAGTGCCGCAAGCCTTGTTAGCTATGCTAATCTTACGGGGCGGTAGATCTGGGCATATATACCGATGACATTCTGAAGAGATATCAGGGCAAGAACCGCCTTGAAGTCCCTCCACATGTCTTTGGTATCGCGGAGTCTGCCTATTACAACATGAAAGCCTATACCGACAATCAGTGCGTCATTATATCTGGGGAATCCGGTGCAGGCAAAACAGAAGCTGCGAAGCGCATCATGCAATATATCGCTGCTGTGTCGGGAGGAGAAGACAGTAGCATTCAGCAAATCAAGGACATGGTTCTGGCTACAAACCCTTTGCTTGAGAGTTTCGGTTGTGCTAAGACCCTTAGGAATAATAACTCCAGTCGTCATGTACGTGCCTGGTCAACATCCTTGGAATTTCAACGCTCATCTTGTGTCAGGGAAAATACCTAGAGATCATGTTCAATGATCATGGAGAGCCTGTTGGTGCTCAGATTACGAACTACTTGCTGGAGAAGGCACGCGTCGTTGGTCAAGTGCAAAACGAGCGCAATTTCCACATATTCTACCAATTCACGAAAGCTGCCTCGGACGAGCAACGTGGTAGGTCGAAAACTATTCAGCACGTACCATTCTAAGCCCAAGCTTTAGAATCGTTTGGACTCCAGGGACCAGAAGCTTATGCGTACACGAGTCTCAGCAACTGTCTGGAGGTTGAAGGCATCAGTGATGAGCATGACTTCGCGGAAACCATTGTGAGGCAAATGTGCTGTCTACGACCGTGTACTGATACTTCTGTAGAACGCAATGCGGATCATTGGCCTTAGCGATCACGAGCAAAACGACATCTTTCGCATGCTCGCAATTGTTCTCTGGCTGGGGAACATTCAATACGAGGAAATGGACGATGGGAACGCTGCTATTTCGGACACTAGCGTTGCAGACTTCATTGGTTACCTCATGGAGGTCGATAGTACCTTGGTGCAAAAGGCCCTCACTACGAAAGTTGTCGAGACTCAGAGGGGAGGTCGTCGAGGATCCGTGTATGATGTTCCTTTGAACCCCTCACAAGCAAGCTCAGGGCGAGATGCCCTCGCGAAGGCTATCTATAATAATCTCTTCGAGTGGATCGTCTCCAGAATCAACGTATCCATGAAGCCAAGAGGGTCAGTTGCCCAGATCGTTGGTATCCTGGTGCGTTCGTCTAGTCCTTCACGAGGTCCCATAGTAACGATCTACAGGATATCTTCGGGTTCGAGATCTTCGAGGTCTCATTATATGCTTCTCATCTGTGCAACAAGTGCTGAAGTTTATCTGCTTAGGACAATTCGTTCGAGCAACTGTGCATCAACTACGTGAACGAAAAACTCCAACAGATTTTTATCGAACTCACACTCAAGACCGAACAGGAGGAGTACGTTCGCGAAGAGATTAAGTGGACGCCCATCAAATATTTTAATAACAAGATCGTATGTGACCTCATCGAGGAACGCCGACCTCCAGGCATCTTTGCAGCCCTCAATGATGCTTGTGCTACTGCGCACGCTGATCCCACGGCGGCAGACAATAGTTTCATGCAACGAACTGCTTCTTTGTCATCGAATCCTCACTTCGAAGCTCGCGGGACACAGTTCTTGGTCAAGCACTATGCTGGGGACGTCATGTACAATGTTGCAGGTATGACAGACAAGAACAAGGATGCTCTTATCAAGGATCTGTTGGATCTTGTTGGCTCGAGCGGAAATCAATTCTTACAATCTCTCTTTCCCGACCGACCGGATCCTAACAGCAAGAAGAGGCCTCCAACAGCTGGCGACAGAATCAAGGTATCTTTATTTTATTCTTTAATGTGCCCGGTGTCTTCAACGATCTTTCACTTATGCAGGCATCCGCCGGGGCCCTTGTAGAGAATCTCATGCGCGCTCAACCATCGTATATTCGTACGATTAAACCGAATCAAAATCGTAGTGGCACTGAATACGACACGAAGGCCGTTCTTCATCAAATCAAGTATTTGGGTTTGCAGGAGAATATTCGAGTTCGTCGTGCCGGTTTCGCTTACCGGAATACATTCGAGAAGATGGTTGAGCGCTTCTATTTGCTATCGCCTAATACATCCTACGCCGGTGAATACACGTGGACGGGCGATGCACGAACAGGCTGCGCAAAGATCTTGACGGACACAGGTATTGCTCAAGAGGAGTGGCAGATGGGCGTCACGAAGGCTTTTATCAAGAATCCCGAAACAGTGAGTTTATTTTTTTGTTCATTTATTTGATGACAAAACGTCGACAAAATGCCAGCTCTTCGCCTTGGAAACCATGAGGGATCGTTACTGGCATAACATGGCAGCCAGAATTCAGCGCGCGTTCCGTAACTATCTGCGGTACAAGAATGAATGCGCTAGGCGTATCCAACGGTTCTGGAAGAACAATAAGGAATCCATTGAATATGCGCAACGTAGGGATTATGGCCACAAGATCTTGGCAGACAGGAAGGAGCGGAGAAGGTTTAGTCTCCTCAGCTATCGTCGATTTATGGGTGATTACCTCGATGTGAATGGCCAAAGCCCATTGGGAGAGGAGTTGAAATCCGTTTGCGGCATTGGAGGTATGCCACACAGTCTACAATTCGACGATTCAATGACTTATACTTGCGTAGCCGAAACGGTGACATTCAGTTCGAGAGCTCAGCTTCTGGTGTCCAAGCTTGGTCGCTCTAGCAAACCTAGCCCACGTTACCTTGTAGTTGTAGGCTGAATTCAATTGATATGCCCGCAAGCCATTATTTTTGACCAGTATCTTCTCTTTTCAGACAAGCAAAGCAGTCCACATCGCCATCACCAGTATCAAAGACGGCCAAGCGCAAACGACACTTGAACGCAAGATACCTCTTGTCACTATACAGAGTATCGCTATGTCCAACCTGCGCGATGATTGGATGGTGATTTATCAAGCTTTGCCTTTTGTGGTATTGTTTTTAAGCCTAGTCTAGGTCTTCAACCTGACTCCTTCAGAAGAAGGCGATCCGATCATCAGCTGCCTTTTCAAGACCGAACTAGCTGCTAATCTGCTTCAGCTTACTCAAGCTAGTATCAGCATGCTGATCGGACCAACGTATGTTTTGCTCAGTGCTTTGGGAAAGAAATCGTGTCGAACCTTGTTTTGCAGTATTGATTACGCCAAGAAGAAGGAGAAGCGTGCCCAAATCAAGTTCTTGAAAGACGAAACAGTACCCAGGGATGATCAGTACAAAAGTCATACTGTACACGTCCCTACCGGTGAGCCCCCAAACAGTAAATCGAGACCCCCCGCAAAGAGAAAGCCCGGCGTGGTGCGTCCAATCACTTCGGGTAAATTACTGAAGAAGGGCGGTCCTTCCAAGGTCTGTGAAATATACACACATCACGACTCTCGCTTTGTATCTAATAACTAACTATCAAGCCCACTGGAGCGTCAAGACCAAAGCCTGCTGCACAACCTTTACCAGGAAAGTCTAAACCTGCCGCGGCTGTTAAGCCTGTCATTGCTACGTCCACCGCGTCCTCCACCGCACCCCGTGCACCCCCGCCGCCGCCCGGTCGTGTGGTTGTCCCTCCTGCACCACCAGAACCTGAGGTGCCTTCGTACCGCGCTAAGTTTGCCTTTGACGGACAGGAAGGCGAGATGACATTAGTGAAGGACGACCTGGTTGAGCTGCTTGAGAAGGACGATAACGGCTGGTGGCTAGTGAAGAAAGACGGTGTTGAAGGCTGGGCGCCTAGCAACTACCTCGTTCTCGTCCCTGCTAAACCTAAGTCCGCTTCTGCTGCTCCTCCCCCACCCCCACCCCCTCCTGCCAGCCGTCCAGTCCCTGCCGCTACGACTCCCGTCGCCAAACCCGTAGCAGCACCTGCGCCCAAAGCCAAAGTTGCCCTACAGTCCGTCACCGCCAATGTCAACGCCAAACCTGTGTCCGTTTTCCCGGGCATGGCAGCAGGCAATGGTTCCGCGGCGCCGTGGAAGAAGCCAGCGGCGTCGACTGAGACGTCCAGTTCGGGAACCCCTGCAAGCTCGAGGCCGTCCAGCTCAGCGGCTGGTAGGCCCCCGCCGCCTGTCGCAGCGAAGCCTAAACCTGGTCCGCCGCCTGTCGGTGCCAAGCCCGCAGTCCCGAAGCCTCCTGCGAAACCGCCTGTGCCTTCTGCTTCCAGGCCAGGTGCGGCCCCTGCTGCTCCGCCTCGCCCAGGAGGAACTGCGAAGCCCAATGCAGGAGCTGCAGGTCAGATGGACTTGGCAGCCGCTGTGAGTTTGCTCAAATTTTGACGAGCCTTGCCAGACACTGACGGCGTCGATAGTTGGCCAGGCGCGCTCAGCGGATGGCCGAGTGAGCGAGCGCTACAGCTATCAACGATGTTCAGAGATTCGATGCTCTATACCGTATGTAGACGTAGAGTGAGAAAAGGAAGTGGATTAGAACAGGTTACATGGAGCTACGGGACTTGATTCCGGCGTAAAGGACAATGAAGTGATTGTGTGCTGCCGAGCTAAGGGATGACGAAGGAGATATGCAGGGGTATCAACAAAACTGAACACTTTATCCGACGTACGGTATCGTTCGGTCGTAACAGGGGAACATAACAAAAACACAAAAGCATAATATCGAACCTGCGAACGCGCGAATGCAAATGCACCGATTAGAAAGGCGAAACTTATGAAAGTGTTACTGTGATGGGCGGAAGAAGCGCAGGGGGTATGACGTCGGGGTAGGGGTCCATCAATGCCTCGACCTCGCCTTCAGAATCCAGGTCGTCGTCGTCGTCGTCCGGTACAGCGACACGCGACGGTGTGAATGGTCGGCGGTGGGCGTCGCCCTCAACATCCGAGTCGACGTCCGTCGCCGCGTCTCGCGTAGAGAGCACTTCTGAGACGTCGTCTCCCCGCCTCCAAGTCCGTACCTCCTCCGCACTGAGCACCGTTGGCCCTGCTTCTTTAAAATCGGCGGGCGTCGTTGCCAGCGCACGCTTGCCGCCCTCGATAAGGCTGTCCAGCAGCCCCTTCACGCGGCGGTATGTATCGTCCTGCTGTACGAAGCTTTCCTCGGTGCCCTCGTCCCCCTCTTCGTCCTCGTCCTCGTCCCCTCCATCCTCGAGCGCCTTGTCAATTGGGCCAAGGGAGGACTTGACGGCGCGGTACGTCCGCGGTGGGAGAATGAGGCGAGATTCCCGCAGCTTACGCCGCAGGTCTCGGATTTCCTTCGCCTGCTTGTCCTTCGTCGCCTCGAGGGACACGTTGATCGCGAGCAGCGATCGGTTCGAAATTTCTAGATCGGCAATCTACACGCGCACGTCAGATTAAAAACCGCACACGTATGCGAGGAGCATAGAAAGATGCGCAACAAGGGGACTCGCCTTGCGGTTGGACTTGGCCTCTGCCTTGATCTTCCTCTCTGAATCGTCGGGCTGCACTCGAAATACACCCAGGCTGTTCACGCCCGCGACGGAATGTCTCCGGGATCCTGGACTCTGTTGGTCTGTGAGTCCTTCCAGACTTGAGCGAGGGCTGAGTCCCCGCTCCACCACAGCTGAGCCGTTGACATACGAGCCAAGCGTCGGTGCCGTGCTATGCTGCGATGCCGAAGAATGGGACGAGCGCGACGAAAAGGAGACAGTCGACGTCGGAGGAGACTGTTGTGGCAGTGGTATGGTTGAAGGGTCGATCTTTGAGGTGACATTGATAAACTTTGCACCGTAATGGACGTCAGAGTCATCGCTGACCGCGAACCCCTGGAAACGATGCGCGCCGACGCTGGGGCTAGATCGTAGAGAGGCGTATCGGTGAGGGTTAGCAGCTGGCGCGGGGGTTGTGATAGGATAACACGATACGGACGATATCGGGGAGGAAGGGACAGATGGGAGAGCGATGCTAGATATTGATGGTGCGCGTGCGCGCGCATGTATTGGGCGACCCGTAAGAAAAGAAGGAGACGAAGGAAGCGAAATGGCACCGCTGAGAGATGAAGGAGTAGATGCCTTGACGAGGTTGGTTACTCTAGAGGTGACCTTGGACTTGACGCGTATTGGACTTGGCCCGGGTGTCAAAGGAGGGGCAGGAGAAAGGTGGTTCTCGGAGGGAAGCTCAGGAGAGACCTGGGCAAGAGAAGAAGGCAGGTCATTGGGGTGAAGAGAGCCACTGCCGCGTCGCACTCTGGAGTGGGTTATGAAGGACGGGTCAGAGATGCTCCCCGTCAAGGAACGTTGACGAGCCACGACGCGGGTCGTGAGCGTCACCTTTGATTTCGGCGAGGGGCCGTCGACGACAGAGCGAGAGCCAGAGGTAGAAACATTGGAAAGAGCCTTGTGCGGTTTGAAGGGTGAGTTGGCGCGTGAAGCGGGGGTAGCGGGAGCTCTGGTGCCGATGCCTATGGCGCTGGAGAGTTTGCGGACGCTTGCGCCGCTGTTGATCTTGGCCCTTGGGCGGAGGATGGGGTCTGGAGAGAGGGCTGAGCGTACAGGTGTTGGAGACTTGAAGGGAGAGGTGGGGCGCGAGAGAGGCCGGTGGACGACGACGTTGGCCAAATCGACTTTGGCCATGACCTGGTTGTCCGGGGAAAGTCTGGATCGTGCGGTTGGAAACACAGTCTAGACCCGAGAAACCCACCTTTCTCTTCGATGGACCCTCCATCATTTGGAAGGTGGACGCGAATGCTGGGCAACGGCGAGGAAAGAAAGACGAGGAGTAAGATAGTGTACAAGGAGCAGCTGCTGGTCTAACACCGTAACTCTTCCGAACCTGCCGGTGGCCGTTCCCGCGGACTGTGGCGGCTGCGTTTATTATTCACCACGAAGTCGTCACCACCCGTCTTGGGTTCCTTCAGCCGTCGTTCGACTTTCAAACGTTGCTCAAGAATATGACATTGTGATCATGATGACTACAGCCAAACTCCACCCTTTTGGTCGACTGGGTCTCGCTACTCTCGTCTTTTGCTCACCATGCTAGCGACGAGCTTATGCATCGGATATCCTCGAATCGAGGCTTGAAGATGCTGTTTTCATCGGGTAGTAAGGAGAGAGCATCAGCGGAGGCACAATGCACAATGGTCTTCAAGCCCCACATTTCATTTCTTGTCGGCAAAGGTGATCACAGAAGTAGCAAGTCTTCTCTAGGCGATCACGACATCGTGATGATTCATCAAGAGAAACAGACAGTACGGTACCAGCACACCTCTCTATCGCCCTGAGTGAAAGATATGTCCATCAAGGGTGTGTTCCATCTTCCATGTACTTTGACAAGCTCACCTGAATATATTCGTCTCAGCTGATCCCCTTCTTCGCCAACACCGCTTCAACGACCTTCTCAACCAACGCCTTGACACCTTCTCCACCACCGCCCTGCAACGCCGCCACAACGCTCTTCTCGACATATTTCCCCACCATATCCACTTCGATATTCACCTGCGCTCCAACCGCCTTTTTACTGAGCGTGATTTTCTCTTGCGTGTGCTGTATCAGCATTATTCCGAACGTCCGCTGTGCATCGTCAACGGAAGTGAGAGTGAGCGAGGTCCCGTCGATCGCAACGTAACCTTTCGGGATGAGATAAGGGAGGAGCGACGGCCTGGCTGGCGTCGGTTCGGGCAGCTGGAAGAGCAGGCGCAGGGAGTCGCCGTCTGGGATTTTTGAGATAAGAGTCGCCGTCGTATCGACATGGCCCTGATGACCGGGACATGAGCGTCGGTCAGCCACAATGCGTTCGCGATGAGACATACCTGCACAAAGTGACCACCAAAACGGATGTGTGCACCCATAGCGCGCTCTAGATTCAGCTGGTCCCCCACCTTCCTTTCGCCTTTAAAACCACGACATCAGAACGGCCGCTCAGGTAAGTTCATGAAAGCATAGCACTCGCCCAAGTCCGTCCTGTCTAACGTCTCGTTGGCCAGCCACACCTCGAACCAGCCACCCTCCTCCTTCTCGTCCCTATTGAACTTCGTCACCGTCAGGCATGCGCCATTCACAGCTATCGAGTCTCCGATGCGGCAGTCATCCAGTATAGGCGCGCTGTCTGAGATGGCGAGAGTGCACCCGCCGCTGTCGCGCGTGATAGAAGCGACGGTTCCCAGATGTTCGATCTATGAATGCATCATAGTAAAAGCGCGCCTCAAGCGCGGTAGTGGGGTGGTGGCCTACCAGACCTGTGAACATGACTTCTACTCGACGGTCAACTCGACTCGCTGGCAGAACCCGACTTGGCTGCTGACCGGATGTGGCTGACTGATTGCTCACGCAGAACGCACATGATGGGAAGAAGTTACTCGATTGAGCACAGGCCAAAATCCCACCGTCTCCGCGCGATCATACAGTAAGGAGCTCCTCCAGCCAACGATGCCTCCAAAGAATACATCAAAGCCTGCAGCAGCATCGTCAAAGGCTGAAGAGGCAGTGCGCAAACGACCAATATGGGACTCCTGGGCAGGTATGCGATGCATCCCTCTCCGATCATATAGCATGCGCCCAACTCACCATCTTCGACACGACGATAACCTTTTCTCTAGTGTTACCTGCCAAGACCCGACTGAGAATCTCTCTCGGCGTTTGTGCCGTTGCATTTGCGGGCATGGTCATATCCGATCAGTTGGAGGTCATATTTCCTCCTGAGCTCCCGCCACCCACGCCCGCCCCCGCCTCGGGAGATGCGTCCCGCTAAAGAGGCCTGATTGGGTTACCAGGATATTTCTCTCTTCTACAGTCGGTACAGTGATGCACAAATCAAGATCAAAACCATTGACGAGACATTGTGGGCTAGTGTTACACGCAGAGTCCGATATACCGCGTCGGGAGGGCGTCGACACAAAAAAACGTGAGAGTGAGGCTGAGTGAGGCCAGTTTACCCTAGTCCAGAATACTAGAGACCGGAAGGAAGCAGAAGCGTAAAAAAGGACAACTCAAGCAAGGCCGCCGTATGCGTCCTCCGTCGCGGCGGATTTGAACGTGTCGGAGCGGTTCACCGTCACAGTAGAACTCGGAGAGAAAGCCGCATCGGCATCGGGACGCCATTCGCGTGCAAGAGGGGACGAACGGGATCGTTTCGGTACTGACGGCCTCACTAATGTCCTCGTCAGCCCTGGCACAGGTCCAGGCGATGCCGGGGCCATAACTGGTACCGCGGGACTCGGGATGGGGGTTTCCTCCTGCGCCCGGAAGGGATCCTCCATCGCCGACCTCTGCGGGGCTCCATCCGCCCTCCGACTCACCGCCCTCGCCAGCTCCCTATTCCTCCCCATCTCCGTCCCGAGTCCCGCATGTCCCGCCCCCTCACTCATGCGCCATCCCGCAGGCGGCGTCCCAAAGCTCGGTACCCTGTCCTCTCCAATTCGGGCCCCTCCCCCGTCCATGCCCTCCCCAGCCCTGCCCCCAAGCTGGTACTCCCAACTCTGCTTCTCCCAGTCTGGCACGAGCTCCTCTCCGCCAGGCCCGCCCCGACTCCGTGAGCCTCCACACGCTGCAAGGTCCCGCAGGAGCCGCCACCAATAGTCGAAGAACACGACCCCCAAGATACCCGCGCCGATGACGCTCACCGCAATGACCGCGACGCCGATGACCTTCCAATCTGTTGGCGGGTTTGAAACAGCCCTATTGGCGGCCCCGATAGACTGCGTCGGTGTCGGCGTGGACGTCGCGCTCGGTACGGCAGTTGGTGCAGAACCCACAGAGGCCTGCGTTGGCGTTGTCTGTGCAGGAGTGGCAGCGCCGCCCGTCGACGTAGAAGAAACCGCCCTGTTTACTGACGTCAGCAGCTTGTCGATCGTCTTGACCAGGCCATCCGAGGTCGTCTCGATCTGCGTCCGACTCTCCCCTCGCAACCTCTCCGACTCGCGTGATGTAGTCTGCTGCTCCCCATGGTGCGGCGGCGGCGTATCGGGATCGTCCATACCCCCGAAGAGCCCGCCGAGCTGCCTCTTCCGCGCCTGCGCGGGATGAATGCCTGAGTGCACCGCGGTGCCCCCGTTCGTCCTCAGATCTCCACTGACGGCCGCGGCAAGCCCGCTTGCGCAAAGGAAGTGTAGTGCGGCAGTGACGAGGACGGTCTTCAACTTGATGCGCATGTAGGTGAGCGTTAGCTTTGTGGGTATGTGAGTATGTCAGCGGGCGTGATGGCAGGGCGGTTGAAGGGGACCAGATCGTGGAAAGACGCGTCGCAGACGCGTTCAAATAACAGGTCACGTGCATTTTTTGCACCCCAAAGCTCATCCGAAGTGACGAGTAAGGGCACGCCAGCGAGTCATCAACCTGGTTAGTGATTATGATCAACACTGGCGAATAAACAAGACATTGCACCTCAAAGCTTATCCCAAGTCCGTCGACGAGGAAGGGCATGCCAGCGAGTCATCAACCTGGTCAATTATTATGATCAACACTAGCGAATAAACAAGACGTCGCATCTCAACAATTCGAAAGGAGGGTGATATAGCTAGCGTGAGTTATGAAAAATAAGGACTACAAATGAGTACACGGGTATCACGATTGTGAGCGCTTCAGCTTGAGGCCTTGAGGGTGTGTATTAAAAGTAGACTGTCGCAAAGATCGTCTGTCTAGTATTCAACCACAGATATTTGGGTATTGCAGGTCTGTTGGATCTTGGGGTATCCATCCGTTCCTCAAACCAGCTTGGTACGACCAGTCGTCCGCGCTTTCGGCCTTCCACGTCCATTGGATCCAGCCACTGGCTTTCTCGAAAGTGATTACCTTTTGGTGCGGAAGAGTCAGAAAGCAAACGACCCCGTAGTGGGAATATGACTTTACCTGTGCTTCCCAGCTTTGACGGAGGAAGGTCTTGTAGGCGGAGCTGAACGAAGAGGCAGAGCCGGTCTTGCCGCTGCAACTGCCTACGCCGGGCGAGCCAGAGTAAGAGCCGTCATAGCGCGAGCCAACGCCACGACCGTTGAGGTACCGAGCACAGTCGGTCATGGCGGGTGTCCACTCTCCGACGATCGTCCAGAGGTTGGCGCCGAACGACGTGAGTTCGCCAGAATTACCGCACGCCGACTGAATGTGCTGCTGGTTGGTCCATGATACTTCCTGAGGGAATGGGTCATCTCAAATCAGTTACTTGACTCAGCAAACAAAGACGACGACTGACATCATCAGAAAACATCTGATAGATGTGTGTATCCATTGCGACCCCTTGAAAGTTGGGAGGACGTTCCCAACCATTCCAGTAACTGAGGGGTTGGAAGGCGTCGTGGATAAGTTCGACAGTGTTACTCTGTTGGCTTGTACCATAAGGATACCTGAAACAATCTCAGGATGACGTGCATGAATGAAGAAGCAGAATCGTACCTGATGTTCCCGTAAGAGTCGAGCCAGTACTGACGAACAGCATTCAAAACATCTTGACCATCAAAGCCAGCGGGCCTAAGATGGCCGTCAGTGACCGCCCGTTTCACAGATGCGAAGATTGAAGCTCACTCGTTCAATGGAGCTATGATTGGGACAGTCCCAGATTGGCCAGCGAACTCGGCAGCGATCTGCTTGATAATGTTGTTTGTTCTGTCGATATTGTTCTGATTGGAATGCCACCCGGGGAATGATTTCCGTTGTCCAGAGTTGTCAAACCTGCGGATGCGTTAGAGCGGCTGATCGTTGCAGTTCACGTCAACGTACCCATTCTGGCTGCCAGGCGCGCCGTGCAAGTCAATGATGAGTTTGAGCCCGTGATTCGCCGCCCACCCTACGGCTTTGCGGAGATAGGGAAGCTGCCCTTGAATGAAAGGCTCTCCAGACCCAACGTCCCAGGCCCAGTATCCAATGGGCAGTCGCACGTGATTTAATCTATAAATATTAGAGTGTCAACAACGCGTCTACAGCTCGCGTCGACAGCATGGAAGAAGTGGAGCAACAATGATGGGGAAAAGCGCACCCGGCGGCGGCAATATCGGCGAAGTCTTGCTCCGTGATCCACGTATTCCAGTGGTTCTGCAATTTGGACAGAGCGGTCGGATAGCTCTGGTACTGACCGAACGTCCACTCGTCCACGATGCGGTTGTCGTTCGTCCCGTCGAAGAGACTGGGCGTTATCCATGGCTGCACGCGCGTGAGGAACGCCCAAGACGACAAAGTGGACGGAAAGACACGTCGAACTGACCTCCAACACGAGCCATCCGCCAAGGTTGACACCGCGGACCTTCTGTGAACCGTAAGGGAAAGACGGGGTGAAGGTTGCCCTCGCCTGGACAGATTCCGCTGGACGGGCCAAGGCGGCGGGGACGAAGATTAGCCCGAGCAAGGAAAAGGACGCGGCGATGCGGGAAAGGGAGCGCATGTTGTGACGGTGAGGACGGATGCGAGGCGTGCCAACAAGCGGGGAGTGTGCAGGAGCATTTTATAGACAGCATGGCTGTCCAAAAATACCTGAAGATCCAAAAGGAACATGGCAGTGACGCAAAGGGAAGGCTGGCATCCAAGGCTGGCACCCCGCTCACGTGTTCCATGCCGATCTGCTTTCGCTCCTCTAGCGCCTCGCTCGCCGACGCGTCTGTCGACTTTAGCTCTCTCACTGTGACGCGGCCCCACGGGTCAATCCTCCGAATCTATCCTGCGGGTCCGCTCAAAGCGTGATATATATCTAGCGATCATGTGTTCACGCCAGGTGACTTTAAACTTCGGACGAGGCTGCCTCGCTCACCCAAAGAAACGAGTGGGACAGAATTTCCCCACATTCGCTGTACCTGTACAGAAGGCAGGGTAAGGGCAATCGCACATGCCAAGCCTCTTCCGCAAATCAACACCCAGGCTGCGTGACGTCCAAGTCAATTTTCGGCGCTCGGCCATTCAGGATGTGTACGAAACGGTCGGGGCTGACGCCGCGTACGTTCCATTTCCATCTCGATCGCAAGGATGCTTATGTGCGTAGACTTTCCAGTCAGTGTTTTTGGTGTTTGGACGCTTGCTCGCTTGGACATATATGTGTGGAATTCGGTATAGGCCAATCCAATCTCACTCGATCTGATCTCCGTGAATTTGGACATAAGATAGATGCATTGATAAGATTGCATGTGAAAGCACCAACATTGCTGTAAGTTGCTTTGATTCAGTATGGAAGCCAGCGAGTTAAGAGACATACGGAGGCAAACATGATGTCTGCATGACCATATAGCTCAGGTGTCTCTGCAAGGTGAATTGAGGTCAGCCGTGTGTGGTCAACAAAAGATGAGGATCTTGTTTTTCACCGCAAAATACGGCAGACGCAACGTCAATCTGCACGCGTGTTGCGCATGTCTAAAACACGCCCCATTGCGTGAAGTAATTCCGGACGGAATTCAAATCACACCAACGAGCAACAGGCCCCCAAGTTTCGAGCTCCAAACTCGATTTCGTGCTGCTCAGCCTCCGGAGACCGATGATACGCAGTGCTGCCCCAAAGGCACAGAACTCGGTACTAGCTAGGTACGACAAGGTTGCCAGGAGAGCCTCTCAATCAGATGGCGATACATGCAAAATATGGCCCGAGTGGCGATATCTCGGCGCAAGAATATATTGCTTTACGAGGACAGAAACCCGAGAGCGACAAAGTGAGACGGAGAAGGGCAAAGACCAGTGCAAGGCTGTGGGCGATTATAGCCGTGGTTGATGTTGGTTGACGTAGAGCGGACGGGTATTCCCGAAAATACATAACAACCCAGCTGACCATTAGTCTGTGCACTCATCTCTCCCTCCGACACTTCATGACCTTCATGTCTATTGACGCCCTTCGCAAACGCTACGAGGCCGTAGGCCAAGGCCATCTCCTTCACTTCTGGCCCAAACTTTCCGAAGGCGAGCGAACAGCCCTTGCGACGCAGCTCGAGGCACTCGATATCGAACGGGTGAACCGCGTCTTCAAAAAAGCAATTAGCAATGAACAAGATCTTGCGAATGGAGTCGCAGCGGACGAGCTCATTGAGCCCTTACCAGCGGACGCGACCGACACATCTATTGGGAATCCGGAGAAGGACGCTGAATGGCGCAGCATCGGCCTCAAGGCCATCGCGCGCGGCGAGGTTGGGGTACTGCTGATGGCGGGCGGTCAGGGTACAAGGCTAGGCAGCTCTGCGCCTAAAGGTTGCTATGATATTGGCCTTCCCTCGCACAAGTCTCTCTTCCAGTACCAGGCCGAGCGCATCGCACGTTTGCAGGAGGTTGCCGCATTGGAAGGTGCAAGGCCGAAGGGTTCTGTCATCGTGCCCTGGTACATAATGACCAGCGGCCCTACCAGGCGCGAGACAGAAGACTTCTTCAAGAAGAACTCGTACTTCGGCCTTGACTCACATAACGTCATCTTCTTCGAGCAAGGTGCGTGGAGAACGTTGTCCGAGCTGTCTGGTGCTGTAACGTGAAAATTTGTCTTAGGTACTCTTCCATGCTTGACAATGGACGGTAAAGTCTTGCTGGAGTCGCCGTCTCGTATCGCCGTTGCCCCCGATGGTAACGGCGGGCTTTACGCGGCAACCCGCTCACCCCTCTCTGCATCCGACAAATCACATACTGTCCTCACGGATCTCGCACGACGGAAAATCCTTTACGTGCATGCATATTGCGTCGACAACTGCCTCGTCCGCGTCGCCGATCCCGTTTTCCTCGGCTACAGCATCGGCAAGCAGTCGGACTGCGCCGCCAAGGTCGTCCCCAAGGCTTCACCCACGGAGTCTGTAGGTGTCGTCGCCCGCCGCGGCAGCAAGTTTGGGGTGGTCGAGTACTCGGAGATCACTATAGAACAGGCGGAGAAACGCGATGAGGAGACAGGCGAGCTCGCATTCCGCGCGGGCAATATCGCAAACCATTTCTTCACGACCGCGTTTCTGAACAACGTTGAGGCGTTCGAGAACGAGCTCGCGTTTCACATCGCACGAAAGAAGATCCCCCACGTCTCGCTGGAGAGTGGCGAGTCCGTTAAGCCAGGCAAGCCGAATGGGATGAAGCTCGAGTTATTCGTGTTCGACGTACTGCCGTTTTCGAAGCGCTTCGCCGTGCTCGAGGTCGCGCGGAACGAGGAATTCAGCCCGCTTAAGAACGCACCCGGAACGGGCTCGGACGATCCGGAGACCAGCCGTCGCGACCTTCTGGCGCAGCACCGTCGTTTCCTCGAGCACGCAGGTGCCACTGTCAACGCCGGCGTCGAGATCGAAATATCGCCGCTGGTCACATACGCCGGCGAAGGCCTCGAGTCAGTCAAGGGCAAGACGTTCACTCGGTCGGGGTTGATCAGTTCGGTAGAGGAGTTTGACGTCCTAGCTTAGAGATCGTGCGAACAATATCAGCTTGGACTGGAGATCATCATGGACTTCGGAATGGACTTTGGGTTTGCGTACGCTACGATATAATACCCTCCTGGACAGCATTCATAACTCCTTTTACACGCATTTCAGACGAACTCGAAGTCGAGGCCTAAGGACTTGGGGCTTGAATATTGTACCTGAGTTGATGGATGACAGTTGACTTCACACACTTGAAGCTCAAGGGGCAGCAGCTGAAGTGAGGATTGTGACGGGTAGATGTACACGTCAGGTATCACCCTCCTACAGCACCCTCAATCGACTTTGTCCCTCGCCCCCGCTTTTCCAGCTCGTCTCGAAGAGATGCAAACAAACGTTGTGTCCGTTCTGCATTTGGCTGCAGATGAAACAGTCAGTGCGCTGTGCTCAGGCGAAAATCGACCACAAGGACAGACCTCCTTGCAGCACGTTATGAGTCTGTCGACGAGCATTGTCTGGCCTCTCTGAGCGTCTTCTAATTCTTTTCGAAGATGCTGGCTCTTGACACGCGAATCCAGATTATGAACAAATATTGAATTATGGATGTAGAGGACAGACCTCGTCTTCAAGTTTATCAGCACGAACTTTCTCGCCCTCAGCCAGCTGTTTCTGTTCTGCTGCTCTTGCACGAGAGAGAAGAACCTCGAGTTCCTTCGAGCGTATGACACATTCGAAATGTCGTTCTCGGAGCTCGTATTGCCGTAGGACCTCCTTTAAACGTTCACGGATGCTGGCGCATACGAGCAAGTTAACGACTTTGTCAATGCACCAACAAATTACTAGAGCAACTTACACGCCATCGAAGATCTCTTCTAACGTTCTCACAGCTCTGAAATTCGCGCGGTCAGTAGACCGAGAGGGGCGGATTACGAGAAAGGGAGCTCACTCCTTCGGATTATCGGTCCAGTGCTTCCTCAGCTTCTGACGTCGAGGCTCACCCTCATCCTAAAACATCACGCGGTGAGCTTGGCCGCTGCAAGGGGGAAACGAGAAGTGATTATAACAACTATGCTCACCAGAAACTCCGTCCCCGGGCCTTCCGTCAGATCCATCAACTCGACCGCCAGAATCTCGTCCCCATCTTCGATGCCCGCCTCCTCTGGCGTCTGCTCCGCATCTACAGCCCTCCCACTGTGCGTGAACACGAACTGAGTGTTCGTGCTTGGCACGTGCACTGAGCTCGTCGAGTGCGCGCTCGCGTCTGACTTGCCTGACCCATTGGACAGATTCCCTCCGTTGAATCCATCTGACTTCTTCACGATGCTAGAGGCCTCCATGCGCTCAGTCCACGCGTTGAATAGCTTGGACAACTTGGTCTTGCGCGAGATGCGGAAGAAGAGCTCTTCACGGTAGCGGCAGATGACTTTCACGACGATGTCAGGCATGTCGCGGAATTTCGTGTCTTGCAGCTTGGCTTTCTCCGCACGTTTGGTCATGTCCTTCTTCATCTGGATGATCTTTGTATGCACAAAGTAAGAAGCCGCGAAGGGAACAGGGGGGTGACCAGATGATCGTTACCTCGTCCTGTGCCTCTTCCACCGAGTGGGCGAGGCGTTTGCCATCCTCCTGCAAGTTGCGGGTCAAGTGCTGCACACGAAGAATGATTTCTGGACGCACCCTTAGTCTCTTGTTGTCCTGGACGGAGGTTAGCTTGTGTAACCTGAGGAGCAATGTTGGTACTCACCTTCTGGAGCTCGCGTGCCAGATTCTCCATTTTCACCTTCGTCTGATTTGCCTTGGTCAGCTGGCCCTTTGCTTCAAAGCAACCGATATGAAATGCCTCATGTATCGATGGGGGACGCAGACACACCTGCATCCTTGTCCTTTATCAACTTCTGCTTTTCTTTCTGGTGATCCCGCTCCAAGCGTTTGAGTTCGGCGAACTATTACATGACTTCAACACGAATAAGAGAGTGACGGATCGGATGGTACAGACCAGTTCAATGTACTTTGCATGAATCGCTCTCTCTTCCATGCCCACGACGGACTTCTGAGCCTCCTCCGCTGCAGAGCAGAGTCATTCTTGCATGTTACACGGACATACCACTATTCCATACCAAATCTTCTCTCCTCTTCCTCCTCGAGTACCTCTTCCTCCTCTAGCGCTGCGATCCTGTTCTTTAGACTCTCGTACATGGTTGCAGGATCGACAGGTGCCGGCTCGTTCTTCTTCTTCCCCTTCTGAGTGCTGTGCATGCCATTGACGGCGGGCGGATGATTATGAGGTGGTGGATGGGCTCTGTTCGCAGGAGGCGGATGGGCGGTGGACGGAGGAACGGCAGCGGGTGCGGGAGGCGCAGGTCCAGAGGGAGGGGGTTTGGCGGTACGCGGGATGGTGGCGGTCTGGGAGTTGGTCATGACGGCACTCATCGGAGGAGATGCGTTGGCGGTGCGCTATGTTGAAGAGGATTTTCTGGAAGCGAAGGGGCGATTTCAAGAGCTGCACGGAACTGGAAGAGGAATCCCGCAGCTTGACGGTCTTCGTGACCTGGGCACTCACGTCGCGACCGCTTGCGAAATCTGAGCGGAGGAAAGCTGGAAGGCTGCCTTCGGGTCTTTACGTCGCGTTCACACCCAAACTGCTGGCGATCGGGTGCTTGACCGCGTTGACTCGGGATGCGCAAAGTGACTGGAAAAGAACAAATACAACAAGCGAGAGTAAGGCAAGATTACAAATGTCGAGCCGACTGTGACGATGCTGTTAATGGTCAAGACGATGCGCACTCGCCGGGTTTGGGACGGATTTACCACTGCTCTGGAAGCGCATCATGAGAGCTCAATATCAATACGTGCAGACAGAATTAGAAGCTGCGGCATGAATTTTCAGGGCGATAGATTGGAACAGCAACACTGGCACTGTGACTGTCTCGTAAGACAGCGTATTATAGGAGCGCCATTCTCGTCGTTTTGTCTGTTATAGACGACGCCCTTTGGAGCGCACTATGCAAACACTGATTATTACTAGATACATCCCTGGACAAGTACAGCTCGTTGATGGATATGACTGGTTTCGACTCTCGAGGGTGCGACTGCCGGCGGGTGGCAAGACCACGTTTTCTGAGTCCCGTGATCTAACGCGTCGCGTCGCGTGCCTCGTTTATGCGCGGCTTTCGTTACTAAACCCCATGTCCTCCAAATTTCATACAGCCCTTTGAGCCACTTCAATTGCTCTCTGGATCAACAACACACCATGCGTACAAGTAAGTGCCAGCTTGTTTGGGTTGCCAATGCTCAATCCGCCATCGCACATTGCCAAATAGACTCACCGTCTCCCAGCCCGCCTCGGAAGAGACAACGTTTGTCTTCGCCGACGTACGACGATCAGATGGATGATCTCAGTCAGGATGAACTCAAAGGAATTCGCGATCTGGAAGTGAAACTGTCTCAGACCTCACAACCCCGAGAGCCGGATGTGCATCATCGGGTTCTAGCAGTGGGAGAGTCATCTCAAGAAAGCGATCCACGAAGGGTAAGTGCGCATATACTCACTGATCAAGCACTTCAAAGTCATGGCGCCCATAGGGATCTAGTCCGATAAGCGTCAACCTTCCTGAGATGCCACCCTTTATCTTGTCATCCTTCGTGGCAGGATCTTCTACTCTGCATGGCGTTTCCAACACTTCCCTCATAGCCCAATCTGCCGTTGATCCAGATAACCCATTCATCTTATCTTCATCTGTTGTCACAGGCGTCAAAACCGGCCTGGTCACCCCTCGTAAAAGGGACGGATCCTCAAGCGACGAAGAGAACCTGCCGGTCGTAGAGCCTCTGATTGGAAAAACCCAACGACTGAGTCCGAGTCACATCGCTCTGCAGTCTAAGCCTACTCCCATCTCGGGCTTTTCCTTAGCGTCCAATGTCTTAGCTGACGTTCACATGCCAGGATCTCCGGATAGGACATCAGAGAAGGACTACTCCTCATGGTTTTCTTCCACAATCCCCACAAGCCCCATGGGATTTCTGAGCGGTAAGGCTGCTCTGGCGAGCATCATACCCGAGGTCCCTTCCACCGTCATCTTTACAACGGCTGCGATGAATAAGGTGATCATCCCTTCTAAGACTGCAATGCAGCAGGCAGAGGTACGGATGAAGCTCTGGGAGGCAGAAGCAGACCAAGCCGACACTGAAGATGCGATTCTCTCACAAACGAGAACATCACCGATTTCTCCCCCGCGGCCTGTCCTCGTTGGTGTAGAGAACTCAATAGTGCAAGGAAGTGCGTTGGAGACCGCTGGTCCAGCTCTGGGTCTCTCACGAGCGTCGACATCTGGTTTTTCCACGCCTTTCCAGCCATCATCAGCCATTGGCGCTAAGAACAAAAACACTATCAAGGGTTTCAAATCGCCACTTATCCGGAACAACGCTGCACCACTGAAAGCACCCGTTTTCGCACCCTCACCTCTCAATCCTGGCCGTCCCACTATAGCTGCTACCTCAGAAATCATGCCTGTGTCAACACCTGTTCGCGTCTTGCGGTCAACAGTGCCTTCGCCCTCAGATGGCAGCGTTGTCACCGGTACCTCGTCGATGGCGACACCTGTTCGCCGGGCAGCATTCAGTACGCCTCCACGAGCCTTGGGAATCACGACAAAGGCACGTCAGTCGGGTCAGAAGCCGTTCATCTCGCCATTCAAGCCAGGAATGAGGCCTGGCGAGCCTGGGAGAACCGAATTAGAGGAAAAGTACAAGCGAGAACGAGCCACTGCTATGGAATCCCTTGTAGTCGTCAAAGGTGGCACCGCAGGGAAGGCGAAGACTTCAAGGAGAGCGAGATTCTTTGACCTAAGTGCGCAATGTTATTGACTCATAGGCCATCCGATGCTAATGAGAATCCACACAGAGCTTCCTGCGGACAGGAAGACACTTTTGTCCTCAGGGCTAGTCCCTCAGGCGCATGATCACGATGCATTGACCGCTAAGGGAATGTGTGTACTCTGCTACTAGTACTCCTACTCCCATTTTTTAACGCTACGTCTTCATAGAAACGCAGACGAGATGGCACAGATAACCCCAGAAACAGCTCTATACTACACTTTCTATACTACATCTGCGGCTCCTCTCGTAGTCGCGCCTGGATCTCCGCCTTCGGAGAGCGCGCTTGGCCCGGATACCGCTCTTCAAGAGCTGAAGAAACTGGGATGCACCTTGGCGACAAAGGAGTGGGTGGACAATCACTGGAGCCTGATTCTGTGGAAGCTCTCAGGCATGGTATGCCTAGATCCAGAGCGCGAGCGTGACGGAGAGAAGAGATGGTGTTGGGGAGAAGTTATCCGACAGCTCCGTTACCGGTCAGGACTTTCAATTGATTGGCTGTGTCTATATATGGTTTTGCTCACCGAACTGCTCATCGTAGATACGAAAAAGAGCTGAATGGGGGGCAAAGGCCGGCCTTCCGCTTGATCACGACTCACGACTCACCGTCTGGGTGCCCTATGGTCGTTTGCGTGTCAAACATCATTTGGTCTGAAGGCGGCACCGCAGAAGATGGTTCCCCGATATTGCCGCATCCGGAGCTTGAGGTAACCGACGGCTGGTACAAGCTACGCGCCGAAGTCGACTCTCCTCTAGCGAGAGCTGTGCACAAGGGCTTCATACGTGTAGGATGCAAATTGGCCGTCACTGGTGCAAAGGTGAGTTTGTTGGGATCTGCGACCGGTAGGATCTTGCTGAGTGAATGTGTAGTTCTCTGGCGGAAAATCTGAGCCATGTGAAATCCTGGAAGCATACGGTTCGCACCGTTTGATGTTTTCTGGCAATAGCTCGCATCTTGCGCCGTGGCACGCGAAGCTTGGATTTCAGCCTCATCCGCCCATAGCGACACTTAACAGCCTCACTCCGGACGGAGGACTTGTACAACTGTTAGACCTTACTGTGATTAAGGTAAAGAAGAACTGGGATCCGACCGAATGTTTCTGAAACGGGTTGCAGGCATATCCCATCGCCTTTATTGAGTTCTTTGTGGACGAAAACGGCCGCAAACGGCGCGCGGGTCCACGAAAGGAAGATGAGGAGGCTCAAGTTCAGGACCAGTGGCAGGTACGTTGGTCCTGCCCGCAGACGCCTCGCATGCTTGACAGCGTTCGGGCAACAGAGGCGCAGGGACAGAGAAGAGTCGAAACTCCGCAAAGACGTTCTTGATAAGCTCGAGGTCTATGAGACTTGGGCCGATCGCCTAGAACGCAAAGGGGGTGGACATACCATCAGCTATAACCGGGATGGTATGTATTTGATTGCTTCAGTCTTGTCCGCACGTTTCACAGATAGTTGACGCCCTGATCTGTGGATAATTGCAGCAACGATGCCTGGCCATATCGAGGACTTGTTCGATTTGCTCAATGAGGGCAAGAGCTTCAGCGACATGCTGAGAACCTCGAAGCTGGATGACGCTTACTGGCTAGGCAGGTTTTTGCGCGAACGGATTGAGAAGGAAAGGGAGACTCTGGTGGATGATATTGAACGTGATCTGAAGGTATTCTCTTTTTCTCTCCCATTTACTTGTCGTCTCTAAAGCTGACCACGCCATTGTGAACAGGACATATGTCCGCCTCGCGACGTGCGCAGTTTCCGTGTTTTGTTTATGAAAGACGCGTGCACGTCACGGAAGCCCGCCAACCTAATCGTGGAGATCACTGTCTGGGATGTACTAAACTTGCAGTTTGACGAGGGGAAGAAGCCAGGGCACTTCAAAGAGGGCGAACGATTCCTTGTATGTCTACCACATGCAGTCTAAAGAACGCCCACATCTAACATACACGAACTGGGAACAGATTACGAATCTATTGCCCTTGCAACAGAGCGCATGGATGCACAGAGCTCAGGTAGATGGACACATCTACTTGGCTACCCGGCGGGATTCTAGATGGACAAAGAAAGGCTAAGTTATATGTAAGGACACTCCTGGCTTCCCTGTTGTAATCGCCGATGTGTATGCTGTGAGATGTGTTATAAGAGGCCAGATTACATTCTGGAGCGACACCGCCTTGGTGAAGAGTGGGATTAATGAACGAGGATAAGATATAGATATGTGCACCGGAGAGTCTAAACAGATCCAACATCATAGGTCTTGAAGACCCTTCCCGGATCCTTGACATCCTCATGACCCATAGTCACAACAGTAGGCTTGTTCCCAAATTCCGGACTGAATATGCGATTGGCCACCTTTTGAAGTGACTCGGTAGTGACCTCGTCTATTTTATCGCACATCTCGCTGACTGGGACCTTACGATTGTGCACGAGAAGCTAGTCAAAAAATCTCAGTGCCCATCCACGTACAGGCTACACGAGATGGCATACCTGACGCCCAAGATCTTCGACTTCGACTGCCCTGCTCTCAAGAGCCATGACCAAACTGGATTTCAACTGGTTCTTGGCTCTATTCAGCTCTGAAATTGACACTGGGCGATAGAGCAGCAGGCTCAGCTGATGAACCAGATGGGGCATTATCTGGGTAGGTGAGTTGCCTCGGCTGCCGGCTGGGGCAGGCACGAAGGACGCGAACAGTCCGAAGAGCGACGAGTCCGTGTAAATGTGATGGAATGAAGCGCAGTGATCGACTTGCGGGTGGTGATTGAGGATGTGCGTGTATAGTCGAGAATACATGCCCTTCCCGGGTCCGCCTACGGAGGCATTTAAGGGATTTAATCTACCTCGAGAGATGGAGACTCACCAGCCGAGAAACTCCCACCGCCCCCTAGTAGAATTTGCATAGTCGCCAAATCGTACACGTCTTCGTCGTGAATGCCCACACCTTCAAAGGCGATATAGATATGATTGAACTCCGCATTGGGGTCATGAATGAAGCGGTACCCCCCAGTATATGTTGAATTTGCGGAATTTAGTGATCCAGCTGAAGAGAGAGGTGGATAGAGGTATGACGACGCCGCGCGAGTTAGTGACTTCATCAAAGATGGTGAAGAGGAGCCGAGTAGATGTGTCGGCTGCTGAACAGCACCATTCATCCGAGGTCCTGAGGGCTGAGGTGTCCCTATGGGTGTATATTTTAACGAAGAGAAGTGTTTGTCGGCGAGTTCGACAAGCTCCTCATGTGAAACGCCAGCTCCTGCGATGACCATTCGTTCAGGCCTATACCAGTCCTCGATAAATTGTCGCATCAAAGGTTTGTCAATCAAGTCTATCCGCTCTGGTGGACATAGAAGTGGGTTGCCAAGCGTCTGACCACCATATGCAACCTCATGCAGAATCTCGGGAAGGATCATCTCCGGTTTGGCATTGATCTCTCGGATCTCGTATTCTGCAGCGTCTCGTTGCGCTGCCAACTCTTCAGGAAGGAAAGACGGATTCAAAACCGTGTCGGCAATGAGGGAAAGCGCAAGTGGTGTTGCCTGGGTGAAGTGAGATGACTGGTACATGATTGTCTCGCGTGAGGAAGAGCACATGATCTGACCGCCCAGAGCATTGATGGACATGGACATTTGCTCGTCCGACATGGACTTGGTAGACTGCCAAAGAATTAATGGCGATGTCCAACTGAGGAAACATGAGAGCTACAAACCTTAAATGCCATCCTATCCAAGAAATGGCTCACACCCGAGGTCGATGGGGTCTCATACCGGGAACCTGCGTCCACATAGAGTCCCACCGAGGCGAAATGGCCAGGTGTTGACTCTGTCGCGACACGGATACGATTGGGAAGAGTAGTTATTTGAGCGGGTGGGCTGAGGACGTCAGTCGAGATCTTGCGACGCTGACGCTGTTGGAGGCCTCGTCGGGCGATATTGTACGAAGCCCTACGCATGATGGTCGACAGAGACGGTGACAGTGGCTCCTCTGCAAGCGGCTTACGCGCACACAGCTCACGTGATGTAAATCCCGGACAAAGTTGTGAACCACATCCCGGGGCCGACTTCGGGGCGCCCAGGCAAGTACAGTCCTCTTGCCGCCATGGACACGTCCCCTTTGCAAGGTATATGGGGCCCTGTAACCTCGACCTTGGATTGGTGTGAGGTATGACTGGTTCTGCCGGCACATAGATCCTCGACGCTCATTTGTTCGCATCGATAGGCCAATTACCAGTTCTCGCCTTATGTCGCTGAAGTTGCGAACACGTTCTCCAACTTGTTCACAATTGGCATTGCCCTCTATGGCGCTCACCTCGTCTCCAAAGAATCGCTCCCTTCGCGTTACCTTGTTGGCTTTGCTGTCCGTCTCTCTTCTTACTTATTCCTTCTTGCAAACAACTGGTTTCCCATCGTTTGATAGGGTGTTGCTCTTGTTGGCATAGGCAGTTTCGCATTCCATGCGACTTTGCTGTATCAAGCGCAGCTTGCGGACGAGTTGCCAATGATCTATATCTCCAGCTATAACATTTTTATCCTGTTTGAAACCAAACGGGGATTTACCCTCCAGTCAACCTCCAGTCAAATCGCTTTGCTGGCAGCACTTCTCTTCGACATTGCATTTACACTGAGCTAGTATGTCCTCTAGTACCAATTCTCCTCGAGGTCTTATGACTGAGCCTCTTCAAGCTTTGCCTATAGAAACCCAGTTTATCACCAAATAGTGTTTGCCTCCTTACTATTTATCGCGACTTATAGGACGACATACCTCCTTAGATGGTCCGAGACTTCCAAAACAATACCGAACAAGAAAAAAACCATGTGCAAGCAACTTTATTACACTGGAGCTGCCCTCTTTGCTTTCGGCTTTCTCATCTGGAATGTTGACAACATCTTCTGCGACGCTCTTACACACTGGAAGAAATCCCTTGGCTGGCCGGTCGCGTTCTTACTTGAAGGTATGTTGTGTCTTCATCACGTTTGCGTTTTGGAAGCTCATCGATCGTGCATAGGTCATTCATGGTGGCATGCTTACACAGTGAGACTCCATCACTGTAGTCTTCCATTCCACTAAGTCAGGTTCTGTAGGCAGCTGGGGCTTACTTCATGCACACTGGAACAATATGTACGTGATCAAGCGCGATGTACTCGCTTTACGTTCCACTGATCGTCCCGCGTAGATATGTAAGCCATCAAGATGACATCCGAGTATGCCCCTGAAACTGCTTCCAGGACTCTTTGTATCAAGGACGACCATCACAAATACAGAGTCAAATATCAACTTGGCTTACCGCATGTCCAACGCGTGCATAAGACAAAACTGAACTAAATCTATCTCGTGACCCTGGCAGGTTTGTAGCCGTCTATCTACGCGCTTCTCTACGTACTAATCGAGAGACTGTTGGCAAGGACGTACACTGTTGTTCCGCTGCTATTTGACTCTGACTGTTCCGCAAGACTCGACCTATACCTCGAAGTCCTACTCTAGGCGGCCGATTCGAGATACGATGTACATCTAGACGGGGCGTGGAATGGAATAAACTCACTATGACCTTTACCTTCGGTGACAGACACTACCCTTGTGCTTCAAATCCAGCGTTTTTACTCGTTATCATGATGAGGCCGCAACAAGTTTGCGAATATTTAAGCTATTCCCTGACAATTCTGCGGGGGCGTTGTGACAAGCCTCTCATTACGAGAGTAGGGCGACGACTTGACAGACCTCATGCCGAGACAACGCAATGGTTAGGACAGCCTAGACTCCATGTCGCGGTCTAATGTAATGCAAGAGTGGGGGTAATATCATGATGAGATGTAGAAATACTGTGAACGAGGTAAGCCTAGACGTCTTCATTATTCATGGCAATGCCTCACGTATAACCTACGAACTCTCCCCAACAGTCCACTTGGCGATTTCGAGGACCTCTAAGCCGCCATCCTCCTCTCCCTCCACAACCAACTGTCTCTCGCGCGCCCATCGTTCCAATACAGTTTTGACAGTGTCCTCCGCTGAACCCCCTGCCAGCATCATGAACGGTTGATCATATAAAGCCGTCTCGTTCTTTGTCCCAGTTGGCGAACGAATGGAGAGAGTTGGGAACCCAACGATTTGCCGTGCTAATGAGCGCTCGAGCCTGTCTAAATCATCTTGGAATGCGCTGGTGGTCAGAAGGGTAAGAAGACGCGGAGATCGGAGAGCCAGTAGTGCCAAGGAGCCTATTCGACCTTGTGAAGGAAGGTTGACGCCTCCATGTGTGTATGAAGCGAGACGAAGTGCAAGGGATTGCTGAGTACGGGGCAGCGGATTATGCGTGACGGCAATCGCCCTTTTCAGTAAGATTTTTTCTCCCAGTTTCGCAATGGTATCGCGAATGGCTGTCGCCACTGTCGCCTGCGACGGCGAACCTCCGGGGTTTTGTGAAATCAACGGCGCGTCGTTCAACAAGTCCAACGAACACGGCCTGAGCAATGAGGGGGACCGTTCGTCTGGCTCGGAGATGAACGCAGCAGTATGCGCAATATCTGCTACAAGCCGTCCGAACAGCTCATTTCTCGCCACGAAGTCTGTTTCGCAGTTGAGCTCGATCATGGCAGCCCGCACGCTCCCGCTGGCAGAGTTCTGAGCACTCGTCCCACCCGACAGCACCGAGATGCCAACCAGACCTTCCCCAGTAGCCCGCCCCTCAACCTTAGCTGCCTTCTTCGCGCCAGAGACCGCAAGGTCCTTTTGCAACCACTCTAAAGCGGCATTGATGTCGTTGTTCGTCGCACTGAGTGCTTCGCGTGCTTTAGTAATGGAAACCTCTGTGCGCTTGCGGAGCTCAGCGACGAGTTTTAGTGAGGGTTTCTCTTGCACGGAAGAATAAGAGCGGAGGGCGGTCAGGGGACGGAAAGCGGCTCGGGAGGTTCTGAAGCTCATTGTCGTGGTCGGGAGCGGGAGACGCGTGACTTGGAAAAGGAGGCGTTCCGCTGAATTTCTCTGGATTTGGAATTTGCTTCCTTTCACTCCTGCTCTCTATGGCAGACTCATCCTTCAAGGTCCCCTCTCTGCTTCCCCAAGACCTTCTTATCATTCAAGACCTTGTAGGCCATGTTCCGGAACCCCCAGTTGAGGCACAGCTCAAATCTCCCGATAACGATCACTCCATCGCAAGTTCCGGTGAGGAAACGAATAGTGAGGATGAGGTAGAGGCAGATATATTGTTAGATGACGAAGACATCTCGTGAGTCTCCTGAGTGACTGATAATGGTGCTCATATTGATACTCTGTTCAGCCCATTGCCCACAGACTCTGCTTCAGAATCTTCAGACTCGGACTCCTCTTCTGAAGGTGGGGCGGATGCGCCTCGTCCTCCAGACAAGGTTAAGAACATAGAAGACGACGAAGACGACGAGGAGAGCGGGCCTGCTGTTATTGCTCTCCCTCGGACAAAAAATGAAGTGGCCGAGGAGGATATCGTCATCCCAAAAATTACCGAAGTCGGGCCTGACGAACACCTCGAAAAGGTTGGCGAGGTCATGAGTATCCTTGACAGAATGGCTATCGTCAAAGGTGTTGCATCAGAAACTCCTGGACGAGGGTCCGAAAGGGCACTAGATTCCGAGACCTTACTCGTTTTCGAAAATAGGCAGGTTATGGGATACGTGAGTTGACCTTTTCACTTTTCTCAAAAAAAATTCTCTCACCTCATAGCAGATCTCTGAGACGTTCGGGCCGACTTACCAACCCATGTATCAAGTGAAATTCAACGACAAATTTCCTCTTGATGCCGAAAAAGTGAAGATCTCGCGCGAGGTCTTCCACGTCCCTCAACGAAGTAATTTCGTCTTCGTCAACGAACTCAAGCATTGGCGAGGAAGTGACGCTAGCAATCTCCACGACGAGGAGCCTGCGGAATTCGAATTGGAGTTTTCTGACGACGAGCAAGAAGCCGCACACAAGGCAAGACTCAAGCAACGGTGAGCACTTTTCAAAGTGGTGTTACGTTGTCCCTTTCTCTGAAAACATATGCAGGCGGTTTGGCTCACGAGAGCCCTCCACCATGTCTTCGAGACACTCAACACCGACACCATCGCAATCCCGGGACACAGCTGCAGATACGCTCTATGGCCTTAATCCCTACGACGCATACGGAGCATATGACATGGACTATGCTGCCGGACCATCACGTCCTCCGCCTATTCCTTACGATGACGACCCATACTCGGATCCGTACACCATGGACACTCCAAACGAACGACCCAGCTCTTCTGATCATCTTATAGCAGACGGCGGACCAGGCTCCTCAGACCTTTCTGGAAGAGCTCCGCAGTTCAATGAACGGGGACGAGGTAGAGGGCGTGGCAGTAAAAGGCTAGATCAGGGTGGTCTGCACTCTAGCCGCAACCTTGACAATCGTAGTCGCCGACGTGACCGCGGACGAGGTCGAGGGCACGGTGAAGACAATGGCAGACGATGGGGAGGACGGAATGGTCGTCAACAGGCGCCTTCCGAGATGGAGGCGCAAATTCCTCTCGCTCCTCAATCGTTTCTGCCGACTCCTGGGACTGTTCCTCCTGCGACAGGTCAATTCACCAACGGCATTGGCACGTCTGTTCCTGGTGACTTCTCAGCACCACCAGTTGGCACGGGCAACCCATGGTCCTACGACCCTCAGTTCAATCAATTCAACAGCTATGGGTATGCACAGCATCAGTTTGTGCAGCCACACATCAATCCTAGGTTTGCGTCATCGTTTGGCTTGAACGTTCCTTTCATACAGCAACAGTATAGTCAGTATGCACAATATGGTGCCGGCGGGGACGGCAGCTACGATTATGGCGAAGGTGCCAGCGATGGCAATTGGTCTGGAAATTGGAACCCCCAAACTGGATCGGACAGCCAGGGCCCATATGGGCATGATCAGAAAGAGGTGTAGCTGTATGATCGCTGAGCGCTGAGGTCTCTATCCTTATTCATCATTGGAATTTTTGTTCTTCTTTGAAACAAACCACTGTGTTGTTCAGTTGGGTTTTGAAGTAAAATTTATGCATCGGTGGTCTTTAAGTATAGGTCTATAATTATCAATTATTGTGCTGTCTTGTTCTAATAGCATTTGCTACGAGAGTAAGCCTTTTGACTCCCACTCCATGTTCTCTTGAACTAGCACTGGTACTGAGGCTTAAGGACCTCGACATTTGTTTCAACTGCACTATACGGTGGCTGTGGCACGAACGTTGAATTGTTGAGAGTTGAGAGTCATTACCGCGCCGCTATCGACACCTCCAGAAAAGGCAGTCTCGACGTTCGTCCAAAGCCAACGCCCACATATTCTAGTTGACTATTGAAGCTGAACTTTTTCTGTGTTTTTCCTCAGTGTCATGGCTGTCTCAACTCGTGCAGAGACCATCACAACCGACAAGTTCACCCAATTCACCAATTCGACGAACAACGACTCGGAACCGGTCGCAGGTCCATCGAGCGTTTCTCAGGCGCCAGCATCTTCTGGGATACAGACACGACAGAAGCGCATATTACCTTCGCGGTCAAGAAGGGGTGGGCCAGGTGTCGGATCCTGCGACGCTGACCTGATGATTCTGGACACGCTGAAGCGCAAACGTAAGTCGTACATTCGGTTCATATCCCTGCTTCCACTTATTGACTGGTTCATTGGGCGTTGTGCAGAGGAGAATGAGCCATTGGTTCCGGCAGAGACAAGGCTGTTGCTTACGACCAACTCAGCCTTGATTCCCTCGGACTCCTCGAATGATTTATTTCAGCTGCAATTGAACACCTCCGCCTACCAGCGATACTTTGATAAACCCGAGGTCATAAAGGCGTACAGGGATCAACAAAAGATTGAAACGCCCGAATTTTCGATGCTAGCAGAGCATGCTACTGTGGGTGGTCGATTTAGGCCGAGGAGCTCAGAAGACGTTCGTTTATATTCATTCTTCTTGTAAGACACCGCACTCATATGTCTCCTCTTGTGTCTCGCACTTCCTATTTCTTATTATGTGTACCATATCTTAGGAGGACGCGGATACATCGGACGTAGCGTATGAGAAGCGACATCGCAAGTACGAAACGTTTGAAAAGCGACAGCGACTACGCGAGAAGGAGAAGCTGCAGCATGAGCACTACAAACTCAAGGAGCGAATAGATCAGTTGCGCTCAATGGACATCCATGCCTTTCTTGGCCTGCCTGCATCCTCCTTCTCTAGAGGGTTCGCGTCGAATGGCCCTCCTCAGGACGAACCTGTCCCGTTCGACCCAACAGGGGCACATGCGCACAACCTTGCCACATTGCACGAAGGAGAACAGAGGAAGGTGGCGATGCTGGATGCAGCTGCATCGTTAGAAGAACGATACCGGACGCTCCTCAATCTCGGCACTGACCGACGAAAGACCGAGTCACGGGCTCCAAGCATCAATACTTCTATGGATCCCGACGTTCATTCCGTTGTTGAGGAGAGTGTTATCTTAGCAAGCAACGGTGGGGTCGAAGAATATGGCGCCGTGCCGCCAGTCAAGACGGAGAAGATAAAATTAAAGATCAAATGGCCATTGCGGAGACCTGCCGTCACATCTGCTTCTTCCAAACCATCAACTCCGTCTAAGAGGGCAGCTGTGCCCTCCATTGCTATTACGAGCGCACCACCTTCCCAACCACTGAAGCAATCAGAGTCTACTCCACTTGCATTGGACCCATCGACCCCTGTCTACGCCGCTTACTCTCCCTCGCCTTCTCATGGTCTTAGCATTGATGCCTCGTCTCAATCCCCTTTCGTCAATGCATCCACCAGTTCTGGCGCTTACCTTGCTCGCAGACAGCCACGCAAACGTGCGCCAGATGGAACATTTCTTAAGAAAGATGCTGACCTTACCTCCTGGTCGAAAGAACAGTCCGTGCGCCCACGGAAGCGCTTTCGGATCTCCTTCAACACGGATGATTCACCAGTTGATGCTGACGACTCTTTTAATGCCGTTGAATCGCCGTCGTCTCCTACAACTCACCGAAGACGAGAACAGTCCGCCCTCATCCTGTCGGCAATGCGCACTGCGAGTGCTCCCAATGCGCGGCATACTCAGCGCCATGTCACAGCGTTCGGAGTGAAACTCCCACCCAACCTTGAAACCGTTCGAGAATTCAAGATTCCTGATTGGGCGCTGCCAGAGTCCATGAGGTCATTTTCGGACGAGGGACAAGATGAGGAGTCGACAACATACTCGCGGTCGGATATTGCAGTGGAAGACATTCTGTCAATCGCGGAAGCTGAAGCTGAAGTGTCGTAGCTCATTTCTTTCAACTCTTTCATACACTACATCGCCTTTGACTGCGCATATATTTCGCTCCTCTACCGTAGTTGCCTGCGTATTCAATATCTTTTCTCTTCTCTAACTCGCTCTACAGTTGTTTTTTATTATATTTTATGAATATTTGTGAGCAAAAGGAGGATTTTGGGGATTTGTATGAGTCCGTGGTCTGACTAGCACTATTAGGGACAGTGTCTTCCCTCTAGGGAACCACGCTTTCAATGACCTTCACCGCTTTCACCCTTTGCTTCAAGCTCAAGTGCCTGCTGAAACCCAACACATGTCGGGCATAACGAACGGGTTCGAGCGCCTTGCGAGCTGTCTTCCGGATGACTTGTCCAGACGCGAACCGCGTATAGTCGCCTGACCTGCGCTCGTATACGTCGCGCAATTGAAGGCCTTTAAGACTTGGCGCTAAAGTTTGGACCTTGGGGACAGGCGTAGCGAAAAGAGACGTCAAGTTTGTGGACGCGAGATCGACCATCTGGACTGGATGCTCCGCTTTGTTGGACTGTGAAGGCTTCGTATTGAGCGCTTCAGAGGTCACACTCCTGCTTGCAGAAGCCTTCGATTTGGGTACCACCACCGTCTCACTCGTCTGCTTACTCTGTACCGCTTCTACTTCGTTGGGTGTGCGTACCATCTTGGCTTTCCGGGGCGTGTCTCGGGTGGATGGCGAAAATGGCGACTGCTTGGGAGTGGTAGGAAGTCCGGAGGTGGTCGAACGGGAGTTAGAGGTAGAGGCGTTAGCAGCCGGTTCATCAATTTGCTGACGACTCCACAAGCGCGAGGCGAGACTCTGTTCGGAGACGAGGTCATCTCCCCAGCCGAGTTGTGCGGGCGCGCGACGTCTAGGGCGGTTGTTGTTGTCTCCGGTACGAGGGCTGCGTTGTGCCGAACGCACGTCCGAGTTGGAGTTCCTTTCTGCCCCTTGTCGTGCGTTGTTGAACGGACGCCTGTTTTGAGGAGCTGTATGAAGGCAGTATAAGCAATGATGATGAAAACACAAGAGCCTCGGTCTCACAGAATTGGGGACGATTTCGATTGGCTTGTACAGCAGGTTGTACGGCGATATTTCCTTTAAAGCAGTCAGGTTATAGCTTGACGAGAGATGACCAGGAGATACATACGGATAGAGATTCCTCCAAAATCATCTGTTCTAGGTCTGCGCGTTGGTGATGTGACCCGTGCAGCTATTTTGGTAGCCGCTGGATCTAGGGCTGCTCCGTTGTCCCGACACGGGGCAGAGCTGGACAGATGACGGATGTTGGCGCAGCGGCGAATGACCTGCCGTTGCGAATTGCGAAGCATGCTGCAGGCGTTTGTGGGATACGGAGCGTCAAGACGGTGAGTGTCTCGCTGGAAGAGAATTGGATTTGGGACATGTTGCTGCGGATTATTCCGCGCTGCCGCCGGCACCTCAGACGCTTGGCTGGTCTCTACAACACTGCTCTCATATCCCTCCCTCCCAACTTCTGGAACCTCGTATGGGTCGGCTCCTAGGTCGCATTGTTGTCGGAGCAACTCTTTCTTTAATCTCATTCATCGCCTATTCATCTCAGATATTCATCATCTGGCCATGGTACGGACGCGAGCTTTCTGTGGACCTAATCACATTGCTTGGGCCCTTCAAGTACGTGCTATTCAACATCTTACCTACCCTTGATTAATTACACTCTATGCACAGTGCTTTTATTGGTCTGCTCCTTTGGAACTATTGGAAGTGCGTCGTCTCAGATCCAGGAAGTGTTCCTGATCGCTGGGTACGTGTCGGCCACTTCCTCCAGAACGGGTTTCGTTATATGACTATGGTCACAGCAACCGGATACGGCTTCACTTGAAGGCTACGAAGTCAAAAAGCTCACAGGTGGTCCAAGATTTTGTCGGGCATGCAACAAATACAAACCACCGAGAGCCCATCACTGTAAAACCTGCAAACGGTATGCCGTCTCCCTTGCGCACATTTGATTACCTCTTACTGGATTTGGTTTATTAGATGTGTCCTTAGAATGGGTGAGATTTCTTAGTGATCTGTCATACTTCTGATTGACATAGCGCTCCCAGACCACCATTGTCCGTGGGTAAACAATTGCGTCGGGTACTTCAACTACGGACACTTCATTCGTTTCCTCTTTTTTGTCGACCTCTCATGCATATATCATGCAACAATGGTTACCTGGCGTGTCCTTGATACCTCGGGCGAAAGATTCTACGTATGTCATCAAGCACGACTCTCACTTACCCGTGTAACATTATCATATAAACTCGTAAGACTCCCCCAGGTGGCATTGAACTGGTCTTCATCATCTTGAACTATGCTACCTGCGTACCGGTCCTAATAATGGTCGGTGCTTTCAGGTACATATCTTGTCTTCCTTCGGCTTGCCGTTCATGTCGTTCAACGGCCTGTTAGTCTGTACCATTTCTATTGCCTACTTGGTAATACCACTACCATCGAGGGATGGGAAAAGGATAAAGTCGCTACTCTAGTCCGAAGAGGAAAAATTCGCGAGGTGCGTCCTGACTCTACGTTGTTTGAATCTCACGTTGATTCACGGTTCTTTTCAGATCAAATTCCCTTATGTGTGTTGTCTAGCTGCCACTTTTGACCCCCCGTGACTGACCCAAGACGACTTCTAGAATCTCGGTGCAAGGCGCAACATTGAATCTATGCTGGGCAAAAATCCTTTGATGTGGTGTTGCCCTACTATACCCCCTGGTACAGGCCTGAAATACCAACTGGCGGAAGGGGACGGTAAGTGGGTCGAACTTTCGAGGCGAGAAGATATAGAGACGTACTATAACGGAACGTTCATCGAACCCTGAAATTGAGTTTCAATAAGAAGTTCAGCCTCTGATTGCAGGTGGGCGAACATCCACTATTTTCATCAAAATGTAAGCACTCATCCGAGCTCCCTCCTTCAGTTCTCATCCTTCGTTTCTATATATTCTGAAGGCCTCTAGACTCACTTATCGTCGTTTATCTCAACAGGATATGCGCTGCAAGAACCTTGGCCACCACGCGATCCGTCAGATACGAGACACAATTTGACACTCCCAGACACTCCATGGACATATGAGAATGGGAGCTTGAATCCTGACCTTGAGCCGTCAAATGCCCGCATCCGCACGGCCTCGCGGCGACGCAGAAATGCCCCAGATGCATCGTCTGTACCACCATGGCACCCAGAGTACCAGGAAACCAAATCAGATCACGATTCGCTTGTATCGTCGGACGGTGAAGCGGAGTATAGCTATGAGGGGCGATTAGGTGGTATGGTTCGTCGTGGGTCCGAAGGATACGAGGTTCTACCGGCGGATAGAGAGGAAATTCTAAGAAGATATATTGAGAGTCGTGGTGAGGAAGATGGACGGTATAGAAGATATGTTCCCGAGCCCCCGAGCGAGAGCGAGAGTGAGGACGAGCCGTTGTCTGAAAGAGTGGAAAGGTGGAAAGCAAAGATATAGTTAATCAATGCTCTTTATTGCTTTTTGTCTGGTTATACGTAGCGATTCACTTGGCATGGACTAGAAACTGATTATAATTGGCTATACATATAAAATAGTGAGAAGTGCATCAGCAAGCCCAAGAAAAGAAGCCGACAAAGATCATAAGTCAACCTGCCATTCGCTCGATATGCACCTTCCACACCGCCCCACCCTTCTCGCCCATTTCCAACAGATGGGAACCCACACCAAGCTCGACATCCCACTCGTCCTCGTTGGTCTCAGTCGCCCTGATGACTGAAGCATCCAGTTTGACTTGCAGTTGGGGCGGCACGCGTTTCGGGGGAAGTTTGACGCCGTCTTTGATCCGTACAGCGCCCACTTGTCGTACGCGACCCTGCTTGACTTTGCCCTTGCCCTTGCCCTTGCCCGCTATTCCACTCTGACTGCCATCGATTTCTTCCTCCTCTTCCTGTTCGTCACTGCTGCTCTCCTCTTCTTCGTCCCCAAGGTAGCTGGCGTCCGTAATCTTCACTCCCATTTCACCTGGGACTAGACGCAAAGCCCAGCTCTTCACCCCATCACGACAATCCAACTCCAAGCGTCTGCCTACGGGCTTGATGGTCAGTAGGACTGACTTCAGGGGATGTATAGGTCCAGGAGGGGCAGGAGAATTCGACATGGAATGTGGGGTGATTGAGGAGTGGGGTACTACCGAAGGTGTAGGGGCAGAGGGGACAGAAGGGGCTTGGAATGCCATCTGTGGATAGTGTGTGTAGTTAGACAACGCACTGGCCTGTGTTTGAACAGGAAACTGAGATTGAGGCAAGGGTAGCGTAGATTGGCCAGCGGTTGTTACTGGTGGAGGGACAGGAGAAGGCGCTGAGGGCGCGGGTGCATAGGGACTCGACTGGGCAGTGACAGAAGGAGTAACACTGGCCGGAGTGGGCATGGCTGTTGATGCATGCGCTGCATTTCCGAGCGGGACCTTCAGAACTAGAGGACTAGATGAACCAGCCGCGGGAGAAGGGGCAACACTTGGTTTGGGGGCCTCACTTGGCTTGGGGGCCTGGGGTGCTATTGACGTTGACGCATGGTTTACTGGCGGTACCTTGAGCTTGATCTTATTTGATGGGCCAGTAGACTCTTTTGTAGCGGTGTACTGAGACAAAGAGAAAGGCGCGGGAAGATCAGACATCAGTTTGTGAAAGTGTTTCTGAGTTGCGACGTGGGGTCAGTCCCAATGAAAGAGCACGTTATCATCAGACGTACTCGGAGCGCCTGCGCAGCCTCCCATACAGGTGTGTGATCCTCATTGAACTGGAGTGCGTTAGAGAAGACAAGCTCAACATCTGCAGCGAATTCGGCAGGTGTATGATACTCTTTTCTTTTGAGGTGTTTCTGCTTGATCGTGAGAACATATCTGTGCAAAGGCAGTGTGAAATGCTCATACAAATATCTTCTCGAAACTCATTGGTCGGGCAATCGTCTTGTAGTAAATCGGCCACAACTTCTTCTGGGGAAGTTCCATGAACTCAGAAGACAAGATATTTCCCCTAGTAGCAGAAGTCAGCACACCTTGAATAATATGATGATTGTACTACGTACGCTGCATCTGTTTTGGCAACCAACTTCTCGAGTCTGGTGGTGAGTAAGCGATTCATGTTGGGTGGTTTCTTCTTCTTATGACCGCCCTCATCGCCCGAACCTCCTTGCACAGCACCTTCCTCTACACCTTCATCGTCATGGTCATCCCCAATCTTCATGAGGTCGCCAGTCATATTGCCATATTCTTTGAGTGTCAATTTCTATGTGAAAGTGTCTCAGCACAACAGAAAAGATACAGCACACGATATCTGACACATTATCCAAGGGATAGATGACTCACATGTAATGCCTTCGCATCTTTCCAGATCTGACTCTCCTTCAAGTTATAACGTTTGGCGTTGCGAAAGCATTGCTCAAAATCAAGCCTAATACTAGCAAGCGACTTATACTGTCCAGATTTGATTTGCAGCCGGATCTGGTCCAGAGCAAGAGGCTTCTTGATAATACTGTAATAATCGGAATATAACCGTTTGGAAGGAAGGGAGAGGAAGTCGTTGGACAATGACCGTCCCCTGTGAGACGCATGATGAGCCAAGACAGGAGAAACAAACGCAAGTAACGGCGGTAATCGAACTGAGCTGTATCAAGCAAGTCAAGCAGGTCACGCACTCTTTGTCCGCTGCGTCCTTCAACACTTGCCAAAGCTGTAATCCTTGCTCTCTCACAGCATCTCTGTTCCCGGTATCTGCCTCTGGAGTCTCCTCATTTCCTTCTGCCTTCGCCGCTACAACGTCCGCCATTTGAACATCTCGCTTGCCTTCCCGACTGGTCGTGGCATCCTTGCGTCGTTTGGCTCGGGGAGCGTTGACGTCAACGCTTGAGGACAACATTTCGAGCTCTCTCTTAGACATGGTGGCTGCTATACTGAATGCACAGTTTGTAAAGCTGAGAGGGGGCCGACGAAGTACTCACTTTGGTCGGTCCCCGTCGATATGGTATGTGTAACTGGTCACATCACATGATGTTACTAGACTATGAAATGACATCGACTTCGAGTTCATTCAACGCGTTCCGATGCCTAGTCTACTTACCCCCACTTCGTAGTAAGCTTTGCCAACTTTGGATCTGGTAATGCAATCGATGCTCGCTTCAGAGTATTGTAGGATCAACAATGCCCCTTCAAATGAAGATGTGACCACTAGAAGTGTGGTCACACAGTAATTACAAGTTTACAATCATACATGTCGGAAGTTAGAGCACTAAATGACATCGCCGGGCAGCGTTGAAATTGGACGCTGGAAGGCTTCAATCAATTTGTACGCTATCCAAAGAGCACAGGTCTTGAGAAAGTCCATCATCTAACGCGTGCTAGTGCCACCTTGGCTACCCTCAACTGCATCATCCGTCGATGTGCTGCTCGCGAATGTCTGTTGAGACCCCCTTCAAATGCCCAAGTAGCGTCTCTGAATGCCTCGATTTTCGTGTCCGTTGCCAAGACAGAGTATTGTCGAAGAAGCAATGCACCTCCAGGCTTGAACAAAGTATGAGACTTTCGTTACGTGGCATTCAAATTCAACACGTACGTGTTCTTTCATGTAGTCAGTTGCATCTACAGCAAATCCATTCAAGAGGATGATGCAGGCAGTGGGCTTATTTTTGATGAACGCGCCCAGTCGGTCCGTATCCCATACCTCACCGTCCCATGATTGTTCTATGTAATAGTCATCATCTACATGAGCATGAGCTTTGTGCTCCATGTATTTTTCGGCATGCTTGATGTCATCTTCGTGCGCTCTGCGCAGGCCGGTGACGAGCCCCAGGCGATGCAAGATAAGTATAACCCACTTAGAGGGATCCCAATCGAAGAGTGCAGGACCCGATCGGAAGTCATGCGGGAATGCGTGCTATAAGACGTGAAACACGTCAGGGCAGGCAAACAACAGGAAGGATCTAATAGTTGGCCCATACGTGCTGACGAGACAGGTGAGTGCCAAGTCACGTACCAACACAAGGAAACCTACGAAATTATGATTACCCTCTCCCGCAGTAAGCAGTGCCAAAATCTATATTGATCAAGTTAAGCAATGAGATAACTTCAACATCTCCTCGGAAGACTGACCCAATTCGTGCGTGACGTGTTATCATCAGAATATGGTTGCAAGCCATCCCAATGAGCGAGCCTGCTCGTGAGATGAATTTGATTGACGGCATGGTGGTCATCAAGGCACTTACGAATTTACCAAGAAGGTGCAATGCCAAACTGCGCGTCGAATAAACATGAGTGTTCATAAACAACAAGTAGGGATACATTCACGAGTGCCAACTTACTGAGCAGTCGGGAAACAAGTCCTCCCCAAATATAACCGCCCCATGGGTCTCCCCAAAGGAGGCCAAGCACAGTGGGGAGGACGAAGCCGAAAGAAAGGGCCAGCGGAACTGATCAAAAAAAGGTTCGTGCCGTGAGTGCGTAATGAACCTGTAAGGGAAACAACGAAATCACCATAATATTTGTGTTGGAAGCACACGACTACGCCACAGTGATGAGTACGGGAAGATGTTCAGTGTCGCGCAGATTTACCTGGATCACGCTCGAGATCTTCTCTGTCAATCAGTTCCAGCCGCTCATACTTGGTCTTGTAGAATATCCAGCCAACGTGCGAGAATACAAGCCCGCGGGTCGCAGAATATCTGTATCCCACTTCTCAGATGATTTACACCAGCATCTCGGTGATCTCGACTTACGGGTCATGAACGTCGTCGTCCGTGAACCGCTGGACGTTCAGAACATAGTAAGGACCAATATTAGATGACAGTTCAAAGTCGTCGTACATGGTGTAAACGATGTCTCAGACACCTGTTATAAATTTCCATTAGATTGTTCCTAGGAGAGCAGAGCGTACGTACCACCACTGTATTCGTGAACCCCATTGAGCATGATGAACTTAGTAGAACAAAAAAGAGCAGACCTTGATGGACCCTTGCATAGCACTAGTTCCAAGTATAGCTAAAGCCAGCCGCACACCGAAGGTCGCTCTAAAAGCACGATGGGAGTAAAGGCGGTGGTAGCCAACTGTTACACTAGGGTCGTGCATCAGCGCATGGGCACTCTGCTCTCGATCGCAAGTAGACCTGTGATCCTGCAACTTACCCAAAGGAGGCCAGCTGCCATAACACCACAGTCATGGCCAGTATCTGCCAGGAAATGAATTGAGGAGGTCGAACATAAACGCCGTAAGCTGCCGCAAGATGGACGCCGACAAAGAAGAAGGCATTGCTCCACCAAATGGACGAGTCTTTAGCAGGGGTCGTAGTAGACATGGACAGATGAGAGCACCCGTTGACGAAAGTTGCAGGCGAGATGGTGTGAGTGAAAACAACAGTTGACGGCAGGCTGATATTCATCTCAGATCTCGTAACACCTTCGGCGTCATACTCGGTTTGATCGGTTACCCGCCACTCGGCTCCCGAGGCCCCCGACTTGTAAACATTTCTTGAACATCAAGGTCGAGTTGAGTGCTGCGAATTGCACCGGACAATGAAGAAAATACTCGCATTCACCGCATTCAGACATTCAGCATCGGCCTAAAATATCATCCACACACTCTCTGACTTCTCTGACGGCTCTTTCATCCGTCCGCCAAATGTCCCACTCACCTCGTCCACTTCCCATGCCGAGCCCAGCCGGCTTATGTGCCATTCCTCCTTCAATCCACTCCCCTCCGCTCATATGCATCTCTGAAAGATTGTGTGGAAGCAGCACGTCTAGGACTCCACGCACCGTTCTGGGGTTGATACCTGATCCAGGAAGGATTTCGGGAGTAGGCGAGTCAGCGTGCTTCGATCGCGCCTTGAGGAGAGGAATAATGAGCTCGGGAGCTGTCGAAACACTCGGTGCGTGGCCGCTGGATACGGTGCGAGTTATTCAAGGATAGAACTCGATGATGGCGAGGGCCGACCTTGTGAGGATGCGGGTAATGCCTCGAATTCCGGATAGATCACGATATGCTAGTGCCGCCGACAGCTCTACGACTTTGTTCACAGCCTTTCTTCTATGAATCGGACCCACCTTCAGATGCATCTCGTGTCATGTCGAACGCTCTATGGAAGCAGACTGTCGCCTCGTTAAGATTATCCCGCGCCCTGATCAGAATGAGGGCGTACCTTGCAAGGGTATCGCTGCCTCCACAAGTCTCCGTGATCATCACATGGAAATCATTTAAACATACACAGATACCCATGCGAGCTGCTTAGAAGGCTCACCTCATGGTCCGAGCCACGTCTACAGTTCCATCGCTCTTCAACAGACCCATCACGACTCCTTGTGCGCCCGCCTTTTTGAACAGCCTGATGTCTTCAAGCATGACATCGGTCTCTGCATCCGTGTAAAGGAAGTTGCCCGTTCGTGGTCGAACCATTACCTGGTCCGTTGGAGATCAGAGATTGCCTCGGTCACGGAGAAAGAAGTGCTAACCATGATCGGTATGAATCTTTGAATTGATTTGCGCACTGCATTGAAAAGGCCCATCGAAGGCGTCGTCCCGCCCCCAATCGCTAAGTTTCCGCAGAGCTCGAGCCGATCAGCTCCACCGTGCACAGCACTGCGAATTCAAATGTCAAAAAATCAGCAGGATGAGCAGCAACAGCGTGGCGACTTACTTGATTGCAGACTCTACCGAATCAACACATACTTCTACCAAGATCTTTGATGAATTGTGGTCAAGCGACATACATTCACCTACTAAAGCTAGGAGGACCTAAGTTTGGCTACAAAAACATACGAAAAGGCATTGATTTGCGCAAAACTAAGGGAGGACTCGTTAATATATCCAAATTTGGTAAGTCCAGAACTAGAATAACTTGCCATGGCGCTTCGGTGGTTGACCTCCATCAGTCCTCCATCTTCCATGAGTGCATGAGGATCGAGACACGTGCAACGTCCCTTCAAGCCCTTCTTACTGAGGGGTGCTCGACGTCGGTTATCCAGCTCGTAAGTGAGATCTCTTTTATCGACATACATACTCGAATTCTGCAGGTGAATCTCACTCCCTGAGATTGGTAGCGTAATAAGCATCCCTTCTTCACATAGATCAGCCTTGTACAAGCATCAGTACGCAATTCTGAGGGCCAGTCACCTCGTTGGGTTTCATCTGACGTTAGCTTTGCTTAATTGTCTCGACATCACAGCTCTCTTCATAACACGCAAGGCTTATCTTGCCAAAATAGCTGGAATCCGGCACGCAATCCGCCCAACCCATCAATCCTACACCTCGTTTCTTTTAGAACCTACTCGACTCATCCTTTTTCGGTAAGAAGCTCTATGTTGTGGAGCATTTCTGTCGTCCCGGACTTCGTCGCATTTCGCTTGGGAATACTTGTATCACCGAAATGCTTAGCTGCTCTGCAGCTTCCATAGGTTTTCCGGTCTATGGGCGAGCCTATTAAATACCGCTTGACCGCATCGCAATAACGAGATCGTTTTCTAGATGTGGCCTTGACGACATCTTGCAGGAAGCTTGCAACAGACAGAGCGAGGCTCTAGCTGGCTCTGGAGACATATACACTTCATCGGTTTAAAATTTAAGTCGCACTCCAGCATGATACCTTCCATACGAGGTAAGTAGGCAAAACAACATGCCCACGGACAGATACGGACACCGTTTCAGTCCAAATGGATTTGTCTCCCGCTCGCGAATGCGGTCGTCAAGCCCACGCTCCACGGGACTAACTTCTTTGTGGGGCTCGCGACTCGCCTGACGCTGGAGAAAGCCTACGGAAGTCGCTAAGCAGCTTCCCCATCTATCCGCTGAACCCCTTTTGCCTTTGGCGCATGGGATTTCTGAGCCCACTTTTTGGAGATGTATGAACGAAGATTCATATAAAGCGGAAAGCGATAATACAGGAATGTATCAAGTCCTGCCTTCTCTCTCCACCTATCTCCTCGATCCGGCATCGCCCTCTGCCTCTCTTTACATTCTGACTGTCCAAACGCACTCCTTTCCGTCCACCGACATAGCCATTCTCATCAAAAATGATCTTCTCCCGCACGTTCACCGCTCTCGTTCTTGTCGCGCTCTCTGTGCACGTTTCAGCTTTGCCAATGCCCGCTAACTTGGTGAGTATCTATGTCGCCCATCGCTTACTCTTGACAGGCCTGACCGGGTGACGATATACAGGGCATCGTCGCAAAGAAGGTTGGGTCTATCGTAAGTTATCTCTGACCGCCGCCTTGGGAAGGTATATTGATTAGGATGCATTATAGTCCACAAGGGATAGCACTACGTCTGTGATCACAGACCCTATCTCTGGCGTGGTCAAAACGGTTGAGGGCATTGCCGCTCCTGTTGTCTCTACTGTCGAGGGCGCTGTGGCTCCTGTGGGTGTATCCCTCAATTCTACATCAATGACATACATGTCCATGTCGCCTTCTATCAGATTGTAGATGCCCTCCTTCGCCGTCAACTTGATGGTGTCACCAACACACTTGGCAATGTCGTGAAGACCGTTGAGGGTGTTGCACAACCCGTGAGTATCAAAACCTTGAAGCGGGCTGGCTAGCTGACCTCGACGGCATTGAACTTTCGTAGATTGTGAGCACTGTGGAGGGTGTCGTAGGTGGCGTTGTTGGTGGCGTTTTGCGCCGTGACGGCCCACTTCCCACCGTCGTTGGTGGTGCCGTGAACACTGTCGAACAACTGGCTGGTCCCGTTGTGAGCACCGTCGAGGGCGCTGTCGCACCCGTATGTTCTTTCCTACACCGGTGGTATATTGATCGCACTGACGCAACATATACCTAAAAGGTCGTCGGTGGGCTCCGCCGTGATGCGGTCACTGACACTATTGGTGGTGTTGTCAGCACTGTCGATGGAATTGCGACACCGGTTGTATCGACCGTTGAAAGTGTGGTCGGGGGTATCCTCCGCCGCGACGTAGTCACTGACATTGTCGGTGATGTCGTTAGCACTGCCGATGGCATTACTTCGCCAATCGTGAACCCCGTCGTATCGACCGTTGATGGCGTTGCAGATGGTCTCCTTTCTCGCGATGCCATCACCGATACCATTGGCGGCGTTGTTTCGACTGTTGAGGGTATCGCTACACCTATTATTGAGCCCGTTGTCTCCACCGTTGAGGGTGTTGCCAGTGGTCTTCTGCGCCGTGGCGCTCTCACTGATACAGTCGGCGGGGTTGTCTCCACTGTCGAGGGCGTCGCAGCGCCTGTCGTTGCTCCGGTTGTTTCAACTGTCGAGGGCGTCGCTGGTGGACTCCTCTAGTCAAATGCTCTCCTGCACCGTGTTGTAACTCCTCCATATTGTATGATACCCTCCTACAGATACCACTCCTCTTCGCTTTCGCCTCGTCTCTCTGTCATCTGCTACTGGTTGCGCGCGCAATATCGACGTGTCCTTGCTCTTGTGTATGTACCCATCGGTGGATGCGTTTCGATTAATATCGAGAAAATCCAAATATTTGGTAAATTTCCAAGAGCGTTGCCGCAGAGACTAGTACGTCAATAATGTTGGAAATAAAATTTAACCCACTCCAACAAAGACTGCTCCAACAGCTTTTGTCTTGTGCTGCGCGTATCATGTTCTACAAATTGGTAATGACAAGAGTTCACCATACTGAATTTGATAATTTATGACATTGTGTATTGATTTGCGACGTTGTTGCCATCGCCAATGCGGTCAAGACAACACTAGAGATCATCTTGACTCTTGCTCCCATCATCCTTCTGATAACAAATATCAACTAGCATGGAGCGACGAAACGCTATGATCAGCAGCTACTCAGTCGATAGCGGATTGTTATATGGCATCGACATGACTCGACATGATGGCCAACGAGATGCTCCAAGGGAGTCTAAAGAGACCTGGAGGTGCTTTGCTGCTGCCCATAAGTCATTTTTGACACAATTAACTGACTATCTCCGAGACCGATGCGGTCACTCTCAACGGACTGATGGTGAGCTCTCCATGACATGATGCGAAATCATACGCCGTGAAACCAGCTGGGGTGGAGGCCTTGATCATGGTCGCATCACGAGCGGTTTCTCATCAAGTTGATTACAACGAGCCCTCTGGCGACAATATCATGATCGGGGCCTGTGATTGCCTGGCTGCACAGGATTGCGCTGTCTTATAAAGAGGTCAGTAGACAAGTTTTCAATTGTCTCATTCTTGTCCTCTTGATCACTCTCTATCTCTACACCATGTCGAATTACGCAGAGAAAAAGGATGGCTGGCCTTCCCAGTATGCCAGTCCCCCTCCCAACCCTGGATACGGTGGTTACCAGCAGCCTCAGCAGCAATACGGGCAATATCAGCCGAATGCACCCTCACAATACCCTCAAGGTGCCTCATACACGCAGAGCGCTCCATACTCGCAGGATGTCCCTTATCAACAACTTCCCCCAGGCTACCAGCAATCCCCTTATTCTCAGAATCAGTATGGCGCACCCCCTCAGGGCTATGGCGCACCCCCTCAAAGCTACGGCACGGCACTCTCTCCTCCTCAAGGCTATGGCTCAGCGCCCCCTCCCCAAGGCTACAGCACGGCACCCCTTCCCCAAGGCTACAATGCCGCACCCCCTCCCCAATCTTATAACAGCGCTCCTCTCCAGGCTCATTCTGCTCCTTCATCTCAGCAGCAACCCGCTTACCTACAGCAGCCTCAGTCCGAAAAGCGGCACTCGGTCGTGTTCAAGTTCTCCGGCACCAACGCGACCATTTTGAATTCTCAGGTTAACGACCCGTGGGGCAAGTCGCCATTCCATGTGAGCACGCCAAACAAGAAGGCCACCTCCTTCCGCGCGGCAGACGGTGCTGTCATTGCCCTTGTCGACTGGGACCACTCGAGTCCTGTGATGGAATTTCGGGGGAAGAAGATCAAGATCAAGGAGTGGCTACCTCTCAAGAAAGACGACAAGACGTCGTGCGTTGTTTTATCCTTGACTTATATGCTCCTTATTGGATAATAACACGGCTATCACAGACGGACGTTCGTCCACGAGGGCAAACATTACGATTGGATCACCCGCGAACAGACCGTCTATGTACGTTTGAAAGCATCAGCATCAGCATCTCGTGTATTGATTACTCTCGTGCTTCAGCTTGAGCCATCGGACAGACCCGGACACCACATCGCCATTTGGCGTGACCCAACTGGTGTAACCGAACTCGAGGTCTTCCAAGAGGCGCTCGTTACTGCTGGCATGCTCGAGGCCTGCTTGTTGGCCGTTGTGCTCATGCAGAGCGGGAATTCGCTTGGTGACGGATCATCGGGATCGTATTATCCATCTGTTGGCATTGCGATTGGCACCGTGATAGGCGGATTGCTGTCACACTAGAGTTTTGCATTGCCAGTGGTGATCTAATGCACAAGTATTCAACGTTTTAACAGCAACATTGTATGAATGCAAGAAAGAGCTTGAGCCGACTGCCATAAATGTATCGATAGCGAAGGAGCGTGAAGCCACCTAAAAGTCTGTAGTCGAGCGTCACACAAGTTACCTATATATTCCATATGGTTTCGTTGTCCGGGCACTCGTCGATTCAAGACCTGTGATCTGCATGATCATGGATCCAGGTTCACCGGTGCTCCCAATGAAATCTTTGTAAAGCCGGATTCCCAATCAACATTTGGGCCTGGAGCTTGAATTGTGAAGTTGTGTATGTCTACGAAATATCTGGCGCAAGCGTGCTCATTGAGGAGGGTCTACATGAACGTAACAAGGGTATTGGAAAAGGTCGTGTAAGACGAGAGCGTCGTTGTAGTGGCATGAGATAGCATGAGATGCTCAACTGAGGTTTTCATCTCTCTTAGTGTCAGCGGCCATGACGACGCGCTTGGTCTCTTCTAGCACGGCATGCACTGCTTTGAGTATGCTGAGCATCATCTCCAAGAGAATGATACGAGAGGCTGACCTGTATCCTTATAATTACTTCCCTTCTGCTGCAGGTTTTCAAAGCTGACGACCAATTTCTCTTCTTGAGCACGGAGCGTACTTTCCTCTGCTTGCAACTTCTCCGTCTCTAGTTGGAGGCGTGAAAGCGCAGTTGTAATATTCTCGCGCAAGACTCGGATGCTTGCGATTTCCTTCTGAAATGCATTCCTCGCGTCATCCCAAGCATTGCCTGCATATTATCTTGGCCCATCTGCGCATGAATAAGTGCGAAGGACACTTACCTGCAATTTCTGTAGCATACAGAATTTGATCGTACTTGGACATGTGGTCAGACCAGTCGCGATCCATAGCCCATGACACGACCTTCTGGGAAACTCCGCTGCCCATGCGTCCATCCGACTGCTTAAGACTGCTACGTCTACGGGGTAAAGTAGGCCGCGAGGGCCCCTCATTCAGGGCGTCCTGAAATTCTGCATAAGAGGCTGGTTCGTAGTGTCCTTTAGGGGGAAGACTTGGAGGAATAGAGCTGAATTCTGACCCCTCATAGGCCATGTGAGGTTCTGGCGGCGGTACCGGTCGTGGAATGGGCATCTCAGTGACTGGGTGGGGCATGTCGACTGGTGCGGTCTGCAAGTTGGTGCTCGGTGGATGATAAAGGCGAGGAAGTGGATCGGGGGATATAACATCTGGACGGGTCGGGGGTTCCTCGACACGTTGCTCGATACTTAGATCGTGTGGATTAGTGAGACGGGACGAGGTGATCGTCGAGCCCTCTTCGACAACGGGAGAGAGATGGGCTGCGCGAGCGGAAGAACTTGGACCTTGGTATTCCCCATGCCTATGATTCTGCGTTCCTGACGATGTGCGCGAGTGTGCTGGGGAAGGAGATTGCACTGTGCTCTGAGAAGATGCCGAGGAGCGCTTCCTTACGGTCACGCCGGCTCTTGTCGATATTCGTTGCGATACCGAGGAGCGGCTGACTTGCCCTTGACGGCTGGAGCGGGTAGTGGGCGCATGGACTTGTGCAAGTTGCACATGTGTGGATGACGAATGAGTGGAATGAGGTGAATGGGACCTCGCCCGGATGGTCTCTGTCGTATACTTCGCATTGCCCTCGGCGGTGCTGACACTGAAACCCTCCATCTTCAACCACTTCTCCATTTCCTTCAAGCGGAATTCATTTGGGGCGTAGAGATCACGGAAAGGGGTGCCCGGAGGTGCTGGGGCAGAGACACGGGAAATACGTTGGCATTTCCGAATCATTCGATCCTTCAGATGTCGGATTTCGATGATGCGCTTCCAAGTTGCACCACGGCCTCTTGAAAGTTCAATGTTCTCTGCTTTCAGCAACTGAGCATACATTTGAGCGGTCTTGGGAGGAAGCAAAGCCTGCCAGGTGATTATATAGATTGATAAGTATGTATGGAACATCGGGGCGAATGTCGCACCCGCAGTTCGCCTGGAGTGTCTGTGCACTGAAGCCATCGCGTTCCTGACTTCGTCCTAGGGTCGGGGGGCTCTAGCTGGCCTCTGACGGGGCTCGGCTGATAGTAATCCAAAGGCTGATCTGGTATGGATGCCATGAACGCCTGTCGACAGAGGAGATGAGGGGATGTGGACTGCAGTAGAGGGGAGGGGTCTTAATATGAGCGAAGGCCGGCTTGCAAGAATCTGATGGCTCACGCATTGTTTCCTCGCTGAAGATGCCAAACATGTACACGATGCACTTTGTTTGCATCCCGTTTGTATGTAATTTTTACACGTGCACAGGTGGAATACGGCTTGTGAACTATTGTATTTTCTCGGGCATAAGTACGCTCAGTATGCCCTTATAGCGACCGCCTTTCGTCGTGTAAGTTCACAGCAAGTTGCCTGCATCGACCATACGTGATTGTTTTCATGTTCAAGCGGTTTGATCATTCAACAAGTTTCGCATATTGACCATCCCAGGGCCAGTGTGGTACAGCAATAAATCATTATACGCCAAAGTAGGTTGTGCCAAACGGTTGAGATTTATCGCTCTTTCAGCAACCTGTGATGGTATAGGTTTCTGCAGTAGGGAGGCCAGTACTGGTGAGTGTGCAGGAGAGCGTGGGACAGTCGGCCAGGTATAGACCGGACGGTGGTTATCACGTTGTAAGAGGTTCCCCACACTCGCGTCTGCAGCTTGGGCTCAGCCTAGTTCGCCTCGGTCCATTGTCTCGCTTTCAATGTCGTCTGCCCTCGCTCGTTATGAGTCTTTTTTAATCAACAACGTGTCTACAATATCTTCGGTCGAGTCTACCTTGCGTTCGATCACATGGCTTCTCCCCGGAAGATTCAAGGATGCGGAGCTGGCCTCTGAAGCTTGTGAGTTTAGACACCTCCTTTCTCATGTTTTGACTGGATGAACCGAATTACACAGTATCGGCCTTGCTCAATAGTCTGAGCCTATATCACGACACCTTGTTAGCGAAGATAATAGATGCGGACCCCAAACAAAGACCTCTCATACCACCTTCGTTGCATACGCGCTACACACGAGCATGGACCGACAACCTCCGGTACCGGTGGATAGCTAGGGTGCTTGAGCTTACAAGATTCGTCGAGCTTCTGATCGAAATGGGCTTGCGCAGGAGGGTCTCCGCCAAAGGCCGGTGGAGAGGCATCATCGTGCTGGAAGCGGTCAAGTGCGTATTTTTCTGTCTCGTTCGATGCTTGGGTCTCACAAAATATACGACTGTAGGGCTATCCTTCGTCTAATTCTTCTCCGAACCACGCGCCGTCCTTGCCTCTCGCCCCCTATCCCCGAAAGAGACCTCGATCCCGCCAATCTCCCATCAGTATCTACCACTTCGTCGCCCACCCTCGTGGCTTCCTCATCTCCTCCCTCGCCCCCAGGCACACCTGAACATCTCAGGAACAATCACGTACCACTACTTCCTCATCCGCTCCTTGCTTCATCACCGCCCCCTACAACGAAGCAGACTTCGTCCGTAGAGGACTATATACTTTCGAAAGCACTGACCACCTCTTCCGTGAAAACACCAACCTCTCTTGTCAAACCTCTGGTTTCGCCAAAAGACTGGCTGGCCGAAGGTCTTTATATTATACGACCTCTTGTTTACGGTGCGCCTCACGCACTCACTCTTGTGATTTCTGCTGAGACATTACCTCACGATAGCAATATTACTCTCCAACGATCGACGCACAAATCGTCCCTTGTTTACATCCCTTGCTATTGAGCTCGTCTCTCGGCATCTTCGTCGTATCCCGTCCAATTCCTCAGCTCTCGAGCGGCAAGAATACTCCCGCCGGGATAGAGATCTATTCTGGTACCTCTTGCGAGGCTCCGTGTGGGAGAACTGGACTAGGTAAGAACACCTTAATTAATGGATTACTCTTTCAATTTTAACGTGCTTGGCTGTGTTGCAGGCCCAAGCTTTCGACATTTGCAGATGGCACTGCAAAAATCCCTTTCCTGAATCTATTTGGTGGTCTCTTGAAGGATTGGATGCCCCTGATCGACGAGTACTATTACTGTACGTCCCTGCGCGTGTGTCATCATCAGCGCCTAACCTTCCCTCTTTTGATCCTAGACACGGCCTCATAGCATGGATGCGTTAGTCTGCATGAGAGGACTGTCAGTCGTCGCTGCCATTTTCTGGGTTTTTGCTATGTACACCATCCCACTTGAATTATCACCGTATCATCACAACATCTCCGGTCTCGACCTGCCACAGAATGCTTGGCAAATCACCATATTGACTTGAAGCTTATGGTGATGCGTAAGTTCAATTGCTCGAACAGGAATCTGCGAGACATCGCAGAATAACCTTACGTATATGCTGGCAGGTTCTGTGAATTCCGATCCTAGCCTCAATCGATCAACCCACCTTAGATAACTTACATTGAAAGTCCTCCAAAAAAACCATATCGCACACCTGTGCATACTCTCTAAACCTCTCCCATTACTCTTTCTACATGTCTGCAGAGAGTTCACTACCAGGTTTACGCCGTATTGTCACAGCGCATGTCTCTGGCGCTGCCGTTGTCAAGAGCGACATCATTATTCCTTCTACAGTGCGTTTTTTACATGACTGACCATACTCATGCTCATGCCCTATAAGCCAATATTACCAGGCCAAACGACCATCCGCACGGGAGGGTTATGGACGACAGACGCGACTCCCACGAACGACAATAACGTCGAGTACGCAAGCATTCATTGACACATCCATGTCCTCTGAACCGCGTCGGCCCGAAGTCGATCTGATCTAAATCGAATTGCAGGGTCGATGGCGCAACGCGGGAGGTCCCCGGAATGTTGGGACTCGTGATGCCCCACGGCACGAACTTCCGCTTTACAGATCTTGGCCCTGGGGAAGTCGTTCCGATGGTGAGCCTCAATTGCGTGCAGCGATCGTCAGCTAATGCCGGACTTTCCGATGCGACCTGCAGCATAGGAGCAGCTCCGTGGACTATAACATCCTAAGTATGTTTTCCTCGCCATCTCTCGTGGACACTTTAATCAAGTTCGCGCCCTAGTACAAGGCGAGCTGGTATTGATTTTGGATGACGGCGCCGAGACACACTTGAAGAACCCAGGAGACGTCGTCATACAGAGAGGAACGATTCATGGTTGGAGAAACCCAAGTAGCACATGTGCCCGTTGGGCATGCGTAGTCATCGATGCAGTGCCGATCTCTGTTGAGGGACAGGTGCTAGAGCCGTTGTGGGGAGGTGACAGCACAAAGAAATAGTCCGCAGACGGCTGAGTTTATGACATTCTTTCAAAAATGCTTCGTATCGTACAGGTATGACAGTATCAGCGAAAAATCGAACGGAAAGGCATGATCACTGGAGGTTCACAAATAGCCCACCGTCAACAAGCAGGGATGCGCCAGTGACATATTTCGCCAGATCGCTCGCCAGAAATACGACAGGTCCGGCAATGTCGTCAGGATCTTTGTGGATACGGTGGCTCAGCAAGTTTGCACGCGGCGTGTGAATCATGTACTTACTTCCAAGTCTTCCGAGAACGGTCCTATTGACCATGCCTTCCCGCTTCACGACATCGGACAGATCTTCCTTATTGATATCGGTGGCAATAGTGCCGGGGAGGATAGCGTTCGCACGAATGTTGTACTTCCCCAAGGCCACTGCGGTACTTTGCATCAAAGACAGGATGCCTGCCTTGGTGGGAGTATAGTGCCTATTCACATTGTGAGAAACGAAAGCTGGTCTGGGTAGATGTATCGACCCACACTTGTTGTCCGCCTCCTACGAGGGCTGAAATCGACGAGATTCCGATGATGGAGCCACCCTGTGGTACTTGGTCTTTCATCTGATTCGCAACGGCTGCGAAGAGTTAGCACATCTGTGCATTGTTGTTGAATGACAGTGCAAGTGACCTTGAGTGATATAAAATGAACCATCCAAGTTCACTTGCCGTGTACGGTGCCAGGTATCAAGAGGCATGGTGAGAAAGTCTGAAAAGGGACATATGCCTGCGTTGCTGACGAGTACGTCTGCGAAGCAACGTTAGTGATATGTTGTCTTGGGAATGTTGGCGGCCCTACCGATGCGTCCAAAAGCTTTGACGCCCTCCTCTACGACCTGAAAAGCAAAGCGTCAACATCAGAGGCAGATTACATCCGCACATCATGCATACATTCTTCGACGTCACAGGGTCTCCGATGTCGCCTGGAACGACCTGGACTTTTGCACCAGAGTACTTGGTAGATATTTCCTGAGACAAAGACAGGATTTCCGCCGTCGTCTCCGCGTCTCCAAAGTAATGCAAGATCAGGCCGGTCGCGCCGTGCTTCGCACATTCGATAGCACATCCTCGTCCGATGCCGCGCGAAGAGCCTGTTATGCAAACTACGCGTCCGGATAGCAGCGACATGTATACTTGAACGGTAAAGGACGCTGAGGGATGTTTCGTTTCAGGAGGGGCTGAATAAAAGTACCTCCAAATAGTCTGCAAGTGGACCGCGCGACCTTCCATGGTGCGGATTTCTGCTCAGTTTTACATACCGATCGGAATCCAACGTCCGGTGTCGTGAAGGTCGTTGCAGGTCTGCCCAGACATCGAAGTAGGTGAGAGTAGAGGAGCAGTGTCACGAGTATCCCAAGAGATAGTCTAGCGGTCATCCGGGCCGGGATCGCTTCCCACTAACCGTCACAGGGACTCGAAAGCAGCGGGACAAGGCATCCGCCATTATCCGTCTAGTGTCTGCTGGTTTGGTACTTAATACTCCTGGTGAGCCAAAATATACCCTAACTTCCACTCCGTTTCTACTCACTAAACTGACTATGGCTAAGATATGAGCGCTGCATTTAGATATTGACGCGGAACAGAAAGCTTGACAAACGCGACTTGCGGTAGATATTATGACTCTGACGCAGACCTCGGTGTCCTCAAGGACAAGACTATCGTCTTTTTCGGGTGAGCTCGGCACGTCCTTACAGACTGTACAGGTGCTCATGAGCATGTTTCTCTCAGGTTTGGGAACCAGGGTGCAGCTCAGCGCAGAATTTGAGAGATTCTGGCATTCCTAATGAGCGAATCATCATCGCCAACCGAGAAGATCACTACGCTGAAGATGCGAAGTCAAAGGGCTTCATAGTCGAACACGACTTCAACAAAGCGGGCGAGGTTGCAGACGGTAAGCATTCGAACAACCATCTATTTAAACGCACCAATACTGACCTCGAACTGCGATCCAGTCCTTTTCCTTCTCATCCCTGATCAGGTTCAACCTCGCGTGTTCAATGCCGTTGCACCAAAGCTCAAGGATTCAGTTGCAATCGTTGTCGCTAGCGGGTACAATGTCTTCTACAAATTGCTCCATTTCAGACCAACTCAGGACATCACTATGGTCGCCCCGAGGTTTTTATTTATTGTAGCTCCTATGAACGTGCACTCACTCACTTATCGCATACAGGATGATTGGCTCTTCCGTACGCACACTATACCAGAAAGGTCGAGGCTTCCCCTGCTTTGTCTCTGTGGAGCAGGATGGTACAGGTAAAGGCCTGGAAGTTGCGCTGGCACTGTCTCGCGCCATTGGTGCTACCAAGACAGGCGCGATCGCATCGTCTGTTCGTGAAGAGACCGCCATGGACTTGTTCGCTGAGCAAGGTCTCTGGCCGAACATCATAATGCTCTTCAGAGAAGCGTACAGCGTCTTGAAGGAAGCAGGATGCTCTGACGAGGCCCTGGTTTATGAAATGTATGGCTTTGGTTTTTCTGATTCGTGACGAGTGATAACGACCGTCGTGTAGGTGGATGTCCAAAGAACCCGCGGAGATCTTTGAAGCAGCTGCAGAGGAGGGGTTCATCACGCAGGTACTGAGGCCATCAACACGCCAAAGTTATTTGCAGGAAGCTCATTGATCATTTTGCAGTTGAAGCACCATTCATCAGTGTCCCAATTTGGTCAGCTCAACGGTGCTTTGAAGCTCGATGGTTCAGCCATCCGGGCACATTTCAAAGAAATCTTGTATAACCAGGTCCGTTTCTAATGTGAGATATACATTTCCACAGCTCGCTAACTCATTCTGTATGATAGGTCCTGAACGGTAAATTCCAGAAGGAGTTCACGGCGATTGAAGATGACTTGGAGAAGGAAGGCGATGAGAACCCTTTGAACGTGCTGTACAAACGATCGGAGGAGAGCGAGCTGGGCCAAGGCGAGAAGCGTGTAAGAGCAAGGCTTGGACTTTCATAGAGATCTCGACGAGAAGACCCAATCATGTTATACCATTTTCTCTTGTAGGCTTATAAGTGTGACACGTAAAGCAGATTTCCAGACCATTGAGAATTGAGATCAGACAAGCCTTGTGACATAACAAAGCGTGAACATCTTGGATAAAAGTATGCAGTCTTACGACCTAAATGGAGGCAGAGAAAAGGGGGGGAGCATGAAGGGTCGTGCGACAAAGGTTTTGTCTCTCCCAGTCGCATTGAACTGCCCTTCACAAGGATGAGCTGAATGTTGGTGATCCTCTTGTGCGACTCTTGTAGAGATGATCGGAACATGTAACTCGGAGACGGACGAGCGAGAAGAACCAGACAGGACCGATAAGTAATACGGAGATCTGGGCTCCGTAATAGGCAAAGGAGAGATCTCGATGCACGGGAGGGTGTATGTGAACGAATTGCTCCTAGTGGGTAATCCTGTTATTGAGCGGAAAGGGTCCGGCGTAGACTGGCAGTCTGTGATTGTATCGGGGGCTGCGAGCCTTTCGACGTCGATACGAGAAGGGTAACCGGAGAGAGAGAACTCTGCGGGGGGTGGCGTTGAGATAGATTCAAGGGCGGGAGGAAGACGATGGTCAAGATGATCTACGAATGATGCCATGGTGTCCACGGCTCCTTGGATCCGATCATTCTCAATAGAAAGCATATCCTCGTCGATAAGGGTACAACGTCCTGAACCTTCCAGGTCTCCAGAAAATGTCCACGGCGGGCTTGTAAATTGCATGTGTTCAGTTGAGAGGTGAGTGTCCCGAGCAGTCATGAAGCGCTTTGGAGACTCTGTTGCAATAGTCAAACTCTGAAAAGCAAGGGCCAATTGGTGCAATGCCCTCTGTTCTCCGACACCATGGTCACGGAGACCGAACATATAAGCTCGAGCTGGAAAAGAGTCGATAGCTGACATGGACAAGGAGATTATTCGAGCAAGAATACTATGCAAGATGCAAAGGGCTTCGTGTCAGGAGAGGCCGGTTTACCTCGGAGTTCTGTGTCACTGGGAAGGATTAGTTGAGATAACAGGGGCTCGAGAGGTGGGCAGATTGTATGTGTAGTCTGCTACATATTGAGACTGTCAGACGATACATGATTGAGACGAGACCGACAACGATGACAACTAAGGTTTCAATTGGTCGTCAAATACGGATTGGTCGATGCCTATTAAGCATACAGCCATTACTGTGCAGAAGTAGATCCAAGAGCAATGACATACGTTTGTTCAGAAAATCTCTAACAGGCAAAAGCTGCCACTTGCGAGAAGTTTTGGAAGTCACCAGCAGCCACATGTATTACGTCAGATATTTTCACGGGGTCGCTCTGGTAGGCTCTGTTGCACATTGCAGCCGCCGACAGACTTTGTCCTGAAAACTCTCGCCATTTGCATTGCTCGGTTCATCTTTTGAACATGTCAGAGGCTGGAAAGCTCACCGTAGAAAACCCATCGGATCATAGGTCGTATGTACACATCTCTTCTCTGCATCATGTTGTTGACTTTGAATAGGACTCGCTCAAGGGACCATTCTTCTGATACTCTCCACACCAGACGGTCGCATAGGTCACCTTCAAGGGATAGGGATCGGAGACGTAAGGAACGTGATCATGAAGACCGTCGCAAGAGAAGTCGCAGCCATGACAGGAGCTTGCGGGAACGGCGAAGTCGTTCTCGTGATAGGTCCCACCGAGATGGACCTAGAGAGAGAGAGCGGGACCGAGACAAGGAAAAAGACAAACGTCATCGTGACAGAGGAGAAAGTCGCCACAGTCACCGCGACCGCGAAGACAAAGATGGGCGACGCCGCAAGCGCGACGAAGAAATGAATGACTCTGTCGAGTCCCGCGATCATGATGAACGCGCGAAGAAAAAGCGTAGCGACAACATTATAGACGCGGAGGCTCTACCACATCCACCTACATCCGCAGGTCTACCCGCGCCTCCTCTTCCCCTGCGAGATAGTCCTCGCAGAGGATCAGACAGAGGACATTCGCACGATAGGCCACCTCGATTGCCCCGCGACCCACGCGACGAATTTGACGACCCACCGAGGTACAGGGCAGGTCGCGAAAGAGACAGAGAGCTTGATCGTCGTGATGACCGCCGCAATGATGACCGCCGTAGACCTCGAAGGTCACCGCCACCGCCACCGCCACCCATGAAGTGCGCATCGTCTGTCTGGCTCATAGAATGGTCACTAAATATCTTCATCCCAGAAGACCTTCTCCAACTTACGATCTTCCACCTGATGACCCTATGAATGAGGAGCCAAAGGAGGACGATTCGGAAGCTCGTTCTGTCTTCGTATCTCAGCTTGCCGCACGTCTTACTGCCCGTGATCTCGGATACTTCTTTGAGGATAAATTGGGTGAGGGCACAGTCCTTGATGCGAGGATTGTGACAGACAGATTGTCTAGGCGATCAAAAGGGTAAGAGTTCATCTTATGAACTATGAACAATGTCGCCTGATCATCTCAATAGTATTGGTTACGTTGAATTCCGTGCCATTGATCTGGTTGAGAAGGCTCTCGCACTAAGTGGAACGGTGGTTATGGGCCTCCCTATCATGGTCCAGTTAACTGAATCTGAAAGGAACAGACTTCATCCAGGAGACGGGTCTGTATGACACTTTTGGATGTAGTATTGTACTGACCTATGAGACATTTAGGAACCTCAACCTTCCACCTGGTGTCAGTGCGCCGCACGGGGCCATGCAGTACGTTCTACGTTGTTGTTCTCAAGTTGACCAATTTTAAGACTTCTCAAGATTATACGTCGGTTCCCTGCATTTCAATCTCACCGAAAGCGATATTAAGCAGGTGTTTGAACCATTTGGAGAACTTGAATTTGTCGATCTTCACAGGGATCCCATGACTGGTCGAAGCAAAGGCTATGCATTTGTCCAGTGAGTGATTGGCTATTGATATTACAAGTATTCGGGTTTCACCCCTTGCGTTGTTTACAGGTACAAGAAGAGCGAAGACGCGAAAATGGCTTTGGACCAGATGGAAGGCTTCGAGCTCGCGGGTCGTACAGTCAGTATTGCAAAATCGTCTTGCACTTAGCCTTTTGAAACTCATATCATTTAGTTACGGGTCAATACGGTGCATGAGAAGGGAACTACAAGATACACTCAGCAGGATTCCTTAGATGAAGCTGGCGGTATGCATGATCATGAAAATTTGTCTTCAGCTTATCTCATTGTTTTGAACACCTTAGGCGGTAATTTGAATGCAGCATCTCGTCAGGCGCTGATGCAGAAACTTGCCAGGATTGAACCTGCTCGAGACAAACAGGAACCGATGTAAGGGTTGTCAATCGTTTTATCAATCCTTGACGACGCTGACGTCCATATTAGCATGAAACCCAACATTCCGCAAGCTATGGAATCCAAGTCGGTCCTGCTCAAGAACATGTTCGATCCTGAAGAGTACGCTTTTTGCACTTTCAAATAATTTGTTGTGCTTTTCCTTATTGTCCTTTAGGGAAACCGAACGGGATTGGGACAAGGACCTTGCTGACGATGTTAAAGGCGAATGTGAAGAAAAGTATGGCCCCGTAGACCGTATCAAGGTCGTGAAAGAGTCACAGGTAATGATTTATCTATTGATTTTCTTTGTGTCCTAATGTGCGACGGCTATTTTACAGGGAGAGATTTATCTCAAGTTCGGCACGGTCGATGCAGCTCGCCAAGCTGTCCAAGGACTGAATGGTCGCTGGTTTGGTGGAAAACCGGTGTCGGCTGCTTTCGTCTCGGACGCGATCATGCAAGCTTACCAATGATTTAAGCCGGTTCAGGATAGTCACCCTTGGGGTGTTGCAATTTCCAGGTTTTTCCTGAAGTGCATCCTACTAAATTTCTAAAATCATGCAAACAGAAAAAGAACCGACGAATATGGCTTGTAATCAGTTTTTTAGGTTGATTTTTCATGCAGTATCAGTATTTTATGCTGTGCAAACCCTCAGCCTGCTAGTGGCGGACAAAACAGATGCGCAGAGGCAGGTTCTGTCGTTACTTTCAAATATCAAAGACCTGTTCTTTCTCTCAGTTACTCTTTTTCTGCAATAGATCAGCGTCGCTATCGAAAGAGTGATGTTCTAGTATGGTTCAAAATGCCTTGTTGGGACTAAGGTCCACGGTTGATTCTTGCTTGCAGACTCGTCACATCATATTGTGCACCATACAGTAGCCGTCGATCGCATGCGACAGTCTCGTAATCACGAACATCTTGGGGCTACCTTGATACCTCTAGGTATTCATTCACCAATCTTTTTGTAGACTGGCCGTAATCAAGACAAGTAATTGTCTCTAGTCATAAATGTCAACGAAGTCAAACTTCAACGAAGCCATGTTCATAGCGAGTATATTAGTACATCCACCGGAAAGAAGGCGACTGGTGGCCCTCACCCAGAGCCTGGGTGGAGACATCAGCCGCCGTGATACTGACACCTTGCTCCCTGTTTTTTCTCCTATTCTCCCATCGCATATACACACCCATGCTGTCATGATCGATTTATTAGAATATATTATTTGAAATTTGATTCCTTCTGCTAAGAGAGATGCTAACCTTGCCACAAGGACCAGACAAAACGCACCGAACACAGCTAGACAAAGTACGTCAACTCTGCATCAGGTCAATAACGGAGTGCATACCAGATGTGATAAGCGCAGGGACGTATTTCGGCTCATCCTTTGCACGAAAGACATTCGTAGATATGAGACCAGCAGCGTTCGCTATGGCGACTTGTATGCCGAACAACAAGCCTTCAGTATCACTTCAAATCAAAGGAACATTGAAATGTATATACCCATGACTGCTGCAACAACAGCCCGGCGGTTCTCACTGGGCGTATTATTGGCGTACCACGATGCAACGAGCACAGAAGGTGCAAAAGCCTGAATAGAACGTGAGATGGTCCAGGATGAAAACGGTGAATCAATTACGAACACCCATAGTGAGTAGAAAGCACGCAAAATATGCTACTGCCTTCCTTTCGGTAGGGTCGATACAGCCTAATATGATAAAGCCCGTCAAAGCCGTCGCTAATGGGATGCATCTATGGCCAGATTAGACATCCTATCGCATACGGAATGTTGTGTGGCTTTTACATGTGGATGGACCGTTCACGGAAATGGTCAGAAGAGAAGGTCAGGACGAGAAGGGCGACGGTGCCCACGATGTTCGGAGCGATAGTATATAAATTGGTCTTGACGGTGCTGTATCCTAAGCTTGCGACAATCTGTGGCAGGAAGTTGTTAACACTTGCGAGAGGGACACCGAGCGCTAGGCTGATAAACGCCCAAATCCAATAGTGCCAATCCTTGAAAGGGCGAAAGGCATCGCGAATGTTCAGTTTTTCATTCACGGCAGTAGATGAGTCGGAGAGGATTCGAATGGCAGCGATTTCTTTTTCACGTTCCGTGAGGAACCACCATGTGGTGGGAGACCGCGGCTGTGGGTTATTGGGATGATAAGCAGATAGTATTACTCGGTATAGATGGAATTCACCAGCCAAAGGAGGGCGAAGACCGCAAAAATGACCGTTGCCCCTCCTGTTGTGGTTCAGGTCACCATATATCCGAAGTACCTCGAGGCGTACCTTCCACCCAAAACAAGAATTGCCAAGAGTGATATTTCGGATCATGGATATGAAACACTCCAAAAGCGAGAAGACCTGATGGCAGCCTTACTTCATGGAGATGTACATCGATTCTTCAGGCATGGTACTTACCAGAGAACGCCCCAGCGATAGAAGCAGCAGCTAGAAAATCTGATGTAATTTTTTGCAGCTTGGAATTGTAAGGATACCTATCGTACCATAGAAGAGGCCCACTCGGGAGGCGAGCTCGTTTCGCTTGTAAAACGTAGATAAGTAGAAAACCTGAATGAAGCAAACAGTCAAATTAAAACTTCGGCATGTCGAAGTGAAGAAAACATACCACTCCAGGAAGCATTGCTGATTCGAATATGCCTAGAAAGAATCTGATAGCAAAGATTTGCGAGAAATTCTTCGCAGCAGCCGTGCATAATGCCCTGACCGCGGCGACTAAGTACAAGCGCATAGGGGAAGTAAACGTGAGTGTCATACATGGTGCCCTAGTAGAGATAAATGGATCATCCACATGCAATAGAATAGGGGATAGATTACATACAAAACCAATCATCATGATGGGCAAGACTCGAGCGGCGGAGAATCTCTTGATGAAGATACTAATCGGTGTGCCAAATCTGAATAAATAAGATAGGGATTAAGTGCGGTCGAATTGTACTTCACGCAAGAAGGCAGGTCGCCTGCTTACAAGCAGAAGGGTACCTATCCAGTAATTTCAAGTGAGTGAGTATGTATTGCCAGGAACATTCAATAAGCTTACGTAGAAGATCATGACCAAAAGGTAGTACTTCACAGACGTGGCTGAGAATGTGCTGCGAGGAGAAAATCATAAAACCTTACTTGGTCACCCGTCAAATGAGTGTCCTGTAATCAAGAGTCAACGACAACACTATACTCAGGAAGGGCGAAAATCGACTTTATCCCATCCGTCTGTCTTCGCGTTTCCAACATTTCCCTTATCCAACGCATTGCAAAGGTACCTGTCCAGATAGCCGCGTCAACATCAAGTACCAGAGATCATGGCATATACATACATGAAAGTGAGCGGTGGTAGAAGGAGCCAGTCGAACTTGCGAAGCAACCGAAGTTCCTCATCTCGAGGAACTTCAGCAACTCCGCGTATACTCACAGCATCGTTTGTCTTCAAAGACCCTGCTTTCTCGGGTACGCTTTCATCGACCTCCGAAACTTGATTCACGGTCTGGGCGCTCAGTTGATTCATCGACGAAGACGAAGGGGTGAGAACGGTTACTTGTGGCCGTCCAAGTTCCTAGAACTATATAAACAATACCATAATTGTCGAAGCCAGATGCGTCATAGTCTGTCAAGGTCAATGGAGATAGGGTATCAGCAGGTCAGAAAAGAAGCCAGGTCCCAGTGCAAGATATCAGAGACGGGCATCATAGCGCTTAATGATGATAACCTCGCTTTCTGCAGACGAGATTTGGTCCGGCAGCGACGGTGAAACGGTTGAGCAAAGAATGTTTGATTTCTGCGATAATATGTATGCAATATCCTGACTAGTTGCACATTGTTCGGAATGGAAAGGAACAGCAGACTTACCCTCATCGCCCCGGCGAGCTGAAACAGGCGTTTCATGTGTCCAGATAACATGTCACGCATGCTCACGTGGGCCGCGAAGTACATCGATGGAAGGCTCCCACATCTTCCACAACACCGTCCACCATGTCCACCGTGGAGAAAATCAACGCACCTGAGAACCCATCCTACTCTCATATTCTCTGTGAGTATCCCATGCTGCTTCCAAGGGCTTAACGGACCTCTGGACTGAACGTTTCGACAGCCCATGCTACGAAAGTTCCTGGACTCATCTTCTTGAGTGGTCAGACACCAGTGGGTGCAGATGGCAAATTAGTTGCAGGAGGAATCGAGGAGCACACGGTTATTATGATTGATTATGTTCAATGTCTTCCGACTGAACAAAATATCCTGACATGCATCTAGGCGCAGTGCATTGCTAACTTGGGTAACGTGCTGAAGGCTGCTGGCTCTTCCTGGGAGAAGGTCGTGAAGGTCAACGTTTACCTCAAAGATATGGACAACTTCTCTGCCATGAACGAGGTCTACGAGAAGGTAGGTGTCTGTGTTTATGAACGTTCTTGATCAGTGTGCTGATGATCCTCTCAGCTGTTACCAACTCCGAAGCCGGCACGGACGTGCATCCAGGCTGCTAAGTTACCTGGGGGTGTTGATGTTGAGATCGAAGCAATTGCAGCTGCATGAATGGCCATAAGTCGTGGTGAAACGAAATGTATCTTTGTACAACCTCAGATATAACATAGCATGAAATTTCAGTGCATTGTTTCCCATAAGTATTCTTGTTCAACGTTTCGTTTGAGCTACGCTGTACCGAAAGCCTTTGCCAATGCTACTGCCGCGTCTGAAACCAATTGCTTTCCAATTGATAATACCCTGCGAAAAAAAGATCTCAACAGTATTCGATAGATTAGAGTGTATGACTCACCCTGATGATCGCGCACACGAAAAAAAGCACCATAAGTACGGCAACTGTAACAAGGAAAGAGACATACCATCCATAGCCATGATCGGGTGAGGAGCACCCTTGTAAATTGCTAGCTCAACCTCAACACCATTCTCCTTGAGCTTCTCGCCATACGCGATCCCTTCGTCTCTCAGCACATCCAGCTGGGCAACTCCAATCCAGGCAGGGGGTGATTTTTGAAAAAGCTCATGGGGCGCAAACAGCGGCGAAGCATCCCATTTCGACCAGTCCTCCTTGTTGGGCAGGTAGTTATTCTTGAACCAAGTCATCCTCGCAGGCGATAACCATGCCGTATTCTTGTTCTCAGCCCAGGATGGCTGGGCTTTGCCGTCTTCCGTGGCGGTATTGTCTGTTACAGGTACGACAAGGAGCTGAAAGACAAGGGGGATAGGAGGCGTCGAAAGAGCAGCTTTATGTGCAAGGATCGCCGCGAGATTCCCGCCACTTCACGAAACAATGAGAATGTAAATATGACACTGACTCGATGACAGAGCTCACCTTGAAGAACCCCCGACAGCGATTTGCTCGGGATTAATTCCCAACACGGTCTTTCCATCTTTCCGCACCCATTCCAAGGATTCCACAGCGTCTTCCACAGCTGCAGGATACGGGTTTTCAGGAGCTAGGCGATAATCAACAGATACCACTACGCATTTCGCATCTGGAAGCAAATGAACCAAAGCACACGAAAGAATATATAGGTACCTACGTTTGCACATTCTTGTTGAGAATGCATTCTCTGAGTTAATATTTCCTAAAGTCCAGCCGCCTGTGTGTACCTCCCATGGTCAGAATCTCGACCAGAAGTATCACGAAGAAAGGAAATTCGCACCTCCGTGGAAAAAAATGAAGACAGGCCATCCCGCACTGGGCACCTCGCCCTCGGGAGTAAAAATACGGACACCGCATTGGCTCAAAGAATAATCCTTCGTGCTCCCGACTTTCAAAGGTAAAGATCCCCCAGGAACAGCAGGCCCATTACGTATCGCAGGGTCCCAAGGACGCTCATGGGGTTGTACTATCGTGATAAGATGTTCGTTGTGAAATGCGACATACTCGGGATCGAGGCGAGGAAGTATGTCAGGATGAAGTGGAAAATGTTGCGCCATGGCGGGATGATAGACCGGACGATACCACGGCGAAATGTGTCTCCCGCAACCCGTGGTTTTTGAGAGCGATTAAATTATCGAGGAACGACATACCGGCGGCAAGATCGGGTACCCTTTGGCCTGAGGGAATACCTGGGAATACGGGCTCGTACGGGCCGCTCGCCGCGGCGACAGGACAAACAAAAGGAAATGAAGCAGCTCATGAGACCTGCTGAAATCCAACCCAAGATCCCGCGATAGCACTTTGCCAATCTTCTTGCCTCCAAGCCAATCTTCTACCACGGAAACATGACCACCTTACCAACGCAGACAACAACACCGCACAATTTCCTCGAATTGTCAAGCAAGGATGCCCTTGCGAAGGAGTTCGTAGGCAAGCCGCTCGAAGCATTGAGAACGCCAGCATTCGTCATCGATAGGGCCGTTTTCGCGAAAAACTGCGCTAGGATGCATGCGAATGCTGAGCAATGGGGAGCGAGCTTCAGAGCACATCTGAAAACACACAAGGTCCTCATGTTTGAAGATCGTAGGGCGTAGAAATGCTGATGATGGATTTAGACTGCGGAAGGAACTAGGTTGCAGTTGATTTCAAGCGTAGCTAAGACAGATGCTGTGGTCGTATCGACAATGATGGAAGCTTGGCAAGTCGTAAAAGCTCGGTTGGTGGCGGATGGAACAGTGAAGGATGTCCGTTGTCGCTGTCCGTTCTTGATGACTAGTCGAAACTGAGACTTTGTGACATCTAGATTCTGTATGGTCTGCCTGTCGCGATCAACAAACTAAAGGACCTCTCAGAATTGTGGGACGAGGTGTCTCCGTACGGTGGAGTGGTTCGCCTCCTCGTTGATCACCCGAGACAGGTTGAGGCACTTGAGGCATTCGAAGGATCTAGAAATATTCCCCGAAAATGGTCAGTCTTCGTCAAAGTGGATGGTGGACAAAGGTATGTTTGTGACCTTGCTACCAAATGTTGTTGGTCAGTCATGATAGCGAACTAGCCGAGCTGGAGTATCAACCACAACACCAGAATTTGAGTCGCTGTTAACAACACTGTTCGCATCTCAAGCGATTTCCGTGTATGGATTCTACTGCCACGCTGGTAACGCGTACGCATCGACATCGTTGACGGAGGCATCGTCCTTTCTCTCCTCCGAAGTCGAGGCTGTGAACAAGGCGGCCGAAATCGCCAATTCATTGATTTCTCGGTCTCAAGGAGGAGGAAATCGGGAAGCCTTCGTCCTCTCGGTTGGCTCAACTCCTACCGCTCACAGCGCATCGGCAGAAACAAGAGCTAGACTCTCGTCTCTTCTACATGGCACGCTAGAGTTGCACGCAGGTAAGAGAACCGTTGAGATTGACAAAATATAGCTAACAATGACGGCGTACCAGGCAACTATCCCATGCTTGACCTACAGCAACTACACACAAACCTCATTGACCCTCAACAAATTGCGCAACGTGTCCTGGCAACCGTGATATCATATTATCCTAGACGAGGCCCTAACGGCTCTGACGAAGCCCTTTGCGATGCCGGGGCCATTGCCATGAGCAAAGACACTGGGCCAAGCGGCGGATATGGAGATGTCATTGGAAAGTCGTGGCAATTGGGCAGGGTATCCCAGGAGCACGGCATTTTGACGCGAACAACCGGTAGCCCCGGTGATGTGTTGGACATCGGAAGTGTGGTGCAAATTATTGGACAGCATGCGTGTCTGATTGCAGCTGCATATCCCTGGTATTATGTTGTGGATTCTGATCTAGAGGGAGGCGGAGACGAGGTAGTAGATGTGTGGGTTCCAATGAAAGGCTGGTGAAGCCTGTGCACTGATCCTAGAGGAAAAAAAACAAGAAGTTGAAGGCTTTTTTTCGTCCAAGGCTCGCGCAAGAGAAGAAAGATGGTCAGAGGCCGGCCCGTTGCACCGGATGGTTAAATAAGGCATTGTATTCTCACACTGCTCTTCAACACTCGGCCACTGTGACCTCATCTTGCACCTTCACCAAAGCCGCCTGCCATGGCGCTCGACGACTACGACGCTGATGCAACTGAGTTGCTCGAGACATATGGTCCGCACGGCTTATTTCTTCTAGTGGAGTGATTCTTACTCTCGTGGTAGATTTTCTCATGAAATACATTATCATCGGTGCGCTCCACCATCGTGTGACTGACTCCCCCTTCAGCTGATAAAGAGCTCATCTGGCTGCTGGTAGGCGAAGCAGGAACGGGAAAGTCTTGCCTACTTCATCATTTCACCCACAACTCCTGTTCGTACTTATTTCCGCTACCGAACCACAGCAAGATCGAGTCTGATTTTGAACGCACCAGTCAAGGATCACTCACAACACACGATCGGAGTGGAGTTTTCTAGTAGAACGGTCAAGCTCGGAGAGAAACGTATAAAGCTTCAGGTGCGACTCGTTTTCGCGCGCACGCTTGCATTCGTTTTTATGTTGGCGGTAGCTATGGGATACAGCTGGACAGGAACGATTCCGGTTGGTACCAGTGATTCTGTCCTTGTATGTTTCTCATCAATCAATTGTAAAACAGGTCTGTGACCCGCAGCTACTATCGAGGTGCAGCAGGTGCCATTTTGGTATACGATATCACAGAGTACGTACTCTCCCTCCGCTCACCTCAACATGACATTCAATCCACGCTTTTCATTAGTCGACAGTCTTTCCTCAATCTCTCGAGATGGTTGCAAGATGCAAGGGCACTTGCCAGCCCACACCTCGTTGCTGTCTTAGTAGGGAACAAGTCTGATAGAGAGGAGGACAGGGAAGTAGAGTGGTCAGAAGCAAGCCGTTGGGCGGCCGAGAACGGTATGGTCGTGTCTGCTTCCCGATCGAACGCGCTCACGATTCAACAGATGTCCATTTCCTCGAGGTCTCCTCATTAACAGGCGATAATGTTGAGGCACCATTTCTCCTCGCGGCTCGCTCTATATTACTCTCCATCGAGTCAGGAGCCCTTGATCCGGAAAAGGTTGGTAGTGGTGTCAGCTATGGAGACCGCGCGCTTCGGCGTGTAAATAGCTCAAGTAGATTGAGTTTCGGGAGCCTCAGCGGTGGACGACGACGAGGTGGGACCGCTAAGCTCAAACTCAAGGATCTGGTACCGGGCGCGGGTGGACGCCGATGTTGCTAAGGTTGCAAATCCATGCAGCTGTGTATACTTTAGACATGAGGCTTCCCTTTCAGCTCCAGTAGGACCATTGCTGTGTGAGTATTTGTACTCAATGTATTTCGTGCTGAGCTGACTATGTTCGTCTAGCCAAATGTTACTTGTATAGTCTATATTTCTCATCCTTTCCATCATGCTTTCCTACATGACTCTTACTGTAATCCATACCCATCATTCGCTATACCACCACACTCTCTCACTCCACTTCGTGAGTAGATCCCTCACACACTATTTGACATGTTTTCCCATCATGTTCTTCTTCTTGCTCGGCAAGCTACGTGTATTGACCACTGGGTTAATTTGTACCAATGGACGGACGGACTTTGCTACTCCTTCTCATTGCCCGTCCAGGTGACCCAGCCTTGCTCTGCGTGGGTTCTTTTGGGCAGGCGGAGATTCAAGTACAATTTACCCTTCATCTCAATATCTGCTCGAGTGCTTTGGGACGTATCTGCATATCACGAGAACCTAGCGATGATTACCACCGCACAATATGCATATGCAGATGGTGGGCATGTGTCGCGGACTGAGAATAGAACGGAGATGCAACGTGACCATGCGTGTATGGCCGACTAATTCTGATTTTCGATGCGATAACCGCGGTTGCAGCACTGACAGAACCCAACCTGGCCGCGAAGAAGTGGAGTGGCCTTGTGGGAAGCCTGGGTCATACGATGGCCTCCGTAGTCACTCGGATCGCTGAGAAGCCGGCACGGAGGTTTATGGACAATATGCTTTCGAAGTTTTCCCGCTCACACGTATTCACTTATTATCTCCAGAGACTTGCTATGCCTGCTCTCCCGTCCCTTCGTTGCCAAGTTCCCCACTTTGCGCTCACATCACAGCAGGTGGAGCGTGCGCCTGCCATAACATGAGCAGCTTGGACTCTTCGGTAACACCAGGTGAGTGGTAGATGTGCTTCTGCATGCTTCTTAGACTTGTGCATTAAGTACGAACGGGCCTCCCAAACCCCCTCAATCCCAGTACTGTGCGACGCATTTGGCCAAGTAGGCTCTGGTCTGACCATATTTTGACCACCCTCTCCGCTCTATCTACCTTTATCATGCTCAATGCTAATCTGTCCTCTTCGTTGCTCCTCTACACCTCTCATATCGCTCCCACATCATACATGGAACCCGTTTCATTTTCAATATAGTGTCGGGACCACTCGCGAATTTGACCAGTCTGGCGCCGACCTATAGCGCTGCTTCCGATTCCATTTCCTCGTCCGCCTCCGCCTCGCTCATTTCGCGGTCGACATCTGTCTTTACGTCGGTGTCCGCAGGAAGTTCGTCTGCAGATCCCTTCAGCACTGTGGGATCTTCTGTGCCCTCTTTCAGCAGTTCTATCTTCCCTGTGTCCTCCCCCAGCAGCACTGCGAAGGCGATTTCCTCCAGCTCTACATCTTCAATTACAAGGCAAAATCACCCAGCGACAGTCTCTTCACAATCCATTCAAGTGGAAACTATCAGAACGAGTTCTTTTTCAGTTGCATCTTCGTCGTGAGTGGATATTTCGCCTACTGTCAATTTCAAAGCTTATCTTCGTCATAGAATGAGTCTACGATCCGGTTTACCGCGTGCTGCCGCAGCATCTGCGGACAAGGCCGAGGTTACTTCCGCTGGTCCATCGTCCACCGGATCATCTTCGTCTCCAGCGGTACTGTCCACCGCGTCATTGAGCTTGGTTCCTACCACCTCAGCTCCCACGCCTTCGCCGACACCGAAGACACCGAATGAACCGGCCGAAGGCGGATCATCTTCAGGGACCACAGCTTCCTCCGTACCACCGGCTTCCGTGACATCTACTGTTCCGAGTTCTGTGAGCACCAAAGCGCCTGAGACATCCACACAGAGTTCTCCGCTGTCAAGTCCCGCTTCCGGCCCAACAATTTCACAACAGACTGCGAAAGCTGCGGAGGATGGAAGCGCTACATCTGGTACGAGTCCATCGCAGTCTCCCCCAGAATCTGCAGTTTTCATCCTTCCCACGCCTACCTCTGGGTCTTCATCAGCTCCTTTGACTTCGGCTTCTTCATCGTCACCTTCTCCTGATTCTAAGTCTCCTTCTACTCCTACTCCAGGTTCTGATACATTGCCTCCATCATCGCTCTCGTCCGCTTCAGCTGGCCAGGATGGAAGGGTTCAAGGTACAGCAATCACGAGCACTCAAACGGTCACGGTCACCCCGGAATCGACCTTTTCGGCACCTGTTTCTATCTCGGAAACTGTTAGCGGCAAAGTCACTTTGACCGCGCCCCCTTTGATCACTGGCATTGCCGCCTCTACACAGTCGGACGGAACAGTGCTTACAGTCACGAATGTGATCTCCAACCCCAATAGCTTCACTTCAGTACATGGGCATTCGTCAGTCCGCTTTCAATATTTCACTTATTGCTTATTGCATCACTCATGGTTGATCTGCCTTAGATTTTTCGACAACCATGGTGCTGTCATTGCCGTATTTCTCGTCAGCGGAATAATTGCGGCTTGCATTGCTGTCACCGCTTTCTGCCTTTGTCGCCGTCGCTATGGCCGCGAACAAGTGGCGGGTTCTCCATCGTTACCTCAAGACCCCTTCCTAGATCCATCTGATTTGCAACCCATGTCCAATGCACATCGCAGAGGTATCGATTGGGGAAGCCATCACGCTGAGCACATTACCGATCAAGGCTTCCAGGATGTCACTGCCACTAGCACTGTCCCCTCCGCCGCTGCCCAGCCTCCGACAATGTCTTCCCCTCTCTTACGCCTGCACTCGAATTTCCCGCACGCCCGCACGCCAGACGATCACGTCGATCGTCTCTCGCAAACGCGAAATCCGTTCGCAGACAACAATCCCGACAATCTTACGCAGTCTAATGGTCCTAACTATCGCTATGAGGGTCCTTTTAGTGATTACTACCCAGAACACCGAACCCTCGTCAGTAGGCCGGTTGGAATTGCATACTCTACTCCATCGGAAGTTGAGCCGACCCATTTCCGAGCAGAATCCCGAGCAGAATCCGCCGTGCCGTCAAGTCCATCCGTTTATCCGCCTTCTCTTCCCGACGAAAAAGCCGATTCTTTTTACGAAAGAGAGGCGTATTCTTCGCCTCCGCCGACTAGCACAGTCGAAGAGGAGAGTCATTTCGACACAATTGTGCTTGATCATGCTAGAGACTCCACTGTGCCAAAATCGGAGCTTACGAAGCCAAAGCGGCTGACTCTCGACACGCCTGCTGAAAATTACGAGTTTACCCCACTCACACCGCCGGGATCGAGCTCCTCACGCTCGCGCTCACATGGTGACAGCCCAGTGTCTGACAACAGCACCGCACTAAGCTCTGTTCTTGACGACAAATCTCGCCGTTCGCCGCCTCGGCCAAAGACGCAGCCTCCTCCGGAAGTTTTTCTGAGAAGGACTTACTCTAAACGTGGCTTCAAACGTGAGCTCTGACTTTTTTCTTTCTACTTATTATCGTTATAAATTATGATGCTCTAGGTGCACCATCTGAAATGCGCTCTTGATTTTAAGCTTCGTAGCCTTGTATGACTAACTTTGGAAGTCTGTATTATGGTCATGACATGTGAGGAATGGTGTATCTGCACGGCACAATGCCTATCAGACCGTCTGTCTCTTGAACTTCTATACGGCCACGTTCACGCTTTACATATATGCGCAAGAACTGCAGTGCTTGGTCATGATTTTTTACATGTGTTCACAAGTAAGAACACAGTTCACGACAAGCATTTAGATGTACAGTAGGTGATTAGTCGCGTTGCATTCGATCCTAGGTTTTCCAAAATTCGATTTCAGAGAAGAAGTATAAAAAAAGGTGACAGGCTTCGCTAGCTTCACTGTGAGCATTGAATAATTATGCAGTCAATATGTACCCAGAGACTCGCAGGAGCGGAGCTAAGCGAATCGGTAGATTCAGTATTGGCAACAACTTGATGTTATAAGTACACATATACAAAAGACCAGCAGATTCCGGTAGTTCAAAGATGAAATGGACTGCCATTAAAGGTGGAACTCAAAAGCCTAAACATCATTGCGGGCAGGGAGATTGACTGTGCCAGAGGCTACCAAAAGGATATATAGGCTCTCCTTATTATCTTCGAAAAAGATGGACGTACGAATGCTAGAGAGCGCACTGTTGATACCTATACCCTTCAGGCGCGACGTGGTCACAGCGGGAGAGGCATTTCCACCGCGAGTGATGAGATACGCAATAAGGCCTGCAACGTGGGAAGTAGCCTGGTGAGGCCAGAAACGCGACACTTCTTCAAGCAGGCGACATTTAACCATTGAAGTACCAGAGATCCTATTGGTAGCCTAGGTTTCGGGATAGATAAGTGAATGAAACGACAATCAGAATACCGTGTTACTGCCAATCCAGGAGCTTGTAATTGTCCTGGAGCAAAGATGTCGACAACTGAACCGAAGTTTGAGAAAGAAGCTCGAGCTGAGGAGACATAGTGAGTTCCCACTACAGAGTACGTCGTTGAATAAGTCCCTCACTGTCATTAATGGTAGAAGCGCCAATGGTGTTGGCCACTCCGACACGAGCTGGGCTGGTATTGTCAGCATTCGCATTGTCGTTTCCAGCTGCAACCTTCGGCGCAAAAATCTTGAGCGATGTATAACACTCTAGCCACAGAGCACCCTACCTTGACATGGATACCTTGGCTGACAAGCTGTACGGGCTGGATTCAGAATCACATCAGCGACCGATGTGTTTGAATATACCGAGGAAACAGCATTTTCTAAGGCAGTTGACGCAGAGCCGCCCAAGCTCATTGTAGCGATGGTGGGCCTACCAGAGGAGCGTGCGGAGGTAGAAACAAAGTTAAGGCCAGAAACGCTGATATGGTCTGTCAATCTGCGACGTGCTTGGATCAATTTCGGGCGTACATGTCAGAGACGGAACCTGATCTATTTAGCTTGTGTTCAGCGAAGAAAGACAAAGTGTGGACGAAGTATGTAACAATCACCCTTGGTCACTGAGCATTTTGACGGCGATCAAATTGGCCGACTAGTCCAGGTATGAGAATATAACAGCAGTTGCTTTGAGGTCGTTTGGTTACCTTCGCTACACCCCGCCTCGAACCAGCGGCGGTCCCACTGAAGAAACACATTATATAGCGATACAAGCACAGATAAAACAAAAACTCACGATACATGAGTTCCATGTCCGTTGCCATCGGCATTCTGCGTACTAATCAGCAGAAATTTAAACCCTCAAAGGTTCGCACTTACGGGGTAACCGCCGAAAGTAGCAGCCCACCTGGCGCGACCACCAAAGTCAGACTGAGTACAAAATGAATGAGACGTGCGATTTTAATTCATGAGTCATGATCTGGGACTTACGTGGCCAGTGAAGATGCCTGATTATGATTGAGAATGTGTAAATCAGAGCTCTGATCGCTGGAGAGTTCAATTCACTGACCGGTATCTAAGAAAATCTCAACATGAGAATGAGATTCTGGTAGGCGAAAGACCTACCAACGACGAGGTATCAACTCCAGCACCAGCAGAGCTGCCAAATCTGTAAACGAAGTTAGTATTAGCGGCTGATCCGCCGACCCACTCCATTCTGGCTAATCCTAGAGAGACTCCGAGAGGCGTTGGTTCTAGGGCATTCATGTGAGAGTGACCTCGGTAGAAAAAAAAAGGTTTACTGAGAGACCGTGGCGGTTATGCGCATGATACCGTCTTCGCTGATGAATGCAACATCAAGAGAGACCTGGAGAGGCCTCGTTGTCAAAGTAGCCTGTACATCGGAGTTAGTTAAGCCGATCGTTTAGCTCTTCCATTGTGGATTTAGACCAACCAGCACAACCATTCAGAAAATCCTCAGACCACTGGTGAGTGATAGATACGTTGGATCCGGCGAGCTGATTGAGCTATTTCAGATGAGTCGTCTTGCTCGCAGTATCCTTCAGCTTGACAGTCAGACGACCGCTGGATGCGCCTTCGACCCTTTGAACCGTCAAGAGGCACGTTGGGGCAGCGAAGGCGGGGACTACAGCAACGAGCGAGGCGAAGATGACAGAGAAGCGCATTATACAGTGCAGAACAGCGGACGGTTCTCGATCTCTCTGTGACAAGACGATGGGATATCGCGACCACGGAGGCTTTTTATACGCAGGGAATCTCTCGAATATCCATGTGGAATGCCCCTTGTCAGACAACCTGACAGGACGGCGTGTGTTCCTGCAACAAAGATTCAGAGGTAAATGATAACGCGAAGAGCGTCTTTTGGAGGGTGGCCCACCCGGGATGCACGGCGTATAACAGCCAAGCCAGTGACTCATATGTATGCAATGCTGTTAAAGGGAAATCAGTGCACGGGTTACATCACGCCTGTAAGACGGGTCAGTGCGCCATTGCAGGCAAAAATGTCAAAAAAAAAAAAGATCCAAAGTCGAGACTACCTGTTCAGAAGACTTCAGGAGTCACCTGTCCCGCACCGATAAATCGTCGATTGTGAACCATGTGAGAATGAACAACTGGAGAAGTATACCAGCCATAGTATATCGAGACACCCGTCCACTTCCAGATGGATGCATAGGTCATTATGCAGTAAAGGAGATATGATTCACAAAACATGTCGTTTAGATGAAAGCAACTCAGCATGGTTGACCGGACACCAGTGTATGGAAACCAAGGTGCTATCATAGCCAGTCATGGGTTGGGGAGCCCAAATGGCGGTGCCAAGACCCAATTGCATCCAGCTTCGGACTTCCAGGCTTCCTTGAAGAGGAGACAAGATAAAAAAGACAAAGGATCGTCGTTATCGGCGCTGTGACATATCGTATACTAGGATCCCAAAAGCCAAGATGATGCCGCCTGCCCCCATCAAGCTCCATACAGTAATAACATCAGTCCCGCCAAGCAAAATATCGGAAAGAAAGACAAGAACAATGGTGAGCAAGTTCCCGACAGATGCTATTATAGGGCCCCAGATGCCAAGGAGAATCTGATGGGAAAAATTAGGACGGCACTCAACCTAATTAGAAGAGACACATACCATGAATCCCGCGTTAAATATGACACCGGTTCCGGCGATGCTAGCGATGGAAAGTACGACAAGAGAGTTCGGCGGTAGTCTGAACGTCTCGACGCCAGAATAGTGAAGGATAGGTATGAATACCGATAGCAATGTAAAGGTGCAAAGCCCGACGATTGCAGTCAAGAAATTGGCATGCAGTCCGAAAGGAGGCGGATAAACTGTATCCACGTCTATTTGATCCTCAAGTAAATCCTCGAAAACACCTTCGGAAAACTCATCACCTGACGCGGATGCACGTGTATAGGCGTCGCTTGACGCAAACTCTAAATCTGAAGGCAGCGTTGCATATCGCTTGTAGAGTACTTGATAGAATCCATATCCCACGGAGGCCACAACAGTCAAGAGATCGCCTGTGAGAGGGGCCTTAGTCGACAGCAAGGAAGAATTGCCTGCGCTTGAGGCGTCCGGCTCTTGACTCCCGCCATATATTACAGCGAGGACGCCCAAAGTTGCGATGCTGACGGCGGCAAGCTTGCGTACTTCCCACCCCAGTTTAAACAGCTTTACTGTGATGACATACGCAAAGAACGCATTGGTGTTCCAAATTGCGGTGACATCGCTAACTCTGTTAAGGATGATTCATGCCCTTCCCACGCAGAGATAGCAAACCATACGCACGGTGCCAGAGATATAGCTGAAAACCAAAGCAAGCCAGGGGCAGTGGCACCCAAAGTAAGGCCTAGTGATAATCGGAAGAACTTGAAAGTCGGAAACTGCGCTGGCTGGCCTGTGAGAAGTGATTGGCTTTGAGGAGCGAGATGTCTTCTAATGGCAAGAAGCAGGCCTCTAAGAAAAGGTCTAGGAGGGGTACGTGTCGAGAGGGCGAGATAAAGCAGATGCAGAGGGAATATGATAAGGAAAGCCGAGTGGACGACATAACTGCAAGGAGTTTAGTTTAGAAGATACAGTTCGTCCTAGAGTAGTGAGTCAACTGACAACAAGAAGAATGGTTGCCGATATCCTAGGCTGCTCTGGACATACTGCAATTATCTGATATGAGAGGTAGACGTAATACCATTGTAGGTCCCGAAAACGTACGTGTGTGAGCTGGCTCTCAGCAACGAAGGCGGAGAGCGTAAAAACGAAGAGGATGACGGCAGTCTTCCCTCCCAAATGAGGAAGCGCCGCGATCCTAGAGTCATCTCCACCATTCATCTTGCTCGAAAAAAACTTCTATGGTGTGCTTGGTGGTCGTAAAGCTCGAGGACATACGTGTCCAAAAATACAAAATAAGATAGGGCACAGGAGAGATCAACCGAATTGGTACGGAAATCGAAATTCCCGTTAGTATAGCTGATCCCGGCGGTAAATCACGTGTTGCTAGAAATTCATGGTCACCGTTGCAGCCGTCCTCCGACCACCTTCAACACAGTCATGTTGCGAGCGCTTCTGACCACAAGCAGGCCTCTCTTGACTCGTTTTCGAGTCGCCCAAACCACGTCTCATCTTTGCCCTCATCACCATGCTCTCGCTCCCCCGGCATCGTCATCCCCAGCGCTGTCAAGAGGCATGAAGGTCCGATCCTCTGTGAAACTCTTGTGCGACGGTTGCAATGTGGTACGACGAAAGGGGAGGCTTTACGTCCTGTGCTCGAAAAATCCGCGTCATAAGCAGGTCAGCTCCACTGCTACCTTTACTCCTTTTGCTTCTGGCTGATAGACTTGTGCAGCGTCAAGGCTGAGCTTATGAGTGATGGTGCGTCTCTCAGTAATGGAATATCTGTTATTAATTCAATTCGCTCCCAGGCTCACATGTTCCTTACCTTCCGCGAGTGCTACGCCATATTATTCAGACGTCTGCGGTCCATAGGCTTATATGCCTTTGGGAACACTTCAGAGACTTGCTGTCATCATTTATGAATCTATCGCAGGTGAACCACACCCCGTGTTCAAAATATCAATGCTATCCTTGAAGCCTCGAGGGCTTCACGGGCCTCCAAAAAATAAAGATATAGGTAACACGCAAAGTCCAATATTATCAAAATGTAATGAAGTACGGCCCTGCTATGCGCGTTATACCGCAGTCTTGTTGTAGTACTGCCCCTGATAGTCATGCAGCGGCACTTGGTCTTCTGAGAGGCGTCTATCGTAACTGCTGCCGAAGTCAGGCTGTGCTAGGAGTCTCCCTGGGTGGAAGTAGTTTAGCGCATAGATAGCGAGCACAATCATTGCCCCATCAAAGAGATCTATACAACAGTTTAGTGGGCGCGCAGAGCGAAGACGACGAGACTGACTGAAAAGGATCTGGGTCTCGATGATCTTTCCCGTAAATCCGTCGATGAGTTCCACGGTGCGGTAGATAGACCTGCGCCGACAGGCTTGATCAGAATGGCGGAAGGAAGGAGGTCAGCGAATAGAACTCACCGAATAAAGATACAAGTCGTCATGAACACCAAACCGCCAATCATAGATTTCAAGGGCATCGGTATTTCAACTTTTCTGTTGGCGCCCACTTCGGTATAGTCTTTCTTCAGTGGTCTATTCTTCACGAGACGGAAAAAAAACTCGGTGGCCAAGATCACATATACAATGATGGCAACTAAATGCTGTCAGGATCAAACTCATGCTTGTATAGACGAGTCACTTACTCATCTGGAAGATGATGCCGCCGAGCATGATATGCCCGCCCTAATCGAGACATCAGCCATTCGGAGGAAAGCATATCTGTGAAGAGGCGCACCGTTTCCGGATCTTTGTGATCAGAGACGGCCTTCGACGCGACGGTTCCGCCGTAAGCCTGAACAGTAAGAGCTACAAGATCCTGATTTGCGAGACGTCAGATGGTTCAAGAGCATTAATCAAAAGACTCACGCAAGACAGGAAAATGTAGCCATCTGCATCACCACAGCACGTAAGCTTCTCGTTCTACAACGCATGTACGCGGATCAGCCTACAGAGTTTCGGTGGCAGTCGGCTATACTGAGGGCCGAGTAGATGGATGAGTTTTTCGAGGATGATGAAGTTTGTCGCAAGCAGAGGCGTTGGCCCTATGATGGTAGCCGTCGTCCTGGAGTGCACGGTCAATCGCTGTGTTCCCAACGCGATCCTCAAATCCATATAACCCACTGAATGATATAAGGTTTGAGTAGCGCCGGTTTCTGGCTTGACCAGAATCGTGCGGCCCATCCTGCACATTCTAGTACGCCTGCTAAAAAGGCCGTTGGCAGCAACCACCAGACTCTGTAATAGAATGCTTGGAAGAAATGTGTCACTGAGTGGAGGCTGTCAGCATCATGAAAGGCGAGTATTGCAAGTGAGGGACTGACATGTCGAGACAGCAAAAAGCCCGAAAAACATGAGGGTGATCCACTCTGTAGGCACATAACCGTAGGGGGAGTGAGCTGCGGGATCGGCTGCGACTGTGCTATTGGAACCTACACGAAGAGTCAGCTTTCATCCTCATGAGTACGTCGTTAGCAATACTCACTCATGGCGAGGGAGGTCGCAAACACGAAGGTAAGAGGGGAAGGGTGGATACAAGACACAATTGTCCGCCTTATATGCCCTCAGACCACGCCCGGCACGCTGGAAGCCATAACAGAAAGCATTGCCGCTGATCGCCGCCTTCCGATCCAGCCTCGCAGCGCTCGCCTGTAAAGACGCACACATTGCTGTAAATACACGCGTCTGCCCGCGGAACCCGACACAGACGCGCGTCAAAACAAAAGCGGAAGTCCGGTCTCTCGGGGCAGTGCACGTTGATACCTCATTGGCTGCAACGATGCGATGCATAGTTCCCCGTACACTGTACGTGTGTGAGACACCGAACAAGACTGAACACAGCTGCCATAAAGCAATGGAATACTGGAGTATGCGATGAAAGCGATTATACAAACATCGACGGGGACAACACACCAGAAAACTCGACAGAATACAGTTCTTTTGGACTTCACGCACCCCACTTCTTATACTCACTTCCCTGGGGAGGCTTCACCTCGACCCGCGCCTTGGAGACCTCGTCCCAGTTGGTGCTCAACGTCGTTCCTCCGCTCTCCTGGTAGCTTTTCATCATCGCGCGCTTTGTGTCCTCGTCTGCGTCTTTGAACAAGTCTTGGAAGAACTTGTTGACGGTGCTGTCGCCGGTCACATTGGGGTCCTCGGCACTCGATTTTTCTTTTTCGGATGCCAGAATGTCCGTCGTCAGCTTATCCCAGTTCTTTTGAGCTTGAGGCAGCGTGCTGCCTGAGGGCTTGGGAGCTGAGGCCGGTGCGCTGGGGAATGGAGAGAGGGCTGTGCAGAGTACGATGAGTGATTGAGTATAATTGGCGGACGTTCAAAGTACGCACGGTCTGGTGCATTGCCCACGAGAACGCCCCAGCGTCCTTGTGCAGCCTTGACGAGACGCATCTCCACCTTGACCTTACCCACGACGAAACTACTCTTTTCTGGATCAATCTGGCCCTTGAGCGGCTCGAGTTCGAGCTTCTTATCTCCGTTCTCGTACACCACCTAGCAGGCAAGGATATCGTCGATGAGCGCCCAGTGCCACAACAAAGAATGTTCACCTTTCTCGGTTGGAACGTGATGTTCACAGACACCGGATCGGCGCCTCGGTCGAAGATGGTAAGTGTGAGTTTTTCGTCAGTCTCGTAGAATTCGTGCCTAGATGAAACGCGTGAAACGGGGGCAGTAAGACGTCGGCAGACTGGACATACCTGAGGGTAGCCATTGTGCTTCTGCTAACTCTGAGGGGAGTGGCGTGCAGGTGCTTGAGTGGAAGGCAGGACGCCCAGGTCACCACTTTGTGCTTGCATATCTGTTTGTTTTCAAGGTGCTCTAGAAAGTTCGGCACGTGAAGCACCTGCGATATTAGCCACGCCTTCCAAATCCGTCGTCCCAGCGTCTCTCAAACCGTCCTTCGACGAGCCTGACTAGACAACCCTTTGAATGCTGGAGGACGAGCATTCACCCGGTCTCTGGGATGCCTCTGGTGCGCTGTGCCTGTGAAGCTGGCCCTTTCCTGCCTGGAGGCCTCGAGAAACGGAGTAGATCTGTCCAGATGGGCTACAATGATGTCATAGCCTCAGCTGGCGGTCTCCAGTTCAGGCCGTCTCACTTGACCTCTACCCCACCTTTCCAAGTTTCTACCATTCCTTGATCTCCCCCCCCTCCATCATCATGACCACCTCCCCGCCGAAAGCGATACCCAAGGCGGTGTTGTACTATGACCAGAAGTCTGTGTGGTCATCGGCCGGTAAATACCATTCTTTATTCTCTCGCATTTCCCGCAGAGGCCTGTCATTTCATTGACCGACTGAGTACAGTACGAATCGCTCTGTACGTCTGTTTCTCTGCTTCCTGTGCATGTGTTAACTTCTAGTGTCCTTAGGGAAGAGAAAGGGTATGGAGACGATGAAGTCGATCTGAAGATTGTGCATTTGGGTATGCAATCTGCTTTCTATTCCAGACGCGTCACTGACGGGCTCCCAATATATCTAGAGAAAGGAGAAAATTACTCTCCCTCATTTCTAAGGTTGAATCCAAACGGTGAATGGAGTCCTTGCTATCGTACATCATATCCAACGAGCCGCGTTTCTGTAGGAACCGTCCCAACCTTGATCGTCCCCTTCGAGGACACCTTGTCCGCAGACACAGAGAGTCGTTATAAGGCTGTTACAGACATCACCGTAAGACCTACCGCATATTCGCCGCCGTATGCTCGAACTCGCTTTGCAGGCTATCATCCAACTTTTGGACCGATCGCGCTCCGTGATGTCGCGGACCCATACAACCTCATACGCTCCCGCGCCAGCTCTCTCCCCCGCGACAATCTCCCTCTCCTCACTGTCCACGACCATCATCAACCTGATACATTCAGGCCCCGCCTCTCCCGAGGCCCTCTTCTTCTTCAATGCGCGCGATGTCCCGACGCTTCGTTCCGTGTCGAAATCAATCCTCCCCTTCCTGCGTGGACGGAACGACGCTCTCGCTCGCTACCTCAGCGAGAACGAGACGAATCCCATCCGCGTGTCAGAGAAGACGAAGAAGTTTTGGAACGAGAAGAAGCGGACAACAGAAGAGATGCTGACGGCGATGGCTAGTGCTGATAAGGACGACGCGCAGCTGAACGCTGCTGACAAGAAAGCGCGCGAGGAGTACTTTGAGAGTACGAAAGCGGCTTGGGAAGTCGGGCTATCGTTGGCGTTGACCAAGCTGAGCAAAGAGCTCATTGGCCCTTACGCCCTCGGTAAGCCGGTTACCCAAAGACTGAACGGGAATTTTCTTCCTCGCATTCGGCGCTGATACAAGTATGTTCATGCAGGTGATCAGTTCTCCATCACGGACGTTCACGTCACGGCTTGGCTCGCGTGGCTTGTCGGACTGTCGGGAGGTAGTGTGACGGATAGCGGCGCGGTTGCCATTGGCAGATTGGAACAACACATTGGAGGTGGTTTCAGCCTTGCGAAGGATGCCTTTCCGCCCAGCGCGCAAGTGCCGAGCGTCGATGGACCTGCCGCGCCCAAGGTGGATGCTCAGGCGAAGTTGGCGATTATATGGGATGCGGTCAAGGAGCGGGCGAGCTGGAAGAAGGTGTATGGCGATGGTATATAATATTCTGCTGGCTGGCGAAGATGCATGAGAAATCGAGGAGTAGTACTTTGACGTCCATAGCTAGCCGATTGAGGAGATGGAACAGATGACCACAAAAAGTACTCACAGCACTCACAGAGGGCATCATGAAGACGGCGCACCGATATGCATCTCGTTCGAGGCTCGAGGCCAGGCGTATGCATGCCCGACACTGAAGAAATCCGGTACCAAGAGAAGCTGGACCCGTTCACATGTTTGCGATAGGCGAATGAGCTTATATGATGCTGTGTTTGGAAGTAAACATATACTTGTGCCGCCTTGGATGCCCGACCGTCAGCGAAGCTACACACCCGGGCACACACTCCTGCTCCCGGGCACACACTCCTCCTCATCCCCTCCGTGTTCCCTGCAAGAGACGGACGTGTGCGTGGGCGTCGTCGCAGCCGAGAGCTGGTTTCGGACTTTGGTATCTGCTCATCAGTGCTCGTTTGATCGTCCGTCCCCGACCGACCGGACGCCCTCCGCTCCTTGACTCCCGCCTTGATGGTCTTTGGCTTCCACTCGCCCCCACCGCTGCCCCCGCCATCCGAGGACCGCGATGAGCTGGGCCCCGACTCTCCCTCGTCCGCCCGCTCCTCTTATCCCCTCACCGCACATCCCCGCATCCGCTCCTCCTTCTCCTCATCCCCCTCGTTCGAGCTCGCAGGCCGTCCGGACATCCCTTCGCACTCGGGCTTGCTCTCCGCCCCCTCCACCAGACCCAATCCCGGCTCCTCCGTCTCCTCCGTCTCCTCCACCGCAATGAACACCCCCGTTCCCTCGCGCTCAAACTCCCCCATGCCTCCCCATTATTTTTCTGGCATGTCCTCCGCGTCCACCTCCGACACCGACAGCGAACCGAGCTCGCCGCTTCTGGGCGCGACCATGCTCGGCGACTCCCGTCGCGAATCGTGGCTCAGAGACGAACAGCGCCGCTGGTGGACCCTCGGTCCCGACTCGCCTCGTAGGCGCAGAGTCCACCGGAGCTATACCTTCAGGGTAGCGAGAAGGGCCCTCAAGAAAATCATCCGACATCCGCTCTTTCCCATAAGGCCTATACCTATCGTGCGTCCCTTCCCGTCCCTTCCACATCAACGCTAAAACGTGTCCACCCTGATAGCTCCTGACACTCCTTCTTCTCGCATCCTTGGTCGTATCGATAACCCTCCTCCTAATACACATTCTCAATCCGGACAAAGAACCCTTACCGTGGCGAGCGTATTGTGCAGCACCATCGACGTCCACAGCGCCGCCCTCCCTCCATGCTCCAGCTACTTCGGCTCCCGATCTCTCCGCAATATCATCTGGCCCTTCATTAACTCCCTTCCCTCCGAGCAATCTCGACTCTTTGCCACCAGCTGGCATCCTCATCGGTGTATTTTCTATGGATTCTGCATTTGAACGTAGGATGCTTGTGCGCACGACCTGGGCAAACCACCCGCGTAGTCGTGAGGGCGCCGGACAGGGCGACGGTGGAAATGGCACCTCTAGGACGGTCGTGCGCTTCATACTAGGCCAACCGCGGAAAACTTGGGAGCGTAGAGTTCAGTTGGAGATGGAGAGTACGTGGCGCCCCTCTACTGCGCCCGTGAATTTTACTGATCTGCTTTCGCGTGACAGAATACAACGACATCGTCCTCCTGCCCATCCCGGAGAACATGAACGCTGGCAAGTCGCACGCGTTTTTCACCTGGGCTGCCACGGATGCGTGGGTCCCTCCGCTCTACTTCGACTCCAACGTGCCGCTCCCAAAATTCTCTTACTCGAACGAGACTATCCCTCCCCCTCGCCTTGCCCGACACGACCCCGCACATACGTGGGTCGACAGCGACTCTCCTCACCCACAGCCCTGGGTGCGACCCGACTTTGTCGTCAAGGCCGATGACGACTCGTTCGTGATGATCGCAGAGCTCGAGTCACGGCTGCGCCTGGAATTACACGAGAAGCCCGCGCACTATGGAACAGCGGTACGGCTTAGCGACCAGAATCATCATCTTCTGGCCCTGCGCGATGATGGTCTGCCAAGCTCATCGCCCTCCAGTGATGCCGACTTGTCCGACCTGTCCTCTCTGGCGCCCTACGAACGACTAGCCGAGTCGGGCGTGCCGGATTCACCTGTCCCCCGTGATTCCGGTTCGCTGTCTGAACACGACCCGATGATTTACTGGGGATACTTGGTGAAGAACCGCTTCATGGCGGGCGAACTGTACGCGCTCAGCTGGAGCCTCGTCGACTGGGTTTCCAAAGACACGGCCGTGAGGGGCCTCACGCGCGGCGCGGAGGACAAGCAGACTTCCAAGTGGATGCGCTTGCACCCCCGTGCCGACGAGGTGCGATGGAAGAGTGAGCGCTGCTGGATATACGATCATCCCCGCGCGGGGACTGTGTAAGTCGCAGCGAGCCACACCTGCACTGCTCCCTGTCCCTCGAAAGTGCCTGCATATTGATCTTGGCGTGTGATCTTGGCACAGATATTCGCATGGCTTCCTTTTTCCATCGGAAGCGGCGCGCGCTCGCCGCGGGATCATGTCGTACTTTGATAAGACGCCGCAGGATCTCAATGGGCATTTACCAGCGTCGTCGACAGCTCCCGCTGGTGCGGGCGGGAATGCGCCTATTCCTTCGGCTTGGTCAACTTCCACGGTGACTTTGTTCGGGACGCGGTATGTACCACCGTTGTCAAATTTGACATCACAGCAGAGCGTCGAGGCACTCGTGGAGGGCAGTGACATGTCACTACTTCAAGAAGGTGTGTTCACCTTACTTCGTTGGGTACGACAATTAACGGCATCTGAATGATGTCGATTCGTTGCAGGGGGCACTCTCACTGCAGAGGACGCTTGGGTGCAGCGCGAGGGCCGCAGGACACGGTACGAGAACAAACGCGTGGGCGGGACCGTCGTCGTGCACTTTATCAAGAAGAACATGTGGTTCCTGGAGGCGGCGCTGGCCCTCCTCGAGGGTGACGAGGAGACCGAGCTCGACCAGAGCCGGCATCAGTATGTGTCCAAGTGGCGGCACCCGCCTCCGGAACGCGGGCGTACGCATTCGCATCGGCGACGGCGACGGTAACAGCGGCTAGTTCAGCGCGCCGCCGTTGCGGCGCGCTGAGTCGAGCTGCTGATTTCTTCTGTTTCCCCGTTGCTGCTGTTCTTGTTGCTCTTTGAATGCTGTCTGGATTGTCGCCTGTGTACGAGTATTGCTCCGTCCCGTCCCGCCCCGTCCCCTCACCCGTGGTCCCCACTCACCTCATTGCCCACCCGCATCCATCTACTTACTGCATCTAAACAAACAAACGACCCTCCTACATACCCCCGCATCGTCCGCCCCATATATAACTTCAACGCCGTCCGTCCGTCCGTCCCACCGCAGCTTGCAACTCTTGTACCCCAAAACAGCCATCGTCCGCTGGCGTATTCATCTCTTCACTCGTGGCCCCGCCCCGCCCCGTCGGGTGGGCTGCGCGCGGACATACATACATAGCATAGATCGCTTTTTCTCAGGACTGCATTTGTTTGACTGCGTTCGTGTCATATCATTGATTTTATTGGTGCAGAGTATAATTATCGGCACGATCTGAGACCACGCTCAAGTTGCTACTGTAAGTATATCTGGGCCTATCGCGAAGGCCGCCGCACATTATGCCTTCCAGCGGGGAGAAGCGCGGGAAAACATCACAAATATCCCTCCTCCTGACGCGGTGGCTTCTGAAGGCAGATGTAGACGTCTTGCGTGTAGACGACGCCAACAAATGCAGGGGGAGCAAGGAGGGCCCAATTAGGCACACGGCTGTTCAGCCCGACGTCGTATAGCCGAAGCACTGAGGTATCTTGATGTATGTGGTCGAGTGTCTGATAAGGTGTCTGATAGGGACTAGACCAGAAAATGCAATGCGAGATAGGCTATCACGCCGTAGCCAAAAAAAATGAGGGTGGAGGGGGTGTGGCAAATAATGGTGCGGTGAAATTAAGGATAGACATGCTGCGTCGGCGGCGGCTGTCGGCAGGCGCGACGCAGCTCGGGTTGCTTGGCTTAGCGTGTCGGGGGGTCAGTACAGTACCACTACTACTACTCAGGAAGGAGTCCTTGTCCGCGAGCACTAAGTAAGGGGGACAAACGTGTGTACGTGCGTGTGTGCATTCGTGTGCATATATACAAGCGAGTCTCGCTCAATCGTCCGCGTCTGGTACGTTCCGCACCTGCGACGACACCCGCGGCGTCAGCGTTCTGCGCTTGCTTGTTTAGTTCGAGGAACGTCAGGGACGCACCTCCAGAACAGGTCGTGAATAATCAACGTCATCCCTCGGCTCATCTCCGCTCTCCGTCCCGCCTCTCAACCTCGCGTCCGGCTCCCCAGACACCTCCCCCTCCTCCGTCGTCTGCTTCTGTCCCGCAGAATTCCGCAGTGGATTCCTCGGCGGCGGTGTCGGCGCGCGGGTCTCCCCGTCGTCCGCAGATCCAGGTGTTGTGGGCGACGCTTGCGACGACATGTTCGCCAGCAGCGGCTCGTAGCTGCCCGCGCTGTACCGTGGAATGTGCCCCGAAGGCGAGTGCCCGCTCGTGCGGTCCGCGCTCCCCACACTGTCTTGCGGATAGTGCCCTGTGCCCGGGCCCGGTGGAGGGCTGGCTGTGCGGGCTGGGATGTAGCCCTGCGAAGCGGGACCGGAACCCGCGACGGGCCCGTAGGGTGCGTATGGATCGAAGCCGCGGCCGACCCCCAGCTCGTCGTCCGTGGGCAGCGAGAGGTTGCCGGAGCGTTGCGCCATTTGGAGTGATCCTGAGCCGCCGCGATGTCGCAACGCGCCGCGGCCGGCCTCTTCGTCGTCGTCATCGTCGTCAACCAGGGGGGTGCGGTTGAAGCCCACCGCGGCGAGCGTGGCGGACACGGCCGTATCGTGCTCGAGCCTGCGTGTGCGTCGTCGTCTGCGGACGAAGAAGAATATCCAAAGGCAGATCGTGGCGGCTGCCAAGCCGACGATGAGGAACACGCCCGCTACTGCACCCTTGTTGTTGAAGAACCTGCTCACGCGCGGCGGGTTCAGTAGCAGTGAGACACAAATAGAATGGTAGAACCCACTGGGAGCCAGAGTGCGAATTATCATCAGGGCTGAGCGTGGGATTCGCGATGACCTCCGTCACAGTCGTAGCACCCCCATCGCTTTTCGTCGAAATGAAGGTCGATGTGATTTCTGGAGGAGCGGTAGTCGCGGTTTGTCCAAGGCTGTTGGTAGTGGTGATGAAAACTGTACTCTGAAAGGTCGTTCTGCGAACAACGGTATAAATATAGATGGGCAGTAGGCTCGGTCCGATTTTACTCACGTCGCGGTTTCGACTCGCCGAGATGTCGGGGAATTCGATGTTGGGGCGGCTGAGGAGACAGAGGGGGGACTGGAAGAGGTATTTTGATCGGAAGTAGAAGAAGCCGGTGATGAGGAAGTGGTTGGAGGCGGGGTAGAGGAAGTGTCGGGTGTAGAAGAGGTTGGTTGGGGAGTAGACGAAGGAGTTGTGGTCTGTTGTTGGCTGGTCGTAGGTGAGGTCGACGATTGGGTGGGTGTGGTGGAGGATGGGGCTTGTGTCGAAGTCGGCGCCTGTGATGAGGGAGTTGAAGTTGCGGAGGAAGAGGGCGGCGTGGAAGAGGCAGGGGAAGAGGAAGAAGGCGTCTGGGAACTAACCAAAGCACCGTGAGTGGTATGCAGTGTCGTCGAGACAGGCCGAGAAGAGCAAACAAAGGGAGGTACTCACGACGCGGGGCTGGCCGAGGCTGTATCCGATGGGAGAATGGTGGAGGGGGACGAAGGTGCAGAGGTGGGTGGAGGAGATGATGAATTAGATGGGGCAGCAGATGAGGGTAGAGAAGATTGGGAAGCAGATGGAGACGGGGAAGACATGGACGAGGAGGCGTTGGACGGGGAAGGAGAGGGGGATACAGTAGGTGACGGGACAGATACAGATGCGGAGGCCGTTGCAGATAAAGAGGAAGAATCGGGGGGAGAGTCAGTACCGGAGACTGGAGCAGACGAGCCTTGAAGAGCAGAAGAAAGCAAAGGTATGAGGCGTCGGGACAGGACAAGCAAGGAAAATAGAAAGAGAGAGCGTGGCCGACGCTCGACCAGGTTACGGGGCTCGACGTCGGCGCATGGCTCGCGACAATTCCGACAAGCGAACGGACGAAAGCACTGTACTCACCTGTGGAAGCGGCCTGGGACGAGGACGACTGCCTTTTGACGAGAAGGTCGGGGGTCATGTCTTCATGATGCAGCAGAACAGAAATGCGGGAGGCTGCTCGCCGTGTGCGTGCTGTCGCATATCATCTCGGACGGTCCGTTCTTCCCCCGTGGGAGCATGCGCGTCATGCCCTGTGGCTGCAGCGCCCGCGTCCTCTGGCATGGCAACTTCTTGCAGCGCCCACCGACATCGTCCATGACCGCACCCGATCCCCACAGCCGCGTGTCTCGACATACGATCCGAGGTGTATGTTGAGTGCGCCCATTCGGTGCTGCTGTCCCCGTCGTGGGTGCGACGTACGTGTTCGAGGTGTACCAGGGTACACACCCTCATAAGCCGAAATTGGCATCAACCAGCGCTTATTGGGCTTGCCGCCTTTGCTCCTCTTTCGTTAACTCAATTGCCGTCCAATGCTCGTCAAGGACCAGCCTCCAGAGGAGCCCACGTCGCGTCCTCTCGACGAACCAGGCCCATCGGCTGCACCCCCTCCGACGTTTGAGGAGAGCGCAGGACACATCCTTATTGACTTCGATCAGACAGACGCCGTCATCCCTGGCGGTGGCGAGGACCCTCCTCCTGTCTTCACTCCGTACACCGCCGAATTCTTTGTCTCAAACGACGGCGCCATCATCACACACGACCCGCATCTCAACGAGGATGGTATGCCGCATTACACCCCACGTCTATTCACGCGGCCTGTCTCCGATTAACATCTTCCATTCAGGCGAAGCGCTATACCGCTTTCTGCTTACCATGTCGCTCACCTATCCGACGTACGCATTGCACTGCAAGGGTACCCATGTCGAGCACCGCACGCGTCTGGTGAGCACCACGGACAGCAATGGACATCGGCAGACCAAAACCGAGCGCTACACTGAGACGATCACCGACTTTGACTTCTCTATCGACGTGGCTCAAACCATCGCGTCCAAACCCACGCAATGGACTGTTGGCGACGAAGAACCGGCATATCGTGGTCGGATGGTCCGCGAAGTCGGCATCCCTGGCTTCACTCGCAAAGCGTTGCACGACGAGATTAAGGAGGCCAAGTCTTGGCGCGTCGAGCGCAGTGCCCAAGGTCTTCCACCTTGGATCACCAGAGGCAATGTGCGTCTGCCAACAGAGGGGATGGAGATGCCGCTCATGCGCGACGTCACCAAATCTTCGTGGACACTTCGTCAGTGGGCAGACGATTACTGTGCAAGCTCGAAGTACCTCAAGGAATTTATTTACTACAAGGTCTCTCATCCCTCTGTGCTATCTGGCAGTGCACTATGCTGACTTTATACCTTCCACATATATCAGGTTACCTATGGCTGGAACGTCGAATCCTTGACCGCTGCAGTCCGCTCCGCGATCCTCTCAACGCACTACACCGGCGACATCAGCATTGAGTTCAAATCGTCCATGGATCGCTTGATTGTACGCCCCGACACGCGCCTCTCTCGCGCGCTCTCGAACCACTGGCTCAAGCTCCTCTTGATGATCACGCTCATTTACCCCTTTATTTGGCTCTTCCGCCGCTTTCACGCGCGGGGCGGCGGGCTTTGGGCCGTCGGAGGCGCCGCGTTTTCGCTGAAGAAATGGGAGCCTGCGCAGGGCGGTGCTGGCATTGCCGAGCTGCGTGCGAAGTACCCGATGCAGAGATACACCGAGACGAGCGAGGGGGTACAGATACTCGCCGGCGCGCGCGAGGGCGAATGGTTCCAGCGTTGGGAAGGCACGATCCGGAGGGCGGTCGCGGCGAAAAAGGTCGACCAGGCGCCGATGCGCGAGCCGGACGACGTTCCCGACTACAACATCCAGGCCTTGGACGGATATTCCGGGTGACAGTGTTGGCGCTGATCTGTCTTTTGCTAGGGTTTTGTTACCTGCAACGGCTCATTTTTATTGTACTCGATACATACACCGACTGTTTTTCGAGCAAGGTCAGCCACGGAGAATATGGTACTCACCGCTCAACATTCAGACACACGTTGTTATATCAATACGGTACTCACCACTCACCATCTGGGGACGCGTTATTATGTTGATGAACAGAAATTCACGAAAAGAGACCCGGCAAGGTGTGGACTGCTTTGATGCGTATACACAATCCAAAACAGAAAGTACAATGCGTTCAAACGGTAGGTATAAAACGGAAGGTGTCCTCGGGCATAATCCCCGAGCCCGAGTCAGCCGAAAAAGGCATGCCCGAGGCCGAAAAGCGCTTTTTGGGTAGAGGTCTGGTCGGTTGTCCCCGAAGAGCTGTATAGTTTCTGATAAGTGGCTTGTGCCCAGTCTTCCCAGAAAGGAAATTATCGCCATCCGTACGAGGAATCACAAACTTCGCAAGCCGCCCTCGCGTCAATATCCTCCCCCTCCGTCCTCAAGACTATCGCTAAGTATGGCCGATCAAGTGCGTACTCACTGATTCAATGTTGTCGTATTTTTGAACTTATGGTCCTGCACGTAACTTAGATCGAAAAGGCTTTCCAGAAGCAGCCTCTCTTCCAAAACACGAAGACGCGTGGTGCGTACATTCGTGTCAGATACGTCTTGGAGAATCAACCCTGATTATAGATGCGATGAAATGTCCGGATGTTTGATGCTGGGGTGGTGCAGTTGGAAAGAAGGTTTCCACCAAAGATAAGCGGTGGTACAAGGACGTCGGCTTGGGCTTCAAGACGCCTTCTGATGCCATTAGCGGCACCTACATTGGTGCGTTTCCTTGATATTGCGCATGACCTGGGATGCTTAATTGGCGGTGTCGATGCCTGCGGGCGATAGATAAGAAATGCCCCTTTACTGGTGAAGTTTCTATCCGCGGTCGCATCCTGACAGGCCGTGTCGTGTCCACGAAGATGACCCGCACCATCGTCATCCGCCGGGACTACCTCCACTATATCCCCAAATACAGTGCGTCCCGTCTACGTTGATGCCTTGTCCGTCGGGCTCAGTTTGCTTGCAATTGCTTGAAAGACCGTTACGAGAAGAGACATAAGAACTTGGCGGCGCACTTGTCGCCCGCGTTCCGTGTTGATGTTGGTGATATTGTCACTGTTGGTACGTGCTCCTTGTCTGTTGATTGTGTGGGCGCAGCTCTCATCCGAGATCATAGGCCAGTGCCGACCACTCTCAAAAACTGTCCGTTTCAATGTTCTCCGAGTGTCGAAGAACAAGGCCGCGGTCAAGTTCGGCAAGTTCTAGGGGATGGGCTGAGGTGGACGCGGGGGTTCTTATTTTGCATCGGCTGTCACTTTCCTGTTCATGTCGCGCTATGCTATGCACCAAAAATGAATATTGCTCCTAGTATGCGCTGTATTTGTATTCGTGCGCGTGAGAAGTGGTGAGAATGGAACACGGGCAAGGCGACGGATGACCACGGATAAGTCAGTAGATTGAGGCCAAATACGGACCAAACATCGAGGCTTGGTGCTCAGCCCAACATACGGCTGACTATCATTACGTCTGTGCTCATCACTCGACGACCACCGCCTCTTATTCCATATCTTTTTTCTCTCCCCTTCTCTTTCTTCCCCACCGAACGCTGTCCAATCTGGCGCCAACACTCCTTTCCGTTTTCACCAGTAGGCTGAACAAGTCTAGATCCCACTCGCCACAGCCAGGCTCTCCATCGACCTCTTCTCAAGGCGCCCCCATGGGACAGCAGCCCTCCAAAAAGTCGAGGAAGGGGGGGAAGGACAAGGACAGGGACGCAGCCGCCGCCGACGCTGAGGCCTCTGCTGATGCCGCTTCGGCCGATGATACACTCCAAGGAAGCCTGTCCCGTGCCACTAGCGCGAACGGGGGCACTTCAGCCAAGGTCGGCAACGGTGTCGACCCCTCGGGCGCGCAGTCCAACCACGCCAACCACAATGGAGACCAGATGGCGCACGCGGGCAGCGGCCTGCGACCGCCTGGGTCTCAGGGCATCCCAAGCCATTCGAACCATACCCTTTCACCCAATGATGTTTCAGGTTCTCAGTCCAACTCTGCCGTTTCTCCGTCCACTTCCCCCGCTCACGCACGCAAACCCCCTCCCCTTGATATTCCCGCTACTCAGACCATCTTATCCACGCCAGGTTCGCTCACTTCCGGCTCCGCGGGCAGCAGTATGCCCATGGGCGAGTCCGTAAGCTCCGCTGGCATGAGTCTTGGCAAGGACAAGCTCAAGTCTTTCGATATTGATGACATGATTCAGCGTCTCCTCGACGTCGGGTACACAGGCAAAGTGAGCAAGTCGCTCTGCCTCAAGAATGTCGAAATAGCCTCGATATGTCACGCCGCGCGGGAGGTCTTCCTCAGCCAGCCCACCCTCATTGAGCTTTCTCCGCCCGTAAAGATTGTAGGCGACGTTCACGGACAGTATTCCGATCTCATACGCCTCTTTGAGATGTGTGGATTTCCGCCGGCCGCAAACTACCTCTTTCTCGGAGACTATGTCGACAGAGGAAAGCAGAGTCTAGAGACCATTCTGCTCTTGTTATGTTATAAGATCAAATATCCGGAGAACTTCTTCCTCTTACGGGGGAATCACGAGTGCGCCAATGTGACGAGGGGTATGCCGCCCCAGACTTGTGCATCCTCGCTTTGGCTGATCAATCTTTTGCTTTTTTATTCCCGGCCGTGTGTAGTATATGGTTTCTATGACGAATGCAAACGACGGTGTAATATCAAGACGTGGAAGTCCTTTATCGACGTATTCAACTGCCTTCCCATCGCCGCTATAGTGGCATCCAAGATATTCTGCGTTCACGGAGGCCTGTCACCTTCCCTGCAATCTATGGAAGACATCAAGGCCCTTCAACGACCGACAGACGTGCCCGACTATGGCCTTCTGAACGATCTGCTTTGGTCGGACCCGTCTGACACTGCGGTCGATTGGGAGGACAACGAGCGGGGTGTCAGCTATTGCTTCGGTAAAGCCATCATCAATGATTTCCTGGTTCGCTACGACATGGACCTGATATGCCGAGCGCATATGGTGGTGGAGGATGGATACGAGTTTTGGAACGATCGGACATTGGTAACGGTCTTCAGCGCGCCGAATTACTGCGGAGGTACGTAGGCGTTGGTAACTACGAGTGCCGACATCAACTTATCCCGTCTTCGACAGAATTTGACAATTATGGAGCGTGTATGAGGTTTGGCTATTCGGATTGCTCTCTTGGTAGATTGTCTAAACGGTGGATTCTCTTGCAGTGTTTCTGAGGACCTCCTATGTGCCTTTGAATTGCTCAAGCCGCTGGATGGGCCCGCTCTGAGGAAGGAGATGACAAAGGCGAAGCGGAAAAGGCAAGTATTCTGTGAACCTGGCCTGTCAACCCTGACTGACCAAGCCCCACATCACAGCATGATGAATGCTGCTTAATTCCAGCCACTGCGGCTCTGATCACCACCATGGGGAGTTTATACGAGTATATTGTGTGTCGCGTTTTTCATCAAAGCTTGACGGCCTATGGCGCGAAGGGGGTTGTGAGGTAATTGGAAGACGAGATTGGCACTCCCAATCCGTTATTTTGAAAGGAGGAGCTTTGATTTTCTCTGTCGCAGAGCCTTGCGGTTCTTGTCGACGTGGATTCATACAATGCTGCCCCCACCATCTGGACGAATTACGAGGGTGCGTCAGAGCTGGCACAGCATAGACACTACCAGCTGGTCTCCGTCTCTGGGTCGCTCCCTTCACGACGCTATCATCATCTCTTTTTTTCTTTTACGCCCAAACGCCGCATTGATTCTGACTCGGGGCTGGCCAAGTCGCGATTTTTTTTGTACGCGGGCACGGTTCACCCACCGGGGGGCTCTTGGCTGTCATAGGATGTTTGTTACTACTTTCGTTTGAATCCGTCAATCATCTCTTCGCTGTTCTCTGGGTGCTGTCGTATTTCCTTTTTTTTCCAGTACTGTCATTGTCTACGTCTTCCCTTTGCTACCCGCCGCCCTGTGTGCTTTAGTCGAGTCGAGTACGATACTGTGAAGGTGCGTTTCTTGGAACCAGGACTTGTCGCTCAATTTGTTTTACACATCATTATCTTCGCACTCGACTTTTGTCACCGTATATTGTGTCTTCTGGTGAATGTATTTAGGTTTTGCATTGGGATGCATGTAGCTATTAGAAATGAATGTCGTGAACGTCGAGGCTGGCTGCACGTCCCTGCTCGGTACTGGTCTCTCCAGGCGAGCTCAATGGCGACGCGATCGGCCGAGGCTGCGCGTCACGTCATAAGTCACGGACGCGCGTTATTTGGCACATGTTTGCCTTGCGCGTCGCGCGTCTCTCCTCTCTCCGCATGGGTCGCCAGCAAACTCTCGGTGCGCGAATTCACTGACATCGACGCTGTTTTGCAGTCGTTGACTGCATCGAAGGCAAATTCTTTGCCATGCCGCTGAACAAGAAGGCGCCGCCACAGCAGGCGAACCTCAGGGAGCTGTGGGGCGGCAAGAAGGCCACCGTCACGCAAGAGAATGTCGAGGTCAAGACTGAAGACGTGAGCGCGTCGAGCGCGTCGGAGAAGGTGGAGACGGGAGAAAATGATATGCAAATCGATGAATCGAACGGTCTGAAGCCGGAAGATGCTATGGCGACGAACTGTACGTGTCTCGTTAATGTGGTGTTCGTGGGCGCGATACTCATCGCATATCAGTTGAGAGTGTGAAGCGCAAGACGTCGCCGTCTATGCCCGACGGTGGGCCACCAGAGTCTACTTGTTCAGCGGTGTTTCTGACCCTCTGCCCGTAGTGCCATCTGACCGCCCGAAAAGTAAGAAACGCAGAGTGGTGTCATCAGACGAGGAGGATGAAGGCGACGCGCCCGCCGAAGGTCCGTCGCGCACTATGCCTTGCCGTGTATGCACTTTGATCAGTGATCATAGAGGCCAAGGCGCCCAGCCCAACTCCCACCCCGCCCGTCGAGAAGCCAATGAAGTTCGGGCCTCCAAAGAGAAAGCTCAAATCCAAGGCTGTGGTTCATGATGACGACAAGGGAGCATCCAAAGTTCCAACCTCTAAGGAATCGTCTTCCAGAAAGCCTAAGAAACGCAAGACTGCCCCTGCCAAAGTGGTCGAACACGAGGAGGGCGAAGCGGAGGCAGCGTCTTCGCATTCTGCAGATGAAGGAGCCAAGGAAGATTCTGATGGTGAAGAAGAGTTGGAGGAGGAGGAGGAGGAAAGAAAGGTCGCGTCAAAAAAGTGAATTCAATGTTTCCTTCTGACGGCTGCTGCTTTATTAACACACTTCGTAGCGCTGAGGTAGCGCTGGATAGAAGAGGTGAAGTTGATGTAGAGGGTGGATGGAAAGTCGGCGATCCGTGAGTTTGCATCGCGATCTCTTCCGTTGGGTGTGCTCAGTTGCATATTATCAGTGTTCCATATGCGGCTCTGGCAAAGACGTTTGCTCTCATCGAAGCAACGACCAAGCGATTAGAGAAGACGTCTCTCCTGACCAGTTTGCTGCTGCTTGTCATTCAACGGAGCAAGGAAGGAGACACCGACTCCCTGTTGCGGACAGTGTATCTCTGTATCAACCGAGTAAATCTAATCTTCTCACGTCATCATCACCATCAGCTGAATGCACATATATCTCTTAGCTCAGCCCAGATTATATTGGTATCGAGCTCGGAATCGGCGAGAGCATCTTGGTCAAGGCTATCGGGGAGTCAACAGGACGGAGTCTTCCTGCCATCAAGGCCGAGCTCAAGAAAGAAGGAGATCTCGGCCTTGTCGCAATGGTATGTGCATATAGTGACTCAAAAAAGTGTTTAAGACCGAAAACTCGGCTTTCAGACCTCGAAAAACATGCAGAAAACTTTATTCAAGCCTAAGCCCCTCAGTGTGCCTTTCGTCTTCTCTCATTTGAAGGAAATAGCCCTGAGTGCTGGCCATTCGGTAATTCACGATTTCACGTCCGTTTTGAGTTTGTTATAGACTTATGCTTCTACCCGAAGTCTCAAAACAAGAAAGTCTCCATCATCACAAAGATACTAGCAGCATGTCAAGGGCAGGAGGCCAAGTACATCGTCCGCAGTTTGGAAGGCAAGCTCCGAATTGGTAACGCAGAACGGACTGTGCTCGTGGCAATCGCACATGCCTCTGTATTGGCAGAACAGGAAAGATGTAGGCCGCGCTTCTCTGAACCTCTCATGCCCGAACGACTGACATTCTACGTAAAGCCGGTAAGAAATGGAAGCAGGAGAAATTGACCGCTCGTCTGGAGGAGGGCGCAAGCGTCGTGAAATCTGTCTACAGGTGCCGCCTGTGCCCCCTTTTTCGCTCACTAAGATTTGACTCAGATTGCATCCAGCGAGCTTCCTACATACGACAAAGTCATACCTGCGCTTCTCAACGTTGGAATCGATGGGCTTCGCGAGCAATGTAAGCTCACCCCAGGCGTCCCGCTCAAACCGATGCTCGCGAAGCCGACGAAGGCGATCGGCGAGGTTCTCGATCGTTTCGAGGGCAAGCGGTTCACGTGTGAGTACAAGTATGATGGCGAGCGTGCGCAGGTGCACATGCTCGAGGACGGCAAAGTTAGCGTGTTCAGCAGGAACTCGGAAGATATGAGCAAAAAGTACCCGGATCTCGTCGAGCAGCTGCCGCATGTGAGAAATTTCGTTGAGACTGAAGAATTATCACTTGACCTCTGGAACTTTGCAGTGCATCAAGGAATCGACGAAATCGTTCGTCTTGGATGCGGAAGCTGTCGCGATCGACCGAACAACGGGTAAGCTTATGCCTTTCCAGGAACTGAGCAAACGGAAGCGTAAGGACGTCAAGGTGGAAGATATTCAAGTCCGAGTGTGCCTTTTTGGATTTGACCTGCTCTACCTGAACGGCGAGCCGCTGCTGCATAAGACTCTTCTCGAGCGACGCGAGCTGCTGAAAGAGCACTTCCAGCCTGTTGAGGGAGAGTTTGCGTTCGCCAAGTCGACGGACAACGAGTCCACAGAGGACATCCAAGCGTTCTTGGACGTCAGCGTGAAAGACGGATGCGAGGGACTCATGGTCAAGATGCTCGAGAGCGAGGCCAGCTACTACGAGCCTAGTCGTCGTAGCGTGAATTGGCTCAAGGTGAGCACCACTTCTCGTCTTCAGACAGATAATCATACAGAGACCCTGACGTCGCTTCGCAGCTGAAGAAAGACTACCTCGCGGGGCTCGGCGACTCGCTCGACCTAGCTGTCGTCGGGGGCTACTACGGAAAGGGCAAGCGCACAAACGTCTACGGCGCGTTCTTGCTCGCCTGCTACGATGCCGACGGCGAGATATTCCAGACGATCTGCAAGATCGGCACGGGGTTCAGCGAGGAGGTGCTCGCGTCGCATTACGCCGTGCTCAAGCCGCTCGAGCTCACCAAGGCCCGCGGGGACGTCAAGGCGGGCGGCGCAAAGCCGGACGTGTGGTTCGAGCCCAAGGTAGTGTGGGAGGTGCTTACAGCGGATCTGAGTTTGAGCCCCGTGTATACGGCAGCGATGGGATTGGTACGCGCTTGCCTTGACCTGTTGAGTTGTTGAGCTTACGACGTCGCGGACGTAGGTGGATGATCGGGGTATCTCGCTGCGGTTCCCTCGGTTTATTCGTGTTCGTGATGACAAAAATGTGGATGACGCGACGGGACCCGAGCAGGTGAGATTCCACTCTCATTTCGCCTCAATCTCGGCTGGTCCATAACTCGGTCTCAGATCGCAGAAATGTACGAACGACAGGTGCTCGCGCAGGGGAGCAGCAAGAAGAAGGGCGGAGGCGATGTGGATGACGGGTTCTGGTAATCTTTTGGTACCATGCCTTACACTGACGCATGGTGCCTGTATATCAGCCATGCATGGTTTTTCTTGCTACTTATCATTATTCTCGTTCCACGGAAGCGTTCTGTCAACGGAACAAGCAAAAGAACGGAGCTCTATAAGAGATAAATGATATGACGCGGCTGATGTGGAGACTATTTTTTTGACGCTCGGCCCTCCGCCTGCGCAGCCTCGATGGCTTCCATCACTTTGCCTTTGGGCGGTGCAGGGGGCGCAAGCAGCTCCTGCTTTTCCTTGCCTCCGTTGTACCAATAGTTGTAGAAGCGGACGCCCTGGGTGGTTTGCGCGGTTGCGTTCGTCGCGTGACACGCGAAGAGAAGGTAATTCCGGGGCTGTACCCGCCATGCTAGTGCCCGACAAGGATCTAATTGAGCGGGATGGCAACGAGATGTTGTGGGAAGGGAGCTCACCGAAGCGCATGAAGACCAGGCTTCGTAGAGCGCATGAGGCAGTCTGTTGTGGGGGAAACGAAGAGGGCTCACGAGTATGCGGCGAGGGCGCCGGTCATGGTCCCGGAGATGACATCCTCAGACTTGTTCAAGTCTGCGAGGGCAGCGAGCGGCAGGCCCCAGTTGGCTACCTGGAGATGGTATGAAGACAGACGCTCAGCGGTGAGCGGGGTGGATGATACTGACCGGTCCCCAGAAGTGTGTGCCTGCAAGGAACGGTGAGGGGGTGCGACAGGCATGGGGAGAGAAAGAAAATGTGCGCACTGAAGAAGTATTCGCGGGCAGCGGGGGAGCGGAGCCAGGTGAAGAAGGTGGCCATTGTGTGCGGAGGATGAGACGAAGAGAGACGTCCGAAAGACGAATTTGAGAGGCGCGTCTAGAGCACGTGGCCTGCGCTCGTACACAGTTTCCGTCATCACCGACCAGCCCCCAACCGCGCGGACAAGAACGTGAGCAGCTCGTCGAGGCAACCTCCCCGCGTCCTCTCTCTCCTCTCCCCCTTCCCTCTCCTCACCGCCATCCGCGTCCGTCTCGTGTCCTCTGCCCACCCGAAGCCCTCTCCCGGCCTGAAACTGCATCCCGAAACCCGTCCTAATGGCTTTGCAAGCTCCGACCCTCGAAAAGGCAATTTCTCACTACCACGTTGCCCTTCTTCTCAAACCCACTCGCAGAATCGGCGGCTGCCCCCTCTTATGTCGGCTCTCTCCTGAGCGCTCATCTCCCTGTTTTCCTAGTATCCTTCGACTACCACACATCCTAGCATCGCCTTCTCACCGTCGCAGCCATGGCGTACAACAATCAGTACTACCAGTACCCCGGACAGCAGCAGCCGTCATACCAGGCTCAATACCAGACGCCTCAACAACACTATTACCCTCAGCAACAACAGCAGCAGCAACAGTATCCCGCTCAACAGCCCGCCATGGCCCAGTTTAATGCTGCGCCCACTGTCGCTTTCCCATCTGCCTACACGTCTACGGCCGGCCAGCCAACGCCCGTCATATCTTCCCGTCCACTCCGCACCCAGACACCCCATCCTCACCGGAGGCATACCAACGCCGGCACGGCTAAGCCGGCAAAATCGGCGATGAAAAAAATCGAGCGCTCGCACACGTCCGCCGTCCCCCTCACTCGCGCGCGTACGCAGTCCGGTGGCGAGGCTCGTGCGCGGCTGGACTCGATCGCTCGCACACGCACCAACTCGAGCACTAGCAACGTGAAGCTCCCCGGTGCGTGCATGCACCCGCTCGATAGGCGTCCTCTGATACTGATGATATCGGGATGTCGATGATACTATTACAGATCATATCTTTCTCCAGATTCAGCCGCCGAATCGATTGACGTTGCACAACTTCGCGGACCAGCACACTTTGAACGAGTTCCAAGAGCACATCTTCCCAATGTGGCGCCTCGGTATCGAACATCATCATGTCGATGGTCTAAACTGGCACGTTACGTTCTCCGGGAGTCCGTGGAACCTTAACGGCAGTGACTCGAACGAGTACGATGCGCAACTCATGATCATGTTGATTGCTGATTGATCAACAGCAACTTCTCGTGCTATGTAGTGTACAAAGAATGATCTGCCGAATATTCTGGGTCCTAGCAAATCAGGTCCTTCTTGTCTTGCCTTCCTTGTCTGCTTCGATCTCCATACTCATACCACCGTGACCCACGCAGGGCTACGTCTACTTGACCACGATCAACAACGGACGCACGGTGAGTCTTTGTGTTTCGCTGCGATGATGATGTCACGACCATGGCCGTCCGATCCCACCTCTGACATCACGATCGCGTCTAGCTGCACGCGCCCCGCCTCGTCTTCGTCCGCTCCGTGCCCGACCCAGGTGCCCACTTCTTTGCGATGACGATGAACAACGCCGGCGATGAAATCACGTTCATCGACCCTCCCGCCTCCGTATCACAAAGCCTTGGACTCTACATGCGCTCCGTCTTCCCCAGGCGCATCGAGAACGATACAGTCGACAATCACTTCCTGCGCATCCGCGTCAAACAGAGTATCAGCCGTGCGTATCTGATCCAAACTTCTTCTGATCGAAATTTTGTGGTCGTGCCATGACTTGACGCCTCGTGCCCTGATAGTGCCCAAGATTGACAAGGACTTCTTCCTCGCGCACGTCCTCAAAAACGTCAACGGCTTCTACTTCAAGCTCGACGCCAGCGTGCCGCTCGCGCGCAAAGGCTTCCTCGGGCTCGGAGGCAGACAAGAACTTTGGGTTTTCAAGGGCTCTCCCCAGTGGTGGCGGCAACCGATGGCAGGTCGCTAGCTCTAATCCACTACTCCTTCAAATACGCCTTCCGAGCCTTCATCTCTCTCCATCATGTGGTATATCTTTCTGGAGTCAATCATAGGGTATCCATCCAGTCTGCGTCACTGTATCTACGCCTTCGTTCGTGCGTTCTCTGTCTTGTAAAAGCTCGCTTATATGCTTTGATTTGAGCTTCCTTGTTGTGTATATCACGTCCCCGACCGTAACGACCTATCTCGATGATCGCAATTCTCACATACTCATACGTACATACCTAAACATCTACGGGCCCCTCCTCTCTTGCTTCCAATTTATGACAGATATCATCGAGCACCCCATACTCTGATATTTTGATATGCTATGCACAATGAATGCTCACAAGTGGTTCCTCATTGTCTGTTTCGAGGTCGGAGAGCTTGAGAGAACGCACATCCATGGTGCAGGATATTCGGCTGACATTCGTCTCCAGCGAAGCAACCCAGCCGGGCGGTAGGGTGTCCGTCTTCTGCGGGACGAGCCCGGCGCTTCGGCGGCCGACTTTGTGTGAAGACTGTTATCTCACTCCGAGGTTCTTCATCCCTCCACATTGTCTTCGAGGCCACCATCTATGAGTCCCGCATGAGCGAAAGATAAATACATACAAAGGACACAATAATCTGCTAAGGTAGTATCGGCGCGACATTAATATTTGTGCACGCTGCGGGACGGCGTCGGTGCCTCGTCGGCAGAGGAAGGGGGTATTGTACTTGTACGAGGAGCGACTGGGACTGTGTCGCCGCAAGTCTGCATGTATGTACTGTATGTATGTATGCAGTGGTATGTACGCAGAAGGTGGGGGGAGATTCGCATGCCCGGAAGTCCACACGGAGGTGTTCATATATAGTGGTGCGATACAGAACATGAATATGCGAGTGTTGCAAGATGAGTTAGATGAGAGGGGACACGGCGGAGCGAGGGTTGCGGAAATACAAGAGGGTTGTGACAGTTCCATGGGCGGGATGAGCGCACGGCGATATGCTATGTGGTTCAAAAAAAAAACCAAGACACATGCACAGAGATAAGACATGAGAAAGGGCAGGGACAACAGCAACACTCGCTAGGGAGCGAAGCCTAGAGGTGAGCGGCGCCAGCGCACACACTCAGTCGAGTAGGAGGGTCCGTGGGTCCGCGCCTCGCCCAGCACGCATATTCGTGATGCCGCCTGCAACGGAGCTCATGCCGTGCGCGTAGAAATACCCGGCATGAGCGAGTGTCGCCTGCTCGACGAGCGCTCGCACGTCCGTAATCATCAGCGGCCACCCAAACAGTCTCCGGTCCTCGATCGTAAGCAAATCACCCATGAAAACAGCGCCCTTCGAAGCAATGATATCCAATGCCGATGAATTGCGCTCGTCCGTCGCGATGTAGAACCTGAAAAGCCGATAGCAAGCGAAAGGAGCAGAGGTATTGAGCCATGATAGAAAAAGATGATAGGAGAAAGACGTACGGATCATCCTCGTGTGGTGGGTCGAGAGACAACTGGGTCATATCGGGTGTTACGTCTGGGACATCGTACGTCTGAAGAGTACGCAGATCCTTGATCGTCTCGCGTCCCTGGTCGAGATGCTTCTTCACTCGCTTGATGTGCGCCTCTGGAGTACTTTCCATTGCCCATCCGAGCCTGACGACTTGACACGGATATAAATGTATGCGCATGCGAGATCTAAACTGGCCGGCTTACAGTCGCCTCGGCGCATATGGGCGCCCATCCACTGTCGACCCTCAGTCAGCTCTCTCATTCGGTTGCTTAGGCGCTCAGCCAGCGCCAGAACGTTGTCTGTGGGGCGCATGCCAAAAAGAACCATCCGAGCGAATTCTGAGCGTGAAGCTATTGTGGTGAAACGCATAGCGCCCTAGACACGAATAGAGATCGATAAGGCACGAGATGAGCGGACCGGGGATGGTCAAATAGGGAGCAATGATACGCACAGGCTTGCGAAAAAGATGAGTCTCGCCAGCAACGATGACTACGTCTTCTTCGCGATCACCGTACTCTTCCACAAAGCCGCGAAGCGATGAACGCTTGACAACCTGACGGATCGGGTCGACGACGGTCTTGGTGTAGTCCATTCCTAGACTGTATGCAGTCAAAGCCCCGGTGAGTTGTTAAGGAAAATGCAAAAAAAGGATGAAAGAGATACTGACGCTCCTCGGAAGGTATGTAGGACCTCCCATCCATTTTCTTGGAGTACCTTCTCGAGTTTCTCGTCCGAGGTGGTATCCCAGAGGTGAGCACCGTCTTCATGCTGCAGTGCGTCGCTAGCTTCGTGCCACTCAAGGTAGTGTCTATCGGCCGGTAGCTTTGCCTCGAGGCGTTGAAATGCTTCCGTCGGATCACGGTGTGGCCAATGACCCTTCCGGCCAGTCGATGCGTCGTAGCCCTCGGGACTCCACTCACCCCGCAATTTCATGTCTTCAGGCAGCTGGTCCACGCGGTGGGTCTTCGTAGGATCGTACCAGTGATTCTCAATCACGTACAGCGACGGCAGCTTCGACTTGTCCTGCTCAAAGACATTGGGGGACTGATGGTAGGGTCCACGCTGCCATGCACCATTGCTGAACTCGGTGTCGGGCGACTGGCCGTGGAAGCGAAGCCAATCTGAGACGAGGATGACAGGGTGGGTCTTGCGCAGATGGGTCAGGTTGAGCATTAGCTGCATGGGGATCTCCCAGCCCATTTGTTGTTCAAAGGGTAGCTTTCGCCATTCATCCCAGCCGACGGCGTCGCCTTTGTTCACCATCGGTGCGTACTCGGCGCAGACAGTGCTATAAGAGTCAGAGCGTCAGTTGATGCGCTGACGACAAGCCCAAATTTGAAATTACATATTGTACTCGCACGCACGCGCATATACAAAGGAAGGCAGAATCAGGGTGCGATTAAGCAATTTTGACTGGATTAATGCGGCTTCGATGATGTATCTCATCTACGTGCGGATGAGCATCGCGTCATGTGGAGATGTGGCTGCGGTTGTCACACTCACATTATTCCATCCTAGGCCGAGGCTGTAATCGCGGGAGAAGAAGCCCTTCGTGCCTGCAACCATGTCTCGAATCTCCTCAAGGCTGAGCTGATCAAGTTCTGGGTTGCCCTGAAGCGTTGGGGCAGTGAAGGGGTTGGGTGGGGGACCATGTGATGGTGGTGGTGGTAGCGACTCGTGAGTGAGTAAGGGAGTGTCGGGAGAGACATAGGGTGGGGGACGGGACGCATAAGGTAATTTGAGGCGCCATTCGTTTGCGCGGGACGCGACTCCGGTTGTGAAAAAAAGGATGTGGAACAGGATTCCAGAGAGCGCAGCGGTCCCGACAAACAAGCCAATGGTCCCAGTGCGCCCGAAGTTGGGGGCTATTCTGCAGTAGCGGCGAGATCTGTGTTGTCGGTACGGAGGAGAGGAAGGAAGGGAATCTGTACTCTGGGGCAACAAGGGCGAATACATGACGGAAAACGAGGAGGAGGGAGGCCAAAGCGGCCGCCTGGCTAAAGAGAAAGATTAAATACGGGTGAAAGATGCAGTCTGGCGCCCGACACGGTCCCCTCCTCGACTCCCAACAACTGATTAGTCATCTTCAGCGTTCACCTCGTCCCTTCAACGGCGCCCCCCGATCTCCGTGCACCCCCGCCCTCCTCACAGTCCTCTTGGGCCTCCATCGTCTCGACCACCTCAGCCCAGCCCTGAAGACGTCTTTAACCTGCGCGCCCGATTTCGCACACCGCGGAGATGATATTTCTCTCAATATACAGCCTCTACATCTCCTTGAGCTTTTGGAGCATCTCACCTTTGCGGTCATTCTGCCCGCTTGCTTGCCGGATGCGGGCTGTTTCCACGGGCAATTTACACACTCGCAAACTTCCTTTGGCTTCGTCACAGGTCCCGGGTACCTGCCTTCTCGCGAACCTTGGTCTTCCCTTCTTCTGAACACCTTTGGACACCGCGGTGCACCCTTCCCAATACTCAAGCAGGCATGAAAAGCCCGCCATCGCAGTACTACAAGACAATTCATATTCGGATATCGTTATGCACTGGCTCAACAACCAACTCCAAGCTGAAATTCCCAACTCCAAGCTAGACCTACGTTAGAACTGCAGACTTCATTCGACAAACCTTATCTCAATTAGGATACACATTCCAATCCGTCACATCTAATCTCACGGACCTACAAGGCACCGACCAAGGCCAACATAGTACCGTATAAGTATCCTGAACTAAGAATGCTATTCCCAGCATCGGTTGCGTCGGAGAGCGTCGGAGTAGCCAAATGCGTGGAGCACCAGGAATATCAAATCCTGAACGTGCACAGCAAGGTCCAACGTGTTCAGGTCCCATCGAGGACGCCAAGACGACGTTATTTCGGAAATTGTGGGGGAAAACGGAAAAACAAGGCATCTGCTGCATGCAGTCAAGTACTCGCCGTAGATCGGTCTATGTTCCAGGGTCTAATAAGTCTACGTATCTAAACACATGATCAAGCTAGCGCATCGTCAGACAAGAAATTTATATCGGAGGACACCAAATCGGCTACTCACCGAACAACTGCATATTATACACCCTATACAACAACAACGACAACGACTTGAATCAGACCATCTTGATGACTTTGCTCCCATCGACGAGACCGCGCAGGCTCGTCGCGACGACGTTGCCCGAAGCGTCCTTGCGGTTCAGTAGCTCGTCCCACCATCCGAAGAGGAAGTCGCGCGCGATCAGCTTGAACCACGGCGTAAACGAGTTCCCTAGACCCACGTCTTCTGCATGAGATGGGCAAACGATACCAGGAGAGAAAGGCTCACCGGGCGCGTCGAACAAGGCTTGCAACTCTGCCTTGTCGACGTACCTGTGATCCCGAATCTCATTCGGGTTCGGGGTGACGTCCACATCCGCCGTGAGGAACAGGATATAATCCACTGTGGTGAGGCACCCTTGTGAGTATTCTGGGACGCCCGGGATAACGATACCGGACTACGCACCTTCATGTTCACCCCACATACCGTCCGAAGGTGCCAGATAATGGATGCGCGTCAGATATTGGAACTGGTCGACGGGCGTCTGAGAGGGCGGGATCCCGAGCTCATGCTCGAGCTTCCGCGAGGCTGCGATGCGCACGCCGAGCTGCTCCGCCTCGATCTTCTCCTCCGCGAAGTCGTCGAGCGGATGCGAGCAGCAGGTGTTCGTCCACATGTCCGGGAACGTGATCTTCTCCGTCGCACGCTGCTGCAGGAGAAGCTTTCCGTCGGACGGCCTGAATACGAAGGCGGAGAAGGCGCGATGCAAGAGGCCCTTGTTGATGTTCTCCATCAAGTGGCCTACATCATTCAAATAGCGTTAGGACCCCATGCACTACACAATTCCCACTTAGGCGGAAAAAAATAACATACAAGTCTTCTTGTCGGCTGCACCAATAGCATTGTCCTCTTCGTCCACCAAGATACATCTCTCGTCCATCAGCCTCGACTGCTCGGCGTCGTACCCCGACAAATCAATGTCGGCGAGCGCCGATAGCGCAGGTGAGACCTTAGTCGCGGTGGTGGTGGTAGTAGCCGACATGTTCCGGGAGAGATCTAGGAGAGAAAGAGTGTGCGTAGGTGCGTGGTGGTCCGATTGATGGAAGGCTGGTATTTATGCGAGCATGCCTGGCTCGCGCCAATATGCGCACCAACCAGGTGATGGAAATATACATGAATCACTTTCCCACGCCGTCTATCTAGACATTTCCGATCCTTTAGGCAGCTTTCATCCTGCGGCAGAGACGGATGCGACTAATCCTCCAACGAAACCTTCGGACGACTGCTCAGACGCACATCATTTGTCAGTGTACAGCGGTGTACAAGCGCCCGATTATCATTCATCGTCCGCAAATCACTGATCGAGACATTATTGCTGTTTCTGCTTGGTCTCCTCCATGGCTTGACACAGAAGCGGAATCTTGGGTTGCTCTACGCTTGAGATAACTGCAGTATCTGCTTCCTTTTCGTAAACGTCCTCAGCGCAGACAGCTTTCAGCGCTTCAGCAATACCTTAAAGGTACCTCCGAGATGCGCGCTCGAGAAGATAGAGGGGAGTATATCCGGATAAGCCCTTCTCTATTCCCCTTCACGGCATGCATTTGCTACTTTATATTCGATCAGTACATATAATAAGGATAGAACATTTCAAAAACGGGCAAAATGGTAGCAAGATAGAAAGGTATGACTGAGATGTGAAAGCGACATGTAAGCATTTTGGGACAGGAGAGCAGATTCAATGACAAATCGGACAGCTTCAAACGATTTGGATCTTCAAGGCACCGTAGGCCTCCGGTTGGGCGACACGGATTAGATTTTTTGTAGCGAGGACTGCGACAAAGACATTGTATGCGTGAGTTCTCGTCTTGGCACATATAAAAACGACCGCACCGAGACAATGATAGAAGGCGGCAGAGGCGACGTGTGGTGTGCTCGTATCCTTGGGCACAACGTCGTCAAATGTAAGGCCTGTAGACGCCCGTGGCAACGTCTGTGACTGCATTTTCGCATACCTGTAAGTAGGCGCCCACATTATCAGCTCCAACCACAGGCTTGTGAACGAACGCGAGGCCAGACGCACTCCAAGAAGTTATACGAATTTCGTTCCAACGTGATCAGATTGGCATCCGACAGCTGGGATTCTGCCAGTGAAGGTCCCTCTCCGGAAACTGAGAGATATCAGCGAAGAGTGACGCATGTACACATACAACACACCGTCAAACTCAAAATGGTCTTGAGATCCAAGTCTTCCGATATCCGTGGGCCCAGGAGAAAACCCAATCACGCCCAAGTTGCCCCCCAGAAAGCTCGGACCAATCGAGCTGTTCCTTCCCGCGGACGTAGCCTTGATCCTCACGTCTGCCTTCCCGACGCTGACCCTGTCACTGCCTGGAATGACCGGGTCAAAGCCACCTCTGTCGGCAGACGAGCTGGGGCCGCCGGCATTGTCCCACGGGAAGAGAGAGCTCCTTTGTGACGTGATGAATATATCCTCGTCTTCCAACGCATGGTCGAACCCGAGATTTCTGCCCAGCGGAGACGGAGGGCGCGAGACTCGACGTGCTTGACCGGGTTCCTATACAAATAATATCAATGGCACCAATATCGTATGCTTCGTTCAACATACCTCGGATGAAGGCCGATGCGAGCCTCCATCATACGGATCTGGAAATGCTCCTGGATAGTAACTTATTCAGCGATGTAAGTCCCCTGCCATGATACTGCTGACATACGATCTTCATCGAGCAGATCCATGACATCCATGTGGAAATCCGTTGGGACTTCCCGTTCTGCATCTTTCGACTTGCGCGCGGCGTTATCATGATCATCGTCGACACGGCGGCGCTTGGCAGGCGGTGCACCTAGATTTTTCAACGTGAGCTCAAATTCAATATGCTTGTAGGAGATGAAGCTGAACCTTTTGTCTCAAGATACAGTGCACCCGATCGAGCTTCCACTTGCACTCTGAAATTCTCCAGCCAATAATCAACGAGAATGGGGGCGCGCACTGTAAATAACATGTCATCAGATACCAAAGTTATGCATGAGAATTACAGAACTCACATCCTCGAGGCACACCCCACAACATCTCGTCGATCAGTTTCCCAGTCTCCTTCTCCAATTTCTTCCTGTCAATTTCCCGCCGGAGAGCTTCTTGTCCTTCCACATACTGTTCACGAGCAATCTGGTTGTAGAGTTTGGTATTGTCATTTGGGCAAAGGCGCAGTTACGCACGACGTACCTTCAGTTCATCATCCGTGAGCTCGGTTCTCGCATCCAGGAGCAATCGCACTCGCTTCGCTTTTCGCGGAATGGGCTTATCATGAACAATAACTTGCTCTCCTTCTGCAGCATTTATGAAGGGCACTGGAGGGGGCGAAACGAGAGCACTGGGTGAACGAGCTAATAGCGCTGGGGTTGTAGGGTCTATCGCATGGGGCGTGAATGACTTGACAAAGACACCACAAGGTCATCAGGAATTACCTCGATCAATATCTTCCATTGGCTTGTATAATTCAGTAAATATTACTGATGTGCATGAAAGGCTGCCTCACCCTTTTCTTCACACGGGAGAGCGTGGGCCCTTGATCCTTCATCACTGACGATGGCAAAGACGGGTCACCAACATCCGCAAAGGTGAAACCAAGGCCTTGGTCGAAGCCCATGCCCATCATATCAGACCCAATATGAAATGCATCGATGTCCATCCTAGCGATATGCCTCGACATCAGACTTCAGTAGAACCGAGGCAGGTGTGTTCTTAGAAAACTCACTCGTGTCTAGGTTTGGTCGGAGTACCACCCCAACCTTCCCCCAACTCCTTGGCCAGCTCATCGCCGATATCTCCGCCCAGATCAAGGCCATCGTCGACAATGAAAGGATTGTCATCGAACCCGTCGAACCCAAATGCCCCGTCAATCTGTGAGGAAGATGGATCCATCCCGCTAGCGCTGCCCAGAAAGGACACATCAAATGAACCAGACAATACTTGTTCGAGGTTCTCGTTCAATGTATGCAAGTTCGCTCTCGCATTCTCGACGGATGCTGGAGGCTGCTTTCCTTGTTTTCTCCTGTTTTTCTTAGGTCGACCATATTCACCATCAGAGCCATCTGCGTTTACACAGTGAGATACAAGGGCCTCATCTTCACAAAATGAAAAAAAAAACCTTCTCCGTTGGCATTATCATCCCAATGCTAGGTGGACTCGGGTCAGATGCAGGTATCAGTACTTCGAGGCGGCCACGCACAAAGTCCCCGAAATTGATCCCTAAAGCCAGCGCAGGGTCAGCGGTCAGCGTGACCGCATCGACTCTACGTCATTCATAGTCAGCGCCGTGTTGTAGCAGTACTGCGTTCGACGTGCCTGACAGTTGGCTGGCCCATCTGGAGTGAAGCAGCGGCGGCCGACATGGCGTGGATATCCTGTACAGCTTTCTTGAGAGAAGAAAAGCACGCAGTGACATCTCCAAAAAATATTTCATGCTTGACTAGAAGAGATGTTACCGTAGCAAAACTAGACGAGGCGCATATAGTCACTTTTATATACTCTATGGGCATCGTCTATCAGCCAAAACCTCGATAAATAGCAGACAGGCGCACCTGGCTACTCCGACCATGAGAGTACTGGACAGTCTCAGAGCCAAGGGCTCTCCCGGTTCCGCTATGAGATCGCATAGTTGCGCGATGTCCGCGCCCATGACGTCGCGCTTAGGGAGTTTCTTGAAAGACGACTTTGCTCCAAGCGTAGCGGCAAGCCTGCGAGCGATGTAAGGTGAGAAAAAAAGGAACAAGAACTGGGGTGCTTTGGACGATATGTGTCCGCGGAGCACACACATACCAGAGGAGACCAAAGCCGCTGTCGCGACGCGACAGCAACTCTTGTGTGAAGAACATGGGCTGCAAGCTCGAAGGCTGATTTAAGGAGCCTTGCTGCGAACGTTCAGAGGAGACTTGTCGGAAGGAGAGAGAGGCTGGACCGAGAGCGAGAGACTGCAGGCGGATTTATTTGGACCCATCAAGATGGCTGTCGAATTAGTCCCATAGCACGGGGGTTTCGGCGAAGAATCGTGGAGAGTTGCTGATGTTCAAATTTGGGTCCGAGCTCACTCGATCTGGAAACCCTCGTGGGTCACAATCCCAAAGTAGCCAGGCTCCCTTCTTCACTTCCTCCCCTCGCTTCGATGCCAGACCAGCGCGATCCACATCATAGACAGGAGTCCACATGGATGATAGTCTGTTCACAAAATGGGCCATACACTCAAGAATGTCCAACGGACGGCTAGTTATTCATACCTTGATCCACCTCCGCCCACCCGGCCCTAAAAGCCTAGCAAAAACCTCGTCTCTCCCCCCGACCCATCTGAATTTCTCTTCTTCATTCCGGGTATTCCCGTTCGAGTCTGTTCGACACCAGCTGATGATGAGTCCCTTCATTAAACCCGCCTTCTTGATACCCGTGATGTCTTGACACTCGATCGTCACAGTTGGCCTTGCCGAGACGACAGGAGTGAAATAGAAGGTGGACGGTGTTAAAGTGATGAGCCCGGGACTCTTTGTGTGGTGTGCGGGGAAAGCTGTGTGCGAGACAACTTGTTAGTTTTCTCCCCTTCAAACGTTGGGGATCCGCATACTGTGAATTTCCATGTTGGAAGAGGATAGCCTTGAAGCCAATGGGCTATCATCGCGTTGGTTCTATAAACGAAACGTCGTGAGGACCATCTCACGAAGACACTTACCGAAATCACCTACCTTGGTCACAAAGCTCTTCGCATCAGCGGCCCAATTCTTACCGGTTGCGGCTCTCCCAGCCCATTTCTTCCAGTCAACGCTGCCGTCACCGCTGTTCTGGGTCTTATGTCCGCGATTGGAATCAGGTTGGGAGCTCTCTTTCAGCTGATCTTGTATTGTCGTAGTCTTGACCACATTTGTTCGCGGGGGAAGTACGGGAAGGCCTTGAGCAACTCGCTGAGAGATCAAATCCATTGCGTATTCTGCGTCTGTGGGTGCGATGCTTAACGGTTGCGGAAGCCTTCGGTGTTACTGCATAAATAGACCGCTAAGACGTGATGATCGTTGACTCGTGCTCACCTTCCGAGTTCTGCAGAAGGCATCACCGCTACTACGGGGATGATATGCCAGAAGATGAAGCCCACGGTGAAATAGATCGCTTTTGCCAGATACTGAGCAGGGAGAAGTAGCGTGACCACGAAGAGCAGTGTGATCAACTGGGACTAAGGTGAGCCTCCAGCTTCAATTCAAGATGGCAAGATCGTACCATAAAATATACGCGGGTTGCGTTAGGCCGCTTCCAAAGGAAAATACTGCGCAAATTCATAAGTGAGATAAACGATATTAGCATGATAACTTACTTTTTCAGCCTCTCTTGGAGATCAGCCAATTCAGTCATCGTTTTCAAACCGATCTTCCTAACGTCGACATCATCTGGGGTGTCTTCTGTTGTGCCGGAAAGTAACCCATCTACTTCGGCTTCGAGGATCTCCGCGTGTATTGTCGTCTGGTCAGCATCAAGATCTGCACCCTCATTGATGTCCATGTCTGACTTCTCTGCCTCTCCAGCGTCAGCGTTACCCTTTTTAGCTATTTTCGACTTTTTAATTTTCGGTTTCCAAAGCAGCTTCCGCAGCTTCCAAACATCTTTCAGCCCAAGCGGCGAAGAAATGACCATGCGAGTTTGCATCGCATCCCCAAATTCACGTGCACGAAGGACTTCACGACGACGTTCGCGCAGCTCATAGGCTGTAGGGTGGGTCTTGAATCGACGGTCGAGGAGAACGTACATCAAGTAGGCAAAGAATGCGGGTAAGAGAAGATTGTGATACCATAGGATCCAATACGCCTGTCCGCAGTGGTTAGATATATACTTGATGGCACATAAGTACAAGATTTACCGAGCAGTACACAAAGCTCTCGCTGCGGTTTTCCCAGGTTGCGAAGTGTTTCAAGTGGAGAAGGAAGGGTAAATAGCCGCTTTCCGCAATTAAAAACAGGCGTTGTAACGTCAATTGCAATCGGCTCAAAGTGAACGGAGGGACTGGGCGTGGAGGAGGTAAGGCGGGTATGACATAGTTCTGTATGTGTTATGGAGACATAAATATAGGAAAGAGACGAAAAGGAAAAGTACACACATATGCTATGTTCTCAGATAAACTTCCGTGATTTACTGCCGAAGCATACAAACTGGGGGTATCCCTAGAGGTGTTCGGTGAGTTAAGAATGAGGAGAGGATCACCGTCTTTGTTTGTGATAATAGAGTCATCATCAGATGGCGCATCTAGCTTTTCACTAACAGAGGTAAGTTGCACATCTTCACGAGTCTTGCGACCTCCGGTTGAGGTGCTGTCTGGAAGCCTTACTTCGGACACGTGCTGTTTTCACGATGGACTTTGAGAATCATGACTGAGAACAGGAACAGAACAGGTATGCTCACCGCTGAGAAAAATTGGTAAAACCTCTCTATCTCCTCGTTCTCATAGAGCTCCCTAAGTTTTGCTTCAGAAAGGTCATCCTCAAGTTGGGTGGCCGAAGCGCTGGAAGAGCTGTGATCTCTGCCAAGAACGGTTGAGTCAAGTCTTCGAGATGGTCCGGAGTCGTGTGATGATTGTAATTGGGACGACAAGCTGGAGTTTTCACCAGAGGGTGCTGCAGATGATGAACTCAGGCTTGATGGGAGAGGGCGTACACTGGGTCTAGGAGGTAGGGGAGGAGGACCTGGCGGTCGTTTCTCTCGAGTAGAGTCAGACATATTTTGGGCTGTACAGAATGGGCTCAAGGTCCGAAAGCTACCGTAGACACTGCGAACATGCTTGTATACATCGTTGCCCACGAGACCGCTGTGGGGCTGGTCGATGATGATACCCGTGGGAATAGCTCCAAGCTTCGCGATCACATGACTTAACGCGTTGTTCGGCCTCTGGCGTCGCTCTTCCGCCCCACACCATCGTTCTCCGTCGCCAGTGGCAATTACCCCATTTCTTATTTCTATTCCGTTATGTCGGCGCATACCTCCGGGATGAATGCATGGATTGCATCCATTAGGAGCGCTATGGACAACGACCCTGGTATCAGACTCCTGGAAGACCAAATAGAGACTCACGGCTTCCTGTTCTTGGATGATTATCTTGACGGCATTTTATCTAGACCAAAGCAAGAGTACGTTCGTCTTTCTTGACACGAATAATAATCTTTACATGGGCCACCAGCCCAATCGTGGAGCTTGTGAAGACTCCTGGTCGCAGGAGGGATGCTTCAAAGAAGACTAGAGCCGCCGTTGCTGCCGCTGCAAAAGCACAATTGATTTTTACAGCGTCTCATGAAGTGCGTTTTTATGCTTTTAGAGTACTTGGAACACTCAGAGTTTGCTTAGGACGATTCCAAAGAGAATGAGGCGCCCGTCAGCAGTTTACACGAAGCGTTCCTGCAAGCTGCAGACCGTCAAGGACGTGACACGCGACTCTCTCCATCTCCGCAACCTCAAGCCAGCGCATCTCTGGCTGCATCTCCCACGAAGGCTCATGCTAAACAACACAAGTCAGTGAAGATCGCTGCGTCACCTGAACGTCCGGAGCGTGATGAGCACTTTATCGAGATTACGAGCTCATCGCCTCAGCCACACATCGTTTCTCTTCCTCCTGACTCGGAAGAGCCCTCTGACACATTTGAACCTCCTTTCCGTCTTGCGCCACTCCGAGCAGACTCGTTGAACGAGTTGTCCATCATCGCCGAGGATGACGAGCCAGCAGAGCGCAGTCGAATCTCTGCTCGTGACGCTCCCTCCAGTCCTGTACATCAACATTCCGAAGGGGATTCACCTTCGTCTCTTGGTCCTAAGGTTAGCTTGACGACACCGGATGACGAAGGCGACACAACCACCGTCCAGAAAGTAGATATGGATCACAACAATTCAACCACGGTTACAGCCATCGCCGTAGCTAACTCAACTCATACCTCTCAATCTCACCCCTCTTCCTCCGAGGCTACATCTTTCTCACAACCAACGATCCTCAATGACCACAATAACCAACACATCGTGTCAACCACCAACAGTTCGCAGTCGCAAACATCCCTTAAACTAGAGGGGGCCAATGATCATCGGCCATTGGCACCGCCAACCTCGACGCTCTTTCCTTCCAAATCTGATATCACTATTCCACTCCGCGACTCGGACTCTTCTGATCACTCTCTACAGCGCAAACACAGTTTGAATCAGTTCCCGAGCTTGCCCGCCCCATCTCCACTTCGGAAGTCTATGCGCGGAGTTCAGGAACCATCTGTGGGCCTTGGACTCCCTACTCGCACTCCCGGGGTACCTCCGGGTGGAAAGCGATCCTCTTGGTTAACTAAAGCACGGGAAGCTAAGGCCATGGAAGGGGTGGGCAAGCGCGCCAGTACTATTGCGGGCGGTAGCCACAGCGGCAACGCTATTGGCGTTCCGGGATTCTCAGGAGGCGTCAAGAGAAAGAGCGGTGAGCTATTCGCTAGTCTTTCCCCCTTCTTGACCGGAGCATCGAGTGGAAGTGATGGTGAACGGAAGGCTAAGGTGGCTAAAACTGGCGAAGAAAGCGTGGATATACAGCCCCTCACTGCCAAGGCGAGTGTGGAAACGTTCATGGAACCTGCAACCACGGCAAAGGCTCAAGCTTCTGCTCCCGCTCAATCTGTGACTCAACAGCCGTCGTCACATGCGTCTAAACTGTCTGATGAATTCACCACTGTGCTCAATGACCATAGCGACGAAGAGGACGGAGGGGTGCTAGGCCGGTTCAAGAAGACAGTGATGGGGGCTCGAGCTGGGAAAAGCACAGGTAAATCGTTAGGAGGTACGGCTGCGAATGAGCTTGCGGAGGCCAGAGCTGCAGCCGAAGCTAGGGTGGCTGAGAGACATAAGGGCGAAGTTGATGAGACAACGGCCGCACCTCTCCCGTCTATTCCTACTCCTCCAGTGCAGCAGACGAAACCATCTCCTCTGCCACCCCTAGAGCAAAACACGAACTCAACCAAGGGCCTGGAGTTGCGCGCGCCAGTGTTCTCGATGGAGTCGGAGCGACGCCTCAGCCTATCAGACCTTGTTTCAAAGTCTGAAGCCGACGTGAAGGCAATGGAGACCAACTACATGAACTGGTCACCATCACCTCCCGGGGGGTTGAAGGATGTTTTCAAACCAGTCAAGAAAGCACAGGGACCTGGTGCGGACACCAGTTCTTCGACTACTCCTCCCAACTCCCCTCCCATCCGACCAACTGGGTTCGTTATTCCGCCTGGGCCAGTTTTCTCGAAGCCTCCACAGAGTGATTCTACTTCGGATTTTGTATTCAGGCTACCTCCATCATCCACATTTCCCCTTCATGCGCCGTTCAATGTTGGGCTGCAGCCCTCTACCAAGTTGTCGACATCCCCTCATGCCGTGGGACTATCTGCTCAGTCCACTCAAACGAGTCTCTTTTCTGATGCTGTGTTTGAGTCGCAGAAGGAGATTCCAGCTTGGGTTCCGACTACACAAGATACCGATTACACACAAGAATCTGATTTCAGAGGCAAATCACAACCAAATCTCAATGATTTGGACGAGGATGATAGCTGGCCTTTGAGCGATAAACTGGCGACTGCCACCAACTTCGCTTCTATCGAGGACAGTATGACTTGGAGTACGATCCCGACAACTAGTCAAAGAGCGGATACTGGACCTCAAACGTTCTCATTGTCTGAATTTCCCGACGCTCCTCCGCCGCAGCCCGAGCCAGTGCATGCGCCTAACCCATATGATATGGACGTCGATGATCTCCAGGAGCAAGCCATGACTGTTATCTCAGATGAAGACGAGGACGAGGGACTTGATGAGATGGCGGCAGCCGGCAAGTCCACGGTCAGTCTTGTTGAGGTTGGTCATCGATTGCATCTGTCATTCATTTGGACTAACTTTTATCCTGTATCTGTAGGGCAAGAGCGATGATAATATTGTCCGGAGTCAAAGCGTCATGTCGCAGTCATCCGACGGCTCATCGCAGATTGGCTTCTTCGGACAAGCCACCAAGCTTGTTTCTAGCATGCTTGGAGGCGGTAAAAAGGGTAAACCTGACCAGCCAAAGAGCATACAACGTGCGGCTGCGGCGGCCAAGAAGGTTGGTACACCTAGTGTTGTTGTGAAGACGCCTCTAGCTCATCGTTTGTGACACTTACAGCAGAAAGAAGAGCAAGACAAGAAGGCTGCTAGGCTCAAGGAGATGGAATCTCGCCGCCAGGCGGCTCTTCAGAGGAAGGCGGAAGAGGAGAAGGCTAAAGCGGAAGAAGAGAAGAAATTAAAGGATGAGACTGAGCGTCGCAAGAAAGAACGAGAAGAGCACGCCGGTAAGAGACCTCTCAAGTTTGCGGAGAAGAAGGTAGATCCTTTCCATCATCTTCAAGAAAGAGAAGAACATTGACGATGTTCTAGGCCGACGAAGATAACGCTAAGAAACGCAAGCTCTTCGTCGAATTGGAGAAGAATTCGGAGCCCAAGAAACTCCCTGCGAAGGAGAAGAAGGACCCTGCGCCTAGCCGAATGACAAAACCAAGCCCGAACCCGAACTCATCACAGGTGAAGGGGAAATCGCTCATCAAGAAATCTTCTGCTGCTACCCTTAACTCCATTGCGGGAGCGTCAAATTCAACTACTAAGCCTCCAAAGGTCAGCATTGCCTCCGTAAAGAGCAAGAGTAAAGCAAATGCGATCGGAGATGACGATGAAATGGAGCAGCCGAGCAAGGTTATCCAATCACAAATGGCTTCGCGAATGAAGGCTCAACTCCAGGCTAGCAAACCGCCTGAGACGCCTGGACCGCCCATCGCGAGCGAGCTCATTGAGCTCCCCGAGCCTAATAGCGAGTACTCAGACTCGGAAGACGAGAATCGCCCGCGAAACTTTGATCCACCAGATTGGGCTCAGTCACCGGAGCTTAGGCAGGCCCTCGAGTCGCAGAGAACCATGAATCCAGACGACATTTTTGGAGCAATACGGCCGTTGCGAATGGAGGATATGTTCAGAACCAGACAGAGCCGCTTCCGTGCAAGGACTAGTTCTGCAAACTGGTCTGGTATGGATGGGCTGACAGAAGAGGAGGAAGGAGAGTATGCGAGGAGGATGGGGTTCAGATGAACCATAGACACTGTCGTATTTTCTTCGTCTGAATACCCCTTTGCCTACTGGCGTTAAGGCATTATGCCAGAGAGTGCGTGCGAATAGTAGTGTCGTGTCGCTATTGCAGTGATTCAAGTACAAGGTTAAAATACGAGAGTGAACGATAACATTTTTTGAAAGCGATGTTGGGTCCATGAGAGGACGGACAAGGCAAAAACAATCGCGAAACGACGTGATTAGATAGACACATATTTTTGTTTCTAGGGCATAGGTTTGCAGTAATTTCTGTGACGAGCTTTCCAGTCGGCAGCCTGCGTCGCAGACCATGAGCACAACGGTGTTGATGCCAACCATATCTCCACCTACCTGGCACGTCTTGCAACAGTAAAACACGCACTATAAAATTTGGGTGTCGGTAAGATTGAATTCAACCCAAGGGAGGGCCACGGACCTTACACTGGCTACACTTGGCGAGTTCTCTCTTTGTATAATTGTACATCGAACCAGTGCACTAGGCGAAGTCAGTTGTGATGATGGCAATGCAGACAACCAAACGCGTACATCATAATTGCCACAAGCAACCTGATGAGGGCGACCGCGTTGACGCATCTCCCTTGCTGCCTCCAAGTTACCTTTCATCTCATATACCGCGCCAAGATTCTCTCGAGTGACTGCCGCGTCGAAAGCAGGTTCAATCTCTCTACGAATCTGCAGCGCACGACTGAGTACCCGCTCAGCGTCATCTGGTCGGTTCAAATTGCGATAATAAAGCTCTCCAAGGGAGTTTAAAGTTATGGCAAGGGATGGATGATTTAAGCCAAGATGAGTCTCTTTGATCTGGATAGCTTGGAGGTACATGGCCTCAGCACGGGCAAAATCGCCCTGGCGTTCATAACCAAGAGCCATATTCTGATATTCAGTCCCTTGTCCTACGCCGAGCATATAGGACGGAGAGGGATTGACATGAATATCCGGGTGGACGGGCGGCATGGTAAAAGGGGCTGGTCAATGAACGTGAACCGCGAACGAACGGCGCACGGGGCTGTCTATTGTGTGCAGCACGTGACTGGTTCAGGGCCGGCCGGAAAACTCGCAGGCTGAATGGCGGGCTAGTCGCAGGCCTCACCTTCAAAGCACAATCTCCCATCCGTACATAACAGTGGCTCTACCACCATCCGTCTACCCTCTTTTCCTCTTTGACTTCCCAGACGCCATTTAAGATGGCTTCATCATCGTCATCATCGCCAGAAATCTCAGCTGCGCCCTATTCGCATACGCCCGGTCGTTACCACTATCCCACTCTGAAGGAGGCCCTAGAAGATCTGACAAGGTGAGAACTGATATGTGCTCTCACTCGAAACACCCCTCATTAGCTCGCTTAGTCGGTTCTTGTTGAATCTCCCAGAGGATGAACTTGCTTCGCTGGAGCGAGTATGTTTCCAAGTCGAACAAGCGTACGTGGTCCTGTGCAACTTTAGACTAGTCCTCACATTGCCGTATCGAGCAGTCACTGGTTCTATGAGGATTTTATTCGAGAAGAAAATTCCAAATTCCCCTCTCTTCCTCTCAAGAAATTCTCCGAAATGCTATTCGCAGCTTGTCCGCTGCTCCACCATTGGGACCACGAGGGCGCTTTCAATCACTTCATGCAGTACAAGACCCGAGTACCAGTGTGCGGTGCAATCATGCTGAACGATAGCTGGGACAAGGTAAGTTTGATTGATTGGTTCTTTTTCATCTGACGTCATTCTCTTGTAGGTCGTTCTCGTGAAAGGCTGGAAATCGTCATCGGGCTGGGGTTTTCCCAAGGGAAAGATCAACGAAAGCGAAGCTCCTCATGCATGCGCTGCACGAGAGGTACGTTACACCTGCATTGTCGTCGCTTCTATCATTTAATACGTCCATATTCTAAGGTAGAAGAGGAAACCGGATATAACTTGGCAGGGAAAATAGATCCCGAAGATGTTATAGAACTATCTATCAGAGAGCAGAAGATATCGCTATACATTGTTCCTGGCGTGCCGGAGGACTACCCGTTTCAAACGAAGACAAGGAAAGAGATCAGCGTGAGTGAACGCTGACTGATGTATGTCGTCGATCTGATCTCCATCATCATCCAGAAAATCGAATGGTTCAGATTACTCGATTTGCCGACATGGAGGAGAGGTAAGACAGTACCGGGGAAGTTTTACCTTATATCGCCGTTCATAGGGTGAGTGATCTACTCTTCTCAGCTATTCTGCATAGATGTAACGATCTTCGCAGTCCCTTGAAGGCCTTCATCAGCGAGCGAAAGCCCCGGAATTTGACTCGCAAACCACTTAAGGCTAAAGATCTCCGCACTGATCAGACTGACCGCAGACCAGAGGAGAGCGGGCCAGCTGAAGACCTCAAGTCTATCTCAGTGGCGGACCTCAATGGGCAGGAATCCAGCTCGCAGTCATCAGCAGATAACGGCGATCCACAGACACCCTCCCCTTTATATAGTAAACCGTCCGTGAACAGTGACGCGACGGGCATCCAACTAGGCGATCTTGACACAGAGTCGGTCAACGATCCTGCGCTCAGGCGACTTCTCGTCGCATTGACATCATCATCAGTCCGATCAGACACGAGCAATATCGATCGCAGCAAGCCACAACCTTCCGTGCCCTCCACCATCGTCCCACCTGCTGTTGTCAAATCGCATACCCCCCCAGAAGTTGATGCTGCACACGACTGGTCAATCAGAGGACCCCGTTGGCCAACGGAAAGGCTGACCGATTCTCGTCCACACCGCACGCCATCCCCTTCCTCGTCAGAGAATGAGGCTCCCATGCAGTCGAGCCCGATGCAGTCAAGCCCGAATACTTCTCGACGAACTTCCAGACCTGCATCGTTGTCTACCAGGAATGATCGAACCAGGTCTCCTGCCCATGCCTCACCTCCTACATCGGGAACATTTGCCACCTTGTCTTTGATACCGTCCTCGCGCCCAACTGCTCGCCGCGGATCTGCGTCCGCTACAGATCTTTCACCCTACCTCACCCGGCCCTCAGAAGCACCAGCCATCGGCAAGCGTATGAAGCAGCTGGCTTTGTTAGAATCTGTCATAGACGAGTCGTCACGTATGACGCCGGTCTTAGGCTTTCGTGCACCAGCAGTGCCGGACACAACTAGTAGTCACATTCAGCGACCACCGGTTTCCTACGGTGTGGGTACAACCCCACCGCCACATCACCATGCTCGCCCGCTGTCTGTCTCGGCTGCACAACCCACGCACCCCAATAATCTATCGTCAATGTATAATGTTCATGGACCGTACCATCCGCAGCCTCAAATATTCAATCCGTATAATCACGGTCCACCTGGCATGCCTGGCGATGACCCTTTTACCGTGCGCCCTCGCACCAGTAATACCTTCCGCCCGGTCGCCGATAATCTCTCGAGGCCTCTTCAAACGCGAGCAAGCATGAATCAGGCTCAACTGCTCAGTGCTTTGTCCGGCCCCCTTGGCACTCAGCGACCTCCTGTCGGTCTGCCGGGTAGTGCGCACCCACCACCCATTCCTCATCAGGCCATGATGCGCAGCATGAACCCATCAGCAATACCGCTTCATGCAGGCCCCAACTCGTCGAGTAGGATGGGTCCTGCCCTCCCCCCGCCCCCTCTGCACATGACACCTGCACACTTCATGCCTGGTCCGACGTCAGCGCCTGCAACCTCTCCCAACTTTAACGTTCCTCATCCCCCTCCTCAAAGTAATGCAACTCTGTTGTCCATTCTCAACCGTGGACCAGGAGTACCCACTAATGGAAGTTGGTCTGGCGCTACCCAAAGGGGAAATTTTTGAGCTTGAGCATCTTGTACCATATCCTGCCCGGTCACGTCGTTGCTTGTTATTGAACTTATTCCTCCTCATACTTTCCGCCGTTCGGGTTTCCTTCGTTTCTACTTTTTTCTTCTTCATTGACCCCTTCCTCGTCTGTCGCCCCCTCTCTTCCCTGTCTCCCCTGTCCGCACAAATCATTCTACATAATGTCTGATCGGGGGTTGTGATTACCATCCGGTTGCGTTCCGTATATGCCATCTACTCTGTCCCGTTTTTTTTTGGGCACGTATCGCATGTCTTTCCGTATCCTAGCTCTACACCTCATCTCCCCATGTTCCGCAGCCCCTTCGGCCTCCGTTTCACTGTCCATTGACCGTCTTTCTTTTTTTTTCCTCCATACGTACGTCTGACATCGCGCGTGTAGTTTTGTAGCGTAACTCCTGATCCGACCTGGTCTTCCAATCGTTTCCGATATGTTTCGTCCGCGTCGTGTTCTCTAGTAGCCAGCAAAGCTGGCTCCAGCTCGAAGTGTGCGGCGAAGAATCATGACGGTGGTATGTAATCCGGCGCCGACGGGGGATTTGTAAATCGGGCGCCCCCACCGCTTGAATCTGCCAATCCATGGGACCATGGGATCCACACAAGATCCCAGCTGCTCCCGTTGTGTGATCTGGCACGATGCTGTGGTCGGCGTCGTGACGAGTAATAGAACACCAGGCGAGCCGCACGATCCGCCCTGCCGATCGTGTCTGCATCTGATGCTTTGCAGCAAAAAAAAAGGAGCGTTACGGTAGGCCTGCTACGGTCACCATGTCCGCTTCGCCTTTGTCTCCAACGCTATTGCCGTACATACAGTACATACATACGACGTCCATACGTACGTATAGCACTCATTTGCGCCTCGACTGACACATCGTCTCTTTCGTTGCATCGTGCGATCGAAGCGATATTGACTTACCCCCACTAGTCTCCCACTCGCCTCGCCCGCGCCGTCGACCGTCACCCAATCCACTTCGATGCACGCACTCAATCCTGGCGCCACACGCCACATGTCCAGCACATGCCCCGTTCGCCCAGGTTCGCCCACGCCCACGCCCACGCCCACGCCCACGCCGACGTCAGAAGCGTCGCGCCTGTCTGATCTGAATGATGGTGATGCGCGAACCGCCTGCGATTTCTCCGAGTCGGAAGCTCCCCCACCATCGGAAGCCCTTCGTGTGAGCGCACGCAGTCGGGCAGGGAGCGAGGCCAGCCCCAGCTGGCCCCTCCGCCACATTGCGCAGACGGGCGGCGGGCTGCGCTTCTTCGCTCGCCCAAAAGGCAATAAAAACAGACCCAAACGGGCGTCATTTTCAAAGGCCTTCGTCCATCAATCAAATCCACCCAGTGATATGCAAGTGGAGCACGAGGGTCGACGCGGCTATACACTGTTACACACCTCGAACCGCGTCACGTTGCGGGGCAAGTTGGAGAAGGTACTGAGAAGGTCCCTTCCACGTCAATTTCGATGCATCGTGTACATAAGTGCCGCAGCGTTTCAAAACCGGGCGTTATTTGATGGGTCGACGCGCTTCGGCGACGGGGTTTCTTGAAAGTTGAGCCTGGCGGTCCGACGTGTGCTGAGCGCTCGGGCAGTCGGGCTCGGAATGATGGAGATCTGGCCTGGGTGGCCTCGCTCTCCGTGCTCTGGAGGTCCTCATCATCGATCCGGGCGCTCACCGCCCTAAGTGCACTTGGACCGACTCGGTGTAATGATACGCTCTGCGCGCACGTACACGCCGCCGGTCGCGGGAGGGTCACCTACGATATCCTCACGGGACTAAGCACGCAGAGGACGCAATGGCGGCATGACGTCGTCGCCGACTCCGAACCCCGCGTCCGGGGTCCCAGCGGTGTCGTCTGCCCGCCCGCCCCGCACTCGGCACTCCCACCGCGAGAGACAAGGACAAGGTCGGGGAGTAAAGTGCGCCCGAAAACAAGACGCCGTCGAGTTTCCAGTCGGTTTCCTAAGAGCGCGGCTCTGCGCCTCAGGCGCCTGCCGCATCGAGAATAAGGGTGGGGTGAAGTGGGGCTCGGGAATAGGACCTCCGGAGGGGGGCCACGCAGTCCATGGGAACGCAGGGCGCAAGGAAGACGGCTGGGACGATCGAGGGAAGAGACTGAGTGGGGAGAAGGGGCGGCACGATGGAGAAACAGAACAAGCTGATGATGTGCTGATGCCAGCAGAGTGAGCTGCATGCACGATCTCGTCCATCTGCCCCTAACGAGCGCTGGCGCTGAAGCTGGCTGACCGCCCGCCCGCGCGACCGACCGACTGCCCGTGACGGTTCGATGCGAGCGAGCGAGTGGGCCAGAGCCACGCCGACATTCGTTGCTGACTGAGAAAGGAAGGCTGCACGAGCGGGATCCGCAACGGCCGGCGTTCTAGAATACGCCACAGAACGTTCGCGCGGGCGTGCTTCCTTGCACCCGCGACCCTTCCCGCTTCCTCGACGCCTTCTGCGTGCTTCGTGGGGTCACGCGCGCGCGCGAGCGCGTCTTCGCATGCCCAAAGCGGGCGTGCGGCGGGAGATCGACGCAACCTTGGTCCGTGCCGAGTCCGTGCTGTGAGTATCGTCTGCACAGCCGTCAGGCCAGGCCAGATGCGCGAGTGTGAAGATGCGGGGGGAGGTGGGAGGGAGGAGAGACACGGGAACGCGCGCTCAAAGCCCTCAGGGGGTCGTTGCTCTAGGTAAGGAACCTGGGTCCACGCGTGCTCCCCGGGGGCGATTAGAGGCGTACTTCGCGTCAGGGCAGGCAAGGGAGGGGCATACACAGATGCAGAAGAGCAGCGCAATCAGCAGCGCAAGTTCTTGTACAGAACGGCGAGCTGCACGGTCCATGCCGCTGGGAACGCGAATGCCAGGTCCTTGTAGCGGGCTGAAGTGTTGATCACCCGCGCCCCTTTCTCTTCTGTGTATGTCGCATCCTGCCCTGTTCTGTTCTGCTCTGACATCTGTTGGAAGACGAGAAGGGTCCAGGGACGGAACCATGCCGTTGACTGGAATCAGAATGCGAGGCAAGGCAAGGCAGGGACGGAAGGCGTGATGCGACCGACAGGACATGATGGGAGAGAGAGGCTCGCGAGGACCCGGGGGGCCGCGAAGCTTGAAGCGAGCCGTTTGTGGCCGAGCGGAACAGAAAGGGTCGAGCGCTGCGTGACGGATGGGGGCTTGCCCGCCGCTGACGATCCGAGGCCGTGAGCATGGGCACACGTTCCGCTTTGGGACGCGAAGCTGCACACTGCGCCGTCGTCCGCGTCGTGGTGAAATAGGGCCAGCAGCGGGCTGTGTATATGCGCGCAGAAACGCGTGCTGGTCGCAGCCTCGCGCGCATGCACACGCGCATATACGGGGCTGGGAGGCGTGCTTCGCGGTCGACGAAAGCAAGGCGCGTCGATACGAGGCGACGCGGAGTCTACCCCGAGCTGAGAAGTCGCCCGTCCGTCGTCACATCATCGTGAGGATAGGATGCCCGCAAGTTCAATTTCCGGATTCTAGACGCGAGAAGTTGAACACGGCCTTTGCAGGGTTGACGGCCACGGTTACCTGCGGCCACCAGAAGAACTACCGCGGAGTGAGTAGCGGTCGCAGCAACTACCACACGCAGCCACCAGTCGTTTCTGTAGCGATGGCGCCCCCACGTCCGCGACCCCGCATACCCTGAATATGAATGAGACAGCGCTATGGGTGAGAACGTCGGTGGGAGTGCTTGCCGCCGGCCAGAGAAAGCGGAGGATGTAAGATTGAATGCGGACTGGAGATGGAAGGTTGAAGCGCTGAAGAAGGGAAGGCGCGTGATCTGCGGGCGGGTTCGCTGTGACGGGTGATGTAGGCAGTGTATGTAGCTTGCTACCAGAGGAACGTGGAAGGTTTGAGCAGGCAGCGCTTCGAAGCGCTCGATGCCATCTGTCATCCCGATGCTGTGTCGAACGTGTGTCGGTCTCGCAGGCGCTCGTTCTGGCCTCAAGTGATGATCCGGTGGGACATGTCACAGGAAAAAAAACGGCGTTTTACCACTGACTGGCGGAATGAAACCCAGTGCGCGAAGACAGGATCCGTGGAGGAAACCAGCAGACGAGTCTGATGGGTGATAGGATGCGGATGAGGGGATGGGCAGCACGCGTCGAGGTCACGTTGTTTGGGATGCTGGTCACAGGCCAACTATCGGATGTGGCGCAGCGGCGCGGGTGGCTGGTCCGCCGGCGGGCTGCGAGCAAGGGGTGGAGCACGAAAAAAAATCACAGGAGCTCCTATGCCGCCTCACTGAAACTCAGCAGCATCTCATCTCCCTCTACCGTCGTAGTAGCTGGGACCACCGCCTCCTCCGAGCTCCCCCTCCAGTCCATGGCCTTGGCCCTTCCTCCTTTCCACCACCATGTTGAACGGTAGCGGCATCAAAGTCTTCACTGGTGCCCGTCGCCCATGCCTCTCGTCCCACTGCGTTGCTGACGTCCCACTCTGTGCAGGCAACAGCCATCCCGAGCTCGCTGAACTCATCGCCCGACGGTACGTCTCCTTTGCCTCCCGACTCTCGTTCTCGCCCCCCACCCTTTTGCGGCTGTGCTGACCTTGTTTCCTTCTCTGCCCCTGCCCTCGTGCCTCAGGCTCGGCATCCAGCTCTCCAAGGCCGAAGTCACTCGCAGCGGGATCGGCGAGACGAACGTGCGCATCGGCGAGTCCGTGCGCGAGGACGACGTGTACATCATCAACACCGGCTGCGGCGAGGTCAACACGGCGCTCATGGAGCTGTGCATCATGATCCACGCGTGCAAGATCGCGAGCGCGAAGCGCATCACCGCCGTCGTGCCCCTCTTCCCGTACGCGCGCCAGGACAAGAAGGACAAGAGCCGCGCGCCGATCACGGCCAAGCTCGTCGCCAACATGCTCCAAAAGTCCGGGTGCGACCATGTCATCGTGAGTGCTTTGCGGGCTTCGTCTTGATTTTTTAATACTGTTTCTGGGTTTTTCGCTCGTTTCATCGCAATTTTTTTTTTATCGGTGATGGTGGTTGGTGGGAGTGCACAGAATATACTGACGCCCGTTTGACCCTTCTCGGCGCGGTGTGACGTATGTCCGTTTGCCTCGTGCGTCCCGCGATGCAGACGATGGACCTTCACGCGTCACAAATCCAAGGGTTCTTTGACGTCCCGGTAGACAAGTGCGTGCTCGATCCTCTTCGTTTGTCCTCGGTCCGCGGCGATTGACGGATGACGTCGGTTGGTGTGATGGTTGCTCGGCGCGCGTCTTTTAGCGTGAGTCTCAATTAATTGCTCGATCACCGCTGGCGTGAGACTGAGGGAGCGTGCTTCGGTGATTTGTAGCTCTACGCAGAGCCATCGGCTATCCTGTACATTCGGACGCACTTTGATCTCTCGAACGTGGTGATCGTGTCGCCTGACGCGGGGGGCGCCAAAAGGTGCGTCTCACGGCGGCGATTGGGGGACGAGGAGCTCACGGTTGCGAACTGTGATGCGCTGTTTATTTATACGACTCAATGTGCTGTTGGGTTGGCGGGGACAGAGCGACGTCGATGGCGGACCGGCTCGGGGTGGACTTTGCGCTGTTTCACAAGGAGCGGAAAAAGGCGAACGAGGTGTCGCGGATGGTGCTGGTGGGGCACGTGAAGGGGAAGATGGCGATCCTGGTGGACGACATGGCGGACACGTGCGGGACGCTGTGCTTGGCGGCGGAGCACCTGGCGGAGGCGGGGGTGAGCAAGTCGTACGCGATCGTGACGCACGGGATCCTGAGCGGGCGGGCGCTGGAGAACGTGGAGGCGAGCGCGCTGGACAAGCTGATCGTGACGAACACGCTGCCGCAGCAGGCGAACGCGGCGCGGTGCTCGAAGCTGGAGGTTATCGATATCGGACCCGTGCTCGGGGAGGTGATCCGGCGCAGCCATTATGGGGAGAGCGTGTCAAAACTGTTCAACGAGGTGCCCTACTAGTTGGGGAGACTATCGGGACTAAGTACATAAGTGGGGGGTCGGAAGTAGGCTAAGGTAAATTATGTGTTGTATTAGAGAACAATTAGAATGGACGTCGGGTAGATTGCGAAAGATCGGGTGGAGGGAGCGAGGCCGATCGGGGCTGGTCAAGAGTGATGGAGCAAACGGGGATAAGGGAGATCTAGATCTTGGATCGAGAGCGCTCGCGTCGGGGTCGACGGACGAGCGAGGTGGACGTGGAGGGAAGGGGGGTGGGGGGGGCAGGCGTAGCGGGCGGAGGGGGGGGGGACTATAGGGGAACGGACGTGTGCGTGTGTGTGGGTGGGGGGGGCGCGAAATGAACGGAAGGACGGGAAGGAGAGGACCGGGGGAGAAGAAAAAAGCGGGGTTACGGGGTCCTGACGTGGACCGAAAAGAGGAGTGATGGATCTAAGATGGATCTGTGCTAGCCAGTGGGTCGTCGGCACCGGTGCGTCGGTCGGTCAGCGGGTCGGACTGGGCGTCACGTCACGGGGGTGTGACCGGCGGGCGAGCCCAGTGCGGGCGTCGTCGAGGACGGCGGTGGGGGGAGGGGGGCGGGGGCGGGGTGCGTCGGCGGCGGAATCTGCGGTGGGGGCGACGGGGGCGAGGGCGAGGGCGGGGGCGAGGACGAGGGCAGCGGCGAGGAGGGATGGAGTGGGTAGCGTCGGCTGAGACGCGCTCACGCTAACACTGCTTCCGCTCCTTCGATTCTGGACGGACGGTGTGCTCTGCTGCTCTGCTCTCCACGCCAGCGTCGCCCGTCTGCTGCTCCCCTCTGCTCCCTCCCTCCTGCTCCCTCCCTGCTCCCTTCTCCCTTCTCCCTTCTCCCCCTCCCTCCCTCCCCCCGTGACTGCATGCCCCTCTGAGCCCTTCCCCCCCATCAGCCCTGGAACATCCCTCCTTTGCGTCTTTGGGCAATGCCAGTGCCAGCCGTATCATGTACCCTTCTCCACAACATGTCCACCAAGGCCACCATCCCCCCTACGACCACATCCCCCTCGTCCCCAACGGCCACCAGCTCGACCCTCTACACAACGCCTCCCCCGCTAATCACCCCCCGTCCTCCACCCGCTCCTCCCATCCCTCCACCAAGGAGCCCTTCGTCGCTCTCGCAATCCCCTCCGTCTCCCTCACCCCCGACGCAATCCACTACGGCAACGCTCAGAGCAGTCAGTCCTCCTCCCTCCCTCCCTCCCCTCTTTCTTTTCCCTTTCTCCCCGCCCCCTCCGTCCCCCTCCTCCCGCTCACGTCCCCTCCCAGGCTCCACCCGCTCCTTTACCCCTCTCAAGGCCGTCGGCGACGGTTCCTTCGGCACCGTCTGGCTCTGCGATTGGCATGGGCCGTTACCGCCCAATACATCCGTCCCCGCAATGCAGTCGGGTCAAGGCGCGAGGCCCGAATACGCATCCAAGCGCCTCGTCGCCGTCAAGAGGATGAAAAAGAAATGGGAGGGCGGCTGGGATGAATGCAAAAAGCTCAAGGAGCTTGAGGTCCGTCTCTCTCTTCGTTTTTCGTCCCACACCTCCTGTCCCCTGTCCCCTGTCCCCTCCTCTTCGTCATTGTCGTCGTCGTCGTCGTCGTCGTCGCTGTCGTTGTCCGCCCCGTCCTCACCCCGCCCCCTAGGCATTGCGAGCGATACCCATGCATCCAAACATCATCCCCCTCTATGACTCCTTTCTCCTCCCCCATACCAAGGAGCTCTACTTCGTCTTCGAGCCCATGGAAGGTCACCTCTTCCAACTCATCAAGGCCCGCAGGGGCCGTCCCCTCGCCGGCGGTCTCGTCTCCTCCATTTTCCGCCAGATCGTCTCCGGCCTCCACCACATACACGTCTCCGGCTACTTTCACCGCGACATGAAGCCCGAGAACGTCCTCGTCACCACCACCGGCCTCTTCGATTACCCGAACATATCCCCCACCGCGCCCCCCGACGCCCCGCCCGAGAAGGACGTCGTGGTCATCATCAAGCTCGCGGACTTTGGCCTCGCCCGCGAGACAAAGAGCCGCCCGCCCTACACAGAGTACGTCTCCACACGTTGGTATCGCGCCCCCGAGGTCCTCCTCAAGAGCAGGGACTACTCCAATCCCGTCGACATGTGGGCCCTCGGCACCATCATGGCCGAGCTCGTCAACCTCCGCCCGCTCTTCCCCGGCAAGGGCGAGGTCGACCAGGTCGCCAAGATCACAGAGATCCTCGGCGACCCCAGCGACGAGTACGGCAAGGACGCGCGCGGAAAGGCCATCGGCGGCGGCAAGTGGAGCAAGGGCATCAAGATGGCGAAGAACGTCGGCCTCACGTTCAAAAAGGTGCGTCCTCACCGTCATCGCACGACGAGGTCCCACGAGCTCACACGTCTGCTTCTGGGGCGTTCAGATCACCCCCGTGGACTTTTACTCGCTCTTTGACCGCAGCATTCCCGTCAAGCTCGTCGAGTGCATCGCGGACCTGCTCAAGTACGATCCCAACGAACGCCTGACCAGCCAACAGTGCCTCGAGCACCCGTACCTCCTCGAGACCACCGCGCGAATCAACGCCCCGCCGCCGCCCCTCACCGTCTCGACGTCCGCCCCCCTGCTCAACGGTCACCAGCAGAACGGCGCGCCCTCCATCGCCTCTGTGTCCCCACGCACCCTCCCCCCTTCGCATCCCCATCCGCCCCCCGCCCTCGCCCAGATTCCCGACGCGTCTGCGTCCCACCGGCAATCCTTCTATCCCGTCTCCCCCGGCCACACAAATTCGGAGTACGGCAGCGATGTCGTGTACGCGAACGCGCGCCGTCCGTCGGACGACTTGCACCCGCACCCGCCACCGCCCCAGCTGCAGCACTCGAACACGGTCTCGACCGTGTCGTCCTACCAGAGTGCGGCGCCGTCGCCCGCGACGTGGGAGTCGATGAACATCTCGCCCCACTCGGAAATCAACGAGGAGTACATGGTCGACGGACACCCGATGGACATTCAGCGTTCGCCGATGGCGCAAGAGTACCCCTCGCGTCCGCCATTGGAACAAGACCTCCTCCAAGAGGCGACGAACGGCGCCACGCACGAGATGCTGCCGTCGGGGAACAAGTTTGGCAAGCTCGGCTCGCTCGGGTTCCGCAAGCAGCACAAGTGGGCGGGACTCGGCGGCATGTTCGGCCATGGCGACAAGAGCCAGCAGAACGTGCTCCCGCCCGTGGAGGAGATGCACGTCACGTCGTCGAGCTCTACGCCGTCTCTCAAGCGCACGCAGTCGTCGAGCACGGACAGCCGCTCGCTGCCGGAGCAACCGCCGGTCGTCATCGACCCGCCGCTCAAGGACGCGAAGAAGATCAAGAAGGAGGCAGAGCGGATGGCGAAGGAGGCGGAGCTTCAGCGGCGCGCGATGCTGCTCAAGTCGCAGCGCGACCAGGCGCGCGCTGTCATGGAGAAGCGGAACCAGGTCCTCACGCAGTCGCACACGCGCGGCGAGCTCGAATGGAAGTGGAACCACTCGGGCGCGCTCGCGGGCCAGGACCCCCACCCGCCAGACCTGCGCGCCAAGGGCTCGACGACGATGGCCAACGGCGGCGGCGGGCCGATCCGGCAGGTGCAGGGCGCGTACGCGCCGGGGCCGTACGACTGGCGGCGGGACGAGCGCATGCACAAGGCGCGGCGGCGCGAGCACGACGACGACCACTCGATGTCGTCCTCGGACGTGCAGAGCATCGGGCCCATGTCGACCATCTCCTTCGCGACCGTCGACAGCGACCCGGGCCCGTCGCGGCTGCACCACCGGCCGAGCATGTTCGGGGGCATCAGCCGCATGACGTCGTCCTCGTCGCTGCGGCACCTCGACGACTTTCCGACGTCGGCGCGCTCGTCCAACTCGCTGTCGTTCGAGCAGCAGTTTGTCAACGACTTTCACGTGCGCGCGTCCGTCGACTCGTCGAATTCGATGTCCTCCGAGTTCGGCTCGCCCCCGCCCATGCACGCGCTCACCCTTTCGCCGTCGCGCTCGTGGCAGACGGTGCACCCGCGGCAGGAGGAGATCCCCGATGTCGCGATGGAGCAGCCGCAGCCATCACGCCTCGCTATCCCGCAGCAGCACCATCCACAGCAGCAGCAGCAGCAGATCCCGTTTGGCGGGAATTTGCGCTCCCTCTCCGTGAGCCCGGGCATGGACGCCCCAAAGTCGGCCATCAATCCGATCTTCAAAGTGGTGAGTGTTCGGCCGAGTCTGGTTGGCATGTCGTGCTGATGCCGTCGCCACCCGCTTCTTCCTTTCGCGCAGCCGTCTTTCCCATCGCTCAAGCCCGGCCGAGATCCACCACCGGTGTCCACGACGCCGTCGTTGCCACCCTTTGCGCAGATCGAGGCCATCGCCGATCGGGATTGTCCCCCGCTTTCGCCCATGTCGTTCACCACCCCGGAGGAAGATCACTTCTGACCGGTTTCGGTTCGGTCTGGTGTTCTACTTTGATTTTCTCCCTCCCTCCGCTTCTTCTTATTCGTGCGCTCACCGTTCGTGTCTCTCTCACTCTCACGCTCACTCATTTTCCTTCCCATTTTCCTTTTCACCTCATCATTATCGTTGCCTTCATCTATTTAACCACTCTACTTCGCCCTCGATACTTTTTTTTTTTTTTACGTTTCATCTTATGTTCTTGCTGCTCTCATCATAGCCACTCGCCCTGTCTCGTCCGGACCACATCCCACTCTAAACCCCGAAACCCGTAAACGCACAGTGCACTCGACCCACTCATCCACTCGTTCCTCCCCCGCTTTCCCCTTACCCTTCTCATCACGGACTGCGCCCTGCTCACCCCCCCTTCGTCTTCTCCCCCTATCGAGGTCCCGACCTCGGTCTTCGCCTTCGCAGCAGACCCAGGAGGTTATCCATCGCGTATAATAAGTACCCCTCGCCCGGCGCTCTTCTTGCTGCTGCTGCGCGGTCGGCCGGTCGATCGGCTGGTTGGCTTTTGTCTTTACTGTAGATCGCCCACCTAGTAACTCAACGTTCTTCGCTCTCTGCTCTTTCTTTCGCAGTTTCGTTTCTCTGTCTCCTCTTTCTTTTTCTTTTTTTCTTTTTTTTCTTTTTTTTCTTCTTTCTCGCAGCTGTCGTCTTTCGCGTCCCAGCGCGCGCCTCGACCCCGCGCCGGGGCGGAGCATTATATAGTCGAAGTGAGGTAGTAGTACTTGGTGGGTCCCGTAGACACGCGTGTATTATTTACGGGGGCCGGCGCGCCCAGACCCAAACCATCGGATGAAAGAAAAAGGAGATTAAACAGCCACCGCCGGGACCGCTGCTTCGCACTTAGTGAATAGTTGCTTGATAGTTGCTTAGTTTGTGTAGGAGGGCGCGGGTGTAGGTTCGTGTGGGGCTCGCGCCATGTGGCGGCGCGGGGGCTAGAAGCCACGTCTGTTTCGCCGGCGGGGAAGACGTCTGGCTGACAGACCGAGACAAGACAGGCTCAGGGAGGCGAGACAGGGAGGCTCGGACAGGGAGGCTCGAAGGGGCGCCCGGGAAGCGCGGCGTGGGGCACGGCTCGTCGGCGGACCGGACGCTTGCTTCACGAACATGCATGCGTGCGTGCATCTATACAAGCGTTTGACTGCGGTACGTATGTATGTATGTATGTATGTGTGCTCTCGCCGGGGGCCCTGCATGCCCGGTTTCGGGGTGGATCGATGGCGCGGATGTATGGCGTATGGTGTATGGTGTATGGTGTGCGTGTGGGTGCGTGTGGTGAGGATTATGGAGGTTTGGGGGCTGGCGTGGACGTTGGCTCGAGAGAGCGGGGGCCGTCGCGATCAGTGCTCGTGCCCGTGGTGCGGTGCCTGCTCGTACCGCAGGCCGCTGGGGGGTGGGTGGCGAGTGGGGCGCACCATCGACGATGAGAATCTGGGGCGCTTCAGCACGGCGGAGCGCACTCACCAGTATCTGGGATCGGGGCAGGCCCGTGGTGGCGGCGACGGGACGAAGGGAAGGAAACGAGGGAGGGAGACGGAAAGACGGAAGGCGGAAGGGAAGGCGTGAGGGAAGGCGTGAGGGAAGGCGGGGAAGGAGAGACACGGCTAGTTTAGCACCGCCGACGTCACGCTGCCGGAGACGCAAGATCGGAGCTCACCCGCATGCCTTGGGGCCGGGCTTGTCCTGTCAGCGGCGCGCGCGCGTGCGTTAGCGCGAGCGGCGGGCAGGCAGACGGGAGGACGCACCAGGTTGATGAAGATCTTCGGGTGCCCGAGCGGGCCGGAGCCTGGCAGGAGCAACGGACGGGCGGGCGCATGAGAATCGCATCGCAGTCGACGGGGGCGCACGCGCGGCGGTGATGGAATAGAAGGGGGAGGGGAGGGGAGGGAGGGAGGGAGGGATGTACGCACCGCCGTCGCACACGGCCTTGCGCGCGTGCACGAGCCGCACGGGCTCGTCCGCGATCATCTGCATCGCGCTCAGCGGCTGCGGCTGCAGCTCCATGATGACCTGCTCGAAGCGCGGCCCGCTCCCCTGCGTCGGGCGCGCGCTCTGGCTCGCGGACCACGTCGTGGGGTAGTTCGGCGCTTGCGCCGCTGCGGGCGCGGGGCTCGTCGTGGTCGTCGTGGCGGCCGCCTTGGCGGGCGTAGAGGTGGAGTTGGCGCGCGCGATGATGCGTCGGGGCGCGATGCGGAGGCGGAAGGCGAGGCGGGCGGAGAGCATTGTTGCGTGCGGCGTGGTTGCGGTGGTGGTGAGCGTCGTCTCTGTCGGCGACACCAGCCGTGGCGCCAATATTCGCGCGTGGGAAAACTCTCCCGGTTAGCCTCCTCTCGCCGGGGCCGCCGCCGCCACACACTCCATGGGTGTCCAACTTGTGATCGAGTTCAACGGCACCTTTCGGAACGTAGCTCATGCACCATACCGGATGGAAAGAGAAAGCGTGATTGCGGTGTTATTACACTACTTAAGTACAGATGCTAAAAAAATACACGACCCTCGGGGGCCCCCCCGTCCCAGTAAGCTAATACTACTATAGTACACCCAAGACAATTCAGAAAACAAGTGGCGCCGCAGCTTTTAGTCCATCTCCTCGATCTCAATGTCGCCGTCGCCGTCGTCATAGTCTAGATCCATCGCGTCCGCGTCGTTGCCCTCGTGATTAGGGTGAATGTGCAGGCGGTTCCGGGGCCCGTCGAACCCGACGCGCACCACTTCCCCATCGCGCACGCGGTCCGCGAGGAGCATGACTGACAGGGGGTTCAGTAGCTCGGTTTGGATGGCGCGGTTGAGCGGCCGCGCGCCGTAAGTGGTGGAGTATCCGATCGAGACGAGGTAGTTCTTCGCTTCGTCGTCGATGGCGAGCGACATTTTGCGGTCCGCGAGGCGCTGCTGCACCTCCGCCAGACGCAGGTCGATGATCCTCATGACGTTCTTCCGTGAGAGTGTGCGCTGGAAAACGCGACCATCAGATAAGGCCATCAGAGAAAGATAGAAAGAGTAGACTCACGAAGATAACAATGTCGTCGATTCGGTTGATGAACTCGGGCGGGAAATGCGACTGGATGGCAGACATGACGAGCTCCCGCGTCTCCTTCCTCACCGGGCCCTCGCCCATGTCGTTCAGGTACACCGCCCCGAGGTTGCTCGTCATCACGATCACCGTGTTGCGGAAGTCGACGACGCGGCCTTGACCGTCGGTGAGCCGCCCGTCGTCGAGGACCTGCAGGAACAGGGTGACGAACTCCCGCGAGGCTTTCTCAATCTCGTCGATGAGGACGATCGAGTACGGCTTGCGGCGCACGTACTCGGTCAGTTGACCGCCCTGGTCGTGGCCAACGTACCCTGGTGGGGCACCGATGAGACGCGCGATCGAATGCTTCTCAGAGTACTCGGAACCATCGATGCGGATCATCGCGTCTGGGGAATCGAATAGAAGAGTAGCGAGCTGGGAAAAATATATCAGCAAAGACGTCGGTCAGGGCAGCGAGGGCACGAACTCACCGTTTTGCTGAGCAACGTCTTTCCCGTCCCAGAGGGGCCTGCCATCAGGAAGCTGGCGATGGGCCGCTGGGCATTCCCAAGGCCGCTGCGAGAGAGTCGGATGGCGTTGGCAACGGCTCTCACAGCCTCGGGCTGTCCGACGACGCTCTGTGCGAGGATCTTCTCCATGCGCAACAGCTTCTCCTTCTCCGTCGACATGAGCCTCGTCACGGGGATGGACGTCCAGCGAGCAACGATCTCAGCGATCTGCTCAGGGGTGACGCTGTCCTTACCGCCGCCGGCAGCGAGGTCTTCCTCGGTTCTCTTCGAGATGAGCTTCTCGAGACGACTCTGCAGGTCAGGCAGTGCATAGTAGCGCAGGTCAGAGGCAGTTCCGAGGTCATATCTGCGACGCAGGAACAACAATCAGCGCCACGAGGTATTGGGATATTAGGAGAGCCTTGCAATTTACCTTCTTTCAGCGTCCTCCGCCTTTGCCTTGAGCTCGTCGATCTTCTTGCGGAGCTGGTTCACCTCGTCACCGCGCATCTTTTCGTTCTCGTGGGCAGCGATCATCGGAATGAGCTCGTCGTCGACCTGTGCGATGGCCCTGTGCGCGGCCTCCAGCCGTTCCTTGGAGGCGACGTCCTTCTCGCGCTCCAGCGCGTGTATCTCGATTTCGAGCTCGAGCTTGCGCCGCTGGAGCTTGTCGATGGCCTCGGGGGCGGTCTCGCGCGTGACGCGCACACTGCGCGACGAAGAAGTCAGCACGTCTGAACAGAAGCGATGAACCGTCGTCGTCTCGTACCTGGCACAAGCCTCGTCTACCAAGTCGATGGCGGCGTCGGGCAGCCGCCTCGAGGTGAGATACCGATGGGCCAGCGTCGCCGCTTGGATCAATGCGCCGTCCAGGATCTGCACGCCGTGGTGCACCTCATATTTCTCGCGTATGCCCCGAAGGATGCTGATCGTCTCCGCGACGGACGGCTCGTTGACGACGACCTGCGCGAAGCGGCGCTCGAGCGCGGCGTCGGTCTCCACGTACTTCCTGTACTCCGCGAGCGTCGTCGCGCCAATGCAGCGCAGCTTGCCGCGCGCGAGCAGGGGCTTGAACAGGTTCGCGGCGTCCATGCCTCCGCCCTCGGCGCCCTTGCCGGCCATGATGAGGTGGAGCTCGTCGATGAAGAGGATGACGCCGGGCCCGCCGTCCTCCGCGGCCTTCTCGACCTCGTTCAGGACGGACTTGATGCGCTCCTCGTACTCGCCCTTGTACTTCGCGCCGGCCATGAGCGCGCCCATGTCGAGCGAGTAGAGGCGCGCGATGAGCGAGGCCGGGACGTCGCGGTTGACGATGCGCTGCGCGAGGCCCTCTGCGATGGCGGTTTTGCCGACGCCGGGCTCGCCGATGAGGACGGGATTGTTCTTGGTCCTGCACATCTCCAGTCAGCAATCGCGGCGCGTGTTCGGGCAGCTGGCTGGCGAACGTACCTTCGACACAGGATACGGATGACGCGCCGGATCTCGTTGTCTCTGCCGATGACCGGGTCGATCTTGCCTTCCTCCGCGAGGGCGGTGAGATCGACAGCGTACTTGCTGAGCGCGTCGAAGCCCTGCTCCGCCGTGCGGCTCTCGACTCTCCTATTGCCCCTGATCTGGTCGATGGCGGTCTTGAGCTGCGCCTCGGTGAGGCTCGCCTCCTTCAAGATCGGCGCGAGGAATGGCATCTTGATGAGTGCCAAGAGGATGTGGTCCTGCGCGATGTACGAGTCGTGCATTGTCTTTTGGAGCGCGTGGGCTTCGCGGATGGCGCGCAGCGCGTCGGGGGAGAGGGTGACTTCATCGGGCGGGGGCGACTGCGCGGGCAGGCGGACGATGAGCTTCTGGATGGCGCGCTTGACCACGATCTGCGATCACGCGTGAGCAGGGGGCTCCAAAATAAACTGATCGTGGTGCTTACTGGGTCGCCGCCGGCCTTTTGGATGACAGATGCAAAGAGAGGGGTTTGGGAATGGGTGACGCCTCCTGGGGCGTTGGTATCGCCTGCTCCCTCATTGAGAAGCACAAAGGCTATATGGGCCGGGTATACTACGAAAAAAAAGGGAGTCAGAACGACAGCCAGTGTCGCGCCGAAGCGCACGAGAGCTCACGTACCTTGTGAGTGGTAGTTGTCCTTCGCAAGCTGGATGGCAGCCTGCAAAGTCAGTTGTGTTTTGTCGGTGAACTCAAAGTCGGAGGCCATGAGAACGTTCGTAGAATGGAGAGTGAGGACATTGCGGTGGGCTGCGAGGGGGATATATACTGGGCTTTCGAGACGGACTCCAACTGTCCCGCAGCGTCTGGACTCACCGAGAAGGTGGTCGAACCCTCTTGACGTCGTTCCTGCCGCTTTCGGACACACAGTCTGGACGCGTGACGTCACGCGACTCCTGTCCCCGGCCTGCGCGTCGCATCAAGCACTGCTAGTTCACCATTGCTGATATCAGGGGGTACAACATCACGACGTTACAGTACAGACATGAAGAAAGCAGTCTAAATTGCAGAGGCGTTTAAATCAAGCACCTCCTTTTTAACCCGCACCTGCGAACTCTCCTCCTCCAGATCATCGTCCCTTCTCGCTGAAACCCTGTTCACCCACTCCAAAGGCGGCCACGGCTTGTGCAGCCTTGGATTGATCCACTTGAATTCATACTGTAATCAAGTGAGTTGTGCGTGCCGTCATCAGCGGATGCAAACGCACCGGGTACTCCTTCGTCGCCTTCACGCGTCGCACGCCATTCTCGTTTATATGCCACTCATAGTGAGGGCTCACCATGTCGTAGAAGCACGTCTGCACCCGCGAGTCGCCCAGCACCCATCGCTTGCTCCGCATGAAGACGACGTGCTTGCGGGGCAGCGGCCGGACGTTCTCGTCGGTCAGGCGCATGAGATCGATGCTGTACATGCAGCCGCCCACCGGACAGACCCACTTGAGATCGGTGGTCATGCGCGGGGGGTAGCCCGTCTCTGGCGGGATGAGCGCCTGGATCTCCGGGTTGAGGGGAATAAGTGGGGTTGGAATATCTTCGTCGGACGATGCGTCTGGGGTGGAGTCTTCAGAAAAGTCCGAGTCGTAGACGCGTAGGTCGCCCATCTCTTCCTGCTCGTCGTGTTGAGGCATGAAGTCAAGTGGCTAGTTGGCGTGGCTCAGCGGCGGTCGGATGGAGGGTGCAGGCCGCACTTACCATCACTGCTCCTTTTGAGGAGGAAAAGTTGTGGCGTTTGGTTGGAGCGACCCTGGAAGCTTTGACCTTGCTGCCTGACGCGATGGATTGCCTGCGAGCCGAGGGTGGCTGCTTCGGCTCTGGTGGCCTATCGTCTTCGCTGACGTAGATGGCGGGCGCCTCGTGGGCCCGAGCTTTCTTCGAGCCCTTTGACCTCCCTCGCTTGTGCGTCGCCACAGTCGGACTCGTGATCGGTGGCGAAGGGTGCGCGGACCTGGCGAGCGTGCCATCGTCGCTCCCCACGTCGAGCCTTGTTTTTGGCCTGTGCGCGGCTTTGCCCTTTCGCTTCTCCGACGGCCCTCGTGTCGGTACCGCCACGGGCTCGTCGTCTTCGAGAGCGGAGCCCTCCTCGTCGAGCGCGCCGTCGTAGAAATCGCGCAGCCCCCACGGCACGGGCGGGTCCGCGCGCGCGGCTCTGCGCCGCGCGACGTTGACATTGCGGATCCATGCGCGCCACGCGTCGACGTTGATCAGCTTGCGCTGGCGCGCGCCGTACTCCTCGACGACGAACTCGACGACGGACGCGAAGAGCGAGGCGACCTCTGCGCGATGCACGGTGCGCAGGTGTCGCGGGCGCTTCGTCGGGCGGCCGGGGAAGCCTGCGTCGAGGAGCTCGCGCACCTGCGGCGGGGGGCGCGCGGCGACGCCCTCGTTGGCGGTGTCATCGGCGTCGCTGTCGTAGATGAGGCGGTTCCAGCGCTTGTGCTCCGGGTAGGCGTGGCTCTTGAGGTACTGGGTGATGAACCAGTCCGGGGTGCGCTGGGCGATCTCGGTGTCGGGGTTGTCCTTGCAGATCTTCTCCATGGTGGCGACGACTTTGTAGCGGCCGAGGTACGAGCGGGAGAGCTCGTACGTCTCGGTGCGGAAGCCGAGGACTTCGTACGTGCGGCCGCTGCGGGAGGTGACAGGATGCATGGTGAGCGCGTGCGAGGGGGGCTCAGGGGCCGGACTCACTGGTTCTCTGTGTGCATCTGAAGCCCGTTCGGTACGAGCTTGGCTGGGGTGCAGATCTGACGGGCCTGGCGCAACAAGAAGAGCGAGAGGACTCACAGGCGAGGTAGACGAAGGGCATGTGCTTTACGCCTTGGATGAGGACCTTTATCCGGGGCGCGCCCTGTCTGGCCTTGCCCCTGTCGCTGTAGAGCACCTGGGGCTTGAAGTAGTCACCGCGCGCGCCCACGACGCCGTTGATGTGGGCCTCTGTCTGGCGCATCTGCAGGGCGGCGGAGATGGCGTCGATGGCCTCCGGGGTGAGCTGGGAGAGGGCATCGATGGTGAGGACGCCGCGGAAGCGGATGCGGGCGCCCTCGGGGAGGGCGGGCTTGTTCTGGAGGTAGATGGGGACTGGCCTGGCCTGTTCTGTCTCGTCGAGCCTGGAGATGGCGGGGCGGGGATGGGTGGAGTCTTGCAGAGGGGGCGGGGGGGGGGGGGGGGAGCTTACCCTGTGGGACGGCCGTCGTACTCGAGGAGGACGTGGTCGAGCTGGAGGACGCGGGTCGGGGTGGAGAGACACTTTGGGTGGAGGGCCTTGGCGTCGAGGAAGGGCCCAAAGGGGGTCTCTGTCAGACGGGCGAGGACCTGGCGTGCGCTCATCGCAGGACGCGTGCCGCACTCGACACTCGACGCTCGATGCTCGACGCGGGGATAGCTGCCGCCGGCTGCGCGGCCATCGCCGAACCACGCTAGCAGGCGCCCAGCCGCCCATTCCAGTCGTGCTCCCGCCCGCTCCGTCCGTCTCTTCTCCCTCCACCCATTTCACCTTGCTCGCTTTCCATCTCAACTCTCTCACACTCTCCCCCTCTTCCCCCCGCTCTCCCCCCGCCATGGGCGACGCACACATCCCCGTCGTCGCCGGCATCGTCGTCGGCCTCCTCGCGTCGTGCGTGCAGTCCCTGGGGCTCACCATCCAGCGCAAGAGTCACGTCCTCAACCAGGCCCTCCCCGACGGCCAGCAGAGGGTCGAACATCGCAGACCGTGCGTGCCTTTCTGCCCCTTGCCCCCTCACACCCCCTCTCACCCCCGTTGCTGCATCCCCGTCGCAGGCTATGGCTCCTCGGTTTCTGTGCGTGCGCTCCTTTTACACTTTCCGTCGTGCCCTTCTCGTCTTATGCATCCCACCCAGCCATTTTCATATCCTCAAACGTGCTCGGCTCTCTCTTCCAGATCGCATCGCTCCCCGTCGTCATCCTCGCTCCGCTAGGGGCCGTGTCCCTGCTCTGGAACGCCTTCTTCGCCCGCCTCCTCCTCGGCGACGTCTTCTCGCCCTGGATGATCATCGGCACCCTCCTCATCGCAGGAGGCGCCGTCCTCATCGCCTACTTTGGCATCGTCCCCGAGCCCACCCACTCGCTCGAGGACCTGCTCGTGCTCTTCCGCCGCCCCGCCTTTGTCGCGTACTTTTCGCTGCTCGCCGCTGCCGTCGTCGTGTGCTTGGCCGTCGTGAGTCTCTTTCTGTGCATATATGCGCTCGCGTTCACCGGTTGCCCGACCACAGACGCACATTTGTGAATTCTCCTACAAGCGACGCGCAATCAGCCTGCCCCCCTCTCCCCCGCTATCTCCGCTCCTTCTTTCGACCAATTCCTCAACAGACCTTACCACAGAACGCACGCCTCTCCTCGATCGCAAGCCGCGCGCCCTGCGCTCCTCCGCTTCGTCTTCCATAACGTCCCCCCCGCGCGGCCTGGGTTTCCCCCCCTCGCGGCCCTCGCGGACGCCGCTCTTTCTCGCGCTCTCGTACGCGTCGACCTCGGGCACCCTGTCCGGCATGTGTCTGCTTTTCGCCAAGTCGGGCGTGGAGCTGCTCTTGCTGACCCTGGGGGGCTCCAATCAGTTCTGGCGCTGGCAGGCGTGGGTGCTGCTCCTGGGCCTCGTCGCGTTTGCGCTCCTGCAGCTGTGGTACCTGCACAAGGCGCTCATTCTGGCCGATCCCACGATCGTCTGCCCTCGTGCGTATTCTCTATGGGTTTAGAGAAAAGCTTGGCTGACGTTTCGTCGCGCAGTGGCGTTCTGCTTCTACAACCTGTCTTCGATCGTGAACGGCCTGGTGTACTTTGACCAGATCGCGCTCCTTCCGACGTCGCATCTGCTGCTCGTGGTCACCGGCATCGCGGTCCTCCTCGCAGGCGTCTGGGTCGTCAGCTTCCACGCAGGGCCCGGCGTCGACGTGGGCGCGTGGACGGAGGAGGAGGAAGCGGCGGCGGCGGCGGGGGACGAGGAGCTGCGAGAGGCGACGCCGGACCGGCGCGCGTCGAGTTTGGCCGCGGACGCGGACGTGGAGGCGGCGCTGATCGTGGAAGAGCCGCTCGAGATGCCGCTCTCGCCTAGGAGCGCAGGGCGGCGCGAGGCAACGCTGCTGACGGCCGGGAGCACGCGGCGGCGGCGGCGGCGGCCGACGATCGGGACGGGGCACGCGCAGGGGGCTACGGAGCACGGGGCGCTGTCGCCGCCGTCGACGGGGACGGCCGGGTTCTCGATCGGGCTGTCGCCTGTGAGCCCTGGGTTCGCGCTGGTGCCGCGGGAGCGGCGGAGGCGGGTGAGCGGGAGCGTCGGCGGGGGAGAGGGGGGCGGGGAGCATGTGAGACGGGGGTGGACGGACGTGGTGCGGCGGATGCGGGTGCGGAGGGCGGTGAGCGATGGGGGCGTGGATGCGGTTGCGGAGGCGGGGCTGGACGGGGGGAGTGCGGATCACGCGAATGCGAAGGGGCGGTGGCGATGGCTGCGGGGGTGGGTCGCGCGGGGGAGCGAGGGCTAGAGCGCGTCGGACGCGAGGATATTTCTGGTGGCGGAGGGACATGTATATATTTCGTTCGGTGGACGAGGCGCGCAGAAGCACAAGCGCGTATGTACATGCATGCAGACTAGATAGTGTAGCTAGTATGGAGAACTACAGCAGTCTTAATGGACCAGGGACGTGTCGTGGTACTACGGTGAGCGCGGTTGTGGATCAGGAACATGTCGCAGGTGGAACCCCGTCGAGACACGAAACGCGCGCGAGAGGCGAGAGCAGGTCTATTCAGGTCAGAAATCGGCAGGAGGCTAGGAACGAGGTACGTGGGTTGTACGACATTGGAGGTCGCACGCGGCAAGCGAGAGCGACGATGCGGGTGGGGCATTCGTTTGCAGGAACCAGGCTGGCGTTTTAAACAGTCTGTTGGCCGGGATGGCCGGGCGAGGTCGAGGAGGTGCCGCAGGTGCCGCAGAGGCCTCAGACGAGGTGTTGCCTTGCCAATACGGCGGCGAATCGGACAGTTGGGGAGCAGCCCGGGGGAGCGGCGCGCGGAGAGAGAGGCCGCGACGGGACTGCTGCCCGATGGGGGAGTCATCAGGAGTTGTGCGGAGGGGCCGCATTCGCGCCGGGGGGGACGCCACGACGTGCGGGGGGCGGGGGCGGGGGCAGGCGAGAACGTCGAGGTGGGTGGGGGAGGGAAGGGGCTGCGTGGGAGGAGTCGGCGAGGAAGGGCGCGAGAAGCGCGATCAGGGGACGGTGGCGAAACGCGTACTTATATCTTTCACCACTCGGCTCGCTGGACGCGCGACGCTGCTGGTTCTGTCACAGACACACCTCCGCCGCTCCTGCTCCCCCTGCTCCCCCTCCCCCCTCTCTCTCCCTCGCTGGCTCGCTGACTCGCTGGCTCCCGTCACTCGTTGCCCCTCACCTGTCCTTTCCGTCAACCGTTAAAAATGCTGGGCGGCCGTCGACCGAACGGGGCCGGTGGGAAGATCGCGTCTGACACATCTGGCGTTGCCCGCAGACCGACCGCGCTGAGCATCAGGTCCTCTGCCACCGCCCGCAGCTTCCGCTCCGTCAGCGCAGAGCCCATCCCCGAGCTCTCCCCCACCGCAGACACCCCCCGCCAGCGCGACAGGCCCAGCCGCCCCCCGGACGACCCCGCCCTCGCAGAGGAGGGAGACTACATCAACGTCTTCCCCCCGTCCCCCTCCACCCAGCTCGTCCACTCCCCCTCCTCCCGCCCAGACAAGGCCTCCCGCGTCCTCGGCATCCAGCACCGCCGCTCCATGGAGCCCGTCCCCGCTTCCACGCGCACCTCCATCGTCTCCACCCGCTCCCTCCGCGACCCCGCGCCCCCCACCACCGCCTTCGTCCCCACCCTCCCCCTCACCTCCCTCTATGTCGTCTCTGGCCTCCCAAAGGCCCCCCACACCTGGACCCTCGCCGACCCGGACTCTGTCCTCGGCCTCGCCCACACAGAAGGCGCCGTGAACCGCTGGTGGCGCGCGGAGGTCCTCGGCAGCACCGTCAGCCCTGGCGTCGGCGGCGGCAAGAAGAAGCGAAAGGGCAAGGAGACGGAGATCCTCAAGGGCGCCGGCGCGCTCAGCAAACAGGAAGTCGCAAAGATGCTCTCCAAGGCGCTCAAGGTTCGCCGTTCTTTTGCCACGCTACCCCTCGTCGTCGCGTGCTAATAAACACGTCCCCCTTCGTAGCTGTCCTTCACGCGCGAGGTCGAGATCATCGCTTCGACCCTCCAGCCCGCCTCCACCGTGCACACCTTCGCCTTCTCCCTCCCCGCGCCGTCCACCCCCCTCAACCCCTCGTCCTCCAGCGCCCTCTTCCGCTCCTCCGTCCTCTCCTCCGCGTCGGAGATGCGCCCCAACTCCACCGCCGGCTCCCTCTACCCCCACGACCCGTATCTCAGCGCGCGCCCTTCCTCCGCTTTCCTCGGCCCGCCCGGTCTCTTCCCCCCCGGCACCGCGTCCTCCGGGGGCGCACCGGCCGCTAACGGCTCCGGCGGGGGCGCCAACGACGCCCCTGGCAGCACCCTCACCTACCACGGCGTGTGCCTCACCGTCTGGTCCCATGCCGACAACGAGCGCAGCGCCGCCATCCGCCGCACCCTCGAGGCAGGCCGCTCCCGCAAGGAGTCCGCCCAGAGCCTCGCGACGGCCCGCATCAAGGGCAACGCCGACCCGACCCTCCAGGCCCGCCGCAGCGCACGCAAGAGCGCGCGGGGCCCGTGGGGCGCGAGCGGCGTCACCACCGACGCCGACACGGACCTCGACGTCGAGACCGACGGCGCCATGAGCGAGAGCGACTTTGAGGTCGCGAGCACCATCAACGGCCACAATCCCGGCGAGAGCACCCTCTTCCTGCCTGGGGATACCGTCTTTTGGCTCCCGTACGCCCTCAGTGAGTCCCCGCGCGCGCCCCGCTCGTGCAGGATCGGATCTGACGCCGCGCGCGTGTTTTTTTTTTTTTTTTTTTTGCCTCCGCCCAGCGCTCGTCTCGCGCCATCCGATCTACGACCTCATGCGCGACTATCTGACGCTGTCCTGGGCGCGCTTCTCCAAGGACGTCCAGTCGCACACGCTCCAGATCTCCAAAATTCTCTCGCACCCGGCGCCCCGCGCGGGCGATCTCATCAAGCTCGACGCCTCCGCGACCGTCAAAGCCGACGGCGGCATCGGCGCCGGTGGGCCCGATACCAGCCTCGAGGTCATCGCGCGCTTTCCCGGCGGCATGGACTTTGGCCGCGGGCTCGTGGACATCAACTTCACCATGTGGCCGCTGTTCAAGGCGCTCAATCTCGACAACATCCTCACCATCTGTGAGGTGGGCTTGTCTCGCTTGCATAGGCTTGATGGCACCCGCTGATACTGACGATGATGATCCACGACGCAGATCGCGCTCGCGCCGACCGGCCGTATTCTGTTCTTCTCGCGCCACCCGGCCATGCTAGGGGTGCGTCTGATGTTCCCGCGACGGAGCGCGTCCCGTGTTGACGTGGTCCTTTCTTCTAGATTGCCGTGTCCACGATCCGCTATCTCGTCGAGCTGCGAGGGTGGAGCGGCATCGCGCTGCAGGCCGTGCACTCGCGCGACGCCAAAATCTACATCGACGACCCCGGCCCTTGGATCATGGGCCTCGCGACCGAGGCGCGGTACAGCGTGAGGCCCGCTCCCGAGGTCTGCATCTGCGATTTGTAAGTCCGGTCTCTGCCTCTAGGAGTGTTTTCATTTACTTATTGACGCGTCGGAGGGCAGGGATATCAACTATCTGTAAGTGGACGACGCTGCGCGCTGGTTGGCTGTAGCTCACACGCCGCTCTTCTCGCTCGCACCATGTAGGAGCTGTCCTTCACCTCCGCCGGGCATAGTGTCGACGAAGCAGCAGCGTGAGAAGTACCGCCAGAAGCTCGCGGCAGCGTTCGACTCGCCCCACTATCACTCCGACCACTGTGTTCCAAGGTCAGAAGCGCCCCCCCCTTCTGCCTTTGTGGCCGCATCTGACATGGCCCGAAACCAGCGAGTTCAAAGAGGCGTTCCCCGCGGGGCGCTTCCGGCCGGTGTGCAAGATCCAGGCGAAGCGCGGCGCTTCGTCCGCGGCGGTCGCGGACACGATCAAGGCGCCCGAGTGGTGGCACTCGACGCGCGTGATCCAGGCGTTCGACGCGGTGCTGCAGGACAAGCTGAAGAAGCCGTCGCTCCTGCGGCGCATCAGCTCGTTCGGCGTCGCGCGCGGGCCGCCGCAGCTGACCGTCGCGGAGCAGCACATCCAGTCGTCGATCCGGAAGCGCGCGACCGCGTTCGTGGACGCGCGGGACGACCTCGAGACGAAGATCGGGCGGCTGTCGCGCCGGCTCAACTTTTTGATGACGGAGAGCGACCTCTGGCGGGACAAGTTCGTCACGTTCGAGCAGTACGCCGAGAAGCTCAGCGTCGAGGCCAACGACCTCCGCGCGAAGATCAACAAGGAGCAGCGCGAGACGAAGCGCCTCAGCGGGCTCGTCACCATGACCGCCGCGGAGAAGCACAAGCTGCAGAGCCGTGCGTGTTTGCTCCCCCCCCCCCTCGTTTTTTATACCTTCACAAGCCCCACCCCCCGCTAACGCACGCTCGCGCGCCGCACAGAGCTCCGGGACACGGAGCACGCGCACCAGGATGCGATCGTCGAGCTGCAGAAGATGCGCGAGACGATGGAGACGATGGAGGCCGAGCGCGCGGAGATGGTCGCGGAGGTCGAGGCGCAGATCGAAAAGGCGCTCGCGTCGATGGCCGTCGACGTCGACGAGTCGGACTACACCGATTCGCGCCCGGGGAGCCGCGTCTCGTCGCGCGACGCCGCGGGGCGCGTGAAGCAGCTGCGCTCGTTCGGCACCGAGTCGACGCTCGCCGAGTCGTACGACGGGCACGCGACGGACGACGTCGGTGCCAAGACGGACCTGAGCAAGGGCACGGTCATCGAGGAGGACGAGGAGGGCGAGGACGGGGATGGCGAAGGGAGCGGGAGCGGGGGCGGAGATGGAGACGGGGGCGAGCCCGGGATGAAGAAGCGGTTCTCGGCTGCGCCGAATCCGGTGGAGAACCGGGATGACGGGATGATGGCGGCCGTGGACGCCGGGATCAGCGAGCGGAGCGACAGGATCGCGCGCAAGGTGCTCGAGATCCAGCAAAAGGTATGTCTCCGCCGCCGTCCCTTTCTCCAACGTTCATCCTCACGCGCCTTTCTGTGGACAGCTGGAAAGCGCCCTGGCCGAGCGCAGCGAGAGGCAGTGGAAGAACCAGTCCAGCCCCGAGAGCGAGAGCGAGCTGTCCGAGGCGAGGCAGTCTGCCTCCGTGCGCCAGCGCCCGCCGAGGGGCACCAAGCTGGTCGGCAGGCCGCCCCCCAAGGCGTCCAGAAACAGGAGCGGCACCGGGTCCACCGCACGCAGCGCGGAGGGGCGTCGCTCCGACGCGGGCGACGCGACCCCCGGGAACCCGCGCAAGCCGTCGATCAGCTCGGGCGGGCGCACGCCCACGCCCACCAGCGCCAGCGTCGCCGGCGAGATCCCCGACGAGCATGAGCACGAGCACAAGCACGAAACCGAGCCTGAGGCCTCGCGCGCGGCATCCAGCCACGCGACGGGCACCCTGCGCAAGATCGCGTCGGGCGTGTCGCTGAGCGCGACGCGCCCCGCGTCGCCTGCGGCGCTCACGCCGTCGACGCCCGCGCTGACGCCTGCGCTGACGGGCACGACGGACGACTCGGACACGGACTTCCAGAGCGCGTACTCTGCGAGCCCGCGCGAGAGCTACGGCGACTTTGACGAGGACGGCGCGGTCGGGGCGCTGCCGCACGTCGACGACTTTGGCGTGCCGGCCGCGGCGGGCCGCTACCAGCGCGCCAAGAACCGGGAGCGGGTGTCGAGTGTCGCGACGACGATCACCGGCGACCGCGCCCAGCCGAGCCCGACGCTCAGCGAGGACACCATCGTCTCGCGCGCGCGCGCCTCGGTGTCGACGGTCGTCGACGTCTAGCGATCTGTGTGCCCATATTCTATCGCCTCTGCGGCGTTTCTGTCTATCATTTATAGTTCTAATTATCGTTTTTTCTTTCTTTCTTTTTCTACCCTTCGCAACAGGGCTCCTCTTGCCTGCTCTCGTCTGTCGTTCACGCATCTACCTACCTCTTGGCTCTTTACAATCGTTTTTCGTTATTCACCCGGGGGGGTGTCGTGGCTCGCGCCCTTAGAGCTCGGCCGCCCGGCGCTTTCCAGATTGGCCACGACTGTATATTCCGTATTCTCTACATATACCACCGTTCGATCGTTCTGTCCTGTGCATACCCTGCATACCATTATCGCGTCCCTGTCCGTAGTAGTGCCCGCTCGTCCTCACGAGTCCATCCTTCTCCGCGTGTTGAATGCCTTGACCACCGACGCGATCTGCCCGAAGAACCACGCCTGAGAGGATTTCTCCGCTATGCGTATGAACTTGTCGTGCTCCCGCCCCGCCTTGTTCGCGAACCGGATCCCAGAGTCTTCGATCGTCACGCCCGAGACCAGCGTAAACGGCAGCTCCCACTCCAGCCGGAGCCGCTTCGAGGAGAAGGAGATGACGCGCGCGGCGGTGAGCAGCACGACGGCGTCGCTGCCCTGCACGTCTGTGGACAATCGTCAGCGCGGTCGTCTGCTAGGTGGCGCTGCTGTTTCACGCACTGATGTGAGCCACGTAGGATTCCTGCCGATACCGGCCTTGCTCGAGGTCTTTCATCCAGAACTGGCCCAGCGCTTCCCGCTCGGAATAAGGCTGTGAATGGTATCAGGGTCCGCGACGAGGATAATTCAGGGTGTGAATGAAGCCTTACCGCGAGGACAGCATCCGCTGGGATGTGACGGGGCTGCAAGAGAACTAATTCAACCGCGTGGTCGTAGAATCTCAGTTTGAGGGCTCACCAAGCGAACGCGCTCTCGGGCGGGATTATCAAAGACCATGGTGGTGTTGCGGACACCTATGAACCCCCCGGGGTCAACGCGTCTGATTGGGTCGTGATGTAAATGGTAACATACCTTCGGTGAGGTTGGACGCCAGGTCAAACACTCCGACGACGGGTTTGGTGACAGCACTGAGCATGGAATGCGTCAAATGGTGTGGACAAACGTTGAAGATCACATCGCCTACCCGACCAAGCCTTTACCCACCCCCTTGAAGAACCCGAGCGCCCCCTCACTTTCGGCCCCTTCAATCGGCTTCATCTGAGCGGAAAGTACTGTAGGTGAGCCAGAAAGGAAGGCGTAGCAAGACACGTACAACTACGCCCTCCACACCGCTCGCGATGCTGCTGGCGAATGCCTCCGCTCCTGCAGTCACGCCATAACTGATTCGACGATGAGTAGGGATGCGTGAGAACGATTAAGCGTAGCATACATGGCATGCCGCGGCCTGTTTCGTCTCTGTGTGATCCTGCGTCGCTTCTGATATTCGGAGTCAAGGGTGGCGGCCGAAAGACCTGTAATTTGATGTCATTTATATGGCCACTCCTCTGATCTGCGATGTCCATTACCTTTTCCGATGCTGCTGGTCACCTTGGTCATACTATCAGTCACACCGAACACGGTCTTCTTCACGAAACTGGCTGCACCCTGTCGCATAGATCGTTAATGGAGAGGAATCGAATAACCGGGATTGTCATGCCTTGGCGATCCCGATGCCCAGTTCGCGGTTTCCATGCATGACGACGCCATTGAAAGGCTCATAGAAGATGTCTGCCACGCCGGAGCTGACATTCGTGAACAGTCCGACGGGGTTCCCGATGAAGTCAGCGGACCCGAGGATCCGATATAGCTGCCGCAAGACTTCTTGTCGGTAGTGGTAAGTCATTCGAGCTTGAAGGTCTGGCAGCGTGAGTCGCATGTCTTTGATTGCGAGGGCGTTCATCTCGAGTGGGGCATCGTTGACGTTTCCAACGGCCATGGTCAACGCGTTGACGATCAGTGCCAAGGGATTCCGGATGCTCAGCCTGAGCATGCAAAGTTAGCCACTGGAAGCGACATCTCTCAGTCACCTACTTGTCTTCTCCGCTGACCCGCTCTGTGCGCATGAAGGACAAAGATAATCTGATAGGTTGCAGCTCCAGAACTTCGAAGTAAAGATCTTGACCACTGATCATTGCCTGGGGTTCAGGGATATCTTCTGGATGTTCGATGAGAACGCTAAGTGCACGAAAACGAATCAATCATCGAATGAATTGAGAACAGTGGAAGATCGTACTCTTGTTGACCTTCTTCCCAAGAAGCACCTTTGATTTGACTCAAGTCGTATACAGCAAATAACAGGTCTTCGTCTGCTTCGATGGTCAATGCCTGCAATAAAATGGAGCAGTACTTGATGAAAAGAACTCCGTGCTCTGAGGGAATTGATGGTCAATGACGAGATACACTTTGACAAGGGCCGGTCGTACCTTGGTCATTCAGCCAGATCACGGAGGCTTGGACGGTCGGTAAAGCTGCGACATCGCTCGTCTCCTTTGCGATGGGTGTCGGCTGTAGGATCACAGGGAAAATGGTATCATGCAATTGATTGTCAATTTGAAGGCTACCACATGACAGATTCACTGCCTGGGCGATTGCACTGGTGGAGTACTCGAATTTCAACCTCTCCAAGGATAAGTAGATCACTTCAACAACCCTTCTATTGATGAGGGAAACACCTATCCCTTCAAAGTCTACATTGAAAATCAGGGTTGGTTGGATCTCCTCGGTGACGGCTTCGAAGGCCTCATTGCTACCAGACAATGTGTCTGAACGTAGGGTCGAGCTGCTGCTGCTGCTGCTGCGGAAAGTAGGTCGATACAGGCTGGTTTCCTGAACATAATTCGAGATTCGTAGAACCTGTTTCTTCCCAGATGCCCGGACATCGATAGAGACGATCCCTGTGCCTTGTCCCTTCTACGAACTGCAGTCAGCAAGCTATCAGCCAGAAACAATATCTTTACTTACAGGAAACCTGAACGGTATAAGGTCGCCTATTTCCATGATATCAACTGCACGTCTAGCATCGTTGATGGTGAGTAATATCCTCTTGTCTCTGGCCGCGGGGAAGTCCCAGGCATATTGGGTGAGGCTATGCTCTGGGAGATTGTACTTTGCTTTAGATTTGGAGAGATCTGTGTCACCGTGCGCCTGATCCTAATATCCACTTGAATAACTAGAAAACCTTAGATACAACATGATTCCGTCGACTTACCATCTGCCAAAAGGATATTGCAAAGGAACTGTCGTTCTCAATCAAAAATGGCCAGTCGTCGTCGGCAAGGTGAATGAAGACGAAAATAGTAGAACCATCCATCTGAACATCCGCACGAATCAGATGGGTTGAGCCATTGTCGCCTGGTTTTTTTAGGCGGAAATGTACAGAGCCAATATCTTCCATACTGATGGGTGGAGACCTAGTGTAACAGAGAAAGTCGGTCATCAGGACGTTTGTGCTAAAATCGTTGAAGGCTGACCATTGAGTATTCAAACCGGGGAATGCGACCGTGAGGAATCCCGGATGGCCTGATCTTAAAGAATGGAATGCAATTCGTTCGCCTGGTTCTAATGTCGATCGACCACGAGGAGCTACACCATGTTCTCGGTAACATATGGCTTCCTGAAGATTATTCCTGATCAAATAGCGTGGTGAGAGGGTGATGACTTTCGACAACTTGTATTTGCCCAATCCCTCTGTCCACGAAAATCCAACATGAAGCTCCTCAGACTTTTGCGATTGGGAGGCAATAGCCAGCGCAGTATCTGCAGCAGGTGCTTCTAGATTGATCACCTAGTTAACTCTCAGTGCCTTGAGTACAATCTGGGACACGTGAGAATAACCTTTGACCACGAAGAGTCCCCAACTTTGAAGATGAATTCGTTGCCAGAATCATTTAGATGAGATAACACTTTCACGGGATCAATATCATGATCGATCATTATCTACAACTTGAACTCACTGAAAGGCAAAGGGCTAGATAAGACCTCTAGAAGACTAGTCAATCACTGCCTTGTACTGTTAGGTGGCAACTCACCGGGATGAGTATCTCCAGCGACATCTTGTGGAGCACCCGTTCGGCTGGATCGGATCGACTTAACGGAGAATGGTATACCCAACTTATTCACGACAATGTAAGGACTATAGATCTGTACTTTGAAGGCCCCGCCAGCCTCGGGGTACCGTCTGTGTCGTTATTAAGTCACATGGGTACCAGATCTCGAGGTGGATGCCTACATATAGTTCAGTTTGAGATCCAGCTTACGACCAGACACATCTTGAAGGGTAAGCCGATTCTCAATGTCAAAATCAGAATGGCCGTCGGTATTTATAATACAGAAGTCACTTGGCTTGAACACTGTTCCTATCCAATATCAGGAAGTCTCTCAGTGATGGCGTCTCGCGACCTTACCAGTGTCTTGTACTTCGATATTGAGAAGGACAAGATGCCCCAATTCAACAGAATGGACAGGCATGATGCCCCCTTTTCGTAGATAACTTCTCCAGTTTTGATCCGTATCTTTGTCGTAAATCCTATACTGCAGGTTATAAGGTAAGAGATTTTCCAACTCAATGGGTGCCCGGAGCTGTAGATCGATTTTGGGGTATTTTCTGAAATAAAGATACATTAGGCGCTCGATTTGTGGGAGCAGATAGTTGAATTTACCGCGTGGCCGCATTGCCGGCATCTGTTTGAACGAAAGCGTGGAATCGGAAGGCAGCTTCCGACTCGTCGGTATGAGGGCACCTCAGAGTGAATGTCTGGCGAGCAATGAGGTCCTCCCAGCGAATGGCCGGACACCACTTGTATCCGAAACCCTCTGATTGAATTGGCGTTCAATGAGGGCACCTTTTTCATGACAATGTTTGACTCACGGTCGGGTTGAATTCTGATCTTGGTTTTACCGATTGAGTCGATAGGTAAAGAAAAGCTGTGACCAGGAACTTCTGTGGGGTCAGAATGTTTCTCTGGTAGTTTATGCGGCACCGACTCACCTATCTTCTCCACTGCTCGCGTGGTATGGCCCAGCTCGTCAACAAGTGTGAGCTCCAACGGATATAGGGTATGATTGTGTACTTTATATGTCGATCGGAGGGTGACAATCTTCACGTTGGCTTCGACTTTGACTTCGCAGAGCAGCCGATTATACAACTTTTCAATGCGTGGGCGTAGCGAGAATGAGTACTCTCCTTCTCTGTCTACAGGGATACTTCGAAGGCGTTCCCACGGTTGGCCCTCGAAATACACTCCGATACTACTCTGGCCGGCAGAGGAGGTATGCTAGTAATATCGCATAAGGGCATGAGCATGATATGAAAAATGGGGTGTACTTCTCGTATAGTTCGCCAATCGTCAAATCTCCAATCAATCGTTTGGCCATTGATGATCTTGACTGCAGTTGAATCCCGATGCTCATTGCTGCCATCAGTATCCGACCAGATGTGGAGCACCGTACCCGTGTAGTTACGGATCTTATATGGCGCGTAGCTACCTCGAGCTCTCGCCAAAACGCGCTCACCTTCTTTCCTCCAGGTGTTCAACATGTCAATTGCAAGCTCCATGAAAGTTGTACTAAGATTAAGATTGAGCTTTTCTTTGGCAGAGAGAGAAGTCGTCAAGGCACTTGTTGGATGATCTTTCGAGACCTAGAATCTTATCATTTAATCTTTATCAATGCACAAGGTCATACAGATACTTACCGAAGCATTGAAAGTCCATGGATCAATCACTGATTACGAACCTATTAGTCTGAAGATATAGAACGATTCTTGTGAAACTCACATGGCTCCCAATGCGAGTTTGTGAGGTTCCAATGGCTGATCTGAGTAGCCATTGTCGCGGATGCATTGAGCTGTACAAAAACAAGAGTGAACGTAGTACTATGCTATACTCTATAAGTACTCACCTCTCCCGACCAGTCATTTACTACAGCAGTACACGACTTGACTTTGATGTGGATCATAGGCTGTTCGTGCATATCTCCAATCAAAATCAAGCGGAATCCGTCAAATGATACTCGGAGCTGTAAGGATGGTGTCAGAAACACAGAGCAAGGCGGTGATAACATCCTACCTGTTCTTTGGACACCAGTACACGGGCTAAACCAAGGGCCTGTTGTCTTGATGACTTCATCGCAGTTGTGCTGTGATGCGTGTGCTCGGACTTAGATGGGACCGAAGTATTGCGCCCTGCAGGTCTCGATTGAAGAGAGTTCGACGACGTATTAGGCCTACTGAGCTGTCTATATGCTGCCATAGCCTTATTGCAGATCGTCAGAATGAGCTGGATGTCTCGATATGACGCGCGGAGAATTATCGGCTTTGAAGCAACCTCAATGCTCGTCGTTTGATGCGATGATGATGATCGGCTATCCAGAGAGACTGTGAAGTCAACTTCGTCCAAAAATCTGACTTCGTCGGAGCCCCTCGGCATTTTTGTCAAAGACATGCCCAGACGGACAACTGAGAGAGCCAGAATCCCCTGAAGTCATATATGTGAGCTTGCAAATTGACCAGTAAACTTGATGTCCCTTACCTGTTGAGAGACAAGAACTTGAGCCACAGAAAGCCGAATCGCTTGAGAATCTGCATCAACTTCATTTTCAAGCAAGCTGATCGAAACATTATGAAGGTCCAGTCTGAAGTCTAAACGTGAGGTGTTACCATGATCAACTGTCATTGCGGTGCCTTGCCTCTCAACGTTCGAATATGTGTCGGTTGGCTGGGAAGTGGGGAAGGCACTAGTGAAGAATTCCAGGAGAGCAAATACAAGATCAAGGGTAAAGATGATATTGGGGGAGTCGACGGTCAAAATCGCGAGAGAAGATCCTTCCGAGCCACCAGAAGTCGTGTAGAGAATCATGAATTGGTTTCGATCATGATGGGCGGCGGGGATGATGTCTCTGAATTTGGAGTTGCCAGGCCGCGTATTGCTCATTGTGAAAGATTTAAGCACTACTTGAGCCTCGGTAGCTTCGTCAGAGAATACTTTGAACTTGAGCGTGTTACCGGTGAGTGCAAATCGAGCTACTCCGTGCTCCTTCAGGTTCAAATCCGTCGTTGCTTGCTGGTCGTACAGGTGAAGCTTGATAGAGTGAACGGAAAGTGCAAGATCCACAGAAATCTTGATCCGCTCGTCTTCCGGCGTGGCATGGCCAAGCTCAGGACGCAGTTTAACACTAGACTGATGGCCCAATTGATTCTGGTCGATTGCACCGGGTTTTGAGGAAGCCACAGAAACCTCTGCTTGGTCTGCTTGAGCCTCCCCCTCCGGAGCTCCAACCAGGATCTTCGGGATCGATTGAGACAATCCAATGATCATACCGTATTGTACCTGCGTAAGATATAGCTTGATGTCTGAAACCATGATTTTGATCTTCTCACATTGTCAGACCAGGAAGGAAAAGGCAAACTTCACTATTCATACCTGTGTATCAGGACGATTGTTGATGTCATTTTTCTCGGCACCACCCGCTTGAACAACCTCGGCAACTACTTCGATATCGTCAATCATCTTCAGAATCGATGGCTTGTTGTCGTAGAAGATGGTGGAAACGAGTTGTATTCCACGAAGACTGGCATCGATTTTGTGGACCTCGCCTTCGTAACCGTTACGAGCAGACATACCACCTAAACGCATAATGAGAACGTCACGAGAGGTGGCCACATTGGAAGGGAAGACGATGATAGGGGAGTCGACGGAGATATCAAATTGCATGCGCTCGATCTCGGAGGCCCTCTGAGCTGCAACTTGAGTAGCAGCATCGTAAAGACCTTTCAATTTTGCAAGCTTCGAGAGAAATAAATAAATGTCGTGCAGAGGTTGCTCCAGATAATGAAGCTTGACGGAAGCTGCAGCGAGGTGTATAGATGATTTGATCCCCTTGTATGTTTCCTTGTCATTTGGATCGTAAGTCTGGTACATGAACTGTGCGAGGTTCTTTCCCTCTATCGACATGATTTGTTTGAACTCAGGAGAGGCTGTCGTCTGAGGAGAATCGTCGCTCAACGAAAGGCTGCCTAGATGGACATCAACCTTCATGGTATTGGAATGCAGGAAGACAAGCGCATCTGCCGTAGAAAGTGACAGAGTTGCGAGCCTTTCAGATGCATTGATGAGGATGACTTGATGATGATATCAACACATCTTTCAGATGGAATCAATATTAATAAACACATACCTTTCACACTTGCGAGATTGACCACGACACGGATTTTTCCTGTGTCACCTGGAGTTGAGGAGACATCACGAGAGCTCGGTTCGAGCTCTTGAACAGTGGACTGGTCTGCCGACTGGGGAACGAAGGTCGTCATTATGAAGTTGTACAATTGGATCACGGGTTCTGGCGCGGCACGAAAGACCACGGTAGAAATTTTGATGTCAACATTCTGATCAACCCCTTCATAAGTAGAAAAATATTCGGGTGACTCCTTCTGCACACGAGTATACTTGACGGTGAGGAGGTCTTTGTTGTCATCGTAATCCCCGACAGACGAAAGGATGTCCATGGATTGAGCTATTGATTGCTCGAGAGTCATAGATAAGGACCTGAGTTTTTTTATAAGGGATTGTACAATACACGATAAAAGACCACTGACCCTAGTCTGACATCCACGACCATGTCGTATTTCGCCAAAGCAAATGATAGCGCAAAGCGATCAAAGGAGACAGAACCCAGAGGCTTCTCCCCTCGTTCTGCTTGCGACTTTGATATCGAAGCACGTAGGGTGTCGACCTGGAAATTAAACTCGAATGATCGCTGATGAATTCCAGATATCTAGATATTGTTGACGTATATTTTAGTGGACCACAGTAACGTACACGCCGACAGAGACCCACCTCCCCACCACTGTCTTCAGCTTCAAGGAATTCGTCTCGGCTACTTTCCTCATCACCATCGTCCTCAATATTGTACTCCTTATCAGGGCCGACAAACAATCTCGGCAATCGATAGGCTCCCGTTGCAGGTGAAGGGATGGTATTTGGAGTTTCATCACCAAACTTTGGTATGGTCACATCAATCAGGCGCAAAATAGATTTATACTTAGAATCGGAGAAATTTAACTGCAGCGTAGGCAGATTTCCAGAGACTTTGATTCGAGCGAGATTCACAGCGCTTGGTATGATTGAAATTTGCACTTGCAAATCGACGTTGATACGTTCAAGTAAGTGGAGTGACGTGTCACCATCAGAAGCGAGAGCATCTCGGCACGATTGCAAGTCGTCGCCCAAGACGAACTAGATAACACTCAGCACAATTTCAGATAGATTCCGCCTCAAGACATACCTGGGCGGCTTCGAGCTTTAAAGAAAGCTTGTCATACATCAATGATTCCAAGTTCTTGTAGTCGTCGTCCGTATACTGTTGATTGCGCTTCAGATGAATTTGACGAATAGCCTGCTTGTCAGCGAGCTCGCTTCCAATGGATATATGTCCTGCATCGATGAGCAGATGCTTGCATATATTAGTCGTGATGCTAAATTTCCAACATTACTTTACTCCGGTATGTCGACGGGATGAGAAGGGGCATACCTTTCTGGTATAATGATGATGGGCGCATTCATATCCACAACAAGGTCGATCGTCTTGTGTGTCTGTAAGGCGTACTCCAGTCCCGCACGCGTTTCCTTGCGAAGACCTTCAATTGTTTCACTCGCGACATTCTATCAAAAGGCTTAGCTGAGATGTAAGCAGGGATCCAAATCGATATAAGCACCAGTAGAGCTTCAACTGATTCTAGCTGACTTGCTGGTGGCTTGAAAAATTTGTAGACTGCCTCGACATAACCCTTGTGGTAGATGATCTCCATGTGCCGCATTCGCACCGTCAGGGCTGTATCCGCCCGCTCGTCCAAAGGATTATTCTCGAATTTGACAAAGAAGAAAGGGTCAGCGTTATCATCGTCATTGTCGACATCACTGATGTTTCCCGCCAGTTCGGATTTGACGTGCACGATTTGCGGGTACAGGGTATCCTTTGTCGTGCCATCAAAAACACGTAGCCCACCCAACGACGTAGCGACCTCGAAGTTGTCCCTACGCTGCAGAAAGTTGGCCTGGAATTTGTCGAAGACGACCGAAATAACCTCGACAGCAATACCGTGAGGATCTGTCATCAACGTAAAAGAGCCCTTCTTCAGCTGCGTAACAATGCGCATTTTAAGCGCATCCCTCGGGGCTTCAAACGATTCGACAAGGGCAGTCTTCTCATCATAGTCAAGAACATCGTACAATTCCTTCCGTTGTTCGTCGGTCATTGTTCCAGTGAAAGTGGGCTCCTCGTTTGAAGTCTCTGAAGACGTAGACGAACCCCATATCCAGCTTGACCAAGAAGACGACGACTGAGCTTGTTGCTTTTGCTTTTCTTCTTCCAATTTCTTGCGCAGTGCTATATCCTTTCTGAGTTCCGACCGAGCGATCGACCTATAAAACCGGATGTCTTCATATGACAGCTTCTTTTCCAGAGAGTCGAACATGGCGACGTCCTAATATTGCTATTGAGGGTGTGAGTATTTCTCAAAAGCGATTCACTGACCTGGATGGTAATAGCATTCAACTGCTTCTTCTTGAATAGCTCAACGTAGCGATGTCGATCATCACGACGCTCCATGAAGTAGGCCCATGTCCACTTGCGATGTCGCTCGCGTACCCCATCTAAGATGGCGTTACCAGCAAATTGGAGAAGAGCGCGCGGGCGGTTGTCTTCAAGATCCTCTTGCCTCGGCTTGTATCGCTTGTACTGCGCGACTGAGTCAGATCCACCTTGACATGAATACATATGAGCCTACCTGGTGTTGCCGCGCATAGAAATGATACATATCGACTAGAGAAATCGCATCTCGATACTGGTTGTCATCCAAGAGAACTCCGATCTCATCAAATAGAAGCTGGACGTCGAACCGAGGAGTGTCTTTGTTTAGTTGTTTATGCATGACAATCTAAAGGCGACATCAGGGCAAAGGGTGAGGAATAGATAATGCGGACACACACCCGTCCTTCTCCGGTGACAGGTTTCAACACAAACTGATGGTCCTGTGCGTGTTCCTCGCTGGCGATCTGCGGGGTCAGAGTGATACCGTTTCACCTCAGTAATTCAAGAAATAGGAAAAGCATACCATTGCAGTAAACCTTCTCACAGCGTCTGCGTAAGGTAGACCTGCCATGCTCTCTGCATCTGTGTCGAAGTATACTGCTAATGACTGCAACTTGGCTAGCTGTGGTATGTTGATGCTCAATTCGATTCGAGTAAGGTGTGAAGATTCGACCTACCTTGTGGATAGTTCCTGCCGAACTCTCGATGAAGGCAGGGATCCAGTTCTCATCAACTGAGAACGCCGAGAATCCCGCCAAAGTTATTCCAGCCGCGAACGGGTGCTGAGAAAAAGTCAGCCCCAAGGGACGTCTAAAAACTGACAAGTACAACGTACCCCTGGAACACTCAGCTTATCCTCATAGCGAACGTGAATGTTTTTGATCGTGACTTGAAGGTTATTCACTATCTTGGCAATGAGAGACGCAAGGAGCCCTTGCTGCTGTGTATCGCCTAGAAGCACGGTTCTGTGAGTTGTTCATAACAGGGAAAACAAGTCATGGACCTTCCACAGGGTCAGGTTGATTCTGTATGTGAAGCAACTCTGCATTCTCAAGGCGTTCCATCTTAGCCTCCTGCGTCCGATGCTCGTCCTCTTCCAAGTTGCTGTCTCCCTGAGGAGAGGGGACAACAAGAAGATAGACATCTTCGATTAATAGCTCGACAGGCTGATTGCCAAGGTTTCGCCAGTGTAAGGAAAGAGTGAATTTTCCCAAATGTCCTGCGGTTTCTATGGGTATTTACTTCCACATGGATGCATATAATCCCGCACCTTCGATAACATCCACAGGGAGACGAAATTTATCTAGTGCCCCCTTCTTCAGACGCAACTTCTTCAGCGTCACTTGGCCTGGAAGTGGCGAATAGGTCGTTAGATAATTAAATGTCATAGGAATTGTTGTCACGAACCTTGTCCGATACCATAATTCACTTGGTTCATATCCAGATTCTCGACGTATGGGGCCAAAATGCGGTTGAACACCTTTTAACCAGATGGAATATCAACGAGGAGACGTCATGATCAATGCGTTCCGAAACTCACAACATTCAGGACTTCTTTGCCTGGATCTAGCCACCACATGACGAATGCTCAAAAGTTCTCAAGACTACCAGTACAATGTGAGTTTGAATGCAAGGATAAATTCTACACGGAATGTGTCGTTTTTAGACGAACTGGTTTGTATGCATGGGTGTTGGAGGCGTCAAACGCTAATGACGAGGTCATGGCGCTCCTGTTCCCACGAGCACTCGGAGGCTAGGCTGACTATAGGCGCTTAGGTCATGCCTATGCTCAAATATAAAGAGCACTGGCTGCACATTCCAAGCAGCCTGCTGGATATTTTCATGCAAACAGGACGTCAACGATCAGTTGACTTTGTCGACCATAGTTCTAGTTGCCTTCGACGCTCTGGATTGCGGGCCGAGAATACAATGTGTCCGCTGGCCCCCGCTAGCATCCGTGCATGCCCGGTTGCACCCGTTACGAAACGCACGGCTACTAGTACTTACCTGCTCTTTATATATAGTGACAGCACGTTACGTGCCCGTGTCCGAGACGCAGTCTCTTTCCCAACTTCCCCACAACCCTGGCTTATACCCGGAGTATCGCTGTGTCTCTCGAATCATCCTCGAAGTGTCTCATATGATTTCACTTCTTCCTCAAGCAACGCACCTTGCCCAAGATGGACACCAAGATACGCTGCAAATGAATGAGGTAGGCCCGTTTCTGGGTTCTTTGATTTCGTCACACGACCATCAATTGTACACCTTAGCTGGGCAACGTCAGAGACGCATTGAAGCCGACCACTGAGTAGGTATTTCTCGAGCATCTCATATCTGAACAGGTCCTCACCTTTTCCAGGCTCCTCAGTCGCTCGGTGCACGATCAATCTGTCCGCCTATACTGCACAGTTCCAACATGGGCTCCCTCCTCTGATCTCTGTACGTACTTTGCTCCGTGTTTCTCGCCCCCATCTAGCCCCACTCACGTCTGCGTGTTTTCGAAGGTATCGATCTTCACGACTTGCACGACTTACGATCCCGATCTCTCTTATTTATTCACAACCTTGTCGAATCACTTCGAGCATCTGGTGTATGCCATAATCGCTGTAGTTCACGCTTCAGCCAGTCGTCTCACTGTCACGGAATAGGTCCCAGCATCATACACTCTTGCTCCCTCTAATTCCCCTGTGTGCCTTGTCTGCGCCTCTCACTCGGAGCTGGACAAGGACAAGGTAAGGGCATCTGCTCACGAAGCCTTGGAAAAAACAAAGCCATGTGCCAGGTAAGGTGATTGGTGCCCGCTTAACAAGTCACTGAACCCCCTCGACCGACAGGGAAAGGGTTCATTTCGTCCAGCTGAAGGACGGCCCAGCCTTGGTCATCACCTGACACATATATATGCACTATGGACTGTCACCGGAATCGTAGCATCCTTCGCCTTATCCTCACATCTTGCTTCGTTTTTTAAATCATTGGATGTATGTACAGAGTGGATTTCGGTGTGTCTTTGAATCTATCGGGTTTAGTGGGCCAATATTACACGATGGGCGCCGCAGAGAATGCCGACGTCAATCAAGATGAGTCCGATACCGCTGGTCAGCGTCATTGGTCCGTGATTTTGGGGTAGGTGTGTGACGTGGCTGCTCGGGGCTGTCACACCAGTTTTAAGGAATCAAAGGTCGGATCACGCGTCGGGTTTGCAGCTCTGACAGTTCACTTTTTTCTCTACCCCCTCGCTTTCCGTGGTTCCCTTGGTCGTTATGGCTCCTCTCGCAGACTTTATCCTTCAATATGTGCCCCTCCCCACCCTTCCGTACTTCCTCACTCATTATGTTCCCGGTGCTACGCCTCTGTCGACCAGACCAGTCGTGATCACCGCGCTGATCTCATACCTGGCCGTTGTTTTCGGCATTCGCGAGTTCATGAAGACACGTCAACCTCAAAAGCTCCAGCTACTATTCCAAACCCATAATGTTGTCCTCAGCTCTGGCAGCGCGCTTCTGCTTGCCCTCATGCTGGAGGAAATCCTCCCTATAGCATGGGAGCATGGCCCATTCTATGCCATTTGTAACACTGCTGCGTGGACAGAAGTGATTATCTCTTGAAGTTTAAAGGCATGCAGCAGCCGCTAACACGTCGCAGAGATTGGAATTTTACTATATTATCAACTATTACTTCAAATATCTCGAGTTGTTGGACACGGTCTTCCTTGCGTTCAAGAAGAAAACCCTCGGTGAGTTACTTGGCTTCGCCTTTCCCCAAATCTAATATCGTACGCAGCATTTCTGCACGTCTTCCACCACTCGGCAACTGCTTTCTTGTGCTACACTCAGCTCAATGGGAAGACCAGTGTGGTGCGTTTGATTGGGGTTGAGCCACGTGAAGCATCGTACTCATCGGCCTTCTCCTGACAGTCTTGGGTTGTAATCACGCTCAACTTGGGCGTTCATGTCCTCATGTGTAAGAATATCAGGTTTCACGTGCTATGATCCTCATGCTTCCACATTTGCAGATTACTACTACTACGCAACTGCTGGTGGAGCTAAGATATGGGTATGTGCTGTAATTACAAACTTAGGCGCCTACATCCTAACGCACATCTACCGCAGTGGAAGAAGTACCTGACCACCATGCAAATCGTTCAATTTGTCATCGACCTTTTCATCGTCTACTTTGGCAGTGCGTCGTACTGTAAAGTCCATTGCGGTTCCTCCTTACTAACGCGCTCCTTGTTAGCGTATTCCTACTTCGCTCACACTTACTGGCAATGGCTTCCCAATCGTGGCTCCTGCGCTGGAACGGAGTCTGCGGCACTTTTTGGCTGCTTTCTTCTCACAAGCTATCTGGGTCTGTTCATCAATTTTTACATTCAGACGTACAAGAAGCCAGTCAGAGGCAAGAAGGCCCATGTTATGGGAAATGGGACCGTCAACGGGAACGGGAACGGGTGGGTTTCATTCATCAGTATCGCATTGGCCAGTTTTCTGATCTGCTCAATCATGCAGGTACAAGAAAGAGTAAATCTGAGAGATACGCGGCAAGCGCACAGGGGAGATGTGGCTATGTTCTGCTTCATGTTGCCTTTCATACATATACCCCACGACATTCGGTTTGTTTAGACGTTCCTGGGCTCATTCACACTCTTTCGTGGTTAAGTTTACAAGGGCTGCTTGCGCGCAGGCCCGTATAATATTTCTCCAACAAAAGCCTTCCGTTCGACATCCTCGAAAGCATCAAATCTTAGTGACTGAGTAACTGAACGCTATTGGTTCATGAGAGACAAGACCCACCGGAGCTCCGCTCCGGTGTCTTGAAGCTTTCAATCCACCAGTTGTAAAGTGTACAACATGCAAATGTATGATCACAATTGTAGTACTTGAGACCACGCATTGTTATTTGAATGGAGCAGGTCCGGCCAACGAAGAGTATTTAAAAGCGGTTTTGTAAATAGCGTGTTAACAACTGCTCAAGATCGAATACCAATGACTAAGAAAAATGTCAAATGTCAGCTCACACATTGCCTTGTATGGCTGACAGATCGAGTTTGGGTGTGCGTACGGCTCATAGCTGCAGAGCATAGTCAATGGTCAGGAGCTGAGGAGCTGGCCGAGCCAAAGAGGAGTAGTTAAAGATGATTTTGTAGACACCACCGGCCCCAATAACTGCTCGAGAGTGAATACCAATGAGCGCAGAAGAAGTTCAATGTCAGGTCATGGTCAATGGTCAGGAGCAGAGCAGCTGGTCGAGCCCCGAAAGAGCAGATCGAGCAAGGGTGGGCGGACTGCGGTGTGGACGCTGCACGCGACGCGCCGCCGTGGAGAAGGTATCCAAGCTCGGGCTCTGTGACGCGGTCGAGGCGTTGCAAGAGGGATGTAATAGGTGCGTGCGTCTCCGCACACATCTGTCTCCCACGCAGGTTGCGGGCGACCTACCTCCGCAAGACCGTCATGCACGGCCTGCGTCAGTCGTCGCACGGTGACAGCAGTATACACAAACAGACAATACGGCCTCTTTCATTTGCTGTAATACACAGTGCTGTTCACCTACAAAGCAAGAACCAGCGCAAGCAAGATGTGATACGAGAAGATGCCTATGGCTAGATGAGAGAGCTCGGCCATGGGCAGAACATGCAAGAGAAAGCTCGCGGCAGGCCGAAGCCAAAATCAAGAATAGCGGATGGTCCGAAAGAGCCATTGGATCAAAGACGGAATGCCCATTAAAGCCAAGGCCGAGCAGGAGAAGGCGGATGCCCTGAAAGGGCAAGGGAAGGGGTTGGAAGTGAGGCGCAGTGGAGCGAAAGCATTCAAAACGAGCCAAACATGTGTCAACAAAAACGCGTCGTTTGCGTTATATAATGACTTGAATACGTACTTACGTTTACGTGACTCGCAATGGCTACTTTTTGAGTTGGTACCATTCCTCACTCCCTTGTTGTGCGCCGTTACATGCTGATCCTGCTTGGCGGTGAATCTTATCACCCCGCTATATCCTCTCATCAGTGTCTCACGAACGCTTGATGCACATCTCAGGACGCAGAAATCTATCCGGCTCGAACCGATGGTAGATGTGTGGGATCAGTCGTCCTCTGCCCAATCTGAAAATGCAAGAGAATTCTACATATCTGTTGAGCTATACGTATCGAGCAAGACTGCTGCTGCTCTGAGAAAGGTATTTCATATTTACCCATTCAGAGAGCCTTATCCTTGACACTCCCCTCAAGCCCGCCCCTCGGAAGAAGAACGAGAAACGTGATGCGCAAAGACCTCTGTCTATCTCAACAGATGACGCTCAGAAGAGGGTGAAAGGTGTGTGTTTATTCCGAGAACTTGAAACTCATAGAGACAAATACTTCGCGACAGAGAAGACGAGCTGGCTCAATCTAGCTCGAGCTGCTAGCACTGGTGATCAGTGGAGACAGGCAACTTGTAGGATGTCCGAAGAAGGAGAAAGTTGTCTATTGAATGTATACATTGATGTGAGTGGTCCCTTTTTGAATTTCTCATTGGCTGCTTGAGCAGGGACTAGGAAACGATGCTATATCAATGTGTATATATACACCTCCTCAAACATACAGACATTCGCGCGGCCGATCGATCGTTGTTTTTTCGAAAGGATTGCCTTGGATTACACTGTGCATCGTACGACGCGTACCTTCTATTTATCCTCAAAATCATAATGTGTCTTTTGTTTCCAGAGCGCAGAGATGGACTGCTACCACCACCAACGAACCTCTGTATTTTCATTTTCCCTCAACCGATGCGTTGAACACATGGATGTCCCTTTTACGGTCATACGCCAGTCCAGAGGTTTATGGAAAGGCTATTTCTCCTGCTGATGGTGGACTTTATCGCATCTGGCGACAGGTCGAGCTCACATGTGTACAAGGGCGCAACATTGGTACCGTACAAATTCTCGACGAAGGGCCTCACAACTCAGTAGGGCCACCGGATGACGAAGCCAAAGACGATGATGCGGTTGATCTGGATCTGTTCTGCGAGGTCTATTTCAACAACGTACTTTCTGGGCGCACGGTAGTCAAAAAGAGCCTTGGAGCGCCAGACTGGCATGAAACCTTCACGTTTGCCGATTTACCCTCTTTTGAGAAGCTCGCTGTAGTCCTTTGGCACGAGAAGAAATTTATGAAACCGTCGCTGATCGGAACAGTATACGTCACGCTCACAAATTTCCGTCGCGGAGAATGTATAGAAGGCTGGTTTCCAGTTCTTCATGGCGCGTCGACTTCGTCCAGTATCCAGGTTGGTCAAATCCGTCTCAAAATCAAGGTGGACGAGTCAGTGAGCAATTTTTGTCTATGATTCATGTCGCTAATTGTCGATCAATATTTACAGGGAAATCATCTTACCTCGTTCTGCATACACCGGAATCATGAATGTGAGTCCGTCGGATAATGCTGCAATGGCTGTCAACCGATCATCTCATTTCGATGGCAGACGCTCGACTCCCGAAACTACTTAGATTGGATGCGTGACATTGAGCTCGAACTCAAGATGAAGCATCTGTCCATCGAGCTTGTCTCAATAGCTGTCGCCAAGGATATCTTGTCTCAAAGCGTTTCTGAGTTAGCTGATCGTGAGGTTGATGGTACGCCGAGCTGTGAGTACTCTGGTCAGCGTGATCTCAACATGAGTTGACGATCTGGAACCTTCCAAGCGCATAATACCCTCTTTCGCGGAAATACCGTGTTCACAAAGACTGTTGAGCTGTTAATGGCATGGTATGGAAAGGATTTTCTAGATGCCAGTATCGGCGACACCATTCGCCGCATCTGTGCCGAAAGTATTTCCATCGAGGTAGACCCACTTCGTAGTAGCAAGGGAGTCAAGGACATTGAACGGAATGTTGAACTTCTCGTTCACTGGTGCCGGCAAATATGGAATCAGATATACTCTGTACGAACGGAGTGTCCAAAGTGGGTGATCTGTTGCCCACAGATAGCGCCAAAAGGTCAATTTACCCTATCCATACAGCGAAATGCGTCGATTATTTGAACGCATCCGTCAGCTTGTCGAGCAGAGATACAAGGTCACACGGAATAGCGAAGACCGAAATCGGGAACTACCATGGCAAAGCGTTTCGGCGTTTTGCTTTCTCCGATTTATTGTTCCAGCTATCCTGCATCCTCACCTGTTTGGGCTTTGTCCAGGTAGGATCCCCAAATGCAGTTTAAGCCGTATGCTCAGTCACATTCTTGCAGGACTTCCTGATGTTCCAGTGCAACGTAGTCTTACATTGATCGCAAAGGTCATCCAGAGTCTTGCTAATTTGAACGCTGTAAGCCTTGATATCAGTACTACGCTCACTTTGATATATGACGCTCTCCTCAGGTCGTGCAGAAAGAAGAATTCATGCGTGGCGTCCAATCATTCTTGGAGGACAGTCTACCCGCGATGGTGGATTACATTCTCGTGGTTTCAACTACGAGTCCACACGATAATCCCGCATCAGCGTCGGAAGAGTCGCGAGAACGGCACAAAGCGGTCAAGGTCCTACAGGAACGGGTCGAAGCAATGCCTGCACTCTATCGGGAATCCATTCCTCTCTTGCCATACCTCCTTGATATCCCTCGTCATCTCGCTGTCATCACATCTGCGGTCCTACGCTATTCACGGGAATCGCCATCCTTACACCACCCTCCGTTGGAGGAATTTTTGAGTCGTTGTATTGATATTGAGCAACAGGCCTTATTTCGCGTCAGTAGCCTTGTAGAACGAGGTGGCATGGACCAAGTACCCCCTTCCTCTCAGTCCAACTATATGGGCTCGCCATTGACCCCTCATATATCTGGAGACCAAACCCCCTCACGACTCCGCAAGCCTTCTCATTCATCTCGTCCTATGACTGCGCCACCAGTCACCAGTGATTCAGCAGACTCGAGAGAGATAATCACAGATTCTCACTTTCCACAGAGTCACAATCTAGTTCATACTCGCGGTCAGTCTAACTCTCAAGTGAACATATCTGGAGGGCCGATTTCACCAATCGACCAAGCTCTGGAAGGAGGAAGTTGGCCAATTCGGAAACGCCTTCCACCCTCGCATCCTAGATCTATATCTACAGATTCTATCCCGGCATTCAATAAGGCTCGAATCATACCTCCAATAGATAGGCCATCATCGCCTACCATCGCTGCTCACTCACACGAAGAAGATAACGGGAGGCGAAAGAATAAGGGCATATTGCGGGGCTTCCTTGTTCGAAAATAAAGAGAGTTGATGAGCAATGTGTATTGTCGTCGGCGAATCCCCGAGCATCTCCCGTGTTAAATTGATAGGCTATGCAGGTAAATTCTCATCCAGGGTATCGGTTCATTGGTCAGTAATACATGTAAACAAGTTGAATGCAAGAAAGCCAGGCAGGGACATGAAATCAAGGACCAGACGCAGCAGCTGTGGAAAGTGGCTTCTGTACGAGCCTTTGGACTTCCCCCGCCGCATCCTCCGAGGTGCTCCTGACAGTCATACGACATAGCTAGAAAGGATGTCAGAGTCAGTTACTAATGAAAGCAACCAATGATACACGGAGACGTGCCTTTGCCTCCTTGTTAGGCTCTATTCGCATTAAGCACCCAACCTTCCCATCCACTGACATATGCAGTACGCCAGCACTGACGATGTTTTCCGGGTTCGGATCCACGTCCGAGAGAATGTTCAGTCGTTGCCCTGTAATTACCTGTCTATATCGACCGTGGTCTACTTGGTCTGTACTAGTGAGTGGAATGGTGAAGACATTCTGAACTTCACGCGGTGGTCCTCCAATCAATTTCCATCGCTCGAAAAAGTTCGCTTGGCTGAGGGTGACTTGCTCGAGAAACTTGGTGAGTACGATTGGTAATCGCAAAGCTATTGTTTGGTGCGAGCCAGCAAGAAAAGAGATCGTTAAGATCGGCGGGACCTTGAAAACCTTCTTGCATTCTACATGGAGGATCTGTTGCGATTGGGTTCGAGGAGCAATCGTGGTCGGTGGCATTTTGGCAAAGGTGACCGAAAGGGCTTCAGGCTCATCGACATGGATCGTGGTGGTGAAGGAAGTGAATGGTGCGGATATTTTGTTGCCGATATAAACGGCTAGCTGTCCAGTGAAACTTTGATAGCGAGATTTTATCCCAATCTGTATCTGGACGTCTTCGTATAGAACGCCCTCGTTACTATAAGTAAGCTTTTCGAACCAGCGTTCCACACTTGGTCCAACGGCAATTGGAGTAGACAAAGTAGATTTGGGCACATGTGTCGCCGAAACTCCTGAACCATCCAAAACGCCGGTTAGAGACATGTCAAGGCCTGCGAGCGAGTTCATGATATCCTGCTCGTCTCCGGCTGCTGGGATCCCGTTGGTCGGAATATCCCCGATGGGTAGCTGCTTGGCAGATTTGTTTGCCTCTCGATCCATGTTCGCGTCCTTGCCTCCGTGCACCCATGTCCTCTTATCTTCTGTGGCTCCGTGTTTCTTGTTTAGCCTGCCTACAAGCGTACTCTCCCTCGGTGGGAATGGAGGAATCTCTTCGCATACGTTTTGAAGGAGTTCATCCTCGTCAGGACGAGACGCCAGGGCGTAGAACTCGCAAGCCCGTTGCTGAAGCTCTGAGTCTAGCACATGGCGATAACGCTCGAAGATATTGATAAGCTGAGGCTTGATCTCGGGAAATACATTCACCCATTTGATGTATGTGGAAAGCAAGAGAGAGCGAGTAGGGGCTGCACAGAATTGGGACTTGGAATGTAAAACCTGGAGCTGATCGATAGGACTGTACCCTTCTTCGTTGGCAATGATGTGGCCATATTCGCCAAGAATGTATCCTTTTTGACGAGAATCATTGTATGAACAGGACTCTACCGAGTAAGGACGGACTTACCGCCCACCTTCACCAGACTCTCATGGGATGCTGGGGATTTTAACCGCTCGAACACAACTTTCGCTGCGTATGCTTGAAGGTCTTCGGTATTCGTCACTATTTGCACGACTCGATACCACACTTCATCTCCAACATGGTCTCCGGCGGCACTGATGAGCTCTAGAATTGTGTCGACATACCATCTATACGAGCTGGCATATTTCTCCGTTAAGATGGCAATCTTAAGCACCATCTCCTCCCGAAGAGCATAGTCAGCAACCTTCAAGTACCGCAATAGCTCGCCAACAATAATTTCAGAATTGTCAACGTCGCACATGCTATACAAGAGATCTAGAGCTCGTCGTCGGACAGAGATATCCCTATCTCGAAGTGAGTTGATGACAGTCCCTTGGTGTTTTTTGATTGCATCCAGGGAATCTGCTCGAGCAGCTAGATGAGCCAAAGTATCCAACCCCAGATACCGCACGTTGGTTTCCTTAGAGGAGATAAACCGAGCTAGAAGGACGGCCGAAGTTGCGACGAGGGGGGAGTTCGTGTCCAAATGAATGGCGAGACCGATCGCTTCGAAAAGAACAGCGCGTTGGGCATTGTTGTGCTGCATATTGCGTGATTGCTCGGCACTGTTATTCATCACGGCCTCCAAGACTTGATGTAATGTCGATCGTATTGTTGGATCCTCTGGACGAGGATGAGAATAGTCAACTGCATTCGATAGATTATCATACCTGATGGAGGATAATATTGCAACAGGCGGAGAAGTTTGACTTGGAGCCATGGGGATGGAACCTTGTAGTATGCGTACGCTGCAGAATATTCATGCTCTACAACAAGCTAAGTCTGGATGTTAGCGCATACTGCATCCGACTCAAAGAGGGGGCTCACGCGATTGAGTCTATCGACAGCCTTTTGATAGCAAACTGCGTAAGGTTCTAGATGGTCTTGCGCCAAAGTCATAACCAAGGTGGTCACACAAAGAACAACACCCTGCATTTAGACGGGTAAGTCTCTGATGACAAGTTCATAGATCTGTGTTCTTACAAGATCTTGGTCGTCCATGATCGCAACAATTCGGAGAGCCCACTCTGCCGCAGGTATAACGTCAGGATGTTTGCGATATAATCGTAGCAATGTCAAAGCTGCTTTCTTCTTCACCATACTCTGTGAAGTTCTATCATTTGATTAAGTCCTGCGGAGTGGCCCACGCGGGAAAAGACGTACGGTGAAATCAGCAGCCGATGAACATCTTCACACAGAGCTTCCGCCATCTCTGTTCCTCCGACGTTTGCGATGGCATGCAAGGCAAGGCAATTATTGATCTCGTTATTTTCGTCCAAGTCTTTCCGTATAGAATTGATGACAAGGCGGAGAAAATCTGAGTTTTCATGCATAAGCAATGTGACGGCAAGGTACCCCTACAAACAAGACTTTCATGATTGAGAACTATGACATTGCAAGGTGACAGCTTACTATCTGTTTCTCGCTGTATTTATGGCTTGAGATCAAGTTGACGGCTTCCATATGCCCGACATCAACCTTGTAGCCTAGAATATAGGTATACAGGACTTTCGCGACGTATCTTTCGTTTGAACAACGTCAGACGAGCCTCGCATTGTTTAGTTTCAACTCACTTCTTCTTCTGATAGCCGTCCAGATTACCGTCTGTACGATTCATTGAGTTGTAGATTTCATCAGGTTTAAAGTCTCCCCGAAGACGGACCTTTGAACTTCTTTCGTATGTTTGCCATTTCCTTGTTTATACGCTTCTCTTCCAAGTCGCGAACTCTGGCTCCCCGGATGTCCGCAATGAACTGGATAATCATCGGGAAGGAGCTCGACAACTGAAGCTACCGTATCATACCTGCGTCAGCCCTCGCATATTTGTCGCCATGGTTGCTGGTGTTGACGGGGATAGCCCTCGTGAATGATGATCAATGTAGGTTTGTGTATGATACTAAGAATGAGATGGAGGAGGTCGCACAATATCCCACTGAAGTTGTGGGGAGCACTGGATTGACTATTACGACCTATTACGGCTCTATTACACGGCAGACGGGACCGAATATGAGCTCGTATTCCTATTTTAGTCTTATCTTCTGTAAGTTGTGAAGAATTACGAGCCCTATGATGCAGCATCATAGGGCTCGTAATTCTTCACAACTTACAGAAGATAAGACTAAAATAGGAATACGAGCTCATATTCGGTCCCGTCTACCGTGTTACGGGCCGTTGACTTCAAATGAAGGCAGCATGAGGCCTTGACACGTGGCGATACTACTGTGTAGCAATAAATGTTCATTATTTTAACGATAAGGGGACATGATGAATGTTCATGTCCGCTTGTCGATTTGCGGCAGAGAGCTGTAGAGTAATAAGACGGTAGAGAAATTACATGTAAGAGTGGGGAAGGACATGTGTATGTTACAAATCGGTGGCGAGACAATCTATATCGATCTCCCCAGCCGGCTTGGTGTGCTTGGTCTCGAGCTGTAGGCTGATCGTATACCGTAAGGAGTAGATGTACCCGAGCGTGGAGGAAGTAGCGTCGAACCAAAAGAAGGCGACCCCATCGGAGTAGCTGGTCTTGAGTTACTCCTCGACTGACTCGCAACGCGTTCGTCGGCGTATCGATTCAATATCCCGACGATGTCTCTTGTTAGATAGTCAAGTTCCTTGACCTCGTTTGTCGAGAGTGAGTAGTCCTTGGACTGCGCAGCATCTTCCTCGTCCCCGGATTCCTCCTCTTCCCGAGGGGCAATAGGAATATTTGTGCGGGAATGACGGCGTTTGTTCATCAAGATGCCTTCGAATACCCGCAACATGCAGCCCTCCATCATCGTTTTGAGGCGCTGGATATCGTCCAGCGCGTAGATATTGCCTACAACGGGCAACCAGTCATCGCACTCCAGCCCTCGCTCGGTAACAGAAGTACGATAAGCCCCAAAGAGGACATATGTCATCGGATCCAATCTCGTTGTAGTGACGAGGGACATCTGGGCAGTGCTCGAATTTGCGCCGGCTGCAGATATGTTCTGACGTTTTTCCGCAAATGCGATGAGCATTTTTTCGGAGTGATTACCCTGTGCTGAAGGGAGCTCGCGTTTGCGGTGATTTACACTGGACGGGTGGATGAAGGTCATCTGCCAAAAAAAATCAGTCATCACCTATGCAAGGGGTTTGATGTGCGCTGACCTTATCCTGTTGGGTGCGGAAAGTTTTCTCTCCAGTCCTGATGGCGAAATTGGGCTGCGTGGCAATAGCGATAAGGGCTGCGAGCAGAGGGTGAGAATTGCCGTTCGTGTTCAGCTCCGGAGGGACGACAACGTCTCTTCTTCTTCCTCCAAACCGTTCGACACGCCCGCCTCCTGAAACATCGATCACTCCGACATTTTCTAAAGCGCTTAGAAGATGTTTTTTGATCTTCTCGATGAGAAGCAGGGTCGGCTTGGACAAGAAGTTGTCCGAACAGAACCTGTTAGCGGACACGTACTCGCCGTTGCTCTGCAGAGCCCACCAAGCATTGTATGCACACAGGGCGGCAAGAGTGTCAGACCTGAACTCGTCCGGGCTCCATGAATTTTTCACCGCCGCCGCTTGAACCTTGAGGTGCATTGGCGAGACGAATGGGTCACGGTTTGTCAAGATCGCTGCGAGGGTCAAGGCCTGATCGAGGCAACGGAAGAAACTACCGTATAGCACCAATCTACCAACCTGCACCTCCACCGGAAGCTGAAGCAGTACACGCCCCAGTGATGTTAGATTCTGGTTTTCATCGATAGCTCCTACGACCTGCAGATCCTTCATAGCCGCCGTTACGCGTTCAGCGGCAGGCGGTTCTATGGTAGCAGCCAAAACATCTTCCACAGCCATGCCGGGGAACTCTAGAGCCTTGACATGCATGACGACATTGGTCAAGTCGACACGCTTCATCTCCACAGTTTGATGAGTATGCAGAGCATCGACTCTCTTGCGACCCAAAATGCCGTAGTACTCTCCAGACCGGTGTCGTCCGGCACGCCCTGCGCGCTGATTGAGATTCGACGTACCAACCCAGGCGGAGACGAGAGAAGACATGTGGCGCTGAGGATCATACCTCTGCTCTTTAATCTTGCCCGTGTCGACAACATATACAACGTCCGGAATGGTCACAGATGTTTCGGCAATGTTCGTGGAAAGTATGATACGGCGGACGCCTGCGGGCGGAGGTTCGAAGATCGCTTGTTGTTCAGCGAGAGGGATTGTGGAGTGTAGCAGGTGGAGAGCAAATTTACTAGAATCTTTGATATTGAGCCCGAGAGGCCGCTCGTAAAGGACACGTTGGACAGCCTGAATCTCGTCCCATCCTGGCAAAAACACAAGAACATGCCCGTCGCTGGACTGCTTTATGATGTGAGTGATCGTCAGGGCGATGAACAGATAAGGTAGCTCCAAGTCTTGATCCTTCGTGATGTCAATGTCACGGTTTCCTCTCCAACGATCACCTACTAAAGCTGCATATTCATCGCCCAACTCTTGCTGTAGATATCTGGACACAGAGTCGTCGGAGAAGACCGCCTTCGTGCTCGGGTCCGCGGCCAATTCTTGCACAAAATCGTTAAGGTAGTGCTTTTGAACAGGGAAGGAGCGACCAGGTATGTCGATTACGCCTGCTGGAAGCCCATTGTCATCTGGGAAATATTTCTGGAAAAGAGTGGGGTCAATAGTAGCGCTCATGAGCACCACTTTGATCGGTTTTCCCCTCGCCTTCCGGTCGGCCAGCAAGCGTTTAAGGACGACCAGTAGGAGGTCTGTATCGACATCCCGCTCGTGCACCTCGTCTACCACCACATGGGTCACATCATCCAGGTTTACACCGCCTGACATTCCGCCTTCAAGCAAAGCCGTCTGCATCCGTCTCAAGAAGATGCCTGTAGTGCAGAAAGTGATAGAACCATGATCCTCAGGTAGCTTTGCCTCAAACCGGACCTGGTATCCAACAGACCCCTTCCCAGTGATTTCTCCGCGTTCTTTGGCTACACGTTCAGCAACACTGATCGCAGCAAGACGGCGGGGCTGGGTACAGATGATGTTACATTTCGCCCCTTCCCCTCTGTCGATGTAATCATCCAGGATGAGTTGTGGAATCTGAGTGGTCTTCCCAGAGCCAGTAGCGGCCATACAGACGGTGACCTCGTTATCGCGAACATGAGCCAAAAGATCAGCTGAACGAGTGGACACAGGAAGGGCCTTCCGAATATTTCGCATTTGCTCCAATTGAGGATTCTCAAGATACGCCTTCCTCCGTTCAGATAAACGCTCGGACTTGGCGTCGAGATGCTCTGTAGGAATGGCCCTTCTGATTGCGACGGGTCGAGTGGAGGTAGATGCAGCCGAAGGAACGAACGAGGCCGGTCGATTCTGGTAAAGAGTGCTCTTGCGTATATCGTTGCACAGGTCCCGTACTTCATCCTCTAGGCCGTCGCTCATTTGGAAAAGGACCTTGGGCGCCATGCCGAGGTCCTTACCTTCCGCCGCTGCCTTGACAAATGTCTTCCATAGTTCCGCATCGCAACTCTCGAGATACTGGGTGACGTCGACATAGCAATTGGTCTGCGCGAGTTTCTTTGTTATACCAGACCCGATCCCGATTCGACGCCCGCCGACATGCATGATGGCCTCCCACGAGCTGTTGCGATTACGGCTGCCCCTGACTTCATTGTACACGATATCAGGTTTGGTAAACTTGTACCGGCGACAATAATAATCCATGAATTGCCGCGCCTGTTCATAGGTGACCGTGCTTCCGTCGGAAAGCGAAACCGGAGTGGCCAGCACTGGAGGGGTTTTGGGCCCTTTTGATCTTGAGCCATCCAACTATTCGTAAAGATAGATGTTAAGAGAGAATGGACATCACGTTGCAAGAGAACGCACCAGTCCAACGGCATCCAACTGATACAGAGCCGAAAGAGCAGCTAGCTGTTCGGCTTCTTTTTTCTGTATACTGTCCCCGACACCTATGACGACGGGGTCTTCACTGATTCGAACTGTCACCCTGCGATCACGAAAGTTAGGAAACGGCGCAATGCTGGACAAGAAGATGCTTACCTCCAACCGCGCTTGCCATTGAGAAGGATTTCTTGCATGTCATAGGACGGCGGAGAGCCTTTGCTTTCGACGGCGTGGTTCGAGAGAGGCGACTTGGGATTCTCCTCCCACTGTTTCTTGAGGTCCTTCACGCGATAGGTTTGCTTGATGAAAGCCAGGTCATGCAGCGCTTCGTCCTGAGGTACAGACAGCAAAGCTGGCCCCTTCCCGCGTAGGGAACCTTTAAAAAGGCTGGGAGGCTTCGAAGGCCTGTGTCCGCGCTTGGAACGATGGGCGTTGGGCGAATTGGACGATGACGAGGGACGCATCGAGGAAGACAACAGCTGATTCGAATCTAGTCGAGGAAGCTTCGGGGGCCGCTTGAAGGAATCTTCAGGTGATCTGGAGTCTGTGGTGAGAGCCTGCGAGTGGACGAGGGCTGAGTGTGCGTAGGGGCGCTTGAGGATGGACGAGGGGGTTGCAGGAGAAGTGGCGGGTATCCGATTTGAGGGGTCAATTTGCATGAGGAGGCGATGCCTGTGCCGGAGAGAAAAGGCTAGGCGCATAAGTATGGGCGATAGAGCACCGGTACCCACTCCAAGTCGTCTCAGAGTGCTCACCGAAGTAGCAAACAATTCCTTCGTCACACCCCCCGTCGGCATCGCCCGATCCTCCCACAGCCCGCAGTGCCGCACACATCCACCTCCTCTCGCGAGTTGCAAATATGAGTTCCAGCTTCGCCACTACGTTTGCACCCTACGTGAGTCGATACTCCCTTCCAAGTGAACCCACTCGCCGACATCCAGCCCCCGGCTTTCTCGCAGGCCCCACCTCCTGATGAACCTCAGCCCTCTTCTTCAAGAATCACTCGTCCTTGGCTCCCTGCACCCCCTCCATCACAGCAGGCAACCTCCTACCAATCGGGCGGAGTTCCGACATGGAACACATCCATGGCCGGCGGAGCGGGGGCAGCTGAGGAATCCGAAGAGCAGCAGAGCCAGTGGGAGACACGATACAACACACGAGTCGACGTTCTATCCGCGTTCGCATATATTCTTGGACCATTGTCTGGTAACCGTACTACATTCTTGCGTCTGAACGTCGTTTGACATCATGAGCAGCGCTGTTTCTACTTATAACGGAGACGAAAAATGATTATGTCCGGTTTCATGGTGAGTCCTTCCAAGGTTCGTCGATCCACTACTCCTAATGCATCCGTACAGCGTATCAGTCTGCTCTACTCACAACGCCCTTGCTTCTACTCCGCGTAATGACATCGCTGTTGGGGCTTCCCTCCTCTCTACGCACGCTCTTTACCCTGCTCCTCGTTGCACCTGCATCATTCATGGCGTAGGGCATTTCAGTTCGACATCTCTACTTCAACGTTAATTCGGTCCATCCTCAGGTATCAAGCATACAAGGGTGCGGCCCAGGATGGCTTGTACCGGTTTCATATCCCATCAATAGGGCAACTCGCGGAACAATGGCTACAGGAGGAATGATAGGTTGCCTTGATTGAGTTATTTCGACACGAACTTCTCATTGCGGAACCACTCAAGTATGGTCATCCAAGATATTGGTGTATACTTTCGATTCGTTACACTTGAGTGGCAGATAGTCAGGTAATGAATCACGACTGTCTCCAATGACCTTCCTCTGAGGCCTGCCACGGTGCGAGAAAGCCATCGGGTTCGGGATTCAGTACAAATCTATTGCTCATGCGAATACATAAAGACATTCCAGAATGCATCCAAAGATCGTTAGTCAAGTAGCATGTGATGTTCCAGCAAAAGCAGCCGTTCTGTTCAGGTACAAAGCCCGGTAAGCTGCAAACCAGTCTGGCAAGATTGAGTTAGAGAGTATTTGTCGATGAAAGGCCCAAGAAGAGGCCGTATCGCGTTGAGAACGGCGTCGGTGAGATTCTCGAGGACATCAAGAATGTCGATGAGAATGCATTTGACTTCATAGACAACTGCGGAGAAACATATGAACAGAGTAGGACGACGCATCGAACAGGAGGGCATACTAGGACCAAGAACAGGACCAAGGATCGGCAAGGAGTAGACGAGGATGTCAATGTCCTTGAGAACTTCCTTGTTCAAGTTGACCAGATTTTTGAGCAGAGTTTCTAGTTCATCGCTTCGATCGTAATTGGCCAAACCCTTCTGGCTGTTCCCAAGTACGGCCAAGGTATTTTGGAAGCCGGAGATATTGCTTTGAAAGTCCTTGACTTGAGATGTACATTTGTCAGAGAACTCCGAACCGCTGCCCTTCGCAGTCTTAGCCTCAGCGGAACAAGATTCTATAATCATATCTGGTAAAGGGATTGCCAAGATAAGTATGATGTATCTCACTGATGTTCGCGGCATGATCTTTGGCATTGACGTAGTAGCCGCTGAGGCTGCTGATACGGTCATGATAGGAACTGGCATCGGGGGCCGGTATGTTTTGCTTTTGATCGACAGGGACACTCTCACTCTCCGGGCCTTGGCGACGTGACAGGAAGACCTTCAGGGCGGTCGAATCCCGTCGATTCAAGTGATCGAAGAGGGAGGTAGGCGAGGGCAGGGGACTCGCCAAAGCGTGAAGGGACCGACCGAAAAAAAATGTCACAGAAACGGCGTAGAGGACCACGAGGGTTGGTTTGTAAGATAGCATAGCAGAAAGTTGTCGTGGGCTAGAAATGAAAGCGAAGTGAAAGCAGTTGCGTCTAGCGCGGAAAGATGCAAAGGAATCGCCTCAAGACTGATGAGATGCACACGAAAGATGACACCGCAGTGGTTGCAAGTGAAAATTTTGGGAGACGATAAACAGGAGCTTGCCTTTTTATGGGGTGGGTTGAACTTTATTTGCAGAAGTTGAGCCAAATAAACACCAAACTGAACGCGCCAGTCATGTGATTGGAGCATGGTCACGTTGCATAATGTCAAAAGCACATCGTAACACAATGATCCACTGTTTCTGGAACTAGCACTCATAAACAATAAGCTCGACGGATGCATAGAAAAAGTATTCAACAAACAAGAGAACACAAGTGTACTAAAGATCTCACCAAACTATCCCAAAGTCCTCTATGACCACGCCGGCTTGGTGCCGGTGAATCAGAATATACTAAAGAGCGTGCGAATGAAAGATGGATGTGGTCAACGGCGAGAAACAGGAAGAGATGGGCCATCGGAAGGTAAATAATCGGACAATCAGCCAACAAGTCCACGAGACATGAGGTTCCTCGGATATAATATCAAGCCCATTGATCAGGCAGCGATACATGATTTGCCGCTCGAAGAAAGCTTGTAGCCAGTCATGCAGTTGTATACTAGTATGGTGGTATTGAGTACATCGGCAGAGGTGGATAAAAATAGCAGAACTTACCGGCACATGAACCCTGCTCGCATCCAACATTCCAAGCGCCCTTGATCGCAGTGCAGTCCTGGCCAGCACCTGTCGAGAGACAACCACCACAGGACTCCAACTCTTGAGTGGTATCGATGCATTCATAGTCAGAGGAAAGCCCGCTAACATTCGCAATGGGGCAAGCGTTTAGGCCAGTTGGGCAAAGAGATGCCGCGCGAGCCTTGCGAGACTTCTTATGGGTGCCAGAGGGAGTAGAAGGGGGCTGTGTAGGATGCGAAGGGGGAGATGGCTGGCACTTCCAGGTGTTGGAGATCCAGTCCCAACCACCGGGGCACTGGGGGGGAGGGTTGTTCGCAGGGGGGTGGTGGGGCACACAGCACCCCTGATCTTTGCCCCAGTACCACCCAGAGGTAGGACACTCCGATCCTGAAGGAGGCGAGGGCGGGTTGGGAACACCACCGTGAGGAAGACAGCAACCCTTGGGAGAATACCTAAATCAAACCGTGCTCTCAGTAAGCTGTCACAGTTCCCTACATGATGACTGACCAAAATTCGCTGCTAGAGCAATCGGATGAAGAAGGCGTTGAAGGACTACGAGGGGTATTTGGGTTGCAAACACTGTCACCGTAACTCCAGGAGTGGGTGCTGGGGCAGGTTGGGGCAGGGTTGCCAGACGGAGGCTTACTCGAAGGCAAGCAGCAGGATTTCTCTAGATACATCAAGATTGTCAGTCTAGCGCCGACGATCGTGTTCTGTTCAACCAACCCGACGACCAATACCAGTTTCCAGAAGCCGGGCATGCCTTGCCGGAGCTGATCGAAATCCCCAATCAATATTCGTGATGCGGTCAGAGGTCAAAGCAGGCAATGAACACACGGAGGGCTTGGAGGCGCTTGAGGAGTTCCCTGCTTGACGCAACAGCTCTTGTTCTCGTACCAGAACTCTCCAGAACCACAATCAGTGGCTGCGGCCAAAGGCAGGGCGGTAGCAAGGACGGCAAATGCGGCGACGAGAAGACGACCCATGGTCATGATTCAAAGATTGTGCGAGTATAACGAGCGACGGGGACTCAAGAAAGTGAGAAAGAAAGGACGCGCCCGGTTCTGTTGAAGAAAACGATACGCATCCCACGTTCTTATACCCACACGGCCCATCAAACTAGAATCGGAGATAACCTTCCAGGTCATGTGGAAACAAGAGATCAGTTCGGTTTGTCGTCTCATTGATCTTGCCCGCCTAAGGAGGGTCCCGACTGCTTCCGTGCCTGCTCCACGCCTAAACCGTTCGATTTCGTGTAGTTGTCTCAGGGAACCGTCCGCACAAACCGCTCACAAGGACGGAAGTATTTGGGCGAGAGACAAGGACCAGACAAAGTGGCAAGGGCTGATGTGGACAAAATCAAGTCATTGTATAGTTGTCCTGAAGCATAAAGAGATGAAACAGGTGCTTACTAGTCCAGTGAATAGAGGCGGGGTGACACGGCGACATCATCCGCCGAGCCATTGCCATTGACCTGCTGCTTATTAGTCACCGCATGCAGTGTGTTCCAGTTGTGTTCCAGTGCTGTGCTCCAGGATGCAGACCTATCAATCAGGCAATTGATATCTTCAACTCTTCCCAGGATGTACAACATGTACATCAACAACTACTGATTGCCATGTACAAGCGGAATATACGGAATGAAAAGGCTCTGCTCGCCCGTTGGCAAGCAGTCTTGTGAACGTCTGATGCTCAGCGCTCAGCAGCGATTAGTCAACTTTCCGCATCACAAGTGCTTCTGTTCGAAGAGAATGCGAAGAAACACAGTGACGTGTCGGTGGATGACTTGAGGGGTAGGACTGCCAAACTTCGCCCTGACGACTAGAGCCGCATCGGCATCTACGTACCTGGCGAATGCTGGCAAGCCAGATACAGTAGCCTTTCGACCAAAAAGTCACAAACAAAGGACAATGTACATTAAAATTCTTTCAACTTCAGCTTCCGTGGTACTGCACACATGTAAAGAACGGAGCGTGATTAAACATTCCTACTTGAATCGTGGATCTCTGTCTCTCTAACGTTCAGCCTTGATTGACAAATGTCATCAGTGGAGTAACTCCCAGTTAGGAGCAAAAGATCACACACCCGATCCCTCGGTAGCTGCTAATGTCTTCTGTAGCGCGTGCGTCGCGAAGTACCGTACATCTGCATCTTGATCGTTTTTCAATTTCTCCAAGGCAGGGAAGATCTTTTGCCGGGCCGATTCTTGACCCTCAGGAATGTTACCATATGTCGCGGCTAGGACCTCTAGAGACTTTGCAACATTGAACCGGATGTTTGGGATAGGATCAGTGGCCAGGTGAAGCAGAGCATCGAGGATTTCGTTGAGAACGATGTCGAAATTCAACGACGGCGCAATGGTCTAGATTGTAAGTTCAGCAATGGGTGCAACGGGACCGGCGGAAAGCACTCACGGCGATCGCCTGGACAGTAGTCATCCGGTATAAATAGTTCGGATGCGCTCCCATGTTTACTACCTTTGGGACGATAGCCACGCGCGCCCACTCAACACCGAATACCTCCGTCAGTTTCTTTAGGTTGATCGTGGCAGCCTCGCGGATACTGAAAACAGTGTCGCCAAGCCACGACATACAGAGATTCCCGAGCTGCTCGTCAAAGAACGGCTTTCCGAGCTGGGTCGCGAGCAGGGGAATATATTCAATGATGGCCTGCCGGACGCGCCACGACTTATCCTCTGCGAGCTCGACTATCGCTGGGAGGAGGCTTTCAGCCAGAAATTGTATGCCAATGACTGTAATCCATGAGAATGATAAGCTACAGACAGAACGTGCACCCTCACCTTCATTTACTTGCTCAAGCTTGCTGATGATATTCAACCGTACTTCAGGGAACTCGTCCTTGAGCATGTGAAGGAAGAGTTGTAAGAGGTGCTCAATTGTAGCCTCTTTTCCAAGAAGGGGAGCAAGCCCAGTTATCTGGTTCGCAAGAGCGGCGCGAACATGTTGAGAACTATCCTGGCAAAGATCCCGCACGCAAGGGATGATGCGAGCAATGACAACTTCTCTTTCGAGTAGCTTAGAGAAACCTATATATCTTTTAAAATCGAACTCATCAAGAGAAACCGGTAGCGTACCTGGAATTTGGCCTGCAGCAGCTGTTCGAACTTCCGCTTCGTTGTCCTTCAAAAGCTGTACGTAATGACCCACTAACTCTTCTCGCACAAGCTCAACTCCTACTGCCTCCGACAGCTATCCCCGCTGATATGAGACGCTGTCTGGGCCAGATAATGTAATCGAGACTCACCGCATTGAAATGGGTAGCAGCCATGTATCGAACCCTCCAGCTTTTATCGGAGACGCTCTGCTTTATTTGCTTGAGTAATTGGTCCTTCGCTTCCGCAGGGGTGAGCTGCTGAGCGATAACAACGAGGTCTTCTACCGTTAACAGTCTAACAGAGTCTTGGTCGTCTGACTGCAGACGACGGTATATCGACAGACCATCGGACAATACGTGGGGCTTAGAAAGGCCTTTCACAAACCACTTTGGATGAAGAGTCTGACCGGGAGTCTATGGACAGATTCAGGGGCAGACTCACCTGAAGCCATTTCGCAGCAGCTCTCCGAACCATTGGTGTGTCATCGGACCCGAGCTCAGCAAATCCCTTCCGCAGCTCCTCTTGAATCGAAGGTGAGACTTTGGTATATACAGGAGCATAGAGGGCGGCGGATGATGCGCGTGATGTGAACCATTCGCCATGGGATAGCCGTTTCAGTAAGGGGATGTAGTATTGTTCGATTTGCTCCTGCGAGAGAACCTCGGCCACCTTCGTGATGGACTCTGCAGCCTATGACCCCACAAAAATACCATAGTCGTAGCGAATGGACATATTGACCAAGCAAACGTCAGCGATCTGGGCGAAGATGGTTTGGCAAGCGAAATAACGCACCTTGTCTCTCACAAGGGTCTCCTCAACAGCGGAAAGGTTTTCTAAGGGTCCCAGCAATACATGTGCATGCTCAGGCCCGCCAACATAATCACCAAAGTTCTTCCCAAGCTCCTCCGCTAATGCTAGCAAGACCTCATCTTCATCATCCACGGAATCCTGCAGGAAAGGAATCAACTCTTCCCGCGCACGATCGGGGCCCAATGCGAGAGCTATAGTAGAGATACGATGGATAGCGTTGAGGCGCAATTGAACGTCTTCCGAGCGCAACTCATCCATGAGAAGAGCGATCGGTGCAATCTAATTGTGCATTAGCTATATTCCCGAATTCCGTGAGCCACAGTGCACAGTTCGACATACATCATCTGTGGAGAAACCAGAGTCCATGGCGTACAACTTTCTGAGAGGATGAATCTGTCGGTAAAGGAGATGAGACGTGGAGGGTGGAGGTTGACAGCCAGCTGTATGCAAAGAATACTGAGGCTGTTGAGTGGGGCAAAGCAGATATGTTGACCGGATTTAGCCCAGTCTGGTGAGACAACACGCGCATTGCCACCATCGCCACTCCTCATCGTACTACCTCTTTTCCTATGTTGGCGTTCTACCGTCGAACGTTCTCCGTCTGAAACGGAAGCATTATGGCCAATAAAAATAAAAATAAAAACGAATGAAGAGCTTCGGTCGATATCGACGGCGTGACATAAATACGCATTCCTTCTTTAGTCTATGGAATTTTCAGTAGGATTTCTATACTCTTCAGATGGCCTCCTCTGCTATAGAATGGCCCTTCAAAATATAATATGCAATGCTGATCCCGCTGCCCAGCACCTTACTCTGAATGATCTGATCCCTTGGCCGCGTCCTCAATCCCGCTCAGATACTTTAATCGCACAGCCGCGATCCTTGTCCTCTTCCATTCCTTTGACCCTACTAGGCGCTCAAGTTCTTTGATGGTCTGCATTATCTTAACTTGAATAGTTTGCCTATCATCAAGGCTGTTCCGGTTGGACAAGGAAGCGCACAACTCACCATGATTATCTGCTCGAACGCTCTCAACGTCCGCTGGGGACGCTGCCTCCTCTAAAGCTTCCCTTGCTTCCATGATCTCCATGATGAGTTGTTGGTCATCGGTTTGGTCTGTCTCTGAAAGCTCTGTGTCCTCTAGACGTAGGATATATTCAACACGAGACAAGGGGTCCTTAAGAGTTTTGTATGCCTTGTTTGCTAAACCCGATAGGGAACGAGCAACATACACCTTGTCCTTGACTTGGCGTGAGCGTCGTTTCTACTGAATGCGGATACAACGTGTGCTTGCCTCGCCTCGAGCTGTCCAGATATCAGGATGGACGCACCACTGTAGATTACGATACTGCGTTCTCAACTTCCCAAGATCGACCAGGAAAGGATTGGGTTCATATGGAGCATCTAAGACTTGATAGTATGTCTGATTCGGACTGACTTGTGCTATATAGAAGCACTTGGGACAAGCAGGTAAGGGGGTCGGCAATGGCGCTTGGCAAGAGGGACAGCCGGACGGCAAAGTTTTGACTGATATATACCGTGGGCGTGATGCAAAGTCAGCGGGGCACGCAGATAGTATCCGCCAGTGAAGCAGCGGTCCCATGGGCGGGCGCAATATCGACCTGAAAACTGGATGAGGCATGAAATCGAAACGCGGTGGGCGGCCGAGAAAGTGATAGTGATCCTTGGGGTTCCTGCCACAGTGGACCAAATTATACATCATGACATCAGCGGGCAACTTGAATTGCCTACCAAGCGTCGCTGCGATTCACAACATACATGTCGTCTAGCTCACTTTCTCTTGAACAAATCCCACCTCCCAATTTAGGAGCAGATGACCCTTCTGCTGCTGATCCTGCACGTCTCCGTATCGCACGCCGGACGTTCTTCTCAAAGGCCTTCTCTGTACGAAATCTGACACACAGGCAGTCGACATCTAGGCCTGAGGACGATTCAAAGGGAAAACATAAAGCGGTCATACTGAATATTGGCGAAGAGCAGCCAACGGGCCCTCTGTCTTTCTCTCCTGTCGACATTCTTCAGGATTCTCCATCAATATCGACTGACGATTTGCCAGATGACAAGGACATGTACAGGTGGGCAATCGTGTATGAAAATCAGCGCGGGTGAGCTTCTCGTCGTTCATTCAACACCGTTTTGAACAATACCTATATCTTGATAAATCAGTATCACACTGTTCTCTACACCATATTATTCACCCCTTTCTCTCTTGCCGAACGACCCGCCCCCGTTCACACTCCCAGAAGTTGCTGGTTACTCGAATCGACAACCCCAACTTTCCTTGAGCGAATATCCTCTCCCGGACGGCACATGGCGCTGGGTGTCCCAATCCTGGTTGATTGACATGCGTGAGGGAGGCGAAGTTCAGTACGATGGCTTTGAGTACAACTGGTTCTTTCGGAAACACAACTGGCGTGCCGAAGTTGGGAAGCTCGGCGCTGGTGGTTGGGTACGAAGGCGGCGGTGGGTGAGGCTCATGGTGAGACCTGCCCGGGCGCTCGAGAGTCTTGGCTTAAGCCGTGGAGAGGCTTCACTAGGATTGTCTCCTCCCTCATCGGTTCGTGAATCCACTCCTGAAGCTGGGAAGTCTCTGCAGACTGGGGACGAATTTGATTGGGAATATTGTCATTCCACCATGCGACGTCAGCCACTGGATGGAATGAAACTCAAGCTGTGGAAACAGTGGCTTGGACTCGTAGATGTCTCGGAACAAGATACTGATTATATCGGAAAAATGCCCGCGGAAGACTACGTCACTCGGATCCTGTGCGACCATGTAAGTTTGACCTCAAAACGATAGTAATTTAAGTCTCAATATCCCTCTAAATTTATAGGTACAAGACATCTTCGAATCTTTTGTCCATCCAGACTCTAAACAAGCTTTTCTCGAGCTTGTGGCTAGGGCGGGTGTCCTTCCAATGTCGGTTCAGCATACGCTCGTTAGCAATATGTATGCCATAGACTTTGGAGCTATAGTCGGAGACTGCCTCAACTCAAGGAGGGCGAAAGGACGCGTGGAATGATCCGACGCAGCGGAGCCCATAAGTCGACAAGGTAGGTCTTTGTTTCTAGATGCGATTGAGGTCACAATGTCCGTTTTCAAATCTTGACGTATCGCTGTCTGTTTCAGAGACCTTGAAATTTAAGCGAATATCGTCTTAAAGTCGAGTTCCAGATTCCTATGAGTCTCCGTGGGTGTTGATGTAAGACGTGAAATAGACCCATCCGTTGAGCCAATTAACGGATGACCATTCTCTACGCTTGTATCACTTTTCTGGCTTCAAAGGCACTAGTCACTAATCAACGTTGAGGTCAACTTAGGTCATAATTGCCTGAAACTTAGTTCAAAGATAAATATCTCTTCAACCTTCAACAATCGGTCCTACTTCAACGGATGGCACTACCGATCAGGAACAGCGTTAGAAATGGCAAGGTAGTCTCCTGATCCAGCTCTCCACAGTGATCTTGCTCCTGCCCCACTATCAGGATTGCGATTGGTAGTGGGTGTGTCACCAAAATGTCCCAAGGCCTTGTGGGCACCATGAGCCTGCTAGTCAGTGCAGATACAAAAACCCTCACCTGCCACCACTTGCGACCTGTGCTCCACGATAAACTAGTGTCTATCCCTGCCTTCTGCATTCTGCCCTTGATGCCCGCGCCTAGCAGAAGACCAAACACTGTCAATAAGAATAGGGTGACTACGAGCTGATCCCTCGGGGAGTCCCGCTCTATAGCAACAGAACATTGTTCATAAGGATTGATACAAGTGATTCGAATTAACGCACGGAAACATCGAGCCTCAACATCTCCCTCCTTTCCTGTCGCTGTATCGGGATCTGTATCACCGAGCGAAGCACCGGCACAGACAGGTAGGTTCTGGTTCAGACACCACTGCTTCGTGCATGACAAGCATGGTTTGGACGGATCATCCGGGATGTCCATGTGTAGAATCGAGTAGTTAGCTCCGAAACAAACACCTATTGCGATAGTCAAGTATTTGCGAGATCGTAGGCGAATAAGGATGCATACACTTGCAGAAACTTGTTGCTTCCCATTTGTTTCCTAGCAGTGCATCGGCAGGGAGCTGTCTTTCTACTATATCAATTGACTGATGCGAGTAACTCAACGAAGTCGTACCACCAAGAAGAGTACAGCACAGAGAAAGAACGAAAATGATAGCATTGGCCGTGAAGGACTCGATGATGAGAGTCGTTGTCACAAGTTGAGTCTAGTTGACACAGCTTAAAGTCGAGATTTCAGAAAGAGATCCCGGCCGGAGATCCCGCACATCTCTCTCACACGCCGCTCACTTACAGTAACCTATGGATTATTTTAACACTGTACTCCCCGCGGACTCCGTTGAATTTTGCCCTCACACACTCGCAACCACCGTCTTTGTCTGTGGGACATACAAACTCGAACAGCCTACGCCTGTATCTCAGTCGAGCGAAGAGAACACCGCACCGGCGGCACCGCAAAAACGAGTGGGGAAATGTCTTGTTTTCCAGGTCAATGACGACAAGAAGAGCTTGTAGGTTGCTGACGCTCCGGTGCATAGTTCCTCATTCCCAAAACTGTATGTTAGCTCGCCCATTCACGAAATCTCATCGCCAGCCATCCTGGATATGAAATGGTGAGTTCGATGCTCATATTCACTACTACTCCCTGAGAATGTGCAGGTGTCATACTTCTGCTTCCCGATCCCCACTACTCGCAATAGCTGATTCAGAAGGCCATTTAACACTGAGTGAATGGGACATCAATCAGGTAGCCTCTGCTTTCAACATACCATGAAGGATGAAAGTGTCAGCTGTCACCGACATCATGACCATCGTTTACAGGGGCATTTGAACAACATTGCCAATATCGCTTGTGCAACGTCGGATGTACTTTGTTTGTCCCTCGACTGGTCGAATCGCAGATCACATGTGGAGTACGTTTTCGTTCGAAGGAAGCACAGAACTCCTCACATATATTTGTTGACAGTACGATCGGCTCTGTGGTCGTCTCTCTATCTAATGGAAAGCTAGCATTGCTGAAGCCAGAGAATGCGACGGGGCTATCAGTAACAGACACTTGGATTGCCCATGAATATGAGCCGTGGGTCGCAGCTTGGAACTACTGGGATACTAATGTTATCTATTCTGGTACATCGATTTATTTCCAACTTCCATTGTGTATTGTGTCTCATGCATTGATTGTCTTATAGGAGGGGATGACTTGAGAATGAAGGCATGGGATATTCGTCAAGGCTTTAATCGCCCATTCTCTATCAACAAGCAGTTTGTTCAACCATATATAATTCCCTGTTGCCTTTTTCTCAAAAGAGAAGCAGGTTTAACGCAGGAATAACATCTATACAAAGCCATCCACATGTTGAACACGTTGTCGCCGTCGGAAGGTCTGGCTTTTCCACACAATCTTGTCGAATTGCTCTGACTTGCTTTCGACAGTTATGATAACACTGTTCGTATATACGACAGCCGCAAATTGTTAACTCCCCTCGTGCAGGTAGACGTCGGAGGAGGTGCTTGGCGGATAAAATGGCATCCTTCTGTCCGAAGACAGCACGATCTTCTTGTTGCTTGCATGCATAGTGGCTTCAAAGTCGTCAAGCTCGCTGACACGTGGACAAACATTGGCGAGTTAACGGCCACGCCAGGCGAGAGTTGGGAGATCATGCAGAGATTTGACAAGCATGAGTCGTTAGCATACGGCGTGGACTGGTCCCACGCTGAAGATGTGAAGCACCAAGACAAGGTACAAGAAACGCTCATTGCAAGCGCATCGTTTTATGATTGTGCGCTGCACCTTTGGAGCGGGTAGTTAGTGGGGTCAGTGCGATGCTACAGCATGATTGTGTGAATGTCAAAAGGATTATAGCTAATAAATTTTGTGTTTCAGTATCATCAGGTATCAATGTAGTAGGTCCTGTCATAAGGGAATATGCGAACTCTTCTGCTAATATGTTCCAGTAGATTCGGCTTTCTAGCCCTGTTGTTTCCGAAATGCAGCATTCGGACCGTTTAGAACAAAGTTCAGTGTCCACCGAGCCAATCCTCGGTTGGTATCCATACGATATGTTCCCGAAGTGAGTAGATGAGCAAGTGACAATGTAAATGCAATCCTATTGAAAAGAAGGTTTAGAAGGCTGTCGTCAGATCCAAGAAAAAACTTGCCTTTCGAGTGCATATACGCTGCCTTTCCCACTTCGAGCCCATGTGTTGGGCAAGCATGCTCTAATAGCCCTTGGCAAAACATACAGCGCCATCTCTCCCCTCCTGCGACCATTTTCGATCCAGATGCTACTTCCACAAGCGAGGCAGCCGGCCATGATGCACCCGAAAGGACCATCGTAGAAGTCATGAGATATTTTTGGGAGCAAACGGGCGATGAGGTGCGTGCGGGTCAGGCAGATGGCCATCCAGATCGAAGACACGAAGGTGGATAGAAATGAAGCACTACGTACGGCACCTATGAGCAATCGGAAAATCTCCGGGAGGCGGAGGAGCGAGCGAGGGCGAGTGAGGAGGATTGGTATGAAGTGAACCTGAGGAAGTGTTGAATTAGAAAACTGGACGAGGCACGGGCGGGTATGTCATACAGGAAGATAGATAGCTACAGCCTTTAGGAATGCGTGCTGGGCACGAAAAATCGCATTGCCTGTGCAGCTTACACCACCAGTCCCGTGGATGATTTCGCAGGGAACTCCTCCTACACCATCGCGGCCAGAAACACCTAGCGCCTTCCAGGAAGCATTGGCCATTGACCCACCATATGCAGGGACACTCAATGGTGTGCCCCAGGAGGCAGGATAACCAAGGTCCTGCGAAAGCGTGGCCAACATGTTCGGTTGCAGCTTTGTTCCGTTGATATACGACCATTGGCCCGAACGAATGGCGCGGAGTCCACTGGAGAGACGAGGGTCTATATTCGCCATGGAGGTGATCCTGATTATAATGAACAAAATTATTAGCCATATCATCCCCCGAAAAGATATGTCAAATATCAAATCACTGACCACTTCATATAAGAGCTCGGAAGTCTAAACGTTTGCAGTGCAGAGGTGGATTAGTAAGTCTCGTGGCGGTATGAAGTGAAAAGCGAAGACCACCTTTCGGGCTCATAAAAAAAACACCACATGATTCTTTCATTTCAAACAAAGGAAGATGAGCATATCTAGACAGACTGCAGGATTAGAAAAAATACGAACCTTGCACTGCTGGCCCAGAAAACCATTGCATCGATTTTGGTCGTGATGTGCTGCCGCCACCTTCGCGCATCATCGTGCTCCTCCCCGACGCGTTTGAACACAACATGTTGTACCGCGGCATCCAGTGCACGAACCAGAAGTAACAGCGTTAAATCCAGCGTGGCCGAAGTGCGGCCCGTGACATTCCTGCGAGATGTAGAGATCAACGGCATAGTGATCCCGAGTTTCTTCGAAGATAGCCGCCGCGCCTGCATAAGCACGATGGCCACAAACGACGAGCACGCATATATTGCGAACGTCTTCCGCTCTTGAGAGATGGACGATATGTATTCTTTGAGTGCTTGCAGCTGGTTGGCAAGTCGTCCGAATCGCGGGCTCCACGGTTGTTTGGGTGAAGCAAGGGTGTCGTCTAGGTCAGTTTCGAGTCTCTTCCACAGGTATTGGAGAGCGGAGCCGCCACCGATAGCGACGGTAATAGCGAAAGGGAAGCTTGTAATCTTCAACTCGCGCTTTACGATTGTTTGAAGTCCAAGGACACCTTTGGAGCGAGCCTTGGGAGACACTATGAAAGAAAGTAAAGCCGGACCGAGGCTAAGTGATAACGCTAGTGAATATGTGCGAATAGAGACTTGAAGCGGATGGCCATCTGGTAACGAGAGCAAATAATCTTCGATAGCATTCATCACCTGAGCTGTCGAGTCGGTAGTGTGTTTGAGAGGGCGTCAGAAGGAGCTCTGCAGTAAATTAGAGAAATCATGGCTAAGTTTGAACTGTCCACTTTCACGTGCTTTCCCAGCAGGCTAGACAGGAGCATTATAGGGATAAATACTATAAGTATCGCAATCATAGCTAACTTTGTAAGAAATTGTTCCCAAGTGGGTGATACCACTCTCCTTTGGGACAACAGCAAAATGGACCGCCTGACGTGTTTGGCCGAAGGGTCGTACAGTAGAGGGTCGCCGAAGGTACTTACAGTAACTATGCGACGCGGTGAGGGACGTGTTTCGGTATTTGCCGAACGGACTTTGATTTGCCGGAGGCTCAATCTCAACGTAACCATACCCAGTAGACGCAAGAAGGTCTAAATCAACGCCTCCAGGTCTATATCATGGTGAGCTTCGCCTTCTGTGTCGCCAGATGCACTGGGAAACATTCGAGGGCCAAAGAACGGAAGAATTTGAAGGAAGAAAGGGTTGGATGGATATTGGAGAGATAGGATGAAGAGCAAGCGATCACACAGGTGTAATATTCTGACCTTTGTGTTTCTTAGGCCGACAACGCCCCCGTCACCATTCGCACAAGGAAGTTCATCACGAACCGCTTGCTTGCACGGCGTCAGTTCGTTGTCGATGTCCTCCATCCCTCTCGGCCCAACGTCCCCAAAGCCGAGCTCTCTGAGAAGCTTGCAGCGATTTACAAGACACAGAAAGACCGCGTCGTATCATTTGGCTTCCGGACGCACTTTGGTGGAGGTCGGAGCACTGGTTTTGCTCTCATCTACGACGATGAGGCTTCGCAGAGGAAGTTTGAGCCCAAGTATCGTCTAGTACGAGTGCGTAATTTTTCTCATGGTGGCTTCATGCTCGATAACTCAATCATATCCTCCAGTCTGGTCTTGAGACCAAGGTCGACAAGGCCTCCCGCAAGCTCCGGAAGGAGCGGAAGAACCGCGCGAAGAAGGTCTGTCTTTCTTCCCATAACGCTGCCCTCTTACCTTGACATTGCACAATCAGCTCCGCGGCACTAAAAAAGTCAAGGCCTCTGAGCCTCCGAAGAAGAGCAAATAGGCTACTTTTTCGGTCTTCGGTTTTGGTCTTCGCCCATTGCATATCGTCGCGTCGAGCATTGTGTATCTTACTGCGTATGCTTTCCTCTATCCTCTCATGATTCCATGCGCCCACAGAAATATCGATCATGCGTGCGTCTGTTCATGAATCTTGTCTGAAGACTGCAACATGACTGGTAATAGGATGTAGCCTGCGTCCCGTGAGTGTCGTGTTATGTAAATCGCGGCGCGGAAGTTTTATTCGGAGGATGCTATCTGCTCTGTCATTGCATACTGAGATGACTTTCTGTCGACTCAATTCGTCTGCATTACGGGGGTCGTAATGCATATGGGTGACTGCAAATAGGTGATGCTAAAGTTGCACTCTGCGTTGCTTGAGTTATGAGGAACAGCAATGATGTACATGCTGCTATACTATATGCGCCATTTAACAATCACCTGAGTAGGAGAAGGGATAATCGAAATTACATGTGGGTATCCTAAAGCTAATACTATAGCGCGACGGGAAAATAACAGTAGCAGAAGAAAGAAGGGTTCCCGCATTTTCAAAACCCGAACTTCTTGTGGATGATATCCGGGTCTTCCTGATATTCTTCTGCCGAAACCCACATCTAAAGACAGGTAGTCAACAAATGAAACTCGAAATTGACGAAAGACCGTACCTTTTTGAATGTATTCAAACCAGCCAAGATAGACCCCCCAATCCATGTTGAGTACTTGCGTTCTGGAGGTGCGTAGATCTTTATCTTTACATCCTTGAGAGCCAACTTCTTCACTTCGTTGAGCAGACGATCCCCGAAACCTATCGTAGAACCAAGTTAAGCGTGAAATGTTAGAGACGATCAGGAAACTACGCACCGCGACATAGCGTACTTCCTCCACTGAGGACGATGTTTGAGAAGAGGCTCTTTCGCAGGTCCAAGTCAACACGGTTTATGGAATCAACTACGACTTGGTGCACTCCGGCATCCTCTTGACCGATGAGCTCAGGATTGAATAGAATTTCCGGCGCACGGAATCGTTCCGGACCGAGCTACATTCGATCCCATGTTAGAGGAATAATATGTTGAGACATCCAACATGTCGACTCGCCTGTACAGTGTTGCCATCAGGTAATCGGAACTCTTCCCCTCGACCAAGGGTATCCTTCTCTTCTTTTGACGGGTTCAAGGCCACATAACAACATTTTTCCTTGATCGTCCGCACGACCTCACGTTCCGCTGTAGTATGCAGATGGTGGCCAGATTTACGGAGCAGCAGTTGCAGATGGTCCGTAACGTCCCTGCATAATCCACCTCTCAGGACGTCTGCGATACAATGAGACAGGGTCTCCTACCTTCCTGCAACATCTATTCGTCGAATCGCATGGGGCATCGAAAATCCTTCGAACACTGGTACAGCGTGTGTAACGCCGTCTCCAGAGTCCAGGACTATCCCTGTCGTGCGCCCTGATGAGTATCTAGATTTGAACGCGATCAGGACATTCGATAGCGATAAGGAAAATGAAGAGGCGTAACAAACAATGAAAGGACGGCTTGAACTGAGATGTACAAAGCCGGTACGTTGAATGTATCAAAGAATATCTGCGCTGCAACGTCGCGGTTGGTGCGAGGATTGAGTGGAGCCTCCGTCAGAAGGACTGGGTGCTAAGCGAGAGCGCATTAAAGATCCCATGACGTGCTGAGAGACCGATGAACACTACCTCTTCGCTTAATGTGCCAAGTTCCTCAGCGTAGACCCAATTCCATATACGCTCCATGTCATCCCAATCTGTGACAATGCCGTGTTCCATGGGATATTTGATCTTCAACAGCCCTCTAAACTCTTGGGCCTTCCGACCTATAAATACGTCCCCCTCGAGTGCACCTGCCATGACACGAACATGCTTCGGGCGTCCGACGCTAGATGCGGACAAACCTCAATTTGAAGTATTTGACCTAAGCAATAGACGCACAATGAAGGAAAGAAACACTTGGGATGGTCTTGTCCAGCGAAACCAGCCTTGATAGCGCCTGAGCCCTAACGGACCGGAGGTCAGTCTCTGGGCATGGTGATAGAACGAACGAAAGGGCAGACGTTGTCGATCACGACCGGCTGATTGGTAAGGACATCCTCGAACTCTGCAGACATGTTGCGCTGATGCACGCAATCGAGATGTTAGAAGGGAATTGGGCCAGCGAAAGGTGAGTAGGCGAGAGGCTGCGAGTACGAGTCCAACAACGTCAAGACGCGTTTGGGTGAGGGTGGCGCGTCACATGTTCACACAGTGTTCACACCTCATTGAACGACCAGCACTGACACTGCACTGACCACCAAGAACCACCATCAAGTCTCAGCGCCTTCGTCACGGAGAGAAATTTGTGCCATGTCAGACTTTGTGCAAGGACTTGATCCCTCGAGATTCGTTCTCGCGGAAACTGTCTGTCCCTTTCCTAGTGTAACCTGACTGCATACATGCTAATATCTGTACCACGGACAGGTTTTGTCATTTGCCATCAGTCCGTTTGCCGCCCCAACATACAACCTACCCATCTTCCTTTTTGGATTGTATGCACAGGAAAATACAGAGGCTGTGTTGTCATTGCAGGTGGTAAGCTGCGTGTATTCTTCACCGGAATAGGCGCTAGTGATCAACATTTCGCATCCCAGTTCTCAGCGCTTCTAGGCGCTTCTGCTCTTTTCGATCTCATATGGATGTTCCAAAACCCTCAAGCATGGGTCATTAGGATGGTCAGCGTTCTGATCTTCCTCTTCAAGGTAATTTAACGGCATTGCGTCATCTTTGCTTCGTGTTGAATCCTGAAGTGCGCGTAGGCCCCAACCTTTCTTGCATTCGCCAACTCCCTCCGTTCAAGAGGCCATCTCACTGGTCTTGGAGGTCTTGGAGGTGGTGACCTCAGCGGTCCAACTGGTAAGCCTTTTGTTCTCGTTGGTCTAGAATAACCTCATAGCTTGTGCAGTTTGGACGATGCCGGGAGGTTTCTCCTCCAATGATAGGGATGGATATCAAGCTGTCCACGAGCACTCTGTGCCAGAAACGGCTCGCCCTCCAATTGCATCTCCCCAGATTCATCAGGCGCCTCCAGCACCAGGTGCCTACCAGTCAGTGTAACCCAATTACTTCTGCTGGCTTGAGTTCCGGCACGAACGAGAGGGAACGGATGTAAAACAGAACCGAATACCTATTTAGATCCCTCATGGGTGTGAGTAGTGTATGATCTGCAGTAAGCTTCGACGGTAGCCGTGATGCTTTCTACCTCTTGGGACCCTCTTCACTTGATCTTTGCGCCTAAATTTCTGATCTCATGCACTGTGATACTTCAGGCCTCGGGTGCCGGAAACGCAATCAATCGTCAACCAACTGTTGACAACGCGACGGCATATTTGCATCATGCCAAGTGTCTGTCAATGATATATATTTTCCCGTCTGTCAACCAAGAACGAAGATTTTCATTCTCCAACTTCCATCCCATCGAGTAACGTATGTATCAGAATGGCATTTTCCGCTTTGACCTCAGCCTTCTTCCGTTCAAAAAACCATGGACAGTCTAATGACTCGCATTTGATAGGCTCCGAGGGAACTGACTTTGTACAGGATGCACATATCTGGTAGCCAGTCTTCAGGCGTTCTTCGGCGATTCTAAGCCGAGACAGCAGGCCCGAGACGGTTTCTTGTGGAGTCATGCGACAGCCTTCGCAGACACCTATCAATGTTGGGTTCAGGATTTTTTCGGTTTCAATGAAAACAAAACAAACTTGGCGAACCTTGGGCAGTATAAGTGCCACATATGATGCACTGATTGCTCCTAAAATGTTCCCCAATGTTGGGCAAGATTGTCTTATTGGTGAATGTTCTCGGTGAGTTAGGTACGGTGTCAACTTCATCAGCACGAGTTTTCTTTGGCATTTCGTCGTACCATGCCCTAACATCTGCACCAACGAGGTTAAATATACGTTCTAGAGGAGGTATCAGGACTCTTGTAATGTAGTACGCTCCGTCGAGATTCCTGATGTCTGATCAGCAATCACTGTGTTTCATAGACGAGCGAACATACCGAGTATCGAGAGCCTTTTCAGGACTGACAGCACGATCGACCAATCGAGCGTTTGGTTCGCCTCGTATAATAACATAGGGTATACGGTCGCCGTACTGCGGCTCATCATTTGAGTCTTCGACCATCCTTTGAGCACCGACCGCTACACCAGGTTGTGGCGGCGCTTTATCACTGCATCAAGCGATTATCAGTGGTGGCGAAAACCTACGATACAAATGTCAAGACGTTTACCTGTAGGCGCCCATCTTGACTTCTCGTGCAAAGATGAAATCTTGAATGGAGATTTTGTTTTCCAATATCTTTGACCATGATCTACAACAATACTCCTTCACCTCACTAAGGTCCTGGGAGCGGAAGAGAATCCTATGAAAAGATGAGGATAAATCACGGCCTGAAAACGAGAAGTGCAGACTTGAGCGCTGTCTCTGTCATCTTCCGCTGGGCGGGAACCCCGTCTCGGCGAACTGTCTCGATGCCTTTTGCATCGAAAGCAGGTTCAGTATCATCTGTGGTTTCGTATTTGAAGCCCACGTATCGTTTCTTGGCCATTAAAACGCATGGGAGATAGACCTGAACACTGGAAATCAATGGAGACCAAAATTGAACTTCAACATGAATGCCAACTTTTTCGAACTTGAGCTTTATTGGGGCTGGGTTCATTGCTGTTATAGTCTCCGCTATATCATGTCCAATCCTGAATGCCTGATCTTTGGTCTTGCCACTCAGGTAAATGAAGAGAGAGTCTGTATCACCGTACACCACACGAGCTCCCCACCTACTGGTTGACTCGATGTACGTGATAGCCTGAGAAAATAGAATGAGAGAACACCAATTGGAAAGAGATCGAGTACATGCCTTCTCAAGTGTCTCTCTACCTGTTTGCACAATGCTGTCTGCTATTTCGACTGCAGGCATCCTTCCAGAGTATGTCGCACTGGTGTATCCATAAGTGACGTTTGATATGTATTTAAGGCCCAACTGTCGAGCGTCTAATATCTTCTTGAGGGCCTGATTAACGGATGAATTAGGACCACGACGCATTAGCCAAAAGCCACGTACTTTGTTACCCTTGACTCCTTTCATAGCTTGTTTGACCATGACTCGTGTCTCCAGTAGCTCAGATAGCATGCGGCTGAGCAGGCCTCTACGCACTTGTGACTTAACGTACATCATTCCATTAGGTGCGACTGGGACGAAGAATTTTGTGAGGTGGTTCAGTAGTGGTCATGATTCGCAAAAAAAAACGTACCTGTGATATAATCCTGGAGAGCATTGAGCAGCCCGGGGGGATGAGTGAGCTCTGTCACACCAAACTTGTTCTGGCCCTTGAAAGGCACGACACGCCCAAGGCAAGTAGAGTAGCAATAGTTGTAGGCAATCATGACTGAAGGATAGAGAGACTGAAAGTCTAACACAATAAGAGGGCTGTTGTAAAATGCCGAGAGGGGCTCCATAATGAGAGGCATGCATTCGGCAGCATTCTGTTTTCCAACCTGTTTGAGAAAATAATCATCAGCAATAGTGGCGTCGTGTGAGGTCAGAGTACTAACGTCTTGTTTACTCGGGGATAACAGGACAAAACTCTCGGGCTTGGCAATTCGAAACATGAAAGATTCGACTTTGAACTGAGATCCGCGACTGATCACAGAAAAGAAGTCGACCCCGAAAACACGGGCGAATTCACTGCACGTTGATTGATATCAAGAAAGATACATTCAACGTCCTATTTGACTTACGCTGTCTTGGTTATTGTTTCAGCTTCGTCAAGCATGTCTAGGACCATCGATGAACGCTGTGCAAAGTAGCGTAACAATGCCGCAGTATGTGTGGAAGTACCACTGTTGTACCACTCTGTGAGAGTGATCGAACTGTATTTTGGAACCCTGATAATCACAGACCGACATGAGTCTGGTCTCTTATTAAGATAAATGAAGTATCCTACCGCCGTCTAAGTAGATGGAATACAGCGTTCTCGAAGGTGTATATGTTCAAGCTCTGCTCGGCACGCATTATTCGCCAGACATTTAGAACGTGTCGGCCCGCAACGCGGAATGTCGAAGTTGTCCGCAGACCCCATTGCTCGTTTCCTGTACCAAAAGTACGGCTCGGAGCCCGGGATATCTGCTCGGCAAGGTCGAATCCTGAAAAGGACGTTGAGATGAATACTAGCATCTGCGAGGATTCTCATGAAGCAACGAACCGAAATGCCGAGCTCGTGCATTGATGTACCCCCAAGAAGCGGCCTGTATCTCCCAACCGGTGATGATGTCTGGGTCCAAGTCCAGAACGGTGTCGATGACTTTGTTGATGAGGTCCAATTCAGTCGATACAAGCTCTAGGGAAAAATCGCGCAACTTTCGAGGATCAAGCTGTGCGCATTGAATAGCAATGATACCTTTTCTGCAAGCAGAAGTTCTATCAGGGTGCGAGCCGTCGTCAGAATTTTCATATGCATAGAAAGCAATGGCAATCTCATCAGTATCAGCATTCGGAAGAAGATTTTCCCGCGACGGTGCTATATGGATCACTGTCATGAGCAGAACAGAAGGATGATCTCAAAGGCGTACCGAAAATCTCGAGGGAAAGGATTGTCATGCTTTGCTTTTCTCTCCCAGTGGTGATTAATTGGTGATCTGTAGGCGACGTCTTCAAACCGAATGGGTTGAGTTGTGTCGGACCCTCAATCTTCATATGATCATTACTCGAAATTCTCGAACTGTTGAAAATTTCTTACCTGCGAATTTAGCTTAGACCTCACATCATGATCGACTTTTCCCTGGGTCTTTATCCATCTACTCACCTCCCTGACACTTGGAGGTGAGTGTCCATATTCCCAACCTCCAAATTCCATATCAGTTAGAACCCACGGTGAAACCCGATTGATATCCTCTTTCATCCGAGCATCGGAATCAAGACTCCACTCCTTTAAGAATTTCAATCCACTGCCACCATGCAGATGATAGACCAAGCCTGCGTACTCCCGAGGCCTGTCTTTAGCATCAATCATTTTGGAGTAATATGGATTGCGGTATATCTTGCTTGGGATGCCGTGGTCATTGACGGTCGAGAACAGCTGAACTAATGGCGGTGGAGCACGAATGTAGATGTAAGTGTTTGCCGCCTTGATCAAGAACGACGAAGGTTGTGATGATTGATTGTGAAGCCTACAACGAGTCCTCTTCAGTGAAGGAGACGCTTGTCGGGAGGATGAGTCGAAGTGAACGATCCGGTGTCTGATAGCAAAATTTTCGACGGCGAGAGGTTTCGCATCATCGATATCAAGGGCAAAAATTGGAAGCTCTCCAGAATGCCGCTCCGTATTATTGACATCGTGATGGTCCCAATCATGAGGCGACGTTGAACGAGACTCTGTGGAATGAACCCTTGGTGTCGTGTTTGAGATCGCGAAGCCTATGCCTTCGTTAATACGAGATGGTTCAAATCTCCATGAAGGACGTGAATTGAGATATTTCCAAAACAGGGAAATGCACGAACAAAGGTCGCTTCATTGTCTCAAGAGAAGGTTGAAACTCATCCTGTTCTTCAAAATTCCTGCATAGGACCACAGATTAAGTAAGTGAGACTCACGATTTGAGCGGAAGACGTACGTGGTTGGCAATGCAGGAGATGTGTGGGAGACCGACAGCCCACGTCTAATGGGGAGTTTTGAGTACATGTAGAGTTGAGATTTTATCACAAAGGATGTACTTTGTAGGCGTTATTGATAGAGCATCAGAAGCGATTGCTCGAGAGCTTGAACCATGTCAGGCGTTGGTCAATTGGCGGTCTCGTTATATGAGTCTACTCCTGTCTACTCACCCCGCTAATTTTGAAAATGCTTCTCTAAAAGGGTTTGAATTTTTTGTAGCACTGTTCAATGGCGTTATGTGCGATGATGATGACCTAAATAAAGGCGCGTGCGAAAACAGCGCACTGAGTGAGAGATTCACGATTAGCTGGCATGCATGCACTTACTTTTTTGTGTCCCTACTTTCCTTATCACGGATTGGTGTCGTCGGGAAGGATACAGCATGGTCATCAAGGTCGAAGGGTACACCATCGTCCGGTAGATTTTGATCCATGTCACTGGTGGATACAATCCTGTCGCCATCGATGAGCTTCGTCCACTCTGCTTCTTCATGTTCAACCAAGATCGAAAGTTCTTGGCTGCGTAAAATAGTCTCGTCTACGTCTATCTCGGCCGTTCCATCCTGAGATTCTGCTCTGCGGCTTCGTGTTGCAGCCACTGAGGCTTCGTAAGGGTTATATTCTTCGAGCAAAATTTGGCCTTCTGTTTGTTCTGGTCGCCACGTCTTATAGCCGTCCTCCCACAAAGCCTCCACGCTCTCGAATGTCGTCATGGTCCACCTCTCCCAGCTCACCTCCTTCGGTTGCGCATCTTGATGTCTCTCCCGTTCAATCCTCATCCTAATCTCGTCCCACCACCTTGCTTCTGCCACCCACTCTCCGCCTGCTGTCCTGGATTTCTCACTTGGATCAACAGGGATGTCAGGCGACGGTGAAAGTCCCGCGGCGATTCTACGTTGACGTTCATCCTCCCATAGCTCTCGCATGCTAAGAACTAATGGCTCCGATGGTAGATGAGGCCCAGGTATCGTCAGCTTGTGGTGCAGATTTCGCGCCCCCAGTAGATGGCGATTGAGAATTTGGCCAGGCACCACGTCGACTTCAAGTGACATCCGGGACTGTCGGAAACATGGGGATGACTTGAACTTACTCTGAAGATCCAGCCCTGGGTCTTCTTGCTCATCTGCACCACGCTGCCAAACTTCCCCTAAGTCAATCCAGCCGCAGCCGTAAAGACTGAAATCACAAAGAAACTGCAGGATATAACTCAAGTGGCTTTCAAACACGCGAAAACGAGTTCCCATGACGATTCCAGATCGTAGGATAGTCGCCGAACGATTGACAAACGCCGGATCCGAGATATAGACCTTCAGGAAAGGCGAATATGACGAATGAAAGCCATAAAAGTGGACCCCCTTGACAAGAATAATGGCACGGACAAATTGAGAGTTGGGAGAATGTGGATCCCGTTTCAAGGATATAGCAATGGCATGATTTAGGGAGCGCGTCAACTTGGCAATGTAGTGGCTTACTGGAAAGGGTGTTTATAATCACTCCGTATGATCCTCAAAAAGGCCAAACACTCACTATGATTTGGATCGAGTTGTCCAAGGTAATCCACAAAAAAATAAGGATACACTTGATGAACATGCAGACATGTTTTAAGGCCTAAAGACGAGGCGCCATAAATACGAATAATAGGAGCTCTTGAGGATTTGGTGCAATCAAGGATGTTTGAGCGAGCCATGGTGTGGTCTATCTGGGCAATTTGAACCCGTAAGACAGGGTTTTTGTTTATCATGTTGGAAACATGGCAGGTTTCTGTAGCTGACGCAAGGCTGAGAAGGTACTGATAAGTGTTGTGCAAGGCCAAAATTGCCTTTTGCGGATGACGCTCTCCGTCTTGTTAGCTCCGGGATGCTTCCGGGCCACCGGGTCACCTTCCTGGATTCCAAGTCACGCCTTGCCCAGCGACTTCATGGGTTCCATATGTTCTAAGCAGTCTGCCTATTCTGAAGGTCACACTGTACTGAATTCCAGTCATTCAGCACAACTATCTCAGTCAGGAGTTCCTTCTATTCAGTCTTCTGATCCTCGCACTGCTGCCGCTAACGCAGCAGAGAAGAGGCTGAAAGCAGTAGGCCCAAGGCTATCATCCTGTGTGCAAAATGTTTGACGTCTCGTCGATTCTCTACGACAGGCGCAAGAGAGGGGGACTCACCAGTCGAATCCCAATCGAGGACGGCTTGCTGCTCAGGTAGAGCTCAGTAAAGCAGCTGCAGCAAACAGGGCGCCGGAAGCTCAAGAAGGGGATCGACTCGTGGTAAGAGCATTTTCTCAACGTTTAGGGGCACTTGAAATATCTGACAAGCCGGATAATAGTGGGATTGATCCCATGTACCTCTTTCCAACCTGTCCTGTGTTTTGCAATGATCCTATGGTTCTCGTTACCTTCTTCAGCAAGGATTTCGGATCTCCTTGGGCCGACCTCAGCTGCATTCTCAGCGACAATGAAAAGCATTGAGATTAGGGGTCCCCAGTCATAAGGCAACGTTGGGACGTTGATCAGCGGTAGACCAAGAGGAGTCAGGACTCCTATGACTTCCTTTCCCACCCACACACCGTAACACACAGATGCCAATACAGTCATTTCAAGGGCGCAGCGATCGTCGTCCCCTGGATGTTAATTTCTTCCGAAGTGTCCGACCGGTACATGCTTGATTCCGAAACACCAATATCTAGCCGTCATGTAGCATTCGGCTGCAGGGCAAGGAAGTTTTCAAGATATATTACATGCCGCATAGTTCCTGCCGCGCTGCGCGTGCGCATGACCATAATTGACCAGGCAATGGGAAACATGCCATCACGAATGATTCGCGTACGAATGGACAGTGCTAGTGAGGAGTCGGACGCACAGCTGAGAGTTCACACCCCTGCAGTTGACGACGATCCATAGAGTTTGGGACGGTTCGAGATGATTAGACTAAGGCCTTATACACAGAACGACCGTCTTACGTATAAGGTGTTATATGAAGATCAGCCATATATAGAGACCAGTCTGGACTGCCAATGTAAGAGAGGAGTTGAGAAGAGCATACTGACAGGCGGGTACCTCTTTCAGAAAAACGATCTATGACCGACCACTGACCGACCCTACTCGAACCGATTCGAACTAACATATAGAGGCGCTTGAGCTACACCTCGTCAGTACCATTTCTGTGATAACTGATCGGTGCTGGAACCGGTCGAGACGCCTAGTGCGCAGTCTCTCAAAGGCAGCAGCATTGGCGATTCTCCTTCAACCTTCGAAATGGTCTTCGGACAAATGCGATATCCGTACAACAGATAGACATCACGTGCAGGTATTCCGATCAGTTTCCAGTCCCTAGTACAGCTCCTTCCTCGCCGTCTTTCACTGTTTCGACATGGATGGAGAGATTACTTTGGAAGCGACAGCCATATCCCGATAATCATGTCCCAGTGACATTCCTGTCATCGTTGAGGAGGAATCGTAAGTAAGCATGGTCGTAAGAAGAGTATTCAGGCTAACCACGTATACAGCTAGCTTCAAGCCGTATACCTACTGGCCATTAGTGTTCAGCGCCTGTGCTATTGCACAACATCTTTCGGCCATCTTTATTTTTCTTGCCATCTTCGTACGCCTTCTAGGCCAAACTTTTGACCCCAGACTTCTGGTCGTATTATCACTGGCGATGTTCGTAACGGGCTGTGTGGTCTGGGAGTTGCTCGACTACTCGTGGGGCGAAAACAATCAAGGAGCAACTGACCGTCGTACGTGCTTCTTTGGATTATCATCATCGTCACTGACGTACCGAAGAACAGGAGCGAAGACGTTGAAGGCTGCTATTCTCGTCTTCCTTGCCCTGATGGCTCTTTCTCCCATTCTTCGAACGTTGACTGCATCCACATCTTCGGACTCGATTTGGGCACTATCTGCATGCCTCTTCTTGTTGAATGCTGCGCTCGCTGACTATAGATCAGTCAGATTGAGTGGGCAAGTCCGTGAAGAGTAAGATATAACTTCATCGTTACGTGTTCTCTCTGACTTTTATGAGGGCAGACTGACGTCCATCTTGTCGATGAATGCCGCGGTGTCTGCGGCGGTCGTATTGGCATCGCGATTGCGAGACGATCTATCTGTCTTTGCTCTAACTCTATTCTCGGTGCAGTTGTTCGCCCTATTCCCGATTTTGCGTCATAGTCTCCAGGTGAGATCTTCAAAGTTTCCTCGTGACGTACGACTGAACCCTGCGCCACGAAGGCCGCTCCCTCAATTGTACAAGTGGGACTGACCGTAGCCCTATCATTACTATCGTTGGGTCTGATGGTGACCCTGTCCACAACTACGACATCGATAGCTCTGGGTATATTGATCTCCACGACTTTCGGTGCACCTGCGGCACTTGTGTGGGCGCAAAGGTACAAAAAGTATATCTTTATCTAGAATGTTTTCCCGCTTTCGATCGCTAATTATTGCTCTGTCCTTCGCTTCAGCGAACTCAGAGGGCCATGGGACGTAGCAACTCCTGAGATTAACTGAACGACGTAGCTGGGGTAGGGGAGTAGCACACAACAGTACATAGTTGCACTCGATTGGGCCTCATCGGGGCCGATAAGCCGCGGCCCGCTCTGCCGGGCTGCCTGCCAGGGATCGAGAGGACAAATACGGAATGCTGAAAGAACAAAATGCTTCCGCTTCTGCTCAAGTTGGTCGCATGATCAAAAATATTCCAATGGAAAACCTCAGAACCCTTGGCAAAGTAGTGCCGTGTTTTGATCCGTACATCTGGATGGAACGTGCTGGAGCGCCCGGTGCTGCGTGCTGCGGTAGCGAATCGACTCCACGGGGCTGCTAACCGCCGCTTCTTCTGTGGATTTTTCAACAGATCGTGAAAGACGAACGGCATGGACTTCGCTGCAATCGCGTGGTTTCCACGAGTTGGAGCATCAATGGTTCTGGCGGGATTACCGTGAACTTGAAGCGACGGACTTAAGGCGTACGGAGTAGTCAGATTATTGACTTCCAAATCATGAATGATCGATCGGCAGGCACAGTGGCGAGAGACAATAGCGGATGCATATCTACGCATATCAGGTTTTCAAACTTCCCCATCTCCAAACTTAACGATTTGTTCCCCGAAGACAAACATAATTATACAAAATGAATACTCCAACAGATATAAGGCATTCAACATAAAAATGAGTCTAGCTACAGAGAGCGTAATAGATAGCAATGCGTCGTGAACAGTCAATGTTGCCAATATCTCCAAACTTTACAGTCATACAGTCCTCCATAGCGATGTTTCGGGTTATCAAGCATATAGCCCGTGTACAATGTGGTCAATTGCGCATATCGTCGTCGTCGTCGTCGTCATGCAGTCGAGGCCTTTTGGATCCAGTGCTCACGCCCATCCCGATACCTCTCGCCTCCAATGCCTCAATTGCCACCTTCGCTGCCCCATCTGCACCCTTTTTCGTCCTCGCGCGAGTTCTTCGAAGGGCACCAAAGGCCTGAGCTTTGATGACCGCAAGGGTACCAGACATCGGTGGTGTCCCAGGTGAAGGCGACCGTGACAAGCGTGAGGCACCTCTCCGAGACCGAATTCGTAAGTATGGTGCATTCTCGCCCTCGCTACTGCCTCTATCTCCACCATGGACGTCTTGACCCGAGAATTGGGGAAGAGCAGGGAATATAGGCCGATCGGCTCCAGAATTCGCCCGACGCGCACCCAATCTGTAACGGACGGCGTCGCTCCCAGTGGTGCCTGCAAGGGAAATATCTGCGATGCCGCCGTGCAAGGTGACTTCAGCAGTAGGTTGGCCAGTGATTGGATGCCTGCGATAATCGAATTCGGCACGGTCTTGAGGGACAGAGCCATCAGGGAATTGAAATTGAAATGGAGAGGTGAGAGAGGCAGATGAAGATGAAGGTGGCGTAGAGTTCGACGGTGACATCGAGCGACTGGTGGAGAACATGTAGGCGCTGTCCATGGTCGACGCTGAAACTTTCTGCTCATCAATTACAGGGTATCGGGAGGCATAAGACATGTCGGTCGCAGATGTGATATGGGGTGATTCGACATAATGAGGAGAATGCGACGAATTGCTCTCTGCGCGACCCGATTCGCCGCCCGACGAGGTAGTCTGGGTGACTGGTTGTGGCCACGCGCCATCGCGAGTGGCGCTCTGAACAGCGTAAGGGTGATAAGAGTACTTGGATGATTGGTGGTGAGACAGAGTATGCGGACGAGAGTCGTTTACGACATGGTCAGTTTCGGCAGTGGCATAGGCGACCGAGGGGGAGCGGGTGGGATATTCTCCAGTGGAGCCGGAGTATGGAGCATTGGATACTGTTGAGGATGAATCGCCGTTAGTGTAATGTAGGCTGTCTTCGTATGGTCCGAGTCCGTTGCCGATATGGGAGTTGACGGTGGTTGAATGGGGATGCATGGGACCGAAACAGGCGGGCATGGGGGGAAACTCGTCTGGCTGAGACTCGGGGCCCTTCCTGGTTTGCCACAAGGCCCTCCAGTATTTTTCACGCTCTCTACCGGCGTGCTTGAGCTGTGAGTTTTCCTGGCGGAGCTCGGTGGCCTCCGCGCGCGCCTCTCGACATGAATCTTGCAGTTGTAGAACTACGGCTTCCAAATTGGTGACTTGACACAACGGGAGTTCAGTAGGAAGACAAGAAGTCAGCATAGGACCAAACTAACCTGTTTCCTCGAGTGTTGCAATATAGTTAGCACGTCTGGCTCGAAAGGCGGCTTGGGCGTCAGCATTCTTTTTTTTGCGGAGGGCAGCGTCTGATAGGCGAGCAGCGTTATCGTCCTTGGAGGGTGAGTGGACGGGTTGGGTGGGAGGGGCCATTGGAGAGAGGGGAGAGCAAACGGGCACGAAAGGAATATAGCCAATATTTAAAATCGTATGAAGAATTCTTCGACCAGGGCACGAGGAGACTCGGAAGGTTATTACCCGGCTTTCGGCTCCTCTGTCACGTCACTCCAGATGCAAGGGGAAAAAAATCCATAACACCGCTGTGCTTGTCGAGCACCGCGTTTGGCATCTGGAGCGTCTTCGTTCTCGCGTTGTTTGTGGTACCCATCAGCTCGCTGTCCGGTGCCCTTACCGGCGAATAACACTCGGTCATTTGCGGCTAATGCGTCGTCACATCTGGCAAACCCTTTTGGAGCCGTGACCGCTAAGCATCGGATATCGCCGGTGTTGGTCACACCTTCAACTATTTAATTTTAGCATGCCTCGAATTTGTGGGGAGGGTTTCTCAAGAAGACTGATGCATGATGGCCGCTCGGCAAACGGCCCGCTTGCTACTCGGACTCCTCCCCAGACTCCTCCCCTTCTAGATCCAGCGTCTCCAGCACGCCCCTGCTATCTAACACGCAAGCGACTCTTCTCCCTGCTCTGCCATTCACTGCGAGAGAAACATCGCCCTCTCTACCAACTGACAGTACGCGTGATTGTTTGATCGGCATGAACACCGGCTGAAGCTGGGAATATGAGGGAAACGTTGTCAGCACGGCGTTCGGCAATTTAATATCAAAATACTTAGATAATCAATTTGTTGCCTACCTGGCCGTCCTTCCAGCGCTGGAATGTGTCCAACATCAGCCCTTCGCGGGAAGGCTGATTTACGTATTCCTGCGCTTGCACCTCTTGGAACTCAACATCGGAGTATGCCACGATAGCAATATATGTTGGTCCTAGTGTTTTTGATCGAAATGAGGACCTATCATACGGAACTTGTGCGGCGTCACTCACCGCTTACGCCCTGAGCTCGATAAACAATGACAAGGCTTTCGTCGTCGAAGAAGTCGGCATCCAAGAGATCAAAATCAACTATGCCGTGACTGTCTTCTCGAAGCCGGCATTCAAGGATGGCCACACCCAAATCATTGAGACAAGGCGCCTCGTGGCCGTAGCGCAATCGGGTGAGGCATACTATTGAGGGAATGGTTAACTCATGGCGTAATTGGCAAACCCATGACTTACAGCAGGTCCGGTACTCGGCGGAAGGTACATAAATGGCGAGATGTTGGACAACGCGACTTGGCTGCCAAAGAATCCGGCTTTCAGACTTGTGTGACCGACATAATCATATCAAATCACTTACCGCTTCTTCATCGACAACAGTTCGCTCCCAAATTGAGTATCTGTCATCGGAAGGAAAGCTCGAGGGTCCAGAGGATGGGCGAGTCTCGTGCGAAACTTCCGCTGAGCGCGCAGTTGCGCTGGCCGCGCGGAGGAAGATGGCTCCACAACGTTTTGCTAAGTCCTGAACTAGAAGATGAAGGTTTCTATCAACGTGACGATGGTCATCTTGTGCAACCGCCTGCAAGGTGAATTTCATTTGAATCTGACTGCTCGGAATAAGCAAGGTAGAGATATACATGTTGCAAGGATGTTTGTGTGGGATCCTTCAGTGCATTTCGAGCACGTTTCATCGCTGCCGATAAATCAGGGGGTTCGTCGGAGACACCGAGATCGTGTGACTGGAAATGGGCGACACCATGTTTAAAGAACTTGTCGACTTGACTATTGATCAATCCAGACATCAGATAGCTATCGACCTCCAATACATCGTGTCGTGGCTGTGGCACAGTATGACCGTCTGATGTATTGCTTGCGATTGCGATTTCTATAAATCGTTTATAAGCGAAAAATTGGAAAAGTATCATGACTACAACCGACCATATCGTAACCACTTCATGAATTCTCGGAAATGGGATAACTCTCGTCGAGCGGTCGCCGAAAGCCAACTGGCAGCGGTTATGGCTTGATTGGTCATTTTCAAACACTGCTCGATGTCTTCGGTCTGTAACTCACACAAGCCATACAATTGAGGGCTGGTGCAAATGAGCATTGAGGATATCATGAGGCCACGAGACTCACAGCTGTGACCATCCTAAAACTTCTTCTAGCATAAGATAGACGCGTTGAAAAGCAAGTACTATACGCTGTTGCGAAAAATCACGTATTTTGATCAAGGCTTCGATTACTGTGCTTTCCCATTTCTGGAGCCCCTGTTATACCGTCATCTAACAATATCTTTTGAAGAACATGAAGGGCTTACCCTTTCACTCATTTGCTCGCCACTGCCTATAAAATCAGAAACAGCATCTGACGGACGACCTGTTATGAGAAAATGGACTAGATCCAGAATCGATTGTGATACTCTGTCTACCGATGAATGAGCCAATGTCTCAGAAAAAAAGGAACCCATCATACTTCCTCCAGATGGATCTGGCTGTAAGGCGCCCAAGCTGTGTATCCACCTTTCTCCGAGCTCTCGAGCCCCAGGCTGTGTGGTAGTCCCAAACCATATGGTATGCATGTCATCCATGACACGTATGGTGTACCAGAGAAGCTCCCGAGTAGTTGTTGAGATCCTTGCTAGATCTCGTGGGATCCTCTTTTTTAGTAATGGAAAGCAGACTGAAGTTGGGAGTAGCGGGGTGATGGAGGACTTGCCGTTCTCCACTCGCTGATGTGCCACAAGCGTTGACGTTCGGGAGCCCTTGTGAAGAGATGACGTAGTCGATTGGGGGAGAATTGAGACAGCACCAAGTGGATAGCTTCCATCCAAGAAGCAATGGAGACAACCTATGTTATCTGCCACCGCTAGGATACTGTTTTCATCAATGTTGTTACTTTCGTCAAATTCCTCGCTCCCATGTTCCGTAGCATGGGGTGGAGGCTGAATAGAAGCAGTCAGAGGATCGAAGGGAAGTGTTGGCCACGATGCAATGGCTTCCGGCATATCTGACCGCGAAATATTCGTGTGGCTGTCCGAAAATGCAAAGAGGCCGTTGACCCTGTAGATACTGTTAGCGATAATTCATGAGGTCTATCCGGTATTATCACAAACGGTAACGGCTGTGTGTCATCCTTAACTGAGTCAAGAAGAGGAAGGATCCTGAGTATCGAGTGGGCGGACCCTGTCTTTCGTGATGGATTATGCGAGCAATGTTTTCTTTTGCAAAAGAAGAACATACAATATTATCTCCTCTCTTAAATATATCTGGTATAGACCCGACAGTCGTGTCCTTTTCTTCCACGAACCACCATACACCTGTCAGACGAGTCTTCTCCGGTAGCGGATGAAGGATGGGTACATCCCGATCTTTGCGACCGTCCTGGATCGAATGCAGTGTGATACGAGGAGGATCATGCAGTACGACAATGGTTTGACCTACGAGAGCTCTGTGTACAATGGGCCAATGTACGAAAATCGACTATACTCACCATTAGGGCTCCATGCCAGATCGACGATCTCCTCATTGTGGCTCCCGTCTGTATATATATCTATTTCCCATTTCTTCGAGCCCTGCATCTTCCACAAGCTCAGTCTATCCTTACCGCCTAGACGTGAGACGACTAGAACCAAATCCTTATCTGGACAGCACGATGCTGGTAGGAGGCGTGAAAAAGGTGGCATTTGAAGCACTGCCAGAGATGCGAAAGCGTTTGCTCCCATGACGGCTCAAGCGGTCAAGATGAAAGAATATAACGATCGTTTGCATTCACAGTTGCAGCGAGATGACACATTGTGTTTGTTCTCACCAAACAATCGCCTCTCGCTCAATTCCACAGTTTACTTCTGCGCAAGGTCGCTCAAGATCCCCTACGTATACATATGCAACCGCTCCACTCCTGCAAAGCGTGCCTTGGCATCAGAGTCATTTATTGCGATGCCATCTTTATCCTACTTTATCGCGAACACTCCACCACCTCGGTTATCGAAGGTAGGACCATACGAAGCACGACCGCATTCTGTGATTCCACAGAATTGACTGGCCGTTAAAATGCTTAATTCGTGTTTCGTGAGCATGTTACCTAGCCTTCTCTCATATGCATATCTTGCTACAATAGGCCCGGTGAAGTTGTCGTAATAACCCTCAATGATCTTGCTGGTCTTCACATGTAACGGGTCATTGAAGGCAAAATTGATCCGCCTCAGGCCAATTACCGCTGCTGAGAATACGCAGGCCAGCTACTTCAGGCAATAGGTCAATGGAGATGATAGAAAAGGAGAACACGGACATACTAATTTTCTGAGGAGTCCTATCAACGCCAAGGAAGAGGAGACTAGTATGACATTGGGCTAAATTCAACACTCGGGATGAGTACTCATGACCGCTTGTGTTTCAGATGCGTTGGATCTCTTTCAAGATATCGTCTCCCTTCGATATGACCTTACTGTTCATTGTCACATGCACAGTATCGTGGTCACTGTAGCTGTTGTTGGAAGTCAGACACAATCCCGGGTGGCCTCCATCCCGAGCCAAGGAATCATTCTCGACGGTTAAGCTACATCGATTTGTACAAGCCGTATGTAATTGGCATGATGAACAATTCACTTACTGAGTTAGTCTCCGTTGTAAGACGAGAATCGTATAATTGTTCTCGCAGCAAAGACTTAATAGATATCTCCGAGATCGGGAAAGCAAAGCACGTCTGAGGACGACTGAACTGACATTACTCATGCTGTCTCCCACTACTCAACAATATTGACATGCTGTTTGTCAAATAGACCTCGAGACTCTTGATCGTGTCTTGTGAGACTCCGTGCTCGGAGCCTACCAGAGAGGTCTAAACATAAGAGCGAGCGCTGCGATTGGTGTAAGCTCTGAAGCGTGACATACATGCATAAGGAGCATTGAGATACCATGGATAACAGGAGGGTAAAGAAAGCTATACATGAAGGGAGATGGGGAAACACGATCACCGGTAGCGACGAAGGCTGAGAGTGTTGTGCTTTTTCCAGGTAGCCACACGAGGCGTGTGGTTGTACCGGTGTCCTTTGCCAAGACCACGGTTCTGTAGATCTTGTTAATTTGATATAGTAAAGAAGCGAATGAATGCAACATACTTGCTTGCCGATGCTCGTAAGGCCACGGGCCTCGCGGCGTTTGTGGACAGGTGCGGTGATCCAGTTGATTTTAGGATCGCGGCGAATCTGGATAGCCATGAATAGACGTATGAGAAAAGACGGGACAACACTCACAGCCTTGTGGTTAGGATCAACGAGGATGACCTCGTAGTACTTGTAAACACCGTCCTGGTTGATCCAGTACGAGTTCAAAACCCGCAAGTTAGCACAACGCTTGCCAACACGCTCCTCGGCGGTACTCCTCAGACCACGCTGGAATTTCAGGTGGTTCACACCCTGGTGAACGGGCTTGCCGTAGGTAGCACCTATAGCGCGGGTAAATCGTCAAGGCAGCAGGAGATGGTTCAGCAAAACTCACCCTTGGGAACATGCTTTTTGCGGTTACCCCTGCGAACGCGTACACGATAGATCACGTAGCCCTGCTTGGCTTTGTAGCCCAGCCGGCGGGCCTTGTCCGGACGAGAGGGGCGAGAAGCACGGTGAATGACGTTGAGTTGGCGGTACTCCCAGCAGCTGTTTATACTGGTTATTTGGCCGTCTCTTTCGTTGAGAGAGACACTCACCGAACACGGAGGAGGAAACGGAGAACATCCGACTGCTTCTTCTTGTACAACTCGCCGATGTACTTATATGCTCCCATCTGTGCACATAAGAGGTGTCAGCGCCATCCAACGACACCAGTCCCCATCCATCGCATCCACTTCGTTTTTTTAGCGTCTGACGGCGATTGGGCATTCGTACGGCTCCACAGAGCATGCAGCACGATTCAGTAAAGATACTCACTTTGTGGACGTCTTGAGGGTCTTGAACTTTCAGCGGGTGATGTGTGTATACGATCTCTCACCTCCAAGTTCGGTATTTGCCGGTTTGTCCAGCATTGCCTAATTCGTACAGTCTCAATTACTTCGACTTGACAATCACCATCCTTCTGGAGTCCTCCATAACTAAAGCAGTGCATGAACACAAAGTTTATTTTTATGTGCTTTGGTTAATCATGCTTTTCATCGCGCAAATCTCCGTCTGGTCCAAAAAGCAAGTTGCGAGGACATTATTGTGACTCTTTTGCGAGATCACAATAGTCGGTCGTACTCAGCACTCATCGATACATTAATTGTGCGTAGGGCATATATAGGGGTCTCTGGATATTGTACGAAACCCCTTTGAAGGTATTCTAGCAAATTTATCCTTTCAGACGAAAGCCCCAAATGTCAGGAGCTACTGTTGGCGCTCCCCAAGAATCCTAAGGGATGAGGTAACCTGCAAGGTGATATTACTACAAAACAGCTGGGTACATATGTAGGAAAACAAACGACTACACAGAGCGGGCGAGACAACGTCTTCTTTAGACATCGTTTGATTTCCCTCTTTCCTCCTTCGACCTTAGCCTCAACCACGCCGTGACAAGAAACAATACCCAAGCTGTAGCAATCAATACAGCACACAATCCCATGAAAAGCCATCCTTTTCGTGAAGAATTTGGACGACGATACTGTCGTTCCTGACGAGAGCGGTCAGGTAAAAGCGGGCTGTGTTCGGCCTCGTTGTGACTTGCAGACGAGGAAGATTCGAGAGGCTGGTAAGAATCCTCGCCATCACTCACATCCCCAGACACTTTTGTCGGTGGTATAATCTCTACAGGTTCCAAAAGAGAATCTTGTCGGTGGTGAGTAGTGGCCGACTTCTTCTGTCGGTCAAGGTACCATAAACAGATGATTCCCAACAATTGTAGCATGTTCAGCATCAAGAAATAATTCAGAAGATGTTGAATGCGTTTGTCGCCAATCGACGGGGTAGGAGAATCGCGAGGCTTCGCATCTAAAATCAAACCTGCCAGAGTCTGCGATATAGTGGTCCCAGTCTGCTCCAACTGTAAATCAAGATGTCACATGAACGAGTCAGTTCTTGATTCTTCGACAGTCTGAAGAATGCTAGCTTACGCTTTTATGGGCTCCAAGGGTAGTTGAGACATACTTCATCGGTACCAACTGAGGAACGACAACGACAAGAAGCACTGATGCTTGGGTCAGTATATGCTCTCGGATTACAGCGTCGAACCTTGACGTACGAGGAGAAAACCCGATGCCGGCCGCAAAGCTTGCGATAGCTGGCCACACGTTGCCATGAATCGTTTCCGGTGGTAGGACTAGCCATACGTAGGCGAACATCGTGAGGATGGAGGAGAATGCGAGGAGCATGAGGGCAAAACCGGGCCGCTTAACCCTATCGATGATGAAGCCGACCTAAGATTTTGGTGAGGTTGTCGTCCATTTGGTGAGAAGAAGGACGTACTGTTGGATATAAAAACATGCTTCCAGCAAGAATATAAGAAGCCTTCGTGCTCGCGTCTAATTCGGATAGTCCGTATCGATTTTCGATGACATTTCTGGAAAACAAGGCATTAGAAAACAGCAACACAGTGCACAGAAACCTTCGTACGCGGCAAGATGAGTGAACGGGTGCCATATCGAACCGCACAGCACGTTCACGCCAATATATCTGAAAGGGAGACATGAAGGTCAGGGCAACAACGCACATCAGGGATTTACCTACGCCCAGAAGACGTCGCCGAGCTGTGTCATGTCCCTGAGATTGACCTTCTTTTTTTTGGCGATCATTCTCAGAGCCTCCTCTTCAGATACATCTTGTATAGAACCGTGTTGGCGAGCCTCATAGCGTAGATCGGAAACTTCTGGTTCTGTTCCCGTAACGGAGACCAACCATCTTGAGGTGAGGACGTAGATGAGATTTACGATAAATGATATGGCTGCGAGACCTGTTGCGGTATAGAATGGTGCGTGGGGACCAAAACGCTGAGAGAGAGGGTATGATGTGCGTGCAGAGACAAATGATGACATCTTGCCAACAACAAGACCTAGAGCCATGGAGATCCCTAGTCCGTGAGAATGGAAAAAACGGACGATGATAGTCTCTTGTACGACAGCGAGTGGACTGACTCCAAGACCAAATATGAACATCCCGGAGGTCATGAGCTTGACGTCTTCCACAAGATCCCCGACAAGCAAGAGCAACAACCCTGCCCGGCTGTGAGCTCTTCATAGACATAGGAATCACTAATATTCGTGGTGCACCTGAGAATATGATTCCAGTAGCCAATATGCTTGTCGATGTCGTCCCAAGACGGCTGGCCATCATTCCTCCGACAAGAGGCGTCCAAGTGCTATTGAGAGTAAAGGCCGAGAGCAGAAGACTGAACTCGGTATTGGATGTGCCCATTTCTCTGGACAGGCGTGATTTGAGAGGAGCTAAGATGTATGTTGCACTGAAAAGTATGAGCAACGGAGGCGCAGGTGGCGAAGCAAACATACTAATGACTTCCAATGCTGAGAGAGCAAGCGCACAACAACGCTACTGCTCTCACAGCGAACAGCCTGAGTCGGAAAGATCTCTCTGACTGGGTGATGCCAGACCCCGTTCCCTCATTGACCCTGTCGATCAGGAGCGTGTCCGTTTCTTGGTTATCTTGGTTATCAAAGCCATTCCGAACCGCTGCTTTATTGGATGAAACACTCCTGATGGGCGATGTTTCTGACGAAGGTACATCAGACATGCTGGATGAAGCTAAGCGGAGGCAGGCAGTGTGCTGAGGTGGATGCCAGTCTGAAGTCCCAATATGTCCTAATGAAGGTATGTACTCGTAGATCGCAGCTGAGCGCTGAAACTACGCTGAAGCGCTGATTCCTGAAACATCGGGAATCGGACTATCCACTAACACAGGCACTCGTGCATGTTATCAGCCATAGTAAAATTACAACAAAAGACATATTTGATCAAGTCCATGTACTCTAGGTCATACTAGTTGGTAACATAACTGTGGAAGCGACCCTAAGCGACCCGCATAAGTAAATACTAAATAGTAACTCCGGGCAAGAGGAAGTTGATTCGCGAAGACAAGTCCCGCAGGCTTTCTATATAACTCACGCGCGGAGGATGGGAAAGAGTCAAACATAGAAGCTATCCCGCTGTGAGTGGAAGATGAGAAATGTGCAATGAGATGAAGCACAGACAATCGCGTACATAGCTTTTGTTACTGCCACGAGCCCAGACCAATGTGGACAGTACGGTCAAGATGCACAACGCAAACTCAGTCCACCCGAGCGCTTCCACAGTGAGAGCTTCTCTACAGCTATCAGACGTGGTCAGTCCACGCCTACCGAGATTATAGTTCGGCAACCAACCGACTGATCACGGGTAGATTAGCGCAATTTCCGCCGACGCGAGTCTGATGCATGATACCTGCAGCCGCCCCCTAAGGCTCGTGTTTATATGTTTGTTTGGTACACGGCTGGCAAGACGGCTCACCCATATGACGGACGTGACCAGTAACCATATGACAGAGCTAGCGATGCTGGCAAGGAAGTGAATAGCCCCATCGACTATCCAAAACATGTATGCAGTGGAGAAGATGGTTGTCCAAACGGCATCGAAGAGGAACAGAATAAGGCTGGGTATATTTCGTCAAATGGCGGACTATCAAGGGGCACGGGCATACTTGCATAGAGTGGTAGCGCGGGCTGAGCCATGCACCGCTGTCGTTGCCAGCGGCGATGAGAAACGCCGTGAGCCCCAATTCTGCCATGGCTGCCAGCGTTATGAGAGTGAAGAGAAACGGATGGAAATGTGTTTTGACGAACGACGAAGACTTGGACATGGTGCGCGAGAGGAATGACGGGTCAGGGGAGAAGAAGATCTGAAAGTCGAAAAGCGAGATGGCTCGAGGTCGTGTGTGGACGGTGTGTGTTCGTCGTGGACGCGCGCGCGATGTCCACCAGGTCGAACCCATGCGACCGACACATGTGAGGGAGGGAAGCTAAGCACGAGTCTCCAACGGTCATTTCGATCGCCGTGTGTGCTTGCTGGACGGGACGTGTGGAGGGGTGCGGGCACGGCGCACGCAGGGAAGAGGGCGTGTGATGGTACGGGAGATGTTTGTGACCTGATTCGTCCCTGATTAGGGAATCGGTTGGAGGGAAGTTGAAGTTGGTCGGTACCGTTCGGCCCACAGCTGACAGCGCCAGCAGTCGCAGCAGAGTTCTCAAAGTCGCGTCCTTCGCCCGCTGGATCGAATCGGTTGTGTACGAATTATCCTTTCGCTGGACGAGCATCGACACTTCGTTTCATTCTCTCCCATGTCAGCCCCCGACTCATCTCAATCGCCTCTCGAGCCAGTCACGACGTCTATAAGTAGTCCAACTGATCTTCCCGTTATACCCTCCTTGCCGCCTTTAGAAATGCCAATCCCTGCGGGCGCCCTCTCTTCTACCGACGACGCGCACGTTACACACGCCTTGCTGTCGTCTGAATCTCAGAACCCCGTCTTGACCCCCACTCTACTTCCACAAGTCGACACAGAACCCTCGCCGGTTTCTCCGTTCGCCGCTAGCTCGCTATATCCTCCAAGCAACTTGAGAAAGTCGATATCCGTGGACTCGTTTATCAGGCTTAGGCCTGTCAACCTCACCAACGGCATGGGGCGACAATCCCGAACTAACACCGTTGATGCAGGATCCGAAGACTCGAGGGACTTCGCACAAGGACCAGCGATAGCATGGCAGCCATCGTCTGTTGATACTGATCTTCCCCGAGTATTCTACCATGAACGGGACTCGCGATTCCCTCTGTCGGGCCGCAGCCGAGGCGCCAGTATCAGCACTGCAACTGACGACTCCTCTCAATCCTTGCCTACAGACTCTGACAATGACGTTCAGCGGAGCCCCCGAGGGACTTCCAAGGGCAAGGAGCGATTGCGACCTCTCATACCACCCGGCGAACTCCCGCTCCCGTCGAAGTTTTCGGCCCTCTCGTCGCCTTCTAGCACGAGCACTCTCAGTGCTACGAGTTCAATCACTCAGGAAGAGATGTCTCGGCTGCCTTTGATCTCACCTTCCACGACTCCTCGTTGGAATGCGCACTTGGTGGGACCTACTGTTTCGTCAGCGCGAAGTCGAAGTGATAGTCTGACAGATGGATCTGGGGGAGGATATGCATCGCCCCAAGAGAATGCTTTGGCGGTATGTGTCTTCATTCTCCGCTCAAGTGACCGGCCTGATACAGTGAACAGTATGACTTTCTGTCAGATGTCACAATTGCTGTAGTAGGGGATTCGGGTTGCGGCAAATCAGTGGCCATCTCAAAGGGTCTAAAGTCTTACAGTTTGTCAGAACCAGTGCCAGAGGCTTCGGGGTTGGGTGGTATCTTCACCTGTGATTTTGGCTATTAAAATTTTGGTGACAACCTAGCTCACCTACTTATCCCAGATATCTCACGTGAAGGGACCTTGGTATATGAGCACTTACCTGACCGCTTGCTACGTGTCCTGGAAGTTGACAATTCAAGCCTTCGAATCGATGGGACTGTCTCTGGTCTACCGGTATGGCCAGAAAATGCACCGCGTCTCGACGGCGTCATAGTATGCTATGACGTTTCTCAGGAAGCCTCTTTTGCGCATGTTGAAGATCTTCTCAGTAAGCATGTCCTAGGCATATTCATCGTCCACTATCTTACTATGCTACAGAGGGCTTTCGGGACCTCAAATTACCCACAGTGGTATTCGCCTGTAAATGTGACCTTGAGCGCCATGTCGAATCGCTTGAAGCTTATACCCGTCTAAACGAGTACGACGTGGGCCTTATCGAAGTGACGATCCACCAAGAAGGTGGAAAGAGCAATCTCAGGCGGGGCTTCGATTTTCTCTTGGAATCAATCTTCCGTGAACGAAGTCAGTTCTATCCAAGTTGGAAATCTTGATAGTCTCTTACCTCTGTCCTCATAGGAGGCCGTCGCCTTGATAACTATCAAAATCCAGCGTCTCCTGATGTCCTCGTCTCCCCGCCACCTTGGGAGGTATCACGTTCAGCAACAGCGACTCCCATTGCTTCTTCCTCAGGTGTCTATACATTAAAATCTGCGCCTTCAAGGTTTTCCCAACCCGCGGCTGGATCTACAGCCGCCCCGCGAGTACCCGGGACACCAACCTCGCCAACACGGGCTCGTTCAACAAGCGACTTGCTTGCTTCCGAGCACGAGAAATCTAAAGGACGCGAGTTTGAGCGGGACAGAGCTTTAAGTATCATGAGCATATCAGCGGGTGGTAGTCTTAGCTCTGGCTCGTTGCATGCTAGTGCACCGAACGATGGGCTTAGCAGCGTTGATGAAGCTGTAGAAGATCGTGTCGAGGGTAAAAAAAAGGACAAGTGAGTTTCGGCCAAATAGCATCGTTGAGCCTGAGCTGAAGATGTATATCTCAGCCGTCCTGCTCCATGGGCTACTCTTGAAGAGCTTCTTGATAAACTCTTGTTCTTGGCTGTCAGTGGTGATGGTGCGTGCTAATCGTCTTATAACCGCTAAACCACTTACACGCCGCTGTAGACCGCGCGTACATCTCGCATTTCCTCCTGACCCACCGCCGATTCGTCACGCCGCGTAGCGTAATATTAGCTATGCAGAAACGAATGCGCCAACTAGACCAGACCTCGTCAGATACCATGTTCGCTTGCTTTGCCCAGATGCGGTGAGTCGGATCCCGATCGGTGACATCCATGGGCGCCATTGACTGGATTTCAGAATTTGCCATCTTTTGGAAATCTGGATTCAAGACTATCCACATGATTTCGCAGTTGGGAACGCAGGCACGGCTCTGAATGCACTCGTAAAGTCGATTATATCCAAAACCCACCTCCTTCACTACGGATCCGACTTTCTACCTTTTCTTGAGGGACGACCTATGGTCGACAAAGATGCCGATTGGGCACTGAAGGTTGAGGAATCACAAGACGAGAGCGACGACTCCTACAACATGTTTGAGGACGAAGATGACGGAGCAGCCAGAGTCCATTCACCTGTTTCTGTTGTGAAAGTTCCATTACCGAACGACAAACCTCACTCTGGATTTCCATCAGCCAGAGAACGCAAACCAAGCTTGCCTCTCATGGCTAAAGCCCTTGTGATGACCAACGCCCCGCCTTCTGGGTATCTTCATAATGCTGAGCCGAAAGAACCCAAGTTAAAGCAGACAATCAAGGAACTCCAAAGGATCTCGCAGGAGCTTTATAGTCTCGATCCGGACCATGTTGCTCAGGAGATCACCAGAGTCTCGACTAAACTGTTTCTCCGAATCGAGGTCAGGATATTATATGTCATGCTACAAGTTTGATCTAACATATTGTGCTCGAACTAGCCACGACATTGGTTGCATCATACAATGGTTTCTGGTCCCAAAGAAGCTGAGACCAATCCAATTGCTATGTTTTCTCAAGTCTCAAATCACCTGGCTGATTGGCAAGTATACCATCCACATTCTCTCCTCGCCTCGTTAACAAATCTGCAGGGTTGTATCGCTCATCTTGTGCCATGATAAAACGAAGGCGCGCGCACGTCAGGTCGAAAAACTCGTCGAAATCGCTCAGAAACTGCGCGGCTATAATAATTATTCGGCCTTGCGCGCGTTCGTGGCTGGTATCAACATGGCTACATACCAGGGCGATCCAACCATGGAGCTATTCCAGCTGAAAGCACCTAGCCTTTCGAAATCGTTTCAGTCGTGGGACCTGCTATTTCAATCCGTTCGATCACACTCTGCCTATCGCATGGCTCTCCGAAATACCAAAGGCCCTTGTATTCCTGCTCTGTACGCGAACGTCTCGTTATTGCCGTGATAATGTCGTATCTGACCATTTTTGTAGCGAGGTTCACCTATCAGACCTCATCAAAGCCCACGAAGGGAACCCCGACTTCAATAAGCACGACCCGACGAAGATCCATTGGGCAAAGTTCAGCATGATGGGCAAATTCATTCTTTCGACCACCCAGTTCCAGGCCCAATGCAGAACGTCAAACGATTACAATTTTACTGCGCGAGAACATATCAACGACTTGATGATGAGGGATTGTGTGATGGATGCCGAAGTAAGTATCTTTCTTTGAAAAACTTATTCGTATCGATGCGATCTTGTCTTCCAGATGCAAAAATCCCGAATCACTCCTCCACCTGATCTGGATGAAATCGATGACTCTATGCGACTTTATCTACCCCGCACACCGTCTCGCGACAATAGTGTACCGACGAAGGACACTGCATTGATCCGCAAGTTGATGTTTTGGGGATCATGATTGAGGGAATTTGCTGGCTTTGGGCTTTCATGTCCTGCCGTCGGGGGATAGACCCTTTATTTCTACCTGCTGCCTTGGATGATTCATCCGGAGGATACCCATTTCTTGCATATATCATCATCGTATCGCTACCATCTTTCACTAACCCAGTTGCTTTATGAATTATCTACGCATGTACGCCTACGCTTGCTCTGCCCATTCATCGATTGCTTGTCTGGGTGTACTAGATGTGAGCTACATATCTTGCAGTGCTACCTGTGAGGAAATGATAGTACCTCGAAGGGGCAACATCTTCGTTGAGTAAGTACAAATTGATATCGGACTCGCTGCACGGCAGTGCCTTTAAGAGAGAGATAGCCATGCATTTCTACCCAAACAACGATTGTACATGCGCTTCAGCGATGTCACCATATTGACTCCCTCCGTGGGTCCAGATAGCAAACCATAGGAAGGCGAAAGCAAACCCATAAGCACATCCGCATAAGACTTGAGGCCATGTATGGTGCCCCAGCCAGATCCTGGAGATGGCTATAAGCGCTGCCCAAGGAATGACAATGAGAGGAGGCACAGTCCTAGACATTGCGCTACTAGGAAAAGAGGGATGTATCGGTAGGTATGCACACGCAAGGGGGATATACGTTCCAAAGTATGTGATCGTCGCCGAGTGTGTACTGGGCATCCTGGAGAAGTTGGTCAGTATCAGGCTGGTTGAATTATCCTCTTGGCAATGGCTTTCTACCCGTATGTCCTTTTATTCTTTGGATGTAGTGGACGTGGTTGGCGAAAGACACGTTTCAAGACTTTGACAGTCAAGGAACATGCAACGGCGCCAAGACTGAAATAAGCCACACCAGCAGAACAGCTGTACAGCACGACACCTGCTGTCAAGCTTGTCACCGTGAAGTTGGTCTGAAGAGTGGAACTTGAGCTTGAGACGGTAGGACTACCAGAACGAATAGTACTTACATGATCTAGGAAGCGCAAGGCATACGATCGCCAAATCCTTGATGACATCCTGATTGATCAGTCGAAGTACGGCTGTTGATTTGGGAGGTACCAGTCCTGGTCCATCTCGTAGGACAGCGTGACGTACCGTCATGCTTCGTTCCGAGAGCAGATTGGGAGCAAAACCCGAACAAATGCCCCAAGATCCATCCTCCGATCTCATTGTATTACCTTCTATTTACAGCAAATACTCATTTTTGAATCAGATTTGAAAGATAAACGACGGGGAGAAATTTCGCATCGATTTTTTTGTAGATGGTCCACCCACTCATAAAACTGAGGTGGATCAGGAGATGCAAGTGGAGGTCGCAACACTTGTGCGGGAACAACCGATCAAGCTTTATTGCACAATATCGAAACGCAATACAAGAAGCTCGTTTGCGTCAATATGTACCCTGATACAGATGATTGCCAACTAGCTGCATGGATATGTCCCTCCAAGACACCTATCTGACCCATACCGCAGGTTTGTAGTGATGTCTATCACTTCACAACGACGCGACGTGTTGTGAAGCTGATCGTAGATCAGTTGAAAGGCAGAACATCTGCCTAGTACGCCATGCGCCCTCGTCTCGAGACAGCTGGCGTGTCTTTGCTAACCATTAGTCTTCTTCAACGAACAAAGAGTCTTTAGAGCTTCAGTGCTTGTTTAGCCATCTCCAGCACGCCCTCTTTGGTCTTGTTTCCTCCGATGAAGCCCGATGCATGAACGAAGATGCCTCCATCGATACCGGACACGCGCGACAGATCGTCGTCCCTCACTCCACGCCAAGCCTCAGGAAGCGCCTTGCGGCTTTCGAAGCTCTCAGGGGAGACGGGGACGGCTTGTATGCGCCAATTACCGCCAGTCTCATCAGGGTAGAGAACATAGAATGGCTGTGTCTCGCGCGTGATACCGAGCTCGGATTCCAACTCGAACAGGTGCTCCTGTACAATGATTTTAAGTGATCGTCAAAGGAGAGGACATAGATCAAAGAAAGCACCTTCCAAGGAGCGAATGCTTCGAAGAGGATGATGCGTCCGCTGGCATCAACTTCGTTCCTCTTGTTGAGTGCAGCTGCTACAAGATCCCTTGCAGGAAGCCACGCCTTGCCGTAGTAGTCGAGTCTCCCGAGGAACTCTTCGCCAGTGAGCTTGGACGCCTTGGCAAATTGAGTCTATATATCCAAGGCTTGTGATCAAGAAACTTTGGAAGACGTAGATGACCAGACGTACGTTGACGCTCTCATGGTCAAAGCTCTCGTTCCAAGCTGGGTTCAACCAGCCAACACGACTCGAGATATCAGTGCGGCTGCGATATTTAGGCTGTATGTCGTTAGAGTATTGCGAGATACCATTATCGATGCCATCGATGGCTTCGATAAACTCCTACGTTTATAAGTTTGAATAACGAAAAAGTTGCAAGGAGAGGACAGATCGCGTACCTTGTACATTTTCAACCACAGAGTGTTTACTTGGGAATTCTCTTGCGGGAGCTGGAATCTGTTTGCGATAATCTCGCGGCCAAAATGTCTGCGCAATGAGAATAAGTCAGCAGCGGAATAAATGCACGAAAATGTGATGCACTTGTAAATGAGACCGGCCGAGGACAATTTAGTGCTGAAACCATGTCCGAAAACCTCGGTAAACCCGCGTTGATGATGGTCAAAGCGCTTAATCGATTCGTCGTATACAGCTCCGACATCGACGACGATGTCACAAGTATCGAGAATTTTTGGGTCCCTGGTACGCTTGACCTCTGGTCCATGCAATGAGAGATGGTACAAGAGGTCTGAATGATGGCATAAATACCTGCATCGTGGTAGGTGGTAGTTTGCTTGAGAAGAAAGACGGCGAGTGCTTCGTCACAGTGGAAGGTACCATTGTGGGTGCCTATGGTCTGTAGTGGATATTGGTCTGTATATGTAATGCTTGAGAAACAGATTGCATACCTTGAGGCCTGTGTCCATCTTCGCTTTCTTTATCAGCTGTGCGTCAGCTTGCGAGGCCATGGATGTTGCTTCGAGGTGGAGAGTGGCGTTACGATGATGCAGAAGCAGAAATGGTCTGTGAGGGAATTGGCCAAGCGCTAATCTGCAGCATGACTGCATGTTCTAGAAACCTCTCTCTTGGCCTATTTATGGATGATGCACAACTTGTCAAGCCGATCAATAGCAAACGCGATGTGATGCGATATGGTGAGAATAATATAGTGCGAGGTGGTATGCTAAGAAACCAGATATTCAAATGACACCGAGCTATAATGCGGTGGAATAGGTGAAATGTACGAAGTCAATCGCACCGGTCCAACCCCAAGATCGCACAAGGGCATGATATCAAGTCCGAGAAAAACCAAAACAACTGTCCGTCCATCAAATATTGACTGTAAGAGTAACATCATGCCCCCCAATGTCCCACAGCATGCCTCAGCCTACACCAGTGCAAGGACGCCTCCAAATACTACGCCCACCAGGCTGACTATCATAGCGTTCCGCTGCAGTGGCAGTGCAGCAGCAATGTAGCTGTCGTCGGGGCCGTACACTCCGCCCGAACCTGTCGCTCCAGGGCTCGGTGCACCGTTTGGACCATTCCCACCGCCATCTATGTTTGTTGGTGCAGTGGGTAAGGGTCCAGTAGATGTTGATTTCGAAGAGGACGCGGTGCCAGAACTACCACTTGCACTGGCAGATGAGTTTCCTGACGATTGTGAGCCGCTGGCGCTAGATGGGGCGGCGGATGAGGCGGGGGTGACGGTGATTGGGATGGCTACGGAGACGGTATGTGGTTGACGGCTGTTGTCGAACGACAGGGAGGCGGAGAAGGATGTGGTCACGGAGGCACTGGCAGCACTGGCAGACCCAGAATTGCTCTGTTCGCGAGGTTAAGGCCATGGTCCATGAGAAACGGGGGGCGAGGGAGTCACACCTGTGTGTACGCAGCGAGAGGCGCAAAGACGAGGGCAAAGAGAATTGAGGCGCGCATGCTGGTCGTGGGCGATGGTCGTTAGAAAGAGAGACGAATGTGCTATTGGAGCATGCCGGCAGCGGAGACAGGGAGCAAGCCCTTGTGAGGCGTGGGAGCACCGCGTGACCACGTGGTCCGCACCACGACGCGTCGCCGTTCTGGCCCGTACCCCGCAAACTTCGCGTACTTAATAGTGTCAGTACCCGATGGTGGACGATCGACCATGTCTCCCACTCCCATCCTACCCTACCCAATTAATTTAATTCTTCACTACATCTCTCCTCCCTCCCAGCTCAACGACACTATCACCCCACACATACTCTCCCGCTCCCTCCTTCAGAGACATCGTTTTCTCGGTATCACCCCAGATGACCCCGCCAACTACCTGTGCTGGCCATCGTCCAACCGTGACAGGACAATGAATCTGTTGGAATCTTTACCAAAGTCTCTCGACGACCCTTCATCGTCTGATCTTCGGGTCCAGTACCTTTCAGATATAGAGCACACTTACGCCCATGCACACGTCTCTTCCACGAACGAGTCGGATGGTCTCAGGCTTGTGTTCCAATGGGAACCGTCCGACAACAGTTGGAAATATCATGACGCTGGTCTAATGCCCTTCCCATCGACAAGCTGCCCGTCCTTGAAAGACGCACTTGCCATGACGGGAGTTTCAGATCGGATACCCTCTGAAGCGAATTTGATCAGCCATGCTACACCTGGTGAGAGTGACGAGGACGATTATTGGAACTCGTACGCCTCCCGGGCCGACAATGACGATACGGAATTGGATGGGCATCTCGTCGCCAGACACAGTGGATCTGAGGTCGGCGATGATGCCTATTGGGCACAATATGCCTCCGTACAGGGTATGTTATTTCTCCTCTCCCAAATATCAAAACGCGCTAATGTAATTGCCTCTTCCAGGCAGTGCGGACTCTACCATTCCCTCTCCGGTGGTCAGATCTAAGCGTAAACTTGATGCGCCCACGACAGAGCTGGAGCCGCATTATATCCACGCTGATGAACCTCTTCCCATCCCTCCTGCTACTATTCGCCCTCATAATATGCACGCACACGGTGCCATCCCATCACCCGACACCCTCTCACGCCGACTCACCGCTCTATCTCCGCGAGTCAGTCGGCCTTCCTCCCCGCCAGGCTCGCGTCCAGATTCAGCTTTTGCACAAATGATGTTGAGACATGATCCCGAGACAGTGTCTCCTATAGGCAAGATCTCTGCAAATGAGAGTGTTGAAGAAGACGATACCGATACTCCTCCGCTGTCCACAGAATCTACACCGCTGGATGTGGCCGACAAATTGCGCCTCGATGTATCGGTTGAGCTGGAAACAGAAGCAGATGATAAAGTGCTCTCTCCGCGGCCCATCAAATTGAACGGTGCTTCGTTCCTGCGACCACAGAGCGAGACGGAGGACGAAGCCTCAGAGTACGCGGAAACCTCTTCGGATGCATCGGAGGGGGCCGACGGCGTTAGGGAGGCAATCAGAGGTGTATTCCGGCTATGGATGACCTCGAAGCAGAAAAATGCGCTGAATTATGGGAAGAGCAATGGAACGGCAGGCGAAAGAGAGTTTTTGAGGATCGTTCGAGAGGCTATCGAAGAATAATCGTGGTGGATGAATGTCTTATCATCAGCAAGCGATTCACAACAAAGTGATATTGATTTTTGAGTCTAGCCAACAGCGTCGTATATCACATCTGTATTCCTTACCAAGTTCGCACTACTTAGCTAACCGTCATCCAAAGCAGCATTCCAGAACCATGGAAAACAAACATTGCAATTCAGCGGCAATAACAGTAACGACAGTATCCCAACACCAGTAACGAGAAGGTGGAATATACACAAGTGGGACAACAATGATATACGAAACGATGACAGAGTCTGTGCAAGTCAAGATGAGGGCTGAGTCTTGACATTTTAGCAACGGAGCAGATCACAAGGCGATACCAGCCTCGATCATACTCCCCATGCGCAATATAGCAATATTAACGACATTCAAAAACTGAGAATCGTCTGGCGAGAGCGTCTGCTGAGCAGGTGCAGTCGAAGACGTCATCGCCGGGGCGCTTGTTGGCCTGGCGGATAAAGCAATGGATGTGCTACTGAGCACCGTGTGTTTGGAAGACGACTGCACGTGCGAGGAGCTCGAGGCGTGCTGCTGTGAGGCGATCGGTGAGGACGAGGGGGACGAGGAAGACGAGGAAGAAGTAGATGTCGGAGTGAGCGAAGGTAAAGTCGAGGACTTGGCTGAAATGGTCGGCGCCAGAGATGTTTTTGATGAGCTAGGGGGTATCTTTGACGTCGAAGCACTGCCGTCGTTCCCGTCGCCATCGTTGTAAGACCATGAGCCTTCTATAATGCCATCGATGACGTGGTCATAGAACCTGAAAATGGCAGGGCTGAAGTCAAGGCCGCCAGGGGGACAACCTAGACACTGTTTTCGGCATCATGCCGATGGGTATAAATTCAGGTCAGACGTGAAAGGAGAAAATATGGCGGGAAAAGTGGATGCGTGCCTCATCGACAATTTGGGCTTGTGTACTTTTGCCGTTCACGGTGATGGTAATCATCTTGTAACAATGCGCGCCATTGTCCCAATCCTCATCGAGTGCCGCATGTAAGTTCACAGACAGACCTCAGCAGTAGGTGATCATATACACACATGGATATTTAAAGCAACGATCTACCACCTCAGATACAATAAGCCTAGACAACCCTGATGGCTTCAAACATTTACACTCACGAAGTCCGAGGCGGTATAAAATCCACCACAAGCGCTACTATATAACGTACATGAAGTCAGGAGTCATGACAGACACGCCATTCAGTCGCAGATATAAGAGAGGAGCGCCAACACGTACTCGCCAGGTGTAAAGACAGTGAACTCGCCCGCTCCTCTCTTCTGCAACTCTGACGGTGCATTCTCACTGGCGCGCGTTGCATTCACGGCGCGCAGGGCGTTGCGATGGTTGCGAAGGCCGAGCGCGCTGGCAGGATGGTGTTGAATTCCTGCATAAGCGCCGCTGATAGACGCGAGGAAACTAAGTAAAGACAGAATGGGCACGAGGGTGAAAGAGGGCATGTCTAATGAAGGGTATCTGGAAAAAAGGGCGGAAGGAAAACGACACCCAGATTCCCGTCTCTTTATACAATGAGCGGTTGAGAAGGAGGCGGTAGCTTCCCCATGGGAAGATGGAGAGCATTTGGACAAGAACGCACTTACAGGACACCGCACTTGCCTTATGCGGCCTTTTCGCAGCCCTGGGCGCCAACATATATGCTTCCAAGGAATCTCTTCAAACCCGTGATGAGTGATGTTCAGATACCCGAACGTCAAGGACAGCGATATCAACAGATCAAAGACGCATTGTGTATGTGAAAAGCAAGGAATTTCAGGGTATTAGGTTGCTGCCAAGACAATATGCCTACAGGATAAGGATGCAAGGTCATCCAGAGCAAGAGATAGTGATACCAACACTTACAAGAAAAACTACGAGAGCAGACAAAAAGCATCAACAATAAATGGTAAAGATGAGTAAAAAATCAACGTCCTGCAAGATTATGATAGAAAACCCCGAGGTTAATCGCTAGAGCTGCCTTCGGGTTCGTCATCGTCTACGACCGATTCATCTGCGACAGTTGTTTCATCGCCTCCTCGTACTTTATCTTCATCTCGAGGAAGAAGAGGTTGGCCAGGAAGTCTCTGTCACATGAGTGGTCAGCATGAGAACATACAAGGTAAGGCCATCTCACCTTCAAGGCAAACTTGCAGACCATGTACCCCTTCGGATTCAGACCCTTTTCCATCCAAGCCTGAGAATAATAAATCAGAACTCGGCAAAAATATGGATACGTGAATAAGAACCTTTTCGACCACGTATAATCCGTCATAGCGATAGCTGGTTGCATGCCATCAGAAAACAACAGATATTTTAATTGAGATATTCTACTAACCCTTCAATGGGAGCAAACGGGGACTTGAGCTTGTATCCCCGGATCACCCTCACCGGTTTGTGAGTTTCGGAAGATATCTAAATGACATACATCAGAGAGACTCGTGAGTAAACTGCACGGTTTTTGCTGACCTTCAAGGCCTTGTTGAATGAGTTTTCAAACGACTGATCTGAGCTTTGAGGTGCAGTTCGTAACTAAGTCAGAGAAGAATGAGGATGATGATGATTCAGAAGCGTTCGTCACTTACGTTCTTCGGCGCGTTTTTGGTGCCTTTTAAGTCTCTGCCACCTGTTAAAGATACTGAGTTATCAATCGGAACTCATGCAACAGGTTGGTGTCGCCTGACCAGAGCCGGTGAAGGTACTGACGCAACACGCATCAGTCTTGATCTATGCACAAGTGTTGAAGAACCCACAAAGCATAACCCAGATCGACGTCATCTTCGTAACCTCCGGAAAGAGCAATGGAATATGCACCCGCAGACGACCCAGAGATCCCGGCCACCCAGGGTCTATCATCTTTCAGCTTGATAATGGTCCATTGAAGCAGCAGACTTGACTCACGCGTGGATGGAGTCCGCACTACAAGCCTCTCTATTTAATGGATGTCAAAGATGGCACCTATGGCAATACACCCAAAGTCACTGACCTTGTCTCCCACCAGGTTCCAACTTCGATGCCGGGTATGGATCCAAATGTTTTACTAGAGATAGCAACACCTATGAGAGCCAAGTACTGAGACAAGAGTATAACATACGGGTCATATTTCCGCTTTCCCATAGGCCTACTGGGCTCCGTGTCGTGATCGACACCTACTCTTTGAGAGACGGGAGTAGGCTGACCTCGCTCTTGCACAGCAACGTAGTCGATCTTTTTACCAGCATTGCGTCCACTTCTGCGTAGACCGGTGGAAGGCGCGTCTACATTGTCAGCTGAGGCCGTGACACGCACAACTTTGGACGGTGGCTCGTCGTCTGTAGGCTCGGGAGTTGGCGCCCTTCGCTTCCTGGCTTTGGTTTTTTGGGCCTTGGGAGCAAAAACTTGTGGAATGTTGAGTGATTCCAAGAGTTTTTTGTTTGCAGCGATATTTCGTTCACGTTGTAGTTCGTAGGCTGTTGGCATCGTGGAAGGGGCGAAAGCGGCGACTTGGAACTTGGACTTGCTTGGGAAACGCGACGTGACACAGCCACGTGAGCGTGATTCTTTGCACATTGCCGTGCTGGTCGACGCGCATCGCAAATATTCCCCTGCCCGATGAAGAGATTCTCATTCTCGCGGGAAGGTTTCGGCTGATGTTCATGATGATGCATGATGCCAGAACCTGCATCAGAATCCTGAATCTGTCTCTGCGACTGCATTCAACATTGCCGTATTATAAGTCATTGAGACATGAAATTGCAAGAAAGCAAAAGAGATAGAAAAAACGAAGGATGCAAAGAGCAATATAAAGCATCGAAAATAAGCTTGACAACACAAGCGAATGTCGATATTAGTAAGCTCCCTTCTCCAGTAAACAGTTCATAGACACTCACAATCCAATCAGTTCACAAGCAACTGTGACAGACTGCTTCCAGCAAGCCCCACGCTGGGAAGATTGAAAGTCAACGCGTGACTCTTGGCGGACCCCCATCCTGCAGGAACGAGTCCGGAGCCAAGAGTGAAGTTCACCGTAAGGGTACTCAATAACTGTGTAGGATCCGAGACCGTCACGTTCCAACCGTCCATCCTCACGATTACCGCCGCGCTCCCATTTGATGTGATCGTGATAGGAGCGCTGTTGCTCGTCGCTGGAATCGTTGTCTTTCCCCCGGTCGTCTCCCAGAATACAAACATAGCTACCTTGTTTGCGCCATCGAAAACAGCAGAAATGGAACCGTCGTTGCGGATGATTGTCAGCTGAGAGGAAGCAGATTTGGATTGGAACGAAGATGCAGTTGTTGCAGGATAGATAGTATAATCTATAGCTGTGCTGAGGTCGGAGTGACTCAGCCAGGCCGAGAAGAGGTCCACCGTCGTGGGCGGCTGTTTCGACGTCCCAATCACAGACCAGTCTCCTGTGCGCTCGCCAACCTGCACGGACAAAGACACCGCCGCGTTGGACGAATTGAAGGTATATCCAACTCCGCCGTGCCACAGCGAGGACACCCCAGAGTAGTTCCCACTCTCGCGTGCGACGCCGTCGACCAAAATGTCTCCGTCGTGCCTCCTTTGATCCAGGACAGAGTACACCGGTGCACTCGTTGTAGAGCTTATGCGCGCAACCATGACGTGCTGAACGTTGTCATCTAAGAAAAACCACGTCTTGCGCCAGTTCAGTGTTTTTGATGACGGCGTCTCGTATCGCATCGCAGCTACTCCAATCGTTCCGTCCGAGGCGCCGCCGACGAATGCTTGTGTGCCCGTGTGCCGAACACCGCTGCAAGTCAGAGTAGTTGCTCCATAATCCACGGTCGTTCCTGGGATTAAGTTCCAATCCCATGCGGCGGAGATATCTTCGTATTCGTCGCCCGTTAGGTAAGTGTAGAGTGTGCCGTCGCTAAGGTGGAAACCGAACGGGTTCTGAGCATTTGTGCATTCTGAGTTTTGGGTTCGCTTTGAATACATCCGTAGAGTCGTGACATATCCACTGCCACGTTGAACCTTGAGTAAAGGAAGAAACACGTGGGCATACAAAACAACGCAGGTCGTTTACGCTGGACGGACCATGTAATCATTAGCATAAAACATACGGTTCCCTTCCAATGCTCCCGCATTTGCGTCAGTCGTGTTCATGGACAAGCTGTTGAAGACTTGATTTAGTAAAGTCGAATCCCAGTCTTGCCCCAGGGCCCGTAATTCAGTGAGGTTTGTTTTCAGGTTTTCTGTCGCCCTGTCGAAGGGCGGGCGAGGTTAGAATGCTCTAGTGGACAAAAACCTGGACAACTTACTGATCATCTGCGACAGGTAGGCTGATGAATCGGCCTAATACGCTCTATGCAAATCAGAGTGTTTACGAAGCTGTTCAGAAGTAGGAATAGCAACGTACAAAGTCCCAGTGCAGAACATTTGTCAGAGTATTGCGAAATATCATCCATTGATTGCCATCCCAGAGAACTTCGAATGCGCTTCGTGAATCGGTAGTCGCTTGGTATTCGGTCCCTGCAGCCTCGATCTCAAAATCCAAAACGTCATTCGAGCTGGTGTCGACTCGTTTCAATGCTCGCTTCAGATCAAAAGATGGACTCACTAGTCTTTGCCATAGTTGCCGTTATATAGTATGCCCGAATGCTGACCAAAGCTGCCATCGGCTCGAATGCCATCAGCCTTCACAGCATTCTGAATGACGACCTCGTCATGAACCCGTCCAAAGGCATCATCAAGAAGAGTTTCGTTCGCAATCAACAAACCAAGGTCGACACCGATACTAGCAATGTCCAAGAGGTTTGCGCCGGTGATTGAACTGACTCCATTGATACCAGTGAGGAAAGTATTATAAGCGCGACCAGTTATCTTCGTGCAGTTGCCTAATTCGCTGGATGAAAGCGTGTTGTTGAGCAACAGGCAAGTTTCGCCAACGAAACCTGGAATTAGGATGATCTGGCATATAGAATTTATACGACACGACCACTATACCGTAAGACAATAACTCACATTCGAAAACCAGTTAGTGTTCCAAAATCCTGGAGTCCCACAGGGGCAGGCGTCGTCGCCACCTTCGTCCAAGCACGATGGGTCAGAGAAGTCGTTTTCATACCAATATTGCATCGCCAAGGATATAGCTGTCCTAAGTTGGCTGCTTTGGACCCACTGGCTCGCACCAGATAGGCCACCATGCCAAGCAGCAGCCAGAGTAGCTACGCAGAATTGAATGAAGCCTACATCACGACAGATGGGAAGCCATACTTACTGATCCGCTGCCAATGCGCCTGAGCCGGCCAACTGCCAGTTTGCGCATCGCAGCCTGTCGTATAGTTAATTTCAGAGTCTGGCCATTTTCCATCCGGGCCAAGTGTGGACAACCTAGACGACTATGAAATTATCATAGAAGAAAAAGACATATATGGTCCACGAACCAGCTACAGATGGAAGATGAACCAGTAACGGACTCAACAATGATGGATATTCTTCGACCGGATACTACCTGTACATCCTGAGGGACAGAAGCACCAGCCAATGATACGCTGGCAGATCCCAATGAATCCTGCGTTGCATGGCTTCCTAGGACAGTAAAGATCACGAAGAGAGACGTAAGGGACAACGTTAAGAGCTTCATGAGTACCGCCTGGAGCAGCAAAAGTCTCACCCCAACGCTTTATACAGAAGATCATACCCAGGAAGGATCATGCCCGCAAAAAGCGCAACAAAACCTGAAGAGGATGGTAGAGGCCCCAGGTTAGTCTTCGAAATGGAAGACGCATCCAGTTATGTCGCCCTCTGTCAGTGGGCCGCTGCCAGCAGGGCTCGGGATGTGTAGACGTCTATAAAGAGTGTCCACTACGTCCGTTGGCATCCATATCACACACATAAATAGCAGTGAGCGTGCACTGTCAGTACTGTGCGGTTTCATGATGATGTGTGATTGCAAGTCGGTGCAAACACGGACAAACTGCGGATCTGACTTCGACCTTCTCCTTTGGGCAATTATGCGGAAATACATGGAAGCATCTCAAACCAGTACTCTGCGATATAGAGCAAGACAATTGTTAGCCAAGGTACAATCAGAGAAAGCGGGTTTACTACAATACAGTGACAGGTCTATGTAAAGAACGTTTATCAGTATGTGCTGTCCATATGCTACACAGTCGTGAGAGTCGCCAGCTCAGCACTTGAGCTAGTAAGGCAGCTGGCAAATTGTCCATAATGCACATATGTGTCCTTCATTTTCCAGTGGTTGCGGCCACGTTGAGTTTCGCGAGAGAACATATGAGAGGAACGGCGTAGAAAGCATATGCGACCCAGACCACTGAGGAACATATAAGCTGACGAAAAGAAACAGTACAGAAAACGAATACACTCACTCGTGAAGCCGTTGCTGGTACTCGCTATGAGTTGCGGAGCACCGTTTCCCTGTTTTGAGATCGCAGCGTTGAAGTCCTCAACAGCCTTTCCGAACCACATACGAATGACTAGGAAAGCGGTCAGACCTGACACCGTGAAAGTTAGTATGAGGGACACAGTAATGTGCACGGAAGTCAGCACCGATCATGAATCCAAGCAATCCGATCCAAGCCGACGTGCGCTGGACCATCGGACGGTCTAGGGCTGCAGATAATTTGGCTCCGAGCTTCGTACGAAGGGAGATGAAGGTAAAGAGAATAAAGAAAACGACAGAGAAGCCGAGTGATATCGCAATGAAAGCAGGGGTCGTGGCCGTCGGTGCGGTCAAAAGATCAGGCGCGCTGCTCGGTAGCGCAGATAGATCTGTAGCGAATTAAGCATATAACGGAGTGCGCGATTGAAAAAACGCACCGTATTTCGGAGATAGAGAGGGAAGAGGGCAGGTTATATCTCCGTTATTATTAGGGCGAGAGCAAGAGCCTTTGTGCGTCTTGTCAGGAGAGAACATTGATAAATTAGAATGCAGGACGAACCAAGAGGACCCAAAAATAAGGAGGGACCATCAATCTTCCCAGTCTTGGATTCCGGATCAGACAGCGAGGAAGACGGTGATACTATTAGCAATGCGATTTGGCCATGGAAAAGCAGAACAGGTGCCAGGAATGCGAAGAATGCGAGTAAGATGGATGTCAGGGACAGAATGGGGGCGAGGTAGAAAATGACAGCTTTTGAGAGACCAGCGATCATGGCAACTAAGATTTGATGAAATGTGTGTGTGGGTGAAGTGAAGCCCGGAATTAAATGCCCTTAGAATGTTTTAGGGAGATGAATGAGAATACTCTGCGCTGCGGGGAGATTGGAGACCAATGGCTCAAGTAGCAGACGGATGGGCTAACCAGAAGACAGAGAGACTAGCTTATAAGCAAGACGAACTTGGCGTGAAGAGATGGAGCCATGCAAAGAACAAAAAGCCTTCCGCCGAAGTGTGACGGACCCACAAGCCGATGTAAGAACAATGAAAGGCCATCGAGTATTGTTCCGATTTGGGATAAGCGCACGTCGAGCTAGAGAGTGAAGGACCCTGTAGTCCTGTTGCCGATCAGTGCTATGCGTTTATTCTCCAGAAGAACCTGATAATCCAAGTGGACTCATACTGTAAAGACATCAGCCTAGGCATAGCGATCGACGAGGTAAAACAGGACAGAAGTCTACAGAAGTACGACCAGCATCTCGACACGTGATGTCCGCGGACGCTTGTACTCTGGCGGCCTAGGACTCCGTACATTTTGTTCCTTCATACACTTCTTCCTCCGTCGCGTACCCATGGCAGAAATTCAGCTCCCACAGCCTCTGGGGCATCTATCCACTCTTGTGGAAGAACAACTAGAATCATTTGCTTCTGGTAGCAAGCATATACGAGAGGCTGCTCTCAACGCAACCCAATTTGTTTTCAATCTAGGTACGTCCTTTCTCTGACCATTGTTTCTTCTAAAATTTCAACGGTCTTTACAGCCTTGCAGTCAGAAGGACAATCTCAGCCCCACGTATCTGCACTGCTCGCTTCTTTCAGCCCTGCCGAAGCTCCACAAACGCGTTCTCAGACGCGCGCAAACGCTAAACGAAAACGCAGTCCCTCACCTGGACTGGCCCGAGAAAATAAACTTTTACCCCCATCTACTCCGCTCACGTCCCTCTTCACTGAAGGGTTGGGAGAGGACCAAATATGGGTCCAACTGGAACTTCGGGCGAAGAATATTTGCGACACACTGCAGCTTGCTTTAGAAGGAACGGGGGAAGAACTTGGTGGAGAGTTGGACGAAGAAATGAAGCAAGGCATGATTATGGATGCAGAGAATGAAGAAGAGGATGAAGAAAGCGAGGACCAAGACGAGGAAGATGAAGAGACTACGGATGAGGAAGACGGTGAAGGAGATCTGGGCGAAGATTATACGACGTTGCGAGACTCAGGCTCAGAAGATGATGAGGGCGAGGAAATTGACGAGGTGGATTTGGATCGTCGGCTAATGCCTCCAGTACCCCACAAGTCCAAAATACCGAGGCCTAAACCGGGTAGTCACTCTGAACTAGACGATGGGTTCTTTGACTTGGCTTCATTCAACGCTGAGACAGAAGAGGCAGAAGCTCGATCTGTCTCTCGAGGTTCCTTGGGGACTGGTCTCGATGAAGACGAATCGGAGGATGACGAACCCATAGACCTCTTCACAAATGTGGATGAGCAGGGTGTCATTGAGGAGGAAGAGGCAGAAGGAGGTTTGTTTTCCTCTCCATGATACGAGACCCATCTGAGACGACTCTTTGCCTTCGCAGAAGCTTTTTATAGAAATTTCTTCGACCCTCCAGCACGACCATCTGCTAAGCCAAAAGCGAAGGGTATGTCCAGCACTCCTTCGGCTCGAACGTCCAAAGTGCGCTTCCACGAAGAAGTTCGAGTAAAAACAATCAAAGCTCGCGGAAAGAACATGTCTATGTCAACAGCAGGCTTTTGGGATGTGTCAGATGGCGATGGCGATCTTGAAGAAGAAGATGGGAGCAGTTTCGTGGGTCAGGGGGGTGAGGACGATAGTCTGGATGTGGAAAATGGTGATGGTGGTGATGATGATGATGACGACGACGACGACGACGACGATGATCAAGAGGGGCAGGTAGGACAGGAGGAGTCAAGCGGCCGTGAAATAATAGAGAGGTTAAAGGATGATCTCTTTGCTGAGGAGGAAGAGGAGGAGGCCCAAGGTGAGTATGAATCTTCACAAAAACGAAGCGTACTTCATTCTTCATTGGATTTCAGATCTCACTGCGCATCAAAAACGGCAAGCCTCTCTCCGTGAACAAATCTCCACCCTTGAGTCAGAAAATATCGCGAAAAAGGACTGGGTTTTGATGGGAGAAGCGACCTCTCGTTCACGACCGCAAAACTCCCTCTTAGAGGAAGATCTGGAGTTCGAGCGAGTAATGAAGGCGGTCCCTGTCGTGACGGAAGATGTTGTCAAAGGACTGGAGGACCGAATCAAAGCCCGTATTTTGGATAATCAGTTCGACGACGTTGTCCGCAGACGTCCCGCCAATGACATGCCCTTCCTTCCTTCTCGATTATTCAACTTGCAGGATACGAAGTCCAGTCAGTCGTTGGCACAGATTTACGAGGATGAGTACACCGCAGCACAGACAGGAGGTGTAGCAGGCGAGGATCGTGACGGGAAATTAAAAAAAGAGCACGATGAGATTGAGAAGGTCTGGGAGGGTATCACTTCCAAGCTGGATGCTCTTTCCAATGCCTATTTCACCCCCAAAACAGTATGTCACAGTTTTCCTTTGCGCCCTCCCAATAACTGATGAATGGCATGTATCAGCCCAAAGCTACGATTTCTACAGTGTCAAATGTTGCTTCTGCGACACTGGAGTCGGCTCTCCCTACAACAAAATCTGCTGCATCAATGCTCGCCCCCGAGGAGGTCTTCGATGCGTCTACAGCTGAAACCAGAGCACGCAGCGAGCTGTTACCGGCGGAAAAGCGTGCTTTGCGTAACAAGCATAGAAAGAGCAAAAAGAAAGCTCGTGATACTCTGGAGAAAAGTGTGGACAAGTTTGCGAGATCGAAGGCACCTAAAGGGCTCAAGGCTCAGAAGACAGCAGCTTTGAAGAGTGTGATCCGGAGCGGTAAGGGTATCACAGTCGTAGGGAAGCAGACAAAGGATCTAGGAGCTCGGAAAGCGCGACAGATTAAATCTTGATTACTGTTGTACGGGTGTTCCATATGTTATGTTGTGATTTTCCGCTGTTTGACATGGCTGTTCTTCTGACGGTATTTTCCGGACTAGCGCAGCGGTTACAGTTTATATAACATGGTATGAGAGGGTATGAGGTGGTATCATGCCGCGCTTCTCGAAAACGTGACTTGAGCGCTGTAACAGGCCGTAAGTGATAGGCGGTGTAGCCACCAGTCAAGTGCATATAAGACGACCGCTGCCTACCATCATCTTCCTTCCACAAGCATCATGTCCTGGTTCAACAAACGCAAGGAGAGCGCTATCCCCCCTGTCGAAGAGCCAAAGCCCAATTACAATGGAAACAGCTCATCTCCTCGTCCTCCTGTGCGCTCGACCGCCAGCACTTATGTAGCTAGCCGTGATGGCGATATTTATGGCAGCAGGTCTGCCTCTAATACCTCCCCTGCCGATAACTATAGTGCACCACGCGACAGATATGCGAAAAACAACGCTGTTGGCGACGTCTATTCTCGAGGTCAGAGCAATTTGGAGAATGATCGTCAGGAACTCTTCTCAGGCTACAATCCGGAGAAGGCTGGGTCAGGACGATTCAATGACGGGCCGACGCTGGCCGACGGTGAAGAAGAGGATGTAGAGGGGATCAAACAACAGACACGCTTCTTGAAACAGGATAGTGTAAACTCTACGCGAAACGCACTTCGCCTGGCTCGAGAGGCGGAAGAGACAGCCAGGAACACGATCAATAGGCTGGGAACACAATCAGGTGCGTCGCATTGTTGAATCCATCTCGCAACAAAGAAAGCTTGACATGACATGAATACAGAGAAATTGGCCAATACCGAGCGTCACCTAGATGTTTCCAAAGGTCACTCCTTGAAGGCCGAGGACAGAACCGATGAGTTGAAGCAGCTCAATCGGTCCATTTTCCGCCCTGTCATCACTTTCAACAAGGACTCTAAGCGCGCTGCTCAAGAGGCAAAGATACAGCAACGTTACGATGACGAGCGGGAGGAGAGAGAGAAGGCGATGATGGACATTCGCGAGACTCAGAACCGGCTAGGAAGAGCTGCAACTTATGGGTATGGGGACGACGATGGTGAGGGAATCGGAGGGTCCGGAGGCAGGCGGGGCAAGACGGCTACCCAGCAGGCGATGAGGCAAGAACAAAGGAAGCGATATCAGTTTGAAGCGACCGCTTCAGACGACGAGATGGAAGACGAGTTGGATGACAATCTTGACGAAATTTCGGAGATGACCAAGAGGTTGAAGACACTGGGATCTGCTATGGGTGACGAACTCGACAAGCAAAACATTCGTATCGGCGTCATCGAAGAGAAGGCCGTGAAGTTGGACAACAAAGTCTTCAGTAACACTGAGAGGGTGAGTGACACTGCTACGCGCCATCAAGTTCTGCTTTCTAACTCCTGCACACTTCAGCTCAAGCGCATCAAGTAGAGATTCGGATCGTTTGCTTTCCTGTTGCCTATCATTCCGCAGCACTGCTATGTTCGAGACTACTATTACTCTGCGACGGCCGCGATTTGATGCGTGTCTAGCAATTGGACTTTCGTAGGGATTTTCACGTTAGAAACGATTGAACTTGTTCGGTGTACATGATGCTGCCACCTGTGTGCGCGACGCGCGTGACTGCGAGCACGTGCTCTTCGGGCAAGGCCGAAAAGTCAGCGGCACCTGGAAAGAAAGTTCCATTTGGAGGAATTGGCTGTTCTTGGCTGCACTCGACGTTCTGGGAGGGAGAATGCACGGAAGAGTGACGGCTGAGCGAAGCTTGGGCGGCCTTGGTGGCCCTATGACCGTTCAAGCAACGCCCTTGCTCTCGCTCGCTCGTACCTCATCGTACGACGGGCTGCGCATCCTACTCGCACCACTGCACCCACTGCGTCTACCCTGTACTCATGTCTACTCATCTCAAGTCGCTCTTTTATTCACTCACATTCGCCTGTGTCCTATTCCTTCTACCACCCACCTCATACGCGGTCAACTTGTCGAATGAATCCGTGCTACCCTCCGCGGCATCGCGCTCGTCCACCAATGGTCCACCTGTCTCGCTCTTGGTTTCGTCGGCCCATCCTTCGCGTGCCTCCGGCTTGTTGAACCCTAGCAATACGAAAAGTGCTGATCAGTCCTCCTCTGCTGTCCCGTATTCTGTGCGGAACATCACCTCACCGTCTTTTCTCGCCTCGTCCTCCCTATCTCACATCAAGTCCACATCGGCTTCCTCGGTCACGTCGCTCTCGTCCAGATCTTCCCTGACGTCCGCGACTCCGACATCCACTCCATCTGGGAGCTCGAATACTCTATTGGACATGCAGACTGTTCTGCAAAGCCGCTTGGGCTTCATTGTTACAAGCGCGGGCAATGCCTCTACCATCCCTCAATGGTAAGATTCACATATTGCTAACGTCGAAGAATAGCTGATGATACCGTGTATACAGGCTTTCGACTTTAGGTCCGGACGGAAAATGGCCAGCTTCGGAGGTAGATTATACCACGGGCTGTGCTGCCCAGCGCGCCAACTGGCCTGCTCAGACCCATTGGCTCCGCATTTGTAAGGATCGTTTTTGCGCCTAATCCTTCCTCTAATTGTATCACAGTGACTATGTCCGCTGCATGGCACGGCGGCATGGCTAACAGTCAACAATATGTCAACAACTCCGCCCTCGCCAGCGCAATCTCTTCGGCGATGAACTATTGGTTTCAGAACGACTTCACGGATCCAGGCTGCCTCGACGGAGGCGGCACCGGTATCTGTCCATGTGGTACTCCTGGTCTCTGGAACACAAACTGGTTCTCCAATGTAAACACACATTCATATCTCTTTTCATTCTAAGACGAATAACCTTGTTTGGGTAGGTTATCCTGATTCCGCGACTGGTGGGAGAAAGCTGTCTACTTTTCAACGCCTCCCTCAGCGATGCACAGAAGAAAGGCTGCACCACCATATCTTCCCGCTCATATGACACATTCTATGAGGGTCCCAAAGGTTACCTATCCGGCGCTAACATTCTGGATGTGGCGAAGATCGGAATAGATGTTGCACTTCTGACGACCAACATCACTTTGATCACAGAAGCGTATGGGCGTATACATGCAGAAGTCGTGATCGAGCCTGGCATAATGGTCGACGGTATCAAGGCCGATGGCAGCTTTGGCCAACATGGTGGCCTGCTCTACAACGGGAACTATGGGAAAGATTTGTATGTGATGTCTGTCGAACATATCCCTCAACGATCATTGCTGAAGAGATACTGCCTCTAGTTCCAATGACGTTCTTGAACTGGAGATCGATGCCGGAGGGACGCAATTTGCAGCAAACCAAGGTTCGAAGGACGCGTTCACCTCACTGATAGATGGCGATCAATGGATGATCTACCGGAACGTGCTCACTAATGTCCTTCATTGGGATTTTGTAAGGGTCGTTCAGTCTACTCACACATTCGTCGCTTAGACACTATACACAGAGCACTTTGCCACGATTCATCACTTTCCCAGTAATTGATGCTCAGTAAGTTGCACTCGTACCATGGAGATCCCTCGTTGATCATTTTCTGCAGAGCCACCGGTAGCCTCAACATAAATCTGACGGAGATCCAACAATTGGGGGAGCTTTGGAATTCGACCACCCTAAATGCAGTTTATAATGCGTTGGTTAAAAGAACCAAGAATGCGAATGCCGGTTACCTGAAGGGGTCCCGTGTGTTCTACGCCAACGATTATATGGTGAGCTTGCTGCGCGAACCACTCACCACATATCACGTCCTCACCGGAGAGCAGGTGCAACGCGGGGAGGGATATGTGTCCACCCTCAAGATGTACTCTACGAGGACGAAGAACACTGAATGCACCAATTCTCAGAATGTAAACTTTAGTATTTACCAACAAAATCCTCATGCTTATACCGCCTCGATTCACAGCCTCTAGGCTTCCACCTGGCCGACGGTACATTGTACACCTACCTCCAAGGCAATGAGTACGAGGACATCGCCGCCGCCTGGGACTGGAATCTCATCCCTGGGACTGGAATCTCATCCCTGGTACGACCGTCGACTACGGTGCCACGCCTCTAAACTGCGCGAACGCCGAGTGGACCGGCCTCGAGGATTTTGTTGGAGGCGTATCAGACGGGAACATCGGCATCGCCGCAATGCGCTATACCAACCCATATACCCGCGCACTGAGCTGGCAAAAGACGTGGTTCTTCCTCGCAGACGGTGTCCAGCGTGTCATGGTCACGAGCCTGTCCAACGCTGGGGATGCGCCAGTCTACTCCGTTCTCGATCAGCGTAGGCACGACGGTCCCATTTTCGTTAATGGATTTCCCGTTCCCGAGAACGTTTCTTCGGCGTCATATCCGTACACTACCTCGCTTTGGCACGGCAATGTCGGCTACACCTTCGACGATCCTTCCTTTGGACTGTCGTTATCCGTGGGCGAGCGCACCGGTAACTGGTCCGCGATCGGCATTTCGACACAACCTCCGGCCACCGTCGATCTCTTTGCTGCATACATCGAGCATCAAGACTTGACCGCTCCTTTGTCCTATACCATCTTCCCTGGCATCGATTTCCGTTCCTTCCAGGACAAGAGCGAAGATTGGCAACATACTTTGCGTACCTTGCGAAATGACGCGCTCATATCCGCCGTACTCGACGAAGAAAACGATACCGTGTCCATCGTATTCTGGGATGGGACGGGAGGCACTTTGCGCTTCTTTCTGTCTTCTGAAGACGACCCCATCTCCATCAGTTCGAACGGCAACTCAGCCATCATTTATTCCTTTGGGACTGACAAGATCACTGTCTCTGACCCATCCCAGACCCTCACCAATATTCAGGTCGACATTACTCGCGGGTGGGCAGGCGATACTCGATCCCTTGATATCGATTTGCCCACTGGCGGGAAGGCAGGGAGTAGTGTATCGATGGATGTGCCTTAAAGTATACCCAAGCTTGTGAAGATATATCATCATGATACCCCAGAACCGGAATACAGAGCATGCAGCTGCATTGTTACATACTATGACATGTACGCGCGAAAGGAAAGGAAAGTGAATCAGAACTGGGCTGCCTGCTCGCCGTAGGGGGCCTGCTCATACGCCGGCTCCTGTGGTGGATAAGCAGCCTCCTCTGGCGCGGGCGGGGCAGGCTGAGGAATAGCAGGTTCACGCTGCTCGGAGGAAGGCTCCGAGACGATCTTGTCGACCGGGGGCTCGAGAATCTGGACGGAGTCGGGAAGAGGCTTGCGAGGACCAAGCTGACCCTCGGGATCCCATCCTTTCATGCTAGATAATCCACACCATTCATGATTTGAACACTGAAAGACAGAACATAACACGTACATTTTGACCTTGATTCCAAGGACACCCTGGCGGAGAAGGACGTGGCGAACAGCGTAATCAACGAAGTCGCGAGCAGGTTGACCGGAGTGGATCATGAACCCGTCGGTGAATTTCATTGACTTGGCACGGGCAGCACGGAGCTTGCCAGACACGACGACCTCACAGCCCTTCGCGCCAGACTCCATAACGAAGCGAAGCACACCGTAGCATGCACTATCAAGATGTCAAGCAAGGTACAAGACGAGAGATGCAACCGACTGACCGGCGGATAGCAAGGCCACCAAGGAGCTTGTACCTCAAACTCTCACATTGAGCGACAGCAGAGAGACCACGGTATTGAACCTTCTCGGCATAGAGCTCGAGGGAGTTCTCTGGGAACTTGAAACGCTTTTGAACGAGAGCTGTCAGCTCACGAATGCGGCGACCCCTCTCGCCCAGGACCTCCTGCGTGTGGGTAGCACGGATGATGATCTGAAGATCAAAAATGAGACAACTATCAACATGCAATCGTACAAAGACGCACTTCGGTGCGGGCGTGGGTAACGCGAACATCACAGCCAGAGTAGCCCTCCTCAGAGAGCTCACGGGTGAAGAATTCATTGAGTTCCGCGCGGAAGACACCATCGGCCACGAACTTGCGCTTTTTGCTAATTTGGGCGGACATTTTGACTCGGCCGGGGGAGCTAAGAGGATCAGGGATGCGTCAGTTCTGCGTGAACTCGAAACCACATCCGCATGCGCGAATTATCATCCATCATCAAAACTGGGCGGTTTCGACCAAATTTAAAGGATATACCACTTCTGTGGGTCGTGTCTGATCTATAGATGCGAAATAAATGCATACCTTGAGGAAGAAAGTCGACGGAGAGGGCCTTGACGGAGCAATACTGGGGCGGGACTGGTTTCCTTACCTTCCCTATGCCACTATTGTTTAAAGCGGAGATTAAATCACGAATATATAAAAGCAACAGACCATGAACCGAACCTATCTCATCTTTCTGCTTCGTCTTGTGCCCTAGTATGCACCCTTTGGTTTTCCCAGTCTGTGAGTGTCCATTTCCTAATTCATCTCATCTTTATATCTACCTGTTCGCTATGAAGAGTGTTGTATCATCAACCACTACTGGCACCTCTTAGTCGACTTGACACGTTCATGGAGCTTCGCCTTCATGTTCTCGTGTTACTGACATGAATGACCTTCTGAGCTTTTTTGATTCGTTGTTTATCTTGCAATTCAGCAGACTGCTCATTATCTTGTTTTGCATCGCATTGAACTGACCATATACTCTTCCTTAGGCCTTGTTACAATTTTTCTTGTGCATCCATTTTCTGCCACATGACCCTGATCGAGATGGTCCGGTTCGTTGAGCGGTTTTTTGTAGCCACCGCTGGGATATAAATAAATGGTTCGATAACTTGATACATGAAAATATTATGTATGTTTCTTATCTACGACGCTCAAGACCCTTGAGGAGCTATGTTCCTTGTGCTCCCGTTCTTCCGCCGCTTCCCCATCCTCCACACAGTATCAAGACTCCTGAATGTCTGTCTCGTGGCAAGAGCTCGTCGCTGACAAGAGGCAGAGGCAGGTGGCCTCTATCCCTAAGAACTGGCTCATTGCTACACCATCCGTTGATGTCTTTGATGTAAGAAAGGTGCCAGAGGAGTGTGGTCTACTATCAGCGAAGGAGTTGAGGATCACAGAGATCGACGATATCGACTTACTTCTCAAGAAGCTTGCGTCCGGAGAGTGGTCTTCTGTGGAAGTTACTACGGCCTTCTACAAGAGAGCTATCGTCGCGCATCAAGTTGTGAGTAACGTGAGATCCCCGTACCTCGAACATAGTTTATCGATACGCTGTTAGGTGAATTGCTTGACGGAGATATTCGTCGAACGGGCCCTTCAGCGTGCGGGATGGCTCGACGAACAGCTCAAGATTACCGGCAAAGTCGTAGGGCCTTTGCATGGCCTTCCTATTTCATTGAAAGACCAGATATCTATCAAAGGCCTGGAGACGATCATGGGTTCGTTCCCTTAATGCTTCAATCAGCTGTTCTAACGGTTTCCTAGGCTATGTCTCATGGATCGGTAAGTATGCTGAGCGCGATGCTGTCCTCGCAGAACTTCTGTATGAATGCGGTGCCGTCCCATTTGTGCGAACAAACGTACCGCAAACACTCATGGTACTGCATGACCTTCATATCGCATTTTCTACTTCCGACTCATCAAGATCTCTAGTGGCCGGAGACCTATAATGTCATCTTCGGAAGGACGTTGAATCCTCACAACCGCAACTTGACTTGTGGCGGATCCTCGGGAGGAGAAGGTGCCTTGATTGCAATGAGGGGCAGTATTCTGGGAGTTGGTTCTGATATTGGCGGGCGAGTTCATCATATACATGAGTCTATCATGAAACTCATTGTGTGGTTTGCAGGTCCGTCCGCATACCATCTGCGATGAACGGGATCTACGGGTTGAGGCCATCCTTCAATCGCATGCCATATTATGGGGCCGCAAATTCGATGCAGGGACAAGATTCGCTGCCCTCCGTTATGGGGCCTCTCTCCATCAGCCTGACCGGCATTAAAGCATTCGTGCGAGCTATCCTGAGCCGGAAGCCATGGCTGAAGGACCCACTTGCTGTCCGTAAACCCTGGGATGAGAAGGAGTACGAGCTGGCGGAGCACGGATATGGTAAAAAGCTCTGCTTCGGTATTCTTTGGAACGATGGCGCCGTAGTCCCTCACCCGCCTATCATCCGAGGTTTGGAAATGACCAAACAGGCCTTGATCGCTGCCGGACATGAGGGTAAGGTAGTTTCTTCATTTGTGCCTCCTGTGCATTCTTCAGCCCGCTACAGTTGTCGATTGGAAGCCATACAAACACACAGACTTATACGAAGTCACGGTCAGTGCCCGACGATCTTTAGACGTGTATATGCTCACAAATTTCGATGTGCAGCGAGGCATCTGGACTGCTGCTGGATTGGAAGACTACGAGGCTGTCACCGCCGAGACGGGAGAGCCTATTTTGTCCAGCATGGAAGATATCAGTCCTGTATCAGGCGCGGGCGTGTACCATGCTGCTGAAGGAGTCTCTGCGTATCAGCTCTGGCAGATCCAAAAACGGAGGCTGCAACTGAGGAAAGAATACCTGGACTACTGGCAGAGCACCGTCGAGCTCACGTCTACAGGTCGTCCTGTCGACGCCATTATATCTCCTGTTGCCCCGTTCCCTGCTCCTCCGCATGGGAAGAATAAGTCCGTCCTGTCATACTTTTGTTCGCTGGTGTATGCTGACTGCCGGGTCGTTGACAGCAACGCTGAGTATACCATGGTCTGGAACTCGCTGGATTACACCGCCTGCGTATTTCCCGTGACGAGAGTAGACCCCGTCCTGGACAAGGCAAAGCCTGCCCACGAGTTTTTCTCAGACAATGACAGAATGATCTACGAGCTCTGTGAGTCACCCGTTGCGATTCAATCCCAATCCACTAACTTTGAAATACTCTATAATAGACGACGCTGAAACATTCAAGAATGCGCCTGTGGCCTTGCAGTTGGTCGGGGGCACCCTAGAAGAGGAAGCCGTGATTGCGATGACCGAGATCGTGGACGCCGCGCTCAAGGCTCGAAAGTAGCAATGACCATTGAGATGAATCAGAGAGAAAGAGCATATCAGAAGTTCAATGTAATATAAAGGGACCTGTGATGTTGAAGAGTCATGTACATCGTGTACCTGTGTATTGGCAGCGGAGCAGTTTGATGACTACGTTACAACGTGCGAGCTTCATTCACGAAGATGCCAGCTGCGCCCATGCCGCTTCCTACGCACATACTGGTGCAGAGGAATTGACCATTACGCCTACGGAGTTCCGCGAGACCAGTAACCACTTGACGAACACCAGCTGTAACGAAGTCAGCACCCAATGAGGCAGACATCTCAAAAGCACGCACTCATGCCGAGAGGATGGGTCAGTGAGATAGAACCGCCCCTTATCCAAGATCAGTATGTATGGCTCTCTCTGAGTTAAGCAGGTCATGTTCTCACTGGGGGTTAATCTTATCCATGGGAATTTTCAGCTCTTCAACGCAGTACGCGAATTGCGATGCAAAGGCTTCGTTGATCTAGAAAGGTTCGAGGACAGTGAGCGGAGTAATACTTCCATGCGAACCGAGCTAACCTCAAACACGTCTATATCTTCTTTGGATAGACCAAGCCTCTCTAGGAGCTTGGGAATGGCAAAGATTGGACTTATTCCCATGTAGCGAGGCTCAACACCTATTCTCTCATAGGTCTCTGATGTCTTCATAGAATGAGGGTCTTTCACGCTTACCGACAACGGTGCTTCCTACAAACTTCCCTAGAACCTCCATGCCTTCTTTTTCCGCATGCTCGCGTGTAGTCAGAATGCACAAGGCAGCGCCATCACCGACACCACTTGCGTTCCCCGCGGTCGTTGAAGCCTCGCCCCACTCCGGGAACACAGGTTTGAGCGAAGCAAGGGATTCCAACGTGACATTCGGACGAATAGTATCATCGACAGAGATGACTTGACCTTTGAGTTCAATTGGAATGATCTCTTCGGCAAAGATCCCGTTGGACGAGGCCTGGGTTGAAGATGAGAAATGAGGGTCACTGGATGCGAGCAATAGCAAGATACCGTGGTCGCCCTAGTATGCGAGATAAGGGCGTATTGGTCTTGCTTCTCGCGCGGCACTTTGTATGTCTGAGCGACCATTTCAGAAGTCCACCCCATTGGCTGTAATGTCGTCATGATGTGAACAGAGTGAACATAGATTACGCAGTCTAATTACCTGTACGCAATCATGGGATTGAGCGTTGCCGGCGACCGCGTCCGAAACCGAAGGCGTCGGTCGAGGACTGGCAGCATACGCCGAGGGTTAATTTCTTGCAGACACGATGATAAGTTTGTTCCACGTACTTCAAAGACATGCTCTCCATTCCAATAGCAAGACCAAGGGATATCTCACCGGTTTGAATGTCATGTGCTATGTTTCTGATCGCCATGAGTCCTGACGAGCACAGGCGATTGACCGTAGAAACGGGTACATGATCCGGAATACCAGCAGCGAGCGCCGCCGCGCGCGAGACATATAGTGGAGAAGGTGGATGGCAGGTTCCTATTCAGATAGTTTAATACATCGGGTAAGGATGAAGCAAGACTCAGTCTTACCAACGCAGATGTCATCAATCTTAGCCGGGTCCAGTCCAGTCTTCTGCAATGTTGCCTAGTTGAATAGTGAGATGTCGGTACTCGCGGCAAACACTACACATGACAGTCATGACTGCACCTTGAGCAGAGCGTGCAATATCTCGTCAACGGGGGTATCCTTGAATTGTCCTTTCTTTGCCCGACCCATAGCCGTGCGCTTTGCGAAGGTAATTACGACGTCCTCCGGGTTCTTCTGTAGGATGGCGGAGCGACCGCGAAGTGGTGCGTGGGTAGCCATTGCTCTACCAAGATACGGGCGCAAAAACATGGGCGATCTTAAGACGGTCCTGGATAGCGACATGAAGAGGAGAGAGAGGAGAGAGTAGTGCGAGGCAAGGAGATAAATTCTGGGGATGTCATGAAGAGGAGGCCGCTTGAGAAAGCATGGGAAGGTCCGACCCACGAATGGCAAACGCGGGGAAAGTCGCATGACGAACTCCTCCAGAACTATCTCCCGAAACACGTCAAATTCGAAACTATGGAAGGAAATACATAGTGAAAAGCAATGCTATTGTCTTCCAAAAATTACTTAGTAAATTGTGCACGAACACGCTGAATGCAGCTGCAGAGGTAACTTGCACTGAGCACACGCATGCGCTGAGTCCACGCAAAACTCTCAGAGCAACCTCGTATTTTGCCGCGGCACACATCGAAGGTAGTGCATCTGACTTGGGTCGAACGGAGCATATTGAAGAGATAGGATAACAAAGAAAGGAATTGCACGACAAGTCTGACAAACCAAAGATGAAGACACGCTTGAGACTGATGAAAACGATTCATGCACTAACCTAAGTTCAGTCTTCCATTGACACGGAAGGCACACCGAACGGTCCATCGCCCTGCTGCTTCGCCTTGGTCTTCCAAGCACGGTTCACGCTCGAGTAACAGTTGGCACATATGTGATGTGCCAGCTTTGGGGAGCCACATCCGGGACAGTGAACAAGGTCTGAACGGAAGCAAGCATATATTTATTGTTCACATTTCGATAAGCCGGCCGGAGGGCGTCAACGTACTCTGTTTATCCTTCAATCCTTTGTTCGCGCTCCGCATCGCCTTGCGTGAATGAGACACCTTCTTTTTCGGCACCGCGAGGAGGAATGGTGGGATGAGTTCGAGGAGTGACTGGAGCGACGGTATTGACCATTGAAATGGCGGTGACACAGCCAGAGCAGGAAGAAAAGCGGCGGAAAACCGAGGCCATGCAGCGGAGAACCTCGGGGTTGAGAACAGCGTCCTCGATTGTGTGAGAGCGAAGGTGGCCATCGTGGGCGGTGAGGAATAGAGGCCTTGAAGGAAGAGCACACGGAGTGACGCGCCGGTTGACACTCCGATTTCCTTCACTCGAACCCACCACAAGCGTACTCATACAGGCGGCGCAGGTCCCTACTGCCCACCATGTTCCGCCTCACCCGCCCTCTCTTCCAACAAGTCTCCAAGCTCTCGACGGGCATCACAGGCCTCGCCGTCCACCGCAATCCCCTCCCTGAACTGACTCGGACTTACGAATCGACGTTGACCGCCCTATCATCCCTCCCTGAGACTTCGGTCTACCGTCAGGGCACCGAAGCTCTTACGCTCCGGAAACTCAGCATCGTGCAGGCGGCGAACGGGGATATTGCTCAGGTCGAGAAGGAGCTGGATGAGGGGCAAATAGAGGAAGCGTTGCTGATCGCGCATGACGAGCATGCCCTCGTTGGCAAGATGGCAGAGTGGAAGGCGTGAGTGACGCTCTTTCACGTCAACAATGCTCCCAATCGTGCTGAACTCAATCTTAAAGGTGGGAGCCACTGGAGGAAAAACCAGAGCCTGGGCAATGGGAATATTTTGGCAAGACCTCGACAGCCTCATGATGTCTTTCTTGTTTCTATCACACTCGGCTGCTCTATTATCAAGGAGACTGCGAATAGCGTCGCCTTATTGTGCGCTAGATTGCGGTTGTCCATAAGGTCTATACTGAGCGGCACGGTCAACCTGAACCGTTTGTCACAACCTTGCTATTATCAGTCTTGCCCTCCCATGCTGGGCATACATTCTATCAATCCTCTGCTCACGCCAACAAAGTCAGACGATGTCTATATAATTCAACGTTTATCGTTCAACGATCAAGACAGGAATGCGGTGTGTCTACCACGATTCAATAGTCATCACTAATGCATTTTATATATGTACATCGTCCAGTATTCATTACGAAGAACCTGGGCCCGCCTTCAACAAGAGAAGAAAGGTAGGCTTGGCCAGACGACGTCAGAACATATACTTTCTGCCCGGAGGAAGTTCTCAGAGGCGTTGACAAGGCGCCTCCAAGACTAGTGATGGGCAAACGTAGCGGTGAGTCACTAAGCAAGACCTGAAATGAACAAATACGCCTCAAAGCACAGTCTTGGGTGGATACACCGTGAACCATTGATGCATAAACTAGTACGGGAAAGATGTGAGATCCAAGGATCAAGAGTATGAGGAAGAACTTGCTAGCTCTCCTGGTTATATACCATCGACGTGTTAGGTAATATCGCGGCTTCTAGGAACTTTAAGGCCGGGACCGCCGTTGTTACCCGATGCCAATGTACCTTGGGCAGTGAAGGACAGTGACCGGCCTGTATTTTCCAGCAGCCATGGTACGCTAGTACCGAATTCATGGACTGACGCGTTATTTTCTAAATCTTGAATTCCAAGTAGAAGTCCCCGGCGATTACACAAAGATGTTATCAGTATATGCGACTTGTGAAGCCGTTCGATAAAATACAAGGACATGCCGCATGCGTATCAGAGCCGGGCGGAATGTGGAAAAGTGAAGGCATCAACAAGTACGTCCCAAAGTGTCGCAGCGAGAACATCGGGCTTCTCTTGAACGATCTGAGACAACAATTCAAGCCTCAGGAAACGAAACACGGACACCAGCCGTGATCGAACACACCATATGTCCGACACCCGGCATCCTGATGATGGAGCGGACGTGCCTTCCCTTGGACACATCGACGACCGAATCCTGGCTGTAGCGGGGTCTGTGAGAGGCAGGATCAGTGCGAGAGCCAGAGCGAGGAACACGCATGCCCGCGCACACGAAATCGTTGATCTCTCCAAAAATCGCATAGACAGGCATGGATTGGCATGCGGCGCCGATCAGATCCGTCGCCGCGAAGACGTTCTCTAAATCGCTGAACGTGGAGGCCTCGTAGCGGTCGGAACACTTGACGGCGACGCACGCGTCGCCCTTCTCGTCGCGGGCAGGACGAAGGCCATGATTCTGTGAACGGAAAGGAGATCGAATCACCGGGTAGGTACGCGTGCCTTGCCCCTCGTCTCGTCTAAAACATGAAATCTTACTGCATGAATGCGCAAAACACGCGGGTCCCAGGTGTTCCATGGAGGACGTCGGCTCATCCATTGAAATGCGTCGTCCGTGCTTTTCCATACACTGCGCACTGAAGCGACGATCTTAGCGACCGCCTTCATGTGAAGCTCACGATCCTCCAAGTTCTGGTGGTAGACATCCTTGTCAATGAGAAGTGGTTCCACGAGGATGATCCCACTGTACAGAACGTGTTTTTCGATGTGGAACTTGGCGCAGCACATCCTGTACGAGGCATTTCAGATTGTGCTCGAGCTATGGATATGGTGGGCTCTTCTTACACGGCTGAAGCGCCTGCCGAGTGTCCTATGAGGACCAGACGATGACCTCGTACATGTTCGGACTTGGCGAATTCGTTGATAGCCAGTCCCCAATCCAATGTACCTGATGAACACACCGGGGCATCATGAGGACCTTGTGGAATTCAGACCCCAAGTGTCTTACTGATGGGGTCTTTGCGCGCAGCGCTCTCATTCAATAGCGCAGAGTCCCCATGACTCTGCCAATCGAACGCCCATGCTTCGCGGATGCGACAGCTGCGATCCTCAGATGCCTGAATTTGAAACAGCTTTGAAAGAGTGGGCTCCCAGCATTCTTTGTCTGCGCGATGAAATCAGGAGAATGTCCGACATGGATAGATAGAACGAAGAATCGATACGGTACGCAGTCCAGAACCGTGAGCCAAGATCAAAGTCAGACCAGCAGTCTGCAACGGGCTATCGCCGCTTGTGTATCGGTTTGCAGCCATCTTGAGGCCATTGCCGTCAGGAAGGGGGTCAAAGACGAACGACTGAGACCGCATGGCAGTCATGACGAAATGCCATCACGCCAGGGCTGGCGTGGCGGGAAAAGGCAAAAACGAAACGCTGACAGCAGGATTTGAACCTACGCGGGCAATGCCCAAGTGATGATTGAAATTCAAATCACTCGCCTTAACGACTCGGCCATATCAGCTTGACAGGCGATGGCTCCGACAGCACGATGATACGTACGCTGCGGGCTGGGGCACGAGTCCGCGCTGGGCCAGAGCGAGCGCGTTCGACCCGCACCCCGACCTCCTGCCCCGCCTCCCGCAGGCCCCGCCCCGCCCCACCCCTCATGGATTCGTTGATCCCATTCACAACCTCCGGCTCGCTGGTCGATTGTGTGGACAGTACGTCTGCCTGAGCCCCTGCCGCACACGCGTACATGTCAACCTGAGCAGCCCCGTCACGCCCCTCCCTCCCTCCCCCTCCCTGAACGCCTGTCCAGGGAAAATGCTCGTCATCCTCCGCGACGGCCGTAAGCTCCACGGCGTCCTGCGCTCCTACGACCAGTTCGGTGAGCCCGCCTCGCTTTTTTCTTTTCCGTTGGCCGCGCACCGATCACACACCTTCCCCTCCACTCTCAATTTGTATCTTCCCGTGCCCGCGCCGTCCTCGTGCCCCCGGACGCACAGCCAACCTCGTCCTCGAGGACACCGTCGAACGGATATACCACGGAAACGCGGTCGCAGAGCGCCGCGCGGGGCTCTTCCTCATCCGCGGCGAGAACGTCGTCCTCCTCGGTGAAATCGTGAGTCCCCCGCCCGCTCCCGCGCCCGCGCCCGCCTCCCCACACGTCCGCCCCCGCCGCAGGACCTCGACCAGGAGGACGATCTGCCGCTCGCCGGCGTGAACTTCCACGCGCTCGAGGCCAACCATCAGTACAACACCGCGCTCAAGAAGCAGCACGACGAGTTCAAGGCGCAGGTCCTGTACGAGCAGAAGGGCTTCTGCAAGGAGGGCGGCGAGGGAGACGGGTACTAGCCCGCGACGCGACGCCGCTGCGCATATATAGGTGTTTGCGTGCGGGATAGAGGCGGTCCCAGGGCTCTGGCAGATTCATTACGCCCAGCGAGAGCTGATGGTGGTGTGTTCGGGATGCGGTTGACGAGTTTGAGCGTCTCTGGGGTGTCTCTGTATCTACTTACTATACATACGTGTTTCATTTTTTGCGCATAATCGCACCGCAGACGGTCTCTGCCACACACAGGCAGTCCGATCGCTACTTGACTGTCATTAGAATAAAGAGTAGCACAGAATTATAACATGCAGAAAGGCGTGAATAAGTGAGTACGTGACGAGTCGTGATTAAGGTCGGTCGCGCGGACAATCACACAGAACGAAGCGTGCGGATATGATACAGAGGTGTTCGACGTTCATGCTTCCGACTTTCTCTTCTTCCCTTTCTTCCCCGTGTCCCCGTTGATTTTTGTTTTCGCCTGTCCGTTGGGGATCGAAGTCACGTTGGAGTTTCGGAGGGGCGCCGTGTACTGGGCAGCCGCGACGGCATTGTTGGTAGCAGCGGTCGAGAGCCGCGCCTGCGGGTCGACAATATCTTCGATGCGTTTTCGGATCTCGCGCTCGCGCGTCGTCAGCTTCTGCAGCGCCTGTTCCTTCACATCCTTGTCGAATCGGACCTCGGTGAGGCGCAGCTTCTGCCATCTGAACGGGTGTATAATAAAACAAAGGTCGCCTCGTCAGAGAACAAAGCAGAGCATGAATTGAATGGGAGGATCGCGCACCCGTCGTGCCTGTCGCATTTGCTCTTGCCCCGGCACCACCATTCGCCCTGCTCCGCCGCGCCATCCACCTGCATTGCCTCGCTCTCTTGCGCCTGGCTCTCCTCTTCATAGCTCTCTAGGACGCCAGCGCCAAACTCCGCGATCTCCTCGTCCCCAAAGCACAGACGTTGGTCCCACCCGCACTCGTCGAGGCCCTCCGAGCGCTGCACCGCGAGCTCCGTGAGCCGCTCTCGCCACACGACCACCTCCATCGCCTTCTTCATCGCCTCCCGCTTCTCGACGACCACGTCCAGCTGCGCATTCAGCCGCTCCAGCTCGCGCTCCTTCATCGGTTTTTGCGGCTTCACGATTCCGAGTATGGGCGAGGTATCAACCGTGTGCACGTTAGTGATGGCGGTCCCGTTGCCGTTTGTCTTCGGAATGGCGCTCTTCTCCTGCGCGCAGCCGTCGACCTGCATCTCGTCCACGCTGGGTGCCTGCTGTTTCTGCTCTTGCGCCAGCAGCGTCGACACGACGATGCCTTCGCGCCGCTCCGCCATCTTGACGCCCTCCCAGAGATCTCCGACGGCACCGCCCGAACGCGCCCACGCCCCGATGCGCATCTGCATGCACTTGAGGCCGCATTCGTCGGAGCAATATTTGGAAAACGCGCCACGTGCGGGCCGATGGCACGCCTCCGCGGACGCTGGATCCTGCTGCGCGAGCCCGTACTGACAGCGTCGCTTCCACGTCGTGTGGAGTGAAAGCTCTGGGTTTTCTGCCATGATGAATATGTCGTGAGCGTCTCGCGCGAGAAACGGGGTGAATGCAAGAGACGTACTGTCAACACAAGGTGGGCATATAAACTGGTCCACCAGATCTACCTCCAGATCCGGCATTCCGACGCAATGCGTATGATACCATTCATCGCACCTGCGACAAAAGACGTACACAATCAGAATCAGTCTCAAACACAACAAGCATACAGAGCACATTATATACAAATACAATCAGAGAGAAGGAACTCACCGATCACACGCGATCATGACCCTCTCATCATCATACCGCGTCTTGCACACACAGTACAGCTTATCCTCCGCCTCGTCGTGCTCGTCCTCCCCGTCTTCTGCACGCTCCGCTAGTGCCTGACTGTCAGGACCCACCGACGCACGCGGCATGACCGATGTTGAGCGTGAACGCGCCGCAGCGGCAGCTGCCACCGCTGACGATTTCTTTGCGGCATTCTGTGGAGGAACAGACAAGGGCGAGCCTTTCTTTCCCCGGGCCGCAGCGGCGACACCGTCTTTCACCGTTCTGCCCTTCGCGGTGCCCGAAGGCTTGGCGCGAGCTTTAGGCGCTGCGGGGGCCTTTCTTGCCTTTGGAGCAGGCTGGGGGGCGTCAATGGAGGACATCAGCGACCAGCACGACGTCACAGAAGCAAAGACCGAAGACCGACCTTCTTCTTTGCCGGTACGACCTTCTCTTCGCCTCTCGGCGTCCGTGCGCGCTCGCTCCCGGCGTCCATATCGTACTCGCGGCTGATGGAAGCAGAGACCGTCGTCGTAGGTGGCGGTGGCATCGACTCGCGCTCCGACTTGACAGGGGCCGCAGATGCGCTGCGCGATGGTAGCGACGGGTGGAGCGTGGCGGGCGGGAACGACATGCCCGTCTCGCGCATGGACGACTGGCCGTGAGGGTGCGCGTGCGTGTGTGCTTGAACGTGCTTGGAGTGATGGTCCTGGCGCGAGCGGTGTGAGCCCGAGGAGAGCGTGGAGGTGGAGGCGCTGAGCGCGGGTGTATGTGTCGGCGCGTGAGCAGAGGCGGCATGCGTCGAGCGCGGAGGTTGGGTGTCCTCGATGAGGCTGAGCAGCTCGGCGTCGACATCCGCGTCCATGTCGACATCCGCGCCCGCCCCCATCTCCACGTCCGCGTCCGCTGTGGGCGTCACTGGCCGTCGCTCTGGGGGTGTCACGGCGGCCGCGAGCGCGAGCTCGCTGTCTACGTCTGTCTCCATGTCCATAACCTCCACCTTTGCTTTGGGCTTCGGCGCCACAGGCGCGACCTCGCTCACGCCAGCGACCTCCTCGAGTTCTTGTTCGAGCGAGCGCTCGGCCGAGACGGACGTGCGGGCGATGGTCATGAGCTCAGAATCTGGTTCGTCGACGGCCATCGGGACGAATGCAGGCTCAGACACAGGCTCAAGTGCAGGCGCGGCCGGTGGAGGAGAGGGCGATGGTACGGGAGTGGGGCGGGGCGGAGTCAGTGAGGGTACAGGCGCTTGAGCCTTGAGTGGTGGCGACCGAATCGGGGGTGAAGGCGTCGCGGGCGGGGGCGTTGGTGTCGGGACGACCTCATCAAAATGCTCTAGCAGCCACTCATGCGCGTCCTGCTCCTGGGGCGGCGTCCGTTTGGGGTTCTGCTTGGTCGCCATCGACGGCCCGTTCGGTGCCTCTGCGACTGGAACGGTCTGAGCGACGACACTCACATCATCCCGGGTGGGTTTAAAGACCTTTGGCGAGGAGGTGCGAGAGCGCTGCACGGGTGCTGGCTCCTTACTCTTATCCTTTTCTCGCTCGCCGACCCTCTCCTTGACCTTGGTCCGCTCCGGCTGGACATCCGCCTCCCTCACCACCGCATGTACCTCAATCTCATGGACCTTCACGAGTCCGACCGCCGTCGTCGCGTGGACATCGCTGGTGGGCCGCGTAGGCGACTGCCTCTTCTCCAACTGTGACAGCCCAGATCTATGTTCACTCTTCGGTGCGTGTCCACGTGACGCATCACCCTCACCTTGTGGGACTTGGTGCACCTGGTGCAGTATTTTCGCCTCGGGCGAGAGCGGTTGCGGAGGGACCTCGGCGGTTGCGGACGAGGCAGAGGAGGAAGGCGGTTCGGTGGGCTCAGGCTTGGTGAGGGCGTCTTCTGGAGGGACGGGGCTGAGGAGGAGAGAGAGGACATTCTTGCGGGGAGGCGGCGCGACGGGGGCGAGAACAGGGACAGGGGCGGGGGGCGTTCGCTCCCGCGTCTCGACGACGGCGACGACGACGGGCGGCGGAGGATCGAGTGACAGGACGTGTTCGTGGGCGGGGCCCGGTGGGGGATGGGAGCCGGAACGGCGCCGCCGCTTGTGTGGACGGGTGTCGGGGGGCGGGTCGGGATGGGATCGGACAGGGGGCGGGGGACGGAGAGGGGGATCGGGGCGATGTTCGGTTCCATGTTCGGGTCCGGAACGGTCGGATGTCGGGCGCGGATGCGTGGCATGTGACGCAGAAGCTGCTGGCACTGACAGCGACGCCGGCGTCAGAGGTGCCTGTGACGCAGGTGCGGCGGGAGACACCGTGAACGACAGTCGGTGCCCGTGCCCGTGCCCGTGCGGCGCGTGGTCCAGCGGTCGGTAGACCACCTCGGGGCTGCGGCTCGCGCTCGTGCGGAAACCCTCGGGCTTCCTGTATTCGCGCTGGCGCTCTCGCTCTCGCTCCCTCTCCCGCTCCCGCTCCCGCTCTCGGTCGAGAGACGACGAGAGGCCCTCGGCACTGATGCGCCGACGCTCTTCCGTGGCAACTTGGACGAGAGCCTCGAACCCTTCGAGGCCGTTGAGGGAGGAGGACATGGAAGGAGAGACGGGGTTGAGGAGGGCACTAGGGAAGGAAGAAGAGGAGGAGGAGGAGGATGGGGGGCGGTGGGTCGTGGACACGTGCGTGGCAGGATCAGGACGGTGTTGGGAGGGATGGACAAAGTAGGGCAAGGGCTGCGGAGTGGTCTGGGGGTGTTGCTGCTGTTGTTGGTGGTGCTGTTGTCGGTGGGGTTGATGTTGAGAGGGCGGGCGATGATGAGAGGAAGAGAGGGGAGGGGAGTGGGCGGGTTTGTAAAAGATGACGGGAGAGGCAGGGGCAGGGTGCGAATACGCAGACGGGGTGGAGGGTGGGCGGTGCGACGAGGACGAGTGAAGCGAGGCAAGGGAGAGGGAGGGCGAGGGCGAGGTGGCGGGCGGGGGGCGAGCGAAGGCAAAGGGGGTGGGGGGGGAGTGATCGAGGGACGGGCGGGGAGAGTGAAAGGGGGCGTGGGCGTGGGGGAGAGAGTAAGGAGAGGACGTCGAGAGACGACGGAGATCGTGCTGGGCCGCTTCAGGGCCGTCGGCAGGCAGGCGATCGTAGCGATGGAGGGTGCGCGGGCTGGGCAGCAACGCACTCGGCCGCTCATCGTCGTCTGTGTAGAGACGTCGGTCGGGGGAGGGGGTGTGGTGGCGGAGGACGTCGCTCTGGAGAGACAGCGGGATGAATTCGCGGGTGGGGAAGGGGCGGGGGGAGGACTGGGTGGTGCGGCGATCGTAGGGGGCGGGGTCGGGCGGAGGACGAGGGCGGAGGAGGTGCGGGGCGAGGATGACTGTCTCGGGGGACGCGAGGAGCTGCTTTGCGGGGGACGGGGTGGGGAGCGTGGACGGGCCTGGCCCCTGCGCGTCGTCCGAGCAGAGGAGGGACGATATTGCGAGACGGCGAGCAGCCATGGTGGGAGTGCGAGATGGAGATCAGGCCGGACATGCCCAGTTCCCAAGCACGACGGCCCCAGCAAGAGCAGCCGCGCGTGACTTGCCCCGTCTCCTTCCCCGTTCCCCGTCCTCGTACCCCGTCCGCGTCATCGTCTCCCCTCGGTCCGCTCTGCCCTCCCATCGCCCACGATCACCTATTCGCTCACTCAGCATATCCCCATCCGGTCACCCATTCATCCCGTTGCGGCAAAAAAAAACGCATTTCATTTCCACAGGCATACATGTACAGCGGAACATTGCGACACAACCCAAACGACCGCCGCGAAGGGCAGGCCGCAGAGACAAGCTGCCTCTGCACAAGGCACGAGCGCGCCGCACCCAAGTCCCATCGCTCACAGCTCGAAAGCCTTCTCCTTCTCCAGCCCTTTATGACGGTCTCAAGGTCCTCGACCCACACCAGTCCTCGAGAGGCGGGCGGGTCATCGTCGAGATGCTTTTGAGGGCTAGACACGGATCCATCAGCGGCGAGCTCGAGCGACGGCGACCAGCAGCACTCACCTGTGCATTTTGCGTTTACAGGCAGCTTCTGCGCGCAATCGGCGCTTTATACTGCCGAGGAGGAACTGTACAGCAGTCCCCGGTGGCTTGCGGCAGGCCCCCGGATGCGGTGCCCGGGGGCCGGTGGGACGATGGACGGGGAACGAGCGTCGCAGCCGACTGACAGCCTTTTCGCCCGTCGCCCGACACAGCGAGTCCGATCCCGACGCCACCACCCCCGCCAGCCTTCCACAGCTCAATTTTCGACTGATCCTCTAAAAGGGCCCCGTCAAAGATGTCGGTGGCCACAAAAAACCCTTTCGCCATTCTGGATGATGGTCAGTCCTCCCTCTCTCCTCCCCTCCCTCAATCGCACTCTGATCCATCCTGTCCCTCGTCTCCCTCCGTCCACCGACGCGTCGGTGTCACATCATTTCCCCATCTCACCCATCAACTTCCCGCATCGCAGCCGAGGATTCTCGGCCGTCCAGCCCCGCTCCCGCAAAGACTCCCGCAGCTCCCCCTGCTCCCGCCACCCGCGGCGCACCCAAATCAAGAGGCCCCGCCTCTCGCGGTGGCCGCTACTACCAGCGGGGTGGCAAGCCTGCCGCGGACTCGCAGCCCGCCGATGCTCCCGCCGAAGATGCTCCCGCCGAGGGCAAGAAGAGGTGTCAGTAGTCTTCTTCCCGACTCCTCCCCTCTGCCCACCCACCTCGCTCATCTCGCGTTTCCCTTTCCTCACTCTCGTGCCGCCCGCTCCAATTTTTATCGTTGGCTCACGCGCATCCAGTCGACGGTGAAGGCCGTGGCCGTGGAAGGGGACGCGGACGCGGTGACCGCGGCGATCGCGGTCGTGGCCGCGGTGGCGCACGCTTTGACAGGCACAGCGCCACTGGCAAGACGTAGGCCTCGTATCCCTCCTGGACCCGACTCTCTCGCTGATCCTGCCGCAGCGACTCTGACAAGAAGGTTCACCAGGGCTGGGGCGGCGACGAAGGCACCACCGAGTTGAAGGCTGAACAAGCCGGCAACAACGATGCCGCTGCCGACGCCGCTGCCGCCGAATGGGGCGCACCTGTCGCCGATGCCTGGGGCGCAGCTCCTGCCGTTGAAGGCGATGCCGCTGCGGCCCCCGCCGCTGAGGGCGACAAGCCCGAAGAGGGCCGCAGGCGCGAACGCGAGCTTGAGGAGGAGGACAACACCCTCACCTACGAGCAGTATCTCGCCCAGCAGAAGGAGGCCGCCGATGCCGCCATCCCCAAGCTTGAAGGTGTCAGGCAGGCTAACGAGGGTGCCGGCGATGATCTCTGGAAAGACGCCGTCCCCAAGGAAAAGAAGAACGAGGAGGAAGACGCCTACTTCGTTGGCAAGGTGGGCTCCTCCGCTCAAGTGGATAGGGTGCGACGAGATGATTAAACGGTGCTTTTCCATTCTTCCCCGCAGGCCAAGTCCGCGCCCAAGGCGCGCACCAAGAAAGAAGAAAAGGTCTTCCTCGAGATCGAGGCGCGCTTTGAACGCCCCAGCCGTGGTGGACGCGGACGCGGCGGTGACCGCGGGCGTGGTGGCGACAGAGGCGACAGAGGCGACAGAGGCGGCCGTGGGCGCGGCGCTCGTGGCGCTAGGCCGCCCCGTGCCAATGGCTCGACGCCCAACGTCGACGTCGACGATGAGACGGCCTTCCCGTCCCTCTCGTAGGAACCATTGCGGATTACACCGCGCGAAATAGGTCTGGGTAAAAATAACGAAACCCAAAACCAGATGTGATTGTTCTGCCGTAACTCGCAGCCATGTTCGTTGTAGTCGATGTGTTGTAGTCGTGCCCTTCGTCTCGCCCTCTTCGTTTTTGCTCTTGAGCCGAAACTGTGCATATCTCACACCCCCGTCTCGGCCCCCGGTTCTCAGTGTCGTGTCTCGCACTCTTCCACTCTGTCTTCGTTTGTCTGTGTTGTGTATTTTCCTCCTTATTTTTTGCAGCGACGGCTGCCGCATGTGCTGACACGAAATCGAAGATGTGAAGATACTCATTACTGCCTGTCGCGTGAAGCAGTGAAGCGGGATGCCCTACGGGGATGCTCGTAGCCGGGTCTGAATCATCTTCGCCGGAAGCGATCTCTCCCAGAACGGTCGAGAAACGACAATGATAGAGACGATCTACATTCTCCGCCACGGTACACGTCTCCCCCGATGCTTCCCGCCGGTGTCTCCGAATGATTGAGACTGACGTCCTCTCCTCGCGCGTCTGACCGCTTGCAGGGTTTAGGCTGAACTGGGTCACCAGCAACTGGTCAGTCGTCCCGCACCGCGATGTGATCCGGGGTGCTGACGGGCGGTGTGTGCACGGATGGCAGGAAGAGCCCGACAGGTTTGCCGCGCGATCCACCCCTGGCGGCGTTTGGAGAGGTGCGTGCTGCAGCGGTGCAAGACGGTGCGATGCGGCGAGGCTGACGGCGTGCGCTTTGCAGACGCAGGCGCAGGAGGTCGCGGACTACTTCCTGTCGCTGCCTGAAGATCAGCGCCCGACCGCGATCTGGTCATCGCCCTACTGTGAGCCGCACGCCCGCGAGACCTCACCGCATGGCTGATCTCCCCGGCGGTGTAGATCGCTGCATCCAGACCGCAAAGCCCGTCGCCATCGCGCTCGGCCTCCCGATCTTCATCGAGCACGGTCAGCCCCACCCCGTCCGCTCCGCCCCCGCCTTTGCGCACTGACAACCCGCCCCTCGCGCACCAGGCCTGTCCGAGTGGTACTCCCCCGTCGCACCGGACACCGGCCTCCACCCGCGCCCCGCCAACGCCGCCGCCCTGCGCGCCCACTTCCCCGAGATCGACCCCGACGCGTGGGCCTCCGTGTGGTACCCCCCGCGCGCGGGCGAGGACGTGCAGCAGGTGCACGACCGCGCCGCGGGCTTCGTGTCCGCCTTCGTCCCCGAGGTCCCGCGCCGCCTCACCCACAACGGCGGCGGTGGCCCCGCGCGCGTGCTGCTTGTGAGCCACGCCGCGACCGTCATCGCGCTCGCGCGCGCGCTCGTAGGCGACCGCGCGCTGCCGCTGCGCATCGCGTGCTGCTCGCTGACGCGCGTGGAGCGCAAGGCGGGCGTCGTCGACGGCGTGCAGCCGATCGAGGGCGCGTGGGAGGCGCGTCTGCTTGGGGACGGGAGCCATTTGAAGGACGGGAACCAGCGCGACTGGGGATTCGAGGATATCGAGATCGCGGATGGGCAGGTTCGTCGTGTTTTGTTCTTCTTCGTGGGCGGCAGACGTGACGGGTTTGTGTGTTTGTGTGTGTGTGTGTGCAGGTGGTCCATGATTCGGGCGTGCCGGGCACAGAGCATGAGGTGGACGAGCTTGTAGGCTGTCAGATCAAGGAATTGGCGGCGCGGATGTAAAGGCATCGATGCATCGGGGTCATCGTACAACACAGCTTCAGACCGTAGATAGCTACACTACATGTACACACAGCAAGAAATTCCACGCATCCACGCATCTCGCGCGCGGCTTTCAGAACGTGACGTACGCGCTCGCATAGCTCACGCTCGAGTCCTTGATATCCACGCACTGGCTGCTCTGCTCGTACCTCACCCACCGGAGCCCGAGCGCGCGCCCCTCCTCGCGCTCGAGCACCGCCAGCGCGCCGAACAGGACGCCGATCGGGTGCCGCCCGCAGATGGTGTTCTTCGTGCGCTCGAGGTACTCCGCGAAGTACTGGTGCGCCTGCACGGCCGTCGACGGCGGGAGCGTGAGCAGCTCCATCGCCTCGTGGTCGAGCGCGCTTATCGACGCGTGGATCGGGAACCTGGCGAGCGTCGCGGGCGCCGGCGTCGTGCGCGAGAGGCGCACGGGCGCCGTCGTGCTCGGCGGCCGCTCGGGGTAGTAGAACGTGTATGAGAAGCGAGTGCCCCTGCGATCCGCGTGGGCCTCGTGCGCGTGCGGAGAGAGCAGTAGCGTCGAAGGACGCACCAGTGACAAAAGTCGCTCGAGATGACGCAGAAGGTGTCGTCTCTGGCCAGGTAGGGCGCGAGGATGCGGCCAAACGCGGCTTCCTTCCCCTTGTCGATGGCCCCGACGAGGATCGGGACGATGGAGATGTCTAGGCTGTGGTCTGGGTATCAGCAGCCATCGGAGGGGAGCTGGGAGAGTAGCATCACCCTTCGAAGACCTTGCGGACATAGGGCAGGTGCATCTCGATGCTGTGCTCGTCGTTGTCCGTCTCGGAATCCATGTCGCTGAACTTGCCTGTCGCCCTGAGTTCCTCGATCGCTGGGTGACGCTCAGTCCTCCGAGGCGGAACGCGGTCATCGCGGGGACATACTCTGGGTATCCAGCGGCAGATCGCCTATGGGCGTCGCGTACGACGTGTATTGCGACAGCGCGCATCCATCGAGGTAGAAGTGGTGCGAGGGTCCGAGGACAAACACGCGCTTACTGATCGCGAGTGGATCAAGCCCGCACGCTGCAACATATCGCAAGAGGGTGCTCACATTCCGGCCGCGTCGATGCTCTTATACGCCCACGCCGCAGCAGGGCCCGAGTAGGAATATCCCGCATGCCTGTGTGCGAAGTTCACGACATCCGGGATAATCTATTGGAGACGACGAGCACGCACGGTGCGATGATGGCCTTGCATTTCTTGACCGGAGGCTCATAGTCGTCCTTCGCGTCTGGCTTCACGGCATCGAGCCAACCAGTCAATTGCTCATTCAATACTTCAGCTGTATAAAAGAGACGATCGTGAGGACGGATAGAGAGCTACAGGCGGTGCCATAGTACATTTGCCGGTGTACCAAGAATGTGCATGAGTCGCTGGTCTGAGAGCTTCTGGTCAGGATGGGTGAGGGCACAGAGCGTCTGCATACCTGGTAGTCATAGTGAAACGAACAAAGATGTCCGGGTCGTTCCTACACTCACTGATAAGCTACCCACTCGCAAGGACGACGTCACTGAAGAGGATCAGACACCGGTCCCTCCCGTGTTCGGCAACATCAGTGTGCAGGAACAGAGCGCTCAATTTTGGAAGTCATGAAGTCACTCGATCTCATTCGTCTCATGCTGGCTTATCGATTGCATACCAACGTAGCATATGAGTGAGAAAGAGGATACATGCGGCGACAATGGGATGATAAACAAAGAAAAATGCGACACTCTACTCCTCAGACCGCAGGCGTGCAGCAGGGTTCGTGACCTTCACACCCAATACCTTAGCGCTATGTTTCGAAAAGCGATCAGCACGCTTTCGCCCGGGAAATTCGAGCACAACGTACCGTTCAAGGATGACTGCCCGGTTGCGACTGCTGACGCCGTGTGCAACCTCGGCGGCGTAGGTCTTGTTGTGCATGAGTAGGAGCTCGAGTTCCCGGACATTGTTTACGAGGAACTTCTTCAGGCCGTTAGGAAGAAGATGACGTGTCTTCTGGTTGCTGCCATAACCAATCTGCACAGAGCAGATCAGGCTATGTGTACCCCGACGCAGATGTTTCGCAGACTTACCGACGGCATGGGAGTCTGACCCTTGAACCGACGTCGCACCCTGTTATCAATACCCTTGGGCTTCCTCCATGCCTCCTTCACACCATGATAACGATCGGATTGATGGCGCCTGAAAAAAGAACAAATGAGCGCGCGAGTTGAGACAGGGATGAGCCGCGAATGCACGCACTTGAAGACCTTGGTGCGCTTTTTGACGATTGGCGTCTTGACGGCCATTGCGGACTGAAAGAATCAGAAGTCATAAGCACACGTCCCTGATGATACAGCCAGTCGATGAGGAGAGTTGGTGGCGGGTGAAAGCGCATCTGCAGTTATCCGACTAGCCGCGCTGCCATCCATGCCGTTCCTGCTCCATCCATCCTATTCCTGCCATTCCAACCTGTCCTTCACTCACCCAGCCTCATCCAATCCTCTCAGCCTCTCATCTGAACCTGTGAACAGACATAAATGGGCTATACTCACAGATTTTGAGGGGTTGAGGACGATGAGTTAGCGTTGATTGGAGCTTAGGCTATCTTACCCAATCGGGAAACTTCGGGACAAGCACCCGTCAACACCATGTGGCTGAAAGACGGAATCCGAACGTTTATCCTTGATCATTGTTCACTGCACTGACTACAGAAGCTATATGGCCTCCTCAGCAATATCTTGAATGGAAGTGTTCACATATGTGCGACTCTGACTGTGCTTGAGACATAATTCTTTGTTTCTCTATAGGCTCAAAAAGGTGCAGGCGTTTGTCATGCAAATTCTCGTCCAATCGGGATGGCGAGCATGTTGAGCAGGGCGGCCAAGCGTCATGAGACGGCAGCGGCGGATCATGTCTGTTCTGTAAGTACAGCCTTCAAGCTTTCGAACAAAGGAGAATCATGAAGTGAGAATATTCCAAGCTGGCAGAGAAGAGCTAAGAAGCGCAGAGAGAGCAACGTTCGTTGGTTCCCGCGGGCCGCGGACCAAAATGGACTGATTTGGGGTGAGAAGGACGAATGCGTCAGTGGCTGGATTTATGTTTTGACTTGTCCTCGGCTGCTCGCAGCGCCCATTCTCCCATTTCCCCTCACACCAGTCAACTTCGTTGTAACTTTCTCTCGATTTAGCTCTATTTCCGAGCGTTTTCCATGTTGGCCGCATCTGCAATCGACATCACCTTTGACGACGACGAATGGGTGGCTCCTGTCGGGAAAACCAGGCTAAACCGGGCTGCGAGTGTCGGAAACAGCTGGGGTGTCACGTCCATTGGGCGGGGGTTTGACTGGTCGCAGAAAGCGCATGAAGATGGAGAGGACGAGGACGAGGATGCGGACGAGGATACGAACGTTTTCGAAAGTGAACCCGAGACTCCCCCGGACGCGGCGCGCGCCAGCGACGAAGAGCATGACTTTGAATCACCTGTTCAGGCTCGACCGCCCGCGTCTGTGGCCCTTGCCAGGCCGAACCCGATCTATCCCATCACGACCCTTACACTCTTCCCTCCGCGTTCCGATCCCGCGCATTCTCCCACCATTTCCTCACGTCCTCTCACGCCCAACAGCCCTTCTCGCACGTTCACAGCACCCCGTCCACCACCTCCTATACGTTCACCTACCTCCCCAAGGCCGCGCAGACGTTCTTCGCAGCAGCGTGTCTCTCTTATTGCCGGACGTGTCTCCATCGCCCCCATCGAGCCGCCATCAGACTTCCCGGTGGCGCCGCAAAAGCTTGTTCGATCTGGCAGCTCTGGCAGTCTCTTGAGCATCGCGCAAAGTACCTGTCCACCGACGCCAACTGGCACACTCACTCCCGATTCGAGCGAGCGAGACATCTCTGAGTTTGTCATCCAAGGGGAGGTCGGGCGAGGCGCGTATGGCTTGGTCAAAAAGGCGCGCGAAATAAAGCCTGACGGGACACTGGGGGTAAGGTCTACACAGTCAAGCTTCACCGTCTTTTCACGTTGTTGAACACCTGAGTAGCCTCCGTTGATCATGAAGCAAGTCATTAAATCTCGGATCCTCGCCGATTGCTGGAAGAAACATCCCAAACATGGGACAATTCCGATAGAGATTTACGTCATGTCTGCTATCTCCAATACTTCATACGTGTTGCCCCCTCGAAGGCCTTGGGATCCTGCGCGACCATCTGCGCCGGACTTACAATCTTCATCTTTATCCCCACCCGAGGGCGATGTTTTTGAGTGGGTTGAAGGCAAGGTCGTCAAAGGTCACCCTAATATTTGTCCACTCCTCGATTTCTTCGAAGATAATCATTACTATTACTTGCTATTGCCATCCACTACCCCCGAACCCGGGCCCAATGAGCCGATTCCTCCATCAGATTTATTTAACCTCATTGAGAGCTATCCAGATGGCCTACCGGTCAGCTCGATTCGGACATACTTGGGCCAAATCGCGGACGCGCTCAGCTTCTTACATGCACGAGGAATTGGTGAGGACAACTCCATCGCTGAGCAGTGGCTATGGCCTGACAATCCATACAGTGCATCGCGACATCAAAGATGAAAACGTGGTGCTCGGACCTCGTGGGCGGTGCATCTTGATAGATTTTGGGAGTTCGGGTCTAGTCAAGAAAGGTGGATGGGACACGTTCAGCGGCACGTGAGTGTCTTCAGAAAATATCATCATTTTATATGCTGAGAGCAAACACTGAACGCGCAGCCTGGACTATGCGGGCCCTGAGATTCTGCGCGGAGAGAGATATCAGGGTAAAGAGCAAGATGTATGGGCATACGGCGTCGTAGCATACGTGATGCTGGTTGGAGAATGCCCCTTTTCAACAGCCGCAGAGGCTCAAGAAGGTCTGGCGTCCCCCTTCTCGGCCGCTTCTATCGCTCTAGATGAGCGTTGCAACGAAGGACGAGAGGCAGAGGGAGAGGAGGCCGACGGCGGGGGTGCGTTGGGGGATGCTGCGGCTCTCGTTCGAGCTTGTCTTCAACTAGATGTCGACGCTCGGCCGAGCTTCGATAAGATTCTTTGCAGTCGCTTTCTCGCAGGACATGGAGGGTGGGGGATGTAGAGTGAACGCCGGATTGGCGTGCAGGTCCCTCAGGTTGCACGTGTTGTCAGCATGTGGTTTGGCTGTGTTCCGTCAGTGTTTAGATCCTTCATCAACATGCCAGATAACGAATTTACAGAGAGTGACGGTGCGGTATCGATGGCAGACGTATCTGCCTCGCACTTATCGCCGCGGTACGCAATACGTTGTGTTTTTATCTCTTGCAGTCTGCTTCTACTTCCATTTCAAGCGCTTTCACATATTTATCATTTTCCAGTTGGATCTGGCTGTGCCATTGATTTCGATGCATTGTAGGATTTAAGCATAGAGAAAATGCGAAACGTTCATTAGCGGTTGTCTGTAATACATATCGTGTAGCGTACGATATCTGTGAATAGAAATGACTGTCCACGGAACCTAAGACTATGCTTTAGGAAAATTGTCTGAAAATTTGCTGCCGAAGCTGCAGAGACATGGGTGTTTAGGGCAGGGCGAGCTTGGCCATCATAAAGTAGGACTAGGGTTGTTATGTAACCCCAGACTTCTCCCTCTTTTCTACCACCTCCTCTACCTGTACTGATATCCGGTGAGTACGCCCTCCCTTCCCCTCTTCCAGATCGTAATCGTGCCCTATGCGCCGTCCACGATTTTCGAATTTTTCGAATTTCCCCTTTCTTCGCCGTCCTTGATCTTCTGGGATTGTTTTTCTGTGTCGAACTTGACTCGATGATGAAAACTGATGCGTCTCATCTCCGATAGCAAACAAAAATGGGCAAGGATAAGACTCACGTTAACGTTGTCGGTGAGCAGGTATCTCGAGAGAACCTTTGATCAGCCTGATTAACAAGTTTATAGTCATCGGGCACGTCGATTCCGGCAAGTCCACCACCACTGGGCACTTGATCTACAAGTGCGGTGGTATCGACAAGCGTACCATCGAGAAGTTCGAGAAGGAGGCCGCTGAGCTCGGCAAAGGCTCCTTCAAGTATGGTATGTGGATGGATTTTGTCGATCTCTAGTGGCGTAAAATTTTCTGATCTATGTCGCGGTACAGCTTGGGTGCTCGACAAGCTGAAGGCTGAGCGTGAGCGTGGTATCACGATTGATATCGCTCTCTGGAAATTCGAGACCCCTAAGTACATGGTCACTGTACGTAGATGCTTATAGTTTTTTTGCTGATCATATGCTGATTACTTCTTGTCCTCGTAGGTCATCGATGCTCCTGGACATCGTGATTTCATCAAAAACATGATCACGGGTACCTCTCAGGCTGACTGTGCCATTCTCATTATCGCCGGTGGTACTGGTGAGTTTGAGGCTGGTATCTCCAAGGACGGCCAGACCCGCGAGCATGCGCTGCTTGCTTTCACGCTCGGTGTGCGTCAGCTCATCGTTGCCGTCAATAAAATGGACACCACCAAGGTATACCTGCTCTCCCTTTCCAAACCTGATCAGCGCTCATTCTGCCATCGTAATTGCCTAGTGGAGCGAGGATCGTTTCAATGAGATCGTCAAGGAGACGTCCACCTTCATCAAGAAGGTTGGCTACAACCCCAAGACTGTTGCGTTCGTCCCCATCTCTGGCTGGCACGGTGACAACATGTTGGAGGAATCCCCCAAGTAAGTTGTTGGATGTGTTTCTTTCCCAGCACGAGGCTAACAATCTCTCTTCGCAGCATGCCTTGGTACAAGGGCTGGACCAAGGAGAACAAGGCTGGTGTTGTCAAGGGCAAGACCCTCCTTGATGCCATCGACGCCATCGACCCCCCCTCTCGCCCATCTGACAAGCCCCTCCGTCTCCCTCTCCAGGACGTCTACAAGATCGGTGGTATTGGCACGGTGCCCGTCGGTCGTGTCGAGACTGGTATCATCAAGGCTGGAATGATCGTCAACTTTGCTCCCAGCAACGTCACCACTGAAGTCAAGTCTGTCGAGATGCATCACGAGCAGCTCGAGCAGGGTGGCCCTGGTGACAACGTTGGCTTCAACGTCAAGTATGTTTTTATCCTAATATCTTCTCGTCCAAGAGCTTATCTTCGTTCAGGAACGTATCGGTCAAGGACATTCGTCGTGGCAACGTCGCCTCCGACTCCAAGAACGACCCCGCCAAGGAGGCTGCGTCCTTCAACGCTCAGGTCATCGTTCTGAACCACCCTGGTCAGATTGGTGCTGGCTATGCACCAGTGCTCGATTGCCACACTGCCCACATCGCCTGCAAGTTCGCCGAGCTTATCGAGAAAATCGATCGTCGTTCCGGCAAGGTCATGGAGGCGTCGCCCAAGTTTGTCAAGTCTGGCGACGCATGCATTGTCAAGCTCATCCCGAGCAAGCCAATGTGCGTTGAGTCCTACAACGAGTACCCACCTCTGGGCCGCTTCGCCGTCCGTGATATGCGTCAGACCGTCGCTGTCGGTGTCATCAAGTCCGTCGACAAGACCGAGAAGGCTGGTGGCAAGGGTGAGCACACTGAACTTCATACGCACATGTTTGACGACTTCTGACACTCTTTCATCTTCAGTTACCAAGTCCGCCGAGAAGGCCACCAAGAAGAAATAAATTTAGAAGTAGAACGCCCGTTCCTTTCTTCTTTCTCTATTCCACCCCTTCTGTTTCCTTATCTCAATCTTGTAGCACGACGCAGAAGATTTACGACACCGGGTCATATCGGCTGGCAGAGGTCGTGTATTTGTTACAATGTTGTTGCCTTACGATTCACCAATGAGGAATGATGTAGCGTGATATTCGTCGTGCTCGTGCTTTGTTTCGATGCTCGCCCTCCGATGGACCGTGGAATAGCTCCCCCAATTCATGAATAAACCCGGCATATTGATGCCTACATAATGTCTACATTTCATTTTTCACCGCCAGAAGTTGTCAACATTCCAGTACTTCTACATTTTAACAAACGTGCTCAATCTCCCTGTTGTCCTCCACGCGTTCGCCAAGATCCCTACCCACCCTCCTCTCGAATAGTTCCATCAGTGATGTGAACATAGAGCGGGTCAGGGCCGCATCCCAGCGTCCCTTGGAGCTTTCGTCGCGTATGAATGCGTGCTGGGCTTGCACTTCCAGGAACTGAACAAATTACATGCGTTATGCAACCTGAGCACCTGAAAACACAAGTCCCGTGGAACGTACCGTGACAGTAACGTTGGCGTCTTCGAGGGTCTGACGGATAAGATCGCGCCCCGCACGGGGGACATGGGTATCCTATGCATAACCAGGCGTTCATACAAGACGCAGGGTATATCTGCGTGGTGGACGGACCTGTTTCCCGAAAACCATCTGCAAAAGGGGCGAACATCCCATGAGTGGGTGGGCAGGAGAAGACGAGTGAGGGAGACATACGACAAGCTCCTTGTCTCCGTTCAGGCCACCTGCACGGACTTTCGCGAGCGAGTCGTCGCTCTTGCCTTTACCAAGAGTCGCACTGTGGATATCTGTCGCGAAGAAACAGAACGAGGCTAAAACGCGGGGGTGGAACGAAGCCTTGATCGTCGCTTGAAATCAGAGGAGAATGTGTGTGTCAGAAGGGTCGTCAGGTGCGTACGCGGAAGGCCTGGTGGTGGACGAGAGCTCGGTGAGTAAAGCTATTGTTTGCGGGGATAGAGTGGTGACTGACCAGATGCCCGCCGAGACACATTCCCGTGGCTGGTGATCAGATGAGCGCAATTAGCGCAGAGGGATATGCCATGTCAAGGAAAGTCAGCCTGCCTGCGATGCGGCCATTGCAGTTCGGGTGCGAAGTAAGTAGGTCGACGGCGAGCGCTGTGTCCTAAACATCGAGACATTCGTGCATGGTCGACAAGGATATCAATGCCTTTGGTGATGCGCACCTCGTCATACGCGGCGACTTCTTTCTCAATCTGGGGGATATCGCCGTCAGGACGATGATCAGATAGCGATCATCGAAGATAATCTATACCTTGAACCTGTTGCCTCTATCGGTGCCTGGACATGACAGGTCAGATATCTCTTCCGATCTCCAGCGCTCAGCAAGGACACTGACCTTCGACATCGTAAGGAATCGCCTCGGGGCCTTGGAACTCATGGTAAATGGAAGGGCAAACTGCAGAAAATACGCATGCTTAGAATGGTAGAATTGGCGACAAAGTTGAGCGAAAGCACGCACCTACGACATATCCATTGCTGGCGATCTGTCCCGCAAAACGCTCGACGGGTCCAGTCACCTGGTAGATTTCGCTAGTATGGAGCAATGGGGGATTTAGAGAGGTCTAATGTCTGCCGTATTGGGGAGGGTTCCTGACCTGAACACGACAACGCCTGCGCCGATTGGGTCGATCTCCTCAGGCTAATGCGCAAAAAGGAAATTGTGCTGGAGAGCGACGTACCGGGAAACTTGGCGTTGGGGTAGTTGGGCACGTTGGGAGTGATCACTAAGAACCTGATGGGCCTGCCGTTTGGATCGAGCTGGGTGGGCACATCTTTGTACGTCGTGTTGATCAGCATTGTATATGGCGGCTGTACAGACAAGGATGGATGGGATCAGTGGGCAACTGCAGCAGATGGGCGTTCGTGGATAGGCGATGGCCCACGATCGATCGTCTATATAAACCGGATTTCCATCTGATCAACTCAACTCTGACAAACAAACGTGCGAGGCCCAGTCTCCTCCTTTGAGAACATAATCAATGCTTACGCTCTGGTAGCATACACCTCATCCTCTCCTGCCTTCATCATGTCGACAAACCATTCAGAGGCAATTCAAGCCCGCATACGCCCTTACCAGCCTCGAGATGAGAAGCAGGTGCGCTTTATGGTCGGGCAAGCACAGATGGAGCCCCTAGCTTTCGCAAACAACCGCGGTCAGTGCGAACAAACCTCGTTTGCTGCCCCAACCGATGCTAAAAATCGTCCTGCAGCGTATTTCCATCCGGTCACGCTGGCCATCTGGATCGCTGTCTCTTCCATATTTGCCCAGTTCATGAAATGGTGGCCGGATCCAAGCAACGGCTTCTGGGGCTACATTTTCGTCTTGCCAGCGTTCTTCACACCAGCGGTGCCCATCATGTTCTTTATAGACTGGTACGTAAGATCAGAACCCCTACCGCTACTCCTAAATCAGCTGATCCTCGGGCATTCAGGATAAATCGACCGGACGTAGAAGAAACGGCTGAGAAGGTCCTGCGTCGGCCTGACCTGTACGACATCTCGGCGTACTACTCTCGCTCTCCAGCCTCTGGGTTCTGGATCCTTGAGTACAGCGACAGGATCATTGGCCTCATTGCTGTTGACGCGTCCCTCGATGCGACTTTGGATGAACCCGTCGCACAACCTGTATCCGAACAACAGATCAAAAAGCTGCTCCATGGAAAGGGGACCGCGCCCGTGGCAGTCATTCGCCATTTCTTCATCGAAGAGGCCTATCGCCCCGCTGATGTAGAAGAGGACCTGCTCCGCTACGCCGTCGGGGCCGCATTCGAGGCAAAGCAGGAAGTGAGCGAAGTGCGAGCGCTAGGTTCGCCCTTGAGACCGAGCGTGGAGAAATCACTCTGTGCTAGCGGGTTCACGCGCAAAGAGCGAGTCAGGACGACGGGAATTCTACGGTGGGATACGAATTGGTACACGCTAGAGAGAAAGCAGTGGCAAGCTCAGGAGGAAGTGGGTGCGAGATCTGTAGTGGTCGAGGATACAAAACACAAGACGGTAATTGCAACAACTGAAACACCATAGTACTCTACATCGTCTCATTTCAGGTGTCAACATCGTATTGTACGTATTCGCCGCTAATTGAATAGTGCGAAAACCTGTTCTCGGCAACAGTAGTGCAACAGTACATGCAGACCTATGCGGACATAAGACGAACAGAATCTGCACGCGTCGGACTCAAAATGTCGCTTCACCTTCCGTCCATCATTTCCAACTCTTTCCGACCACACCATCCCTTCCTCATCCTCGAATCCTCCCTCGTCCAGTCATGTCTTCCCATATTACGCGCGATTGTCGCCCAGAAGGGCTCTAAAGGGCACACTTTACTTTTTTGCTTGTTGCATCCTCCCTCATCCCTTGTAGACGACCCTGCGCGTCTCCAATCTGAAAATCTCAAAGTTTTTGACAGAACACATTGTGTACCGGAATACGATGATGACTACGTAGATCCACGAGATTTTATCCTCGACGTCGTCAAAGCCGGTGAGCAAACCATGGCCGAACTTACAATCGCTCGTTCATTCACCCTAACATCACACCCGCGATCCGTAGCCCCTCCAGGTCCACTCAATGTCATAATCGACTCGGCGGACTTGCTCTGCGATGACATTGGCTCGCCGTCGCAGACGCATGCGCTGATCATCTCTCTCCTGCAACTTATCCGCGCACGCCCATGTGAGTAGGCTACCCCTTCATGTCCCAACTCACCTACGATGCTCATCCATCCGCCCGCGCAGCGCCCTCGCGCCTTGTCCTACACCTCCTCAGCCCAACGCCGCTCCTCCCCCTTCTCCTTCCACCCCGCGTCTCTCCCTCCCTCACCCACCTCACCGCGCACCCCCCATCCTTGCTCACACACCTCTCCACCACGCAATTCATGACCCCTCCCCCCTCAACCCCCGCCGCCGCATTCTGGCGCGTCTTCGCGCCCCTCGCGGCGCGCACGTGGGAGGTCGAGCGCCTCGTCTACGGCGCCGGCGACGAAGGTGCGGGATCTGGGTGGAACGAGACGGTAGTGGAGGTGTTGCTGCGCGGTCCCGGAGCCGGTGTCGGCGAGGGGAAGAGGCGAGGTGCCGAGCGCGTCCTGGAGGGCTGGGTAAGTGGCAAGGGCCCCTGTGAGCTCGCGCAGCTGGACAGCCTCAAGAAAATATGGACGAGAAAAGCCTCCGACGAGGTGCGCCCCCTCACCTTCCTCCTTGCATTCCGTATCTCGGGAATAGCCACTGATAATCTCTGTCGTACTCTGTTTGCCTCCAGGCCCAGCGCGACCCCACCCAAAATCTCTCCTTCAGCCTCAATCTCACGACAGAGCAGCAGCAGTCCCGCGCGAGTGTCCCCCTCCCGTATGCTCACGACGGTGAGTTGAAGCTTTCAAACCTTTGTACAAACGGCTGAATTCGATTTTGTTTCACAGGCAAGACATCTGAGGTGTTAGAGACAAGTAGTACTGGTGCTATATTCTATGATCCAGATTCTGCGGATGACCTAGATGACGATGATCCCGACGAAGACCTGGATATCTGAATTATCAGATTCATCTTGATGTATCAAGTATGCTTTACCATGGGTGTATCCACTACAATATCTTTGTGTCCTGGCACGCAGACATATTCCTCCCAAGAAATGGCAGACAACCTGGCAAACTCTATCTGAGTATCGAAAACAGTGATACCCAAGTTAAATACAAACGGCAGTACAGAGACAAATAAATGACGACGAAGCCACACCTTCGAGGTACGAGTGCTTCTTTCATACAAAAGACACCAGAAAAGAACTACAGTACAGACCAAGATCGATTAATCACTAACCAGTCCAATATTAAAAAAATGCAGAAACCCTGATTATGCTTGATGAACCTGCTAAACAGTATTTGCACCATCGCGACCCACTGCCCTTGCACTCCTCATCGCCAGATCAATCCCTAGACCCCTCACCTCTTCCTCCGCGTCACCCCTACTACCGCTATCCCCGCTCGCCGCCCAATTGACCATCATACGGTCAACCGCGCGCTGCGACTCTGATCGAATTGCAGGATTCTGAATTGCAGGAATCCCGCGTGAGCCCGGTTCCGATGAGACACGCGTGAGAGGCGTAGACGGGGGAACGAGAGAAGACGCGCGACGGGAGCCGATAGGCGTGCGTTCAGGAGTAGGAGCGATGACCGGCAGAGGCGGAAGCGGAGGTATCGTAGAAGGATCAGCAACGGATTGCCGGGCGACAAAAAGAGATGGAAGAGAAAATCGGCGGTTCGTTCGCATGTTAGGGGCCCGAGCAGGTAACGTTGGCGTTGCTTGACGTGATCTATGCGACACGTCTGGTAGTACGTTCGCAGGGGGCTCCAATGCTTCATCCTCACCGTGCGACAACGACGTACGAGTGATCTGACTCCCCGGACTGCTGGGAAGCAGTGACGGGAGAGCAACGCTGACAGGGTGAGAGGGAGTGTTTGGGCTGATGAGCGTAGGTGTGACGCTTTCTCTATGTCGTGAGGTTGGTTTGCCGCTTTTGAACAAGGTTTTGATCCGCCCTCCAAATGTCTTCACTCGCTTCAACAACCCACGCTTGAGCGTGGCGGCCTTAGGATCTCCTTTCGATGCGACGTCATTCCCCCAAGTAGTCCTCCCAGCCCCGGGCGCACGGGAATGGCAATTCTCCGCTGGATCAAGAGTTGTGGATCCGACCCCCGTTTCGCGAGATGCAGAGTGGCTAGGCAATGGCAAGAACGTCACCGCACTATCTACACTGGGCGTAGTGCCTACGTGATCTTGATGGAGATGGTTCCGTGACAACGAGACATTGAATTCGGACGGACTTGGGGAGGCGAAAGAGATGGGGTCGCGAGGGGGCGAAAAATGGGCGGAATCCGGCGAGTGCGGTTCTCCAAAATCGAGAATAATTACGGGTGATCCAGTGGCAGAAGTGCCGACAGCAGTAACTCGCTCAGTCTGATCAAGCATAGAAGGCGGTAACGCAGGCAGGATAATTGGATCATTTACGTCCAGGTCGGATGGCAGAGAAGGTAATATTGTACTGAGAGGCGCTGAGAGAGGGGAGAAAAGAGCGGAATCGGCGTGAGAGAGGTATGCCGTGCTGGTATCAGCAGTAGATAAGGAGTTGGTGAGCGACGGAAGCTCCGGGATGGGTCTAGGGGAGCGGAAGCCGAGGGATGGGGTAGACGCGCTCGAGGACGTTGATGAAGGAAAAGGCAGCAAGATATTAAGTTGACTAGATCGGTGCGGAGAATCTCCTTTGAGAGGGAAGTGTTTCTTGTCGTTGTCTGTATGCACGTTCTCTGCGGAAGGTCCCACAAATGTGGTCATACTCTCATGCAATGTGGCATCGCCCACGTCCGAGAGAGTCAAAGGTGATGCCGCATCTCCAGATGCGTTTGAAGAAACATCCTAAGAGTCCCATTCGATCAGTCTTGCAGAGCAGCGTGTGAGAATATGAGCCTACTGCGAAACCGGAAGATGTTGAAATGGGACTCAAACCATCTCGCCCGGATATCTGAGGCACAACACTGTTACCGAACGATCGCAAAGGCGTACAAAGGCTGGTCCTACCACATTCGTTGCAGACGAGCTCAGGCCAGAAGAAACGCTGGTCGGGGACGTCGGATCGTTGCCGATGCGAGATATTTCGGTCGCGGTACGTCCGTTAATGACGTGCTCGTTGGAGGACCTTTTGGATATGGATACCTCTCTATCCAAGTACGTTACAGCGGTGAAGCTGGTAAGCTCTGCGATGTCAGCCGAAGACATCACGGTAGTTGGATCCGCGAAGGATATCTGTGAATGATCAGGCCATGAACCAGGCAATCTGGGCGTGGGCGACCTGGACATTGTGGTCGCGACGCTGAGGCTGCTGGCCTGGGGGAGGATGCATGAGAAAAAGGCGCATATATGGATGTTTTGTACTCACATTGGGGATAGGACGGGCGAGCATGGAATGGATGACGGACAAGAAGAAGAGGGCGAGGAAGGCCGGGTTGAAGGCAGCTTTAATGGCCGAGAACGGAAAAGGAATGCACGAAGATCGTATTCAGAGATCCGCCACACAAGTCCAAAATAGAATTATATGGTCGTCTACAGACAGTCCCGAATAGTCAACGCTATTACCACAATCGGCCTTCCTCAAAGTGTACCCTTGACGGCCTTGTCGACGCTCTCCGCAAAGTAGTCGATGTTGTTCGCGTTCAGTCCCGCCATCGAAATACGCCCGTCCGCGGTCATGTAGATGTGGGCCTTCTCAGCCAATGCCTTCGTCTGCGGAGGCGACAGTCCGGTGAAGCTGTTCGATTCCGAGCACCCCGTCAGACACCATTCAACCGCATCTCACCGCCCGACGCGCTCACCTAAACATGCCAATCTGCGACTTGATGTGGCCCCACTCCCCAGGAGTCTTGTGCGTGTGGGTCAGCGCGTCGTACAGGCGCGCACGCATGCTGATGATGCGGTCGGCCATTCCCTTCACCTCCGACTCCCACTCGGTATACAGCTCCGGCTTGCTCAGGATCGTGTTGGCAATGCGCGCGCCGTGAAGCGGGGGGTTCGAGTACATGGGACGGATGACAATCTTCAGCTGGCTGTCGACGCGTGCCTTCTCCTCAGGCGAGGCAGTCGTCAGAGAGAACGCGCCGACGCGCTCGCCGTAGAGGCCCATGTTCTTCGCGAACGACTGCGACAGCGCGACCTGGTGGCCCTGTGACACGAAGTGACGCACGGCAAAGGCATCACGAGTCGTAGAGCCAGACGCGAATCCTTGGTAAGCCATGTCGAAGAAGGGGAAAAGCTGCTTCTCCTTGACAATGTCCGATATCTCAGCCCACTGTTCGGCGGTGGGGTCTATACCTGTAGGGTTGTGCGCGCAAGCATGGAGGAGAACAATGGACTTTTCGGGAGCGTTCTGATCAAACACGTCCTTAGCATCGTTCCGGCCGAACTGAATGCACGGTGTACCTTTAAATCCTCCTTCAAACCTGCAAAGTCCAAGCCAACAGTGGACTTGTCAAAGTACCTGTAGCCGCGCACTTCGAGCCCAGAGTCACGGAAGATGGGAGTGTGATTACCCCACGAAGGAACGGGGAGGTAGATGATCTTCGAATGAGGGTAGAAGCGCGCAAGGAAGGCACCGCCAATGCGAAGAGCACCGGTACCGGAGATGGACTGAGTGATGGCAATCTGGAAAAAACAGAACCTTCAGCTCGCGAAGAGTCGATGACATACTGGTATGAACGTACGGAGTTCTCCTTCAGCGGGGCGCTGTCATCGCCGTAGGCCAGCTTGGCTGCATTCTTGGTGAAGTCGGCAAGACCGGTAATGGGGAGGTACTCCTTGTCAGGATTGGCTGCACGAAGAGCCTCTTCGGCCTAACGAGCGAATGATGCCAGCACATAGGATGGTAACCATAACTCAGTCAAGATATGAATGCTTGCCGCTCGGGATAAATAGCGCACCTTCTTGACAGCACTGAGGACGTAGGGCTTGCCATTGCCATCCCTGTACGCGCCCACGCCAAGGTTGATTTTTCTAGCGTCCTTGTCGGCCTTGAAAGCCTCAGAGACACCTAGAATTCTGCATCAGTATCCTCTTAGTGTGATATGTCACCGGCGGGTGAAAGCGAGCGAAGAAGCATCGAACAGGGCAGACAAGCGTGTCCGTGTATATGGGCACGGCGAATTGAATAGAGACTGAAGGAGAATTCTCACCAAGAATAGGATCGGGGGGACCCGCGGGCACATGGGACCAGGTGGACACGCTAGCAGCACGGAGGGCGAAGCTTCCGCGAGCAGCCTGAGAGCGAGCAATGGCCAGCATCCTCAATGATTTTCTGAGTATGAGGGCGCGGTAAAAGGACAGAATGTGGGTGCGGGGCCCCAATGATGTTTCACAGGCGCGAATTTAAAGACAAGTTGCGTGCCCAGCCTCCAGAGTCTCGACCTGTGACTCGGGTTGTAACGGAATCGACTCGGACCGGGCACCCGTCTGAAAGGCTCCCCGTTCTAACGCCGTTTCGTTGACTTCTCACAAAGTGTTTGTAGCAGCTCGTGCAATGCGCTGCAAGGCGCTATAATAGTGAAGCTAGTGAAGAGTTGAAGGGGATTTCAATCCGATTAGATTAATGCACTTCCCCGATCTAGTCAGAGTCCAGATCCTGGAGTCACACCGAAAGTTTTGACGATAAGATCAACCTTGAGCTGACTCGTTGTGGATCACTGTCCTCGCCCAGGTTCCCAAGGTCATAACCCTGCATAGAAAACCCAGCTCTGAGCTTCACAACCATGGCCGATACCGAACCCCCGAAACAGCCCCCTGCTGAAGAGGCCTCTGCATTGTACGTACAAGATTTCATCATGAAACAGCCGTCAAACTTACCCGTCCGTCGATCAGGACCGAGGAAGGTGTGGCGAAGGAGCCATCCAAGAACGAACTCAAGAAACGAGCAAAGCAGGCTGAGAAAGAGAAAAAGGCCGCTGAGAAGGCCGCGCGCCAGGCGGAGCTTGCCCAACAGAAATCTGCAGCTGACGAGGTACGCCTCGCGATCGTGAAGAGACTGCGCCCCCCGGTTCTCATCGCGTACACCGACAGGATTTCGCATCCGAGCTCTATGGTAAATTGCCTCTCAACCAGTCTCAATCACGTCCGCGGATCCCCCGCACCCAAATCTCTTCCCTCTCTGCCGCGCTTGATGGCCAATCCGTCCTCATCCGTGCACGCGTGCACACACTTCGCGCTCAAGGAAATAAGATGGTTTTCTTGAACCTGCGTCAGCGCATTGATTCTGTGCAGGCTCTGGTGACTGTCACTCCGGAAAAGGTATCTAAACAAATGGTCAAGTGGGTGGCCAGCCTTGGAAGTGAGAGCATCGTGCTCGTCGAAGGCGTCGTTAAAACCGCACCGGAAGAAATCAAGAGTGCGACAGTGGGGGATATCGAAGTCCACATCAACAAAGTGAGCGCAGCTTCGCGTCCTTAACCATGGGAGCGATTACCGACCTCTTTGACCTCAGATCTATCTGATCGCGAGCGTAGAGGGACGCTTGCCCTTTTCCATTGATGATGCCTCACGTCCGGACACCGATGACGCAGAGGCACAGTTCAACCGTGTGCTTCTCGACACTCGACTCAATAATCGCGTTGTTGACCTGCGAGTAAGACGACACCTCAAGGCATTTGATATTCCACTTGTTTGCTCATCGCCGGCACCTTCATTCAGACACAAACCAATCAAGCCATCTTCAAACTCCAGTCATCTATTGGCAGCCTCTTCCGAGAGTATCTGGACGAGCGCGGTTTCACCGAGATCCATAGTCCCAAGCTGCAGGGCGCAGCGACGGAATCAGGTGCCTCTGTTTTCAAGGTCAGCTACTTCAAAGGTATGTCGTCTCTCATCGTAGTTTCCTCTGTTTCGCTCACCAGACTTGATACATCCAGGGAGCGCCTTCTTGGCGCAGTCTCCCCAGCTTGCGAAACAGATGGCCATCGCCGCCGACTTTGAGCGCGTGTACGAGATCGGACCCGTCTTTCGCGCGGAAGACTCTAACACTCACCGTCACTTGACTGAGTTCATGGGACTCGATCTCGAGATGACCATCGAAGAGCACTATCACGAGGTCATGGAGCTGCTCGATGGCCTGTTCAAATCCATGTTCAAGGGCTTGACAGAAACGTACAAGAAAGAGATCGAGGCGGTTGGCAGGCAGTTCCCTGCAGAAGAGTTCAAGTGGAAGGAGGAGACGTTGAAGCTCACATTCGCACAGGCGGTCGACTTGTTGGTCGAAGATGGGGTTGACCGGGCCATTCTCGACGATATCAAGTGAGTCTCTTGACAGCATCAATCGTGCTGTCCCTCTGACGGCTCCCGCTCTCAAGCACTGAAAACGAAAAGAGGTTGGGAAGGCTGGTGAAGGCCAAATACGATACCGACTACTTTATCATCGACAAATTCCCCATGGAACTTCGTCCATTCTACACGATGCCCGACCCGGAAAATCCTGTACGTCAACGATGTTCGTCTCTTTACCTCATAACAGTTGGCTCATGATTCTCGATCTCAGGCGCTTTCGAACTCCTACGACTTCTTCATGCGCGGTGAGGAAATTTTATCGGGAGCACAGCGGATTCACGACCCCGTCCTGCTTGCAGAGAAGATGCGAAGCAAGGGCGTCGATCCCGAGAGTATGAAGGGGTACCTCGACGCCTTTAGGATGGGCTGCGCGCCACATGGCGGAGGAGGCATCGGTCTTGAGCGGGTGCTGATGTTGTTCTTGAAGTTGAACAACATCCGCCGTGCCTCGCTATTCCCGAGGGATCCCAAGCGGTTGGAGCCGTGACGTAGAGTTGTAATGATGAGAATGGAACCGAGAGAAGAATCAATCGTCGTTGTGTACACTCCATGCATGCTGTAAATGGGCTACTGTAACTGATGCTGAGGCCGCTTTATAATAGGACGAGAGCATGATGGTTTAGGAAATTAACGCGATCGACCGAGCAGATGAACTTCCTTCGTCCATTTACGGCGTTTCCAGGTGTCCAAAGCATCGTACGAGTCGAATACAAATCATCGCTGTTGCTTGTACCCAGATACCCAACGCTTGACGTTCACTTTTTTTATTCTTGCGCCCGTGTTACCCTTTCTCACTCTCTCACTTTCATTCCGACCATGTTCGTTCCTTTGCGCGCGCGATACCCTGACGACGACATGTGCTCTTCCACGGACGCGGCCTGCACCGCGACTCCCACCTCAGCTGCACCCTCAGAGGCGGCCACCTCGGCAGCTACGCCCTCAGCGATACCCGTCGAGCAGAAGATAGGTCAGCGGAACTTCACCGGCGTGATCATCATCATCGTGATCGTCTTCGTCGGGATCCTCCTCTGGATCATGTTCAGCAGAGGAGCGGCAGCGAAGCGGGTGCGAAGGCTCTGCCGCAGGAAGGAGTCCGCGCTTCCAGCCCGGACGGTCGTACAGGTGGTGCGGAGCGTCGAGAGCGACGACCAGCTGTCCGAGACGAAGGAGGCCGCCAAGTCCACTTCCGACAAGAGGAAGTCTAGGGCGCCGAAGGTTCGTCTGTCCTCGCTCCTGCCTGAGAGGCATGCGGCTGAGCCTGGTGTGCAGGACGTTAGCGACAGCTCCGAACCCAAGTCGAAGATGTGGGAGAGCAAACGGTCCAGGCAGTGAGCCCGTAGCGACGTCATTCGTGTACCGGTGAGTGCTGGTCTAAGCTAGTTCAGTCGTTGACGTTGGTTGAGGCTAGATTGCCTGTCTGCAGCCAGGGAGACCAACGCAGCGATGCGATTGCTCCGAGCCCGACGACACACCCATTCGCGATACCTTAGAGAACCTAATTAATCCGCGTGTACGAAACGATAATGCCATCCTCATCCAACGTGCTGGTGCTTAGAGAACGGGTCGCGAACGCCCGTTTTGGGATTGTAACGTTGTTCGATTTTCAAATTCGCCATTTCCTTTACCATCACTTTGCCACGCTGCTACGATGCTGCCACGAACAGTTTACCGTTCTTCGCCCTGTGCGGATCCGTACATACGACCTCCTTGTCTCCACCGCGATAGACACCCTGCATCAAAGAGACGTTGCCTTCTAATGCATGAGTCCCGCTGCGCGTACCTCGTGGGAATTCTCGACGTATCGACGCGCTCTGCAGCTGTGTCTCGTCCAAGTGGGCCCGTGGCCACCGTCTGATAGAACGCCATACGGGCACTATGCTGAAACGGTGCGTGATTCCAGGGGGGGGGGGAGGGGCAGCGATTCCAGGGTGCCTCAGAAGTGGTTTGTGCAAGCGCCAGAAGACAGCTGGACACATCTCGGTGATCGTGCAAATCATGCGGGGAAGACTCTTCTGGCGGCTGGCGTCGCTTCAGCGAGTGGAAATAAGGTCACCCGTTTCGCAGACGCGACGCCACTCATCGAACCATGGATACAATACACTTCCCTCTCCGCCGCTGCCTCTATCTATATAGGCTCTCGCTTCGCCCAGTAGCCCCGCCGCCCACCCCTCGCTACCCCCCAACACCCCTCCACACCATCGTTCACGATGTACATTACCCACAATACCCGCTCAACCGACAGCGCCCCAGCGCAGCCGTCGACGATCGGCTGGGCGCGCAGAGGCCTCGACTACTCGCGGACCCTCGTCCGCCGCCAGTTCGCCCCCCAGGGCCCCGCGCTCCTCGTCGTAATCGGCTCTGGCCTCGCCCTCGTGGTCATCGCCGTCGCCATCGTCCTCGCCGTGCGCAGGTCGCGCGCGACGTGCTGCGGCTGCCGGCGCGCGCGCGCGGCCCAGACGGCGGAGGGTCCCGCGCGCTGCACGCGCAGGAGGTCGCGCTCGCGCACCGCGGACTTGGTGGCGACCGCTTCGCCAGGTGCGGGCCGCGCGGATACCAAGGGGCCCCAAGTCCGCCAGGTGCGCGTGCGTGCCTCGTTCCCGTTCCCGTTCCCTTTCCCGTTCCCGTTCCTGCTACGCGCCCGCTGCGGGACGCTCACCCCGCCGTTTCACAGACGGCTTCTACGGAGGTCGCGGTCTCTTTTCCCCATCCCGGGAGCCCTCTCGAAGAGGAAGAAAAGTCCGAGGAGATCCCGTCCGCGTGCGACGACTCTCCCGCGTGGAAATCGAAGGAGAAAGACTGTACGGTGAGCAGAGCTGGCTGCCGGGATCATCCCACTGCGTGCTCATCGCGTCGACCCACAGGACCCGGCGTAACAGAAACACGGAGTCGACAACCTTGAGCTTATATTATTTATGGAGGGGGTGTGATGCTTGTCTACTGTATTGTACGATATACTGCGCTCGACGTGTGGTGCTGCGATCTATTATGCTATATGTTCCATGCACTGACGATTTGTCTAGGCGGAAGAAGAGAGACGACGTCGCTCACTGTTGTTGATAGACGCGAGCAGTGTTTCATATAACTTAGTGGGTGTAAAATTCGGACGCTGCCGATGCGGATTGAAATATACTTAGGATGTACGATGTATCCAAAAGCCAAGTCATCTAGTACGAGACTCGCCCGGACGACCACGGCCAAAGGCGAGTGTTCGCTTTAGCGTGTTCTATATATACTAAGCGGTGCCGTGACAGACTGGATTGACCGGGGATCCTTAATACATGATGCCGCTCGACGCCAAGTGAGTAGCCTCCAAAAACAAATATAAATGAACTGTAGACAGCGAGGGGTGTAAAAAAAAAAACTACACGGAGCAGGCAGCGGCTCGGACACACTACAACAGCGACAACAACAACGGCGCGTCAGCCACGGCGGGCGAGGACCCAACGCGATCGCACCGTACATAAATTTGTAAACAAGCAAGCGCCGGAACCTCCCAGCGTCCATCACGATGACGGGTTCCCGCGTCGCCGACTCCGTCGTCGCTCAGAGCGCGAGCGGCCGTGCAAGGGGTTCAGGGCGCCGGACGGAATCGTGCCCCGCTCCAGCGCGGCGGAGATGAGCTCGGCGGGCAGGTCGATGTGCACGCCTTCCGAGTAGGTGTACGCGTCGAGCGGGGAGTACGCCGGCGGCTCTCTCCTGCTCAGCCCCGCCGCCGCCGCTGCCTCATCGTGCCCGAGCAGCTCCGCGTCCTCGTCGCCCTCGCGCGCGGAGGCCGAGGTGGACGCGGAGCCGGAGGAGGAAGAGAAGGGGGGCAGCGACTGCAAATGAATATCGCGGAGATTAGGCGTCGGCGGGTTCCCCGGCGTGCTGGGAGAGTCAGGCAGAGGAAGGTGCTGCACCTGCACGGGGCCCAATTCTGAATCTGGCCGGCCATCGTGAGTAGAGGAGCTCTGACGCCTGGGCTCGGGAATGAACGGGTTCGCACCTGAGCGTCGGCTGGGTGAGAGCGAGCGTGTGGGCGAGCGGGAGGCGGAGGCAGACGCCTCGCCCTCGCCCGGTGGCGATGCGGGGATGTGCATGTTGGGTGGCGCGTGGAAGGGAGCGTCTGTGGGAGAGAGGTAGCCGTGTGAAGATGAGGGCCCGGCGCTGCCGCCTTCGGGTTCTTCGTCGATGGGTGTGATGGGTGGCGGAGGGGTGAGGGGTGGGGGTGGCGAGGCCATGTGCCCTCCTCGCAGAGGCGACGAGGCGACGGGAACGTTCGACGGAGGGAGAGGTCTGGGACGTCGATTGCGGTGCAGGCGCCTCGCGCTGTGGCCGTGTGAGGAATCGATGCTGCCTACGACGCCGCCGCCGCCGCCGCCGGCCTCGAGCAGGATGCTTCCACGCTCGCTGCCATACGCCGGGGGAGGGGCGAGGGTGCCTACGCTGGGGGCCAAGCCCCACTTCTTGACGTTGGCCTCGATGAAGACAAAGCCAGCTTGTCCGAGATTGACGTGAAGGCTGCAAGGGCCGTCGGCGCCGATGGTGGGGAAGAGGTTCCAGTTGTTCAAACCGACAAAGGCGTCCTCCATTTTGCGGCCATTTCGGGTGTAGAAGACGGTGCCGCTTCTTGGGCGATAGCCGACTCCGAGGACGTCCCCTTCCTTGAGGGCGGGGCCGAAGGTGGCGGCGGTGAAAGGGTAGTTGTGGGACTTGTCGCCGTTGGAGTGATAGGCGACAGAGTACCTGTTGTGGCCGGGGAGGCGGAACGAAGGATAGGGCTTTGTTGCGAGCCCGACAGCGACGTTGGTTGTCTCTGGGAGATCAAACATCTTGACCTCCCAGTAGTATACCTCGTTGAGTTTGGGCAAGGGGAGATTTGACTGGACGGAGGTAGCGGAGGAAGGGTCGGGGAGGAAAGTGAGCTCTGTGCGTGCGTGGACGAGCAAAGAGGCCATCATTTCGTAGTCGGGATCGAAGGACCAGGCGGAGACGCCCTTTTCCTGGATGGAGAGGAACTGAGAGAGGGTGATGTCTGTGGGGAGGGAGTTTGGCTGATATTGAAGCTGGTACTCTGGGGAGGACGAGGAGTGAGTGAGGGGGGCGGTAGGGAGAGAGAAGGAGAAGGAGGGTATGTACCCTTGGCACGAAGATAGGACCGACGAGTGACGTCGGATACGCTCTCGAGCCAGCGAGATTCGACGCCGTCAAAGCCGCCCTCGCCCTCGATCGAGTCCTCGCGGCTCATATCGACGGGGCCATCTGTATCGCGGAGGGCTATGCCGCGTCGTCTGCGAAGGAGGATGACACACAGAAGGAAGAGCAGGAGGAGGAAGAGGAAGGTGGAGAGGACGATGAGGAGGGGGAGGAGGACGAGGAGGGCGTCGTTGGAGGGCTCGCGTCTGCGAGGGTCGTCTACGACGACGGGGTCGACGTATCTCACGGTGCGAACGAGGACGTCGCGGAGAGCGGCGGGAGGGGTGGAGGCCATGAGGGCAGCCGACCCAGGCATAGCGACGGATGGGGGAGAGGGGACGTCGGCGGAGTGTGCAGGGCGGGAGGTCGACGGGAAGGGAGTGGACAGGTCTCCAACGCGGCGGGCACAGGCGGGCACTGCCGCCGTCTCCCGTCGCGGTGCCTGGCCATGCCGGACGCCGCCCGGTTCTCCGTCGACCGGCCGGCCAGCGCCGCCACACACGCCTACCCCGCACCCCGCCCGCGTCGTCGCGGCCCTCCCCCGAGTCAGCCCCATGAACGCCACCCTCGCCGCCGCCGCCTCTCCGCGCCCAAAACGCAAGGGCTCCGTCCGCAGACCCCGCGCAGCTTCCCATCTCCCCCCCGTCCAGACCCAGGAAACTCACGACCTCGCCCTCCAGTCCATCCGCGCCTTCCTCAAGGGCCGCGCCTCCTACGATGCCTTCCCCGTCAGCTTCAGGCTCATCGTCCTCGATTCGGAACTAGAGGTAAAGAAGGCCCTCCAGTGCCTCTTGACAAACGGTGCGCCCTCGACTCTCCCTCTCCCTCTCTCTCTCCACATCTGGCCCCCCTTCTCACTCGAGCACCCTCTCTCCCCAGGCGTCGTCTCCGCTCCGCTATGGAACAGCGAGAGATCTCAGTTTGCCGGAATGTTCACGGTATCCGACATCATCCACCTCATCCAGTATTATTACCACACCTCCTCCTACGACAACGCCGCCGCAGACGTGGAAACCTTCAGGCTCGAATCCCTCCGAGGTGCGCCTTCGCGATCCTCTCCCTCCTTTCACTCCCCCGTCTTCATCTCCCGTAAAAGACATAGAAAAGGAACTGGGCGTCGCCACCCCTCCCCTGCTGTACGAGCACCCGAACAGCTCTCTATACGACGCGGCCCGAGTCCTCATACACTCCCATGCCCGCCGCCTCCCCCTGCTTGACTACGACTCTGAAACAGGTCACGAAGTCATCGTCTCCGTCCTCACCCAGTACCGTCTGCTCAAATTCATCTCCATCAACGTAAGCTCTCCCCGCCCCGCTCCACCGCCCCCCCGTCCTCACGCGAGTGCGCAAAGTGCACAAAGGAGATGCAGTCCCTCCATCTGCCCCTCCGCAAACTCGGCATCGGCACATACATCTCAAAGCCGCTGTTCTCCACGGACGACGGCGAGATGCCCCCCGGCCACAATCGATATCATCCCATCGCCACCGCCACCCTGTCCACCACCGTCTTCGACGTCGTGCACATGTTCTCTGAGCGCGGCATCTCGGCCGTGCCCATCGTCGACGAGAACGGCGTGGTCGTCAACCTCTACGAGACCGTGGACGTGATCGTCAGTGCTTTCTTTTGCCGTTCACAGATCCTGCAGATGAACGTCCCGAACAGACCCTCGTGAAACTCGGGGCTTATCAGTCCCTCGACCTGACGATATCAGAGGCCCTCAACCAGCGATCGCCAGACTTTCCGGGCGTCGTGATCTGCACGGGAGCCGACTCGCTGGGCACCCTGCTGCAGCTGATCAAGAAGCGGCGCGTGCACCGGCTTGTCGTTGTCGAGGGCGATGTGCGTCAAGTTTCACTTTCGAGGCCTCTCGTGCTGACCCGCGCTGTTTCAGGAGGAAGAGCGGAAAGGGGGGAAGAAGGGGCGGCTGCTGGGCGTCCTGACGCTCTCGGACGTCCTGCGATATGTCATCGGCGACGTGGGGATCAAGGAGTCGACCGAACCAGCAGAAGAGCCCCCGGCGGCGGCGGCGGCGGCGGCGTCGAGCTGAGCAGAGGAGAACGCAGGGTGTAATTTAGCTGTCTGTACCTGTCTGCACTATGTATTATGTTGGATGAATCGCGAGGGACGGCCGGCAGCGGCCGGGAGTGCAGCGGCAGCTGGGAGAGAGAGAGTGGCTGACGGCAGGACGACGATGACAGCGATCCAGGCGGTGTACGTGCGCGGACACGAAGAGCGCCCCTCGCCCAAACCCCACGTCGTCTTCCGCATCGAGATCCAGGCCCACGTCCGCTCATGGACCATGTGGCGCCGCTACTCCGACTTCCTCGACCTCCACACAGAGCTCGCAAAGTCCACCGGCGCACCCCCGCCCGCGCCCCTCCCGCCCAAACACGCACTCGCCATGCTCCGCTCCCGCACAGACGAGGCCCGCCTCGAGGAGCGCCGCCTCGGCCTCGAGGCCTACCTGCGCGCCATCGTCAGCGCGAAAGACGACCGGTGGCGCGAGTCCTTCGCCCTGCGCGACTTTCTCGGCGTCCCCGTGGGGAAGCAGCCCGTCGCAGGGGGTAGCAGTGGTGGTGGTGGCGGCGGCGGCGGCGGTGACAACGACGACATGTCGCAGTTCACGTCCTCGTCGTGGCTCGACGAGCACATCGACCTCCAAGCGCGCGTGCGCGACGTCCGCGCCGACATCAACCGGCGCGACGCGCTCGGCGACCGCGGCGACGTCGGCGGCTCGCACGCCGCGAACGTCCACGCGAAGAAGAAGCTCGCCGCCGTCCTCGCGCGCGCGGGCGCGCTCGCGCAGGGGCTCGACGGGCTCGCGCGCGCGGGCATGAGCGCGGGCGAGCTGCAGCGCCGCACGGACATGGTCGCGCGCCTCCAGGACGACTGCGAGAAGCTCGGAAAGATGGTCTCCGTCTCGCGGCACACCGCGCGCGGCCCCGGCCTCGGTGCAGCGGCGGAGCGCAACCCCGCGTCGTCGTCCGACCGCGCGGCCTTACTGGAGAGCGCGCCCTCCGCGTTTGGCAAGCCCGTCACGCGCGTGTTCGGGGGTGGTCCCGCTGCGGCGAAGCCCCAGGAGACGGGGCAGACGCGCCCGCTGGACGACCACGGGCTGTTGCAGCTGCAGCAGACGCAGATGACCCAGCAGGACACGCAGCTCGCCCAGCTCGCGACCATCCTCCAGCGCCAGAAGCAGCTGGGCATCGCGATCGGGAGCGAGATCGCGCAGCAGAACGAGATGCTCGATGATCTCGCGGTCGGCGTCGATCGGGTCGGCGGGAAGCTGGCGTCGGCGAAGAGGCAGATGAATCGGCTGGGGTAGACTGTAGGCTGCATTTAGACGAACGTGACGATTTCTCGGTGATGTGTATTTTATGTGATCTTCGGTTTTTTTTTCTCTACTTTGGTGCACGGCGCAGAGCAGTGATGGTCTATATTATAATGTGTGAATACTATATAGTCCCATACATGGAGTGTGCAGTAAGTGTCTATGTTATGCGAGGATCCTGCTTCGCCAAAACCCGTCCTACTCCCTGTAACAGATAGAGCAGTCAGCAGGAGAGGAATAAACACCGGCACGGCACGTACCTCGAAACATGAAATCATGATCCCACATGCGGGTGCAATTTTGGCCACGCGCGGGCCTAAGCCAGCGAACAGCGCAGACATGCCCTCCGTCCGCAGGATCTGCGTCAGCAGAGGCAGCGTCCCCGTCGCCTCCCCCGCAGTCGCCGACATGACGAGCGCCTGCCGCCGCGTCTTGAGCACGTCAAACGGCGACGTGAGCAGCGCCGCCGTCGTCCCGCTCGTCGCGCCGCACACGAACGCAACCGACGCCCCCGTCCGCCCGCTGCGCTCGAACCTGCGCTTCAGGCCCTCGTACGTCGCCCAGTACATCCCGCTGAACGGCACGTCGCGCCACAGGGTCGGTCCGAGCCCGCGCCAGAGATGCCGGATGCCGTGGCGCCGCGCGAGCGCGCGCACGGAGGTCAGCACGGAGCGGAGGGTGTGGGGGTTGTCGGACGAGAGGGGCGTCGACTGCAGGTTTGTGCGGATGAGCTCTAGCGGGGACGCGATGGAGGTTATGATCGTCCGCGAGAGGATGCCGGCTGTGAGGGGGACGAATGTGGGATTCGAGAAGAGCGGGGGGAGCGCCTCGCGGAGAAGGTAATCATAAGTTAGCATATAACATGTAGATGACGGGACGCCGATGACGCTGGGCGAGAAACGAGCGTCAGCCTCCGGGAGCTGGCGGGGTGCGCGGGAACTGCTCACAGCGTCGTCCCGGCTCCTTTCCACAGCCCCTTGAGACCCTCCACCCTCCAAACATGCCGAACGGCATCGTAGAACCCGTTCACCCTCTCCGCGCGCAGGACGCCGTGGTCCCACACGCACACGATTTCTTGTGGTATTGAGCGTGCGAGCGACGACATGCTCCGCGTGCTGACACCTCGAACACATGGGACGTTGGCCGGCTGGCAACATACTGTTGGCGAGGCTCTTGAGAAAGGAGGAACCGGCGTGCTCGGCGGTTGCGTCTGCAGGCGTGTTTTGACGACGTCAAAGGGGGTCACTGCGGAGTCACTTCAGGATGAGAAAGCGTCGAGATGCGAGGAAAAGCATACTGGTCAACGCGGTCATGGTAGAGCCAGTCGCTGCAGCGACCAGCTTTGCATTCAAAGGGTCCATGGTGCAGCCGACGGAGGGGGTCGCGCGGGAGGGAAAAGGAGAGGGGTGTTGGATTGGATTGGGAAAACGCGGAAGAGTAAGACGGCCGCCACTGCCGAAACAGATCGCCGCTCCTTATCTGATAAGCAAATGATCTTCGCACGTGGCGTTCCCCACACCGACTCGCTGTGTTCCCAGGACCCACATCTTGTTCTTCACCCGTCGGGACGATACTGGCCATATTTTTATCCTCATGGATCCTTTGCTGTCTCATGTGAGGGTTTTTACTCGAATTCTGGACTTTGGGACGGTCTGGTATCGACTACCTATCTCAATGGAAGCATAAATATTTTCGCAGATGCAAGAGACATCTCAATCCCCTCCAGGAGCTTCCGTATGCGCGACGCGCGTCGTGGTATACGAGAAAGGGCACAGCTACTGATCACCTTTGCGTAGCACCGAGTTCTGACACCGAATACACACCGCATGCGGATCTCCTCTCCCAATCTGGGCTCGAGTCGTCCCAGAGGTGCCTATCTATCCCGAAGGTAAACACATCTGCCATCCTTCCGATAGGATCTGCGGTGCATCTGACTCTCTAAAGGTTGCCCCAAAACCTCTAGGAGGAGGAGCTTCACGCGACCAGCATCGCGTGAAGCTCGAGCGTCACCGTGGTGCATGACGCTTAGACGCTCGTCTTCGCCTCTTTGGCAGGAAGAGCCTACACGCCAGGATATGTGGAGTCAGTCCCACCAACCGGTCGCCCCCGCACGTTCTCCCGGCGTGCTCCCCACCCGAGAGTCTCGAAGTTCTCAACGCGAAAACGAAAACCAGAATAGATGCGTCGTGGTCCCCGTGGGTAAGCCGCAGGAAACCTACGAGCACACGCTGAAATAAATCGTCGTCGCGTCGGGTGAGGTCTATGCTGTGTTATTGTATCATATGCTGAACACGAACCTCTCGCCGTCAGCGAGCGATCAAGTAGTAGCTCACCAGATCAGAGCAGCAGCTCCCTTGCGGGAAATGAGACGCGGAGCGTCGATTTCCAAAAGCCAGCGCAGCGTGCCTTCCTCAACGAATCCCGCTGGGGCTCAAGAGAGAAACGCAGCTCAGAATCCATCGATCGAGATGGCGTATACATACTTGGCCCCGTCGTTTCCCTCGACGAAGACCCGTCCGCGAGACGCTTTGCAGATCCATGCTCGTCCTCCGCACCCATGAGAGGCCTGTTGTGAGTACGCAAGGAATCTTGAACAAAAAGACTATGCTGCAGCAAGTGGCAGTGACACTGATGACCTCGAGAAGCTCGATCGCAACCCATCTGGACCCGTCAGCAACGGGAAGAGAAACGCCGTCAGTTTCAAGAGCAGATCAAGCGAGAGCCCCGTCGAGTGTGAGCTGAAAACATCGCGTCGAATGCTGCTGGGTCCTGTACACCTGTTACGATGGATAAAGAGCCTCATCCTGATCTCGTATTTTCTCTCAACCGTAGTTCTAGGATTCCTACAAAGTATATCGTCGCCTTGCCTGCTTTCTGTAGAATCAGTATCCGAAACAATCACAACACGTACACACCAACCCGTGTCCGTCCCGCCAAATCTGGAAAATCCAAATCCACTTCAAGTCGCATACAGTACACTTCGAAACACATCCACCCTTGTTGTCCTTCAGCGGGGGGTCCTATCGACAGGATCAGAAATCCTGGTACGGCGGCGGGCCTTCCGCGTCAGGCTTCTTGTCTTCCTCAGGGGCGCCGCTACCACCCTGCAGCAGGCGCTCGCGCTCCTCCCTCTCCAGCCTCTTCTTCTCTTCCTCCGCGCTCTCGTACGTGGGCGCCGCAGACGTCGACGCCGCCTCGCCATGCAGCACCTTCTCGCGCTCTTCGCGCTCGAGTCGCTTCTTCTCGTCCTCCGCGCTCTCGAAATGTGCGGCGGGGGGCGGCGCCGACAAAGCGGGCACGGAAGAGGACACGCTCCCGCTGCGCCCGGACGAAGGCAGGGGGGCCTTGATATCGCGCAGCGAGCCACTCGCGGGGCCGGGGCCGTCCGCGCCAGCGGACACGGGGACGCCCGTCTCCGCGATGGTGGGCAGATCCGAGGGCACCTTCACGTCAGGCTGAGTGGCATCCGGAGACACGAACGCGGCGGATGAGGAGGCGGACGCTGGGATGGGCGCTGGGGCGTTGTTCAAGGCGGCGGGGTCGATGGCAGAGACCGAACCAGGGACTGGCATGGGACTGGTTGGCTTGCGTGCGGCGACGGGGCTTGGGGTCCGGTTGATTGGCGGGGGAGGCGCGTGGATGTGGTGAACCGGAGGCGGGGCCTTGCCCGACACGTCTGGTACCAAAACCGGCGCGGTCGTCCCGGGAGGCGTCAAAGGGACATTCGACTGGGAGCGGGGCTCGGGCGAGCTGAGGCGCGAGAGCTCTTTGGCGTGCGTCTCTCCGAAGCTGCGCGTATCGGAGCGATCCAGACTCGCCCCGGCGGGCGGAAGGGTCGTTTGGCCGGGCTTCCAGTGGTCGAGAGCGTGTTGGAGGTTCGCGCGTATCGTGCCCGTTTTCTCCGCGTTTGTGTAGGGCTGGCCCGCTGAGGGGGGGATGGGGGGAAGGTGGGAGAGGACGGGCTCCGAGGCTTGAGCGAGAAGGGACAACTTCTCGCCATACTAACCGACGATCGCGATGTGAGCGAAAAGAGGAATAAAATGGAAGTAGGAAAGCCCACCTCGCGCAGCGCCTCCCACTTGAGCTGTTCGCTCTCCTTGAGAGACTTGCGGATCAGGATCTGGTGCTCCTTCTCGAACGGCTCGTCATCGCGCTCCGCTTTGGCGAGCTGGTCGTTGAGTTCGGCGACGCGCTTTTCGTAGCCCTTCTCCTGGCCGTGCTCGAGGCGGGCGATCTGGTTCTGGAGCCCGGCGCGGGCGTTGCGGCGGGCGGTCAGGGCGGTCTCATTGTCGCGCAGGGACTTGAGCGGGGTGCGGGCGGCGTTGAGCTTCACGGCGAGGGTGCTCGCCAGGGAGCCCGAAACATAGTTCAAGAACGCCAAGCGATCGGATACTGGAGACGCATTGGAACGAAAAGCGCGGTGAGCGAGAGGAGATCGATGGGAGACGAGGGAGGTGTAGACTGACTGTCTCTGACGTCGGGGGCCTCGTTCTGGCCCCAGGTGTAGAGCTCTTTGCTGTGCGCCTGGGAGTTCCTGTTCAGGCTGTCAAAGTCGAGAGCGATGCCCTTCTCGGTGGTGATGATCTTCTGGATGGGGCCGGTGGTGCTGGAGGGGGGGGGGGGGAGATTTGAGCACGAGAGAAGAAAGGAGGAGAGGCGGGGCGCTCACGAGTAGGCCTGCTGGAATGTCCTGAACTGATGCTGGATCTGCTCCAGCGTGTGACTCTTGTGAGTCTGCGTCGCGCCAGAGTCGGCGGCGGCGGACGACCCCGCGGCCTGGGGGCTGGTGGGGCGGGTGGAGCCGGGGATGTGGCCTGCGAGGGGAGAGGCGTTGATGGCGCTCTGGGCCTTGTCGGCGAAGGAGGAGAGGAAGCCGGGGACGGGCATCGTGAAGTGGACGATGGACGGACAGGTACTACAGTACGAGGAGACAAAGTCGGACGCTTCGCATTGCTCCTGGGTCGTGGTCACATACAATCAGTCACACTCCCACGTCATCGTCATCGCTCGCCCGTCGCTGCCGCAGGCACAGCGCGGCCTCGCACCATAACACACGATAAGTATCCACCGGGCCCCCCTACACAATCATCTTCTTCGCGGTCTTCCCCTTCTTCTCCGAATCCTTATGCGACAAAAACTCAACCTCCGTCGCGAGCGGCCCTGCCAGCTTCTGCGCGTCCGTGTACCCCAGCACCCCGATCTTGAAGTGCTTCCCCACCGCCTCGATCCGCTCCCGCAGCGCCTCGTCGTCCGCACCCGAGTTCCCTGGCGCGAGCCGCGTCCAGATCGACAGTCGGTAGAATTGCGGTCGCGTCGACACGATCACCCCCGTCACCAACGACGGCGTCCCCGCCGGCGTGTCCGGGTTCGTCAAGTATGGGTCGAATGTCTCTCCAATCGCAGCCAGCATCTGCGCGCAGTACGGTCACAGAAGCAGCGCATGAGCCACGCCTGCGAAAGATCTAAAAAAAAAGGCACAATCGGTCGACGCACCGTGTAGAGCCACATTTTATCGACATGGTTCCTGTTCTTGTCTTTAGGAAGCTGAATACTCCACTTTCCACCATTTTTGTTCGCCTCGTCTTCCCACGCGGGGATGATTCCTTCCTGCGAATGTATTCCAGTTCAAACACCGCAATAAACTCTCGAGGTCGCTCGGACGACGAACCTTAAACAGATAGTAATTCGCCTTCGGCGGCAGCTGCGAAGGCGGGACGATGTTGTTGTGCAGACTGCGATACGATCGACAGTGAGCACACAGTGCCTCCAAGACGGAGGTCGAAGTAAGAGGGATGTACGCACCCCCAGAATTCCTCCACGCTATCGAAAGTGATCACACGCTTGATGTCCTCCATCCACCCCATCGCGGCAGCCGCACCAGGCGTCTGCGGAAGGGGAGTCTGCGGAAATGCGGTCGACGGCGTCTGCGGGAGATTGCGGCCCTTCGTCGCAGGCGAATCGAACCACAGCGTCCAGGGTGAGTACAGCGGGTGCTAGATCATCCAAAAAGCGCAAGGAACGAGTGTCGAGGGGCGTTCGGACCCGGTCAGTATGCGAAAGGCTCATATGTACACAGAAGAGGTGCAGAGGAGGCGCCGCGCTCTGCAGCAGCGGCTGGAACGCGCGCGTGACCAAAATAAGGACAGACGGACTGACCTTGACGTTGAAATTTTTGGGGTCGCTGAAGACGGTCCTGATCGTCTCTGCCTGCGCCTCCATGTTTACTTCTTGGATTTCACCAGGCTCCAGCGCATCGCCGGTGCCCTTCTCCTCTACTATCGTCGAAGTAGCGAGGCTTGCGGGGACGTTCGCCTCGGGATGCTCCGCCAGCGCAGCTTGGACCGCAGATCGGGCGGCCTGGAGGGCTGGACCAGGGAGAGACGAGACGGTGGTCATATTTTTGTTGTGCGCGCAAAGATTCGCTCGGGTTCGAGGAGGGTGTGTGGGCAGAGAAAGGTCGGAGGACGTGGGGGTGGGTGGAGCGGGCTTTCAGAGCGGGGCGGTTGGTGCCGGATCGGGAACGTCGAGCTCGCGGTGCGACGGAACGGTACGATTCGGTGAGCAGAGTGTACAGGTGGGTCGCAGCGAGAGGCTAGGGCGGGTGGGTAGGGTATGAGAGGCTGAGCGTGGAATGTGGAAGGCTGCGTGTGTCGAGGAGAAAGTGGTGACTGTGATCGCGGGCGTGAGAACCGCGTGATCTCATTTTCGAATTATCAATTTCCCCGGCCGGTCCCGGGGTTCATCCATGGCCGCGCTGCTCCCCTCCATAGGGCGCTGTGTAGAACTCCTAATTTTTAACCGGTTTAATAACAGGTGTTAATAACGCGTTAATAACGTGTTATTAACAGGCACGTATCGGACCCCTTGGTTTTTAAGGTTAATAACTAATTTCCCAAAATAACAATATATCTCGAATTTGTTGTTATTCAGTGCAATCTCTGTTTCTGAATGATTGTCAGACTCACCCCCTTGCCCAGAGGAGGCCTCCAAGGCAGTGGGGGCAAAAAAGAGGGCATACAGTGCCATTGTTGTCGTCCCAGCACTGTTCTTGTTATTGGTAGCTGACATGTGACACATGAGTAAAGTATTGTTAGTTGGCTGAATTCTGGAGGCATATGAATGATTTTTTGGATTTAATGGGTAGTGCCTGAGCCTGATCAGGTTGTGGTGTATTATTTACAGAATATAGGCTAAGACATCCAACTCCACAACCGCTTGCTCAAATCACCCCGTCTATGCTCCAGCCATCTGAGCCTCTCCAATTCATTTAGGCTTAGTTTACAGAATGTATAACACTGAGTGAGCTATGAGCCATCATTTTGTTGGCCCATTTTCTCGATTTTACTTTCATTTTCCCACGCTCACAATATGTAGTTATTAACACTGGTTATTAACGCGTTATTAACGCCTGTTATTAACCCGGTTAAAAATTAGGAGTTCTACACAGCGCCCTACCTCCACCAGCATCATCATCAGACGGCTTTCACACTCACACAACGCTGGTCAGGAAAATATGGACAATCGACGATCGGGCTATTGGCCCTAGCTTGTGCATCATGATGCCGATCTCGTTTTCATGCTGACCAAGTGGTATCATCTCTCGTCTGCTCTGCAATCGCCCGCCAGCACCCGATGGCGATGACAACCATGACGCTCAGTATCTCAACGACCCTCTGTCTACTTACCAAGGAGCCCCACCTTTGACAAACCCGTCAAAGTCTGCGACCGCGGACACTTGCGACTGACAAGCAAAGGCGATCGCGACGAGGATGACGGCGATGTCACAGCGACCCACCTGCAACGCGAATGACATGAGCCCTACGGCGCTAACAGCGAACGGCGGAGGGCCGCCGCGACGACGACGATGAAACGACGATCGACTGGGCGAAACCCTATCGCCGTGTCGACGGGACAGCCCTGGTGATCACAGTGTGCACGGCACCGTTCCCTTGACCCATACCCTATCATCCCCTTCATTAACAAAGAAAAGCGAAACAATCAGCGCTGCGCATAGTCGTGGACCGCCCTCCTGATTTGGGGTGCGCAGATCGTTCCTCATGAAGCTCCGCGTGCGTCCGCTATTCGACCCCGCGCGCGTACCTTGTCATCTTCACGGTCCCGGCTGGATCCATACGATTCGAACAATGCTTGTATTATCAAATGAATAAAACATACAATATATCGAGATGAAGGACTATATCTCTTGCCTACCGCTGAGAAACACAATAATCTACAACTCTAGCACGAGGCAACAACACAGACCCGGAATTACAACCTGCCGAGCGCGCAAGAGAAGGATAGCTAAAGACACAGCCGTACACTATACACAGGGTCCCAGAAGCAAACCGAAAGCCGAAGCACGAGGATGGATCAGAAGGGATTTGTGTACACAGGATCCGCAAGAACAGGAGCGGAAGCGAGAGACTGCTCGTCCCCCGCGTCCGGTATGCGGTGCATCTGGTGGACTTTCTCCGACAGGTCAAGGAACTTTTTTAAATGCGAAAAGACGTCAGCTCCCGGAATTGCCTACAGCCGAAATTCAGGGCCTACCCTTTGTTCTTCTTCCAAGGTCTCGTCTTGTGCACTCTTTAGGGTGCTCTGCATGTGGACCAACATCGTCTGCGCCCAAGTCCGTTGAGCGTTCATAGCGCAATGATGTCAACTATGGCCTACCCTGATGGAGCGGCTCGAAAGGCCTCGGTAGGTCGACACGCGCTCAAGTGGGGCAGGGTCTGTGCCCACGAGCCGCAGCTGATCGTGCAAGTAAATGATGTACTGCTCGAGGCACTCGAGGTAGAACCGTTTTTTGTCATGCGACGAGATCGTGTCCCTACAATGACATCGGTGAGCTGCGCTCGCACACAAGAGGGGAGGGGAGGGGGGGGCAGACTCACGGATCTGTCGGCGTAAAGCCAACGTTGTCGGCGACGATGCGCTGTCGCGCTTTACGCTGGCTCTCGACTTTCCTGTCCGACTCGCGCTTCGCTGCGCCGACAGCGGTCGGGGTGTGGGAGGCGAGCTCTGTGAGAAGCTCGCTGGGGGTCGGAAACGTGGTACGAGGTGCATCGCCGTAGGCTAGCAGGTGCTCCCGCGAAGGAGGGGGATAAGCCGGCGGGCCCATCGCCAAGGAGTCCGGTTCTAGAGGCCCCTCGCCATGAAGGAAGGGGGCTTGGGAGGTGGATGTTGCAAGGGTCGCGGGCCAGCTGCCGAAGAGGGCAGCGGGAGAGTGGATCGAGATCTCTGGGTTCTCCAAGTCGGCCGTCGACATGGGGTGGTGCTCGAGAGGGTACGAGAGTTCCGCGCCGGGCCACAAGTGGCGGGAGAGGGCATGTCCCATAGGAGCTTCAGGGTCGTTGGAGGGGTGGTGCTGGGCGTAGGCGGGATCCATGGGGAGCTGGTGGGCACCCGTCTGAGTGGGATATGGCATGGGAGCAAAGTCAGCAGCAGCGGGGCCGGGGTGAGAGGGAGGAGAGTCGATCTGGGAAGGGAGGGTCGTGAGCGAGAGGAGAAAGGGCGGGAGGGGAGGGACGTACGGAGGGGAAGTAGTCGGGCGACATGTAAAGAAAGGTGTCTGTGGCAAACATGATCTGACGAGCGGCGGGGGACGGGGAGGATCGAGAGCGAGAGTGCATATGTTTATACTCCCGCGACCAATTGGGCAATACGTCTGCCCCGGGCCCTGGCCCGCCGTGCGCTTTGCATTGAAGTCCTCTTTGCGATCAGCACCTCCATGGCTCGAACTAGGCCATCCGGGCCCGTCAAAGGCACGCGGGGGTCGAACACCTCTGCGTCCGGCCGCGACCTCCATCCTCTGCACGCCAGAGCGTGGGTCCCGGATGTGGCGTTAGGGTTGCCCCCGAGATTTATAGCCCATCTCATTTGATTCCGATCGCGCCCCCTCCCCATTCACTGCTCGGAAATCTCGGGCGACTGCCTCGAGATCCGTTCCCTCTATCACTCCTCTATCCTGTAGATAATCATACCTCCGTCTCTTATATGTCCCCCTTCCCCCTGGTGTGCACCGGCGCCGCCCATATCATGGGGGTTCGCTGATTGTGATTGGGGGCACAGAGCGTCCGGGCACCATGCCTTGCAACGAATGCGCGCGACGCGCGACGCGAGCGAGTGGGCAGAGTGGTGCAGCCAATATGCACGCTTTCGGAGGCAAAGACTCGGGGAGGAGATGGATCGAGGGTGAGATCTGGGAGATCCTGGATCTGTGGACAGATATGGCGGTCCTCGACACAGAATCTGGCTGCATAAGTCAACGGGAACTTTCCATGGCCGATTGAAGCGTGCGAACGCGACGCAGCCGTTCAAAGCCAGCTCCATCGTCCGTCCGCACTGATGGACTTACGGATGCAGATCTCTTTCGGGCGATGATCCTCCACTCCGCTGCACGGTGATCTCTCCCGTGCGTTGGATGGCACCACCACCATGGATCCTGTCGCACATCAGACATTTTCAATTCCATCGAACACCATGGACAAGAGGGTCCGTACCGGTGGCGAATAAAACTCTCCTGGGTGTTTCAGACACGGCCTTCTCCCTCTCTCCGAACGCTCTTACATACTTAATCACCCGAGTCCACGCCCCGCTCCATCCCCCACACCACGGAGATCGCCATGGCCTCCCAGTGCTCCCCAAGCCCCGCCCTCTACATAGACACCGCCTCCAGCCCGCTCCCAGCCCTCGACTCTCCAGGCGCCTCGTCATCCACACCGGAGAGCGACCCACCACACATCCTCTCCACCCCCCGCTCTAGATCCAGCGACCCCGATAGCCCTGCCGCGAACCCCCCTGGCTTCCTACAGGCACCGTCCCTGCTGCCCCCGGTCGACTACCGCCTGCCACTCACGCGCAGACATGGCAACTGCACAGCGCGACGTGCTCAAGTCGACATTGCTCATCCATACGCGAGACTCTTCGCCGCAAAAAAAGACGGCACCAAGCGCCGAAAAATTTGGAACCACGCTCTTGAAAAATCTGTCTTCAGCCCACAGGAGATGTGAGTCCAGCGCAGGCGTACCTCGTTTCAATCCGTGTATTGAGCTCCCTCTTGAAACAGATCGACGATGGGCGCCCCACACCGTCGCACTATATATATCGCCAGCCTCGAGGCGCACGTAGATCGCCTCCATGGCCAACTACTGGCCATGGGCCTCTATCCTATCCCATTCGATAAACTGGAGCCATACAAGGGTCTCAATTCCAAAACAGCCAAGGTGAAATCCACTCTCGAATTACATGCTCGTCGCTCACCGTGTCGCTCCAGAGCATGGTTTCCGGACTTCAGCATGATACGTCCCACGTCAGAACCAAGCTACTCGAGCTCGAGCGAGCCGTAAGATGCCACTCATAGATCCTCCGCAACGGGGACGCTGACGCTTTTTCCTCGACCAGAATCTTAGCTTGCGTAACATGCTCAAGGGAGAGGACTCGATCAGCTCTGAAAGGGCTTGTCCTGGTGCCGTGTCTCCGCTTCGCCGAGATTCCGTGGATTCCTCTTCTGCGGCCAGTGATGACTCTGGCCGTTCGTATTAGAATGTTTCGATGGCTGCGTGACCGTTGTACGATTGTATCATAGAGATGTGTCAGTAATAAAAGCCTCTGCCGTGTCTCAACACTGTCTCAACGATGGCCGCAGCTGACTTTGAAAGGATCGCGGCAGAATCCGGTCAGCCTCTGTCATGCCTGCAACGCGACTTGGTATGACTGCTATACTCACAAACATCGTTCAAAGCAGCCTCTTCTGATCCCACGCCCCTCGTCGCACTCTTCATCATGGAAAAGGCAGATTTGGAGACCTACCAAGTGCAACTTTCACAGGTTGAAAATGCTCTCTCTTTAGATCCCGACAACGCGGAACTCGCGTCTCTCAGCTCGGAGCTGAAGGAGCTTATCGAGCTCACTCAAGCGTCCATTGCACAACTCGAATCTGCCGCTGGATCATCAAAGGCGGAGGGGTCGCGCAAGGCGGCGACATCGGTCCCAACGACACAGTGGTCAGCGGGCGACGAGTGTCTCGCCAAGTACTCTGGGGATGGCGGTTGGTACCCTGCCCGCATCAATTCCGTCGGAGGTTCTGCAGAGAAACGAGTCTACAGCATCATATTCAAGGGATACAATAACACGGAGCTTATCGAGGCAAACATGCTGAAAGCCCTCCCGGCCAACTACACCAGCATGGCCCCGTCATCGAATAAGCGGAAAGCGGACTTGGTGGAAGAACAGGAGCGCGAGAAGAGGCGGAAAAAGAACGAGAAGAAATTAGAAGTCCGGGCGGCGAAGGCGAAGGAACAGAATCAGAAACAAGCGACATGGCAGAAGTTCGCGAAAAAATCGGAAAAGAAGGGTGTCCACATCGCAGGTGTTGCTGGCACGAGCATATTCAAAACGCCGGACAACCCTCTGGGAAAAGGTATGCGTCGTTCTGGTATCGTGCGCCTGTCACCGCTTGTGCTGACTTGCCCGCATGGACAGTTGGAGTTACTGGCAGCGGCAAGGGGATGACGGGTGCGTTTTTTTCCCACCTTGCTCGCTTTCAGCATCCCGACGTCCTTTTCCCCCAGATTATGCTGCAAAAAATAAGCACAAATTCGTCGCGACGCCAGACCCGGCATGAGGGCGGTCAAGTGCGTTATCTCTATCGCCGACGCGACTCTGATGCATGGAATACTGATCGTCCTATAGTCTGTATCCTACGTTGTTTCACCAGATCTGTATTATTCTCCATGATAACACCCACCGCGTTTGACGATTTTCAGGATATTAGTTGTCCTCGTTGCGGTCGCTCGAGCAGGAATTCGCTCCACCGTAAGGATCATCCAACCCCACGTGATGTTTTTTCCTCCTCGTCTTCTTCCATTCCTGAGCCTCATCTATCGTCTGCCTGATCTTCCTTGTGATAGACCCTACGTTGTGTGTCCAAAGTGAATGCGCGTCCATCTCCGGACGCATTAGTACGTGCACTTGCATACCTCATACCTGACTTGCAATGCCTGATCGTTGACTTGGTCTGCGCACGAACGTCCCATGAGCCATCCAGAACAAACAAAAAACACCCGATGTGAAGTGCGATCGTGGTGTCGGCGCAGCGAAAAGAAAGAGCTCGAGCCAGGTGTGATCGGCGTAGGCAGGAACCCGAGGACATTGACAGAGCCGCCGGGACAGCGACTTCAGAAGCGGCATATAATTCGTGGCCACGGCCGACACAGTGACGTGTGTCACCCAGCTGGAAGGCCGGATTTCGGAGCGCGGCAGACCAGCTTAGCATGCAGATGTCCTGCCCGTGGCTCTTTCTGGACGCTCGATCTGGGGCAATCTGGGGTGGCGTCCAGCAAGTGTCATCTGGCTGTCCCAGTCTGGCCTTCAAGTGAGGCGCACAGAGAAGCCATGGCCGATAATTCCTGGCACCTTCCTGTGGTGAGTGCGCCCTTGCTTGTCCGTCGCGCTGTAGGTTTGGCTTGGTCTTGCTAGGCAACACGTACCGACTCGTTGCGGCCTCCTGACGCCCTGTGGCTGCTGCTATTAATGAGAGCGAATAATCAATCAGGGCAGCACATTGACCCAAGGTCGAGCTGTCAAAGTTGACATTCCTAATCAGAACTGGGGCTTGACTGTCCTAACCTTGCACTGGGGTTCATCGAAGCCGAAGACCATGCCCATGCGTTGGATGAGGGTCCCCAACGTCACGCACGCATCCATAGATGGATTCTTCGTGCGCCGGCTCGTGGATGTAACGTGTGCCCTTGAAACCTGCCCGATCTGAGCAGAGCTGTGGCGAAAGTAGATTCTGGACGGCATGCACCGACAACAGCCTGTCGCCGTGACTCCCCTCAATCGGTGCTCTGACATGCGCTGGCTCGCGCGCGTGTGCATGGACACCTTTCAAAGGGGCATGTTCATTTGTTCCTCTGGGATCCAGCGGAGATTTCATCGTGCCGTTCGTTGCCTATCACAGGGACTCATAGATGAGCGTAACAATGAGACCATCCAAGACCATCCCCAATGATCAGCGGTAGTGGAAACGGTCCGATCTCACGCATGCCCAGTGCGTGGATAGTTTCGCATCTGGCCGGCGTTGGTTTTCTCAAAGAGATCCCTTTTCCACCATGTGGGCATCGCGGGCCCGCTTCCTCATCAGAAATCAATTTCTGGATGGTCATGGACAAGCGTGCCACGGCGTCGTATCGAGCGCCCGTTGATATTGTACATACAATTAAGTAGCCGTTAGTAGTCCAGGGGTCATGAGATACTTAGCGAGGTAGGGCGTCAATCCCACATCCCGCCTCTGTCTAATTTGATTCTGGTGTCCTGCTTGCCCTTGCTGCCCTTTGGCCTGCCGGCGCGATGAGCCCCGCGTTTGGAATGGAATTTGCGCTGCTGCTGCGCCTGGTGCTTGGACACGTCCACGGCGGCCTTTTCCCTTACGATGTCTGCGTGATGCGAGGTTGACAGAGAGAGGGAAGCGGTTTGCTCGTCCAGAGTCGGTGATGGAGAGCGCGAGGATGCTGAATCAGAATGGAAACGACCGGCCGGCGATGTCGATCGACGCTCTGACGGTGACTTCGACAATTTAGCCTTGGTGGGATGGGAAGCCTCACTCGTCCCATCTTGGTCGAGTCTAGACCCCTCCTCGGACCTCCTTTGCCCCTTCTCGCCCTCCGACGGCACCTGGTCCTCAGCCGCATCGCCATCCTCGCCGTCTCCGCCCTCCTCTCCTTCCTCTTCCTCCTCCTCTTCCTCGCTGCCGTCGTCGCTTTCGTCGCTGTCCGCGCGATCCATCTTCACGGAGTCCATATACTATAATTGAGATGAAAACTCAACCCGGGACTCGTAGACGAATGGCTGCAGAGATGTACCTGTTCAAGGGCCTTCATTTCTTGACGCCCGAACCCACTAGCTTCTACCACGACGTCTAGTTGAAACCCTTTCTTCGCATCATCGTTGAGAGTACTCCTGAATCGTGGATAGATTGCACTCTCGTATCTGAACCGCCTCCGAAAAAACGTTCTAATGCAATTCACATCTCGATTGAAGTACCTGAAACAGTTCAACGCTCGAACAAAGTATGCGACGACGTATTCGACTCACCACTCGGCGTTCTCGTGCGACGTGCTAACCATTTGCGGGAAGTCGATAACGACCGGTTCGCCCGAGTCTCGACGGATCAGGATATTGAACTCGTTATAGTCCCCGTGGATCAGTCCCGCTCGGGCAAAGCGCACGATAATATCCATAAGCTGTGAGTAGAGCTTCCCTGGTGATGGCACTTCGTCTATCTGGCGTCTACCACAACGACACTTGAACGTCAGAGCTGGACACAGAGTCAAGCTGGGACGTACAATGGGTAGGCGTCGATAAACTCCATCAGGATGCAGTGTCTGGCTTGATCGATGGGTTGAGGCACGGGAAAGTCATGTTCGTGCAACACCTGCTAGCGCGTTCATAGACATGAGCAAAGGCAAGCGAACGGGTCTTACCTTCATGAACGCCCATTCTTTTTGCGCCGCAAGTCGTGACATGTACATCCACGATGCCGACTTGCGTTTCCCCATATAGTCTCGCTTCTCCTTGATGGCCCGAAATGAAACGCGCCCTAGTCTTGAAAGAATCGTGAAACCACAAACAAAAATCCAAAACGAGTAAACATACCGGTGAATCTTCAAAACCTTCTCGTTCCCCTCCAGGTCAGCAACGATATAGATATCTGGTTTTATGTTTGTTGGCAGACTAATCATAGTGCTCAACGCTAATTACTCACCTGACTCCTTCCCCACCCCTATTTGGTTCCCAACCGAATACATGGAGTCTCTCTTGGACAAGGCACGCATCGCCAAGAAGTCATAACCGCCGTAGGTCAGCCTGTAACCGTCATCTGTCCTCTCCATCGATAACTTCTCAATCGAGCAAGCGGCGCAGTACTCACATTTCGAATTTTGTACTTTGGATATGAGATTTCTTTTGGCAAGACTTCCGATTAATTTGTTGACTCCTCCTCCACGGAGCCCTGATATCTGAACGATGAGTGGTGTGGGGACTACCTCGTGATTTTTCGAGCCCATTTCTACCTGAAGGCCCTTGTTAGCTCCTCCTGCTAAGCTTGATTATATGAACGTACTGCTGTGAGTACTCTGAACTCATCGGAGGTCACATAGCGAAGGTCCGTAGCATCCAACTTCATGATTGCAGTTCGTCAGGTGTGACAGACGATAGCAACAGCCTTTGTGTAGAGCTCAAGTTATGTCGAGCGGGTAATTGCTAAGTGCCAAAAAGTCAGCGAATTTTGCTGCGTGAGATCTCGATGGATTTGTTCGGCAAGGGCCGAAGTAAAGGTACGTAAACTACGTCGCCCAATGGAGCAAGTCACGGGTTCACAGCTCAGTCCGATTCAGATGCAGCGCGTCCCTGCATTGAGCCTGGTTGGATAGAACGCTTCTCCAAACCACAATCAGTGCTTCTAACAATCCCCTGCATGGGTTTAACTCTCGTACAGATAGCAAACAAGGCCATTTGCTTTCAATCCTGTGCTCATTATTTGGCGCTGAGCGAGTTTTTCTTTTACAGGCCACCCCCGATGAATTAGCAGAATTCATTCCGGCCGATTGCGTTGTTGGTGACAAAAAGTAAGACATATAATTACTTTCCGAAAAAGAGATGATGCCATCCATCGATGATGGAGATGCTATCTACAAGTGGCTCTTGCCAAACATCTTTCGGATCTCGAACGTGAGGCGACGTGGCAGATCATTGAGAAAAACATGCGTAAAATGTAAGGAGAACACTATTAACTGATGGCATCCCATCGGCTAGAAGATATCACAGGTCTGAGCGGTCTTCAATGGGATGGGACCCGGCAGAGAAACAGGAACAAGTGTTCCACGCAGACGCTCGGTTCGTCCTTGTGAGGGAGCCCCCAGCCGCGCCTGGAAATGGGACTGCCCCTGGTCAGATCATTGCATGTTGTGTATTTCGGTTCGAGCGAGAAGAGGGCCAGAATGTGTTGTATTGGTATAACATATTCGATCCGGAGTCCTATCCGTGACAATTCTCACTAGTTTCCTTCAAGCTACGAGCTGCAACTATTGGAGTCTGCGCGGAGGAACGGACTCGGCAGGCTCCTCATGCAATGCCTGGTAGATATAGGCCGTAGATGGCGAATGAGCAAGATCATGTTGACCGTCCTGAGAGGTATATTTGCTTACCCCGCATGTTTGCCAATAGACTAACAAGCATTATACAGAAAACGAGGCGGCAATGGCGTTTTATAAGGGGAATGGGTATGAGCCCGTATGCGCTTTGATTACTAGCAGGTTTGAATTGCTCTCTATAGGTTTGTTGTGGACCCTTCCTCGCCAGGGTACAACGGTGACGAAGCAGACGACGAGTGGGTCGACGAAGATGAAGACTATGATTATTGGATCATGTCCCGAAAGCTCAGGTAGCTTTCACATGTACCCCCACATTTGTGTTGCCGTCGGGTCTCCGAAATGTTATCGCCGCTTTGCTCCTGTGACGCTCGAAATTCCATGGAGCTCATGCACTCATGACGATGACCAAAGTCAAAATTTGTACATATTTGTGTCAACGTTCGCATAATACTCATCGGCATCGTTCCGATCTTCAATACCGCACGGCACACAGTCCCTCACATCCATTCATGCCTCCAACTGCATCGTTGCGCGTCCTGGGGCGCGCAAGCTCTTCTCGCAAGATCACTGGGAGACGTTACGCCTCGCACGGCGCACCACATTACAACGAGCCCTCCGGCTACCTCTTCAGCGAGAAGGTATGTGGACTTAGTGACTCTCGATCATTCCAGGGACCTTCTTGACTCTATCGTGGACTGTGCTTGCGCCCTTTGATTAGCCGTTACCACCAGGGCAGAAGCGTGTCAAGGAAGACTGGGAGAACGTCTGGTACATCGGGATGTTTGGGGGTATGGGAGCCGTTGGGGTGCTGCTATATTACAAGCCCGATACCAGGTATGTCAGAGAGTTTCTTCTCGTAAATTTCGATGAGATCGACACTGATATGCAATGATGCAGCATACAGACCTGGGCGTTGAAGGAGGCGAAGGAGCGCATGGAGGCTCGTGGCGAGAAGGTCGAGTACAAACCTTCATTGTCACCACCGCTGTAACCATCGACATCTGGACCAACTGTTTGCTATCTACTTCCTTGCGGACACTCTCGTCACCATAATCTGAAAGGAGAACAATCACATTCTCGCTGTACATTAACGAAGCGCGAGCCGCAACATGTGTAGTGTCAACCCGAACTCTATGCATAAACCATCCTCATAATGTCACCCAAGCGCCAGCGTGTCTTCGTGACGGCAGTTGATGCCTCACCTCTCTAGCATGATCATGTAGCAATCAACCACAGATCTTTATGACTCGCAGTGCGCCTTGTACTGTTCTGCTGTCATCAGCTCGTCCAACTGGAGACAGCACATCAGCCTGACCGATCATGCATGCAAGAATACGTCACAGGACAAACCTCAGAGGGGTTGGACAGTTCAATTTTGCAAAGCCAACCTGCGGAGCGTCGCACTGAACACAGTAGATAGTTGAGATAAATACGGGCGTACCCTTGTCTTCCGGTGATTTGTTCAATAGGGAAGGTTGACCAGCGAGCTCCTCGTTGATAGACACAACCTTTCCAGATATAGGAGAGAACTGCACGGCAATAAGCACATATATCAGTACGAAGGTAGGATAGACATATTGACTGCACGTACGATATCTGACGCAGCCTTGACGCTCTCCACGGCACCAATCATGGCTGCACAGAGCTTATCAACCCCTTGTAAACTCGTGAATGATATCAAGCGGGGACGTACCGCCTTGCTCGACCTCAGAGCCCTCCTGAGGCAGCTCAACGAAGACGACGTCTCCCAAGCTCGTCTGTGCGTAGTCTGTGATTGTCACCGTCCCGACATTCGTCTCGTCATCAAAGATAACGGCTTCGTGGTCACTTGTGTACTTTTTGGCTATGGCCAGCGACACGTAGCATGAGCGCAATTCATAGCGGACGCGAGACACCATGCCCAACACGTACTGACGAGTGTCCGCGCCAGGGGCTGGAGAGTGAAGGCGGCGGGGCGCACAGCAGGAGCTCGGAGCGCACGTAACGAGGATGCAGAACGCGATGCTTGACGGAGGACGGAAAACATTTTGAGGATCACGGAACAGCGGTCAACAGGGTCTAAGAGGAGCGGTTGAATTGCTGAAAAAGAAAGCAGAGGCTCGGAACGAGGCGTTCCGTTCTTCTTTCCGTCTCCGCGAATCCAAACCGAAGGTACCGATGATTACAGTCCTTTATCTCTTCGTGAGCAGACCGATTGAGATATTTCTTTAAAGCATTTCTGCGAGTCTCTTCTGATTATATTCGTCATAAGTCCACAACATATTAGCATGCGCAGAGCGTGCAAGACAAGATGCTTGAGGACACGCGCGAAATCCGCGAAGGGAGTGGGTGAGTGGTGACAATGTATGTATGTACAAACATCTGGGCACGTGGATAGCTAAGAGCATGCGATGTAAGATCACCGCCTCGCCGAAGGACATAAGCTCAATACAGTACTGCCTATGGCAGACAACTCATGCAAGAATCTTAGTGACGATTCCAGTTCCAACTAAGGAAAAAGATAAGCTTCAGAGGTAATGATACGAGAAAGAAGCTTACTAGTTTTGCCGCCCTCACGGAGCGTGAAGCTGATGAGGCTGTCAGATTACCCAGACCGATATAAACCATGGAACAGAACTTACCGAGAACCAACTTCGGCTGCAACATCGTGCACAAGGTCGCAGATCATCTCGACGTTGTCACCAGGCATGACCTGCGAGACATGTTAATCATAAGGAAAAGCCGATAGCGGGTATGCAACTGACCATCCTCTCAGCTGCATCTGAGGTACCCTCTGGCCAAGTGAGAGCGACGGTGATATCAGCAGTGCGGAGGAAGAGCTGTGGGCGGTAATTGCTCATGAATGGGGTGTAGCGTCCACCTGTCTATAAGTGAGCATTTGATATACATTGCGATACGAGCCACGAACCTTCATCTTTGGTGAGGACCTACATTCGATACGTTAGCATACCTATCCATACAGATGGCCTGAAACATACGTAGATCTGAGCCTGGAACTTCGTGACAGGCTTCATCGAGCCGGGAGCGATGATGACCATACCACGATGGACCTGCTCGCGCTTGATACCACGAAGCAGAGCACCCATGTTATCACCAGCCTCACCCTACACAACTGTCAGCAATAGGCGTCACTGAATTTGAGCGAAGCCCATACCCGGTCGAGCTCCTTGTGGAACATTTCTGTTGAACTGGGTCAGAATGACTTAAGTGAGACAAAGGCTGAGTATACACACCGATACCAGTGAGAGTCGTCTTGAAGTGCGCACCAAGGCCAACGATCTCGACATCAGCGCCCTTCGTGGCGACACCACGCTCGACGCGACCAGTTGCGACAGTACCACGACCGGAAATTGAGAAGACATCTACGATTCCATGAGACGCCAAGAATGAGTAGTTTCAATTCACGATTTACCTTCGACGGGCATGAGGAAGGGCTTCTCGAGGTCACCTGAGAACCGAGTTAATACTCGCACGAAATGAAGCGGGAACACTCAACTCACGGGGAGGGAGTTCGAGCCATTCATCGCAAGCCTTGACCAGCTCCAAAATCTTCTTCTCACCCATCTCAGGGTCGCGGCCATCGAGTGCGGCAAGAGCAGAGCCCATGACGATGGGAGTTTCCTCTCCCTCAAAATTGTAAGTCGAAAGCAAGTCACGCATCTCCATGTCGACGAGCTCGAGCATCTCAGGATCCGAGATTTGGTCGACCTTGTTGATGAATACGACAAGCCTCTTGATGCCAACCTGGCGGGCGAGGAGCAGATGTTCACGAGTCTGAGGCATCTGTCCATCCGTTGCTGAGACCACGATGATAGCACCATCCATCTGTGCAGCACCAGTGATCATGTTTTTGATGTCTGCACCAGCCCTTCATCGGCGTATGCGCGCAGAAACATGGGAGATGTTGCTTACAATCGGCGTGTCCGGGACAGTCAATGTGCCCGTAGTGCCGCGAAGCACTCTCATATTCAACGTGAGAAGAGTTGATGGTGATGCCGCGAGCCTTCTCTTCTGGAGCCTTATCAATCTGGGAGTAGTCGGTGAATGTTGCGCCGCCAGTGGCGGAAAGAACCTTGGTGATGGCGGCTGTCAAGGTCGTCTTTCCATGGTCGACGTGGCCTTTGACGAGGAGTCAGTCATTGAGTTTGCACCCCTCATTCAACCGAATCCGGCTCACCAATGGTACCGATGTTCATGTGAGGCTTAGCGCGCGAATACTTGCCAGATGCCTCGGCATAACCTCTGACGGGCACTGCAGAGGACAGCTCAGTAGCTGGAGGAGGGGAGGTAGAGCGCGCACGTACTGCCTCGGAGCGCAAATTTTGAAGAAGGTAACGATGGAACGAGAGACGAGTTCCGAAGAGGTACACGTCTACACGAGTTGGCGAGGGTTTGGGAGACAGCTGGACGAGATTGTGAGCTGTAGACAATGAGAAGTGTGCGAGGACACTCACCCCTTGAGCTGTAGAGTCTGCGGGCAACTGCCCTGGGCGCCGCCAGCTGTGAACGCAACATGTCTCGTCAATGAGGGAGCAGTTTCCAGCGCAGGTCGGAGTGGAGAGCCGGAAAGAAAACTGTTCCACTGGTTAATTCGCGCGCGTCCCGTATTTCGGGATTTATACCGCTTCCGGCCGAGGTTAGGGTTTGTCCTCTCTGTCCCACTCGCTCAGATGGCTTCCCCGGACAGGCAAGAACTCGTTCGCAATGCGGTCGCGTTCATCCTCGACCCAAAGGTAGCGGTTTCTCTCGCATCTCAGGTCTTCTTATTTTGAAACATCTTCTCCGTAGACTCAGTCGTCGTCCTTAACCCAGAAGGTGCAATTCCTCGAAGCAAAAGGCCTGACGGCGCCTGAGATCGAGGATGCCATGAGACTAGCCGGCGCACAAACCGTGTCCGTCCCAGCTGGACCATCGTATCAACAGCCATACGCGCCTGTGTACGGACCCTCTCCCTATATGCCGCCGTCTCAATCACAACCGTGGGATTGGCGTGACTACTTTGTACGTTCCAAACGTCCTTTCTTTCCTTCGGAAGAATCACTCATGGACATCGCAAGATCACTGCAGTCGTCTCAGGCTCTGTTGCCTATGGTGCCATGGCGCTCGCCAGAGTGCGTATTTTCCTCCCCGTGTAACTTGACATTGACCGCACACCTCCCAACCGGTTTCACGTGATAGAAATATCTGCTCCCGCATCTCCAGCCTCCAACTTCCACTGCCTACGAACAGGACCGCGACGCTCTCACAGCACAGTTTGATGCTGCAGAAGCGTTGCTGAAGGAAATTCAAGCCGAAACAGCCGCCGTGAAACTGGCGGTAGAAGACCAGAAAGGGAAGGTCGACAAAGCAGTGGCCGACGTTGAGGCTACAGTAAAACAACTTCGGGACGGGGATGCGAAAACGAGAGACGAGATGCGGGAGATCAGGGAGGAGATCAACAACGTTCGCGAAATGCTTCCAAAGGTAATGGGAAACTGCTTCCATTACACCTCACTGACTCGTTGCCTAGATGATTGATAAGAACAAAGAGACGCATACGCAATCTCTGGCAGAATTACAGCAAGAGCTCAAATCCTTGAAGGCTCTATTGCTTAGTCGAGGGCCTTCTGCTTCTAGTACTCCTATTCCGCCTCCTAGCTTTCCTCAACGGCCCTCCATCCCAGCCTGGCAGCTCGCCCCTCAATCCCTCACTCCACCTCCGGCCCAACCTACACCACAACAATACACATTGCCGTCATCCGCATTGCCAGGTGTCGGTTCACCGAAACCTATTCCAGATCACGACAAGGGCAAGGAGATGGAGACCCATGAGGTCAATGGCACTTCATAAGTTTCTTGTGATGTTAGTCAGATTTCATCTTCGCATATTTTACGCATTTGGTGATGAGGACCGTAGCCTTCGTCGGCGCTTGAGTTAAGTGCACGTGGTCAACCAGTGGCGGCTGCAATCCTTTGTCCGCCTACTGGTGCCATGCGCGCGCTTCTCCATTGTTTCACGTGAGTAGGACAATGTCTCGTTTAATCCCCGATATTTGGGCCACCCTCGAAGTTGTGGTGCACAACGTGCCTGAAGAGTGGCAAGTGTCTTACCTACAGCATATAAGGAGAACGCGTCCGTTCTCTTCCTTTCTCTCCACAACATATATTCCATTCGTCGTGGCTATCCCATTCTCACTCATGGCCAAGCATCCAGCCCACCAGGTCCTGGCACGCGTCTGGCCTCCTGGTTTTGGCACCAAGCTCCTACGTATATTACTCCTACAGTTGCCACACATAGTCTTCTTCATCATGCTCTGGATCTCCTTCGGTTTCGGATCTGCCTCTTCCCAGGATTCGAGAACGTCTGAGGTTCGCATGTATCGACACTCCCATGATCAATACAACGCGCGCGCACGTCCGTACGACTCATGCCACCATACCTTTCGCGACGGCATATCTGTCCCGTCTTGCACCGTGAAGAAGCGCGTGCCACAACCATCCGAGCTTGGTGATATGGAACGATTCATCATTTTCGTTCTTGCCCTCCCTACAGCCTACGTATTGGAGAGTTTAGTTGGTGGAGCCTTTCGTCACGGAATAATTCAGGGTGTATGGTCTTACATCGAGTATTGCATGAATCGCGCCTATAATGGTAAGCATTGATCCTGACATCAATAAGTCGTGATCTGCTCACACTCATATGCAGGTGCAATCACGGTGTATAGAAGGCGTAAGAGCGCTCCGTCGAACCTCCATTTCCATTCCATGCTGATACGACCCCACCTGGGCGTTCTCGGCAGTGGCGGAGATCTCGTCGACGGAGCAACAAGTGCCCGCTCAACTGCGAATCGCGCCCAGGAACAGTTCGTCCTGTGGAACTGACACTTGTGAGCGTTCAACATCTAATCCCTGTGGACATCCGGGCATGTCGGTCTGACATTCGTGTCCGTGTCTAGCATCCAGTCTTGATGCAGAGACTATTGACGATTTGGATTCAATAACTTCGGACGAAGACAGGTAAATCGTCACGCTTTCATACGTGTTCGATCTGTCCCTCAATTTGCAAACCAGCACACACCAGACATACGTATACACGCCGCATCGAAGGACCATCTCGCTGCCTACGACTAGTCGGTACTCATGCACAGTTTCAAAAGCACGGTAACTTCTTGCTTCTTTCGTGCAACATGCTTCATTTCTGAGTGTAACGCATTACGTAGTGGTTATATCGGCTCTAAGTGTCCCCGACGAACTACCGCCGATCAACTACGGGTCGTTGGCATCACAGTTCCTCAGCCCAAGGTTCGCGATCAGATATATCTCCGCCTGCGCAAGGATCCTGAGGCTCTACTCCGTCGCTCTATGCCTGTAGAGGAGCATGCATCGCCTCTGCCTGAAGCATTAACGCACGAGAAACCTTTGACTGGCGAACAGGACAACTTGACCCTCAGGCAGGATCTTGCTGAGGAGGGAAAGGAGCCTCGAGTTGCAGAGGCAGAGATCAACCTTGAAGCCGTGAACTCCGTCGAGTCGAAGTCTGGCTCCGATGAAAACAGGACGTCCAATGCGGATCAACTTGCGAAGGTCGAATCTGGCTCAAATGCAGCTGCCATGTTCGATATAGGTTTGGCAAAGGAGATAGACGAAGACACGATGCTGATACTCGCACCGGGAGCCTTCGATGAAGACATCATGATGAATGATGTTATGCAGGCTGATGTCGTGCAGGACGAGATTGTGCAGGATGAGATCATGCAGGATGCTACTGCCATGCAGAACAAGATTGTGCAGGACGAGGTTATGCAGGATATTGCTGCCACGCAGGACGATGCCGCGCAAAGCCATATCCAGCAATACACTATTGTGCCAAACCTCGTGCTGGAAGAACTCAAGGGATGAGCTAAGGTGAGCGAGATTGGTATGTTCTAACGAGGTGCACATAGCTCACATGCAAATTTCAAGACACAATGAGAGAGGCGTCAAGCCGTCCACCAGTCGACATATCAAGGTGTCATTCATCATCCTCGACACGTGCTCCTACGTCAACGAAGTGCATATTCCACGCACTGCTACCAAGCAGCCGCTGGATATCGAGCGACTGAAAGTCGACTGTGAAGAATGGAGCTCCTCTCCATAGTCATACGACTCGTGGCTGAAGGTACATATCCGACAGTCCAAGTGGTTCCTCCGCCGCTCGCCCTGTCCTATTAAAACTGGGCATGTAATGGGGTCGAGTACACACGGTGTCAGGGCTATGACACTCCAGGTGGTTCCGAGGATCATCCGGCGACGACGATGCTCTGAGCTGCACTTGCGCTTTCCCCAGCCATCGACGATCGGTAGTAGAGATGGCTCTGATGCCACAGACAAGTCATGCCACACAGGCTTGGGTATGATCTCTTCACTTTCCTCCCAATCCACTCTGACCTTACTTGCTGCCAGCACGCCGATCTCTCGCTCCGGAGTTGGTTCCGCTCTTTCAATGTTTCTCCCCGCAGAAGTCCTCAAGAACAATGCCGAATACGACCGCTTAGATCTGACGGTCTCATATGCAACTCTCTTTTCTTTTCCTTTTATATCCGTTTCTGTGGATGCTCGTGTTTCTATCAATCAATATAACTCGCTGGGGTCCTTGCCATCTGAATATTTGAACATGAACCTTTGAACGTTCAGCTGAGATGTGTCTTTGAGATATTGCTCGTCACGTGACGTAAGGCGCCAATGAGTACTACAGCGCCATGGTCTGCGCGATTCAGCAACCACCCTTGGGCGTGAATTAGGCGGGAGCCGATGTTCTCTCAGTTCCGACACGTTGTCGAGGGCTTGGCCCAGCAACCTCTCCGGTCTCCACCAGATGCCTCTAATCCGGACTCGCTCTCTCGTTCTGTCTCGTTAGATGGAAGCTCCGTTGATTCCACCATATCTCACTTTCGAAAGTCTCTGGCAGCCCAGCGCTCAGGCAGCCCTGGTCCGAGCAAAGGGCATGCGTCCGCAAACTCGGTGGACGTTAGATCTTCTGCTAAGGCGAGACTGGAGGACAGACTACGTGCGTCTTTCGCTATTGGAGAGGCTTCTAATACGAATTCTCCAACTGTGTCTTCGCGTACGTCCCCTGCACCCGTACCCGTTACGGGGCCCCCATTGTCCCCGTCTCCCGCTTCCCTACCAAATACCACCTCGCCGGATCCACACAGTGCGACGACTAGTGAAAACACATCTTCGGTTACATCATCGGTTCCACTCTCCGCTCCTCGTCCGCGTCTCGCTTCTCAGAGTCTGGACACAGCACTCAGTGCGATATCCAACGCACCATCGAGTATTGATTCACCCACGCCTGACAGTGTATCATTGGAGCGCCACCCAGAAGCCGAGATTTCCTTACCGGATTCCCCCACAGTCGCTGAGACCCCCATAGTCGCTGAACCCCCTACAGTCGCTGAACCCCCTACAGTCGCTGAACCCCCTACAGTCGCTGAACCCCCTACAGTCGCTGAACCCCCTACAGTCGCTGAACCCCCCACAGTTGCTGATGCCCCCACAGTCATTGAGGCCCCCACATCATCGGAAGGACCAAATGTAGACCCTAATGCAGGAGATGTGGTTAGGGACGATCTCCTGAAGCTGCCCGAAGTCATTGTGGAAGAAGCCACTGCAGAAGAAGCCGCAGAGCCTTCTCTGGATACCGAAACTGCAGAGAAAGGCCAGGAGGAGACTGCGCGGGCTGCGCAACTGGTAGCAGAAACCGAATCCTTACCAACACCGGCACCAGACGAGGGAGTGGGCAAGCTAGATCTCGGAATGAAAGGCTCAAATAGCTCAATCGAGGTAGATGTTGATGCCATGCGGGAGCGTTTGAAATCCGTTGAACAGCGTTTCTCTGGTATGTGAGCTCTGCATATCCTTCAAAACGAAGAGTTCACGCTCTCTCAGATGTCTCTACGTCTTTCAAAAGACTTCAGGCTGAGAAACTTGCAGCCGACAAAGTACTTCAGGAGCTCACGCCGGTACAGACCCTACGAGATGTAGATGGCCTTCGAGATTATCTGCAAAACTTCACTCTTAAGGTGGAAGTGTGTAGGCTTTTGCTTGATTTGACATTGATACGTATTCACCATCATATCTTGAAGATATCTCAAGACGAAATAAGGCGTCTTAACGGGAAGCTTACGCGTATGTTCTTCATTGTTCAAAGAAACAACATGTCTTGAGCAGATACGTCCCCCGATTTCGCTGATCGACAGGCCAAGAAGAGCGAATCGAAGAGCTGCGCGACACTCATCGCCTGGAATCCCAATCTCAAGTCGATCTCGTTGACACTCTTCGAAAACAATTGGAGGAGGCTGGATCGCTCATTAATGCCGTCCGAGCTTCCTCCGCGCTGACGGAGGCCGACGCTGCGAAGCAAAAGATGGAAATCGAAAAGCTTCAGGCCGAGCTTAGCAAGGCCAAAGCGTCTGCTAAGGATGAGGAGGAAAAACGGACGAAGGCTATCAGTCTGTTGAAGACGGTGAGACAAAAGCTGGTCAAGTCGGAAAAGGAGCGAGACGACGCCGTAAAGGAGTTGAATATGGTGAAGGAGCAAGAGAGAGGCGAGCGGGAAAAGGATCATGCCGAGCGCCTTCGATTACAAGGCGAAGTAGACAAGGCGAAGGCAGATAAGGAAACGATGGTGATAAACCTTCGAGCACAGTTCGAGAGGGAGACGGCCGCACTCAAGGAGAAGAACGAGAGGGAGCTATTGGCGATGAAGGGTCAACTCGAACTAGAGGCTATCACAGTAAAGGTATACCGCTAGTTGCAAGTCGAAGTGCAATTTGTATTGATCATGATCAACATTTCTGCAGGCTTCCCATGACCAGATCGTCGTTGCCAAGAACGCCCGTATCGCTGGTCTCGAAAAATCGGTTCAAAGCTTATCATCAGAAAAGAATACCCTATTTGACCAGCTGCAGCTTCGTCAAGCCGAATTAGAGTCGTCGCAATCTCATCTCGAGGTCCTGCAGAGCCAGAACACGGAGTTGCAGTATCAACTTCGGGAGAGTAGCGACCGAATCTCGCTACTGACTGAGGAACTCATCGACTCGCGACGGGAACAAGAATCCAGAGCCCGCGGAGTATCGTCGTCTGCAGAAGACGTTGCACGACTTCTCTATTCCACGGAGGCCAAGTATGAAGCTAAATTGTCCGACCTGAGGCGCAAGCTAGCCACTGTCGAGGCAGAACGGAACGAGATCGAGTCAGAGTTAGGTCAAAAGCTAGAGGGAAAGACCAGGGAGGCGGAGAAAATCAAGAACAGTATTGACGACTCTGTGAAGAGTCAGCAGAATCTGGAAGAGGTCATTGGCGAGTTGCAGGCGGAGATTGAGAGATTGAAGGAGGAGACAAGGACGTATAGGACGCAGATTTCGCAGTTACAAGCTGACGCTGATCAAGTGGCACACATCGAAGTGAGCTCTTTCCTTTACTGTACACGTCGCAACTTTACTGATTTACTGACCTTTATATCGCAAAGTCTGTCGCGAAGCAACAGCATTCCGAGTTGAGCGAGAAGGTCGCTGCTCTGGAAAGGCAGATCGAAGAAACTAGGGCGAAGGAATCGCAGGCGCGAGCTCACAACAAGGTCTTTAAATTACTTTTAACACGTTGGTGATAGCTAAACATTAGATGTCAGACTCTTAGAGACGAACTTCGTAAAGTACAGTCGTCAGCAGCATTGTTGGAACGCCAAAGAAATCCTGGTGTCGGATACTGGGGTTCAACTCGGTCAGAAAGCGTTGCAGAGAACCAGCGGCCTGGCTCTCCTGCCTTGTCTGGGGTGCCGTCGCGCGTCAGTTCACCGCAACCTGCCATGCCGCCAGCATCCCCTTCCAATGACGAGGAGGTTAATCTTGAATATCTCAGGAACGTCATACTGCAGTTCCTCGAGCATAAAGAGATGAGAGTGAGTCTCAAAAATATATAGATTAGACTGAGCGCTAACATCGTGGCTTTCTTCAGCCTAATCTCATTCGTGTGCTCTCTATCATTCTCCACTTTACCCCTCAAGAAACCCGTAGACTGATTGCAAAGGTTTGAAACGCCCTAGCTTGTTGAGTGTATTGCATATCTATCGGACATCGTGAAGGACAAGATAGGATCTTCTACATATATTCTCCGCATAATTGCATGTCCCCCTCTGGAGAGCTGCCATGCTGTTACAATGATATTCATGATACCATAGATTCTGTATTGTAGAGGGAACTGATGTATTGTTATCGCGCTCGCGGGCAAAAGGGTAACGTTTACCTCTATTACACAAAAATCACGTGAGTTCTGAGTCCGTGACCGCGTTTCATTCGCCGGTCGCTCAAGAACAAGACGCGGGCACCCACTTGATATCTGGACGCGTCGAATAACCACAAACACTCAGCGACGTTCTCAATCAATTTCAACGATATCATCAAGGAAGACGCTCGACACCCGTTAGAGAGCAACATACGACAAGATCAGCCAAACTTGGCTCTTACCCAGTGCAGTGCATCATGTCCCTCGCAGATTTGACCAGGAACTCATTTCAGAGCGGCATCTCCTCTTCAAAAGTAGGTCACTCATCTTCCCACCCTATCTCTCTGTTCATCGATACTTTTGCTATAGTGGATTAGCTTATGCAAACTCTTCATTTCCAAACAACCAGAGCAGGACGTTGAAGATATTGAGCGGGCCATCAGTAGTCAGTTTTCCTGACGTTCAACTCAATGGAACCATCCACTGATTAGAGACGGTAGACTCCGTTCTTATCTTGCTTAGCTTATATCCCGGGGATTTTGCCCTACAATCGTATCTCAGAGATGCTATCCATGATGGCATCCTATCACTGGGAGTTTTTGTGACTACCTTTTTGCTGGCAGCACGTTCTCCAGACCTTCACGATCCCGCCACGCTAGACATGCTGTGCAGAATTGCCATAGAATCACATTTTTCGTCTGGGTTATTGCTATCATCCAGCTCAGTCATCTCTTTCACAGAGTCTCCCGATGGTATACTTACCTCGATACGAAACGCTTTGGAGTTGCTAAAAACGGCGCACAGTTTACCTATATCTCATTTTCATCGACTCATTGAATCTGTGGGATACCTCGTCACACTATTAACAAGCTCATTCACAGACATCTCGAAAGTGCCAAGGGCTCAGGCGATGGCTTGTGCGGAGGAAATCAGAGAGGCCCAGCAAATGTTTTCCCTCAGTCAGGATGTTAGAGAAGCTCTGGCAGTCTTTGCGCACCATCTAGACATCTGGAATGACGGAAGTTCTACGCCTATACTTGAGATGCCACCGATGCACACCGTGCAGCCATCTTTAGGGAAGGGAGATATTTTGGCACCTGGGACAGAATCTGATGTTGTGACTTGTAGTCTCATGTTGTACCATCTAGTGAGTGGAAATCTTGTTTAGACTTGTGATAGGGAATATCTAAAACATCTCAGGTATCTAATAGGGCAAGAGATTTTGGTTCAGGCAACGATGCGCATGCCGCAGCTCTCATTGTGGCAACTTTTCGAGCAACATCCTGGACACTAACAAAATTTTATACTCGGCTCTTGGCGGCGTCTATCTCTTGCCTCTTTCAAGATATTCAATCAAGATTAGGCAAAGGGCCTAATCCGCTATGGCGCGCTTTCATTGTTGGTCGTGTAAGCTCGTGACTCCAGTCTGACACAATTCTCATTCTAATCCGTTGCCACAGCTTCCCCGGCTGCTGCTTTTGTCTGGGAAGGCAATCGAAGCAGATGGCTCTATGGCTGCCGATCCTGTAATTATACAACCCATACTACGTGTGACTTCGTCTGACCGGCAAGCCTGATTCCAGCATACAGCAGTCCGGGATGCATTGAGCGTGATATTCCTATCACAGCCTAAAAACCCTCATTTAATGCAATACGATGGTGCATTGGATATGCTGAGCGAGCCAGAAGTGATGCACGATGGCTCGAGCAACGGCTCCAATAGGTGGAATAGCTGAGGCTCCAATTATATTGTAGCACTGATTTAGAATTCTAGAGCTCCTTCCTTTGCGCGAGACTTCACTCAACAGCTGCTGGCTGTTGGGCTTGTCGACCAAATGTTCGCTGCCAGAGTTGATGCGACGCTTGCAAATGACAATTCCTCTCGTCTGCAGATCGATGCGCGAGAGGCTGGGGTGGATCTAGAGGTAAGCGATCGTCTTTCAAGATATGTTTGCCGTCGATCACGTCTTTCCAGTCCTATCTGACCTACAGGATATCGTCGGAAAATGGCGCGGACGATACCTCAGCCTTTCTGGAACGTGTGTATCAAGATTTCAGATGTCACCCCGTCTTTTCCGAAATAGTGCGAAAGGTACGCAAATTGTGATACCGAGCGATGTTTTTTTATTTATACTTATATCGATCGAACACATTAGCGTTTCACCGCTCTGGCCACCAGTGGCGACGTGGAATCCCTTGGGTACCTGGCGAAGATCCTTTATATGAACGAGGCAGCTCTTGATCTAGTATCATTGCACGTCAAGATCTCCGAATTGACCGCCCATGCACTCGTCCTGTTAGAGGATTATGACTGTGAGACAGTCGGTAGGTGAATCGGGCGAGTCTACTGCGGGCGTTGTTGATCATGTTGCCACAGGAGATCCCGGAACCGCAGTCAGTCATCTGGGGGATGTTGTGATATTTTTGCAGTGGACCTTGGCACGATACAATGTACGGCACGTATCTCGCCCCTCAGATTATCCTGAGAGGACACTAATCATGTTCAAAAAGCTCTCGACTACTTTACATATCCTCGGAGAGAAGACTCTGGACCCCGGATTTCTGCGTGTGACGGATAATGTGCGTCGAATCGAAGACCTGTCGAGCGAGCAAGCAGCCGCCTTCAATTCATGGTTCAAAGCGCTCTTTGACAAGAACAGCGAGGGAATCGAGGATGGGGTGCTTCGGTATGATTCCTTGCGCAGAGAATGATCATGATTGCCAATCTGACTTTCGACAAGATCCACCCGCCCCAAAATGCTGCTGATGATGGCCGCGACGTTATGTTCCCATGCGATTACTGCTTGCACGGAGCATAAGATCGATGTAGATGTTCTCGCCAACGGATTCTCATTCTTCACGGGACCGCTGCTGAGTTGGACGCTCGTCGGGGTTGTCAAGACCCTGGTGCGAGAAATGAAGCAGACAAGGTGCATAAATAACGCCGGTGACATAGGCACCTCGTCATTGAATTCGCAAATGACAGATATCAGTCCCCTCATCACTTGAACATCCTCCGAACGTTAATTTTATCGCCAACGTGTCCTCGATCCGTGCTACGCCTTTGCGGGCACGATATCCTGCGACTCTTGTCTGACCCGCAGCTCGCAGCCTTCATCCCGGAAACTGCAAACTTGCCAGCAATCCAGGCTGTAATCAACGAAGCTTTAGGTTTGCGGGATGACAGTGAGTGCTCACGCCGTCTCAATGCCATTGCCGTTCCCAGTCACGCCGGTACCGTTTATAGTCAATCCCCAGATGCCAATGCCGATGGCCCAGATCGTATGGGCCGACCAACCACGCCACGCCATCCAGACCGCATTCTCCATGATCCAACTCGGCAAGGCGCCCTCCCTCGACGTCGTCCGCTGCTTGGCTATCACACCCCCCACGCGATTTCTTCACACGTTCTGGTTCGAGCTCAGCATGGCGACGAGTCTCAGCATCGACACACTGCGTCGTGTGGCGCTATACGTCCTCGCAATACCCCGCACCCCAAATATACCCCCTCTCCTACCTTTATTTTTGCACAACGTCTTCCCGTCGATCCTGGATACGATGGACCGGCAGCCGACGGGCGCTCAATCTATGCACATAGAGCTGCTCGCGGGTATCGTCTCATCGGCCGTGATGACCGCCCTGCACCTCGAACGAGCGGTACTCACCACGACCGGCGAGCAGCGGTTTATTCTCGGAGAGCCCAGCTCCGCCATGGCTCGGCGGCTGGCCGCAGACTTACGGCACAGGAAACATAATGTGACGGCGAAACTGATCGCCCAAAGGCTAACGTCGTCGGCAACGTTCGTGGCGAGCTTCCCGGTGTTCAAAATGGAGATATGATGCGGATGCGATACTGTAATCGGAGAAGACAAAATGTGTGCGGTGTTTTACATCACGTATATAAAGTAGGGATATCCAGAGTAATTCAGGAATGCCAACGTGTAACGATTTACGGAGCGTCGGTCAGGCTGTTGACGGGGGCTGAGGGTGATGGCAATGATCAGATGACATCAAGGCAGTGTACCAGACCTCACTTACGACAACACGCGTGGTCCGCACCGCACGCCTGATCTGGTGGGCACGAAATCAGACACGATGTATCTTCCGAAGTCTGCGAAGGAGGGGTCAGCAACCAGCGTCTACCAATCACCACATTCGAGGGAGCAAACCTTCAAGAACTCGTCTGGGATGGCCTCTCTGGTCGGGTGGTACTCCGGCTGGATCGTGCTCGAATGTATGCCGTGTTGGTGCAAAACCTGCCGGATCTTCGCGGCCACGGGCATAAAGTCGTGGTTGCGGGAGGAGGTGACGTGAACGGAGGCGATTATCTTGGATTCGGAAAGTTGCCAGATATGGAGCTCGTGCACGGAGAGAACGCCATCGACGTTTAGAATAGCCGTCCGCACGTCTTCCAAAGAAACCTCCGAAGGTACCCCTTGAAGCAGGATGAAAGAGGTGCTGCGGACTGTCGGGAAGAAGTGTTTAAGAGACACCGATGAGAAAGAGCACGGTTCCAATTAACTCACCCAGTGGGAGCGCAGAGTGGAAAATGATTACGGTGATAACAAGACTGATAATCGGGTCAAAATAGAACTTGAAGCTCCAAGAGGAGAGCCAGATGATGAGCCCAGTTGCTATTACGCCGACATTCCCCAAGGCGTCTCCCAACACATGCAGGAGAAGCGCCTTCATGTTCATGGACCCTCCGTGTGAGTGAGCATGGCCGTGAGAGGACCACTCCTCACTGGGCGGCGTTACGTCTCCTTCGGCCGAATGGTGCGATGCGGTATGCAGAAGCGGTGTCCGCTCGTTCACGAGCGCCCCATCGCTAGCGGGCGGAGGTGCGTCTGCGTCTGCAGCATCGTCGACAGCGGCCTGGCCATCGACGGGACGGGCATCGAAGGATGACCGCGGCCGCGAGATGCTAGAGCGATGCTTGTGGCAATCTGCAGGCGCCGGGGAACTCGCGCGCGCGATCTCATGCGCAGTCTGCACGAAGGACGCACGAGTGGCGGCTGGGTGACCGTATAGAGAGGAGTACGAATCTGAACGCTCGCGGCGCCTAGATACGTCCGAAGGGCGAGAACGGGCGTGCGGGGAACGGGGTTCTGAAGGACTATGGGGAGAGGTGCTGAGCTCATCAGCCGGTATATGTACAATCGTCGGTGTTTTGGATGGGGTGTTGCTCGATGAATGAGAGTGGTCATGAGAGTGGGAGTGGCCATGTTCTGATGAAGAAGTCAGCCGGACTGCTACAGCGCATATGCGTGACCGCGTACCATGGAAAAGGAATAAGCCGACAATGTTCGAGGCCAGGCCTAGAGACCCGACGATCACGACGAGACGCGGGTTGGAAATCTCTGTTGTGGGGATTGATTTGGGGTAGTTAGCAGAAATGCAACGGTCGTACCAGGCGTGGAGAAAAATCGCTGAAGGGCCTCGAGCGTGATTGTGAAACAAAGGGCGAGGAGGAAGACACCATTGACCAAAGCGGCCAAGATTTCAGCCCTGTGCCAGCCATAGGAATATTGTGTGTTGGGTGTTGATTGGGCAGTCAGCTGAGTCGGAACACATATTTTTAGGATGCAGTCAAGCAGAAGAGGGGAAGGCAGATGGTAACCTTGATAGCATATAGTGCAATTATCAAGCTGACTACATCGCTGCAAGTGAAGCAAATTCTGAGCACGCCCGTCTGAAGCAACGAAGGGACATACTTTAGCATGTGGAAGCTGTCTGCCACGAGCGCGAGGGATCCAACCGCATATCCTGCGAGCGAAGCCGACATGTACATCTGCCACTTGAAGTAGAGACAAAGAACATACCGACGATGAGCTCGACGAAGAAAAAACAGACGTCGATGGCGAGGAGAAGAGAGATACGGGAAGTACGGGACAGTCCCATGGAGACGATGTCGGATGGCGGTAGTATATGTTCACGGGGAGGGCATGCAGGACTTGGAGGCGAGACTGAAAGGAGTTCTGAGTGACACAATGCTACACTGTGCTTACGCCATCAGGTGGCTGTGCTACGGCGGCGAGGCCAGCCGAGCTCGGTCCATTTACGTTCTTGACATCCTATCAACACAACTGCCGACTTGCGAGCGCGTACTTACAGACCAGAACAGCAGGCGAGGTAGTTTACGTAGTATTTTCAACCCAACCGTGATGTGTCCGGGCAAATGAGCAGGAATGACACTGGCCGAGACGTCCGGCGCTCAGGCAGAGAGCACATGGGAGGAGCAAGGCGGGGGCTGGCGGGGGAGGCAAGCAGAGGACAGTCTAGGACAGTGTGACAAAGCGACCGACGCGAAGCTTCCCCGACCTCGACACACCCACACCGACCAGCACGGCGGCGGGGAAATGAAAAATGTACAGCAGCCCCCGCCGCTCGGGACGCCGACGGAGCGCGCTCCCACGCCGCTCCGCTGCACGATCGAAATGAAAACGACGGGCTCCAAAAAAAGAAAGAAAAAGAAAAATGCGATCTCCTCAGAAACGAAAAAACAAACGAGGTGAGACTGTGTTCCTGTGGAGTCGAGGAAAATACAGCGACTGCGGTGGGTTGATCTGCGTTAAGGGTAAGGTCCGAGAGGGTGTGGATCGACGAGTCAAGGCGAGAGACATTCCAAGGGATGCAAATCGGTCAGCACCGACGGGGACGCTACGTCTAGAACTGGCTCTAAGTAATCCAATGGCCCTGACAAGGCTTCGCAGCGAGGTTGCAAAGAAACAAGGGAGTCGATCGGCATATTAAGACAGGGTGAACACCGAGGACGTTCTCCAAAAGTTTCTGAAAAGTCAAGGGTCGACGTGGTCTAAAACTGGTGATCATATGAGATCATATGCCCCTCATAACGGGGAAACTGGGGGTGTATTTACGCTGAATGCGGAGAACAAGAGACGATGCCTGGGGGATGTTTCTAAGATTTTTGAGAGAGGATCTGAAGTCGCGCCGCGGGGGGTTGTGGCGTGTTTGGCAGCGACATCCTCGACTTGTAATTTTCGCCGTCGAGCTAAGCAGCCGCAATCAGAACTCCCTGCTGTCTGTCGCCGTCTTTTCATACCCGCATACACTCTCTAGAAGTTCTTCTGGCTCTCGAGATTAAAAAATATGGCGACATCCATGGCAGCCGCGCTTGCGGCCTCCCTCCCAGCACCCCAGGCCGCACCTACACCTGCCGCACCCACATATGAAGCCATCCCGGCCTCCATGTCCAAGGCGATCGACATCGAGGCCGAGATCCCTGTCACGTCCATCCAGCTCGATGGCATGGTGCGTCTTGTCCTTTCATGGCTCGCTCGCCCGCTCCCCACCTGACGCGCACTGAAAGGTCGTTTCAAAAATCATCAAACACAGTTCCGAGGCGCATTCCCCCATCGTGCATGGCCTCCTCCTCGGCCTCGACATCGACGGCACCCTCGAAGTCTCGAACTCGTTTCCGCTGCCGCACCACAGCAACGACGAAGACGACAAGCAGGCAAAAAACTCCGGTGCGTGCTCAGGAAGCCTCGTTCCCGTGCGGGAAGAGCTCATGACCGATCCTGGACAGGACGCTACCAGGCCTCCATGCTGCGGTCGTTGAAGGAAGTGCGCGCAGACGACAGCGTCGTGGGATTTTATCAGTCGACGACGATGGGTGCGTTTTTCAGGCAGACGATGCTTGACACGCAGGCCCTTCATCAAGATAGGCTCAGACATGGCGGCATCATCGTTGTGCATGGTGCGCATCAAAAAAATATGGGAATTTTCTCTCGACTGATAAACGGACCCTCAGACATTTCGCAGACGACGCGGGGCAACGCATCCTTCCGGGCGTTCCGGCTATCGAAGGAGTTCTTAGACGCATATAAGAAGCGCAGCTTCAGCAGCCAATCGTGCGTACAGTCCCCTCGGGCGTGCCTTGCCGATTCGTCCTGCGAGCGGATACTAACCGAACTTTGCAGGCTGATCAGCCACAAGCTGACCTTCTCGTCGATCCTCGAGGAAGTCCCCCTGACCGTCCGAACGAGCCCCCTCCTGTCCGCTTTCCTCGAGACGCTCTCGCAGACGCGCCGATCTGCGCTACCGGACGCGTCATTGGATGACTCGCTATCGGCCCTGCCGCCGACGTTCTCGACGCTTGATCTTGGGAACAACGCGCTGACGAAAAACCTGGAGCACGTCATCGAGACGCTGGACAACTACAAAACCGAGGAAGGAAACCTGGCGTACCTTTCGCGGCAAATCGCACGTGAGAAGTCGCGGGCGGACTCGTACGTGGCGAAGCGGAAGGAGGAGAACGCGACTCGCGTCGCGCAGGGACTCGCACCGCTTCCGGAGGAGGACGTGAACCGACTGTTCAAGATCCCACCGGAGCCGAGCCGGTTGGAGAGCATGCTCTTGTTAGGACAGATAGACGCGTACGCGAAGACGCTAGAGGGGACGGCGAGCACGAGTCTTGTAAAGATGTACGCTACCAAGGCGAGCGCCGGCGCGTGAGAGCCGGAAAGCCATGTTCTGCACTCGTGTCTGGAATTTATGTTGTAATAAGTGCTGCAGCGGCGAAGACGGCGTGCTGATCTGACTGTCTACGGCGGACATGAGTGCTAGCGCGCATTACGAGATGGAGGCACGCGTGGAGAACTGCAAGCAGCGTGCAGGCAAAGGGTAAATTGATCGAATTGGTCAAGCGACTAGGGAGCGGGGGGAGGAGAGGCAAGTGCCTGGTGAGCGCGGGCACGGCGAGAATGCGTGGCGCACGGGACCATTCTAGGGGATGTCTCGCCGGGCGGGGAATGCCGAGGGGGTGCGAGGGACGGGGCCGATGAGCGTCGCCCCGTTTCTTTTCCTTCCTGTCTCTCCTCCCGAAACCTTCTTCCTTCCTTTTTTTTCGCTCTTTGCTGTTCTTGTCTCCGTCTCCCGCTCCCTGCCCCAGAGCATATAAACCTGCACACTCTCTTGCCAGGTCCCTCCATCCCCCAACAGCACCTCTCGTCTCCCTTCTCCGCTCACTCAACACTCGCTACTCACTCACTCACTCACCCGCTCACTCGCTCACTCAAACACTTGATCATCATGCGTTTCTTCTCCTCCACCCTCGTCGTCGCTTCCCTCGCCGTCTCCGCCCTTGCCGTGGCGCACTCCAGTGTCTCCGGCCACGTTCACGCAAGGCGTTGCAGCCGTCGTGCTTCCACCTCCGCCGTCGCCTCTCCCGCCTCTTCCTCTGCTGCCGCCTCCTCCGCGCAACCCGTCGCCTCCTCCTCCGCTATCCACACCTCCTCTTCCCACTCCGCCCCTGCCGCGACATCGTCCTCCCCCGCTGCCGCTACCCCCACTGCTGTCTCTGACAGCACTACCGGCAGCGAGAGCTACCTCTCGGGCACTCAGACCGGCCAGGGTATGTCTCTCCTTCTACCGAAACTTCTTCTTTCGCTCATCCCATTCTGATATCAGGTACCTACTACGGCACTGGCTTGGGTGCGTGCGGTATCACCAACACCGACACCGACTACATTGCCGCCGTCAGCAAGCTCTTGTTCGACACCTACCCGTGAGTATCAACCCTCCCGCAGCTACAACAACTCCCATTCTGATCCTGTTCTGCTTTCCTCAGCGGTTACGCCGGTGTCAACCCCAACAACAACCCTGTTTGCGGCAAGAAGATCAAGGCTAACTGTGCGTACTTCTTCCCATGCTCTTCTCTGTCACGCAAGGATCCTTACATGGTCGATTTCCCTCATAGACCAGGGCAAGAGTGTCACCATCACTGTGACCGACCGCTGCGAGGCTTGCAAGATCACCGACCTCGACTTCTCCCCAACTGCGTTCTCCCAGATCGCAGATCAGTCCATCGGTCGCATCAGCGGCATGACCTGGAACTGGGTCTGAGCCTCCCCCCACCCCCTTCGGGATCCGTGCTGTCCTTCCAAACCCTTCCTCTATTATTATTGGGTTCCGAGCTCGCTCATCCCTTTCTGGTACTTATAATTCCTCTATTGCACATACATAGTTGTTCGGTTTCGACGCCTGGGCGTTCTCATCTGCTCTCCCGACGCGTGCGAAGGGAAAGCGGACGAGCTAGGAGGACCGCCATGCGCACAGCCTTTTCGTCGTGTTACCTGGTATATCGCATGTCGCTATTTGTAGCACGACCTGTCGAGCTTGCCTCGACGCCTGCTGGTCTCGCACTCGCTCCGTTATTCTCTCTATTGCTATAATTATGTTGTATTGCCATAGACGCCTCTGCGGGGTATATGAAACAATGGGAACTTGTTCTTTGGGCAGTCTGAACTTGCTTGAACCGCTCTGATTCATCTCATCTCTTTCATCATGATCAGTCTTCATTATCTACACGCTCTGCGTCTAATCAACCTAATACAGGTTTGAAGAAGTTCGGTATCACTAAACAAAGTTCTTCGTGAAGAACGCAATCAGTTGACCGGCCGACGGTACGAGGGGCGTCATTGCCTAATGCGCACAACTTCAATCACCAAGCGTTCGCAGAGTACGTACTGGGTGCGGCCACGAGCCACGACCGTGAGATCCGTAGCTAACATTGAGAGGGGCACTGCCTAGCACTGCCCAGTCGCAGCAGTACACATGCAGCACGGATGGGCACGCCGTTCCCAAGAGACAGCCAGGTGGGGCGGGTCGCATGGGAAGACACAGCCCTCGGATTTCATACATAGCGGCAGCAAAGCGCACTGACGAAAATCCTCCCAGCTTTTTGCCAAATGCCGAATTTCACCGATATTCCACCGCTCCTCGTTGCAGTGACCGATTCGTCCGTTATCGGTCATTTGCCCAAATCCGTGGGCGTTGTTGGTAACTGTCGCTGCAGAGTTGCTCGTTGACAGCAATTGCTGCGCAGGGAAAGATGGTCGGGCGACACATGCTCAGAGTAAATAAAGATATGCAAAGTATAGTAGTCGCCAAACCCTATGGAAGACCTAGTCGGGAAACGTGGGTGATCTCTACCCAGTACTGCTCTTGGGCCGTCCCGGTTACAGCTATGCGCGCCGCACTGTCCAGCCGCTCTTCCACGCCACCAAGCCTGAAAAGGGTGGCCACGACGTCGAGCGCAAGCGTGCGAAGCGTCGGGCGCTCGAGCTTCGTGTACGGCCCAGGGAGCGCACCGCGGGTTGGATGAGCGATGATGAAATAAGGCACCAAGCGTGACCGGACGGCTTCTAGGACCTGCGCAGAACATCTCAGTCGGAGGTTATTCGCGTGATTTAGAGGTGTATGCCATACTTCTGAATGAACGAAGGCCGATCGAAGCTGAAATAACCGCAGAAGGAAACGCAGGATCGTCTGTGACGATGCGTCAGTCAAACAACAGTGTCAAAGGATATGAGGAGCGCGACAAACCTCCGTCGTTGTAGGGTCTTCCGTGCCAAGCTCCCAAAGCGTCTTGGGCAGTTGCGAGATCCATTGTTCTATTTTTTGACTCTCCGTAGGAAATTGGCTTAATTTAAACACCCCCGTATACTGCGGGCATGATTCAAGCTGACGCATTCGAGTCAACGTGAGAACATACTTGCGGTAGCAGAAAAGACTCACAAGCACCAAACGGGAGACGAATTCCACCGTCGAGCGCTTCACCGCTGACATAGATGGACACCGCATAGCGTGGTCAATCGTGGCCTCCAACACAGGTCCAGACAGCTCTGGGGTACTGTTCAGTAGCGACCAGATCGTGGGCAGGAGTGCGATGTATGCCTGGGCGGGGATCGGTCGCGCGACAGTATGCGAGCTCAGTGCTTCACCTCTGAGGACCGCGACCACGTATTCGCCAACGCGCTCGACTCGAAGAGATGAGGCGCCGGCGAGAGCAGGACCCGTGATACGGGCCTTCCCGCGAGTGGTAGGTGGTTTCTCAGGATGTTGAGCGGATGCAAGCACAAGGAGGGAGGTCAGTTCGCAATAGATAAGATTAAGATCTTGAAAGGCGTGTTCCGTCTCCGGAGATAGTCAGCATATCCCTTCGATCGAAGAATTAGGATGAGCCATACCTTGATATCCCGTCTTATCACAGCGCTCAACTGGAATGGGAAATGAGTAGCCATGTGTCCCAAGAGTGCTTTCAGGTCTTCTCGAACAGTGCTTTTTTTTATCTGTAGAGTGAACGGAAACACGTGAGAAGGAAAAATAAGCCAAAATACGAATGGTCTACTTCTGGGTTCTGCAATAGATGTCCATCAAGGGTGCGGTATATCTCAGCGCTCGCCACAATTAACCCCAATTCCATTTCTCGGGGTGGCAAACTAGGTGAGAACACGACAGGCGAGCAGTCGATAAAAGTCGATAAAAGCGTTGGGTGAAGTGCCCGTGCGAGCCGCTGTTTGCTTGTATTAAGAAGGAGCCCCTGGTAATGTCATATAGTCACTTACAGATTCGTAATCTGAACTGAGTTGACTGCTGTCCGATTTGATCATGTCGGCAAATGTGGATTTCGACATGAAGTCTGAGCACTCCTGAAAAGTCAACGGAACATCTGCACTAGAGTCAACATGACTGAAACTCCCAATGAACCTCTCATCGCCTGCTTCAAGTTCAATTTCGGGTTTCCAATACCGTACTTGTGGTGTATCGCCAGGCAAGTTTTGAGATGTTGATCTCAGGAGTGTGTCGAACGATCTGTAAGCTTCCTGGCTAGAGAATGAAGATGCGTAATACCACGTGGACTTCGATGGCTGAGAAGCATCGTTTTCAAGCGAGGTAGTTTGTGGTGGTGATAGTGCATGACGGAGAAATTTTGAAAGGGACCTCAAGACGACTAATTTCGACTGAGATGTTAGCGTCAGAGTAGAATTGCATTGGATGAGAGTGACGGGAGAGACTCACCGTGACGGATAACACAACACTTGCGGTTGATGTCGCTTGAACAGGTCCTGTGTCTAGCGGAAAATTGTATAAGACTGAGTATATCCTGGACATCTGGATCCGCACCTGCGCCTTCCCCAAACGTTGTCCCTGCATTCAAGATGCCGAGGTATCCTTCCAGAACACGCCTTCCATGTCCTCCCTTTCCGTCTTTCCATCCACTCACAACTACTTCCGGTATGAGATCCAGGAACAAATCTAAGAAGCGAATTGCATCGACCCGAATTTCCGGGAAAATATGTGTTTGTGCCGAAGTGGTAAACAGGAGAAGCAGCGGGGAGTGTGGAACCAGAGTCTCCTGAACTTGCGATGAGTGGGATGGACTTTCGGTGGAGAAAGGTGCATACATGTGGAATTCGAGGAAGAAGCCAACCAAGGAACACGAGCAATGCCTTTCGAACGCTGGCATCCTGGCGGACAAGTCAACCATGTAGCTCATGTGGATTGCATTGGAATTGCGCACCTCGTCAGCAATGATCCGAACAGAAGCCCCCACAAAGGGGGTGAGAGAGGATTCGACTAGCTCAGGATGATTCTCAAACAATTCGCGAAAACCCATCAGAGCATCTGATGGCCATAGCTGATCAGTCCAATACTGAATGAGACAAAAAATACTCACCCTTTCTCGTCCCTGCGTTATAATGTTTCAAATGCGCTATCAAATCATCGAAGGTGAGCTTGCGCTTGGTCGTTGGCGTATTGTCATATCGCTGTACGGAAATGCTCTGCGTGGGGAGCGCAATGGCTGTTGTTCATCCAAGTAAGAACATGGTGCTTCCAAAAGATGCATAGACTCACATCGAGCCTTGAAAGATGTGTCGATTGCATTGGTCGGCTGCTGCTTTCCCTTGCCTAATTTGAGTTTGGCTTTCTGGATATCAGACGTTATTGAATGGAGAACAACAACAAGAGCCAGCTTACCGAAAAGTCGGCAACTTTATCCTTTCTCTTTTTCGCGCTTTTAGGCATTGCAATGCAACGTTCAGGAGAAAGAAATCTTGGTTTTCCTTTTTGGGATCTAAGAGGATTCACGAAAGTTCACGTGCATGTGTGTGCCTTCCCGTGCAATTCAGACCAGCGTGAATTGTTTTAAAGTTGACTTGACAAGCTTCGAAGTTACTACACACGCTACTAAATCAACAATTGATCCTTCGCAGTGTATTCTGCTGTTCGTACATCATTTTATCCGTACACACAACCTAGACCAAGACCTCGCGGCCTACAGTCTCAACTTTTCCATCATGATTCATGACCACGAATCCATGCTAAAGTATCTCTGTAAATGAACGCGCTGAATGATCAGATCAACATCCAAAAGGTTTTCAAATGCACCCATCAGCCATAGATACAATTCCGGAGCAGTAGTGATACTTGGTGTTCGCGGTTACCATGAACTAAACATGTGAGCCCAAGTGAGAAAATCACCACGCCGTTATTTTACCCTCTATGATCAGGGCCCCAGCATTTCTGCGTGTATGGTATTGTTATCGAAAGAGTAGACGATATCGTAGCTGGGCATCACCGTAAAACTTAGTGGGCAGCGGAAGTAATGCTTGGACCTACAAACCTCAATGCCTCTTGAAGGCGTGTGCAAATTCTTTACTCTTCCGCAATCAGGAAGATTCTATGCCCATGTGTTCGGCAGGTCCCCGAGGATCATGCCTCTTGATCCACGTGTATCCCTCGTGATTATGAGAAGAGCATGAAGGAGGAATGATATGTCGGTTCACTATGCGCAGTGCCACCCCTTCCATGACTATAGGGGCCAACGTCACATGTGGAAGTCCTCTTGCTGACACCACCTTAGCACATGCATGCTATATTAAGAGAGGACCGACCAGTTCCACTAACCGGTACCTCTGTAGGCCTGGGTTTGAAGGCGATGGGTCAATGCTGAACACGTTCAGAGAGCGACTCTGGGTTCTATCATATACTCACACTTCTTCCGCGCTATCGCCAATTCCAGAGTGGCGTAAAGTACTTGTTGGAGGCCTTCTTGAAACTGCTCCAACGAAGAAAATGTGTATTGAGCAGTTGGCTCGGACGCTACCCGGGTATGGCAGGCGCAGCTGTTAGGGAACATGGCCTTGAGGTCCTAATCGCCGCATGTCACAAATATATATGACGCCGGATCCTCGAACAGGCCGCGCGACTCAATGAACTAAGGGTGATGATCCCAGACAACTGACCATAGGTCTGTCTTGTTCATAGTTTCCTAATTGTCTTTTTTTGATGACACGCGGTACCCAGAGCACAACACGCTGGTATGGAAGGTCCCGACACGTACCTGGTTGTCCAATCATTGTACGTAAGGGCGGGAAGTTCAAGAATATCTTGTCTCCCCTCTGAGACATGTCGCTTCGAAGTCAAGATGGCCCCGAAGAGCAAGTGATCCTAGTGATCGATGGCGGTTCATAGTCGGATACTAAGTAGTATGCCCTAAAGATGAGTGATGAGCAGAGCATATAGTGGATAGTCATTAATGTTTGGCAAACCTGTAGCAGTAGCTCAGAGAAATACTTTGTACACTCACTGATCTGCAGCTTACACCTGCGATAAACGTAGCTTGCTAATAATGAGTCAGAATGGCATTTGCGCACAGACGTTACGTGGAAACATTCAAGAGTCAAGACCATGAATGGGTTAGCGCCCAGAAAATCGAGGACAATTGAAACGTTGACAGGCAGTAGTACTGTCAAACATGAAGAATAGAATCAACAAGTGCATGCTATTACAATGACAACTATGATACTCCCGTAAGATAACACGGAAGATATGTTGAACGGGTGGGCGTCAAGGTTCGTGAATGTATGCGCGGCACATCGCAAGGTAGTCGCAAGTTATAATCGTCCCAGGTATTGACAGATAAACCTGTTTGCTTTCTCACCAGCCTAGCTTGGAAAGGGGGAAGGGCTTCTTCATAAAGTCCACCACCAAATCCAAGCATAACAAGTCATCATCATCAACAGTATATCCGCGGACATTGACCGTGAATTTGGCTAAACATGGCTCAACGTGTGGAGGAAGACTAGATCAGCGAAGCACTCACCCTGTGGGATTTCCTTGGGTAATGTAACCGTCTGCTCGACCTCATAATAACCCTTCTCGACAGGACACCGCACAGATGCATTGGCATTTCGACTATCCTCAATGATAAGCAAGTATAATTGACGAATATCTCCGATATATACGTACGCCTCCTCGCAGACATCGAATTGCTTGTGCAGAAGCTTGATAAGACCCAATTTCACGGTCACATCGGCGTATGCTCCCTCCTGATCAGGATGGTCAGACACAATCAACTAATACTATAGGTAAAAGAGCGTGCCTCTACTGCGTCTTGCGCAGTACCTTTGACCAGGACAGTTAAGTCCTGGCCAGGCTTAGGAGGGTCGGGAGTCACCTCGATGGACTCGATTTGAATCGGATCAGAGGCGGAACCTAGTAGCTACTCAGTTTTTGGCTATTGCCGAGAACAACGAATTCGACTGCGAACCACAGTTGGTCCAACCCCATTTATCCGTACTGTGTATCGGGAGACTGTGAGCGACGAATGCCTCCTGTTGATTAACAGGATTCGCGTTGGAGACACCGAGAAAACCTAAGAGCAGGACGGAAAGGACGGAAAGGCGTGCCATAGAGGGGGTATTCAGAGGGTAGACGATGTAGTTGAACCAAGGTCTTCGAGTAGACGATGCAGTTGAACCAAGGTCTTCGATGAGGGGAGCTGAGGCGTCGTCACACGACACTCACCGTGACATGCATGTAACAATGGGAGTAAAGCGGTGACGCAGGAGCCTACTGCGGTACCAATACCGTATTCTCACCCCTCGAAGCTTGAAGGCTGTCCACTCTCTCCAAGTTCCTCCCGCCATCAAAGATCTCCTCGTCCTTGCCATCCAACTCATCCTTTGGATTGTTTGCTAAATCAACGAAGGTTGAGGAATTGACTACTAGTCATTCTCCTATTCCGTTCCATCAGCCCGATTGAGTCGGCAGCCTTCCATCAACCTCCATTCCTGATTCAACCAGCTCATAAATCTACTCCCTACATTGCGCTCCTTGGTTTGGCTCCCCGCCAGACACTTTCTTCACCATGAAGGCTAGAGACTATTGCTGCTGCGCGATTCCAACCGTCAATGCCGGGGTTTACGCAGTCCTCACCGAACAATTCTCATTAGGTATAATTGCTGGGACATTAGCCATTGCCACGCCTTCGAGTGGGTCGTTCGCATTTTTGAAGAAATCTTGAGTTGACAAAGAGTGTTGGTTCGATTAGTCGTGGGTGCTGCGACGCCGTCCTACGCCTCGTGGATATTTGCCATCATCTGTTATGTGGGTGCTGGCATCCAGCTTTTCGGTTTCATGGGCGTCGCTAGGGTGGGTTACTTTTTTGTTTTGTTGATATGGCTGTCTTCATTGAAATCCATCACAGGAGAAGCCTATTGTCTTCCGCCGCTATGTCACACTCCACATCATGATCACAGTTGCTGCGTTCTCGGTCGCAGCCGTCTGGATTGCTCTGTCCGCAAGCCGCCATGGATCTTCCAAAACAAAGTGTATCTCGAGGTTCTTCTCCTCTGGAGGTGCTGCCAGTGATCAGTTATGCGAAATCTTCCCATGGGTGGATGTCGGTATCATGGGTGGTCTTTGGCTCCTTTTGGCCATTTCGCAGGTCCGACTTATGTTTTCTGACCTTCACTTGAGATCACTCACGTGTCATACCACAGTTCTATTTCTACACTGTTATCTCAGGGTACGGCGCTGGTCAGCGTGAAGACCACGGAAAGTATGATTCGATATACTCCGTCAAGCCACTCAACAACAGCATACCAATGACGAACCGTAATGATCCCTGGGACTCACGCGACTCTTTTGATGCCTCGAGACTGCGTAACGGGCATATGAGACAAGAAAGCGCCGCTAGTGACACCGCTATGCTTAGTGGGCCTTATGGGCAACCCTTTCCCGACAGCCCTTCTTATCCTTCAGGCGTATACACTCAAGACCCTCAACCCACTCCCCAATACAACCCTTATAACGACCCGTACTACTCTCACCCAGGTGGACTCAACAAGCCCGAACAAGTCCAAGCTCATCCCGGTCAGTAATGTTCATGGATTGGCTTGTTCATCTTTGGCCTTCGCTGTTGGGCGGCACTTAGCGGCAGTTCACGCGGGTCGGTTGTCTCTCGACGCGTTGCGATTGCAGTGTACTGACGCGAAAATCTATTGCTCATTAGCGGAGGGTTCGTTCGGGCGGAAAATGCCTCGGCTGCGTAAAGCGTTACCATATGACTACGGTTCTTAATATTGGTGAACATCTTGTGTATTCAAAGATGAGAGGTACTTTATACTCTTTTCGGACTTCTCTCTTCTCTTGATCTTCGGACATTCGCGATGGACATTGTCAGAGTTAGAATCGCACAATGTAATTCGTAGGTACATCAAGCATCGTTGATCGCTTGGTCTTGGTCTCAGACGTAGGTATATGTGTTGAATTCCTAGTTGTCTCCATCAGAAGATCACACTTCGACACCCGACATTTCCCATGATCAGGTTTGTTGATCACCAAACAAGTTTGCTTCGATCCGCTGTATACTTGATAACGACCAAATTGTGACGGGTCCAACCTCTTACAACATCCAGAGGATACTCAGGACTCAGCTAGTCCCAAATATCATGAATATCCTTCTGAAAATTTTCTCAGTCAACTCATCTTAAATCTCCCGATGCGGTTCATTCAGCCGAGAGCGAGTGGCAATGTAAGGGGATGTCAGGTGAGAAATCGCGGACGAGTGGGTCCAGTGCGGTCCACCAGGCTCCAGCCGGCCGCTTGCCTTTGGCCTCGATGTTCTCGCATGTTTGGTCACTTATGGTCTTGTGTTCTCTTTCTCTCGCTCAGCTTCCTGTTTCGAGCCTCCTCAGGGTTTCTTTCTCTAAATATGCACAAGTTCTCAACGTCGCTGATAAAGAACAATAGACCTCTCACATCGCGCTGTCTCTGTATTCCCTCCATTCTTGATCAAAACAAGACAATCCGCATGGTGTCAATACTTTTGTCTTGCCTAATCGGCAGGCATGTCGTATTGACCGTGCTGTGCCATTGTCGGAGGCGTGCACATATGTCCTTGTCCGCATTGTTTTCATCCCGTTGGCTGGGTTGCCGTAAACGACAAAATTTCCGTGACAGTTACCTCTCGGTATAACCCAAAATCTGGGACTGTCTGCTTGCGAGCGGCTGGCCCACTTCTTCCTTGCAAACCTCCTTCGGTCGCTGATTCTTCTCCCCCTTTCACCTCCCTCTGGCCGGGCCGCCTCTTTGCCCTCGAGCTCGTACATTCCCTACCATATCCATCCCTCGCCTTGCTCCCAATGCCAGCAATTACAGAGGATTACGAAGTTCTTCTCAGGTTCTCCAACGATACACACGACTGTGCTACGGTACAGCTATCGAGGGATTACGGCAGAAATACCGGCGCAATCGTGTTGTTTCATCCGGGAGAAGTTGTCACACTGATACTCGAGGCGGGCTCCACGTACAGATACGTTTTGAAAACGCGGTCAAAAGTTGCAAGCGTGTCGTAAGTCCTGGTTATCCGATTGTACAGCGCATGGCTTCTCAACGATGCGACAGAGCACGAACGTGGAGAGATGTTCAGTGCGCAGTATCGCAGCTGTTTGCAAGCGCAGGTTCGCAGTCACAAGCAGGCTCGATGACCGCCGTGAGTGGGGTCACTGTTGATCGTATATGGCGGGACTATCGGTTCAGTATGTGGGATGACCCGTAGTGTGCGTTCTCCTTGTCATTTCAGCAGTTCGGCGCATGAATTCATCGAAGACGACTGAATAGGTTTAGCGAAGGCTCCGCGTTCAGGGATCCTTCATATGATCTCTGTTGCGTTAAAGAGGATACTCCACGAGAGAGAGCCGAAGGTCGTGATTCCTCACTCACTGATGAACTAGTGGACTGTAACGATAATCAGAATTACGCGTACCTTGTAACATTATTCATGACATCTTGGGCTACCATACCACACGCCAAATACTCTCGATGCTTAGCTTGCCTTATTGTCGACCGAGATCATACGTTTTCCGTACTCACAGTAGTGAGTGGACGCCCGTTGGCCTGCAATGCGACTGCTGTCGGGCACGCGGTGGAGGTGTTGCAACAACGTTTTCGTGAACTTATGACGCCAACTTTCCTCACGGCATTATACCAACTCAGCATGGATGTGCATCATACATGAAACATGATACCACCATTCTAGACCACTTAGCAGCAAACATATCATTTGCTTCGAGGGACGTAGCCTCAGCATACTGAATTGTGGGCGCAACTAGACAACTTAAGCAAGGTATTGCACAGCCGGTTCCAGCAATCTCAATGAGAGTGCCTGACTCTTGACCAGACAGGACTAAACCAAATTACACACGATGGGCCACAGAAGACTTCGCGCCTCCATTGAATGCTACTTTGGAAATAATGCATACCCACATCCGCGAGGGGAAGTTCACCGTTGCGTAATTACGCCGCTCAGTCAGCGCCGACTTCCTAAGTCTGGAAAGTGTCCCCACATAGAGAAGCGGACCGGAGCCGAGCGATTCATGGAAGGGATATGGAGGTAATAGCTGGGAACATGAGAACTGGAGGATAATTGGTGCTAACACCTGGGCACGGTTGAACAAAGACACAGGAAATGCCTATAAATGATGAACAAATGCACATCACCGATCGTCGATCGGATGGCGATGCTCACAAACCCGTCGTCCATTCGGGTGATTTTGGGCGAAATACTTCCAAGTGTTCAAGGTATGGAGGATGATCACTGACCGAATTGAAGCACGTGGGGCTGGAAGGGAACAGTCGACGCTGATCAGTGGTGATAATCAACACCCCCTGCGAAGGATTCGAATTTGAGTGCACGCGGCTGCAGGCGATCGCACGACAGAACACGAGAAAGTGTTCCAGCACAAGACATCTAATAAAGCCACAAGTGAGGCCCTCGTGACAGGGTCGTGTTTGATCTGTTGGCCAAGAGGGTAGTGCGGAAAAGCCCAGCAAGACGCCTTTGAATGAGATTCAACCATTGTAGAGAAAGGGGAATGTTGGACACAGCGATAAGTGTTGAGATCTTGAAAAACGCTACTCAATACGGAGAAAAATTCGCTCGAGCAGAATCATACTAGACAGTTATATTCCTGCACTGCCAGTTCACGGGAAAGTAACCTCGATTTCATGCAGAGATATCTGGACGACTCACTGAGGTCGTCCAACTGAAAATGTATTTCCTATCCCTACAAAAGGTTTCTGGTGGAAAATAAGCAAATTACTCGTCATGCAGCTCGAAGTCCCGAGGTATATCTATCCTGGTCCACATTTCGCTGAACCAAATTCTTCGGAGTCTATACTTTGACATATGACGCATGCTTGAGAACCGACCTTCACTTCCATCATCTTCGGAGGATGAGAAGTACGGAAGAAGAGAGAGAGGGAAATAACACCTCCAGTTGTGTCAGCGGAGGTCAGCGGAGAACATGAAATGTTCACAGTGAGCGTGAGAAAAACATGCATTTCCTCTGCATCCTTTCGGTTCGTCATGCAAGTCGACTCAGCGCTCAGCGCGACTCCAATACACCTTACAGGTCTGAAAGACCTGCCCAATGCACATATCGGAACTACATTGAACATGCCATCGATTCGCAGTTGACTCTCTCTGGATGGAGACTATCAAGTGATTCAAAGACATTATAACTAAAGATTAGGCATTAATTGGACTGTCCCTATGTGAGTTCAATGATCTGCGGAGCGAGATTTCCAGCAATAAAATGTGCGGGATGACATCTGAGACTGCACTTTTCTCCAGCTAACGACACAATGCAAGCCGCGGCGAACAAATTACAAGAGGTACATAAACCACGATATTCCACTGACACTCGAAATCAACGCTCACCATATGAATGCTCGACATTTGTAGCACCTTGGGACTTATCCCACTAAGGCCAATCCAGAGCTCAAGCCGCGCAAAGATGGTTCAACGATGAAGGCGCTTGCATGGTTCGAAGTCAATGACATCCGCGTCATCAACGCCGATGTCCCAGATATTGTCGACCCCGGTGACGTTATCTTGAAAGTCACCGGCTCCACTATTTGCGGTTCAGATCTACATCTCTTCCACGGCGAGATCATGGCGTTGCAGAAAGGTGATATACTCGGCCATGAGGTTTGTTTTACCCTATACATTCCAGAGTAACTGACCGATGCAATATCCACAGTTTATGGGTGCCATCGACCGCATCGGGCCCAATGTGAAGAGTTTCAAGGTTGGCCAGCGCGTGGTTTCATCCTTCCAAATTGGCTGCGGTCAATGCAAATTTTTGCAAAGAGAAGTTGTCATCTTTTTGTGATCGAACCAACAATCCATCATATGTATATTTTCTTAAATTATTTCCACCATATCTTGAGTCTCAATTCGAACCAGCCTGCAAAACTTCATGTACGGCACCCACGATGCGGGATTCTTTGGTTATTCTCACTTCACAGGCGGGTTCGCAGGCGGGCAAGCGGAATACGTCCGCGTCCCGTTTGCAGATTATAATCTCTTGTCGATCCCGGATGAGCTTGCAGATGAGCAAGTAATCTACCTATCTGATGTTCTTCTGACCAGTTATCACACGGTGGTCGACACTGGAGTTAAGATAGGTGATGTCGTCGGTATCTGGCCAACTAGGAACGCGCTTAGTGTATTTGCATGTTCCTGAACCTATATGTTCGCAGGGACTTGGTCCAATTGGACAATGTGCCGCCAAATGGGCAAAGCTTAAGGGCGCAGCGCGCGTTATTGGTGTCGACAAGTATCCTGATCGCCCGGAATTCGCTTGCACCCAGTCTGGCATCGAGACTACCAGCTTTACAGAATTCAAAGACGTTGCCAAACGTATTCATGAGCCAGTCCCAGGAGGACTAGATGTTGCCCTTGACTGCGGTAAGTCTCCCCATGATCATCATGCGTGTCCGAGTTAGAGTCCTAATAACGTGCAGGCTCATTCCATGAACCGAAGACGCTCCTCCACAAGGCGCAGAAACTTCTCATGCTTGAAACAGACGTTCCAGAGACGGCCAACGAGATGATTCTCTCCGTCCGAAAGGGAGGAAGCTGTGGTATCATCTCTGCCTATGCAGGCTTCGCCAATGGTTTCAACATCGGAGGGATCATGGAGAAGGGGATTAGATTCATCGGCAATGGACAAGCACCGACGAAGAAGTATTGGGATGAAATCCTGAACGATTATATCGTCCCTGGAAAGTTTGATCCGACTTTGTGCGCCCCAATTCTTTGCACAGCCTGGACCTGACCTAACATCTTGATGATTCTATATTAGTATGATCTCACATCGCATTCCGTTGGAAGATATGTCGAAATTGCACAGTGCTTTTGATCAACGCCGGGGTGGGGTGATGAAAGTCTTTGTGGAGACCAAGTTCTATCTCCTAGCCCTGGATGCCCGACGACGACACGGGTTGATGATTGGGAGAAATGATCAGATTCTGAGGAAGCGGGCAGCAGGACTCCGTCTGGTGGCCCATGTATTTGCAGTGTTGATGTCCAGAAGCACCTGGAACATGTATTTGCAGTGTCGTTGTCCTGAAGCGCTTGAAAACATTCATAGTGACATTCAGACTTCCACAAGTCGCACGTGTGACCTGTTGACGGCCTAAATTTACACTGAAACCCACTACAAGCCTCTGTGACGAAGGAGCGACACATACATAAATACTTCGGCAGAACGGTCGGGCAGTCCGCGTGCTCATCATGTTTTCCCTGCTCCCTCTACTAGTTGCCCCCTGCGTGCTGCAATCTGTTTACGCGTCTCCGGGAGTATTGCAGTGGATTGCAAACATCAACGCGACCACTCCTGGTCATTTCCAGTATCCGACTCAGTTCACACAGGACATCGTACCCAAACCCATACATTCACATAATGACTGTAAGTGTATTGCTTGCGCAGGAGGATCGTAAATCAACACACTGATTATCGTCACCTCCACTATCCCATAGACTGGCGTGATGCGCCCTTGTTCATGGCCTTGAGTTTGGGGGTTGCCAGCGTTGAAGCAGACGTTTGGCTGATCAACCAGACGTTATTTGTGATTACCGTTCTCGTGTTATACAAGTATGCGTCCTCACGAGACGCTCTGTGTCTCACAGGTTGGCCATGAAAAGGCGGCTCTCACAGAGAATCGCACTTTCGCCTCGCTGTATGTCGACCCGCTCACGCAAATTCTGGCCACCATGAATCCAAAAGACTCGTTCACCGTCAATCAATCATCACCGAAGTATGCCTGTTCTGTACATGAAGTTAGGACCTAACATAACTTGCATCGTCAGTGGCGTGTTTGACACAGCCAGTAATATACCTCTGCAGCTTCTCGTAGACATCAAGACTGACGGAGTGGAGTACTTCTGATCTTGCTATTGTACAGAACATCATCGCTCATGACCTAACCGCAGGACGCTTCCCGCCGTGCTCCAAGCTCTCCAGCCCCTGCGAGATGCTGGCTACTTGACGACGTTCGCGAACGGGATCCTGACACAGTCGGTCATCACAGTTGTAGGAACGGGCAACAGCCCCCTTGCGCAGGTCAAAGCCCTTGAGCCCAGGGACTACTTCTTTGATGCTCCGTTGGATCAGCTGAACGACTCATCCCTCAACACTACATGGGATGCCACACTGTCCCCTCTTGCCAGCACCGACTACGAAGTCGTTGTTGGGTGGAGTGGTATCGGCGACATCAGTGATGCGCAACGCAACAACCTTACGAGACTTGTAAATGATGCACATTCCAGAGGTATCAAGGCAAGGTTATGGGACACGCCGGGTTGGCCCATCAGCGCCCGGGACAACGTGTGGAGAGCGTTGATGGACAATGGGATAGATTGGCTAAATGCGGACGACCTAGAAGCTGCGAGCCAGTTCTGAAGAATCAATTAGACATTCGTAATATACAGAAGCTTGGCCTGCAAGTAGCAGCTAAAATTGCGACCAGTCCATCGATCGTTGAAGTCCGAGCTTGCGTCTCTCAAACCATCGTAGCTTTCGTCCAGGTGTCCAGCCAAGGTGACCTTGCGCCAACCCGAGCGCACTCCCTGTATTACCAGGGGTCGTCTCTCCGGCTTTGAGCTTCAAATCCTTGATATCTCGAAAATAGAGTTGGTCGGCGTCAGCGTCTTCCTTCTCTACCTTTTCACGCAGGGCTTGCACGGCGACCGGTTTCGCCAGCAGCGTATCCTAAGGAAGGTGGTGGAGTCAGGTTCATCGCATGGCACCAAAAGTCAAGACACATACTATATGCTCCTCTGCTTTCTTTCCCAGCGTCTGAAGGGCTCCGTCTGGCCTGAATCTGAGCACTTTTTGCAAATTCCACCGAGTTGTCGGCCGCAGGTCACCTGAATCCTTTATACCTAACCCCTGCTCCTGTTTGATGACATTCTCCACATCATGTACGCCGTTGTTGATGAGGGTACGAGGTGGCGTTGTCTTAAGCTTGCTCGAAAGCAACTCCCAACCGACCGCACGCGCCGTCACCTCAAACTTCAAATCTCTCGGATTGTCCACCAGCTCAAGGATAGCGTGTGGTGCGTTGTCACCTTGGCGGTGGCCGAATTTGTGAATGCGCGTGTATCCGCCTGGGCGGCCTGCGTAGCGTTTTGCCAGCGTGGTAAACACTTTGGGAGTGAGTTGAGGTTGCAGGAGGAATCCGGATGCGCGTCGGTACGCTTGGAGGTCGCCCTTCTTGGCCATGGTTATGATCTATGAACAATTCGGGTCATTGGTCATGCAAAGAGAAACAATTCGTCTACCTTTTCTGCTAGACGTGCAGTGTCCCTGGCCTTTGGAAGGGTAGTCTTAATTTGTTCATGTTCGATGAGAGATGTCACCAGATTGCTGTTGTCCGCTTCCTTAGAATTCACTAATCACATCATGGAGCGGATTACGCACCGAAGCATGAGCATCCTGTGCGAGGACGTTCTCGAGAATTTGCGAAACGCGATGCCATGCTTCATGGTCAGCAGCCGGTGAAGATGATGATGAACGGGCTGGTGAGTTGAGCGTTTGAACAGGGTGCGTTAAGACTGCGTCAATCTGCTGACAAAATGTGCCAAATCGAGACACGGTGTCGTGACTGCAGCAAGTTGAAAACAAATGATATCGCAAACATGCTCTCATAGTTTCAGCAGCCATTGAAGCGAACCTGAGTATGATGATCATCTATGGAATGCTACAACAAAGGTCTAAGACATTTAAAGGTCTAGCAATTTCGATTGTGTATGCGTATGAGGGTTGAAGGAGCTCATCCACGCGAATGAAGGCATAGCTTAAGAACCGTGCCGACCTTATCTAAGACCTGAAGAACGTCAACTTGTATGCTGGCGCCTTAACTTAGCGAACTCGAGCTGGCCCTGCTCATGCTCGAGATACTGCGATCAGAGAGAGACCTAGGATTATTATACGCACTCTTTGTCGCTTCTGCGCAGAGTAAACAATGCGACGGGCTCACGGATTTGCAAGGAAAGTCTGATAATCTCTGTATACCGCGACCTAGAGGCAAGAAGCCATAAGCTGACTAAACAGAATCAGCAGAAAAGCATCACTTGTGGGAGTGGGAGAATGTAACTCATTGACAATAATTGCTACCCTGCAGTGCTCACGGGTTGCTAGCAGATTGATGCCTTGACGAGTCTAACCTGTCAACCTTCAGCACTTGAGAAGCCATGATGGTGTGGAAGCTTCAGACAGGAGCCGTGACATTCCAATCATCGCATCGTAGATATATGCGCGCCTTCTTACACAAAGGATGAGATCAAGGGTCAAATTATGATGTGGGTCGATGCACAGCAAGGAAAGGGTAGTATTCAAAGCAAAATTACAAGTAAGTAATTTGCTAACTAACTCTAGCGCGCTGAGTAAAAAATCAACGATATGCATTGCGTAAATTGGTAAATAAGCTTACCTTCTGGCGTCTTGGCGATGTATTCAACGGCTACAAAGGACATGAAACTTTAGTCGCATCACTAGAGTCATTGAGAAAGAACAACAAACCCTGTTGCACCGTCTTGATCTCATCGGCCTCAGCATCCGGGATTTCGATTGAAAATTCCTGTTTCATACTTGCATTATAGACGTAGTCCACCGTGCGCAGAAATGAAGACATACCTCCTCTACGGCCATAACAACTTCTACCGCGTCCAAACTGTCCAATCCAAGGTCACTCGTAAATGTCGACGTCAGTGTGAGCTAGATTCCATGCCCATTGAGTACGATAATTGAGGTGACTCAAGCATAGTGCAGACCTTTGCAGGGTCAACTTTTTCAAAACTCTTTAACAGGTCTAAAATCCGTGCCTCAATCTCGCTTTTGGGCAAGCCGGCAGCAGCAGAGAAAGCCGCGCGCGGGGAGTAGCGGAGAAACTGTATGCGAGGTGCAGATGCAGCCATCAAAGTGGGGCGCACTGCGCTACGGAAAGCGAAACGGGTGAACGACATTGTTTTTGGAGGAGCAAGCTGGACTGTGACGTGCCAACGCGCTCAACTGGTCATCCCCATTTTAAAGTCCGACTAGCCGTGTGCGTCAGCATCGGCATCCGATAGGTTCAACGCCAGATTGTTGTATAAGTTACCAGTCTCGACAGGTCTCAACCCGCCAAACGGAGATAATGCATACAGAATACTTAACAGATAGTAGTGTCACAGATGTAGGTCCATATGATGTCTTCAGCATCGTATCATATTCGAGAACACCATGGTAGAAACGACACAAAAAAGCTGCTATGCATACTCAGAACATGTGATAGAGGGAGGATGGACTACTGTCTAGTAGCCAAGGGCAGTGAGCTGCTCGAACGATGACGCGGTGTCAGAGATGGCCTTCTGGCGAAGCTTGACAGCAGCAAGCTGTGATGCAGGAAGGTCACAACGGGGATCAAAACCGCATCTAGTTTAGGCACATACCTTGCGCTCGTGGAAGGCCTGCGCCTTGATTTTCCTCTTCTCCTCCAAATGATCCACGACGTCCTTGTAGCCCCAACCGACTTCATGAGACAGACGCTGTTGAAGAGGCGAAAGGTTAATGGCGATGCACCAAGCGACGAGACGATGACTCACCTTCACTGTGCAGTATTTACGACCAGGCTTCAACCGCAGGACCCGCAATGCCTCCGGTACAACCATCCGCTTCTTCCTGTCATATGGAGGAGGAACACCCTCAAAAAGCTTCAGGCGCTCAAGAGCCGCCGCGCCACGAGCGGTCTTGTGAGGTACCATGCCGCGGATGGCCCGGAAGAGAATCTTGGACGGCGCGCGGTGATGGAAAGGACCAGATTTTTTGGGGTTAACAATGTGGCGCTTATGCAGGAAGTTGTGGTAGCGCAGCTAGGTGAGACATAGAACAGTAAGTGTCGAGTGAACGGCGCCAAGACTCGAGCGAAAGCACCTTGTTGCGGAAGAAGCTGCCAGAGATGTTGATCTCCTCGCACCGGACAACTGTGATTTTCTGGCCGGACAAGATTTGCTTGGAGATAATGGAGGCCAGCCTTCCAAGGAGATGACCCTTGCCATCAATGACGATGGGGCTGGAGGAAAGTGTGGCCATGGCGAATCTGGCGCGTCGAACGCAATAAATGAGTTGTTCTAACGGCGGAAATGGGTTGATTGTACAGACCTGGTGAGAGGGATACGCAAAAGTGGCGTAATGTGTGTTCAGACGAGCTCTACGAATACAACAATGAATCTCGCACCTTGAGGGTCTTGCGGTCGTTGTAGGTGAGCGTGCGACGATAAGAGTGACAGCCACTGTGACTAGAACTGCACAGTTTCTTCGGAAAGTGCCGAAGATATCTGTTTCCCCACGTTTTGGCCTGAATCCTATCAATTCTTTCCCTGGGAAGATGAGATCATTGTTTAACATCATACATGTCCATTACCATAGAACCATCCACACTGATCTACCGCCAGTAAGATCTACTCAGCATCTAAGTATTCTGATACCGTCCACACCTTTCGCTCCTGAGTTTTCCTCCCCAACGATTCTTTAGTCTCAAATACATCTACCATAACCCTCAATCGCTCAAGCTCCCACCTGTGACCTCCTTTCCTAAGCTTCAAGTTCAAGGGTTAGACATATCCTCTCGCAAGCCATATTTCTTTAAAACCTGATCTAACTGCAGGCATCAATGCTATCTGAATTCGACGGACTGATTTGGCTCGTCGAAGGATCCGTTGCTAGACTCAATCGGTTGTGCACAGCGTTGCATAACTTTCAAAGATTGTATATCTGGAAGCGTTTACCAATCCTGTCAACAGGACTTAGTTTTTGGTACCGTCGACAATTGTCTGTCATTCACTTGATATTTGTTGTATTGAAATGTGCGATGCAAAAAGAACAATGATAACCTATTGACCATCTCGATGAATATCCATACGTGGATGTTGTATCGACCGTAGACCATGTGTGATCTCGGACGTGAGGGCCCCAGTGTCTAGTCGTCGTCGTCGTCGTCGTCTAAAGCTGCAATCGAGTGTGTCTCAACGTCTAATTCATTACCGAATGGATCACCATTCTCCATGGCCTTTCGGACCTCCTCCGCCTTCTTGGCTCGCTTTTCTGACGCCTCCCTCTCGTCCTTCTCCTTCTTGGCCAGATACGCCTTACTCCCAACGATTTTTTCTGGGTTTTTACACAGCTTCAACCTTCGGTCAATTTCACGTACCACCTCAACCGAGGGAATATCGCCATCCTGGAGGATCATCTGCTTAATAGAGTTGATTGGCTCGACGCCTTTGGATCTGGCCCACACGGCAGCGAGATCAGGGTGGGCTATAGATAAACAGGCAAGAGCAATTTGAGATGGCGTGTAAATCAACTCGGCATCGGTAATCCGAGATGTTCGAACATGTCGGAGAGCTGTGTCATATGCTTCTTGCAATATGTCTCGAGAGGGAGAATCTGGCAGGTCCTGGTCATGAGTGAGTGCATGAGTCAAGGAGAGAAATAATGTGAGCGGACCTGGACGTCAAGCCAGAGGCCCCATAGAGCCCGGTGCGTATGCCAGACAGCAAACTCGAATGCGAGGCTTTGTGCGATCAAAAATTCAAGATCAAGGACATCGGATGGTACCGTCCTAGGAATATTGGATGTATACGCCTCCAACGATATTGGATGGTTTGTGGTTTTGGTAGCCAGGAACAATGCCGTCAGCCTATTGATGGATTAAACCAAGTGGCTTGCGGAAGAGAACAATTTACGCACATAACATTTTTTGGGTGCCAGTCCATCACTGTGTTCTTCAGATAGAATCGCTTGAGGTAGCTGACGGCGGTTGCTTCTACCTCTTCAGGGAAATGGAAATGGCCACATAGCTGAGATATCTTGGTGATGTACAGTCTGACTAACAGGTGCTCTTCCTCTGCGGTCAGAAACTGGATATCTGATGACGATCCAGGCTAGCACACAGCTAGGCATCATTGACAAGGCGCATGTTTGTGTAGATGCTTACTGAGTTAGTCTCGAATGTGTTGCGAATGGCAGTAACTGCTGCTGCATTCAGAGATGATCTGATACTCCGCAATTGTGTCGGAGAAAACCGCCAGTTATTATACTGGGTGCTGCTCGAGTAGAGAGGCTTTTTGAGTGACGGTTGGTCTGTAGAATCTTCAACGGTACTATCAGCAGTCATCATATGGTAGTCCGCGCAGGTAAAGGAGGTGACGGGGGTCCCGGCCCGGTAGGGACGTCGTCGAAAGTGTCCGGCCAGTGTGCATGTCCGACCTCGCCGACTCAATCAATGCAATCCTGGACCTGGTTGCCTGAGATCAGTCGGACCTAATCTCTCTGATTCAAAACGGTGTGTGCCAACTCGTTTCAATTCTTTCTTTCTCGCCTGGAATGATACTCATGGGTATCATATTTCTATTGATATCGTGCGGCTGGTCGACTTCAATTCTTTCTGCACCGATGCGCAAGGTGCTGGCTCACCATTCTCATCGTGGTGGCATGTCCACAATCGTTGTCCTTTCCACCCTTTTCTACTTCCTCTGCGCTGGGATTCCTGTTTCGGCTCAGTATCTTGTCAACGGACAAGTCTTCACTGATGCGCTCGCCATTCTCGATGCACCCGCTCCAAAGAGGTATGCTCAAACTTCTCAATCGCTGCGTCATGGCCCAACACTGATGTCTTCCTTTCAGTACATATCACGCCGGCAGCGGCATCCCCATTGCTATAGACGTCGGTGATTCTTGCTAGGCTTCTCGTCCGCCCAAAGACTGAAAGTGACACGATGGTTTAGGTGTCAGGCAATGGCAAACTTCCAAATAATGCGGCTATACCAGGCTCCAACCTCGCCACCGGATTTGACTCTCTAGAGTTATACCTTTTCTCGGCGCCGCTAGGCATCAATCTTACTGTCTCGTCAGGGACTGCTCTCCTGATACAAGAGAGCGGAAGTACGGTGAAGCATCTCAACTTCGCCCTCTCAAATTGTGTACCTGCTGGTCAATACAACGTATGTCTCTACCAATGCAGTGCGTCTCCGACTTATCTTTATTCAATTACAGTTCACCATCTATGAAGGTTCACATATCAATAAAGAGGCATTCTTCTCTATCACCTCCATTCCCATCTCCATTGAGAACAGCCAAGTCAATGGAACATGCGGAAGCGGCGTCAATCCGCTACAGAGCATACCTCAGCCGGAATCTCCTCCTTCTGCCAATCCCTTCTTAAACACCAGCAGTCTCACTCCCCTCGACACCTCTGCGAATGGATCACCAACTGTAACACCACCATCCGCCCCGTACGGAATCATGACTCTGACAATCGGACCTTCAGGTGTTCTCCTCCCGCCTCCTTACAGTTCTTCCTGGGCACCTTACTCTCCTGGAGGTATCATAACTATGCCAGCATGGGCTACTCCGATCCCGACTCCAACAACAGCCACAGTGACACTTGTCTTAGTTTCAGAGCAGACGATAACAGAAACAAAAACCGCTACTTCCATCGGGTTTACTACGGGGTTCATTACTGTGTGCGTGCTCGATATCATCATACTCACCATGTTTGTCATCACTTACGTTATGAATGATATGTCTAAATAGCGTTACGACTGCGGTCGTGTCTACATCAACCGCAGAGATGCGTGCGAGCGGTGACCAGTCCGGTTTCTTTCCCGTGAATGGGGCACCGGCACTGTTTCCATCCAAGGCTGCCTGGCTTTGGGTGCCGGTCTTGCTCTCATTCTTTTGCTCGTCATAGTGTCGTGTATGCGGAGAGTGCTGCATTGATATGATACGCTCACAAATTTGACCACCATGTGCTCAAAATCCATCATATTCATGTGGTCACATGCGGAGGAGATTGTTGTGGGAGTGCGACGTTATTTCGGAGATTCGGATGATACCGTTCGCGGGGTGAGAATTCTGGGGACAAATGGGCTCGTGGAGAGTTGTGGATGAACCTTGGCGACGGTCACAATTGAGTTTGAGTTATGGGTTCCTCGCATCTTTCGTGGCCTGCCGGTGGTAAGTAGGGCATTCTTAAGGCTCTCGCACAGGTCATATGAGCAACTTCAGGTACGTTCGTTTCCAGCCCGAGGCCGTGTCAGTTCAAGCATTGGGGATCGTTGCGAAGCTTTCCCACTTATCTCTTACCTCCATTCTGGAGAGGTACTCCAGTTCCTTCCTCTTACATCGTCTGCCCCAGGTGGCATTCATTACCCGAGCGGTATTTCTTTCATTCGCACTTTCCAATAGCTCTGACGACCATGACTACATGGCAACTTGACCACAAGTCTTTCGTTTCACCGACCTCCACTCTCCTTCAAGACGACCTCTTGTTGATGTCCTCTCCGACATCGCCCCCGATTTCAAGCACTTCATCGTGCTGCGAACCGAACATGGCCATCGTCCAGCTCATGACCACTCTCACAATATCGGATTATAGTCGCTTCTACGATGGCCCTATCGGCGAGTTTCTCCCAACCTATTCCCAGCTTGCCGACGGCTCTCTCGTCGCGCCCCCATTCTTGCAGGACCTCAAAGTCGCTTTTGCCAGCTTACTTCTGATGGGTGCCTACCTGCTGCTTTCGATTCGGAATATCATTGTTTCCTTCCGTTTCATCCGCAGAATGAAGGTCAAGAACAAAGATCTTTTCTATATGTTATTTGCAAGCCAAGTCCTTTCTCTCGTCATATGGATTCCCTTGGTTGTAGCCATGTTTGACACTGCCCTGGACTGTACAACGTAAGTACTCCAAGTCACAATTAATGTCAAAATGACCTACCTTTGCTCTAGAATCCTTCGAGTGACCCGTTTGTTCTCTTCTGTATCCACAGATATCATGGTAAGCCTCATGCATGATACATCCGACCTCCTCCCCGACCTTCTTCTACAGATCACCGGTATATTTGGCGTCAAAGCCTATCGCTGCCTCGGCAATGCACGTTTTGTACCAGTCCTGATGGCACTCCTTCAGATTGCCAACTCGACGCTTACAGTCAACGATTTGGTGCAGCTACATGGGATACGCGGGTTAAGTGGTGCGGGCCTTATCCACAACTATATTATGTCTTTCTGTAATCTTGCTTATCTTTCTTGCAGGCCTTTGTTCTTGCTTGCATCCGTCAGACATGCTCCCGGTCGTTGTCATTCTCATTTTCGTGGAGTCATTTTTCATCTGCTGCTGCTGTAAATGGCCTTTTTCCTTCCTCCGTCCATGGCAATGAACTCACGTCGTGTATTGTCAGTCATCTACGCCGTGTGGAAGTCGTCACGGATTCTAGCAGCTCAAGGACGTCTCTCCTACCGATTATCACTGGATGCTGAAAGGGTGGCCTCTACCGATCACGAGAAAACCAAGTCTTTTCCTTCCCAGACTCGTCTCGAACCTCAGGAACTGAGTGCCCCAGGATCTCGAGGATGGTGGGATTATATCCCTCAACCTGTCAATACGATATCTGAAAATCTAGGACCTGAACCCAACCCGAACAGCACATATTTCTCGAAGATTTACACCCAACTCTCCTCTTTCTATCGAAAGCATGGTAGAGGAAAATGCCCACCAAGAAAACCTTCTATTCACACCGAGCAGCCTCTTTCTCAACATCCCAATCTAGGGTCTTTGACACAAACTGCCTCAATGTCTGCCCACTCACAATCTGGAGGACGTCGTGGCCGCATCATCTCTCCGATCTCCTTTACTTCTCCCCGTCTAATAGGCCTCAAGCCTCGTGCTCTCTTGTTTCGTGAAGTTATGCGAGATGAGGTGAGCATTGGTACGCGATAGTTGACAAGTACCTGTTTGATCGGAATTCTGCTGCGACCAGCTATGCTATACCACTTTCGTGACTGCTGTCTGGGTGATAACAGCAATCATCGGGGTTGTCGGCGAAAGTCGCCAGATGTTCTGGACGGCTACAGGCTGGCTTGGGGTCAATTGTAGGGGTCGCTAAAAAATCCTTTCATATCGTGGTGCTGAAGATACTGTTTGCATGATAAACAGGGGCCATCGTCTCTCTGCTTGTGGTCCACAGTTTCAGCCGTGTTGTCCAACGTCATGAGGAGGAGGCCATGTTCCAAAACCCAACTTTCTGGGATAACAAACTTCGCGCGGAGCGAGAAGTGGCGAAAATATCTAGACCTAATGGTGGTGACCGTAGACAAGCATGGGCACCGGGTGGCCTAACGTCGCCCCGTCGACCCGTCCGTTCTGCTGAAGCTGGAACCCCTACTGTCGCCCTCGATTTAGCAGATCATCATCGCAGCTGTGAGAGCTTCGATAGCACACAATCATTTCTTCCCCGCACAGATGACAGATCATGGTCAAGAACTCTTTTGTCGTGGGACGCGCCTCGACTCTCGATGCTAAATCGAGATTTCACCCCGTCTATGATATCTTTACCCTCGACTTTGAACTCAGAAGCAGGAGTACCCTCGGCGTGGTCGCGACCCGTTAGCCTCGCGCTCACGCCAATTAGCATCGAGCCATCCTCCAGCAGGCCTTCACCATTGGTAGAGACGGCGGAATCTTCTAGCTCTATGGCATATGAAGACACAATGTGATTGTAACCCACTGGGGACGTCTGGTACTTTCCAACTTTCTTTTCTCACACCGCCGAATTGTAGGGCAGGCATGTTACTCACCTTCATGGTAGAAGACAGTCGTTTGTATGAGAATGATACGAATATTTGCATCGAGTTCAGGAACTACCCGAGCAACAAGACACAACGAAGAAGAACACTGGGATTGCACACCGTGAGATGAAAGCCCTCATGTTGAATCATGATTCGCTGCCGATAGACTCTCTAGCCTTCTTTTCCTTCTTCAACCTTTTCCTCTCCCGCTTGGCTTCTTCATCTTCCTCGCCCTGTTCAACCTTCTCCCTCAACTTTTTCTCCTTTTTCTCCTTCTTGCGCTGCTTCTTTTCCTCGTCATCCTCATCCCCTATGTCCGTGACTGCCATTGAGACATCACCATTTTCTACCTCGGCAACTTCAGATTTGCGCTTCCGTTTTTTCTCCTCCTTTTTCTCCTTCTTGGGGCTCTCAACAGCGGATGGGTGCTCAACAGCTGCCACAGGGGCAACGGCACTCGCAGAAGTAGCTGTCGCTGATGGTCCGGCGGTTGGTCCCTGCACCAAACACTGAGACATGATCACTTGAATAGATAAGCGAACTTACGTCTCTCGTATAGTCAACATAGTCGCGGCTCCATTCTGTTGGGGTGACACCCTCGAGTTTCTCCCCGTGCTTTCCAAGCTTTCCCTCTTTTACCATCTTTTTCTTCTCCATCGCCTTCGGGCCAAGGCCCCATCGCCTTGGGTATGTATCCCTCTCCATTATGACGCGCTTAATTTTTGCGACAACTCCGTGGTCGCAAGTCGCCAATTCCACTGTCGACATCTGAGCGATGGCAAGGGCAATGGCCTCACCCTTTGTGGTCATGAGGACGACCTCTTCGTGCACCGATATGTCGGCCTCATATCGCAAGAGCCCAGGAATCATCAATTTGGCTCCATAGCAGATGGCGTTGACGGCGCTGTCTTTGACGACAATACGCTTGTAGCCGATCAGGAGGCACTCGAGAGGACGGATGACACGACGTAAATATGATTCTGGAAAGTTCGGTCAGAATGCAATCGTTTCGAAGGATTCCGTCAAAACTCACCGTCGCGCGTGTTATCATACATCCATTGAGCGTCCAAAACATCGTGCATTGTCACCATATCATCATTCTCCGACAATGCTCCACTCCGTACTCTCCTCAGCTCTTGCATGTGTCCCCCAACACCCAACACCAATCCGAGGTGTACACACAGAGTACGGATGTATGTGCCGGCCTCGCATGATACCCAGAACACAGAGAGGTTACGTTTTTCGTCAAACTCGAGGAGTTTAGATTCATGAATTGTTCGAATTCGAAGTTGACGCTTGACAGCAGAAATAAGGGGAGGGCGCTGGAAAAGTGCGCCTGTAAGCGTCTCTAATGCGCGTGGGAGGGCGGTGGGGTTGGGAAGTGCCGAATGCAGTCGGAGCACGCAAACGTACTCTTTACCTATCTCACAATTTGTGAGCCGTCAGTATTGCGCATACTGCGGAAGCTGCGATCTCACCTGCGCCTTGCTGAGACTTCACTAACCGCGTCGCACGATCGATGCATACGATTAGGCAACCAGTAACTTTTGGGTCCAGTGTACCACTGTGGCCAGTTTTTTCACATCGTAAGATCCGCCGCAGCCAGGCTACAACCTCGTGCGACGAAGGATTGGATGGCTTGTCCAAATTGATGACGCCAGACCTATGCAAAGCCTCAGTTAAGCGATACATTCACATATCCGATTTCTAGGTATACGCACTTGATATAAGAAGCGATATCTCTCTTCAAAGGGCTATTGCCTGAAGGGATGGGCGTGAAATGGCTTGAACGAACAAGCAACTTGTCATAGTTTTTGAGGAGAAGAGGCCACTGTGAGGTGTCCAATTTTGGTTGGGTGTTCTCGGACTTGATAGAAAAGTCGCCTTCCACTTGGATGGAGGCGACTCTTCCGCTCGACGTTGCTTTAGACATTGTGCACGACGACGATACTTGATTTCTCTCAACGCCCAATCCGAAACTACATAACCATTGCGTGAGAGAAAGCTTCTAAATCGGATCTTCGGCACTTGCCGGCAAAAACTGTACAGTTATCAAAACCATTCCGATTCGTGATCGACAAGCTTTTTACAAGCGTTGTCGACCAACCCCCTCAAGAAATCTCCTTCAAGATGGTCAGTGCCTGGTACTGCTTTGCTGAGTCCCCTTCTCAGTAGGCTAATCCCGGGTTTTCATTCTTTCTACCTTGTACCATAATGTGTGCAGGCCAAAACCGCTGCCGCCAAAGTTACTGCTGCGAAACACAAGTTTGTCGTTGACTACTCTCGCCCTGCGAGCGATGGTCTCTTCGACGGTGCTGCGTTTGAGAAATTCTTGCACGATCGCATCAAGGTCGAGGGCAAGGCTGGTCAGCTTGGTGACAATGTCAAAATTCACCGCGATGGTACGTAGCCGATTACACATGTTAATATCGCAGGCATTTACATGATATGCTTTCAAGGGGACACCAAGATCACTGTGACCTCGAACATCCCTTTCTCCAAACGGTATCTCAAGTACCTCACCAAAAAGTTCCTCAAGAAGAACACTCTCCGTGACTACCTCCGTGTCGTTGCGTCGTCTAAGGACAACTATCAGCTCCGGTTCTACAACATCGAGTACGTCACTGTGTTTCCCGCTGTGTATTCTTCTGTTGACTGTGCGTTCCAGGGGACCAGAAGAGGAGGAAGACGAGTAGAGTACCACCCTTTTTGTCGCATGTTATACTTGCCTGTTGTTTACTGCTTCGGGTACGACCGGACTAGGTCGGCGCTATCCAAAACGACCTTCGTTTGGATATTGTCCCTTTCGGTGTACAATTCATTGCTATCCGTTTAGGCTACAACCCATCTGCATCGACCCTGCAACGATCAAACGATCGTTGTAAGATGCACAGGATTAGGTATCGGCACTTGTAAAGTGAACTTCAGTCAAGCCGTATAAGTATTGAACATTAAAACGCGGATACCAAGCATCTAAATCAAGGAACGTTAATGATCGCATGATCAGTGATCAGGTGCATAAAATCAAGTCATTCGTGTCCACAGGTATGTAAAGCAAATCCCGATGACAGCAATCAGATCAGAATACCAAAAGCAAGACCCGACGCTAACAGGAGAAGAGAAACGCAGGTATTCAGAGAATTAGCGCCGTTGCCGCTTCTTCCAGTTGAAGATGATGATGGAGCGCTGGCCGACGAAGAACCAGTGCCACTAGAGCTGGTGCCATTGAGTTTTTCTGCTAGAGCTTGAAAGGCGGCGAAATTGCGCTGCGAACTCTCCACACTATTCACAGCGAAGACCATGCCAGCACCACAATGATCAGCCGGGTTTGTCTGGCGGCACTGAGATCCAAATATAAATTAATAACAAAAACTAGGACAATGAAGTTTCGACATACATAGACCCATATCGGTGCAGTGTCATTGACGGTGACGTTAAACGTAGGGAAACTAGATGCGTTAGCAGCAACAGCAAAGTCACTGCACGGAGCAAATACGCATTGGAAATGAGTTTTGCGATAATAAAACATGGTCGGTTGACGCACAAGGCAGAATCAAAGCCACCGTCCATCTTCTTGCAAGGCGCATCGAACGTAGACTGCGTTGCAGTGTGATTTTTCTGATGGCTGTGAGAGGGAGGACCAGGGATATTGTTAACTGACGGTACGTCATTCCGATGCACGGGTCACCCACAATTCAAAGACAATGGTGTCCCGGGGAGAGGCAGAGACGAAGGGGGGGTCGAATGTCAGGTTAGTACCACCGACAATGACCTTGTGAACGTTTCCTTGAAGGGATGCCGGAGTAGCGTCAGGAGAGCCAGGGTAAGATCCATATGTCGTGGTCCAAGATGAACCCTCGACGGTGATAGTCTCAGTGACAGTTACGATTTCAGGAGGGGGTGGGACAGTTGCAGTGCCGTATGCCGCAGTGTAAGTCGTTGCCGGACTGGTTGACGCATATGCAGTTGAGCTGGCCGCCGTGGAGGCTGAAGATGCGCCTTGAGCTTTGGCAGCGTTCTGGAAGTTGACAAACGAATTCGCAGCGCCGTCGCCTCCGGGATTGGCGGCAAAAACCATTCCTAAACCGCAATGACTATTCGGAGTCCCCGCTCCTTGACGACAGTAGACCCAAATCGGGGTGGTCTATAACCAAAAAAAGCACGGGTGATTGATCGAACGCTGAATGACAGGTCGAAACAGAACATTCCATACACTGTTGACCGTCACATTGTAGGTTGGCAGATCGGACGTCCCAACAGCAACGGGAAAGCTGAGACAGATCGTGAGAATACGAGCAAAAAGAAAATTGAGATGATAGAACAGACAAGTTCGAGTCGAATCCACCGTCCATTTTGCTGCACGGTTGCGCAAAGGTTGACTGCGTGACCGTATGATTCTTTGGGTTGAAGTGGAATACAATTTGATCGCCCTCCTTGGCATTCTGTTGAAAATATTCATCCCAGCAGCACAAACTTTGCAGCGATGCCACTTACGACGGTTGTGGGGTTGAAGACTGTCTCTCCATTGGGGCCACCAACAGTAACGTCCCATACTTGCTGTGCGTGGACAGACGATAGAACCACAAGGCCGACAGAGAGCAAGCTAAGAATGGACATTATAATCATCTACAGTCTTGAGAGGCGTCGAGGGGCGGGGTGGGGTGCGTTGGAATGGAGATAGTGCATGAACCGCGCCCGCTCTTATAGACATGAATTTGCCGAAACACGAGCCTCAGATCAGTTAATTGACTCGAATGAGACGTCCGAGGTCCCCAGACAAGAACAGCATTGCTATTGGCGGACAGCCAACATTCTGATTCGATGAGACATTTGTGCCTGTGTGCAGGGAAGGCAGGTCGAACCTGATTAATCAAGAGCAAGACATTCATTCAATTGACTGCCATGCTCACAAGGCGAGCTTTCAGTAAGTATAACTCGAGTCCGGTCTTGCGGAAACCATTGAGACCCCCAAATGAAAAGTCGGGCTCTGAGAAAGCTCCGATGTACCGCGGAGTTTCGACCAAACGTAGATGCACGTGAGTGGCTGTGACAAATGGGCATCGCCTCACAACGGCGCCTCACCTGGCACCTGTGCAGGCCACACTTTTGTCTGTCATTGTTGGCCACCAGGGTTTCAGGGCCACTATGCTCAGCATTACAGTATTTTCTTATACCTGGTACCAGTAGCCTCGGCGGAAGGCTGAGCTATCAGCAAAGGCAAAGCGTCGATATTCGTACTCGGCATGGTCGCATGATCTCAAGTGATCGAGAACTAGATTGGGACGGCGTCTATTCCTCCAAACATGCTTGCATCCCACTACTTACCTCCCGCTTTACGAAACCGAACTCGGGGCAGAACAACCATCCGAGCCCACACAGTGATCTAATGCTTTGACGCCTGAGGCTTGAAGCTTGAAGCCCAACCAGAATCATGGCAGCGCGCAGCGAGCCTTCCCGACATCTTTTCCAATAAATCGTTCTCGTTCGCTACAGCTGTTTTAGGACCCGCGATGATTCAAAGTGGATTTGAGACAAGATACCCCTACAATCACATCAAAAATCGTGTATTCCGCATCAGCGGATCCTAGCAATTGACCCAATTGGAAATGTGAAACACACGTACGGTCAGTGGCTCGTTATCCTCGTCAGTTATAAGCTCTCGTACAACTTCTTTAGTTCATCGTTTCACCCTCTCTCTTCCCTCGAACTAGTAGCTCACTGTCTCTTCCCTCCATTTTGTACAATCCTTGCCCTCGCTCTTTGATATTCACCAACGACCTCCACTGATCATCATGTCCCGTAAAGCTACTAAGCCACTCCCCAAGTTCGAACTTGGTAGGGTTTTCGATGTCGCTCAAGTCGGAGCACAGCTGAAGACACTTCTCCCTCCAGGAAACGACTACAAAGTCCTTCACAGTCTGGGAGAGGGCGCATATGGAACTGTTGTTGCCGCTCTCCACAAACCCTCAGGTCGATCAGTTGCAATCAAGAAAGTTCTTCCCTTCGAGCACACCCTGTTCTGCCTTCGCACTCTGCGAGAGCTCAAGCTTCTCAGATTCTTCTCTGAGACCTGCGTCAACGAGAATGTGCGTAGCAATGCGCAACTCAATAAACCCAGACCTGGCTCATAGAATTGCCACAGATCGTATCAATCCTAAGCATCATCAAACCCCCATCTTTCGATGATTTTAAGGAGATCTATTGTATGTCGATTCTCTTACATTACCCACTCACTCTCACTTATTCGAGGTGTAGTCGTCCAAGAGCTAATGCAAACCGATTTGCATCGCGTAATTCGAACGCAAAAACTCACCGATGACCACTGCCAGGTCAGTTGTGTTTACGGTCTTTCAACGTGTTTGTAGGATGCTGACTCAGGATTGGAACACAACAGTACTTCATCTATCAAACACTACGTGCACTGCGATCAATACATAGTGCTGATATCGTTCACCGAGACCTGAAGCCGGCCAATCTGCTTGTAAATGCGAATTGCGATCTCAAAGTATGCGACTTTGGATTAGCGAGGAGCGTCAAGCAATCAAGTACTCAGGGTGGGAAGGATATCGGTGTCATGACAGAGTACGTTGCCACCAGATGGTATCGTGCTCCAGAAATCATGTTATCGTTCAAGATGTATACAAAGGTACTATATGCCGTTGACTTTCTACCTTGTCACTCATCTCGTCTGGGTCCTTAGGCTATCGATGTATGGGCGGTCGGATGCATCCTCGCAGAAATGCTCTCAGGTAGACCTCTGTTCCCTGGTCGCGACTACGGCCACCAGCTCGACCTCGTTCTCGATGTTATCGGGACACCCACTCTCGAGGAGTTCTATGGAATCACTTCTCGTCGCTCTCGTGACTACATCCGTGCTTTGCCCATCCGCAAGCGTAGACCTTTCACGGCTCTCTTCCCGAGCGCGTCGGCTGATGCGATTGATTTCCTCAATCAAACCTTGGTGTGTCGGTTTTCGATGTTTCATGTCCGATGAACAGGACTTACTCAGTTGTGATTTCAAGACATTTGATCCGAAAAAGCGTATGACTGTTGATGCTGCTCTCGAACATCCGTATCTTTCCGCATATGTACGTTCCTTCCGCTTTCACAAGGATTCACGTGGTAGCTCACACTTTCTTAGCATGATCCTGACGATGAGCCTGTTGCTACTTCTCTCGACCCAGATTACTTTGACTTTGATGGTGTGTTTGTCCTTCACACCTTGATTGACATAGCTCAACTATGATTCATGCTCCTCAGATCACAAGGAAGCCCTCAGCAAGACTCAGTTGAAAGAGCTACTCTATGAAGAAGTCGTCGCATTCTCACCTTCTATCTAATTTATCGGGGCCATTCCCTATTATTTATGTCATCTGTTTTCGTGTCCTTTGCTGTGCAATTCACATCCCTTCACTCTATCCACCAATCTACATGTCTCATACCAATTCCATCGACCTGACAATACTAATGCTTATCACTTACAATGTTTTACTGAGCAGCCGGAAATTATACTGTGGTAGGTCAATAGAAACATAAGAACATAGGAGAATCAAAACAAAATACAAGATAACAGCTACACAAAGAAGATGAACGCTACAATTGCATTAACTTAATAGCAGTATCGATTATTCCCAAGGACAGCAGTGTAGCCAGAGATTTCACGTCGAACAAGCACAAAACAAAAGGCCTTGAACCGTCCATGTTCAGAATCGTCCGCCAGTCCAGAAACCAGTGGCAACACCCTCAACGCCAAAATCCCCAAATCTCGTGTCACCCTCTAACTCAGTTCCGTACATTGTTCGCCTGATGGGCGCAATGTCGTCTGTTTGCGGTAGTAGTGACATCCCGAGACCAGCGCCCACATCGTTACTAGAGGCCTTTCTCCGCCCATCTGTCCGCACTGTGTTATCGAGTAAGTCAGGCAGAGTTGGTGGAGGCGTGCGTAGAAATGCAGATGGATTTATGTTAGACTCCACCGTAGACGAACCAGAAGGGTTTCGAGTGCTAGGAGGTGTGCCGAAAGGGTGAAACGGATCATTGCGCTCTATCCTGCCACCCCGCTCTACACGATGGCCATAGCTAGAGCTCGGAATTGGACTCGGAGAATGTGGGACTTCTGGTAGAGGAAAGTGATTGAACATAGGAGATTCGGGGCCAGAGAATCCGGGAAAGTTGCCTGTTGGGGCAGGTGTGGACGTCATGGGAGGATGTCCAGGGAGAGGGAAAGAGTAATTGAATGGGCGCTGATTCTCAGAAGCATTAGCTGTGCTAGTTTTCGGTATATTTCCGCGGCCATTGACGTGGGCGTAGTCAAAAAAATCGAAGTCGCGATCAGTGAACACATCGTCCATGTTTTGCCCAGTTGGTTCAGTTCGACGAAGGCTCGTAGGTGGAAGCTCTTCAGGCCCTTCGAACACAGTGAACTTAGGGAACTGGCGCGAAGGGATAACAATGGACTGTCCGGAGGGTTCATCTGGTATCGTCGGCTCCGGCCTATCATTGAACACCTGAGTTGAGGGGCCAGCATCGAGAATGCGATTGGGTCGAGTGTCAGGATGATCTTCCCTGCTATCCTGCACCAGCTTTGGCCGTTTCCCGCCAGGTCCCGACGCAGTTGTCCTGAGCTCTTCTTCTTGGATCTCTTCTCTACCTAATTCGACGATAGGACCGAGGTCTGCTTCTCTACGGCGCTTCCCAAGGGCGCTCTGGCCAGCGGCTTTAGAAAGTCGATGTGATGGGGAACGCGCTGGAGCTGGAGGATATTCGAATGGCAAAGCGGTGGAATTTTGAGGTCGAGCGGGAACGCTTGGTTCCGCTTGCTTGACTTTCGACGACCTAGAATCTCCGATGGAAAGACTGTCATGGGTTATAAGTGACAGCGTCCACACATGAACGACCATGCACGTACCCCAAATCCGGTACGTGAGGGGGGCTGGCTGATGAGATGCTGATAGGAGTGGACAAGGTCAAAGGCTCCCGACTGGTAGGGTCTGCACTTCTGCCCCTCACCATTCGCAAATCATTTTGCAGACGATCAATCGACTCGCTCATTTGTTGGATTGTTCCATTCTGCTGACGATAGCCCTGAAGCTCGGCCGTGAGAGTGTCAATCCTGGCTTTCAGCGTAGCCACCTCAACGGCATGCGCCAAAGCTTGCTGTTGTAGGGACGCCACTGTTCCCTCCAGCGGCTTTACCTGTGAAGGAAAAATTCGGGTGAGCATTATAACATATACGGATGATGCAAAGACGTACGACTTCCTGCATTATTGAATAAACTATCATTCGAGTCTCGTGCCTATCTGGGAGAAGACTCGTGCGATCCTCAATCTTTGGAGTTGATGGACATTGGCCCAAGTTAGAAGGGCCCGCTATTGGCGGAGTGGCTAAACGCGAAAAAGTCAGACTCTTCGAAGCAGGAGATACGATTGATCTTACGATGATGTGCAGTATTCTCCGATTCTAATGCATCTATGAGCGTCCATTCCCGTAAAAGCAGCAGGATCAGCTTACCCTCGGGAATTGTTTCTTCTGTCGGTTTGAGGCTCCTGCTGCTTTTCGCCCGTTTACTCTTGGAAACACTGATTGACTTGGTGACAGCTCGCGCTCCTGATCCCCCTGCTACTACAGGCCTCCCCACCCCTAATCTGAATTGTGCTTCTTTCGCTTTCCGCGTGCGGGTGCTTGGACCTACTAAAGTATTTGGCGGTGGCAAATGCATCGGCTGTGCGTCCGATTCTCCAAGTTGTCCTGCGTCATCGTCCTCACTTTCTGAGTGAATGATGACAGAGGAAGTAGACTGGAGGCGAGAAATAGGTCTCGGTACACGGCTGAATATGCGGATTGATGAGGCCCGTTGTGGAAGAGCGGCCGGCTGAGGCTTGGAAGTCCGGTCGCTGAGACGAAGTGAGCAATCACTGTTACAAGAAGGGAAAGCGAATTGGCTCACTTTGTATCTAATAGAAGATCAATCAATGATTCGGACTTGAGATTCGCTTTGAGTCCATGGTCCTAGAGGCATATTACAGATCACAGTAACTACGCGCGATTCGCAAACGCACCTTGCAAAGTCGTTGCAAATCGACCCGCTTCATCCTCTCGAGAGTTTGTCGGTTGAGCACTCCCGGCATATCCTTGATATGAAGATACTCCAGGGTTAATTGCGAAGCGAGAGGAATGGCCAGTAAATGAGGTGTGAATAAAGACTGTCTTGATGAACGTTCAACTTCGAGCGGAGAGAGACCAAACAACAAGCAAACAACGCGACGACCTCTGTACACGTGACTGACTCATCAATGTTAGTGGCACTGCAATTGCATCTAAATTTTGGTTATGAACATGTTCTGACCAGAAAAGGGCATAGTCCTCCCAATACATCTAATTGGGCCTGAACAATCTGATCTTTCGCGCAAGATCCCAATCAGTGTATCGAAAAAGTCCAAGAAAAGGTGTGTACGGGTACTAATAGTAAGCACTGTAACCGGTACTAGCTTCCTCGCACATAGTGCGAAATGAACATGTACGCGACTCTCTTTCGTGTTTTCCAGCATGGATGCTTGGATCCGTGTTCACTTCCGCTTTCTTCTCTTTGAACTAGTACTCCGTGATCTTCTAGTCTCCTCGAAGCAACAAAGGCTTGGCATGATAATGGTACTGCCCATCTCATTTCTGCGAAACGGGCGCAACATGCTGCAACATGGCGTGCTCTCCACACTCAGCCCTGCTTGACGATAACCGAAAATCCTCACGCTATGTGGCAAGAGCCCCTTGGGCTTCACATCCTCCAGGCTGCCCCGGCCCGCCGTTGATTTATACTCTCGCGTGACCGCTGTTTGTATCTAACTATAGGCAACGTGTGTACGACGAGGCACAGTGTTCTAAGTCTACAACCTCACTCTCAGCCTCAGACTTATCAACGTTCACCTTGAGTGTACCATGCCTTGGACGTTGGAGCAAGTTGCTGAGCACAACACACGCAGGTACTATACGATACATCTACCATAGCTTGCGAGCCTTGCTAACTACAAGCCTGTATAGCTCATGTTGGGTCATTATACATCATCGTGTCTACGATGTGACTGATTTTCTACTTGTAATACTAAAATCTTTCGTCTTTCGCAGATTATCTTACCTTTCGCGTCGTAGGAACACCCAGGGGGCCAGAAAGTAATCCTTCAGTATGCAGGTCGTGACGCGACAGCAGCATATGAGCCCATTCACCCTCCAGGTTCCCTCGAGAAGAACCTCCCAGCAGAAAAGCATCTTGGCCAGCTGAGTCCGGATGCTATTGAATACCTGGCTCAACAAGCTGTGGCCCCAAAGAAAACACTGGACGAACGAAGAGTAGAAGATGCCCAGCGAAGAAAGCCTGCACTGCACCGAATGCTTGGCCTCCGTGATTTGGAAGACGTGGCTAGACAAGTCCTGTCATATAAAGCACTGTCGTATTACTCGTCCGCCGCGGATGATGAAATCAGTACGTTCTTGTGTCTCACTGACACGAGCTGAAATCACAAATCTCCTCTATGGAATAGCATGCTACGAGAACGAGAGAGCCTTCAGTCGTTTCTTCTTCCATCCCCGTGTCTTGCGAGTGGTATCACGATGTGACCCGTCAACCACCATCCTTGGACACAGGTCATCTATCCCTGTGTTCGTGAGCGCAGCAGCCCTCGCAAAGCTCGGCCATCCTTTAGGTGGGCTCTCTTCCCATCGATTAATTTTCTGATTTTCATTGAAGATCTTAGGTGAAGCAAACATAACTCGGGGCGCATATTCAACCGGAATCATCCAGATGGTGTCCAGCAATGCCTCCCTTTCGTCTGGTCAGATATCGGAAACACGTCCCTCTCCCGAACAGACTCTGTTCTTCCAGCTCTACAAACGCAAAGATGATATTGTCGCCGAAGAACGTGTGAAAGAAGTAGAGAGGCAAGGATACAAGGCGATCTTTCTGACTGTAGATGCTATCGTGGCAGGACATAGAGAGAGAGATATCAAGGCTCCATTCCTTCTGCAAGATATGGAAAACGCAGAAGACAAGGCTGCGAGCGCTGTGAACGTCGATCAGGGCGTCGAAGAGGACGTGGAGGAAGATTTGGGCTTAGGGGGCACGGCAGGCGCGTTATTGGCCAAACAGGATATCGACATGACTTGGGAAAAGGTCAGAATAAAATTCAATAACCCCCAATGTCTTGTTCCTAAATGATGTGCACTTGAGACCATTCTTTGGCTTCGAACTATCACGAAACTACCCATAGTGCTGAAAGGTGTGCGACTATGATCACGCTTTGCGAAGATTGATTGACTTGTTCCCACCAGGCATACAATGTGTTGATGTAAATGATCATCTTCATTATCGTGCAGCTCGGACTGAGTTGGATGATAGGATGCTTTGTTAGCAGTGGAGGCTGGTGTCGATGGTATTCTCTTGTCAAATCACGGAGGTTAGTGTATCAGCTCCCTTGTTCGCCAGCACATGAAAAAACTAAATGACCGTAGGCCGGCAGCTGGAATAGTGAGTAGATTAAGATAATACCAAAACTATTCGATCTCATCCTTGCTGAAGCGCCCTGCCTCCCATCGAGGTCCTGTATCGCTTGCGTCTGCAGCATCCTGGAGTGTTTGATGAACTGGAAGGTAGTTTTGATTACTTCACACAACTGATTATGCTTGATTTTGCAATTGCTAAGTGTACATCGATGGCGGTATTCGACGAGGGACAGGTAACGTTCTGAAAGCCCAGGGAGCTGCCAACTTCTTACTCGTCATATTTGCCCTTCTTATCAGATGTCCTGAAAGCACTTTGCCTTGGAGCTAAGGCTGTAGGAATGGGCCGCCCTTTTCTCTACGCACAGAGTGTGAGTCACTCTCCTATAGTTCACTCTCCTAGGTTTGCCCTACCCTAACGACGTCTTGAGGACAGGCATACGGAGAAGCAGGTGTTGTCAAAGCTGTACGAATTCTTCAGCGAGAGATCGTAGCAGGAATGCGTATGCTTGGAGCTACAAACGTCAAGGAACTTGTTCCAGCCATGGTTTGTGGTTGATTATCGCCTTTCTTTTATCTACAACCCATGACATTCTTTCTAGGTCGAGCGTGTAGATTGGCAACCTGTTGCTAAATTGTAGCGCAAGGTATATTTTGTCGACTTTGAGCATCGCCCGAATCCGTAGTTGCGTGGGGTCAGCGCTCGGCTTGTGGATACCTTGTCCATGATCGTGACCGTCTTCCCGAGCGGTGTCAGCGAATCAAACTACAGCCTGCTCTGGGCAAGTGATGTATTCTAATTCTGATCATATAGACGTGCACAATACCATGATATCACAAAAAAAAAAAACACTCGGACAGATAGAAACGATCACCCGTGTCCATCGAATACATCGTTAGCAAGAGATAGAAGACCATTGAACTATAGAGAACTTCATGAAAGAAGCACCACCTGGCCATCAAAGCGCAGAGCCCAGTACTTTCATGGCAAGTGCACGAAGAATCTGACCAGAATAGTAAGTAAAGTTGACTGAAGACCAATGCACAACATTCGCGCCTACCTCTGCCCTCTGACTACCACCTAGCTCGGAAAAGACATGCGCAACACTCTTACCTTTTGCGTCTCTAATAGCTCCTAGTCGGTTGCCTGCGTACACACCGACGAGCCCGCCAGGTATATTGCCAATTATGAATCCGATGCCCGCACCGCACGCTGCTCCCATGTATGACCACAATGGAAGTCCCCGCTCGACTTCTGGACGAAGAAGCTACGAGTAGCAACCGGTTCAATAAGCCACCAACTAGAGAGGTAAAGCAGGCTCACATCTTCGAAAACATCGCCAAACACGTTATTCGCATCAGGTCTCTGCGCACGCTCTCCCTCCGCAGTGCCGGTTGTGCCGCCAGCAGCGCCCCCAAACATGTTGGCAAACATGTTGAAGAAATTCGCGGACGAGTTAGGGTCGCTGCTCTTCTTCGACTTTGATTCATACAGAGCATCGTATTCGCCGCGTCGCTTCGAATCTGAGAGCACGTAATAGGCATCAGCTACGGCCTGCCCATAGCGATACAGGGTACACAACCATGAGAAGGCAAGATTTGAGATCTAGAAAGTATTGAACATACCTGGAAATTTTCCGTTGCTCTCTTCTTCTCATCCTGTGTGGCATTTGCGAGTCTATCAGGGTGAGTCCTGGAAGGGCGTGGACGTAAGAGGAGGATAGTTGCCACTGCGAATGGATCCCTACTTTAACGACTCTTTCCTGTAAGCCTGCCTGATTTGTTCAGTCGTGGCTGACTTGGATATTTTGAGAATGGTATAGTAGTCTGGAAAAGCGGACATGGCGAGCTTGGAAGATCGTAGAGAGTATCAGTGAAGACCGTGGCTGCATTCACATCCATGATTATGTCGTGGCCGCTGACCCCTCGGTGACGTCACAGAGCAGAATGTGGAATATGCACATCACATGATCGCCGATCCAATCTTGGCACGACGACTAAGTTACAGGTGGAAAAAGCAAGAATACGCGATATGTATCTATGTCAGATTTCACGAGAGTATCGTGCTACACGTTACATACATCATAAAACTAGGAAATTTTGCTGAGTGAATGCGCTCAAAAAAGCTTATAATTAGTAATACATAAGCGCACGGAAGATCGAATATAACATTCAGAAAACGATGATAGATGAGTCAAAGATGGAGAGGATGAAGTTCAGAGGGCACCACCGATAGTATCGATGTTCAAACGTCCCGTTTTCACCAAGGGTCGAATGACAAGGGGCGCTGGTCGAGGTCTCTCGAACGCAGTGTCATCCATAGACTGTCCCTGCGTTCGTGGAGAGCTGATCGTCCTCTGCCTCGGTCTCGGAGGTAGACCCACGCGCGTGCCAGGTCCTGTTCGAGTGCCTGAAGCACGAGTATATGTTGAAGGCGCCAACGGATACTGTGAAGTAGGCGAAGGGGAGAGAACGCGGTTCAAAGGTTCGTCAGATGTGCCTATCACGGGTGAGTCGGGGACGTCGGCTATGGGACCTCGGGTGTCGGAGGGAGGTGTCGCGGATGTAGTGAATACAGGAGGGTCGGACGGAGGTACGCTGCCGCTCCGAGGAAAGATCATCTTTTGCGCGACCTGCGCGTTTGATATCTGTCTAGAGACTGTGACTATAGTTGCCGAATTTGCACTCTCAGGTTCGGATTCCACGGGCGACGCTCTGACAGGTGACAGCTGGGAGTTGTCTCTCCTATGGCCTGGCCCTGTTGTTAGCCCTGATGATATTGTTGAGATAACAGATGCAGTGCCTGACGCAGACAGGCTCACCTCCAATGAAAGATGTCACGTCGTACTGTGTGCCGCCAGAATCAAGCCGCGAGGGGCGCGTAACTGGGACTGTGGTGTCTTCACTATTCCTGGTAGACTTCGGCAACGATTGACGCATCTCGGATTCCTCAATTGCAGCCGGCATTCGAGGTAGAACCAAACTGAATGCTCCGGATCCCCTCTCGGTCCCCAAGCTGCTGCCCGAATCCGAACCTTTTCGCCTCCCGTCAGTCGAATGCCGTAACTTTGGAGGCTGGGGGAAGTTGCTCAAGGAAAATTCGCTCTTCATTGACGCTGACTCAAGCCCAAGCCTCGACCCACGTACTGCTGTGGAATTCCGGTTGGAATTCCGGTCACCACTCGATGTCGTCTGGGAGTCTCGGTCGCTGGCATCCGGGGCGAACAGTTTGAGCGCTGCGATGCTCTTCTCCAGTTCGTTTTGTTCTCGTAATAAATTTTCGAAGCCAGAGGATCGAGCGGACGCAATGTCGAGTTCTCCGTAAGGGCGAGAATCAACCACAGGAGAATAGCGATCGCCACGTATCGTACCAGTAAGGCCATAGATTGGGGAAGGCGTAACGACTTGGCGTGTTGGCAGCTGGGCTGCAAGGTTCAAAGGAGACGGAGGGGTGATTTCGCGAACATAGTATGACGGGATCGCTGAAGGCGCAGTTGAAGGCGGACGAACGACAACCTCGTCAGGCTTGATGACTATCCTGTCTTGTTCCACGGAGAAAACAGCTTGACGAGCCGTGGTCGGTGTGACAGAGCGTTTACCAGCACTCCATGGTGATTCTGCCATGACGGTCATGTATGCAGGATCTTGCCATCGTGCGCTCTGTTTCGCTTCCTCCGTGAAAGGACTGGGAACGTCAGAGATGCCAGTCATACGCCTCTCGCTCATGGAAGGAGAAAGGCCACGCTCAGCATCCTCTTGATTCCACAAACGCACTTCGTCGCGTTCAAGAGCAGGACGTGGACGCCCAGCCAGACTGTGCGCGCGCGAACCAATCCAGGCAGATAGTCGTGCAGCCGATGATCGTGATGACCCGGATGGACGATCAACCTGGACGGTCAAGCCTCCATTCGCTTGTGGCCCCATAGCAGCAAGAGCAGACTCATGAGAGCGAATGCGGAGACCCTGAAATGAGGACACCCGCTTGCGATCGTTCTCAGGTGGCGGGGTAGGGGCTGGAGGGCGAAAAGTCGTGATGAGAAGAAACACAATGATGAGATATTCTGCAACGGCGGCAAGGAACCTGCCAGCAGAAGATTCTGAAAAGGCGACTGGAGAACAATCAGCCACGCCACAGCCATCATCAGAGATTGTGTTCAGGTGAACTCACAGTATATGACGTTCCCAACACCAACGCCCATATTGATCGACAACGCGAAGATCATGACAGAATAGTGAGATAAAGTTTTCCAGCGCGACGGAGTCGATGCGATCATTGTGTTCAAGATCAATTTAATGATAAATAGAGTAGGCACGACTATCTGCATCGTTGCTTCCACCTCGTAAACGGCCCCGATTTTATGGAAAGGCTGGACAACGCGCCAGAGGATCTGCAAAACTCCCGCTGCCACAGATGCAGCAAACAGGACCCACTTCAATGTCGAACCGAAAATGCCCCATCGAGCCCAGGTTCCACTGTGGATGGACTGTGTGTTTGAGCCTAGAAGTGAAAAGTTTTTCCCTTGGTTTTCATGAACAGGCAAGGGCGGGGGCTCTCCTTGAGGAGGGTGAGACACATATACCCAGAAAAATAGAGATCGAACGCTCGCGGAAATAGCGAATAGAACTTCGCGAGCAATGATGAGAGGAACAATGGAGTCTGCATCGAGTCCCTGTTTGAACATACGGCCCCTTGTAAGGCCCTGCGCAAGATCCAAGATAGCCGCAAATAAACCTAAGGAGACGGAGGCAAACAAAAGGACCAGAGCCCTATGCGCCGTTTAAGACTAGGGCCGGATGTCGTAGCCGGGAGACACGTACCAGTTCAATTTCTTTAAGGCCAAGAAGGTAGTGAATGCTGCAAAGCCTAAGAGTCCGACGGAAATGATAGGGATGTCCGCGAGTACACGATCAACCTAAATAATTGAGTGTCAAAAGGCGCAGGGAAAATTAGATTGCATGACACACGATAGCGTTGTCACTCAGACGAAGAGATGAGGGAAAGGAGTACAAAGATAATAGCCAGCTGGAACCAGACATAGCGAAAAGAGTGGGAAGGCGAGTGACAGTATGATCAAGTAACAACCCAGTCAAGAGATCTCCAGGACCGAGAACAAGGGAGGACAGCCGGGGCAATGAAGCCCCCTGCCTGCGATGAAAAATGCGACAAAGAACTTGAGCTTAACCAGAGCTGGAATACTGTCGCAGCAAGATCAGCGTGTCAGTGGGTCAGTGTCAGCTGGCTGACGCTGCGGCCAGGACGTCGCTGAAGCTCGATGGCAGACAAGAAAAAAGAAAGGGAGGTGAAGGAGGGAAGCGTCGGGTAAAGAGAACGAGAGGGAGACTCTAATACTCGACGTAGTCGTGGGTCATGAACGAGCCACGCTCCTTGACAACACGCTCGAAGGTTGAGATCTTGAGAGCGATCCCGGTCACTTCCCGGTCGCTACGGTCGAGCGTTTCGATAGACATTTCATTTTCGACCTGCTCCTGATCCGATCGCAGTTCCCACCGTTCGGTGCTATATTCCGTGTCTTCAATATTCTGATATTTGTGCCTTAGGCTCTTTCCGTCGTACACAGTAACCATGAATTTTTGAAGCATGAGGGTATAGATACAAAAACTCGTTGCATGATCGTAAATTCATGTCAGAATCCGTTTCGTTATAGGCCCCCGCCTGTCATCTGCCGGACAAGAAACATACCTCGTCCCTCGTCTCGCATGCCAATCACTGATTTCGGCCTTGGTCGCACTGCCCCACCTGCTGCGCTACCTCCTGTGAATTGCCGACCGATAGTCTTCGTAGGGCTGGTAGTCAACTGTCTTGTGGGACTGAGCCCACCGCCCGTCAACTGACGAAGCAGGGCTGAGTCGTGCCCTCCGGAAAGACCGGTCAGTTGACGAGCAATAGTTGTTCCGCCAGTATGCTGACGGGGGATCGTGGCACTACCAGTGTATTGGCGAGCGATGGTGCTGCCACCCGTATATTGGCGAGCAATGGTACTGCCATCCGTATACTGGCGAGCAATGTTACCGCCACCTGTGTATTGAGGAGCAATGGCGCCGCCGCCAGTGTGCTGGCGGGTGATAGATGTTCCACCTGTATACTGCGGCGCAATCCGTCCAAACGTTCCTGTGCTGTTCGAAGAGGTGCCTGTATGAGTAGGCTGGGAGGTGTGGAGGGGAGTAGCACGAATGGGAGAGGCATGCGGAGCGCGCGCAGAGACAGGAAGCAGCAACTACGCAGAAGATAAGACATTGAAGAGCGTTGATTGATACGATCAACATCCGGGTCCGAGATAGCAGTAAGAATTGAAAACAATTTACCAGACATTCACGGCACCATACACTCCCTTCCTCGCTGTCGCGCTTCGCGGAACTGTCCAGTTTCTTGCCGCATCCCGGTTTGCCGTCTTTCCTGCGTCCGCCTCGTCCCTTTGCCTCTTTACCACCGCATATAAGGCATGTCGCATGCCATCGGATGCCCTGGGGCCCGGGTACAACCCCTCGCTCCATAAGAGATACCGCCTGATGGCAGCCAGGGCATGCCGTAGATGAGCCGAATCGAGGAAATGAGGTCGACGTGGCAGGGGCGGACGGAGGAGGGGCAGTATACCGACTCGATGAATATGGCGAAGCCGAGCTTGAGTAACTTGGTGGTGCAGGAGTGCTGGTCGGAGTTGTCGAGACAGGAGCAAGGGGAAGACTATAAGTCGTGCTTGTATTCAGGGGACGGACAGTGATCTTCTCCTTGGGTGCACACTAGAGGGACGATGATCAATTTCCTGCATCATTTCTGAAACGTATCGCTCACGTCCAAGTGACAAGCCCCTCTCACTCCTCTGACGAACACAGCCTGTCCCTTCTCTTTTTCTTCGAAAACCCCATCACATATTCTGCACCTGAAACAATCTGTATGATACGTTCTGGGTGCTGCCCCAGTGGACGAAGGTTCTGGTACCGTGACGTACCGCCCCCCACCTCTCACGCTGAACAATGGCAATGAGCATTTGGCACATTTAGTGTCCGCCACAGGACCAGATGCGGATTGAGGATCGCCCTTCTGAAAAGATACAGAGCTCGGAGCCGTGCTGAGAGAGTAAGTAGACTTGATCGTTTCCCCAGTGTAATGGGTAGCTATTCTCATGTCAGAGAGTGACGGTCTCGACTTTATGGCATATCCATCGTGCCGGGATGGAGGGCTGTACGAGGGAGGTGATGAGGGTGCGGAAGATTGTGTGGTGGTATCAGAGAAATCGGATGACAGTTCGGGAGTAGATGGAACAGAGATGACAGATTCTATGTCCTGTTTCAAAGACGAGAAGGACGCTCGGCTCCTGAGCGGGGGTCCGCCAGACAAGTTCGTAGTTCGAACAGGGATCCTTGAGATAGGCGATGCTTTCTGGGAAGTCGGTGATTCAGTATTGATATTTGATAGCATCGCTTTCGCCTTGGGTGTCGCCCGGGGCGTGCTATCTGCGGACGAGGCAAAGTCGCTGTCTCGCTCCAGAGCAGGTGATCCGGCTTGTCGCAGGAATCTTCGCTTCATCTCCTCTATAGCTTCCTGCGTGGGTTTAGGGCTACCACTCAGCCTAGGGCTTCCACCACCAGATCGAGGACTGCCCTCGTCAGCCTCAGGGGTCATGAATCGGTTGTAAGGTCGTCGAATATGGGTGCCGTCGTCGATAACTTGAACTCTTTGAGATGATGGAGAGGCATCGTCAAAACCCAAGGCTGCTCTTCCGCGGGGACTCGTGAAAACATCATCTATGACGGAGGAGTTCTGGAAGCCGATACTGGTTCGAGGTTTGGCATCGTCCTTGACTGGAGTAGATTCTCTCGACTTCAAGATGCCTAGTCTTTGCACCAATTCTTCGAGAGCTGGGCTTCCTTCTCTGCTTTGCCTTCTACTAGACCTCAGACCACCATATCCTGACACTCCGTCGTTCCGGTCGAGAGAAGGGCTGTCGTGTGTCCTCTTCAAGCAAGAATCAAAGCAGTCCGCGCATGAAGGCTGCCCTAAGAGATCAACCATAGGGCTATCACCAATGTTCCTGCCGCAACCAGCGCATTGAAAGCATCTCTTGTGCCAGACTTTTCCAGCATTCTCGACAAATCCTCCTTCGCTTTTCAAGATCAGAACAGGGCGGTGACAGGCCGGGCAATCACCTTTAGAGCCGCCGTTGACTACAAAGCAAGCACGGCACATGAACCGAGTGCCAGATTCATCCCTGGGATCAGGATAGATGGTAGCATCAGGAGGGAATGGCGCAGAACAAGTGTGACAATGATAACTGTCAAGAGACTCCTTTGGTTGAAGGACTGAACCGTAGACTTTGGATAGTTCAGATGTGTAAGGCGATGGAAGAATACCTGACGACGGATTATCTAGGAGCGAGGATGAGTGTTTGAGGGGCGATGAAGGTCGTGACTGGGTCGTAGAAGCGATATGTTCGTTGACTCGAGATCCGATGGTGGAGCTTGGACGGGGAAATCGCGAAGTAGCCTGTGTTGAGGCAACGCTAGAAGGGGTATCGACCGTTGCAGAGCGGGAGCGTGAAGAGGGCTTCTCTTTGGTATACGTTTGTGACCACCTATCAGGCGTAGAGGGTTTTGCGGCGTTCTGATTCCACTTAACAACAGGTGCTGCGAGAGCCTTTAATTCGAGCGCATTACGATAGTCCCGTTGAACGTAGCGCACCTACTGCTGTTCCCCCACATTTACACTTAGGTCCAGTGACGATATCGCCGCACCGTCTACAGAAACCCATTTTCTCAAAGCAAAAATAAAACGAGAGCGTTCGTCAGAAATCGTGAAAGGGAGAATGATTTGTCGTGAAAAGGCTTGAGTCGATGCCAACCTGAAGAGGAGAGCGGCAGGCTCGCTCGACTTGAACGCGATCACGTGGCACACAACGGTCACCTGATTTGAACTGATTCTGCAACTTGTGGAGACTTGTGGGCGCTAGGGTTCCGTGAGTAATTCACGGACAGTTGTTAACAAATGTTAATAACATTTGCCTCTCCAAGGAATTTCTAACATGAGTTAATAACAGATTAATAACAATTGTATATAAAGCGTTATTAACATGTTAAAAACCGATTTATTTACATGTTAATAAAGAAAGTGGTGTTAATAACAAGAAGTCACCAGCTCCGGTATGATTCCATCTCCGGTCGACCGTGTTTGCCAGCCGAAAACTGACTTGAATTGTTCACTGAATACCCCGACCTCATCTTCGATCTTCTCCATCAGATCAGGGTCCAGAGAGAAGTTGAGGAAGCATGCATAATGTGAGTCCTGAGAATTTTCCACGAAAGGCAGATTTGATTCCGGGGGTATGCCCAATAGCAGGTGATGCAGTTCCGCGAGAACAAGCTGACGTCGTTTGACTCGGTGGACATGGCGCGAGCGGGGGGAATGGGTAACGGAATGTCCAGAGCGGGAACCGATGCAGTCCGAGACAAAATTATTATTTTGCAGGGAAGACATAATTGTACAGCCACAACCTTCAATTTCCACCTGGCCCTTGCCCAAATATGTACATTTCAATGTAAATACAATTGCTGATCATTATATACAATTTCGAACATTATGAACATTATTAACATCGACATTGTGCCCCCCTGGAGGGGGCCTGTTAATAACATAAGTTATTAACATGTTAGCAATTCAGGGATTACTCACGGAACCCTAGTGGGCGCTAGTCGGGTGAGGTCCTGTCTGGCAAGTTTGCTGGCCAACATTCGAGTTGCTCGAGGCCATCCACATTCATGGCAAAACGCGCTTCTCAATCTTCTGCAACTCAGCTCGGTAGCAAGGCCACGCCGACGTCTCCGCCCACATGTAAGCCTCCACTTCCAGTCATTTGCAGCCTGCCTCTAGCAATCCTGATTGTGAACGTCATCATATCAGGCAGATCAAGCATCGAAACTAAAAGACGAAAGCTAGTGCTTGGTGAGACCTCCCCTATGTGTTACACTATGTTCATGTTCCCAAAACGCTATCAACGTTAGATCACGTCCTGCTCACACCGAGAACATTAATGAGTGAGCCCTCGAGGTCACGCTGAGCAGCGTGTAATAGTTGAGAACTGATGCTCCTAGAAAATGGAGGATCATTGACTAATGACAACGGAAACGGATCTTTAATTACTGCCCGACGTCCAGGTGAGCACTATGAAGAATACGTAATTTGCATATGTCTCAAACGGTCAAATCTGTGGATCCGTAGCGATGACCCACGCTGCAAACATTTCAGAACGAGCTAAGACAGTTCTGCAGTCCAATCTATCTGCCAAAAGGCGCAAACACGTTGAGTCGGCCTCTTCCACTTCTGTGATCACATCAATTATTCTGGGCACTCCATCTCCTGAGCCGTATATCATCTTGGACGCTATGTCAAACGAATCTTCATCTACAAAGGATAACCTTGTTACGTCCCAAAAGCAATCAACAATCAGACCGCCTCCCGCTGAGTCATTTGGGGTCCTAAACGCATCTACCATAACTCCTACAACAAGACTGAACTTTTCCTCACGATCTATTCCTACCGAGAGCGAGTCTTCTTCTAACAAGTCCGTTACGGCTAAGAGACATGGCAAAACCAAGGGACTCCATAGTACTCGTAAAATGACTCTCGAACGGAATCTTTCTAAACTTCCACAAAGTCAAACGAACCTGAATTCCGGGCGCCCGTTGCATCTGACACAAAGTGCTTCCATGCGACCAGAACAGAGGCGCGTTGAGGGAGAGAGTTTCTTGGGTCTGAAGATGCTAAATGAAGAGGATGACCCCGCGGCCTCTAGTGCGATTGACTTCCAGATGCTAGATATATCTGGGTTAGTATCTCTGCCTCTGTCTGTATCCGGGGAAGAGTCCAGTGACGCGTTGAGCATATACGTTCCGCCTAGTGTGCTCAGCCTCATTACCAGTACGTATCTTTTGCCCGCCGCGAAACCCGTTAGCCTAAAGTGTATTACACCTCATACTTTCACAGACATGAGACACATCCTCAAGGTTGAATCTGCTTCACGTCTAACTGCTGAGGCCCGCTACGTCCGGGAGATGGATCGGCGCGTCGCTGTGGACGCACAACTCTCAGAAGAACGCAAGATACGTGCAGCCCTCGAGGCTAGACTGGCGAAATTCACGACGGGGGCTCCGGTTTCGTCAACCCCAGACACTGCTCAGTCGTCGTCTACTGAGGTTGAGCTCCTAGTACGGATGAGCAACCAAAGAGACACTGCACCTCCAGAATTATCTGCGTCCGCATCGCCTATTCATATGCACCCAGAGCCCGATGAACCCTTGTTGAGAGAAGAGTTGTCGGCATTAAGGAGTCTGCTAGCTCTGTCCGAGCTTCACACAGCTGGCGAGGTTACAGCGCCTAACAACGATTTCCGGTTCGCTCAAGATCAGTGACGCCCGTCACCCGCGCAAGATATGATACATTCCTCTCCTACTTTTGTCTCTCTGGTATGAAAACTCAGTGACTTTGTACAGACAGCCTAAATCGTTTGCTCCTGGATACAACCCCCGTCTTCCAGGAGGAACCGCAAAATCCTAGTATTGATGCAAATGGGGAACACAGTATATAAATTACAATGTGCTACCACTCTTCACCGGCACGTCGAATTGATCTACATCTTCTCTCTTGATCTGCATACACAATCTCAGTCTGATATTTTCTTGCAATTTCCCCCCTTGTATTCCTTCTTGACAATTGACGACACTTACACGATCTAGTCCTGATTCAGCTCAAAGTCCTCGGAATTGAAATATGACGTAGAATTTTTTTTCGGTGCTAAAATATCTTGCTGCCTCTGACTCTTAGCTGTAATCCAGCGTTGGCTACGCCGGTGAACTACTTTTCCCCAGTCCTACAGAACAATATGGTCATAATGTGCATTGAATAGGTTGAGACTGCATGTTGTTTTTGTACAGACGATGTCCCATGCATGATGTCCATCCCTTGTACTTGTGAAACCCGAATCCGTTGGTTCAATCCACGCTGCTGACGCGGTGTTCCCGGCTGCCAGTTTGATGGAATCTCATAAGCAGTCACGGAAGAGTATCAGAACCCTATACTTTGGGTCAAAGCGAGATCTCGAAGAGGCATTCACGAGGACTACAGTTCGACGACTGTTTTGAGCATGGTATGCTTTTGTAAGCGGTTGCCCGAATGGACGAAGATAAGAGTTCAGGATATGATGCGTCAAGTGCGCCGGCTTGTGAAGTGCATCAGTATACAATTAGCTGTGGAAGCGAAAATATATACAGGCGGTCAAGATACGTCGGGGATCAAGATGAGATATGACATGTTCCTGTTTTGAGGCTTACAATACATTAGGCGACAGGATCCCTAGGACAGTTACTCAAGGGGTACACTAATCGTGGTCAAAAATTCCACGCACTTGTGAGTTGGTTGCCCCTTCATTCGTTTTTTGTTCGACCTATAAAATCAATGCTGTTAGCTGTGAATCATTCGAAAAATGAACACAACGGACAGCGTTGACCAATTTTTTTCCATCGCGCGCGAGTCTCTCTTTGAGGATGGCCCTCTCCATCGAAGAATGAGGATCAGAGTCTTCGAGCAACATTCGGATCTCGCTATGCAGTGTAGTCGTCCAAGGCGACGTGACTATCCACTGCACTGAAAGACACGCATGTTAGCCAAATGTACAAGGGGAAGGGTGCGTAGATTTTAGCACAGAAAATCCATACTTAGCCTAGAATCAGCGATATCCAGCAAGCGGACAAGTCCACGGCAGACAGTCGGAGCGGTGAGAAGAGCAAGAGGTTTATCGTCGGCGAAAAAACGATGTGAGAGGGTCAAGATCAGTGTGTCGCGCAGTAAGTCCCAGGATTCGGCACGGGCAAGGTTGTCGGCGACCAGTGAGGATGTGGCAAGAATGCATGATGACAGAGTGGCTGATAGTATGAATGAGATACGGACATGGAAATTGAGCTCAGTGCTTACAAGCAGCCAAGACATCTGATGGACCACAAAGAATAGTCAATTGCCACAGAGTCTCAAAGTTCCACAGCTTCACAACTTTTTCATACGCTGGGTCAGCAAAGAGAAATTCGAGAGTTGAAAGCGCGATGACGAGGCTGCAGACCAAAGCACGGCACGGAGAAGGGTTCTCCACGAGGTAATCCACAAGGTCAGATAGAAAGGGAGAGACCACGTTCTGATGCAGAGGCAAGGAAATATTGTTGTGCCACACAACAGTAAGGAACTTGAGCATAAGAGCAATTGAGAGCACGGTACAGTCTGCGAGGGCCCGTTCTTTTGCGTTGTTGACTTCCCTGTAGACCTATTTCAACGTATGAAGGTTACAAAATCTGCTAGGAAACCCAAACCGTCTCAGAGCTGCCATTCCTTTCATGTCGAGGTCAGAGAAAGTAGACTTGAGTGATACAGACTCACTTCTCTCTAATATCAAGATCAGCTGCAAGTCGTGATGCTCCAACATGCCCTTGAACGCCTTTTGTAATGACCCACGCTTCACGTAGATCAACGATTCCGTGATGAGTTCTTTGACTCCAAGCCCAGTCAACTTTGACAAAAGAAAAATTACCACTGAGCAGAAGACTCACTTGACAATTCAAGTTTCGTGTCGCCTAGCAAGGCCCATAAAGTAAATAGGTACTTCGCCATGGCAGAAGTCGGAATAACATTCAAATTTTGAATGGGATTTATGATACGTGCGATTGCCCAGCAGCATTTGTAGAGTACGTCCAGAGCCGTAGCAGGTGCATCGCCAAGTTTGAGGGACAACAACATTGCAACGCCGTGATGTAGCAATTGCTAAGCAGGCTATGGTGTCATCGACATTGGAAACGTGAAAAGAACTGCGTACCAGTATAAAGACCTTAGCTCCCTGTGCATTGGTGACCAGCACTTCCGATAGCTGAACATCCCACGGCCAATCGTCGGTGACCCCGTCTTTGTGACGGTCACCTAGATGATACAGCCAAGTCGCTGTCTGAAGGAATCGTCAACTCAAAAACCCATCTCCAAGAAAGAAAAGAATTGCAGACACAATAGGAGATGGACTCTACATTGGCACACCGAGGATCAGCCCAGGTTTCCCAACACCAAGGAATTAACCTGCCCCATCGAACAAGGATGATCTGGGCTGGATCTAGTTCCGACTGCGGAACAATGGGTTGCATGGTATTACCAGGCTGGACAAGTTCCATGATGTCTTGGATGAGGCGTAAGAATAACGTCTGTGTATATGGTTCGTATGAGAATGATGGGGTTTCGACATGAGAAGGTTCCGTCTGTGATTCAATCATCTGAAGGGTTTGCTTTGTACATTACCACGGACCAATACGGCAACAGAATATATACTCACGGTGTATAGAGATATTACCATGGCGTAGGCAATTCTCTGCTGTGTATCCGGGCAGGTAGAGCGCCCGTGTACACTTGTATCATTGATTTTGTAGTTGTTTGAGGATTGTTTGAGGATGTAGCTACGCAACACGCTTCGAAGCTTTGATACTCTTGTGCTGGACTGAGGTCAGCTAGCGATCAATCAATTCAAGATAATTTCTTGCCTTTCCATTCGGATTATGCCTTCATCCATCAACCGAGGATCACCCGTCAATTGAGGATGCACGGTATATGCGGCAAATAAGAGTCGCAAGGCCAACCGTGCAAGGGCAGGACTTGCATGTTCTGATGTCAGTAGATCGGGAACGGCATCCCATCGACCTATGTACCGTAAGAGGGGTAGTCATGGCAAGGGATAAAAAGACACTCACGAGGGAGCTGAGTCGCAGCCCTTATGGCGTCGTCCTCTCGTTGCTTGTGCAGGCTATTGGAAGCCTGCGCGCTAGAGAGATCGTAATGTGTTCCGCTCACAACCACCAGAGTAGCGTCGGATAGCTTGGTTAAGATCGCATCGACCCAGCAAACGACGACTGATGGCGCTGTTCCAGGCGCGATCAAACGAGCAGCAATGCTGTAGAATGCCTGTCGATACTCAAAGAGCTTTGACAAAAAGATAGGAGAAGCTTCGACCACTGTCAGAAAGAGCCAGGTATCATAGACTATATGCATACTGAGCTCCAGAAAATATCTTAGGAGATTCAGCAACCTGGCATCGGAAGACCTTGCACAAATAATTTCATCTAAAAGGCATAAAATCATCTTTGAGGCATGGTGTATGCGCTCATAAACCATCGGAGTCTGTAGCGGTCAGACTGTGAAATCTGACGACGGACTGTTACTCACCGTAACGGCTTGCACATCGATGTCCATGAGAAGGGAAATAGCGTTCTTCACGTCCTCCGTCGATACATTTTGACTTGATAGGTCGATCTGGCTTCCTTGCGTGATCGCGCGAGTAAATTCGACCGCATTCCATGTGCCTGAATTGCATTCGGAATCTGAGTCTGTGTCACTGTCCATAACTGATTTGAAAATGATGCAGCAGTGAACACGACGAGCAAGGTCCAACTCGGCGTCTGTGGCCGAGTCTGGCTATGTGCCCAAAAGTTCTCACGCTCGCGTTCATACGGGATTTCCTCGAAGTATACATTCAATGAAAGCAAACGCGTTCGACAATGCAACATACACAAATCTGATTCATCACAACCCTTGAATATCCTTAAGAAAGGAAATTACTTTTGACTTGCAATCCAGGTCTTCTTGATTTTGTGAGAACAGGGCTTCATACGCCTCTTCACAGTCAGCAGTCTGGTGGTTGTGAAGACGATTCAGTCAATGACCCACTCTATATAGAGTTTGACGCTCACCTCGCCATCGTGGTAATGAAAATCCTGCCACTCTTCATCCTCCTCCGCACGGATAGCCATAAGCATTTCTCGGCGCACAGTAGAGAGACCGCCCGTAAGATTCTGACCCCCTTTATCTTCGCTTTTACGAGCTGACACTTGAACATCTTTAGCGTCTACCACGGGGTTTCTCTCCTTTTTTGGTGCGGATACATGAGCCGGCTCATCTGGATCAGGAGGTGGTCCGTCGTCGGAGTCAGAATCAAAACCAGCCCCTCCTCGCCGCTTGCTCAACCGGGCCAATGCATCAAGGTACGTCAAGGTCGGTCTGAATTGATGGGTTTCGTCAATCTGGTGCAGATGCAATTGCCCTAAAACTCAGCTTCAATTTGACCACACGAAAAGACAAAAGCTTTCTGCGTACCATCGCGGACAATACCAAGCATATAAGCACCTGTATGAGGAATTTGCTCGCTCCGCAAGCGCAGTTCAGAAAGTCGAGGTGCTTCACCCTCCTTCAGCTTCACCCGACCTACGTCCTGGTTCTTCTCTTTATCATCTTCCAGACGGCCTAGCCCCAGCTCCGTTGATTTTTCGCCGTTCCAAACTTCCGGTCGGGTGTCTACTGGAATGTGGATTTCCAGTCGCTTTGTGTTTGGTTTGAGGCGTGCTCGTATGCGCTTTCCACTCAAAGTTGCAGATGGCGGAACCTGCAATGGACGGCTGAGGAGAGGAAACTGATGCAAGTGGACATTGGGAGCAAGGTTATTCGAGAGATGAATCGGAAGGATGGACACCACCGGATCGTCTGAGTTGATCATTGTGAAGTAGATGAGGCGTGGGAAATGCAGCATGAAGCAGCCTTCTCACACTTTCTCACAGAAGCACTTTTGGTACCAACTGATACCAACCAACCCACTTTGAACCAGCTGATTTTTGTAACTAATGTCAGTGCAAAACAACGTTCAGGATCGAATTCTGCTGCTGCTCGTCACTGTCCTTTTCCAATTTGAGCTTGCCCATGACCGCCATTGCCACCTCCATCCATAACACCTGTGACTCCGTCAAAGGTTTCCCACGCAACTGACTAGCCAGGAGGAGGTTGAGTTGTGTCCGCAAATATTTGAGAGCGACGTTAGTCTTTGGTGGTAAACGGAATTTGATCTTGCGATCAATGAAGGCGGAGTCGGATATGAGCTGCATTGTCTTTAGTCCTTGAACCAAGTGACCATCTCTGTGTGACGCACCTTGAATTCGCATTCACCACACAAGAGTAACAGTGCAATATCATCTACAGGACCGGTCTCCCAAGCATATAGCTTCTTCGAGTGCCTACAGTTGACGACGCATTGAGACTCGATGGCACTTTCTGACTGAAGACATACTCACATCAATGTGAAGTACGTCAAATGATTCACTCCAAAGTCAGTAAGCTTCCTTCTGAAGTTCACAGAAGATGGGTGGAAAGAAACAGCCTGATTGTTGGTGATCGTTCGCATCTGCGAGTTGGAATCTATAGATAAGATTTTAGGATATAAACCAGCTGTCAACGCTGCGTTCGTGAGGGCGACATTTGAAGAATTGCTATCCAGCTCTGCTGGCACCGAGATGAACCGAGTGCGATTTCGACCATAGCGCGCTCTACATGAAATATTAGTAACCAGCTATGAAGCGCCCTCGAATACGCGTGTATACAAGAACTGACCGGCTAAGTTCCTTCACGAAAGCTCTGTCTACTTGGATGAACCCAGAATCGATCAGATAGCCCAGGAATTGTTGGCGAAGCTCTTCGATTTGCTGTAAGTTCTATCGTTTGAAGAGGGTCAGGATAGGTCAAGTACAGAAAGAGACAAGCTACCTGGTGACTGAGAAAATTCTTCCTGCAAAACTTCCGTACAAAACTGGGATTCGCGGAGGCCCGGCGCCAACTCGAGAACGCGTTATGCAACGTTAGAAAGTCAGAGTTTTCTACATTTTTCAAGATAAGCTAAGACGAACAGACAATGGACGAATAGCACATACCTGTCCGGAATGAAAGTTTAGCTCGATCAGCCTCATCTTCGTGACCGAATGGGGTCAGGAATGGAGATTTCGAGTTCAATGTCGCAGCAATAGTGAGAGCAGGATCAAGACATCGGAAAAGGGCTGCAGTCAAAAGGAATTTTCCGAGATGGACATCCGTTGGTAAAGCACTGAGCAGACGTCCCATTGGCGTGATCTCTTCAGCAGATGTGAGTGCGCGAACCTTTAGTCGAGTCAAAGATCAGTTTCTGTTGATTTAATAAGATTGTGCACATGAAAAGACCGACTTCGATGAGCATTGATACAGCTCTCTGGATATTGATTGAAGAAGGAGGATCTAATGCACGCGACAACACGTCTTCGATAGAAGAGCCCAGTTTGACCTTCAAGATCTTGATTCGCAATGCAAGGTCAGATAAACTCAGGCGCATCATCTCGGGCAGTGGATGATCAGCCAACTGTCAAGAAACGATCAGTAGGTGATGACTGGTGATTGCAAAGAAGTCTTACTTGGGTATCATGACGAATCTTGGTGAAGAGGTGGAAGCATAAGCCATTTTGCACACGGCCAGATCGCCCCCGCCTCTGCGCGGCATTGCTTTTCGCAATGAAAGTCTCGACTAGACGACTGATTTGCCGTTTTTCGTCAAACCTATGTCAGTATGTCAGTATGTCAGTATGAGTTGACTCTTGAAAGGGTTTAATCCAACCTCATCTCTCGATGCTTTCCAGAATCAATGACACAAGTGATGTCGGGAATGGTGATCCCGGTCTCCGCAATATTAGTGGCTAAAGACATGAGGTTTAGCACGTCTTTCAAAAGTCGGTACATTTCACTCACCGATCACGATCTTTCGTATACCAGGCGGTGGTATATCGAACACCGCACCCTGATTTTCACTCGAGATTGTGGAGTGCAACGGATACACCAGAAAGCCTTGACCTGTCCCAAATAGCGGGTGGTCTGCTAGAAGATCGTTGAGACGGCGAATCTCCCCAATACCTGGCATGAAGATGAGGATGGCAGCTGAATACGATGCATAACTCTCATCTTCGAAGCAAATTCGTTCCAACAGCCTCATGATCAAGTCATAGAGCATGACGCGTTCATCAAGAAGGTTGATCGTCATGCTAGTATTAGCAGAGTAGCGTTTCTCCAATTTGACGTTTTCAGATGAAGACTCCTCATCGTCATCTTCATTGGCAGCCGTCTCCTCGGTCCACTCCGTTCGCTTCTTGCCTCGATAAAACTTCTCGTGAACTAGGACAAATGTAACTTGGTAGGAATACGCAAGGGTGTGAGATGCTATACGCACGTCGCTTGGCGTAGGGGGAGTTCTCGGTGATCGACCATTTAGTGAGCTCCACCGCATCTTCCAAGAAACGGATGTCGACGGGAAATGTTCGCCCAGGTACATGGAGAATTGGACAGCCACCAAAATAGTCTGAGATCTTCTCTGCGTCAACTGTGGCAGACATGAGCACGATTCTATCTTGTGTGAGTAATTTGACCAATGGACTCAGTGGGCAGGCAGCTTACTTCAGATCGCTACGCTGTTGGAGCAGGGATTTGAGAACAATCAACAGAAAGTCTGACTCGATACTGCGCTCGTGAACCTGTATAATTTGGGAGATTAGATTACGACGATGATTTCCGAGTATGTTCTTACTTCGTCAATGACAATGTGCTACGGAAAATAACGGGTCATTTTGGGTTTCAATTGATCAGCAATTGTGGCTTACGGTTATCTCGTCAAACGCAGTCCCCATCCCGCCCTGTCCACTACCACCTTCCAACATCCGCAAAGCGATACCATTCGTAACGAACGCTAGCCGTGTGTTGCGTGTAGTGTTGCTTTCTAAACGAATGGAGTATCCGACAAGGGAGGCCATAGTGCCAACGGCACCAAGAACTTCTCCCAGCTCATGAGATACTCGTTGGGCAAGAGAGATAGCGGATATCCGGCGCGGCTCCGTACAGTAAATCTTGCAATGTTTACCGCGAGCAAGCTGATCCTCCAGAATATAAGTCGGAACCTGGGTGGACTTGCCGCTGAAAAAGACAATTGAGTCTATGATAGATACTCGGGATTGTAATGATAGATCACCATCCAGTTTCGCCACTCAAAACCAAGATTTGTGATGACTCCAATGTAGAAATGATCTGGTCTCGATATTGTGCAATCGGAAGCTGATTGCGTTGAAGCTTCACACCTATCATCAGCAAGATTATAGAGTTCAGAATCCTTATTATTGACTTACAAGCATGTCCTGGTAGGCCGGCGAAGCCTGCCGAGCTTTAAACATTGATGACAACTGTTCGGAGATGGTATCTTTGCTACCGTATGGTCCTCGGAAGGTGGTACTAGCCCTCTCATCCGCAAGCTGCTTGCCGCTGACGCCAGTGGGCTAAATAATTCGGTTAAAGTAAGTCAAACATGAAGAATGTTTCTGTCTATACATACCATTTCTTCGTTATCCATCTTGGGCTCAAGTATTCTTCTCAACTTCGACCAAATGGCCCTATTCGCCGCGTCATCTGAAGCCTTCCGTTTGATTTCCAATTCATCCCAGAGTTCACGAAACACTGGTGGAAGCAGTCGGAAAGAGGTCTGTCCAGAGCTAGAACTGGTAGAAGCAAACCCTTCAGATACCGGGAATGTCAATGAGTGAAGCGCTAGAGTAGCGACGAATTGCTCTGCTTGACCCTCGTCATAGCACGCAGTATCCATCATCGTCCACTCCCCTTCCTTACCAGTACCCCAGCGAATACTGACAGAGGCCCTCTTTGCACGATATCCGCCAGATAATATCCGATACGAGATGACAGCAAAACGGTCGGATTTAGTGACCGTCTCCGTCAGCAAGACCTTCGGGGTGCGACCTGACCAATGCTTTGGAAGTGCCATATCACGGACTTGTAAAGTTATCCCCTGTTCGGTGGTTTCGGAAGTCGGCATCTCATCAAGAATCTCAAACATGCCACCTGCAGGCTCTTCAGCGTCATCTCCCCCGAAGAAGTCTGGTTTTGCTGCAGCGACAGCAATTGGAGCAGGTTCCAACTTTGGGGGACGTCGTTTGACTGGAAGTATGGACGAACCCTGCTGGAAGGATTTTTCGTCTCCGCGCAAGCGGGTCTGAAGACTCAACGCGTCTGCCTCGCGCCGCTTGGTTTGATACATAGCTTCAGCATCTCGTGCATCGAAAAAGTAATGCTCCTTGATGTTCTGTAAACGGTTCTGCAGCTCTTTGACAAATGAACGGTCGGCCATCTCTTCGGTTCGCCCTGACGCAAAACTGTCTAGCTTGAGCTTCAATCGAACATATTCTTGATTGGGATCGTCATCAGCATGGTCTGTATCTGATGGAGTTGCATTATCATCATAGACTCTTGCCAAGATACGGGCTTTAAGGTCTGCTTGTTCGTCTTCGGAATTCAATGGAGGAAGTATGGGAGGCGGATTAGAGCGAGGAGTGAAAGGTCGTGCATTGGCATCCAGCCGTGACACGGTATTGGGAGTTGGGGGAGTTGAAGAAGGATTGGCCGTCGGCGTCCGTGGAGTGTGAGCGGAACTTGGAGCTACAGGTGTTACAGGAGGTTTGCTATCGGCATCGTTTGACGCTGTCGTAAAGAGGTTTAAGTAAGCGATTTATCAAGGAGATAGAAATGAAGTACCCTTATCCGGATTGAGTTCATGTTCGGTGCAATTGATATAGAGCTATCGACCTTCAATGAGCTCCATGATCAATTCCCGGTAGAGGCTCAACGCACCCAGTCAAATGCTTCCTGAAGATTGACACCATTAATAGTCCGAAGACATTCTTCGACTCGCTCCTCTGAGAAACCCAAGCGTCGTAGGACACCATAGGTGATTCCCAGCCGAGCAATGACTTTTTCTTCAGACTCGTCAACTAGCCGCTTCCCTGTCCGATGCGTGATGAATTACCTTCGGACAACCTGTCAAATGATGCACTGACCTTCATCCCCTCGAGATTCAGAGATCAAATGCAGGATGTGGTTCACGACATCACCGTCAAGGTCAATCAAAGGTAGAGTTTTTGAATAGCGCCTGTCTATCTCGATACTCTGTTCATGTGGATGCACACCTGCGATTTAGCGGCATAGAAGCTGAAATAAAAAAAGTATTACCTTGATTGTCCTCGTGATCTCCTTCTCCGTTTTATCCTGCAACTTGTCGACTAGGTTCTGGAGTGACTGTTCCTCGACTTTCTCCGGATCGAATTCGTCGACCAAAGGTTGGCCAGGGGTATGGGACCCCAATTTATGAGCATCGGGCTCAGGGTCATGTATACCCTGCTGCTCGGCTTGACTGGTTTCCTCTGGAGCCTCTACTACAGGAACGACCTTTTTGGGCTGCGACGTCGTCGCAAAGCCACGAACGATCGGCTTCAGCTGAGTTCTCTTCTTCTTGGCCATTGGAATAGACCAAGGCCGACCTAGAACTTTGATAACCCGAAGGCTTCAGCAGTGGAGGTCGGTGGTTAGGATGGGTAGTACACTTGTCAAAGACAAGAAAACAAGTGATTGCGCGGACGCGACTTCAGCAGCAGCACAGCCCAAGTAACGAGTTGGATGGAGGTAGATGGTCTAGTTTTTCGCAGGCAGCCAGGAATGAGAGAGATAGAGAAGAGTTGATTGTTGGTAAAAGCATGAGATCTGCACAATGCAGTGAATGCACATACGGAGCCACAAGCAGTGGAAAAGGGTCAACCGAACACAGATCGACGATCTGACGGAGACTCCAGCGCCGCCGTGCCGGCCGTGATTAGCCATACCCTCATAATTATCGTCTTCGCGCTACCGTGCAACCGAGACGCCTTCAAAGTGATGCCGGGTTCAACGGAGAAGGAAAGACAAACTACGAAGACAACATATAGTATCCTAATGTACATATAGTATAACATGATCTATAAGAGGCTTGAGGTGAAGGATAAAGCAAATGTATACGGCAAAAACAAGAGATTCACAGAGCAAAGCATGCGACGGTCCTATCCACAGAAAAAGCCAAAGAGTACGGAAAACACTGCCCACGCTTAAGCCGATATGACGGCACCAGTCGATTTCTGCTTGCCACCCCTGCCCCTGCCCCGTCCTCGCCCGCGACCAGTGCCTCCCCCGTCAGCCCTCCGCTTCTTGCCACGCACAGAGGTTGGGACCGGTGTCGATTCGTCATCCTTGGTTTGCTCCGTAGGTCCATTTGATGCGGCATTGGAATGTCCGAAAAATTCGTCTCCCTCTTCGGTCCAGAGGTCACGCATCGTGTCTCCGTTTCCGTTTGGCTGTGCTGCACGTTTGCCTGCGGTCTTGTCCGAAACGCCGCTTTCGAGATTCGCCAACTGATCCTCGTTGAGTAGCAGCTGGACAATTTCGCTTGGTTTTGTGACATCAGTGAAATTCTTGTTACCGACAACGATATCTTGAACCTATTTAATGTCAAGATATAAGAAGAAGTCTATTGTAAGACGCAAAGGAAACGCACATCTTTCTTGACACGGGCGAGTTGGACAATGCGTTCGTCGATGGTGCCCCTCGTGATCAGACGATACACCGTGACTTGCCGCGTCTGTCCAAGACGATGAGCACGGTCCATAGCTTGAGCATCATTCGATGGATTCCAATCATGGTCGTAGAAAACCACTGTGTCTGCAGCGGTCAGGTTAATACCGAGACCGCCAGCCCTGGTACTGAGAATAAATATAAAGATATCGGGCCTTGGACCGCTAGTCAGCTAACTCCCCATTTGAACTGGGTTATGGAATCACGTACCTCGTCTGCCAATCCATGACCATGTCGCGTCGATCCTCTAGTTTTGACGAGCCATCCAAGCGCAGATATTTGTATTGTCGGTAGATCAGATACTCCTCCATGAGGTCCATCATCCGAGTCATTTGGAAGTAGATCAAGACACGGTGATCCCCAGCCTTGAGTTCCTGTAGCAGAGCGTCTAGTCGAGCCAGCTTCGCCGAATCATATATGAGACTTTTGGCCTCCGGAACTTGCATAATGGGAAGAGGTAGCTGATCAAAGGAGGAGGAGCCAATCAAGCCTACAGATGGAACTCCGGGAATCAAATGACCATATTCTGCGGAGGCCTCGACAGATTCTCGGAGACTTGGCTGTAACCCATAGAGAGCGAGGGTTTCGAGTGGTCCTTCTAGCAGAGCCGACTGATGCTCTATGAAGTTCCTATCCGTACAGTACATGGCAACAGGCGGAGCGACCACGGAGGGTATGAACCACTTCAGGCTCGGCCTGGATAAACATGATGATGACCACATCGCTGTCGATATGGCACGAAGTTCAGGCTGTCCCTCTGCAATGTCTGCCAACGATGATATATTTCCGAAAGGAATCCGGAAACGGCTAGCTATAGAGGAGACGCCAAAGTCGCTGTCGCTGGATCGACAGATGATCAGATGTTATGATAGAAAGACAAGCCGGAATTGCTTACAGATAGTATGGATCCTGGCTAGCTCTCTCAGCTTCCTCCTCGAGAGCGAGAAGACGTCTGTGCAGAAGTGGCGCCACATGGAGGGCGTGTGCCTCACCAGCAGTCATGTCGAGAAAGCGAAGGAAAGAGAAGCCTGAAAGTGCTGATAGCCACTTTCATCAGCGAACTTGCATCGTAACTATCACAAAGAGTACTTACAATCCTCGCACAAGGATCGTTCTATCCAATCAGGTGACCATATGTTCATCATCTTACTCAGAACGCTGCTGTCCGATCTCAGGTACGTCGAATTCTCGGTCGGTACATCCAAGAGCCCGCCATCGAGGTAGAACAGAGTGGGGATCGCATATTCAATGGGGTTGCGAGTCGAATACGGCACTATGAGGTAGTCGCCTTCGCGATTCAAAGGCCCGGATTGCCCAAACCTAGAAAACGAGAACGGGGCAACAACGTCCGCACGCTCGAACAATTCTGGATGATTGCAAACCTAACGACAATGACCATGTTAACCGCATTTTAGGATTCAATCCGTGGACAGCTCACTTTACGGAATTGCATCACAAGGTTCATGAGTGACCGCGCGGAATCGGCATCGCCGATGTTCGCAGCCTTTTCGAGCAAGTCCGCGACAGACACATTTGCCTGAAGAGCCCGGTACATCGCCCGCTGCCTGGCACTTAGATCTACATAGATATCCTTCTCAATCTACGAAGGCAAGTCAGTAACATTGTCCGTTCACACGGATATTCAAGGCTTGCCTTATCACTGAGCTCATTCTGCACATGCCGCTTGACACGACGGAGCATGAAAGGCTTCAATATCATATGCAGCCGACGAAGTTGATGTTCGTTCAGCTTGCTGCCCTTATTCTCCGCCGCATTTTCTATGTCCTTGGAAAACCACTCATTGAACTCGTCATGAGAGTCAAACAGACTGGGCATAATGAAATGAAGAAGCGCCCAGAGCTCTGTGCTCATGTTAGCCAAGCGGCGACAGACGAAACCAGAGGAAGCGTACCCTGCATGGAATTTTGGATTGGAGTTCCAGTCAGAAGCAAGCGATTGCGACAATGGAATCCCAGGAGTGTCTTCCATCGAACGCTGGCAGCATTTTTAATGTTTTGAGCTTCGTCAAGAATCATGTATTGCCACTTGACGCGCTGGAAGTACTGTTGATCTTGAGTGACCTAGAGAGCCCCGTCAGTATCGCATTGAAACATCACGAAGCGACTAACTCACCAGCTGATAACTGGTTATAAGGACATGGAAAGGAGCGTCTTGGTTATAGCTAATCTCCTTTTTACTCCAGAACTTCCGGAGCGTGGCTCGATCCTTGACGTTACCCCAGTAAGGCAAAGCCTTCAAAGTAGGCACGAACCGACTGATCTCTTGCTGCCAATTATGGAGTGTGGATGCAGGCGCAACGACAAGGAAAGGACCCCAGATATCATGGGTCTCAGCAAGGTAAGCCAGCAACGATATTGATTGCACGGTCTGTGAAATTTGTTGTAAATAAAGAGGTGACCAAACAGCACTTGGAAATTTCTGCTTACCTTTCCAAGACCCATTTCGTCGGCGAGGATGCCATTTATGCCTTGTTCGTAAAGAGTTGCCAACCAGTTTAGACCCTTCAATTGATATTCCTTCAACTGAGCCATGAGGATATGGGGCTGCCCAATTGTCAGCGGTCCGCTGAGCGAAGTTGGATTCTGGAAGTTGAGTTCGTCCGAATCCACTGGTGAAGGACGAAACAATACGATTAGTAGACGATATGCCTGATTATCGTGGGCTTACAATCCACGAGAGGGGTAGACGATGTTCCTGCTCCCGGCTGCCCTGAGTCATCGTCATCTCGGATATGAGCTTGATGCTTGGCTAACTGAATAGCTTCGTTCGTTTTCCGTTCAAGAGCGGTCTGCGTATCGAAAGCCACGGCCTTCCGACGCGCAGCAGACACAGCTTCTTGAGCGCTGACCCTGGCATGTCTGTAAAGATTTGTTGCGTCCTCTGATGAATATGTTTAAGTAGTCGTTTGTGACAAACAAGATAATACACATACCTTCATCAAAATTAATGTCCCGCAAAGTGCTCGGGTCAATGTCATCGAGGTTGGCACCGTTAGGAACAGCAGCCGAGTCAGCAGCCTCTCCTTCAACTTCGGCGGCTATTTGGAAAGGTATCGATCAGCCTTGCGCTGCGAGCAGCAGGATGAACAGACGTACTCTTCAATTTATTGCCCACGAAATGACTGTAGAGCTCCGTCTGACTGATGAGGAACTCAAGTTTTCGCGCCTGCCGCGCCGCTTCCCGTTTCTCTTCCTCAACCTTGGCTCGATCAATCGCCTCCTTCTGCTCTCGCCTGCGCACATCGCGCTCTTCTTTCTCGTTCTTCTTCCAAAAGATGAGCATTTCACGCATGAGACGCTTGCTCTTCGCTTGCACGTCCTTTGTTGCCTTGGGGGTTCGGGTGAAGGGTCGGCGAGCTTGGATAGAAGAGAGCATTGCCACCCGCTTTAGCTGAGCCTGATGTTGCTGGTAGCCCATGGCATGGTACTTGTAGACCTGAAAGATGAAAAGAATGAACGATATGCAAAGACACAGGATAGCCGTATCGATATACCTTGGCAACTTCACGACGCGCGATGCTCTTCCACACCTTTCGCTGCGCCTCTTCAAGAACCTTCACGCGCTTCAACATTGTTGCATCGTCTACCTTTTTGGCTTTCTTCAACGGCGGCGGGATCTCGTCGATCTCATACACCGTAGCATCTGTTGCTGTGAGGGCTGGAGATGCTGGCCGTGAACCTGCAGGCGTTGAGTCACCCGCGACCGAGGCGGCGATAGACCCGATGCCCAAGTGCTCTTGCGTGTGGGGGGGTAACGTACCTGCCTTCCGACGTGGGCCTGGCCTCTTGCGTGCTGCCTTGGGTGTCGTAGAGATACTGTCCATACTCTGTTCCCGTTGTAGAACCTGTTTGCCCTTCCCCTTTCCCCGTCCCTTTGTTGCCGGCATAAGCCTCACAGTATCCTGCGTCGAAGCGACGGAACGCTGATCGTCAGCAATGGATCGCTCCAAATCTGCTGTTATATCACCACCGGGTTTCGAGAGCTTTCTCTTCTTACTTGCGTGTTTCTTTGGATCAAGGGGAACTTCGAGGTCGCTGCTACTAGCTTCGGAGGCTCCGCGGGAAGCAGGACGCTTGGGGTCCTTTCCTTTTCCTTTTCCTTTCCCTGGCCCAAGAATAGACTCCTCTAACTCCCGCGCGGCATCCTCAGCAGCGTTCGTGGAACGAAATGAGCGTCGGTTGGACGGATCATTGTCATAGCCGTGTTCCTGGCTATCGGCAAACTCAGAGTTGGATGAGGGAGCGTGCAATGTAGACAGAAGCTCGTCGTCAACGCTTGGGTGGACAGGAAGTGGTCGCGGAGGTGGTGGAGGTGGTGGAAGCGGGATCCTTCTCAACGTGTCCGCATAACGCTGCGATAGATGGTCCATGTACGCGAGACTCCGTTCCTGATCATCGATATTTGCATAAGGATCTGGCTTGAACCAGACAAAAGAGAGGCCCACTTACCACAGCACTTTGGGCAAAATATTCCTCGACCAACCTTTTTCGCTTTTGTGTCTCTAACATGTAGTTGCCTAATTCCCCGAGCCATACCTCCTCGCAGTCGCTGAGATCAGACGACACAAGACGTCTGTCTTCCTCGGTGGGCTCATACCTTTCTCCGGGCTCATGTTCAGTCACTTCAGTCATCGGAGACTGCGTTCGTAACTGTCTGTTCCTCGCAGGGAGTCGACGGAGTCCCGGCTGGAAAAGAAACGTATGAATGATGCGGATACACGAGGAAAGTACAAAGGAGTACACACGCGTCGCGAACCAGGCGGCTGGTAATCCGCATCGTCGTCCGCGGTCTTTCTTCGCTTCTTTGGCGGCGACTGGGACATGCCTGGGATGCCGTCCTTGACAAAGGTCATGATGTTCGGCTGAGAACCTTGGACATCCTTGGGCGGCGAATGAACATGACTGGAATAGAAGTTGCCCCCAGGACCATGAGGCGCTTGCACCCATTCGCCAGAGCGAGGATCCCAACCACTCGATGGCTGAAGCGACGTGGGCTGGTATGTGTGGTTCCTGGAGGGCGCCGGGTAATCCGCAAGACGACCACTCTGCGAGCGGCGGCGGGTGCGCATGGCTGGAGGCGGAGAGTGAGATGACGGGGGGCGATCCATCAGGGCAGGATCAAGAGAGGGAAGAGAGGAATGCGCTGGCTGCGAGGAGCTCGGAGGGGGGACGGGGTCGTCGTTCAGGATCCTGCTGAGCGACATGGCGGAACACGATGGCACAGAGGACGAGGAATGCGCGCTTCGTCGACAGTGCAGAAAGTGCGCAGGAAAAGAAACGAGAACGGGACCCGCCTCGTGGGATCGCTGGCGAGAAAGTGGAACAAATGAAGCTTGTCAAGGCCGAAGTGCCGTCCAGACTGTTGGAGGGCGCCTAAGGAGGCAGATTTGTGCTGGCGGCGGCGAGGGGACGACTGCGGGGGACGAGGGTGGTGTCGTCGAGGAGGAGAGGAGGAGAGGAGGGGCCAGTGATGGACCGGTGGGGGCAAGGCCGCAGTTGACGCGGAATCGCCGCCGTTTTCGTAGGTTGTGCTCTTTTTACATCTAGGTCGCATCCCTCCCTTGCTTTCCTTTTTGGGACACGACGAACCCTCCGTTCCTTCGCTACGCTTGCGTGGACGAGTGGTCCACGCCCATATTATCACTTTGCATCCCACTCGCAAACACTCCCAGGACACCGCCAGCACCGTCCTGACGACTGTGGCGGTGGATCCCTCCGTGACAGAGACATGGTCCGAGCGCTACAGACGCCTGATATCCGACTCTGTTGGATTGTAATACGACGCCACACGCGACTCATATCTTCCCAACTTCGATCCAAACATTGACATCCGCTTGCACATTCAGCCCATCACGCATCCCCTCCGTCACCGCAACGTGTCTCTCTCTCACAGCACCACTCCCGGCGCTCTCCCTCCCTCGCAATCTCGCTGCCTTCTTCCATTCACACAATATACATTCCGAGAACACACTGCTCATTCCATTTATGGCAACCAAGAAGCTCGCAGGGTGTAAGTGTCTTTCTACGCCTCATCAGGGTAGAGCATCAGCTCTGGCCGCACTTTCTCATCAAACTCCTCTGGCGTCAAGAATCCAAGCGCAATCGTCGCCTCTTTCAGCGTCGTGCCCTCCTTGTGCGCCTTTTTGGCACATTTCGCAACATCTGCAACATAGCGTGACTCAGCCAACATGACAAATATCGGGGCACAGGCTGCTCACTGTCGTAACCGAGATGGCTGTTGAGGATCGTAGCCAACATCAGCGACTCGTTCAACAGCGTGTTGATCCGTTTCTCGTTGGCCTCAATGCCGACAACGCAATGCTTCGTGAACGAACGAGAGCCGTCCGCCAACAGACGGATGCTCTGCAGCACGTTTTTGATGATGACGGGCTTGAAGACGTTCAACTGCCACCGGATATCCTCGTCAGCATGACACAATGTTTCATGGCACAAATCGACCCACCTCGAACTGTCCGTTAGAGCCAGCGATGCTGACAACAGTTTGATTACCGATGACCTGTGCAGCTACCATAGTGAGCGCTTCACACTGCGTCGGATTAACCTTTCCGGGCATGATACTGCTTCCAGGCTCGTTCTCGGGAAGGCTGAGCTCTCCGAGGCCACAACGCGGTCCCGATCCCAAGTAGCGAATATCATTCGCGATCTTCATCAGCGAGCAGGCGAGGACATTCAGAGCACCGTGAGCCTCAACGAGAGCATCGTGGGCAGCGAGCGCCTCAAACTGAAGAAGCATGAGCGGGACATCCTTGATTGACATCAATGAAATCTACCTTGTTCGGAGCCGTCTTGAATTCGATGCCTGAGATCTTGGAGATCTCCGATGCTATCTTCACATCGAAGCCTTTTCTCGTGTTCAAGCCCTTTGCAATGTGTAGGTGAAGAATATAGGTGCAAAACATCAAAGGCACTCACAGTTCCAACAGCTGTTCCACCCTGAGCGAGGAAGCTCAACCGAGGGATGATATCCTTCACGCGGTCGATACCGTTAGAGACCTGCTGTACATAGCCGCTGAACTCCTGACCGAGGGTCAAGGGCGTAGCATCCTAAGAATGATGCAGCTCAGCAACGCAGCACATAGCGATCACCAGGCGACTCGCCTGCAAGTGGGTGCGACCAATCTTGACGATATGGTCGAAGGCCTTAGACTTCGCGGCAAGGGCATCTCGCAGTCCCTCAAGGGCCGGAAGAAGCGAGTTGACAATCTCCGTGACGGCTGCCACATGCATCGCCGTTGGGAACCTGAAGACTGATAGTCAAAACCTAACGAAAGCGGCAGCAGCAATCAACCCACGTGTCATTACTACTCTGGCTCATATTGACATGGTCATTTGGGTGTACTGGCTTCTTAGAACCAAGTTCGCCTCCGAGAATCTCGATGGCGCGGTTAGAGATGACCTGTACACCGCAAGATCCATGAACGCCGAGGACGTATGAGAGAACGAGTATGTGCGGACCTCATTTACGTTCATGTTACTCTGCGTTCCGCTGCCCGTTTGAAACACGACCAAGGGGAAGTGGTCAATCAGCTTCCCCGAGATGACCTGCACCACTCAGGACGGATTGGGCTCAAAGTTCCCGTAGCGACTGAAACAGCGCGACCCACCTCATCTGCGGCCTGTTGAATAGCCTGACCAACCTTCGGATCCATTCCGTACCCAACATTGACAATCGAAGCAGCCTTTTTTAGCACACCAAAGGCCTTGATCAAGGGAGGAGGTAACCGCTCCGTGGGGCCTCCGATATCGAAGTTCTGCAGCGATCTAGTGTCCCCAATGGTCAATTCGTTCGGAATAACTAGAGGGCGGAAAGAGCATACCGCTGAGTCTGTGCTCCCCAATAGCGGTCGGCGGGCACCTTCAGGTCGCCAAAGGTATCTCTTTCCGTCCGAAAAGCCTGCTCTGTCTGACGAAAAGCATGCGCCTCCGTTTCCGTCTCCGTGTGCACAAGCTATCCGCTCACCATAACGCGAAGAGAACTGGAGAACAATCTATGCGAGATCGTCCGTGGGTACTGGGCAGTCACCAGGAGAGACTGGGTTTCGTGAAAACGGCCATTTTGGGGGGAATCACATGAGCATATGTAACAAGGTGGAATTAGCCGTCTATGCCTAGACATGGTCTGGACGCATGGAACACCTTACTCTACGAGGAAGCCGAAGGCCAGCCATGGCTGAGCAGAATTAAACCAAAAATTCAAGGAAAATGGGAAAGACGTAGTAGTGTAAGTTGTTGGCACTGACGAGAACGCCAAGTTCTGCGGAGGATATCGGGCATGCAACTCCCACGCAACACCCGAGCTCCTTGATATCCCGAGCAGAATGTGAAGGTCATTCAACACGACGAGAGTCCATCACTGAATTGTTACAGTGTGAGGAAGGAAACGATTGTAGGTAATCTGAGAGTCGGCATGTACAATTCGTCGCAGCTCTACAAATATGATGCCTGTCATGCTTTACTTCGTAGACCTAAGTCTCCCCGCTCTTCTTGCTTACACGTGATTATGAGTGTGGTCTTTGCGACATGATTTCCCCAAAACAGGCCGGCCGTTATAATATCTCTGTACGTCCGGCGCCCTCCCAATACAACCCCACCAAAGACTCCGTCCCCATTGTTGCTCACTACACCCACCATGTCCAGCGTCGCGTCCCAGGTCATCTTGCATCCAGCTGTTTCTGACACGCTCAAAGTATTGGGCACTACGCTCGGACGCGACAAGGTATGCACGCCTCAGCCTGCATGCATGCGCATACTGCCTCACCGGTTTACCATCTTACTAGATCTACCGAGCAGTACAGTACTTTGCTCGCTTCTTTGCATGGTACCTTCTCGCCCGCGGTTACAAGCTTGAGGCAACACGATGGAACGCGTTGAAGGGCCATCTCGCCACGGCGAGAAAACGTGGGTACATGCGGGCCGCGAGCAGCTGGCTCATCAGACTCATATATTGTTTGATCCAGTGATGCGCATCGGAAAGCCTTTGGAACATCTCCAAGCTGCTCTCCGTGCTGCACAGACAACTGGTGACCTCAAAGAGCAGATTTCTACTATCGGCAGACAGCTCGGGTACTTTGGATACTTGACCTATGACGCCATCGTCTGGGTGTGTAGCGTCAATGTCAGAGTATCTCATTGTCCATTTTTAGTTGACTGTGCGAGTCAATTTTAGGCAAATGCTGTCCGATTTATCACTCTCAAGCCAGATACGGCACAGAGGGTGAACAAGACGGCCAACCGATTCTGGGTAGCAGGCATCCTGTTTAGCATTGTCCACGCCGTTTTCAAGGTATTCCTCAATCATTCACATATCTGAGAAGGTGCTCATGATGCATATTTGCTTCATCAGTCTGGAAGGTTGACTCAAGAAGTGAACAGCCTCCGTGCCCTGACTGAGAAGGATGTGGGCGAAGAGAATGTTCGGCAAACAAGACTTCGTACGCTTGCTGCGTAAGTACACCATGAATTATGCGCTTTACCTGTGCTCAGACCGTATGTACTGCGCCAGCCTCCTTACCGCAACACGCCAGCAATTCGTCATCGATGTTCTCGATGTCTGGATTCCTGCGGCCAACATAGGCCTTGTTACTCTGAATGACGGTATTTTGGGTGCCTTCGGGTATGTTTAAATATTGGCTGCACGCTGTCATAAGTCCTGACAAACATCCTAGCTTCATCACATCTATCCTTGCCCTTCGTTCGCATTGGGCAGTAACCACTGCGAAGAAATAAAAGCTTGATGCTGTAGACTTGTGATTCTGTTCTTTTTGTATATTATTCTTTGCAATGTCATTTCGTACCTAGGAACTGAGGGGCGATATTTCTACGGAAGTGCAAAGATGCAGCACGCTGCAATCGAACTTAGAAAGATGCACTAGTCTGTTGTTGTTGCTGCTGCTGATGCTGCTGCTGATTTCGAATACGGAGATATTCTTGGCGAACTATTTGCATGCTGTCTTCACATGTACTGTATATGGAGTGAATATTAGGTTCTGGTGACCTCCCGGGGATTGACACAGATACTGAAAGGTACTCACAATCGATACATGCAGTCTTGGACAGCCTTGTACTTGTTTTTGCAAGCCCAAGCCACGGTGACAGTGCGACCAGTGGCACATTCGGCAAAATCTGTCATGGTGTACAGTTAGCGACAGTACACCACGCTTCCAGCATGTTAGTGTACCTTTCACGATTGAATCACATTCCTTAAGGGCATGGGCTTTGGTAGTCTTGAGCAACGTATCCTCCTCCCGTCGTGAAAGAGTGCTCATGACTGTCCGGTTCGGGTGCAGCTGGCTCTGGTAAGCAACGGCCCTGCGATCGGCGATTCGGCGTTGTTTGGATCGGAGGCTGTTGCCAAACAAAGAACCAGCCGGCCGAGCTCCTGGTTCCGCAAAGGCTGGATTACTCACCTGAGGCCACCTTTTCTAATTACCAACCCCCACTTCAGTGCAACAGACACTCATCCAGTTTTTTTTATAAAGGGCTACTGTTGTTCTCAGCTCTGTCATGGCATCCCTCTTGCGCTCCGCACGAGTATCACGAACCTCCATACCAGGATGTGTCCGCAGTCTGGCTACACAGTCGAATTCACCGGCTTCACGAGGCGTTTTCAGTCAGACACTGGCCCAGGGACCATCCTTGGATGACTTCATTGTTGGAGACGCACCCGATAAGGTTGTGCTTGGAAACACAAGCGCGTAGGTATCTTTACTTTCCTAAAATTCGAAGTGGAAACAATGAAGTGACATTTCGTAGTCCACGGCTGCCTTCGTATCTGAAGACGTCGATTCCCAAAGGAGCATCATTCAGTAGCATCAAGAAAGACCTTAGAGGCCTTGGTCTTCATACCGTATGCGAAGAAGCTCGTTGTCCAAATATCGGAGATTGCTGGGGTGGTAAAGAGGGTGCAACACCCGAAGAGGGTAAACGAGCAGCTACTGCAACTATCATGGTGTGTACCTAGCAGCCAGTTTCTTAGCTGGAAATATACTGAAATGTGTCTCTTAGTTGATGGGTGACACATGTACGCGTGGTTGTCGGTTCTGCTCAGTGAAGACGTCTCGCACACCGCCTCCACTTGACCCGCATGAACCTGAGAACACCGCTGAGGCCATCAGTCGATGGGGACTTGGTTACATCGTTCTGACTAGCGTGGACCGCGATGGTGCGGGCTTAATCCAATTTGCTCCATGTTGACGCTGACACCAATGATAGACCTTGCTGACTCTGGGGCTCATCATTTCGCGGAGACAATACGAAAGATTAAGCAAAAGTGCGTCTTTTACTTATATCATTAATTTTCCTATGACTGAGATTGGGGTTTACGTCAGGGCTCCCCAAATTCTTGTCGAAGCCCTCACAGGTGATATGGGAGGGAACCTTGACCATGTCTCAGTTGTCGCAAGATCCGGTCTGGATGTTTATGCACACAACGTAGAGACCGTCGAGGCGTTAACCCCCTTTGTGCGAGATCGAAGAGCGACCTTCAGGCAAAGTCTGAAAGTCTTGGAGCGCGCAAAGGCAGAAGGTGTTCGGGTGACTAAGACAAGTATTATGCTCGGGGTTGGCGAGAATGAAGAGCAACTCATAGATGCCTTACGAGGTTAGTTCGTGTTTTTTCCACTACTTTATATTTTTCTCAGTATCCTCCCAGAGCTCCGCAAGGTCGATGTTGATGTTGTTACATTTGGTCAATACATGCGTCCGACGAAGCGGCACATGAAAGTCGACCGTTACGTCGAACCTGCAGAATTTGATCGTTGGAAACAGGTTGCTGAGGATATGGGATTCTTGTACGTTGCGAGCGGACCATTAGTGAGAAGTAGCTACAAGGTAACTATACCTATGCCTATTCACCGGGTCATTACTGACTCTTCCGCCTTTACAGGCTGGAGAATACTTCATAGAGAATGTTCTCCGAGGGAAAGGTGCTGAGAAGCAGACTCAGAAGCTACTCGCTCAGGAGGATGCAATGGTAGGAGCCAAGCTTGATGCTTGATCTATCCTCTGTATCATCCATCCTCTTTACATCGTCTATCATTCGCTTGCACCTACCCAGCTCTACTCTTGACTTCGCCTCTCTTTTCCTGCACCGTTGTACTTAGAAGTATGTGGATAAACCATATTTTTCCTGACACTACAATGAGGTTAGGGTCTATAAACGGCATTTACCGGTCGGAGCTACTTGGAGTTGTAACCTTGCTTGGTGCAAACCTTGTTTTTCAAGCCCACCGCCGCAACAAAACATCGACAAGACTCGTCGACACTCCACAACAAAATGGTGAGTATTTCCTCAACACAAGGAGGTGTCATATTGACGTTCTGCTCCAGGATTCCTCCTCGAAAGCTCCCGTCAAGCTCGCCCGTGTCATCAAGGTCCTATCCACCCCTCTTTTGAAGGTTTTCAGCGCATCTAACAACAGCATATACTCTGTATAGGTCCTTGGCCGGACAGGATCGCGTGGAGGTGTTACCCAAGTCCGTGTCGAGTTTTTGGACGACACGACCCGGACAATCATCCGTAACGTGAAGGGCCCCGTACGGGACCAGGATATCTTGGCTCTCCTGGAGAGTGAGCGTGAGGCTCGGTGCGTCCATGTCTTTTTGCCAAGGATCCCCTAGAATTCATGAACTGTGTTTGTATGTCACAGTCGTCTCCGCTAAAACTCAGACGTTTTGCATCCTGCCTCGTTTCCCTGACTATCGTCTTCCTTGCTCTCGCTATCTGCATTACATGTTGTATGGTCATGCCAATTACACTGCATGAGTCCCACCGAGTATTTCGGGCGGCCTATATCACCTATTACTGGTGACTGAAGGTGACTGAAACTTGAAGGCGCTCAGTGAAATGAAAAAAAATGGACATGCCATCGAGAAGATGGTAAGGTGATTGCAACAACTGTCTGAAACATCCACTTCATCTGCGTCGATGGAGGTTGGCGCGGTTCCTTTTTCTGATTCATGAACCCATGCGATTGATCTTCAAACACATATGGCTGTGTCGTTCATTTGACGTAGACATCATAATGCGACTGTTTTTTTGTCCCACAGTCGAGATGAGTTGGGTGTGGCGTCGAATGGTGCCCAATGCAACTGATATGGGCGGAATACAAGCGGAACATACCAATTCAAAACCAACATCACTAGCACTGGTTGTCAGCTCTCCTTCGATTCCAAAAAATGATCATCTGTCGCACTTATCGCGGTTCGCGAGAATGTATATAGGCGGAATGATTAGACTCCCCAGATTACCTCCTGCACTCTTGGACGCGACCCTCCAGTAACTGCAACATGTCTCGAAATGCTGCCTATGTGACCCTCCTCACCAGGGAGAATTACCTTCCGGGTGCTCTGGTTGTTGATCATTGCCTAAAGGCTGTACACTCGAAGTACCCCTTCGTCGTAATGATCACTCCTGAGCTATCTCAGCCAGCCAGAGACGTGCTCACGAAACGGGGTATCACTGTCAGGGAAATACAGAGCCTACAGCCATCGAGCGGGTCTCATACGCTAGCAACTCACGATGCCAGATTCGCTGATACCTGGACAAAGCTGAGGTATGCGTGTCCGAAACAGATCCTCTAACAAAAGCTGAGATTTTCTCATGTAGAGGATTTGAACTGGTCGAATACGACGTACGCATATCCGCGATTTTTGTGGATATCCCGCTGAAGATGCCTCGATTATAGCGCATCGTCCTGATGGATTCTGATATGATCGTCTTGAGAAATATGGACGAGCTCATGGAGCTCGATCTCCCTCAGGACTCGATCGCAGCAGCTCACGCATGCGCCTGCAACCCGCGCAAGCTCGCGCACTATCCCGCGGACTGGTGAGTTCACCGCACAGTTATCCTCAGCTGTCTGATTCTAATGGATCCCCAGGGTGCCCGCGAACTGCGCATATACCCCCCTCGTGCATCCTACTGCGATCGCCAATCCGACTGAGATCACCCCTTCGAGTCCGCGGCCGTACAACCTCCTCAATTCTGGTCTCGTCGTGCTTAACCCGTCCAAGGAGCTGTCCGCTTCGATCATCGACTACCTACACACTTCCCCCTTGGTCCCCACGTTCTCTTTCCCCGATCAAGATCTCCTCGCCGCGTTCTTCCACGGCAAATGGAGGCCCTTGCCCTGGGTTTACAATGCCTTGAAGACGCTTAGGATCATACACAAACCGTTATGGCGAGACGAGGAGATACGGTGCTTGCACTACATCCTGCATGACAAGCCGTGGCATGAGAGGATCGGAGAGGTTGGTACGGGCGGAGAGTACGAGGAGGTTCATCGGTGGTGGTGGGATCGATTCGACACTCTGCTGGCAGAATTGGGCGAAAGCGACCCAGACGGCCGGAACCTTGTAGCCGCTAATGTAGCGCCAATCCTTCCCAACTGAACCGTTGTCCGATCGTATCGATCGCATCTTGGGAACGTGTCTTCAACCTGCGGTCAGGATCGAAACAGTTACATAGCATCATAATGCATTGACTTCTTTCTTCAGCTTATAACCTCCGCCTACATATAGCTGTGCCTATGCTCTCCATGCAACGTGTACTTCGTCGGTTCTGAACCTATGGGACAGCAATCAAATATAGAGCGTCCGGATATGAATTCGATTACATACCTTTGTGTACATGTACTTTTTTCCAGCGGTGTAGAATGGCCCATTCTGAAACTCAACAAACCAGCCTGCGCGATCATGATGCCGTTATCGATGCAGAACCTTCCGAAATCCAAAAGTCAACATGCGCATTGATGAGGATAGGGGCCAACTACTGACCGTTCGTCAGTGGCAAAAACCTTTCCACTGCGCTCCTCGGCCATTGTACCCATCATCTCTTGCAACCGTTCGTTACCTGATGTAAATGGAAGGTGTCAAATACAAAAACCACGTCGTCTTCTCAGATGAGATGCTCACAGCCGACCCCGCCCACGATGAGCACCTCTTTGCTGCCGATGTGAGCCATGGCCCGCTCTGTGATCTCGACGAGCATCGCAAACACGGTCTCCTGCAGAGAAAAGCACAGATCCGCAGGCGTAAAGAAATCTTGATCGTCCGGCCCTCGCGGCTTGCCATCTGGCCGGAATCTCTTGTCTAGGGTCAGCGCCTCCGTGGATGTCAGGATTCCAGAGAGGCTGACGTCCATCCCCTTGGTCGTATACGGCAACGGCAGGAGATGGGTCCCTCTGCGGACAATCGATGAGCGTTCAACGTGATCATAACCAGCGTGCGCCTTACTTCTTCGCCTCCTGCTCGATGTTGTATCCTGGGCTGGGGTCGTTGCTCAGATTGATCACGCGCGCAAAGCGATCGAGGCAGTTCCCGACGGCGATGTCGAGCGTCTCGCCGAATATGCGATAGCACTGCCGCGAGTACGCGATCACCTGGGTGTTCCCGCCCGAGACGTAGAGCACGACCGGGTTTTGCGCGCCCGTGATCTCGCGGCCCATCTCGATGTCTGCGCGCAAAACAGCATCACGGTCAGCGAGGGCAGACTGCGTAGGACAGAGGCGGCGTACGGCCGACGCAGTGGTTCACCCCGACGAGGGGCTTGTCGAACAGCAGTGAGAGCGTTCGCGCTACGATTGCTACTGACTGGAGCGGAGCACCCATACCGGGTCCTGAGCACGGTCCACTATAGCTTCAGATTTGAACCCTCGCTATGACGACGAGCAACGCACCCTTTGTGTAGCATATACAATCCAAGTCATGCAACGAGATCCCGGCCTTGCTAACAGCGTCGTTGATGACCTTGAGTGCCCACTCTCGATGGTGTTGAGCGGTGTCGCGGGGCAGGAAACCCTCGCCTGGAGGGGTGATGTATGTGTGCCGGACGTTCGAGAGCACCGACGACGAGCCGTCGATGTCATGTTTTATGATCCCTGCACCCAATTTATTGGCCGAGCCTTCGAGGCCGAGGGCAAGGTATGCTCGATCTGCGATATTCAGGTCATGCAAGACGGAGTGGACGATCGTGATGCATACCTGGCTTCTTCAACGGAGATTTTCGCAAGCGGCCCGGCATTGTTCAATCGCGCGAGGCCAGAGCAAGTGTATTCATCTTCAATGCGTCGCAAGCCCAATATTATGGGAGCACCGGCCCGGTCAGGCGTGTCGCGCAACACTTTAGCTCACATTCAGCACTGCGTGAGAGAGATGATATATAGCAATTATGCAGCGCGAGCAGCACGAGTTTAATGTCTATGTAGAGAAATAAAGCCATGAAAGACAAACACCCATCAGCCCGTCCCGCATAAGCCCCGAACGGAAAACACGTCCGTCCCCACGCCCTCGACTCAGAGCATGAACGTCAAAGGGTTCTCCAAGTAACCCTTGAATGCCGTCAACCACCGTGCGCCGACGGCGCCATCAACGGTGCGGTGATCGCAGCTGAGCGTGACTTTCATCAGGTTCACCGTCTTGAAGCCGCGCTCCTCCTCGGGTGCAGGGACCAGAGTCGGTTGCGTCGAGCCGACGGCGAGGATACATGATTGCGGCGGGTTGATGATGGCGGTGAAGTGGGAGATGTCGAACATGCCGAGGTTGGAGACGGTGAAGGTTCCGCCCTGGACAGGATATCAGTCGGCCTGGCAAGAAGTGGGCATGGAAGGATGCATACCTGGTACTCGTGTGGCTGCAGTTTGCCGTCACGCGCCTTCTTCGCCAGTGCCTTCGCCTCCGAAGAGATGGTAGCGAGACCCTTCGAGCCGACGTCCTTCACGATTGGCGTGATCAAACCGTTGGGGGTTGCGACCGCGATTGAGATGTCAGCCTTCTTGTATCTGATAGAGCCAGCATTTGAGCATGTAAAGACCGGAACGATGATGCGACACGCACTGTCTGATGACTTCGCCCAACCATGCCGTGTTAGCCTCGGGCACATCCTCCAATGCCTTGCTGACAGCCTTGACAATGAAGTCGTTGACGCTCAGCTTGGCCGCCTTGTCCTTCTCGCCGAATGACTTGTTGAAGACTTCCCGCAGTTTGGTGACCTTATCCATGTTGATGTCGACGGTGAGGTAATAGTGGGGCGCCTCGACCTTGGCCTGCGTCAAGCGGCTGCCGATCGTGCGGCGCATGCTGGTGGTGGGGATGTCGACGTAGTCTGGCGTCTGGACAGCGGGAGCTGAAGGCGCGCCAGGCGCAGCAGCAGCAGCGGATGGCTGGTACTTCTCGACATCCTCACGAATGATCCGGCCTTCGGGACCCGTGCCCTTGACCTTCGCCAGAGGAATCCCGCGTTCCAGGGCAATCTTCTTCGCGATGGGAGAGGCGAAGATGCGCTCGCCCTTGGCCAATTGGGACTTGGACTCCGATTTAGGCTGCGACTCGGCGGGAGCGGGTTTGGGTGTCTCCTCGGATTTTGATGGCTCGGGAGCCTTTTCCTCCTTCTTTGGTGGCTCAGCAGACTCAGACAAGGCTTGTGCGGCCAGATCCGCGGCACCAGAAAGGTCGTCGCCCTCCTCAGCGAGGATTGCAATTGGCGCGTTGACGGCAACGCCCTTGGCACCATCTTTGGCCTTTCAGACGCGCGTCAACAAATCAGTATGCGAGTAAGGTGAGAAGAGATGTGACGCACGATAATTTTAGCCAAGATACCGTCGTCTGCGGCCTCCACGTCGATCACCGCCTTGTCTGTTTCCTGATAAGACGCCCAGAGTGGATGTTTGCTGGCAAGTCGGGGAGGAAAGAAAGACGCACGATTTCCAAGAGCACGTCACCAGCAGCGAAAGAATCACCCTCTGCCTTTTTCCATGACGCGATGCCGCCCTCGGTCATGGTGGGGCTCATTGCAGGCATGTTCATCCTGGTGAGGGCATGTCTGCGAGCAGAGACGTGTATTTCTAGAGATTGAAAAATCGCGTTAAATATGGAATCAGCGGGACGGAACGCTGAAGAGGAACGCACTCCGTGCAAAGATACGGGCCAGGGACGAGGCAGACATTTGTGAGGACGGAGGAGGGATGAGAAACGGACTGGCCGAGTTTTATGGGGGTTATGTACACTCGGATGACCAAACAACAGACAACTGCCGTTCCTGCATCTCCCGTCCGCTGGGGTGCTTATATTAGCCATATATCCTCACCACTCGACATGGCCTCCGACTGCTTGCTCCCAGGCCAGCCCGTCCCTCTTCCTCGCGGGCCTCTGCCTCAGCTTGGCAGCGGCATCTACATGAAAGACGGGGAGCCTCGGGCGAGCCTCGTCGGCATTCCGCGCTACGATGCATCTGTCGGTTTTTCTTATTTCTGAGCGCCTGTGCCGACTTCAATGATACTCGGGCGTCACCCATTCGGCGTTCTCTGTTGCAGACTCTGGCTATCTCTCGTGTCCGTCCGCACCCGCCGGCTCCGAACTCCATAGTGCTCGGGTCTGTCACGCGTCTCTCGCCGCAGCAAGCGGTGGTGTCCATCACGGTGGTGGACGGGATGCCACTCCCTGCGGGAGAGGAATTCACGGGCGTGATCCGCGTGCAGGATGTGCGCGCAACCGAAAAGGACAAGGTAAAGATCGCCGACTGTTTTCGAGGCGGGGACGTGGTGAAGGGGCTCGTTGTGAGTGGACTTGGTCTTAGTCGGACGGTGGACGATGGACGGTGTCTAATGGCATGGCGGGAACAGATCTCGCTCGGCGACGCGCGGAGCTACTACATCACGACGGCGCGCAACGACCTCGGTGTCCTGTTCGCGACGAGCGAGGCAGGTAAGGCGGCATGTTCATTATTCTCACTGATGCTCTGAAATGAAATGCTCGACTGCAGGTGCGACGATGGAGCCTGTGTCGTGGCAGGAGATGCGGTGCGCTCGGACGGGGAGGATCGAGCGGCGGAAGTGTGCGAAGCCCGAGGGCGTGTGAGGTGTGGGACTAGGTACAGATAGGATACAGCATACGATAGAACCGACTGTGCATGAGCGGCAGACTGGCGGGATGCAAACAAGTGCCAAACAAGGGTGGCTGAGGCGCGGTGGGGAAGGCGCGCAAGTCGAACACAACCGCTCGCCCAACATTGTTCAGGGACTCTGTCTGCCGCCTCCCTCCCTCCTACCCGAATCCCCGCTCCGGTCCTGGCCTGTGTTTTCCATCTCCTCGCTCGACGATGACTGCTGTCCTCTCGCCAACCGATGCGTTCAGGAAGGAAAACATAATGGCCTCTCTTGACGACCACCAACTCAAGTACTGCGCTTCCGCAATGCCACGCAGTCACGCACTGACTCCCCCTTGCTTCACGCAGCTTTTCCTCCTCGACAGACTGGAAGTCCAAGTACTATGAAGTCGCCGAAATGCTCTCAGAAACGAGGAACGAACTGGACGACTTTCACCAGTCTTCCAAGGATCTCGAGGAGGAGCTGGAGCGGGAATTGCAGAGGACCGAGAAGGCACAGCAGGATCTGAGGGTCAAGGTGGAGCGGGCGGAAAATGAGAGGGACGAGTGGAAGGTACGCCCCCTCGCTGTCCGCTGTCTCTCCGTGTTGAACTCGCGTCCCCTAGTCCAAGTTCATGTCATTGCAGACTACCCACAACAAGACCACCACTTCCCTGCAGCGTGAAATTGACACTCTACGGCAGGACCATCAGAAGATCAAGGTTCAGCTGCGGGAGCTGGAAATGGGTAACGATGACCTGGAACGGACGGAGCGCGCGGTTTCGTCGAGTCTCGCCGATGTTGAAGCCAAATATTCTCGTGCCTTGGAGGAGAAGATCCTCCTGGAACACGAGCTGATTGACAAAGCAAGTCTCGAAGAAGAGTGCCAGAGAGTCAAGGATGAACTTCGGGGTGCGCATCCACGCCGCTCAATCCTTCTACATCTTATCTCACCCTATCTATCGCAGACGCAAACGCAGAAATCTCAGTCCTGAGAGACCATCTCCAGGTAGCGCAGTCGCGTGCATCGAACGTGACTCTTGAATCCGAGGACTCTTCTTCATCCAATTTCTTCCAACGCAATCCGCAAAACTCAGACGACGATCTCCTGCACACCCAGCCACCCGCCGATCTCACACTTTCCGACCTTTCCCCCGAATCTGACTCGCCTTCACCTGTCACTACTACCCCTCGCCAGGTTTCTTCCCCCCTCAACAAAGATGCAGGTCAATCAGCTTTACTCCAGAGGGCCGGCTTCTCTACCCGCACGAAAGTGTCCTCTCCACAGGCGTCGCCGTTCAGCGGCCGGTCTACAACGATGCCATCTCTAACAACGCCGACTCGACTCCCGCCGCGCACAGCGCTCACCCGACCTACGCCACGCACTCCGATGTCGCCGATCACCGGAAATACCATGGCTGCTATTCCTGCCACTGTTTCGAAGAACAAGGGTGTGCAGATGGTCTCCGAGATGAGGGCACGTGTGAGGAACCTCGAACAGAAGATTCACACTCGTGTTCCTCGACTTCGCATGGGCAGCACCAGCACCCGTGCAGCTTCCGGATCGATCTCGAACCCCAAACCGCCATCGAGTGTGTCGTCAACAACCTCGAGCAACTCGTCGCTTCAGCCAAGAACATCGGACGAACGAGTAAGGCCATCCCTTCCGTCGCTCCTCACACGGCGCAGCGACGATTCCGTGGACAAGAAGCAGACACCGCGTCGCGAATCCGCTGGCTGGGTGCTTATCATGGAGGACTCTCCCTCTCCGCTCAAGACGAAAGACAAGGAGATGCGGAAGCTCACCGGATCAACGACTGTGCCCTCGTACCGCCCGTATCAGTCCGCAGCACCAGACTCTCCATCTCGCCGTCCTCGCGCGCCCCCACGGGAACGGGAAACAAAGGACCCGCTGTCACGAAGCACGGCCACGGCCCTCATGCGACCGCAGTCTCGCACATCTACATCGACCGAGGGGCGCAGCAGCGCTGGTACGACAGCAACCACCAGCTCTCTTGCCACCCCAGTATCTCGTCCGACCACGCCAACGTTCCTTCCCTTGCCCAGCAACGGATTGTACTCGAATACGTCTACTCCAAGCACGGGCGGTTTCAAGCGGTCGACGGGTCCTGGATCGGGTGCATACTCATCCAACCATAAACGCTCCTCACTCGGGTCCAGCACGAATGTGTCTCCGATGGTGTTCAATCATCTCTCAGATGGTGGCTATCCCCACCGAGAGCGACCGACATCCGTCCCAGCCCCACCGCGCGGACTCGACAAGTCTTCCCCCTCTTCCTTTAAAGCTCCTCCGAACACCAAAGCTTTGCCCAATCTACCGCACGGCACCATCTCGTTCCGATCCAGCACTCGACTTCCCTCTCCCGGTTCGATGACTTCTCTGTCACAGAGCAAAATCGGGAAGCCTAATTTCGGTGTCAGCGGACGGAGGAGCTCGGGCGGAGCGGACTCGGATCTTGAACTCATACTGGGAGATCTAGACAAGACACTAGGAGCTTCGACAACCCGGCGACGTTAATGTGGGGCGTGGATGGATGGTTTGACGGATGGATTCATGGGTCGAAGCCCCTCTATGGTTCAGGTGATTTTCTCAGTATTTTTTCTTCTTTTTTTTTTTTCTTTTTACCGATTATTTGTGTGTGTGTTTACTTTCTTTTATTTATCGTTCTGAGACGATGACACCCCACTATGCGCCTTTTGAGGCCAACACGCAACGGGCTCCCAAGGAGCCTGACTAACAACAACAAAGACAACACTCGTTCTCAGCTCCGGCCTCTTAATGGTTAATATCCCCCCGCTTTTTACTGTTTCATAGCGGTTTCTCTCCGCATGGATTATGCCCTCCTTACCTCGGTGTCAGACCGTAACAGTACGACGACTGGCTTTCAGATCACGATAGAACGACACGGGCGCCGCATTCCTCCCGCGAGCCCACGCATCCCCACTACCTACCTACCTACCTACCTACTTCTTCACCCGATGGTCTGTACCATCTCCCCCTCTGCACGATCGACCCCATAGGCGTAACATATGCTTCTCCCTTTCCCGCCTCCTCGACCTCTGAGCCTGTTTGTTCTTTTATTCCATCCATCCCCTCCCCTCCCCTAATATCCCGCGCTTTATTTTTCCCACCTCCGCCCCCGCCCCCGTCCTGCGACTTGTCGGGTTCTGTGGCCCTTGTTCAGCCATATACCACTTGTGATTCTTTATTCCCTAGCCTAGCCGTACGCTACTGTTCTGATTTTTTTTCACTCGAGTACGGAGTGCAAATGTATGCTTTTATATAAACCCCATGGGCGGCGTGTGCTGGATGCGGCGCGTATGAGGTGAAAGCGCCCGATGTATGTCATCGTACGTGCAGGCTGTCTAGCCTGGCTGTCCGACTAGGAATTTTGGGACCGACACAGGCGTCTCGCCCATCAAGGACTGAGCGCATATATACGGTTTATTAAGCACGTTGGAGTTCAGCGCAAGGGAATGAGCTCTGTATGGGACTCATCAACATCGTACGCAGAGACTGAAGCGGCCTACAACCGTAACGTGCGATCCTCTCGATTCGTACATCCTTGAAGGTCCACACCGCGTTGCAGCGCATTTCGTCGTCAGAGCGCCTCTAGAAGCTGCCCGAAACTGCTCGTGCCGCACTGAATAGCGGTGTCGTCGACGTCGACGCTGCGTGGCTGGATCTACGTGGCTAAATCGAAGATCGAAGAAAGTATTTGTCGGTGGCCCTTGATGGAGCCCGAGAAGCGCAGATCGACGAAGGCCGAACCGACGCAGGTGACAGGACGGATCGCCTCCAGAAGAGATGCGCTCCTTGAATTGCCAGCACCGCGTCATCCGAGAACAGGGTCGGGGCCTTCGGCGGTACCTTCAACGTTGCCGAACAATGCCCAACGATCCTCTATCATGAGGATTCGATGCGGCAACGACGGCCGTGCTTACGCATGGCCTCGCAGGCACACGAGGGGTGAGGCAGAGCGACGGGGTCTGCCTGAATTGACCAAGCGTTGAAAGTGAGTAAAATAGCTGCCAATGTTATAGAAATCGTCCCAAAAACCCGTCTGGGGAAGGGGTCAAGTCGGATGCATAGCCACGAGCTCACAATGCGATCCCGAAGCTGAGAAAGTCCAAGGATCCATGACATTTCGAAAGTGTAACGGAGCGAAGGCATGGCCGAGCAAACAGGCCCTCGAAAAAAATGCGCACTAGGTAGAACTTGTTCCGCGGAGTGGGCATAAACGACGATCGGTACGGACTCCAGCAGAGGCGCCGAGATCGTGAACACCTCTACGAGAGGCGAGATGTCACGATCGTGCTGCAGGAGAAACGGATGGAATGTCCCGTCGACCGAACGCGATGAGGTAACTAGATCGAGTGGTGCACATGTGAGCAGTAGAGATGTTTTCTTCGCGTGTTTGATGGTGCCCGAACCAAGAGTGAGTGGATGTCAGGATGGAGGATCGAAAGCCACACCCGTCAGTGAGTGGATACATGCGTGAGCTTGACCCATCCCAGATCCACCCCGCCCGTTTATCTGGTAGGTCTGGAGCCCCGCCGGTCCGCTGGAGAAATTATATATGCACCTGTTGTCGTCTGCGGCCATGTCGTTATACGCCTGTTATTTTGGAGACAGTGTCGAGTTCCCAGAGACGGACCCTGCCAGGTCAGCACGAGTGATTTCATGGAAGTTCGTGTAATATGCTCGAGAGTCGATCGAGGTGACTAGGAGAGGCTCTCGGGTTTTGCCGGTGGCGCGCGCTGCGACTGCTTGAACCTGCACCGACGCCATCTTCCATCCCCCATGGCGTCCGCTCAACCCCCCACACCCACACCCTCAACAACAACAACCACCAGGCGCTCGCCCTCCCCGCCCCCCGCACGCTCGCTGCACCGCCAAGTCATCCTCGACGAGGACGACTACACCGCCGCCCTCTCGCACATCATCGCCCGCGACTTCTTCCCCTCGCTCGTCCACCTCGACGCCACCCACTCCTACCTCGACGCACTCCGCACGAACGACCACGAACTCATCGGCGCCTCCGTCCGCCGCCTTGAGGCCCTCGCGACCCCCACGCCCGCCCACGCCCACGCCCACGCCCGCGCGCGCCCGTGGCAGACCCCGTCCGAGACGCCGTTCGGCGCCGCCGCGGGGCCCGCGGATACGCCCCTCCCCGGTGGGCGCACCCCATCGGCGTCGACGCCTCGGGGTGAGGGACCGAGCGCGGCGAAGCGCGCGCGGTACGACGGCGCGCTGTCGCTGGACGCCTTCCAGGCGCGGTACACGTCCGAGGACAACGCGAGCTTCACGCACCTGCTCGACGACGAAAACCGGCGGCGGAAGGAGCGCAACGCGTGGGCATGGGATGCGCAGCGGCGCGTGGAGGGCGTGCGGAGCAAGATGGTTGAGGGGCGGGAGCGGATGCTGCTTGAGCTGCCGGAGGGCGCGCGCGTGGGCGTGCGGGAGCGGATTAGGATCGAGGCGCCGGAGCCTAGGGGGTTGATCGCCGCTGCGCCGGAGGGCGGGGACGAAGAAGCGGGCGGTGACGGAGAGGGGAAGGGCACGGTGGTGTTGAAGGGAAAGGAGAAGGCGGCGGAGGTGGAGACGGAGGTGGTCGATGTGATGGCGCCGAAGAAGGACACTCGGCCTGCCGCCGTCGACGGCTGGAGCTTCAAGGCGCGCAACGCGCTGATGTTCCCACCCGACGCCGACGTCTTGCCGTACGACCCCTCGACCGCCGTCTCGAAGCCCAGCACGGAACCCGATCCGCGGGTGATCAAGCACTCGAACACACGTCTGCCCACACAGGAAGACTCGTCGTTCGCAGGGCTGCCTGTGCCCCCGAGCCCCACTCGCAGCCGCATCGACGCCGCCATCGCCGGCACGCCATGTACGCCGCTCTCTAGCTACCGCAGGCTCAGACTCATTGACTTATGCGCGTCGCGCGTCGCTATCTACACTTGCTAGACCGTCCGAGATCGCCTGGGATCAACAACTTTTCATACGTGCCCGCCTTGCCTTCGCCGACGCCCTCCGAGCTCGGCCCAGACGCCGTGAAGCAGCTCATGACCATGGGCACGCTGATGGGCACGCCGCGCATCCTCTCGCAGAGCGACGACCCCGCGGACACGTCCCTGCCACCGCCAAACACGCCGTTCCACATCCGCGCGCCGACCTCGCGCGAGGCGCTCTCGCACAGGCTCTCCTCGGCCGCGTCGCGGTCGCTCCGCACCAAGGCGAACCTCATGGGCTCTGCGCGTGCACGGGCGCCGGAGGCGGCGCTGGGAAGCGGGAAGAAGGGCGACATGGGGCCGCCCTCGTGGACGCCGAGGCGCGCGGATGCGGCAGGCGCGCTGACGCCTGCGGCGAAGAGGCTGCTGGACCGGTCGACGCTTGGGACGGCCGCGGCGAGGCGGGCAGAGGTGATGGGGCGGAGAGCAGGGTGGGAGGGCACCGCGGCGAAAGAGAAAGATCTGAACCGGGTGCGGTGGACGCCGACACCCAGTCCGGTGACGAGGCGAGGGTAGGGACCGTGGAGTCCGTGGGGGCGTCCTATCATTAGCAGTAGGAGTATCAGTCGTGGATGGCGTCTTGCTGTTTCGTCCAGATTGCGATGTGTTGCATCATCATCTGATAGGGCAAGGGATAGATACATACATGATGAGAGAAAACAGAGAGGGAATGAGCTGATCGGTATCATGAGTCGGACTCTGGTCTGGATACCCTCCTCCGCTTTGCGTCTGGGGGCTCCTCGCTGCTCTCTCGTGCCTGCCCCTTGCTGGGGGGAGGGGCTGCAGGGTTCGGCGGGGCGTTGCTCCGTTTGGGGTCGGTGGCGCCCTGTGCTGATGCCGCTGGCGCTGTGGCCGGGGCTGGTTTTGGCTTTTTCTTGACGAGGACGCCCTTGAGGGACCGCTTGTTGTCTTTTTTGGCGGGCGCCGCGGAGGACGGGCGCGATCCGTTCGGGGGATTCAGCGGGGGGGTCGCTTGCGGCGTTGCGGCGGGGGGCGATTTGACGACGACGCGCGAGGCGATGGCCCTGGAGGGGTGGTGATGAGACGGGGACGCGGACGGGTGGCGTGAGGGCGTGTGCGTGCGGGGGAGCGGGGGACTCACTCCCTGAAGCCCTTGAGTTCCTCGCCGTCGCGTTCCTTGCGGAGACGCTCCTCTTCCTCCTGCTTCTCGCGGACGGAGTCGAGGAACATGATCTCGTCCTCCTCGAGGGCGCGGAACTGGTTTGCGAGCTTTGTTTTTTCCTCCCATTCTTCTTGCTTGGCAGCCTGTGGAGGGGGCAGGCGCGTGAGCCCGGCCGGGTAACGGTAACGCGGGGGCACGGCGGCGGCGCCAAGGGAGATCGCGCTCCGTGCGGCACGGGGGAGGGAAGGTTGCTTACTTTGTTAGCTGCCAGTTTCTGTTAGGAGGGGGCGGAGGGACCCGTTGCGCAGGCGTGTTGGGGGGCCCGTCAGTGTCTGAATGGTAGCGGGGGCGGGGGCAGGGTAGAAGGGTGGACACACCTCTGCCAGGCTGCGGCCGTCGTAGGCGTCCTCCTGGGGCTGTGGGGGCGGCTCCTGGCCCAATCTGTGCGGGGCGGTGAGGCGGGGGCGGCAGACTGGGGCCGTGACTGGTGCATACCTGGCGTAGGCGGCCTTCCATTGCTCGTCGCGGCGGGCCTTTGCAGAGTCGATGTCTGACTGGGAGACGAAGCGGGAGCCGACGACGCCGGAGGAGATGGAGGGGATGTGGTTGTCGTCCGCCATGGGGCTCATGGCGGCGGCTGCTGCACGGCGCACGCGCCCACACGGACCGGGACGGGCGGAGGGGGCCGGCCGCGCGGATAACCGATGGCAATAATACGCAGGTGGACCGTCGACGACTCTGCCCGCCCGCACTGGAGACCGATGGGCGAGGACCGCACCCCGTCCACCGCCTCGTTCGCAGCCAGCTCAAAGTCCCTCAGCGTCCGCAGCAAGCTCCCGCCCACCCCGCCCATCAAGTCCGTCGTCACTTCTCCCCGTGCGTACAACTTCTCCTCCTCCTCCTTCCCCTCCTCCTCCTCCTCCTATCGCCGCAGCTCTCGTCCTGATCCTCCCTGCCCCAGCCTGGGCAAAAGACGAGCCCCCTTCCCCCACCGACGCTGAATTCCTACGCCCGCCCTCGCCCGGCGGCCCCCACCCTCCCTCCGAAGCCCGGCGCTCCGACGTCCACTCCCTCCACTCCTCTGCCGCACCCAGCGACGAGCACCAGCGATGGTGGGCCTTCACCCGCCACATCCCCCAGCCCTCGTCCTCCTTCTCCACCATCGGCCCCGCCTCCTCCGCCCTGCCCGAAAAGAAGACCTCCACCTCCCTTCGAGCCATGTCCACATGGATGTCCTCCGCCGCCGCCCACCCCCACGCGGACGACGCCTCCTCGTCCTCCACAGAGCGGCCCCCAGGGCCCTCCGCCCGCAGGGAGTGGGGTCTGCACCTCGCGATGCCCACCCCGCCCACCGCCCCCTTCACCCTCGCCCAGAGTCGCACCCCGGGCTGGGACTCTCCTTGGGCTCCCCGCCCGCCCGAAGGCCCCGAGCGTGGCCTGTACGAGCAGCTCGACAAGCTCCACGTCGAGGGCGCAGACGATCACATCCACGCCCACGCCCACGCCCATGCGCACGCGCACGCCCATGACCAAGACACCCGGACACTCAGCCCCTGGGCCCGGCGCAGGAAGCGGGCGCGAGCATATCTGCTGAGCAATACATACGTCCCTCTGGTAGGCCCCTTGCCAAATCCGTCGCACCCACCCGCTCACATTCCCACCGCGCAGCTTTTCCGTTTCGTCAACATCACATTCACCACAGCCGCCCTCGCGGTGGCCATCCGCATCCGGCTGCTCGAAAGGACGCACGCTGTCGTCGGCGCGCTCGGCAGCTCTCCGTGAGTGCATGACACCCACCGCGCCCGCATGCGTGCCCTCGCGCTCATCACTCGACGTGAACAGGACATTGATTCTGATTTTCGCGCCGTTGACGCTGGTGCACGTCATGGTTGCCATCTACGTGCGTGCTTCTCGGCTTGACCCCCCGCACTCGCGCGGAACAGCGATCGGGCTGATGCCGATGGCCTTCCCGCGCGCGTTCTTCCGACGCCCGCGTCATACAGCTCGAGTACTTCGGCAGGCCGCTCGGCCTCTGGCGCACGTCGGGCAAGCTCGCGCACACGCTGCTCGAGGTGCTCTTCATCTGCGCCTGGTCGGCCGCGCTCTCGCTCTGCTTCGACAACTTCTTCACCTCGATCGTGCCCTGCGCGTCGCACAACTCGATCGCGTGGTACAGCAGCATCCCGCGCCCGACGAGCCCGTTCGGCGACCTCGGCCGGCACGAGGGCGGCGTCGGCGACGCGCTGTGCGACGACCAGCTCGCGCTCATCTGCCTCGTCGGCATCGGGCTGCTGATGTACTGCTTCAACCTGATCATCAGCCTCTATCGCATCTTCGAGAAGGTCAAGTACCAATCCACGATGGTGTAATGACCCCTCTGCCCCTCTATCTCCCTCCCTTCCGGCTTCCCGATCCGTTCACACCTCTCGTTTATCCACCCTATTCTGCACTTCGTGTCACTCGTTTCGGATTTGTTTCTCCTGCCCTTCGTGTTCGATTTCTTTTCGGACAAGGATACGTACGTTCGTTCGCGCTCTCGCTCGCCGATAAGTTAGACCGAGGTAGTATCTATCCTGTATCATCTACGCGCACACACATCGATACCACCACAGAAATCCATGTACAACTGCCTCCTGAGAGGGCTGATTGACCAGCGCAGCCTGGTGCTTATCGTCGCGAGGACGGGGTTACGTGGATGCGTCGGATTGCCTTTGCGGCGTGCGAGGACGAGGATGAAAGGGAGAGTGCAGCGAGGCAGAGGCGGCTGGATAAGGCATGCGATTGCGCCATCAGGCTCGTATCGCCCCGCGAGCGGCGAGGGCGAGTCAGTCCGCCACGGGCGACAATGGATTGCTGCATGCGACCCGCCCTCTGATATATGTCCTGTCGTCCCCCGCGGACGCTCGCCCCATCTCCCCTCCAGCTCCAGATGGACGCCCTCCCCATCCCGTCCCTCTCCCTCTCCCGCTCCCACTCTCGCGCAAAGTCCCCAGCGCTGCACCCGCTCGACAAGCGCCAGTACGCGCTCGGCATCGGCCTCCTGCTCCTCGTCGTCGTCCTCTGGACCAGCGCGAATTTCGTCACACAGGTGCGTCCGTGCGTGCGCGGCCGGACGAGCCTGCGCGACCTGACGTTCCGCATCAGGACCTGTTCGTCGGCGGATACGAAAAGCCCTTCCTGTGCGTCTTTGCTTCCCCCTCGGCGGGACACTTCCATTGGGGCGGCGGGCTGATTCGCGCGCAGCATCACGTACCTCAACACGAGCTCGTTCTCGCTCTACCTCGTGCCGTTTCTCGTGCGGAGGCTATGGCGCCGCGACCGCGCCGGACTCGACAAGGTCCCCGTCAGTGGGTGCGTGTGAAGCCCGCGTGCATTCGTTCGTAGCCCGGCTCGGCGGCCGCTGACGGCGCCAGACGACTCCAGGTCTCGCGACGAGCAACAACCGCTCGTGGAGGACGCGGCGGTGGACGAACGGCGACCCGATGTAACGACCCCCTCTCTCTCTCTCTTGATCACCGCGCACGCCCCACTCAGCCCGTTTGTAACTTAGCCCCCGCGGACCGTGTACGTCCCCGTCGAGATCGAGGAGCCCCCGTCGGCGGCGCTCCCGCCGCTGACCGTGCGCGAGACGATCCACCTCTCCTCCATCTTCTGCTTCTTCTGGTTCGTCGCGAACTGGTCGGGCAACGCCGCGCTGGGCTTCACGAGCGTCGCCAGCGCGACGATCCTGTCTAGCATGAGCGGTGCGTGTGTCCCCCCTGCGCCGTGTTTCGCGAAGAGGCCGTAAGGTGCTGAGTTCGCCGCCTCCGCGTGTGGCATGCGGGTACAGGCTTCTTCACGCTCGGCGTTGGACGCCTTTTTGGCGTCGAGACGCTGACGTTGGCCAAGATCGGCGCGGTCGTGACGAGGTACGTACGCGTCCGCTGCGCCCTCCCTATCCCCATCCCCATCCCCGTCCGCCTCCGTCCCTCCACCGTGGCCGCGTGCCAGCCCCACCACGATCCCGATTGATTCCGCTTCAGCTTCGGCGGCGTCCTCCTCGTGTCCCTCTCCGACTCGCACCAGTCCCAGCCCGCGACCGCGCTGCCGACCGCGTTCGACGCCCCGCCCGCGAGCACGCCGCACGCGGGGCAGCGCCTGCTCGGCGACAGCCTCGCGCTCCTCTCCGCGTTCTTCTACGCGCTGTACGTCACCCTGCTCAAGGTCCGCATCCGCTCCGAGGCGCGCATCGACATGCAGCTGTTCTTCGGCTTCGTCGGGCTCTTCAACGTCCTCGCGTGCTGGCCCATCGGCGTGCTCCTGCACCTCACCGGCGTCGAGCGGTTCGCGCTCCCGAGCTCGCGCCGCGCCGTCGTCGCTCTCCTGATCAACGTGCGTGGCCGTCATGCATCACCTTCGTTCTACAGTTTACACGAATACATCTGTGCCCAGATGGCGATCACGCTCTCGAGCGACTACATCTACGTCCTCGCGATGCTCAAGACGACCCCGCTCGTCGTGACGATCGGCCTGAGTCTGACGATGCCCCTCGCCGTCGTCGGCGACGTCCTGCTCGGCAATACGGTGCACCTGCAAGTCGTCGTCGGCGCGCTCCTGCTCCTCGCGAGCTTCGTCGTCGTGGGCGTCGAAGACTCCAAGGAGCCGCCGCCCGCCCGCGCGCTCGCGGACGTGGAGGCGCGCGCGCGGGGCCGGCGGTACTCCCGAGTGCGGGGGGAGGAGGAGGAAGCGGAGGCAGAGGCGGACGATATCGCGCGTGCCGATCGCGCTGGCGGCACGTGAGCGCGTATGGAGACCCGGGCATCGTGCGTGGGGTGCACGCGGTCGCGCGTCCGGTGCGTGTCTTCTCCGTCCCCTTCCGTCTCGCCGTGCAAGGGTCGCGTCGTCCGTGCTTACCTTTTGGGCAAGAGCGGACAGGACACAGAGGTCTTCTCGCCGTGCCCGGGCGCGCGCTGGGTGGCCTGCTTACGCCGCTGCGCGTTACGGCTGCGTGGGGCCTGGAGGATACCCGTATAGAGCTTTCTCGGTGGGGGTGTACGATAGGATCAGACAGATGCAATAACGACGGGTCCCCGGACGGCCTTTTTCCACAACGGCCTGGCTTCTCCCTGCGGGTCGTGCATGCGCTGCAGGGTCTTGCTCCGAAAGCGATCTAGTCTGTTGTTGTCAGATAAGGGGGGGTGCCTTCGCGAGCGCTCTCGGTGGAAATGTTCGGAATCCGTCTGGGCGTTCTCATATCCTATCGCGCAGGGTACGTATGTCCATGTCGTTGGAATGTCCGACATGGGACCATCAATGGGCTCGAAAGAAGAAACATGTTCCTGTCGCCCAGCAAGCGCGGTCTCATTATTGCGACAGGACGCGTGCTTGAGCACGCGTCGACATGGCTCGGACGTTCGACAGATCCTTCGGCGGTGGATTCTCGTCGCTGAGCGTCGCGGACGGAATATAGTTGACGACGCGCGCTGTTCCGCCGCTAACGTTAACGGCGTTCAGAGCTCCTGCGTGTCCCCAACGGTGTCGTGTTCTGGCGGTATTGATGCCGCGTCCGATCGACGCATGACGGCACGACGGTGGCTATGGAATACCTCGGGGCAAGGCGCGGTATCTCTCCTGCCGTCAGGTTTGATGTCCTTGCAGGAACGAATGAATGAATGAAGCTAAGTCAAGAGCGGCAGGCCCGCTCGTGCTGAGCAATGGACGGCTCCGCGTGCGAAGTGATGCCTGCACTGCGAGTGGGGCTTTTAGTGTTTACGCGTTCGGTGTAGGCCGCGTGTCGTAATTTATCACGACAGGGAATTAGCTTCGCTTGTGCCGCTGCGGTTGAGGCACCGGTGTGCGGCATGCGCGCACGACGAGAGACAGCGACGGGGGATGGATGCCGTGCTGGAGACGTGGTGGGGCGGGTGTCGCCGGGGCGTGCGCGTCGCATCACGTGCTGGGAACCCGGCCCCCGATTTTGTATTATCACTGCAATTAACGGAGTGTTCCCAGGCGCGATCTCTGCAGCGACGGCGAGCTCCCAGCGCGAGCACCGCAACTTGAAACCATGGTGAGTGCGCTGCGGTCGCCGCCGGTCCCCGTCAGCGTTGTTGCGCATCGCTCATCGCCCGACGTCGTGGAAAAGTAGCCAAAGGAACGCCGCCAGCGCCTGCTCGGGCACCCGACATCTGCCAAGGCTCCCACCCATCTTGCCATCCAGGACACGGATCTCCACACGGAGGAGCCCATCGACGCGCGTGCAGGGCCACCGGTGCGTGTCCATCAAACGCATGTCCACCCAAATCTGCATCGCCCTGATTGGCATGTCCCACCGTCTTTTGGGCTTCCTGGAGCAGGGACACGATGGATCGGCACCACCGCCATTAACACCAATGCCGCACGCGCCCCGGAGCGGGCTCAAAAAAAAGGAAAAGCAGGGGCTCAAGCGCGAGCTCTTTCTCCAACGTGCGCAGCCGTGCTATTTTATTCTCCCGCCGGGGGGACACCTCTCCCAATATCGCCCATTCCCCGCATTCGCATTCGCATGCGCATGCGCATTCCCCGCCGACGTCTTTGCCCTCTCTAACCCCATCTGACGAACAATTCCCCGCTCCACACAGGGTTAGAGGCGTCCCGCTCTCCATACTCCAAATCGCACAACAGACGGCTCAAGCGCCTCGAGCGGGAGCAGATCGCGGGCGGGCTCGATGGCCTCAGGAGCGCGCTAGCGGCCGTCGAACAAGACGTCGCCCGTGCGGATCCCCGAGCACAAGCGCCTGTCGCCCCGGGTGCGAAAAATACGGATGCCGAGCCCGACCGCCCCCAGCCGCGCGCCCGCCCAGGGCAGATCGGCGAGGGCAAGGGCGCCCCGCTCAAACGCACCCAGCGAAAACGAGCCCTGTGCGTCCCCTGCCCCCTTCTCGGTCGTCGTCGATCCTCACGGGGTTGAGGCGCCGCCCGCATCACGCTCGCTGACCGCTGACCGACGACGGATGGGGTCCGCTTCGCCCCCCATCTTGCAGGCAAGCCGAGCGACTCCGCCAGCCCCTGATCCTGTCGAATCCCGACTTTGCGGCCAACCCGTTTGAGACCATCCGCACGCACGCTCGTAATACGCTCGTGCAACGCCCTTTGGAATGACCTGCACCACGCGCATGTGCTTCTGCCAACAAAGGCAGCAAACATTCCAACCCGTATGGGTCCATTACCATCTGTGAATGCTTCAATAATTAGTCGTGATTCGGTCAGTCTGGGCAGGCCGTTATAGGGCATAGAATCCGATTCTATAGATCATGTAACTTAATCGTGGATCCCTGAACGTGTACACGCATTCATTGGGCATTGAGGGTATAAACCTAGGTATGAGATGCAATGGGGAATATTGGATGGCCAGGACACGGTAGGAAATGGCATAGTCAATAATATCGGAGAAAATGCGCAATGCATGGAAGTGGAAGTCAACCTCCTCCCGGAAAGTCGTAGGCTGGGGAACTATTGAGTCTGAGAAGCCTTTCCGTCCGAATAATGAAAGGATGAGATGACGGGTACACCGCCAACGGTCGCGCAAATCTAAGAAGCCGGTTGAAGAACACTGGATTATCCATGAAGGTGTGAAAAAAAAAAGTTTGCTTCAACACGTGTGCCATCCTTCATTCATCGCCCTCTTCCTCGTGACGACTCATCCCTGCGCTCCATACGGTGCTCCCACTGCCGCTGCCACCTCCGCTTGTCCGACTTCGCCTGCTGCCGGATTTCACGCGTGGGGCAATCTCGGTAAAGCCGCCGTTGTACCCCTTGGCCATGTCTGCACTCAGTGCGCGCTCCTGGGCATCGAGCGCGGCAAGCGAATTCTCTGCTTCGGCCTGCACAAGCGCCTCCTGCGTCAACGTGATAGGGCTGCCATTCAGACCGGAGGGCGATGATCCACCAGAGGGGATGTCTGTGGCAGATTGCCTGCGGAAAAACGAGAAACGAGACGCAGCGAGGGAATTCGTTGGGCTGGTCTGATTTGAAGACGAAACGAACGGTTGGGACGGATTCTCGGGGGTAGAATAACTCTTCTGCATTGGTGGGGCTATCGGCTTCTCGATACCCATGAGCTTCATCGTTGCATGTAACCGCTCCCGCTCCCGACGGTCTTCTTCGTCCTCGGTGGTTTCCAGTTTACGAGCTCCTATGATCGTCGGCTTCGATCCGGACTGCAACGTGAGAGGGCGGAGGTTTGCGGTTGCGTCTGCCTTCTTGTCATTACCACCGCCGAACATCGAGAAGCCACGCCAGTCGAAGGAAAGAGACCGGCGATTCCGGGTGGTGGGTTTGGCCGCAGCATTGGCGCTGAGAGGAGGAGAATCGAACGTGGTCAGTCGCTCGACCGGAGCGGGAGCAGGAGGCGGATTCGAGGCGGAACGGGAGAACATGGAAGCCCGCCGCTGAGGTTTTGTAGTAGTGGTAGGCGTCTTGGAATCCATGGAAGGGGTCGTCGGTGACTTCTCGTAGTCGACCGCAAGCACATGCTCGAAACCCTCTTGAGCGATGATCCGGTCAATGATCTTGGAAGCATACAGGGACAGAGCCTTGTTCGCATCTTTGAGGGACTTGACCTCATTCCGGAGAGCATCAATATCGTTGAGCGAGCCGCTTGGTTCCAGCCCACCAGCATCTGAAGAGTGTGAGACCTTCCGCGGCGACTCCAGGGCGTTCTTCTTGCTTCGTTTGCTGGCCTTGGTGACAGAACGGTCGCGGTCGTCGATGGTGCGCCCTTCGAGAATATCCTTGTTCTCTGCTCTTCCAAGCTCAGCTGCGAGGTCAAGACCAGGGCCGGTGATAGGCAAATCGGCCAAAGATTCGCCGCGGGATGCACCAGGGGAAAGCGAGAGAGAGACGCCACGACGACGGCCATGACGGCCATGACGGGGGCTTGCCAAGGGCTCGCCATCCTCGTCAACTTCCTTACCATCATCGGCTTGATCAAATTCGGGATCTAACACGTCCTCGGCGCGTTCGTCGACTGTGTCCAAGGCACTACGAGCGGAAGTCTTCGTGCTGCCAGTGTCCCCAGTGGTGTCCGTCTCGGCATCACCATCGTCATCTCCGTCCTCACTAGGGCTGTCACTACCGCCTCCAACTTGCCTCATAAGATTAAAGTGGCCACTGAGGGTTCTCTCGCGAAGTAATATGTTGTAGCTCTCGTTCTCCTCCTGGAGTTCGTTATTAACGCGTTTCAGATCGATGAGTTGGGTCTGCAACAAGACAACGGTATTCTGAAGCGAATTGTGAGAGGTGGAAAGTGTCGACAGCTCCAGTCGAAGGGCGGTCATCTCAGCAGGATCCGAATCCTCAGCGAGGCTCCGAGTTTGCTGTGAGGGCGTGGAAGGCTGATCGGCGTCGTTGTTGTCCTCTTCATCCCATTCGGCCTCAGACTCGGAATCAGCCACCGTCGAGGGCGACCGTGGAGCAGGGGGGAGTTTGCGTGCTTGAGACAACGATTGTATTCGAGATTTAAGATGTTGCTCATTGTCATAGAACGACTGGCGCTCTGCTTCGAAGGTAGAAGTCTGAAAGGGAGATGTTACCCAACTTCCCAACCTAGTCCATGATCACCTACCTGTTCGTTATATCTGCGGTGTATATCCCTCTTCTCCTTCTCTAGATCGCGAACTTGAAGCCGAAGCTTCTCTACGACTTCTATGCGTGCGGATAGCTCATCTTCCATTCTACTCTGCTCGGAGTAAAGCTCGGCGAGCCTTGTTTCGGCTGCATTGAGTGCGGAAGCGATACCGCTGTTCTCTTGTTTAAGGGCAGTGAGGGCTTGATCTTTGTCCTGCAGTTGGACTAAAAGCTTTGCACATGAATCGCGGGTAAGATGAGCTATACAATTGGACGGTCTTTACAAACACACCTGCTCCTTGTGCTCGGTTTCGTTCTTGAGAGAAGCTGCGAGTGATTCGGGTGTCTGTCCATTGGAAACAGGTGGCGGGGGGTTTTTGATGGAATTGCGACGGGGCGAGGCTGCTAGAGATGACGATACACGCGGGGTCACGGCCGAGCGTGCAGTGGCACCTCTAGCAATTGGCGGAGGGGAGGGGATAGAGGTAGATGATCGTCTCGAGGTCGAAGGCGTAACCCGGGCTGTTGCCATGGTCGGTCATAAACAATGGTCGTCGCGTCAACGTAAATGTCTTGTCAGTGTTGTGATCGGGTGCGCCCAGGGGCGGGAGTAAAATGAAGGAGAAAATGAAGAAAATGGGCAGAAAAAGTGGGAGGAGAAGGCGGGAGAGAGATGGTAGTGCCGTAGGGAGCGCTCATAGCGAGCACTGTCCGTGTCGCTATGCGCCCTCTGCTTACGACATCGCCACGCGCCGTCCCATGATTGACTCTGTCCACCGTTCCTTCTTTGCTCCCTTCCGCCTGCTCGCTGCGCCATCCCCAATATCATGCTGGACGACATCTTCTCAGAGTCTCTGGATCAGGTAAGGCTCTGCAGCGCTACCGTAGCCAAATACCACATGATCGATCGTCCTCACCTTCAAGCTTCTGACCTCAGTCCGATACGAAAGTCGGTCCCCATCTCTTATCCGTTTGTGATGGTAAATCGTTGATGTGTTCCTTCACAGCTGCCCCTCTAGGTCCAACCAGAATACCAGGGCTCGATGCTCGCTTCCCCTCCGCTGCCGAGGCTTCGTCTTCCTTGAGGCGTGGAGACGTTATCGAAATACAAGGCCCCGCATCATCTGGCAAGACACATCTCCTTTACGACCTCATTGGTACCTGTATCCTCCCCGGAGGCAATTCTACCAACGGCGGTGGCGGTTGGGACAAGGTCGCGATTCTCTTCGACTCTGACGGCTGCTTCGATATTCGTCGACTTGCCCAACTTCTGCGGGCCCGTCTCGGACTGCATCGCATGTCATCACACCCATCTCCTTCGACTGAATTGCCAGATGAGGGGACAGATACACTCACGAGAATCCTAAGAAAAGTGCACATTTTCCGCCCGTCGTCCTCACTCCAGCTTGCCGCAAGCATCGCGAACCTCTCTGCGTACCATGCTGCCCAACTTCCGACATGTGAGATCGGTCTGGTGGCTGTCGATTCGATGAGTGCGTTCTACTGGCAGGATCGGTTTCATGCCGAGGAAGCGCGTCTTCAGGCAGGCGCAAGAGGTCTCGACACACCTCTTTCCCACATCCTGAACGGCTTGCAGAAATTTCGCGTATCCCACGGCTCGGTCACAGTGCTCACGAACTGGGGCCTCAATCTTGCATCAAGTTCATCTCTCGACCCATCTACAAATTTCCATTTTTATAAGCAGCATCTTCATCACTACCCAACACTCCTCCATCTCAACATCAACACGGACGCATCGTCCGTCTCGGTTTCCCACGCTTCTACGCACCCTCACCTACCTATAACACACCATATCACGCTTAATCCTTGGCCTAATCAGCATGGAACGCGTCTCGCCGCCGATAGTACGGAACAACAGACAGATGACAGATGCATTCCGCTCACGGAGGGTTGTGATATAATTGGAGTTGTGAAAACTGCTGGTAGCGATGTCGTTGGGGCTTTTAACGTCAGAGTCAAACTTGACGAAATATTGATCGAAAATGGGAGACATGATCTACAACAGTATTCTTCTGAGCATCTTATTCACAGTTCACACAACTCATTACCGTCCTGATGCTTAATATTGAAGCGCAGCGCAACAATCATTCTCAATTCGAGTGATGCGGGCTTCTGGACCTCACCCCGGAGAAATAGGCTTTGAGCATATCTGATCCTCCAATCAAACGAACAGATATCGCAATCATGAAAGGACAGCTTCGTTACTGACATACGGCCGTGGAAACCCCTGTGATCTCCTGCATGAGGTCTCCGAGATCCAATATGATGCCTAGCACTGGTTGTATTACATACTTTAACTCTTTCCATTTTGCCAAGGCTACTGAGGGCTCCTGCCGACGCTGTCGGCGCTCCCCAACTACGCCCAGACGATTGGAAATGTGGCACGATGGTAACTTTAATCACTCAGCCGGCGTTGGACACGCCATATGAGGCTGTATGATATGCTCTACCGATGTCCACAGGGCAAATAACACATCTCCACCCTTACAGATCATAGTATTTCTAAAGCTCACGTAAGATCTGGACCGTCACCCGCAGCGATTTGCGCTCATCGCGGCAACTTCAGGACCACGTTGGTCGCTTCGATATTGAATGCTTGATGTCTAATAATCCTGACTCCTTGCTATGTACTAAATTGTAAGTGCGTGCTCTATGGGAAATTGCTGAAAGAGAAAAGTAAAAAAAAGTGATGTTCTACACTAGTCTACATCTACAGGGTCCATAAAGTCGACAAAATAAGGAAAACGATTATAAACAATCTATGGCAGTGCGTTGGTCTAAGACTCCTCCGGAAGAATAAAAAATATGAATAAGTGTTTTCACCACAAGCCCGAAAAATTAGAAAGCGACCCCGTGGATTCGGTCCAACAAACCCTTGTGAATCTCCTCGACCGCCTTTCGCCTGATATTTCCCTTCGTCGTTGTTCGAGGCAGTGACCCTCGCTCTACCACGACGATCATCGTCGCAGAAGTGATACGTTCGTGTAAATATCGCCGCGAGTGGAATTGACGGGTACGTCGAAGGATTTCCCGTTTCAATTTCGTGTGGTCGCCATCGGACGCTGGCTCGACGAATAGGACAGGCGACGGACGTCCATTGCCGACTACAATGCAGTCGGAGATGAGTTCGCTGCAGGTCAAGCGAACGTTATCCTCAATGGCTCTGCAAAACGCCGATGTCAGGTCATGTCTCATAAGGAGAAGTTACGAAATATAACCTACTTGGTGTCACAACGGAGACTGTTCTCGCTCTTGATCCAGTCATCGTCCCGTCCCCGGAAGACATAGGAATTCGGCTGGACCTCCAGGAACAGGTCACCAGTATGGAAGTGTCCGTCCGATGCACGGAGCGACGGGTGGGGACAATCCCCTGAGTCCGACAGGATAACGAGCTCTACCATCTGAGATGTCGTGCTTTTGTGACCTGCTTCTGACTGATTTGACGTAATGGGGAAGAAAGCGTAGGAGGTGGTGTCCAGAGCACAAAGGAGGGACGCTGTAGGGCCGGTACCTCCCACGGACAAGAGCATCGCACCGCACTCCGTGTTGCCAAACAAGTTCTAGATACGTTTGACCTTGTTGAGAGACATCGTGCTCGAAACGAGTGAGTAAGACTGACCTTGAGTTTGAGACCGTTGGCATATGCAAACTGCTCTTCGTCACGGGGTAATTGCAGGCCACTATAGAGAATCTCATCGAGGCTACGAAGGAGGGAAAGGAGTTTGGGGTTCTGTCGGGAGTTGCGGATCATCATAGCAAGAAAGGCGGCAAATTGATTGAGGCGATTGAGACCACATCTTGTAATCATTTGTGCAAGTTCATCCGGGGAGAAGTTGATTTTTGTCGGCTGGATGGTGCATGCCCCGTGTTGCATCGAGCCAAGAAACACTGTGATCAGACTCCTATCAGCAAATGCCTCACAACATCATGCAGTCAAAAGGGCGTACTGAATGATTGTCCTATGTGACTCATGCTTCCCCTACAAATCACCTGATGTTAGCCTTTTGCACAAAGGAACGGCGAGACAGAACTTACATCCAAACCGTGACATCCCTAGAACCATCGACCTTTGGCTTGCCAACGATACGCGATTTGAGGATGGCAGCGTTCACCCACTTGCGGGTGCAAGGAACAAGCTTAGGACTATTCGATGTCGACCCGCTAGTGTGGAAAACAAAGAGGACGTCGTCTGGATCTATCACGGTAGAAAGAACAGGTAGTGGCTCGTCCTGTGTGTCGGTTTCGTCAATGTTGACGGCAGGATAAGTGGGCAGAGGACAATCTTCGACTGCCGACTTGAATGATGAGTCGAATATAAGTCCCTTCGAGTTTGCTTTCTCGAGAAGCTCATAGATGATCACAGGGTTGGGAAGTCGGATACTGAACAGCTGTGGTACAAATCCAGCCCTAGAAAGGCCGTAGATTTGAAGAACGTCTGTGTAAGTCAAGCCTCCGATCCTACACTCCATTAGCTATCTAAATACAACAACACCGTATCCAAGGGCGGACATACCACATGCCAATCACGGAGCGTTGAGGAATGCTGTTGCGCTTCAATACTCGGGCCCAATGTCTAGCATAGAGCTCGACATCGCGTTCAAACTGAGCATAAGTAACTGGCTCCCAATCCTGAGGTTCGCCAGATTGGAGATCGGATCGGGGAACGCGGAAGGCAGGTAAAGAAGCATAGAGAGATGCGCTGGCGCTCAAGACGGATAGGTGAGACTGAAGCGTCTGTGCCATTATTGATTAGCTGGGTGGCGAGATGAGTGCAGTGATTGAGGGTATCAGCGAACCTTTATACGATTTCACGGAGGTAAGAGCTGTACGGCCTATGTGAATATATTAAAATGGTCGGGACGAGCATGCGCTGAAACTCTGTAACGATACTCCGTCGCCAGGGCAGATCGGAGAACGATCCCATTATGTTTGGAAGTCAGATCGCCTCCAAGTCCTGGGAAGAGTCACATCTTAGAGCACCAATGGGCAGCATCATGGCTCGGCGCTCGAAAGATTGACTTACTGGGATCCAATTGCTCTACTGCCGGACCACAGCAACCGACGACCCATTGGAGTAAGACCGATACGGTTGATTCTGATGGCTGTTTGGAGATTGACAAATGAACGATTCACACAGTGGGTAGGCGCACAGGCGGTTGTTGTGGATAATTTAGCAGGTGTCATCCTGAGGCATGTAAAGTCAAATTGATATCAGTTTTGATGAGAGTAGCTATTTTGATTTTCTGCATCCAGTTCTGCAGGTTTACCATGATGGATGACACTTACAGCTCACCGCCATCCTACGGGTGGTTCAAAGCCCTTTCGAGATGCGGTAAGGACGGTGCTAGGAAAGCAGAGAAAGTTCAATTCCAGTTGAAGCAGTTGACGCGCTACTGAGTCACGTGTCCGCCACTTTACCGCTCGGTAAGTTTTCTGACCAGCTTATGAACCCGGGGTTTCCCCTCCCAAGCCGGAGCGGCAGGGTTCCCTAGCAGGAATGAGAAAATTTTGGTCCCACTTTGAAGGCCGAAAATTACCGCCCTGAAGGCATTGCATGATATAATTCTTCACGCAGGCGAGACTTGATCTTTCTCCGTTGAACGGTTAGGAACCGACTCTCACCGTCATGGCATGGCGCTGCCGTGATCCCATATACCAACTCATAACGAGAATGGCGTGTGCTACTGATCCGGGATCATTGATGAAGATGCAGTCTTTTTCAGTTCTCCGAGCTTGTTTTCAATCAACAAGGCGCCTAGTCGGATTGATCAGTTCTCACAAGGAAGACTCTACATATGAAGGTTGATTGATGATTTAATCGTTACACAATTGGGTTACCAGCTGAGAGATACCACAAGGACTGTCCAGCTAGTTCCATATGTTACATCGAATAACTGCAATTTGAGATGCCTATTCTCAACATGTCCGGCCATGCCCGCCGACATATCATGGCGAGCATGTGTTCATGTGGAGGCGAAGTTGAACGTTGAAGGCTATCAGCACCCTACCGTGCGCCTGAACGAAGATACGACCGTCAAGTCCTTGACTAGTTAAAATGCAACATGGCGTGGCAGCGTCGAGATCGAAGAAATCATTGTACTGTAAAGTGAAAGGTTGAGACGCATGATGGATGAGTTATACACTCCGATGTAGTTTAGTGTCGATACATGTGAGCCATTGAAGACATACAAGCATGAAGTCCCAGATATATTGACGATTTATCATTGACGTGGCGTCAATTCGATCGCACTCTGGGAATGTAAAGTGTGTTGACAATGAAGACAAGCACGGAACTAATCGAAAAATGCAGACTGAGAGCAGCCCACGCACCTTACTATCTCTGATTTTGTACGAAGCCACAGGTATTTATTCTGTCAGATTAGTCGAATAGATCAGTAGAGACATGAGTGAAGTCTTCATAGTGCGATGAACAAATCTAGATCCCTACTGTATGAGAACACACACTTAAATTTACGTTTATTGCGGACACACAGTAAGACACTTGTGGACACAACTCACTTCGTCGATCACCGGCTCTATGTAACAACTTCCCGGGGCCGGAGGGGAGTTGCATGCCTAGCAGAATCAATGTATTCGATAAAGATTAGCTATGTAAAGCAACAAGCATCGAGTAGATATTGAGTGCTTCGATGCGATTCACGCGGCATAAAATAAGTCTGGAATGGGAACGATTGCTTATTGACAAATTATCAGGGAGACTCACCCTCATGACATGATCACCGCGGAGGACTTGGCTCAGGTCGAAGACTCCAAACAACTAGGTTTCGTAAGTCGTCCCTACGTCCGCTGGAGGACCATGTCAGATGGCGCGAGATATATCTTCCACAAAAAAAGATATCAGAGATCATTCGAGAATGCTCAACGATACTGAACCAATGCATCGAGATTTCACATGGAAAGACTACAAGTGTGTTTCTCAGTGAGGAATGGTCAACTATAGTTTGCATGATTTCCGTGCATTTTGATTCTACCCACAATACAGGACTGCAAGAAGATCTGAAACGCACCGGCCCAGGAACAACACCCGCTTGATCTCTGAGTGTCAGTGAGCCGCAGATTCTCAGGAGATGTCTAACAGAACTAGGACGAATTGTATGGAGCGGATGGCGAGTGCAATACAGTGCCAAAGAGGGGTGGTGAATGATATGGTACCTGATATGTATGTCAGGACCAGCTCACGGAAAGCATTCTCACCGGCTCTGACCTGTCCATGAGTTATTTGTGAAACTTGTGTGATGTCTACGGCCCCCTCATGGAGATCCCTCCTCGACCAAGACGGCACATATGGGATGGAGAGATCCAAGTGACGCTTTGATACAGATGGGCCAGGCGGTGATACAAAAACTCCAAGGGTGCCGAGGAAGACAGCATGCTCCGCAATGATGGAACAACTGTGCGAGTACAGGCCAGATGCGGCTGGAGTGAGAAAGCAGAGCCCGGTCTCGAGCTTGTAGAACTCACGTGATGAAAATCGTGTCCAAGCTCAAATTGAGGACCATTTGCGAGAACGCGTTATTTCCACAACATCGTCGCAGATAATATCCTGGTCCTGTGCGTTTGATTTCCACCATACTATGGCTGCCTCTGACCTCGCTCTGCCGTTTAGCCAGCGCGCGGTGTCCTGGCCCAAGCCTCGACGTCACCCTGGCTGTCCATGCTCTGGAGAGCCGGCTGTGGTTGCAGACACCATCTTTATCAGTTCATTCGCGGCCCTTTTCCGAAGTCCTCATGGGGTATTCAATCACTCCAGATCATCCCCTGCATCCGTCAGCCGACGATCTCAAGATGGATAAATGCTCTCTCTCCAGCCTTGTGCGAGCGACCTCGCGACAGGTGGAATGGGAACAGCGCGATGAACGCACCTCATGCCGTTCCAGAACATGGCGACACATATCAGACACTTTATTTACCAAGTATATCGGACCTCGATTCTGCCGAACCGAGACGTATCCCTATACCACCCGAGTTGCTGGAAGTGATCGACAGGACCGTGATTGGGGCCGACCGAGCAATGCTTCTTCATCAGCTGGAAGGATTACCACAGGCACTCGAGATTCTAGACGGGCTCTACGACAGCCGAATGGTTGGAGAACTGGCAAGGCATATGGTCGAAACCACATATCCTCAAAGAGCTCTTCGAGTACTTGTACTAGCATGCTGCCTGGGCTGCAATCTAGAACAACAAGTATTCGAAGACGTGGCTCAAACGCTTGCAAGAGCAAAATTGTGGAGTCTTGTATCTCGCCTTGCATCGCTGTCCAAGACTTTGACCAGTCACACCACTGCGCGTCTTCTGAACTGGCGTACTCGGAGTATCGTAGAGCTGTCCAAGTTTGCTCTCTTAGACGACGTTCTGAGAGGTTTCGACGAAGAGGGTCTCCGCCCAGATCGAAGAACGTTCCATACTCTCATCTCCGGCCACCTTCGCAACAAAAATCTTCCTGTGGCCATGGAGGTCCTCGACCAGATGCAGGACGCTGGGTTCGATATAGACGCTTCAACTCAGGCTGTGGTCGCCGGTGCATATCGAAACTTAGGCCCGGATATTATCATGCAATCTCAAGCTCTCAAGTCCCTGTCGAGTGCGAAAGGCCACACAGCCACCTTCATACTGAACGCTCTCATGCAGCTTTCCATAGACGCTCACGATATCGAAAAGCTTGTATTCATCGTCGATCTCTTCGACCCAGCCATGTTGAGTGCTCCACCCATGTGGCGTCCTGGAATTACCACCGTCCACGACGGAAACCGTTCAAGGCCCCGGAATGCCCAATGGATGTCTAGTTATGCATATTCGGCGGAGACAGTCGCGTCTATTTATCCTGATATCATCTCCTTCACCATTCTCCTCAATCATATGGCCTATATGTTTGACCTCCGATCTGGCCTTCACCTTGTGCAACAACTACAATCCACGAATTTACAACCCGATGGACATTTCGTAGCCGCTCTTGTTCGCCTTTATTTTGCGGTCGATCTTCCAAACGTTGCCCTCCGCATAGTCGCATCGACCTGCAAAGGCAGACCGGAGGTATGCGATCATTTTCGTCAATTAGGTTTCAACGAGGCAGTAGAGGATAGACAGTATCCACTAGTCATAGTGGACTCGCCGACAATCGAGATTTTCAACGCTATGATGGGCGGCATTCTGACTGTCCATGGCCTTGATGGTATGATGGCTATCTTACAGATCATGGAGGCCCACGCAGTCGCTCCTGACAATCATTCGATCGATACCTTCCTGTCCCATTTGAACAGGATGGATGGCCCAAACCCGTCGGACATCGCGCGCATACTCCATCATCTTCTATCCCTCACACCGCAACCTTCGCCCAAGCACGCACATGCCCTTTTGCGAATAGCTCTCCGTTACGAACGCAAAATGTCCGGTCGAGTCCCCAATCCGCCTTTGCTTAGTAGCAGAGAAATAATCCAGACATTCAAGTCACCTAACATGCCCGCATCCCCCACCGACGGATCATTTGACCCGGTCGCTGGCATCCAGCTTCTATCACATCGCTCTGTCTTCGACCCTATAGTCCAATCACTAGCATCACGGGCTATCCGCGCAGACCGTGCCGTGATCGCGATGCGACTGCAGCACGAAGCGGTGACGCGAGAAGATATGCCGGCTGCGAGAGATGTTTTTCAAACCATGTTGGACAGAGGTCTACACCCGAATGAATATCACTACACAGCGCTGATGCAAGGATATGTAAAGGGCGGGGACTTTGCTGCAGCAAGGTCCGTCCTTGATGCCGCAACCGAAGGCGGCATCAAGTCCAATGTTGTCATGTACACCATTCTCATTGCAGGTTACGCGCGCCAACGACAACCTGGCCAGGCTATGGATATATTACGGGAAATGGTTTCCATCGGTATCAAGCCCGACTGTGCAGTGGTCACTGCCCTTGCCAGTGCTTTCTTCGCTGTTGGAGCATATAGGATTGCACGCACTGTTCTATTACAGCTGTGGCCTTTTGTGGCGCCTTTCCCTGAAGGACTGCGTGAAGCCCCTCTAAAAATCCTTATGGAAAGGCTGCGCGCCCTCCAGCCTCTATACGCCAAGCGCCAGAGGGTAGGGATGTTGTCAGGACGAAAGAAGTGGTTACTACGATGGAAGTTGAGGCAAATCAGGGAGGAATGGAAACTAGCAGCCCGACAGGCAGGTGCACGAAAGGGATACCGATAAAATCTATGTAATCATTTGCGCCTACTGAGTTCGCGAGGCTGGCCGCAGAAGCAGTCACTAATAAAATAACGATGTGGTTGGGTAGGACCAGAAGGTGGCTTACAAGAAGCTTGGCTTGTGTACATCGTACTCCGCTCAGTTTCAAGCATGCACGTTATCATACAACATGGAAAACATCTTTACACGGGTGACCGCTGTGCGTACGAACATACATAATAAAAGTAGGGAGGAAAATCTACAGAAAGCTCGTTTAATAAATTTAATTTCAATCCGCTTCATCTTCACATCTGCCCAAATTTCGCGTCCAGCAAACGTAGAGCATCCCTCACAGCTTCGGCGTGGACCTCACGCACCAAACGAGGACGGCTACACTTAACAAGCTCCTCGTGAGGTACCAATCTGGGGGGTGAAGGTAGAGAGTGTGTTTGTCTATGATGTTTCTCGCGGTAATGTGCATGTGGATCCGTCAACAAAATAGGATGATTGTCCGAGCTCTCGTCCGCAGATATTTGAGAGATGGCCTGATGCGGAGTGGGGGTGACGGTACGCTCTGGCGTGATACATCTGGGGGGTGGGGAGATGACAACACGAGGGCCGGTGCATTTTGAACGACGGGCAACGACATCGGCCAGGAGCGAAAGGTCAGCAAAAGCGACATTTGGATGAGACTTCAATTGACGCCATGCATCGTTTGTGGGTATGGTATCCGTTGACATGTCAGAGTCAGGCAGCGTCAAGGGGGATGGCCTCGATGATGCACATGAGCTACTACCACACATTCCGGGGTTTCCACAGCAGAGACGGGTCGGGTTCTTGACGGCGTTGAATTGAGGGCGGTCTGGACAGTCGGCGCAGGGTATGTCCGATGCAATTGATTCGCCGATCGCTGTACAAAATGCCTTTCCGAAAACATCGTCTGCGCATGCCAGACAATTTGATGGATCGCCCGAACATGTGGCGGGAGCCGAAGTAGTCGGTTTCGCAGTGGTGGAGGCAGCGGTAGATGGGGATACCGGGAAAAGTGTCTTGAGACCTGGATTTACAGGGCGGCGACGCAAAGGAACCGGAGGCTGATAGGCGGGCAAGTTGTCCAGAATGGAAACACGTTCAGGAGGGATGGGCGAACGCAAAGGCACCGCCTCGTCATGCAAGCCAGGCGCTTCGTCCTCTGCAGCCTCTGCCTTGAATGATACTTCGGATGCCATATCAGGTCTCTGCGTGGAATGATGTATGCCTAACTCTCTGCATACGCATGGTGTATTCTCGTTACAGAAGCCGCAGTCAAAATTGTCCATTGATCCGACGGAATCATATGCAGGCTGCTTTCCATGAGTCCGGAAATTGAACATCCCGTTGAGAGTCAATTGGGTAGGGAATATTGTCGGCTCTTCGCCAGATGAGGTAAGGGCCATTGGTGAGAAACTATCATCAGATGAGCCGGTAGAGTCTGGTGACGATGCCATAGACGGAGGAGACGGAATCAGCGTGAGAGGTATAGCGCGGGACGGTTGCGCGGTCAACACGATTGTGTCGACGGAGAGCTTCGCTCTCTTCCTGAACGGATGGTCCAGGCATCCGCCAGAAGGGGACGAATTATCTCTGGCCCTTTTGTTCTCCATCTCATTTTCCTCGCGCTCCTGGTCGTACTGAGAGATTCTGTCCTTGAGAAGGACGTTTTCCTGACGCAGCTTCTCATTTTCCTCCTTGAGACGTTTTGCTACAGTCTGCAAGGCAACATTGCGTTCGATTTCTCCTTGCTCGTACAATTGAATCCGCGCCTGGAGTTCAGCAAGCTGAGACTGTTTGCGCTCACGGAAAGCACGCTGCGCAGCTCTAGAGTTTTTGAGTCACAAGGATACAATAAGACAGTCGGATATCGCTCACCGATTCTGCACACGTCTGCCCTTGCTTGTGGCCTAGGTGTATATTTTTGTCAGTGTCGGCCCGGCTTGACGTTGTATAAGTGTTGAACATACCTCATCTTCCACGGCGACGGCGGGCGGAGGATCTTTCTTGGGTTTGCGGCCCGGCTTAGGTTTAGCAGGGATCACCCATTCCTTAGAGGCTGGATAGAGGATGCATATGAACGTCCGACTTCGGAAGGATGTCAATCCAAGGACTCTACCTGTCGCCCAAAGGGTCGAAGATGACGAGACCGCTGGCAATGGCGGTTGCGCACAAGACATTCGATGAGAAGCTCCGTGAAAGCCGCAAGTGCGAACGAGTATATGGCAAGTGGGGGACCCAACGAGCGTCAGAAAGACCTGGGAAGTGAGAGGAGGATGATGCGGGAGGTTTAATGCGGTACCCAAGTGGGGGGCAAACTTAACTGATTAGATATCGTCTGATCGGCTATAATCGGAACTCGGATCAGTGCTTCCGGTATCCGCCCTGGCATGCCGGGTCTCAGCGGATCCCGCTCTCTCACACAACACCACTTACCGTTGAGGCTCAAATTCAAATACGGCTCATGCAACTTCACGCGAAAAAATACACAACGATACGAAAATAGATTGCAGTACCCAGAGGTACGCTGGACTCAATCAACAACTTCCTCTTCGATTTGTTCAATCACTTCGTCAATCCAGACCTCGATCTCCTCTCGCTCCTCCTCCTGCTCCCTGGGCTCCAGCTTCTGACCTCTGGCACGTCGCTCCTCTGCGGCCTCTTCCAGGTACCGGGTACGCCATGTGTTCCATTCGTCGACCAAGCGTTTCCTATGTGCGATGAGCTCGGCACTAGCGGTGTCTTCAATCGCCGCATCCTCTTCTTCGAATGCACGGCCATAGTCGCGCAGATTTTTGCGAATAAGGCGTTTCTGCTCCTTCGTGAGTAAGGAAGCCGGGCGAGGGCGCCACAAAAATTGCTTGAAGCGGTCCAATATGTGTTTCTCGACTTCTTGGCCGCGGAAGTCCCAAATCGCATATCCATTTTCGAGCTGAAGTCAACCGTTTAGTGACATCGAGAAGTGGACAGCAACGTGAACATACTGTATGCGTCCACGCGCTTGCTGCAGTCGCCAAATAGCGACCGCTGGGGTCCCACTCGACATCGGTCACACCGTAATGATCATTGATACCTAGTTGCTGGATGCCGCTACCCCAGTCCTCTTTCTGCCCTTCCCTTCGACCGACGTCATCACTATTGAAGTCAAGGTCCCAGAACTCCAGCTCGGACTTCGACGTCGATCCGACGGTCGCGAGAACTACATGTCGACCTCGCGGTGACCAACGAATGGTGTTTGTTGTCCGTGAGGCCAGTGTTCCTGGTATGCGAAGGTCAGCAGAGCAACTGACTACTCAAGGGAAGACTCACTAAGGAGCTTGAAGTCACCCTTCCCACGTTCTAGCTGGTAGAAGCTGACGTCGGTTTTGATCGTGATTCCAGGACCTGGATTTCCGAGATTGGGATCGTTGCTTGACACGATGGCGAAACGTTCGCCCCTCGGTTCCCAGGAAAAATCGGTGACCGTATCTAAAGAAATGAATGACCATGAGATCCATGGCTTGAACCGGTGTTAGGCATTTTTACCTTTGAGTTCGACAACTTCTACCGGAAAGTCCTTCTCACGAACCATAAAGATTTCCAAATTGCAGAATATTGACTTTTTCGTCTTCGTATGGCGATCGACTTTGACACAAAGGAAATCGCCTTGGTTTTGCCAGTAAAGTTTACACTAGATAACACCTGTCAGATAGTAATAGGCATGAGACAGAAAGGCGCCGTACCTCCGTCACATTGAAAAGGTTCTTCTGTCGCAGGACGTCCCGGCTGGGAAAGTTGGAAACTGTCACACGAGCGGGTTGGTTAGCCACCTCGGGGGTCCAATACGCAAGCATGTTCTCTCTGATCTTTTTGGAGCTCTTTGCGGTACCGTTGACTGCCTGGTTTGCTTTCTCTGCGTCTTCTTTGTCCTTGTCGCTGTGAGGGCACCACTCAAAGTCCACAACCCCTTCTATCCTGATACTCTTTTTCCCGTGGAGGCCCATGCTGGGCAATTCATACACACTGATTTGTTGACCCGGCGTTACCCGTGCTACGAACTTATCATCTGCACTCCACTTGAGCGCGGGCCAGGCCATCTGCTTCTTCGAGCTATCGCCTTCAGGAAGAATACTGTGAAATGTGCGAAGAAGGTGGCCAGTTTTGATATCCCAGACGGCGATATTGTTGCCCTCATCTTCGGGAGAGAAGAATGAGGGGCCTTGTGGTGCACCCTCGGCGACTACGATTGGTTCGTGCGACCAAGTGACGAAGTATTGTTCACATGGTGAGAAGTCAACCAATCTGACGAGAGGGTGATAGAAACGCTGTTGATGTTCCCAAGAGGATCCTCCCCAAAGTCGGATACCCTGACGGTGCAATGTTGCGAGGTAGGTGCCTGATGGCGACCACGAAACATACAGTTCCGTCCACGCCTTTGGACGTCTTCAGAGAAGTTTCAATGAAGGGGCGAAAACGCTCACTGTTTTAGCAAAGGCTACCTCACACTGCGCCGGCTTGCCGTGCCAGTGAATTTCTACTTCATCGCCGCGGTAAGTAACATATTGGTCGCGACCGTGAGGGTCTGCCAACCAAGCTCGAAGATGTTCCTAGACTAGTGTCAATATGTGTTGAAGAGAATAAGGGCTGTTGCATACTTTCGACTGGTATTCTTCCCTCTTTGGCTCCAAGTAGGTTTCATTCAAATTGGCATACTTCTCAATGTCCGAGAAACGGTTGACTCTGAAAGTATGTGTTTTATCAAAGGGATGACCGTTCATTTCGTTCAATGCAAACGTGGCTTCATCGGCAGTGCGAAATTCGATGAAGATGAATCTAGGAAAAGGGGGTTGGTACGCAGAAGGCGACTTGAAGATACTATCCACGTACCCTTGGCTCTTTCCAGCAGCATCATTCCATGGCACAGTCATCGAATCTGGCCTCACCACGGCACCCTTCCTATTGAACTCCTTTGAGATCTTCGCCAGGAGTTTTTCCAATTTACCCTTGTCGACGATTGGAATACCATCTATCACCAAGATGTTGTCGAAACCTTCCTCGAGACCCACTTGATATCTTCATCGAATTCTTTTGAGTCTGCTTAATACATTTAGAGGACGAATACACACTTTTCCTCGATATCGGTATAATCGATTTCTTCGTCAATCTCACTGTGTGAAACGCCGTTAGGGCTCGCCATTGGATGGTGTAGGCTGAGGTATGCAACTTTTCAGCGGCAGCCGAGAAAGAATCAAGGTTGAGCGGAGCTCAGATTGCCTAAGCTTCTCGGGACGCTCATCATTCGCTCATCATCATACCCCGTTCGAACTCTGACTTGCACGATAATATCAACAGCATAAAAGGACATAACCTACCAATTAAACGTGAACGTTTGAACCTTCATGCATCACGCATTCATGAATAGATCCGCGGCGTCAACGCCATGGCTTACTTCAACAGGTTACTCCACGAAATATCAGTGAATTCATGACAGTCTATACTTCAACCTACGGGATCTGTGAGTGCACTCTTCAGAATCTCCACGAGAACTCAATCATTCTCCGTGCCTCCATGGCTTACGATCTATTCGACAGCACAAGTCATGCACCAGGTTTTCCAGAAAACCCTCGAATCGGCTCACCTTCCTGAAACACCACTTTGATTCACTTCCTCGAGAATGTTTACCTATGTCATGGATCATCCGGTTCCCGGACGGTGTTCGACCTTTTTCTTATCATAGGGGCTGCAACGTTGTTTTACTTATCGCAAGAAAATGGCTGTCATTCTCGGAGGGTCGTCGAATCCTGTTGCAGTCATGTCTGTCCTTATTCAGGAGAGCATCAAGGAAGTTGAACGCTTTTGGATGCCTATCTGTAAAACTGCCTTTCACTTTGACACACATGTGACCACGATTTCCACCTTGAGCCATTCAGTATCATCAACGTTCCTCGCATGTCTTTGCGCACGTGGGTCCTCTCGTTCCTGCTGAACTTCGTTCCTGACGTCTAGCAGCCGAGGGCAGTTAAATACCAGAGAGCTTCGCTGGTGCGTTTCGTTCACTCCTGATCATTCGAGCTGTTCGACACCTGGATCCATGTCTATAACCAAAGACGTAAAGGAAGATATACCAGATTCCGCATCAGTTGATGTGCAGAGCCAGCCTGTTGCTCTGAGCCGGAAGGAGACGCTTAGCGCCTATTTTACCATAGCAGCCGCAGCATTTGGGCTCATCAGCGATGGATGTGAGGCCACATTGTACTCATTCGCATGCGTGACGAATAATATACTTTCGAACCAGACCAAAACAATCTTATGACCATGTCTAATGTATTTTTCATTCATGATCACGGCCTCCAGATACTGCTAATGGTCTTTCCATAGGTGGTGTTCAGAAAGCTGTATCCAAAGGAATATACTTCTTCTGTGTCAACTCGGGTATCTAATGCTCTTTTAGTTGGTGAGAGACTCCGAAATGGTCAAGGTTAGCTGTACTTATCTGGTATTCACAAACAGGTGCAGTCATTGGCCAAGTTGTCGTTGGACTCGTCTGTGATCGACTGGGCAGAAAGGTCGCTTTGGTATCCACAACACTTTTGATTGTCCTAGGTGCCACGCTCGGAACTGCTGCACATGGTGCGCACGGAAGCGTCGAAGGCTTATTTTGGTTTTTGACTTTTGCACGAGGAATCACTGGTATCGTAAGTTATGCAGTTTACATTGAATTCATTTACTCATGTCTTTCGAAGGGGGTCGGGGGTGAATATCCCGCATCGTCGACAAGTGCAAGTGAGGCAGCGAACGAGAAAATGCCGAAGAACCGGGGTCCAGGTTTGTAGTATGGCCATGCTCTGTCGTTTAGGAACTCATATTGATACTAGTCTTCATCATGGTCACGAATTTCGTCCTCAGCGTGAGTTTTAGGATGAGAGCCAATTCTAATTTTGCTGACAGCATCGAAAATTCTATTCAGTTCGGTGGACCTCTCGCGGTGTCTGTCTTTTTGATTGTTCTTTCAGCTGCTGGAGAAACCCATCTTTCCACAGTTTGGCGTGTCTGTTTTGGAATTGGAATTCTCCTTCCACTAACTGTCTTGGTTTTCCGTTTGCGGATGTTGAGTTCCAAACTATATCGGAAGGGTGCCATCAAAAGTCAGAAGCCCATTGACATGAATAGCCATGGCATCTAACTCACGTCATTTCGTGCTATCTGCTCTTTAGATCATGTTCCGTACTTCCTGGTTTTTAAACGTTATTGGAAGACGTTGATCGGGACCTGTGGGGCCTGGTGCGTATGTTCGAAATAATTGTCATCATATGCACTAAATCAAGGACACAATAACAGGTTTCTATACGACTTTGTGAGATTCCACCTTGTCTACTTTTATATCATCGGCTGACTGACGTGCAAATGCTCAAAGGTAACATTTCCGAACGGTGTATTTTCAGGCACCATAATATCGAGTGTGACTCATAATAACACTCTCAAAGAGACAGCTGAATGGCAGCTGTTGCTCGGAGCGATTGCTCTGCCTGGCGTTTTTGTAGGAGCCTGGCTGTGTAATCCACTTGGTCGTCGGAATACGGTGGGTCCCCATTCCCATGTTTCGAAAAAAAGAACAGGCTGACTGATTTGGTGACGAACTCAGATGATGGTGGGGTTTGGAGGATACCTTGTCATAGGTGAGAACCATCTCCGTGACACGATTGACTTCATTACATTTGTTGAACACTGTACAGGGTTGATCATAGGTCTTGCATATGATAAAATCACAAGGATTATTCCACTATTTATTGTTTTGTAAGTTGATTTTTTACAAATGCTTGGTGTCCCTGCTAAGATTCCGTCGTAGCTATGGTTTGATGCAATCATTCGGAAACCTGGTATGCCTGTCTTGTTACCTTACACAGCAAACCGGCGCCTTGATAGCAAACTAGGGACCTGGAGATATGTTGGGTCTCGTGAGCGCAGAGTAAGTCGACATCGGATCGTAAAAGTATGATGTTCCACTCACTAACGAAACAGGTCATATCCGACACCTATTAGGTGAAGTAGTCATGTTCGGACGCGACAGCACTTATGAGCTGATGCAATTGGCAGAGGAACTTGCTATGGCTTGTCGGCCGCCATCGGTAAGGTTGGAGCGGCAGTAGGAACGCAAGCATTCACACCCATCCAGAACAACTTGGGAAAGAAGTACGCATGTGTTGCTGATTCAGACATATGTAAAGAGACTGATGCAATATTCAACTCTCTGAAGATGGACTTTCATCATCGCGGCCATCTGTGGTGTTATTGGAATTGTGGTGACCTATTTTTTTGTTCCCGACATGACAGGTGTCGACCTTGCAGACGAGGACATCCGTTTCATGGAGTATTTGGCTGCGGAGGGCTGGGTGGGTGAAGTAGGCGAGGACAAAGAAAAGGACCTGATCGGGGAAATATCGTTGACACAGGAAGGAGATGTTGAATCGACGTGATCTTCTCGCCTGAACCACTTTCTATATTTTCTTGCTTATCACACAGGGTTATACCCGAGTAGGAGTAGGGTTAGGAGATACATGATTTAGGGTTGGGGTCTCTTTTGTAATTATGCTCGAGCACTCCTTGAGTTGATTGAACTCACCACCGGATTTTGGTGGCGGAAGCTTGGAGTCCCGTTCAGAGGTTTCTTGCTGGATGTTACCCCTTCGCCAGATCTTTGTATCGAGGTCATCATGTCTCCATTCATCTCGTTCTCATCTTCATGCTGCGCGCCTTGCTTTGGCTCATATCCACACTGTCAACCACGAACCTGGATCCGTTGCGAAATTTCACAGGGATATAACATTGGCACAATCATCAGAATCATCGCTTGATTCTGTACCGGATGTCTTGCATTCCCCTACGGACGAAACTGAGAAGCCAAAGCGCAAACGGCGGTCCAAAAAAACCGCACCACCAACAAAGGTGCGCGTACCGCTTGAACCTAGCAAGACAGAGCAATACCTATTAGCCCTTCAAAACCAAGGCCTGGAACCATCCCTGAAAGATCTGGAACGCCTTCGACCTGCCGGTCATCCGCGTCCTGGCACCAACAAATATGCGGAAGCGTATGGTGCGCTGGTGGACTCTATGTGTCGGTCGTTCAGCAGCGAACAGTTACGTCAGTTCGCTGTTGATTTTGGCCTTTCTGGAAAGTATACCCATTCGCGACGGCGCAAGGTGGAATATGCAGAGGCAATCATAGAGCAAATATGGCAATGGCCATCCTTGAGGGAGCTGGAACGGAAGCACAGGGATAAAACCGTCATGACGGCTCAATGTGAGAGCAGATCATCTGTGCAGGGTTTATTTTATCTGATCATATTCTCAGCTTTTCCTCTAGAGCAGAGTCACCTATTTCTGATTATCGGCAAAGGTAAGTTCATGTCGACTTTGTTCTAGTTTTCATTCATATGAATAAGTGAGTTAGATGGAAGTGACCTCCTGCAATTATCCACGCAATTCAATGTGCACGTATCCCTTGTGCAAAATCCGTTGGCTTTGAAGGTGGAAGGGGTGCGAGAGGCTCTGAATGGTGTTCGAGACCGCATTCAAAATATTAAGAAGGTATATACTCTTTTCGCGACTCGATGCAAGCATATAATGTTGTCGACGGCATAGAATGTCATAGAGGAGACTTTTGAGGTCCTTACCAAGACCCCTATTCGCCACGATTTATTGCAAACGATATCGCGACTAACAGGTGCCTTTGTAGAAAACATTGGAACGAATGGCCAGGTGAGCTAGCCTTTCGCAGTCGATTCAATCCACGCGTGAAAGCCGACCCTCGTATAGATCCGAATACGCGCAAAAGATGTACAAGGTCTGAACGGTGCAAAACGGCTGGCTATACGTGCAGCTACCGAGGTAAATTATATCACATCATCTCACCCCCTGTAGACATTGATTATGGCCATCCGTAGCTTTTAATCTCCAACGTACTGCTTTCATACAGCCCCGTCAGAGATGGCGACGAAATAATCGTCCCGACATTATCTGCACCGATTTCTTATTCGCTCTATCCTTATTTATCTCCGCGCGCTCTCCCATGGATGATCAATACTAGTGGCACATTCAGATGGCGACGGGTAGGTGATTGGCTGGGTTTCGATCATAGTGAGAACCTGGACATGACCGGAGGTATGGCCGGCGCACGAGGTTCCTTCTTGACATCACAAAAGTATGTTGCAAGCATTGTGTTTAATAATCTGCTGTTGACGAGTTTATAGCCGCGTAGTGGATCTCAAGGAGATTCTCCTCGGCGGTTTACCTGCCGAAGCTGTCGGAAAATCCCAGAGATTGATCACTGCACAGTAGGTGGTATCTACTTCAGTGGTGCCCCGATTGATCATAAGTTTGAAAGTCCAGGACATTTGCTGTTTACATCCTCGGAAGTGGGACAGAGAGCGACTCTAATTCCACCGCTGCCGGGTAGCGGCCCCTACGAAAGAGTGCTAAAATGGATTTCTGACAGTAGTGCTCGCGCTTCCTTTATTCCGAGGTTCGTTGATTTAAGTATGCGAGGAAGTAGGAATATTGACGGTATATATTCTAGTCTTCCTGCCCATTTTCTTGAGGCATTGCCTGCTCAGCAGAAGGTCGTGCATCGTTTGGTATATCATGCGCTACCTTCCTCTATCGAAGCGGTAGAGCGGAAAGGAATGAAAGTAGTTCATTTCGAGTTGACACTATCGAATCCACAGCTTTCTAGCGAGGGTGTAGATGATCGTTCTGCGAAGGATGTCCTGGACTCTCGGGCCGTAATCTGTTGGAGGGGCTTGCAGACAGACGTGGACGTGCTAATGCCCGATCGGTATGCTTAGTTAAAGCTATATTCCGATGTGTCATTTTTGACATCTCGCATTATAGGCATATGGATATACGTTTCTCTGTCACAGACGCTGAGACGCTTACTTCTGGCGAGGGGCCTGTGGAGCTGCAAACATATTTAGCCGACCTTCATGCCTTGTGCGTATCTTCTACTCTTCGTGTTTCCTTTCGGCTGACTAGCCCGTAGCTTGGACTCTTCAGATCCCGACGTTTTGCAACCTAACCCTCCACTGACACTGAACTACGAGGGGATTGATTATATATTGGACACTAGTGCCAGTGTACGCCAAAGCAAAGAAGTAGTGCTCAGTTCCCCTTTAGATTCAACCTCGAAACAGATTCATGCCCTCACAGAGAGCATTTTGGATCTTGAGAGCAGTCAAAAATCAACCGTCTGTTTAGTGAGTACCAAAGTTTCTTACACCCACTTGAGTCTGATAGGCTCTCGTAGCTGTCATGCGACGATATGTCCGAGAAGAGTTGGACCGCGTTTCTCAGTGACTGCGATGTTTTGACGACGCAGAGCAACGGAAAGAGTTTTCCTCGCTAAACCACGGTGGCTCCAGGTTATCGTAGACCAAGAGAACCACGTCGACGTAGACTAAGAGAATATAATATCCCATAACCCATCTCCACACCAGCATGCCATACTTCAAGATGCAAGGAATAGAAAAGCCAAGGGATCAACTCAAGGACGTTTACGCTTTTTGTTCTCTTTTTCCTTTCGTTTCTTGGCGCGAACCTGTAGTACGATCAGCGCCTGGGAGTTATGAATCTCTGAATGACATACCTCTTTTTTCATCCTAGAGTCGACCATGGCATAGCGTCCCTTGACACCCTTGGGTCTTCCTTGAACACCTTTGTGAACGCCCTTCGCAACCACCACCTTGATGTCCTTCTTTTCCCGCTTGGCCTTCGATAAACCTTTGCGCATCACTTTCTCGACCTGCTGTGCCTTCTCGCGCTCTGACATGTCACTTGTCTGAGTAACGCCTTCAGCCTTCTTCAGGGCTTTTTCCAGCCTCTGTGCCGCCTTGAACTTTTTCCGCGCCTTCGCCTCCGCCACCTTCTTGATCGGTCTCGCGTCAAGGGCTCGTTGCTTCGCTCGCAGAGCTCTAACAGCATCTTTGGTGATGGGAATGTTTGTCACATAGTGTTTAGACTCATCGTCCAAGAACCAAGAGGGGAGATCATCTTTTGAGTTGAGCGAGTAACGTGTGAAGCCGTCATTGATCATGGATGTCTTCGTACGTTCACGGTTTACGAGTTGCTGGGCTAATGTGATGGCCTCCGCGGTAAGTAAACCGTGCTCTGAAAAAGGGCTTTGTCAGATCCAGGCAAAGAAAAGATCTTGAAAGCTTACTTTGAATGTGCTTCTGTTTTACTTCATCCTCGTTCTCCTCGGTTGCATCCCACATTTCAGTATCAGTATCCGAGTTTTGGGGAACAACCTCGAAGTCGTCGTCATTACCAGCAGACATCTGTGATATATGATTAGGGAACATTCGAGTTTGAAAATTTTATCGTTCACCTCCTCTTTCGCCGAAGTATCGCAGTCGGACTCGTCGGATTCTTCGTCCTTGATGTCATCCAGAGGATCCAGTCCATTGAAGATATCTTGACTGAACCAGAGATCTGTTGCACGACTTGCGCTAGCGGAGGTTTTGGGGTCTTCAAGCTTCGAGACTAACCGGGGCTTTTTCTTCTCTCTTTCTTCGGCTTCTCGTGGCCTGCTGCGTTTTTGCCCTACGGTGTCCATTGGCTCATCGCCATCTTCATCACTGTCTTCGTCAGAAGACGACGAATCGTCCCTCCCTTTTGCTTGCTGCACCTCCTCCCAGCCACCCTCTTCGCTGTCTTCGTCCTCGCTTCCACTTCCGTCCTCCTTGATACCATGCCACTCCTCCCGCTCCTTGTTCTTCCTCCTGGCCTCCTTCACCTTGAACTTGGAATCCCGTTCCGCCAGCCTCTCTCGGTAGGCATCGTACAGCCCATCCATATCTACCTCCAATGACCGGGTCTTCTTCTCCCGTTCCTCGTCTGAATCCAATGCCTCGTAGTCGCTCTCGCCAATCTCTGCCTCCTCTTCGCTTTCACTATCCTCCTCACCACGGACAGCAAACTTCAAGACACCGCCTTTCTTCAAGCCCCGCTCTGCATCGCCTAGATCAAATATATCCTCCTGCCCGATGCCCAACGCCGCATCTGTCTGTTCCATACCGATATCCATGGGTGCGACCATTTGCAACTGCATGCGTTGAATTGTCTTCTGTTTAGCTTCATTGGCTCTCCGTCGGTCGCGCTTTGTTCGTGCAGCTGCTTTGGCATGGAGTCGTTCAAGCTGTACTTCGTCGTTTAGTGGACATGATGATCTGAATATTGATAGAAGCGTGCCTCTTTCTGAATTTCCTCTTCCTCATCAACCACCTCAGTGATCTCGACCGTCTCAGTGATCTCGTCAGCGTGCTTGGTCTTGACTTCCAAGCCAATCTAGTTGAATGAGTCAGAAACGAAAGACCTACAGAGAAATGTAGGACAAGATGCATACCTCCTCTCGAAGTGCCGTTCTCCATTTCAACAGTGCCTTGAAGTCGCCTTTTCCAAGGACTTTGAGATCGTCAAGATTCGCCTTGACCTCCGGTGTCGTGATATCCAAAGCGGCCCATCTAACAGAGGATGTAAGTTCAACTACATAGTTGGCAGGCAAAAGATATCTGCTCACTCTTTCTCCTCCTCCGTTTCGAAATAGATCCTATTCGCTGAGCCAAGGACGGCAATCGGGTCTACCGATTTTACAAATTCCGCAATGCCCACTTTTGTGAAAAGGGTGTAATCTCCATCAGCATAACCATCCCGCTTTCGACGTTTTTTCTCCGGATGGAAAACATTAGCTTGCATGTTGTTTGCTGAGGATCCCTTGTCGCCTGCAGGATCTGAGGCAGCAAGATCTTTGAAAACATGCTTCGGATCGAGAAATTTGGGGTCGATATGCTTGGGTGCAAGGAAGTCACGGCACACAACGAAGATCTCAGCGGAAACATTACTATCCACAATCCAGTAAGCCTCAAAGCGAGAAGGAAATGCGTCAATCAAAAACGTACCGTGATGACGGCGGTTTCGTTGCCTCAACTTTTCCGAAAAGTTGATTGAACACCCAGATCAAATTGTTGTAATCCACACTCCGGAAAACTTTTGTAACGAAGGTTCCTCCTTTGATGAGGAACTCAACAGCCAATTTCAAACTCATGAGCACGAGTTCTGACTGGCTGTATGCGTCCTGCACCCAAGCAGTACCGACATTAGGAGCACCATCATGGAGGACAACGTCAGCCTTCCAATCCTTCAGCTCATCATGAAGGAGGTTTCGACAACGGGAAGTGGTGATATCTGCAGCGAAGGTAGCCACTCGTGGTATAGGTTTTATGGACACCAAGTCGACGCCTGAGGGGAGGATTTGAAACGTCCCCATTATGAAAACATGACACACACTCACCGACGATTACGCTGTTCACAGGCATATATTTACTCGCTACCTGCAGCCACCCTCCAGGCGCTGCACATAAATCTATGCAGCATCGGGCAGATTCTAGGAAGTTATACTTTTTGTTCAGCTGTATCAATTTGAATGCTGAACGGGCGCGGTATCCTTGCTCTCTGAGTGAAGGTTTCAACGGACAGAGCTTTGCTGCAGGTATGAAGTCCTCACTTTGCAAGCTTATAGTACTTGTCCAGGCGCCCCTTCCCCGTTTTCTTCTGAGCCTTTCCCATGATTCAGTTGCGATAATCGAGACCGATTTAATCGAACTTGGGAGAATTAGGGTCGAGTAAATGGAAGCAAGTGGAGGATTAGGAAGTAGTATGGGGTATGTTGCCGTTGGTCTTGCTCGAGGAGATTTTTTAGAAATATCGTTCCCGATTAGGACATCAATTCTAGACCTTGGATCTCGAGATCTTGAGGGACTGTTACTTAACCAGGTCCGACTCCACCCGAGCCACTTACCCAGGCTACCCGCACGCTCCCGCGCGTCTCAGTCGTCTACAAACCACATCGAACCTTTCAACATGTCAGGCTCTCGTTCCACCACGCCACTCCTCGCACCTCGCCTTGGTCTCAGCAGATTTCCCAATGGTAGTCTGCTATGGCGAACTGGCGCGCTTTTTGGTGAGTTTGTATCATGAAAGTAATGAAGGTTTTGGGTCTATATGACTGCTAGTCGCTGTTGGCATGATTGCCGGCGCGTTTGGATCGCACGGGCTAAAAGCGAGACCGGGAATTACCCATGAAAAAGTGTCAGCATGGACGACTGCTGCACACTACACGGTAAGCAGTAGACTAAGCATACTCGTTGAGGGCGTGTTAACGCTCGTCAGTGATCATTTATGGTATCAATGTCGCAGATCTTCAACGGACTTGGCCTGCTTTTGGTTTCAAATCACCCTCGCTTCGCTATTCACAGGTTTGCAGGCCCTGCTATTGCAGTCGGTGGATTCATCTTTTCAAGTTCAATCATGGCTCTCATCCTGGCACGCGATCGGCACGTAACGGTCTTTGTGATCGACTGTTGTATCTGAATCCTGATAATCACTTTGCTTGGCACACAGCTTCAAATTTTTGGGTCCTATCACGCCTCTTGGTGGGGCAGTGATGATAGCAGGGTGCATGTTCATAGTCATCGAAGCCAAGTCAAGGTACTCATGCCGGTATGCTGACCAGATACCTCTCTCTCGCTCTCTAAGAGATTCCATCCGACAGCCATGGGCTGAATCTACCCATACACAATGGATTGTATTGCTTGTACTACCAGTTTTGCTAACCACCTCTCATTACGATCGTTGGACATCTGGATGCATCTCTAGACCAGAACGGTATCCAAAATGCTGCCGAGGTACGGCCGCTCCTTTACTCGAATGCCATCTCGAATAAAGTCAGCGGTAGAAGCGGCAAGCTCGGAAAATGTATCTTCGGTTCACAAGCTTTGAATTGCGTCGAAGCATCTATGCCGACTCGATATTCTATAGATGTTTCCGTAGACCTCGGCCAGTGCACTTTTTCTTTCTCATCGCCGTCGAGTCAGCGGTCCAGGTGAGCTAGACAATCCACGACAGAGGATATAAGACCTCTCGTAGACTATCTAGCGTGTCGCGATTGAGTTGATATCTCATCTAGGCAACCTGATGAAGCCTAGAACGGAATCTATGAACGGCCCGGCACTCTGTGGTACTTTTGTCCAGTTGCGGAGGGAGAAAGAAACATGGTTCGGCCTAGTCTCTGTGGCTAACCTTACACTGAAGACGATGGTTTTGTGTGTAGCCTGCGACCAAGGTTTTTTTTGGAGACAGGTACTTCCGCAAGCTTCATCTTCTGACATGTTCTGCAGATTTTGAGTCAACCTAGACCAGCGAAGTTGATCTCGGGCTCTCTCGATTGTCTACGAATTGACATTCATTGTTTTGGCCTGAACTTTGATAACTTGGAAAGTGCTAACAGAGATGAAATCCTTGGTTGTAGTCAAATTAAGGGTCAAATTGTGACTGCAGAATAAATTTGACAAGGGAAATGGGTCCTGGCAATGACGGCGTGGATCTCAAACACGCGTTGGAACGATCACGTGGATGGCGCGTCGCGGGTCACGTCCAACTCCGACTGAAAGTGTTACGTAATAATGCGCTAGGGCTTTCTGAGTCCTGTGGGCCTTGGCCACCTGTGATACCCTTCACTCTCCCCGCGTACACTTCCCGCCCTTTTCCCTTCCGCCTGTAGCCGTTTCTTCTTGCAGCACCTGTCTTAGAGTGAATCTACTGCGTACTGTACAGCTTTCTCTGCTGCTCTTTGATGTTATCTGGCGGACTCGCTGCTCCGTCATCATGTCCGAGCTAAAGAGTAACTCACACTATCCCTCAAAGCGTCGCGTCTCCTCTCCTGCAGATCTCCAATTCTTCACCCCGGCTGCAGTCTCATTTCAACCTCGCCCTTACAATCCCAGCGGGACTACAGCTCTTCAATCCAAGCCCCCGCCACCAGCGCGCAATAATTCACTAATCCATCCCTTACCGCCTATGGATCCATCCCCTCGCGATCCCGATGCCCTCTTTATCCATCCACCATTCACAGAATTTCCAGACGCTCATATGCATACCCAAGGCCTAACATACGCTCTTTTGGCGGCCAATTCCGATTGGTTTTTGGATCCAAATGATTTCATCGCTACCAATGGCACGAATATCATGCCTTACCCATCACAGCTCGAGCCTCCTAGAGGCTGGTGCCCTGCCAAGAAAAAGGACCTCAAGGAGCGTGGATCCGAATCTTGGCCGGAAGGTGAAGAGCCCCGCCTTCGTTGCACTTTTTGTAGGCGGACCTACGCAGGCATCAATGCGAAAAGCATGTGGAGGCGCCATGTTTTTGAGAAACACAAGGTTCCGATGTCTAACAGGCGTGACAACTCAGAGCGTGCTCGTAAAATTGGAGGCAGTGAGTGAATTGATTTCTCCTAATAGAAGACATTCATTGATTCATTGCTCTCCAGAAGACAGCAAAGAGGCTCACGAGAAAGAAAATGTCTCCGTCGTAACGCGCAGCTCCAAAAGCGCGACTGGCATAACGCACCGAACCTTGAGCTACCATGCTCCCTCGACATCAAGATCGAAGCTGCGTTCTCATCGATCTATATCGGGACAAAGTTATAACTCTGCTCTTTACGACTGTGGAAATGACAACAAATCCGTGGATGATGATGATGATACTCCAGTTCCACCGACGCCCCGCATAACCCAAAGAGAATTTCCAGTCTTAGCACCCGCTCCTCAGCTCATTCGTCCCCCTGCGAAGTATCATTCCCGTACCAGCCCTACTCCTCCTCCAGACTCTCCACAATCGGATGGCCCCGAACTCACTCTGAGCTCTGCACCTCAGGCGCTGCCGCCTACTCCGGAGCGGCCTGTCATCCCGGAGTCGCCATACAACCCTTTGGTCACCCCTTCTTTCCGTCATTCTCCACCCAGACTTCCCTCAGACCAACCATGGCGTTTTCCTAGTCCGAGCCATCCTCTCCACTCTAGCGCACGGGAAATGAGTCTGAGTATGGTCGTCCGTGGTCAAATGAGCCCTGCACGGGTGTCATTCAATTCTGTGTCTGGGATTGAAGTCAGCCCAGTCATCATCGATCCAAGGCCTGGCAAGTCGAGTGTTTTCAATACTCCCAGTGTATTCCCTGCCAGCAAAAGCAAAGATTCAGGGGTAGATGCTATGTTCGATGACAGGTGCCTTGGATTGGGCTTGATGAAGAGTGCGGTGAAACCCACTCCTAGAAGGCTCTTCTTGACTGGCTCTTTACCTGCGCCGATAACAGATCGTCCCGGATTCAAACGTTTCCGCCAAAGTGATGAATCCCCACTTGGACGAGGCCCTGATGATCGCCCCACGAGGCTCGCGAAGTCTTCTTTAGATCTATCCTTTAGTAATTCGGCCTTGGGCTCTTCCCCCATGAGACCTCGTCGCGGCAATCCCCTTCTTGACTTCGCTATCGGGCTTGGCGAAGATCCTTTCATGAACTTGTATGATGGTGCTCTCGATTTTCGGAAGGATGGTAATGGAGACGACTCTGCCAGCCCACCCATGTCCAGCCCGGAAGACAGTCCTGTCGTTCGGACTGGGAAGTATATCTCTACCCTCGAAACCCCCAGCGGCAGTAGCAGTAAGATGTTCAACGGAAAGAGCACTGCTGGGCTTATGGAAGCCTTTTTATTGAGAGGTAGCGTTGAAGACCAAGAGGATGAAGACGAGCCAGACAACTCGTTGTTGTCTTCACCTATCTCGAAAGAACGGCGCACCTTATCGAAAGAATATCGCTCTCCGTTATCAATCATCTGTCGAGACGATGCAGAATTTATCGACGCACGTCCATTGAAGAAGAGGAGGAGAACCATCGGCGAGATCGAGTAATTTCGTTCCTGCCCTCCATACGATCTCCTTCCCCTGGTCATGTAGCCGCATTTCTCGCCCGCCCCTCTCATTGTCATTGCTATCATTGTCGCTATCTCGCTTTGTTGTGTATCTCTATTGGTGACCTGCTCCTCTCCCGCATTTCCCCACATCCTGTCGAAGCACCCTGGGCAGCAGGTGGCCTTTATTCTTGCACTCCTATGTATATCTCCTGTTACTGGTCTCTCCTTTCTCGTCTCTTGCATATGCCATCATCTCTCTATCACTTTCTTTGGTACGTTTTGTTTTGTTTCCTTGTTGTATACTTTTCGAGTTATCTGTATTTATTGGGCCGTCGCTCCTGTGGTTCGTTGTGAGTGTTATACGTTTGCCCAATCTGTTCTTCATTCCCTCTTCCCCTTTGGTGCAAGACAGATCTTCTACCTACTCTTCGTTCTCTTGTTGACCCGCGTCAATTTGTAAATCTATACAGTTGGTTTCCCTTGTCTACAGCGTATTGAATATTAGTTTGTGGGTTGTACAGCATCGCTTTAAAAGTCTTGTGCTGACCTTCATAGGATTCAGAGAGTGGTGTAAACGTTTGAACGGACAGGACCCGAGACATGAAACATACTATCCCTGGACCACAGTTGAACAGTGGACCAGTAGTGAACAGCCGCTATATCTTCTTTTACACTAGAGTGGCTGTCTTATAAATATTTGGGGAGGTTTATATATGTGTTTAAAATGACTGTGTATTCTTTGAGACTTGTAAAAAAAGCGCGTGGAGCAGGAGAGAGAAAATAAAGGGAAGTATGGCTCTCTGCCGCATCTGAGAGTCCAGATCCCAAAGATCCCCCACTCTGAACATCATATTGAAAATAAATTGGGAGATATATATAAGCGCACATCCTGTGAAAAAAATTCGGGGGTGGTCAGTAGAGAGCTTATGCTCAAAATAAAACCTTGACGAAAGAGACTCGAAAGAGGGTGGGCGGAGTGACTTCGGCCTTCGGAGAGGTGACTCTCAGTAAAAACGGAATTCAAGCGAAAGTCAAGCTCAGTCAAAAAATGGTCTTTTGTCATGTATCCGTCAGGAAAGTGGCGCGAAAAGTCATGCACAAGTCATAAACTGCCAAAATTGGACACGACTTCTACACGACTTCTGCACTGCCTTTATGACGGATATATGACAAAATACCAATTTTTTGACTGGGCATGACCTGCAAGCCGTCGGACTTCTAATCGGCACGCGTGACTAAGTGTGACTGAGTGCTCAGATTAATAGTTCAATTCTGGGGTCTACGCCGTTTTTCGAGTCTCCCTCCTCGGTCACTGCCCGACAATCTTTCCTCTCGCTCAATAATTACAAGAGAATCAACATAGTGAAATATAGACATTTTTTCAGGTATGGAAATAAATTCTATAGTAGTTAGAGAGGTTGTGGGAGCTAGGCGGCTAAAATGCCTAAACCCTGTTCAACTGTGGTCCAGGGATAGTAGATAACCGTACGTAATATAGCTGTTACGTCTACCACGTGCCATTACTCGAGCTTGAGCGCTCGCGCAAGCGGCAAGGCTGTCGTGAACTGAGAGCGGTCATCCATATCTTACCTCTCTCTAATGTTCGATGACTGTGAGTATCTTGACCTTTTGAACTTGAATCAGGCAAGCAGGGTTTTGAAACTGCAGTGCAGATGTTCAGCATGCGACAGCGCCGGCAGGTGGCCTAGTCCATGGCACACAGGCACTTCCGCATCTACAGTATGAAGGTTTTGAACCATCACCTTACAGCGAGGATGATGCCAGGGCGTCTGATATTAACCTGGTACGTTTGAAACACCCCTTCCATCCCACTTCTCTTTGACGAGCAAGTGAAGGAGGAAAGCCATTATGCAGACCCGACTTCTCCTCTCGCTCCCGTTTTCGATCTCGGCCGTGTTCAATATGCGCTCCCTGCCCCCTTAGTCTCTCTTGTCGTCTCCTCCGACATGCTTGCTATGGGTCTGTCCTCGAATATGATTGTCCTAATCGAACTCGCACATGAAGAGCATGTTGTGAAGATTCAGATCCCGCGCAAGCCCACAGAGATGACGATCCACAAATTATTCCTCGATCCATCTGGCAAGCACCTTATCATCGCCTCTCAACAAGGAGAGAATTGGTATTTGTTCAAAGGTTCAAAGAAGCCAAAACCGCTGAAGACGTTCAAGATGGTGATTGAAAGCATCGCGTGGAACAGAGCTGCTTTGCTATCCTCCTCTCACTTGACATCTACACGCGAGATGCTCATAGGCGCTAGGAATGGAACAATCTATGAAGCCTTGTTGGATGCCGAGGAGGACTTCTTCAAGTCTCAAGATCGATACATTCAAGCCGTGTTCACACTCCCAGAACGGCACCCTGTCACGGGTATCAAATTCGACTTCCTCTCTCCGATTGACCCCAAAAAGGCACTTGTCGTCGTCACCACGCAGTCGAGAATATATCAATTTGTTGGTTCTCTGGACCGACGCTCGGACGATGGCGGTCGAGTCTTCAATGGACTGTTTGCAAGCTATCGGGATACGGCTCCAAGTACGCTTTCATGTATATCCTTTTGCTCAAATGTCATGACTTATACTTCGAAGAGATTTTGGAATTGCCTGGGAATCTTCAACATTCTGAGCTGCACTACTGGACGCCGAATGCTGATCAAGCTCAATCTCTCCCCAAGGAAATGGCATGGATGACAGGTGAGATCGTCTCTTTCAAAATCTAATTTCCACTCAATGGGGAGGCGACCCCTAGGTCCTGGTATCTACCATGGCAACCTGAATTTTGAGTCAACCTCGGACGATTTTATTGATAACACACAGCTATTCCATTATCCAACATTCACGAACTCACCCAGCGGCTCCCTTGGAGATGCGCCCTTATTGGATCCACCAACGTCAATAGCCCTCACAGAGTTCCATTTTGTGTTGCTGTACTCCGACCGAATAGCAGGTATATGCATATTGGATGAGAAGCTCGCATACGAGGAAATATTACCCCTTGTGAGTAAGATGCTGTTACTCGAGCATGCAGTAGCCAACTCATCATGACCCCTTTTCAAGAAACCTGGTGAGCAAGTGCGCGGGCTGACGGCAGATTCAGTACGGAAGACCTTCTGGGTATACACTGACCAATCGCTGTTTGAGCTGCTGGTCAAAAACGAAGATCGTGATATTTGGAAGGTATATCTTGAGAGGGAAAAGTTTGACGCAGCACTTAAGCATGCAAAGGCACGCATTCAGCACACTCATTGACAACCCACTTGTTGATGTACACTCGCTATCCTGCAGACGGCCTCCCAGCGAGACCACATACTCTCTGCACAGGCCAATGCGTTCTTCAGGGAGGGACATTATTTCCAAGCTGCCCAGTCCTATGCGCAATGTTCTGTTACGTTTGAAGAGGTGACGCTCAAATTCCTCGATGTTGACGAACGCGACGCACTCCGGTCATATCTGGTCTCGCGATTAGAGCGCACCCGTAAATCGGTTTGTCTTGTATTTGCATGCATCGAGCGGTGAGCGATCCTTAACCTTAGATGCAGGACCTCACACAGCGGATGATGTTAGCCACTTGGCTTACCGAATTTTATTTGAGTAAATGCAACGAGCTCGACGATCTCGCGGCATCGTCATCTGGATCGTATGATGTAGAGAATGTGAGGACAGAACGAACTATCCTCGAAGAAGATCTACGGCAACTCCTTCACACTTACAAAGTAGGCTCCCGAACAATCTGATTTATCCACTCTTGTATATTCACGGTCCACTCAGGACAATTTAGAATCTAGCACCGTTTACGAACTGACCCGAGGCCATGGCCGCACCGATATGTACCTCTTCTATGCTACACTGATTGGCGACTACGAACGCGTGGCGGAGCACTGGATTCTCGAGGAAGAGTGGACGAAGGCAATCGAGGTGATCAGCCAGCAGTCATCTGTGGACCTCTACTATCGATTCGGGCCAGTGCTTATGTGGCATGCACCCAAAGAGACTGTCGATGCATGGCTGCGACAGTCCGCATTAGATCCTCTTCGACTCGTACCTGCACTGCTACAGCTCCAGCATGCGCCACGGGACCCACTCTTGCCCAACCAAGCTGTTCGTTTCCTCAATCACGTCATATTCGAGCAACAAAATACTTCTCCGACAATTCACAACTTGTTGATAACGTTCTACGCCTCTCCGTACGCCCCTCAAGACGACGGTCCCTTACTTCGCTACCTATCTACGGCACCAGTGGATCCTTTAGTGGGTAAGCCCTACTATGACCTGGACTATGCATTACGCCTGTGTGTCGAGGCCAACCGAATACAACCCTGCGTGCACATATACTCCCAAATGGGGCTCTGGGAGTCCAGTGTCGATCTCGCGTTGGAGAAAGGTGATCTAGAGCTGGCGATGATGAACGCAGATAAGCCAGAGGAAGATCAGCAGTTGCGGAAAAAGCTGTGGTTGAAGATCGCAAAGTTTGTGGTGCAGGACAAAAAGGATATCAAAATGTATGTCCGTCTCGCTTATGGTCATGGGTTGAATTAATATATACCTTCCACTTCAAGGGCGATGCGTTTCCTGGAAAACACGGAGCTGCTCAAGATCGAGGATATCTTGCCCTTCTTCCCAGATTTCGTGGTCATCGACGACTTCAAAGACGAAATCGCGAACGCACTGGAGGGCTATGCGGCACAGATCGACAGCCTGAAGAGTGAGATGGATGATGCAACACGCAATGCCGAGTCCATCAAAGAATACATTTCCGAGCTCAGGAACCGCTTCATTACGATCGACACCGGCGAGAAATGCTCTGTTTGCTCATACCCATTGTTGACGAGGCAGTTCTACGTGTTCCCTTGTCAACACACTTTCCACGCAGACTGCCTTATTGGACTAGTGCGTACATTTTCTTTCCATTGTCACTCACGAAGTTCCCTCGGGAACTTCCAACTCAGTCATCTGACATAAACTTCGATTGGTGCCATCACAGACGAAGGAGTATCTTCCCGCGCACGCCCTTCGGCGCATCCTCGCGCTTCAGAACGAACTGATGACAAGTAACGGAACAGCAAATCGCTCAAACATCACACCCTTGACAGGTTCTGCTGGCGTCGCCGCCGGGGCGCGGCAGCCCCCTGTGACGCAGCGCACGTTGCTCTCTTCTAATTTCGCTGCCCCGATACAGAACGGCACGCGTGGGCTCGGACGGAACCTGCTCTCCGCCGGAGACCGCCTGCGTGACTTGATTGTGCCCGACGCGCTCGCGTCTGTGGTGACGGCACCAGCGGGATGGATTCCTGGCATTGGAAGCGGAGGGGGGAAGAGAGGCGGAGTGGCAGAGAAAGACGGTGGGAAGAGGGCGGAAAGATTGAGAGCAGAACTGGAGGAGATCCTGGCAGGCACTTGTCCATTATGCGAGAGTGTTGTGGCTGGGCTGGATAAGCCCTTCGTGAAGGATGGGGAAGGCGAAGCGGGCTGGGAGTTGTGAAACACTTACCCGACTTCGAGAAGTTCGACGATTCAGAGCCTTTCGCGACTATACCCTATTCAGCACGTTCTTACTACCCCTGTGCTCTATTATTGTTATTGAGTGCCAGTGAGGCTGTTTTCCAGTCATCGTCGTCAAGAGAAGTGAACAGGGTGGCGGATCTTTGCAGGAAATGCACAGAGATGCACAAACACGGACATGATCAGATCATCCACCCAGCCTCAGCGTTTGACACTGGATAACGAACGATCTTTAGCGCTTCAGCAGTTCAGATGGCTGTGCAGACGAGATGCATTCAATTGAGAATCATCATCAATCGTGGAAGAAGTTGATGAAAAGATACGGAAATTATAAATAGACATCGATATATCGTTGACAAGAAATCAGCCAAGCCATGGTAACTTATTTTTTTTCTTGCCATGCCGATGTGATACAAGACTGGAGCGACAAGACTGGAAGGCCAAGTCAAGGCCTTTTGCATGCGATTGGCAGAAAGCGTATTCAGCCGTGATGAATGAACTTCTCAAGGAAATGATGAAGTGCGACGGAAGACAGGAGGTTACCCACCATTCAAGCTCGAGACATAGAGAAGCGGATACCGAGGCGGATGCATGATCTGCAATCAGAGCGACGGAAGAATCATTGGTTTATTTTCTTCGAGCGACCGGCTTTGCGCCGTAGCCTGGCAGCTTTGCGTGCACCGAGCTGGTTACGATGGTAGATTAGCGACTGGAAGCAAGAAGTAACATGAATGGCTGACTTTTGCCTTGGTTTCCTCGGCTCTTTGACGCTCTTCCGCTGCCTTCCTTCTCTCGAGCGTGACCTCGCGTTTCCTGGAAGGCTGTCAGCGAGATGCAGCTGAAGGAGCGAGGAGGAGATCTGACCGGGTCCATTCAGCCTGCTTCTCTTCCTTGAGCTCGTCGTGGAGCATTTTGATGGCCTGAGCCTTCTTTGTTTTCTGCATCCTGTCGTCCCATTTTTTTGTTTTGACAGCTTCCTGGAGGTGCGACCGGCTAGAAGCAAGTATGGGTAAGACGGACGGAGATGACCGGGGGCGGGTCGGACATACACAGTAGCTGATTTTTGAGATTTCCAGGGTTTTCTGGAGAGCCTGCCGTGCGCGGTGGAGGCGAGGGCGACGACGGGCGGGGCAGACGGGGTGGGTTGTGTGAGGGACATCAGGAGGGCGGCCGGGAGTGAGGACGATCGGAGTTTGGGTTGCAGGAACAGAGCAGGCTATTTGGGGCTATTTGTTATCAGTGTCTGCGCTAGTAACTTGGTTCATTACCGGCCTACTAGCAGCCACCACTCGCTCACCGTCTCTCTCTCCTCCTCCCGCTCCCTTCCCGCCCCCTCTTCCCCGTCGTCGTTGCGGGCGATGTTGAGGTCTGTACAGTCTCCAAAGTCTCCTCAAGATGACCATCTACGACACCTCCTCGACCAGCGTGCTGCTCGTTCCGATATGCACCACCGCCGGTTCCCGTCCTTGACAGACTTGTCCGACTCCCCCTCTGTCTACTCCCACCCCTACTTCTCCCCTCACCCCGTGGATAGAGCTGAGCTTGAGGCCAACGCCGACGCGTTCGATTTTGCCATCCCCGCCCACTACCGTTCTCTCATGGCTCACGGACCCCGCACTCCCGGGCGCGATCGCCAACGGCTCGACGACCCCTCCGCCAGTACCTTGGACCTCGACGCCGATTCCACGGACTCTCGTCCGGCCTCCCCTCTATATGATGACGACCGCTCCCCACCCTACCTCGACGACGACACGGAGCCTATCCCCCGCATGAGCATGCTCGGCCCCAAGATGAAATTCCACTCCCCCGCCCCATGGGAGACAGAGGAAGACCCAATCCAGGAGCAAGATGAACCCGACGACGACGCTCGTTCGTTCATCTCGAAGCGCGGACGCATTCGTACAAAGGGTGAGGGCTTCATGAAAGGCTTCGGCATCGGCTCCTCCACGGCTAGAGGCAGCAGCGCTACACGACCGAGCGCCGATTCTTCCCGCTCTAGCGACAAGGACAAGAGCTCTTTCGAGACCACATCGTCTCATGCGCAGCCCCATCATAGTGCATTGCAGTGAGTCCTCCGTCGACGCTACACAAACAGACCGCTGTATTTTTATCAATGACGGTCTGCTGACTTGTTCTACGCAAATAGCGCCTTAGCTCAAGCATCTATGTCGTCAACGTCGTTAGCTGTTGCCCCTTCTTTTGCCGGTCAGGGCCATTTGCGGAACAAATTTTCCATTCCACGAGTCCGCACAAGGACGATATCCAACTCTGTGAAAACCTTGCAGCCTCCCGCTTCAAGTCCTCCCACCAACACTCTTTCAGATAACGCTTCTCCTATTCCACGCGCGTCGTCGCCTGCACACTCTGTGTTTTCCAACTATCTCTCCCGCACAGATACCCGTACATCGTCCCGGCCGAATTCTCCGCAATCTTTCACCCGGCACCCATATGCCAACCCAGACCTGGTATATGATCGGGAATCAGCCTATACACCCCCTACTCGCACTCAGTTTCAGGACATCCCATCAGTTGATTCTGCTGCAACTTTGCCTGATACCAACACCACGAGGAGCTCATCGCCTTTCCCATCGGCATCAGTGATCACTGTAACAATGACCCCGGATTCCTCGTCCTCATCTGTTGGAAACGGGAGTACTGATGTCTCGTCAAAACAATTAGTTGCGAGTCTCCACGGGAGGACCATCTCAGGCCCCATCCCTGTTGAGACTGCCTTGCGCACTACCCCAAGCGACGCAAGCGCCAAATCGAGAAGAAGAGAAACGAGACTACCTCCGCCTGCCAGCATGAACCAACTCCCTACTTGGGCTGATCTTCCAGCGTCGCCCACATTTACGCTGATTTCGCTAGAAGAAGCTCAGGCACAGGCGAGAGAACGTGCACGCAGCGTGACCGTGAACGCGACCCTTAGTGCCAACAGAGCGCCCTTTCTGGAGACGGAGCCGCCATCACGACACAGTCCTAGTGGGCCTACCACCGGTCATAGGGTGCGAGCTCGTTCTACGAGTGCGGGATCTAAAGGGAAAATTGCATTGCAAAATATGCAATCTCTTACGGGAAGCTCGCCGCCGAGCTTGCCTAGGGCGGAGCCGGAGGTCCGCCCAACCACTGGTGGTGCACCGCCTCGACTGAAGCACAAGAGAAGTGGCTTCATGCGGTTGTTCAACGGAAAGGAGAAGGAAAAAGAAAAGGAGTATTCGCCACCTCCCGTACCGTCGCTTCCAGATACTTCTATCTCGTCAGGCCCACTTGTCAAAACCCCCAAGCCCACCACATCGCGCGTACCGGTGCCTGCCCTATCACCCTCGCTGCTGTCGCATAGTGGAGGCTCGTACTTTGAAAGGGTGATATCCGACGTTTCTAAGGGTGACGAAGAACAGCCACTCTCGACAAAAGTTCGGCGCAACATGCCTGCATTGTCCATCATTCCTCCGTCAGAGACCTCTTTGCGTGTGCCCTCTAGCCCTATGTCGACGCAGACGGACAACCGCAGCAGATCCACCCTGCGCCCTGACCACAGCGAGAGGACAGGTTTTGTACCCGCCAGCGCTCCACCCTCCACAACTGAATTTCCCAGTCTCAGCCTCCGACCCGTTTCTACTATATTCAGCGCTCACTTTGCCCAACACCTGGTCGAGAGCGATTTGGGTATCGACACAGAGCCGGAGCTGGACACATCCACATCGACCAGCGGGTTTTCCCCGCTCAGCCCAGACTTTCCTCTACGTTCATCCGACGGTAAGGGTGCACCGCCCCAAATTGTCACACAGAGGGATGCGTCAGCAATCATCCAGTCGCTGCAGGACCAGATTGCGACGTCTCGAAAAGCATGGCAACGACAGGTCTGGGAACTAGAAGGCCGGGTGCGCGATCTGCGCTCTGAGGTGGAAGAGCTGCGCGCCAAAGAGGCCGAGGGCGAGCCGTGCGATAAGTGTGGGCGCGGCCTAGGACGTTCAGGAGAAACGTTCGATTCTCGTCCTAGTGTGGTCAACCGACCGCGGGCGAGAACCGGGGTGGGCACGCGGTTTGGCACGCGAGGTTGAACGTGTTGTTCCACTCTTTTCCTCCTCGCTGTGGATTTCTGTCTCTTTGATTTATCAGGTATTTTTTTCTATTCTATTATTTATCTCCCTTTTCAGGGAGAGCGGCGTCGTTCGCTCTTGTCTCAGTAGACCTTTTTGGATGCGATCGCAGGCCAATAATTCCCTCGTCCTATTCCTTTCTATAATATGTACGCTATGATCATCCGGTTTTGATCTGTCTATCGCCCTACACGCTCCTTTCGCCCTTTTTGGTGCTCCCGTACATGTCTGTCTACACTAGATTTTGCGCATAAAGGATATCGTTTCCCGCTCGTTGATACCGTCTATATGTCCACACCATCCCCTCTCTCGCTCACTTGTCCTGCGCGTGTCCGGACACTGTAGTAGTTCGCGTTGTCATTTCCATTCCCTTGATCTCGATTTGTTTTGATTTGATCTCTGTTCGTCCTTGTCATCTGTGTCCAACTCTTGACGCAACCCACCTACTCCTGTTTCGGCGTTCTGGCGATTGCTTCTGCGCCTGCGATTTGCAGAACAATCCAGCACGCCGATCCTAACAAAGTGGACACGGAATTGAGAGCAATTGACAGCTAGGTTCATAACGATGGGCCTCGACCGAACAGAACAAGCTTAACAAAATAGGTCGGTGCTGGAATATTCTGGCGGCGTGCCAGTAGATGCCGGTTCCTCCGCTTGTTATCCCCTCCTCACTACCCAGTCAAACGCTGTCTGGATCTCAAATTCAATGCTCCGACCAACTCATTATGTTCGGAGTTTGGGCCTAACGCTTTGAATCTGGCCGGAAGAAGCCAAAGACAAGCTGCATCCGCTCCTTCCGCAGCGCGGAGTCCATCCAATTTTGAACCATGGCACATGGCTGAGGCCAGACAAAATCGGCATGTACATATAGGCCTATCTGCATGACCAATTCCAGAACGTAGAAGGGTCCAGGTAGGCAATATGTAAAAAATGACATTGAGACTGTTTCAAAATCCGCGATCACTCCTCACCCTCGTCGGCGCCGAGCAACCATCCGATACCCTTCTGAAGCACCCGACTAGCCTGTGCGGACACATCCTCGTGCTCGTTCCGCCCGGATCTTCCTGTTTCATGAGAGCCGACGGATAGCGGGCGGCCGCCCACCGCGAAAGATGGGAAATTGGCCGCGACGCGGCTAAACGTGTTCGAGAGTGCGGCCGCGTCTGGGGTGCTGACCAGCGGCGGCGACGGAATGTGGAGGTCCGGCATGTGGAGGTTCTGGAACCGTGTGGCGAGCGAGGAGGGCATCGCACCCGCCGAGGGGGCGCTCCGTTTTCTCTTTCGGCCCCCGTCACCAGATTCGATCGCCTCGGCGCGCCGCGATGCGATGCGCTCTTTGCGCACTTCGAGGTCTTCTGACTCGACGAGGCGCCATGCGGCCAGTATGTCAACGATTTTGGACGCAGGGCATAATTCGATGGCGCGTGCGAGGAGGGCGAGCTTTTTCTGTACGTCTGGGAACTCGGGCTGCCGGCCGAGCTGGAAACACGCTACCCAGCACACTTCGCTCGCCTCCTGGACTTGGGGGTCGTCAGAGCTGTCGATCACTGCCCTGATCTTGAGCACCGTCTTCACCATTGCTTCGCTTGTCTCGTATGCCCGGGTAAAATCTTCTGCCTGAAGGGCAGTATCTGCGATCATAGCGAGAGCCTTCACCTCCGCGGTGATATCGTCCCGGAAGCCAAGTTTGTGGACGAGATCAAGAATAACTTCGGTATATTTATACGCGTCGCTGTTGCTGGAAAGAACACGGGACACCAAAGAGAGGCGGTCTTTGGTGAGTCGTACCTCGATCGGGGAGATAGGGATCCCAGGACGAGACATGACATTGAACGAAGCAATGCGAGAGGTCGCTTCAATAAACTCCTGTTCACGTATGATCTTGTCTGACCGTGCCGGGACCGACAGACTATACAAAAGGCCAAGTTAACAACGAACTCGATAGAGCCCGATATGCTCCTTACCAATCGTACGCCAGCTTCATATCCCCGAATCGATAATTTCCAGAAGTCGAATTGTCGTAGAACTCTCGAGAACAAGCCAGACAGACCTCCTCGATGACCTCATCTTCTAATGATAGTGAGCTCTTCCTAGACCGCAATAGCACCTTCGCGATCTCGAATTCTAGGACAGGGTCGATCAGATAAGCATATATCGTATAGATAGAAGGATCGGACTCACTCCCAGTGCTAAGTAAACCACTGAAGAATATGCGAAGGACCTCAGTCTTGGATAACAGGCCAAACGCATTTCTGAGCCCTGCGTCGTTAGTGCCTGATAGCTTGATCATATCTTCCAGCAACCATTCCCAGTCGCCTTGGGTATCCAGTTCGTCTTCGGACCCACCAGCACGCCGGGCCATCCGAGTAGCCCACGCTCGCTGCTGTGCTTCATCGTTGGCACTCTGCAAGAACCATCGTAGCGGAGTGGGAACACTCCATCGTGACAAAATCTCGCCGCATTCTAGATGTACGTCCAGAATATCAAGGGCACGAGAGAGCGACACTGTGGGAAGAGGTTTGAAAAACACGAGAAGGTCCGCTGGTGTACAGCGTGGGCGCGTGGTTGTTGGTGCAACAAAAGCCCCTAAGGAAGTGACAGTCGTGTCTGCCTCGTCTGCTTGATCTTCCCCGGTCGGACTCACGTCCCATGCTGGCAAGCATTCAAAGATCTGGCTCATGGCTGGCCACTCGTTGACGCTGTCGCTACCGTACAGACAGGCAAGGGCTAGCCTCGCCATGTCTTCATCATCACGTATGAGGCGCTGGGATGTAGAGAGCGTTGGCTTTGATGCCTCGAAGATAGCCGCAACAATGTCGAGAGGTGCAGAAAGTATAAACTCGTTGACAAGACGGGTAGCAAGAGATGGATCTGGCTGCCCTGAGCGTTCCGCACGAGCCTCCAAAACAAATAGATATGGCATAACGAGTCGTCGAATATCCATTACAATGTTGTCGGAGGTGGAATGGGCGAGGTAAGCTCGAACAACAGCAGGAGGATCCATAGCTCTCCATCGATCAAGCGTCCAATCCTCCGTCTCGTCTTCATCTGCTGCGCGCGAGTCGTAGACAAGGCGTGACAAAAGGCTCAGCTCCTCTCCCAGCTCATCCAGACCTGGCAGGCCCTGAGACGCGCCGTGTTGTATGACGGCTAGAGCGACATCCACCATTCCTGTAGAAGACAAGACATGCTCGACACGATTATCGTACCATGAAGTTAATTCGGACGACGAGAGTGGTTCGGGGTGGGAAGGCGGTACAAATGAATAATGAGGGCCAATTTCGAAGTGAACGACGCCTGAGGTTGTTAAGGCTTGCTGCACTGGTACGAGCTCTGACCAGTCGGCTTCTTCTCTCCACGGCTTAGCGGTGAACCTCTTTTCAATGTCGTGAGATACGTCGTATGCCGGTAATAATTCCAGATATTGAGATGGGTGTACATGCTCGGGAATGCTATCCAGAATCGTGAAACGAAGAGGCCAGAGGTAAGATCCACAATGAACGAATAAGACACGAACAGCGGAGAACCGTTGCTCCGTCGCCAAAACACACGCACTATGAAGCAGATCATCCACGAGGAAAGAGGATAGGGCCAAGGGAAGCTTTCCTGAAGGCAGGCCCTCTGTTTTCTCTACGCCATCGCTGTCACCCCATGGGTCGTCCTCCCATTCCCCATCAACAAGCTCTTCATCCTGGTCGCCAACCTCTTTGCACAGCTCCACGAAGGTATTCAGCCGGTCAAGTCGTCCAAGGAGTACTGCGCGCATATAGCATATTTGTGCGTCTGCTGGTTCATCACGGAAGTACGAGACCAGTGTTTCGTTCTCGGCACCAGAATCGTCTGCGTGTGCAAGGTCGTCTGCGGAGGCGTAGACATTTTTGCCTCGCTCCAAAGCGGATTTCGTCCTTTCAAGTCCAAGATCCAGCAGGTCGCGTTGTGTTGTTACATCATCGAGTATTCGATCAACGCAAGCGGCAACAACCCACAAGTCGTCCTTGATAGATTTGAGAGTGGATTGAACATGTTCTGCGGTCAAGTCATGATCAGCAATACTGGACCATTTCTCACAGAGATCCTGAGAGCCAGAGGCCATTCGGGTGGGTGTAGAAGAGTGTCGGATGCAACGAGCGTGCCAGAACACCGCACGCCGACAGACGTGTCTTTATATGCATCACGTGTTCACGCGTCAGTAACTTTTGCGAGAAATAGAAAGAAACGAGCTTTTGTCGTCAATGGCAAGTCAACTAATCAACTCATACACAAGGAAGGACATGCACGACCTGGACTCAAAATCTGTGAGATTCTTACTCGTCAATAAGCGATGAGCGATGGCATAACCTCACACGACTTGGTCGGTACTCAACATGAAACGAAGGTCGAATCTACAAGTACACACTGCTGAGCAGCCGATGCGAGAAGTAATATACATGTCTCGAAACATGTCTCCCAGGACGATATGCCAGCATATCATGAGTCGATCTATGTGTTTTAAAACCGAGAGCGGGCTGTAGAATATGTGACTCCGATATGCCCTAATCAAAGCGAAAGAAACATGCGTGATTGTGATTGACTTCAGAATAGCGTATCCTACACAGTATCATATTAGACATAAGACAGATAGACGATATCACGAAGCGTACCTCATCACGCAAGTATTCGCCGATATCTCTATGGGCTACGAATCAGAGATAGGAAGGAGAGAGCTCATAGCGCAAGACTCACGCTTGATGGAAAACGATGATTGCGGTTGGGTCCAACTTCCGCGTATCGACAGTAGAACGGGATGTAACGCCAAATCCCTTTGACCATGTTAGAATGCGCACGATCGAAGACATATACAAAGGGACGCTCACTAATGGAATGTCATTCATGCTGAAGACCACAACACCCTGGTGCTCTGGAGTGTCTTCCGTGATGCGCCCAAGATGGGCTTTGGCCACATGGTTCCCATACAAGAATGGCATCTCGCCATTGGGTTTTATCCACACCTGCACCCACATCAGTATAGTACAGGATGATATCAGTATACTACGCACTTTGTACTTCGCATACTGTGCGAGATAATCTAGCGCGGTGATGTGCAGCTTGAACTTGCTGCTTTTGCTGAATTTTCCGAAGCAGGTCCCGAGGCTTACAAGGTTTGGCCGCGCGACCGAGATGCCGAGACGCATAGAAGATTCAGAGACATAGTAGACCCTGTCCTTTTGCAGACGGAAGCAATATGGCTCGTCCCGTCTGTCGATGAGATGGATGATATTCTTGCCCTGGGCACAAAGAGCAAAGACGTGAACGAGGAAGTGCAAGCAGACAGAACCAACTCACGATATAGTTGGCAAGTTTGGTGAAAACCGCCTTGCTCTCTTCCTCGGTCAAAGGGCGCATGGTAGGGCTTCAGCGTCTAGTCGTGGTATGTACAGACAAGCAGTCTGGAACTTGAAGGGGATCGACGAGGCGCAGAGCACCTATACAAATACTGCCCCTCTCGGCAAACCCCGACGAGATATTTTAAAGCCCCCAAAACCCGTGCTTCCAGGCTTTTGAAGCCGTCGTCCGGGGTCCTTACCCCGGATTCTGCGTGGACAAGCCCAGCCTCTTCCAGCCCAGCCCTATTCGTGTTGATGGCCAGCGAATCAGAGTCCTCAATTGGATGGGTGTCGCAAACTCCACCGGGCCCTCAGCAAGGGCTAGTCCCGCAGCTTCATCTATCACCAAGGCAGGCGATTCGTGCCCTGTGGGCTTATAGATTGAAGTCGAGACTTCGAGGGTTGAAACAGGGTTCGATGCCTTCTAGGACAGGCGTCGCGTACAAGACACAGACACCATGGGTATCGCATCATGCCAATCACAGGTGAATCCAGGTGGTTTCCCGAATGGGATCGCGCAGCGGTAACTTACACAGTAGCGGCTAGATAGAACATACATCGAAGAGATGGGAAGCCCCGCACGGATATAACTTACACAGCAGCCTTGGCTTCCTCAACTGCGTCACCGAGCCTTACCCACAGTCCGCCCTGTTCCAGAAAATCAATACAATTCTCAAGACACGTAGATGATCAGAAAATGGGGGACTCACATCGATATACATAGTCAGATGAGATTTGGGCATGATCTTCTCCGTCGACTGAATTCCCTTCACCAAGGCCCATGATGCGGGAGGGATGGTGCCCGAAGGCTGAGCATCTTGCGCTAGCTCGACGGATGAGAAGCTCTGCAGCAGGCGGATAAGCATGAACGAGGCTTCGTTGTATGCGAACTGGGCGCATTTGTGTGTTACGTGTTATCTGACATGCACCTGTGGGACATGACGATGATGTCGTACCTGTTGGCCTAGACATATTCTTGGCCCGGCGTTAAATGGGAGAAAGATGAACGGATTGGGCGTGAGGTATTTCTGGACACGCTCATCGATGAACCTATCTGGGTCGAACTCGAGGGCTAGGGCTGCGGTTCAGTGACAGCGCGAGACCCGTTCCATTTCACTCGGTACCCACCGTCCGGCCCCCACAAGTCTGTCCGACGTTGCATTACGAAAACAGAATACAGGCATCTGCAGATCCGGTCAGCGCCGACTACAGTGAGAAGGAGAAGACAAACCTCGTGCCCGCTGGGATGTAAAAGGGCTTCTGTCCGGGTGTTGTAGGTGGTAGGACAGTCGGCTTTGTCGAAGTTCTGATCCCGAGCATCAGCTAACGAGGAAAGTTGACTTCATTTTTCCTAGCTGCGCACCTCAAATCAAAGGGCCTAGCAGCGGATGGAAATATTCAACATGCATCCGAGAATGATATGGCAATCACGCACACTATCGGGTAGAGCCTCAAAGTTTCTAAATCACGCAAATGTCAACAAATGATAACCTAGGGGCTTTGAATCATAACTTACCATTGATAAATGCCCTAAGATATTTTAGATTTCTCAATTCTTCGTAGGTAGGTCTTCTCATGCCAACTTGTCCAATAATTTCGGCGCGCAGCCTACGAAAGACCTCGGGATGCCGAGAGAGCATGTAGAGACCAAATGTTAACGTTGCTGCTGTCTGAACAAGCCGTCATATGAATACCAGCTGTATCGACGTCTAAGACTAAAACAAATCGCACCGTGTCTCGACCAGCAATCATGATATTGAGAATTTCGTCTCTAAGTACGACAGGATCTGCCACCAGTTAAGATGGTCCATTGTTTTAACCGTTAATAGATCCAGCGCTCACCTTCCGTATAGTTGACGAGATGTTCGAGCATATTCTCCGCCTCCGCAGAGTGGGAAGGGTCGCCCTTGATGGCCTTCAACTCCCTCTTCCGACGAACCGCTTCGTTCAAGATGGGATTGATATAGTCGTTGATTTTCTGCATATGGTCCTTCGTCGAGTCTTTCCGCATCTCGACAGCCCTCCACCGGGCGCCGAAGAAAGAGCGGAAAGCGATCATTCTCTGGGCCTCTCCAAATGCGTGCGAGAACTGATTCGATGGGTGGTGGGAATTGTCGAACACTGTCGCCTCCGGTGATCCTTGGGGATATGGGAAGCCGGCGGACAGCGAGCGGACATCCTGTCCAAAGAGAAACTCGGCAGCCGAGTCTAGCGTGAAGCGGGATGCCAAATCCTGTATGGTAGTGGTGTTGAGGATCAACATCATTGGAAGCTGATTCAGGGTGACAAACCTGGAAGTCAATGGGAAACCCAGCTTTCAAGCGCTGCTGCGCCTGTGAGATCGCGTCCAAAGCGTGTCGGTCGAATATGTCGAAATCGGTTATGCGTTCCTTGTTGAAGAAGGGCCTGGTCATGCTGCGATGGAACCTGTAGGCAAGAATGGGAAACATTGAGGCGACCGCATGGCACAGTGATGGAGTCCAAGATCACTCACTTCCACATTTCACCTTTACAAATTCGATGTGGGAACAGGTGAGAAGAATCAGAATGGAAGGAAATATCGCGAAGCAGCCAGTATCACCATCAGCGTTGAAAACTCCGGTCCCCAAGACGGAATTCATGGAATCACGAAAGATTGAGCCTGTCCAAAGCCAACTTCGGATCAGCAGATGCTCAGTTTCAGATCCAGTCACTACCTTTCTCCCAGGACTCGAAATCTGTGGCCAGAATTGACTGACGAGGGAGGATCAGAAACAAGTGAATACCTAGACGCGCGGAACGCTACCTTGATGTGGTGTGGCTCCATAGTTAATAGCTGTTCAGAGGGTTAGAGAAGTGAGACGGTCAGAAAGGGGGGATAAGAAATACATACTCGAGTGTCAGAACCTGCGGCGAGGTAGAACGTGTGCCCATACTTGGGGATGACCTCCAGTAAAAAATCGCCTTTGATCATGGGACAGGTCAATATCACTTTGCTGCTTTTTGGAAAATAGGAGATACCAGGATAGCCATCGTAGAAGCTGCGAATGAGTCTCGCTAGGATGCCTAGATTGAATGGCCATTTATCTCGAACAGTGGGGGCCAAGACGGCACCCATGGCCGCAGCCCTTCTCCTGTTCTTGAAATCGGCAACAGCGGATGTGACCACAGAATGGAGAGGGAAACTTAGGCCCGCGGCAAGAACAACTGTCCATCTAGGGATGTTGACGGAGGTGTAAGCCTCTAAGCAATTGGTGGCATACCAAAGCGCCCCGAGTGGGAAGACGATCGTCGGAAGGTTCGTGACCAGATATTGGACACCAGGGCTGACCATCCTGTGCAGCGTTCGAACAGTGGAAGCTCCTAAGGGAAGTTTGGGCCTCCTTCATCCCACATGGTCCCTCAGACATGGGGTATTAATACCAAGTTTGCCCGATCAGATCTCTACTCGGGGAGAGAAAAGGCAAGAAAAGGCTTGCCGAGCGCTCTGGTCCGCTGACGTTCCTCCCTTAACACTAACGCACCTGACCGATCCCGTTCTGAGTGCATGCCCACATCCTCCTGACACCGCAGGCCAGAAATCCGAAACGTACTGCGATGGATGTTCCGTCGTTTTCATCCTTCCCTCCTTCCTTCAGCTCGTTTCCTGATCTGGATCTGGATCCAAGCAAGCCACCGAAATCCTCATCGCGACAAGCGGACGAAGATCGGTCGAAACGCAAGGACAAACACAGAAAAGAGAAAAAACTAAAGGACAGCAAGCATACTCACGAAGATCTCGGACTCGAGAGAAGGCTGCGTAGGCACAGGAGCAAAGAACGGGCGGGCAAGGAGGTCAGACTGCCGTTCGATGATGAGCGGCTCAAGGAAGAGGAAGACAGGTGGCGGGCGCGCTCCGAAACACAACCTAGTTCTTCGAAAATTCTGTTCTACTCAGACAGAAAGGGCGACCCGCTAAATGTACAGTATGGAGGCCTCCACGCAGCGAGTGTTCCGAGATACCATTTGGTTGGATGTACGTCACTCATCGCGAGCTTGCTTGACAACTAATAATGAAGAAGGGGGTAGGAAAATTCTTGGTCTCAACCAAGCCTTTACAGCTGTGCATAGGAGCAGACAGGGCATTGAAGTTGGTGTCGGCAGCAGGCGAAGGGTATGTTGGCCTCTGCGTTTACTCTGTGGCTGACAGTGCAGCGTCTTACTCACTCTTGGGCAGGTTCAAGGCATTGCTGACCACAGTGTCAGAGCTTTGCTCAAAGCCCCGCCCAAACGAAGACTCATACCATCTTCAGATGGTCCTCATAAATTTGAGGAGGTCGATGGCTTCATCAAACTCCCCTCTCGACGTCGCGACGATCAGGCGTACCGATCTATCGAGACCGTCAGAGACAACGCAGAATCTGACTTTGATTCATCATCCGAATCCGACGATGCATCTGAGAGTACAGATAATGACGCAGACGAGCTGACTCTCACTTCTTATCAAGAGAAGATGAAGGCGCTCGAACAGCAGCTTTCCGCTGACCCATCGTCAGTGCCTACCTGGCTCTCCCTGCTATCCCATTCTCTGTCCCAAATCCCTGTCACCTCGAGGAATGCTACCAAGGCCCGTTCTGAGATCACGCTGTCCATTCTTGAGCGCGCTTTGTCCTCACTACAGCCCTCATCTTCTGCGGTGCAGCTCAAGTTGAAGCACCTTCAAGCCGGGGAGGCAGTTTGGCTGGAGGCAGAACTAAAGAGTCGATGGGAGGATGCTCTGAAACTGGACAATATTGAGATTTGGCTTGCGTGGTTAGAGTGGAGGTTCCGCAAGGGAGAGGGAGGTGTCGACGGAGCGACGAAGGATGTGCTGAGGGTGGTCGGCGCAGTAACGAACGAAATAGACCGCCTCAGAATAATGTGGAGGGTTGCTATCGCCTTTCGCCAATATGGTAAGTCTCACTGACGCATAACGCATCACAATTGCTTAATGATCTACTCATAGGTTTTGTCGAACGTGCTGTTGCACTCTTTCAAGCACAAGCGGAACTGTACGCTATATTTTCTACGCTTTCATATCAATTCTCGTCCTAACAATGGGAGGTCTTAGGGTTTTCTGTATGCCTCCATCTCTTGTTGGATCTACATTTGACAAACAGCTAGATGCGATTGAAGAGTTTTGGGAGTCAGAGGTTTCACGTGTCGGTGAGCCAGGATCAAAAGGCTGGAATGCTTGGGTGGCCGAAGGCAGTCCAGAACACAGTGCCGACACCCTTCCTCGTACTGATCACCCACCAGTTCAAGTAGATATTCCTGACCCATATCGCAAATGGGCTCGGGAAGAAATACTCGCAGATCAGACTCTACAAACGCCATTGCGATCCACTGATGCCGAGGCAGATGAAGATCCGTACGGGACAGTTTTATTTTCTGACATTCGCCCGTTCCTATGCTCTTTTACTACGGCGCGGCCGAAGACCCTGTTTAGGCTAGTATGGCTGTCATTCGCGGGTCTGTACATTCCCGGACTAGAGACGGCTTTGGGCACCGCGGCCGAAAACGTCGATGACAGATGGAGTAGAGCGCATCTCACATCTCCCAATTGCCTGGCCTCCGTGTTCCCCTCTGCATCCGCTGCACGTCGGATCTCTGTGGACGCACAGTGTGGAGCGATTATCGGCCGAGAACAGGAGTATACGAGCGGCTTTGGGCCAGTGAAGAATTGGAGTTATCGTACTGTGGGCGCGCTAGATACGTTTGGGGAGGGCGGCTGGAGGATGTGGACGAAGGAGGACATGCAGGGTGTGAATCAGGGGTTCGTACGACGCGTGTTTGAGCAGTGTCGCGTGGGTGGAGATGATGTTGAGTGGGACACATTGGCGCTCGCGTTTGAAGCTGCTGTGAATGTGAAAAGGTATGAGCGCCTGAAGGTTTATTTTCCCCTCAAATTTGCTGATACTTGTTTTGCTTTTTTCTTTATCTCGGGAAGCGCTCTCAAGCTGTCTCGCTCGTTTCTTGCTACTGCACGCGAATCCCTTCCTCATTGGGCGATACATGCGCGCCTCGAGCGCCTCCAAGGCCGCACAGAAGCCGCGCGCAAAGTTTACGAGACCGTGCTCTCCGCACCTTCCTCTTCCCAGACCCGGCTCAGTACGGGCCCACTCTGGTGGGACTGGGCCGAGATGGAGTGGCTGGGCGAGAGGCCCGACGCCGCGCTCAAGGTCACGTTGTCCTCTGCCGGCGTTGCTGGGACCGCCGGCGGCGGTATAGCAGTCCTGCGTGCGAAGCGGGTGTTGGAGGATACTGTGGCTGAGATCCCGGAAATGCTATGGAAGGCGCGCGAGGCTTGGCTCCGGCTCGGTACGCTGCTCGAGCTGCTCACAGCTTCTCCGGGGGGCGGGCTTCCGCCCTTTCTCGTCGAACCGATGCAGGTAGGCAGTGTTGCGGCGGAGAGTCGGGCAGTAGCATCTTTGAGCATGCTGTACAACCACATGGTCGTCCTGCGGAGTGCTGCGCGCCCAACTATACTGCGCGAGCGGCTGCAGGAGGCGGCTAGGCTGTATCCGGACAACACGGTCGTGCTGGGCATGTTTTTGGAGGTGCAGAAGGGTCAAGGGGTGTGGGGACGCGTGCGTGAGTTGGTGGCGGATGTCGGAGCGGACGGGGCGGTGAAGGAGAAGAGCGTCGCCAGGCGGGTGATGGACGTTTGGATCGCGGGATGGGAGAGGGGCCGGTGGGAATGGGAGATCGAGAGGACGAGGAGCGGTTTGAACGCCGCCGTCGAGAGCGAACGGTACGTGCTCCGTGTCTACTAACAGGCCACAACTCATAGGTAGCCTGCAGGACCCGAGGAAGCCCTGTGCTATGGCGAATTTTCATCGAGTTCGAGATCCGGGTGCAGGACCTGAAGCGCGCGAAAAACGTGTTGTTTCGTGCGATCGCGCAGTGTCCAGGTGTCAAAGGTATGTACATAGGACCATTGTCGTAAATAGGAGTAGGAAGGCTGATATAGTTGTGCCCCACAAGAGCTGTATCTATTGGCATTCGACACACTGCGATCTGTGTTTACTCCGGGCGAATTGAACGAACTCGGAGAATCGATGGCCGAGAGGGGTGTGCGGATGAGGAAAGGGCTGGACGAGGCGGTGGAGGGCTGGGTGGATACGCCCGAGGACAACAGAGGCGTGGAAGGCGGAGACAGCGGGGAGGAGGACGAGATCGAGTACAATGCGAGGGAGCTGAGGCGACTGAAGCCGTACTAGTATTATGTAATCCGCCATTGTGGCCATTGTGTGTGACGGGAGTGTGACACGGCGGAATGGACACGAGGCGATCAACGGAGGGCGGACATTTTGCATCCACCACCAGCGATCGTCCTCAAGCACAAAGCCCGAACCCCAGCCTCTCGCCGGCCATTGTCTTTCCTTATTCTTGCCCCTCCGTCCATCTAATCTCCTTTCGTCCACAGCGTGACGATTATCTTCCGCCTTTCTCTTATCCTCTGGTCTCCCACAACTATACTCCCCCCAACGGGGGCCACCTGGCCACCTGTCCCACTTTCCGCTACTTCCATCTAGCACCACCCCCATGTCCCATATCCCCGCACCCTCCATCACACTCTCCAGGGAGGAATGGCCCGACGCCGACTTCGATATTCCCGATGACGACGAACCGCTCCATGCCTATGATGTCGAGTCCGATAGAGACGACGACGACGACTGGGATGCAGACATGGGGCTAGCAGGAGGGAAGAAGGGGGCGGTCAGAGCTCTTGGTGTTGCCGCCAGGTCACAGCCATCGAGGAAAGGAATATCACACATGATCACCATTCGTCCACCTGTCCTCCCATCCACAAGCGAGGACGACGAGGACGACGAAGGCTTCTCCACCATCAAGGTCGCTGCCCTTCCCAACCCATCCACATCATCCGCTCCTCCTGCCGACGATGATTTCGAGGACGCCTTCTCTCTTCCCTCCGACTTGACTCAGCTTTCCTTGAAACCTCTTGGCCTTCACCACCAATCATCGAAGCATTCGCTGGAGTGGGGCGAAAAGGATCAAACCTCCTCGTCCCAATCCTCCGATGCCTACTCTACTCTCGGCTTTGCCGAAGGTTCCACATCGTCATCTAATTCGACCTCCGCTTCGCTGCCTGAGACCGATGAAGATGAAGATGATGGAGATCTGGAAGGCCTTGTTATTCCCTCCGGTCTCTTCGACGGCGCTGGCGGGAAGCACTTGACGAGGTTGCTGGAGAAGAAGAAGAGGGCGCCTGTGGCTGACGAGGGTGTCAAGGTTGTCAGCCCTGACCCCGAGGACGACTATGAGAGCGGCCTCGTTATCGACAACGATGCTGATTTCAGCCCCAGCAGGCTACTGCAGAAATCTCTGGACAAGCACCCAAAGCACCGAGCTACTCTTGGAGCTCGCAGCAACAGCATGCCTGCCCGTCCGCTTTCCGTCCGGCCCCAGTCACGCCTCACCCATGATCGCGCAAAGTCGCCGATTAACCCCCTTGCGTCGTCTGCGCGTCAGATGCAAAAGATAAAGCTATCTCCCCCACTAGGTCCGACCACGCGATCGGATTCCTTTAAAGCTCTCCTCTCCGCTCCTGCTGCCTCGAGTTCCTCGTTCCTTGCGGCAAAGTCCGGTAGTTTGCGTGGACAGAAGTCGCATACGGGCCTCAACCCACCCGTTCAGCCTACGACACAGCGGGCGCTCACACGCAAAGCATCGATGGGTGCACTCATGGGGTCAAATCAAGCCCAGGCATCAGGCTCTGGGTCGACATCCAATGCAGCAGCTCCTAACAGTGGCTCACGCTATGAAGCCCCGACTGCGGCGTCGCGTGCGAAGAACTCGCACACGCATTCGACAAGTCGGATACATGGACTGGAGCGGTACGACGTGCCGCCTACACGCCCCTCTACCCCAAACCCAAACCCGGCCGCGCTGCGCCTCACGATGCCAACGTCCTCTGCTCGTCTCAAGACTCGACCACTCATATCGAACGTCTTTCCTTCGTCGCCATCCTCCTCTACCTCGTCTTCCATACCACCACGAGCCAGGTCCCCTATGCCCCCACGCCCGCCTTCTTCCGCATCGATACGTTCGAGGTCATCTGCGGTGACCAGCCCACCACCGCACACGGGTCCAAAGGTGCTTCGAAAACCAAAACGCCAGCGGATGTATGGGGATGGCACTGAACTGGACGCGTTCGAGGACCTTCCGACCGATCGCGACAAGGAGAGCCGCTATCGGGTGCAGCCAAAGGGCTTCGGAAATCGGGTCCCGGGCGCTATGTACCCGTCCAAGGGATCCGACGGCAAGGACTGGGGCAAGGGGATCATGCGGAAAAAGCCGCTTCGCGATGGCTCGGGCAGTGGTTCGGGTGGGTTTCCCTCTATGTCGTCCACGGTCCACCAGAGCTGATCTCTCCGGACCGCAGACGTCTCGCGAGCCGCCGAGCCACGGACCTTGAAGCGCACCGGCCGGATCGACTTCCCCTCGAGGTCCGGGACCCTTGACTCTACGTCATCAAAGCGGATCAAAGCCCCTCCTTCACCCAATCAGACCCGGCGAAAACCCACCTTGATCCGGAACCTTGGCGGTGCCACCGCCCCGAAAGGTACGCCGATTCTTTTGAATGCCTGACGCCGCCCTCACTCGCGCCGATCGTAGTGGTTGGGGAGATGAAGTGGAACCCGCAGACTCTTCGATGGGAGGGCAATGACCAGGCACTCCGTGACTTCGACGCGGCCATCGGCACCTCGACACGGCCTGCCCTCATAACACACCTCACAGGTTCCTCAGTCGGGTCCCCTGTGAGTTCATTTGCATCCGGCGCGCGTCGGGTGGGCAACATGATCTTCGATCCCAACCGCATGTGCTGGATATCCACACTACCACCTGAAGAAGATGAGCCGGATGTCTTCGCCGATCTCGCAGACGACGAGGAAGACGGCTGGGAGGCCAACGGCGGGACCATCCGCGCTGCGCAGCAGCAACAAAACCCCACAGCCTCTGGTCCAGCCGACATCAGCAAAAGATCGGCGGCCAATCCCTCAGGTCCTCCAAGTCCGACTAGGAGCACGAGGAGTCACGATCGGAGCCCGTCCGAGTCTGGCAGCGACCGCGGGTCGCGCGCGTCGATGGTGTGCGACGTGGATGACACCTTTTTGGACGCGTGCCGACAGGCAGAAGAGCGCCATCGTACAGAAATGAAAGGCTGGAAGATGAAGCAAGACAACGCGTCTGCTGGCACCGACCGCCAATATCTTTTTGACATTCGCGCCCTAGCGACGGGTGACTACTAAATGTTTCCTTGTTTTTATCGTTTTGTCTCATCTCTTTTTTCTTCTCACTCATCTCTCCGTCTCTCTCTGTGTCTGTTAGAGCGACCCCTTCGTCTCGCTTATGCATGATGGCCGTCATCATTACTACTACTACTACTACTCCTACTCTAGTGCGTTTCTATTCATTTCATTTCTTGTTAACCCCCTTTTTGTCCTTTTAATGGTGGACGAAGACATAGGACGCTTCTTCGAACCCACTTCCCCCTCCATCCCCATTTGTCCCCCTAATCGCCCCCTCTTTGCTTTGCACTTCTCGCTGCAGCCTTTTCTTTTTATCCTCTTCTTTTTCTTTACGATGTTGATGATAACGTCACCGACCACGCACGCTCCTTGCCCGTTTGTTTTTCGATTTGTATGTCGCAGGATCATATGGAAAAACATGGCAGACTCTCTATCAAGACCGTGTGCGAGCGAGTGTGCTTTGCGTGAGTGAAGAGTGGGTTTGAGGTCGGTCGATACCGAACAGTCGTTGGTAGAATCATGGTTCATGGTACTACGTGCTCATACGTTACACCACAAGTATGTACGTGCTTGCTCGCTGGTACCGGCGAGGAGCGTCTCAGTCACTCTCGAAATGGCTATCAATGTCAGATCAGTCAGCCACAACGAATGAACAAATATCTGTGTTCCTTTCTGATCGCTAATCATGGGTGAATCAGCACATCTTGTGCTCCAGGCTTCGATGAGCCTCCACTCACGCCGGATTGCGTATGTATCAGAGTAGGAAGTTGTCGGCCCTTCGTTGTCTGCCACATCAGTCAGCTCAACATCTCCTGGTGTCTCTTACTAAACTTTTTTGCTGATTCAAAACACTCATCGACTCCAGAGCCACATCAATGCCATAATCTCTCAGCTTTCGGAAACACACAATGGACGATAGGCCAAGTATAAAGAGCTCGTCGCAGTTTGCTCTACATTCCATCCTCCCATCTTCTCAAGACCTCGTTCAGTAAATCTCAATTCGTTATAATGGACGCTGTTGGATTTGACGAGAACATATCCAATATCACCTCCTACCATGAGTGCGCTCCTTTTCTTCCTCACGCGTATATATGCCTAACAGATACTTTCAGTGCTTATCCCGGTATAGACCGCAAAGTCCACTACGATGCCCAGACATATAAAGGCAAAGTCGTCTTCATCACTGGTGCCTCTCGTGGTATCGGAGAGGAAACGGCACTGTCCTATGCTCGTGCTGGCGCGCTCCTGTCCCTCGTCGCGCGCAAGCAGACGACTCTGGACTCGGTGAAGGCCACCATATTGAAGGAGGTACCGGGCGCAAAGGTTCTGACGTTCCCCGTGGACGTCACACACACCCAGGAAGTCGCGCGGGCCATTCAGGCCACCGTTGACCAATTCGGAAAACTTGACATCCTCATCGCAAACGCGGGCGTTCTGAGACCAATGGAAAAACGTACGTTCGCTCGGCTGTTCAGTCTGAAATTCTCGCTCACGTTCGCTATAGCCTTTGCGCAACAGGACCCTGATGGCTGGTGGCATGTCATGGAGGTCAACATTCGTGGAGTGTACAATGCCGTCCAGTAAGCATGGTTCGTCGAATTGTTTGGCCATTCTAACGTGTTTGTTAGCTTTGCGATTCCCCACCTGCAGAGATCTAAGGGTTATATTGCGATTGTCACATCGCTTGCTGCAAATGTCCGTATGGCATTTTCGAGTGATTACGCCACTTCTAAGCACGCACTCATACGACTTGCTGAGTTCATCGTTCTTGGTACGATAAATTCGCTCGCGGGTTTACTGCACAAACCTGATTATGCATCCATCTTCTCACAGAGAACCCTGACATCAAGACCTTTGCGATTCATCCTGGCGCAATCTTTACGCAGATGGGCATGGAGTCCAAGATTGACATTCCCATGGTCGATACTGTCGCCCTTCCCGCGGCTACGATGCTCCATCTTACTTCTGGAAAAGCTGATTTCCTCAGCGGGAGGTGGGTTGATATCTGATCCGCCACGCGAGCCAATGCTGATTGCTTTCACAGGTTCGTCTCTGCCAATTGGGATTTGGTTGAGCTAGACAGGGATTGGAAGACGAAGATCGTTGAGCAGAACGGTCTCGTCAGCAAGCTTTATATCCCACAGTAGACGAGAGAATGCGTATGGTTCAGTTTTCGTTGATAGACCATCCCTCTAGAGTATTGCCGCGTTTTGCTCATAGTCTAATATAATAATCCATGTCTAAGCCTTCTATGCCTCTCCGACGTTCCGTTGAGCCCGATTGGGCTGCATATCAGATCTCGATTAAATTTCGCAGAGATAAGATAGAAGAGGCCTATTTAAAGCAGCTGCAGATAAGATTGTGATTATTATCCACAGCCCTCACCGTCTCGCAGGTTTCCTACCATGTCCTCCCCAACCTCTCAAACTACGATTATTCCTCACAGCCAGAAACCTCTTGTAACGAGGCAATATCCATCTGTAACTGAGGTCGATAGCCTGATCGGCAGAGCATCTGAGGCTCAAAAAGCATGGAGTCGTGTCCCATTGAAAGAGCGCATTGCTATCGGAACAAGATTCATGGTACGCTATGAGTTTCTGACGCGTATACTGTATCATCGCTGATCGAAGGACCTTAGGAGGAGTTTCAGAAAATGGGCGATGAGATCCCTCTCGAGCTGACGATGCAGATGGGCCGGTAAGCTCCCTCGCGCGAACTTCATCCGATCTGGTGAATAACTTCTACATACCAACAGGCCCGTATCCCAGTCTCCTGGAGAGATACGAGGGTTCCTTGAGCGTGCAAAATACATGATTTCCATCGCAGAATCATCCCTCGCAGATGTGGACCTCAAGGAAACAGACAAGCCAGGTTTCCGTCGGTTCATCCGTCGCACACCGCTCGGAGTCGTGCTTGTCATTGCCCCCTGGAAGTGAGCATTGAAAATTTATCACGAAACCCATCGATGCTGAATGCAAGATCGCGCCGTCGCCGTACTCTAGCTTCCCCTATCTCGTTTCTATCAATGCAGTCCTGCCTGCTATCCTTGCAGGAAACGCTGTTCTTCTCAAGCCATCTCCACAGACCCCACTCACAGCGGAACGTTTTGCACTGGCACTCACTCGCGCAGGGGTGCCTGCGGATGTTATCCAAGTGCTCCATCTGTCTCCTGAGCTTGTCGTGCGCGCTGTTCAGCATCCCCTTGTCGACTTCGTCTCGTTCACCGGAAGCGTAGTCGGTGGACAAGCCGTGGAGAAGGCTGCTGTCGATGCGGAGGGTTTCAAGGGTGTTGGACTTGAGGTGAGCGTCCTTGAGCTTATTTCGGAATGACGTGATAACAGAAGATGTTTAGTTGGGAGGTAAAGATCCAGCGTATGTCCGAGCTGATGCAGATCTAGATTACACAGCCGCTGAGCTGGTAGATGGCGGGTAGACCTCTCCTATAGCTCGGACTTCGTCGCTGATCGTCTTGTAGGCGCTTTCTTCAATTCCGGACAGAGCTGTTGCTCGATTGAGGTATGCTTCTACATGCGCCTCTGAAACCCATTCAACAAACCATACTTCGTCAACAGCGAATTTACGTTCACGAATCTATCTACGATGCCTTTGTTCCTAAAGTCGTGGATATCGTCAAGGTAAGGTCGCTAAATTGCGACAGCGTCTTTCGAAAAACTCACCGGATTGCAGAAATACAAACTGGGTGATCCCACAAAGCCTGAGATCACCCTTGGACCTGTAGTCAGTCTTGCTAGTGCAGAGCGAATCCGTAAGCAGATTGCGGATGCTGGTTAGTCCCATATCGAATAGCATTGAACTCTCATAACTCCAGCTTACTTTTTCCCCTCTTCTCCTTATCTCTCAGTGAAAGCAGGAGCCAAGGCTCTCATCCCGGAAGAGTTGTTTTCTACCCCAGAATTGTACGCACATCGTTTTGTTTCTATTGATCCAGATCTAAGGAAGAGGGACAAGTGATGTCGCTGGCACGACATATGTGGTGCCACAGGTGCTCGTTGACGTTGATCATTGTAAGTGATTTACAAGTCCCGTGCGACTTTGCCTAACATAACTGATTGTATCCGACTGTGTTCCAGCCATGGAGGTCATGATGGTACATTAGCCCATTTGGAACGCGATGGTGAATCGATGACTCATCTCAGAATTTGGCTTCCAGGAGGAGACGTTCGGTCCAGTTGTGGGCATCCAAAAGGTGAATCTTTCATTATCTTATCCAGTGACAAACAATTGATGTCTTGGTGCAGGTTGCCTCTGACGAGGAAGCAATTCGCCTGATGAACGACTCGCCATACGGTCTCACAGCTTCTATTTGGACCAACGCAGAGAAAAACCCAGAGTCGCAGGACGCATTCTTGAAGTTGGCAGACGAGATTTCCACTGGGACTGTTTTTCTCAATAGGTCAGCCTTATTTCGCGCAGCATCTTACTAGCAGCTAGGCTCACAGATTACTCAGGTGCGACTATTTGGACCCTGCCCTAGCATGGACGGGTGTCAAGAATAGTGGACGTGGGATCTCTTTGAGCAAGTTTGGTGAGAAACACGGTCTCCTTTTCGATGTTTTTTCTGGTCTTATCAGGCGCTTCTACAGGTTATGACCAGCTCACACGCGCGAAGTCAATCCACATGAAGATCAAGACATCATGAATGACCAGGAAGAGATAAGATGCATCATATCTATATGTAGACAGTATGTATGCTAGTCAATGGAGAGATGAAGCAAACATCGGTCGTGCTCGGTAGATGTGAAGATAACAATCACTGCGAGAGAACAGAGTCAGACCATGTTTACATGCAAGATAAGGCAAAACAAGAAGAATCAGGACCCTCTGCGTATAATGAGGGCCGGCAAAAATATCGCCATGGTGCGTAACACTCGGTCTGGTGCACAGCAAGAAACTCATCTTTGAAAGCACATATGGCAGAAGACTCACCTAAAGATTATAGGGACACAGAGAGGACAACAAGTTGGAGAAAATGGTGGTCGTCGAGGGCAATGCGATCATTGGAAGAAAAGTTTGTCTGCCTTATATAGACATGGAGATGCTGACGTCATCCTAGATTAGCTAAGTTGCCTTGAGGAGTCTCCCACAGTCGTGTCAGGTCGCGTCCTAGAGCTACTTGCAGTGTCCGACACACTCGAGCGATGATATATCTCGTGCACTTGCACCACCAGCCGCTCAAGGCGCTTTATATGTCTATAAGTCTTTTTTCACGTTGCCACTAATCAAATTTCCCATCGGAGCTGTGTTACACCACGCCTTCAGGACGGCCTCAGTCAATGAAACGCTATCTCCTCCTTCGGACTATTCGAGAGATATCTGGTCTCGCTACCAAAGTGGTGTTGGATCTGATATAAGACCTGACGCCAGAGGTTTACAATTCGTCCTTGACCCACTCAAGGTTTGCCTGAGTGGAGAAACTGAATAGTCTGGTGCAGGGCGAGCTCTGGGAATATGCCCAACGGACAGACGTTCAGCCAGTGTTCGGCTGTGTTCGGCTACCCAATGTGCCTGAGTACTGGTTGCTGAGACAAGACACGAGATGGCCAGGGATACCAGTGGGATACTGCAGAGGAGAAGGAGCGAGCCGTTCTGCATCTGCATGGTGGTGGGTTCTTCATCTGTCGGTATCCTTTCCACGACTGTCGTTCCATGCAGCTCTTCTCTCCCTTAGTCTGACGGTGCTCACCCTTCGAATACTACCACCAACCTCATTCGGGAGATACTTTAGTATTCGCGATCTATCTCATGGATTTTTGCAATCGAGCATCAGCTTTGCTCTACTTCTCCGCCCACTGTTCGATCATTGGATTGCATCTCTGCACATACTACCAGTTATCTCCTCTTCCGCACTGCACACTTCCACTGCACTTCCTTCCAAAAATCTTCCCCTGGCCGACGATTCGGCCGGTGGCAATCTCGTGCTCGCCGCGGCAAGATAGCACAGGCCGTGCCCTTCCTTACCCTCCCTGACGCCCCTGAGTCGACTTCTCCTTGTCTCATTTTATGGGAACGCATTGATGTCGTGCGACGGGGGATAATCTTCAATGCTAGCCAATAGATGCGTAGGCATGGTCGCCGTGTACTAAGGAGAGAATCTCGGTAAGCATCCTCGTGGACTCCTTCTAGGTCCTCTTGGCCTTTCCAAAAGTATATTTCAATCTCACCGGCGTCTCCATACATTATCAATGTAGAGGGCATATACTGGGCATATATATATGGGACTTACCGATACGACATTACTGCGGGCGAATCGGGGGTTTGTTAAAGGATCTCAAGGCGCCAGTGGAGATGATGCGGAGGGACGGGTCCATGTCCTCGAAGATCCATCTCGAAACGCGGCTCATGAATTCCTCTTTTGATATGGCGTGAACCTGAGCGGAGTGGAGTCTTGAAGAGGTCGCGCGATGAAATGACGGCCCTAGGTGTGTTTACGAGCCGTTCAGGTTCGTCTCGATGTTCGCGCTGTACTAAGTATAGTGAGTATGTGTGCCGGCGTACTCGTAGGTACTTGTGCACATACTTCAGTTTACGACTCAGAACCGTAGAATTAGTAGTTGGCGAGATCCGCGTCCAAATCTGGAAATGTATATATCCAAAGTCTATGTCAATGTCTGCGAAGGTTGAGCGGACCTTGTTCGCCTCGTAATAAGCAATGTTCCATGTTATTTCATCTGCTTCTTATCTTGCCCTAGTATAACTAGTATATAACAGAGCACGATCCATGGACAAACTCTGTCGATCAGTCTTCCCGTTCCACTCCACATCATGTCCGATGAAGCTGGCGACAAGTCAAAAGAGCTTCGCGTCGAGGGAGAGGCTGTACCGGCACTGTCAAGTGGTGTCTTTCGGCCGGATGTCGACACTTCTTCTATAGACGAACGCAAGCTCATGCGCAAGATCGACGTCAGGCTTATTCCATGGCTTGCTCTGCTATACTTGTTGGCTTTCTTGGATCGGGGTAGTATCGGCAATGCAAGGGTGCGTATGACTCTTCTCGACTCTGGAGATGACTTGATGATCAGTCACTGACGTCAACTCGGTTTCCCGCCGTATAGCTATATCATATAGAGAGGGATCTCCATATCACAGACAAACAATATTTGATTGCGTTGACAGTTTTCTTCTTTCCATACGCCCTATTTGAGGTGGGATCATTTTACACTCCATTCATTGACAGTAATGCAGAGAAATATGTGCCTAGCCTGCTAGCAACCTGGCTCTCAAGTCTCTACGCCCTTCGCGATGGCTGTCCTTCATTGTGTTTATCTGGGGAGTCGCTATGGTGCGCTGCATCCATTGTGATTATGATTTGCGGGGAAGTGACTGAGCGCGTGAAGACCTTACACGGCATTGCCCATAACTATGGCGATCTCATTGGTGCGTGTATAACCCAACACCTCACTATCTACTTACACTTCGAACAGGTTTGAGATTCGTCTTAGGCCTGGCAGAAGCAGGTCTCTATCCCGGCATCGTATTTTATCTATCATGGTTGGTCCCTGCTCCTCTACCAGTGCCTGTAATCGTTCACACGCTCTATAGCTGGTACAAACGGAATGAGCTAAGTTTCAAGATCGCGCTGTTCTTCACATCTGCGACGGTTGCAGGGGCCTTCAGTGCATTTCATCCTTTATTGTTTAAAAATCAATTGTCTCATGTGGTTTAGGTGGTCTCCTCGCCGCTGCCATTCATAAAATGGATGGCATTGGCGGTAGGCCGGGTTGGGCGTGGATATTTATTCTTGAAGGTCTTGCCACGATTTTGGCAGCTTCAGCATCCTTCTGGATCATTCAGGACTTTCCGGATACCGCTAAATTTCTCACCGACACAGAGCGTCAGTGGATTTTCCTGATCTCTATGTACCTGACACAGCGCGCTGATTGACTATGTACCAGGCGTCTTTGTTGTCCGCCGCCTACAGGATGATTCGCAATTCAGCGCTGGTGGCGAGACGTTCGACACGAAGTATGTTTGGCAGTGTCTCACTGACTGGAAGACATATCTCGCGAGTGAGTTTGGTTCTCTCCCGTTCACATAATTGCGCTGATTTTTATCCCAGTGGGGATCCATATGGGATTGTGAGATCCGTGATCTACTTGTAAGGCAGCAGGATACTTACTCTGAAATAGCGATGGCCCGCTATTCGCTTTCTCTCTGTTCACACCAACAATTCTAAATCAAGTGTGTACTCGATCAAGCGATTTTCAGCCCATTGCTGAATCTGACCGGTTCTGTAGCTGGGCTATGGGACGACTGCGGCCAATTTGCTGTCAGTGCCAGTATACGCGTGGGCGGGCATCATGACCTGTGTCATAGGTTTTGTCGGAGACCGTCTGAATAATAAGAGAGGCTACTTGAATCTGTGCGTCCAAATTCTTCTCGACCCTTTCTGGCTTCAACGTATTCATTTTCTTTTATAATATCAGGATGCTTTTTGGAACGGGACTGGTCGGTTATATCATCTTGATAGCGTCCCGGAGTCCATCGCTTTCGTATTTCGCAGTCTATCTCACCGCTTCGTGAGTGGATCAGATCACGCTCAATTTCGCGCTCCCGCATCGGCTCACGATGTCTTCTGCCAGCGCAATATACCCTACAATTCGTATGTAGCCCAAGTCAAGTCTTGCTCCTCGCTGTTCACCGCTCATTCCATCCATCGTTTACAGCTAATTCTGTGTATGTCTGAAAGACTTCTATCTTATCGATATATTCCTCACATTCCACAGAGCATGGATCTCAGGCAACGTCGAAGGCTCCTACAAGCGTAGTGCTGTTCTTGGCATGGCAGTTGGCTTGTGAGCAACTTTCATATGCGTTTCGTACATACATACACTGACATGATATGCAGCGGAAACCTCAACGGTGCCGTCACATCCAATGTCGTACGTGGCTACCCATACCCATACACTCTACTTTGATGGTTAAGCTAATTTTTTTGATACCGTCTACAGTATCGCGCCCGGGACAAGCCTTGGTATGGCCTTGGCCACGGTATCATCCTCGCATACATCTCCATTGGCTGGCTTTGCTCGCTCGCGTATATGCTCCTTCTCCGACGCGAGAACCGCCGCCGGGAGCGCGGCGAGCGAGATGAGGTCATCGCGGGCACAGACAACAAGCATGGCGACGCCGTGCGGAATGGGGAGTTCCAAAGCATTGAGGAGGCACGGAGGACGAAGGGTGATCTGTGGAGTGGGTTCCGGTATACATTGTAAAGGCTATGTAAGGGCCCGAAATTAGCAGAAGATAGCACATGATGAATGCGGGTGTGAAGATCAGTGTTGTATAAGGGGGGTGGGCCGGTAAATACGGTGCAATGTTGGATATGCGATCATCAAAGAATGCATAGCAATGGGCATGAGAAGTGCTATGAATTAAATAAAATACATGTGTCAGCAGCGTGCGTCTCATCGTCCATCCTATCTACCCACACGTATGTATGTGTCAAGAACCCAAGAAGTAAATCACAGCGATTTCTCGTCTATCCGAGTCGTTGCAACACCTGGCGATGGTGTGGGTGTGGGTGAGGGCGTAGGCTGTTCGTTGAGGTTCTCCTCGAGGGGTGGCGGCGCGCTGCTCTCAGAGCCACGATGCTTGTCAAGCCATTTGTCCATATCGTCTGCCTTGTTGGCGAAGGGTCGCTTGCCCAGAAGGTCAATCATGTCCTCGCTGTAGTAGGTATCCACACCACTTGGTCAACATTGACGAAGGGGAAGAGCGGGAAGGTTACGTACCGAGTGATAACCTCCTTCTGGAGCAGGAGTTTGGCGACCTTCTCGACATCCTCCCGGTGCTTAGTCAAAAGCTCAGTTGTCCGCTGATGTGCGTTCCTGGATCGCGATCGAAGCAAAGTGAGCGACTAGACGAGCGCTGGAAAGAACGATGACGTACGAGATCATCTTGCGAACTTCCGAGTCCAACATCTCAGCCGTCTTCTCGCTGAAGGGCTTCTGCCAGCTCTCCCGCTGGCTTTCCCGACCACCATAGCTGACAGGTCCGATGATGGTGTTCATCCCGTAATTTGCACATGCCTCGAAAGCCATGCGAGTGATCTTCTGCAGGTCGTCCTGCGCACCTGTGGTGATGTTCTCAGCACCGAAAAAGATTTCCTCCGACACGCGACCACCGAGCGTCATGCAAATACGGTCCAGCATCTGCGGTGACGAGAAGAGATAACGATCGGGCGGAAGGTACTACGAAATTCAAATGAGTAAACAAATCACAAAACAATAAAATGGAAATGAGGTATTCACCTGAGCGTAACCCAGAGCGCCGACGCCGCGCGGGATGATGCTGACCTTGAGCAGTGGGTCTGCATGCTCGAGGAACCATCCACAGATCGCATGTCCCGCCTCATGATAAGCAACTGTCTTCTTCTCCTCAGGACTGAGCACGCGCGACTTGCGTTCGAGGCCCGCGATCACCCGTTCAATTGCGCTCTCGAAATTCTCCTCCTCAACATACTCTGACGAATGGCGCGCGGCGTGCAACGCAGCTTCGTTGCAGACATTGGCAATGTCAGCTCCAGAGAACCCGGGAGTGAGTACTGCGAGTTTGTGCGCAAAGGTCTCGAGCTCGGGAAGTTTTTCGGACAAACGAAGAGGTTTGAGGTGAACCAAAAAAATACCCTTGCGGCCAGAGACGTCTGGACGATCAATGGCGATGTGTCGGTCGAACCGGCCGGGACGCATGAGTGCGGGGTCGAGGACATCAGGCCTATTGGTGCCGGCTAATACGACGACATGCTGCTGTGTGCCAAAACCATCCATCTCGACAAGGAGCTGGTTGAGCGTCGACTCGCGCTCGTCGTTCCCACCCATGTTGCCTCCCTTTCCGCGTGACTTACCAATGGCGTCAATTTCATCGATGAAGATGATGCAAGGGGCATTTTTCTTCGCGGACGCGAAAAGGTCGCGTACACGCGAGGAACCAACACCGACGAACATCTCGACGAATTCGGAACCGGAGACGGAGAGGAAAGGGACGCTCGCTTCGCCGGCGGTGGCCTTAGCAAGTAACGTCTTTCCCGTACCAGGAGGTCCGGAGAGGATGGCACCGCGAGGGATCTTAGCCCCCAGCTTTTCGTACTTGGTGGGGTCCTTGAGGAATTTGACAAACTCCATGATCTCCTCCTTGGCCTCGTCCATGCCTGCGACGTCCTTGAACTTCGCCCTGACATCAGTATCCTTGTTGAAGAGCTTCGCCTTGCTCTTTCCAATGCTGAAAATGCCGCCTCCACCACCACCTCCACCACCAGCACGGCGCGTCATGTAGAACAGCAAGCCAGCGAAGAGAATGGTGGGAGCGAAGTTAAGGAGTGCACCAACGGCAGAAACCTCATCGTGATAGGCCACGGGGATCCGCTCGTGGGATGGAATACCGATTTCTTTCTGAGCCTCGTCCAGCTTGCGCTCGAATGCCTCGACACTGCCAATGGAGAAGTAGTACTCGCCGGAGCCTAAAGCTGCTGCGGGATACATCTGGCCCGTCGCATTTGAATGCAACTTGACACGGACTTTGGTCCGGTTTACGACAGTGAGTTTATCGACGAGACCCTTGTCCAAGAAGGCAGTGCGGAACTCCTGCCATGTGATCTCGCGCGAGGAAGAAGAGCTGGAGGAAGAGAGCGAATAGAAGACAGCAGCCGCGGTGGCCAGCAGCGCGAGCTGGTTGGGGTTAAAGTTGCTGTTATTGGGATTATTGCCGCCTGGAGGCGGCTTTGACTGCTGCTCCTGGTTCTGGTCGCTCGACTGGGGCCCTTTCTGATGGTAGCGCTGGAAGAAACCCTCAAGGCCACTGAGGTCAGACTTCTGAGGCTCCTGAGGGGAAGAAACGTGCTCCTTCTCTTTTCCCTTCTGCTCCAAGTCAGGCTTGTTGTCGGTAGGAGTAGCGAAGGACCTCTGCCATCGTGACGAGGATGCTACTGGGACGAGGCGGCGAGATGCGAGGCGAGATGCACGAAGAGAGCGTGAAAGCATTGTGGAAAGGGGAAAGAGGAGGCGTTGCAAAGGCGTGGGCTTGGGCAGCAGCGAGCGCGTGCCGACCACTGCCGAGGCTGCCCGAGCCGCGCAATCATGGCGTCTCATCCACGTGACATAGCACCTAGACATCTCAATCTGTCTCGACCTCCTGTGGAACATAACAATTCGACGATAGCGTGCGATGTAAAACCAACATATCCCATCAGATCACAGGAGCCTCCTCTTCTTGCACCTCAAACCCACAACAAAATGTTTCCCGATCCAGCAACACAAGACCTTTTCCGTCAGGCGCCCACTTGATGTCCCGTGTGTCGAATGACTCTGTTACAGGAGGAATCGTCGTCAGCATGCAAATAGTATTTCCCCATGCACTCCGCGGTGTACTCACTTGCGGGCACGCCCACGCATTCAGCCATTTCCTCCTCAACTCCACCCTCCCCGACCCACTCATCGCTCCACACGTACAGCGCGCGCGATCCGCAACATGCCGCGAGACTGCCTTTCCGCACTGGGTTCCAGCGTGCTTGGTAAACCGGTCGCGTATGAGTCATAACGCTGCGCAAAGATGGTACAAATGGCTGCCCGGGGGCCGGAAACGTGAACAAATGCATCGTCGTTGGCACGTTCTCTGCGCTCAGCCCATATGAGTCTCATGAGCGTTCATCATTCGCGCAAGTCAGGAGACTGACCAAATCGGGCTAGCAAAACAGTCCCTGTGTGGTTAAATTCGAGTTGGACGACCCCGCTTCGAAGATTAGGTTTGGATTGGTCTGTCCGAACGGTCGAGAGAGGCTGAGGGCCCTTGAGCCGTTCATCTACACATTCGTGACCGGTCACTACGGGCTGTGGATCAGGGAGGAAAACACCCACAAGACAAAAACCCTCGTCCCTCTGTAGCCTCAATCCAATTGACCGGTTCTCTCCATACCGTCTACAAAAAATTAGCTCAATGCACCGATGAAGAATGAGACGAGACTCGCTCACCACACCCGGCGGTATTCGGGTACCTAGCTCGAGGGTCGCCACTCTCGACCAAGTGAGCTGTTCTAGGATGTGGATCTAGTGCCGCCGTCAGCAGAAATAGGATTTAGATCAGTTGGTGACCAACCTTGTCATCCCAACCCCCCACCGCAAGGAACATCCCCGATGGATGCCATGCTACCGTTCGAATTCCAAAGCCTGGATCGGAATCGGGAGTGAATGTTCCTAAAAGGTCGCCTGCTAACGATAGAATGTATAGTTTGTACTGTCGTCGCAAACGTTATCATTTATGCGGAGGGATACAAGGCAAACATACCTCGAGGGGACCTTCCCAGATCGCTAGGTGGTTCCCTGTCGGTGATAGGGACATTGAGGACATAGAAGATGTGGGTAATGGATAGTGCTTTAACGAAAAATGAGTTGCCAGTGACCGACCGTCAAAAAAGAGCTTACCCGAGCTAATTTATACGCGTCGGACGCGTCGTAGACCCCCAAAGTGTCTTTGGACCTGTGGCGCTCTGCGAGCACAAAATATCGTCCGTCAGCCCTGAAAGTGTAACCTACATGAATGAGCCAATACAAAAGCGGAGATTATAACATAGAAACTACACCTCTATCAGGATGTAGAGGATACTGGATGTATGACGCGTGACCACTGACAAGAGACCACACTGACACTCTCAGCTGCGTATCTGACCGTAAGCGACAACGTCCTTGTGCACTGAGCGACGCGACCAAAAAAACGAACTCACCGCCCACTCAGAAAAGCATACAACGTGCCTGCCGTCGGGCGCCCATTCCGCTTTGACCAAGCCCTCTGCACCTGCCTCTATCTTTGTTCTCCAATCCTCGTCGCGCATGCGGAACACATGTACGACGCCTGCCTTGGCGCATGCTGCTAACACGTATTCGGAGTCGCAGGACCAGCCAATGTGCGTAATTGCGGTCGCGGGCAGGTCTGCGTGTTCGGGCAGCTGTCGACGCGTCGACGCGTTCGCGGTGGCAGAGGGCAGCGCATCGACGAGCCACGATCGGGCGATGTGGAAGGTATCAGCCCGCCGAACGATGACACGGTCCGAGACCGCTGTGAGAATGAAATGAGCGCCTGGGCTGAACGAGACGAGGCCACCAGTCTGTTTGTAAATCTCTGTGAAGTCCATCGAACGGTAGACTTGTCAGATGCAAAGTTGGTGCACTGTTTGTAAGCATAGCTACTGTCAGCAGCCGGCGGCTATTTTGGATCGGGCAGACTCAATCGCCCCAGAAGCAAATCCCGTTCTCTCGGCAAATCGTCTTCATCCTCCTGAGCGAACATGATGTCGAGCCCTCTCGAGCGGCTTTGCTCAACCGTCTACGGATGCAGATTTGCTTGCCATGGCCTTTGGTTGTCATCTGACACCGTTGGTGGGGTCCACTTTGTTCCGCTCATATCACTCTCAACATGTTTTAGAACCCAGCGCTCCAGCGCTTACAACTCACTTATACATCCTCAGTGTTTACGCACATTGATAGTACATTGCCGGATGTGGCCCCCACAATCCGGCTGCCTGGGACGCTCGAGGGCCGATGACTGAGATCATATTTCATCATACGGGTGCGACATTATATATTCTGAGCCTGGCCCAGGCCGAGGGGTACTTTCCACCGCACCCCGTCATCGTCATGGATTATAGAGATCCTCCAAGCCATACTTCTACCGTGATTGAAGAGGAAGAGCCCCAGTATGACCCTCCGAGCCATACTTCGACTGTCCTTGACGCGGAGCCTCAGTATGATGAGTACAATGCTGAGCCCAAGGTCAAAGACAAGGAGGTCATCGATTCTTCCGTGATTCCCGCAGCAAACAAGCAGGATCCATTTCTGGTGACCATGAGCACAGATGACCCGCAACACCCGATGGTATGTGCTGAGTTCAAAGCCTTCGGCTCACAGGCCTCTTATGTGCATCTCAACAATTCAGAATCTCTCCACATGGCGAAAATGGTATCTCACAGCGGTCGGTGGCGTCCTTGTTCTGAATGCGTGAGTGATGTCGTCCGCTTCTATTGTCCACCTTGGGCCTACTAACTTGAATGGAATTTCATAGGACGTTCGCTAGTGCGGCACCCTCTGGCGTTCTTGGTCAGATGATTGAGGAGTTTGGCATGGCAGTTGAAATCGCTACCCTCTCTATCTCGCTATTTATTGCTGGGTACATCGTTGGGCCACTATTTTGGGGACCAGTCTCCGAACAGGTTCGTCTCTCGGTCTTGTTCTTGATCACGTCACTTACGAGGGATCCATTTTAGATCGGACGCAGGCCGGTTTTTGTCGTCTCGTTCCTTTTCTACACAGTCAGTCTCAAATACTTTACTGTGGAAATGGAAGCTGACGATGGATGTTTCAGGGCTTTCAAGTCGGATGCGCTCTTTCTCATAACACTGGCTCGATATTGGTTTTTCGATTCCTCAGCGGCTGTTTCGCAGCTGCCCCACTGACAAATAGCGGGTGCGTTGACATTTGTAAAAACGATCTCGTCTCTTGACTGTCATTCCATCACATCCAGCGGCGTTGTCAGTGATATATGGGACGCAAAAACGCGGGGCAGGGCAATGGTGCTCTTCGCTGTTGCACCGTTTGCAGGTCCAGCCCTTGGACCGGTTGTCTCGGGTTGGATTGAAGTTGGCGGCGCGTCCTGGCGCTGGCTTTTTTGGGTGTTGACGATTTTTGTAGGTTACAGATATATCATAGTATCACTGAAACTCACCCTCCCGCAGGCGGGACTCTGTCTTGTCGCAATTGTCTTCACTGTTCCCGAAACGTATGTGCCTATACTTACGGTTCGAAAAGCCGAGCACATCCGAAAAGTGACGGGAGATGAACGCTACTATGCTCCTCTCGAGACCAAAATCTCTATTTCCAAACAAGTGGAGAACATATTGGCCAAACCCTTCAAGATTTTGTTCCGGGAGCCTATGTTGCTCGCCATAACTATCTACATGAGTGTAAGCTGGTTTGCTCAACTTCCTCTCCTTTCATTCTCATCCATATCTTGCTACATGCAGTTCCTGTACGGTTGCTTGTACCTACTATTTGAAGCCTTCCCGATTGTCTTTACCGAAGGCCATCACATGAATCAAGGTGGGATTTCTTCGTAGCCTTTTGATATGTACTGATGAAATATACAGGTGTAACTGGTCTTATGTACCTCCCAATCAGTATCGGCGGTTTCTTGGGCGTGGTTGTCGTAAGTGCCTTCCTGTCATCCCTAACTCGAATGACTGAGTTTGAGCGCAAAATCTCTTTAGTATCTGGCCGTGTTCGATCCCCGCTACAATAGGGCTTTGGAGCGGTACGCTCCGAACCCTGTCCCCCCAGAACATCGTCTGGAAATGCCGATGTTAGGGGCGCCAATATTTGCTATTGCGTTCTTCTGGTTTGGGTGGACATCGTACCCTTCCATATCGTACTGGTCTCCGCTCATAGCTGGTGGAGTCATGGGGTTCGGAATCTTTGGAATCTTCGTATGTTTGACATATCCAGTCTCACCCGATCTCATCACTAACGATATCGTTTTCTCTGATAGTTGTCTCTATTCAACTACATCATAGATACTTATCTCATGATCGCTGCCTCTGCTCTCGCTGCTAGTACTGTCGTGCGAAGTATCTTCGGTGCTGTGTTTCCAGTGAGCTTTTCTCCCAAATATATATTTGCACCGCCCGCTAATAGCTCTGCATTCATGGTAGCTTTTTGCCCGTCAGATGTTTGACGCGCTCAACCCTAGATGGGCATCGACCCTGCTGGGATGCATCGCACTTCTTATGTGCCCAATCCCATTCGTCTTGCGAAAGTGAGCACTGTCTGTCGAAGGCTCTGTTGTTTCCTGACGCGGCTTGGGTCACGCAGATACGGCCCAACATTGCGCGCAAAATCCAAGTATGCACCAGACGTCAACGTTCCACGTCCTTCCCCTGTATAAGGACTATCTGCCGAAATGCTTTGTCTCAATCTCACACTGATATGTGCAGTGGACAATATAGAACCACGTAGTTCGTCCTTGTCTGTTTGTGTTTCGTCGTCTATTCGTGCCCTGTCGTCTGTTTGTGTTTTGTCATTCGTTTGTGTTTCATCATCTGTGTTTCATCATACTGCGTACATGCACATTTCTGGCAATTTTTGATTATTATCGTAGCATAGCATACCTTATCTACATTTACGCCTCATTGCTTAATATTGTATCAATACTTATTGCTATCGCTTTAAATATCGTAAAATCAAGAGAAGCGTATCAATAAGCCAACCATGATCGGTGCATCCTTCCAGATGCTTCCGTTCGATAGAAGTTTGAATATCTGAATGTGATATATAATCAATGATACAATCTGATACAATCAACGATCGCCGATTCTTTTCATATTCTCGAACCCCAGAACGAATCTCCAATAATAGCCGCGAAGTGACGACAGCGCTCAGCAAGGAGTTGACTCGATGTCGATGTTCAAATTTCCTTGCTGCTCGTGGATTGTCTGTCTTGTGCCTTAGATGTGATAGGAAAAACACGTACGAAAGATGAAAGGGAGCTTCTGGCAGTAGTGGCAATGTCGAGGGCATTGACACCACTGGCTTCGCATGCTTCCTGAGGCCTGATGTTCTGCGAAAAAAATCGGGTTCGTGTCTGGTTGAACTTGGTGGAACATGGCTTACACCACCGAACTGAGCAATCTTGCAGTAATTCTCGGGGTGCGTGGCTGGGCAGCTGTGTAGGATGAGATGTTGCGTGATACGATGGTATGCAAATTAGAAAGATGCGCACGCATCGATTATTTTCACTTTGATCGTGTTTCCAGAGCACGACCCAGAGGTTTCACCGTCCAGGGAACCCGTGCCTTGAGGCAGAGTGATACTACCGGAAATCCTTTTATGCATATACATAAAGTAACACTTACATTTGACGTTGAAGCACTACAGAAGGTAGATGAGATAGGTTGAAACCATCGACGGGCCATATTGCGCACCGTGCCACACACTTCTTCGTCCGGGCATGCCGCTGCGAACGGGACATCAGTCACGTCAGTCATAAGAATTCTAAGGATCTGCATACGTCCTGCGCAATTGATGCAACCGCCAGAGCCATTGCTGTCATAAGACGTTCAGTACTTAGCACACATACATGCCATTATTGCACACAGCTGACCAGTTGCTTGCATTCATGGTGCCTTCGCAGCGTGCGCCCACCCACAAAGGAGAGAGGTCGCTCATAGCAGCAGCAAAGATGTTATTTCCCTGGCTGTTGGATGGTGAGAAGCCTAAGATTTTCGGGGCGACTGTGAGATGTTCAATCAATGCAACGCAAAACGCACTCACCAGAACAAGCAACCCCGCTTTGAGCTGAATACTGCAAATTGCGACATCAGTATCATTGTCGCAGGGAAAGTCATGATTGACGAGACGCACATCATTGAATGTAGACACCCCGGAGGCAGCATACACGGTGGCTATACCCGCCAGAAAACCCAGCCCGTAACGGAGGTTAGCAAAGAGCATTACGGAATTGAGTTGTGAGTGGATATGAATGTCGCCTGTAAAATCCAGTCCGGCCTTTAAATGCACAGAGCTCTGATGGCATAGTCTATAAAAAGTCCAGAGAAACGCCGAGAATTCAGCATGATCGTTTGAACAGCATTGAAAGTGTGGTCGTCCATCTGAAGGACTAGACGAATCAGGCGCTCGCGGCCAACCATGAGGCCTAGTGACAATTCAAAAATTTAAAATCAGTACAACCGTGGGCAAAAATAGAGCTGATCTACAAATTTGTGGTCATAGGATGAGGGGTGGGCAATAAGCAACAGTGCCCGAAGGGAAATAGCAGCATGTTTAGGTTGGCGAGTGATGTGATGCGGAGAAAACTAGTCTTCTGGATTGCACGAGTTGCCAGAGTGAGTGTCAAGCCTATTTTCAGACATATCGGTACTGCGATACACGTCAGAGAGGTCCAATATCTGCGCGAGTGTCTGTGGATGCATCCTAGTCATTGGGTAGGTGATTTCACAGCACTTGAGGGGCAGGCTATATCACATGATGGATTTCTCGAGAGCAGATTGTCAGAGCAAGCAGCTAATCGCTAAAAGAGTGACTTTTGACCAGGCAGTAAGAAGTGTTCTAACCTAGGCAACCATGAGCTAGATTATTCACAGAGATAGAATGTCATATCGACACCATGTCCTATGCTCACTTTTACACATAACGACTTCTTCGTAGATTCGACCACGGACACTGGAGTACGCTCTCGAAAGCACAATCTGCAGCTCCTTGACAGAAGGAAGAAAGCCAACAGTGAATGCCACGTTCATTGCTGCCAAGATCGGTTAGATGGTCAAGATAAGATAAGATTCAGGTTATCAACGGGGACCCGCTCAGCACCGCGCGCTACAGCGCGTGAATTGCTTCCAATGTTTCTCTCACTAAGCTCTCCCAGGCTCATCGGCTGGCAGCCGACCACATATCCACATATCTCTCTCTTCACCTTCCTCTCTCACTGGATCTGGTGCTATGTCTTCCTCCCTCAAGATTGACTGGTCAAAAGTTGATCAGCCTGAACTGGTACTTCAACGCTTTCCCAGTCGTCGTTCAGTGGTATACGGAACGAAGGGAATCGTTTCCTCATCTCAACCATTGGCAACAGAAGTCGGTTTAGAGATTTTGAGGCGGGGAGGGAATGCGGGTGTGTAGATCTCCCGAATGTGGCGAAGTCATCCTAAGATAGACCTCCAATTATAGCGGATGCAGCCGTTGCTACATCAGCAGCACTCAATGTGACGGAGCCTAGCTGCTGTGGAATCGGAGGGTGAGTGTTGAACACTGCTTCTCGAATTTTCCTCGATTTCAATTGCTGTTTTCCAGGGACGCATTCTGTTTGTTTTTCGACGCCAAGACAAAAACAGTCAAAGCGCTCAACGGATCTGGCCATTCCCCTGAAAAGTTGACCATTGAACACCTACGACAGCAAGGCATTACAGGAAATAAGATACCTCAGAACAATTTAAATGCAGTGACGGTTCCAGGCATGTCAATTGATCACTTCACAAGAAATCTGCGGAGGTCTGATCGGTCTCACAGGTGCTGCTGCTGCGTGGGTTGACACTGTGGAAAAGTTCGGCAGCGGGAAACTTTCTGTCGCCGACGTACTTGCACCGGCTATCAGACTGGCCGAAGAAGGGTACGCGAAGATTATTCTGCTGTTGTTCTATGCACTAACATCATGCAGAGTTCCAGTGTCAGAAATTCACAGCTATGCGGTGAGCATAGTTTGTTAAAGGGCTCTGAACCCGAATGAATGAATGTTGATTATCGCTTACAGTGGCAACGCTCCGAGGAGCTCATAAAAAATGCATCCCCAAATGCAGATGAGATGCTCCTCAACGGAAAAGCTCCTCTGGCAGGGCAGATCGTCAAGCTTCCCAATCTCGCAAAAACCTTCCGAACAGTTGCAGAAAAAGGAAAAGCCGGATTCTACACTGGACGCATAGCTGAGGCTATTGTGGAACTTATTCAGAGCAAGGGTGGAATAATGGAACTTGAGGATCTGGCGAAGCATGAAACTACCTTTGTAGAACCAATTAAGTACACGTTCGCAGGCGAGGTTACAATTTACGAGGTCAGTTGGTCTTCCGCTCGACGGGTATATAGTAAAGTGCTGATGAACAAGCACTAGTGCCCTCCAAATGGCCAAGGTACCCTGGACTTTCGTTTGTAATCTCAAGTTTACGACTGACGATGAATACAGGTATTACTGCTTTGCTGGCTCTCGGCATCGTGGAGAACATCATAGAGCAAAGAAAGATCAAGAGCTTATTGGAGATGGAGCACAACTCTGCAGAATACCTCCATACTTTGGTGGAATCGTTGAGACTTGCGTTCGCTGGTCTGTGTACCTTCTAACGTTAACTCCAGCGGCTCATAAAATCTTACTGTAACTTTAGACAGTCAGTATTACGTGACTGACCCAGATGTTGAACATGTCCCTGTCGACAAGCTCCTAAGCAAGGTGAGTTGCGCATCGCAATTTTCCATCAGAACCACTGATTTTCTCTTCTCAGGAATACCTCGCATCCCGAGCGACACTGTTCGATCCCACTAGGACCAACCCAGATGTTGTGCATGTGCGTTCACCTAATTCTTACTCGACATCATTATATAAGGTGCATGTACAGGGAAACCCCGTGCATTCTTCCGATACTGTATACTTTTCAGGTCGGTCTCGTACTCAACGTCATTTGTGTTGTCTCACATCTCTATGTTGTATCAGTGACAGATCAGTGGGGCAATGCATGCAGCTATATCCAGAGCAACTATGCTGGTGGGCGAACCCATTACATTCACACAAATCTCGACTCAATATGAGCGAATTCCAGGCTTCGGGACGGGAGGTGAGAAAAGTCATCAGGTTCTCCCTGTCATCCGATTTTTATGGTGCCTGCAGCTATCCCGAAAGGCTGTGGATTTACTCTTCAGAATCGTGGCTCCGGATTCGTGCTCAAGGAGGGTCATCCCAATGCACTAAAGGTAAACAGGCTTTCCTCTCCCACATTTACTACACTCGAACGCATATCTGTCAGGGAGGCAAGCGCCCATACCATACTATCATACCCGCACTTGCCACCCGCGGAGATGACCTCTTCCTTTCATATGGTGTCATGGGCGGATTCATGCAGGTAAAGAGCCCTCTCCTCTTGAAGTGTCTTAAGTGTGCCAAACCGGATGTTTCTATGTTAGCCACAAGGCCACGTCCAAGTGCTCTTGAACATACTTCGGGGATTCTCCCCCCAGGCCGCGCTCGATGCCCCTCGGTTCTGCATCTCCGCTGGGAGCCCCGATACGCAGACCCAGACAACGGGTGAGGCAGGCGACATTAACAGCGAGGTCTATTTTGAGGAAGGGATTCCGGTCGAGACAGTCAACAGGCTCCGAGGTGTGTCTTTTCTCTCTTTTTTCATGCATCCAAACAGCATTGTTGATTTCCTCCGACTTGACAACGACAGAAATGGGTCACGATGCGCGCATAGTAACTGGGTTCGGGCGTGGAATGTTCGGGCGCGGTCAAGTCATCCAGAAAATTGACGATCCATCGGGCAGGACAGTGTGGGCTGCTGGCTCGGACTTGCGCGCAGATGGCCATGCAGCTGCACAGATATAGTGATGACGCCCTTGACGAAAAGTCTATACAGCCTTGAGCGGCCAATTGGGAAATTGTAGAAGATGAACACGTAGGTGAAATTGTGTACGTTGCCTAAGAATGAATACTTGAAAAGAAAAGACAAAGTCTGAGAATGCATAGATCCTGAGGCCTGTGGCCTGAAAGATGACATGGTGGATTAACACGAGATGTTTATAGTTCGCAGAGCAACTTGTAAAAGGTGCAGTAGTGATTCCTTCATGGTATGTTATCAGCAAATTATACGAAACCGTAGAATGCTATAGAGGCCGAGAGATTCTAGAAAATAGTCCTATCACATCCTTTTCTGCCGCTCTGTGCCAACTTGAGATACGGGTCAATTGGTCGGATTTCGATCGAGTTATTGAGGTGGTGCATTACCTATCTGACGTCGCCTGTACTCTCTCAGATCATTCGTCCGATCAGGGCCTTGGATCTTACCCCACCCGGCAAGTGGTACAACGATTGCAGTGGCATTATCGTCGGAGCCCATCTCCTGCGCGAAAGAGAGGATGCGTTCGGCGGCTGTCTTTGGATCCGGTGCGGCGCGCGCGAGGTCGACAACTTCGTCATCGGACACGACAGATGAAACACCATCAGAGACAAAGACAATGTAGGCCCATTTCGAACCTGCAGAGTAATCTGTTTGAACATCAGACAGCAGCATTCAGGGACAGTACTAACCCTCTAAGATCCTGGTTCTGACTTCAGGTTCAGGGGTAACTCCAAACGGTTTCCATTTCAGATCACCGAGGCTTTCAAGATGATGAGTTATAGTCAATAATTGAAGGGTTATCCTTACCTTCTGGTATTCTGGAGTACACCCATCCACCTGCAATAAAAGTCTGATTAGAAATAGATCATCAAGACTGAGCGGTGCATGCCTCGCATCGCCGAACGAGTCGGTGATAAGACCAGTGCCCATCATGCGCCTTAATCGAGTAGACTCGACGCGTCCCTCAGCTCGATGCGCTTCCGTCATGGGAAGCACACGCCCGCGGTCTGTGGAACACAACAGCACACGAGTGTCGCTATATCTCGTCTTCAGTTCCGTATCACATTCGAGCGAGCCCGCAGAAAAAACGTACCCAACATGAGCTACAGTCAAGGCCAGTTTCTGAGATGAAAAGAATGGTGATGAAGGAGCATCTAAGGAGTGAAGTATTGCAACGGAAGCAGTAGAACCAGAGATTTTTGCCAATGGTTCCTCTGTGAGGTTTCGGTCCACCTAGATTCGACCATCAGAAGTCAGCAGGCATGTCTCAGCAGTAAGATAATGAGACGCCTGCCTGGAGGAAAGTGAGGGTCGCACGAGCGGTCAGATCCATTTCACCTTCGTGGTGTGCAGACGGATGAATCCAAGGTTTCAGAACACCGCCATCAAATCGTTTGAAGTAACCACCGATTTCTCTAGCCCAAGCATACATTTCTGGAATCTGCAGCTTGTTTGAGGACTCAAACAGACCGTGAAGCTCTTGACGGAGGTATTGTGACACAGTGGACCCGCCATGACTGTGCTTATACACATGAAGAGAACAAGATGAGCCCAAGCAAGAACTGACGCGTACCCGTCATAGATTCCGACAAATGTGACCTCTCTATTGAGTGGTTCTCCAACGAGGCTTGAATCCCAATCCACCCCATTATGCTTCTTGAGACTGAGGCGAAGTTCTTCAGGGTTCAACGACAGAGTTGCGAATGAATAAAAGTCCTCTTGATTACTGATGCAAAGACGGCATAAGTGGAGAAGTGTGTACAATAAATGAGCTGCACACTTTCTATCGCCCCGTGAACTTGCAACACCTATGATCTTTGGGGAGTACAACGGGATGCGAACGACGCCGCCTAGGGCTTCCTAAACAGCTTGCCCTACCAGGTAATATGATAGTGTGACCACACTTACCGGGTGTTGCATATCGTGCGTAGTCGTGATAAGTTGCTGCAGCAATTCTTGAGCGCGGACTGGTTTTAAAGCGCCATGAACAAGATTGAGAGGAACAGAGAAGTCGAAGAGCCATTCGAAACGAGTTGGAAGCCAAAGGGAAGGCTGCATCGCCTGATGTTAGCGGAGCAAAGCCTCGAATTGGGTAGTCGAGACTTTTTCAAGGCGAATTGTGGACTTTCAGGACAGAACAATGCAAAGTTTAGCTGCACGAGTACTTGTGGTGGTACTCACACCGCCGGTCCGCCAAGCTCCAAGACTGAACGACTCTTTGGGCCTTCTGAGGTGAATTATATAATCATTCATCTGGCTCGGGGCCGCAACGGGGCCGCAACGAGCCGCTACAATGGCATTGGCCTTCGGCCTTGGGACGGAACCATGTTCGGCAACTTTAAGCACACTATGAGGTGCGGCGGTCGTCCACACTCTTACTTATTGAATAGGTTTTCCTCCCAAGATGGTGCCGCCCCGCCGCTTTGGCAGTGGGATATGTCTGGGTTTGCTTGGGTCTACCGCCAGTCTTGGAGAACATTCGCGTCTCTTCCTGGTAGTTAGCTGGATTCGTTGATTCACGGAAGGCCACGAGGAATCTGTCATGTTTCTGTCATCCGTCCGGGTTTTCTGATTCTTGCAGTATCACCATCTACACTCATAAAAACTGGCAGATACAGGCACGAACAATTCTCGTTCCTTTTGCAGCGGTATGAACTTATTATGGCCTTGGATGTCCACGGTATGTCCACCTCTTGACCAAGCAGACATCCATCGTTGACAGGTCATCAGAGCTCAGAGTCAGCTTTATGGTTGCCGATCCTCGGGGAGCATGCCACAACAGATGTACTCGAAGAGGGCGTTGTCGTATGTCATCGAACAAAACACCAAGGCTGAAGCTGAAGCGGCAAATTCAGTCGTACCTCTCGACTGGCCCGGGTATACAGTACATCCAGTCCCAATGTCTAAGCACCTATTGGCAGTATAAAGTTTAGCGCGTCAAGATGGGGAATGCAGATGTCTTTTATGGAGCCTGCGGAGAGTTGCGGAGGCGTGCGGTCTGTTATCGCGCCTGTGCCCTCAATTAACGCGCTATCTAAAGCTGCCACTGGCATGAGCGTCAGCTATACATTTGACTCTCGTATCTCACCCCCAACCATCCTCCGCGATACAGATGGCATCCACCTCCCCGCCATTGTCTGTCGAAGAGCGTTTTGGCCTTTTGTTCATAGTCGAAGCTTCCTCTCTTTCTGCATCCGCTGTTCTCGTTCTCCTATCTTACCTTGTGGTTCGTCAGTCATTGTTATTGTTCAGGGGAGGGTATCCTGACATGCAGCCGGTCGCCAGTACAGTGCTTCCACGATACGAAAAGGAGCTCACCAGCGATGGAGGATCGAGAGTCCGCTACATTACTACTTCCTCAACCTCATGCTTTGTGATTTGATACAGTCCGCTGGTATGTTTTGCGAGTTTAAACTGTATATGTATTTCTGTATCTGATATCCTTCAGGTGGGATGCTGAGCATCAGATGGATAGTAGAGGCCGTAAGTACCCATTGCCCATATTGTACGATCTGGTTGGGCCTTCTGGAACTAATATCATGGACCTATTCTATCCAGAGAGTGACCGAAGGTCCATTCTGCACCGCTCAAGGTATCTAGATTCCTGCACAGATATTGCGCTCTCGTCGATGACCTGCATATCATCGCCAGGGATTATGAAACATGTGGGAGATGTTGGCACTGCTCTTTCGTGAGTCTCCAATGGTGCCTAGTTATTACGTACCCTCGTTTATGAAGTCTTACAGAACCCTCGTAAGTCTTCTTTACCTCAAAACTAAGCAGTACTAAGCTTGATTGAAGACAATCACCGTGTACACTTTTATCGTCCTGGCATTTCGTTGGAAACCATACAGAAGGCCACGATCATATCTAGTCGCGGTCGTCATCGTGTGGATTTTTATCATTCTTGCCGTTGCCATCAATATAGGCGTCAATGGCGCAAATCGATTTTATGGGAACACTGGATCCTGTAAGTCATCATGCCGACGTCGCGCGTTGTCGTCTGCTAATGTATCAAAAGGGTGTTGGATTGCAGCTGAGTATCATGTCCAAAGGCTAGTGTTGGACTACGTATGGATGTGGACTGCCGCATTTTTCAGCATAGTGCTCTACGTCCCTCTTTACTTTATTTTAAGAGGGTCTTTCGTCTTAGAAGGATGGGCTCTTCGAATACCAGAAGAAACTAAAACAGAGACGCTTCCGCGTAGCAGATTGGCTCTCAAAATGCTATTGTGGGTGTCTTCTTCCGAAGCGGCTCACTCGATAACCCGAGCTGAACAATATGTACTTTAGCTACCCCGCAATATATACAATCACGGTAAGGTACTTCCACAACGATCCACTGATGGCCTCTGATCTCCTGTGTCAGGTCCTTCCTATTGCCATTGTGCGATATAGTGCTTTTGCTCACAGAGACATTCCGCTTTCTGCAACGGTTGTCTCGGACACCATCTTCTGTATGTCTGGTCTGTTCGAGGTCATCCTCTACACTGTGACGCGGCCGTTCTTGCTCCCTCGCCACGAGCCACCCGAGGTGCTCATGAGCATCGCTTTTTCACCTAATTATTCGCGACCAAACAGTGCGCAACTGTCTATGGCGGACATAGCGACCACAGACAGCAGATCTGGTCCTCTCTCCGTACCACCATCTTTCCAGGGCCGTCTGTTTGACTCCAAGGAGGATGTGGTTGAAGTCAAGGAGGTACGGTTACCATCTATCTCTTCCAGTGGACATATGTCTTTCCAAAACATGGTATAAAGTATATTTCCGGGCTTGACTGATCTTTGCCTCTTTGGGTGTTTGTGTCTCGGTTCGTGGGGGTTTCTACTTGCTGTACTAGATTTAGCTATACTTGCATCATTCCGAGTTTTGTGTTATTCTGCATTCTGAACTATGTGTTCTTCATATCTTGCACGAGTAACAGCGACCGAACGAGCAATCCTGGCTGTTATATAGACGCGATGCCGTACTGCAAGTGGGCCGAGGCGGATGCATGTTTCCCACGATCAGTAGCACTTCAGCAACGTCATAACCTGGTCTATTCAGGCCACTACTTGCGCCTTCGACGATTGTGTCCCATTGATCCATGCCCTCAAGCCTGCAATAGATGGGTGGGAATCAATCCGTTCCTAGAGTCACAGCGCAAGACCGGGCTATCCTCGAGTATGTCTATGAACTTCAAGCTTCGGCTACCTTCATGACCTTCAAAGTGACCCTACAGCTTGAAGCTTCAGCGAGATAAGCTCAAACAATATCAGAAGAAGGTTATTCGCAGCGCGCTCATTCGGCTTCAGTTTTGACGCTCATATCTCACTAACAGATCCAGACTATCCTGAATCGTGAACATGAGATAGCCAAGCAGCAACTGGCCGCAGGTCAGAAAGATCGCGCACTATTCGCGTTACGGCGTCGGAAATACCAGGAAAGTCTGCTAGTCAAGACGGATGGGCAGCTGGAAAACCTGGAGCAGCTAGTGCGTTATCCCCATGGCTCCCACTAGACAACCTTCTTATTGTCTGCAGGTATCAACCATAGAGTTTTCGCTGGTCGAAGTCTCTGTTCTTCATGGTCTGAAGCAAGGTAATGAAGTTTTGAGAGAAATTCACAAAGAGATGAATATCGAGAGCGTGGAGAAACTCTTGGATGAGACGGCTGAGGCAAGAGCATATGAGAAGGTAGTTCAGATATCTTCGTCGACCACGAGTCCAGTCTGATACTCAGGCATTCTAGGAAATCGGAGAACTACTATCCAACAGTTTAACGTTAGACGAAGAAGATGCTGTTCAGGAGGAGCTCAAAGCACTGCAAGAACAGGCGGTACGTGAATATCGCATACAACTATTGTGGTTACTTGATAATCCTTCGGTAGGTTCTGGAGCAATCTCACGAGGAGGATCAAGAGCTACCCTCGGTGCCGACAACAGAACCTGTCTCGGAAGGTGAGCTCACTGATATTTTATCGATTCTAGTTTGTCGATTACTACTACATGTAGCAGAGGAAGCTGGGAAGCTCGATGCGCAACAAGGAAGAGAGCGCATCCCTATTGCTGCATGATACTGACTTCTTATCGAGCGCGGCTTGTATGTATATTAAGTGTCTGTAAATATACCTATGTAAAAATACACCATGACAATCTTAGAAATTCTCAAACTCCCCGAAGCCCAACTTGCGTTTTTTGCTCTCTTGCTCTCCATGAACATTTCCTGCGGGGCCGGCGGGTCTTTTCAAGTGAAGATATTTGCCAACACCGCCGCCTGCACCAACCGTCCCAACGACTGACTCAACCCCTACCTTGAGACCGAACCAATTGACATCGTCTCCTTTCTTTTCTGTAACTTTTGGTGTTCGCGCGCTTTCTTCTGCTTCAGCCCTCTTGGAAAGCTTCTTTGCTAGACGTGTTTTATAATCCTCAAAAGGATCTTGATAGCTACGAGAAGAGTGGAGTGTTAGATAAAGTCTCGTGCCAGCCGGAAGAATACATACATGACAACCTCAGTGATTTTGACGGGCTTTGCGGGACGCTCGGTGCCATCTTTGAGGGGCAGCTTTTCTAGCGTGTCAAGAACGTCCTCGCCCCCTACCAGCTTGCCAAAGACTGTGTGCTTCTTGTCAAGGTGTGGTGTAGCTCTGAATGTGACGTAGAATTGCGAGCTAGTAAAAGTAATAAATATCGTTTACTTGACAAACTTCAGTAATCAATGCCTACCCATTCGTACTTGCCCCTTTATTAGCCATGGCAATGACACCTCTGCTGTCATGCTTGGCTGCACCTTTCATGTCATATTCATCGCGGAATGGTGTTCCCCAGTACGACTGGCCTCCAGAGCCTGTACCGGTGGGGTCTCCCGTTTGAATCTGAAACGCAGAAAGCTTCTATTATGAGCATGAATGGTGATGTCGTGCAATAACTGACCATAAATCCTGGAACTAGTCGATGGAAAAGACAGTCTTTGTATTTTCCTTGTCGAGCCAGCATGAGAAAATTGTAGCAAGTTTTGGGTGCCTATCAGATGCCTTTGTCTACTCAACCCTTAAAACAACGATATCGTTAGATGTACGCACCTTCTCGCAGAATAGCTCCAGGTTTAAGCTTCCACCCAGGCTTGTAACGACACGCACATATGCGCGTCGCTTTCCTACGTCTTTCTCCTTACCTTTACCCTTTAATGGCTTAGAGATGTCTTCAAACATCAGCTCTTCCTGATGACGGTGATCAGCACAAGTTAACGACCAAGGTAGATATACGAACCTCATCCCAAACCAACTTCGATGATGAGACTTGCGGATCTACGGAAGTTGAAGTTAAAGAGGCCCCAGGAAGGCCAGATGAATATGGTGAGACATTCCCTTGAAATCAATACAGAATTAATGAATGATTGCCAGATGAGGAATATATTTCCTCGTACAAGGAACAGTTTCCTTCTGAATGCTGACCACTGGTCCAGGCTTTGCTACAGATTTTGTTACAGCACTTGTGTCTTTTGCAACAGACGACGTTGCTTTAGCAGATGAAATAGACGTAGGTGGTAGACCGTGAGGGTTCTGCAATGTGATGACATCTTCTCTGGAAATGAACAAGTAAATGAATGGCCAAGGGTCACTGTGAGCTCAACAAAGTAAACGCACTTTTTGAACCGCACGTCGTTAACCAGATCTTTTCCTCCCTTCACACTGTCTGCTAGAAACACGTTCCCGGTACTAGCAATAGCTACAATATGCGAGTGCTCGCTAAATGGCTTGAACGAGATAGGATCGTGGAATTCGCCTGAGGACTTCCGCGAGTAATTCAGAGAGATGAGGTCGGCGGGTGTCAATGGTTCATTCGTGAGAGGATTCGTGTTGTCATGCTGTCTTGAAGCAGATCATGAGCGTTATTCTGAGATGCGGTAGAGATGAAACGGTCATACTTCAGCCACGGGATGATGTTGGTTAACTCGAAGACACTCCCTGTCCCATCTGAGTTGCGAGCACAAACGGGATGTGAAAATGGTTGGAAAGAAAGAGCGCAGCAGTCAAATGGAGTAAGGGAAGCAGGATGAGGGCCTTCCTGTTTTCTGTGATGCGGAAACCATCAGTAGCGCACAACACCAGGAGAATATCATGCACGTACGCTCTGAATCCTGCAGACGATGCCGTATGCTGGCCGAACATCCCCGAGTGCTCGGCATGGGTGATATACAACTTGTTCGAGTTTCCATGGCCCATGATGAAGGTAAAGAAAACGACAATATAGCAAGGATTCCGTCTGTGCCAACCCGTAAGCCCGAGTTGTGGTCTACTACAGTGAGGGGTACCACGTGACCTTTCGGCAGCCCATTTGGTTAGCTGAACTCGGCTCTGATTCCTCCAACTGACCATCAAGTTCCGGGATACGTAGGTCTCAATAGTCACACAGTATACCTTCATCTAGCCGAGCTAACTCGGCTACTTGGTCTATCCATAGTCGTTCCTTTTCGAATGCTCATCCGTTCTGTTGGTAAACCACACGGCGTCCTAGACTTCCTCGTACCGAACATACCATTTCGCAGGGCAAAGAGCTCAAAGGTCAAGCCTCGCTCGGTTGTGCCACCTCAAAACAATACACGGTCCTCATCACAACCGCAGTTAGAGAACGCGTCAAAGCTTATCTCTTTGCGTTCCGGCGATAGCGACAGGGTCGATACCTCCAAACTGCGCCCATCACTCCTCCAGCCTGTGTCTCTTCGTCCAGAGACAAGCTGGGATAGCCTTTCCGTTCATTCTGGAACCCAGAGGCTTCATAGCGCTCTTCGGAAGAGATCTCTTGGTGCAGCATGGACAATATGGAAGCAACTAGGCAACAAGCAGGTGCTGCACTTGCTCGGACCATCAGACCTAGAAATGTGCTCTCAACTCGTAGCAGATACCTGCTCATCAAACACGAAGAAACCCTGGGATGACCAGACCAAAGAGTTACTCGAGGAAATGGCTCTTTCTTGTGCCATTGGGCGGTTTCCAGAGGGTCTGAAGGGGTGTTTAGCAGCGTATATCAAACGCGACGATGCCCAGGCTATACTGTCATTATATGAGAGGTTCGTCAAGCTTCTATCAGAAGGTGTGGCGGACCATGTGATTGCAGAGGAAGAGGAAGAAGATGCGGAAACGAGAGGAGACGAGGAAGAGGGGCCGCTTGCCTCCACATCGACCTCGGTCCGTCCCGATCGATTTCCAGGGGGCTCAGAAATCCTGCTCGCAGCAATTGCTGCTCATGCGATGCTCAATGATTTTTCAGGCGCTATTCGCACGGCTCTCAAGTCTCCCTTTCGAATCTCTTCCCTCAGCGTGCCCATATTCCTACCCGTCCTAAAACACAATCCTTCTCAGCAAGAGAGAGCGACCATTTTCATTCAACAAGCTGCAACTGCTAGACTTGTGTCTAGTCCTATATCCCTGCGCCACCAGGTAACAAACTTGTCGCAAAATTCGACTCAAACGGCATTGAAGCGTCTCTATGATAATATCATCAGCGGGTTTTCCCCCGAACACCCTTGGCTGACGACTGACCCGTCCCAGGTGTCAGATATACGACCGGTCGTGATCGGGGAATCGACTTGGACACATCTCATCAAGACTTTCGTGGAATTGGATAGACTGGACTTGGCTGAGACGGTGTGGGCGGACATGATCCGGTTTGGATTTCGTCCAACAGTGGCCGTTTGGACTGTCCTCTTGCAGGGCGTCGGTCAACTAAAGGGAGCCGATCACGCTCTCGGAATGTGGCAGACTATGATCGCGGCTGGGATTGTTCCCGACAGTTCGACATATCAAGCCATAGTGTTCGTATTGTTGAAGGCACGAAGACTGTCGAACGCCATCGAAAAATTTAACGAATTCATGCGCCGAACGCCAAACCCCTCGGCCGACTGTACACCTTTATTTAATACCATGATCAAGGGATACTTGTCGAATTCTCGCGATGCCGAAGCTCGGGATTTGGTAGCTTGGATGAAGGAGCATGGTCCAAAACCAGACACAGCAACGTATAACACGTTCTTGGCCCATCACCACAGCTTCCGTGACTACAAGTCCATCTCCGCAACGTTACAGGCCATTGCCGCTGACGGTTTGCGTGGCGACGTGTTCACATTTTCCACCCTACTATCGTCATTACTTCGCCTCGTTGACAGACAGGAAGCCATTGACAGGACGATTCGCATCATGCGATCACATGGCATTAAGCCAAATGTCGTGACCTACAGCACCATTATTGCCAACTTGTTAGAGGAGCGAACTGAGTCGAATCTCAAGGCTGCGGTGGACGTCTTACGGATGATGGAGGAACATGGGGACCCAGCAGTCCATCCGAATGTGGTGACATATACCAGCCTCCTCAGCAATATCTATCGCTGGCCCGATCTCGACAGAGCTCTCTTGGAAGAGCACACAGATTACATCTCGAAGCAGATGAAGGAGCGCAAGATCGCCCTCAACAGGGTAGCGTATCACATCCTCATCAAGGCATGTTTGGCAAATCCGCAGCCGGGGGGGCTGCAGCAGGCGCTGCAATATTATTGGCAGATGCGGTCCGCTAAGGTGGTGATGACGCCCGATACCTGGCAAATATTGTTGCTTGGTCTAATGCAGCGAGGGAATACAGCTATGGCTAACGAGATGGTGAAAGAGATGGAGAAGTCGGGAGTTAAGGAAGGGGAATCACTGCGGAAGCTGGCCTCGGACGTTAGACAACATGCAGCCTGGGGGTCGACGTCTAGATTAGAAGGATACTATTCATGAATAGCTAATGTGAGATGCTGCATTGGCACAGAGAGCTCCACACGAACGATGTCACGACGATCCGGCGGGTGAAGTCCTCTCGCCAACAAAGAATGGCCGGCTGATGCCATGCTCAAGATATCGAGCATATGCTACAAAAGGACGTGAGACGATGAGAGGGAGGGCGATGACTCGATGGAGAGGGCAACCCACCCCAATAACTCCATCGACGACCCAACCATTTGCCAAAGAAAGGCAGGAGCACGACTGAAACGAGCTGCGCCAGTTGCTCTAGGCTCTCCTCCCACTCCTCCTGTGCCAAGCGCTCATCGTCCGAGTCGTACGAACCATCTGACGAGAGAGAGTCGAGGGACATGACGGACTGAGGCATTGTGACGGTGTGGAACTGATGAGACGCCCGGACCCTGGGGACCGGGCTTGCGGCCCTGCGGCGTCCGGCGAAGCCGATAAATACCCAAAGCGGTCGGCGAGGTCGCTCCGAAACCCTCATCACCGTCGACCCCACGTCCCAACAGCTCATGCAGCATGTCCCAGCCAGCCCCTCCACCCTCTGGGCGGCGCCTCGTCGGTCAGCCTCTGCTCTATTCCATCTCCATATTCGCTAGCTTGGGCGTCTTTCTGGTCAGTACATCTCGCACCGTTCATAGTCCTCCTTTCGTAACTCGTTTGTGCTGCTCCAGTTCGGCTATGACCAAGGGTAAGCCCGTCTTTTCGTTCTCACCAGAGGCAAAAGCATTAAATGTGTGACCCGCTAGTGTTATGTCCGGGATCATCACAGGTCCCCATTTCCGCCAGTTCTTTGGCAACCCCGGGCCCGTAGAGAGGGGAACAATGGTAGCTGTGCTCGAAATCGGCGCATTCAGTACGGGATAGCAGTCACTTTCTTACATGCCACTGACCCTGCGTGTGCGCAGTCACTTCTCTTGCTGCTGGTCAGGTCGGTGACCGAATTGGTCGCAGAGGAACACTCTGCATAGGCGCCATCATTTTCGGTATTGGCGGTGCTATTCAGACGTTTACCACCGGAATCCCAGTCATGATCATCGGCCGAATAATCAGTGGGTTCGGTGTCGGTCTCCTTTCGTGAGTTCCTCATTATGTTATACCATGCGCATGCGATCTCAGCGTGCTGTGAAGGACAATTGTACCTATATATCAAAGCGAAATCTCCCCACCTAATCACGTATGTCTCAGGACGCGCCAACCCCGTTTTCTTGTCTACTAATTACGGCTCACTTCTAGCGTGGAGCCTTGGCCTGTATGGAATTCACCGGGAACATTTTTGGTTATGCATCCTCCGTAGTGAGTGTCGTAATGGCCTGTACTGATGTCTCAAGGCGCCCCTCAATTTGTTTCTAGTGGATCGACTACTTCTGCTCCTTCATCGACTCCGATCTCGCGTGGCGGATACCACTCTTTATTCAATGCGTCATTGGCGCAATTCTGGCAGCAGGAAGCCTCGTTCTTCCAGAAAGTCCTCGGCAAGTGGCTGTCAAATTGATCTTCCGCTCAGCTGACCGATAACGTCCGTTTAACAGATGGCTTATCGACGTGGACAGAGACGAGGAGGGGATGCAGGTTATTGCTGACCTTCACGGCGGTGATCCAGAAGACCTCGTGGCGAAAGCTGAATTTCAAGAAATCAAAGATAGAGTGATGTATGAGGTAAGTAGTGCTCTAACACGGAACGTCTACTCGTGCTAACATTGTGCAGCGGGAGCTGGGTGAAGGACGCACGTACGCTGCAATGTGGAAAAAATACAAGCGTCGCATTCTCTTGGCCATGTCATCCCAAGCTTTTGCGCAACTCGTGAGTGCTTGTTAGATCTTAAACAATTTCTGTGCGTCTTTTTGTATTGATCACACGACCTAAAGAACGGTATCAACGGTAAGAGATGCTCCACTCCCCTTAATCTGTCTCACTGACATGTGGTTCTGCAGTTATCTCGTACTACGCACGTGAGCCCTTTGTTCTTTTCAAGTTAGAATCTTCCTCTCACATCTTCCTCTGCATGAAGCGAATGTATTTGAAGGTACGCGTTTCGAGCCGAGCGACGATCGTGTTGCCGCTAACATCGCGTAGAGGCTGGGTGGCTGGGTCGTCAAGCTATTCTCATGGCTGGCATCAACGCAATCATTTACCTGCTTAGCACCATCCCAACGTGAGTTGCTTGTTTTGTGTGTGTGTGTGTTTAATCCTCAGCGTGGATAAAGGTGGTATCTCGTTGACCGATGGGGTCGTCGCTCAATCCTGCTCTCCGGAGCTGTGGTCGTAAGTGCATTTGCTGGAACTTCCGCTATCATTTGAAGACAGGAATACAGATGGGAATGGCTTTGGCTGCCACAGGTTGGTGGATGTATATCGACGTTCCCCAGACGCCGAACGCGGTGGTAGCTTGTGTCATCATCTACAATGCATTCTTCGGGTACAGGTGCGTCCTAAAGGAAAGAAATAAACACGATAAAGCATTCTATCAATCTGCTTCGCGTGATATAGTTGGGGGCCTCTCCCATGGTTGTATCCCCCCGAAGTTAGTGGTCCTTGATCCGTCATGCGCTCTCACCTAAACAAGTGTTTGTAGATCTTGCCTTTGACCGTCCGTGCGAAGGGTGTTTCTCTGTCCACTGCTACCAACTGGGCATTCAACTTCCTCGTTGGTGAGGTAACCCCGAAACTTCAGGAGACGATAGCCTGGAGATTGTATCCCATGCATGGCTTCTTCTGCGCCTGCAGTTTTGTGCTCGGCGAGTTCCCCCTTCCTAGATTTTTGACGTGAAAACTGACAGTAGCACCCATATAGTGTATTTCTGTGAGTAATCCCCTTCTGCTCGCGGAATAATGAAATGGTAACACTCCGCTTTAGTGTATCCTGAAACGATGGGCGTTCCTTTAGAAGAGATGGACGCCGTCTTTGGAGAAGGTCAGCCATAGGTCATCTTACCGTCGACACCAGTAGCTCATTGCGCTCTTCAGACGAACGCGAAGAAGCGCTAGAGAACGATTCAGAGCGGGCATCCTTGGTGTCTGGCACCATGCCTACCAACCACCAATCAATCAGCCCGCCGCGCGGAAAGCCTGATTCCCCGTCGAGCCGCGGGTGGGTCAGCCGGCTCATGGGGCGGATTGACGGGCGGGCGTCCTACCAGCCTATCGCGAACAATGAAGAATAGGAACTTGCGAGGATGGACGGCGACACGGGCGGAGAAGACGAGAACGAGCGGACGTCTAGGATGAGAGGTGAGCCTCTGGCGTAGATGCCCTATGTCACCTGTGCGTGCATGTGTGCGTGCAATGTGCACTTGGTGTGCTCGCTTCGACGAGGAGCTTCCTGACCGATTCGATGGCCTGTCTGGGTGGTACGTCTAAGTGCCGTGCGTGCGTGCCCCAGGACGGTCATACTGCCTTCTCCTCTTCATTGTCCATCCTCACAGTTTTACTTGTTCTCGTCATTTTACTGCTGTGCTCTCAAAGCTGCACTTGTTCGCATGTATTGTTCCTACTATTACTACTGTACAGCATACCCCCTCAATAACTCGCATCGTGTCACGATCTTTCACTCTTAACTCTTCATTAATTCATCATCGGCCGTGTTTTTTTTGAGTGCCCACAGGGAGAAGACTATAGGCATAACTGCGAGACATCTGCGCTCGGAGCCTTTCCCAGCGCCATCTCTGCCAAGACTAAGCCAGTACCTAAACTCATAGAGATGCCCCAAGGCCCGTGTCCGCTAGACACCCATACCTTGCCCACCACGCCGGTTTGGTGTTCGCTCAGCGCTGTCAACAGCGGCATGCCGGTGGGCATCACGGGGCGGTGGCAGAGCCCTTCGCTCAGAATGTCCAGCTGCTCGGTGCCCAGCATCTTCTTCGCGACGTCCTTCAGGCGCGCGATCTCACGCGGCTCCGGGACGACATGCGCACCGACGTCCGCAACGGGCACGTCTGTCGTGTTAAGGCCCGCAAGGTAGATATCACCGCTCGCGCGGCTAAAGATCTCGGGCGAGAACCCCGCCGCGGGGTCCGTCGTGAATGCGGCGTGCGAGGTGCGCGGCGAGTCGTCGGTGTAGGGGTCTTCTGCCCAGTGAGGGGAGCGCAGGACGAGGGAGTAGCCGGAGAGTTGTGTGATGGGGAGGCGTGTCGAGGAGGAGGGGAAGAGTGTGGAGAACACGCGGGGGGTCCAGACGCCGGCGGTGAGGATGAGCGAGTCACAGGGTAGCGTCTGTTCTGCGCCGTCTGCAGTGCGGATGGTGAGGCCTGTCAGGGCGTTGGAGGGTGAGGTGACCACGCCGGTGGGCGTTGCAGGATGGTGCAGCTGTACACCGCGCGATCGGGCCTGGTCCAAGAGGAACTGGGACAGGAGGAGAGGGTCCCTGAGCGAGTCGTGATCAATACTGGACAAGTCGCACATGGAGTAGGCTCGAGTACATACACTTGAGCAGTACCGCTCGGATCCGATATCTTCTCTACACCGGAAGTTTCGCCCGCGCGTCCTACGGCCAACCACTCTGGTGCCCCCGAGCGCTGCTGAGCGCCACCCCCGGCCATGAGCGCCCTGCTCGTCCCTTGAAACAGCCAGTCCTCTCCCCTCTCTGCCGATTCCGGCGCCTGCGCGTCCGAGATCGAATACGCGGTGCTCGGGCTGTACGCCCAGGCCTTGCCCCCGCCGTGCTCCGCCGCGAGCTTCCGGTGCAGGTCGAAGGACAGCGCGCCGAGTGCGGCAGACGCGGGCGCGAACCAGCCGCGCGCGAGGAAGCCAGCGGCTTTGCCAGACGCGGAGTGAAAGAGCGTCGGCGCGGCCTCGACGAGGTGGATCGTCGTCGTGGGCGAGAGGAGGGAGAGGTGGTAGGCGGTCGCGACGCCAATGATGCCTGCGCCGACGATGACGACGTTCTCTGTGCCGGGGGAGGACATGTCGCGATCGCGATGGGGGGTTCGGTTTATTCTCTGTTTGGGCAGGCATCATCTATATAGCGCGCACCGCGTTCGGACTATCGAGCTGAGGCGGGCTCAAAGCCGACGCCGGGTCCGCTGGGGTCCGCTGGCCTTCCGTCTATTCCGACATGCCCATGCTCGGTCTAGACGCTGGACAGTGTTATCGCAGTGACCCTCCGACCATCCTACTGACGTTTGGATGAGTGTATAGATTTTCGGAGGGATGTGTGCCTGAAATTGAATAGAGGTTATAACAATGCTTGAAGCCGGACCTCGATGTTGCGACTTTTTTCATGTTCCTCTCCTCGACTATTAGAACTGTCGATACAAAACGCATCCAAGAATTTCGCCGGGACTAGTGTAGAATGAACCATAAAGAAATGGCTACAAAACGTCAATAAACGGCGAAATGTCCTTGAGTCACAGCGCATACTCACGTGCCGCAACGCATGACATTTCTCCCTCTCCCTCTCGTGTCTACCAGCGTCACTTCTTGTTCCTCTCGATGCTGTCGTTTTCCGACTCATGTCCGAGGCCTTCATGGCAGCACCGCGTTTCGTGCATTTCAAGCTTTGAAGCCCAATACAGGACGATTGAGAACAGGCAATGACGGCCCCTCCAACGTCCGAAGTCCATTGAAACCCCCGTTCACTGGCCTCGGCCTCTCGATGCCCGTAGTGGTTGGTCTCAAAGCTGCGTTTCCGAATGTAAAGCAGGCGACGGACGCTCAACATGAGTTTATCCCTGCGGTGATGTCTGGGAAGGATGTGCTGTTGAAGGGCCGCACGGGCAGTGGAAAGTGCGTCGCATCTCGAACCCGGACATACTCACACGCGCTAAAGCGAAGACGTTGGCATAGGTCGTTCGGGCTCGTTTTGGCGCTGCTCAGCAAACCCAAAAACCGCAAGTTCGCGTCCACGTCTATCTTGCTCATTGTTCCACATCGGGATCTAGCGTTCCAGTTTCTTCACTGGATAGAACGAATTGTCACCACGGCAGATCCGTCGCTCTCCATATCCTCCGTTGCTCAGGCTCTCGTTCGGACCGCTTCGACGTCTGTGTCCGCTCAATTGGCCAAAATGCGAGAGACCCCGCCTCTCATCCTCATAGGGACGCCTCAAACTATTCTAGACGCTTGGAACGAAGACAACGAATCGATTAAGCTACAAGAACTTTCTACCGTCGTAGTGGACGAAGTCGATTACCTTATTGACTACGTCCCCAGAGAATCGTCTTCGGTCACCAAGCAAAAGGTCAAACTCAGGATGAAGCGACATCCAAAGCCGACCAAAGTTCTACTAGACACCATCTACGCTCCCCGCATTGGCACATCGAATACTTCCGATGAGAAGAAAGGCCGACACAACATAGTCCCGGGGACAGACTCACTGCCCCAGCTCGTGTTGTGTAGCGCGACGTTCCGTTCTGGGCTCAGACAACAGTTGTATGGCAGCGGATGGATCAGGAAGGGACAGGGAAGCGTGATCAAGGTTAGCGGAGAGGCTTCCGAGTTTGATAAGGCGCTGTTCGACGACGCGTCGGCGGATGGCGAGGGTTCTGTCCTTGGCGGGCGGAACGTCGCGCACTGCGCTCTGGTCATTAACGCAGATGGTGATGTCAAGAATATTGATGGGGCCGTCGGTGCCGTCGCTGTTGAACAGAGCGACTCTGAGATCAAGCACGCGCTGCCGGTGGATGATCCTACCGCTCGGCTACCCGAGCTGCCTGAAGAGCTGATGATCAGTAGGTGACATTTATGCATATCCGCTCTAGACCCGCTAAACCCGCTGTTTGATTGAAGGTTATTCGATGACGCCGTCACCTTTCCATCCCGCAATCATGGAAGCTGTTGCGGCTGCCTTCGCTGTCGATGTCCCGCGCGTTGCGTTGCTCGTTCTGCCCGCGTCTGCGCCATTGCAGCGTGCGGTGTATGATCTGCGCATGCTCGGTGTGAACGCGCACGGGCTCGATCTGGTTGCGGACGACCGCGGGCGCGGGCATCTCCTTCGGGGCGCTGGTGACCGCGTCGAGGCGAACCCAACGCTGCTCGTGTCGACACTGGCGTCGACGCGAGGACTGGACCTGCCGGATTTATCGCACGTGTTCATACTGGGGGTGCCCGAGGGCGAGCGGCGGGTCGACGCGTACCTGCACATCGCCGGGCGGGTAGGCAGGTTCGGGCGCGGAGGGAAGGTGATCAGCGTGTTGCGAGAGCGGCATGACGAGGCCGGTAAGGACGGGAAGAAGGTGGTGGTGGACGAGCCGGGGCAGCTCGCGCGTCTGTTGAAGACGATCGGGGTCGAGCCCACAAAATACGAACACTTTTCGTGAGTTTTGGATTGAATGCAATGCATGACGTTGTGCGACGTTGCACATCAGTAAGTAGGGTGCACCCCGTCGCTGTGTGCACCGGTGTGCGGTTGAGAGACGCGCTGAAAATTGGACTGCATGTGGAGTGAATAGGAAATTGCGGGCTGGCGAGGCCGGTCATGACGCGCGAGGGACGACCTGCAGGGTGGTCAGGTGTGTTGCCGGAGGTATCAGAGAGGGCGTGAGAAGGAGGGGCAGCCAGGGCAGCGTGCAAGTGGAGAGGGGATCGGGCACAACGATCTCGCTCGCGTGGCGGGATCAAAACAGCGGCTTCCCTGCTCACGTACTCTTTCTCCTCTCGCCCGCGCGAAGGCGGCCGCTCCAGTGTATCTCGCAACACTTGGCCACGACCACAACAGTCGCGTCTCTCTGTCGATACCCTCCTCCTCCCCTTTTCTTCTGTTTTTTTTTCAGCCTTGTCTTTTCCTTCCTACCCACGCATGTTTCCGAGCTGGCTGAAGCCCACACGGGCTCTCCTCTCCTCCATCCTTTTCGTAGCCTCTCTCCCCTCTGCATACGCCCAACAGCCATCGAGCATCAATTCCGCATCCCAGTCGTCCGTGCCTCTGTCTTCTGCGTCCCAGTCGTCCGCATCCCTCTCCAATTCCAACTCTGCAAGCGTAACAGTCCTGCACTCGACCAGCGCTGTAACGATTACCTCCGCCAGCCGCTCGGGCACCGCCAACATTCCTATCACTACCGCCGTGCCCTCCGTCTTCAATGTCACCTCCACGATCCAACCCACGAGCACCACGAATTCCACTGCTTCGGCGACATCCTCCGCATCCGCTTCCGCTACACCTACTCCGATCGTACTCGCCACGAAGCTTGATCCCGGTTTTGGCGTCCTCGGCGCCCTCCTCATCATTACCGGGTTTCCCAGCGCATTTTGGGGACATAAAAATCGATGGTGGGTCTCCGGTTCCTTATCGCGAGGTTCCGCAGCTTGATGGTTTCCGCAGGACATCCTTTTTCTTGATCGGGTTTTACACCCTGTCTCTCATCTGCTTCGTTCTTATCTTGAAGTTTGGTATTTTGACCGCCGTCAATCCTCCAAACAAAACTCTTCGGGGCATGTTCGTCCTATCTTCGGCGGTGGCTGGCATTGCTGGTGGAGGCATCTCCATTTTTTTCTGGAAAGCCACTAAATATTTCATCGGCGGCTGGGGCGGTTTCGCCCTGGCGCTTTGGATTCAGTGTTTCAGAGATGGCGGTCTCATTCACCAGCTTGGCCTCCGCTGGATTCTGTATATCGGTGCGTGTCTTCCTCCAGGGATTCGCACACGCATACACGAGAACTGAGACGTGGGTGCAGGCTGTGGTGCGGTCGGGTTCATTCTCTGCACGATACCCAAGATACATTACCACGTTCTTCTCGTGTCAACGGCCATCGTCGGTGCCTCGGCTATTATCCTCGGCGTGGACTGTTTTACGACAGCAGGCCTCAAAGAGGTAGGCTTCGGACGCGTCCTTCTCACTTGTGATTCTGACGTGGATTCGGCCAGTTCTATATTTGGAACATCGGGTTTATGTCGCTCTTCACCACGTTCACGAGCCGCGGAATACAATTTCCGGTCTCGCAGACGATGCAAATTGAGCTGGGCCTCATCGGCGCCATCACGCTCATGGGCATCGCGGTGCAACTACGCGTTCTCAAGGTGCTTCAGCGCAAGCTAAAGGAGATCAAGGAGGAGCAGCGCCGCCGCGAGGCGGAGAACGACAACAAGGCCGCAGAGCAGTTCGCGCGGCTTGGCGAGGAGATCGCGGACTGGGAGAAGGACCACCCGACGCTGGGCAAACACGGGCGACAGGACAGCGACTTTTCGGGAACGCCCCTCATGAAAGGCAGTGACGGCGCGTCGACTCCAGGCCCAGACGATCGGGCTTTCGTCCGCAATCGGCATCAATCCGGCCTCTCTGACTTCCTGGCCGCCGTGAATCCGGACGAGGAGCGCGGGCAGCGCCGCTCGCAGAGTCCGGGGGCGTTGCCTGCGCTTGACCTTGGTAGCGATATACAGGAAAACGTGCCTCGTGGGTTCATTGCGAACGATGTGGAGAGGGCCGACTCGACAGCAGGCGGGGACCCAGAAGACATCAAGCGGAAAGAGGAACTCTTGCATGAGATCCAGACCATCCGTCGATCCATTGACTTATTGAAATCAGAATCGCCGCAGCCGTCTTCCTCCTCAAACTCGCGTCATCCTTCATTGACGTCTCGGCGAACTCTCAGCTACGATTTGAATACGGCGACGCTTATGGGTTCGTCTCACCTTCGTCCTCCGCGGGACGCCCGTCATCGGGTGCAGTCCATGGAGCTCTCGACCCTTTCTGCTACCAATGTCGGCGACGCAATCGGCAGACCTACGAGTGCACCTCTTCGCGACAATGACTGGGACGCCTATGTTCGTGATCGTAAGCTTGTCCAACCTCCGTCCGGCCCGTCTGCCCCCATCCAAACTACGCCCATTCCGCTTCTGAGCCCGACGCCTCGCCTCACTGTGCCCCCGGCCGTTCAAGATGCTCTGCTGCGCAGGCAACAGCGCGAGAGCATGATCGACGCCCCCGATGGAGCTCCTCCAGCCCTCAGAACGGATTCTCCACGGTCGATTGATGGCTTTGGCGCACACCTCGTTGCACCGAAGATGTCGCACCATCGGTCGAGTTCTTACAACACCAACCCTGCTCCCGTCACCGTTCTCCCGCCCAAGCGCAGCGCGGCCGCGCCACCATCGCAGCAACCGCGCACGGTCACTTACGAAGAGCTGACGGAGCGGCATCGCGAAAAGCTGCGGCAGCTGCAGGCCCCGCTGACCCAGGCGGAGAACGAGCACGCCGAGGTCGAGGCCGCCAAGGCGCGCTGGGAGCGCTCCAAGACTTCTGAACGTCAGGCGGTTGAGAAGCGCCAGGCTGAGCGTGCGGCGGCGCTCGCGAAGGAGGCCCAGCGGCCGCGGCGGTCGGGCGAGACGCACGGCGACGGCTCGGGGGGGAAGCAGCGGCAGCACACGAGGGCGGCGAGCGCGGAGATGTTGGGCATCGGAGCTGCGCCTTCGACGTCGAGACGGATGTCGACGCTGAAGGTCGAGGACTGGCAGCGGTACCAGGCAGATACGGCAACCGCGGAGCGCCGCCCCGTGAATGCCGAGGGCCACGTGAGAAGCCGCAGCGGGGGGGTGCCATTCCCTGCAGAGAGGCGGGGAAGTCGGGGGCTGCCGCCGAATTGAGAGTGAGTTTTGGTCGACGAAATTGAACGTCATATGAGGTATGGGCGTCCTTTACGGCAAGACGCATGGGCGCATGTGGTCTGCGATAATGTGTACTCTTCGGTTATGTACCATCTGGCATCATTTTACCCTCTACCTTTACCTTCCAGCATTCACCCCCCTCTCGAATCCCCTTCCTATATCCTCACTCTCTTCCTCTGTTCGGACATGTAGGGTGAAACATCTTGGAATGGACATCGTCATGGACTCTAATTAGACACTTTCTGCACACGCATATAACGGATTGTCACAGTCCTTTTATCATACACACCATAATCCCCTTCCTGCCCCTTCACACGCGCATTCTTTAAGTATATCTCTCTTTACTATTTCTTTTTCATTCATCCTTCTGTGGCATCCTCGTCGCTCATAATTATGCATGTCCGATCGCACAACGTATCACACTTAGGACTCCGAGTAATTTAAAGTCGAAGGTTTCGTTGCACGCATTGGTGACCATATCTGTACTGTAGTTGCTCCGACGCACGATCTGCTCCCTTGACAATTACAACACGCATTATCATACTCTACAGTACAGTGGTGAGTTACATGGACCATACTTTTCGCTGGTAGTCTAAAATAATGGGTATGAAGTCGAAGAGTCCAAAGTCGGGCCAGTACGTGTCGCAGAACTGGATCTGCGTGTCCTCCGAGCACTGGTGACGTATCGATGTGTGGGCACAACGACTCAGCGGACGTGGACGTGGACGCTGTATCGGGTCGACATACCTGCCAGAGGAGATAGTCGCTCAGTCGCTTGACGCCGCTCGTGCGGACGAGGACGTCGAGTGGAGGGCTCCCGCCCTTGGATATCATCATGTTGGCGTCGAGGTCCTTCTCCGTTATCTGTCTATATATACGAGGAGAACGAGAAGAAGACGTGAGGCTGTCATAGCGATGAATGGAGGTAGAAGCGCTGCCTACGTGGAAGGCTGGCCGGTCGCTAGAGCGTCGCGGACGGACGTCTCGACGGCTGCAGTTATCTCATGGCGGGAAGCGTACGGCATGCATAGGTTTAGGATCGCTCTGTCAAGAGAGGGATGGGGCTATCCGGGGGCGTCCCAGTGACGGGTGTCTACTCACCGGTCGTTGTTCCGCGTCAGGTCCTGCGCCTTGTAGACCGCCTCGCGCACGCTTGGGGTCAGCAGCTCTATGTTTCCGATGATGTTGAGGCGGGCGCCGTACTCCTGCAGCAAGTTCCTGGCGCAACAGACACCGGATCAGTCGTTTCGCGAGCGAGCCGGGGAGGGAGGCGCACCCGTGTTGACAGAGCTCGAGGAGCTTCTCCTCCGCCAGACTCATGAGCGCGTCGACCTCGTCCTTCGGGCGCTTGAAGTTGTCGATGGCGAACGCATACGCGGAGACGCAGCGGATGTTGAGCAGGAGACAGATCTCGAGCACCTATTCGCACGCACTCAGTCCTCAGTCAATGGCATGCGGGCGGAGAAGGGCAGAGACGCACCCTCCGCAGAGCGATGAAGCCGTCCGAGTGCCCCTGCTGCACGCGCAGGTGGTGCATGCGGGCGTAGCGCCTGTTCCCGTCCATGACGAAGGCGATGTGGCGCGGGACGGGGCCCGCGGCGAGGACGCGCAGGAGGGCGTTGCGTGTCGTTGTGGCCGTCCTGTCGCGCAGCCAGCGCGCGCACCTGCGAAGGGTGTCCAGGATCATCGTCGGTCGTTTGCAGCGGTGGCCAGTCCCCGTCACGTCGACGGACGCACCGCAGCTCGGCCTCCTTTCCGCGCCAACCTGCTGGTCCCCGCGCGATAATTCGCCTGCGAATAACCTTCCCCCTCTGCGTTCCGTCTTGCGTGGTCTTCCCCGCCATGGTCAAACGCAAGGTGTACGACGACGCTCCCGACTGGCTTCCCCCGACGCTCCCCCGCTCATCCTCCAGAGCGAATCCACCGTCCGGAACAAACGGCGCCCATGCCCACGGCTATCATTCTTACGCCGGTACGAGCGCTGCAGGCCCCTCCTCAGGGGATGTGATCGACCTCACCACGCCACCGAAACCGAAAGCCAAGCGCCAGCGCAAGGCGAAGGACCCCGACGCGGCTGCGGACCAGCCAGAGAAGCGCGGCGCGATCTTCAAGAAGAAGTGCCCGAAGAACATCCTGGAGCGTGTTGATCGCGTCATCTCGCAGAGGTGCGTAGTCGTGATGGTCGGGGATGTGGGCTGATGGAGCTGATAGGCGTGAGCAGGTTCTTCATGGTCGACAGGAAGCGGGAGGGCAACGAGCTGCAGGAGGAGTTCAGCGTGCTCGGGTCAACTGGTAATGTACGTGCATGGCAGACTCGCCGACGAGCTTCCGAATTCATGTATGCTTAGGTGTATACTGTAGTCATCGGCAAGATCCCGTCGTGCAACTGTATGTACTTGTCTGTTATGGGACAGTTAACACAGGGATGTTCACGGTTTCGCAGGCCCGGACCACTTGAAAGGAAACCATTGCAAGCACATAGTATGTGATCTTACAGCTGGTTTTTGCGATGCAACCCGTGGGTCGTATACTGATGATGTACAGCTGTTCATATTTCTCAAAGGTCGGCTCGTCGTACGTGCCATCGCGCACGGACCCTGATCGCTTGCCTACTACTAGTTCTCCAAGTGACTCAGGATTCCGGATTCTGGTACCAAAAGCAAGTCCCCGCGCCACAGCTTGTCGTCCAGTTAATGCCCAGCTCATGTTCCCGACTGCTGCTGACAGAGCCCTCCTGACGAGCGAACTTGAGACCATCTTCGCCGAGGCCCCGCTTGCGCCCAACGCCCTCGCGCATCCCCACATCCGCGAGGCCTTCGCGCGCGCAACGGGCAAGAAGGCGGCCTCGTCTACGGACGTTGGCGGGCCGAAGAAGCGCGTCCCGGGCCCCGAGGACGACTGCCCAATCTGCTACGACGGCATGCACGGCGTGGCAGGGAACAAGCTCGCGTATTGCGACACGTGCGGGAACGCGGTGCACAAGGAGTGTTTCCAGAACTGTGCGTCTCCTCTCTCGATCCCCAGGACTGCATGGGGGAGTCTCCCTTTCGTCACGTTGGCGCTGACGGTTCGACATATCGTGGTATCGTAGGGGCCAAGGCGAAGCCGAACCCCACTTGCGTTTTCTGTCGCGCGAAATGGGTTACTTCGGGTCCTGCCAAAGCTGGATCATCCTCGCGCGGTGGAGGGGCGGGCGACTTTGAAGAGGGCTATCTCAATCTTGGGCGGACCATGGGGCTCAGTCCTGAGCGCGACACGAGCAGCTGTACGCGTTTATGTCCCACTCGCGAGCATCCTGGTTTGCTGATGTGCTGGAATCCTTGTAGATTATCACGGCCCCAGACGTGGACAACGATATTATGGGTATTAGGATGATTATCACTAATCGAGTCGAAAGCGCGATGAACATGCTCTTTAATCTATTTTTTTTTCGATTTATAGCTCGCATTCTTAATTAGCTCCCGCGTTATTGTATCGAATCGATGACGGTAATTGACCGTTTTTGTGTGTACGTGGGTCAGTGGGCTTCGTGAGAGTCTCGACCTGCTCTGGAATCCTGCGAAGTTACCGTGTTCTGGGTCTCCACGCGAGGCCGGAAGCAGTCGAACAAAGAGCCGATTCTCCCCGAGTTGGCTTATAGAGATAAACACTAGATGTAAGTACAGTGCAGAGCAGCGGGCATTACACAACAATGGGGGAGTGTGGGGGTTCCAGGCCAGACGCGAGTCCGGAGCCTGCCGGAAGCGCTGCTTCAGGGCGAGATCCACCGAGATCTTGTTTGACAATGTGCTCAGCGGGGCGTTTGGAGTCGAGGTTCGCTGGGTTTGGCCAGAAGGGTTGGGGAAGACGCTTCGGGAAAGGCGCGCCCCGCCTCGATTCGTTGGGGACGTCGCTCTGTGTTTGCTCTTAGGACGGATGGCCAATTTCGATGTCAAGCAACCTTTCCAGTGAACCCCTTCCCCTTGTTCTGTACACACATCGTCACGTATATACACGAACACCACCCATGTCGAACATCCAGCGCTCGAGATCAGAGCCCCATTTCGCTGTGCCCGCAACACAGCCAGACTCGCTCTTCCAACCAAGGCAGGAGAGGCGCCATGCCCCACGCCGGACGAAGACGACGACGGATTTCATGATGCACGCCGTGCAAGCTCGCCACTCGCCGGCCATGACACCTCGCAGTGATCGTGGGGACCCATTCAACCTCGGCGGGTTCTTTCCCACATATCCGCAGGAGGCGGGGGAGTTCGACTGGTTGCGGTACGGGGCCGAAGAGGAGCAGGAGCAGGAGCAGGAGCAGGCAGAGCGCGCGGGCGCGGAGACGGAGGAGGCAGAGGAAGAAGCCGCGGCGGAAGGGGACGCGGATGCGGTTATCAGGAAGGAAGACAAGCTGGGCATCCTGACTCTCCGTGCGTGACCGTATTTATTTCTGGCACACCGTCTTGTGCTGATGCAGCTGCCCCAACAGTCGAGTCGTTCGCCATGGAGCCAGAGACGTACGCGGGAGAAGAAAGACTGTATTCGCCGTACGCGGAAGACGAACCCTGCGACGAAGCATCGCTGTATTTGGCGTTATGTGCGCGGCGAGCTGCGCAGGGGATGGCGGAGACGAAAGGGAGCGGGGCGAACACACCCCTGGGAGCGCTTTTCCTGGCGAGTACGGCAGAGGAGCGTGTGGAGGAGGAGGAGGCGGGGAGGCGGGGATGGGGCTTGCAGGGAGGGCTGCAATTGCTCGCGGGAATGTTGTGAATGGGGAGTTGACGAGGTTCGCACGGGGTGTGTGGTGGGCGTGTGGAGTGTAGTGTTATTGAAAGTCAGCGTGTGTACGGCGCCCGAAGGACGCAGGGGAATGATGAGGGACGCATGGGAAGAATCGAATGGGAGCGGATTCCGGCATGCTGTCGAACGGGGGTCGAGTGCAGGCGGTCGGGCGAGATCATGAGATAGCATGGAAGAGACCGAGGGGGGACCCCGGGAGGAGAGAGAAGGGGCAAAGGCGGGTGGCAAAGAGTCACGGGGTCTGTGCGAAGGCCTTATAAATTGCGACGTCTCCCACGGTCGCGTTGAGCGGACCACACGTGCCCCGTTTTCCCACCCACGGCCCTTCGCTCGAGTCTCACCCGCTTGCACCCAAGGTCCAGGTTCCAAAATGAGGACCATACATCACCTTGATACCGTACACCCTCTTCAGATGGCCGCCACACAGTCCCAGACACTCGACCCCCTCCCCGACAACCCAGACTCCCTCTCCCCGCCCTCCCCAAACAGCCCCTCCAACATCGCACAGATCGTCGTGAACGCGATAGCCAACCCGACCCCCGCGTCCTCTTCCTCCCAAAACGCGTCTCAGGGCCCTATCCCTTCCTCATCGGCGACCCACTCCCCTCCGCCGCCCCCCTCCGTCTCTCCCATATCTGCCTCGCTCTCGCTCTCCGCCTCTGCGTCCGCCCCCGCCTCCGCTCTTACCCCCCTCCCCCCTCCCCCTCCCTCAGACGCCACCGCCACCCTCTCCATTCAGTCCATCCTGGCCGCGTCCTCCAAGCAGCCTTCCCCGCCCAACGGCCAGCAGCCCCCTTGGAGCATATCCCAGATGGTCATGCCCGTCCCCTCCCACCCTGACCAGCCTCCTCCCGCGCACCCACGATCATCGGTGAGTTGGTCGCCCCTCCGCATACGCTTCACACTCACCTTCCACACCCCACCCACGTCCCTCGCGATCCAGTCCAAGGGCAAGCGGAAGCTCGAAGGCGCAGACGCGGAGGATCCGCATCCCAAGATTCGACGCGTCGTACGCGACCATGTTTCCCAGGACCCCGCCCGCGTCATGCCCATGACCACCGTCATTTGTCTTCACGCCGCGGTCGCCCAAAAATCTTACGGCAGCGAGAAGCGCTTCCTCTGTCCTCCGCCCCTCGTCCACATCGAGGGCCCCGTATGGCAGATGCGCCAGCAGACCCTCGCCATGTCGGTCGTGTCCGAGACCGGCGAGCGCTCCCCAGAGCAGAAGGCCGCTCTCGACACCGGCATGAACGCGAACTTCAAGTTTCTGCACGTCACCGGCACCGCCAAGGCGAAGAGCTTCCAGCTCTCCCTCGAAATCTCCGAGCCGCCACCCCATGCGTCCCTCATCCCAGAAGGCACAGAGGTTCCCAGTGGACGCGTGTGGGCATCGTTTGACTCGGCCCCCGTCACCATCATCTCCAAGCCGTCGAAGAAGACGGCAAAGACGCGCAACATTTCTTCGTGCATCCTTGCCGGCGGCCCGGTGTCCTTGTTCAATCGCATCAATTCGCAGACGGTCCGAACAAAGTATATGACCATCGATCATAATCAACTGTGCGCCAGCAACGTTGCCTGGTCTGCCTTCAATGTAAATGTCGTCAGGCGAACGGAAGATGCACCCGCGCATGGTAAGTGACATCCTTCTCGGGCGAATGGCATCTGGCTACGCCGCAACGAGGACACACGCTGCGCCTGTTGATGAGCAGAAGCCCATCTGTGATCATATAAGCGCCCGTCTTTTGTTTATCTCCGGAGTGCGGTTGCTCATGTGTCTATGAAGTCCCTCAGCCCGTGACATATGGATCGGAAATCATTCTCACGGACACGCTATCCGGGATATCAACAGCACCCTTGGTCATCCGAAAGGTAGACAAGGGAAAAATCATCAGCGAGGACGGTGGCCCCGTCAGCCAGATGCAGAAGATTGCGCTCCAGCGAGTGAACACGGACGGCACCCATCACTATCTGTCGGCGGCTGGTCCCATGCCTGGGACGCCTGGCATGATGGCTCCACCGCCGGGCCAGGCAGGCACACATCCGCTGATCTTCCAGTCTCCTAGGATCCGCGATGAGGTCAAGCATGGCGTGCACTACATGATCGACGAAGTGGACGACTATCTGTGCTGGACCATCGTTGGAATTTGTGAGTGATTCAAGGTACTCTCGTGCGCAACCGTGCGTCGTTGACGAGATGGTCGTTGCCAGCCAAGTTCCAATACACGTTCTTCGACGCTTTCGGAGCCAACAATGCTTTGCCCGAAGTTCCTATTACGCCATTCCCGACGTTGTTCACGACGCCTATCTACCGCCCATCCAATAACTCGCTGGAGCTTACGGTCTCGAACTTCTTTTACGACCACCCCAAGACGCGGCGTCAGACACCTCTGGATGTGTACCTTGGCAATCTCGGCCCGCTTCCTGCTCGGGTATACCAAGCATCGCTTCCGGGCCCTTTGACGAATATATCGCCGTTTGTCCCAATGCAAACGGGTGCAGATCCTGTGCACGAGGGTTCGAGCGAAGGCGGCCAGGCTGGCACGGCGCCACCACCGCCGAGATACATGGCCCCAGGTCCGATGCACATCATCGTCGTGGTGGAAATGCCACCGCTGCCCGACGTCATGAAGGCGCTAGACGATGACTCTGCGACGCCTGACGCAGGCGAAAATAGCCGTTCGGGGGAGGGGACAAAGGAACACAAATCCAAGGACTCGGGCATCGGGTCGACGGCCGCGCCACAGCACCTGTCAGGGCGGAGCTTGCCGCTGCTCTTCATACGCGCGTCCGATGGGGTGGGTTACCACTCGGGACGCACGATTGCATGCGAGAACGTGTTCCAGAGCATGGACCTGAGCGCGATTGCGGCGAACCCGACGAATACGAACGCGGCGAGCATCGACACGGGCTGGCTCGCCGCGGCGCAAGCGGCCGCGGCTGCGGAGGGAGGCCTGCACGGGTGGACTCTGCGGGTGATGTGATGTACGACGATCTCAGTGGGGGGGGGGACGTCTGCTCGATTCGATTTGATTTTTGATTTGTTGTGTTTCGCATTGTCCTTCTTTGTTTTTCGCTCTGACTGTCTCGAGGTATCTCCGTCGTGCGCCGTCGGGGATTGCGGATCTGTCGGCTCGGGGATTGAGCCCAGGTTACGTGCGCCTATGTGCTTGGCTGTGGTGACGCTGCCCACCAGGCCAGCGACGTTGACCGCTCCCTTCTATTTTCAGCTATCGCGTCCGAGCTTCCGATGGCGGTTGCGCTCGAGACAGGAATTTCTTATGCTTGCATGTCGCTGTCTGTCTGACGTACGAATAATGTTCCGATTATCGATGTACATGATTATTTGCGCAACATACTCGGATGCAGGTTGCAGTAAGTATAGACGCGGCGATCGATGGCGCGAGTGGAAGGGGACGGATCCGACGCACGCGCCCCGGGCCCCAGCCACCGAGCGCTTGCTTGGGAGCCCCAACCGTCCTGTTAGCCGTCGTCCTTCCCTGCGCTTGGCCTGCTCGCTATAAAACCCTGCCCTCCCCTTGATAAGCACCCGATTGCACTGCGCTTCTGCTTGCACACCCGCCGCCCCTTCCTCTTATCCCCCATCGCCCCTCTAGCTCCGCCCGCCGCCCAGATCCGCCCACAGAAAAATATAGAGCAATAAAACCCTCGACAGAGCCTCCTTTGACCACCCTTGACCTTTGCCCCTCTCACCATGACTACCTTTTTGCCTACGGATGGGATCCGATCCCGCCTCGAGTGGAACGCGTCCCTCAACCCCGCCGCGGCTCCGTTGCCCACGGAGGACACCAAGTTTTTTCGCAAGGTGCGTCCGCGCGCGCCGCGCTCGCCGTGCAGTCTCGGCCGCGCGTGTCCGAGAGATTGAGCGCTGATGGTTTGCTTCGCCGCCGCCGACACAGACGTCCATCATCGCGACTATCGGTGCGTTTTTTTTTGGTTACAGTAGGCGGGACGGAGCCGAGGGGATGATTGATGCTCATGGGGCACAGGTCCGAATATCAACACCGTCGAAAAGCTTGCCGACCTCCGCCGCGCCGGCGTCAACATCGGTGAGTGCCTCCGAAGCTGCATCATTCTTGCGATATGCGTGCTCATCGTTGCGCGCAGTGCGCATGAACTTTTCGCACGGATCGTATGAGTATCACCAGAGCGTGATCGACAACACGAGGAAGATGGTCGCCGGTGAGCGCATATAGCTACTTGTTTTGTGTTGTCTGCTTGTTTCTCATCTCATGTTGGTCTGCAGCGGACCCTGAGGGCCGCCCCGTCGCTATCGCCTTGGACACGGTCGGGACATTCTCCTCCGCTCCTGCTTATTTCACGACGCTAATCCCGCTCGTCCACAGAAAGGCCCGGAAATCCGCACTGGGCTTATGCGGGACAACAAGGATGTGAGTTGCTTTTTTCTATTTCGCCCTGGCAAAATGAGATCAACTTTGCTCGTCGTGTCAGATCCCGATCAAGGCTGGTCACGAGTTCACCGTCTCTGTCGACCCCAAGTATGGCGAGATCTGCGATGACAAGGTCCTCTTCATGGATTACGTGCGTTCCAGCTCTTCCCCCCCCCCCCCCCTGAAATTGTCGCCGGATTTTATTCTGAGAGTGGCTGTATGCTGTAGCCCAACCTGCCCAAGGTGACCGCCCCTGGCAAGTTGATCTATGTCGACGACGGTCAGTGATTTTGTTCCGAAAGTCGAGGTGTATGGCTGAGCATCTAGAGCAGGTATTCTCTCCCTGCTCGTTGTGTCCATCGACGGCACCAACGTCCGCGTCCGCGCCGTCAACAACGGCGTCCTCAGCTCGCGCAAGGGCGTTAACCTCCCCAAGACCCCCGTCGACCTCCCCGCCCTCTCCGAGAAGGACAAGAAGGACCTCCAGTTCGGTGTCAAGAACGGCGTCGACATGATCTTCGCGTCGTTCATCCGCCGCGCGCAGGACGTCACCGACATCCGCACCGTGCTCGGGCCCGACGGTGCGAACATCAAAATCATCGTCAAGATCGAAAACGAGCAGGGTGTCGCCAACTTTGACGAGATCCTCAAGGCGACTGACGGTGTCATGGTCGCTCGTGGCGATTTGGGTATCGAGATCCCCGCCAGTCAGGTATTTTTGGCACAGAAGATGATGATTGCCAAGTGCAACATGGCTGGCAAGCCTGTCATCGTCGCCACTCAGATGCTCGAATCCATGACGGTAAGCGATGGACCCTTTGCAAAAGTCGGACTTTCTGATCATGCTATTTCTACAGTACAACCCAAGGCCCACCCGTGCTGAGATCAGCGACGTCGCCAACGCCGTACTCGATGGAGCTGATTGTGTCATGCTGTCCGGCGAGACCGCCAAGGGATCATACCCTATCCAGTCTGGTAAGGCGGCTCCTGTGACGCGGGACGACGGATAGCTGATTTTTCTCTGCAGTGCTCATGATGGCGGAGACCTGTCTCCTTGCCGAGGCGGCCATTTGCCACCCACCTCACTACGACGAGCTTCGCAACATCGCTCCCCGGCCAACAGAGACTGTGGAGACGGTTGCTCTTGCTGCCGTCGCGGCTGCGGCTGAGCAGAACGCCTCGGCGATTCTCGTCCTCTCGACGAGCGGCAACACCGCCCGCCTGATCTCCAAGTATCGTCCCAGCGTGCCCATCATCACTGGTATGTATCTTTGACACACTTGCGATTCCGTCGAGAGAGAGGCCTTACGAGGAGCGTTTGCCTGACAGTGACGCGCAACCAGCAGACCGCTCGCCAGATCCACCTCCACCGTGGCTGCTATCCGTTCTGGTACTCCGAGCCGCGAGGCATTTCGAGTGCCCAATGGCAGACTGACGTACGTGTGCATGACGTGCTGGAATCTTGCGTGTGCTGAACGAGCGTAAAATATTCCACAGGTGGACAACCGCATCCGGTTTGGGCTGCGCAACGCGCTGGCGCTGCACCTGCTGAAGCCCGGCTCGACGATTGTGGCCGTGCAGGGCTGGAAGGGCGGGTTGGGACACACGAACACGATGCGTGTCCTGTCTGTGCCCACCGACGCGGCGGACCTGGAGATGCAGGCACTGGGCGCGAACTAGGGGCGAAAAATGGATGAGAGAGAAGCGAAGGGAAGAACAGAATGGATGCGAGTCGATGACTGTAGCGTATACGATAGCACGAAGCATAGACGTTGTTTGTCGAAGCGAGTGGCCACGCGCGGGCTCGAGTTCCCACGCCCGAACTGCCACGACTTGTTAGTACTCGACCACTCGGCCTCGAAGGTCGTCCACAGGCGATAGCTTTCGCTAGCTATCCAACCCCGCGTCCTCCTATCCCCCCATCCCACATTACACCCCACATTACACCCCACATTGCTTCTCCTGCGCAGCCCCGCTCGCTTCATGTCCGTTCTCTTTTCTCCACAGCCAAAGACGAACGGCCTGCGTGAAAAATCAAGGTCGCCCAACGGCCTCCCCGTCTTTTCCTCCGCCGTCCAGGAAAAGATGCATCGGCACGCAAAGTCCTCTTCCTGGGTGGCCCCCATGTCCCTCGACATCCCCGGCGTCCGCAACAGGCGGTTGCGCATCTGGGTCCTCAACCCCGCCCGCCTCCACCAGCTCAGCGTGTCCCGCTTCGGCCGCAAGCGCGGCCCCCTCATCCTCGCCCTCGCCTGCGCCTCCTTCATCTTCGCCATGTTCGCGCTCGCGAAGCGCTTCGGCACAGAGGAGAAGCAATGGCCCGCGCCTCTCTTCCGCGAGGACCCCTCGACCCTCGTCTTTGGCAGGGACGACCTCCAGAAGATATGGAAGTGGGAGGTCGAGAGCGGGCACTATCCCAGCAGCCACGACAGTATGTCCCCTTTCTCTTTCCACCTCGCACGCGCGTCTCTCCGCCGTCAGCCCGTCTGCGCTTCCTGAACCGCCCCCCTCGCCCTCAGTTCCCAAGGCCGTCGGCCTCACCGTCCCGCCGCTGAACCCCGCCCTGCCCCCGAAAAAGGTCGCAAAAATCCCCTCGCGGTTCAGACCGCCGACTGCGCAGGTCACGAACACGATTGGCCACGGCCCCAAGCGCGTATATTTGGATATCCAGGCAAGACCCCCCAATGTCGCGTATCCCCCGAGGCCGGTTCCCGGGAGTGCAGCAGACTTGGACATCGTGATGGAGCACTGTGATTTCTCTACAGGAAAGGTGAGCGTTCCACCGCACTCTCAGGGGCTTGACCTCTGCGGCTCAACCCTGCCCTGCAGTATGTTCGTGACTGTCTCGAGGTCCTCCGGTTGGGTGGGGGTCTCGATAATGAGAACAGGTTGAGGCGCGGAAAGTTTGACGAGTGGAAGTACATTTATCTAGAAGACGGTCCGGTCGACAAGTACATCGAGCCAGTCGCGACCGTAAAGGCTGGCTTTGACGGGCTCATCCAGCAGCCCTCCGCTGCGGTAGATCCAAACGTGGGTCTGACGAAGAAGCCCAGAGTAGAATGGGATCCTCCCGTGCAGCTCCCCGCACCCCTGCAGCACCGTCCGTACTCTACGCTGCCCACGACCTGCGACCCGGAGAGCCCTCGTTTGTTCCACATGTTCTGGACGGGGCCGTTCACCGACAAGCCATATATCGCTTTGATGTCGTTCCTGTTCACGCAGAACGTCCGGCTGCATATACACGAGGAAGACCCCGACGCCACGGTCTGTCGCCCGCAGTTCTGGCTGTGGATTAACCCAGGCCCGGCTGCGTCGATGCCCAACCCGAACGCACTCCACGACATGTACGAGCAGCTCAAGACGAACCCGTGGGCGTCACCGTTCTTGCACCCGCGCTTCAAGGGCGTGATCTCGTTCAAGCTCTGGAACACGACCGAGCAGCTCGACGGCATCCCGGAAATCAAGAATGAATGGCGCGTCTTCAAGGACACCTTGTTCAACTCTGGCGGCAACATCATCCCCGTGCCGCAGAAAGAGGGCGCGCAGCAGGAAGAGGCCGTCCTGGCGCCCGTCGACGAGGCCGCTCAGGCCGACGCCTCGCCGACGAAGGCGCCCCAGGCGAAGGGCGGCGATGACGACGACATGCTCAACCGCCTCGGGTCCAAGTCGGCGTCTTCGTACGATCGGCTGTCCGTCATCTTGTCGGATATGGCGCGATTCGTGCTCTGTCACCGCTTCGGCGGCGTCTACCTCGACGCGGACACGATCTTCCTGCGCGACTGGGAGGAACTCTGGGGATGGAAGGGCGCGTTCGCGTACCGCTGGTCGCGTCTAGAGAAATACAACACCGCGGTGCTCCGCCTCAACAAGGGCTCTGCGCTCGGCACGTTCTTGTTCCGCACGGCTCTCAAGAACGGGCTCGATTTTCACCCCATGACGGTCTCGCGATACACGAAGGACGCGTATCTCGAAGGCCTGCTCTTGCGTCTCCCGGATGCTCTGTTTGATTCGGCGTGGTTGAACACCGAGTACTACCAGCGGGATCGTCCACCACAACCCTATATCACCGAGTGAGTGGTCCTTCATGTGGGTAGCGCTGGTTTTAGACTAACCGCGCTCCAGATTTGTGGAACTCTTCGAGACTCCGGCACAGACTAGCGCGGCACCACAAGCTCTTGGATTCGATGGCTTCTACCGGGGCGCGTACTCGTACCACTTCCACAATTTCTGGTACGTCGCGCGCGCGCGCGTTCTCAGCTTTCATGCGTATAATCCTCTGATGCCTTCTCAGGTGGAAGCCGTTTGATCCTGCGCGCAACTTCCCCGACTTGGGCCCACGCTTTATCGAGGGTGAGCGCCTCGCGCGCACGGCGGAGAGCGCTGCGACGGCGTCCAACGCGACGGAGACGGCGAAGGAGGACCAGGTGGCAGACGACAAGCGCGACCTGGACTGGTCGACGGTGCTCAAGCGCACGTTCGAGGCGTACATTCGTGGGGAGCGGCCGAACATGTACGGCGAGTGGCTCGCGTGGTGAGCGCGCGGCGCTGCGGCCGCGGCCTTGGCCTTGTAGCTACCGTCGCGCCGCGCCGCGGCTTGAATATGACATGCATCTTTCTGTCTCTCGTGCGCGCGCGGGATCGGATGGATGCGTGTTGAGTCTGCGGTGCCGCCTTCCCGTGCGCAAGCGCTGCAAGGAACGAACGAACCCACGATGCCCCTCTTGTTCCCTCCCTTCTAACCCCCAACGCTCCCGTACCCCTCCTGCTCCTCCTCACCTTCTCATTTTCACGACCCCGTCGGCGACGTTCGCCCCGCGCCTGCGGTGTACACACCCCCTCGAACCTGGCCATCCTCACGAATCATGCATCTAGACCTCAACGAGTTGTTTATTTCACGCGCCCAGGCACTATACTTTCCTCCATACATACATATGTCAACTAGTTCATCTTCTTTCCCCCCTGTCACCGCCTCCCTTCCAATTTTTTTTCTCTCAGCCCCAGATTATCTGTTCTGATTCTTTATTTATCTAATTTTCTTCCACATCACGCTAGCGGACACGTGGATCAAGCCATTGCTACATTGTACGCCCATGTGCATATGTGCGGGGCAGGGCGGGGTGGCGGGGTGGGGCAGCGGGGTACATTACGACGGCGATTGGTCGCGACGACTTTGGACGTGCGATGTGTTTACGATGGGTGCATGGATCGCGGGCGCTCGTCCGTGCGAGTGATACATAATAAGACGTTTGTCGAATGCTACTTTCTACTATTACGAGTACACGGCCTGCACGCCATATCTGCATCTTTGTTTCGGCTCGCGGCTCGATGCGAGCGCCCGTGCGCGTGAGTCCGTGTAGGAGGCGCGCTCTCAGTGCTTCGACGCGAACTTGGCCTGTGCGGCGTCGACGGTGGACTTGAGGGACGCGATGACGTGCTCGGGCGAGGGCGCGTTGAAGATGGCGGTCCCGGCGACGATGACGTTGCTCCCTGGCGAAATGAAATATATATATATATATACAGGTCAGGGCATGCGGGTCTCCGGATGAAATGGGGACGGGGATGGGGGCGGGAGAACTGACCTGCGTCGGCGCAGACGTCGATCGTCTTGGGGCCGACGCCGCCGTCGACCTCGATGTCCTTCTCGGGGAAGCGCGCGCGGAGCTCGGCGACCTTGGGCACGCAGCGCTCGAGGAATTTCTGGCCGCCGCGACCTGTGCGTGGGAAGACGGGGTGGGGTGGGGTGGTCAGCGGACAGACGGCGCGGAGGGGACGGCGGGGGCGGGGCACGGACCGGGGTAGACGGTCATGACGAGGAGCATGTCGGCGAGCTCGGCGACGTCGTCGGTGATCGCGCTCGAGGGCGTGTCGGGGGAGATGGCGACGCCGGCTTTCATCTTGCGGTCGTGGATCGCGTCGATGAGCGCGATCGGGTCCGCTGCGGGGAGAGGAGGGGGGGTGAGCGCGCGCGGGGCGGGGAGGGGGGGGAGAGGGTACGGACTGGCGGCTTCGATGTGGAAGCAGTAGAGGGAGCCGCCGGCATCGGCGATGTCGTTGACCCACTGGTTCGGGGGCGAGGTCGTGTCAGTTGAGGGGGGATTAGGAAGGCCGGGGGCGGACCTTTTCGGGCTGGGCGACCATCATGTGGCAGTCCATGAATATGCCCGGGACGCCCTTGGAGACGGAGGACAGCACGGGGGCGCCTGCGCGGCGGGGTCAGCGGGAGGGCGCGGGGGAGGGACGGACGGCGTGCGTGCGCACCCATGGTGATGTTCGGCACGAAATGGCTAAGGGCGTTCATCAGCTCCGGCGAGTGCGTGCGGCGGCGAAAGCGAAAGCGAGTGCGCTCACCCGTCCATGACATCTGGGGCGGCGGGCGGGGAGGGTCATCGGGGCTCGCTGGATTGTGGGAGGGCGGGGGCGGGAGCGGGGGGGACGCACCCATGTGGAGCCACTCTGCGCCGCCCTTGATCATGCGCTTGCACTCGGCGGTGAGCTGCCCAAAGTCGGAGGCGAGCACGGAGGGGGAGATGATGGCGCGCGGCATCGTGGGTGAGAGCACAGACGAGTGGCTCCTCCTCCACACTTCCTCCGACTCTTCATCTCTTATCTCACATCACGAAGCTCAGATCGACGCCGGCCCGCGATGGGGAGCTATCCAACAGGTGCCGGCCTTACTGTATATACTCTCCATACTCGCCCTCTGGGTTCTCGGGATCAAAAACCTTGCATATCGATCACCGCGGCCGGCCATACAGCTTACACTTCAAGTGGTTTCGATCTCTACCGGCAATACAATCCGTACCACGTCGGTGCACTGGTCGAGATACTACGTCTGGCTACTGCCAGTCGATCTCATTGAGCAACCTGTGACGATGCTGCCCGCTTTCCTTTGGTTGGATCTCGGGACCCCCGATGAAAATACCGTCTTTGAGGAGGTCTAGTTCCATGACTGACGTGGCCATGTTGATGCCAATGAACATGACCGATCGCATGCACCAGGATTGCTGTGGTCGGGACCACAGGTCGAACGATCTGATTGACACTAGAAGGGCCTCGTCCAAGGCCTGACATCGAGACCGCTAGCTCGACTGAGTCTAGCCCATTGCTGTGACCGCGAATACTCGAAGACTAAACCTCTCGGGTGAATATCACCACGAGATACTGTAGATTCAAACACAGTTTATTCGAGGGAGAAGACAGGGGACATCCAAATCAAGCATCGCTCATGTCCTTGTTGACCTGGACATAACACGTTTGATACCTGCCATCATGAGATGCAAAACAACTCACCTGGGCATTCCAGAAGAGGCTGTTGGGGCCCCATGGGAAAGGCTTGACACGTCGGTTGAGGTAGTCATAGGCGGGAACCTCCGGAAGCTCTCCGCCGTTCTCGTGCCTCGCGTGCGCCAGATGCTTTTCATGTTCTTCTTCAGCATTGCGAACCCATGCGAGGACGGCAAGGGCTGGGAGGCACGCTTAAGCTTATGAGAGATGCAGGGGTGTTATGATGCACGCACCACCGGGGAAGCAGACAAAGAAGCTGGTGCGAACGCGTTCAGTCGCGAGCAGGCACATCTAACGTGCGAGTGTTACGCACCTGATCTTCCTCCACAATTGGGCGGTTTCTGGAGAACAGTGAGTCCACGATGATGAACACGGGTGAGGCTGCAGTAGACAACGCACCACCGGCGTGCGCCTTGACGGCCTTGCGCTTGGCGACCCATTCCGAGGAGGGGGCGTCGACGACGAGAGAGTAGGAGCGAGCCTTCGAGGCGTTGCGAGCGACTGCGCGAGCGTTGCGGGCGAGGAGAGACATTGGATGGGATAGGGTGTATGAGCAGCGCGCACGGGAGAGAACGGTTGCGGCGGAATTGGCGCGGCGCGTGAAAGAGCGGCAATGCCCGGCGAGTCGACAAGTTGGCGTGGAGGTGACGCGTCGAGCAAGCGTACAGAACTTGGCCCTTGCATTCGTCTGCTAAATGGCCCCCCGCCCCCAATCCTCCGCTGCCGGCGTGCTCGCCCTGCTCTCAGAATCGGACCCCCTCCTCAAGCACCACGCTCTCAAGGCCCTCGTCTCCCTCGTCCCCCAGTTCTGGGCTGAAATATCAGAGCACATTGCTCTCGTGTGCGTGTGTCTCCGCGAGTTCACCGCCGTGCATACGCTCATCCGGTTCTCACAGTGAATCGCTCTATGAGAGCGCAGATCTCTCTCTAGATGCGCGCCGTCTGGCCGCGTTGCTCGCCAGCAAAGTCTACTATTACCTGGAGGAATACGACGAAGCTTTGTCCTTCGCCCTCGGAGCGGGAAGCGCGTTTGAACAACACAGCGGCACTCCCGGCTCCGAGGAGTACGTCGAAACTATCGTCTGTGAGTAGTGTTTCTCCGCGCTGCCCCTCGCTCTCGTGTTCATCGTTCTCAGCCAAGGCAATCGACCGCTATGTCCAAGTGCGGTCGGAAGAGCAGTCGGGCGCAGAGAGCAAGATCGATCCGCGACTGCAGGGGATCATAGAGGGCATTTTCCGTCGCTGCATTGAAGAGGGCGAATATAAGCAGGTGAGCTTATTGCTCTTGCATTCCCTGCGCGCCTCTCATCCCTGCCACAGGCAATAGGCATTGCCCTAGAATCGCGACGACTCGACATCATCCAACAAATATACGAGCGAACCCACGACGTTGGGCTGCTTTCGTACGCGATGGAAGCTGTCCTCAATACCACCTTTTCCCTCTCATACCACGACCAAGTCCTCAACTTCCTCTACCCGCTTTTCCCTCCGCCAACCATCGACTCGAAATCACCCCACATATACTCCTTGACGCGTCTCCTCGTGACTTTGAACAATCGGAGTCTGACCGTCTCCCTGCTCACCTCCTTGGTTCCGAAAGAGAATCTTTTGGCCTACCAGCTTGCGTTCGACCTCGCCGAGGGAGGTGCGCAGGATTTCTTGGAAAGCGTACGCAGTGGACTCCCGGAAGGAGACGAGGTGAGCATGCATGACCTGGAACGCAGCGACTCGGCTTCAATTATCCTTGATGTAGGCCACGAAGCCTATCTTTGATACCCTGCGCAAAATTTTGGCGGGTCATGAAGCCGTCAAACTGTACCTTGCATTCCTCAAGCTTAACAACAAGACCGATCTCCTTATCCTCAAGCATACCAAGGTTTTTCCCTTGCTAACCTGTTCATGCCGCATTCAACTTACCGTCCATTCGACCTCAGGACTCGCTTGAACCCCGTTCTTCCGTTTACCACTCCGCCCTCTCATTCCAAAACGCATTTATGCATGCTGGAACGACATCTGATGTTTTCCTCCGGGAGAACCTTGAATGGCTAGGCTACGCATCCAACTGGTCTAAATTCACCGCGACGGCCGCTCTCGGTGTCATCCACAAAGGGAACTTTGAGCATGGCATGGTCATTCTCGGCCCATATCTGCCCAATGAAAATGGTGGAGAGAGCCAGCTTGCAGGGGCAGCGTACTCCGAAGGTGGTGCGCTATATGCACTCGGTTTAATTAATGCGGGCGTGGGCAGTGGCCAGACGGTCGAGGAGTACCTTCGTAACATGCTCAAGGCCGCGCAAGGCGAGGTTGTGCAGCATGGTGCAGCGCTCGGTCTCGGCATTGCCGGCATGGGTGGGCACAACGCAGACGCGTACGAAGATCTGAAATCGACGCTATTCAACGACTCTGCGATCGCTGGTGAGGCTGCAGGCTACGCCATCGGCCTGGTGATGCTTGGAACGGCGGACGAGACGTGCGCGAATGAAATGTTGACCTATGCTAGGGAGACGCAGCACGAGAAAATCATTCGTGGACTGGCGATCGGATTGGCGTTCCTCTTCTATGGACGGCAGGAAGAGGCTGATGGAATGGTCAAGCAATTGTTGGCTGAGAAGGTATGTGAATACTCGTTCGTTGCCCAACCTACAAACTGACGCGCGTCCCAGGATCCTATCCTGCGTTACGGTGGCGTATACACGCTCGCGTTGGCCTATGCCGGAACAGCCAACAACGATGCTGTACGGAAACTTCTTCATATCGCCGTCTCGGACACGTCCGACGACGTCCGCCGTGCTGCCGTCACGTCTCTCGCTTTCTTGCTATTCAAGAACCCGAGCCAAGTTCCACGGATTGTCCAGCTGCTCAGTGAAAGCTACAACCCCCATGTTCGATGTGGTGCTACTCTCGCACTTGGCATCGCCTGTGCAGGCACTGGGCTGCAAGATGCTGTCGAGATTCTGGAGCCCATGACCAGAGATAGCGTGGACTTCGTTCGCCAGGGTGCATTCATCGCTCTCGGCATGGTCCTCGTCCAACAATCTGAAGCATCGTCACCCTCCATGGTCCCAACGCGCGCTCTGTATGCTAAAATTATCGCCGACAAGCATGAGGATCCCATGGCGCGGTTCGGTGCGGTTCTTGGTCAGAGCTTCATCGACGCTGGTGGCCGAAATGTCACGATCAGTCTGCAGAGCCGTGCGGGCACGAAGAACACGAGTGCGATCGTCGGGATGGCGATGTTCTGCCAGTTCTGGTATTGGTATCCCCTTGCGCACTGCGCGTGCTTGGCGTTTGAGCCAACAGGAATCATCGGATTGGATGAAAACCTTCGGGTATGGATAAAATCAGTTCCGTTTCTCTGCTTTGCTCAAGCTTTTTTTTTTTGCGTAGATCCCCAAGATCGATTTCATCTCGAACGCACGACCGAGTTTGTTCGCGTATCCACCGTCGACAAAGCCTCTCAAGAAAGAGGTTGTCGCGAAGGTCGCCACCGCCGTCTTGTCCACAACTGCCAAGGTCAAGGCGCGTGAACGGAAGAAGGCTGGGGAGGCTATGGACACGGTAAGCATGTTTGATGGTATTACCAGTGATGACTGACTCACAGCTTTCCAGGATGAGAAGGTCGAGGTGAAAAAAGACGGGGACGTGGAGATGAAGACTGACGAGCCATCGTCTTCAACCCCTCATGGCGACATTTCTCCCATCAACGCATCGCTCTCCAATCTCGCCGACAGTCAACCAGCGGAACCCAGGCCCTCGTCCTCGAAGCGCAAGGAACCCACATTCGAGAACCTAGGTAATCTATCTCGCGTGACGCCAGCACAATTTGCGCATATCGTCTTCCCCGCCGAAAGCCGGTACCAGCCAGTACGCCCGGTGTCTACAAGACCTGCCTCGAGTGGGAAAGGCAAGGCGTCTGGAAGCAAGACGCCCGTGTCCGTACTCCCAGGGGAGAAGTATGCTGGCGGTGGCGGCATCCTGATGCTCATTGATCAGCGCCCCAAAGAGGCGTCTGAGTTTATTGCCTTCTTCTCTGGGCCTATCGACTCCGCTGAGCGCGATTACGACTCTCTTGAACAATGGTCAGTCGCTTTGGACCCCGATGAGCCTGAAGCCGAGCTACCACGACCGTTCGAGGTGTGTTTTTTCTTTGTAATTATCGATGTGGGCGCTGATTTCCGCATTTATCCCCCTCAGTATCCTTTCGACAACGATACTTAGTAGAGCGATCCTCGATGATGGAAATGAACAATGTCTTTCTTTTTTTACGTTTGCTTATACACTGGTGGTCCGTAGGATAGCTTTTGTTGCTTGTACCCGCTGCCGGTAGTGTCTCGAAGATTGTGCACGATGCGAGTTGATTGAGATGCGATCTGTGACGAGATGTGACATGTGGCGGACTCTTTGTGAGGGCTTTGACGCGTTTTCGTTTTGCTCAAAGGCTTCGTGCTCTTCAATCTCGCCTCTCCTTCTACCACCACAGCTCCATCCTCTCAGTCATGGAACGTACCAACGCGAATCGCAGAGAGCGTAAGGGTCGTCGTGCTGCTGCCTCGATCATCATCCTAACGCGTTGAATGCAGAGTACAAGAATAAGGCCCTTAAACAAGATGATTTGAGACGCCGCAGGGAGGAGCAGCAGGTCGAGATCAGGAGGCAGAAGCGCGAAGAGAACATTGCCAAGAGACGGAACTTCGCGCCCTCCTCAGGTGCCGATTCCGATGAGGAGGCAGCATCCAGTAACTGGGACCCTCCGGTGCGTGGACCAGGCTATCCTCAGGTTCTCGGTTTTTCACGATCGCTCAATGTTTCGCATAGCTTGCAGAGGAGATGGTCAATGGCGTCTTCTCCGATGACCTCGAACGCCAGCTGGACGCCACCACCAAGTTCCGCAAGCTGCTTTCAAAAGAGAAGAACCCTCCTATTGAGAAGGTTATCGACTGCGGCGTCGTGCCTCGCTTTGTGGAGTTTCTTCGCGGTGGCCAGTCCATGCTCCAAGTAAGCGGTAGCTCTTATAAGTCCGCCTTCATCCCTAATGCGAGTCCTGGCAGTTCGAGGCGGCCTGGGCTTTAACTAACATCGCATCTGGAACCCAAGAGCACACCCAAGTCGTGATCAAGGCCAACGCTGTCCCTGAGTTCATCAACCTGCTTTCTTCTCCAGTCTTAGATGTCCGTGAACAGGCCGTGTGGGCGTTGGGCAACATTGCCGGCGACAGCCCTACATGCAGAGATTATGTCCTCCAACAGGGCGCTCTCAGGCCGTTATTGACGCTTTTGAGCGAGAACCACAAGATCAGCATGCTCCGCAACGCCACCTGGACGCTGAGCAACTTCTGCCGAGGCAAAGCACCTCAGCCTGATTGGGAGTTGGTCTGTGCCCTTCATTGCTGAGAACAACTCTTCTACGTGGAAACTGACGTGCACAAATAGATTGCTCCGGCGCTCAATGTCCTCACGAAGTTGATCTACTCCGTCGATGATGAGATTTTGATCGACGCTTGCTGGGCTATCTCGTATCTTTCCGATGGTTCAAACGACAAGATCCAAGCCGTCATCGAGTCCGGTGTCTGCAGGCGTCTCGTCGATCTCCTTATGCACCCGTCTACCTCCGTCCAGACCCCTGCTCTTCGGTCTGTAGGAAACATCGTGACGGGCGACGACTTGCAAACTCAGGTTGTCATCGCGTCCGGCGCTCTCCCTGCCCTGCTCTCCCTCCTCTCCTCACATAAAGATGGCATTAGGAAGGAAGCTTGCTGGACGATCTCCAACGTCACCGCCGGTTCTCCTCCTCAGATCCAAGCCGTAATCGAGGCCAACATCATTCCTCCTCTGATCAACATTCTCCAGAACGCTGACTTCAAAACTCGCAAGGAGGCATGCTGGGCGATTTCCAACGCGACGTCGGGTGGACTTCAGGAGCCATCGCAGATTCGTTACCTCGTCTCGCAGGGTTGCATCAAGCCACTGTGCGATCTGTTGGCGATGATGGACAACAAGATCATTCAGGTGGCGCTCGATGGCCTTGACAACATTCTGAAGGTTGGCGAGTTAGATAAGCAAGCCTCTGGACCCGGCGCAATCAACAAGTACGCTCAGTACGTCGAGGAGGCTGGTGGGATGGTCACCATCCACAACCTCCAGCAACACGATAGCATCGATATCTACAAGAAGGCCTTCAACATCATGGATAAGTACTTCCCTGATGAGGAGGAGATGGATGCCGTCATCGCCCCCGGTTCTGTGGATGCCAGTGGCACATTCTCAGTAGGTTCACGTTCGTTCAGCGCCCATTCACATCTCATCATGCCCTTGCAGTTCAATGCCAGCGAAGGAGCTCCCCCGCCCGGTGGTTTCAGCTTCGGCCAATGATCTATCTCACGTTTCATACCTGTACGTTGTACGCCTCTCGGCCTTCTTCAGCTGTTTTTCTACACCATGACTCTTGGTCGCGCTTCAGTTGTTCTTTTCATACGAGTTCGCTTAACGTGTTTTTTTTTTGTCATTTACTCCCCTGCAACGATTTTTCCATCCTTGTTCTAAGTCTGTACTCCTGGCCCACGCCGTGTTTTTCTTCCTTCAAGTCATCTGTTGCGACCCTCACTCCTGTTGCTTTGTTTCTCAAGTTCTTCCTTTGGTTTGGTACTGCCTCGGTAGGGCCCGATCATATTTTTCATCGCCATCTTGGTGAAACAAAAAAGTAAATGAGGATTAGAAAAAATAGTGTAGCACCCTCTTTTCATTTGTTGCTGGAATCATACGGCAGTGTAGCAGTGCGCGTGCATGAGGGAAATTTCTTCTGAGTGGTGGGAAAGCTGGAAGTGTAACTTGGAGTGAGTTCGGACGCCACCCTCATCTGGCGCAGCACAAACGGTCATGGCGTCTCAAGTTCTCCCACTGGGTACGTTTTTTAGTGCAAGGGGATGTCTAGAGTATGACATGTTCGAGGCTGAACAGCGTGCTCTTCCTCCTTGCAGAACTCATCGACCGATGTATTGGTTCTAGGATATGGGTGATCATGAAGAATGACCGCGAGTTCACCGGGACGCTGCTTGGGTTCGATGACTTCGTCAGTGCGTGTTCCTTTCCTCCTTCGGGATAACTCGTGACACTCATCTGAGCAACTCTGTTGGCAACTGAGTGCAGATATGGTCTTAGAGGACGTGACTGAATTGTACGTGCTAAGTCTCTCGAGCATGGAACGGAAGTACTTACAGCTGGATATCACTGCAGCGAGGTGACGGTCAAGGGCCGCAAAAAGACAAAGCTCGCGCAGACGCTGTTGAATGGGAATAACATCTGCATGGTGCGTTTCGAATATCTAGTATATAAGGGGCGAGCTGATGCATTGAAACAGTTGATTCCTGGTAGCGATGGGCCTGACAGCTCATGACATCGCAAGTACCATATACCTTGTGTGTGCCTCCGAGAGATAGATTCTACCGTATAAATGCTGGCAAGGGAGATGTAGCCTTTTAGACCAACGGGAAGCGGCACGATGTTGTAGGACTCCGCCGTGCCATTGCCCGCCTGCGACATTGTACATTACAAAATCCATCTACCATCAAAAGTATGTGTATCAAAAGAGGCCTAATATGTCGAGCGTCACAGGCCAGTGATCTGATAACTTCAAGTCCTTCAGCTCATGGCGGATTTCACACTTTTTGGCATTACCCAGAATGCGCTCCGAGAGCTATATCACTCCGTCAAACACGAAGCAACGCGAGCAAGGAAATCAGAACACACGATGAACGAGTCGAGTCTCCAAGCACCGAATTTTGTACTCGAATGTCTGGACGCAATGTGTCGTAAGTCACACAGTCTGGCATAGACGCCTGACGCACGTGAATTCTTCAGCATCTGGGTGCAGATGTCTCCATATGTCGACGAATTTTCCTCGTTTCGAATCCTGCTCGCCGGGATTGATAATGCCTTCAAATTCTCTGCGTTCGGTTGCTGACAATCCGCTCATCTTGTCCCAGAAGGCTTGTGCCTTGTTGTCCAAGTCTGCCAAAAGTTCTCAACATACTGATTCTCGTAACATTCAGCAATGATCTACCCACCTTTCTTTGTCGGTATACAGTTGAAATCCCCCGCCCAAATGACGGGTTTGATGGCATTCAAGCCATGAAGGTGCTCGGAAAACGCGGCGTTCCACTTTTGCTTGATATCTATCGACTGCGAAAAGTGGCTTCTACATAGACTGACGTCAAAAGATTAGCTACTCACTTTGAAATTCTCTCCAGAGTTTGGGACATAAGTACCAACAAGGTACAGGTTTTCGAACTCCATTTGAACATAGCCTGACAGAGTAGAATCAGGAACATCCACACTTGGACACTTGCTGAGGTGCTGTCTACTCACGCCCCTGCGTATCTTCAATAGAATCTGGCCATGTAGGCAGACCTACTACGACATTGAAAGGCTTATGTTTCGACAGCACTGCTGTCCCAGCTATAGTCAACCACCATGAGCCAATACTTGATACGCACTGCTAGTGCACAAGGACAAGCGCACCTTGACCCGCTTTGGGGTCTTTGCCCCATGTCTGATACTGCAGGGGACATGCACATAAGAGTTGTTCTGGTACACATCGAATTATGTACCCACCTTGAAGCGCGTTTTCAAAGACATGATATCCGCTTTACCCTGGGCAACTTTGGTTTCTGTAAGAAGGATGTCTGGATCTTCAGCCTCCAAATATTTTCTGAGTGTCTTGAGTATATGTGAGCGTATTCAAGCGTGATGCATCTCAGTAATTCACCTTCCCGTTGACAGACTTGATACCGTTGACATTCCAAGTCGAGAGCCGGACAGTCCCCGCCTCTCTACGATCGAATGCGAATTGCGGCGTGCTGGAAGAGCCTACAGCGGTCGAAGACTTTGGGGTGAAGAAATCATTCTTTGGCTTTTTCTGAGACGAATTGGCGGTCAGATTGGAGCCTGCCTTTCGTTTGAGTGACATGGCGGTCTGCTCAGCGTCACCAATGTTCGGTTTCGAAAGACGCGCCGACTGGTCATTTCAGACGCGTCGCGCCACGTGCTTGGATAAATCCTCCTTCATTCCCACGTCTCTTCTCTTTCGCCCGCTTTCGTCAACATGCCTGTCCGCCTTCGCCTGGCCATGCATGGCCAAAGAAACAACCGCATATTCCACCTTGTCGCGATAGACCTGCGGAAGCGGCGCGACGCAAAGCCTATCGAGACGCTTGGCATCTATGATCAACGTCTGCGCCTTGGTCAGAAACACAAGACAATGGAGTGGAGCGTAGACCGCATCAAGTACTGGCTAGAGAAAGGTGGAGCTCTTCCGAGCAAGTCAGTGGTGAAGCTCCTTGAGAAGGTGAGCATATTCGGTGCGAGCCTCGGGAAACATCCGGCAACTGATGCTGTCATTTGTAGGGTGGTGTCATACCACCGGACTCGAAGTACCACCCAAAGGCTACTGGGCCGCGCACGCTCGACGATGTTCCTTCGCCATCACTATCTACACCATCACCATCGATGCCAGCTCAGCCTGCGGCGTCATCATGATAGGCATACATGCAGTATGCACGGTCGACCGACCGGCCAAGAGTTAGCACGGCACGGGGGAGCACGCAGAAAGGACGAGGAACGGCAGTTAGACGAAGGCGGTCGTCGAATCAGCTCATCATTTCTCAAAGTATTGCTACATATTTCCTTTCGCGCAATTGTTGTTGCTAATTGCATAGACGAAGACCATCAAGCCGCATAGACTCGCCGAATCAGCTACCTCTTTCTAGTGTCGCAACAATGTCATCATGACCGGCGATTCTTGCCAATTCTACAGCCTCGAAGTCATCGGGATCCTAGTTGAGATCACTGTCAGAGACCGATCTTCCTTCTAACCGACCGCGTCTCACCTTGATGTTTGTGTCAACCCCCTTCGCCAACAGTAGTTCTACAATGGGCAGGTTCCCTCTATCGCACGCTAAGTGTAATGGTGTATAACCCTGCGAGCACCATCAGCTATTGAGACGTTGGACGTGTATCTGAGTCGTGAGATAGCTCACAAATTCGTCTTTCGCATTGAGATCAGCATTTGAATTGTGTTCTAAGAACTCAGATAGCGCCTGAGCATCATTTTGAACTGCGAATCCATGCACTGTGCCCTCCTCATTTTTGTCCAGTGCCGGTGGCGCAATGATGCTCACAGAAACACCCATCCCAGAGCCGCTGCCTCCGGGCCTACCGCTCTCTGACGTCCGGCTCTCCTGTTCCGCGCTAGGTGCGCCTTCACTTTCTCCAGACTCAGTTTTCTTCCATCCTAGACTGCTTGCGATATCCAAATATCTTTTCTCCGCATCGTCTAAGCGTCCGTCATAGTCCCGGCTCGCTTGTACCCATGCATCCCATTTAGCCCGTCCGGTCATGTCAAAAAATGACGGGCGAGATGTATTGGGCGAAGGTGAGACTGTAATCAATTTGAAAAGGCCGTAGAGCTGTGGGGTGTCGTCAGGTGTACAGACAATAATTATAGGAAAGGAGAGGTTCAAGACCTCCAATTTCACGGTGTTCGACACCTGCGACAATGCCGGTGCATTGGACAGGTAGGATGCAGCGGTTTGGAATGCGGGCGATGGAGTATACGAGAACATGAAAGAGAGAATGTATCTATGTCTATGATGATCGAGCACAAACACTTGATTGAGATTTCAAGATCTCCAAGTCTCGATACAAACTGGCTGGTATAGACTCTATTATGTAATCAAAGATGCAAGGACTATATAAGGCCGGCAGCTTTCATGGCCTGAAAGAACGCGTGTCAGGAGGTCGTTGGAAAAAGGTGGACGAAGGACATTTGCTTACTTTAAGCATCTCCGAGCCGATTTTCGCCGGGCTGTCCGTGACGATGACACCGGCTGCCTCGAGAGCAGTAACCTTGTCCGATGCGGCACCTGAAAATGCCGTTACAGATAGCTTCGAGACAGAACTCAGAATCACCCACCCTTTCCACCGGCAATGATGGCACCAGCGTGACCCATACGGCGACCAGGGGGCGCGGTGCGTCCAGCGATGAAGCCAACAACGGGTTTTGGTTTGGAGCGGCTGAGGTTGTACCTCTGGAGGTACTCGGCAGCTTCCTCTTCCATGCTACCACCAATCTCGCCGATGATAACGATACCTGAAAGGAGAAGGGTTGATTATCGACGATCGACGATCGAGATCATACAAGATGCAGACCTTCAGTGTTGTCATCTTCGAGGAAAACCTTGATCACATCGACATGCTGGGTTCCAGGGAAAGGATCACCACCGATACCGACGCAAAGAGACTGGCCAAGGCCGACATCGGTAGTCTGCGCGACAGCTTCATACGTCAAGGTCCCTGAGCGAGAGACGATACCTGCCGAAACAGTTGATAAGTCCTAGTTCATGTCTCCATCTCTGTCCACGAACCAACATACCGATCTTCCCGGGTTTATGAATGTGGCCGGGCTGGATGCCCATCTTACAACCCAATGGGTTGATGATACCAGGGCAGTTGGGCCCTACAAGTCGGGACTTAGACTGGCTCTTCAAAGCATTTATAACCTAGGCAATGGGTCGTCAGGATCATGAGTGCCGGCCAAGACGACGGTACATACGCGGATCTCATCAGCCTGGGGGATACCCTCTGTAATACAGACAATGAGACCTATCTCGTTCTCAATGGCCTCGATGATGGCATCAGCAGCAGAGGGTGGAGGGACATAGAGGACAGAGGCATCGGGTTTAGTCTCACGAACAGCCTGAAGAGTATTACTTAGGTTATAACGACACTCGTGTAATGTTTGGAGGCAACAGCCAACACACCTCCCTCACAGAACCGAAAACGGGGAGGCCTAGGTGGGTCTGGCCGGCTTTCTTAGGCGAAACACCCCCGACCATGTTCGTGCCGTACGCCAACGCTTCCTTTACATGGAAAGTACCCTGGCAAGCGCCCTGTAAGTCCTAATGAAGCGAAAAGCTTTCTAATAACTCACGGTCTTCCCAGTAAATCCCTGGCAAAGTACTCTGGTGTCCTTGTTAATGAGTAGGTTCCGGATGGTGTCTTCATAGCTCCTTCTCGCAGGAGACGAAGAGAACGCCCGGCGTCCAGCTGAGACGTGCAAGTCAAGTACAGCAAGATGCGATTGAATCGCAACAACATACCGCTGGCAGCCAGTGAGTGACTTACACGAGACAACATTGAGAGGGAGAGAGGAGAGAGGGAGGGCTGAGGAGTAGAAGGACCAGCCATACCCGAGAGTTGCCGACTTTTCACGAAATATTATATAATATCAGGCACTAAGCTATTCAAGAATTCGAGCGATATGACCGTACGAATACTTAGCACAGTAAGTAGAACTACACAGTTGGTGGTATAGCATCGACAGAAAGGATACAATATTTATTCTCCTCCTCTTCTCTTAACTCAATGGCCCCATTCGCCTTCTATCCCGGGCTTTGCGGGACGTTCGATGAAGTCCCAAAATCGCGTACTTCACCTTGTCATATTGATGAGCGTTGATGGTGCTATGGACACAATTCAAATCAGACGGTGCAGGAAACATCAAGGAAATATCCACGAACTCTTTGAGGTCTGTCATGAAGCGTGCCTTGGCTTCGTCGGGCGCACTGCTCGGTGGCAGACGTTGCAGGACGGGTGGCACCCATGAAAGCACCTCTGTCGACCAAAGCCCCGATAATGAACGGAAGATGGTTATGGTCGCAGAGGTTGACTCTTCCGGGAAGTCTCCAACAGTGCCAGTCAAAAGGAGGCCGACGAGCTCAAAGCCTTCTTTGTCGATGACTTGGCGAATGGCAGCTGCATAAACAGGGAATTTGGGAGGTGGCGGGGTTGGAGCAGTTGGTGAGAGGCAATCATGAGTAAGGATAACGCGTATGAGGTCTAGCGAGGCAAAAATAATATCGGTTTGCACGAGCGTAAGTGCCGCCAACGCGACTCGGAAGGCAATTGGGAATGCAGAAGATTCAAAGAAGAGATCAGGTGCGAAATCAGCCATCTGTAGCAGCATTTGTAGGTAGTCCTCGAGAACTGCCGTAGGCCAGGCGTCAACGGGAGGCTCGGCGATGTGAGCGGATAATGCTTACCGTCAGGAATTGCAGATGGCCCTTTTTCTTGCAAGAGGGATACTAGCTTGTGCGTCGATCGTTCATACACATCTTTGAACCCGTTTCGTAGCACAGGGTCTTCTTGGTGTCCAAAACGGCCCATTATTTTACCCGCTATCCATAAGTAACATGGCAAACCTGTGGCCTCGAAGGCGGAAGACATCCTTGCTAGCATCGTGGAAGCGACGGGTAAAGCAGAAGAGCCGAACAAAGTGAGGCCGTGCCGGAGCACCCGAGTGACATGTTCGGCGCTCTCATAGTCTGAACCATATTTCGAGATAAATGCATCCAGTACGGCCCATGCTTCCTCGCAGGTGTTCAAGCAAGCAGCGGGAAGCTCTTCGCCAAACCCACCAACAACATGTATCATGACCTCCAAGTTAGCCAGGCCATCTAAAGAACATTCAGATATTGTTTGCCAAGTGAAAGAGCTGACGTACCGCCAACTTGCTTGAGATCCTGCTTCGTGGCAATCGCAGGTCTGATGGTGATCGCATGGACCGCTCCTAGAATATCTAGCGCGAAGGTACGAAGAGATTGGGCTGCTTGTTCCATAGGCATTGCGGAGATGACATATGCAATCGCTTCATAAACCATAACTTTGTCCTCTTGCCCGAGCTTTACGCCCATGGTAGCAAGGAAGTTGTGCAATTGGGGCAGGAATGATATCAGATGCTATGACTGGGAGTCAGCTTTGAGGTAGACTGAAAAGCAGAACTCGTACTTGTTTACAGTCCTGGCACAGGTATTTCAGTGCCTGGCCGGCAGCGCCACAAACTTCAGAATCAGAGTCTTCAAACCCTGCAGAGATGTACTGCAAAGAGCCCGGAATATAGTCAGGATGGACGTTGATCCACTCTGTGTATCTCGAGATGATGAGAAGCGCAGCATAGCGAACTCGAGGATGTTGGGGAAGCGTAGGGATAAGATCCATGATTTTTGGCACAGCTACATCATCTGTGACTTCGATTTCCGCACCCATAGACCGCATCGCGAACAACGGTGCCTCAATCTCTTGCCACGTAGCGACTGCGCCATGGCTTGAGGCAGCAGCGATCATATCCAGTGCGGCCAATAGGCATTGCTCGGTCCCGAGAACGTAGCAGCAGTCCTTGAGGGTGTCGCCCATGACATGCCTGAAGGATCGGAAGCTGTCAACATCTTGGGCCGTCGTGACAGAAGAATCAGCGGGGAAATGTAGGTGACGGATAATCACCGCCATCAATGATTTGTAGGCGCTCTGGAACAGAGGTGGAACCGACGATTTTTTACCGATGCTCTGTGCAAGCCGCATCCAAAATGTGAATGTGATAGGGACAATGTCTAGATCCGGGTAAGCAGAGCACTCTCCGATAGCCTCGACGATAGGGAAAAAGGTCTCTGTGTGTTGTAGAAGCAGTAGCCGATAGACTTCTCCAGCCTCCGTGAAGATGCGAGCATATCCTCGTGTCTTCTCTGGATCATCTTTCGCAGCAAAGAGATTTGCTCTCAAAGCAATGACTCGAGGCACGATGCGCTCGATGACTGGCATATTTTCGTCAATCTCTTGAGTCTCGTGGATGATGTCGCAAACGACGTCGACAGCCGAATCGAACAGTTCTTCCGATGCTAAAGCTTCGAAGCAAAAGTCGAACAGGGGGGTATCTGCAACGGCTGCCGCAGTGATCTCCCCAGCAATGAGCCAGCTTTTAAGGCAAGTGAACACTTGATTCTGAACAGCAAGAGTGACGCCTTGAAGGGACAAGATAAGGTGATGGCATGACAATTTGGGACGAGGCCACCCACCAGATGCTTGAATATACATCGACAGCAACTCGAGCACTTGCTGAGCGTTCGTAGTCAACAGAACTGCTGACCTTTCCCTGTATTCTTGATCCTAAGAAGCGAAATAAGTGGCCACCGACACGCTACGCTTGGAACACTCACCGTCACTGGAATTTTGGTATTCGTGCAGAGTTCCTCGGGAAGCACAGTCAAGAACTGCAGCAAGAGAGGTACGGTCAAAGGATTCCGGCCGAAAGACTCGATCAGACTGGGGATTGCATTGGTCCAGGAAGGAAGCTGGAGAGCAAGCCCCGAGAGAGCCAGACACAACTGTACGATGATCGTGCGCGGGCCGTTCTGGTAATGTTCCAACGCAGCAATAAGCGTATCGCGCAGAGGCGGGAGATTTTCGAGGTCTATTTGGTTGAGATCGTACGTGACCTGAGTCAGATTCATGGTTCGATCAGCGGCTGCCACATGCACGCAGGGGATAAATAGGAGAAGTCAAAGACCTTGGATCTGAATGTTTGTGCGGCGAACAGCTTTGCGGGAGCTGGTGCATCCGGAGAGCGCAAGAGGATGTTACAAGTGGACCATGCCTCAGGCTAAGGTGAACGATATGTCGGGACGGTCAGAGGCGCAGTCGATGGGCCATTATGGGAGAGAGTATTTACAGAGTGCTGAAAGTCCTGGAGCCACGCATTTGCCTTGTCGAGGGACGGTTTGTCGGGTGCACGAGAGAAGACATCGAGGGCAGCCAAGAGGGCCTGTATATCAGCCATGGGAGAGTGGCAGCGGGGTATGTACAGGCTGAGGCTCGCGGAAAGAAACAGGGCGTGGCCAAAATAAGATGGGGTGGCGCAAAGCCGAGGTATCATATTTGTCATCAAGAGCAATCCGTCGATTCAACGACCCGTAAGAAACGCAAACTAAAGCAAAACAGAGGTAGTCATACTGAAGCGAACGGCGAACAACGCCGGGATATCCATGGCAAACGAGCGTGGGGAGTGTTCTGATGTCACTATGAAAGGAAAACGGGCGGGGCGAGGAGGCCCCTCGTACAAAAGTAGAAAGTGTACGATACCAAGGGCAGCTGGGAGGAACAAGAAGGGTTACTTGGCCATGTAACGCAAGCAAAACAGTTAAGGATAAGCTTTTAAAAGTAAAAGTCCCGGCGAACATTACGTGCGAAGGAATCCCCTCTTGGTGTTCTTCTAAAAAGTATCGCATCAGCATCTGAGAATACCAATCGCAAGACCACGAGTGACGCACGGGTTTGTCTGGAGTCAAAGGCCTGCCGCTCTCGACCTTCATTTTCTTGGTCTCGAGGTCTTTCTTTTGCTTCTCCAAAGCCTCCTTCATCTCCCGATGTCTGGCGTACAGCTCTTCCTCGGACTGCTTGAGCTTTGCCTCTTTTTCTTGCACCTTTTGCGAGAAGACCATCTTCATCTCGGCCTCCATCTTCGCAAGCTTCGCCTCGTGCAAGACCCGCTCTTCCTGCATACGCAGGGCAGGGCTACATATCATGTGAAGTATGTGAGAAAAGAAGGTCTCAAAAGCACGCGGCCACGTACTTGACTTCCTTGAAGACGCTCGAATCTTGGGCGACACCCATGCTGAGGAGTTTCTCCGTTCGCCAGTTCTCGTACAGAACACCGTTGGTGTACTCCCTCAGCTCTTCCATATATGTCCGGACTAACATCTGGCGAAGCTTGACAAAGTCACAGTGCTCTTCATTGTCAACCTCGATGACACCCCAAGGGTAAGATCGTCCACGGACGTCGCGTCCATCGGGCGTCTTCACGCTCTGATCGGAGCCAACAACGGCGAATGGAATCTTTCCAGCAATCTCTTCCGCCTCTGCGACAGTCTCTTCATCCTCGTTCTCGTAGGTCGGAGCTTGGAAGATATGGATGTTGTGGTATGCAATATCGGCCAAAATCTACATGAATGTGTCGATGAGCTGACGGCACTTGTGTACTGTGATCGTGATTATTACCCGAGCCTTGAATTCGGCAATCTCATCGTCCGTGAGGGTATCGGCCTTCGCGATCACGGGAATGAGATTGACCTTGGTATGAAGCCGGCGCATGAACTCGATGTCCAAGGGCTTCAGGCTGAATAGATATTAGGAAATGCCTGAGCCCTATAAAGTTGCGAGCTTACGAGTGACCCGTCGGCTGGATGAAGTATAGGCACGCATGAACACGATTGTCAACAATCTTCAATCGGTTGACGCGGTTCTCCTGCTCCAAGTAAGAGTCGAACCGGGCCTCGATGTTCTCCACTATTGGCTTCCAGCTATGAAAGTGATTAACACTCGTCTGGACACTCTGTGGCCCTCTCTACGAACCTGTCATCGTTGTTGACAAAGTCTCCAAACCCTGGAGTGTCGACAACAGTAAGGCGAAGTCGGACCCCATTCTCTTCAATGTCTGAGAAAACGATCGTTCAGAGTGGAACGATGAACTTTGAGGCTAGACTATTACCGGCGCTAATGCTTTCAATGGCGACGGTTTGCGGACGTTCCGCATTGGGAGGAAGGGGTACCTTGGGGGCATATAGAGTCGTTTCAAATAGCGTGTTGACGAGCGTAGACTTCCCCAACCCAGATTCGCCTGGAGAGCGGCCGAGTTAGGTGCCCACGTCGTCGAATGAGTATCAGTCACGATTACACGTACCAACAACCATGGCCGTGAACTGGAAGCCCTTCCTCACACTCTTCCTGTGAACCTGGTTAGGGAGATTAGCAAAGCCGACATAGCCCATGAGTTTCTTGCGGATAATGGGGTTGAGGCCGCCGTTGCTGTTGGGAGAAAGCGAGGGAGTCGAACCATTGGCAGCGCCGTTTGGTGAAGGGGAGAGGTCGCCGTTGCGAGAAGAGATGTAAGAGTCGGTCATCTGTGGTCGACGAGAGGAAGAGTGCCTAAGCAAAAGAAGAAGAAAGGGAAAGGAGAGGAATTACTTTCACGTTGACCTGGACGGGGGGAAGGAAGGGCTCTGGGAGAGAACCTGGGCGTCGGACTTTCAAGTCCACCTGCGATTCGGTGGCGTCTCGCACTAGCAACATTGAAGGCCTTGGCTGGAGGAGCCACGGCTGCCATACCTCCCAGGTTCGTCAATGATCCCTCCAAAATCCGTCGATGCTTACCCAGGGCATGGTTTTATCTTTCAGAGCTTTCGTGATCTTCATATGTTTCAGCGTGTCGCACCCGTTGGCTCCGCCCTTTTAATACCTCTGGTGTTCCTGCCATGCTTTCAGCGTGCGGACAAGTGTTTGCCCATCTAAACCACATATGGCTGCCTTCTTGCTCTTATGCATACACGACAAGAGCCCTACGATGAGTCATCTTGATCAAGGCTTCTATATCCCTGCAATTATTTTGATTACCCCCAGCAGCAATAAAAGTACTTTTGCCCAATCTTGTGCCTCTCTAATACCGGCGGATTTAAGCGTCCTGGACCAGCAGTTCAGCTCTCGTATGCGTCCGGATTGATGTACGCCTCGAAAAGCGCGTCCAGATCGACCTCGTCTAACATAGGATCCCATGGCGGTTGGCTCAGCCATGGCGCGTCATCTTCAGATATCGAGGACGTCGGCGACCACGTTAATGGCGGCGTCGACGCTCCGCTCGAACTCCTCGTCCAATCCTCGATCTGCAATGTCCAAACCTTCCGCGCTTCTCTTTTCGCAGCTGCCTCGTATGCATCGATCGCGGCCAGTTGAAGCAATGTTGGACAGTTTTGCACCTCTACTGGCAAGGTGCTGAAGTCCACTAGATTGTCCTCATACATCCCCCCTGCCTTCTGGATCTCCCGCAAGCCTACAGTTGCCCATCTATGCAACCCCGGTATCTCCCCGTATATTGTCCTTCCAACACTACACGACTCTGTGCCTTGCGCGCTGCCCTCCACGAACGCGCCTGCACCCACATAACTATTACGGCCTCTGTTTCTGAATGATGGGGGTTTCGGAGATTGGGGAGAAGAGGGCGAAGCAGTGCCTGCACGTGGTTTACGAACCCTGTATGCCGCCAGACATGCAATGGTAGCATCAGCAGACGCATGCATATTTGAGAGGATGGCGGGGTAGTGAAGTGTGAAGTGATCACGGATGAGGGTTCAAGGAAAGTTGGCTCGATCATAGACAAAGCTCCTCACCTTATATCTAGCCGCGCCGCCACCGTTCCGCCAAGCGTGCCCCGTGGACAATGTGTACTATCCAAGCGGTGGAATGTGGCTGCTGATTGTTCATGCCACCGTGGCACATAGGACAAAGTACTTCCCATTCGATGTGGCACTGGTGGCCGCGACCGCATAGGCGATGTGGCGGGGTCGGTGGTGGTCGCCTCAATGACGCTTAAGCGGCGCCACAAAGTTAAATGAAGTGGCCTTGTCTTGCTGTCAAGGTTTCGATCAAGTGGCAAATCACGGATGGGCGGCCCACAACTGGAGAACTCATCGGGAGCTTCGGACGGAGATGTGAGTGTGTGTACAAACGCATGATCATCCAAAAGACATAGATATATGTCAGATTGCTTCCATGGTATACATTAGTATACATTGGAATATGGACTCGCAAACAGCAATCAAACAATCAATTCCCAATGACCTCCAACTTGAAGACTGTACATGAGGTGATTCAGCTCACCATAGCAATGCAATTTCGACACATAACACTTACTGTCGTGTCTGGCATAATGCCCCACAACGTCCAGATCGAACTTCCCTCGTGCGATGTCATCGAGATCCAATTCAGCCGTAAGGACACCCTCGCCGTTCAGCAGCGGACCCGCAAGAACCTTGCCGAGAGGATTGATAATCACGCTACCACCTGCGATCATGACGTTCTCAGCATTGCGCGCGCTGGGGTCGGCGACGGCGTGATCTTCTGGGAAGTCCTTCTCCTGAGAGAACTGGCACGCCGATAGGACAAAACAACGTCCTTCTATGGCAATGTGCGTCATGGTCGATTGCCATACTGGCCGTGCATCAACGGTGGGCGCGCAGTATAATTGAGTGCCCTGAGAATAGTAGTGTGTTCTCACTGTAACAAACGAATTTTGTCAATGGGATGTGTTGGGTCGTGACAATTGACAGACATAAAGGCATATAATTTTCCCTTCGATGAGGTAATTCTATGAGCCGTCGACATCAAAGTATCGGAAGACTCACCAACAAATGGCCGCGGATATTTTCGTGTTGACATGTACATCAGATTGTCCAACCGAAGGGAACTGTTTGGTATGAACAGCAATTGTATCCGGCCCTCCTTGTCCCCAGATCAGTCGCTCACTGGCTGTCGGCATCAACTTCCGGTGTTTACCGACGAATCCGTCGATTGGATCGACGAAGATCGCAGTGCAGTAGAGTGTCCCACCATCGCGTTCGATGATGCCGATGACAAGGAAAACGTCCGTTTCTCGACTTATCGTTTCGATTCGCGAGAGGGCAGGGGAGGGGAGCTCGATGGCGGCATTATAATACCTCAGAAACTCGTCGCGCCCTTGCACCGAACGTTCGCCCACAACGGCACCAAAAGTCATCATTTTAGGGTAACCCCCAATACTGTTCATACTTGTCAAAGATAACAGTTAAACCAAGATTAGAACAACTTACAATGCCTCGGGGAACACCGCGAGTTTGCTCCCATCCCTGTCTTTTGCAAGCCGCGTTAGCCGCTCTAGTTTATCCAAAGTATTGGACAGTGAGTACGCTGCAGTGCATGTTTGAACAACAGACGCCCGTATGGTGTTAGACATGGAAAAGTTGAATCCAATGGGTTTTGTACAAGGAGAACTGCTATGACTGTGCATTCTCATTTATCGCATGGCTTTACAATTGAGTCACGTCATTTGGACGATAGTTCACGTGTTTCTCTCTACGTGACCATCCTGGAGAGGACGAAACCGTTTTCCATTGCAGCTCTCACCATAAAGAATAGGAACGAGGCGAGACGAGACAAATCTATTGAACCGGTTGTGGTGGTGCAGGGATAGGGTTCAGAAGAGTCTTCGGCGTCAATCGCGAGGGTTTCGGCAACCAAGACTTGGGGAAGTCTTTGATCGAGGGCGGGGAAAGATACCGCCCTGTACCACCAGCTACATCCCTCAATAACTTGCCCTTCTTAGCTTTCATAGCTTTCGCATCTAGATGCCGTCGATCGTATGGAATATCCTTGAAACTCTTGCCCGCTCTCTGAAAGCAACAGTTAGCATTTCAAGATGAGCTCGGGCGTGATGATAGAACGCACATTAGCCTCATCAATAAGTTTGTCCAAGACGTCGCTAGCCCATTTGAGATTCATAGACGGTCTCTTAAAATCCTCGCAAGATATCTTGAAATAGCCATCCTCGCTGTTCTCTCTTTGACGAAGACCAGAATCCTTCGGAGGGAACGGAGTCCACCGCACGCCTGCCAGAAGGCGGAAGTTGTGCACTGCGTGCCTATCTTTAAGCGGTAGGGTGGACACAGGAACGACGATGGTGCGTTTATGGGTTGCAGGGTGATTTTCACCGGCGTACCAGATGGATCGGGCGACTAGGGGCGTCTCAGAGGTCGGAGGTTTGAATTCTTTACGGAAAGCTACAAGTGATGCGTTTCGAATGAGATTGAGCCTTTGGTATCAGCTACAGAACTCACCGACAAGTTTTGGCATCTCATGCTCTATGAGGCGGAGGTATTGCAAGGTCTGACGTTGTTGCTGTAGCCATATGTGACCTGCAGCGGTCGTGTCATCCTCTTTGAACTCTTCCAAGTTTTCAACATCCCACGCCGAGTTGATGCCGATGTCAGTTCCCTCCTCCGCCTCCAGACCTTCAGCAATGGCGGCTTCACTGGGCTGTTTAGTCACCATGGGTTTGGGGGCCGTTTTGCGGGGATATGCGACAACAGAAGAGGAGTGCAGTAGTCTTGCAGCACGGAATGGTGCGGTCGTGCCATGGAACTGCGCTGGCCGAAACATGGCAAGATGAGTTGTAGAATAGTCGGAGACCTGGCGGGTTTCTGGATGAGGCTGCCGCCATACATGCGCAAACAACCGCTTTCTACCCAAGCTGAGCGCTTGACTGCTTGACTACATCATCTAACCTATCTGACTCAGATGGTCGTGAGTAGTTTGAACATCAAAAGATCAACCTGGCGCGTCATTTACCGTGTTTTGGTTGTCACAGCGCCTCTCACTGTCGATTAAAGCGGATCTCGAGAACGTCACAGATCTACTGCCCGGTTCGGACGACTTCGAGTACTTTTTTCAAGTCAGTCAATACACAATCGCAGCACCCTGACAGGCACTGGACCACTGAAATGTGTAGGTTAAATGTAATAGCTGCAACGAAACCCACCCCAAATTTGTATCCCTGAACCGTGTGGTGCGCCACCATCGCTGCTGAACCTCGACACAATTAATGACAGACAGCCAGGAAGAACATGAAGTGAGCGCTAGCAAAGGCAACACCGCACATTTTGTCTGGCGTTGCGGACTCTGCAGGCGTGAAAGCACGGCAAAATTCGAGCTTGCATCGCCACTTCAGTCATATTCAGCAGACGCCAACGGTCAATTTACGCCTCTCTTGATTGTTGATTGCAGAGGCCTTGAATTCACAGGTTTTGATCCAAGGGTGAGTTGCTATGCTGTGTTTTACTTGGGAACAACATCCATAATATCATGGTTAGGGCACATGGAAGTGCAAGGGTATCGAGTCTGGGACTCCTTTCACCGACGTTGAATTGGAGGAAGGTGAATGGGTGGACTATGACGAGAAGGTACGTTTCATCTTTTTGCAGCTGAACACCCTGAAATGTATCATCATCGCTGGTAAGGCCGCAGTTCCAGTAGGTATCTCGAACATTGAGAGTAAATGGAGTAGAGCATGAAGTAGGAAGTGAAAGTGGAAGAGATCGGAGCCTGATGTACTGATATCTGTCTGAGCGTGCTGGTTGTACCGAGATGGCGGGTATGTATCAGAACATACCGAAGTCTTGTACAGCCTAACACCTTATCCTGGAAGCAGAATGCAGAAACCTGGTAAGGGGGAACAACCGCATCTGCAAGAGCCCAGTCGACCCATTCACTGTCATCAACGGAGCAATTTGGCAGCATCTCCTGATTGTTATTCCCGAAGCTGATCCTTTCGCTCCTCTATACCTGCGAAGAATGATCTCCGTTGTGTTTTTCTCGTGTTTGAACATCGCTCTCGTGAGGGCCACCGGAGACGGGCCATTCGGCCTTCTCACCACGTTGCTCTTCACGTTTCTCTTGACTTTCGCTGTTTTGTGATCTGTGAGTTTCCTTCGCTTTCCCCTCAGGCCTTTGCTTTTTCCGGCCTTCCAATATATCGCGCTTCCAGCTTCCGCTAACTACTGCATCCCCAAGTTCTCCAGCCTCTCCCATGGTGCTTTTCGCTTTGTTTTTACCTCGAGAGAACAGCTCTGATTGATGTTTCCTCATCTTTGCTAGATGTTCGATCCTGATTGCCGCAAGTGAGATGAGGATGGCAAATAAAACAAGGGTACCTACAGCCACAAGGCCGTTTCGGCCTTACTTTTCTCGACCTTCTCCATATTGACACCGCGCCGTTCTAGGGCCTTCAAAAAACTTCGGAAATGCTAGGCGTGTACATTCATTGCATGCCAATCGCGTCGATGTGCAATTGAACGTACGTCAATTGATGTCCTTACGTGTTTCAGAGTACGCTTCAGTTTGCGATTCGGAGTTTGTCTTGAGTCGGACTTACCTATAGTGTCCAGATAACGGTGAGAGAGTGTGTATCATGCCCTCTTTGACTGATATCAAGCCAGCAGATGTCACTAATCCGCCTGCAAGAAACGAAGAGTGCTGAAACGTTCCAGGTTCTATATACGGCTCAATGAGAGGGCTGATTGCGCAAGAAGGATGGAAGAAAACCTTTAATGCCAACAAATAAGTTGACTGTCGTGGGTATTAACGGATCGGACGTTCAGAGGCCGGCAACACGCTTACAATTCATGTCCTAGACAGTGGTCTCAGCAGGCACGACAGCGAGGTGACATATGATCTCACCGAAACATATATCCAAGTGTTCCTCCTGAGCGTCTTTCGCAGCAACTTATCGATGATTCCGTGGATGGTGAAATGGCTTCGCAGTGCTCGGGTCAGTCCATACTTACCCTTTTGAGGCCCAACGTAGTGCGCAATGGCGTTTTCTTCGGCTGATGAAAGCGAAGACGAAACGGGAGACAAGGCAGAGGTGTTGGATCCTTGATGTTCTGGGGCATCCGGTGCGTCCAGAGGAACGATCCCCTCATCTCGACCTGCGTCCTTCCAGTGCCCTGCCGAAGTATCCACTAGGTGACCATTTCGTGCCCATCGCAGCTTCCCATCGGAGTCGATGTTGACGAGGTAGTTCAAGCCTGGAGTGTGTTCACGTTAACTCTGACAACATCACGCTAGAGCGGGGTCACGTACGCTGCTCGGCTGAAAGATAACTGTCAAATATATAGTAAAACAAGGGTTCGGATCGTGTTTTATAGACGACCTACGCACACTATACGCTGTGAGGGACGCGTCGGTCGATCAGGATCCTCATGAACAGAATTCGACTCGTACCTCTTTCTCTAGCTGCTCCCTTGGACATTCTTTCAAAGAGAGCTTTTTGCCGTCCCCACGGTCCAGCCTGAAGGTCTTGAGCATGTGCATTCATCGACACGAAGGTTTACCATTCACCATTTGAAAAAATTATCTTCGGTATCTGAATCTTTCCACCGTTTAAAATAATACTTGACTGTAAACCAATATAAGTGGCCGTTGAGACGGTATATAGTAGAGAAGACTAACGATTCGATCCATAGCGGTGCTTCCTATAGGCAAGTTCAACACGTAATTCTTTTCGCTCACCCATCGACTCACCCATCGACGAGTTCCAGCCAATGCTGCGTCTCCAGCCGCTTGTGCGCGGCTCCAGGAATATCCAGGCCTTCGTTTCGCAGCACACTATTTCTATCCTGGGCCATAGGTGAGCATATCATGAGAACCCACGCATGAACTCAAACCTACGTGTAGCCGCTGCGTCGTCACAGCTGCGCGCCGCCAGCGCATCTTGGCTCCGTTGCCGCCTTCTCTCTGCGCACCGATATCGGAGGCCTGGCAAGCACGGTCTCGGAACATTATATCGGCAACATACAGACACCGACTCATCACGTACCTCCATTTCGACGGTCAACAGCGCGTCGTTCCACCGCGCGTCCGGGGTCATGTATTTCTTCGAGCTGGCGCGGTTCCGAGACCTCCATACGCGCTGTATGCGCTCGGCGGCCTCACGCTGGCTTATCCCGTCAGTGTTAGTATGCGAGCGGTCACTCTTGGACATGTCGGGTAGGGAAGAACAGGGTGAGGGTGGGTGGTGGTGCTTGAAACATCGAGGCTTGGAGCTGCTGGGAGGGTTGAGGACGCAGGACGGAGTGACATCATCTCACGTGGAAACAACGTTAGCCAGGCCATCGGTACCGCCGGCACACGCTTGAGCGGATTCGGAACACACGTTGACATCACGACACCGCGATCTGGACACGAAAGGGTAGGGTATGAACAAGGCAACAGGCATCACTCGTGTTTTTCAAGGTGTCGATGATGGTTGAACAGATCAGTGTGATACAAGAGATCCTGAGAAATCCGTGTCGTGCTAGTCATTAAGTACGCGCGTCGGAGTACACCGATACCGTGTATGCTGCGAAAAGAGAGAAAGAGAGAGAGACGAGAGAGGCAAAGAGGGAGAGAACACAGGCGTTGGGTGGCAAAAAGGGGAAATGTAGTGTATGGTTATTGTAGACAGACAAGCTGGTGCAGAGGGGGGTAAAAATGCATGCGGATATGGAGCAAGGGAATGCGGGCGGGGACACATTGCGTGGGTTGAATACGTATCGGAAAGTGCCAAAAAGGAGGGAAAAAAAAAGAGCGGGAGAGAAGGCGGGCGTAAGGACTGGAACAGTAGCGGGTCAAAAACAAATGCGACCAACAACACACAGATGCGGAGAGCAGATGAGGGACGAGATGGTTCGATAAGCGGAACGAAGGGAGAAAGAGACTCAGTACGAAGCGTCCTCTTTCAAAGTGTCTTTGAAGCTGAAACCCTTGAAAGTCCATTCTGGCGGGACGACTAGGTAAGGATGCTTGCGCAGCTCGGCAGCGGACGGACGCTCGTCAGGATTACTAGGAAGAGGGCCTATCAGGAGACGTCGCGCGGTCCAGAGAAAAAGAAGACGTACACCGCGAAACACCTCCGCCTAAAGTCGTCCGCCAACGCAGAGAGCGTGATACCAGACGGGATCGGAGGCGCTTGTTTTTGATGATACAACTATGGTCTCGTATTTGAGATGCCACTCCAAACGAAAATAAAGCATAGAATCTGACCTTGACAATCACGGCCATGGCCTCCTCCTTCCGCCATGGCCTCTCACCCGCCCACATTTCGAGCACCACGCACCCCACGCTCCAGATATCGACTTTCGCGTTGTATCCCCGCTTGCCGATATTGACGACCTCGGGCGCCATCCAAAAGACCGTGCCTTGCATCGCGGTGAGCACCGCCTGCTCGTTCACGTCGTCCGTCCGCTTCGAGATACCAAAATCGGAGATCTTGCACACGCCGGTTTGCTCGACGAGAATGTTGTCCGCCTTCAGATCCTGCGTGCGTCGGCAGCCAAAAAAGAAACATCAGGAACCACGCAGAACGAACGAGATCAATCCATCTACGCACTCGGTGGAGGATGTTCTTGGAATGGAGGTACTCCAGTCCACTGAGAATCTGTGCCGAAAACGACTTGGTGACGTCCTCGTCGAACCTCCCGTACTTGCGCAAGCAGCTCCCGACCGACCCACCAGGAACATACTCCAAAAAGCTAGCGCGATCCCGTCAGCCTCGCACGCAGCACAGAGGATACGCGCCAACGCGACTCACATGCTCAAGAACGTCGGCGTCTCCTCGAAGCCGAGGTATTGCACGATGTTCGGGTGGTCGAGGTCCTTCAACGTCTCGCTCTCGAGCTTGAGCGCCTCCACGACGGTCACCTGCCGCGAATCGCTCTTGTCGCTCGCCGTCCGCGGAATCTCGACTTGCTTGACGGCGATCATCTCGCCCGTCGTGGCGTTCAGCGCGAGGTACACGCGCCCGAAATTGCCCTTGCCGATCAGCTCGCCGCGGACCCACTTGAAGATCGCTGTTGCAAACAAAAAGGGGACAGTCAGACGCCACAACTTGAACATACGAGCGAGCGGTACGCTTACGCTTGGGAGCCACCGCACCCGCCGTCGAGGGCGATTCCGGCGTCGAGGGCGTCAAGCCCGCCTTGAGCTGCCCGGGCATCACCTCCTCCACCTTGCTCCCCCACAGCTTCGTGCTCCGCTTCCTGAGCATGCTCGTCGACTGCTGCATCCGCGACGACCGGTCGATCCGCTGCTTGTGCTCCTCCGCGACGACACGGATCGACTTCTTGTGCTTGAAGTGCTTGTTCTGCAGGTGCGGCTGCGGCGCCGCCGCCGACGAGTACTCCGTCGCCGTCGGCGACGTGCCCCCCGAGCTCGCCTCGATCACCGGCTTGTCGAGGTCGTGCTCCGGGAAGAACTTCTCCAGCCGGTCGTACACGTCCTCCGGATTCGGGCGCGACGCCCACGACTGGTCCTGGAACGCGTCGCCCACGTCGTCCCGCGCGCCCTTCTTCCCGCTGCCGCCTCCTCCTCCGCCTCCTCCGCTTCCCTTGGACCGCGCGCCCCACGCGGGCGCCGGTGGCTCCGGCGGTGGGTTCTTCGGCGGCGGCGGAAAGTCCGCGGGGATCGCCGTCGTGTACCCGTTCGAGCCCTTCGTCGTCAACGACCCGGGCGAGCTAGACTTGGAGTCGATCTTGACCGTGAGCGGCGGGCCGCGCCCAGAGGACCTCGGGCGATCCGGCATGGGAGTCTGCCACAGCGTCCCCGAATCGTCCTCCACCATCGGCGTCTGCCAGAGCGTCCCGCCCTCGCTGTCCCACTCGTCTCCCCCGTCGGTCGAGTGGCCGTCGGGCGTCGAGGGCGTCGAGAGCACGGTCGTCGGGATCGGAGGCGGCGTGATGGCGGTGCGTTGCGGTGCGAGGAGCGGCGGAGGCGGAGGCGGCGGAATCGGCGTGCGGAACGATTGGGGAAGCGGCGGAGGCGGCGGTATCACCGGAAGCACTTGCTTGGGCCGCAGCGTCGCCGTGTCGCCCCCGTTCGACTGGCCGTCGAGCATCTGCTGGAAGTACTTCCGCTCGCCCCCGAGCACCGTCGCGTCCGGCGAGCGCAGCTCCGTGCTCCACGAACTGCTTGTGGCCGTTGAAGACGGGTCGGGCCGCGGGCCGAACCTCTCTCGAGTCGGTATCTCGGCCCTCGGGCTCCTCGGGCTAGCGGGGCTGCGCGGCGGCGTGCGGTTCGAGCCGTCGCTCGGCCTGTGGTGCACATCCTGTGGCCGCTCCCCCGCGTCGCCCGTCGGCGCTCGTCCAGAATAGCTAGGAGGCATCTGGCTGAAGAACGGATACATCGGGATCTGAGAAGCGTGAGACGGCGGGGGCGGCGGTGGAGGGGGCGGCGGCTGCCGCACAAAGTCAGGTTCCTGCAGAGGCTCAGCGAACACCGACGCATCGACCGTCCTCTGGGGCCGATACGGCGGCGGTGGCGCAGACTCGTCTCCAAGTGCCGAGCGCGGGCGCGGGTAGTGATCCTGCTGCGGCGACAACAGCCCGGCAGATCCTGCGGTGCTGTTCGACGCCGGGATCGACGAGCTGCTCGACAGCTGACTACGCGGGAGTGATGGGCCGTGCATCGGCCCCGCAGAGGGCTCCACGTTCATCTGTCCATTGCCACCACTGCCACCGCTGCCACCGCTGCCGCCGGTCTGCTGCGCTGGCAGGGGTCTGACGGGGCGGTACGACGTGGGCGAGGCGTACGCGCCAGGTTGCGGGATGACGAACGGCCGCGCGCTCTCGGGGCTCGTCGTCATGTGTATGGGCTCGCGACGCGCGGAAAACGCGGTATCGCCGCTCACGTAGCCCGTGCTGTGCGAGGGCGCGAGGGCGTCGCGCATCGAGGACGAGGGCGCCATCGGCAGCGACGGCAGCGGCGGCTGGGTGCGGCGGCCCGCTCCGGGCATGAGCGTCGCCGGGATGTTGGAGATGTTGGGGATGTTGAACTTCTCGCGCATGCCGTCCACGCTCTTCGCGCCTTTCAGGTTGTACCGCGTCGAGGGCGCGGGGGCGTGGTCTGTGCGCCCGGGGCCCTTCCAAGTCACGGGCCAGTCCTTGGGGACGGCTTGCGCCACGGGTCGACCGGAGCCGCGGGACTCGGGGGGACCGCCGGGTGGGACGGGCGGAGGCTGTCGCGGAACGTGGGGCAGCGGCGTGCCGTTGAAGTACGCCGTCGCGTCCTGAGGGTGTCGAGGGGAGCTCCTGTATCCCCTTTCACGGCGCAGGCCACCTCTGCTCTCCTGAAGAGGCGACGAGCGGTCCATCGAGGACGGCTCGCGCCCCAACCTCGACGTATCGCGCGCGACGGGCACTCTCCGCTTCGGCCTCTCCGGTCGTTCGCTTCTCTGCCCCTGCTGCTGCTGCTGCTGCTGCCACTGCCGCCCGGCGACCTCCAACCGACTCTCCGAAGCCTGCAGAATGCGCTCCCGTTCGGCGGCGGCGTCGGACCCCGAGCGCGAATGGTAGACCCACGCGTTGAGCTGCGAGCCCGACGCGTCCTCGTCGTACGGCGTCCGCGATCGATCCGGGGACATCGAGGGTGGAAGCGTCAGCGACGACTGCGGGGAGTTCTCCGGACGACCTCGGTCGGCGCGGCGCGGAGAGTAGTCGACGGTGGGGCCTCGCGCGCGGTCTGGCGATAGCGGGGGCAGCGGGGACAGGGTGGACATCTGCGGAGGCGAAGAAGGGCGCATGGGGCCCGTGGGGGGCCGACGCGCGACGGGAGAAGGGGAGATCGTATTTTGGGACGGCAGGGACGGCACGGCCTGTTTTGGAGGTGGGCGCAGCGTCGCTCTCTGGCTCTCCTCCATTCCGTCGAAATCGTCCGAGACGGACGGATCGTACCCATTCGTGGGCTCGATCGGAAGGCGTTCGCTGGCAGACGAGATGCTCCCGTGCCTCGACTGCGAGCGCCTTCTCTGCTGCGGGGAGTAGGAACGGTTGCTGTTGTACGGAAGAAGGACGGGGGGAGGCACGGTGCTGACCGTCGGGGACATGACGGGAGAGGACGGCGGGTTCTCGTGTACGACGGCGGAGGAGCTGGCGACGAGGAACTTGAGGGAGCAGTCAGCGTCGCCTTCGTCGCGGCAGAGCTCGTAGAGCTGGTCGTCGGTGAGGGCGTCGCCGAGGGCGTAAGCCCCGACTTTTGTTCGATAGATCGAGTACTGGGCCTGCTCTTCGTCCGATATTCGGAGCTGTGATAGGCGAGAGACGGGGTGAGCCTAGCCGAGCCGAGCCGGGCGCGACGCGGGGCGCGATGACGACGAGAGGCGACGCACCTTTGAAAAGACGAGCTCCTTGATGAAGGCGCCGTGTCTGAAGCCGGTGATGTCGACGGTGTAGTACTGATCTGAATCGCCGGTGACAAAGATGAGGACCTTGTCGAGGGGGCTGGACCGGGAGGAGTCGTTGGGGAAGCGGGTGGCATAGGTGTCGGAGGTGGAGGTTGTCGGGGACTGGGCGGGGCTGAGCGGAGGACGGTTTGAGGGGGGGAGACAGAGAGGACGCACCGTGGTTGGCCTGCTGCTGCTGGAGAGACGACGGCCGTGTGCGAAGGGATGGTGTATGTTGGCCTTCATCTTGTCCAGGAAGGTTGATTTGTTGGAGATGGAGTGGGACGAGTGCTGCTGGTGAAGGGCGTCTGTGGAGTAGCTGGGAGCAAAGTCGTGTCTGGCCGCAGCGTCTGCCACGAGATCGCCGGGCGGGGCGGACTGGCCGGGGGTTGTGGGGGGCGGTGAGCTCGTGCCCGAGGGGGAGGAGAGGGTGGGGTTGGATCTGGAGGCAGGGTGGTGGCGGGAGTGGCTGGGGAGGTTCGTGGTTGTGAGAGGGCCAGGGTCGCGGTGGGACGAGGAGGAGGCGGAGGGGTGGATGGCTCTGTCCGGGGGAGGGGACGTGAGGGTGGGGCTGGGCTGGGGGTTGTAGGGGTGTTTCTGCGCGCGCGGGGCGTAGGCTTGCGCTTGCTCTCCATCGTCGTCTTCGCCGCTGCCCGGATTTGCGACGATGAAGATGGGGCGATGTATCTTGCGTGCGCGGGACCTTGTGTCGTCGGCCATGGGAGTGGAGGTGTGAGCTGGGACACGCGGGGACGGGCGTGTCTGCGCTGTGCTCGCGTGCTGCGTTGGGGTCGAGGGAGGGAGAGGGCCAGTCTGCCTAGCAGCTGCAGGAGAACAGAGCAGGCAGGGACCGCCACCCGGCCCCCGGTCACCCCCGCGCGAGCGGTCCTCTTCACTGTGGGCCATTGACTCTTACTGTGGGCCATTAACGCTTCTCATTGCACACGCCACGCCGATATACAGTATAATGTTACATCCATTGCCGCCTGCCGCTCACTCCCCGCTCCCCGCGCACCGCTCACTCCCCCCGAGTCATCGGTCCATCGCTCAAGTCCACCTGCACACGCAACGCACACGTCAGTCGCTCGCGTCGCAACAGACGACCAGGACCCATCACACCTCGGCCGCTGCCGTACGTACCTTGGGAAACTCAGCCCGCTCCTCCAGCATCGACTCCCCCCAGCACAGCAACTTCAGCAACGCGACGAGCTTCGCCTCCTTCCCCTGGCTCAGGCTCTCCAGGATCGCTGCGTTCACCTCCCCGGCCGTCTTCATCCGCTGCGCAGGCGACAGCAGATCCGAGATCCCCGTCGGGATCGCCGCCGACGACTCAAACGCCAGCAGCGCCATCGTCCGCTCCAGCTCAGACAGGAACTCCGGCCTCTCCTCCCCGCGAGGCGCTAGCTCCTCCTGCGCGAACTGTAGCGCCGCGGCAACGTCCCCTTGCCGGATATATTCGATCAGCTTCTGCTGCTGCAAATGGAAATACAGCGCCGGATTCGTGTCCAGGATCTGCCATCAGAGCGCCCCCCTCCCGTCAGCATCTCGGATCCTCAATCGTGAGAGAACAAGTGAACAAATAAGCGAGCGTGCATCATATTGAAGACTGAAGTTTTGGTGTTGCATCATCATCATCGACCCCGTGGGGACTGAGAGTGGTGCATGCAAAGGTTTAATCCTGCGACGGCGTCCAGAGACCGCGCGCGAACGCGCCTCTCCAGCCGGCCGACCGTGCGGAAATTTAAAAAAAAACGGAGGCTCACCTCGGGGTTCAGATCGTTCACACGCGTGATCGCATCCTGCACATCTCCCCGCTGCAACGCTTCCCGGATGTTCATCCTGCTCTCGATGCTGTCAAAGTCGACCGGCGTGACGACCCCCGCCTCCTGGCTGAACTCCTCCGCCGCCGACTTGTACCCCTCGATGACGAGATAGTCCATCACCAGCCGGTTCAGATCGCTGTCGGGCGATGCATCATCAGCGCGCGCTCCACAAGCCAGACCAGACGAAGAACGGCGACGCCGGAAGAAGCAGGACGGTTCAGATAATACATGCAATTTTTAAACCTCATCAAGGAGTTCAGAGAGATTCCCAAAAAATTGTTCATCCTCGAACGACTTCTTCCGCCGCGAGCCCCAACATGGAGGAAAAGACGCACTGTTTCGTGACCTGCACGTCCCCCAAGCGCCGCTCCCACTCGTCTTGAGTTATGGAAGTCTTCGATGTCTTTCAAGGCATGATCAACAGACGGATCGCGAGAGGGGGGACAGAGGCGCAAAAACTGACCATGACGAAACGCGATGAGTCGTGTGCGATTTATCGGGCACGGTTGATTCAGGGTAGGTCATTCCAAAAGCGTTCAACTTTCCGGGTGGCGGGCGGGCGCCCGTGACTGCTCTCAATTGAACCCCTTCTCAAAGAGACGCCCAGAGAACATCACTGCAGGCCCCGTCGTCTGAAACACTTGGCAGATCAGACTGAGCTCCACGCTTCTCTCAAAAAGCACACACTCGCAAGGGATCGATCATCTGAGATATGGGCGTTGGGCGTCGTCGGTACTAAGTATATTCGACCGTCCAGACACAGAAGCCATGTTCCCACCCGTGCATGCGCCCACGCAAGCGACTCGGACACTGAGCGCTGCCAGTGACCAGAGGGGCGTTTTTTTTAGGCCGCGGCCACTTGCTGACTTGCTCGCACCGCGTGTGCCGCGTGAATGCGCGGAGGGATGCGCGCGCGGGGTGGCAGGAGGGCTGCCCGCGTATGTAGTCTAGATCACGACTTTGATACGATCCCGCCTGACCTGATCATGTCGAGGAAGTCGTCCTTATCGAGCGCGGCTGAGGAGCGAAGAGAAGGGCTCTATGTTTAGCGCGAGAGGGAGAGAGAAGGAGGGGCGAGGGTGGAGACTGACTCTCTTTGCCTCTGCCCAGGGGGTTGTCCTTGTTCTTGCCCTTGTTTTTTGTTTTCGACTTTGGGTCGAGCAAGGGAGCGGGGAGCGTGGGCTTGCCCGACCCGCGCGCGGCTTTTGTTTCCTCTGCGGCGACGGCGGCGGAGGCCTGCGACTGCTGGATGGCGTTGAAGAGCTTGACAACTGCGAGCAAAGTGAGCGTCGGCGCGCGGGGACACGGGATCGGGAAGGCTGACCGCCTCTCTGGGCGACCTTGCGGAGGGCGCGCTCGGTCTCGCCGCCCCAACCGCCGATGACGTCTGTCACGCGGCCCTTGTCCTCCTTGTCTTTTTTCTCGGACTTGAGGACCCTGCGTGCCTTGAGCTCGAGCTTTGCGTCGTTCTGCCTGCGGGAGACGGAGGGCTTGAGGGAGAGCGGGAGGGCGGAGGGGGCGTCGGTGGAGAGGAGGGACTGGAGGGTGGCGCCGAAGTTTGTGGTGTCGGTTGCGCGGTATTTGCGCTTTTGTGTCTTTTTAGACTTGGGACGGGACGGGTTTGCGAGCTCGTGGTCGGTGTCGGGGGAGTCGGTGTCGGTGTCGTGTGCGGCGGGCTGGCGAGTGTCTGCGGGAGGCATGGCGGCGATGTGGTGGGAAGAGCAAAGAGGCCGGGTCACGCGACGCCACCAGGGATGGAGCGAGGAGAGAGAGCCAGCACGGGCGGTCAGAGGATGGCATCCACGTCGCTCGCCCCCATCGATCTCGCCCCAGAGCCCGACCTGCACCCGATCTACCCCACCCCGGCCCTCCTCGCCCCGCTCCTCGCACCCGGCCACGGCCTCGCACCCGCACAGAGGGCCGTCCTCGTCGCACACGCCCTCTGGCGCGCCTGTCTCTTCGGCGACCTCGCCCTCCTCTCCTTCCTCCTCGCAGACACACACGCACAGCCCTTCGTCGACCTCGCCGTCCGCGACGAGGACGGCCTCGGCCTCATCAGCTTCACCATCCTCGGCTTCGGCTCCGAGTCCGACCGCGACGTCGAGCGGGAAGAGTCCGTCCGCCTCCTCATCTCCGAGGGCGCAGACGTCAGCGCCCCAGACAACGGTGCGTCTTCGCCCCCCCCCCCCCCTCTCCAGCCCCGAGTTGACCGTCCCCGTCCCCGCGCGCGTCCCTCGCCCTTCCAGCCGGGTGGACCGCCCTCCATCACGCCGCCCTGCTCGCGCCCCCCACCCTGATCTCCCATCTCTTGACACACGGCTGCTCCCTCTTCGCCCTCACACAGCGCCAGCTCACCCCCCTCGATGTCGTCACCGCCCACTCCACAATGCCCGGCCGCGAGGACGTCGCCCTCCTCCTCGCCGAGGCCATGCGCGGCGAGGGCTGGACCGGCGGCCGCATGGAGGAGCGCCGACGCTCCCTCGAAAAGAAGACCCTGCGCGACGCAAAGCAGCGCCACGTCCGCGACGTCGTCCAGACCCGCCTGGGAATCAGCCCCAGGTGGTGGGGCGAGCAAGAGTGGGACGCCTGGTCCTCCACCTCCTCTGACGACGAAGACGAGAACGACGGCGACGAGTCTCTCTATGTGAGTCCTTTCCATACCACCTCGACGGTCGAGGAGCGCTAGACGAAGCCCCCGTGCGCCCCTCTTCCCTTTCTCAGACCCCTCCGCTGGATTATACCACCATGCTCGTCTTCTCCCCGCCCTCTCTCCCCGACATCTTCCAATCGCTCGTCACAAACTTCCAACCTTCCTTGCGCAACTCGGAGCCTGCCTACGCGCTCTACATGCTCGCCCGCTTCGCCTGCCTCACCTGCGACCACATCTGGCTCGAGGACCTCATCATCGGCGCAACCGATGCCATCGAAGACACCTTCTTCGTAAGCTCCTTCCCCTCACGCTTCGTCGTCCGTGGGACGTCCTGGTTGACGACGACACATCAGAGCCGCGCAGACGACCTGACGTGCTTGGTCTTCTGGCTGTACAACACCACCGCGTGGCTCCACCTGATGCGGTGCGACAACTCTATCAACGAGACGTGCGAGCTCCTCGGCTCCTTCATCCTCATCGAAGAGGTCATCAACTCCGTCTTTGGTGCGTCTCATCCCCGCGCCCGCGCCCGCGCCAGCTGACGACGCGATCTGCCCGTTGACAGTGTTCATCATCCGCTACGTCGAGCGTCGGATCGACCACCTCATCGACACCGCGATCCTCGACCACTCGCCCCTCCCGGCCGAGTTCGAGGGCATCCAGTTCGAGTCCGACTGGTCCTTCCTGCGCTCCTTCGCCCCCAAGAAGAAAACAAACGCGACTCCCACCCTCCCCCCGCCGCGCACCCCCGGGTCCCCCAACGCGCCGAGCCGCCCGCCGTCCCCGCTCCCCACCCCTCACCCGGGCTCGCCCTCCAACTCGATGAGCTTCTCGTCCCTCCGCCAGAGCTTCACGCGCACGCGTGCGGGCTCGGTCGCGACGCCGCTCCAGGCCGCGTTCCAGCAGGACTCGCCCCACCCGGGCGACATCACCTCGTTCTTCGACGCGCTGCAGACGCTGCTCACGCTCTCGGGCATCAACCCCGCGCTCATCACGCAGATGTGGTCCCAAGTGTTCTACTGGATCGCCTGTAAGCTCTCCCCACGCTGCCGCTCCCGAGGGTCCGACGGCTGACGAGCCTGCCACCGCTTGTAGGCGAGATCTTCAATCGCGTGATCACCCGCAAGAAATACGTGTGTCGGTGAGCGACGATGTTTTCCCTTGGGAAATGTATGCGCGTGGCTGACGCGGTCCCAGCTCGCGCGCCTTCCAGATCGGCATGAACCTGAGCGCGCTGGAGGAGTGGGTCGAGTCCGTCAACCTGCCCCGCGGCGTCATCGCGCACTTTTCCCCCGTGCGAGATCTGGTCAACTGGCTGCAGGCGCGTCGCTCTCTCCTCCCAGGCGTCCTGATAACTTACTAACGAACCCCCAGTGCCTGTCGTCGATCACCGAGTTTCCCAACCTCGTGGCGACCATCCAGACGATGAAGCATCTGAATCCGCTGCAGGTGCGTCCGCCGTCTCGACGATTGCGCGTGCGTGCGCTTCCTGATATGTTGTACGCCCGCCCGCCCGCCCGCCCGCCCGCCAGATGCGCCGCGCCGTGCGCGACTACAAGTACGAAGTCAAAGAGGGCCGCATGACGGAGGAGTGCAGCCAGTACCTCGCGCAGCTCCAAAAAGACTGGGAGCGGCACCGCGTCAAGCTCGGGGTCGAGGCTCTCCGCAGAGAGGTGCGTCCACCCTTTCTCCTTCACTCAACCTGTCCTGACCCCGGCGTGCGCGCGCGCCCACACGTCCAGATGGGCGAGCGCGAGCGCGAACGCGACGAGATGTCGCTGAACGACGGGACCGCGCCATCCATCTCCTCCGCGTCGACGGACGCGGGCTCCGCGCAGCGCAACATCGACCTCCTCTTCGACCACGACCAGGACGCGACGGCGTGGGAGCCCGCGCGGCCGCCCGACGTCCTCGGCGAGTTCCTCGACTCGCGCTACATGCTGCCCCTGCTGCTCCCCTCCGACCCGCGCATGCTCTCCGCGTCGCCGAAGCCGCCCGCGCCGCGCGACGACGCCCCCGCCGGCATCGGCGGTAGAGGGGCGGGCCGCTTGAGCAACGGACACGCGCGCAGCGAGAGCCGCGCGAGCCGCCGGAGCAGTGGAAGCCTCCCGTGGCAGATGCGCACGCGGCGCCTGCGCGAGGTCGGCGCGGACACGCTGCAGTGGGTCGACGGCGCCGTCGCGTCCGCGCGGTGGACGCGGCCTGTGGCGGTGGAGATCGACGACGAGGACGCGGACGGCGAGGACGAGGAGGACAGCACGGATGAGGACGCGGACGAGCTCCGATCGCTCGCGTACCAGTACCCGGAGGACGCGGCGAGCACGCAGGACGAGGACGGGGACGGGGACCTGACGATCACGACCGAGACGCGCCGCGTCACGCCGCTCACCGCGAAGCCGTCGCTGCGGCGCGGGCGGACGAACACCAGCGCGGGCATCACGCCCGTGGAGCCCCATCCGCCGAAGTAAGAACCGCCTGGGCCGCGCGCAGAGCCAGAGAAGAAGAAGATCGCTTCGCTTGTATCATTCGCAATTTCGCCACCCATACCTGTCATACTCACCCATCGCCGTCTCGCACATACATACCACGGACTCGCTGCTCTATCTTTACAATGACTGCGGATGCATAGACTACTATTTCCTAGACGTACGGCGTGTGGTTTGTTGCTCGTGCTACTCCTTTTGGGGCGTGCGGTCACGGCGTGGGATCGCCCGTGACGCGTGACACGTCGATGACGCCAGCATCAAACGCCTTGACACATATTTGGGCATCTATACTATGCATTTTGCATCCTATGCTCATCATCTTTCGGATCCCAACATACTTCACCATGTTCTGTGAGGCAGAATGCTGCTCAAACACCACACATGGTTGCCTTCTGTGACCCCAAACTGTCCCCTCCCTGTGACAGTGTGACAGTTCTAGGTCTCCTCTCAACTTCATTATCCAGCCCTCTTCAGCATCTTCGACTTCCTAACTGACCTTCATGCTTGCCACAAATGTGACATTGACAGGGGACATGGTCATCCACCTTGCCAAGATCACCCTCAAGCCCACAAAATGTGACTGGGCAGGCTGTGCTGTTGTGCTAAATAGCTGGCTAGCCTTGAAAGAGGTATGGGAATTCTGACTGCTTTTTGTTATGCTAGTGTTTCTCTTGGACATCTCCAAGAAACCCCATCTGCCTTTTTGTGTCACTATATGCCCTTGGGGATTTTGATGCCACTGGTGTCTGTAGGCTGTCTTTGGTTACTAAGTGGGACGAACCTACCTGATCATAGATTATGGATTGGAATCAGTGTCCAACACAGTGGTGGAACTTGACATCCACTTCGGTTAATCAGAGTGCTTGAATCCAAATTTCATACCTGATTTTTCATTTATGCGAAAGAGATGCTGAACAGCCTTTTCAAACATTTATTCTAAATAAATGCCTACTAGTTTGCTAATTTTCCTCGATACAGCACCAATATCTGCACTGCAAGCAAACTGCACAACAGGTTTGGCACTTTACTAAATATCCCCGCACTCCTGAGTCCTTGACAAAAATGTCAAACTCTTGATCAGGGTGGTATTCAATGTCAGATCTCAAGGTGCTCTGGCCCGTACCACAAATCTCTCCGAGCACTTATGAAGCATGTGGAATTGAGTCATTTGAATCACACACATTTACTCTGCCCGATCAAGGGTGAGCATGCCGGGCACAATATCCATCACCCACACTGACCGTGAGCCACTCCAGACTGTCCAGAAACCTTCACCAGATCAAATTATCTCATCTCCCATTTTGAGGCAGTCCACAATGCTCTCGTGAACCGAGAAGTGCACGGCGGCGCAGTGTTGAAGCTTTCTTCAAGTCCCCATCGACATCAGCTCCGCACAGTCCCACCACTGCCACCTTCATGTTCATCAGATCAAATTGATCTAACAAATCTCAAGCTCACCCGGAAAAAGCCCCAACCGGTGTCTGAGCCCACCTCGACTCTTCCTCCCGATGGTCAGCTCGAAAATAAGGAGTCGAATGCCATCGTGTTCGATGACCTCCCGACACGGGCATGGCGTCAAAACTGGGAGCGCTCCGCCCCCATCGATCTCTTTTTTCAAGTGCAGCGCAAGCCACCCCCGAGCCAGCCGCAGCTCTCCTTCCCGCCGCCGGTCGTGCACAAGCAAACCGTCCAGGCCGATCCGCCGCGCACCTTCCTCTACGACACGTTCTCGCTCCGTTACGACGAACTAGACAAGCGAGGGCTCGTCGATGGGCGCGGGGTCTGGCCCAAGGGGTTGGGCTGGAAAGGGCCTTGAAGATCGCCGCTTCCTCCGTCGCTTTTCCTTTGTCGTCTTTGTTGTTGTGAGTCACTCAGGTGCCCACGCCCGCATGCGAACACTGACCCCTGCGCCAGACCTCGCTTTCGCACAGCACTCGCTTTATACATGACACGGATCGCCTACCGCACATCTTCCACTTCTTACCTGATTGTATCCCACAACCTATAACTACTTTACTGACCAACCAAACTGCTTACTGACGGGTGTCCATAGCCTCTTGCATCGTTCTCGGACATCATCCAATTTTGCACACGAGCCAATGTCCATTCAGAGTCGTATAAAACAGTACCGTGTGCATGATGTAAATAAATGGTGTCATGCCCGGCTGCTGCGCGAGTGCGGGGGCGTAAGTAAGAGTCCGTGCGTGCTGCAAGAATGAACCAAATAGGAAGGGGAGACGTGATGGCCAGGGCCAAGATTTGAACGGCATTATCTTGTGGTGGTCGTGGTATACGTTGTGAGGCCTGTCAATATTCAATCAGATTCGACACATGTCTGACAAGGGCATGACCTGAGCTTACCAGTTCTATCGTGATAACGATCGCGAATGGAATAACACGACTGTGAGCGTGACTGTCGAAGAACGAACGCGAGACATACCCTTTGCAGTGATTATTAGAGGAAGTGGGGAAACATGAAAGGTAGCGGCATCCCGAACAGGCTAGAGGAACACCATTTCAGGTCAGTATTCTATAGTGACTCAGTATCCGTCAGCCACGCACCAGCATACGGGTCCGAGGTGTAGAAATTGCGGATGAGAACGACGTATAATATAACCGCCAGTGGAATGGCAGTGAGTCGGAACATCCACATGATGACCCGGTGCCTCTTCGTAGTACTAATGACGGGATAGAATGTGGTTCCCACGAGTAGGCCCATGAGGAACCCTCCAAGATGAGCTTTTAAAAACAATCAGTCCGACGAATTACTTGAGAGAGTACTCAATCTAACCAAAGTTATCGACATCTGAAATCAGCCTGGTCAGTATCTGTACCAGCACTCGATTGAAGAACTTACATGGAATGTAACCAACGGCGATACCAATCAATAACTCAATTGTCATGAACACGAGCTGTCGAGGAATGAGTGAGCAATCATCCCATAGAGAGTACCTACTCACCCGGCGAACGGGACGATAATGGTATTTCCAGTGAGCGAACAGATCCACCCATGTGACCTAATGAACAAAAAAAATAGATATTGATGACGGCACGATGACCGGACTCCGGGAAAGTACTTACAGCTATTGCGCCAAAGATAGCACCGCTAGCACCAACGGAGGGTATACCGACGAGAGAGAAATTGCCTCCTAGTACGTTTCTGTGAATCAAATCCTTAGAACGAAAGGTCCCATGACGAAATTGACTAGCAAACACACCCAAATATGCCTGCTGCGAAGTACAGTATGAAGAATCCACCGGATCCCATCTCTCGTTCAATCTAAAAAGACATCAGAGAAACATTGGGCGGGAAGCGAAACGATACTTACTTGTGCTACTGCTGTTAACTGAGCGAGCATGTTCAAAATGATGTGGATGAACCCGGCATGGATGAAAATAGGAGTGATAAATCTAGTATCGTGACAAACGGTCAAACCCTTCCATCCACACAAGCCGTGCGGTGCTCACCTCCACCACTGATTCGGCTCTCCGTCGCCGAATCCGCCATGTCCACAGAGTTCTTCAATGGTACATATGCGGTCTGGCGGGTTGGCCGTATCATTCATACCTGATCACCAAACTTATGTCAGGTACATCGAGACATTCAAGACAGACCACGTACAAGCCATATTCGTAGATGCGGGCACGGTGGTCACGTCCTTCATGCACGGCGGAAAACGTGCACCGATGTTGATGAGCGCGCTCGAAGATGGGCCAAGCATTACATTCACAGTGGGCTGGAGAGATCAGTTGAAGGCTCAGATTGACCAGGATGGCAGGGCTGCTCGGCTCACCTTGAACGAGACTGGAGTACCCTGCTCCTTACTATTCAAGACGAGCTCATAAATAAAGACGCCGATCATAGCAATGGTGAGCGCCCATACTAGAAAGCGACAACGTCAACAGGAGTGGCAAAGACTTTAGGTACGACACAGATTCTACTTACCGACAAAGGGGTATTTCTGTCTACCGATTCCCCGCTTTTTGTCTTCTATGCGTTGCTCTATAGGGTATTTACCATTCTCCAAGAAACGACTCAGTGCAGATCCCTTCTCCGTTACAGGTATAGCACGCTTAGAATCATAAGGTTCCGCGAATTCTATACCAACGCTCGAATCACTCGTCGTGGCGAATATATACATGAGATAGCGCACCTAGATCCTGGTATTTGTTGGCGCCGCCATATCCAGCCGCGTTCTGCACGAGAGGCTCATCTCCACTCTGTTCGCCCGCGAACCGCACCCGCTGAGGTTCGTCGGAATATGGCTTGAAGCCCTCATCGTTATCGCGCTCGTCATCGGGCGTAGAATAGATCGAGGACGTGGCGCTACTCTTTCTGTTCGTCGTTGGAGGAACATCAAGCCGCTGAGAGAGACTCGTGGGAGACCGATTGGACAACGAAGTCGGCGAGGCTACAAGCGATTCAGCGTCAGGATGTGATAGATGATTGTTGGATCCCAAGGGATCTGCCGCGGGCAATGATAGTCTCAGGTCAAGCCCTGGCGAGTCCGGAAAGTGCAAGCCATGGTCGCCGACTGGTTCGTGGTCCCGAGAGCGGTCTTGGAGAGGGATGGGTGAGGTCATCACCTATGGAAGATAGTCAGAGGCGGTCGTAAGAGGGAAAGTACTGTGATGCCGGTGAGGAGAGGCCAACGAATATATAAATGCGGATGACACGGGGCAAGGATACTGGACAGCCATTTGGGCGGCCAAGACAACGAGCCTTCGGACACCACAGCCGTCGCTGCGCTTGTGGCCAGGACTCTTCCGAGCGCAGTGATCGAGCTATGGAAAAACTTATTTCGCCTCAGCCTCGAGGCTTCAAAAGGCCTCAAGCTGCAGGCCTGCTAATCGTCAATCATATTTCGCATTCGGACTCTAGTCGTACATTCCCCCAAAAAATGCTGAAACTAAGGAACGCGCACTGCGCAGCACCCCATACAATCGTACATTGCAGCTCAAAATATTGCCTCAGTCGATGCTTAAGCCCTCACTTTCTTTCCATCTCTTGAGCAGAGTGTTGCTCGGCAGGCCGAAGGGGTCGAGTACTTTGTGTGCAACCTCAACGCCAGCGACAGGGAGCGCAGTCGCGTCGAGCAGGCCCAGCTGTAAACAATCGACTTAATGTCCTCCCTTGGACAGATCGGCATAGGCATACTCACTTGGACAAGGACCGATGCCTGGTCCCAATATCTTGATAAACGATGAATGAAGGGTACATACGACAAGAGAACGATGATCTCACATGTGTCTGCGATGGCATCATTACGGGACAGGTTCTGTAGCCTGTATATGACAACTCACTCAAAAGTCAGCTTGTCTCCTCGGAAGGCCACTACGCCGACCAAAGCAATCTCAATTGGTTTCCCAGTGGGTTTAACCCCAGGCAGGAAATAGTCAATTTCCTATCCGAATATCAGTCTAGCTCGAGTGCACTTCTCTGAACTTACGGTTGTATGAGTCGCCTTGAAGATCATCTCGTCTATAATCCGATCTGCACCAACTACAGGTACGAGTTTAGTGAAACTCAAACGTCCTTGTGGCAGGTTCTCACCCGTTCTCGAGACTGTAATAATCTCTGTATCGGGAGGGGTCACCTACAGGAGATAAGCATAGAGAAGGAACCTTTCCAAGTACGGTACGCACAGTAATGCCGGTGAAATGATGCTGCACGAAGCAAACTCTGTCAGACAATTCAGTAAAATCATTATCTCATATATACGTGCTTTATAAAAGCGGGCCAAATCATCATAGCCGATACCACCAGTCATTGTTGGGACGTGGTTCACGTACGGCGTTTTCACCTATTTTCGGAACAACGTGAAATACCCGAATTGTCACCAGAAGTGAGATATTACCATGGTAGCCATCGTTTCTGACCAGACAGAAGCAAAACATCAGAGTCCACGCAGACGGCATGAAGATGGTTAACAAACTTCTTGCATCCCTTTCGACAAATTCCTGTTCGAATGTCGCGTCAGCACAGCAGAACAACAGCATCAGGTCCTAATACATACATAATGGGTATGCGATTCCCAGAGGCTTTCTAGATCAAAGTGGGGGCCCAGTTGACGCCGCAATAGTTCCAAAGTGCGGCTATATGAGAGACTGGTCGCAGATCGAACATACGGATCGACGGAGAAAACATCTCCAGTATTTACAACAGATGGTGCTCGAGATTTGAATGGAAATGGTGGAGATGCAGAAATCATAGGATATGAATAGATAACAACAGGGAAATGATCGGCAGGAGATAGTGAGTACGGAAGCGTTTCGGGCGTTACCAAAGATAACGAAGCATGCAGTTTCTCCTGTGCCGTGGCTAGATGAACAAGCGTCCTGAAACATCGTTGATCAGGCGTTTAGAAGATGAAAGGAAGAACTCAAGACACTTACGGGATATACTTTTGTTCAAAATCATAGACGATGAGGGGTCCGCCCTGTTCCGACAAGGGACTGAAATGCACTATCGCTTTGAGTCTTCGGACATCAGCCTTTCTTACAAGATTCGGTATGGTCATCTCATCATCTTGGAGAAGCCCATAGGTGATGAGGCCCCAGTTGCCAGCATGGGTGGTGATAAATGATCCTGCCGCGTCCAGGGCCTCTGCCAGAGATGCCAAGGATGCGGGCGGGTATAGAACTTGAAACACAGAATATCCCTCTTGCGCGAGCTGGTATGGCGTCATGCAGCATGCCATAGCTAGCAAATGTGTGGTTCGATGCTTACCTGCTCGCACCAACCTGCTTGCTCAGAGGAAATCAGGAGTACCAACGCCGGAGGGTGAGGGACGGATGGCACCGCGTTAAAGTATGTCCTAGACATTCTGATTCCAATGAATATAAGTGAAGTCAGAGGGAACGACGAGGTTTAATTTTCTACGACGTCGGCGATGCGATATGTATGCACAAGTTGAAATTGAAGTTGAACGGATCTGCGGTTGAGAGATCTAAGTATTAGTCATGGGTGAGGGAAGCAGTTTCCTTTTTCAGCCATTGCGCCGCTCCAAGTTGGGGGACCCACATTTATGAGTTGTCGGTACGGGCCCACTGCTCCATGGTTCAATCTAGGGCATTGTCATTTTCTTTGAACCCCTCCTGGCCGCATTATGCATCGCTAACATCTATAATCATTGCGGTTCTACTTGGACTGGCTCGATATGCATTCTTAGGTGCGCGAGTAACATCCATGCCAAATAGTGCGAAGCTAATACTTAGTAGATGGATCCGACCCTCTTCACTGCGGCGCACTGCTGAACAAGGGTCGTTGGCTTGACAATGGGTTCAAGAATTGGCAGCCCGATGGTATGTTCCGAGTCGTCGATTTCTGATTTAGCAGAGATGTGACTGAATGTGTCTAGGTTGTATGCTGCATGTCTATCAGCCAAAGGATGCCGGAACATGTCTCGCTTCTCGCCATGCTGTCTTCATTGGAGACTCTGTCACCAGGAAGTTGTTTTTTCAGTTCTCGAATATCGTCGATTCCAGCCTGCCCACCGCACCTCCCGACGACGATCTCAAGCACACCGACCATCTCCTTGTTTCCAAGTCAGGCGTCCGACTGTCTTTCTATTGGGACCCTTTCCTAAACTCATCACATCTCGACGACGCTTTGTTTGTTCGAGGTCCCATTCAGACACCATCAGGCGCACCTTCGGTTGATCGTCCGGCGTTGCTCGTTCTTGGCTCTGGCCTCTGGTATTTGCGCTATTCATCCACATCTGGAGGTCTTTCTGCATGGGAGGCAAAGATGGAGTCTGTGTTGGATTCTGTATCCAGAGGACGCCATCATCTCGCCGACGAGACTGTAATTCTTCCTATCGAGGACGTCGTGGTAGACAAGCTATCCCATGAGCGGGCGAGCACCATGCTTGCCTCCGACAGAGATGCAATGAACTCCGACCTGTATCACAGAATACACCCCTCTTCTGGAGATTTTCTCTCTTTCTTCTCGTCCTCTCAGCTAAAGCCACCTGCATCGCTGCCGATAGTATTTAATGAGATGCTTGACCCCTCACAAACCGAGGACGGTCTGCATTTCTCAGACGCTGTTGTCAGGATGCAGGCAAACGTCCTTCTCAACATGCGCTGTAACGATGAACTGCCAAAATACTTTCCCCTCGACAAGACCTGTTGTAGGAGTTATCCATGGCCGTCGATCCTGCAACTCATCATACTTGCCGCCGTGATCTTGTGGGGACCCTACTCGTGGTTTCTTTCATATAGACTGGGTAAGGCTTGCTTCCTGTCCTGACTTCCTCTCTTTTTGAAACGCCTCTCCAGGTCCGAAATACACTGGATCCTCGCTCATCAGAGAAGAACAAATGCCCTCCTTAATATTCAGCGCTGCCATTGCCATTATCTTCTTGGCCGACCGGACGGGCTTTTGGTTGAAAGAACAGAAGCAGTTCGATGCGTGGACATTTGGTTTCCTCAACATTCTCGGCTTAGCCATTGGTCTAGCAACCATCAAACGTGCAGACAAGGATCTAGGCTTTTTGAACAGGGAACAGACCGATGAGTGGAAGGGGTGGATGCAAAGTATGTACAGCTCAGACCCCAATCTCTTGCATGATCGCTGATTTTCTCGTTAGTTGCCATTCTCATCTACCATTACTTTGGTGCGTCGAAAGTGTCTGGCATCTACAACCCGATCCGTGTCCTGGTCGCTTCCTACTTGTTCATGACGGGTTACGGTCACACGACTTTCTACATCAAAAAGGCCGATTTCAGTTTCTTGCGGGTTGCCCAAGTGAGTTTTTGTAATCGTTCGGGACTTGATCAAATGTGACTGATGCTTCGTTTCAAGATAATAGTTCGACTGAATTTGTTCACACTCCTCCTTGCGTATACTATGGACACAGACTATATATCCTACTATTTTGCCCCTCTTGTTTCGATGTGGTACCTTATCGTCTACGGCACCATGGCTATCGGGTCCCACTACAACGATCGCACTATCGTCTTAGTATCCAAGATTCTGCTCTCAATGGGCCTCGTCACCTGGTTCATGAAGGACCCATGGTTTCTGGACACTCTATTCCAATTCTTGGAGAGATTCTGTTCCATCCACTGGTCTGCAAAAGAGTGGGCGTTCCGCGTCAACCTCGACCTTTGGATCGTCTATTTCGGCATGTTCAGTGCCTTGGCCTTCATCAAGATACGCGAACACCGTTTAACAGATCATCCGCGCTGGCCTCTTGTCGTGAAGGTCGCCGTGGTCCTCTCAGGCATCACCATGCTCTGGTTCTTCGCATTCGAGTTATCCCAGCCAAACAAGTTCGTGTATAACACCTGGCACCCCTACGTCTCATTCCTCCCTATCTCTGCCTTCGTTGTCCTCCGCAATGCCAATCCGGTGCTTCGCTCGGCTTCTTCAAAAGCCTTCGCATTCATCGGCAAATGCTCCCTGGAGACGTTCATCATCCAATATCATCTCTGGTTAGCAGCCGACACCAAGGGTATCCTGATGATCATACCATGGACGAGATGGCGATCTGCGAACATGGCCCTCACGGCGATCACGTTCGTCTACATCAGCCACCACGTAGCGACCGCCACCGGCGAGGTCACCGCTTGGATCTGTGGGACGGCCAACGCGAAGAAAGCGCTGCCGACTACGACGGAGCCGTCCACCAGCAGCCGCCACGATCGCGATGGGTCGTATAGCCCTTCGCCGGAATCCGTGCCCTTGACAGCCCATGGAGGTCCATCATCGTTGGTACCGAAGGACTCTGACGCCGAAGCGTCCCTTCCGGATCCTCCGCAGACGCCCATCCGCCCCAGATGGGTGGATCGGCTGGCAGAGGGCTCCACGCAGCCGACGCCTGGCTTTCGTGTGTGGTACGGAGATACAGAATGGCAACCAGGGGTGAAGACCAAAGTTGCCGCTGGGGTGGGATTAATGTGGGTGTTGAACATTCTGTGGCCACATCCCGTGTAGACACCGTCATGGCGTGGAAGAGCTCCCGTGCATGACTGATGATTTTGGATACATTGATCGTGTACCCTCATCGTACCTTTATCCGTATAATGCATCGCAACCTCATACCTTAAGGACAATACCAGGCAATCAAAAGGCGCGCGGCTTTGGACAAAGTGCATTGAATGAATCAATTTCATGAACATATATTTAATTGCATTTCAACACGAGCCCCATGAAAATACTACTACAGACCTAGTAGAGATGTATGAGCAATAAATCAAAGGGAGCACAGTGACGATCATTGGGTTGAAGACATGTAAAATTGTGACATCAACCTGGACGATGTCCAGGTCAGAAACATAGAATAATCATATAAAAACGATCTTTAAGAAACTCACAAAAAAACACCAACGCTGGTTGGTGTCAAAGAAGAAGGGACGAGGAACAGAACTGGGGGAGAAGATGGTCAGCAAAGGATATCAAGAAAGGGAGATGATGAGAAAAATCAGTATTAGCATGGTATTCACTTCAAACGCTCATCCTTTAGATGGCGTCAGGGCTTGACTTCTATTTTATTCGATCATATAAAAATACGAAGGAGAAAAAAACTCACGGGTATCCTAAAGAGACGACCATCGAAGCTTGAGAAAGTCGGCGTCAGCAAGATGCATGCGAGGAGCGAAGATGAAAGCTCAGAAATTTGGGTATAGATGATTACAGTTCATGAACCAGATGGTTTCGAAGTAGCGATTCATTCTTTGACTCGTCACCGCGAGCGGGCAGAAAGTAAACAACTCACCTAGAGGGAGGGGAGAACGGACATGATGGACGACGATTCAACAGAAAAAAAGATCAGCTAAAAAGGCGAAAAGGGCCCACGTGATGCCACTTTAGGGCGGGGCTGCACGGGAGTGGCGCTGCGCCGCGTTGTGGGATCGGAACGGCCTTGGCGAGGATTGCCTCCTGCTCCTGAACTCCACCAGCAGCTTGCGACGCTACGAACATGGCAAACGTGATACACCCCCATCCCCAAATCGACCTCTACCCTGGCCCCGTCAACCTCACTTCTTCGCCTTGCGGATTTGGCTTCGGTCTGTCCTCCTCCTCCCTGATGAATTGGCCGACGCCAGGCACACACGGGGCGTTCACGCACTCCGCCACAATACAACCGCTTGCGTCAACCCTCGCGCAGCCCGCTCGCACACTCAAAAGACGACACGAACACGACGACGAGCATGAGGGCGGTTCTACAAGGCATCATAGTCCGGGTGCGAAGGACGTTGCGATGGACAGGAGCCCCACGCCTGAGCGACCTAAACGGGCCGTGCCCAAGCGCGCGCGCACGACACTTGCGGCATCGGGCTCGAAAGATAATCAGAATAGCAAGGAAAACAAGGCATCAGGATCGGAAGATAACGATGTGGATGTAGGCGTGCTGCTCGGTGAGTTTCCTGTCGTTGTTCTCGTTACAAGACAGGTATCGACGGCGTGATATCCACAGCTAGCCTCCCGCCACAATCACTACTTCCGCTCCTGAATGCTCTCGTGTCGCATCAGCCATCCCTGAAACCGCTCGTGTTATCGCTCATACCCCGTCCCTCTCTCGAAACCGCCATACAGGCGCTCGCTCAATGCGCCAAGAAACTTCGCGACGCGTACCCCTACTCCAACAGCACCCACAACGCCTTGCCGACATCGCTCGGCTTTGGTTTTGGTTCAAGCTTCAACAGCCGGCAAAGCTCGCTCGGAAGTTCTCCGATAGGCTTTGGCCGCCCATCGCCGACGCCGCAGCCATCAGGGTTCAGCACGCCATCGGGCTCGGACTCGAACGGGGGCATGCGCGAAGAGTACATCGTTTCCCGCCTGCGCCCTCACATTAACGAGTTTGTGTCCGCATGTCTCGCGTACCTCCCATATTTCTCGTACCTTCCCGCGCCGACGTCGCATCCCATCTCACTCTCCCAACCAGCGACACCGAATGCCTCGCTGCCTCAGCCCAAGGAAAGACCGCACCCGACGGAGACGTTCCAGTTCCTCTCGACGCTGACGACGCACGTCCTGCAGCAGCCTCCGCTCGCGCAGGCGTCGCTAGCCCCGGCGTTGCTTCCGCGGCTGCTCGCCGAGTGGAGGGCGTGGATCGATCGCGTGGATGAAATCGTGAACAAGGAGGGCGGCATGTTTGGCGGGGAGACCGTGCGCGCGTGGGAGCGGGACCTCGACACGTTCGCGGAGGCCAAGGGGCACGGACTAGAGGCGTTCAAGGAGATCAGGGATCGGTGGGTGGGGAAGGTGGGCTGGCTGGTGGGGCGAATGCTGCAGCCGATGATGGAAGTATAGAGAGGCCTGTCGCTCTGCAGCGTGGGGACACGAGATGTCGCGTCCATTGAATTGCAATATTGTCGTCGGTCACCGCATCCATCGTTTCTCATGCTTCATCACACACACATACATGCGCTCGCGACCGTTATTGATACCATCCTACGCTCCTTTTGGTTTTTTGTGTTATTTTTGTCATACGTTTATCACGACTCTCAAATGAACGGATCGTGCGTGTAATACGCTGTAATACGAGTACGAGAAGCCAGAGGCCATTCCGGGACCATTTGCCGGATGGGGCAGCCGACTGGTGTTGATCCGTATTTGGTCCGTGGACCTGTGCACCTCCAAGTTTTGGGCTGTCGCTCGACGCAAAGGCTCCCACCGACATTTGCTGTCTCCTTCGTCTCCCGTTCTGTCCCATGCATGATTTATCATGCGACTCGCTTGAAGACCGCCGCTCCTCTCGTCGCCCACTGTCCTCCCCATTTTCGGTCCTTCCTGCAAGAGGCTGCCGCGCGCGCCTACGTGCGTGTACGGTCGTACCACTCCACCTCCTCCCATCGATCCGCAGATGCTGGGGGAAGCAGCGCGGGTCGCGCGCCGTCCTCGCGCACCCATGACGCACCCAAGACGCGGTGCGCCGTGATCCAACTTATATATCTCTGTTTTGTGGTCGTGACGTTTCAACCATTTGTATTCATCAGGCCTGTCGTCTCGCCCCTCAGTGTTTTTGCCGCATTTCGAGGCCAGCAAAGACGTGCGCCCTCCGAGGCGCGCCAGGCCCCTTCTGCACCTGTGCCCCACCCGTACGCGTCGGCGGATCCACCCGAAAGCATTCCCGCACGCACCTATGACCTGTCGCGGAGTCTACCCTGGAGACAGGAAGGCATGAGGCCAGTGAAACACGCTCGATGGAGCGGCTCCACCCCAACTCCCTCCCGTCGTGCCCCCCGTCGCGACCCACGAGCGAGGGGCGTGGGCGTCGCCGGGTTCATCGACCCCGAGGATCTCGCGGACGCCGACGTGGATTTCGACCTTGACCCGGGGCGCGCGCGCGCGTTCATCTCCGAGGCCGCGGACGACGACGCGGGCGCGCCAGACGCGTGCGACATGCGCGCTCCGCGCCCGCCCCTCCCTCTCGTGCGCGCAGGTCCCTTTGAGACGTACGCGGGGCGGGTCTCGGACCCTTTGGCGCGGGCGTCGTTGTTTCGGCGGCTGCTGTCCATGCTCACGACCTCGCCCCCGGCGTCCCTGCAGCGGCTGTTGGAGTACCACGACGCGCACCCCGAGTCGCATTCGACGCGCGCGCTGAACCTGCTGATCGCGCTCGCGATCCGGCACACGGCGTTTGGGACGGCGCGGAGGCTGCTGGACCGGTTCGAGGCGCTGGGGATGAGGGGGAACGACGAGACGGTGAAGCTGCGCGTGAGGCTGCTGGTGCGGGAGGACCGGTGGCCGGACGCGTGGGCGCTGGTGATGGGGAAGGAGGACGTCAGGAACGGGGCGGGGCGGCATACGCTGGAGAAGGTGTCCGTGGCGGTGTGGGCGGAGTTGCTGGGCACGCCGAAGCGGGGTGCGCGACGGGAGCGGAGACGGGAAGGCGGGTTGAAGATGCGGCCCGTGAAGCGGGTGGATGGCGGGCTGCGGGACGTGGAGCGGTACGAGCTGGTGATGAGGCAGATACCGAACCTGAGACGGACGGGGAGGCCGCCTGTGCGGGTGATCTCCATGGCGGTGGAGGCGTTGCTACGGATGGGTAAGCGGGAGGCAGCGCTGGAGGTAATGACGGAGTGGCTGGGGCGGGAGAAGGCGGAGACGGGGCTGCGGCTGGTGCATTTGTACCTCGCGCTCCGGGGGTCGAAGCGGGGGGTGCAGAGTTTTTACGAGGTGCTGCGGGAGCTGAACGGGCTGTTGGGTGCGTTTGGGTCGGTGCGGCCGAACGGGGGCACGCTGTTTCTGCTGCTGGGGCATCTGCGGCGTGCGACGAGGTGCGGGACGCTCGCGGAGCGGGTGGCGCGAGGGTTCCAGCGGCGGTGGGGGTCGAGGGTGGTGAGCGGGCGGGTGCGAGGGCGGATCGTGGCGCTCGCGGCAAAGGAGGGCAGGCAGGACATCGTCGAGCGGTGGGCGGCAGGCGGGGAGATGGCGCAGCGAGCCGGGCGGCAGTGGAAGCGGCAGGGAGAGGTGGCGGGCACCGGCACGGGGCGGCGGCGAGTCGCGCGACCGCGGCTGGGGCTCGTGTACGGCAAGCGGGGGACCGGGACGATCCGGGAGGCAAGGGCGCTGCAGAGGATGGCGGTGGGGCGGGGGGCGGGGCGTGCATGTGCCGGACGGAGCGCGCACCCACGCAGACGGCTCGGGGGGCAGGGATCGAATGCGCGGGCTGCCACCGGGGGTCTCGGAGCGCTCGCGTCGGCGCCGCCGTGTGGAGGATCGTGTGCGCCTGGCATATATCCCGATAGGACTGGACGGCCCGCTAAGTCTGCTCCACTTCCCTTTGGCTTTGCCAGTCCCCACCCGTCGGGGACATCGGGCAGCTTCTCGACTTCTCCCACCGTCGTCGCCTCTCGATCCCGCCTCCTCCCAACCCGTCCGCCATCCGCTCCGATTTATTAATTAACCTCAATTTTGGCCTCCTTCATTCCCCTTCCGCTTCCTTCCTCTTCCGTCACGTCTTCCACGTCCGACAGTGTTTCACGCACCCAGACCCAGATCCGCCTCCTCTCCTCCATCTCCCCGCCGTTCCCCTTGCGTATCCCGCATCTCCGCATCCGGCCCCTCCATCATTCCACGTCGCCCAGTTTGTCCTTTCCTGAGTCTTCCCAAACTCCGTCCAGATCCTCTCTGCCACAATCTCAACCTTCTCCCTCTCTCTCCCTCTCTCCCCATCAACGTCAGCACCCTCTTTCATCCCCGCCCCTTGGCTAAAGCCCCGTCTAGCCTGCCCGTCGTAAGTACGATGCACATCTCTCGTGGATCAACTCTTTTTCTTTTCAAATCCGCGACCGCTATTACTTACTCGAGATCCAAGATGTCCGATGACCAACGACCTCACCCTCCCCGCGGTCTCTTCAATCTTGTTTGAAACCCTGTCAGATCACCGCCTCTGGCCCTAATGCACAATCCAGCTCTCTCCGTTCACCGCCTGACGTTCCCCCAATTCACCACAAAATAAAAAGGTCGGTCTCTGTCCTCCTCAATGCAGCCCATTTTCCCCCTCGCCGATCTCCCACCCCGCTTATTTTTTTATATTATATATTCACGCTCATGTCTGCTCAGTACCGTGCCCCCACCGCTGAACAGGTCCTTTCCCTCGCCTGCGCCGTCGTTGGCGTCGGCCCAGGAGGGAGCACCTCGATGCTGGCGTACGTCCCACACCCCCCGCCCCTTAAATGCTCTCGGATCCGCGCTCAATCGCGCCGCCGCCCCGTTCGCAGTCGCGTCTCCATCTCGGACTATCGGGGGAACGTCCTCTTTGATTGCTACGTCGCGCCGACCGTGCCCATCACCGACTATCGCACCAGCACGACCGCGATCGAGCCCGGACACCTCCATTCGCGTACGTTTTCGCTGCTCTCGACGCTCGACTCGCCACCGCCGCCGCCGCCTGACGCCTGTTTGGTAAAAGCGTCGGCCTATAAATTTTCTCAGGTACAGCAGCACGTCGCCAACCTGATCAGAGACAAGGTCGTCGTCGGCCACTCGCTCTGGAACGACCTCTCAGGTAATGCAGCGCACGCGCCGTGATCGACGCGCCGATCCCTCGTCACGCCGAGAACTCAACCTGCTATTTCAGTGCTCGGCATTCCGCATCCCGCAGTCAACACTCGCGACGTCGCGCTCTACCAGCCCTTCCGGAACGCCCTTCGGTCCCCGAATCAGGTCATCGGCCTGCAGACCCTGACTTGGCACCTCATGCGCCGTCGGTGCCAGGACGGCCAGCTCGATCCAGTACGTTAGCGTCCCTCGCGTCTTGCATCCTTTCGCGACGCGTCCAGGATAGATAGCTGACCCGCCGCGGTGTTTTTACTCGACTCGCTCGCGTCTGCGCCTCGACCACCGTCCATCGCCACCACGCTCGCGTCGCGCAGCTCGAGAACGCCCGCGCCGCCCTAGACCTGTATCGGTCCCACGCTACTGAATGGGAAAAGGCCATCAGCGACGGCCATTGGCCTTCTGCACTGCCTCCGAGCACGTTTTCGCGCTGCTATCTGTAAGCGTCCTTGCCGCGACGCTACGACACGCTTGGCCCTCGAGCAGGGATGGCAAGGCAGCATCGGGTGTTTCACTCCAATTTCATATCATATACGGATTCCTCTGGCGCATAATATTCTAGAACCCCCCCCCGTTGTTCCTAGCTGGGGTTCCTCCGTAATGGATCGAGAGCCGCCATATTCATCTCATCCGGGGGCTCGACGCTCGTCTCTGCTCTCTCAAACTCGTAATTTGCAATTAGAGCTTAAATGTTGTAAAGCTTATTTGTCAGAGTTCCCCGTGCCCTTCCCGATCCGATGTAGACTTGCCGCGTAGATGTCTAGTAGTATAGAGACCTTTCGCCGAACTGTCCTCCCAACTATATTGCTCACCATAGTCTTACCTGTAACTTTCCGTACATATATAGTCGAATCTACCGCCGTCCTGTGTCCATAGTAGACGCATCATATATCGTATCGTGCCCTGGTGCCGCTTTTTGATTCCCACCTCGAATGCATCCGCCCAGGTAACGTTCTGATCCATCTAAGATCGCCACGCCATCGGCGCACAGCCTCGCCAATACAAATACGAATGACATCGTGCGTCACTGTCGAGTCTGCAGAAATAAAAAGAAGCACCGTGAGCGCCCGGTCGACAGTGCCACCGTGCTGCTTCTTCCCCTGGTCGCCAAAGTACTGACCTTTTCGGCGTCTAGATTGCGCATGAGGCCTTCGTACACGAAGAGCGCGCACGCGTTGGAAGGGAACGCGCGAAGCAGGCTCGTGCCCAGGCCGGCGTAGAACCCACGAGCCCCCGACGTGCGATAGACGCTGAGGACGGCGGTTGTAAATGATGGCGGTCGCGTTGAGACCGGCGTGGCCATGATTCGGCTGCAGTGCGTGAGACGGAGAAATGTATGAGCGCGTCGGAAGGTTCGCACGTGAAGATTCGGACGACTGACTTTTTGACGTTATCGGTGGGAATGGCCATGACCCAGTACACGAGCGAGGCAAGGCCGCCGGACATAAAGTTTGCATGACCCACGCTCATCTGGAGTCAGAGAGAAGCGCACGCGGGGTTTTCGCATTACAAAACGGGGGAAGGAGACGAGGGCGGCCACCCGACGTACCTCGAACGGCGTGCCCTCGAGCTTCGCAAAGGCCCGCATGAAAGCCTAGAGAGTCGGCTTCGGGCTCCAGCCTCGCACGTCACACGTAAAACTTGAATAGGACTCGAACCTCGAACGAGCCAAACATCCACAAAAAGTTGCATCTGTATATCAGGCTAGACGGCAGCGCAGTCCAGAGGCCCCGAGCGCCGCGCGCCTGCACGATGCATCGCGCGCAGTCAAAAGGCCCTTTGAACTGGCGCTCTGCGGCGTTGCTCTGCAGCTGCATCTGCAGTTGTACCTTCAGCAATTCCATGGGTGTGGCGAGGAATGTGCTGCCGTTAGGAACGAGCAACGTGAGAGAAATCAAAGTATATGTGAGCGATCGTCAACGCGCCAGGGGCTTGCATCTCGAGTACCTTGTGAGCCCCGCAAACAGGCCGGCGATGCCGTGGGCGGCGAGCGTCAGCCTTTTGGCGTCGGAGCCGGGTATGCGCTCCGTCATTCCATGCCGGAGAAGGAACAGCCGATAATTATGCAGCGAGCCTAGGAGGACGGAGTCTATGACCGCCCATCCAAGGGCCGGAGGGGTGACCCCTTTGTAGAGCGCAAATACCGACTGAGTACTTGGACGTAAAATCAGAAAGGTGATAAGAGTCGAGGGGCGGGTCTCGCACCTCCTTGCGGACCGTCTGCAGAAGGCAATCGATGGCGCCACGATAGGTTCCAGGCGGCGAGCATTGGAGTCGCGTCTTGATCGTATCAAATCTTAAAAGAAAATGCGGCGTGAGCCTAAAGAAAACTTACTGTATTTGTGTGCGCATACGCTTGTTCAGGCCTCGAACATACGTGGAAGCGAGCGGGACGCACCTGACTAACGGCCTCGAAGCCTACCCATGACCGACGGCGACCTGTGACGGAGTTCATGTTCAACGCCGTGAACGCGATGGCGATGGAACTTTTTCAATGGTACCTTCGTAAGGCCTTGCGATACTGTGAGCCCGTGGCGCGAGACGCGATTGAATGTATCACGCACCGCTTCCTATACCCGCAAATGCACCAGAGAATCTGAAATGGCTGTCCAAGCCTCCCGACGACGATTGGTTCATCCAAACCAAGTATCAGTTCAATCCAGCTCGCACTCCAGGAGTTCCCCAGGCAAGCGCCGTCACGTGTCACCCCATGCAGTATGATTCGTGGTTGCTGACCGAGTCTGACGTGTACTCTCTTGCCTCCGACCGAGTTACGGCTCTCACACTCAAAGAGCTCAGCTACTGTGGTCTAATAGTTGCTTGGCTTGCTCGTCTACTAATGGCCTCCACGGGGGAGAATAAATCGCCGTCGAGCGATCAGTCGGACGAGAGACAGTGTCGGATATGCTTGGATGGCACGGACGATACGCTAGGACGCCTCATTCGTCCTTGCCTTTGCAAGGGCTCCATCAGTGTATGTCATTTTGCGCTGAAATTGATTTGTTCGTGCCATGATCTGTCGCGCCGCTTTACGCATTCAGTACGTGCACGTCAAGTGCCTCCAGCGCTGGCGCAACTCGTCTCCTACGGCGTCAGCCTTTTTCACCTGCCCCCAGTGTCATTACCAATACCGATTCGCTCGCACTCAGATAGTGGGGCTCGCGACTAACCCCGGTGCGCAGTACTCTGTGCGTCGCCACACCCCAAACCGCCCTCTGACGTTTTACCAGTCGTCATCGCCGCCCTCTCGACCGTCTTCTTCGTCCTCCTCGTCCTTGCGTCATCCACCATCACGACCACCTTCATATCCGCATTTGACGATACCTATGACTCCGAACCATCGTACTCCTATTGGTCGCTCTCCTCGTACTGGTACAACCCGATTGACGTCGGCCACGACCTCGTCCGCGTGGGCCTTCGCATCATTCAAGATGAATCTGGCGGGCTCTTCGATGCCGATACCCTATTCTCCACCCGCGCCCAGGCGGAAGGCTCGCTCGAACCACCGTCTCCTCCAGGAATCATGAAGCGCCTCTTACGCCGCTTCGTTTTAGGGCTACCCGTCGTCGGCGCCGGCTCGCTCGTGCATATGCTCCTTTCCCTTCCGTTGCTGACACCCGTGCATTGGCTCGCACGCTTTCGAGGCGGAAGGAGCAGGCGCAACTCAGGCTCCCGCGACACGGCGGCGGTCGTCATCATCATTTTGTTGATTGTCGGTGTTGCGAGGTCAGAGCATTTGTTCCCGCTAACGAAGCCAAGATCACAACTCAGGCTCCGTGTCTATCACTCATGACGTGACTTGTGTTACAGGGTGCTCTACAAGGTCTATCGACTGACGGAGAACTTGTCCAAGCGGATCCTGCTCCGTGCCGAGGACATCATCCTCGAGGTCGGCCAGGTTTGATACCCCCACCATCTGCTTGCGCGTCGTCGGCCCCCATTGTCGTGTCTTCGTCCGCGAGCGCGAGCGCGCTCGCATCTCGCAGATGGAGTGGGGCTGTTTTGACTTATTTATTTCGCGCGATGTTTCGGGGTTTCGTACTCGTTCTCACAATCTTCTGACCCAGCTCTGTTGTACACTACTGCCACACGGCCTGTTACCTTGGACCGACGATCGGGATAGAATGTAAAATTGACGTCGCATTTTCAGAGCGATGTCGGATGCATACATATGTGTCCTGCTGAGTTTTAGCTGAACGATCTTATCCGAGATGAGTTGTCCATAGAAACTGAACAGTATCTCCCAGAGGCATGACATTGCCTGCGCTTGACTTCGATCAAGGGTGAGTCACCAAGTTTTGTTCCTGTATCATTGTAGGTCCGAGGTGGCCGTAGTATGGGCAGTGGTATATTTTTATACAGCATTCCTTACATTTTAGACTGCCATTCAGTCTACAGAGTGACTGGACCGACGGACATCACCAATTCCGCCGAAGCTCGCGTCGAATGCTCTCGTACCCCTCACGGGTGCCCTTCCACGCGTCGTCTTTTGACAGCTCCCGAAGATATACGTCCACCGCCGAATCGATGCGGTTGACGGGGAAGTATTCGCTGGACGAGCGCTTCGCGGCCTCCAGCCAATCCTGCATGAGAATGCAGATAGCAGCGGAGAGTGTATGGACGGCCTCTTGCGTAGTGAATGGTGGTATCTGCGAATCGGAGCGCGCTCAGCGAGGTGTTTTTGCGGATAGAAAAAAGCCGAATTTCACCTGGGAGTCATACATCTGGTGTAGGACGTCCCATGCTTCTGCATATGGCACCCCACATTGGACCAAGATTCTCGGAACCCAGCCGGGGGAAATGGCAGCCGCATTTACTAGTTGGAACCTTACGAGGAGGAGGGCAATATGTCCTGGGAGTTCATGTGAACTTCACTCAAAATGTGTTCCGTAATGTCATGGCTCACGGAATGGGAATGCGCAATCTGACGGATGGAATCGCTGGCCTAAGGGAACTATGTCGGATTGAAGCTTGTCCGCGGCTTCAGCAGGAGCGACGCCTTGTGTATCTGAAGAGAATGAGACACGGTTCAAGAAATTGAAAGAAAAAAAGTAGACACATACCTTCTTCAATCAGACGATCCCAGATCCCACACAGCAATTTCTCGTCTCGATGCTGTGAGACGTGAAAAATAAGGAGTTTGGCCACGCCCAGATCATATGGGTCTGCATAGACCTGAAACAGCTAAATAAAATTTCCAATCAGTCGGGGTCGAACAGGAATATAACAGACATACTTCGGTAATGTTGTATAATCCACGCTCTAACAAGCCAACCTTTTGCTTGAAGCCCTCGTCCTCTGATTCTTGGACGCGGGGTAACAACATGCTGTAGATCTCAAGCTGCACCTGGGCGACATCAAGCTTCTCCTCAAGCTCTGTGAGGAAGGCAATGGCAGACTCATGTTGACCGCCGACGGAGACAGGATGTGACTTGGCATTGCCAACGGCGAGGGTGAGATATTCGAGACGCTGAGAAAGTGTGAGGGGGAAGCTAAGGTATTGAGTTTAGATTTCATTTTGGAGCGCGGCGAAGGAATAATGACGAACTCGATGGATTCAGCGAAAACATTGAGGACTTGTGCTGCTCGTAGCGGCTGGCCGTCTTTAACATAAAATTGCCAGAGCAGTTGATACTTGTCCACCGTAGGGGGGTCACGTTGTAGATATGCTTCGAGGTATGCAGGGCGCATCTAAGCAACACAGCATATGTTGAGTACCGGATCACGCTCAAAAATGTGGGCAATGAGACCAACCTCTAACAATTCATCCGCCAGCCCCCGATCGATTAACCACTCATACAGACATGAGTGAAACATTTCGTCAGGGCTCGCAAACGCCAATTCATAGGCGTGAGCTCTAATCCGTTCTGCATCCTCACTCTCCTTCCCAGTCTTGCCCTCAAACGACTCCAAAGAGTCCAAAACCAAGTCATAACATCGTGCCCTCCGCTCCCAGTGCTCCTTCCGCGGATCAACGTCCGCCGAAGCAACGGCAGATGCCGAAGTAGAGGTCGCCACAGGTGCGGACGATATCTGAGGGGTACCGAGCCAATATTCTTGGCCGAGGTGATCCGAATCCGAGGCCTCCGCGCAATGCAACGGTAGTTCGACCGCACCCTTAACATACTGAAGTTGTTGGTAATCGCCAATGATTTCGCGGAGTTTTTCGAAGTCAATGATACGAGCACCTTTTATGAACAATCTAGAGGCCCAGACTCAGTGACATTGCATGATATCGAAGGACATCTTGTACGCACCTCAGCGACTCGCTCAAAAAATTTTGACGCTCCGCCGGGTTGCGACTTTCCACAGCCTTGCGGGTATTTTCCTTCGCCTAACAATGCAAAGAATGCCGTTATAACGAATGGTTGTATGACCCGAGGAGAGATCGGTACTCACCTTGTAAAGCATCACATCATCTGTGCTACAAAATGAACCACAACGTGCTTGCAAGACGTCGCTAATTGTATCAACCTGGAAAGCTCAAGTGAGACAAAAGTGAGACAAACACCCAAAAGGTTTGGATACAAAGCCCTTACCGCAATTTGTTGGCCAATCTGCTGGTCAATGACCACGTTCACCAAGGCCCGAGAGGCTGCCACACCATTCTGGCCGGTGATGAGTTCTTCGAAGGTCAGAGAAGTGATCAGCTTCTGCGTTTCTACGTCAGTTCTATAACAAGTTGGTATGAATTTCATTATACGCCGTTGATCACGAGACCATTGACTTACTGTGCGATCAGTTCTCCAATCCGATGGTCATTGAGAAGCAAAAAGAAAGAAGCGCCCTCAATCGTGCGAGCCAGAAGCGTCTGAAGCTGAGCGACTGAGTTTTGTTCAGCCTGAGAATATGGTCGCATATCAATGAACCGTCGGCATCGACACAAACACGTGAACCTCACCTTCCAGGCTTCTTGATCACTCGCAGGCGCAGCACGTGCTCCGGTATAATCAGCAGTGCCCGAATGAAAGAGATGAGGATTCTTGTCCAAAAAGTCCTTCAATGCGAACAAATTCTTTTGAACCATGAATAGAAGTTCTTCTGAGATATTTGTCTCGTGCAGACCGAGGGAGCTGTGGTGTTCACATCATTAAAGCGAGGTGTTTCGGAGAGCAAAGCATGAAACACTGTACCCAAGCTTCGTCAGCTTGCTCTTCCATACGGGCCGCACTAACCGTGCAAAATAGAGTGCAAACCCTTCTCGACGACCACTGAAAAGCGCAGTTCCCGTCCCATCACCAACGTCTATCGGTAACAAAGAAGCAGATGAATGAATTATCGGGCCATTGATGCGGTTAGACTCACTAGTCCCGTATGCTAATCGTTCAGTCCACACCGGCCGCTCGCCGCAATCATAGAATGCTTGCTTCGCGACTTTTGCGACCTCAGGCGACAGTGTCGAAACACCACTTAACGGTGAAGGGTCCGATTGATCAATGAATGTATTACCGCATGCCAGTGCGAGCAGCATTGCGCAGGTCTGATCACGACCGAAACTTACGGTGGCTTATGAGCATACGAGTCTCCGAATACAGCAAAGTTTGCGTGCATACCTGTCACGAAAATCGATAATGTTTTGCATGTTGTTCTTCGTTAGAAATTCTTCGATGACTTCCTTGAGCCAATCCATGGCGCGGCGTTTTGCAAGAATTGTAAGCCCCACGTTAGTCAAGATCATAAACTGCTTCGGCGGCTCCAAAAATTGGTAAGCCAACTCATTTGTGACGACCGGTGTCGGCGTATCCGGAGGCAGGACAGTGGTACCGACGGCTGCCTGTGCCCGAGGGACGACTGCCATGGCCCATGTGCGCCCAGGAATGGAGAGAAGAATGGCACGCTCCGTCAGAGGTGTTCTCTGTGGAGCGGACCCACTGCCGTAGATATTGTGTACATATTGCGGTTGTGGGACAGATGCTGAGCTAAAAGGGCCTATCCGCGTCAGGTCAGGCGACATGCACAGAAGGAAGTCCATTCCATCTGTATCACCGGCTTGCGCAGCTACCGTCACGCCCGCGGAGTACATTGAACGCTCCAGGCCGGAAACAATGAACGGACGCGATGCTGGTGGAGGATGTTGGTTTTGTCGAGGTGCGTAGTTTGCTGGTTGTGGGAAAGGATTCGACTGTTCGTCTGGGTGAAGGAGGTTGGGGGGCGGAAGACGAACATGTATGAGCTGAAGTGAGCGGTGACCACGTGGCTCAGTACTACTGCTTGAGTGGTAGCTGTATGGTGTAGACGATGGAGCGAAGTAAAGCCGTACACCATTCATAGTGATTGCCATGAGTTGGATGCCTAAGCGTGACTCGTTCTGTTCGATAACATGGAGTGAGATGACTCGAAATGATTGGGGCGTCAGGGCGGGTGATCCTGGGGCCTTCTCCTGGGCTAATTTGTACAGGTTGTGAATCGTCTGCAATAGGTGAATGGACTTGTCGTGCTGTGGATAGTACACAGAAACAATGCTGTTTGCAGTCAGTGTGTAGAATATGCTCCGAGGTGCGTCGGCCAACACAGATACAATGCGATCTGAATGGTGATATTCTTAGAGGGCCACGCATAATGACAGCGAACAAAGTCGAGGGATGACGAACCTTCCGAGCTCGGTGTCGAGAAAAGGGGAAAGAGATTCTTTACACCACTGATAGAGTGGTCGATCAACTGTACGCGTTTCCCAAACCACCCTTCCTTCTCCTGGTAGTGCAATTCGTACAAATGACCATCCTGCGACCCGACCATGAACACTCGTCCATCGTTCATACCGATGACATCAGTCATCTCAACGCCACATGCTATTGACATGCCGGTGTCGTATAAGTCGATCTGTTTGCGAGTTCGATTACTGGGACCAGGGACATCCGTGATAGAGAGTCCGATGAGGAGAACCGTGACGGGGGTACAGATGACTAGGACATAGTTGATGTCGTCAATGAAGACGCCTGGCTTCGCTTTTACGAGGGCAACGTGAACAATCACATCGGGTTGGTCCGTATAGGAACTCAATTCTTGGCTAAAGCATGTGTTGGTGAGACGATGCAACACGATACTATTAAAGTCACTCACCCCTCCATGTAGTCCCAAAGAAATAATTTAGAATCAATCGATACCCATACCCGCTCCAGCTCGGGAATGATGCCCATATGTGAGACAACCTCGGTGGCTTATGCGCTTGTGAGCATCCATGTGCCGAGGATATTGTTAGGTACTCACCCTTATAATGTTCCCACAATGACTCTGGAATGGTGATGAGCTTCCGCTTTTGAAACGGGACACGGGGGTCATCTGCGAATACACTGTAGGATGCTGAAGACTGCCCTCCAGCTGCACCGACGTTGTTCACAAGGTTAAACTTCAAGAAGTCAGGGCTCATGATACTGTAGAGACGTACGAATGGTCAACATATCCCCCAGGTCCGGTATTGTTTGCGCATCCTTCGCAAACTGGTCCGCTAGCACTCGGCCCGCACTCTGGAGGGTTGGTAGATCTGTAGGTACGAGTTTTGGTGCCATAGGAAGGTTGCGAAAAGAAGCGGTGTTCCCGTTTGCATTCATTGATACCTCTAAACCGTCAAAATGGCCGGAGGAGCTTAAATGTTGAGCAAAGGCCATGGGGATGTTGTTGTGGCGTGTTCAATGCGTGTTGAGGCGCTCAGCTTGTTCGCCCTCTAAACTTGACAATGACAAAAAGGAACCAAAGTGTTGACCTCGACGGCCACGTGCCACAAACCTCAACCTCGTATTGGGTCCTGAACGCCTAATGCACATGACGGCACCGCTCTTAGTTATATATCCCATCAGCACATCCTATCCGACTATCCGCTGTGGCCCACTCTCCTTTTTACTCAGTGTCGTCTGCGCTACCTCATCCTTTCTTCGAATGCCTGTCGACACACACCACTATAACGATATCCTCAACTCTGCCATTATCACCATCAGTGGCGATGCCTTCCATGCAGACCTCCCCAACATAGACAAGGACGCCTGGTCTGCTATTCTGTACCCAAAGAGCGCGAAGGATAAAGATGAGAATCAGCGTCTCGAATTTCTAGGTGATGCAGTCATGTATCTTTGCATTGGTCTTGAGTTGTATGAACGTTACCCCGACGCCACGCCACACTTTCTCACTGTACGTCGAATAAATTCTTTGTCCAATTTCATTGAGATCAGACTTTAATATCAGGCGCTACGCCAACCACTTCTCACAAATCTTGTGTTTTCCATGTTGATTGAGAAAATGGATCAGCGGGCGGCAAGGTCTTGTTCCATCTTAGAACAATTCGCAACACTGAGGAAGCAAGCATGGATTACGGCGAAGCAGGTCCGGGCGAGGATACCGAAGAGTACTGTGAAATCTGTGGCAGACACTCTGGAGATGGTCATTGGAACCGTCTTTCTCCACGGCGGTCTCAAGCCTGTGCGCGACTGGGTGTCGGAAACTTATGGCACGGTGATCACCGAAGCAGTGAAGGTCTGGTATAACTGGTGAGCTATCTGGTACTTTCTGTGCCACATTCACAGAATATTGTCAACAGCAAGAACCCGGGTGACGCGAGCCCTAGCAAAAAAAGGAAACGCGAAGACGATATTGAAGCCCATGAGACCCCATGTTCCAAAAAACGCAAGAAATTGAGCATCGAAACGTCGAAGTTAAAGACACCGAAGCCGAAGACACCGAGTAAGCTGGACTCTTTTTCATTGCCCGCGCTTATGTCGCAACTTATCTCAACTTCGAAGAATCATGGAAAGAGCGCTCGCACAGAAGTCCGACTCGTATCATCTATACTCCTGTCCATCATAAGAAATCGTTGCCTTCGTCATCTGGCCCTGCCGTGGCTCCGCCAAATCGACCTGTGCCCATCATCATCGACCTTACAAACGACGATGACGACTCCGATGAGGATGACGACGGCACTGTGGATGCTGAAGGGCCAACTTTCAATGTTCCCATATGGATTGACCTTACTCACGACGAAGAGGAAGATGTTTCAAGGGCCCAATCCTCAAGCGCTGCACTTGATCCATCTATCTCCCGGACATGCGATGATGACTTGAACGCCGGTATTGCCAACAACATTCACAAGGGTACCATCATAGCGAATGCGCAGGCTAGTTCGAGCAGATCGCAGTATGTGACAGATACGTTGGTCAGTAACACCCATGAATAATACATACATATTGTCGCACATTAATAACATTTTTATGTTGACTAGCCTGGCCTTTTGTTCCGCCACACCGGGAAGCCGAGCCCACTTGGCCTACACTCGATGAATCTGCCACCTCTGTTGCCACACAGATCTGGCGCCGAGCGCGAAGGCAATATCTACACGTCGAACCACATGCCATCCGCGAACCCTTATGACGAAGAGTATGACAGTGACTACGAGCGTCTCTACAGCGACCACACTGCAAAGCATCGACAGGAGTCAAGCAGGAGCGATGACGATGATTCGGATGTTGAGCAGGTTGTCCATGATCTCTCGCTGGACTCCGATAAATGCACCTAGGACACCTCTTTTGGTCTACTTTGAGCTCCACCATGAGCAAGATGACCCATAGCGACTGGATGTGCTTGCCAGCAAACCTTATATATGCTTACGTCCAGTTACGAACGTGCATTGCTACTGCCTACGCCGTTTGGACTCTTATATCCCCGAACGGAGCCCGTTATCTCTTCAAATGCCACACTATGTCTCCTGCATGCCCCTCTTTCCCTCAATCACCCATCCCACCCGTCGTCCGTAAGCTAGTCATAAACTAGCTGTCTTCGATCTGTAGGCACTACCTGAGCGTCCATGCTTGGGGCTCGTGCTTTGTTCTTATTCCCGCGGATTTACTACAACATTCTTTGTCCAGCGTCAGGCCCCACATCGGATTGTAATCGTCAAATGTACTGTATTCCCTATACACGAGCCTCAACAAGTTTTATGTTGATTTTCTCAAAAACATATGAATTTATATAGAGCTAAGAGAGCTTCCCTAAGAACATATATCTCTCCGAAATTGTTGAGGTCAGACTCCAACTCAATTTTCTTCGCTCCAAGAGCTTAGGAGAGGATCCGTGCGCCTGAACGCGCTAAATCACCAGATGGCTGTCGTTCGAAGAAATTCCCGTCATTTTTATGTTTATTTTGGATTCCGTGTGAAATATCGAATTGAGTCAGGTGACGAGACGCGTTGCAGCAGAAAGACGCGCTGCTTCCGCGCGTTGGAGTCGTTGTCTAGTTTTTGTCAACCTCTTCTCCAAGTTATCTTTTCAAAGTTCCATGGCACCTACGAAAACGAAGAAAGCACCCACTCGGCAGGCCATCACACTCAAAGGATCCACGAATCTCGTCACAGAGTTTTTCAAATATGCAGTGAACACGTCCGTTTGAGCCACTGCTGTCCTCTAGCCTGAATAGCATCTCATATGATGCCTCTCGTAGGATACTGTTTCAACGAGGAGTATATCCGTCTGACGACTTCCACATGGTAAAAAAGTATGGACAGACGGTGTTGGTCACGCAAGATCTTGCATTGGAGAACTATCTCGACAAGTATGTCCGTCCTTGATTCAAGCCACGATGAAGAGCAACTGACACTGCTTCTGTTCAGGATCCTGAAACAAGTAAACAGTCAGTCGGAGGGTTGTGGGCGTTTGATAGACATTGACCATGACTCCTATACACAGCCTGGCTACTCACGGGTGCAGTGACACAACTTGTGGTGGCCATAATTTCCAAGGATACACGGACGCCACTCGAGCGCTGGGTTTTTGATATCAATCTCGTGCAGCAATCATCCGACAAAAGCCCTGAGGCGTAAGTCACGAACATGTCATTGATTTTAGCTGACCGACAACGCGACTCAGGGCACCCCCGCCCGCCAAGCCGGAGGCAGATATTCAAGCAGAGATCCGGTCCATCCTTAAACAGATTGTTTCGACCGTCACATTCCTTCCCATAATCGACGAGCCGACAGTGTTCAACATCCTCGCGTATACTTCTGAGTCGGCCGACGTGCCCGCGGACGAATGGGTTGACACGGACCCTCTGGCGATCGAAGCTAGTAAAAGCCAGCAGGTGAAGTTGCGGAGCTTCAGCACAGATGTGCATCGGATCGAGGCTATGGTGGCATATCGGTACGAGGAATGAGCGCGAGGTGACATATCATTTGATTGAACCGACGGAGAGGAATGATGGAGTTTCGATGGAGTTTCGTTTTGATATCATAAATCATTTCTTAGAGTCATACGAGTGTCCTGTATGTGTTCGGGCTACAATAATTCGCCAACTGACGATGCGGTCTGAGTGGTTTGCTGGTCAATATTTTCGGGTTGAACATTGTCGTCGCCTGCGGAAGACACTGACAGCCACTGACAAGTGCAGGTGTTGCGCGTGGGAGTAGATCAGTAACGATCATCGCCATGACCACCGGCCATAATGGGCTGTACGGCGGCTGGTCACAGGCCCCTGATACATACATAATCATCAATCGTCCCTTGACCTTTCGCTCGTAGCAGGCTATTTCTCTTTCTCTTCTCTACACTCGTCTTCGTCCTATTGCTTGTCTGGCCGGACCCGGACGCCGCTCTTTATTATTTCTAGCTGCATACAAGTACACGCTACTCGTGGACGATGGGCGAAAATTGGTTTCAGAGGGAGCTGTTCAGTGCGAGGCGTCTCCTTTTCAATATCCTCTTCTACGGATCGCATCTCGCTTTGTTCGCATATGGCTGGCACAGTCAGGTATGGCGTAAAGTACTCGAGACACGCATAATCCGTTCGAATTTACCACTATCCAGGAAACGAACAAGAAGCTCAGTGCCCTGAACGGGCTTAAGTTTTCCGTATGGGTCTCTCGTGGTGCTGGGCTCGTCCTGGCCTATGATGGCGGCCTTATTCTCCTGCCTATGTTGCGCAACATCATTCGCGTCATTCGTCCCAAGCTTGCTTGGGCATTCCCTGCCGACGAGAACATCTGGTTCCATAGACAAGTGGCGTACTCCATGGCCTTTTGGGCAATGCTTCATACTACCGCTCACTACGTCAATTTCATTAACGTTGAGCGCACTCGTACGTATGATGCTAGTACAATTGTGTGTCGACTCTCTGATGTAGTAATTTCCTACAGAGGTTCGCCCGGAGAGAGCCCTCGACATTCACTACACTCAGGCTGGTGGTATCACAGGTCACTTTATGCTCCTCATCATGCTCTTGATGTACACCACTGCCCACCATAAGATTCGCAATCAGTGTTTCGAGGCATTCTGGTACACGCATCACCTCGCCTTTTTCTTCATGCTCGGCCTCTATACCCACGCGACAGGATGCTTTGTCCGTGACACGGCGAACCCTGACTATATCCCCACCTTCCCCTTCTATTCCACACAGCACTGTCTTGGATACCTGAGCTGGAGGTACACCATCTGGCCTGGTATCATCTACTTCGGGGAGCGTATGTACAGAGAATATCGTGCTAGGCGGGCGACCAGGCTGTCTAAGCTGCTTGTTCATCCCAGTGGTATGTTTCGGTATCCGATTAAATAGCAACCATCGCTAATGATTGTACATAGGTGCAATGGAGCTTCGTATCATCAAGCCAAGCTTCAAATATACGTCCGGTCAGTGGCTCTTTATCCAAGTTCCGGATGTCTCCCGCTGGCAGTGGCACCCCGTATGTCCATTGATCATTGACCATTGCTGTGTCCTCCGGTCTCACTCTTGTCGCGCGGTTTCATCTTTAGTTCACTATCACGTCAGCCCCTGAGGACCCCTATGTTTCAGTCCACATCCGTCAAGTTGGTGACTGGACCCGCGGTCTTGGAGAACGTGTCGGCGCCGGTCCTCAGGTTGTCGCAGCCCTCACGCAGGCAGCAATGAAGGGTGGCGAGAGAGATGAGAAGAGCGGGACGCGCGGAGACTTTGTTGAGCTTGACCCGGCCAGCAGTAGTCGTACCATGCCTATTGTCCGCATCGATGGGCCTTACGGTGCTCCTGCCGAGGATGTGTTCGATGTCGAAATTGCTGTGCTCATCGGTGCTGGTATCGGTACGCCTTGTGACCGTTGCTAACTTGGCTGCGTCTGACGAACACCTCCTGGTTCACAGGTGTCACCCCTTTTGCTTCTATCTTGAAGCATATCTGGTATCGCCAGAGAAATGGGAACCTGGGCTCCCTTCGCCGGGTCGAGTTCTTCTGGGTCTGCCGCGACGCTCCCTCGTTTGGTTGGTTCCAGAGCCTCCTGCAGGAAGTCGAGGCTGCCCAAGCTGATCGTGAGCGTTCTCGTATCCTTCGTATTGCTGAACTCATCTCGTTGCTATGATACAGCTAACTTCCTCCGTATCAATGTGTATCTCACGCAGAAGATTGGCGAGGACATGCTCTGGAACATCGCCGTGAATGACGCAGGCGCAGAATACGACCCTTTGACTCTGCTCCGCACGCGTACCATGTTCGGACGGCCTGACTGGAAAGCTATCTACGGGCAGATGCGTCAAGCCATCGAGTCTGGACAGTACATTCCTGGCACAAAGTCGCAGCTCAAGACTACCGTTGGCGTAAGTTCCTATATGTGGGCTTTCTTTGGGTTGGAGTTTCTCACACTTTGTATCAGACCTATTTCTGCGGCCCTAGTGTCCTTGCCAAGGCAATCAAGGAAGCAACCGTCGAGCAGACTTGTTCTACGATTGACTTTACATTCGCCAAGGTTCGCCGCCAATATATGAACCCTACAGAATTCTGTGACTAACGTCTTCTATCCATAGGAGCACTTCTGAGCCGACACGCCTCACCTACCTCTTGTCACTGATCCCCCCAATCCTCACCTGATCCCTCCCTCGATCCCCGCTCGGTATACTGTGTATATTATGCGCTGTTTCAATCTATATCCTTTTCCCTTGCTGTTGCCGTGAATGGACTTTGCGACTTTGTCATGTACCCTTGATTGTCTATTCTTGGTGGTATATCTGGGTGGGTGTGTTAGTTCCCTATCTCTTGTCTTACACCGACCCAATGTAAATCGCATCACGCGAACATATTGAGCGTGACGTGCGTTGTTCTTTCTGCATCGTCGTGGGCAATCAACTGAGGGAGCGGTGACAGTCTGCTTGAACTGAGTTCATTACATAAGGTATATGTTGGTTGGTCTCCGACTCTTTCGTCTCGAAGCTTCGAACGCTTGACCGACTCCAATCACTTCAACGTCTTTCAGGATCTCTTATGCTCGCTTGAAATAACGCATCATTTCTCACTAACCGGTGCACTCAGGTCTCATGTCTGCAGCGACGCCGGCTGCTTCTACTCCTGATGTGATCTCTCCAGCGAACGCGTCTTCTCAGGACGCATTCCAGCCTGCCACCGGGTTGGATCGTATGGTGTTGGATTACCTTCGATCCAGAGGCCACCAACGTGCCGAAAAGGCGCTCCAAGAATCCATAGATGCGCCCGAGGACAAAGGAAAGCAGGCTGAACCGTCGACAATTACCTCGGAAGAGCTTGTCAGGAGACTCACTGTCTTCTCGGAGAAAACATCACAACCCGGAGAGAATGCCTTGAAGAATACTGCGAGCATTCTTCAAGAATTAGCTTCCGTTGGCAGTATGGGCAGCTCATCAAATATTCAAAATCTCATTGCCAGCATTGGTCCCGGCGGAGCGGAAGAAATATTGTCGTTAGATCCGACGGACAAACAAGAGGGATTCCGAGAGTTGGAATCATGGGTGGATGGATCTCTGGATATGTATAGGGTGTGTGTTCTATCATCCTCCTTGCTCAAACTGTTCACACTGTTTGCAGCCCGAATTTCGACCAATCCTCTTCCCAATATTTTGCCATTTTTATCTTGATCTAGTGCAGTATGGATTCAAGGATGCAGGTATGTTTATCTCTTATTTTCCTGAATTCTAATTGAACTTGCAAGCAGCCCAGGAATTCTTTGACTCGTTCTCTGCATCCCTCGAGCTAATGCATAGCTCCGTACTAAATCGTCTGTCGACTTTGCGCCTTCCCTCTCATGTCCAGAGCGATGAGCTTGCGCACCGTTTCAGAAATGTCAAGTACACGGTCCGAATGAGTCGGTCGGGGTTCGATTTACTCGTAGGTTGGCTGACTGAGGGTGTTGGAGGTGAGGCTACTGGTGCAGGAGGAGGGTTCTCCGGCGAAAGGGGGAAAAGAGGAAGGGCGGCAGTCATGCGGGTGGTTAATAATCACCTTCGCTTCGATGGTAATTATCGTCAGTCGTTCTGTGTATACTACACGTATTCACAAATGATTAGTGACATCTTCTAGCACGACATCAGTATCCTCGAATGCTTGGGAAGAATCCACGGGCCTCATGTCATCATTGATACCTCAGCCAGAAGGCTCGACAACACCGCTTTCCAATCCTCAAGCGTTTAATGCTTCGAGGGGCGAGCTCAAGCTCGGCCCTGTACCTTTACCCGATGAACTACGGACCGAGACTGAGAAGAGTTTAAGAGAACAAGCAATGCTCGATCGAGATCCAGCTGCTCAATATGACCCTCACCATGTACGACCAACACCCGTGTCCGGCGTCATATCACCTTCTATTTCCGACCTTCTTCCTCATCCGGCCACTTTCAAAACTATGGATATACAGCGAGAAGTCGAGAAGGTCAGAGATGCCAGAAAACGAATACGTCTGGAACCTTCAGCCCTTTCTTCTGTCGATTTGAACACACCTCAGGGCGCCACTGCCAAGCAGCGTGGGCTCCCTAGTATATGTGCTTATACTTTGCATGATATTGCTGAAGGGTGAGTCGTACCACGTCTAGTACTTTGTCTGTCTCACAGCAGTAGGTCTCCATGTTGTATTTTTTCTCCAGATACTTCTCTCATGGCGGCAGGCTTTGAGGAAAGCTATATTAGACTATGGAGCCTCAAAGGGGAATCACTCAACAGCATGAAGAGTGATTTCCAATCTAATAACATACGAGATAGTGAGTAGCCGTACACGCACTATCGCATATGCTAACATTTAATTAGTTGCGTCTCTGAAGAAAGCTCGAGAGAAGGGCGGACCATCTACACGAAAACTCATAGGACACAGTGGACCGGTTTACTCTCTATCATTCGACCCCATGAGTGGGTCTGCCGCTCCTCCGAAATACCTTTTATCCGGCTCTGCAGATGGCACCGCACGGTTATGGTCTTTAGATACCATGACGAACGTTGTAGCATACCGGGGACATCAAAATCCCATCTGGGACGTCGACTGGAGTCCCATGGGTATATACTTTGCTACAGCTAGTCGAGATCGTACTGCACGCCTTTGGTCAACAGACCGAACGTCGACTTTGCGTATCTACGCAGGCCATCTCAGCGACGTGGATGTTAGTGTTTTCAATTTCTCTTCATTGATTGACAAGCTCACCGAACTCTGTCGTAGTGTGTCAGGTTTCATCCAAATTCATTGTACCTTGGAACGGCATCTAGTGACTGGACGGCACGACTTTGGGATGTTCAAAAAGGCTCATGTATTAGAGTATTTATCGGACACCAGGGTATGGTGTCGACAATGGCTTTTAGTCCGGATGGTCGCTATCTTGCTACTGCGGGTAAGTCACAGATTTAAAGTGCCAAGCAGTATCATTGACAGGCTTGCGAACGAAAGGGGAGGACCTGGCCATCAACCTATGGGACCTTGGCTCTGGTCGTCGAGTCAAAAAGATGACTGGACATACATCTTCGATATATTCTCTTGCTTTCAGTGCGGAGTCATCTTTGTTGGTCAGCGGTGGAGCAGACTGGACAGTGAGGTGTTGGGACGTCAAGGCACCAGGCGGGCTTCCCGAGAAACCCAGAGAAAACGGAATGGTCAATGGTAACGGTGCATCAAACTCGACGGGTAATGCAAAAGACTACACTGACAGCGGAGTCGAGACGTACGTATACTCTTCTTGCTTTTGTCATGATTTCACTCATATATGCGCGATAGCACGGATCTCCTTACTACATTCCCGACAAAGCGTACCCCCATTGTCAACGTCCATTTCACTCCACGAAACCTGTGCCTTGTAGCCGGACCATATCTTTCACCTGAACGATAGGTCATTTTCTTTGTTTTTGCTCTTTCACTTCCGCTCTCGCTCCGTCTTCAGGTCGTATCATTCATAATCGCATTGTAACAAGATTAACACATACAAAAGAAACATTAATCGGAATGTGTCTGCCTCCACGCTTCCCACACCCGATCTGCTTCCTCGTCCGATAGTTCCCATGCAATTCCGCAGGTGACCTTGAAAGTATTCTCGTAGCCCATGCGATCGAACATCTTGACCAACTTCTCCATCTTTAATAAGTATCTATTGATTTCCAAAGCTGGCGACGTCGCTGTCTCTCCAAGCTCTTGAGATAGAGGGAAATCCAGGAAGGACATCGTAGAGCTCTGTGTGTTGGAAAATTCTCCCGCTCGATCGTCACCCGCGGCAACATCAAAGCCCATGGACATATCTGACAACTCGTCATCCGCGTTGATGTCCGATAGCTGGCTGAGCATTGACACCGAGTTCATAGATGACTGCCACCCGGACGGTGATGATATAGGCATTCCATTGGAAGACTGCATTCCCTGGCCATGTCTAATCGTGTTTTGCTGGGAGGATGCTCCAGCACATGAATAACTAGGGCCCTGTGATTGACTGAGCATCAACACCGAGATCACAGACGATTGCGAATCGGGTGGCAAGGCCAAGGGGGTCTTCATGGAAGACTGCATCTCCCAGTCGACTTCCTGTTCTGTACTATGCTGGGAGGACCCTTCGGAATCTGCATCATTTGATTCCTGTGACGGCATGTAATTTGAGTCGTGAGCAAACTTCTGGCAAGGTCATCAGGTGGAAATGTAACAAGCACGGGGTCACCACTCACTCTCTCCTCCTCCTTCAATTCAATATCCTCGTCCTCTCCCATGTCTAATCTCATAGCCTCCTCATCGCTATCGGGAGCAACCTGCGAACCCGATGGCGAAAGCGATTTTCTTAGACGACGGCTTCTAGGCAAAGGCATCATGGATAGTCGAGTGATGGATGTTCAACGGTCAATGCTCAATGCTCAATGACGCCACGGCCCATGGGTTTATAACCGTGCGATAGTGGCATATAAGCGCTTCGACTGCCACTGAAAGACAAATTGAAAAGCCACCACGATCGGCGGGCGCCGAGCACGGAGTGAATAGTAGGCGATGGGTGGCAGCTCAACTTTTCGCTCTTTATTAGTCCTTTGTTCCTTATCCATGGTCTAATTCGCATCGAATATTCAAGGGACAAAAGCAATTAGGTGCACCAGCGAAGCTCATAAGTAACAGCAAGAAATCGACGCGAATATGCATCACGTGGTGCACGCGTTGAGTCACGCTTCTGTCACGTTGCCTTCTGCTTTTGGCGGAACGTGTTCTGTGTCAAAGCGCCAACTGACGCTCACCGGGTTTCTTCCAACCGCTCCCATACTTATCATCGTCAGCATCGATCCTGCAATTGCATGTAAAGCGAGGCATGTTTATACCCGAATCTTCTTGCGCTGCGCCGGCTGATCTGGACAAAACGGCCAGTCCAAAATGGATTCCAACATGGATATTGATACAGCTCCATTCACATTCGCCGTTCCGCAGCCTCCACCCGAGGCCATGTCAGATCCAATAATCTCAAGCATTCCCTCACCACCGCACATATCCCATCGTATGAACTTTTTTTGCGATGATAACTGTTCCGACACTCATACATTGCCTGCCTTTGGCTTTTGCACACTTCCGCTCCCCCAGCCACTGAGACTCGCGAGCAATTCAAAGCTATCCCAGTAAAAGTACACATACGACGCCCAGAGAGAGACTCGTGGGTGTATGCAGGACGTGGCGTTGTTACGCTTGAGGTATCGGGCCATTCTTCGCAAGTTGGTGAGTATCGCCCGATTGCTGTGTCCTTCCCAGGAGGCTGATGATGTCTTCAAGTCGTGCGCTCAACCTCAACTAACAAGATCTTGACGCTTTTCAATGAGGTCCGTTTGATCACTCATCCAATTCAGTCTACTCACTCTATGCCTGTAGACCAGTGATCTCCAAGCCGAGAAACGTGGTAACTTCGTTGTGATAGGATGTGTGGAGGGCTCTAAGGTGGTCTCATGGTCATTAAACGTAAGCTATCATATTTTCAGTGCTGAACTTGCTCAAGCTCTGATCACCGCAACGCGTCCGTTACTTTCAGGCATTGAATAATGCTGAAACGCTACGTCTTCTTGCGAGTATCGAGCTTGCATGCTATAAATGCCAACAAGCTCTTGGTGACCCTCGTACGCATTACAAGTCGCGTCGGCGGATCGACAGGGTCATCAAGGACGACAGACGCAAGAGACACAAGCGGCGTAAGGACCAGGATGCGATGGTCGATGCTTTCTCAAGGCAAGCGTTGTCTGAGTCCGCAGAACCAGTGCCATCTCGATGAACCGTCAAAGGAGTGGGACGAACACAACCGCCCTAACTAATAGACGGAACACACTTGTATTCTAATTACGCTATCATCTCGCAGCCTTCTGTCTGTCCATCCATCATCACTTATGTTGGCCCTCTGGCCATCTGTATCCCGAGATTCATCGCCCTGTTCCCTGTCTTTGTTATCATCTGCATCTGTCGAGTTCTCACTCTATACTTCTATGCATTTCCTTGATTTCACCTTTCCCATCGCTAGTATCCCAAGTATTCAGTCGTATACCGATGTTGTTTCACCTGCTGCAGTACCCTATAAATGGTGCACTCGGAAGCGTGTCGTCTTATGATTTCCAGTCGGTCGAAAGCCAAAGACAGGTACTTCACGCACTGCATGAAAAGCTGTATAACGACAGTGGAGGGGTAAGCCCAGGGGTAGACAGTGATGTGGATGTACTGCGAAGGTACTTTCTACCAGAATGCTTGTTCGCCGAGATTCAAGCAGCCTTCGACGTGATAAACGGAAAAAAGAAAAGAAAGTGGAATATAAAATCAAGAGATAACGCACAAGCCCTCCCAAACAATCCATTAATATAACCCGTATCAGTTACCGTCGGACAGGATCGTACATTCCAGAAATATTGACAAAATAGAAGGACATCCGTCATGGTGGAGGCGGATGAGGATGAGGAATGTTTGATGATGACCCTGGGATGTCTGGTATTGTAAGGCCGAGTATTGGTCGCCTGCTTTCGCTATATTGTGGGGGGAGTTCGATTATATCGCTCTCATCAGGTATGATGTCGTCTGCAGCATCCGTATGTATGAGGTACCGAGAGGGGCGATTTCGTTCATTTGCCGCTCTTATCATCGCCGCTTTACTAGTGGGCACTGGTGGAACCGTACTATATGGACTGCCCATGGTTAATGATGGAAGAGGCGAAATGAGATTCGTCGAAGAACTCGGTGCGCCGGGGGAGTAATTGGTGCTTGTTGGCCGTGGAAGAGCAGCTACGAATGGGTCAGGTTCTAGTCGTCCTCCATTCATCGGTGCCGAACCATCATGATGTTCTTCTAAATATTGAATGGATCAAAATAAACTCAAGCTCGCGTTATCAGAGATGTGACTGACGGAACTCCATGAACTGCCCCTTGTTGTCATCCCTGAAACGGCGGCGCCTGCGGAACACGAAGAAAATGACAACGGAGCAGATGGCAATAGTCCCAACCAATCCGCCTGCGACTACAGCGGCAATCGTTGTTCCTGAGAAGGTTGTTGTTGACGGAGAAGTATTAGCTGCTTCTGCAGGTGATGTCGCTGAAGGGACCGGTTGTGCGGTGGAGGAGGGGGAGTCGGAATTGAGGCAAGTAGCGTCGTTGGTAGCTCCAACAACTCTGACGTCTGATACCCCACCAAGTCTGCCATTGGCATCAGACATAACGAAAACCATAGACGTGCCCGACTTCACATTGGCAGTCCACTCGAACTGTGCGAGGCCTTTCTGTGGAGAAAGAGTCGTTGCATTGCCCCCTGGGATCATCGCCTACGCAAAAAACAGATCAATACTGAGTGGTCGGACCTCGAGAAGCCCAATGCGACTTACTATAATCTTCACAGGCTGTACGGCACTCGAATAGCCGTCAAACAAGAAAGTACTGGCAGGCGAACGTCATCGTAAACACCTGCCTCTCAGCAAGAGTAGATGAAGCTCACCGGCATTGTTGCAACGCGCTATCCAATTGATAGTTGAATTCGACGCCTGGATCAGTGGTGTTGCAACTCGCGCCAGTGGGCGCTCCAACAGTAAGAAGCTGGGATATGTCGCCGACGACGGAATTGCTGAACATCGTTATCAGGAATTGCTGGCCCTTGGGTAAGGCGAGTTGTGTCTTGAACGAGCCTTTTCCGTTGTTGAATGCCGAGCTAGGCATCTCGAAGACCCGTTGTGATCCAAATATCTAAAATGATTGAGAATCGAATCAAGCGTTGCAGCGAATATGTTCCAATATTCCTCACAGGCATTATGAGTAACTGGAAGGGTGAAGATCCGCCTGAAAGCACGGCGCATCTCGATACCTCAGATTCCATCTCTATGCGACGAGCAAGCATGAATACTCGCCTTGCCAATTGACCTCAAGGTCTCCGCATTCTGTTGGGCTGTTGATTGAATAGTTGAATGCGTAGGCCAACGAACAAACGCATGAGACGATCACGACCCATGAGCAGAGGGTATGCATCCTGTGCAGACTCCGGTGAACGAGACCCTCTGAATGAACGCCAGTGAGGGCAAGAGAACCGAGATACAAAACGAAGGATGGGGATAAAAAAGGAGACAAGGGGTAGCAAGCGCGAGAACGAGGAGGGTATTCAATGAGCAGAGCAGAATGACAAGTAGAGGGAGACTAGCTGAAGCAAAGCTGTCATGCCGTAGCACTGCCGCAGCCCACAGCAAGGCTCCCGCCTCCCACGTCGCGTTCACGGCCATCGACTCCGTTCGTGAGCTTCTCGCGTGCGCCCCCAATTTAGCACTCGTCGCCCTCAATCACAATCACACCCTCGACGTCGCGCATTCTCATTCATCACATCTTGTATCTTTGAACAGCTCGCGAATGGACCACAGTACAAGTAGACCACAGGAATGTCAGAGCAGGCTCATCCGTCGCCAGGGCCCTTGTCGAGCAGGTCGGGCGCGTGGCAACATAGAGATTTACATGTTCAATAACCAAACGAAAATCGAATTGCTACACTGATCATTGCAAACGCCGGATAATCAACGTGCAGGCCGCGTGTCTGCCTTGGAAACCCTCCAGGGGTTCGTCAATGCCAACCCGACCATCTTAGCCCAATCCCTCATCGTCGACCGAGGTTGAGGACAATCGACAAGACTGACCCTTGACAGTGGGACGTGGTTATCGGCACCAACCCCTCGCCGTTGCAGCTCAAGGATGGCGTCCCCAACTTCCGGGTCCGGACGACGGAGCCCAGACTCGCCCCCGGAGACAGTATCAATTGATTCGGGACCGTCTTCAATGATGGGCGGAGGGCTCGGAATATCGATGGTGACCACCGAGGTACGTCTGTGGATGCGCGCCTTGACTGGCCCTTTCCTCCGACGAATGGTATCAAAATCGGGATCGTTCCAGCCTTTCGACGGGACGTTCACTTGGCGACAATTTAGAAAGGCCGGAGACTCGATAGTCGATGTCGCGTCAAGACTTGAGCTCGGTGGAAGTCGACTCTGATAACTAGAAGCCCGAAGTTTTGACATTTGCACACCCGTGACCATCGGGGAACAAGATGCAGCACGAAAGACAGCTGGTGATCGACCGACACTGACCAAGGTTGGACTAGAATGCGCAGAGGGAATGCCGACACGGCCGTTCTCCTTTTCAAAGCAGGATGAGGTGCGCGGCTTAAATTTAGTCAAAGAGATAGGTGTGAGAGGTAGACGAGTTTTCGACAAAGATATATCGCGAGGGGCGGGCGTTTGCAAGAGCTTCTGTCCAGACTTCGCGAGATGAAGGGCTGCGGCAAGTGTGGCCTCCACATCATGAGCGTTAACAGTGATTCTCTGAGAACAGTGGGCTGATCTTGCATTCAAGGCTGTAGATACACAATCGGCAGCGGGGATTGTCGAGACACGAGATGTAGGCTCAGATGGTCTTGTACTGCCAGAGTACTTCGTGCGTGGCTGAGATCCAATAGTTTCCATGAGTAGAACAGGACCCCTAGGACTACTTGAGGTGGCAGTATGTATGACTTGATCTTCGTATACCGACAAAAGGCCAGTACGAACCGTGGCATGTGTCGAGCGAAGGTCCGCTCGGTTGGACCCCAGAGACACCAAGGATTCAGAAGCATCCAGCGCCAGAGATTCAGCAGTCGAAGAGAACATCTTCGGTGTCGCACAGACCGATGCTCCAGCAAGAGGCGTGAGTCGGAAAATCCGCGAAGATCTATCGGAACGCTGAGGAGGTAGGCGAACCTCGGAAACGGCGGCGAACAGGCTTTCTATATATGATATCTTGACCTCATCTGGATCATGTATGACTTGTGAAATGAACGGGTCATCAGACGGGGAAAGGGTCGTCTCTCTTACTCCCGAGAAAGGGTAAATACAGTCCAAGTCAGACATATATGCTGGAGTTTTCATGGTTGACCTAGACTTTGCTTTGCGGATGTTCGGAGGTGGGGACGACGTCGCAACAGGAGAAAAAGAAAAGTTGAACGGATCAAGAAATTGTGATACCGTGGGCCTTATAAAAATAGGTGTTGTCGGGGGAGAAACAGTGTCGGTGGTATTAGATGTGCGCTTGGATCTGTATGGCAAGGGGTAGCTTTCCCTGCCGTAGTCAGCCACCATGGGTTGTAGCTCTGTACGAAGAACCTTGACGACGTCCGGTGATGCACTATGAATTAGTAGATATAGTGTCAGCTAATGACGCGCATTGCGATGCTGGAGATAAGTGTCAAACACATACATTCCATCTCTCTCATACCTGCTGAGCTTTTTCGGTGGAGGAGATAAGATGATATGCTTGCGCCAAGGGGAAGCTATAGTGCTGCTACAAGGCTCAACTAGTCGTTTCTTCAACCTACGAGACTTCCTAGTCCTTGATACTAAATGCTTAGAGACGGCGTGAGCTATAGAGGCAGCGTTCAGAAATATTTGAGATTTCGAAATAGGAATGGGTGGATGGGAATGTTGAGTGGGCGATAGTGTGATATTGAGCGTCGACTGTCGTGCTATTTGGCGGGAGTGTCTCTTTGATTTAGGCGAGTACTTGACCATGGCGGCGGCGACAAAGGCTGTGAGTAAATTGAACGTTGCAATGATCTGTCAGAACCTGTAACGCTCGAAAAGGCGGTGAATCGGTAGGCGGAGATCGAAGTCGACGGGCATTGCCGGACAACCCAAATTATCCTAAGGAGTGTAAGGAACAACAAGTCCCCAACGACAAGAAAGCCCCCTCAAGGTTAGTATGCTCGTGCATTGTCCATATTGCGTCTCCAGACGACTACATGTTGACCGTATGGATGGAATACGCCGTTCAAATGGAGGATTTTGGTTGAAATTCGAATGGATGCACGGTCACAGGAGTGGATGCAGTCCTTGATCGTTTATGCCCCATATGACCTACTATCTTGGCTGTCGTGCTGATCATACTTCTTACTTTCCAGATTAACGATGGGTTTTGGTCACAACAACGGTATGTTTGAAAATCCTCAGCCGATAACATCTCACTGAGACCCATCTCGCTAGTCCTCCCCGCTAACCATTTCCGCAAGGACTGGCAACGTCGGGTTAAAACCTGGTTCGATCAGCCTGGCCGAAAACTCCGTCACCGCAATGCCCGCAAAGCTAAGGCTGCCGCGCTTGGTGTTCGTCCGCTCTCACTCCTCCGCCCCGCTGTCCGTGGACAGACGGTCCGCTACAACATCAAGGTCCGCGAAGGCCGTGGATTCACGCTTGCTGAGTTGAAGGAGGCGGGTATTGGACGGAAAGAGGCGCGCGGTGTTGGCATTGTTGTTGATCACAGACGCCGAAATTTGAGCGTAGAGGGAAAGCAGCTGAATGTAGAGCGGCTGAAGGCTTACAAGGAGCGTCTTGTTGTGTTCCCCCGCAAGGCTGGCAAGCCCAAGAAGGGCGACTCATCAGTGCGTTTCTGGATGTCACTTTATGTTGATGGATTGATCTGACTTGTGTGTTAGGCTGAGGACCTTGCAGCTGCTACCACCCGCCAGGCCCTTCCTCTCCCCGATCCCTTCGTTGCTGAGGCTCCTCGTAAAATCACATCCGAGGAGCGTGAGTTCTCCGCTTACAAGACTCTCCGCAACAGCCGTGCGGCGCAGCGATACGAGGGCGCGCGCAAAGCGCGTGCTGCCAAGGTTCGTTCTCTTTCAATATATCATCTTCTAAATGCTTACGATATGATTTACTCACATAGAAAGAGGAAGAGGAGGCAGCAAAGAAGAAGTAATCCATCGATCTTTCCTTTTTGTTGTTCTTTCACGCTATGCTTCTCGCACTCTTTCTTCCACCTCCTTAAAATCTGGGTACCATGTATGCACTTAGGATTACCCGCAATACATGTCCACTGTATGCCGCTACCGTGTATCACCCCGGCGACATGTGACAAGCAGGCGCTACTAGTTGGCGAGCGGTCGCTACGCCAGCTATCGTGTTCATATATGTTGTGAAGTTGATCAATCACTGCTTCAAGAATTTCAGGAATCCAAATGCCCGATGCACGCAACTGGTAAAATATGTATACATCCCGCAAGACCTTGTCCGATGTTCGTTGTTTGAATGTGCGCGGTATGGGGATTAGCATACGATGAGTAGAAGGTATCTAACTAAGAACAAACAGTCGAACCGGGTTCAAACGTTCAATGTCAGACGGTATCATTTCGCCTCCATAGCCTCCCTAATCTCTGCGTCCGTGACCATGCTCATGATCTTCAGCTGGTCCGCCACACCCTTCAATGTACTGCGAATTTCGCCATTCCCTTCCACAAACCCAAATTCGGCGTACTCCAAGCCCTGCTCCTTGGCGAAGTCCTTAACGAGGTAACTCGCCTCCAAGAGATTATGCCGCGGGAGCCGTGGGAAGAGATGGTGTGTGACCTGGAGGTGCAGTCCGCCGTGCAGGAAAGCGACGGAGGGGTGACAAATCACGTCTGTCGTCGTGCGCAGTTGGCGGTGAGGGAAGGACTCCGTCGGCCCCAGATCTGCGGTCGAGCGTGAGAAATGAGAGAGGACAATCTGGGGTGAGAGAATGACGCGTTTGTAAGACGTTTGTATTGAATGATATAGGAGTTGAGAAATTTCATCACCTGGACGTGCAAAGGGCTCGGCACCATGTTGCTCACGAGGAGATACATGAGGCCCGTCTGCCAGCTGCCACACCCTTTGAGGACGTTTCCGTACCAGCACCACCAGAAGCCAAGCCCGACGACTTCGAGCCACCAGGACCACCTGCCGCCACGCGCTTTGATGGGATCGTTCCGCATGGTCCACAAGTGTTCGTAGGAGAGCCGATAGAGGTTAAAGCGGGCAAAGGACATGACGAGGTAGAAAAGGCGGTGTTGCACCGCAATCAGGTAGTGCGAGAAGCGGTCGAAGGTGAGCTCGCGCTTGTAGTATGAAGAGTAGAGCGACTTGAAAAAGGCAGGTGTGATCGCAAAGAATGGGATGTGCTGGATGTCCGGATCACTACGAGAAGGGATGAGCCATGAATGGATGCTGGACGGGGTAGAGTTAAGACATACTGAGAAGGGTGATTCGTGACGACTCATAAAATGCATCTCAACTATTGGTTAGGGCATAGTACGCAGGAGAAACATACCGTGATGGATGTTGTGGTTCTGAAGAGAGAAATGAGGAGACGTTAAGATGACGTCTAGCACGATGCTGGAAGGACATACATGGACCCACCAGCCAACGCTCAGGCCTCCAATCCAGTTCGCCAAAAAGATGGAAATGAGGCGGTCCTTGGTCCATTCGTGAGTGACACCCAGATGGCCGAGGTCGTGAACGGCGAAGACGAGCTGGTGCCAGAGCCCGCCGAGGCATACGGCACTCAGGAAGAACCATTGTTTCTGATAGGCCAGGTATGAACATATGGCCAAGAGCAGATATCTGGCGATTTCTGGACCATAGCCCGTGACGTAGCGAGTCTCATACAGACCCGCCGCCTTGACGCGTTTGTGCAGTTCTTTATAAGCGGTCGAGTGCTGGGTCTGGACCTTGAGAGAGAGAGCGGTGGGCGCAGGTTCGAGGGAAGGTCCTGAAGCCGAAGACGCATCGTCTCTCTTGAGGAGGAGGATCTGAGAAGAGGGCGACTCGTCCGTGTTCTCTGACGAATATAGAGCGTTGGCCTCTCTGTGCCAATGCAGGTGACCGTCTGGGCCGACCTTCCTGATCCAGCCGGTGCTTATGGGCGGGAGCAACGGTTCCCAGCCGTTCTCACCGATTTCCACAGTCCCGATGGAATACGCTCGCATTTTTTTGAGCGTTGCCTCTGAGTGATAGGCCTCGACCTCGTCGGTGGGGTCGCGTCCTAGGAAGTGCAGGATGGACAGCGCACCACCTGGATGCGTGGAAAGCCATGCCTGGGGGACGCGAATGAGCTGGTCGTGAAGAATGAACAAGTTGTCGCCTGCGAGGATGCGTGCAGCGACCTGGTCGCGCGTCCAGGACGCGGTAGTGGGGGCACCCATTACAGATGGGATTAAGTTTGGCATTATTTATGGGGCAATGCGCACAGCTGTAAGCTACTCGAGGTGTAAGTAAGCAGAATAAGAGGGTTACATGCCGAGGGCCGAGGGAGGAGCCGAGACGATAAGTATGGGGCAATGCCTGGCTTCCCCTTGCAGCCTGGCCATTTCGTCCTCTCCTTCCTTCTCCCACATCACTTTCTCCCATCCTGCTTTGATCTTTTTCTTTCTCGGCTTCCCTCTTTTTCTCTTACAACCAGCATTTCTCCAGGAAAGCGTGTCAGTATCGGTTGATTTGTTGATTCCTTGGCGCTAGAAACCGACAAGGCACCGGAAGGATTGGGACAGGAAACCCCGTGGTGTTTGTCGCTGAATACATATTCGCTCACTTGATCAAACACAACATGCCCTCCGCGTCACACTCCCGGCACAGGTCTCACTCCGACCCCTTCAGCGATCCTCATTCCTCTCCAAACCCGCCTCCCCCTCCTCCAAAACACGCATCGTCTCCAAAGCAATCAAGCCGCTCTCGCCCCTCCACCGCTCCTAAACACAGAGACAACATCATGGACGCAGTCAGAGACACAGTCACCGTCCGTACATCCGACCACCCTTCTCGCTCTCGCCCATCCAGGAGTCAATCCACTGCCCCGCCGTGCGTTGGATCCTTCCATGTTCCGCCCCTGCTCTCCTTGTTAATCGTCTTTCTTATCAGGACCCACTCAAATCCGTCCCGCCCCCTACCAGCCCCCGCACGTCGGTCCCATTCAGACGAGTCGGTTCCCCCAGCTGCTTCAGCAGACAAGTCCAAAGCAAACGCCCGTACAAGAACCGCCAAGAAGCCATCGGTTCACGCAGATGTCATTGATAGGCTTGATTTTTCTGGAGTCGGGCCCAGTACGTCCCGTTTCCATCACCGATCTACCGATCTCTAAATCCTCTTCATCTAGTGTTCCACCACGACGGTCCCTTTGACGCCTGTGCTCCATCTCGCAACCGAACTCGTACCAAGGCTCCAATGTACGCCTGGACTGGCATAAATCCTGAAGACGAGCAGGTCGCCGCCCAGTACCGTGATAAGCGATCTGGGCCTGCCGCCGTTGCTTCGACCACCTACAATTCCCCTTACCCTCAGCGCAACGCCTACAATGCCATCCCAACGTCTCCCTACTATCCTGAACCACCGAAGAAAGAAGTGGATGCTATCGCAGAAGCATGGGGCATTCACGAGCCAGAGCCGTACGAAGAGTTCTTCGCTGGTGGCGGAAATAGAGAGGGCGAGGCCCCTGCCACATACGGGCGAAGTGCCCGACGGTCCAAGGAAACGCGTGAGAGCGAGGAACTTCGTCGGGGCAACAAGCGCTCTGCTCTTCCTCCTCCTCAGCCCATATTTGTCGCTGATGGGGCGCTCCCCGAGAACGACGCTTACCCGTCGTCTCCCCCTCTTAGCGCCGTATCACCGGGAATCAAGCGAAATAAATCTCTCATGCAACGTATTCGCAAGATGCGCGATTCTCCGAATGTCCCTGTTGGGTTTGATGACCTGGGCACACCCGCTAGTGGCAACGGGGAACAATCACCCACATCGTCAAACGAAAGTGCTGGTGGCGCTCAGTACTCTCGCCCTACCCACCGCACACAGAACTCTTTGCTTGGACGGCTCGGGGGTCGCCCTGGCCGCGAGAACGTATCGCCAAGTGCAGAAGCGTACGTGTACGTCGAGGATCCCAAGATGAAGGAGCTGCCTGTGACGCCGGGAAGTCCGCACCCCAACCATGACCGAGGCTACTTCGATGGGCAACCTGCATCCGCTCCAGGCGCATCTCCAGCGGGCCTAGGCCGGAAGACGAGCTTGTTGAAGAAGGTAAAGGGCGTGGTGAAGGGTGCTAAGTAAGCAGATGGTTAGATGGTAAACCCCAGCGTCTGCAGTTCACTCATCTTCGAGGCGTCGATATCTTGTCCCTCAGAGCTTGATTCTGCGTTGGTCATATGCCGGCTTGTTTGACGCCTTCTCTTGTAATCGTGTGACTCGACTCGTAGAGTTTTCTCCGTGGTATATCGAGATTCTGTCTTCTTCCTGATTCGAGCCTATGCAACTTTTCATCATCCCCTTCTATATCATTTACTGTAGCTGACTTTCATTTCTATATCGCCCATCCTCTCGCCTCCAAATTACTCCTACGCTACGTTCTGTCCCGGACGCCCCCACCGAAGTCCCTCTTTTCGTCAGCAGTTTCTTCTTGACTGTTTCGCGTGTCCTTCTCTGTTTGTGAGGTCTTTCTTGCCGACCAGGATGTACTTATGTATTCAGAGTTGCTACTACTGTACGTTTGCCCTGGTCCGCGCTGAATCGCCTGTAGTGGTTGGTTCCTATATCCCGGCCCATGTCTGCACATCACTCGATACTATACATGTTATGGAAATCGATTGGAGTCTTATAATCATAGCTAGCGAACACTCGATAGACGAGTCGTGCCCAAGCATCCGTGAGATGACACCTTCCTGAGCAGGCAAAGATCTTCAGACAGCCGCAGGCTCACTCGCGGCGGCTCGGCGTTGCATCATGCTCGCTTTTTCAATCACATGCTTCCTGTAGCGAACTGTCTATCGGTGCTTCATCAGCTACAATACTTGACCTTAGGCCTTAAGATCCACTTGAAATGTGATGATTAGTATAGAGACTATGCTGGAAAAATAAAAATTTCTGAGGATACACTGTTGTCTATCTATTTGCAGCATGCTTTTGATACAAAAACATCATTCGATTGTCTGCTCATAAAATTCTGCGAGCCTTGATGCCTGCGTCCACCAAAGCACCCTTGACCTCATCAATCCCGACCTGCTCGCGATGGAAAATTCCTGCGGCCAACGCGGACTCTACATCGGTTTGGGCGAAGACTTCCACGAAGTGCTCCTTCCGCCCGGCTCCACTACTCGCTACCACGGGTATCCGCACGCTCTTGCGCACGAGTCGAATGAGGTCCAGGTCAAAGCCAACTCCGGTCCCGTCACGATCGATGCTGTTTAACAGGATCTCGCCCGCGCCGAGCGCCTCAACGCCCTGCGCGAGCTGTATGACAGACAGATCACGGTTCTCCCGGCCTCCGGAGACGGTGCACTGGTACCACCAAGCCTGGCCACGCTCCTTGTCATCAGTTGCGTCCGTCTTGCCGAAGATGAGCTCGTTCTTGAACGGCCCGTCATACGAGGGCTGAACGTACACGCGCCGGGGGTCGATCGAGACCACAACGGCCTGCCGGCCATACGCATGCGCGATAGTCTCGACGGCGCTGTTCCCATCGCTGCGGCCGCCGTTTACGAGCATCCGCTCGACGGCGTAGACGGCCTCGCTCCCGATGCTGACCTTGTCAGCGCCTGCGCGGAAATACGCTCCGGCAACCTCCAGCGCGCTGTGCGGCGTGCCGTCGGGGTCCACGGTGTCGCGGATGCCGCCGCCGATGGTGAGCGGGACGAAGACCGCGCGAGCGGCCGCTCGGACGACAGCAAGCATAGGCTGGTCGAGCAAAGGGGAATGACGGAAGGAGGTGATATTCAGCAAGGCGAGCTCGTCAGCGCCGGCCTCAAAATAGCGGGCGGCGAGTGCGACAGGTTTTCCGAGGTTACGAACGGCACCGGCGGTGCTCACTGCGAGGGAGGTGCCTGAGGGAGAGGGAACAGAGGCGGGAGCTTGCTTCTCGCGAACGTCGTATTGATCGCCTTTCGTTACGACGAGATCGCCCTGATCATTGGCGCGGACGTCCATGCACGCAATGATGCGCTTCGTGAGACCGTCCTTTGGTTTGGGAATGCGCGGGATGCGGGGTGTGGGGGGCGCATGCGCTCGTGCCGATTCAGGCTCACGAAGCCAAGCGTCCAGCAGTTTCAAGCCCGCTACGCCAGATTTTTCTGGGTGGAACTGGCAGCCGAAGACGTTAGCCTTGCGTACGGAGGCAATGAAGATCTCCTGGCCGTATTGTGCTACGGAGTGGGCCCACTCTGCTGCGGCTGGGTTGCCCTCGGGATCGTACGGGGCGCGGTAGGAGTGCACGAAGTAGTAGTGGGCAGCTTCGTGGATGCCCTCGTTCGACTGGTGTTGAATGTCTAGCAGGTCGACGGAGTTCCAGCCCATGTGAGGCACTGATTTGTCTGCATTCGAGAAGAGATCGATGGTGCAGGGAACAACGCCCAAACCAGGGGCGGTACCCTCCGTAGAAGACTGGAAGAGGACCTGCATGCCGATACATATTCCAAAGTAGGGCCTCCCGGATGCTATGTAGGCGCGTAAAGGTTCGAGGAGACCGCGCGAGGTGAGGCCCTCGATGGCGGTCTGAATGGCCCCTACGCCAGGGAAGATGAGGCTCTAGAAGGGCAATATATTTCCGCATTTGGCATGTGGTATGGCTAGCAGAGAGAGAGGCGCTCACGGTGGCCCTGTCAAAGTCCTGCGCGGAGGATATCCATTGAAACGGATGTCCAAGCCGTTCGATAGAATTTGAGAGACTCTGGACGTTGCCCGCGCCGTAGTCGAGGAGGAAGAGGCCCATGGAGAACTCAGAACAAAGTCGTGTGAAGACCAAAAATTGACCAGCGTGCGATCCCATTGGCCGCTTATAACGCCATTCTCTGACTCTACTTAGTTTTGACTCACCTCGACTCACCATCCACATCTTTCTCTCTCCTCTACCACCACCATGTCCAATCCAATCTCCATCCCCTCCAGATCATCCTATGGCGCCGGCGCCGTGTCCGTCTCGCCCACATACTCTTCTCTCCACGAACGTCTGCGCGCAGCCGCTCTCTCCTCAAACGTTCGCTCACCCAGGGTCCTGCACCCGATCGAGAACGAGGGCCTCAGACTCTTGTTGCTCGAAAATATCAGCCAGGACGCTGTCCGCGCGTTCCAAGCACAGGGCTTCCATGTAGACCACTCCGCCAAAGCCATGTCTGAGGACGAGCTCGTGGAGAAAATAGGCCAATATCACGCCATTGGTATTCGCAGTAAGACAAAGATCACAGAACGCGTGATAAAGTCTGCGTCCAAGGTACAATTCCTTCCTCATCTGCATGTCTGCTTCGCTCACACCATGCGTAGCTCCTAGTCATCGGCTGCTTCTGCATTGGCACGAATCAAGTTGACCTCCACACCGCTGCGAAAGCCGGTATTCCTGTCTTCAACTCTCCCTTCTCAAATTCACGCTCCGTTGCCGAGCTCGTGATGTCCGAAGTCATTGCCCTCGCCCGCCAGTACTTCGAGCGCGGCTGGGAGATGCGCCAGGGCATATGGAACAAGCAATCCAAGGGCTGCTGGGAGATCCGCGGCAAAACTCTTGGTATCGTGGGCTACGGTCACATCGGCTCACAGCTCTCCGTCCTGGCGGAGGCTTTCGGCCTGAGAGTGCTCTTCTACGATGTCATCAACCTCATGCCCCTCGGCTCTGCACGCCAGGTGGACTCGCTCTCCTCGCTCCTCTCGGAGGCCGACTTTGTCACCCTCCACGTCCCTGAGCTCCCTGAAACCACGAATCTTATTTCCACCCCTCAGCTCGCGCAGATGAAGAAAGGATCGTACCTCATCAATAACGCACGTGGCCGTGTCGTCGACATCCCAGCGCTTGTTGAGGCCGTCAAGTCCGGCCATCTCGCCGGTGCCGCGCTTGACGTCTTCCCTGCCGAGCCAGGCTCTAACGGCTCGCCGTTCGACGACCAGCTCAACGCATGGTCTTCCGAGCTCCGTTCGCTCAAAAATGTCATTCTCACTCCCCACATCGGCGGCTCGACCGAGGAGGCACAGCGAATGATCGGCGAGGAGGTCTCCGGGGCCGTCACCCGTTACCTCAACGGCGGCTCTACCCTCGGCGCCGTCAACTTCCCCGAAGTCGACCTCCGCGCCATCACGGACGAGGAGGGCAACCACGTCCGCATTTGTCATGTTCACGTTAACCAGCCAGGCGTGCTCAGGCAGGTCAATGAGGTGCTGTCGCCTTATAACGTGGAGAAGCAGTATTCGGACTCCAAGGGCGACATTGCCTACCTCATGGCAGACATCGCGGACGTTAGCTCACAGGACGTGAACAAGCTGCGGGAGATGATCAGCAAGACCAGCGCAAATATTTTAACGCGGCTGCTGGCTTGAGCCTTCACTGGTTGGGGGCATGCCGCTGTGTCGGTGGATTGGCATAGAGAAGACTCCCATGGACGGTTCCACCCGATATATAACCTGGGTTCAAAAACACGAGTAATTTCCACTCAACTGGACTTGCTTGACCATTCAGATGGATGGATTAGGGGATGAGAAAGAAGAATGTATTTTTCATGTCGAACACTGTAGCTGTACCTTAATAAAAATTTGCCGAAAAACACACACACTTGTGTCTGTCTTGTGTGTTCTATTTTCATGTTCTCGACTGGTCAATTACCACCCTCCTGCGCCTCGAACCTCCGAATCCAAACATTTTCTGAGCAGATGTCGGGTCTCGCCAACTGTCCAGTCTTCTTCAGCAATATCCTGGATGAAGGGCAGCACGCAGACCGTCCCGATGGCTTCGAATAAGTCTTCGAGAATCCATGTCAGACGCGCACCCGTTAGCTCAATGGCCGGTTCCGCATTGATTTCGAGCAGCTGGACCTGGAACTTAGGCTCTGAAAAAGACTCTGATGAAGGTGAATACGAGACAAGGAAGTCGACGCCGTACAGCTCGAAAGCATTCGGCAGAGGCTGAAACAAGTCAACAACGGGCAATTCATAACCGGAAGTTTAAGCAAGGCAAACCTGAAAGTGGACGGGCGTCTCGAGCACTGCTTGGAATGTCTCCGCGATGATGTTGGCCATCTGGTCCTGTATTCCGGCGATATGCACCGCCGTGAGGGCGATTGGACCTTCGGCAGTCGGCTGCGACAGGATTTGGCATCCCACAAGCTCGTCAAATAGACGCACGCCTTCCTCGCCTCGGTGCGTCTGGAGCGCGGTGTTCGTCAAGTGAGGCGCGAGGTCGATCCCCGAAGACGGGCTGCTGTCTGAGTCTGGTTGCGTGGGGGCGAAGTAAGGCTTCGACGAAAAGAGCGCGAGAACACGGGTGTAAATGTAGACCTTCAAGGCTCCTTGTGCGATACAGTACGCGCGAAGGTGGAACTGCAAAAGTCGGTCAGCAATAGGTTACACGCGAAGAATCACAGAACACTCACTTTATGACCTTTTAACGCATCGAGAGGACGAGCTATAGAGCTATCGAGAAGCACTTGATACGGATCTAAAAGAAGAGGTGTAGAAATGTATTCCTAGGCAGTGCACCCACGCCAATGAGATGAAGTCGAGTTGAAAGGAACTGTATTGATAATAACCTGAATGACAAAATGTCTGAGCTGGGATATAATAACAGCGGTATCAAGATCTCCATCCTCACCCTCAGACTGAGCCTCCCCCTCTTCTTCGTCTCCCTCGAAATCCTCAAATACCTGTTGCAAAGCCTCTTTTGAGTCAACCAGACGAATGCCTTGACCGCGGTCCGCCATACCGGGCTTTAAAATCCACCATTTGCGAGCGCCCTCGGTTTTATCATCCATCTCCAGTCCAAGGTCCCAGAGGTCATCTGCCCACATATCGTCCAGTTCGTCCGCAAACGAGATTTCCAGCTCCCAAGTCTTCGGAACGGCATTGCGAAGGACAGAGTCGGGGTGCTTGGCAAGATACGATTGTACGCAGCGTGCCAAAAAGTGCTTGCGGATAAGAGCTTTCCGAATGATGTAGGAGGAGGACAAGACAGAGTGCTGAGATGTGTAGGTTAGGTCATGGTCGATTTCGTCGTAAGTCGACCATTGGACAAGCTTGTCAAGTTTGCCTCCATTACCAGGTATCCTCGCAGCTGTGTCGAAGACAACCGGTAGAGAGGACAGAGCTTTTTGGACAAGGGCGAGGGTAAGAGGCGCGGTAGGCCAAGACACAAAAGCATTGGAAGTCGACATGACAAAAGATATCGAAGCAGGCAAGGAGATTGGTTTTTACAGTTCTTCGGAAGCTTTCGCTTTCGTTCCCCGATCTGTTCCGGCCTCGATGCTTTGACATCTCGTCGATTGCCTTTGATGTCGTCTGGTCGTGATCACACAAAGTCAAGGCACTTGAAAGTGGATGTGGTGATGTGAGATAAAATAAAAGTGGTAAATTGGGGAGGATTTATATTTCCACAGCACCGACAACGAGCGTTCACCGGTTCACCATTTCTTCAGATCAAAGAACGTTGGGTGTTACGTAGTTCTGAATCGCGAGGTCATTGATGTGGATCCTCGACCCGTTCTTCGACACCGGAAGATCCTCGCGACTGGAAAACCTCGAAGCACATAAGACGGGGTCGCAGCTGGTCGCAGGCAGGTATAGGGTTTCACTGTAGCGTCATGACTACCTTATAGTCCTTACGAATAGTATCCGAAGACCACGTGGGAGGTTGAAGGAGAACGCCAATGTTGCTGCCCTTGGGAAATTACTGTCCAATATCTACCCTTCTGCATCATGACGATACGGCGCTTGGAATGCAGGCAGTGTATCATTAAACTCACGACTTGAAGTCGCTAGGAAAGAAACTAGCGACCGTTTCGGGCCATCATCCGAACATCGCGAAGAATTCCCCAATGCACTGGAGTTAAGAGGTAGCGGTTATGCGAGTGTTATCTGAGATTAAGGTGACTACAAGACTAGAGGGTGAGTATTGTGTCAGTAAGCAGTAGATGCAGTTGAGGGACTGCATCGTGAGATATAGCATCGCTATCATCATTAGATATCGTACATACTGTATGAGCCACGACAAAGAAAGAGGATCCATCCATCGCCATGAAACTGAAGCTGAAACCAACAGCAATGACCGTATCACGCAGATCGCATCTGCCGCAACCTGTCGATCACGTCATTCATGTCTGCCCCATGAATATTTTGACGGTGGCCATCCATTAGTGCTCCCCAAAACCCCCCTGGTTCAATCTTGACGTTCACTGCGACATTGGACATCTTTGGGGGTTCCTCAGGCGCGATGCGTGGCATACTCGGGCTATATGGAGTCGGCGGTGGGTCTGCACTGAGGGTTTCGGAAATATCGTGGTATGCGACCCCGAAAAAGCGGGAAAGTTTAGCAGCGCGTAATCGCCGCTGACGGAACGCACTAGTGTTAGCCATATCGCTTTGGATACGCAGTGGTGATTTCGAAATTTCAGCACGAGCGAGCTGGGAGAAAGGCGGAGGTGTCGGGGGATGGTCACTTTCTGACTTTCGACTCCTCAGCGATGGGCTGTCCTTCCTCGGAGTGGGAGTTGAAGGCTCTGACGATATGGATGACATGCTGGATGATGATGAATGGCGATGGACTGTGTGCAAATGAGTGGTAGAGGAAAGTTCGCTTAGTGAAGGGATAGCACGTAGTGCTGGAGATTCAGGGTGGATGTCAACAGACTGCGAGGACTCGTTCGCACTTGAGGGTATATGATAGAGTGAGGGTGGGGGTTCTGTACCGAATAACTGTGCGCCGCGAATCAGTATCGTATTGTCTATGAGCTTAATTTTAGCTACCTGCGCCATCTTCCTCGCCCTCTTGATGATCATAGCCTTCTGCTTGTCTGTTAAAATTTCCTGATCCACAGGAGCAGATTGCTCTAGATTCTTCAAGGCTGCCGCACTATCCTGTATCTGTTCCTCACGTTCGCGTTCGGCACTGCCCTTCGACCACAGAGACTTACTTCTCTTCAAGTTGGAGTGACTCGCAGTTTGATGTGAGAAACCTTTCAGTGTGGAGGCGATAGATGGTGAAAGTAGTGGCGTCGGAGGTGGTAGATCCATGCTCTTGCGCTTCCACTTGTCCTTCTGTCGACTACGTGCTGAGCCCAAAGTCTCCGGGCGCATAGGGGGCTGGAAAGAGGTGGAAGGAAAATTAACTTCTCTTGGAGATAGTGATATAGACATCGCGGTCTTGTGGGGAGCGGGCGATAAAACGAGCTCGGAGGGAATGTTCTCGCCTAAGTGACGGCTGAGCTTCGCTAGTCGAGCGCGATGGATACGGTCGAAAGGCGGAGGAGAGGGGAGGATGGAGGAGTCAGAGAGAATGGAACACTGGTCGATTTCAACCTCATGGGAATGGGAAAACTCGGAGGGATCCATAGATGGTCTACCCAACTCTACTGGGCAACGCATGTCTAGCACGGAAGTGGACGAAGCAGGCTTAGAAAGAGATGATGGACTAGCAGGTTCTATCGGTGGTACAGGAACGGGATGCCGAGAGTGTTGCTTGGAAGTCTCAGGTTCAGAGGGAGCCCACTCAGCGGCTCGGGACTGAGCAGGGCCCCACGACATCTTCTTAGACGTTTTGCGCCGGTTATCCACACGCATACCAAGGTCGGGCTGATTCGTGATATCAGTAGTTATCCCTATGTTCACCTCTCCCAGCACCTTGCTCAACTTCCTGGCTTTCTTCAACAGTTTCATCTTCTCCTTCGGATCCAGCTCGTTCGTAGTCACGGGAAGAGACGAGTCAGCCGGCGTAACGCTGATGTTCAACGGGGGAATGCCAGTCCCGGTCAAGCCTTGGTGCGCGGAAAGGAAAGATGATGATGACGCTGAGAAAAGTTGTGAAGGACTTATAGGGTTTGAGATGGGGGCGTGATTGACAATCAAGGATTCGGAGATGGTTGCGAGAGATGATGTCGCGGTCTTGATACTCCCTGCGGATAAAGATCCTGCTATAGTAGATTTCCCAACAGAGGACGCATCGGATGTCTTCAAGGTTGAAGTCAGATGTAGCATGAGCGAGAAACGATTTCGACTCCGGGTGGGGGCCGGCATAGATGCACTGGCAGCGTGCTGGGAACGGTGACCGATGACCTAACGCGGTTAGAGGAGGAACAAGAGGGCCCTCTTCCTAGTGAACGGTCCGAGGTCCTTTGACCCAACAGGGTATCGGAGCCGCAACAGCCACGTCGAATACCTGACACAGTGAGCAACGAGCAATGTCTGGGTTGCAGATGTTTCACATGCACGACCGTCGAACACGACGAGGCGCGTGCTGTGAGGTGCTGTGAGACCCTGAAAGGAACGGAACGAGGATTAAGTCAAACGGCTTTTGAATCACGGAAGCACGTCCGATTTGGTACACTTTGGCGCAGAATACGGATTGGCGGTTGGCGTCCCTGAGGAGCATGAGGGACAGCAGTGGCCCGCAGCGGTCTCTGAGGGCCTCAGTCTTCTGAAGATGCACTAGAGCGCATGGCAGTTGCCTTGACAACTGCCCAATCCATCTACAACAGCTGCCATATCCGGTTTATAAATATGTGTCATCAACGACTAAGCACGCTCAAGCCTCACGCTGCCCATGCCTGCACCCAGGGAACAAACATCGACGTGAATCGACTCCCAGCTCAACGCCCAACGTCGTGTTGCGCGGTAGTCCGAATATTCAAATTAGAATTGGCGTGTCCATAAGCGTTACAAATACACAGTCATGATATCTGCTACCAAATATTCTGTGGCAAGTACTGATAAGAGCGAAGAAGAACCCGAAAGGAGTGTGAGCAGGACGTGAAAGAATGGCACAGTGAAAAATATTATGTCCAATGCGCGAAGGCATGTGGGAGAAACCCTGAGAAGCACAAAGAGGATTAGGTCTCGTTGATGGGATGGGAAGTCAGTGCGACCCTCGAGGACTCTTGCACGGACTCCCCCGAACGTGCGAAAGGAACAGATAGCCTGAGCTGTGATGGCATTCTGACCAACGACACCCTCTTTGCTGCGCGAGTCCTGTTCCACTCTTCTGCCTCCTCTTCGGGCATCTCGGGTGCTGTGACAAACCTCTCGTGTAACGGATGCGCAAGACCATCCACCGTAGATGACTGGCTTGATTGGCGGTAAAGATGTCTCGGATCAAGTGATGATCTGGCAGTTGACGTAGCTGAACTATCGCTTTGCAGGAATGGGTATGAGCTCGACGCGTTGTGACTCCCGTCTTCGGTCAGAGGAGTCATAAGAGGAGAGTCCGCCAGCGGTGAGTTGAGGCCAGAGCCCGCCGCGTCGTCCGGTGTGGTGGTTGACCATTCGAAGTCGAGGGCAGAATGAAAAGACTCGCCAGTGGAGGATTCAGGACGGCGGGAATGTGTGTCAGTAGCGGAACTTGGAATGTCCCGCGGAGAAGTACTGAGATGATCCTGATCATCGAGGTGAAGAGACAAGGTCATTCTCGGAACACTCGGATCGCGCCGACTGTGTAGCGATTCCGTCGCGGCTTTGAGTGCAATAGTCTTTGTCCGATACCAGTCCCGTTCCTCTGCCAGAATATCGCTGTTCATGATGTCTCGATGACACATAAATTTTACGATGTCCAACCGCGCCTGCTTGATCCGTTTCGCCACATTTTGAACAGCACCATCTAACCGATCCCGAGTTGTCCGCTGGAACGGCGTGAGCGTGGCGATATTGCGCACGAACCGAAGGTCAGAGTCCAGCTGTGACTGAGTCGCAGCCATTCGGGATTCCATATCTCGGAGCTTAGATCGCATGATCTGTGTCCGTGAAGAGGATTTTGAGGTATCACCTTCGTCCGAAGTAGCCAGGATGGGCCGCAACGGCAATTCCAAGCTATGTGCGCGCGGTCGGATATCAGTCCGTAGGGGCAAATCGTCAACAATACTCCACCGACCAGCAGCCAAGTCAGCCTTGACCTGATCGAATGTAGCCACAAATTGTGAGGCCCCATCGATCGCTGGAGCAGCAGAGACTTCCAGGTCCATGTCACTTCGACCACTGACAGCTTTGACTTTGCGCAATTTATTAGGACTGAAGGAGGAGCTAGGCGAACTAGGCAAGCGGTTCAGGAATTCTGCTGAACTTCGGTTGTCGAAGGTATGGACAGTGGACGTAAGAGTCTTGATCTGGGGAGTTTGCATCTCCCGCAAATAAGACGCGGCAGCGGCTACCCCCATGAGCTCAACGTCCTTGCCTGACATCCCTACAGGTCGCATACGGATGCCATTGGTCTTGAACGCGCTTGCATAATTGATCCGCGATATCCATTCGTTCATATCCTGTTCGTCGGTAGATTGTAGAAGGAATTGGCGACCGTCTCCCATGACGAAACGAAAGGTATGATCGGACTAAACCAAAGTTAATTCACCATAGTAAAAGTGGCATAATGCACTGACCTTGTCGTAAGATTTATCATAGACAGCGATAGCATCTCTGACCGTAAGCAGTTCATCGGGTTTGAAGAGGGAAGCCGGTGAGGACAATTGACCATCACTCGACTTGGCTTGTTCCAATAAGTTCGGCGCCCACGTGAGATCTCGGAAAAACAAGAGCTGAGAGCCAGTCAGGATAACACTCCAAGGTCTCCATTTCTTGGTCAAGACTCTCTTTCCCCCTTCCGTTGAAACATCTTTGCGGCTAAGCAGACCAACTTTGGTCACCTTCAGCATCGATGAGTCGGATGAGTCGGATGGAGGAAGTAAGCCGTCCGGGAGACCCAAAATAGGATATGGTGCGGGGAAGCCGCCAATACTCAGGGAAAGAAAGGCAGTGGACATTCTGCGATTATCCATCGGGCCAACTTCAATGACCCCGGCTTTAGCAAATGCCCGACGAAGCTCCAGCTCGTCCCAAGCACCACCCGTTCCAGTAGAGGTATACGGGTTCTGTGGTGGAACATAGGCGGCTACGTTGACCCGAAGCGGACCGAGAAGATTCTGAATAAGTAGCACAATTAAATGAGTTAGCATGTACAAGACAGGGATGGCCGCACATTAGTGATCAAGTAATACGGGTCTATTTTGGTGCTCTTTCCAAGAAGGGTGACGGCACCGCCACTGACAGGCAATGAAGGTTGAGAGGTCATGCCAGGAAGCGCGCGGGATGGTGTGATGTCTGAGGTCAACCCGCGTTGCCCATTGACATCTAAGGGATCTTCAATAAAGATGAAAGGAGCGAAGACAATGTTATCATAGAAACACTGTAAAATCCAAATTGATCGAGGGTACAAAGGCCTTGATGTAATTACGATCATACCTCCAGGACCTCAGGCGCAACTCCAGGTAATCGTGTATTCTTGATGTAATCCGGTCTTGTCATTTTGCGCTTATTCGACTTGTTGAATGCGTCGGTATGGAGCATGATCAAGCTGAAGGCTAAGATGTATGGATGATCTTGATGGAGAGGTCAGGGACGGATCCACAACAGATAGATAAATCCAAAAACGCACCATCAGAGACGAACAAAGATGGATTACATTGACGGTATCTAGCTGCGAAGGCTTCCATGACTCGATCGATCTGTTGGGTTTCCCTCGGAAGACCGACATCCATGAGTAGCTTCCGCAGAGCCACATCTAGTGGATCACCCTCAAATTCGAATCGGTCAATGTACACTCGCAGAGCTCGAAGATGGAAGCTATCGCCACTGGACCGTGCATAGCGCGTCAGACCGAGCCTGGCTATATAAAGATATACAATTTACCTCGAGGCCAAAACGGTGGCCACTTCTGCCTTGCTCACAGCATTGGTGAGACGAGATAAATAAACTTCAGGAGTTTCTTCAGTTCTGTTCGGCTTGGGAACATCTACCAGAGGTTGGGATATCGAGGGGCGGGGGGATGCTGTGGGAGACTGCGTCGTGGCATTGAGCCCAAAAGTTGATGGGCTCGGAGATGATGACGTGAATGAAAGAAGATTAACGGAGAGCCGGTGGAGTAGAGGCGGATTGGTCTGAGCGCGCTGTCTAGGGTGAGGATGTGAAGGCTTTGACGGGGCCTCAGGGGTCGGAGGTAGAGACGCCGGTGCATGAAATGATGAAGGTAAAGAATCAATAAATAATGAATGTGCACGGCTCCGAGCGGAGTCCGCTGTGGAGGGTCGACGCAAGTAACGTTTACCTGTGGATGGCTCGGGTATTGTGAATGGCGCCACGTTATCCGGTACTTCATGAGGAAGTCCCGGTGAAGGTGAAGGTGAGTTGCTCGCCGAATGACGACGGATTAATCCTGGTGGAGGTCTTAATGAGGGATGATCTTGAGAGGACGACGCAGAAAGGGGGTCTATATTTGTGTCCATGCGAAACGGGGATACAGGGGGTAAGAAAGGAAGCGAGTGTTGAGTCGCGGGTTCTGGTTGAAGTTTCATAGACTCATTCCTCTTGCGATTCCAGAAGGAAGCACGGCGAGCAAGACTTTTCCTGGGGAGTGTAGAATCAGGAGCAGGCTCCTCCTCCTTGCCTTTACCCTTGGAATCGATGGCCGCATCCTGCAACACAGTTGTACCAAGTGAGATGCCCCGCGTTCGTCTCCGGCCTCTGGGATCTGCAGGTGAAAGATTTTCTGCAGACGAATGCACAGAAAGCTTCTGAGAACTCTTGACACGCCGAACTTTCAAATCACGATGGCCCTCGTGTTGAGAGATATTCATGAAGGCGAGAGTGTTTCCCTCAGATCTGGACGAAGAAGTCGACGCTCGAGGCATGACATGAGGAAGTCCGATCCCTAGTGCAGCTTGGGCAAGTACGACTGTAGGCTGCGGAGACGGGTGAGGGGATGACGATTTTGATGAGAGCCTAGACGGAGAGGGGTTCATAGGTCTGGATATCGTGATGGGTGGGGTCTTGTGCAACGCCCGATCTCGAGGATGAGTAAAGTCAGATGTTCCCTCGTTACTAGGAGCTAGAAGATCGTCATCTGATGATGTAGGGGTCGGGGGAAGATCTTTGTTCAGCATGGGCATTGAGATGTTGGACATACGACCTAGTGCGCCACTCTCGTCTGCATCCATCCCCGACATACTACGTCGCGCGAACACGGTGGACGCCGCCGGCGGACGCCTTCTCCAGAGCGGAAGAGAAAAGAAACTCGTAGTTGTCTGTGTTGTTGTCGTTACGACGTGGGTAGTTGTCGTCGTCGTACCTCCAATGACCAACTGTGGGGCATGTTCGTCTGGCTCGTACGGTGGAGGCGGAAACGGAGGAGACGCGCCGGGAAGGTCGCGAGACGGTGAACCTTTCTGGGAGATGCCAAATCGTCTGACCATGCGGCAAGAGCAACAGGCGAACGAATGTGTGTGTCTTGCTCCACGCTGTTGTCGACGATGACCGGGAAAGTACAAGAAGACGGAAAGGAGAGTGGTCACTGGTGACGGAACAGGGCGCGCGACCACAGGGCATCCCTGCTGCCTAACATGGTAGCTGACCAATTCTTGTGACACCTCATTCGCACTCAACTCATATCATTCGCAGTCAATTGGAGGCACAGTTCCCCCAGAATAGAACGCAGCGACTAGGTTACCACGCGGCTGAGAAGATGTACACATGCAGTCATACGGGTGTATAGGTAGACAAATCCACGAGGAGAAATCACGATGTAGACTGTTTGGATTTTTCCTCTCGTTTCTTGGCCGATTGCAAGGACTTTTTCCGCTCTGCGAGCTTCACGTTCTAAAGGAACGGTATATGGTCAATTACATGCGTTTATAATTTCAAAAAAAGGGCCATACCTCCGCAGCACGTTTGTTCTGGCTGTACTTCATCTTCTCGTACAGCTTCCGCTGTTTGTTGCTCATCATCATTTTGTTCATGTCCTGTTCAGCATCGACTGCTCCCAGTGCCTGTGCCTTTTTCGCCTTCTTCTGTGACTTGACCACCTCTTTCTCAAACATCCCGTAGTCCACGCCGGCAGCTTCCGCCGCCAGTTCCGCCGCACGGAGTGCACCAATATCATCGGTTGCAGCCGTCGCAACCTTGAGGGCGGCCGTCTCCTTCGCTTCCTTGGCTGTCTCTTCGTTGCTGTCCTCCACCTCCTGCTTCTCATCTTCGACTACGCTCGCTGTTTCGCTTGCGTCCTCCTCCATGTCGCCATCCACAGCCATAGGATCATAAGCACCCTGCTGCTCGCCGAAAGGACTCAGATGAGGAGGCAAAATCTTGCCCTGTGCGTATGGTTCCTCCAGTAGAATCTTCCCCGCATTGATGCAGTCCACGACCCACTGAGGCTGCACATACTTGCGTCGGTGCCGACGTTCGCGCTCGTCGTCCGTCTCGTTTGATCTCTCCACAATCGGCCGATCAATAATGACATGTGTTATCGAGTCGTTGGTCTCGTCGTACGGTGAACCCCCTCCGGATGATGCTGGCCAACCGATGGATCCTCCAAATGAACGGACGATGAATTCGAAAATAGGACGAGGTGACTCGCGGGACAAGAAGAAGACAAATGGTGCAAAGAGTTTGGATGGTTGCGATTGCGGCAGTGTGGAGAGTGTGTGGAGTGTTGGCAGAGCGGGGGTGGCGTCGTCAGGATGCGATGCAGACGGTCGGGACACAAAGTCCTCGTCAGCTGCTTCTTGTATCGATTCGACGACGGGCATTTCTACGTCAACACCATCTGATGTTGTGAGGGTTGAAGAGATTGTCTTGATCGTCTGTCGTACGTCTTTGCTCGAGATTTTCTTGCCATCAACCTCCACAGTCTTTTGTTTTGGAGCAAGAGCAGGCACAGCGTTGTGCGTAGCGTCCTGCAAGCTGAAGGCCCCTACGCCTGCAGCGGCCTCCTCCTTTGTAACATCCAATGGCGGAGGATAGACGAGACTGACGTCAGTATACAGCTTAAAGAAGACGAAGCCGAGTAATGTCTGGTATAGCTCTAGGAAGGTGAGCATAACACGGACGTCGACGTCGGAAGGAACCTTATGAGAGATATAATCATTTAAGTGTATGCAGTAAAGCATACTGAGCACCTACATTTTGGGTGAATTGGTATGGCACTAGCCAGGTGACAGTTTGGTCCATGACTTCAGCCTGGTAATACACACCCTTGATTGAAAGGAAAAGTCTTCGCAGCGAATGAGTGTGCATGACATATAGTTGCCATTCCGCGGCAAGGCGTGAGCAATTTTCGATGAGGGCGGGCGGGACACGGGAGTTTGAAGGAAGAGAAGCGAAGAGAAAGATCATACAAAGTGCATCGTCGATATCTCGGACAGCGTCGATGAATGTAGGGTACCTATACATGCTCCGCTGTTATGAACAATTCTCAAACTCCAAACTGGTGAAGACGTACCTCTCCTTGATGATATGGTCTAGCCGGTGAACTGGCTTATGATCATCGAGACTTTTAGCACTACTCCACTCCCCTCTTCCCAAGGCGCGAGCCAAACGTTTGGCGAAAGCCTTATGCTCGCGAAGTTTCTTCAGCACAGGCTCATGCTGCAGGTATGCAATGTCCTTTGTATAGTAAAATGATGTCGGCGCAGACGAGCCCTTGTTTGCACGCTTCTTGTGACGAGGTTCGCGCGGGAAGATACCTGCGTAATGAAAGGAAATGTTATTGCAAGCAGCCTGCAAAGCTACACGGATCGCACATACCTTTGAGAATACATAACCGCCTGAAGTCTGCCAGTGAACACTGCAGCTTTTTGATCGCCATGGAGCGAGTGATGTAGGCCTTGGCAGCGCCAGCCTTACCTTTTTGCCTTAAACGACCCATTTTTTTGGTATCTGTAAGAGGGAGGGAAGTGAAGTTGGAGGTGAGAAAAGTAAAGCCAAGTACTTGAAAGCAAAAGCAGAAGCGCAGACCGCGTTTCCTAGATCCTTGGCGGAAGTGAGCGAGCGGGGTCTGATTCTGCCGAGGCTCGCGTCTATGTGATAGGACCGGCGGCTTCGGCATGCTCAATGATCGCACTCCGACAAACTTTTCCTTCAACAGCCCTCAACATCGCCACACGAATCCGAGACGAATATCTTGACCCTCCGCGACAATGAGGTACGATCCCCTTGCTCCTTACAACCTTCGATCGCGCTAAATCAGGATGCTTACAGTCAGTACGTTCATATACCGAAGTCCGAGCTCGATGAGGCACAGTTGCGACAGCTGGAGGAGCATGAGATCAGCCAAGGACCACTGTCGGTGCTGCAACAAGCCGTCAGAAACCACACACAGGTCTTGATCTCCCTCCGAAACAACAAGAAGCTTCTTGCACGCGTCAAGGCTTTTGATAGGCACAGTAACATGGTGCGTGCCCCCTCTGACCACTTTTGGACTCAATGGACTCATACATATCCCATGATTGGTCCAGGTCCTTGAGAATGTCAAGGAGGTGTGTGCGTATCGAATAAGATGAGCTGCGACTGAGTTGCTTTTTAGATGTGGACCGAAGTTCCAAAAGGAAAGAACAAGAAGCCTGTGAACAAGGATCGGTTCATTAGCAAGTTGTTCCTAAGGTCAGTATCCACAGAGTATAATCTTGGCCGTTCACACTCATGGCCTTTTTCTTTCAGAGGCGATTCCGTAATTTTGAGTGAGCATTCATCATCACACATGATCTCATCGTTTTTTTCTGACACTCTATCTAGTTCTGCGTAATCAGGCGTGAGCTTCGCGTGCCTACTGTTACTTGGAGACACACTCTCTTGCAAATTTTTCTCTCGACAACCACCAAAATTTGAATCTTCTACGTTCTCGGTCACCTTTCTGTGTCTGAGAATGTTTGTTGTTGTCACAAGCACAGCTGGTTATTTTTGAAACATGTATGTAAAACAGCATAACAACCCTTCATTATGCAACCTTGATATCATTGACAATCAAGTACGGGGTGAATACACTCAAGCCTTTTGCACGCTAATTATGCATCAATTACGATGGCAAATGACCATGGCCTACCCGTAAACGAAACGCAATTTCGTGACGGCTATCATTGTACGAATCCAGCGCGACTCTCCGGAATCCCAACGCACCTGGCTTGGAACCGACGTCAAAAGTCTTAAGAAAAGCCGACATTTACCATTGCGAGGAAATGTATTTCAGCTTTGACTATACCATCGCAATTTCCACGACATGGGCTGTTATACATACGTCAGAGGACCACTTGTAGTTTCGCGTACCTGACGAAGAGTTCCAGACATACGTTGCAGTGGAAAGAAGGAATCACGCACTGAACCCGAGGTTATCATCAGCGAGACGCAGGAAAGTAGTGTTTCATGTCGCGGCGACCTGCTTTAAGGGCATCCTCAATAGCCGCCTGAAAATGCATGGGATGATCAAAAGCTGGGACTAAGAAATGCATATCCAGTACCACGTCTTGGAGATGACGTTTCCGTTCAAATTCAGCACGGATCCAAACGATGGTCTCTTCCCTGGCTACGACGTCAGGAATCGCTAGTGAACCAATGATAAGGCCCGAGGGTTGAGGTAGTGAGGATGAAAGCGAAGAGTTACATCGGGAGGCGCGGATGGCGGAACGGAAGAGATCGAGGGCTTGTTGCTTCAAAATAAAATGCTTGAGGGTGGGCTGGTGCATTCCCAGCAGGCGATGGGTGTGAGGAGATGGTTCGGGGGCAGGAGAGTGCAGAAGGCGATATTGAGGGCAAGAGAGAGAAGAGGATGTCCGATTCTGGCAATTTGAGTGAGCCAGTAGTGTGACAGGGCGCTTGCACCCTTGTCGTCCTGCCTTCACAGGTCCTCCCAAACTCAAAACCTCCATCGCCTCCCCTCTTCCTCTTGTCCCTTCCCTGTCATGTCTCCAGCTCACAGTAACGATCTCGCAGCCACATCCTCGCCCACGTCGTTGCCAGCGGCTGGTGATGGCGTGGCCGATAAAGTCGCTGACGCAATGGAAAAAGTCTCAATTCAGGACGAACAACAGACACACGAATCCCTCTCCGGCGGCCTCCCCCAACCCATTCGCCCTTTCATCACATACAGTCGTGCTCAATGCCTTGCTTTGCACAAGTCTCCCCTGGTCAGGCTACCTGACGGCATGCCACCGCTAAAGGACTGGTTCGGGTACGTGCCTATGTATGTTACAGACCACGTAGGTAACACATCTCTGCAGGGACTGGAATGAGCAGGTATCCAGCAAAAAGGAACCAGAACCTTCCACGGCACCTAGCACCGCTAGGGATAGGCGGTGAGTCACATCCGGCTCCCAACATGCCTGTAAGCTTAAGCGGCCCCCTTTCAGCTTTCGTCGTGATCAGGAAGATGGAGGTAAGCCTATCCACACTAATGAAGCATGAGGTTAACTAATATACATTCGTTGAACATCTGTAGAGCCTCTCCCTCGCGCGACTTTTCGCTCAGGTCTTTCTCAGCCTTCTCAGATGGGCAATTTCAAGCATCAATCCATCCGGACTACAGATCGAGACCGAGACCGAGATGGAGACAAAGACAGAGAACGGGACAGAGACAAAGAAGGGCACGAGAGGTTGCGAAGTGTACGTTGCGCACAGTGTCCCGTCAGGGAGATGCCTAACTTCGATGCAGCTTTCGGACAAGTACGATCGCGACCGGCTTGGTCTTCCTGCTACCGCTGCCAATCTACGAACGCGAGAAAGAGACTCTGCCCCTCATTTAACCCCGGGTACAAGCAAGTTAGCTGCCCAAAGCCCTCTTGGGCCAGGTGCGGCACGTAGGGCTGATGGGCGAGAAGCACCGAGGCGGAAGCTCGAAACGAGTGAAGATTGGCGAAGAGGTACGTCATTCTCATACATTGTCGACGGTTCCTCATTCTGACTGCTGCCTGTCAGGTCGCGACGATCGTGAGTTTGCTTGCCTATAATTAGAGTCTTCATATTGTGATTCATCGTCCTCGCTAACGTGTGTTCTCTATTTGTAGGGGCAGACGGGCTGCGCAGAGATCGTGACGACCGTGATCGACCACGTTCCCGTGTTCGTGACTCTTCGAGAAACCGTCGTGACCCATCTCCACTTCGACGAGAGCGTGATCGCGAAGACCGAGACCGTTACCGAGGCCGAGACAACGATGATCATCCACGACGCAAAGAGACCAAAGATGATCCTCCTCGACGCGACAGAGATCACGATCGTGAGACCACTGATGATACTAGGCGTTGGAGGGATGATGGGAAGCGAGAAGAGAGATTGGCCAGGCGCGAGAGGGACAAGGACAAGGACAAGGGAAATGGTGCAGGAGGCGAAGCAGCTTGGGATCACGATAGGCCGCGCGACCGTGACCGCTGGAACATTGTTGACGACCGGGAAGGTCGCTCAAAGCGACAAGGTGGTCGGGAACGACGTGCTGCTAGCCGAGAAGACCGAGACAAGGACGAGCGCAGAGACAAGGAGAAGGAGCGAGAGAAGGAGAAGGAGCCTGCTTGGATGGACACCTATATTCCCGCCAGCAATTCGTCTGGCGGGATTTTAGGAGGCAAGTTGGCGGACGGAGAGCTTGACAGCATTCAGACCTGGAAAAAAGGAATGAAGGAGAAAGAGCAGAAGGAGAAATTGAGCGAGGTTGGCAAAGGGCAAGCAGAGGGCGATTCGATTGAGCCTGGAAAGTCCGAGACCACGGCCACGACGGCTCCCCAGATGGACGAAATCCAGCTGTTCAAGATGCTGATGAGGCGTGAGGATGATAAGAAGAAGTTGGACGCTGGCTCAGAGGGCTTTGCAGACACTCCCGCGGCATCCTCCCCCGCTCCGGATCCTCTTTTTGTGGCACTTGCTAAGGCAAAGGAGCAACCTGGGCGTTCAGGAGCTTCCACCGGTGAGCACTACTTCCTAATTTTGACGAGTTTCGTGGCCTCACCCAAGCTTCGAATTAGCTAAAGACGCTTTTGAACGTGATGCTGTTTCCACTGCTACACACGGTCAATCTCACGCTTCAACCCTACCTCAACCCTCAAACAGTCCCGCACCGCATTTCTCTCCCGAATCGCCTTCCGACGGCCGTCGAACATTGCTTTCCATCGTCACCCCTTCTACGGCAGACCACGCCCTTCCTGGTGCACCCAAGCCATCGACGCCCTTGGAGTCACCACAGGTCGTCGGTTCTCGTTTCTTCCCTAACCCTTCCCCGTCCGAAGGCTCATCGGTCCATAACCAGCTTATGGAGAAAACTGCGAGCGGTCTGATCAAGTCTCCTATTCCTGCGCAGTTCAATCCTCCTCCGGGTTCTCGTCTTCTTTCCTTTGGTTCCCGTACGCCTTCGGTCACGAGTTCGGCTAAGGGTCTTGCCTCTGTGAATCATCCACCTGGCCTTTCGCAGCCTCCTCAGCAACAGCCGGGCATGCACTCGTTAACCTCGAGCCCATTCTTGTCTGACGTCTCCCGTATGGGATCTGAACATGATACGCTTAACGGTTCGATGAGAGGTCCTACCATTGATATATCCCGTTCTCAGCGTGGCTTCTCTCCATTTGACCACCAAGCGAGGTCTTCATTCTCACTAGAAGACCAAGAAGCATATGCGCACGCGGAGGCATTAAGGCGGCAGTCGGTGGTTTCTATGGGCGAGCGCTCACAGTTCGGTATCCCGCCTGAGTCTGCATCTCCGTATTCCGACTTGAGCGGGGTCAATCCTATGACGGGTCAAGGTCTTCGCCTAGCTAATCACAGTCCATCGTTTGATGGCCCGCTCTCTTCCAATGGTCCCGGCGGATCTCAATATCCTCAATCAAAGGGTAGTCGGTTCGCCAAATTCTTCGATGGCAAGACACGGGACGCGCAAGCGTCAGGTATGGTAAAGGGACAAACCATCATAGGGCATTCATCCCCGTCGCCTCTGGCAGTTCGGCGGCACGAAACAGGAAGCACAAACGATATTTTCAATGTCGCTAACGGCGATGGCAGGACTATGGAAGACATCTTTGCGATGTTGCAGAGCTCTACACAGGTACTTGTGCTCTTCTTTTGATGTCGTTTCATTCTTCGAGAATTGATTGTTTGCGACAGGGTCAACGACTGAATACCGTCAACACTCTCAACCAGCTGTCGTCTGTCAATAACGGCTCATACGGGCAGGCGCCATCGAACATGCATACAGTGCATCATCCACAGCAGAATTTCACTCCCGCTCGTAACCTTGATGTCCTCTACGATAACCGCCTCGACGATCGCAATTTTGTCCCAGATGGTATGGTCCCTGGTTTACGCTCAATCCCTCCACCGAGAAGAGAGAACCTTTTCCATGATCAAATCGATGATTCTATGGCATTCAGCGTTCACGCGCGTCTGCAGCCGCAGCGCAACATGGATCAGATGTATCCGAGCCCTAGCCAGATGCAGTCCTTGTACTTACACCAGGGAAGCAATCAACGCAATAATGGTCTACCTCCTCAACAACCTTTCCGCAACGGAACTTCGCCGATCCCCGTTCAGAACCCACAGCTGCAAGTCATTCCTCAGCAACGATTACCACCTGGTTTGGCGAATCTCGGTGGGCGTCCACCTCACGAGCCTTCACAGTTCTTGGGCTCGCCCATGGGAATGTCGTCGGGCGGTATTCCTGGCAATGGTCCCACCCCACCCTTCAACAACTTCTCCGGAAACGCCGGCTATTCTGCTGGACCGCAGATGCGTGGACCTCCGCCAGGCCCTCATCAACTGCAGAACCCGCTTGGCCACAACCCCATGGTGGGACTCGGACACCCGAACAAAATGGACCTTCGTGGTGGGCCGGCACAGGCTCAACTACTTGGAATGGGTGGTGTCGCTGGCGGTGGTCTTCGTGGTCCTGGGAGTGGATTTGGGCCTCAGCAGGGCCCCAATGTTCAGCTGCAAGCCCAGCACCAAGCTCAGCAGTTGACAATGCGACAGCAGCAACAGCAGCTCCCGCCGCACATGATGCCTCACCTCCTACCCCCGCACCTTCAGCAGCAAGGTCCGCCTGGTGCGACCAGCCAGCCTGCTCATGACATCATGGCTCTGCTGATGGGTGGCCCTCCGCGTAATTGAGCGCACGCGCCCAGTTATCTGCATATTGTTCGCTCTACTTCATCGCTCATCCTCACCCATTGGACTGCGCAGACGCACTTTCGCGCTCGCGGGTGTAGATCATTTGCCTTCCTTTCGTTTCGTCATTTTTTGTCTTGTTTACTGCTTTCCTTTCATACTCTCTCTCTCATTCAGTATACACTCGTCTTTAACAGTGCAATGGTGGCTCGTCGGTCTGTTTCTTTTTTTTGTTACGCATATCACATCCTTTCCCCGTATCTCCTGATTGTAAGAATCGCAAGCCTTAATGAGACACGATGGACATTGGCGGCTAGATGCTGCATGTACATTTAAAACCTCAGAGTAGCATTACATTACACGTGGCGACAAGGCGACAGTTGGTCCTATCTTTTGTTGGCATAATCGGTAAATGTCTTCCTATGCCTCGATGCCGGTTGAGACCGATTGGTCGTGACGAAGCTCTTATGCGATTTTTGCGGGCATAAGGGTCTGCTCACGCGTCAATCACAGTGCGCTCACACGAGAACAGAAACGCACAGTCACCTGGCTGTTCGCAAATAGCAGCATGATTCCTCACAATCGACGTCAGCCCAAAAGGAATCATCAAGGAGAGCATTCAAAAAGTGATAGACTGGAAGGTGGAAGGCGCGAAGGGGGCCGGAAGGCGCTCCCTGGTGTACAAATCTGGGTGTTCCGGGTTTGGAAATGACAACGGGCTACGATCGATGCTCGTTGAGGAGAAAGGTAAAGCCTGAACTGCATCGGTGGATGAGCTCGAGGGCGGGAATCCGTGCACTGGTTCGCGCAGGGAAGATGGAGTTCTGGAAAGCAGGGCAGTCGTTGTTTTCTGTATAGTCCATAGTTACTTTGTCTGCATATGGCAAGTTGTTGCCAGCGATGGAGAGAGTTGTCGCACCAGTGTGTCGGGGCTCCCATCGGGAGTGCAGATCTCAGATTTCCCTGTTCCGCGGGGCGGCTCGGCCGAGTGCGTCCGCATACGGTTAAAGCATGCCCACACAGGCACTCGCCCGTCCCAGCTTGCGCTCGCCACGTCAACACGTTTTACCAAAACAGCAGCCCACATCGTCCCACATCTCCAGCCCCCCATTGTGTACGCGACGGCTGCTGTGCCTCGCGCTCGAGAAGGACGAGACAATACGAGCATCTCGAGACACGATCCCTCGCGTGCTGCGGTCGCGACCGATAATAGCGCCCAATTCTGAGACTCGTCAGGCTCGGATTGCGCGCGGTGCATGCACAGAGCAGAGGCGTCGATTCCCTGATAGGCGCCGTGGAGACGTGAGAACTCGCGCGATGCTCGTGAGCTCCCTCTGGCCTGTCCGGTTGACTACTCCCATTAGGCCTTTAGGTCTTCGGGCATATGATACCGCCAAGATAGCCTGTTTCTCACCTCTTCGTTGCGCTAGAGAGCGTCCGTCGCCCACGACTCGTCTTCCACCTCCCCAGAGCAGACCTTCTGCCTCCATGCTCTGCACCCGGTCCTCAGAACGCGGCTGTCAATTCGCTCTCATACAGTGTCCGAAGATCGATGTGAACCGTGCTACGCGGGGTCGGCACCACGTGTACTTATCCGGAGCCAAGCGGAGGCTTCGGGACCGCCCTGCACCACATTTGAACCGACTCGGACGGCGCTAGTCTGGTCTGCCCCTTCCATCGCTACGCCTTCGCCACTGATCTGCGTGCCTTTGCGGGCGTTGTCCGCGGTCCACGACGAATCGGCTGCCAAGGCTAGGTTCGAGCCATCGTGCTCGGAAATCCAGGGAATTTTGCGACCCATTTTCAAGTCGCGGATAAGTGTGTAGCCTCTGTGTCCATCGGGAACAAGCCTGTTCGGCTCCCCCGTGCTATGAATACAACGGCCGCTGCCAAGGAGCTCCGCGTACGTCAGATCTGTGAGTGAGTATGGAAGTAAGCCTTAGTGGGGCGATGATGGCTGATAAGACGTGATTGATGGGAGGGCATTGGGTGGGTCAAAAGGAAGGTGGCGGGTTGCGAAGAAAGGCATGTAATAATACGCAGATTTGGTCCGGAAGCCCTGGATTACCGGTCTATGAGACTTACTTGCCATCTATAAATCGAAATGAACTGTCGGCTGAAATCGTGCACACCAAGCTGATGCTGACGTCTCGATAAGTAGGCAGACCCGAAGATCTGGACAGCCTGGATGCCGGATCGCAAGCGCCAGTGGTTTGGTCTCGACTCGACTTGCGAGATGCGTCTAGCGTGCGGACTGGTTGCTCATAAATGTCTCGCAGACACTTACATAGACAGAGCTGGATGTCTTTTCTGAGAGAGACGGAAGACGCGCTGAACACGAGGCCACGCGACAACAGAACTCAGCTGACGTTACGTGAGTATCACACGCATTATGGGCGAATCACTGACGAGACTCTGCGGCCTGCCGGAAGGCAGAAAACGTGGTGTTATAGTTTCTCATGTACATACTTAGGGGTGATATCACCCGGTTAGCACATCTTGCATTGTCAACAAAACACGCCCTTCGCGCATTGCAGGCCCATCCGTCTTCAAAGGCAGCGTCGGCGATATTCAACTCATTTTCCTCACCACCCCGACCTTTACCTGCTCCCTTCGGTATTGCGGGGTCGGCACCGTGACCGCCCAGCATCGCTGCTCGGGACCTTTCACTCTGCGGCCTTAAGCTCTCGACTCTTCCGCCCTAGATAGACAGCTCACCCAGTCATTCATTCGTTCATCCGTTCGACCTCGATCCTTTCGCATTGCACCAGCTAATACAGCAAGCTTACTACTTACACCGTGGCCATCGTCTAATCCGTCCGACCATCGTCGAGACCCCCACCCGTCGTTTCCTTGCTATCTATCGGAACCCCTGCTGTAAGCGCTGGCCTGCTCCTCGATACGAACGCTGCGAGAGTGGGCTGATACGCTGTCTGCCGCGGGATTTTCAGACGGAAGTTTGGAGCTGGCCGATTGTGTCGCAGGTGAGAACATTGTCGGCATTGTTGTGGGTCGCGAACACGAGTTGACGAAGAGTTTACGTGCTGCTGTGGATGGACAGAACACACTGCAGCGTACTGGAGCAAAGCAACGTCTGGTGAGACATGTCCTACGTCATAAGCGCTCTTGCCGATGTCGAGAAACGTGGGGGCGTGGGAAAGCCGTAAATGGAATTGGGTGCGGGCCGACGGCCGATCGTCATCGAGCAGCAGTCATCGAGCGCGGTGTCGGGAAGATGTGCGATCGCGACGATGGCTGCATCATCGGTGGTATGGCGCTGTAGCATAGAGGCTGTCTTCCCTGCCCCCCGCGTGGCGTGTGTGTGTGTGCTGCGTCATTGTGCAGAGGAGGCGAGAGAGACGGGCGCCTGCAGATAGGATCAGATGAGGAGAGATGCGGGTGCGATTAGACATCGATGACAGGGTCGGGCTGCGGCCGGGACGAAGGGCCCTTTCACAATTTGAAGGGGGCTGAGTGCATGTTTTTCGGCCCTTCACACTGCTCGTTTCGACCATGTTACGACCACACGAGGGAGCCCGGCTTTCCGGCGCGCTTATATTTCTTTTGTTGGGCACGTTTTCGCTGTTTCTCTCTCGCTCGCATTGCCCTCGTCGTCTGCGACGTGGGCTTCTTCTCCTTTCCTGTCTCCATATCTTTCACGACCTTGTACGCTGACCACAACGACTCCCGCCCTGGATCCCGCCCAGACCAGCACCCGCCCCCGTCCCTGTCCCCGTCCCTGTCCCCGTTCCTGCCGCCGCCGCCCTGCCCTGCCGTGTGTCGACTTTGCCATCGCACATACGCCAGCCCACTGCCCCCCGTCCTCTTTTGGCGAATTTGACACTCGACCGACCCCGAAACCGAAGAGCCCGCGCATCCTACGTTTGGTGAGTGCTGTTGTGTCCAGTGATGCCCCGCGATCGTCTCAAGTGCCACTGCCGTCTCGATGTGGCGTCTCCTCTGGGAGGGTCGCCCAAGGGCCTCCCCTCCTCTTTTACCCCTCTTCTTTGGGTCATGGCTGGTCCATTTATGTCCGTGGCCCATCGTCCTCGCCGCTCCCCGTTCTTGCTCCTTCCCTCTACCTTGTCCGTCCCAGTCCCGTCCCCTGCGACGAGCGCGATAGCCTTGCACCATGTCTCTCCCTCCCGTCGTCCCATGCGCTGACCCTCTCTCTTCCACCCCCCCTCTCTCCCACCGACCCCCTACCTCTAGTCCTCTCCCGCTTCAACCTCAATCCGCCCTCGTCTCTCTCACCGCACCCAACATGAAGGACCTTCCCACCTCCTCCACCCGAGCCGCGCGCTCAAGTGTCTATTCCAAGAAACGTCCATCTCCAAATGGCATCTCCAAGTCTCGCAGGCAAGGCTCCCCTCCAGTGTCTTCCCGCAAGTCTCCTCGCGCCGCACGCGTCGAGCTCATGCTCCAGCGCCAGCGAGAACAGCAGCTCGCCGCTATGCGGAGGGATGGCGTTCTGCTCGAAGACGAATATCGCGAAGAAGTGCGGTACTACATGCATGAAATGGAGGTCAGTCGTCTGCCTCCGACTGATCTCCTCGTCCCGGGCTCACGTCTTCCAGCGCTACACGATGGGTTCAACCACATCCATGGACCAGCAACCAGAAATCACGTGGCGTATGCGTCCTTGCCTGGTCGAATTTCTGGTCGAGCTACACTTCACATTTCGACTGCGCCCCGAGACGCTCTACCTCACGTTGAACATTGTGGATCGATATGTGTCCCGCCGCGTGGTCTACATCAAACACTACCAGCTCGTCGGTTGTGCGGCGCTCTGGATTGCTGCCAAATTCGAGGACGCAAAGGAGCGTGTGCCCACTGTTCAAGAACTTGTTCATTTCTGCCGCGAGGCCTATGACGAGTCCGCCTTCATCCAGATGGAGGGGCATGTTCTCGCCACCATCCAATGGACGTTGGGCCACCCAACAGCTGAAGCCTGGCTCCGGTTTATGTGTTGTGTCCCGTATATGGAGGAACCACGCGTCCAGCATGTCGCGCGCTTCTTGATGGAGATCACTCTGTTCTACCGAGAGTTTGTCAAGTACCCGCCGTCGTCGATCGCCCGTGGCTCATTGACACTCGCCCGGTATCTCTGTGGCAAAGGAGGCTGGATGTTTGAGGAAGAGACGAAGGAGTGCATGGAGATCGTCGATTCTCTCGACAATCGTCTCGCGAACCATGTCGACGATCTGTCGGAGATTTTGGTGAAGAAATACTCCTACGCATTCTACGCCAAGGCGTCGACGTTCGTGGTGCAATACTACCTGCAGGGAGGACGTTATATTCGTCCATCCCTCCCCCTCCCCATGACACCCGTTCGCTCCACCATGACTGCTGCCAGTACTCCGATGAGCGCCGCGACTAGCGTTTCCGATCTTTCCGACGATATGCCTGCCACCCCGACTAGCCCGGGGTTCTCAAGCGATCCCTTCTCCGGCTCGCTGATGTCTGACGACGACAAGGAAAACCTATCGTCCCCCAAGTTTGAGCCAGCGGTCAACAAGCAGCACTCAGAGAACCCTCCGGACCACTTCTTACCACACGACTTTGTTACGTTCGGTCGTCCCGCCCTACATGCCCTCAATGGCCCTTCCCCTCGTACGATGGTGGCATAGGTGTCTAAAACACGGCGACGGTCCGTCATCCCGTCGCGGTCCATCGAGAACCTGACATACTCCACTTCATCCTTGAGTGCACACATTCACATCCCGCAAAATGTATCACCATACACGCCTGTCGTCGACGCATCGGTCTCGTGCAATTTCTGTCTCTGCAATCCTCATCATCCATGCATACTCTCTTTCTTTTGCACTGTTTCACCCCATCAATCTTCCATCGCTATCTTCGACTGGAGACGCATGTCCCACACAAAGCAACGAGGTTTCCTGGTCGCATTCGACCTCCCCGTGTATAATCGGCCTTTGTGTCCCTCATGTACAACCAATGGACTCCTCTGTCGGATCCTCAGTCTCTTCGTCTTTGTCTCGTGTACGGCATAGCGACTCCCAATGCACAACACCACAATCGCTCATTCTGCGAATCTCTCTCTCTCTCTCTCCGTCTCTATCCCTCGTATGCAAACCTCATCTTCGTTACACACCATTACCCCCTTATTTCTCTTCTAGTTCTCTTACGTGTGAAGTTGACAGCCTAACAGTCCCCTTTCACTGGTCTTATTCCTTCTCCCATTTTATTTTATTCTTCATTTTACCATACCTATCTTTCGTCTTTACTTCTCGGCCGTACACTTCTGATGGTCTATCGCATGGCGTGACTTATCATATTCCTTGTTATTCTCCGTTCATCATCATCCGAACTCGAGTCCTTTTCCCATCACCCTCTTCTATCTTTTACCTTCGCCCATTGTGTTATATTTCACATCGTCATGTTGCAACACCCGTCTTCCGACTCCCTGTCGTCTTTACATCGCCGGCCTGAAGGGATGCATCGTCATATCTCGCGCAGAGTGTCAGCTATACAGTAACAAGGGTTCCTGAATCGCATTTATCCAGTATTGAGCACAAGACCTGCTGAGCTTGATGAGGCAATCTGAACCGGTGATTCACATTCTTGATGGCGAGCGTCGGATGGCTGTATCGCGTTCGGCTTGCAGTGCTTGCAGGTGCTTGTCGTCCACAAGATCCATGTGAGTGTCTACTAGACTTCCATTCTTCATCAATATTATTGAACTTAAACCTGCGTTCGGCACAGATGATCCTATCGGAACTGGCTATGCACTGAGCAGGAAATGACTTGCACCCTTTGGCGCAATAAAGGCACGGCGGCTAGTGAAATTCTAGAGTCAGGTACGTTCGATGGAGCATGACGTGGAAACCATATGCTCTCATATGCTTTCTGACTGCTCAGCCTTGTCCGACCAATAACTCATCAACATCAGTTCCCGGCGAAATCATATCTGCTGTTAGAAACCTCACCTGATCAGCACTCAAGCTCCAGCTCAGCGCTCGATGTCACGAATATTGCGGAAATTACAACGGTTCCATATTCCAACATGCTCCCTGCTCCTGTGTGTTCTCTTTGCCTTTCCATGCTCACTCGGAAAACTTCCGAACGCACTAGCACGCATTTAACATCTCCCTGACTCCTCGGATGGCCGGGGACGAAAAGAAGGCGGCGGTTGTGTGATTGAGAGCTCGCGATGGCCAGCATGATATCAGGCATCAGAAGGATCGCGTACTGACTACTCTCTTACGCTGCTCGAAGGCGCAGACACGTATGTACGTGTGTGTTGTCGACACCGGAGCGCCCATTGCTTGTGAGAGGTTACATATTTACATATCTTATATCCATACCGCTATTCCTATAAGTAATACACGTCGTATTTGTCGATAACAGGACCCGCCTTTACCTGCTGTTACGAACGGGTTCGCGCGCTTACTCGAGGACCCACTGCTCTCCGACCTTCTTGATCCCCACGGCCCTCTTCTCGTCTAGGCTGATACGGCCCGCATTCAAGATGGCGGTCGTGAGCACCGTGTTCGCGATCGTGGGCAGCCCGTGCTTGTCGAACTCGCTTGGGCCGACTTCTTTCGCGTTGACGCTTCGCGCTGCGTCGATGAACTTCTCGATCGAGACGTAGCCGTAACCACGTTGGCCATCGAAGTGCCCGCTCTCCGAGGGCGAGTACTTCATGCTGGAGGCCCAGACGACATTGATGTCAGCGTTTGGAGAGGAGTCAAGGAGACGGGAGAAAGCGTACTAGAACGGGTTGTACCACGATTTCCCGGTCTCGTCGACCGTGACATCGTATCCGCGGTGAGCTTGATCGACGGTGATATCGCCCTATCGTAATCGTGAGCGCAAGATATCGCGTCAGAATCGCAATCGGTCGAGGGGCATGGCACCGGAGGGCACCGGATGGCAATCTTTCGAACCGTACCTTTTCTCCCATATAATACCAATGCTGTGCCGAATGAACACCGGCCTTCAGCGGCGCAGTCCATGACGCTGTATAAACTGCGGTGCCCTTGTGCTTGGAGCTGCCGATCGACTGCCAATCGACAAGGAGCGTGATCGTGTCCTCCGTCTGGGGAACACAGTTGTATGGCTCGCTCGTTGCGATGCCTGTGGCAGCACTTGCGACGACACGCGTGGGGACCGCCTTGTCTTGAAGAATCCAGCAGCAGATGTCGATGTGGTGCGATGAGAGGTAGTAGCTATAGGTGAGAGGCAAGATCCTCAGCTTCGAACGCCGTACAGATTCTGCTAGTCTACGCACCTAATATCTGAGTCTTTTCCGGCCCACGCGCGAAATGTCTCAAGCTGGCTCTTCGGCTGGCTCATCCACGCGTTGAAGAAATTGAACTCGCCCAGCTGTGCTGCGCGCGCGCGGGCATCGCTGTAGACAGGGTCGAACCTAGTCATGGCAGAAACATCAATAAATGTGATGGGAGGTGCAGGTAAGATGCAAAAAAACCGTTTGTGGTGCTCGACAAAGCAAACAACATCGTTTTTCTTTGCAAGGGTAATGAGATCCAAGTGGTGCGAGAGGAGCTGAGTTGCCGGTTTTGTGACGAGGACGTGTAACCTGCGCTCCAGAGCGTACTTTGCGATAGGGTAGTGAGTACCTAGGTCGACTGAGCCCTGCTATAAACAGGTGAGTAAGTGATATCTCAGCTCACTATCTGGTGTGAAGATGATGACTGCATCTCCAGGTGAAAGCCCATCAATCGCTGTCTTGTCTGCACATCAAAAATCCGCACCGTCAGACACTGCCATCAACCTACACCTGTCCATGTTACGTACAAGCCTCCGGATCTGTTTTCCCCTCCTCCGGAAAATTGTCAAATCTGCAAAAATCAGAAATTATAAGATAGAGTGGCTGAAACGGCAACATGCGCAAACTCACGAGATATCCATGTCCTTGTACACATGTGCGATGTTTTCCTGCAGATGCTGTCTGATAGCGGGGAATTTGCCGCCGCTGACGCCTGCCATACCAAGCTTGCCGACCTGGATAGATTTGAGACACAAATGAATTAGACGTCACCTACCACCGAACGAGCAATCGAACCTTGCCCAGTCTGCGGAGGTCGAACAGAGTTAATCCTACAACCTATGTTATCATTTTCAATTATGCTTGGGCACAACAAGTAGAAGGCAAGGTACTGACACCAATCTATCGACATAGGTCAGCACGATCAACGCGCATAAATTGGTAGCGCGATCGTTCACCTTCTTGTCTGATTTCGACGCGCCTGATGCTGTCCATCCTGTGGTATACTCTCCCTGCGATTTTGCGTTCACTAGAGGGTCCCAGCTCTGAAGATTCGTCTAAATCACTCACGGTACCACCTGGTTTAACATCTCATGAGCACCCGCATTCCCAGACACGGATATTGGACCACTCACACATCAAAACATTCAATTTCTTAAGTCCGTCAGACATCTTCAAGTGTCAGGTAATTATGCAGGTAGGCAGCGAGGTCGATGGCGAGAGATGGACAGCTATATCCAGCCATCTCTGTCTTTAAGTGGAGGGTGTCACGCACGCTGGCCCGCTGTTCTAACGGAGGCAGCGGCCCGCCCACACTTCGGTCCGGAGCTGTCCGGAACTCACGACGCCAATGACCTCCTCAATTGACAGGACAACTGCTTCAACACGGTGACTAACCATGCTCAAGCTCACCAACGCACATAAACTCCTCCATGGCTCACACTTGAGCGGCTCTTGTTTCAGATCAATGCCATAGCGCTTCGTCTTGGGCGCATCGAGTTCAGGGCCCTTGAGCTGCTTACGGACAAGGCTAGACAAGGTCGATTCTGCGAACAGAAATCCTGGGTGGAACCGGTCAACAACGTCAGCTCTTTTACAAACAGAATATAATCTCACTGGCCTACTAATCTGCGGAATGCTTCTCAGGCGCGCACCCAAACATGAACCTTGAGTGCATGTGGTCTCGCTTCTCGATATAAAGCGACTGCCGTCAACTCGCAAATCGGGCGTGCGGTTTGCCAATCCCTGCTCCCTATGCAAATGTACTTACATGGTTGTCAAGAAGATCCGCGAGTGCCTCCCATACGTAGCCGTATATGGGATCAACAGCCTAGGATCAGCAACTGCTCATGCATCGACTCCTTCGCAAAGCGCATCATTCTGCATAACCCCACATCCCCCCACGTTCTAGCACATTGCGAGACAGTCTCGCCCTATCAACTTCATGCCGCCTGGGATCTCAGAGTTGAATCTGTACACACATTGGAAATTATGAATTGTGCGCGTCGATTTGTACAGTGCAACTTGACGAATGAGGAAATGTGTTTGATGCGTGCCCTTGAAACCAGCGGCTCTGTGCGCCAAAGAAGCACGACACTGGCGGTCGTCGTCGACAAATCTATGCAGGGCCGCCTACAGCTGTGGAGAAATCGTCGTGGCTATGACGTCAATGGAGGCAGGGCGTGTTTGAGGTGACGGCGCCAACGTTTCTCTCATCTCACTTTTGTCTCCTTCACTGACCATGGCACAGTCGCCCGCACAGTCTAACACGCCCTCAGGCTCGGATCCTGCTTTCTTTCCAAGACGAGAATTCATACGCGACGATCGCATCCCTTCCACATTCTCTATCCTCGCCATCTCGGGCTCTGCTTGCATCAGGGTTTACAACTTTCTTCCACCACTCATATCCGCGCTTCGCACATTTCTCGACCGCGACCACCTCGTTACCGCTTTTCGTGAGGATGCCATACAGAACTTCTGCGAATTCTGCCTTGAAGGCAAGCCGTGGGCGAGTCCAAAGAGCACTTTCACAGAAAAGCTACTGGTAGACATATTGGCTCTGCTCTATCAGAATGGGTTCGTGTTCCTCTCCACTATCGACTATGGTCGCGAACAGGATGATCGCATCGCTATGGCATTTTCGAAGCCCCATACCTCTCCACCCACTCATTCCTCATCGTCATCGCCTCGACCCTCGTCTACCTTTAGCCGTGGATCTTCGGCAACCCTCAATCGCCCTCTCAAGGTCCCGTTCGCGATATCATTTCCTAACGCTACAACTTTGCGTGTCATATCACCTCCTCTTCATTCTACCCCAGCCATCCTGCAGACTGTCCGTGCCGCGTGGCCGCGGGGTGTTGTCTCAGAAAAGAAAATTCGCGACACGGTCTTTGAGTTCAAACTGAAAGGGTACAAATGTGATTTGCCTCCTCCCCTGTTGATCATTGCTTATGCTTATACTCAATGTTTGCGCCTCAGGGTTTCAGGAGGATACATTTGCGACGGATTCCCTTCGCCAGGTCCTCGCTCTCCTCGGATCTCTAGACTCCTATGGCTTTACACTTCTTTGTTCCATATCTATAGCGAATCGATCCCGTGTCAAAGACTTGTGGATATTCACTGGTATCTCACACGGGCCCTCCCCTGATACATCCTCTTCCAAAACAGATCTTCTCAAAGGTGACGTCTTCAGAGCGACGACGCCTGAGGGGATCGTACCATCCTCGAGTCATGGAAGGTATAATACATCTCCATATTTGGGACACCATGCGCATCTTGAAGGACATGCTCACACACGCATAACTCCAGAGAATGGACATGTACATCAGCCTTCACCGCTGTCGATGCACCACGCTGTCTTGCGGAAAGGCGCTCCGCGCGCGCAAGTACCCGTTTCAGTTGGCGTCTCGATTGACTCGCAGGAGAATATCCCTGCCATGCCTGGTCCTAGCTTCCCGCGCACCGAGAATGATCTTGTGCGCCTCCCCCTCCCCAGTACCGTCAGCAGCGATATCGATATGACCGGTATCGGAGCAGGAGGATTCCGGCTATCAGGACGACGAGACGAACGATACCCTCTTGGCTCCGGTCCGACCGTATTGTACACTGCTGGTCCACCAAACCCCTACTTTCCTTCGGTCACGGACTATGCTGCTGAGCCTACATCATCACCTGGTGCGAGCGCACTCGCGCCCTCGTCTCCGCATGTTGCTGCGGAACCTGAGAATCTTCATCCAACGGCGCAGTCAGCTCCCATTCCTCCAAGAACTCTACCGCGTCCCCCTATACTCGCGACTCGTCCTAACTTGTCTCTGCAATCGTCCGGTTCGACGACAACACCGCCTTTACTGGGACCAGGTGCGTTCCGTGATTCTGCGTTCAGCTCGAGCACGGGCCAAACATACGATATACCGATCACATGGACAGGTGAAGAACAGGAGAAGGCTACATTCAAGGAGCAGGTGACGCCTGAGTTACAGCTCCCTGGAGGATGGGCGAGTCCCGTGGAGGAGAAACAGGGAGAGCAGGCTGAGTTGAAGGTCCATCCGTCTATGGGTGCGCATGGACGTGGCAATGGAAATCTACCGGAGCTGAGGCTGGGAAAAGACAAGATACCCTTCACCCAGGTGGTCAAGGTCGCAGAGCCTGAACTCGTGCAGCCGGAGGTCGATCGGAAGAGCGAAATGGCTTTGCTGGGAGAGTTGCCGCGGCCGCAGAGGAGACAGAGAAGTGCCTCTGAGCAGGGAGAGAGGCTAAAAGAAAGGCCTAAAGGTGATGGTTGGGTCCTCGTCAACATTGGTCCCACCGGTAACAGTCCGGCGAGTCCTATGCCTCCTTCGCGCACCACCACCTCGCCATCTTTGCCGGCGCGGGTTCGAAGCGCCTCTGACCCGTCGCTTCTACATTTAACATCGCCCACCAGATTGACATCGCCTATCAGCGGAAATGCTAAAGCGAACACAGGCGCAAGTCGTACGGGCACGCATCCTTCTACCATGTCTCCCGCCGCGAAATCTATCGTCATCATTGACGCAATGGAGGCGAGGAAACCGAATGGCCATGCTCCTGGAGGAATGGCGAGTGCTCAGCCTTCTGCAGAGTCTCCTTCGAGCCTCCGTCGAGTTTTCTCACTCAATCGACAGAAGCCATCTGGCAAGACGCATCGGCGCACAACGTCGTCTACTTTGTCGCCATCCGCTGCCAACAGCAAACCCCGGTCAGGACAGGAGGAAGGTGAGAACAAGAAGCGTGTTGGGCTGATAGAGCGCTGGAGGAGATTGGGCACGACGGAGGCTTCAAGGGCCGCGCGCCGTGTCTCTGTTGATGGTGCGTAAGACTGAAGACGGTTGTGAGCTAATTTGGCAGTATTGGCTCCAATGTGTACGTGTACGAAGCCGGGTCTGTGACGCCGGCCGACCTTTTTTTTTCTTCTCTTACTTTCTTCACTTTCAATTCTCTCTCACCCCCACTTTTGTTTGCCTTACCTTGTCTTATCATTTTCTTCCATGTCTCCTGGATCTATACCTGTCGATTTCCCGACGCCCTGTATCATATCCACGCCCCACGATCAGATGCTACCTTTCCACATGCACCATCTTAGGTCTTGCCACGATTCTCAGCACGTTTGCCTTAATGCTAGTGACAGTGCTATTAGTTACGTACTTACGTGCTAGTTTGATAGAGGTTCACGATTATGCTCCACGATGGATGGTTTGATGACCGCTCGTCCTATTCAGCTACTTGATCAGACAGATTAATGCTCGTTATACACAGTAAATGGCACGACCACCACCCTGCATTCTTCTGTATGTTTGAGGACTGCGAATTCTCTCGTTGAGATGATCATGAACTCATGACGAGACGTTAAACGGACAAAGAAATGGTGTCTCGATAAATAAATCCAGCCACATAACATGGAACAAAATCTCTAACGTGAACATCCACGCACAGGTCGATCCTGAGAGCTTCATCGCCGCTTTTTATTGCCCCGATTCTTGGGCGTATTCGGTGCTGAATTAGGCTGTTTGGCTGCTACTGTTGATACAACGGCGCGCGGCTCTTCGCCGCTCATTAGCGCAGAATAGCTAGACAACGTTCAGTAGGAAACACTATGCGTAGCGCGAAATGTGTACCTGGATTTCAAATCCCCATTTTGTAGTGAGGTCTGAAAGTTAGATAATTTGGCTTGGTTCTCTTTGAACTCCTGCACCATCTCCGGATCCATGCTCTTCTGCACGCGGGGGTCAGCACATAACCATTCTCTGGGCATCCGTACACGGATTTGAAAACGTACCAATAAGTATGGCATTGAGAGCATCATGACACCACCGAAGACCATCATGAGCATCATTGGATTTTGGAACATCCCGAGGAGATTGAATGATTGAGGTGGAACGAAGTAGGCGTTTTGTCCACGAGGTGTGATGAGTATCGGGTATGATAGTTTGATAGATGATGGAGGGTTAAGAGGTGTTCCAGGCGCATAGGCTCGGACTTCAGGTGTGGAAGACTGGGTGGGAATATCTATCCGGAACTGCGTATTCAAGAAGTCACAGATTCAATAAGTGGTGACGACGAGGGTGTTGGATAAATATTACCTTGTCAAACTGATGGTTGTGCGAAACAACGGAAAGGATGTAAGTTCCTGGTTCTACGCTGGGACTAAATAGGGACGATGCCAGATGAGAGACACTTTATGGAATAGCATCGTGAACGTACATGAGAAAGCGGCCGTCTCGCGTTACGCTTCCTGATGCTACCGAGCCATCTAAAATCACTCTTGTGTGTCCCAAAGTAGAGGCATCTAGTCAAAGATCTGAGGTCAGCCACCTTAAGAGAGCTTGAGCAGGTGGATCATACATGCCTGGACAGTGCTCATTCCATGATATTTTACCGGCCACATCGACGGAGCAGACCTTGGTATATAAGGCACTATACACACTTGTAAAATTGAAATATCAAGAACGATACAGGGTTGAAAGTACCTCAGGAGGACCAGGACCGTTGCAAGACGGACCATGACGAATCGTTGCAGCGAAGTTGGCGTAGTGGCCCAAAATGGAAAGAGGTTAGAAGCCTTTGCACAATACAGCCAAATAAGACGACGTAAAGGAATTATCGTAGGCTCTCATTTGATCCCCTCGATCGAATAGTTTGCTCTGGCCGTCACTCAAGCCAACATAACATCATCATCAACTTACTGAGGCGCACCGCTTCTTGAACCAAAATGCGTCAGAAACGCGCCAAAGCGTATCGCAAGCTCATGTCGTTATATTGTCTCTCGTTTGGCTTCAGGCAACCCTACCAAGTCTTAGGTTCGTCAGGCCCTTCCACACGCCAGAAAATGATTCACGTCCTTCATGACCAGTGGACTCAGAGATGTGTAAAAATGCCGTCTCGCAAAAGCTTGACTTCACCAAGCAGCTCGGCACTGCCCTTCAAGGGGCAATCAAACCGAGTGCGTCTTCGACCCTCTCACACGCATGCCCGATCGCCCAAGTAACGCTGACATTGAAGCTTATGGCTAGTGATCACTCAGTGCTGTATCCACGAGTTGTACCTGCAAGGCAAGGCCCAACAACCAGCTGTTGACCTTGCAAAGATGTTTGAGAGGCGAAAATGCAATCATAAGGAGGCCATTCCTGGAGATGATTGTCTCGCAAGCGTTATAGGTGCGAATAGTTTTTATTTTCTTGCTATAGAACAATACCTCACGAATCTGTTGCTCGCATGAATTGTTCAGGCGACACGAACAAGCACCGCTACGTAGTCTCAACGCAGTCCCAGCCGCTCCGCGTCAAACTTCGTTCCATTCCTGGCGTACCCATCCTTCATGTAAATCGCTCTGTCATGATTCTCGAGCCTCCGAGTGACACCACCCTCCGCGCAAAACACCTTGTGAGTTTTGTTCATTCAGGTATTTATTTCACCGGCTTGATGATTCTTTTTCTGCAGGCTGAGCAGCAATCCCTTGCTCCTTCCACTTCCGAGATCGGCAAACTGAAAGCAGCCGCACCCGAATCTCAGCCTGTCAAAAAAAAGAAGGGTCCTAAAGGCCCGAACCCCCTTAGCATCAAAAAGAAAAAAGTCATTGAACCGCCAGCGACCAAGGTTAAGAGTGAGGAGCCAGGAAAGGGCAAGCTATCAGGAGAAGTGACCAAAACAGTCCAGAGCGAGAAAACCGGCGAAAAGAGAAAACGCCAGGAAGGGCATGCGCGTGATGGGGTTCGAGAACTTGCTGCAGACGATAGTACAGAGAGATCGGAACCTAAGAGAAAGCGACGGCGGAAGACCGTAAGCCAACGAAGGGGAGAGAGTCCTTTGCAGCCGTAGCACACCAGTGTCTAGTATGCCTATCTCATTTGTTATGACTGGAAATCGACTGTCGGTGGCTCGCAGACCTGTCCGAATATGGTCATTGCGTCGGAGAGTTTGCGCAGAACTTGAAATTATTCCGACCTAAATCGAGCAGTCTTCTCCACGACTATACCATGGACTGCGTAGAAATGCATTAGTACTCGCGACAAACCTGATCTCCTCCAAAGAATGAAAGCGATACAGGAGATGCGGTCATGAATTTTGGAGGTGGACTGGAGAACGCGTAGTAAGACGAAGAGGCAAAGACCGTCGCGATTGCTCGAAACGTTGAGCTGAACCCTGCTGCACCCTCCGCGTCACGGATGTAGCAGACTCCACGATGTATCCAACGACCCTCTCCAATACAGCCAACTCCTTGATGATTTGCGTAGCGCAACAGCAGTAACAGGAATTGAGAAGTACTGTAAGGCGGCCACGAGCGCTCACAAGGACAAAGCCGGGCAGGTCGGGTGAGAGGCATCGGAAGGTGAATTCGCGGTGCGGTGGTGGAGAGATCGGCAGCGCAAGTGCCGGCCCTGCGAGAGGGGGTGGAGGGGGGAGGCTGATGGAGGAAGAAAGGCAAGAGAGGAGAGGCTGAGTCTGAAGAACCCGCGGCTCGCCTGGCATTGGGAGGATGTCTCAGGCCAAAATTCGACGAGGCCACACTGCCTTACGCGCTGGGGTAGCTATTGCCCTCTCGAGCCACCCGCCCCCTCCGTCCTTCTCTTCCTTCCCTCCATCATCTCCCTGTCCCTCCGTTCATCCCATACATGCCTACCTGCAGACGCAAACGCGTGCTCCTCACAGAGCCCTCCGATGCCCTCCTCCAGGGCCTCAAGGCAGATCCAAACAGGGACGTTTATTATCTTGCGAAGACCGGCGAGATCTTTGACAACTATGAGCATGTATCCTCTCTACCCTTCCCTTGAGCCTCGCTGACCTTCTCAACGTTCCTGTCTGTGCAGAACATATGCCGCGCGCATGTCGTTTTACCGGCTCAAGCAGTTCCAGTGCGAGGTGACGGGCAAGAGTGGTTTGGACTACTTCCAGGCACTCGAGAGTGAGCAACAAGAAGCTAGAACAATGCATACCAGGTTCCCCGAGCCTTTGAAGTCCGCCATCCTTCGAGCCGTTCAATGGCGTACGTTTCTCCCTGGTGTTTTGTTACGTTTGACGTGTCGTTCTCTCCCTAACATATTGCCGCGCTCCGCAGAGGTGATGGGACGTCTGGACCATCTGGTTGAAGCCGTGTATGAACGCTTCAAAGACCGCTACTTCCGTGACGAGAGTGTGTCCTTCCCGTTGAACGAACGGCGTGTGCTCAACGCTGACGTCCGCGTACTGTTGCAGAAATATATATTGATATTCAAGGAGACAAGTGAGCCATGTCCACCTTTCTTTTGTGTCTTGCCGACTCGAATGAATAATCGCGATACTAGGTTCTTTGCTCGTGTCTTGGAAGTCTTTCCTCCGCGTCCCAATGCTGTCTCGTTCCTGGTCAATCCAGATTCTCATGAGGGCCCCATTGCTTCTACTTCTTCACAACCACACAAGAAAAGTCCTACTGGGCTGGCGCATCAAATTTACGGCGACCTCAAAATTGCTGCTGCAGTTGTCAATGCCGCCGATGATCCTGCGAAATACTATTACAGAGTGCAGATTTTAGAGGAAGAGAAGCCCGAGGGGCGCGACAAACACGGTGCGTCCGCGAAAGAAGCCCGCGCGCGATACAGTGGCAGCTTTTTGGATGTCCAATGCTCTCAGATGAGGTAAGTCTGCACATCGTGTCGTTCTCTCATCAATATTGCCCCTGCTCCTCTATCACGCGTCCCTTGATTGACTGTCGACGCGTTACCCCAGCCGTGACCGTCTTGCATTCTCTAAGAGCATCCTTCGTCGATTTATTCGCGATTGCGTGGATCGTGATGCGGCGGTAGCATCGCCCTGGACTGTGAAGCCCCCCGTTGCACTCCGGTATGGCGTCGACACCATCATGCCTGAAGCAACTCGTCAGGGCGTCGAGAATATCAAAAAGGGCGAGATACAAAAGCGAAAGAAGGTATGGGAAGAGAAGGAAGGTCCTGTCAAAAAGCCAAAGAAAATGACTCCAGCGCAGGAAGAGAAAGGCAGGTGCATGTCACATCTAAGCATCATTCCATTAACAGTCATATACAGCCAAAAATGCGGCATTGGTAGCTGAGCAAAAGGAGCGAGAAGCAAAAGAGAGAGCCGCAAAAGCTCTCAAAGCCAAAGAGGATGCTGAACGTTTGGCGGCCGAAAAGAAAAAGAAGAAGCCTATCAGGTATCCTACCGAAGACTTGGACGTCACACTCTCAGAAAAAGAGAAGAAGGCAGGTATGAAGATCAAACGACCGGTACCTAGCCGCGTTGCTCTGCCATTCAACAATACTCCCGGAACGTTCGAGTCCATGCTGATGACTTGGAATTTCTTGATGGTGTACGGGTGAGTTTTCAACCTAGCGCGATATGATCATCTTATCTAAATTGTCAATAGCCATCCATTACACCTCTCAACCTTCACTTTGGACGAATTTGAACACGCGCTACGCCATTCCGTCGCTGAACCACCATGTCAGATCCTCGCCGAGATTCATTCTACCCTTATATACAACCTCCGAACAGTGACTTTCCAACGTCACAGTGCGGTATTATCACTTATGGAGGACGAAGAAGATGGTGGTGGCGAGGATTTGGGCGTGACGATCGAGCAATTGACAGCCGCTATGGTTGACATAGGCAATAACTGGGAGAGGGCTCCCCTCCGACATGGCGATGGCAGAGAAGGCTGGGAGGAGTCGTTGGTTGGGTGTCTCAAAGACGTATGCCTGACTTCAAATCCCTCCGGGTTTTGAATCTGACTTACATTGCTCACTTCTCAGCATGCCAACCTAGAAAATTTCCCCACCCTCCGACGGGTCCTCACTCGGCTCCTCTTTGCACCTGATACACTACTGGAAACACCTAGTTCACCCTCAACATCACGAGCGTCAACCCCAACTCCCGTTCGATTAAGTCACGCTTCAACACCAGGGGCCAGATATCACACTCTACCACCGGAAGATAGGATAGCCATATTGCACTTCATGTGTAATATTGCTGTGTCCAGCAAGGCCATCCACGCTTATATGGAGACTTGTGAGGAGCAACTGACTGCCTTGAGGAAAGAGAAGATCGAAGTAAACCGCCAGAGAAAGCAATAGTTCGTACACCACCTTCCAGTCTAAATTCCCTGAGTTGACTTTAGTATATCTAGTATCGAGGATCGCGATACGCTGCTTAACGGGACAAAGGAAGAGGAACAGACACCCAATGGAGAGCCTGACGACACGCCCATGGGTGACATGAGCGAGCTCTCCGATATATCAGCCTCTGAAGGTGCATCCGAATCTGGGTCTGGGATTGTCAAACACTCCAAGTCCAAAGACCTCAGACGTAAAGCGCAGGGCCTAGCGCATGCCAAACAACGAGAGGCTGCACGAGCACGGAACGCGTCAGTTCGACAAGCCCTAGCTGAGCATCGTCGCCTTGATGAGGAAGTCAATAAACTCGAACGGCGGCTGGAGGGAATTGAACGGGAGTTCAGAAAACTGTTGGGATCAATTCGTGCCAAGCCCATGGGTAGAGATCGCTTTTACAACAGGATTTGGTGGTTCGATGGCATGGGTTCGGCTTCTCTCTTGGGCAGCGGGGGAATCGTTCAGTATGGTACAGGACGATTGTTTGTCCAGGGTCCAAGTGTTTTCGATCAAGACATTCTGAACAGACGGTTGGATGTCAATGTCAAAGAGCGACGGTTACAAGAAGAAGGAGAGGAGGGCATGTTGGGTATTGGAGAGTGGGCGGTGTACACTGACTTGGAGGAAGTAAGCTGTCCACCACCAATGGGTCTCAATAACACACTGACATGTTATATTCGCAGGTGGATGATTTCGCTGCTTGGCTGAACCCTAAAGGAAATCGCGAATCTGCACTCAAGAACACTCTGACAAAATGGTGGCCGCACATCGCTCCCGGGATTCGGAAACGTCTGGTGGTACGTCTCGAGAGCTCCCTCAATCACATACAGTCTCACTTCATTCTTTCCAACAGGACTTGAACAATACTGCCAAACTGCCCGAGGCACGGCGAAGTACTCGTGTTAAGCAGTCCGGAACCGATATATCGCGGGACCCATATATGCTCTGGACAAACCGCCGAGCTGTGAATTCGTCATGACTAACTTACGAAACCTTCATGATATTTCTCCAATCCCTTCCTCGCTATTCTGTTGTTGCTTCTTGTTTGTACGCCTGCACGACTTCATTATTATCAATACGTTCAGGGCATTGTTTAACGTCGAGACACGCATCCTGTCGCACCTCTAGAGTTTGTTTTGACATACTATGTAGCTCTGTGCCTTCGAGCTATATCTGTTGGTTTCAGGCGTAAATTTTATTCGTTACAGGGAGGTACAGAAACTGCTCAGAAGAGCTTACTGTATATATTTTCAAGACCACTCATCTTCCCAGTCACTGGTCACCTCATGCGTTTGGGAGGGAGCCGGTCGTAGAACCTACAGAAGAGCAGGCATTCGGATAACTTACTGTACATATTGTCAGCTCAGATAACATGACCATACCCATGGCCCTACGATCGAGTTTGTCGCCGTTGTTGTTCATTGGCATCGGTAAGAGCTATCAGTGGAAGTACGGGCGGAACTCGGCAGACGTTTGATCAAGGCTAAACTCAGCTTGGTGCTTCCTGCTTGTATGATCCGTTCGCATTCTGAAAATTTCTACAATGTTCAGGCCCAGGCTCAGACCATTCCGGAACCTCAAAAAAGCATCCTATATATTAGTCTCCATCAGCCAGTCTTTTTTGATATCACTGATAGTCTTGCGTGCGAGTCTCGGTGCTATATAGACCAAATCTTGGTTCTTACGAATTACGACTCTTGACGACTCTAACGAACGTTCATGGCGTCCCTACCTACTTCGTTCTCAGTGGGCTCTGCACACAGTGGCTCTAGTTTCAAGGATGCTGTTGCTTCTTGTGAGTTACTGTCACCTTCGTTGATTCAGCAAGAGTGCTCATCAAATTATAGATCGCCGTTCGCAGTATCTGTTGTCGAACGCCGAGGCAATCTCCTCCTCCGGTGCTCAGCTTTTGGAGGACGAGGAGACGGGCGAATTTGCACCAATTTTTGAAAGTGAGGTGGATGATCTACCTACACCGCATCTAGAAGATGTTGCACACGATGGGATGATTGGCAACGTTCAGTGGGATGAAGAGGCGACGATGACTCTGAATCCGTCTATGAGGCAGGTTTCGGGTTGGGATAGAGGTATATCTACACCACCTCGCAGACACGAATTTCCAGGACCAAGACGAGCCAACGAGCGGACCCCGCTCCTTCGCAAGGCCATTTCACTGACAATAAATACGTCCATATTAACCTCCGCCGCTCCGACAAAGGGTAGGGGCCATCAGGAATCCTTGTCATCTGCGCCAGCGCTGGCTCCCAAAATCTCACACGATCTTGGACTTCCTGAAGGAAGGAGTACGTTTGGTCAAACAGTAAGTCAGCCTCTACTTTTGCTATACCTTACCTTCAACCACCCGAATAGCTCTTCAACGCGATTGCCATCTTACTCGGAATTGGGATGTTGTCGGAGCCCCTTGCTTTTGCATATGCTGGATGGATCTGCGGGACGCTGCTCATCATCTCTTATGGTCTCGTTACGTGCTATACGTGGGTGCTCCTCTGGATTTATTGAATTGCCTGGTGCTCATTATCGGCCAGAGCAAAAATCCTTGCACGAATTGTGCTCACGGACCATCGCGTTCGGTCATATTCTGATATTGGACGAAAGGCATTTGGGCCAAAGTCTATGCCTTTCATAAGCGCAATGTTTTGCCTCGAGCTTTTTAGTGTTAGGTGAGCACGCTTCTGAAAGTGAGTCAACGATGTATAACGCTTTCCACAGTGTCATCCTCGTTACGCTGTATGCCGATTCTTTGAGTATAGTTGTGCCCGCGTTCTCTCCTAACACCTATAAACTTATGGGGATTGCCGTGTCAGTCTACTTCTCTGATCCCTTTGGTCTGACATCGCTAATACCGGTGGAATGAAAGACTTGTCCCCATGGTTTTTCTACCCCTCTCCCTTTTGTCATACACTTCGATCTTGGGCATAATTTGTACAGTATTTTTACTCGTTGTTATCTTTATCGACGGTCTGTCAAAACGAGATGCTCCCGGAAGTCTGTGGAGCCCTGCGGAGACTGACCTGGGTGTCGGAAACCTTGAGCAATTGGGTGTTGCTTTCGGTTTGTTCATGGCAGGGGTACGTCCGCATTTGTTATGAAAATCCCTCATCCTGACGGTCCGTTCGAACAGTTTAGTGGCCATGCTGTTATGCCATCGTTAGCCAGGGATATGATTGACCCAAGCCAATTCGACACTGCAATGAATTACGCGTTTGTAAGTATTTCTCTCGGTGTTGTATGTTATAAACATCACTTACGATCGTATCAGACTTTTGCGACCTTCGTATACGGCATTATAGGAATCGCGGGTTATTTGATGTTTGGCCGCGATGTCAGTGATGAAGTTAGCCAAAATCTCCTTGGAGTTCCAGGATACAATCCTTGGCTGAACAAGATTGCCCTATGGATGTTGGTCCTTAACCCTCTGTCTAAGTTCGCTCTCAGTGCCAGACCGGTGTGTAAACAGACATTTGTATGCGCCGCGATTTATTGACCCGGATTGTGTAGCTCAACCTCACGATTGAAACCTTTCTTGGCATTGACACTGGTTTCATTCCCCCACACGACGATAACAGTGGCAGTGGTCCCAGATTGGCAGCGAAGCCAACCCCACGCCTCTTCAATTGGGCATTCAAACGCATCTTACTCATCTTCGAACGTGTTATGCTTGTCTGTCTGGCAATAACAGTCTCCATCCTCGTGCCAGAATTCAGTTCGATGATGGCTATTCTCGGCTCATTCTCTGCCTTCATTCTTGCCGTTATTGGTCCTATATCAGCAAAGGTCGCCCTGGAGCGAAAATGTGGGCTGTGGGATGGGTTCTTGCTAGCGCTGGCGTCTGTGATGGCTATATGGGGCACAGGTGCTGCTTTCCTGTCCACGACGGATTGAAGAGCTTCTAGGTTTGGTGGTGGACTAGACGAGAAGGACTCGCACATTTTTTGAAACTGTGTTATACAGCAAGTATTGTGTATCCATACCTCATCACGTGGAATGAATAGTCATTTACACGATGTCAGCTTCGTGCACTGACCCTTCGAACCTTGACGAGAAATAACAATTCCAAGACATCTCTACTGACGTGCAGATCTGAGACAAATTATATTTTGAGGTACTAGTCGGACTACAACAATTATGCGGATGCTACAGCATGCATGACGATTTTGGAGAGCTCTGTTTTGTGATTCAGGTGAATTGCTCAAGGACACAGATTTACGGTACATACGAGGGAGGTCGATATTCTCCTGAACAACTGTCGACTCAATTTGATTGTCGGGGTTTGGTGGGATATCAATTACACCCGTTGACGAGTCAATTTTCCAGTCTAATTTTGCGACATAATCCTCCAAGTCGGTTTCTGATATGATTTAGTATGAAGATGTCGCGGGAAAAGAAGTCAGCTCACCGCTTAGATCTAGATACGTGCCCAGACGGTTGCTGCCTATTCGCTGGAAAGCTGCTTTTACGGCACGGAGAACGACCTCCCTTATAGAATCCTCAAAACCAACAACTTCAACAGTGTAATTGTCTCTCAGAGACTCGAGCTCATCAGAGCGGTACAATGACCAGAACGCTGGAAAACGACATTGTTGAAGGAGGCTGTGCAGAGAAGTGAGCTGGGGGAGGAGGTTTGGGAGGGGATCGGGCTCGTCAAGGTTAGAGTTGGGGGGACGGTCGTCGAGGAGGGCGATCGAGAGGTTGAAGTCGGGGAAAGGAACGGATGTGAGGGCTTTGATAAGGATATTGACCACGACATCAGGGTTGTAGAGATCTTGGTTGAACTGATAACTTTAACACGTTGCAAAGACTCGTTAGTGAATGCGCAAAACTGTGGATTCGAGACCATAGCGTACAGTTTCAAGATGGCAAGGTTGGCGAGGCAATCATATTCTTGGCTTCTAATCTGGTGATACAGATAATCCTCCAAAATTCCAACATTGGAAGGGTTATACCGATCTGGATAGAAAGGTGTGTAAACAATGGCGCAAAAGGCTGCACTGGAAGATAGGCTACACACCAACGCCTGATACTAAATTTTCGATGAGCTCAGGCCGTGTGGGAGGTGTGACCCATTCGGATGTAGCGGAAGACATTAGACTCTTTGTACAGAGTTTTCAAGGGAGATATCTGGGGGTGGGTGAGGCTGAAAGGCACTGATATTTTATGACAAAAAGCGGCCAATGACGAGGTCTGAGATCTGAGTCTCGCCAAAATTGTAAGGTGGCTGAAGCCTACATGAAGCGCTGAAGCATATGTCATCGTGTTTGACTCTAGTCTGCCTTCTACCACCTTCAGCACCCCAAGAATTTTATGGACGCATTACCACCACCAGAAATTGCTGTTGGCCAGAAAGACGTTGTTCAAAATCCTCAAACAGTTCAGGACACCTCACAGGAGGGAGGCGGCCTTGTACAGGAGAATGTACACACCACTGCATCCTCTCCACCAACACCTCCGCCGCCCCCTGGACCCCCTCCACAACCCCCTGTATCTGCCAACAGCAGCAGATCACCAAAATATCAATCCCGGCTCATACTAAGTGGCCATAGCATGTCCATCTCTTCGATAAAATTCAGTCCTGACGGCTGTATGCTTGCTTCTGCCGGTAAGTGCATTGCGTACTCACTCGTCAGAGGCATTGAGATGAATGGATGAAACCAAGGGAAGCTGCAGACAAGACCGTAAAGATTTGGGATGCGTATACTGGCGATATCATCAGAACACTCGAGGGTCATACTGAAGGAATATCTGACGTTGCTTGGTCCAGCGATTCTGAGTTCCTAGCATCAGCCTCGGACGACAAAACAATCAGAATCTGGAGCCTAGATGATGTAAGTCAGACTGTACATGTTTCAATGCCTCTATCTGAACATACCTACAGGCGTCGACAAATAGAGTATTAAGAGGACATACAAACTTTGTCTTTTGCGTGAACTACAATCCTCAATCTAATCTACTAGTGTCTGGTGGGTTTGATGAGACTGTTCGCGTATGGGATGTTGCAAGAGGTGTGCCCGATTTATTCTTGCACGTTGTTTTGCTCAAGAGTCTGCAGGAAAATCTTTAAAAGTTCTCCCTGCCCATTCCGACCCAGTCACAGCTGTCAGTTTCAATCATGACGGGACATTAATCGTGTCTTGTGCCATGGATGGTCTCATGTCAGCTCCCACCATCAGATGCTGAATGTGCCTTGACTGAATTGTCGTTATCGCAGACGAATATGGGACGCAGATTCCGGGCAATGTCTGAAGACGTTGGTTGATGACGATAATCCTATTTGGTGTGTACACTGTCCATTTCCACTGATGCTCTTCTAAGAATGTGCGCACTTCCAGCTCGCATGTGAAGTTCTCTCCAAACTCTAAATATGTTCTGGCGTCGACACAGGATTCCACAATTCGACTATGGAATTACCAGACCTCTCGTTGTGTGAAAACGTTCACTGGCCATACCAATCGGATGTATTGCCTATTCGCCTGCTTCAGTACGACGGGAGGCGCTTATGTGGTTAGTGGGAGTGAGGATGCAAAAATCTATATTTGGGACCTGCAATCAAGACAAGTGCTCCAAGTGTTAGAAGGACATAGAGGTGCGCTTTTCTCCTCAAGTTGTATGGAGAACATCGGCTGATGTGTGTGCACTAGACGTGGTTTTGACTGTGGCGGTAAGAGAGAAACCTCGCGACATCCATCCTCACTGATTCGTTGCCTTTAAAGACTCACCCAAAGCGCAATATCATCGCATCGGCGTCGATGGAGAAGGATTTGACCATTCGGCTTTGGTTTGATGACATGGAAAGAGTATAATAGCGTTCGCTCGCGCTCTCGCTTACTGGGTCATCCCAAGTTTTGAGCGATTCACCGGTGGTATATGATAATGATTGCGATTAACCCTGTGTGAGTTTGTGTCTGCGGTTCGAATACGACTACCACAGGACTTGTAGTTGGCACCCCAAAATGAACATGGTGTTCGTCTCCGAATGGTCGCGGCTGTGATCGAAGATGAGCGAACGACGATGGAACGCTAAGGAACCGCGGGCGGCTGAGTCACAGCCATTTGGCTGTGAAGTTCAAGCTCCGCCGGGGTAGTATAAAGACAAAGGCCCAGCGCGAGCGGCTGACCAGTTCTCTCTATCATCCATCACCACCTCAGCACACTCATCTATATCATCATGCAGATCTTCGTTAAGACTCTCACCGGCAAGACCATCACACTTGAGGTTGAGTCTTCCGATACCATCGACAATGTCAAGGCCAAGATTCAGGATAAGGAGGGGTGGGTCCCTCGCAACGTGATCCCTAGTTTCATATCACTCATAGTCGCTTAGCATTCCTCCCGACCAACAACGTCTCATTTTCGCTGGAAAACAGCTCGAGGATGGCCGTACATTGTCTGACTACAACATCCAGAAGGAATCGACTCTCCATCTCGTCTTGCGCCTCCGTGGCGGCATGCAGATCTTCGTCAAGACATTGACGGGCAAGACCATCACTCTTGAAGTGGAGTCTTCGGACACTATCGACAATGTCAAGGCGAAGATTCAGGACAAGGAGGGTATCCCTCCCGACCAGCAGCGTCTTATCTTCGCTGGTAAACAGCTTGAGGATGGGCGCACGCTTTCTGATTACAATATCCAGAAGGAGTCTACCCTTCATCTTGGTAAGTATTTCTCTACATCTGTTGGTCTTGATAGCGACTGACATTTTCCCAGTCCTCCGCTTGCGGGGTGGCATGCAGATTTTCGTAAAGACCTTGACAGGGAAGACGATCACTCTCGAGGTCGAGTCTTCGGACACTATTGACAACGTGAAGGCGAAGATTCAGGACAAGGAAGGGATTCCTCCCGACCAGCAACGGTTGATCTTCGCTGGAAAGCAGTTGGAGGATGGGCGAACTCTCTCCGATTACAACATTCAGAAAGAGTCTACTCTGCACCTTGGTGAGCAAGCATCATATTCGGCTACTCATGATAATTCTAAGTATAATGTTCCTCCAGTCCTTCGCCTCCGTGGAGGTATGCAGATCTTTGTGAAAACCCTGACTGGCAAGACCATCACCTTGGAGGTCGAGTCGTCCGACACAATCGATAATGTCAAAGCGAAGATCCAGGATAAGGAGGGCATCCCACCGGATCAACAGCGCCTTATTTTTGCGGGCAAGCAGCTCGAGGATGGCCGGACCCTTTCCGACTACAACATCCAGAAGGAGTCGACTCTTCACCTTGTCCTCCGTCTTCGCGGCGGTATGCAGATCTTCGTCAAGACCCTCACAGGCAAGACGATCACGTTGGAGGTAGAGTCTTCGGACACGATCGATAATGTGAAGGCGAAGATTCAAGACAAGGAAGGCATCCCGCCGGACCAGCAACGCCTGATTTTTGCGGGCAAGCAATTGGAGGACGGTCGCACACTTTCGGATTACAACATTCAGAAAGAGAGCACCCTCCATCTGGGTAAGTCGAACGTGCTAAACATCTTGACGTTGCCGCTCATTTTCTTTTGCAGTGCTTCGTCTTCGTGGCGGATTATGATCTAGATAGTGACACGCGTTGTTGTTTGATGCCCGATGGCGACGTCTTTGTCATCCATTCACTCGTTTTGTAACACTACATACTTGAATTGCGAGTCTTGTTCTATGAATGACTGGGTCATACGATCATGCAGCAGGGAGGTTATGGAGAGTGAGGCTTCAAAGTATTATCTCTCAAGCCAGAAAGAGATGACTGCGGTTCACAATAGTCAAGAACTTGCCGTATGACGGTGTTTCTGTTTGTACCATTTCGGTATGAACGAACATAGCGCCATGGTGTTTCGGAGCGTACCTTTGTTTAAATCTTGCAAGAATCGCTTGTGGATCTACGCCTTCAACAAGGGACCTTACATTGCAGAGTAAGCCAAACCTAACGACGACAGTAACTTGTTCAGAACGTACTTGTCTTCGCCCAGGGCTGTTGTCTCCAGGATGTACATGTTGTTGTTCCGATTCAATTCCTCCTCAGACGTACATGCTCCCGGTGCATCAGTCACTTTCACTCGGGTCACGGCAAAATTGCCCCCTAGGCTCTGTATGCGGGCAATTGTAGCGTCTGATGGGTTATAGTCCAGCATAAGCACATGTTCGTCCAAGGACCGAGGCAAGAGAGAGAGAGGCGAATCGTCGGCGTAATGATATTGAATGATGGGGTGACTGAGTGATGTTAGAGGGGTCGAGGTACTCGTGAGTTGGCATGAATGCGAAATCAGAACGTAGTAAGGTGGATGAACCGGAGAGCTCATGATGTCCGCTGCAGCAACGCTGTGGTAGCTCAATTCTGTTACTGCTGATTAGATCATCGAATCAGGTTGAGCCATGAGCGCGTGAACTCTTGAGTCGTACTGCACTACTTTGTGTACACCCAACCACGAGAAAGCAGATACTAGATGCAGATGGCAAACCTACTACTCAACTCGGGCACTGCTGCATGCACGCAACGAAGACGGACTTTTGATACCTTGACCAGTTCGTAACTTGTCACCTTGACGACGATCGGGTGATCGATGTCCTCGCCGTACATGAAAAATAAAGGTATGGAGTCGTTCAGTGTTTCCTCCTTACCCTTCCCCACCCTTTGACCGAACTTTCCTCGCGGCGCCGCGGATAGCTGGCTGTCTTTGACGGCCTCATTCACTCCCATCCTTCAAGTACATTCATTTCGAAAAACATTCTCAGTCTTTTCAGTATGCTGTCGCGCTCCCTACTTCTCTCCTGTGCAGTCGCACTCTGCGCCATCCATGGTGTCTCCGCGTCTCCTGCCTGCTCGCGTCGTTCGACGGATATCGACTCATGTATCGCAAGCTGTCGTTCCAAGTTCGGTTGGCCCGGATTTGCTATGGGTACTGACGCTTGGGGTGTCGTCGCGAAGGTTTACTCTGGTGACACAGATTCAATGACCAAAAGTGCCTGTGGAGAGTCGACGTGCGCTTGACGTCCGTCTTCGACAGATTGTGTCAATTCTCACACATTTTTTCTCTAGGGGTGTGTCCGGCGGAGTATCTGTATCCGGCGGTGCTGCCACCTCTTCCAACGCCACTGAACCGGTCATCGCAGCACCTTCTCCTCAGTCAGACGTTACTTCTTTAACCTCCTCTTTTACATCTACCGCTGGAGCGGTTTCCTCGTCATCAAGCGTCTCAGCGTCTTCCTCCGCTTCAACGCATGTTCAATCGTCAATTCACACGTCGTCTCCGACCGCCAAGTCATCGTCGTCTAACATAGCCACTCAGGCATTCATCAAATCCTCACTATCTGCCGAACCAACCTCTTCTTCCACGAAGCCACTTCCAAGTTCCTCACCTGTTCCTGCTCCATCGCCGTCGCCATCGCCATCGCCATCGCCATCGTCATCGTCATCGCCATCTCCCACCCCGAAGCCATCCCCGAAGCCATCTCCTGTATCCTCCTCAGAGGAAGCTAAGTCAACTGAGGCCGCTGTCGCCACCTCTAACAATGCGAAAAATCCTAATGTCGAGAGCAACTCTGGCGCAACCTCCTCCAGCGACATCAACCTTTACCTTGCAGCTCATAACTCTGTTCGTGCTCAACATGGTGCTTCTGACTTGACCTGGAGCGACAGTCTCGCCGCGACGGCTCAAACCTGGGCGGATAAATGTGTCTTCAAGCACTCTGGTGGGACCCTTGGGCCGTTCGGAGGTAAGCATTATTGAACCACCGGTCATTCTCAATGCCTACGTCTATCTTGTAGAGAACCTGGCCGCTGGTACCGGGAGTAGCTATGGCATCACGGAAGCGGTCAAGTCCTGGACTGATGAAGTTTGTAAGTGCATCATTTGCTACTTTTACCCTGAGGTACGATCATCAGTGGTCATACGTTATAGCCGAGTATAGCCCTAGCAACCCGCAACCCTCGCACTTCACGCAGGTGGTCTGGAAATCGAGCACACAGGTTGGCTGCGCCGTGCAGTCTTGCAACGGGATCTTTGACCCAAGCTTTGGCGTATGAAATCACATCTAATTTATTGGACGAAGTGCGGACTGACTTTTTCATCTAGGAAGCAAAGTTCTTTGTCTGCGAGTATTCACCGGCCGGTAACGTTATTGGAGAGTTCGAGTAAGTTTCTGATGCAAAGTTTGTTGACCATGGGCGGATGACTAATTGACAATCCTTCACAGCCAAAATGTTCAGGTTTGAGGCATTGGGACCGCGTCTTGACACAATGCTCGATTTACTGGATCCTATCTTTCTTGCTCTCATTTCTCTTTCAGGCATCAGGGATGCTTTGACTTACCTTGTAGTTTGACTAATTGAGGATCTGTGCTTTCATCGCATGGTCATCCGGGCACCACCTGGGACCAGTGTCCCTGTAGCGGCTGACAATGTTAAGATCGGGCGTGAATCACAGAGCATAGTACGCCCTTCGGGTCCTTCACATTCTTGCGTCGACTTTGCATCCCAAACCTCTGCGTGCGATTGATTACCCTACTTTGCCACAGCCTACGTGGAGTGACTTTGGTGATCGCTCCCTTGAGCTTCAAGCTTCAAGCTCTTTCCTGTTTCCTGTTTCCTGTTTCCTGTTTCCTGTTCCTCAGAGGGCGTGCAAAATAATATGACGACCAGAGATTCACTTGTATAACCCTCTCAGATATCTTATGATGCTTGAGTAACCTTATCTTCATGATGTCACGGCCTTCGGCGTGCCTGGTCACTTGTACAGCCACTAAAGTAAGGATGGCTCTTGACGTGCTCGACGCACCGTCCAAATGCTGTCTCGAGCAAGGACATTATCAAGTGCTCTCTACGCACTCGTCTGGCTTATCTTTGCATTCGCAATTGGTGTCTCCTCCATCTTCTTACTCTCGCAGGCGGTCAGAAACTCTCCGAGACAGTCATGGAGGGCCAATATCAATGCCTTGATCATAGGCGTTGCCTATGTCACTGTGGTTAGTTCACTAGCAATCGAACCTAGATGCTCGGCTCAGAACTTTGGATCAAGGTCCTGGTGTCGATTGCTGTATGCTTGAAACGTCGCATCGCTGTCTTTCGCCGGTTACAGAGAATTTCACGCGGACATATGGCAATAGGAAAGGGAGAAGTGCCGAAGGCAAGTCTCAGTTGTATTTTTCAAGTGCTAATGATCACAAGTGTACTCAGGCTGTGCATGAGTTCATCTCACAAGAATATGCCCGAGCATGCTTGATCGCCTACGAGTCCTTACCGAAGGACATGCAACAGGAGGGATGGGGGAGACCAGGTATGCACCAACTATCAAAAGTTCGCACTACCTAACGAATCGCTCGACGTAGGAACAGGTTACGACTCTGTGCAGTTCCGTCGCTCGTTATTGGATACTGTCTTGGGCCTCGGTCTGTACTGAGTTAATCCAAGCATACTCTTTGCTCATGCTCTTAGCTTTTAGATGCTGCAGCCCGTCTTATAATACCAAGCTTGCCTCCTCTTCGTCATAATGACCGCATCCTGCACCACTTTCGGTTCATAGCGCCTCTTATCCCTAAGGACGAAGACGGTCTTTCTCCTTTACATTATTGCGATTCAGCGGTTCAGATGGCAAGATATGCAGCCCGTGAGCCTACACAGCGAGAATTCGAGATCGGAATAAATGCCGCTCTGCAAATCAAGAAAATGTAGGGATTGACATCATCTGCATTTTGCAGGATCTGACCTTGCGTGCTTTTTCCAGCTTGGAAGAGTGTCGACTAGAGATGCTTGAAGGGTCAACAACCGAGTTTGATCGCTCAGTCTCTGCTGATTGACAATACGTAGCGTGGAGTTTTATAATGCACCTTATACCCTAATTCCATATTGCTCATATCCGTGTATTGTTATATCTTCGTTCTAGATTGAAATAATCCATCTGCAAGTGAAGGGGGTAAACCTAGTGCAATCTATCAGCATAGACCTTCTGCCAGCTTGGCCTCTGTCCCCAAGCCTGCAGATACTTCTGAACGCTCTCCGGAATAGGCCCACCAAGCCTCTCCTCCAATTTCCCCGGTGCCTGCTCAACCGTTGTTGCACCGGAAACCAACGAAATCCTCGACAGCCACCCGCCCACGTGAAAGTCATCCTCGCCAGGTCGCTCTCCACCGAGGAATTGACCCTCGCTTTTAGCCAAGGCAGCGGGAAGCGTTTCGAAGATGAACGTGCGGAACGATGCCCATATCGTCGTCGAGCGCGCGAAGTATCCCTGCTTGGCAGCATCTGGGGCAGTTCCGCTGTAAAGTGCTAAAGCGTCGGCAACGAGAGCGATCTTCTTCTCGTAAAATGCTCGGAAGGGCTCTGCATCCGGAGTAGCCGCGTATCTCTTCAGGGCATCGTAACCTGTTCATCGTGAAGTCGTCACTCGAGGGTCGTTTGGCTGAACGTCCTATCAATCGGCTTACGGTTTTGACTGTAAACCTTTCCGAAGACGGACACTTTTGCAAGCTCTTCTTCGTTCCGCTGGACTCCTGGTCTCAGATATGGGAACGACCGATAGCTGTGTGTGAATCACGTACAGCGGAAAGGAAAGCAAAATTCGGGTCCAGCTCGTCACTGTGGACGGCTTCGGTCAAGGCGGTAGCCGGCGCGACCTTGATCGTCGCGTTCGACGCCAAGTACGACACCACTTCGGCCGTGCTGGTGTAAAACGCATCACCTGTGGCAATCGCAGGCAATGTTCCAGTGGGATTCTATAACCGGAGTTAGTCCGCACTGCTCGGATAGTTTCAGAGACAGATTCTTTCATACAATCTTCAGCACTTCGGGAGCCAGATTGTCCGCTGTGATAAGATTAACTAGCCGCTTCTCGATCTTGTCGCTGTATTCTAGGTCGTCACTGCACGGTACGTTTAGGTTTCATGTGAGCATCACTGGCAACCAAGCGTTGGAAACATGGAAGCATAGAGCAGTGCTTACACTGCAAGCTGGGCCACCGAGCACCAGACTGAGGTATCCCAAGTATAGAAAACTGGCTGCGAGGCGTTCATTTCAGCGACATGATGACATCGGAGCAACCCTAACGAAGGACGTACTGCCATATTTTGAATGGAGGGGAAATCTACAAACGAGAGGCTTGTCTGATTTATGATGGGGAAAGACACTTATAAGCACTCGACTTTCTGGCATTACTCAACAATGGAAATGGCGATCGGTTGAAGTGGGTCGATGCTATCATGGTTAGTACTTAATACCCGGTGCACTCCCGGTGCCCACATGTCTGCATTGTACTGCCGAGCTCTTACATGTCGCAGTTGCGTGACAAAGCCGAACCCCCGCCGAGAAATCTCGTCCAGTCTAATCCAAAAACTAATATCCTAAACTCCGGTGAGTAAACATTTCAGACGAGCAAGGCATTACACAATATCAAGTGATAGAGTGAGCATCTGTCATCTACTGCGTCCAGCTTTCTAATCTCTTCTACATCTCCGAGGTATATATCCTTAGCACACACACCGCGTCGTGCTCAAGGCCCGACACGTAGAGATCAGAACAAGAAGACCTGTAGATCGATGAGAACATGAATGTACTAATCAATAATGCACGATTTCGTACCTGATCAACAAGCTTGCTGACAGTACGCGGCGCGGCATATTTCAACTCATCGAGGTATTTCCTGTTATCACGAGCTTTAGTATCGGCGACGCCAGTGACGTATCTACAAGCTCACTTCATTGCAGCCATCATCGGCGGTGGACCTGTATGGGAAATGAATTTTCGGGATGGCAACGGAAGAAACGAAACACGTACCGCAAAGCAAGATCTTGATGTCGTGATCCGTAGGAGGCAGATGCGTAGAGATCTGATCCTTACTGACAAAGCCGACACCACCAGTCCAGCCTGCAGGGGGGTTGTTCAAGACGTAGAAGACCTTAAACCTGGAGGGGTGCTGGGCGGCGAGCTCGTCGAGCTCCTTCTTCAATAAGATGTCTTCTTCATTCACGTTGGCGTAGATGAGGCTGAGCTTCGTGCGGTCGGAGGGGTTTTTCAAGGCGGCACGGATAATTTGGAGCATCGGAGTGATACCAGTGCCTCCGGCGATCATGCCCAACTCGCGAGAGAGCTGAGGCGAATAAGTGAACTGGCCCCTAGGGCCTTTAACACGGATCTTGTCTCCGAGTTTGAGCAACGACACGTGACGCGAGATGTTACCCTTCTCATAGGCCTGTGCACGGAAGTCAACGCGAGTTATACTGCTTTCCGTCTCAGGCGCATACCTTGATGAGCAGGTCGAAGTGGCCCAAGTCGTCGTCGCTGCTAGTCGGTGTATAGCTCCTCATGATATCTTTGCCATTGATTTCTGCCGCTATCTGAATATGCTGACCGATCGGCAAACCAAGGATATCTTTGGGGTTGGGGAGACCGAACCGATAACTGCGAAGAGCATAAGAGCCGGCAGGTTCACGACAACCAAGAGAAGCACCTACATGGCGGTGTTTGGAGACAGAACGATCTTCTCAACCAAAGGGAATTCTTGCCATACTTTGGGGTCCAAGACGGGCTTTTTTTCTGATTTACGTGTAGATTGTTGAGGCGATGTTTTCGTGATATTATGGAGCCGACTCACGAGAGCGACCGAACTTGAGATAGATGAAAGCGCTGCTGGCTACCGCGAGCGCGAGCGCAACCACCTGGGCGACCTTGTTGTCTTGGAGATTCAACAAATCTTGCGCCGATGCCATGTCGAGACCTTGTGCGTCCGGGGTAGTTGTCTTCGGAAGGCCGAGGAGGATGATTTCGGAGATGTCGTATCCAGCAGCTCTGAGCTTGGACTGCAGGAGATGAGAGAGGGCAACAAGGGTGACGAGGACCGTGAAGAAGGAGGCAAGGAAGAGGAACTGAAGATGGTTGGGCATTTACCTCACTCCCCCAACCGTCTGATTTTCTACCCTCGCAAGCAAGTCTGGAATCTGGATCCTGGGTGGAAGGCCTGGGGAACTGCCACGTATAGTAATTGGGCGGTATCAGCGCATCGGACCAAATAATCGGCCGGGCCCGACGGAAACCGGAGCGCCCGTCGAGTCGTCCTGACTAATCAGACCGACTCAGACCGACCGAGCGTTGAATCAGGTCGACCGTCGAAGTTTGCGGGGAAGAAAGAGAATGGACGACGTGAAGAAGCGCGAAGAAATAAGAAGGTTGCCAGTCGCCCACGTTGCGAGCTGTTGCGAGCTGCTGTTTGCAGGCCCTTCAGATCGGCTGGCCGAGAGGCGCACGAGTGAACAGATTCGAGCCTCGCCGGTGCGCAGTGTGCCATGGACAGACGCGCATGGCTCGTGAGAAATCCCAGTGAACGCTCGAGCTCGAGGGTCATCCTCGTCCTCGTCCTCTCGTCTCTACCACCTCCACCGCCTCAGCCCGACCGCGGCTCTCCCCCTCCAGCTTGAGAGTCTTCTCTCCTCTCTCGCTGCCCTATTTCTTCTTCTTTTTTCTTGCCTCCTCTTTGCTCCGTCATCACTTTTTTCTTTGTTCTTTATCTATACACGCAGGGCGTGCCTGATCCATTCAACCATGCAGACTGCCGTTCGGAACCCTCGATTCCCGCCCACAAAGCTATCCTCAATGCCACGCAAAAAGGGGCCCCCGTCGGCCCTACGCATTGACACGCCGGTTGAAAATCCAACTCTAGCGCTCGCCATGGGCGATAGCTCTACGTCGAATTCGGCCGTCTCCCCCGGCACTTCAGATTCGGAATCCTTTGCCTTCCCCCCCACCCATCAGCCGCGGTCTTTCAGAAACATGAAGCGACTTTCACTGACTCTACCATCAGCCCAATCTTCTGCCAGCTCTTTGCTTTTGCCTCGTCAAGATCCCCAGACGAGCGCCATCCTCAACCCCAGCCCGGATCACCGCAGACGCGCACCTTCTGTGGTATCACTTCCCGTAACAACTGCTCCTGCTTTACTTCGGGGTGAGGAAGAAGGCTCGCCTTCTGCGCCATACCTTGATGGCCCCATCGAGATTCTCCCAAAAATATGGTTAGGCTCAGAAGATAACGCCCGTAATTGGCAGGGACTGATTGAGCGCGGCATCAAGTCTGTCCTCAATGTTGCCAAGGAGGTTTCCACACCCTTTGACACCACAGCGTCTCAATCTTTGCGCCCGTTCGCTTCGACTCCAAACTTGAGAGATACTGCCCGGGAGCAACACGATACCTATTATCCTGCTCATAAACTCACCGGAAGACCTGGTATGCACTACCTCAAGCTGCAGTGGTCGCATGGTCAGTCGGACCTCGTTTCCCATGGTTTCATAGCGGCTATGTCATTCGTCGATCAAGCACTTGAACGCGGTGACGGCGTGTTGATCCAGTATGTGATTGTTTATTTTCGTATCATTCTCATTATTCATCCTGTCTCAGCTGTCAGTGTGGTATCTCGCGTTCCGCTACTCTTGTCATAGGACTTGTTATGCGAGCCGCGGCTCTGCATTCACCAAACGTCCCTTCTCATGTTTGGGAGCTCAAAGGGATGCAAGGAGCATATTCATATGTAAAAGAAAAAAGCAAATGGGTTGGACCCAACATGTCGTAAGTTTTTAACACTGCCTCGTCGTGGGTGTGGATTCGTCTCATCTGGGATGACGTAGATTAATTTATCAGCTTTTGGAGTATGAGCGGACGCTCCGAGGCGATTCCTCTCCCGCAGACTCTGAGCAGTCCTCCATACTCGCGGCTGAGGAGGAATGGGGTCGTCGCCGACAGATGTTGGATGAATTGTCCGATCAAGAAGATCAGGAACGCGAAAGCGCGGAAGTTATGCGGGAAGCGCGGGCCCTTGATAAAGCGATGGAAGACCGGATCGTTGCCCGGAAATCGTCAAACTCGTCATTGGGATCGGGCATAGGGATGGGTCCCGCCTGGAAGAGCCGCTATGGTGATCGCAAGCGAGCGGGTTCCATCGGGAGCAACCTGACGTCAAACAGCATTATTAGCGAAGATCTGGTGGAGGAAGATGAAGAGCAGGAGTTATTGGGGACCGGTGGTGGATTTGACGGCACAAGCATCGACACCACCTCGACCAAACCCGAACCGGTGGAAGGGGTAGGTTCGACTCCATCCAGTGATAGTGAATACGAGAACAATCAAGGAACACCCATGGCTTCTCGTATCGCCCGACGCCCATCACGTCTTCCTCCATCAGCACCTGCTACGAAGTCCTCGTTTACATTGCCCCCTATCCCAGCTACGGCATTCAGATCTTCTTTTGCCTTGCCACCTGTTCCTCAGTCAGCGACCAGATCTTCTTTCGATCTACCACCTGTCCCTACATCTGCAACAAAATCGTCGTTCGACATCCCTTACCGAACATATTCGCAGAAGCCGAGACGGAGGCCTCCACCCCTTGGACTGCTCCCCCCAGTGCCCCATTCTCCCATTGCTGTTGTTGTTGGCGCCACACCTTCGTCAAATCGGTCCACGCCTGGCATCACACCACGCGTGCGCACGGAATCGCGCAAGCCTTCCTTACCCCCTCTCCATCTGCGCAACTCCCACCAAAATCTTACGTTAAGCTCTCAGTATAACGCAAACCAGAACCCTCTTGCGACGCCTTCACAGACGCTGTTCGTTTTCCCGCCCTCGCCCACGCTCACCGCACGCACGCCGTCTGCTATGATGCTCACATCGAACAACTTTCCGGTCCCGTTCCCGTCCACGGCCACGCCTCGCGTGTCCAAGCTCCAGAAGAATGGGAGAAGCAGGTCTTTCATCGGGATCATGGCGCCCCCCACCCCGACCACCGCGCATTCTCGAGTGGATGCACGGGGCTGGTTTGGAGACAAGTGATCAGCCTTGCCGCGTTCTGACCATCGGGTAGATTGCAGGTGGGCGGCACCAGATATCAAGCACAGCACATATGTATTTGTTTGTGATCTTACATGCGTCACCGCTCTCGAGGACTTTGCCGATTTATTTAACTACCCACTGATGCAGATGTGTTGGAAGGACAGTTGATCTTTATGTGCTTTTTCATTTTATTCCATTCACGCTTTTTACGCTTCAAGCTTCAATATTTCAATTCTCACGCTGTCTTTTGACTTTCGAACTTTTTTTCTTTTATCTATATTTTCTTTGCACCGCTCTGTACGCGTGGACCTTACACTGCATCCACTTCGCATTCGCACTTGCAATGTTGTATAACAACCAATCTCACATCTATTTTCTCGTACGTTTTTCATCGCATCTCCTTCGATCTTCTCTGCACATTCTCGGTCTGTATTTCCTCCATTGATTTCAAGTCTCTCCGCTGAGCGGGTTCCATCGGCTGAATAGAATGCTACTACAACTTCTTATATGGGCTATCAAAATCAACCGGAAATTCCACATCGACAGTCATGGCTGCAAAGCTCGACAGGAGAATCGCGACCAGACGGAAAGTATGCCAGTCACTTGTGAAGAAAGTTGGTTATGTTCTCATATTCTGAGCGAAACCCATCCAGCATCAAGCGCCGAATACTCGTCCCACGCTGCTCTTGACAACACCTGTCAGTATGGTGTTTCCGATGCCTCCCATTCCCATATTCCATCCAGATGTTGCGACGTTTGCCGCCCATTTCTGCTTCGCATCGCGATCGCTTTGGCGAGCTGAATGTTAATGTAGACTTCTGAGGATTTCGAACAAGAACGTACGCGTATGTAAAGCCAATGACGTTCGTCATATTGAACACAAGGGCGAGCAGGACGATTGGGACGAATCTGCCATACCAGTGAGCCAACAGAGTGCCGCAATCTGCTTTGAGTGTGACGTACGATAGGTTAAATTTGAGGAGTGATACTATGAAGAGCACTAGCCACAACGCAGGAAATACGTAGAGAGCAGTCTATGAAGGAAACATCGTTTAGTATTATGTTTCTTCTACAGCGGATGGCGTATTGTACCCAAAACATCCTAAAATAGTTAATATGCGTTGGTTCTTCCGCACATCATGAAGTGGTAGGGACGTACTTCGAATCAATAGGGTTAGCGGGCCGTGATGGCTTCGCCGATAGTCGCTGTGAGTGTCGGACTGGCACAGAGACGATGTACAAAACTTACATCACGGCTCTCAAATACCCAGTAGCTTTCACCGTCGTCATCCACCTGGAAATGGGCTAAGAGATAGTACTCGGCTTAATTGAGATACCGCACCTGGTTCCAGAATCGCAGACCGACAAGTGTCCTTCCCGACACGTTCTGAAAGATGCAAAAGATTGTCACGAAGGCACAGCAGTGCTGGAAATTATCCTACTCACTCGGCAATTCCAAAAGTCCATAGCTAGCAGGACAACCACTGCAACAGTCTAGACAGACGTTAGGATACATTTTTCCCGAGGGAACTTGACCAACTGACAGAGATGACATAATTGTCAGTGAAGAAACCGCAGAGGATGTATGTCGTTATTGCGGCAATGCGAAATAAGTACAGGAACAAAAGAGATATTGGGTGCGCAGACTGGAAGAGGTTCAGGAATAGTAGGGCACAAAACTGACATCGAACGTACTTGCTTGAAGATGCCGGCGATACCTAAGAGAGTAAGTACGATAATATTAGAGTGAGTTGATGAAGGCAAGGGATGGGGGCACACCTGACTCTGCACCACCTGGAGTGGAGGCCATTCCGCTCTGTGCACGGCTCGTTGGCATAAGTACCACCGGCTCATGAGGGGTGGAAGATTTTGGCTGAGCCAGGGAAATCGGTTCGTCCGATTCAATTGTTTGTAGAAGGGGGGTAGCGACGCTCATGGCTGCGACACGGTCGGGTGAAAGGGTATACGTGCATGACGCGAAGTAAGTATTGACCACATATGGAGATTGAAGCTGTTAGACAACAAACACAAATAGGCGCCTAGCCCTCGTGCACGCTAAATCCGTCTCGCTCAAAGCTTCTCATGGCCGCCAACAGACTAGATGGCGAGCAACTAACTGAGCGCACTGCTCTGTTGAGCGAACGACGTACAGTATCGCCATCCCAATCCGAATATCCCCATGCTGTCCTTCCGATCGTAAATCTCGTCCGCTCGCAAGGACTTCATATTCTGGACGAGCACTACGCTGTGTTCCCAACATTGCCGACCCTCGTGGAGCAAACGTCCTTCCGGCTCGTGGTTCTCCTCCAGCTCTATTTACTATCACAAAAGACAAATTTTGCTAGTAGAGATATCTGGGATCGTTGGTCGAAGGAGCGGGACGCTGTAAATGACGCGTCACAAATCGAGCGTCGCATTGACAATACTTGGACAACATTCATAGAACCTGGCAGAAGCAGTCAAGAAATTGAAGACTGCTTATGGTCGTGCTTTCTTGTTGAAGACGGCAAAACGCAAACTGTAAGAGGTCAGTCTCAATCCAATGCTAAGTTCGCTTCGCAAGATGTTCGGTCGCTCATGTAGTCTGTCCTACACCTCCCCTCCGGAGTAGTTGTCGATATACTGCAGGACACGGATGCTCCACCTTCATTATTAGCTCACCGTTTGATTCTTTTGAGCTTGGACCATACATGGCGGTACGGCAGGTCCCTCCCGCCAGGGACGTCCCTCCTAGCCCGAAGCTTGCGACATTTTGACACACTTGGAACGCCTCGGTAAATATCCAGTGTAAAAAATATTTTCAAAATCTCATTCTATATGCAGAGTCCTCCATGCCATCGAGATGCTACTGCAGCTGGGATACCTCGCTATTCTCGTACACTATATTATCCGCCCGCCTTCAAGGCCCATCATAAGCGCATCAAGCAGGGTCGGAGCGCGAGAGATCTTGCTGATTATTTATACTATCGCCTCGCTCTGTCGAAGGTGGACTTCATATGCAATACCATACCTCTTTGTATTGTCAGCGTTTTTGTCCAGTCTACCCTCGTTCCCATCGTCTGGCGACACTTCTTATATCCTCCTACTGGTCGCTCTGGTATTGCATATCTTGCTCCTGCACCTCCCTCGACCTCCAAGCCCGAATTTCTTTGTCAATGCCCATATCAGTCTCCCATTATCGACACTCCTCTGGTATGAATTCACTAGGACAGTTTGTTCAGCCCTTGTTTTCTACTTTCCCGCCTTTCTTCTCTCATGCTACCTCGTATCACTATCTTTGGCGGATTCCATTCCTCATTTTCCACGGATTCAGAATCTCATCGCAGCCCCTATTGAGACGCGACAAGCCTTTGCTGTGCTATGGGCTATAGTGGTCTATCTTATATGCGTCTCTATCGGTTTGCTCGTGCTATTCAGTGCATCATTGTTATCCCTATCTAATCGCCCTTCGACCCCTTGGGACCGGTTCTCTCGGCCTGTCGGTCTACAAGCTCGCAGGATCTTCATTTTCACCGTCGCGATGTATAACACTCCCTACTTCTTTCCGCCACCATTTAATATCATTCAACTCATCTTCATTCGCCTACCAGTAATCGCGCTCCACTTGGCAGGGCAGAAAGAGCCCCTCTTCATACGCGTCGTGGAGAGTATGCTTTGGAGGTGCACCGTCGGATTAATTTCAGGACCTTTGGCTGGATTTTGGCTGTGGGCAAGGTAGTTTGGTTCAACTATGAGTTGGAATATTCTCCAAGCAACTCCAATCATCTTGAGATCCATCGTACACGGTGAGATCGCTTCTTCTAGAGTTGCATTGTCACCTGAGACATTTGTCATAGACTGTCTCGCAAGGTTTTGTTCCCAGCGTCCTTTGGCCTTCACAACTTTTGCCGTTGTCGTTACGCTCATAACCTTGTAATCTGCCGCGCTGTGGTCTGTTGCTATGGTTATATTGTAGCCCAGAGCCACAGTGCCACATTGATGCGTGTATAAAAACTTCAGCATAGCACACTCGTGACTCTAAGGCTTTGTCTGGCCGCTCAACTCTGTCCTTCCCTACTGCTTATTCACTCATTAACATCCTCTCATCCTTCTCGTGATGGATGCTAACATTTCAATCGCCTCATTAGCGCAATTTCCACCTATGACTGGTCTTCAGTTGGAGGATCGGAAGGCATGTCGCTCAACATTTGATTCATTAACTTGCTCATATGGAACCGTCGAGCAGAACACGCTTTCGGAGCCACTCGAACGGATGGGTCTGCCCACAATACCCCCTGTGGCAAAATGCTCCTCTAAGACACGTTCTCGCCTCAGGGGCTCGGACTCTACTGGATTCTCGAGACTGCCTGTTCCTTTGGCCAGGGTAGAGAGCCCGAGTTATGAGCCAGAGGTCACCGCGAGGACAGAAGACTCCGATGCACACACGGCTGCGGTCTATATGAATCAAATGGAACAAATCGAGGAGTTTTTCGGTGCTCGACCGCAAAACAAGATGACTACTCTGTCATCTTGGGAAAGTAAACGTGAATCCGCAACATGCATCTCTAAGGCCGCAGAGCGAGAGCCTAGCACGTTGGCAAGGAGGCTTTTCTGGCACGGCCTTTGTGAGTAATTATCACAGCTCATGGAGAGGATTAACATGACACACGTGGACATTAGGGCTATTCCCTCTGTGGTTCTGGGGTGGGGCATTACTCGTCTTCCCTCATACCACGCTTGTTGATGAAGATGAGGCCTTGTTTCGAGGCCAGGCTTGCTTCCAACCCACTCTTCGAGACATTGAAGCCAAATGGGCAAAACGATGTTTGAAAGCGTTGGTTACGCTTGTTGTCGTTGCTATCATGGCAATTGTGCTGGGTTTGAGCTTGCTTCATCACCTTGGTTAGAAAGGTCTGTATCCTACATCTCTGGGATTCCCATCTTTGGGATTCCCATACTACTACTCGATTTCCTATGCTTCAAGGACTTCTAATGCTGACTTCTTATTCCGCTAATACTACCTGTTAACCTTTGTATGCTGCATGCCGCCATTGCTATACCGTTCCTTCAAACTACATTCTTGTTACATCTTATTCGTTATGTTCGATTATATGTGACATCGCCGTCCTGAGTTTCGGTTCTGATCTCCTTTGACTACTATACATACTAAGACTCCCCGAGTTTTGCAAACGCAAGCCGGCCATGCCTAGCCTCAGGTGATAATCCGTTCTCGCAATCAGGGCCCCGACCGTACGGAGCACGTCGCTAGTTACCGCTGTTCAGTCAACGATGGGCCATAATTAACATTTCGCGGAATGACAGATTGAATTGATGTGCGAGTGTGCCAAACACAGCCACACAAGGCACATGCACGTCTGGTTCGCAACGTTTCCGACTCGTCTTCGAGTAGTTTCTAGCTCGAAGCAATCTTGGTGACTGTCACCTATTTCCTATACAATCATTTATTGCCTTGAAGCAGATGTCAAACTCAAGGCCATCGAAGCGGCGTCGCAAGAACGCCACCATTGGTGCACCTTCAGAAGCTGATTCTGCTTCGAACCAAATCAACTGTCCTTCATCGTCTGCTTTATCTACCCGAACTCTTCCAACGACCGCCTATGGCATCCCATCTTTGACGACGCTGTGTGCGCGAGTATTCATTTCCAGTTTTTCGATATTCTCAAGCAATCCACATATCTGGGAGCCTGGAGAGAGATGGAGACCTGTGAAAGAGCAGCTGAAGTCATTTCCCGACAGCATCGTTTCCAAGATATTCGCGATGCTCAGGATGACCTGTCCACATTTTCTATCCCATGATCTAGTCCGAGAGGTATGCGTCTGCTCAGTCAATCATTCGAGGGGCTGATGTTCTAGCCTTTCAGACCTTTTTGCGAGGTGATACCCTCAAGTTGACTAGCAGCTTGCCGGTCAATAAGACCACTGTTGGATCTGTCATTAACATGGGATCTGGTCTCATCCACCTGGAGCTGATTGGATTCGACACCATTTTAGATCAGGGTTTTGCGGCTGTTGTTACTCATCTCACCTCCCTGCGTGTGCTCAATCTGCGGTAATACTTTCTTCATGTGTCCAGAAGCTTAAATTTTCTAAAATCTACGGATCAGTGGGTGCACTAAAGTGGGCCAAAAGACCATCGAGACAGCTGCAAAACGCTGCCCTAATCTGACCACTGTCAACCTCAATTATACATCTGTATCCCCCGTTTCTTTGGTCCCTCTCCTGCTCACTTGTCAGAAACACCTTGAGGTCCTTAAGTTGGCTGGAATATCAAGCTGGGCTAGTATATAACCATCCAACAACACGTAACATTGTTTTTACGTGCTTGTATATTCCCAGACAGATACAACTATTGTCAAGGCTCTATCCCTTCTCCCTCAAGGCGGGGTTTTGTGTTTTCCTGCCCTAAGAACACTCAAACTCCGCCAAACGTCGCTCACCGACATATCGCTCAATTTGCTCCTTCCGTCATGCCCAGCTCTCCGTCGGCTGGATATATCGTTCACCGGTATCCGTCACCCTCACCAGTTCATGCAAGGATCGAGGATCGCCCTTGAGAAGTTGTCTTTAACATCGACAGCAGTTTCATCTGATTTTCTTGTTACAGCCATATCTTGTATCCCTAGTCTGCGCATATTGTCGATTGGCGCACTTGGAGGTGGGCCAGGGCAAGCACCAGCCATCCGCAATACGACAGCAATGACCCTGACTGATGATGCTCTTTCATGCCTTGTCGACGTTCTGGACACGTATGAAAGCATTAAGAGCATCAGTCTGGTTGGCAATACAAAGCTTGGTATGACAGGTGGGCGCAATCGCGCATTGGCCGATTTCGTGGCACGTATTGGCAGGAGGCTCAAGGTCAGCGTTCTGATATCGACCTTCTCGTGTTCACGCGTAGATCACGACGGCACGTGGCCATAGGTGTTGAACTTGGCCGGTATACCTTCTCTTCGATCGGAGGACTTGATAGGTTTGTTAGTAGACAATGCGGGACAAGAGCCCTCTCGTCTTCAAGAACTTATCTTAAACAACACGGCAGTCGACGACGACGCCGCGCCTTACATTTCAAGTTGTTCTTCGCTCGAGACGTTGGAGGTAGCAGGAACGAAGTTTACGAGTGAGCCCCAAAACTTGTCGTACTTTGTCAGTATTTGACTTGCGCTATCATTAATAGGCCGAGGACTCTTCACAATCGTCGATGCATGTACTCTGTTGACGAAGCTTGATCTTACAAGTTGTCGTGGCGTTCGCATTGTAGATCGGAGGCGGTTTTTCCAGGTATGTGACTATAAGTAGTATCGGCGCGTTGTTGTGAACTTGACTCTTGCATGTGACAGGTATGGGAGGAAGAACAGAAGGATACTTAATCTGTCTGAACACGTTTAGACGGTGTATGCTCAGGTTTCTTCAAACGATGATATGCGAGACATATACAGCCTCGAACATCCCTACACGTTGCCTTACAACGAAAAAATCCTACTTGAGACAACAACCCGATGTTTTTGTCAAGGATCCAAAGCAATTGAACCCGGGAAAGGTCCAAATGCCAAATTTCAAGACGGGATGCATTGCGAATAGTCTACAGAAATGCTAGATTAGATGGACACGAATTGGCTGGTAATTCGACTACTCACAAGGGTTGCTGACGGTGCAGGTGTATCCAGAAATACAGATAGTGGCGCCCGTCCATCCTTGCCCTGAAAATATTTGGTTAGAATTCGAATTTTTAACGTATAGAAAGCATGTACCGCCGCACTGGCCGTATGCTGTTTGAGTGGCAGCTGGTCCACTTGAAGTAGTAGTAATACTAGCAGACAAAGATGTAGCACTCGAAGCAGCTGGAGACGTTGAAGCCTGAGAAGCGCTCGTGGTCGGCGCGACTGTAGAAGTGGGTGCGATCGAGGAAGTGGGTGCAGGAGCAGAACCAGAGGCGTCGCCGTAGAAGATACCTCTACCGTTCGTTCCAATGTACACACTGATATGTATTGATATTAGGACACATACTTCGCCCAAGACGGGAACACACGCTCACCGGCCGTATATTCTGGGGTCGGCGGTAAGGACATTTGCGCTCGCTGAGCCAAATCCATGTGCTGCATCGTTGATCTGAACCCAGTTCGCGCCTTGGTCGTCTGTCCTGAAGTATCCGATGCCCCCAATGTCGGCAGCGGCAAACAATGCGGGATATCCTCCTAATGTAGCCGGAGCACCGAGAGCAATAGCCCATGCAGCGCTGACACCGGACAGAGCAGTGAAAGTGGAACCAGAGTTCGTCGAGTGGAAGATACCAGTGTTAGTTGATACCCAGACATCGCCAGTGATATTGGGATGGACAACAATCTTGCTTGGTGAAGCAGTCGAACCGAGTGTAGCAGTAGAGGCGAACGTCTTTCCACCGTCGGTGGAAAGGTAGAATTTAGAGCCAGAGGCGCCGTAGAAAACGGAATTGTTCTTCTTGTCTGAGGCGATGACAGCATCGGAAGGCAGCGTGGATACTGCTGTAAACGAGTTCGTATATTGCGAGACCTACGATGGCATGAATGAGGAGGCTAGATGTCAACGTTGATAACTCAAAAAATCACCTGAACACCATTTGCGCTGGTGCGCCAAAGAACAGTATCTCCGTCTGCAGACAAAGCCACTTTTCCACCACTAACATTGTCAGCTGCGCCGTAGTCTTGACTCCTAAAGAACAATGTTGATCAGAGAAATAAGCATATATACTGATTTATCTCACTTACCAGGTTGTGCCAGAGTCAGTCGATAGGGCGACTTGCTTTCCAGAGGAACTGGCAAGTAGAGCAAGTTCAACTTTTCAAATTCCTGTAAAATGGCTGATACCAGATTACGGCCTACCTGTCACCGGTACCAATACGAACGAGGTTGGTGGGCTTATTGCCGGCAAAGTCCAAGTCCGCAGTAGTTGACCACGCAGGATTCTGGAAACTATTTGCTGGTGCAACGTCTAAACTATTGTGTACAAAACCTATTAAAAAAATCAATATCATCTTCCGCGGTATAAAAATCTAGACGTACCGCCGTCATCGCCGACTGCAGAAATAAGGTGGGGACCAGTAGGCGGTGAGATCAATCCCTGCACAGATTCTTCCTCGATACCATCGGCCAACGATTTCAGAGTAAGGTTGCCAGCTGAATCCCAATCTGTGAGATCGTGACCGCCAAGAACGGTCGCGCCAGTTCCATACAACCAGTGGTTGGAGTCGAAAGGATCGATCGACAAGCCCTCCATCATCCAACCAATTTGCAAAGTCCCAAGGGTCGTAACAGTGTAGTCTGGGCCCAACCAGGGAGCAAGAGTGTCGTCGTACTTGTAGTTCTTGTAGATAGTCGGGTATGATCCCCACGTCCAGAGTGCCTTCCATGTAGCACCGCCGTCGAGAGATCGGAAAATTTGGCCGTCAGGCCACCAGCTGTTCAAAGCCGCCACCATGATTGTGCCAGGCTTTTGCGCATCGACTGCAACGCCGCCAAAACCGAAATACAAGTTGCTACCGGTGACAGGAGTGATGTCAGCCAAAGTGCCCGAAGTGATATTGTACTTCCAAACCGCGCCATTCGTGCCGTCATAAGGACCGGCACCGTTCGAATAGGAGATATAGAGAGAGTTTTCCGCGGGTGAGAGCACACCCTTGTGAGGTAGGAAGGTAGTGTTCTGCCCGGGAATGGCAGACCCTGATTTAAAACTGAATCAAAAACGCCCTGAGGTATGGAACAAGTGAGTAGACTCACAAGAGGAGCCCCCGTTGGTTGTCACGAACACATTACTTGTTCCGTTGCTGACACTGCCAACGAAGATACGTTGGGTCGCTGATCCCGACGTGCCGCTCGTCGAGTCGAATGTCACAAAGGCGATTCCAATCTTGTCGTTGTTGTAGCCGGTCGTGTCGGTGGGGTCGGGGATGAATGTCCCTTTAAATACTGTTTATTATGTGTGATCAGAGGACAGGATCACGGTGCATATACCTGTGTTGGGTAGGCCTGTAACTTGGGTCCAGGTAGCACCGTAGTCGCTCGACTTCCAGAGGCCGTTTCCACTCCTCGCACCAAAGAACAGGATGTTGTTGCTGTGAGGGTCTACCGCAAGGCGCTGCATAATTCATGATCAAACATAGGATTGGATTACTCAAAGGACAATCCCTTCACCTCACCAACACCACGACCAGGCATGTTTCCTCCAACTTTGAACGGAAGGGCGTAGGCCGTGAACGTTTTACCGTAATCTTGTGAGGCTAGAATATGGCCATTGTTGGGGTCCCATGAGTTGGTGTACATCCTGGGTGAACATTTAAGCACGCGATGCTATTGTGTCTACGATAGGTTGAGAGGCCTACCCAGTTGCCTGAAGAAGTCGTCAGCTGTCATGATACAATGTCTCTGTCAACGTGAATCCTCACCAAGTACAAGCGTTTTGTGTCCACTGGATCGGTAGCAAGGGCGTCAATGCCCCAGTAGTTCCACGTCGAATCGTTTGCGAAGTCGACCAAGGGTGTCCATGTGTCGTCAGAGTTGAGCTTGTATGCACCGCCGATGTCGGTGCGAGCGTATGCAAGCCCTTTCTCGTTGGGGTTGAACACGATATCCGGCACAAAACCGCCGCCGCCGCCGATCTGACGAAACCGACAACGTGTGATCAGCGAGCTGCATATTCTGGATCAAGGTTGTGCTTGCCTTCACATTCTTCCAAGTGTATGTCTGCGACGCGACTGCGTTGACCGCTACTGGCAAGACAGTAACCGTGACGGCCGATAGAACACAAAAAAGGCGCATAGCGAGCGCTCAACAGCAGAGGAGAGGAGAGCTGGTTGGGGATTCCACTTCGTCAATGGGGACCCATTTTATAGACAAAACCACCGTCTCCTGCTTCTACTAGACTCCAATCCGAGAAACTAGCGTCCGGGCCGCCGAGGTCGACCGAGATATTTGCGGTGAATGATATCATCAGCTGTGAGAAGAGAAGGCTTTCGATTTGACTTACAGTAGTGTGCATGGGAGATCGACCATATTACAGGGCAGTGGTTGATGTATAGAACTAGACTAGTCTAGGCACATTTACTTTTGCATGATTTTGCTTCACATAGTCAGAGTTGCTGTTTGAGAGCCTAGCATCGCGATATCTTGACGTATGTATGGTTTCTGTAGCCTGCTACATCGAGTGACAGAAGACTGACAGAAGCCCCCGTGCTCTAGAGGTGCCTGGACGACTGTTAAAACTCGGAGATATATCATGGCGATATAACGACACGTAACATTCAAAGTTGAGCACTGACGGCAGACATCTACCAACCAAGATCTATAAGTGCAGAATATCCGAGATTTTGCTTCCGAAGCAAGTTGCAAGGCACGCTCAAAATCAATAAGGCTGGAGTCCACAAGACATGCAAAGAACCTTGTAGGCACGAGGCAAGTAGATCAAATGATAGTCAGGAGGCTCCAAAGCTCCAGGATTCGAAAGATATTTGAAGCGGTTCAATGGGCAGCGCAGTGAAGGATAGGGCGCTGTGTAGAACTCCGCAGGGCTTTTTAACCGGTTATTAACCAGGAGATGTTAATAACGCGTTAATAACCAGTGTTAATAACTACATATTGTGAGCGTGGGAAAATGAAAGTAAAATCGAGAAAATGGGCAAACAAAATGATGGCTCATAGCTCACTCAGTGTTATACATTCTGTAAACTAAGCCTAAATGAATTTGAGAGGCTCAGATGGCTGGAGCATAGACAGGATGATTTGAGCAAGCGGTTGTGGAGTTGGGTGTCTTAGCCTAACCTCCCTTTGCGGCGGAACCAGAGAAGCCACCATGATGCAAGTTGGACATCATTCAAGCTCCTATATTCTGTAGATAATACACCACAACCTGATCAGGTTCAGGCACTATCCATAAAATCCAAAAAATCATTCATATGCCTCCAGAATTCAGCCAACTAACAATACTTTACTCATGTGTCACGTGTCAGCTACCGCCAACAAGAACAGTGCTGGGACGACGACAACAGCACTGTATGCCCTCTTTTCTGCCCCCACCACCTTGGAGGCCTCCTCCGGACAAGAAGGTGAGTTTGACAGTCATTCAGAAACAGAGATTGCACTGAATAACAACAAATTTGAGATATATCGCTATTTTGGGAAATTAGTTATTAACCTTAAAAACCAAGGGGTCCGATACGTGCCTGTTAAAAACACGTTATTAACGCGTTATTAACACCTGTTATTAAACCGGTTAAAAATTAGGAGTTCTACACAGCGCCCTAGTGAAGGACGTGAGACCAGCGAAACAAAAACCAGTCCAACTCGAAAGCATGATGATTGAGTAATCACGTGTACGGGACAAAAGACTGCTTCCTTTTGTATTAAGCGCTGAGCTGAAGGCGACCCACGAGGACATGAAGCGATTCATGACTCTCTAGAAGGCATATAAACCCTACTTGCGACTCTTGGACTGTATCGGTTGACCTTTCTCTTGTACACTCTGCATTCTACATTCATTCTACATTCTCCTATGTCCACCCACGATCGCCTCCGTCTTGCTGGCCTCGACACAATGGTCCTACAGATTAATGGTCCATATTCTTCACCTCTTTCCTTGCCGTTCATCGTGTCCACTATCAGGTCTGATTCGCAGCAAATTATCCTCAGTTCAGACCGACAGAAACCCTCCTGCGAAACTGAAACTACGCTGGAGGACGAATCCCGGTATTTGACCGCTGTTAGTAGCAGCACACTTCTGATTCTTTTGTTCCCGCATGCTGAGCTCTTTGATATGATAGGATTCGTTGTTCACCTTCACGACTAGAGGCTTTATAAATATCAAGTCTCCATCCTTAGCTCGGTCATCCGTGGCTTCGAAGAATTCCGCCTTCCCGTCTCTTCCGCCTTTAGATAGAGCATCCACACTTCATCTACTCTCGTGCACACCGACGACACTCTCTTCGCCGGAGTCACTCCGAAATCCACCTTCTCCACTTTTAACACATGCTCAGAACGCACGCTCTCAAACACAGCACCCGTGTGCTGAATGCCCCAACAAATATTCTAGGAACGCTAACGAGCCGCCGTATGCTATACCATCTCTTCAACATCCTAATAGCCCTTATATCCCTTGGGCCCCATCCGTTCGGAGTCAGATCTTACGACCCATGACCCCTGGGTCGGAATCATCTGTTCTGTCAAGCAACTACTCTCGCCCTCTTTCTTATACCGGTGCACGGGCTCCCGAACCTGCCAGCGAGCAAGGAGACTCATCACATGTATACCCTCGACCCCAAAAGACACTCTTGGCTGTCGCTCAAACCGTTAAAAACCTTGGTGGGAGGCTGAAAAATAATTTTCGAGGCTTGGCGAAATGCATGGGCAAATATACGCGGCCGCGGCCCAATCTTGTGATCCCTCCTCGGTCCTCGCGGGCCAATTTGGATTCTACCTGGCATTCATCGTCCGTCGCAGACTCTGTCATTTCCATCACCCTTTCTTCCGACTTTCAAACTCTCTCCGAATGGTTGGAAGATCGGCATCGCTCGGCATCAGAGGACATGACGAATGGGCCAAGGATGAGCCTTGATGAGTATGAACGGCATGGTAGCTGGCTGGAACTTGTGCCCGCGGAGTCCAAGGAGAAAGGATGGATTTGCGGGAGACCCGGATGCGAACTTCACAGATCCGATCTCATGAACGACAACGACAGCGACGACAACGTTCCTGCGAACTCTTGCGCCTCTAGATGGACGCCTAAGCTACATTCCAACTCCAGTGAGAGCTAGGATGATACCCACATTCCATAAAACTTATTCAGTTATTTCCGACCTGTCAGGTTCACGATGAGCCTTGGCCATAATCTGTACACAGTCTGTACACTCCGCGTAGATACGTTGACACCAACACTAGATTACTGTTAATGAAGTAATTTATATTATAGACGTCCGGGAAAGAAAATGTGATAGTGCCTCGGAGACATGTCGAAAAGCCCAAAAATTGTTAATAATAAATGGCTTTGATTGCTTCGGCTCTTTCGGTTAGTCGAGAAAATTTGCAGATCCTTCAATGTGATAGGCTTGAGGTCAGTGTCTCGAAACAATTGTCAAAAGCTGATCTTTCATAAGATAGGATTGACATGCGCATCATCTCTGAAGAGAATCAGAGAGCATGACAATAGTCAGAAGTAGCCTTGCCTCGGCGCCCACAGGATGATGATTGCGATAGCCGAGATACTGACGCGGATGGTGGTCGGCAGCAATTCGGAAAACATAGACGATGCGCGTACAAAACCTTGAGGCCATCTTGCGAGCCTACATATTTCTGGCCTAGAGGGCCTATGAGTATCGACGAAAACAGTACAACACAGGGGCGATGTCACTGCTAGCCAAAACTAAGGACTGGAAGCTGAAGACGTTGCAGCGCAAGTCACGGGTACACCACAGTACGTCATATATGGATCCATCCCTTATATCCCAAAAAGGCAATTCATTCGAGACGCAAGCTTGGACCAGCGCGATCGTGTACACAAGTCGGAACAACAACCATGCTATCAGCCGCCCACGTACATAAAGATGCTGGGCCCATCCATTCTCTTGTTCTCTGTCTTTACCCATTTTCCTCCTCATCACCACTAGCATGGCCTCAAGTACACACCAACCGGTGACCACCGCGGCATCGAAAGAGAATATATCCCCTTTATTCCGTCCTTATATTCGCCACCACGCATACACCCCATTCTACAAGGCAGTGTGTGCAAGATTCCCTAAACATGCCAACCCAGCCCTCCCGAAGAAACGGCAACCTACAGCTGCTGAAGCCGCAGCTTCCGCTGCCATGATTGATTGGCGCGGTATGGACCGTATCGTTCGTCCAGAGAATTTGCCGGAGGAAGAAGACGAGTCGGATGTTGCCCTGAACATTGCTGATCCAGTGTACAATCCTCTATATCAAGCGCAAGGAAAGTACGAGTTCATGAATAGGAAGCCGCTCAAAGAGGTCAAAACGCTACAATACCTAGGCTGTGCGTTCTTCTTGTTTTGTATAGCGTTCCCGTGTCGTAACATAAATCCCAGCTGGCGCTATGTCCTCCGCGTACATTAAGTCGGCATCCGTCAACATCGTCGATGGCAGCAAAGTCACCCAGAAGAAGCTCAACTACGTATGCAAAACGTGAGTTTTCCCCCATTGCCCTACATCTCTGGAGCGTAGTCAAACTGATTATGGTGGCGGAAGTTGGAGTCTAGCTTCACAGGGCTATTGGCGTGGATTTCACTCAGAAGTAAGCGAACAATCATTCTCATGTTCACACACTCACGCATATTTTAGCTCGCGCTCTACAAATCGTCGCGATATCTTCTCCCGCTGCAAGGAGTTTGTGTCCCCCAGATCATGGGCGTCTACGCTCGAAACGGATACATTAACATCGCTATGGAACCACCACACCCCATTTTCTGGGTCGAAGCGTCTCCAGACATGTCCATTTACCTGAAGGAACGCGTGATCGAAGCATTCGAAAAGATCCATTCTCGTGGAATTGCCCATGGCGATATTGCGCTGCGTCATATTCTCATCGGCGCTGATTTCAAGATTACCATCGTTGACTTCCAGGAGAGCCATGCCTCTGAGCCCTTGGAAACTGTCGGCCTCGGGAAGGTATTCGAGGGAGAGATGCGACGGGAGATGCGTCGCGTCAAGTTCCTCCTGAATTACGACGGTGCGCGCAAGAAGGAGATCAAGAAGACGAAGGCCATGGTAGAGCGGCTGGGGAGGAACGCTGCCAGAGCCGAGGTGCGTCGTACGAAGGCTGTTGCGGTGGGCCCCGACGAGCCCACGCCGCCGGAAGACGAGTTAGATCCACCGATTGAGCCCGAGGAAATGAAGAATGACTGGCTTGTTGGTGCAAACAACGCCCCACGCCGGTTCGTCATGCCAGAAGTGCCGAAAGAGACGCTCGGGAATACAATCTGCGACTTTCTGCGCAGACTATTTTATCACGAATGGTACAACCACGAGTATCAGCCATCTCCGTCACCTCCCCCCTCACCCCAACGACCGGAAACTCCTCCTCCTGAAGATGGCCCAAAACCTCCCCCACCCCTTCCTCCTTCGATCAAGGTTCACGACTACGCTTACGATAAAACATACGCTGGAGAGAAAGCGTATACCGTAGGACGACCTCCAACCAAGACAGAGGCTATTGCGTGGGAAAAGTACAACAGACTCCGTGGAGTACCTGATATCAAGCCTAAGGGAGCTGACTCGCCGGGCACCTCAAAGCGACGGCGTGAGGACGAGGGGGATTCGTCCACGAACGACACCAGGCCACCTTCTAAAAAAGTCAGGTTTGCGAAGAAAAACGGCATAGACGGCTCAACCGACGTGGCCAATGAATCCTCGCAGAGCGACGATGACGACAATGATGAGAGGTCGACCAGGCAAGCCGGACCCAAATGTCAAACCAAGAGTCAGTCCTCGGTGTCCAAAGGAGACGCCACCTCGAGAAGGGGGAAATCGAGGGGAAATCAACCCGGGAACGGATTGCACGGATTCAAAACAGATGGACCTGTACAGTATTATCAGAAACCGAGGAAGCAGAAGTACGGGAACAAGGGTATACATCACCTCTCTGTCACGTTGTTTTCAAGCTGATACGGCTCATTTTGCAGCAAGATTGGAACACGGCGTATTAGACCCGTCCACCTCCGAGTCGGATGGGTATTCGACCCAGGGGCATCCAGGCTCTGTGGATAGCAGACGGTTAGATGATCTGTCCCACACGTCCTCAGACAGCGATACCAGAAAGGGTAAGCGTAAGAGAGCCCAAGAGAAAACAAGGGAGCAGGAAGCTCCTAGACCGGTGACGAAGAAACAGAAGGTCGGAAACCCGGCTGAAACTACGGCGTCGAGGTTGACGCTGAGCAACAGTGAATGTATGCGTGGATTTCTCATCGCCGCCATCCGTGCTGACGCGACGCTTTTCGCAGTACTTGCTCTTTATCTAGGACAGATTCCCCGTCCCCGACGAGATGGGTCACCATCCAGCTCCCGAGGAAGGGCATGGTCAACGGAGAACACGGTCTTCACCAGAGAGACTAGCCGTAGACAAGGCATCGTGACGATGCAAACAGAGCCTTTGCACGCTGGACCCTCAGCAGGTGCGTAACGATCTCTGTACTGGTATGCATCGCGTTACCAACGTCATGTCACAGCGCGGCGGGAGAATGAGGAAGTCTTGGCCTCACATCTTTCAGATGTGGACCAAATACGCTCATCGCAAGTCGGGGGTCCTCAAGGAGGAGCTGGAACAAGCTCGATGGAGCCTGTGGACTCAGGGCTTTCGAAAGTCGCTCCGGAATCGGAAGCGCGCGCACAAGCAAGCGATAGTCAGGCTCCTGCGGCGGCCACTGGCCCTCGTGAAGTTCCAGTTCTCCAGGATGATCTATCGTCAGAGGATGAAGTGGAGTTAATGTTGTTGTCTGGATGAGGGATCGAAGTCTGGATTTATAGTCAATGTCTGCGGGGCAGACCTGGGCTCTGTGAAATTAAGATAAGCAAGGATAAGTACCGAGCTTATACCTATCGCTCCTCGCTACGTATTCCGGTTGGTCTGCTGCTTCCTTTTCCCCCTCTCTATCGGCGTTCCTGTGCCTTCAAGCGGTGTATTTTCTTACTTTGTATTTTTTGGTACCTGAATCTCGTTGAAGTCTTGACACGGTGAGCAAGGGTGAGTAGGCAAAAGCCCTTGCTAGCGGGAGTATCCGTGGTTTGATGTACAGTCTCACCATTATTTGCTGTAAAGTACTCATTGAATAGGGAAATACCATGATTGAACGAGTTTTGAACGACGGCATAGGACAATAATGTGTGACACAACGGTTGAAACGTCAATTGATGGGAACAAATATTCGCGCAGTTGGCATGCAAGATTCTACATATGGTACGCCCTATACGCCCTGACTCAAATGGGCGTCAAAAGACGGAAGATGTTGATAACAACTGGAGTTGTCGCACGGGGCCTGAACCGTGGCGATCTAGCAACGATTTTTTCCGTTATGAGAACGATGCACGCGAAGGACTGAAGTCGATCGAGAGAGGTGAGGGGAGTGAGGGGCACGAATGGCGATCGTGATCGAGGTAACGTTGCGGAGTGTCGTGATATTGGCGGGTCAAGTAATCCATAGTGCTCCATTCGGTCGAGGATAACACTGGATAGCAGCTGCTCTTATCTTGAAGCAAGGTTCAGACTCGGCAGTGCCCTAGACAGCACAATAATGCAGCAAATGATGGATGTGATGATATGTGGTTTCAGGCTGGACTTGACGCCAGAGAGTATTGCATTGACACAGAGATAAGTCGTCGGCATATGCCACAGACGCGGAGGTCTGGTCTCTGGGGATTTTAAATCTGCTGGATAAAGACGACTCCATCCTGATCCGACAAAAGCCGACAGACGATTCTACGGCAAAAATGCGAGTATCGGGGTGGATCGTGGCGGTGAGAGGGAAAAAAAATTGAGAAGAGGGGCTGGAAGAGGGCCGAAGGCCGGAGTGCACGATGCCGGCAGCCAGGAGGTGGGCGGGGCCGAACACAAGTCCAAATGGGCGCTTATCGTACTCCATGTTGATTGAGCGCATAACTATATAAGCTGTTCTCTGCATGCCTCTTTACTTTTTCGTCGCCCTCCCCCGCTCTCTCCCCTCCTTCCTCTTCCCCGCTCTTTCGTGAGCACACCATCTTTCACGACCAGTCATGTCGTCCAAGGAGGGTTATGACGAGAAAACGATGGTCGCTGTGCCTCCGGCGTACGCTGCCTCTGACTCTAATGTCGAGACAATGGGCGACTTTCCGGTAACACAAAAACTGCACCGCCAGCTCAAGAACAGGCACATTGCCATGATTAGGTCAGTCCCCCTTTATATGCGTCCTCCTCGTAATACCTGATCAATCTTGTGTTCAGTATCGGTGGTATGTTCCTCTAGTTCTTTTTTTAATTATTACCACGAACACGCTCTGAGGTTTCGCATCGCATAGGTGTTATCGGGACTGGTCTTTTCTTGGGAACAGCTAATGCCTTAAGGCATGGTGGGCCGGTCGGCCTTCTGCTTGGATATCTTGCCGTTGGCTCGATCTGTTACAGCGTTATGGTCCGTCATCTCGTTTAGTCTATCTCCGCTCTTCTCACCTCCTACCAGATCTCTCTGGGCGAGATGATCGCATTTCTTCCTATACCGGGTGGCCATATCAAATTGGCCGAGCGCTTCGTCGATCCCGCGTTCTCATTTACTATGGGATGGAATTACTGGTATAATTGGACTATCATTCTCCCTGCCGAATTGAGTGCCGCTGCCGTCCTCATCAATTTTTGGAACAAGGATATCAATAATTCAGCGTGGATCATTGTTTGTCTCGTTGTAGTTGTCGCAATCAACTTCATGGGCGCAGGTGTGTTTCGCTTCTGTCCTGAAAGGGGTGTTTGACTGACCGGTCTGCTTGCAGGAGCGTACGGCGAAGCAGAATTCATATTTGCCTCGATCAAGGTTCTCACCATCGTTGGTAAGCTCTTCTACGTACGGGATTTTTGTAGCGGAGCTAATCGCCATCTATAGGTCTGATCATCTTGGGCATCGTCATCGATCTTGGTGGAGGGCCCGACCACGACCGACTTGGCTTCCGCTACTGGAAGCATCCAGGTCCATTTGTTCAGTATGATGATATTGCAGGTTCCAAGGGTCGATTCTTGGGATGGTGGGCTGTCATCACGCAAGCTGCATTTTCCTTCATTGGCACTGAAATAGTGGCTGTACGTACATCTTGAGTGGATCTTTTTCTAGGTTGCTCATCGTATCTTTGCAGATTGCCGCTGGTGAAGCCAAGAACCCAAGAAGGAATCTCCCAAAGGCTATTCGTCGTGTCTACATCCGTATCCTGCTTTTCTACATTGGCGGTGTCACCGTCATTGGCCTCTTAGTCCCATCTAATCACGAGGACCTCAACTTGGGAACAGGCAACGCCGCTGCGTCTCCCTTCGTAATCGCCATCAAGACCGCTGGTATCAGGGGCCTTCCGCATGTGGGTGCAATTTCCAAGCTGGTGCGAGGACTTCGCTGAAGACACTAATAATAGATCATTAATGCATGTCTCCTGACTTCCGCGTGGTCGGCTGCTTCGAGTGACATGTACACGAGTTCGCGCGCCTTGTGTAAGTGCTCTTCTATCTGCGTGTCAAATTTCGCACGACCGACCGCCCTCGTAGATGGCCTTGCCGTTTCTGGAAATGCCCCGAAGATCTTCATGCGCACGACCAAGAACGGTTTACCATACGTTGCATTGTTGTGCTCGACCGCGTTTGCATTCCTTGCGTTCATGGGTGTCAAATCCGGATCTGGCAAGGTCTTCAACTGGTTCTCGAACATGACCGCTATTGCAGGTCTCCTGACGTGGTTCGGCATCTGTGTCACATATGTGCGGTTCCACAAAGGTTTCAAACATCAGGGCCTTGACCGCAGCAAGCTGCCTTACGCTTCTGCGCTGCAACCTTATGCGGCCTGGTATGGCATGATCGCTTGCGCCTTTATCTGTCTGGTGCGTTCTCTTCTTCATGTTGCGCTTAGGCATGGTCACTAAGTATATCTCCATGCAGTTTTCTGGATGGCAAGTGTTCCTCAAAGGGAAATGGGTCACTGCGGACTTTGTGACCAACTACCTCCCGCTAATGCTCTTCCCCGTGCTTTACATTGGCGCAACGTTATGGAAACGTGTACCACCTGTCAAGATCCAGGACATGGACTTTATATCCGGTCTTGACGAAATCGAGGCAGACACATACGATGAGCCGCCCCCAAGAAACAAGTGGGAGGCCTTTTGGCAGTGGATGGTACGTCGGCTCTCATGTCTTCGCATTCCCGCTCTTGTTCTGACTTGCTATGCAGATGTGATTGTCTTCTGTTAATTATCGCTACTTGACGCAATTTATGTCAGTGGGAGAGGATATACGATGATGTTGTTATCTGTTGTCGTTGTAATACCGTGCTGCGAGCACACATACGCAATGTTGGATTAATAGCTGTGAGATTAATGGAAAGACTTACCTCGACATATCTGACGGCTCTACTTCCTGGCTCCGTGCATCAATCGTTGTCTTGAGAGTTGAGGTCACGTAGGGCTTCTGAGGTTCTTCTTTGGACGACTTCCCGAGTCATTCCGTTCATTTTGGAGCGGGTTCAGTGCGCGTACCTCGTCTTTCCAAATTTCACACAGTAAGCGCTGATCGAGTCGGCCCAGTTTTTCCGTTGTTCTTCAAACCATCGCACCCGCTGACTATGCGACCTCATGTGGTGGTGCACCCTTCAAGGTATGTACTCCTCCTTTTGACATGCCAAGATCTGTTGGAGTGGCTGCGCGGATTTTTTTCTGATCCCTCGACTCCAATGGGCATCTGGAATGAAGGCTGAGCGCAGATTACTCGCCAATGCGACTGCCCGCGCACCGATGTACACCCCACTGGTTACGTCTGAGCGTCCCCTGGCGCTCATCTGCTTGTCAGTGCTAGGCACGTCTGCTAGCCAGAATGTCTCAGGTCGAGTGGGTCATTTGAGTCGCTCGATATCACATGTCCACATATATTGCCCTACCAGCGCCGAATGACCTTGATGGACATGCCGTCAACCTCGCGCACGGTGCTCTTCCCCGCATCACCCCACATTGCGCTGCGATTCCGCACATTTGAACCCCATGCGAAGCAGGACAAACGCGTGGCGTTCCACGCCTTGCTGTTGTACCTGTGCCCAGCCACAAGCAATGAACCTCAGACGCCCATATGTAGCGGGATGCATAGACACCCCGTGGCATGCGCAGGCACTCGTGGGAGCCAGCTATCCCTCATTCAAAGTTGCGCTGAGCGGTAGTCCCCGTGCAGGCTCGATCACATTGAAGAGGGTCGCAGTGTGTATAGTGCCGGGCGGCGGGTGTTCCTTCATTCATCCGCACCTTCTCGATGCTGCTTCCCCTATCCTATTCCTTTCCGACTCGCCTCGGTCTGCTCTGCGACCATCACTTCTCACCGAACGACATGCGGTACAGCCCCGCAGCCCCCGTCGCATGCACACCCGCGTGATGCGTTTATGAGACTGCTTACTGCAGGCACCAAGCACCCTCACGAGTCGAATCATGCTCGCAATGCATTTGTTTTTGAGAATCGAGATCGACGGTGCGCTTCCAAAGGTCTCTGCCCACGTCTGTTCTATCTCCGTGCTTGTCGGCCATGGACCGACTCGACGGCCCTCTCATCGTCGCATGTTGGCTTTTCTGTCAATGTATCTCAGGGCGTAGGCGGCGGCGGGTTCGTGGGAACCACCGGAAGCTCGACATCCATCCACGACCTATATGCTGTCAGTCCGCCCGAGACTCCGACCATACCATGCATGCATCAACGCACCCGCGTCGCGTGTGGCGTGTGGCAACATTAATGTCTATTCATGTCTACTTTCGAAAAAGAGTTTTCAACGTAGCTTACTCGAGAAATATACAGCTATATACGGCCCACAGGGCCAGGCTCTACAATACGAGCAAACTATGGCTGATCGATGCACACTGCCCCCCCCGGACAAGGGAGACGGACGATATAAAAAGAAGAGGGAGAAAAAGAGAGGAGAGATGTGACAGAGGTACCAGTAAAGACGAGGAAAAACGAAGACCGAGATGAGGAGGAGGAAAAATAAAAGGAAACAGGAAAAGGCAGAAGTGGAGAAGAGTACGGTGCGAGCACGGCCGATGGGTGAGGTTAATGCATGTGATACAATGTAGACGAGGAAGTGCTGCGGCCTACTGATAAAAAGACGGGATGCGATGACGCGCTGCGATCGACGGACAAGGAAAGACGCGAAAGTCCTCGTGGACGGAGAAAGGAAAAAGAGTCTGAAAAGAATCTTGCGGAGACGCAAATATAAGCGCCCAGCCTCACGCCTTTGAGGACGGGATGTGGAGGTTGATGGCTGCGTGTATGCGCGTCTCAGCGTTGTCCGGGCGACATGGGTCACAAGGCATGCTCTCACCTCTGAACCACGTCAAGGCATCGGACGTCGACGTCGCCTCAAAGTACAATATCGCCTTGTTATCAACGAGGCGGAGAACTATGAACAGAGCGCAAATCAGCATCGCCGAGTCCACAACTCAACTCGAAATCACGAATCGGCTGACCGTTGCCATGGACGATGCTCGCCGGCTGAGGCAAAGTCTGCATGCGGAGCACGGCCCAAAGATCGACCGGCGAGTGGGGGTCCCTCCCCTCCGAGGGATCTCGACAGAGCACCAGGAGGTCGTTGCACAGGATCCCGATGAGCGAGCGCGGGGTCTGCTCCGGCGAGAGGCACTCGACCTGCACCGTCGACGCGTCGCCCTGCGCATTGATCACCTCGAACGTGATCGTCGCCTTGCGCACCACCCGCGTGAGCAGGAGGGGCCCATCCATGATGAGGCGCCTGCGGAGACACTTCAGCATCGCACGCGTGACGCACCGCAGCGGCACTCACCGGTGGGGCTGGACCAGCGGACTGGGGAACTTGCCACGGATCCGCGACTGCCACTGCACGAGCTTCCTGCGCGACTCTGACTCGCGCTTCCCTTCGTTCATGTTCGTCGCGAGAGACGAGATCTCCGTCAGCGCCTTGTCCAGTGGATCGATGTAGTCGTACGCCGTCGGGGGCGTACACCGCGCCAGCTCTTCCAACTAAGTCATAGCCCGTCAGAGTCGCGCTCGCACAGCCAGCCAGCCAGTCAGACACAAACAAGACCACTCACCAGCAACCGATAGCGCGGTATCCGCTGGATGGGCAGCAGCAGGTAGCCCTCCAAGTTGAGCTGCGAGTGGCGCGGGTTCAGCCGGCACCGCTTCAGGTACGACTTGATGCGTTTCCGCTGTCCGGATGACAAAGGCGCGGGCCCGTTCATGGGGGCGTCCGGCGAGAGCCCAGGAGACGTGATGGAGGAGATGGCCAGGCCGAGACCCACCATCTGCGCCGTGCTGGACGAAGACGCCGGCCCGCCCGAGGGATGTGCGTGCGCGGTCGAGCGCTCCGACACCCAATACTTGATGCGCTGCACCGAGTTCTCAAAGTTACTGATGAAAGGGGGTAGAGACGCGGTGTGAGCGGGTGGCAGGTCATAGGCCGCGGAGACTCACTTGATGTAGGTCGAATACATCCTCATGAACGCCGCATGCGAGACGAAACTGTTCGCGATGGACTTTGCCACGTCCTGAGACAGCTGTGCGTTCTTCTCGGGCGGTGACGCCTCCGCAGGCTTCAACAGCGGTGCAGCCGCGCGCTCCAAAGCTGGCAGAAAACTCTCTTTATGGAAAGAGAACAGCGACTCTAGCCCGCTGAAGACAAGCTTGCGTTCCGGCGCAGGCACCACGGTTTCTTTGTTTGAGCCGACGCCGCCCAACAAGTTGACGGGTGCAGAGGCTGGCTTGATGTAAATATCTACGAGCTCCTGCAGGCCCTTGACGTACGTCCGCTCGGTCCTATGAAACAGCAGCGCCTCGGGTCAGGGGCACGAGGAGAAAAAGAGAGAGAAGGGCGCGCACGTTACGATCTCCCGCACGATCATCGCCCGCTTTCCACTGTCATCCTTGAACTTGCGCTCCTCGCCGCCGTTCGACCCACTGCTGTCCGTCGTCGCGACACTGGCCGTCTGGCTCGAGCTCAGGCTCCGCAGACGCGCGATCGACTCCATCGACCGGAGCTGGTCCGACGAGTTGCTCCGCGAGCCCGAAGTAAAGGAGCCATCCGAGACGACGCGCGCGCTGTCGATCATGGTCGGCCGGCGGGACCGCGCACCGCTGCCCACGCCATCGGAGGGCGGCGTCGAGCCGCCGTAGATACTTGACGTATTTGTCTGCGACAGAGAGAGATCGTTCATGTCCCGGAGGTAGGCCATCACGGAGCGCAGCGCCCTCGTGTAGGCCTCCCGGGCCCTCTCTTCTTCACGCCGTTGGTGCTGCTCCGTCGTGTCCACGTGTAGAGAGCCCGGACTGGGTGTGGGGTGGAACGTGGGAGAGTTGGGTTTGCGATCGTCGCCGTCGTCAGTGCCGTCTGTGGCAGTGAGGCCAGGGAGGAACGTCGAGGGGAGGGGAACAGAGAGCGAGGGGGGGCCGTCGATCGGCAGAAAGCTGCGTCGCCTCGCACCCCGAGTGGTGCTCGAGGTGACCGAGAGGTTCGAGGAGAGCATGCTGGGTGAGGGTGAGGGTGAGGGAGCTGCACCGGCCGGGGTCGTAGGCTCAGAATCTTCGAGGGTCGTCGGCGAAACAGAGATTTCGGGTGCGGCCAAAGGCAGGTTCACGTCGAGATTGCCGGTGGAGGAAATGCGCATCTCCAGGTCCACCGCGGACGGCCCGCGGCTCAAGAGCGGCACGGACGACGACCTGTACTCGTCCACGGGCACGATGTTGACGAACGGTTGCGTCTGGTAGGACGGCCGGCCCTGCGCGGTCGAGGGGCGCGAGTTCCCCGGCGAGTCGGAGCGCATCTTGCCCATGGACATCTTTTTGAGGAACCCCCACCGTCCGTGCTTCTCCTTGTCCTTGTCCCTGTCGTCCTTCCGGCGGGACCCACTCCGCGGGCGAGGGCCGTCCCTGTCCGGGGGCGACTGGCTCCCCACGGACGAGGGCGACATCGCCTGGTCCCGCGCGAACGACTTGCGGCTGAGGCGCGAGCTCGTCGAGGGCCCGTCTTCGGACGGCTCCGCGCTCGAGAGCCGCTCCCACAGCGACCGGTCGAGCGCCGGGCGGGCGGGCGACGTGCGGGTGCCCGCGGTGACGCCGATGCTCGCGAAGCGCATCGGGAGCGGGCTGGGCTCGGGGAGGAGGGCGGCCTGATCGAGCAGGTTCGAGGCGGACATCGAGGTCGGGTAGTGGGCGAGGCCTGGTCGCTGCGGCGTCGAGGCGGCGGTCGAGGGGTGGGATGCAGAGGAGGATGGGACGGGCATGGCGTCTCTGCGCAGCTCGCTCGCGCTTTTCATGCGGCGGATCTCTGGCTCGCCGAAGTAGCCAGAGTCGGGCACCTTCCTGCCCGACTGTGCCGAGGGGTCCGCCCGACTGTGGCCGCTGCGCCGCGACTTGTCGTAGTACGCACGGTTGGGGGTGGTGCGGGTGCGGACGACGCCGTGGGCGGGTTGGCCGCCAGCCTCCGGTGCGGCGTAGCTGGTAGCCCGGCCCAAAAAGGGGGCACGTTCGGGCGTGATCGTGTCCTCGTCTTCTGTGGGGCGGCCATCCTGGTCGAGGAGGGGCGACTCGGGAGAGTCCTCGAGGTCGGTGTCGATGAAGGACTCAGAGTCCTGGGTGGTCGCGGAATGCAAGGCGAGCATGGGGGTGGAAGGTGTATAGACAGGAGTGGGCGGAGGTTCCTTGGGCAGCAGGGGATCGACAAGGGCTTTCCACGGGCCCTGGAAAGGGTTCCCATCGACCAAGAGGGCTTCCAAAGACGTGAGAAGACATAGCCAGCTTGGGAGCGAATAGAACTTGTTGCGGCGAATGCTGAGTGTATGCAGCTTCTCGAGAGCGCTGAGGGGCGTGGGAAGGGTGGTGACCCCAGTGGAATCCGCGATGAGGACGCGAAGGGAGACGAGGTTGGCGACGAAGAGGGGCAGAGCGCGGAGGGGATTGGAGGATATGTTGAGTTCTTCGAGATGGATGCAGGATTCGAGCGCGGGCGGAAGGGCGCCGAGGAAGTTGGCGGAGATGTCCAGGGCGACCAAGGTGAGATTAATTTGCGGAAGGGTCGTCGTCAGGAAGGACGGGATGGCGCTCGGCGTGCTCGAAGAACCGACGAGAAGATGGGTGGTGCCTTTGGAACGTGATCGTCATCAGAGTTAATTTGGTGAAACAGAGTTGGACGGCGGCGAAGGCGGCAGAGGGGAACGCACCTGGCTGGACGTGAAGATGAATGGTGGACACGCCGTCGCCCCTGACGATCTGGCCGCGACCCTCCTCGGCCATGACGACAGCGGAGGTGCGCTCCTCCTCGTGATCCGCATCGTCGTCGTCGTCGTCGTCGTCAAAGTCGTCCGGGTCGAGATCTGTGTCCTCGGTCTCGTCGCCGCTTGTGAGATCGACTTCGTCGCGCTCGTCGACGGCCTGCCAGCTGAGGTCGTAGCTGGGCTTTGGCTTGAGAGCGGGTGGGGGACTTTCGTGTGCGGCGTTCGAGTTGCTGCGGACGAGGGAGGAGCGGGAGCGAATGCTGGCGGAATAGGAATGGGACCAGCGAGTCTGATCGATAGGGACGCGGGAGTGGGAGGGGTGCGATGGGTGCGATGGTGCGTGGGGGTCGTGTGGGTCCTGGTGCATGAGGTGGACTACATCGTCGGAGGTGATGCCCACGCCGACGGGGTCGTCGTGGCTGGAGGCGACGTGGACGTGGTTTCCATAGTCACCGGAGGCGAGGGCGCTGCCGGTGCTGCTGTGGGCAGATGTGTAAGCGGACGAACGCGTGGAGGCGGACTCGGAGCCGCCGGAGGAGAGGGCGGGCGGGGTAGAGCTGAGGTACTGGTGCGGGGGGCGGAAGGGGTAGGGGTCTGGGAAGTGGGCTGGGTCTGGGAGGGCGGCGGGCTTGGGGGGGCGAGCGAAGGAGTGGGGAAGCGACGGGTCCGAGTAGGGGAGGAGGTCGTCGTCGTCGTCGTCGTCGTCGTCGGCATCGTCGGGGCGGGCGAGCAGGGGCGAGTGGAAGTGGGGCTGGGCCGGGGAGAAGGCCGGGGAGTCTGGTGCGGCGAGGAAGAGGGCGTCGGAGGGACGGGCGGGGGGGCTGGGAGGGAAGTGGGGGTCTGGGGCGGCGGGGGACCAGGGGCTGTCTGGGACGGGGGGCGTGCTTGCTGACGGGGTCGGTGCGCGTGGGCGAGAGTGCATGGCCGTGAAGGGCGAGAGCGGCGAGGGCGGCGGGGCGGCGTGCGGGTGGAGGCGCAGAAAGTCTAGGTCTAAATCAGTGGATCAGCGTCGGCATGGACCAGCGACGACGCGAACGAGAAGTGAGGAGCGAGAAACGGGAAAACGAGAAACGAGAAAGTCGGGCGCGAAAGCAACACCCGGGACCACACCCCAAATATAGACATCGCCCCCATCACACGCTCTCCAGACATGGCTGGCCACTTACCGACAGCGCTCGTCCGTCCCCTCAGGTACACCCACACACCCCCCTCCTCTCCCTCGCTCGAGCCCTCGCCCTCGCCCTCGCCCTCTCCATCTCCACCCGGCCTCGCTCCCAGCTGCTTCTCTCGCTCAAACATCCTCGACGCAAGCGGCGTACTCGGCTCCTCGCTATACACGCTCAGGTCGCTGCACACGCTCTTCGTCCTCCACCCCCTCGCTTTATCCATCGCGAGTGCGTGCGTCATCTCGACCCGAACCCTCAATCCAGTGCTCAAGCGCTGATACTCTGATGGCGAGCTGTGGGCAGGGACGATGTTCCCATCAATCCTCTCACCACTGACAAAACCTCTCGCCTTACAATCTCTCGCTCCGCTAGCCTCCGACCATTTAGTCCCTTGGCAACGCAGCTATCCCTATCCCTCCATTATTCAATGCGCGATCTCTCCTTCTGATCGCCCAGACACTCCCCAAGCACCTCCGAGCACCCGCCCGCAGCAGCAGCGCGGCCCACTCACACCCGCCACTCCGTCTGGCGGAACTACGGATCTCTCTCCTCCTCGTCCGTCTCCGCCCCTCCCTCGCCGTCGCCCTATCCTGAGCTTCATGCACCGTGACTGATCACGCCCACGTCTGGACTCGCCCGGACTCGCCTTCATTTTCCCGGCCGATCGACAGATAGCTTAGTGCCTCCTCCCTCACGCGCCTGTCACACTACCATCACCATATCAAAAGTCATACAAGTCTGGCCTGTCCGTCCGAAACGCCACCTTTTTCTTCGCCTTCGCCTTCGCCCTCCCCTGGGGCTGATCCCCCTCCCCCGCTTCCGATTCCTTCTTTGCCTCTTCAAATTTTACTTCCACCCTCGCCCCAGCGGCCCTCTCGGCCTGCGATTCCGCCGCCGGCCCCTCGGCGTGCGCGTGTCCCCGGTGGTCGTGGTCGTGGTCGTGGTCGTGCCCATGCACGAGCGCCTCGTCCAACGCCGCCGCGCGCGCCGCCGGGGTCGTGCGCCGCTCTCCCACGCCGCCCTCGACGTCCAGATGCAGCGTCTCGAAAACCAGCCGTTTGCGCATGCACTTGAACGCCAGGTTGTTCTCGCCCCCGCCCGACGCCCCCGACGCCAGCGCGATCCCCCGCAGCGTCGAGAACCGGTCGCTCGGCGGCAACAGCGTGTGCGGCGCCGGCAGCCCGTGGATGTGCAGCAGCCCGTGGTGCGCAGGGAACATCGCCGACAGCGCGGGGTCGGCTGGCGATCGCCACCGCAATTAAGTGACCAAATTGAATGCAGGTCGGCATGGATATAGGTACAGTCGTCAGCGACCGCGCGCCCCGAGCGGATAAAAAAAAAAGGGGGCTGTGGGGCCTGCGCACCCGTGAATGCTGCGAGCGTGATCGACGCATCGGACAGCCAGCCGAGTTTTTGTACCCATCCCGGGCCGCCCCACCCGTCGGCGGAGATGTCGGGCGGAAGCGCGATCGCGGCGCACGCGGACGGGTGGCGGCGGAGGAGCGCACGCAACGAATGCAAGAAGCGCAGGATGTCCTGACGCGCGCGCATAGCGACGATGTCGATGAGAGTGATAAATGAATAAATTATCGCACGTGAATCCTTTGACGCGACGCACCTGAGCCTCGAGGTCTCCCCATTGAGGCGATCCGAGCGCAGGGACGCATATCCGCACGGGGGACATGGGCGAGCACGATGCCTCCAGGAGCGCAGAGAGCGTATGCACGAGGTGCGCGATCCGCGGCCCCGCCAGAGTGCCCGGCCGCTCACTCGCGTCCGCATCGGACGCGGACACGGACACAGGGATCGGCCGCACGCGCGACGCGCCCATCGCGGCCTCGAGGACAACGCGGGGCACGCGACAAGTGAGATCAAACGTGCGGCAGAACTCGTCGGAGGATCTGGCATCAGGGCATCAAACGCCACACATAGAGGGGAGGGGCAGAGGGGCGATGATGATCAGCGACCGCACGAATCACGCCGCAGGCGCTCGATAGGGTCATCGCGGCCTGCATGAGCGCGAGAACTCACATACGGGTTCGAGGCGGTGGACGACGGCGAGGTCGAGGTCGAGGTCGAGGATGGCCCGACCGTCGTCTGGAACTTGCCCATGCGCTCGTAGCGCCACGCGATCTTGATCTGCGCGTCCTCGCCCGTCGCGTCTTCCGCGCGCTCGTCGTCCGCTACTTGTGCTGGGGCGTGCGAGAATGGCGCGGACGCGGACGGCGTCCACATGCACTCGGCCACGAACGCCTCGGCGTCATCGTCGATGACGCACACGGTCTGCCCGCATGCGAGCCCCTGCGCGATAAAGTACTTCTGCACCAGCTCGCCGTACGCCGAGTGGGGATCGGGCGCTAGGACGAGCAGAGAACAGGACAGGGGCAGCCCCCCTCCCAAGATGTCATCGAGTGACGGTATCCCTGTAGATGTGATGACGGTAGATGGGGAAGAGGGGGAGATCCGACAGCCTGGAGGAAGAGTGGACTGTTTCGTGGCCGCTTTCCTCTTGAACGAAGACATCGTCGAGTTAAAAGTACCGTGGGAAAGCGTTCCTGGACAATTATGTGATGTCATGCGTCTGCCGTGGTCTGCCGTCGTCTTTCTGCACTTTGTCTGGCAGCCCGAAGACCTCTCCCAACGATAGGCTCAACATCATCAACACCTACTTCGGGGTGGCGATTGAATAAAAATCTGATAGATATGCGATGATGGTACACAAAGATAAATGTCCGCCGACTCCGGAGAGCACAGGTTGCTGCCTGATGCTCATCAGCTTCGGCCTTGATTGGGAGCAAGTAATAAGGAGGAAGGTGGAGAATCAAAGACGTGTTGCTTCGAGTCCGCCAGAGGCCGTGATGACGACGCCTATCATCAATCATCTATCGACGAGGGTGCCATCATTTACACGTCCTCCACATGCCCAAGCTCAAGACCCTCGTCTGCCCGTCGGCGACGACGCGGCGAAGATTACGACAGCCGGCGACCAGCAGACCTTGGTCAGGCGCGCGAAGGAGATGGGCATCGGCGGCGATGACAGAGGACAAGCAGGATGGGCGCTCATCCCATCGTAGCATCCACGAGGCGCAGCCGGAGCGGCGTTAGTTGCAGCGACCCAACTCGAAAAAACCCCTGGTCGTCAGGCCGCGCACCCAAACGATAAGCATAGCACCCGCGGCACCCGCCAAAGGCCGCATGAGAGTTTTCGCCGCTACGGCGGAGGCGACAAACTTCGGAAACGAGTTCCTGACATATCGTAAGTACCAGAGTGCAGACAAAGTGCAGAACAGCTGTAGGCGAAAAAATAAGTGATGGCGCAGTACGCGGTAATGCAGACGGAGGACATACGTAAATATGTTCTTGTGACGGTATGAAGTGCTCCCATGGACGGCAGCTTTGTTTCTAGGCCGTGTGCGGATTAGAATCACGCATACAAGTGGTTCAAAGGGGGATCGCAAGTGCGACTCGAGTACGATGCCGACGAGCATCCACCGGAATGTGATCACGGTGAGGCTAGCTTTGAAGCGGCACTGAAGGTTCAAAATTAACCCTGTGCACAGTATTAACAATCGTCACAAGAGATCTGAGAACATACAGAGAAGGAAAGGTACAATGACATCGATATCTGTAACTCATTGGGAGATGCGTCTAGATGCATCTTCGGGGTTTTTCTGTGGTAGGTACTCGGAAGGCCGGGTCGTTCACGGTCATTCCAGGTTGTGGTCGCGCTAGTTTATCCTATCAGACGAGAAATCACCCGAATAATAGTCCAGAAGCGTTACGACATCGTCGTGGCCCACCTGGACCGCTGACTCACCGGTAATCAAGAACAGACAGAGAGACCGCCTGTCAGATCGGCTCGGTAGAGAGCACCCCTGCATAGATTCCCGACAGGTCAGGATGGTCAGAGCACCATATGTGTAGAAACAAGGACCCTGATGAAACGATCTCAGGAAGTCTGAAGACGAACGGCCGAAGTAACTTTCACATCTGCACGGCGCGGTGTGCCTGAAAGCCTGTCTCACTGCGCAGTACAAGCGTTCTGCTCGGACGCGCAGCCGCGCCGCGGCAAGACGACCGGAATGTGTCTAGCACGAGGAACGTAAGAGCCTGGCACGTACATCGAGCACATCCGAAGAAAAATGGATAGTGCGGAATTGATTCAGCCGACTGTTCCGCTAATGAGAATTCCGAGTGGGCCTGTGACGATCGAGTCGCATATTGAAGGACTATAACGGGCATCTACGTGTGAGTGTTTCGAGTCAGTCAAGTGTCAGTCAGCTTGATATGTCTGCCCAAATCACACGGCGTACCCTTGGTAGATTACGGCCCGACGTATTTGAACGTGCTTCGGTCTTCTATTTCTCCGTGATATATGCATTCACATACCATACATCGGTCCCAGTTTCGTCAAAGCAAAATCCTGAGGGCTTCGGCAAGTAAATCCCAATCATTGAAGTAGGTTATCTTGAACCAGCATGAACAGTTAATTTTTTGAATGAAGTAGAAGTATTTCAATGAACCATGGCTCACATTCGTAGTCGGTATGGAGGCTGCCAGCCTTCCCAAAGCACGTCCAAGAGATGATAAACCCTATAGTAACGATTGTTGAGCGTTTCACATAAATATAATCAGTTCGTCGGCCAAAGATATAAGGCATGGGGGCGTATACAAGACGCTGAATACAAGTAGAGTCACACTTTCAACAACGAACATGAGTCGCGAAGACCAACCCGATACGAATGCCGACCAAGGAGAACGAGGGCGCTCCCGGATTTCCGTCGATCTCAGACACGTCAAGCTCTAGTGCTGGGCCATCGGCATCTTCTGTCATAATAGCAGGTCCCAGAGCGAATGTGAGGCAAAGCGATCGTGATATAGTTCAAGACACTCAGTAGAACCATATAACCAAGATATTGAGAATTCCGGGGTCGACTCATCTATTTGCTTTTCTGAAGGCCAGACTAGCTGTCAGCCCTTTTCCAGATCTAGATGGCTCGGGGACAACGCATGTCAGTGTAGAGGATGAGAAGAGGTTTGCTATGACTGCTGGAAAACCTACTCGAAATTGTGTTCATCGTCAAGATGCCTCGATAGATTCGAGAGGGTGCTGAGATGATTAACGGAATATTACGCTACCTCTTCGCGTGCTCGACAGGTAAGGAGATAGAAAATACTTGTTGAGAATAAACGAAAATTAGACAACGACGAGCGAGCAGAGTGCGTGAGGCTTGCCGCTCAAGGCGTCAGTTTCGAAATTTTGACCTGCAAATTCCCTGCATTGCATGTTATGGGAAGGTCAGATTTTCTTTGAAGCATTTTCACTTGCGAACGCCGAGACATAGAAACTCGTACTTTGGCTTGTAGGTCGTCGCATAGAGAGACGCGAAGCTGGCATCACCGATGTGAGGTCATGTTCACCAAACGGCAACCGCCGACACCAGATCGTCCTCGAATTTCTAAATAGCTTGTCTTTGAACCGTTCATGCAACGTTTCGCGCGATATCTGGGCGGTAATGTTTTTTTCAAGACACTCAAAAAGTCACCGAGAGAGCTTGTTCAACGGACAGGAACATTCGCACTCTACGTTCGCCTCCAGCCTCCACCATATTTTCTCTATGCTCTTCACTGAAGCTTTGAACTGGCACAGACCATTAACATAGGCTGCGCGATTCACCTATTCTTCGAATATGTCGGCAGGCCTACGCTTGTAAGAATCATTACACTCTCGCGACCTTATCCTTAACAGCCTGTAGGTGCAAGGTCCTTCTATGATTCCTACCATGGCCGAGTCCGGGGAACTCGTCATCGAATATAGGCTGCCCCTTCGTCTCAATCCAAACCACCTCCAGCGCGGTGATTTAGTCACATTGACATCACCAGTCCAGCCTGGTCGTATCGTCTGCAAGCGGGTCCTTGGTTTACCTGGGGATGTCGTCTGTGTCGACCCCACAGGCATGAAAGCACCGTCGACTGAGCACGTCGTCATACCTAAAGGTCACATCTGGATCATGGGCGACAATGCTGCGGCTTCAAGAGACTCTAGAGATTATGGGCCCGTTTCATTATCCCTTGTGCGCGGCACGCTTCTCGCAAGGGTAAGAGCCATTATTTGCGCTTTGGGTATATATTGAAATGTTGGTCCTTAGATATACCCCTTTGACCGTTGGACCATCTTTCGCAACAATACAGTGTTTGTTGATTGATCAACTATACATGTTCGGCGTCATTTATGTATTATATCCGCATCCAATTCTAAACATGACCAAGCCACGTTCACAGCGCAAGTCACTGGGAAGAGTTGTTCATCGAGCAAAATTCATAGAATATCCTCCTTGCCCGTTAGGTTCAAACTTGAAATTGTCCGTTGACAACCCGAAGTTACCTGTAGGAGTATTGGTAGCTGCGTGCCACCCTACATTTAAGCGACTTACCTAGAATTTTATTTCCGAGACCTTTCAGCTTATCCACCATTTCTCCCATCTCTCGCTTCTGCGCTTCCTCAACTCTTGGTTTGAGGATTTGCAGTGCTCGTTGGACTTCTTCAGCTTGCGACGAAGATGGGGCAAGCAAGGTTAACAGGGTATTGTAGTCTGCCCAAGTGTCATATGAGAAGTATAACAAACCGTGTAACACGAAAGGCTCACCTTCTTGAGCACTGGATAATGACGACCAGGATCCAATCATTTCATTACTTTGGGCTCGTCGTTGCAGAGCTTTGATATACTGTGGATCATCCAACAATGCTAACGCGACAGCCGATTAGAGTCTCTTGTGTCAATCAGAAGACGTATAGACTGACCATCAGCACAGGCTCTGACGGCTTGTTCGTGCTCTCCCTGAGATTGTGCAATATCTGATCAGTCCGGCGAGTTCAGAGGGAATCTAGAGCGGGACCTCACCATCTTGACATAGCAAGCCCCGATATTCGCGTTCAAAATTGCTCTTGCCTTGGCGCAATCGATATCTAATGGAGGAGTTGCGTCGGTGATCCCCTCCGGATCCTTGTCCTTGTCTGTGGGCTCCTGTTGTGGTGCCTCGAGATCTTCATCGCGCTCAATCACTGCCTTTTCCTTTCCCTTTGAGACCTTCCTTTTCGGCAGCCGACCTAACCCACGTCTGTAGGCGGTCAATGCCTCGTTCCAGCTCTTTGCGCGGAAGTACTCGTTGCCTTCCTGCTTCAGCTCCTCTGCATCTTGCAAGCACTCCTGGACAAACACGTCAAGAAATTAGGAAGCTAGTAAACGATCACAGATATACTTACTCTGATGTTCTCCTCGTCCAGTGTCTTTCCTCCTTCTGAGGCGTCATCAATATCCAGATGTCTCTCGTCGGAAGGTGCAGCGTCCTTGGGAGGAGGGTCCATGACACTCTGCCACGGTCGGAAGTTGCCGATCACTGAATTACAGAGCGGCGCTGCTCCCGGCCACGCCGATCGTCCTCCACTTGCGTCCTCGTGATCGGTATGACAGCTGGAACTCGTTTCCCAAGTTTTTCGGTGTTTTCGTGTCCTTCCTTCTAAACCTTATGATCGTGACTGGCTACTGGCAGGAAAGGCTTGATTAGGTATGATGGATGCTCATGGAATTATTGACATGCAACGAACGGGAATCATCATCGATGGGGGTTTCGAGCACTTTAAAAAAGGTAAAATTGAGATGATGCGAGATCAATTCCCTACTGGATCATGATAACCTCTACTGGTTCCAATATGTAACGCGAACATCACATCCTTGAGAGGATTTCTAAGGTTTGCTTTATGGTTCTACTCCTCGAAGTTAATTTGCAATTCATTCGTATTGACATCATGTGACGCGAATCTCCTCCCTAAAATGGCAATCAAGGATTTTCGAGTCAATAATTGTTGACCAGGTTGAGTCAAATGAAGTTCTCAAGTTCAACCAAGCACCTCCCTTCGTCAACGTCCTCTCATCTCAATTCCTCATCGCCAATATGTCGCAAAAAGTGTTCTGGCTGAGATGTGAAAAGAAGGAGTTCGAGCGCAGAGCAGCGCTAACTCCAACAACGTCCAAGAAGCTCATCGAGTCTGGCTTCGAGATTCTCGTTGAGCGCGATGAGCAGCGAATCTTTGATGATTCGGAATACGAGGCGTGAGTCACCTGATACATCTTATCCGAGATCGCTGTTAATCGTTGAACACAGTGTAGGATGCAAGCTAGTCGATAATAATTCATGGCCCAGCGCGCCTGTGGGCGTGCCTATCATTGGCCTGAAGGAGCTCCCACTCTCCGATGCCCCATTGCCTCACTCCCACATCCAGTTTGCGCATTGCTACAAACAACAGGCAGGCTGGTCTTCTGTGCTTGCGCGCTTTCACCGTGGCGGCGGCACCCTGTACGATATCGAGTTCCTCAATGACGCGAATGGCAGGCGCGTGGCTGCGTTTGGATTTCACGCTGGATTCGCGGGTGCGGCTGCAGGGGCGTTGGCGTTGGCATCTCAGAAGAAGAACGAAAAATTAGGGCTCCTTGAGCCGTACGCGAACGAGCACGCGATGGTGGAGGATGTCAAGCGGAAGCTGGGGGGAAGTGCTAAGGGTGTCAAGGCGCTGGTGATAGGTGCTTTGGGTCGTTGCGGCCGTGGCGCTGTCGATCTGTTCCGAAAGATTGGGCTGGACGAGTTGAGTATCTTCTTGCCGGTATACGCAAATTAACTGCATACTCACCACGGTTTCCATCTCCGGTCCATCTCGTTTCATTTCCCCGATCCACAGGGATGATATCGTCAAGTGGGACATGGACGAAACTGCGAAGGGCGGTCCGTTCCAAGAGATCCTCGATGTTGACATCTTCGTCAACTGCATTTACCTCACCTCGCGCATCCCCTCGTTCCTTACCGAGGAGACGATCGCTGCCGCAGGCAAATCGCGCCGTTTGGGCGTGGTCGTTGACGTGAGCTGTGACACGACCAACCCCAACAACCCCATTCCTGTGTACTCTGTGAACACCACGTTCTCAGACCCGACTGTTCCCGTCAATGTTGGGTGAGTGAGCTCAGATTGTGCGCGTTGTTGCAGCGTGCGTTCCAACTGTGTTCTGTTTGTTGATGGCGTTTCATCGTGCAGTGTGGGTAATCCTCCGTTGTCAGTCATCTCCATCGATCACCTCCCCACACTGCTTCCTCGGGAGGCATCCGAGCAGTTTAGCTCGGATCTCCTTCCATCTCTCCTGACCTTCCCTGAGAGGAAGACCGCTCGTGTCTGGACGGATGCCGAAAGGCTATTCCGGGAGAAACTATCAGAGGCTGCAAAGGTGGAAGGCCTGTAGAGGTCTTTCACGCGGTCGTAATGTAAAGTCTGTGCGATTGTGCGGTGTACTCAAAATGTAGAAGGATCATTAGAAGATAATTTAGGCGTTCGAGTCTTCTCTGGCCGATGCCTAGAACTGAGTGCTTGCGGTCATCGAGACGGAGCGAGAACGGTCAAGGTGTCCCGAGTGTAGCGACGATCGTTAGAAGCTGTGTTGCTGCGTCGCTCGGTGTTGAACGTGGAACGTTGAGAGCGATGGATGGCATCTGTCGTCAAGGGTATGCCAAGGAAAGAACAAGAGAGGGAGAGAGAACAAGGCGAATACAGGACCTTACTTACTCGCGCAGTATCTAGGGACGGGTTCATGTGCGTTCGAGGCTGGGAGCGATGGGAGGGATCGCGTCGCTAAGCCAGTCGCGCTTGCGGTAACCCGCAGCGCTTCGAACAGGGCCGATCACCGTTCTGCGCCGCGTTGGCGTGATATTTAGTGAGCAAGCCCGCTAGCCACCCATCCTTTTTCTTTTTTCTTTTCTACAGCTCTGCTTGTGCTGCTCTCTCTTCTCTTCTCGCTCGGTTCTCTTCTCTTCTCTCTCATCTTTCTCTTTCTCTTACATTTTGGGTCTGACCAAGTCTCTTCCTGTGCAATTCTACTACGATTACACCGGTGCTGGTCGCCCCACCCTAATTACTTCCGTTCCCCATCCACAGCGTCCCTAGAATCGCCCCGCGCCCATATCCTCCCCTGACCTTCCTTTCAAATGGATTCTTGCATCTCAGCAGTCCCCCAAATCTCTATTTCTCCCGCCCCCCCATCCGGTCCATTGTTCGAACCCTTTTCGCCTTTTGACTCCCAGCCCTCGTCTCCAGCTCTCTTCCAGGATAGTTACAGGCCGGCTCTCCTCAGTCCCCCTCCTACTATTTCCCCCCGCCTTGTCAGACAGTCCTCGCCTTTGCGACCGGTTGATGTCAACGCGAAGGGCCTGGACTCGGACCGCTTCGAGGCGCTGTTGGCCTCCACGAGAGAGAGAAACGCTGCTTCGGGCGGCAAGAAAGCACTGGACCTCCGCAAGGAGATTGCGTTGAAAGCGCACAAGAGCAAGCAAAGTATGCGCACTACTTCTCAAAGTAATTTCATCACTCATCTCTTTGGTTAGTGGAGCGTCGTGCCCTCTTCTTGTCTAAGGTGCAGGCTCCCCCCTCACCGACTGCCACGTCTACTCCCAAGACTCCTCCGGAGTCGCCGGCCATCTTCCACTACTCCTTGCCGTCCCCAGGTCTTGTTTCGCCTCTCGCGCTCTTCGAGGCCATTGGGCAGCAGGAAAGCATTACGGGCAACATCTATTCGACCATCCAACCCTGGGTTGAACAAGTCGATTTCAGGCTGCCAGCAGAAAAGAAGGCGTCCAGCGTGTCCAAGTCTCCTGCTCCCCAGAGTAACAGCAGAAGCCTTAAACCCTTGCCGTCTTTAGATCAGATCACTGCTCGTCTGGGCAACCATGGCCACGTCAAAGAAGATAAAGTACGCCACCGATCCCCGATCCCCCTCCCCGCCTTCCTGCGCTCTGGCTCGCCTCCTCGTAAGGCAAGCCCTGAGCCCACGCCCATTCCTCAACCGCGTCTCGTGTTCCCTATCGGCAACAGGCAAAAGGCCTTGGCTGCCGTCGCTCAGCCTGTGCCCGAGCCGCACAAACTCCATGCACTGACACCTAGCCTTCCCCCGACCTCCCCGCGCTCACCCTTTGCGCCCAAGTTGCAGGTGACGACTACCGTTGTCCCTCGCAGCTGCTCGACCTCGCCTACGAACCTGACCGAATCCAACCTTTCTGCGTTGAATTCGCGTGCACGCACGGGCCGAGACATGATGTCAACGCTCCGCCGCCGCATGGCCACGGATGTGTCGGCGCATGGCATGACCGGGTACGACGAAGAAATGGACGAGCGCAAGTTGAGGAGGATTAGCGCTCCCGCTGAGCTCCCTTGCCGTGCTCGTCTCGGCTTTGAGCATCCGGTACTCAGTATTCCAGGCGGATTCTAGCAATGTGTGCGTACCGTGTTTCGTTCTTCCTGGTTTTCTTTTCGTCCGCACTCGTTCATGACAACCGACAATCTTACCTACCACTAAACATTATGTCAGAGGTGGCCTTGCCTTCCTTGCGGATCGTTTTTTTACCATTGCAATCTGTCTGGACATCCAATTTACATCCGATTCATTTCTTTTGCAGGTGGAACCCATTTTATTTCCTCTCATTTGTTGGTTGTTGTACGAGTACGGTCATGTTTCGATATTCGGTGGTACTGGACCTGGAAAAGCAGGAAAAAAAGGTTTCATGTTCATGGAGCGTTGGGCTCTAGATCTTCACCCCTAACCACCCTTGCTCCTTACCCTCAATCACCCTTTCTCTTGTAGGCTGTGCCTCACCATTGGATTCGTGACACCTCATTTCTGCAACTTGACGGCAACCACTCTCCTTTTCCATCCCATCGCATCCACGTACATTTGTATTTGAATCAAGGGCTGTGCCCTCTCGATTTGGAGTATCGTTTTCTAGCTATACTCGCATCACTATATATGGAATTGCCATATTTTCTTGGACACTGAACCTGTTAAAGGAGATCATGAGGGGCCCAGCATTAAGATAAGATATTACTGTAAGGTACGATACGTAGAGGGCTAAATGTGCGGGGGCAGAAACGGCCATTTCTATAGATCACGACATCCGTTTGGAATAGAAGAAGGCGAGTATCTCGTGTATATGTAGAGCACAGCGCCCATGTGTGCTTCTTTTTCTGTGCACACAACTGATACATGCATTGGCTTACTTGGATCGTACAACACAGTGATTGACTAAGAGTCATTGGTATCAAATCGGGATTTGAAGTCACCTGTATGTGACTTTGGCCACGATAACATACTAATTGGGGTTTGGGTTATTCGACGATCCAGGTGGTGTCCTAATCGAGTTCAAGACGTGGAGGCGGCGCTCTACAGGAATAAGAAGAGGATGTATGGACGTTCGTATCAGAAGCGCGCTGGGGGTGTCAAAAATGTGTACGTCAATGGAAGGAACACTTACGATAGTCGACTCGCGCGTGTTCATCTAGGCCTTCTTCATCAGAGTCAACGAGGGGATCGATGGTCTGGACGCGGTGCCATGCCTCTGTAATATAGCATGCTGTCAACTGTGTGCGTGTGCAGGAAACGAATAGAGATTCCAACGTTGAAGCATCGAACGCTCTTGCCGGTATTCCCGAACGCTTTCCCGTATACGTGTGCTAGCGTTCACTGGATCCCCACGAGGTCGTCAAAAAATAGCCGCTGTGGTAAAATGCACGGCATACCGGTGGGATGTAAGCTGCCTGCCTTGGTCTTTCCCTGAGGATCGGACGGGTTGTAATGATGGAAGGTTGCAACTCGATTGGCCTCCATCGCGTAAGAAGACTGCGCCCGGAACCTGCGGAACGAAGTCTCTGTTTCTGCCATAATATCAATGACTTTAGCACTGAAGAGGTAAGCCTCAGGTAGCACGCTGACACACCCTGCGAATGGGATGAGTTACCGGTGACTCTTTGCCTTCTATCAACATCAACGCCTGCAACGAGGTCTTGAAGAAATTGGCTACGTTGTGCCGCCATCTTTCGGCCCCACTCAATCTCCTCAGGAGGATCGACGTTTTCTCGTCTCTGCTCTTCTTGAGAGAGGCGCTGAAGCCATGGTACCTTTTGGGGATGCCTGAGAGCGTACTCGTCCGCAAAGGGGTTGGCTAGGTGAGGGCCTTCGTGATAGTGGAATATCATCCACAGAAAAGCCTTTGCGCGGGCCACCGACGATATGTTGATGGGTAAGAAAAGGTCTACAAATTCGACCGGCGGGTCAAAATGAAGGGGGGAAAGGGACTGAATGGGGTTGGATTGAGTACAAGAGATGTTAACAATCCGCTAGATCTCACCGTCGAGTAATTGGTCAAAACAAAAATTAGGTTGACAATACTCGTTGGAGGGACGTGTTCATTCCTCTTGAATGTCGTAGATAAGCATCCAATCTAGTATAGAACATGACCATACATACGATGCGGGCAAGGATATCATTTGGAGTAGATGGAGGGGCTGTTTTCTGCTCCGCCGGGAGCAAGGCCGCCTTGAGACAATTCTTGATTCTGGGTGCGTCCTGCACGTTTCCATCTGTTTTCTGCAGTGAGGGAACAGGATGATAGCTCCTCAATGCTGTCTTCATCTCAGGGAAAACTTGTTTGTTTGAGTGCGACGAGTTGATGTCGATGAAGAAGTCCTGAAGTACGTACATGCCATGGTAGTGTTTATTCTGCCGACATTGGTAAGAAGAGATATCTTGGCAAACTCGATGGCGAATGCGGGGGTATCGTGCATCTTGTCCCGCATGACCTTAGAGCACTTGGTGGAATTGTATAACGCGTTGACATAGAGGTCGCAAAAGTTGACCTTGGAGGGGGGCTTTCCAGGGGATTCATCTGTGAATACTCGACTGTTGTTTGAGAAAATATAATAGAGCAGGTCATATTGAACATCCTCTCGAGTGAGCGTCTCTGAGTCCCCGCGCTTGATTGCAAGCGTCTTGCGAGAGACATATTGGGGCCTACCATGGCCATGATCAGAACGAAATATAGAAAAAGAGACAAAAGAATAGACCTACTGGGATGTAGATTGGTGTGAATGCCGTTCCATCGAAGAGAGAGTGGAGATGGGTAGCTTATGGAACTATAAGACACATTAATGAGGCGGAGAAAAGACTACAAAAGAGAAGACGGAAAGAACACGAGGCGAGAAGCAGATGGGGCGGCACGAGGCAATGCTGTGCGGCGTTGAGTCCTTCATTGCCAGATATCGTTGTAAAGAAACCAAACCGTCCTAGCTCACGTGTAAGCAGTCGGCCCATTCGCACGACTGTTGCTCGTACGGGCGTTCAATAGGCGGCACCGATGTGCCAACAGATCGGCGCGATCATGCGCAAGTTGACGGCAAAATTCATCGAAGAAAAAGTCGGTGCAACAGACTAGGATGTGATGATTGTGGTCGATGGAAGACCTTGCAAACCCCTCCGACAAAAGTGCAGCAGGGAAAGAACGTGTCGACAAACTAGGAAATCTGTCTGATGACAAATCATGGATTCCGCGGCCGCGGAAGCAAAAACTGCCACGTAGTTTACCGGCTCTGTCGAGTCTGCAAGGTGCCCATTGGGCGTCTTCCCCTCCATATCCGTACCTCTCGGTATCACTCCTGGCTGAAATCTCACAAGGATACTTTTGACCACCAAAAAGCTCACAGTGATCCTCAAACTCAAATCCTCCTACTAACATCACTTTCATCGAAGCTCCTAGCCAATGGAAAAGTTCTATCAAATGCTTCAAGCACATCAAGCATTCGGGTCACCATGGCACTACGGGGCACTCCTGCGTTCTTTTGACTCGGAGGGCTGGGAGAGCTTACGGAGAGCTTGTTGATGGGCATCAAGGCAAATCAGTGGACTCTACATGATGAGCGTACCTCGATCGAGGCCGACTACGAGCTTCCATTCTACTATACGAGTATATATAATTCAACGTTCTTGTCCTGCGTTTACACGTCTCCAGTCGAGTGAGGCAATATTCTGGATACGTCATAACGAATACGTAATACCAATATTTTTCCCGCGGTCAGAGTGAGTTGGCTCTTAGTCGGGCTGGGCGCCTCAACAGCTCTCATCACTCTCTAACTATGGCTGAATCGTTTGATGAGTCCACCCAGGTATGTTCCTCGAGTGCATCACCTTTCAAACGTCCGTTGAAGCTGCTGTGATTTCAGAAAGAGCTCCAGACCTTTCTCGACCGCGAGCAGGCCCAAGCTCGCGTTCAACAATCTATCCACTCATTCACTAGCATGTGTTGGGACAAGTTTGTTGTCATTCTCTGTTGTGCATCTATTCCCTAACGCGGGGCTCCTTCGTATAACAGATGTATAACTGGGACACCGTCGACTCGTTTCTCACGTGGCGAGGAAAGCTGCCTTGTGAACTGCGTCGACCGTTTCCTGGACACCAGCTTGTTCATGGTGAAGCAGATCGAGCAGCAGCGCTCCAGAATGGGTCAATAGACATACGCATCCTCCATCCTCCATCGTCGCTCAAAATTGTCCTGTGGACCACCAGACTTACGCCCATGCACGTACTTCTCCATATGTAAAGCGCTCGACTCTCCCTATACATTCCACAATGATGATAGCATAGATCACAACAGACAACACGAGTGGTAAATGATCAGAATACTAAACAGTATAGGTAAACTATATCCAAACCGATCCCTGGCATGAATCACAACGCGATATCCCTCACTTTGGACCAGACAAACCCTGCGATGGCAGGCACGAAAAAGCAGAAAGCGTCCAATACCTCTCTCCGATGTCTCAGCTGTAGTGGGATGATAACAGGGGGCTGGGTTTTCGGATGCGAGGAGAATGTGCCCGTGTCCAGGTATCGTTGCATAAACCGATCTTTCTCCACCCAACGTTCGCGCAGCCAAAGGTCAAAGACTTCCCTTTCCACTTCAGGTACTTCAGCTTCCAGAATTGTCGTTGCGGCGGAATCATTTGAAAGGCCATTCGAGTTGCTGGTGAAAATGTTACCAATCGGCACCTCTTTGGCTACGTCGAAGCGCCGTATATGTATGTGGACAGAAGGTGGAGGTATGCAGTCGAAGAATATGGAACGGAGAGTGTAATATTCTTGACCGTAGCCCAGTAGAGGTATTCCTGTGAACCAAAGGTAAGTCGAAGTTGATTGTTGCAGAACACGAACATACCAGGGTATGCAACAGTGATATCGACTAACTGAAGAGCCGGTATCCGTGGTGCAAGCGCTCGAAGGCTGTAGTGTAGGCCTGTGGACCGTGGAAGGAGGGTATGTGTCATATCTGGCTGGACCTACGCATTAGATGGCTGTCATCATAGTCCTAGGAAGGGCACATACAATCCCAATTTTGTCGGCAAACTTCTTGCTGATAGGTCTTGTATCTTTGCTCACGAGCGTGCCTTCTGGGTATAATATGAATGTGAAAGGTGTATCCTGTTGCTCGGCGTGCCGACCCAAGAACGCCAATTCTTTCACAAGATATAACCGATCAGACGCCCATGAGCGTGCCAAGAATATGAAGTTGAAAAATTGCATTCCCTGCGCAATTTCATCAAAGTGGCATCAGTAAAGTTCCTGTTCGCAAGGGGATGAGACATACCCATCCTACGACAGGGACCCATTTCAGGCTCTTCTTGAGGACGATGAACACATCGCGATGTGTGCCCGAGAAGTATGTCAAAGTCCACGCATACCACCAGTCAGCGTATACCTGAGGAGATCAGAGCCTCGGCAACAAGCGCAGCAAACAATACACGAGGCGGCTCACTTGGTGATTCGCAATGAGCACCGACTTCAGTGGGAGGTTTATGCCTGTTACTCGCCCTTTCTTATCCTTGACAACGAGCCTAGCAAACTCATCTTCCGAGAACGCGCCCGGCCCTTCCTGTTCGAACGTTACGACCAGCCTTGTTGGCGCAAACCATTGGCACATCAAGACTGCACACGCTCTCAACTACTCATCTAGCCGGACTCAGACACATAACCACTCACTCAACAGTGCGCCGAATGCACCCTTGCTGTACCGAATCCCGCTATCATACCATCGGCTGGCCCACTCGAATGGCAGGAGCTTCAGCGGGAGCAAAATAGCGAATTGTGATGCATTGACCATCAGACACCCAAAGTTGAAGACTACCACAAACGCAATAGCGTTCAGCGTCTGGGCCCAATTCTTCGGGGGACGTTCGGTTATCTTTTTGACATAGAGTCCTGTAGGCATTGGATGATGGTAGTAGAGAGAACGCCTGGTGGACACGGTGTTGATACGGCGTGTCGGCGTCAGCCTTGCTGTGTCTGGCTATTTACATAGCGCTCGTGGTTGGCCGTAGGGCCGAATGAGCTGTTTCCGGCATTCCCGCATCTTGTTCCGCATCAGTATTTTGAAGATGCCACAAGATAAGGCTTAAGAACACATAATTTGATTAAGGTCCTCCGACCGACTTCTGCTATGAAATCGCAACGTTTTTTGAGTGTACTTTGTGGAATTTGACTTTGCCTGAAAGTGGGCCCATCATGCGAGAACTGCAAACATAAGCGATAACAGAGGGTATGTTAAAGTATGATGATAATTATTGTTCACAACTAAGCCATGGTTAAGCATAAGTAAAGGGAGGCATATTTCAGCGAGAAGCATGTGCATGATTGAACTCCGATGGCCAGATGCTTGTGAAATTGCAACAACGAGGATGGTACTTAATAACGCCAACTCAGATACTTAACAGGTAAATGGTCTCTCCACAATATCGCTCCGATAGGCCACGACAATAAGCTGCATGTTTCGGAAGTGACCGGTTATGAGTACAGAATCCCACAGCAGAATGCGTAGAAGGCTTCTCACCTCGACAGAAACATACGTCCCGGCTACGCAAATGAAAGCACCAGCTACAATGGTTAGAACTGCCAGGGTTGTCCCGATCCATCTAGTTCTCAAAGCTCGAGCACCACCGTGCGGATAATATGCATCGTACAGCCAAAAGAAGCCAGCCAAACCATACGTGTACCAAGAGGCAAACAACGCAGCCGCGATGCCGATCAAATATGAGAATATCGGAACCGCGACCGCGAGAATGAAAGCTACCGCAACAGCTGCGAAGCACAGCGAGACCCATACGACCCATCCCAGAATCGTGTGTGAGTAGACGTGCCGAGAATGGCGAAAGAGACGAACGAAAACGAGTTTGGCCGCAGTGTGGGAGTACAAGGCACCGGCACTAAAGAGAGCGAAGCAGGACATTAACGTATGACTTCCGGGAAGAACAAAGGGCCAGCCATTCACAATAAGAAGTTTGCCAGTGCGATACCAAAGGATGCTTTCGCCCAGATCGGGGGAAGGGAGAGTAATGCTGGCGATTGCACGGTGCTACCGATGTAGATGTAGACGACTATGCTGAAGATGACGTAGAATGTCGTACAGAATACTTGCAGCACCCAAGCCGACTAGGAAACCTCACGGTCAATGAGGATATTTTCAGATGGTACGAGGCGTTTCCGGACCTTCATTGCATCTTCGGGGTGCCGCATCTCTGATATAAGGATGAAGAACCTAGGCCAGCCGTAAGATCATGAAAATGGAACAGACGGAAGTAAACTCGTACATGAAATGCCCTAGATTGACACACAGGGGCTCAGGGTTGCAATAGTTCACGTGAAAAGATATTAGCACTGCCACTTGCCAGCATAAGCAAATACCTTCGACCCAACGATTAATAATGAAGCAATAGGTGTATACAACAAGGGGAACATACCGGACCAGTGATAGCTAAGAATGCCTGGTAAAAAGTAGTTGGCACGGTAGCGTTGATGATACGCCCTGGAATCGGATTGACACCCGCTCCAACCATAGCCACCACACCGGCGACCGTGATCAAAGCCGCACTCAACAAGGCAAGCCAACTGAAGCGATCCAAGGTCCGAGGTAGGGCCAAAAGGAAGGTTGCGATGGAAAAAATGAGCACAAGGTATATTGTGCATAGTCCTTGGTTAGAGAGTGCTGAAAGGGCTTGTTGTCCGGACAATAGTTCGGAGCCCTGAGAGTATTCACGATCAGAGTGTAGAATAGAGCAGTGGATAGGCCACCATACAGTACCGCAGATGGCGAAGATGATTGTACCAAGTGATAAAACCTCACGGCCTACTGGTCCAAACAAGATGTAACCGGCGTCTCCTGGTGCAACAATGATGATAAAATGACGGCGTCAAGGAAAGCGATAACAAATATACCCATGTTGTGGACCTCGGGATGGTTCCCCTTGAAATCGATCAACAACTTCGCGGTGAACAGCCCGAAGACGCCTAGAAATACCGTCAAGATCGCTGACGGAACAATACCTACTCGGGGTGCATGCCCGCCATTCATCGTCGATGAGAAGTTTTTGAGAGGCAGTAGCACAAACTGCTCACCGACGACCGCTACGGCATTGGGAAGCGAGAGCATTCCATTGCTCACAATCTCCGAAATCATGAGCAGACTGACGAACTGAGGATGGATGCATTGAATGCCCCGAAGAAAGTAGGAATGGTTCAGTTCAGTCACTAAGCTTTCTGGCGAAGCACTGCCCTGGGTGTATTTCTGCTCGCTTACCTGCCAGGTGAGCGTCTTGTACTGGATCTGGTGACTTTCTTCATCCACGAAGACGTCTTCTGCCCCTTGGAGGCCTTGTTTGTTGGCTGCAGTAATGACATCAAGTTGGGTCTTCTCAGAATCGTCTCGCAGGTTGGTTTCATGATCGTTATGAATACTATGACGATACATGTTGGGAGAACGCATGGAAGGCTGGACGATAATTCAGTACGCTATCTGAGCGCTGAATGAAAAAGATGGTTATCAGCAGTAAGAAGCACCCTGAAGCACCATGCTCATGGAGGTTGAAAATCTATTTTGGTTCCCACCAGCTCACCAACATACCCATCACATGCTCCTGTAGGCTCCTGTTCTCGTATGTCAACACTCTCCTCGCAGAGACCTGTCATCCCTCTGTTGATTTGAGTACTGGGGAGTCTCATAGCACTAAATCTGCTCTTGAAGCGAGGAAGACGGCCATATGTGATGACGACCAACAAACTGTAATGGGCTTTGCTGTCAGTCCATCAATGTTCACGACGACGATACAGTGAGTGACTCGCATAAAGACTGAGTTGATACGACTGAACAGAGGGACTCAAGCCCGGAGGCAGCCAGAGGCGGCCGGGCAGGGCCGGACTATATTTACGTTACTCAGTACCTGCCCCACAACCCCACTGACCAATTACGACGTTCAATCATGCGTGGGCCTCACCGAACCCTTCATGCACAAGAACCCTTTATAACGAGCCACGCCCGAGCGCCCAGGTACTGCATCTTTCTTTCTAACATTCAGTTGTCGCTCACGACAGGTACGAACCTAGCTTCTGCTCCGCTCCTAGAACTGACATCGCATAATAGCACACGCACTCACTCCGTCGCCTTCGCAGTACCGTCTGTTGTACTTACCCTTGACCAAACATGCATCCATTGCTCAATGGACGACAACGCATCGTCGATGATCTTATCCCGATCATCCTTGACTGTGGCAACTGGTGGTCTCGGGACTACACCCACCTTGCGGCTGTCTCGCGCGCCTGGCTTTGGCACGTACAGAAGCGCCTCTACGCGCTCCCCCAGCTGACTTCTTACCGCTCGTGCGCCTTGCTTGAACGCACGCTTGCGTGCAACCCTGCATTGGCGTCGCATGTCGAAGGACTCGATCTCCGTCTCGTCGCGGGAGAGACGACGTTGACGTTTTGCGATACGTCGAGCGTCCGGAGACTTCTCAGCGTCCTCAAATTGAAGCGCCTGGGACTTAGGGGGGAGATGTCAATCCACGCGGAAAGGTTTTTGCGTCCCCTCATGTACCCCCATCAGCTCGAAGAGTTGATAATCGACGGCTATTCTCATGGCTATCATGGGGCCTCGACGATATACTGCAGTAGAAAGAGCGCGTCTCTGGTATGGGACAGTGAGCTGTTCTCGCAATTCACGAGGCTCCGTCGTGTTCGACTGTCTTACGTCGAATTAACAATTTACCGATCCACTTTGCCGGATTCCCTCCATCTGACACATCTTTCCCTCGACAACGTCACAATAGTCGACAGCCATCTCTCCAACATCTCTCTCATGTCTTCGGGCAGTCTTCGCTGCCTTTCCATCTCCGCCAGAGACGATGTCGACCTGCAGACGCATCTTCCGTCGTTGTTAGGGTCCTGCAGCTCTTCTTTGGAGGAGCTATGCCTTTATGCATGGGGTGCCAACTGCAAAGGGCTTGTGTTTAACAGCGATGCTCCGTCATTTCCGTCGTTGGTGGAGATAGAATTGAATGGGATCGACACCGACCGGCACACGCTGGCCTGCATCGAGCAGTGCTGTCCGAAGCTGGAGAGGCTATCTGTCTCGGGACGCGCAGTCCATGTAACACCCCAGGAATGGATTGCGTTTCTAGGTTCTGGGGCGCTCCCCACGCTGCGCAGTTTTAGTCCTGTATGTGCTGGACAGCACGGGTCTCGGGCGTGGACCGAGGAGTATCTGAAGCAGGTACAGGATATATGCTCATTGCGAACGCTGCAAACGCGAGGGTGATTTACCCGGCTCTGTAAGCTTACGGCCTTGATACACCGACTGACCCGTGCATGTATGTATGGTCGATCAATATAATATATATGCGCATGGAAGGATGAGGTCGTTGAAACATGGACGGGTTGATGAACGGCGAGCCGACCGCTAAGAAGCCGGACGAGGCAGGGGCACCGGCGAGCGCCGCGGCTGGGATGAAGCAACAGGATCGGTTGTAGGGAGAGCTGGCTGAGCCCTTCGTACTACCACTTGTGCTCGTCACGGAGACGTCGATGAGTTTGACTGTCCTTTCTCTGTATTCTTGACCTTGCTTTGCATTCCTTTCCACACCACTCTCACTCCCGTCCGATTGCCGCTCTGCGGCGATGCCATCCTTCACCGCCGGAACCTCCCAACGCACTCCATCCAAGAAACCGTCTCTCCTGTCCTTGCGGCGCGCGCAGGAAAAACATACCACCTATCCCGATACCCCTTCTCCCTCAGATTCCTTCTACTCTCCCAGTCACACGCAAGCATACTTCGACCGGTATCCCCGACAGTCTTCCAGCTCCAATTCGCGTTCGGAATATCCAACCGGCCGGGCTCATCCTCCCCACTCGCAACACACCTCCAAGTCTCACTCGCATGGCTGGAGCGAGGACGAGGGCTCCATAAACCGCTCAGAGGACGACGCGGAGAGCACGTCTTACACCTTCCCCACTCTGGAGACCGCAGACCTCAGCCCGCGACGCTACAACGGTGGTGAACTCACGCCGAAATCCACGGCTCGCCGTCGCTCGCGCACGAACCCTGACATATTCTACCCCGACGACTCGCAGGAGCTCTCCTACCTCCGCATCTCGGGATCGTCTGGTCACACTCAGTTCGAGACGCCGCCGCAAACTCCAATCGATTTTTTCGTCCCTCGGACGTCAGTCGAGCCATATCCACTCGTCATCGCGCCCATTTCAGGAGTGGAGACGATGGATGCTTTGGTAGATGGGATGAATGACTTTGGAATGGACGATATGTTCATGGGAGGAGGCGGAATGTCGGGGCGCTCTGGCCGCAGGAAGGAAAGGTTTCACCCGCTCTACCAGCCCCCACTGCCAACTCCACCTCCGGGCATCACCTTGGGCGGTGGTCTCCCACGGAACGCGTCTTCCAAGCAAAAGGCTCGACGTGCTAGGGGCGACCATTCTCCGCTACCGGCATCACCATCCTCTTCGCATCAAACCCAGCGATACACGTCGAGCCGCACGGCATCTTCCTCTACCATCACCCTCGACTCTTCATACTCGCGATCCACGATAGACGACCTCAGTCCACCGGCGTCTCCTCCGCTGTCTTTCCAATCCTCTACGCGCACCGTGGCGCCTTCCATCTCAGAAATTATTCAGGCGTACGCGCCTCCCGAGCAACGCGTCCGTTCACGGCGATCTGCAGGTCGTATGTCCGTCTACAGTAGTAATCAAAGCCACAGTCATGAGACCGTTCCGGAGGACCCAGAGTCTGAGCCGGAACCGCTGTCTCCAGAGGAGGAAGCCGACATAATTTCCCGGTCCTCTGTCGACAGCATAGCCGACGAAGTTAGACGAACACTTCAACGTCAAACTGAATCTCCCATATCTCAGGCAACCCCGCCCAAGGGTCGAAGTCTGCAGTACCGCCGCTCTGTTCTTTCCGAGGGCGCCGTGAACCTTAACTCGCCCAACTTCGAAGGTGTCCGTCCACAATCGTTCTACTCCACTCCTGCAGAAGATGTCATTTCACTTCTCCCTATGGAGCTGCCCAATGGAACTGCGACTCAATCACAGGCCATCGCGCAGTACCTTCGTTCCGCCCGTCTGACGACGCTGTTGAAACTCACCCGTTCACCACATGCCTCAATAAGCTCTCCGCTCAATGTGAGCTTGTCCGACTTGGGGAGTCCGACAGGTTATCCTGTCGTGGTATTCCTGGGGCTTGGAAGTGTACGATACGTTATGGGCCTCTATGACGAGATGGCAGAATGCCTGGGACTCAGGATCATCACGATCGATAGGTTCGTGAACATCCATCTCCGGCGGGACTGGACTGACTTGCAGACTTGGATCAGATGGGGCCTTGGTCGAACCGACGCCCCCAAGTCAAAATCCGCGCGGGGAATCCCCGAGTGGGCGTCGGCAGTAGAAGAGGTTCTCGATCTTTTGAACATCGATCACTGTAGCGTCATGGCACACTCAGCCGGAGCACCGTACGCGCTTTCGTTTGCGAGCAAATTCCCCGAACGTATACGTGGAGACGTCCTTCTGCTCGCACCTTGGGTGGGAGGCGTTGAAGGAGGTGAGCAGATCCCAATGTGAGCATGAGAACGAGCCGGATCCTCATAGTCTGATTCAGCTGGCTACAAGTGGCTGAAGTACGTGCCCGCTGGCCTCCTCAAAACGGCTCAGGCCGCAGAGTGGAAGATACAAGCGTGGATGCTGGGAAAACCTCCCACTATTCAGTACAAAGGCATCGGTTATGACGCGTCCTCCGCGGCGCAGCCGCATCGCAGTCGTAACCCGTGGACGCGTCACAAGTCCGATGCCAGGCCCTCAACGAGTTCTGGCTTTCCGAGCGGCATGCATAGCGTCGACGCGCTGCCACGGCCTAGCACCGCTTCTAGCGCGTTCAGCGAGTACGATGACCTTCGGGACTTCGACGGCCGATTTGACAGTCGTAGCACGCTCGGCCCGCAGGGTGACCGATCCGCGAAGCGCGCGTCCAGCGAGGATCAGGCGATGCCCAAGAGGAAGAATTCGAGAGGCTTTCTTGGGCGATTGAAGGGTGCACAAACGACGCCGCAGACTCCGCCCTGCGACAAGTCACCATCGGGGGGCCCTGGACGCACACTCAAGGCGCTGCGGTCGATGGGCTCGCTCAAGGGCAAGTCGTCTTCGGGATCCAGTCATCGCAAAATGAGCGCTCCGCCGTCTGCGATGCCGCACTCGCTCAAGCTGGACGTGGGCCTCGGCTTCGACGCGATCGACTGGTCGCCCACCGCCCACTCGTCGGCGAACTCGAGCGCAAGCGGGACGCCGGACGGGCAGGAGCGCTTCAAGTTGGACGAGCACCTGCAGAGCAACGGGCACAATCGACGCGCGGGCGGGCGGCGCTCGGTCTCGTTCGGCGCCACGGGGCGGTCTGCGCCGGCGTCGGTGGCGGGGTCGGTGTCCTCGCCGGCGCCGAGCACGATGACGTCGCCGTCGGCAGGGATCGCGGCGTCGAGCGCGTACCAGGCCGCGCTGGGGAACGCGCTGATCGTGGCGGCGCACGCCGAGTCTGCGGGCGGGACGCACGGGGACCTGCTGCAGATCCTGAACCACGAGCAGCACCCGTGGGGGTTCTCCTACTCTGCGTACCCGCACCGCGTCCGCGTGTGGTACGGCGACCGGGACGAGAAGATCGCGGAGAACGCGGTGCTGTGGATGGAGCGCGCGATGGGCGAGGGCCGCTGCGAGGTGAAGGTCGTCAAGGGCGCGGACCACGGGCTCATGTACCGCAGCAGCGTTGTCATCGAGGTGCTGGAGCGCGTGCGCGATTTCTGGGCTGACGGTGCGTTGTCGCCTCGGTCCCTGTCCCCGTCCCCGTCCCCGTCCCCGTCCCCTTTCCCCTCTCCCGTGTCGACGATCCGCACTTCTCACACTCACGCGCGCGCGCGCACTCGCCATGCAGACGACCCTTAGCGCGACCCCCCCTCCCTCCCTCCCTCCCCCCCGCGGGTCGACCTCCTCGACGCCGCACTGCTTTCGCCCACTGCTGTTTATCAATTAAAATATCCTTTTATTACCGCTCTCGGAACATCCGCCGCCACTGCGCCGCCGTGCCTTTGCCCGCCTGTCACACGCACATACACATACACATTCACCTCTATATCGCAACTGCAGCCGCGCGCGCGCCTACGTTCGCTCAGTGTACCATCGCTCCGTCCATACCACTCCCCCCACCTCGCTTGCCTGTTTCTATCCGTCCGCCCCGCCCGCGCGACCCAACCTTCGAGTTCCGTATAATGCTGTGTCCTCCATTACACCTCCACCGCCCTTTTGGAATTAATCATGTTTTTTCGGGGCCCCCGTCCGTCCGTCCGCCGTTTCCGTTTCCGTTTCGGCGGCCTAGGTTGTCATACGTGCGCGGGTCCCCTGTTTTCTCCTCGTCCGACTTTCCTTCCCTGTTTTTGTGCGTGGCGTCCTGTTTCTTGAATAGGCCTTTTTTATGATATTTCTATCTGTCTGTCTCTCTTCCTTGTTCGTTCGTTCGTTCGCTCGTTCGTTCGCTCGCTCGTTCGTCCTCTGTGTACTTAGATATCGGACGCGGTATATACCACAGCGCGGTGCCGACGCGGCGCGGCACCGCGCGCCTCAGCATCGCGCGCGCTCGGGCGTCGCAGAACGTGTGCGTCTTGGTGTGCAGACGTCGGGCCGTCGCGAAAAGTCAAGAGAAGAAAAGGGCAAAGGGCCTGCGACCGGCGGCACTCTTTCCCTCGACCGCGACTCACAGGCACCGAGCCACTAGGCTCACGCGCATAAGTATAGCTTATAAGTACTGCGGATCGCGCCGCGCGACGTCTAGGTACAAGCGGGCCCTCGACCCCGCGCCGACCGAGCGGCGAGCGCGCAGATCCACGGTCGAGCGGCGCGCGGCTGCCATTACTCTAATCAGTAGACAGGAATAAAAAAAATAAAAAAATAAGTCGAACGGGCGAATCGGGTGGCGAAGAGGCATGCGCTCGGATTACGGAGGGGAGGGTGGGAAGAGCGAGGGCATGGCGGTGAGGGCGAAGGTGGGAAGAGTAAAGGTAATAAGGGAAATGGGAGGAGGAGGGGGGGAGGCGCTACATACTCGTACAATCCGACGGAACCGCGAGTCCCAGATCCTAACACGGCGTGAACACAGCAGATCGTAAAAACACAACACAACACGACGCGACGCGATGCGACCTCGCGCGACCTGGCGATCGGCAGGCGCTGTCTGGCGCTAAGAGCTACACACCAGTCGGAGGCGCAGGCGCGCGCGCGCCGCTCACGCGAGGTCTCGTATTCGGCGCTCCATCCACAGCTGGCTGTTCGGGCTCGCGGGCACCGGCGGGAGCGGGAGCGGGTTCCTGCTCGGCGGCCTTGGGAACGCTGTGGCGCGCGCGCAAAAAAAAAAAGAAAAGCCATGCACACACACACGCACGACGTCACTCATCAGCCACCGCGCCTCCCTTGTAAGCGCGACGCGAACCACTCACCGCTCAACTCGCTAAACGCGCTGAACGCGCCGGGGCTCACCGAGCGCCCGGGCGCGTTCTCGTTCCCGTTCCCGTTCCCGTTCCCGTTCCCGTTCCCGTACCCATACGCGTATCCGTACTCGTACGCGCCCGACGCGTCCGACGCGCCGCCGCGCGAGCGGTACGACAGCCCGTCGTCGCGCGAGCGGCCCGAGGTCGGGGTCGGCGGGACGTAGTCCGCCGCGCCGGGCGGGTCGTCGAACGGCGAAAAGGTGAGCACGGGGCGCGAGATCGCGCGTGCTGCGGTCGTGGGTGCCGCGAAGGGCGGTGGGCGCGCGGGCGCGTAGCTGGTGCTCGCGCCGGGGGTGAACAGGGGGACGGGCGCGGGCATGTAGGTGGGGCGGGGCGCGAGGGAGGGCGGGAGGCCTGCGAGGGCGGGAGAGGGGCCGCGTGGGGGCGAGGGGGGCGGGGGCGCGGAGGGGTCTTGTGGGGCGGAGGGGTTGCGGCGGCGTGCGCAGGTGACGACGATGACGGCTGCGCCGAGGATGAGGGAGAGGGCGCCGAGGACGGAGAGGATGGCGATGACGGCGATGGTGGAGCCGGAGAGGCGCGAGGTGCGGGAGTTGTCGGCTGCGGAGGTGGCGGTGGCGGTCGAGGAGGCGGTCGGGGGGAAGAAGGATGCGGAGGGGGAGCGGGAAGGCGAGAAGGTGTTGAGTGTTGAGCCGGAGGCGCTCGAAGAAGTAGAAGAAGGAGAGGATGATGGCGAAGAGGAAGGAGCGGAGGACGCTGCGGACGCAGAGGTGGATTGTGTGGACACGGTCGCTGATGCTGATGCTGATGCTGATGTCGATGCTGATAGTGATGCGGTCGAGGGCGAGGAGAGCGTCGCGACTGAGCTCGCGAATGAAAACGCCGGCACGGATGCGGATGCGGCTGACAGGTGGGAGACGCACAGGTGGGGTCAGCGCGGTTCGCGATGCACGGGGGCGTACCGGGACGCGAGAAGGGGGGCCGGGGGAAGCACGGAATGGAGTCGAACGGGTGGAATGGGGCGGATGGAAGGGGATTCTAGCTCACCTGCGTTTGAAACGACGGAGACGAGGAGGCCGCCAAAGGTCAGCTGGCCCGCGGCGCCGTCGGTCGTCTGCACGTTGAAGGCCCTGAGGACGTGCTGGACGGAGGTGTCGAGGCCGTCAAACGCGACGAGAACGGTCTAGGAGAGGGGGTCGATGAGGTCAAAGTGCGAAATGGTTACATAAATGGAAGAGAGCGAGGCTGACCGCGAGCTGGCTCTGGGCGACTCCGGGCTGCTGGGAGTTGACGAGCTTGAAGGGGCCGCCGCCGTTCCCTGAGGCGTCGCAGTCGATGCAGACGACGGCGCGGCCGCCTGCAGAGCCCCTGAAACCGATGTAATCCACGCTCGTTGCTCCGACTGGGGGGGGGGGGGGGGGAGACATGGGGGTGAGTGCGAGTGGGACAAAGGGCGTGCGCGGGTGGCGGCAGGACGCACCTGGGAGGACGACGGACACGGTGGCGCCGAGGACGTCCGTGAAAGCGAGCTGACCACCAGGGACTGCGGTGGAAGGCGCGGTCTGCCATCCTTGAGAGAAAGAAATGGAAGGGTCTGCGGGGGCAAGAGAGAGCGGACGAGGCGCGCCTGCGGCTTCAGAGAGTGGAAAGCAGAGAGCGAAGAGAAAGAGGACGAGCAGAAGGGGAGGCGAGGGCATCGCGGAGGGAGGCAGACGAAGGGGGGACGCTCAGCATCCCTTGGCCGGACGCAGAGCTCAGACCAGGAGCCAAGGGGCGGACAGGCTGCAGCACCCGGACGTGGTCGACCGGGAATGATGTTCTCCTCCGGCGTCGCACACGGCATCGCTCGGGCACATAACACTACTGTAGTAACCATCGAACCGGCACGCGACCGGCCCTTCCGTCGCCGTCGCCGTGCCGGGGACCGGAAGCGGATGCGTGGACGTGGTGGCGCTCCGGGCAGCGAGCGAGGGCTGTTCCGCTGAGCAAGCCCGTGGTGCAAGCCGCTGCGATGCTCTGAACCCACTCGCCACTCGCCACCCTCCGACACACAACACACGATGGCCTCACACAAGCCGTCCACGTACGTCCCTCACTCCCCGTCCCCCGCCTCCGCCTCGCACTCACCCCCGCACAGCTCCCTCTACGCACGCCGCAAGCTCTTCGCCATCAAGCACGACGAGGCACAACCCCTCACCCGCCGCGACATCCAGTACGACCTTCTCCACGCCATCTTCTCAAACCCTCTCCGCGCCTTCACCGACCCCCACGCACCCGCACCCGCTCCCTCCCTCGCCGCACCCGCCCCCCAGAAGGTCTCCTTCCGCGACCTCTATGTCCGTGCCCTCCTCCAGTCCCCACGCTGCTCCCGCGCCCTCCGCGAGAAGATGCAGGACTCCCCAGAGTTCGCCACAGACTTTGCAAAGATCGCCCTGCTCGCAAACGTCGGCCGCGTCAACACAACCATGACATGTCCGTCCCGCACTCGTTCCCTTTGTCCCCTCCCCCCCCCCACACACACACCCCTCTGACCTTCCCGCGCAGTCCTTCCAGAGATGCGCACCTCCCTCCGCACCTACCACCCCGTCCCCTCCCTCCAAAAGACAGACGGGAACCTCCAGGACGCCCCGCGCATAAAGAACCTCCTCAAGGCCTGCCAGCTCCCACACGAGACCGACAACGTCCCCGGCTCCCCGTCCGAGCTCCGCGTCCTCGCAGTGAGTTCCCGTCGCCCGTGCCGGCTATCGGCCGCTCATCCCAGCCATCCCACAGGGCAGAGGCATCGTGCCCACCTCCAACGTCGTCAACGTCCTCTTCTGCCTCTCGAACAACTTCACCGTGCGTCTCTCCCCCTCCCGCTTTTCATCAACCCCTTCCTCCTGACCTCGCCCCGCCCCGCCCCGCCCCGCCCCCAGAACGTCGCACACGAGCACTTTGGCCGCCTCGACATCGACTTTCTCGACCTCTTCCTCCCCATCCACGTCTCCTCCGCCTCCCGCGCCCGCGCCTTCCTCTGGCTCGTCCACCACTACCACGAAGGCTCCGGCCTCGCCCGCTCCTCCACCGCGCCCTCCACCGCCTCGACCGCCTCGACCGCCTCGACCCCCGCGCCCACCTCCCCCTCGGGCGACGCCACCTCGGGCACCCCGAACCCCTTCGCCGACGCCCATGCCCGCGCGCACCCGGGCATGGTCCCCGCCCTCGTCGATCTCCCGCTGCCCGAGTTCGAGGCGGAGAACGTGGACCCCGAGGACGAGATCACGCAGGGCGCGCGCATGTCCCGCTACCGCCTCGACTTTCTCGCCAACCCGAACGCGGGCGCCGGCGCCGGCGCGGGGCGCGGCGGGAGCGTCGCGGGGAGCGCCAAGGGCGCCGGCGAGGGCGGCGAAGAGAAGAAGAGCGCCAAGGGCCGCGTGCGGGACCGCGCGAAGGAGAAGGAGAGGGCACAGGAGAGGGCACGGGCAAAGGAGGCGGAGGCGGAGGTGGGGGCGGAGGCGGCGGACGTCGAGATGGACGTCGGCGTCGACGTCGACAGCCCGGGCATGCAGGACTCGCCCGCGTCGGCACCCCCGAAGGGCAAGAAGCGCGCCCACAGCGCCATCGAGCCCGCCGACGGCGACGACCACGACTCGATCGCCGTCACCGCCCCCGACAACGACGACTCGGCCTCGTCCAGTGCGTGCCGCCTCTCTTCCTCTCTACCCCATCCCGCACACTCTGACGGACCGACCGGCTGCCGTCCACCAGCGACGCGCGAGCCGCCAGCACAGAGGCGCCAGCTTTCCCAAGACATCATCCAGGACCGCGCGTCCCCGGCCATTCTCCCGCCCGCCCCGCCCCCGTTCCCCGCACCCGCATCCGCACCCGCACCCGCGCCCACACCGCCCGCGCCGCCTCCGGCACCAGCATCGGCCCCGGTCCCCAAACCGCGTGCCCCGCGCCGCCGCGCACCACGCACGCGCGCCCCCCGCTTGTCTGCCGCCGCTCGCGCCGCCGCAGCCGCCGCCAACGTCGCCGCGAGCGCTAGTGCCAGCACCAGCGCCAACGGTAACGGTAACGCCACCGCTGCAGCCAGCGCGCGTGCGCCCGCACGTTCGCGCGCGCGCGGACCCGCTCTGAGTCGCGTCCCCGCGGCGACGCCGCGCGTGCTCTCCCCGCTGCCGCCGACGACGACGATGACGCGCGGAGTCGCGATGCACGTGTGTCCGCAGCGGACGATGCTCCAGCGTACGTCGTCGTCCGCCCCTCGACCGACCGACCGACCGACCGACTGACGGCTTGTTGCGGATTGACAGACGCGTGGCACGTGATCAGTACCGTCGACCCGCTCGCGGACTCGGACGAGGAGGGCGTGGACGAGGGGTCGCGTCTCGAGTACTGTGAGTCCTCCGCCTCCCGCCCCCGCCCCCGCCCCCGCCCCCATCCCTGCCCTCTCCGCGCGCATACATCCCCATAGTTTGTCTCTTCCGGCTCACACGCGCACCCTCTCTCTCTCTCGCACACAGCCACCCGCCTCGAGGTCGTCCAGGGCATCCGCGCGCACGCGCACATGCTCGCCGTCGCGCGCCGCCAGCAGGCACCGCACTACCCCGCGCCCGACGCCGCCCTCGCCCTCGCCCTCGCGTCCGCGTCCACGCCGGGCCCCGCGTCGGCCCCGGGGCTCGTCGCGCTCCTGCCCCCCCTCGACAACGACCCGCGCACGGGCCCGCAGTCGCACTGAGACCCGGCGCGGCCGTGCGCCCGGTTGGTAATTTATTCCCTGTTTATAGCTGTTTTATAGCTCTCTTTTTTCGCGGTACATATTTGCGTCGCGTGGTCGGTTTCGGTGTGTGGAGTGTGGGGTGTGTGTGGGGTGTGGTGCTGGTGTCGGTGTCGGTGTCGGTGCGGCGTGTTGCAGGGTGCTTATTGTAGGCCCAGAGGCGCGTCTCGAGCCCTGACTTTTTCCTTGTTTGTTTTTTGCTCCAAAAGACGATCTGGTTGCTGTGCGTTGTCGGTCGGTCGCGCGTGTTCTGTCCCTTCGCTCGTTTAGCCCGCGTTTATCTCTTCAGCTCGTTCGTTCGTCGCACGTTCTCTCGCTCTCACCTTCCTCTAGCCGTCGCATCCGCGCCTCGAACTCTTGCCTCCTAGGATGTGGATATGGATATGGATATGGATATGGATATGGCCCCCCGACTGTGGACAGTCACAGCACAGCACAGCACGGCACGGCACAGCTCGCGTCTCGCACGCCGCCACAATCGCACCGCCCTCCATCTTCCCATCCCCCTTCTCGTCGCCCGCAGCCCCCCTCTCCCAGCTCCCCCACCCGCGAGCGCTCCCTCGTCCACTCGGAGCCCGCCCCGCGCCTGTACACCACCACCCCCTACCCCTCTCCTCCCCTTTCCTCCCTTTTCCACCCCCCTACCCAGTCTCACATACATGCATACATAAACACATAAATACATATACACGCTTATACATAGTTGCACATACCCATCGAGTAAATAACGTACGTGGTACACACCCGCGGAACGCCGGTGCCCATGCCAAATGTCAATGCATACCGCGGTGCGATGCGGCGCGTCCTGGACGACGCGATCTGATCTCATCGTCGAGGGCTTCCTACATCCATAGCTAGCCTGCAGAGAACTTGGCCGAACCCGCGAGGACGACGGCCCAGGCGCCCAGGTCTTTTATGTTTATGCTCATGTTTATGTTTATGTTTATGTTTATGTTTATGTTTATGTTTATGTTCATCTATTTATTTGTTTATTTGTTTTGGCCAGAGAAGCAGACACGCAGACACGCGGAGCAGAGATATTGGACGTTGAGCGGCCCCCAGTGTATGTTCAGCCTCCCTGCATTGCCTCCCTGCATTGCCCATGTCGCTGCTCTGGAACCCTACGATCGTCCGACGACGCACGACAGCGAGCAAGCAAGCACACATGCACGCACGCATGCATGCACCAGGAGTCGACGAGCGGCGAGCGGCGAGCTCGAAACTCCTACACTATCTACGATGACGTCCAAGGTATGTATGCGTGCGTGCGTGCATGTATCTACGAATGTATGTATGCATCCCTGCCTGCCTGCCTGTATGTGTCAAAACAAGAGAGAGACGCGAAGAAAAGCGGACAAGGAAAAGAGGAGGCGGGGGGAGGCCACGGGCGGGCCAAAAGCGGGGGCGAAGAACGGGAGAGGCAGACAGACAGACAGACAGACAGACATGCAAAGACAGGCAGAGACAGGCAGAGACAGGCAAAGACAGGCAAAGACGGAGAGACGGAAAGGCAGAGAAAAGGATATCGAGAGAATTGTATAACATAGTGGAAAACGAGAACTGTCATTTGGGGGCACACCGTCAAAAAAGGAGAAACAAAAGAAGAGTGGGGGCGGGAAGGCGGCGGTCGCGAACGCCCGGCACAAAAACGGGGGTAAGACACAGGGAGAGAGAGATGTGTATGTATATGTGCGTGCGTGTGGATGTGAGAGAGCGAGAGAGAGAGAGATGGTGTCAGAGATCCGGTGCAGCATCGAGATCGGCGTGATCCTGAAGCATAAAATACAACGAGAGGCGGTGAGGAGAAGGCGTGTCGGAGGGGGTACGAAACCAGAACCGTCGGTGCGCAAAAAAGAAAGCTCAAAAAGAAAAGAAAGACCGTGCCGCACCCCCATTTTCTCCCAGCGAAACGACAGCCCACCCGCCCGCTCACTCGGCGAGCCACTTTTCGCACTTCTTCACGTACTTGTCGAGCAGCTGCGCGAGGTCGCGAATCACGAACGTGAGCACGACCGTCGCGAAGAACTCGGACGCGCGGCGGAGCTTGCTCTCGACGGCGACGCGCAGCTCCAGCGGCAGCGCCGCGTACGACGGCGCGACGGGCTGCATCGCGACCGCCTTGGAGTGCTCGTCGAGCAGCTGCGCCTGCAGGAAGAGCCGGCTGAGCCCGTGCACGTACGACGCGGGCGAGTCGAGGCTGTCCAGGGATCTTGGGTGAGCTCAGCACGCGGTGCACGCGGTAACGCAGACGCAGACGGGGGAGAGAGAGGGTGCTCACTTCTTTCCGTTGGTGAACTTGTCGATCTGGCGCGTCAGCTTGCCGCCCCACGAGGTGACCCCGGTGGACTTCTTCACCACGAAGCCCTCCCCGACGCCGAGCTTCTTCCCAAAGTTCGCGACGACGCCGTCGCACACGGCCGAGAACTCCTCCAGGCGGAGCGCCCACAGGTCGCCCTCGCGCCTCCCGATGCTCCCGATGCCCATCGCCATCCCGCTGCTCACGTTCCCTGCGCCGAAAATGTCCACGCTCGTCGTCTGCACCTCTTCCAGCGCGGAGCACAGCACCTCCACCACGCGCACCTTTTCCGGCAGGTTCTGCAGCTTCGCGCCGCCCTGCGACCACACCTCGTGCGGGACGTGCAGCCGCCGCGTCACGTACCCGCCCGACTTGGACGTCATCGTGTGCCGCAGGAGGTTCATCATGTGGTACGCCTTGCGCAGCGGGTCCGGTGGCGGCGCGGGCGGCAATGGCGACGTCGGCGTCGTCGGCAGGTTGCTGTGCAGGATCGGCGGCGGCGGGACGAGCTGCATCGCAGGCGTGCCCAGCGGGGGCGACATCAGGCTCGTGACGACCGCGATCTGCGGCAGCTGCGCGCCGCCCTTGAAGGACGACGACGACGACGAGGTGGCGGACGCCTTGCGCGGCATCGGCATCGTCGCGATCATCGACGACGAGGTGCGCCCGGGGAGGTCCAGTGACATCGTCGGGAGCCCCGTCAGGCTCGGTCGGCGGCCCGGCTGCGAGGCTGCGCGGCTGCGCCCGTAGCCGAGGCTCGACGTGGACGACACGGGCAGGCCGACCGGCGCGATTTTCATGGAAGAGGGAGCCATCGACTCGCTCGGGTTGGGCGAGCTGGACGTGGACGGCGGCGCGGACACCTTGGTCGTCCGTCTCTGGTAGATGGTGCCCATCGTCGTCGAGTGGTTGATGAGCGTCGTCGACGGCACGATCTCCGAGCGCGCGGAGGTCTGGGAGATCCCGCGCGGTCTCGGCGTGACGAACTTGGCCGACGAAGGTGGCGAGAGCTGGTCGTGCTCGTTGACGAGCGTTCGCGGGGTGGCGAGCGAGGCGCCCGAGGACTCTGATGGCGACGGCAGCGGGGGCAGCGGATGGGATTCCCGGTTCGCTTCCCGCTGCGCCTGCACGATGCTCCGCGTCCTCGGCCTCCGAAAGTCCTCCTCGTACTCAAAGTGATGCTGCTGCTGCGTCTGCAGCGTGCGGTCGTCGTATCTGTCGCCCTCCTCCGTGAGCGACTCGAGGCGGCTGCCCGAGCCCGTTCGCATGTGGCCTGTCGAGTTTCCTCGCGGACGGGTGACGACGTTGAGGTGCTTGTTCACGACGCCATGTTGGTCGGGCGCGGGGGGCAGAGACGTCTGCGGCGGGGGGGCGGCGGGGGGGAGAACAGAGGCGGCTCGCGGGCGCGTGGGAGGGTGTCCGACCGGGGGAGGTCGCGCGGGAGGTAAGGCGGAGGTTCGGCCGGAAGACGGCTGCGGGAGGACCTCATGTGACTGGTTCGACTGCAGCATAGACGCTGCGGCGTACGGGTGGAACGACGAGGCGGCGGCGAGGTCTAAGAGGAGATAACCGTGTCAGTTTCGGGGGCAAGCAAAACGCCGCTCGACGGGCGAAAGACGGTTTACCTTCCGGTTCTGGATCGTCCATGGGGAAGATGTCGCCGCCGTTGAGTCTGACGGTGGCGTCTTCGAGATATCTCTGGGTGTCGATGGTCTGCGCTGGGACGAGCGAATGATTCGCGCGGGCCTGGACGGAGGTCTGGACAGAGGAATCCGAATCCGGCGAGCCCGAGACGGGGGAGGACGGCTGTGTGGTGTCGGTCGAGGCAGACATGGAGGCGGCGTAGAGGGAGGTCGGGGAGTGAGGGGTGGGTGTGATGTGGTAGATGACGCTGAGGATGTTCATGCGATCGGCGTACGTGTCGTGCTGCGAGTACAAACGTGTGAGTCGAGACCGAGGGATGACGTCGTCCGCGCGACGGGGACTCACGATGGCTTTCAGCCTCTTGACCTCTTCCTCTTGTGCGACGACGCTCCTGCGGCGCCCGCCGCGCCTGCGGTTGGATTCTGTGCTGTCCTCGCCCCGCATGACGCGCTCCATGACCTTGCTGAGCAGGGCCACGCTCTTCCCGTAGGCGACGACGGCGCCGTGGGGATCATTGTTGGTGGAGTCGAGCTTGACGGCCTCGCGTGCGAGCTCCAAGGCCCTGGTGAGCGCCCGACGCGACGACGGGCGAGGCTCGGTGGCCAGACCCTGATCTGGGGGCGAGAGGAGGAGGCGATCTGGGATGATGTCCTGGTGTTGGACGGCGGACTGGGGCTGAGGCGGGGAGTAAGCGACGGGGTGGTGGGGCGGGGAGTCGAGGCCATTGTGGTAGTACGGGGCTGGAGGGGCCGGTTGGGACGCGGCGGCGAGGCGGGCCTGGGAGAAGGCGGCGACGGCGGCGAGGCCGGGGGAGACGGCGGGGCGGACGAAGGGGCTGTAGGCTGCGATGCCGTTGTAGGTGGCGCCGTCGTCGTAGTCTGCGAGGCGGTCGAGGGAATCCGGGGGGGTGGTATCGATTATGGGTACACTGGGTATAGGCTGGGTGGGCGGGGGCGCTGGGGGCGGTGCGTGTGCGGCGGAGGAGCGCCTCCGCTGGGATAGGGATGTGGAGGGGAGGAAGGAGGAGGAGGGGGGCGGGGCGGACGAGGACGAGGACGAGGACGAGGAGGGACCGGGGTCCATGAGGGAGCGAGGCTGCCAGTCGCCTGCCTGAGCGAGGACAGAGGAAGGACGCGGTTCACCGAGCTGCATCAGAAGCGGCGGCGGGCGAGGCGAGGTGGCCTGGGCGAGTGGCTTCCGGCGAGGATGCGGAGCGGGCGGGTGCTGATGTTAATGAACGGATGAGACGAAGGGGGACGAGGACGCTGCTGCTGCTGCTGCCAGTGGGAACAACGCGCGATTGCCCCTTTCGGTTCCACACGCGGTCTCGCTCACCGCTGCAAGACGCGACCCCAGGACCGTCGCTGTGCGTGGTCTGCCTCTGCTGCTGCCGCTGTTGCTGTAGAACCGTTCGACCCTCTCTGAGCTCGACGATGCCTGCGACCTCGGCGGAGTCTCAATTTCCCCTCGATTCGCGCGATGCACGCAGAGATATACTGACGCTGGATGCTTGTGCCCTTGTCGCCGATGCACTGATCCCATCGGATCCTGCCTTTGTCGGTCTGCATCACGTTTCACGCTCCCCATCTCGGTTTCAACCTTGTCCGTCCTGTTCATCATGATGCCCCACCACGCTGTCCGTCGCATTAAGGTCGCGAACAGTCCGTCGTCAACACCACCACCACCACCACCGCCGTGCTAAGCAAATCATCCGATAGTCAACTAGTTTAAGAGACGAGGTATTCTTCAAAAAGAGAACAGCAGCCAACACAGACCAACTAAACGAGCGTCGTCGACAAGATATGCATCAGTCAAAAAGGTCGAAAAAAAACGTAAAAAAAAAAAAGTAGAAAAATATCCGGCTGGGAAACCCATGAAGGCAGACGCAGGCTGTCGACTCGACTCGACTCGACTCGGGGGTATATACGCGCTCACTTCTCCCACACGGCTTGGCAGCCACCGCTTTCCTTTTAATCTCAGTCCCGGAACTCCTGCTGCGAGCCCTGCGCGGCGAGTCGGCTCTCCAAGTTCCTACAGCACCCGTCGTCAGCCATCGATCACGGTCAACGACACCGTCCGGCATGACGTACCTGAGCGACTCTTCCTTCGCGAGCAGCTCTTGCCTCTTCTCGTTGATCTCGCGCTGGACCTTGAGCTCGATCTCCCGAAGCTGCACTGCATGTCAGTCGCGTTCGCTCTTCAAGGCAACCACAAACCCACCTTCTCCTCCTCCCTGCGGAGTTGCTCTTCCTTGAGACGCACGCTCTGCGTCGCGAGCTCCTCGGGAAGAATCGACGAGTCGCTGGAACGCGTCTCAGTACATCGAGTCTCAGACACCCACAGACGACGTACTGGGTATCGGTGTGCACGGTCCGAGAGAGCTTCTCGGTACGGTAAGTCTCGTAGAGCACGTCGTGCGTCAACGACTTCAAGTCCGCCAAGTGGGAGCTGGATGAAAACGTGAGCAAACGCGACGAATCCCTCGGGGCGAGAGCTTACTTCAGGAGGGCGCTCCTCAGCCTGCTAAAGTCAGAGTGCTTGGGGTTGTCCACCTCGGCGATACCCCAGGGATAGATCCGCGCGCGAACAGGCTGACCGTCGATCTCGATCTCCTCCTCGGAGCCAATGATGGCGAAGGGCAGGAGAGCCTGAGGCGCGGGTCAACGTCCGGAGCGATGGCCAAAAGCGGATTAATGGCACGTACCCGGAGCTCGCTGTTGTCCTGGATAGTCTCCTCGTCGTCTTCCTCGACGTCGTAGGGGAAATTGTACACCGGGATGTCATAGTGCTCGATGTCCTCCATGATCTAAAGCGAGATCAACAGGCGCACCGAGCCGCGTGGAATGGAAGCGCACCCTCTTCTTAAACCCACGGAGCTCGCTGGGGGTCAAAGAGTCGGCTTTACCGATGACGGGGATGACGTTGACGCGCGGGGAAAGGCGGCGCATCAGCTCAATATCCATTTCTCTCAAGCTAACGGAGATTGTGAGACGTGCGCGCATGGTACATCTGGACAGACACGCACGAGTGACCCGTGGGAGGAACAAAGTAGAGCAGCGCGTGAACGCGGTTGTCCCTGAAGCGGGGGTTACGCTTGATGCGAGACTCCTCGGCCAGGATGTCGTCGTATTGGCGTTCGAGGTAGCCGACGATCTCTTGGAATCTAAGAACGGTTCACTATCTGCGAACAAAACCGCCGAGCAAAAACCGACGTACGCGAACTCGTTGTCGATGTTGTCGCCGAACCCAGGGGTATCTACGATGGTGAGGGCGATGCGGACGCCGTCCTCCTCGAGTTCTGTGGTGCAAAGTGAGACTCCCGCCTCTCGCGCGGCGGTCAAGGCAGCGTGACGCACCGACGTTGGCGGGCTTGATCCTGATGCCCTCCTCGACGTGTGCGGTCTCCGGGTTATCGGACTCCTTGTGGTTGAGGACCTCGGACTCGCATAGGGTGTTCACAAACGTCGTGCGGCCAGTGCCAGAAGCACCTGGGAGGCCCAAACGGGGGGCGTCGTGTCAGAATGGGCACCCACGGCGGTTCGAGGGGGCGGTGGGGGGGTGGGAGGACTGACCGACTACCATGACCGTGAACTGGACGCCCTTCTTGACCTTGTTTCCTCTGCGTCTGCCTGCGAACGACATGGTGAAAAGCGGGGGGTGGTAGGTGGTGGTGGTGTTGGGTCTCCGCTTGTGGAGAGAGGACGGCGGGCGCGTGAAGTTGGTCCAGCCCGTTTCAGACTCCGCCCGCTGCGAATTCGCCGTCAGCCCGCCCAGGCCAGCAGTCCGTCCAGCCCCGCCGCCTTGCTCAATCGCATGCTCCTCTCCACCCGCCCCCTTCGCAATGCTCTGAATATTGGCCCATTAGGTCCCGCCCGCCCCTCGGCTCTGCTCCGCTATTTACACCCCGCCGCGGAGGGCAGCATCCCGCCGCCCACTATTACTAAGAAAAAGTACTCCGCCCTCCCCAAATCCCAGCTCCTCCCCGATGGGACGCCGGCCCCTCCCATCGGGCCCTGGACGGGCGGCCTCGAGCTCGACCCCGACACCGACCCCCGCGACCTGCCCCATAGACGTGCGCCCACAAACAGCCATCGCGCACCCTGCCCCCCGTTGACCGCGCCGTTCTCCCCGTCGTGCACGTAAACAGTCCAAGTGAGCGCCGCGCACGCGTCGTACCTCATCGACGCGTCAAAGGCCGGGGACATGCTCCCCGACGACCGCCCGCCCGCCCCCGTCAAAAAGACGCGAAAGAGACGCGTCAGGAAACTCGACGCGTCGGATGACGCCGCCGCCTCCGCCATCCACTGCGGGACAGAGCCAGCGCCAGCTGATGCCGCCCCGTCCGACCCCGCTCCAGCAGAGGTCAAGGCGAAGCGTGGACGCAAGCCCAAGGACCAGGTCGACCAGACAACAGGTTGTATCGAGCCTCGCCGAAACGAGATCAGTCCTGACCGCCATATTCCCCCCAGATGAACCCAGCCCTCGCCAGCCGCGGAACCAGCTCGCCACCGAGATCCTTGAAAACCTCGCCAAATTCCCGCACTGCATCCTGCTCACCCGCGTCGGCCAATTCTACGAGGTACGCCCCTGCCGCAGAGCCCCTCGGCGCACGCTCACGCGCGCCCCAGTCCTACTTCGCCCAAGCCGACGAGGTCGCACGCCTGCTCAACATCAAGCTCACCTCCAGGGTCTGGGACGGCCACCGCATCCTCATGTGCGGCTTCCCCGTGATCCACCTCCAGAAGCACCTCAAGACGCTCGTGCAGCAGAACACGCGCTTCGTCGCCCTCTGCGAGGAGTTCATGCGCCCCGCGCCGCCCGGCGCGAAGCCCACGTTCGACCGCCGCGTCGCGCGCGTCGTCACGCCCGGCACGCTCATCGACGAGCCGTTCCTGAATCCGTACGAGAACAACTACTTGCTGTCCGTAGGGCTCGTCGGCCCGCGGGAGGACGAGGGGAGGGGGACGGTGGGGCTCGCTTGGATCGACGTGTCGACCGGGGAGTTCTTCACGAAGGAGTCGAGCTATGAAAGCTTCCGCGACGACCTAGTTCGCATCGGTCCCCGGGAAGTCGTGTTGGCGAAAGATCTCGAAGAGGACCCATCGCACGCTATCCGCACCGCCGTCCTCGAAGAAGGCTGCTTCACGTCCTACATCACCGCGCCCGAAAACCTCACTTCTAGCATCGAAAAGAACGTCGGCGCCCTAGGGAGCGCTGAGGCGTTGCCCGTCGGGCTGACGCTCTCCTCACACGAGACCGCAGCCGTGTACTTGCTCACGACGTACCTACGCGCCAGTCTGATGGAAAGCATGCCCCGCCTGTCCTCACCGAACCGCGAAGCAAGCAAGGGGCGGATGCAGATCGACTCGCACACCATCAAAGCCCTGGAGATCCGAGAGGGGATGCGCGAGGGAGGCACGACCGGCAGCCTGCTCAGCGTCGTGAAGAGGACCGTCACGAACGGCGGGACGCGGCTTCTCGCTCGATGGCTCTGTAGGAAACTCTGTTCTCATGATCCGCGCACATCCTTGTCTGATATCTGTGCCAGGTTCCCCGAGCGGGTCCATAGCGGAGGTCAACGCGCGGCAGTCCCTCGTCGCGTTCTTTCACGCTCGTCCACATCTTAGGAGCGACTTGGTCGGAGCTCTGCGCGACCTTGAGGATGCGACGCGCATCGTGCAGAAGTTCCTTCTCGGCCGCGGCGACGCCAGCGACCTGTCGGCCATGAGCGCCTGCATCTCCATCTGGGCCGCGATCCGCAGCCGGATCGAGCTGGAGAAAGTCATGGAAGGCAAAGAGCGGGATGGCCTGGTAGCAGAGGAATGGAGCAGCCTGGACGCGTTGCTCTCCCGCATGAACGACTTTAGTGCGTTGCAGAGCAGGATCGGGATGGCCCTGCAGGGGCTCCGCGCACAGGCCGACGACGCGGAAGAACTGGACGAAATGGACACCGATAGTGTGATTCCTCCTAACCAAGACGGTGCCGAGGGCGACCTCAAATGGCAAGTAGGCAACAACTGGACATTCAACCCAGAGTGAGCGGCCTCTCTCTTCGTGTGTTCGCGTGCTGACGTCTCTTACCAGATTTTCGGACGAGCTAGGCCGGCTTCATTCTCGATTCAACCAATTGGCTGTTCGCAGGCTGGAGCTGGAACAGCATCTCCAGCGCGAGTTTGGTGCGTATAGCTCTGTTCCGTGTGCACGGTCTGTATTCAATCGCGGCGCAGATGCCCCCTCGTTGACTCTGCGCTCCTCGATGATCCAGGGGATGCACGTCCACATCGCTCGAGCCAAACGAGATGGCGCGAAGATCAGGCAGGCGGGCGCTTTCGTGCTCGTCTCGGAGAACAACAGCACCAGCAGCTTTTTCTACCCGGTAATCACCATGCTCCCTCGTTCCGTTCGATGACCGTGCTCACGCCGCTCTAGGAATGGTCGCAGCTCGGTGGCCAGATCTTGGAAACGTCGAGCGCCATACACGCGGCTGAGAAGCAAGCGTTCGAAACGCTCCGTAACGAGGCAAGTACATCCATCGCATCCCGCACGCAATCACCACGAACGACGTTGACTCCGATCAGGTCATCCTGCAAGAAAGTCTCCTGAGATGCAATGCGTGCATCGTGGACGAGCTCGACGTGACGCTGAGCTTCGCCAACCTAGCGGCGGAGATGGGCTTCGTGAGACCCACCCTGACAGACGAGTACGTCGCGCCGAACCAGACATCCCCGATGCAGCCATATTCTGACACCCGCGCACAGCAACACGTTCCACGTCGTCAACGGCCGCCACCCGACCGTCGAGCTCGGCCTCCTCTCCAACGGCCGCGTCTTCACGCCCAACACCGTCTCCTTCACGCCCGACTCGCGCCTGCACGTCATCACGGGGCCCAACATGGCCGGAAAGTCGACCCTGCTGCGGCAGACAGCGCTCATCGCCGTCCTGGCGCAGACAGGCTCCTTCGTCCCCGCGGACCACGCCGTGATCGGCATGGTGGACCGCCTGTTTTCGAGAGTCGGCGCTAAGGACGACCTGTTCCGCGACCGGAGCACCTTCATGGTGGAGATGCTCGAGACGGCCGAGATCCTCCAGCGCGCGACGCCCAACAGCCTGGTGGGGTGTTCCGGTCCGTTGGATCTATAGATCGTTCGCTGACGCGCGTCTTCAGGTGATCATGGATGAGGTCGGGCGGGGAACGACCGTCAAGGATGGATTGGCCATCGCCTTTGCCACCGTTCATCACCTCTACGCCAAGAACCGCTGCAGAGCCATGTTCGCGACCCATTTCCACGAGCTGACGGACATGCTGGGGTACTCTGCCGACCACCGCGGCGAGGGCGCCTTTGAGCACATCGGGTTTTTCTGCACAGACGTGGACGAAACGGAGGTCAGTCGTCGCATCTTCTCGTCTCCTGCCGTCGGCCTTATCACATACACAACTCAGGACGGTCGCTTCGCCTATTCTCATCGTCTGCGGTCTGGGGTGAACCGCGACAGTCACGGTCTCAAGGTAGCGCAGCTCGCGGGCATGCCGCCGTCTGCGGTCGTGATAGCAAAAGACGCCCTCGCCTGGTTGAAAGGCGACGCAGATAGCGCATCCATACACCCCGGCCACCTTAAAAGCCTCGGTCAATCACTGGCGTCGCGATCATGAACGTGTCGTTGTAGCATCTACAATATTATTACCCGAGACATTAATGTAATTTTCCCGTCGTAGCGGCAGCACCGCCTAATCGAATTGAGAGCGGATGTGGTTCAGAGCCGAGCCTGCCCTCAGCCACTTGAGCTGATCACTGGACATGGTGTGCTTGGTTGGGATCTCGAAGGTCTCGCCGTTGCGCTTGGTGACCTTGACGGTGATGGAGGCCCCGGGATCGCCGTTGAACAGGCTCGCGAGACCGTGAGTCTCTACGACATCGCCAGCACCGATACGCGCGTAATCGGCCTTGTCGGCGAACCAAAGAGGAAGGACGCCTTGTTTCTGTGTCATGTCATGAGCCGAGAACATCAAATGATGCTGGAGATGCCAAACCTTGAGGTTCGTCTCGTGGATCCGAGCGAATGACCTCGCGATAATCAGAGCACAACCTGACAACGATTAGAGATGATAGATGGCAGAAAGTGACGCGACTCACCGTAGAATCGCGGCTGCAGAGCAGCGTGTTCACGGGCACTGCCTTCGCCGTAGTTTTCGTCAACGATGAGCGCCCATGGCTCGCTCCGAGCCTTGTACCGTTTGGCCACACCAGGGATAGTATCTGTCATGCCCTGCGCCGAATCATGATCGTGATCAAACGCCACGTTCACCTTGCCGCCCTCATCATTCACGGCCTACGAAATTGTTTGAGTTTCCCTATCCGATCGAACTAATGACACGCTTACCGTGATCACTGGGATACCCACTTGCGTTAGCAGAGCGTGGGGTAGATATTAGGGACGACTCACGAAGATTCTCAGATATATTTGTGAGATGCCCCTTGTATTTCAACCACGGACCCTGGAGGCAATGATTGAGTTCAAAGATGGATGAGGGGGGCCATCACTGGGACACACCGCAGCAGAAATATGATCGGTGGTGCATTTGCCTCGCACTCTCATCAAGACCTTCAAACTGGGAAGTTCTAAACCTCTGCTGTTCGTGCCATCTGTATCAAAGTGACTTTTGAAGGGTTCAAGCACCTCCAGCCGCTGCGAGTCCTCCTTGATGACGACTTCGGTCTCGGGCTGTGGTTCAGGCACCGGCGACGGATAATATGAGGTTTCTCCAGGAGTGAACCCCGCAGTAGGAAGATCTTGTCCCGACGGCGGGGAGAAGGTGAAAGATTTGCCTGAGGGCAAGGGGATCGAGTCGGTCATGGGGTTGAAAGAGAGTTTCCCGGAGAATGCCATGGCGGTTACAACGGTTGGGGAGGCCAGGAAGTTCATGGTCAGGCGGTTGCCATCATTTCGCGACTTGAAGTTGCTGTCCCTTCATTAGCAGGAGCTGTCTTATAATGCAAAGGGATATTTACCGATTGAAGGATGTAAGTATCGCTGGTGGTAGGATTAGTATGTGATCGGTTTTGAAGTGACTCTCACAAACCGTTCTCCTCTTCTTTTTTATCTTCCCGTTTCCACTGATAGACCGTCAGGACTGTGCGTCGAAATTTGGAATTTGGCCTACCTGACCGATGCAAGGTCCGCAGGCATTGGCGAGCACAACAGCACCGACATCTTCCAAGACTTCAGTCACATGGTCACGCTCCATGGTTGCACGAATTTGTTCTGATCCAGGAGTGCAGAGGAAAGGGATCTAAGACTCTATTAAGTTTCTGTAGGCAGACAATGTATATGTGTGCGCACCTTCGAAGTTAAGCCAGCAGCCTTTGCTTGTCGAGCGAGGTCTGCAACACGCGTCTGCATGTGATACCTTCAAAATCTTTCATGTGCAAAAAAAAAAAACTTTATCTGACCATATCTTCATATGAGCTGTTGGTACACGATCCAATGAGTCCAGCAGAGATCTCGTCTTTCCACCCTTGCTCTTGAACGAAGGACCCAAATTTAGACAAAGGAGTCGCCAGGTCGGGTGTGAATGGGCCGTTGATAGTAGGCTCGAGATCGGACAGGTTCTACGAGGAATATAAGGAGTGGAATTTGTGACAAAAGAGAAGATGCTCACGATCTCAATGACTTCGTCGTACTCGGCGCCTTCATCTGCACTCAGGAAACCCTTGGAAGCCGCCTCGTCAGCAGCGCGAGCCACTGGCCCGCGGCCTGTAGCGTGAAGGTATGCCCGCATATTGGAAGTGTAGGGGAAGGTCGATGTAGTTGCCCCGACCTCAGCGCCCATGTTTGCCATTGTTGCGAGACCTGAATACAAGATGATCGAACCAAGTTATGGATCCCTCAGAAGTAATTGTCCTACCAGTGCAAGATTGATCGAAGACACCAGGGCCAAAGTATTCCAATATACGTCCCGTTCCTCCCTGAGACTTCGATGAGTTGGTAGCTCACATGAAATTCAATAGTGTTGACCTTGACTGTCAGCTTCCCGGCAAGGTGAAGGATTAAATCCTTAGGCGTCGTCCATCCATTCATCTTTCCAGTGAGGTGAATACCTGCAAGGTCAATGAATATAGCTCATAGGATTGCGAGTATATATGAATGCACACACCGACGACGTTCGGCGCCTTCAGTTCCCAAGGTGTACCCGTCATGGCATCTACAGCGTCTGCACCCCCGACACCAATTGCAAGCAAGCCCAGACCACCCGCATTAGGGGTATGTGAGTCTAACGGAGGTTTAGCAACAGATACATCATAGTAAAAGAGACGACTACCTGTGCCCAACCTGGTTGAAGCGATATTATGATAAACGAGCGAAACAAAAGCATGAATGAGGATCCTCCAGCACTCACATGAGCATACCAGGAGCGGCGTAATTCTCAAGCACTATTTGATGAATGATGCCAGAGCCAGGTCTCCAAAATTCGATTCCATATTTCTTGGCTGCGCTCTCGAGGAAGTCAAATACCTCTCTGTTAGATATGATAGCCCGCTGATGTTCACGTTACACGGTAGTTTTCTTTGAGATTGGAGAGATATTACCTCCAGGTCGGAATAAGCTCCAGTAGACGCTTGAATCAGATGATCACAGTGAATGCTAGAAGGAACTGATGTTCGCCCAAGGCCAGCACTCATGAATTGCAACCTGTAGCACGCCTGCATGAGCTCGGTGAGCGAACAAAGGAAGAGTGCATAATCTCTCACAATGCCATCCTATCCACCAAGGGTGCGGAAATTTTTGGTGAATCAGAGAGTAAGGAAGTAACGGTTCGTCTTACTGTGCAGATGCGTCCTGCATAGCTACTCTCTCAGGGCGAAGTTGAAGGTACGTTTCGCCTCTGACAATCCCTCCATTTGCACCATTCTCCGGATCGAAAAGATGGCTGTATAGTATCTTTTCCGTGAGGGTGAGCGGTCTGTCTTGCAGCGCCTCGCGAACATGGGCCAGATTCTGAATTAAAAGAGCGTAGGGGGGAGTGATGGATGCACAGTCTTTCTCAGGCAGAGAGGCGTGCGTTGCCAAAGATCTAGAGGTGAAATGTCGATGGACAGGGCCCCAACGTCTCAACGCTGCGCCAACAGACATAGCGATGTGTTCAAGGCAAGGTTAACGCAAACTCGTAGCAAGTCATTCCGTTGAGCGGGGTCGGACTTATCCGGCCGAAAGGTCAGCCAGTTGAATCGCAACGATTTTGACCAATGTATAATAAGATTAAACCGCAATGCACCAATCCACAGTAGAGCAGAACATACACGAGAAGGTGGAAGGAAAAAGGTACTTGAACGCGAGGTGTTAATATTAAAATCAATTCTGAATTGTACCCGTCAAGCGATGATCTCTGCTACTGGCACCAATAGTGATCTTCGTTGCCCCACTGGGAATTTCCCACCTCTGGGTCACAACATTCCAAATAGACAGATCATACCTGGAAATCTGTAGCGTGACTAGGGTAGACTGTCCAGGTGATAAGTGAATACTATCGAAACCCTTCAGGACATAGGGAGGAGAATTGGAGGATGCTGGAGATGAGATATATAGTTGCGGGATCTGAGGAACGATGAGTATAAGTTCAGACGAATGATCGTCACGACGCACCTCGTTACCGGCAACTACGCCAGTATTTTTAAGAGTAAATGTCACAGTTATGACCTTCTCATGAAGCCTAGTCGAAATGATGACTAGATATCCGGCTCAAGATAGATGTAAACATACGACGGATCGAGGGATGACCCTGGTCCGCTTGGAGGAGTGGCACCTGCTGCGGAGCCTGTGATTTGAAGGCCAGAGTACGCGAATGTCGTGTAGGATAGTCCAAATCCAAACTCGTACCGCGGGCTAATGTTTGCCTGCGGAAAACCTGAGATATAATCTACAAGACCGACTATGCAACCACCTACCGCGTCAAAATGGCGATAGTCGATGAAAAGACCTTCCGTATAATTTATCGGAATGGTGACGAGAGTGAACTGGTCCGCGATCTGCGCAGGATAATCATCTGCGCTCTTGGCAATGGTGTACGGGAGTCGTCCACTGATACCTTCATCTATCAGGCACATTTCCACCCATTTGAGTAAACAACAATTACCTGGGGTTATACGCGCCATACAGGACATCGACCAAAGAGTTTCCTGCTTCTTGACCAGGCAGGCCACTCCAAACCTAGAACCAAAGAAATTGTGAATCGAATGAGTCGATATTTGAAGAAAGATTTTACCACAGCAGTGACTAGACGAGTCGTATCTTAGTAAACAATACCCGCATAGATCATTATTGTACATACCGTTTGGACTGTCGATCCATGCCTCCATAATAATTGGTCCGACAGAATTGACGACAACGATCGTGTTGCTATTGACACTTGCAACCTTTTGCACTAGCGCATCCTGAAGTTCACGTTAGCTCTGCATCTTAGTCACAATGTCAGAACATGCCCCGCTATGCCAAGCTTGTAAATCGTTCCTATCCCCAGTGTTCCCCTCAACGAGATAGCCGTCCTCTCCACTATCGGCAGTAATGAAGACGAAAGCTACATCCTTCCCAGCTGCTGTAGAGGCTGCAGCACCGGTGTCAGAATCGCTAAGGGAAGAATAGACGCTGGTGTTATCAACAGATGATCTATTCTTAATGGCATCCAATGGCTGAAGGAATAGAATTAGTAGAGTACATCGTAACGCTGCACTGTTCTAGACTTGCCGTGATAAGATAAGGGAAATTCGAAGTCCTGTGAACGATGGGTTTTAAGTGATGATGGAAAGCATCACGTTCGCTCGAATCGCTCACCCACTACCCCAGCCCTCGGCGAGCACGCCTGAATCACAAGAGTGGTCGAGACAGCTATGTAGAGAGTCAGAAACGCCTGTAAAAGCGAACGAGACTCGCGCACCTGTTAGGGCCAAGGTCATTTGCGCCTGCTCCGCTTCCTGTTCTCATGGTCAGTTGACGCTATAATATTCATCAGATTAGCTTAGCTCGTACCAATGACAGCGATCGACTTCGGCGCTCTGAGTGGAAGAACATTGCGGGAGTTTTTGAGAAGAACTGTAGATGCAGCGCCAATCTCTCGAATCAAACTAGCCAGATGTACGGTCAATTGCCACGCGACAGCAAGGAAGATATCGCGCGAGGTTACTTTTTATGATCGCTCTGAACGTCAGTGTTCAAGTTGATGGCAGGATAGCCTTGATCCTGCCCCACAAGGTACCTAGAAATCTGTTACTCAAAGAATTGTCAAGCGAATGGGGCCATACCATGCCGCAAGAATTCGGATTGCCATGTCCTGTAGGACGTTTATTAGTTGACAACCGAATTTTTGTGCGATGGGGATGCACGAACATCAAGACGAGACTGAGGTACATCCCCATTCTGCACAGCAGAGACCAGACTGTCTCCAAAGTAACTGATGGCAACTTTATTTGATACAAAAGATCGGCACAGCAAGACCAATGTTTCGACATACCTGACGATGGATAGAGGAAACATGTCGCCGGGCATGGTCATCTGTGATGATGATTGATCCAAGCTTGGGAAAAACAATCAACTCTTTGCATGCTTACATCCAATCCCATATTGGCCGACGTCGTCGAATGAGTCGCATACCAGTCTGGCGTGAATTGTCAGGCTTGCGAGCTGGAGCTCAAAATGGTTGATCAAACACACCCGACATGACATCTACAGTCTATTAGATCATCCTCAAGGAAACACTATAGCAACCACTCACATCCTTGGAAAGCTAATTCGGTCTTCAACAGCCCATTCAGTGTGCTATTGTTTTCACATGCATACGTTCCGTTCACTGTATGGCGTCAGCAGATGATACGGATAGTATTGAGCTGGTTTGTTACCTAAATCTGTTTGTCGAATGTATGGTCTGCATAAACGAGGCTTCCGAATAACACGCAATGTCACGCACTGTAACTGCACATAACAGCAGCCACGTTGGCTTGTATACTCCGCAAGAACTGAGCACTGCCATATCAGCACCTTAGGACGAGGCAACCCATGAACAAGACTCACAGGATGCAGATATAATTCATGTTGCTAATAGACATGTGAGCCTTTAGCGTGCGCGACTGATGCTCGCTACTGACCGTTCTGGCGTAAATGTGTCAGAAAATGCATGAATTAAAATTGTACGAGTGTGAATGCACCTGTCATCGACATTGGAAGAAGACTTCATGCGATTATGTTCTTGCTCGCTATCCCGTATAGTTTGAGTGCCATATGATGGTGAAAAATGGAAAGTGCTTACTTGTTTATCAAGTGCTTCGCAACGGCTTGTACGCCCTGGGACTGTATACCAATGATCGTCTCGTATGCGCCTTCACCTGATAAGTAAGGATCTCCGCCGAATCTGTTCCATTAACTTTCGTTACCCAAGTATCGCGCATGGCAAGACAAATGTTCACGTACCCTTCCCAAGCTCTCCCGGAAGCAGGAATACGCATGAGATTCCTAACCGATTCCAACGATGTCAACATATGAATGAAGAGAGTTGAAAGCACCGACATCATTGGGCCCAATTGTACATGAATGCCCTTTCCTCGGAATTCTTGACCCATTGCAACGCCTTTCTTGTTCATCAGCGTCCTGTTGAAGCTGTCATACAAAGTACTTCAGACATTGGTTCGTATCAATAACGGAGAATGATTCACGTTGCAGCAGCATTGATGCCTCTGGAATATATTGTCCATTCAGTGATTGCTGTAAGCCGAGAACATGAAATCATACGCAGGGAATACTGAATTTCCGTTGGTATTCCGGACGCCCAACGCGCTATCTAAGGCGTATATGTTCACTGAGTACATCCGTCATAAGCTGAACCTATAATAAATACCTTGAAGACACAGTGCAGGAAAATTGATAGAGTCGATCGACTTGGTTTGACCAGTACAAGTCGCTGGTTCAATGTCAGCATCATACCTCACACGAGAAAGCGCTTGCAGATACCAAATCCAAGTAAGCCAACACCTGCATGTGGACGTGAACAGTCAGCCTGTGTTTCCCGGGTGATAGGTAAGAAATTCACCTGTGGTGATCCTTGCTTTCTCGCTCAACGTCAGATTCGCAATTGACTGCCGGGCCTGCAGTGCACAAAAGTTTACCTGTCTGTATTCCGATTTGAATATTGAATATGGACTCACCTTGGCATATGCTGTCGACCAGGCTGAATTCACTTGTAAAATTCCGTCAGGCGACGGAGTCGACGGACAAAGCGATACTCTGCTTCACTGTCAGCATCCACGCGCCATCGGCATACATCATAATGACTGACTACATTGTGCATGCACCAGAGAAATCCAGAAAAGAGAAAAGAGCAAAGACGAAGGGCACTTCATGGTGGCGTCTGCCCTTGACTTTCAAAGGGACCTCAAAAAATCAGACCGGTGAGTCAATGCTTTTAAAGGGCGAAACCCCGTGAAGGCCGTGTTGATATTACCCCCTGCTCACACGCTTCCATAATATCGTCCCTTCCTTCTCTACGGCCGCGGGCAAACGCGTTCGAAGCATTTGAAGTGATCTGTCCCGGGGTCTGAAATCAGCACATGCTTTTCATGTCTCACGGCCTGACATGTTCCATACCTCGGGTGAGCCCTAGCATAGCAGCAGACACGCTTTTGATGTTTGACGAAGGTCCACGAAGCTCTAGCAATTTGGCTAGGGCGATAATATTGCCATTGCCATGGGTGCTGAAATGTCCGAGTTCGGAAAGTCTCCAAGATTGATAAAGGCCCACAGTCACATGCTACCAGCACTTGATGATATCCACCCCCACACGTCTTGCGACGACCTTCTGGCGGTGCCTTGACATCATGAGGTTGCCTCAATGAGCATGCGCAGATCTACGGATGTCAGGCTGTCACCGATATAGTCACCGTTGTCCTCCGTTGTCAAGCGTTTATTTAAGTTGATATTACTCGAAGTTGCAAAAGCTGATATCGATGCTGTAGACGAATCAAACGCCTAGTTCTGTACAGACCCTGTCAACCGTCTATCACGACTACTTGCTCCAATGGAAATCTCAGTCGTCCCTTGGGGAATCTCCCAACGTTGCGAAACGACGTTCCAAATCGAAAGGTCATATCGAGAAAGATTGAATGAGACCGATTTGGTTTGCCCAGGAGTCAAGTAGACATTATCAAAGCCTTTTAGGTTGAATGGAGCGGAGTTAGCAGAGCTTGGCGGCGACGTGTAAAGCTGTGGACTCTGGAATCAAAAATCAGGTCAGATGCTATTATACACGCAGTATTTGTGAATCTACCTCATGGCCAGCGATGGTTCCGTTGTTCGTGAGGGAGAATGTGACTGCAATGACCGGGTCATGCAACCTGATGCAAATTATTCACGCTTCCAGATGATCATACGCAGTTCTTACCATGGATCAAGAGACGAACCAGGGCCGGAAGGCGGAGTGCCACTTCCAACGGAACCGGTGATTTTCAAATCTGCGTATTGGAAAGTGGTATAAGACAGTCCAAACCCGAACTCAAATCTTGGATTGATACCAGCCTAATAGCCTGATCAATGAACGATCTCCAAGCTTCTCCAAGGGTAAAACAGAAAGCTCACCGCATCAAAATGCCTGTAGTCGATGAACAACCCTTCTGAGTAAGGTATCTGGAGGATCGTGTTAGTGCTATCAACATAGATGACTTGTGCGGAGTAGTCATTGATGCTCTTTCCGATGGTGAAGGGCAATCGGCCACTAATGGGGGCGCTTGGAGATCAAATAGGTGGATTTCGACGAAGTGTTGGCACAAACCTTGGGCTATATGCCCCATATAAAACATCGACGAGTGAGTTTCCTGTCCACATGAATGTCATCAGAGTCTATACCGGGATTTTTTGAGGAACAAGTACCTGCTTCTTGCCCGGGAAGCCCGCTCCAGACCTACTTGGGCAGTGAATAGCCACTTCGTGTACAGGATGTGAATCTACGAACCACAGCAGTCACTAAATGCATCGTGATCAGCCAATGGAACTTAAACGGGTAAAACGAACTCACCGTTTTCATTCTCGATCCAGTTCTCAAGAAGAATAGGGCCAACGCTATTCACGACAACAATCGTGTTTTTATTGATACTTGCAACCTTTTCCACCAGAGCATCCTGTGAAACTTGAGAATAAGCAGATGATTCCAAATTCAACTTCCACACTCACGCCACCATGCCAGGCATTGAGGTCATTTCTGTCCCCTTCATTCCCTTCGACCGTGATGTAACCTTCACCACTGTCCGCTGTGATGAATACAAAGGCAACATCTTTTCCAGATGCTGTTGTTCCAGCGGCGTTGAGATCTGTATCGCTCAACGAAGAAGAGACAGTTGTGCCTTCAGCCTTTGATCTATTGGTGATGGCGTCAAGGGGCTAGAAAAGGTTAGGGGAGGGGTCTCAGAGAGAACAGATGATTCACCGTGATCAGATAGGGGAAGTTATCAGTTCTAGAAGACAAGGAAGATCTAGCCACAGGCGCAGATAGAATCAAGTGAACTACTGACCCGCTTCCCCATCCCATAGCGAGGACGCCATCATCACCACCTTGGTCGGTATATCTGATTTACATAGTTAGGTACGGGATCGCAAACTTTCGGTATTTTGTACCCATTTAATCCTCTCGAGGATGGTCCGGCACCGTTTCCAACGATTGCGATAGTCTTCGGTGCACGCAAGGGCAAAACGCCATTGGTGTTCTTCAGTAATACCGTGGAAGCAGCGCCTATCGTCCTGATAAGGCTGTACAAACCAGTACACCTGACAGTAAGAGATGAAATCTCCTGAGGAGATATGACAATGACATGCCTCGCGTGGTCTCCTTGAACCTCCGCATGCGTGTTGATAGGAGCGTTCAGGTTCCAGGAATTGAAGTTGACCGCGGGGAACCCAGAATCCTGCCCCAACAAGTACCTGAAGAGATATGAGTCACAATTCTGATTTCATTGCGACAAACGGATAATATACCAAGCAGCAAGTATACGAGTTGCCATATCCTGAAATCACATGTCCTTAATCGTTTCGTCCTTGAGGAGTTTAGTTACGACAGACATACATCGATGCGAGACTGCGGGACCGAGCCGTTTTGAACCGCGTTTACGAGAGAAGACCCGAAATAACTAAGCGGCGTTTAGAGATTGAACATACCAGAAAACAGAATCAGCTCACGTAGTTCCCGAGCCAGCGGCGATATCTCCAGGCATAGTCATCTAGATTGAGCGAGATGTGGTTAGATTGCGGATGTAAAGAGTGACGACAACATGGTGCTGCTCACATCCAAACCTTGGTTGACTGCAGTTGTTGAATGAGTTGCCCACCAATCTTCAATATATTTGAGCTACCACACTACTTAAGGAATAGAGATAAACCGTATGACATACCTGACTGGACATCTGGTTAAGAAATAGGTCAAGGCTAGAAGAGACGGCTCCAAAATGTTCATGGACGTACACCCTTGAAACCCAATTTCTGTTTTTAATATTCCGTTCAAGGTCTTGTCGTTCTCGCAAGAGAAACTGCCATTGACTGGAAGACATAGTAAGGGTCTATGAGATGGACTTGTCATATAGTTACGCACCTTGATCTGGAAGGGGCCATAGCATGTGAGTCGACAGCGTCTTTCTCAAGATCGAATTGGACTTGAACATACTGTAGCTACACATCACAGATGCAACGTTGGCTTGAACGCTTCGCAAGAACTGGAAGAAAGGGACAGTGGGATTTGATTAAGCCACGGAATATGCACGACGCTTTGAGAACACGTACTGGATGGGAGTAAAGTTCGTGCTCCTGCCCAGCTGAAGGGTTAGTCCGCGTTCAACGACCAATACGACTGGAAAAGGACGTACCGCCCTTGAACGCCAAAACGTTCAGTGAAGCATGTTCCTCATACTTTGCCATGTAAAACACGCACCTATCGCCTACGTTCGATGAGCTCGTCGTGCGAGAATGCTCTTGTTCACTTTTGTGAATCGAATTTTAAACTTTGGTGTTTTTATTTTAGAAAGTCGTCGGCCACTTACTTGTTAATGTAGTGCTTCGCACACGCTTGAACGCCGTTAGACTGTATGCCCATAATTGTTTCGTAGGCACCTTCTCCAGCGAGGAAAGGATCTCCGCCGAAGCTATGATATGAAATAGCAATCAGCCTGAGTTACACCTCGATATAAATAAAACGCACCCCTCCCAGACGCGACCACCAGCCGGCGCGCGCATGAGATTCCTATGCAAGTATAAGGTGATTGGTTTCCATTGTCAAAGATCAAGCCTAACATCATCGGTCCCAGCGCAACATTAACTCCTTTGCCGCGGAATTCGGAACCCAATGCAGTACCGCGTTGGTTCATGAGGGTCCGGTTGAATCTGGATGGCTTCAGCACAGATATGGTATACAAAATTTGGTTCGACCGACGTAGCAGCAACGTTGATAGCGCTGTAGGACACTGTTACATGAAACACACAGAGGCAAAGGGAAAAGTGCGCACGCAGGAAATGCAGAAACAAAATCGGCATATCTCACGCCCAAGGGACTATCTGCACATGGGCTTGTACTTCTGCAGATATCGAGCTAGCATCTGTGATCTCACCTTGGAGACACAGACCAGGAAAGTTAATCGAAGAGATGGCCGGTGTATTTCCAACACAGTTGCCCAGCTGCCAACCGATACCTGAAGGAGTAAGGGAATGTGAGTGATTTGATCACATATGAGTTGCTGTGTACACCTACCAGTCGCAAGGTTGACCTTGTCCTCAAGTGAAAGCTTAGGCACAGCGACCTTAGCCTGTGCGGTGGAATTTAGGTGACTTGTTATGTACGTAGATGCTTAGGAAAATACTTGCCTTCACATAGGCAGCTTTCCATTCCGGGGAAATGTTCGCTGGTGGTATGTTTAGCTCAAAGGTACCCGTGAAAAGACATGAAACCAAACTCTACCCGGGGTTGTGCTACTCGAGGCTGGAGCCGAGCTAGTTGCAGTAGTCGAGACAGAAGTGCCGGATGTGGGCGTAGTAGCGGTGCTCGAAGAAGAAGAGGACGAAGGCAAACACTGATGATAATCTGAAAATCATATCCATGAGGGCAGAGAAAGATGGTGCGTAAAATTTAATCATACAATCATTGAGCGTTGTGCACGTCCATCCACCAATGCATGTCGTAGCGCCGGTCCTGATTTCAAGAAGTATGAGTGTAATTTTGTGCCTCTAAAAGACAATCTCACCATCCTATGCCTCCGCACTGCCCATACCCCGATTGTTGAGCGAAGACAGAGGTGAAGCAGGCCAAAACGATATTATAAATCGAAAATAGCTTCATGGTAGGGCAAATGCTCGAAACTAGTACTGTGGGGCCTCTAGGATTCTGCTCTACCACACCAACGAGCGTTTTTAAGGCCTTGAAAAACAGGAATAGAGCTCATCATTAGAACAGCAGTGCCCCCCCCCCCCCCCGGAAAAGATGCGGAGTGGAACCGGAGAATTGACGGTCACATACAACAGGACGCGCAACATAGAAGAAGGCTTGCCAAGGTTGTAGATATGGGTGTTGGTTCGAGACGAATCAACGACGACCTCGCAATCGGCCGTATTCTGTCTCGGAATAAAAATGTCGTTAGCTTGCGAGTGATGAACAAATGAAGGTCAATGAGCGCAAGTGGGGATGAGAGATTGAGACAAGAGTCCAGAGTGTACCAAGCGAAGTTCGCGCCCAATAAAAACGATCGTCTATGATTAGTATTCACATATGTTAATTAGACAACAGAGTATACCATACTGATATCCAATTACTTCGGGGTAGGAATGATTGTACGCTACCAAAGAGGGTCTATGTCCTTCCAACCCTTGGCACGTTGTTCCCAGTATCCGCCCACATATTCCCATTCATCGCCCACTTGCTTGAACCACTTTGGAGACCGATTCATCCCTTGCCTTCGCCGTTCTCTCTGCAACTCTTCGACCCGTGTTTTCTCGGATTCAGCTAAGTCTAGCTTGCCCTCTTCAAGGGCCCGGACATCTGGGCGATATCGTGAATCTGTAGGAGGCAGCTTACCCGCTAAATCCGAGGTAATCTCATTTAGCGTAATTCCCCAAGAAGTGAAGCCGTAGTAGTCGAGGGCATTCTTCGGGAAAGTGGAGATCTTCCAGAGGACATGAAGATGCGAAGGACCAAGCTTGCGTGCGAGGGATTCATCCCATCTGCCTTCGATGATCGCATCGATCGCCCCGGAAGACGAATGGACAGTGCCAGACACCAAGTTCGAAATTCCCCAGTAACCGTTCTCTTTGAACTCGACGATGCATCGCGCATCCGTGGAGACATTCTCAATAGTCATCTTTCCCGTATGCTCGAGGTACTTCGTCCCCATCATGAGATTCCTCATAAATGACGAAGGCTTCTTCCTGTGCGTATCAAGTCAGCAAAGTGACAGATTGACTCCAATAATAGCTCGCCGAGGGGCAGCTCACCATTGATAATGATCATCACCGATCTTGACATGGTTTGTACCAATAGGAATAATTTCCAGGCTCTTGCCTGGAAGGCCCGGGGAAATCGGCGAGCGGTCATTCATCGGGGTATTGGATTCTCGGTCTGCCACGTACCCCAGAATTTTGTCTTTCCCGAGGACGTAGCAAACATCTCCCAGCCGTCGCCCTCGGCATGATATGCAAGGATGACTGGATTATGACAGACTTTCTCAGAGATGAACTTCATCCTCGGATCCTCAAATGTTTCCGCAAGCATGGGGTTGCTGGAAAACACGAGGTCAACCATGACAAACGACACACCACAATGATCTGAGCACCCACAAGCCCTTTCTGCTCGAACGATGCTTTGTATGCGCATAGCCAGACACCGCGAACGCGGCAATATAACAGAAGCGTTCGACAGGGTCCTGTGCGCGAGCAGCCTCGGACAATAGACTATGATACTCCACCTCCTCGGCTGCACGTTGTAAAAGTGTCAAGGGTTCATTGAATGTTACCGGGAAAGCAATGCTCGTGAGATCCTGCCCTCGATATCAAGAAAGTTCGCAAGACAGGATGAAGTTACTGACCTTTCCAACGTTTTTCTTGAGCACAGCGAACAAGCTGCCTTCGTCACCAACAGGACCCGTAGGCAGTTGAGTTCGTCGTACAATCTCCAAAGGGCGAGCGAGCTCCATCTCGTCCTTTGATGGTGATGGCCCGTGAGCTACTTGTTCCTCATCCGTATCAGAAGCATCTGAGCCGTGATAATCATCGCTCCGGCTATCAGCAGTGGTGATCCTGCTATCCATGCCGGCTTCATAATCCGTCGGCAGCGTTGTATCCAGAACGAACTCCTGCGCACCCTCCGTCTCGCCCTCGGCGTCATAGAATACACTACCACCATCACTGACAGATGCTACAGTGGATGCTCGTTTTCTCCGTCCAATGGCGCTGTTGAGCTTCACGGGACTTGGGCTACGGCGATATTCTTCTTCGGCGGTGGTAGGAAGTGGTGATCCATGTGCAGTCGGCGGATTAGTAGTGTCAATTTGAGGCAAAGCTGGTAATAACTTGGCCAGAGCTGCCTGCTGTGACTTTAGCGCAGCCAAGGCGGCCTGGACACGATCAAAAGGTAATAGCGTAGACGAAGGACGACTGTCGGATTGATCCGGCGGCGTCGTTGGACCAGAGGGAGCATGTGCTGCAAGACATCTTAGAGGAATTCACAGCAAGATGAATATCGAAACGAACCCTTCTTGAAAAGCCCGAACTTCGAACTCTCCTTTGATGCTTCCTTCTGTTTCGACAGGCTTGGTATTCTCTTTTTGGTCTCGAATTGCCAGACTTGGATGGCGCTGTCTAGTTCCGCTAGAGTCTTACGAACCACGATTTGAGGAAGGAGGCTTGTTCAGAAGCTTAAAAAGAGAACTCACAACGCCCATCTCCTCTACCATAGCTCCTGTCTTACCCGCTTGGCCAAGCCTCGACATGCCCCGTCCAACCGAAGAACGTCGACCCAATGACCTCGCGTCCGCTGGCGGCGCAATAAACTGCCTGTGGCGAGAATGTGAATTGACAGACCTGGATATCAATCATGCTAAGTACCGAAAAGAGACCATCCATTCATCAAAGTCCTCAGTGTTCAAACATTTGATGTGAAATGTGGCGTTGTTCGAGTCAATATGTATGTCTTTCTGACCACGAGCAGTCGAGATGGCAGCATGCGGGAGCTCAATCTGATCTCGAGAGGGTTTTCCAGGTTCAAACGAGTAAGACAAGAGGCCAGATTGATATAGCACAAAGTAGCGACGGGCAAAACCTAGCAACGCACGGAAAGATAAGCATTTCAAGGGCGGATCCTTGAGCGAGCCGAACGCACCTTGCATTTTCTTGCGCCTCTTCTTCAACACCCATCCTTCTCGAATCACGGCAGTTGATGGGGGAAAGGCGACTGGAGACGTGGCTGCAGGAAGAGCCAATAGCGCAGTGTGCTTATGAGGTGCAACTTGCATGGCGCGCTGGAAGGGTGATCACCGGTAAGTAACCAAACGTTTGTAGCAAGTATTAGGGTGCCAGAGAAGAGTGGAATATCGGAACGTCGAGAAAAGGGTAAGGACGCGTGATTTTATACTCCGTAAGCGATGCACTTGTGCCGTCGAGCTCGCCTAAAGGAGGTCACAAGTAAACTGGTCTAGTCGTACGGCATCAAACCGATGGGGAGGTTGAAGCTGGATGACGGTGAGCGATGAGGACGAAAAGTTGGGGGACTGAGTGTGAGAGCATAATGACGCGAAAAGTCAACAGCATCGCCACTGTGTCGCGTCTCAGCTTCACGAGTCTCAGGGACGAGAGACGGGGAACTTGTGCACGCAGCCTCCAGACATTCTCTGGACTGCATGGCTTGTAAGGCCCTGCCTGCATGGCTCACCTTGTCGACACCCGACGTCATAGATGAGGCCGGTGTGTGCATCTCGGCAAAGACCAGGTACCGCCCATTCACACATCGAGAAAACACACACAGAAAATACAAGCAGTTCGGAAACTCACGCCCTGGCCATGCCTGGGATATGTCGCCCACAACAAGCAATGAAATGGGTTCTCAACTTGCTCGCAACGGAGGAGTGGATCAGACCGGTTGGAGGGTGCTGACTGAAGGGGTCCCACAGGGTCCCGCACGCAACGGACCGGCCGATATAACTCGCTCCCTGTAATCGCATCGGGATCACCACTCGAAATCCCTCCTCTTCCTCTACCCACCATCGCACTTCCTCGCCTTCGCGCTATCCTTCATACAATGGCTGCACCCACGTACGATACTTACTTTTTATTTTGTACCATGCATTGCTCAATCGTCCGAATGCAGTGGCGATATCGGTCTCATCGGCTTGGCCGTCATGGTACGCGTCGCTGTCGTCCATCCCGCTGTCGGATTCCTCTGAGTGAAATCTACATCTCAAACACAGGGTCAAAATTTGATCCTCAACATGAACGACAAGGGGTTCACCGTTGTTGCGTACAACCGTACAACGAGCAAAGTCGACGCCTTCCTTCAAAATGAAGCCAAGGGTACGATCATCTCTTCTTGTTACATCATATAGAGTTTTCTAGACCCATGACCACAGGCACAAAGATCCAAGGCGCACACTCCATCCAGGAGCTTGTGTCCAAGTTGAAGCGCCCTCGCAAGATCATCCTCCTCGTAAAGGCCGGACCTGCCGTCGATGACTTCATCGCTCAGCTCGAGCCTTTTCTCGAGAAGGGCGACATTATTATTGATGGCGGTAACTCTCACTACCCAGATTCCATCCGTCGCACCAAGACTCTTGAGTCCAAGGGCCTCTTGTTTGTTGGTTCGGGTGTGTCCGGTGGTGAGGAGGGTGCTCGCTTTGGTCCATCCCTCATGCCTGGTGGTTCCCCCGCCGCCTGGCCTGCCATTAAAGAAATCTTCCAGAAAACCGCTGCTCAGGTCAACGGCGAGCCCTGCTGCGACTGGGTTGGCGAAACTGGTGCGGGTCATTACGTCAAGATGGTCCATAATGGTCAGTATCAAACTTGTCAATCAAGAGAAGACACACACTGAATTGCTCCGAAGGTATCGAGTACGGTGACATGCAGCTGATTGCTGAGGCATACGATATCCTCAAGCGCGGCCTTGGCCTCCACGAAGATGAGATTGCGGACATCTTCGAGAAGTGGAACAAGGGTGTCCTCGACTCTTTTCTGATCGAGATCACCACCAACATTCTTCGATTCAAGGATGATGATGGCGAGCCTGTCGTAACCAAGATTCTTGACAAGGCTGGTCAGAAGGGTACCGGAAAGTGGACAGCCATCAACGCTCTCGATGCTGGCACGCCTGGTGAGTGAGGTGCTCGCTGAAACTAAGACTGAAATAAACGCGTTCGTTCCAGTCACTTTGATCGGTGAAGCCGTTTTCGCTCGTTGCCTATCTGCCATCAAAGACGAGCGTATCCGCGCCAGCAAAGTCATTGCCGGTCCTCAGAAGGAGGCCTTCCGTGGTGACAAGAAGCAGTTCATCGACGATCTTGAGCAGGCTCTCTACGCCTCCAAGATTATCTCATATACACAGGGCTTCATGCTCATGCGTGAGACTGCTCAGGAGGTTAGTGTCTCTAGCGAGGCTACCGCTGCTTCGACTTCGGCTGATACTGTTCACAGCTGAAATGGAACTTGAACTATGCTGGTATTGCCCAAATGTGGCGAGGTGGCTGCATCATCAAAGTATACAACTTATTCTGCTGCGCAGTTCAGAAATGGAGACTCATGTGCACCTTGACCTTCTAGTCTGTCTTCCTTGGCGATATCACCGCTGCCTACACCAAGACGACGAACCTAGAATCTTTACTCTTTGACGACTTCTTCAACAAGGGTGTGTACCATTTTTGTCATCTCAGTGGGACCTACTCTCATGTGTCATATATGTTCCAGCTGTCCACAAGGCACAGCCCGGTTGGAGGCGTGTCATTGCCCAGGCTGTCCTCTGGGGCATTCCCACTCCCGCGTTCAGCACGGCCCTGGCCTTCTTCGATGGCTACAGGAGCGAGATTGTCCCTGCCAACCTCCTCCAAGGTCAGCGTGACTACTTCGGTGCCCACACGTTCCGTGTGCTCCCCGGCAAGGAGAATGCGAAGTTCCAGGCCGGCGAGGATATCCGTGCGTGTTTTCCTCTTACTTTACCCTGGCTATCGGACACTTTCTCACCAGTCTACTCGGCACTTAGACGTCAACTGGACCGGCCGTGGCGGCAATGTCGCTGCGTCTACCTACTCCGCTTAAAGGGCTGACACAAACGCGGGTTTGTAACGCCATATGTACGACGCCATAGACTTTGGGCCGCGTTTTGGCATGCAGTGAATCAATCAAAGAAATGTAGAGGATAGGATATCGAATTGTAGCAGTCGCCATTCATGTAGTCCAATCATAGGAGAAAGCATTGTTGTTTCAATACCTTTTTTCTGAGTGAGAGACTACCTTCACGCAATGAAATGTATTCTACTCGAAGTACTCGCTACATCCAGTGCCTGCCAGACTTGGAAACTAGCCCGCCCAGAATGGAAATATATGCCTATCTTTTCGTTTTTACTTCATGTGTGGGATTGTCTTCTCCGCGCAATGGGCTACACATGAGTCGGCTAGCTCGAGTCAGGATCGCCTTGACTTTCAACAGCTCAAGCAGCGACTTCACAATGCAAATGCTACCCGGGGTACGTCTCTTCCCTTCAGAATTGAGTAGAAAACCCTGATCTGGACCTGTTACATAGGACCTGACGCCCAGCAGACGCGTCAGCTAGCTGTTGCAAACGATGGAGGCCTCCAGATGTATCTAGAATTCTTTGCGTCTGAGTTATGTCTGAGGGGCGATGCGTCTATCATACAGCCTCATGTGAACGAAGAGAGGGGTGATATGTTGTGCTGGAACGGAGAGGTACGCCTTGTTTGATTCAATTGTTTGCATTGTGGCTACTGAATCTAGCGCAAGATCTTCGAAGGTCTCAATGTAGGTGTCACTCATTGCAGGCTGCCATTCGGTTGATCAAAATATTCCGAACAGATCAGTGCGGACGAGAACGATGGTGTGAAACTATTCTCTTCATTCATCGGGCTTGAGAGTCCAGAGGATATTCCACAGCTTCTGGGAACGATTGAGGGGCCGTCAGTACCACTGTTCCCACTGTTAACGATCTCTCACTTTGCCATGCAGATACGCCTTCGTATACTATCATGTAGGACGCGATTCTCACTTGATTCGCGTTTATGACACTTAAGGGCTGATTTTATTTTGGCAACAGCATGCTTCGCGCCGCTTGTTCTTTGCTCGCGACCCTCTAGGTCGTCGTTCTCTTCTCATCCACAAGCCGTCAAGCATGAATCCGTATTTCTTGTTAGCCTCTGTATCCATCGGCAACCGTCCCGAATACGATTTGACAGAAGTATCAACTGAGTGTGTCTACGTGCTCGATTTAAATCGCCTCAGCGACTCGCAAGATGTACGTTCTCATCTTTGTACGATACTTTGGGAGAATATACTTAGAGCTTTTGATCCAGCCCGTATCACACTTTGGGGATAGTTTGCAAAGCATCTCACGTGTGCCCAATTCGAACACAAATTCCACATCGACCTTCGTACGTATTGTGCCAGGCGCTTAACGACGATGGTACTGACTTCTAGCCTTTGCAGGCTGAGCCGAGCCGAGTCAATCGTGTCCTACCGTCGTCAGGAGATTTACCAATGCTGCGGTCTCTCGACGAGATACCGAGCCATCTGAGGGCTGCTGTTGACGGCCTCATCTCTCATCTTAGTGAGAGCGTGATGCTTCATGTGCGTGATATTCCTTGGCGGCTGGCAAACCATGCGCAGTAAGTAGTAGTCTCAAAGCCCTATGTCATTCCGATTGACAGGTCGTTACAGGGTCAAGGGAGATGCTACGAATATCGCTCGTGTCGCTGTACTTTTCAGCGGGGGAATTGATTCCACCATTGTTGCCTATTTAGCACATAGGTGGGCTCTCATTGTCTGTGTTTTTCAGAAGTAGAGTTCAACGTAACCTGCCAGACACCTCCCTCTAGACGAACCGATAGATCTTTTGAACGTAGCATTTGAGAACCCACGCAAGCTACGGATACAGACAGAAGGCAATATCGGGGGTTTGAAGAAAAAACAGAAAAAGCAGAAGATGCGGGACAACGCCTCTGGGACAGTTCACGACGAAAAGTATAACCCAGATTATCTGGTTCCCGACAGAATGACTGGTTTGACGGAGGTTGAAGAGCTGCGACGTATATATCCTGGTAGGACGTGGAATTTTGTGCGTCTTTGATGCGGCTGATGGATAAATTGTACACTGAGCCGATATCACGCAGGTTGAGGTGGACGTTCCTTATGCAGAGTCCCAGGCCGCTCGCCCAACGGTTGAGGCCTTGATGTGGCCAGGACGGACAGTTATGGACCTGGTCAGTAACGCTCCCCTTTACAAGCTGCAGGCAGATTCATGGATTTTGATTTAGAGCCTTGCAATGGCACTGTACTTTGCAGCCCGAGGGGTGGGTCAAGTGCGGAGTACTGCCAGTGATGACCCAGTTCCTTATGCCAGTCCCGCCCGAGTGCTATTGAATGGGCTGGGGTCAGATGAGCTATTGGGAGGATATGGCAGGCATCGCACGGCTTTCCAAGCTGGCAGCTGGCAAGCAGTAATAGACGAGGTAGCATTTCCCGATTTTGGCTGTCAGGTCAGTATGGGTTGCCTGACTTTGAATGCAGTTGCAACTCGAGATAGACCGCATCCCAACGCGCAACCTTGGTCGAGACGACCGTGTCATCTCCTCTCACGGTAAAGAAACACGACACCCTTTCCTTTCCTTGAACGTCGTCGCGTTTCTGGCAGCCCTGCCAGTCCATATAAAAATGGATCCAAGGCTAGAACTTGGAGTAGGTGATAAGATGTTGCTGAGGTTGGCCGCGAGAGATGTTGGACTCGTGGAGGCCAGCGCTCGGAAGAAAAGGGCGATGCAGTTTGGGAGCCATTCGGCGAGGATGGAAGCGGGCGTGGGGGATGGGGGTGGACAATTGTTGCTCTCATGATTTTGGATGACATGCAACTGCTGTAGCATTTCTCTGAAACAAATAAATGTTGAGGAAAATGAGAATTGGTGAGTGCGGCCGGCAAGACGCGACAGCGCGTGACGTATTCGTGACCTCGTCTTGCAAGCGATTCCAGCTTGTACGGTACAAGCTCCTCAACGTCTGCCATGTCATTGTCTTCGACGATATCTCGGCTAGCAGGTATGGTTCTCAATACATGGCTGCGTCCGCCTTCGTGACATTGTTCCAAAGTTCCGGCCGCAGTTGCAGTCGCTCTGGTCCAGTCCAGTTTATATGATGTTCCTGGAGGCTACCGGGCTGTTATGTTCGACAGGTTCGCAGGGGTAAAAGAACGCGTACGTTACATATCTTGCTTTACCAGTGCATCTGAAGAAGATGCATACTGTATGGAACTAAGGACTCACCCTGTCTAGGCTACGGACGAGGGGACACATTTCTTGGTACCATGGTTGCAGCGTGCTATCCTCTACGACTGCCGTATCAAACCTAGAGTGCGTCATATCTGTCTTCAGCATCTCGGACAATGACTCAAAAAAATCCTTCTCACTCAGAACATTTCGACGACGACGGGCTCCAAGGATCTTCAAATGGTGTCAATCACACTTCGCGTCCTTTCACGTCCCGATGTCGAACACCTATCCAAAATCTACCAATCTCTAGGCCTCGATTATGACGAAAGGGTGCTTCCGTCGATTGGAAATGAAGTGCTCAAGAGTATTGTAGCACAGTTCGATGCAGCAGAGTTGATTACACAGCGGGAAGTGGTGAGTGTTAGACCAGTATCAAGGCGCTAAGTCTCCTTATTTTTTCACAGGTATCTTCGAGAATTCGCGCTGACCTGCTGCAACGCGCCGGGGAGTTTAACATCAAGCTGGAAGATGTTTCCATCACACATTTGACCTTCGGCAAGGCAAGAACTTTTCTTTGCTCATTCATGCATAATTCTAACAAGTGGTGAGTATAGGAGTTCACACAAGCCGTCGAAGCCAAGCAAATTGCCCAGCAAGGTACGTGCTAATACGGACACTTGATAGTCACAATACTGATAGACGCTCAGACGCTGAGCGTGCTAAATTCATCGTCGAAAAGGTACGAAGCACGAGCTCAATCCTCTGAAACGTGTCTCATTGGTTACTTGATTCCACAGGCAGAGCAAGAGCGGCAGGCTGCAGTCATCAGGGCTGAAGGAGAGGCTGAGGCAGCGGAGACCATTTCCCGCGCGCTGGACAAGGCCGGTGAGGCGTTCGTGGCATTCAGGAAGATTGAAGCTGCCAAAGCGATCGTGCAATCGCTGTCTGCGAACCGGAATGTGACGTATATTCCGAGTTCAGGAGGAAACGTGCTTCTCAATGTCCCGACGGACAGGAATGCGTAGTAGTGCGCGACTGTATTTACCGTAGGGATGTTCCCCGATGTACCTGCCCTAGTGCCGTTGTTCGGCATACTCGGAATGATAATCGCCACTTAACTGAGTTTCGGAGATAGCCGAAAGAGGTGCCTGAGGTTATGCTGACGATGTCTCTTGTTCGCCCTCGAAATACTGCTCCTCGTCGTCGTCTCTAGCGTCGCCGGTCTCTTTTCTCCTTTGTCTCTATTTTCTCTCTCTCCTCTCGTCCTCTCGTCCTCTCTCTCTTCCATTTTCTCCTCTCTCCTCTCTCTCTTCTGTCTCCTCCTAGGATTGACTTGTCTATTCTCAGTTTTTCGCTATACATCTTCCCGTGAGTTTCTGCATATCTATCCTAAAAAAGCTCTGACCATCATCCTTATAAGGTCTTACGTCTCTGTTATATCTTAAAGCATGAACTCGATGGGTCCTATGTCAGCGGCTGAGGCTCCTGTACGTGGATGTCTTTTCCTTTGCATGATTTTCCTGATTCCCTCTTGATTCATACATACCGCCATTCCTCCTCAAATCCTGTCCATGCGTCACAGAGGCGGGCCCATCTTTATGTTGGGAACTTGAGTCCTCGAGTGACAGAGTACATGCTCACCGAGATCTTCGCCGTCGCTGGTCCCGTCCAGCACGTTAAAATCATCCCTGACCGTAACTACCAGCATGGCGGTCTCAACTACGGTTTCGTCGAGTACATGGACATGCGCTCTGCAGAGACTGCTCTCCAGACCCTCAACGGTCGCAAAATTTTTGACACCGAGATCCGCGTCAACTGGGCTTACCAGGGTCAACAAAACAAGGAGGACACGTCTGGTCACTACCACGTCTTTGTTGGCGATCTTTCCCCAGAGGTCAACGACGATGTCTTGGCCAAGGCTTTCAGTGCTTTCGGCACCATGTCTGATGCTCGTGTCATGTGGGACATGAACTCTGGCAAGTCTCGTGGCTACGGTTTCCTTGCCTTCAGAGACAAGACCGACGCCGAACAAGCTATCGCCACCATGAACGGCGAATGGCTCGGGTCGCGTGCCATTCGCGTCAACTGGGCCAACCAGAAGACTCAAGGGGCACCCATGGCCAGCAGTCCCCGTCAGAGTGGGGCTGGCGGCGCCCCTGCTCCTATCAACTTCCAGGGTGGGCCACTCTCGTATGAATCCGTCGTCCAGCAGACGCCCGCATACAACTCCACTGTCTATGTCGGCAATCTTGTGCCCTACTGCACGCAGGCGGATCTTATTCCCTTGTTCCAGTCCATCGGCTATCTCTCTGAGATCCGCATGCAGGCCGATCGTGGCTTCGCATTCGTCAAGCTCGACACCCACGAGCATGCCGCTATGGCTATCATCCAGCTGCAAGGCCAGATGGTGCACGGAAGGCCTATCAAATGCAGCTGGGGTAAGGACAGAGCAGACGGAGGATCTGCCGCCGGCCCGCTTAGCCCTGCTCCGAGCGCCACGCCTTATGGCAACATGGTAAATCTTGCCCAATGTCATTCTTCAAGTAGTAACTCATTTTTACAGCCCGTCTACGGCATGCCTCAGCCTAACACCTATGGTCAATACGGCTTCGCAGGTTATGGCGGCTTCCCCAATCAAGGAGCAGGTGCTGCAGGTAGCCCAGTCTCTGCTGCCCCCGGGATGCCCCAGCCTGGTGCGGCTGGGGCTGGCTCGAATGTTGGCGTGGGCCAAGCGGCTGGTGGCGCCGACGCTGCCGCTGCAGCTGGACAGGGTGGTCAAGGCCAATGGCCCGCAGGCGACCCGAACTCCTACTACTCCAATTACTGGGGCGGTATGTCGATTGCTTCATTACCCCACAGGGATTCTAACGAGCTTTTCATCACAGGTTATTACGGTCAACAGCCCGGCGCTGGCCAGCAGGGTGCGGAACAGCAGGGCTCTTAATCACGCATCAAGCAATCGATTACATTCCTTGCATCGTGTCCGATCTTGCTATCTTTTTTTAATTGTAGCACTCGTTCCATCCAATCTCCCTCGAATTGTGCTATTACTCCCACGATTGAGGTACAATAGTCTCCTCTCATCTCAATGTTGCTGTCAGTGTTTCTCTACTTTTTCCCACCGACCTCCAATTTCTATTTCTCTTTCTATTTTCCAAGTGTGCTTTCATGTCTCCAAATGAAGAAATCGCTTCGTTGTTTTTCATATTTTGCTCGTGGTATCTTGCTCCTGATTTCGATCGACCACTCTCAAACGCCTTCTTCCCATCCCTTTTGTTCTAATTATTTTCGACGTGCTTTTCTCAATGGCTTAAATAGCCCACAAACATTGCAGTATGTGCTAGCGAATGTACTCATGTTCTGACATTCGAATAATGGCCAAAAGCGGTTCTGAGGCTTGACTAGCTTGTCTGTAAATGCCGCATAGGTAAAAATAAACCTTCCAACTGAGAGGATGCAATAGTAAGGTCGAAGTGATGCGCCATTTTGGTCAAATATGTTTAGGTCGAATAAGCGACCTAATTGTAGTCTCTAGGGTAAGAGAAAGTGTGCATGATTATTATTCGAAGTTGTGTTGAATATTGGGAGGAGATAACAATGGGTATAGAACTGACACGAAGAGCGATGGATGATATGGAGAACCAATTACGATGAGCTGCACAGAAGGACCTAGGACAAATGAAAATATAATAAACATATCTACTCATCGACGATTAGCCATTCGGCGTCAAGCTCACGCCCTTCTCCGGCTGAGATCTCATCCCATCCTTCCCCGCCGCCCCCCGCCCCTCCCCGTTCGCGCTCCCGTTTCCCGACACGCTACTCCGCCGCGAGACGCTGCGCGTGTCCACGTTCTCCCCCGCGTTGGACGTCGCCTCGGAGCCGTCGCGCCAATTGAGAACGGCCTCGTGTCGTGTGCGCATGTCCTGGTAGAACTCGTTCGCCTCGTTCATCTTGTTGACCTCGGCCTGTTTGGCGTCGAGCCAGCGCTGGAGGAGCTTCGCATTGTCGCGCGTGAGGTTCTGGTTTCGGTCCTCGATCTGGCCGAGCTCGAGTTGCAACGTGCTGATTTCGTCGTGTAGGATCTGAGAAGCGTGTCGGTTGAGGTGAGCGAGGCTGGGAACGTTGTAGATAGGATAAAGCTTACCTGTGCGGTCCGATCCTTCTCGGCCATGACCTCTGCGTGCTGGTCGACCTTGCGCCGTAGATTTGCGATCTCGTCTCGCGACTTTCTAAGAGCCTCTGAGTCTAATCGGGAGAGCTCCTCCTTTTCTCGCAAGGTCTCGTTCATAGCCAGTAGACGTTGTGCATTCTGGCCCTGCGTCTTGTACACCGTCGCCAGTTCATCACGAAGGGAGGATATTTGGGATTCTAGCGAGCTGATGTACGCGGCGCTAACGGGGTTCCTGTGCGATACAGCGTGAGCAGGGTTGCGAGGAAGGCCATGGGGTGCACGCTCACTCTTCTCCTGACCCTGGCACGAAGACGGTTGAGCTGCTGGGGTTCTGCTTGACGCTCGCGACGGCTCTGAGCAGCGACGCATTTCTCTCCTTGAGCAGCTTCGTCTGCTGGGCCAACCTGCGATCTTCTCGACGTGAGATCGGTGTCAAGTGCACAGCGCCCGTCGCAGTCCATGTTCAGCGTGTCTGAAATGTGGGGCCAACGGGGGGGTGGAACGTACACTGCTCGATGATGGGCGCGAACGCTGTTTCTTTGGCATTCCGCTCGGCGAGGCGGAGGCGGAGGAGCTCCTGCCATGCTGGTTCTGCCATGCCAGCAAGGGGTGATGGGGAGATGGAGAGATACCTCGAGCAGGCCTTTGGAATGGAATCAGGCTCACGCTCTCCTCAATCGGCTGCTCCCGCCAACCGTCCTGCTCGGGCCCTCGGACACCATCCCTTTTTGCGTTGGCGGGTGGGCGGCGTTGCACGCTTATTCACTGGCTCATGTCATTTCCCAATGTGTGCTGCAATCCCTGACGATGATATCAAGTTTGAGAAATATTTGAGTCTTTTTCCTCGGCCGTTCGATACATGAGCTATCTACGAATGCGCACGTCGCTCCCTATCAGGGTGTCCCCGGTAAAGACGCAGGCGGTATCAACTGAAAGACATGAATCGGCATTGCTCAGCGATAGTGCCCAGTAATAGGTAATAGATCCAGACGACTGAAAGCTGGAACCAGTAACAAAGTATTTCGTCGAGAAACCGCAGGAGGTCCGGAACCGTGCCTCCTTATCCAGGACGCCGGCGTTACGGAATCGACGCCGTCCACGCCGGTGACGCCACAGAGACAGACCCGTGCAGTTGCCATTCAAGTACCCGTCTTTGCTCCTGCGCTCGTTGTCCCTCCTCACATTTCCCAATTTTGTTCAATTACCCTCCCTTTCGACGACTACAATCATGGGCCGAGTGCTGCTCAAGGTTTGTCCGCCGCATATACAAGCGGCGATGCGAAAGGCTGACGTAGCGACGTCGTACATAGGTTATCATATTGGGCGACAGTGGGTGCGTCTTGTTCGCAGCGCGTCGAAAGGCTACACGGTCTCTGTGACGCTCACAAAACTACCCGTTGGTATCTCCCAGGGTCGGGAAGACGTCGCTCATGAATCAGTATGTCAACAAGCGATTCAGCAACCAGTACAAGGCCACTATCGGCGCTGACTTGTGCGTGCCAGTGCTCTTTCATCTCAAGTTTGAACCTAATAATCCATGGTCTCGACATCACTACAGCCTCACAAAGGAGGTCATGGTAGACGACCGCCTTGTGACTATGCAGGTTCGTCGCGGCGGGTCACCTTGTCTTCATCATCCTCAATCGAGTCACTCACTCGATCTCGCGTAGTTGTGGGATACTGCTGGCCAAGAGCGCTTCCAGTCCCTCGGCGTTGCATTCTACCGTGGTGCAGACTGCTGCGTGCTCGTGTACGACGTGAACAGCTCCAAGTCTTTCGAGACTTTGGACAGCTGGCGCGACGAGTTCCTGATCCAGGCCAGCCCTCATGATCCCGAGAATTTTCCTTTCGTTGTCCTCGGAAACAAGATTGACATGGAGGAGAACAAGAGACAGGTGCGGCGGCCCTCGCGTGAAAAAACTCACGTACCGGAGAGGCGATGCTCATGCTGTGTCGGCACGTTCATCGTGTGTTCGATCAATAGGTGACGCAGAAGCGGGCAATGACGTGGTGCCAGTCCAAGGGCAACATCCCTTACTTTGAGACCTCGGCAAAGGAAGCCATCAATGTGGAGCAGGCTTTCCAGACGGTCGCCAAGAACGCACTCCAACAGGAGGCGGAGGAGCAGCTGTGCGTTGCGTTTCACTCCCGTCTCTCTTCTCATCTGCGTCTGCTTGTGACCTGACACGCCGGCGGTATGGCAGGTACGTCGACTACCCCGACCCAATCAAGATCAACGCAGAGTCGTCACAGTCCTACGGCTGCAACTGCTGATTCGCGTCGCCCGGCAACCGTTTACCCGCCTCGTTCTCTATTTCACGACTGGGCGCCGTTCGCCTGTTTATACGCCTCCCTCCCACGCCCCCTCACTGTCGGTGCCAGGTGTTGACGTCCCCTATACCCTGGCTCAACCTCCGTCACAGTAGTAATGTAATGTCCATATCATACTGCTTGTTCACGATCTTTGTACATTCTCGTATACGCAATCTGCTTTATAGGAAGGACTACGAGTCGCTGCATTGACTTGTATATTTTTGTTGTTGTTCCCTTCGTCCGCATGAGATCCAAGCGTGGTGGCCAGACAAGAGCCACGCGGGCTCCGTCTGAGACTGCTGGGCGGAACTTGGGAGCAGAGGACAACACGGGGGCCTCCACGTGACGCACGCGTTCCGGCCGGACTCCCGAGCGGCTTCGGCTTTATGCAAAGGGGTTGTATGTAAGTCGCGGACGGCTGAGAGTTTCTCGCCAGCAGGAGTCATTGCACACACTCACCCTATCGCCCTTATCTCTCCGCGCACGCTCACTCACACTCACCCATGGCTTTCTCACTACGAGCGCACCATGCGCGAACGCTGCTGCTGCTCAAGGGGCCGTCCTGGGCCGTCGCGAGTCGCACCCTGAGCACGCGCTGGGACTCGAGCGCCGCGGCCCGCGTGCTGGCGGACATCGACGTACGTCTATTCGATGCTGGGGCTCGGTAGCGCCGCCCGCGATGCTCACGCCCGACGTGCGCCCTCGCACGACGCAGCCCGCAAAATTGCAGATCGAGAGGACGACCGCGCCCAAGCCGCTCCCGCCGTCCGCGAACCTCAAGTTTGGGCACAATTTCGTGAGTCCCCCCGCGCGTCGATTGTGGCCGATGGGCGACGGGACGGGCTGCTGAACGGCGTTGAGCACAGACGGACCACATGTTGACGATCCCGTGGACGCAAAAGGAGGGCTGGGCGGCGCCCAAGATCGTGCCCTGTACGTCCCCCGCCGCCGTCGTTCCTCACTCCCCACCCCCAAGCGAGCACCCGCTGACGATCGGCGCGCGCCGCGACAGACGGGCCGCTCAGCCTCGACCCCAGCTGCACCGTCTTCCACTACGCGCAGTGCCTCTTTGAGGGGCTCAAGGCGTACCGCGACGCGAGCGGCAGGGTCACGATGTTCCGTCCGGACATGAACATGAAGCGCATGAACCGGAGCGCGCAGAGGATCGCGCTGCCGGTACGCCCCCCTCGCACGCTCTTCCACAGCCGACCGGTGACCCTCGGCGCCGCGCGCCATGACAGACGTTTGACGGCGACGCGCTGCTCGAGCTCCTCAAGCAGCTCATCCGGCTCGACAAGCACTGGATCCCGCAGGAGAAGGGCCACAGCCTCTACATCCGCCCCGTGCTCAGTACGTCGTCCGCACCCCCGCTCATGTAGCTCCCCCGCGCGCTGTGAGATGCTGAGCGAGCGTATGCGCGCCCCGCAGTCGGCACGCAAAACACGATCGGCATCACGCCGCCCGACTCGGCGCTGCTCTACGTGATCTGCAGCCCCGTGGGGCCGTACTACCCCGACGGCTTCAAGCCCGTCGCGCTGCACGGCACGACGGAGCACGTCCGCGCGTCCCCAGGAGGTGCGCCCCCCTTCCGCCTCTTCTCCCCGCCCCGCCCCCTCCTCTGCGCCCGTCGCCGCGCTAACCTGACCCGTGCGTGCGTGCGCGCGCAGGCACGGGCGAGTTCAAGATCGGCGCGAACTACGCGCCGGGGATATACCCGCAGAAAAAGGCCGCGCACCTCGGGTACGTGCAGAACCTCTGGCTGTACGGCCCCGAGCACAACCTGACCGAGGTGCGTCCCCCGCGCGCGTCGTCCCGCCCGAGATACTGACCGCCGAGCCACGCGCACATGCACACACGCACACGCACACACGCACGCACGCACGCACGCACGGCAGGTCGGCACCATGAACCTCTTCGTCGTCTTCCGCCGCGACGACGGCGCGCTCGAGCTCGTCACCCCGCCGCTAGACGGCATGATCCTCCCGGGCGTCACGCGCGACTCCGTGCTCTCCCTCGCGCGCGCGCACGCCTCCGGCGCACACCCCCTGCCCTCGCTCCCGCCGAACCTCGCCGTCTCCGAGCGCGGCGTGACGATGCGCGAGGTGCGCGCCGCGGCGCAGGCGGGGCGCCTCGTGGAGCTGTTCGGGACGGGCACGGCGGCGGTCGTGAGCCCCGTGGACCGGATCGGGTACGAGGGCGCGGACGTGGAGATCCCCGTTGCGGCGGACGGGATGGGCCCCGTCTCGCGCGCGCTGTGGACGGAGCTCGTCGGGCGGCAGATGGGCGAGATCCCGAGCGAGTGGAGCGTCGTCGTGGATTGACCGCGCGCGGCTGTCGTACTGTAGGCATGGGGATCTTTATTTTGTTTTTGTTTTTACGGGATGTCAGTGCCGGCCAGCTATTACCGCTGCTACATAATAGGAACGGGGTGCTCAGCGCTCAGCGCTCATCGCGCGGTGTGTGGGTAAAATTGTCAGTGATCGTGAGATCGTGATTTATGGATAAATACGGAATATACGGGGCGGGACCACCATTTTCTCTGCCTATACGTGCGTGCGATGTGAGAGTGTACGTGTACGTGTACGTGTGCGTGTTGCGTGCGATGGGATGTATGGTATATATGCGATGTGCGACACTGTGCGATAAAAGCGCGTGCGTGCTCGGCGTCCCGGTCCTGTCGGCGGCGCGCCGTACGTCGGACCCGCCAAGCTGCCAAGCTGCCTCGGGACCTTGCACCGACCGACCGACCGAATAAAAAAAGAATGGATGTTCACGGAAACCGAAACCACGTCCTGCGGGCTCTGCGGTCCTCATACATACGTACGTACGAAGGAGGGGGGGGGCGTATGTACAGGTCCGCCGCACCTCACGACGAGCGCGCGGGCGACGCGGGTGTGGAGCCGGCCGTGGACGGCCTGCGCTTCTTCGGCCTGCGCGCAGCGTCGGGGAGCGAGAAGGACGACGGCGGGAACGACGGAGAGTCCGACGCGCTACCGGCGGCGCTGGACGCGTTGAAGTTTGTGCTGCTCGCGAGCGCGTCCGCCGAGTAGAGCGAGGGCATGCGCGGGACGGGCTCTTGCTGCTGCTGCTGCTGCTGCTGCTGACGGGGAGAGCCGCTAGTCGAGTGGCGCAGGCGGGAGGTCGGGGGCGGGTTCGACGAGCTCCGGCGGGGCGGCGGTCGCGACGCGGGCACGTCGGCTATCGAGGCGCCAAAAAAAATGAAAGACATACACACACGCACACACGCACATGCACGCAAAAAAAAAAAAAAAGAATCAGGGCCCAGAGTTCAAGCACGTCTGCGGGAAGCACTCACCCGCAGCGCCGCGGCGGGCCTCTGCGCTCGCGCGGGCGCCCGCCTGGGCGGTGGTGCGCGCGACCATGACCCACTTGTCTGTGAGGCCGACGGCGACGGGCGGGAGCCTGTCGCTGCTCGCGCTGGCGAGGGTGGACATGGAGGCGGCGTGTGCGCCTGCGAGGATGTACGGGTAGACCTCGGGGGCGAGCGGGGCGGGCATGACGAGCTGGACGTGGTTGTGCGGGGCGTGCGGGGCGGCGCGGACGGCGACGGAGCCGGAGTGGGAGGTCGTCGTGGAGAGGGTGGAGTAGGGGCGCGGGCGGGGGCGCGGGGAGGGCCGGGCGGTGGGGTGGGAGGCGGAGGCGGGGAGGATGGCGGTGGGGGACGCGGAGCGGGTGGGGGGCGCTGTCGCGGGTGCGGAGGCGAGGGAGGAGTTTGAGCGGCTCGGGGGGTAGAAGGAGGGGACGGGGGGCGCGAGCGGGCGGGCGACGGCGTCGGAGGCGTTGGGGGAGAGCGGGGACATGTCGTCTGAGCCGTCGGCGGTCTCGGTGTTGAAGGAGCTCTGGCGCAGCGGGGGGCCCTGGCCGTAGAGGAGGGAGGCTGCGCTGGCGGCGGGGTGGAGGCGGGGGCGGGAGGGGTCCTTGTACTCTGCGAATGCGGCGCGGGTGTGCTCGCGGCGGTGGGCGAGGGGCTGGACGGGGGGCAGCGGTGCGGCGCTGGTGCGGCGGGTGCAGCGGCCGCGGAGGAGGCGGGCGAGGAAGGCCACGAGGGCGAGGGCGACGAGGGAGGCGACGACGGCGACGATGACGGTTGTGGTGCGGGATAGCTTTGGGGAGGACGGGTCTGCGCGCGGGGCGAAGCGAGAGAGGGTGCGGGTAGTATTATACATGGCTGTACTGTGGGCGGGCTAGGGAGCGGCAGAAAGGGAGCGTGCTAGTGCATCAGGTGCAGATAAATATCGAATGGGCGGGTGTGTGGCTAGGGCGGGCGGGGACAGGACGCTAGCGTTCACCCGTGATGCGGAGATAGACGAGAGGAGAGAGAGGACACACCGAGCGGGCACCCATCTGCTGACGTCAGTCACCGCCTGCGCCCCGCCATGCCCGCCTCCAGGGCAGCCCCGCCCCGCCCGTCCCCCTCCCTCGCATCCTCCACCCGCTCCGCAAAGCCCCAGCCGCCTCCCAGCCCCGCCCCGGCACTCCCCGCCACCCTCGCAAAGCGCCTCCTCTTCCCCCACCTCCCCCCAGGCACACCCATCCCCCCCCTCCTCGCCGACCCCGCACTCGACGCAGAGCTCTACGACTTCCTCGCCCTCGCCCTCCGCGCCTTCGTCACCCCCTGGTGGTCCAAGATCACCCGCTACGACAAGGAGTTCCTCCCACACATCACACACATCCTCTCCGCAGTCCTCCGCGCACTCGACGCCCGCATACGCGCCACGGACCCCGCCCCCCTCCTCTGCCGCCACGTCCCCGCCCTCCTCGCACAGCACTACGACGACTACCGCGCAGCCGCACGCGACCTCCACTCCTCCCGCGCCCAGGCCGGCGCCCTCTCCCTCCCCGCCCTCTTCCACGCCCGCCAGCAGCACATCGCCGTCAGCCCCGATGGTGTCCTCGACGAGCTCTACGTCCGCACAGTCCTCGACGCCGTCCTCAACGCCTGCCTCCCCGCCGAGGACTGGGACGCGGAGCCAGAGCGCTACATCGTCCGCGAGATCGTCCTCCACGTCGTCTGTTCCTCCGTCGTCCCCAAGATCACCCAGCCATGGTTCATCCACAAGTCCATCTTGGATCTCCTCGGCCCCGAAGTCGCCCCGCTGACCGACGTCAAGGTGCGTCCTCTGTCGAGTGTCCGTCCGTCAGTCTGTCCGTCAGCGTGTCAAGTCCACGTCTGCGCGAAGAGGCCAGCTGCGCTCCCGTGCTGCATCCTTCGTCCCTTCTGTTCCCACCATGACGTCCATTTTCATTTTCTTGCTTTTTTGCATTTCACATTGCACGACTTCGCGCCCGTCCCATGCCCGCGCTCCCTACGTCATCCGTCGCTGACCGCTGCCCGTGCAGCCTCCAGAGCAGCTCCTCCTCTCCCCCGCCCCTTCCATCCCCGACCCCGCCAGCTCTACCCCCGCCTCCGGGCTCCCATCCCTCCACACCCTCCTCGTCTTCTTCCTCTCCGCCGTCCAGTCCGTCTCGACCGCCGCCCTCACCCTCGTCCACCTCTACAAGCAGACCCTGCACACCATCCAGCAGGTAAACCAGTCTTCGCGCCCGCCTTCGCCCGGACCTGCGCCTGCCCTTGGAGTCGTGCCGTCGCCCCCGCTGTCCCGTGCGCAATCCGATCGGGCCGCCCCTGGCTCTCTCTCTTTGCCTTCCTCTCCCCCACTACCACCGCCGCCAGAGCACCCCTCCATCCCCCCTCTATCCAATCCATCACCCACCCCTGCTTTCTGTACCTCCCCACTGTCCACCTCGCACGCCCCTCTACCCCCTCTCTCCCCTTCTCCACCCCCGTCTCTCTCCCCGTACTCCTCTTCTGCGCCCTCCCCGCAGCCCTCTCCATCGCCCGACGCCCCCCTCTCGTCTTCACAGCAGCCCCATGACCTCGCCCGCGCACCGCTCGCCCTCCTCGCCACGCTCTTCTCCCTCCGCGACCGCTTCGCCGGCGCCGCCCTCCTCGCCCTCCTCAGCATGCTCGCCGCCGCCTGCGGGCCATTCCTAGACCGGTGCGTCCCCGCCCACGCCGCACCGCACCGCACCGCGCTCGCTGACCCCCACGCACGCCCAGCCTCCTCCCGTACCTCCTCCGCACGCACGTGTTCGCGCCCGCGCGCATCGCGGGCACCGTGTCCGCCGCCAAGCGCGCGCTCTTCCCGGACGGATACCCCGCCGCCGCCCCGCCCGACCCGACGCCAGACGAGCAGCGCGCGCTGCGCGCCGCGCTCGTGCGGCGCCTCGCGGGGACGGTGCCCGGTGAGCCCGCTCGCCTCGCCTCGCCTCGCCTTGGCTTTCATTCTCATTTTTTTTTACCCGCGTCTGCGCCCCGCCCCAGCCGCGCTCGCGCCCGTCCTGCTGGGCGCGACGCCCGCGGACCGCGCGCGCACGCTCGATGCGCTGCTGGACCCGCTCGCGTCGCCCGCGTGCAACACGCACCTCGTCGTCATGCTCCTCGACTGCGTCCTGCTCGCGCTCTTTCCCGAGCTCGGCGTCGGCGGGGCTGGCAGCGTGGGCAGCGGCCAGGGTGGCCAGGGCGGGCAGGGCGGACAGGGTGGGCAGGGCGATGGTGGGCATATTGGTGAGGGCGCGGCGTCGGGTGACGGGTCGGGGTCTGGTGCGTGAGCGGCCAGGAGCGGGCCTACGAATGTACTACAAATAGTAGCACGACGACTTGTCACGCGTGTTTTGATGTCCTCCCGTGCTTGGACCGTTAACGAAGCTGATTGTATGCGTGCATATGCACGCTACACGTGAATGGCTCACAACAAGGTGGACGAAGAGAACGGCGGGGGACCCGGGCACGGGACATCAATCGCTAATAAAAAAACAGACCCCGGACAAGGGACACGACGACGACATACAGACGAACAAACAAAGAAACACGAGACGGGGGATACAAATTGAGATATCTAGATGCGATCACCCTGCAGCTGCTGCACGGACCCGGCGAGGCTCGAAGGCCTTCGAATCCCCTCGCCCCTTCCGCCCTACGCCCCCACGCCCCACGCCACGGGCCCGCACCTCCCCTCGCCCTCGATTCCGTCATACCGGAGCCACGATCGCCCGATCGCGTCGCGTCCGCCCTTGGCGCCCACTACAAATACCAACTCACAGCTTGAACGCGGAGCGCGGGAACGCGAGGCGCGCGGCCGCGGCGGCGTCGACGAACCACACGAGCTGGCCGGGGCTCGCGGGGCGCACGCGCGCGGCGGGGAGGCCCTCCTCGGGCGCGTCGAGCACGCGCGCGAGCACGTCCGCCTTGCCCGCGCCCGCGGCGACGAACGCGACGCGCGCGGCGTGGTTGAGCACGGGGAACGTGAGCGTGACGCGGCGCGCGGGCGGCTTCGGGCTGTCGGCGATGTGCGCGACCCAGCGCGCGTCCTCGGAGAGCAGCGCGTGGCCCGGGAAGAGCGACGCGGTGTGTCCGTCCGGCCCGAGGCCGAGGAGGACGAGGTCGAAGACGGGGAAGCGCGCGGCGTCGCGCTGGGCGAACTCGCGGACGAGCTCTTGCTCGTAGGCGTCGGCGAGCTCGTCGAGGTCGCCGAGCAGCGTGGCGTCGATCGGGTGGATGTGCGCGGCGGGGATCGGGACGTGGCGGTAGAGCGCCTCGGAGAGCGCGCGGTGGTTAGAGTCGGCGTGGTCGAGCGGGACGGCGCGCTCGTCGGCGTAAAACACTTGCCTGCGCCGCGCGCCGAGGAAAAAAAAAAGGAAACGAAAAAAAAAAAGGTCAAGCGGTGCGCGAGAAAGAGGGGGCCGGCGGCGTGCGCAGACAAAACGGACCATTTGTCCCACTTGATGCCGGGCTTGCCGACGAGGGCTGCGAGGGAGTCGGGGAGGGAGCCGCCGGAGATGGCGACGGTGAATCTGCCCTTTTTCTCGAGGGACTCTTTCTGCGCCTTTAGGACATAGTCGGCGAGGGCGGCAGAGAGGGCGTCTGGGTCGGGAAAGGCGTAGACGGTGGGGGGGTGTGCGGCGGGGTGCATTGTCGGCGAGGACGTACGATGGGGGCGATGACGATAATGTGAAGATTGGCGGGTGAGATTACAGTCACAATATGATGGGGCACTGCAATGCTTGCTCCAATTCAAAGCCACCGACGCGCGCGGGCCCTTTCCACGGCGATGACGTCTTCCCCCCCCTTTCCGGCTACTCACACACAGCAAGACCGTACGCTACCGTACGTCCAGTCACATCAAGTATATTTCACAAGTCCCCATTGTCATGCCAAAACGAATCGAATCAACGATGCAATGAACAACCCGGTGCGAACGACGAAGAGAAGAGCCTAAAAGGAGAAGAGAGTCAGGAGATCATGGCATGAAGCGGGGCAAGCCCCAGGCATAACACTGTACAGGGGCATGAGGGAGGGCACAAAACACAGCGGACCATTACTTATCATACATAGGAATAGTAGAAAGAATGCGGCCAGATTCATTAAACTGCACCGTAAAATATCGTCTTACATTTCTTCGTCTTCGTCCCCGACGATGGTACGCGCCTGCGCACCGCGAGGTCATCTTGTCTGTATGCTTCACTCCCCTTTCGCGTCACGCTTTCCCAACGCCGACCGTGCCCGTCCCCATGAGCGTCTCCAAACGTTCTTCCAATCCCTGGCCGAGGCCCTCGCGCTCCCACTCACCCCCGACGTCGTCAAACAGTCCCTCGCGCCCCTCACGCACATCGCCGCCGCCATAGTAACTGCTGCGCCGGTCGCCGTGGATGCTCGACCCGGCGGAACCCGCGTGCATCAGCGGCACGCCCAGGACGGAGGGCAGGTGCGGCGGCGGATCGGACACAGACGTCGTGAACGAAGAGAGCGGAAGCGTCGAGGAAGGCGTGCTGGACAACAGGTCGTTGTACGACATGAACGAGAGGCGCTTGGTGTGCGCGCGCGGAGAAGGTGGATGCGAGACCGTGGCTGAGGGCAAGATGGACGAGGGCGAACTGGCCATTGGCACGGCATCGGAAGGATCACTCGTGATGTGTGTTGGCGTGAGCAGATGCTCGGGCGGATGTTCGCGCGTCGTGGTGGTAGGAGAGGAGGCAGAGGATGAAGATGGCGAATAGTACGTGGATGTATGCACCGAAGACGGAAAAGCACCCGGCGGGTATGGACCAGAGCTGGTGGTCAGTGTGCTGGTCGCGCTGGCGAATTGCTGCGTCAGCACCGTAGGCCGCTGTGGGGGTGATGACGATATCGTGGAAGCGTTATTCGATACAAGCGGGAGAGGGAGCGATAGACTTGGGCTGGGACTGGGCAAGTTCATCATCGCGCTCGCTCTATTTCCGCCCAAGGCCCCTATCGGGCTGGGACTACGGCTGTTCATGCGCGATGACGTGCTCCCGAACCTACTGAGTCCTCCTAAATCCGTCGCGGGTGCGACGATGGAAATGTTCTGCTCTTCAGAAGGAGAAGATGTGGATGTGAGTACGGCAGCGGCGGAGTCGAGCACGGTTGGAACGGAGTGATCAAGTTGTTCTGTCATTTTACCGCGGGGCGTCCGATGCGGATGCGATGGTTGCGGGGGAGTGGGGGAGATGGGCTCGATATCTCTTTCGAAGATGGCAGAAGACGACGAGTGGCTATACAAAAGATGGAGATCAATCACAAGAAGCTGCAAAGCGATACCGAGTTGTGAGATGATAGTGTCTATGTCGCGTTTATCCCCTTTGAACGCAGCAATTACCATGACAATCCTTGAGCAAAAGACAAGGACTGCATAGCGTTTCTCATGTAAATGCTGCAGACAACCGGGAGGGCGGGGACGGTATCATACGACAAAGCAACTCATCACGCCATCGCGAGGAGGTGATCAAAGTCAAACAGCGGACTTACACAGATGTGGGAGATGAAGGTATTGAAACTGGCGAGCGCGAGCCAAGGCGATGTTGCAGACCCTGAGATGCACGAGTGGTGAGTCGGTGGTCGCGATGGGAGTCCTTCTGCGGGGAGAGGGCCCCGTTAGAGGTAATGTGTCTCAGTTCTGACGGTGGGGAACTACGTGCAGCAGGAGAGACTGGACCGAAGATAGTGAGCATCGTGTAAGTGGGGTAGCAATAAGCGAGGGGCATATATAAACTTACGGTGAGTAGGGTTGGAAGGGGAGGCCATGTCTGAGGACTGGAGAAAACGGCTGGATGTAGTCGTTGGGTTGGAGAAGGAGAAGAGGGTCCTTGTTTGGTGGCAGCCCTTCCTTCCGGCCGGTCGCACGGTCCCCTCCGGTATTTGCCTCCGGTACGCGACGTCATTTCCCCACGCCCTCCAGGGCCTGCTTAGCAGTCATCGGTCCTACACTCCTACACTGTGCACGCCATGTTTCCTCCCCGTCCAACAACCCGCGCTTTCCTCGGTGCATGCTTTCGCAGATACGCGACCGTCGAGTCGCCTGTCATCGTCGCCAAGCCCCCGCCCCCTCCACCAGTGCCCGAAAGCGTGGTGCATTCTGCACTCGACAGCGTCGTGCTGAACACACTCGCCCACCAGCCGTCCGGCTCGCGCACGAGTCTCCCGCAGCTCGTTCAGCAGTACCTCGAGCGCTCTGGCCGCGTGCTCGACCAGCAATTACCCTACGAGCCCCAGCCCTCCCAGCCGCGTCGCGTCAACTTTGACGCTAGCCAGTCTGAGGACAGAGGCGTCCATTTGATCGCGCACTGCGTACAGGAAGGCAATCGACACAAAGTGACCCTTTCTTCTGGCTTTGCTTTGAACGCACCTGGAGACCACATGAATGAATCTGTCATTGTCACATGTGCTCATACACTTGAGGAGGTACGTGCCTAGTTGTAGGATCATGTAGCCCCGTTTGCGCGGCGCGCTGATACAGCAGTAAATTTGACACAGATACGATGGTCCCCTCTCCTAGTTTTACCTCCAGGCTCGCAACCCTTCTTGGCGCCCCCTGATCTGCCCGGCGCCCGCTCCTCCGGCACTGTTGTCTTATCTGGGACGCCCACGGGTCCAGCTCTTCACCCGGTCACTGCTGTGCTCTCCTCTTTACATCGCTCCGACCTCCTTCTCCTGTCTAGGGCTGGGCCCTCCATACCACCATTACCAGTATCCCCATACCCTGCTAAGCCAGGGACAATTGTTCGCGCACACTTTTTCAGCGATGTGCGGCCGCAGGGCGAAGACGGGGAAGGGTGGGTGCCCTGGATAGGTGGGTCGTGGGTCAAATGGGTCAGAGGCACTGTCCTTGGCTACAGAGACTTTGCGGGACGGGAAGCGCAGGTGCGTCCGGAGCCTTTCATTTCCGTATGTATCGCTAGGGCCTCATACAATCACTCGAACGATCTAGCCAGGAACGTACGACAGCCTCTCACACATGCTCTTCAAGCCCCCACCTACAGCGGGATCGAGCGGCGGCCCTATTGTTGACGAGGAAACGGGAGCAGTCGTCGGCGTCATGCTTGGAACAAGGATGGATAATAGGGTAGAGGGCGTTCGTGGCTGGGGCGTTCCGGCTGAAGCTATCTTCGAGGTACGTCCTACTTTTACACCGATGTGTCTCCTGGTGCACCTCAGACGTCACTCGGATAGATGTTCTCGCTCCCTGGTTTAAATCTCAAGCGGTGAACGCAGTTTCTTGTTAGATATCGACGAAGCTAAAGTATCGCTAACGCTCCCCCCTCCGGTGATTTGTGCAGTCTGTGTGCTTGATTTGTCCTCTCGTTCTGCTTTCGATCTACATAGAGGGTTGTAGAGTCCACGCTATTCTTTTCGACGTTTTATAATTATTCATAGATAGAGTCTCTGCGATGCATCATAATCATTTGTGTGTTCCCTAACGCGGGAAAGCCGGCTCATTCGAGTGGTCAGATGTCGCCTGATGTCGCCAAGGTGAGGCATATATCCCGGGGTCTGGGGTCCTGCGGCCATACAACGACCAATGGCATAATTTCGGACAGCTAAATTCGCTCACCGTCTTCTCGGCGCGGTATAAAAGCCTCACGCAGCAACCTGTCCTTGGCTTGTTCCCTCTCTCCTCGCCTCTCCCTTCCCTCATGGTCTCCCTCTCACTCGTCCTCCCCTTCCCAAGCTCTCTTCTCTACTTCTTCTAGCTGGGTTGGGTTTCCTGCCCTTTGGAGACGTACTCGACTCTACTGTTGGCCCGTTCGCCGTACGGGTCATCTGCGCACCCTCTGTCTCTCTTCAGTCTCGCACTTATCATGATGACCTAGGGCCTTCTAGATGCTTTGTCGAACTTCGGTACCTACGTTCGTTCCACATTGAGTGGTCTTAACCCCCTCCGCAGATCTCACTTACGCCTCTGATCTAGTATGTCTGTCTCGTCGATTCTGTCTTCTTTTTTTGGTCTACCTCGCATCTTTTCCTCGACCATCTTCACGTCCAAACTTCGACCCGGATGTCGTTGTCTCTTGTCATAAGGGCTTACAGCGTTAGGCCTGGTATTTCTTCCTCTCACCGCACTAGTTACCATTCCATCGTTTCCTCATCATGCCATCCCATACCTTTTTGTCTCCCTCCTTGCCGCCGCCTGCCCCACCGACGATGTCCTTTGCCCATTGCTATGCGATGATACACCGGCCCGAGCGCATCATCTGTTCCCACGCCGACCACTCCGCAGGCACAATTTCGCCCTATCGAACGTGTCAAGGATGGAAAGCGCCGCGCTCGGTTACGTGGGACGGGGTCGGGCAATGTGACATTCTACGATGGCTCGGGGAACGCACGCTGATGGCTCGGGAACTTCTGGAAAATCTCCGACGTTTACGGCTGCTCATCGCTCTGGCGGTCGGGGATGGCTCGTATGGGAGTGGTCGTGACGCCGCTGCGGGCTTTGTGGTCTTGTTTGTGCGCTTCTGGGCAATGAGGCGCCAGGTGTTAGGTATGGCCCATGTTGCGTTTGTCTGGACGGCTTATCACTGAACTGTATCAGACATGATCAAGTATCACCTGGACGGCATGCTCGGCGTTGGGTCACTTTCGGGTCCACCACGTCATACTGGAAGGATTTCAGTCAGACTTCTGCTTCAGAATGGCCTTTCTTGGTGCTGTCCGTGCCTTGGCAGGACGAAAGTGGATTCACAAATTCTGATTCATTTACTGCTCGGATCTGTGTCACTATCGTCTCATCACTCCTTGCATAGCGCTTGTTAGGATCACCTTGGGTGCCTTATCCATTCTCGGTGCCATTGTTCTGGATATTGCACGAGAATGTATGCTGTTGTATAGTGTTGTATGCGACGTTCAATAGAAGTTGGTGATTTTGCAATCAGGACACATTGTAGCCGTACGCTTGATAGATTGAGCCTACCCTTGGGAAACGCACTAGGAGCTTGAAGCAATCTCACCTTCAGTTTCCCGCATGCCTTACAATCCTCGACCTGCGCAAGCCCGGCTGTAGTCAAAACAATAAACGACTGCTTCCATAAAATATCCCTCACCCAACTGTAAAACGTTCAAATTAGGGTGTCTGCGACGATTCTGCGTCGGTCCAGCTGCTGGGAATGTGATGCTGACTCATGTGGTGCATCTGTTACAGTCACGGTACGGGTGACGAAGAGCAAACAGTCTGCTTGACGGCATTCAACCTAGTCGGCGACGCCGTCGACACCTACAATTTACCTCTCCTACTCCTTACGATTCCTTAACCTCCTTATACTCCATATAATTTGCATCCTGACATGCTCTTTGACCCTTCCACCGCGGACCACTTGAAACCATGGCTAACGAAAACTTTAGAACCAATGTCTGTACCCATTTACTGATTCATTCGGCTCTTCGGCGACTGACAACCATTCAATCGCGATATTTCAGATGCGATGCTGAGCCAGGCGCCCTGGCCGACTATATATTGGCCCTTCTCAAACACAATGCTCCGGAGATTGAATTGCGGAAGGAATTGGCTTCGCAATTGGACGAGTTTCTCGAAAAAGGTGAGTACCGCGAGGCCGTCGCGAGCCAGAACACGAGACAAGCTTGTTTGACAGAAGGACCGTCGTTCATCGATATGCTGTTCACAACCCTGCGCACAAAGTCATACCTTCCATATAGCACATCATCCCCACCCAGCTCTTCTCATGCTCCAGTCGACAACGGCATCCCCATCCCTCTTGATGCTTTTATGTCCCCCTCCATGTCTACGTCACCAGAACGAGGCCGAAAACGCAACATGGAGTATGATGACCGCGATGGTCGGCCAGCGAAAGGCCCACGACTAACCCACGATGGACAATACGCCGGTTATCCAAGGGGACACGACAATTGGAGCAACGGAGGCTACGGAAGGGGCGGTAGAGGACGTGGAGGTGCGTATGGCGGAGCAGACATGGGTATGGATGTGAACATGGGCGGGATGGGCATGAATGGGAGAGGACAGCAGCAATATCGTCCACCAGATCAGAAGAAGGGAATCTGCCGGGATTATCACAGTATGTCAAGTTTGCTTTTCACACTCAATAGGCGCGTGCTGACACCTCGAAGATAACGGCTATTGTGCTCGCGGAGCTTACTGCAAGTTCAGTCACGGCGAAGATGCCTTCGTCCCCGGCCAAATTTTCCCAATGAATGCCCCTCAGATGACGGGCGGGATGTTCATGCCCCCGTTCGCCAATGGAGGCATGGGATTCAGCTCGGGCAATGGTCCTGCAGCTGCGTACGATCCTCATGAGGCTCACCTGGACATGCGGCCGACGGCGAATCTTAACATCGACGTACACCCCCCACGTCCGCCCATTATGCCCCGCGTCAGGGGAGAAAATGGAGACACAAAGGTGCCTCTTCAGACGTCAGGGGAACTGCCGGTCATTCAGGATCTCACGCCGCGCGAACCAAAAGATGAGAACGCTTCGCAACCGAATGGATCGTCCGCCGCTCCAGGACCGAGCAGGGAGGGTATGACTAACGGGGTGGTGTACCCTCTACCTGCCCCACCCTCATTTCCCGTCAAAATGGAGGTTGACATGGACACCAGCGGTCAATCGGCACCTCTTCATCAAACACCACGAGGAATGCGTCCAATGCGCATTGGACGCGGACGCGGGAGCCGGCCGGGAACCTTCAACGGAGATGTACAGCGGTTCCGACCAGAGAGACGGAATGACAAGACGCTTGTAGTGGAGAAGATACCGGAGGACAAGCTGTCGCTCGAAACCGTCAATGGGTGGTTTAAGCAATTCGGCACGGTGACGAACGTCGCAATCGATGCGTCGAGTGCCAAGGCGCTCGTCAGTTTCTCCACACATGAAGAGGCACACGCGGCATGGAAGTCAGAGGAGGCCGTATTCAACAATAGATTCGTCAAGCTGTTCTGGCACCGGCCACTAGAGGGTCACGGACAAACGGGACAGCGTATGTTAGCCGCTTCGGCACCCCTTGTGGCAAACATGGCGTCAAGGGACTACCCAGAAGCCGTCTCGGCATCGACTGGACCATCAGTGTCTGCCGAGGTTCCATCTCCTTCATTGTCGACGCATCCTGCTCCCGCGGCCCACGCTCGAAAAGCTTCCACAGTCTCGTCCGCTACTGTCTCAGCCCTTGCTGCTAAGCAGCATTTGCTTGAACAGCAGATAGCAGAGCAGAAGTCTCTCATGGACAAGCTGTCTACTGCGTCCCCCGCAGAAAAGAAAGAGATTTTGACCCGGTTACGCAAGCTAGGCGAGGAAATGAAGCCTGCATCTGCGCCCGTATCGGCCGCAACAGTGCCTTCGACGTCGACAACTGGCAAGCGACCGTCAATCTCTACGACTCGTTCAGAAGATCACGAGCAGAAAGAGCGCGCGCGATTGGACAAGGAGCTCGAATTACATTCGGCTGCGCTTGCCTCAGATGGCGGCGAAGACACCACGGAATCCTTAAAAGAGAAGCTAGCGAAACTCAAAGCAGAAGTACGCATTGTTCAATCATCTCCCTCATCCTTTTGATTGACCCTCGCGATTATATAGGCTGCTAGCCTCGGTATCGACCCTGCCACAGAGACTGCATATGGTTCTCCGTATCGAGGATACCGTGGTCGCGGACGAGGCGCACGGAGTTACTATCGTGGCGCAATGCGCGGGGGGCCTCCTCGCTCCAGCATGAAACTAGACAATCGTCCCAAAAAATTGCTCGTCAAGGACGTCACTGCAGATTCACTTCAGGCAGTGCGAGACTGGTTCGAGACAACAGGCCAGGTCGATTCCATCGATCATATGGAAAGTGGCGACGTATTAGTCTCGTTCAAGAGCCGCAGTGGGGCTGAGCAGGTAAGCTTCTGTCATTCCTTATTGCGCGTCTGTTTCTGAATTCGTTTGTCATCTCCAAGGGTTTTGCGAAAGGCAACAACATATCTCTCGCCGGTCAAAAACAGATCTTTTGGTTCGCTGGCTCGCAACCCACCCAGCCGTCCGCCTCAAAGCCCATGCCTTCGACGGCTGCAACGCCTGAATCGAGCTCATCCATGCGGCACGAACTGAACGTTGCTCATCGGCCTGGCCCTGAGCCACTCGATATTGACCCTGAAGAGGAGATGATTGTCAGTGGGTGGGGTGGTGACGGCGAGGATGAGGACGGTATGGGGATGCTCTGACGCGGAGGCGCGTATCTGATGTGCGAGGCCTTCATGCCGTGAATTTCTTTATTTTGTACTTTTCCTGAGCTCTCGTCAGCTGCATAAGCAAGGATTGTGCTTTGCGCTTTGGCGCCTTATTGTTTTTTTGGTATGTCGCATCCTTGAGGCTTTTCGACACATCGATCAACGTTGCCTTGCGTGATGTTCAAGTATTTGCCGTTCAGGTATCTCTATCCTTGCGTTTCCACGCAGGCACCTAGTGCCAATCGCGCGGACCATGGTCTATTGTGAGAGCAGGCTCGATTCATCGATATTGCATATCAGGAGTTCTCCTTCCCGAAAGTCCCGCTATGTCGATCTGGAGATCCTGCCGGGGCGTCTACATGAACGCGCGTTCCGGAGAACACCTACGGTGCTACGGTGTCCATAGAGGCTTGTCGGTAATAGAGGTAAGCACCGACTACGGTGGACTCACCTACATCACTGATGTGTTGGGGGTCCCGTGTATGGTATGCGAACGCTCTGCGTAGATGACACCCACGCTCATGAGCACAAATGTGAAGGATTGTCCAGGCAATATCCTAGGCGAGCTCCATCAAGCGCTCAGGTGGGAATTCTCCTAGCGGCCCAACCACCCAAGGGAAGACACTTACTAGATCGGTTCGCAGCTAGAAAATCATAAAAAATAACTTATTATGAGCAGGATGAGGATACAACAACTCGATGATGAACAACACTACAATACAGCCATAGAATACACGTCTAGTGGCACAACATCAACCGCTGGGGACACCTATGCTGCAGCGTACGCGCTACAGCTCGACTGACGCATCTCGTTAAGGACGCCGAGAAATGGTGGGGATGGTGACAATAAGGGCTTGTCCGATGACAGACAGGCAGGTCTGCCCGAGTAGCGAACTTCGACTCTATGTTTCTTTCCCTTCCGGAACAGGGTCACCCGCCAACTGCAGCGCAGCACAAGTGAGCAACGAGACAAGCAGAGAGTCAATGCGCGCCTTACCTCTCATGCCACAGCACATTGTAGCCCTTGGTGCGCACCTCCTGCAGAAGCTGCTGCTGGGCGAAGGAGAGGGCGTTCTCGAAGTCTTTCTCCTTTTTGATGTCGAAAACATACGTTCGGGTGACGGGAGTGTCATGAATATATATTATCTCCAGATCTGGGAACGGTCGTGACTGGACTCAGCACTGCGGTCTGGTAGGGGCTGTGAAGCCTCGGCGAGACTGAGCACTCACCCTCTTCGTCATCCCAAATAGAGACCGGTTCGACACTCTTGCTGTCGACGACTTCCCAGGGGCTCTCCTGTCTCCGTGTGACGAAGGCTGCGAACGATGATGCGAGGCCCATCGGTCAAGATGTGGGTGAGTGAAAGTTAACGGATACGACCGAGGCAGGGCTACTTGTAACAATGTATCATGGATGAGGCGAGGCAGCGGCAATCCAGAGTTTATATGGATAGATCAGAAGTCAACACGACAAAGTGATTACACTGCCACGGCAAGATACCCTCCTATGTCCCGCAGTAAGACACATCTGTCAGGAATGATTTGAAAGCGAAGGGCCTATGATTCGATCGGAATCATTAATAATAGGACTGGGAAAGGCGTAAAGGGGAATTTAGACCCATTACGATCGCTCAAATGTTCAGACAATTCACTTTCGGGATGGGGCGCGCGCTGCTCCTGCTTTTGGCAACAGCGAGCCTCAGCGGGCCGTGGTCATTGGCTCTCGGGCGACGGCATCCTCGGAATTGAACGCGTCGCCGGTTGCGTCAGCCGTTTCAGACTCATGGCAATACTGTCACCAATAGATATCGGATCGAGCCTCCCCGGACGGCCACGGGCGTCCTAGTATCAAGAAACAATCACGGGCATCTGCATCAGTCCTGCAGATTCCTATTGTTGTCGAGATCCTCGAGGGATGCATCATGATCAACAATCTTCAACAATCCGTTGTCTCAAGCAAGCGCTCGCCTCGGTTCGCAGGACGAGACCCGACCTCGGCGGATCCCGCTGAGTTCGAAGATTCGGAGCACAGCCACATACGCCACTTGACTTCTATGACGGACATCATTCAGACTCGCGGTTCGGGTATTAACTTACGTTTTAATACTCGTCTTGTATTCCTAGAGAATTCCGAAAGGGCAAAACGTAGACTTGGGGTGAACCTTGCGACACGTTTGAAAGACCCCATCTTACTTGGAATCGTGAACTCCCATTTTGGTCCTGTGATGCTTTGATTACTGACTGCTCAGGACAGTACGAGATGGAAGGCGGCTAGCTCTGAGAAAAGCACCAGACAAAGGTCCGAACATGATTCCTGGACGTTTTGGGCCCTTCATTATAGACATGTTCCGCAATGAACGTAGACTGCAGTTTACAGATTTCATAGTATGAGCATAACAAACGCACTGATGGCACCCAGCACACCAGTCAATCCGCCCACTGTGACCGCAGATGCACCGCTCGACCCTGTGCTAGATGGTGTTGCCGAGGTCGCGCTCCCAGTGCTCGAACCACTCGCGCTGCTGGATCCGGTAGCATTCGAGCAACTGACGTCTGACGGAACAGTGAAGTTGCTCTCCAGACGAAGGTCCGCGCACTAGAATTGATTGATCATTTCAGTACATCGTACTGTGTAAGAGAGGCAGTGAAGCCGACCTGGTAGAGCGTGTCGTCACCGCCATTGAAGACAATCTGAACGGTGACGTTACCGCCGTTCGCGATCCCGCTAATGTTCGTTTTGCTCAGGTCGATCGGGAAGCAAAAGGCGCCCTCGCCCGTCACCTGATTGAGTTGAATAGCGTACTGCTCGTTCCCAGACGAGTCCCGGAAGTTGTCGAACGATGTAGGGTTCGCGGAAGTGGAGACTAATACACCGACTGTAACAGCAATTTTTTTAGCGTCAAATTGGCCTGTTCGGGTCGGAACTCAGACAGGCTACTTACAAGTCCAGGTCGGGTGTTCGCTGTTAATAGAGATGAATCCACCGCTGAGAGGGAAGTCGCTGCGGTTCCCGGCATTCGTGTACGAATCTATAAGGCCAAATGCAGTGAATTCTTGTTACCAGACCCTTTATACAAAGAGCAGAACGCGTACCACAGAAGTTCACTTCATTGTCCTCATTGAACGCCCCTCGGGGTGAAGGGTATTCGAGATGGAAATGCGCGTTCGCAACGGCGGCAACGGCAGCAAGGGCGGCGGCAATAGCGAAACGCATCGTGAAGTCGTCAGGAGTTCCGCTGGAAGGAGGGAGCTTGCCTGCAGACTTTGCCGTCGAGCTACAAGATTTATACTCTCCAGCCACAGAGCTATATCCGGAAGGTGTAAAAAACTTTTTCACATTTGCTTGGTCGTGCTTATCTTGAGACCGCTAGGGTACCTGGAGTGCCTTGTTTCCAAGTTCTGAGACGCAGTCGCGTTTCGGAGGTCGATTATATGGTGAACGTTTTGTGGACAATTCAAGACAAAAAATAGCATCCAAATCCACTGCAACAGCTCGTACAAGGTATACATGCAGATAATCCTTATTGAATCTCGAGAAAACATCCCATGTCTCTTGTCGTATAAGTTTATCGTCGTGGGTGCCCATTCAAACAATCAAGCCTCATTTAGTGGACGGAGTGCCCGCTGAAGCGGCCAAACAAGATTTCTCCTGTACCCAATCCCACGATGATCGCAATGATGTATGCAGCCTGAAATGTCCTGTGAGAATATATGTAGTCATGAAGCCCCGCGCCTGGACCACGAGGGAGAAGTGGACTCACATGACGACCAACATGAGAGCATACGACAGGAGCGCCTGAAGGGTATACAAAGCGCCACGAGTCAAGTCATGGGAAGGAATGAAGGGGGCGATAAGGCGAGCTCTGCGAAGGTCAGGTCGACTACTGGCCGACTTGAGCAGGACTTGCTCGATGCCTGCAGCTACTTTCTCCTTGCCTTCGCTGCTCCCGTCGCTATCTAATCCAGCGTCGGATGTCGGTCTCGCAAAGCGATGCGAAGTCATGGCAAGGATCCTGATATAACTATAGAATCAGACTTCAGATCTACAGTAGATAAGAGGAAAGTGACCTTTGCTTCCAATGATCCTCCATAATACCACGTCCTGCCGCAAGCAATCGCTCAAATATCGATAGGAGGACAAGTACAATACAAGCCCCGGCAATGGCACCGTGCGAGGCAGGTCGCAAAGACTTGAAAAGCAAGTAGTCGCCTCCGACGAAATGGAGGTACGGGGTCATCAAAACTTCAACTGACGAGGTAGAGTTTGACATTTCTGTGAATGTCTCCTAGTGAAAGGAATGATAGACCAGGAAGGCGGGCGGTGGGCGGAGGACTGAGCTGTGAATAAGAATGTCGCGAAGTGACAGCCGAGCGTGGGAAAAATAAACTGTGAAGGATCGCTGAGTCATGCAACTACGCGGTCGATGCAGCAGGAGTGGCTGTACACATCGAATCGACAATGAGGAAAACAGACCGAAAATACCAGAGATACGTTATGCCTCGGGGCCTCTACTCTATAATTTTGTCTTCTGCTTTCTAACACAGATTACCGATGTTTTGATTGAAGACTTACCGGAGATCACGCTCAAGTTCGAGCATCCGCCGGTGACCAGATGCGAGAACGAAGGGTGAAGGTTTGTGAGCTCATTTGGGAAGTTCTGATGCTCACAGAGTGAAGATGTCAACAATCAAGCCCGTGAGAGGCTGAAATTTAGAAATGTATTGTCCAGGAGCTCACGCAGGAGAAGAATATTTGGATGACGTCGGAGCACTGCCGGCGAAGAATCCATCGGTGAGCTGAGATTCAGAGAACTACGCTCGCACTCAGCCACCGAGGGCCCTAGTCAGAATGAGATAGATGTAGAAGCACGGTCACCAAAGGGAGGCGAGCAGTCAAGGAAAGTGGACCATGCAGAGAGCTCAAAGACAGGTCCCGCATCCTGCAAAACCGTAGACAAGCTTGGTGAGGACTACGCTCCCACTTGTCTAGGAATTTTCCATGACAGAATCGGCTAAGAGGAGTTAGACGTGCCCAAGTAGGAGAGGGGAAAACAGAGTCAGAAGCAAATACGGCGACGAAGGGACGTGAGAAGGAGCTAGAGGGAGAAAAGCCTCATTTGCGGCAATTGTGCTGGACCAATGGCTGAGAACGAATCTGTTGAGGACCCCGCACACCTCGCTAGGACCATCATTGACCGTAATCACGCAAGCCTCACGTGCAGGTCGCGTTACCACTAAGCGAAATGCTCGCGTCCAACTTGCGCACACTCATCGTCTCACTCGCATCACTATCTGGTATGTTCCCCAGCCTACTTACGTTGTTTTAGGAATGATGGAAGTGACTGTATTGGCTTAAATACCCAGACAAAATGATGCATCGAATTGTTTTTCGTTCTGCCATCAATACCTGTTCGCGAAGCCTGGTCAGACCTCCAGTGGTCGGATCGCGCGCAACGAGATCCATGGTCCCTCTCTTCTCATTGCCTCGAGTGCAAATCAGCTTCGTTCGGCACAACTCTTCTAAACCTCAGCTGACCAAGGAGGAAGCAGCAGCACGCAGGGAGGCGCTTAAGAAGCGCGATGAACTACAGAAGGACTGGGCGATTCCTGTCCTCGAGTACGAGGTGGTCAAGCAGAAATCTCTCCAACCCAGCGAAGTGAGCTTTTCAATTTGGTGATGATTACTCTCACACTTACCCGACGATCTGTCCAGCACGCGTATCTGATAGATGTACGGGAGCCAGACGAAGTTATTCAGGGCAACATCCCCTCTTCCGTCAATCTGCCGCTGTCTGTACTATCTGGCTCCTTGCAGCTACCCGCAACACAATTCCACAAGAAACATGGGTTTAGCAAGCCGGGATTAGATCAAGAAATTGTGTTCTACTGCCGTAGTGGGAAGCGAAGCGCTACTGCTAGCGATGTCGCGAAGCGGAACGGATACACAAAGTTCGTCAATGTGTTCATTCGCCCTTCTCGTCAGTTCCTAACTGCGGTCATAGTATCTTCAACTACAAGGGGTCTTGGCTGGACTGGGTGGAAAGAGAAGGGAAGCCCTCTGCTTGATTGAAAACCTTGTGTTGCAATTTGATACTGTATGTATCACCACCCATGACATTCTTCAATGGGTGGTGACCTTGTTTCGCCATGTAACGCCAATATGGCATATGCCATTCGAGCTCTATCAACACAGGACGTGTGATACTCGAGTAGATGGTACGTATTATAGCGATAGGCGCTTTGGCTATCGCACTTGCGCACGAGAAGGTCATTCCAAAACTGATGTCTGTGCATGTAAGTCTCATGGCTCTCAACCTATTCCACGATGCACCAAACCAACTGGTCTAGTATTGGGGTTTGTTTTGTTTGTCTTGATCGCAATGAATATTCAACCTTGTACAAACCTAGAGAGATTAGCAAACATCATCTAAGCGCGACATGGACATCTACCACCTACACACCATGAAAACACTGCGTATGTGGCTGCGGGGATGGACCCCGCTACATCAAATGCGTTTGGACGTCTCCCTCAGCCCCAAGTCCACGTTCTGTCCAATGATTTTGGACAGCTCGTTATTGAGCAAGCTCCCCAGTGATTGTCCGTCGCGAGAGTAGAACCAGTCATCTTCTGCCGGGGAGTAGTCATATCGCTTTGGTCCACTTGACAGATACCGTGAATTAGCTCCGTTGCAGTGTTGTAGGAGGAGACGCACGTTAAAGGCGAAGACAACCATATTTGTTTATTTGGTGGTTGCTTGTTAACTACATACGTTCCATGTGGCCCCAGTTTGAGTGTCAGAACCCCACTCTGAAGTTCGCCAGAACGAGATGAAATCAACAGTTCATGCACGAAGAGCAGTAGGAACACGCACATGGTACTCCACTTCATACTCCGGGTCAGCAAAGTCGTCTAGCAGACTCTCAAGCGAGTCTAACATCGTGTCCATAGTCGCGTCTGAGAGTGCGTGATACTGCTCCATGGATAAGTCACTTTGAAGCACGTAAAGATAGGACAAGAGGAGTCGAGCGTCAGTCTTCGTCGATGCTAAAAGCCTCGCGAAATGAGAATGTCAGACCTAACGTTGAGTTGCGGCGGAGGGGTAGCATAGTGCCGTCTGTGCTCAGATGTCATGGAGGGAACATGACGGCTGTATACACGAAGTGAAGAGATTGTGCGGGTCGAACCTATTGAGCGTTTGGGCAAGAGACGTGCAAGATTTTTCGAAAACATAGGTTGGTTTATTATGGGTGATGGTGGTGGTGGTCAGCAAGAAAGACAGACGCGGTCAATCACTTGACGCAATGGCCAATAGCAAGCGCACTGCTTATGGCCACTTTGGAGGACGACACATAGAAATTCGATCGTCAACGAATCCGCTGAGACGGCTAGAGCAATATAGTAGTATACATCCACACAAACATGCTATCACGGAATGTTCCGAAGTGAAAGGAGAATAGATGCAGGGCGATGAAGAATAGGAATACAAATGCAATGCGAAATGATGCGAGAGGTTGAGAATTGGAGGAAACAAGAGTCGCGGGCGACAGACAGCACATGACGAATCTATGGGTTGAGCGCATGAAGAAAAAGGGGTGAGGGAGGGGCTGATTTGAAGACCGGGGGAGACCTAAGGGCGGTCGGTGAGCTCGCGTCGCCGCCCGAGGACAAGGGATCGCAACAGTCTAGGCAAGGGGACACCATGAAGTCAGAGAACGCCAAGGAGGAAGCGTGGCCAACGTACTTGTTAGTGTCTTCATAGTGTTTCTTAACCAACAATCCTTCGCCCAAGAAGACGTCCCCAACGTGTAATAACTCCTGACCAAAGTAAGGCGCAATTTTTGTCGTGAGCTCAGAGTAAATTCCTGTTCGTGGCGGTTGCGAATCTTGGATGGGAAATTGTTTTTCGAGAGTTGACATGGGCATTTGATGGAAAGGATGCAATCGAGTGTAGTCATCCGGGGCGAAAGCTGTAGCTGTGGACGACGAAACCCTCCTGTACTGATGTTCCGCATGCAAATCGTGTAGCAAGCTATTCACAGACTTGTATTCTGCTACGCTTGATGGGGTCTGAATCGTTGCCATGTCGGTCGGAGCGCCATCCACATTCTGTATCGCAGCGCCCATATCATCATCTTCATCATCCTCTCCATCGTCATCGTTCTGGTTAAATACGAAGGGAGACCCCCAGCCACGAGATGGCCCATCTAGAGATGGTGGAAGTACACGGCGGCGCTTGACAATGTGTCGACTGAGGTCGCATGAAACGGGTTCAGATGGCAAGAGTGGGATGTCAGGAAAAGAAGGTGGTGGCGAAACAGGCCGCTGTCTTTTCAACATTGCCGTCGGTTGGTACTCTGAGAACTCCTTATATCGTGGTCAGAAGGGTTGCAAGATGAACAAGGCCTTGCAGGCTTTATAGTGGATGGTAAGTTCAAGACTATGTTGGACCTTGTGTTATAACCACAACGACAGCCACCTCGGAATTGCGCGTTGCGGTGTTCGAGGGCTCCCCCGGACATGACATCACAGTCTCGTGCCTGCAGAAACGTAAGCTCCCTGGTACGCGTTCACAACGAGACGACGATAAACCTGCAACTTTACTGCCTACAATATCTTCTTCATGGACGACGATGTCTTTGCTGCGATGGGTATCGCTGGCTTCGGGAAAAAGACTCAGAAGAGGCAGCTCGATGCTAGCAGGTTCAATAAGCATCAACGACAAGAGGTATTTTTTGGTCATTTCTCCGATTCACAATTTTCATCTGCCTTCCCAAAGGCACCTGCGCCTGCGATTGCAGTAAAGGCAAAGGAGAATGAGGCTGCTCCTTCGCAAGTCTCTCCTCAAGCATCGACAGGAAAAGTTTCGCGATCGCCGTCTGAGGACCAAGACGAATCTGGTCCACATCCTCCCAATAACGAGCAAGAGGACGAGGAACCCGAATTCGATCCTGATGGCGCAGACCTTGCCAATGGCGAACCTCCTCAATTTCCGACCACGCACGAGATGATTTTGAAGGACCACACCAAGGTGGTGTCGGCGTTGGCGCTCGACCCATCCGGTGCGCGCGTGCTTTCGGGCTCGCATGATTATGACTGTAAGTTATGGGATTTTGGAGGCATGGACATGCGCTGTAAACCCTTCAAGACTTGGGAACCGAATGGCAGCTACTATGTTCGTTTTGTTCCTCTGTCTTTATTCCTCGACCTCTCCTCACTGATCCCATGTTCCTAGATCCATGACTTGAAATACTCCCTCGATGGCCAGCACTTCCTTGTCATATCGGGAACTACCCAAGCGAAGCTCTACGAACGCGACGGCGAGGAAAAGTATGTCTATCGAGTTTCCATCCATGCGGGGATAGGCTGACCTGACTGGCAGGGCAACTTACATCAAAGGCGACCCCTATATCCGTGATATGAAGAACACTGCGTGAGTTCATCTCTTTCTATAGCCGTCCGCCGTTCTTTAATTAGATCTCTCGGGTTAGGGGTCACGTCGGCGAGTTGACCTCTTGTGCCTGGCATCCGAAAGACTCACAGCTGTTCATTACGAGTTCCGCGGACTCGACAATACGGCACGTCCCGCATTTTCTTGCCTTCCATGGATGAGCTCACCTATCGGTCAAAAGAATATGGGACGTCGAGAACAGGCGCAAGCAGAAGACTGTTATTGTTGTGAAGTCGAAAGAACGAGGTGCACGTACAAAGGTCACTGCGTGCACTTATTCACCTGACGGCAAGTACATAGGAGGGGGTACGTTGTCATTGTCATTCTACCTTTCAGTTCTCATTTCTTTTGTTCAGCATGCCTGGACGGCGCGTTACATATGTGGAAAACCAACTCCAATTTTGTTCGGCCGGACATGACCATCCAAAATGCGCATACAAAGGGAACAGAAACGGGTTCGATGATATTCTCAGTAGATGGGCACACGTTGCTTACTCGGGGAGGTGACGACACGGTGAAGCGTACGTGGCAATACACTATGGGTTCCGTTCCGTTCCGTTCTGAGACCCGCGGCGCAGTCTGGGACCTTCGTTCTTTCAAACAGCCCGTTGCTACACGCTCAGGCATCCTCACTTTGTATCCAACGACCAACGCAGTGTTCAGCCCAGACAACAAGTTCATCGTGACAGGGGCTGGAGCGTCGTCTAAAGGTGGCAAAGGCAGATTACTCTTCCTGAACAGAGAAGACTTGGAGGTGGCACAAGAAGTGGAGGTAGATGCGACACCCGTCGTGGTGCAGTGGCACCCCAAGATCAATCAAGTGCGTCTTGTTCTGTGTATCATAATATGCATGCTGATTGATGTGGATTCAGATCGTTGCCGGCCTCACCAACGGACAAATCCATGTCTTGTATTCGGCCCAATCGTCTTTGAATGGAGCGAAATTACTTCTGAACAAAGGGCCTGCAAAGAAACTTACGATCGAGGATGTGTCGGATGCTTTGGCCGCACCAACGATCATCACACCCCATGCCCTTCCCATGTTCCGTGATGGTGAGGATGGCAGAACGGGCAAACGGAAGAGGGAGAAAGATAGACAAGATCCTCGGAAGAGCCGAAGACCTGATATGCCTGTCACTGGCCCAGGTCGCGGAGGACGGGTGGGTGCCAGTGCTACGCAGCACGTCGTACAGAACTTGGTTCGGGACACGACTCGGGACGAAGATGTGCGTGTTTACTATGTTTGGTTCTTGCCTGTGTTGTGCTCTCGTCGCTTCGGCGCTATCCTCGAACATCAACCACTGCCACCAGTTGATCAGCTGATTCTAATCTTGATTTGTGACCGCCCATCGCGGGCTGTGGCTTCCGGTGAGCCACCGCGTTGACGAAGATGGACGAGGCTGAAGGCTTCGTATGTGAGGGGTGGGTGAAAATGTGGCGGTTCTTGGACCGTGCTTTGTGTCGCGTCGCGCGACGGAGCAGCTTAGTCTGTGACAACCGGCTCCTTCTGCCGTGTAGCGGACGCTAAACTTTATTCGAATTTCTCATGGCGCCACCGTCTGTCTCTTTCCTTCGCACTGACTGATACTGATGCGACCCTCGTTTTTTAACCCCTGTCCAGCCTCGCGAGGCGCTTCTCAAGTATGCAGAGCGGGCCGAGCAGGATCCGCAATGGACTTCAGGTGAGCACTAGCGCATAGGCTGTCCGTTGTTGATGGGGAGGCGACTTGCCGAGCCCCTCTGAAAATTATTTGTTGTTGTTGTCGCTTTGATGCTGACGTGTATACTCCGCCGTTTTTTCCCACAGCCTGGCGTGCCAACCAACCCAAGCCGGTGTTTGCGAACGTCGAGGAGGAGGGCGAGGAAGAGGGCGGGTCGTAGCTACGGCCTCGATGTACACTACATGCAGACTGTATAGCCACGAAAACACGGGGGCCAAGGACGGGGGACGAAGGCGGCGGACAAGTAAGGGTGGCCCCTGCGCGGGAGATCGAACCTTATTTTTCAGCAGCTATAAAGGCACTAGCCAGCTTCGGGTCCCCTGTCTCCCAAAATCTTCCCTTGCCTCCCCTCACCTCTCTCTGTCACCTCGTGACTGTCACGCGTCCCCTCAACATGCAAGACGCGACCGCGACTGTTGCCCATGACCTCTCTGCCGCTGACTCCCCCGCCGTCGAGTCCCCGGACACTCCCGTCAACACACACGACTCGGCAAAAATAATCATTGAGACAGAACTCGACTCCCCAGACCGTTTCCCCGACGAGCCCGTCCTCCACTATGTCAAGCACGACGACCTGTCCTCTCGTCCGCCCCTCAGTATCCCAATAGACACAGGTGCGTTTCCTGCCGTGTGGCACATCCAGTTCGCGTTGTTTATCGTCCGGATCTCGCCCCCACAGCCCCTATCAAGCCAACGCTGTCACCACCGCCAGCCGGAGATGTGTTGGAGGATGTCCCCATGGCAGAGGAGGTAGCTTCAGAACTCACGCCACACGTCAACGGCGACGTCGACATGACCGACGACGTTCAGCATCCGCCAGTCAATGGCCATGCACCAGAATCAACCGACCTTCCCATGACTCAGTCGCCGACCCCGACCCCCACCTCTCTTCCCGATGCTTCGTCCAGTACCGTCATCGATGCCGTCCCCGATCGCCACGAGCAGGAGCCGCCAGCGAAGAGGGCCAGGAAGTTTTCTGATGCCAATCAGGCATCCGCTCATGTAAGCCTATCTCTTTTTGTACGCCCTTACAGGCGTGCTAATATGGCATCTGTTTGGGTTCTCTTCTGAAGACTGCTGCCGCTCCTTCCTCAGCTTCGACATCTCCTATGGTCATCGATTCTAAACCTCGCGCCTCCACGCTTTCAAACGCGCAGTTCAAGTATTGCCTCTCCATCATCCGCACGCTCAAAAAGCAGAAGGACGCCGCGGCATTCAGGTTGCCTGTTGATCCCGACGCGTTGAAGATCCCCCACTATCCGCAAATCATCAAGCAGCCCATGGATCTCTCAACCATGGAGCACAAGCTTGCGTCGTCGAATCCCGTCAAACCAGACCCTAACATCGCGAACCATCGCTACCACAACGCGGATGAGTTTGAGACCGACTTCCGCCTCATCATCAGGAACTGCGAGACTTTCAATGGGATTGATCATATCATATCCCTTCAGGGTAAACGGCTGGAAGAGGTGTTTGACAAGATGATGAGGGCAATGCCTACGCCAGAGCCTGTACGTTCATCTCCTCCACCGTCGCTGATCAGCCGATGACGTCTTCCAGCCAAAGCCCCCAGTAGTCAAGAAGCTACCTACCCCTCCTCCTCCGCCGCCACCAGCCCCCATTCCCAAGAAAGCTCCCCGCCGCCCATCAACATCGGTGCCTGTCATCCGCCGGAATGATAATGAAGGCCTTGGGCGACCGAAGCGAGAGATACACCCGCCGCCGCCAAAGGACTTGCCATATGCTGATGTTCCGAAGAAGCAGCGCCGAGTCCGGGGCTCGAAGAAGAACTCCAACGAGCAGTTCAGGTTTTGTGGTAAACTCTTGGATCAACTCTACCGGAAGCAGAATCAGGCCATTGTTGCGCCGTTTGCTCAGCCTGTCGGTGAGTCGCTTTGATAAAGGCTTTTGGTAAGGTTTGTCTGAACAATCTTGTTCGAAGATCCCGTTGCCCTCCACATCCCCGACTACTTCAATATCATCAAGAAGCCCATGGACTTGTCGACGATGCGACGGAAGCTCGACAATAATGAGTATCTCACGGCCGAGAAGTTTCGCGACGATTTCAAACTCATGATCAACAACTGCTTCAAGTACAACGGTATGCAGTCGCCCGTGTCAGAGGCTGGGATGACCCTCCAAAGGTTGTTTGATGAAAAATGGAGGAGCTTGCCCCCGCTTCGGGCCGATGGTTCGGACGAGGAAGATGATGAAGAGGAGGAGGAGGAAGACGACACCAACAGTGAGTACTGCACGGCCTCAACGTGAACTTGGCTCATAATCTCAATCTAGGGGCAATCGCTACCATGGAGTCACAGATCGAGACCATGCGTGCGACCGTTGCAGCTTTAAAGAGCAACAAGTCTGTCACCGTGAAGAAAGAGAAGAAAGAGAAGAAGCGGGAAAAGCACCCTGCGGGTCCTGTCGCGTCTAGTTCAAAAGTCGTCAAGAAGGAGCCAAAATCGCAGCCTGCTAAGAAGAAGGGGAAGAAGCCGACACCTGTCGCAGATGACGATGTGTTGACCTTCGAGCAGAAGAAGGATCTCAGTGAGGCTATCTCACACCTAGATGGTTCGAAGTTGGAAAGGGTCATTGCGATTATTCACGAGGGTGTTCCTGAGATCCGAGACGTGAGTTTTTCCTTACGCGCGGTTCTTAATCGCGGTACTGATCGATTATGGACCACAGAGTCAGGAAGAGATCGAGCTTGAAATTGACCTTCTTCCACCAAATGTCCTCACGAAACTCTATAACTTCGTGTTGCGACCACTCCGTCAGCCACCCGTGAAGCGCAATCGTGCAGGCAAGGGCACAGGCACCGGCGGTCTCAAGCGCAAGAGTATGGATGAGGATGTTGAGGCGGAGAAGATTCGACAGCTTGAGGAGAGGATGCGATTATTCGAACAGCAGGCGAATGGTCAGTCTGCTCCCGCTGCAGCTGTAGCGAACGATAGCGAGCATTCTTCGGACTCAAGTTCGGATGACAGTTCGGGGAGCGATTCAGAGTGATCGTTCGGTTCGTGGCTTTGTTTTGTTTATGGCTTTGTTTCGCATTTTCTGCCTTGACAATTGTCTCATCTTGTGTTTTTATTGTCTCATCTCTGTCTCTCCGCATCGTCTTTTTCTATTCATCGTATACCGAGACATAAAGATATCGGGATTGTAGCTAGTTGGTATTTTACTCGAACACGAGAGTCCTCTCGCATTGTGAAACATAGAGTAATTACGTAGGGAACCCCCCCATCAGAGCAAAGCAACTTCAAAAGCGAGCAGTATCCGTTCCATTGGTACATGTGCATGGCGGCATCACTTGCGTCGCCCTCCTTTCTGGAACGCCTGCCACCCGGAACGGCCCTTCTCACGCTCAGCGTCTTTGCGGCCTTTCTTGGATGCGGAGGCCTGAGGTGTGGGGGCGGGCGCAGGTACAATGATTGAAGATGGTGACACTTCCCGAGGTGTAGATTGCGGCGAAGGCGCAGCTATCGCGCGCGGAGGTTGACCAACGTCCCAGCCTTGCTGATGGGTAGGAGGGGGGACACTCAGTTCGGACGGTGTAAAGAGGGGCTGCGAGCTCGTAGGCGCCCATCCTCCAGTAGACGGTGCTGGTAAGGGAACGGCTAGCGGTTGAGGGGGGAGGGGAGAGGGAGGGGGAGGGGGGGTGGAAGTAGTGGTCTCAAGAGACGACCAACCCCCTGCTCGGAAGGACGGTGCAGGGTGATGGCCGTGTGGCTGTTGTGCGGAAACAGATGTTTGGGGCGGAATCGAAGGTGGGGAAGGCAAGGGCTGTGAAGGTGCATACGTGGCTGTAGCCGCCCATCCACTTGTTGATGACGACGGGGCTGGGGGCCTTGCACTGGATTCTGCCCAATTGGCATCATGAGCTGTTCGGAGACCCGTGGCTGGCCGCGCGGCTGCGACTGCGGAGGCGCCAGCAGAGACAGAGGCCCAGCCCTTCTTCGGCCCAAGAACCTGGGCGGTTGTGTCTTCCGGGTTGGCGTTGGCGTTCGACGTGGAGGCGAGAGCGGGCATGCTCGACGTGGGCCCAGCGGGTTTTGCTATTTTTATGCCGGCGGCGGCGGCTATCTTGCGCAGCTCTTTCTCCTCGCGCTTCCGTTCCTTCTCCTTTCTCCTATTGAGCTCCTCCTCTGTGTTTTGCTTCTGCCGCTGAGCCATCTGCATGTCACGGAAGCGCACTTTATGGTGGTGGGCATAGGAGTTGGTGTGCTCGTCGTACTGGGCGACATTTTGGAACTGCTTGTCGCAGACGTTGCAGTAGAAAGGGCGGAGGGTCTCGCTGATCTCGGACTGGACTGCGACACGACGGGCGACGGAGTTCTGGAAGAGGATGAGCTCGGGAAGGAGAGATAGAGCTTATTTTTGAGACAAACTTCGCGAGCTAGACGCTGCTCTTCCGTTTCTTTCTGCTGACGCTCCGAGTCGAGTTCCCGGCGTTGAGAAACGGTCTCTTCGATCATGCGCACATCCTGGTTTGTCTTTCCGAGGCCAGTAAGATCCCTCTTGACGTAGAAGGGAACGGGTTCAACGCGTCCTGTGTAACATAGAGCTCGGTTTTTGACCATCAGGACATGTAGAAGAAACGCACCATCTCCAGAGAGCCCTAAGGGCTGGCCTTCGGTCCATCCGAGCTTTGCAAGCATCGCAAACCCTTTGTTGGAATCTTTGATCTTGGTCTCGACGGTGATGACTTCTCGCATGGAACCGGGGACATATTCGTCGTACTTGTCCACGTCCATAGCGTCTTTAGGGTGGGGAGATGGAGAACGAGAGACGAGGGAGATATCGTCGTCGCTGTCTTCTCCGTCCATTTGGGCGTCGTCGTCATCCTCGTGCGGGCGCTGGAGAGGAAAGGAAGGCGGCAAGGTAGTACGGAGTGCTTGGGAACGAAGGACGGGGAGAGCGCGCAAAGAGTACCTTTAGACTAGGATGGTACTCCGGGTCTGTGTCTGGCCTGGTCATCGAAATCGCATTCCATCGTGCGACGGACTGTTCGGACATTGTTGAGGTTGGCTGGACAATCGACGCTCGGCGGCGGGCTGGCTGAGGACCTGGGGAATACAAAGCAGTGGGGACAGTTACACGTTACACCGAACAAAGGCGTGACCGGGAAGAACGCGCCACGTGACGCGTATGCGACGCGTTCAACTCCTGCGCTTCGACTCTTCGACTCGTCCCCTCGCTCCTCACGTCACATTACGCGTCATGTCATCAGACGGGTACTTTGAGGATGATATTGACCAGGAAATTTTGAACCAGCTTGATGTTATAGAAGCCTCTCAGCTCGCATCGTCATCCACCCCCGCCCCACCAGCTGCGCGCGCACGAGCCCGTGGCCCACCTGCCCCTGTGGTTGCAGATGACTCGGACTATGACATGGCTTTTGATGTCGACGAGCAGGAGCTCCAGAAGCTCGACGTGCTAATCGAACACGCATACCACCCGCGACCCGCGACCAAACCACACTCGAACGGTGTCTGTCGACAGCCTTCGAAGGGTGGCATACAGACTACCCTCTTTGGCGGAATCGCGGACACGTCAACACCAAGCAAATGCGAGGGGTCGTCCAAGCGCCCATTTCAACGTTCCAAGTCCACGGGACTGCATCCCAAGAAGACAAAGGTATGGGATCACACTGCTTATGCGAAGTCGGGGCCAAGGAAACGAAAGTCAGACAAGGGGAAGGGGAAAGCTGGAGATGATGTAGACGAACATGAGGAGGAAGTTGAGTTTGAGCAATTTCCAGCACCTTTACAATCAATAGTCGGGTGAGTGGCCATCTTCGACCTCGTCTAGCAATCTCTAACTTCAGACTTGTTCAAAAGCCTTGTGAGTGGTCGAGCTCTCCTTTTGTGTGGGAAACATTCAACAGTTTCTCCGCCTCTCGTCAGACCCCACCGATGAAGCAGCAGCCGGATCTGCTCGCCACGAAACACTGGTTGTTCCCTCTGAACCAACCTAGGCGTGATTATCAGTTCAACATCGCGAAACACTGTCTCTTCGACAATACGCTTGTTGCACTGCCGACCGGTTTGGGCAAAACCTTCATTGCTGGTGTAGTCATGCTCAATTGTGAGAATCACACTGCTCTTATTCAGCTGGGAAGTGACAGCATCGGCCCTGAGTAGATTATCGCTGGTTTCCTGAAGGCAAGATCGTGTTCGTAGCGCCTACGAAGCCTCTCGTTGCCCAACAAGTTGAAGCCTGCCATCGAACCTGTGGTATTCCTGGTCGGGATGCTGTCGAGCTAACCGGTAACAACCCGAGAGCGATGAGAGCGCGAGCAGTAGGGTTTTCTCATCTCCTGCGAGCTTCGAACGTTGACGCTTCAATGCTATGATAGTGGGAGACTAAACGAGTGTTTTATATGACTCCTCAAACGCTATTTAACGACCTGAAGACCGAAAATTGCGACATACGAGACATAGTTCTCCTTGTCATCGGTATGTTTCCTTTGCCGGAACATGGGGCACTCATCCAATCTCCCACCATTTGTGATATATAGACGAGGCTCATAAAGGCACGGGCGACTATGCTTATGCCACAGTGGTCCGCATTCTCATGGCAAAGAATCCGCATTTCCGGGTGCTAGCACTGACTGCAACACCTGGAAGCACACCAGACGCTGTGCAATCCATTATTGACGCGCTGCATATAAGTCGAATCGAACTAAGAGACGAAGAAAGCTTAGACATAAGATCGTACGTCAACAAGAAGGTGCATGTGATTTATAGTTATTATCGACTAGCTACTCATGACGGTTCGTAGAAAGTGGAACAGCACATTATACCCATGAATGAGAGCATCGCCAAATTGCGCGATCTTCTGGCGAAAGTAATGAAGGTTAGGGCACTCGTCCTTCCTTTTCTGCTCACACTAATTTGTCGGTCTTCAGGCTCCTCTTGATTCAGTAGCGAGTGTTGGTCTAGTCCATGGCGGCAACCTTGACCCCGTCATGTTTCACCCCTTTCGCGCCCAGATGGCAATGCAGGAAATTAATTCTCGGAGAGATAGTCGGCAACTGACTTGGGCATTCCCAACTTTGAAAACGATAGGAGCCTTGGCCAGGGCGATGGGTTATCTGGCAAGTATACCTGTACTGTTGTCGACGTCTGCTCATATGAAAAATGTCCTTCAGCTCGAGGCAAGTCCGTCGATGTGTTATAACTCGCTCCAAACAGCCGCATCGGGCGACGCCGAAGCCGGTTCGGGGAAACCGTCGAAACCTAATAAACTAGCCAAGGATCCTAATTTCCAGGTGCTCATGTCCGAATTGGAGAGGCAAAAGGTCGAGGGATTTGCCGTACATCCGAAGATGGAGAAGCTCAAGACGCTTGTGATACAACACTTCGGACAGAGGATGGGAGACGCTGAGGTGAACGAAGAGGAACAAGCCCAGGACACGAAGGTCATGGTTTTTGTGTCATTTCGGGAAGCGGTTGACGAGATCGTGGAGTTTCTCAATCAAGAGTCGCCGCTGATCAGAGCGACGAGGTTTATCGGGCAAGGCGTCGACAAGCGGGGAAACAGAGGTTTCGCCCAGAAGGAACAGTTAGGCGTACGTTGCTTTCATCCCCTCGTACTGCGGCGTTGCTGACGCTGCTATACATCATAGGTGATCAAACAATTCAAAGCCGGTGAATTCAATGTTCTCGTATCCACGTCCATTGGAGAAGAGGGTTTGGACATTGGCGAGATTGATATGATTGTCTGCTATGAGGCCCAGAAGACGCCGATTCGTATGGTCAGTACTCTTTGTTGCCTCGCTTTCGAAGCCATATCGATGTTGTTTCTAGTTACAACGGGTTGGACGAACTGGTCGCAAACGGGACGGCTTTGTTCATGTTTTGCTTGCTCAAGGTCGGGAAGAACTGAATTGGAATAAAGCGCAAGAGTCCTATGCAGAAGTCCAGCAGAGCATTGTCAAAGGCGACCAACTCGAGTTCTACAGCGATGTCGAGCGTCTCTTGCCCGAACACGTCAAGCCAGAAGCGCTACCTATGATGATGGACATCGAGGAATATGAGCGTGATACGAGAGAGAAAACAGCCAAGCCGACACAACAAGGAGCGAAGAAGCGGAAGCGGAACGATGACGCTCAAAGAAACATCCCGACTGGAGCGAGTCTTGGATTCGTTAGCGTGGCGGATTTGATTGCGAAGCAGGGCCGGAAGAAGCGCAAGACAACGGAAAAAGAGTACAATTTTGATCCTGCAGCCGGGAAGGATGATTCCACGGATGAAGAAATTGAGGCAGGCGTATTTGGGCCAAAACGGAGCGTCTCGACCCCCATCACCGCAGTGGAAGGACCTTCGAGACCTAAGGGCAAGACAAAGAGGGCGAAGTCCATGGCAGGGAAAGCAGACAAGCCAAAGAAGACCAAAGAAGTTACATCGACGTCTGCGCGTAAAAAGGGTAAAGCTACGAAGTCAGCACTTTCAAAGCTCACTCTTAGCCAATTTGATGCTACGGGCGCTGATGACTCGGAAGACTTCGAGATCGAGAAAGGCATTGTCTTCGACAGATCACGAAGTAAGACCAAGTCCCGGTCTCCATCTCCGTATCTGTCGCACGAGCGCCGACCGTCTTCTCCTGATCTTCCTTTGGCTCAGGCGTTTTCGTACTCCACCATCGACATCTGCACTTCCTCAGATCCGGACACACGATTTGATAGGCCTTCTCCTGCTAGCGTTCCGGCAAGATCATTGCAATTTAGTGTCGAGCCTGTCATCGTTGGCACGCAAAGCTCTCAAAAATCTGCTGTTGTTTCTATCGGTCTCCCAACACCTGAACAATCCACGACTGCTTCGTCGAATCGCAATCCTTCCAATACTCCCGACGACAGTGAACGCGATCTCGCTTGGCTTCTTGCCGACTCGGATGACGATCTCGACGCAAATCACAAGTCTTCTCCTCGTCAGATGTCGACACCTGCGGACAACTCTGATATCGAGATTGTCTACGATGGTACAGCTGAGGTCACCTTGGATTCCACCAATCTCTCAAGCTCGCCGGCCGAACCGAAATTCTCAGGTCCTCTGGAGCGGAGTAACTCTGCATGTGCAATGCCACCACCTCTTTTCACTCCAGCGCGTGCGCTCCTTTCAAGTTCTACTTCTTCACTGCTGGAGGAGGCCCCAGAGCCGAGTTTTGCTATTCGGGCTGCAGGAAAGGGCCGGAAACGTGTCGTTACGGTCGACTCTTCCCCACTCGACATGCCCCCTCTTTCGCAGAAACACCTCCGTCACGCACGTGAACCAACGTCCCCTACTCCACCTCGTCCTATGAAGCGTAAGAAGGTCAAGATTCAGGACATGGCCGTCGCCGGGAAGGTCAATCCCTGGATCGATGTAGAGGCGGGCCATTCTGGAGGCGAGGTCAGCGGAGGATCGTCCGACGCAGAGAACATAGAGCTCGAAAGCGAGTCTGACCAGCTATTCCTGAAAGAGCCACCAGAGACGCAAATATCTCCGTCGTACGACCAGCTCGCGGCCTATCGCCTGAGTCTACTTTCGCAGGCTCCCCGAGGCGGAAAAGTGCCTGTGTTTGCCAACCCCGTGCGTAGGCGCGGAACTTTCTATGCCGCCAGCGGTTCCTCGAGGCCGCGCCGAAGGATCGTCTCTAGCTCCCCGCCTCCAGAGGGTGACGGTGGCTCGGACGAATACGCGTTAGGTAGTTTTGTGGTGGATGATGATACAGAGATATCTTTCATCCAGTCAAGCGAATCCTGAGCCTTAACCCTATGCTGACTGCAGTTATTTGTATCCTTAATCCACTCATCTTATCGTTGTTACACGACGTCAATGCGATACAAGTGGCGACATCGATTTCAGCCGCTGCGCCTTGTGCTTTCTATCTATTATCATACTCGCGTTGCACGGTCAAAGCCTTACGCGCCCTCACATGCCCCCAGAACTAGCGAACAATCGCCACGCAGTCAGGAATACAATGCGGCTACCGTGCGTGCCCATAGCATGACGCACATGTAGCTCTCTCTTCCCACGACTTAATTGGGGAGTGCAAGCTGCCAGCGCGCTCCCCCTTCCTGCAGGAAATACTCTTCCTGGCCTGTGCGTTCTCGGCCGCTATAAAAGCAATCGGGGAGCATTCCTATTCCTTACCACTCTGGCCTTTTGGCTTAGATCAAGTGTAGTATCTGTTCTCTTTAGATTAACCTCTAAAGTGGAGGCACCGCCTCCCTAATTGGTTTTCTGATTTTTGAAGCCCTTGCCCCTTAAGCTCTGCTTGCAACTCGAGGGTGTAATGACTTTGCCACTGCACTATTGGCCTATGTTGTCCGGGGATCATTATCCTTTTCTTTTGCTGCTTTTTAATGTTGTTTGTCATTTGATGAATACTTGGAGCAGCAAATGATCTGGATTTTGATATTCTGTATCTGATATTCTGTTTTCGATCTTTATAGTTGTGGTTCTTAGTTTTCTAGACAATGCATTTCTTGAATGTGACTTGGGTATGAAAGCTATGTTGGTTGTGGTAACAAATTAGCATAAAGTCACTGCAATGGTAAGGTATTTGTTAAAGAATATTTGAGGCTGGTCTGGTAGATATCAAAATAGTCTGGTTGTATTTGATGTGCAAAGCTTGTACAGTATTGACACTGATGGGGCTATCAAATGCTGCAAGTGAGGTCACCTTCAACATACTAACATTTCTGTGCATGTATGCTAGCAGAGACATTATATCCTCTACTGACGAAAGCAACCTAACGAGAATCATGATAGAAGTCATGGATGATGTGTGTGCATATCCACATTGATCTTAGCTGATGGAATTGTAGATGTTATTCACATGGGGCATTGAACATATACTCAACCACAGTTAGAACCTTACCACGGCCGTCCACCGCCCTCCGGAAAACCCGCGTCTCAAATGCTGCAGATGCGCTTTGAGTGAGAAGCAGCCTGTGGCATCAAACTAGATGTTGCGCGTACAAGTACAGGCTGACACCGTGCGCTCAAGCGACCGAGCGACCGCAGTGGTCATAAGGCGCGTCCCTTGTTGGACATAAGATACCGTTAGTACGTTCATAACCTACCAAGATTAGATGTCTCAACCAGCAGCAACACTGTGATCACATAGTCACCAAGAGATAGAGAAGGCATGTAATTCCAGTGCAGAGACACTTAGCATAACGATTGCGGTCCTATAGAGGTATCCAGGTTACACATCACTCTTGTCTATCTTACTCTCCTTCCTGGACGCATACCCTGTCCAAGACTAACAAATGATGATGGACGTCAGCCTTACTGACCCAACCCATGAGTATAGACAACGGACCTCATCATAAAGAGAGACACTCGAGAATTCATTGATTAATTTGAGCCCAAGCCATATGATGCCTGCTGTCATGCCGCTCCCGCAAGTTGTGATCACATTCCTCTTGCCTTCAATGATCGCTTGGGCATTCGCTTCTCCAACACTGTCAACAAGCTTCTGACGAAGCTCATGAGGGGAGAGGTAGGTCGTGTAAGAAGCACTAGAACCGGGGACCGTGTGAGTGCGTAAGAAGTGGTTGAAGGGTAGCGAAAATGAATGTGGGATGTGGCCAGAGGAAAGGCCAGCTCTTGGTTCAGGGTCGGTACCCAGATATCTACAGAATGAGCATCGAGATGAGAGGCTGACACCGTGTTTTAGAAGGAATTGGCTCACCGTCCGCGAGCACGCGCGTCAAGAACGAGTTCGGCAACGGGGTCGGATATTTTGACAGAGGAGTTTGCTACCATTTGCTCGTAGCCTTATATGCGGTTGGACTCTATCAAGAAGAGGGCGTATGAGGACGCACTTCTGATGACGCTGTGATTAAGTGGAGGAGGGGAATAAGAGGCCTTGTCCACCTCGGCTAGCGTCCCGCTTTCGATTTTCAGTCCATCTGCCTCCCACCTAGGAAGACCACCATCGAGAACGCTAGAGTTGTCATGTCCAAGGGCCTTGAAAGTGAAGAGAGCGCGGGGGGCGGAGAATATTCCGAGGGAGTCGTAGCTTGTACTCCGTGTAAGTGAGCATATGTATCGATGCAGACATATACTTACATGACGACGTAGGATGAGGGGCTGATACCGAGCCTCTCTGCCGTGCTTGCTCAACATGAAGAACGTCGTGCCCTGCAGGTTGTCTACGCACCCAAGGCTTTGGCAAAGATCTGTCCACTCGGCATCATATGCATCAGCCCAAGCTCATTGAGACTCGCAACTTCGTCGAGGCTGAAATAGTGCGCGCCAGGAATGCGCCTAGTCAGGAACTCGTCGTGAGCTTTTCTCGGTGAATTGGGCATGTGCCAACTGGCGTCCAGAATGCAAACATCGGAAGACGATTTGAGGGCTTGAAGCTCTTTTGGAGTAATGAGGAGCGGAGCCTGGGTAGATTTGTGCCGAACTGATGAGAAAGCACGGCTGAAGATGGTGGCCGACGGACGCAAGGGTAGCATCGTTGCAAGCTGGTTGTGTCGCGCGAGAGGTTAAAGTGCAAGGCAAGTTGAGAAACGCTCGTCATACCGATTGCCTTTTCTGGAGAACAGAACCTTGGACAGAGCCTCTCTCTGAATATGCCTTCGGATCAGAGCACTTGGCTCATCGCAGCACCTCAGGATGGTGACTCAGATGGATTGCTGCAGGAACTCCACACAAAGCTCTCACAGCAGTCCAAGTCTTTCTCCTATAACAACATCGGTCAATTATATATTCCATCCTTCAAGGTAACGAATTCAGTTCATAGTATCGCGACCGCTCACCTCACTTTTCGTCTCGGTAATAGACAGGGACATTGGACTCCCTAATTGCTCTCTCAGAAGAACTTCCGAAACAGGAAGCGTTCTTCACCGCAACTGTCGCGAAGATCGTAGAGACACTGCGTAACTTGCTAAACAATGATCCAGCCAAGCTCTCGCAGCACATCTTAGTGGACGAACGAAACGTAGATGATTATGTACTCAAGGAATGGAGATGGAATGATGGACGCTATGGCGTGCAACGGGGGCTTAGGGAGATAGTTGAAGTATTGAACAAGGTCTTTCGCTCTCATAAGTATCCGTTGCCGTCTACGCTAACGGTATTTCGGACGGACCTTTAGGAGATGACTTCCATTGATAATGTCATGAAGACAAAGCTGAACAGTTACAACCTTGCGAAGGGCTCCCTTACACAAATGCAGCGCAAGAAGACGTGAGATCATCACGCCTGCGTTTTCCTCTCTTGCTGATCTCTGGAATTAGAGGAAATCTATCTGTGCGGTCGCTTGTGGACGTCGTCAAACAAGCAGACTTCATCCAGGACTCAGAATACCTGGAGACACTGCTAGTGGCCGTTCCAAAGTGGGTGCTCTATTAACAGCGTGCACCGTTCATCCAACATTGTACAGAAACTTGATCAAAGAATGGAACGCGAAATACGAACGACTGACGTCAATGGTCGTACCTCGCTCTGCATCGTACGTGTCCTCTTTTTTCAACCGTCACTCTCTTTCTGACATAGGCTCCGTAGATCTGTTTCATCAGACGACGAATATACTCTATTTTCGGTGGTCATATTCCGGAGAGTGCATGACGAGTTTGTCCAGAAATGCAGAGAGAACAAGTAAGCCCGTATTTGCTCCGCACTTTATCATACGTTGAATTTTACCTTTCAAAGATATCTTGTGCGAGAGTTCCATTTCTCCGAGGAGTCGCTCTTGAAAGAGCGGGAGGATCTGGTCACGGCAGACACCACAGAGAAAGAGCTTTGGGTTTGTCCATTTTCAGTTTTATCCCCACATCAGAAACTCATCAACTCCACAAAGACCGAGCTCCTGCGATTGTCACGGACGAATTTCTCTGAATCCTTTCAGATCCTCGTCCACCTTAAAGTCGTCCGCCTCTACATCGAGAGCGTTCTCAGATACGGCCTTCCAGCTAACTACATCGGGCTGGCCATCAAGGTACGTTCGCACATTCACATTCTCGAGCGCTCAAATGGTACTCCCTCCGCGTAATCGACTGATGGGGCCATTCAATTCTACGTTTCATATCCTCAGCCCGAACCCAAAGCGACTAAGCGGACGCTTGCCCTCTTACATGAATACTTCGCCTACTTGTCTCCGCGGTCCGGCAGCAAGAATTCGAGCGGCGCTAGCGTCGGCGCTGATGATTTCGTGGGGGAATACCAGACGTTGCTGGAACAGGAATATTTCAATTTTGTTTTGTACGAGGTACCGTGGATCGTGAATTGAAGCCGAATAGTCGTCTGTATAGTGTTATTTTTCTGTCCTTGATCGTCTTACTTTGCGACTTACGGCCAATAAGGCTCGAAGTCTACGTCTGTTCTTCACCACCAGACAAAACAATAGCGGAGAAATGAGATAAAGATATGACCAGCCCACTAGCGTAGGAACATCATATACTATGTTACATGTGAGATGTAATAGAAGTGCAGAGGATCAGAACGATGTTGAAGAAAGCCACGAGCAGCTGAGATTTGGGAGAGCAGGTGAGCGAGAGGAGTGCGAAGTGAGGGGGAATAGAAATAGGAGACTGATGTAGTAATATGTATTCAATATTGTGTACGAGATGAGATACGAGATCAGTTGCGAAGGGAAACAAACAAAAGAGAAACGAACAGCAGTAAGAGATGAGAGACTCTTTTGTAGACAAAAGTCCACGGTCCTTCCGGATACAAAGGAATTTTTACAGGCGGGCCCTTCTGCTTGCCAACGACCGCTCGATACGTGCGAATAGCTAATCACTATCATACCATAGAATAATAGATCCCTGGTAATCAGAGTCCCAAGTTCGATATCACTCTTGCTACTTCGTCGACGGCTTCGTCGTCGAGACTATGTGCGGTTCGGCGGAGGGTGTGGGTGTGGCCAGCCACGACAGCGGGCCGCACAGATGGCGGGCCGTACACGCTAGGGAAAGAAGGTGCCGTGGCCGACGTGGGACTCGAGCTTGGCCCCGTATCGCCGATGGAGTTGGTGGGAGAATCAGGGGGACCGAGGCGGGACGACTCGTTTATGCGTTGGAGCGAGAGGGTCAGGTCGAGCGACTGCGCGCGATTCGTCAGCGAGCGAGGCTTCGAGATTTGGTCTTTGAGCTTCGCTTCAAGCAGCGAGTCCGAGCCTCGCTTCATCGCGTCGTCGATTTGAGACACATGAGATGGGAAGCCAGACCTTGGTGACATATCCTCTGCGACGTGCGACATTGACAAGAAACGTCCATGACGACCAATCGGCGGCTGGGGATTCCAATAGTCGTTGACAGACGGGCCAGGCACGTAGTTGGCTTGACTATCAAGGCTATCTTGAGCCTCTTCTAGATGGTAGATGTAAGAAGGAGAGTTATTGAACAAGGCCTTCACATCCGGAGACGAGTTGGCAAGCCTGAGTCGCCTGTCAATCATGGGTTCAGGCCGTGACAAATCGGCAGAACCTGCTCAGGACACGATCAGATCGGCTTGGAGGGCGTTAAAACTCATGAAGGTACTCACCACGGGTGCGAGGCATGGTCGAAAGAACTTTACTGTCGAAATGGGGGAACGCCTCGGCAAATGAGTCACCCCGCTTGTGGGTGTGGGCCGTGGGCGACGGATAGACATGAATGTTGTGATTGAGCAAAAACTGCTCGAGCAGTTCGCGCGCGCTGACGAGGAAATCGCTGTTACTGCGCTGGCAACGGAACTTGAACGAACACTCCATTGGAATCTCTGCGCCTGACCCCAAAGTCTTGAAATTGGGAGAGATGACCACCTGCCAGTCGTGCTTGATCTGCTCGACGAAAGCGGCGAATTCAGGGGAAGAACAGATACGAGGCAAGTCGGCCTGAGGGGGCACAGCCATGTCGGCTTCGAACGGGACGTGATCCTGAGCGAATGTAAGCACACAACGGTAAGTGCGGCCCAGAGCAACGTACCAACAGCATCGTGGCAGCAATTTGAATCTGGCTCTCTGGCCCAAAGACCGTGATGACGTCTGACGCACTCTCTTTGTCAGGGAACCTGACTCGCGAATTTGTCTTGTTTTCAATATCATGGATGAAGATGCTCTTCTCGCCCAACAGCGTGCGGTGATATTTTCGCGGAATAGAAACCGTTTCGTTCAAATAATCCTTATCCTATTGACATCAGCGCTACGGCCCCATAGGTAAGAATGGTGAGCATACCTTCGGGTTGACTAGCTCCATAACGGATTGCTTTAAGTTATCCAGATTAATGGCATTTTTGGCCGGTGTACGCGCAACGACGTTGTCCTCGTTATCGTTATACCCACCCAGCGCGGCGAACTCTTCGGCATTCGAGAATTTGACGTAGACGCCGTACTTCTTCATAATCCGTTGAATACTGCGTCCACCAACACCGATGATGCGTTTGTGATACGACTCGGGAACATGGAACGAGATCTCCGCGGGTAGTTCTTCCTGTAAAAGGGAGAGTCCTTGGATAACAGAGCCGTCACTCCCAGCGATGTCGATGAGGAAATTGTGATCATTGAATGTCTCAAACTTGATCTTCACGTTGGTCGTCTGCATGATCTTGTTGATCTTGCCATTCTTCTTCCCACTGATAAACTCGCGATGCTCGTTGGCCAACTCGATTTGGAAGCGGATCTCATGATGAAAGGCCTGAGGGTACAATCGGATGTCATGGACATTGAATAAAAAGAAAATTAGCACGGACCTTGACGATGTCAAGATCCATGATCATATTGACGGCGTGTCGAACTTCATGCTCGAGTCCGTGCATCTCGAAGCACATCCCTTTGAAGACAAGCTCAGCACCAGTCGCATTTGAGACCTGCTTGATGATATTGGTCACTTGAGTCGCGTTCAACGTGGAGGGAGGTAACAAGACATTGAACTGCGTTGGGAGCAGCCAGAATGAAGCGACGTAAAATTGGCAAGCCTGTAGAACACGATATTAGCGAAAAAGGTTGAAGCCGAATGCAATGCATCACGAACGAGCTGCATGACAGAGCGAATCGTTCTCTGGATGTGGACCCTGTGATCTCCAAAGACAGTTATCAAGCTTGTCGAGCTGCCGATGGACGGGAATTGAATAAATGTGGAATTATCATTCATGATCATTTTGAGGTCCTCGGTGCGATCCGTGACCATCCAATCTAATTTACGGGGCAGAATGGCGGTGTCTCTCGAAATGATTCCCTTGCTCTGCAAATTCTAAGTTTCAAAATGATGAACCAGATGCAGAGGGAAAGAGGGGGCGGACCTTGTTGAGAGCCATCTGAAGCAGTGTGTCCCGCGCGCGCTGAACACCGAAAAATTCACCTGTGATCCAGACAGCATTCTTGTTAAGTCGTGGGTTCCCGGGACTTGAAGGAACAGCGCTCATGTTGGCGATATCAGGCCCAACAAGACCCTGTAAAGGAGAGGGATAATATATATTTGTCGCTGTCTCCTCTTGAATGGTCTGCAGGACATGGCGCTTGCGTCCAGCGACGATGGCTTGCAACTTCTGATCAATGTCAACCGATTCGGCATGGAGACCATTCTGCACAAGACGTTAAATGAGAGAAGGAGGGGGGCAAGGCAAGACGTACCAATTCGTCAAGCATCACGAGAAGTCGCACTCGAGCGATCTCCACCGAATCCCCCTGACCGGTGATGACCAATTCACATACTCGCTCCGTCTCAAGACCAGTCCACCCTGCGCTACTGCTGATGCCGTCTGGCGGCGTCCGAGTGGAGAGGGAAAAAGGACTGTTTACAACGGCGATGTGCGCGAGAGTCTGCGAAGCAATTTCATCGAGACGTCGACGGACCTCTGGTTTGAGCGCCGGCTTAGACGAGGGAAAATCGAGAAGTTCTGAGCGCGTCACTTTGATAGACGAGCGGTTCTGTGAAGCGAAAAATGGGGGAAATGAGGGGACGAATAGGAGGAGGACAGGAAAATGAAGCAAACCTGAATTGGGCAATCTTTGAGGACCATACCTCGGGCAAAGAGGACCTGCTGGTAAGAACCGGAAATGCAGAAATTCCAACCAGTGCCCTGATCAGCGACTGCATAAGAGACATGGCAGTTCTGGGTGGCCATGGTCATCATGGCGAGCTTTTGAACTGCGTCCGCATCAGCCTGCGAGGGGGCGACGTGAGAGTCGACATGACCGCTGTTGTGCTGCTGAAAATGAGAAGGGAAGAGATCTGTTTGGGGGTGGGTGGGGAAGTCGAGGGAGGAGGAGGAGGAATGAACGTGACGCGACCGGCGAGGATAGGAGAAGGCGGTTGTGTAAATATCCATAGGCTAGGAAATGATACAAGGCGCGGACGAAGAGGTTGTGCAGGAAAAGGATGGGTCGGGTATGAAGAAAGGGGGTATTGGACAAGGTGGTATTGGTGGTCGTGAAGGAAAGAGAAAGAGGGAGAGGGAGAGGGAGAAGTAGAATATATCGCGGATATATAGGAGCCTGTTTGGCTCCGCCTTGCACTCTATGACACCGTCCCAGTGCTGCTCCTAACAGCTCGTCTCTCCCGCTCCAGATTCGCACTCCGCCCCATCCGGGCGGGCTCTCAATTCTCGGCCGAAACATGTCTGTAGTATGTACTGTACCCGCCGCATAGCGCTACATTCATCCAACAATATACTGGTCCACATCATATCCCCGCCGCATCGAACCCCTCCATCGGCTGCCACTCATCATCCACGCTCTGGTAGTCGAACAGCTTCGAGTAGCACCGACGCCCCGGCGTCGAGAAATGTTCGTACGGATTGTTTGCGTTCAGCTTCGCACCACAGCGGTAGCAGAAGTGCTGCTTGCATTTCGCGCATGTCATCTGTCCATCGCCATGCGCGATCACCATTAGCATGCGCTCCCCTCCATTCGAATTTACTTACGTGGTTGCAGCCTATCGACTTCTCCACTTTGATCTGACAACCGGGACACGCCATCGTGCTGCTCTCCAGCCACTCTCGATTCGCCTGGTCTTCCTTGTATTTCGCGACCAGCCGAGTGATATTCGCCTTTCCATACCGCTGCTCCAGTACCGCTCGCGATGGTGAGCCATCCGCCAGTGACATGTACTCCAAAACAAAATTTTCCGCGATGGGTATCGGGCAGTCCGTCAGGGGCCCATGCCTTGGAAAATGGAGCCTCAGCACAGGTTTCGGAAGAGGTGCGAGACCAGCACACACCATGTACGTTTACAGAATGCACAAAACGAATAATCGCACGACTGACACGTCCGCAACCTCTCCCAGCCTGAACTCTGCTCGTCCGCATTATTTGGTTTCGGTACGGCTGCTTGGCAGAGGGCCATGGGACAGTGCACGATGGTCGGGTCTAGTTCCGAGGTGATGAGAATGGAGACAAAATAATGCAAAAGCTAAATTTCCAGCGGATGCCTCACCTTGGTCAAGCACTCTCTTCTCCCGAAGCCATCTCCACCGACTCGCTTCGTCCTCGCTGACAACCCTCCTGACTTCCTCTTCGTGGGATTCCCGACCCTGTTTGACACAGGCAGGATCCGGGCATCCGACCCGCGCCACGTCCCCCTCTTTGATGAATAGCTTCCAATAGTCTTCTAGACAGGGGCGACAGAAGACATGACCACAAACGAGCATTAGACATTTCGCCCCCTTGTGTGATGTTAAACAGATGGAGCATGTATAAGAATTTTGCGCGAATTGAGATGACTTGGAGTTCGCGTCATGCGATGTGAGCAACGGCGCGAGCAGATGAGGGGCTTCATGTAATATTCTGTTGACGCGTCGAATGGGAGTAACTGAGTCTTGGGCAAGACAAAACGTACCGTATTGTCTGTCCGTCTATAAAGCTGAAATAGTTCAAAAATTCCGCGGTCCTTATCCACTCAATCCAATTATAAAGCGTGCCATCTCCAGGCTCCCACATCTCCAGTAACTTATCCTGAAAATGTGCAGTGTGGGGAAGCCATGTCACATGAAGGGAAACAATTTGAGGTGGATCCAACAAGGGATATGTCGGCGGTAGAACGAGATAAAGCAGCACAGGGGGAAGCGAAGCGATCGAGATCGAGATGGGATCGAGTCGATGAATAGGAGTGTCCTGCAAAAGCTCTGCGCTAACGAGACTACCGTCACCGACGACAGACACGGTCCTCGCATCGCCAAATTCGACAGGGATTTCAAGCTTCTTGACCCTGTCCGGAAGATTGCTCGAAAGGCAATCTGGATAAATGGACTGGGTGCATCGCGTCAGTGCTTTGGCAAGTGGCGTTCCTTCCGCGGCGCACCTCGAGCACCTGCCACTCTTCCTCTTGGAGCATGGCACATTGCGTGAGCGTGTCGTCGGTAGTCATGTCGAGGATAGTTGTGGACCTGAATGGGACAAAATAAAAGAGAAATACGATACAATCCAATTTAGCGCTGCTAACAGAGTGACTGCGAATAGCTGCGAATGCCGAATGCCGATGACTGATTCACTAAGAACCGAAATAGGGTTAAGGTCTACTCTTTCGGGTTTTCGCAACACTTTCATCTTACAGGGTCTTGCATAATTTTCGAGAAAGTTGCATCAGAGAAAAACCGGGTTCCTGAACCAAGACTTGCCTAACTGGGCACTGTGGGCCGGGACGATCGGCAAAACCTTGTCATGCTCTCATGGCTCAGGGCTATCGTTTCGAGCACACTGTGTGCTCACCTCTTTATAGTACCTTATTAAACTTCACTACGTCTCCACCTATTGATCATTGAATTTGAGAGCTAATTATTGACTGGCACTATCAAAGACAGCAGTGGAGAGTGGTTGTCACAGACGGGTCACACAGGGAAGTCCGGTGCTTTTTTCTTATATCCACAATGAAGCGCTCAGGAACCTGTTTTTTTCTGGCGTGGCCCTCTCAAAAATTATGCAAGACCCTGTAGTCTGTATCCAACCGCGAGCCTCAATTGATGGTCCCTGTGTGAACATTTGTAAGCATTATATGACCAATTAACGCGCTCTATTGACCACATCAAATGACGCGTCGTTGTCCTTTAGATGACCACTGAAGCACCACCAGAGCAATTTACTATCATTGATCAGCTCCCATTCCACCATTACTGCATCGGGTCTTTCACTACACCATCTGGAAATGCCCTTGTTTGATATCTCCTTTGCCAAAAGTCCAAGGAACCATATGGCTTCCAGGTCTAGTACATTTGCCAGCTCTTGGATGGCACTGATGTCTTTGCTACCATAGCCACAGGTGACAGCAAGAGTCAGCTATTTTGTATGTTCATTCTAGTATGCCAAGCCCTTTCAGAGCATGCACAGTACTGGCCAAAAGGCTTCTATATTACCAATAATCCTGTCATGATTATTATCTGCCCTGCAAAAAGCCTTGAGGAGGACATGGCATGTAACTAACAGTGTCTAATTAAGAAAATAAAGCTGATTGCAGGCAAACTCTATGTTGAAGAACAGGCTAGTAATGGTTGTAATCAATAAAGATACAATCCATGCTACTTGGAAGTGCAGCAATGATTCGTGGGCTATGGCAAAAGCATAGGCCATACTGATTTTTCTTTCACTAGAACAGCTCAACACATGGCACTTCTAAGACATGCTCAAGAATAGAAAGTTCTACCATCAAATTATAGGTCTTGCTATGGATGAGGCATACCTAATCTTATTATAGGGTGCCATGTGTTAAGCTGCTAGGCTTATTGTGTGCACTTGATGCACTAAGAAGGGTTCCCTGGGCTAAACGTAATAGTGACAGCCCAACATATAAAGATGACTGCTCGTCTCTGGGCTTGATTCAGGAAGTCTTAATTGCTATTAATGTGATCCTCAAATAAATGGAGAAGGTGCTAGTTGACTAGATGTAGCTGTTCGTCTGGTATGAACAGATCTTCTCCAATGCAACAGATGACCTCAGAGGGATCCCAATGGATGACTCAATATGCGGCAAGTCCTTGATAGGTTGAAGGTAGGAGAGGATGATGAGAGCACTGAGATGAGTCCAGTGCTTCATCAGACTAAGTATGGTTCTATGAATCTGGCAGAGTTCACGAAGCATGGGCTGAAGGGGCCAGACACTGGGTGCAGTGCAAAGATTGAGATGTATACAAAGTAAATGAGCTGATCTTCTAAGAAGCTCAATTTCCCTATATATAGTACAGGCTATTTAGGGTAGGATGGATATATGGTCCGTGCTTCTAAACACTAAGTAATCTGCAGTCATCATTCGTACTCCACGGCTCTTTGATGTAATCATATATAGTAAGTATATCAAATGTCTGTCTACAGCAACATCAAATGGAACTTGATCACAATCAACATCAGAAGCCATAGCAAAGAGGGGATCATAGTATTGTAAGTGTTCATGCATCAGCATGTAAATAGTAATCAGTCCAAATCTGAGTTATGTATGTAGCTCATGACCATGTCCTGAGTCACGTGCCTAGATGCGTGTCAAGTCACAATCCTAGTTGTCAATTGTCCAAGTCCAAAGGAACACCTGACCTTCCCTTCTGTTTATATGCCAAGCACATGTTAGGACATGGTCCTAACACCATGTTCCACAAGGCATTCATAGAAATTGGCTTGATATATGCTCAGCTTGAGTCATTTATGTGCTTCCTAGCTATTACCACAACAATGGAACCAGGTCCACTATTACACTCTGTTACTCAGGCTTGCTATCAAGATGTAATCCACTCAAAACCTTGATGGTGGACTTAGCCTCATAAACCAGCTACTTTTTAACTAGCTATGCTATCATAGATTTAGTGGCTGGATAAACATTTTTTTTATTTCATAAGATCAATCTTAGCCAAGCAAGGTTTCAGTTGACTATTAGGGCTTTGGGGCTAGCATTTGAGAATTTGGGCTAGGGTATAAGTGTTCTGACTATAAGGAAACTTGCTAACCAGTAACTGATAATCCTTTTATCATAAGGCCCTTTCATTCAGGTTCATCAGGGAAAAGCTCCACATCAAATTAACCATAGTTAAGCATAAATCTAGCTAGATTTTTGCCAATTACTATTAAGGATTTTTAGCTTACCCTCTTTCTAATCCTGAAATTATAAGGTCTAATTAGAGCTAATTATGCTTTATTAGAACTTACATTATCTCCATAATTATTCTTGTCTATCCTTCATACACTTAACTATAATCACAGATTGTTCATTTGATTTTCAGCTTTATAGCACACACAAATATGTATATTGGAGACTAAATTAGAAGTAATATATACTAATGCTTATCAATACCAAATTGTTTGGCATTGGCTCCATCCCATCCTCTACCCTATCTTCTTTTAACATGGCTAGCTTATTGCTCTCACCATCAACCTCCTTCTTCTCTATCTTATCCAGGCAAGCTGTTGTTATCCTTTCCCTCTACACTATCCCCACATGCTGGGTGGTGCTTGTCTATGACTGCAATGATCTTGCTGTACCGGGCTGCTACTTGTGCTACTTCTATACCACATGCATATGCATGCACTCTTCCAAGCCCTGTCCCTCTAGATCCAATCACTCTATTATGTCCCTCCTTACTAATGCCATATGGCCACCCAGCATACTACTGAGCACTGCCCTCTCAAACATGCTCATCAATGGCTGTAGTATAAAAGTAGATATGATTAGGTTTTAAGATTGGCAAGGGCAAGCATAGTATTCACTAAGCAGAGTCCTTATAATATAGCATATAATTAGTGCTAATAATGAGAAACTGAGTCAGTAATCAAGATATCCTAATTAGGAAATATGATCTAGCATCTGCAATGTATGTAGCCTGATTAGAAAATTAGACACTATTAGATATGCTAGAATCTAATTGCATTTGAATTAGGAGGGGAGGTTTTCCCTAATGTTGTTGGTCTGATACCAAAAGCAATACCACAAAAAGGTGCCAAAAAACCAGTTTTCTTGTTGAATTGTTGCAAAAATACTTGTGAGCTTTCTTTGAATAAGCTTCTAAGATAGTGACAGATGAGAAGATAACACTCTAGGGGTACTAGAAGATGCAAATAGATGAGAGTTATGTGTTGAAGGGATGCGTGCTAAAATATGAGAAGGAGTGGAATTTTGGCTATAATTAGAGCCTGATATTAATTGGAATCATGAATTCCATGGCTGAGGATGATGACAAGCAGAGTGGCCCATTGCTCAAAGCATTGAAAAAGCCATGGGAATAAATCAGCTATGGGAATATTCTGACCACCAACCCAAAGGGCATGACTAAATGCAGACTATATTATTACTGGCCCTATGTTTGGACAATACCAATGTTTGGACAGTCTGTGTTTCTTGCTCATTGCTTGATATATCAACCTCAATATTTTGACCATAAATCATGTTAAATGGTGTAGACTTGGTTTCTGAAACTTTGAGATTTTTTAAAGGTGATTTACATTCCTAAATGTTGAAAATGTGCCTTTGCAAGCCTAATGTCATGCCTCAGATGAGTTGGAGCACACAAGGAAGGATCCTGATAATCCAATTTTTTTAATGTAGTCTAATGTAGCCCATATATATTGATTCTAGTATGTAAAGAAAATGCATGGTGTATTGTTGTACTCATATGAAAATACAAGGTATCAAGCATGATATTTGGACATGGAGCATTGAAGAAGAAGAGTGCAAATTTGTTCTCCATACATAGTTCTACCAGCAACCAGCTAGCATCCCAACAAGGCATGTCCAAATATTGTCCCTACTGTCTCCCCTTCTTAACCATGCCACAGACTATACTAAACCTACAGCCTCCTAAGTCACAAACTTTCCCCCACTCCTATGTTTACCCAAGGTAATACCCTTGTCTCACAACAGTTCTCCATACCAACCCTGTAGGGTGGCAATAAGCATAAACCTCAAATCTAGTACACTGAAGAGCAACCCCAAGTAGCTGTCAAAGAACTAGGAAATGACAGCCACAGCCTTTGCAAGGCTGGGAAGAAACATGATGTCTCTCCTTGAATTCATGATCATGTGTGCACTGTGATCCTTGTCTGAATAGTTTAGACAGGTGCAAGTGTAAGAGTCTAAAATTAGAGGCAGCCACTTTAGCTGTGCGATGTGGACTCATGACCCAGTGTGACCAGACTGTCCAAATAATGGTCTCATTCACAAATTTCTACTTTTCTCCCTGTTACCACTAGAATAAAGTATATAGGCTTCAAAAAGGTTTAGCAGGCATTGTTTATGTTATGATCACGTTCTATCGGGCCTACACGGCGGTCTATTCCGATACGATCATCACAAATATCACGCGGCCTCACAGATTGAGGCGTACACCAAGGTACAGATATTAACCTTGGTCATCCACTCCCAATGGATCATCAATCATTGGTCGAGTATCACGGGCCTTGTATTAGCGGGCATGGAACGCCGCCTTATAAATTACTCACACGCAGGGCGTGAACCTCCTACTCTCTCCTGGCCGGAAGGAGACCAACGGAGAAGCACAAGAGTAGTCGTTATTGAGAGAGACGACTTAGAGAATACCTACAGATACATATTCGGTATTCTCACGCCCTACTTCCTAAAGTAGTATAAAAGGCCCATAGAATAGGCTGACGATCTTCAGTCTATTCTCTTCGTTCTGGTACTGTCTTCCTACAGTACCCTTCGTTCGCTGTAGTCTTCCTACTACAGCCCTTCGCTCTTAGGCAGTCTTCATACTGCCTACCTCGTTCAGTACTGTCTTCCTACAGTACCCTCATTGCTACATCGCAATACACTTCTGGCTCCTGTGCTACACGTACAGTCGAGACCACTGTTCCACACATCCTCCACGAGTGACCTAGGGAAGAACCTCCTACTCTTGGGGTTACCGACGAGCAGTCGTAACACTAGAATAGACTCTTCTGCCCCTACCTTGCTCGCACTAGCTTGCTGCCACACCCTCTCTCATAACCTTGCTCAGTGGGGATATAGACCCCCATTGAGAAAGCGTTACTGCACACACTCTGGAGCAAGACCTAGGCCAGGAATATCCACCCGGCACTAGACGTATCAATAACCAACTCCGTCACAACAATCGCCCTATCCGGCGCGAAGGGGATTTCTGGGTCTACGAAGACAATAACGGAACTGCCCCTCCGAATTACGATAACTGCTCATACCGAAACGGGCGTTACTACTTCACCCTTGAAGACGGAACAGAAGAAGAGGATATTTGGAACAAAACAGAAGCTCAGTGGGAACTAGCCCCACAATACAGGGAACCGGCGCCGGTAATCCCCGAAGACTCGGAGCAAGAGGAAACAACCTCGGAATCAGACTCCGACTCACCAAACCAAACACCGATCAACACCCGAAACGAACCACTCGCCAACATGTCGGGACAAGCTTCGACTTCTACAAACACCCCTTCCGCGACAGTACAACCCGGAAGAGGAAAAGTCAAACTCCCAGACAATTACACAGGCGACCGCATTGAATCCCAGAAATTCATGCTCCAATGCCTCCTTCTTTTCGCAGCAGAATCCAATCGGTACAAGACCGATCAAGACAAAATATCCCTTGTGCTCTCATGCATGAGATACGGCACGGCGGGAGCTTGGGCGGAGAACTTCCTCCTCAAATCAGTAGGAGCAGATCCACCTACCAATCTAGGCACCTGGAAGGACTTTTTAGCCAAGTTCAAATTACAGTTCAGGGAGACGGGCAAGACCGACAAGGCGCGAAGCGCACTTATGGCCTTCTCCCAAGGACGAATGACGGTTGATGAATACTCCAACCAATTCATTCTCATCGCCGCCGATGCCGACATCTCCGATAAAGAGCAAGTCCCTTACTTCCAACGCGGGTTAGACCCGCGCGTCATGGACAAAATATACGACAAGGAAGTTCAACCAAAGGATACGATTCAGGACTGGATCAATACAGCCTGCAAAATAGATGGACGACTTCGAGCCAGAACAGCTCAAAAAGCCATCCTCGCCAACTCCACCTCCTTTCGAAGCGATTATCTGAATCGTTTTCATAACCAAATCTCTCCCCGCTACAATTCCACAAACGCCCCTCGCAGAATGAACAACCAAGTTGTTGACATGGACATTGACGCGACACGCAAGTGCAATGCCCTTAGCCAGAAGCGGAAACATGACGGCAAGCCTCCTGGCGCCTGTTACCATTGCAAGAAAACAGGACACTGGAATGCTGACTGCCCATCATTACGCAGAGGCGTTCAACCGATTCGAGGAAACTCGAAAAGACGCATGGGTACAACAGGGAGAAGAAACCACGCGGTTGATTTGGAGGGAGAAGACGACGCACCCGCTATGGGAAACCAAGCGGGAATATATCGAGGAATGGAGACAGAGGATGTTCATCGCAACAACCAGCGGGTACCACAACCTGGTCCTTCGATGGAACGTCCTCACTCTACCCCATCCGGACGACCCCAGACGAACCATGGGCAGCGCACTATGCTACCTAACGGACGACGGGGAGACGGAGGCGTCAGTCATTCTGCTCGAATCGGAGCAGTGCTCGGAGAATTAGGAGAAGATGAAGCCAGAGAAGTAATCTTGGGACACGCGGAGCGTTTTTCCTGACCTCTCCCTCACCAGCGAAGGAGAGAGGTCAAGGACGACCCGAGTTTGATGCCCGCACTTGTATTCGTATCGGAGCAATGAACGACCGTATCATCACCCCCATACGCCTGAACGTGAAAGTATCAAACAGGAGTCAATACGCTG